GAGTTTCATTTTTATATTTTACAGTTCATCACTCACTCAAGGTGGTTAAGAGGTCATATACCAAGTTTCATTTTCATGTTTACAGCCTACTACTCACACTTAGATGATGACCACATATGGCAAGAGGAACATACCATATATGGTGCAGGGTGACTACCATATATAGTGTAGGGTGGCCATTCAATGGAGCAGGGTGCGTAGTAGTGTTATCACCCTACAGTCACCCTACACCATCTTATAACCATTTTTGAGTAGTTTCTCTCAAGAAATTCTCAAGTTGACTGGACTAGTCTCGCACCAGCTCTGGGCAAGTCTGATACATTGCACAAGCCCCGGAGTGCTTCTTATATGTTAGTCCTAGTCCTGGCAATGATTTCTGCAGCCTTTATGGTTTCTCATGTCTCTTATACAGTCCTCTGACTCTTGCGTTGTCACTCATTACCACTCTCTTAGGTGGTCAACTGCCATCGAGCTAACTGTTGACACTGACAAACCTGTTGTCGACTTTGCCACTGTCAAAATTTGCCTGGTCACGGAGTGTGGAGAAGAGGTTCATCGTGGGGTAGACACTGGTGTCAAGAGCATTGACCGACTGGCAATAGACATTGTACGCAATTGAGTAGGCGTCACGCTGCTCTCAGAAAATAGCTCTTCTGATGAAATCTCGCTTTCACCATCTGGGATGCTTGGGATGACAGAGGATGTAGGAGTTCCATGAACCAACAACAATGGTGAGTTGCAGAAGACGTTGGGGAATGACTGGACACTAGGCAAAGGCTGCTGGGCGACAGAGATCGGTCATGAAGACATTGGAGATGATGACTTGGACTTTGGATGGCGTAACCGGTGCCCTATAATACAGACAAGATGGCTCAGTGGTGAAAGCTCCAAACTAGGGTATGGGAGGTCCCGGGTTCGATCCCAGTCAAGTTATTTAGACTACTTTAGTAATGATCATCTTTAGATGGTTTAGATAGCTTGATAGAATAAAATTCACACCTTAATAGGTTGATGTAAATGAAGAATCCTGCATCCACAGAAGTCAAGTGTGTTCCTAGGTCTTGAATGGATTCAAAACATGTAATCCAGTAGTATAAAATCGAAAATGATTGACTATACCCCTGGTATGCATCCTTCCTGTACACGGATCCACTCATTTCCATATACAAATGTGGACAACTCAAGCCGGACTCGAGGGCATTGACCAATAATGACAACGCCATCGCGCACAAGCCCAGTTCGAAAGTTTTCTGGTACCCAAATGAGATGCTTGTCATTGGGTCCCACTAACCAGCCATCATGATCAAGACGGTGCTGCTGATATGTAATGCGAAGCTATACATATATGAGTACATTCATCAGGAAGCTAACACTACTCACCGAGCCACCTGCTGCACTATTTGAAATCTGCAATTTTCTGTCAATGTCACCAGAAACAATCCTGTGACTGTCTGGCGAGAAGGCGACAGACAAGACCGCATTGGTATGTCCCTCGAGCGCGGGTCCAAGCGGTTCGCCCGTCTCTGCATTCCATACCCGCACCGTCTTGTCCCAGGATCCAGAAACGATCTTGTGACCGTCTGGCGAGAAGGCAACAGAGGGCTGCTTTTCTCGTCGTCATTCTCGCTTGGTCAACGTTTCCGTTTAATCCTCGATTGTTTTCTTGTCCGTCACGACACGTCCTAGGTTTACTCTTAAGTGGGGGGCCTTCCAGGCGAGGCAGGCGTGGGCGGGAGTGGCTCTGGGTGGGATGGTGGGCCAACATCTCACGCTCACGCTCACGCCTGCAGAGCATCACCTAGGGCGCGGTGGGTGGGTCGACGAATTTTCAGCCTTTGGGGCCACGCTACGCCCGTGCTGTCGGCAGCGGGCTTGCGTTGATGTTGGTTGGCGGAGCCTTTCGTTTGCGGCTCTTGCCACCTCCACCCGCACCTCCATTTTTCGATTTCATATTTCGTCGTTTGTCAATTAATTCTTTCCAATATATTCTCTATCTATACTGTTTTCCTTCTAAGTTCTATTCCTGGAGCTCCCATTCCTCGCTCGCTCTCGCAGCATGGCGAGACCTTCTGATCTCAACCAGCTGCTTTTCTCGTCGTCATTCTCGCTTGGTCAACGTTTCCGTTTAATCCTCGATTGTTTTCTTGTCCGTCACGACACGTCCTAGGTTTACTCTTAAGTGGGGGGCCTTCCAGGCGAGGCAGGCTCCCAGTTTTGCGTTTTTCGCATCTTCCTGCCTTCGCCTGGGCCTTTCCGCTGTTAAGCGCCCCCAATTTTGCCCGGTGAAGGTATCTATTCATAGCCGTTTATCCTTCCATTGTACATTTGCCGCGTGGTATTCGATTATTCCGCCTGTGTTCCTCCAGTATAACTTGAAGCTCTCTGAAGACCAACGTCCCATCTTCTTCACAATCTCCACATCCACGCCACTCAGCAGGAATGCCGTCGTTCCACCAATTCGGAAACAGTGCCCGGTAAAACTTCCTGAACCCGCTGGGCTCCACACCTCGTTGCACATCTTCATGAATTGTGCCTTTGTCATTGTCGTTCTCTCGCCGTTCCGGCTCTTGAATTCACACAGCATCGCCCGAGCGTCTCCAATTCTTGACTTTGCTAGGTGTCGCTCGATGGCTCTTGACGGGTTAAGCTTGTTCCTTTGCTCGACCAGTTCGATTGTCGCTCCTCTGTTCCCAGTCGTCTTCGTCCATGGCAGGTAGAGACTTGATGCCGCCGCCCTTCCATTGCCGTCTCGCCTCGTCACTGTCCAATGGTGTCGTTTCGGGTATCGATCCGTTTCCTTCGTTTCTGGTGACGCTGGCAGGAGCTCGCCCAATCTACATAGGCCACACCATGCCGTCATCGCTATCGCTAGCGCCGCTACCTCTTCCGCCGATCCTTCGTACCACTTTCCGATTAGTCTCTCCATCATCTCCGAGGTCACCGGCCGTCTTAGTTCCTTCGGTTCCTTTCTTCTCGGCCACATCCTCTCGATGCCTCGGATTATTCTGCTCGTGTTTGTAGGTTCGATGAATTCCATCCCGTTGTCTTTGTGCCACGATTTTATGCTCGATAGTTTTTCCGTGCTGTGCCCGGTCCGGTTACACCTGCGCCGTCCGCTATGAATAAGCTCACTATCTCCGGTCGGCTTGGGGGCTTTTCCGATTGGGACCTGATCCCTTCGGCAAACGTTTCGAATTTCTTCACGTAGCCGCTATATCCTTTCCGCGTTTGCTCTGTGAGACCATGATTCAGCGCCGTTGTAAGCTTCTCCTCTGCCTGGTGCCGGCGTTCCTCTGTCGACTCGGTTCTGATCGTCTGTTTTAGTAGGTTTCCGATATCTTTCTCGTTCTTGTCTGCCCTCGACACCTTCCTCTGCCTCTCGCCATTCGCTCGCTTGCTTGCGGCTTTTTCTTTTCCGATCTTCTTCTCATTTCTTTTTCGCCGTTCTCGGCTTCGTTTGGTCTCTTTCTGTTTTCTCGCCATCTGGTAGCTTCGCCTAATTATCATCTGGCGTGGCTTTGTCCAACTTTCATCTTTTGCGTCCTCATCTCTCTCGGGTTCCTTGTTCGTCCAGTCTCTTCTCACCATCGATTCTCATCCTAGGCTCTTCGTACATAACCGACCAATGACCTTGGGAATCTCCCCAGCTTCCTCTGAGTGTATCCGGGCGGCTCTAGCCCCCTCGATGGCCCGTCGGCTGGTTTCTTCCGACCGCACATATGTCAGTGTCAGGTATGCCTCTGCTCGCACTAGCCGGCGAATTCGCCCGAGAACCTCGTTTTGCGCCTCGTTTCTCGATAACCGCTTCTTCCAGCCGCCAATTACGCCCTGGTTATCTGTGCAAATCTCTATGTGCGTCCTTTCCGCTTCTGGCCGTTGCAGTATGAACTCGACTGCTAGCTCGACCGCCGCAAATTCTGCCCATCCAATCTCTCGTTCTGCGCCATCGCCCTCCTCGTTCTCCAGTCACTTTCCAACCTGAATTTGTCGTATTCATCATCGATCACGACGCCCAGTCCCCATCCGTCGACGCGTCTGTGTAGATCCGGTACTTGCAGTTTGGTTCGCGTTGTGTACATAGCTGAATCTTTATCTCCGGCTTCTCGAGCGTTTCCTTCCACCATCTGAGGTCGCACTTCGCCTTCTCCGGCATGTTCCACTTGATATACTTCGAGTGCTGGTTCGGTAGGCCCATTTTCGCTACCGTCGCCCATAAAGCTCTCGTGTGCGTTCGTCCTTCAGGAATTATCATTCCTAGGTGCGCCAGCTTCCCGCATAATGACTGCAGCCTTTCCCCGGACGTCTTCCTTCCTTCTTCCAGCACCTCCTGTACCAGTGCTAGGTTCTTCTTCCGCTTTGACTCGCTGACACTGACTGCACGTTCTTGCCAATGCCAGTCAAAGCCGACGTACGTCGTGATGTTGGCGAAGTCGCGCACCTTGTCCGGCGGAAAGGGGATTCCCAGCTCCTCCCCAAGCTCCAATATTTTCGCTATTCCCATTCCATATATCCATTCCTCCCCGTCTCTCCGTACTGGAAGTCGTCGGATCATCAGGTCGTCTACCCAGTATATGATCGTTCCGAGCTCTTTCCGTGTGCAGATTTCTACGAACGCTCTGTTCGGTAGTTCGAATATGCCAACGGATGATTTTGCGCCAAACTTTGCCGCCTTGTCGATCCAGAATTTCCCGTTCCATTCGACTACTCCGTATCTCCAATCCTCTGGACGTATAGGGCAGTTTCTGAACGCCGCTTCCCAGTCTATCGTTGCACCTTGTGCTCCATCTGGCGAGGTCACGATGAGCTCTATCATCTCTGCCAGTCCTCCCCAGTTCGTTCCGAGGTTCTCGATATTCGTTTGTGCGTTTACTGATTGTTGTTCATCTTCGTAGGCGAATGATAGGTGTTCAATTACGCGTTTTCCCCTTCCACTCGCCTTGTCGACCGTTCCAAGTGGGTTTGCCACAAATGCGCCCAGCCTTTTCTCGACTTCCTCGCGTGTATGTGGGCCGTCATATCGATTTGCTGCAACCTCTTTTCTATATGATCTTCTATCACTTTGGGGTGCTCGACCGCTGACCTCAGGTGTGGGTATACTCGTGTTTCGTCAATTGCCAACTGGCACTGCATATTGAAGCCGTTCTTAAGTCCATCTATGAGCGTCGCATGCTCCTCCAAAATATCAAGATATTTAAGCGCTTCCTCCCACTTCTTGGCCTGTAGCGGGGTCACTGGCTCTGGTTGTCTTCCATTCGTGTCAGTTTTGTCCGCGCTTGCATGATTGGGCACTGTGGCTGGCTGATAGGCATCCCGTGCATACGTGCTTTCCATTTGCACAACGGCTCGCCGAACATCCTTTGGCCGTGTTGAATGACCAGCAGAAGGACGTTCCATCGAAAAGCGTCCAGTCCCCTTTGGCATTCTTTTGACGTTGACGTCTGCGCCATCGATTTGGCGTCTTGCGCTGCAGAAGCGCGATTGGTGGCCGTATCCGGCATACGAAACACCTACCCTCGCCTTTGTTTCCTCTCCTGATCCTCTCTGCCCTCCATCCTTCCTGCCGTCCGTTTTCCCATTTGACAGGCTCGCCGAGCTTCCCATACTCGCCACTCCTTTCGACTCGATTCTCCAGCGCGTCAAGCCGGTCGACATATCCGACGTTTACCTCATCTCTGCCCGCATCAGTGCCTTCTCGTCGTTCGGATCTGGCACAAGTCTCGCGCCAGCCTTCGGGTTTGGGATGCATCGTTGGATTGTCTCGATTAGTTCGCGGAGCACGGGCCATTCGTTCTTCGATATCACCTTACTGTGATATAAGTTGTTCCAGAACGACTTCCAGAACTTGGCAACATCCGGCCAGTTGCTCTTCATCAGACTGTAGTGCCGCTTGATCGCTGCGATCCCTTCGTCGAGTGGAATCGACTTGTCACTCTTCTCGTACACCGGGTGTTCGAGTACCCCGTTTCTGTAGCTAATTCTGTATGCATCTTGTCGTTTCAAGAACTCGTCTGTGAGGAAAGTGAGGGGGACGGGGTGCCTTCCTTCGGCGAAGGCCTCCATTAACTTCCGTGGGATCGAACCAATCTCGTCGATTTCGTTGTCAACTTCTGTATATATGTCAATATTATTTTTCGATTACTCGGTTAGCCGCGCGACGAGTAGTGCGTCCAGTCATCTCGTCTGCCTTTGGCAGCTGCTGTTCGGTCTCCTCGGTCTCTTCCTTGATAGGTACGTAGATGTAGCCTTTCCACTTCGACTTTGGGATTGGCTCGCCGCTCGGTTTTCTCTCCGCCTCTTCTCCTTTGGGCACTTTGCCCGTCTCTTCCTGGCTTCCTTCGCTCTCGTTTTCGTCGTTTTCATCAGCCATGATGTGATGCTTCTTCTCGCTGTCCTCGCCCTACGGCTTGCCTCGCTGCCGCTCAACGCTATCTCGCTTCGCGTGGCCATTTCTGTCGCTCGTTCTTCTGCTTCCGAGCCGTCCATATTGTCCTCTCCTTCTTCCCCTTTCCTCCTCCGGCTCTGGCGGTCCTTCAATGCCCTCCAGCAACTTGTCGATCGCGCGCGTCCGTTCGTCGACTTCGCGCTCCGCCTGCTTCTTTCTCCTTCGGTTTGTCCTTTCCTTTGGTCGTCTTTACGGCGATACCCATCTCGCCAAGTCCCAGGGGTCGTCCCGCCACTTCCAAACTTGACAAACGTTGTTGTATCTGCGCTCGCGTAAGTCTCAATCCATCTTTTCTTGATTCTCGGCGTTCCCAGTCCTTCGGTTGGACGCTCGCGCGCTCTTGGTAGCTCTCGGCCCATGCGATCGTTCCTCTGGCTCAGTCTCTCGGCCTCGTGCCGGTTTTCCATCGCGTTCGTCTATCCTTTCTCTGTCTGCCGGTTCTCGCTCCGGGTCTCATCGTGGCACTGTACTGCCCGCTCAAGTCTAGCAGCCCTGCCTCAGCTGCGCTCGCTGGCTCGTGCCAGTTTCGTCGGTCTCAGTCTCTTCCTCCTCTCCCTCCGATTCCCGTTCTTGGGATTTTTTGGCTTTGGGGAGGAGGGGTCTGCCTTCGGCTTTGGCACGACCTCGTGGACGCGACACGTCATCTCGATGTATACGTATCTTGGAACTACGCTCGATTGCGTACAACGATTGCCATTGTCGAGTCTGGTCCTCCCAGCTCGACTTACGCTCCGTGCGTGCTGGCTCACGTCGCCTCGCCGGTCCTCTCGGCTCGAGTTCTCCCGCTCTTGCTACACACTGTAGCCATCTAGTACCTTGCGGTACAGCTCGTTCTTTCCCTGGGCATGTCTCTCCTGCCCTCCCGTCCTCCAGGCTTGCCATGGTAGTCGGCTATCTCTGGCCTCGGCGCCTGACTTGTCCGCGTTTCCTCCGTGGCGCTCTATACTGTCCAACCCGGTTCTGATCGCTCGATCGCTTGTCTTGGCTCTGCCGGGCCTCCGAGCCATCTGACCCTCTGCCTCGCTCCCTTTCGCTCGCGTCCGTGCTTCCTGATGAGTTTGATCTTTCCTTTCTCGCCTTGCTTCTTCTTGTTCTTCTTCTCGCCCTTCCCTTTTTTCTTCCGCTTTTTTGCCCCTGTTGCAGACAATGGCGATGACTCTGATGCGGACGAAGATTCACTACCAGACGATTCGGATCCGTCCGATTCACTTCCGGACTCACTGCTGTCCTCATCGCTTGTCGTCTCGTTCTTGCTGGCTTCGTCGACATCCATCTTCTCCATCTCCTTGCATGCCTTGTCTGCCGCGGCTGATTCTATCTTCTCTTTGGTGCTCTCGGCGAGTTCCTTATTCTTTTCGAGTCTTCTGAGGATCTCCTTCCTCTCCGCTGCCGCCTCGACCGCTTGCTGATGCGCTTTTTTGCTGCTGTCAACTGCAAGCTCCGCAAGCTTGTCATTGATCTTCCTGCTTTCCGTCATGTCCTGGTTGATTGCAGCCTGGAGGCGTGCAATGCCGTCCTGGTATGTCTTTCGGATTTTTGCGGCATGCCTCTTCTTTGCTGCTTCCAGCGCAGCCTTGGATCTTTCTTTTCTTGACTCGCTACTTCTTTTCGACGATTTCGACCCTGCACTCTTGCCCTTGGTCGTTTTTGATTTTTGACTTTTTGCCATCTTTGACGTGCTTATTGTCTGCTTTTCTCGGCTGATTCAGGTTGTCTTCTGGTTGTTCTTTCGACGAATTTTCAGCCTTTGGGGGACGCACGCCCGTGCTGTCGGCAGCGGGCTTGCGTTGATGTTGGTTGGCGGAGCCTTTCGTTTGCGGCTCTTGCCACCTCCACCCGCACCTCCATTTTTCGATTTCATATTTCGTCGTTTGTCAATTAATTCTTTCCAATATATTCTCTATCTATACTGTTTTCCTTCTAAGTTCTATTCCTGGAGCTCCCATTCCTCGCTCGCTCTCGCAGCATGGCGAGACCTTCTGGTCTCCAACCAAGACCGCATTGGTATGTCCCTCGAGCGCGGGTCCAAGCGGTTCGCCCGTCTCTGCATTCCATACCCGCACCATCTTGTCCCAGGATCCAGAAACGATCTTGTGACCGTCTGGCGAGAAGGCGACAGAGTAGACCGCCTTGGTATGTCCCTCGAGCGCGGGTCCAAGCGGTTCGCCCGTCTCTGCATTCCATACCCGCACCGTCTTGTCCAGGGATCCAGAAACGATCTTGTGACCGTCTGGCGAGAAGGCGACAGACAAGACCGCATCGGTATGTCCCTCGAGCGCGGGTCCAAGCGGTTCGCCCGTCTCTGCATTCCATACCCGCACCGTCTTGTCCCAGGATCCAGAAACGATCTTGTGACCGTCTGGCGAGAAGGCGATAGAGGAGACCGCATCGGTATGTCCCTCGAGCGCGTGTCCAAGCGGTTCGCCCGTCTCTGCATTCCATACCCGCACCGTCTTGTCCAGGGATCCAGAAACGATCTTGTGACCGTCTGGCGAGAAGGCGACAGACAAGACCGCATCGGTATGTCCCTCGAGCGCGGGTCCAAGCGGTTCGCCCGTCTCTGCATTCCATACCCGCACCGTCTTGTCCTCAGGATCCAGAAACGATCTTGTGACCGTCTGGCGAGAAGGCGACAGACAAGACCGCATCGGTATGTCCCTCGAGCGCGGGTCCAAGCGGTTCGCCCGTCTCTGCATTCCATACCCGCACTGTCTTGTCCTCAGATCCAGAAACGATCTTGTGACCGTCTGGCGAGAAGGCGACAGACCAGACCGCATCGGTATGTCCCTCGAGCGCGGGTCCAAGCGGTTCGCCCTTCTCTGCATTCCATACCCGCACTGTCTTGTCCTTAGATCCAGAAACGATCTTGTGACCGTCTGGCGAGAAGGCGACAGACCAGACCGCATCGGTATGTCCCTCGAGCGCGGGTCCAAGCGGTTCGCCCGTCTCTGCATTCCATACCCGCACCGTCTTGTCCAGGATCCAGAAACGATCTTGTGACCGTCTGGCGAGAAGGCGACAGACCAGACCGCATCGGTATGTCCCTCGAGCGCGGGTCCAAGCGGTTCGCCCGTCTCTGCATTCCATACCCGCACCGTCTTGTCCCAGGATCCAGAAACGATCTTGTGACCGTCTGGCGAGAAGGCGACAGACAAGACCGCATCGGTATGTCCCTCGAGCGCGGGTCCAAGCGGTTCGCCCGTCTCTGCATTCCATACCCGCACCGTCTTGTCCGAGGATCCAGAAACGATCTTGTGACCGTCTGGCGAGAAGGCGACAGACCAGACCGCATTGGTATGTCCCTCGAGCGCGGGTCCAAGCGGTTCGCCCGTCTCTGCATTCCATACCCGCACCGTCTTGTCCCAGGATCCAGAAACGATCTTGTGACCATCTGGCGAGAAGGCGACAGAGTAGACCGCATTGGTATGTCCCTTGAGCGCGGGTCCAAGCGGTTCGCCCGTCTCTGCATTCCATACCCGCACCGTCTTGTCCTCAGATCCAGAAACGATCTTGTGACCGTCTGGCGAGAAGGCGACAGACAAGACCGTATCAGTATGTCCATAAAGTGAACCAAGTAATGGAGACCATGTTTGATACCCCCCATCAAGAATGGCCAGTGTGGATGGATATTGAGGGTGGTAATGTCTTCTCACTTCAGAGCAATTTGGAGAGAAAGGTAATGCTGAAATGTAAATATGAGGAGCGCTCATGGATATCACGTGGCCGAAGTGAGCCACAAATTGACACATATCCTCTCCTAAAGCTACTAGCTCTTTCTCATTGGTTCTCTTTGACCTGTCAGCAAGAAAAAAAAATATACGCAATAAAACTTGCCTTCAGCCATCTGGTCAGGTTGCAGAGAATAGACTGTAATGCATCTGTAAATTCACATAGGCTGGCAACCTCGAGCCAGGCTAGAAATTGCGATGTGAGAAAGTGTCGGACAAGAGCCATTGTCTCATCATTGAGAGGCGTGAGAACCAAATGATCGGCCCAGTACCGAGATACATATTTCAAATGTGACGGAATGCAATCTTCAATGGATGTGATTGCTCTCAAACTCTCGACATTGAGTTGGTCGGACGATGGGATGCCGCCAATGTTGAACTTTAGATTGTTCTTCATCACCTGCAGGCACTGGTTGGCAATGCTTTGCTCACAGATAGACGTCGTTAAACTGAATTCTGGTGCATCTTGCTTGTTCTCGAGCAGGAAGTCGACAAACGATTGATGTCGGAATCGAAGTGGGCCTTCTTGATCCAATACTGAGCGAAGTCCGTTGCAAAAGTTCTCCAATATCGACTGCTTCAATGAAAGGAGTTTAGCCAATGTCGGGAGAGATAATGGTTCCTTTGCCACAATAATCGCGCCAAGCATGGCGAGCAAACGATCCCGCTCCTTCTCGCCATGTCCTCGAGACGCAATATGCAGTACTTGCGCATAGAGTTGGCCGAGATGATTCTTCCCTTCACCCGTCAGGACTTCAAGTCGATCCTCCGGAGGGCCAGCTTCGATCAAGTCCACCACTGTTGTAGCCCAGATGAACAGACCACTCGCCTTCTCCGTCAACTGATCCAGCTGTTTGGGTCCGGGCCACTCTGGTCCCAATGACGGATACTCAGTCGCAATTGACTGCAGCTTTAGACTCAAGACGGCTCGTATATCGGTTTGTACTCCTGGTCTGCTTTTTGCCTACTTTTAGCTCAATGGCTAGTGGCTTATTCCCGTCGATCCTACCGAGGACGTTTACGATGTCCGTCTCTTCACGACTGGTGACGATGAGCTTGAAGCTAGATGGAAGCTTGGACCAACAGATCAACGTCTGCATCAGGCTCCTACGATCGACAGACGACCGACCCTCAATCCCACCGCACTCGTCGAGTGCATCGACGACGACCACTGGAGAAATTTCCAAGGGGGCTACTAATTTTCGATAGCGGTTCCGTAATTAATTGCAGAAATAGATCGGTGATACTGGATGTTGACAAGTCGATTTGCTCCTTTTTCATTGCGCTGCAAAGATGCTTTCGGACGGTTGGGTGACGTGCCAAGTCGTATGCAACGTTACGCCAGAGTGCATCTGTCGTACGAGTAGTACTTTCTTGACGACGAAAGAAGAAGCTTGAGCCGAGTCGCTTCTTCTTGATCTCAAGTAGGTCTACAAGACTAGATGCAATGGCCGTTTTCCCCGCTCCAGGTGCGGCTTTGATCCAGAGGATGTTGGGTGCTTCACGGTTTGCCACCCATTCCTGGCATGCGTGGAGTACATCAATACGCGTTCCTGGTTGACATCCTGAGGGCCGTTTGTATTCGGGTCCTCGCAGCCTGCCCAACACGGCAGCATCCGCAAACTCTGTCACGGCGACAGAGACATAGAACGTAAGAGAGCACTACCAAGGCCTGAATACTGTGCAAAGAAGAAAGTGAGAATCCGACGTACGAGTATTTCTGATTCCGCAGCCTTCAAACGCTTTTCGTAGGTACTGATTGTATCCGTTTCCAGCTTGCTTGTGCCACTGCGCTTCACAAACATCTTCAAGAGTCCCTCTTTATTCTCGAAATTGGTCTTGTTGATGTCAGCGTCTTCGCACACGTCGGCAAGCAGTTCCTTGAGCGTACTAAGGCGGGTGAGATGCATTCGTGCCGGGTTCGTCTACGTACGCGATGTAGTTTGCAATCGGGCCTTTGACCGAGTCATCGACCACGTCGTTGATTCCAGGCTGGTTTAGTTGGGCATTGAATGCACCGATTTGCATCTGAATGGTTTTGGCGAGTTCATTCCAAGCAGATCTGCCGTTATTGAAAGCCTGAATTGAGTGAGGAACGATCACATACTCATAGTGGTAGCTACATACCTGGATGACCTCAAGGACGGTCACTGCGCCCTCACAAGCGCCTTTGAGCGGTGCAAGACCAGCCGCATCGGCAGCACTCTTGGTCAGATTGAGAATGAGCGCGGCTTGAGCGAGCCACTTTTCCGTATTCGATCTACGAACTCGCTCATGGACCCGCGGCTCGCTCCCTGGTCCCGCTTCACCAGTGATATCGTTTTTACTTTCGCTTTTGATAACATTGGTGTTTGTCTCGGCGATGTTTGGGGCGCCGATGTTGCTGGATTGACCCGCAGAGGTGGTTACGGTGGTCGGGATCGAATCCAAAGGTCTTTCTGGTGCATCTGAAGTGCCTTTCTTCTTCTCTTTCTTACGAAAAAGTTTAGGTATTATCTTCATTTTGTGCGAGGTATCAGCCTGAAAAGATGGAGAACAAGGACCAGGCACCGGCCAGTCTCTAGCGCCTCTGCGGGTTGGAACCTGACAGCCGGTCTGTGAACCATCAGCTCGGTTCCAGGGTTCATGAACTTAGTTTCACACGTAGTAGGCGTACGATGGTTATTTAGGGACTGCTCAAGTGAACGTGGGATGACCTCGAACCCGAATCCAAGAGCCTTTCTCACCTGACAAAGACATAGCTCGTCCCCGTGGGTCTCTGCGCAACCCATAAACGCCTCTGTATACGGCAACGGATAGCGCAAACGCGTATGCAGCGCCCTGAGCCCGACCTCGGTCACGGGTCCTCACCCGGGTGTAATCGTCCCGTTGCACAACCATTAGGCATCTACCTGTAGGCTCATACTGCGCATGGAACTCGAGCGTGTTGAACAACCCTGTGCCAAAATCCTTGAGTCGGCCCCATTTGTCCGCGTACAGCTCATCGCCCTGGATCCGCGTCGTCTCAAGCATGCGTCCGAATCGAGCGATACCTGCCGACACCAGACTTTTATATGTGAGCTGTTGAGATTGGATCAGAATAGAAGGACGTACCAACAAGGTGGTGATTTCGTACTTGGTCCGTTCCATCGCTCGGCCAAATCCCTGGGCGGCAACCTACCTGGTTGCGTTGACGAGCGGGTTCAACGTGGATAATTGGTGTTCGGGACGATGTTGCCGGGACATAGACTGACCGACAACTCGCTGCGGACAACATGAGTCGCAAATTCAAGCGCCGAGGCGCAGCTTGAGCGGAGGGATGAGGATTGGAGACCAAAATAACAGCCATTTTACACGCAATTCACGTCCATCTTTCCCATCAAACGCGTCATACGCGAACCAAGTCTACCTGTGGCTCGCTACCAAAGGTTTGTCCCCGTCGTGCGTGATGAGACGGACCAAGAAAAGCTGATGTCGTCGAATTTTTCTCACGGTATGGTGCGACTACCTTTTTCCTGGCAGGTCCAAGGTCTGGTGCATTGAAGGAGCTGCCAATTTACGGCTATACTGATACTCTGCACCATGGCTCTACAGGTCCAAGATCATGTCCAAGCACTAGTCGTCCGGCGCGATGATCTGGCGCACGAGATTTGCATCGACCTCGACCAGTTGATCCGGACTCGCTTTCCTGGGTGCTATGGACAACTAATCCCAGGAACATTCAAACGCTCTTTCTCAGTCTGGCTATGGCATCTCGCGAATAGCAACGAAGCTCACGACATCGGCCGCTTTCGAGCGTTTGATGATGAGGACAGCCCTGGTGGAATCAGGCGTGATTCTTGCTCCATCTGGAGAGAGTTAATATCAAATGGTTGCAGCGCCAAACCACTGACCGGAATATCGTGACCGGCTGCACGACCACAAGATTGGGAGCACGACATCATGCCTTGTGCTTCTCTGGGTAGACGAGGCACCAATCGTGTTTCGGCATCACGTGGAAGACATGACCGACAAGAAGTCTATCAGTTTCCTGTCAACGACACTCAGAAGTATGAAGGTTGTTGGGCCATCTTGCAAAGGTCAGACGATTGATAACTTTCAGAGAGTGCATCTGACACTCGGACAAACAGCTTACAATATGCGCCATGCACACTGTAAACCCGCGAGATTTCGAAGATACCGACCTGCCGTGGTGGGGACTCACCTATGGCGGCCATCTTTACATGATCATTGCCATTGCGTACACACAGGATGGGCAGGTTCATCTTTATCCGAACCTCGATTATTTTCCGACGATCAACATGTACGACGAAGTGCTGCCTGTGTGGACCCCAATACTCTACATGCTCCTGGGCAATCTGAGCATGCAACATGAAGAAAGAGTCTCCGTGACGCGCTCACAGTGCAAAGTTCACCTCTTCGGATCTGCTGGTGCTCTCTAGACCGCTTCATCTCGATATACTCGGCACACCAGAGTGCGGAGCGAGTAGCAGCGTCTATCACACCGTTGGACGATATTTGCTCAAGGTGGCTCATCCAACCCCAGAAACGACGTAGAGGCTGCTCGACGAATTGGATTGGTATTGCATCCTCTTCGGCCTTCCAGGTGTGCCGCAATGTCGCGGACTCTTCCAGGCAAAGACGGTACATGGGCCCATTTTGGATGATTGTGGTACCACTCTCCAAACGCTTGGCGGTCTTGCTCTCAAGGACAGGTCAGAGCCGCCGCTCTTTTCAACTCACCAACCGCACCTTTAATCTACGTGTCTAGGCTGCAACTCTATCACGCGCAAAAGCCATGTCTGATTGGAGACTTCGTCGGGAGATGGCTGGATGGGGGCGACGAGTGGAAGGAACTCATACAGACGGAAAAGGAGATGGATGCCCTCATCCAGCCTTGCCTCTACTTTGCCCTTTTCGCCCTCGTCGTTGTTGCGCTGGAGCACCAGCGCACACACTGCGTCCTATGATCTCGCTTGTAGCTCATCTACTCTATTCGTGTAGTGGATTTCCTTGGAGTCGAGCATGTAGCTCGTATTTATCTTGTAATATTGTAGGCCGTGCTTAATCCATTTCTTCGGACCAATAATAGTTTGCGAAAGATATTACGAAACCCAAGGGTTGGTAGCTCAATGTAAGGGTCCGAGGATGTCTCCTCGTCACACATGTCGTAACCGCACCCGTGACACTCATTACCCACTCCATACCACATTTATTACCCTTCTCTTCATAGCCTCCATTGCATATACCCTCATAGCGACGGCCTTAGCACATGCTTAGCTTCCTATCGTTCTTTCCTCGTTCCAATGTTTACCCTTGCTATATAAGACTCTATGTAAATGTCTTAACTAGCAGACTCTTTCCTGTACCCTCCCACGTCGATACCCTCCGTCAATAAACAGGTTTAGACTGGTGAACTCGCTCGCCCCAGCTAAGTATTACTCACTTGGCCTGGCATAGCCCTCGTACTGGTGAGTTCTCCCTGTGAACCTCACACTCAAGGACCAGTTCTCAACCAGCAGAGACCGGCCAGCGTCTAACCCTTCCATCCCCGTCTTTTCACATCGATATCTCTAAAATATGAAGGAAGTCTTCAAATGGACTCGTGAAGGAGAGGAGAAAAAGAAAAAATACTCAGATTTACACAGCGCCTCCTTGGATTCAACCCCGACCGCCGTGACCACCGTCGCTGGTGAATCTAACAGCGCCGCTGCTTCAAGCATCACAGATACGAACTCTGGTCTCTCTAAAATTGAAAATTAGAAAGGGATGTTGAAGGTTTACCCTTTGACTCTTAGCGCTCACTAAATAGACTTAGCCAATAGTAATAGCTCACGTCGTAACTCAATGTATTTAGGGACGCGGGGCGATGCGGCCGGACCTTACTGGTCTTGCCTCTCACCTCACGCGTCCTAGGTTTGCCACACTATATACTGGTCTTGCCTCTCACCTCACGCGTCCTAGAATCAACGGAATCAACAGGTTATGAGCCTCTTGTTGCACTAAGGATCAAATTTACCAGTAATCTCGCCTCCGCGCACCCACTGCTACACAAACATGTCTACAAAAGATTTCAGTGCGATCCCAGTCCTCACAACGGGCAACTACCTCGCATGTTCAAAAGATAGATGGATATTTCAATACCAAATAAACTTCAAACAATACGTCGCCGATAATGCTAACGAATGGAAACGCCGCGCAAAACAGGCCTCCGCAGCCATCACACTCACTGTCGATGAGACCAACATGAGCCAGATCCGCAAACTCAAAAGGGATCCGGTCGCAATGTGGAATAAACTCGAGTCTATTCACAATGCAAAGACATCAGCAACCCGCTTCAATGCGCTTGAGGCATTCTTCACCAAGACGAAGACCGAAGGAGAGCCTTTGGCGTCGATCACAGCCGCCACCAATGCCCTCGAGGAGCAATTTAGATCACTATGGACGACAAATTACGATGTAGACGCACTACTAAACGACCTCGCTATGATGTCGAGCCTCCGCATGATCCCGCCTGAATCGATTCACGTCCGAACTTCACTACTCTGCCAGAAAAATCTCACCCGAGATGTAATAGATGCAGCTCTCGCCAACGAGGACAATCAGCAGCGCAGGAACTCGCAGCCAGCCATCGCACTCCGGGCAGCCACTTCCCAGCCCATTGCTTATCGCAGTACACCTGCCACTCCTCACGACCATAGCCCACGGCCGCCGAACGCACGCCAGGTGCCACATGCGATCATTGTGGCAAACGGAACCATACAGCTGCTCAGTGCTGGTCGAAGCTGAAGCGACTCGTCGCAAGCAAGAGGCCGCACGTGTTGCCAGCACTACAGACGGATCAACTACTGTACCAAATGCTCATGCCGCTCATGCAAGGGCCCTCCCCTTACCACCTACGGCTAGATCTGACCTGAACGCCGACACAGGGGCTACTCGGACAATGATAAGTGACGAAAGTTACTTTACCATGCTCCACCCTTGGTCAGGTCGATCAAACTGGCTAATGGTGAAAGGATCTTCTCCACTGGAGAAGGGGACGTTGTGTTTCAGCCGTGGATAGATGGTTACTTTAGTTCTGATCTCGTTACTTTCCCTAATGTCCTCGTTGCTCCCGACTTACAATCGAATCTCGTCTCAGTTCTCTCAATGGCACGCAAAGAAGGATATGACATTCGCATTAATTCGAAACAAATGGAGTTCTACCTTGATGTTAAACTCCGAATGACAGCTCGTATTGATGACAACTGCGTTGCTTACCTCAACGGACGAGTTCTCACGTCGGAGCAGGCACATATCGCGAGTACACTCAAGCTGGACCGAGAGCTGTGGCATCGCCGCCTTGGTCACTTTCACCAGGACGGAGTCGACATATTAATCCGCCATAATCTGGTCAACGGGCTCAAGCTGGACTCAAATGCAAAGCCAGACCCTATATGCGCCCCGTGTATTGCGGGCAAGCAAACTCGAGCACCCCATACAACGCCAGCGACTCACGCCGCCACTCCATTAGACCGGGTCTTTATTGATTTAAAAGGCCCAGTCAATGCTGAGTCTATGCCACACCGTGCCAAGTACTGGATGGCTATGGTAGATGACGCATCTAATTTTGTCACGCTCTCACTCCTTCACACTCGAAAGATGGAGCATTCAGGGCGTTCCAAGAGTTCCACAAGCTCGCTGAGAATCAGACGCACCAGCGCTTGGTACACTTGCGAGATGATAAAGGCGGCGAGTTCAGTGGCAAAGAGTTCGATCAGTACTGTATCTCCGCTGGTATTACAAGAGAACGCACCATAGTGGCAACACCGGAGCAGAATAGACGAGTCGAGCGAGCAAACCGATGGATAGCAGAAGGGACAATCACTAAACTTACAGAATCAAACCTTCCACCATCGTTTTGGGGTCTTGCTGCACTTGCCACTGTCCACGAGTTCAACCGTGCCCGAGTTCACAATGGGAAAACCCCGTATGAACATTGGCATGGTGAACCTCCAAGTGTTGATCACCTTCGAATATTTGGATGTCTTGCCTATGTCTTCATTCCAAAATCGCAGCGCAATGCCCTCGACTCGCACACTGACAAGTGTATCTTCGTGGGTATCTGACCGCCTGGCTGGGTGTTCTGGAACCCGCAGACACGAAAGATTATACACAGCGACAGTGCTGTATTCGATGAGAGAGTCTTTCCAGGCACTTCGTTTGTGAAGGAATCGATTCCGAACCTCTCGGACTACATCCACCTGCCAGACCTCGAGGAAACCAACGCCTCTCCATCATCAATTCCACCCCAAAATACTCACCCTCCGGTTAGCGTTGCAGGGTGACCTGTACCTGCACCTATTCCTCACGAGCCTGCTCACGAGCCTGTCCCTGCACCCACACCAGAGCCAGCACAATCTAAACCCGCAGCCCACAGAGCCTGAGTCGCGAACTTTGAGCACTCACTGATCATACTACTTTCGAGAAGGTCCCTACAAATCTCCCAGCTTGACGACACACAATTGCACGGCAGCCAGGCACCTTGACTGAATCTGACTCGGACCTTGACTTAAATGAGAGCTCCGACGAAGATAATGTCCAATTAGCTGCTGAAGAAGCGTTCTTACCCTCAAATTCCATCTCTCATGTGTCAACTAAGACTCGACGCTGGAGACCTAAGCCGAATTTCGAAGCGCCTGATCATATCCTCATTCCCATTGCTGATGGCGTCGAAGCTGCCTTAAACACATCTACAAGCCGCGAGCCAACAACACTAGGAGAAGATCTGAAACGCCCTGACGGCGACAAGTACGTCCAAGCGGCTATAGATGAGGTCAGAGCTCACCTGGAAAACGGCACGTGGAAGCTTGTGCGACTCCCACAAGGCAAAAAGGCTATCGGCTCACGTTGAGTATTCAAAATCAAACGTGATGCTGACGGGTCTATTAGCAAGTACAAGGGACGCATTGTGGCCAAGGGATACGCACAACGAGAGGGAATCGACTACACAGAGACCTTCGCACCAACAGCTCGCTTTGGTGCCCTTCGCACCATCATAGCACTTGCAGCACTTGAAGACTGGGAGCTAGAGTCAGTAGACATATCAACCGCTTTTCTCAATGGTGAGATTGATGCAGAAGTCTACATGAGAAAGCCAGAAGGAGTCGAGTTCGAGGGCTATGAAGGCACGAGCTGGGTGCTTCAACTCCTCAAGGGTCTCTATGGAATCAAACAAGGCCCTCGCATCTGGTCTGTGAAGCTACACACTGTCCTATCAGAAATTGGACTCAAACGTCTCGAAAGCGATCACAGTGTCTTCATCTATGAACGCGACAGTGTGAAGATCATTGTACCAGTCCATGTCGATGACTTACTGCTTGCATCAAAGTCATCCGAAGCCATTCAAATGGTGAAGGATGAGCTCAAAGCACGCTTCAAGATCCATGACCAAGGCCCTACCTCATTCCTAATTGGTGTCAAGCTCGAGCGCGATCGCCAACCCCATACCATCTCCCTCTCTCAGCCTGTGTACATCGAACAGATCCTCGAAACCTACGAAATGCAGGACTGTAATGGCACCGACACGCCTATGGCTGAAAAGCCACTCCTCTCGACCAAGGATTCATCACAAACTGAGCAGGAGAAGTTGGAAATGTAGAATGTACCCTATCGAGAGGCCCTTGGAAAGCTCATTTACCTCGCCACTGCCACTCGACCAGACATCTCATATGCCGTGGGGGTGCTCTGTCGGTTCAGCGAGAATCCTGGACGAGCACACTGGCTAGCTCTCAAACGGGTATTGCGATATCTCCGCACAACAACGAAGTACAAGCTCACCTACGGCCTCAAACCCAACTCCGACGAACTGTTCACGACGCATAGTGATGCCGATCTGGGTGGAAACGCTGGTAATACCCGCTCAACAGCCGGTTTTGTCATGTCAATTGGTGGTGGCGCTGTAATGTGGAGTAGCCGACTCCAGCGCCATACATCACTATCATCAACCGAGTCGGAGTATACAACAGCCTCCACCACCGTGTGCGAAATGATCTGGATGCGGTCGTTCCTTGATGAAATTGGCTACGACATTGCGTCCTATCCATCCACCCTATTTGTTGACAACGCCTCTGCCATTCAAGTTGCCAAGAACCCAGAACATCAGTCCACCATGAAGCATGTCCACCGTAGCTTCAACTGGATTCGCGAGAGAGTTGCCAATAATGAAATCTGTGTTGCTCATGTCCCTGGAGTCGTCAATGTTGCCGACATCTTCACCAAACCACTAGGCCGCATCAAGTTCGAACAGTTTGTCAAAATGCTCGGTCTGATTCCTCACCCTCATGCCCGTACTCAGTCCATGAGCAAAGTCACAGGGTCAGGGGGTCGTGTTAAAGGTTTACCCTTTGAATCTTAGCGCTCACTAAATAGACTTAGTCAATAGTAATAGCTCACGTCGTAACTCAATGTATTTAGGGACGCGGGACGATGCTGCCGGACCTTACTGGTCTTGCCTCTCACCTCACGCGTCCTAGAATCAACGGAATCAACAGGGGGGGGGGGGGGAGAAAAGGGGGATGGTACAGTGCCAGTTATTTGGCTGATGAGACCAGGATTATCAGGCTATGGCAGAACACCCCAATTATTGCCTTGACTGCTACCATGAGCATTCAATCAGCGGCCAACACTTGCAGGACCACAGACAGGCAGCCTAAACATCAATTTGCATTGGTTATTATCTGGAATTCAGATAGATTTGCACTTAAGGTTCGTAATTTGTAATACATCATGAATCTGGTTAAGGATGGGCACATGGATCGGAAAATTTTGCAAAATCAATGATCATGACCATGACCCGTCCATCCCCTACGGCCAGGGCAACTTTATCTTGGCATTTGGTGGAGCAATGCACCCAAAATTCATCAGGTATCCTATATCTACGGTATGGACAACAAGCAGACCACAGCTCCTGACTGGCGTAGTCAAGAGCTACTGTGAATTGCTTGAGGCTGGGCTTGACAGTCAGACAAGGAAATGAGTGTGGCTGAAGTCCATCCTGGGAGACATTGAGTGCCGTTTCATTATCCAGATGTAAGGAGTGTCCATCCCGGGAGAAAGACAAATGGGGGCAAGGTGAATTGAGCGTGTAAGCAGGCCCCAAACTTGAAGCAATGGCAATGTCCCATAGGCGTATAGTGCAATCTCCAGATCCACCTCCAGACGCAAGACGGAGCCCATCTGGCGAGAAGGCCAGACACGAGACATAATCGGTATGTCCTTTGAGCGTCGCAAGGCTTGCACCGGTGGCCCCATCCCATAGGCGTACAGTGTAATCCTCAGACCCAGACGCAAGACAGAGCCCGTCCGGCGAGAAGGCCAGACACGAGACATTATAGGTATGTCCTTTGAGCGTCGCAAGGCTTGCACCGGTGGTCCCATCCCACAGGCGTACAGTGCAATCCTCAGATCCAGACGCAAGACGGAGTCCGTCCGGCGAGAAGGTCAGACCCGAGACAATCCTGGTATGTCCTTCGAGCGTCGCAAGGCTTGCACCTGTGGTCCCATCCCATAGGCGTACAGTGTAATCCCCGGATCCAGACGCAAGACGGAGCCCGTCTGGCGAGAAGGCCAGACACAAGACAATCCTGGTATGTCCATCGAGCGTCGCAAGGCTTGCACTGGTGGTCCAATCCCATAGGCGTACAGTGTGATCCCAGGATCCAGATGCAAGACGGAGCCCGTCCGGCGAGAAGGCCAGACACGAGACAATACTGGTATGTCCTTGGAGCGTCGCAAGGCTTGCACTGGTGGTCCAATCCCACAGGCGTACAGTGCGATCATCAGATCCAGACGCAAGACGGAGCCCGTCTGGCGAGAAGGCCAGACACGAGACATTATAGGTATGTCCTTTGAGCGTCGCAAGGCTTGCACCGGTGGTCCCATCCCACAGGCGTACAGTGCAATCCTCAGATCCAGACGCAAGACAGAGCCCATCTGGCGAGAAGACCAGACATGGGACAATCCCAGTATGTCCTTCGAGCGTCGCAAGGCTTGCACCGGTGGTCCCATCCCATAGGCGTACAGTGTGATCCCAGATCCAGACGCAAGACGGAGCCCATCTGGCGAGAAGGCCAGACACGCACCTAATCCCAGTATGTCCTTCAAGCGTCGCAAGGCTTGCACCGGTGGTCCCATCCCACAGGCGTACAGTGTGATCCCGGATCCAGACGCAAGACGGCGCCCATCTGGCGAGAAGGCCAGACACGAGACGATCTCAGTATGTCCTCGAGCGTCCCAAGGCTTGCACCGGTGGTCCCATCCCACAGGCGTACAGTGCGATCCCAGGATCCAGATGCAAGACGGCGCCGTCTGGCGAGAAGGCCAGACACGAGACATCAATGTGTCCCCAAGCGTCCCAAGGCTTGCACCGGTGGTCCCATCCCACAGGCGTACAGTGCGATCCCCGGATCCAGATGCAAGACGGCGCCCATCTGGCGAGAAGGCCAGACACGAGACAATCCCAGTATGTCTTCGAGCGTCCAAGGCTTGCACCGGTGGTCCCATCCCACAGGCGTACAGTGCGATCCCGAGATCCAGACGCAAGACGGCGCCCATCTGGCGAGAAGGCCAGACACAAGACAGAATTTATGTCCAGTTTCAAAGTTTGGTGTGAAGGCCAATGCTCTGATGGTCCTCCAGTGATCTTTGGTAGTCGATCTGAAAACCTGCTCTGGTACATTGTCCACAGTTGTGACTTTCGAGGGAGGAATAGTAGCCCTGACAAGTAGATATCCAAGGCACTCCTCTCTAGTGTCTTTTGATTCCTCTGTACAAGTCTAACTATATCACGGCATACCTATTGTTACCACGGTCAATACACATATCATATGTAGCATTAGCTCACCTCGACTTCATCACCCAACCTTTGTGTGCACAACTTCGCCGAATCTCTCTCGAAATTTCGAATAAGATGCATGTGACCCATCAAGCTTAACAGCTCCACGAGGTACAAAATTTGGCTTTCTAAAAACCTTCGCAGCGGCTGGACCACATGTTCCTCCATTACGACAGTGGATGCATGATAGCCCCAGTACTTTGCCGCATAAGGTAGTGCCGGACAACTTGTCCATAATCGTTCCAGACGTTCATCCAGATCCATGACGTCCGTATTCCTTGGATATGGTTCATTCGGCACGGAAATGCCGCAAATGTCCTCCTTCAGATCCTTCTGAAGCACTGTGAGGACAGATATGGCCAAGTCTGACTGCATTGCTGTCGAGTCGAATGGCATATCCACGTTGTATGGACTGAGAAGGTATTCTCGAAACGTCGGATGTAGAAACTCTACCACACTCTTCACCCGAAATACACTTTGCATCGACCCTAAGATCAGTCTTAGCTCAGAGTCTGCAATCCCAGTCATCTCCTCCAGAGCCTCCGTTGACACCGGCTCGAACAAGGTTAGGATAGTGCCCATAACCTTGTGTATGCTACCACTGGAAGGTTCTCGTCGCAGTCGACGAAGGATGTTTGTATAGACCTGGTTAATATCCCCGCCCTCGCCTCGCGTCAAGAGGGATTTGAGAGTCGTGCCAACAGCGGCCGGACCTTGAGCCTGTTGTAGCTCAAGATGTGCTGTCGTGATCCAGATGAAAAGTCCATTCGAGCGTTCTACAATCTGCGAGCGCTGAGGCTCGGTAAGCAGGTCGACAAGATGGACGTCGACGTAGGCCCTAATGTCATCCAAGTTGGACTGCTGCTCTTTGCCGTGCATCTTGAAATGCATTCCGCGTACAATCGCTCTACCCTGGAGTATCGCGGTGATGTCTGGCTCTGGCCGGCTCGTTATAAAGAGTTTGAGTTTAGGCATCAATGGAAGCTTCTCAACAAGTAGGTTAATCAACTCTCCCCTCATCTCCTTGTTGCACTCATCCATTGCGTCAATCACAAGGACAATATTCGTCGTTGCAAGTTGCAAGGGTTCTTCTACGAGTTTAGTGAACTGATGGCGCAGTCCTCGTATGAGAAGGTGAGGATCTTCTTCTTTGATCACCTTTATTTGCTTTAGGATTGCCTTGTTTCGAGCACCGATATCTTCCGCAATGACGGAGCAGAAATCATCCGTCTCTGATGTCTGTCGAGCATTCTTCGAAAAGAAGAATCGACCAACCAGAACACCTTCGGCATTATCCCACTCCTCGCACATCGTCAACGTGACTGTGGACTTGCCCGATCCGCCAACGTCGCAGAGCCAAAAAATGCGCTTGTCCGCGTTGGGGTCCAGGCGCCAATGTCGAACTTCCTGCAGAATCGATACGCGTGTGCCTGGTAGACACGTCTTGTGCTGAGTCCCCATCGGACGATTTCGGGCCGAGTTGGGCTACTTTCCACACTGTGGAAATCAATACGAGTCGGAGGTGATGTGATCGAGCTAACCTTCTGCTTGCAGCTGAATTTGATAGAGCTTGGTCATATCCTATTGCGAATAGCTCAATATGAAACTGGCTTCGCATGGTATTCATACCTCGAATACGCGCGTAGCTTGTAAGATTTCCTGTTTGTATTCTGCAATATTTCCTGTGTTCATCTTGGAATCCGTGATCTTTCTGAAAAATCCATTCATGCCTTGATCTCTGCTGTGCTTCAACTCGTTCATTCTGGCGAGTATGCCTTTCAGAGTTCTACAAAATATCAGCCAGACATTCAAAGCTCGATCTTGGCCCCTACGCGATGTAATCCCTCACTGCGTCATTAAAATCCTTGAGCGCTTCGGGCATTTGGTCCATGCGCTCATCCTCGACAGCCTGGAGATATCCCTCATCCAAGATGGATATGTGTGCTTCAAGACTATCCCTGAGTATTTTGAGCCCTTTGGTGTTCTCGTTTACGGTCTACGGCGTAATCAGATCGCAACTTGGCAGTGACACGAAGTATCTCGTACCCTGGTTGTCTCAAGGAATAGAAGGGAAATCTCGCAAACTGCTTTGAGGGGGCCCAGAAATGAAGTAGCGTCGGTCCCCGCCCTGACAAGCTTGACGACCTCGATAAGGGTATCCCGTGTTCGCTGGTAAGCAATGTCTGGGTCATGAGCAGAGGTATTTCCCCTCAGTGAATCCGAAGGAGTCGGAATCTGATTTCCTTTGGCTTTTCGGCGATGCATTGTTGGTATGCTCGAAGCTGGCGGATACCACGTTGATCGCGTATGTTTGCCCAAAGCGCTATGCTGGCGCTTGGCCCCGGCGTCCAAACGCGGGTGCATAGGAATCCCGGCCATCGCCGCCATCTCGGTATTTGCATCTCAGTCATCTCGGTGGCTGGTTAACATGACAATGGTTGCCCAATTGTGGCTATAATCAAATGAGGGCTGGCAGCATGAAGGGATAAAAACAGCCCTGATTAGGCAGCTCCCTGCTGACGGCTCCCGAGGAGTCCACGAGTGCGGCACAAGGAGATTGGTTTTAACAGATTCTGTTACACCCTCCGACAATGTGTTCACTGTTAGTAGTTCAGTGCGAGTAGGCTCTCGCCCTTGGGCCCTGCCCAGTAGCGCAGAGAGAGTGGGCTACGCGCTTATACCTTCGCTTTAGTCCCCTCAATCTACCATGCCTATTTCAACAGGCTGGTCCGCTTCCTTGCTTATGGGTGACGGGCTGATGGGCGGTCCAGGAGTAGGAAGCGAGAAAATGAACTACAGTGTCGCCAACTAGCTTTCGCGACATGGCCACCAAAGAACAGTTTAGCTACTGGAGCCTTCTGCAGCCTCGATATAATGTAGCGTATATTCCTCTTAGATACTTTGCCATGTGAAGAGTCAGTGGGTATAGTGACCAAAGCATACGGCCGCCTACGGATGGAACTACGGCGGTTACAAGGCGAAGGTGGAGTGCGAAGGATAGTTGGGCAAAATTGCCATCAGCGGAGATTATGAGGTCCATGCTCATTTACATGTCCTATGCTTTTGCAATATGCACACACTGTATTCTAGAACATATATAAGCTAGACATATTGCAAGTTACGTCCCTCGGATAAACGTGTCAGCATAATACGCACTCCTTGTATACGGCCCTTCCTCACTCGCGGAGTCGACATGTGCCTCTCCTTCGTGTCCAAACATTACAGAATCATCAGATATTTTCTACGTAGGAAAATAGAAGTCTCCCAGCAGTTGTTGCTGTCACCAGTTTAGGTTGCCTTATCAGGGCTGTTTGTCCTGGATGCGTTGACAGAGTGAAGGAGGCCAAATAGCTTCTATACATCAATTCATCGGAGCGTATAGTACAAAATTTACCAGGCGAAATAGTCCTTAGAGTCTATAGCATGCCCAGGGACCGCTTGTCAAGGTTGGCCACCGACGCCGCGTTGATTTGGTCCCTTGCCACCTCTATTGAACCACTCAAAACTAGTGGCATGTCAATTTCTCTCATTTGATATAAAATAACAAGATGAGGTCCAACATGAGCTGACATTCCAGGCAAGGCGCTCTCTAGCTGTGGCCTCCACATATGTCCAAGAGTAGTAGCGGCTTTGTGGTAATCTAGGAACACATGATGGCCAAATATGCGACATATATGTGGTCTATCGATGAAATTACAGACGTATACAAGCATCCATGCATTATTAGTAACCATTTGACTGCTTCAGTCCTTCACCTCCGCACACGGCGGGTTAACTAGGCCCTTCCGGCAGGACAGAGGCTCGAATTATATACCTCAAACTTTTTCAGACTTGATTTAGAATAATATTACATGCACTTCTAGTCGGCCTATGCGTTCCTTAGCTCCAATTCCGTTGAGGTTCATTAAGACTTCCAAGACGCCTATAAGAGACGCCGGGTTAAAATATGACAATATTCTTACACAATAGAACTTATCTGACAGCAAAACACTCTTATACGTTATTCGGAGCACACCGAGAAGGGCTTACAGCGGCGATTTGTCCCCCTGGGGGCTGCACCAAGGATTTGCCCAAGAACCTTTCGCGCAGAGCCTCCCACTTTCTACCCCTTTCCGCCTCTGATATTACATCCTATACCTATCTGCTACTTCTTCGCAGATAGTTGTCGAAGGTTCACCCTTTGACTCTTAGCGCTCACTAAATAGACTTAGCCAATAGTAATAGCTCACGTCGTAACTCAATGCATTTAGGGACGCGGGATGACACAGCCAGACCTTACTGGTCTTGCCTCTCACCTCACGCGTCCTAGTATCAACAATAGTTTCGATCAATATCTTCCACTTTAGCATTATTTGATCAATTATGTTTCTCTGCATAGCACTCTATTGGTCAATTTGGGCCTGAGTGGCTCTGTCGCGAAAGGTAGTTGGAGCCACTGTAGGGTACAACAGAACAAGATGACTGGACGACAGAGGATATGTAGGAAACCAAAATGCAACGATACGAACAAGGTCGATGCTGATGTCTTTGAGCGGTGCTGTGATAGATGCTAGGGTATTAGGACTATGGGGAAGTTTGGCGATGCCAAAAGGTGACAGGTGAGGAGAATCGGAAGAGGGTGACCGATTCATCTCGTTCGCGGGGAGTATCATGTCATTGTACTGTATACACCTCGGGTTTGAGCACTGCCGATGCCCAGAGGGCTGGTATCGGGGACAGGAGAACAGAGACATTCGTAGTTGCTCTTGCTGAGCTGTAGACGCTTTAAGTGGTATAGTTCGACTCCAATGTCAGCGTTTTTTTGACTCCTGACCACCCGTATGATCGCTGCCTCATAGACTGCCAGACGGCGATACTACAATCACAAAGAGATTGTCTGCCACTAGACTGTTATCGCAACGGAGGCTTGATATCAAGAAGACATATTGCATTCTGCATACAGTACGAAACACTAACAGTGGCATACAAAAGGTAAATGTATTAGACAAGAACGGTACGATGACACGGCTTTGAGAGAACCACTAGTCCATGAGAGGTGTACGCCACTAGGTACGAAAAGTCCGTGTCGAGTCACAAGAAGTCTGCACAAGTGTTACCAAGCCGTCTGAGAAATACGAGTAGGAAAGGGGGTCTCACCAATATCAGTCGTTTGAATCTGTCAGGTTGCCTGCAGTCCCGCCATCCCCGGCTCCAGCCATCGACTGTTCGGGTGCAGTCGCGACTGGCGTAGTCATCCCGGTAGCGACACGACTGAGCAGCTCGAGCACACGTTCGTCATGCGGGTCACGCGAATGATGTGTCGACGGCGTGAGTGGGCCCAACTTTGAACTAACCGCACCACCCGTTGCACATGTTGCGCTCGTTTGACTCGTCGTACTCCCGCCTGTAATGTTCATGTCCAATTTGGCTAGTGGTGCCGATGAAGACGGAACGTGAGCGCTTGCGAGTTGTCCCGTTTGACGACGTCGAGCCCTCTGCTGGCGTTGCGTCAATGAGACGTCTATAGGCTACAACTAGACTCACGACTCGCGCAGGTGACGTTTGCAATATCGGTTCCAGAGGAAGAACGGAAATGCGTAAACGGAGGCGAGCCGTCTGGATTGGCGAGCGGCTCAAGTTGCGGTTGGAAATGTCCGCCAGTGGTTGGCTGAGGTGATGTTTAGTTTTCTGTCGAGGTGGCTGGATTACGAAATCGCGTTCTTCCGTCGGCGGGCATGGCATATGCGCTCTGGGATTGTAAGGAGACCGAGGGGTGTTCGGTGGACCATTGGGTTGACCAGGAGGGATCGCGTTCATATGTATACCCAACCTGATGTGGTCCAGGAGGTTGATTATGCGAATCACTCGCAGGCCGAGGTGTATAGGCGTTGCCTGTCGTCGAGTCAGCCTCGTTCAAGAAACCGTTTTGGCACGTCTTACTCGGTATCGAAGACGCGCGTGATTGCTGACCTGACTCGATAAGAGGTGGATGGAACGGGTCGAAATGACCACTGGACGGAGCAAACTCCGAGGCTGGATGTTGGCGAGGTTAATGGGACGACCATAGGGCGAAAAGTGAGAGGTCCTAGCGTCTATGGACCCACGTTCCTCGGATTCATCCTATCTACGCAGCTTTCTCCTGTTCGTACTACACCACTGGGTGGACTAAGCACGCCCGCATTTGCTGGACTGGGTGATCCGTACGCATCTCCATTATCCACAGAGCCTGAATAGGTCGTGTATACGAATTGGTACCTGCAGGTGTGGAGGTGCGGGGACAGCATAACGATGCTCGGGATTTCGGGCAGGTGGGGCGAGCAACTGTTGAGTTGGCGCTGCATCGACGGGCGCTGGAGTGAGAGTCGGTAGCTGGTATGCAAATGGATGGTCGTATGTCTGCGGTGCGGCGGGTGGGTACGACATTTAACGCATCATGTGCATTTCCGAGGGACTGTCGGACTGGGTCATGGCCGGTTCACAATAATAGGGAGGATGGTGCGCAGGTGCAGGATGGTATTGATAGGCGTTTGGGGGAGAGCCATTGTACGATTGAGAGCGGGCGTTAGTAAGAGATGGGTGCGGTTCTCCGGGCGGTGGATAGTAGTTTGGATAATGAGATAGCGGTGATCGAGGAGAATAGTCATATGTATGGCATGGCGCCTGGTATTGACCCGCCTCGCTCATCGAGTTCGACCTAGGAGGGTGGGCTGGTGGATGCGGGGTTGCATAGTGAGGAAGCGTACCGACGTTGAAACCAGCTGACATGGAGTATGCGTGCTGGTGGTGACTGGGTGTAGGGGTATAACATGGAGAGGAGGAGGACCATAGCGCAGGGCGAGGGCCGAGACTGTGTGGCAGCAAGGTGATGATGGGCGGTTGAATAGAGACGAGGGAAAAGAGACTCTGGCCAATGCACAATGAGTGCCTTGTAGATCTCCCGTCACCAATTTACCTGGGATGTATCCTCGTTGACACCGCATAGGAGATTATGGATGGGATGGCGTATGCATTTGTGTTGGACGAGTGGAATAGAAACGTACCACTGCATACAAGAGGAGATGTGCATCCGCCGCGCTGCGAATCTTGACACTGCGCGCAGTAGCGCGTCGACGTTCGCACTGGGTCCAATGGCTATCGCGAAACATATCTCTGCAGGCGCATGTCTACTGGAGCGTTCAAATGACGTCCTTTTCCCATCCATCGTGACCATGTCTCTTGTCCAGGACGCTCGCAAGCATAACGACTGACCCCGAAAGGCGCTGCTTGACTAGAAAACACACGTTTGGTACTAAATATAGTTCATGTCTGACTCGAAAGATGTATTCGACCTCGAACATGTTAGCGAAGCAAGTCCAGAAATCGCGTGGAGACGTCGAGCGTCGAGTAGAATGAGACTACGCACTCATGATGATTGAACGAGCGATACCAAGGTCACTCCGCGTCGAATAGGGCCAGACTGCGGCTGCTAGATGACGGCCTCAAATCTCCAACGCTGGAGCGGATCGACGCCAAAGAAGTGGGAGTCGATTTTAGGTGAGCTGAGGACTCGAATGTTGATACTTTCAAGGCGAAAGAGTCGCATCGTGAGCAGCTAGCCGTAGAAGAGTCACGAAGGACGCTTCCCTAGGCACAGTTGCGGTAGAAAAGGAATCAGCCTGTATTATACTAGAATTTCTTGTACACATTGGTGCACTTCGCAGCGCAATGGACCGAGAGCCGCAGACTACAGAGTCGCGGTCGGCACGAACACTTGGTCAAACAAAGGTCAACTCGTTTTGGCCATATAATGCCAGATCCCAGCGAGTCCTCGCATGCTGGTGGACACGATTAGTACCGCTATTCTGAGATGCCATCTTATCCGAATACAAAGTCACACACCAATCAGACTCTGGCGTCTATCGAATCGAACTGCGATTGGACGATTCATATCAGCCTACTGACCGGTCATCCGGCTGGTTCGTCTGGAAACAATGAGGCTTGCTCCCGACACCTCTAACCCCTACAGCGCGTCCTAAGGCCCGTTCAGACGACACTATCGACTATTTGAACAACTCAAGAGCGCACAATGTCACAAGAGCAAGGCAAAGCACGGCCATTTCCACGAGGCCTAAATCATGTTGCCCGACTTTGGCAACGAGTGAACGATCGGACTGCTGCAAGTGAACATCCTAGAACATTGAAATCCTCTACGTCCAAAACCAAAAAGGAAGACCTTGGATTCCTGGAATTGGTATGCCCAGAGGATCCCACCGTCGAGTAAGCACATTCGGGGCACTGTAGTCGCTTCGTGCTGACCTCCCCACTCCAGTATCATAGCAATCCACGGCTTGAATGGTCACAGAGAAAAGACTTGGATGACAGACGATGGCGTTCTTTGGCTACGCCAATTCTTGCCGTCCTCATTGCCTCGTGCCCGTATCCTGACCTATGGCTACGACGCCGACACTCACAGTACGGAGTGCGTATCGACCCAGACTATGCGCCGCCACGCCGTCGGTCTGGCTCAAGCTATTTTACGGAAGCGTAAAGATGCTCCTCGAGTGAGTGGCATCCGTAAACCGGTGCCTTCTTCCCTAATCACCCTAGCGCCCCATCATCTTTGTTGCTCACGATTTGGGAGGCATCATTCTCAAATGGGTTCGTCCGAGGATGTCCACTACATTTTGACCCTGACGGTCTCATAGGCGCTTGTCATATGCAACAATGAGGACCTGGAATCAAAAGACGGCCTACGAAATATCGTGGTATCCACCCATTCCATCCTCTTCTTTGGAACCCCGCATTCCGGCGTAGAAGAAACGCTCCTTAAGAAGATCGTTCGCCTGGCAGCACCATGTATGGAATCGACAGAAGTCATTGTCAAGAACCTTCACGCTCACTCGGATGAACTCGAAAACATCCAGAGCTTGTATCTCACCGCGAGTAAAAAGATAAACAGCGTCTTCTTCTGCGAGGAATACAGCACCGGAGCCGACGAACAGCAGATACGTTTGGTAGGTGCGCTAAATCGTCTTATGGGTGGGTGCTAACTGGCTTATAGAATGTTCCGTATCACTCGGCGGTGATCGCTGGCGATCAAAACGCTATTGCGGTCGTACTCCATAGCGATCACCAGAACCTTGTCAGATTCCAGACGGAAGAGAGTGAAGATTACCAAGCAGTTGCTTACTATCTCACGGAGTGCGCTGAGAACGCCCCGATGCCGTGCAAAAAATGGTTTATGGAGAATAACTTGCGCAGTTCGTAACATACTCATCGCTGATTCTTTCCTGACCCACGAGTAGCCGTCGTGAAGGGAGGAACCATCCCTCAACCAGGTATGAACTATCTCGTGTACACGAAGGTTTACTAATATTCTCAAGACGACGCGCTTTTCGTATCTCAACTGCCGGTAGTCGCATTCGCCCCATCCTCTGTCCATACCACCTGTCTACAAGGAACTCGCCAGGCTGTCCTCGAGACAATCTCGCAATGGGCCGATGGCGATTCATCAGAAAAACCGATCTTCTGGCTATGTGATATAGCTGGCTCTGGAAAATCGACCGTCGCGATGACTGCAATGGAGAAGTGGAAGAAGCAAGGAATCTTAGGCGGCGGATTCTTCTTCTCCATGGCAAGCAGCGAAAGCTCAGACATCGAAAAGTTTTGCTCGACCATGGCGAGGGAACTCGCTCAACATATTCCGAGCTTGGGACACCGATTGCGGAGATAGTAAAGCGGAATCCTGCTCTCCTGCGAGCCTCTTTTGATCAACAGTTTCGAATGCTCATCACCGACCCACTCCAGCATCGACAGACGCAAGTAGTCCTCGTCTTAGATGCACTCGACGAATGCAAGTCTGGAGCACAGAGAAAAGAACTGGTTGAGACTCTCGCTTCTGCTGCTCAGGAGAGCAAGAATCTTCGGATATTCATCACAAGTCGACCAGACCCTGTGGTTGAAAGGGTTTTAGAACCTCTTTCGATCAAGGCCAAGTTGACAGATCGGCTCCACGATGCTAGCCACCGCGACAACATCGATGACATTGCGATATACGTCCATCGATTGCTCGGCCGGCGCCTGACGCCAGATAAGATCCAGCGACTGGTTGATAAGGCCAAGGGGCTGTTCATTTGGGCGAGCACTGCGTGTCGGATGCTCGATGATGAATCATCTGCGGTCAATACAGCGGCCATATATGATCGCCTGACGTCTATTGATCAGCCTGGAGCCATCGACGAGGTATACGACCTCGTCTTCGAGCGCATTGACCGAGCATCCAAACCAGCTATCATTGAAATGCTCGGTATGCTGCTTGCTGCGTTCGAACCACTCACCACCCATGACTTGGAAGACCTTGTTCAGCATACCAAAGGACAAGGGAGTGCCGAAGCGCTGGTACGGATTCTGGGAAGTGTACTTAAGGAGGATCCGATCACGCACTCGATACAGTTTCGTCACCCCACCTTTTTCGAATATCTTCGACGACGCTGTAGCACCGAAATTATCGGCGATTGCGACAAGAATCTTATCAACATCGCGCGTGCACATGGCCAAGCCGCATCATGGTGTCTTCACACTCTCAAATCGCGCAAGGAGGGGCTCAAGTTTAATATTTGCCAAATCGAGTCATCCTTCTATCTGAATAGGCAGATTACAGACCTTGACGCCCGGGTTGCGAAATTCATTTCGCGGAGGCTTCGCTATGCTAGTTTGCACTGGTCGTTCCATGTTGCCGCAATGGACAGTGACTGGGGCCGCAGGCTAAGGAATGAGCTGGCACGTATAGTCAAAAGTCCATTCGCACTCTATTGGATGGAGATCCTCAGCGTGACTGGAGGAGTCATGCGGGCAGTATCTGGAATGCGAGCTGCGACGCAACATAAGAGTGTGCGTGGACTATTTGAGACCTTCCGATTACTAAAGCAACAGATAGCTTGAGCAAGAGATCCGAGGTCGGATGAATGACATCAGACGGTTTTTGATGGCATTCTCTGTACCAATCCAAGACAGCGCACCACACATCTACATCTCATCTCTCCCATTCAGTCCACGGAAGTCGGTACTTCATACGGAGGGTTTAAAGGAGTATATGAATTCGTTAATTGTGACCAGAGGGCTTGAAGAAACATTTCGTGAGCTTCCCAGAACGCTGCTAGGTCACCAGGGTAGTGTCACAGCAGTTTCATTCTCACCAGATGGCACACGAATCGTCTCTGGCTCTTGGGACAGGACAATTCGACAGTGGGATGCAGAGACTGGCCAGCCATTGGGAGAGCCACTCCAAGGTCATGAATACTCGGTGAACGCTGTCGCATTCTCACCAGATGGCACACGAATCGTCTCTGGCTCAAGCGACAGCACAATTCGACAGTGGGATGCAGAGACTGGCCAGCCATTGGGAGAGCCACTCCAAGGTCATGAAGACGATGTCATGGCTGTCGCATTCTCACCAGATGGCACACGAATCGTCTCTGGCTCTTGGGACAGGACAATTCGACAGTGGGATGCAGAGACTGGCCAGCCATTGGGAGAGCCACTCCAAGGTCATGAAGACGATGTCATGGCTGTCGCATTCTCACCAGATGGCACACGAATCGTCTCTGGCTCAAGGGACAGCACAATTCGACAGTGGGATGCAGAGACTGGCCAGCCATTGGGAGAGCCACTCCAAGGTCATGAATCCTCGGTGAACGCTGTCGCATTCTCACCAGATGGCACACGAATCGTCTCTGGCTCAAGCGACAGGACAATTCGACAGTGGGATGCAGAGACTGGCCAGCCATTGGGAGAGCCACTCCAAGGTCATAAAGATGATGTCATGGCTGTCGCATTCTCACCAGATGGCACACGAATCGTCTCTGGCTCAAGGGACAGCACAATTCGACAGTGGGATGCAGAGACTGGCCAGCCATTGGGAGAGCCACTCCAAGGTCATGAATACTCGGTGAACGCTGTCGCATTCTCACCAGATGGCACACGAATCGTCTCTGGCTCAAGCGACGGCACAATTCGACAGTGGGATGCAGAGACTGGCCAGCCATTGGGAGAGCCACTCCAAGGTCATGAATCCTCGGTGAACGCTGTCGCATTCTCACCAGATGGCACACGAATCGTCTCTGGCTCAAGGGACAGGACAATTCGACAGTGGGATGCAGAGACTGGCCAGCCATTGGGAGAGCCACTCCAAGGTCATGAATACTCGGTGAACGCTGTCGCATTCTCACCAGATGGCACACGAATCGTCTCTGGCTCTTGGGACAGGACAATTCGACAGTGGGATGCAGAGACTGGCCAGCCATTGGGAGAGCCACTCCAAGGTCATGAAGACGATGTCATGGCTGTCGCATTCTCACCAGATGGCACACGAATCGTCTCTGGCTCAAGCGACAGCACAATTCGACAGTGGGATGCAGAGACTGGCCAGCCATTGGGAGAGCCACTCCAAGGTCATAAAGACGATATCATGGCTGTCGCATTCTCACCAGATGGCACAAGAATCGTCTCTGGCTCAAGCGACAGCACAATTCGACAGTGGGATGCAGAGACTGGCCAGCCATTGGGAGAGCCACTCCAAGGTCATAAAGACGATGTCATGGCTGTCGCATTCTCACCAGATGGCACACGAATCGTCTCTGGCTCAAGGGACAGGACAATTCGACAGTGGGATGCAGAGACTGGCCAGCCATTGGGAGAGCCACTCCAAGGTCATGAAGACGATGTCATGGCTGTCGCATTCTCACCAGATGGCACACGAATCGTCTCTGGCTCAAGCGACAGCACAATTCGACAGTGGGATGCAGAGACTGGCCAGCCATTGGGAGAGCCACTCCAAGGTCATGAATCCTTCGTCAACACTGTCGCGTGCTCACCAGATGGCACACAAGTTGTCTCTGGCTCCATTGGTAGGACAATTCAAATCTCGAGCTCGGACAATGGTGAGTCGATTCTGAATATCTCTTTGGTTTGTAGTGTCAGTTTGTTATGGTGACTGACCGTATCCTAAATGTAGGTAATCTATCAAATAGAATACGTTTCTCTGGCCATATCAAGTTTCTTTCCACTGATCCAGTTCTCTTTATACCCCGATTTGGTGATTGTTCTTTGCTGCCCGACGGATGGGTGCAGTCTTCTGGTCAATACCTCTTCTGGGTACCACCTAATAATCGTCATGGACTGAAGCACCCACGTCTTTTTCTGACTCTACCCACTTCAAGTCATCTTAGAGCGACCAAACTTGATTTCACTAATTTTCAGTGTGGGACATTGTGGACCAAAGTTCGAACAAGCTCATAGTTATGAGTGAATGTATCAGCCTAGGATATAAATGGTGCTATTGCCAAGTGGGGACAATAAAATTTGATTCGCCTTGACGCTCCTGCAGAGTGCCTGAGAATATGATGCAGAGATCATGGAGAGATGGGACAAGAAGCTAATCTATCTATCATAAAGCTTTCATGAGTTTAGTATAGGCCCTTATTGAGTAATCAGGCCGACAAGCCACCTGTGACCAACATTGGAACAGTTTTGGAGCCCACTGTATCTCAGATACAATGCGGCTTGGTTTGACACTCTAACGAGGGGATGATACGTTGAAGAGACCTTGATCTGCTCAAAGAGCTTGTTGGGGACAAAAGTCACTTTAGAAAGGCTCTTTGCCCTGACTTGGCACACCTTGTAGCCGACATGACTATCTGGGCACCATTAGAATGGGTAGACCGCATCATTCCCTCATTCCATCACAACCAATTAGCCAATTACATAGGAGACATACATCTCATAGTCAGTCTGAAATACAGCAGTGCTCAGCGGTGCCCTTGACAATGTTGTTTCCTTCACCGGACAGCATCCCGACGGCTGAAATGAAATCAGGTTACACTGAAACTTGTTGAAGGTTTACCCTTTGACTCTTAGCGCTCACCAAATAGACTTAGCCAATAGTAATAGCTCATGTCGTAAACGTATTTAGGGACACGGGACGATGCGGCCGGACCTTACTGGACTTGCCTCTCACCTCACACGTCCTAGAATCAACAGTTTATGAGCCTCTTGTGATCAAAAAGGATCTTCTCCACTGGAGAAGGGGACGTTGTGTTTAGCCGTGGATAGATGGTTACTTTAGTTCTGAACTCGTTACTTTCCCTAATGTTCTCTTTGCTCCCGACTTACAATCGAATCTCGTCTCAGTTCTCTCAATGGCACGCAAAGAAGGATATGATATCCGCATTAATTCGAAGCAAATGGAGTTCTACCTTGATGGTAAACTCCGAATGACAGCTCGTATTGATGACAACTGCGTTGCTTACCTCAATGGACGAGTTCTCACGTCGGAGCAGGCACATATCGCGAGTACACTCAAGCTGGACCGAGAGCTGTGGCATCGCCGCCTTGGTCACTATCACCACGACGGAGTCTGTTAGTTTATTGCCTTGTTGTCTCGTCCATGTACATAGTGGCAAGTGAGCGGCCGTAGTCAAACCTTACTGGTTTGACTACAATGCTCACTTGCCTAAGTATACTCTGTTCAACAGAGTCGACACATTAATCCGCCATAATCTGGTCGACGGACTCAAGCTGGACTCAAATGCAAAGCCAGACCCTATATGCGCCCCGTGTATTGCGGGCAAGCAAACTCGAGCACCCCATATAACGCCAGCGACTCACGCCACCACTCCATTAGACCGGGTCTTTATTGATTTAAAAGGCCCAGTTAATGTTGAGTCCATGCCACACCGTGCCAAGTACTGGATGGCCATGGTGGATGACGCATCTAATTTTGTCACGCTCTCACTCCTTCACTCGAAAGATGGAGCATTCAGAGCGTTCCAAGAGTTCCACAAGCTCGCTGAGAATCAGACGCACTAGCGCTTGGTATACTTGCGAGATGATAAAGGCGGCGAGTTCAGTGGCAAAGAGTTTGATCAGTACTGTATCTCCGCTGGTATTACAAGAGAACGCACCATCGTGGCAACACCGGAGCAGAATGGACGAGTCGAGCGAGCAAACCGATGGATAGCAGAAGGGACAATCACTAAACTTACAGAATCAAACCTTCCACCATCTTTTTGGGTCTCGCCGCACTTGCCACTGTCCATGAGTTCAACCGTGCCCGAGTTCACAATGGGAAAACCTCGTATGAACATTGGCATGGTGAACCTCCGAGCGTTGATCACCTTCGAATATTTGGATGTCTTGCCTATGTCTTCATTCCAAAATCGCAGCGTGATGCCCTTGACTCGCACACTGACAAGTGCATCTTCGTGGGGTATCCATCTGACCGCCCCGGCTGGGTGTTCTGGAACCCGCAGACACGAAATATTATACACAGAGACAGTGCTGTGTTCGATGAGAGAGTCTTTCCAGGCACTTCGCTCGCAAAGGAATCGATTCCGAACCTCTCTGACTACATCCAGCTGCCAGATCTCGAAGAAATCAACGCCTCTCCATCATCCATTCCACCTCCAAACACTCACCCTCCTTTCACGTTGCAGGGCGACCTGTACCTGCACCTATTCCTCACGAGCCTGCTCACGAGCCTGTCCCTCCACCCACACCAGAACCAGCACAATCTAAACCCGCAGCTCCACAACGCCTGAGTCGCGAACTTCGAGCACTCACTGATCATACCAATTTCGAGAAGGTCCCTACGAATCTCCCAGCTCGACGACACACAATTGCGCGGCAGCCAGGCACCTTGACTGAATCTGACTCGGACCTTGACTTAAATGAGAGCTCCGACGAGGATAATGTCCAATTAGCTGCTGAAGGAGCGTTCTTACCCTCAAATTCCATCTCTCATGTGTCAACTAAGGCTCGACGCTGGAGACCCAAGCCGAATTTCGAAGCGCCTGATCATATCCTCATTCCCATTGTTGATGGTGTCGAAGCTGCCTTAAACGCATCTACAAGCCGCGAGCCAACAACACTAGGAGAAGCTCTGAAACGCCCTGACGGCGACAAGTACGTCCAAGCGGCTACAGAAGAGGTCAGAGCTCACCTGGAAAACGGCACGTGGAAGCTTGTGCGACTCCCACAAGGCAAAAAGGCTATCGGCTCACGTTGGGTATTCAAAATCAAACGTGATGCTGACGGGTCTATTAGCAAGTACAAGGGACGCATTGTGGCCAAGGGATACGCACAGCGAGAGGGAATCGACTACACAGAGACCTTCGCACCAACAGCTCGCTTTGGTGCCCTTCGCACCATCATAGCACTTGCAGCACTTGAAGACTGAGAGCTAGAGTCAGTAGACATATCAACCGCTTTTCTCAATGGTGAGATTGATGCGGAAGTCTACATGAGAAAGCCAGAAGGAGTCGAGTTCGAGGGCTATGAAGGCACGAGCTGGGTGCTTCAACTTCTCAAGGGCCTCTATGGAATCAAACAAGGCCCTCGCATCTGATCTGTGAAACTACACACTTTCCTATCCGAAATTGGATTCAAACGCCTCGAAAGCGATCACAGTGTCTTCATCTACGAGTGTGACAACGTCAAGATTATTGTACCAGTCCACATTGATGATCTCCTGCTCGCATCAAAGTCACCAGACGCCATTCAAATCGTGAAGAATGAACTCAAGGCGCGCTTCAAAATCCGCGACCAGGGACCTACCTCATTCCTACTTGGTGTCAAACTCGAGCGTGACCGCCAATCCCGCACTATCTCTCTTTCTCAGCCAGCATACATCGAACAGATCCTTGAAACCTACGAAATGCGGGACTGTAATGGCACCGACACGCCTATGGCTGAAAGCCACTCCTCTCGACCAAGGATTTGTTGAAGGTTCACCCTTTGACTCTTAGCGTCACTAAATAGACTTAGCCAATAGTAATAGCTCATGTCGTAACTCAATGTATTTAGGGACGCGGGATGACACAGCCAGACCTTACTGGTCTTGCCTCTCACCTCACGCGTCCTAGGTTTGTTACACCATATATACTGGTCTTGCCTCTCACCTCACGCGTCCTAGTATCAACCCTCCCTGATTCTGGTGCAGTGATATCAAGGTTCCTAACGGCAGTAACAAGGTCTTCAAGACTGCTGTCGTTCCTAGCATCTCCATGGGTGTTAGACTGTCCTAGAGACTCCTTTGATTGTGGAAAATTCCAGACGTGCTTGTAGCACTCCTCCATACCGGAACCAGTATGGGCAGTAACTATAAGAGATACTCGAGTCGGGTCGTCTTGCTTGTCTATATCGAGGTCATGATCGATAATGAACTCGATGTCGGCCCATTTAGCCCGATTTGCCCCAAGTATCAATCCAAGTACAGAGTGGGTATATAGAACAATGATGTTTGTTTGTATTTACTTACCAGGAATGCAGAAGTTTTGATCCGATGGCTCAAGTGCATCGGCAAATTCATTGAACGGGGCTTCTTCATCCTTTTCATGACTTGTATACTCGCCGTTGATATATATACCAGACCTGTACTTTGACAGTCATGAATGTCGTAATCTTCAATCATCCAGCTCTGAATACCTCGCTCAAAGCGGTCCTAGAGGTCGGCTACATGGTCGGTTGGAGTTGAGAGAATCCACCTTTATGGTATCAAGACATATCGCATTAGACATAGGGTGAAAGCACTAGCAGTGGCATACAGGGTATTAGGCAGAAAAAAGCGTAAGAGGACACGGCTTTGAGAGAATTACTAGTCCATGATTGTTCATCACTAGGTACGAAAGTCCGTGTCAAGTCACAAGAACACTGAGAGGGTGTGTTACCACGCTGCATAAGCGTGTCCGATGAGCTCACCAATATCAGTCGTTTGATTCTACAGTCTCTCCTTCCCCAGTCTGCCCAGACGCCGTAGCCACCGGCGTGGTCGTTCCAGTGGCTACACGACTGAGCAACTCGAGCACTCGTTCGTCATGCGGGTCACGTTGATGATGCGTCGACGGTGTAAGTGGTCCCAATTTGGAACTGACACCAGCGCCCGTTACGCTTGTTGCACTCGTTTGACTTGTCACGCTTCCACCGGTCATGTTCATATCTAGTTTTGCCGGTATAGATGGTGGTGGGACACGGGCGCTAGCAAGTTGTCCGGTTGACGACGTCGAGCCATCTGCTGGCGTTGCGTCAATGAGACGTCTATAGGCTGCAACTGGACTCACGACTCGCGCCGGTGACGTTTGCGATATCGGTTCCAGAGGAAGAACGGAAATGCGTAAACGGAGGCGAGCCGTCTGGATTGGCGAGTGGTTCGAGTTGTGGTTGGAAATGACCACCCGTGGTTGGCTGAGGTGGTGTCTCGTTTTCCGAGGTTGTCGAATGCCGGAATTGCGTTCTTCCTTCTGATATAGGGTATGCGCTCTGGGTTTGTACAGCACCCGGTGTGGGTTCTGTCGACCATTGGCCTGGCCCCGAGGGGTCGTGCTCATACGTATACTGCGGTCCAACAGGTTGCGTGCCCGCGGGACGAGGAAGATATGTGTTGCCTGTGCGAAAAGTCAGTTGTCGTCTACTGATGACGAGGGTCGCTGTGACGTACCCGGTATGGAAGATGGGCGTGATTGTTGGCCTGGTTCGACAGGAGGTGGATGAAACGGATCAAAGTGGCCACTCGATTGGGCTAGATGCTGGCGAGGACCAGGGTGGTTGACGGGACGGCCATAGGGAGAAAAGTGCGAACTTCTCGCGTCCACGGAGCCTCGACTTTCTTCATCCGATCTCCGCAGTTTTCGTCCCGTGCGTACAACACCACTAGGCGGACTCCGGACTGGATTTGGCGATCCATAGGCATCTACCGAACCCGAGGCAGAGTCATAGGTCGCATAATACGCATTTGGCGGAGCAGAGTGGGCAGAAGCTGGGACAGCGTAGCGATGGTCGGGACTTTGGGCTGGCGGGGTCGGTAATTGCTGCGTCGGTGCGTCGGCTTGAGCTGGGGTAAGGGGAGGTGGTTGGTACGCGAATGGATGGTCATACGTCTGGGGAGCAGGGGGTAACGGGTACGACATTCGACGGGCCATGTGCATCTCCGAGGGGCTATCGGGCTGAGTCATGGCTGGTTCACGGTAATAAGGCGGATGATGGGCAGGCGGAGGATGAGGAGGATAGGGAAACGGTGGCGGCCCGTTGTACGATTGCGAACGAGAGTGGTAGCCATAGTATGGTTCTCCTGGATAGTAATTTGGATATTGGGCTGGTGGACGAGAATAGTCATAGGTATGGTACTGTGCAGGGTATTGTTCGCTCATCGAATTTGATCTGGGCGGAGGATGGGGATGTGCGTAGTGGGGAAGTGTATCTACATTGTAACCAACCGACATGGATCGTGCGTGTTGATGGTGTGGCGCGTGGGTATAGGCGTGTGGACCATAGCGCAAGGGCCCTGGAGACTGCGTGGCAGCTGTTGGGTGATGTACGGTTCGAGACTGCGGAATTCCATAGGTAGCTTCTGTCGAAGGCGTAAAGGGGCCCTGGGAAGAGGAGGATGCTCCGTCTTGCCAATTGTCGGAGGCCGTCCGCACGATGGGCGCTCGCGAAGTCGACGGAGATGCGACTGGAGGGACAGAAGAGGCGCCGCCGGGTTTTTTGCCTACACGTGCCTTTTTGAAAAGACCGTCTGGAGGGGCGGAGAGGTCGTGTAACTCGGGGATGGCCATCACGTCGGCCAATCTATCGACAGTCTGGACGGAGTGATAGGCAGCTATCAGGAAATGAATGACACGTTGGCGACACAGGGCCACAGCCCATGTACGCACTCAAATGCCACTTGCGTGCCGGTTCCGTCGGTGGCTTGCCCTCGAGGATTTGAGGGTAATAATGGACACTGTACGTCTGTTTGATAAGCTTTGCTCCGTGTTTCCCGGCTTGGGAACGGTAGGGGCCATGACTACTGTGGGCGAGTACAGGGGGCGGCGAGATTCTATGAGACTGTTAGATTTGCAACCCGAAAAGATTCTCTCACGCACAGAGACTCTTTGTCATTTGGATCCTTTTCCTGGTAAAACAAAAAGTCGTCGCGCACGCGGGAAGGACCCCATTTGAGACCGTCTGTCCACCGTTCGATACCCGAGACGACATTGGGAGAAGCACCTAGAAGATTGTAAATGAGCACAAAAGCCCGTGGGCAAGACGGAGGAAAGTCACCTGGCTCGGGGGCGCTTTGCCCGTCGTCGACGGATGTCTGGGAGGTCGAGGCAGCAGAACGTTCCTCCCAGACGAACACTGCACCAGAGACGACCTCTTGCCGCTCCGTGGCATCGAGACGGCGTTGGATCATAGGGAGGCGGCCGAGATGCTAAAAGACAAAAAAGCAACATTAGCTACGCGCTGAATGAAGAGGGAATTAGAAAGAGACTCTGGCCAATGCAGACGAGTGCCCTGTAGATCTGGATCGCCAATCGAGCATGGACTTTTGGTTCAAACGAGACGAATATTGGGGATAGGGGGGATAGGGGGATAGGGGGGTCATCACGTCAAGGACAATGACCACGTACTACTGCATAAAACAAGAGATGCGCATCCGCCGCGCTGCGAATCTTGACGCCGCGCGCGGTCGGGACTTGGGGCATCGCACAAGGCGGAACTGCGCAAAGCGCTAAGGATCAAGGTCGTCGGAGCGCGGTCCAAGATGTGAACGACGTGCGCGACGTGCCAACGATGGAGAAATCCCAAATTCGATTTTTTTTATCTCCAGCCCTCTCCCCCGCGCGGCTGGGTTATCAGCACAAAAAGGACCTAGACTAACCCCCCCGCACGCGCGCCATAGTTGCCGAGGGACCAAGGAACAAAGCAACCAGCCAGTTTGACACAAAGTCCGGTCGCGGCGCGGGTGGGGGTCGAATGCGATCATTCAGATAAATTTGCAAATATCACCAAATAACAAACACAAACGGACCCACTGTCCTGGATTCGAACCCGGTTCTTCGGATTACACGCGTTCGAGCCCTTGGTTGTGTCTCTCGGAGCAACGGAGATGATGGGGGGTCGAAAGCGCACCGCCGCAGAGATGGGCCAGTTAAGCTTGATCCTCAATTACTGCGCTAGACGCCACTCACAGCGATAAAAACGAATGCGCCTATATACCAAGCCAAAAAATCGTAGACGCGCCGAATACACGCGGCACATCGCGGGCGCTATTCGGGATCCTAACCGACTTGCAAAACAATTACATCACTCTTGCTGATCGTCTCGGTTCAACAAAACGCGGCCTGCCATCCAGCTGCGACCTCACGGCGCGGTCAGATGAGCCCGCGTCCAGTCCCTGCGCGGATCCGACAATCTGGTTACAATCTACATCTTTGGTAATCCATTGGCCTTTGCTGGTTGCTGGCACTCACCCAGATCACAAAAGGCTGGGGTGGAGAGAGTCTGATAGCTTCCTGGGTAACGACCCGTCCTTTTTATACGAGATTAAACACCTCTTCTCACCGATCAGAGTAGGTCCATGTACCTTTGATGCGGCCAAACCAGAACCGTCATTCCCCCGAGTTTGAAATGGTCGACTCGGAGAGCTGCATTGAGAGTCTCAAAATTAGATTCAACCAGTCAAACAAAGGTGCTACAATCAAAGTCTCTACTCCTTTTTCGTCCTCTTGTTCGTCCTCCCGGAACTCTCGGGCGGTGGTACGCTATCTCTCCCTCTCGACCGTTTTCGCGCCGTAGATGAACCTGCGATAGTCTGTAAAAGTAGAGGGTTGATGGCCAACGCGACCTGAGCGCCATCTATCGTACCAAGCGTCTTCCTCCTCGCAGACCTTCGCAGAGGTATCGGCGCCTTTCTTATACCCATATTCGATGTAGATTCGTCTTGCATCTGCAACTCGACATCCGGCGACGACTGCCGCGCTCGTGAACTCTGACGAGCAATTGGAACGACCGGCGCCACGGCAATCGTCTCTTCTTCGTCTTCAGCGAGCCCCGTGCCACCTCCTTCGTCATCTGCATCGCAGTCGGATACCTCTTCCTTTTTGCGAGGCGGTAGCGAACGTGCACGCCGACGAGTCGCAGGCCGTCGAGACGTCGTAACCGACTTTTTCTTGAGTTTCCCAACCCCACTTCCTTCATCAATCTCCATTCCTACTCTGCTCTCTTCTGGACAAAAGGGCGTGCTCGAGCTCTGTCGCGAGGGTGAATTGGTAGAAGGCATAGATAGTGTCGAAACATCCTCAGTAGAGATTCTCATTCGTTCCAGCGTATCGCTAAGTTGAGTCGGTAAAGTCAACGTTCGCGGTAAGCCTCTGCCACGTCCCGAGCCCAAACGTGCGCCTGATGTACCCGGTTGATTGTCGATGTGCTTCGATGACGCAATACTGGCAATTCGATTAGATGTACGACGAGGAGAGATAGCATTGTCGGCAGTCGCGGTGTCAACGTAGTTTGTCTGCGCACCGAGCCCGGGGTCGATGAGCAATAGTGGTTGGTTTCCAGGACTTGGAGTTCCAAATGCCGATTCAGAGACGGATTGGGCTCTGTTTGCTCGCAACGCGTCGTTTGTCGTCACAGTCTTTCGCCGTACCTTGCGCCTAGAGTAGAGGATCGTCAGTCTCGTTACTGACAAGTTGAAGAGAACACGTATGATTGGAATAGAGTCTATTCAGACGACGAAAACGCAGAGTGACAGACCTGGTGTTTAGCGTGAACATGGCGTCGTGCTGAGTATCCTCGTCGCCGCTTGTAGAACTCGGAGCATTGTGAGGTAACCTTGAAGGGAAATCGTCGGTCGTATCCATGCGGCGCGACATGTTCGACGGCTCAAATCGTAAATATCAACGCTAGCAAACGTTGTAGCCGATCCACATTGACGTGAATCAGCTCCGTATTCTCTTTCTAGTCTTAATTTCCCGATTCGACTTGAAGACGGCGACGAACAAGATGTCGAGATTCTCGGCTGGAGCGAGGTCAGGTCCAAGTGGCGTGAGCGACAACCACCACGAGATGGGATGCCAAAGCCGAGTATAAGCCCCTACGAGTATCTAGATTCCCACTCTTGGAGACAAACAACTGCGGTTCCCCATATGCCGCGTGCACACTGACACTGGCGGCTTGAATTCATCCCTCCAATATTCAAGCGATACCTTCCTGATATCTTGATAGAACTATCCAGTGGATCGAGGAGTATCTCGAGGTCTGGTCTCCCGGAACGGAAGCAACAACGGCGAGCACCAAGTGAATAGAGTACATGTTCAAGTCGTTCTGGTTGTGTATTCTCGTAGTTACTACCACTACTTCAATTGTAAAGAAGCAATTCGAATAGGACCAGAGCCGCGCATCTAGACAGCTAGACCAAAATTCAAACTTGATGCTCCTTCAGCATGGTTGCCCCAGCCAAACCAGGCTTATGCTGTCAACCTTCTGGATGTTGGCATCTTTGAATAGAGGAGAAATTTGGCACTCACATGATCTAGTATGACGGAGCTAGCTGTAAGATAAAGATTGGCCGTAGGACCCTTACGTAGAACTCGAACAGATTGATCGTGTATGATAAACGATACTCCATCAGAAGTTTCGTCCGAAGAAAAGGTGTTCGCGAAAAAACGGTCCTCGAGCTTTCCCTTTACTACACGAAGTAACCTCCCGTGGGCGGCTGGAGCCATATTTGGATTAAAGTCGAGCATTACCATTCGGGAGAACCCGCGCCTCTTCTCCGCTCGAGCAGGATACGGCGACAGTATTTGCTCGGGCAGCGAAACGAGGATCCTAGAGCCACTGATGGCATCGTTCAAGGGTCCTCTATGGCATGCTGGTAGTATACGTGCGCAAGTTGGGCCCCATTCGGACCAGTCAAACCGGCTCTTGTCCGTCCCCGAGGCGAGACGAAGGAAGGTATTATATTTGATGATAACCTGCGCGGCGTTTCTCTGTACTGTTCGCCCGAGACAAATGTTGAGGGCGCATATATCGTGTTCTCCAGTTGATGATAAAATTCCAGTGGTCACTTGTTCGTTTTGTATCAGCCAAGTTAGACCTGACGCGACAATCGGGCGAGGAAGGTGGAAGTGGATAGGGTGATGAGGTTTGTGCAAGTCTATCACTGTTATAGTTATCTTTGAATCCTCGATAGATGCCAGTAGCAAGTATTTCTCAGCCAATAACGTGGGGCAGGGGGAGGATTCGTCGACTTCTATGTTCATCTCCTATCAAAAGTGAGCACATTTGTAGATACGAGTGCAACTCGCACCTTGATAATGTTTCCCGTCTGCCAGTTCATAACACGCAATATGGGTATCGGAGTTTCACCGTTATCTATAAACATCAGAGTCGAACCAGATACCTTGTGATTCCAAGTATTCGTCATAGAAAGCTTGAGAGCGCCTGGAATCGGGAGGAGAGTATCCAGGGTAAGAAAGAGTAGTTCTGGGTTTCTAACAAACCGTGAGAATCGGTGCAGGACTAGACCTTGAAACCTACGTAGAATCATACTCGGTCGCTCCTACCACGAGGACATTGGCACTTGTATCCACGAAGATAATAAACTTGATAGTAAATCCAACCGATTCCACTACCTTCCAGTCCGCGGTAGCTGTTTGAGCAAAGTCGGAAATGGAGAGCGAGTAGACCCCCTCGGTAGTTGTAATAAAGATATGATCGTCAAAGACGAAAAACCTTCTAACCACGTCCATGTCCAATGGCAGACTGATAGCCACAGGTTTCGGGAGGTCTATGAGGTTTCTTCGCCATGCCCAATGCTTTACTAGCATATCCGGCACAGAGGACAGGCTATTGACGTCGCACGCCAGCAAGTAGCCCGACCTTGCGAGCTCTATGACTAGTTGCGCTCGCTTCGAGGCGTCGACTAACGAGCGAATGCTGCGACAAATCTTTCAAGTCGTTAGGCAGGGCCGAGACGACCAAGTGATTCGTACCTGCCGCGCTTTTACCAGTTCTAGTGGGTACATGTAACATAGAATCTCATGTTGGATTTCCTCGGGCAATCTCTGCCAGGTCATGCTCTGGCTACACAGGCGCCGAGTTCAAGTTTTGTTGTCACCGTTGACCGGTGCCACCTTCATAACTGTAGCAGAAAAGAGGAGTGGTATGAGAGTACACTCCCTCGATATCGTCGATATACGAAGCGCGCTTCTAATAATACGTTTAGCACCTGGGGTTGAGGGAAAGTACTTAGTGTAAGGTAATCGTACTGCCGTTCAAGACCAAATTATGCCGGCTGGATGGATGCTGCTGTAAATATTGGCACTTTCTGCCGAACTCTGTATATGATTGGGTTGAAAGTTGGATACACGACTTACACGACTTCAGGGAGGATTCTGATTGAGTCGTCGAATAGCATGTATTAGTATTATCAAGTCAAGAAATACTGTCCATCATTAACAAGGCATTGGACGTTACCAAAGAGCCGAGGCTGGTGGGGGATGCACCTTCCTGATGGCGCGAGATATGCAAAAATACTTCAACACGGTTCTCCCAACCAGAAGACGTCCAGGTGATCAACCTCCCGGGATTAAGTAGGTTGTTTTCACAGAAAGAAATTTACACTCACTTTGTCTACGACAATGGATGAACATGCAAGAAGAATATCTGCCGTGGGCTGCTCAGGTAATACTCCCAGGGGTTGGTCGAGTACGGTGAATGGCACTCCCTCCAAGGCTTCTTCCGGAAACAGGAAGACCTCTGAGAACAGTCGGTCATAGAGTTTCCCTTTTATCACATGAAATGATCTCCCAGAACAGCGGGAAGTCATGCTCGGATTAAATTCGAGCGTCGCAACCCGTCGAGGGGACTTAGTCCTGTGCCCTCGACGAGTAGTGGGCGGTGAGACAATACGGTCTGATAAGTAAAGGTGAACTCGTGAGCAGAAGAGGGCACCTTCCAGGGCTGCTTCTTGATATGCTGGAAGAAAACGCGCGCACGTTGGCCCCCATTCAGACCAGCTGAGGTGGCTTTTGCCCGTTTCAGCAGCAAAGTGGAAGAGCTTGTTGTACTTGAGCACAAGTGTAATCTCTTGACTGGCTATGCCCTTCAATTTTGGCTCCAGAGAGATAATGAGGACGCAGATATCGTGAATTTCAGTCGAGGAGAGGATGCCAGCCCCGAATTGATTATCCTGCGTCAACCAAGAGAAGCTCGACACTGAAAAGAACCGACCAAGGCGCGGAAGATGGAAGGAGACAGAAGTCTCGGGGTTGTACAGATTGGTCACTGAGATGATCATCTCTGACCGTTCAACAAATGACAACAGTAAGTAGTGCCCGGCCAGTAAGGCCGGACAATAAGACGCTTGGTACATATTCCCCAGGTCCATCTCCTACAACAAATGAGCGAGTCTATAGACGCAACAGCACCTCTCACCTTGATGATATCCCCTTTCTGCCAGTTCATAGCTCGTAGCATGTAGCCTTCAGTATCGTCGACAAAGATAAGCGTCGACCCGGAAACTCCAATGTTGTAAATTTTCTCCATCGAAAGTCGTGGAGTGCCTGGGATTTGGGAGAGTGTATCCAAACTAAGAAAGAGGAGTTCTTGGTTCCTTGAAACCCCTGAGATTTCGTCCGGGAGCCAAGTCGAACACATACATGGAATTGTCCAGGGTCATTCCTACCACGAGGACATTTGTCGCAAGGTGGGCGAAAATAACATCATTGATGGTAAACCCGTCCACTTTTATCAACTTCCATTCTGCGGAGCCCGATTTAGCGAGCTTGCGAATGGAGAGCGAATATAATTCGTCCAAAGCTTTCACGAAGATGCAATCGTCGAAGACGAACAGCCTTTCGACTGCGTCCGGACTAGATGGAAAGTCGATACGCTTCGGATCTGGAAGACGTATGACATTTTCTCGCCATGCCAGATGTCTTTTCAAGACGTCTGCCACCGGGGAAAGACGATTTATGTCGCCTGCCAGTGAAAAACCTGACCTCCAGAGCTCAATAATCAGCTGTGTTCGCTTTGAGGAGTCGATCAGCGACTGAGTATTGCGGTCAATCTGTCTGGTTGTGAGAACACGACTGAGACGAGAAATGAGGCGCACCTCCCGCGCTTCCACCAGTTGTGGCGGGTCCAAGTAACAGAGAATCTCGTGCTGAATGTCCTCGGGCAATCTCTGCCAGCTCATAATTTGGTCACGCACGCCGAGTTCAAGTTTGGTTCGCCACCGTTGACCACTGCCCGCCTAGAGAAGCGTGGAAGAAGCGAAGAGATGAACGACATAGGATGCACTCTATGGACATGCTCATCCATTCTCATCAACCGCGGACGGGGCTCCCAGTCGCAACTTGAACCCAACCTTGATGCCGACGTCGCGCATAAAGGTCACTTACTCTGCGCCAACAAACTTTCTCGCATCAGATCAGTGGATTCAGATAAGAACTGCACTCGACAATCATCTGCCGCTCAGAAACTCGAATGGAGGAACAACGATGGCGTCGTCCGAACGATTCCTGAAATGGAAGTCGATCTATTGTCCTTGGAGTCGCTGAGAGACGAGGGATCCTCACAGATTCCGTCGAGTTTACTCGACCGCCCGCTCATGAACATGTATTTCTTTGCCTGCGAGGTATCCTGGATAATCCGTGATGTAATTAAAACTCAACGCGTCCAGGACAATGAGACTTATCGAACTACCTTCAAGAAACTGGTCAAGGACTGGCAAGCTACCATCTCGTCAAAGCGTAATCAAGAATGGCTCGTCGTCTTGGTCGTTCGACCCGACTCTAGAGTAACAGGGACATCCCGCATCTTTTCTATGCGTGCTCCTGTGCTCGACAAGGTCAAGGCGGACATCAATCTGGACAAACGAAGGGATCGATGCGTCGAACTTGCGTGGCCTGCTAGCACAGACGATGTGACAGCATGGTCCGACTTTATTACTAAAATGAAGGAAGGCCTTTTGGCAAGCTTTGACGCGGCAGTCACCTCAAGGCAGGAGGAGATTGCCAAATCCGAGTCGCAGCGAACTCTTCCAGGTTGGAACTTCTGCACATATTTCATTTTGAAGGTGATTCGTCTCTGTTTGGGTTGGGATGGAAGTTCTGACCATACTCAAGGAAAGCTTGGCCATTTCCTACGAGGGCGTTGGTCTCCTGGAGGACGCACTGCAGCAGTATCGCGAGCTCGAGGCGTCATTCTTTCAAGCACTCGATGGTAGGTCCTATGAAATTCACTAAAACGCCCCCTGATTCTGTCCTAGAGAAGAATCTTCCATGGTTTGGCAATGTTGGTGGCACGACTGCTGGAGATGATTCGCGACCACTACTAGATGTGCTCCAAAAGCCGTACCGGGAACTTATTCTCAACAACACAGTCACTCTTTTCGACTTTCGCATCTACCTGTTTGCGTGTCAGATGATTATTCTCGCAAAGCAAGAGCGAGTCTTGGAAGTCATTACACGTAGCCATCAGTTTATCATTTCATTCTCGCGAAGTTTGAGGGAGAACGAGGTTAGCATGTCTATCCTTGAAACGAAATCACACTAATGACGTTCAGCGGTCCCTTACCGTGTTCTTTCTGGAATCGTGGATATACTCCGCTTCTCTCAGCATCATCGACCAATGCGACCAAGCTTATTCTAGATTCACAAAGTTGCATGAAGATGCAACGTTTACGGCCAGTTATGCCGCGAAGCGAGCAGAGTTGGCAGAGTTGGCGAGAAATCAAGTGAGAGGTCCGCCTATATCCCCACATCTCTAAACAATCATAGCTCGACAAAATCGGTATTCATCTTGGGTTTCTACCAAACGCTCCGCCTTTTTCGCTCTCCTGGCATTCTTCTACAGAAAGGATTGAGCCGAGGTTTGCCAAAGGAGAAAGTATGAGTAGCAAGATTTCGAATTCCGACCTTGTCGGCTGTCTTCGTGACCAATCAGCATTCGATACTCTCTACGTTGCCATCACCCAGCGCGCAATTGAGTACTATGCAGATGGTCGTCGACGAAAGTTCGCCCTCAAACTTCATGGCGATTTGGCCGCTCTAGATCAGTACGTACAGTACTACATTGCTTTATTCCGTATAAAAGACGCCGTTTTAGGTGCCGTGGCCAAATACAAACCGCGTATCAGACGTTTTCTTCTCTACCCGCCCATTATTCAACGTCAAAGCACAGGTGGCCACCTCTGGAAGCCTTTATGCTCGCTCGCGCTTTAGACTCTCACACCCGCCTGGAGAATGAGAAAGATGGTGCTTGGCTTGATACTGCCATCGCTTTTCTGGGAGTATGCGCCGAGGTCGAACATATTGGTGGACAGTATGGTACACAAGACGATGTGGATATTGTACTGGCGGGATACGAACCAGAGACACCAATCACACGTTCATCAGATGAAAGAAAGGAGTACTTCCTCTCGTTGTTTGCCAACATTCGACGGGTCGCTGACAAGTCAAATTCGGGTACGTGGCCCCGAACCGACGAGTTTTCCTCATCATATAATACTAGAGATCCTCAAGTACAACCACCCGTCGTTTTTAGTCACTGTGACGAATGGAAATGCCGAGTTGTCAAAAGACCAAGATGGCTCGACCCTGTCGATCTCGATTAGTAACTTTCTTCCATGCGTCTGTGCGATCATCTGTTCTATGCTATATCTGACCTCGTTCCAGAATGTGGAATTCGACCGAGTCGAGCTTCAACTCGCCGGGGAAGGAGACGAGACTCTAATCTATGTAACCGGTGCTGTAGTTTGTTATCCTGGAACCACGTCGACGAGTCTCTTCTGCGGGGTATCTATCCATTTTCACACCCAAATTTCGCTTACCCTACGATAGGACTCTCATCAAGGCGTTTTCAATGTTGCCTCGGCCTCTCTGTGGCTTTCTAAAGTGCACTTCGAATGGAAACCATCTGCTTCGGAATCTAAGGCTCCGATGACGCCTCAGGTCGTTACTCCTCAATCTGCTCAAGGGCTCCTCAATTTCCCTCTACGTTGCACGGTCAACTGGTCCGTGTTCCCCTGGATAAGGAGTCCCTGGACATCAAAATTTCTCTTCCGCGCTCCAGTACGTTGGCTCCAGGCGTTACCTACGCACACTCACAATTCTCGAGTTCAATGGGATGCCGAGCCGGCCGTGATGCTCGAGCTTCATACAGGACGTAACGTGGTTCAAGATGCCACCATCGATATATCCAGTCCACAAGGAGTGGTATTCAGACCAGCCGAGGCAACGCTCTTAGAGGACTCGATGGGATCGGAAAGTAAGCACGCATTTAGGCACCCAAGACTTGACAAACACATCGATTTCAGGTTCAGCTGCATTTTCGTTTTCTCCGAGTGGGATGATTGTCAGAAACTTGAAATCACGACAAACTATTTCCTTTACAATACCACATTCATCTCCGCCGGCGGGTGTACCTTTGCACGTTGCCATCAAAGTTTCCTATCAAGTTGTCGACATCATTTCCGCCGAACCACAATCTCGGCGAACCTTGAGGTTGTCCCAAAAGGTGCAAACCTCTCTTCCACTTCAAGTCAGCGTCATGGACTCTTTCCGTGGCAAAACGTGAGCTCTTTATTGCAGGGGATCATTCTACTTAATCGTATGATCCAGGCTGATATCCAAGTTCACGATTTCTTCTACTTCCCATCTCCAAGTTCGTGTGCTGGAGACAAAACTGGAAGGTGGAACGGGTTTGCGAATTAGATGCCCGAAACGAACTAGCAAGCAGCCGTCACTGGTATGTTATTGCCGATGGTTATTATCTACTTTGCTTACCCGCTGGGAGATTATCACTGCCCAGCGACCAATTCATGCAATCTACCAACTGACGTCTGAAGAGCCTCGCTATGGTTTGTCTTTGCTCAGCGTGAAGCCCAAACTAAATAGATCCAGAGCGGGAGACCTTGTACCTCCACGTTACCTACCGAACACTAAAAGAAGGTACGCCTAAGTCTCATTTCCTACTCCTTTACATGATGCTAACTAGTTTAGAAATTGAGAGGCGCCTCGACGACGAGGTAGCCTCTGTCTTTGGGGAAGACGACATAAATGGGCAACTAGCCAAGTCGTTCCTCATCGCAGCTCTTGCTGCGAATGCAAGCTGGGTTCAACTGTACCTTCATTCGGGAGAATTAGCTCTGTCTGCGCCAGCAGACGATAAACTGGGTTCCGACTTTCGGCGAGGTTTGAACGAGGTACTCGAGGTCAGTCATGTAATACGTCGTCATCGCATCCTGACTGGCATGCAGCGTCTCAAAGTGCCGAGAGCGATCGATGGTGTTGAAGAGACGGTGAAAGGGTGGCAGCACCTGATTATTCCAGTCGATCTGCCCTTTATGCATGTACGTGTCGGTCAGCGCATGCTTAAATACTCACTCGAGAGTGCAGATCCTATGTGCGATACAGATCCATATCAACGCGGATTTAGATCTCATCTACGCCGGTCAACCGGTGGGGGTGAGGATAGAGATTACAACATCGTTTCACTGGGGATCAATACGTCATAATGAGTCGGAGGATATCGTCGAGTTCTCGATGAGATACTCCGTGCAAGAGCTTGTGACGGACTGGTTGGTGAGCGGGCACAAGCAAGGAGATTTTCTCGCAGTGGTACGCTATTCCACGCATTTATACACCCACTCATTTGAACCTCGTAGAATGATGGCTCTCATTCTGTCGACCTTACACTTGTTCCGCTCCATCATGGCGAGTTGGCTTTGCCAACAATCTCGGTCCTACCACTGGCTATAGATGGCCAGAGCAAGGCTGGCCAGCTTCCTTCGACGGAGACTTACCATGTACACGCCGCTCAACGGATCATGGTACTCCCTCGAGGGGGACGCAGCACCTTTGTAGTTGGGATGGGTGGTGATATGTAGGTTCGAAACCAGATCAAGCAGTAAATGTATAGATACCAAAATTCTGTCTGGGTATCCTGCTCTGTCATAGCGTAGTTCATCTCTAACCGTTCCAATCTCCGCACTAGGGTTTTCACCTAGTCAAACATTGGTGGGTCCACGAGAGCCGATCATTAGACTCGTTTGTGGCCAGGCCCTCTTACGGTCCTCTCGCATCTTCAGTAAAGTCGGCCCATCTAACAGAGGGACCTCGAATTTTACGCCCTCCAGTGGATCTCGCCAGCTCATGGTCAGATCAGAATTGAGTTGCAATTTTCAACGACGTAGTAACTGCAAACAGACATCACTCTGTAAGTATGATAGACAACTCTAAGTGTACAAGGTAATGAGACTCTCTCATAGTTGTGGGTGTTGAGAAAACCAAACTCTTCCCGAAGATTGCATAGTATCTCGGCTTTCTCGCGCTCCATAGTAGGGAGCACCAGTCGCGCCTCCCGCATTCGCGTCCGCTGGAAACTGAATATGCGCACCCGAAATCCAGGGCGATGCCGGTGCATTGGCAAAGGCGACGGGTGGCGTGACATGATGTGTTGCAAACTCTGCCGCTGTAGGAAAAGCGTGATTGCTCGAGTTTTGAAGAATTGAAGTCAACGCGATGTTCTCGGTTGACGGAATATGAACAAACGGCACTGGACGCGGTCCCAGCTGCCTAGATCGTCGTTTCTGGTAGCATTTCCAAAGGAGAAACACCAAAGAAACGACAATAAAGAGGCCAATAATGCCGCTGGCGATGCTGCCGCCAACGATTGCCGCCCTATTGTGGCCATCTGCTGGATATGTAGCCAGAGACGGTGTGGAACCTCCAGCAATAGTACTGGAAGATAATCCGAATGGCGGAACAAGACTAAGCGTGGTCGAAAGAGCGTTACTCGCAGAGGAGAATGGTGGGATGGTGGAAGGCGGGTTATTTGTAGGACTTGTGGCAATGGGAGTTAACAGAAGAGAGGATGTGAAGACGTATGCTGTCACGTTTGTACCGTCTGCAGTGATTGGACCAACCCAGGGGGCCGCGAGCGCCAGCAGAAAGCTCGATCCTTCATCGAGTTTGAGGCGCCCCTGACGTTGTATACTTGTGATTCCTGGTGAAATATGAGATCTCGCTCGAAATATGACTGGCAGTACTAACCATCACGGCAAAGAGACACCTCTTGTCTAGTTAAGTCGAGCCCAATAAACACCGCAATGGATTTATTGACGTTAAAATCGGTATAACAAGCTGAGAGTGACCATTCACTGATCGTTCTTGCGTCAGAACTGCGTTTGTAGTGAAACAGAAGGAAGACCTTACTATGCCAAAGAGGCTTGAGGTTTACTCCACGGTGTATCAACTAGCAATCTACTTCCTAAGTATCCACCAAATGCCACAAGATCATTGGCGTAGTTTGCAAGTTGCTGATGGACTAGAAAGCTACCTGCAGACAGTCAGTGAACGTCGATGCAGGAGACTTACTCACAGTATTTCGAATCTTCCACGTCACACCCCCAAGGTCCACCGTGCTCGTGGTCGTCATTGCGAGCATCAGCGAATCGAGAGTACGGAAACTGCGCAAACGTCGAAGCGTGACCGATGCTCATGATATATACATAGAAGAGGCAAGGAAATGACAAGTTGTGGGTCTAATGACCAACAAAAGAGCATTGCAGGAGACGATTTTGAACCTGTGAGTGGTACATGTGGGGCTCGCGAACATTGTTAGAGGGCGAGCACGTCCGGCGAACAATGCGGGCTTTCGTCACAAGAACGGACGTCTATTCGGGATCAGCGAGAGAGGATGTCGACCTTGCTCCGCGTGGACTGAACGCATGAACGCGCACGCCCACACAAATGGTGTAGGAAACCGAAGACATGTGTACCAATCATGTCTATCGAATTCTATTAGAGACACAGTTTGGAGTTGTTCCACCCGAAATGGGTCCAAGTCGCCTTGAGCTCGCCGCCGCTATCCTTCGACCTCGCCGCGTTGGCACTCAATAACAGTTTCCCGTCAGAAGCTGCTGATCGATTGAATAGTGCGCACAGAGTACATAACAGGTTGCGCTTGCATCTCAAGACGCCAAGTAGATAGTGCCGTCGGGTCGAAACTAGTAACTGCGGGTCTGACTGATAAGTACGCTGGAGAGAGATACCTTTGATGACTAACCATAGCCTCCATGGTCTCCTCGGGCTCACCATGCATCTTTATTGGGTTCCAGGAACCCACCGCACTCTCGCGTACATCGTGGCCCTGATTCCAGTTGGCAACGCTCGGGAAAACCCAAGACAAAGGATACTATTTATCCTCATGGCATCAAAGTCGCAAGGATCCTCATACAGGTGACTTTTGGTCTTTGCCTCGTCAGAGCGGCGCGCCGTCCTATGGGTGTTAGCAGTACCGGAGCTCTCCGGACACTCTCAGGTCTTCTAAACGTAAACCGAAAGAGGGATCCCGGAACTACCCTGTCAAGGGTTCTCACAGGCGTCTCCCTACGCCGAACAAACCGCAAAGTCGACCCGTCGTTTGCCTGTCGGCCGCCTTCTCATGCGAAATGCTAGCCAAAAGAGGTGTGAAAGTCAGAGTACAGGACATGGAACAAACCTCCGTTTACACAGATCATGCCTGCCTGTCAAAAGTCGGTTCTCCGATTCGGTGTCATATCTGGAAGTCGCTCTTCGTATCGACGTCGATGTAAATGCGGAGAATCGAATCTATTCATTTGAGGACAGAGGGTGACAGGGCGCGCGTCGACAACGATGATACGGGGCCTCGTCACCTCAAACAAGTCACCAGGAGGTGATTCCGCTGCGCATGATCGCACTGGAAAGGAAATTAAACCATCAAGCCTGACCTGTGTCAGTCAGGTTATCCCACGTCATCATCGGAGATTGCAATATTCAGACGCTCGGATGCGTCTCTTCACCGTCTGATCTGACATTTAAGATTGGTCGCTATGGACGTTTTAGGCGAAATTGCAGGCGATGGGAGCGAGTTCGCCACCCTGGGGATGTAAAACTGATCAGCCTAAGCGGCATGAGTGTTTGAGAACATTCGTCAACTCGTCATGGTCTTGAACGTCGACATTCTCTGAACTGGCACTCATACCTGGCCCACGTGTTCGACATGGACGACGTCGGCCTGTCAAAGTGTCTACCACGGCTCGGGAGCGCAACCATTCGGGCGCCACATCTGGACGTTTGACGTCTCAGTAGGCTCATTACGCCAGAGACAACTTGAGATTTTCAAGGTGTGTTGGAAAACTCTCTCGTCGAGGACAAGACGTGAGTTAGAGGACAGAGCAAGGTTGTGGGGTCGTTTGAGCGTGAACAAGGGTAAGCGGTTAATGCTTCTGACCTAGACTCTGACGAAACACGATCGCAAGCCAGCACATCAGCGGCGTCTCGCCACGCGGCAAAGAGAAAGAAATATTTGGTCACAGGAAAAGGGCCGCTTTGGGCGTTAGCGTGCAGGTGGTAGGCCCCATCAAGGAACTCATTATTTCGATTCTATCGCTATCGCGTAAGGAGTACTGACGTCCTGTTCGTGATTTGGTGGCTTGATCTTCCAAGGAACGGCGGAGATGGAAGCCTTCGAGGTTGGTCGGTATATGCAGCTGACCTCGGAGTTATACCTGAACCGACTGGTTCCATTCACCGTTTAGGGGAGTATCATCTTCTATTCGGGGACCTATCGCCCGAAAGGACAGTGCCCAGCCGGTGAGAAACAGTCGAGTTTGCCACTTCTGTGTGGCTAATATGCCTATTCTCGGGGCCAGAATTTGAACAACATGGGCTAACAATACGTTCGGCGGAGAGTGCGTGCTGCAGATCATGCGTAGGGGAACCCCCGAGCCAGAATAACGGTAAGCGCACGACACAGGTCAGTCTGCATAGGATCAATTTAACCCCCTCTCCTGTGATTACTGAACGATGTACACATTGATCAATGTGGGCGGATCGGAAAACTCCTCGAAATGGGCACATCACTCGAGTGGAGCTGGGATTCACACAATCACTTCCAAAGACGTACCTGGTTCTAGAGGGAACGTTGAACACCAGAAACAAGTTTCGCCAGAGGCCGCACGGACACGGGCGATAACGAAGCCGTTGGCCCTGATCGTCCTGGCGTTGACCACACCTAAAACGCGCAGTAATTGATGGGAGAAGAAGCCATTCTGATGGGCGTGTACGGAAGAGTCGCAGCAATAGGTGGGAGAAGGCTGCTTCTTGCGTGTTCCATAATATTGGCTGACACCAAAGGGCGTCAGGATCTGGGAGAAAGGGAATAGAGTAACGAGCCCGATATTGCAGGTCAAGAAAAATTAAACGGCAGCTCGGACAAGGGGACCGCGCGGGGGCGACTGGACATGGGAAGCCAGAGGAGGGGAGCGGTATTCAGGTGATTATTGAGAGGTCACCCTGGTACCTCGGGGGAATCTAAACAACGGGTAGGGTTATCCTTCTTGTCGTCGTGGTCGTTGCACACGCTCCCACTCTCATCGTCTCACAGGAACCTTGCGCGCCGTGCGAGCCGTTGCACCCCGCCAGAAGAGCGGGATCCGTTGTCGAAAGCATCGGGAGAAATCTGTTGAGAATTGACGACGGCCGCAGGAGACTAGTCGGCGACTGGGGGCCACTGCCCAAGGCACCAGAGCCAAACACATACACCCTTTTTGCGTTCTTGGACCTGAACCCAACGCGACCTGCCGTGGCCGCTCTGTGTCTGTCGCGTGCTGGCGACTCGTTTTCCGACTCGTTTTCCACATTTTACTCTGCACCATTCTCTCCTAATTCTCAATACGTTCTTAGCTCCCGACCGCCCGTCGTTTAATCCGCGTCTGGTGCGTGTTCTGGCCATTCGCCATGTCTCAAACAGCGTAGAGCTCACGTCTGGAAGCTTCTAGTCACACTGGACGGTCTTCAACGCTACTCTTGACGTGTATGCTCCACCGATCCAACCCGGTTCCACCCAATCCAAGCCTACAATCCATCGAAAGCTCTCTACAAGGCGCTCTTCAGACTCCAATCACTACGTCTGACTCGTCTCTTTCGCCTAGGCGCGACCGCGAACCCACACAGACCCGTCTTCGTTCACCGTCCTGGGCAGCGCAGGCGGTCCATGCACACGAAAAGCCTATAAAGATGACCGGAAACTCGTCTGGCACCTCTTCCTCGAATCAAACTGGCAACAGCGGGCGACCCGGTGGCCGAGCTCTCCCCCCACCGCGATTCCAGCGTAAGCAGCGTCCACCACGCGTCCAGCAAGCGCTCGCTGCAAATGGGAACGGGTCCAATAATACCAAGAATAACAACGGAGGAGGCTCCTCGTCGCGTCGTGGTGGTGGACGCAATGCAAACACCCAATCCACCACTGCCGGCAATGCTGGAACGCTGACACTGGGACCTGCGAACAACTGGGGAGTTGGAACTGGCAGCGTCGTTAGTCTCAGCATGGCCGCTGTCAACGCTGCCAGCGCCCGTGGCTCGGTCCTCCACCAAGCAGCCGCTGCCGCTGCGGCATCGTCATCACGATCACTCATGAACGACAGCCACGGCATTCCTTTGGCGGATTCAACCCTAACGGCGACATCAGAGGTGCACCTAGACCCCGTGCAGCTACACAACAGAATCACATTTGGTATGGGCCATCCGACATCGCCTTCTGTTCCTCTCGACGTCTATCATCCGGTGCGTCTTTTTCTCTCTCATCTTTACATCAATTTTCCCCATTTGCGCCGTATCCTTGTCCTTAGCCACGCGGGGGCCAGGTACCTTGACGTGTGTATTCGGTTGTCTATCAATCATTATTCCGTCAAATGAAGCCGCCGCCCTACCCTTGCTGCCATTCGCGACATTTCCTTTGCTGACGTGATGATTCCGGATTCTGACAGGACGCTGCCATCCATCAAGGCGCTGTCAGGCCTGGACTCGTCGTCCCCGGCGAACTCTTGCCTTCGACGCAGCTTCCTTCTCTCAACCTTCGGGCCCGTTCACAGTCCCATCATGGCGTACAACCTACATATCGCCAGCAACAACTCGAATTTGACCCCGGACTCCTCAACGGGCTTGGCCATCAAATAGACCCAGCAGAGTTCGGCGTGCCAGCGCATTTGCGTAACCGAAGTCGTAGTCTGATGAACCCTCTGGACGTCTCGCTTCCTGTACAACCATCTGGGATCCTGCCAAATCCCGGCCAGCAACCAGTGGACGACAGCCTGCGAGCCGTGACGAATGAATTGAGCACGACCCTCCGTTTGACGCAGCAAACAGAGAAGAAACCACTCAAGGGTGTGCTCAAAGTCCGCAAGTCGACCCCTGAATTCGAGGGCCACCTTTCGACCACGCTCCCGATACCCCCAGTGCCCCATACTCAAAATGTTGATGCTACCACGGCATCCGCACTGAGCGACCTCGACTATTACGGCTTCTCGTCCACCCGAGCTTCGCCACCCGATCCATCACTCACTCTACCCGACAACCTTCAGGCAGAGTACGCGCAGCAGCTCAAGCTTCTACAGCAAGAATATGCGATCAAGGCTGCAAAAGCTGAGCGAACTCGTCAACGAAGCCTTGAACGTTCTCGTACCCCGGGCTCGGCGAGCCGCACAGCCCCCATGGTCGAGAAGAGTGTATCTTCGGCCTCGCCAAAGGGAGTTTCATTCCACGATCAAGTTCAGGTCATGGAGCCGGTGCAGCAAAGCCGCATGCAGCCCGGTGATGTCCGAGCGAGCTACCACTCGTGGACAGACCAGTGGAATCCTATGCCACCGATGCCAGCCTATGCCCGAGGTGAAGACGAGAGCTCTTCCAGTTTGGAGGTCGACTCTGAAGCAGAGATTGGGAGTAATGTCGGCGATCGAGGTCACGACGACCATTTCAAGGACCTCCACGAGGAATATCCACCAGCTTCCCCTGCCCAGCACGAATGGTCATCGCCTTCCAACTCTTCCTCTGCTGCCCCTCTTCCATCTCCTTCTGGCGCTATATCTCATGGCACCGAGTCTCCTGCCACTGAGTCTATCCCCACATTCGATGTTTTGCCGTCAATTCAGGTCGAGGTCATTGCACCTACCCCTGAGGTAAACCCTGTAGAGCTTGCGACAGTCGACGAGCACGTTCCTCGACCGTTAGCGGACGGTGCCCATCCAGACATTCAAGAGGTTGTTGCTTCTACCCCAGAGGAGCCCGTCATCGCTCAGCAGGCATCACCACGTACCAGTGCCGAAAGCTCCGGGTCTAGCGACTCCAACAAGACTGTTCTTCGCATTGAGCCGACTTTGTCAGAAGTCGCGGCGTCGACGGCGCAAGCATCCGTTTCAAACGCGCACAAAGTAGCCGCCAGCTCAGTCAGTCGCATTCAGACTCCAACATCAGAGCGGGCTCAAGCCTCCGCCGACGATGTCAGCCTTGCGCACAATATGCCACACTCGATCACTCCAGGTGTCCAGAGAACGGAAGTACGTGATACCCGGCAAACCCGCAGTGCTATCCCTCCAATCTCGACGAATTCCCCATTCGCCCGCCAGTCGCCCCAGCTGCAAACCTCCGTCTTTGCGCCAGTCTCTATGCTCCCGGACGTGGCTAGCCCCACAGACTCGCATTCCAACTCTGTGCAGAGCTTTAGCGACGAACCGCAGCGCTGGGATCTAGAGGAGCGGACTCGCCTCTCATCCATTCCTAGCGTCTCTTCCTTGTCGTCTGGCATCATGGGACATGACCGCCTTATGGAGTCTCCACGAGTGGCTGCTGTCGGTCAAGGTCGACTCGACTCCCTGCGGCAACGAAGTATGTCGGCACTCAGCCCGCCGTCGATGAGTGGTGGCCCTGCGTCTGTATGTGCATATTTTATGTTCTTGAACTATATTGACGATGTAATTCACAGCGGAGCTCTCATTCTAGCAGCCACGCTCATGATGATGCCTCTCTTAGATATCTTCGTGGACGCGCAGGTCCTCGCTCTGTTCTCTCTGCCAACGAATTGAGCTCTTCTGCCTCTGTGGAGAGTGGTAGCTCTCACGCTGCTAGCGGGGCAAGTCACCTCGGTCGGAGTTATGAGCGTTCCAACGCAGGCTCTCTGCTTTCGCACTCATCTAGTGGCTACGGACTCCAAGACAGTCGTGGAAGAGCCGGCTCTACGGCCAGTCGTCGCTCAAATCTCTCCGACGCTATGCCTATTACCGCTGCGCCGGCTGGCGGCGGTATGCCTCTAGCCACGCTAGATACACAACGCCCTCATCAGCCTCTTGTGCCCAATATGCCCAGTCTCGACTCGATCAGCAACACGGGTGGACGAGCTAGCGGGAATGTTGGTAGCGGGCTGCCTGCTACGCGTCGCGGATTAGGCGGTGACAGTATCTGGACTCTGGGCAAGGAAGAAGAGGCGAAATGGTCTGCACCTCCCTCCTTGGGTGGCCAATCGACTGCTCCATTGGTCCAACAAACGTATCAGTATGGCCCCAAATCGTTTGTGCCAGAGCCGCCTACATCCGCGATGCCTCGCTCACGCGTAGACTCCCAAGCCCTTGGACACGAGTACGGCGTACCGGTGGAATTCCCAGAGATACAGCATCCTTATAATCCAGTGGATCGACTGCCCGCTCGAAATGCTCCGATCCCCAGCACAATGCTCTCGAGACACGATCCAATAGGCTACAAAGACTATGAGCCCCGCTCAAATCTTCAGATCCCCTACGAGAGGCACGCGCAGTTGGAATTCCCAGAGATGCCAGCTGGCTACGGACCGTCTCTTTCTTCGCCAGCGTTCACTCACTACGACGAAGAGCCGGTATCGGGACAGATAAGCGTCATGTTAAGCCCACACGAGCTCGAGCAGCTTCGCGCGTTGCGCATGGCGCAGGTGCGCGCACAAGCGGCGCCCTATGCCCCACCGCCATCGTCATCTTTGCATAATCAGAAACGCCTTCCCACCCAAGCCTCGACTCGCTCCTTGCCAACGATGGGAAGCAGCGTCCCGCCGCAGTACCAAGTCCAACCAATGCCGGCGTTTGTCCCAGATGTAGCATCTGGACGCCCGTCCTCGGCTTCACGACCCTCTACGGCGCTCACTGGCAAGTCGTCGCACTCTGGTGAAAGTGGCGAAACAATTGGCGGTCGGCGTAGCGTTGTCACCTTACCCGCATCTGGAGGCGTCTTCCCCCGATATCAAGAGTTTACCACCCCATATCCGGATGCTTCTGTTCGCCCCGGAAGCAGCAGCGGCCGTTTCAAGTCTTTGTTCAAAAGTCGCGATTCTCGCGTTTTCAAGTGAGTTGGCCTTTACGGAGCTGGGTGTTCTAGATCTGATCGCTTGTTTATTCTAGGTGATCCGTGATCCCCACCATTGTATTCTCGATATCCGTTTACATCATTGAACCTGGACAATGCTCTTCCCGCAATACATCAAAGAGGAATTCATCTTTTTTTCTTCTCTGCGGCCCTTTCGTGTATACCCAAACAGTCTACACAGCGCATACTCTTCTGCGCTGACCACCCTCCTTTACAGTCTCGTCTCTATTCCCATCTCTCTCTCTCTCTGTCCCTCGTCTCTTTTCCTTGGATACATTGGTGATCGTTGGAGGCGCACGCTATAGTGCTAGATTTCTCCACGAAACATACTGCCTGGGTACGGGCCCGTCGTCTCTCGCGTGATTCGCGTCTATTTGGCTATCCCACCTGGCCCTATTCGAACACTTGATCCTTTTTACCACTAGTAGTTGTAGTCCAAACATCCAGTGCACGGACACTTGATAGCACGACGAACTTTTCCCGACGCGAGGGAATCTGCGCCTTGGGAATTTCGTCCCATGCTCGACTACCTAGCTCGCAACATTGTTCTCATCCTCCTCGGTTGGAAAATTTCCCCCTCCGTGTTTCTCAATCCAGTTCAATATGCGCTTCCACTTCTCACCCAGCATCCTTCCCCCCAAAAAACGAAACGGACAACAAAAAGGACGCCGAGTATTTTCTGTAATACGAATTCGTCTCTGATATCTCGCTCTCCTTTTGTTTTGCGGACTCGACTCTCTCCGTGCTTTACAGAATCCGTAGAAGCCAACCAAACGGGGCGAGCGTTCTTGTCATAGTTTTCGCTTGTCGCTGTAGTTGATGCCACAATCACAAAGACCGTTTATTCTTATTAGTTGCTCTAACGGCTTTACGTATCGTGAAATGCAGATTCCAAGGCTAGTGTGTATTGTTTGACTAGGTACATCATGCTACTCAACCCCGAACGGCCCGCCAACAAGACGAGTAGAGGGATGTGAGAGCAAAGTTGGTCATTGTGCTTTTCCGAGTTTAGAGTTCGCCCTCTAAAAGGATACAACCAAGAAAAAAAAGACGACGTGAGAGTCGTGAGCGAGCGTGATAGCGTGAAAGAGCTGAACGGGCGGAAGTATCAGAGGACGCGATTGGGGGAGTTTGCGGGTGATTGTGGTGATTGTCAAGTGGAAATGCAGGCAGGCGGAATCGTTAGCCTGCATTTCCCAACCACCTGCAAACCCTGATGGAAGAAAAGTGCGCGGGGTCGGGATGAAGCCCAGTCCGCCACTGTCCAGCCAGTGGAATGTCGAAACGTAAGAGTCGTCGTCCGTGGTCGGACGCGAGGAGTCGTAAATGGTTTTATTGGGGGCGGTGATACGCCTAAAAGCTGGGGATGAGGAGAGGAGGAAGAGAGCAAAAAAGGGGGTCCAAAAGAGGTATCCGATGTCGACAAAAGGGGGATGATGCTACAGTGAACAAAAGGGTGGTCGGGTCTGGGTATCTATTGATGCAGTGGATCGCAGAGAATGGCGATTCTAGCACGTGTTGAAGTAGATGCCCATGTTGAGCGTGTGGGGGTCGATGCCTTGGATGTAGCCGTTGAAGACGCGGTGGAGGTAATCTATACAGAATGTGGTCAGAGCGGACTGCAAACTCACGCAACGCAAACATACCGAGATTGTTGTGCTGCGCGCAAATGGCATAGTTGTTGGCAGCCGCAACAGTCAACCCACGTCGCCATCCGTTGTACTCGCCCATACCGGCGGCGACATTGCCGTCGTTGGCGTCAATCCTCGACTTCATGTAGCGAGCACCAATGCCAATGTTGGTCGCAGGATCATAGCAGTTGGAGCCATCGGTAGGGCACTTTTCGCTCGTGATTTGCATCATGCCAATCTCACCGGCACCACCCGTAACGCCGGGTCTGCATCCGCTTTCTTGGAGGGCGATGGAAGCCAAGAGGATGGTGGGGATGCCGGTTTCGTCAGCCAGAGATTGGAAAATGTTGAGGTAAGGTGCGCAGGCTTCAAAGACGTTTCCTGGCTTTTGGAGGACAGTGGCCAGGTCCTTGTAGACAATGTTCTGGAGCGTGACTGGTGGAGGGATCCAACCGTCACCGTCGACACCACAGTTGAGCCAGTCTGTGTACAGTTAGAAGGGTGTACGCTAGCAACAGTGTACTACTCACTCTCAGAGCCGTTTGGTCCGGACGTGGGGGCGGGATCCGCTGCGGCGCCACGTCAGTCAAAAAAAAGTAGTCTAAACTTAGCAACGTACGGGTGGCATTTGGATCACCGCATGGGCTTCCAGTGGCTTGAATGACTGGACCAGCCGAGTTTGCTGGCTGGCTGGCCGACGAGGAAGAAGACGACTCTGTGACCGTCTCAGAGGGAGATTCGGTCGAGGACGGTGTCTCGGTCGTAGAAGGAGCGTCTGTAGAGGATGCCGAGTCTGCTGGCGTGGTGGTAAAAGTGACATATTCGGTAACTACAGTTGGACGGGTAGTAGAAGTAGCTGGATCGGAAGTAATTGTCTGGTAGACGGTGACATGCGAGTGCGGGTGATGGCGAGCAGCGAGGGCCTTTCTGCTGATACGCCGTGCCATCCGTTTGTGGCCTGGGTTGATATGCTCCGACGAGGCAGAGACGGCAGTCGCCACCAGGGCAAATACAGCGACGATATTCGTGAATGTAAGCTGCATTTTGATACAAATTTCAGACGTCTAGTCAGAGGCGGCGAGGCGTGGAAAGAAAAAGTCGATTAGCGAGCGCTGGATGGCTGCTGGGGTCGTGAAAAATAGTGACAAGATCGTAAAGACGACGTCCAAGCGTGCAGAGTTCGTAGAAGAAGCGGAGAAGAGGAGCCCAGCTAAAAAGGCGGAGAGGGGGAGAGGTCAAAGTGTTGTACCCACACAAAGCAAAACACTGCGGGACGGCTACTTTGCAGAGGTTTAGCCAAATATTCGCCAAACACGCCTCGAGGCCCGCCAGACAGGCCACGAGGCAGCGACACATTCAGCGGACATTAGCGGAGACTAGACCCTCATAGGGGCTATTAACCACTAGACGCCCACTAGACGCCCGCTAGACGCCGACCTCGTTTAGACCTCGACTCTACAGCACCATGAGCGACAAGCCATCAGCTTATCCTCCATCTTCAGATACACCCGTTGTCGCTCATGTCGTCGACTTTGCAGCAGTCGGTCTGCCAGAATACAGTCAACGCTATGCACTCGTCCTTGATGGCCTCTTTTCACCCGCAGAGTGCGCATGGCTTCTTCAGCAAGCAGTCCTCTCCACCTCCACCGAGAATCCATGGCAGATCGCCCAGCTCAATGCGGGTGTAGGAACCCAGTACACAAATACAGACGTCCGCAACTCGTTGCGTATCATCCTCGACTCTCCCGACCTCGCAGACTGGGTATTGAACAAACTACGCCCACACTTGGGGGACATAGAGGCCATACGCGGTGCTCCCATGCACAAATTGATGGCACATGGAGATTGGGTGGCAAAGAGAAAGGCCCTGGGAGAGGTAGAGACCGTACGGGAGAACCCAGAAGAAGTACCCCTTGGCAGACCATCCCGCAAAGTAAAGGCAAAGATCGCCGAACCAGATGCACATCTCACCCGTCTCAACGAACGCCTCCGCTTTCTCAAGTATACACCCGGCCAGTTCTTCAAGCCGCACTACGACGGCTGCTACTATACGCCCGACAGAAAGGAGATGAGCTACATGACGCTCCAGATCTACCTCAATGGACCCATGCCAGAGGGTGTGGATTCCGCAATGGACGGTTGGGACTTTGTGGATCCAGAGTGCTCGGTCCACGAGAGCGAGCCGCTCAAGGGAGGTGCCACGCGTATATTCTCCGAGGATAGCATGCGCAATAGTACAACCAAAAAGGACAAGTACTACGACGTAGAGCCACGTATGGGTCGTGTCCTCGTCTTTGAGCAAGAGGATCTCATTCATTCCGGCGAGGAGATTGTGAGCGGTGTCAAGTATACGATGCGAACAGACTTTATGTACTCGCTCTAGATAGCACGTCCCATACATCTATTGGTCTTGATCATTGCGCGTTATTTGCGGTCCAAGGTGGCGTCTCCTCCTGACCTGGACGCCTACCTCGTAAAGGCCATGTACTGGTATCATTTACCCAACGAGACAAAGCTTCAGATACTATAATTGGTAGATCCGCCTCAACTGGTCAGGTTGCGACAGGTTAGTGACCTTTCGGAACGTGGAGACTCGGTTCATCCATCACCAGATCAACCGAGGTCTCTGTGAACTAATTGATTCATCGACACGAGCAAGATTGATAATATAGCTCGCAAAATCGGGATACGAGCTCACCCACACGTTCGATGGGCTACCGTCAGCGGCCAGCATCCTACGCAATCATCTGGCGTGGCAGGAAAAGGTTGTGAATCTACCAGAGGCAATTGTAGTGGACGTCCCTCGCGAGGTCGGACACTTATCCGAACTATTGATTTTCGACGATCACCTATATGCACCAAGACCTGGGGGCTACTATATCCTCCCTCTCCACAAACTTGGTCATTCCTCGTCGAAAAAATGGGTGCCCATGAAGCCATTGGAGTTTGAGATCACCGCTATCTTGTTTGTGGACCCAAGGGAAAAGATACTTGCAGTCAGGGCTCGAGAGCAGGGCTCGAGGTAGGCGCTTCTCGTTGGACTTGCCAATCTCAATACTCTATAGGGAGAAATCATTGCTTCTCTTGTCTTCGGAGAACCTCGAGAAAATTCCAGTTGTTCCTGAAATCTCAAGTAACGGCCATCGGGCTCTCATGTTTTCTGAACATATACTTGTATGGACCTATCTTCGTGATAGTTACATCGTTAAGAATTTTTTGGCTGCCGGATTTATTTGACCCCATCCGCCTTCGTCGTTTACAAGGTCGTTACCACTGTGTATAGATTTCACAACGAGCTAACCTTTAGCAGAGCCGCAGAGTGCATATCTATTTGTGGGGCGATCCGTGCTCGGGAGCCAATGATTCCGAGTAGCCCAGCAACATAGCTGCCCGCCATAATAACACTTTTCCTTGGTTTGCGTTTAATGTATATGTCGGTGTCTGATCTCCTAGACCGGCACCTTGAGTGGCGCGAAAGGAGAACAAGTCTTCCAGAGCCAATAACTATAAATCTTCCTGACGGTGCTCCTTACAACCAGCGGCTCTGCGTCCTCGACGATTGTATATTTGCATTCGGCCTTCAGAAGATACATGTCATCTCTCTCCGCAACCTTGATCAGTCGAATACAAAGGGGTGGACAACGTTACGACAGTCTAGTTTCGATATCAACTCAATCATGTTTGCGGATCTCAGAGAAAAAATTCTCATGGCTATAGGTACAGAGCATGGTTCCCTGAAATTATAATGGACGGCTTCAGGGTCAGCATAGTGTCCGAATATAGACTCCTGTGCGTTACAGGTGGCGAGAATTATCGCGCACGCGTGTTCGATTGCTATACAGGCGGGCTTGTCAAGGTGAGGCTGGCTCTGATATCGCACCACGACTGAAAACGATTCTAGGAAATTTCCAACGACGAAGAATGCCATCGTTATCCCATACTGCTCGCTGGCATATTCTACTTTTTGCCCGCTCCGAGCTATCTAGGATTGTTATCACTGTCCTCGATCTACACAAACCTGAATCCATTTTTTATCTCGATCTTCCCGAGGCGCCACCATACTCTGTGTACCCGCACCTCCTTCGTGCCTCACCGGCCCACCCGCGGAGTCAGCAGATCGTCGCATCGACTGGAGAGCACGACATCTGTATCATCTCTCTTACCTCCATGCGAGATGCCTCTCGCGCCTCTTATGAAACCTACTTGGCTATCAAATACCAAGTTCTTCTCCGTCATCTTACTCAGCAGGGCAAGCAACATCTCCGTTGGGCTGAATGGGGCCCAAGGTGCACGAGATTTATTCCTGGAACACGACCCACGGGCACTGTGTATCCTCTCGAGGGGTCTCGAGTTATATTGTCTCTTCCAAAGGAACCCATTAAAATCGACCTGGAAAATGACCTTCACTCGTATCTCCCACCACCAGCAGGCGGTATTCACAAGGACATCCACTTGACACGAACAGCTGTCGTTGTCCACCAGGTAACAGATAATCCATACTGGATTGAAGTATCTACTGACCTTGCTAGTATCAAGACGTACGTATCCGTTGGTGGGGGAATCCGTCCTGAACAACGGATGTCTCTGTGCCCTGAGATGCGGAAGGTTATTTATCAGCTGTCATTTAGTGCGGTCTCAAATACATGTACGAGCTGTTGAAGAATCATGTATATTCGAGCATTCAATGATGCAGTCTGTCGTCGTAGGATGGCGGACTCGGTTCCCAAGATGGTTCCGTACCCGGTGCCGTCACCCTAGTCACTTCTTCGGCATCCACAAACCTCGTGTGGAGACCAGACATCCTGACCGATCTCTTCCTCTGAAGTTCTCGCCTCTTCCATACCAGAAATAGTATGAAGAACATGAGCCCAACGCCGACGCAACCTCCCACAATAGCAGCAATATGTCCATCACCAAGATGAAGTGTACTATGAGAGAGATTCTGTGATGGCACCTCCGATTCCACTCCGCTGAACAGTCTGGTAGACGTTGACGAGAGCCCGGATAGCGAGGCTCCTGCAGTCAATGATGAGTACGACATCGAAGTGGAAGAAGAAAACGTGGATGAACCCGTATCTACTGGACCTGACGAACCAGACGAAGATGTGGTCAACTGGCCAGGAGAAACAACGAGCTCTGGCTGGAGTATATACATAGATATATTGGCGGCGCCCGTCGGGGAGGTATCATCAGTGGAGATTTTGAGTGTGAAATCCTTGGCTTGGCCAAGCAAGATGGTACCGTAGACATGCTGGATCATGGAAACTATGTCTGTCAGAAGATGTCGAGGCAGGTGATTGCATCCCTGCCTTTGTTGCAAGTGGGGGCTACAAATGTCTGCCATCTCACTGGCTGTTCATTAAAGCTGACTTTCAGCCAATTTACACCTCGAGACTGTGGGTGGCAAGCAGAAAATGAAAAATCACTATGAAAAGTACTCAGATGCGCAGAACGTTAGACACAAGGTGGATTCACTTACACTGGTACCGTCCTTCCAGGTGCGGCCCATGGTTGATCGACAACGATGCGAGCGACGACCATGCCGTGAAGACCAAGAAAGTCCAGGCTCCCTTCAAAAAGCGATTGATGAGGAGCAATGAGACCTTAGAGCTGGTCATAAGCTTGTTCGATCAGGATTGTTCTAACTCACAAGATGCATCACCGGGCTGACAAGACCAAGCGCCACCAGTATCCACGTCTGCATGAAGTGCAGTTTGAAGGCTACTGTAGAGGGTATACTGCGTCGATTCGCTGCTCGAGTTCGCCATTCTCCAACGAAGATTGGGGAAAAGAGGCAAAGCTTGGCCCTCCCGATGCAAGAGATGGACATTCTCACCACCGGTTTTATATTTTATCGAAGCCAGTAACTACGTGGGAATGTGATTACAGTTGTCCAGCAACGGCGCTGGAGAAGCTCATACAGCGCAAACACTTGTATCGTGAGGCGCACCGTCCGCTTCCGTGCCAACGAGATTTCAGAAGGATGGGTAAGAGTATGCATTTTAATATCTGCCTTTATTCAATTGTCATAGTGTTCTCAGGATGGATGAGATTCTTCACGCAAGACGGGCACATATCGCTATACGCAAGTGCGTCCTTCAGATGGCTAACATTCTCGCTTCAACGGCCCCTCTCTTCATTACTATGCTAACTACTGACGAGAGTCATGATGCCGTGGTAACGGCTTCGGGAACGGCGGTTTAACGTTGGCCAAGTTTTGACCTTGACCTGTCTCCCGGAGCCTTGGACGATGCATTCGCATTGTTATATATCTTGAGGTGAAAAAGACACTCACTGGACGAATAGTGACGCCGAAGTAGGAGAACTTTCTTTGAGGGTTATCGATTGAGCCCTTGGTCCAAACCTGGTTGAACTATTGCAATACCTCTACGGTTTCTCCGCACGGCCCCAGCTGGGGACTGAGCCCATCACGGAACATCAATTTGTGCCTGCCCGGGAACACTCGAGCAGCCAGGGGGAGTGAGCCCTTCGAGTCTGTCGATGAATGGGTAGCCTCAGCGCTCTTTTTATATATACCGTACGTGACATACCACCATCTCCAGGCCCATTCATCCGGGCTTTTGAGTTTATAATCGTTCCACTATACTATAGTCTAAACGGTCCGCACCCAGTACCTCTCGATTCAACATCTGACGAGCAGGCTAAGAGGCCAATAGATTGGTGCAGATCCCTTCGACCTTGGTTCATGTCAAGCTCGATTGACATACGAGATTTGGGCGCGAGAACATCTGGAGTCGTACATGCTTCGCGCGCCTCGAGGCCCGCGCCCAGTGCACAGCGCTTGAGCTCAGCGCTAGGTCTAGCACGGGGCATAAAAGGCCTATCTTTGAACCGACAGGATACAGAGTCCTGGAAGTCGCCAGTGGAAACCTATCCAAGACTTCCACCGTTGTATACGCAGCCGACAACGCAATGGCAAGCTCATCATTCCGTTATGCCCTCTTCAATGGTGCCGGTATATATGATGTAGAACACGGAGGTCCATGGACGTGCGAGGAGTCTACAAACAATTGTTAGTAGATGGGGGTGTTTCGTATGACATACACTTATTGAGATGTAGGCACCATGGTTTCTGGGATGGGCCACCTGGACTTTACTGGAACCGTTGCTGCCAACATCCTACTTAACGAATCCTGGGCAACGCCTTCATTCGGAATGGGATAGTATGTTCTGTATCGCTCTCGCTTCAAATATACTCAGATATCATACAGCGACTTTACTTTCTCAATGTGCCATACAGTAGACCATACTAATCAAACAGTCTCCTCGGCTGTGGAAGGGGTTTGGGTCAACCACGAGGTTCCTTTCTGCCCTACCTGTAAGTCTGGTTCCAGGCCTAATCTCATGACGCTAAACTCAACAAGTATCCTCCACTCTGCATCATACTGGCACGTTCATCCTCAGCGATAATCGCACATTTTCCATTAAACTCCGCACCCCTGTTGCCAATCCGAGCCCTGCAAACCAGACTAATCCAGTCTTCCAACTACATATGTCAAATCTACGAGTAAATTTGGCAAAAGACACTAGCGGCCCAAGGCTCGACATGAAATTCAAGATCTTAATATCTATCGCAGGGGGAATATGGTTATTACTGATGATAGTTATATTCATGATGACTATTCGAAGGAGACGAAGAAGACGTGCGAACCGAGCGGCAGCCCAGGTGAAGAAGTTGCAGCCGATGTTTGACGGTCAGAGCTCGTGGGACCACGATACAGTGACTTTGAACGATACAAGGCTATCACGAGTACACTAGAGTAAGGCTATGATATCATATGTTGTATATGCTGCTAGCTCCCACCGCACTTCAGGAGCGGGTCCAACGGAAGGCACATGTACTATGTCCTTTGAGAGTCCAATAATACGTGTAAATGGCTTGGAGATTGGTTCGGGCCTTCGAAATCTCGCTCCCCTTTTGTCTTCTCGACGGCCAGGAGATTTAAATATTCATTCCTCTGTTGTTCAGCGACCTCAGACAGATAATATAAACATTAAACCAAATAAAGCGAAGATGATACTACTACGGTAGAAGAGTCAATCCCTCGACCATCCTCGCGATATGGGGATTCTTAGTACATAGCGTTGATGCGCGTAGAATACAAAAGACAGCAAGTAACGAGTCCATATCCGAAGAACTTTCTACATCCCCTTCTAGATCTACACACGAAACACGTACGCGTCGGAGTCGAAAAGGGCAAGAATGAAGACCGACGCTACCAGGAGTCCGGTCCTGGTTCGCCTGCCAATTCCTCGAGTCCTGACGAGGATCAGGATCTCGCGCAGGGCTACCTCGTTAGCACGTAGGTGAACAAGAGAAAGCACCCCACTGAGGAAGTGTGAGAATGCGAGTCTTTGGGATGCTTCAACAAGCAGAAAGATCTCGTCCAGAACCGCCAAGTCTGTGGCAGTAGAGAAGAAGGAAGTATGAGGGAGGACTTCGGGAATCCAGAAAACGTTTTGCATCCGTAGCGTGGCTTGGTATAGATGAGGAGCCTGCACAGTTTCAAAGTTGCACTGAGGACCATAGTTCCAAACATCTACAATCCTAAGCTGTGGTAGAGAGTCGGGCCACGTCCAGCGTCCACGGAACGGCAAACTGAGGGCGAGCTTTTCAACAGCCATACCCAGCTCAATCATTGGTAGAGCAGCAGCGAGGTTTCGTGGATGAACGATGGTGACCTCCTGCGCCGCTGAAATGTCTGGGTAGTAGAGAAGAAACGATTGTATGAGGGTGCATGTTTGAAGCTTGGGCGAGAAAGGAAGCAGTCCCCGTCGTCGCATACTTTGTCGTCGTCTTCGCTCATCATTGCGATTCGTCTTAACATACTCGAGTGTAAGGGATTCGAGGGCAGGGGTCGGATAGAAGAGCATCGCCCATGACAAGCGACGGCCGTAGTTACATGGATGATCTCCAAAATATAGATCAAGTGAGCGTCATCTCCGTATAAAGGAGCCGTTGCGACTGCTGAATAGTTGAAGAAACTTGAGCGTACAACGTCGGACCTCGTAGTTTCTGAAGTCCGTTGCTTGGTTCCGGGATCTATTACTATAAAGCCCTCGTTTCCGGCGGTCCGCAGAGAGTGGATGTCCAAGGATTCCGTAGACGTTGCGGATGGTAATGTCCAGCGGCCTCGTTGGTGCTGTGCGTGCCAGGCGACGTCGCAGACGGCTATTCCATATATAAATCAAATTTTAATTTCCAATTTCGATATTGAAATTGGCCTAAATGTCTCCATGCAGCAGTGCCGCTTCGTTCCAGGATCGAGAGACGAGAAGAAGCGTCTCTAGTGGATGAAATAGGTCCTCGGAGGGGGCATAGTATGCGAATATACTTCCCAGAACATCGCAAGGAATATAGATGGGCATCGCGGGCGTGGTCGAGATTAGAGTATTAGATGGCGGCTAGCAAGCAAGCGTTGAGAATTGAGGGTTGTTTCCGATTGAATTTGCACTGGATAAACCGTTTCTTTACTCAAGTTTCTATCAACCCGAGTCAAATCGGCTTGTACATGGGAATAAAAGGCTGCAACTAAGTGGCCAACCCTTCGATCATCTTTGCGATATGCGGATTCTGTGTAGCTAGCGATGAGCTGCGCAGAATCTGAAGGGCGACTTCCCAGGAATCCATATCCGACGAAATCTCTACGTCTCCCTCGCAGTCCACGCAAGACACACGGACACGTCGGAGCTGAAAGGGACACGTGCTGAGTTCTACTTCTCCAGTAATCATATCCACATTCGTTTTTTGGTTTCGTGCATCCCTCACCAGTAGTAATATCCCCCGCAACCCTGGCTCATTCGTCCGCACTTCAACAAGAGAGAGCATTGCGCTCAGCAGACGGTATGCGATACGTCGCTGCGTTGATAAAAACGCGGCTTCTTCCTCGAGGATGGTCAAATGGGTGATGGTGGAGAGGAAAGCGACGTGAGAGAGGACAGTTGGAAGAAAGGAGGCGCTCTGTATCCGTAGCGTGGCGTGGGACAGATTGGGTGCCTGTACGCTTTGGAGATGACATCGTGGACCGTCTCCACCCAGCTCTATACTCCACAGTCGGGGTAGATAGTTTGGTATCTTCCATTCGCCATTGAATGGGAAACCGAGAATGAGCTTTTCCACACCTTTACCAAGTGGGACCAAAGGTCGTTTTGTAGTGTTTTGCAGGTGCTGCGGATGAATGATGGCTACGCGACTTGCGGCCGAGATGTCCGGGTATGGCTGTTTCCGCTCAGGTTGGCGCGTTTTGAATTTTACATAGCCACATATGTTGAGCAGCCCCTATCTCCTCCCCACGTTGTCGTAGTGCAGCGATACTTAATACTGATATTCGTAAGAGTTGAAGCTTTCTGTTTGGTGTACTTTAGCCGCAAAAATCAAATGTGGTAGAATGGCCCACTTTTGGACGTCCTCTATTGCTTGCCCACATTGCATTGACGTGAGAATCTTACTTGAAGAAAACAACTGACAGTGTTATTAATCAGTCCATTAGCATAACTCACGTCGCCGTCGTGTCATTCATATCTTGGACCGGACCATGACGCGCGGACGGCCCATCTCAAATGACCTTCGCCATGCGGTGGTCAAGATGCATCTTGAAAGGCTTGATACGAAGACTATTTCACGCTATCTGGGGATTGGAAGGCGCTCAGTCCAGCGTATCATTGCAACAGTGCACTCTGATCAGAAAATCATCTCTAACAAGTCTCAACGTCGTGGCTCGCCTCGGAAAATGACAGATGATTGTATTCAGGTCTGTCTTCGCCCTAATACCCTGTCAGCAGCTCATAAAATCCAGTTTATTTTAGGACTTGTTCAGCAACGGCCGGACATGTACTTAGATGAAATACGAGCAGAATTGCTTGCTGGGATGGGTGTTTTGGTCTCTCTCAGTACTATTCATCGATCCTTACGCAAGGCTGGGCTTACAATGAAAGAGGCATGTCCAAGTCCTTGCCTTCGTATTGGGACTTATGATTATAGGTTACCAAGGCAGCCCGAGAGCAAGATATAGACCGTCGAGCTGAATATTTCAATAGAATCTCACGCTACAAACCCCATGAACGAGTCTATGTTGATGAATCTCGCTTTGATCAGCGTACAAGCCAACGTACCCGTGCTTGGGCTTTCCGGGGACAGCGAGCACTTCAGAAGGTATTCTTCTTGAGAGGAAAAAGGTGAGCATTGTGCAATCTCTACTTCGCAGTCTAATTGTTCAGTTACTCTGTTCTACCAGCACTTTCCCTTTCGGGTGTTCTCCATGTCAAAGTCGTGGAGGATGCATTCAATATGGAAACATTTAATCAGTTTATTGCAGAATTGCTCGAGAAGATGAACAAATATGATCCAGAGCACCATCCTCCAAACTCTGTGATCATTCTCGACAATTGCCGGATTCACAAAGACCCAGAAATGATCCAGATGGTTCAGCAACGGTATGTATAGAGCATATAAAATAAAATTGTTCACTGATTCTGGTACAGTGGTATGCGAATTGAGTTCCTTCCACCATACTCGCCCGACCTGAATCCAATCGAATTATGCTTTGCAGGGATGAAAGCATGGATTCGGCGACATATGGAGGAAGCTAAGGAATCATGGAATGACAATAATAACCCAAATCAGGCTCGCTGGCTACTGTATGAGATGGCATTCTACCCAACTCCTCGGATGGCATATGCATGGTTTGCACGAGCAGGGATTGTGTAGATTCAGTTGATATATACAGAAAATGATGCTATATTGATACTACGTGTGTCTTGGATCCAATTTTCTAACCAGTATCCTCACGGGCCCAGGCCTCAAGTCGTGCAGCAGTCCCCTTGGCAATGCCGCCAATACCAACAAGACCCTCTTTACCCAAGAGACAGATCTCTAATGTACTTTGTATATCTTCTGCTAAGAGCGGCTGCAAAAGTGCCTGATAGTTGGTGTTATCACCCTCAATACGCCCTCTGAGTGATGCCAGCCACTCGTTTATGGGAATATGCCTCTTCCCAGAACCAATAGGTCTCCTGCGATTACTCTCAGATGGACCTAACTCGCCAGAAATAGGCACAGACTGAGAGCGGGCAAGGAATCGTTGAGGTGTTGGTGGACCAAGTGCTGTAAATGTGCGAGCAAAACGAGGTGTTTCGAATGAATTAGTGGCTGATGGAACAGGTTGAGATAGCTCAGCCTTTTTTGCAAGCATTTGGGAATAGCGGCGGGCAATTTGCCTGGCAAGGAGAGTACCAGGAGAGCGAACTGTAGCATTATTTGCAAGCTATAGAATTAAATATCAATTAAGGAGTAATACTCAATCAGTCAATACATACCACTTCATCAAGCCACATCTCAAACTCGGAATCAGTGATTTGGATGTGAAGATTGGCCTTGAGGTTTATTCCATAGGATGTTAAAGCTGCAGTATCGCCTCCACAAGGGACCCAGCAGTATTTGCCACCATGCTGGTTGCATTGACGAGCCTGGGCAAGTTCCTTTGAGGCCTGCAAACGCGGCGCATTGATTATTTTACTCATATTCTCTATGTTCTTTTTGCGATCATGACTAGTACTCCCAGCCTAATTGTCATATTAGTTGTGAACGAGCTCAATATAGTACCAATTACACACCTTGAACCCTGCCTTGCTGCCGCTTGCTTCTCTGATCCGGACGGACCACTCATTTGGTGTCCCATTTTTTCGATTTAGCTGGTACTGTCGATATTTGCGAGCCCAGGTAATGATATGCTCCCAATCTCTCTGCGAGTTGAAGTCCCTGAATGCTGACTGGTTGCGATCCTTCTCAATTTTGTACTGTAGTGGGCGTAAATCACGAGCTTCAATGCCTATGGCAAGTCCAAGTGCTCGTTTGACAGCAACATAGTCATCCGTGCTCTCGACTGCGACCAACACCTCGCGGCGTTGAAAAACGAACCAGATAGTGACTTCAAAAGCTAAATCTCATCTTGTTAATGTAGTTAACACTCTTAAATCAAACGCACCAGTGCTATTTGCCAGGTTTAGCTGGTCAGTTGTGTTCTTTTTCAGCTTATGGCGACCCGTTCTCTGTTGAAAAACGAACTCTTCTATCCCACTCGACGTGTCTGATAAGGAAGGTGGCTGGAACCATGCATGGTCCATAGCTGTCTCCCCTTCTTCGCTTGCAGTCTCATACAGGTCAGGATGGTTATCAGAGTTTTCATCCTTTTCATCTATGTCATCTTCTAGTGATTCTACGCTTGTCTTGTACACCTTGGGCTGCACATGGATCCCACCTTTCGAGGCAGGTATGCCCTTGGGAGTCAGACAATCACTATGTTCTTCCTCTCTGACCGATGGGAGCTGATGATTCCTTTGGAGAATGACTGCAGGTACAGTGCAAACTTCATGGTGAGCATTCTCCTGTATCTTCATGACGTCTGACTCACCAGGCACTTCTCTTATAGGTTTATTGAAACTCTTCAAAGGATCAATATTGATCTTTTGACGAGATGACCGAGTTTCACGAGGTGTCTGCGTGATCTGAAGCACCTGCGCCGACAGGCCTCGCTTGGAGAGTACAGTAGCAGAAGATGCGACCATATTTGATGCTTTTACGGTGTTTCGAGCCTTCTTTGGGGGCATTGAGGGCAGACTGATAGTACTAATAGGGTCCAAGAGTCGAAATTTTTGGAACGACGTCGAACCTTCCCACATCCAGTAAACCACAAACCTGTCATTCCACATAAGCATACAGTTATTTACTTCCAATATCATATACTAAACACTACTGCCAAACACAAGGGAATACTCTAGGACGTGACCAAATGTGACAATCATCCCACGTTTGAAATGCAGGCCTAAAGTACTCACAAAAGGTAGACCCATATCAAGTGATTCTAATGATATAATATTATTTGCCCTCTGATAATGTGGGGAAGAGCTACAGGCCACTCAACATAGGTGGCAGTGTAAATTGACTCGCGCCAACCTGAACGGAAACAGCCATAAAATGAAAACGAGTAATTGACGAGGGTACACGTTCGAAGTTTGGGACAATAGGGAAGCAGTGGATATCGCCATTTTCGATCGGTGCCGTTTGTTTCAATGTTTTCAAGTGTCAGGAATTCGAGGGCAGGGGTCTGGTGGGATAGCACCTTCCACGAGAAGCGGGTCACACCACTGTTATTCCCTGTGCTATAGGTCCATGGATGGTCGCCAAAGTATAGGTGAAGTGAACGCCATCTCCACGCCAAGGAACCGTCCCGACCATTGAGGTCCTGAAGTAAGTCCAGCATAAAGTGCCGAACCTGATAGACGCCGCGGGCCAATTGTTCTGGTGATTCTGATTGATTATAGTCTTTCCGGCTCAGGAACTCTGAGGCAAAAGGGTGACCAGAAATGCTGTAGACGTTACGGACAGTAATGTCTAGTGGCCTCGTTGGGCCCGCGAGGGATAAGCGACGTGGAAGACGAGTCCTCCATAAATCAATCGACTTGTAATTTCCGAGTTCGATGTTGAAGCTGGCCCAAATCCCTCCATGGATTCGCGCGGCTTCGTGCCATGAGCGGGAAACGAGGAGAAGCGTCTCTAACGGATACTTCAAGTCCTCTGAGATAGCATAGTACCCGAATATCTCTCCAAGCAAGTCAGGGGGAAGGGAGATGGGCATGTGGGATTGATCCAAGGTTCAGAGATTAGACGCTGAGCTGAGCCGTATGGAAAGTACCAGCGATTCAACCACGCTCAAGCCATACCCAGGAATAATAAACGACCAAGAGCGGCGAGGGACATGCCTGCCGCCATCTTTTTGGGAGCCGACTCTATTAGCGTCGAGTTGAGAGAGGACGGCCATAAACTCCTTGTCGCCGTGAACGTTGCCGGGCTAGTCCGCCCAAATCAATTCTTCAACTATCTTGACCCTCGCTCGACGCAATCAGATATAAGTAATATTGAATCGAATACCAGATAAAGTACGAGGCTACGAGAGGGAGGTCAAACCTTCAATCATCTTCGCAATGTCGGGATTCTGCGTATACAGTGTCGAGGCACGTAGAAGTCGAAACACTGCTACCCATGAATCCATGTCCGACGAAATCTCCGCGTCCCCCTCAAAGTCTACACACGACACACGCAAGCGTCGGAGCTGAAAAGGACAGGTGCTGAGATCGACGTCGCCAAATGTCCCGTCTGGGTTTGTCTGAGGACTTCTTGAATCCTTGACGAGTGCTAAAACGCCACGCAAAGCCGCTTCGTTGGTACGTAGGTGAACAAGGGAGAGTATCGCGCTCAGGATACGCGAGATGGAGAGTCGTGGGGCGGGGAGGATGAGTGTTGACGCCTCGTCGAGGATCGTTAGATGCGTGACGGCGGAAAGGAAGGAGACCTTTAAGAGAGTGTTTGGGAGAAAGAATGCGTTTTGGATTCGTAGGGTTGCTTGAGTCAGATGCGGTGCTTTGAGATCTTCGAGATTGCACTGCGGGCCACCTTTTCCAACTTCTATACTCCTAAGTTGAGGGAGCGTCTGTGGTAACGTCCACTCGCCGTTGAATGGGAGACCAAGAACAAGTTTCTCGACGGCCATACCGAGCTTGATTCTAGGGCGATTCGTAGTATTCTGTAGATGTCGTGGATGGATGATGGTTACTTCTCGCGCGGCCGAGATGTCGGGGTAAAAGGAGAAAGAGTACTCGGAGAGAGTACACGTCCGAAGGTTGGGTGAGAATGGGAGAAGAGGATGCCGCCGTCGTCTGTCATTGCCATTTGTCTCGATATACTCGAGCGTGAGGGATTCGAGCGCGGGGGTTGGGTAGGAGAGGACCTTCCATGAGAACCGCGTCACCTCGCTGCTACTACCCCTGTCGTAGTTCCACGGATGGTCACCAAAATACAGATGAAGAGACCGCCACCTCCAGGTCAAAGAGCCGTCACGGCCATTGAGGTCCTGGAGAAAGTCGAGCATGAAATGTCGGACTTGATATATATTGTGGGAGAGATTAGAAATGGGTTCTTTTTGATTCATTCTGTTCCCATTCAGAAAGTCTGAGGCAGATGGATGATTCGGCACACTATAGACGTTGCGAATGGTAATGTCCAGCAGCCTCGTCGGTCCCACACGAGCCAAACGACGTCCAAGGCGGGTTCTCCATATGTGAATAGACTTATAATTCCCGATTTCGATGTTGAAAGTGGCCCATATTTCTCCGTAGATTAGTGCCGCTTCATGCCAGAATCGAGAGACGAGGAGAAGTGTCTCTAATGGATGAAATAAGTCCTCGGAGAGAGCATAATGTGCGAATATTTCTCCGAGAACATCGCAGGGAAGGGAGGTGACCATGGGGTAGTCCAAGTTAGAGTTTAGACGCCGAGTTAGAACACATGGCAACAATAGGAAGGGGCGATTGGATACATTCAGATATCAGATTATCGGTAATCCGGCTTGAATCCTGAATAGCCACCTCCAAGCGTCCTTACGAGTCGATGGTCACCTCCATCGAGCGTTGTTCAGCTTTCACTGGACGCAATATGCACTGCTATTCATAGCATCGAAGTATATATGGCTACTGCGGACGCTCCAAGCCTTCAATCATGTCCGCAATATCAGGGTTCTGGGTATACATGGTCGAGGTACGCAAAATTCGAAAGAATGCCGTCCAAGAATCCATGTCAGATGAAATCTCTGCATCTCCCCGTTTTTCTACACACGAGACGCAGACGCGTCGGCATGAAAAAGGACAGTCGGTAGGGTCGACTTTGCCAATAGTCCCGCCAGGGTTCATAGAACCATCTCTGGAATCCCTTACGAGTCCCAGTATCCCTTCCAACGCGGATTTGTCGGCCTCTAGGTGAACGAGAGACAGTATCGATTGTAGGATGAGGCAGAGGGTAAATTTGTGGGTGTCTATGGTGAGCGCTGATACCTCGTCGAGGATGGTCAAGTGTGTGACGGTGGAGAGGAAAGAGACACGGGAAAAGATGGTGAAAAGGAAGCGGCGGCCCTGTATCCGTAGCGTCACCTGGGACAAAAGAGGCGCTTGTACGCTGTCGAGATTACACCACAGTCCATCTCTGCCAATCTCTACATTCCTGAGTCGCGGTAAAGAGGCTGGCAACGTGCACCCGTCATTAGCCGTCAAACCGAGAACGAGTTTCTCAACGGCATTGCCGAGTGGGATCATGGGATGCTTCGTATGTCTGCCCTGGTGTACAGTGCGAATGATGGTGACTTCTCGCGCGGCGGACATGTCGGGGTAGGACGAAAAAGGGTAATTGGAGAGAGTACACGTCCGAAGGTTTGGCGAGAAGGGTAGAAAGGGATTTTTTCGTCGACTGTCGCCACTTGGATTGAGATATCCAAATGTGAGGGTTTCGAGTGCCGGGGTCGGGTAAAAGAGTGCATCTAATGCGAAGCCTAAGTGATCCACCCATCCAGCGTGTTTATAGATCCATTCTTGGTTACCGAAACATAGATGGAGTGAACGCCACCTCTTGGCTAACGATCCTTTATGGCCATTGAAATCTTTGAGAATCTCAATCATAAAGTATCGGACTGAACAGGCATTGAGAATGACTGCTGATGACCGTTCGTTTCCTTTGAGGACGTTCTCGTTGAGATATTCTGAGGCGCAAGGGTGATTCGGGATACTGCAGACGTTACGAATGCGAATGTCCAGTAACGTTGTCGGCCCTATGCGGTCCAGACGCCGCTGAAGTCGCGTTTTCCATATATCCATCGACTTGAGATGCCCGACTTCAATGTTGAAGCGGGCCCAGATACCTCTGTTGAGCAGCGCCGTGTCGTGCCAGGATCGAGAGACGAGGAGAAGCGTCTCCAATGGATGGTATAGATCCTCGGAGAGACCATACCATGCAAAGACCTCTCCGAGAACGTCGGACGGAAGAGAAATGGGCATGGAGTCGAAGTCAGAGTTTAGGCACCAGTATGTAAAAGTCAAATGAAGATTAGCAAAAGACTAAGTCCAGAGAAAGTGAGCTATCAGCTGCGTGCCACCGTGTACAGTATGCCACGCTCCATGTCCTAGTTCTTCTTCTTCTTACTCTTCTTCTTTCGCGGCGTCTTCTTTGGCGTAGAGTTTGTAGGCTTTGCCTTTGGCGTTGTCGACGTCGGTAGTGGCATGTCGTCGCCCGGTCGACCGCCAAAGACCTTTGTTCTGCCGTCTTTGAGTGTCTCTGTGATCACGGGTGAAGCTGCGGGTCTAAACTTGTACTGCTTCGAGTATCTAACCAAGCAAGGACACGTCAACCTTTGCACTGGGGACGGATATACAAAACTTGAGAGTGTGAGTACATACCTATGTGCATGTACAATCTGTTTACCGCGAATTTTCTCCATTGCCATGTCCCACGCCTGCTTTCGGAGCGCGACTTGGTCTGGATCTGTCCACGAGAGCCAGACATAACCCACGAATAGAATTAAAAGGGTATATAGTGCAGATTTACACCAAATGGAACTCGATGGCTTTGGTCTTCGTGTCAGTTTACGCGTCGGCGGAGGTGTTTGTGGAGTAGATGCTAGTTTCGAGGCTGATTGTCCCACTGGAGCGGTATCTTCAGACTTTGATGGTTGAGGAGAAGAGGAATCTTCTGGAGTTTGAGGCAGTTGGGTCATTGCCGCAGAGGAGGACGTGTCCAAGTTTGAGCTCTACTCTACAACTCGTTAGGATTGCATCTACAATAATAATCTCACAAACCTTAGAGGAGGCAGAAGGAGCGCACCCATGAAGCCGACCATTCCTTTGCTCCTCCTCGCGGGCCTTGTAAATGCCTCGTCAGGCGACCAAAACACTCGCTTTCAATACTGCTTGCAAAGCCAGAAATCCCAAAGATGTACACCCGACTTTCAACTCCCGCTCAGCCTCCGTTTGACCCGCTGGACGTGCGAAGAGGATTGCAAGTATCGGTGCTCGCATATCGTGACGGACATTGCAATACGGGAAGGGAGACAGATAGAACAGTATTATGGCAAATGGGCTTTCTGGCGCTATATGGGCATCCAGGAACCCCTCTCCGTCCTTTTCTCCGTGCTCAATCTCTGGGCGCATCTTCGCGGGAGTAACAAGTTGCGAAGAGGAATCGCCAGGAATCATCCCATGCGTCCCTATTACAACTGGTTCACCGTCGTGAACGTTAACCTCTGGTTCTGGTCTTGCGTCTACCACACTCGAGGTGCGTTATTCCCCGCATACTTTCTCTATTGACCATTTATAATATAGATTGGTGGTGGACCGAGAGATTAGATTATTTTGCAGCAGGACTTGGCGTAATTTACAGCGTCTACTATTCCGTCGTCCGACTATACCACCTCTACCTCAAACCCGGCTCCTTGCCCTACGAATCCACCTTCCGACACCACTTCCTCGTGCCCTGGGGTGTCCTCTGCACCGTCCTTTACATCGTTCACGTATTCTACCTCAGCGTCCTCCCTCGCTTCGACTATGGCTGGAACATGAAAGTCAACCTGACTGTCGGGGTCCTACATAATCTTCTATGGATGGCGTATTCGCTTCCATATCCACCATTCCAGCGATTCAGGACGATGCCGAATAGCTATCGGCCCTCGTATGTTTTCCATCCGGCTCTCATCGTGCTCACGATGTTTGCGGCTATCAGTTTGGAGATTATCGATTTCCCACCATTATGGAGGACCATTGACGCCCACTCGCTTTGGCATCTCGCGACCGTGCCCATTGTCTGGCAATGGTACGACTTTCTCATCAAGGACGCACAGGATCCTTCGTGGAGGGATCGAATGCTCACTTAGACTCGTGGACTTTGTGTTCACGATGAGCCATGTTCTCTTGGTCATAGACGCTACAAAACTTTGGACCTCATCGGTGGTTCGTGTATGATCTGGAGCGAGGAAAGGGTGGTATATGGCATAAAGGCATGTAAGCATACAATACATTAATCCTAATCAGAAATTTCGAATCCAAGTAGCGTGGCAGTCTCAAACTTGCGTCTGAGAACTACCACTGCACTCTATGCCATCCGCATATGACGAGTGCTCCCGGGTGTCGCCTACTTCGAGTCCTCTCGCCGCCCCGCCGAGCCGGCCCCGAGACTTGGAACCAACGACGTCGAGAATCTTCCTTTCGACTAATCCGGGTGGAGGGGATACAAGAAATTACGATAGCCAAACCGAAACAGACCGAGACCGAGACTAGGAGACCATATCTGGGGGATACTAACTAGAACGCATTTCAAGGCAGAACGCGAGCTCTCTTGGAGCGGGCCCCATTATACAACGGGTAGATGTCGGTTGGGAATGGGATGGAGGCATGTCGTGCCTTCCAGTGTCTGAACATTCCACCGCGACGAAAGGAGTCGAAGCTACTCAAAGTCAGCATCAATTCTGTACGGCAACCTGAGAATACCATTCCACGCAAACTGCTTTGTTCGTTTGGCCCTTGATGTGGTCGTCCAGCCGACTCTTGGTGCAGAAGCGGGCCACCGCTCTGGGTTGATTCGAGACGAATCGTGAGCCTGTGGTGCTCGTGGGCCTTCCTACTTACCCATACTCATCGCTACAGGTCTCGCATCCAGCACCTCTCCCCGGGCAGACAAAAGGACGGTAGTCCAGACATGCTCGAACGCATCCCAGCGCGCGACAGCGACTGTTTTTGAACTTTCCGCAGATCATGCACTGAAAGCGCCCTTTCTCCTTCTCAACAAATGCAAGGAGGATTGAGGAGCCGAGCTCGAGTCCATGGATTGCAGACCAAGTCTCGGCCCCTGTTTGGAGGAGCAAAGAGTCTGCACCAATGTCTCCTATCGCCGGCTCCGGTATGTCTCCAAGATATTGAAAGCTTTGGAGAAATGCTTCGAGGAGTTTGAGGTGCAATGGCGAATGAAGGAGGCCAGGAGATAGAGAGGTGACATTTATGGCCTTTCTGGCCTTTTGCATTCTATCGCCTTTATCAGTACCGTTCATCATACAACGCCTCGAGGAAATCTCCTGGGGACGCCTTCGCACACAGGAAAGAACCCCGAGACGATTTTGACTCGCACCTACATCGGCCGAGTGCTGATTATTATCGCATACCCCTTGTACGCTCTCATGGATATATTCATTGGCCAGGGAAGAAGGCTGCTCCCATTGATTTAGCATCTTATTTGGATAACGCCTTGCGCACGTGTAATAGTCCATCTACACAGCGGGTAATTCGTGCAAGTTCCTTATGGCATGCACGAGGGAAGCTCACCCATAGATCCAATTCGCTGGGCTGTTGGTATTGTGCTGGAAGCGGGATACCATAGTATACGCCGGTTGGAGGGAGGAGTGAAATATGAGTAGATGCCCGCGAAGGGACGGCCACGCTCGAGAAGTAGATTTGCCCGAGGGAGGGATCAGACTCTATATAGCCTCCTGGAGTGGTCGTATATGCGTCAAGTGCCACCGATAGTGGGTCGAAAAATCCACTGTCAGAACCAGCCATTTGCAGAGATGTTGGGTACTCTCGGAGGGCTAGCTGGAGCGAGTTATAAGGAAGACTTTATATAATTACAGCCCACGTACGTTCAAAGGTACATGAGGCAGACGGCCCTCACCGCCGCTATGAATCAATTGCCACCCAGCCGGAGCGGAGCGTGAATACAAAGTGTCGGTGAGTATACACAAAGGAATTGAATATTAGGATGTACGTGAATTAGAGTTATCCAAATAAGGACACGAGACGGCCAACAGGCCAAAGTCACCTGTCACCTGTTCAAGGTGAGACTGACAAGTTCCTTGGGGCATGCCGCCTGCTAAATCAAGAGACTGAACTGATGGCTGTCATGTCACTCTCTCCCTTCGATCAGCTGGTTAGCATAGCATCTGACTGATAGGAAGACAATGCTGCCGGTTAATATGTAGACAAACTTCCAATAGACGATTGATTTTCACTGATAGTTCGTAGATGGCTAACTGACTTTAGAAGCCACGATCCAATCAAGGATGCCTCTCTCCATCAATTTACTTGTAGAGAGTACGGCATCTTGCACGTGACTTCCGACGACTGCCTTGTACCCTCGCACACGCAGGTATTATGATACACAGGTCAGGGTTGGAGATCAGAGGTCTCACTGCCTGGGGAAGCAAAGGAGAAGGGATAGCGTTATTACACCCATGAAATAAAGCAGCCTATTGTGTATATGAGACTATGTACGCCAAGAGTGAGAGTACCAGGGACGCCCAAAAGGCTCCGCCACAGCATCCACAATAAAAGTCGAGTAGCAGAGAACCAAGTGCGATGCCGAAAAGTCTCACACGTGGAGGTTAATATGGTGAAGTAGTGAATGGGATGGTTGTTATAGTCGTAGTTTATGAAGTGTAGAAATAAATTGAAATAAGCTGATAGAACATCGGACAAGGGACTAGGAAAATGTAAAATCTACATTAAGATAGAGTCAAAATGTGACGGAGATAAACGATCAATGCGACGAGATTCAGGTCAAAGAGGCGAGAAATGGACACCCTTTGAGGTGCAAACCTAACGATTAATAAGTCTCTGATTGTGATGACGAGGATTCGAAAGCCAAGGATGGATTAGCGACAACTGGGGATGAGTTCTGGTTGGTTTTAGTCCTGGAATAGGCATGCTGTGAAGCAAGGGTAACTGAGCATTTTTTGTGTGGGCTCTACCATATTTTCGATAATGGTCGAATGGAAAAGGTATGGACGAGTGTCGGGCAAGCCAGTGCTTGTACATTCCCCCACGGCGCAGCGAGTCGAAGCTGCTAGGTGTCAGTGAGAATTTTGCGATGCAGCACCCATAATCACCACTCGATGCAGATTGCTTTTTTCGTCTGGCTGTTTACGTGGTCGGTCAATCCACTCTTCATACAGAAACGGGCTCTATCTCTGTATATGAATCGACCAACGAGCATCCATCATGCCACTATATGGCACTAATATGCTCACCTATAGCCATCAATGCATAAATTACATCCACTTTGGTTTCCAGGACACACGAAAGGACGAAAATTAAGACATGCTCGGACGCAACCCAAGGCGCGACATCGACTGCCTTTGCTGTTGCCGCATAGAACGCAGATATACTCCTTCCCCCTTTTCTCCACAAGGACGAGAAGAACGGAAGACCCATTTTCCAGCTGACAGAGCATGCGTCTGCCTTCTATTCCCATTTTCGACATGAGATATGAGGCATCATGACTGCCTACTGTCGGTTCCAGGGAGTTTTCTAGATATTGATGGCTCTTAAGAAACTGTTCCACTAGCTCCACTTGCCCTCTGTTGGGATATGTTGCCGGCAAGGAGTCCGGGAGACTCTGTAATTTGACGTGTTGTACTGCTCCTGTCAAACAACGAGGACGCATGGATATCCTTTTCTCGGAGGCTAGGTGTACTTCCGGGAGTATGGCCGGTAGAGGTGTTACTGGTTGTCCACTCGGATACCCGTCAGCACCGAATCCAGTGACACAAAGATTCCTATTCGATGCCAACTCGCCGAATGGCATCGCTTTCATCGAATAGTACCCTTGGGTCTTCATACCTCTCGCATTACATACAATTGAATCGCAGGCTCATTTGTGATTGTAAAGGCATGTACTGCCCGTTATGCGTCTCTGTACTTGCCAGATCTTCATATAGATGACGACGTTGGACGCCCATCGTCGCAACTATAAAGCGTGGGTCGGTATTAAATGGCCCATTCGAAGTCCAGCTCGAGTCAACGACAATTAAACCTCTACCCAGTGTTTTAAGTACATAAACTGAAACGATAACACCACTCACGGGTTTGTATATGCCATAGGATGGACTAAAGCGGGGAAGGGGTGTCAGTACGAGAAGAAAGACCCGTAGTTGCTGCGACGGCCTTTTATCACGATTAATGGGTATTCAGCTGATAGGTATATTGCTATTCTCCAGGCCTCCCCGCCTCAAATCAATGGAACAAGTAAGCACTGTCGCAGGTTGGCTCGGTTACAGTGCTCTGATCGTATTGAGACGACGTCAAGTTTCTGACAGACATAAGCCACATCCCAGCACTAACCGTCTCCATGAATTACGATCAGAGAACTTCCATCGATCGGAGAAAGACACTCATAAGACAGTCGCCCAGAACAAATCAGCATAAAGAAAAAACGTAGTGCAGTGCTGATTTGGATTGTGGCCCGACGAGCGTGATCTGCCATATCCAGCCTTGCGAGTTATTAGTCGGCAGGTGCCTAGGCCGGGATGTGTGCACAGCAGTTCATAGTCGAAATATCTCAGACGGTGTAGAAGATGTAGTTCCGACTATCCAATAAGCGGCACAACTTGAAGCCAATTCGGCAATCATGTTGATTGGATTGAGCCCATAGAATAGAAATGATCTGATCATGAAATGAGCGACGCCAATATATGATATGAAACTCAAGGTAAGATTACATAGGCTCATACATAGCGCATGATGAAGCAGAAACCCTATATGTAAATGCTCAGACTTTATCGTGACTCTTGTATCCAGGGTAAGTTGTGAATGGAAACGGAGAAGATGCATGCTGGGATTGCCAATGTCGGAACATTCCCCCACGGCGAAACCAGCTCCAGCTGAAGACGATTAGCGGCCGATCTGGGTTCAAACGTGCTATTTACCATCCAATGCATTGCTGTTTATAAATCGGACCCTGGATATGCCCATTCAAATGATTTTGTGTAAAGAAACGAGCAGCGTTTCTGGGCAGCCAAACGTTGAGTAACCAGCAGTTGGCAACAGTGGCTCACCCAGACATTTTAGAGCACCGATCACAACCAACCACAAGGCCGGGACAAGCAAATGGTCGATGGTTCAAACAACCTCGCACGCATCCCAGAGCCCTATCTGAAGTCTTTTTGGGCTGGTCACAAAGCATACACCGATAAGCCCGATCACGAATCTCGACGAGGGCAAGCAAAATCGACGATCCTGACTTGATGTTCTGTAAAGAGTCGTGCCCAAACGTCTGGAACTGATATGCTTCCGCGCTCCCCGCAACAGGCTCCAGGAGGTCGAGCCGGTAGTGATCACTGCGGAGGAAGAGATCAAGAAACTCGATGTGAGCCTCACTCCTATTGAGAGTTGGGAGTGTCAATAAGAGCGCTTCGACGCTCGCAAACTTGGAGTATTGTTGCCGGCTCCGTCTGGTGGCCCTTTTTGATAGTGGTGGAGAGATCGCTGTTGGCGAGCTAGTCGAATGACGTTTTGAGGGAACGGAGCCTGTCGGTGCTTTCGAAGATAGGTGATAATCCCAATCCGGTGCCCGTACGGGGTAGGAAGAAGGCGTGTGTCGAGGTTGTAACGTCTGGCTTTGATCACGAAACCCGAGACCGCCCCTTTGAAGATGGACATGGTCAGCATACGTCTGCTCATACACATCATTGAATCCCGAGCCCGAGCCACGAATCACTGAGACACAAGTCGAATCCGAACCGTTACCGAAGTCTTCGAGATATTGTGAAGGAGGCGATCCGAATCGAATATTATGCGACACAAGCTCCTCAGTCCTCAATCCGCTCACCTGGTCACCCGTATGCGCAAAAAGGGAACGAGTCCGCATTTCAAGGCTGATTGGATTTGATATCAAGGAAGCCTCGTCCCCCGGTTGTTGCTTCAGAAAGCGTTCCCAGAGGAGTGCTGCGTGATAATCTGCAGCAGATTGACCCGATTCAAGAACTTGTCGGCAGTTCTTTACTGAAAGGTCGTGACTCTGTGAGCATGGTTGGTTGATGTCGGCACTCTGTAAAGTCTGGTTAGGTAGTAAAGTAGATCGTAGAACTTGACGAACCAACGAAGGCTCAACAGAGTTTGGATGCCACTGAGATGATTCTGCGTGGAAGAAGTCGAACGAAAACGATGGATCGGCACGCGGCGAATCATCTACACCGCAGAGTGAGTAACCGAGCCAAACCGAATTCGAGCTTCTTCGTCATTCCCACGAGAATGACTCGGCTCCACCAGGATATTATTGGTACGAATGAGAGAAGGTTCGCCGGGCGAAATGGAACTGAATATGTTCGCAAGGGACTGGGATGCACGTACTGGGTACGTATGATTGAGCTAAGGATACAGGAGGAACCCTGTAATGATAGCTCTCATCAAATTCAAGCTGTGCCCAGCCAGATGTATTATGGCCCGACATTATGATCGCTGAAAAGACTGGTCCGACCGCGGGAGAACGGCGTGGATGTCTTTGGTTCGGACACAAATGAAAAGATCTCTTATATGCTCAGTTGCGTGGATCTGGATCAGCTGGACATGGTACAAGGTTATCACCGCCCCTTCAATAGGAGGCTGACAAGACCGTGTGGGGTATCCGCCCCTTGAATTGACGATCGAACTCGTACCTCGTAATGTCGCCCTCTCCCCTCCTTCTCCATTCGATCAGCTGGTTGAGAGAGCACTGAGACGAGATAGCAGTTTTGCTGGTTGGGTAATCGCGGCTTCCATAACGCAATCTACAGGGAGAGTGTGGCACTACGTCGCCAGCGCATTACCAAGAACGGATAGTCAACATCTAAGAAAAGGCACCAATCTCATCGCTTTACATGTGGTGACCGACAGCTTGGACAGAGTCTCCTGCGATCGTCCTGACCTGTGTACCAGCGCTTCAGGCCTTTGAGACTGGCCAGGAAGTCACATGCGTCGTTCAAACACACCCGAGTTAACTCGGATTCTGGGACGTGTTCAAACGTAATCGGACAAAGAACCGTCCTAACGTGCAATCGGCGCTCCACTCCTGCATCGAGCTCGTCCTTTATCTCGGCTGCGTTTAACAGTTTCTTTCCATTGAGTTGCATCCTCCTGGTAGGCATTGTTCGAGTGGAGGCTGGGGAAGGAGGGGGTGACGAGGCGAGCGGTGGAGCAGGCGCAAAGATGTCATTGCCATACAGTTCCCAGAGCATGAACGTAGTCCGTCCACGGAAAACCTCTCTAAACGGCTGGACGCCAAGCCATTCGACGCGATATGCATTGGCGAAGAGGATGGAACGCAGGGTGGTAAGCCTTGGAACAATAGTCTTGTGGCCGGTGTGCTTCTCATTGCGACATGGTGGGCAGACGAAAGAATCGAGGGTGTCGTCTGGCGGGATGCGGTATGATTTTGGGAGGACGATGCGGTTTGCGCAAACGGTGCATTCGATCCAGGGACACGGCTTTCGTTTACGACAATAGTAACATCGAGGAGGTATCTGGTTGGTTTAAGTGTGCGTGTAGCTTAGAGAGAGGAGAGACTTACTCGCAGACCATCCTCGTCTTCGATGACATACTGAGCTCGACACCAACGCTCAGAGCATTCCACCCAGCAACTATGAATTTCGCCGAGATCTCGCCAATCTTGTGGATTTTTGTCAGAGTCGACGCACATCCCACATCGCATGGCTTCGTCGTTCCCTGCCTTTCCTCCATCTTCGTACGATCCAACTTGATGCATCATCGTCTCCGAACGACGGATACCGCATCCTTCACACACTCGCTTCCTATCGCCGATGCCGCGGGTCTTCATTGGTGTCCACGGTACGCGCGCCTGGAGCTTTATATCCAGTTGCTCCTCCAGATATGCGTACCGCGCCATATTGAGGTACAGTGCGCGTTCTTCAGAGGATAAAGCTTCCTCTGAACACGGAGCGGAAAGGATAAAGGAAATGAATTGCGTCGTAAAGTTTTCTGGAGTTCGTGCATCGATCCATTTACCCGCCATACCTTCGACCACACCACGAGCGGGCCGCTCGAGATGTGGAATTCCAGCAGTGATTGCGACGATTGCGAGAATGATGGCAGTACGAGGCGAGTAAAGCATCCCCTCGAAAGCCAGATGGGGAAGCAGACGAAAGACGGTCTGAGGAAGGGCCTTTCCGACGTCGATGAAGCGTTTTGTACTAGTAGAATCTCCTGCGGGAGAGATCTGGCATCGTCAGCGGTGGCATTCGACGGGTTTAATTCACCTTTGTGTAGCGCAAAAGGTTGCCAATCTTTTCGAGTAACCGGTGGTCGTAGCTTGTACAGAGATTCGAGAGGTCATTTTGCGAGATGCCGAGCGTGGTGACTGAACCTTCTTCGAGGATGAGGAGATCTCCGGTGGACGGCTGAGCGTTGGATGTCTCATCTCGGTTATGAATGAGTTCATATACCTCGCTCTCGCGATTAGAGCTAATGGCTGCCCAGTTTTCGATAGCTTCGCGAATGTCTGTATTCCGAATCTTGGTAAGACGATTCAAAAAGGTGGTGATGAGGAACTCTTGGGCAGTAAAACTAGGCCACGAGGTGGCTGAGAATGATTGCTGATCAGAAAGGTAATACCCTATCCTGATCTTGTACGTACCAGACTTCCACATCTCGGAGAACAGCTTGACTCTGTAGAGCGCCTCTACGTCCAACTCCGCCACAGCGTATAAGAGCGCGACAACAGATTCGCGAACATCGGAAGTTTCATCGTTTGCAGCAAGGGGTAAATGCTGTGGTTGTGTCGCTGACGATGCTTGAGAGTCTTCCACCATGGGTGTCTCAACGATGGGGCGCAGCCGACCTTTAAGGGCATTGTAGCGGCTCTGCTCTCTCGGGAGAAAATCCTGTGAGGAATAGTCCTCGTCCCTGAGGACCTTTCCATCCCACTCATCCGGTTTGGACGCTGCGGACGTGTCAATAAAACGGATGCGAATTCCAAACAAAGGCCGTACTTCGATTCTCTGGGAGATGCTTTGTGATGTCGTCTTCGAAACGAAGAGAGGTCGCCGCAAGATTTGTAGGCACCGCAGTGTCCTCTACGGAAATTCCAGGTAAGGCCAGGTGCTCCAGGACAAGATGTATCGTCGATGCGACGAGTATCTTCATGAATGTACCTCCTTCAGTAGACAAATGCGGTTCCGGCTCGTACCGCTTCGGCATGGTAGCCTGCTCTTTGTTCCCAATGACATGCGTATGCCCGCGAGTAAGAGTACCCAACATGACCCAAAATGCTGTGTCTTCCACAGGCATGGTCGCTGGGAGAAAGGTGAATACTCTCAGCTTTGCAGCGCTCGCAGCTCGACACAGGTGAACCCAGTCGAGACACTTGTCTGCCGGAAAATTTGCCCCGCGCGGAGTAGGGAAATTCATCGACTTTAGATTAATTTTGGTAGCGTATCGTCGTTGGGAGGGTGATGCGCAGCAATCTCGAGGAGGCGATTGAACCCTCGCTGCGAACGATGATGGGGTGGCGAATCGGTAAACCAGAGTACGAGCGTATCCTCCTCTACGTCCCCCTTTGTCTCTTCCTTTGATCTGGAATCACCAAGAATGTCGAGTAACTTGCGGAGTGCCGTCTTTGCCGCCTCTGGATAATCCCCTCCACCTTCCGCAACGAGTCCCTTAACCCACTCGCCCAAGATCCTCCCACGACCTACATCTCCAGCTTTATTCATATCAGGTGGCTCATCCCAGCCACTCCACTCTACGACGTCGTCAATCGTCAACAGCGGCTCCATCAACCGCGCCGCCTCGTCGTTGACAGGGACAGGGTCAATCACGGAGCGCTGTCCGATGCTGAGGACCGGGGTTGGTAATAATCCTTGTAGGACAAGACCCCGATGCGTCGGATGCGAGAGGTGAGGCCGCGAATGGCTTGGAGCTGGGGGATTATCCGTACGAGTGCCATGAGATCTGATCATTTGCGTATTAAAAAGGTCAGTACGCGTATGGCAGATGCAAGGATTAGGGTCGAGCACGCACAATGATCCATGGATCCAGTCGAGTCGATGACGACGACGATATCGATAGGTTTTGAAGGTCCATTGGAATCCTTAGGGAGTTGATCGCTCATCGTTCACTGATGGCTCGGGGAGTAACGCCCCAGATGCAAATCCAGATAGCTTTCACTCCTTCGTAGTAGACCAGAAACCGCGTAGAGAGAATATGTGGTACCCTTATTTATCTCTACCTCTTGGAATGTACGGGCCAACGCGTATAGAAAGTCGGACGAAGGTGACTAGTTCCAAGTTTTGTCTGGTCGGCGCTAACCCTTCATGACTCTGACGAAGCGAGTTACCTATCCAAATCACAGTAGTTCCATCTTCAATAGAGTCGCTGCTCTCAAAGGCGACATATGCGGTTGATTCGCCGCACCGAGCAGAGAGTGGATGCAAAGGGTGAGGCGTCAGCCTCTTTCGTAAATTCGTGACAGGGCTATTCGTACAGCAACGAGTACAGGATGTATGGTGAGTGTATGGCACGCAGAGAAGTGTTCCTCGAGCGGTAAATAGGGGATGCACGGATAGATAGGTGGTGATTTTGAGTTGTAATGCGGCAGCGTTAGGGTGAGTATAGGCTAGAGGAGCGGTAGCGGGCGTGAGAGTACTAGGTGTGTGTGAGGTAGTGTGAGGAGGAGAGTGCGTGCCATAGATAGGAGTGCGGTTGCGGATGCGGGATGCAGGGTGTGGGTGGTATGGTGTCCAGCTAATAAGTCAAAAGAGTGTAGAAGATAGGTAATAAGATAGGCCAGCTGATGGGTCGTAAATTTTTGTTTGATCGTAAATGTGCGACGCGACGCGATTTTCGGAGTGTTTGACAGTTCCCGGAGAGCACCGATGAGCAGTCCAGAGTGACATTCGTGCGTGTGAGTGGCATAGGCGGCATAGAGGGGCATACTGGCATAGAGGGCTTGGTCGGCGGACGACGAGCGAGGTCAGACGGACAAGGGGAAAGAAACGCTCGAGTCGCCCAGGGACCACTCATCGATCGCCTCTTCGCCCTGCCTTGCCGACTTTTTCTTTGCGCCAGCCGCATCAGGGTGCACGGCATCGACAGTCGTGATGTAGTCCTCTTGCCAATTGGGATCCGTTGGCTTGTGATAACTGTTCCAGTGACGCTTCACACTGTCCTTGCGTGTGTAAACCGTCGTCACCGATTTGGGGTGACCGGGCCTATTGTTATACACACGTTGCATGGTTACTGGGTCGTGTTCCACGTCGCCGCAGAGAGTGCATACGTAGATGCGCTTATCTTTGGCGCCCTCTTTGAAATGGCTCTGATAGTGTCGTTGGACGTCTGAAAAGCGCTTGTTCGAAGGCACGAAATGGCACACTGGGCAACTCCGCATGTCCGATGTAAGTTTCGGCAACGTATCGAATTTGCGTTTCATCATTTTGGAGATTTGAGCGCTTTCAGCGTCGGACTGGTCCTCGGAACCGGTCGTCTTTCGTCTCTTGTTGGCTCCAGAAGCAGACTTGCCACGCTTGCGCTTCTTGTCGTCACCATCATAGTCGTCGTCCGTGTCCTGTCCATTGATATACTCATCATCTGTATACTCTGCGTTTACAGTGCGACTCTCGGCAGGTTGCTGCTTGGTCTTGCGAGGCGCCGCCATCCGCTTGCTAGTCGTCTGGAGAGCGGGTACAGCAGGGTAGTACGATCCAAGGGCCTCACTCTGCTCGACGGAATACTGAGCAAACTCGGACCACGGCGTCGAATGCCGAGTGCTTGGTGAAGACGTTGCGCACGCAGACTGAGCGCTAAGCAAACTGGGGTCGATACCTCCTGGTGCTTGCTGCAAGGAGCCAATGCTTTCCGCACCATTAAACGTATTGGAAAAGTAGTTGACGGGAATGGAAGCGCTGACAATGCTCGCGTTCCTGGTGTGCGCAAATGGTGTGAAGGGCGAACCAGCACTGCTCCCACTCTCTTCAATCTCCGAATGATGGTATGAAGAGCGGGCAGTGGGCGAGACAGATCGGCGCGTGGTACGGAGTGCGTCGCCTAACAGCATGGACTGTGAATACGCAATAGACGACGACCGACTCGCGAGAATCAGCGATTCGTGAGCCGGGAGTCCGTTGTCTGCGGTCACGAGCGTTGCGCCATGCATAGGAGAGTAAGACGCAGACGTTGGTGCCGAGCCAAACCGGGTATGCCTTGCAATCCGAGGAGAGACAATGGCAGCAGGATCAATCGTTGCCGGATAAGGGCCCATTGAGGATAGGAGAGTGGCGCCAGCATTCACACTGGCGTCTAATTGAGGTGGGAAGGCAAACGGTGCACTGGCGGGGTTAATCCGCTGAGGAGTCGGGCTGGCGAGGGTGGGAGCGGTGACCCGAGCGTGTTCATTGATGACCAACGGGGGCAGATTGACCGCGGGAAAAGTTGAGCGGCCTGGTTCGACCACAGAGTGGGAGGCAAACGAAGCTGACAGCTGGAGCGAGGGACGTTGGCTATGGAAGGATTGAACCGAACGAGCGGAGTAGGCGGATCCTGGCCTGCTCAGAGTCGCTGGAGCCGTGCGAAAGCTTGGTGTGGGCGAAGAGACTCTGGACAGTGGGTGTGCCGGATGTAGAGCTGCGGGAGCGACGAAAAAGGGGGCCGAACTGGTCAGATGATTCGAACTGTGAAGAGCATTGGGCGAGATGGTGGACTGATTGGGAGAAGTATGAAGAGACGCAGCATCTCCGGAGTACATCGGAATCAGATCTTGGGGGAGGATCGTCGCTTGATTGCCTTGGGCCGCGAACTGGCTCGAAAAGTATTGAGGCAAGTCAATTAACGAGAGTGGGTCCTCCAAGGGAGTATGGTAGGCACTGCTCGGCGACGTCGACGGATTTCTGGAAAGGACTATTGGGTTGATGCCTTGCTCAGATGACGGGAGAGGGCCGAGAGTCGGAGGAATTGGAGTGATGAGCAGCTCGTCGTCGGAAATTGCTGTTGGTCGATGAGTATCCTGGAAGGGCCACGTCGAGCGACAAAGAGTTACACACCGTAGGACAATGGATTGGATGCGACGTTGGAGTAACTGTCATAGTCAGTACCGACAAAGTCACCAGGGAGGGAAGGCATGGGGGTATTCTCCATGACTTTAATCTCTGGAGCGACGTTGTAAAAGCCAGAGAATGCCTCGGCTTGCAGGTCGACAAAGGTCTGAGCAGGGTTGAAAACAAAGTGCGGGTGTTGGCTGGCAACAAGGTCGCATGAGCAAAACATGGGGTACGATAACGTGGTAGGAAGAAACATACGAAGTCATTGCGTAGTGGTCCTGAATGGTGCGTGCTTTGGCGTCGTCAAGACGTGAGAGTTAGAGAGCGGCGTTGAAGCTCGTGGAGCGTTCGTTCGTGTAGAGAGTTCGTGACTGGCGTAGATTAAAGGCGAAAGGGAGCCAAAGATGGATGGGGACGAAAGTAAAGAGTGTCGTGCTTGCGCTGAAGACGGTTGTTTAAAGCTTCCAGAGCGTAGCGAGACGACGAGTGAAAAGGAAAGTCGTAAGAAAAGAAAGAACGAGGATAGAACGAGGGAGGAGCTGGACGTGGACGGGATCAAGGTGTAAAGACGAATGGGGCGGTCCAAAGGGACGTCTAGATGGGCGTCCGAGTATGAATTGCCTGCGTTGATCTACCACACGCGTTTCGCTTGAATGCCCGCCGGGTTGCTATGAGAGGCGCGTACAAAGGCCCCTTCCCAAAATGGAAAATTAGTAGAGACATGCACCGCCGTTTGACGTCGGTGGTTTGGATAACGTCTCGACATGTGTTCCTTGCGTTTGACTGGGCTGTGGTCTTTGCTACGACGAGCAGCGACGAGCAGCGAGCGACGGGGGTCTCGACGACATCGGGCATGGAAGTTTGCGGCCAGTATGCATCTTGTTTCATCCCCTACGCTGGCTGGAATGCCCATATGCTCCAATTCGATCGTCTACAGGCGTCCATAGCTCCAGCAGCGGCCGGCCATTCGGCGCTCGATTCGGAAGGCGTGCACCAGCGTCGGCGAAGACTGAATATATTCACTCAAAATGCATCGGAAGACATGTCAGAACCATATCAAGTCGACATTTGGCACGAAGCGCACCCGATTCACTGGCAACTCGCCTTTGTTCTCGGTTTTCGCCCTGAGTTTCGAAGACGAACAAGGTTCCGACAATGTTTCGCATTGATGTAATAGCACTTTGTCGTCTTTTATTGGGTTGTTGTGCGCTCGTCAATTCGGAACGATCTCACACGAGTTTACCACCATTGACCGCTCCTTCTGCTGCTGTAATAACAAAAGAAGATGAAACCATAGATTACTACAGTACAAGAACTGGCGAATACTACATCCCGTCACGAGAGAATCAAGAAGTCATTCCAACACCTCTTCAAATTTTCGCATCGAATATGCATTTGGACCTGACTGGAAGTCTTGGCGGCCTACAGCAATCCGACGAGTCTCCTCTTGGTGCCGTATCAGTGCCTTTTCAGAGTGGAAGTGCGAAGCACTAGCAATAGATCAGTCGTCTTCCGACTTTTACTTCATTACGCACCGAGTTTTCGAAGTACATCTGCGGCAATTGCAGACATACGGTCGATGACCCAAGTGCTCCCGGATGTGGCCTAGCATATCGTCCATGCTCGACCTGGGGAACTGGAGCATGCATATGTAACAGTAGTAACATGGTTCCGAAATATTCTCAGACTCCAACCTGTAGAGTACTGAATATATGGAAGGGTTACTACGGTCACTGCTCGGATCATCAACCAGTCGCAGCATGGCCGCGACGTTTCGACTCAACGCCGAGCTGAGACTCAACGTAGGTTTCACCAGCCGACGCCCCGTTTGCGAACCGAGTCGTGGCTCGAGATGGTTCTCTTGGTAAAACATGGTCCAGAAGATGCTTTCAAGAAACGGCTGGAGCGCGTGGTCGACGAGTGCGATACCAGAATCTGGGAGTGCCAGGTTGACATCCACCTCCCAGCAGAGACGAGTTCTATCGGTCAGAAGGGAGTAAAAAATGTGCTCAGCGTTGGCGCGTGCGGTCAATGGAACAGTGGACGAGATCGGCGCAGCCATCTCTCCAGTGTGTTTGGTTGTAACGTTGGTCTCTCGATAGGACTCTGTTGGCGCGTTGTTTGGCACGTTGTTTGACGCGTTGGGCAGCGGCGTCGGCGCGGATTTGGAAACCATACAAGGAAGAGAGCACCCTGGTGCTTGGCTGACGCGAGCATCCTGTATTGCCAGTGGTAGATGCGTGTGATGTAAGTCGTACATGACGAGAGCGTATGGTACTAGGCTGGGTTAGGAAAGATGTCAGAACTAGATGTAAACTCACTCCGGGAGCGGTTGCGGATCCAAGATGGTTTGACACTGGCTTCGGAGCGATCAGCCGAGTCGATGATGACCACATTCTCTTCTTCAGAGAAAGGTTCTTGGTCGCAAATTGTTTTGAAAGCAATCCGCGTTTCTTTGAATCCTGAAAGTGACCCGCCTTTGGCTATGTTTCCAGCGAACAGCACAAGGAGCATACCCCTCGAGCTAAAGAAACGGGTATTCCATTCATCTACGCGAGTTTGCATTTCCATCTCAGCATTCCCCGCCCGCGTCAGACTACCCTTTCCAGCCCAAAGAGCAAGTACGTGCTAAGAATAATAATATTAGCCCGCGTTCTAGGTTTTTGTAGCTATACTACGTACCGCTCGTAAAGTAGACCACTCTTCAGGAGTGATATCCCTATCGGAGGCGAAGCATCCACCGAGGATAGGCGCATCTTGCCGACTTTCCTGTTCGAGATCATAAGATAGCACTTGTGGATCGAATACACCATTCTTGCATCGGGGTCGTCTTGTAGGAATGTCCTCTGGATCAGGGAGAGGCTCAGACGATGCTATATCCTGCAATATTGGAGCGTGCCCGCTGTAAATCTCCTTGCCTACAATCGATAATGACGTCATTTGTGTCGTCGAACTGGTATTCCTCTCACTACGCGGCAGTGATATTGGTCCAAACGAGGGAGAGGCGCATTGAGAGGTAGTGATACAGAGCATCGAGGAGACAACGGAATAATTACTCTCAGTCGTAGAGTGGGGACGCGTTCCGTTCCCACTTCGGGCCGAGACTAGTCGCTGTGGAAGAGAAATGCGTTGCGTTGCTGTATGCCTTGTCGAATTGACATATACGCCATTACTCGGTAAACTGTGCGTACCCGGTAACCTGCGTCTGCGCAAGGGGTCAGGACCATGGGACCTGTTCGCACGGAGTACAGAGCCAAGAGAGTTGCCACTCTCCCTCGAAGCTAGTAAGAAAGATAGGGCCTGGTGTGGTGTCGATTCGAATAGTTGTAGATTAGAGGTTCGCCGTTCATCGTATTCTTGACTACTTCTGATAGGCGGAGGCGAGACTAAGGGTGGCAAGTGCTGCAAGGCGCTGACGTTGAAAGGTCGTTCCGAGTCGTGGGGATAATGCAGATTGAGCTTGGTCAGGCGATATTTGTAAGAAAATAGCTCAATTGATGTTTGCCATACCTTGAGACATAACGCAACAAAAATCCCGACGACCACCTCGATGCAAACGAGAATTTCAAAATAGTGAAATGATTCATCATCAGGGAAGTAAAGCCATTTGAACCAGTCGACGCCCGACGTCTTGGATGCGCCCGCAATGCATTCAGCCGGCGGAGTGGAAGCGAGCTGAAAGACACTAGGTGCGGACGAGTTGGTTTGCCTCTGGCTTATGAGGAAAGATACGGCTTTTTCTATGGCTTCTTGCCACATATCTGTGTTGGGATACGTGCGCTAACGTGGTTGAGGCTCAAGAAGCGCCAACAAGCAGTCGCTTGTCAGCCTCTTAGCTAAAAGCACTAGCTTTGGTGCCGTAGGATGAGAACATACAGAAGGCAAAATACAAATTCATATACAAAATTGAACGATAGAAGAAATAAATACACGGGAACCATCGACTATGCCCCCATTAGCATCTCCTTTCCACTAAAGAATATGAATAATAGCGTCCATAGTGCAATAATCAACATGGAACAGACGGATGCTTTGTCCTATCTCAATCCGAGTTGCGCAACTCCTCTTCAAATGTCGGCATCAAATACGCATTTGGACCTGATTGGAAATCCTGGCGGCCTACAGCCATTCGACGAGCCTCCTCTTGGTGCCGTATCAGCGCCTTTTCAGAGTGGAAGCGCGAAGGCTCTGGAAATGGATAAGTAGATCTTCCGACTGCCATTTCATTACGCACCCATATTCCGAAGTACACTTGTGACAATTGCACACAGAAGTACACTGGCGGCAATTACACACATATGGTCGATGTCCCAAATGCTCTCGGATGTGACCAAGCATATCGTCCATGCTCGACTTGGGGAACTGGAGCATGCATATGTAGCAGTAGTAGCACGGTTCGAGAACGTTCTCCGACTCCAACCTGTAGAGTATCGAGTATAGGGAAAGGCTACCCCACAAATCATGATCACTGCTCGGATCATCGATTGCTCGCAACTTGGCCATGGCGTTTTGACTGAACATGGAATTGTGGATAGAAAGTGATAACGAGACCGCCATCCGCCGCCCCGTTTCTGAGCCGAGTCGTGGCTCTAGATGGTTCTCTTGGTAGAATGGAGAAAGGAAGATGCGTTGAAGAAACGGCCAGAGTGTGCGGTCAGCGAGAGTGGAGGAGAATCTAAAAGGGCCTTGTCTTGATCCACCTCCCACTTTATACGGGCCCTATCAGTGGCAAGAGAGTAAAAGATGCGCTTGGCGTTGCCACGTGCGGTCGATGGACCAGCGGACGATAAAGATGCAGTCTTCTCTCTACGAGGATTTGTGGGTACCGAGTAACCTTTTTTGGGGAGCGGCTTGCGTGTCGGCGGACTACCCATCCTAGGAAGAAGGAACCCCGGCGCTCGACTGGCGCGAGCATCCTGGACTGCCCGTGGTAGATGCGAGCGTTGGAGATCGTACATAACAAGAGCATATGGCACTAGGCTAGTGTAAGCCAAGAGTCAGAACTAGGTGGAAACTCACGGCCGCGAGACCGATTGGGGACCATAGATGGTTCACCCCCGTGTTTTGACGTATCAACCGAGTCGGTGATGCTTTCATCCTCTTCTTCTGTTGAAGCGCCCAAGTCGTTGGTAATTTTGAAAGCAATCTTTGTTTCTTTCCATCCCGAGAGCGATCCACCTTTGGCTACGTTCCCAGCGAACAGGACGAGGAGCATGCTCCTCGAGTTAAAGAACCGGGCGTTCCATTCATCTACGCGAGTTCGCGTTTTCATCTCGGCGTCCCGCGCCTGGGTAAAACCACCATCGCCGTTCCAAAGAGCAAGAACGTGCTAAGAATGCCATGATTAACCTAGATTCTAGAGTTCCTGCAGCGACACTGCATACCTCTTGCAAAGTAGACCACTCTCCAGGAGTGATATCCCTATCGTACGCGAAGCGCCGGTACCGCATCGGCGCGTCTTGTTGATGCTCCTGTTCGAGGTCATATGATAGTACCTGTGGATCGAATATATCGTTCTGGTATATAGGTTCTCTCGTAGGAATGTCGCTTGGTTCAGGAAGCGGTTCCGACAATACCATGTCCTGCAACAATGAAGCGAGCCCGCTGTCAAAGTCTTCATTCACAATATATAGAGCTTTCCTGTGTCTCAAACTGGTATTTTTGTCACTACGTGGTGGGAATATCGGTCCCAACGAGGGCGAGGCGCATTGTGAGGTGGTAATATAGAGCATAGAAGACACTAAGGAGTGGCCACTCTCCGTCGAGGGTTGCAGGAGAGATCTATTCTCGCTTGCGGTAGAGTTGAGCCGCCGTGGAGCAGAGGAACGGCGGTCACGACTACTCGTGACACCTGTAGATGTACGGCTTACGGTGTGACGTCGAATACGTGTATCGTCTTGATAATCAGAGGACACGACATCACCCATTTCAGCCGGTCGAACAAACGAGGAAGGAGCCAAGAGACGACGGCGCCTACTAGCCAGCTATACCTGGCAGCTCGAGATAGCGGTATATTCGGCGTATAATGCGTTGAGAAGTGAAATGATGTCCATGACTACGCGATCCTAACATAAAATTAGTGTATGATGAATTCATTTTGGAGACATAGCTGGCAAACAACAAACATGGGTATGAGGGTGGAGGTTTTGAGGTCAATCATCGACGATGACGGGTCCGAAAGAAGGAGAGGCGCATTGAGAACTCGTAATGTAGAGCATGGGTGATGCAACGGAATAATCACTCTCCGTAACGGAATGGGAGCGCGGTCTGTTCCTTCCTCCGGTCAAGGCCAGGTGCCGTGGAAGAGAGGTAGGTTGTGCTGCTGCATGTCTTGTTTGTGCATTGTTGCGTAGGATTGTGGGATCCGACGATGGGGAAGCATGCCGAGAACTTGCTCTGTAGAGGATAGAGGATGTAGGAGAGTGACCGCTGTCCGATTGCATGAAAGGTCTGCTCCCAGTTCTGGCTAAACTGAGCCACTGCGATGCAGCAAGTCCTTGATCCATCCGCTTATACAAGAGCATAGAAGTCGACTGCTGCGAATCGCTAATCTCGTTGAACAAGTCTTCGTCGTCGGCATCAATCTTCGTCTCGGGCTGACTCTGTGATATGTAGTGAGTTCAATTCGCTGTTTGGAGGGTGCATACCTCCTGCCAAATGGTGACTCGGCCGAGCGACGGAGTTGCTGCGCGGCTGAAGCCAGCAGTGACGGCGTCGTGACGAATGGTGACATCAAGATCGAGACCCATTCCGCCACCGAGGAGGAAACGCCATTTGCACCAGTCGACGCCCGAAGCCTCACATGCGCCCACGATGCACTCGGGCGGCGGAGTGGAGGAGGCGAGGCGGAGATGAATCTCAAAGGTGTCGTCGAGAGGTGATTTACTCCCGCTCGAGCCTGCGATTATGACCAACGAAGCAAAGAGGTGACGCCTGAGGACAGACAGCGTGCCGGGGAGATCATATGAGAGAGCGGAGTGGTGAGGAAAGATACAGCTCGATCGATGGCTTCCGTTGACATATTATGGATATTTATATTTATACGACCAAGCAACCCTGCAAACCTACACGGCAAAGGTCGTGGTTAAGGCCCAAGAAGCTCCGCTAGCTGTTCTACCAGTTCGGGAGTTTGATATTGACACCGTAGAAGGATAAAATGTAGAATAAAGAGGGCAGTATATGAGTTCGTATACAGAGGTGAACGGTGTCGACTATTGTCCATTAGCACCTCCTTTCACGAGAGAACATGAAGAATAGCGTCCATAGTGCAAAAGTAACAAAGAACAGGCGAGTACTTTGTCCTATGTCTCATTGACCACGAGGGAAACAATAGGTCAACCCAAGTTGCGCAACTCTTCTTCAAATGTCGGTATCGAGTATGTGGTTGGCGTCGAGTATGTAACCGGACCAGATTCAAAACCGTGCCGGTTTACAGCCATCCGACGAGCCTCCTCTTGGTGTCTGATCAGCGCCTTTTCAGAGTGGAAGCGCGAAGAACTGACAGCGAATAAGTAATTTTTCCTATGCGTAACTCGGTCACGCACCCATATTCCGAAGTACACGTCGAGCAGCTGCACAAATACGGTTGATGGCCCAAGTGCTTGCGGACGTGACCCAGCATGTCATCCATACCCGACCTGGGGAACTGGAGCATGCATACGAGGCAGTAGTAACAAGGCTTGAGAGCACTGTCCGCCTGTGACCTGTACAGTACCGTGTACAGAGAGACAGCGTTCCACACATCCTGATCATTGTTTGGATTATCAATCATTCGCAACTTAGCCAAGGCATTCTGACCCAACATCGAATTGTAGGTGGAAAGGAATGTAGAGGTAGCCAACTGGCGCCCCGTTTGCGAACCAAGTCGTGGCTCGAGATGATTCTCTTGATAGAACGCAGACAAGAAGATGCTTTGAAGAAACGGCCAGAGTGTGTGGTCTCCTGGCGCCACTCCAGAATCCGGGAGGGCTTTGTCGAGGTCTACCTTCCACCTCACACGCGTTTTATCGGGCGCAAACGAGTAAAACATGCGCTCGGCGTTGCCACGCGCGGATGATGGGACAAGGGAAGATGGAGATCTGGGGATGCCACGTGGCTTTACTTCTCCATAGAGGTTGGATGGAATGGCGTAGTGTCTTTCGGGTAGTAATCTACGTGCTGGTGGACTATCCATCCACGGTAGAAGGAACCCTGGTGATCGACTTGCACGAGCATCCTTTAGTACCCGGGGTAGATAGGAGCGTTGCAGGTCGTACATGACGAGAGCATATGGTACTGGCTCTACTATCAGCTTTATGATTAAACCTGGACGGAGACTCACGACTCTGAGATCGACTTGGGACCTGAGACGGGTTGGCTTCCGATACGTCTGTCGAGGCAGTGATAACAGTGGACTTCTCTTCAGGAGCAAGATCCCAATCGTTGGAAGCCTTGAATTTTATCCTGGTTTCTTTCCAGCCGGAAAGGGACCCGCCTTTGGCCACATTTCCAGCGAACAGCACGAGATGCATACACCTCGAGCTGAAGAAATGAGTGTTCCACTCATCCACGCGAGTTTGCGTTTCCATCTCGGCGTTCCGCGTCTGGGTAAGATCACCCTCGCCGTTCCAAAGAGCCAGTACGTGCTAGAAATGCCATTGTTCACCGAGATCCTAGAGCTATGGTAGAGATAATGCTTACATCTCGTAAGGTAGACCACTCTCCAGGAGTGATATCCCTGTCGTAGGCAAAGCGCCGATACGGCATCGGCGCGTCTTGTTGATGCTCCTGTTCAAGGTCATATGACAATACCTGTGGATCGAATGTACTGTTCTGGTATATAGGTCCTCTCTAGGAATGATCCCTGAGTCAGGAACAGGCTCAGACAATGCCATGTCCTGTAACGTAGCCGCGAGCCCGTCCTCAAATTCTTCTGCCACAATAGATAGCTTCACCCTATGTCCTTTTGTGCTGGTACGTGCCTCCTCAGGCAGGAGCATGGGTCCCAGTGATGGAGAGGCACACTGTGAGCTGGTAATGTAGAGCATAGACGACACAACGGAGTGTCCACTCTCCGTAGAAGGTTGCAGGAGAGAACGATTTGCGCTTCCTGTTGAGTTGAGCCGCTGTGGAAGGGAAGCACGCCGGTCATAGTGTCCGTGATCGCCCACAACGCCTCTGGCTCCAAAGTTAACAGTTTGGCGCCGGTTATCCATACGTTCTTGCAACGTAGGATTCACTAAAGCGTTCATTGTAGCCATTGATCAAACGAGGAGGAGTGCCAAGAGACGATGGCGCCTCTGGCTCCCAGCGCTCTATGGGTCGAGATGTGCTATTGCCTGCAAAAAGTCAAGAAATGAACTATCACCCCGGGGAACGCCATAGAATGACAAACATCGCTGGAATACAGGTTAATACGAATTGGTATACAAAGGTGAACGAGGTAGACGAAATAAATACGTGGAACCATCGACTATTCTCCCATGGGCAACGCAGACGTGGATGGTACCGGTGCATGCCCTTGACTGGTGTCGAGCCCAAGAGACTTGGCATTGACCTGGGACTTTTTCTGTACGTCTGGTGATTTGGCTACGCTCTCCTTGGTGGTAGTCGCCTTTCGTACGGGGCAATAGTTTGTCTTGTGCCGTTGGAGGTTGTACTCGCGACCTTTACCCTGAATCTTTGCGCCACTGTATTCGATGGTTAGATTAATTAAGATGCGACGGACTCGTACCCACCAGTCATCACATAATAGAATGTCCGCACCATTATCGTGTCGGTTACGGTCGTGCTTGCGAAGGAATGTCGCTCCACTAAATCAAAGATGAGAAAGACACTGTAATCAATAAGCCCACTCACCAGCCTATTTTCCCATCAGCCTGAACCCGTGTACAGCTGTAAGGGTGGTTCCCAATATGAACTCGTGCATGCTCCTTGGCGCGATCCGTCCTCACACTCGGCTTTCCGCATCCAGGAAACCGACACTTGCTCTGACTACGCCCACCGCCCGTTTCTGAAAGCGCCGCAAGCAACTCGGATGGAACCGCCTTGCCAGCTTTATACTCTTCACACTCGACAGCAAGCTTGACTGCCTTTCGCAACTCTTCATCATCTCCACAATCCGCAAGCGCCTCCTGAACCGTCTTGCGCGCCTGAAACTGGTTGCGCATCTTCCCCGACATGGGTGGACAACTCGTCGGTGGAGCTTGTGGCTGATTCTCTTCTTTGCGAACAATATTGCCCTCCCCATCGAGACTGGCAAACAAAATGTCCTCTGCGGGTACACCGAGATTTGCACCGAGGACGGCGCTGACCTGATAGGCCCAGTCGGGAGGAGTTATGTCGTCCACGTCATCTATCGCCTCAGAGGTATCTGGTCTCCACGAGTTCATGGTGCTCGTGCCCGAGTCGTCTGTGGCAAGGTGCGAATGGAGGTCGGCGGTGCTTTGATGGGCGCGTGGCGAGTTCATAGACCGTGTTCAAATCGAGTATAGCAACTGAGCAATCTCTGTAAGAGACTTGTACCGTGGTAATGGCTATCTGTTGGGCGAACAACATTCCGCGCCTTAGCAGTGCAGTCTCATTATGAACACAAACGAGCTTACCGTGAAGAAAAAGGAAACTCGGTTAGTACTTGGCGTCTTCAAGGTTTAAAATGAATGTCCACAATGCGGTACAAGCGGTTGGCGCGTATCTTCAAGGGCTGGCAGTTGGCCTCAAAGTCCCTAAAGCGGTGCCTTGTGTGTATAATTGACCTAGAAGTGTCCAAGGCACAGAATCCGGGTAACTGGAGCAAATTTGCGGCAGTCGAAGGAAGAAGTTTGAGTCCAAGTTGGCACAAAGGGCAATTCACTACTGGCTACAATGTAAACTATCGACATCAGAACAATCGTTGGATATATAACTACAGCATAAGACAAGCAGGCAAGCAGTCTACTCATGTCCCCAGTCCACGCGGCCACATGGGCGCGCGGAGACTGACTTGGATAACATTGAGCTCCGCGGTGGATTCATGACCATAATGACACACAGTGCACTCTATAAAGGAGATATATACTCCTTCTCTACTCAGGAGGGCTGGCTACACTTTTTACATTCCTTGTTCCGGCACCCCCGCGAAAATGTAAGGGCCTGACTAGGGCTTCACGAGGAGATACAGGTTATTTTGATATCAAATAACTTCTGATTGTAATGCCTTCTCACCCGAATACCGCCTACTTGTCGTATAAACGAGCAGCCCCGACGACCAACGCTCGGGAGGTCCGCTCGACTCAGACTAAGCTTCATGTCATCCGCCATGACTTTACCTCTTCGTGCAGAGGTAGAAGCGTGAGCATCGGATTGAGGCTGGGTGGCATGGCATCTCCCCGCCTCATACCTCCAGCCTCCCATGGCAGCCCATCAAGTCGGCTGCGCATGAGCATAACGATGACACTGAGAATGAAGAAAGATATCGCCCACGGTCCTACAACTCGTCCAGAATCAAAGTCCACACACGGGATCTATATTCACGTTCAATGCTCGATGCGCGCAAGGTGCCGTATGTAAAGCGTAGATTGAGGCCGAAAGTGACGTAAAAGACGATCGGAGACCCATAGTGGCGAAAAATGCATCAAGCGACCAAAAGCTACCGATCCATCTAGAAACGCAGCTATCGAGACCAAAACTAGAGATACAGAATTCTCATATACGTCCTCTATCAATTACGCAAAAACTCAGAAACCTGAACCCGTCATACCGGCTCGCTCCGCCCATCCACCAAAGAGAGTACTGATACTCTCGCCATTATGAGTCCTACGGATACTTTCTGCGAGAAGCGGACTGATATCGAGCACGGTAAGTTTTCCGCCCATGGTCGGTGAGGGACCATTGGGCAATTTTCCATTCATCGACCCATTCGTTGACCCAGCCGAGGACCCAGAGTCGAGCTTTGAGCTCGTGGTACGCGGAGAGTCGACAGGTGTCGAGTCCGTAATGGTATCTCTCGTCTCCTCGTTGACTTCCTCCATCAGATGTGTCTGAGGAAGCGAGTTGGTGACGACGAGGCGCGCAATGGGGAGCTGAGAGAGCTTTTTGAGCGAGGAAGAGTTGGGCTGCATGGTGCAATGAGAGACGAGGACAAAAATGGCCCTTGCCCCGTTTTCGTGGAGCGTGTTTGTAGCCAACGAAAGCGTATCGCCAGTATCGATCATGTCATCCAAGAGGATCACAATCTATTCCCCACAGCTTAGTTGGAAGACCCCTAGTCGGGAAAGGAACCACATACCTTGCCGCTCACATCTCCAACGAGGACCTGCATGCGCTCGGCAATGTTTCCCTTAGGCCGGTTCACGGTGAATGATCGCAAGCTCCACGCCCAGCTTGCTCGCGACGCTACTAGCACGCTTTGCACCACCAGCGTCCGGGCTGACGATGACACTCTCCTTCCAGCCCTTGATCCACCTCTTGATAAACCCTACCATAATCGGTTCCGAGTACAAGTTGTCGACGGGAATATCGAAAAAGCCTTGAATCTGCGACGCATGGAGGTCCATCGTGATCACATGGTCGCATCCGGCGACCGTGAGCATGTTGGCGACAAACTTGGCCGTGATGGGTGCGCGAGACTTGTCCTTGAACGAGTAGCGCGAGTAGGGGAAAAAGGGGATGATGGCCGTGATCCTACGTGCTGAAGCCGTCTTGCACGCCGAGATTAGGATCAAGAGTTCCATGAGGGAGTCATCCACGGAGCAATTCGGTCCACATGCAGTCTGGAGAATGAACACGTCTTCGTCTCGGACAGATTCGTGGATCCGAACAGATGTCTCGCCGTTGGAGAACTTTTTGACGGTCGTCGGCGTCATATTGATGCCAAGACTAGAGTATGTCAGTCATTAGCGTCCAGTAAAGGTATCGCTACTCACCGATCTGCAATTAGCTGCGCCATTTCGGGATGACTGTTGCCTGGAACGAGCACAATAAGCAGTCTTGTCATGTTCAAGTCATAGCGAGCCTACCAGCCATGAATTTGATGGAGTTTCCTCTATGCATCTTGTCTGGATGTCTGCCAAATCCATGTCAGTCGCCATTCGATGGGCCAAAGCTGGGTAGTTGGACGTACTAGAACAGTACTATAGTGTAACAGGTGGCCTTGTGGTTCTAGTGTTTATTCTAGCGGATGTTTTTCGACAAAGTGGCGCTCTGCAAAGTTGATCCAACATCATCAGCACGTCGTTTGGCGCCATATGTGTTGTAGAAATACGCACCGTTCTTTTGTCTGCACAACTATGTCCTCAAATGTTTCACTTGGGTCTCTCGCCGTAAGTGCCTGTTGATCGCACGTGCGCTGGTGACGGGCTTGGTGGATAAATAGGGGCGCTTTTAGAGGATCATGCCTCTCTTGGATGGTCTAGATGAGTTTTCGAGCGGATTCCGAGTCTTTTCGTCTCGCAAAGCTAGGCCAGGCGATGGGAGTCGGGTCAGCGTTCTCGGCTGCCGTTGTGGCCACTCTCGGAAGCCCGTATAGCCGATGGGATGTCTCACGCGACCACAAGCTGCACAAGAGATATTATCACAGTAGCAGCAATACTCTTTCTGAATTTACCAGGCATTTGGGGAGAAGCACAGTAACTGCGGGGCCAAGGACAAGCTGGTCGGCAGTACATGAATAGTAGTTAGGAGACCCTGTCACTCTGAAAGCTGGTTGAGATTTAGAATTCACTACTCTTTTCGGACTTTGATCTCGTTACCTCCCGGGATCTGCCTTTTGGCCACTGGTCCGTTCACAGCCTCTCGAACAAGCCAACAGCAGTGAAAATTAGCAACGGTACTGAGTAGGCGCTTTTTTGTTTGAGGTCCCGTATCGCAGATTGCGTAATGGTTGGGAGACTGTACGGTATGTGTGCCAGCCACCGCATCGAGCTACCGTGCAACAAGTGGAGATTACAGCGCATGAAGACGTTCAGCGGATACCTAGAGATAGATTGGGCCTGGGAGATAAGACCGAGCTGATTGGTCTCACCCCGCATCGAAGCAGTGTATTCATACCCCCCGCAACCTGCCGGACAGACTCTCGACTTGCTGGCCAGTAGTGGAGGTCTGGAGAGTTACTGTGCGCAGATGACGTAGGCTACATAGAGAGGGCGTAATGGACGACGATTTGGGCTGTTGCTAGTTGGCTTTGAGGGACCCTTTCCGGCCTCGACCGAAAGAACCGAAACCCCCCATGGTTATCTCCCGAGCAATTATGCTTTCCTTCTGAAACTGAATGAGAAGATGTACGAGCCACCCCCCCCCCGCCTTGAGCTGGTCGATTCTTATACCAAGCTTATCCGCTACTGTGCGCTGGACTATGTTCTGATACATACCTCATATGCTGAATGGCCTTTTCTGCCACTCTAGGTCATCCAGCGTTGCCAAAATTGGCATCTGCGCTGAGGCGGCGGTCGGAATCGATCGGGACGAAAGGAGGACGGACCGTGTGAAGTCGTGCATGGCTCGGCTAATACTCCAAGCACAACGAGCTTGCCACGCCTAGCATCAGCGCAAAGAAGAGGATGTATGTTCAATGGCCTTGTTCGTGGTCCCAGTGGAGGTGTCGACTCGGGCAAACAGCAATAGAGCTCACGCCAGTTGCACTGCATATAGGTAAGCATTATTACGCTGGTATTACGCTTGAATAAGAGGAAGCGCACGTGGTACCCCGCCCGAAGGCGGGACGCTGTATCAGTGGTCGCCGACAAAGAGGCTGCAGGGTGATATAATGGCGTCAAGCGATAACCTCCTTTCAGCCTATTGTAATATGAGTATGCACATGTATTTCAGAGTACGCCATGATCCAAAGTAGAGGGCTGAGGATGGTGTGTTCGTTCCGAGTCCCGAGAAATGGTGTAAGTGCACTGTAATTTCATGCAAATACATGAAGTGAAGACGTAAAGTGTAAAGTATGAACGTTTGTCGACGTCTATCAAAGGAACGGCCGATTCACGACCAGCGCCCGACATTCCTCCATAGCCACGATTCACGCATCTCATGCATAGGACTCGGTTATCAGAAAGTATCGGCCGGCTGGAGTCGCGTGGAGAAACTCCCCGCTCAGGACCAGGGAGGAGGCTGGGGGTGCTCAGACACCGATCACAGCAACAATAGAGTGTGCCCGAATAATTGATTATACCATGAAGCTACGGTCAAGATTTCCGCATCTGGTCGAAGGAAGCAGTCGGCCAACGCTCGACCAAGCGAGTACTCTGCTTGTAAAGGGCGAATGATTATCCCGTAGTCATTTCTAGTCACGATCAACCTGCGTTTCCACGAGCATTGCTTCGCTCGTGATGATACGGGACGGTGTCGCGTGCTCAGTGAAGGAAACTTCCCGAGGAAGCGAAATCTGTAAACGTTCGATTGGAGGATATACGCTGGACTCGATCGCTATCCATGACACTTGCCATGTATTGAACTCGGGCCCATTTTGGAACGACCGCCCGATCACAGCTGGCGACCGCCTCATCCTTTTGACTTGAAGAAAAAAAAGGAGAAACATGATAAATGCCACGGAGTAGTTGATTCAGTACTCCGTTACGTCCCAGAGATGATATCTGATTTATTGGCATTTTTGAGACGGTTCAGATAGAGGCCGACGTCGTTGACCCGCAAGAATGTGGCTCCATAGCCTTGTGTACGATCACTCGTTCAGATCTGGACTCAATTATCCACGTCGTCTGGTCCATTATCATTTGTTGACTAAGCTCTTAAACTGAACCTCCTCCTCAGGTCGGTACAAGTATAAAGCCCGTCCAGCATCTTCCCGACCTCCAGCCATCACCTCCTCATCCATTCTTACAATTTCGCCTCTTCCCCGCCACCTTTGCGGCTCGACGCTGTCATCGACGGTGACGAGCGCCCCCTCTGAAATTTGCCCACAACGTCCTAGCGATTCATAGCAACAGTCCCCCCCGAGCGTCTTCGCTTTACACGTCGTCGCCCGCCATGGACCACGCCTCTACGCCCGCAAAGAATATTCCACGCCGCACCTCCGCGTCTCTCAACCAGCTTGCCCGCTACGGCCTAGGGTCAATAGAGGAGCTTGAGTTCATGTTTGGTTCGACGGCTACGTCTCCTGGTAAGTATCTGTATCGCCTCGTTGCACCGCTCTATGCCAGACTCCTCCTGTCCTCCACCTCCGCTCCAATCCCTCGCCAGCGCGTGAGATAAATGACTGAAACTGAAATTTTCTGTCCAGAATTTTCTGCTGCCAACATGTCTGGCCACATTGGGTCCACAGGCCACTTGGCGCCGATTGATGAGGCGACTGCTAGTTCATATCACGCTTCATCGCCCCTTTCCTCTCATCCTGGAAAGTACGGGATTCCATATCCCAGTTTGGCCTCTCCGACAATGGGGTCTCCTACCACAGCGTCTGTTCCAAATGCAGCTGGTGCTGGTCATGTCGCAGGATTTAACGCCGAGGTTCACACAGCAAACTACGCACCCTCCACCTCTCAGAGTATTCATCAGCAGGGCGCTGGCCTCTCGCTGCTCACAGCTCAGATCTTGCAGCATTCTCGTGCCCTTTCGGCCCAGGAGCAGCTTACGCAATCTCCAGTAGCCATGATCGATGCCCACCTGAAGACGTTCAGCATGGGCAGCATGATCAATCCTGGCCTCAGCCCAACTCATTCCGCAGAGTCGTCCTTTCATGGCCATTCACTCAACTCATACCTCAACGGCCTCTTACAGTCCCCCACAAACATCAGCTCACCTCTCTTTGCTGAGATGAATCAATTTGACCAGAAGCCTCCACCTCCTACTCCTACCGTTGCTGTGGAGGAATATGACGAATTTGGGATCTTTGGTGGATTAGATTTCAACATCAGCGATGGCACAAGCGGTCTTCCCAGCAATGGGTCAGTCTCGTCTCCCCCCATCCAACCATTCTCGCCTCCTTCGGGGTCCGATCATTCACAAATGCGACGCTGTGACTCTTTGCGAGCACCGAGTCTGTCGCTGAGTGCGGTCCAGCGTCCTCATCCCTACCACCGTCGCAGCTCGACCTCCTCTAGTGCATCTCCCTACATGCCTGGTTCGCTTAGTATATATGAATCAGGGATGATGGCGGACACGTCGCCCATCTCTCCCTTTCCCTCCTCAAGCCTGCTTTCGACCTCACCTATCCCAATGGATATTGTCCTCCCTTCCGTCTCTCCTCAACGTGGCACTACTCGCCTCGTTGGCTCCCTTGGTGCCACTCCCAGCTACGGCCACCTCTATAGTCAATTCACCCAGGCGCAGCAAGCGTCCGCTAGTGCGATCATCAAGTACATGATGGATCACCCTAATATGGCTATTCCTTCCACCTATATCACTGGGGAGCTCGCAGAGATCAAGGGCACTCGTGGACGCTGCCTAATTGGCTCGTGCGCCGCCGCAGAAGACAAGATGAAGCGGGTTGATCATTTATATGATCATATCCGCGACAAGCACTTCGAGTGCCGTCCGTATGCCTGCAACCACTGGTACGTTTCCGATTCAGTGCCTACGTAAAGCGCCGAGTACTGACTGGCTCTCGAGTCATCATTCGTTCTCTAGGGAGCATGACCTCAAAAGACATTCCCAAATTCATGACGGAAAGTCTATGGAGTGTCAGATGTGCACAAAGTCGTACACCCGCTTCGACAATCTCCAGAGGCACATGCAGCAGAAGCATGGCCAATCGACGCTTTCGTCCAAGTTTTCCCTATGACACCGGCTCTCCGACGTTTGCGACTCCTAGCCTCCACAGCGCGCTCCGACTCCCACTTGGTGCAAAACAACCACGTCTTCACCAAAAATGAATGTGCGACCGGGATAGTATCTATGTCTGGATGAAACCTTTCGGCTCGACTCGTCTTCGCCTTTTTGACGACCCTCGATTCTGCGACTCGGCTCAGTCTCGACTCCTTGTTTCTCCCGTCTCTGCCTTTCCTAGCTTGCGCCAAGTATCTCCGAATGTGGCTCGAAGAATCGGATCTGGAACGTGCTGGGCGGCGTGCTATCAAACCATTGACGCCCGGCACGCTAATTTCGTACAGTCTCGCTCAGGACCTCCTAGATGTTTCCTTTTGACATCGTATCGGGTCTCTTTCTTCTCCGTTCTTTCCGTTCTCGTTCATTTTCTTTCTTACACCCGCGTTCAAGCACTGATACACACCATGGCTCCTCTCTCCGTCGCTTCACATTGGCGAACGTGGCAGTATGGTACCTGGCCGGGGACACTCATCTATCCTCTCTTCTCAATGCTCTGCGCCGTGTGGCTCGCTGGCTCGTCTTTATCCACTTTATTTATGACGATCGCGACGCTCAGGGAGTTGTCAATTCGTCTCTTGTGGTGTGGATGCGTGCAAATCGCGAGTTGAACTTACGATTTTGGTTGGTGTGATGGCCTGAGAGTGTACGATAGGACATTGTACGTTTTTAGTAGAGCACAGTATAATGATTATTTGTACAGTTAGGTCATGTGTAATAAGACAGGAACGTGTCTTAGACTGTATCGAAGGGCCCAGCATTACGAAATGATTGGAATGCACAGCTCACCGAAAATAGATAAATGCGTTCCTACATACCAGACCCCGAGGAAGCTCGTAGCCGTAGGAAGCCACATATAACACGATTCAGAGTCTATCACGTCGCGTAATTGACACTCGATGCCAGCCAATCGTTCACATCTAATAATAAACCTGTGCTCGCTACATGATATGGCTTCAGAAAGCAACTGTCTGCACGCGTTGAGTTGAGCATGCCAGCAAGGTAGCGTGCCCTGTGAGGTGAAGCGGGGTGAGTGCCTGCAGATACAATACGCATTAGGCATCCTTCATACAGCTCAATTTTTCATTGTAGAGCACACTGTGTATAAGATACAAGCCAATCTGCAAGAGCATTGCTGGTCCTGGTTTACCTCCCCTCTCGCTCATCCTAGGCGCCGCTATCAACGCATCCATCGTGGGATTCCCCTCTACACCCACAAGGAATATTCCAGACTGCACCTCCGCGTCTCTCAACCAGCTTGCCCGCTACGGCCTAGGGTCGATAGAGGAGCTTGAGTTCATGTTTGGTTCGACGGCTACGTCTCCTGGTAAGTATCTGTATCGCCTCGTTGCACCGCTCTATGCCAGACTCCTCATGCCCTCCACCTCCGCTCCAATCCCTCGCCAGCGCGTGAGATGAATGGCTGAAACTGAAATTTTCTGTCCAGAATTTTCTGCTGCCAACATGTCTGGCCACGTTGGGTCCATAGGCCACTTGGCGCCGATTGACGAGACGACTGCTAGTTCAGATCACGGTTCATCGCCCCTTTCCTCTCATCCTGGAAAGTAGGGATTCCATATCCCAGTTTGGTCTCTCCGACAATGGGGTCTCCTACCACAGCGTCTGTTCCAAATGCAGCCGGCTCTGGTCGTAACGCAGGGTTTAACCCCGACGTTCACACAGGGAACCACGTACCCTCCACCTCTCAGAGTATTCATCAGCAGGGCGCTGGTCCCTCGCTTCTCACAGCTCAGATCATGCAGCCTGCTCGTGCCGTTTCAGCCCAGGAGCAGTTTATGCAATCTGCCGCCCCCAGCTACAACTACCTCTATAGTCAATTCACCCAGGCGCAGCGAGCGTCCGCTAGTGCTATTATCAGGTACATGATGAATAGCCCAAAGACGGCTATTCCTTGCACCTATATCACCGCGGAGCTCGCAGAGATCAAGGGCACTCGTGGACGCTGCCTGATTGGCCCATGCGCCGCAGAAGACAAGATGAAGCGGGTTGATCATTTATATGATCATATCCGCGACAAGCACTTTGAGTCCCGCCCGTATGCCTGCAACTTTTGGTACGTTTCCGATTCAGTGCCTACGTAAGGTGCCGAGTACTGACTGGCTCTCAAGTCATCATTCGTTCTCTAGGGAGCATGACCTCAAAAGACATTCCCTAATTCATGACGAAAAGTCTATGGAGTGTCAGATGTGCTCAAAGTCGTACATCCGCTTCGACAATCTCCAGAGGCACATGCAGCAGAAGCATGGCAAATCGATGCTTTCGTCCAAATTATCCCTGTAACATCTTCTCCCCGACTCAAACTTGGTGCATAAAGGACATATTTACCAAGTGAACATGCGACAGGAATGGTGTCTCTGTCTTCATGAGGATTTTTGTCTCAATTTGGGGTCCTATTTGTAGAAACGCGGGAGATACTTGCCTATCCAGATCAGTTTTGATTTTCGGCCGTCCCGTTTCTGTCTCTTGCGTCCACCTGACGTGCAGAAGCGGGGCCAGATGTGCACAAAGGGCACCCCCTTCAGTCAAATTCCGTCACGTGAGATTTTTGATACCAAATTACTGTCCATTTATGCGCACATTGGTCACCTTCTCGTTGACACGTTTGATAATGTCTGCTCGCCGGCTTGGTCATTTCTACTAAGGTGGTGGTTCGAGCATGGTAATTAAGCCCTGTAACCTTTGGTAGAATGACCGACACTGGCTTATTGTACATTCGAGCTCGTTATAGATGTGCTTGTAATTGAAGATCCCAGCGAGTAACTAGATTGATACCATCATAAAGTACAGTTCTAGAGTTAAACCTTATTCAAGGTGGGAGATACAATTATCTGGTTGGAAGAGCAGGGTTAGGTAGTTCTGCAGCTTCTTGCATCAGCCACTGTGATTGACAAGTTTCCTGTATGACCGAAACGTCCATAGGCGGCCCTTCCTCTTTGTAGAATACCACCCTTAGGCTACCTCTGCGATTCTAATAAGCTGGCGGGCCATCTGAGAAGACAGAGGGTGGTGACTGGGTGGCTGGATGGAGACATATAAGACACCCGCGCGACCCAGCGAGGTGGCGGAGGCTCATATTCTGGAGGCCCAGTTGCTTGCTTTTGAATAGTGGACACAAACGGACGGATGTACGAGGTAATAAGGCTTTCACTTTTAGACAAGGTAGCCCGTCGTCTTCGCCACCAGAGGGTGAGAAGAACGGCAGACATGAGAATCTCTACGCCTCCAAAGACTAAGCCTATTATTACCGGTGACTTTATCGATACCTCCGAAGTAGTTGGCATCGAGTTTGTCGGGAGGCGGCTCGTTGAATCTTGCCCCTGGCTACGACTCCATGTAAAGCCAGGGAGATTGTTGGGGTCGAGTGTCGAAGTTGCTGATGTTTGTATAATTTGTCGCATCTGATACCTCAGAGAGCGTTCTGGAGCTTGTGGACGTTCCGTCTCCGGTGGTTGTACTTATTTTTTGTACTCCGAATGGATTAACAGATATTTCAAGCTCAACGAGCCGTATGTGCACAACAGTACGAGTTCCCATCATGATGAGAAATGTCCAATCGTTATCCAGGGTAAACTTGCCAGTCTTCGCGACGGTGCTCCCGACTAGACTCTGTCCCCTCTTGTAGTTAAGAGAAAATGCTACCAACTTGTAGGGCATAGACCTAGGTCATGCGTAAATTGGTCGCCTCCAATGGACAATTGGATCTTATGTTGGAGGAACGATCGCCGCAAGCGAGGCATGGCCAGTTATCTGAAACCTTATGAGGCATCATAACTATATGGCTCCTTTACATACTATATCATTCCCTGACCTGGCTGTGCGATGCCGCATTTCACCTGTAGACGTGCTCCGAAGTAGGCATTAAAGGCGCTAAAATTAGCAGATGTCGGGGTGATGTACTGTCGTGTCTGGAATTCACCTGTAGACAAACAGGTGATTTAGAATCCGAAGAATAGGACCGTGAACCTACAAAACAGGATCGTGTTAAGATCGCAAGACCATGGCCCGCCTTCGCTGTAGGACAACTCACTAGTCGTTTGAAACTTGCCAAAATCGGTGGTGGGGACTCGACCAGTCATGAAAACGGGTTGTCGTTGTCGGAGGAGAGGATTCAAAAGGCAATGTCAGTGCATGTGCTCTTGGGCGCGCCCAGGTTGGCCAACCGAAGAATTTTGATGGTAATTTACTCCCATAAGATCTTTGCATCTATGCTCTGAATTTGGGTCGAGTCTCGAGTCGATTTTTGGGGAATTTGACACAAGTAATCGGACGTCCTCTTCCGCCATTCCGTTCTATTTGATGTAAGAGAGGTTGGATACATGTTTTGATGCCATTATTATCCTTGAGGTGGCAGTGGGAACCCAAACTCTCGCAGAGACCAGGCTACGCCCGTAGTGGGTGCATTTTAGGCGCGCTAGATTAATTATATTGGCTCTTCTCTGGCTTAGGGCGCAAAGAAGGTACCATATGAACGCATGGTCTATGCGCTCGCGCCCAGATTATGCGGAGATGGCCCAAAAGAGTAAGTGTGCGTAAGATGTAGAGCCATGATTCCTTATAGAGGTGCCTAATCTTTTTGTAGAAGGTGTTAGATGCTTGTCACGCTTATTTCGGTTCGCTGCGAGTAGACGCGCGCAATTCCCTTCTCGCGCGTCACGCCCAAGTTCCGTCATCGTGTCCACGAGATTATTTGATCGCTTCCTTTCAGACTTCTGGTCGCTATGACCATGGACCCTTAATACTGGCCAATAGATTGTGTAGGGTGAAGGACCAAGAAGTGCACCAGCCGTGCCGTGTCGCATATGCAATTCTACACTTTTTACGTTGTGAAAAGTCTCACTGGGATGGCTATGGCAGTCTTCTCAGACTCTTTGCGCGTCTAAAGCATGGTCTCCTATTAATTTCATTGAACATATGCGAGATAAAGTAGTGCCGAATGACTTGATTGACCGTGTTGCACGGATCTGTTTAATCCCTTTGTGGCCCTCGGAGTGATATGTTCCCACTGTTATGATAGCCTGTGCCACCTTTGATATCACCAGGGTCGCTACCAATTCAAGGCGCGCCCAGAAGTGAAAGGTTCTCACGAGTCCAGCTTGACCTCCGACGCCGCTTTCTGGTCCAGCGGTGCGCGGGCAGTCAATGTCTTCACCATATGTGACAAACTATGATGACTTTCAATCCACAATCAACTTTGCATTTGGCGACGGTGGGCCTTGGACATGCGATTTGTTCGGATCAGGGCTTTGTAAGTCGAGGCAACATACCACAGGCTTACTGCTAATGACTGAGAAATACAGGTCGTCTTGAAACTCGTCAGCATATTGATTCTGGAGTCACCGAGTATCTGGCATTTGGCGGAATGCTCGGTGCGATGCTCAAAGTACAGCCAGAATTGGCGCGACCAGGTCAAAAAATGTCATAGTCAGTATTTTACGTGCCTTTTTTGCCTATAACTGACGTTGAGATGGAGTACATGGCAGTTCAGTGGATGCATTGGCGCGACAATCCAGAGTCATTCGCTTTTAGTGAGTGTCGGAGGTGATGTCACTTACTTGACTTTGCAAACGTGCCCAACAGGTATGTATTGGCATTTGTGTATCACTTGTCTCTCACTTTCGCTCAGCGGGCCAACCTCAGACCATGACCGGAGAATTTCCAATCTCATACGACGGGACATTCTCTATCTACATGTCAGCAGGTTATGGGCATATAGTAGCTTATATCACCGGGATGAGATTTACAATGTCACCAAGCGGTAATCCTCCAGCTCCAGTCGGTGCATCACAAGGAGGTTCCTCCGCCAACATTCCGACGTCTGGAATTGCAGGGACACCTATTCCTTCGGTTTTGACATCATCCCGTCTCGGTGACACCACCGGCATCCCCAATGGCTCTGGTATGGCATCAAACGGTGCACCAACGACGTCTCCTTCCGACTCCGCCTCGTTCTCCACCCTACCTCCATTTGGAGTCTCAACGAGTACGATAAAAGGATCCGTACAGAATACCCAAGGACCTGGTGTCGCGCCTACACCACCGCAATCATCCAACAATTCCGGCAGGGCATCAGTCATCGTTGGGTCCGTTCTCGGGACCGCTTCGGTTCTCGCAGGTGCCCTTATACTTTTCCTATACCTTCGGAGACGACCGAGGCGAAAAAGTCCGAGACAAGCGAAAACAACCAAGGCGACGACTGTACATCCTAGCATTACGCCGTTTTACGACGAAGATGCACTGGAGAGTGCATCACCTAGGAATGAAGCCCCAACTATACCCTCTAAGGATCAAAAGCAACCTCTTCCGACTCCGGCTTCTCCTGGACCATCAGCTGTCGTATTCGGCGAGAAGGGTCGGTAGCGACGGTATATTTAATGATAATTTACTTCATTCATGTAATTAATCTGTACAATACATGTTGTAATAGTGGGGTTCACGATCGTTTCGACTTGGACCCCTACTCATCCTCAACCGAGAATCCTTCTCACGTATATTCACCCCAATCTCGTTTAGATATCCGCTATTCATCTTAGTCAGCATGTCACTGCGCCTAGAATTGACCATCAATCTTAGGCGGTTCGGAATTTGGACTTGTGATGGGTCCGGAGCTCGGCCATCGCGGCAAAGTGCAATGCAACAGTATTTTGTTTCGCCGACCGCCCATGCTTTACGTGGCATCGATCGCTGGAGATTTGTATAGGCGCGATCGCTGTGCTGGGGCGGTAGCCCTTACCCGAGGTATACCAGTGGGGAATAGGAAAGTCAGTCAAGGAACCGGATTCTTCGAGGCAGCTTCATCGAGTCGTACTTCAGGGTTTCGGTAGCCCAGCCAGTGAACGCTATTGAATCCGGGCACAGCGAGTCACGAAACGGGACGCCGAATTACATTATGTCCGTTTCACGGTCTCACTATTATGAAGGACAAGAAGGCCGCGGTTTACAATGTTCGCACGGACGGAGCTTAAAGGTCCGAGAGATATTTCTGACCCCAGTGAAATATCTACAACTCTCTTTTGTGACTTATATGACCGACTACGACAAATTCCAATCGATGATCAACCTTGCGCACACCGACGGTGGTCCTTGGATGTGCGGCGCAAACTCGAGCTGTAAGCCAACGCAATATTGCAAAAGGCCAAGTCGATCATAACAAAACATGCGCGTAGGCTACATAGGATCGCGGCCAACAGACTCTACCACTATCAACTATCTGCTTTTTGGTGGCACCCTCGTCGCAGTGCTCAAAGTGCGACCAGAGTTGGCGCGGCCGAGACAAACAATGTCATAGTGCGTGTACAGAAGATAAGTGGAGGACTTGCTGACCGTGGTCCAGCAAATGGCAATATAGGGCATGTGCAAGCTCGCCGGGGGCTGCTCGCCAACTGGTGACAACTATTGGAACCAGTACTACTTCTTCGGCGATACCTGTATGTCCAGACGGTGCGTAACGGCATTAAAACGTATCCTTTCTCATGTCTGAATAGCGGGCTACACTCTAATCAAGACTGGTGATTTTACAATTGGAGGAGACGGCACGTTTTCTATATCCATCAGTGCCGGGTATGGACAAATATCCGCGTATATGATTGGGATGAGCTTTAGTATGTCCCCGAAAGAGCCGGCCAATGATCCAAATCAAACAACCGGCACCGGTGGATCCCAGAAACCGCGAGCATGGCCCTTCTGCATCCACAATAGCATTTGATCCTGCTTTATCGACTATTCCCGATTCCGTCGACACTATTACCATGGCCTCCAACTTCACCAATCTACTGCTTCCGAGCGATTTGAATGCAGCTGGAGGGCCCTCGCAGAATACCCAGGGACCTGGTATCGCCGTCGCCTCTGGACGAACAACAGGTCTCCCCATGACAACTCTTATCATTGTTGGGTCCATTCTTGGCGCCATATCTCTCCTCTCCATCTTCATTATAGGACTAATACACGTCCGACGACGACCAAAGGAGAGGTTCCTCCCCCAAAAGGGACCAAACGTCATTGTGCCGTTCCATGGAGGGGGCGTTTTGAAGCATTCGTCGCTCAAAATAGAAGCGAAGGCTGTTGATCCTACGGAGCCAAAACGACCTCTCCCGCCTCCACCCTTGTCGCCAAACTTTGTCCGATACGAAAAGAGTCGGTTGCCTACACTGTGAGATCTTTCTTCCTATTGCTGTATCATAGGATCTACCTGCTGTGTTCCACTCACGTGTATAATATCGAGTTTTGTCGGCGACTCCTGCTAATGTTTTGGACCCGTCCACTATTTTCCGACTTGCAGCTTCGCTCATATCTGCACCCTAATACTTTCATGCAATTCGTAAATTCACTAAAGGCCTCTGAGCGCGCCTCGAATTGCTCAGCGGAGCATCTGTCCACCAGAAATAGTGCCCGCCGATTCCAACTGTGCCACGACCGAAATCAAATGAATCTATTAACAGAATCATAGCCTTCTGACCGGTCAGACGTACCCTGACCTACACTGCACGCTCGAAATTCTCGCGCCCGGTACGTGGTGCTTTCCCTATACGACCTTTCGTCTCACCCTCTATGGCTCCCTCACTCGTTTCTTATGAAAATTTCAGCAAGATCAGCGTCGTACCACCGCCAAATGGTCCTTGGGCTTCGGATTGGATTTTCGACTCCTCGAGTATGTTTCTACAGTGGGGTTGGATTGGCCATCAGCTCACATTGTCACCTTTAAGGGATTCTATCCTCAACTCTGCAAGTATGAACTCGGTTTCTCCTGCGTTGTAGTTTGCGGGAGGCGTTGCATCGCATGTCGGGGTCAACTCACTGGGTTGTGGGATAGACGATGGACTTGTACGTGTATCAACAACTAGCCTGACAAATGCTTACCTTAATAGCTCCTACGCATGGACTGGCTGTCTGATGTCACCTTCGACGAGTCTCCCTCTAGAAGGAAACCGGACGTTTTTAGAGTCGATTGGCGGCAATGTATTCTCCGTAAACATCACAGTATGTGGTACTTTTACATGGCGTTTCGCCGGCCCGAGCTTTATGGCTGACCTGCTTCTAGCTGTAAGTCCAAGCACGGTTCAGCAAAACGGGACACTCGTGTTGGATTCGGACGCTTCGACCGCAATTCTGATGTGAAATCAGGATATTGTGACGAGGGACAATGCCATAGCATGGGGATCTATATCGAAAATCTCTCTACAGCTCGCTCTAGGGGCTCTTCCTCTGTCGACCAGTACCCCATCTTCCAACACGCCAAAGGGAACCCAGCAGCCTGAATCCACGCAAACGTCCTTGGGAGATACTCCACTCGAATCGTCTCCGTCGTTCTTGTCTTCCTCGTCCATTCTATCCTTTCTCACCAGCAATGTCACAACGACCGTTGAATCGTCATGCATGACCATTGTTTCATCTCCATTCGGAGTAACGATTGTGGCTGGAGTCGTCTCTGCTCAAAACACTGCCTCGCCACCCAGCAAAGCCAGTATGTCGACGATTGTAGGCGCGTCGCTGGTGCGGTCGTAGCCCGGCGATGGGACGAGTCAAGGAAGAGTTTCAGCCGCGGTTGTTTGGAGAGGACGTTCCTCTGACTGCCACTGTTCATATTCTCAGTCTAAAATCGTTGGAGAAGCCACCTCTGGAAGTCGTAGAGGGATTGATGGGTAAGCGACCGCCACCTGTCGAGGATGCCGTCAAAGAGACAGACTCTGTCAGCAATGAAGGCTCAGTGGCTGATCACGCCTGGAATGTGTCTTAATCAATGGTATAATTCGTGTATAATGTCTTGTAGAAACGTCTTTATACTGTGTTGCACATTGTCGGTAAATGCTGGGTGCCGCGCCAACGACGCAGCAATTTGAACCCGACCTCTTCCCGCTGTCGACAAGGAAAGCCCGCCCATGAAGTGACAATATGACTACACTCCTTAGTAATAATCCCTCACTTTCACGTTCACCATCTACATCGTCGCCGTTGAGCGCACTCGTCCGCTCACGGTCGAAACGCGCGAGCTGGGCGCATTCAAGCAGAACATCTGCCGTCAGCTCATCTCCTTCGGACTATCTAGGCATCACCAGCTCTCAGCAGGGCACACCCTCTGGAAGTCCCGAGCTGAGAGATCTTCTGCGTCGACGGAGTAACCGCACAAACGTGGTAAATGCCGAAGATGCATCTCTTGATAACGAGACAAATGTCTATATTCCACGACGACGCTCGCTAACAGAGACACTTTGGCGACCGCGGGTGACTCTGGTGGAGAGACCGCTAGAGTCGCCCATCACAGAAGAGGCAATGACGAGCAGATCGACGCTGACAATGACACACCAACCAAAGATAATGAACGACGACGGCCTCTCTCTCAAAGAGACGCTGACACGGCGGAATTCGCTCGAGGCGGAGATAAACGTCGAGCCCGAGGACCAAGAAGCACTAGCAAAAGCACTAGAACTTCTGGCCCTCTACCCACCGCCGTCTAGACTCCCTCGGCAGAGTCGCTATCCGACGCTGCGCACGTCAACAATTTCAACTCTTGCGCTCCCCGAGCCGACGACGCGTGCGCTCTATGCCCTCGTCACCAATGCATTTACGCCCGCGCAGCTCCCGGCCGCACGCTCCATTCAACGGTTCATCCAAGACAACCCCGACACACCTCTTCCTCTTTTTCTCATCACAAAGGAGATTGCAGAAATCTATGGAGAATATGGCTGGTGTCTTATTGGAAAGTGCGGCCTCGAACGCATCTCGTATAAGATTGCTCGTTTGACGTCTACCTATCACGTTACGGACGAGGAATTGGAGAGAGATCAATCACGCAAGAGGATTGATGTTCTCTGTGGTCACATTCGAGACCGACATTTTGAACAGATGCCGTTCAAATGCTCCCAATGGTACGCTCGGCTCGAATAGTTTGCACCTGTCTAATCATCTTATAGCCCAGCATCATATATCAACCAAGGCGAACTCGACCGCCACTCGCAGACTCATCCAGTCGGCGAGTTTGCGTGTCCGGTTTGTGAAGATACCTTTGTCGATGAGGCAGTACTACAGCAGCATCAGCTTGCAAAGCATGCGAAGAAGACTATCACATCCAAATTACGTCGTCTTCTCGTTCGTACAGTACCTCGCAAATAGTCAAGTCCCTGTAACGTCTTGTGGATTGCTAGATTGGACGGATGACACACTTATTCTAAAGTAGACAACCTTAATTTTACTTTGTGTACAACATCGATCATGATTACGTACTTTTCTATTGCTTGGACGGCGGCCCCCACCTCGAGCCCTTAATTCTCGGTACCGCGTCAAACGGTGGCATCCGTCTTGATTCCGCCTTCTTCCTCCTACTTTCTTTAAACAACGGACACGCTCATGCAGCAGTAATATGGCTGAATTTCCTAGCAATACTTGTTCACTCTTCCGCTCCTCGTCTACGTCGTCGGGAACCAGGAGGTCTTGGTCTTTGAGGCGGCTCTGTCGAGTGCCCTCTAACAGGACATCCAACGTTAGTTCATCGCCTTCTCCAGACATTTATATCGGCACCTCTCAGCCGTGTACGCCAGCTGGTAGTGCCGAGCTGGCGGGTCGGCTGACCCAATGCTCGGGCAGAGAAAGCAGGCCTGCTTGCGTGGCGAGTGTTGGGGGGTGTTCGCTAGTAACTATCCAGTCTGTTGATGACCAGACGACGATTCGGGCTGTGAGACCGGGGTCAGTAATCCATCGGTCTTCGCCATCTCTAAAATCCCCCATGGAATCGACGGGGAACGAAGAGCAAGTGGACCACGAGTCTCGCCTCGATACCTCGGCGACAGCGTATAGTAGACGAAGACCGGCCAGCACAGACGCGCTTTCACTCACCGAGACGCTGACGTGCCCCAACTCTCTCGAGACGGAGATGAACGTTACTGCTGAGGATCGCAAAGAGTTTAGGCCAGTACTCGAGGTCCTTTCGCTCGAGCCACCGCCGCTCGGGAATAGTGGGTTGATTCGAGGACCGACGTGGCGCACAAAGACGATTGGGAGGCTTAGGTTCCCCGATACGACAAAGCGCTCTCTGGATGCCCTCGTGACAAACTCGTTTACGCCGACGCAGCTGCCAGCTGCTCGCCATATCCAACGGTTCATCCAAGCTAATCCTGACACGTCTTTACCTCTTTTTCTCATCACCAAGGAGATTGCAGAGATTTACGGAGAACATGGATGGTGTCTTATCGGAAAGTGCGGCCTTGGACGTATCACGTACAAGATTGCCTGTTTGACATCTACGAATGACGTCACGGACGAGGAATTGGTAAAGGATTCATCACGGAGACGGATTGATATCCTTTGTGGTCACATCCGGGATCGACACTTTGAACAAATGCTATTCAGGTGCCGCCTCTGGTGCGTTATGGACTATATACTCTCTCTTTTTCTGACCACCTCCCCAGTCCAGCGTCGTACATGAGTCAAGACGAGCTCAGTCGCCACTGGCGGACGCATGCGGTCGGCGAGTTTGCGTGCCCGACCTGTGGCGACATTCTCATTAGCGATGTATCGCTGCGGGTTCACCGTCATTCAAATAGTTCAAAAGGGACTAGGACGTCTAAACTGTTTCGTCTTTTCCCCCGATTGGGATCCCGGCCGCGCAAGTAACGAAATCCTCATGGACATGGAACGATTGTACCCGAAGATACGCCAAAAGCTACATCCTACTTATGTTCTGCGCCTTTTCTTGTATTGACAGATGATAATAGCACATGAATTCCCCAGAGAAATACCTTTGCCTTGTCACAAAGTCAGGGTAAGTGATAATACCATTCAGTGTACTAGGTAGAACGTGTCCTTATAGATAGCTTGTGTAAGTAGCCCGGTTTCTCGTGGCGCGTCAAGTGGCGCCAACCTGAACCCGGCCCCTTCGTGCTCGTTCTACCGCAGAGACGGTTAGCAATGACTGAACCTCCAAGTACAGAACGCTCGTTACTCCATTCGCCGTCTGTATCCTCACGACTTGGTGCGCTCCAGCAGATGCTGTCTTCGAAGCGAGCTAGTTGGGCCCAATCCCATACGACGTCTACAATCAGTTCCTCAGTTTCGTCAAACCTTTTCATCACTAGCTCTCAGCAAGCTTCACCTTCTGCGAGTCCCGAGCTCGCACAACTTGACTTATGGGTAGAGGGCAACCTTGCCTCTACCGACAACGACCATAGACGCTCCTTGATAACTTTATTTCCTCCTAACGACCGTATAATAGCCTATATCTCGAGACCGGGCTCTCCAACGCCTGCAGTTTGGCCTAATGCACGAGAGGACCCAATCGAACCGACAGCCGGAGAAGAGGATAATTCGACCTTGGATATCATGAACATAATCTATGACGCACAGGAACGGGCCAATGCAGACACCTTTTCCCTCGCAGAGACACTGACATGTCCCAACTCATTAGAGGTGGACATGGACGTCGGTACCAAGGATTATGAAAAGTAGAAGCGGCTTTCGAGTCCCTATCCCTCGATCCACGACTGGCCCATGGACATCCGACGTCGCACACCCTGTTTACTCCAGAGCAACTTCCAGCTGCTCGCCTGATCCAACGGCTCATCAACGATAATCCAGATACACTTCTCCCTCTTTCCCTCATTACACGGGAGATTGCGGAGATATGCGGAGAGTATGGACAGTGTCTTATTGGACAATGTGGATATAAACTCATCGCCTACAAGAATGCCCATTTAACGCCTATAAGCGATATTACGAAAGATGGATTAGACAAAGATCGATCATGGCAATGCATTGATCTTCTGTGTGAGCATATCCGAGAGGAACACTTTAAGAGTGCGCCGTTCAAATGTCGCCTCTGGCGCGTCATGCTCGTACACTCTGCCTCCTTCTGACTCTATTTCAGCTCATTATCTTATGTTCATCATCAAGATGGATTCGGCCGCCACTGGCGGACTCACGCGCTCGACGAGTTTGCGTGCCCGACCTGTGGCGACATTCTCATTAGCGACCAATCACTGCAGATACACAGTCACTTGACCCAATCGAAGAAGACCATTACCGCCAAACCGCGTCATCTTCTCCCCCGAACGATCACCTGGCCACGCAAGTAGATGTACATGGAACATTCTTCTCGAAGCACCGCTCAAGAATATATTGTCCTTAGGCCAATAACCTACGAGACTGCTAGAGTCGGGCGGGTATTGATTGTGCATGTGCTGAAAGTCCCCTTTGTCATACATTACTGTATAGTTTATTTCGGTCGCGACTTGCGCGTGTTTTACGCGTTTATCTGCATTATTTTATCATTTAAGATACTTGTTCCGGTCAACCTCGCCGCAAGGCGGGTCAAAAGAACCCAAATGAGCGCAAAGCCAACTGGCAAGCTTGGTCCCTACCGCATCCAACTTCAGGCCGCATGGCCTCTCCAAGCAACTCGTCGATGTCTGCAGCAAATAAATCTACGTCGAAACGTCATCTCATCCCACAGGCGAATGGCCCCAGCACCTTGTCAGTCGCGGGCGATCGAAGCCCAGCACCCCAGCCGGTAGCGCACAGCAGGCCTCGTAGACAAGGTCAGTAGCGATTCCTGTACTTTCTAGATGTTGACATTTATTTAATCTGTAAATCTTGACCATGATTGTCGATGCCACTCAGCTGCAATCCAAGCAAAGGCGGCGGCGCCGTACCCAACGGCAGCCATCAAACGAGAACAGGAAACAAAGCATTTCTTCCAATCAATAACTCTTCAGAGCTACGCATCTCCAGTACAATGGATGCGACCGAGCGCTCAAGGGCGTACTCCTGACAAGCGGAATGAATTGATCAAAACCCAACTAGCAACTTCGCCCACGTTCCAGCCCTCAGGCTACGCACGGCCATTGGTCCAAAATGCACTCTACAAGCTCGAGGCAGAATCATCTGACATTCAATCCCGGAATCTCTGCGGTCGGGGCGGCCACGCCCCCTCACGTCCTCTGTCCAACTCCCAGCCTCCCGCGTCCTCATCCGCCCTCGTCCAATCATCATCCCGTCCATCTCGGTATCGGGTCGTCCGCACACCACCCCGTCGACGCCCAACCCTGCGCGATGTCGTGTGGTTCCTCATGACCGCGGCAAAGCTCGACGCCTACCATCAGAAGCTTGTCTGGCTCTATGCCGGCAACTCGTGGGTCGCACATCTCAAGGTTCTCCTGTGGGTGCGAGATTTTATTAGGAAACAAGCTCGCTTGCCCATGTTGGTCAACATTCGTGCGACCATAGGTGCCAAGGGCGGTGTAGAGTCAGTCATTTGCCAGTTTGACGGATGCCAGATGCCCAAGCCGTTCAAGGAGGTGCAGAGTGCGGCGGAGCATGTCGTGTCGAAGCATGTAGGTGGGATGACCTGGAAGTGCAAGTCGCCTGGATGGTGCGTGTTTCTATATTTGACAGTTCTCTACGTCGTGTTGAATCCATTCCAGCGAAAAGGTGTACAATCATAGCTTTGATTTGAAGCGACACGAGAAGAAGCACGGCGTATCTACGCAGAGCAAACCCCGTACCGTCACAAGGATTCAACGAGCCACGTCGGCTCGATCGAAAGCGGCTCGAAATGCGCAAGTAGCCACATTGTCGTCGGCTGGGCCACCATTGCTCGCTCCACCGCCCCCGCCTACTGGACACCCGCCTATCTTCCCGTCTGCATCCGAGTATCCCGATTTGTCCCTTCAGTGTGACCACATCATGTCATCACCCTCCTCTGTTATGGCATCACCAGGCTCACCATGGTCAACCTCATTCGCTCCGTCAAATGTATCATCACCGATTCGAATCGAACAACCACTCTCGAGCCCCAATCGAGGTACTGGGATTCACGTCGAGCTCCCCGCGAACTCGCAGAAGGCTGAGTTGACCTCGTACTCTCGACCTGCGGACGATTCATTTGATCAGTATCTCGACCCCTTCCCAGAGAGCTACCCCGGTAACACGTACAATTTGAACCCGGAGCAACATGCATCTGAGCACCCTGCACCAAACCTCTACAGCGCCTCTACATCTGCGGGTGGAGCCTTTGCTAATAGCTCGCAGTACTCGACGCTCCCACCTTCAATACAGTCAATTCCACTATTAGGTGGCATTGGGAACGCCAACCCGGACCTCCTAGATGACGCATGGAATATACCCTTTCAGTGGGAGCCACCTAGTTTTGACGAGGCTCTAGACTTGCTCAACGAGTCCTATCTGGAATCTACGCATGGTGCCTCGTCAGCGATTTCACAAGAATGCTCGTCAGTGGCCGCTTCCAGCCCTCTTGAATATGCCTATCGGTCGCAGGCCTCGACCTCTTTGGGGTCCCACAGTAACCAACTTCAACCTGCTGATCAGCTATACGGTTTTACGGGGACCTTGGGGCTGGAGCAGCTCACCGGTCAGCCGACCTCGAGCCGCTCTCTTGTTTCCGGCCAATTTGTGAACGCACCCGAATCCAGCAGACGTCAGCAGCGTACCTCGAGTCTCTCCATGGGTGATATGGATCCGACACGTCTCCATTGGTCGGGACAGACACCGGCTGACTACGAGCATGGATGGTCCCTCGCTGAGGATCACACCCCTGGGAAGTGGGAGTGGCCGTCCAGCTAGTCTGGGTCAAGGTGACTTACACACTCACCGTTTACTAGCAAGGTGAGACGTCGGGTAGGCTGTTGGACAGCGTCCCGCTGGCTCTTGAGGAGCGTGCCTTGCGTGGGGTCAGGAAGAGACCCTTTATTTGCACAGAGCACCATAATGGCACCAGCACTTTGTCTGCAGCCCCTATGCCGCCAGCAGGTCGACTCGGAAAATCAGACTGACACCTGCCTATGTTAATTTTCTTTATTTAAGCCGAACCTGTCTACTCGTCCACAATTTATTCATACCGCTTGCTGGGCAGGTTAGGAACAATCCCATGCAGCATCTCGGAGGGGGTGCGGCGCGCTGTTTCCAACCCACTCCCCGCATATATCGATTCAAAAAACACGCCATGACCATGCATATCATATCCCGGCGTTTTGACGCGTTTGTATAGTACACCGTTTGGGTCCTGTGAATCTCGAACACTTTCTACACTGCAAAACTGCCCTGCTCTGGCATGTCTGACGAACTGTGTGTTGGTCTACTTCTAGCCGAATCTGAAAATGCGCTGGTGGCTTGAGGGCAGGCGGCATTGAGGCGGAGTTTGACGTCGCTGAGCGCTTCCGCCGCCTCCTGAGCGTTCGAATATTGAGGGTCCAGTCTGGGAAGCTAAAAGTAAGAGTCATATGGCCATTTTTCTGGTCGTATGTTGACCAGTTGCAATGGTCGTTACTAACGAACATACGGTGGATAAGTGAGTCGTGTGATCGACAAATTTAATGTTGATGGGCCTGAAACGCGTGTATGTGGGCAGAAGCTCGGGTGTAATGCTGAGCTGGATGGTTGGCGAGATTGTCAGGCTAGCCTAAAACAAGCTGTCAACCGCGTAAACATGCCTTGTGCTGCAAGGGATTAATATCACTAAATGTGAAGGAGACAGAGTGAGGCGAACATGAAGAAACCCTGTACGACCGACTCTTTTGTTCGCTGAGCCTGCCGTGGCCATTGTGCAAACATCACACAGCTTGCCACTCGCCACTGTCAAAGCAATAGAGCCTAGCCATCTAGACCAATCTGAAAGGGCTGTATAAAGTCGGTGAGGACTACCTCGTGCTCAACATCCTCACTCACCCTCGCCGCTCGATTTTCCTCGTCAGCTTGCTCATTCTCGACCACATATTATACCTCTAGATCACCTCTCAAGATCCGTGGTATTACTCCGCTAGTACGAGCGGGACTGCTCAACATGCACATAAAACCATTCTTCTTCTTCTGGCTAGCCCTCCTAGCTGGCGCCGCTTCGGGACTCACGCTCAACACTTTCCATACTCGAACCAAGGCTCTCAAGCGGACTCTACTCGCAAAAGGCGGCGGGGTTCGAGGAGGTGGGGGAATACGAGGTTCTTCCTCAACGCGAGGAGGTAGTGGAATGGGTAGAGGCGGTAGCGGGGATACAGGATTCCGCGCCGTCGGTGCGCCCGGTATTAACACAAACGGGCGTTATGCAAACTTTTTCGGCGGTGGCGGCGGGAAACCGTTTACTCTCTCTTCCCCGTCAGTCTTTGCTGGACGTAGCATGGGCGGAGGGACACGTGCTCAAGTCCCCGGAACGCGCACCTATGGCAGCGGCTACCCTGGAGGAGGAGGAGGGCGAGGAGACTCTTTCCCGTTTGGTTTCTGGCCTATCTACTGGATGGGTCATAGAGACTGCGAGGAGTATGGTGGAAACTCGACAATAGATGCGCAAAGACCTGGCGGTCCACAGGTCATCATGGAACTTGCCGCCAAGTCTGGTGTATGGAACTTGACGAGCGTCAATGTCACCGTAAACGGCACAACGACGAGAACGCAAGAGTCGTACTGGATGATTGGAGATATCGAGAGTGTCACTGCTCTTGCGAGTGTACTCGCAGATTCACGGACGACAGAATACGGATGTGGCATCGACAGTAGGCCGATTCTTCCTTTCAACTCGAGCAATACGGCGAATGCAAGTTTACCCTATTTTGAAAACGTCATCCAGTGGTATCGTTCCTCGTCGTTTGCGATTGCCACAACCCAATACAACAATACATATACCTTCCCGCCGCTCAACGAGACGGTAGACTTTGGATGGAACGCATCCACTCCACTGCCTACATTTATCCAGACACAGGTTGATGCGTACCTGTCATACACGCAGACGCCTACGTCCTTTCTGGCGTGTCTCAATCGAACGATTTCTGCGGCGTTACCAATTCTCGATGAACCGCCACCGCTTCTATCTGTCGGGGGGATCATCGGTGTGACAATTGCATGTTGTATCGGCTTCTTAATCCTATGCGGTTGTCTGCACTACCTATGGTGCAAGATCCGCGATGGAATTGCCAATGGGATTGAGGCACACAGGCGGAAGCGGGCCGAGGAGAAGAGACAAAGGGATACATGGAATCGGAATCTCCAGAATCGCGACGAATACGATTACGCACGAGTCGACAGTGGTCACTATCATAGTTCGTCAATCAGTTTTGTGCGACCACCTTCGCCATATCACATTGCCTATCTCGAGCCTGTACCTTCGATGGAGACTCCCTATGACCGGTGTATCTCCACGCCAGTCTGTCGCCCTCGGCTGTGATGATGCCCGTCCCACCGACGGCTTCCCACTCTAGAACCCCGAGTTCCTCGTCTACAGCTCGCACCCTTTCTCCTATACAAACAAACGCAACCCTCTCGACTTCTCCCACATTCTCATACCTCAGGCTTATTTATCGACCACTGTCCCTTCCTCTGGAGAAAGCCGTAGGCGGGGATATGCATCAAGACTGAGCGTCGCCAGCACAACGCCGTCCATGAAGACTGCCTGTGACGAGATTTTGAGCTCCTCATCAACAGAGCGCAAGGATCAACTTGCAAAGAAAGACGACGCATTCCTTTCTCCCCCAAAGGAGCCTCTGGTTCTTACTCAAACACCACGATAGCCCCTACGTCCCCTCTATAGACACCGATTCGTCAGCATAATTAAGTCATACAAATCGTCATTCACTGTATCCATAGTAGCATGGAATTGGTAGAATTCTTCTCTAATCCCTGGTCTAGATGAAACAATGCCATTTATATGAGCTTGCCGCTTGCGATTCGTTCGAATACCTAAGAATCAGATGAGTACGTCTACACCATATTATCGGAGAATATACATACGCTAACAAAAAGTTCAGTATCCTGCGCACCGGAGATGGCCCACTTGTCGTTAATCCTATAGTTCGGGTGTTAGTCCTTGACAGTGAGGATAGTAAACTGTCGACACACTTGAAGAATGGTACGCCACTGATCCCCGAATTCTGCGCTTCAAGAATCCCTCTCTCGTACTCTTCTACACCCTCACTGCCTTCCAACCATGCCTTGGCCTGTTCTTCATCCTTGAAAACACCCGTCTGAGCAGCGATAGGAGCCAACACGGCGACATCGCCGATATCTTTGCCTTGGCTGAAATACGTCTTGTACACTTCTTCGATGACGCGCTGCTGTAGACTTTCTCCGCCGACGTGAAAAGCCTTGGCGATGAGACGGTGCGAGAGAGTTGTTTGACGGAGCATCCCCTCGTAGGTGATGCTGAGGCCCTCTGATGCAAACCTGGATTGCATGAATGGCTCCATTTGCGCGAAACGCGCGGCGCCAAATTTGTTTTGATAATGGTCGCGTTTGGAAACGGCGTATGTCGTAGGAAGGGAGGGGTCCAACTGTCGATATCGACAAGGTAAGAACGTGGTAAGCAATGGAATCCAGGCTTACTTGATATGGTACAAAGCGCACGGTAATATCCAACGGAAGATTCTTGCTTTTTGCAGTGGCGACAGCCTTGTTGAGTTTCGTGTATCCGAGGTAACAGAATCTAAAGAGAGCTCTTCATCAGAGGCGTAAAACCTCGGCGGATGGGACCTACGGGCAAATCGAGTCGGCCGTGACGACCACATTGACCGCTTTGCGTGCTAACGACATGATAAAGAAGACCGAAGAAAAATATAGGTGGAGTGCGACCAAGTAGTTGGGTCCAAGTTGCGGTCATCATGCCGGACAAACGATGGGTAAGCCGATCCGGAGGTTTGACTAATCTGCGCCACTTCCAGCCAATCATAAATTTGCCAAAGTCTCGAAATCACTGACGAGTAGTATGAATCGAGAAAACCATTGACAAACACATCGAATTCCATCCACTCTCAATTGGTACGTTCCCAGACTGCTCGATATTTAATTGGCACTAGATATATGTCCGAGCAAAACATATTTGCAAATTGAATATAGAGCAACGGATACTCGGAGTACGTCGGTCGGCGCACGAGTTGAACATTTCTTCGCTCCCGCAGGATGTACTGCGCTCCAGAGGTGAAATCTAGACAAGCGATCTGTATGAGTGGTTGCCTTTGGGCAGCAGATCCATCAGAGCAACATAAGTCATGAGAATGGAAGCGAGAGGATGAAAGCGAGGATTCGGGGCCAAATAAAGTCCCAAAATTGAGGATCGTCACAAGAGGAGTTGAAGCCTTTATGTAAATATCGGTACTATCCCAGTAGGATAGATACGTTGTTGCGTGTATCGAATTGGAGTCGAAGAGTGGGATATAATTAGGAATAAATGAACGGCCGAGCACCGTATGTGATCGGTGCCAAGCGTCCGTGCTCCTGCAGGCTCTAGTATAGATGGTCCCGCACGCTATCAAAATGTGCGTATAGGACTGAACACATTGGCAACCCTCTCGGCTGCCATGAGTTTGAAAATATATCTTGAGGTCGATTTCCCTTACTTGTATGGCTAATCAGCCGTCAATACGTTACGTTGGCAATAGAAGAGAAGCGTACTGAATTATACAGAGGTAAGACTGGACTCTCAAAGTGCTTACTCCTAATATGATTCTCGACGTAGTCGGCGCGTTTTGGCCATGTCCGTGTGGCACACTCGTCAATCAAACACCGCCCATGACCGCGATTGACCTCCGCAAGTTCTGGGGTAATGTACTCATTCGGTATGGGTGTAAACGGATGGTCCGTCATGTATTTGAATATTGCGTTGGCAGCCGGTAGCTGCGCTAGGGTGAACTGCCCGCGGAGATGATCATAGCTACGGTGCAGGTGCAGACCTTGATTGAGTTGATTCGGTCTGAGGGATAAGTAGCTCTGAAGCTCAGACCATTCAAGGTGACGAATCAGCTCCCAGGTTTCCTTGTCCAACAGAACGTTCGTTTTCAATTGCGATTGATTGAGTAAGGCGTAAGATCGATCCGAAAGTGTGATCTGGATCACTTCTGTATCCTCAGGTATAGATGATAAGTCGGATTGAAGGTGGCCTGAAGGGACCGCCATCACTCCCCCATATTGAGCGGAGTATGGTCGCCGTGTCCAGTCTTCTTTTGAACTTATGTCACTGTTTCTTGTTTGCGGAGAGCCGCACTGAGATGTCGTGATCATAAGACCCATCGAGTATACCGACCCTTCCCTTAACGACGAAGGGGGCCTACTATTAAGCAATCGACCAGATTCATCATATTCTGGATATTTTGTGGGACCCTCTGTCTCCATGACTCGTTTTACTAGAGAAGACGGTCAGCGCCAAGTTGTCTGCGAAGAAAAACGTCACACTAAACTACAGAGCATCTCATTATATCCGCCGAGTAAATATATGGAAATATCATTGTCTCTTCTGGGACTGTGGATATATACGGTCATAGCCAATTTCGCCTTCCCGAGCCCTCGCAGGGTTTGGTGATAATTCACGGCAATATAGATGAATATAACAGCAAATTGAAGTCAGGTTCAGAGAAGCAAAGCTTCGATGGGCAGCGACTCGCCCCCTGAAGGTAGAACTTTGGGGACGCTGGCCATTCGCTTCAATTAAGCAACTAGATGAGCTCTCCACTTATGTTTCTGACATGTTCTCACAGTCAGATGTGCTAATTCTTCAAACTCATAACTGAAGTACGCATGCCTGAGAAGTTGTTAAAGGCTAAAACCAACTATCGCTTTGTACTATGTGCTCGTACAGTAGGTCCTCTGAACAGAATTTGGAGGGGCTTCAGCGAAATTTCAGTCACTATTTTTCGCCATAAAGAAACGCTCACAGTGTATGACAGCATCGTATATGGCCACAGTGATATGGCTGGTGGCCAACATGCGAGCGAACATGGCCCAGGACCTCCTGCCTCTGTTTCAATCGTCTTCCACAAAGTAGACACTTGTAATTATCGGCAAATAGCAAGTAGATTGAGGCCGATTCCGAGATCGCAGTTCCCGGAAATCTCGTCTGAAGCTGATCAAATCCCGCTTGCTCAATGAGGGCATCTCCCTGTTTTGTACCCAAGACTGGCTCCAAGTTGTCGTCTTTATAGAACTGCGAAGACAGGATGAGGCCGAGGAGCCTCCGTAGTTTCGGGTCAGGGAAGAACCCAAGTGCTGTGAACGCATTGTCGAGCAACAGCAAGTCTGCATGAGATTTTGGTCGCATTGGATACGGAGCCAGAGAGGGAGAGGTTTGTTGAGAAGTTGAGTCGACGATTTGGGGCAAATCTAAATCACCAGTCGGCACCTGATAGGAAATGAACAGTAGATCAGTGTTCAGCTGACTGGAAGAGATAAACATTCAAATTGGCAGATCTGGTCCAGATACCTTCCTATTCATCTTGGCTGAAGGACTCACCTGGGGGGCTAAAGACTGTTTTGGCAGATCTAGCAAAAAGCTAGAAAGTGTCGCTAATTGCGCCACTTTATCATGCTCTAGTGACTGGTATATTCTAAATTGACGCCAGTCTAATTGGCGAACTTTCTCCCGGATGTCTTGGTCTAGTTCAAGCTCCACTCTTATCAACGTTGACTGCTGTGAGCGTGGGGATCCAGCGGAATCTCTTTGAGATATAGAGGGCTCCGCTATGACAGCAGCCGGATAAACCATTGGAAGGCGTCCCGGGGGGAGGATGACAGCCTCCTGCTGCTGTAGGAGAGTGCTCCGATACACAGGTGGGTTGGTATTTGGGGAACCACACTGAGAAGGTGTAATCATGAGGCCCATCGAGAAGGTAGATCCCTCCCTCCAGGGTGTCGACTGCCTACTCGTAGTCCACGGTGATTCGTGACTGTCGATGTGCGTGTTTTTCATCGCATTTTCGGTCTCCATGTTTATCACGACGAAGAAATCTGTAGTTATATGGTTGGAATAAAAGATTTGAGTTAAACTATGAATAGGGTTCAGTTTCCAATATGGTCGGCGTCAAGTTGTAGGGGCTGGTTGATTCTGGATATGGCTTTAATCCGGTGACAACCAAATATAATAAGGAAGTTGATGGGCAGATACTACAGACAACAACTATGGATCCGAATGCTGCGCGAAATTTCTCTCGCATCAAGGCTCATTAAAACGAGGTTAAGGGTGGTGTGAGGAGGCACACAAAGGTATCATTGCTGTGAACAGTGAACACAGATCTATAGAATAACACGGATAGTAAATAAATTGGTGCATCCAAAAGGAGGAGGGGAATTAAATGTCCGTAAATAAGAGTCATGCGCTGACATTGTCCATCATTTCTCGTTATCTTGATTGTCACCAGTCTGTTGATGCTCGAAGTTTGGATGCTTCGAGCTCATGTACCGCTTCATGCCAGCCCGTCGGATCAGGTTGCCACTAAGAACGTGTCAGACAACGTCGAGCAAAGGAAGTAGTCCAACGTACCATATACTACATTTCTACTTATGTGTTTGGACCTTGAGATGATCGTCGAGCCAGTTGTCTGAGAAAAACTTGCGAGGGCTAGTAATCAATGATTAAGGATTACTTCCTTCGAGTTCGAATGGACTCACTTGTTCCCGTTTCGGCACTTGTCGCATGTGCAGTGATACGGCCTGTGGTTGATATCTGACCGAACGTGACCCAATGCACGCCCACTCTGATCCATCTTCTTCCCACAGACCAAGCAATGATTTTTCTCTGTAAAATAGCACATAGATGGACTGAGTATCTCTATCCGCATTCTCCGCAGCCGTCGTGTCAGCCGACGAAGGATCCCCCGGTGCAAACCGTGGGTCGTGAGGAGCAACATGGCGAATTTGTTCCAGGACCGCATCGGCTTCAGGTGTACCGAGCATGGGCTCGAGTAACTCATCCTTGTAGAACTGAGTCGACAGGATGAGCTCAAACAACCGTCGTAGAGCAGGGTCCGGGAAGAACCCGCGAGGGGTGAATGCCTCGTCCAGCATCTTTGGTTTGATTTCATGTCGTTGTCCTTGTTGTCGCGCCTTGAGTGATGATACACGCTGGACGCTCGCACCACATGCATTGGGTAGCGTCGGAACAGGGTTTGATGGTGGATACATATCCAAGTGTACAAGAGGAGAAGTCGGTGGACTATACCGAAGCAATGCCTGCTTAGGATATAGCATGCTGATATGTGCTTGAGACGACTGTCCTGGGGCATCCTGCCGAGAGAATGCGGAATGTCAGGTCGTTGCGTTTGCGAGATAGATGGAACACGATCAGAGTCCCAGTCGGTTACGTTGATGGTGGGAGGGGGGTTCGAAACTACTATGCGCGTGTTTATGCATCACGGATAAGGCGGCACTCGCACTACGCCGTGTCCGCTCCTGACTCGGACCCGATCCTCCAAGAACGTTGCTCACTTCAGCGGAATCAAGATGAGCATAGAGCGGTGCCGTAGGTGCGATGCCTGTATCTAATTGACCTTGAACGTTCTTCTGTCCAAGGTGAAGGGGTATCTCCAATGCACTCTGTGATTGAGGTCGCCGTAGTTTCGTTCGCTTCAGCCCGGGAACCTCGAGCATGTTCGAGCGTGACGAGTTGAACTGCACTTGCGGTGGCGCGGCAAACACCTGGTGCTGCTGCTGCTGCTCATTGCTTTCGTCATACTTTTGGTACATATATTTTGAAATTCAGGCCATTCAAGGAGACGAATTTGCTCCCATGTGTCCTTGTCCAACGTGATGTTCACCTTCACATGCAATCGATTGGGTACGGTGGAGGATCTGATTATGGTCTGAATGATGTCACTTTTTCGTCCAGGGGCGATAGATCTGGTTGGAAAAGGGACAAAGGGCTAAGCATTTGCCCATCATAATGAAGAGCGTACTGCTGTTGTGCCCAGAGTTCTGTAATATCATGCTCACTTCTTGAACTAGGAGAGGCGCATTGTGACGTCGTAATCATAAGGCCCGTCGAAGATATAGATCCTTCCATCATGGACATTGATCGTGCGTGGTGGATCAATGGCCAACCAGACTCCTCAATAACAGAGGTTTCTGAGATTTCTCCTGTGCTCATGGTGAAATTTAAGTACGTGATCAAATTGCGAGATATGGTCGGCGTCGAAAGCGCTGAGCCTTCGGACAGGAACAAACAAGTGCAACGGTAGCCTCTAATAGTCTAAGGTTATCTACGTCAGAATAATCGATGAATAATATATTCCTGAGCGGTGCTTCGAGAAGAATGGTTTATACACATGAGGTTGTCGCTACCTGCACGGCCGGATTATTGCTCAAGGGAGACGACGAAGTGATTTGACCGTAATTCTCTTCTTCAAATGGGTCGAGTGACGATGTATCCGTAGTGATTGATCGTTCATGAGGATGTCGCCACAGGGCATGCAAATTCGTCGAGCGCATGAGTCCGCCAGTGACGGCTGAGTCCTTGTTTATCACGGTAGGAGAATGGACTAAAATAGATTCAGAAAACAGGCAGAGTATGAGAGCATGTCGTACCAGAGGCGACATTTGAATCGCGTATTCCCAAAGTGCTCCGCTCGGATTAGCCGTGGGGGCTTTGGTTCAATTGTAGAGGTGTTAATAGATGAATTTTCTCGTGATCTGCGCTTTCGCGGAGTGTCATTTTCGTCCACCTCTTCTCGCGCACGTTTGTTTGGACTGGTTTGGAGAGATTGTTGAGGACTGATCGCTTTACTTCGGGGTTTGCGTAGTGTCGTAGACCTTGATGGTATCTTGGTATCATCGACACTGTTCATTTCCACCGACGGAGCCTGTTCTTGACGTGGTCTCGACTGTCTATATTCCTGCTGGGAACTGAAGAGGAGAGATAGGTTCTCGCTCTCGTCGAATGAAATGGACCTCAAGTTGCACGCTGTGAGAGGTGTCGATGGGGGATGCTGTCGGTTGGGAACGGGAAGGGAAATATGCATTCTGTCGTCTTCTTCCAGCATTTCTTCATCTAATGAAGCATTTAATTTAAGATGAGCATCACAATTGTCACTGGCATCTACTCACGACTCCATGGAGATATTGATCGACTGCTGCTTAGACGCGGCGATGCACATTGGGATATCGTGATCATTAGATCCATTGATATGGATGATTCATGGCTCCAGGGTGATGCATATCGACCATTTGAGGCTTGTAGCGTATCCTGCTCCTCTTTATCGCATGTGGGACTCCTTCTAGATATCCTTGCCGTGTTCATTGACCCAAGTATGGTCGAATCTGTATTATAGAGAAGACCTGACTCTAGCAGAGATGTTATAAGGCCGGGTCGAAAGTAGAGTTCGGCTCCAAGGACGTTGACAGTCTCTTGGGCTGTGGATGGCTCAGCCGGGATTCTAGTCCGGTGACGACTCAAAACAGCAGAGTGTAAGTAAAGATGCATAAATACGATAGAAAAAGCGTTTCGCCTTCTCTCAATAAGAATACGCAGTCAATGTCAATTAGAATCTCTATCTGTATGGAGGCTTATCGACGAGCGACCATCTCTCAGAGATATCATCGCTGTGAAGAGACCGAGTCTGCCAAAGATCCCTAGCTCTTCATAGTCACCCACGGCAACGGTAGGGGTGGAGTTGGAGGTTTCTGGTCAAAATGACTCATGTCACCAAAGAGAGATGAGCCGCTATTTGTCGGGGACCTTAAGGAGCCATTTGGATATGAGTTAAGCGAATGGCCGTGAAAATGCGATTCTGAGGAGCGACTTGTGGGTGCATAATCGGACCCCGAAGAAAGGGACGGGAATGGTGGGATTGCGATGGTCGTGGGGAATAATGAGCTGGGATGTGGTTGACTATGGCCTAAGTATGGCGAGAGACGTGACAGCTCTGACGGAGATATGCATTTTCCGTGGGTTTGCCGTCTATGGCGCTCAATTTCGCAGTCGCTTGTAAACAACTTTGAACAATTTTGGCACTGTGGGCTGCATATAGGTGTAAGAATGTCTCTTTAGACCACTTTATCTGGAGAAAGAAAGAGTGCTTGCAAGCGAGTCAGTCATGGAAGCTTGGTAATGCGCAACCATCCCAGACCCTGCATGCGAACGGTCGGTAGTCAAAGTGCTTGTTCAAAATGTGGTCGCAAAGGTGACCGATGAGCGTCATCGTCTTCTCCGTAGCACAGGTGCCAATCAAGTAATGTCCACGGCCGTCGTTAATCTCCGCGAGCTCCGAGGTCATATACGTCTCCGGAATGGCTGCCTTTGGATGATCTTTCGTGTACTTGAAGATGCCACTGACTGCCATTTTTTGCGCTTCGGTAAACTGCTTGTAAATGTGCGCATGGCTAGGAGTGGCGTCGATGCAAGCGGCGAGACTAGTATTGACAGGAGGAGAAGAACGCGCTGGCGAGGGATTGGAATGGAGGTGGGGCACAGGAGGAATCCAGTATAGAGCGGTACAAAGAGGCGATATAGATACTTACTAGGAGATGTAGGCGACGAAATATGCATCATTCAGGCGCCCCTATCGACCTGGGCCGTAGCGGGCAAGCTGGTTCAGAGACGCAGAGGTGCTGTGTGGAATACTCTTTGCGAGCCTAGGAGGACATTTCATGGTTATCACGACGTCGAGAATACTTCGTCAATATCGAGGAGCTTCAATCTCTAGCGAGTCTTATCGAGACGACTCTCTCGCAGAGGTATCATTGCTGGGAACGTTGATCACAGATCTACAAAACAACACACGAGTAGTAAATAAATTGGTCCATCCACAAGGAGAGAGGAAATAAAGGTCCGTAAGCACGATTCGTGCGTTGAAATCGTCTATTATTCTTCGTTATCTTGGTCATCACCAGTCTGGTGATACTCGATGTTTGGATGCTTCGAGTTCATATGTCGCTTCATGCCACCGCGTCGGAAGAGGTTGCCACTGTGAACTGGTTAGACAGTGTTGAGACGACGAACTAGCCCGAATTACCATATAGTACACTTCTGTTTATGCGTTTGACCCTTGAGGTGGTCGTCGAGCAAGTTGTCTGAGAAAAACTTGCGAGGGCTAGTAATCAATGATTAGGAATTACCTCCTTCGAGTTCGAATGGACTCACTTGTTACCGTTTCGGCACTTGTCGCATGTGCAGTGATATGGCCTGTGGTTGATATCGGAGCGAACGTGACCCAAAGCACGTCCACTCCGATCCGTCTTCTTCCCACATATCAGACACTCGTTATTCTCCGTAAAGAGCATATAGATAGACTGCGTATCCCTATCCGCACTCTCCGCAGGCGCCGTCTCCGTCGACGGATCCCTTGGCGCGAACCGAGCGTCGTGCGGAGCAACGAGTCGGATTTGCTCAAGGAGCGCATCAGCCTCTGGCGTACCAAGCATGGGCTCGAGTGACTCGTCCTTGTAGAACTGCGTACACAGGATGAGCTCAAACAGCCGTCGTAGCGCGGGGTCCGGGAAGAAGCCGCGCGACGTGAATGCATCGTCTAGCAGCTTTTGATTAATCTCATGTCGCTGTCCTTGTTGCCTCGCCTTGTGGGAGGAAACGCGCTGAACGCTCGCACCACCAACAACAGAATTGGGCAGCGTCGGAACAGGGTTTGGCGGCGGGTAGGTAGTCGAGTGTACAAGAGGTGGTACCTGTGGATTATGCTGCAGTAGTGTTTGCGTTGGATGTAGCGCGCTGGCCGATGCTTGGTACGACTCGCCTGAGGGCGTCATACTGAGAGAATGAGATATATTGGGTCGTTGGGTTTGAGAAATGGACGGAATGCGATCAGAGTCCCAGTTTGTTACGCTGATGGCCGGAGGCGGGTCAAAGCTACTATGCGCGCGTTTATGCATAGTCGACATGGCGGCACTGGCACTATGGCGCGCTCTTACTTGACTCGGACCAGGCCCCCCAAGTACGGTATTCTCATCCACGAAATCAGGATGAGCAGAGAGTGGAGCAGCATGTGGACTTCCTCCACCGACAGAAGTGAACAACGGATTCAACTGAGCTTGAACGTTGTTCTGGCCGCGATAGAAGGGGGCGTCTAATGCGCTTCGCGATCTGCGTCGCGACGGGTTGGGTCGCTTTGCTTTCGGAACTTCGAGCGTATTTGATGAATTGGATTGCATATCTTGCAACGACGCGAGCGCCTGCTGTTGTTGCAGCGCTTGCAGGACATCGATAGGGAGGGATGCAAGGTCGATACCCTGTCCATCAAAGCCAACCGATGCGCTAGGTGCTGGTGAAGAGGTGGAGCCGGTGAGCGAGGAACCATACCCAGCGGCGTCGTGTATGCCATTACCGACGCTGGGCTGGAAGAGATCGGGATGCATTAGAGATTCAGGTGTACGCGCTCCTACCGGCGACGGAAGGACCTCGTTGAGAGTTTGGGGGGATGGTATAAGGTGAAAGTTGGAGAGCGAATCGGTCCCTTGGGATTGAGTTCCTAGCTGGCTACCGTCGAGACCCAGTCCAAACGAAGTTCCAAGCATGTTTCCACCGAAATTCTCCCCGATTTGGGTATGCTGCTCGCTGGTTGGAGGGTCGAGGAAACTGTCGAGCTGCATTCGCGTCTCTTCTTCCATACGTCTAATCTGATTGGCTTGCGCCTGTGCGTTTGACACGTCGAGTAGATTCCACGACTGTTCTGCGGAGCCACCTAGTTGAGCCAGGCTCGCGTTGCTGGTAGACGCTAGACCAACAGGAGGCGAGCTTCCGGCGAACAGTCCGCTGCCAAGATCGTCAAACAACGGGACGTCCAATGACAGTGGTCCATTGGTATTCATGGGGAGTTCGTTGGGAGATCGGTAGAGAGGGCTTGCTAGGGGGCTTGTGGCATGGAAGGGGCTCGAGGCGCCGCTGATAGGTTCTATCGGCGAAGGAGGAGGAAGCTGTTGGCCAGGAGAGGGTGCCTCGAATGGAAACATAAAATCGAGCTGAGACGAAAGGAGATGGGGAGAAATGGGCGATAGATGTGGCGATCCGAGGGGACCCGACTGAGGTGTGCGCGGAGACGGGACTGGTGGAGCAAGGAGGTGCGAGGAGTGAGATATATCAAACTGGAACTCGCTGGTCGTGAGGCCTGAGCCCTCTGGTCCATTGACGTCTCCCAAGTCGCTGACACTGCCAACGTGGCTGGAAGCTCTTTGGATGTTGAGTCCCATCAAGCTGTTGGGATATGCGGCGTTGTTCAGGGCGAGGTTTTCTACTGTCAATGCCAATCCACCAGGGATACCGGGGATAGTCAGGTCTGTCAAAGGCACGGACAAGGCGTCGTTGGCGCGATGTCCTATTAAATGTGAGCAATCGTGGCCGAAGTAGAAGGCAAGACATACCCGGAAGAGACGATGGAACCATGTACGGACTAGTTCCCCTACTTCTGGGTGCATTACTACCAGCGCGAGCCATGACACTATTGTTCTCCGGCACACTCCCAACACTATGTCCTCGACCACGCTGGAAGCGGCTCTCAACGGCGTCATTCCGCTTAGTCTGATTGCCGCTGGGGTTCCGTGCATGAAGATTTGGCGAGCGAGGAATCTGCGTCCCACTGGCAAAGCGACCATGCCCACCATGATGTACAGTCGAGTTTGGACTCGCACTCGGATCCTGAGCGCCGTATTCCCAGCTGAGGGAACCACTCGCCGTGTTCGTCCTCGGAACCGACGAACGACCGCGCATCTTACCCGACTGCCACCGCGAAAGGTCTCCGCCCAATGGTACGCTGTCTACCGTCCACTGCTTTCCGTGTCTGGTGTGTGGGTTGGCAGAGGAAGGTCGAATGGGTGAAGGCTCGCGTGACGATTGGCTAGGGCCAAAATGAGGGGAGAGCGAGACGGGGGATTGGGTGGGCTGTTGAAATAGCGGAGAGAGTCCTACGGCAGAGTGAGCACCGTCAGGCGAGAAGGAGAATGGACTGTGTGGCGATATCTGAAAGGGGCTGGCAGGCGGTACTTGGTCTGCACTGGGTGAGTGTGGCTGGGAACTCGGGTGGAGGGGGGTAGCTGCTGAGAGGGGCGAAAGGGTGTTTGGAATAAATGAAAGGTGGTTGGAACCGCCTTCAACATTGTCTGATAGCTGCTGAGGGTTGGGTTGAGGATTCTCCAATCCTAACCCGTGGCCATTCATTTGAAACGCAGAGTTTATTGCAGCGGCGATCTCGTGTTGCATGGAACCTTGCTGGTTGGAAAGGTTGAGCTTGAGGTCCGGTCGATGGCCGAGATGATTGCTCCCCGGGTTCAGGAATGAGGACGTATCGCGAGGGTTATACTGAGCGTTTGCATACCCTAAATCCCCTAGAGAACTCCCAGCATTCGCCAATGTTGCTCCAAGCGCACTGCCATGAACGAGTAATTCCTTTGGCGGAGCGCGCGAACCAGAGCTCGATGAACGCGCATGTGCGGCATTTATGGCATCTAATAACATAATGGAGCGATTGAGAGTGCAGCATAGAGGGCAGTAATCGGTCAGCGTTTCCGTTTCTGTGCAATCGGGGAGGGTGGCGGGCAATACTCACTGTTAAACGCGTTTCCGTGCGTATTCTGCGAGTCTAATGCGTCTTTCCGACGTCCATTGATCACTCTACCCGTATATGGATCCACTTGAGAGGCGTGCATTGCGCCGCCGTCGATTCCATAGCTCGAGACGTTTGTAGCCATGTCTGCAGCCCGTATGTTACAGGTAATGGGCCTATATACTTCTATATGTTATACTTTGTCGCTCTTCACGGCGCTGGTCCCACAAAGCTCGTCGGTCGCCGAGATAGCGCGCGATTTGGAAAACGTTGGTCGTGGCGGGCCAGCTTAGACGATGAAATGGTAGAAAAATGGCGTAGTAGATAGTTTCGGGAGAGAATTGGTGCGTGTTTCGTGAAAATTCAAGGTCGAGGAAGGGTCCAAAGTGCGGTCAAGGCCAATATCCGGCCGGCGCGCCTCAAAGTGGACACGAAGACGGACAAACGTTGCAGGCTCCTGACGTCTTAATACGAGGTGAAATCGGCAGATCAGCTGATAATGGACACTAATTTCAGTTCGCGAAGCAAGTCTTATATTAGTACCCCCGCGTTCGTCTTCTCCATGCTCTAGCTGGAAGCAACAAATGGTTGGAAATATGCAGTGATTATTGACTTCATAGGCTCAATTGCTGTCTTTGGTAACGTCAAACAGCTTTCCTTATGCCTCACTCTTCCTGCTCGAGCTCATTTCTGACGAGGAATAGTCGAAGATGACCACGTTTAGTCTATTCCAATAATCACGAACGTATTCCGGGATGCAGCCTCTCGAGCGACGGTCGGACGCTAGGTCGGCGTCAAAAGAGTCCAACTCCGGTCGACTTCCGACGTCGCAAGACTCGTATTTTCGACACGATTCAAGCGAGGAGAATGCAGAAGAAAGCTTGGCGCGGCTGTTTTTCGGCTCGACGAGGTCGAAATACTGCAGGTAAGGGGGTGGCCCAGGCTCAAGGCAGCGTCGAAGCTTAGTCGCAGGGCCCAATCAACCTATAGCTTCATTTCCTGATATAATAATGCATTTCAGCAATCGCCATGTGGACCTTCGTTGTGCGAGGAGCATCGAATGAGAAGTGACTGGAGCCTAGCCCATGTTCTGGGGAGGCTCCATGTGATGAAAGTCAAAGATGGGACTGTGTGATAGTGATAAATGGCGTGATTACACCCCTGCCAGGTATTGGGACTCTTCCCCTATCGCGCCGAAACTGGACTCTGTGAGGACTGGGAAATGAAGTCGAATGCTCAGGTATACCGCATGATATATCACACACCGGAAGATTGGAGATGCTTCATCCGTACCTGCACAGTCTCCCAGCAAACTGTCCCAGCTTCGCCGAGAATGTCCGAATCCGTTAGCGGCCATGCGAGAATTTTCACGGACATATGTCAATATTAGTGACTGAATCGCCCATCTTCTACGTACGCCGTGCCCTCCGGTGTGATGTACGCCCATCTTCACCTGTCTGGGGGAGTGGGTGGCACGATGTGTAAGCGTCGATATGGAGACCATGTGTCATATGTCCTTCGGAGACTGAAACAATGGGGCTGCTGACCACGCGTCTACGTTGCTTGTTGGAGGGGAGGGGGTTCGGCAGGTCGGCTAGGAGGGCAACCAGACCCTATATCGGAGATAGGATGCGTGCACGATGATACGCGTGATACCTTAACGGGCATGGAGAAGCAGGGATCATATGACCTGCTCATACCTGATACCTATCAGCCTGAACTGCGTTTCAAGATTCATGCGCAGAACAAAGGTCAGATTCGATCAATCTTCATATCTCATTCAGTTTGAATTCACCTTGTTTCGCAGCTTGGTTCCCGCGGTTGACCATGAAATGAGACCTGACGTACCCTAGGCACGGTGAGTCCATATGACCGGTCAATGCAAATAATTTGATGCAATATAGCTTCGAGTACTACATTGCTATTCAACGACAGTCAGGGAACGACGAGTTCTGCGCCGAGGAGCTTGAACCACCGAGTACCCCGTCAAGATTCGACTGTGGAGTTGTAGCTGAAGTAACTTCTACGATATGCAATGTACTATACGATCCAGATGTATCCGATAATACTCCAGAACAGAACATTGACTGGTAAGAATCCACTCGACTGCAGATGGCTCAGAAGTAAGAAGCACAAACTACGTTCCTGGTCTACAGTCGTCATTAGTAGATCATGCTATTTGCCTCGACATGTAATCTTAGAATAACCGGGGGAAGGGAGAGTTGGGAATCCGTGCTGGTAAGGTGCAAGCAATTGATCACTCTTTGATAAAAGATTTAGAGTCGATATAACAAGTTGTAGATAGACACATCTAGAGCCCTTGTCGAGTCTCGCGTTTCTGACGACCGAGCACTCGTGGACCTTCGACCGTCCCAAGACCGCGTGTGCATCTTGGGTACTTGTCTGAACGACGCAGTTGGTGTGATTACAATTGGGCAGTTCTATATACTTCAAATGGACGTCTTTGGGCCCCTCCATCAACGAGAATGCGTCTCTTCGCTGAGCAGTCAACCAAATGCTGGACAGTTACTGGCCCCCTGAGCGGGGCCTCTGTCGATCATCACTGGCAGATCGTTACTGAGGAGTAGAAACACGACACGTTGGGCATTCTCAAGGGATAACTGACCGGTACGAGTTTGGTAAATGCAAGTGAGGGGAGTTGGCTAATATGAGCAAATATGCCAGCAATACATGTAAAGCGAATAGAAACAATGCGTAGCAACAAATGCCGGAGCTGGTACATCGATCAGAGCCCAGCTCCCTGGAATCCCCAGTAAGCTGATCGTGCTGTTTTCCAAAGGTCTGGAATGCTAAGATGTAACAAGACACAAAGTCGAGCCCCGGTGCAAAGATAACTCCGTCGTGGCGGAAACTCTGTTCATCTCTTCCGGCGAGCTGACGCAGGGTCGAACCGACGGACTGGGCCGAATGGCCGCGAGAAAGGGCACAAATGATGTAGGATGGTTTAGATGCCAGGTCAATTGGTAGCCAAGGACGTGACTCTGGCCCAAGTCGGCGCCTTGGGACGTAGGGGATTTGCAAACGCCTGTTCACGCCGACGTAATGGTGAGCGAATCCTTGGTGGAAGATGGTCTTGTAAACGCTAATCGGCCCTGCAGATTCGGGTTTTCGACTGCAAGGTTGGTGGTGGCCGCAAATATTCCTGCGAGCGCTTGTAGCCACAGCCCACACAGAGCTCGTGAACAGCCCGCAAATCGTCTCACGAATGTCTTAAAACAAATTCAAAATGGACTTTGAGGGCGCGAATTCCGTCGGATGAGGCCACAATGAGGTCCCTTTGCAGTGAAGGACGGCTGTAGAGGGACATCGCATCCACCGCGCCTTGTGCAACTCCGGAGCACAACGCAAACGGGGCTCATCAATGACCTATGAGGTGGCGTATCTACCATCCATGATCAAGTCAGCGGACCGCCCTTTCGATTGCGCCGCGCTCGAGTGCGGACCCAGTGCCCGCATTCAAAGCCCGACGACTAGTGAGTGTGGCTCGGCAGCTCTAAAGCTTTGACTCAATATTTGAGGCCCTGCCTGACCTTCTGGGCCGCAACTGATGGTCCAGCCTCCCCATTTGCACACTCTCTTTCGTCCATCTCACATCCAAAATCACTGCGTCTTCTAGACGTCGTCGCCAAGCATCGGCAATACACACTTTACGCTCTTTACTCCATCTACTCGTGTTGGATACGCCACTCGACTTTCCCTAGGCGAAACTGCTCGCTCGGCATCAGTAGACCCAACTATTGGTGCGCATTGCTCGCTCCGCCTGCTCAAATCATACCAATTGCTTACACACATTAGTAACCAATCATACTCGCTCATCAGCATTGCTTTCGCTTTTTTTATCGGATTTCCATGAGCCAGCTCAACCGTCGCAACAGGGCCTCCGTGTCCTATCGAGGGAGTCAGGAGAACCCTACGGAGCGGATTGCATCTCATCCCCAGCAGTCTGCGGGCTTGGCCAAAGGTTAGTATGGCCGCAGTTCGCCTCTGACCAGGATCTGAGTACTTCACAGCAAGCGGACGGGCAGTGTCTCCACTTGTCCGCAGGAAAACCATTCAAGGCGCCCAACTTGGTCGCCCCAGAAATGACTATGATCGGCGTCGAATTTCAAACAACAGGCCCAACATTGGAGCCGACCTCGCGCTGCCGCCATCAACTTTGGGCCCAGGAACCAACTCGTATCTCCATTCGAATGCGACACTGTATTCCGGTACCCCGCCCTCCGGCCACGTCGCCACGAATGCAGTGACACAGATTCCAATGTACCAATCACCGCGGCAGAGTCGACACACTCGCAATGGTTCTTATACCAAGCATCCTGTCGTCTCTCCTGTCTCCATCGTCACGAATATCTCTTCTCCTCCTCCCTCCATCCGGAGCCCTACGGCTGCCCGCAGTGGACGCACTCGGCGTACGACGACAACGACTACAACGACAGACGCTCGTATGTCTGCCTTGCTGTCTGCTGCACCAACTTTCACTGACCACGCCCCTCCCATAGCTTCGCTTCTTCTTTCTTCAAACCCGCCGTCCTCCCTTCCGACGTCGACCATGGACAACGGCAGATATTGGTCGGAGCCGCACCAACTCGACGGCCACTCGTTCGATGCATACGGCAATATCACCTCGGTCACATCTAGTCTAGGGTTAGCACATATGCCTGCCCAGTACTCCCACGGTGAACTGTACAATTGTAAGGCATTCATGGCATACTGTGTCTGTCGATCTCAACTGACGCGTGTTCACTTATTCCAGATGACGGAATGTATTCACCGGCGCATGCGGCCTCCGAGCGAGGCCTCCCAGCAGTTGCTCCCCCGGGCGGTAAAATAGCCGCCGCGAGGTAAGATACGGTTCCCATCCTCTTGCTCACGAGAATGTACACTGACATTGTTCTTTCTCAGTCACGACATTGGTTTTCTCTCACTGCCCCCTTCGACTGATGACCAGCGCCCGGTGGCCTCTGTCGCCGAGGGCCCACATACAAATGTCGGGCTCTCCAGACATCCAGACGCGTACCATCCGCAGTACAGTATCGATCACCAGACGTATAGTCCCCCAAACCCTGCGGCGTACTACAACACTTTTGCCCCCGACCCCATGTCGACCACAATCCAAATTCACCCTCGCTCACCACATATGGAACAACCGTATATCCAAGGAACCCCTAATCTCGTCCCATATTATAGCCATCCCGCTCGGTCGCCCGCCATGCCCCCCCACTCGTCCCCACAGCAGAACCCCAACTCTCATTCTCGATATCCGGGCTACGCTCTGCCTGGACCCGACTACGTGAACTACTCCGCCAACGGGCTCGTGTCCGCGCCAGACTTCAACACAATCATCGATGTCAACCACAAGGTGTACATGCCCGCTCCCTTTGGCTCTTCCAACGGTGTCATCGGCTCACCTCTTCCTCAAACATCCCCGAGCGAGCCGCCCTCGGACTTTGAGCGGTCTCAGACCTCGCCGGCGCTGAGGAATTCCACTCGTTTCCCTGGTCAGCGCCTGGACGTTGATCAGCAGTTGCTCGACGCCTCTTTCTGCGGCCATGACGAAGACTCGAGGAAGCGACGTGCCATCTTGGATGAAATCCTCGGTCAGCCATGGTATTACAACCACGAGCAGGAGCCCCGGATCGAGTCGCTCTCTGATCCCGCAGCCCGTGGGCTCGGCATGGTGGGGCGCTCCATTTACACCGTCTTTCTGGTGCAGGATGAGAATGGCAGCCATTGGCGATGCTTGTTTGGTGGGCACCACGCGCAGTGCGATCGTTCAGAAAAGCAATTTGAGCGGGTTGAACGGGCAATTGAGCACGTTCGGCGACATCTTGGACATCGCCCGTATGCCTGCGATGACGGTTGCCTGAAGAGCCAGACCTCTGGTGCACCATGGTACGTTTTTCTCCCTCTGTGCTGTCGGATCTGGCGCTGATATTCTCTTGTAGTGGACAACGCTTCTTTGCGAGCCAGTATCTCCAAGACCACAAGCGTCGACCACAAAAGCGCAAGAGCACCGCCCAGTCGTAAAAAGTACGCAAAGCTCGACGACCTTCCTCACTCTCCATGGACATTTCAACTCTGCATCGAACACTACTTGTGTTCTTTCTTTCGACTCATGAAATCAGAGCTTGCCGCCATCCTCTCCTTTCCGCGAGCGCCATCCGCTCAGCCCATTCTTTTACAAAACATATGCGCCCCTCGTTTTCTGGCAACTCGTGGACACTTTTCTTATACATCACTAGTAGCGGCTATAACCCCGCCGGGTTTCTCGTCTACTCATTCGCTCACGCCCGCAACGTCTCGTCCCGAAACTCGTCATGACTCTATCCACTTGTAATCACATCCCTGTAGCGCACCTCTTTTCTTCTGTCACATTTGATTCGCTACGCCCATCCCGTTGACCGCCTGATGTTTATTCGTTTATCTCTTTTCTTGGACGCCGTGTAGACGACGGTTTTTTCTTTGTACGAGGATGGCATGGTGCCTGTCCATTAGTTTTGCAAGCCTATTATACATTTGGTTCAAACAATACAAGAATGTGATAAAGAGTACATTGAGAGGGGTGGAACGCGAGGGACAAGACAAGAGTGGTATTTAAAGTCGCAGTTGTTCAAGGTTGGAAAACGCATAATTTCGACGTAGACGGCTATTCTCTTTTGGCGACGACTCGTAGATGGTTGGAAGGGACGCAGTTGAGAGTTGGGCGTCCCTTTGGCGTAGACATTGTTTGGGTGATGAGTGTTGTGCGGTTGAGAGATCCTGGAGCGAAGAGCTGGTTAGAAAGGCAACATGCTGCGCGGGTATTCAGGGGTACATACGGGAGTGTCCTCCAAAGTTGTGTTTATGGCCTCAATGCTCGAATTCTCTTCTTCATTTTCGCCGAGCATGAACTATAGACCAAGGGACGAGGAGATACGCAATAAACGTCGTCAGCAACACACCCGAGTGGCGCTTCGGCGATAGTGTCGAAATTTGACGTACCGTGGGCATGATTCCGACGCTAACAGGTGTATTTCTCGATGATTTACGAGTATTGGATTGACGAGGAGGAGAACAATAGACGGCTACGCCTCGTCGACGGTGGTAGCGAATGTTTCGTGGGGACCATAGGTCACGCTCCACCTTTGGTGACAGGCCAAAGGCGCCACCTCTTATGTACCGTTTCCCACTTCCCGGTAAAATGGAGATTCGGCGAAATAACCTGCTCACCGAAACCTTCCATCTCCGGCCAGGATTCCTCATGTGTCGGTTCTGCGGGTTTCCGGGGTATTCACGCGCCTGGCCTTGGCCTGTCCTTAAGAGCAGAATAGACCTAATTCATGTGTGAAATGGTCTCATGATATGGAGATTTTGAGGAGGGTGAAACGGTCTGCTGACCCGCCGGCCTCTGGACATGGCGAGGCTGGCGGCTGGGGTCTGAGACGGGCCACTTTGCATAGTGCTCTGGATTCAACTAGGATCACGACAGGATTGAGAAGCGCGAACAGAATAAACATTTGACACTGTCGTCATGTGGGGTTTTTCTCACTCCAGCTCGTCGTGGCAATGCTGGAGAAACCCACTTTCCAATGCCAGTTTCCAATGTCGGCGATGGACTGCTGCACTATTCAGAAACGAAAGATGTCGTGTCAACTTGCGTTGGTTACTCGGGCTCGACTAAACAGTTCGGAACTATGAAGCGAGATTGTCGGGCCCACAACATCCAAGCAAGTCTCTTCATCACAAGGCTGGTTACTTAATTGAATATCAAGCGTGCTTTTCTGGTCGAGTTTACCGAGAAGATGGTCACAAATGAAGGACTGGGTTCACTTGGCGAGAAACGGTATGGGAGTATATGAGAGGTGGATACGATAGTAGCCCTCTCAAGTTGTGTGAGCTAAAAGACCCCGGCAAGCAGGAGGGTAACGCTAAATTCGATCTGAATGTATGCGAACTGGACATGAGGAACCCAGTTCCTATCTACGTAGAAACGTACTTGGGGGAATACTCTAGTTTGTATCTGTACTATGAGAGATGGAGGAGAATTGTTGAAAACCTGTATGTTCTCTCCTCTAGATTTAAGTGGAAAACGTTCAATCCTTTGTCCGGTTACGTATAAGGCGTGGTGGCGAGTAGGGGCCAGTTCTTGTCAGCCACCCGCGTCGGCTTGGCCAACATAACGTGTCTTTGAGAGCCTGTAGAATATCTGATGGAGCTCCCTGCTGTAGTAGAGGGGCTTTGTATTCTCGTTTTAGGTGCGTAGCTCCAATCAGCGTTTAAAATGATCATGCACGCGAGCGAGACGGCCTTGCAGATCATGGCGACGTTCGTGCGTTCTCACAATTGGAAATACTGGGATATCTGCTTTACAATATTGGTTTTTATGATGGAGAAGAGCACCCAAATCCCGATCTGGCCCCCTTGTGATTACTTCCACTTCATTGTGGGTTCCGGGACCAGCGCTATCATAGCACTCTTCTTCATCGTGCTCAAAATGACGGTAAAAGAGGCAAAAGAAGCATTTTATGATCTATACATGGCCATCTTCACCGATACTCGCAGTAATAGCAAGCAACGGACGCAGCTTCTCACGGAGGAAATCAAGAAAATTCTCTGACAATATGGAAAACCAGGAGAAATGCGACTGCTAGGCAGCAACGGCAACTGTATAGGGTATGTCTCGCGACATGCAGAGGAAACCACTGATAAGGTGCAGATTCGTTTTTGCATCACCATCGACCAACAAACAGTATTTCCGGCGATTCAGAACCTATAGATGTCAGGAATCATCGTCGGACATCTCAGTAGTCGAGGCCATACAGGCGAGTTGGGGCACTCCACTATTTGATCCTATTACTGTGGAACAATCCGAATTTGCAGAGGAGTACGGGTGAGCAGGATTGGCCCTTAACAATTCGATACGAGAAGTCATTGCAGAAGTTGCTTCGTATTATCCCCAGGCTAGCACTATTTCCCTTCTTATCAGTCTAGGCTACGGCCGACCGTCCATCTTGACACGTACCAATCTCGAGAAATCTGGCCCTTTCGAGGATCCTATAGACTACGTTTTGGCAGAGAACGACCGAATGGCAACAGAATTGAAAAGCACCATCTCAATGAACCAAGGATATTATCGATTCTCTGTTGAAAGCGGATTGGGATATAGGCCTGCACCACCACAGATATTCTCTCAGATAATAAGTATTACAAATCGTTTTCTCTATGAGGAGAGGGTACAGAGTCGAGTCCATGATTGCTTACAGACGGGTCGACTCGCTGGTCAGCTAACGCCAGAGAAATCGGTTAGTCCAGGATACAACCGACTTTTTAAATTATAACACTTCATAGCTCAACTGAAAGCGAAACCTAGGGGCAACAACCATAGTCTACCTGCCCTCTCCGCATTCTTTGTTGCTCGTCTACAAAAAGGAGCGGCTCAATAAGTGGTTGCTCGGAGGATCCGTCTTAGGGCCATGTATCGTGGTAGTTTCAGGGATGGCAGGTGTGGGCAAGACTCAGTTGCTGCTCCACTTTGCCCATCAGAACGCCAATTGGTACGATTCAGTGGACCTCAAGTCGCTAATCTGACTTATCCCAGGTTCAAACACGGTTTTTACATTGATGGTAGCTCGATTCAGACCGTTGCAGGCAACCTGGTTGCCAGAGTTCGAGAATTGGGTCATACCTGTCGCACGATATATGATGCACTCAAGATTCTGGATAAATGGGACGAACAGACAGACGGAAAGTATCTCATCATCTTCGACAATGTGGATGATCGCTCAGTAGCGATCGCCAACTACTTTCCCCAGTCTACACATGCCTTTATCCTCATCTCTACGCGAAATAGGGCACTAGGGAACCTGGCAACAGAGGCCCATCTGGAATTAGGGGAAATGACTCCAAAAGAGGCGGTAAAGGCGCTGCTGAAAGTCATTCTACCGCCTGGGCAGAGCGCAACAAATGAACAAACTAATATAACCTTCAGTATTGCTGAAGAACTGGGTTATCTTCCCGTCGCGCTGATCCAAGCTGGGGGCTACATTAAGCCACACCACTGCCTGGGTGACTATCTCAGCCGCCTAAGGAAAAGTCCTCGGCGCATCCTTATACATCCGCTGCCGGAGCAACGAGACAAATATCAAACCACCTTATATACATCCCTCGACCTCATGTCCGAAAGGCTCTCTCCTCTGGCCCAACAATATCTCCATATATTCTCCTTTGGCCATTACCGAAACTTTCCACCAGCTCTCATCGAGCTCGCAGCCGAGCATCACTTCCTCCTCGATCCAGTGACTGTTTTGGACAGGGGTGACGAGTTTCGACGTACGACAATTCTTCTTCACGGCATGCTTTGTCGTACTGGAGAATGGGCGGAAGATAATTTCGACGAAGTTTTGGTCGAGCTTCAGACCATTTTCCTTGTGACCCTTTCTGAAGACGGTGATCAAAACCGCGTGCTCAGCATGCACCCACTCGTTCGGACCTGGGCCCAAGAACGACTGCAGGAGAGTGAATTCATCATATATCGAAACGCTATGGTCATATTACTCTGCTGTGGTTCCGGTCGCGAGGGCGGACGACTTCATGGACATCTTATTCCCCATATACGCGCGCTGTCTTCTCATTGGGGAAACCTTCATGTAAATGATCGAGCCTCCTTTGAGCTCTTGATCATGCCAGGACCAGCGTACAACCGCGTGGATCTAAAAAGAGACTGGATGGGGATCCCAGATCTTTCCCAGCGACGCAGAATTGCGTCGACGCGGAGATCCAGCCATTTTCGACTCTCAACATCACACAGTTCAACATCTCGCAACTCTCAAGTGAGTTCACAGTGTCTTCAATCCCCAGAAGCGGGCCCTCCATTGTTCAAGAGGTCTTGAAGGACCAGGTGGCCGCGGTGGCTAGTGAAAGGAACAAGACGGCCATGGTCACAGTACACGATTGTTGTCTCACGCACTGCATCCACCTGCGACGTACAGCGAGGGGCCATATCTTGCACAAGCTTCAACTTATAGCCTTTATTCAACTTCTTCTGATCTCATTGTAAAAACATCACAGCAGGCATCTCCATACTGTGCACCATTCGGCTCTGTCAGCTCCTCTCCTCACAGCAGTTGGAGTGCATTACCGGGTCTAATGATAACTACATCCCAACACGCCTCTCTAGTAGCATCTGTATATTCTTTCGACTCTGTTCCTCCAAAGGTGGATATTAATTAACAAATATTGGTTGGTAGCTCTAGGGCTCTTCGTACTCCGCGAGGGCATAGATGGCCCTCTGGACATGGGGAACTTCTTACTCGATTTCATTAGCGAGTGAAATGTCATGGTGTTCGGTGATAGTGCCCTCATAAGTGTCAACTTTGGATAGGGTTTTCCGTTCCGACCACTTGTTTGCATTTCCACCAGGGCCTTCCGTGAGATAAACGATTCGTAGCAAGTCCAATCGTATGTAATGACAATGATTAGAAGGTACGTGTCTCATTTCTATCTTTCAATTGGCCTTCCCGAACCGTCGTTGTCGGACTTGGACCTGTCCACCCTCGGCGGTGGCCATGGAAGATATAGTCTTAGGCTTCGCTGCGAGGCCTCCGCATCCTCGCCATCCAACAGATGCATCACTAGCGAGTCCATCTGCCGCAACGAGCAGTTCGGGAGGAAGCGCGTTCTCGGCATCGCCAATGAGTCTGATGATCACCACTTCGCAACATGCATCACCTTCCTCTCTGGATCACCCCCTTAAAGCGGGCACCACCCGTGCCGCAATGTATGCCGCCTCGCATATTGGCCTGCGTACCCGCGCCTCCTTCAATAGCCCATTGGTTCGACTTCACCGCAAACTGAGAGCTATTTCAGAGTCTCCAGTGTCTAATATCGCGGGGGATCATGCGAAGAGACTCAAGGCTCCGGACTCTGAGTCCGAGTCTGAACAGTCATCAGTGTCAGAAGAGCCGTTTGATGGGGCCAATGTCCCAGTCAAGCACTCAAATCACACTAATACCCTTCCTCGAGACATTCTCGTGCGAATATTCGACTTTTATGCCGAGAACCTGTGGCTAGATGTGAATTACTTGCCATTCGCAAGCCTCGAGACACTGCTTCTTGTATGTAGTCGCTGGAGAGACGTTGCTGAGCAGCATGGGGCTATGTGGGCCAAATTTCACATCGTCCTGTTTAATCAACGCGACGTCGGAAGATGGTTAACTCGGATCAGGAGACGACGAGGACGTATCAGCGCACACACTTTTATGGATATCAGCATCCGAGACGGAAGAGATCTCAGCTCGTGCGAACCTCCCACCGACCCTTCTGGGCTTTCGAACCCCGCAGCATTTCTCGCTCACCTCAATGATCTGGTCTCTTTGATAACAGAACTGGAAGGAAACATGGATAATGGCTGGGGTACGCTCAGGTGGAGGAGCTTTCGCCTCGCCATGCCGTCCAACTTTCCCGAAGTCATCAACCAACTCGATGGTGACGCCAAAGACGTGGCCTGTTCGCACCTCAACAGTATATTCCCGCTCAAGATGCTATTTCTCGAGTCACTCGAGCTCGAGAATGTCGGATGGATATCACCTACTGATGGTAGCTTCGCCCATTCCCAACTTCCACCGATATTTCAATGGTTTATCACCTCGATCAAAGTGCTTGATCTGTACAATTGCCATCTTCCAACCCTTCCCATGCTCGATGGACCACACAGGCTTCACCTCGAATATTGCTCTCACTGGAATGGATCACGCAAACAATGGGAAACAGCTGGTCAGAGAAATGACTCGAACGATCTCATAGAAATGCAAGTCTGGACAGATCTACAAACGCTCACTATCGGCCCACTCACCGCGCCCATCGTACCTCTCTATCTCCCATCCCTTCGTACATTCGAGATCATAGTTTGGTGGGGTCATGAGCACATAGCACTCACCCACATATCTACACTCTCCTTAGAGAGTCTACATACACTCATTATATCCTGGCCAGACACTCGTTTTGCCCATCTTTCTCCTCCGCTTCCTACTTCTACCCAGCTTGACACGATCAAGAACGGAATCACCGACTTGTTTGCAAATGCAAGGGTGGTTAAAGTCATCGAGGCGCCGAGAACGATCCTCGTCAGTATTCTCAGCCTTTTACACGAGCACGCCTCCACCCTTTCACCATTCAGAAACGAAACAAGACATCTAATTTTATATGAAAAAGCACACAAACTACGAATATCGCTCACCGGCGATGAGAGTGCCAAGCAGCTCAAGGATATTGCGCTTCGGCACTTTCATCTCACCCTCCCTTATTGGCACTCTACGTCTCCGATGACGGGCATAGCCACTCGACGAGTGAATCGAGGGACTAGCGTAGATCTCGAACCTATTTTTGGAGACATTATGTCACCTATCTGATATGTAATTTTGCCATCCTGCTTGAAGCTTTCGGAACTCACTGAAGTCGCCGAGAGGTCTGTAGTCTGTATAAATAAGGGAAGGGCTTTACCGTTGATGAACGCTTCGGTATGAGCAAAGGACTGGTGATAGTTCTAGCTCTACAGGCAGATAGAGTGCTGTACTAGCTCCAATGTACAATATCATTCTTGTCTCATATCCTCGCGGAGGACATTTTGAGCCTGCGCCAACTTGGATCTGCCCGTATTCGGCGATAGCCATGGATTACTCCTCTATGGCCGTTGTCACCCAACGTTCCTATTCTAGGCGCTCTGATGCTTCGTCAGCCGGGAGATCATTCGCTGGGACGAATAGTTCGTCAGCCCGGAGCGTATGGTCTGGATCCTCCGTGGGTCTAATGGTCACCACATCCCAACATGCGTCTCCAACACCATCTATTCACCCTCTTGAAGTCGTTCCTGACCGCACTGCCATGTTTCCTGCTCCGCAGGTCGGCCTGCACACACGCACTTCTCTCGGTGACCCGTTTGGCCGACCTCTCTCGAGACCTCTAACACGATGGAGAGTTATTAACGGATATCCGGTACTACAATCGCCTTCGAATGGTGCCAATCGCTCCACTTTCGCGGACACTATCCCTGGGACGTCGGGTGGACTTTATCGATTCCCTTGGGTCCCATCAGCCCCCAAAAGATATTTAAACCCTGTTAATACTCTTCCTCAAAGCATTCTTCAGCGAATATTCGACTTCTATGCGGACAGCCTGCGGCAAGACACCAGTCGTTCGCCATTCGCAACTCCCGAAACATTACTCCAAGTCTGCAAATGCTGGAAAGATGCAGCAGAATGTCACGAGAGTATATGGACCAAGGTGTATATCACTCTTATCGACGAGCACGACGTTGGGAGATGGATACCGCGGATCAAGAAATGTTTTGCTCGAGCCCAACTCCTCACAGACATCAGTATCCAGGACCAGCGAGATCTTACTTCCCCCAGAATATTGAACACCGGCGCTGATCTTGACCTCTACCGTCAACTCAAGACCCGAGGGTTTCTTGCCCATCTTAAGGATATCGCTTTACTGACCACCGAGCTTCATAGTATTATCTCACGTTGCAGGTATAAGGGCTTTCGGCTATCCATGCCACCCAGCTTTGTCGAAATCGTTGAACAACTAGATGACGATGCGCGGTTATTAGCTAGCTCGTTACTCAACAGGATATTTCACCTTGATCTGCGATTCCTTGAATCGCTTGAGCTAGAAAATGTTGCATGGATCACGCCCACAGCACGCAAATTCAACTACCAGCAACTTCCACCTATATTCCAAGGACTTAGCAGCCCGCTCAAGGTACTTCGTCTCTACAACTGCTTCCTCCCCAAGATCCCAAATCTCGACAAACCGTGCGAGCTCTATCTCGAACACTGCTTTCAGTGGAACCCATCGCACAAACAATGGGAGTCAGTCGGCCAGATAAGCACCCTGAATGACCTTGATGAAGTAAAAGTCTGGATGGATTTACAGAAGCTCACTATCGGTCCTCTCACCGCACGTATTGCCCCTTTCCACGTTGCATCCCTCCATACGTTAGAGATCATAGCGTGGTGGGGACATGAATCGACAACACTTTCACATATTTGAATATACCTTTAGGCAATCTACATACGCTTATTATATCATCGCCACACATTCGTTTCGCCCATCTCACCCCCCATCTCCTGTCACCTATCCAACCTGAACCAACCGTGGATGCAACTGCCGCATTCTTTTCAAACGCAAAGAAGATCAAGGTCATCGAAGCGCCGAAGACAGTGCTCATCAGCATGCTCCGCTTCCTATACGAGCGCTCCTCTCCTTCATCATCGACGGAAAAGCCACAGGATCTTACTCTATGTGAGCACCGGCAGGGGACTACGAATCTCACTCACGGGTGACGAGACCAAAAGGCAGCTTCAAGATATCGCGCTTGGGTATTTCGATCTCTCCCTCCCCTATTGGCACTCGACATACCCGACGGCTCATGTATCGAGGAGGCGATCAATACGAGGTACTAGCCTGGATCTAGGGTCTATCCTTGCGGCATTATGGCGTCCTTAGAGCTCTCATCCCCTCTGTTATGCTCTCCTTTGGTATTGTACCACAATTAGCGTACATTTATGCGTTTAGATAGAAGACCGAGATCCAATAACATGTTTTAGTGTCTTTAGACTTTGAACTATGAACCGCTTCAGTGCTGCATTGGACTTGGGCGTGTTGTCGCCAGCATCTTGAACCCGACTACATTCGACTGGTGGCCATGGACCACCCTTATCCAGCCTTCGGTTCCCACAATTCACGCCCTATGCCTTCAAACGCTCCATCAGTTATTGGTTTATCTGCCGACGGGACGAGTATATCAGGGAAGAGCATGTGGTCTTCGTCATCCATAGGTCTAATGATCATCACTTCCTAACAAGCATCTTCATCACCTTCTATTCATCCTCATGAATCCCTCCCTACCGCACTTCCATGCTTGCCGCTCCGCAGGTTGGCCTGCACATACACCCGCTTCAGTCAATAGCCCTGTTGGTCGACATCCAGCAAAACCTTTCACACTTCCGAGAGTTACTAACGGATTCCCGGTATCTCAATCGCCATTCAGGTACTTTGGCCCCGCACCCTTATTGGCACTCTGCATACCCAACGACTCTTATATCAACGCAACGAACAATGAGAAGCACTAGCTTAGATCTAGGGTCTATACTCGCGGCATTATGGCGGCCTTAGAATTTCACTCCACCACTCCTTAGCCTTGGTATTGTATTATAATTGCATATGTAATAGGATTTACCTGCATATCTCGTCTCAGTAAACTTGAACGTCAGTCCTCAATCGAAGCTGAGCGGTATCGGCGCCAACAACTTGAACCGCGTCCATTTCAGAGTGGCGATGGAACACCCCTCTATGCTGCTCGTTGCCCAAAACCTCCTTACTAGACCTCGAAGAGCTCGTGCAGCAAACTCAGCTTCCTCCACTATAACCAGTAGTTCACGCTTGAGCGCGTTTTCTGGGTCGTCGGCGTCATCCATGGGCTTGCTGATCACCACTTCCCAGCAAGCCTCTCCAGCCCCCTCAGTTCATCCTCTCGAAGTTGCTTTTGACCGCACGACGATATTTACTGCCCCACAAATCGGGTTACACACACGCACCTCGCTCGCTATCCCACGCCCGGTCACTCGTCGTCACCGATCATCGAGAATGGCTCCAGAATCTGCCGTATCCAGTCTGCTCCGAGGTAGTACCAATCGCTTCTCGTCCATGGTCGCCGACTCTTCCAGGCCAGAGGGTCGTGATGAGCAGATTGACACTATAGTTTCAGTCGTACAGGTACCGAATATCCATTCGAAACATGCTAATACGCTTTCCCGCGACATTCTCCAGCGAATATTCGACTTCTATGCCAACAACCTGCGGCGAGATGCAAGTCACTCACCCTTTGCGACTCTTGAGACGCTCCTGCATGTTTGTAGGCACTGGAGAAAGGTGGCTGAAGGCTATGAGCATATGTGGGCCAAGGTCTATGTCACACTTACCAACAAGCAGGACGTTGGAAAGTGGATGGCACGAATTAGGCGATATCGCGAGCGCACTCAGTCTCTAATGGATATCAGTATCCAAGACCAACGAGATCTCAGTTTGTACCAACCACTCAACGCCGGTGCCGAGCCTTACCGTCAGTTCAAGACTCAACAATTTATCGCCCAGCTCAATGATTTGGTCTCTTTGATAATGGAGCTACATAGTACCGCGTCCCGTTGCGTGTGTAGGAGCTTTCGTCTCGCCATGCCACCCAACTTTGTCGCGATCATTGACCAACTTCAGGGTGGTAGTGCGAGAGAGCTCGCCAGCTCGTATCTCAACCGCATATTCTGCCTTGATCAGCAGTTTCTGGAATCACTGGAGCTCGAAAATATAGGTTGGATCTCAACTTTCAGCTACTCCCAACTTCCACCCATCTTCCGAATACCCCACCGTTCGCTCAAGACACTTCGCTTGTACAACTGCTTCACCCCGAAGCTTCTGTATCCCAGTAACCCATATGAGCTTCAACTTGAACATTGTTTTCACTGGAATTCGCTACGCCGACAATGGGAGCCAGTCGGTCAGATAAACGGTTCGCATGACCTAGAGATGCGAATCTGTACGGATCTACAGAAGCTAACTATTGGTCCACTCACCAAGTACCTTGTCCCGTTATATACTCCGTCCCTCCATACGCTTGAGATCATAGCGTGGTGGGGCCACGAGTCCACAGTTCTCTCACATATCACTAACCTCTCACTAGAGAATCTACATACACTTATTATATCATGGCCAGATACCCCTTTCACTCCTCAAATCCCCATATCTATGCAGCCTGAACACATCAAGAATGGAACGACTGCGCTTTTTACAAAGGCTAAAAGAATTATGAACATCGAAGCACCGCGAACGGTTCTCATCAGCATTCTGCGTTTCCTATACGAACGCAACTACCACTCTGGGCCACCTACAGACACACCGAAGCAACTTACTCTGTATGAGCATCCGCACAAGTTGCAAATATCGCTCACGGGTGATGAGAGCATGGAGCAGCTCGAAGTTATTGCACTTCGTCACTTTTTTGTTTCACTTGTTCAACCCTCGTGGTGATATTCAACGTATACAAAGACGAGTATATCCACACCGCGAGGAATACGGGGGATAAGTTTCAAGTTTGGGACGTTCTTTTCCTATATTATGGCTATGTAGCTCGTGCCTTCACCTAACCTTCTCTAAACCACTAATCTTGCCGAACTTGAGGACTTGGGCTCAGTTTGGAGGAGTATTGGGGCGCTTTCAACAATGGCATCCATGTAAGTATACGACTATTGGTGGCTCGAATCTTGTACATCCACTTTTTAATGCATCCCTTTCCAATCCAAATACTTGATTTCATTCCAGCCTTGTTTTATGCCAGCCTCACCTGATTCCAGCCTCATCCTCTCGATTCATAACGTGAACCAGAGCATGTCAGTGATATGTGCCAACTTAAACCCGCCCACCTCTCAGCGGCCATGGAAACTGCTGATGTGGGCTCCATCGTCCAAAGTTGCCATCCTAACCATTCAATCAATCCATCAGCCAGAGGTTCGCTCACTGTGACAAGTAGCTCGGCTTTAAGCGAGCAGTCTGCATCACCCATGAGTTTGATGATTACCTCATCCCAACAAGCATCTCCTGCATTACCCGATCATCAACTGAAAGTAGCCCCTGACCGCACTCTGATGTCCGCCGCACCGGATGTCGACCTTCGAATGCGTGCTTCCCTCACCACCGATCCATTTGCTGAATCTCCTCAAAGATTGGGTATGATTATCGAATCACCGGTGTCTATTTCACGTTCAAATCGCGTCCCGGGCTTTGAGACGATACCGGACGTCCATTCCTCCGCGGAGAAGAGTCTTGACAAGCAGCTTGGTGAAGTGATTGGAGTAGCTAATATCGCCGCTAGGCGTTTATCTCATGCTGACACCCTCCCTCGAGACATTCTTCAGCGAGTATTTTTTTTCTACGCTGCCGACTTGCAACGAGACGCAAGCTCTTCACCATTTGCAGCCCTTGAGACACTACTGCACATCTGTAGCCACTGGAAAAGCGTAGCGCAGGATTATGAGAATATATGGTCCAAGGTATACATCACTCTTACTAACATGCATGACATCGAAAAGTGGAAAGCGCGAATCAGGAGATGGCCTATTCGAGCTTCGTTCCCGGTGCATATCAGCATTCAAGACCAACGAGATCGCAGCTTGTACTGGTTACTGAACGCTGGTACTACTCTTGACCAGCCTAAACCTCGAGGGGGTTTTCTAGCCCGTCTCAACGATATAGTCTCCTTAACTACAGAGCTCTATACAATCATGTCCGACTGTAGACATAAGAGCTTTCGGCTGGTGATGCCGCCGTTCTTTCCCGAGATGATTCACTTACTTGATGGCGATGCGAAAGTGATAGCCAGCTCTTACCTCAACAGAATATTTCCCACTGAGCTTCATTTTCTCGAATCTCTCGAGCTAGAAAATGTTGGATGGGTCAAACCGGCAGTCGGAGATTCCAATTATTACCCCAAACTTCCACACATATTCAAAGGGCTTGGCAGCTCATTTAAGATGCTCCGCCTCTACAACTGCTTCCTTCCAAAGGTCCCAGACCTCGACAAGCCTTATGAGCTGCATCTCGAACATTGCTTTCACTGGAATCCACTACGCCATAAATGGGAGCCAGTCGGCCAGAAAATTGACTTGTTTGACGTTGTGGAGCTGAAAGTTTGGACCTATCTACAAACTTTCACTATCGGTCCGCTCACCGCAAATCTCGTTCCTTTCTGTCTGCCGTCCCTCCATACATTGGAAGTCATAGTACGGCAGGAAGATGAATCCATGGTACTCTCGTACATCTCCAGCCTCTGCTTGGAGAGTTTGCATACCCTGGTCATCTCATCGCCAGCTACGTGTTTTACCCATTTCGCCCCTCGATGCTTGCTATCTACCCAAAGGCCGCTCCTGTATGCTACTAACGGTTTCTTCTCAAGTGCAACGAGGATTAAGGTCATATCAGCACCGAGAACCATCCTCATCAGCGTTCTTCTCTTCCTATACGAGCATTCCTCTCGTTCTCCGCCCTCGACAGAAAAACCAAGGCACCTCCTTCTACGTGACAACCGAAGTGACATACAAATATCACTCACCGGCGATGAGAGCGGAATGCAGCTTTGGAATATAGCTTATGAGCACTTTGATGTATACTTCGAACATCGGCAGTTGACATGTCCGAAGATAGTCACATCAACACGACAAAAAGTGCCAGAGGTGGTTTGTGATGGTGTAGTCGGCTGGTGGCTGATTCCCCTCGCTGCCACAATTATTATTCTGATGGCCCCCTCTTTCATCATTCAGCCGAGAAAATAGCAGTATTTGACAGCAGAGTGGTTCCTTCTTGGCCTGTAGCCCCGTATACATGATATTGCGACTATTCATTGCATCTTTGTGGCTTTTCATCCACTCCTGGCCTAAATTTGACACCTCAGCTAACCTGAAAGTCCTCTATCACATCCGCGACATGACTCCAGCTCCTATTAGCTCCACGCTCGTGACATTGAGCCCATAGACTGTATAGCCTTCACCACATAATGCCTGTCTATGACGCCTAGGCGATGAATAAATGATCTCAGCCGGAGCGGTAAGAAAGCCGGATGCGTAAATTCCGCCTCCCTTCCTCAATCCGTCACACTCTCACTTGCATGACGAATGCTATCTCCGTATTGTATTTCTTGATTATAGCGGCGACGCGAACACGTCCTTTGATACTGGCTCTGACGCATCAAAGTTCTTGGATCATTGACAATCAGAAAACGAGGTTGGTATTTTTTGAGATACCGGATGGATCCTCTGGGGAATGCTTTAGCCATCGTTGACTGCTTGAATGAGTAGTTCGAAAATAGACGGTAGGTATTTCAATTTGTACGTGGTCGCAAAGCCATAGAACGCCAAGTAGACCACCCATAGGACCATGTCTACCGGGCGAAACTCGAGCAAAACATTCATAGCCTGTAAAGTGAAAGTATTGTTGGCTCTCTCTAGTTGACTAAATGGTAAGAACAAGGTGAGTTTCGAGCTTGCGAAGGTTGGAAGACACTTGGGAGCAGGAGTGTATGCTTGAAATTTGGCCGGAGTTCAACTGAACACGAGAAATCACGTTTTATACTACGCACAAGTACACTCAGGGCGATAATTTCTCGAGATTCTCTACAATAAGGAGGGGAGGCGAGTGGCTCCGAGATTTTGACTAGCCCCTCACTTGTATCTACCAGCTTGATGGATCAAATGATCACCACCCAGACTCAAGAAGAATCAGGGGGCTACGATAACGACCCAGTAGCATTACCTTGGGGCCCTCGACTGCGTGTAGAATATAGCGTCTCGCCGAATGCTACGCACGCTTCGCCATGGAGCAACTACTCGGCTTCTCCTGACCTCATGGTCACAACTTCACAGCACGCGTCCCCTCAATGCAAATCATTTGGTTCTACCGCAGCCTCTCCGTACAGCAACTGGAGTGTATCGCCGGGGATGATGATAACTACATCCCAACATGCATCCCCAGCAATCCCTTTTAATTCTCCTCTTCGATCCACTCCCAAGCGCACAGCAATGCTTGCTGCTCCGCCAGTAGACTTGCACACAGGCGCTGCTCGACCGGCCTCAAAACCTCTCCCAGGATTGACTGCCGTTGACGAATCTCCAATACTCTCACCAAACGGGAATGATGTCGACAGCTCCACCTTGGTGGAAACAACTCTTCAACGCCGGATGGACGTGACAGACAGATTGATGGAAGCATTTCGGATGTTTCCAGCGCCTGCTTGCGACGTGCTAGCACTCTCTCTCAGAGCATTCTTCAGCGAATATTCGACTTCTACGCTGAGAGTTTGCTGCGAGACACCAGTGGTTCGCCATTCGCGACCCCTGAAACACTAATTCAAGTATGCAGGCACTGGAGAGATACAGGTGAGCGCCATGAGAGTATATGGGCCAAGGTCTATATCACTCTTATTGACGGGCAAGACGTCAAAACGTGGATATCGCGGATTCACAGGCATTATACTCGAGCTCAATTCCTGACCGATATCAGTATCCAAGACCAACGAACTATCCTCTCGCCCAAGTCGTCGAGAACCGGTGCTGGCCGATTTTCTCAAATCAAGACGGGAGGTATTATGGCGCATCTCCGGGATGCTGATTCGTTGATTACGGCAGTTCACCGGACGCCTTCGCGTTGTAGGTATAAAAACTCTCGTCTACGGATGTCGCCCAACGTTTTCACAATCATCCACCGCCTCGACGGTAATGCCAGAGCTTTGGCTAGCTCGCACCTCAACGGGATATTCGACCTGAACCTGCGATCCCTCGAATCGCTCGAGCTTGAAAATATCAAATGGGTGACACTGACCTTGCCCGATTCAATACGTCACAGCTTCCACCAATATTCCGAGGCTTTAGTAGTTCACTGAGGACAATCTATCTATGCAGCTGCTTACTTCCACGGATTCCAAACCTTGAAAACACATACAGGCTTCATCTCGAAGAGTTTTTCAAGTGGAATCCTATACACAGAAGATGGCAGCGAGCAGGGCGGATGGAGATTTTAGGTGATCTCACAGAAATCGAAACCTGGGCAAATTTACAGAAACTTACCATTGGTTCACTCGCCACGCTCGTCGTCCCTCTTTGCCTCCCTTGCCTCCATACACTCGAGCTCATCCCGGGGGTCGACAGCACCGCGGTATTCGCTTATGTCTCCAACCTCTCCCTACAGAAACTAAGTACATTCATTATGTCACTCCGGGCTGATTCTCCTCTTAGACTCCCCCCATCCCTCCTCAAGGCCACAATCATTGAACTCTTTACAAACGCAAGGAAAATCAAAGTTATTAAGGCACCGAGTACCTTTATTGCTGCCATCCTCAGTTTTCTATTCCAGCGGTTCTATTCCTCTTTCTCATCCACAAACGAACAAACAGGCCTCACCCTGTTCGGGGACGACACCAAGGCTCAAATACAGCTCATGCGCGACAGCCTGGCCCAACTCTCAGCTGGGAGTACATCTACAAGCAACATATTCAGCTCAGGGGTCACGAGAATGCAGAGCAGCTCAGTACTATTTCGCTCAAGTACTTTGGCCGTCCACTGAGACGTTCCGACGGGGTGTAGTTTGGAAATTGGCGAGATGATAGTGCCGCTACAGGGCACTACGTTTTCTGTTTTTTTATTTCATTTTTGTGGTAATAGGACCTGGCAATGAATCACGATATTGCGTTTACATTCTGAGAATTCCCCTATTAGTACGTAATGCAATTCGTTAGTACACCAAAAGTTCACCCAACGATGCCAAGAGCGTCACGTCGTAGGTTGGCCGTAACTACAAAATGCCCATGATGAATCGACAGGAAACCAAACTTCAGCAGCTCGCTAGACCCAAGTTGAGGAGCATATTCCCTGCCTTGGTGACGAACTAATAATCGCCTGCAAACCCATTAACACTCAATCTAGTTTCGACCGACAAGGAAGGACGCACCGTAGACGATACCCGAATTCACCTTGCCGCTCGGATGATTCGACGTGCCATTGGAGAGAATGGCGTCCTTTTGCGGACTCCGCTGCGCTGGAAATACCAATCAGTCGTGCGCGAGAGGACAATGAGCGCACTGTAGCGCCAAAACGCGGCACCGGTGTAATTCGCATTGGACAAGTTCGGCGTGGTAGAGGTACAGGAACCCTGTAGGCGCGACGGCAGCGGCGGACGTGTCCTTTGACGCGGACTCTGGTGCATCAAAGTCCTTGGTCCAACGTCAGGCAAAGAGAGTATCACTAGGGAGGGAGTGGACCACTTCGGGATACTAAATGGGTCCTCTATGAGACGTGTCTTTCACTGTTGACCCATTTCACGCGCTGTTTTGAGATATAGTGCGTTCCGTGTCAAGTTGTACATGTCCACAATCTCATAGGGACCCACGCTCGCCCACTTCTCCCAGAGGCTGATCCTTGAACGGTACCGTCTCGTGACAGCTCGTTTTCTTTATATTTGATTTGATGGCACGACGATGTTGAGCTACGACTTGGTAAGAGCCGGAAGACCCTAGCGAGGAGAATAGCCTAAACTTTGGAGAGGGTGTGAGGACTGAACGTGAATGGCCGGACTTTTAGTGTGGTGAAGTGTACTCGACATGGTATTTCGTTGTCCTTGTAACTATAATACAGGGGAGGTGAGTGGTTCTGAGATTTTGACGTCTCTTTGCTTGTGCGTTCATCGCTGCATTTGCATCTACGACCATAATGGATTCAATCATTCTGATTACTGGTCAAGGGACTCGCTCAATCATGATAGTGATCCAGGACGCTCACCTCTCGGTTCGCAACTGCTTGTAGAACACGGCGCCTCCCCGTATGTCGCACGGGACCCCTTATGGAACAACTACTGGGCTTCCCCGGTCTCATAGGGACAAATTTTCATCAGTCGGCTCCACACCATACGCCATCTGTCAACGCCTCTCCGTATATCGCTCACGCTTCGCCGTGGAGTAACTACTCGGCCTCACCTAGCCTCATGATCACAACATCCCAGCAGGTGTCTCCGCTACACACTGCTTCGTTCTGTCAATGCGTCTCCATACAGCAACTGGAGCGCATCGCCGGGAATGATGATAACTACGTCCCAATACGCATCTCCAGCAGTATCGGTCCATGCGCTCGAAGCTGCTCCTAACCGTCTCACGCCATTATCCCCTCCGCCGACTGACCCACGCACGTAGTTCCCTGGGTGACCGGCTTCGTCGACGGGTCTTCAAGCCTCTCCCAAGCTTGACAGTAATTGACGAATATTCATTCCCTCCACTTGGTCCAGTGGGATCTCTACAGCGTTCTCTTGAAGATAACGTCATTAACCCGGACGCCAGCTCGTCGGCACTAGCTAGCCGTGATGAATGGGTTAATGGAATCACCTGGCCTTCACTTGATCCCCATACCTACTCACAACACGCTAGTAACCTTCCACCAAACATTCTTCAGAGAATATTCGACGTCTATGCGGACAGCCTAAAGCGAGACGCAAGTCGTTCTCCATTTGCAAACCTTGAAACACTACTCCAAGTCTGCAAGCACTGGAAAAATGTAGCCGAACACCACGAAAGTATATGGGCAAAGGTCTACATTACGCTTATTGACAAACGTGACGTTATAAAGTGGATAGGGAGGATTAAAAGATATTCCGTTCGAGCACGATTCTAACAGATGTCAGTATCCAAGATCGGCGACTCATTAGCTCGAACGGTCACCGTCAACTCAAGAATGCGATGGTACTACCCAATCTTGGGGATATAGCTACCTTGGCTTCGCTGATCCATAAAAGCAGCCCTCATTGTAGGTATAACGGCTTTCGCCTCTCCATGCCACCCAATTTTGTCCTACACATTGAGGAACTCGATGACTATGCAAGAGTGATAGCGAGCATGAACCTCAGTGTCATATTCCACTTTAATCTGCAAATCCTCCAATCGCTTGAGCTGGAAAATGTTGGATGGATTTTACCCAGGGGCTACGACTACCGCCGAATTGCATATATATTCGGACTAAGGAGTTCACTCAAAATAATTCGTTTACGGAATTGCTTTCTCCCACATATTCCAAATCTAGTTGACTCCAACGAGCTCCACCTGATAGACTGTCACTACTGGGACCCACCAAGTCGACAGTGGCGGCCAATCTGCCAGAGAAGTGACTCAAATAGCCACTCAGGAATGCAAATCTGGCCATACCTGCAAACACTCACAATCGGTCCGCTCATTAAGCACATTATTCCTCTTTCCCTCCCTTCCTTGCATACTCTAGAGCTAATCGGGGTCTCCAACGTATCTACAGTACTCCTCTTTATCTCTGACCTCTCCCTACGGAACTTGAAAACCTTCATTATGTCACATGAGAGGCATCCTCTTCTCCGACGGCCCGCTAAATCCACAATATACGGCCTTGAGCACGGAATTACCACACTCTTTGCGAAGGCGAATAATATTAGATATATTGATGGCCCGAGAGTTCTCCTTTTGGGCATTCTCAACCTTCTGCATGCACATCCTCCTTCATTTGTCGATAAACCAAAAGGTCTCACTCTACGCGAACGCGAGGAGAACCTGGAGGTGTCATTGACTGGCACCGAGAGTGCAGAGCAGCTCAATGATCTTGCGCTTAATTACTTTCGTGTTTCACTTCCCTGTCATATTCCCCTCTAACAATAGCGTATACCGATCAAATCCCTGTCATTCATGTAGTAAGAATTGAAAGACCGCGTTTACATTACGCGTCATTTTCAGAGATTTCCCTATTGGTGCGTGATACAACTCACTAATACACTAATATTTCATCCAACGATGCTGAGTTACGAGTAAGCGAGGGTTGGAAGACCATCGAGGAGAGTAGCCTGAAATTTGACCAGAGGATGTGAGGCCTGGATGTTAAAGTTCAGATCCGTTACTATATTGAAGTGTACTCGTAGTCATTTCATTTGTGTATCTGGGTATGGTGAAGAGGGAGAAGAGTGGTGCTCAAACTTTAACCGTCTCTTCTGAATCTGGGCCTTCCTGGTACGGTTATATCGACGGCCCAATGGATGAAATAGTCCCTATCATGAGTCAAGAGGAGTCAGAGGGGTACGATAACGATCCAGGACCATTACCTCGCGCGCCGCAGCGGCATATAGACTACGGCGCCTCGCCAAATGATGCGTCCTATTCGCCATGGAGTAGCTACTCGGCTTCTCCTAGTCTTATGGGAGCCACATCGCAGAAGTCGACTCCGTTTTATACACCATTAGGCTCTGTCAATGCCTCGCCATCCGTTCAAGCTTCGCCATGGAGCAACTACTCGGCTTCTCCTGCTTTCATGGTAACAACATCACAACAGGCATCACCTGAGTATATGCCTTTGGGCTCTGTCGGGGCCTCTCCGTACACCAACTGGAGTGCATCACCAGGGATGATGATAACTACATCCCAACAGGCTTCTCCGGCGGTGCCCTTTAATTATCGCCTTGAAGCTCTCCCTCGAAACCCTGCGACATTTGCCACTTCGCACCTTGGTCTACACACAGGCCCTTCCTCTGCTAACCCATTATCTCCTCGACCTGTCTCAAAACCTCTCCCAGGATTGACTGTTTTAGACGAATCTCCGGTGTTGTCACTACACGAGAATGGTGTCGAAGGCTTCAACTTACTGGACACCAACTATTTGGTGCCAGACAGACAGATCGTTCACCTCTTCAATGTTTTTCTCAACGGCTCATCCCACGTTAATAATCTACCTCAAAGCATTCTTCAGCGAATATTCGACTTTTATGCAGAAAATCTGCGGCGGGACACCAGTCGTTCCCCATTTGCAACCCCTGAAACACTGCTTCAAGTATGCAGATACTGGAAATGCACAGCTGAGTGCTACGAGAGTATATGGGCCAAGGTTTATATCACGCTTGTCAATGCTCACGATGTCAACAAGTGGATGGCACGGATTCGAAGATACTGTATTCGCGCCCGATTTCTAACAGATATCAGTATCCAAGGCCAACAATACATCGTCTCACCCAAGTCAAAATGTGGTTTTGACGATAACCATCACTTCAATGGAGGCGTTCTGGCCTATCTAGGGGGTGTGGCTCTCTTGATGACGGAGCTCAATGGGGTGGTCTCACGTTGTAGGTATAGGAGCTTTCGACTATCCATGCCACCCAACTTTGTCACATTCATGAGTCACCTCAATGGCAACGCACGCGCTTTAGCTAACTCGCTTCTCAACACGATATTTAACCTTGACCTGCGATTCCTCGAATCACTCGAGTTGGAACATGTCGGGTGGACCAGATCTACAAGGCCTACCTTTAACTACTCCCAAATTCCACCAATATTCCAAACGCGTAACAACTCACTCAAGACAATTCTTCTATCCGATTGCTTTCTCCCAAGCCTCCCGGGTCTTGGCAAAGCACACGAGGTCCATCTCGAAGATTGCTTTCAGTGGGATTTCCAACAGGAAGAATGGGTGCCAGTGGGTCAGCTAAAGCACTCAAATGACATTATAGAGGCGGAAATGTGGGCAGATCTACAGACTCTCACCATTGGTCCGCTCACCACGCGCATCATCCCTCTCTGCCTGCCATCCCTCCATACACTCGAACTCATAACGCGGTGGGATGACGGGTCGACGGCACTCTCTGCTATATCCAACCTCTCATTAGAGAGCCTACACAGACTCGTTATATTGGATCTGAGCTTTCCGTATGCTCAACTACGTGAACCGACAAATATTCTCGAGGACGCTATTGCCGCACTCTTCGCAAACGCGAAGAAAATCCAAGTCATCGAAGCCCCCAGTACTGTCCTTTTCGCTATCCTGTGGTTTTTATTCGAGCAATCCTCTTCTTCTTTGCCATTCATCAACAAGCCCACATATCTCACTTTGTTTCAGCTCCAGAGCGAGCCAAAAGCAGACTACGGGCACGACAAAAATATGTACCCATTCTCAACTGGTGGTAGGAAGCGCGTATGTACGCTGCAAATATCGCTCACAGGTAACGAAAGCGCAGAGCAGCTCAATTATATCGCGATTCAGCACTTTGGTCATTCACTGGGATCTCGGCAAAACTAGCGTTCACCCAGGGGTATATATAAAGGTCAAGTTCAGAATCTTGGACCCAGGTGTATGAGGTTGGAACGCCCATAAGGCCCATTCTTTACCATAGTCTTCTTTGATACAGTGTAAGGACATTAGGCTCCGGATAGTAATAGGACGTGGCAATGAATCACGGTTTACGTAATGCATCATTCTAAGGCGTTTCTCTATTAGTGCGTGATACAATTCGTTAATACACCAAAAGTTCATCCAATGACGCCAACCGCGTTGCGTCGTCGGTAAGCCGTGACCGCAAAATGCCCATGATGAATCGACAGAGAACCAGATCTTCTCAGCAGCTCGCTAGACCCAAGTTGAGGAGCATATTCCCGGCCTTGACAAAATAATAATCGCCTACAAACCGCATGAGCTAGGTATGACCGACAAGGAGAAACACACCATAGACGATACCCGAATCGACCTTGCCGCTTGGATGATTCGACGTGCCATTGGAGAGAATGGCGTCCCATTGCGGATTTTGCTGGAAATACCGGTCGGCCGTGCGCGAGAGGACAGTGAGTGCACTGTCACGCCAAAACGCGGCACCAGTGTAGTTTGAAGTCGAGAGTTCGGCGTGGTAGAGGTACAGGAACCCAGTGGACGCAATGGCAGCGGCAGACGTGTCCTTGGACGCGGGCTCTGGCGCGTCAAAGTCCCTACACCACAACGAGTAAGACAACGAAAGTACTGTGTGGGAAAGAGAGAGAGACGGACCATTTCGGGATACCAGACGGATCCTCTGCAAGACGCGTCAACCATCGTTGACCCATTGCGCGCGCCGTATGGAGATAGAGCGCATTTTGTGTCAAATTGTACATGGATGCGAACCCATAGAGCCCCCACGCTTGTCCACGAGACCACGTCGACCAGTCTGCGAAACCCTGGGCGGTATATCGTCTCGTGACGGCACCCGTGTTCTCGTCGTAGTTGACGACGTGGTAAGACGACGCTGTGTGCTGAGTGAGCGAATAGAACCGGACATCTTGGAGGGAAGGACTCGTACCATCCGGTCGGAGGTGATGCTTTGACGTTGTCGTCGCGTGCGCATTGGCAATGTCAAAGTAATGCGGCAAGTTGAACAGTCTGCCGGCCAGGTATAGAAGCTCCAGGTTCATCATATTATCCATAATAACCTATCGCGCCGTCCGTCAATAAAAATCTGAAATGCCAAGCCCAGCCACCCTTTCCCTTCAAGGCTGTGCCAGACCAACAAAAGCGTACCAAAAAATTGGGTGCGTTACTTTCCCAGCTGCGTGTGCAGCCGACGACAGAAGAGAAGCGGTCTGCGAGGAGTTGTGCAAACGCTCTCACGCCCTCGAGAGCTGTTTGATTCGATGGATTGCTATTGGACTCTGTGAGCAATACTTTTCCCGGTTTGGTATCTCAACATTACATTTCGAGTTCGGAGACGTATGGGTATGCGAGGAATCCCGTGTCGTGGCCAACCGTGTTTTTCTTTTGGAGCGGTCCGAGGCCATTGCTATCGAGAAGCCGGAATCAGTATTCATGGAAACGGAGAGTGGGCGCGTGTGAATGTGCAGTCGGAATGTTTTGGAATAGCGGGGATAAGCAACTCCGGGAAGAAAAAGCGACAAACCTCCACTGACGAGCGCGCGTTAACCAGTCGACGTCTGCGCCGTTTCTTCCGACGGCGGCGGAGGACGATGTGCAAAACGTCTTGCGTTCGTGTAATAGGTAGAGTGTGCCCGGATAGAAACCGGATGTCCACCAATCTGCCGTCTCCATCTCCCATGCGCCCGAGGGTGCGGTGAGGTGTGGGAAGACGTTTGACTGATAGTGAGCAGAGGATTTGGCATACTTGTCAAAGATGAGTGGACTGGTGATGAGTGGAGAGGCTGGCGAGTATGGCAGGACAGACGCGAGCATCTTTTTGCGCTTGGAGAGTCTGTGGAGGTGATTGCGGGCAATGTGCTTGTGCGGCTGAGACGGGTTAGCGTGTTTCTTGTGGAGTGGATGGGTGTCGTGCATCTCTGAGCACAGTACGAGTGTACTCAGGACACAGACAACAAAAAGTCGGAGCAGAGTCATTATTCAAGGTGATTTTGTTGTTGGGGTATATGGCAACAAGTTGTAAACGACAGTGGAATGACCCTCGTGAAGGGCGGAAGGGCGGCGGGTGGGGGAGGCCAAGAGTCGAAAGCGGCAAACGTACCAAACAAAGTAGAACCGGGAGTGGCAGAGGACAATGGCCGAAGATGTGGGAGAACTGCAGATATCCACGAGCTAATGGCCGTCAACGACTCTGGGATTATAACGCGGATTGTCAGCAGAGACGGGCAGACATGCAAAGGCCGAAGAGTGAGTGGATGACATGCCTTTATACTCGAGGCCGGTCCGCAGATAAGAATACACAACGCCTAGATCAGCCACCCATCCGCATGCTGTCAACGAGCGTCTACAACGTTTCCTGTCTTCACCCCCCCATCAACTCTTCTGCCAAGAATCTCAACGAGGCGATGCCAGGACCTTATCGTTATGCACAAACAAAAAGTACAGAAGTCGTCGCTAATCATGGCGATGCAATCGTTCTATTCCAGCCCTAGGCAAAGAGCGCTTATGAACATATACGTAAATATACAGGTCCGGATTCGCGCATCCCGTCCTCTCCCCAAATCACCGAGAAACTACCACGTAAGCACACAATATTTTCACATCCTCGCGTCCCAGGTCCGCCACTAGTTGTCGGGTGGCCTACCCATTCCGCGACAGGACCAGAAGCAACCAAAGATCGTCACTATAAAGGATAGATCAAGCACATTTCATTGGTCCGGCGATCCTTCTTCTCCGATAAAAGCCTGAAAGCGACATTTGCACGTGGGATTGCGCTATTTCTCAGAATACTGCAAACACGCGAGGCTACTGTTATTCTCTTTGGAATCTTGGGTTTTTCTACATTCCACTTCTTCTAATAGTTGCGAGTCAAGCCAGCTGGTGGTCACACGCATCCAGCAGGATGAGGGGTATAGTTATAGCTCTACCGCAATGCACGTTGATCTGTCATAATAGCAAGCGAAGAATTCCTAATCACCGCGACGAACCGTGATAGTCGTCGTCGAAAGTAGACCCCGTGCCGTACGTATCTCGTAAAACACGCCGGTCTCTCTGCAAAAAGTCGATCAATATGACGCCATCTAGTAGCGATTCAAAGTGACACAACGTACCGACCGCTGACCAGGAACCGTCCGTATCGACTGTAGGGTGACTTCTTCGTCTCCGACGGTACCCCCAAGTCCTTGAGTGAGCTCTTGGACACGAGGACTCTGCGCGGCGCAGAGAATGTTGAGGTATATCCGACACGCTAGGACGTTGACGATGCTTGCGATGACACTAACAGCGGCTCATGAATACATAAGACTCAAGAGGAATCAGACGCACTAGGCTCCTTGAAACACTTCGTATACCGGCCTTGCTACCCACTGCAGGCACGCGTTAGCCGTCACCACCACCGAGGCAAGCAACGTACATTATAGATGTTCCATATTCGCACAGCCGTAGTCACGATAAAGAAGATGACCGCATCTATAACCTTGAGTACCAGTCCTTACCCATAAAGACAAGACTCACCGCGATAGAGGATACGAATGACGGGAATCGTCGAGAGCCCCCACGACGCCTTGTAGTCATGCCACCCTCGATAAAGAAGCAACAAGAAGAGCGTCACCTCGAATACGAACGGGACCTCGAAGATGATTTGGGTCCGCTGACTCTTGCTCACTACGACGCACATGTCCGTCGGCGCATTGTACAACTCCTGTTCTCCTGTTCACTCTAGTGAGCACCCAACCTCGATTGCACTCAAAACTTACGCAAGGGTTTGTACATGGAGCTGACCTGGACTCCGAGAGCGGTCCCGTAGCTCGCAAAGAGCGTAAAGTACAAGAGCGCTTTGACAATCTTGTGTCGTTCGTAGAGTACGATGACGCGAAGTGTCAATATCCCTGTCCTCTGGTATCAGCGACAAGGCATTGAGAGATCAACGGACGTACAGTAACTGACGAATACGGCCAAGAGAACGGTGATTGGAGTCGACCATGCGAACCATTGGCATCTATTGCATTCTTTTAGACATCCAAACTGTGTTTGAGACTAGACCGGCTTACATCTAGAAACAGATCCGCCCTTTATTGGCAACAACATAGAACGAAATGGACGACTCACTGTTTCGCTCAAGCGTGCTCTTGCACCAGAGAGTACTATTTAGATTTGGTTAGACCGCCTGAACTGGTCGTCATCGGTAAGAAACCCACTGTAGCTTGCGAATATCAGCGACGGTACCGTCAAAAGTCGTGACTACAAAGGTATCAGCATTGAATAGCACCCGTATAACCACAACTCGCCACATAATACAAAATCTTTCCGAGCGAGAATCGTGCAGAGCCCAAGTAGCGAACTTCCTCTGGCACCACCAACACCCAATCATAGACAGCTATCGTCGTAGACGCAACTATACATGACAAATGTTACTCGTTATTCATCTCCGCACGATACTCTGGACGCGTACAGGTGAAATACCGCGTGAGATTCAGCGCGACGGCTATTTTGAGAATCTCTTGCAGAAACCCGCTGGAAATGGCACGTTCTCCTAGCATCTCCGAGGAGAACGAGATAAACGAATAGGGTGCGGGAGAGAAGAAGAAGGGTGCGGAAGAGAAAAAAATGATGAGCGAGTCTATGCTGATATTCAAGCCTGGGACCCTTCGCTTCGGGGCCGTGGGATCCCTGCGGCTAGCAGCGCTGAAGTGAATGGATCCCATTGATGGGTGTTATGCGTCGCATTGAACGCAATGACGACACTATGCGCGCTTTCATCAGGTGCTACGCAGAAATAGTCGTATTGGGGTAGTATGGCCCAAGCTTCACACGCGTCAACGTGTTAATTATGCACCATAGAGAACTCTATATGTTTCGTAAACGATACTAGAGCTGCTTCAGGCAAAATACGTGTTGATGGGAAACGAAGATGGCGACGGGCTCTACTAATTCCAAATATATGCACCTAAATGCGTTTCTAATGACTATAAATGATATATAAGCCGCCTGGGAGAGCCATGACTGAATCCTAAGATGTCTATGACATCAACCAACGGCCTAGTGAGTTCAGAGGCACACCGTTTGATAATCATTCGACGGCTTAAACGCCCGCACCAAGATTTCTGGGATACCCGTCGTACCGCTGAGCTCTGTCACTCAAGGAGTCTTGGCTGCAGGAACGATATTCAGATAGATTCGGCACGAGAAGTACTATATACCTTCGAATACCTCCAGAATCAGAGTTGAACAGGTCACTGTAAATTCATTTAGGGCAAATACTTGGCAAAGATGGGGGATCTACCTTTATGTATTTCAGACGCGGAAAGAGTTTACAGCGACAAATAAGATGGTCAGATCTATCAGACAAGAGGTGAGTTATATGTGGAAACCCACAGCGTTATATATTAGGTGATCCCCCCAGGATGCGTGAGCACAGAGGTAGGCCCAGTAAGGCTCCAGTCATCTACGTCACGCATCAATAAATCCACCTAGTTACAAAGGGAACTATCGTAATTGGCCGAGTCTACTCCGTAAGCACCGAGAATCGAAGGAAAGCCCTGAAACGCTGTATACCTCGCACACTGAACACTGGGATGTTCGAGACAGAGATACGATGGTGTTTTGAAATATCTGATATTAAATGCAAAGGCAGTATATCAAAGATATTATTACGACCAATTGAAGAGCTCCTTGCCAAAGGTTTGCCGAGCAATCCACTGAAGTCTTGTAGCGTCCTCGTGACCACCAAGGCGCAGGAGCGGACTCAGATGGCCATAGTTAGTGCTGAGTGTCAATCCCTCGAAGATAGTATCCATATTTGGTGACGATAGACGCAGTTCATACACGGAAGCAAGCACCAGATTAAGGAGGTCATCGGGGCCTCGTATTGTCTTTATACTGCGGCTTCTCCTGAAGAATGATACAATCTTCACTTTAACTTCCTCTAATCCTGGTACTTCGTGAGTGTCGGTGGGTAAAGGTGATCTGATCCGCGGTGAGAAGAGCAGCTCTTCAATATTTTCCCCTATAATGCCTGATAAATAGAAGAGTGAAGAGATGTAGTTATAAGAATTGTACATGACCTCAAGCACGCGAAGGGACGGAACGTTGAGTTTGATTACAGCATGTAGTGGACCGATTGCCAGTGTATGCAAGTGGGAAAGATGTATGATAGGTTTCAAGCCAAGTATCCTGATCCAATCAGGGGCATTATCTGAGTTTAAGGGCATTGCCGCAATATTCCTCGGGCTGAAGGGCACGTCGTTCCAAAAAGTACACTCGTCGAAACGCAATTCTTGTGCAGAGCGTATGTCAGGAGTGCACGGAAGAGAGCAATTTGTCATATGAATCACTCTCAAGGATCCCATAGCGCAGTTCAGGGCCCACGGCAGTTTGGAGGATGGATCTGTCGTTCGCTCAGGGCGAAGCCAACTCAGACCTCGGAGCTCGATATGCTCCAAAGCTTTCATTTCTCGGCCGAGTATTTGGTCCAAGAACTTTTCCGCGTCTAACAATTGCGACGCAGACAGCTGTGAAACTAGTTCACTATGTTCAAGGGGGAAACTTAAATAGAACTTTCTCCAGACGCTTGCCAAAGTATTCCCAATACCAGCAAGTACGCTGACTAGATCTGCGAGTTCCCGTAAGCATGAGACCGCCTGGTGCGCCTTCTCCTGGCCCATTGGCGCCAAGTTGGCCTCCGAGAGCACCGAGTATAGCCTAAGAGACAATCCTCGATACACCGGTGGACCAAGGACTATAGATATGCTCAAGTCTGGATGTGAATTTAAGCGAGTAATTCGAACTCTCGCTAGGCGTCTCCAAGTCTCGAAGTCTCTGAGATCGTCTATGAAAATGTAGAATCCCTCCCATAATCCCGACGTCTGAGTCGCGATAGTGTGCCAATGGCGACAGACCAAGAGCAAAGTTTCGAGGCGGTAACGGCCTGACCGAAGAATTCGAGAGTAATCAACAGACTTACTGTAAGAGGCTAATCCATGCGCATAATGTATGAATATTCCAGCGAGTATCTCTCGTGATAAATTAGGGATGGTTCGGCCAGAAAGAATCCATAAATCTGCAGGGTTGATGAAAGTTGCGGGGCGTTCGTGTAGGGTTGACAGTGGGGCAATGCGTTTCGTAGACGAGACAGACGTGCTTCGGCTCCTTCGAGGGCGGCTCTGATCAAACTTCAGGCGGGCTTTATTTGATTCTGGCTTGGAGAAGTGTATGTCAATCGATGAAAACGCCGGGCTTGTAGCTTGTGAAGTCGTTATCATGAGTCCAGGAGATGGAGCCCATTCGCTGCGCGGTGAGCCGCCGATTGTAGAAGGCTGCGGTGATAGTCGTGGAGTTGCATGCTGAGACGGGGTTATCAAGGGTCCTGGTGAGGGCGAATTATAGCTCCACGGAGAGATATGATTGAGATATACACCCTGACCCGACGACTGCGGTGAGTGTGATTGCGGGTGGTGGGTAGTCGGTTGGTTCGTATGGATCTGCTCCTCAGGGAGCTCGCCGTCTAGATTCCACTCTGTCCAGTCTACTTCAGGGTACACGTTGCTCATGCTTCTGGCGATGAGGGACGGACGACGTCGGGAGTTAAGAGTCGAAAACTGTTTGCCAATCTCCAGTTTTCACGATCACAGGCCAATTTTATACAATTTACTATTGTCAATTACCAATGCTAATACACATATTTGTATACAAATTTGGGAATCTGCATTGTCCATTCTGATCCTCTCGCCTGCGTTCATGTATCTATGGTTCTACCATCGCTTGATGTGCCCTCTTCTCGAACTTGAATACTCTTTAGGGAGATCAGGTCGCAAACTTATATCCTTCTGGCTACGCACCGAATCCGACCGCCTGAACGATGTGAATTCCCATAGAGAATACTCTTGCTCTCGCATAGAACTCCACTGCGACGGACGTGTTCCTTGCTGTAGGTTCTGTGCAGCACGGACGATGTTGAGGTAAATTCTGCAGGAGAGGACCGAAACGATGCTCCACATGATGCTATAGGATCCCTTCAGCAAAATATTTCTGGCGAAAGAGGATGATCTCACTATGGTCCTTCGAGTGTCTCGTATATCGGCCGTTTTGCGTACTAGTCGAAAATTAGACAAGCGCATGTACGAGTATAAGATGGGCCTACCTTGTAAATGTTCCAGATTCTGGTCGCAGTCATTACAATGAAGAATAGTATACCATCTAGAATAAAGTAAGCTCCCAAATCTGACTATGAGCGAACATACCTCGGTAGAGTACGCGAAGTAGCGGGAGCATTCCCATCGAGCCACGGGATTTCAAATCAGCCCACGCCCGATAGATCAGCGTGGAGAACATGATTCCCTCGAAGACTAACGGGGCTTCGAAAACTACTTGTATGCGCGAACTGAGCTCTGCGGGGACGCATATGTCTACCAATCCGACGTAAGTGTTCATTTCTACGAGTGGCGTTAGAGATCGGGAAAGGGCGGAGGACAGAGCCATACGTGATAGATTATATTGGCAGCTAATGAGGACACCGAGCGCGGTCAGGTAGCATGCACCGAGGCTGAAGTAAAGGATGCTCTTGACGAGTGGGCTCCGTTGATAAAGAACGATTACTCGGAGGGTAAGGAGCCCTGAACGAAAGATGTCATTCGAATTCTAAACAGCAGCAAAGGACTGACAGTAGCTGATGAAGATTGATGAAAGGCATTGGATTGGCGACAACCAAAGGAATGTGACGCAACTAAGATCCAGAAGTCAGCAGACCATTGAGATAGCGGTGAAGCCTGTACTACTGATTTCCCATCGTAAGTAGATTTCTCAACTGTTGGCACAAAGTTCACCCACGTTTTGATTTAGATGAGGTCTGAGTAATGAGAGAGCTGGGGTGTTGCGATCAGATGATGTAATTGCGAGAATACAGCATGTCACTCACTGTATGAAGCATATATTAGACCGGGGATTGTTGTTATCCTCGCCTGGTAGACGTTAGGTGGGCTTTTCTAATGGCAATATATGTACCAAATAGAATAATATTTTCCCAAGCGAAGGTCGGGTGCCTCCTAATAATTCGACCTCCTCCTTTAGAAGGAGGATCCAGTCATAGATGGCAATGGTAGCTCCTGCGACTAGGAAATTGAGGATTTTATCGAGAATTTTAGCAGTAGAATTCTCTTAGATTATTACTTACACGCAAAGTACCGCGAAATATTGAGAGCTTGGAGCACCACTGTCAGCTGCATCGGGATCAAACGGCCCAAGTCGTCCAGAGCACCTGGCTCAATCTTGATGCGCGGTTTATATCTTGCCAAAGAGGCGCGCTTGGCGTCGCATCCGGTACCATAGACCTCGCCCGTTGACAAGGCGCGTGAACTAAGTATCAATATCACCATAGGCTGCAACTACGGTTCCCATTCACCCTGGTGAGGAGCTTCTCCTAGTTCGTCTCACAAGCGTGGGATGGCAGCGAGGTTGGAACAGATACCGTGACCGGGGATTGAGCCATTTCAGCCCAGCAGATATTGAACATTAAAGAGGCAAAGCGACGCCTGGCTAGATCGTATCGCCGGTACCTACAAGCGCTCGTATTGCGGTTCGTTGCTGAGCGTGTGAGCGATGATAGCAGTACATATCCCTAAAGAGGCTATGCGCACCAATTTCACAGGAAATGTGATGGAAGAGGGATCAACGAGACCAGAGAAAAAGCGGCCTAGGTGTCGATAGGAACGTGTGTACTGGATTGGCAGAGCCTATGTCCGCTACCGATGGGCGAGGGATGTCCCTTGGGATAATTACGCCAAGGGTGTCGCTCTCAGGCCATGCTAAACGAGTCTCTGATCGTTTGGTTGATTTTGTGTGCAAGTGTATGAGCGACTTTGAAGGGAGTCGGGTTCGAGCGAGGTCACCACCATCTACTAGTCTCGAGTAATATGCACTTCAACGACATTTGTTTCTCGCGTGCGCATCACTCTAGAATAGGCGTTTCGAGGCAAACGTCTTGATGACCCTTCACAAGATGGAGTTGCCAATGAATTATGTCCCATCTTGTGGTGTAGACTGACAATAATGCAATATATAGTATATACATAACAGAAGCTTTACCACACAGGCCTCCGTTGGCCAGGATACATGGCCCCTTCGTCTCTGTCGGGACCGTACATGATCCAAGCATTACTTCTTACAGCCCAAAAACCATAGTATGACGCCATTAGAACACGTTATACAGTGCTTTATAGAAAAGTCCGTTCTCGCGAGTACTTTGGGTCGCGGACCCAACCTATCAAGAGTGAAAGTATTATGATAGGAATGACGCGTCAAAATTGCGTGGGTTCAAGTCTTTGGGATGGTGTGAGCTCCCAGAGGAATATCGTGAAGAAGCGAATGGGGATCTTGTGGCCAGTGGCAGCGGCTTCCACACCGCGCAGACAATGTTGACGTAAATTCTACAGGATAGAATAGAAACAATGGCCCACATAATGCTACAAACACCGTAAGAAGGTTTCAAAAACCGGTAGGACTTACTACAAGCCTTCAAGTGCCTCGTATATCGGTCGGTTCACATACTAAATAGGAATCAACTAAGAATTCGGGCAATCTTCAGGATAAGAGGACCTTGTAGATGTTCCATATTCTAGCCGCAGTCATTATGACGAAGAACAAAAATCCATCTAGCCGTAGATTAGCAGTGATACCGAGGGTTCGACAGAACTTGCCTCGATAGAGGACACGCAAAAGCGGTAGCATTGCCAACGACCCCTGAGACTTGAGGTCAACCGAAGCCCGATAGATCAGTGCGCCGAACATGACGCCCTCAAAGACCAGTGGGGCTTCAAAGACAATTGAGGCGCGAGAGTTGAGTCCTGCTGGCACGCAAATGTCGACCAGTTGAATGTAGATCGTATTCTCTGGAACACGTAAGAGGATGTCAGGAGCAATACATAGATAGTTACTGGATATTTCATTCAAACAGCTGAGAAGAACTCCAAATGCGATCAAATAGCAGGTGCCGAGGGTGAGGTAAAGAATAGTCTTCACTAATAAGCTACGCTGGTAGAGTACAACGACGCGAATGGTAAGAAGCCCTAAGAATAGTCAATACAATCTTCTACAGGACGTTTGAAATGACGACTCACAGTAGCTGATAAAAATGGACACAAGGCAATAAATCGGTGATATCCAAAGAAACTTGTTACAACTGAGATCGATAAGTCATCCCGTGGATGAGTGCTACAAACTGCGTACTACTGGGAATTTGGTTGCAGTTGAGACGCGGTAGTAACAGCTTAGGATTCACTCACTTCTTGGCTCAAACGAGATCTCAGGGGGGAAAGAGCTACCAGACAGCATTTAGAAACTGCTGCAGAGGAGTTGATGAGGAAATACTGACTGTAAGCACCGTAGACTAGACCGGGGATGGTCGTTATTCTGGTCTATGTGAGTTATGAGAAAGGTTTATCCGACCAATTTATACATACCAAATAGTATAGTACCTTCCCAATTGACATCCTCGAACTTCCTAGCAATTCGACCTCCGTCCTCAGAAGGAGCATCCAATCATAGATAGCAATGGTGGTTGCGACGACTGGACAATTTGGTCAGCAAAAGGTAGTCCCAGAGTCACCACCTACATGCAAAATACCGTGAAACGTTGAGAGCTTGAAGGATCACCTCCAACTGCATCGGGCGGTTCTGGATGGGGAAGGCAGGTCGAAACTTCTAGGGAGCACATCTCTACGTCGGCTCGGATTATATCCCTCCGTGAATGTGCAGTTGACGCGCTGCCTCGGTACCAAACACCTCCCTTAGGGACTGGTCGTTAGGATATTGATTGATACAACAGCTTGAATACACAGCAGGTATCTGTCACTGAGTGCACACCCCCTTAGTTGTGCGTCTGAAATGTGGGACAGCGGTGAGGGTATGCCGTCGCGACCGGAGACTATCCATATAGCCCCGCCAGCCGCAAGTAGTTAATGGTCCGTGCTAGATCAGATAAGCGGTGGAAAAAAGTACTTCAATCGTGAGAAGCCGCTATAGCTCGTGAGTAATAAGAAGGCTGCATAGTCGACCTCAGCGCGCTGTCTCCACAGGAGGTTTGATTACTCACGGATGAACATAGCTTATCAGGACCAGAATTGTAGTACTTCACGTCAATGCGAAGTACAGATTGGTCGGCCAGCCTCCATCCGGCAACGGAGCGCCTTCAGAACTTGTCCAACATGCCTGTCCTGAAGCCATGCCGTGAGAATTCGCGAGTGAGTGCCTCCTCAAGCACCGAGAATGATTTCCCCTGCGTAGTGTTCGGGTCCAAATTATTGCGTATCACTTGGGTAGCCCACCAGGTCATATCAGCGGCATTTTGACAGAAGAGAGGTACTTAATCACGAGGTCGATCTCAATTAAAGTATATCATCTAAGTACATGGCTCCTTTCCAGAAACGACTCGAATTTCCATGAGCCGACTTATCGCTCCGTACAATTCGAATGCCATCCAATCACTTTCAGTCAGAAATAGTATACATATCTTCATAATTGGGTGTAGTCCGTTCACTGGCAGACTTCAAAGTATTGAATCCGACAGCTGGACCTATGCCCGAGAGCAGAGGATTTAAAGATGCTCCGTTAAACCTGTACGGAATTAGACATCCTGGGTGGTTTGAATTCCCAGAGAGAGTAACTTTGTTCTCGCCGAGAGCTGGATTGCGACCTTGAGCCTGCTTGCAATGGCTTCTGTACAGCGCAGATGATGTTGATGTAGATCCTACAGGAGAGAACGGAGACTATACTCCACATAATGCTAAGAGGATCCGTCAAAAGGAATCTGGGAGCGGTAGCGAACAACTCACTACAGGCCTTCAAGTGCTTCGTATATCGGTCGGTCTACATACTGTGTGAAGTCTGCTTAGTACCCAAGGATATCAAAGAGAGAAATACCTTGTAAATGTTCCAGATTCTCGTTGAGGTCATGATGACGAAGAATAAAATACCATCTAGAACAGATATGGGCACCCACATCGACAGGTCGACCAGCCTTACCTCGATAGAGAACCCGGAAAAGCGGCAGCATTGTTAAGGAGCCCCGAGACTGGAGGTCAACTGCGGCCCGGTAGATCAATGCAGCAAACATAAGGCCCTCGAAAACCAATGGTGCTTCGAAGACGATTGAGATGCGTGAACTGAGTCCTGTCGGCATACAGAGGTCGACCAGTTGAACGTAAGTGGCATCCCCTGGAACAAGTTAGATGCTAGATGGAGTACAAGGGATGATTTATACTTGACAAGCCATGCAAACAGCTGAGGAGGACCCCAAATGAGGTCAAATAGCACGCGCCGAGACTGATGTAGAGGACAATCTTCACCAATGGGCTCCACGGGTAGAGTACGACAACCCGAATAGTAAGAAGCCCTAAGGATGCAATTATTGTATGTCAATAGAATTGCGACAGCGACTCACAATAGCTGATGAAAATGGACAAAAGGCAAAGAATCGGCGATATCCAAAGGAACATGTTACAGCTGCAAATGTTAGGCTATGCAGTGAGCATAGAACTAAGAAATTCGTACAACTGGCATCATTGCAGTCATTAAAAGTTCATAAAGGCCGAAGAGCTACGCACGTCTTGGTTCAAACGAGCCCTCAGGGGGGAGAGAGCTACACGATTGCAGTCTCAGAATACTTTTAAAGCATCCAATCGATCATACTGACTGTATGCACCACAAGTAGCCCGGGAATGGTGGTTATTCTGACCTCGGGGAAAATGAGAAAAGGTTCACTTCATATAGATACGCGTACCAAATAGAATAGGGCCTTCCCAATCGACATTCTTGCATTCCCTACTAACTCGACTTCCTTTCCCAGAAGGAGTATCCAGTCGTAAACAGCGATGGTGGTGGCTGCGACTGAGCAGTTAGAGAGAGACCGCCGAGGTAGTTAGCAGTGCAGATGTCTCAAATTTGATACCTACAGGCAAAGTATCGCGCAAGGTTGAGGGCTTGAACCACCGCGGCCAACTGCATCGCGCGACCCCTGGGTGGGAAGAAACTCGAGACTTCTAGCGAGGTCAGCTTCACATTGGCGCAGATTATATTCCCTCCACAAAGGCGCGCCTCACAAACTCCTCCGGTACTGAAAGGCGTCCTCGGTTGTGGACAATGGCGGCGGATTGGGTAGCAGTACCAAGAAATATCGAATACACGATTTCTATCCATCGATTTGCACGGGTTTACCGCCGAAGCGTGGGACAACGGCGCGGTTGGAGTCCTGAGTTGCTTTATCCGTTTCGAGCCCATCAGGTCACGGACGGTGACAAGGTTATGGCTAGATGATATATCAGACACGTGCATTGGAAGTGAACAATGAAGAGAAGTTCGCACTGGGGCTGATATGAATAGCCACTTAGCAAAACACGGTCGCGACGTGGGCTGACGCGAGTCCAGAACTCTGGCTGTATCTTTAATGGAACAACGTAGCTAACCGGCTCTGTAACTGACAAAATGATTGAAGATCTCCTGACTGCCAAAACAGTTCGGTGCGCGCCATCCTATATCCAGGAGAATCGATGATTCGTGGACCCAAAAAGGGTTTATCACGACCTATATTTGAGTGATTCTAGTCAATACAAAGCGTAGGCTGCGTGTCCCCATCTTCCACCCGCAAACGGAGCGCCTCGAGCGGTTGTCAGAAGTGCTGGTCCTCAAGGTATATTGTGTAGGTTTGTGACCAATTCGGTCCACCATAGAATATCCGGGCGTCGAGGATCAAGAATCCCCACAGTGGTCGAGGTCAAGTCAAATAACCACTGTATACCCCGTTCAAGTGCAGAACCGCGTACTGGGGTATTATCCCACACAATACTGACATCAATTAGCAATTCTAATCAAATGCATTATACATAGTTCCACAGGTATCAACGTTCTTGACGGCGATAGAGGGTCAAAGAGATGGAGAACGTCGAGGACAACTTGCTGTCGCCCATCTACGAGAAGGGATCGAACAAGCAACAAACCACCGTCGATACCAAAGTATCAAATCGCAAGTCCAATCTGGGCTTGGAGCGCGACCACGCGGATATCTTTACTAAATATATGTAGAATCAGATCTTTTGCGTGGCGTGAGCTCCCAGAGGGAATATCCATTGTCTTGCATAGAGTCCCATCGTGATCTGGAGCCGTGTTGCTGTGGAGTTCGTGCCGCATAGACGATATTGATATAGACCCGACACGAGAGAACACAAACAATGCTCCACATAATGCTACAATGGCCCGTAAGAAGATATTCGCGCAGAAGTACGCAGACGACTCACTATAACCCCTCAAGTGCCTCGTATACCGGCCTCTCTGAATACTAAGCAGGAATTAGCAGAGCATTTACGGGATGACCAGGAGAGAGATACCTTGTAAATATTCCATATTCTCGTCGAGGTCATGATGACAAAGAACAAAATGCCATCTAGAACAGATATCAGAACCCATATCGACACGTCGACCAACTTTACCTCGATAGAGAACACGAAAGAGCGGCAGCATTGTCAAGGAGCCTTGGAACTTGAGGTCGGTCACGGCACGATAGATTAACGCAGCGAACATGATGATTTCAAAGACCAATGGGGCTTCGAAGACGATTGAGATGCGCGAATTGAGGCCTGCCGGCATGCAAACGTCGACGAGCGGGACGTAGGTAGCATTCTCTGAAATAGATTAGAGGTTGAACTGCGTCCGAGATGAGAGTCATTTACTTGACAATTCGTGCAAACAGCTGAGAAGGGCGCCGAATGCGATCAAGTAGCAAGAGATGAGGCTGAAGTAGAGGATAATCTTGGCTATTCGGTTCCGTTGGTATAGAGCAACCACGCGGAGAGTAAGGAGCCCTAGGAATATTAAACACTCCAGTCGTACAGCAGAGTTGAAAGACGGCTTACAGTAGCTGAGGAAGATGGACAAAAGGCACTGAATTGGCGATATCCAAAGGAATATGAAGCAGCTGGAATCGATAGGTCAACTTGTGGATATAATGATGTGAATCGCGTACTACTGCAAACCTCGTCGTAAGCATAAAGTCACACCGGGTTGAGAAACTCACGTTTTGGTTTAAACGAGGTCTCAGTGGGGAAAGCGCTACAAAATTATCGCTTTAGAATGCGGGAGAAGATGGGAGAATACTGACTGTATACACCATGGATGAGACCGGGGATGGTCGTCACTCTCGTCTACCAGGAATATAAGACAGAACCATCTCACGACGATATACGTACCAGATAGAATAAAATCTTCCCTAGGGACATCCGTGCACCTCCTAACAATTTGACTTCCTCCTTTAGCAGCAGTATCCAGTCATAGATGGCAATAGTGACGGCTGCGACTATGGGATTGGATAAAAGATTGGGATCATGAACAACCTAGTAATCTCAGAGGTATTACTCACAGGCAAAGTACCGTGAAATGTCAAGAGCTTGGAAAATCACCTCCGCCAACGGCATCGCACAGTTCCTTGGAGGCTAGAGAGGGTGGGAGTTTCCTGGGAATATGCGTACATCCCGATGCAGATTATATCCTCCGCAAAGGCGCGCCGACAAAGACCATCGGAACAAGGACGCCGTTCGCGGGTAAGAAGCGCTCATTGCGCATGTTAGAATACCCAGATAACCTCTTTCCCGAAATTCTATTCATTCTCCGATTCATATATCCTTGTCTCGCGCCCAAAAACTGAGACAGCAGCAATTCAAGGGACGACGGAGATATCATGCTGTATCATACAACCGACAGATATCAGTGCCTAGCTCGCGTCAGCTGATAGAGATTTTGAGCCCTCGAGCCAGGAAGAGGCGCGCCATTCTGGGAGACGAGGGCGCGCTGTACCCTCCTAAGGCGATGTGTATCTTCTTGGCTGTGAGTTTTTCATATCCTGTGGACGCAGAAAAGACTTTAAAGGCCATATTTGGAGTAGGTTAGGCCAATACGAAGCTCACCCAGCTTGATACGTACCGCAAACAGCGCGCCTTGAGAGATGGTCTTATGTGCCTGTTCCAATGGTATACCGTGCGAATTTGTCGCTCATCTGATCGACAGCCGAATGCGCAGACGTCGAGTATTCTTGGTTACCCTGGGGTGGTCGAGTCCAAAGAGTCTAGTGTGCCACTTTTTTAGCAGCCTCGGTAAACATCGGAAGTTGAGTGCATAATCCAGCAGAGTAGTCAACTGTGATCAATTCACTAATGACAGTTAGCTCCTTTGACGGACTCCCAGTCGTCAGCGCCCTTTGGTGCGTCAACGTATTCACAGGTTAGAGCTTACTAGGCATGATAGCGCTATTCGTGGTAAATAGTCTCTATCATTCATAGAGCATACTACAAAACCTCATCGACATCCTTGCAGACATCACCCCTAGACGCGCAATACGCTCATCAATCCAAAGTGATCCTCTTCCTGACCATCTTCTCAGCGCATCTCCCAGCCTTCTTGGTGCCAAACCGAATGCTCGGAGCCTTGGCATCCTCGGGGAGGACAATGGTTGTCTTCTTGACCTTTGGAATATCACCCTCGTGATCTTTTGCGTATGCGCCGACTGCGAGGAATCGCTTCTTGAACTGGGCAGCGCAGAGGTAGACCTTTTCGTCTTCCTCAAGCGACTCAAATTCGACACGGACAGAAACTTGGTCAGACGGGATTTCAGATGAGTGGGTGATAGACGTAGTTCCGGTGCCAGTGAGCGAGTAGTCGACCATCAGACTGCGCGGAAGGGCATAGTCGAATGTGGACTCGGTCGAGGTGATCTCCTGGCAGTGGACGTGCTTGGGGAGACGATAGAACATCTATTTGGCAGATAGTTAGCAAAGAAAGATGAAACAAGTCGCGGGACATACATATGCTCCCTTGAGCAAGTGCGTGATCACGAAGAGAGAGATAAGGCCAAAGAAGAACAGTCTGAAACGACGTCTCCTCCTGGCCTGCTTTACGCATCTCTCGTTCTCGCATGGAGGTCCATACTTGGCTGCGCAACGAGCAGCACAGCGAGCACGCATGCGACCAAAGAAGCCTTGGCCGTTACGACCGCAGGTGCGATCGTCACCGACTACAAGGACCTCGTTCTCCTCGTTGAGACGTGCGCCAGTCTCGAGCAATGGCTGCTTGGCATCGTAGTCGGTGTATGTCGGGAGTTGGGCGTGATTTGTAGACATTGTCGAGTAGTTGGGGGTTCAGAGATGGAACTTAGAGAGTATACTATTTGCTCGGTATTTATATCAAGACTTTGGTGGGGAACACGCAATGGTGCCGGGTTCAAGCTGCGGAGACATTCAGTTCCGCGCTCACCGCAGTCGGCATCGTCAGCTCTCGTCTGCGAATTACGCGTCACCAATCGCAAGCTTGTTGGTACTCCGAAACGTCGGGAATATCTCAAGTCGAGATGCAGATTACAAACCTCCGTCTACGGTCGAATTTGGCATCTATGGCCGAGATTGGAGTGTATTTACTGGGCAGATAATAACAAATCAACTTCTATAGAAAGTTGTACTTTCGTCAGATATAACGCGCTGTGGTCGGAGTTTGAATAATAGGAGGCAGATTCGCTGGTGAGCTCGTCAACTCGAGTGTCAAAAAAGGTTAAGAAACTTGGGTAAAGGTACCTTGTAGCTTCCTATTGCGCTTTAGCCTTTGTCGACCCATATGGCAAGCTGGGCGTCAGCTCGCCACTCCCAATCACGACGAGGCTACATTCGCGCACGGTAGCCTCGCGGCGTACGCGTGTTATCGTCATCATTGTGAGAAATACTGGCTTTAGATGGCCATGCAAGAAGTTCTCGACCGCGATATCTCTCGACCGGCCACCAACGCTGCGAGAAAGCGCGTTTTCTGGCAGATTCAGGACTTTGACGAGTCCCAACTAGCTATCCATTCAAATTTCAGGGGCTGCAGACTAGCAATGCTCACTCAGTCAACAGCCAACTAGCAAATGCTCAATTTGCTAGTCGGGACTATGGACAGGTCTTAACCCGCAAATTCTGGAGCAAGAGCTTGGTTCCAACGGCATCTCCTTCATTTTCTCAACAATATGATACCAAGCAACAGCTCGTTTCAGTCCCCCCTCGACCACGAAATGACTGACCCTCCAGGCCACTCTCCTACAGGTGGGTGGAATCGAGAAGCTTGCCTGCCAGTTGCTGAATTCTCATCTCTATCTTCTCAGAATCCTCGCAACACAACCCGAAGGGGCCTCGACGCAATCAACGGGGCCATACCCGAGCGAACGCTCCCCCTGCTGCGACCTCCCGGCGCTCTACGCTAGACTTCGCTCTACCTGGATCCTTTCAAGAGTCTTCGACACTCTCACCTCCTACTGCTGATGTGCGCCACTGTTCTACGGTGTCCCCTCTGTCAGATGGTGCTCCCCGATCGATGTTTGACGGTAGCCCACGGACATTCACCATCCCTCCATCATCTTCCTTTGACTACCCCCTGACGGCAGCACCTTCGGCACATCTCAGCGCCAGTCCTTTACATCAGAATGCCACTTCGACAGAGGTACAAACGGGTCTTCCGTCAAGTGCCGGGGCCAGTAGCTCTGCAGGACCACCAAAGTCTCGGAAGGGCCATGGGAAAAGGGCCGAAGACGATCCAGAGACTGAGTGGGAGGGACAGCTCGGACTCCACAATCTTCTCATCGAACAGGCGCGTCTCGACGCAGGGGATGATGGCGTTCAGTGCATGAGCCGTTTTCTTGACAAATTCAAGAAGGAGAAGAAATATCCCGTCATCCGAACAGTATCTTTGAAGGCGCCAGATGTGGCATCTGGTGAAGGCTGGTATGGATGTGCAGTCTGTGCATTCCCTACATGCATGAAGAATGTCATCGTAAACCATGTTGTGATGGCTCATAAGGATATGTGGACGTTTGCCACGTTGAGCAACTATTTGTGAGTCGGATCCGGGATACATCCCCTTACTCATTCAGGCTTTTTGTAGGAGCGGTGAAAACCAACGCCCCGTCTTCAACGTATCGGATTACGAACCACTACAAAGAAGCGAATACGATGAAGATCACGAAACGCTATATAGATCATATTGCAATGGTCGGCAAACTGAGATAGCACTGCGTTGGTTCCGCTATATTAAGGACTACTTTGGATGTCTCCCTCTCAATATCGTCCGCAAACCAAAGAAAGTGGGCAAGCATGGCACGAGAGAAGGCATTCAGATAGTCGGCTGTCGGGCATGTGGGACACCGAGGAAGAGTTTAGCCGAGATGGCACGGCATATATTACTTGACCACATAAAGATTATTAGATTCGAGTGCGACCTTAAAGATTGGCAAGTGGTCTCCCTACTATATAAGAAAACATGCTCATTACTATTATTGTATACAGCAAGAAATCACCCAGATGGAACGACGGAAAGACGGTTGAGGACTTGATGCGCCACAGGAAAGAGTGCAAAAAAGCTCTCCAGGCCCAAGCTGTAGCCAAAGCTGCTGCCTCGAAGGTAGCAACAGCAAGGCAAGCAAACGAAAGGAACCAGGTTTGCCATCCAAGCGGATCCTATCCTGGAGAGAACTCTGTTCCCTCTTCCAGTTCAACTTCTGGTAGACGGTACGGCGCTGGCACAAAGGGCAAGCAGAGGGCTCGCCAGCAGCACCAAGTGCAAACTATCGAGTTTGATGGGAATAGGCTGTTGCAGTCTTTAACCATCGTTGATCACTCCGGCTCGACTTTGCGTGCGCAAGCAAGCGTGGCGCGAAATACGACGAAGAGAAAAGCCCCTCCACCCGACTCGCGCGGGAGCTCCCCACAAACGCACGCATCCGACAATCTTACTCCTCGTTCTGGCGGAACCTCGATCTCAGTTATGAACGGACCAAAACGACCATGCGTTCGTAGGACGCCACCAGCGCATCCGCCTCGGCGCTACGGCGATGCGCCAGTACAGTCGATTGTGCTCGACGACACACCAACGCCACCAGGAAACCCTATTTTGGTGTCTAGCTCTTCCCAAGCCCAGGATCTGACAAACCTGGAGAATTCCTTACAAGCCCCTCATTCGACCCCACCAGAAGGGATACCAATGGATTATGTATCACATTATTCGTTGGATGCGCGATCCTCTGTACCTGTGGGCCCAATGCCCATGACGACAACTCAGCAACTCCCCAGTCATCCTGCTTTCCGGGATTTCGGGAACCCACGTCTTATACAATCACTCTACAATGACATCGCCTCAGCGTTTATGAAGAACAATCTTCCAAAGCCCGGGGAATGGTGGTTGGTCTGGTGTTGGCCGTTCAATGGGATACCTGGACAGACGGTTGTTCCTCCTGACAACAATGTCCAGATGGATGTTGTTGACCAATCCCAGGAGTTCCATCTGAATGGGCAACTGGACTTCGGGTCTGGTAATGAGGGAGCGTCCGCTGTCCACGATTGGCCGTACGCTTACCAGGAGGAAATGCTGGAAGCAGGACAGGCGGCTGCTTCTGCTAGCAAAGACAATGGCCAGACCAACAGCTCTAATACATCTCAGGTGCCTCGTCTAAATGGAGAACCTGGATTTGGGTCTGGTAATGAAGCAGGGGACTATGTCCCCTATTGGCCGTACACAGAGGATATGCTGGAAGCAGGACAGGCGGTTGCTTCTGCTAGCAAGGGTAAAGACCAGACCAACCGTTCCAATATATCCCAGGCATTTCCTCTGAATGGCCAACCGGATTTTGGGTTTGGCGACGAGGGAGCGTCCATTGTCCATAGTTGGGCTTACTCAGAGGGAGCGCTGGAAGCAGGACAGGTGTTTGCTTCTACTAGCAACGGCAATAATCAAACCAATATTGTCAACAAATCCCAGGTATCTCATCTGAATGGCTACACGGGTTTTGTGTCTGGTAATGGAGGGGCCAATATTATTCTGCGGGACGAATTGTTACATTAGTCCAAACAATGACTCAAATTCGTAGTTGTTTGGATAATGGGCCGAGTTAAATACATGGACGTTTTAAGCTCCTGATGACACCCAATAATCCTATTTATCTAAACATGGCTCTCAAGCCGAGGGCCGGAGCAAATGTATCGCCGGAAGCACACATACTACAGCTGGTGTCTTCCTCCCATAACTAGGCGGCCTCGTGGGGATTACAGGTCGTGTCATCAGTCAATGTCGCAAGCGTACTGTACAGATTGTGTGTCGGATAAACGTCCAATGAACACAATAGTCCATTCCGTACAGTGTATACCTGTACATCCCCCTGGGATAGAACTCGGAAGCGATCAAGGCAAAAGTGGTACAGAACAAGAGTCAGACGCCGTCCATGCTGTCTATTGCTGAGATGGGCCCGGTGCTTTCGGACAATATAATTTCTGGTGTCTTTTCATATTCTTCTGTCGAAGTGGCTTATTACTAACAAGAAAGGGTGAGGAGGGCATCGACACGTCGCGCTGTACATACCACCATTCGCAGTTGACCAATGATTCAGTCTTGCCAGCAATGTGAGCCGAAAGGTCACTCTGAGTGAAGAAACGCTGCGCGCTGCCATGCGTTTGGTCAGCGCTCTAGTCTACGGGTCGAGACGCCAACGCGTACCAACCGAGCTTTCTGCACTGTCCCGTGCACGGAATCGGTCTCTGCTCGAGGTGATGGCGCATGTGGACTTTGGCACGGTCTGGTCTGTTGTATGGTTTTGGATTCGGCGATGACCGCTGACAGATGGTGCAGATAAACGTGACACGACCAGAGTCCCGTTCGGTAAACCTGTCAAAAAACCCAAGTAGTACCGACTCCCCTGGAATGGCGTTTGGAATCTGGGCAGCCTCGTCTGCCGAAAGTGGTCGCTCGTTTGTTTGACGAAGAAACCACGTCTCCCGCCGAATAGTATACAACAGGTGATAACGCGCTGGGTCGTGAGGGTTGAGAAATACGTCAGTAGGAACTTGAAATCTCGCCCAACGAGTGCTTCCCGATGGAAGGTATTGATCGTCGAATCGGGGGCCATTCGGTACTGGCCCGGTGGGAGAGGTTGCAGAGGCGACGGTGGAGGTGGGCCATTCACTCTCGTCCTGGTCGCTCTGTTCTGGATCGGCTGAGCCTTCTGTGGGTGCAGGCGTCCCAGCCTGGTCGACGGTGGCTTCCGGCGATTGATAAGCGGCAAATTCGGCCTTTTGGGACGGATGTGACATATTTTTGTCATAGTATAGCTGCTGCCTACACCCAAAACAAATCAGCGCTTCGATATCAAATGGATGGGGAGGGGCAAACAAACTCTGTTGACGCAAGCTGTGGAATGGCAATTGAACCAGCAAGGTGCCCTCCTGAATATGGCAAGGGACTTGGCTCGTTGACCAGCCCGCTACGAAATTCCAGGGTCAGTCAGCTGAGCATTATCAATTCTGGAGGATTGCACCTCGTCGAGGGTATTCCCCTACGCACATCTTGAAGCGGATGATTGTACGGACGGATTGTATCGCGCCGCTCACTCACCGGCGAGTAGGATGGTGAGGCGTAGGAAGATTCCGGAGGGTCGCTCCAGATACTGTGACCTTGGCTATGCCGATGAGGGCGAGGATATGAAGGGTATAGGTTCCCATGTCGCTGTGACCCGTGTCCCATGCTGCTCGAATACCTTTGGGTTGTCCCGGAGAGAGCATCGCTCAAGATGATGTCAGCCAACTCGTTTGAGACAGTCACATGTCCAGATACTCACTGTGATGCCTGAGTTATTGTGTCTCGCCGCATGTCCGCGATACTGTTTGAAAATTGCCAGTTTGAACCTCCCGTAGAGGTGGGTGGATGAAACTGGTGAGCTGTTGAAGAGCCTTGCATGCTGTACTGGTGAAGTGATGCCGAGTAGTTTTCCATCGAAGGTGCTGAGGCTTGACAGAGATGAGACCAAGCGATGACTTATTAAAGATGGAGAAAGACCTAGGTTTTGAGTCGAGATGTGAGGGTAAGGAATATATCGGGGATCTTCTACGACATTAGACAGCTGCTGACGAGCAAATCCCTGAGCTGATGCCGAGTGTCCTGGATCATGTTCGATGAGCCTAGACAAGCGTCCGCTATGGTTAGCACTCCTGTCGCAGGATCCACATCAGATTATGTGCACCTCATCGCAGACTGAGACGGTCGTTCGAATGGCTGTCGGGTGTGCAAGTTGTGAGTGGATTCAGCAGATGTCCTTTCCTCCCGGGGACTTTGAGAACTTGGACGGCTGGCTCCATCTTGCTGAGAATCGTCGAAGTTGGGTAGTCGAGCAGCGTACAAGGAGCGCGCACGGAGTTGGACGATGCCCGTGACTGTCAGCCGCAAATATAACAGGATGGGCTGAGGGATGGGCTGAGGAACAAACTCACCAGGTGTCGAGGCGGGTTTGCGTCACGATGATTCATCGTTATTCTCGAATAATTCTGCGGCAACTGGCAGTCAAGTCTCTGGGCGACGACGAGGGTGGATCAAGGTCAAAGTATGTGTGCCATGCGCGACCCATCGATGTATCCCAAAGAGCCAAATAAACCCCCCGCCCAAACGGGGTTAAACCACATTGAAGGCAAATAGTCGACCCTGCACGAACAAGCAACTACTCCTGGCGAACAGCGGACACTTTGGCGTCCTTAGTGCCGGCGGGCGGAGGGTTTGGTAATGCTGAACAGGCACCGAAATCTAGATTGCGGCGTTACTCTGTTCGGCTTCTTAGGTTTGGGCCCTATACCATTTGTCGCACGATAGCGGTTTGTTCGGGGCTTGGGTTGGCGAGCCATCAATCGAGACAAGAATATGCTGAAAACGTTCACCATGTTCGGGGCTCCATATCAGGACGAATAGACGGTCACGGCCGACAACAGCGAGGCAGCAATCTTGGCGAGCTGTTCAAAACTAGAGGGGTTGTTTCTACCCCTTCCTTCGCCGCTTCTCCTTCATCTTCTGACATCTCGATCATGTTCAAAATATTGGGACATTCTCTGCGCACCGCTCGACGAGGAGCAGTCGCCTGATAAAGTCGGACCTCGACGTTTAGGCCATACAAACAGGATGGACGAGCCAATCGTTAGCTATATCTATCTGCTCTCAAGATTAGTATCACAAGTAAAGAGCTTGATCTGCAAAAGCCAACGTACAAAGTGGATTCTAGAGGACAGGAGGACCAACTCGCTGTCGAGGTATCGGTTGGGAGGAGGAGATCCTTTGCTTTGACACGATATGCGCGCCCACCGGTGTCCAGACCATCACAAAGGAGAGCTTGCAGTCGATATTTGCAGCCGAGATTGAGATCTAAGGGCGCGCTGAATGGGCGAATCGGTTATTCTAGAATGGGCTCAGCTGACTGAATGTTCACAAACTGGATTGGCTCACACTTTCAATATCGAAATTCGTACATTCGTACCAAGGGACACGCGTCAGCTGTGAACCAAGCCTTTGGTCGTCTCTACAAGTTGGCTCTGATGTTTATGATTCTTACGATGCTTGAGCATGTAGAATTAGCACCCTTTGGTGCTTATTCCTTTCCAAGGATGTCCCCAGCCCCTTCGCTCATATCCGTCAATCAATCATTGGACGAACGCTCGTGAATTCTCGCAGAGTTTGGACTCCATAAAACTTGCAGACTGATACTCCATGGTAATTGCCCCAATCGCGTAGAGCGATGCCGTTTGTGATCCATGCACACCAAAGTTGACGACCACAATGTTCAGAAATGCGTCTCCAACGTACAAAAGTTCCAAATTGCTGATGTTGTCACAGTTGCGGGTTCTGGAGGCTTACGAACGGGGCTGCATTCTATGCCCGACGAAGCAGTGGACAAAGGCGGTTAAGGGGCATTGTCTCGGTTCCTGCAACCTGGACCTTGTCACCGTCATCAACCATAACAGATATGTCGGCTGCTATACCTCTACATTGTTTTTGCCTTGGATTTCGACCAAGTTTTGCACAACATTACAGCCTTCGCGCCCGATGCTGCGACTGCGCCGGCGATGTGAAAACTAGGCGCATTGGAGCGAGCGGCCTTTTACAAGATATATTTACAAGACACAATATGACCACTTTGCCAGGAATATTATGTATCGCTCTTGAGAGTATTCGCTGACCGCCCGTTCCAACCCTCAGGGGACTCTCAGATTCATCCTCGCGATCAATCTTTATACTTAAATTGGACTAGTCAGTGTCACAGCACATTAAGCTGCACTGTTGGGCTGCCGAAGCAAAGTGGCTCGAAAAGATGAATGCACTCTCATCAGACGACTCAAGAGGGGCCCAGAAAGGCACCAGGGAGAATAATGTGACCCGTGGCTTCCTCTATTGATATCCTTGGTTTGCCTATATTGCCGTCGCTGATCTATTTTCCCCAGTCAACGTCCTCAGCTGCTAGAAATCGTGCAGCTGCGGGTGAGAGTGACCTCAGCGTCCCCTATTAACCCGAAAGGTATATACCATGTTACCTGAACAGCGGGGTATACACTGGTCTTGACAGTTTTAACCGGCCGCTCGAACAGGCGGTCTGCTGGTCTCGATCGTGATAGCTAACTCCTCTTCCCCTCTCTCTGTTCAATGTACAGCCTATATCAATAATCAAGCGGGTTAACTAGCTCTATTCGATGAGTAGGTACGACAGAGCCCCTGAACATGCACCTAGGCCTTCTGACTCGGCCCCTCTCTTTCTGATGGTGCCCAAAGAAGACAAGGCCTATCCAAGATACCGTTGTATGTCGTCCCAACGCGAGGGCGCTGTATGTGGATTGGCTAGAGGATGCTCCCTTGCAAGTCATAGAGACGGAATCTCGCCTCTACTCAGGTCTTCTCAGAGTCTGTACAGCTGATTTCACAATTACTTTTGCTGACAGTGACATGTGCAAGATCGTAGCTTACGTTGCCCGGCCTCTAAGGCCACTCTCTGAGGCCCCAGATTCCAGCTTATTCAATCAGTTCTGAGCCGCATACAAATAAGAGGCGTGTCCAGTCGACTCTGGTGGACTATTAGGACGCTTCTTCCACTTTACAAGAACGCCGTGAGCTTCAATTCATGAGCTATCCCGAAAACCACGCAGAACCATTGCACCTAAGTACAGATTCCCTGTTGATTGCGAGGTGTCTGTGGCTTACATCTTGATAGGCTCCATCTGTCAACCTCAGACCACGCCAAGAGGCTCACTAACAGCATCGTAGAGCATTCCGGGGAGGTTGTTGTCCATGGTCAGCTCTCTCAACACATAGTCACCGCTTCATATTCACGTTTGCAGATGCTAATGGGAGCGCCATGTTTAGCTCATATGCATACTTGTCAACGGCACTCCCGGCACCAACTTATGTTGCGACTTCCATAGAGGAACCAGTCAACACAGCAATAGCACGAGTCGGATATTCTTCATTCGTACCGAATATCTGCCTGCCTTACTCCCTATCCGACTCTCCGTCGCACCTTACAAGTGCCGACCCGCTCGATGCTCAAGAGTTTGACAGATTAATGACTTTGGATGATAAACAGCGCATTATATTTAAACAATGTGGAGCAGATCCCGATGTACAAGATGCAGTGCTCTGCATCCTCCACAGTGACGAATATCGCACCCAGCATTCCTTGCCCTGGCCATTGGCGTCACGGCTTTTCGAACTCATCCCATATAGAATTCAGCAAGGAGAATGCGTGAAGAGTGGCAAAGGCTGTCGTGGTGCCCCAGAATTCTATGAGTGTCGGTGGAGAGACTGTCACGAACGTATGCGGCGTAGGCTCCACGCGTTGGAACACGTACACAACCACGTAGGCATACGTCCCTTTATCTGCCCGGCATGGTTTGTCTACTTCTATTTGCGGGTTTACATTTGCTGACATGCGTACGCGCGTCATCTCCTGTATAGCCAAAAGGGCTTTGTGCGCAAGAACGAGTTGATAAAGCATTCTCCTTGCAAGGCGAATAGAAAGGCCTCTGTGTTAGTCTCGTATGTTCCACCATCAAAGACTAAGCACGAGAGCCAGGTTGATGCGGCAAGTTTCTGGCACGCAAGCGCGGCTTCATTCACAGTTGCACAGCAGGAAGGACCCATCGCCTCTCCAACCTCCCAATATCATCCTGGATGGTACAGGCTCCCCTATCGGTGACTTTGCCAATCAGATGGTCACAATTTTCCACCCCAATGACCAATAAACGACATCTTCTGAACCTCTAGCTTCAAATATGACCAAAATACCGACCCTCCGACGACTTTACAGACATTATCTTTAACGAAATCATCACGACAGCTAACTACCGACTTTTCCGCATCACGACGCCTTTCTGCCCGAACGTATACCAGCGTACTTGGAACCAATCTTCTCAACCGGATTTCCTTCTCTCTCTAGGTGGTTACCAAGAGCCAGGCTCCAGCGGGGTCGGGCCAGGTACAAGCCCTAATTTGTTCTGTCTCTCTAGAACATAACATTAACGTGATTCACAAACTTTATAACACATGGAATTGTTTCCTCGGTTCCACATTATCACTGTTCTGGGTCACACTGCTTATCAGAATGAGTACGTCAAGGCATCTCACATTCATGATTATGACCGCCAACTGAGAGGAAAATGTGGATTAGAAAGATCGTACTGAGCCTGAATCATAATTTCTCATCACATTAAAGGAAGATATAGTGTCTGGCCAGGCAGATGGATCGTTAATTAAGGGCAGAAAGCCGCAATCTCCGCAAGGATAAGGCGGATTTCCGACCATAGTCAAGATGCATTTGCCCCACCAAACGGTTGGTGGAGGGGAGGTGTAGAAGCCTAACAAGTAATCAGCTAAGCATATACAGAAAGATGAGAAATAGGCCCACTACTAGTTTTTTATATGATTCACACGTTCTTTTGTGAATGATGAGGTCTTGTTTTCTGGTTCTGCCGACACCACTGTATAAAGAGATAAGTAGGCAAGAGAGGCATGTAAGCCGACATACCATGCAGGACATTTGTGTTGGCGAACCCCAAGGTGTGTCTTAATGTGGTCCTCCGCTTGCATGCGTGACGGCAATGGGGACTTGGCATTTGGACAACACGTGCACTTGAATACTCTGACTGGCTTGCCATTGACACCCGGGCGCAGTGAGGAGGTGACAAGATCAGGTGGTATATCAGAGAATGCATCTGGATCCGCCATGATCTTTGCCAAATGCTCCCTACGCTCGGGTGGAAATCGTCTCAAAACTTTGAGTCGGCAGTCTTTTGTGTTTACTCGGGCCCGGCTTGAGCCCTGATACTTCTGGAGCTCCAAATTCATGATATCCTGGATGGAGAGGCCTTCGCACGAGCAGAGAGTTGAGATGGAACGCTGGCAAGCCCCGCGTTTTGGGCCATGCGAATCTGCATCAAGAGGCTGTGATATGTCCAGCGTATGCAGATCACTTTGACAGAAAGGCGGCAGTAACGCCTCTAGTGCCGGGACGAACACAGAATTATTTTGTTGGATCCCGTTGTAATTTGCTGCCAAGCACAATTCTGTAGGTTGGCCGGATGGTGCCGAGATAGGCGCCAGAGGTGAAGAAACAGATAGATTATTGGTGAACTGAGCCTATCTAGTGATCAGTCATGTCCAGAGTACGCGTAAGTTTGTACTAACTACAAAATCCTCCTGGCTCTGCGAATCCGTCGATGGCGGGTCGTACTGACCAGAGGAAAAGTAACTCCCTGCATCTTCAAAGGAACGATTCCCAAACCCAAATGATTCAGGCGACGTCGGTGGAACGGTGCTAGTGGTCAGTCCACTCTCCGAGGAAGTGTAAAACGATTGCCAAGAACTATCGGCAAGGATATCGTATGGATATCCAGGTAGATGCAGATGTTCCATGATGTGCGATATGGGAAGTGCGGAGGGGTCAATGCCACCAGCTGGGAAGGCGGCAAATAGCCAGTCATCTAGATGGGATGCATCGAGATGATTTGAAGATATTACGTTCCAAGTCTGCTGATCATTTTCCGACTGGGACATAGTTTGACAAATGCGATTCACGAAGGGTGTCGGCGAAGGGGACGATGCTGACTATCTTACACACCTGTGGGTCGCAAAAATTTATATTGCTTGCACGTACAGATTCAGATCCTTCGCGGTCCTGGCAACCTGACTGGTACTGCCAGGCGCGATCTGAAGCGAGATAGTATCGATGGAGCCACGTCGCCTGTCATAAGTTTCGAGTCAACCATCTGACAGTCGTTTCTTCGAGGCCCAATGCAGTGGTAGTCGATGCGATGAATGTCAGGCTCACCTGTGAGCTCGGCCCGCAGGCGGAATAGGCAAGCTCGTCCTTGCGGAATGTCACCTGAAAGATGACTGAAGAATTCTTGTAGAGTCATTCAAATTCCATTTTCTCCTGTAATTCATCCATAAAGGTGCCCCAGCGCTGTTCAGTCATCAACCGACTCAGTATATGCACGTATTGCATGAGCATAAGGACTTGATCTGATTGTTTCTCGTACAAGTCACAGTTCCACTACTCTCAAACCAGAACCGGGCCGCATACATCGGGTAAACCGCAACATGAGCGAGCCCAATACCTCCTTCCACGCTTGATCGCACCATCACGGGGCACAATAATGCCTTCCCAGTGAGTCACTCCGCAGATCTGAGTGGTATAGTGAGGGTAAGGAAAGCTCCGTGGGTCGAGGTACTGTCCTCGAACATCTCTGCGAAAGCAAGCCACTTTGTGGGTCGGGATGAAGGATTCTGGAGCAATTCGTATGCTTAGGCATTCATATATTGTAATCTGAACGTTTTTGATCCTCAATAGTACTCGCAGGCGTCTCGTGTCCGAACATAACTAGGCATCTATTTCAGAGCGCAAGGAATAGTAGCGGTGAGACTTTCTCCAGGTAGATTGAGTACTTGTCAAGTAGATACGGTTTTTTAGGACTCTTTAATCATAGAATGGGAGAGGTGAGCCTTGCAACTCTCCGCCATTTGGATCCTGCACCGGCTCGACGCCTGCCTACGCACATTTCACACTGTTTGAACGGTTTGGGAGCACAATTTGTCGATTTATGATGTTTCCCGCTCCGCATATCGATTGTTCAACGGACCAATGGAGGCCAAATCGAGTTCGCAAGCAAAGGGGCGCTCCAAAGCGGAACAAATTCCTTCCCTGTCGCCATGTTGCATGTCTCAGGAATACGAGCAGGCTCCTGGCGAGCCATTATTGCGTAGTCACGTGTCATTCATTTATCATTGGTGTGGATGCCTTGCTCTCCATTCATGTCTGTTTTTGCGACGACACGGCCAGTCGCCCGAGGTCGCCTTGCAGGATAATTCATCTACGCCGCTGAAAACCGCCCGTTACCTTAGCTTCTAGAGTGAGGATCATTCCTTACTCTGCGCCAGGTCTGCGGCGCGGCCCTGCGTAAATCAGCTCCCATCTCCAACTCGGCTCCAGTAGCGAGCGCAAATCTCGCAAGCTCTGGATCCCTCACACGTCATTCATCTCTATATGTAGCCAACAACACGGCGATGTTAGGCTTATTTGACGTTGCGGATCTCAATCTTTTGCGTTTGACGGCTACGCGGGAGCCTGACTATATGGCAAGTCGTTTGCGAATCCATTCTCGGCTCCGGTCAAAGTAATGACCCAATTCGACGCCTGTAATGTAGAATGGATACAAAATGGTGTTGGTCGCTGTCTCTAGTCGTCTTGTCCCGAACCCCCCAACTCTTGACGTTGTTCAAGTTGGCATGCGCATACTTAAACCTCACACTCGTTCTATTATTCAAAGCATGGAAGCAGATCTCGATTCTTATTTCTTGAAAGGGCACTTCCAGCCTGGGCCTTGCGTCTTCAACATTTCAGTCAGACCCGATGAGGCGTGTATGGCAGACGCATGTCCTATGGAAATGGTGCTTTGATGGTTTGTTTCCTCTACAAGCGAACTAACTGCTCTAATAGGCCATACCGTCAACTGCACAGGGGACGAACCCAGCATCCTCGTGTGACGCGCCGCTCTCGAGTATCGAAGTTGCTCTTCCTCCTTGCTTTGCTCCGTTAGACTCATCGAATTCCCCCAATCCGCCGTTACTTACTGTTTCTCCGTTGCACCTCCAGCAAAAGACGGTTCCGTCCGCATTCAAGCTTGGGAATACCGACGTCTATCTGGATGAACGACATCCTTTCGCTAGCAAACGATTCACGTCTCAGCGGGTTCAACGGATGTCTGTAAACCAGACTCCAGAGAGTCGTCAAGAGAACTCCAATGTCACTTCACCTGCCTCTAGTGCCTCTAGCGAGTCACAGAACATGGACCCATCTAGTCCCACGGACGCAAATCCGTTCTCCCTCCCCACCCTCTTCACCACTCCCTTCACGCCCACGATCCCGCCCGAGTTAAGAACACACCACGAAGCCATCCTCCGACTATTCCTTCGCCCTCACGTCAGTATTGCCGAGTACAAAAAGGCCGTCAAGCCATTCTACGTCAATACGAAGAAACAGAGGATCATCAACGGCCAAGAGAGCACGTTTACATCCAAAAGGTGCCTTCTCTGCTGCCATACACTTGATCATGCGATACAGGCCTACCAGCACATACTCGAGCATTTTGGAATCTATCCCTTTCGATGCAAACACTCAGGCTGGTAGGGCTCTCTTCCCTCCTTGACAGGCCTTTATTCTCATCTTATCCGCAGCGAGTTTTCGTCTACGCGTTCTGCAGACCTCACAAAGCACGTCAAAGAACAGCACGAGTCGAACCCAGGCCACAAGTGTTCGGAATGGTGCGTATGCATTTGGTCTTTACACCTGCTCATCATATAAACATTGCACGTCAGTGGTGCCGTGATTCGCCATCAACGGAACCTCAAAAGACACAAGGAGCGACATCACGCCTCCTCTCCCTGACCTTCCGCTCGATTTCTTGTTCGGGTCTGGCAAAGCCGCCGCGCATTGACGATTCATCAAAACCTTAGCAGCTGTATACCGTCCAATAAACTTTTGATTCGTTCAAACAAAGGAAAATACAACGGTTCGAGAAGTCAGAGGGCAAAAAGTGCGCCTCGAGGTTGATATTGGATACAGACGAGCATGGAGTCCCTGTCATTGTGAGGGCATAAACATCCTATGGAGAGGCGTGTACGGGTTCATTAGTGTGGAAATGATGGCAAACTTAGGGTAGGTAAGCGTGGATCTCCAGGCAAAGGTGAAGAGTGCGAGGCGAGCCACACCACGAGCAAAGCATCGAATGAATAGCGAGTCTGTGTACCCTCTACCGTCGCTTCTTTGTCAATCTACGGCCATTCGATCCGGATTTGGATGTCGACGAGGCGGCAGCCCTCGGAAACAGATCGGAATACGAAAGTCCAAGAGGCTGCTGACGCTGCTGCGATGTGGGTTGAGTCGAAGAAGTCGTAGGCACAGACTGCGAAGGAACGGTATAGGGCGCTTGTCCAGAGGAAGAGGCTCCATACTGCAGCGATGATCCGTATGCCGCGCTGTAGTCGTACTGCAGATCTCGAATATTCGGTTGTGAATGAATGATTGGTCGTTGAGGCATTGAAACGTTCATTGGAGGAGTCCAGGCCTGCGCGAGGTGCGTGAGTGTCGGAGGCTGAGCGTTGATCGTCGTCGTCGCCGATGGATATTGGGTCGGATGGTAGTGTAATTCCTGTCGTTTAAAAGAAGTTCGTCGAAAAAGGTCGTCAAGTAATTTGAATAGATAACATAATGATAGGAGTGCGGAGATGGTCAAAGGAAGGAGCAAAAGCGGAGAACAGAGCAAAGATCAGCCATGCCAATGCCCAATCACTCTCCCCGACGTCCACCTCCCTACCCAACCCCATGAATGGAGCTTTCCCAACGGGTAGAGAAGACCGAGTGGCTTAGCGGTCCACTGAGCGCAGTGGACCCTCGGGATGGACGTCGGCGACAGGTTTGTGGGTGCATACCTGCTGCTCATTGACCCGCTCGTGCGAGGTCCCGTCTTGTGCAAATTCATTGACGATCGCCGATTGAGGTTGAGAGGTTACCTCCTCGGTCAAGTTGAGACCAGGAAATGCTGTCGATGCCGCGCCGAGAGGTTGGAAGAGGCCCATAAGTCCGGTTTGTAGTTGAGAATCGGAAGGTGAAGTGGTGTCGATGGACGTGAAGTGAGGAAAGGGCGAACGTGGTGAGCGAGGGGAGGCGCCGACTGCGGAGCGCTGGACGACTGGACTGTTCGATGCACTTCTAGAAGCAACACCAGAAGAGGTGCCAGAAGAATTTGCAGGATTCGTTGATGTGATGCGATCGTAGGGATTGCGCCGCTTTGTGCGTGTAGCCAATGCTGATGGTTGCCGCAAGCTTGTCACCGAATCCACTGGTGATTGCAATGCAGAAAGTGGTCCAGAAGTGGATGGAAGCGTAGGAAAGTTGGATTGCGTCTGATCGTGGTGGCTCTTGGCAATATGCCGCTTGAGATCGTTATTGCGCAGGTATCGCTTATCGCAATAGGTGCAGCAATGCGTCTTAAGGTTGAGATGGATGAGCGTCTCTTCTTGCACCCGATCTGTTCGAGCTTGAAGGGGCGGCTTCTTGCAATTGGGCCATAGACAGACGTAGTAGTCGGGACCTCCTCGCTGGCCAGCGGTGGAGGATGCAGGCAGGGGTACGGACGCCTCCAAAGTCTTTCTACGACCGCGCTTCGCCTTGACAGGTGAGATAGGGGAAGCAAATAGCGAATCAGCACTTTGTCCTGCCGCCTCTCCAGGCGCGCCATAACGCCCCTCCGCAAAGGACATCAAGTCTGCATTTGCAGGCCGACGACGCTGAGAATACCAATCGCACATGATCTTGACGATGAGCGTCATTCTTTCTAGATCCTCGTAGTGTCTCGGATCAAGAGAGGAAGTCCACTCTTGCAGCCTATTGAAGACTTCTCGCTGCTCCTCGGGATGTTCCAGCTCCTGAATACGTTGGACGAGATGGAGAGGCAAAGAGGGCTGCGACGAGTCCAGTGAAGAAGAGGACGAGTTGGGGTTGAGCTGGAGGGCATTCGCGTCTTGCACAGGGCGAGGAGGGACGAACTGCGGCTCAAAGGCTGCATACAGCGAGTGTTGCTGGGAAGGATAATGAGCCATGGTGGCCTGCTTGGACTCTTGCGGAAGGGACCCTTTAAGAGGCGCCATCACGCCTTCTCCCAGGACCGTCGCGCCCAGATTTAGACGGGTGAGGACAGGTTTCCCCTCCGCCATTACATAGTCCATCGATTCAGGATGTGCAGCAGGGTAATTATTGGACGAGGAAAAGAGCGGCGGTGCCTCTATTGGGTATGAACCCACGCCTACAGGTGCAGATGGCGAGGAGAGGGTAGAGTACGGAGTACTCGAAGGAGGAGAAGAGCTGAAGAACGCTGCATTGGCACTGCCTGGAATCGCAGTATTCACTCCAGAAGTAGGCGGGATGCTGTTTATTGATGTGGAAGAAGATAGGCGGTGAGTGTGGACATAAAACTGCGCTGGATGCGCGTGTTGATTGGGACTAAAGTGGCCGACATCCAGAGGGGTGGCGAGGTGGGGAGAGAATGTCCCCTGGTTGTCCGGCGAGCCATATTGTGAGGCAGCTAGAGGAGCAAATAGTTAGTGAAGTGGTACATTTAGCGATGCAAAGCCGGAACGAATTGGAGGTTTACAAGGGGTCGAGACAAGTACTCACAAGGGGTGAAGTAAGTCGGGCTCATCGACGGCGCTGGACTGTTAGAGTTGAGAAATGGAGATTGGGAGGTCACTTGGTGACTGCTGATCACTAGCGCCGTCGATCATCCAGCAGGAAAAGACGAGTCAGCCCGAGACTGTCAATCTACGCGTGATAAAGTGAATAAAACGTACATTGATTAAGCAAAGCAGCATTTGCTTCTGCACTCGAGAACGCGCCAAACGCGCCAAAGATAGGACCTTGAACTTGACGATGCGCGCTTGGGCTCATTGGGCTCGCTGAGAGCGAATTTTGAGAGCTATTGCGGAGATTCATCGACATGGACAATGTTGGAGCATGCACAGAGGCTGGGTGGTGCTCGGCGCCTGGCGTAGGGCCCTCCTGGCGAAAGACGTCGTGGTGGTGGGCGTTGTGCGCCATCAGCGATCACTTCAGGCGTCGTCAGAAAGAAATGGGATGCTGTTGGAACGGGTTGATCGCGTCCAGAGGCTGGCGTCGGTGATGGTTGAGTTTAAGTAGATTGGACGAGAGAATGGCAGCCGCAGCAGGTTTCAAAGCTGCTGTCGCATGCACGAAATGGAAGGAAATGCAAGAGGTTACACGCAGGAAGAGTCTGCAAATACGGAGTCGGCTCCACGTTCCTCCCTTTTATACCGCTCGTCGTGTGCCCTAACGCCGCGCAAAAGGGCTGACCGCCTCTATTCCATTTAGAATTACGCTTAGAATTGGTATATAGCACGGTGTATTCCCACTCACAAAGCCAATCAGTGGCGGTTGCGACCCCGGAATCCCTTCGTCAAGGCAAACTGCAAACGATCACAGCACGATGAACGGCCCACGCTTCGATCAGAATCCGCGAGAAATGGCATACTTACGTCGTACATCGGCCACCTCCTGCCACAACGTTCATATCGACACCCTTCCCTGCGAAATGGAGTACATTTGGGCAAGAAGCCCTAGTCTAATGAATGTAAGAACTGTATAGAGCTACGAAATGATGGCGATATTTGCCAATTGGACGCAAGAGCCGGAACGAGCATGTCCGCTCCTCGCTTTCCTCCGTCGGTGGTGATTCATGAGCATGCATGCACAGGAGCTAATGCTCAATTCAGTTATTTATTGACTCGTCGTGACCTCAAATCAGTATACTCTTGCCCTTGTCAACGAGCTCTACCCTGAATCTTGGCATGCATTTCCGACTTTCGCCTCCTAGCATAAAGCGAGTACCTACTCAGTTTATGATGTGGTCGCGTTTCTATATGCCCCATAGCCAGCCAATGAGACCCGGCAGATGAGTCACTTGAGTCAGACGGCTCAGTCAGGTATGAATACAGATTGTGTGTATGCTTTGAGTTTCTTAGGAGTTCGCCTGATCTATGCTAGCTCCTATCCGCCTCGGTGGCTGGAGGCAGTGGGACGGCTCTGACAGCTGTAGAACTAATATTCGAGACAATAAACTGCTGAGACTGTACAGTATGCTTCCTGCTCTCGATTTGAACTCTGTTTGCTTATCGGAAACCTGCGGTACCTGTAGGAAATCAGGCAATATTTCAAAGGACGGCTCAAATGCTCCTCAACGTAAACAGAAGTCCATGTTTAAGTGTAGGTACTTACTTGGAAGACGGAATTACCCTGCCTGCCAAACTGCGGGGGTCGAAATCCCTCACTTAAGTGAATTACCTGCTTTCTATTTCCAATAACTGAGAGCATTATGATCTACTGCACATGAGAGCTCTTTGCGCAGGCTACCGGTGGCCCCTCTGCAAGATGCCGGGGAGCCATCGAAACGCAGGGCGCGTCGCCTTGCCGCCTCGTGCGCGATTCTCGACAGCTCGTGACAAAGCAATTCCAGCCTCTTTTTGGCTTCCGACCTCTTTCTTTTCGAAAGCGCGCTCAAGGCACGTCCCGGTAAGAGTCGCAGGGGGGCAGGCGGTGCGGCGTATCGCTGACCTTGGCTGCCACCACGGAGGCCTTTTCCGACCCAGGATCGTCTCATGTGGATCTGACGTCGTGGGAGAAGACTCGGAGACTGTCATGTCTATACTTTTGATGAACAACAAGACCCTTCATTCATCTCATATGTTCGGTATCGTCAGCAACAGATGATGACTAGCGTTCGAAAAGATATTATTCATACGTAGAGGTGCAAACAGAGCTTTGGACCCCAATTCCACCGTCTATCGACCCAGAGGAACTGCGTATTACAAAGGTTCCCAGTTGAAATGACCCGTTAATGTCCGTATCTCGTCCGTTTGCCTTCATTCCCTCTAGTTTGGATGGTGACCTTTCTTAGTCCAATGGCGCGTGCGGTCATCCATCCGCGAAAAGCTTCGCGAGCTTGGAGATGGTCAGTGAGCCTCAGTTTTTCCTCGCAAATTGCGCGCTTACCATCGACCACATCTGAATCTTTCCCGGACATGCAAAGAATTCACATGTGCCGCCGCTCTCTGCCTCGTATCGAAGGTGCTCTTGTTTCTAACCGCTGGATCCTGGCTATTGTGACATTTATGGCATATCACTCCATCAGGTTTTGCATTTACGCGATCAGACTGGACGTTGTTGATAGCACTCAGTGGGAATACGCCATTGGCTATCCAATATTTTTCGATAAATACGAGGCTGACAAGCCGCCTCATCCAACTCTTGCCGCTCTGAACCAGGACGAAATTGCGGTTGCACGGGTCCAACCGCGTAAGTTTCCAAATGAGGAGGTGAAGTAGGCCCAGCTGATGTGGAGATAACTTCAGGATGAATGACGCCCGAAGGTCCCACGACAACTTTCCTCCTTTCTCCAACCGAGTAAAGGCGGTCTTGAGCTCGTCGATATCGTGGTCACTGAACGGACTTGCCAGTGGATTACCGGGTCCAAATTGTGTTGTAAGTTTCTCAAGGAAGCCGTTGACATTCCTCTCTTCGGTTCTATGGCCAAACGGATAGAAGTAGAGCGTGTAAAACAGCCGAATGAAGTTGGCGATAGTCTTTTCCTCGGCAGGAGAAAGGTATCCAGATTCACGGAACTTTGCTATGACATTGTCGATAACGTCCTTGACCGGTGGGCTGTCGTCCCTGGCGAAGCTGCCTACGGAGGAGGACGGATCTGGGGATGAGCTATCTATGCCTCCAGGAGAGTCGAGGAGATTGGCGGGGGTATCATATGTAACACCACCTCTGAGAACACCTTGGTTAGCTGAAAGTTTGGTAAGTTAAGTGGACAGGTTGCTCGGATTAGTACTCACCAAGACCTCTCAAATCTTCGCTGTTATTCTGCGAATGAATGTGTGTGTTTGGCCGACTGTCTGACCTGAGGTTGTGTCCCGTTTGAAGATCAGGAGTGAGGTTGACATTTAGACCCGCAAACTGCCTGCTCATCGGTGACTGTTGGATACTGTGAGTATTTGTCGCCCTGGATATAATCTTAACCACACATACATATCGTCGAAGTTTCGAAGTTGCGGGGGTAGTCCGAAGGCAGAAAAGACGGCGTCTCCCAGGAGTAATACACCAATATATATCAAAACTCAACTAGCAGTCAGCTATCTGATGGCTGGTCCAGTTTCTGTACAGCTGCGAGTTGGCTTCCCCACTTCATTCAGCCGACGAACCAACTAGCAAAGGGTCGGTGAGTTGGCTCATTTCGGAAACCGATCAACCATATTGTCATACAGCATTCCCAGCCGTAGGCGATCCTTCTGAGGATCGAGAACGGCTAGATACGCTTCAATTCAGGAACATGCCAGTCTCCATCATGACCAGAATTATTTATAGGAGCAAGTGATCTCGTACAGTCGAATACTAGTGCCATTTACTAATGATAGTTGCCTCTTGAAAGAGAGAAGATGACACAACTGCACGTCACATTAGCCATGAACTTAATAACAGCCACCTCGTACAACTAAGTAGTGTTATCAAAGTGACTTCCTCCTTGCCTACGGAGACACAAGAGACACAGTGGCACAGGTGCGGTGATCCTCGGGAAGGTTCAGATCAAAGCCGGCCTCGAGGGCTAATGGGGTCCCAACCATCGTTATCTACCCATACTACCGTCTTCCTTCTCCTTCACACTCTCAACCGCTCCCTCTCATAATCCGCCTTTCCCGTGAAACATCACCATTCGACCAGGTTGGATGCCAATTTAGTTCACCAAAAAGGCATCGTCCGCGCGGTAGAAAGTGAGCACAAGTTCGGATCCAGCTTTGGTTGATTGCGTCCGAGCCATACGAGGCTTCCACTATGTAATCGACCAGTAGAACTTGGAATTCTCAGTCAAAACGAGGCGATAGATCCCTTAGGCTTCCGTTTGCGTTTCCTTCGTCGAGTTCGAATGGTGACGGTCCCTAGTCCAATGACGTGTGAGGTCATTGAGACGCGAAAAGGTCTTCTCGCTATGAAGGAGGTCAGTAAATTTTGATTCCGACACCAGAGCGTGCGCATACCACCGGCCACATCTGAATGGTTCCTGGACATGTAGCGCATTCACATGCGCGGCCGCTTTCTGCCGAGTTTCAAAGGTACTCTTCGCGCGAATCGCTGGGTCCTCGCTATTGTGACACGCGTGGCATCTCACCCTACCAGGTTTCGCATTTACGCGATCCGACTGGACATCATTAACATCGCACAGTGGGAATGCCTTGTAGGCTACCCAATAATCCTCGAGGAATCGAAGACTGACAAGGCGTCTTCCCCAACTCTTGCCGCTCTGTACCAGAACAAAGTTGCGATTGCATGGGTCCAAACCAGTAATCTTCCAAATGAACTGGTAGAGTAGATTCAGCCGACGCGTAGACAGCTTCCACACAAAGGGTGCGTAAAGGTTCCACAACGATTTGCCTCCTCTTTCCAATCGGGTAAAGGCGACCATTAGTTCGTCAACCTCGTCCTTCGTAAACGGCTGCGTGAGCGGATTCCTGATCTCGAAATCCTCCGTGAATCTGTGGAGCAGGCCGTTGACCTTCTTCTCTTCAATTCTCCTATCGAATCGATAGAAGTAGAGGTCGTCGAAATTCGAAATGAACTCGGCGATAGCGTCCTGCTCGGCCCGAGGAAAGCGTCCAGATGCGCGAAACTTTTGAGACAGACAGTCGAGGACGTAGCTGGTTTGTGGGCGGTCATCCCTGGCCAAGCTCCCCACGGAAGACGATGGATCAGGAGACAAATTTTCTATACGGCCCGGAGGGTCCGTGAGATTAGCGGATGAATCGTATGTAACCGGGTCTCTGAAGACGCCCTGGTTATCTGTCGTCTTTGGTGAGTAGAGAGGGCGGGCTGGGTTGATTGATACTGACTAAGGCCGCCCAGATCTTGACTGGGAGACTGGGGGTGAATATGTGAGTCTGCTTGGCTATATAGCCAATGGGTGTACCCCATTTCGTCGTCAGGAGGGAGCGTCGTCATGAAGCTGGCGTTTAGACCCGTAAGCTGCCAGTTTGTCTATTTTTGCCAGATTTTGTGAGCATCTAACGTCTCTTTTGACTGTAAAACCCACTTATTTACTTTTTCTGGAGTGGGGGGTAGCTAATGGAAGTCGACTCACATGGCGTTCTCGCAGAGAATATATAGTTAAACCCAACTAGCTCGCGGATTTTGCTGATGGCTAGTCTGAATCTTGCACGGCTGCGAGTCGGTCACTCCCAATTCGATCAACCGAAGCCAACAAGCCGTGGACCGGTTTGTTCGCCCTCAAGTGGCAATCGAGGACGCTCATATCCTTCTTAGCGGTGGGTGCGGCTCCTGTCGATCGGGAGCATTCAATGAACTCCGTAAGCCCGCCAATCTCCGCTCTGGCCAGCCGAGGGGGGCGCAGGGATAAATATTCTTGTATATATCATACAGAATCCAAGTGAGAGTCCGACCTGAAACTGAAGGAGCCGACGGCTATTCTGGACTACATGGATTGTAAACTTCGTGAGAAACAAACTCCGTCTAGCTGTGATATTTGAGTCTAATCTGGTGCTCCTGATTTACATGAAGCATATACTAGATACCATGAGAGGATTCCCCCGGATTTGCTACCACGAAATCGGTGGACTCCATGACGGAATCGCCCAGTGTGTGGCGACCTTGTTGTCTGTCCAGGTGCCGTTATAGGAGATACTATCCGCAGAATGGGGAGGATATTCATAATATGGCTTGGAAGATGGCACAAAAATGGACGGAATGGACGGAATGGACGGAATGCCCGATAAGTGGCTATGAGTGGGCTCCGTCCCCACTGTGAATGAATCGGGGGAATGCGTGACTGGCACCCAGAAGTCGCTATGGCCAGGAGGAGTGGATACCAGTGCGGGCTTCCATCCTTCCTTTTGATGGCGTTCGCTGACCTTGGACTGCTTCCTCTTCAGAGAACATGTCGCCGAGGTCTTTAAATGTCGTTTCAAATCGTCCTGGCGAGCGTATGCCGCCTCGCTATCAAGAGTCAGCCAGAAGGAAATCTCTCGTTGTAGTCACCTACCAGTACTGACAGTGAAACCCCTTCAGTTGCATGTGTTGGGACACAATATGAATCGAGGCATCTTGGACGGTCTTGAATGGGTGCATACACTTCATGCATGTCACATTTTCAACCCCTCGTTTCTCCCTCAGTTCTCCAGACGTATTCTTGGTAGTCTTGAGAGCCACCCGCATAGGATAGAACCCATACTGATTTCTGAAATCATCCACCCATTCTCTGGCGAAAATCTTACTATCCTTGGTGTTACCGCTGTAGTTTTGGATAAGGACTTGATGCTTTTCCTCTGCAATCTCCAGATCGCAGGGTTCAGCCTCTTCCCGTGCTCTCCCCCTCGCCGTCTGTCGCTCACGATTGAGCAAGGTTGTCGACCTTGAATCCTTCGTGCTTTTCTTAGACGATTTGGTTCGCCCGGTGCCTTTCTGGTTTAGCTCTGAGTCTGCACGAGAGTACTTTTCCACAATGTTCCTCGCAACGTCTTCGGATTCGGAACGAGGAATCTCATATCGCATGCTCGCGAATGGGTCATCCGCGCGCGTTCTCCATCTCCTCTCATAAGGGTGTGCTTTATGTACGCTCATCATCGTCAAGTGAGGCTTGGAGGACGGAGAGACGATTGGATTCACTCTCCCGCCTCTAACCAGCTGCAGCGGTTCAAAACCAGCGACAGTCTCGATCACTTCGGGAAGCTCTTGTGACCGAGGCTGCCCCCAAATGTCTGCTTCGGACGGAGAATGACGGTGTACGTCCTCACTCGACCAGCATCCTGCACGATGGGCGTGTTCCATGGACCGTCAAAAAATCGAGGTAAAATGAGGATGGAGACGTTGGGTTCAAAGTGATAGAAACCAGGCGTACTCGCAGTGCTGCAGCATGACCAACGAAAGTCAACTAGCAGCCTCTCGGCTCCCGCAAACCAACCAGCAACCCATTGCCGCGCCGCATATCAGGCTCGCCTCGTGAAAGCCGCCGTGATTCATCCGTCGACAGCGCCAGTCTCGTTTTATAATTGGTCCAGCCATGGCGAACGGCCCCGATAAAGAGATCACAGGAGCACACATGGGGCATTATACACGATGCATTTGGGCCGAAATCCCGCAATAACGCGTCGTAAATTACATGCAAACCGTTGAGATCTACCCATGAGAATACTAGGACAGCCCCGAGGCGCATGTACATCGAGAAATGTCCAGAATAGAAGTAACACGAACAATGGAAATACATACAAGGCGGTTTATGTTCAACTCAAGCGTTATCGATATCAGTCCTTGACATTCTCATTGCGGCGGGTTGACGTTGGAGTGTTGATTCGCTGCTCATTGTCAGTAGCGACAGGTTGGACAACGCAATGAGAGCGCTCCGTACGCAGGAACATACGTAACACTCACATTCGCGTCAGTTTATAGACTTACCCTTGCCTGCCTGGGAAGCTGATTGCGATGAGCCGTGAGCCAGTCCCGGAAGCTGCGTCGAGTAATAGCTCAAATTAAGTCGCGGATCCAGTTGATGGGGATAACCTGGAAGTTGGACACTCGACCCAGATGCAGCGTGGTCGGGCTGCGCATGATGGTATGACAAACTCGAGGGAGGGCCATAGGATTGTTCATTCTCATACATCCAGTATTCTTGAGTTTGCTGGAGAGGCATGGCTTCTGCCAAAGGATATGATGTTCCGGTCATGACTGAACTATATCCTTGTGCGGGTAGCCATGGGGTACCAGCACCGTGCGACGTCCTGCTTGTGGGGTGTGTCATATACTGGGCTATGGACGTCGTTACATTGGGCTGCTGTAAACTGGGGGAAGGTGTAGTCACTTGCTCAGCGTGTACATATGGCTGGAGGGGAACTCGTCCGGTCGGAGGATTGTGGTACCAACTTCCATCACTGGGTGTCGAACCCAAGGGAGGTGATGCATCATAGCCCGAAAGGGAGCCATCTTGTGGATCCTGCGACAGATTCGGTGTATAGTTCACCGCCAAGTGCAGCTGTGTTCGAGGAGCACTGCGAAAGGACTGTGAATTGTTGTGACTGTGGAGAAGTTGTGTTTCCGGAACGACACTGGGAACCCGGGGGGCTTGAGGATGGGCGCCGGCCAGCTCATGAGAATTAAGCGACAGTGTAGGGTATGAATATGAGCCTGAGGGGTGCAGTGGATTGTGATCGTGGTCAAAAGATGTTCGAATATCGAATGGTGGTCTCCTAGAGCTCGACGCTGCAGCACTTGTTGATGCACCCTGACCAGGATAAATGGAGCTCATAACGTTGTACGCCCCACGCTCAGTAATGTCGAGCGTACGAGCACATGTCGAGGCCTGCCCCTGTCCAATTTGGGCCCAGAAGTCAGAACACGCTTTGGTGTGTCCACTCCACCGCTTGTCGGGATGCGGGAATCTTTCGACGCTACCCAACATTAGCCGAATCCTATCGCAAATAGGAAAGAACATACCAAAACATGCACCGCCAGGGCTTGAGTTTCCAGTGTGTCTCTGTAAGATGAGCCGCTGCGCGACCCATGGTTGCGAAGGAAGTACCATCATTACATAGAAGGCAATATACACCTTTCACTCCCCTGTTTTCTCGTGGCTTTTTGGACTTGTAGTCGTGCTCGGTCTTGCGGACAACGTGAATTGAGAAAGGATGGCTCTCGACAAGAGATATGACTTGGAGGATGGAATTATACGTGTTTCCCCCGTAGTATTGTACGAGATGTTGGAGGTCCTCCGATAAAGCCTCCCATCTTTGGAGAAGCGACGTACGCTCCTCGACACTGGGAGGTTTTTCCGTGGGATGGTGACGGGCAATGACCTGGTCAAAAGATCTAGGCTTTTGCTTCTGGCGCTTCGCGCGCTCTGCCGGAGACGTCGGATTAGATCGCACCGGACCTCCCCTCAGCACGCCGAGACAATGGATGTAGTCAGGTCCATTAACCGTGGATGAAGGGGTCTCTACATCATCTTCATCGTCATCGTCATCGTCGTCTCCCTCATCGGAATCGACATAGACATATTCTTCCTCATCCGCCTCACCAGCTTCCTTCCCGGTCTTTACATACGCGGGCTTGTCGGTGACTGAGGAGGACTGGCGCTGATGAAGCTTGTTCATCTCGCCATGATCCGCGACGACACTGAGCCTGGATACGCCCAGGACGAGAGACTCCATCGCAGACGGCGACGGGCTTCGTTCAAACCGCCCCGAGATGCGCTTCATCAGAGAAGGTTTCTCTTGACCTCCCTTGCTCGTGTGGACTGCTTTTGCGGCTGCCTCTTTCGTGGGCGTCGTCGGCGTCTTTGGAATATTGCATCCTTGTGCGATAACCAACACGGGCCCAGCTGCGATAACCGCTAGAGATCCTGTCGTTTCTGTGGAAAATCCTTTGTCGCTTTTGTCCGTCACAATTCCAGCAAACGACATGCGTTTGGTCTGTGGACCGTCACTGGACGAGACTGGCGCCACCCCCGCGCTAGAAGCCGTGGGCTCTGTCGGAGCCGTGATGACCACAATGGCGGTCGTGTTTGGAATTGCGTGTGACATAGTCGAGAGCCCGTCCTTGCCGTTGAAGAGCAAAGACGCGGTGGGGGGCAAGCTGTTGAGATTTGGGTGGCCGCCCGGCCAACGTTCATTTATATAGCGCCGTAGCAAATTGCAGGTTGACCGTCACTAGCACCGACCTAATTCCTTGTAAACATAACCAGCAGCCAACCAACGCCGCACGAATGCCTCGTGTATTACGACCAACCCAACTATCTAACGTGATGAGTCGGTCCTACGCTCTCAGACACTCGGTGGGTGCGAGATATCCCGGCAAACCATTATACACGATGTATTAGACAGATGACGGGTTATCAATCAGTCTAGATACAGCAACTATGAGAATAATCACCCAGACGAATGCGCTCCAAGAAATGTCCTACAGTATAGAGACCCGATAAGTAATTGATACAAATGCGAGGTAGGAAAAGGTCCGTTTCGAGTCCATAGTCCTCAGCTCTCGACTTGCCCTCACCTCTTCATTGCGGCGGAGGGTGATTGGGGTCAAAGTTGCCTACCAATCGTTAGTAGCGTTGGTTGAGGCAACGCAATGAAAGTGCCCCATACGTTTTTTTTCCAAGTAAAAAAACGCACGTAACGCTAGCATTGGCATTGGCCTGTCCGCTTACCTGGCCAAAAGCGTGATTGCGACAAGTCGAACAGCGGCTCAAGATCTTGCCTCGGCGGAAGCGTCGACTGTAGTTGTGTATTTGGCTGGTGGACCCCAGGGGAAGGATAGACGACCAAGCTGGGGCGAGCTTGGCCTGGTTGCGCTTGAGGATACACCTTCTCGCGGGCTCGTCGTGGGGCAATCCATGCACGTTCGACGGGTGCGCTAGAGGTATTTGGACAGGAGGAGCAGTTTGCCATACGCTCTGCGATCCGTTTGTGGGGCCGGCGTATCTTTGCCTTAGAGAGTACGTTGTCTCGTCACGCGATGCCGTGCTTGAACGAGCGTCCAAGCGTGTAGACCGAGGCTGCGATAGACCTGGGGGAGGAAACGTGGTCATTCGTTCATCGTTAGGAATCATCCTTTGATCCAGCCTCGAAGGCGGAACATGCAACCATGCATCATTCGGATCTTGTCCGACGGGCGAAACCTCGTAGCTCTGAGGCGAGGCAATCTGATGTATCTGTGGATGATCGGGCGAGTTGTAAGGATCCAGCAATGGAGTTGGTTGAACGTTGGAATTCATCAATTGGAAGTGGGTATAAGGAGGTTGAGAGGTCTGTGGTGAGACCTCGGGAGATAACGATGGCTGAGACAAAAAATCGTAGGCTTCATGTTGATCAGGCGACGGCGTATGGCCAAAGTTTGAGCCAGATCGAGGGCCAGGCAGCTGATGTTGCTGAGAGCCTGAGGGCGTTTGATGGTTGAACACTGGGTTTCGGTAGCTCGGCTCTGCAATGTTTTCTGGTGGGCTCTGTCCGGAAGGAATGGAGCTTGTACCGGCATAGACTCCATAGTAGACGTTACCGAACGTGTTGGCACTCGTCGAGGCTTGCCCCTGTCCAACTTGCCTAGCATGAGAAGCAGAACACACGTCCGTATGTGCACGCATCCGTAGGTCGGGGTGGGCGAAGCTTTGATCGCTAGTGGGTGTTAGATGTGTTTGGAAAGGAGAGGAAAGGGCGTACCATGTCAGGCATCGCCACGGCCGTAGCCCCCAGTGTCGCTCCGTAAGGTGAGCAGCAGCATGTCCGACAGTCTTGTAATTGTGCCCATCACCGCATAGACGGCAATAGACCTCTTTGACACCCGGGTTTGCTCGTATTTTTTTGGTTTTCGAAGGGGTTGGATTGTAGTCGTCTACCCCCTTGTAGACAACCTCGAGTACACCACCCATAAGATGCGCTTCCAGGCGAGACATGACTTGGAGCATTTCGCGGTGGGTGTTGCCGCCATAGTTGAGTACCACCTTTTGGAGATACCTGGGCAACCTTGCCAATCTCCTGCGGAACATCTCCATATCCTGCTCGTCAGGTCTAGGTTCCCAAGGGTGATGTGATGCAATGCGGTCGTTAATAGAGCCGCGTTTCTTCTTTTGTGACTGAGCGCCACGGTTGGCCCCTTTCATTGCACCAAGACTTTGGGTAGAATCAGAGCCACCGACAATCGGTGAAGAGGATTCAACGTAATCTTCCTCATCTTCCTCATCTTCCTCTCATCTTCCTCATCCTCTTCGACAGCCACAGTTGCACTCTCGGTAGACTCGCGGTTGATGCTGAGCGAGGACAACTGGCGTCGATGGCGGTCGCTCATCTCACCCTGATCCGCATGGACAGTAAGTTTGGCCATGTTCGCAACGAGCGTCTCTATCGTGGCGGGGGTTGACGGCGACTTGTCCGTACTCTTTCGTTCCATAAATGCCGATATGCGTTTGCTCATGCTCTTCTCCTCTCCTTCTTTGCTTAACTCGCTCTTCTTGACGCTTGCATCCGCCGCAGAGGCTGCTATAGGTGCGAGCGTCTTTGAGACGTGCGGATTCTGGACGACAACCAGCGCAGCGAGAGCAGCCAGCGCTCCCATCGCCTCTGCTGGAAGATTATCAGCCTTGGAACTGGCATATTCTGCACAACCTGACGTACGTTTGGATTTTGGACCTGCCGACGTCGAGACTGGCGCCCCGGGCGCGGTGGACTTTGTTGAACGTACGGCGAGCATTGCTGCAATCGATTTTGAAACCGCGTTGGACATACTCGACGCGCTTGTGTTCGACGAGGCAGACGCGGTGGAGGTCGGGGGGCAAAGTGACGAAAAGGACGAAAGCTGATGGCTCGAGTAGCCGGGACACCCTGTTTTATATTTGCTCCAAAGACATGAGAATGCCAACGTCCAAAGCCGGCCTGTGCACAGGACGCTGGTCAAGTTGAAGTCAATAGGCTGTTTGGGAGCGGAACCCACACGGCTGCGCAAAAACCCAGCAACTGGTTAAGGTCAGATAGTAAACGGAATACGTGCACGAATATCATGGCAGTACACGTACGTGGAGCAGTGCCAGATCGTCGTTGAAGATCGTCGACTAGGGTTTCGTTCGACCAGAGATATGAATAAACGCAAGAGAAAAAATAGCCTGATATTCCATAAAACAATCCCGTAGAAACATCCACGACTAATACAACACAGCAGCACATTCTCGCCTTGTCCAAGGAGATAGATACCCAATAACTTAGTCGTTGAACCAGTCACAACCAAAAGTTATTCAGTTCTGTACCTTGTCAAAGTAGTTGAGTAACTGCCCCATCTCGACAGCTGAAAGAGGTTCAGCCTTGTTGGGTGACGGCGGCGCGCCTCCAAGCTGGAGTGGGTCGCCTAGCGATGGCTGCAGCAAGGCAGCTGACAGCGGAGGTTGTCCCTCGCCTTTGACATACTCTGGAGACTGCCCACCGCCACTCCCGCCGTCAACACTAGTACGTTGGCCGTTTTGGGATAAATCAAATCCTAACAAGGGATCGTCTATTGGCGGATAGGGCGATGACGAGTGCGACGAGCGCGAAGACTGATTAGGCGATTGTTGTCCAGACGCTTGCAGGGTCAAATACGGTGATGTGTCCACCATCGCCGTGCTATTCAATAGCGGCATGTGAGATACAAACGGTGGCGAAGTGCTGAATCCGTGCGTGGGCGCCGGCGACGGGTACGCGAGATGGAGATGCGGTTGCGAGTTTGGACTCGTGCTGGGCATCTTGTGTGGTGGCGAGCTCATGTACGACTCGGGCGTCTGCCCGTACCCCATCGACTGGGTATACCCAGGCGAGAGCTGCTGGGGTGATAAAGAGGCCGAGTGAGACGAAGGTGCATAGGGAGGCTGATACATTTGTGGAGCGGAGACTGGAGGTTGATACATCTGTCCTGTGGGTACTGGCTGGTACATGTGTCCAAGTTGAGGTATAAAAGGTTGTTGTTGTGGTGGTACGGGTATCTGGAAAGATGCCGCCGTGTACATCATCGTCGGATTGGACACATTTCGAGCCCGTCCCGGGGCAACACCGAGAGAGGTTTGCTCCATCGTTATTGTCACTCCCGTGGACTGTGTCGGACGTAGATCCACTGTTGCACGACGGCTGGGGCGCTTGGCCACCTGCGTCGGCACCACGTTTGCCATCTCCGAGGGTGAAACTGAACCCAATGTGAGATTATTCCCCACCATCACCAGACCTTGTTTCAGAGTCGGGTTTGGTTGTTGCGCCCGCGACGCTCCGATTCCCAGCCTGGACAGAATGTCATCAAGGGGTCCTTGAGAACGCGAGGGAGATGGAGAAGGCCCAAGTGGGAAAGGCTCGGGAAGATCGGCTGGTATGATGGGCATGAGTGGCGGTTGCAATTTGAGGGGAGCGGGGGTGGCACTGGACATTCGAACAAAGACGCCTGGGCTCTGCTGTATAGACGACTGTGGAGCTTGGTCGGTGGTGTAATAGGGAGCTTGGTACGACGTCGAGGGATAGCCACCGTTTGAGCTCTCTGGATAGGAGCCCACAGATGCGCTCAGATCTGAATACTCCGTCCCAGAGAGCGATTCGGCATAGCCCGAGGTCGATGGAACAGTAAGGTACGCCTGTTCTCCAGGATTTGTAACATGGATCGATGGATCAGGATTGCTGGGTCGTGACCAGTTGGGATGCATCTTTTCCATGTGTCGCTTGGGGTTTTGAATCCCATCACGGCATCGGAAGGCCTTTCCGCTACAAACGAATGAGGGTAGCTCATATATTTGGATCGCAAAAACTCACCATCCCGGTACAATGCAAAGCCAAAGTTGCATCTCCCAATGATTCGAGGTAATGTGTACAGCAGCCTTTTGTACCGTAGGGTACTCTTTGATATGTGGCTGCTGTTCCTGTCGACAAGGTCCACAGACGACCTTTTCGACGCCCCCTTTGGCATTTGGCGAAGACTTGATCGTGACCTCCATGGGCATCGTGCCATATTGGTCCATATAGTCAATGATGCGTTTTAGGACGGCCAGCTTGGCCGTTTCGGTGTTGCCCGCGTCATTTTCCAACCAGCTGAGATGCGCCTTGTCGCCGTTGAGACGCTTGAGTAGCGTCTCCCAAAGGTTTCTTTCTTCTGGCGTAAATTTTCGATAGGGAATCTGCTGGTGAGACGGCTGCGCAGATTGGCGTCCATACGGTTGCGACCGCTGTGACAGCCCCTCTAGTTTGGGTGCCTTTCCGCGTGTTGTCGCAATAGGCTTGGAAAGCGAGCTCTCCCTGGTGATCGACGTGGCCGTGACAGCGGCATAGGAACGTTGGGGTGTTGGCGGGGCAGACTTTGCGCGTACTTCGGTGTCGACCTGAGGGATTGCCTTGGCGAGTTCACCCATGTCAAAAGGGCTCGATGTTTCCTCTAGCGGTGGCGTGCTTTCCTTTGGTTTTTGACCCGCGACGGCCGGCGCCGATGTCTTTGTTGCGGGCATCGAGCGTCTTGGGGCACCCGACGCCTTCTTCCTCGACTGTGAATGCTGTGGACTAGACGCATTGAGGATTGGTGTGACCATGGACGACGTGCTGAGGGAGATGGCTAACAAAATCCGCGTCAGTCTCGATGGGCGTTGCAGGGCCAGACACGCAATCCAAACGGCAAACACACCTCGTGTCAACGTCGGTTTACCTTCCGACTCTGAATTCTTCTTGCTCCTTTTTTTCTTCAATTTATGCGAAGGTGGCGAGCCAGGCGACACGGGCGTCTCCTGGACCGGCGAGGAGACATCACCATCAGGTGTAGCCGCGCTCATCGAGTCTGTGGAAGAAGAGGAGGCGCGAGTCATCGACGGCGAGAGTGCTTCGGTTCCAAGTGATGAGGTTTGTTTGTCCATTCGCGGGCGTCTTTTTTAGTGGTACCTGCTGAGACAGGTCGAGTATGGCTTTCAAGTGGACCAGTAAGGAGGGCCGGAACAAACCCGCCTGGGACGGCTCGCAAACGGTCGCGGGTAGAGATTCCAAGTAACAGAATTTACGGTGGGATATTCGCCGGGCGTCGAGATGGAACGAACCCAAAATGCCTTGAGATGGTTGGGGTCAAAGGTGGGCTCCAAGTGTCAGCATACAAAGAACAAAGAGGAAAACAGCCGCAAAGTCTGAGAAGGCACTATCGATCTCACGTGCGATCCGTAAATCCCGTTCAGGGGGGACAATCACCTCAATGGCCAACTCGCGGGTGTGCCAGCAAAATACTAAATAGCCAGAACCATTCCATATACACGTTGTTGAAATTCTCTTTGCTCTTCTCACTACTCGTACGCCTTGGGGAATCCTGCAGACTCGAATGGATTGTAGCCCTCGTTCATAAACTCGCCAGAAACTTGCACTTGAGGGGGCCAAGAATAGGAATACTAATAAAAGTAAGAGGCGCGGTGTTCTGCTGTGACGTGATGAGGTCTTTCCCTTGCCTCTCCGTGGTGGACAGTTCCATGGGTGAAAACCACTGCACCTCACATAACTCCATACCTGGGCAACGATACCCACATGGTCGTAATGACTGTAGAACAAGGATGCATCAGACGAATACCTCTCACCATGGAAAAACTCGGGTAGGATAGGCTCTTGGCGCAACGTCTCCGGGTTGATAAATGAAACTTCCGTGTTGATCTTGCCAGAATAATGATAGGCTGATTCCTGGGTGACGTTTGTTGGTGTATTGAGGACATTCTGTATTTCTGGCCCTTGAATGCCATAGTCGACAAGAGTCTGAGTTGGAATAACTGATAAAATGGTGATCGGTTCGCTGCTGGTAAACCCGTTCAGTAATGGCGCTATGGCAAGACATAGGAATGGAGGCGTACCATGTATCGTGGTGGTTCTCATTTTCGTGGCGTGTCAATTCATTAAGAGCGCGGTAGGACCTATTGGGGCTTGATGCCAGTCAGCTCATGGTCGAGTCCTAACTAGGCAGAGACCGTGGACTTACCAAGAGGTACACTTCCAAGGCTTCATGTTCCAGTGCGAGAATAAGTGGGCCATAATCTTCTGAAGCGAGCCCTTGATTATCCCACACGGAACATAACCCGTAAATGGAGGGGACTCTTGCTTCACACCACACCTAACCTGACACGTGAAGCGAGTGGACCCTCCTTTCTGACCCTGCTTATCACTTGTAATAGGAGGTTGCCCCTCGGCATCAATGTACCTCTCAAATTCCTCCAAGACCTGGACGCGCGACTCGGGGAGATCGCCAGCATAGTGCTGCATCGCATCGCGTAGGATGGGATACTCACGACCAAGAGCAAGGATCCGAGCTCGGATATGAGGGGGGTCGTGGTGATCCTTCTTCCGCCCACGACGGAGAGAAGTCCTGGCGGCTCCGACAGGCGTAGTAGCGGCGCAAGGGGGTACACAGGGATGCGTCTGGTGCATTGAATGATTGCACAATGGCAGGGTTTGGCGATTGCTAGTCGCTCGCGGCATGATCTGATGGAGAGACGTGGGAGGGTGGACCGGTTAACTTGTTGGCGGGGCGACGAGGTGTCTGACGCCGCTTTTTAAAGACGTTGACCAGATGTGAACACGCCGAAAGGGTGCGGCCACAGAAGCCCCTATTGCCTTTGGAAAATAGTGCCCTACAGATTCCGAAATACTGGAAGCGAACAACCTCTATTCAACAATGTGGATGCCACAGCGTACCGACTCGACCCATCCAAACCTTCCAAACACGGAATCACTCACAAATCTTGGACTTTGCACGCGCAGATGTAATCCGGGCATCTGCGATCAATCGGAGGTAGTCCTGTAAAGCACGCAACGTTGAGGAGAAGCGATGCTTTGCATGCACTGCAGCGTCCCGCATCATCTCCGCCACGCCCACCGTTTCAAATTCGCCTTGAATCAAAGAGGCGTCACTGCTCCGACAATTCCCAGCAAGTCATGCGGACGAGGCATGGTGGACTGCTTAAATGGTCCAAAAATGCTTTGTGATTCATAAGCGGGCGCTCAAAGACAGTGAGCATGGGCTCCACGACTCGAGGCAGAATCTCTTTAGAGGGTCGTTCAATGTACATACGGGATTCGGGGACACAGAACGGGACCTTGAGCGTCATCAGGGTCGCGGAAAGGTGCATACTGGATCGAAAGTCCGAAGCAAACAAGCATAGAGAAAAGTAAGAGAAAAACGCCATCGAGACCAAACCGTTTGATCGAGCTAGAAAACAGGGAATCGTCCGAGATGTGTCGACAGCTTTTCTTAGATGTCTACTTCGGTGTTAGAACATGAAAATGAGAAGGGAAAAGACTCTAGACCTTGAACATAGAGAACCAGACAGTGATCGGTGGACTCGACAAATGCTCACTGCTACGGCGTTAGTCTGTCTCGGAAGCGATGTATCGTATTCTCCACGAAGGATCCAACCATACCGCAGGCCTACCTCTGATCCCTGGGAGGCGTCGGTATTGCCAACCATTGGTGGAGCTGCAAGGGCGGTTGGGCGAGGAAACGGTGGCAGCCTCGTGCTGAGATTTGGGAGATCGTACAGGTCGAAATGGGACATTTGAATCGTCGGCGTGAATCTGTCCTGCTTTTGGCGTGGTCCGCCTTTACCTTTGCTAATTCGTGTCAGCCCTCAAACATTCCATCTTCCGGAAATCTGTGCACTTACGGGTGAAACATCGAGTGAACGATCCTCTGATGTCGGATGAGGTCCCAATTTCGGCGGAATGTTTGTGGGCTGGCTGATGTCAGCTTCCATACTGCCAAGGGAGACAATCAGCCCACTCACCATTTCCCGCAGGGAAGAGGCTTCAACCTAAGATGATGCTGTGCATGTTTGATCGCCTTGTCTTTTCTGGTGTCGCAAAAGTCCGTGCAGAGGAGACAGCGATAGTCCATAGGACTGACGCGACGACCGTGACCCTGTTCCGTCTTTGGGAGTTCCGTGACAAAGAACAACCCAGACAACTGATGATTGGTTGGCTCGTTGTGCAGTAATCCCTCGAGTATGTCCAAGAAGTTTTGCTTGATCGCCGGGACGATACACGTGATGTCATCATAAATTTCCCGCTGCTCCCGCAAAAGATTTGCTGCGCGAAGCTGGTTCAGCTGTTCAATGGCCGTAGGCTCGTGGACGGTGGAGACAGGGCTGGGTGCTCCATTATTGGATGAACCAGGAGACGGCATCCCGAGTGGTGAAGATACCGAGTGCATGATAGAGTCTGTGCTGGGACCTGTCGTCCTCAAATGTTCTTGAAAGAGGGCAAGTGGTGCTGGCAGGTAGAGGCCCAATGAATAAAGCGCACGCGTAAGTGGCTGGTTGGGAAAGGCTAATTGTACCTGACCCTCACCCAAAGGTCCCGAGAAGTGTTCAACACCCCCGATAGGCGCCGTCGAGTGAGACGAATTACAAGCGGGAAACGCCGCTAGGAAAACGTAAGCAAAGGAACTCATCTCTATACGAGCATGTACCGCCGAGAATAGGATCGTTTTCAAAGAGAAACAGATCTGGGCTGTCGGCATTGAAGATAGAAGCTGAATGCTGGCTCGACAGAGTTCCCTGAGCTTCGGAAACATTGTCAGCATACACATTCTCCCTGGCCAGGCACATCCTGAACGTACCAGGATATCCGTATTGCGCGGCTTCGTTGAGATAGGCCAAATAAGACGCGACCAGGTTGTGTAAACCGTGTTCGTCCATGGAGAGGGTTCAATCAAAAGGTCAAAGAGGTGAAATAGCAGACGACGGGAAGAGGATGATGGAGTTCGAACGAGATCGGCTCTCTTATTTGAACCTCTGCTTTAGGAGGCGCCCGTTCTCCACCTGCCATTCCGAATACGAAAATATATGAATGTAGCGCAATTTATCAGATTTCAAACGTCGTAGACTGCGCTGATAGCGCACCTTGTGACCTTGTCGCATCTGACAGGTGAAGAGAGGCTCCAGGCCTGGTGCGTCGATGTTCGGAGCTATCCTACGGGCTATGAATGATTGGGAAGCGGTTAGAATAGGATTCCTTTGTCTGCGCCATTTTACAACGCGCTGACAGACATGGAGGAGAGCTTGGGCTGTCAAAACCCCTCCAATCATATCCGTAATCATTATCTGGAGCGTTGGTAGCGACGGCAGCGCCCGGTTCGGGAGATTGGGGGAGCCGTACTTGCTTTGGTCATCGTCAGCCAGCTCATACAGTACGGATTCGTGGAGTCGATTGCGACATATGGAAGAGAGTGGAGGCATGGAAAGCCGGCTCATGGGCGATTTCTGGCGCCTGTCGTCGCCCAGGACCTCCCCTCCGACCGCATGCAGCAGAGAGAGTCAAGGTGAACCCACCAGAACAAGTGTCTCTCGGGTGGTTATATACCCAAACACCGACTCATCCAGCGTTGAATATCCTCCACCTCGACAATTTTGCCTCTAGGTTCACCAACGATCGAGGATTCATTAGATACCGAGAGAATAAACGATAGAATGTGCTAGGTGATGGCGAGTTAAATGGATGGATGTACTACTGACCCTCCGAAGCACCATGGGGGCACTCGGATGGTTGTAGGGGTCATGTAGCAGATGGGCATTTGAAAGTATGGATGGCCTTTTCGCGTAAGATAGAGGCGTACAACAACTCGTTCAGACTGTTTATCCTCGATTAGACCGCATAAGCCCCCTCGCCTGCGTACATAGAGGCGTGGATATGCGTGATTGGTTCCAAAAGGGAATGGAGAACTATATAATTCAATTTTAGATCAGGTTTGATCTATACTTCTATGCCTGATGACGAGCTTGACTGTAGAGAGACTGCCTGGGGCAAAGCACGCTCGAATGACGCGCTATTCCGGAGATATGAAGTGAATATTCGACTTTTGTATGTGTTTGATGGTTTTGTGAGCAGCCGCCCCGGGGCCTGGTGGTGTCAGACCTCTGAACTCCGCCCTTTTGACGCGTCCGCGACCTGTTCCACCACAATAGAGATCGCTGTTTACGCGTTTAATCATGTCGTACGTGAGATTTATACGCGTCTTTCGCGCAAATTTGGCTGAATATGGCTCGCTAATTGTCTCTCTGTTGAATCTCGGTGGTGGTTGGGTTCGTGCACAATCTACCTTTCCGTATCTTCTTGCATCCTCCTTGGAATGTCCATAGCCATATCGTACGGCGACCTTACACGCAGGCTGACAAGCAACATCTCATCGAATGGCTGGCGACCAACCACCCAGAAGAAAAGGGCCGAATGGGCAATGCAGTTTGGAAAGCTCTTTGTGACGACCAGGTGATGCAACTAGAATTTACTACACCATTCACTCTTGCTCCATTCTGCGCATACCCGCCCCATCGTTCATCTCGTTATGGGCGCGGAACACTCCACACTCGGTCTATTATACATTCGCGAGGATCAACTGACCTTTCTTTTCAGAATGCCAGCCCATGGAATGATAACCACAGCTGGCAGAGCTGGCGGGAACAGTACAAGCAAAACGATAAATACTACATCAACGCCATAAACAAGGAGCTCAACAAACGCAAGGTCTCCGAGAATACAACATTTGAGCTATCGTCCGGCTCAGAGGACGACGGTGAACGCAGACCCAAGGCACGGCAACCTGCGGCTAAGAATAAGCAACAGCGTCCTTACCAGAGAGCCACGCGGCTTATCTTGTCTGAAAATTCAGATGATGGCGAAGAAGAACAATCCCACAAGTCCAGACAGGTGACGCCGCCAGATCCAAGCAACGCTTCAAAAATTCGTCTCCTCGCAAAGTACTACGCAGAGCAAAGCATTGCAGAAAGTATCAGGTCCAGAGCCGACACGATTCAAGATCTGACCCATTACGTCAGTAGGTTACCGTGTATTAGTTCACATCTGACAAGACTCGCAGGAGGATTGCCAACCTTGGGCAAAGGAGCTGCGCCCTATACAATGGAAGGAGTTTTATATTGCCAACAAGAAGGCAATTGACGAGCAAGTCGCGGCCCTGGAACAACTCGGGAACAAGAACCATGTTCAGAAGCGAACTCTCAAGCGACAAGCTCCCTCGGATGAGGAAGCGACATCGTATATCGCCAGTAAAAAGGTCGAGAATACACGACCGAGAAGGAGCCTAAAGAGGCGGCGCGTGGAGGTTCCAGTCGAGGACGGCCCGGATGAGAATGACTATGGAAACGTGGATCACGATGTTCCGGACAAGCCCCCTTCGATAGAAGTTGAGCGCGGTCCTCCCACGTCGGAAGCACCCAGCAGTACGACCGCGACGCCTCCCAGGAAAGCGGCTAAGCGCTCGAGAGCAGTCTATGCTACTCCGGCATCCGTGATTGACGATGACGGAGATGAAGAGGATGACATACCATCCAACCTCGAACTACCTATGGCCAACTTCGATCGCTACGGGGTTCCCGGCTCCCCAAGTGGAACACTTATTCCTGGATCACAGTTCCAGCTCACTCCGGCCTCGAGACCTGTCACTCCTATGATTTCTCAAGTCAATGCCTCTTCTCGAGCCAATAGCAGAGGTCCCGCCATCCACAGCTTCCCTCGATCCTATCCGTCATCAAGGCCGCCCCTACTTGGTCGAGATGGCACCCCTCGAATAACCGAAGTGTCATACGAGGGCTCCCAAGCAACCGCGACCCCAGTCGTCCCGGATCCCAATGCTGGTGTCCCCGAAACGCCTTTGCCTCTTCCTCAGAGCGAAAGCTTGACAGCAAAAATGAAAGGGATCGTTGGAAAGATATTTCCAACTACGCTGCCGTCTTTGACTCCGTTGCTACGCGAGAAGCGGGCTACTGCGAGCAGTACGCAAACTGCGCCTGAAGAGTCTACCCCACCACAGGGGCGTGTCCAGCCCGAAAAAGGACGTTAGTAGCTACGATCAAACCAATTACTTTGATGCACAACCGAGTCCAATGCCTTATGTGGGCAGCGACAGTCGATCGACACGGTCATACTCTGCAGAAGATTCGGTGCATCGGACGGCAAACATTCGGGGGGTTGAGGCTCAGCGAAATAAGAGCGTCGTTGAAGAGGAAGAGGTGGACGAGCTGATTGACGATGATCTAGAGAATGAACTTCCTCCGCCTCACCCTCGCCTCATCCCATCGCGCAACCTCGGGAGACGTCCGTCAGAGTCACCAATGTTCGTATCAGCAGACTCTACACCATCTGAAGCTCCCACACGTGCGAATATGGCTGCAGCCTCTCGGCACTATCCACTACACGAGACCACGACAGCGATAGGACTCGTCCGTCATAGAAGATGCAGGCCAAGTCAAGGCAGATTCATGGAAGATTCCGAGAGTGAGGATGATGCGGGAATCTCACAGGCGCAGGATGTTCATTTCGCGCCATTTGAGGATGAAGACAAGGAAAATTGGGTGTGTGGGCTCATTTATCAATTCTGCATCATCTAACTACCCTTCTAGCCTCAAGAGCCCAGCGTTGACCCCACCGGAAGGCGCGCCGCTCCTCGTCTTTCAAACGTGAGCGTACGCTACGAGGATCTTGGCGCCTCGTTCAATCAGGATACGCCAGAGATGCCCTCGCCAAAGAAGAGCTTGACCCTGATCGGGGTTACTCCTCCCGAGCCTCACATTACGGCGACCTCTGTTCGAACAGACATTCGCGCTACTGAAGGTGCTACTCGCAGAATTCCTGGAGGATATTATACCGAGAAACCCATGTCGAAGTTGGCCACGAGAAGGGACGAAGGATACTCGTTCCAGCCACGCATCTCTCTCACATCTCCCGACTTTGGAAATGATTCCGACCCAGACGCCAATGACGATCCAAGTCCTCTTTCTCTCAGGGCGCTTCGGCGGGACGGGGTCGCTGCAAAGACCAAAGTCCATTTCGAAAGAATGGCTACAAATCGTGATCGCAGGAAGACAACTGGTGGGATTGGAATACGATTCGGCGAGACGAGCTCCAGTATGCACCAAACAAACTTCGCCCCTCCACCAGCACTCAGGTCACCCGAAAAACCTCCCCTTGACTCAGATCCCATCCAAATAGACTCCGAGGAAGAGGATCCACCAGAGGACGACTCGCCGCTCGCTCGCTACTCACAGGCATCTCGGATGGCGACTTCATCTCCTTTCAAGTCCCTGTCAAAAAATGACCCCGTTCGACAACTGGTCGAATTTCCTTTGGTGGACGCACGAGTCCACCGGCTCCTGTTCCCGTGCCCATCGTCATGCATTCGACTGATCTCTCGTCGCGGAAGCCAGTTATGGCCAAGCCTGGTCGGGGTACGGCGGCTGGTCGATTGGGTGTGCAAAATATGACAGAAGCAATGTGGAGTCCGGTGAAGTTCCCACCGATGCGGGCCAGTTTTATGCCACCACCCGCAGAAACGTCGAGATCTGGTCGTGAACGTAGTCATGGTCCCATCGCGGGGCCATCAAATTCAGGTTCTACGCCGACGGGGATGACCCTGGACTATCGAGATCAACGCAAAACCGCCAAGTGGCTTCAGTCAACACGTGGGCGACCTCTGATAGTCTCCGAGCAGTCTACTGAGAAGAGACGACATAGCCTACCGTTAGCCGCGCTTGGCGACGTTGTGTACTCGTCAGACAGCCCGCGTCGAGTGGCTTCTCATTCGCGAAGTCGGTCTACTTCTCATCGCTCAAAGATATCAAAGAGAAGCGAGATAGAGGTGGACGAGGAGAATGTTGACGACCTGAGCAAGGCAGACAGCATGCGGGTTGTGAAGTACATGCTCTCGTCTGGGCTGATCGAACCGGATACTCCACTCGAAGCGTCGGTGATTTTTGATGGTTTAGCCGCATATTTGATCCATCTGGCCCGCGACTTCAACTTTCAACCTCAAATTGCCCGAGAAATATGGAAAGTCTGCTGGGATTTGGAGGAGACGGAGCAACATCTCGCGAGGATGTTTGGTGCTGCAAGAGCAACGGGGGAACGGGGTTTGGATACTGACCCCAGCGGCGTCGGCAACGAGGAATTGTTGGAGTTGCAAGAGAGGCGGGAGAGGAGAGAACGCATCGTCCGAGAGAGTCTGGGAGCGTCAAGAACGAGACGGGTTAGCGATCGACTGGAGAAGATTGAGTTGCGACCAGACAATGACGAGGACTCGGAAGACGATCCTGATTCGGAGCAAAGTCAGCCGCCGCCCAGCGTTCCCTTTGAGGTGTTGCATCCTCTATTGGGGTGATTTGATGCTGTCAGCGTACATTAACTGGATCTCAATGTCGGTGGACATGTAGGGTTGATGAATTGTGCTATCTTGAGAATGAATACGATCAGAATCTCGTCTGAACTTGACAATGAGACTTTGAGAGCTGTCAAACTTGAAACCGACGGGTCTGGGCATTAGCGGCGAGGCGTAACCAGTCGCTTACCTCTGGCTCCCGACCACAGGACCATCACCACGCCAATACCCTGTGACCTGTGCTCAGACAAGCCATTAGAAGACTTCGATGTGAACCAAACGTCGACTCGAGCCGCCTAGGCATCCCTAGAAGCGCCAAAGGAGCGGGAAAGCAGCGTTGGGAAACTTTCGAAAATATATACCGGCACTAACTGGCTCCTTTCATCGCATCTGCACGATTTTTGACTCCCCATCGCGTCAACAGCGTCGCAGGTGTCATTCATCCGTCCTCTTGAGTTGGCGACCAGATCAACGACCCATTTCCCGGCCGGGCGTGTTCTCTAAGCGAATTAAATGGCTTTCTATTCATTTTCTCGTCTCGAATTTTAAGGGGATTTTATCTTGTCTTGCGGCCCCTGCCAGTGCGCTGGTGAGCAAGGCACTGCTGCTCTCCGCCGCAATCCTACCGGCCTTTCGAGTCTAGCGGCCCGTATAGCGCTCCAACTGTCCCAGTTTGGGCGCTGCATTAGATGCTCGACTTGGGCCCCTTTTTGATGACTGACAAACGCGATTCCAGAGCGACTCTTGAGAGATAGGCAAAACCGGGAAGCAGCAGGGTACCATTTGTGAGTGTCGGTAGATTGTGATTCATTAACGTTGATTGCCAACAGACTCGTCCCGCGGGGATTACGCTCGGTACCTGGGAGGGCTATGAAGGCAGCCAGCTGCTAGGGCTATCCACCAAGTGCGAAGCCGGGCCTACGCTTCTCAACTCATCGCTAGTCATTCCATGGAATATAAGCGGTGCAATCAACCTGGCAGGCAGAGACAACAACCTCTTTTCCCCCCGCTCATCCTCTTTGGCCACGGCTCCCATTGCGCCGAGCCAGTTAGTTCTCCTTTTGTCATTGGTCCTTTCTATTTGCGCAAAGATTACGCGGACAGACGTGCTGTTTGGCCACAAACAGTTGACAGCCTTACCGTACTCTTCTCGCCGGAGATCCGTTCGCGTTTGGCTTTTCGCCGCCGCTCTGCCTTTGAGCATCACAATTCTTTCGGCGTTGAAATCCCTGGGAGATATCTAGTTCCTTGCCAGTCAACCCCAGCCACCGAGCCTGTTTCGACATACCCACCTCCGATCTCATTCAACGGAACGTGACCACCCTTCTTGTTTCTTCTCCGTGGCAATGATCATGGTCTCTCGCTCAAATACCAGCGTCAAGGTGAGACACCGTTCCTCCACTTCCCCAGCCTTCTTTCTCGTTCTTCCTTCGTCTGGACTCCACTTTGTTTGTGCGTACCTCTCCTATCCATCCGACCTCTTTACCCTCTCTCCTTCTCACGTAGAAGTCGTGGTGGGCTGATCGCCTCTCCTCCGGAGGACGGCGACGCCCTCCAGCCCGTCTCGGCAGCGACAGTTACCCTGACATTTCAACTCTGACACTAGTCAATCCCCGCCCTTCCACTTCCAATCCAATCGCCACACATTCACTGGGCATCCGTCTAACATATCCATCTTTGGACCTCCATCGACACTCCAATCTCTTTCTAATATTCTATTCATCACGTTTGACATATCTTTTTTTACTGACGGTACACTTTCTCCTCCGATGCTGCTATAAAACCTCGACGAACAGCTGGAGTATACTTCCCCAACGCTCCACCTTCGAAAACTCAGACGCAGCCCGAGCTCCCTTTCGCAAGATCAGCAACTCGACTCATTTATCAAGAACGAACCACGCACCAGCCCAATCCTAGGTCTCGCACGCACACAGCGGAGACTCCATCAAGTTCGACATCACCCTTGGCTCGAAACATCTTCCGCGCAACTCATCTCCAAAATGGACCCTTCTGGATTCGACTTTGCCAGTGGTGACCTCTGGGCACAGCTATCGCCACAACAGCAACAGCAGCGCCAAAATACGCAGCACCGTCGATCTCAACAAGGTTTTGATTATTCTTCGGACTTTTCTCGTATGTCCTCCTATTTCTACCATCAGATTTCATATCTTTCTCACCATGGGGATCCAGAGGAGGCCAATTTCCTCTACAATGCAGGCCAGCAACCCGGTCTGAACCCGTACCCTCTTGTCTCACAAGGCATCGACTTGAATGGGGGTGAGTCTTTTCTTATTCATTTTAACGTTACCACCGCGGATATTGGCTGTTATGGGGGCTGCGCCGAGCGCCATTGAACCGCTTTTCCGCGACAAAGAGCGTTCCTCCGTCGGAGGGAGTGGACGCTGGTCGCTGCCTGAATTTAGCGCACATACTGACACATTTTGCTTTGCAGATCATATGATGGATCCTCGATTCCAGCAACAGTGGATGGAAGGATCTGGTGGCGCACTCGGCATGGTTCCTGGGCCAGGATACTCGCATTCGCATTCACATGGTACGTCGCGGGACCGGCAGACGGCCCCTTCTTCGAAAGATTATTCCGAGCTAATCAATATCCTGGGAAGCAGGGATGATGGATGCACAGATTCCATCACATACAATGGCATCTTCTCAATGGGGCGAAGGATACGTTCAATATTCGAATAACCCGACACACGGCACGCCGTATACTACCCAGAGCCACAGCCATCACCACAGCCAACAGCGGCAACACATTCCCCATTATTCTGGGGATATCGGCACATTCCCGCTCGTTGTGCCGTCATCTTCGAGTACGGACAACATGGACCAAGAGTGGCCACGCGACAGCCAGAGCCCTAGCCCTACGCTCTTGAGCTCGTCGCTCAAGAACGCCTTGCGCAACTCGTCTTCATCCGGCTCGAGCACAAACACGTTTGATGGTGTGCTCGGCGGTGGGGCAGAGTTTTCTTCCATTGCCGCTCGACGAGCCCACGTTCTCGAGTGGATGTCAAGGACGGCCCTTACACCACAACAAAGCGCGATTGCGCACGTTATCTTGACGTCCAAGTGGTGGGAGCTCGAAGAGCCAGAGCCAGAGGTCCGACACAACGATGACCTCGTCAAACGCGGCTTGCTCACGCACATTGGCGGGAGCCGTTTCCGCGCCTTTTTGGACGAGGAGAATGGATACAGGTGCACATTTGACCACGATGGCGCACCTTGTACGCACGGCAAGGGACGTACAGAGCGAGCGCTGGGGACGATTAGGGGCTTTTTCCGGTACAAGCCTGTCGTGTGCACGGGCGGTTGTGGAACACGATGGTGGGTCGTGTTTAGGTCTTGCATGGATGCTGGCTGACAAGTACAACAGCAACCAGCGGTTTGTGTCGGTCGAACAGTGCCAGAAGCACGTACAGAAGAAGCGGTCAGGGAGGGCGACGTGTCCTGACTGGTAAGCACAGCTTGGCATACGCAATGCATCACGCTTCTGACTTGTGGCTACAGTGGATCCTCCATCTTGCCTGCAAACATGAGTCGACACCGACGAGCATGTCACGTCCAAGAGGGGACATCTACGCGTCCACAATGAAGGCCTCACTCGTCTGATGGGCTCTGTCTCTCTCTCACCTTTCTTCACTTTTTATTCATCTTATGGGAGACGGACACCCTTCCGCCTCCCGCTTATTCTATGGACACGAGAGTGCTCTCGCCGTTCATGCTTCTGGGGTCCTTCTCTTCTTCATCTGGACTCTTTTTCTTTGGACTGTTCCTTGTTTACGATTCAGAACCATGTTTGCCTCGACGGCTTGCCACTCATTCCTCTACCTCACTCACTCTTATTACGCGCTCGCTCTCTAAACCCGTACATATACGCTGTTCATATATAAATCACAATTTCCAATGCCATTTCCTACGCACAGATTGATAAAGTCCCCTATGGGCATCTTCCAGTATGAACCCTCTTACAGAACTTGATCTGAACAAAGTTGAAAACACGAATCACAAATTCGCTCGTAGATTGTGGAACATTGACATTGCCAACAAACAATTGCATACAGGTACGAGTCGCCAGCAAGACTCGACCAGAAAACAAGACTCGGCCAAAGATGATTAGTAAACGAGCGTAAGGATACTCAAAGTGCTGGAGAGGTCCAATAGTGAGGCGAGTCTGGTGGCGGCGGCGATGGCGGCCATTGTCCGTAGAGAGAGGGTTGATGGAGATCCGCGAGAAACCAAGAGAATTGAACTTGACAGGAACAAAGTACGTAAAGTACTTTGTGGAGTGCATCGAGCCATGCTTGTTGCCCTTCTGCGCTGGCGCGAGGCGCAACAGGCGTAGGCGTCGTGCGATATTAGCGTCGACTTGGATTGGCTGGATCACTATAATCGAAAACGTTAGCATGCTCGCACATGGAGAAGTCACACTCCGATGCAATTGCATCCAAAGGTCACGCCCCCGTCTTCGATTTGGGCTTACCACCGCCAGTCGCCGTCGCTTGGTTGGAGGCGCCTCTCGTTCGTCTTCTTCCTCCCATGTTGAACCTTGTTCTTCCTGATCCGACTCCGACTCCCGTCGTTGTCGTCGTCGTCCACGTCGGTCTTGGCCTTGACAGAGTTGAAAGGCAAACGTCTTGCTGCTCGACTCGACCACCGCCGCGGCGGGCTGCGGCACGGCGCGAATAATGGGCCCTGTGCGAGTACCAATAGAGGATGTGTTGCTAGGCGAGACGCAGGTCGTCGAAAAAGTATTGTCGGCTTTGACGATTGAGGCGACGACGGGATGCCAGAGCGGAGGACGCTCGCTAAGCAGGAGATCGGGAGTTGGCGTTGCATGGCCGCCTTTCTTGACCCTATACCCAAGTGAGCGGCCGAATAGCCACGAGGAAAGAGGACGTACTTTGGTCGAGGGACCCCGTGAACTTTTTGCCTATGGCGCCAGAGATCATTGTTCTGATGGAATCTCCATGTACTACGAAGTCTAGTCAGCTATTCTGACTCGCCCTGGAACCAGACACTGAGCAGGACTCACCAGGGCTTCTTGGTCTGGGGATGGACCAGATCGCACCCTTTGGTTTTGATATCGAAATGCCAGTTCATGTGATACCACGCATCTGCTCTCCCTTTGACGCCGGACGTCCATTCGCACAGCAGGCAGACATAGTGCACCAAGTCGACACGACTTCCTCTCCCCGTCGCACAGGGGTCCGCCTTGAAGACGTACATCAGCTTGGAGCACACGTCGACGGGGAGCGGTTCGTTCGTAGCCCATTCGACCGACAAGAGCCCGTCAATGATTGCGTGTTTGATGTCCGCCGGCATATTTCCTTTTTGCGTAAGGGTGTCATATATCTTTTTTTGGCGGCCATCGAGTGTGCTCGTACGCGCCGCGGGGGTGTCGAGGACGACACTATTGATGGGCGTTGGCGTTGGATACCCGTCGGTGTCACTGCCGTTGTCGATTCCAGACGCGGGGGTGGGTATCCTGGCAAGGGGCAAGGGCAGGGACAAGGGAGAATAGAAGAGCGGATCTGCGGTGGGTGCGTCGCCAGCCGGCAGGAGATAGGGTACGCCGTTGCCTTGGGTGCACAACTGGGACAGCGGGTCTGGGAGCTCGAGCGGGATTTCACCATGGGTGCAGATCGTGTCCTGATACACGGACGGGTCAAGGAGATCCGCTTGAGGCTGTGGTGGTGGCAAGTACGAGGCTGGCGAGACGATAAAGCCTACAGCCAATGCGGTCAGAGACGCGTCCCTGTACGAGTTGTGCGATAGACAGAGCTTACTTCCGTTGTAGAAGCCCAAGAGAGGCTGGCGCCCTCCGTAGTATTGACTGTAGTCGTATTCTCCGATAAAGGGTGTCCATGAGGAGGCTAGAATGCGTCAGGAAATGAACGGCGAGTGTAGCAGAAGTAAAGTGTGACTGACGGTGGACGTCAAACGGGATATCGAGCTGGGGGTTGAACAGGGGAGAGTCGTTCAGGGGCGTCGTTGGAAAGGCAATCTCTGGCTCTGGGAGGGCAGGAGATGCAGGCATTGGGGGCTACAGAATGGAGGACAAGTGTGTAAACTGATGATCAGCAGAAAGGCTAGGAGGCGGAGGAGTTCAACGTTCGAGACCAAACAACGCGCGCGAGGCGCTGACCATCCAATTGTCGGATTGACATTTGAGCTATTCCACCTCGTAATTCCGTCTTCCCAAGTCCCCTGATCGTTTCTTGTCTCAGCTCGGGATTTTCCCTCTGTGTCCTGGTCACTTGGTCGCTTGTCCCGTCGCATTACACCACCCGCAGGTCAGTCTCCGGGCCAGTATGCATCCTGCCGTGTCGAGTACACAAAAAATAGCAGAATAATCCCCATCTGCATTGCCCAGATACAACCAAGAGGCGGTCAAGAGGTGGATACCACTTGCCATACAGCCCGACAGGCAGTCCATATAGCCCTCGACAGACTTTGGGTAAAGTGTTTATTTCAGAGCATTGCAAGAGTACAAAGGGTCAGGTAGATGAATCAATCATCAACACGATGAGAAACCGAGATTTAGAACGTGGCCGCCCAAGCGACCAGGTCTACGTCCTTCTTCTTAATGTCTTGTATCCAGACGTGATTCTACAGAAATTTCAGAACAAGTTTGACCATGGCTGACAACCAAACGCACCAATAGTTCCTTTGGAGTCGGCCGTGCATCTGGATCCTTGAGCAAGCACGAGTCTACAAACTCCTCACTCTCGACTGGGAATCGTCCCTCGGGTGTCAACCTCGGCGCAGGTTCGTTGACGATATGCTGCAGTAGCTCGAGGATGCTCATTGTCATTCCACCGCCTTGAAGACTAACACCTCTCGACTTTCGCTTGTCCTTTTATTCGTTTTCTATCAAAAATCTTAGTCACTCGACGTAAAATTATAGCAAGAAACGGTCCGTACCTTTGGCTTTTCAGCCCGCGACAGATTCATCTGCAGGTTGCCTGGTCGGCTGGGTGAGAGCGTTCCCTCGAGATCGGACAAGTCTGAATCATCCGAGGATGACTCTGAAAACGGGAAACGGCCTAATGCTAGTTCAATGAGAGAGATTCCCGTCGACCACACATCTGATTTGACTGTATACTGAGCACCTTGGATACGCTCCGGCTAACGAAACATTAGAGAGATATTTCCTAGTTGAATTGTGATGCGACGCACGCTCATATAGGTCGATGTACCCACAAACGTATCGGCAATCGAGTTGATGAGCTCGCCCGATACGCCAAAGTCGCAAATCTTGATTTCTCCGCTCGAATTGACCAGCATATTTGATGGTTTGATGTCTGCCTACAGTTAGCACATTCATCTATTCTAGAAACTGAGAGAATACCTCGGTGGATGATGCGATGGACGTCGTAGAGGTAGGTTAGGCCGCTGAGAACGGCGAATGCAATCTTGCCCACGACATCAATCGGAATAGGTCCAGTCTTTTTGTAGATTTTGTCCAATGAGCCCTTATCCATAAACTCGAGGCATATGCAAACGTTGGGATCCGTCACGAAAGCACCATAAAAGGAGACTATATGAGGATCATGGCACCCATGTAGAATATGGAGTTCCCGCAAAATCTGTTTCCGTACAGACGGCTTGGCGTCGATGAGGACAATCTACGAGGAATGAGTGACAGCTCCCTTGATGGGGTTCTACGGACGCACCTTTTTCGCCATTGTAGTGCCCGTAGGAAGATGGGTCACCTTCTTGACGCTGCCACCGTTTCCGCTTCCGAGGTCACCAATCTCTCGGAGATCGTCCGCCTTCATCGTCGTCTTGCCCAACGAAAGCGCCTCCAATTGCTCTGTCAATGCAGATTGGTAATTAGACCTTGATAGAATGAATCAGTCACACGCCACAGACGGTTGGGAACCCGAAAGTCCTTACCTAAATGGTGAGACGCTTCCGATGGTTGCTGTCCCAGGCGCACTACTTGCATTTGGGATAGTGAGCATTCCATTCTCGTCCAACACTGCTTTGCCCGCGTTGTTGCCATTCGTCTGCGCCTCCGCTCCCAGCCTGTCGTTTGAGGCAGCGGCGGCTGCGCTCCCTCCAACTGACTTGGCGCCCAAACTGAGCGGGACGGGTTTCTTCTTCTTGGGGCCCCCTGATGCACCAGAGGTGGCCTTTGACGCGACAGAAGGAGGGACGGCAGACGAGATGCTCGACGTACTCCCGTTGTGTGCAATCATCGACTCTGCATCGCTTGCTGGCGTGTCTGTGCCACCTTTGGCACCGAGTGAGAGCGATGCGGGCGTTGGTGCGGGTCTCGAGGCAACAAGACTGGGGCCGAGGATGGGTAATGGCTCTGGCTCGACAGGCAGCGGTGCAAGTGCCTTTTCGCTGAGACCGAGTCCCTTGAAGTTTCTCTTCTTGCGGATGGGCGTGGCCATGGTATTGCGCTGGGTGATCGCTGTGAGGTCGTGGAGAGAGACAAAAGACCGGGAAAGAGGAACAACGTTGATAGATGCAGAGATTGAGATCAAATTATTGCACTAAAGCACCGTCGAGAGCTGCGATTAGACTGAAACAAGGTGCAAATGGCCAGCTGTTGTCGCACGTCCTTCCAAGCAGATGCGCAAATAAAACAGTTTCTTCCGTTCGTCTATGCAGATTCCTACGCGATTAGACGTCGAATCAGCCCGTCGTTTGTGCGAGATGGATGCCATGAGCCTCGTACCGGACAGCTTACAAGACTTTGCAAGAGCTCAGAGTCGTCAAGGAATACTAGTGATGACTGTAGATGGTTTACGGTTGATTGTAGAAATCAACGACGGCGATGGTCAGGTTCACGACGTGTGCCACCGACTCTCCCGAGCTTTGGTATGGCGACCGCCAACGACGCGCGAGACGAGAACCGAGAATTTACCTAGAATAGCCAGTCTGACACTCAACCACTCTATTTTGTATAACAAAGATAACAAATGATGATGGGATTTTCGATGCTCAGAGGCATTCGACAGAGCCAACAATCACTACATTCGTAGTCGGTGTACGGTTCACGAATGACTTGGGATGCTCCTTGATTCCATACACTGGACTAGACGACAGCCGTACAAGCGGCTGAGAGTTGGAAATGTCAGCAAGTGGTTGGCTTGGGACATTTGTAGGAGCATGGACTTTGTGATCGCGATTGACAACATGAGACGCAAGGGTCGTTTGCATTTCCTTCATCCTCTTCGTCATGTCCTGATAATTGAGACGAAGGTCCTGAAGCAGGTCGTGCAGCTGTTCCATACGGCTATGCACATGTAGCGACGCATCCGGTGTGCCATTGGAAACAATGCCAGGATTCAACGGAGGACACTTGAGCATATCCAGGATGGATTTGGTTTGGGCCTCGAGAGCGGCGATACGGCCTTGGTGCTCGCGCAGCTTGTCGTCATTATGGCGTTGATTGTGAGCACTCTCGATTCGAATTTCGGCAATAGACTGGCGAAGGACTTCTTGAGACTTTTCGCTATGAGCCGCGAAGCGAATGTCAATCTCGCGCGACAGGTGTTCCCCCATGGCCTGGATGATGGTATGGAGCTGCGACTCCATATGTTGACTGTATGCTCGTTGGATCTTTGCAGCGGCTTCTGCAACATACTGCTTCTCATCCCAATAGGCTTGGATTCGGACGGCAAGTCGGTCACGAGCCCGGTCGGCGATTGCCTTGAGCACGTCGAGCTGCAATTCAATGAGTAAAGGATCACTTCTATGACGAATGACAGACAGAAATACGCTCCTTGATCTGCGCGTCTTCACAGGGCAGGAGAGTAGGAGACGCAAGAACGACATGAACACTGGGAGGGCCTTCATTCTTGCCCTCTTTGTGATTGTATAGGTTTGATCTATTCTCTTCGATCAGATGCTCAGGCTCTGAAGCTTTGCTGAGACCAAGAAGATGCTTGAGCGCATTGTTGTGGCGACGGCGGCGTCGACGTTTGCTGGCAGTCTCCTTGCACAAACAGTCAGCTGAACTTTGGGAGGTGATAAAGGACGGTACCTTGATGCCGTTTTCCTTGGAACTGTCGACCAAAGTCACCATTGTGCTCGCCATCGCTTGGGCCTCTGTTGCCACCACAGGTGATACTTGAGTAGAAGATTCGAATGGTTTGATATTTCGGGCAAGAGCGGCTTTGAAATCCATCGCAGGATGAAAATAAAGTGCAGGTAAGATAACAAAGGGCTGAACGCCAAAGTGAAAGTGAGAAACAAGTGGATACGTTGCTGAGAAGTGCAAAATAAAAGATGCAACGCAGTGGTATAGGCGGCGAGCGAGAGACGGGGAGTGAAACGAAAACGAACAATGTGGTCGAGGTCAAGCCTTTGTTCTGTTTGTAATGCGAGTTCTAGGGCGTTGAAAAGGCAGTTCTAAGTTGCTTGTAGAAGATAAATACAACGAATAAATCAACGTCAGAATCCCAGCAACGTAGTGCCACCGAGCACCATGGCCGTCCAGACAATCGTGTATGTGGCCCCCAGAGTAAAGATGCTAACCGCGACGAGACATATGTAGATCCAGGTGGCTGCCTCGGGACCAAGTAGCCTTCTGCGCGTGACCGGACCCAGCGAGTAAGCATCCCTGATGGCACGCTCCATTCCGGCTGACATAGCGTCCAAAGAGAACATGTCCCGAGCCCTGTTCTTAGCTCGCAGTGAGAGTGCAGAGCGAGCGGAAGGTGAGAGCATTGCGATAACAGCCAACGCCTCTGCCCACGCCTCGGGCGATGGTGATCGTAGCCAACCGGTTCTCGTAGACGATGATGTTTCTGCGCTGGAGGAGTCTACGACACTCCAGTCTGCAAGATCCACAGAGTTTCTGGGTTCATCGTCCACGACGCTCTCCTTTGGACCGCCACTGCGGCACGCCAGTACGGGTAGTCCACATGCCATTGCCTCTACGGGAACGATGCCGAAATGTTCTCCAGTCGGGGTATACAGTAATGCGAGGGTATTTTCGGACGTTAGGAGGAGACTGCGCTGGGCAGTTGTAAAGTTGGGCAGGAACACGACTTGCGCTGTCTCGAGTGACGACTGCGGGGAGATATCGTCTGGGATGAAAGGCGCACCCTTTCCTTCGTTGGTGACTGGAAAGAGACACCAGGACAGACCAAGCTCGCACGCAGTCCTCAGCAGTGCGTTGAGGGTATCGACATTGTCACGAACCCTGGAGTCGTATCCTCCAGCAATGACGAGACGAGCCTGAATATGAGATGGCTTGGATGACCGGCCAATGTGCTGGATGAATAGGGCAAAAGCCTTGAGTGCCAGTGCGACGTTCTTCTTTGCCTCGAAACGGTTTAGGGATATAAATGTCGGTCGGTCCCTAGGTATTTGTCAATCCAAGTCGTTGAGAAACTCCGAGACTCACGAGCGTAGTAGAGTAACCTCTCGCGGCTCATCTTTTGAGGCTGCAACCTCATACGCGGCAAGGTTGATACCGGGGTATATCACTCTAGGCCCGCCTTGCGAGCCCCTTTGTCCACCCGAGAGATTTTTTCCATCCTTGTCAAGTTTGATGGACGGAAAATGGCGTTTGAAAATCCTCGAGGTGAATAGCGAATTGACCAGGATAATATCTGCGCTTGCCGTCGTATACTCCTCTAGGAGATCCATTGGTAGTCTGTAGAGCCTCTTCAAAAGACCGGCATTGTTATGGAGAGGCTTCGGAGGGGAATCGCCGTCTTCCTCGATAGCCTCCCCGGTGGCGAGGAGTTTGTCAGGAAAATGGCAGTAGAAGACCACTCGCTTTGATGCAAAGAGTCGCAGCATTGGGATACATGTCGACAATTGATCGACAACAAAGACATCTGGAGTGCCGTCTGCTCTCAGCAGGTGCCACGTTAGATGCAACTGGCGTAGGTGTGCAAGTAAAATGTGTAGCTTTCCATGTATAGACCTCGGAAGGAAGAATGGGGGCTTGTATAAGACGACCCTCAGAGTACCTGGCGGTAGACGGTTGGTCAGGGATATTGGAGACTTGTAGGGTGAACATACCATCTCTTGTTTCGTCAAAGCAATGCGTAGGATCGTGATGAGAAGTGATAATGGACACGGAATGTCCTTTGTTTTGCAGTCCCAGCGCAGCATCGACGACCAGACGTTCAGCTCCCCCTATAGACCATGTTAGTGATCATTTGATACCAATACATGGCTGAAATCCTTGGTGGAGACCTGGTACGCACCGATTCCCAAGTCTGGATGGATAAAGGCGATCTGTAGCTTGTTTATCTCCGCCATTTTGAGCTTCTACTGTGCGAGAATGGTGATAATTATGCTGTTTCGTCGCGCAGAATGGACGCGGCAGGCGCTGAGCTGTTCAGACGAGTAGAGCCAATGGCTTTCCATCTTGCTCCTGACCACGACTGCCCTACTGCGAGCGTGTGTAACGTGCTAGCCACTTACAACAGCAGATAAACGTCTTTGTCACATCTACAAAAACTTGATCTTCGGATTTCTTGTCAATCCTTGACATCCCATTTTCCACCCAACAAACAAGCTTAAACATGGCCGAAGCAAGCAACTACGACTATCTCTTCAAGGTGTGTATCCCTCTATGTCTACTCCTCGTGCCGTTGCTACACACGGCGTGGCGTTACGGGCGTTCGTTGGCGCGTTTGCTGACGCCGGAGCTTGCAGGTCGTCCTCATTGGCGATTCTGGTGTCGGAAAGTCCAATCGTATGTCATATATTCTGCATACTACTATCGCTTGCTGCTTCCGGGCGGCAGAACTGACATCGTACGTGGTCGTTTTGCAGTCCTCTCACGCTTCACACGAAACGAGTTCAATCTGGATTCCAAGTCGACAATCGGCGTCGAGTTTGCTACTCGATCAATCAACGTCGACGGCAAGACGGTAAAGGCGCAAATTTGGGATACCGGTCAGTCCCACTTCCTACACCCTTCAAAGTGTCAATCACCTCTTCGACGCTCCCTGATGCATGACGCTGCTGTGGTAACGCTCAGCATTGGCTGGATTCAGAGCGCCGTCTTCTCACAGGGCGGTGTCGCGCTCAGTGGCGGACATCACAGCTCTGCTCTGCACCAATATCCGCCTCATTTCCAGTAGCTGACTTTATTCTCAGCCGGTCAGGAACGTTATCGTGCCATCACTTCTGCATACTACCGTGGTGCGGTTGGTGCTCTCCTCGTCTACGATATCGCAAAACACTCGACCTATACCAACGTCACCAGGTGGCTAAAGGAGTTGCGAGATCATGCGGATTCGGTGAGTATCCGAGGCGTTCTGCTTCATTGTGGCTCAAGCGCGCGCATATAGAACATTGTGATTATGCTCGTCGGTAACAAGTCAGATCTCAAGCACCTCCGAGCTGTCCCAACAGACGAGGCAAAAGCATTCTCTGCGGACAATGGCCTTAGCTTCATCGAAACATCTGCCTTGGATGGTGGAAACGTCGAAGCCGCTTTCCAGAACATTTTGACAGGCACGTACTCCTGTTAATCATGGAGATCATGATTGTAACCTTACATACCAGATATCTATCGTATCGTATCCAACAAGGCACTCGAGGCGGCTCCGGATGTCATCAAGCCCTCTGGCGGCGAAAGCATTACCATTGCACCATCGTCCAACACCAATGCCAATGAGAGTGGGAAATGCTGCTAGACGGATGTGTTTGGCGAGCCGCTGGGGTTTCCCCGTCGTCACCCGGCTCGACGTAGCAGGTCTGTCGAGTCCGATGTCGACTCCCTATGTGTCTCGTTGGGATCCGTTTACAATGACTTTATGACCTTTCGTTCCCGCCACGAATACAATCAGAAGGCGGTGGTCTCGAGTTACCCGGCATTTGTCTACAGTGTATACGCTATATATCCATTCCTTGACTTTATGCTCTTTGTGAGAATCTGGGCTGATTGCACTCGGAATCGACTCGTTCGAACTGCACCTTACCCTTGAACGCCAGCTGCACGTCATCCTTCGCGGCTCTTTCATGACTCTGACACACGTTTCTAAACAGATTCGAGACCTTTTCGACTCAATTCAATGTCATTACCTGTCGATTATAGCCAGAACAAGTATCTGGCGGTTACGTTTAAGCGCGACGCCTCGTATATCGCCACCCCAGAGACTTTAGCGCTACAACCGGCACTCAACGAGCTCGTTTATGTTGGACAAATCGGCCAGTTGCGCGATGCACATCTGTATAGCATTCCGTTGTCGAAGTGGGATGAGTTCGACTTATCGCGGCTCAGAGAGGTACAAGGAGTAACTTATGTCTCGATTCAAGAGCCGAAGATGCGGATGAAGAGGACTGACGATCTCTAAGGCGATAAGAAGACGGCGCACATACATAGAGCGTAACCATGCCTAGCTCAGGTGAGCCATGGTCAACGGTTCTTATCCAGTCGTATTCAGCTACTGACTAGACGATATCACTAGTGACCAGTGGCCGCACACGCGAGGGTCCAGCAACGACCCCAAACCGAAGCTATACGGAGTAAAACCATCTCATCTCTCTCCTGTGCTCTATCTATGGTGGTATGCAAGACGTATAACTGTCCGTCTGATCGAGAGATAAGTCGACAGCAGCCGCTCTCCGCCTCATCGAGGTGGACCCCATAACTGCGCGCGCGTGGTCAAATTAGTGCAATATCCCCCACCACTGACAGGTATAATACATTCTCTCATATCGCTCCTCCGCCACTAGTCTCCCACACGGACTCTCGGCAGCCAATACAACCGTCGCAGCTCTGGCTCTGCCCTTCCTCCTCCTGACCTGTCGGCAAATCAAATGATATTCCACAGATCCAGGAAATGGGAACCTCGGCCATGCTCGCGATATATACCACGGACGGACGGACGGACTGGCTGCTTAAGGCGCGACGCGCCGGAAGGTCCGAGCGCGGTTTCGATTCGACCTTGGCCATGACGTGTGGGTGCTTCCTCTTGCGAGCAACCGTCTGATGGAAGATAGTATCCTCTCCATCTGTATTTGCGCGCGTCAGCATCCGAGGATGGGGGCGTCCAATGGGTGCATGGGTGGCTGGGCTCATGGTTGGAAGAGCACCTTGTCGCAAATTATTCGCAATATCTTACTGTCAAGACGCACCACCGGCTCTTCGCATGCCGATCTCTGTATGCCGTAAGCCATGCGAGAATGGCCAAAGTGGCGAGAGGGACCAGGACGTGTCACGACGCGAATTACACGCCTGTCATCGCCCCCCGTGACCGATTTGGAGCACAGTGGGTAAACCAATCCTGAGCGGTGCCAGGAACTGACGCTCTGAAGGCACCCCGCTTCGGAGGCCTGGCTGCTTCCTGTCTAAATGGGATGCGGTTCGTATATTACGGCGGCAGTATAAGTCTGAGCATCAGCGTATCAAATTCGAGAGCGATGATCGCGGAGACCTTGGTTCACCGACGCGAGCGCAAGACCCTTTCTCTTTGTCCAGTCTAATGGACAGGCAACGACGTATGGGGACACACGAACGTGGAAACAGGAGTTAGAGAAGTTGGATCGGCTCTTGGATGCTTTAGACGCTGTCATGGTACCATTACGCTCGTCGAGGCAAGCCGCCTTCTGGACTTCTCCCGTTGTCAATGTTCACTAACCCCATGGACAGCAGTCCCTTTTCTTTTGTTCGCTACAGGAGTGTATGGACGGGTTCCATATCGCCTGTCAGTCGCGTTCAGCGATCGAGCAAGCCAGCTTCCACCGAGTCAAACGCCGCGTCTTTTCCACTCGATCGCCACCTTCCCCAAAGTCATTGACACATTCTACGTGGAACACGACCCTTGTCGACTTAACCATCGTCCTGAACGCCATGACCGTGGGCCCCGACTGTGGAACGATGGGTAGACGGGATCCAGAAACACCACCCTTTGACGATAAGCGGTTATGTGCATAACCATCTTGTCCGCCGTCTGCTCCGCTTCCGCTCTGATGCAGGGTTGGAATCGCAATCCTATCTGTCGCATCGGCAGGGATGCGCATTTCTTCGCCTTCTGAGCGCGGCACGATCATGATATACGCAAGCAAGCGACAACGACAGCGCCAACGACTCGACTCGGTGCGAAATCGACTTATTGCGACGGAACATAATCTTTAAACAACGTGCGATAGGAGAATTCTCGCACTGCACAGTATGGCACGGCCAATCTGCCTCTGACACCACGGCGCGAGTACAGCCGGAATTTCTAATTTCTGATAATGTTTTTGATGGCGTCATCCAAGGCCAGAAAATAGCGAGGGATGCGACGTGAAGCGAGTGCGCGCTCGTCCCGCCCGCTGGGAACTTCGGTAGTAGATGGCGGGCAGACCGGATTATGTTGAGGCAGCCAGAAGTAAGGAAAGAAGGGATATTTTCATAGGTCTTTTTCGATTGTACATGTCAAGTCTACGATAGGAGCCGGGCAGAAACCCCCCTCGATCTGCCGCGGGCCATTGTGGGGAGATTAGTAGTCCATGTGGAATGTGGAATCTTTGCCAGCCGGCACACACCATGGTCCGAACAGCGCCAATAGACAGAGAGCGCGACGAGGAACTGGGAGTACAGAGCGTCGAGATGAAACCTGCAACGGTATCAACACCCGTCGTATAGTTTCAAATAATTATAGCACTAGATTGCTGTTGCGACAAGTGAAAGAAGGCGGCGTTGCCATAAAAGAGCAGTGGATTGCCGATTTGGGTCAATTGCCCTCTGCAGACGGTAGTTCTAGAATGCATGTCAAACGAACGACGAGATGAAACATGTCAACCTGTAATTTGCTTTGAAATTTCCTTCAGGTAAACCTGTCCTGGGTCCTGCAAGAGGGAGCGTCGACTAGCCATTTCCGGTGCGTCCTCCGATGCCCAACGCCAACCCCATATGTGGAGGCGTCGAGAGCGCGCAGGAGAGGTGCATGCGAGAGCTTGGAATGGATTCTATCATGAACGGAGCCGAGAGTCGCCGGGTCGCCCCCCCCAAACGCCAGAATCTAGCTTGCTCGCTGGCTGGCCAGCATCGTTTCCCCGGGGGAGGCAGAGGACCCATGGCGTGGAGCGCCTTGTACGCGTGGAGGATGTTCTGGTTGTACATACCGGAGCCGGGCTGTCTATCGCTCTACCTGTGCCAAAACGAGGGGTGGAAGGGGAGGTGGGCGAAAGGCATCAATGTCTACAGACCTACCTAGCTTACTAGGAATTAGTTAGTGGCCACGCGGCTCGAATTCTTGGATGGCACGAGGCTAACGATGTTAGCCAGTGATCAGACTCAGTTCCCCTTTTCTCCAGAAACAGGCCAACATGAGCGTTTGCCACTGTAGTAGTATGAGAGGTTAACTTTTGGGGGATAAGTATCCAAATTGGCAGCTTTGAACCGGGACGAGGGTATAACCCCTCCCAACTTTGGCAATCCAACACAATTTGGGTTCCGCGACCGTACCGAATTAGGTGTGCGCCAATATCATGTCTGCACGCGTCATCGCCACATTTCTGACCGCCTAACTTCGTTTCCCCCATCGCCGACGAGGTGTCTGCCTGTCCAAGTGCCCGCGCACTTGTCTTTCCAAGTTGTTGTCGTCGTATATCATCCAAACATCTTGTCCCCATGTTCCGATGGGTCTTCTCTTTATGGCGAGAGGGAGCTTTTGCGTCGCAAGTGGGATTACCGTTTTGGGCACCCTTGTACTTTGTCGCGAGCTTGGGAGACGGATAATGTGGAGGCAGTGATGAGATAACTTTAGAGAGTTAACTTCGGAATGTTATGGTTCACATTGACGTCGTGTTCGTTGTCATTGTCGGCGTCGGAGAGCCGGTCTAAGAGGGGCCTCCTATTCCATGGTGGCGGACGGCGGAAAAGAAGATTGAATAGGAAACCGGCGCAAGCAGTGTAACGTGCAAGTTGAGAGTGACAACTCTAGTGGATCGTTGCAGGGACAAGTGGGGGAAAGCGACTAGCTAAGGGATGAGGCTACGGATGTCACCGCCGCCGCCGAGGAAAGGAGGTGTTTTGTCAGTGAATTGGAGGCTGCTAGTCGAACACTATGTTGTGATCGTGTGGTGGGTGGCGCTGCCCTTTTGATGAGCACGGCTTGCCTAGTTGGGGGGAGGGAGGGTGGAGGGTTCCGTAGTTGAGAAGGTGCGCAAGGCTAGTTATTGTTATGGGTGCTGTTGTAGTGTTTGAGAATATAGAACTTGATGGTGGTAGCCTTGCCAGTACGCGGGTATACCTCCTCCTTAGCGGCTGTTGTTGTCTTCCATCAAGCGACCTCGCTCTCTGCACCGCATCGAGAGGAAGAGGGAAAGAGAGAGAGAGAGAACGGTCGTTCAAACATGTTTCACAGGATATTTGTGGACTGTCGAATGGCAGGCTATAGTGCCCCTATCCGACTAAGAGCGCGTGCCTTGGACAAGTAATGGAATGTGGGAATCATGCCCTCGAGCAAAGTGTGAGAAAGAGGTAAACGGCGTAAAGACAATGATCGAAATCATTGACAGCAGCCGTTGTCTAATCACCGACGACGGGTCGAGCGGAGCGAATGGGACGAGGGGCGCGCCTTCCTCTTTAGTCCTGGTTCCCGGCAGCTCCGTTTTGATGGACAACCAAGTCGTGACGGCCAGCCTAGTCCTCGATAGTCGAACAATTGCGTCTTTTTGACAACTGCAACTAACTCGACCCGCAGGCAGAAGTCATCGACCCGACCGACCAGACGAGCCAGACGTTGGCCCATCCTCTCCGAATAATCGTTTTTTTCATATTCGAAGGACCGCCGCCGCCGCCGTATGTTTGAAACATTTCGAATAACTCTCGCCAAGCTCTCGAAAAACTCTGCGGAAATATGTGCAGTGCGAGAGGAAAGAGAAAGTAGCAAGCTCAGAAAGATTTAGAGACGCTTTATACTGGACCAAAGTAGGAGGGTGTGGCGGCTTTTTGTCATCCGTTTATGGTTACCGGGCGAAGAGAGAAGCTCGGATGCCTGGCGCATACTTCGATCCGAACCCAACGTGTGCCGTATGCAGGTGTGCATAACGTCTCCAATGACGATAATCAATGTCACGGTCTAGCCCACGCCTCGCTTGGGATGCATACGTTGCAGCTCGGGTACTTTTACTTATCTCTCCTCAGGGGCTTTCACGCCGTGACTGCTCCCTAGGACGGCGAGCCAATTGTCGAAACTATGCGTTTCTCCGCAAATGCAACTCACTCTCACGTGCCGGAGCAACCTCGAGCTCTTTGGATAGTCTCAGAGAATGAGGATTTGGCATCCATGCCCATATCCTTCCGCTCTCACGATAACCAAAAGCACGTCATGGGGCATATCTTTATCTAAAACGTGTAGATAAGTCGATACTCTACAAAAGTTTTGCGACCGGGCCTGCCGGTAACGGTGCGAATGGTCCTGTGCAGTATAGAAAAGTCAGTTGAAAGACCCATAGCAAGTCAGATCATTTATCTGAAGGGCATACAGGTTGACCCGCCATATTCCGCATATACCGATGTTAGTAGAGACACCGATGCGAATTCAAGAAGCTATCCATTCCTGCGGTCATATTGACCGCATGCATGCACGAAATAATCCCTCTGGCTATGTGTTTGCTCTCTGGCTGCCTTTGAAAAGCCATGGTCGCAGGCAAGGGTGGGTCATGGTACTGAGACCCGACCGCTTGGACTCTACGGGGTCCTCTTTCTCTCGGATCATTCGAGGCTTCACATCAGATCCTCTTAGGGTCGTAGCCTACCCTGGATAGACATCCAGCCCGTCCGAATAACTTGGGTAGACGATTCACTCAATCACTTCGCGTACATCTGATTCTCTTGGGATCCCTTATCCCAAGGGGGAAAAAAAAACTGAAAGAGTTACGTCAACGCTGCGCGACTTGAGATTCACGTTCGAGATCTCAAGATCCGACGCGGGCACTATGTCTCAACCGTCCTCAATCATCTAAAGGGGCCTGATCAGAGGAACCGACAAGTGATTCAACATTAATATCCGACTTAGCATCCAAATTTTTACAATTCCGCAGACGAGCTGTATCATAGGCGCTCTGGAAACTCCGATCCAGCGCTCGATTCCGGCGCTCGTGCAGCGTACATCTCGACATCTCTGTGCCAACGTATGACGAGCAAGTTGGAGCGGGTACCCCGGCGCTAGCCCATCTTCCATCCTCTGGATATCCCCATAGCGCGCACCATAAGACGTCGGAAAGTAACACTTATGATCACAGTTGTTGATCACCAAAATGGACACTGGCTCGATCGCCCCAAAGGCCACGGTCAGCCCAAAAGTGTGTGGCTCGGGAGGCGTACTGTGTTGAAGGATGCAGGCGAGAGCTCTATCCGCCCCCATGGTCTAAGCTCACACATATGTCATTCCACACCCTCGTTCAACTCACGCTTCTTTCCAATGGCCGCATAGAGTGTCCAGGGGGTGAATGCGTGACTCTCGCTGGTCAGGAGGGGGAACGGAAACCCGCGATCAATTTGCGTCCATTCGATCACATTACGCGCAGCTGTTGGGATTGTAATTGGACACCCCCTAAGGGGACAGGCTCGTGATGCATCTCGTGCAGAGTCGCCTGTCTCTACGGATACGCCCTTGGACGGGTATATAACGTGACCTTTTGGGATAGTTATCCACATGAGCCGCCGCATTTCCCTGTACGCGTTACACAGGATATGTAGTAATGGGCGTCGATTGGCGCAAGCCCAAGGTGGCGAAAGAGGAATGGAATGTCCATTACGCCCATTTTCTATTATGATGACGCCCAACTATAGCGTAATCCAAGCCGAGTAACGTGGACGGGCTCAGATTCCAAAGAGTTTACTGACCAGGCGCCCATTCTTGAGGACGAGGATAGAAAATTCCCATCAAGACAAACCTCCACCTGAGCCAGAGGATGTGGTCTATAAAAGCCCAGATGCATGTGGGGGGCGCGGGGAGGCGAACACTGCGCCACGCTCTGTTTGGCTTCGAAAGAGGTCCGTGGGCTCAGAGGCAGACGGCCCGATCTCATCGCGCCCTAGGGAATAACAATGTAAGATCTCCGGGTCTCGTCCCGGGGGGGATGCGTAATTCTGTGGGGGAGGGACTGTTCTTTTCGCCTCTCTAAGAGGATCTTATGCTCTCGGGGCCTCTGTCGTGAGTGGAGACGATGGATGGACATTCCAAAGAGCATGTGACCGTAGAAGCTGGAGGAGGGGGGCGATGCGGAGATTGAAATGAGTCCCCAGCTGGGACCTATGTCGTCGGGTGGCGAGATTGTGCGCCCATCGTCGGTAGCTGTATTCCAGAGGCGAACAGCGCCAGTCGGTACGCTCGTCGTTGGCTGACTCTAGTCGAGTGGGAAAACCCCCCTGCAGACATCCTCCCAAGACCGAAAGACTAGATTGCTGAAATGTAAATGTAAAAAAAAAAGTGCCCAGTGGCCGTCGAAAAACAAGGACTCCCAAGATGGGAAAACTGAATGTGCATAGAGTCGCGGGGGGACGGGACCTATTAAAATAATTAAATAATTAAATAAGAATCTCGTAAATATTGTGTAAAATGTATTTGCTAATGGACAGACACAATATATAACATTGCTGTCCCTCTCGTCTCGACCGCCTTTTGCACATCCCGGTCTTTGGCTTTTTCTGCACTGTTGGTTTCTGCGCTGACCAGCTAGCTGTTGGGACTGCTGGGCTGCTCGTCTCGTCTTCTCGCTTTGCTTTCTGAACCGACGACGGGCTGCTTTTGCGCTTTATCCATCCATCTTCAATGCCGCCCCGACGTAAAGTACGCCGAACATCGTCGCTGCCGGGACTGGGTAGGAAATATACAACCTGTATGAATTATGCTAACTCGGTTTTCCAGCATCAGACGATCCCACTGGTCTATCCGCCGTGCTCGGCCACCCTCGACTTGTCCCCCAGGCAGCTGCACAGGCAGCAGCAGCCACTCCAGCGCCTCGAGCGCCTGTGAGCACCACAGAGGGCTCTAGTATCCCCCAACCTCCGATCCTTACTGGCCCCTATGCACCAGGTCCCGTCCTCCCAACCCCGACGGTGCCCCCGCCCGCGTATTCGTTTACGTTTACGACAAATCTCACTCCTACTACATTCCAGCACGCAGACAAGTCGAAACCTCTGAATCCAAACAATGGAGAGCCCGACAGCGCCGCCTCGCCCGCAAATTCGACGTCGAGCGCGTCCAGGAAGCGCAACGCAGACGCTCTCGACGACTTTTACACAGAATCAGCACCAGTAGCGCGCAAGGACAAGCGCGAAAAGGACGAGGATGACGCCAAACCGGCCGCGTCTTCGTCGTCGTCGCGCAAGAACCAAGAGGGTCATATTCCCCGTCCACCAAACGCGTTTATTCTCTTCCGTTCTGATCTCGTGGCGCGCAAGGCCGTCCCTACCTCGCTCGAAGCTGGTGAGTCGCGCCGGTCCCACCTTGCTTTGTCGACCTCCTGTGATCACGCGGTGATTTCTAATGACCCCTAACAGACCACTCGACTATTTCAAAGATTATTGGCGTCTGCTGGCGTACGTTACCCGCCCGCCAACGCAAGCGATGGGAGCAAAAGGCCCAAGAGGCAAAGGCCCTCCATAAGGAACGCTACCCAGACTATCGGTATACGCCCGTCCATCGCAAGGGACCTCAGCGCAAGAAACCAAAACGTGAGCAGAAAAAGGACGACAAACGCGCAGAGGAACTCGCCCAGCTCTTGTTGGCTGGCTCAAAGGGCGACGATCTCGAGGCCCGCGTCAAGAAGCTCGACGAGTCCAACCCAGACACCTATCAGACTACTCTCAATTTTGGCACAAATTCCTCTGCAAATCTCCACTCGGGACCCCAGCAGTTTACCTTTGTCCAGGGGTTCCCCGCTGCGGGTCATACCATTGGTCTCCCTGTCGCTCCGCCCTATGTCGACTACAACAGCACTGCTCAGCCTGCGACAACTGGTGGTCGTCGTCACTCGTCTGCGCCTCCTCCAGAGAATGTTTTGGCTCTTCGAGTTCGACGGCCTCGACACCCCGTACCCCCGCCCGCGAGCTCTCCGCCCATCACTTCCCACTCACCGGCGGCGATCCAGCTGCTGCCATCAATGACGTTCCTCTCTCGCGAATCGCCCGCAAGCTGCCCACAAAATCGACACACCACCTTCAACCACATCATTTCCATCAAGAGGCCCAGCTCACCGCCGCCGCCGCGGCTGCTGCTGCCTCGTCGTCGTCGGGCTCTGGATCGAATGGTAAAAAGATCAAATCTTCCCTCGCAAAGGCTGTTCGCTCGCGAGCCCAAGGCTTTGGTGCACCCCAGCCAGCCTCGGAGCGCGATCAGCTCTTCATCCAAAGCCACTGGACAACCGCGGCCATTTCGGGTGACGCAGCAGGAACAGGATCAAATGGGACGAGCAAAAAGAAGAAGAAGAACAATGGACTGTTGGGCGGCATCCCGCGCGAGTTGATGCTCCCGACCTGGGACCTCAACTCGAACGCCAACGCCGCAAACAACACTAACGATGCTGGTGATGCTTCACCGACATTTACTGTCCCCGAGTATGGTGCTCCAGAGCCCTACTCGCCTGCGTTCCTCACTGGCTCGGACGAAAAGTATGGTGGCCATTTCGTCGTCGACGACGCGACTGCAACGCCACCAGAACACCATCCGCTTGCTTATCCCATGGTTCATACCGATCCACTTGACCCGACCAATGCACTCGGCGGCGTCGACAACATGGGCCACCTCACTGGCATGGACATGAGCATGCTCTCATTTGACCATCCAACGATGCCACAGGGTCACCCGACCGATGGTATGATTGGAGGCACGTACGACTTGCTCGGCTATCAAGACTATGCCCTCTCCGGTCTCGATGCAGATGGAAACCCACTCGAGAGCTTTAATGGTGACCTCAATGGAGCCATGGCCGCCTTTGGTTCTCATACCTCTGGTCTCGTCGCTCCAGGCTCTGGATTCGACTTTGCGGATCAGTTTGGCTCCTTGGGTGTCGATACCGAGGAATATGTGCGTTTTTTTTTTCGTCGACTCTAACCTTTAGCTTTACTGATTTTTATTGTGTTAGGGATACCCCTACTATGGTCAAGCCGACTTGGGATCCGGACCTGGTTCCGCGCATAGCACATCCCCCCACAACTCGGATGCAGACGACGCAGCGGCGTATCACCCATACGATGTCCCTGGAACACTCGCAATGTCGGCTCAGGACCCACTCGGCGCCATCGCATTTGGCAGTCCACGTGTGTCCGCTACAGTCTCCGCTCAATCAGCTCCTGTACACCACATGCCTGCACCAGACTGGAGCGCATTCGAAAACAATGGCATCAACCTACCGCCCGCGCCCGCCGTTTCCGTCGATCCGCTCGACCCTCTGGACGCTCCGCCTCCACCGAATACAGGTAGCAGCGCATCTGCATCGCCTCATCCTCCTACGATGACACAATCAAACGTGAATGCGTTTTCAGCGTACAGGAGTGCCCCGACGAGCGAAGTTGGTGATTTGGATTACCAGGATATGCACATGCCACCGTCGTATGCAACTACGACCGCATCCAATGGTCAACAGCAGCGACAGCAGCAGCAACTGAGGCTGAATACGCATTATGTGCACCAAGCACCCGGAGTCTACTCTGCGACCGCAAGTCCCGTGGTGGAACATATGGGACATTTCACAATGCGACCACCTGTTCAACAACCAGCTCCTGGATCAGCTGCGACGACGTCCCCACTCGTGTACACCGTCCAGCATCCGCAGACGCCAATGAGCGCAATGGGCCCTCCCCCATCGCCAATGCATGCGCATCCAATGCAACAGCACATGCACGCTCACTCTCATTCGCTCACTTCGGTGGGACAAAGCCACCAGCGCCAAATGAGCGGCGTCTTGCACACCCACCACCCGTCGCACTCGATTGAATCCTTTCACGAAATCCTGCCGCCGACGGCTGGAACACCAGTCGCGAGCGGTCTTGGAGGACAGTGGGGGGAATGGACACATCCAGATCCATTTGGCGCACCTGCTGGTGCAGAGTCGGTGACGCAGGAAGGAGCTAGTGCCATGAGCGGTGCCATGGATCCTCTTGCTCGCCATGGACATCATCCACATGCCATGTCCGTCTCGATGACAAACGCCTACCACGGCGTGTAGATTGGGGAAACAAACCGGAACAAACTGGAAAACAAAGACTCGGAACAAATCATCTATGCAACTCTTGTTTTTGTCGTGCAATACTCTTCGCAATCTCGCCTCGCCCCGTTGGCAGTCATACACCGTTATCACTTTTTCTTGGGAACACTCTTCGCTTCCTGACCCAAGTCACTCCTAGTTGGGTGGGAGAGAGGAGCCGGTGGACGACTCTCCTTTGTTCTCGATATATACCGATCGCACCACGCGATTGATCTTTTACGACCTGTCATGACCAATTCTGCGAGTCTCCCTCGCCGTACCATAATCGACCAAGACGGACCCGACGACGAAGAAGGCCTTTCTCCCTCGGCATTGTCGAGTCTGTCAACATATTCAAACCTATGGACACTGGAGCACCTGTATATCACACACACACACACACCTCTTACTCACCGCTCGCCCACCCGACATCAACCCGAATCTAGAAACCAAAGCGTGAAGAAGAGGAACTGTACGAATCGGAGGAGAAAACTACCACACAGCCTCTTTTTGTGGATGGGATCGGGAGATGCGCCCGTAAACCAACACGGATACCCTCGTTTGAAGCGACGCTAGTCGTCGCGTCTTCACTCTCTATCTCACACTCGTTCTAATCGAGACCCCTGGAGATGTTTATAGATGGACGGTAGACGACGCGCTGTTGACGCTCGTCCGCTGTCCGAGTGACCCACCTCGTATGCTCTCCTTTGCGACTTACTGTCCTTTCCCATACCGTAACGATGCCTTTAAACGTCATTTCTCCGACTCGGACGTTCCTCTTTCCGACGTTGATTCCGAGCTGGCAACTGTCCCCAGCCTTGGAAACCTTCGTCAGAGTATATCTCCACTTGTCTGGCCTGTCTTCATTGTCGTCTATTGTCGTCTTGTATTGTCTTCTGTAACCCCCGTCTTATTTTCTTTGGAATCACACCGTCTTCGACCATAAAGGCTGCGGCTGGTTCAGCGTCTGTCCTGTCCGGGGACCGTTATATTACTGCCCTGGGCTGGTCCTTGGCTACTAACTATCTGCTCTGATGTTTCCCCTTCCCTGGGAGCTCAATCAGCTCATTGTCGACAACCTCTTTGACGATCCAAGGACCCTCCGTGCGACGACGCTCGTCTGCAAACGGGCTGTGCCGTTTGCGCGCCGACACCTGTTCTACACCGTCACCATCAACTTTGACAAGGACGGATATCATCGCTGGGAGAGATTCCAGAACGTCATCCGCTGCTCGTCGTTTGGAATCGGCGAGCATGTTCGCCACTTGCACGTGCTGCGAAGCAACTATGCCTGGTTCAGTCAAAATACTTGGTCATTTGTGACACTACTTCCTATTCTGCAGGAACTCACAATCGAGAGTGCAGATTGGACGGTTTGGCATCCATCCGACAACGAGAGCCCGCGCCAGCTGCCTCTGGCAGTTTCGGCGACGGCTACAGCCAACGCGATGCGCATGCGTACTGTCACCAAGCTCACATTGAACGGTGTCACTTGGAGGACGTTTGAGGAGCTTGCTCTCTTCCTCGTTCGCTTTCCGGACCTGGCTACATTAGAGTTGAAGCACTCTGCCATCGGCCAAGGCGCAACATACTATCCCTCGACTGTGTTTCGGTCTACTTCCCTACGAAGTTTACATCTCGAAGACGTCGACAAGGATATTGTCCTCAACTGGTGGACAATGTTCCCTTCGCCACCCGCTTTGAGGTCACTGAGTCTACGCAAGATTAGCCTTCAAGAAGCAGACATCGTCGCATGCGTTTTAAAGCTCTTGGGACACTCGTTGCGATACTTGGACATCAGCTTCCGCGTCGACGGTAACGTGTGCGAGAGCGCTGGTACGCCTCTGCCCATTTGATCTCATGTTCCTATCCCTGACGAGTAAGATAGCCAAGATAGACCTCAGGCACAATACCAGTCTACGCACTTTGGTATTTGACGACTGGTCCATGAGTGGATGGGTTCCTCGTGACTGGTGTCCGCAAATCATCCGCACTTTGCGCTCCACGCAGCTCGAGAGAATAGCATTCTACTACCGCGCTCAGGCGACGTTTGTTCTCCCCATTGTCGCCTGCGGGCCGATGCTCAACAAGCTGTCATTCCCAGCCCTCACCTCTGTGGGCTTTGTGAACCGCACACCTTGGGATGAAAAACAAGAACGACAAGAGCTCATCGATCACCTACCCGACCTCGCCACCAGAGGTTTACTTGATTATCGTGCGGAGAGAGAGGGCATGGCAAAGGGCTTTCCATGGGGACATTTCATACATTGTGCGCTCCCTCCTTCTTTTTAAGCATGCCAAGTATACGTTCGTACCCCTCTTTGACGCTCTGGAAAGTCTCTTCCAGTTTGTCAAACTGCTCCTCTTGCTCTAGTTGCATCAGCGTTTCCTTTGATTGTCAGTCGATATCTCTGGTAAAAGCTACGAGCTGACTCACAAAGTTGAACGCCTTGAGCCGTGCCTTTACCTGCAGCCGAAATGCTCTGTGAGCAGCTTCGTCGGTCTCGTCTAATGCACGCAGGATGAGCATTTCGATCAAACGCTCATACTGCCTCTATAAACAGATCTGATCAATGCACTGTCCTCTACTCGTATTCAAACCTACCTTGGCAAACTTGAGCTCCTTTCGCCAACGCTCTGCCCACTTGGGTTTTGTCGGTGGTCCGAGCATCGCGACTTTGCTCGATCTTGTCCCACTTCGCTCGGCTTTGTCCACTTCGGTCGGTTGATCCGTATCGTTCTCCTTTCCTGTGCTACTTCTTTTTACAGCTCCTCGTCTAGAGACTGTGAGCGTCCCATTCGGACCAGTTGTACCATATGCTTCACGAATAAACTCTTTGTGAGCGAGGAGAGTGCGCATGTCGACCTTGTCTCGCAGGTCTTCAAAGTCTTCGCTCGGATCTTCGACTGTTAGCTCTGCAAACCGAGGTGATCGAAGCACAAAGTTATGAATGGCCTTGTAGAGTGCAGCTGCCAAAATCAACGTCAACTCTGTGTTATACAGTTGAAGAGACATACCTCCATGTCCTTTTTTCTGGTATGGGCCAAGAATGACAAACTGGCTGCTCAATGTCAGCCCTTTGCGCGCCCCCAAGTGGGAGCTGTATACGGACCTCAATCGTAGTCTGGTACTTTCTGGATAAAAGTAGAATGGATAAAGTGAAGAGTAGCCGACGAGGTGGTACACTTCTTTGCCATCTTTTCGTTTTCGCTTTTCAAACCTACAGACGTCAAGACCCGATACCGCACGAGCGATGCAATACGCACAGTGTCACAAACTCCCATTTGTCGTCGTCTTCTTCAATATATGAACCCGCTTCAATGTATAGCAAAATGAATATTTGCATTCGCCGATGAAACTCGACAAAGCCTTCCCGCTTGAAGTTGGCCTTGCAACTGGTTAGCTCTGCCCAGATGAGCAATCAATACTCACGTGATAGACTTCGTATACGACTGCATCCTCGTCTCCTTCGTCAATCTGTCTTGTTCGGTCGTCATCTGTCCGCTTCAGTTGCCCTATCGCAATCTCTCTCGGATCCTTGTTCGCCGACTTGCCGTCTCCTCTCTTGCGCACGTAGGAATCAATCTTGTCTCCAATAGGTTTGAACGTCGTGGCGTCCCTTTCCACTTCTTTTGCAAAACGCTCCAAACTGTCGAGTCGATCTAGGTTATGGTCATTCCTATCCCTAATCATGATTCTCATCCTGTACCATCTGATAGATACTGATAGATCGTGTTTTCTGGGTCGTCAATTGCTTTCCCGGTCAACCGTTCGGAAAATTCGACTGTAACGAACTGCTTGAGAGATCCAGAAGCCAGGAAGAGCTATATACGACCCAATCAGTCACACGCAGAAACCAGCGTAGTGCATACATTGATGGATAGATTCTCGTAGCCATAAATCTTTTCCTCTTCACCGAATATCTAACTGGGAATCGAGTCAAGTTACAGGCTATAGGGCAGAGACGAACGGGATATGTGAATCTCGGATGGAATGACTTTGTCAATGCTTTTTCTGAAGGAGATAACACGGCCTCATCATCCCCGGCACGTACTAGACAGGGCCAAGTGTTAAGACGAGCAGTTTGTTCAAGTTATATTACTCTACCGAGATGAATCTTGAGCGCTTCATTGGAATCCGTTGTCCATTCTGACATATTGTCGTACAGTTGAATGTCGGGGTTGACAGCCAAGAAGTGGCTCCAACTCAGAGGGAACAAGATAGAAATCGCCGAAGGCACTGGATTATCGAGATAACGCTCAATAACAATACATTCAAATCCTCACAAGAACAACGACTGCTCGAGCTCGACACGGCCCGTTTTCACTCGAGTCGCATCCTTGACTATGCGCATAAATTAGATGAAACAGAGAAGCCTAGTCATCTTCGTCAGGGACCTCTTCGATGGTCGGGCCGCCTCGTGCAGAGGGAGGTCTCGACGTGTCCGAGTCGGATCCAACCACCATCTTGGGAGGAGCGAGTCCTTCGGGACTATCTGGTCGCGACCCATCGCTCTTCTTGCCCGACTTTTTCGACTTGCCCTCCTTCTTTCCCTTTTTCTTCTTGATGTCCCAGTCCCACACCGGGATGAACGAATCAACCTGGACGAAATCATAAGTAAGACATCAAGGTCGTCGGAGACCGAAGTACTCACAAAGCCGACGTCTGCAAAGAGTTGAGGGAAGATCCAGATTCCGGGTGGGATAACGACGATGGTGATCAACCAAAAGATCAACCGCAGAATGGCGATGACGAAGAAGAGCCCAATGAGACCAAGGACGCCCATACTTAGGTAGCTGACACCTTGTCGGAACATTGGTGGCCAGAGGGGGAACATAACACCTGCCAGTAAGACTATGACCATGATAACGCCTCCGAGATATGTCGTCCACTGGCTTCCTTCGTAGAACCACGCAAAATACATTTCCGGCTCGAACATTTGCATCTGGTTGATGTTAAGGTTCTTTGCCTTGGTCTTGGTCTGTCCAGACGTCAACGTCAACGATTCACCTCTGTCGACACGGAGAAAGAATGCGAAGCGGATCGTTTGCGACAGCAACTGCACGGCCTCTTGCTCCGATGTCACCTTGGGCGCATTCTTCAATTTGGCGTATGCAGGCGTCAACAACGATTTGACAGCTCCGGAACCTGTTGAAACGACAAGTGTAAGCTACGTGTGTCAACAGCGTGACGCCAAAGCCTCTCACCCTTGAAGTAGTCGATCCTCTTCCCGTTCAAGACGCCCGTGCGTAGTTTTGGGCCATTCTTCCCGCGCAAAAAGTTTACTACAGCTCGTATTTCTGGCGGGGCTGCGTTCTGTTGATCGAGTAGTGACATGGCGTCGGCGGATGAGCGTGACGAATGGCGAGAACGGCTGGCAAATGAGGCCGCTAAGACGTTGAGACCGTTGAGAGAATAAACGATGTGTTTTGTTGTGGAGATTGCTGCGACGAGCTGCGCGTATGTAGTGGCAGAGAGTAAGTAGTGAGCTGGCAAGGGAATAGAATCCACCACCTCCTCGGATTCAGCAATTAGTCTCACGGCAGTCAATCCCTCTTTCAACAAGGTAAATAAAACGTCAAATTCTCAGACTTTAGACACAATTCTTCTGTCTCATTGCTCAGCGACGTTGTCGGCACTAAACGTCAAAGGCATAAACGGATATCCGCCGGCCATGTAGTGCTTGCCGTTTGCCTCGACCCTATACAATAGTCAATTTACCAGGTCAGGAGCACCAACAACGAACGCACCAGTGAAGTCGCAATGCGTGCAAGAATGCACTCAACCCTTCCATCACAACCAAGATGCCCACACTCATCTGGAACCACAATCCAAACGTGAAAATGAGGGCTACGACACCCTGCCAGCCAGTCATTCCGAGCACTTTGGCGAGTGTCATATTCCACATGACCTCGGAGAGTTGAGCGTGCGCCAACGAAAGTGCCCAAAGACGCAGATAGGATGCAGTGTTGGAGATGCAGCCGAGACAAAACTCGATTGTGTGAATAATCTGATGGATGGCAACTTCGCCTAATTCAAACTAAAGAGGAATAAGTCAACCCTCCCATGGCAAAGAGAATACACATACGTGTTCCTCGCCACCGCCTTCTCCTTCAGCATGTCCCTCTCCCTCTTCTTCTCCTTGGAGTACCTCGTCGTCTTCGTCTCTTGCCTCACCATTCTGGCCGTGGCCAACCGTGCGATATCCGCTGTTGATCTTCTTCTGGTGATCCCTCCATTGAATATATGGCTTTGTCAAAAGCATCCACGGAACACAGATGAACGCGATATAGAGCAAAACTCGCTGGACAAAGGCCTGTCCTGCATACATTTGCTCCTTTTCGTTGATCGTCCCCGGCGTAAGGAACATGTAGATTAGCATATTCAGCAGATTCGGTGGTTGAGTCGTCACGGAGGGCGCAGACCAGTCGGTCAACCATTTGGCGATGATCATGATGACCAAATAGCCGAATATGCTATGAAGGAACAGTATTTGTGGCACAAACTCTGCCCAGATAGAGACGGTGTTACCAAAATGGAGAAAGTTGGGCAATTGGAGGCAGATTGCAAACGTCATCTAAACAGAGTGAGTCCACTAATCGGCAATGGGTTCGAGCGACATACATGGATGACGCCAAAGATGATGCTCATCTTCATCTTGTAGCTATTGATGAATACCAGGCTATTCGCCGCCCCATGCCAAGTGGGATCGATGCCGAATGGGTATGTGTGTCCGTTCGGAACGGCGACGAGCATCGTGTCTTCTTCTCCGTGAGGCCAGGTCCATCCCGTGTGGAAAAGATGCATCCCTTTGGAGAATATGTCATTGTACATAAATCCGGTGAAGATGCTGAAAAGCCCCATGAGAAGGATAATGTAGCGACCATAGACAAAGGTGCCAATAATCTATTGAAGTGTGAGCAAGGGTAGACAACACCCGAGATATCACATACCTCTCCTACGTCTGCTTTCACCAGCTTCTTCTCGTAGAAGATCATCAAAGCAGCAGCGGAGGCCATGATAATTGCATGCCCGACGTCTCCGAACATGACTGCGAAGAGGAAAGGGAATGTGACAGTGGCAAAGAGCGCTGGATTAACTTCTTGGTAGCTTGCGATACCATAAGAATCAATGATGGTCTGGAACGCCTCGGTGAATTTGTTGGTGCGATGGAAAGTTGGTGGCTGCACATTGTGTGCAATTGGAAGCACGTGAAGGAGGGCTTCACAGACGCTCCAGATACTTCTTGTGCACGAGAAAGAGCCGATTGAATGAGATTGATATCCCTTGTGGGTGCCCATCCTTCTGCGATCAGGGTCTTGCGGGACACATCATAGCTCCAGAGATTAAGGCACTCCCATACTCGTTTCTCGCGATTGACGACGCTCTCCCACCCTTTTATATTCTCACCAAGTACACGAAGCTCCTGGTCTCGGCTGCTCTCCATTCGAACGAGGACGTTACTGAGGTCCTCCAAGCGAGCACCAACTTCCCTGAGAGCATCCATACGTTTCTCTGCGCTGGCATCGACCGGATACAACGTTCCGCCCATCGACTCTGCAACTTTGCGAATCTTTGCGAGTAGGGTAGAGCCGTGAGCGAAAATGATGAATACGTTCTTGTACGTTGAATTTCCGGTGATAGGGTCGACGAAAGGCTGCGTGATGTCGGTGTGGTTCATATAGAGGTTTCCGCGGAGCACGCGCCATAAGATGCGCTCAAAGGTGGGGAGTCGCTCACGACTAATCGTGCCCGTCACAAACTCGAGATCAAATTGAGTTCCTTCAGCACTAGAGGCTTGTGCGTCGCGGTCGTCGTGTGCCAGCAAGGGCTGCGTACCGTCATCGAGAGACTGCCGGATTTCGCTCGTGTGAGTTGCCGCCTGAAGGATGTCAGAGACAATATTGGGGTCCTTTAGTGGATATATACCCGTTCAAAGAATCCCTTGGTGGATCGAAGGACTTCACGTGCTTCCACCAGCTCGCGCTCACGCTCACGAAGATTGCTGTAGCTCTCATTCATTTCGACGAGACGCTTCTCATGCTCCGTCAGAGTCGTGTCCAAATCGTCACGCATTTGTTGTGCCCTTGGACCAGTAATGGCAATGGGAGGAGTGTCGTCCAGCGAGCGAATAGGGATAGCATGGTTTGGGTTATTTGCGTTTGCTTTGGAGAGCTGAGAAGAGAAGAATCTGATTCGACGGGCCATTTCATCAATACGTCTGACTTCTCCCACGAAACTGCGCTGAAAGTTGTTGACATCTGGGTTCAACTGTCGTCGTGGCCAGGCCTGTAAGCATAGCTAGGTGGACAATATGATGCACCAATCTTACGTCTTTGAACTGAACGTCTCCAAGAGCGGCTAGCTCTGCAACTGTGTCGTGCGCAACTTCAGTGTGGACGTAGAGCTGAATGAGGCTCATTTCCTCCGACCCTATTGGATTATAAAGTATAAGCCCAATCATCTCCTATTTTTGCAAGTTTTTTTAGCTCACGGAAGAGACTTGGGTAGTCGTCCGCCATCGTGGTCAGTGTTCAAGGCGTGTCCCTCCCGTCTTGCTCCCGACGACGATGGGCCGTGTCTCCCATTTGCTTCCTCTGGGCTTGTTATTGCTTGCACCAGACTTCTTAATTCCAAGGACATACGCTATCTGGCCATTTCCCTCTAAACGCTTTACGGCAAATGCTTTCATCGACGCACACGGCCTAGGACTCGACGACGCTGGTAGAATCGTGGCATTTGGAGACTTTGATGGAGACCAATTGTGAGAATTGGGTTTACTACTCTCTGAGCCGCTCTGACAATCCGCGAGTTTGGACGTAGTCACTCTTCCTGCATCAAACTCCCAGACTTCGGACCAGAGCATGTTGCAAATCTACACGTGGTCACACTCGGACTTCAAATTCTACAAGAACTCGACCATTGAGTCTCCGGATTCTAATCCCATCGTCAATGTCGTCTCAGGCGACTTCACCCATGACGGTAAACTGGACTTACTCCTGATGACCAACGCTGGAAGTAAACTCGCAATGTGGCTCTACGTTGGAGACAGCTACAGAGGCTTCGGTTGGTCAATTCACCTATAAAACTACAACACTGACAAAATGTTTTCAGAGCCAGTACCTGTCTCCATTCCTCCTTCAACTCTTTCACAGCCTATTCCTTTCGATTTCAATGGAAACTTAAGGCTAGACATGATTGGGAACGTGCCACACTCACGTTCTACTCCCATCCCTGGAGAGGAAACCTCCCTCATTCTATGGCGAAACGTCTGGCAAAGTTCCAACAAAACAATTTTGTTTGACACTGTTCCTTTCGCCGACGTCAACGATCTCGCGGCTGCACCAGGATGTGCATTGGCAAACCCTCACAGCTCTGCCGTCCTTGATTTTGACGGGGATTGCTCTGCTGATCTCTTTTTGGCCTGCAAAACGCCAGATTCTGATCAAATAACGTTTCAGATCTGGCTAAATAATCCTTCTGGTGGTGGTTTCCGACTCGGACAGACGGGAATGCTGCCAAAAGGGGCCGGTATGGTCAGCTTTGCTGATATGGGTACGGCCTTTCTCATCTACAATCTTTGTCTCATGCATGCCTTCAGATCGCGACGGCACAGTGGACATGGTGTTCCCTGTTTGCAACTCAGTCGACGCACAAGGCATTGGTCATGAATGCAGCATCAACATTGCATTCAACAAGCAAATGGGTTTCTGCAAGACGGGACTTGGTCAGAAGCAGAGAAATGAGTGCCGAAAGCTTGACAACCTTTGTCTTGCTGATCCCAACTTCAAATTTGATCTGTCTGATGGAAGCAAGGTATTGTAATCCTCTCTGAGACTCACAGAAAAGCTGAATATTATCGGGAGACTATGCTCAGTATACCGGTTGCGGATTTACTCAAGTACACTTCGCCAGCTCAGAAAACATCCTCGCTTTTGATGATGGACGTGACGCACTCGCCACCCCTCCCCCTTTCTATCAAGCTGGGAGATGCGAATCTGGATGGTTATCCAGACCTGCTATTCATTGCAGTCAACTCGGATGATGAGAGAGTACCCAAGCTTGCTTGGAGCATTGCATGTTCGAGCGGAGAACCAGGATGTCCTGCATCGACCTCAAACGAGAGACGAGGTACTGTTGATGACGACGATGATGATGATGACGACGAGTCACCTCTGAGAGGAATCGGCGGACGCGGTTTCGTCGTCGCTAGTCCCGGAGGGGACGCTAGCGCATTGGCCTCATTCAAAGATGCAAGAAGTGTCAGCTTCCTCGATTTGGATGAAGACGGAACGTTGGACATATTGGTGCAGCGTAGTGGCACTGGCAAAGGTGGAAAGGGCACAGGAAGTGGAGAGAAAATCAATTTTATACAAAATAATGTCTTCCACGATGCATTCTTTATGAAGGCGATTGGTAATATTGGAACCGCAACTGGCACATTGCTGATCTATTCCTAGTACTCAACGGTGCATGTGGCGGCATGTGCGTGTCGAACGATCCACGACAGCCATCGTATCATGTATGTGTTCTCATTGTCCTGCGGTCTCAGTTCCTGATACCTTCCAGCCATTCGGAGTCTCTTATTCTGGTGCAACGTACAAGTATACAATTCTAGATACGTCTGGGCGACGGTCTGCCGCACAAATACCGCAACTGCCTCAAACATCCTATCACGCACTCCAACTCCCTACAGTTTCTTCGGCCTTGGGCGTACGAATAACTACATCGAAAACCTCTTCGTGGGCTCAACGAGAAAAGCCCAGCAAAACCCTACAAATCCGAGTGAGAGACGAGCAGAGTTTGGATTTATTATCCAACAGCGTGCATCGCTTACCAATGCGACCATGGCGGGTGGGTCGTCGCCCCGATCGGGTGAAGGGATCCATTATATCAGTATGGAAGGTGTCATTCCAAACTCGAAGGTCGTCATCATTCCCCCCAGTAATCCGGGCTTTGGAGAGTGGAAGCGAGAGTTGTACCTGCGACCAGGAGAATGGATCCCCTGGGTGACCGTCACGCTTGTCGTAGCGACAATTATCCTTGGAATCATTGTGTATGCCTTCCATTGGAATGAAAAGGTACGATATATGCTTTCTAACCTAGCGCATCCTGACTGTTTTACAGAGGGAGGATGAACTGGAACGGCGCAGGGCACTTCACAGTATTAACTTTGATGCGTTGTAACTTCATGGACGGCATTTGTACTTGTAAAGCGGGAGTAATCGGTACATTTCTGGCACAACTAGAGACCATTCCAAAATTGCTCCTTGGTCACCTGAATTTGCTGGGACAAGAGTACGTTTTCTGCAGATCTTCCTACGATGACCGTATATGTTCCCTTTTCGATCTTCCAGCAGTTGTGTGGTGCATCCCACATACTCAACGCTAGCTTATCCAACTTGACTTCGACCTCGACCGACTCTCCAGGCGCCAGGTCATGAGTCTTGCCGTATCCGCGCAAAGAACGAACTGGATGGGATGCCTTTGACTCTGAAGAGGGCGTCACGTAGATCTGCACGACCTCGGACCCAACTCGTCCCCCAGTATTCTGCACGTGGACTCTGGCGACAAAGTTCATATCTGAGCCAGAAGGATTGGTTACGACAAGTTCATCAATGTCGAAAGTTGTGTACGAGAGACCGTGGCCAAAGGGGAATAGAGTGGGAACCTTGCTCCGCACATAATGCTTATATCCCTGGTTCCGCTCAGCATAATTTTCTTTCAAATCAACTCTGTCACCCACCACAAAGAGATCCTCGGCGTAGAACACGGTTCCCTCGCTCGGCATGTGGCCATAAGACGGAGTATCCTCGAGTCGCAAGGGGAAGGTGAGCGAGAGCTTTGCGCTTGGATTGACATTTCCGAACAGAATGTCTGCGATGGCATCTCCAGTGCTGTTGCCAAGATACCAGGAATGGACGATAGCGGCCACCTCGCCGACCCAAGGCATCTCAATTGCGGAACCCTGCAGTAGCTTAGAAGAAACAATCTTACAAGATTCATGATACATACTGTCTGCGTGACCACGACCGTGTTTGGATTTGCCTCTGCCACCCGCGTAACAAGCTCGTCTGTCCTTCCAGGAAGCTTGAGGGTTGTTCTATCATGACCCTCTACCACAGTATCAGACACTATGTGTACGATAGATGTACGTACGAACCTGTCTCCCAGTCCCCATTTAAACCAACGACGACAATGGCGACTTCAGCCTCTGCAGCCAATCTGACCGCCTTTTGGATCTCGTCCGTTTCGTTGATGACGGGTGCTCCTCCCAGACGTACGCCAGGACCTCCAAATAGAGTCCCTTGATCGCCGACTTCGCCCTCTGCCGGACCACGGACATTATTGAATTCGACCAAGATTTCGTGTGCGACTCCCTTTTTCAGCAGATATATTCCACACTCCTCCTCCGTTCCAGTATTGAAGAAAGCGACGCCACGTCGTTGCAGCGTCCAATTGTCAATGACGAGATTTCCGTCAATGTACAGCTTTGCCCGGCCTGCAACCGTCAGTCCAAACTCAAACTTTGTATCTTCGTCTCGTGGCCGTATGAAGCCTCTGAGTTTCATTGTCCAGCGTGTGGAGATTTCTTTTGGAGTAGAGGTCGAGATGAAGATATTCGTCTCGTCGACCTCGAGGAGTTTGTGTGGTGTCGTGAGTGGCTGGTCATTCTCGTCGTGGGAGTACCATTCGGCGTCGAATCCTTTCCCCCCCTTGGCGTTGATGATATCATAGTCCAAACTCGGTAGCGTTTTGGAGGCTATAAGCTCGTTAGGGCGCATTGCACTCTGTTGGACAAGACTTACTTCGAGCTCCTTCTGCATACATCACCTGACGTCCGGACAGTGCTCGAACAATTCCCTCGAATGGGTTGACGAAGAAAGAGGGCTTGAGCGCCGCAGATCCTCCTCCAGACAGCACAGGAGCCTTTGCGTTGCCCCCAATGACGGCAACCTTGGTCAAAGAGTTTACAGACAATGGGAGGATGTCTCTGTCATTTTTGAGCAGCACAATGGTCCGAGCTGCAAGATCACGCATCCTGGCCGTATCTTCTTCACAGTCGTTTGTTCTCTCCTCGCCGTCTCCGTCAAGAACCTACACGATCCAATCAATCAACAACATCTTTCAAACACGACCTAAATCACCTCTGGGCAACCCTTGCTCGCCCTTTGAACCAAGTTTAGGACGCTTTTTGCTCTTTCCTTCACCGTCTTGAGCGTGATTTTGCGACAGTGTATCGACCAAGCCGTGTGGTGTTCTGAACGAAACTTGATCGTCCCAGGCATTTCCAGGTCGAGGCCAGCGTTGATACTCTCTGCGATAGAATAGGTGCCGAACCAGTCAGACATTGTGCATGCATCTGACCCCCACTCCTTGCGCAAAACGTCTTGCAAGAGAAAGGCATTCTCCGACGCATGAATGCCGTTGACCTTGTTGTATGCAGTCATAAAGGCCCATGGCTTGCTGTACTTCTGTGCCAACATGAATGGGTAGAGGTAGATTTCTCGAAGGGCTAAACGGGATTAGCCGGTTTGGTCCTCAATCTGGAAGGACTACATGCCTCTGGGAGACACGATCGAATCATAGCCTGTGAGTGATTTAGCCTCTTTGTCCAGTTTATATAGTCCCCTTGCCTTGACGATCGTCTTCAGCATCATTGGCTCTTTGGATACGCATCATAGGGGGGAATAAACAACGGTCTGATAAACGTACGTATAGTGCTTGATGCAAGCTCCAATGCCACAAGACTGCAGACCACTTTTTTTTTGGCTGTGTGAGTGCTGTATTCCCTAGAGCATCGCTTCCACGCTCACTTGATATATGCAGAGGCAATAGTACCAGACAAATAAGGGTCCTCGGAAAAGGACTCAAAGCTCTATGATTCCGTGTTAGTGCTCGGCAATAGGAATCAAAAGTCGCGCACACGACCACCGAGGGGAGAACGTCTGTGAATAGATAAGATTTCGCGGGTTGCTTTAGTGTATACGCACTGGATATTGACCGTGGGGGCTAGAATGACAGAAGCCGCCCTGAGCTTGGCCTCTGCTGCGAGCAGCTTTGAAGCCACAGACTGGATAAGGACAGGGTCAAACGTTGCACCCAACGCCGTAGCACTCTGTTTTCATGTTGTGAACGAGGATTGCCTGTCGCATGGACCGATCACGAACCGGTATAACTTTGGCTGGTGTCGAGCAGAAAAAGTGGTTACCTCGGACTCCATTGGGCCCGTCTGAAACCTAAAGTCGAAAAGTCGAGTAAAGTATGGGGTGACGCTGCGTGCATACCTTTAGAGCCGGGACTCCGAGTCTCGGAATGGGCGCTGTATGCCACATTCCATGGCCACCGATGAGACTGATGGCCTCTTCCTGCGTCAAGGCCTCTACCACGTCGTCAAGATTGGCGGATGCAAACTTGGTTGCGGTGCTCATAGCGAGGGAGAGAGAGAGAGAGAGACTCCTAGAATGGGATTCCGTCGTGGAAAGACGAGGTTCGAGTCTTTATACGTCCATGGGCCTCCAACTATCCGAGATGCTGCCGATATGCGTCTAGATGCGGGGAGCGGCGGCACGAACTAAGAGGAACCTCCAATCGGGTCCGTCGCCGACCGCAGACCTCTTGGCCCACTAAAGTCGTCTCACAAACAGCCAAAAGCCCCTGGGGCCGGGATAAACATTCGGGAATGTATCATTGCAACTGTAGGAAAAAGGATACGAGCCTTGTCGTAACCGGACCGGCCTACATCAGAGCAAATGATCGATTATGCGAGGATTCCTTGGAGGCCGTTTGGGCCAAACGAGATGGGCCAATATAGCGGGGGTTGACAAGCTGCAAGCCTGGACGTGCAGGACGTCGTAGGATAGCGACAGGAAGCTATCATTAGTTCTGGCTCGAAATAACGCAAATGCAAGATGGAGAGGCGGCGGCAGAGAGAAGAAGAAAAAAAACGATTGGAAATAGTTGGCAAATGACGAGAAAACGGAACAGAGTTATAAGGACGGGTGACGGTAACAGTATGACGAAATTTCTTTGGTGCTTGCAGTCGGAAATAAACAGCTCCTCGAGCTCGGAGTGCCCTGCGAGTCTCCGAGTCTGTGCTCTGGAAGGAAACCAGGGCACCACGTTTCTCGGCAGTCGAGTTGGACAATTGGTCGATACAGAAAACGGCGTTTGCGTGCCAAGAAAAGAGAGAGAGAGAGAGAAAAGGAGATTAAATAGCAGTAAGCGTCCGGGTTTTTTTCTTTCTTTTTTAGGCTCTCAGTCCGTGTGGACTGGTGGGGACTCTGCTTTGATGGGCAACAAAACTCCCTGCCAACCCATCCCGACTGCGCCCATCCCCCCCGCGCCCAAACCCTCCGGGTGCATCATGTCCGCTGCCGAGGGTTCCAGCGGATTGGATTGTTGTTGCGGTGGTTGCGCTTGTTGGGGAAGGAGAGGATAAGTGGAGCGGCGGTAAGACGATGCCAGACCCTGCCTTGAGTCCTGGTTCATCATCCCCATTTCCGCCAGCGGGTCCTCGAGAGGAATTCCACTGAGCCGAGGCTGTCCCAGGGCGAGAGGATGCGCCGAGATTGAGGGAATATTGCTCGAGGCCACGTCCTGCGCTAGAGGATGGCCGACTTCCGCCACCGGATGGGCCGGTGCTGGCATTCCCAGGTAACGAGTATGCAAAGATGGAGGAACTGGAGGCTGGACCACTGGTACTGCCGACGGGGGGAGCGAGTTGGAAAGCGGTGGTTGAGAGGGCGCCACTGGAAGACGAGGGTCGTAGACCATTGGGATGGTGATGGCTGAAGTTGGCGTTGGAGGGGGATGCGGGGAAGCTGAATGAGGACGATGGACCATTCCCAGTGGGGTTGCTGCCAGCCGACGGAGCGGGGAATCGACCCGATGATGTCCTGGGTCGATTGTCAAATCCATCCGGTAATCCACTGCCACCTCCGCCTGAGCGTGTGTTGCAGAGTTCCATGACGGAGAGCCGGCGAGATGTTGGCCGTGGTTGTTCATCATCGAGTCCGGAGCGTGTGGCTGGTCGAGAGGAGACGGGACGTGGTTGTTCAGCATATTCGTCGCCGTCGGGATATGGACGCTTCCGAGAGTTGGTCGACGAGAAGGAGTGGCCGAGCGAGGGAGGGTGGAAGCTAAAGGGAGAGTCGCTGGTGGCGTGGACGCTGCTACTACCACTGACGATGGGGGCGCTGTTTGTCCATCCAGGGAGTGGGCGTAGCACGTTCCCAGGTCTGGAAGAGGCGGACGGAGTCCCATGCGTTCCTCCAGTCGGGGACCGGCGGACAGGGGCAAAGGAGGAGGCGGATTGGTACTGCTGGTGTTCCAAATCGACTCTCCCCTGTTGAGGAGAGGGTGCGCCGAAACGGAATGGCGGAGAGTTCGACCCTCGATTGTGGTCGAAGGCAGCGGTGGAACCGGCGGTGGGGCCTGCTGTTGCGGTTGCGGTTGCGGTTGCATGGTCGAAAAGTGGCTCTCGGAACCCACTGATGCCGGCATAGTACTTGTCTGCTGTTGTTGCCATTGCATGGGAAGCGAAGCGTGATGACTGTGCTGGAGCTGGAGAGCTGGAACTTGCTGATGTCGCCGGGCGCGCGAGAGATTGTCCTGTTCGCCATGAGCACACATCATTTTGTCATTGTTTTTTCATGGCATACCGTTGTGTGTGAACGCCGCAGGCGCCGTGCCTGGTCGGTCATTTGCTTCGTCGAGGTCGATGGGGGAGACGGGTACGTGCTGATCTGGTGGAGAGCGCTCTTTGGTGGTGGTCTGGCCAAGCCCATGGCCGTCGTGCTGCGGGAGATGGCCAAGCCGTCCTCGAAAGTGCTGCCCGTGCTGCTGCTGCTCCTGGTGCTGAAGGTTGTAGAATTCGCTGGGGAACCGTTGCTCGCCACCGAAGCTCCCTGCAAAGACTCCGGCGGCGCTATCGTTTCCCCCCCTGAGCTGTTGATGGCCAACGAGGGGAGGAGGGGATCCACCATTGAGGCGTGAAAGTTGTTGTTGCTGTCCAGTGTCTCGTTGTTGTTGTTGTTGTTGTTGTTGTTGTTGCTGTTGCTCTGAAAGTGAAGTAGACGATGCTCTTGAAGGGATGCCGTTACTGCCGCCATCGTGGAAGCGATAGTTGTTGGGTGGCTCATACTGTTCAGCCTTGACGAGGGGCGGGAGGTGGGCGTACTCCTCGCGCTTGACTTGGACATTGTCGGGAAGGGCGACGCTGCTGCTGTTGTGGTTGCCACTGCCGGCGCCGGGGTGTGGACTTGGGCTGGATCCGGGAAGATGTGGGGTTGAAATGGATTGACGCTGTTGGACATAGTGTTGATAGGAGTGTTGCTGGGGAAGGGTGGGCGGTTGGTAGTAATCCCCTCCTGCGGCACCGTCGCGAACTCCGCGGAGGGGTTGTCGAAACGACTGGGGAGGCGGCGTCGGAAGGGGCGAGCGGGATGGATAAGGAATCCCATTATGTGATGATGATGAGGGTGAGGGTGAGAATGATGAGGATGCGCATACTGGCCATATGCACTCTGCGGATGGGGTGCATGGAGGCTGGTGGCAGAGGGAGGGACGATTCCCGACGTAGGCGTTGCGGGCGACTGGCTCGGATGCGAGTCGTGAGCCGAGGTTGGCGGGGGATGATTATCTACAGGCGATTCGCCGTCTGAGCCTGTGCGATGATTATAGTCGTACATGGGATGGGCTCCAGGATAGCCGGGCTGGACATGAAGCTGCGGGGGCTGTTGATGTTGATGGTGGTGCTGCTGCTGCTGATAAGAAAACGAGTCGGAGAGAGGATACGAGGTTTGATAGGGCGCATGGGGGTCCCCGTATGGCTGTTGATGGTGGGCGTAGTGGGCCGTGCCGTCCTGAGGCAAGTATGGCATATGCTGCCCGGCAAAAGGGACCGGGTGGGCACCATATGGATTGGCGTTTTGATCAAAACCCGAGGGAGGACGAGGCGGGGGCGGAGCGTCTTGAGGAGCAAAGGCTTGTTGCTGCTGCTGCTGCTGCTGCTGCTGGTGTGAGGCCATTTCAGCGACTCTGGCAGCGCGCTTTGAGGGACGCTTTGCGTTGCCGGAAGCAGCAGACATGGACGAGTGGAGACTGGTGAGTTCCTTCATCATCTTTTCGTTTTGCTCTGGCTTGTCTGCGTGCACGGTCTGGGCATGCTGGCGAAGGTTGTCGAGACGGGAAAACTGCTTAGAGCAGTGGCAAGTAAACGGACGCTCTCCAGTATGCTTTCTACAAGACGGTGTTAGTTGGTGGCGCTGGCGTCTCGACAGGGACAAGGCACTTTCGCAAGGTCGGCACGCGCGCGGACAGGTCGCCGTTGACGACGGACACTAGCAAAAGTGCCATAAAGGGGCTACCCAAGAGGGACAGAAAGGACACAGGAGCAGGAGCAGGAGCAGGAGCGGGGGGAGCGGGGGAGGGGGAGAGGTGCTGTTGAATGACCAACCAAGCAGAGAGGGCAAATGGATAACAGCACAAGGTAACAAGAGGAATAAAAAGCGTGTAGCAGTAACAAGAGAAGAGTCAACGGCATCTAACACTAACCGTATATGCCTGGCAAGGTGCTCGCTCCTGCTAAAGACCATTCTACAGTCTCCAAACCCGGTGCATTGAAACGTCTTTGCAGGCGTTGAGCGATATCTCTTTGATCCTGGGCCCTGAAGTGACTGCTGGAGGCTCGGGAGCGTTGGCCCCGGGTGCTGGACACCGTCTGCAGACTGCTGATGGTCGCTCATGGCCGTCTCAAAAGGTCTCTGGTCGCTGTCTAGGACGATGGTGGAGATCGTCTGTCGCCTGGGCCAGAAACAGGCAGATTGCCTGGGCGAGTAAGGTACAAGCTGCGATTCCTTAGCTTTTTGCTATTTCTATAAGTGTACACTTTGGGTCCCTGGCGGCCGGGCTCAGCTGAAACAGTCCCGCCTGCTCGTCTGGAAATGCTCCCACGATCCATTATCTCAGAAGACGGCAACGGGGATCTCGAAATGCCTCGTCCGCCCACCGACGGGTACAATGCCCGTCTTTGAGAGAGACAGAGACAGAGAGAGATTACTGTCTCGCACATCGACGTATTACTGTCTCGCACATCAACGCTTTCTGTACTTGATCCGCTCCCTCGGACAGCACAGACAGAGCTCGACCACCCAGAGTCCGAATTACCAACCACCTCTTTTGAATCTGTCTAGGAACGGGCCCTGACCCCTGGCCTTGGGCAGCAACCGCTATTGATTTGGTTTCACAAATGTTCTCTCTCTCTCTCTCTTTTAATGACACTATCTTAGATGAACACCAGCGCCCCGCTCCAGAAGTCCGCCGCCCATTAGGTCCACGTCCACGTCAACACCACAGTCCAAAGACAAAAAGCCCCACGGAGCCTGCCGGTCGCTAGCGTGCACATCGCCGTCTGGTTTATTTACCAAGCGCCCGATCATTTGCATCCACCCTCGATGACCACTCACCTCGTCCTAGACCAGTGGGCTCCTAACAGTTATGATATTGTCTGTCTCGTCGGCTTTCGTGGGCTCAAGTCGGAAGATATTGCAAACCGCCTCCGAGTCCTCGGCGTCCCCGTCCAGCGCTCCTCTCTCGACCTCGGCGACTTTGTTTGAATCGCACGCAAGAAACCGGCCTTTGTCGATCGCAATCCGTTTCCCGATCAGGTCGTACTCGATTTCATCGTGGAAAGAAAACGGCTCGTCATTAGGTTCAGCAACCCCGTCATCACTCATAAAACTGACTCTTCTTCGTATAGCATCAAAGACGGTCGATTTCATGAACAAAAGGTGAACACAATTCTCCCCCTCCCCCCCCACTCTTCCTCTATTCTGCTCAACCCTGACAGTTTCGACTGAAACGATGCGGCCTGGCCAACGTCTTTCTCATCATTGAAACATCCAAAAAAGACAAGACTCAGACTGTCCAGCGCTTCAAACTGTCAATCAACACGGCCATCACCCCGACCCAAATCCTCGACGGCTTCTTCGTCCACCGATACAGCTTCTCAAGGTTATGCACGACGCCGTTTGTCAAAGGTACAAGGTAACAATGGGCACACACACACACAAATACACATATATATGCTGCATGCTCACTTCGTACAGGACAAGACTCTCTGGATCATCCCCCACACGGCCGTCCATCGAGACACGTTTGACCAACTACAACGCGACCTTTGCATAGAACACCCCCGAAAGACTATTCTCGTCTCCTACAAGTCGTTTACTCTCCTCAACGCCAAATCCACCTTTCAGACCGCCAGAGAATGTTTTGCCAAATAGTTGCTCTGTATTCGAGGTATGAGCCCCGAACGAGTCGCCTTTGTCGTCGAGGAATACGGCACCATTCGAGTCCTCTGGGAGACCTTTCGTCACGCCCGTATCCAAGAACAAACTGCAATCATGGCCAAAGCCGCAGAACGCGTGGCCCCCGTCGGCAACTCGAGCCAAACGAGACCCCCAGAGACCAAAGTGGTCAAGGCAGAACTCTTGTTGGCCAATCTAGGTAAAGGCAGGCGACGGATCGGTAACGAACTCTCCTCCAAGATTTACGACTTGTTCATCAAGGACGAGTACGATGGCTAGTTATTCCCCCATCCATTACATAGTTTCAGTTGTATATGTACATTACCGGTAATGCTGATCTCCCGACTCCCGAACCAACACTTGCTCCCGAGTCAGATGGCTTCCATGTTGCCTACTTTGCCCAATGTCGCAAGAGTGTGGTTCTCTCCTCATTCTCGTGTAGAATATTCACGATTCACAGCTCAGCGAGCGTGTCCTACGTGTCCTTGGACAGGTAATAAACTCTGCCACTCGTCCTCGTCTCGAGCTGACTTCAAGGCAGAATCCTGGGCCATATACCCTGCAAGGTGCATACAATAGGGTGCTATTCTATATCTCTGACCAAAAACCACTCTAGGAACAAACACCTATCTCGTTGGAAAGAATCCCGGTCCATTCGTCCTCATCGATACCGGAGAAGGAAGACCAGAGTACATACCATGCCTCAAGGATGCGCTTCTCTCCATCCCAGACGCTAGGCCGCCATTCATCTCGGACATTCTAATCACGCACAAGCACCGAGATCACCACGGTGGACTCGCCAGCGTGCTCAAAACGCTTAAAGAGCTTTCTAACCAAACGGACCAAGAATCCGTAGCCTATTGCGGCCCCCGTCTCCACAAATTTCCCCTCCCACCTGATCAGATCCATGATCATTATATACAGGGACTGGCAGAAACATTGGATCCTACTCTATACACTGTACCCTCGTCTCCAACAACGTCGTCTCCCAACGAAGCACCATTTCACCCGCTAAAGGACGGTCAGGTCCTCGAGTGTGTAGGGGCCACCCTCGTCATCAAGCATACGCCAGGTCACACTATGGACTCTGTTTGTATCCACCTTTCCGAAGAAAAGGCCCTTTTCACCGCAGACAGCGTCCTGGGTCATGGTACGGCGGTCTTTGAGGATCTGTCCGCGTACATCTCCTCGCTTCAGAGACTCTTGGCCCACGCCAATCAATCAGGAGGGCTACAGTGTATCTATCCTGGCCACGGTCCCGTGCTCAAAGACAACCTTGCCGAGGCCACCATTCAACATTATATCGACCACCGACTCGAACGAGAAACCCAACTCGTCGCACTTATGCGCTCGAGAGTGGGGCCTGAAGAGGCCTGGACTGTCGAGGATATTGTTGCCGCCGTCTACCCTGAGAATGTACGTCAAATGGCCAAACGAGGGGTGCTACTGCACCTCGACAAACTCTGCACAGAAGGTCGAGTATCAAAAACGGAAGCGAATCAAGAGGTAAAATGGCATATTCTCGATTAGACCTATAGACTGTCTATTTCTAGTCTTCATCCTCAGAGCTCTCAAAGTCGATTAGTTTGCAGCGACCCGAGTAATGCCTCTGAACAGCCTCGCCAATCTCCTTCTTATTTACGCTGCGACAAATCTCTTGACCACACCGGTCGCAAAAGTGCCTAAGTAACCTTTAGAACCCGTGTAATGATCTGGAACAAAAAAGGACGCACGTATTGCATCCAGGAGTCACACAGGTCATGTGACGACAGCCCTTGACAACCCTTTAGAAACAAATGGTTTGATCAACGAATGTATACACACCTCATTTCTCTGAATTTCTGTCCTGCAGCCTACAAGCGCCCGAGATCAGGGGACCAGTCAAAGATAAGAGTAAACGGCCTACCTGGACAGGCTCTCACATCCCCTGCGCTCGCCTTCCATCGTTCATATTCCGCTTCACCGTCACAGGTATGTCTGACCCCTCTTTCGGCCAGGTTGTTACACTTTTTACACCAGTACGCGTCGCAATCGTCGTGTTGGCACCAAAGCATCTCCATCTCCTCATAGTCCTTCTTGTCCACATAGGCAGCCTTTTGGCATCTGTAAAACATGTCAGCTTCAGGTTTGTTGAATGCGAGTTGTACCAACTTTGGGCACTCGATTCGTTCCGAACAACGTGAAAGCTCGAGTTTTGTCCATTTCTCCAGCATCCCCTCGTCAAGCCCGACGAGCTCTGCTGTACGGCGGTCGATAGCTATGGAAAGAGGAATCAGAATCCTTATCATGGTTTTAATCCTTTGGGGACCTACTCCCAAGATCTCCAGATTCCGGTGGATTCATCTTGCAAAGAGGGCACAAGATGGGCCAAACCGCTCGCTCAACCTCCGAGTTGATATAGTTGCGCATGTCTTGACGACAGATTGGATGCGCACAGCTGCCTCTGGAGACATGGTCGATCGAACAATCTTCTTGACAGATTTCGCAATGGAAAATTTCGTATGCAGCACGTAACTGCTCGTACTGAGCCCGAATGCGTTCTTCTTCGAGCTGAAGTCGACGAGCATGCTCAAAGTCATCCCTCTCCTGAGCCTGAAGCTGAAGGGCGGTAGCAAGGTCGTCCTGGGCGTTTCCTCGCGTCTGGGACCGTATCGATTGTGGACTCTCAACCCCAGACGCTGGTCGAGCCGGTGTTCTCGATTTGGCGCTTTCTGCAATTCTGGCTAGCCGAACACGCTCATACGTAGCGGCCTCGTCGTCGACAATTGGGAAAGAAGGTTGACCGGGGTTCTAAAGTAACATGGGTAATCTAGGAGCGCCAATGATACCACACGTACCGGTTTTGCAGGAAGCGATCTCTTTCGAACTTTGGGTTCGGTGACGTGCGCTGTAAAGTGTTGTCGTGCATCCTGTCGATGAATTTCCCCAGAGTGTAGAGCATCCGAAGTGGAGCGAATTGACTGCGCTAGTTCTCGTGCAGACTCTAATTCGACTCTGAGTGCTTGCAAGCGTCGCTCCGTATCCGCCTCTGCGGCCGAGGCTTCACGTCGAGCCCTTCGTTGTTCTTCGAGCGCCTTCTTGACATGACTCAGCTTGCCTTGAATCTCCATATCGCGAACCGCTGCCTCTTTGAGTTGCTCCTTTGCCCTGAGGAGTCGAATGTTGGCCGTATACATTGCCCTGACTTGATCTACGTCTGTGCTATCTTTGCCACGTAGAATATGCGCATCAAACCGCGATAAAAAGAGCGTCTGCCATTGATTGTCCTCGTTGTCGAGAATGCTTTCGTCGACTCGAAAGAGGCGATGGAGATATGTGGCCGCCTGCACTGAACTTTTGCACACAGTAAACGCAGCTCCTAAAGGATGCTCCGGGCGCGGATGTGAGTCGAAGACGACAAATATACCGTCACCAGGACGATCCAGAGTGGCGATATGAAGCAGAGCGACGATTTCTGGACTCTTGGTCACGATGGCAGTCTCACCGGCTGAAAGGGAACTAGTTGATCGGTGAGTTCAATGTGCATGCAATAGAATTGCACCTACCCGACGAGCCGATCAAAGCCCTCCCTGTCGCACTTGGTGCTGTCTATATTGCGGACTGTGCGGAGGTGGCAGGAGAAGAGCGGAAGTTTCTGGATGTCGTCCACCTCCAAATGCTCGTTGCTGTCCCAGAACGAACAGATGGACATGACTCCCTATAGCGCATGTCAGGCTCCACTAGGGCAAGAAGACGGTACAACTCACGACCATGAGGTCCTCGGACCTCAACCTGTTGACAATTTCAGACGATGTACATTGTGGCGAGGAAGACGTGAGTAGCCGTGCGGCGTTGAAGGCAGCGAGTCCACAGCTGCTGGGAGACCCAGCCGCGTACTGCGATGTATGAGGAAACGAGATAACCTCTGGCTCCGTGGAACGCCTCAAGATGTCTGGACTGGCCGTGCGTTGCCCAAACATTGTTATCGTTGGAGTTCAAGGAGCGCCTGGAGAAAGGCCAGGTGCCTGCTCAAAGCTGGATGCAACACTGCCACTCGCTCGCTGTTTGAGAGTCCAGCAACGCCTGTATTATCGATACGAAGGTTCAAGGATGCAATAATCTACAAAGAAGGGTGTGCAGTGGTGAGCAGAAGCAGTGGGTGGTCTATATAAATTCGGGGCATGGCAGTTGCATGCGTTAAATTAACGAGTCGAAGTCACATTCTCCTCGGATGGTTTGACATATTCCAGCTGTTGTGTATTTGCCTTTACGCCCGCATGCTCCTCGGGTGGTGAGACGATTGTCGACGGTCCGCCATGATTTGATTCCACATCCTCGTGAATCAATGTCGTCCCACCGGCCTCGCTACGCGCTGGAGGTGTCTCTACCGTTGGCTCTCCATTACTGGATGGGGGAGATGTCACACCTGTATCCGTCTCGGAGCTTTGGAGCACAGCGCTGGCTGTACTGCTTGCTGATAGAGCTGCTGCAAGTGTCGTTGTAGGGGGAGGGTTGGAATGGGTTCGCACATGTGGCGATGGGCTACGAATAGGATTCGGAGCAGGGCTACCTGCAGCTTCGGGCAGAGTTTGGCCCGGCATCGCAGTCGATACAGCCACCAAATTGCTGGCATTGACGAGTGGTGTTGCCAAAGCCGACAAGGCTGGACCTCCCTGACTTTGTCGGTTCCTGCCTCCATCTCTAGCCAGCCTCGAGTCGGACGGGGGATTATTTGATGCCTGGTTATTTGCCCTCTCTTGGTCCAATAGAGAGAGCCGCATAGCCTCCATCAGCATCAACTGTAAACACGTTAGCCAACCATGGTGCAACGTCTGTGGGTTCTAGGCACCTCTTCAATATCCTGACACAGGGATATATCAATTCAAGTACATCATTATGGCTAGAAACCATACCTCGACAGTGGTAATACCCTCTGGGAGTTGCGTTCGACTGCTGGTGACCCCGACGGGTATCAGACGGTCACCCACCTGGCGCATAATGATCCGGCGATTTGCTCTACGTGCGACAGCTGCCTTTACGGCTGCAAGTCGCTCCTCCCAATCGGGCCGAATTTGATCTGCCAAAAGACGTGTCAAAGGGGGAGAGAATAGCGAGTTGCAGAGTCGGCCAAACGAACCTATAGTGACGACATTTGGATTGTCGTGACTGAGGCTCTTCCTACGCGAAGACTCTGACTGCGTCGAGGCACTCTTGTGCATGTCGGGTCTCTGAACCGATTGGGTCATTTTGAGCGAATTCAGACGCAAGCGGGAGGGCGTACAGTCATATGGGAGTCTGGAGAGAGGCCGGTTCTCCACGGAGGCGGGGTATAGGTGACCCCAAAGTTTTCCTGTTGGCAATAAGGGCAGCAGGCAGGCTCAGAGACGAGATGAGTCGGAGTGGGTTCGTTGCGCTTAATTTGGACAAAGCATTCCGTACATATTGCCTGGAAACAGCAGCGGGAGTGATTGATGTTTGGGGGATAATACTACCCAGCCATTCGGTCAGCATTCACAAAGCAAAGCGCTGCAGAAACGAGACGCGGGAGGATGCATACCATGAAACAAATGGGACACTCGATGGCACCCTTGTAGATTTGGGCATCTGACGGTCTCGGGGGCTCCCTGGACGAGCGCTGCTGAGACTTGCCGTGCTTGTGGGCATCGTGGGCGTGCTGGTCAGCGTCCGTGTCTGGTCCTCTGCGGTTTGCAAGTATTGTTTCATCGTCCCAGCTTTCGTCATAGTCCTCGAGCGGACGGTAAAAGGGGGCAAGCCGTCGCTCGAGGATCAAATGGCCAACTGTGTGCTGATTCCAGTCGTGAGGGCCTGTATAGATGCCGCGCGGGGTCAGAAACCCTCCATCGACGCGTGTTTCTGCCGTCTTTGACGTTGACGACGAGTTGCCCATTGGGGTCAGTGGTCAAGTCGTGGAATTGCTGCCACCGGGGGCTATTGTTATGTACATGTCTATTCTTCTTTGGACGCTCGCTGTTAGTTTGTTAGCAGTTGTTTGTACTTTGACGAGTAAGCTCACCTGTTGTCGCTCGTATTGCTCGCGAATGAAGCGTTTCTGCTTTGCCTGGTTGCGCTTGTCTTCTGGCAATCTGTCCATCATTTCCTGCTCATTTCTGGGCAGTTGAACTTGTAGTTTGTGAGCCACAGATCGAATGGCTGCTCGCGATAACACGCACAGTAGAGGAGAGCAGCACCGACGCCGATGACTGGTTAATGGTACCATGTCAGCGCGTGTGTTGTCATCATGGCATATACACGCCTACTTACTTGCAGCAGAGCCCACGGTGATTCTGCGAAGTGAGCGCAGCGTGTCTGGATTCATCCTTGACTATGTAAATAAATCTGATTAGAATTGGTGCCGTTGACGCTTTCCTTTGCGCCGTCTCCCAACGGTTTGTTCGGCGTCGCGGTTCAAAGTTTGACTTCTCCATCCTTCTCGCGGTTCTCTGCGCTGAGAACCAGCGACAGAAGCCGAGCGTCTGTTCAGTCTTGTTTATTAAACAGCTCCTTATTCCCGTCACTCGTTTGCGATTTCCCCTTCAGCCTTTGCCCCCCCAATGGTCCACATCTCCATCCACGCCCTCCGAAACCTCAATCATGGCGGCAGATTCTTCCCATACTCTGGTTATCTCGGTCTTACAAAGCTCACCGTCGAGGGGGTCGTCCGCACCCGCGTCGACGACGACCACAAGCTGCTACCCGCGTATAGTGTCACCGTCTCCGTTAAATGCTACGAGGCCCGCACAAAGCTCACCTATTGCCGTCTAAATACCCTCGTCGATGTCACAGACACCCTCTGGGCCAGCCCGAGCCCGCAGGAACCTGCAGAGATTGGCGACATGGAGCTCCCCTTTCGCATCGTCCTCCCTTCGACCATTCCAGGCTTTTCCACTCTTTCCTTTCCAGATTATAAAGTATTTTGGAGACTCGAAGCAAGTACGTCCTTTTTTTTCCAGCCTTTTTGTTCATTCTGCGAGGCCGCCCACCGGTAGACTTGCACCCCCGTCGCGTTCTCCATATGCTTCCACGGCTTTTGGGCCCATTTGGCGTAGACCGCGAGGGGCGAAACTCGTCCCTCCCGACGGCGTGTGGACTCTCCGGCCGTTCCGAGGTTTCTGCTACTCGTCAATTTCCCGTTTCGATAGCGATCCCTCAATCTGACCTCTGACAATTCAATTACAGCAATCAATCACCCTCAAATGTTTGGTCTCGGCGTCTGTCAGACGAGAAATTACGATCTCGGATTCACTCGCTACGACGTCCAGCAACGTCTTCCGCCCGTCTTGAATCCATCATCATCATCACCTCATCCTGGCTTTCTCTTTCATCCTTCAACCCCACGCGTCGGTCCGTTTTACTATCGCATTCAAGCTCCCGACCATCCGCTCGGTCCAGGTGACGACCTCCCAGTGAAAATAGCGTTTCTGTTCGAAAAGGGCACCCCAGCCATTCGCATCCAGACCGTGTCCGTCACTCTCCAACGCAGACTGGAACTGTTTGAAGCAGCAGGTGGTCCGAGCACGACAGAACTCCCCTCAGGTGGCCAGTCCCCTTACAGTTTCCAAGACGCCTCATCTTCAACTTCGCTACTCAGTGGCTCTCGCTCATCTCCAAACCTTTCCTCCCAGACCCTTTCACGCAAACGATCAACCTCTCCCCCTTGCAGCGTCGTCCTGCCCTCAAAGTCTATCAGCTCGCCCATTGTTTCTGCTCAATCGTCCGATTTTTATCAAAACGAGCCAGGCCGTCTCGATGCCACTGTATCTCTTGCGCTACCCGCACGACCTGCTCCAAGTCAATGGCCGATCGGAGAGTCTCTCAAGACAGACTTGGCAAGCATCCGATTCGATTTACTCATCAAGGTGAGTTTTCCTTACTTTCTGCTTTCCGATTTTAATCACTGCCTTTAGCTCAACATCTCATCCTCTTCTGGTCCGACCGAGCTGAGCTTGCAACCTTTAGAGATCAATCTATCCCCCATATCACAGGAGCAGCGGCTAGTTGCTACAACAAAGATTGCAAAGAAGCGCGCTGCCCGCGCAAAATCTGCCGCTAGTTCTAGGAGAGCTTCCCCAGCGCCTTCGACATCTGGTAGTAGCAAAGCCGAACCAGACACCCCTCCCCCGATTCCCAAAGCACCTTCCGTCGAAGGGTTTTCGTTCTTTAATCAAACCACTGCTGCTGCCTCGTCCCGTCCAAAGCGACAGGCGGAAGATAGCCTACCCAGAGGTCGTGCCTCGTCAAAACGTCGAGCAGCCCCAGCTGAAGATTCTTCACACGCTTTACGGTCCCCACAGTCTCGTGATTTAGCTGCCCCTGTTGCTACACCATTCATCTTGCCCGACGTCGCATCTCCTTCACTTCGACGGGCGCCTTCCACAGCCATTCGTGCTTGGGAAGAAGAGCTCGAGCGAATAGCGGTCAGTAGCAAGCGAAAGACGGAGAATATGTGGGGTGAGTCTGCCACAGACTCGGGACACGCCGTCAGGGCGCGATCGACACGTCCACCACGGCCACGAAGGAGTACGGTGACTGCTGCCACTTACACCTCTTTTAATTCTTCTTGATCATACCCGTGGGTTCTTTTCTTTAGTCCTGTCGCGTCTCAGTTCGTCCTGTCCTCGACGCCTTGCACCATGTACACCCCCATCGTGAATTTACCTTTACCAGAAACAGATTAACCTTGAAGATGACACGGCATTGTCAAGTCTATGAGCCATTTTACAGGCAAACGATGCAGAGCAAATGAGAGTTCAGAGTGGGGAGGTGTGCATAACAAAATAAGATCCGTCGTCACCCAGAGTCAACGTTTCTCGTCCCCTTTATGCAACCTTCACCTTGGCGATCTCGACGCCACCGGTTGCGTTCAAGACACGCTTGATGTCACCATAGATGGCAAACTGACCGGCCGTGAGAGTGCCAACCATGACCAAACTAGGATGCATAAGCTCTCCAACAAAGTGTAAAAACTGTGAATGCCTCACCGAGCTCCCAAGCCAGTAAACAATCCACGGAATCCCAATTCACCGGCCATCTTGACAAGCCGCGAGGTGACTGTCTCTCCGGGTTTAGCACTCGTCTTGTTGATCTTGGACAAGAGAGTATCCGCAGGCTGAGAGATGATTGCAGCAGCAAAACCAGCAACAAGACCGGCCCCGAGGTTCAGACTAGAGATGGTTCCAGGAGCCAGCTCGTTCTTAGGCTTGCCAGTGGCCTGAATCATTTTCTCCTAGAAATGATGTCAGACTAGGTCAGATCCGCGTCGGATCCCAACTCACAAATGCAACCTCGTACACTCCGAATTTAGCCATGGTATATGGAACCTGCTTGAACAAGATTGGACCAAAGCTTTGTTTATGAAATTCAGTATTTGCTTCGTATAATGTGACTGTGTAACTCACCCAGAGTAGAAGCCGGAGAAGCCTTCCTGCTTTGCAATTTTTGCGAATCCGCTGGCTAGGCCAGACGCAAAGGTTGGCTGCGAGACAAGGCGGATACGGGTAGCTTCCAACGGGCAGAGAGCAATGTCTGCAAAGAATTCTGCAATTGCAGAAGCTCCGAGATAGACAAGCGTCCTGTTCTCCGACGCCTTTTCTATGCCAAGGTAGTCGATAGCAGTCTTCTTCCAGAATTCGTATCCACCAAACTTGAAAGCGCCTTGGAGGGCATATCCAATAGCAGTAGGTCCGAACCCAGTGAGTAGCGCGCCAGCGCCCTCAGCCTGGATGACTTGTCGAAAAGCGGTGACCATGCCCTGCGAACGACTGGTCAGCGACGCACGTTCGCCACACAGAGACGAGAAAAAGCTGCTAAATAGTTGCTAGATGTGCACTGCGAAGACTTACCCTGTTGTAGACCTCTGGCTCTAGCTGAATCCTGGTTTTCACAACGTCGACGGGTGTCAATGCACCGTGCGTGATGCTACAGCAGGCGGCGCCGGCGAGAGCATAGCGAGCAAAGAGAGAAACACCAGTAGGCGGCGGAGGTGCTCCAGGTTTTGGCGGGAGATCTGCACCAGCGCGGATGGGGAAGTAGTCGAGAATAGGGGATCGGAACGCCGACATTCTGGGTGACGGTTCGATGTTTTTAATGAGTAAAGTGCGTCTAGAGAGCCTCTCTGGGCTTTGCACGGGTTTTGCTGTAAGTAGTGGTGGAGTCTAAAAGGCCTAACAATACGCCCGACTCCAACGCGTCGCCGCGGCTTTTGTCAGAGGGCCCACAAGAAATCCGGAATAAATTTTTACAGTGCTGTTCTACGTTCTATATAACTCCTGATATGCACCCGGCCAGCCGCATCGGCAAAGAACATTCTTCGGGAAGCGTTCTCCCATAGAACAACCCCTAGCTCGCGGGCATATTGGACGACAACTTCGTAGTCATTCATGGAAGCAAATTCTTTGTAGAGATATCCTGTCAACGTTGAGATGATGCCACTCACTCCGAAAACTAGACCGACCATCTTGTCCCTTGACACGGTGCCGCTCCAATTCCCAAAGACGAATTTGGTCTTGAACTGTGACGGGGATAATGGGATTCTGTCATTGGTGAGTAGTCGACACCGTCGATTCAGATTGCACAGACATTCTTCCTCATTTGCGGATGTGCATGAGTGACGAGGTAACTGAGTATCTAAATGCAAACGTTTGTAGTTTCTTCTCCCATGATGTGACTACACAACGTACCTGATCTGCTGTTATCCCGTTTACGAGCGCCTTCTTCACGCTATCTCGCGTGAGAGAGCCCATGATCATGTTTGGGAATCGTGCCTTGAATGAGACAAACAAGTTGAGTACCGCAATTTGCAATGGATTGTCTACAAAGCTTAAGCACCATGCTCGAACCCAATCTGCGAGATACGTACTGGTGTATGCATAAACGTGATAATTCGTTTCCAGAACGACAAATTCTTGCGATAGATCTGCTCCATTTTCTATCGTCAAATCATGGTCGGAGAATGAGCTTGTATAAGACGTTAGTGTCGTTGCAAACCGAGTTGGTTGGAAAGAGGTTGTGGTATCCTGCAATATCGTGATCTAAGCCCTTATCCTCCGCGCCAACCAATCTAAAGCTCACCGAAGGAAAGTAGACAAGTCCGAAATCACGCAAATCGGAGACCATGATAAGCTGCGTCGGCGACAAGGTGTGTGTTGAATAATGCTTGGATTCCGAGGTTAAGAAACCAGATCAAAGTTTGGTGTGCACATACCTGTCCGGGTTGAGTCATAGACAACATGAAGAAGAAACCGAGGATGTCGACCATATCCATATCTTCTCGCTCCTGGTCGAGTCAGGGCGGCCGACACATTGGGGGGCATCAACTTACTGCCATCATGCGTAAATATGATAGTATAAACTCCCATAGCTGAGCATGAGGTGATTGAAGAAGAAATTGGAACCCAGCCGATGTAATGATTCGACGACCATGTCTTGCCTGGTGGTAAGTCCGAGTCTAGAGCTAAAAGTCGAGGACTCAACTCGTTACTCATGAGGCCACTATGCTCCAGAAGATATAGGACACCTTCTGACGGCCGTGCAGATGCCTGCTCGGTGCCGGATGTTACCATAAAATGGAGGATCGTCTGTGCTTTTGTGAGCGCTCAACACTAGTTGCATGATTGCGACGGACATCCCATCTTTCTACTGCATAGTTATCGAGCATTTCAGTGGGGAGAGTACCCATGTCATTATCTGGTTCGACCAGAGCTCCAAAGCTTGCTACTTGCCCACTAAATGCTAGTTGAGCAAAGTCATCATCAGCGGAAAGCTTCACATACCTTCCAGTGAGACCATTTCTAAGCCCAGACTTGAACGAGGCTTGCAGTAGTATCTGTTCCTTTGAGTTTGGGAGTATTTGCAACTTGGCGAGCGACTTCAAGGCATGCTCGTACGCACTGATTGGAATCATCAGCACATATGAATTGTACATATGAGGCTCGCACCTCCTACCCTCGAGTGTAATCCAGTTTGTGATACTCTGCGTTTCAACGGGACCTTCTAGCCAGAGGAGGCTCATGACGAGTTGTCTCTCTAGTGGAGAAAGCAGTCTTACGATACCCTAGTTAGAGCTTGACGACCTAGCGGGTCTGGCGTCCGCACCGTATAATGGCCAGGCATGCGGATGGGCGCGTATATAATCTCTGCAATGTTGTTGGTGTTTGAGAGTGCAAAAAATCTATCAGGGCATGTGTCGTTGGATTTTCTTGCTTTTTGGACATTTTTTTCTTGGGCGTTTGGGAAGGAGCGCCACCTTTGCCGGAAGTACGCGTTCTACAACTTGGACCCGCCCATATCCTCTGTGTTAGTGCCGTAGCCAAAATGATAGCCTCTGGCATACGAGGGAAAGCCTCCCTCGTCTGTCCAACTGCTCCGACGGGAGCCAGAGGCTTTGGTACGGTCCTTCATACCCTGGGCCTCGCGTCCCTCCGTCGACCGCCGCCTTCTGGCATCCTTGCGCAAGCAAATAACATTCTCCAGCGCAATATACCGCGCTTGACCCGTCTGCTTGGACATCCACCTCCGTCTGCCCAGCCCGTGTCTCTGAACCGGATTCAGTATGGCCTGAGCCGTGGGATCTCCAGTGGCTTTTCATTTCCAAGCCGGACAATCCTCTCGCGTCCACTCAGAGCTGCTGGTCTCCCACGAGCACCGACGCTCACCCGGCCCTCGTTTGAGGTCGGGCTTGGGACCGTCCGAAGATTTGCATCTCATACCACCTTTCGACATGTTATCGAGAAGACGTCCATCACGGCACGAGCATTCTGGGAAGTTGACTGGGACATCAAGCCTTCTATGGGAGCCAGACAATCAAAGCAAACGCGCAGAAAAGGGGATAAGCGCAAAGCACCACGCATGTCGAGGCCCTCGTTCAACGTCGAGGAACAGCTGAATCGCTATTTCCCGATCACTGAATCCTCGCGGGCGACCGTGCTCCAGATTGCTCTGGCACCCACCCCTTCGAGTCGAATTCCATTCGCCATTTCAGCAGACACTGTACCTCTCCTTCCACTTCGTGTCATCCTTGACCAACATGACGCCTATCAAGCTAGAGTAGAAGACGCCAACGCCATCTTCAGCGTTTTGGATGCCCACAATGTATGGGACCGCGGTGCTTCCATTCAAATCTGGGGTGATCCGACAGGCCTATGTGTAGAACTCCGAATACACTTCGCCGGATGGTCAGAGGAAGATGTTGTGACCATGCTCGGGCCTCTGTCATCACTTCCTGGATGTCACATACAGTGCGTGAGCAATCATAACAGTAGTCCAGTGGCAGTTCCTGTGGTTCTGGAACCAGACCTGCCACTCGAGTTCATGATGCCGAGTATTGTTATCAGCGACAACTCCAGTGAAACCTCCGACTTCTTGGACATCCCGGTCTTCTCTTCTGCACACTGGGACGACGTAGAGCCATCATTCTCAAGTGGTCTCTCATCTCCTAACAGCGAGAGTACTGTGTGGAGCGAGTCAATGCTGTCAAATACAAGCAACAGCGTACATACACTGAGCTCAGCATTCCTCGACCGACTCCAGCAGCTTGAAGATCCATCGTTCTTTATGTAACCAGGGCTATGATATTGCCAAACCTATGTAATCGATCCATTCGCCTGCTCTGAGTCACAATGATAAGACACGGATCACAGATTTTAGGCAATGATGTCTGTTGACCATGAAGGCCACAAACGTCACTGGAGACTAATGATGAGCTCAAGCGTTACTGAGCATTTTCAAAAGCATTGGAATTAAGAACAGATGATAGTTGTCTACACCCAGAGGACTTGTTGCACACTAAACAGTACACAATAGAGATAACAAGCAGGAGACCTAAGGGTGATTAGTTATGAAGAGGGTTAACAAAAGTATTTTTCTGACTTTTCCCATGGTCACTTCTCCTCCATTCCCCCCATAATTTACTCTAAAATACTCCATAGTATGCCGAGATCATTCCTCAATTTCTCTGCGTTTTTCTACACATTCTGGTTTAGAATGGTGGCAGGTGGTGACAGCCCACTGGTTTGCTCACTACTTTTCTGTCTCCAGGTATGTAGGCTCACAAATAGCTCACTACATTTGCTGCTTTGCTCACTACTTTTCTGCCGCCAGTAACTAGAAGCTTTGCTTAAAGCGGTTATAAGCCATGTGGCCTAGATTTCATCTTCATCATCTTACCACACTTTGGATCGCCACGAAAATTGCCGACCAGGCTCCACATATTGCTCACCAAGCATACAAAGTCTATTCGCACGCTTCCTATTACTGGTTTGACCGGTACAGTATTCATTTCCAGTCACCAAAGTTCATCCAAATCGCGCGGATCTGAAACTAAAAGCTTTCAAGCGACGCTATTCATTCATAGTTGAACTGTGCTGCCTCGACCATTTCTTCGTGCTCTGTCACCATCCTCCACCAACACACTTCCCGCATCTTGCTTAGCAACCGGCTGTCTGCATAGTCCTTTGGCACTTCACTCGAGCACACTTTCACCCGCCATATACACGTCACAAAGCTCCAATTCAACTATTTTTCAATGTCTGAAAATTTAAAAGTTGACATTGCACCGCTTTTCGCTGCCAACTGGCCGCAGTGGTCTGTGTAGGTGCGGGGAGCTGGCTGCTCGTAGCCTCTGGGGCATCATCTCTGGTAGCAGAGTACAGCCAACAGACTTGACAACACCAGAGGCTGCAGAATACAGCAAGGATGCCAAGTGTGCTACTGGGCTGCTTATTCGTTATGCTGGACGAGATGCCCAGGCTTCTGAGGCACACTCTCGATTCATCAGCCTGCAGGACACTAGTTTCAGCTTCGCAACGCTCAACAACGAATTGTTTGCGATAGGACTTATTCAGGCTATGGGTGATTCCTATAGCACCCTTCGAACCAACATTTGTCCCACTATCAGTAAAGATGATGTCCTCAGTGCTGTACATGCTGACCAGATACGAGATGATACACGCACATCAGATTTCAGTGAAGCAGCTCTCATTGCCACATCTACGCCGCCCACAGCAAAGTTCTGTGACTGGTGCAAAACCAAGACGCATAATACAGAAGCTTGTCGATCCATGACCAGAGCCACAGGAGAGCAATAAGAAGAGCAAGGGACAGCAGAAGTAGTCGCAGAGTGTACTGGAGCTGCAAGTCGCCCTCATTCTTCACATTCCACACCTACTAATACACATTGGAATCCACCATGGCACCACAAGCCATATGACACCACACAAGAAATGAATACATGATGTGAAACTCTATCCTGTACCAATTCGCTTAGGTGATTGCTTAATACTGTTTTCGAAAAGATGTTGGTAATGTTTGGTTTGAGCGAGAGATTGATGTCCATGTAGGCCTCCAGCTAGATCGATATGTTTGTACATACTTGCTTTCTTTGAATCATGATATCTTCCCCACTACAAGCTTCTGCTAGCACTACTGCAACATTTATTTACGAAGCATGGAGTTGATGCCAGCATCCAGTGGAAAAGAAATGGTGTTTCACTCTCAATGCGGCAATGTCCTCTTCATAGCAAGTGTAGGGAGTAACTATGCAGCCTCTCTAAATGGTCGCATACTTCCCATCGCTCCTGCATCTTCTTAGGCCCCAATTTGTAGCACCACTCACGCTTGAAACATGGCGCATTCAAGCCTGTCACCGCAGTCATGACACTGTAGACTAAGCATACAAGTCTGGAGCAATCAAAGACATTGTTATTGAGTCATCAGCAAATTCAGATTAACTTTGCCCTGCTTACATTGCGGGAAAACACTCACGTTTATCATTCCCCCATGAGCTACTTGCTCCATTGAGCCACTCCAGCATGTTCATACCACTCTCCAGAGTTCCATGCGTACTCAGACCAAGTCTGGGAAGCGGTAGAGATGACAAAGGTGGCGAGTTTATGTCTGACAATTGTGATAACCACCAAGTTCAATGGTATTCAGCATCAACACACCACACGTACCATTTTACAACAGAATGGCATTACAGAACGTGCCAATCGTGATATAGGCGATGGTGTGGTCACTCTGCCGTCTCAATCTGGCCTACCTGATTGCTGTTGGAGTGAGGTTGCAAATGCTTTCATACACATCGTAAATCAATTTTCTCGATTCATTGCACTTGAGACTACACCCTTACTAGCTCTGGCAAAAATCAAAACCTTCAGTGACTTACATATCCACCTGGGGATGCATAGCCTGTTCGCATGTACAAAAAGATCAGCGAGATGGAAAGTTGACACTATGAAACCGAGCACAAGGCTTGGCGATTTTGGAATTTAATCAGTAAGGAGTTCATACGCTCAAGAGATGACATTTGGGCAGAAGACAGCATTTTACATCTGCACCTAAGCCAGACAAACGTTGCCGACGCATTGCACAGTTTTCTACAGCCCCGATTGAAATCCCAGTGAAAAGATCTCAAAACTCACATGTCTCTCCAAACCCATTGCCACTTCATTCACCTTCAGAACCAGTATTCTGCCTGACAGCCCATCTGATGACCGACTTATTCTGCATCAAGCGAAGAGTATTGGTGAAAGTGGACTTTACTCTTGATCAGGCTCGAGTATGTACATGTTGCAACGACCAAAGGTCCTGAGTCTCCCTCATTTCAAGAGGTAGGTAGTGGCGTTTCTAGCTCGCGACCAGTGGCTTGCAGCAAGTCTGGATGAGATCTGTGCTCACACAGAGAACGAAACGTGGAAATGAGCTGAATTACTGTTGGCTCGAGGTTTGTTCTCAAGGTGTCTGTGGAACGTTTCAAAGCTCGATTTGTTGCTCAAGGGTTCAGTCAGCGTCCTGGATGGTATTTCTTTGACAACATTGTGTTGCAGTGATGCTGACAAAGGCTTGAAGTAGTGGGAGAGATCATGACTCGAAAAACAAGTATGTACAAATTACCGACCTAGCTAGAGCACTGAAGCAACCAATTCCAACACATTGCACCAATCATTCGACTTTCAGTAGTACGCGTTATCTTTGTATTGGTGGTCGCTCGAGACATGGAATGCGACTCACCGAACATCACCACTGCCTTCCTCAATGCTGACTTGGACAAGACCATTCACATGAAACCACCAGATATCTATTACTGCAGCTAAGAATCCAGAGCACCAAAGCCGCATGAAATACATCAATCCCATTTATCATGCACTCAGGGAGTCTGTGGAGCATGGTGAAGTGTCTCCTGTATTTCAGCTCATGAAATGACTACAGATATTTTCACCAAGGCTCTAGATCGAGTCAAGTTTGAAAACTGTGTCAAGATGCCGGGATTACATGTATAGGTGATGATTGGCCTCATCAGGATGGAGTGTTGAAGTATTTTTATGACTTTGTCTATGGTCATTTCTCCTCCATTTCTTCCCATGAATTGCTACAAAATGCTCCATGATACTTTGAGACTATTCCTAAATTTCTCTGCATTTTTTCACACGTTTTGGTTATTTAGCAAACATTTCAGTTCAAAGTACAGTGCACTAGATGCTGACATGTTGGTCATAAGGTGTGTTATCTGTTGACAATAATATAATTAAGTGGAAAGTTAGGGTGGCAGGTTTGTCAGTTGCAATTGAGAGGCATTTTGCTTTCAGGGTGGCAGATGGTTGAACACCTCATCTTAGGTATGATTACTCAGTGTTTGAATCATGTTTCCTTGCTTATTGTGATTACCCTAGTCATTAGACAACCTAACAATAGCCTGGGCATGCATCCATAAAGGACCTATAAGTATAGGGACGAGCAAAAGATTACCGAGTTTTGACGTTCCAGCAAGGCCAGGGAATCTATAAACTTCTTTTCCAAGTCCGAGTTACCGATAGCTTTAGCAGCGGCTGTCATCTGCCGAATAAGTTCCTGAAGTCGTCGGAAGGCGCGAATGATTGTTCCTTCGAACTGGTCTGTCAGCTTTTAGTGGGGTCAGTATGTATGAGTTCCCAGTAAGGTATGTTGTTGACCTTGCAAATCTCTGAGAATTTGGCTCCCCGACACCATTGCATGACCGCGTCCATCAGTTCTACTTTGAACTGCGCGACGTAGTCCGCCTCGACAATGTCTAGCTTCGACTCCTTGGAGACCTTTGCAATCTTGCGCGCGATCTCCTGCATTGAACGTAGCGGGCTCGCAAGCTCCTCCTTGAGCTTCACTTGCTGTGAGCTCTGCATTTTGGGTCAGTCATTGGGTCCTATGACATCCCGTATGCGCACCTTTTCACCAAAGACAAAGCAACTTAGAAGCGCTGCGCATTGTTCTGGCGATAGGGTGTTGAAGATACCTTCGAAGATCATCTCTGTAAGAAGCAACTCATCACCAGTAGAGATTTCACACGCGACGCGCCCTTTCATCTCGACGACGTCTGATGGATCCGAGAACCCGAGGCGCCGTAACACGCGCTTCCGACACTTCAGCTCCTCTAATTGCATGATATCGTGTGCCACTTGGATCCGTTTCCGTAGGGCACGTATTTTGGCTTGCGCCTCTTCCTTCTGGGCAAAAGCATCGTACCGCAGAGGTAGATTTGGATCGAGAGCCAGTGGATGCTGGGAGATGCGTTCATCGAGGATTTTCATTTTCTACTGGTATTAAATGTGCGCGTCCTTTGTTGGCGATCACTCACCTCTATGAGCTCTAAAAAGCCTCGATCCTTGATGTCCATATTTTCTACAGGATCCAAAAGGGGTATGGATGAAGGCCATCTTCTTTGTATCTCTCTGACTGCCTTCCAGGCAGTTTCGCGGCTAGGTTCCGGCCGGAGGTCTTTAGGCAGGTGGATCCTTAAATGACTGATAGAATACACCGTGGACAGGAGCACAGGCACGACTTGAATAACCGACGCGGAGCCTGACGCATCTTTTGGTGCAGGAAGTAAGTCATCGAGTTGCCGGGCATCCGCACCTGATGATCGGGCGCACGAAAGCAGTACATCAACGATGTACTGCGATTGCGCGTTCGAATCATCATCGTTAGATGACAAAATGCGTCCCTGTGAATCATTGAGCGAAATGATCATGGACCTTTCACGACCCACCTTCGGCGGTGCCTTTTTCGAGAAGTTGACAACTACTCCCCATCCAAAGTCCAGGAAGCCATGCTTGATTTGGACGAGCCGTCCAGGTTGAAGGAATGGTAGAATATGGCTTGGATGTGTGATGACCGCATGAAAGTCCTTTTCTAGGTTCTCCATATGCTTTCGCAGTTCATAGTATTCTCCAACGGACTCCTCGTCAGGTACATGTATATTCTCGTACCGCTCCTGCGCCAGAGCCAGTTCTAGATTGGCTCAGCTGTGTAAGGTCAACAAGTGATCAACTCTACCTTGTTCGAGCTGGGGAACTGACGCGCTGTTTTGGAACTGAAAGAAGCAGTGTTCGAGCATGTATTCTGGGCTCACTCCTTCAACTCTCATCAGATTGAGGATCATGTTGTAACTTAGGTGAAAGGCCGAATCGAGGCGATCAGCCTCGCCTTTCACCATTGTTTTGGCTGCTTCTGGATCAAGCTTTTTATCGACCATCATGATAACAACCCCGCGGTCGTCCAGTCCACGTCTTCCGGCCCGCCCTGACATCTGGATATACTCACCAGATGATATGGTCCGGAAGTCGTGACCGTCAAATTTGCGAACTGATGTGAACACAACCGTTTTGGCAGGCATATTGAGACCTATCGAGAAGGTTTCCGTTGCAAATAAAACCTTGATGAGCCCTTCCTGGAAGAGGATTTCGATCAGTTCCTTCAGGATTGGAAGAAGCCCGCCGTGATGGATACCAATACCGCGCCGCAGCAGAGGAAGTAAGTGTTCGACTTGGGGGAGATTGCGATCGTCCTCTGAAAGTCCGCTAACGGCATTCGTAAAGACCTTTGACACCATATCTTGCTCTTCTACCGAGTTGAGTTCGAGCTTGGCCATCATAAGTGCATTCGACTCGCAATCTCGCTTGCTGAACGAAAAGACGATAACGGGATTGTACCCCTTGGTCATGATCATCTTGACAATCTTGTAAATGTCCGCCACGCCTGATAGACGTCACCGGATTTGTCCACTGCGTGAAGCCGACGAACCTTTCTGCCCCCCTTTTCTTGATTTGCCCTGTCTGCCCGCCCCAGATGTTATACTGGAAGGGTCTTCCCCAGAAAGATCCGATAGTAAGCCCATGGCCTTCTGAAAATTGTCCTCGCGAAACTCGCTCCGTTCGTTGACGACCAAGTATATTCCTTCACCTCCGACAGGGAAAAGGTAGTGTTGTAAAGGGGTTGGCCGAAAGTCCGTGTAAACGACATGACAAGGCTGCTCATGAACCTTGGAGATCCATTCAGCAAACTGTTTGGCGTTGGGGATGGTTGCTGAGAGAAATACAAAATGAACCGTCTTCGGTAGAAGAATAAGCGTCTCTTCCCATACGACACCTCTTTCTATCCTGGCCTAAGTCTCTATCGTATGAAAGCCACATTTATGCCTACCTTTATCGCGCATATAATGGATTTCATCAAAGATGACCCAAGCCACCTCACGAACGACCTCGGATCCACGGTATAACATAGAGCGAAGAATCTGGTCACACATAAGTAAGGATTTTCGATGAATCGAGGATGAATGTACTTCGGTTGTCATAACAAGACACGACGCATTTGGGTTTAAAGTGACATCGCCCGTCATCAGTCCGACATCACCAAAATCCTTGAGTAGTTCTCGATATTTTTGATTGCTCAAGGCCTGGGAATGCTTAGTGGCTATTTTTTTGAGTGGCGAACACCTTACACACCTTGATAGGGCTCGTATAAATCACTCTCTGCTTGCTGCGAAGACACTGAGCGACTGCATACTCGGCAACGACAGTTTTTCCAGCACTAGTATGGGCCGAAACTAGTACAGACTCATTGCGTTGAATGGCGTGAATAGAGACCTCTTGGAATGGGTCGAGTTTGAATGGATACGTCCGTGCCGGGTTACTATCTGGTTCATGCGTCGAAATCGGGACGTAATTGTAACCTGGAGGGACTGCGACTTGATGGCGAACCTGCACGGGGGAGTCATTATGAATCTGATTTGGTAGCTAGGCGCAACTTTCTTGATGACTGAGTGAGATTTTGGATCCAGCAACGATCTCTGCCCCCGTTAGACCAGCACTTGCGTCGACCTCTCGTTGGGCCTCTGTTTCGAACTCGTCGAGAACCAATGGCTTAGGAGAGTCAAGCTTCGGCCTTTTCCTATCCGTGTGACCGTTTTGCGCGCTAGCTTTACGTTTTCGATTGTCAGAGGACATGGTGGCAGCAGTCCAAAAAGCTGAACACCAACTCCACCATGAGTTCTGACACAAAATCACAGGAGACGCAAAGGGTGATCGAGAATGCGACTCCAAAGGACGAGCAACAGTTGTCTATTCGCGAACAGCAAAACGAGCCCAACGACGCGTCTCTACCGGGCACAGATATCAAGGTGCTTAGCGAGGTTTCCCTCCTGGTCGACAGACTTTGTTCTTCTTCATCTACTCTCTTTTCCATGTTGTTGACGCCCGCTCTGTGCCGCTGCTCGTACCTCGTCAGCTTGCCAACAAGGTATACGTCGGCAACTTGCCTGATGACACGCGCGAGGCAGACCTTCAAGATTGCTTCAAGGAGTTTGGTGTGATCAAATCTATAGAGCTAAAGTGGGCGGTTTCTTGGCACACACTCGTTGTCGTTCATCCTCTGATCATCCGCATCATCCGGTCTTGATAGAACTGGTTATGGCTTTGTGGTACGTCTCATGGCAACCCCTGTCGACATATTGGTCCAATGCGATGTCAGGCATTTGATTCTCGTCAAGCGGCAGAGGAGGCAGCCAAAACTTACAACGGTGGCTCATTCCTAGGCAATACCATTCGCGTTGCACCCGCTCACGGAACCAACAAAACTGGGTCTAAATCCCTGGTTGAACCTGGGGCGTGCTTCAAGTGCGGTAACCACGGTCATTGGGCAAGGTAATGCCAATTTCTTTGACTATCAACGGTGTCTTAGTACCATGCAGAGAATGCCCTCACCACCAAGGCGTTATGTAAGCGAAATAACCACGACTTTAAAGAGGGTCTCAACTATTTGTATTGGTAGACCCCCTCGTGACTGGCATGATCGCGGCAGAGATTCTGGCTACGGCGATCGACGGGAGTCAGATAGATACCAGCGAGGCAGTTCCATGCATGATACTCGTGACTATAATCGTGTAGCGACTACACCTCGACTGGAAGATGGATATGGTCCTGGGAGAGACTCGGGGCAACGAGGTTTCCGACGCTACTCGAGCGCGCAAGACACTGGGACGATTCGGGATTATCCCTCACAATATGATTATGACGATAGGAGGCCTTCTGGTACCCAGGGTTCGTATGTTGCACCACGCCAGCATGTGGAACCGCCATCCCGTGGCGTGCTTTATCAAGACAGGGGGTATGAGAGAACCTACGGGGACTCACCTTCGTATGACTCGAGGGCATATTCATACCCGAACCAGCCTTCTCGTACGGGGGTTAGCTCCAGATATGATCCTCAGCCACCAGAGCTATTTCCTTCTTCCCAGAGCTATTCTCACTACCCGCCAACAAAGTAAGTCAAAAGACACGGTGGTCTCGTGACGTACGGGGGCTCATTTTGTCAGGGATCAGGCCTTTGAGCGTTCGCCGGTCAGGCGCGGTCGGGTAGGCGACTACAATGATGGAGGGCGTCCATACAACCGGTTTGTCATCATCTCATATATTCAACTACCACTGAGCCCAAGTTTCTAGGAGGAGGTCCGCGTCGCCTTCAGCAGTGTACCGTGAACCTACGGGCTCTCGCAGCTCGCAGAACGTCGGATATCAGAGACCGTCCGGGTATACACCTGGTCCTGGGAGATTTCCTCCAGATTATTCTACGGTTGATGAACGTTCGCGAGCTCCTGTCCCTCCTGCGGACCGTTATCGTGATAGGCCTTACCGCCCGTATACATAAGTATGGGATAAAATTTGTGTCAATTGTGATATCGAGAAATATATGTCGCTTCTTGTTTTTTTTGACTATTGCTCGGGTGCACGTGGAGAGCCGACCTTGACGGCGAGCAATCCCTCAACATGCGCGAACGGGTACGCGTTCGTGGCACGCATTGTCTTGCCATTGGCGCATTCTGCTCGTGAGTCCGTTTCCAAACGGCCGGCCGGATGCTAGACTGTTGATTGCGACAGGATCCTTTCGCTCATTCTTCAAATCGCGATACATGTAACCCCTCTTCATGCTTTTGCCTACAGCTGAGTTCTTACAATCGATTCATAGGTATCTCAAGCGTCGACGGGTGCGGGACGGGATCTTGCTATGGTACGTCTAGTACAGGTTTTTGGTCCGGAAGGCTCACGCCCGAGGTTGTTGTTTCGACCAGGTCAAGGTCAATCTACAAGCACTGGGGTAAAAATTCTCTCTCTCGAGCTTACAAGTGATGATATTCACGAGTGCATCAGACCAGATATGCGCGCCGTCTTTGGCAACAGCTCGATTCATGACGACCTGTATAACACGACTGAGCACGCCCCGCTTGGCCAATCCCTTGGCTTACGGCACGAATACCGCTGGGGACTGTATGGCTATTGCGCGTACATTCTGGAGCCAAGCACATATGGCCAGTGCAGCAATGTCACGTTTGCATCTGGATGGACGCCATTTGAAACGATCCGGGGCGACATCCCGCCCAATTACTTTGTGCAAGTCAACGAATTTATCATCAAGCCATTGAGAGACTCTCCGTATCTGGGCACGCTGTCCCATGTCGCATTCTATCTGATATTCATGGCGACACTCGCCACTATTCTTGTCATCCCACTGTAGGTCGCTCCTGGCCGGCATCTGGAAGCTCATGACTGATCTATCTCTACAGTGGTCTCATCCGCACGACCCTCACGTTTTTGTGCGCTGCCATTCTCTCGTGTGCGTCTGCCGTGGCGCTGTTGATTGCGTCGAGTATGTGGACATCGATCGTGTCGCATGTCCAGGCGACGAACAAGACGCGCACAGGCATCTATGTCGATTCTGGGCATTCACTCTACCTCACCTGGGCCGCGTTTGCGTTTTCGCTTGCGTCGGTGCTGCCGTATGTAATCAGGTGCGCTTTCCCCGCCTGGCTTGCGCGTGTTCTTTGCTGACGGCTGGGCGCAGCTCTCGGACATTCCGCCGGTTTTAGAACTGTATTTTGTATTTAGTTTAGTACAATCGAGGACGAGCCGACTTTGGGCTGGACGTCACGTGTGTTTAGCCGCTTTGAGCTTTGGACCTAGACGCTACACTTATTCTCTGAAGCGAGTCCTTGAAGAACCGACGATATGCAGCTCCGACTCAAGGGAGAGGTCTGCATCGGCGTTGCGTCGCTTTTCTCGTACGTCTTCAACTAGCGCGGTGCGGCGCAGGCCCAAGTCGGTCGATTTCCTCGGACAACACTGACGGCGTCGGGACAGTTTTGTCGCGCTCATCCTGCTCATCATGGTCAATGTATGCAAAAGGCGACCAGAAATATAATCTGCGTATTCTAAAACGCCCTTCAGGTCGGCCAAATCAACCCAGGTCGTGTTCCAAGGTCGATTTCGATGGTATGTTCAGGTTCAAGTCGAATCCTGTCTGCTAAGCGCGTTCCAACAGGTCAATATGAATGTCACAGCGCTGGGGTATGCACCGTTTATCGTTCACTCAACGAGCCCTCGCTGATTCGTGCTCGCAAATAGCGCGTCGTTGCAAGCCGCCACCGGCGATCCCTCACAGGGCCTGTTTAACAGTACGGACTGGGTGCTCGGAGCAGGAAGGGGTCTTGAACCTCTTTATTCATGGGGTATTTATGCCGTCTGCGGCTACAATCTCACAAACGGCGTCCAAGGCGCATGCTCAACGTCCTCACTCGCATATCCTTTTACACCCTTTGAGGTTATTATCAACGACACCCCGCCACGATTCAACAACACGGTCACGTTCTTCATCTCAAACGCCAATGACGTGGACAAATTTATCAATTCGAGCTATTTCAAGACAATCACAAATGTCGCCTTTTATCTCATATTTATTGCCACGATTGCCACCGCAGTAGCATTCTTCATGTATGCTTGCAACCCTACCAGTCTGACAGCGAACAACTGAACTGACAATTGTTGCTTATCCAGCGGAATCTTCAAGACGACCGTCACGTTCGTCCTTTCAGCATTGCTCGCAATGATATCTGCTATCTTCATTCTTGCGGCTTCCATACTCTGGTCCACCATTATCCGCCAAGCGAAAACCATCAACGACGCACGCTCGGTCAGCATTTCAGATCCCTCCCCTTTGGTCGACACTCATTTTCTGCAGAACCAAGGTATTTCCGTCGGCATCAATGTACAACAGGGAAATGCGCCCTATATGCTATGGGCCGCCTTTGCGCTCCTCGTCGCGTCCATTGTGCCATATACAGCCAGGTGCGTTGCCTCCTGTTGATGCGCAAACACTAATTCTTTCTTTCACTTAGTTGCTGCACCTTCCGGCGTCGTTAACGAGGTACATAAATGGGCTTTTCTCGCGACGGCTGTCGTCCACGTGTGGGGATATGTACAATTGTAATTCGCGGGAACCGTTCACTAGATATGCCTCTGCAAATATCGGATGCCAAGTTAATGCTAATAGTCTATAATTGGGGGAGATGGGGGATGCGAGTGAATGTCCTTCAGAGAAGCGAGCAGAACGAGCACTTGAAGTTGAAGAATTCCTTGAAGATGATCGCTATAGACATGGTTAGACTCGGGTCCAATGTGAACTGGAGAGAGACTAGAGAAGAACTTACGCAAAACAATGAGAGCCGTGAATGTACCGACGGCGAGTGCGTAGACGACACCGTATTTCACAACCATCCATCGCCTTTGCTTGCGAACCTTCATTGAATAGAGTGGCGCGCGGATTTGTTTCGAAGGGCGAAGCCAGACTGCACAAAAAGTCAGCGAGTTACACACGTTGTCGCCCAAATCTGACTCACAGAGCATAGTCGAGTGCGCCTTATCAATGTACGGGATGAGGATTGGCGGCGTGAGTATGAAGAGCAGAATATGGCCAAGCAAGAAATCGCCCGACCAGAGCGTCATCTCGACAATCTTGACGATAAACTCGCGAGCCGGCTGGGACATGACGCTCGAACCGAGTCCACGTCCGTACCACTTTCCAGTCCACCAAGCCCTGTTTGTTTCGTCGTGCTTGAATTCTCTTGAGAGGAAGACGGAGATAAGTATTTTGGTGACCGCTCGCTGAATGAAGACAACGGCAATAATGCCGAGCGTAGCGTGCGACGCGTCCCATTGTTCCAGGTACCACTTGAAACCGGTCAGTAGCTTCTCAAATTAGATTAGCAAAACTTACCAAAAATTCGAAGAACGCGATGAGTCCGACAACAGAGCATCCATGTGCAATTGCTGCAATCAAAGAACCAAACTTGGGGTAGCAAGTGGCCATCATTGGTCCCAAGAAGAGTGATACGAGGAAGAGAATGATCAAGACCGCCGCATTCCAGACAACTGGACCCAGCGAGATGACTGCGATGCGGAGAAGAGGTGACGGCCCAAACTTCTTTGTGACCGGGTCCTGGAAGGAGTTGACGAACATGTACGAGATGACGAAGAGCATGGCCATGATCACGGGGAAGATGATCTCGCTGAACAGGACGTTGCGCCATTTGGCTCGTGGTACATCTCCTGACAACTTCTCCGATGGGTGTCCCAGTTTCTTCTTCTTGTATCCGGTGATCATAGTTCTGGACATGCGACAATAGCCAATCCAAGAATTGACGTGAGACAGCGAGTTTCCGCGCGACATCCATCGGAGGAACTCGCGGTAATCAATGATAAAGTCGGCGAAGAGGAACTGATGGGGATTGAACAGGAATGGTGCGATACAAAGAGCCATCACAGTGATCCAGAAGTAGATCAAGTGAGGCATCCACAACGTTAGTGAGATGTAGAGGAGCATAGCAAGAGTGCGCATTCCAAGGTAGATGCTCGGGCCGGCGAAGCGAGAGTACAGCTTACTGAAAGGCTCACGCACAGTGGCGAAGCCACGACCGGTAGCGATGTATCGAGCGCCACCAAAGTTGATGTTGCTAATGATGGAGTGTGTGTAGATCTGAGTGGAGAAGACTTCGAAAATCGGCGACAGTGACAAGAAGTGCTTGCCAAGTCGAATAAGAGCACGGCCGGTTCCACGTTCGGTGAGTTCTGTAGCATGTCAATATCGGGCACGGAATCAATGGGCGCCGAGGCATTACCTTGGAGGAACAAAGGAAGGAAGGCAATGAAGAAGACGAGGAAGATGGAGATGATGCATCGTCGAATCCACTCGAACACTGGGACCAAGTTGTAGCAACCGTTTTGTCCACCAATCAGCTGGTTCGCAGCTGTGTACTTGCAAATGAGGAGTTGCTTATTGAGAGTACCGAGGAAGACCACTGGGAAAGGATAAATAAGTGAATGGAGGCGTAGATACGACTCTAAATACTCACAGGATACCATGAAGACTTGCACGGACAGAATGACCATGATGTTGTTGATATGGAACCCAGGGTGACCATAATAGAATGTAAGGAAGCGGTCAATGGGCAATTGGGTTCCGAGATAGTAATACTCTCGACTAAGCATCTGCTCTCCCATACCAGTTCCAATCTTGGTTTGGAAATTGAGAATGGTTCCAAATCCGAGATCACGACCCTTTCCGCATTGGTAGTACTCGGTGTGCTTGATCCGACCACCTCGCCCAAACGCATTCATTCCAGCAAAGATATCCTCGTTCAGGTGCAGTCCCTTTTGCGCCTTGGACACACCACCACGCGTGTTCATGAACAGAGCATTGAGGAAATCGGGGTGACCGTAGTGCAGCTTGCCCCCAACCCACGACAGATAGCGTGCAGCAAGGGTACCGAACGTCTGTTCCTTTCCAGCTGCGACGTCTCCCAGAATACCAATGTTCTCCGAGAAGATGTACTCGCGTGCTCCAACGATGGCGACCGGGCTCTTAGTAAAGTCTTTATGACCCCATTGAGCGTATGGGCTCTGGTTGGACATATGGAGCTCCTCAAACTCTCCAAGAACGTTACGAATCTTCAGGCATTCTTCCAAGTAGTTGTCCTGATTGGCGTCGATGAGCTGCAGGTATTCTCCGCGGTAGAAAATGATTGCGTGGTTCTGGTTGTCCGACTTGCCATCTCCGAGAATAGGATTACCAGGAAGCTCGATTCGGAACTTGGGTCGCCGCTTGCCTGTTTCCGGCATGATCTCCGAATGACCATCGATGAGGGCAGAGAAGAGTCGCAACTCGCCACCCTCCTTCTTCGGTGGTTCCTCGTCGAGATACGCAATCTGGAGATCAGGATAGGCGCGTAGCAAAAACTCTGCATTCTCCTGCTCTTCCTTGTTGAACTTGGAGTAGCGTTGCATTGACACCACGAATTTGAACTTGCGACGGGCCATCCGTTCAAGCTCCCGCTCAAGTTTATCCGTATTGCCACCAAAGAGCTGAACTACCTCTGGGTTCTCCACTCGATACAGGAGTTTGATTGCCTTGGAGTAGTTCATCATGCCAGAAATCGTACGGTAAAGAGTCTGCGCGCGGAGCGAAGCCCAAATACGCGTACGAAGGGTGTACTCTGGAGCCGCACTCTTGAAGCCGATGCAATAGAATGGGAGATCGTCTGTCTTGCTGGCGCCCTTCTCGTCAGTGGCGAATGGACTACCGCCACTGTACGGAGCCGATTCCTCTGCGAGAATTTTGGTATCTTTGACGAAGTTGTCCCATTCGATCGGATGGAGTTGTTTCAAATACTCCAGCAATGTGACCCGTGAATGGTTTTCTTCACGAATAATCTCACGAAGAGACAAGAGGATCTTTTCCGAGTAATGTGGAGTGAGGACTGTGAATGTAGGCATAGCGTCGACCGGGAGTGGTTCTGGGATCACGGTGGTGAGGGATTGGGCAAAGAAGGAGATACGGCGTTCTGCCTCGGAGCCCTTGGGGAAGAATTCGCCGGACAAACCCTTATCGCCCTGGGAGATGAAGAAAGGCGGGGCTCGAAGGGTTCGACGACCATCTTGATCCGATTGCACTTGATGATAGAGCAGCTTTTGGACATGCTCGATGGACAGGAGATGTTCTCGGTACATCGAGATGATAACGGCGTTCCAAATCTGAGAAACCAGAACCTACAGCAAAGAGTGAGCATGCAGTTTGAGAGCGGGTGCTCCAGACATTACCTTTGGCTTATACTTGACTTCCATGTCTCCAGTCGCAAGCAGCTTGGCATAGATGCGCTTGGGCAATCGAGTGAAGATATCTTTCCAGGGTGTCCAAATGGAAAGGCCCAGCGAGAACGAACGCGCTATGCTGAAGACGGTATTCCAGATAACATACCACAGGAACGTGTCCAAGAAGAACAGCGTCAGATCCATGAGGTACATGATCGTCAAAGAGAAAGCCGCCTGATTAGAGCAGAGGCTGCTGCCGAACCATTGGTCATTGCAACCTTGCACCTTCATGCCCACCATGACCTTGATTGGGTCCCTGAAAGACGACGTCAAGAAGAAGTAGGACTCTGTCAACTTGCAGCCGAAAATTAGGACCCAGAGCAGGATCGATGCGATGCGGGATTTGCGGTCCAAGTCAGGGTAGCTGGCGGTGAAGGTTTGGCTCGCAAGGTACTTTCGCGACTTGCCTGCCACTCGGTCGCCGAACATGCGACCAGAAGGCACCATGGCGAAAAGCAAAGTCAAGACCACCGAGATGAAGAATTGAACCAGTGAGACGATGAGGGGGACGTTGGATTTTGACCTGGGATTGTCGGTCAAGAAGATGTAGAAGGTTGGAGCTGTGGTAACGGCAAGGGCGACCAAGAGGAAGAGAAGACGACGGGTGAGGTGAGAGGTGTTGTTCCAGGTGGTAGGGATATACGAAAACTCTGCAAGAGTGGCCAAGATCATGATGACTGTGGCAACAGCACCTCCTAGTGCAGAGGCGGACCACTGCATCGCAGATGTCGGTAAATTCTTGTCGGAACGACGGTAGATCTCAGGCGAGTTACGGGCGGTATAAAACCAAAATATGGCAACATGAATAACCCAAACCCGGTTAAAGTTGACGAGAAGATGCGCGGCCGATCGCTTCTCAAAGTACGTCTTGAAAAAGGCGCGATTCCAGTCGATGCGATCAAACTTCATGAATCGTTGCGGCGGAGGTATATCGACCAGTCTTGTCTAAAGACAATGGTCACTAAATGATCTGGGAACAGGGACAGCTGCATACCTTGTCGTGCATCACGATACGAGCAATGCCCTCTGGATACCAGAAAAGCTGATTGATGTCATCATATCCGATAATTTCATGATGGTCCTTTTCTCTGCGCACGAACTTGCCGTCCTGAACTTCGTAGCCTTGGTCACGAATGAAGCGATAGAGCGGCTTGATGACGGCGCGGAGGTACAAGCCCTCTGGCACGGCTTCGACCCTGTTCTGGCACTCTGGGGACCGGTAATAGTCATCTGCACACTTGAAGATAAAGCAGAGACATTCTGGGACGAAGCGAACTTGAGCGGCCTCGCCCCAGCAGAGCAAAAACAAGGCAATCTGCCTCAGACGGTCATACTGAGACATGTTGTTCATTGCCTGTCGCCAGCGTGCGAGTGCGCTATCGAGCGACTTTTCGGCACCAGTCTTTTGGGCACCCTTCTTCTTGACGGATTTGAGCCTCTGGAGGCCCGGGTTCTGCACCTGACCAATGGCGTCGTCGAGATCCAGCTGGGCAGCAAAGTACCACTTTCGATAGTTGGCGTGTTGTCCGCCAATATAGTCGGCGTGGAGCGTGAGCAGCGCCTGATTGGGGGACATGCGCGAGGCGCGGGAGTCGAGCAACTGCATCAAGAAGTCGAACATGTTGCGCATAGAGTCTCGCTGAAATCCGAATTTTTGGGTAAGGTCAAGGAAAATATCCTCAATTTCCCTAGAATGACGCAAGCCTGGTTAGGATGCACGAGGCCAACAAGGCGGAAAAAACGCACTCTTTGGACAAAGGAATCTGTCTCTCAGAGGTCCACGCAGGGTATGGTTCGCGAACACCGGGGCCTCCATACTCGTAAGTGTTGGAGATGTCAGAGACGCCCGAGCGAAAGTTTGGATTCAAGGATTCTGCAGAAGGTGCATAGTTTCTGTTGTAAACATCTTGCTCGCTCTCGGTGTCAGTGTCGCCGCGGCGGTGTGCTGTTGGCAAGCGATGAGCCGAGCGTATCCCTGGGGGTTACGGAGGGGCGGAGAGCGACGTACAATAAGGATCATAATTATGGTTATCATAAGCACCTCCAGGAGCACTGTTCTCAGACTGAAACGTGTCTCTGCGGTCGTAGTGGTCCATGTCGGATTCAGAATCGAGGCGGGGATGGGCGGCAGGCGTAGCAAACGGGTCCTGATACGGTCTTCGCGACATGTATCGCCAGTCTCAGGCGCTGCGCGTCGTGGCCGTTTGGCGGGGAGGGGGACGGAAGGCGGTCAGCGGTGAGCGCCGGAGAGGGCCGCTGGTGAAAAAACAGAGAAAATTAGAGAGAGCGGGTAGAAGAGCAAGTTGATGATCTTGAAGATTGTCCTTTGTGTCTACGCAAAATGCCAGACGCAGTAAGCAAGACCGACAGCGACGGCAAGGCGGGCGGGCGTGGTCGTGGCCGAAGTAAAGTTGTTGCACATCAACCTTGCACCCGACCACTCCCACCGGCCCTCTTCTGCAGACTCTGATATTGTCTAGAAAAAAGTATGAAGGGTCTTTTGACTACGCTGCTCAGTGCAGCCCTCGCCATTCCTTTTGTACATGCCCTCCCAAGGGTCACCCGCACCGGTAAATATCTCTACGACGAGTCTGGCAAGCGCTTCTTCATCAAGGTAAGCCTTGTATCCTATTAATCGACATATAAACCTGCCCTCCGCGCTCTGAGACGGTCCCCGCCGTCCGTTGTCTCGCAACTTTCGACCTCGATTCACTGACATCCCGTCTGCAGGGAATTGCCTACCAAGAGCCAGGAGAACTGCCTACGCAGACCGCAGAGGGAGAATTTCCAGAGCCCACGACGTTTATCGATCCGTACGTGCTCTCATCGTCAGTCGACTTGGCCTGACCTTGGCCGGCCCCACTCGCAGCTTGTCCCAGCCAGACGCCTGCGACAGAGACATCCCATATCTCAGGCAACTTGGTGTCAACGCTGTTCGCGTTTACTCTGTTGATGCGGCCGCCAACCACGACCACTGCATGTCCGTCCTTTCAAGCGCGGGCATCTATACACTGTCCGTCCCCCTCTAATGAGCTTCCGCTATGCCCGCGCGCTAATTTTTCCTCTCTCACAGCATCGACCTTTCGCTTCCGGTCAACGGCTCGATCAGTACGTAACCTGGTCCGTCCGGCGGATTGTCGCTGACCTGAAACTCGCCAGCTCGTGAGGATCCGACGTGGACAAGCAACTTGCTCACCCTCTATCTCAACACTATCGAGGCCTTCTCCAAGTATGATAATGTACTAGGTGTGTGATGAACCCCTCTAGTCTCTGGCACAGGTCCCCCTGATCCTTATCCCTAGGGTACAACATTGGTAACGAAATTGTAAAGGACACCGCTTCGACCATCACTGCACCATTTATCAAGGCTGCTGCTCGTGATGTCAAAGCGTACATCAAATCAAAGTCGTACCGCGGTCTCGTCGGCTACTCGTCGACGGATGGTACTGGTTGGCGCGACCCGTTGGCCCACTTCCTCACCTGCGAGTCCGACGACACGTCTATTGATCTCTGGGGTTTGAATGACTAGTATGTATCACACTCGAGCCCGAACCTACTACATGTTCTGATCACGCCCTAGCCGTTGGTGTGGCACGTCCACCGTCTCTGATTCGTGGCAGGAGGCAATCACCGCATTCTCCGACCTTCCCGTCCCCGCCTACTTCTCCGAATATGGCTGCAACCGGGACACTCGTACCTGGTCCGAGGTTCCAGCTCTCTATGGCACCGAAATGTCTGCAGTCTTTTCGGGAGGTGTTGCCTTTTCGTACTTCCCTACCAACGACGCCAAGAGCTACGGCATGGTCACCGTTTCAGGCAACACTGTAACGACCTCGGATGAGTTTACAGCCCTCGCCACCCAACTCACTGGCGTCACCACTATCGAAACTCCTTCTCAAAGCTCAGTTACCACTCCATCTTTGCCCGACTGCCCAAGCGTCAGCGCGGACTGGCTTGGCAGCAGCCAGGTGAGCAGGCTTGGAATCCGTTTGTCACCTCATTGACAATTTTTGATCAGCTCCCACCTACTCCAAACCAGGCCGAGTGCGACTGTATCTGGCGTGATTCGCCTTGCGTCTTCTCTCCTCAGACGACCAACCACGCCGCTCTCTTCGAAGAGCTCTTCCAGTCCGCATGCACATACCTCGGAACCAGCGGTGGTTCGTGCACTCCGATCGGTCAAAACGGAACGACTGGTACCTATGGACAAATTAGTTCCTGTGATGGAGGTATGCAGTTGTATCATAGTCCCTCTCTTGTGATCTCTAACCATGTTCTGTAGCCACAAAGCTTACCTGGATCTTCTCTCAGTACTACTTGGCCACGAATAACAACGCTCAGAGCTGCAGCTTCGCTGGTAACGCCACCGTCAACTCTGCGTCTCCCACCTCTTCCTCTGAAGTCAACGCCGCCGTTTCTTCCTGCTTTGCGGCCACACCATCTGTGTACACGCCATTGACGCCCTCGACCACTCTTTCTCCAGTCGGTGCCAACACTGGAACCTCGCAACCAAGTGGAGGTGGTAGCACTGGCGGAGCCGTTTCCATCTTCGCCGATTCGCGTGCTCTCCTCGGCGTCTTCATTGCCATGCTTTGCATGCTCGGAAGCGGTGCCATGCTGCTCTAAATCGGACAATAACTATGGACATGCTGCACTTTTATTTTCCTTCGGACTTGCTGCATGTTTTTCTGACCTTCACTTTGGTCTGATACGTTAATATATGCATAATATCCTACATGAATCAACTCATTACCATCCCTGAGCTGTTCCAAACATTCGAGGCTTGCCCCGGTTGGACATTCCGCCGCGCTTGCCTCCTCTGGAAAGCCCTCTGAACCCGCCGGGGGCAAACATTCGATGACCGTCCATATTGTGAGCCATGAATGGGCTGTCAAGTTGGCCTCCTGTTCGACGGGCATATGCTTCTCTCGTTTCTTGAGCAATCTCCTCCTTGAGGGTTGCAGTGTCCTTGGAATCTCGAAGCTCCAAGAGCGCTCGCAACTCTTCGTTTTCTCGTTCGAGCCTTACGAGTTCGCACTCCCTTTCCAGAGCATGGGTGTCCGATGACGCATTTGGCAACGAAGGGTCTGCAACGGTCCCATCGACGTCTTCGCCTGCACTCGCCCGCAGCGCCATGCGTAGGCCTGCTGAGATACGAGCGAGTCCGAGGGATATCTTGGCAGATTCTTCAAGTTCATGAGTCAAAGTGTTGCTCTCACGCGCAATGATCTGTTGTTCATATTGACGTGTCAACGCCAATTCATGCTCTTGTGAGGCGTGCTAACGACATGTAAGAATCTGATAGAGAAGACAGGAATGCACTGACAGCGTGTATTCGAAATTTGCTCATGACGCTCTCGAGAGTCTGTTCGTACTCCTTAACAAGTACGCTCAGCTGCTTGTTCTCATTCGAGAGATTCTGATTTTCTGTTTGAAACTGACTGTTGAGCTTTTCGAGCTCTTCTTCGAAGACCTCTGTCGTCGTCTGTTAGGCATAGAAGAACCCATCTCAAAGTCGACACGGCACCTTTACTCAAGCCCATGTTGAACCGTCGCAAAGGGTATCCAGTTCCCGAATGTACTGCCTTGGCCTATGAGTGAGTTAGCCTGACGTTTGAACCGTCAACAACAAACGTTCCTTCAGGCCATCGGCTTGTGCACGGAGGTCTGCAGTGACCATTCGGTTTTCTTGGAGCTGATCAGAGAGCTCGGAGATAAGGCTCCATACACGAAACAGTTCGCTTTCGATGTCGCTCTGGATGATCATCACTGGTTCGAGATGGACGGCGTCAAGCTTGTACCCGACGATGCCACCCAGGCAGCCTACCAAAGGCCAGAACCGAGGAGGAAAAACGACAAATAAAAACTTTGACTGGATAGCATCCGTTAGTCGCAGTGGTGGAGACGACGGAGAGGGAGATTCGTGTGTTCTCTCCTTCTGAATATTCAATAGCTCATGAACAGCGACAGACTGAAGAACTATGACACTCAAGAGAAATACAAGGCTTGGATTGACCAAAAGGCTTGTATTCAATCACATCTAGAGAGGCTTCACTGCTGATTGTCTGCAGGTTCTTACGTATGAAGGCAATCAGGATGAACTTCCCCCAGAGAAGAGACAGGGTATCCAAGAGGATTTGTTACGACTACTTCGTAAGGACGACCGAGGGTACATAACACTCGAGCTTATGATGCACAAGGCAAACTGCGAGAAGGGGTGATGGCTTCTGGTCGAGAAGATTCTTTCGCCACTGATGGTAGCGTCGAAGTCTTGCCACCAACCCACTGACATGACTCAGTTACAGTATATGAGATGTCGCTTTTCCTTGCAGCAGCTTATGGCAAGACCGACCAAGTGACAGCGGTCGCAACGCATCTCCTACCAACCGAAACTATTCACAGTGCCGCCTCTCCGACATGGAAAAGGCCTCCCCCGCGAGAGTTTGTCATCCTTTTAATCCTCCTTCACCATATTGTCATCGGCCTTCGTTCCTCTGCGTCACTTCGATGGGTAGTACTTGCCATCTCGAGCCCTCTCCTCACATCCAAAGTGTGTCGCAACAATCTCGACTGGTTAAAGAACATCATTCTCTCACTCAGGGCGCACAACTACCAGTCGTTCTGGAAGATTGCCTCTGAGGATCATATTGCTACGGTTGCCCGAGCCTCGTCCCCTTCTGGCACACCCAGCCAACGGGAGCTCGCAGCCATTCATGGTGAACTGCATAAAATTCGCCAGTACGTTCAAGGGACTGCTTGGTGTGTCATACGCATCGCATACAGAGAGGAGAGCGAGAAATGGCTCTCGAATACTCTTCGTCTGGGTCCTCTCGCATCCACTTGGCTTTCAGAAAGACAGAGACTGTGCGAGGCGTCACCGACAGATGGCAAGACTTCCCGCTGGACAATATATAAGCCGAAAGCATGATCGTGCTTGTTGGAGAGGCGTATTCAAAGCAAATAACAGATTCATCACCTCCCGAGGTGAAGACTATAGATACAGTGGCATAGAGCGAGTGAATACAGTTTTAGCAGTGCATGGGCTCCAGAGCGGTCAAGCAGAGGGAATCAAGACGAGCAAGACTGCGTCGGACGTTGCAGAGAGGATGCCATCCACGAGTTTGTTGGGACTGGGGAGAAGTAAATATGCGCCACGACGAAACCGCAGGGCTACTCACTAGGAAGGCGTATTGATGGTGAATCGACAGGTCCCGTGGATCCCGTCCGCCGTGTTCTCCGAATGGGTGCTCCAATTCTTCACCACGTGAATGGCTCGGAGGAGAGCAATTCTGTCCGCCTCCGCTGGGATAAAGTTGAGGAGATTGTGGTTCAACACCGAACCTGGGGGAATGATCATGTCATTGCTGGCGTGGAGCATGAAGGCTTCGCTCCTGAAGCGGTCCAGCAATATGCAAACCCGCATTGATGGTCGAGGTAGGCTTCCAATCGGCACAGAGTATTCGCTTGGGGAGCCCCTGAATGTTTGGGCGGATGCCGGGATATTGCGATTCCAATTGGGCTAAATCGCGACGTTAAAACCCAATGGCGCAGAGATTCCACACACAACTCACAGGCGGGACGGCGGTGTTTATTCCGGGTGTGAGCACAAATCTGCCTCCTTTAGCCATCGCGGCCCTTGCTCCTCCCGGATCGTCGTCTGCACGGGCGATTGTGGCAACGATGCACTATCTAGACGTCAGTATTGGTCCACAATAGTGGTTCAAGAAGAAGCGTTTACGTTATATGCGACGCTTCGAGACTAGCAAGCCCAAGTTAGTAGGTCGAGAACGAGAGTCGTTGCACTGACAAGGGCACAGAGAACATAGTCATTGTTAGTCTTGTGACGGAGTCTCAAATACGTCAAAGTGGCAGCCATGTCATCACGGATGTGCTCACTACGTGCACGTGATGTCAGACACGTCGAATTCTACCGCGGGAACTCACTAGTGTAGATTTTTGGCGGCCAGTACTTCGTCCGGGTGCACGAGGTCGTAGAAAGACCTGCCAACGATCTCGGCCTTCGGGTCCCAGCCTAGGTGGAAGAAAGAGGTGAGTCAAAAGATTGGGAGGCGAGGAGGCGCTAACCCAGGAGGTCAAGGATTGAGTCTGTGGCGTATGCACAAGTAGCCTGCGGACGGATCAGTGTCGTGGCGGGTGAGTGAGATACGAGGGCACTTGCGTCTTCATCGAGACTCTGAAGCAAGACTGTATGTGCCAATGAATGAGTGTTACAGACGGCAGGCGCTGAGGCTACGGACCAAAGGAGAGTGTGTCGACGTTATCCATGAGAGCGAGCGAGAGGGTTTCTACGAGGATGTGGAAAGCTCTCTGGGTGTTTTTAAGAGTCGTAGCGTCTGCGAAGGCCTCCCTGAGCCGGCCGGAAACCTGAATCTCTCCACTTCCGGAAGATGTGGTCCACAGCGCGGACAGTGGGGGAGGGCGACGTTGTGATAGTGTGGATGGTGAGTAGAGCACGCTGCAACCACCCGGAGTTGCTCAGGACGGCTTCAGACGCGCGAAAACATGGTGCCGTTACGGATCACGGCTGGCCAGGAGCTCAACAACAAGTTTGGCGTCTTCAAGCATTCAGACATCATCGGACTGCCTTATGGGACGAAGGTGCCCTCCCACAGCGGCCGCGGCTTCGTCTACATCCTCCGCCCAACGCCAGAACTATGGACACTGTCGCTGCCCCATCGAACTCAGATCCTCTACTTAGCCGATATCGCATTCATCGTCAATAGCCTTGACATTCGCCCCGGCTCGTCCGTGATTGAAGCTGGTCCGTACGCTCGTTTCCTCGATCAGCTTCTCGGGTACACATTCCCTCTCGCAGGCACTGGCTCGGGCTCGTTTTCTCACTCGGTTGCACGCACAATTGGTAATACTGGCCATCTGTACTCGTTCGAGTTCCACCAGGAGCGCGCTGCAAAGGCCCGGTACGTCTCCCCACATCCGTTTGCGTCTTCCCGCAGAGTCTGACAGATCCGACATCAAGGGACGAGTTTGCCCGTCATGGGATGACAATGGTACACCTGGAACACCGCAATGTCTGCCAACAAGGGTTCGCGCTGTGCGACGCTGTAGATTCCGGCAGGTGGCGCTCGTTTGCCTCTAGACGGCTCGTCTCACCTCAGATCCTCCTCCTCCTCTGTAGTCTTTCTCGATCTTCCGGCTCCCTGGGATGCTGTTCCACATGCGAAAATTGCCATGAAGGTCTTCTCCTCGCTGCCAGATTCTACCAACGCTAACTTTGCTTCGCAGAAGGACCGTGCTACTCGCATCTGCTGCTTCAGTCCTTGCATGGAGCAGGTCCTGCGAACAGTCACGGCCCTCAACCAATGTGGCTTCACCGGTCTGTCAACCTAGGTCGCCTGTCGTCATTTCGTCTGATCGTCCAATAGACTTGACCATGTACGAGACCCTCCTTCGGCCACACGACGTCCACCACGTCCCCAAACTCGTCTCAATCGACACCATCATCGAGCAAGTCAAATTGCATGAAATCAAGAAGGAACAGAGACGTCTCGAGCAGGTGGCCGCCTCTGACAGAAAGCGGAATAGCCGTAAACGGAAGCGACAGGAGGACAACGATATAGCCGAGGAGGATGGCCCCGATCCAGATCTAGGAACCGGTGATCAGAAACGCAGAAGAGATGTCGACGCATCTTCACTCTCCACACCACTCACTGTCGCCCAGGTTCAAGTCGAACCAAATACTGGCCCCGAACCAACCTCTTCCCTCAAAACGCGCAAAGAATCGAGGTTGGCTGCCCTAGCCACATCCACACCAATGTCAAAGCCAATGCCCGAAGTCCGGGGTCACACGTCGTATCTCACTTTTGCCACCTTGCTACCCTTGGCAGATGGTAATTGTTTGTTTCCGCCCTTGTCGTGTCAAATGCACTAACAACAACCGGTAGTCCAAGTTGGGAGTTCTATGGTGGCAAATGTACCCTCCGTAGACGCGACCTCCACTACATTAGATCGTCTGATAGCCACAATACCAGAAGAAGTGAGCACCGACCCTTTACACTTCCGTAATTCTCACGTCGAACGCAGAATCTAGAACGCGCATTGACTGGATAATGGCATTCTAGGCGATTAGAGCAGTATGTACATAGATCCGAAATTGATTATCGATTCTTGATACGAACACTCGAGCGTAGTTGCCGGCTAGCCATCGGCGTTCGCACCTGCAAGCTCTGTATACGCTTTGGCAATGGCTCGAAGTCGCTACCATCGCCATTGTTGTCACCCTCGTCGTCCTCGGATGAAAGATGCGACCTGCGAGTTTTCCTGGCTTTCCGCTTTGGTCGACTGCGGGGAGGTGAGGGAGTAGCTGTCGAATCCTCCCTCCCCGCCCACTGTAAGGCGGCATGTTCGCGCAACGTTTTGGGCATGATATTGGGCAGTACTTCTGGAATCTCTCTTGAATCGGACGCGGCAATCTCTGCGTGTGGTTCTGGTGACCATTTGCCATGAGGATCGTACGGTAGTGGCGATGCCTCTACTTCCTGTGGCGCGGCATTGCCGTTGGAATAATGGATCGTGCGTGTTTTCGGCAGGTCAAAATGCTCTATGACGCCATCGTATTTAGTTAGAAAGCCGCCCTCAGGTGGTATTTCCTAGCGAAGCGTCACGGAGGGTATGAGCCTCGGTATCCGAGCTCACCTGAGGAGTCTCGGCTTCATCAACCTTATTCTCGGAGCCTCCGTACTCTTCTTGCAATCTTTTACGGACTTGTAGACCAAGTATCAATTTCGACCATCTTCGGAGTACACGCTCTCGCCGTTTAAGATTTTCGGCTTCTTGATTGGCTTGTACAGACTCCCAATATGCCTGAAAACCCTGATGAGTCATGTGAGATAAATAAATGTGGATCATACTGAGACAATTAACTCCTGGTTCTCCTCCGCAACAACGATGCCGGAGATGATGGGATTGGCATGACCCTTCCTGAACTCGAATCCCGTCTGGATCAAGGGTTTGAAATTGAGTCTGGCTGAGGGCATATCGACATAGATATAGACGAACCACTGCAGGCGCGAAGTCAATTCCAATCTCTTTGGCCACTTTAGATATCCCTTGGACTTCGCCCTGTGAGCTCATGGTACGTAAAGAGATAAAACAAACTGACAGGGTAGATGGACGGCTCCTGCAGGTAGCATGCTCGATACGAAGAGGTTGATGTTACCAAAATCATTTTTCGGAATTCGACCCTACAAGGAAAGTGAGTAACACATTCCAACACTTTTCAAGAGCCCCTTACATCTACAACCGGCTCGGGTACGTAGAGCTCTGTCTGCCACTCGGCATAGACACCCAGAGTGGGAACTTCTGGCGACTCGGTTTTCGCGAGTTCAAGGGCGCGTTTCCTATTGATGGTATGTGCGCGTTTTACGATCCGTTTTAGGGGTTGCTGGCCCTCGCGGATGACCTTTCCTTCTCGTATCCACGTTTCTGCAGTACGTACTCGCTGCACACTCGAGCGTGAGTACACAGGCTCCCCCCGAAATATTCCAATCTCTTTCATTGGGTGGATAATCTCGTCACGGCGTAGGTGACGTTCTAGTGCATAGCTGACATCGATGAGTGTAAATCTTAGAATATATCTAGGCGCACATTGGATGGTCTTTGAATCCGTTGATGGACGTCGGCATTCCCTCTATGTACTGTAGGGATTCGAGTTCTCCGTCCTCAACATCATCGCGGTGCTATGTATCATCAGCGCAGTGTTCATGCGCGGATTAATCAACTCACCAGTCTGTAAGGTCGAGTTAGCATGGAAATTATACGTTGCCACCATTCCGATTGCCCTCTCTTGGTGAGTGCCCGAGCTTTTGCTGTCTTTGCTGCAAATTCTTTGGCATATCGAAGGGTAACGTCCCGAGCATAACCGTCTGCAATGTTTGAGCTGAGTTGCGAGCCCCAGTGATACACATACCCTCTTCAAATGCCACAACGTACATCATTCGGTTGACGCGGCAGTTTGCAGGTGGCTCGAATAGCTTCTTCTTGTCGACAAGATAACGTATCGGATCTATGGGGATCCAGCGGCCCTCTGGACGAGAGAAAACTTCTGTCCAAATAACTGGAGGCCAGCCTTCCAAAGGGGGTTCTGTGCTTGACGCGCGTGGAAGAACGACTCGCGCATTCCGGTCCCTTGGTCGACTTCTTTTCTTCCGAACAATTACTTCATCTTGTGTGCCACCATTATGGAGTGGAGATGCACCCACATCTGTTTTCAGAGTCTCTGACTTGGAACTCCAAGGGACAGACTGGAGACTGACGACGAGACGGGCAGGGACATCTAACGCTCGACACAATGCCGTAAATAGAAGTGCACTCGTGTCTGCAGAGCCTTTCTGAAGTAGAGCGTGCTTCATCAGGCTCTTTGCCGATCGTACTCTATCCGACCACGGGGGCTCCTCGCTATTCGCAGTTCGAACTTTGCCCTTTCCTTTCAAGTCGGCTATAGACTGCTTCTCATTTTGTATACGCTGAGTTTCGACTTCTAAAAACGTTCGGCTGCGCATGCCTTTGCCCTTGATGACGTGAAAAAAGGATTGCCACCATTCTGTGAGCTTGAAACACGCCGTCTGGAATAAACGAGTACGTCGACTAGCGTCAGGCTCCGTCTTTTTGTGTATCATAGAGAACGACATTTGTAGTGGGAGTGGAGTCAGAGAAAGTAGACGGGCCTACGACTGGTAAGTGTAAGGTTAGAGTGGTTCTGTGATGGACTCACGTGCAACAAGGGGTCATTAATCCATCTGTTACGGAGCGAAAAACTTGCAAGCAGGGCTACAGTGTGAGTCTTGTGTGCTTCAAGTCGGAGTTTGCGCTGCACAGGGTCTCCACCGACGCGCTTTCTACATCGGAGATGTAGTCAATGATGCAGAAACGCGTATTCAAGATACTGACTTTTGCTTTTGCGTCGACTGCTCGAGGATGACCTCAACGTTCTGGGTTGGTAAGCCCGAGTCCTTTGGGTCATCTTGCAGCACGTCGACTTCTTCCCACTCCATTTCGTCGTCACTTTCCAGAGTTTTTGTCTCGAAATTGGCGTGTCCAGCATCCGCAAGGTCGTCTCGGACCATTGGGGTGAACTGTGGCGACTCGAGGGTGCCCAAGACGCGCGTATTACTTGGTCTATTGTACGTAGTTGAAGAGTCATAGTTGCTGTCCGAATTATTGGTATTATTTGCGTATACGTCGTCGACTGCCTCCATCGACGAGGTGAGTGGTTCAAAACAAATGCAACTTGGCCAGCAACCACTCACTTGACCAACATGCCGGCGATTGGAGAAATGCTGGCGAGAATTCCACCAGTCTCGCGATATTGGATGCTTTCAATTCTTGCCATTGCTTGTGCAGTTGTGCGTCGACCTGCCAACGACAAATGCTTGCTCACGTCCGTCTTCTGGCAGCAAATACACGTCGTCAATCCCTACCAACTTTACTTTAGCTTCAAAACTGCATTTGTAACGTCATTTCAGGTTAATTTATCACGTACTCTGCATCATGCCAAAGCTCATCCAAGTTTCAATATAGCCATGGCGGCTCGTCACAACATTCTTGTATCATGGACCATTAGGATATGAGCTGTTGTTATACTTTCTGTGGTTGTATGTCATCTATGCCGCCACGTCGATTGCCCTGCTCATCAGCGTTGCAGTTTCCGATACGGTCGATGGCTCGAACAGACTTTTTTCGCAAATAAGCCAGCAGAGTATCTTATGTTGCTCCTCGTCTCTGCCTTCCTCATTATTGTAAGCTGTCGTGGATTCATATCAGTGACCACTGCTTACAGAATGCAGATTATTGCACCTCCGTTTGCGTTACCATTCCTACAGCCTTCTTTAGCATTCTCGTTGATATACATATGGAGTCGAAAGAACCCACACGAACAAGTCGCGCTCTTCTGGATTATCCAACTTCCTGCGCCTTACGTATGCACAGTTTGTCCCCTACCCACGCCATTAATTAATCTCTTGGAAAGCTACCCATAGCCATGATCATCATCTCCGGTCTCTTGGCCGGAAGCATGCGTTCGCTCGGCGCCGATATCGTTGGGTGCATTGTGGGACACATAGTCTGGTTCTTGATGGAGGTCTGGCCGCTCGAAATGAGCTCTGGTGGTGGTTGGTCGCCGTTGAAACCCCCACAAGCCTTGTGAGTATTTACCAGGCATGTGTATTGCTCACTGACAGATCGTATCTAGGAAGAATCTATTAGGAGATTTATGAAGAATATTATTATTTCTTGCGTTGTAAAGGATACACTCGCGAACAGCTACGAGAACGTTGAGACACGTTGGCAATTTTGGCACATCTATGGCAGTGTAAGCGAACTCCTCGATGGGACGACCCAGACTTTCTCCGACATCTTTTGCTATGCGGTCACTTTTGTTGTAGCTGGCTCGACGTGATCTTGACTTGTTCTCCCCCACATCCACAATGGCCTGGAGTCCCTCCTCTTGGAAAACAAAACCAGTCGCTCAGGTATTACTGCTTCGTCGGGTGGCATAAGAAACTAAGTTGCTTGCCAAGGCTGTCGAATATTCGGACGAGGCCAGCCTCGAGAAGTACGCTCAGGCAATTTGCCATCCCCCCACAGAATAGTTACTCGTATACAGAGTCAGAATTCGACTGAAAACGCTTCCTCCAATCGTTACACCGGGCGAGGTGCGTCTTTCGGATCTCCTGCTCCCTCGGATCTCATTATCGCGTAGATCGAGCGATTACGCTCCCACTTGGCGCAGGTTCAGTCTGGGCAAGCTTTTTTGCTCCATGCAGGCGACTGCGCAGAAAGCTTCAATGCGTGTACACAAGTATGAGTTCCCCCATGACTCTCGGCAGGCAGGATTTCTAAATCCACAGTAGGAGAACATATCAAACAAGATAGGACTCATCTTGTCCTTCTCTTTGATTCTCATCTGGGGGGCCAGAGTGCCCGTGGTGCGCATCGGTCGTATCGCGGGGCAATTCGCCAAACCCCGCTCCAGCAAGACCGAACGTCTGCCAGACGGTCGTGAAGTTCTTAGCTTCCGGTACGCCCTCTCCCCGGCTAGATTTGGATCTCACATGTCTTGTCTAGGGGCGATAATGTCAACGGGTATAGTTCCCCGACACCGTTTGCAGAGGTGTCCACTCAGAGCTTTGTAGACTCGATCCAGATGAACGTACTCCAAACCCGGATCGTATGCTGAGGTGAGACAACAGGCGTGAAATAATAGACTGAGATGACTGACGTCCACCCAGCGCATATTTCCACTCGGCAACAACGCTAAACTACATTCGTGGGTTACTAACGTCGGGGTTTGCATCCTTGAACCATCCACGAGACTGGTCACTTTCCCATGTCCGAAGTCCTGCGCTCAAGTGTGTCCCATGGACTCCACATCTCCAATTGCTAATTAGTGTCAGGGAAGAGTTTGAGAGGATTACAGAGGGCTTGGCAGACGCCCTCGAGTTCAGTCGTACAATCGGTGCGAGTGAAAGTATCCCCTTCGAAATGGGTGGGCCAAAGGGTGTGATAGGAGAGGTGGATTTCTATACCAGGTGAGCACTTCATGTACTCTTCGATTGAGTTACTTATATATCTAGCCATGAAGGTCTGATGCTGGACTATGAGGAGGCACTTACCAGGTGCCTTGCTCTTCCGCCAGCACTACAGCCACTACCCACAAGCACCACACCTATAATTACAGGAACCCCGATGCGGTCTCGAGATGGTGTCTCGCTTCCTTCAAGTCGTTCCTCGAGTAGGAGACCAGGACTCGGTGACGCGACATCGTCACCTCGAGGGGGGATACGCGAGGAGCTTACAGGCCATTACAATACTTCTGCACATTTCCTCTGGATTGGAGATCGCACGAGACAGATAGAGGGCGCTCATGTGGAATATTTTCGCGGCATTCGAAACCCCATCGGCGTCAAAGTTGGTCCGTCGATGGACCCAGAGGAGCTAGTGCGATTGATCGAAAGTCAGCTTCCCTTCGTATGAGCTTCTTTGTCCTCACGTGTTCTAGTCCTTAACCCTGATCGAGAGCCTGGTCGACTAACGCTGATCACCCGCTATGGTGCCAACAAAGTAAGTCAGAAACTCCCCGTATCACAATGTTCATTAATATATTAGATTGAGCAACATCTCCCGAAACATATCGCGGCAGTTCAAGGTAGTGGTATGCCGGTCATCTGGGTTTGTGACCCAATGCACGGAAAGTGAGCATCGAAGGCGTCAGACTATATGCATCTGATGTGTGTCTCTAGCACATTAACCTCGACCACCGGTCTGAAAACCCGCAACTTCAATACCATTGTGTCAGAAGTTGCTTCATGTCTTCGCATACATGTGGAATGCGGATCTGTTCTCAACGGAGTATCTCTCGAGTTCACAGGAGAGCTTAGTGAAGATGGGTTTTCCGTTACAGAGTGTCTGGGAGGAAGCATGCAGCTGAGCGAAGAGGAACTTGAGCTGCGTTACCAGGTTTGTCACCAATTGGGAGCCACCAGGGAACTCTGACCTTTTGGCAGTCATTCTGCGATCCCCGACTGAACTTTGAGCAAAGCTTAGGTGCGAGAACACGGAAATTATTGGTTCTAGGCTAACGAGTCATCTAGATCTCGCCTTTCTTTTATCGAATCACTACAAGAAGCAAAGAAGAGGCTACGCGAAAGGGGAACGACCCAATTATATCGAAGCCGCATTCGATGGTCGTCAAAAGACTGCTCAGTAGAATGAATAGCAGAGAAAAAATTTACCCTATATTCCTGCGTGAGAGGCTAAGCTTCTGTGGCTACTATCGATGGAGCAGCAGGTTGAGACGGCTGCTGGGCACCCGTTCTTCGACCCTTTCCTTTATTTTTCCCTTCCTCGCCAGTTTCCATCGTTTCCCCAGCCGCCTTTCTGTTCATTGCTGCGCCGAGGGCCTGTGTTCGGAATGCGAGACCTCTCGTCTTCTCGATGACCGCTTGATACAGTGGTGCGGGGGGCCGATTGATGTGTATAATGTTCTAGTGATTATCATCAACGATCGATCCTTGATCCATGCAGAAGTGAAAGCCTACCTTTTCCAGATCAATCTTCGCATCGGCACCCATGCGCATATCACGAATCAGATTCACAATCCATTTTTCGCCTTCTTCCTGACTCAGGTTCAGTCGGGAGGACAGGTCGCTGATTTCAAGTGTGAGTGGATACCGATACCAACCGTCTTTGAGCACTTACTCGATGTCGATTCTCTGGTGAATCCGGCAGTATGCTTCGCTGATGAGATATCGCGAGTTATCGAGAAACTCTTGCTTCAAGTCCCACAGGAAGAAATCATTTTCCACCACCTTTTCAGCGATTGCAAGCGACTTTTGAGCAGCATCAAAGTCAAATTCGAGATAGAGCTCCTTTAAGAATTGGGTAATAGGGTCGGTGTACTGATATTCTTCCATCTGAATGACGCGCACAATCTCCCTCAACGCGTGCCTGGCGCGCCCCGAGGTTGCATTTGCTGACTTTCGAGTGACGATAGCGGCAACTGCAAGATACCGGAGTACCCACGGACACGATGTCTGTATAGTGTTGAGATAGGCTGGTGAAAGGAAAGTATCGAGGAGTAACGATCGGCCTTGAGCGTGATTGAAATAGACGAATAATGACCAGTGTATCAGCCATGTCCGTGCTTGAAGTTGTGCTAGAGCAGCTTCGGACGATGCGTTTGGGCCGGCTGGTGCATTGGCAGCCGCTGAGCCCAGGCGAGAGTCGATGGTCTCGCGCAGAGAGTTGAGCTCCTCCAGGGCGGTATCCCACTGTCCGAATAGTATATCACAAGCGAGTTTCCCCCAATGAGCTGACAGATTTAGGTCGGCATCAGTGGACAGGATGCGGAAGTGGTAGAGATATTCGGCAGCATTCGAGTAGTTCCCAGTCGCATACTGAAACTGACCAAACGTATAGAGGGCTTGAATGTGATCTAGTGTGAGCTTTGCGTGTTTAGTTACTCATTCAAGGCTGTCAAGTTGCCACTCACGTTGTAGTTTTCCTTGAGGTAGTGAAGGTTTTGAATCTTGTCCTGACGAAGAGCTTGTGCGACTTCTTCACGTTCAATTACTTCAAGAACGACTTGAGCATCCGTCTCGAGCTGCTCTGCTTTTTGAAGCGCTTGATCTCGCTTGTCTGCGAACTCTGGAAAACGATCTTTATCAGTGGCTACAGTGCAAAGACCAACGAGGCGAACCCTGTGGAATCTCTTCGTCTGGATAGAGCTGCTGGAAGAGCTGAACGGTGAAATCGACCATGTTTGTCGTCTTTGCGAGCTCATACTGGGCGGCGCGCACATCCTCCTCGGGGAATAGGGCTGTTTCGAGTAGATGCGTAAGCACTGGAAATGCAAGATGCTTGTCGATGAACGGGATTAGCTTTTCCGTGATATCATACTCGGCCATGGCTGATGGGGTCGAAGTAGAGTTTGAAATACTAGACGATACATAATGGGTAATCATACAAAGTTCATGCTAGTGCACCATTATAATAGCACACTACAATTTGCCCAAATAGTTGGTTCTGGATTCCTCGGGCGGTCTGAAAGTGGCGCTGACTCTTGATCTCGACCGTCCTCATCTCTGCAGCACTCGCTATAGCTTAGCAGTGTTGGTGTGGATGCAAAGAATAGTAAGAACAATAGCAAGTTCAGGTAGACCAATTCGAATATTCCGAGTCGCCGCAAGACGCTCTTATAGCATCATGAACATCGAAGTCCCTCCACCATCAACGCTCACTATTTCCTCACACAACCAGTATCAATCTCCACCTTTTGGACCTACTCATGTTCACGCCGACCCCCTCTCGCAGTTTCGCCTCTGGTTCTCCATCGCCCAATCCCCCTCGTCATCCGAGCAAGGTCAAGCCTCTGCTTCCAATCCAACATTTAAGCCAAAGTCGCGTGTACAAGAGCCAGAGGCCATGTCGCTCTCTACCGCCACTGCGTCTGGCATCCCCTCAAGCAGAATGGTGCTGCTAAAGGAGATTGACGACAAGGGCTTCGTCTTCTTCACCAACTACACCTCTAGAAAGTCTCGGGAGCTCATACAGAACCCAAACGCCGCTCTGTGCTTCTACTGGAGAGAGACCCATCAGCAAATCCGAGTCGTGGGTCGTGTGGAGAAGCTTGAACCAGCTGCCAGTGATCAGTACTACAGTTCAAGGCCGTTGAATAGTAGGGTGGGTGCATGGGCGAGCCCTCAGAGCCAGACTATAGGCGAAGACGAACTGCAAGAGCGGGTGGAGGAAGTGAGACAGCGATTTGGCCTCAAAGACGAAATAGAAGCATCTATCCCTAGACCAGAGTTTTGGGGCGGCTGGAGAGTGATTCCACAGTATGCAACCAGCTGTGTTGATTGCCCTCTTGTTACTAACTCATGGACAGGGAGGTAGAGTTTTGGAGTGGAAAGCCGAGTCGGCTTCATGACAGAGTCCGCTATACACGCAGGGAGGCACCAGCACCCGACGCGCCGTTATGGATCATCGAGAGGTTAGCTCCTTAAAGGGTGTACATCATACCCAGGAAAAATGTTGTTGATGCCAAAGTTTGCTAAAAAAAAAAAGACATGAGAGAAGAGGAGTCGACTCAACTATCGCAAGATGCATATAGCAAGTTAACGCGAGGAGAAATGAGACAAAAGCAAGAATGAGTGTTGAGATTGATGGTACACAAGGAGAGATGAGGTTCCACGACAGGTGAGGACGGATACGAGAAGGAATGCTGATGAAGTTGTGATAGGAAGCTTGTCATTGAATCATGCTAGAATTAAAAGAAACACCCAGATAGAGCTGGAAAGATCCGTCCACATGGACGCTTTTCCAGGCCAGAACCAAGAAGTCAACACGCCTCGTCAAAATCCATGTCAGGAATGTCAGGGAGAAGTTCGATGTCTCCACACTCTGGCGTGTCCACGTCCATTTTCTCATCCTGGACGTCTTCGGGGGTCGATTGGACCTGAGGTTGTACCTGGTCCTGGTCCTGGCCCTGGCCTTGTGGTTTGATGTCTACCAAGCCCACTGCGCCATCACCCTTCACATCATCGCTAAGTCGGAGAACATAGACCTCATCAGAGGAATCGACTTGGGCCGCCAGCTTTGCAAGACGTGCAAGTTCTCGCTTTCGCGCACTGAGATGCGCACTGCGCAGTAACACCCGACGGTACATGTCCGCAGCTGCACCACGCTCGCCAAGGATTTGAATTCTAGATCCATCCTTACCAAATCTCAGCTCGTTGACACTCCGGGCGTTCATCGAGCGAGGAAAACGTGGGCGCGGTGGCAGGACATGTCGTTCAGGACCCAGTGGCGAAGAATATCTGGGAGGAGGTGGAGGAGAATCTCGGGGAGGCGAAGACGACTTTCTCCGAGTCATCTTTCCAATAGGTTTCGGGATGGGCTTGGGGGTGTGACCAGCATCTTGTGAACACAGAGTTGGTGCAGGTGATGGAGATCGACAGCGGAGCGATCCTTCCCGAGGATTTGCAGCATCGCCGTCGTATCCCGGGACCGCCGTGCCGACTCGCCGCCGTCGTCGTGGCATGGAAGTCAACATACCGCCCGAGGATCTTTCATTGTCCGACATGGACGTGACGACCGCTAGCGTTGATTCGTAGGCGCTCAGCGGGGCTACAGACAAAGGTTCGTCGTCGCTGTCAACCATCATGGCGGTGTCTGACATCGGAGATGCAACGGTTGCAGAGGTCGGTTTAGGCCAGTTAAACGTAGGGATTCCCAATCGTTTTCGCGATGCAGTTTCTGCACCCGGTCGTGTTCGGTGGAATGGGAAGGTACGAACGTTCCATAGCGCAGGTTTTGACTCGACATCGCTGCTCGTATTCATTGGAACATTCGAGGGGCGTTGTTTCTTGCGCAAGTGCGACTTTTCATCGAGGTTGATTTGGTGAACAATATTTTCGCATGACGCCAGCGTCGTCGCTGCACATGACGCTTCGAGCGTGGCAAGGCTCGCTGCGGCAACTCCTTGTTCTCCATAGGTAGCCAGTCGCCGCTGGCTGTTCGCACGAGATCCAGATGATTGACCGAGGGTAGCAGGCCGCATCTGAGGGGATAAAGGTGCGGTGGACACGCGTTTCCGGGGCGTAACCGAAGCAATCGTGGCCGTTGACGGCGTGAGGAGTGGAGAAACCGGCTTTGGAGCGTGTGGAAAGGGTAGCTGGAAGCCTGGAGGCGGGGCTGAGACGGAATGCCTGCGTTTGCGTGTGTAAGATCCAGTGGGCCGTATCGGAGGAGGTAAGACTTGAACAGCAGCCATCTTTTGAGAAGTTGGTTTGGATTCTGGGTTCCAAATGTCGGGCGTCGTCGGGTCCAAAAGGGTGAAACTGACGACTGCAGGTGGCGCGGGCGGTTGACCACCAGGGCAGTAGCAAACTAGTCGGTGATTCCTTGGAAAGACAGGATGCGTCAGTTGGGTGTTTTAGCGATCAATAATAACGATAATTACGAGGTGAAGCGGGCTCAAGACGCTAAATGTGGTCTTGGAGGGGCAAGGCGGGAAACTGAATGGCCAAAGCCAGAAAAGCAGCCAAGCTCCCTGCGCAGCGGCGGCTGTCGACGAGGGTGCAAGAAAAAAGCAGAAGAAAAAGAGAAGAGTCCAAGGACGGCCGCGAGTCCTTGGGGTCGCTTATAGCCACTGGCACGGGTGGTCATTGACGGCGACACGCGTTCGCCTTGAGGCGGGCAAGGATTCAACAGCAATCCAAAATGCCACTCACCGTCAAAGTCCCAATCAGCTGGACTTAATATCACTGATGCTGCACCGAGTCCTGCCGGATATGCCAAAGATCCGCCACAGATCCAGTTGGCTCCCTGATACCGGTCCGAGAGTAGGAAGGACAAGACGTAAGAACTAAATGATCAAATATGCAACGTTGCGGTCGTGCAAAGACCGTACGGCGTTGTTCCAGGCAGATAGACAGGGGGCGTGCCAGAAGGCGGGAACGTGATGCAAGCGCAAGACAATCCACCAGGTCGCGTGAACTCGACGCATCTTCATCCTTTTATCTAGTCTAGGCGTCTCGACTCGGCTACGCCTCCCGGCTCTGGATAGTGGTCCATTAACGGCAAACCATGTTAGCAACCAATAGGATCATGGTATGGGCGAGCACGATAGAAAGCAATATATTAGTGCACTAAAACGAGTAAGACTGACCCTAGATCCCGTGAGCCGCTTTCCCGTTTTCCCCACATCGGAGTCCGGCTAGTGGTGGCGACGGTACGCCGGCTACAAGAGCTGGAATAAACTAGTCAACTTTTCTCGCCCATCGACGACCAGCAGCAGGTGCGGTATTCCCAGTCAAGTGGCTCGTCTGGTATTGCGCGTTCGGTATTTCCGAGGGCTCGACGACATTTGCAAAGTCATCCTTCTCTCTAGGCCAATGTTCTTTCGTGCTTGGAACGCTACGTCCCCAGTACATCCATATCTGCGCACCGAGGGCGACATTGAGCACCAAGGCTAGTGCAAACCCTGCAAAGACCAAGGAGTCGCCCATCTCTGTCACCGTTGTGAACAGTCGAGCGGCACAACCAAATACCTGGGAAGCCACAGCAAATACAGAGAGCTGTCCAGTTGATTGATTGCGGTGATTCTCCCGGATTTGGGGAATCTTGGAGAAGAGGGAGATGGGTACAGTGCCGAGTTGCAACAACTGTAGCATATTCATGGGAAGAATAAGGAGTGTGTACGACGCCACTGCGGATATGACTCCTCCTATCAGTACAGAGGGTGCATTCGATTTTGCTCGCTTGGTTGTAAGGTGGTTTTGGCCGCTCGGCATATAATAAATGATGAGGAGCGTAATCGCAATGTTTTGAATTGTGAGGAAGAGGTTCTCGCCATAAGTAGAAAACGGGTAGCTGTTGCGGTATGCATAGACGAGTGTTATCAAGTAGGCAAGCGTCTCTAGCGCAAATGCCGGCAGTGAGAGCCCTCTTGCATGTCTAGCTCTTAATACTGAAAAGATTCATGGCCCGGTCAGCGTTCATGCATGGGTCGGTGACTGCCACGCAAACTCACTGAGCAGTAATTGCGGAATCTTCATAACGGCACCTCCAAGGACAATTGCGACTCCAAGCGCTTTGGATATTGCGAGTTTGAGACAGACAGTGTCTGCGATGTGCAGGTTCTCAACGAGTGAAATGTAGCATCGCTGCTCTGCGCCTCAGGGGCTGTTTCTCGACCATTGATAAGTAAACTTACGGTTCCTATGAGCCCAATAGCCGGATCTCGAATAAACGAAGGCAAGTTTCGTGTAATGGTCGTCATGGTCGGAGTAAGAGATTTGGTTCGGTCAGTCTCTTTGCTTCATCTGTTATCATGCACTGACCAGCTCAGTGCATGATGAGAAGTGTTCAATTATCCACTACTTTTTGGTTTATTATCCAGCCCTCTATATGTTGAAGTGTCCTGCTACTACTAGCTAGTACGGGTGCATATTCAAAGTTGATTTTCATGACGTCAGACAGGAAATGGCCTAGAAGAAGCACTCAGTTGATCTCTGCCGACAATTCTAAGTTTGGTCCCAGCCATGTCCAAGTTCCTCGGCGAGCGCTCCCTTTCTAACAGATTTCCAGATCAGGATGAGGTGATAGACCTCGATTCAGACGACGAGGAAGATGTGATGCCGACTTCGCATGCTCCGTTCTCTCAGGCAACCCCTCCAGGTCCTTCTCAGCAGTCTCGAGGATCCGTCATCTCATTGGATGATATTGTCTATCACTATGTGAGCTCAGACGATGATAGCGAAGAAGATGTGTTAGTGAGTGACTTTGTAGAACAATGGAAATGCGTCCGTTGAAAGTCCTTGGGACAGGATCGCTTTAAAACATCACAGATCGCTGCCAGCTCCTCCCAGATCAAATGCAATACGGAATATAGCGTAGTTTATCCAGTATAATCCTGTAATTGACGTGTTGAAAGGCGACGGCTTCGACCTCTCGATCAAACCACGCGACGACCTCACACTATCAGGCAGGAAACCTACAGAGACTACTCAATGAGCTCAGGGGCGAATCAAACGAGCCGGCTGGCGTCGCAAAACATCAGAGGAATTCGGAAGAGGACGGCACACCAAATAAGAGGAAGAAGACTGTGCAAGAGCCAGAAGCTTACAAGGTAAGCCGTCCAACTGATCCCTTTGCTTAAATTGAGTACGTTCAAGACGCCGCAAAGGAAAGCCGTAACAGCTCGTAAAGAGCAGGAAAAAGAGCAAAGGCGTATTGAGAAGCAGCAGGAAAAGGTGGGCATACCGGTCGACCTGTGAGCTATCGCTCCAACAGTTCAATAGGAAGCCAAGGCGCTGGAAAGAGCACAAGCTCGAGCGAACAAGCAACGCGAGAAAGAAACGAACAAGCGTTACTTAGAAGCAAACAAGCTCATTACAGATAAGAAGAAGACGATTACCGGCCTTACAGTTGAAGTTTCGGCTGCGCTCATGCTTCATCAAGTCTTCGGACCGTGTGTTCACTACTTCAAGAATCGTCTAGGAGAAAACGGTGGTTCTCTACTGTGTTTCGATCATCAGTATCCGTTTCCGCATGTGATGCGATGGAGGCGTCGGGTTGAGAGAGAGTACGACGAGGAAGCACGCGAGTGGCAAGCCGTCGAGCTATACGAGGCGTTAGATCCCCTCTTCGCCATCTTCTACACGGCGGAAGAAATATTTCAATATCCTACACCAGGGCATAGAGCAAGCGTTGGAGAATCATCTTGGTCACGAGCACCCTCGAGGATGAGAGACGACAGTTGGATCCAAATAATGAAGAGTCTGTCGATAGGCCAACCTATCAGGTTCTCGTTGTTATTCTCGGAGCCGAGGCCGCTTGCAGGCAACCCAAGGGCAGGAACTCTTTGCCGCACTGCAAGCATTTAGCATGCAGGCCAGCATTTACCATCAAGTGCACGTTATTCTATGCGACGACAAGGACGACTTTATTCAACGACTTCATGACATCTCTGCCGATCAAGGTATTAAGCCTTACAAGTGTGTCGTCCTCTAGATATTGGACATAGTGACTTATGTCTCTCCTTGATTCACATACACAGACATATCAGACGCACGCATTTACCCTATGTCACCGATATCTCCATCCCCACTGGCATTAATCACGCGGAAACCTACAAGCACATGCTCAGCAAGATTTACAAATTCACGGATCCGGTCGTTAACGCTGTCATCGAAGCCAAACCGAGGTTGAATCGCATTATGAGCGCGTATGCTGAGATTGGCGACCAGACGCAGCGAGAGCTCCTCTTTGAGTGCAACATGGTCCATCGCTACACCAAAGCTGGACAAGCAAGTCGCTCGATGAATATCAACTTGTCGAAGCGGCTGCATTTGACCATGTATGGTACAAACCCACTCGCCTTCGTAGGACCGGATAACGCCGCGGATATGCATCATTAGGCATAACAGATGCTATAGGGCCTCAATCATTTGCATTTGATCGTCATATGAAATCTTTACGGCTAATGCCTGTTCTCCCAATCCACGACTCAAATCACGTGTAGAAAAACCAAGGTCTCCAGTGTTCATTCCACTAGATCTACAGGACGCAAAAAGTTGGTGAAGTAAATGAAAAAGTAAGGAGTGAAGGGCATCTGTAGATACGGGGAGGAACAGTCTTGATGGGATGAGGCATGACAGAGATGAGAGAAAATTTGAGACTGCAACAATGTGTGAGTTGGGAGAATGTTGTCATAGAGAGTGTCGAACGACTGCGCCCGCTCATTGTCCATCTCTTTGTAGTCGTGACATGTGTACGGGAGGAGGATAGAGGAAGGATGATGGCGGATTGGAGGGGAGGGGAGGTCGGGGAGGGATATGTTTGTTCAATGTCGTCGGAAACACTTCAGAGGGCGGATAAGGAGGGGCGATTGAACATGAGAGCCAACGCGTCGCGCAAGCTCACATGCTGGCCAAGAAAATTGCAGACCTTGAGAGAGACTCGTCGAGAGCGACGATGGAATGTTGATGCAATGCAATGGAGGCGAGTGAGAGAGGGAGACCGAAACCAATGTCCTTGAAATGGAGAGGTATTAAACAGCTTTGAGATTGACTCGGTTCAGTCTATAGGAGTTTCTTGCAGAAGCGAGTTGTGCGTTCATATCCGGAAGGGATTCCGATTTGGAGAGGTATGTGCCGCAGGCGGCGAGTGCTCCTTCTTGGTCGGACTCACGAGCTTGAGCAACTCGGGGAACAACTTGGACATTTTGTACATCTCCGCATCCGTGAGTTGTCTCGGTGGCTCCTTGAGTTCAGGAACGGGCTCTGCAGGAGGCGACTTGCGCTGGATTTTCGATGGAGGGTGCATCGAAGCCGCGGTAGTCGACATGCTGAATCGAGAGGAGAGAACGGCGTCTCTCGGCGGCTCTTCGTGGTGGAATGAAATGGGTGGCATAGGCATACGCATTTGCATCTGTCGCAGTGGCGGATGACCCGTTGATTGCGAGTACACGGATGGTGTCTCGCCTCCGCGTCCATAGGAACGCGGCTCGTCGCGACGATAGTGGCGCGACTGGGTCTGGCGGGTGGAGACGGATTGAGGATAATCTCCACGGTAGCTGCGGTCGTCGCGAGTATGGCTCCTCTGGTGGTTGTAGTGGCGATCATCATAGCGGTCTCCTTCAGTGTACTCCGACTTGATGATCGACACAAGGTCCTCTCGATCACGAGAGCCTCGCGAGTCTGGACGAGGGTACTGGTAGGGGTCATATGTCCTCTCGGAGCGGACATCCTCTTGCTCAATCTCTTGACCCCAGTAGCGAGACTCGCCCCGAGGCTCGTCTTTGTAGCGTCGGGACTGACCATCAGAGATACTACGCTCATAGGAGCGACCGGACGTAGAGTGAGCGCGTTCCCAGGCATCGTCGCCGTATCGTCGATTCTCGTGAATAGCACCAAGACCGGCAAAATTGGGTCCGCTCATGTACGAGCGTCCCTCAAACGAGCCACGACGTTGCGTGTGCTGACCCATGGTGACCCAGCTGCCTCGCGAGATGCTCTTTGGAACACCGACGGCCGTGCGACGGTCTGCACTCGAGCTGTTGCTCTTCCAGTCTTTGGCGTCCGACATGCGTTCCACGTCTTGCGAACGACGAGCGAGAGCGGCAGACCTGCGACGAGCCCACCAAGCGGCAAATGGATTACGCCACAGCTTGCTCCAGAGACCTTGCTTCTTAAGATTGCGCTTGAACTGCTCCGTCTCCTGGGCTCTCTTTTGACGCGCACGGCGACGCCAGAGAAGCAAAAGGAGGATGAGAAGGAGCAATGCACCAAGGACGATAAGCAGAATCTGCCACCATGTGAGCTTGTGCCCGCCACCAGACGACGGCTGCTGAGCGTTGGGGTCGAGTGGTGGGATGGTTGGAGTGGTCGGGTTGTTGGGAACCTGAACGAGCTCTGCGAGACAGACACCGAGACCAGATGTGGGGCCACTGTTGCTTCCACAGTTGACATCAACGCACTTGCCAGCTCTCAAGACTTGCTTGTTGCTGTTACACGAGAGACAGGAGCTAGCGCCACCTCCAGAGCAACTCGCGCACGAAGAGTCGCAGGTCTTGCAGGAACCACTTGCAGAGTCAAGGTACTCTGACTTGGCGCAAGTCTTGACGCAGCGATTGCTGCTTGTGAGCACTGGAGAGGACGAGGGGCAAGAGACGCATTGGTTGAAGCCAGGTCCATTGCACGTTGCGCAGTCGGGATGACACTGCGTGCAAACACCATTGGAATTGAATGTGTTGTTTGGGCAGGTCGAGACGCAGGTGCCATTGAACACAATGCCGCTAGCGCAGGACGTACAAAAGTCGGCCTTGCCCGTGCAGGTCTTGCAACTCGAGCTGCAGGCTGAGAGACGTCAGTTTACAAACCTTTTAAGCCGAAAAAAAAAAGGGGGGGGACTCACTTGTGCAGACACCGTCCGAAGCAAAAGATCCGGCTGGGCAAGAATCCGCGCATTTGCCTCCAGTCAAAACCTTGCCTGGCAAGCAGGCAGTGCATTTGACTTGGGAAAAAGTCGACTGGCTGGGACTAAAGACGTCGTAGGAGCACTTTTGGCATCCGAGAGGGCAATTGTCACAGACACCCGTGAGTGGGTTGGCGACCAAGTCGCTTCCAGTGCAGACTCCCGAGCTTGGAGAAGACGCGATGGCAACACAGCGACCATTGTTGAAGAATGTGCCAGAAGCGCACGAGACACAGTCGGTGGCGGCAGGACCATTGCACGTCGCACATGCGGTATTGCAGGCCGAACATCCGGTCGACGACGACGTATTGGGAAACTGGCCGCTTGGGCATTGAGATGCAGCGACGATACAGACTTGATTGAGCCCATTGCTGGGAACGAGTCCATTATCGCATTGGGTGCACTCGCCCGTGCCATCCTTGCATTGTGTACAGCGAGAACCGCACTTTTGGCAGTTTCCGTCAGACGTCTTGAAGAAACCAGAGGCGCAAGAGGCGCACTGAGTGCCATTGTTATTGGCGCTCGTCGTCCATCCGGGCGAGCACGTGCACGTCGCGGTGGAGCCAGTTCCTCCGCACACACCATTGGCGCAATTGCAGTTTTGGGGTGCATTCGTGGGTAGATTTGGCGAGCGACAGACGCCAGTGCCGTTGATTCCGTCATCGCAGTCGGAGCACCCAGACGGACATTCTGTGGAGACGCCGGTCGGTCAACCTTGTGGGAAGGGAGAAACAACTGTCACTCACTCTGACACTGAGGACCAAAGAAACCTTCCTGGCAGCTCTCACAGCTCGAGCCCGTGAAGCCAGTCGGGCATTGGCAAGTTCCGGCCATGGTACAGATGGCGGCGGACGAGCAGGCCGGAGAGCAGCTCGCCGATTGGAGAGAAACAAGTTGAAGGGATCCTGCCATGCTATAGGGGAGTTGGGAAATGTATGGAACAGTGTCCCAGATGACAACACGAGTCTTGGGGCCATTATTGGTTGCTTCAATGGTTGCTACTGTATTGGCGGCAAGGATGATGGAACCACGACTGAGACCGGTAGATGAAAGCGATCCATTGACGGATTGTGGGAGAGCGATAAACGACGGGTCTCCGGTATAGAGGTCTGAAGGGTAGTTGAGTAATCCGGGCTGAAGGGCGACATTAAGAGGGAGGGAGGGCGTTGTTGCAGTCGTAGAGTTTGAGAAACCAGTCGTAAAGGTGATTGTAGACGTTGCAGAGACGAGGGCCTGCTCGAGCGATGCTGGCTGGACAGAAGACGTGTATTGGCCTGGAAGGAGGAGATACGAGTTTGATTGCGAGCTAAGCACCGCACCCACTGTCGTGAAAAGATGAATAAAATGGCTTATAAGGGTCTACTTAGAATACTCACGCCGTGTAATGTTGGATTGGCCGGTAAGACACTCGCCTGCGCTGCAGACGGTCACGGTCTGGGCACCCTGAGCAACTAATCGAGGTCGTCAGCTTGTCGTCGTCACCGAGAACAGCGTCGATGAGGAATCCAAGTACTCACCGTTGGCGGCAGCGGCAGCTGCGAGGAGAAAGGAGAGAAAACGGGTTGACATCGTTGGAGCTAGCGTCACAGTCGTCGGGGTCGTTGTAGAGCCCAAGGCTCTAACAGGAGGGCGCAGAGGGACGATTAAGAGGGGAAAGGAGGAAGGGGTCAAGTAAGAAGGGATGAAAATGGGCCGACGCGGTTCAAACCAAACTGCCGCAGGAGCTCGCAGAGCGCCGCAAGCACCGGCTGCTCCTTTTCGGGCGAGCCATTGTCCTCGCCAGTCTCTACGCAACAAGCATCCAACAATTCATTACAAATTCTCTATAAATCCTAGAGCATCTCTAGACGCGAAGAAGGCTGCCCCAGACCTGCAGAGCCTCCCCTCCCTTGCAAGACGACCTTTGCTAAGACTGACTCGGTGCTTACCAGGAGCATCACGAGGATCCCTTTGCGAGCACAAACAATTCATGTAAACATGCTCGGATCATTCCAGAGGCAAACCCCCGACCCATCCGGTCGTAGTCCGCCTCACCGGCAACGATCTGCATGTCCGATAGCCCAGGCCCGTGAGGATCCCGTATGGGCGGGAGGGCGCACGGCAAAAGACTGTTGATTCATCATACGTCGACATAGTGAGATACTACAGAAGCACGAGGGTTCTTGGGATCCACCGTGTCCCACCTACAAGTGTCCTCAGTCGCATTCTCACGAAAAGCCAAAAGCAAGCCACTCACGCAGGTAGTATCAGAGGCAACTTGTCGTAGTGAAGCTCTGGGTACTCTTTCTCAATCACCTTGATCAGCTCGTTGTATACAACCTGCCGGAGAATTGTTCAGTACCAGAGCAACTATATATAACTTAGTACTCACCTCGTATCCTTCTCTTGTCAAATGCAGCCCGTCACTCAAGAACCTCGTCAGCCCCAAAGTCTCCTCTCCCGCCGCTTTCCAGATGGCGTCCCAAGCGTCCACGACTGGGACCCTTAGCTCCCGTGCAACCTCTTTGGCAGCGTCTGCGTACGCCTTTGTGTTCTCCCACGTCCGGTCCATGTCCTTTGGCGGATCCCGTTCAGCAATGTGCTGTGCCCATGCGTCGACTTGGATCGGTGGAGGTGTCAAGAGAATGATTCGTGTCCAAGGCGCGTAGTATTCCGATGAGGGTGTGCGCAGGGCCTGGACCATCCACGTAAGGTTTTGCTGGTACTTGTCAAGGGGTACGTGCTGGTTGCTAAACGGAAGACACGCGTCGTTTGCTCCTAGAACTATGCATCAGTGTGGAGATCTCTCGGTAAAGAGGTAAACGCACCAAACCAGATCGTCAGGAGTTTGCATTTCGGATGCGTCCCAGTCTTGTCCTTTGTAAACATTTGCTCAAATGCAGGAATTCCCCACTCTGAATTATAACCCCCAAGCCCTGATGAATGTGAGGACCGCCATGATTAATGGTGACGGGCCACAAACCGCGATTGATCACGTCCATCTTACGAGCGTAGACATCTTTGAGAATAGATTAGTCGATGCGCAAGGATTGCATGTTTGATTGCAGCTACATGCGAGTTTCTGGGCAAATCCGCCAGCTTCCCATCCGCCTGTGTGTCGAATGAGAATAGTCAATGTTAGACGACGGGAGCCGGAACTCGCCTTGGGTGATGGAGTCCCCAAAGAGAACGATGGCATCTTGCGACGGCGCTACAGACATGGTCAAGATCAGAAATTTGTGCCTGATTATGGGGCTTTTGGTGCATGGACTCGGCGGAAATCTTTCGTCTTTCGTACAATCAGGGGTAATTCATATCGAGTGTGTGGCTTGGAACCCCTCAGACTCCTGTTCAGTCAGCTTACCCGGCAAGTCCTGTTTAGCAGAAAGCTTCAGAGCCGAAGAACCAACGGGGGCCACACGAGCACGCATTTCGAGTCAATTCAATAGGCGGCCAGAGACGCGGCAATTGCCCCACGGGGAAGTCCTGTTTAGCAGAAAGCTTCAGAGCCGAAGAACCAACGGGGAAGTCCCGTTTAGCAGAAAGCTTCAGAGAACCAACGGGGGCCACACGAGCACGCGCAAATTTCGAGTCAATTCAAGAGGCGGCCAGAGACGCGGCGATTACCCCGCGGGGAAGTCCTGTTTAGCAGAAAACTTCAGAGCGTGCAAATTTCAATTCACCCCCCAAATCCATTCTATCTTCAATTAATTCTATCTTAGCATGACATGATAGGGCTCAATGCCCACCCTCACTGCCCTACATAAAGGTTTCTATCTCTCAGAGTACTGATGATAGTGCTACATAAAAGATTCCTACGACATGTTCTCAGACCTGGATTCTCGTCAGTCTCACCGTCACCTTACTCTAGTCAGCGTATGTCGCTGATACTGTTTCGCGCCAGACATTGGATATCATAACAGCACCAGTTGGCCAGCATACAACCACACGGACATTGCTCCGTACATGCCGCCCTCACAGGCCATCCACTCTGGATACCCAAGAACCGACCTCTCGTCTCTGATGGGCGACATCGACTCCCTCGCCCGCTCCATTACTCCACCAGTGCAAGGCATTGACCCTTTTCATGATGGATTCTTTGTCCCTCCAAATACTGACTTGGTTGCGCTGTTGGAGGATTCGACTAACCCAACCAATGCGACGCCAATGATTAGTGCTGTACATGGTCATGGCCTTCCCTCAGCGTCGCCATCGCATTCAATGACACTCGCCTCACAAAACGATCGTCCAACGTGCCCTCACTGCGGCGGTACGCACCCTCGCCCAGTTCGCTATCGAGCTTGTCGCAACAAGCATCTTGGCCTTCGTCCATTTGCTTGTGCTGGTGAATGCGGTGAGCCGACATGGTGAGCGATTCACCTCTGTCACTGGACTGGACTGGACTGGACTGGTCGCTGACGACTCGTCTTCGGCTAGCGTCAAGACCTTTGCTAGTGCCGAGAGAAAGAAGGCACATACACGAGGCCGTGTGATTTGCGACAAATGGTACATATCTCCTTCAGGCTCGTCGCTGTACTGATTCGGTACGCTATAGCGGAAAACTCGGCTGGAAGAAGAACCAGGCCCGTCACCGCGAATCTTGCTTTTGATAACCGATCTGCTCTGGGTAATAAAGTCTCGCTTCACGCTACTCCTTTGAGTGACCGCGTCTTGAACGTGATCAGAGACGGTTTATTGACGCCGAGTTCGTTGGATAGTTCAATTGTCATCATACGGTCATTATCAGACATAATTTGTAGGCTGCTTGAGATCCTCGTTACAAATCGAAGGGCATGGTCAGCTGCAACCAAACTAAGCGCTGACTCTCCTATGCTGCTGCCAGTATGGCATCTCGAGAAGGGCTCAGAATATCGTCCAAGGGATATAAAGCCATTTAAACTCCATGACCTGACGAATTCAAGAACCGCCATAATGATTGGCGACGAATCACAAACTGCGATTGACCACGTCTATCTTGCCAGTGGAGAAGCCTTTGAAAGCAGATTAGTTGATACGCAAGGATTGGGGTTTGACTGCCACTACATGCGAGTTTCTGGGCATATCCTCCAACTTTCCACCCACCTGTGATTAGACTGAATGAGTCTCCAAAGAGAATGCCACTATCATGGACGGTTAAAATCTCACGTGCGTCCCGCGGATAAGGAACCTGATTACGCTCGGTCGAACGGACTATACAAGTCATTCATCTCGAATGGCGACCGAACTACACAAGTCATTCATTTCGAATGGCGAGCATCCACGAGGCACAGGTTTTTGCATGTAACCCGCTTGGAAGCACAACGGCAGACATCAGAGTTCCTAACGTCCCAACGTACATTAAAGATTCCCTACTCAGTTTGGAGTGCCAAATGTTGCGAACACCCGATCGGTCCTGACCTGCAGTCCTTTAGCACTCCTCAGACGAAAGGGAATGATATAAGAATGTACACTTTGGCCTCTGGGGGTATCACCCTCGTCAAACGGCATGCTCTCTAATTCCTCATTGCGTCCGTTCCTTTCCTCTCTGCTGTCCACGTCCTTCTGATCTAGAGTTACTTCAGAGCTTTCGCATTTCGACTTTATCACCAGCTGGTCTATGCCCGGGCAGGTGGACTTGCCTGGTCAATACATATCCTACCAAGGTGTCCGCTCCGAGGATCCAAGTATCCATGCCTTGCCTCCTCTGCCCATGACTGGCATTGACCTTTTCAATTGGGATAGCATTTTAACCAACGTAACCGAGGCTGTATCTTCTCATGGCAGCTCTGCCGTTCCTCCGAGCGTCAATGTCCCCCAGACCATCGGGACCTCGGCCAATGTGATTCCCATCGCTGCGGAATCTGGGCAAGCGACTATGTCCTCCCAGAGTACTGTAGCCTCGTCGCAGACCAAGACAACCTGTATTCACTGTGGCGGCAAGCACTCTCGAAAGTCCCGCTATGAAGCCTGCAAGAACAAGCATCTTAATCTCCAGCCATTTGCATGTAATGGAGGATGCGGTAGGCCAGGATGGTAAGTCATTTCTAAGTGCCATCCACGCAAGGGGTGTCGCTGACCTTGGGGTCTTGCCTGTTCCTTGCCAGCGTCAAGACATTTACGAGTTCTGAGCGAAAGAAGGCACATACTCGAGGTCGTCAAGTTTGCGAGAAATGGTCTGTATGCCTCCTGTTCAGATATTGTCGGTCGACTGAGACATGTTGCAGCGGAAAGCTAGGTTGGAAGAAGAACCAAGCTCGTCATAACAAGTCTTGTGTCTGATTGATCGATTGCTCTCGTTTCTTGCCTATGTCGTCCTTCCTCTGAGCGTCTGCGCCGAGAATGTGACTGGCCAATATTGCTGCCGAGCGTGTTGAATAGTCGCTACTGTATGCTTTTCCTTGGATATGATCTTATCGGTCATTTGAAAAATTTGCTCGAAATTGATGGGCGTGGTCAGCCGCAGCGCAAGTGGGCTCTCGCCACCACCTTCGTTTGGCTTTGCGCGTCCAACAACGACGACAACATGTCCAACGGCAACTTTCTAGACGTTCGTATGCGATTTATTTATTCTTCCATCGCTTCTCTGTTTGCCTAGACGCGTACCCGATGGCTGACGTTTGCGGCGGACGCCCTCTGTAGCGCGCGATTGAGATTGTGCAAAAGGCAATAGACGAGGATGTGAACCAGAACTATGCAGAAGCCTACAAGCAGTATCAGAACGCGCTTGACTACTTTATGATGGCTCTCAAGTGTACGTCTACCCTCCCCAACAACATCTACACGCTCTCCTATACATTCTACGTGATTACATTTCCCTATTTCCCTTTGTTTTGGTTCCCTTTGACCCCCCGGAATGTACAAAGGCGACGTGGACGCTGACGAACCTGGCCCCGTTGGGAAACAGACGAGAAGAATGACAAGCTCCGCGTGTTGATCCGGAAAAAGGTCGATGAATATCTGGACAGGGCAGAGAAACTCAAGGCGCACATCGCAAAGGCAGAGACGGCAAAGACAGCTGCTGCAATCGGCAGCAGTGGCAAGACCACGTCGGGCGGAAAGTAAGCCTATCATCAAGAGTTCATCTATTATAATCCAACACAATCCCTCTTGTGTGTAGGGAAGACGACGGAGACGACCCAGAGGTTAAGAAACTCCGGGCGGGACTATCGAGTATGTCCGAGCTGGGGAAATGGGCTCCAATGTTCACGAGGTGTAGGCGCAATCGTACATGAAACCCCCAACGTGAAATGGGACGACGTAGCTGGTCTTGAAGGCGCAAAAGAGTCGCTCAAAGAGGCCGTCATTCTCCCTATCAAATTTCCACATCTCTTCACTGGCAAGCGTACGCCATGGCGTGGGATTCTCATGTATGGACCTCCTGGTACCGGAAAGAGTTATCTCGCAAAGGCGGTAGCCACCGAGGCAAAGAGCACCTTTTTCGCCGTCTCCTCGTCAGACCTGGTCAGCAAATGGATGGGAGAGTCGGAAAGGTGAGTATCTATCAGTTCTGATGGAACCGTCTAACTTGTATAGGCTCGTCAAACAGCTCTTCACAATGGCTCGCGAGCAAAAGCCGGCCATCATCTTTATTGACGAAGTCGACTCGCTGTGTGGCACACGAGGAGAAGGAGAATCGGAAGCCTCGCGACGTATCAAAACCGAGTTTCTTGTCCAGATGAATGGTGTCGGCAATGACGATACTGGCGTCCTTGTCCTTGGCGCTACCAATATTCCTTGGGCTTTGGACAATGCCATCAAACGCCGATTCGAGAAGCGAATTTATATCCCATTGCCTGGACCAGAGGCTCGCAAACGTATGTTTGAGCTCAACGTAGGCACGACGCCGTGCGAGTTGTCCGCAAAGGAATATCGACAGCTGGCAGACCGAACGAATGGGTGAATACAATCTCAATCCATTTGCAACATCTCTAACAAAGTATAGATACTCTGGGTCCGATATCGCTGTGGTCGTGCGCGATGCATTGATGCAACCCGTCCGCAAGGTCCTCTCGGCCACTCACTTCAAGTCTGTCGCTGCACCACAGACGGAGCACCAGAAGACACTAGGCGGTCGATGGCCGAAGTGGACGCCGTGTTCGCCTGGAGACGCAGAGGCAGTCGAAAAGAGTTGGTCAGACGTCGAGAGTGATGAATTACTCGAGCCACCCCTTCGCATGGCCGACTTTGTGCGTGCGATTGCGCAGGTGAGACCGACTGTCACCGAAGACGATATCCGGAAGCATGTCGAGTGGACAAACGATTCCGGAGAGGCGGGCGCATAGTCTCCTCGCTCTTCTTGCCTTGACTACTCTTCGGGCTACGGACGGCTGCTTTGTATTTAGCGCTTTTTTGGTACCGATGTAACTGCTTTGAACAAGAGATCTTTCACGATAATGGCCATATATATTCAGAATCATCGCGAAATTATACTTGTGGGCAAGTCCTGGGCGCCTGCTTTCACCTCCAGTGCCGAGTCCAAGCTCCGCGCGAGCTTGTCACAAGGCCGGGTTCGCCAACAGGTTTGTCCCCTTCCATCACCATGAACGCATCGCAGACCTCGTCTCGTGCCCTTCAAACCTTACGAACTCTACCCGTGAATGTCTGTAGAGGATCTAGACACGTCCACACGCTTCCACCACTGCAGACCCTCGTTTCGACTTCGTCGCCCGAGTTTGTCGAGCGCGCAAATGCCATGAATGGGCTCGTCAGTGAATTAAAGAAGGACCTGGCTGCTATACGTGAAGGAGGTAAGTGTGTTATGCAAACCTACAGGAGCGAGACTGACGAGAAATAGGTGGACCAAAAGCGCAGGCGAGAATGAAGAGCAAGGGCAAGCTACTGCCGCGAGAAAGGTGGGAACTTGTCTAATCTATGTGCTGGAAGACTCTCAACGACGCATACGGTCAGATTGGCACAGCTACTTGATCCGGCGTCGCCATTCTTGGAGCTGTCGCCGTTAGCAGCACACAATGTGTACCGGGATGCGGACGTTCCTGGAGCGGGTATCATCACAGGAATTGGAAGAGTTGCCGGTCGAGAGTGCATGATAGTCGTCAATGACGCGACCGTCAAGGGCGGGAGCTACTATCCGTTGACGGCGAGTTATTCAGACCAAAGCGCTGTATATTGTCTCATTCTCTTTCACTAGGTGAAGAAACACATCCGAGCTCAAGAAATCGCAAAGGAGAACAAGCTCCCGTGCATATACCTAGGTTTGTCCCCAAGACTCCACAGAGACACGGCGACTGATCATTTCAAAGTCGAAAGCGGAGGGGCTGCGCTTCCACATCAGGCAGAGGTCTTCCCGGATGCTCAACATTTTGGACGCATATTCTACAATATGGCACAACTGTCCTCTCAGGGTATTCCTCAAATTTCCGTTGTTCATGGTATTTCCGTTGCAGGAGGAGCCTACACATCTGCCATGGCAGATGAGAACGTCATTGTACGGAACCAAGGTCGAATCTTTCTCGCGGGTCCACCACTTGTCAAGGCGGCTACGGGTGAAGAGGTCGGAGAAGAAGAGCTCGGTGGGGGTGACATGCACTCCAGTGTCAGTGGAGTTACGGATCACCTCGCCAGGGACGATGCACATGCTATTGCCATTGCCCGTGGGATCGTTGGAGATCTAGGAGCGGCAGCGGGCGGGCGAATAGCGCTACCGGCAGCTGAAGATGCAGAACCACCACTATACAGCTCAAGTGAGCTTGGAGGAATTGTCGGCACCGACGTACGACAACCCTTTGACATGCGGGAGGTTATCGCCCGTATTGTCGACGGAAGCAAGTTCAGAGAGTTCAAAAAGGAGTATGGCACGACTGTCGTCACAGGTTTCGCAAGTATACATGGGCACCCCGTTGGGGTCATCGGAAAGTATGTATCTCGCCTCTGTAGGCTCGCCGAACTCAGATGTTCTCAGCAACGGGATCCTGTTCTCCCCATCAGCACTCAAGGCGGCACACTTCATCGAACTATGTTCACAGAGACGCATTCCTCTTCTTTTCCTGGTGAATGTCACAGGTTGGTGAACTTGTGCTTTGGCAGACCACGTTTCACGATTGCCAGGTTACATGGTTGGTTCCAAGGCCGAACGAGGAGGTATCGCAAAAGACGGCGCGAAGATGGTTCGAGCAGTAGCGTGTGCAAATGTGCCCAAATTCACCGTTGTCGTCGGTGGAAGTTTTGGCGCTGGCAATTACGGGATGTGCGGACGAGCGGTACGATCCTTGCACCGTCAAAGAAGGGTGACTCATTTATCGTAGTACTCTCCACGCTTCATGTGGCTGTGGCCGGTAAGTGCCCATAGCTCACGTTCAGAATATAAACTAAAGGAACTTTAGAACGCAAAGATTTCTGTCATGGGTGGTTCTCAGCTCTCTCAAGTAATGAGCTCTGTCTCCAAGTGAGTTCTCTGGAAAATAAATTCCCCGTCTTATATCCTGTGTAGAGATCCCGCGCAGCACGCCACGCTTGAGAAGGAGATTGAAGAGCAAGCAAGTGCACGATATGGATCTGCGAGACTGTGGGATGATGGAATTATCATGCCCGAAGATACTCGCGACGTTGTCGGGCTAGGTTTGGCTCTGGCGGCTCGAGAGACTGCAGGAACCTCGCAAACGCATTCATCAGGATGGGACGGCTCATCTTTCGGAGTGTTCAGGATGTAGGCGAAATCAATCGTCACATTTCGTGCAAAGTCCACGAGTTCGTACATATCTCCGACCTAAAAAGGCCGGTTCCCTAATAGTCAAGCAGGGGCGACGCTTCCAGTATAAGCTTGACTTTTCTTCTTTCGCATGCGTCCGAAATTCCCTTCGAGGTTTGCATATCGACGGTCGAGTCAATCTCCAGTTTCTCCAAGCAAGGGAAGGCCCCAGCTTCCAGCAGAGTGATCACTTCTTGTTCTTCTACTTTCGTCAATGTGAGATTTTTAACGGGGATTTTGCCCAGGAAATCCAGTTCCCAATAGATCTCATGTTCGTAGTGCGCTCGCTCCAGTGATACGGGTGGCGTCACGTCTGAAGGGGCAAGAGGATACGGCAAACGAGCGACGTCATCCATTTTACCGCATGTGGACACCTCGAGCCATTGAAGGTTTCGCGCCCACAGTCCATTTGCCACGCCACACGCAATGGCGCCACTATGCGCTCCGCGACAATCGAGAAAGGAGAGATACTGAAGTGAATCTCTACACGCCCACGGTGTATCCTCGCATAATATATCGCGACAAGTGATGCCAATGTAATTGCGGAAGATAGCCGCTCGGAGACTCGAAGCCTCCGCTCGGAGTAGCTTGAGATTTGGCGTACTTATGCAACTTTTTGTATCGAAGGAGAGATGTTGGAGCTCCTTTCCACTTGATTGAAATATTTGTGCGACAATTCCGTCCAGGAGGTCGGACACATTCTCCTGCGTAAAAGGCTCTGAACCAGTGCTCCTCCTCAGGGTTTCCATGACTTGCAAGCTTCGAATCATTTTCATCTCCTCGAATGCAAGGGTGACCTTGGGTAGCCGCAGCCGCGAGTCGCGTAGGATGTGAAGCGTAAGGTCATGCACATTGGGCACGAGTCGGATTATTTGTGAGACCTGAGTGTCTCTATTGTCGATTCCTATCACACTCCTCCATTCGTCCTTCTCTGAGTCCACCCACAGACTGAGGGTGAGCGTCTTGACAAAATGCCCAAGCCTTGAAGCCAAAGCAACCCGCGAGGTCAAGTCTGAGCCATCTAGTTTGATAGCAACAGCACTAAAGAGTCCAGGGTCGACAAAATTTGCAAATCGCTTGGATGTTCTGCATTCCGGGATCAATATCTTAGTCGTCTTTGAGTAATATGAATGGAGCAGCGTACAAGCGAAGTGATTTCAGAATATCTTGACGTCCCTGGCCTCTCTCAGATCCAATGAATGCTAGAATTTCGAGAAAAATATCTTCCGGAAGGTCCCAAAAGTGCATGGTGATGGCGGGCGCCAACGTGTCAATAAAGCAGAACGTCTTGATTAGAGATACATGATCAAATGTCTAGAGTACAGGCGTATGCAAGCAAAAAACAATCAATCAAGAAGTCAGACAGGGTAAGTCGTTAGTGTAGATCCATCTGTCGGCGGCGGCCACACCAGATTGAGGATCCAGAGTACGACGAGAATGACACCAACTCGAACAGGAAGTGGCCATGGTTCTGACGAGTCTGATTTTCCATGCGAGTTTGCCGCTGCTCCTGTCGGAGGCGAGGACGGCGGCGGTTCGTTCGGGACGGTTTGCTCCTCGCGTGAGAGTAGGTTAGTGAACTCTGAATCTTCTGCATAAGATTTCGCTGCTGCATTGTCTATCGAACCAGCTTGGTTTATTATGGCGAGCGGTATACTCTCCGTGTCTCCGGCTTGAGTACCGTTGACGAAGCTGGACATCGACTGGGCAACGGAGTCAGGAATAGAATGTGATATCGTGGTTTCGTTCGAGGTGAGAGGAAGTGTAGGAGTTGGGCTCTCAACTCCGCACAGCAGTTTGGTCAGATCCCCTGTAGCAGTGGCGACGAGGTGACTGAGCCATAAAAAGACAGTTGAGGTGATAATTAAGTTGATTGCACGATGATTGATCCCAGGAATGATGACCAAGAGGCCTTTCGTGTCTATGGCGTTGTCAGCATTCACATCCCATATGAGCCAGGCAAAGGGGCCTACCTGCGGCTAGCCAGAGATGGTACTGTAAGATAAAGGTTTCGAGGGAGCAAGCACCAATCCATGCTGCCAACCAGGATGATGCACTTCTTAGCACCGGCGTCGCGTTTCGCAAGGCGATAAACCCGAGCACCGGGACGACGGAGACATAAGGATGCCATAAGTTGTAGGCAAACTTATCCTTCCGACTGAGCTCGAAGGCTGCAAACCACACAAGTCCAATAAATGATGCAAGGAGGAGAGTATGCCGAAGCCATGACCACCGGGGATGGTCCACCAACCGTGCTGTTCCTACACCGGCGCTGCCAGGGGAATCGAGCGTATGAAGAACAAGTGCGATGATCATCCCGACGTAGACGATTAGATAATCAAGGTTGACTCGGAAAGCCCATTCCTTCGGTGACCAATTGATGTTGGCGAGAGTGCGCAAGAGTCGGAAGACGCCCTCAATGAGCCACACTTGAGAGTGTATAATTGCTACAACAAGGAAGGAGGCAATGATCTTGCAAAGAACAAAGATTGGCTTTGTGTTGTGCGACGATGCTCCGAGGAGAGTGAAGTAGACAACGAGATACCAGAACGAGACGAGTGGTGCAAAGTAGTAGAATATGTAGTCGGTGTCCATCGTGTATGCCAGTATAATGGTGAGGAGGTTGAGTCGAACAAGAACCTGCGCGACGCGGAGGATGCTGAAGTCGGCCTTTCTGAGATAATACATCGTGTGACCATAGCCGGTCATGAATAAGTAGCTATCTTATGTAAGACAAATACAACTATACAAAAATCGACGTACGACGCAACGAGAACGCGAATGGGGGCGTAAATGCCGGCGATTCTGGAAGCACCCATGTAGTGGTAGATGAGGATGAATACTTGAAAGGAAATCAGTCCTGTCGAGATTTCGAGTAAAAATTGACAGACATTGCATCCACCCTTTCCACTCGTCTGTCTGCTGGCGATTGAGAGGACCCAGGTCTTTTGAGCCTTTCTTGACCGTCGCGAGACATGCCACGATAATCAGAACGCTAAGCATGGTGAAAATCCATGGGTTAAACTGTTTCTGGGACTTGAGCCAAAGGCCTATCCCTTGCTCAGCTTGACATATCAAAGTATGAGCAGCGCTCACCTGTCCTATCCGCGATACGACAAAGCCAAACAACTGAGCCAAAAATCGTGAGCGGTTTGTCGTATTTCGCCTCTGGAAGGAGTGGCAGGATTGTTCTTGCCGTCTCCGCGATAACTCCACTCTCCTTCTCACGCAGCCTCAGAAACCAAATCGTAGGCCCAAATAACCATATTCCAACGCTAACCCAGAGGGAAAGATCTAGGCGTGCTGGATACCGTGCACAGCAAGTCTTGTCGAATGGAAAGCGCTTGGGCTGCAGGTCGTTACAACGCAAATTGAGAAGAATCTGTGCTTGAGAGGAAGCAATGAGCGGGCTATAATGAAGACCGTCGGCAGTCTGTGAAGGATCAAGGAGAGTATTGAATACTGATGGAAATATGGCAGGGGCACGCCCATGATCTGCAGAATGCAATACCACATCTTCTGGGATCGTTGGTGGGGCGATAGGAAGATGAGATGGTGGGGTTGAGGTAGGAGGGTCATAAACCGAGGCCAAAGGCGATAGTCGATGGAGTAGGTCCGAATTCATAGCGTCAATGTCCGCGTGTTGAATAAAAGCTGATCTTTCTGCCGACAGCTTGTTCGGATCTGGCTCCTGCACTTCTTCAATCAGGCTCGAGTGTCAGCTTGCACTAAAAGGGCGTACCAGGGAGGATGATGATCTCATCGGCGAGCTTTGACTTGGAATTCCGTATAGTTTCAATGATATGTTCCATTCTAGACTCCCATCCGGCCATGCCGCCGCCTCCACCGGGCTCATTCCGATACCTAAGGAACCAGAGCCCAGTCCCCAGAACCAACATGTTGGGAGCATCTCGTTTCCCGAATCCGTCTCCTTTTAGCAGGGTCTCCGTCTTTGTAGAGTTGAGAAACGGGTCCCAGAAAAAGTCAAACCAAGTGCCTGTGCCGGCTGGCAATGAGTGGTCCGAATGCTTCTCGAAAGAAGAAGGAGGGGAAGAAGGGAGCGTTGGGTCTGCAAGTTGAGCCATGGAGAAGAACAACTGGCGGGTTGTCGAGTCGCCGATGAAGACGACGCGTTTGGAACGCAGGCAATACTGAACCTCGGGCGGCGTGTACTTGTGCATCATACAGCCTGTATAACGTTAATAAGTAAAGAGAGATGAGCGATGGCTGACCTTTTGGTTGCCAGTTTGTGAACTTGGTGTCAAGCCATTGACCTTGCGAGATGAGGGCGTGACAATGGTGCGGATCTCGGCGGTCTAGGATGGGAATTAGTAAATTTTGTACAAAAAATGCAACGGGACATGCCAAGAACAGAAACACGAAACACTGCAAAGACTATAGCGGTAACAAGAATGAATGCGGGAACGTAATGGTGCCAGGCATCCTTGGAGAGCCTCCGAGAAGCTCGCACAGGCATCAGTATGATTTATTTCCTCTGACGAATGGAAGTCAACCGCAAACACAACTTTGGTCGGGTCGAAGTTTCGCAAAGGTGAGTAACTGGTATGAATGGAATAGATTACAGCTTCCATCAAAGTCTACAGAGTCTTATTCACGAGGAGGCTGCCCCAAACTTCGGCGCTATCAACTTGCACCTGACCACCCCGGTCTCTGCTAGACGGATCGTCTAATCCCGCTTGTTTCACGCGCCTCGCTGCAGAGTACATCTAACTCTCATCTATCGAGGCTCGTGCTACCAGCGAGCTCCAAAACACGTCCCAACGGTGTTGTTTCTCCTCTCACTTCTCCCAGAACAGAAATTGTACAGACATTTCAAACGATCGGAATCGCGAGAACACCATATATCTGGCGATTTGCTTCCCTGGGCGTCGGGAGCGCGGTTCCAGGCTCGCGTTTGGAGGCTGAACGAATGCCAAAAGCATCGTCCAAGGAAACTTGCTTCTACGGTGTAAAGGTTGGACGCGTTCCAGGAGTATACGCGACTTGGGACGAGTGCCAGAAGCAGACGAGTGGTGAGTGCTTCCGGGTGGTCTGTGCTGGCTTGATCTGAAACCGTGTATTTGGTGACTTTTAGGGTATCCGAAAGCATTACAAAAGAAATTCAGCACATTTGAGGAAGCAAACGCATTTGTAAACGGAATGGCCACGAGGACTGCTCAGACAAAGGTCGAGCGACATCAGCGACATGCATAGTATGTTCACTCGCAATATGTGTGTAATCTTTATTGAGTCATTCGAAGTGCTGCGGGACCGCGTCAACCAGGATGGGATCAAACCCCAAGAGGTGAGTCTGAGTACAGTGTCGTAATTCACTAATCAAGAAATAATCCTTTTAGATTCTTGGGAGTCCCCAGGTAGCGGTACGAATGCGGTCAATGTCCACCAAATGCAGAGGAACATGAGTCAATTTGGAACGGCGTCTGAGGCGACCACATCATCAAAGCCTAAGATAAATACCCTTGACAATGCCACCCAGGCAGACGAAGAGGAATGGGAGACGATCATTGTGTACACAGATGGAGCATGCAAGCAGAATGGCAAAGTCGATGCGGTGGCTGGTATCGGTATGTCATTTCACCTGTTTTTCCCTCATCGCCCATCTCGGCCTTTCCGTCGATGGCGTCATGCAAATTCAACAACGTCCCGGGGATAAGCATATACTCACTCATTGGCGTGTTAGGGGTGTGGTGGGGCCCTCACGATGAACGGTGCGTATTCCGCGTGATTCAGAGATTTCTTTCCACATCCTTGACATGACAGACGGCTGTGGCTACCCTGGCCTTCATTTAAGCCCCACCCACCCGCCGAAAAGGCTATGGTCTCTCACTGGTCTGCTCATTCTCTGCAGGGGCCTGGAACACTGCATCTGTATGGATGCACTAGAGTTGCATGCCGTTAGCCACCACGCGCCAGACCCTCTTCTCGACGATCACGCACTGACATATTCGATATTTTGTATGATGGGCTCACCGTTCGCTTGATAGAAATCTGTCGGAACGGTGCCCAGGGGATCAGACCAATAATCGCGCCGAGTTGATTGCCATTATTCGCGCGTTAGAGACCGCTCCAAGTGAAGAGGCTCTGTCGCCAGTAGCGGCCTCGAAGAAAAGAAAGACGCGCTGGATCATACGAACAGACTCAAGGTATTCAATTCAAGTCGCAACAGAGTGGGCGCCCAAATGGGAACGAAATAACTGGAGGCTGGCAAGCGGACAGGAGGCAAAGAATGTTGTGCGTATGTCCCTTCGTGAATGCTCTATATTGACGGATATAGCCACTTATTCAATATCTTATGGCTTTGTTGGACCTCCGGGGGATGGACGAGCCAGTCAAGTTTGAGTGGGTCAGAGGGCATCAAGGGGATGTCGGTAATGAGGCAGCGGATCGACTGGCCGTGAACGGAACACAACTACCCATGACTCCCGAGCGTGACTGGGCAGTAGCCCGTCAAGATATTGAGAAGACGTGTTCCGAGGCACTCCGGACGCGTGCACGGGAGCAGAGGCCGAAACAAGTAGAGACGAACACCGCCAGTGGTCAAACTGCAGAGTTGCCGGCGGAGGAAGAGGACTTATGGAACGTGCAATCAATTGACGCGAAGGAGCTGATAGACTTCGTGGTGGGTTGGGGCTATTTTGGAGTGTGTCACGCTGACGTTGATCTGCAGTTTTCGGAAGATGACTTGCTGAACCAGGAGCAGCTGGAGTTGCTCGAAGAGACCCAGGATTTCTAGCGCTGGACGGGAGAGTGGAGCGTGACGTCGATGCGGGATTCGGTCTATAAAGCCCGCACTTTCGACCACACCACCGAAAGGAAAAGACAGCTGAAATGATCTTCCCAATGTGTACGTTCATCGACGCACGCTGATTTCGTCAGACCCTGACGTTCGTTTGCAGCGCAAAAGCAGCCATTTCACGGAGTGCACAACGCCCCAGTCGACCCGCTGACGATGTACTCGCAGCAGCTACATGATTATACTCGGCAGCAATGGCTCGAGGCACGTCGTCAGGCCGAGCGGGAGTCGGCCTCCAAGTCGGTGAGCCCCTTTGAGACGATTCGTCACTGTCGTCGCTGATGACGACCAGCACCAGCAGATGAACGAAAAGAAGCGTCGTCACCGTCGGTCACCGTCGGGTCAGCAGACGAATGGGCATTAAGCTATCTTATTCCTCCCTTGTACTTGTATCACTGATAGAATCTGCATTCCATCCCATCTCTGCAAACATCCATGATTAATGATGCCTTTTGTAGGCATCATATGTCCTCATTCGTAATTTCATTGAGATTACCCCGCCGCGCGAGCTAAGATGGAGAACTCGCCTTGTCATAAAGCGGCTATAATTCGAAAATGTCAACATCGGTTTCTTTCCTCTCCTCCTCTTTCTTTCTTTTTCTTTGTCGACTGTTAGATGACTACGGCGTTTGCTCCAAATGTGTGCGTCATGCGCGTGCTGAGCGCGAGGAGGCTCACCTCTGAATCACAGCTTTCTTGCATTGGCGACCAACTATGTGCTTGGTGCAAATAATACCAAATTGCTCGCACAGGTCACCCTGGTCGACTGGCGCGGCCAAACCGGTCAGAAATTCTTTCCTTGGTCCGTCTTTTCTGACAGAGTATCAGTTGTATGTAACACGTTTGTACCGTTTTGCTTGACGTTACATGCGCTCGCAGCTTGATGTCTACGTTCAGCCGACTTCGACAATCGTGGACTACCGGACAAGCACGCACGGCCTCGATGCTCGCCATCTCGCACCTCCTGAGGCACTTCCGTACAGTTCAGTTCGCGTCAACGTAGCCGAAATGATCAATAATCATGTCATTGTCGGCCATGCACTCTGGTCGAGCCTTGCACTTCTTGGTCTTACCCACCCCGCCATTCATTCACGAGACGTTGCAACCTAGTATGTTTTGCATCCATTTCGCAAGTTCTTATCGTTAAAGGCGTAGCACACCGTTTCGCCGTGCGCTAGGATACCCACTCGACTCGTGTTCGTCTTATCCGGCCCTCAAGGATCTTGTGCAGGTCCTCATGCGCAGAGATATGGAGCCCCTCTTCGTCAATACTGTGTGTATCTCTTCCCCGAATGGAGACTCCTGTCTTCGGCCTTTCTCCTGGCACTGACGTCTATGGCCCTAGACAGAGACGGCTCGAGCGGCAATGGACCTTTTCCGCTCTCATCGACCCGCCTGGGAGGGTGTCATTACCTCTGGCGGTTGGCCATCGGTCGTCTTGCCCGCCTATTGGAACATTTACTTTACCTGATCTTCTCCTCATCAATAATTGGGATCCGACCTCTGGAGATGTTTTATCGGTCTCCAAGTTTGATCATTATTCGATGTCCCTCGTTTCTTGAACCACTCGTTACTTGCACCTACATAATAGACTGGAAACCCGTTGTAGATAATCGCGTTGTGATCTAGTATGCTCACTATGCATTTATTCGACGAGAGCCTGTCCATCGGTCCTCGCTGTTTGCGAGAATCAAGGCAATCTCGTCTGACATCTTGGTCGTGGCTAAGGGACAAGTGAGCGAGGCTACAGCCTTAGATTACTAACGTCAACCAAATAGCTCGCAAGCAGTGAGCAGGAGACTACAAGTGAGGGTGTCAATGAGAGGATCAAAGCAATATATATATTCAGTGGAACAATACCTGAACAGACTATGGCGTGCCTGACATAAGCCAAGATGGTGGCATATCTTGTTGACTAGACTCTAAGATTGACGGTTTATAAAGATCACTCCATCACATTTCAGGCACATTCGAGCGACGCGCAAAGCATGTAACAGATTTCGTTTAGATCGTCTCAAAATGCAAAATCTTACCGTATCAATCTCAAGCTGCAACTCATACGATGCTGTGCTTGGTTCCGCCTCCAGCCCCAGCTTTCCACTGTGCGACTGAATCAGTCCCGAGGCCATTTAGAGTACAGCATGCGTACCAAAACTCGCAATTTGTGCGACCATTAACATGAACAGCCTTCCGCTCGGAGTTCGCAAATGTCTGAACACTGGGGAGAATCCAGGACGTCAGCAACCCTCGTAGAATCGAATAGACTGTACCGCTTACCAATTTGCCTTGCCACACTCACCGACACACGCGAAAATATACAGCCCAAGGTGTTTATTACTGCAGGCTCGAAAGCGGACGGGTCGCGGGTGAGCGCCCCCCGCAGCAAGGGCATGAAGGTCCATTTTTTTTGAGGTAGAATAGGGTGCGTGGACGTTGATGCAATCACCTGACTGATGGCAGACATGGCATTGGCTGATGTACTCAATGTCGCCGAGGGCACGAGTGGGATAGAAGCTTCATGGACCGATTGAATAATGTTGGTCCATGCAAGTGGGTCGAAGGTGACCACGGGAGGCGGGGAGACATTGGCTGGAGGCCGGGACCGGGTGCTCGTGTGGGCCGCATCTGGGCCAGTAGATGTCTCATTATCGACGAAAAAGGCCAGAGGTCGATTTCTGGGGCATAATGAGCTTCTAAAGTGAGTTTGCATCAGCGATATGATCGCTCTCATGTCCAACGTCGGCAATAGCTGGTAAGAAGAGTGGAAGGGACACTGACGATAGTATCAACGAGTATTCAAATTCGAAGACATGGCTCAGCGATACTTTGTACCTTCTCTGGAACACGCATGCTTTTATATCTTTCGTGATATTATGTCTACATCAGAATTTTATTGTCGAGGCCATGTTCAATGGTGGATAGGATGTATCCTAAGTAATCGAGGTCATGTTAATTGATCGAAGCATCCACCAATGTCACGGCACACTAGGGACGTGCCTGGCTGGTCAACTTGATCCCAGGCTTACCTCCCCCGTTAGTTATCGGCCGATGGTGCGCTTCGCACATTTGTAAAATCGTCGGATGACGCAGCTCCAGCAAGCACTAGGTTGGAGTCGTGTACGAAGAAGATTCGTGGTCACGTTAAACGTATCGGTACGGCGTGTATCAAACACCGTTTCTCGAGTCAAGGTTATAAGAAGCGGCTGGCTTTACTTGGGATATATCGCGTAGGGAGCAGTATCCACCCCCCGCCAAGTTCCATGTTGACACCGCTGGACCACGACAAATCCGCAATTCCGTAGTTGACTAGTAGAGCGAGAAGTCGATCAGCTTCGTCAACATCTTCGCCCCCCCTACCACTCTATAGGACGACTCAGAGCGCAGGCTACATTCCAAATACTTGCTAGGATCTACTCAAGCGGCTACTGCATGGTGCTGCAGAACACCTGTTCTCTATGCATAGTACAGGGAATTGGATTGAAGTTTGCACTTGTGAATCAGGTTAAGGATACATCCTTTGCTCGTAATTGGCCGGCCGGTATGGTGTTAAGTGAGGCTTTTTGCAAGACTAGGAATTCTAGCGGAGTTATCCAGACGATAAGACGCGAACTTGAGCAGCAGCTGTCCTGAGGACGTGGGTTCGGGTCGCCGAGATGCACGTTAATTTCAAAAACTTTTTTTTAAAAATGGAGCGCATTTGTCCTCTTAAATATCATTCTATTTAGGTTTAATTTTATACTTTTGACCCTTCATCAGATGGCCTACAAGAAGACCGTCGGTTTCTTTCAGACTTGCGACGCTAACCATAAAGACTACAAAAGTTTGGATATATGTGCAAGATTATATACAATTTCTTTGTAGCGATACTAGTATTTTGGTAGCCGGAGCGTAGAACATACAATGGAATCAGACTTGGTACGACTGACCTTGGATTGATCATAGAGCTTGACGGACGTTTCTCAACTGAATGCTTCATAAGTTTGCTGATCCTGGTAGGCGCCGCGTCTCTGGCCGGCCGGAACGGGACGGTCATCCTCCAGAACTGCCATTTGCCATAAACTCTGGTACGCTGAAATGGGGGTGACTGAGCGATCAAAGACTGGGATTGCATCGTGCACGGTGGCGACTCTGATTCTTACGCCACCCAGGCCGTCCGCTGCGCGTAAAAAAAAAAAAAGTCAAAACGAGAGCTTATATCACGGTACGCGACAGACGTACCACACCTCGCAGTTGACACGACCACGCACATGGGCCGCCTTTCGCTCTGCGCTTGCAAAGATCTTGAGACTGACACGGTGTTTAGCCACGCTTGTTAGTCTTCCAGAGTATCCCGATAGAAGGAGCACTGACCATTCCAGTTTGCCGCAGTCTCCACCACATACAAAAGGCAAGAGTCCTAAATGCTTGTTACGACATGCTCTGTCTCTCACGGGACGCGTGTGTGTACGACCGCAGTAAGAGCACAATGGTCGTTTACAGTGAGCCGGCTGTGGTTGGGGGAGTAGGGATGGGAAAGGCGTGTTCGACGGTGCTGGCGCGTTGGGGTAGGCGGTCGTCAGCGCTGGAAGTGGGACCAAGACTTGGGCGTAGTCGAGTATTTATACCATAAGACGATGTAGACTGAGCCCGGAGGTCGGATCGAAGGCCACGCGCGGGGTAGGCCGGGACCGAACCATAATCGAACGTACTCCACGCAGATGCGTCGACGAGCGGTGCGTGTTCAATAACATGGGTCGAGCCCTGATCCTCGTTCCTCGTGCTCTCAACCGGAGCAGTCGCGTCGGAATTTATATTCATGGTGTCAAGGGGCCACCATTCGCCAAGGTCGTTCATATCTGTAGTATAGTAAGCGAGCTCGCCATCACAGCCTTTAGAAAGAGTTACAAACCGTAAGCATTCATCAATAACGACCAGTTCCAGGACATGGCTGAGAGCGACGACCTTAGCCCTCAGCATACGTACCCCTTTTTATACGATTTCTCGAGTACTCGCAAGATTGGGCGATTGAGCTAAAATTGCATGTTTGGCTAGTCAACATGTCGAAACCGTCTTGGATTGTCGTGGCTGCCATCCGAGCCGAAGGCGTCTTCCTGGCAGTGGTGTGAATACTGTTGACGAATGGCCTTGCCAGGAACAGTCCCTCAGCGTCTGTGAAACGCGACGATGTAGTGCGTCGTCCTCCGTGTTCAGTCCGATGAGATTGACCAACCTCGATCTCCGATGCATGGGTGCAATGCGTTCAATGCACGGTGCGTCCTTACTATTGCGAAAAAGACGTGAAATCATACTTTTGCCTCGCTTTTTTGTCGATCCAAGCAGGGAAGAGCCAGCTGAGAAAGAAGCCGGCCTTGTACTTGAGAGGTATAATTTCCACTCCCGTCTGACCTTCGTCCACCATCCTTATACATCGTTTCGCCACGTCCCTCGCGGACATTGCACCGTCCAGGTTCTCGCGTACGCCTCCGTTTGGGACTGTCACACGGGCGCCTACAACGTCGACGGCAGACGCACGAAAGTTGCCCTGAATCGTCCCGGGACAAATGTGGCTAAACGAGATGCGTGGGTGTTCGATGGAGAGGGCACGGAAGAGCATGAGCGAGGATGCCTTTGTTGCGCTGTAGAGCGTTCGTGTTGGCGGAGGAATGAGAGCTGCGAGAGAGGAAACGAGGTGGATCGCTGGTGCGGGAGAGGTGTGCTGCAGGAAAGGAATCTGTGTGTGAGGAAAACCGGTGGTCAGACTCGGTCAGGGTAGAACGCGTCAGAGGAGGACGTACAAAGGTGAGTGCGGCAGAGAGGGGCCCAATAAAGTTGCCGTCAATGGCCTTTTGCGCTATGGCTTGGGTATGCTGAATCCCTTCCACCGTCGTGTCGACGACTCCGTGCGGTGAACCGGCCACTTCGAGCAATGGACGAAGAGATGATACGCCTGCGCAAATAAAAAGCGTATCGACTTGTCCCCAATCTACATGTATGATGAGTTTCTCCATCTAGCCAGACCGGGTATATGGTCGGCCACTCACGTGCATTGACAAAGTCGCGCAAAGCGACGAGCTGGACAGCGTCTGTAGAGTCTGCTACTTTGTAGATTGCTTTCCGAGTGGATTTATCTGTATCCTCGGGGTATAACTGAAGGCATTCTTGCGTAGCCTCGTCGAGCTCCTTTTGCCGTCGACCGACGAGACAAACAAGTGCGCCTCTGGACGCATATATCTTTGCGATTTCCCTTCCTACACCCGAGGACGCTCCAATGATGACGACGCGCTCCTGGTTGCGTGGGATTGTCGTCGTCCGACGGGCTTTGCGAGAGAGAGTGTGTCTAGCGATGACAAATGCGGCAATAGATGCAAGAAGAATCGATAAGGGCTTGTTTTCTCGGAGATGGGCTGGAATTGTCGCCATTGCGTGGAATGTGGCCAGGTCACAAACCAATCCGTAGTGTTGCCGAGCATCTCTCGCATTTTCGCACCAGATAGGAGAAACGAGTGGGTAAAGATGAAATTCATGACCGGATAGCCAGCTTGCATATACCACATTTGGCCAACGATTTGTCGCCTGGGACTTTTTGATTATGGCTGTGGTAGTACAACGTACTCGAATAAGAGGATTCTAATACGGTGCGAATCGACCTCTTCCTCGTGGACCACCGCCGCCAGCCGGTGCGCCTCTGCCCCTTCCAAATCCTCCCCGGCCAGCGCCTCCTCGTCCCATTGAGCCACCTCTTCCTCCACGTCCAAATGAGCCACCAGCTCCAGCTCCTCCTCGTCCTCGGGGCCCTCCGCGCGTGCCTGCGCCTCGCCCTGCACCGCGACCGACACCACGTGCGCCACCGCGTTCTGTAGAGATCGAGATGAGTTGTAAAATTTTAATTTCATGAGAAGAGAGAATATGGGAAGTGGGAGATTGCAGGGCGACTTGTCTGGTCGTCATGCAGGGCGTGTCGGCAAATGTGTAATGTGATTGTATATATATATATATATATATGTGTGTGTGTATGTGTGGGAGATCTGTCCGTAGGGACGTTTCAGGACAACGGACGGACGTACTTTCTGTGATCAATCACGGGGGGCCAACGGCACGGGGTGACCGAACAAGGCCAGTGTCAAAAGCGAGACAACCGTCATCGATCGAGCCAGCGAGTCCATTGTGATGCAACGAATGTGTGTCAGTTTGGTTTCTTTTTTGACATTGGTGAGACAGAGCGGCGAAACCGCGCCGGTCGAAACGGTTGTGTGCCATGGGTAACACGGGAACGCACCTTTATGTTCTTTTGGCTTTGGAAGGAATCGTTCAAGTGGAAGAAGCTTGTCAGCGCCAATGTAGACCTTGTCGCCTTTGCGGAAGCTGGAAGCAACCATTCCTTCTGCCATTTTGACGGAAAAGTAGACCTCGTTGATAGGACCGAGAATCTCGTCGACTTTACCGATGGAGGATTTGTTTTCGAGGTAGATGGGCGCGTTAAAATAGGGAATCTTGTCTTTTAGCACGGATGAACAGAGCATCTCGTCCTCTACGGCGTGGATAAACTGGCCCATTTCTGGTGAATGGTCGGTGTGAATAGTTTTTTACATGCTGTTTCACGCACCGAGGACAGTGTCTGGCGGACCCGTGTCAAACTGGCGCTGAAAGCCACCGCGCGAGGGACCTCCTCTGCCTTTTGGACGGTTGAACAAGGGGGGGAAATAAGTAATTGTAGAATAGACAGACCTCTTCCCCGATCGCCTCTGAATCCGCCTCTTGCTCTACTCATTTTGGCGGTGATGTCCAAGCTTTCCGATTGTTGGGTTCGCCACTGCTATCCAAGTTATCCAGTAATTCCTTTGATTTAGTTTTGAATTACTCGATTGGAATGGCCCCCAATCTTCCGAGTTTCCGTCGTCGAGGACGGTGCCTTAGTGTGAGGCGGCCGTCCATTGGTCGGTCGTTCTGCCTCGAGTCCTGGTTGTGCAACGCAAACTTGGACCCGGACCACATCCTCCTCTTTTACTCGAAATCAACCCAGAAACGCAGCAAATGCCAGCATCTTCGCTCGTCGTCCGCACTCAGGACACGGCTGCGGTTGTTGCTGCTGCTGCTGCCGCTGCCGTCGACGTTGTCGCAAACAACAACGCAGACTACCCGCCAAAGGGCTCCAACGCGGCTGGCAAAAAGAAAAAGGCGTCATTCGAATGCTCCCACTGCTCTCGCAAGTTTGCTACTCGCTCCCATCTCGTCCGCCATTCACGCGTCCACACGGGAGAGCGCCGCTATGCATGCGACTACCCAGGCTGCGAGATGCGTTGCTCACGAAAGGACAATCTTCAACAGCAGTGAGTCTTCTTTTTTTTTATTCCCAATTTTTCCAGAGCCCAACGAGCTCGTTTTCCTCTTTCGTCTCTGGGCCTCAACTTTCCCCCCCTACACGTGCTCACCAGCCACCGGGTCTGGGGGATGTCTGGGGGGATGTCATCGTTTGGTGCACTTGATTTGTATACTGACGGCTTATCTACTCCGTTTGGCAATTCTGTCCTCAGCTACCGCACCCATCTCGTCGTCAATCCACGGCGTGCAAATGCCGCCCAATCGATGCTCAACGCGGGCCCGTCTGCCTCGTCTGACCAACTCGACGGGACAAGTCATGAAAGCACGGCAACTACGGGCCATCCTCCGGACATGCTCATCTCGCCAACCGAGCTCAAGCCGCTCGACACCCACTCGTTGGGAGGTCCCCCGCCACTTGGCTCGTCCTTGTCCAGTACCGTCGAGCAAACGCCCGTGAGCCATTCGTTGGATGCACACGGTAATCCTGTCGAGCGCGATTGGTCCCCCAGTCCTCCCCCACCCCCGCTCTCTAGCGCCTATGACTATTGGTATGCACATGGCTGCCTCCCCCACACCGTTCGCAACCCTGCCTCGGTTTCCGGCTCGGGTTCGTCTGGTGCGACCAGTCCAGAGATGAGCAATGCCCTCGAGCTTGCCTATCACCAGCAACAGCAGCAACACCAACAACAACAGCAACAGCAGCATCACCAGGCGCACCATCCCCACCCGCATATCGCACATAGAAACTCGTATGTCGAAAGCCCAACTAGCTACTATCATCCTGTTCATCCCGCGGGCCCAACCACCACAAATGGTGCATACTACGAGGGTGAACCGCCATCGTCTGCCGGCGGTCTCCGTTCCTCGTACCCGTTGGCCACGGCCACGTTTCCCACCGCGGCAGAATACCACCATCCTCCACCGACCGTGCAACATCATCATCACGGTCACCAACGCTCGCATTCCCATTCTGGATACCCCATGAACGCGAGCGCAAACACGACCGCGGCCGGCTCCTATGGTCGTGTTGGAGGCTATGAGAGTGCGACAACCTCGCCCCACATTGCCAATGCACACTTGCATCAAGCTCTTCCCCACCAGCCCAGCCGCCACCAGTCGTATTCAGAGTCGTACAACCACGCTGCTGCTGCCGCTGCCGCCGTCTATCACAGCGCAGCAAGCTCGCCTACGGTCGAACATCGGTCCTACCACGCCCATTATGCGCCTCATCATGCCCACTCCAACTCGGGAGGCGGCGGCGAAGCGAGCCGTCCTGTGACCCGCCATGGTTCAATGAGCGCGCCTACGGCTCCGACAAACGGTGCCATGCCTGTATATCCTCACTCGGGCGGGATGATGACCTATGTGCCTGTGGATGTGATCCAGCAGCAGCAACACCCTGCCCCCGTTGGCTACGGCGAGACGTCTCGTCATAGCCAGTCTGTGACCAACTCGCCGAGAATGTCGAGTGGAGGCCACTTTCCGGGCCATCACCCTCAGCACCATGCCCACCATCCGCAGCAGCCATCGGCCCATCCAGCCGGTCAGAGCTCGTTGATCCTGCCACCAATTCGATACAGCGACGACACGACGTCGCTTGGACTCTCGAGCGGTGCGGGTGCTGCGAGCAATGGCCCAGCATCGAGTGCGGCCTATCACTTTGGGAGCGCCGGTGCGGCTGGTGGGTGGGAACGCGTGAGCGATGCGCGTGCGCTCCCACCTCACCAGTCTAAGCCGCAATAATAGGGAAGACGGACATCGAATGTCAGTCTCCAGTCTTGTCGAAACGCAAATGCAGAGCAAAGTCAAATACAAAGAATGCCATTCTCCCTTTTTTTTTTCTCAGCCACCCTCCTATCTGAAACTAATACCGTCAATTCTCAAGCACCCACCCCTATCTCACTGGATGATCTCTGTTCGTCGTAGACGAGCCGAATTCTCCCAAATGGATTTGGACGTCTACGCCCGTCCCCCTCCAATCTCTCCCCGCATCTGTCCATCCTCCGTCGTCTGTCGTCGCTGTTTGTTTTTCTGAAACTATGGATACCACCATCTCAAGCATACCAATTTCCATGCGCTAGAGGGGAGGTCACCCCTCGCGCCTTGTTCCTCGCTGACGAATGCACGTGCAGCATGCATTCCCTCTTGTACACGCTCGTACATCCATCTCATCATTGGCATCGGCATTCCATATTGCAAACCTTCTAGTGCAATCGACCTTCATATATCCCATCCCATCCATCACCATGTTGCCCTTTGCTATTCTTTGTGCATTTTGCACTGCAATCCATCACATCGTGCATTCTCGCTCTCGCATTCTTCCCTACGAACGACAACGACCAAGACGACGACGATGACGACGATTGGACAATGACATGCGGCACAGTGTGCATGCAGCTCCCAAGAGGCGCCTGGCGACGGCGGCGGCGCAGCTAGTTTCTGCCCCCTCTTCACCACTCCGCTGCGCTCTCTCTGTTTAAACTCGAATGTGCCTCGACGTCGAGGATGCGGCGTCGAAGTTTGGGCCACTCGACTTGTTTACTATTCCATCATATCAAATCAAACTGTGCTTGCTCCATGTTCTGTGCTCCTTCCCGGATATTCACCTACCCTACGATTTATATCTTCCTTCTCAATTCCCGCCTCCTATTTCTCCTGTTTCTAACCTGTTCCTTTCCAAGGTCGGAGAGGATGGACGGGCGAAGACGAAGACGTTGGAGATCGTGGCGTGGTTTCTTGTTTTGTGTGCTTGTACCACTGAATCGACAGTATTTACAATGGAAGATGAAAAAACCTTGGGCTATTAGAAAAGCAATTGTGACTTAGCAGGTTATGATACAGCTCGTATCAAGATACATAGAGCCCAAGAGAGAATGACATGGAGAGATGGCTGCAGCTTGTGACCTCGTCAAGCGGCATGCGTGCAGGATACGGGCAACGCAACGCACGTATGCTGCTCTGCACATAGTATGACACAAAGCGACGTCAGTACGTCCCCCTCTAGCCCTACAGAGGCGGTCCAAGCAAGACACAGGCCGGATCGATCCTCGGCCTTTTCCGAAACGGAACTTTTTCCGCCACGAGTTGAATGAGTTGCCTCGTGAACACAATTTTCTTATCGTGCTTGCTGTCCTTTGCCGCCGACTCGGAGGGGGTCGGTTGAGTAGGGACAGCACCCGTATCCGCACCAGAGATGACGGCGCTGGTATGCTTATCTTCCTGTTCTTTCTCTGCTTCTTCTTTGTAAGGTGCAGTTGTGGTTGGAGTGGTTGTCGAGAGGATATAGGGCTCGAGTCCCATTTCGCCGAGCGCAAAGCTCGCGTCGGCAACGGTCAGATGTGCACCCTCTGCGAGCTGCTGTAGCGTGCAATCAAACGAAAAGTGGACGAGCGCCGAGCCGTCTGGGTGGATGATGACGGGAGTGATTGTCCGTGATGTTCCGAGCGGCTTGTCTACGCGATGGTCTTGGTTGTTGTTGTGATAAAGACCACGTTTAGACGCCTTTGAACGGTCCATGACCATCTGGTTTACTTTAATCTGCTCTCTGTGTGCCTGTGGGTGGATGTGCATGGCGGGTGGAAGACGACGTACAAGAGGTAATCCAGGATCATGTTTGCCCACACCGAATAGTACGAACGGAGTCCCAGATCTGAAAGAGGCTTTTCCGGCGAACCAATTCGTCCTTCCCGCTTGGACAGTTGATAACCTGTAGATTATGGATCAGCGCGATACGAGGAAATGTAGAGAGACGTACTGAATTCAATCATCAGACGTCCAAACCCTCTCCGTTGATACGGTGGAAACGTGATGATACACGCAAGATTGTAATCCTCTGGAGAGTCCCGCTCTTTTGAGAAAAAGCCAACAAAGGATTCGACACCGTCCTCTACTGAAGTAATGACATAAAAGTTGACTGGATACCTGTCAGCGAGTTTGATCAAAGAGAGGTACAACTCACAGCCGTCGCACTCAAAGAAGATGGACTTCCAGTCAATAAACAGCTTTCCAAACAAGGTGAGGTTCTGGCAAAAAAGCTATTCGAGGCTCAGATCTGAACTGCGTCCCACAGAGTAAACGCACCTTGTGTCGCGCTGGGTTCACCTCGTAGATACGAACTCGCCCTTCTCTCTCGGGAGGAGCTGGTTGGGCAGTTGATTGCGGACGAGCGAGTTCGTCGTCATAGACCTTGACACCAGGTGGCGAGGAGATATTGCAGCTGGTATTGCTATGCAGGTCTAGCGGTTGCCCGTCTGGCGTATGCAATTGGAACAGCGGTCGGTCAGAGTATTTGAAGCATCTGTCGCTAGACGTCAGGACATGTACATCAACGAGACCCCGAGACTTACCGCTCACAGACCCAAAGACTGCTCGCTTTTGCATGGAGCGGAGGCTCACTCTTTGAGCCGAGTCGAATCGGGCCTGTCCCGTACATGCCCCCATTCTCCTGTTGGGGTTTTGCGTAGACACTTGTACCTTGGATTTTCGAACCTCCAGTGTTGTGCGCCTTGTAATAGGCTGAAGTGTCCATCTCCATCGCCGGGTACGGCGAATAGTACCAAGGTGTGATCCGCCATTTGCCAAAGAAAACTCGCTCAAAGTTTGGAGCTGTTGGTTGCTCCTTGTCTTCTTCCTTGTCCTGGCCGACCGACCTGGAGTCCGACTGTGCGTCCTTGAGCGTCAGGGATCCTCCCTCGGCCAAAGGAGTTGCAGATCCGTTTGGAGGATAGAGATATGTCTTTTCAGGAGCTAATCGCTCCAAGGAAAACATATCGTCCAATACTGTCGAGCTGTCGCCGTTGGTCGCCGACTGGGTCGCAGAGATGTGACCAGTGGCCTCGGACTCTGTGTCCAGTTGCTGTGTCCCTTCGATTCCTCCGTGAACTGGCTGTTGAAGAAACTGGCTGTCCGCAACCTCGATAGGTCGTCGTCGGCTTGTAGCGACTTTTGCTCGTTTCGAGCGCGTCGAGCTGCTGCTGGGAGCATGATCGAGCACATCGTGCTCTGGAACGTGTGGAGGAATATCAAAATCGAAAGACGCGCTTCTCTTTCGCTTTGAGCCTCGCGACGAGCGCCGTGAATGGGCTGGCTTTGTCTCTGTGTGTTGCGAGTTTTGTCCAAGGGTTGCACGAGAATTGTACATCGGTTGTCCAATTTCATCCTCTGTATCGTCCAGAGTTGGGTTTAGAATGGGCAGAGGCGCTTCGGACGCCATGGCAGAGGACAAGTTTGAGCGGCACCTTGTTGGACTCTGCCGCCACGACTCGAAGCCCCTTTGGCAACTTGGAACGAAGCGTACGCGTAAGGAATATACACTTTATGGAACATTTCATTCTCAGCTAATCTCTTTCCGCGAAAAGACTGGCCTCAGCTCGCGTTCTTTGGTATCGAGCAAGCTCTGCGCGATCAACGCATCCAGTCATCGAAGAATAAGAACGGAACAGACGATCAACAGCATTCTTATATCCTCAATACGCGATGGATGTCGCCAGTCCGCCACTGCAGAGCGGTTTTCCAAACGGACACGCATCCCCAGGAGTCAATGGTCTCGATCACCTCAACGGGAGCAGCGTAGATGGTCCAGCAACTTCAACACCTGCGGCTGCTCCCCTTCCGTTTGATGCGTCCACATTTCGAGACTACCTTCTCGCACTTTTACCTCCCGTCTTGGGAGCAACACCCTCAGAACTCGAAGATGGCATCTTTAGTGACCCAGATTTCGAAGAACGCGTTACCCAGTTTGCAACACAGCCCGGTGGCCCGTTGTACGTTGCCAAAATCTCAGACGAGTTGCATGGTGCGCCACTTCCGCTCTATTTATATGCCACTCACCCGCTCCATATTCACAGACGAAACAACGACACCGAATTATAGATATTCTCTTGCATCCTCGTTGGCATACACACCCTCCAATGTCACAACTCTTGCCTTGATCAAACGCGTCCCATCGTTGGATTCTACCGTACCTATGGCTTCTCAGATTCAAATACTCAACCTCTTTGGTGACGAAGATACGCCCTATGAGAGTTTACATGCCGTCGTTAGCCAAGCTGTCAAGCCTTGGTTCGATGCATTCGTTGGGACAAGGCATGGCGTTCGAGACAGTGACAGCAAGATTGGTGAGAATAAATTCCTTGGTGTTACTCAACCTTACATGGCCATCTAGGTATTCCCAATGCAAAGAAGAAATTTGCCGAGCTAGAACTCTCGCTATTCCATCTGCAGCAGAACGTGGAAATACCGGAGACGCACCTCATCATCCATCCTGTCATTCAGAAGGCTGTCGACGCCGCACGAGAAGCCAAGATCCATATTGACACTAGCATCATTCCAGAGGCGTATCTCAACGACAGCACATTCCTGAACACCCTCCAATCGCATGTCAATGGCTGGATCAAGGCCATTCAGACCGTCACAAAGCTTTCACGAGATGTCAAAGCCGGAACCGCATCTCAGGAGATCAACTTTTGGCTTTCTCTTGAGAGAGCCTTGGAAGCAATCGACGCCCAGCTCCAATCCGAGGAGATCAAGCTCGTCATGGAGTGCCTTCGAAAGGCAAAACGTTTTCTGGCCACTGTCAGTTTCATGGCAGACACCGGCTTGAAGGACGGGATGGAGCGGAGCAGAAAGTACAACCAGTTGATGAAGGACTTTCCATTGGATGAGCTGCTCTCTGCGACGGACTTGGAGAAGATTCAAGACTCGCTTGGTCTCATTTTCAATCATTTGAACAGTCGACTTCGTCGCGTCGCCTATCCAATCCATCGAGCCCTGCCACTCGTCGAAGCCATCTCGCGGGACTTTAATGACACAATACTTCGTGTATTGACCAGCCATCGACTGATCTACCAACCATACGAGACTTTTGAGAAGCTCATGAATACGACCGTGAGCGTCTTCAAGAGCTGGGACGATTATGTCAAAGACTTTACCAACGTTGCGCGAGACGTGACCAGGAAACGCAGCGAAAAGTTTATTCCGATCAAGATCAATCCAGCACACGCAAAATTAGCAGAACGGGTTCGATATTTGCGAGACTGGAGACGACAGCATGAGCAACTCGCCGTCACGACTGCACCGACCAAAGGTCTAGGAGGCATCTCCGGGCCTGGAATCGGAAGCGAGCTTGGTGGTGTCAACATGGAAGAAGAGGTCAAAGAGGCCTACGAAATTGTCAAGAACATTGATATACTTGACGTTAGTGTTGGTACGTCACCCGAAGGTCGTTAGACATGGCTGACGTTTATCGACAGAGGGCACCGAAATTTGGGTGACCGCTGAGAATGCGTACAATGAGCGCATCGCTCGTGTGGAGAATCAAATCATCGCCCGGTTGAAGGACCGGCTTGGAACGGCTCGAAATGCAAATGAGATGTTCCGTGTGTTCTCCAAGTTTAACGCTCTGTTCGTGAGACCAAAGGTTCGTTCACCTTTGGGCTGTTGCGCTGTATCAAACGTCCACAGATCCGAGGAGCCATCCAAGAGTACCAAACCCAACTGATCGACTCTGTCAAAGAGGATCTTAAACACCTCCATAATAAATTCAAGACACAGTATCGCTATTCAGAGGCATACCACATGTCTCAAATGCGAGACCTACCGCCAATTGCAGGCGCCGTCATTTGGGCTCGACAGATTGAGCGACAACTGACGACCTACATGAAGCGGGTAGAAGACGTCCTCGGCAAAGGCTGGGAGCTCTACGCAGAAGGACAAAAGCTTCAGACCGAGTCGACGGCGTTCAGGAAGAAGCTGGACACGAGACCAATCTACGAGGCGTGGCTTCAAGACATCAACAGGAGGGAGATGAGTGTCACCGGTCGCTTGTTTGAAATTGTCAAGCTTCGCGGTGGGGGTTACCAACTGGCTGTCAACTTCGACCCTCAGATCATCACACTGTTCAAGGAGGTTCGAAACCTACTATGGCTCGGCTTCCAAGTCCCTCATTCTATCAACAACATGGCAAAGGACGCAAAACGTGTGTACCCACACGCTGTCAGCCTTATGGAGACTGTTCGAACCTATGGCCAGACCCTCCACCTCGTCGAGGAGAACCTCGTCATTGAGATGTTGGTGGCCGAGTACCGAAATGAAGCCCAAGGAATGGTATCGCGAGGTACGTTTACCTACTATTCATCTCTCATATTTCTCACTTGTTGTTCAGGTATGACGCTAAGATGGGACTTTTTCGTTGGGGCGTATGATACCCATCGATATCTCCCTGGCGGGGGAATAGATGGTCGAGAGAATCGGCACATTGCCTTTGTCCGCGAATTCGCCTCAGTCGTATCGATATTCCAGGTCAGTGCGTTGCTCATCTAGCGAGGAATTCGCTGATACCCCCTAAGGACAAGGCCAATTCGCTGGTTAATTCCTACAAGGAGATCAACCGCCTGATCGAGGATCTGTCAACCTGTCCGTATACGTTTGAGGCCTTTTCAGACTTGATTGGCAAGATCCAAGCGGCAGTGAGTCAGGATTAACGAAAGTCTGGCAACCACTGAATGCTTGTAGATTGACCGGCTCAACTTGGAAGGTTATGCCAATCTAGAAAACTGGGTCGCTGAGCTCGATGATCGGATAGCTGGTATCCTTGCTCAGCGCCTTGTTCACATCTTGCAAGTCTGGTGTACAGAGTTTGACAAGACTGATGACGGTGAACAACGTCGAGAACCTGTGCTACGAGACAACAAGCAGCGAAGAATTGAAAAGCGCAAGGAAGAAAAGGTACACTTTCTTGCTTCTCTTGTCCATGGTCTGACCGACATTCAATAGGGGCCTGATGGAGACATGACACTTACTCCCATTATTCATGAGATTCGGATACAGAACCAAGTCATCTTCTTGGATCCACCAATCGAGTACGCCAGGGACTTTTGGTTCAAGCAGCTACATGAATGGTTGGGTGTCGTCTGTCGCCTACGAAGAATACAAAGCTCTCGCTACGAGATTGGACTGCAAATTCAAGAAAGCTCGTCAGTCGAGTTGACATATACCTTCCTGGTTCGTGCTATCATATATTTGCAGAGACGTATTGACATTATCATCAGCTCACACGGTTTACGGACGGCACACTTGAAAAGGCATTTGGGCTGATCGAGAACAAGGTGCAACAGATCAAAGACTATGTGTCGAAATGGCTGCAATTCCAATCTCTCTGGGACCTCGAAGCCGAATACGTTTTCAACCGTCTGGGGGACTCGCTTGCCAACTGGCAACAGCTGTTGACGGAGATCAAGCGCACGCGCTCGACGTTCGACACGTCGGAGACGCAAAGGTCGTTTGGTGTTGCGGTGATCGACTACGAGCAAGTGCAGGCACGCGTAAACGCCAAATACGACTCGTGGCAGCGCGACATTCTCAGTCGTTTCGGTGTCAAGCTTGGCAACGCGATGAAGGAGATGCACGCTGCCATTCTCAAGGCTCGACACGACTTGGAGCATCAGTCTATTGAGGGACTTACTAGCGGCGCTCCACGACGAGTCTAAGGACGGTGGGCTGTTGTATACCCTCTCACCTTTGTATCATGGTCTCCACCTCCCATCCTCTTGTTTACGAGTAGCCATGTCAATATATTGTCACACATTTTCATGTTTCTCTTTGGATTCCCAGATGCTAAGTACGACAGAGGAAAAATGCATGCTCAGACGCAAGTTTGAGCTGCTTAAAGAATCGCATATCACATTGATTGTTAAGACCGAGACCAGAGCCAAGAACGTCCAGCGAACTGCACAACGGAGAGCACGAGAGGAGAGCAGGATGTGAGAGCAGACGACAGGAGGAAGAGAGGGTGGCGGGGCGAGGTGAGGAGCGTGGCCAGCATCTCGAGAGCGAGAGGAAGAAAGCGCGCGGGAGCATAGACCAGATAATATCGTACAACCGCAACTTGGGAAAAAGTAGCGGAAAATGACGTGTGATATCCCGAGCATTGCGCTCGGATGGACGCTTTTGTTGTCAACCGTTATCGGTCGTCCTCGTCTTCATCTCCTTTTTACACGCGTGCTCCACTACCGCTGCGCTCGCCGTCGATTCCATTCGAGTGTCCATTGAGACCGGGGTAGACAAAGCCATTGGCATCCGAGGCGTTAGAGTCTGGCGTGCGGCGCGAGTTGAGGCCTTCGGGACTGCCTCGCTTAAGATCAAGGCGAGCGAGGAGGGAAATGGCATGCTGTGTCTCGCGATCCGTGTCGTCCTTGGAAGGTGCGGGCCCGCTGACGCCGTTGCTAGTTCCGGCAGGTCCAGAGAGAGGAGCGTTGGCAACGGATCCTGGGCCTTGGGACGTCGACGTCGAGGTTGGATGAATGAAGCAGCAGCGCTTTCCGTATGGGCAGTTTCCAGTCACCCAGAACGTCTGTGCGGTGTCAGAAAAGCGCAGCCTTTACCCAAAAACAAGAGCCTACCCTGCAAATCTCCGTCTTGTACTTGGGATGGCGAGGAACGGTACGAATATCCGAGGGCCCATGAGCAAATTGGCACTTGACGCCGTAGCGGCAGCTCTGCTTCTCCTCCCAATTGCGGCAAATCTCCGTCTTGTACCTATTGTGACATTAACAACAAGCGCAAGTGTGCACGAGCTGTGCTCACAATCCAATCTTGCGGTTGTGGGCACTTGGACCACCGAGGATCATGCCTTGAGCCTGATTGATGAGATGGGAGAGTGGCATCTGGGGCTGCGAGTTGGGATTAATCTTCCACTGAGTCGTCGGAGCCGGCTGTGGCGGTTGTGTGGGTTGGTTGTACATGCTTGGTGCCGGCGAGGCGAGCTGTGGCGGACGGGGACTGTAAAAGTTGCCTGGTGCCGTCGGCGGCGCGAAGAATCCAGGCCACATTAGGGGAGAAACAGTCTGCGCAACTCCAGGAAGCGTGGTTTGGAAACCATTCATCGCGGGGAATGGTGTAAAGGGAGCAGCTGAGAGAGAGCGAGCGAGCAGTGAGCGTCAGGACAAGCGAGGAAGCGCTACGCAGACTTACCCTGAGTCATTGGATTGATCTGCGGATAGGACGTAGGCTGGAGAGGGTTGAGGTCTGCTGGCGGATAACTGGACCGTCCGAGACTACCGGCACCGGATGCGTAGTTTGTCGCTGGAGGAGGGATGGGGGCCTCTTGGGGAGCATTTGCCGTCAGTGGTGACAGAGATAACATTGGCGCAGACTGCGTCCTTCTGTGGCTCTGACTCTGTCCGGGGCGTTGGGGAGGCGTGTCTGGCAACTTGACCTCTGCATGGGATACAGACGGCGGCTGCCTGGACTGGTTTGTCGTCGAGGAAGTACCGTTAAGCGTAGCGGATGAACCCGTGATCGAAGGGAGTTGCATCGGCGGAAAGGCCGCAGTTGCACTCTGAGGTGCAGGAAGCGGCGTGGTGTTGGCGCCCATCGATTTCTGGTTCGGATGAGCAGAATACGCACCCGGCCGAGATCTTTGGGTAAAGGACGTGTTGATGTGCATCTGCGTGGGCTTGCCAGGCGTCGAGCGACCGGAAAAGACTTCGTCGACGGGGGACGAGGTGAGCTGCTCCTGGACGATACCCATAGAGGGCTTCCAAGCGTTTGCACCGCTTGATTCGTCCTGGTGCTTGATCATAGCCTCGCTGTCTGGCTGGACGGGGTCCTGCGGGGTGCGCAAGATTGGGTAATCGGAGAGCGAGCCCTTGGAGGAGAGCGAGTTGACACGCATGTGACTCGGGTGAATGTCAATATTCTGCGTATCAAGTGCCGTCGTGTTGTGTCTGCGAGGGGCGTGATGGCCATGACCATGGTGGGGGTGTGCGTGATGCGGGAAATCCATGAGGGACATTTCTTGTCGTTGCACAACAGAATTCATTTCTGTTGATATTTCGTCGCTGGGTGGGTTTTTGGAGTGCTTAGATAATCTGCAAGGGAGCAGTTGGTCAGGGTCACGCGTCCTGTTGGTCGAGGGGTGGCTACGCCCGCCGCTGGTTCGTAACGAGGATAAACGACTTACAAGGGTGTTAGACAGCGGGTTTGAGGTGGATACAGAGCGCAATATAGAGAATAATGGATGGCGGAGAGCTAGATAATAGTGCGCGATGACTTGATCCCAGCTGGACGAGGAATCCTGCTTGTATTTTTCTTACGCAGCCGTGGGTCGTGGAGCGTAGCTCTGACACGCTCTTGTCGTCGTCGCAGAGAGGCGGTACGTCCTGCTGGCGGCTCAGGGGCTCGACGTCAACAAGCAACGGGCGGGCAGCGGCAGCGGCGCGTAAAAGTGGGCAATAACAGGAGTCGTCGTGCGAGTTGTCGAGGCCGGGAGCAAGTTATAAACGATTCAAATAGACAAGAAACTCAGACGTTCATGCAGACCAGCGTCGTGGTGGCCGAATCCAAGATGCAAACTGTTTGTTGGGGCCCGAAGCCACGAGGCAAAAGCCTGGACGTAGACAGAGTGTAAAACAGGACACGCGGTTCCAGCAAGAGATTACTGGGAAATAAGATAACCTTCTAGATGGTGGCAATACCTTGCCCTGATCACGATCAATACGCCGTCTACGAGGCTGAGATCCCCTCTGAAAGCCCCTCTGGGTTTTGCGCATCCGTCTTGCATCACGAGAACCGCATCACACTCTCGTGTTCCGCTACCCCGGCCGCTCGTTTGACGAATATCCGGGTGGATGCGGCCCCGCTCGAATTAGGCAGGTCCACCAGAACATATCGGTAGACATAGTTGTTCGTCGAATCCTGTATCAACCCGCATCATCAGCACAGCGTAAACAGCATAGGTGGGAGCTTGGAAAAGACGCCGTACATGCCAACCAGCCAGTCAGATCGGACGCCAAAGGCAAATGCGAAGCGCCCTTTTGGGGAGTCGAGAGGGGAGCATGGATTCGACTTACCCTGATCAAGTCCACATGGACCTCTCCAGACGTATACTGCAGTGGCTCCTTTCGTGTCCGCGACGCCGCAGACGCAGTGCTGATAGGTCGTAGTACGCCGGTCAGTGTGGACCATAGCGCGCCCGATATCGATCGACCTTCACTCTTGGGTTGACTGACAGTCGACGAGGACGAGGCCGACGAATCCTGTTCACCTCGTGCGTGCCTCTTGTCTGGTTCCTCCTTCGGTAACGGCTGACCAGTCAACATGGCGAACAACTCTCTACCTTGCCGCCATGCAGTGTCCTGGGAATCCGAAATCCACCTTCGAGCATGTGCCACGGACCAATCCCACTCCCGTACGTCCCACCATTCTGCATCTCGCCACGTTAGGGTATTGGAGGTGTCCTGTGGAAAGATGTCAGCACAGATTTGTGGTTCAGATCAGTATAGAGAAGAATGTATGGAGAGGCGAAAAGACCGAGCAATGGAAGCAGAGGTGTGATTGAACGAGGAGAAAGAAAAGGTCGATCACAGGTGTCGCTTCAATCCAGAAATTGAGATAGAGATGTTCTATGCCAGCAGAATCGAGTACAACGGCCGAAGGAACACTCCTATTCCTATGTCTCGGTCGGTCGCTGGAAGAACGAGGGGCAGTCGTATGAAACTTGATACGAGACCCGGCGGGCAGCATATTCCGTAGCTTGGAAGGTATCAGTAAACGATCTTATCAGTTGGCGCAGTCACATACGCCATTGTGCTCCTTGATCAACTCGCAAACGTCCGCGTAGATGACCGTTGGTGAGTTCTAAAAGATAGAGTCAGAAACGGGTGGATCACCAAAATGGGAAACGCCGTACCCTACTTCCCAGCTCTGTGGCTAATGCATAGACCAACAAAGCCGTCAATGCAGCACCTGCTAAGATCACGACCGAGCTAGATGCACGGGCTCCCGTTCTCGCCACTGAATCAGGCCAAGTGTCCAACCGTCACGTTTGATACAGAGTGTATAGGTAAAGATAAGGAGAAGCGCACTGAGCTCAAATGACTTCCAAACCCGTCAAGCAAATGGCTCACTTTTGCCGCCGACGCCCAACTCGCTCCACTGTTTATATCCCTTGGGCAATTCTTGTGCACTCGGACGTATCCCGAGATAAAAGACGCCATCCGATCCTGGTCGACCGGCTGCAGACTTTGCAGCAGACGCGCGGTCCATATGCGTGTTTAGCAGCGACTCGGTTTGACTACTCTGTCGTTTCAACGCGTCATATCGAGAATTTGAGTCTGTAGCGTGCATATGGCTGGTCGAGAGCGCGCGCGCTGCAGTTGGCTTGAAAAGCCCTGGTGGCAGCCGTTTGGGACCAGCTTGTGAGCGTGAAAGAGTCTGTTTGAGATGTGCGTGAACGATACATTCTCTTGCAGCGTATAACGCCTTTCCAGCGCGTGTGCAGGCGCTCAAGCTCATCGAATTTCCCCGCAAGACGTTGTAGAAACCAAGTTGAAGCTGACCACGTCCACCTGGAATCTCAACATTCCATCGAAATGCGATAAACTGTCTCTGATTCCTCGTATTCGCATCGAAAATGATTATAGGAGTCGGTACAGACATTTTGTCCCTTGCGCGACTGCAAGCCTTTAGCCCCAGTCGCCTTGTGCGGCTTTCAAGACGAATCCTAACAGAAAGAGAACGAGATGACCTCCATATACATACACAAAAGAGCGAGCATGTCGAAGACGACGCATTCTCAAAGGCTCAACTCGAAAGAATGTCTCGGTTCCTCGGGGTTCGGTGAGTCTTCAGAGTTCTATATGTCACTACTAATGCGAGAACAGATGGGCAGCGAAAGAAGCGATCTACAAGGCGCTCTATCCTAGCCACCGCGCCACATGGAAAGATATTGAGGTTCTCCCTCTTCAATATCGTGTCTCTGACGCAAATTCAACCCCCCAAGATTCACATTCCAAAGCTGCCATGCCTTTGAGCGATAAATTAGTCGCGTCATTCCAAAATTGCCGCGAATCACCTATCGGGACTCGACATTGACGTCTTTGAATGTTCATCTTAGTATATCGCATGACGCAGGGATCGTAGTGGCTATGGCTTTGATCGAAGGAGAATGAACGTGCCAACAGCGCAGGACCAGAGGAGACCGCAAAGGAGTAGCGCCCACCATTTGACCCTTGCTTGCATGATTTTCACCGAAACACGCCGAGGGCTCACAGCGGTGGCATGGCAATCCGGTGGGTTTCTGCCGTCGGTGAGGCATCCTCTCGATTCTCTGCGTCATCTAATAGACTGATAGGAGCCTATCTGGAATTATCTCTTCAAACACTACACGACGCCGTTCTGAAGGAGGAAATTCTCTGATGGAGGAGATTACTTGCGGTTCATTGCCGCTGCGCTGTGGTTGGCTCTATAGAATTGTCTGCTTTTACGGAACCCATACTTGTAACCAGCCTAGGGCTGGGTCACCGTCATCCCAATAAGACGTGAGATGCAGCGATAGTGGCGGGACGGAGTCAATTGCTCCTCTGCAGACTGATAAGCCTCGAGTGCACCACTAAGTCGTTCGCCTCTGCTAAATCCACGCCCCGCTGCGCCCAAGAGGAGTTGGGGCCAGAGCTCGGCAACAGATATCCACATCGTGTTTCCCGCCTCTACAGACCACCAGTTGTGTTTGGGTTCATTAACGCACTCGTTGCGCATCTCGCTATAAATATTCGTATTTCTCGACTTTGGAACGACCCCCCCACCGCTGGGCCATGCCCAGTCAGATTATCAAGGTGTGCAGCTCGATCCCTCCCATGAACACCCCATTTCTACCTCAAATATGCCGTAAAATAGTTCTAAAAATCGTTAGACACTTCGAATCTGGGACCCTACAAGGTCCACCAACGTCTCCAACAGCTTTGTCGTCACTGCGCGGAGTCCTTCTCTATCCCTCGTCCGGCTGCCCATCGACGTCCTTTTCCTAATCTTTGAACACCTTCAATGGCCCTACGATCTTCATGCTCTGACCCTTGTCTGCCGGGAACTTCGCACGCTCAGCACACCCCTCCTCTATCGCACCGTCGTCTTTCCCTACGCTCGACCAAATGCCATGTATGCGCTTTTGTGCAAGCTGGAGATGTCGCCAGATTACTGTGCGCTTATCCAGACGCTCATCTTTGACGACGTCGCCAAGCCACTCCGACCAGACATTCCAGACGTGGGCGAGGACTTTGAGGGGTGCCGTAGTACAAGACTGGAGAATCGATTGCGAGAGCCGATTGCAAGGAGGGACTGGCTCCTTGACCAGATCCACCACAAACTCTACACTGTCCTCCCGCTGCTCAACATCAAGTCGCTCTTTCTGAAGCGATTACATCCGGTTTTCCTTTCACCTCCCCTCTCGCATCGACCTCCGAGCTTGACGGCGACAAAGAAAGTCAAAGACGCCATCCTAAACCATGTCCCCGTCCGACAGTGGCGCAACTACCAACAGCCGCCACCAAGCGAACGGCTTCCAGCGGCGATTGGGATGTTTTTCACCCATTGCCGTGGACTGACCCATCTGACCATCTACGACCCGCTTTCCTTGGCGTCGTATTGGCCACACTCTTTTGTTGGAAACCTGACGGTCCTCATTTTGGCACTCAACCTCGACCATGTCATTGTCGAACTCGACTGTGGAGACCGGCGAGCGATGCAGCTCAACAGTTTGCTTCGACGGGCAAAGAATCTGCGCACGCTCGGCATCCTCACCACATGGCTCAACTTGACGGTGCTCCTCGAAGATTGCTACTTTCCACATCTTGAGAGCATTGAATGGTTCCACTACCGCGCGAAAAACCCCAAAGATCCGCAGACATTTTACGACTTCCTTCGTATGCACTCTGCGACCCTGCGGCACATTGCACTTGCGCCAGTAGCCTATATCCTCGGAAATTGGGGATACATGATCGATGCTGATGTTCCGCATTGGCTCGCGGAACCACCGTACGATTGTATATCCACCGACGGACATAGGGAGGAGGGCTTCCTCCCGCACCTCGAGACTTTGCGATTGCATAATTGGCTCGCGTGGTCGACTCCACAACCCGTATACAGTATCACGAGTGCGGACAAGATCCACGCCGCACTTCTGATCTCGAATTTCATCATCGCCCGCCCGAGCATCGTCGACGTCGCGTTGACGGATTTTCCTTCGGAAATAGGGAGAATGCTTCTCGAGGGCATGCATGCGTCGCGCCAAGTTAAACGTGCGATCGTTGGCAAAGAGGAGCGCTTGCTTCGGGACCGAGCAGTACCACTTTATCCGCCCCTTTCTGCGCTCCATCATCCAGATTGGGCATCAGGAACAAGTGGAAGTGGGCTGTCGAATCCGAGTGCGGCGCTGGTTGAACTCGGATCGCATGCGCTCTCGGTGCTCAATCCTTCGACGTTGCTCAATACGCTCGCTGGGGGAGCCGGCAGTACCCACGGAGGCGGCGAGACTTTGAGTGAGCGAGCACGTGTCAAGGCATACTGGGCGTTTGCGCGCAAGCGCGAGTATCTGATGGAGGCATATCACTCGTATTCGATCATGTTTGACGGTCTCGCGCTGGAGAACTCGGCGTTTCGACCGTACTTGCTGCCGCGCCGGAGGAATGCAAAGCGTGACTATCGACGCTGAGTGTCTGCGCACTGGGATTTGTGTCTCATTATGACATTTTGTTCACCTCGGGATGTACTATGGACTGTTTCGTTGGCTTATTGGTGTAATGTATCATGTATGAACACTGTATTCCTACGCTTATAACCTACTTCCTAGAGCTCGCCTGTGCGGCGCCTCCACTTGCGCCATCGTCTGCTGTTATTGCGCCAGCGGTCTACGGTCAGCCGCTCTATGGCTCGAGAGCAGCCTACAGCGAATCTAGTCCATCTCTCCTTATCTACCGTAACTTTACCCAGAGCCTAGGGATCTCATGATTTCTCGAATCGTCTGCGTTCGTTTAGCGCGTAGAATCTTGGACTCTCCCACTTCCAGCATCTTCCCCCTCTTTCCTCTTCCTAGGCCGAAACTGTGAAATTCAGACCTAAGAATGCAGCCTACACCGACAAACGGAGAAAGTCGGCCTGATTATACTTCGATGATTCTCTCGCAGACCATTCACGTCCTACCGTCGCTCGAGTTGGAATGTGGTGCTACTCTTGAACAAGTTCCAATCGCGTACAAGACGTGGGGGACACTCAATGAGACCAGAGATAATGTCATGGTCATCTGTCATGCTTTTACTGGCAGCGCAGACGTCGAAGACTGGTGAGCTCTCCACTTACTCTCTAAGTCCTCTGAAATCACATTGTATACGTCTGGCTTTATCGTGATGGCATCCGCCGGGAGTTGATTCAACTGACTCGTTTGCTAGGTGGGGTCCCCTCATGGGCCCAGGCAAGGCGTTTGACCCATCGAGGTTCTTCATCTTTTGCGGAAATGTCATGGGTTCTCCATATGGCTCTGCATCCCCCGTCACAGTCAACCCCGCCACGGGACAGCCATACGGCCCAGAGTTCCCTTTGACCACGATCCGGGACGACGTAAGGTCTGTTATCTCACGAATCAATCAAATTTATGTATATTAACTGTTCAACGTTGATCTCTAGGGCCCACAAGCTTGTTCTCGATCACCTCGGTGTACGCTCCATCGCCGTCGTAGTGGGCGGCTCCATGGGCGGTATGGCTGTTCTCGAATGGCCACTATGCACACCACCTTCCTACGTTCGGCATATCATCCCACTTGCGACCTCTGCCCGACACAGCGCTTGGTGCATCTCCTGGTCGGAAACCCAGCGGCAGTCCATCTACTCTGACCCACTCTTCAACTCTGGATACTACTCTCCATCTGATCCACCCAAGAATGGTCTTGCGGCTGCGCGTATGGCCGCCCTCTTGACTTACCGGAGCAGAGATTCGTTCGAGGGGCGTTTCGGTCGCAAACCCCAGCTCTACATGGGGCCGAAGAAGGACAGTGCGAGCGCTAAGCCGGCGCTCATCACACCCCCGCGGAGTCCAAACAAGAGCTCGCTTGAAGCCTTGGCAGCGCATAACGAAGGGAACAGGAACACGACCGATTTACCTGTCATCCAAACCACCACGAATGGTATCACTGGACTTGTCACGAATGGGGACGACAAACGGCCGGCTCCTGGTCATGGTGGTGCCACAACTGTCTTCTCCGCGCAATCATATCTCCGGTATCAGGGTGACAAGTTTACGTCGCGATTCGATGCAAACTGCTACATTCATATCACGCGCAAGATGGACACTCACGACGTTGCTCGTGGTCGTGGACGGTCGTCGAACGCAATCCACGACAATTGGCGAGGGATCTATGCACATGAAGGCTCGAATGAGGCGCTCGCAGAGGTTCTCTCGACGCTCCCACGTGGAGCATTGGTGATTGGCGTCGAGAGTGATGGCCTGTTTACGCCCTCGGAGCAGCGCGAGCTAGCGGCACATATCCCCGACGCCGAACTCGTAATGATTCAGAGTATTGACGGACATGATGGTTTCCTGCTCGAGTTCCAAGAGATCAATCGGTGCGTACACTTGTCAGTAAGAATGCAACTCTAACTTCGTGCTTAGCCACGTCCTCGGATTTCTTCACCGCGTACTTCCAGAGTTGTACGTTGGGGAGGCAAAGGTCACAGAGAGCAAAAAAGAAGACTTTGAGGTTACACGGACTAGCACATTTGGCGAGGCAGAGGTCGACGTTGCGATGTGGTAACGTTGCGTTAAATAGCTTTCATTTCTAGATTCGGGACTATACAAAATCTACGCTACCTATCCTCGGATGCGTCGTAGCCGAGATTTGCCGGAGAATAAAGAGCGTCGGAAATACACATCCATAAGTCGATTACTGTAGATTGCTAGAATTCCTTTCCAATCCATTTCTTGTCTTTTCGTTTGGCTGTGGTGAGAGGCTTGAGGGGATCACGGGAGGTCGTCCGTCTTCTCAGTCGCGGCACTTTCGCTCCCTAGGGACGAGTCGATGGAGACGACCGCGGCGGTGATGTCACGGTAGCTCATCTTCTGATTCGTCGTCTCGCCCAGAATGTCGCCCATCTCAGCGCGCCATTCCGAGTTGTAGTCCCAGGCCTCTGTTGGGTCCTCGCCGATGCTCTCCCAGTCCGAGTCAGCCTCTTCCTCGTGTGGGAACTGGCGACGCGATTTCGTCGACATGCCCGTGCGCGACTTTGGCGCCACCGAGACATATTGCTTGCCTAGACCACGTATATGGTCGAATTGGCTCGCTAAATTAGATTCCATGAGTACGAGATGTGATATAGAAATGAAGGTGGTTCCATACCTCGCGATTTCCTGGGTTTCTTCGCATACGCGGTCGCGAGGAGTTCCTCGATGGGAATCACTGTCGCCGCCTCTCTTGTCTCATCGAGGACGATCCCATCGACACCCTTGTGACTGGACCCGTAGCGTCGCTCGTCGTATGCAATAGCATCCTCGCGCGTTCTTCCAGCTCGGCCTCTGTCTCGTCTTCTAGCCTGTCATCATTCGACGGACCTATACCCCCACTACCTCCTTGAAGGAAGTAGTTCTCATCCTCGTCCTCGCTTGGGCCGCTGTCGACCGCACGGCGAGCATGGCCCGCCGTGACAATCTTGACGCGCTTGCCGTGCGTCCTGTTCGTGCTCGTGGTCGTCGCGGCACTTTGTGAGGGACTCTTTGGTTTCGCAGCGTTTTTCTGGCTAAACTTCTTCGCCCTGTCACCTGATTTTCGCATCCCTTGTCGCGAATGGTGATCCGATCGTGCCAGCTTTTCGTCAACAGGTTCAATCATCTTGACTGCTGGTTATAGGTGTGCGTAAGCGTATTTATAATGAAATATTCGAGGGGAGCTTGGTGGATGGGTGGTCGAGGGGGAGTCAAAGGTTGGATAACGCCGTTGATATGGGCTCAAAGGCGCCGGGCCTTGTATCGGCTCCTACGCTCCCAAGTGGCCCGAGTCATGATCCTCATTTTCTAGATTTACCTCGAGATCACTCCGCGCCCAGCGTCACATTGGCTGCGCAACCGAGGATTCTCTTTCTGGACAAGACACAGTCAGCGCAGTGATGATGACGCTGCTTCTCCGAGGCTCCCGGTGTTCAATCTACGCTTCTCACCACATTCTGAAACTCGACGCCAACTTGTCGACTGTGCTAGCCAGCGAGGTGGTTGGAAAACCCGTCAAAAGCCTCGACAATCGCCTCCATCATTACACGATACACTAGAATATATACAGCTTCGCTCTTACTTGCCGCAGCTGCGCTCGTGACGTGCGGCGTTTTTCTTCAATCCAACCATGCCACTGTTCGTAACTGTCAGTCGCAAGTATCATCTCTCAAAACGCGTATCACGTACCAGCGCTTGCATCTCACTCGCAACTCTTCTTTGGGGACTAGGTGTTGTCTGAGCCTGTCTTTACTATGGAAGGCTTCTGTACTAGAGACAAGAAAGCACACAATGGTGAGCTATCCACTTCTTGAAACGAGACTACGACTGAAGGACCTACCAATTAGGACGTCCGCATACTCCGCCACACACAAACGGCCTCGCCCCGCTATGCCAATTTTCGCACGCCTCATACCTCACCGGCCTCGTATGTGGCTTCCCGCAGTGCACACATAGCACAGGCTTAGATGACATGGAGTTCAAAGGCGATGCGCCCCTAGACATGGACGTCCGTGAACGGGTACTGTTTGAGGCTTGGCCTTGTCTGGGTATGTTTGCGAGGGGAGTGCTCTGAGTCGGTGTACCAGAGAAGCTACCGTTATTGTCCATGGGTTGTGTTGGATACTGACAGCCTAGGGGACGTAGCAAGGATAAGCAATTAGTACTGGCTATCGTATATTATCGTACCGAAGAAGAGCCACCAGGCTGTCTCAATCTCTTCCTCGGTCGGTATATATGCTAGGTTGCCTTCAAAGCTCATCGCGAGTCTTAGGAGGGATGGGCCGCGTCCTCTGGAGTAGATGCGTTCTTAAAGCCACGAAAGGAATGGCGATGATCAACAGTTTCACCCGTTTCCGCTCTTTTTTGCATTGCAGCGGTGACACCCCCCGAGAAGGCGCTTTCTCCTGGTCGATAGATTGTCATATTCCATTGAATTGACGTAAATTGACCGCTTCCCTTGTCAATGATAATCGGGCTGCCGAGTCGCAAGCAAGGTCCACGGAGCGTGTACGACCTCGCATCGCCTGAGGTCGCCGGTGCTCTCTCGCTCCTCGCGATCCCATAATCTTGTCAGTGTCAATTCTTAGGAGAGGCCACGTTTGTCATTGCGTGTGTCAGCTCAGCCTACCGAGCGAATAATGACCGCACCCGAATTTCTCGGTAGGCATTAGGAAGTCTAAGAAGGAGAATGACAGACTCCGTTCCATGATCCTATTCAGAATTATCTATACTCCATACAATGGCTGGCGCCGTCCTCCCAGCTATCTCATCGCTTTGGGTATTGTCTTCGATCACACTGCCTATGAGCCCATGAGCCATGCAAGAGTGTTTCGCCGCTATCTCTTGGAAGTTTAGAAGATGGAAGATGAGCACGTCTTTTCGTGTCGAGCCGCATTCTGTCTCCAACCAAGATGTCCACTGGAGAAGAACTCAGCTTGTAACAGCCGATTCAATGAGGATGTTTACCATCGTTTACACCGTACATGTGTAATGCAGTCTGGGAGAAGGTGCCGTCGAAGCTGTTCGCGACTGGAAAAGGCAGCCATACTGCGGACGTGAGAAAAGACCAGGTGGGGGACGAGTCATACACACCAGCCGGACTGCCCGCAGACACCTTGACAGGAGAATGGCTTTGCGCCGGTATGTCGATTCTGACATTCCTGATAACGTACAGGTCGAGTGTGCTTCCTTCCGCAGTAAGAGCAAAGTGGACGCGTGGGCATATTCGATGGCCTGGCCAGAGTCGGCATCTGATTCGGCGTCGAGTGATCGTTTGCGGTCGAGGAGGCAGCCATAGGTGGCTGTAAAGCCGGAGATGAGGGGGGATCAATGCAAAGTGGGACCTGTTGGTTCAGAGGCGATAGATTGAAAGGCGTGAGCACTGTCGGTGTCGGCGTCACGCTGAGCCAACAGTCCAAGTCTATACCGTTGACTTATGAGCTTGAATGAGACGACAGTATGAAGACGCCTACCGTACATCGCCCACCATACAGCCTCTATACTGTCTCGCAGTGGAATAGAGGATCCTATGTTGTTTTCAGATTGCATAAGGCCTGGAGGACTCGGATGATGCCAGGCGCCTTGATACTTGGCCACTGGGCCTTTATACGAGGATAGACTCCTCAGAGGTCTGTCGCTTTATGACTATCCAAGAACAAACTTCGCTGGGTGCATTGGTAAGCGGTCAATTCCGTTGAGTTGAGAAGCGCAGGTAGCTGTTTGCCTCTGGGTAAAAGCCGAGAGCTGACGTGAACTGCGGGTGGTAGCGTCCATTTGAGCGTCGCGCTACGGCCCAGCAGCTGTCAACTGTACACTCTCACGGGGGGAGACCGAGAGGCGTCATCACCTCGGCCTGGATCCTTGCGTTCCGCTGCGAAGCCTCCTGCCATTACCGCGAAGAGTGGGGTCAAAGGGGTGCTTTGACGCTCAATAATACGATTTGAACCAGCCATAAAGTGAAATGTCAAAATGTCGAAGATTCAGAACCCAACAATCTCTGACAACAAGAAGAACCAAGCATCCCCACCTTTGGGCGCCGGTTTGTCGGCCCGTGCACGATTCGCCATATCCCGAATCATCAGACATTGAAAAGAGTTCTCGTGGTTCATTGGCGTGTCAAGAAGGCAGAGTCTCCAGAGGCCTACAACACGAGTAAACTTCGTCGTTCCCAGCAATAGAAGCAGCCTTTTGATTAAAACTCTTCGTTTGCAGTACATTTGAGGTTGGTCGTGGTAGTGGCCTGAAGCGAGGTGCTGTTCGACTACGGTTGGACCCGACCAACACAACGGCAACGACCGCGGGGACGACTACGCGACACAAAGACATACAAATCCACTCGAAATCGATCTAAACAAGTCTCCGATGCAAAGGAAGTTGCGACTTTGACATGCTCAAGACACGCCGCTCGGGGAATGGACCAGCATCAGATAGCGGTGACCATGTTCCATATGATAGAGGTCTCATATATATCATCGTTACATACAATACCATATCTACAAACCTCGGAAACGACCGGACGGTGCCGCTCTCCAGCGGAGGGCTCCAACTTGTATGTCACTCATGCTTTCAGGACTCGTTTCGTCCTCGGCATGTTCGAAGGTGCCGTGAAATGTTCTGTCTCCATTGACGCAAGTCACTACCCGAACGGTTAGTCAACGATCGAAGACGACAGGAACAACAAAATACCAGCGTTCACATCTGACGTGTGTTCGCTCCTCTGGGAGCGTATGTTGCCTTAACCGCTCTTGGCTGTAAAAGGCCTCTCGGCTGTTCATCAATGCGGAATGGTAAGAAAGCAATAAAGACTAGGTTCAGGAGTACATTACCAGGCATAGTTTCCACACTGACCGCCGCACACAAATTCTTGGATACCGTAGTACCTGTTCCTACAAGCACGATATCGAACAGGTCGACTATGCGTCCTTCCACAATACTGGCATATTCCAGAAGTACGTAATGAGGAGCCAGTATAAAACCCCTCGAAATCGAAATAACCTTGGTTCGAAGACATGTCTAATGAAAGTCGATGGGCGACTAATTTTGTTCAAACTGGCCGTTTGTGGATAGATCGTAGGTAATACAGTTGATTTGGGTCGTTTTGATCGTAGCTGACGTAGAAGAATAGCCACCAAAATTCGCCACAACAGACGCGAGCAGGCGGCTACTGACCAGGAGTGGCTCGTAATGCTCTCCAGATCTTACTGGAAAGGAGTGGTAAGTGCGATGATGTCCCTACAATCTGTCCAGATTTGACTGTCGCAGCGGGCGTCGCGAAGCGCTTCTGTGCAGATGTGACAGCTATGTTCGTATGGCCTTTTATATGACACTGCAGTCTCCACGTAGGCTGCTACTTGGGGTCATTGTTCGTCTCCCTCTTCACACAAGGCCTGTCCATTTCACCGGCGCCCTCAACCCACAGCCCACAGCCCGTCCTCAATCGGAATCGGATTGGATCTTTGTGTTCACAAAGCTCTATGACACCTTCTTCGGCCAGAGGCAGGCCCTAAGCGGACTAGTGGTCGATCAAACACCCGGCGGTTCGCTGGTACGATATACCGTCTCTATACGTATTTCTTTGCTCTCTCACACTCGTTTCCACTGCAGGTGATCACTGTGGAGCCCCGTCCATTCTCAGCTGTGCGCAAAGGAAAATGTCATCTGTTCACTGGATCGAGTAAATCCCGGTCTATAATATGCACACAATCGGCCACGAATCGAACCAGCAAGTGTTTGATCGTAACCAGGCTCTCCCCGGGGGCGCATCTTCCTCCGGTACTCGCGATCAAGACTGCAAGGTGAGGAGTTCAATTGCATTGGCGATAAGGCTTAATTTGACTATTACGGCCCAGGATTTCTCGGGGGTTTGATCAGCCCGTTCGCGCCGAGGTGCGAGTATGCGATCAGCGTCTGGCAGAGGGTGTACAGACGCATGACTACCATCTCAACGACGCAGATGAAACACTGCAGTGACAGCCTCGAGGACTGTCGGCCTCAGTAAGGGCCCGTGCATCTGCCCCCCAATCGCTCGCGCTTCGCGTCGGCCTTGGGCCGATAACTGTCATCGACCTAGCTCATAAGGCCATGATCTGGTGGGTAATGCCTCATATCCCACGATAAACAGCGCTGTTGAGTCCACTGGCCGCGGCTCCGGCCATGATCGTCAATTCATATATGCACCTTGAAGCGACCGATAGGCCTGGCAATAAGTCAGAAAGCGGATAGTTCCCATCTCCCGAGGTTGGTTGACAAGGTCAGCGGGTGGTGGCTCTCTCTCTCGCACAGCGACAGACGTGGAATCATCCAGGTATGCCTTAGTATACAGAGATCATCATGAAAAATCACATCTAGGGAAATTTCATTGATTCAATTGTTCAATCATAGCTACATTTGGTACGACGTTGGGAATACAACGACGTCAAACACCGTGACGCCGCTAAGGTCCATAATCGGGGATCTCCATTATTAGGCATGTCCATCTTCATTCTACCATAACATAGTATCAAACTGGGAACGATGTGCATCACGGCAACTTCGTTCATGCCGGTTCACGTTCTGACGCCAACCCAGGTGTCCACTAGATCAGAGTTCAATGATATCTCGCGGAGCAATGGAACGAGACTATACCATCGTCTGCATCGCACGTGGGTTGCCTCCTCTGGGAGGCAATGCTGTCTCAGCCTTTCTCTGCTGTGGAACGATGCCGTACTGCACGGGACTGCCTGTGAGTATCCTTTCAAGATACATCTACGATCCCTTACCATCTGATGCGACCGCAACCTCCGTCACAAGGAAACGGCCTCAGCCCGAGGAATCGATTCTGACAGGCTTGGTACCGCACCGGCCTCGTATGTGTCCTCCCACAGTACATGCAGATTCGCCCCGTAGGCGATTCCTGCGGTGGACTGACCACCGAGCTCGTCGTGCCGGCGACGGGCTGAGGATACGAGAATGCGTCCTGCACCGGAGGATCAAACTTCATGCTAGGTGCGCCCGCGTTGCTGTTTATAGGCATTGGGAATAGCCATGGCGGTGGCGGTGGCTGCTGGACGGGGATGGTGGATGACTGAGAAACAGGTACGAAATACGGCAGTGGTTGATGAGCATATAGATCAGGGGCATAATATTGATATATGGAGTACGAGAGATCCAGAGGTGCCTGGTCAGGTGCCGACGACTGGCCTGGTGCTTGTTACCATCCTGCGCAGACAGCGGTGAGCATAGGAAGTACTCACTGTTGAGAAGTGACCAGTCGAACTGGACTTCCTCCTCCCGCCTTCTGCCCGCCGAGCTGCCTTCCGGAAGCAGCTGGTTTGAGGCTCGATGGTCCTGGGAGGGCTCCATGAAGGGAATCCTCTCAAGATTCGCTGGATTTATGGAGAACAGGGCACAGGATTAGTTACCAGCTGTCCTTCACGGCGCGCTCTTGTGCACGCGGACTTTCATCCTGACCATCCCATAGTATGCGATGGCCCACCGTCCCGTCTATTCGAGTCAAGAATTATGTGTTCCAACTCTGCTCCTGATGGGCGCGTACCGCTAAGGACGGCTTCCAACCAAACGTTCCAAGCAGCCACCAGGGGATGAATAACGAGCGTCTAACTGCACCGACATTGCGACTTAGGTACCTTGATCATTCCGCTTTCTATCGACGCTACTGTCCATAGTACACACCGTTCCAACTGGAAGGGCGAGCAGTCGACGACTGGCCAGTGCTCCGATTCATCCCCATTCGTACCTTTAATATTACCTTTACGTCCTACTTCCAGCCATCATATTGTAGCTCCAGCGGATATGCCAGCAATCGAGTGGCCGCAGTTTGGGACACGTCGAAAAGCCAGTCATCAGTCGCACCGAGAGGATGTCGGGCTGTGCGACATTGACTTGACCTTTCGCCGACTGAAGATCATTTCTACGCCTAATATCTCATAGCCACGGGTCCAGCTGATCACTTAGTCGCATTCATCATAATCCGTCTAATAAGAACGTGGTGTTCACTGCTTCCCATAAATAGTTCCATGTCCGTTAATGGACAAACTTTGACTGGCCCGACGGCCTCTGCGTTCTCCGTGTTTGCTGACTCTTTCCCAGATGCCAGCCTTTACGCCTCAATCAAAAAAGACGCCCACTAAAATGAATAACGCTCCAAATACGATTTCTATTCGCACCTTCTCTAGTTCTCGCTCGGAGAAAGCGCCGCGGCGCGATGCCAGTAAGAGGCAGGCCCGCACTGTAATTTGTTCCGCTCTGGGTCAAGAGAGGTCATCGTATGAGTATACGACAACTTTAACAAGGGATTCATTACGCATCAACGAGGTAGAATGCACCTTGGATAATCAGTCGCGTTGTGAGTAAAATCCGGCACTCGACAGTACTGGTTAAGCCTCTATCAAGGTCAAAGGTGGCATCCAGAGCGAAGGAGTATCATAGATGGTCATCTAGCATGTCGCGCAACTTCATGTTGCAGCTAACTCGGACGCAGGACACAGGCCGACAGACCACGCTCTTGCGCTCAAATGATTAAGTCGAACAAGAAAAGGCTCGGTATTATTTAGCTGCTTCACGTTATTGTCTGGAACTGACCACACCGCCGACACGTCTGGCCGCTCGAGGTTGTGATCATAGAAGTTTCGACATTAACGGCATGCCATAAAATGATGGACGGAGCCATGTGCGGAGACGAACTATGTCGCTCTGTCGCAAGTCTCTTTGTGACGAGCCATATTCTGCTTTCTCTGTTTCTCGTTGCTGCGCATCTCGATCAGCTACCTCAACCAAATGATAGACAGGAGAGGTGATTCATACTGACCAAATGTCGCACGTTTCATACTTGCGATCCTCGGGCAAGGTATGCTTTGCGAGAGTTTCTTTACTGAAGAACTCCTTGGAACTGATGAGGCAATAGGGTGAGCGGAGCACCTTGCGGATGGGAACAAGGAAAACTCCAACTCACCACCCAAGTAAACCACAGGCACCACCGCAAGCAAACGGACGGATATCCTGCCATTTGTTCAGACAGGCTTCTGCACGAACCGCGCGTGGGTGAATTCGGCTGCAGCGAGGGCAAGGAGATCCGACCACGATTTCTGAAGACGGAGAGGCAGGTCCTGTGATAGCACCTACGTTTGGCGTCGTAACGGTGAGCAGGCTGTTTGGTGCTCTGGTAAAGGATGTCCCCGGAGCTGGAACGACACCGCTCATCGCACGTCCTGCAGAATACTTCACGGCAACGTTTCGATGCTGAGGACTAGTGGGTACGCTTGGAGGGCTTGCACTAGTCTGGACAGGGGACGGCGGGTGCTTCCAACTGGTCAGGCTGGTCAGGCTGGCATCATCGCTGGTCACCATCGACAAGTCTGGAAAGGTTCCAAGCTCGTCTAGACGCGCAGTCATATCATTCGGAACGTTTGGGAAAGCCATGCCTATAACCCGCGTCAGCGACGTAAGAGAACCACGAGCTTGGACTAGAGCACACTCACCAAAGGCTGTTTTCCAGTACTCCTCGATGATTCTTGGATCTGGGAGAGAATGCTCGGAGGACATCACCACTGCTCGGTAGGATTGCGGCAGGAGATAGACCATCCCCTTTTATAGGTGTCTAGTGGACACGCACAAGAGCGTGGTAGGCGTTACTATAATTTTGGGAAAAAAATTCCCGTTATCAATGGGCACCCCGCCTCCTTTGCATGGTCCCTGTTCTCCGTGCTCTCAGAAATAATTATTTAAATAGTAATTTCATAGCAATAACGTATGCGACAGGCTTATTTCCACCGAGATAGTGAGTAGTGATGGATATAGCTGAGGTCGGACGGATCAGCCGACATGGCGCGTGGTAAGCGTGCTGCGGGTAGAGGCAACTAATCAAATGGATGCCTTTTCATCTGTCCCTTTCATCCGGCTGCGAGCTGTCTGTTTTGTGTCGTCCCGGGGATCAGAGGTGCAACAAACTAGTATTGACATCGCTACCAAAGCTCGATAGGTTGCGCGTTTGCGGCTGTTTAGGGTAGCTAAGCGCCACAAGGGGACACCAGCTGTACAGGTACTGGATGCTAGTTGTGGCCCTGTCGAATTCATTGATTTCTACTAGACCGGCCGTTGACCTATATGCTATCTGGCACCTTTGAACGGTCGTCCAGAACCAAATCAAGGCGCAACCAAGACCAGAGTCGACCTCGCCCACCCCTCCAGCCATCGTCCATAAAGGCACACACTGGGAGGCGGCAAGTACGATTGGGGCTACGCTGCCGGTACGTCGATGTGTCCATGCCGCGTGTTTGTCGGAGATACCATTCGGCTCTCCTGTGCTCGCAGGCTATTTCATTTTATTAAATAAAATAAACCTAAATCATACCGTTATGCGAAGAGCTTGTTTACGACCTCCTGATTGAGCTGCTTGATGGTTCTTGGGGTCGGACGAATCCGGGGGCGCACGCGGATGATAGGAAAATATCCATGTGGTATTTCACCCGATCAATGAATACATGCTGGATACGCCTTATTTCCATCCCCAAACGAGACTGCCACAACGGGCTCTTCCGTGTCCCAATGACATCTCAGGTCATCACACGACCGGTTCTTGTCGGCAACTTCTTCACGTCGTCGTTGGCAATCCATCTAAGCCATTTACGCTCACCCCATACGGGCATGTCTAACCTAACTGAGTTCAAATTAAGGTGCTTGGGCTACAATTGTACACGAGAAAAGCACACGCTAGTGCTGCTGTCGACCGTTCTGTCCTTTGGCTCTCTATATTCTGCAGAGTGAAACGCAGCTACTTCCCCTTGATGCAAGTGCGCCTATAACGGCTCATGTTCTACTTACTCACGCTGTGTCCACTATGCATTCTGGTCAGACCTCGTGGTGGAATCAGGGCCAAGGAGGGGGCCGTCTATACTGACCAGAAATCACAAAGTTTGTACCTTTGATCCTTTGGTGCGATATGTTTCGTGAGATTCTCTTTGCTGGAAAAAATTTTCAAACTACGAACAAAGGCGGCGATTATCAGCGTAATTGAAGGAAGATCGTGAGGAATATAAACCAGTATTGCCACACTCTCCACCGCAAGGAAAAGGCCGTGCGCCTGTCTGCTTGTTGAAACAGGCTTCAGCACGGGCCCGACGGCTGTGGACCTTGGAACATAGTGGACAAGGTGATCCCAGAGTGACAGGGCACCCTAACGAGCGCCTGGAGGGTTGTTTGCTGGTGACCATCCTCTTTCGATATTTGTCAGAACAATCAAGCGTTTGCATGATAGTTGGGTGTTCGAGTGGCTCCAGTATCCAAATTGAGATAGATTGATGTTGATTGGGACGTTGAACTGACGCTGCGTGCCCAGCTGTCTGTGGATTCCACTGAACCATTAAGCCTATTTTGGTTGTTTAATCTCAGAGTTGTGAGATGATGACTGGTTGATCGAGGCCTAAGAGATTTTGATGGCGTCTAGAGCTGGGTAGGTATCGGAGATTACCGTGAGTTTGCTGTGCTTAGCCGCGTGTTGGAGTTTGTAGGTGAACCAATCGGCGGAGGTTGAGACTAGCCAGGCCGGTTTGCGCGCGGCTAGGACGTGTACTTAAGGAGGGGCCAGATGCACGGATGGACAGTCGCACCTTGGCTCTTGAAATGCCCGTCGCAGTCAATGTGGTGATTGACAATGTTGCCATGATGCTATGGAATATTGACGATATTTTCTAGTCGACTTAGCGATTTTTCCTCTGCCAAGTTGCGCACGTAAACGAGATGTCCGATGTCGATGACTGAGCTTCTTATGTGATCTGGGCAAAGCCTGGCCCGCGCCGGCCGGCTGCCTTTCTGGGACGGTCGAAAGTCGTTCGATGGATGACCAAAAGGTTGACCACCGACACCGCCAGTCTCTGCTGTCCCATTGACAATTCTGCACGGACTTTGAGCTTGTAAAAACACACCTGAAATTCCCCGTCGATTCAGGTCTTTTGGAGCCATGGTCCACCAGTCGTCCATCGTTTCCCCAAGCTCCGTCCCAAGTCAAATCTTTTCGTCTGCAGAGACGCTCAGCAACAAACTACTCAGCGATAAAACTTCGTCGATTATCGCTGCTTCGCTTACTGCAGTGCTTGCCCTTCTCATCCTCGAGCAGACCGTCTATCGCGCCAAGAAGGGCTCCCTCCCAGGCTCAAGATGGACAATCCCCATCATCGGAAAGTTTGCTAACTCGCTCCATCCAACTCTCGAGGGCTACAAACGCCAATGGGCCTCTGGAGAGCTCAGCGCACTCAGCGTGTTCCATATGTGAGTCTAGACTCGCTTTTTCCCCTTCTCAAACTCACATATACGTAGCTTTATTGTCATCGCCTCGACCAACGAGTACACCCGCAAGATTCTCAACTCGCCCGCCTATGCTGAACCATGCCTCGTTGCCTCGGCTAAACAGGTCCTCTGTCCAGAAAACTGGTACGATTTTGCTTCGAATAACAGAACCATAACAGCCTCTGACGCCCTTTGGTAGGGTGTTTTTGAATGGCAAGGCACACGTCGACTATCGTCGCACACTCAATTCGCTCTTCACGCGCAAAGCACTCGCAGTCTACCTCGAGGTGCAAGACACCATCACCCGTCACCATTTTGCGCTCTGGCTCAAGACGGCCGAAGAGGTCAACCACAAGCCCCAGTCGATCATGCACACTGTTCGTTACTTGAACATGCACACCTCGCTCCGCGTTTTTTGCGGGAAACATATCCCCGAAGAAGCCATTACCATCATCAGCGACAACTATTGGAAGATTACGCTCGCCCTCGAATTGGTCAATTTCCCACTCGCCCTTCCTGGCACAAAAGTCTGGGGCGCCATTCAATCTCGCAAGATTGCACTCGCTCATCTCGAAAATGCGGCAAAGTTGTGCAAAGAGTACATTGCCGACGGTGGCGAGGTTCACTGCATGATGGATCAATGGGTCAAGGATATCCAAGAAGCAAAGGAAAAGGCCATTATGGATGGAGGCAAGCTCCCTCGCGAATTTGACGATCACGAGATGGGTCTCGTCATCCTCAGTTTCCTCTTTGCCAGTCAAGATGCCATGAGCTCCGGTGTGATCTACATGTTCCAGCACTTGGCAGATTATCCAGAGATTATGGAAAAGGTTCGAGAAGAGCAAAGGCGCGTCCGTGGTGGTGAATACTCCAAGCCAATCACCCTCGATATGATCGACAATATGCCCTACCTCCGCGCCGTCATCAAGGAGAGTCTCAGGATCAAGCCACCGGTCACAATGGTACGTTCTCGCGACAGACTGTGAGAAGCGACTAAATTTCGTCGCCATAGGTTCCGTACAAGGCCACAAAGCCATTCCCCATCTCGTCGTTTTACACCGTCCCGGCAAATAGCATGGTCATCCCTTCGCTCTACCCATCGCTCCACGATCCCAACGTCTACCCGAACCCAGACCAGTTCCTCCCCGAGCGATGGCTGGACCCCGAGAGCAGCGCCAATGCCAACCCGAAGAACTATCTCGTCTTTGGCGCCGGTCCCCATCGGTGCATTGGCGTCGAGTATACAAACATTAACATGGCGTGCGTCATGGCCAATGCCGTGTCGTTGATGGATTGGAGACACGAGAGGACGCCCGATAGCGACGGTGTTCAGATGATTGCCACGTGAGTTCTTTCCTTTCCCTTTTTTTGCCTGTGATCGAGGCTGACGAGATGTTGCGTAGCATCTTCCCCAAGGATGGATGTCTCCTTGATTTCACTCCCCGAAATGAATAAGCGAGACCTTTTCTGGAGAAAGAGGATGACGATGATGATGAACAAAACAGAAACTGCGACGGCGGGCGGCAGCGTTTCCGTTTCAGATGTGAACAACAGTCTGTTGATTATACGGTGTATAACGTGTGTTGAATTTGAAAACGCTTGCAGCTCTTGTGGTGTATATGCGCAGGAATTTCTCCGTTCAAACCCTTGTGGTATTCGATCGTCGTGTACGCCGCTGCGGTCGGATACTGCTGCGCCAACCATGCTGAGAATATTCTATCGCCTGCCCACGGAAGAAAACTACGCGGACATGGCCGACAGGCGCGGGACATCCATCCATTGATTGGGCAAAGGCGTTGAATACAAACGCTAAATCTACACTTCAAGTGTGCATGGTTTTGAGTAGAACCTAGCCCAGTCAGCCCGTTCGGAGCAATGTCCCGATTCGGTAACGGGTTTACCTTGCTTGTGTTCGTCGGTTTGCTATCTGACGAGGGCTTGAGGTGGTACAGGTGTGCTGAAGGAATCACATAAAGGAGAAATGCAAAACTCGAGGCAGACTCATTCCCACCGGCATGCACCCGTCCCCTGAGCATCCCCTCAAGAACGGCGACATGTTTGCGCATCTTCAAGACGCTACTGCGGGCTCTATAGAGAGTAAAGGGATTGCTAATGCTAATGACTTCTTACCTGTAGCTGATATCAGGCGAGGCGGACTGTCTCCGTCGTTGCCCACACCGCAGGACATATCCATTTGGAATCCTAATGCCATGTCTCAATACAACATCACAGAATCTGTAACACCGTTCAACTTGCTCGGAGAAGCTGCCTTCTTCTGGGACCCAAGCCCCGTCGGCGGAAAGTCAAGCGGTAATGATACCCTGGGACCGACCTCGATTGATCAAGCATGCCAAGGCAACTTGGGCGTGCCGTCGGATCAGCTCGTGGTCGTCTCAGGAAATCCAGAGGTCGCCGGGAGTGTTTTGGAGGCACAAGGCTCCAGTAGCCAACCCAGCGTCAAGGCACGGACGCAACGACCAAAATGCTTTGTATGCGGAAACTCGCATAGTCGCCCTATTCGTTATCAAGAATGCTTGTACAAGGCCATTGGATACCGTCCGTACGAGTGTGGCGGTGCATGTGGCGTCGCTGGATGGTGAGCCGAGCAAAATTGGTCTATTGTTTCCCTAACAGTAATGATCTTTCTTGTAGCACCACAAGCTTCTCGCCCTGGCTACGAAGGGGCGGAGGGTCAGTCAATTGGGGACTGGAACGGGGTTAGCGCCCTTTTCCGTTCAGGGCAAGTCCTCGACCAGAATGCTAGAACGAGGTTGTGCCTACAGTATTTGTATGAGGAGCTTGTCGGGTGTAATGGACACGAGGGCTTGCACCATTACATCCCGGGGGTACCTCATTCAATTCGTCCTGAGGACTAGATAGGTGTCCGAAGAGAAATTGTGATGTCGTACAATTTATTTATGTTCTTGGCCTCCGTCTATAAGACTTTTGAAGACCTCAATCCACCCAACGCTCTTCATCGACGATCCCCACCAGCTTATCATGGAATATCCAACCCACTCACAGTCAACTTCGTGCGTTTTCCCACCATTCTATGGTTTGTTTAAAGATTACTTTGTAGGAGCACAAGCTCATCCTTGGTGCAGATTCCTTGCCATTTACAAACGAGCCTTTCCCGTGGCTGGGCGATCCGGGCCTCGAGAATATAGGCTGCTATAGTCCGACCATTGGTCAACATGCGTCTACTTCTGGCGACTTTCTTCTTTTCGGGGATCCCGTTCTGGACACGTCCTCACGTCCTCCGTTTCCATCGTCTTGCGAGCCTTATGTATCCCCCGGCAACCGAGGATTCGAGGATATAAAATTATTTGGCTCATGTGGCCTGATTAGTGGCGAATTTGAAACCTGGAGCTCCTCTCTGGTCGATCCCTCAGGTCCCCACGCAGCCCAGCCGATCCTTCCACCTCCTATTCCCGAATTTCAGCTTCCTTTGATCAATTCGACATCCGAGGGACAGCAGAATACCTCCGTAGAAAGTGCTCCGACTACACAGAACTCCAACAGCCAAGGCGTAGACAAGGCAGCAAAACAGCGGGCCATATGTGCCACATGTCTGGGCTCTCATTCGCGTCCAGTACGCTACCGAGAGTGCCAGAATAAGGCCAGTAAGAAACCTCAGTTTAAGTGTGACCGTATCTGTGGTAATACGAGCTGGTAAGTCGATCGCCCGAACGCGCAGCCATGCCGCCCCCACTCACACCTTGCATCTAGCACCGCAAAATTCTACAGCAAGGAGCTCTTGGGGCGTCATACCCGTCCTCGAGACGAGAGGCGAATGCGATGCAACAATTGGTAGGCTTCCTCCCATTCATAAGAGGTCCTGCTTACAGTGTTGTGCTTGTCGCAGTGGGGAGATCGGTTGGAAGCAAAACGCAGCCCGACACCGGCGGACCTGCAAGCTATCGGTCACGCCTCTCGAGTAATAAAGCCGAGCATGTAGTTTAGTAGCAAGTATTCATGCATGACCTACTCTTCCTCGTTATGGCGTGCTGAGTTCCGGTGAGAGGATGGAACAATAGACTGACAGTCAGAGTCTGGAGAAACTGGCAAATTCATCTGAAATTCATCTGTAGGTGACTCGCTAATGTGTAATTATCTCGGCGTAAACCGTGGTTCTGTCTCGATCACTTTGCGCCCCATGGGCGGCGCCTGACCGAACATCATCTCCGTGATGAGCACTCCATCGACGGAGGGGATCAGGTGAATTTGGGGCACATGTCTGTAGCATATCAACGTGCATGCATTACTGCTCCTAGCAGCCGCCCAGAGGGCAAGGGCAAGGCGACACTCAAATCGAACCCGCTGCCGACTCTTCTTTCCCGTGCTGAAACTTGTGCTTCCCACGCTAAGACTGCGTTCACGATTTGGAACAGAGGCGGGTGGATGACCGGGCGTCTGGAAGACGGAATTCGATCGCCAGCCGGCTTTGATGGTTCAAATGGCGCTGTGAATTGCTGTCCGATCGATGGCGTACAGACACGCACCATGTACGCACGAGATCTATGAGGGCTTAACCCTGGAGGCAGCGCTTAGGTGATCACCGGGAGGAAAGACTTTGTCGGCATGTGATGAATTGATTACAGGCTCGGTAGACGGGGAACGGGCGCAGAGTCGAGCGAGGATGTACGGACCATAGCTAATCTGTATAAAAGTCGCCGTCGGGGCGGGAGGAGATAGCCAGTACTCTCTGCTCTCTCAACGACATTGTCAAGACCATTGTTTACGTCCATTTCCTCGTCGCATTATCTCTCTCGTCTCCCACTTTCCACACCCGCCCATGAGCTCGCGCGGATTCGCTCACCCCTTTGGTGCCCCCGCACAGATGGGGCCTGGGATTTGGTCTCCTCTTGGTGAGTATCAAACGCATATCCAAAGAGCCTACTGAGAAAGACCATAGGGACCCTAACCCGGGGTACCCGATCCAATTTTCAGGGTTTCCGACGGCCAACCCAGCACCTGGGATACAATATCAGCAAAATATACACTCTAATTTACCTCGCAATCTCGCTATGACTCACCAAATGCGACCGCTTGGTCATTCTGTCTCGCACATTGCATTGACTCCTAATCCGCCGCAGCCGACTGCGTCCTCCAGCAGGTCCTCAACATACCCTACGCCAGTAGGAGCTGTCATGCCCTTTTCCCGCGTGATTTCACCCAGCGTGCCCACCTTGCAGAATCGGGTTCCACTCCCCGTTTCAACCAGCGGCTCGTCTCCAATATCACCAGGGACTATGACCTTTGACACTCATCAGAGCGCCAAGATCTGTCCATATTGTCACAAGACACACAGCAGGCCTGTTCGTTACGAGGCCTGCGAAAACAAGCACACGGGCGCTCGACCGTTTTTGTGTGGTGGACAATGCGGAGATGCGACGTGGTGAGTTGGCTGGTCATTCCTCCTTGTATACAGCGCACTGATTATGTCCCTCGTGTTGAAATAGCACCGCAGCGTTTCATAGCAAAGAGCGTCTGACGCACCATCTGCGGACTGATGAAGACACGCATGTTCGGTGTAAGCACTGGTCAGTAGAAATTTGTAGCTGAACGTTGTGAAACCCGCGTCCTAACATTGCATGCAGTGGGAAAGCCGGATGGAGGCAGAACGCGGCAAGGCATGAACGGAGCTGCCATGGCGGATTACCTGCCTAATAACATGAGCCTGATGATGGATTGTTATGCATTCAGACTGTTTCAATACCCGCTCGTAGATATACCCGCTACCCTAATATTCCAATCGATGCGGGTCCTCGATTAATCTTCTGAGCTTTCTCAATAGCCCAAGAAAGAGATGGTCAGGTCCAAAATTTGACTATTTGAGTAGGCTCATCTCCGTCCCTTCCCTGTGTGGAAAACGAAACGGGCAAAAATAATGTGATGTGGATGGGATTCGAACCCACGCGCTCTCGCGAGCACCAGGAGTTGAATGGCTGAAGCAGCCACCTACTACTTAAATCTGGCGTCTTAGACCACTCGACCACCACATCGATAGTTTGGACAAAGTCTTCGTTAATTAATATAATCGTTTTTATAATCGCCAAGCCACTCCACCAACTTGGCGGCAGACGACCTCCATCCAACGTGCTTTCGACCTCGTCGACCTTTTCCCGACATGGTTTCCACTACATCTCCCTCCTTTCGCATATTATTGCGTATTTTCTGAAAGATGACGTGACGCTTTTGTACTTTCATGCTCACTTCCTGGTGACATCACGCTCCGACAGAGGTGTATAAATAGTACCCGTGCAAAACGCCAGTTGGAGAGCCAACGCTGGTTCACAAACCTCGTCGAGTGTCCTCCAGACCGTTCCCCAGCGTCCCCGATATCCAGACCATGGCGCTCTTTGGCAAGAACAAGGCCGCAAACGGGACAGCGACAACGTCACGGAAAACACATGTCGGAAACGGTCGAAATTTCCATCTAGGAACATGGCTTCGTCTTCATGGGTTTGATATCATTACCATGGTCCTCGCCGGAGGTTAGTTCTCTTGTATTGCCTAACTTCTGAAGACTGACAGCCTTACAGTGGCCGGCTTGGGAATCTACTTTGCCCGTATGTCGCCTTGCACAACTACCAGAGTTTCTCTGATACGTTGACAGCTCCCGCGTATGACCATTACTTCCCTATCCGCTTCCAAGATGGCGAGGTTATCATGGTGAGGCTCTCCTCGTTTTTCAACTAACCCACTCTAACCTTTCCCAGCCATCAATTGCCGTTCCGATGCAAAAGGATCTCGTGCCCATCTGGGCTGCTGCATTTGTCGCATTCTTCGTCCCCTTTGTCTTCTTTGTCCTGTTCCAAATCAGATTACGCAGCATGGAGCACGTCTTTACATCGACTATGGGTCTGCTCAAGTCTCTGAGTATGTCTTGGTGGCTCCTACATCTGTAGAATTCACTAATCCCTTTCCTAGTCACTGCCGCGCTCTTCCAAGTCGTCATCAAGTGTCTTATCGGTGGCCCTCGTCCTCACTTCCTGGTCGTGTGCAAACCCCAGATCCCAAATGGCCTCGTTGGCTCTGGCTACCAAGAGCTCTACTTCACTCGATCAGTCGTACGTCATCTCCCCTTCCTTATTCGCAACTCTTGCTGACTGAGATTATATAGTGCACAGGAGACAAGAAGGAAATCAACGACGCAGTCGAGTCGCTCCCAAGTGGACACTCGACAGCCGCATTCGCAGGCTTTGTGTTCCTCGCACTCTATTTTAACGCTCAACTCAAACTCTTATCCGCGCATAATCCGGCGTACTGGAAGATTCTCCTCTTCTTCGCACCCATCCTCGCCGCAATGCTTATCGCTCTTGCCATGGTCATGGACGGATTCCACCACTGGTGGGACGTGACCGTTGGTGGCCTCATTGGCACTGCGTGCGCATTCGTCGCATTCCGCACAACCTTTGCGAGCATTTGGGATTTTAGGTTCAACCACGTCCTCCTCCCGCGCACGTCCAGTCTCTTCTTGCGCAACAAGGGTGGTGATGCAAATGGAATGGGTATCCCTTCGTTTGGATACGTCCCAGGAGAATCGGGCCAATGGCCCGTCACGAGGGATGGGGGATGGGGTGACCGCCAGGAAGTCTCGGGCGGCGCGCCATTCGATGCATCCATGACTGGAGGCGCCGGCGCTGGTGCCGGAGGACTTTTTGGTGGTTCAAGGAACAATGGAGCAACAGCGAACCACAATGTAAACCCCAGTGCAATGCATCACGGTGATGCATCGCGCGCGGTTTGACGATATCAATTACGGACCACGAATCTATAATCAAGACCTGACGTGTACTGTAATAAATTCTGGAAGAATAACTTGAACCTGCATTACGAAATGAGATACAGATGGCCCTAAACGATACAATGCGACTCGAGATGCAAGATGCCAGATTGTCTATAGTTCGTACAGCGTCACGTTTCCTTTAGCCCTTCCTCTTCCGATTTCGGCTGCTGGTCCTTTGGAGAGAGTGGCGACAAGGGGTTTCCTTCCGAATCATCATTGGCAAGTGTCTCGATGAGTGATGGGCTCAGCCCTTCTAATTCTTCTGCAAGTAGCGGATCATTGCGTATCCTCGGACGTCGTCGTGTGGGCGACATGGGCATCGGAATCGGAACAATCGTGTCCGTTGCGCCAAAGCCAAATCCATCCGACTTGAGCGCGGCAAGCATCCCTCGAGCAAGGTCACCTGCATCCCCACCTCCCTCGCCATTTCGCTCGTGTAGCATTGCGAGCGGGGTTGGCGGTGGCCGCATCGCGCGGTCTTTTGCGGGTCGCTTCCGTGCTCGGCCTTTGACACTCTCGCCTTCGCGCAGCTTTTCCAATAGCGAGTCGAGCATCGTGCTGTCTTCCTCCAGAGTCATTTCCGCCTTGGCCTTTGCAGCCTTGACCTCCTCGGCTTGTTGTCGCCGTCTGTCTGCTGCAGCGCGTTCTTCGGCGGCGCTCTGGTTTTCAAACTTGCATTTCTGAGTAACATCAGCACCATATCCAAAGTTTAACCACAGAAAAATACCTGGTATGAGGTAACAAAAGTCTTGAAGATGCCAAAGAATTCGATCGAGGTCATGTTCTTCTCATCTTCTCCGTAGTACCGGACGACTTCGCCAAATGTCGAGTCGGCAAGCGTTACCTCGTCCGTCAAGTCGTCTAAACGATCCTTGGCTTCCCCGACAAAGCGCCACATCTTCTTGCCAAAGAGATCGCCTGGATTTGAGCCGTCGACGTCGGCAAAATGGTCTTGAAGTTCTGTTCGTAGCACCTTGAGACCCTCTCGAATCTCCGATACTCCTTTGCGCATATCGAGCAGATTGACTGAAAACTGTGAGTACAAGCCAGTTTATCGTAAGAGGAGCGTACTTCTGCAGGCATCAGCAGGCTTGGCCAGCTCTTCGAGGAAACCCTCCATCTCCGGGAAGTGATGGGAGACAGTCCGTTCAAGGAAATGGAGCAATGTCGTATTGTGCACAGACTTTGTATCGACGAGCTTGTTGATACTGCTAACCTTGAAACCGTACGCGCCACCTTTGATACCTGTACCGTTCATGTAGTTGCCGATAAGTAGGATCAACTAGAACGGAATTAGCGGCTCATCTGATTGGTCTTGTCGAACGCACACTCATCAACTCTTTGAATTTGGCCGCATGCAAGAGAGCGTCTCCGGCTTCTGAAAGCTTTCTTGCATTTTCTTCCCAGAGAGTCATCTGTTCATCGAATCTGCACCGGAACAACATTCCTTGTAACCTTGGACCGAGTCGGTCGATTTTGATGAGCTGAACCATGAGACGATCCGACGGATGGAGTCCTGCCAATTCTTCCGGATCTGCGTTGCGGTACACATTTAACTTGCCAATCTGCTCCGGTGACGGGAGAACAGGTTTGAGCTCGCTGAGGAAATTTTCGGTGCACAAGTCTGGTGCCATCAGCAGGAGCTGGTGAGCAATCTCCTCTGGTGATAGTCTCTTGACTCGTTGAATGATGATTTCTAATATAATGAGATGGAGCCACAAGCGCCAGGGGTTGACTCACCGACTCGCTTCTTCGTCTGAGGGTCGAGCACGCTCTTGAGCTCTGCTCTCTTTTGTTTCGCTAGACAATCGTGAGCATCCATTCCAACCAACGATGTATGACAAACCCATGAGATTGATGACAAGTTGCTTGGCCTTGAAATCTTCTTCCATCTCCTTCCATACACCATCATTGAGCAGCTTTTGGACCCATTCTTGCTCCTTGCCAGCTTCCTCTTCCTTCCACAGCGTTTTCCCGACATTTTGCTGTGGAACTTTGTCCCACTGGAGCTGCTTCATCCGCGTATTGGCCGTGAGGGGTACATCCTTTCTACCAGCAAGAACCGACTGCATACTCGAGTGTCCATTCTGGACGGACGACCGAGTCGAATTGGGAAGTGATCCACCTTTGCTCGCAGGCGAAAACGCGCCCGACATGGGCGGGGGTGGAGGAGGCGGAGGGGCAGGCGATGCCATTGAGCTAAACGTCGAAGCTGATCCAGGCATCGGCGGTGGCGGGGAGGAGGAGGAGGAGGAGGAGGGGCCATCAAGCCGCCGCCGCCCGGCCCGCCAGATTTTGGCAGACCCATGCCCATCATTGGAGGTGGTGGAGGTGGTGGCGGAGGCGGAGGGGAGCAGGAGCGCCGTTGGCGGCCCCCGCCGTCGCTGTTGCAGAGGGACCGTTCGTGCCGGTCGTCGAAGGGAGAGGAGCAGTCCCATTGGGTGGCGAGCTGAGATCGATGGGTTTACGAAGTTGTGCGAGTTTGTTGGCAAGTGCATTGACCATACCACCCGAGTTGGCACCAGTGTCCGTGTCCTCGACCATACTTCCGGTCATTGTACGTGTGGCGTCCACACCATTAATGCTCGACGGTGGAGTATCATCTGTAAAGACACTACCCCTGACCATATCGTACTCGCTGCTCTCGAGTGTGTTGGACTCTTCGGAAATGGACTCGGTAGTTGCGGTTCGACCACCCACACCATTGACCCCTGTTGGAGCGCCACCAGCTCCAGCAGCCATTTTGGCCTTGAGATCCTCCAAAAATCTGGCAGAAGAGCCACCAGGGAGCTTGCTTGGACCAGGACGCACGGGTGAATTCCTGGCACTTTTCGCCATTTGCATCGAGTTGTGAGGATACTGAATCAAAACGTAAGAAACCAACCTAAAATAGATCGCGTCTACGTACCACCATATCTGTGCCTTTAGCCAGGTTTTCCTCCATGTGCTGGCGCTCCCGTTCGTCTTCGGCGTCCATAAATTGTGAACTCCGTTCCAACGGTGCATTAGCAGGACCCTTCAATCGCCGATTTTTACTACTGGTAACCGCCCTCCTCGAAAGGTCGCCAGGAATAGGTGGGACAGATCGCAAAGTCATATCCCCTCCAGTGTCATCCTCTTCCTCTTCCTCGGCGATGGCATCCCCTCGACCAACCCCGCCCTTTTTACGGTGCCGGCCTTCGAGGATGCCGATAGTCTTTCTTCGTTCCATTTGTTTCTCCAACGTAGTAATGAGCTCGTTTCGGTCAAGAACGGCCCCGTCCGTTCCAGTCGTTCGCGAACTGATGCCACCTTCCCGAATCATACGGAATAGTTCAAAGATTTGAAGCTCGAGTTGGGCAATCTGCTCTTCATATCCACGCTTCTGTTCCGCGAGTCGTGCCTGCAACGAGTCGGTGGTCATTCTCGAAACTCGGAGCTTCTCTTCCGCCGTCGAAAGTTTTTCCTTTAACATTCCAACGAGCCCATCCCCTCCAGCCGCGATCTCTTCCTCGAGCTTTTCTTTCTGAAGACGAAGCTCGTTGGCTTCTCGACGGGCATTGCTCGCTTCCTCTTCAGCTATTCGCGAGCGCTCTTGCTCTCCAAATTGTGCGACGAGACGTGCTACGGACACTCCAACGACAGACGAAAGGCCACCAGAAAAATCTTGCTTCTTGTCCAGCACTATCGAAGTGACCAATTCGTCGATTAGTTGATAGTATCGCGTCTTGGTATCCGCCTCGGCTCGAATAAGCAAGAGATGCTGTAGTGACGATAGGAAGTAGGGATATGCCGGCGTTCCTTCGACAGACGACATGATCGCACGATAGACGTCGTACGGATCCGAAAGATCGCGCAAAACCTCTTGATCAAAGTTTTGTAACAACACTTCCTGGTCCGCAGCCGCAAGTTTCTCATACGAGGCAATCTGCTTCTCCAGCGAGTCGTGTTGGAATTGGTGGCATACGTCGAGGATTTTGCGCAGACCAGCCGCCTCCATTTGAGACCGGTAATGCAGCCGGAGCTCGAAATCGTCCACAGTAAGAATTCCATTGATAAGGATAAGATTACTTTGCTAGTCGGCGTCAGTAAAAAGGATAGACGGAGGCTCGTATCCACTTACTGCATACTCGGTGAGCGTAGCTTCGTGGCCACCATGCTTCTTGACGTCTTGGCTCGCTCCGACTAGACTGCCCATCTTTCCTCTTCCGGACAACGTAGCAAGTAGCGACTGGAACCAAAAGTCGTACCGTCCTGTTTCGTTGTTTTCTGCACTCAGAGCGTCCATCGCTTTGAGTACAGACTCATGTGCCACTCCATTGTTGTAGTAACATAGGAATGTCAGAATCTCGGCAACCAGTCGTCTTGATGGAATATGCATCGTGCTCAACGAGCATGCAATAGCGTTAATAGTGGAAGGGTGAGCTACGGCATCATCTGCTCCGCTCTGCAAGTATGTGAGTATTGTGGAAGCAGAGTGCGAGGAATGCCGACCTCGTAGTTGAGTAGAAGCTTCAAGCACTTGAGTAGTTCGTATTCTAGTTCGACGTCTGCATTTCGTCTTGGCAATGTCAGTCGCCTTATTGGCTAAAAGTCGACGGCATACCGTAGGGAGCCTTTTTTCGAAATCGTGCCAAGTGCTCTTGCAACCACTTGGTTGCCTTGTAGTTCGATGAAATGATGCATCCAACTGCATCGGGATTAGCAAGCCTCCCAAAAAAAGACCCAGGCTAGCTCACTCGATGGGCAGAGTTCGCAATGAAACGGTCAGACTTCCGACGTGCTTCGCCGTAATAGTCTGATCCATAAACTTCTTGAGATACCACTCGGGTGTATCCTTTGCAAAAACGGTGGGTTGTCCCGACGCCGTGGCTGCACCGCGCTTCATTTGTGCATCTCTCTTCTTCTGTTGTAGCCATCTATCGTGCTCGTGCGCGTGAACAATTCCCCATTTCTGGTCCATTGTCATGTTTCCGGCATCCCCGATATCCCGCTCTGATTTGACGCGTTCGAACATGGCATCAATTTCCTCGGCGGATTCGGGACGTTGTAGCTGGAATTCTCCACTAGGCCCCGTCGTAGCCCTGTTACACCATAATACGATTGACGTAGGTGGTTGAGCGACTCTCGCACCGAATGAGGCAAGTGTTCGCGTAGCTGAGATGTCATGCTACTGACGGCTTCTGAGCCATTGGAGAGTACCGAAGACGCGTATCGTGGTGTTCCCGCTTCTGGGCCAAACGATTGCTCTCCTGGTCTGGCCGAGGCCAAGCTCCGATTGCTGGGAAGATTGCTGGATCGCGAAGACGAGGTGGGGGATATTGGATAAGTGCCAAAATCAGCCAAATTTCCTCTACCGGAATAGGGAGTCGTAGGGCCCGTCGCGTCTGAATCGCCCCGGCGCCGGGCAGCAGACGAGCTACTTGCAGCAAAACTGCTCTCGCCACCACTCCTCTTTCTCAACATTTTGATACCACCAGAGCCCTGAGTGGAATCCCGAGCGGAATCTTCGTTTGAGCTCGTGGATGGTAGCCCATATGTCTGTTCTCGCTCGTGTCTTGCGCGTGCCATGGTGTGCAAGTTGAGATCTGTTCCATCCAGTGTCAATGTTGGATTTGTGATGGGAGCAGAGATGGCTCCGGACGCTCTGAGCCCCTGCGAGACTGTGCCCACTTGGACGGGAGCTCGTCCAGCGCCGACACGATCATATGGAACTGATCTTTCGCTGAGTTCTGAGCCTGTAGCAGATGGACGATGGGCCTTTGTTAGCTTCTTGCTCCTTCCGAACAGAGAATCCATCAATCCTGCGCGTCGCGGCGGTTGAACCGTGTTACTTGGGCAGTAAAGGAGCGACCAGTAAGCCTAATAGGCTGCTATCGATTGTTTAAGGGGCCGCAAACGTTCAAGGTGTTCAACGGCGGCAGGCCAGCGATTATGGTCGTGGCCAAAAGTGAGCAAATAAGGGTGGCGACCTTGGCCAAGACAACGTCGGCCTGTAAGAGAATCCTTGAGACACGTTTGTCAATTATTTAATCTAAAGTTTAACTGTAAGCGAAGGTGGTGCCGGCCCCGCTGTTACGTCCAAGCGACGAGTCGCATCACTAGCCTCAATGAATCGTTGTCGGTTACTTGCACCACTAGATCACGCATACACTTGCAAATCAACACTACGAACCAAATGTCGCATGGACGATATCGTCGTCACAATACGGAGGTGTAGACCGAGTCAATTCTTTCGCCTCTCGAGCCGGCCTCGAGATACCAGGGACAGGCTCTCCAATGCTCTCTACAATCTTCCTGAGGACAGAAGGGACGCATTCCATAGTGTAGAATAGCTTTGGTGCATCTTCTACAACGTGGAGGATGATGAGGCTCGACAGGATACTTGGAGGTGTACCCTGCAGAATGTTCGACCTTGAAACAATGTTAGAATTGTCATAAGAACCGGGGGAAATCATTTACTGTACGATGGGTCGCAGCAACTCTGGCTCCGTCTCCAAACTGGTGAACAACGTCGCGGTTGCATGAAGATAGGGATCTAGGAAGCGCTCAGATTGACCATACTCGACACATGGTTACGTACCGTCATGCCGTTCACGGAAAGCAGATTCTATCACTGACAGGCATGCCTCTTTGGAAGCCGAGTTCATCACGCCAATTGCGTGGCGAACTACATAGGCTAGGGCCAGGATCATCGAAGCAGCAATTGCATCGTCGTCTGCCCCTTGAGCAGTCGTGATGAGCTCTGTTACGAGACCGTCGATTCGTATTTGACTGCTCTTTGTCAACGTTCCCAAAGCCTTTGCAGCAGCATTGCGAACTGCGAGAGACGATGGGTCGCTACACGATTTGACAAACGTTCTCGACAGTTGAGGGAAGAATGGTTTGACGTGAGCAGGAATATGCTCGAGCATTGTTGTCAACGACTTGAGAATCGCCACCTTGACGCCTGGGGGAAAGGCGGTCGCCTGAGTCGCAACACGGATGAGAGGGCCCGTGAATGGCACGACATATGGCTTGAATGCGCTTTCCTCAGTTCGCTCCACCAAGTCTCCAATCGCATATGCAGCTTGTTCTCGCTGCTCGTTGTTGCCACCAGTGAGCCCGGCAATGACAATGGGGACCATAGAGCTGACGCTGCCCTTGAGGTTGAATCCGGGAACCGTTCTTCCAGGAGCTCCAGTGCTTTCGATTGTGCGACGCAATGTCACCACGACAGAGTCAAGCTCGTCCTTTTCGATAGACTTGACGAATGCCTCAAAGGCAGCAACCGCAGCACGATGGACCTCTTCTTGGCGGTCATCCATCAGACTCACTAGGTAACGGACCCAGTCTGGCCGATATAGCGAGAAATCAATGGTGGCCACTTTACAGAAGGTCTCGAAGAAATGCAGTGCCGACACTCTGCGGTTCCACGATTCATTCTTCACCCTGGCAAACTTAAGTTTCATAAAAAAGGCATGGTAAGGTGACTCACCATCCCGCGAGTAGAAGCATCAAGGTCTGGAGGCCTTCCATGTCTCCAATCGATCCGAGAAGAGCGCTAACAGCCTCTTGAACACTCTCCTTCAGTTCATCATCGCTTTCATGTTCCACTGCACGAATGAGAGCCGTCAAAATGACTGTGAGTCGCTTGGAGAGTGCATTTCCCGCCACTGTAACAAGTGAAGCAAGTGCTCGCGCGTTGAAAGCGGTCATAGGTGTTGAAATGAGAGTCGGTATGAGAACTGGGAACACAGTGGACGCTCGGACCTGGGACATGATCAGAATCCGGTCGCAGATAACCCCCAAAACTCACAGTCATGACTTCTTTGAGGGCTTGAAGGGCAGTGCCTGAACTCTCTCCCGGTTGTCTTAGTGCTTCTAAGAGCGTTGGAATGGTCTCATCAATGGCCTTCGCGCCCATGACATCTTGCAGCACATCAAAGGCAACAGCGGCAGCAGCACGAACGTTGCTCGCATTGTCCACGAGTGACCGTCGCACAATTCCAATAATCTCATCTTCGTGATCCTCTCGCTGCGTATCTGTAGAATTTGATCTGATGGGGGTTAAGTGACAATCAGCGCACAAAACGTACATACATTATCTCGCTCATGGCCAAGCAGACACCTTCACGAATACGAGTGTCAGAGCTTTTGGAGCCACGCTGCAGTATCGGGAGCATGTCGCCCAAGATCCTTTCACCGAACTTGCGGCAAAGTTCACCAATCGTCCTCGCAGCAGTCTATGCGCTGTCAGTAAGAGATACGGCATAATAATGTGTACAAACCTCTCGCTGATCTCCATGAGGCATAGAGAGCAGATCCACGATTTGATTCATCAAAGTTGGGAGAATCTCCCTCACTATTGCGCTAATTAGTACCTTTTACTCGAAAATAGAGCATCATACCGGTCCGTGGCGTATTGCTGACGAGAGCTTTCCAAATATGAATGGACGCCGAGCGTACCGCCGCAACAGCATCTTGCCGCACAAGATAAAGAGCGCCCAACACCCTGTCACGGCGTTCTTTGCCAAGAATATCGATGAGAACTTTGCGGGAACTCTCTGCGACGACGGCATCTGCCTCTTCTTCCTCCTCTTCCAGCTCTGCTTTGCCACTGATACCGGATAAGCGGAACAGGAGTTCTCCGATCAGCGTAATGGACGATTGCTAGTCGTTTTTAGAATAAATCAACGGGCCGGGATGGACTCACCCTGATACGCCAGCCAGAATCGAAGATGCCTAGCTCCAATTCTGGGAGGAGCAGGTCGACTGCCTTGCTGGAATAATTGACAACGATCATGCGCCCGGCTTTCATCGATGCCTCCCGTACGTATTCTTCTGTATCCGCCAACCCCCGTAGGATTGGAGGGATAATCTTGGCGAGATGAGGCTGGAAGCGGGTGCCAAATGTAGCTGGCAAGTAGACCAGTAATGACATGAATCCCTCACGAACGTACGACCGTGGGCTGCTAGTGCTGGAAATGATGTCGGGGAGTAAGCCTTCAAGTCTCTCCATTCCCAATCCCGACAACACTTCACTAAGCCCTTGAGCAGCACCTTGTCGATCGACACCCGACGTGTCACTCCTGAGCGTTTTGAGAAGATCTTGAACAAGATCGGGGAATTGTCCTTCTCCCAATCGCTCAACGAGAGTACCAAGCGCTTTGGCTGCCGTGGCTCGGGCCTCGGGTACTGGGTCAACGAGTACAGTGTGCACCAGGGGCAGAAGACGAGATAGATATGGGATGAAGTCCTTGGAGTCCGTCAAGCCTGCCATTTGGCCGACGATCTGCGTCGCTTTTCGCTTTGTATCCGCGCCTCGTTCACGTAGGCCGCGTTCAATGATCGGAATAACCTAACGGAGTCAGCGTGCCTCTAGCAATATTCAGGGCTTACGATAGCGAGGGATGCAGAGTCGATGTAATGAACAAACGACTTCTTCAGTAGTGCACTCAAGGCATTTGGTGTCTTTTCTGGATCAACCAACGCTTTGAGGAGAGTCGGTACGAGTGAATGAATTTCTGGATTGCTGATGACCTCCCCGAACTGCTTCAGGCTTTTACTACCCGCTGCCCGGACTTGAGCGTGCGAGTCTGTGAGAACGAGGGTCAGTTGTGGGACGACAGTTGGAAGTGCTGAGGAGAGCTGCTTGGGAGCGCAGAATGCCATTGATCCGAGAAGTTCCACAGACCCCTGTGAACTTTGAGATTGATATTCCAAAAGTCACTGCCATGGGCATACCTTCTTGGTGCGCCATTGGCGCTCCTCCAACCCTTCCATCACCTTGGGCATGATCTGTTTCACACCATACCCCGAAAGTTTACCCATTATCACCTTCGAGGCATCAATTGTTGCCTCTCTAACCTCCGGGTTTGCATCTCCAAATGATGTGAGGATGAGGGGAAGGAGCTGAACGACGTACGGCTCAAAGCCGCGTCCAAGAATTCGCGCCAGAGTTTCAAGGGCAAAGGATGCTCCTTGGCGAGCTTCGTAGCTCTTCTTATCCGCAGCAGCGTCTCGGAGACGACGAATGATGTTGAATCGTTGGATGCCAACAATTCCGATACCACGAATGATACCGGCAATGCCATAGGCTGCCCCACGCCGAGAAGCATATTTAGGGCTTGTAGTCAGTTCCGCGTACAGTCGATCGATAAGATCACTGGCTTCATCCTCAACGAGCGGGGCGAGAGGTGTCAAGCAGTCCGCGACTGATTCTTGAACGACTTCGCTGGGGGTCTTTAATGCCTCGATAAGCCTATTGACAACCTCTTTGACTCGTGGGTCGGTCTTTTCAAGATGTTGCGCCAGTCCTCCAAGTAGGATGACGACGGCTTGTCGAATGTGATCTCCTGTATCTGTAGCTGTTGGCTTTGACGATCCGAGGTGGGTTTCGAATATGGATATCAAACCAGGTAATCTTGACTTTCCATGTAGCTGGATTACAGCCATTCCAGCTTCAAGCATGCGCCGTCGGACGTCGCCATGCCTGTCTCCCAACGCTTCGTCTTCGATGAAGAATTTAAATAGTGATTCGACGTCGGTCTCCGGTATGGATTCTGCCATGTGATGAAAGGCATCTGCCACCGCGAGGCGTGCCTCCCAAGGATCCTTGCGATCAAGAGTCTCGGGAATCACCATACCCTGGTATATGTCAGCAGTGCAGACGCCGATTTACTACCTAGACTGACAAATTGATCGTATTCAGGAACTAGAAGCTTGGCCTTTTCTCGATAATAGTCTTGCAGTGCAAGTACGGCTCCAGAACTGGATGTTGGCCAGCTTTCCAGAGATTCTGTGAATGATGCTGCGCTACTACGTCGAACGTAGCTATTCGTATGACCTGCAATTGGTTAGGTCAACCCCAGTGAAAGACTAGACGTACTGAGATATGAGAGAAGAGGAGATAGGAAATCCTCAGGCACGTCTAAACCATTTTCCACCCAGAGCTGACGCGCCAAATTTGCATTTTGATCGTCCTCGTCGTGGCACGCAAGCCAGATGGCTGGGATCCAATCGCGCTCGGTGAAATCGAAGGACTAGAACAAGTTAGAAAAGCGTATTGTCCCAGAGAGAACATTACCTGCAAAGCCTGTAAGCATGCATTACGTACGAACACTTCCTGGCTCAATGTACTCTGGACAAGCTGATCCTTCTCTGTCTCCGTCGCAGAGTCCCGCATTGCCTCTGTGGCCTCGAGGAGACCAGATACGGCATCTCTTGATACCTTTGGTTGATTCGCAATGAGGTGAACGAGAGTTTCACAAATAGATTGCCGCGGATAGAGAGGGTCGGAGACTGTAGTATATCAGCTGTGCACAGTAAGCAAACACGATACGCACACTGGGAAGAATGGGCTCGGATAATCTCCAAGCTCAGTAGCATTTGTTCTACGGCATCGTCCTCCGTCTCGACGGAGACTCCACCTTTCTCAACGATTCTGTGAAGCGTAGGCCAGAACAGCGAGAATGTAACTCCATCAAACGGCGTCTGTTCCGATAGTGATTTGATACGGTAGAGTAGTCGTCCAACGAGAGCTTAGGGCCAACTTTAGCACAGGCTTCCATCCCTGCGTCTAGACTCACAATTCAGTGGTTCTCCAGTGTAGCGTTCGGGAATGTGCTCCACATCGTTAGCACGTAAGTTGGCCACACCCACCCAGATACGGAGCGTATCCAGACGATCCGACGCAAAATCAAAGATTTCCTAGATGCGAGTCAGAGGTCTCATATTATTTGAACAGCAACCAACCAGATATGTTTGAATTGCCTCTGCTTCTACAAGGGGTGCTCCCAGCTGTACTACTCCTCTCATGAGGAGAGACGCCAGTATGTGTAGTGACATTTCTGATTGCTCCGTTCGCGAAGCGAGAATGGCCTTGATGATGGACAGACCGTCCTTGATGTTCTTTTGGATGGACTTTAGCCTCGCTCTGACGGCCTCCTCTTTCTCGAGCTGGGCATCGACAAGAGCCTTTTCTTGTTTGGAGAGCGTGGGCGCAGCCGCCTTCTTTTGAGCCAGTGATTTGCGAACTTCATCCTCCCATTGTTTGATTTTCGCATCCTTCCCTTTCTCGACAGTACTCCCTCCCTTCTTATTCGCGAGAACTGAACTTGGGTTAGTCCATCCCCGATTCATACCTTTGGTGCTCACCATCAAGAAACGCTGTGCCAGCAGGCGTTGCCCAAACACCGAGCTCAAATTCTCCTAACGAGTGCAATGGTGTTGGGTCCAATAGTTGGTTGGCCCGCTCTATGTAGATGGGTAGCGTTTCCACCGGTGCGACAAGGGTCAGTGTACCCAAAGCACGCAACGCTGAATCTCGATGCTTGCCCTTACGAGGAAGGGTGAATATTCTAAAAAAAGCTTCGTTGTTTGGCACTCTTACCTCTGCAAAAGCCAGACCCTCATCTACCGTTGACTTGAGTGCATCCAGGTGTCTCGTGACCACTAAATGAGGATCAAGTTGCGCATGTTGCGCCAGTTCGATCCACAAAGCTTCTCCTGCTCGCGCTAGGTGGATGAGAAGGGTACTATTGACGATATTCACACTCACATAGCACAGGGTGATGCGATACAAGAAACAGGTCAACAATCAGCTTTTCCTTCACTTCCTCCACCTGATTGGCAAGATTTGCAGAGCTCAGCAGAGCAGCTGATAGTCTCAAGGAGCGATGAGGAGACGATTCCTCCTCTTTGGCCTGCTTGCTGTCCCCGAACAGTAGATTGTTGCTGGCCAGGTTGATGGCGTTGCTAATAGGCACCGGAATGGCGGCTGAAAGACGCTTGAGCGTTGATAAAGTCTCGCGACGAATTGTTGGAGATGGGTGATCGACTGCCAGCCATAGCAGGGTTTGGCCAAAATAAAGACTGCGGATCGTTAGCTAAGTTCGCTTCTCCACTTCTTTCCTACCTTGCCTTCTCCTGACGGACAAGATCATCAGAATGCGTAGTCAAGGTATCAAGAACTCGAAGTAGCCATATTGCCTCTTTCGGATCGTCGACCTTCTGATAATTCTTCTCCGAGTATAGGAAAGATGGCTTCCCGGAAGGAAACAGGATACCTTGGAGTAACGTGGAGGAATGAGTGGAGCTACCTGAGGCGATCATGAAGCAATCATATATGAAATTAAGCCGACTCACCCGTTTGGCGGAGTACGAGAAGGAGTGCAATCCAATGGTCGACCACTCCCTGCACAACAGTTGATATCGACGCGTCCTTTAGCAGCTTGAGGAGGCCTGATTCCAGCTTCTTGAGAAGCGCACTCGCACTTTCTGACTGAGAGTCTCCGCCCGTATGAAGAGCCCAGAATGCTTCTCCGATGAGAGTGAGCATTGCTCTACGCTGTGCCGGTTTGACCGAAGCAGCTTCTTTGACTATGATTGACTCTGTTTTGTCACCCAAAGCAGTACCACGTCGTAGAAGGTCCGCCAGGTGGCTCGAGGATGCCTCAGCGAGTGTGGAGATAGCAACCTCGCTCGTCTCTTTCTCCCACAGTGCGAATGTGGTCCCAGCAACGTCAACGCATAGATCATCACGGCTTGGAATATTGGGAATCATCGAGTACAAAGCCTGGCGGTGATCCACGCCATTCGACTTGCCAGTCTTGACGGGAGCAGAAATGATGTCCAGGGCATATTTCAGATCAGAGCTTTCGACATCTCTAGATATGAGTGCCCTCCATAACTGGACTGCCCCCGTTCGGATGAGAGGGTTGCTGGATTTTGAGCAATTCAGAATCGATGTTAGCAGGCGCTTGAATTCATCCGAGGATATGCGGAGTTTATAATGTTGGAAGAGGCTCGTGATCGCTAAGGAGTGGGTAAGGATATTTATCAGAAGGAAATGAAGCTCCCCACATACTCGGTAAGCACACCTCTGGCGAGCGTAGAAGCATCTTTTCGATGACAGGCATCAACTGAGTGGAGAAAATACCCGGGTCGACTCCATCTCCGATGAAGCTCACGAAGGCATTCTGTCTGTAGGTCAGCTACATAATTCTGAGGCCGGCAGGCTGACCAGAGATTGAGTCGGAGGTGCGGTTTTGGAGGATAGGATGGATCCAATGTAAAATTGGAGAAAAGGTGTCTATGCAAACTATTTTAGACGTGGACAATAGATCAGTCAATGCGAATCACCTTGAGATCCCCAAGGAGTTGCTGACGTTTTTCCGAGTCTTTCAAATGCAGGGTGACATCGTAGGCCGTCCCTATGAGCGGTGCGTTGCGTATATCACTTGGCGTACTTCCAGTGGACACTGTGCAGGCAGCTACGAGGGGCTTGATGTGCTCTGGAGACTATGTTCAAGTCAGGATGATAGGTGCGTTCAACAAATCAGCTTACAGATCTAATCGCTCGTCTCTGTTGCACAACAGCACTCTTCCTCAACGGTTCCTTGGTCGTGACTTGCGTATCCAAGAGAAGGTCAAGTAAGAGTGCCATGGCAGTGACAAGTTTTGTCCACGCTGGAGACTTCGTAAAGTGTTCATCCAATTCCACCATGATCGTGTAGAGATGACACGTCCAAGTATGAAGGACGGCTACATGAGAGGATGCGATAGCACTTGAAATCTCTCCATCAGCATGCATTCCTCCAAACAATGTTATTTACCCAGATGATTTACTCATCCGTGTCGCCTCGACGTTGAGCCACCCAATAATTTGCTCACTCACGCCTACGGGACCTTAGATTCGGACAAGGCAATGGTTTCAGATGCGCACCCATTTTGCTCACATCAGCTTCTCCTTCAGGTTTCCCACGTAATTCGTCTCGTCGAACCATCGTTTCAGCCATCTTTAGTGCAGCGAGTCGCGAGGGAGCATCGATATATCGTGGCAGAGTAACGATGACGAGTTTGAACATATCCATTGTCTGAGACATACTAAAATCTATTCATGTTATTCGCGATTAGCCGATCAATCAAACGGCGTCGCGTCAAACTGACCAGCGCGTGCCGCCAATGGAATCAATCTTCCATTGATGAATCCCGTCCGAAGCTTTGTACTCGAGTTGAGCAACTGTTGCTGAGCAAAGAGCATAAAGCCGCTCCAATCATCCTCCAACCTTGTCCAATCAAACTCTACGGGCAGCTGATCGTCCTCTTCATCGTTTTCCACGCGTTGTGTCCAACTTAAAATCTCTTGCTTGCTCATTCCAGCGTCTGGAACAGCTGCCTTTAGCTTCTTGAGACTTTGCCGCGTCGAGGCCACGACGAAGTTTGAGTTCAAGCTTCAACTCTCCGAGTGGCAAAGGCGCCGAGCACGCAGAATGTCCCAGTGAGATATCCCAAATAAAATTTATGCGCTATGCTCTACAATCGACGTCACGAGCTTGCCATCCTGGATGACCGTCCGCAGCATCTCCGGTATTGGCTTCTCCACATAATCTCCATCAGGTCCACCCGGAATGCTAATATTGATGGCACTGCACTTGGCAGTGATAATCTCTGCCGCCTTGCTCTCTTCAGACAGATAGACTTGTCCAGAGTCTGTTGTCTCAATTTGGATGGTCGGAGCTACGCCAGTGATCTGCAGTTGGAAGGATTGAGAGTTGGTAATCGAGATGACAGAAACGACCGAGTCGACCACGATTGACGTCTTTTGGCAGTTGGCTGAGAGCGAGAATTAGGAGAATATATCGAGTGGCATGTGGACGTACACATAGTAACCCCGTTCACTTTGCCTTTGACCTGTACGACCGTGTTTTTGCATCCGTAGAGAGTTACGATGTGACTGATAGAGGTGTTATCAAGGACGATCGAGGAATTATTTTCCTGATGCTCCTAGAGGCCGGTCAGAGGGGTGAGGGCTACTAGTATAATCCACATACGATAATCCATTTAGTTCCCTGTAATTCGAGCTTCGACGGTTTCTTTGCTTGCAGAGAGGCTGGCTTCTTCGGCTTAGGCGGATGCTTGGAGGTCGGACCTGATAGGAGGGTTAGTCGCATACAGCGAATCAGTTCCCTACTGACTAGGAGAGGGCGCGCGAGCAGGCACAGAGCCAGATGTACGCAAAGATGGATTCTTGTGCGTCATTTCCGACTTGTCAACCTTTCGAAGGCCCTTTGTGATGTCCATTCCCTGATTAAGCTGGGCGAATACCGCGGCCGTCCCAGAGAGCGATGGAGTGGCAGATGGAGTCTCAACAATTATCGGTGGCGGCGGAGGAGGGGGCGGAGGCGGAGGAGCAGACGAGCCCGTCTTTGCGCTCCCCGAGGCCGAGGCAAGACTAAAGTCTCCGGCTTTCCCTCCCTGAGTCAATGGATCAGACTAAGATCATAAGTATAAGTCCTAGCTGACCTTGGGATTCCAGGTGAGGCCCATCTTGTAGTATTCGCCGACGTATTTCCCTAGTTCGTCGATAAGGCCAAAATAAGACCTGACCCAGTCCACATGTGCAGTGTTCCTATACCCTGTCTTGAGCGTTGCGTCACGTGTCGACGGTTACATACTTTTCTTTATATTCCTTGATTACGCGATTACCATAAAACTCGGCAGCCTCCTTTTGAACTTGAATATGACCGACGGGGTTTGAAGGCTACGAGGCCCTTAGCTTGCAGAATGTAGCCCCAGAGAAACATACCAGAAGAAGCCACCCAACAGACGGTGCGCCGTCGGCGACTGTCTGCAGATGCAAACTCCAGTTCCTATCCCTGTTCTTCTCCTGAATCTGCTTAATAGCACCCACATCCGTATGCAATGGCTGGGTTATGGTCGCAAACTCTGCATCAGACGGCTTCATGCACGCAGACGCGCAAAGGAGAACCGCGCGTGAGTTCTCAAAGATTCTAACGACGAGTTGTGCCTAAAACATCTTAGCAGCCGGCCCACGACGCGAATAAACACGGCGATGGCGCACCTGATCGTCGAGTTTGGGCTCTCCGAGTGCCTTTGTCCGTTCGACAAACGTCGCGAGCTTTCCCTTGATGATACGTTCATCGTACGCAGCGACGGATGCAGGCACGGCGTCGGGTGCAGACTCTGAAAGGCTGCCTTGCTTGGTCGGCGCAGGTGCTTGTCCGGGCGGTGGAGATTGTGCACGAGGAGGGAGTGTAGTAGACGCTGGTCGCGCGGATTTCGCCTCTGGGAATGAAATAGCGCCGCCAGACTGTGCCACTGCAATGTCCTCGAGCCGAGAGGTGGCGGCTTCCAGTCTATCGATCCATCCTCGTCTCAACATTCTTATCCAATAATTCTCAGACGAACCGTTTGATAATGGTGGCTAGCGAGTTCAGGCCTTGCGAGCTCATTGCTAAAGGTGGTCGAAATAGGTAGAGTCCAAGTTACAATTTGCGCAGTCTATTCGCAGTCCACGGTCACAACGTCGCAGCATACAAGACGACACAAGTCTAGTCTATTCCAGCACAGTCAGATCATCCCCGAGTCTGGTGTACGAAAGTAAGCTGCGGCGGAGTTGAAAGGAGTAATCAAGTCCGTACCTTTTCTGCTCCGAGGAGTCGTAGGACACCCTCGTATACATAATAGGCACACGCATTCGATGGGAAAGCACGCAAGATTGACGGTGCCAGGCCACGATAAAAACCGCGTACGCCCGCCGTCGAGTAAATTTCCCGAATGACACCTCGAACAGACGCCTTTGTATCAAGAGGTGCTCCAAATACACGACTAGAACAAGAATTAGTCGGTGAATTCGAATTCGAGGACAAAGAGCGACCAACTTTTTCACATTGTCTGCCGGAATGGCCATAAACCAAAATGCAAAGCTCCCCAATCCTCCGCATATAAAGTTGGCAGTTCCTTCTGTCATCTGCATCGCGTGAGTGGATGCAACTGTCTGGATGGGGTTACCTACTGCGAAACCCGTGCCTTCAAGTCTGCCAACTTCTCGCATCATGGCCTATAGGAGAGTTAATATCGATACAATGAATCGGATCGAATTTACCTCTATGCTCATAAACATCCAGAAAAAATTGGCTCGAAAGGCCAAGCTTCCCGCCAATCCTCGGTATAAGCCTCTGAGTCCCTGAGCCCGAAGAACTTGTTTGGCACAATCTATCGGTCCTTTAAATTGTCGATCCGCTTTAAGTGCTTGTTGCTGTAACTGAAGTTTGACTACGAAAGCCTAAGTCACGCTCAACTGTTCAAGCTTTACCCACCTTTTAAAAGTTCGATAGGAGTCGCAACGAATGCGCTGAGGCAGGTTATAGACTGGGTATATTCAGGGTGACGGAACTCACCTCGTCAAGCCTGCACCAAGTCCTGCGAGTCCGTGTCCGAGTATGGTCAACCGAGTCAGAGAGCTAGAAGATGTCGAAGGCTCATTGAAAATTCGGTACTGTCGTAGGTGTAGTCGATAGTTGTGGAGTGAGCCGAGCAGTACTGAATCAATGGCGGCCCATCCGACAGCAGGAGGCGTCGCTCCCTGCGCTTAGTTAGTGACTCCTGCGGGATATTACTGAGTTCAATACTTTGTACAGTGCAAGGGGTCCCTAAAACAGTCAGTCATGCTGTGATCTGTCAGAAATAACTTGCCTCTTTTCGAACAATTTGCAAAAAACAGTCGATTGCACCATTATATTGACCGGGATAAACTTGTATCCTACTCTTGACGGTGTCGAATCTGAATCATCTCATTAGACATTGTGCTTTCAGGTAGAAATGCGCATGAATTACCCATGTCCAACTGCGACCTAGGGAGAGTCAAGCCCTAACGTGACACTTTTGACATGACGAATACCTTTGTGAGACCTAGATAATCCGTCCATTAGACTTGCAACTCCGGTTGACGTGCAAAGCCTCACATGCCTGAACCCATTCCAGCCACTGCGCCCACAATTCTGACATTCGACGTCTTCACAATCGTCTCTTCGACATCCTTGGACATGTGTAGGCCCGGCTCACGGGTATAGTTGGGCGTGGTAGAGGTCCAAAGAGATAGGTTGGACCTTGCGATCGCAGCTGTCAAATTCTCTGATCATCAGCGGCCCGGAAAGGCTTTCCAATCAATCGAAATTGTATCAAACACGCGTACTATGGCCTCTGGGGCCTCCAGCGAACCGATAACTGCTCAGTCATCGCGAACGGCTGATAACACGTCGCACGATGGCAGCCCGGGACGCACTAGTGCAAGTCGGGAAAGGATAGCCAGTATTACAACAGAGACGCGGAACCTAGAACGATCGAAAGATCTCTCTATCAAACGGCCGAGCGCATTGCGTTCGCGTCGAACACCAAGGGGCACAGTTCTGCGATTACGAGAAGAGGATTTAGTACACAGAGACGATGTACTCGAGAATATGAGCGATGTCGGGTCTCTGGTCAAGGATAATACCCAAGATTTGGTCAGCGCAGACGTGTACCCCGAGAGCGAGCCGTCCAACGAAGTTCCATTGCTATCTCTCGTTGTCACAAAGCGAAAAGGCAAAACAAAGGGTGAGCAGGTGCTTTGACAAAAGGCGAACGGTCATTGACGCCAGTCTCGTGATAGCCCTTATGGATGACTACGACCTCGTTTCCAAGCCCGGATCTCGTGCAATCATAACGCTCGACGACGACGACCAGGAATTCTTGGACGAGTGGGCTCCCGACTTTTATGTCGAGGAGGAGGAGCACTATATCTACCCGTCATACTCGGATGTTGTACGAAATGGCATCCAGGAGAAGCAATTACATGTCATGTCATGACGGAGCCCATCTCTTTCACAGGGACACCACCTAGATATACAGATACTTGTACTGATTAGTTGAATATATCCTACGAGACATCTCAGTCGATTTCATTACTTTTAAAGGCGCTTAGGTTATTCTGAAAGGAAAAAAGTCAGTTTAGAGCAATGAGCGCGGACTGTAACGAAGGGATCATATGGTTGAAGACGGTTTCGACATTGATACTTGCAGCTCCTTGAAGGAGCGCAGTTTCAGCGTCTGATTAATATGGTAATCATGCAACTGGAGTGCAGGGAGGAGAGGAAAAACGACAAACCTTTCATCAGTAGGCGCCAGTTGTCGAGTCGCAAGAACAGATTGACCTGTGGTTGAAAGGAATCAGAAAAAGATGACTGATGCCAAAAAAAGTTGATGGATCAGAAATTTGGGTATATGAAGTGGATCATCGACTGCGAATCGCGTCTCCAAGTAGCGATTCTGTGGGTTTTTCTCGTCCTATATTATTTATGAAACACAAACTTACGCGAAAGACCAGATGCAAGCGGGGTGGACCGCTTTGGTTGATTTCAAGGTCCACTTCGACTGTGGCCGTGCAAGGCTTCTAACTAATCACACTCCCATCTTCATTTACAGCGGGGGAAAATTCAGAACTGCCAGGAAGCTTGAAAATAATTTTTGAGAACATTAGGCAATGTTAAAGAATTTATCATGCTTTTTAGGGCCACGTAAAACTGGGAAACGGCATTGGACAGGCACCTTGCGTCGACTTTAAGTTCTGTCGGCGGTAGAGGGAACCACGATTAGACCCACCGGCCGTTTCATTTACGCTCACTTGACGACATCTGCCATTCGATTGTCACTCAAGATGGGATCAGTCACCCTCACTCAGCGCAAGACTTAAAAGCGGTTCTTTTTCGAGGAGCAATCCCCAGAAACGCTCCAGGTGCAGCCATGTCTTACAAAGTTGATGTGCAGACCTATAGTCAGTCCTTATTATTCAGTACACTATGCATAAGATTTCCATTGACACGACCTTCAGCTCCTTCGCATCCTCTCAGCACGCGCAGCTGGCCCACCCTCGTCGACATGAACATAGTCACTGACCAGCCCGTATCTCTCGAGTATCCACTCACCCTTCAAGAGGCGGCGAATATTTCGATACCTTTTCTGTCTTTCAGCCCTGGACAGCAGCCAGCCGTCGGCGGTGGCCTTGGCTACTTTCAAGGCAGCAACATCTCGCCCATAGCTCTGGCCTCTGACAGCATGTGTGACCCTATGTTGAACTATTCTGCTAACTCTTTGACTCCGAGAGGTGCCAGGTCCTCCCAAGCTGGGTACAATGTATCGTTCCTCAGCAATTTACAGGCGTCGGTACCCACCCCTACTGTGTCAACCCTTATCACAAATAGTTTTCAAGAGAATCCTGTCATTTGCTCTTATTGCGGCCGCCGCCATTCTCGGCCAGTCCGCCGTCGAGCCTGCAGCAACAAGCATACCAACCAGTATCCCTTTCCTTGTGGAGGAGCATGTGGAAGTGTAGAGTGGTAAGGACAAGTCGCCATTTCATACATATCTATGACTGATATGCTCTCTCCCAATAGTCCCAAGGCGTTTGCGAGCTCGGAAAGGAGGAAGGTCCATATTCAAGGCCGCTTGCCGTGTGAGAAATGGCAAGTATTCGACTTTATGGAAGAAAACCAATCTCAATATATATTCAGTGGAAAGATGGGTTGGAAAAGGAATGCCTCGCGCCACCGAGCCAGATGTGGCGTCTGATATCAGCCCAGTTGAGGGACCGAGTCCGTTCGATATATGCTCTATGCCTCAATGATGTCCAATAACTGGTTCATTATTCACAATTCTCAGAGAAAATGACTGGATCAGGTTCTAAGTGGCTCATACAATCTCCACACCACTAAAAAACTTGTCGAACGCCGCATCGTCGTCCAAGCTTCCAATCAATCCGTCTCCACGATCATCACCAAAGTCTTCTACGACTTTCACGTCTGAATGCTGCATCTTGACTGGCGAGGAGAGCTGGGCGGTCGACTTGGTTGCGGTCTCTTGAGGTAAATCTCCCATAATATCACCATAGTCCTCGAAGAAGCGTGGATCCAATTCGAAATCAGAGGTACAAGCCTCCTCTTCACCTTGTACGCTCGAGGAAAGAAATAGAGGTTCTCTTTCCTCATCCGCTTGGAAGTTTGCCGAGCTCAGAGTAGTTTCAGGAAGAGAAGTGCGAGGATTTGCGGATGAGTGGATGGGTTTGGAGTCGGATCTGTCAAGATTGATGATACTTTTCGACACCTTGATCCATGACATCTTGCTATCACCATCGTCAACTTTCATCCGTTTCGCATGCCGGGTTCCAGCATCGGAAGGAACATCCCTGGTACGCCTTCCAATAGCAGTTCCCTCCCGAACGCGAGGTAGTGTTGATGGCGAAATGTTGGGGTCAATTCGGGAGATATTCTCCTTCTTGGGGGGTCCGGAATTACAGACAATATTGTCGGGAGTATCAGGTGCATCTCTAGAAGTCTCGAGGTCCAAAACTCTGAGTGCAGGTCTGATCGTCATGCGCGCAAAACCATCGGTTCTGTTCCCAATCCTTGCGTCTTTATACAAATCATCAAGCCCAGTGACCAGGGAAGCGCGTCTCACTAGGGGTCTTTCGATGGCCGTAGATAGATCTGGCCTTTTGCTTGCCTTGTTCCTCTCTTCCACATGTGATCGATTCTGATGCACTTTAGCGGATTCATCTTGACAACTAGTCATGTCAGCCGGAAATTCTGCCCCATTTTGACCGGGAACTTACCAGCGATGTCGGCAAGAAGACTTGTCCTTGCAACGATGACCACAGCTACAAAGATATGAATAGACATTTCAGTATTCGTATGACTAACCTGTTCTGGACTTCGATACCGTGAGGCTTCAGCTCTGTGGTTGCTTTGACCTGACGCCTGGTTCCAGACCTGTCGTCAACCGACTCTGTACGTTCCGTGAGTGGAGCCTGAATGGAAATAAGAGACCGCGAAAGATCGAATTAGGCCGAAATACTGGGTCCGGTTTAATTAGAGGGCGGGTATCTGGTATCGGGAATTGATCTGCCGACAGCTTGGGCTTGTACTCTAGGGAGATTGCGACGCCTGCATACTCATCCTGTTCAAAGGTGAGCACTGAAGTACATAAAAAGCGATCCGTACCGGCGAAACATGCACCTCGACTGATTCAGACGGGTTTTGAAGACTTGCGACAACAGTAAAGAACCTCTCTTCGTTTAGCAATGCTTTGACCCTGGTGACAGTGAGGAAGTAATTAGAGAAGCGAAACAGAGACGCACGAGATCTTGCGATAGTCCACGAGAGTGCCAGAAGATGTCAAAGTAAGCACAGAGGCCCCTCCTAATGTCAACTTTGGTCCCTTGTAGGTGGTTTCCCGGAGATTGGCAGAGCATCCGATTTGAAGTGATAGAAGTACGGGATCGGTGCCGTTCGAAGGAGTGGAATCAAGTTCTTCAAGAGATACCATGCATTGGGGGAAGCGATTCGCAGACTTGATAAGGTCTCTTCCGAACGGAGGCTTGCGGTTGAGCCACTGTCAGCCATCTGCGTGAGAGAACGCACGAAACATGGAATGAGCATTGCATACCGTTTCGATCTGATAGGGCTTTAGGGAGGCAACCTTTTCAATGGTTGTGACACCGTGACTGGCGAGGGCCTGAATCCTGGGCACCGCGTCAGAACTACTCGCTGAGTGGATCATGATGCGAACCCTTTCTCCCCGATTCCCTCCAGCTGGCGCAGAACTGATGTACGGTCCTCCCAACCTTTGGCATTGATACATCTATGGCTAATTTCCCTTAGTCTCATTCGCGTTCGAGATATGAATACGAACAGTTCCAAGCAGAGTTTGAGCAAGGTCCCCGCTTTGCGTGCTATAGCCGACTCCACGAAACATCGAATCAACCGGAGAGCGTGCTTGTATACTTTGGCTGCCTCGAGCGAGAAGGTACAGTCGGGATTCTTGTACTCTGGAGCGTTCAGCGGTATGGTGCCGAGAATGGCCTGATAGAGGTGAGAGCGAGTGGATTATAAGGAATGTACTGACCTGAATCAATATAAAGACCTTTTCAAATGGCTTATTGACTCGCTCCAATGGAAATCGAATGTTCATATGTTGGCAAAGCTTGTTGAGAGCCTGTGGACCTGGTTGGTATTGATGTCATGTGTAGATCAAGCATTACTGATCGCTCTCCTTGCCTCAATTTAACATCTTTGAATCTGTGGGACTCGTTATATGTGGCGACTTTGGTGTAGAATTCTTATTCACTCTGCAGCTTGAGAAAGGGCGAGGAGCTAGGAGTCCTGAATAAGGGCCATCGCGAAGATTGAATAACTCACGATATCCTTCTTGGATGCACTATCCGAAAGCCCCAGCATAAGGCTCATGGAGGCAGGCTTCACGTAGGAGCGCGATGCGAGACTGCCAAACGCCGTCGAGGTAATATGTCCACCGTCCTCCCGCGAGATGAGTTGAATTTTCTCTAAAGTGGTGATTGTTTTCTCTACAAGCATGTCAAAGTAGGACTCCCAGTCCCTAATTGAGCATCCATTTGCGATGCCGTAGTAGGAAGGATTGAGTCGAATGCGCTGAAAAAGAAATGTGCTCTTGAGCCATTTACGTGCCGTTGGAACGTCGGTTATCGCCCCAAGCACAACCTCAGAGTTGATGTGTTCGGCCAAAGAAAGGTGAAGCGACGACTCCAGAATCGTGGACCCGAAGCAGAACTTTTCGAGTCGCTGCTTCTGGTGGTTGTCGCAAAGAACGACGGCCACTCCCTCTCGGTCTTGAATCTATTAACCTCACATCTATATGGATAGATAGATACGAACCAAACTGCGGTCGTCCCTATGGGGAAGGTTTAGCGGAGGTTTGCATACAGGACCAGACTTACAGCTCGACCCATCATTTGGACGATGTCCAAATCAGAGTATTCGTTCATTTTTGAACCATCCCACATCTCTAGCCCTTTGACGATGACTGTATGACAGGGTAGATTGATACCAACGGCAAGAGTGGATGTTGCAACCATGACGGAAAGCTTATTGCTCAAGAATTGCTCCTCGACGAATCGCCGATCTTCAATACTGAGTCCAGCATGATGAATGCCGACTCCAAAAGAGAGCAAATCTGCAGAAGTTTAGGTGACGGCCAGCGTACGCATTGGGGTAATACCTTTGAGATCAGGCTGCGCCACTGACCAGCTTTGCCTGTCGTCGGTTAGATGTATCCCACTCCGAGAGCTAAATGCCGCACCTTGGTTTCTGCCAAGGTGGGGGTTGCCCGTTTTTCATAGCCTGCTTATACGCTTTGACGACTCCCTGTGCCGTGGTTACAACCCCTTTACGTCCATGAGCTCTGCGCATATTGTGTTTTGGAGCAATACCTTTCCGAGTGGCGCAAAAGATGAGCGCCGGCTTGCCTTCAGAGTATTTCCGCAGCATGGGATACACCTTTGCGTCGAGAACGTGTTCAAACTGGAAGTTGTTGAGACCTTGACGAGCATAACTGTGTATATGGCGAATTAGCTTGCATGGACGATATTCATCCCCAAACTGGTACAACACAGTCAAGTTTCGCACAGAATATGACACATTAGACGTACCTTCATGCATAGAGCGTCACTTCTTCGATCTTGTGAGCCAATCCACGCCGCGATTTCATTGCTATTAGGCACAGTGGCTGATACCAGAATGAACCGTGATTGACCACGGACTTTCATCCTTGAAAGGCACACTTCTAGAGTACTACCCCGCTCGTCTCCAAGGATGTGAACCTCGTCAACGCATACACTATAAGGGATGAGCAGATGCGACGTGTACGAGTGAGAGCGCACAGGTTGATGGTGCCGAACATGGATTCATGAATACTCCTACGTCGCCTGAGTCAGCAACTGATACGCTCGAAGAATGGGCTTCAAACCAATTCCGAGAAAGACTGTCAAGCTTTTCGGGCTGGATCTCGTCATTCGAGGGTTCTAGACTACTGACGCGCTCACAGTGGTAATGCTGAAGAAGGTTAGGTTCGCATTATACATTGGATATTTCACCTACATTATCCGAGAGTCTTTGGCGTTCGCCCATGCACCTTTTCCATAGAATACCGTATCGCCCGTAAGCTCACAGCCTAATCGGTGTCAGTCCATGCCGGATGATTGGTTGCTGCGTCCACTAACACTGTACGCCGAGTTTCGAAAACTTGTCGTGCCAGTCCTTGAACTTTTCGTAGCACAATGCCTACAAAATACTGAATAGGCCGTCTTTAGGCACGACACGGGAGCGTACCTTTGTTGGAGCTATATAAATGCACTTGGAATTCGGATTGTTCCCGTTCTTGAGCATGTTGACGATCGCCAACTCGAAGAGGACAGTTTTCCGCTACCAGTGGGTGCGGAAACGACCATATTCTCATGAGAGTCCACAATGTGCGAGAAACAACTGCTCTGGATGGCATTGAAGGCGTTGAACGGAAAGATGGCTCGGTAGGCATCCGCTGAAATAGAAAAATAAATTGAGTGTATATAGATAGCCTGATTCATAGCCTTACGAAGGTCAGACGTAGGTACGAGTTGGATACCTCGGACGTGGGACGGCGCAAGGTTGGCTTGGTTTGAAGGTACGTTAGCCCTGTACGTAAATCGTAGATTGGCGTTACTTGATCCTAATTGAGAGTGATAGCTCGCCTTCTTATGCGTCTTGGTCATCGTGGAGTCTTCGAACTGATTCATGTCTTCGTCCTGAAAATCCGTTGCATGAACACGAGTATTGGATGTATACGACTCATATTGCAAGTCCTCTTGCGGAAAATCGTAGCTTTGCGCGTCATCGCCCATATACCCAACTGGAACGCGGGTCGTTGACCGCGTCGAAGGCGAGAAAACGCGTCGATCAGGTATAATTCATAATTATAAACACCTTATAAGGAACAATATGCGTGATTTGAGAGGGAAAACGCGTACCGCTGCCCGCCTCGACTGCCATCTTATCAAAGCGAGCCCAGTAGTCAGCTTCGTCAGTGCCACTGTAATCCAAATAGTCCCTGTCATAGTAATCCTCGTTTATGCCGTGTTCCAGATTCATTTTACTGGCGGCAGACGACGGAGTCGAGTGGCAAGTATGACAGTGGCGATTCACGTCCTTAGTCCATTCTCAGCACGCAGCAAGCGGTACAATCAGGTTTATATCTTTGATGGTAGATACATGCCGGGTTATGCATGGTATACTATTCTAGAGGTGTAATCGATGCCTTGCAAACTCGTCGGTGTCGTGCCGCATTCTGCTTCCAACCTATCTCGCCGCTATGAATACCGCAGCTGTCAGCAAGCTTTTCCTACGAATGACAAGGAGCTTACCAGTTAGTGCATTTCGCCCTCTTCTCGTCTCGAGGACAGGCATGACGCTGCAGAAGTTCCTTCGTGTAGAATTTTGCGGTACTAAATGGAATTCAATGCGAGTAACGACGCGCCTAACTCATTAGACCAGCTTACCACTCAGGATTGCCGCACGTGCCATGACACTCGAATGGGTAGAATCCAATGGCTTTGTTCTGGCACTCCTGATAGCGCACTGGACGCGAATGAGAGCCGAGGCATGTAGGACATCTGCGTCGTTCTTTTGCTACCTTGTTCAAGCCTTGGCTGCCGGAGGTCTGTCTCATCGGAGCACTTGCTGCGGGCGTTGTTTGTTGCTTTTGAGACTCTGGAGTATGATGCGAAAGGATCGGCTGGGCCGCTTGTAGTCCCGAGGTGTCGCCAAAAGTCGAGAAATTGAATGCCTCAGAGTCGCCGGTTAGCAGGTTGTATGAGTCAATTGTCGGAATGTACTCAAAACCTGGGCTATCGAGGGGGAGGAAGGACTCGTAGGACGGCGGTGGTGGAGGACCTGAGTAAGGTATGAGTTCGAGAGGTTAGCTGTCTGGGTGTATATACCGTAGACGATTCGCAAAGAGGGGTCTTGCTGCGGTAGGAACTGTACTAATACGGGACACTCCATGAAAAGAGCTTGCGAAGAGCTAGGACGCAAAAGCATCGAGTGATTTTATATAGCTCTTGCAAGCAAAAAGTAATACATTGTTGGTTGTACGACGTCCTTCCATAAACAGGTGGCTCCTATCAGTGCACAAAATCTGGACAATGCAATTTAGGCTTTTGTCCCTCTCTTGTCCCAGGAGTGCGGAGGCTATGATACTATTGAATGCTTGAATGGCTGAATGCGAGAGTGCGCTCCATCGCCGTCTGATCGAGTTATTCAATGCTACAGGCTAGCACCATAAGTCGCTCTAAGGGCCGCTTCTATAGCCGAGGGCGAGCTTGGAGGTCCATTGGCAATATCCAGAGACCCTGATCTGGAGGGAGACAGTCATAGCACCCCGTTTCCTCGAGTGACCGACAAGTGCGAGGTAGAGGCAACCGGTTTCAGCGACTAACATACTGCTTCGAGGTTTCCTTCTTGTTTAGGAGTTAGATTCTCATCAATGAAAACTTTGAAAGAAAAATCCTGCTCACCGGCGCACCCACGATCAAGAACCATCATCCTCAACTTCATATCCAACCCATAAAAACTCTGAGCAGCAATCACATCCAACCAAATGGACATCCTTTTCTAACAGAGCCTCCGAGACGACAAAGGCACCTCCACAACGACAAGGATAACTCCATAACGTCCCTTCAGACGTTTCAGATTCGTCGAATTCGTCGAGGGAAACGACATTAGCCGGTCGTGGCTCTGTGCGATGACTTTTCGTCTTGAGAGATTGATCGTATGCGAGTCGTAGCGTTGGGTTTGATAGAGTCTCGTAGGCTTTACGGAGAGCATCTACGTCAGGAAAAAGCGTGGAGTATTGACGAGACTCCTCGTCCTTCTGCACTGAGCGGCCGGTTTGTTTGTCAGGATGGTGGCGAAGTAGCGCCTGGTGATATGCGCGTTTGATTTGCTCTGATGATGCTTGCTTAGAGACCCCAAGAGTTCGTAGTAGCTGACAGTATCCTTCGCCTCCATCTCACTCGACGCGATCAGGTTCAAAGTGGTATATCATAACCGACGACTGACTAGGATGAAGACGTAGGTTTGAGAGCATTTAAATTGCAAGAGGTTACAAAATGAATATATGAATAGTGAAGGATCCAGACTATCCAGATGCGGGATCGCCCTGCATCTGGTCGTCGCCCAGCTCCGCCAAAGCTGCGTCAAACTGATCCCAGATCTCGTCATAGGATACGTCACCTTGTGGGTTTAACGAAGCTATATTGTCTTCCGTCGACCTGGGCATCCGAATGCCGTTCGGAGGAACGTTGGATTCGCAAAGGCCTTGCGCAGATACTGAGCCCCAAGTCTAATGAGATTGAAAGTGTGTACTCACTGTCTTCATAGAGGTCTCCACCGTCTTCGAGCGCAGAGAGTCCGTCATCGTAACGCAATAAGTCGAGAGGGACTGAGAATGAGGACGTTTCGCTATCCTCTTCTTCTAAAGAGCTACCCTCTCCAGAGGAATAGGGCACCCTATCGAATTTCTGATCCTCCGTATTCATCATATACTGCCAGTTGGTCGGGTCCAATGAATCTTCTTCTGCAGTGATCGACGCATTTGCTATGAAACTTGGATGAAGAAGACTGGTGTCCATTGAATCGTCAGAGTCCATAGAATAATGTGATTCCTATTCCAAAGTGAGAATACGGTGTGGATAGTCGAAAAGCTTACCTGGTTTGGATTCGAGGATCCTATCCGGGGAGTAGCAGGTGTGACAGTAACGAAGGGTGTAGTTCGCACGATTGGCCTCCAAAGTTCGTCACCGACAAGCAATATTAATGAGTCATCCGAGCTCGTGTCACCTTGCGAGTGGTCTGAGTCGGGTAAAGGAATGAGTCGCAATTCACTTCCTCCTCCTGCAGTCAAAACTGTAAGTCGTAGTACTCGATTATCGGCTTGCGTCTCCATTTCCGGTGGAGCCCCCGAAAGGCGAGGAGGCGGATCAACACTGTCATTGCTAAGGAACGGGGTGTCGAGTGACTCGAGTAGACTAATGTCGCAAGACCCTCCAGATCGATCCAAACATACATCCAAAAGGTTAGGTTCAGCACACACGCCGTGATAAACCGAGTCGGTCGAGCTGTCTCCGAAATGAAGGTTGGGGTTGCTTTCACTGTCAGAAGCTACCAGAGAAGATTGCCGACTGCTAAAAAATTCTGCAGTGGATAGCTTGCCGTTGTACTCGAACGACTTGGCGCGACGCTCGCAGGTTGCTCGTGGAGGTGACGTTAAGGGTTTCCGCTCGTTTTCGACTGTGGGTTCGACGAGAAAGGGCATTTTCGTTTGCAAAGTCCCTTGTTAATCGTATGGACGTCTCGGATGCTGGAGCTGTTCGAGTGGTGCGATTGGGGTGACGAAACCAACTGCTCAGGGAGGATGGGGGTCGAAAAAGTGAAAGGTTTGTCAGAAAGTTGGGTATGCACGAATCGCGAGGGTATAATTGTCGGGTAGTACAAGTAGACTTTTGGGGACTCGAGCAAGGTGAGAATCGCAGTGGAATCAATCGAATAAGTCAACTGAGATGTCAAAAAGTCGAAAATGACGATGCCTTCAGCACAGTGTAGGAGTAGACTGGGAGTGGCCGACATGTTGCGATCGACGTTGCGCTGGCCACTACATGTTATGCGTTGCAGTTGAGTCTGTATGGCTTTGAGAGGAATGAGAGCGTCTTTCTTGCGGTATGAACCCCTTGGATTGTGGCGTAACACGAACATGATGCTGGAAACTGCGCTAGCCGCACGATGACTGACGGACGGGAGGTCACTTTCTGGTATATACAGCATGTTTACGTGTCGTAGTTGTCTTGTAGCTGTGAGCGAAAGTGGCTTGTCAAGCAGTGAAATTCGTGGCAAGGCTTCAAGCTTTCTTGACCACATAGCACCAGGGGATGGCGCATGCAACAAGCGAGCTGTTCAAATGAAGGGCGACTTGTCCATTTATGGATAAGGGTCGTCGGCACGACAGTCGGCGCCTCTTCACTTCGACATCACCGTTTCGCCACGCATGTCCGTCCGTCTTCCAGTCGAGCTCTGGCAGATCATATTTGACGCTCTTCTGGGGTGTGCATACGCTCTGAGAGCGTGTAGCCTTGTCTGTCATATCTGGAAGGACCTGGCATGGACACGGCTATTCCATACTATCTCCATCCAATATCCAAAATGGGTGGAGCAAGATATTCTACTAAGAACCCATCCCAGAAAGACCGTATGGGCTCGTTCTCGGAGGCAAATAATTGATAGTTGTGATGAGTATATCAGCCCAGCGGACCAGGGATGGGTTCCGATCTTGCAATTCTTCAACTCCAAACTCCAACCCACTCAGTACACCGTCAAAATCAAAATCAATCTTCCTCTGAGCGAGTTTGTTATTGGCCCTCCATTCGGTCTTCTCGTGGCCGGTTCCCCTCGGTTTCCACGCCTTCGTGAGATTCACGTACTTGCGTGGAAACCCTCCCTTCACGCTGCCGGTCCATGGGCGCATTTGAACAACGTAATCTCCCAGGTCACGTCGCTGGAGCTTGTTTCCGTCAATTTTCGGTCGTTCAAAGACTTTATGACACTCCTTGCACATTCACGCTGCACTAAGCTCACAGTGAAGGAAGCGACATGGAAATCTGGGAACAGCACGCACCTGGCACACCGACTTGATCCACCACCAATACAGAGGCTTAGTCTCATCCAAGTAGAGACTTGGGCAATATCCGCATTCTGTCATTGGCTGAACCATTTTCATCGACTGCAAAACATACACGCGATTACACTTGGAGCCCCAAGTTATGGGAAACACTACTTGGAATGTTATGCAGGAGACAACATCCTTCTTCGACGGTGTACTTCACTGCAGTTGTTGGAGATGTATATAAATGATCTCTACTTGCATGAAACCTGTGAGTCTAGATTCATCTCCTCGATGTCGTCGCTAACTTCATTAAAGCGTCATGGGACTATTCATCCTGTTTAGAGCTGCGTGAGGTCACCATAACGGGCTCGTTTACAGGAAACCCCTGTTCAGGCATCCTTCAGATGCTCCGCCGTCTCGCTCGACCTCATCTACTGGAAAGGATCAGCCTTAAATTCGACCTATTGAAATTTATAGGCTTTATTTGGACAGAATACCACGAATTGGATAGCTATCTCATCGACCTGAGCCGCCATGCGTTCAAGTCGCTGGTGCTTCATACATCCCAGCGCCCAAGAAGGTTGCAGCTCGCATTTCCAAAACTCTATTCCGCGGGGAAGCTGAAAATCCAGATGATGGATGCGTATCCCGAGTGACTGTACAACTGATAATGCTCAGTTTCGGGAGATGCTCGTCAATCCACTTTCCGTTGACAATCACAGCATCACGCATTCAGGCATCCTCACCAACTTGTAGTGCAAATATCCCCCACACGTACTGGCGACTCAATTCTATGCAATAGAAGCGTCCTGTACGTGCCAGGGAGAGCCCGACCTCATTAGTGGACTCGTTTCTGGTGCATATAACATATCTATACATCGCAACCATCTCGTCATTGTGAGTGTGTGTTGCGGAGAATCTTGGTTCACCATAGACGACATTGAATCGGTTGGCATATGCTGCAATAGACAGATCACCCAGCATCTTGGAAGAGGCTGCTGTTGTGAACTCGTTTGTCCATCTGTGGCTGCGGGTATAGTTGCACGACAGTCGGCGCTTCTAACTTGGACGCCACCGTGTCGCCAATAATGTCCTCTCACCTTCCGACCGAGCTCTGGGAGATCATCTTTGACGGGCTTCTTGGACAAATTCGCACTCTGAAAGCGTGTAGTCTCGTCTGTCGCTCCTGGAAGTCTCTGGCCTGGAAACGACTATTTCATACTCTTTACTTGCGGTATCCAACATGGGATCAACAAATGGCACCCCCGAAGACTTCCTCCTGGCAGTCTATGTGGGCTCGTTCTCGGAAATGCCTCTCTGACAATGCCAGCGAGGTGGACGAGGGCTGGGCCCCATTGTTGCTATTTTTCAACTCTCCACTACAACCTACTCAGTATACAGTCAGAATCAAGATGGGACTGTACCTGAACGAGTCCGCTGTCGCACCTTCGTTCGACTTCTTCGAAGCCGACTCGTCTCGCTTTCCGAGTTTGCGTGAGATTCATGTCCTCGTGTGTGGATCCACCCATCGATCTGGTTGTTCATGGCTACAGTCGAACAACCTAATCTCCCAGGTCACTCTGCTGGAGCTTGCTCGCATCAACTTTCGCTCCTTCAACGACTTGATGACGCTCCTCGCGAGCTCGCGTTGTACAGAGCTCATAATCAGCGACTCGACATGGAAGTCCCAACCTGACGTTCAATTATCACACCAGCTTCATCCACCGCCAATACACACATTAAGCCTTGCCCGAATAGAAACCTGGGCTATATCCACATTGTGTGATTGGCTCCATCACTTTGACTGTTTGAGAGATATACGTACCCTCAAACTACAAGGACGTACGCCAGAGCATCGCCAAGGAGACGATGTTCTCCTTCAACGATGCACGTCAGTACAGTTTCTCTATGTGTGTATAGGTGACACCTATACGTGTGCCTCAGTCTGTGAGTTTACCATTGTTCGCTTCAAAGATACTGCTAACTTTTGCAAAGCATCTCGGGACTATTCCTCTTGCTTTGCCCTGCGTGAGATTACTTTAACAGAATCTTGCTGGGAAAATCCCTGCGCCGAAATCCTTCGGATGATCCAGAAACTAGCTCGACCTGAGCGTCTAGAAAGGATCAAGCTCGAGCTCATATCTTTGGATCTCGTAGATCTTTCTGGGAATGACCGTGAAAGCCATGAATTAGACGACTATCTCTTCAATCTGAGCCGTCGTGCCTTTAAGTCCCTGGTACTTCACACCTCACGACACGTGCAGCCCGTTTCCATGGATTCGGAGTCTATGGTCTCTCAATTCATGTTCCCCAAGCTGTATTTTGCCGGCAGGCTGGACACTCGAAAGGCGGAACCTACGACACTGCGTGGACGGGGCTATAAGCTCGGCTTTCGAAAAGCTGACGCCTTCTACGTTCAAGGGTCTTCTATCGCTCGCATAGATCTCAAAGGATGAAATATATATGCCCCCAGTTTATGCCCTGAGAACTTGACCTTTCTCGTGGAATTCGGATACAACACGTCTAAGCCTCGCAATCGGCTGGTAGGTCTGAGAATGTCCTTGTCAGACAGTGATAGTGCGGTAATGAATCAAGCTTTGGTAAACTACGGATCCCGTGGCGTCATCAAGCTACAGGTGTTCTGCAAATCCTGGACTGAGAGCCGGCGCTTCTAGCTTAGAACACCACCGTGTCGCCGATAATGTCCTTTCACCTTCCAAACGAGCTCTGGGAGATCATTTTTGACGGGCTTCTTGGACGTAGACGCACCCTGAAAGCGTGTAGCCTCGTCTGTCGCTCCTGGAAAACTCTGGCCTGGAAACGACTATTTCGTATTCTCTACTTGCGATATCCGAAATGGGAGGCCCCCGAGATTCTGCCAAATTCTCGCTCCTGGAACGTTTTGTGGGCTCGTCCTCCAAAACAGACCCCTGCCCCCCGCCGAGCAGGCGAGGGTTGGGCGCCAATGTTGCGATTTTTCAACTCCCCGCTACATCCTACCCAGCATACAACCAAAATCCGCATCGAAATTTTTTTGCATGAGTCTGTAGTTAGCCCGCCATCCGGGATCTTCAAGCCCGGGTCCTCTCGATTTCCTCAGCTACGTGAGATCCACGTTTCAGCATTCAATCTACCTCTCCGAACTGGTGAACCATGGGCATATTTGAACAACATTATCTCCCAGGTCACCACGCTGGAGCTTGCTCATGTCAACTTTCGCTCTTTCGACGACTTTATGGCACTCCTTGCGAGTTCGCGTTGTATCGAACTTATAATGAGCGATTCGACATGGAGGACCGCGACCAACGTTCAATCATCACCACCCCGGCTTCATCCACCACCAATGCACCGGCTAAGTCTTGCTCGAATAGACACCCTGGCTATAACCGCACTGTGTGATTGGCTTGGTCACTTTAATCATCTGCCCAAGATACGAGAGGTCACACTTCGGGGATGTTCCCCAAAGTATCTCGAAGGAAATAGTATCCTTGTTCGTCGATGTGCTTCAGTACAGCGTTTAGAAGTGGATACAAGCAAAGGCCACTTGTCTCAGATAGTCTGTGAGTCGAGTTTCATCTCCTCGAAGCCGCCGCTGACGCTCGCAAAGCATCATTGGACTGTTCATCATGCTTTGCGCTTCGTGAGATCACTATCTCGGGATTTTGTACGAAAAATCATAGCGCAGACATTCTTCAGATGCTCCAGCGACTCCCTCGACCTCAGGTGCTGGAAAGGATCAGGCTCAACTTGAATTTTGAGAAGGTGGTGGACATTTCTTGGACGCACTGCCATGAATTAGACGACTACCTTGCCAATCTAAACCATCATGCCTTTCGGTTGGTGGTTGTCTATACGTCCCGGTATCCTATGCGCAGGCCCGCGGAGTTCGAGCTCATGCTCCGATCCATACTCCCCAAGCTCTATTCCACCGGCAAAATGTACATTCAAATAATGGATCCGTACGACGGAATGGCTAGTCTATAGTCAATTTATGGTCAGTCTCGATCTCGGAGAAAGCTCCTGAACTATAGTTGAAAATCTGACCGTTGTACGTTTATGATTTCTCTATCGCTTCCACTCATACCAGAGGGTGAAATCTATGCAATCGAGGCCTCCACTTTTGCCCCTGGAATCTTTATCTCAGGCTCTCATGGATTCGGATACATACATCATTCTTGAGCGTTGTAATTGTTTCGTAGTTGCTAGCTAGGTTGTTCAATAGCACGGCGAAAGTGGCAGTCAGGCTCAAATTTTGGTTGAGCATAACCCGTAGATTGCATTAAAGAATGGGATGTGCGATAGATGAGCCATTCTGCGCTTGAAAGGGCTCTTGTTGTTGTTGAGGGTTGTCTGTACCGAGTGCCTGGCACAGAGCGAGTTCCCGAATATCAAGCGCTAACCGTGGACGGGTTGTGCTTTCCAGCTTGTCCCCCACCGTGTCGCCAAAAATGTCCACTGACCTGCCTGTCGAACTGTGGGAAATTATATTTGACCAATTTTCGACGTCCAAGTCCACTCTCAAAGCTTGTAGCCTCGTCTGTCGTGCGTGGATGCGCATAGCCTGGAAACGACTATTTCATACGATTTCCTTGCGATATCCGAGATGGAAGCAGCCAAAGGCTCCTCCACTGGTCAGTTCATGGAATTTTCCGTGGGCTCTTTTTCGGAGGCAGACACCGGAGACCTCCCTTGTCGGCGCAGCAGTCCAAGGATGGGCACCAATGCTGTCATTCTTCAATTCTCCGCGACGACCTACTCAATATACCATCGAAATCAAGATCATTCTTCCCCTGAGCGAGTTTGTTGTCGGGCCTCCACCCGCTTTCTTCGTGGCTGGCTCATTTCGATTTCCACGTCTACGGGATGTTCATGTCTACGCGCCTAACAACTATCGTCAAACTGGCGGGTCATGGGCACATCTCCATAACATAATATCCCACGTTACCTCGCTGGAGTTGGATTGCGTCAATTTTCGATCGTTCAACGACTTTATTACACTCCTGGCAAGCTCGCGTTGCACAGAGCTCACAGTTGAAGACGCCACATGGGAGTCTAGGGATATCATTCAGCTATCACACTGGCTTCATCCGCCGCCGATACGGAGGTTGAGTCTCGTCCAAATAGAGATCTGGGCGATAACCGCGTTTTGTGATTGGCTTGACAGATTTAATCGCCTACAGAATATACACACACTCGTTCTCCATGTTTTGGAGTATCCCTCAGAGTGGTGTGAAGGAGATAATGTGCTCCTTCGACGATGTACCGCAATGCGGCGCTTAGAAATGAAAGTAGATGCCTGCTCTTTTGATATCCTCCGTGAGTTATTCTTCGTCCTTTGGATGCTGTGCCTAACTATTGCAAAGCGTCGTGGGACTATTCGTCGTGTTTTGCGCTACGTGAGTTCAGTATAACGAGTTATCTATCCGACAGTATCGCCGTTGCAAGTCCCTGCAAATGCATCTTCGAAATGCTCCAAAGACTTCCCCGACCTCGGACACTGGAAAGTATCGAACTCAACATCGATGACTTGGAACGCGTACATCTTTCTTGGGCCCAGCCACATTGCTGTCAATTAGACGACTATCTCATCGACTTGAGCCATCATGCGCTCAAGTCGGTGGTGGTCTTCCTGTGTCAGTATTCTTTTCCGACTCTTACCACCGCCGTGGATTTGCAGGCCGTATTCCCGAAGCTCTATCACGCTGGCGTAGTGCGAGATGGCCTCTGACCAATAGTGCGTCTTGGAGAAACTCAGAATCATCCTTTATCGTAGCGGTTTAGATCTCTAACCAATTATGCACCACAAATGAAGTGTGGATATATCGGCGCCTTGCATAGTAAATAGTGGTTTCTCTGTCATAGAAGCATTCTTTTTATGCTATAGAGACTTTGCCTCAATGGCATATGAACCTCGCGAAGGTTGGCGCCGCAGCATGACGGTGATTCCACTTGACCACTTCTACCATCTTGATTTTTGAAGACCATCGTTGGCATGGCACGCCAATCATCGCGGTCCTCCTTCGGCGATGCAATTTGGTAAAGGGATGTGTTCGTAGATGACACCTATGCGTCTAGCCCAGTTTGTGAGTCCACATTTGTCTCTTCAAAGACACCACCCACGTTTTCAAAGCACTACTGGACTATTCATCGTGTTCTGCGCTGCGTAAGATCACTGTTTCAGTATTTAGTGGAACAAACCCCAGCAAAGACATCCTTCAGATACGTCGGGAACTCCTTCGCCCTCAGGTGCTACCTCAACTTTGAGTTCCTGGAACTTCAAGGGGTGGTTCGGACTGAATCTAATCAATAGACGACTATGACATCAATCTGAGCCATCATGCGTTCAAGTCGGTTGTGGTCACGACCATCCGACGTCAGGATTTATCGACCTCTATGGAAATACAACACGGATTCCCTAAACTCTATCACGTTGGCAAGTTGGACGTAGTGCGATATGGTGTCTGACCGCTGACAGGTCTCAGGGACTCAGAGCCATGGCAGCGGATACCGCAACTGTCGTGCATCTATACAGGCGTAGTATAGCAAATATATATGTCATAGAAGTTTCCTTATTTCAAGAAACTTTGTCTCTAAATAAGTACTTAACTTCGCGACTTCCACCACCTTGATCTTTGGAGTTACTCGTTGGGACGCTGCGCCAATCATCAAAATTTGTTAGAAAATCATTTGTTCGCAATCTTCGATATTCACGAACGACTGGAGGCCTTCAAATTCAAATAGTTTTTCTCCGAGGCTTCTGTTGGGGACAATGCAGCCGGCATCAGAGACAAAGCACATCAAACTTCTCGAGTATACACTCGGTGGTCGAAATTTTACTCTCCGACAACGCGATGAGCATGGGCAATCCAACGGCACTACCTTGTGGCTCGGTGGACAGGTCTTGTGCTATTACTTGGCTTCCATACTGGAAAAAGAGACGGATACGAGTAATAAGAATGATGGGACAGCGAAGAGGAGACGCGTGATCGAATTAGGGAGCGGCGTCGGGCTCACAGCGTAGGTACTCTTTCAAGAAGGGGGAACTAAATACTGATTCATGCCGCAGACTCGCACTTTATTCGATGGGATGGGATGTTTGCGCGACGGATATCGAGCCTGTGATCTCCACAGTTCTACGACCAAATGTTCTTGCCAATGTGGACATGACAAACATAGGATCCGCCAACGAGGCTACTATCGAGTGCAAAGAGCTCGACTGGAGCGTGCCCCTGAGAGGTGGGCATGGCGTGACCCTCTCCGTGTTACGCAGCGCTCACCTCAAGATTCCAGTCAACCTACAGACTTGGAGAGAGAGATGAATTCTATGGACGGTACTCGACGGCAACTCGGCCCACCGTTTGACCTCATCGTCACGGCGGATACCCTTTACACGCCCTCCCTCGTAGAGCCACTACTACGCAGTCTGCATCACCTAGCGTTGGCTTCAATGCCCTCAAATGAACGCAGTGACAAGACGGGGCCTTCAGGAAAGCTAAAGACGCAGCTCTCTTGCCCAATCTTCGTCGCCGTCGAACGGCGTGATCCGCAGCTTATGGATAGCACGTTCGAGGCGTGTAGTCGTGTCTGGGGATTCAAGATTGAGCGCATACGCTCTATCAAGATACGCAAGTCTCTAGAAAAGGCTGGCCTATCCTGGGAGAGGGATGCAGAGGGGGCGTCAGCTTGGGATGGTGTTGAGATATGGAAGATGCGCCTACCAGGTTCTGCTCTTGGATTATCTTGACGAAACGGATACCTATCCAGAGTGAGTACCAAGCTTGCCTCGAGATTGTCTCTTCAAACATCTCGCAGACGCTCAGAGGAACGAAAACGAGGAAAAAAAGTTTTGGGAGAAACCACTCTCGTGAAACCGCAGGGATCCTCTTGCCGGTCCACCGGCCTTGGGAGATAACAATGGAAAAATGTGAAGCCGCAATGGCTCGTCGGTGGTTGGCCCAATAAAGATTGGCTCAGGTACAAGCGCGGATTATTGTGGTATGTTTCTGGAGTGATTGAGTCGTCGTCGCGGAGGGCAGCCTGCCTGAAGTGGAACATTGGCTCAAGGATGTATGGAGGCGAACAGTGGATCCTATGACGATCCTTTTGACAGTATCCAACGCATGCTCAAACTATCGGACCTGCGCCCGTGCAGTCCCATCCATCTCCTGCTCGCGGGAGTATGTCTTTGAGGATTACGGTGCGAGGGTTGCGTCATCTAGCTCGCAAAATTTGCTCTTTGGCGCCAATTTGTTTTTTCCTGTCCAAGTCAGCTATCGGATTCTGATTGTCTCAGCCTTCAAAGGGGTGTCAAAAACGTGTGGGCGCATCGCTAACATCGGTTGGCGCGTCACAATCCACACTTTTTATTGAGCATTGAACCAACTGCATCTAATAGAGTAGGTTGAATAAGGGCGATGGCCGTGGCTAACTTACTTGGTCGGCCAAGGCAAACGGCCGTCGTACAAAACTGTATAGTTGTCCTGATTCGGCGCGGCAACTTCCAGAACGGAGCGAGAGGTGTGTGGAGTTGAATCGGTCCGTGGTCGACATGAGGCTGAGCTGCCGCCCATTGCGTGCGCCTTTTCATTTTGATTGAATGGCCTGCGCCGAGACAACCCGATCCAAATGAGACTCTGGACGCTGCCAAAAATCGTGAAAAATACAGGAATGTCCGAAAATGCACAAAGTATGTAGAAGATCTGCTTAGTAAACCAAGAATGACTGATTGTAGTGTCTAGAAAGGCTGCGGCGCGGTAGCCGGATTAGCGGGCCCTTGCTTTGTGGCCATGGAAGAGGCGAACAATAAGGCAGCGACGTATTCAAACTGCACCCTATTTGGTCAGGCCATAGGCATTATGGTGATGGATAAGGACAACAATAGCAGGTCGAAAGGACGAGTATAAAACTAGGCCCAAGTTCCGACCATCGAACCTCATTCAGTCGTCGCTGTCTCGTCCCCCAGTCTCCTCTCTTACGACCAAAACCTCGTTCACGACCTCCGACTCCGCTCTAACACTCTTCCTCCTCCTCTTTACGACAAAGCCTCCTCTTTTACGACAACCCGCCACCAACTCATTTCTAACGAAAATGCCATCTGTCTCTCCTGCCACCATCCGCCTCCCTGATATCCTCGGTGCTATGGACCGCTTTGAGCTCCGCACTCACCCCGATGAGCGCGAAGTCACCCGTGCCTCGAACGAGTGGTTCAACAGGTTTGTTTGCTTCTGAAATCCCAGAGTTGTGGCTCACCACCACGCAGCTACAACATGATGCCCCCGGCACTCTTTGAAAAGTTTGTCAAGTGCGATTTCGGCCTCATGACCGGCATGTCGTACCCAGATACCGATGCTACCCGCCTCCGTATCACTTGCGACTACATGTCGATCCTCTTCGCCTATGACGACCTCATGGACCTCCCCTCGTCCGACCTTATGCATGACAAGATTGCCTCGGACAAGGCTGCCAAGATCATGATGGGTGTCCTCACCCACCCCCACAAGTTCCGCCCATATGCTGGCCTCCCAGTCGCCACTGCTTTCCATGAGTACGTCCAAGCTCGTGTCTCCAAGACTCTGTTCTGACTCTTGTTTAGCTTCTGGACCCGCTTCTGCGCTACTTCGACCCCAAAGATGCAAAAGCGCTTCACTGACACCACCTACGAGTATGTCATGGCCGTCAAGAACCAGTGCGGCAACCGCCAGAGCTCTCGCTGCCCAACCATCGAGGAGTACGTCGCTCTCCGCCGCGACACCTCGGCCATCAAGGTCACCTATGCTTGCATCGAGTACTGCCTCAACATCGACGTCCCAGACGAGGCCTTCTACCACCCCTCCGTGGCTGCTCTCCAGGAGGCTGGCAATGATATCCTCTCGTGGGCCAACGATGTTTACTCGTTTGACAACGAGCAATCCTCGGGTGACTGCCACAACCTCGTTGCCATTGTTGCCATCAACAAGAACATTACTGTTCAGGCTGCAATGGAGTACGTCATGGGCATGATCGACTCTGCTATCGAACGCTTCTTCGAGGAGTGCGCCAACGTCCCTTCGTTCGGCCCCGAAGTCGACCCTCTCGTCCAGGCCTACATCAAGGGTGTCGAGCTCTACCTTAGGTTCGTCTGCACAACTCTAGCCTCGACTCCAAAGCTAACTTTCTTTCAGCGGCTCCGTCTTCTGGCACCTCGAATCCGAGCGCTACTTTGGTGCTCGCGTCCAGCACGTCAAGGATACCTTGATGGTTGAGCTCCGCCCACTCGACGAGGGTGCGAAGCCGGCCTTCGACCTCATGTACAAGCTCCCATCCAACTTGACGCCCGAGGTCCTCAGTGCCGCTGCTGTCTCGGCTGCCCCAGCTGCGCCAGCTCCTGTCGCTTCTCCGGCTCCTCAGCCAGAGATCCTCTCGCCGACGCCAATCTCGCCCATCAACGTCAACTTCCCTCTCGGCAACGTCGCCTGCCCGCCTCCTTCGTACGAGACCCAGCGCGTTCTCGCCAAGATGGTGGCCGCGACCGTCGAGGAGAAGCAGCGCCTTGCTTACAGCCAGCCAGCTGAGCAGTACTACTCGCCCGCTCCCCAGTACTACCCAAGCCAGCCGGTTGAAAAGTTCCAGCAGACCAACGTGCTCGAGACCGCCTTCAAGGGATCCAACTCGGAATTGACCAACATTCTCGTTATTGCCTCCGTCCTCATGGCCGGATCACCCATGGCGCTTGTCCCCTTTGTCCCTCTCCTCGCCCTCCTACTCCTCCCCAACGAGACCCCAGTGGCTCCCGTTGCGTGAACGACCTTTTTACGACTGATGACGACGACAACAACTCTAACCCGACGACACTGATATCTCTCTCACCCACACGCTACACGCACACCTTGTTTACGACCTCTAACGACCTCTTGCTCTGTTCTCGCGCGCTCAGAGCCACGACCACACACCAACTATCACCGTTCATTCACCGTCTCTATGGATTCGGAATTTCGACTCGGTGTCTCTCTCATGGTACAAATCCACCCTCAATCACTCCTGTGTAGCAAGTTTTGAACACCTTTTTTTCCAGTTTCGTTCTTTCATTCGACCCTCATCAACGGATTCTTACTCTCTCCTCTACAGCCACGAAAGCCCCTTCCGCCACCGTGACTTATTCTTTTTTACATTTTGATACTTTTCAAACGTCGCGACATTCTTCTTTCATTCTTCTTTTTCATTCACCTTTTCATCCTCACTGTGTCTATAGTCTCGGTCTGATTGGACTGCTTGGGAGCGTCGGGCTGTCGCACCTTGCCGTTTCTCTTCATGACCCTGTAGCTAGTGTACTCATTGGAATCACATTGCTGGTTTCCAATAACTTTCTCGACCCTTGAGACCTTAAGACTTGAGTATATCTCGGACGGGCTCGTCTTTATAAAGTCTCGTATGACATAAGCACTGGGTGCGTCTGCTGCTGCACTATGGGTGTTTAGGAGAGCCCCTATACGTGAATGACTCCCAAGTGGTGAGTCAAACTTGACCGCATCCACATCTCTCGTGAGAGAGGCAACTGTGGCTCCGCAAGCATGAGTCGCACACCTTTATCAATAGAAACACTTCTCCAGAAACAAAAGGAGGAAAAGGAGGCTGCTTCAAAGGTCGGCGCTCCTTCTTTGCGTATCTGGAGTATACTGACTTATTGCTGCTCCTTTAACGTGACATAAAATCGTGCTTTATAATACCGCGATTCATGTTCACGATCCTTGGTACATACACGACCTCAGCCCAAGTTTCTGACTAAAGAGGAACGAGCCGCGCTCGCGATAGAGCGAAGAAAGAAGGAAATTCAAGAGGAAAAGGAGAAAGCCGAAAGATTAAAGGCTCAACGTGAAGCGCTCGAGAGTTCTGCCGCTCTTGCAAGCGACGACACCCGCAACGAGGCAGAAGATTTCCGTGCAAACAGCAGAGCACGAGAGAGAGATCGAAGGGACTATGACGGAAGAGGTTCTCGAAGTTTGTTGTTCACCTTTTCTCCATCTCTCTTGCTGATTATTTCTCTTAGATGATGATAGACGGAAAGATCCGCGCGATGACCGGTCTTCAAGGCCATTACCGACTGGTCCACGTGCTGACAGAAGCAAGAATCCTCCAAATTTCACTCGCTCGGGAGATATGGGTCCACCTCCTGTTCCCTCAAAGCGGGACCGTCTACAGGCGATGCGTCAGCCGATGATGGAACTAACATGACATCGAGCGAGCTAGACGCAATTCGATCACGCTACCTAGGTGTTGACAAGAAGAAAAAACCCGTCCGAAAGATGACGGATCGAAAGTTTGTCTTTGCGTGGTCGGCGCAGGACGATACATTTGCTATGGACTCTCCAGCGGCAATCGGTAGTCAACGACAAGGGGCTGCGGTCATGTTTGGTCGAGGACATCTTGCTGGGATGGAGAACACGTACACACCCTCGTATCCTCTGCCAGGCCGGGATGGTCAAGATTCGTCCACTACACTCGACTTGACACCTGCTGGAAGACGAAAGGCGCCCGTCGATGAGCGGCATTGGAGTGAGAAGCCGCTTAGCGAGATGAAGGATAGGGACTGGAGAATCTTAAAGGCCGACTTTAGTATTTCGGCAAGAGGTGAATCACTCACAACTGGAGAAATGTATCTGCTCACGTTTGATAGGTGGAAACATTCCTTATCCATTGCGAAGCTGGGACGAATCTTCCATCCCACCACAAATATTGGATGTAATTGCACGTATTGGCTATGAGCAACCAACGCCTATCCAACGACAAGCTATCCCTATCGGTTTGCAGAACCGTGATTTGATTGGTATTGCCGAAACTGGTTCCGGCAAGACGGCGGCGTTTGTGATTCCTATGCTCACATACATCGGCCAACTGCCCCCCTTGACGGATGAAAACAGGCATTTGGGACCGTATGCCCTCATTCTCGCACCTACTCGAGAACTCGCGCAACAAATTGAGGCGGAGACAAAGAAACTGGCTAGTCCATTGGGGTACAAATGTGTCTCCATCGTTGGTGGTGTACGTCCATTATTTCTCCCCCGCGTATGTTTGCTGAGTCGATTCATAGCGTGCTGTTGAAGAGCAAGCTTACAACCTGCGCGAAGGTGCAGAGATCATCATCGCAACACCCGGTCGTCTCAAGGATGTAATCGACCGACACGTAGTTGTGCTTTCACAATGCACATACGTCGTCATGGACGAAGCCGATCGAATGGTCCATCTCGGTTTCGAGGCGGACCTGACGTTTATCCTTGATGCGCTCCCGACGGACCTGCTCAAGGGTGAAAATGCGATGGAAGTGGATGGGATGACTGCAAACTCAAAGGCAAGAACACGAGTGACGACCCTGTTCTCAGCCACTATGCCACCTGCAGTTGAACGGTTGGCGCGACAATACCTGAAAAAGGCAGCAACAATCGCGATTGGAGAAGTAGGACGTGCTGTGGAGACTGTGGAACAGCGCGTCGAGTTTGTCGGAAGCGAAGAAAAGAAGAAGCAGCGACTCATCGACATTCTAAACAACGAGGGCTTCCCCGCCCCCATCATTGTCTTCGTCAACCAGAAAAAGACGGCTGATATGGTCGCCAAAGATCTCCAACGAGCTCGCGTACGTCTAGTATACGATCTGCTTCTTATTATTATTGACTTTGAGCTAGTGGAGTGCATCTACGCTTCATTCAGGCAAATCCCAAGAGCAGCGTGAGGCTGCACTTCAGCAATTGCGCAATGGAGAGGTCGACGTTTTGGTTGCAACAGACCTTGCGGGGCGTGGTATCGATGTACCAAACGTGTCGCTGGTCATCAACTTCCAGATGTCCAACACAATCGAGGCATATATCCATCGTATTGGTTAGTTGCCCGCTTCCCATAGGAATTCTGTCTGACTTGTTCCAGGGCGAACCGGACGTGCCGGCAAGAATGGTGTCGCCATCACCTTCCTTACAAATGATGATGATGAGGTCATGTATGATCTTAAACAAGGTCCGTTTCGTCTACGAGTATGGCCTCCATCTGACACCCTAGCAGAGATTAAGAAGAGTCCGATCAGCAAAGTGCCTCCAGAGCTCGAGAGGCACGAAGCAGCACAGCAGAAAATTACCAAGGAGATGAAGAGGAAGCGCGACGAGGATCAAGGATGAGTGACTGTAGCTGGTTTTATAACTTTGTACCGCTCCATTCTATGGACGAGTTTATTTTCCCAAAGCGGGCCAAGAAGAATCGAAAGAAAGCGAGTTTGGTTACCTCTTTGACATTCAGGGACAAGTTTGAACGTGAATTGGCTTCGCTCTTGGAAGATTCGGTGTGGTTAGGGACGATCATAGGTTGGATCCCTGCTCATTTGCATACATAAGCTCAATCAGATAAACAGAAACCATTCAAAATGCTATAGAAAGTCGAGATTGGGAGGAGTCACCATCCATTTTGTGCTTAGGTCTTGGATCTCCCTCGGTGTCTCGTGCCTCGAGGATGCAGTTGTCTCTGCTTCATGAGATTTGCAATCGATTAAATATGGTATGTCGGCTCTGAACACATTCGTCTGCTCACTTTACAGCCATCCTCAGCAGTTTCCCTATATGAGCCAGTCTTCACCCCTGACGATATCACCGGCCTGCAGCAACTAGGCTTTGAAGCAAAAGGGGATGAAGAAGCGAGGGTGCGTCGATTGTATATTCCGAGACTCCTGATAATAGTCGACAGTCGGCGATCCATATTCTTTCCTCACCGACAATACTCTTTATGCCTCACTGCGATGCCGAGCTGTATCAATCAATACTACAACTTAATCAGGAGGGCATAAACCGGCTGATTTTTGTGGGAAACCAACTGGAGGACTACTTGCTCCAGTACGACACGAGTCGATTGGAGGAGAATTACCCAACACTGAAGAGCATAGGTACGTCGGTCCCCCGTAAGCAGCGGATCTAACTTGCGGAGCAGTCTCTTGCAGCGCATGGCGCAGTTATCCTTTCACTCCGGCTTCGTGCGACGACAAGGCTTTCGTGGCACTAGCTACCCAATACCATGTTAACGATGAAGGATCGTTGTGTACATGTCTTCCAAATAGACGATGTGTCTAATCTATCTCGTGAGCATACCGTTGCTCCACGGTTTTTGCACGGTCTATTAAACTCTTTATCTCGCTCCATTCCTGAGACATTCGTTATTAGACTTAGGTACAAGAGCGTGAAGACTCACGTTGGTAATGAATCCACGTTGATCCAATCTTGCCACAATATTGTCTGGGTCATCAGTATCGATAAGTTTCTTGACCTTCTTCTTCTCGCGCTTTCTCCTGTTTGATGTCTCCATCTCTATGACCTTCTCTTCAATGATACGGAATAGTCTCAGCTCCCAATGCATAAACGCATGGTATAGAGATACACGTCTCGCACAGTGTTGTCCAAGAGTGAAGGAGAGGGGTGGAGTCCCATCTTCCTAAGAATTTTCAATGAATGTCGACAGCAAACCGATTACCTACGTCTGATTCTGGAAGGGTACGTTGTTTTGACGAAGAGCGCGACTCCACGGAGTCACCATCACTCTCAGAGTCATCACTATCGGATGGTGAGGCATCTTCAACTTCCTTATGGTGGAAGTCAGCTTGAACAAGAGAGGCTCGACTACAAACCTCGAAACTGCTTCGGTCATAAGGCTTCCCACTGAGCACCGCACGTCGCGTGGATAGGGCTTTGTGTCGACGGCAAGCGTCACAGTACGGTTCAGCCTCCATGATTGTGATCTCGAGTTTGGGATATTTGCCCAGAGCTGTCCGGAACTCTGTGGTCCAGAGTGACGAGGCCACCTAATGGATGATTAGATCGACTTTATATTACGCTCATGACGCACTTGGCTGTCTCGAATGGAGGATAGCTGTCTACGGACATGACCAACGGCTTGCTTTAGATACTCCGTGGTGTCGTCTTGTCCTGGAACTAAGTGAGTGAATTTGCTTTAAACATGCGATTAAGCGCACGTGAAAGGCGCTCTTTCATGTATGCTGCACGTAAATGCGCCGGCTGACATGCAACATGTACCAGTAGCTGAAAGAAGATTTTGAAAGACCCAGAAAGTGGTTGCCACTTTCGGATGGAGTACTCTGCAGGGAGATTGACGGTCTCGCCTTCTTCATTCGAATCGTCGACGATAAAATCTTCTTCTTCGTCATCATTCTCTGCCTCGCTAGAGTCAGAGGTGGCTCCCATCCTCCTTGAACCTGGAATAGGTTTGACTTCGTCACTCTCCTCAGCAGAGCTTTCGTCCGACTCGTCGTCCGGTTTGAGGGCGAGGCGTTTCTCTGAGGGTCAAGTCATTAGAAGTCGTTAGAACAAGGCCTAGCGTACGCCGGAGGCGCTTCAAGTTCTTGGAATATTCTGATGGTTTTGGGGGTTTGCGAAGCCGAGATTCCAAAACGACTGGGAAGTCTGATAAGTGACTGTATTGATATTGAGCATAGCCTTACCATCCTGGTCGAGCTCATGAAGCATGTCTTCTTCGTCCTCCGTAGGCCTCAATCCGCGTTTCAAGATTCTGCGCCTCTTGGGTTGACCCTCGTCAGAGTCTTCCGATACAGCATATTTTCTCTTGGAAGGGAGCCTATTGAGAGGAGTATGTTCGTCGCTATCTGACCCCTCGACATCTTGTACGACTTGCGTGGCGGCTCGCTGCCTCAGTCGCCTCGAATGCGGAGTTTGTTCCACAAGAGAATCTTCGTCTTCACTGTCATCGCTGATGTGTATGATCGTTTGTGAGCTTGGTGCGAGTTCAATTCGTCCAACGTCTGAGTTGTCATCCGAATCATTAATCTGAATGGCCAATAATTCGTCGCTAGATTTTCGCTTTCTAATGTCTTCGTTCTGAATCTTGACAGGGGAACTCGAACTAGCAAAGAAGTCGTCCACTTTGCTTTGTCGCTTGGATAAAGGCATCGCGTGGAGGAGTCCAAAGTAGGTGAAAACAACTAAGGTTACAAATGAGATGGGAATTAAGGTCCACAGTAGCTGATGCAAATGCAGTTTCAGTCATCATCCTCTGGAGGTGGAGCCTCTAGTTTCCGCCGCTTTCGCTCTAGATACCGCTCGCGAGCACTCATAACCGCCTCGTCGTCATTCTTCCTCTTGACTGCCCTCTGGCGTGCTTCCTCCTCTTCACGCTCCCGTTCCCGTACACGCCTCTCCTCTTCTTCAGCAAGCTGGTCCTCCACCTCCTTTCGTCGCCGGGCGTCTATTTCTCTACGACTGGCCGCAGCTCCCACGGCTGTATGGGCATTGACAGGGGTATCCTTTTGCTGCTCTTTACTCCTTCGGTAAGCTGCAAGATCCCGCGTGTTTTTACCACCAAGATTGAGGCCTGCAGATAATAGCTCCCGCTTGTCGACAATCTGATTGTCGTCGTTGAGCTCAACCTGTTTTCCTTCTGCGAGAGCAAGTCTTGCCCGTTCAACATCAGTCAAATCTTTCGGTTCAGTTGGAGGTTTAATGGCAAGGTTGACAGATTCGGGAGGCATTGTAGGCCCAATAATAGACTTTGATGCAGACAAGATCGCATTGTGCTTCTCTTCTGATTGCTTGAGCAGACTGGCGTAGAAATGAGTCATCCCTGGCCCGCTCTTGCCCTTTTGTTTCTTTTCTTGTTCTAAAGAGGGTAAGGATTGTATCAACGAAAATATATCGACATACCTTCCCGCAATTTTTCCTCCTCTTCGGCCTTTCTATTCGCTGCGAGCTGATCTTTATATGCCTGGGTTACAAACTTTGCCTTGCCCACAAACTCGTCTCCTTCTAGCTCTCTCTCCCTTTGAATGAGCTTTTCCTCGGCTATGAGATGGTCGCGCTTTCTCTGGTCCGCCGCCTGGAGGAGATTGCCAATGTATTTAGGCTAAGGCAGAGAGTCAGGCAACGAAAGGTATAGGATAGTGTATATCTTTACCTGCCTCGTCTTGGCTTCCTCTTCCTTTGCAGCTTGATTAATTCTCTCAGCCTCTTTGAGATTATCGTAAACCTCGTCATATAGGTAGACAGTCGCGTCTACCTTTTTCTGCTGCTCCATCTCTCGCTTCATTGCTTTGGTTATTGTGCCCTGCTTCGGGACCATGGACAATGGAGCACTAGACTTGTCCGGTCTCGACAATTTTGGCGCCAGAGGCTCTTCATCGCCGTCAAACGATCCAAATGCAGAAGTCTGAGGGGCAACTGGAGGCACCGGTTTAGGTTTTGGTTTTGCCTTGAGAGAGAATGAAACTTTGGCGGGCGTGGTGGACTCCATGTTTGTTCCGCACTTTCTGCCCACCATGTCGGCTTCTCAAAACTATGACGGGCCTAGGACTCCTCATGGGCAATCTCAAATGAGACAACAAGGTGGTTCTTGGCCTCAGTTCTACCCAAATGCTGCGCTTGCCGCCCAGGCAACCGCCAACTATCTTGCCATGCGTCAAGGGCAAGGACCCGCCTCAAGCAAAGCGGCTGGCGGCCAAGTAGAGGATATTTCACAAGATAATAGAAGCGCTAGTGATGCAAGACTCGGTAAAAAACCCCCACCGACACTCAAGGGCCTCTTCACAAAAGACCGTACGCATGCAGTTTCAGATTAAGGTCAAATCTCACTTCGGATTCAAGTAAAAGAGATCATGTACGGGTTGGGGGATGAAGCGCCAGCCGCAGACACAGTTGCGCTCATGGACGACATTCTTGTAGAGTATTTACATGACTTGGTGAGTTCATGACATTTCTCTGGAGGGGTAAGGTTCTTATCATTTGTAGATCACAACAGCCGGACAAGGTGGGAAAACGATTCAGACAGAGGACCTGAGAAGAACATTGCAAGGACCAGGGGACGAAAGAAAGCTTGCACGCCTCGAGGAGCTCATTGTATTGCAAATCGAGATAAAAAAGGCTCGTGCAATCAATGGCCTGGAAACCGCTGGTCGCAATCTGGGAGAATAATATTATTCTTCCATCACATTCTCTCCCTCGTCCGCTGACGCCGTATTTGCTGCTTTCGCATTGATCCCTCCACTCTCTGCCAACGGTTTGGTGTATGTGCGTAGCCATTCCTCGGTCTCCCAAACTATATAACAGGGAAAGATTAGTCTGACGAGGAAAGAGGAGGCCATACGTACTTGCACGGTTCCCGGCTCCTTGCACTGGCGCGCGCTGAGGTTTGGCCATGCTGACCTTGAGCACCTTTCCCCTCAGTTCATTCATGTCCATATTATCTATCGCATCCTGTGCCTGTAGCGCCCGTCTTAGATATAATTGAGCTAAAACGACATACTCACGTCTGCTGGTGTTCCAAATGTAACAAACGCGAATCCTCTATGCTTTCCGTCTACCAGGGATTGTGAGATTGTCATTGTCGCACGCAGAAAACCTGCCTTCTGCAGGTAAATCGCCATGAGTACCGGGCGCTGGTGGAATTTGAATCTCCATGATATCTCCTGCAAACGTCTTCATCTGAGTGCCAATTTCGAGGTTGCACAAGGGGTGAACGGCTCCGCAGACATACCAAATGGCGAAAATGTCTGCAAGAGAACAGCCTCATCGACTCCTTGGGCTATTCCACCGATAAATATAGTGGATTTCGCCTTTGTCGCGTCTATGTCCGCCATGGCTCGTAGCGGTTAGGTCCAAAATTCAATCCGACTTGATCTCCACCACGGCTGGCCCATATTTCAGGTAGACATCGGCCCAAGATTTCTGCCGTCTCTATGCAGCGACAAGAATATGATACAACATACTATACCTCGGACGAGCGATATGAAACCCGGCAGCACCTAGACAATGACCCTCCCGTGCTTTATCAGGAGCCCATATCTACTGTCGCATCGAAAAATGCACCAGGTACATCCCGCAACCCAGCGGCTACAGAAAAGCTGCGCCTTGAACTTGTCAAGCTACTCAAAGTTGCGATTCAGCGCCTCAAGAACCGCCCCTACCCACCTTCCGCCTTTGAACCGACGGCATTGGTCACTGGATCTCATCCAACTCCTGATCTACACGCTACGGCCAATGCTGTGAGAGGGGCCGTCCGACTTGCGAATGCAGGAGCCGAATGGAAACAGGACACGGATCACGACGATGATGAAGACGAAGTTGCTCTCAACCAGAAGTATTCTACGGAGGAGACGTTTAACCATTTGACGTCTGTTCGAGACAGTCTCATACTCAGTGGCGACAAGCTTTTTGGTTCAACGTGGGTGGTATATCTATTGATTCCTTTGCAACTAATGTCTTCAGATAGACAATCAGAGTCTCATTTACAAACAAATCCCTTGGTCACTCGATCGCCATCACCCAACAGGAAAGGCCGTGTTCATTCATCCTACGAAGACGAGGAGAGCGTGACTCCAGCAAGTCTCCTCGATGAACTCATCGTCACTCTTGGGGACGTTGTCCGCGAAGACTGCCGCTATCAAGTGACGCGCTATCGACCCAAGTGCCCTCCAAATGCTCTGCAGGGTGTCGTTCTAGAGGTCGCCTCAGTGATAGCAAGACTACATAGAAACAATCCAGAGGTTCTTTCCAAGCTGGGATTTGCTATCTTACCAGCCTTCTCCACATTCTCACCTCGAATGCATGAGAGGATCATGCGCTTTTTCGAAGAGGATCTGATGAATCATATGCTTTATATGTATGAAATATCCAGAAGGTCTCAAGGGAGCGAAGAAGCTGGTCAGTACCTGCTTAACGGTTGAGATTATCTTGTACTGACAATCCTTTCAGAACCCCTTGCACAACAATCGAGAAGTGGACAGGTTCCTGAGATTCAAGTGGAGAGAGTGCTAGAAGACTCTCTGGCGGATAGAGACCTTCCCTTCCAGCCTTGGAGCTCGAATCGGAGCAAAGTCTCTGGCATAGCATGGTCTGCCCCAAGGCAAGCTTTGCAGAGCTACAACCTCGCAGCTCTGGTGTCCCCACTTTTTGCTGCTCTTTTCGAGGCCATCCGTCTCAACTCAAGAGATCTGACGACTCTTCATCGATTTCATTCCATCCTCAGGACAATAATTCGGCTGAAGAAAGACGCATACGCCGACATCGTTGATGTCATAGCGTTTGCGCCGTCGAGTAGTCGCCTCATCGCTGTGGAGGCGCTGGCTACATTCTGGCCAAAAGCGTTCGGCCACACAATTTTCTCTCGCCCTCTATCCGTACTCAGCTATGAGTCTCAAATATCGACATTTGTGCCGGTGGTCCAGCCAACAACTGGCCTATCAGAACTCCATGAGTTCCTCCTTTGGAGGTTCAAAGCCCCTATCACTTCAAATAGACAAGCAGCGCGTCCACAAGCAGGGCACGCGGCTATTTGCATCGTGTGCAATAAATCCATTGTTGGACTAGGGCTGATGTGCCCGTGTTGCAATACAACGGTGCATGCTCGAAGCTGCTACGATCACAATGGTGGTGTAGACAAGCTGAAGTACATATCAAAGGAGGATAAGAGCCAGAAATACGCCATCATTAGGTACTCTCAGTGCTCGCCAAAACGCCTTGATGTGCCATTAGAGGAGTTCTGTCAGGATCGCCACCAATTTCGGCCTGTTCATCTCCTCTCGTTGGTCCTCTGCTTCATCTGCAGGCGACCTTTATGGGGATGCTACAGTCAAGGGCTGCGCTGCTCCTCCTGTCTCCACTTTGCTCATGGGCGATGCATCCAGAACGCTCGCAACTTCCCCAGCTGCCGAACCATACCCTTTTCACAGAAACACGTCACCATCGCTCACGATGCTCTTAAGCGATCGTGGGTTGAGCACTACGACTCACTGATGTGGTCGGAGATGGAACTCTTTGATCGCTCTTATGAAGATGTTTCGACCGCCTATGGAATCTTCTGGATGGAGTTGGAACTGCTCAATGCAGGAATCGCTGCTGGGACGATTGTCATAGAACACCCTACCGCATACGCTCCTTCAAATCGGGGGAAAGTAGACGAATTCGAACTCCATTACTATGTGGCCCTATACGGAGCACAGCTATCGGGATCCCGACTAGCCAGGTCGAACAGCACTCTCGAATATATCGAAAATTGTGGTCAATTGGACTCTGATATCTCGCTATTGCACGATGTACCTCTACTTCTCATGGCCGCGTCGTCCGTAAAGTTGCCTCAATCCCAAGGTAGTGGAGACAATCGACTCCTCCGAGTGGACACGGCCGAAGAGAATCCACCGAGCGAGCTCGAACATCCCTTCGAATTTGTTTCATTGGCTCATATCCGTGATGCTCTAGGATATGACATTAATATCCACTCCGATACGACTGCTCGTTTCCTCTTATCACATATGACTCGGTTGGGGCTCATATATCGCTTGGACTCCACACCACTCGACATTTTTACAAGAGATGATCTTCATCCCTCAGAGATCTACTCCTTTCCTAGCACACTGGCGATTGATGCTTCAACCTCTGTCGAGGCATTATTCGCTTCAATTCAAGCCTGTCTGGAAGATCTCGACGTCTCTATCAATGAATTTGGACTTTCACTTCTTACACGTAGATGTTGGCCAACTGGTATGATGACCGACTATGCACTCGCGCGGCTTACGAACATGGTCCTATCGTGGGTCCTCAGCGAGGTAAGGAATCCTTTCCTGTATATGGTGTACTGACGTCTCTGAAGGAAAATCGCCTGCTTCTCGTGATAAGAGATTTTGGTTCACTAAGAGAGCAACTACCAGGGGTTCGCTCAGAGGGACAACGTCTTCCATGGCCGGAGCCAATCCCATCCAAGTCGGGTTCATCAGGAAGTGGAGCGATTGAGTACACGTCAACACGACGCGCCCTCTTGTTACGTTACGCCATGCCATGGCTTCTTCAAGTCCACGATCTCCAACGTCAACTCTACGCCCAATGCCTTTATCAGCAGTGTTTACAACTCGCGGACTCGTCGACGTCTGGCATCTCACAGCTTCCAGAGCACGATCACTCAGACGGAGAACTCTGTTCAGTAAGACGCTACTTACCTTAAAAGTGGGCAATTGATCACACAGTCTCTAGCAAGAGATCAAGGTTGCGGACGAAACTCTCAAACTAATCGTTAAATTGTGTCAAACAGGCATCGTGTGGACAACATTCGACGATTTATTTGTCAATTGGCTCGATACCATGTCTCGATTGAGTCGCTTTGCCACAGTAAGTTGGTTGAACTGTGTAGCCATTTTGCTAATCTTACATAGCCTGTCGTTTTCAAATACTTGCCTCGCTTGTTTAGTAGTGAGGACTTGTCATATCGGAGGTCCATTGCCGACGACGGAATGGATGAAGACGTAGCACGGTACATGATGGATCCTTGGAGAGTAATTGTCGATGCAGCATCCGACGACACCGCTGGCCTAGAGCGTTGTCTCCAATGGGTGCTCGTTCTAGCTAGGTCTGGTGTGGAAATCCCAAACAATACCCTGATGCAGCTCGCTGCATTTGCCAGAGATTTCCATGCCCCATTTCTCACTCACTCGATCCTCATGGAGGCGCTCCTGTATTCCGTTTGGGTCAAGTCTATGGGCCGCTCGGACTTACTCGACATGATTTATGCAGTATTTAGTCGACAATCCACCAATCTCAGAAACGGCATAGTCCTCAAGCAGCATATGGAAATAATGTCTGTCATCCTTGTCTTTTGGAAACTTCGCTCATCGAATTGCTTAGGCACAATTTCCTTCGGCACAGCTTGACATCATGCCTGCTGTTGTATGGGTGTAGACGGGACACCATACGAAGCTTAAAGTTACTCGACGAGTCACAAATGATTTCGCTGCCTCCTAGGTATGGCTTTTCGAGTGTCTGGGAAACATGCTAAAGCGACGTAGACGGCGATCCAACATTACAACCAATCCTATTTCAACGAACCCACTTGCCATAGACATGGATATGCTTGAGCTTCTTTGCTTCGCAGCAATGGAGGGCACACCCGAAACATGTCTCATTGTCGCCAAATTCCTCAATGCTTTGATATCAGAACCCAATCTTTTGGCAGCCAATGAAGTGGACCAATTCGTGCTGATCAACGGTCATACTTTATTCAAATGGTAATCAAGGATAATCATTGATGAGTGCTGACCTATGTTTCCAGTGTCTGGCATTTCTATTCGCAGACTCAGATACCGGATCTCAGTAATTTACGCATCACGTTCATTCTTCGACTATTGGTCGTTGATCCTCAGCCATTTATAAATCTCTTGGACGATCTTCTGAAGGACACTTCACCTTGGGAGCAACGGTGAGTACTCAGCACATCGTAAGGTTCATCTCATCGAATGGGTCATCAGGTTCGAGACCATTACACGTCTCTTCAGAATGATTATCGATGTGAACACACCTGGCTTGGATATACCTGGTCGTCAATGGCGCTTGAGCTTGGTGCCTGTCATCACCTGTTTCTTCTCGCGAATGTGGAAGGACGATCGCGTGAGCCTACTGTAGCCTCTTGATGATCTGCTCACAATATCTAGATTGAGGTGCGGTTGGCCTGTGACACGCTGATGAAAACGCTGCTTCCAAGCCATATGGATACTATATCTCTGTGCTTTGAAGAGTATCTTGCTCAGGGAACGATGAAGGAAAGGATGGACCTCGTTAGCTTCCTCACTCGCCTTCACCCTCTACTTCCGTCATGGCGTCGTTAGCCCACCATTTTTATTGGTCTTACAATCGCTCACTCGCCTTAGTCATCTCATGGTCTGCTCTCGTTCAATGTCTCGAGGACGAGGGCGAAGTCCATCCAAAACAGAACGTACGTAGCCTCTCTCGTTGGAGTCGCTGATCTAAACTCACGACTCTAGACCCTGGAGACACCCCAAACCGATAAGGGTATTGAAGACCAAGAAGCTGTCACTTTCCGGGTACGAGTAGTTGTTGTGAGGCAAGCGCCTGCTGAGATTCCCCAGGCTGCGATGATCAGTCTTGCACTTCAAATGGTATCTGATGGCATTATTGCGGACCTGCAGTCACTACTCCGCGTTAAATTCGCACTGGTTAAGCTCATTGGCTTCGATCGGTGTACTATGGTCAGAACTCGTGCTATATCTCGTGTGGATTTCGAAGGACTCGTCGGCCTTGTCTACGACCCGGTTGTACAGAGCTGCTTTCACGGTATGATGCGTGTTCTGGACACATCGCACTCGTGCGAACTACCCCCTGCGTGTATGACGGATAAAGGGGACGAAACTACGGTTCAAACCACCCTCGGCGCGATATTTGTGGACGTCCTGGTCAAGACGGCGCTACAGATCGACTTTCTCAAAGCGCCTTACATGGTGGCACGCTCTTTAATGACGTCGCTCGTCATTGTTCTTACGAAGGTGAGGGACTGATATTGATACCTACTCAAGACTTACGTCAACAGCATGATTTTACAAGTCCCTTCCTCAGTAGCTGGACTTCGTTTTTGTTCCGCGCAGTTTACTCGGTTATGCAACTACTAGTCAAACCTGATCTCAGCTTTGATATCAAGCAGATGATCTTCTCTGTTGGTCAAGCTGCGATCAAGCAGCTTCAAGGGGACAAACGGGCTGCATCCATATTCCGGTAGAAGATCCTCACCGCAGTTTCTGTCGCTGAATATTCATACAGCGAGTACATATCGGTCACTACCGCAGTTATCGTTGAGCACGGTGTCACATCAGACCATATGCTCGCAGTCAGGGGTCGTCAGTTTTTTGACGACATGCTCACGCAGTATGGAAGCAACTTTCATTGGAAGAATCAAGCTAACGCGGGTCAGATTCTCTGCTCAGCGAATCTATTGGGTGCTGTTTAAGGTAGAGTGACGTCAAGTCCCGCAGTCACTGACCCAGAATCTAGTCACCGTGCTCGCCCGAATTTTTCTCCGTTCTTGGACAAGTCTTACGCGAGCGTTCAAGGATGTATCCGGACTCCAATGTCAATCAATCGGGAGATAATGTTCGTGATGGGGTTGTCCGAGAGATTCTTTCTATGGTACTAGAAAGACGGACTGCCGAAGAAACCAACCTTCCAATGAAGAATCTGGCTGTTTATGTTGAAACCCTTCATCACACCGGCTACTCTGAATCAATAATTTCTTGTAAGCTGTTTCATTGTTCATTCAATGCATCCTCATCACCATTCGCACAGATATTGGGTTCGTAGTTGCAACTTTGTCAACGTTCCTATCCGAATGGCGACCAACGAGCTTTGATGCGAACTCTTTGCTTCGGGTTCTGCAATCTGGTGGCTCAGCATCACAAAATTCAAAGCAAGGTGAGGACCTTCATCCCAGGAAGTACGCATTAACGATTAACAGGAGCTACTTGCACAAGTGGAGCGATATTTGCGGGTCGCTGCGACCCGCTTTGACATCGAACGCGATGTCATCTTGCAACTTCTTCAGATCTCTATTACATCTTATCGACGTCTCAGCAAGATACCTGGTAATCAGACCATGGCAAACCACATTCCAGGGGCCTTCGTAGACATCGTAGATAACGTCTTCAGGAACCGTATCAAATCACCGCCGGCGACATTTGCCGCTTTCCTCGAAGTATATTCTGATCATCCCTGAAAACTCTTCTAATAGGCCACCCAGATCATTAGCTCAAGCATGGCTATGAAAGAAAACGTCTTTACATCCGAAGGAATCATCACTAGCTCTTGGAAGGTCTTTCTTATATATCAGATCGTCTCCCAGACGGAGTCTATACAGATGCGGACTTCAATGCTAATCTTGCGGTGGCAAAGGTCATCATGCAAGCTATCAACAACGATCACAGGATGCTCGCAGTCATGTCCGACAAGGAGGTGGGTGTTCTCTCCAACGAAGATGGACAAGCTCAATGTCAATACAGTCCACGCTGCCACTCCGAGTGTGGAATTTCCTTCTCCTCTCTGTGCTCATAACAGAGTGGGATGAGTGTGCCCTCCATCTATGGAACTCACTTGGACGATTTTCCGGAGCGTATACGGCAGCGACCCAGAGGCTGATTATGCCGCCTCATAACATCACGACTGATACGGCATCCATCGAAATCCACAACGCAGTGATCGCACTTAAGCTCTGGCTTTTGCTTATACAGCAGATCTGCAATAAGCAAGCGCTTAGTTCAGTACTGGGCCACTCTAGAGACCGCGATGGATGCGAAAAGGCTGTCTGGAACGAACTATGGCCCCCTATGGAGCAAATCATTGTCTTCTCCATTCGCGTTGCCGAGTTGGAGGAGTTCCAGGTGAGCAGGACCACTTTGAAATAGGTTTTCTTTGATAATTTACCTCCTTTTAGGCACCAATCATTATCATTTGGCAGTCAGTCATCGATATTCTGCAACTTCTGCGACACTTGCGGAGCAGTCTTGCACTGCAGCCATCGTTCATTACCATACTAGATCAGATCAAAAGCCTCAAACGGGGAGACGTGATATCAAACAAGGTTAGCGTTCCCTTAGTTCGCCATTTGTGCTGATGCTGAACGGATACAGGTTTCAAGAGCCTATGATTTGTTGACGACGGATATCGGTCCCCTATTTCATTTGGAACAACTAGAATCTATCCAGCGTGACTTCCTTGGCGTTGAGAAAATTGGTTGCGAGGTACGACGGAGAGCAGAAGAGAGAGGTGGGGTGGACAGAGATGGTCGACGACAGATCAGGCAGCCGACTGTTGGGTAGTCGCGCATTTACTGCTGTAATTGTAGCCGCCGATCAAATCCATGTTTCCCGAGGTCCTTCCATGTTTCCTCCTCATCGTTTGACTGTCGCTTTGTCAATCCGTTGCTATCAAGGGCTTCTCATATCCACGTACGGTTTGAAGAGCGTAGAGCTGCAAAAGCCCTTCGAATCTGCCAAGTCATGAGAAGGGCATCTAGATTAGATGGCTGCCTCACAGAAGATTTCCTTGCTCGTCGACGAGTAAATTGTCCGCAATATCCTCCTTCGCGTCTGCAGCCAATGGCTGTCCATTTGTATCAATAGCCCACTTATCCAGTGCTTCTTCTGTCCATACGGCATCCTTGGGAGGCACGAGTAGCGTCCCCGAGCTGGTGCTTCTCGGAGGCGGTATGCAATATTTCGCGAAAATATGACCTAAGCATGCTAGCCGAAAGGGATGAGAAATATTCGTGATTTCCACTTATCTCAGTCACCTTCCAACTAACGAAAACGAAAATGAACACTTGACCATCCAATTTGAGGGATCGTACCTGCGGGGTTAACCCTCCCTCCTCGTCAAGAAGCCTGGCACGCATTCTTAGTTTTTATTACCGAAACTCGAGAGAAAGGGACGGGATCAAGTGGAGCCGCAAACCAGACTTTGCCTCAAGCCATCTTGAACCCGCGCGTCGTACTTGTACCATATCCAACTCTTGATTTTTCATCCAAATCTTTACCATGAGCTCCGGGAACTTTAAGACTGCGGCTCAGCTTACGGATGTCTCCGGATGGGTTGTAGTGTAAGCGATCAGAGAACTTCGAATGCATGATAAACACTCTGATATGATACGAATGTACGCATTCTACTCTTATCGATACAGAGGATCGGGATGTGGGTCCGGATTGGGTTTACAAATGGCGAAAAGCCTCGCTGCATCCGGAGCCAAAGTCTGTAAGTTGAATAAAACTGCGATATATAGCATTAATTCCCTTGTAGATATCGCGAGCAGACGTCGCGAACTCCTGGACAAGATTGCATCAGAGCACACAGGCCCAGGGGAGATTATACCGTTGACTTTGGACCACTCTGACAAGCAAAGTATTCAAACTGCGGTTGAAGAAATCTCAAAGCGAGTAAGACGAACCACCAGGAATTATGTGATTTAATTGATGACAACGTTTTGTAGGAGAAGTATATTGACCTGTAAGTATTGCTTCTTATCGGACACAATTATTGATCAATCAAACAGGTTTCTTGCAAACGCGGCAGTGACTCGATCGCGACTGGTCACAACACAACCCAAGGACGTGAACCCAGCCGAATACTCGAGGATGTTGTTTGAACAGCCCATGGAGGACTGGGACGAGCTCTTGCGGATCAATTTGAGCGCACTGTACTTCAGTTGTGTTGCATTCATGCCGCTGCTGGCAGCAAACCCGCATAAGGAGAGGGCCTCGATCATCACAATCGGTAGCATATCTGGAACAACGACAATCAGCCAAGGTGGTCAATATGCGTACAACGTCAGCGTTCATCACAGCCAGTATATGTGGAAGGCATACTGACTATCCGCCAGGTCTCGAAAGCAGGCGTTCATTCACTCACCAAAATGCTTGCAACCGATTTCAAGCATCCCTCTATCGGCGTCCGAGTCAATTCTATCGCGCCTGGTTTCTTCCCTAGCGAGATGACCGTCGTCGAAGGTGATCCGGAGGCATGGAACAAGCGAAAAGGCGTTAAAGAAAGGGTAAGTTCCCGCCTCCATGATATCCAGACTCTCATGACTGCGATCAGCTGGGAGAGCAAGACGACATTGCGTCTGCAATGTATGCGCTGTGCACGAACAGATATATGAATGGAGTAGTTCTACATGTCGATGGAGGTTGGCTACTTGATAATCCGGGGTCAGCAAATTAGCGATGGCTGGGGCTAGGGCTGTCCGAGGCGAACACGGTCACGTCGGAGGCGGCTATTTCGGAAGTTCACTCCAGATTCTATGCTTCGTGGTTGTCTAGGTTCATTCGGAGGCAGAACACTGAACAATGTTACGAGTTATCAACCTTCCCATACATGAGCTACAGACAGCCGATTCATGGAATACGTTTGTTAAATTTATTGACGAGTGACTACTGTGCCTACTTTTCAGATCAAAGGTGGTTGTGGCTGGAAGGCTCATTAGGCGCCGTCCTATCTTGTCCCCAGCCGGCCCAGCAATTCACGTTTTTGGTGTGCGATCCTCTTAAAATCCGATTACACTGCTTTCTTGGGGCATCCTATGGCCATCCTTGGCTCATTTTGTCTTCGGGCGAACCATCTTCTTACAGCGCGCTTCGGACTTGACCACTTAAATGTTATCCTGTGTTTTGGCGACGCCATTTGACATTCTGCCCTGACACCACAATTTACACGGCATTACGTTGAGAAGAGGCCGCTCCGGTGATACCAGCATGGCGCTAACGGCAAGAAGATTGACCATCCGACGTCTACTGCTGGATATGTCACGTCACTTTGACAGATATGCTGGAGTATATTACTTGAAATCTCGTGAACAAGCACCCGGTGAGGGACAGAGTTCATAGAGTCGACGTTGGCTCAGCATATGGAGCAAAAGGCGATGAAATATAATTACACGAAGCAGTATATGGTATTTCTCGCGGTTTGGGCAGCGCCGGCTGACAGTTCGCGTAAGGATGTACCGTTCACAGGTGATGGTGCAGTCTGCAAACACGCTGCGGACCATTTGATACAATAATTTCATCATCTGCCCCAACACCTCGGTAGAGGCTCTGCTTATTGCCGGTTCGTGGCTGGGCAAGGCCAATGCCTAGTCCTTCTGATAGCGCTCCTCCAAGTAGTTATGTGAAGCGAAAACTCAAATATCTCACATAGCCAATACATAAGGCGCTCCGGTCTCCTCACTCCATAGACGGACTGTCACTTTCATCTTCTCGCGGTCAATGCAACAGTATTCCCGCCTCATTTCATTTGGCTTGAATATGCTAACTGCACAAATGCATTTCCGTTCATAGACCTAGCTGATAGAAAGCGCGGACTGTCCGGGGAAGGTGTGCTCGAGTTATCTCGGCCTATGAGTGATTATACGACAATGCATGGCCTACTAACTTGCTCCTTTCAGATTCCGCCTTCAGGTTACCTCTCACATCTGGACAGATAACCACCAGCTATTCAGTGTGCAAACGCAGATCCATGTTTAGTAGGTTATATCAATCCGAGGCTGCTTGGTTCGTACACATAGCTGAATCTGACGTATTCAGAATGGCAGTTTACCAGCCATTGTCTAACGAGAAGTCGCAAACAGCAAGGCGGAAGATAATCCAGGGACTTATCCGAGCGCTTTCGATAACTCGTCTATGAATAATGGACATAAATCTGCTGGTTAATATGGCTCGTAACGGGCGGCGCAGGGCAGAGATGCACAACGGCGAGTCTCACATTCAATACGGGAGCGGCGGGATGATCTTCATCTTGATTATATGTGAGAACTCCCATAGATGAGTTACATGTTCCATATGCTCCCACACGACTGCATCTAACGGCCATTCTAGACCTGACTATGATCACTCCCAGCATTGAGACGGTGAAACCAAAATCAAGCGCCTTCCATTGGCCGTTAGAGATAAGTCCAATAACAACAGATGCAGGCGATTCTCCAGTCAATGTCCCGTCCTCTTTGCCCACGAATCCTTCATCGTCTCTCAAACTTAGGATGAAACAGGGTTTACAGATTTGAAGAGATGCCTATTGATATCTTCCATCTCCTACGGCTCCTTACGACGTCTATAGGGACGAATACGAGCGGAGCCAGTCGCCGGCGGCAAGAGGACGGGTGAATCGGGTCGTTATGCTTCAGCAATTGTCTGGTACAACCCTCTACTCTATCCGTGGCTTGTTGGGCAAGGACGAAGGACGTGCAGGCTGGTTGAAACGGCAGGAACCAACAAGCACATGGAATGGGGTGCCTATATCGTTCCGCAAACACATAACCGAGATATTCTTGTTCGTACCTTGGCAAGAATGGGCTCTTCGGCGACTCGCGGAGTGCTTTGCATGATCGGGCAAACCTTGTCTCGGGTTCGCCTAGAAAGGTGACCTGCAGGTCAATGAAGGTTCCATTCTCCGAGATAGCCAACCTATGGCTGGTAATGTCGACCTCCAGATTGCGGCTCCTTGGCGAACCTCCAAGAGCGCCAACTCTGTCAACTTTCTTGAGGCGGCGGATAGTATGAAGATGCATACCAAATCATGAAACGAAAGATGGGGTACGCGCTTGAATGTGCTTACATGGCTTCCCCTCACTTTACTCGCTCTCTAGAAGCGGCCGGTCTCACCTCTTTTAGAGTGCTTGGAACTCGTTGCACGCAGCAATTGACTATAAAAGCGCAGAAGTTGTCTGTGATCAGTCATGTGTCCTCAGCGCTGGTTGACTCCTTTGATTCATTCTGGCGAGGACAACGGTGGGCGCCAACCCCGTTGTTTCCATTGGCAAATGAACAGGCTGAAATCATAGTTGGAGATGCGGCCACTGGATGCGTCAGGATTCCGATTGGGAGATAGGGCACTGACCCCCACTACGCAGAAAAGAAGACGGCTCAGGCACTGTAATTAGGCGATCAATCTAGACATATATGTACCATGTTTTACGTTCGCAGTCAGGATATCACCGGGGCTAGGCTGTTCCAGAACAGGATGTGTAAGCTCATCGAATGGAACCGCAGGTGACACGACCTCATGAGTGAGGATGGCTGAACTGCAGGGAAATGAAATGTGAGCAAGGAATTGTGCGGATTAGCTTGTTCCCGTGCGGCCTGGCGTTGGAGGGGTAGCCAGTGGCCGACGTGTCCACACACCATCCTCGGTGAGTTTTGACTCCACTGACCGCTATCATGGATCTTACACTCGGAATTGCTATTTCTCCATGTCAGTTTCTTCCTATGCGTATAATCAACTGTGATAGCCACATCCAAGTGGATTTCTGTGCGAACGGGGGAGAGAGTAAAAGTCTAAATGTCCAGAAACGGAAAAATATTGGCGAGAGACGGCTGTAATTGTCGTCTAAATCCGTGAATGGAGGCGTTGGCGCCTGGCCAACCACGGTGCTTGCCGAAATTCTTAATGTGCGAGTGCTCGGTCCCGACATTACGGCCTCTCGGGATGAATACCGACATCTAAAGGTGAGATATATCGGATATGAACAAGTCTATCATCTAATGATGCGCAGTTCGCGGCTCTGGGCAAGATTCTCAGACAAAGGCTTTGGATAGGTGTATCAGGGAGGAAAAAGATGGTAGGGAGAGTAGGTGGATATTTGAAGTGAGTTATGTGGATATGGACAAACTGGCCGAGGCCGAGCCGTGGCGCAGAGCAGAGAGCCTCTGGCGAGTGGTAATAAGCAGGCGGCCGATGAGGACGGCTTCTTGCGCTATTCGCCGTGGGCCCTCTTTCCTTATGTTTCCAATCGGATTATATCGCGTGTATTACAAGTTGATCCCTCACGTTTCGTACCAAAAGGAAAGTTCTCGCGGATTCAGGTGGAATTGTACGCCAGATACGCGTGCGGCAAGCGATGAATACCCGAATTGTGCTGAGACATGTATGGATAGATTGATGAAGCTGTATATTAACCTTGACGTGGGGATATAGAAGACGAAGACGTCTTGTGGCGGGCAATCTCCCACGGAGCTTGTACGAAGCGGTGATTTCGGTTGTGGCTCGTGCAGCTCGCCTTTTTCGCTCGGACGCGAACGGTTACCCGGTCTGCGCCCGCGCTAGTCTATAGTTGGTAAGCTCTGTCATACCCTCACCCACCACGCCAACGGCTATGCCACGGTTGTGCGTTATCGAGATATCGACCCAGGTTGGTTACTCTCAAATCGACTGTCTCGTGTGTGACCTCTTTGTGTCTTTAGGGTGCCTCGGATAGCCATCTCCCCGATAAATCATACTCGACGGCTGGGATCAAATGGGGGCTTGCACGTGGATAACCAAGGTGATTGTTACGAGAGATATGTGAGGTGGTGATTATACGCAGGCTTCCCTCCTCCGATGCAAGAGCAAGTTGGCTGAAAAAGAAGCCGACACCGACATGCGGGGTACAAGGAGTACCCGGTTACGTGATTTGAGCCCTGTAATAGCTATCGAGTATACAATGGGAAGATTAATGTTCCACCATTGGGGCCTTGACTCCGGGTGGGTGGCGGAGTGTCTCGTAGTTGGACGGAGCCGCTGTCATTGTTTGTTTCGTGAATGTCCATCAGCCCAATTGCCCGCCGCCAATGATACAAGGTGTCGGAACTCTAATCACGACGTTTTCACGTCAAAACTACAAAAGGTTATCTGGGCTACTCTGGTGTGTGCTGACGAGGTCGGTGTGAGCGCGAGGCCGGTCGCCATCAGGACTCTGGGACGTGTGTCCACAAACCATTCATACCATTTCTTTTTAAAATCACAAGGCTGCTTCATCAGAACCCGAGTTAATTGAGAATTAATTTTAAATAAAAAATTAAATAAATGATAATTTTGGGTACTTTTCCTGGAAATATAAGACCCCGTCCGTGCGCCGCCCTCTCGCTGTACTTGCCCCCCCGTCTGCTAGCTCGTGTGTTCATCTATCGTACTCCGGACATTCGGAGTTGCAGACGCTGCGAATAAACTACCTGGACGGAAGAGGGCTGACTCGATCATTTATACTCGCTGGTAGACTCCAGCAGTACAAACACTTTTGATCCTTAAAGTGTTCAAGTCGCCGATTGGATCTAGCACTCGAAGCCACCACTCCCAGAACTCAGCTTTGGCACTTGGCCCCTACCACCACCTCGCCCGTTCAAGTCTTTGTGCGCATCGATTAGCCGCACTCTCCACGGTTTGTATCCTCATTCCCGGCGAAATGTGTCTTTGAATCTGACCTATTGTCGCCATTGTTCATCCTGTCCACCCATTCGATCATTTGGTACTCGCCTCGTCGGCGTTGCTCATCCGTCCCTACAGTTGCATAATTGCATTTATCACGCCTCCTTTTACGTTGGCACTCGAAGCCCGAAGGCTCACGAAGTTGGGAAGCTGCCTCCTCCCTTGTCCCCCACCAACTTCGTGCACGGTCTGATTCATATCTTGTTCGGTAAGTTTTCCGCCTCTTTTCCGAGATGCTACATCATTTCATCAACTGACGGCTCCTTCGTTTTGCGCTGCTGCTCTCGCTCTTGGTTGCTCCTTGAAATCTCCGCGGGTGTGTGCGCAGACTACTCGGCACCATCCGCCCACCCATCCACCGATACATATACACACGGTAATCTACGTACCTGTCTCTGCGACGACGTCCCAAATCGTCCAATCAACCGACAGAAGCTCCAAATCTTTCGCCTCTTTAAATTACCGCGGATCCCCTTCTTAAAGGCCCCCCGCAGCTGAGAACCCCCCTCTGCCTCTGCAATTCCCCTCCCACCTCTGCTGTTCAAGATCCATCGCTAGCATGATGATCAGCTCTCCCTCGCATCCTCATTCCTCTGGCAGTGTTCGCCATCCAAGTCTATCATCCTTCAATCACGCTCAGAACTCTCAGGCAACATACTTGCCACCCCCATTCGCAAGCAATCCTCGGCCGACTCCAGCGAGTGGACGACGTTCGTGACTAAACACCACTATCCAATCTATGACGGCGATCACCGCAAGCCAACGTATGACGACGATGAGGAGGACCAACTCCAAGACGAAGAAGACGACGAGGAGCAGCGAGTGGCCACCTCGACCAAATCTCAGTCGGCTCCGTTGCGTGTGCGGACATATTCCTCGGGTCCTGTGACTTCTTCCGTTCAACACGCTCACGCTATACATCCAGACGTCGTCCGCGGCGGACAGTCTTCGCCTTCGTCGCCATCGTCTCCCGGACCGTCGACGCCCTCTAGCTTTTCCGGTGGTCCCTCGACGATCACTCAGTCGAATAATAGAAACCCTCCTCCTGCTCCTTCCGCAGGTTACATTCTTCATTCATCGCTCGCTCCATCGCCAACTACGATCCGACGTCCCGAAGGTGCTGCACAAACCTCGACGGGTGTCACCTCGTCCACGGTTGTTGCAAGTACTGCGCCCGTACGCCGCCGTCCTCAGCAGGTACGCCGACAAAGCACCACAGACATTCGTCCATCAACAGCTTCGAGCATGAGCAGCAGCACTACAGCACTTCCTCCCGTCGCACCCCTCTCAACTACAAACGCACTCTCGGCGTCGGCAGCCGCTGCCCTTGAACGATTCCGACCACTCATCGCCCGTTCATTTACAAACTCGCCTCATTTGACTGCACTGGCGGAGCAAATCATTACCTCGCCGTGGTTCCTGAACCAAGAGATGGAGCCACCGCTCGAGACTTCAGACCCGCTCGTGATCCATGCCAAAATCCTACGACCTGGAGAGAGCAGATTCCGTGCTTTCCTAGAGATGACGCCCACAAGAACATATCGGTGCCAGTTTGTGCTCCCGCCAGGAGGCGACAGTTCGGTCGGCACGCCTCCTTCGTCCTCTGGCTCACCTGGCGAGAACGAGATGGAAGTAGAAGAACACGGTCACACTCATGGAGCCGACAGTTTGTGTGAAGGACGACGATGTGAGCGCACAGAAGAGCGTCTTGATCGTGCCCAAGGTCATGCGCGGCAGCATTTGGAGTACCGACCGTTTGTCTGCGGCGGCAAGTGTGCGCGACCAGACTGCACACAAAGATTCTACTCGTCTGGCCAAAAGGACGACCACATCCGGCGCTCCATTCCACGGCGCAAGCAATGCGAGGCATGGTACGCGCCCTTCCCTCTGCATCAGACGCAGGCAGATTTCTGACCGTTTCCCCCTTGTGACAGTGGCAAGCAAATTTCGATTCAAAACGTCAGCAGACACATGAAAGTCATTCATAATCAATCCGTGGCCGCAGCATCGTCGACGATGCAGGACAAGATACCCCCGACATACAAGCCATATTGATTATATTGTTGGTCATTCTTATTTGATCACTCTCTACCCTTTACATGGCATTTGAAACCGACAACTGGTCGTAACGGCGAGGCGAAACAGGACTTTTTTCGGCCGCCTTCGAAACATTGACCAGTTCGCCACCCTCGCTGTGCACCCTGTTCTTGTGTTACGACGACTTCTGCTTTCTCTCTTGATTTTTTTTTCGCTCACTTGTCTGCGTCGCGTCTGTCCTGTCCTGCTTTCTAGATTTTTACTCGCTTTTTTGTGTACATAAGTCCTCGCTTCTTGGACGTGTATCTCGGTCAATAACAGCTATCACAGTGTTATTATGATGATGATCTGGCAAACTTCTGCCTTTATGGAAATCTAATGTCGGCAGGGGGATGTAATGTCGGTAGTTTGGGAACACGAGAGATTTTGCAAAACTGGTTATACGCATAAATTGTCATGACCACGCGACCAAGCAAGGAGACGAGCGGGTCGAAGACGTCGGGAAAGGAGCGACATCCCTGGACGGTGAATGCTGCATATTGAACGGAAACGGATGCTGTATCCAACCCTCAATTGGATCTAATACAAATAGCAAAGGCGCAGACGTCCTTTTGGTTAATGGGTTTTGCCGTGGATGAGTTGGGAACTGATGGTTCCAGGTTGACTTGGATTGGTGGAACATTTGATCGAGTTTGGCTGAGTAGGTCGCGAAGCCGGCTTCACCGAGTAAGTCCAATTGAATAGAGGGGGACGAGTGTAGGCCGTGTATGGACGTCCATCCACAATACGGTCCCATTCACTGAGTTTCTCCGAATACGCCCGTTGTCGTCGTCTCGGTCGCCCGCCGCGTGGAACAATTCAAAATCCTTTTGTGCATTCGTTCATTCGGAGCACGGTGCCTGTGCCTCTCACGACTGCCACTGCCTCAAGTCGGCCTTGCCTGCTGGCTTTTGTCGAGCATGCTCGAATATCCGTTGAAGCACTCCGAAGTCGAAGCACTAACGATCAGCAATGAAAAAACTCGCATCTATACGTCGTATATGCGCGTTTGGAGCGAGGATCATCCAACCCCCCCCCCCCCAGTTGTCGTTGATGCTTCGGCAACGGGGCGCATTTGGCGTTCGGTTTGTCCGTGTGTATGGTCACAGCATTCACACGTGAAAAGCTAGTGAGCCGTGTCAGTTGCGTCTGCGCGATTTGGCTCCTACGCGAGAACCTAGAGGCATTCGCGGCGAAATCACCCTCAGCCCCGCGTTTCACCGTCGGCGGGGGGGAACACGATGGACTTATCAAACGTCGATGTCTCGTGATGATGCAGAGGGTTCTGGTTCTGGTTGGTTACGACGACCCAGATCGTCGAGTCGTTGCTTCCTTTGTGGCCAGTGTTCTATTCACATGCAATGTCTATGTCTACCTGTACCATTACTAGAAGAGGAGGCTGTACGCATCTTGACAAGTTGAGGACGTCCAATGGGAGAATCATCGTTCTAATGCAGTGTTCCTTGGCCGTGCATCTTTATCAAAATCATTCCTCCTTCGTTTCCATGTTATCACGGGCATAGAGTCGAGGGCTGTGCCTGTAGTTGACGAAATTGTGTGAGGGTTCTCATTTGGCGTTAGACCTCCCCGCAACGAGACAAAACCGACGATGAGATGTCAATGAGGGTGTTCCGGTTCGATTTGCAAATACCTCAACCGCACACTCTACAGAGTGCACGAGTTTCATGGAGAAAGGTCGGCCGTTCCAGGCATGGTGGATCTCGATGCATTCTTGGCTTTCGCTGAGCATGCACGCCTCGAGGCTCCTCGAGGACGAATAACCCGAGGTGAAAAAAAGGGTGGCACCTTCAGCCGCGAGCGAGAGCGCACCCACGACTGGCCCAAATGTTTGGCGAGACATTAGCGTCTTCTTCTTGGAAGCACACTAGGGTAGTGTTGATGAGTTTTGCTGATCCAGTGTTCAGGTCACAACCCCCCGGCGGATCTTTGTGCCCTACTTCCTCGAAGCTAGCCTATCTCAGACCGACCCTGGCATCAGTAGTGACCAAGGAAGGACGAGGGGGTCAATGTGATTTACGGTTTAAGAGCACGTATCACAAATATGTAACAGACGAAAATCCCGATGCATGCATGCGGCACTGTCGATCATCCGAATTTTCCTGCGTGTGGCGTCTCATATGATGCGAGATGTCTACATGTGAATGTGGAAGAATGATCCACACCCCTTCTTTCTCCTTCTCCATAAACCTGGTTCTCGAAACATACTTGCACAGACCACGTTTCACCAAAATGAAAGAGGCTTCCCTGATCCGCAAGGCGTCAAAACACGCAATGGTGTGCATACAATCGATGTACTGACATGTTTCGAGACGCGAATAGAGGCTTATCGCGCGTTCTATCCTCAAGAGCCTGTCTTGGCTACGCCGACGTCTTCCCGCCACGGTCCGTGTCGCCATAACTGTCGCTGGCGGCCTCGATATCCCGTTCAATAACTTCCTCCAGGGTTATCTCAATGACGCACTCAATCTCCACGCGCTCTATCGACGTCTAGTGTCGATGGGTTGGTCCATTTTGACCCGCAAGCCGTCCCGAGAGGACCGCGTCGACGCCAATCGAGGTCGTCGGTTTGCCTGGATACGCACTCAAGTAGGTGGCTTCTGTTTGCAGGACTGCTTTATGATATGCGATCAATATGTATTAGCCTCAATCAAGAAGTCATCTTGTGTCCAGGCCGCGTTTCTTGACATGTCGTCCAAAGGTCGCCAGCAACACAGCATAATCAGAACCAGATATAATGAACCACACCCTCATCGGAACGTTATGAAACGTATATATTGTTGACACGATGATCGTTGGGGTTATTGGATACAGAACTTCGAGGCTGACCACTTCATTGACCGATCGCCAAATTACTTGATTCTCAATGATTTGAAGAAATGTTTGGTCTGTTATAGAGGGAAATGCCGTACGCTGCGTCGCCACGGTCTGATACAGAATAATCCCTTAAGGAACCAGCCGCAGACCACTATCCAAGCAGCCCATAGACAGTATGAAACGTCTTTTTACATCAATGGGAGCATACAGATCAGCAAACCCCTCTCACGCCACCGGCGTAACGCCCGAAACGGGGACGGCCGATAACCTCTGATGGCATACAAACGCGGGGAACCATCGACTGGGACTGGTCTCGCAAGAAATCGATATCGGTGATAGCCCAGACGGGCGCCCACATAACCTCGGTGGCGCGTTGTGCTCCGCTCCGTCAGGGGTCGTTTGGAAATTCGCTTGACCTTCACCAGTGGCCACGAGCGACATGGGGTCTGTGTCAAGCAGGACGGATGAATGCGCACCGGAGCCGTCCTCGAGCCGCGTCCTGCCAGCTATCGATGGCATGGACGTGCCGATTACGCCGTCCGTCGAAACGCGCGGCTCCTGTCGTTCGTCGGGAGTTGAGAGTTTCGAAAACGTTGCTACGTTGATACTTGCAACCGACCTCATCTCGCTAACCAGCTACGTAACGGGTTTAGCTCGCCATTATTTCCGGAGGCAGTCAGGATATCGCATACCTCCAATTTGAGCGAGTTTGATACGATCTTGACTATAGGCTCGGTACCGCTGTCTTCCTGGGACCCCAAACCGCCCGGCAAGAAGTCCCGTAGCATGCTACTGAGTGAACGCTGATGTGGTGGCCTAGCGGGCCGGTCTCTTGGAACCTTGACGGCATCGATCGGCTGTTGATCTGCGTATCCTTGCTTCAACTTGGCCAGTACACCTTCTATCTTTTGAAGCTGGTCATGAAGATTAGAGAAGGCGTCCGAAAGCTGCAGCGCCTGGTCGTTGTGCGGACATGAGCGATCCGTGGAGAAGCACTCTTCAGTACTTACTGCATCTTCGCCCAAGTCACTCTTGAATTTAACCCACTGCTCCCACTCTGGGACGCACGGGTCGACAATTGTAGGAGAAGGGTGGAACGCTCTGTTGGGTGCAGGTAACGGCCCGGTTCCCAAGTCTATTAGGCGAGGCACCGTGAATGCCCATTTGTATCTTCGTTTCATTGTTGCCTCTTCTCGGACTGGAGACTGGGCCGCAATATCTTTGCGGCCCACAAGGATTGCAGCCTGGGAAACTGATAAACGACCATTCAATTATCCTTGCGGGACGTACTTGAGAGGTTGCTTGGAAGAACTTTGCCATAATAGGGAGCCAAATAACGGCAGGTACTGAATCATCTAAACTGGGTAAGACACATTAAAGTATAAATGAATACCAACCTAAATGGACCGCATCACTTGCCTTCCTACCCTCAAGCTGCGCAACATCTCTGCTCAGCTCGGCGAACAGCGTCGAGCCGTACCACAATGCAAACGGTAGTTCTACATCGCTATAAACGCCCAATTCTAGCCCAGATAGGACAATATGGCATGCTCCAAGAAGTCGGACGATTTGGAGAGAGACAATGAGTCGTTCGAGTTCCTCCCTCCGGCGAACGTCGATGGGTGGCACATCGATGACAAGCTCGTATAAATAAGGAACCAAAGCTGACCAATCGCTCATCCAGTTGCACAGCCGCCTTCTCTGGCGAGGCCGATTGCAAAAAAAGGACGCCATATACTCCTTGATCATCTTTGGAATAGCAATGTGAAAGTATGGGAGTGATGTGTGATCGATAGGCGAAACTGGAAGGTTGTTTATTGCAGTTTCCAACTTGAGATCAGCTAGCATTGCAAACATTTCGTTTGCCCATAGATCTCCTCGTGCGTTGTGAATGGAAGTCTAACCAGGTCAGTATGAGATAATTGAAATATGCAATCACATACACACGAGAATGAGCGAACAAAGGCCCATCGGTTTGGTCGCGGCGGTTGTGAGGTGCGCAGGTCCAGTAACTCCTAAAGTTAATAGATCAAACAATGCTACTTGGCACAAAGTTTGCGCACCTGTATACCACTGAACGAAGGACAAGTACTCAAGAGGGCTACTTCTCGTAGGCCGTCGATGAATAAAGAGTATTGTTCCCACGTCTGGTGATGATTCGGAAGCTCGACAATCTTTGGAGGCATGATGGAAATTAACCTCCGAGCAATGATGGGATCAAAGCTTTTTAGCGCAGTTGAGCCTTTGTGAGGGATAGGTGGCTCATTGAATTGCTTGATCACGGTCAGGTATTCCTGAGCTTGTCGAATAGTCGCCTTATAATGCGCTGCTTCGCTCGGAAGAGAAGACGAGAGAAGTAATAGCATCATCTGAGCGATTCTATGTAAGCGAGCATAATTGGGAGATAAAAGTGAGCACACACGACGCAGGTCAATTCGAGCGAGAAGTTCAGTCCTCCATGTAGTTATGGTACCTGGGAGACGGATGAGAAAGACAAATGGCCCGTAGAAGCTTACACTGTCGAGAGAGGAGCCATGTTCTTGCAGCATCGAGCATCCCAATGATTTCAGAGGCGGAAATAGTTTCGCACAAGTAGCGTTCCGACTTGTCTCCATTGAAGTCTTCCATCTATTGATAACTGAGAACGAGTGATATGAGGAAGGGAGAAATTTCACCTCGAGAATATGGCCCCTGGTCATCTCCCTCCAAGCTAGATCACATGTTTTGAGGATTCCGTACACAGAGGCACGCAAGACCAGTGTCACGAGCTGCAACGGACGTGAAGGATCTTGCGGTATCTGGAGAATGCGGGTGTTGATTCGGTTGCCATTCCATAGCCTACCCACTCCGAGTTCGTGAACATATAGACATGTATAAACTGTCTGAGCGAGAGAATGTCCAGTGTGCCACGCGGTCTGTGGAAGTCAGGATCATGCATCGAGTTAGGAAGGCAGCTCACCTCGGCAGCGAACATACGATCGATGATCCAACAGACCTCTTCGGGTAACAGTGCTTGATAAGGATCGAATCTCTGACGCGGGTAAGCGTCCCTTTCGATACCGCTGTCCATCCGAGGGTCCATAATCTGTTTGTCATGAGAAGAGGCTACAATGGCACCGATATCTAACCTCTATGGCCATCATAGCGTCATGTAGAGTAAAATTCTCTATAGAGATCATTGATTCTTCCCCGATGTCTATCGCCACAGGTCTGAGATTGGCATTCCGGACGCACTCAATAGGGCTTACCAGCTGCAGCTTCAAGAAAAACAGGTGCAACGTCGATGAATCCGCTGCCCCCGGGTTCATCGTCATCTTGAAAGGCCATCATCTGGGAAAGCGATGGAGGCGGTTGGAAACAAACTTCGTCGGCGACCGTGATGGCCCAGTGGAAAGTTCATCCGAGCCCGTGAGTTTACTTTTGAGAAAAGGAGACAAAATGTGAAATTCATCGGGGAATATACTCTATCAAGCGTCCAGCCCAGGATGACGTTACAGCCGGGGCTCCAAATGGCCGCAATTGAACATCTGCACCTTGCTCTCCTACTCCTTCACACCATCAATCGAGGAATTATTCTTGTTGTTCGAAATGGCGACGCCAAGCAAACAGCAAGCGAGGCAACGCGTGCACAAAGAGACGGATTACATGGAGGACTCGGAGACAGAGGACGACAACACTCAGTTACCTCCGCAATATCAGGCAGAGCCCAAGGATGCTTCTCTTTCAGAAGAGATTAGACCAGAAAGTGCGGGTTTTAGCAAGGCAAAGCTTATGTCGCAAAGTGGGTGACCATCCTTGCTTGTATCCTGTTTTGTGAACTAACACCATGGTGTTCTCCTCGCATAATTCCCCTATTTCAGACATAGAGGCCAGTCGTCTTCGAATGACCAGAAAGATGGAGTAATTGACGCACATTCTAGACTACATCTCCTATGCTACAGCTGGCAGGGGACTAGCATCCTCAGCAAGGATCACCGACGACGGCCGAATCATGGTATCGCTCGACCTCAAGAAAGCGCTTCCCGATCTACCAGAGAACTACGCCAACCCTGTCCGTGAATTTGCTGTCGATTCTGATCTCTGGAAGCATCTCGATGGAATCGTCGAACTGCCAGGCATTCGAGCAGGAGGAAAGATACCAAAGCTGAACATTGTAATCATGATCGTCGGTAGTCGTGGTATGTAGACCTCGTCCTATTCACGGTCACTCATTACTCTCAAGGGGATGTTCAACCCTATGTCGCTCTCGGTCAAACACTCCGGAAACAAGGACATCGTGTCCGGATTGCCTCACACGAGGCATTCCGCTCCTTTGTTCTGGAGAACGCACTCGAGTTTTACAGTATTGGTGGAGACCCCAAAGAACTCATGTCCTATATGGTCCGAAGTGCGTCAATTGAGAAAACGATTTGGACGATGTCGCTAACTACGCAAAAGACCCTGGTCTCATACCAGGGTTTACCTCACTGATGAACGGAGATATCACGAAGAAGCGCAAGATGCTGGGAGAAATGCTCGAAGGCTGTTGGAATGCATGCATCCTGCCGGACTCCAATGACCCACACCCATTTGTTGCCGATGCGATCATCTCCAATCCTCCAGCATTCGCACATATTCACTGTGCAGAGGCTTTGGGTATTCCTCTGCAACTATCGTTCAGTACGTTCAACGTAGATACGCCCATTCTGCTCTGACGACCATGCTAGCCATGCCGTGGTGTCCAACGACCTCCTTTCCGCATCCCCTGGTCAACATTATATCTTCCAATGCAGAACCTGGGTTGACAAACTATCTGAGTTACGCACTCGCGGAGATTATGACTTGGAAAGGGTTAGCCTCTTCGGTCTCCCGATTCTCTCTCTTTGACACCCGTAAAGTCTCGGTGACGTGATCAACCATTTCCGGAAGCGCACTCTCGGGCTCGAACCGCTTTCTATCCGCTCAGGTCCCGGAATTGTCGATCGGCTCAAGGTACCATGGACGTACTGCTTCAGCCCTTCTCTCGTGCCCAAACCTCCTGATTGGAAGAACCATATCGGTTTGTCTTCGCTCTGCTTTCATGTTGTACAGCTGACCAATACGACTGTTTTAGATGTCGTTGGATTTTACTTTCTGGATCTTGCCCAAAATTACAAACCAGCGCAAGATCTCGCCAATTTTCTTGCTTCAGGCCCACCACCAATCTATATCGGGTTCGGCTCAGTTGTCGTTGAAGATCCTGTGCAGATGACAAATGATATTTTCGAAGCCACGCGTCTCGCAGGGTGCGGGCGCTCGTATCGGCTGGTTGGGGAGGACTCGGAAATGCAAACATCCCTCCACATATATTCATACTTGGAAACGTACCTCATGACTGGCTCTTCACCAAGGTATTCGCCGTGTGCCATCATGGTGGGGCTGGAACGACAGCAATTGGGCTGAGGTTGGGCAAGCCAACGATCGTTGTTCCATTCTTTGGTGATCAGCCGTTCTGGGGCGCCATGATTCACAAGGCCGGCGCTGGGCCCAAACCGATCAAGAAGGATAAATTGAATGTCCAAACGCTCAAGGATGCGATCGAGTTTTGCAAAACCGATGTCGCGAAGCATGCGGCTGGTGCACTCGGTGAAAGGATTCGCAAGCATGACGGTGTCTCAGAAGGCGTGGATTCCTTTTATCGCCATTTGCCGTTGTTGAACATGCGGTACGTCTTCGTTTACTTACCGGTGGATTCAGAGGGGAATTGATACCCTTTTAGATGCGATTTACTCCCCGAACGGTTGGCCGTTTGGTGGTCCACGGATCACGTGGGTCTCCTTTCTGAATATGATATACAATCGGATACTGATTGCTTTTGTGGATAGTGTTTGAAACTCTGCGCGTTCGCAGCACAAGTGCTGGTAGAAGAAAAGCTATTGGACATGAATAGTCTCGAACTACATCGTACGCGTTTCTATGCGCTATGGACCATTGATATCAATTCGCACGTAGGCGTCAAAGAATACGAAAGCCGGGCAAAGGCGACTGATCCTGTAACGGGTGGCGTGATCGAAATCTTTCGTACTGTCACGCATTACTACGGATCTATTACGCAAATTTTCTAGTACGTAACCCCCTATATCGTTTACAGCTCCTTGACTACGGTCATTAATCGACTTTCATCTGTAGCTCTCCCATCAATGGGATTATCAACACCACGACGGCTATTCCACGCGGTGTGATCCAAATTATTGGTGCGATACACGAAGGGTTCCACCATCTTCCCAAATCGTATGGCTCCAAAGTGCGCAAAGTGGGCAAAATTAAAGATTTCTCAAGTGGAGTACGAGAGGGTGCAAAGGTTCGCCATCTCTATTCGATGTATTTTCATTCTCTCACCTAATATCCCTCACGTTCGTCTCCTGCGCATGCACCGCCCACATTTAACACTTACAACTTCATCACTAATGGTTATAGGGTGTTTTCTGGGGATACGCAGACGCTATCACCGGGCTGGTGACTGAACCCGTTGATGGCGCAAAGAAAGAAGTGAGCATACAAGTTAGAGCTCCTGGCGAGTGACTGAGCTTTGGCAGGGGTTTCTGGGGTTTATCAAGGGATCTGGTCGTAGTTGTGAGTACGCATCCTTAATTTACCACCCTCTCTCATAAATATTCGTTGCAGACATCAACGCGACTGTCCGTCCAGCCGCAGGCGAGCAGGACCCGCTATCCTTGGCCATCACTGATGAAATGGTATAGGCGTCGTCGGCGCAATATCACATCCAATTACTGGAGCTTGGATGTCAATGCGCAAGTTAGCCGGTGTTCAGGATGCCGAACACCGTGTTTATGCTGTTCGTGTGCAGCAAGGAAAGGACGACGTATCATCTTCAGATCTGTCACTCGAGGACAGGGAGAGAGTTATCAGCGCATTCAAGCGGGCACTTCAACCCGAGGAGGAGAAGCAGAGAAGGGTTACAATCGAGGAGCGAGTCCGCGAGGCACTCGTCCGAGGTGGTGCGGGGACGCTGAGCGTCGAAGATACGGGTGGATCGTCTGGAGAGACAGAAGCCGCTTTGAAACTGTCATCAAATGGGGCCTCAACAGAGGATCCATCAAAGCCACAGGCATCATACAAAAGAGTAGAACCGCCGCAGCTACCACCTCGGGTGACTGCAACTACGGAACACTCTGTGACAAAACCCCTTGTGGAGCAAGCACCACAAGTTTTGTCTCCACCCGACTGGGGAGAGGACGAGGAACGAGAGTTTGAGCGGCAACTCGAGCTTGCAAAGGAGGCATCTCTTGTCAATCCAACTTCAAGTTCAATCGAAGTAGGAGACGAAGAATTTGAAAAGGAGATGCGGATGGCGATGGAGCTGTCACTCGCGGAGCAGCGTGGGTTTGAGCGGGGTCTCCTCCAGGCAGCGGCTCGATGGAGAGAAGGAGACGCCGGACATATTAACACTCAGGATTCGTAGAATTTGTCGATAAGAGCTGCGCAATGACTTTTGTCAACGTGTCCGTTTGTGTCCCGGCGCAGCAGATTTAATGGGTGGCTGCGGACTCTGTCAATGTTGGCGAGACGCTTGATGGAGTTGACAACATACAACAGTATATAACCAGCTATTGAAGTGGTGATAGTGGGTTGGTGCTCTTGAAGTTCAATCTCTAATCGTCCGGACTATGATCATCGAGAAGAATCAAAGCGGCAATGTCCCCGTCGATGATCCTCCACCATATACCGAGCACATGAACGCGTCGGACGAGGAACTCGCGGGCGTCATCGCTGCAGATCAAGGTAAGGTCTCTCAATCCTATACGATTCGCCACCATCTATCATATTATTTGTAATGCAAACTGATGCGACGAACAGATTTGACTGCTTACAAGGCCCATGGAAAGGGCCTTGACTCGAAAGCAACCATTGCACAAGACGGACGCATCAATGTGACAATGAACGTCAAGAAGGCACTTCCTGGTACTTTACCAACAAACTATGCCAACGAGATTCGCGAGTTTGCTGTTGACCCCGTTCTGCTTTCGACCTCGTCTTCAGATGATGCTGAGGATTTGGGACTACGAGAGGGCGGAAGGGTGCCCAGACTCAGTGTCGTCGTCATGATCGTCGGTAGTCGCGGTACGTTCTCACCCTCGCATATCATGGCACATACACTGAGCAAAGAACAGGAGACGTACAGCCATTTCTCGCATTGGGCCAGGAGCTCCTTCGTCATGGACACAGAGTTCGTATCGCAACTCATGGAACCTTTCGTGAGTTTATCAAAGAGGCTGGGCTGGAGTTTTACAACATTGGCGGCGACCCGCATGAACTCATGAGCTACATGGTCCGCAGTACGTCCAAGCCATGCGAAATGATAGAAGTAAAGTGACCGAGTGACGCTAGATCCAGGACTAATGCCTGGCTGGACGTCACTCACAAACGGTGATATTCCCCGGAAGCAGCGCATGCTCTCTGAAATCCTCAATGGCTGCTGGGACGCGTGCTCTCAGCCAGATATCGATGGAAAACCATTCATCGCGGATGCTATCATCTCCAACCCACCCGCATTCGCCCACGTGCATTGTGCCGAAGCACTTGGCATTCCCCTCCAGCTCTCTTTCAGTACGTACACATACCGTTATCACACCCAATACTAGCGAAGCTTGTGCTCATCGTCTTATCAGCAATGCCATGGTGTCCGACTGCTGCATTCCCTCACCCACTGGTCAATATCTCCCAGTCGAATGCCGAACCCGGGTTGACAAACTATTTGAGCTACGGATTAGCGGAAATGATGACCTGGCAGGGGTTTGTATTCTTCCCTTTCCCCTCCTTCAGGTCGTCATTGACATTGCACAGTCTCGGTGGGGTCATCAATGAGTTCCGTACTTCAAAGCTGGGACTATCAGCCCTCAATGTTCGCTCTGGACCTGGTCTCGTCGACAGACTCAAGATACCCTGGACCTATTGCTTTAGCCCGCTTCTGGTCCCTCGTCCGATCGACTGGCAAAATCACATAGACGTTGTAGGCTTCTACTTTCTCAATCTCGCATCGTCATACTCTCCGTCCACCACTCTTGCTACTTTTCTGGCATCTGGTCCACCACCCATTTATATTGGATTTGGGTCAGTGGTAGTCGAAGATCCGGAGAAGGTGACACAAGTCATCTTTGAGGCGACGAGGCTAGCCGGTGTCAGGGCACTTATCTCAGCTGGTTGGGGAGGACTGGGGAATACTCAGGTTCCACCGCATGTATTCATCCTAGGCAACGTGCCTCACGACTGGCTCTTCACAAAGGTCTTTGCAGTGTGCCACCACGGCGGTGCTGGCACTACTGCCATCGGTTTACAGTTGGGCAAACCAACCATCATTGTTCCATTCTTCGGCGACCAGCCATTCTGGGGAAACATGGTGTGGAAATCTGGTGCGGGACCAAAGCCCATTAAACCGGAGAAATTGGGCGTCGAGAGACTGAAGGCTGCCATCGAATTCTGTATGACCTCTGCGGCAAGAGATGGGGCAAGGAGATTGGGTGAGCAAATCCGGGCTCAGGTATGCTCTTCTTTCGTTCTATCCCTTCAGTTTCTCCGATTATTTTCATTTGCTGAAAACAGTCCTCGAATAGAATGGCGTCCGGAATGGTGTCCGCTCATTTCATCAACATCTTCCACTGCTAAATATGCGGTGCGATTTGATTCCTGAAGAGCTTGCAGTCTGGTGGGATCCCCAACATGTACGTCTTCCATTCAAACCAGCAACATCCCCACTCATGAATTGTTATTAGTGCCTCAAGCTTAGCGCATTGGCCGCTCAAGTTCTCAACGAAGAGAAATTGCTCAATATTCACAAGCTTGAGATTCACCGTGAGTCCTTGGTTATACCTTACTCAGTTTGTGCTAAATGCTGCATATGTTTGCTGCGCGCAGGTTCAAAGGAGTACGACACGGGTCTAAAGAGCAAGACACCATTCACTGGTGGTGTCGTTGAAGCTTTATTGTGCGTCACGTCGTTCTCGGAAGGATTGGTGCAAATGTTTACGTACGTAAAAATGCACTTGACATGGCTGTAATCAGTATTTTGACTTTTCCAGGGAACCAAAGAAGGGATTGATCAATACGACGGTGGCCATCCCACGGAGTGCGTTGACCCTTTACGTCCTTTCTGGCCAACATCACTCAATGCTGATGGACCGCAATTTTCAGGTATCATGCACATCCTCGAGTCCTTTACGGATGAGTTTGCCCATTTCCCAGCATTATACGGCTCGGCTATCCGCGAGCCTGGTCGACCGAGAGACTGGAAAAGTGGGTTCAAGGAAGGTGGAAAGGCTTTCTTCTTTGGACTCAGTGACGGTATCACTGGGCTGTGGACGGAGCCGGTCGAAGGGTACAAATCGGGTGTATGCACCAACTTTCTCGATACGTACGATGGGCTAATTGCGTTCTGAGAACAGGGATGGAAAGGTGCTCTTGTTGGTAATATGCGGAGCTGTGAGTCCATCATGACTCTCGCCTTTATTTGTGCTGAGATACGGGAACAGACGCGAACCTCGCAATGCGTCCTACAGCCGGTATGTCGGCCCTTCCATGCTATTGCGAACCATTAGGTTGACTGCTTCGTAAAGGGGCCTTTAGCCTGATTACCTACCCTGTACGAGGCGCGTTAATGTCGCTTCAAAGAAGAGATACGGCCACAGAACGACATATCCGTCAACTCAGGGTTGACCAAGGTCGAGATGCATCGCTACAAACACCCAAGTCTCCTAGAAAACCCCATTTCCCGCCTCCAGTGCCGCCAAAGGACAACATACCCGCAGCCTCTACCAAGTCTCCTACTGGGGAGAAGTCTGGTGCACCTCACGAGAGGGTCCCAGGCTATGATGAGACACTGATGCCCGACAACCAGACGCTATATACAGACGTAGACGAGGGAGGTTTAGAGGGTGAGGAGGACATGGCCGAGTCGAAGAAGGTCAAGAAGGATAAAAAGCACTCAGTTGGAATCGTCCAACGAGAGGCTCATTTCGAACGACACTTGCGCTCGTTGCATACGGTACCTCTCGACACACCAGGCTTGCGAGACGAAGCGACGCGTACTGTGATCATCCAAGCATTCAGAGTCGCAATCAAGTCCGAGAATGTCAAGAAACGTAAAAAGGCTATGTCGAAGCGCGTGCAATGGGTCATTACGAAAGGTGGTGCGGGCACCATTGCGGACGTGACGAGCCAAGAGGCCCAATACTTTGCAGGTGGACAGATTACCACTGCTGTTTTGACAACGAATGCGAACGTAGGACGTACCGCAACGGGGAATTCTACTGACTTGGATTCTCCATCTATGGCCGCACCCAGTTTCGAGCCACATGCTCCTAGAGCAGGACCATCGCGTCTTGTCAAGCCACCACCAGCTCCTAGAGCTGGGCCATCACGTCTCGTCAAGCCGCCACCACTTCCGCCTAGACAATCCACTTCGTCCACAACAGCAAGTGCCCAAGAATGGACACGCGAAGACGAGGAGCTATTTATCAAACAGCTCGAAGACGCCAAGCTCCGTTCACTGTCTGGTGACGTTTCAGGTACCGCTCACGCAGATGGAGTTGGAAGAGATGATGCCTCGAAACGAGATTATGAAGCCCAGTTGTTGCATGCCACGTTAGAATGGAGTGAGGCACCCCATATTCCGTCCTCGCCGGGATTCCATTCGCCACAGCAGTCGTCCTCATCAACGTCGACCTCAACTCCCCTATAGACATCTTTTGGACAATGTATATGTCATTCCTTTTCCCAGGTTGTAGCCTCGATATAGTAATTCGAACGTTCCCATCCGTCTTGTATAATCTGAAGTCCTCTCTGCGAACGGTTGGATTCTCCAGACTCACCAACATGCAGTTGGAGAGCATGGGCAGCCTCAACAACGAGTGATCGTAGCTCGCCTTTGGCGAACATATGGTAGTACCGCTTGTAGACTGGTGGGCTACTTTCTGTGGAAGCTTCAGGTTTGACATTGTGCACCCATGGTACTAGAACGTCTATGCCACTTGCTTGGTATTGAGGAACGTCCGTTGTTGGGATGACACGCTTGGACGCGCCGTCTTGCTCGATTGCCCAGACGTATATCAATGCTCTGCCTCCATGCGGCTTGAGAGATTTGAGAAGAAGCTGGATATTTGGTGAGGCCCCGGTACTTGTACAATAGCTGGCGTACCTCTACAGACTTTACGCGCCGGCTATGTGTAGCGAGGTGATGAATCGTGGCGATGGATATTGCATAGTCCTGCCATTGATTAGGAGGAAAGAGAATCCAAGATCTAGTTCGACTCACGAAAGCGTGAGCTCGCCAGGGCATTTCCATCACATCACCCAAGATCACGTCGCATCCATCCTGACGAGCAAGCTTGGCAACTTCAAGAAGATTGCGACTTCTATCCATCCCAATAGTCCGAATAGATGATGGATTGTTCATGTACTTTCCGTTTCCGCATCCCAAATCGACCCCGATGGATCCTGGTGTTAGGGAGGACATGAATTGTTTCACTATAGGCCAAGGCTGATATAAATGGGTCAGAATATGTCCCCAGAAACAATTCTTTCTGACCTTGTAGCGGGTGGCGGAAAAGTGTGAAGCAATCTCGTCATAAATGGCATGAACATGGGTTTCTTCATACTTCGAAGCATCTCCTGTGATATCTGGTGCTGGTACGACTGCCTTCTCGTTCGACATGGTCAGGTGCAGGTGCAAAGTGGAGCGCGCACCCGTCCCGGACCTCGTTTTCCTAATTCTCGGTACCTATACCACAGCGTTTTAATCGAAGCATTTTAAGGAATGTCAAGGCGAAAGACAACGACCAAGTTGGTAGTCAAAGAGGAAGACGAAGGAGAATTGACTCTGACAACAAAGTCTGTTGAAGAGATGAAGACCAAGCTAAACGGCTTTGCTTACACATCTAAATCCCGTGCGGCAGCAACAAGAGCAAGAACGATGCGAAGTATGCCCTGTTGACCTTCTAGCTCTTGATGCATACTGATTCTACCTAGCGTCTACAACGGAATCCCTACCGATTAAACGGAAGCGTTCTAGTTCACTAGAGGAAAAGGCCGCTACCAGTCCTCGAAAGCCCAAAGCATTCAAAATGAAGTTGGACGAGCCTCACGCCGCACCAAAGAATTGGAATATCACTTACAAGGCCATAGAGGAGATGAGAAAGGGTGGAACGGCACCCGTTGATTCCATGGGCTGCCACGTTCCGATGCTCGATGCAAGGATCGACCAAAAGGTATGCAGATCTGTTGATAGGCGCAATTGCTTATAAAGAGGAAGACACGTCGCTTTATAACCCTCCTGTCCCTCATGCTATCCTCTCAAACCAAGGATGAGGTCACGTTCACGGCCGTACAGAAACTTCGAGTGGCCATGGAGCCTGCGGATGCAAATCCTCATGAAGTCTATCTCACCCCTGCGGCCATACGCTCCGCCCCAATTTCACAGATTGAGGAGTGCATCAACAAGGTTGGCTTTTGGCGTCGAAAGGCACAGTATATCAAGGACACGGCAGAGATTCTCGGAAAGGAATACGACGACGATATACCACGGTCTATCGAAGGTCTTTGTGCGCTGCCGGGGGTTGGTATGAAAATGGCCATGCTCGCGATGCAGTCAGCCTGGGGTGACAACGTCGGAATTGGTGTCGACGTACACGTTCATAGGATTACTAACCGTCTACACTGGCATAAAAAGGAGACCAAGACACCGGAAGAGACGAGGTTGAATCTGGAGAGCTGGCTCCCAAAGGAATTTCATCCGACGATTAATCCTTTACTCGTCGGATTCGGACAGACAATTTGCACACCGGTGCGACCGAAATGCGACGAATGTCTTTTGTCCAAAGCCTCTTTCGAGCTGGATGGTGAGGAGGTTGAAGGTCCGCTTTGTCCGAGCGCATACAAAGAATCCGGTTCGCCACGAAAAAAGACGACCAAAGTGGAGAGCGTCAAGCTCGAGGCAGAGGCAAAGATAAAGGTAGAGCTGGAGTAATATAACATCATGTATCCATACATTATTCGTGTATCATACTACGATCATTGGAGTCCCTGCTCCTGCCGCTTCGCAAGCTCCTTTTCTAGTTTGACGATATCCGCCTCTGCATCCCTGATTGTATCGTTCCACTGCACAAAGAGCTCGCTCATGATGCCCACCCTCTCGTTGTATCGTTCCAAGAGACCCATAAGACGCGACTCGAGTGCGTCGAATCTGTTCGTATCTTCTTTGTGCTTCTTCACCACCTCTGCCAGTCGTGGTAACAGGGGTTCATACTCTTCAAGTTTTCCTGCACTGGTCACGCCTTGCTTCTCCAGCTGGATGATGCTGGCCAATGATCGGTCTGCTTCGCGTATTTCTGGTTCCATCTCTTGGAGAAGTGCATCGAGATCTGCAGACGATAGGAGTTGTATGCAGGTGCCGTCGAAGGATTTTGGTGATTGAATGCGAACAAGGGTGTGAATAAATGGGCATGTTTGTCGTCTAAAGAGAGATAAGCTCGTGTGGCCGTTATGAAATAGGACTTACAGCTTTGGATGAACATTGCAAGATCGTCGTACTTTTCGACAATCGCATCCAACCTCCGTTGTATTTCCTCTGCTTGTCGTATCAATGTATTCTCATCCGTGCTATAAGGTTCCTCTTCATCTGTCATATCGGCATCATCTGCCTCTTCTTCGCCAGAAACTGGCTTTCGTCGGGTCGCGGAAACAGGCGTGACGGCACCAGATGAAGCCCCAGCAGTCTTTGAGCTCTTCTTATTGACTGATTTCCCTTCTACCTCGTTGACACCAAGCAAAAGAGCCTCCAACCATCGTATGCGCAGTTGTAAAGCGACTTCGGGAGAGATGTGTGGAGGTCCATGTGGAAGAGGAGAAGATGGGGGAGAAGTACTGGCTAGTATTCGTTGTCGTGGATCTCCCAGAAACACGCTGCCAAACATTGCCAGTTGAGGTCGGCTCCAAAGTACGATGATGCCACTAGTATGACACTGGATATGTACGAGAAATAGACGATATTGAGTGTTCGAATGAAGCCGATTGACAACTTGCTGGCCGGTATTATTATTTGGTCGGTGGCCAAGTCAAAGCCTGATTCCGTCCGCGTCGCTCGTCCCGCTCTTGCGGCTCGTGAAAAGCGCTCTCGTCGGTGCAAATCACCTTATTCCATCTATATGTGCTAACAGTGTTACTTTTCTCAGCCAGACGAAGCATTCGTTTGCTTCTCTCGTCCGCCATCGCGTGCTGTCGACTCTCGCCGGTCCTCTCGCGATCTTATCAATCTCATAGAACGCTCTGCATACTCTTCCGACGCCCGCGATCCGCTGTCTGAAGCCAAATGTCATCTCCTCAAGCGGCCAGCCCATCTGCAGGCCAGGGACAAGCCCAGCAACCATATGCACAGTACTCTTTCCGTGCACAAAAGAGTGTCGGACTCGTCCAAGGTCCTCCCTCGTACGAACCCTGCAGTTTTGAAAAGTGCGTAGACGTCTATTTTTCTTGAAAGCGTACCCGCCGTGGGGATCAAGGAGAACGGCACGATGACTCGAGATGCCTCGTTGCTTGTCGCTTGCAAGCTATATTGTTTTGCCATTGGACCAGACCTACCGTGGCGACCATGCTAAGGCAACGAGGCGAAGAGCTTTTTTCGGGCCAATGAGGCACACGCTTCGTCCAATTCATTTCATTGTGCTACATACTCTTCAACTTGCTGATATATTCATTCTCTTCTCTACAGGCCTGAAGGAACAGCCCGTGCCACTCAGTACAGCGCCGATGGACGCTTTTTTGGTATCGCAACTCCAGACAAGTACGCTAGATCTCCGTCTCAGATCTTACATCTCTAAATGCTTATAGGATCGTGATCATCTCCACCGCAACGCTCGCCGTCATCCAGGCCATCGAACTACCAAGTGTTGTTGAAATTGGCTTTTCGCCCAAAGGCACATTCCTGTCTTCTTGGGAGAGGCAGCAAAAGGCGGATGAGACTGGCGTTCACAAGAATCTAAAAGTCTGGAACGTGCAGACGGGAGAACAGGTTGCAAGTTTTGGTCAAAAGAACCAAGAGGATGGTACGCTTTCCCCTGTTTCATGACCTTGATCTAAATCTGCCCCACAGGGATTTGCAGTACACTGCATCCGAGTCGTATGCCGTACGCCTTGCCGGTCCAGAAATTCAAGTCTTCAATACAGGCAATTGGGCTGCAGGTGCCACCTCGAAGCTGCGTCTCGAGGGAGTTACGACTGCGGTTGTCAGCCCCGGAGCCAATCCGAGTATCGCAGTCTTTATTCCTGAGAAAGCCGGGACCCCTGGAAGCATTCGGGTATACAACCTTTCAGGTGCGGCGCTTCTTTGAGCTTATTCTTAGTACTGACATGTGCCCTCAGCCCTCACCGCGCCACCCGCTTGTCAAAAGTCGTTTTTCAAAGCTGATCGAGTGACCATCAAATGGAACTCGCTCGGCACGTTGGCTCTGATCATGACGCATACCGAGGTGGACAAAAGTAACAAGAGCTACTACGGCGAGACTGGTATGTACCTATTGAGTGCAGCAGGCAACTTTGACAGCCGGATCGTCCTCGGTAAGTTTCACTCTCAATCCCTGTTCGTTTACTGAAGTAGCAAAGACAAGGAGGGTCCTATCCACGACTTTGCTTGGAACCCAAACTCTAAAGAGTTTTGTGTCGTCTATGGCTTCATGCCAGCCAAAGCGACGCTGTTCGACCAGCGCGTCAAGCCAATCTTCGAGTTTGGTGCGGGCCCTCACAACTTTGTGAGCTGGAATCCACATGGCCGTTTGGTGGCCCTTGCTGGCTTCGGCAATTTGGCAGGTCCGTGCAGTCATCTCAATCCTACGCATTGTGACTCACCTCCTATTTTGGCAGGCAAAGTCGAGATCTTTGATCGTCGTACTCTGAATAAAATCAGCGACATCGATGCTCCCAATACGAGCCACTTTGAATGGAGTCATGACGGGACCACAATCATGACGGCGACACTGAGCCCACGTTTGCGAGTCGACAATGGGATCAAGCTTTGGTGGTGCAACGGCACTCTCTTGCACGTCCAGCTCATCGACGAGTTATACCAGGCACACTGGAGACCGATCGCACGAGGGAGCAGTCCTCCATTCCCAGTGAATATACCTGCTGCGCCAGTGCCATCGGAATCTGCGCAAGCGGTTCCTGCAAAGCCTGCTGCGGCCAAGCCGGCTGGTGCGTACCGTCCGCCTGGAGCGCAAGGTCGTGCTGCGCCGAGCATCTTCAAACGCGAAGATGAAGGCGGTGGATCCGGAACGCATACACCTCCTCGTGGTGTGCCTGGATCGATGGGATATGCAGACGGCGGGATGAATGGACACGGGAGGGGAGGCGCGAATGGATATATCCGTGGCGGTGGCCGTGGAGATGCTCCGAGGGGCCGTGGACAAGGTGGAAGGCATGTACCTGGAGCTGCACCTGTGACGCCTCCAGCTTCGGGAACACCGCCGCCGCCCGGTGGCGAAGGAGACAAGACACGGCGGAAGAAGGGTAAAGGACGAAGGGAGGATGGAGAAGGTGGAGGAAGTGGAAGTGTGCCGCCTAGTGGACGTGCTACACCTGTGGATGGCTATTCGACCCCGCGTGGGCAGCCTGGAGGCGGGCGAGGACGCGGTGGCGCTGCGAATGCGAATAATACGCATGCGCAGACAGAAGGTGAAGGTGGAAAGGGCAAGATGAAGATTGCCATGCCGGCCAAGGTGGAACAGGCTTTGCTCTCTGTTCCTGCAGATGTCGAGTCGCCGCTGAGCCCTGGGGCTGACGGAATGTTGGATCCGACGCAGAAGCGGATTCGTAACCTCAACAAAAAGGTACGTCTTCCTTCCTCGGTTTTGTCAATTGAATATGCTGGGCTGATACGTGTGTGTATAGTTGAAGGCCATCGAAGAGCTCAAGGAAAAACTGAGCCGGGGCGAAAAGCTCGAAGCGACGCAATACAAGAAGATTGAAACCGAAGCAGAGATTCGCAAGGAGCTTTCTTCGATCGTTTGATCGTTTCGCCTTGCTATTGGACGATTGGGGCAAGGGGAGGATGGCGTGCTATTGATACACAGTCTCAGAGTGTCTGTTTCATACCTCGTCGAGTGGGATGTAATACACTCTTCTATCATCTACCTCTACGTCGCCATCATGCTTGAATCCTTTCAGAGAGATTGTAGACATCTGCTCGTCTTTGATCCCACAGAGGCATTTCTCTTCTTACCTGGGTGAGGTAGTCTAGATCGATTCTGCTGTTCTCATGAGCGCGGACATTGGGCTTTATTGGACATACTCTGCAATGGCCAAGTCGTCTTCTTCACCACTAGAATTGACCTCTGGCTGTGAGTTGGCACTGTTGTCAAATTCCTTGCACTGAGCAAGAATAGTACCCCACGGGTCCACAATCATCGCACGGCCATACGAGAAGCGTCCGGCAAAGTGCTCGCCTGCTTGTGCAGGAGCGAGAACATAGGATTGCGTCTCAATTGCGCGTGCACGAAGGAGAGTTTCTTGGTCGTGCGTAAGCTGGGATGTAGTTTGTGTTGAGTGGAGGAGACATACCCCAGTGGGCTTTGCCAGTCTTGATTGTGAATGCGCTTGGGTATGTGAGGATATGTGCACCGCGTTGCCGTAGGAGTAGTGCAGGCTCGGCGAACCGAATGTCGTAACAGGTGAGTAGACCCACTATAATTTGGATCCTCAGAGGTAATGCTATATAAGGTGTGGCTGTTACCTTGCCCAGCTGGTGTTTTCACCGGAGGAGTCATGTTCCTGCCGGGAACGGTCGAGGCAGACTCAAGAAAGGTTGATCCTCCAGACCCTTTGAGATCCTGACAGGGTAAGCTCAGATAATACTGAAGCATATTACATACGACGTCGAAAAGATGAAGTTTCTCGTATCTGCCTTTGATATCTCCAGTGTCGTCAATTAGAAGGTGAGTGTTAAAGACGCGCCGCTCAGAGGACAATGGTGTCTACACCTAGTTCAGTTCAACTATTTATTAGTCGTGAGAGTCGTTGTGCCTACTTCTGGCCGCTCGTGAACCCCAACGCCGACCCAGATACGGCTGGAGCGCGCTTCCATCTTGATCCGTTGCACAAACACATGGTCAGGGAGTTGCGCAGCAAGGTCATATACAGTATTTGTTGGTGCAATGTAGTCTGCTGCCTCTGGAAGATACACAAGTTTGGCATTGGCGGCAGCTGCTCGTCGAATGAGTCGTAGACAACGTTCGATATTGTGAGTAATAGAAGGCGTAGAACAGAGTTGCGCAACGGCAATCTTCATGCTTGAAAACACTCAAGGTGGCAGTCGAACCTTTGAGGTTGACTCCATTTGCCGTCTATCGGCAAAGAACGTGGAAACTGAACCGCTGGAAACCCGATAACCATGGAGATAATACAAATGCTCAAAGAACAAAGCCAGGCGCCGAGTCGCGCAGCGTAGACCCAGACTGGGCGCGTCTCACGTCGGGCTGAACAATTCAAATGTTGAAGAATCCCCATTTACCACTCGAGAATAGACATTTTCTTTTCGTCATCTGGCGGGATAGCAAGGGGCTTCCGGATTGGGACGATGCTTGTTCTTCGATTGGCGGCGACCCACAAAGTCCATTTCGAGCGCAGCTTCTGCACGAATATGGTCTCCAATGTTCAGCTTTGCTGCCTTATAACCTCGCTCAGGGACTCTTGCCATGCAGCATCTACTTCTCCTCAACCACCCCTCTCTCCTCTTGTACGAGAGACATTAACGACTAAATTATCTTCTCCTATTGTGTGTATTCACCATACCAGCTCAAATTCCTGCTGTTTCGCTCTCTCCAACCTACGTGCCTCGTCACCGACCGTCAAAGTCCATCTCAAGCATCTTCTCCACCTCTCGCCTCTCCATCAGTGACAAGTCAATGGCTACTGGACTCACCATTCTCTCCCCGTCCATGCTCCCTCCCCGCACTTCCACTTCGACGCTCGACTCGATGAACAGTGGAAGCAGCCGCTCGCCTTCGCCCTATGGCCAGGGCCACAACATTCAACTCATCAACACTATCCCAGGCGCACTTCCACGCTCTTCGACACCGACACGCCAAAGGCTACTCTACGTCGCGGCCTCGCTCTCGATTCACCTCACCAATGCCGACCTTCCTCATGCGTTCCTTGGTCGCTTCTCTCTCTTCCTTCGTGGCGCAGATGTTTCTCCTCGTTGGGTTGATGCAGATGTCATCAAGCCTATCATCGGCGCGACGCAGCGCGTCAAGGACGTATTGGCGCTCAACAAGGACTTTGCCATCCATGGCGAGGCGCACGAAGACGGCATAGACAGGCTGCTCGTTAGTCACTGCTGTGGAATCTACGTCCGGCTTTCTGTTGGGTATGTCTACCTCTCCGCCTTCTAGAACCATCCTGATAAAATATCTTTCAATAGTGCTATCCCATCATTGAAGAAGAAGGTCGACTTGATCTCTGCACACCTTGATGCATCCCAGCCCAATGTTGTGCTCCCGTGCTTGACGCCTGCTCGTCAATTCCTTGAGACGGTGATCATCGCCTCGTCGATGGATGCCAAAGTCGAGGACTTGCAGGATCTAGTGTGGATGAAGGATAATCTCAAGATGGATATGATGAACGACCCCACCACGCTCAAGAAGACGTGGGACGATGGCCGTCTCGGAAGGCTCATCGAAAATTGGCCGGCGATAAAGGGTGTCTTTGTCGACCTTGGACTCGTTGCAGATGGAGACGAAATCCGTTCGGTACGTTCTTGCCTTTACCTCTATGGTTCGGAGCCTGATTTAGCGACAGACGGTCCACAATACGTTGAGCCGATCTCGATCCAAGTACGGTCATTAATTGGGCAATCTGACGAAATACGCAATCCACCCACTTCCCCTCATTTATCAACACTTTCATTTATTACCTCGCCAAGAGGGTATTCGCATCGAATGTGCTAGGCACTTTTTCTCGTACCTTGATAACCCAACGACTTTCACGCTCACGACTCTTTACGACTTCCCTGCAATGCACTCATCCCCCGAGTTTGCGGTAAACTCTGACCGGTACAATATGTCTTGTACAGCACATAATAGAATTATTTAACTTAATACGTCCAGCCGTACACTGAGACCGGTCCTCGGGATGCAACTTGAACTCGACCATCAGGAGATATCCGACTTTCCTCGGAGACTGACCAGATCTATTCACAGGCCTATTCATGTCACTGGAGATACCATCGTTCTTGATGATATGAGATCTGAACGTCCCGAGTTCAATTTCCCCCGAAACGGCATTATTACATAACCAATGGATCAATCTACCATCTCCCAACTGCGACCAAAGAATGAGAGGTCAGGGCGAAGAATCAGCAAGGTGGGGTGAAATGGGGCCTGTGCGATATATCGATCTTGCGTCGCGCGTCGCGATAGGCTCGCCGGTCATATATCTGCGTAACGTTCAGATCGTAGAAACCTGGCAGGAACCTGCCCTTAAGGAGGACGCCACACAGCCCGATGCGCAACCTTCTCCATGCATTCGACCTTGCGCATTCACATTGCTCTACCAAGCGCACTTGCAATCCTCCTCCCCTAAATCTGGATCCTCAATATCACACACCTGGAGGCGCCTGGCAAAGACCTGGCTCATCTGAGTATCATACAAATGGGGTGTAGAATCTGAGGGTGTGAACAGGTGGACGTGGTGGAGACATAAAAGCGGCGCTATCAGTCCCACTCGTCCTTTAACTGTTGGTCCGGCTCGAAGAGACCAAAAGACAGCCCTTACAACGCCACGCATACCATCCGTCGTCGGAATGACTTACGACCTCATACTCACCGCCAGCGTTGACGGGGTCGACCCTCATAGCTGGGATGCGAGCTTTGACGATAGTTTCTGGTCAAATCTGTCATATACGGACCCGAGTATCGTCCTCGGACTTGGTGATCCATCCAGCCCACCGAAGAAGTCTGAAATTGGAGAGGTGCGTCTTCAACGATAATTTCTTTGCATTTACACACGTATACTGAGATGTTATGCAGAGTTTAGACACTTTTCTTGATGAAATAGTGGCTGACTGGGTCCCGCCCCCTCTGCTCTCCCTCACGCTCAGTCCAGTAGACGAGAAGACAAGCAAAAATCAATGGTCAGTCTCACCGGATATCCTCCAGGCATCGGCGGAAAGTCCATCTACATCGTGCGCGACAACGCCAACCTTGTCGACTTTGGATTCTCCAATGACTGTAGAGAGTCCTACAACAACGGTGTGTGATGAAGAGGTACCCTCAGGCGACAAAGATGAAAGAGCAGGAACTTCCATGCACGATCGACTATACCAAAATCTTCTGGAACGAGGATTCGAAGACCGAGTGGAGGCGTTGATGCCCTTGCTGGAAGAGGTCCAGTACCACCAATCACGCAATTACGGGACGACGATGATTCCACAGAAGCGATTCGCGACCTTTCTGAAGCGAACGGACACCGGCTTCAATACCAAAAATTGTCGATGGTACTCATGCTGCTTTTGCCACCATTCGCTTCAGAATCAAACGCAGATGGTTCAACATCTGATGGGTCGACATTTTGAGTACAAGCCCTTTCTTTGTGAAAACGCCAAATGGTACGGTCTCATCTCGTCTATCGAAGCGCAAAGTAATAGACCTGCTAATCTACGATTCTTTACCCAGCAATTCGCAATTCTATCGCCGAGCAGATCTACGAAAGCATGCCGAGGACAAGCACACAGGCAGAAAGGTTCAATGTACATGGTCAGATAGGGCAGTCTCTCGTAATTCCGCTAACAATTTTTGCAGTGGCAAGACGTACACCAATGACCGGAACCTCAAGCGCCATCGGCGGTCGACTCGTTGCAAGCGGCCTTCACCCTAAAAGGCAGATTGTGGATGTACGTATAGTTGTGTAGGCTGAATAAGAGATTCTAAAGAGAGCCTCAAGAGGCGTTGCACCGATCTCGTTAGGTGTGTTAGTGACGTGCCTGACAGGGACGTGCCGACGATACGGAATGATACGCTCTGCATACAGATTCATAGAGCCTGACAAGGGGCATTCTCTCTGATCTTTTCCAGTGCTTGAAGAATCAGCCTCATTGACAGTGCAGACGCAAATACATTTAAACTTAAACTATAGCCAGGCTCTTTATCGGATGATGAACTCATCTTTAAAACCTGTATGCAGCGCACGCGAGCGATCGAGCCCTCATTCGCAGAACAACGTCGACGGCAATGTCCACCAATCATCTCTCAAGCCCAATAGGGCCTGTCTCTGGTAGCATTTCACAAGAGGTAGAAATATCCGTACATAGGTTTGGCACTACGTGGCTAACATTAGTAGGCGTCAACGTCCAGCGGAATCACGGATCTCCTCGCTATCTCACAGGCGGCGTACGCGAATCGTGGGCGGTACTTTGAGCATGACAAAACGGAGCGCGAGGTAAAACTTCGAATGGAAGCGACATCACCCAAGATGCTTCAAGCCCTCGACACAATCTTCAACTCCAGCCCCTGGGTCACGCAGACAGGGGAGCTAGACCGATTTCAACTCCAGCAATGCCTTCTCATCAAGAAGGAGGGAGATAGCGAAAAGTTTCATTGTATGTTCGACAAATGCGACTACTCCAATGCCGAGTCAACCAACGCTGTTGAGCATATTCGCGGCACACATTTTGGAAATCGTCCATTTCTATGTGAAAAATGGTGGGTCTGACCAAATAATCTGATAAATTTGTGCTTAATATACTAGTCCCAGGGCGTTTACCCGAAGATACGATCTGAAGACTCACGCCGCTACGCATGAAGAAATTCGGCCATATACTTGCAGGTTCTGGTAAGGTGAATGCGCTATATCTTCTTGATTCTGATCCAGTGAGTAGCGGCGCGGGGTTTACACGCGCCTCGAACAAAAGTCGCCACGAGAGGAATTCGCATCCTCAGGAGTGGGTAGTGACGAACCGAACAGTTCTCACTCTTCACAAAGTGGAGAAAAGTAAGGAGTACATAGCTCCTGTCCGAATATAGTCTATCTGAAAGTATAGCATCACTTAATTGGCCAATTGTATTGGCGAGCCTGATGTTTTGTCAATTCCGAACACACTTAGATGTGGTTTTGATTATATCGGGTTTGAAAGAAATACACAGCCTGAGGAGGTTGCGAGCCTGACCAGACCTGGCGACGTGGCGCTAGCTGGGCCTGGAAGCCTGATCGTATCATTGCACATATAAGATTCCCACACTCAAGGTCTACTCCTCTGACTCTTAGACAAATCCGATCATGGATCTTGAGACACAAAAGCAGAGGGCTACGTGCTCAGGTATGCCTATCACTTTTACAGCGAACACCCCTCCACGACCACTTAGCGATCAATTGGGCGAGTCATACGCCGCCTTTCACGCCGGTAAGCTACTTTTTAACGAGGATAGGTCATATCTTACTATTGGTAATGAGGATATGAACAGCGAAACGTAAGTGGACAGATAGCCCGTGTTTCGGGTGGTTTAGTTCTCACAGGCCGCCCCCCATCAATATAACGTCGCCACAATATTTCAACAAACCCGCAAGTGCGGTATTGGATCAACTTTCCAAGGCTATTCCAGAACATTCCCGTCATAAGCTTCAAGCCATCTTCAATAGCAAATCGTGGCTTGAGCAGAATGCTCCACTCAGCAGCGAACTAATTCGGGCACTGATTATTCACAAGGACAAGAAGCACTCTTGCCCATTTGTCAATTGTGGAGCATCGTTCCAGCAGTCCGCACGAGCGAAAACTCACATTGAGGAACACTTCGGACATAAAGGCAAGGCATGTGGAAAATGGTATGCAAATCAATGGATTTGCGACAAATCTTAATGTTGATTACAGCGGAAAGACATTTAGACGCGAGTCCGACAAGCGGCAACATGAGAGGGGGCATGGTCAGAAATTCATACCCTGTCCTCGTTGGTGAGTTTCAAACAGTCATTTTTATGGTCATGCTAACTCCTACAAGCGAGACTCTCTTTAAAGGTCGCAAGAATATGAAGCGACACTTGCACAACAGTTGCGTCCCGGCGGCTAGTGACTGACTGGAGTGCTCGCGGGCGTAGAATGTACAATGTTGTCAGAGAAATGAAATCATGTTCATGAGTTCTCCTTCAGAGCCTCTGTTGGCCTTCTCCCGAAGGCAGTTCGACAATCTGCTCAAATCCCGGGTACGCGGGTAGATTAAGCGCAAACTTTTCTTGCAGGCCCCTAACACGAGGTGAGAATGGGCGATGCATGGTCAAGAACATACCAAGGAACAAAGCGGCCACCCAAAAAGTGACGCCCTTGAAGGTTCTGACGCCTTCTTTGGGAGCTGTCAGGCTGATGAGAACGTCTGGCATGAGGACTTCCTCTATCTTCTCGCCGCTTTGATCTACCTCACGCTGGACAGGTCCCTTCTCGACGTCCCATCCAGAGGGAATGTCAACGCTGACGATGGGTAGTTTGCTCTTGGAGATGAGGGGGAGCACCTCGTTGAATGGTGGTCGTACGGGTCCAGAAAATGAGAACCCAAAGATTGCATCTAGAATAACGTCCGTCTCTTTCAGAGAGTCCTTGAGGTCGGCGATCGATGAAAGTGTTGGGATGGCCAGGTTTTCTGTCTGCCTTTGTAGACGCTGCAATTCTGTGAGTGGAGCCTCCTGCTGATATGCGTTCACTTGGTACCTTATAAATGTCCTTGGAGCCTGGCTGCAAGACGTCGGTATATAGTCTATTGCATATGCCCATACCTTTGGCAGGAATACAGTAGGTTTATAGCCGAACATGCCTGCCAGGCTCGACATCATTGTGACGTCCCGCAAGTCATAACTCACTGAGGTGGCGAGCGGCCACAAGGCCATCTCCTCCCTGATTTCCTGGTCCACAGCAGACAAGAACCCGCGAGTTCGAAGCCTGCTGGTCCTCGTGCAAAGGATAGACTGTTGCGATGGTCTGTGCACAGGCTAAACCGGCCAGTTCCATCAACTGGTCAATACTAAACGCGCCTGATGCACTCATCAGCTCTTCATCAATCTGTGTGATGTCGTTTAGTCACTGTACAGGTATCATGTCGAGCAGCTGAGTGGCAAACTCGCTAGGCGCACCTGTTGGGCCAGACGTGCTGTGAGATAGCGAATCGACATGTTTGAGGGTGTTCTGATTACAAGGTCCGGCCCTTGCCAGGTGTCAATAATACGGCAGGAACCAACGTTGAACTCTACCGTCGTTGACTTGCGATACTTTGCCAGCACAGGAGGCGCTATTAAATACGGAATTACTGGAGTAAGTATGAAACTCCAATACTCTTGGAGTTATCATCCAACCAGGGCTTGTTGCTAACTCGTGGTCCCTTGCAGCCCTTCGACCAGGCGATACGACGCACAAATTCTAGCTATATGATCTAAAACTACTCGAAATCATGTCACTTCACCGAACAAAGTCATTCATCGAGGAGGAGGCCCTCCTGACACGACCTTCCAGCCCTTTTCAGCCCGGCTCTTCGAATGCCAAACCCACTTCCGCCAGAGAATATGACATAGAACATCCAGATGATGTGCGTCTTGAAAGACAGGGTCTGCTGCAGCCGACCATGAAGGGATACCGTGACACCGATGAAGAGGACGAATCCGGAGAAATGACCAATGTGCCACTCGGGCGAAGAGTTGGAGGGGCGAGACGTAAAAGAAGACGTATATACACGCTGGCAGGAGTGCTCGCCCTTTTGCTGGTCGGTGGGTTCTTTGCAAGACCTCTCCTCTCGGATAAGCCTCCGGGATCCAAGGATGAAGATGACATAAAGGATCCACATGCACTTCTTTCAAATGGTACCCATGAATATCGCAAGACAGTTTTGCTTGTCTCCATAGACGGCCTACGGTAAGCTCCCTGTGCTAAGTTGAATCTTGTGTCTTACCGGTTGTACTTTTTAGAGCCGACTATCTAGATAGAGGGCTTACTCCTCATCTTTTGCATATCAGCAAACGAGGTCTTCGAGCGGAGTGGATGAAACCGGCCTTCCCTACATTGACGTTCCCAAATCATTGGGCACTGATGACTGGTCTCTATCCAGAGTCTCATGGAATAGTTGGAAACAACTTTTATGACCCTGAGCTTGAGGCAGAGTTTGTATACACGGACCCAAAGAGGTCGCACGACGGCAAATGGTGGGGAGGAGAACCTGTGAGAGGCCTCGTCACGATTCATGTCAAAAGCGCTAACTATTCATCAGATGTGGGAGACTGCTGCAAAGGGTGGGCTGAAAGCCGCAGTCATGATGTGGCCTGGTCCACCAAGAACCGCTCGAGGAACAGCACCGACATACTTTGTTGAATTCAATGTCAGAATTCCATCTCTTCACTGGTTTTTACTTATTATTTGGTCAGAACGACGTCAAGATGTTTGAAAAAGTCACTCAAATCACCAATTGGCTGGAACTCCCCCTTGATGACCGACCGAGGCTGATAACTGGTACTTTTCCACTACTCAGCTGTGTTGGATATCTGATTTTGTCTAGTCTATGAGCCATCGCTGGATGAAGCTGGACATCTGACAGGACCTTCTTCCTCCCTCGTCCGGACGGTATTGCAGCAGGTCGACGTATTTGCCAAGGACATACACCAAGTTCTCCTAGGTGCGGCTCAAGAGAATATTGTATTCAGATCTAATGCTCCTCACAGACCGAAACCTGACGCATATCGTCGATGTCATCTATGTTAGCGACCACGGTATGACTGATACCAGTGGTCAAAGAGTTGTGTACCTCGACGAGATAATTGGTGAAGATGGTGTCAACGACGTGATTTATGAGGATGGTTGGTGGTTTTCATCGCGCTTTTCCAGACTCTTAACTCGGCAATAGGCTGGCCCAATTTTGGGCTACGCTTCGCACCAAGCGCGAATATATCCCACTACTTCCATCTCTTGCAAGAGTATACCGTCTCTCGCCACCCTGACTCCCCCTTTGAGGTTTACACCCACGAGACTATGCCGAAGCGATATCACTTCTCTAACAACGAGAGGATTGCACCGATATACCTATGCCCTCGCCTCGGCTGGATCATCTCTAATCATCACGAGGTAAAGGAAATCTGGGGTGGCGTGGATGGGCGCCCGAAAGGAGTAAGTCAACCTGTCCTTGGTAAATGTTGTCTGAATCCTCGAAAGACACATGGATACGACAATGAAGAACCAGAGATGCGCGCAATGTTTGTCGCGGACGGACCCTTCGCAAAGAAATCTCGCGCTAAATTGGTAACTCAGGATAGTTTCCAAGAGATCGCACAGTCCTATTTGCGACAATTGTGGGGTCTACCGGCCACGACCTCTGCCACTGCTGCAGACAGGATTATACCAGGGTTCCCCAATCTCGAGCTGTATGGTCTCGTTACCAAGATTCTGGGCGTAGAGCCGGCTCCGAATAACGGGACAAAGGGATTTTGGGATCAATACTTTTGAGCGGAGTCGTTTGTCGTAGAGCGCTCATAGATAGATGTTTTGTAGATTTGTATCATACTTGTCGTGATTTTGAACGTCTCTGAGAATTTATGAGCACTTTATTCGCCATTCGTTAGGGGGAATTTGAACACCGCCAAACGAAACCTTAAACCGACCGTCGACCACCCTTGGCTCTTACCTCCTAAAATGCCGCCTTCTACCACGTCAGTTTATCTGATTATCCTTGGAAGCATATTTGCTGATGTCTATCTCATTTATCCCATGCCGAATTCTCGAAATCTCCTACGGTTCTGCCACTCTGGATGACTTTGGGCATTGACAAATGTATAATCCTGCATCTTCAAATCACTCTCTATAAACGACAGTGTCCCGTCGGCGCAGGTGAGATCTCATATTCGTGGCAAATTTGGAGGAGAAATGCTGATCTTGCGCTTCTATACAGCACATCGACGTCCCAGAAACTCTTCTCAAGAAGAGAAAACAAAATGAGAAGGCTAGAGAGGAAAAGCTCGCCGCTGCTGCCGCTGCCCGCAAGGTCGATATTCTCTCACTTGATCACCGAGTAATGCTGATGTTTCCCTTGCCTCAAATCCTTTTTAAATCTATTCAAATCTGGCGTTTTTCGTTGCTGCATTATAGAATAGCGTGGCCAAGCGAAGAATTCTCTTCAAGCGGGCAGAGACCTATGTAAAGGAATATGTCAACCGCGAGAAGGAGGAGATCCGCCTCAAGCGTGCTGCTCGTGCTGCCGGTGACTTCTACGTACCAGGAGATGCCAAGCTGTACTTTGTTGTCCGCATCAAGGGGTTCGTCCATCCATGATTGGATTAATAGTCGGGATTTGATGCTGTTTGACAGTGTGAGCAAGATTGCACCAAAACCACGCAAAGTCCTCCAGCTTCTCCGCCTCCTCCAAATCAACAATGGCGTCTTCCTCAAGGTCAACAAGGCTACTGAGCAGATGCTGAAGTTGGTTGAGCCATACATCACCTATGGGTATGCTCTCCTTCTTGATGATCTACGTAATTACTTACATTCTACAGCGAGCCCAATCTGAAGACTGTTCGTGAGCTGATCTACAAGCGTGGATACGGCAAGGTCGACAAGCAACGTGTGCCACTTTCGAGCAACGCAATCATTGAGCAAGCTTTGGGCAAATACGATATCCTTTCCATCGAGGATCTCGTTCACGAAATCTTCACTGTTGGGCCCAACTTCAAGCAGGTGTGTATGCTTCGATGATAGGAGTGACGACATCCTCACGTTATTCAGGCCTCCAACTTTTTGTGGCCCTTCAAGCTCTCGAACCCGACCGGTGGCTGGCGAACACGCAAGTTCAAGCACTACGTGCAGGGAGGCGATCACGGAAACCGCGAGAGCAACATCAACAAGCTCGTCAGGCAGATGAACTGAGTGGACGAGGGTTGTTCCCATTCTCCTTATACATCTTCAGCCTTTATCCTATCGACGTGCCGGGTGTTGTGAATGCAAGCAAAAAGTCGGGAGTTGAATGGCAGTTGATGGGTGTTCTAAGCATAGCGTTCTCCCGATTCTCCTCATGCGTGTATGTCACCAAAGCACTATGAAGTTCTTGTCCCGCCACGATGCTGTTGAGTTGAACGGTGGCAGCACTCAAACTTCAACCGCCACTCCGAAAGAGGGAGACCATCCACGACTACAGGATCCTCGTACAGCGCGCTTGAAATATCCACATAAGATGTCGGAATCATTATTGGACCGCTTCAGAAAAGGAGCTGAAAAGGCCGCGGTCCAGGCGACCGCCTTTGCGCATACATCTGCCAACAAGCTGGCCAGCGAGTCAAAGGGATTCGCACAGGGCTTTAGTCTACCAGGAGAAGCAGAAAAGGCTGCGAATATCCTCGAAAGTTTTCTCGGTTCGTCACCCAGGCAATCGTTTGGGACTGTGCAGACGCTGACGACGTGACGCTCTCCATCTATAGCGAACCCAGACGATCCGCAATCCGCACTCAACGCAGTTCCAAAGGCTGTTTTGCAGCGAGCGCGAGGTATGCACTCCAACGGTGCCATAGATTGCATCTCGTTTGACGCTCTATTCAAGGTCTCGCCGTGTTCCAGGTCATTGTGCGTGAATTATTATCAAGTAAATGCGTGAAATTGATGCTGGTGTGTAGAAAGCTGGCTTCATCTTCTCTGGCAAAGCTGGCTCTGGGCTCGTCATTGCCCGTCTCCCAGATGGATCCTGGTCCGCACCGTCTTGTATCGCTACTGGAGGTATAGGATGGGGCCTGCAAGCAGGAGCGGACGTTACCGACTTTGTTATTGGTGCGTGCACACCCAGTGGACGTCTGGATCTCGGTATTGATATAGATGCGTAGTACTCAACTCTGAGGATGCTGTCCGTGCATTCTCGATTGGTGGTAATGTCACCATTGGTGGAAACGTCAGTGCGTCCGCGGGCCCAATTGGAACAGGAGGCAGCGTTCTTGCCAGTCTGGCCCATCCCGCCCCCATGTTCTCGTATTCCAAGTCCAAGGGTAGGCATCGACTCTTATGCCCTCCGAGAGATGCGATTGCTTATTGCATTCACAGGTCTCTTTGCCGGTCTCTCCTTGGAAGGGACAGTTCTCATCGAACGAAAGGACGCTAATAGAGACTTTTACGGATCGCCGGTACCGGCAAAGGATATTCTCACCGGGAGGGTACCGCCACCAGAGGTTGCAAGTCGCATGTACGAAATCATCGAGGTACTTTACATCCAATCCGTCAGAAGTGCTTGATATTAACTATTTCAAGGCTGCAGAAGGTTTAGACGAGACAGGTCTCCCCGCAGAAGCGTACATCCCCGAGGGAGGTGCAGCGCCAGCGGCTCCTGGTGGCCAAACGGTATTTGATGCAGGACACTAGCCAACTGTGTGCGATGAGGACAAGGAGAACCGATTGAAGCAATTATTTAGCCCGATAAGTCATCGTGGTGATGAGATTTTGTGTATATGGTTTGGTACAGCGTCTGTCATAAAGCTTTCATTATCCATACCGCTTTACTACGCGTCATACGCAATCCGAGCTCCAATCCAAGCGTAAGGGTAATTGTGTTGATAAAAGTTGCGTAGGGTTCGTCGTTGAGCGAGTCGCGGAAGAGTGGCAAACGAACCTCCCAACTAGACAGTGTCAGTGGGGATGATTGGGAATCCAATATACCTTACCACCACGTGATGCAAACCATCGAAAAAGTCGGAAGAATACCCAGGATAGAGAATCGAAGGCTGATATCCCTCGTGCTGATCCATGATTGTAGATGTCCACTCCCAGACCTATGCATGTTAACAGGCTACTAAAACTTCAAGAAGTAGACATACCCCTCCATTGTGTGGTGCTTGATTCCGAGAAGGGTTGCCAAGAGAAGAACTGGGCAAAGTTAGCTTGCATGGCATGATCGGAGAGTACTCACGGCTCCAACCACCAGCGTTGGTAGCCCCAACCTGCGTTATTATACGTGTTGACAGCGCCCCTGGAGGATTGGTCGTCCATGAAGAGACGTAGTTCACTCTCGGTCGGAATCCTTCCACCCTTGGATTTTGCAAATGAGTCGAGTTCGTCATAGGACGCCATAAGTGGCCACTCGAGTGCTGTCGACAGGGGAACAAGACCAAATAGCGTGCGAATCTGGTGCTTGGTTAGTTGTCTGTTCTTGATTTGGAGTCGCATCTTACCATGACACTCCCGTCGTTCACCACCCAACTGGCAGGGACTTGGTTCGAGGCTTGGGATTTCCAGAATTCGTAGTATTGTCCGTTGGTAATAGGTCGTCTTTCGATCGTAAACTTGGCTACTGATTGCATTCTCTTCGGATGCTCGTTATCCCAACCAAATTCGGACACTTGACTTGAAGGATTGGGTACAGTGTCTTCTGCTTCATAGTCATCATGTCCTAGCCAGACGTTGGCGGGTCCAAGCGTGATGATAGATTCCTGGCTGCTCTCCTCCTGCAGACGTCGTTTCCATTGCAAACTAAGAGCGTCCCAATCAGGTTTGGGAATACCCGGGGGCGGTCGTGTGCCGTTAGGATCGTCAACCTTTTGGATCAACATGTAAAGCAGCGTCTATACGAGTCTGTTCAGCCATACTCGAGGTGGAAATGAAGTATAGTACCTCCACATGGAATGCTTCGTGTTCATAAGTCATCCAAAGGACTCGCTGTGCCTTTCTGGTAGGTACACCCTGCTTCTCCAAGTCGCCTGATTCCAACCGTTCGTAAACAGATCGAAGTCGGGCTCGAACGCGATCTCGGAATGCCAAGATAGATTCGAGACTCGGCCATTCATCGTCCTCTTTGGGAACTTCAGAATGAGGCTGTTCATCAACCGTGTAAGGGGGCTTTCTTTGCGGTTTCTCTGCGACTTACATGGCACTGTGAAGGATCATCGACATGGGGATCGATACCTCGCTCGAAGATATATTTGAAATTGTCAGGTTCTGTATGTGGCTCCTTCAAGAGGCGCGAGAGATGGATATCCAGAAATCTGTAGGGTGTAAGCAATGGCCGGGATGTTCCAGATGCGTACGTTGGAATGTGTCCAAGGTAAAATAGACACTTGTGACGAAGGTCAATTGGCTTTTGCATCATCAGCTCGGGCGGAATCATGCCGAGGGTCACCGTATCCCATAGTTTCCAGATATTCGACCATTCATCTTGGGTCGGGATCAGCGGAAACGTCGAGTCATCAGACGCATTGTTGGACATTGTGGGTGCAATGGGGAAGTCGAAGCTGGGTCGGTGGAGCAACCATAGAGAATAGAGGCCATTTGCGGAGATCCACCGATGGATAGGCTGGAGATTAGACTTGTGGAAGAGTTCCAATGCCTGCGTTTCCGAGTACTGTAAGTCGTGATGGGGTAGTCAGTATTGCGCCTTTGTACGTAAAGGACGCTTGAACGTTGTACCTTATACGAGTGCTCCACATGGATAGTCTCCCCCTCGTCGATCAGAATGTCAGCTCCATTCAGCTTGAGCGCCTTCTTGGTCGTCGAAAGATATCTTCCTTCGTGTCGTTCTATTGGACCTGAGCATTATGCCCCCAACTTGGCTCTAGACCTACTTTCAGCAGTGTTGTACTTTTCTTGATAATCCCATTGATTCTGATCAAACGCCGAAATGGCTTCTGGACCCATCCCAGACTCTTGGAACGCCTTCTGGACGCCGAGGAGGCCATTCATAATAAAACTTTGAGTGTAACCCGCCGGGTCGTTATAAGCGAGCTCGATCAGCTTCGGTTCGTTATCATGATCGAGTCCGAGCAGTAGGGTATCTCCGAAGGAACCCTCTCCTTGTTCGAGACTACTGGTCCATTGTCGAAGAGGTAGGGATTGGAGGAAGTTGGCAGCACCGTCCCTGGTAAAATTGCCAATAGAGGATCCCAAGAAGAGGAAGTGAAGAGGCGGTGTTTCTTCATAGTCCAACGAGTAAGACGACTGGGTTTCTGTCAAAATGGACGGACTAGGCGCCCGATGCACAGACGATGGGGATGTCGCGTCATCCTCCGACGTCAGAGGTGAGGGCAGTGAACGGCCCTCTTTGTTCCACGCGTCGAGATTTGCGACCGGCTCAAGGAGGTCGGTGGATGCGCGCAGCGCCGCGGGCGATAGAAAGGGAGAATTCTGCTGCATATCGGCGAGGCCTCCCCCACGAACGTATGCGATACCATCGTCATATGTGCCACATAATCCACCGATGCGGACACGGTCCTCGAGCGTCGGACCCAAGTCGGATGTCGAAATAAGCGACAGCGTGCGATCCAACTCGCGCTTTTCGAGATCCAATGCGAGATATGTGACTGTAGGAAGCGATGCGACTGGCGCAGCATTGGCGAGGGCCTTGAGAAGATGCGAAGTCTTTCGAAGAGCCCTGACGGATAGTCTTCGTCAGATATCAGATGGATGAGACACGGGAAATACATACCCTGCACCGAGCTCAAGGACGACGGTCCCGTTACGAAGGCCGCGCTCTCCATGCATTAGACGTACAATCTCATCCGAGCTGTCTCTGAGAATCTGCTCCTCTGCTGCAAAGAGATAGTACTCTGGCGCCTTTGTTGTAATATCGTCGTAAAGCCGCAGTCCACGTTCGTCGTAGAGCAGAATAGTCGGCAGCGTTTTCTCGCCAGTCGGTTTGTTCAGACCTTGGACAATCTCCTCCAAGCAACTCGAGGAGAGCGTGTTTGGGAGAGTAACAATCTGCGGTGAGGCCATGGTGGATTTGTGCTGGGCCACCCTTGTGATCTCGACAGGGGGGTTATAAAGCTTCGTTTACGTCACGAATCCTTGCGCAGGAAGTTCGGGCTCCGGGCTCGAGCGTAGCGGCGGTAGAGCCACAGCTCAATCGGGTCTTAGAGATCAAGTGACGCGCTGGACTGCCAGAGATTCGGCCATGACGGAGGATATGGTGAGCGTGTATAGAGCATCTTCCACGGGATATGAGGCATAGGGGGGCTGGACACGGAGTTTGGCAGTCAGGGGCTTGCCGATCTCGCGGGACTGCGTCAGCACCCATGGCTTGAGATAGAATAAGGGACCTCCCAAATCTCGTACCGGGAATAGATTTGTCGCCCAGGCCAATGGAACCTCATAGTCTTCATTCTATTCGATAGACACGCATTCTTTTGCCATTTGATGATTATTAATACGCTGACTGATCGTACTTCGAGCTGTCTGGCATACAATAAGCTTGCCGCCGGGCGTTCTTGACGCGGGATTGGTCGGCCCACGTCTTCAGAGGCACGTATCTTTGCGCCAAACCGATGACACAAGCTCTTGAGCTTGCAAATACGCGACAGCATCGCGGCAAAATGACTAAGCAGACCGAATTCCGCGGATGATTTGACATGTGAGTTTGGCAATGGTATCTCATAGTTTGGAAACGTGTCCAGGATGCTACAGAACCCCCGAAATAATGTAGAAAATATCTTTGCAGCAGCTGTTTGCGAGGAGGCAGAGTTCAACCTTCCTTGAACCCCGCATTCACAACGTCTGGCAAGGGACCACGTCCAACTCGACTTGAGATTAGACTATAGAATCGTATAATACGTCAAATAGTCTGATTTATATCGCCTTTGATGGCAAATCTCGACTCTTGGGTGGAAATCCCGCCGTACGCGACGCCAATCGCCCGCGGCGATGATACTACCCCCGTAAATCAAGAGTCTCTGCAAGTTCCATCTTCTCCGAGGCCCTCACGCCTGGCTTCCGACTCTCCGGCAAGCCCTGCAAAAGCCTCGAGCTCGTCCATCGCCAGCAACCTAACCAATGCAATGCTCACGGCCGCTCTCAACGTTCCTACACCTTCTGCGCCTTCAGATCCTCGAAAGACTGCCGGCCGCCTGCTCTCAACTCGAGACTCACTCTCCATCCCCATCACTGCCGTCAACTTTCGAAGGTTCGTCTCCAGGAGTGGGGCAGTATTTTGGCTGCAAGATAGAGTAGAGGAGATATTGTTTTGGCGCAAGGGATGGAAGGTCACTACATCATGGATGATTGCCTATTCTTTTCTGTGTGGGTGCATCTGCTTATAAGTGAGACGTAGATTGATCAATTTTGTGAACAGGCTACTACCCAAAGCTGATTTTGCTGTTGCCGCATGTGATATTACTCGCCATCTTGTTCATCACATACAGCGTTCGTCATCCAGCCGACAAGCCGGACGACGCACCGTTAGCTCCGGCATGGGTACCGGCAGAAGCTCGAGAGGGATCCTCTGAATGGTTTGCCAATCTGCAAGCCATCCAAAACCTAATGGGCTTTTAGTAAGTTCAATAAGGATGAAATACATACATACTAATTTCTTTACAGTGCAGACATGTACGAAAACGTGACCAGTCTCCTACCCCATCTCACCCATGCGACACCAACCTCTGCACCTCTGTTGACCTTCCTCCTGGTCACCCTACTACTCGGACTGCCTCTTTTACCACTCGTTCCTCTCCGCCCAGTTTTCCTTATTGTCGGCATTGCTCCTTTTATACTCACCCATCCAACGGTCCAACGAATGGCTCCCGCTGTCCTGGACACTGCTCGAAAACTATACTTTACGACCATCCAGCGCTTCATTAACAATGACAGGCTCGAAGATACTGTCTGGGCAGCACCAATTCGGGAAGTTGAACTTTGGGAGAACGAGCGCTGGTCTCTTGCGACTAGCCAAGCCGCTCCTTCTTCGTCAGGCGACCCGGGCTGGAGTAAAGCTAACCTACGACGTGGGGAGAGAAAGGGCTGGAGTCGTCGGAGAGATGGATGGAGTGACGCAGATGCACTCGATGGTAGTCTCGAAGGAGATATTCGGTTAGTAGTCCTTGCTTGGCCTTGCTTTGTGATTCATGAAAGAGTTAGCAGTAACCTCACGTTTACTCTTGAACCTGGATGGCACTTTATCCCGACGGAGGACTGGCAACCAGACATCTTCGGGAGCTGGGTAAGCAACGTCGGTGGTGATGCGGGTATGTTCATCCCTCGCTTTCTATTTTCTTCTTTGTACTGATTTTATATCAATAGATGGATGGGTGTACACAAACGATGTATGGAACGACCCTCACGCCGAGCCTCCAGAAGAATGGAAACTGCGTGGGATGACGAGGCGAAGAAGATGGGTGCGCAGGATATATTTCGTTGAACCTGTACCCCCTTCCACTTGACATGTATATTTGAGATGCCGAGTAACTATTTTTATCCCTTTGCCGCCGCCACTGCATTAGCTTGCGCATTACGCACGCCCCTCTTGAACACGGCAAGCTCTCTCTCCGTATCGTCTAACAGTCGTCGTATCGCCTCGAATAATGCACCACCTGGTAGGCCTATATTGACTTCTGCCAATGCGCGGAGCAGGGTTTCCTTTGCGAGGACGAGACGCTGGTAGCCGTGAGGTGGGAAAGTGTTTGTGGGCGAATTTTCGTCTTCTTTTGGTTGGTCCTGATCTTCGTCAACACGTAGCAATCTCGCTAACGCCGCAATCGCAACGCAACGGGTTGGATGGCCATGCGGTAGCAGATCCACCAGTGCGGCGACAATCTGCGTGCCTAGTTTGATTGCGGTATCCAGTAAGAAGAACAGGAGGGCCCATTGGATTCTTTCGGGTCGAGATTAAGACGCTCGAGAAGAAGTGTATGATTTAGACGCATCAGCGCGAGTCGAGGGTGGGACGTTGGGGGTAGATCTGGTGCGAGAAGGGTATTGAGGTTAGTAGTGAGGCGTAAAGCCTGCTCTGGATCTATGCCGGTCAGACTCGAATATTAGTGGGGTAAGGATGAAACATACCTTGCCACTGCAGTTTCTCCGCCTTTTCTAGTCCTTCCGTCCCTAGTCTTATTCTCTCCCTCACGCCCTGGGATACTGATAATGTAGCACCGCATTTGCTACACGGTGCACTTTGCCCTGCGACTCGTCGGATTCTATTGAGTTGTTGGGTCAACACTCACCTTTGTGGCTTGAGAGGAATCCTTCGTTGCACTTGGGGCAAAATACGCACTCTCGTAAATCCAGTGTACCTGCTAATTTACACAAGGTGCAGCTGCATTCAAAGGCGTATGTCTCCTTTAGCGACTTTTGTCGTATTTCTCTTGGTAGAGTGATATCAACGTAGGCAGCAAGAACCTGTCTCAGTTTAAGCGTGTCCTGACACACAGACGTTGAACCCACCTCTTCTCCTCGGCGAATAGGCTGGATAGCAATGACATCCAATGTTGGTGGAGCGCCCTTTCGGGTCGCCGGAAAGACTACGACTGCGTTTGGTTGACATGAGTGGTTGATAAGTGCTGGTATCGGTGCGGTTGCCACTCCGATAGCGTTGAGAAAGGTCGAAGTCAGCGTGAAGGAGTTTGTTGTAAACTGGAATAATCAGTGGCAGATATATGATGAGATTCTCAGTCACCTTTGACATGAGGTCTACGAGATCCTTTCCGGATTCTATGCCATATTCTCGCAGGCCCTCGGGTGATTCAATTTTCATGTAGAGAACGAGAGATTGTGCCAAGTGAGTATAACTCTCTTGCGTGGATAATGACAGGTGTTCTCGGTCTGGATGCTTTAATTCTGAAATGAGTGATGGAAAGGGTACCCACTCGACTGCATGGCAGCGATTTGTCGCCACTAATGACAATCAGTCTAATTCTCCAGGAAGAGCGTGGTACTTTACCCATATAGAGTCTGCTCCTTTGATATTTCTCATCCACAATAGACGAGAGATGGCACGGATACTGTCCGCAGGAGTGGAATCAGAGCCGGAGGCTTCAGCCCAGCGACGGAGAGATTGACATTCTTGCTTGTGTATGCCCCAATCCGCTGTCTGACATTCCTACGGGACGATCAAAACGGGACAAGGTAACTTTGGGTCACTCACTGTAGAGCAGTATGCTACCTTTTTGCATCGAGTACACCGTCGAACGTTCTCTTCAGATGTGCATAGTGTACAGTTGTCTTCCAAAAATCGCGCAGAAACTGCGTGAATATGCGGCCGCACGCTAAGGAGCCTAGTGCCTGTAAAGAGAGCTTAGGCATTGCAGTCCTAGCAAGGTACCGCATACCTGGCTTTGCATCGGTTTGAGTGAAAAGACCTCGTCCACCTAGCGTGCTTGTTCCCAGTCTTAGATTGGTTCCCTTGAGCTCATACAAGTCGTCACTGCCTTGGTTTTCCTCATCCTTTTGCATCTGTTGTTCGTCTTCTGTCTGTTTCAAGATGCTCTGTTTCCCTTTTACATCTCGTTTTGCCTTGAGCTCCTTGAAGGACATAGTGGTTGGGTCAGGGTCGCGACAGTGTGACTATCTTTTCCCTCGACTCCTCCTAGTCGTGTCTGTTCTATGCCAGCTGCTGGATTTCCTACGTAATATTTGCCTCATTTGACCAAGTTCTTTTTCTCGAAGCATCTGCGCGTGACCTGGCATTTCAACTGCTTTCAACAAGACTTCTGCATCAGCACGCGGAGCAACCATGCTGCCAGTTCTTCGACGCGGAACATATTGGAAGACTGCGACTGTTGGTGCTGCACTCATAGCGAGTCTCCAGCTTGCACCCAGCCGTGTCAACCTTCTTCGCAAAGAGTCCGTGTTCCAAAGTCTTTATCGCACCTTCAAAATGTCAAGTATGTATCTCATATCTAGTTATCATCGTGATTCACCTCTACCCAGGCACTGGGACGTATCCATCCCTCACGCCTCCCCAAGCCCCCATCAAGTGGACGCACTCTGCAGACTTTATCAAAACAGAAACAGAAGCACAGATAACAAAGAACCGTCAACTCCACGACACCATTGCTGCCCTCAAGCCAGAAGACTGCAACTTCAAGTCGGTCTTCCATGCCATCGCAGAAGCTTCCAACACGTTCGAGCAGGCAATTAGTCCCTTGACCTTTTATACACACGTTACAACAGACGATGGTGTTCGTGCCGCGAGTATTGCTGCAGAGGAGGCACTGGACAAGTTGAGTCAACTGCCTTTACGGCAGAGGTATCCGCACATATTAACAAACACCCATGATTCCAGGTACTCGGTCGAAGTTCAAATGCGCGTAGACGTATACCGCTCGCTGATCAACGCCGAGAAAAACACAGATATGTCCACTCTTACCCCAGAACAAAAGCGCCTTGTGGAGAAGATGATCACCGAGGGGAAACGAGCGGGTCTTGCTCTTCCAGACGACAAACGCGAGCAGCTCAAAAAGGTGTGAAGATGACACGTGCGTTCATTCCAGGACTCACCTTTCTGTAGCTAAAGGAAGAACTCGCCAAGGGCTGCCAGGACTTTTCGGTGTGTAACCAACGAGCCACTAGACTGTTCTGACCCTCGCTAGAATAATTGCAATCAAGAAAAGGTCGAATTTGCGTGTTTTTGGTGCCGGCACGGCTAACAATCGTTCAGGGCTACCTCGACTTCGAGCCTGACCAACTGAAAGGCGTCCCAGAGAGTACGCTGAAGCAGTATAAGAAGTTGGATGATGGAAAGCTTCGAGTAACATTCAAGACCCCGGATAGTGTCCCTGTGGTATGTTCATATGACAGCCTCTGGGTAGCTCTCAATCTCGCCAGATGCAATATGCCCAAATACCGGAAACGCGCAAGACTATGTACAGCGGGATGGAAGACCGTCTCAAAGTCAACGTTCCAATCTTTGACAGTATCCTCGAGCTCCGTCGTAAATGCGCTGATCTTCTCGGATACGACACATGGGCGGCATACGTTCTCGAGGACCGCATGATCAAGTCTGCCTCTGCCGCCGCGGCGTTTCTCGATGATCTACAGCAGAAATTGAAGCCAATTGGAGACAGTGACCTCCAGACATTGCTCAAACTCAAAGAGGAAGAGCACAAGGAGCTCGGGCTGCCCTTCGATGGCAACTTTTATGCTTGGGACTGGAGATATTATGACAGAAAACTGGTGGAGACGTCATTGTCTCTGGACAACGATCTCGTTAAAGAGCACTTCCCAGTCAATGTCGTGGTCCCGGCTATCCTCGACATTTACAAGGACCTCTTAAATGTCAGGATCGAGGAAGTACCGAACGCAGAAGTTTGGCATCCAGGTATGTTCTGCAAGGTGTTTTACTTGTTTCTCACCATTATCTAGATGTCAAGCAGTATGCAGCTTGGGAGCTTGATGCCAAGGACGAATCTGGCTTCCTCGGATATCTGCATCTTGATCTTTATCCACGCGAGAACAAGTACGGTCATGCGGCGGTGTGGGGTCTCATCCCAGGATTCCAAAAAGCCGACGGTACTCGGAACTATCCCGTCACTTGCATGGTCGCAAACCTCGCCAAACCATCTGCCGACCGTCCTGGGCTCATGTCGCACGACGACGTTGTGACCTTCTTCCACGAAATGGGTACGTGCGCTGTTCATTAATTACTTGACACCCAGCCTTATCGTATCTAGGACATGCCTGGCACGGGCTTCTGAGCAGGACGCAATACGGGCGTTTCCACGGCACCTCCGTAGCCAGGGACTTTGTCGAGGCTCCTAGTCAGATGCTGGAGAACTGGTGTTTTGAAAAGGTTGTACTTGAGAGGGTTTCAAGTCACTACCAAACACAGAAGCCGCTCTCACAGGATTTGATTCAGCGTATTATTGACAGGTGAGTATACAATCTCAACAAGGGCTCCCCCGCTCAAACTACTTCAGTCGATATGTCAACGTTGGATTATTCTATCTGCGTCAAGTGTATATTGGAAAGTGAGTATATTGTCCGACGCCAAATTCTATCTAATCGCTTGTAGGTTTGACCAGACGGTTCATACATCCAAGTCGGCTATTGACGTCAACAAGGCATGGAACGAACTTCGCGAGAGTATCAGCTTGGTGAAAGGTTTCGCACCTGCTGACTACAAACCTGGATACGGCGCAGTTGGACACTTTGCAGGTATGTGCACCTGTCAACACCTGGTCCCAATATTGACACGGCCACCCATAGGTGGCTATGATGCCCAATACTATGGCTACGCCTACTCTTTGGTATTTGCGTACGACATGTACGAGACCATCTTCAAGAAGAATCCATTGGATCCTGCTGCAGGTATGTCTGACGGTCTTTCAAGGGTCGCCTCCTGAGAATTGGACAGGCAAACGGTACAGAGAGTGCATTCTCGGGCCTGGAGGTAGTCGCGAAGAGATGGATTCTCTCAAGGAATTCCTTGGGCGACCACCAAATGCCGAAGCGTTTGCAAAAGCGCTGTTTGGCTCGCAGAAGAGCCCAAAGCTTTAAAGTGCTGCTAGTGCTTTTAGTGCTGAACGGGAATTCGAACTCACCATTCATGTCCAGTTTGGGTTGAATTTAAGTTGAACCATCCAGGCGTTGGAAATACCAGCATGACAAGCGGATTTCGACCTGAACCACGTATCGTCTATCACAACATAGCATAAACACGCGGACCGTTACGACTACCGTGACCTATTCTCGAAGAATACAGGGCTCCTCCGACTGGTCATCTTAATAATACCCACTTCTTCGACGCAGTGTCAGATTAAAGTGACCCGGCGTACGGCGTTTTGGATGGATTGGTTGGTGTCAAAGTTATAGGCATGCTAGGCGACCAACCAAACCCAATTCTAATCAATGACGATGTGAAGTACTGGTTCGGCGCTTGTCATTGCATTCCACGCCTATACTACTCAAGTAAAGCAGGTGGTGAAACCATAGTTGGACCTCGCCACACCTGACGACGTTATTGATCCCGCGGCACTTTATAGCACCATCTCAACCTCTCTTTCGACCAAACCTGATGACTGAGAGGTCCCATACCCAGGAAGGCGGCTCCGGCTGACCTAGATCCTCGCCAATCAAACAGAATATGCTCACCTACAATCCGAAAGTCTGCGAAGAATGGAGTATCCAAGTCTATGATAAGCATGTCACGGAGATTCCTCCACAAAGGATGATAAATCTCCTCTTCGCGGGAGTCGAACCCCAATACAAGAGCTGGGCCGAAAAAAAGCAGTTCATAGAGCGCCTGAATGCGATTAGTCAATGCATATAGGAGGATTTGCGTTCGTTCTATCCCCAGTCCTTCGTGCTGCACTGACCAACATGCAGGAAAGGATTCCGATGATCTCATCACCTTTAAAGAGGTTCGGAAAAGGAAAGGAGGAAAACCCAATGACCATCCAACCACCAAACAATGCGTACCAGACTTTGTTGCGATCCGCAAAAGTGCAATTCCTTCTATACCGATTCTATCCAACACTCCCACACCCCCGGTTCAATCTAAGTCGGCTGCAGAATCTAATCAAACTGATACTGCCACATCATCGGATCAGCCCGACACTCTGACAACTGATGTCCCATGGTCTCAATTGGAGGCGGTCGGGGAAGACTACTCTGAAGGCAAAGCCATCAGAGAATATGAGAGTCAAAGAAGCGGCTTATGTTATGTATCATCTCCAAGCCCGACCCGATTTGATAGCAACAGCCGGCGTGTGGGTACGCCACAACGAGGAATATAATGTCCTCTTCGTTGACGCATGCAACGTTATCGCTCTCGGCGTGTGATGTATACGGATGAGGTTTGCAAAAGGCTTCCATACGCATTCGTCTGGTCGCTCTATCACCCTCTCCTCGACACGTCAATCACCCGGAATACGACGAATGATAAAACCACGTTCAGCATCACACTTTCTGACGGCGCTCGCTACGACAACCTTAAGCTCGGGTTTACTGGCTCAGTGCCTGGACGACAAACCACGATCTTCTTCAAGCCGGATGACTCTTGCACGGTGATCAAGGAGCAATACATCGATAGCGATCGGCGATTTTTTGAAGGATCCATCTTGAAAATTATCCACGCTAGTGGCGATTTTCCTGGATTCGTGCGGCTCAAGTGGTCAGAGTATGTGAAGAATGGGGGCCAAAGGCTTGCTGTCTCGAAGAGGAGCACAACTCGCTTCAAAACGCGACTGGTGATGCAGGATAAGGGTACTCCTCTCGACTCGGTGAAAACCGTCCGAGAGCTACTCATGATCCTTTATGATGTCTTAGAGGGTGAGTGCGATCAACAGATGGCGCTTAGAGACTGAAAATTTCCAGTGACACGCATTCTGCACCGAACTTGGCACATCATTCATCGAGATATCAGCCCAGGGAACATCCTGGTCACTGACAGTGCGCGCTCATTTCCCAACACATCTCAGACAAGTGATCTGTCGTTCTCGGAGAGCATCATCAAACCTGGGTCGGAACCCACTCGGACACGCTTATTGCTGGCCGATTTTGAGTTTGCTGAGGACAAAAGGTATGAGGAGGGTCAGTCAAGAACTTTGGCGCCCCGCACTGTACGTCTCCTAGCCACAAATGCCTCAATTATTGACGTTAACTCAGGGGTGCCCATATTCATGGCATGTATGCTTCGTAGCAAGATCTACCCTGCTGGCAAACATGACCTGCCTCCTATTCCGGCCATCCATTCCGGCCTATATCAGCACTATAAACAAAGGTATCCGGAGCGCATGAAATGGTTTGGTCAAAATAATACAGAGCAGGAAGTCAAGATTCCCAAAGGATCGACGTTGTCCGACTCCAAATTCGAACACCATCTCCGATATGATGCCGAATCTGTCTTTTGGGTACTTACTTGGTGGCTCATACGCGCCAAACCCCAAGACGATAAACGCTCTCCTCACATCCCACACCCGTATTGGGACAATCTGACATCCGAAGAAGACTCGCGTCATGATTATTTTATTTCTAGGAGTCAAATTAACTCGGATTCATTTCATCCCGCATACAAAGCTCTTTACGACCTCTGGGATGACATGCGGGAACATCTGGTGGCCGACTTTGATCACTCAAAGGACGAGATGAAAAAGCATCCAGAATACCTGCACGAAGTCTTTCAAAGGCTCATCCTCAACTTTTTGCACTATAAAACCGAAAGAAAATGAACCTGAGTTCATGGATTTGCCCAAGGACGGACAGAGTCGCTCTTACCGGCTGGGGGCGAGTGGCGGCGGTATGGCTGCAAGTACTACACCTTCACGATCTCGCAAGCATGAAGAAGTACGGGTCGCCTCGAAGGGTAGAACAACAAGCGCCGATACGAGGGGCCAGAGCTCTGTTCACCAGCCTCCGGCAAGCTCGTCTGAACAAGAGGTTAGGGCTGACGAGTATGCGGAGTTTGTGCGTTTGAGGCTGCTGGGTCCGGCAAATTCAGATGTACCGTCTGCATACAACCAATCGAAGCGAGTTCGCGAACAAGATGATCTCGCTCCTGAAGCAAATCTGGATGACGCAGTGAGTATCTCTTCGAGTCCAGCGAGCTACCTTTTACCGGGCTGCGTAGAACGAATCACCGACCAAAAGGCCTCGGTTCGACTGAACCATGTCCATAGAGCATACTCATCTTGTTATTCTCATTCATCAATGTAGTCAATTGCTAGTCAAGTCTTGCTGCGAAGGAACCTAGACCACACTCGTCAGCCCATATGAAGTTAGTTTATCCACTCTGGCTACACCTCCTTTGTGGATGCAATTTCGAGGCGCTTGCAAAAGCACGATAGGGAGAGTAGACCAAAGCTTGGAGTACTGCTGGTTCTTGTAGTGTGGACCCGATGTACGGAATTTAAATGCACCATTCACGTTCAGTTCGGGTTCAATCCGAGTTGCGCCATACGGATGATCCGAGCGATGTTGGATGCCAACGTGACTAGCGGACTTTGACCTTGGACCATGCCTCGTCTATCAGTATCCAGCGTAAATGCACGAATAATTAGGACTCCTGTGACTTGTTCGTGGAGGATAGGTAGCAGGGCGCTGGCGTCGTCTGCGAGTCGAAATTCTGTCCCGCCGAAAGCTCCTCCGACCGACCATGGGTTTATGCCCAACTCGGCGTCGCCAGTGACGACCGAGTTGCACTTCTTTGATGCAGTGTCGGATAAAGTGATCCCTGCGTACCGTGTTTTGGACGGCAATGGCCAGGTGCTCGACGGAGCGACGGTTCCAGAGGCAAGTCTATTTTATATCGCAGAATAAAGCAAACTAATCGTTTAAATGGCAGATTGGTGAGGCATTTGCCCGTAAAATGTTCGTCTGGGTCGCGCACTCGACGTTTGGCTCATATTTTGCAGATACGAGAAGATGTCGCTCTTACCAGCACTCGATAATGTGCTCTACAATGTTCAACGACAAGGAAAGATATCGTTTTACGTACGTCTATGTCGCCTATCCCAACTCTCACTGACCGTCTTCAGATGACGACAGTAGGTCGTTCCTTGTATTAACAGCTGTAGCCTAACACAGAATAGCACGGAGAAGAAGCGGCTGTCATTGGTTCTGCTGCGGGGTTGGATGACACAGACGAGTGCGTGCCCTTCATGCAAACCCTCGTACTATTTAACCGACCAACCATAAAACAGAGTCATGGGCCAATACCGTGAAATGGGCGTTCTCCTCTGGCGCGGATTCTCGCTCAACGCAATCATGGGCCAATGCCTGGGCAACGAAGAGGACAGCGGGACCAAAGGACGACAAATGCCCGTACACTTTGGCTCACCAGCCCACCATTTCCACACCATTTCCTCTCCACTCGCCACACAAATCCCACAAGCCGCAGGCGTCGGATACGCGCTCAAACGAGACCCCGCCCGTCGCGGTAAAAACTGCACCATGGTCTATTTCGGCGAAGGTGCCGCCTCCGAGGGTGATTTCCATGCGGGAATGTTACTCGCGAGTGTGCTAGGTAGTCCGACAGTCTTCTTTTGTCGGAATAATGGATTTGCCATCTCGACGCCCGCGGCGGAACAATATGCTGGTGATGGAATCGCGAGTCGTGGACCAGGATATGGCGTCAAGACTGTGAGGGTGGACGGCAACGATGCACTCGCGGTGCTCGCTGCTGTTCGAGAGGCTCGACGATATGCGATAGCAGAGTCAAACCCGTCTTGATCGAAGCGACGACCTATCGGTTCGTATCTCTCTTCCACTCTACACATCGACTTCTATGTCTGATTCCCGGATAGGGTGGGCCACCATTCGACGTCGGACGACTCGTTTGCGTACCGTCCCCGCTCCGAAGTCGAAAACTGGAAAAAGACGGATAACCCGCTGTGGAGGATGCGCAGATTTCTTGAAGGGAGAGGGTGGTGGGACGAAGCGGCCGAACAGGAAATGAAGGACCGATACAAGAACGAGGTCCTCGCAGCTTTCCGCAGAGGGGAGACACTCAAGCGACATCCACTTGGCGAACTGTTTACAGACGTTTATGGGGGTGAGATGCCCTGGCACTTGGTACGTACCCAACCCTTGTGGGATTCAACCCATTTTGCTTTTGGACTGACTTGTCGGTGAAAATAGAAGGAGCAACGAGATGAACTTTCGGCGCTGCTCAAAAAGTATAGCAACGTCTGGGAACCATGGAAAAAGGAGCTCGCAAAGTTTCAAGGCAACGGCAAAGAAATGCTCTAGTCGTTGACGTTTTTGACTTTATTGCTTTCCGTTACTGTACGGGGGGGTGTAGATATGCGTCTGTTGAACAAGGCATTACACGGGGGCAGGGACTGCGAGAGTGTGAGCACAAGGGGGGGGAGGGCGGGGACATTACATATGTACATGATGGCCAGGAAGCCTTTTAATACGTCCAAATAAGTTCAAGGAAACGGGGGAAGAGATCAAGTCGATGCCAGTCCAATCAAAGGGACCGACTCGCCTACCATGCCCTAGACTTGAACTCGTCCTGGGTCATGTCGAGAATGAAGAAACCGTTTTGGAAACGATTATTCTTCGGGGGTTCGAGGAGTTTGCTGCTCCTCCATGGCTTTGGCTTTGACTCTGGTTCGACAGCCTTTGGCTTTTGGACACTGTCTAGTGTTTTCGAAGCAGCAAATGGTGCCTCTGTTGTGGGAGAGACACGCTTGGGCTGGGTGCCCATGGCATTGGAAATTGAATCAAAGGGCCTAATTGGACGTGAAACTGGGAACGAAGGCGTGCGACGGGAGATTGGCGACACGCTCTCTCCGCTGCTGTTACTGATACAAGTAGTCCCGTTGATAGACGTAAAGCTCAGACCGCCTGCAGGAGTGCGTGCAATTGTGCCCGAGGAGCGCGCGCGTCTGGTGGGCATAGTGGTGAACACGGGTTCCACGTCGTCCTTTTCGTCGCGCATGTTGGTCGAAAGGTCCTCTTGTGATGAAGAAGAGGACGAGGAGCAAGAAAGAGAAGACATGTTGAATGCCGAGGGGTTTGCACTTGAAAGTTTGGAGATCCGAGGCGACGGCGGGCTTCCGGAAAGCGTCATAGACGACGAGGGCGTCTTGGGGGACTCGTCTGCCGAGGACGAGCAGTCTGAATCTGCTCTGAGCGAGTTAAACGCCAGAGGAGACGTATTGAGGGGCGCTAGACGGCTGGCTGGAAGCGCTACAGAGGCAAAGGAAAGTCAACGACTGGTTACAACGACGAGAAACGTGTAGAAAGACATGTTAAAGACGAGATACATACTCATTGTGGTTGCCGGTCGGAACGGGTTGATCAACGTAAGACAGGTCGAGTTCAAGTTCGGAGATGACAATGTGGTCGTCGGCGAGGAGAATATTGCTCAAAAATCGAGTGGAAGACGCAGACTGGTGAAGAAATGGGTGGACGTGGACGCACCCAAGGGTTGATAAGGCGTGGCGCGGACTGCGTCAACCCCAAAGAAAGATTTGGGGAGAGTTCGGATGAGGATAGCCGTCCAATTTGGAGAGACCTCGTGACTACAAAACTATATTATCATTGCAGAGATTAGATAGCTCCAGCTCTGTATTTATACAACGTCCTCGGATGCCCAGGATGCCGTGGTAAAAAACACCTGCGCAGAGCTTACAAGCACTCTGCTCGTCCTTGTCCATCCCGCAGAGCATCAGCGGCGTGGCCTGGGCGAGGCTTGGTGTCCTTTGTTACTACATCCCCCCGGTGGCTTTTGTTGGCGATGAGGAGCAGCACGAGCGACGTCTGCATTGTCCTTGTGTAGATGAATCGATTGGAAATGAGCTGGCAAATGTTGGTCCTAGGGGTCTCCCTGCTTTGTGAGAGATCGGGCCTTTGGGGAACGATGGGCTCGGGAGTTTGACCCCAACTCGTCCCGCTCCGGGGTCGCGGTAACGTCTTCGAGTGAAAGAGTGTGTGATTGTCGCTTCCCGTTTTGCCGTCGATAAAATGGGCCCGAAAGCGCGGGGGTTTCCCCACGGAACTCATATCAATCCACCGTCTTGATCATCTCCCTCTCGAGAATAAATTTCCCCTCTTTGTACTTTTGAGCCTCGTCATACGCCTTGTCCTACAGGGCAAAGGGGTCAGTCCCACAAACTCTAAAAACGAGGGTCCACTTGCGTATTTCCAGCCCACTTGTGTATTGCACTTGATGCAGAAGATATCCCGCACAGTATGTAATCCCGTCGTCATTGGCCGGTCGTTGGGCTCGCCTTGCCTAACGTTGACACTGTGCGCTCTTGATCAGCGCCACAAACTGCAAAATAATAAACTAAACTTGCACTTTTGCAAATAAATATGCACGTCCATATTGGCCATTAAACGCCTTGCCACGGATGGATCAGCCGACAAGAGGAATGCGGTTGGAAGTGGACTCACTCTGCTCATCATATCCTCCGTCGTCGAAAAGTGCGCATTACACGTCTTGCAGCCAAAGATTCGTGTCCCATACAGAAACTCGAGGTGGGTCATGCCCATCTTGACCCCTCTCTTCGCTCACAAAACAAAGATTAGAGCCTTTGGATCGAAAGAGGACTATCGACAAGTACTCAGAGCTTGCTGCTCAGCAACGATGGCAAGAGGCCAGAGGTCTGCTAGACGCGCCCAGGGCTAACACGGACTAGCCACCTGACAAACGCGCTCCCATTATGATTACAAAAAGTCTAGATTACAAGTCGCTTCATCGCAGCCGTCGTCTGCTTTGACGGCACAAAATGTTCCAAATTGGCAATAGACTGCGGAATCTTGACACTCTTGTACTACACACTCGTTTGAGCCGTCGTGCTAACGTTACAAGCGTAAAACTCTCACCTGTATCATGTCTATGGCCGTTTCGTACGCCTTTAAGCACGTGTTGCAACCGCTCACCGTGACGAGAACGGGCATCATCTCGACTCGGAGGTTTGCACCTGCCTGGATACGACCCATGCTCAGTAAGATTCTCTTTTGTTTCCTCCACGCCTCTTCTGCCATCTCTACGTGGCCCTTGACGGTGCACTTTCCGTATCCACTCGGGAACAGCTGTTCCTCTGCTAGAATCTCCCGTAGACGCTGTTTGCGAACGGCATGGAGGATGTAGAGCAGCTGTAAGGATTGAATCGTCGGAAGGATGGCCATTTGATCTGGCGTGTATGTTTCCAGTGGCGGGGAGTGAAGTTGTGTCGACGCGTAAATGGCAACATCGTCGATGCCCATCGCAGTCGCCATTGCGTAGACTTGCAATGGACTGTCTGTAGCATGAGATGCCAGATGCGTATGGAGCGTCTCGACAATCGCCGGGGTAAAGATGTACTTGTCGGCGAGAACAAAGAGTCGTTTGAGCAATGGAAACGGGACTGCATCCCCCTTTGCAATCGGTGGACCTTCTGCCTTGCGTTCGTCGTAATCGGGTAGCTTGTGCCATCGTTTCATGTCCTTTGCCGTCGGAAGCTTGACGGGGGGCTCGTGGATGACCCGAAAGAGGTTTTCGAGCACGGGCGTATCCTCACTCATGGTCATCGAGTTGTTTTCCGTCGAAATATTGTCCAACGTCTTGCCATCGACATCCACCCAACTGCTCTCGGAAATGTTAAACATGTCTGCAAAGACTTCGCTGCCTGCGATCAACGCAATCCGCTGAACGCGAAACTCGACATCTGCATCGACAGAAGAGTAGACGGTAAAGTCTGGTTCTCCGTCCCCCGTCGTGTAAGTAAAGATGCGCTTGGCCGTCGAGAGCGTCTCTGGCTCAGTCATGGTGATAAACTCGACGTGCAACGTTTCACATCCACCTCTCTTTTATCCTCCACCAAAGCGACACGTATCGCCACGCAAGAGGAGCGCCAAAGTCCAGTGCAGTCGGCGTCAAGGTTTTCGACTCCGACCATGTCAAAGGACAGCAAACAATCCGTATTGCAATTCCTAGACTCGCTCGACGCGCCTCCAACGACCTCTAAAGCACCTTCACCATCAACAAAACAGCCCACAAACGCGTCTACGGGTGCACCATCAGGATCAGCGGCGACGACGGGTAATGCAGCAGAGGCGCTCGCGTTTCTCGATGAGCTAACGCAGCAATCGAGTAGACCGACTAGAGTCCTCACCCCCGGTCCTCGCGTCCGCAATGCGCCAGGTGATGCTACCCGTACGAGTGCAAAGGCCTCGCCTGCACCTTCATTATCACGTGCAACGGGTACAAATGTGGGTATTACGTCGAATACGGCTGCATCAGCTTCATCGAATCCCAATACGGAGGAGCCAAAGCCCACTACGGCTGGCTCGGGTGGTTGGGGGTGGGGTTCGGTGTGGAATACAGCGTCTGCGGCATTGGCACAAGCAAAGAATGTCGTCGAGGAGCAGGCAAAGCATTTGCCAAATGACCAGGCCAAGAAATGGGGCGAAGGTGTCATGACCTATGTCAAGCAAGCTCAGCTCGACAAGATTGGTATTTTAACACACTCTATTACATGCATAGAATACTGATGAGATTGACAGGGACCGATCTGCGCAATGTCGGCATGTCTACCTTGACCCAGATGATCAACGCCGTCGCTCCTCCAATTGCAGAGCATGAAGTCATCCAAATATGGCTGAGTCACGATATGAAGGGCTACGAGGGCGTCGAATCAATCGTATACCGTTCCTTGGCCAGAATAATGGAGCAGGTCGAAGGCGGCGATCTCGTCGTCAACAGGGGAAACGAATCGAAACCCAAGAACGACAAGAATGAGCGAGATTTGGGCGCTATTGATGGCTTAGAATCCGCCTACAAGCTCTCTATCGCCGAACTAGACGGTCTCGTCAACTCGGACATTCTCAATATGCCGAAGAAGGAGAGTCTGACCAAGGCCGACAACCCAACGACGTACTCCTCTGTCTTTCTTCGGATACAACCGTTCTATTCCATCACTCCACCTTTCATGACCTCTATCAACAAAGAAGAAACGACCGCTCCAGCTCGACAGCTCCAATTTTTCCTGTATCTCACGGACCCGAATCATTCGATTACGCATTCAACCGTCTCCCAGGTTATTCCCGCCGAGTGGCTGGATGTCTGGGACGAGTATGACTGGGTGGAAGATCTCGTCGTCGAGGCACTCCGCGTCAGCATCGAGATCGTGGGTGAACAATATCTCTCTAGTCGGATGAACTGGGGAAAAAAGAAGCCTCTTCAGTCCGGGCCGCCGAGACAGAGTTCAGAGAAGAATGAAAGGCCTCCCGAAGAGGCGGCGTAACACACCTCGCTGTATGTTCGCTACCCCTAGTGTATCAATAACTACGCTTGTGAGTTCTAGTTGAATTCATCGCTCATGTCACGGAGGTCCCTAGGCTACTAACAGGCGTTGAATGAGCAGTACGGCTGCCATTTGCAGAGAATATGGATTAGCGTGTTTTGTAGATTGCTGTGAATCTTCTATATCACCGGATCATTGCCAAGAGGTATCTTTGGCCACCTATCGCAGCTCGGACCATCCCCTCCATCCGTCGCCATAGGCCATCCGTGGAAAACACGGGCGGCAATTTTGCTCTCACTCGGCAGAAATCGCGCACACGGATCAGCTGAGCCACATGCGGCGCAAGTCCCTGGGTTGTCACGCGAACAGACGAAGAGCTTGCGGGAAACGACCCCACGGGGACGACAAGAGTTCCGAATAGAGACTAACGCCCAGTTTCGTATTGTTGAAGAACCCAGCCAAGATGGCTTTCGATTTCTGATGCAACCCAACTTTGCCAGACTTCTGCAAAGGCTTTTCCGTCTTTCCGAAAGGTGACGATGACTTTCGTGCGCCAGGGTATATAAGACGAGATTTTGTAGCTAAGATGACCTCACAAACGCATCTGCTCGTCCACGATGAAGCTGCTCGCCGCTCTTTCTATCACCCTCGCGCTCGCTACCAACGTCCTCGGTCACTACCGCTTCCTTAGTACGGCCTTCTTCGAACGGGTTATTTCTGTTGTTCACATCACTTAGACTTGAACGGAAGTGGTGATTACCAGTACATTCGGTATGTCTAGGCTATTCTTGACCTCCCGCCTTGCTGACAGAGAGTTAGCCAATACGACAACTACTACTCGAATGGACCCATTACGGATGTTTCGTCCACTGACATTCGTTGCAACTTGAACGGTGCTGGCAAGACTACGGGAACTCTCACTGTGGCGGCTGGCTCGACTGTGAGTAGTGGCCACTGCTCTCAAGGCGCTCGGGCTGATAATGTACCCTATAGGCCACCTTCACTGTCCCCAACGGAATCTCTCATCCTGGTCCTCTCCTCTTCTACATGGCCAAGGCACCTTCGACAGTCAACGGATGGGATGGCAGTGGCAAGGTCTGGTTCAAGATTGCGCAAACTGGTGCCACATTCTCTCCTGGACAGATCAACTGGCCAAGCTCTGGTACGTTTTTTCTGACGCTCTATCATCTCTTGTTTATGTGTTACGCAGGCAAGACCTCCGTCAGCGTCACCATCCCGAGATCCGTTCCATCTGGTGAATATATCCTGAGGGTAGAGCATATTGCTTTGCACGTGAGTGTACACCCGACATGATGGGGTCCACAAGCTGATCCGCCGTTGTAGTCCGCCTCGTCTACTGGAGGTGCCCAGTTCTACATCTCCTGCGCTCAAATCAAAGTCACCGGTGGTGGAAGCGGCAATCCTGGCCCACTCGTTTCCTTCCCTGGCGCCTACAGCGCAAGCGACCCTAGCATTCTCATCAGTACGTTTTTCTCCTCGAGGCTGGATGTCACGCCCTAACAATCTTTAGACATTTACTACCCCGTCCCAACCTCGTATACCCCACCGGGGCCTTCGGTCTGGCAAGGCTGAGCTACTTGAGGCAGATATATGAGTCGAAGTGAATTCTGCAGCAATTCCTCCTCTGTTGGTTTCAAAGTTCAGTAATTGTCTTGCTTGCTACCATTTTGTACCCTTGATAGACATTAGAATCTTTATCAAGGTTAACGTACAAACGATATTTGAGTCGGCGTTTGTTCTCTGCTACCGCGAACCATTTCTCCCCGACTTGGCCAGCGATCCAGTTCAAATCCATGGATGATCAGGATGGCAATGAAGAGAACCTGGATCAACAGTTTATGCAACTGACGGCTGAACTGGCCCGACTGAGGGCAAGAGTTCACGTCTTGGAGATTCAGGAGGAGACGATCAGGCAAAAAATTCAGATAAGGGACACCAAAAACCGTCTACCGTTTGATATACTTGCCCTCATCTTTACACAACTTGTCCAAATCCAGAGGACGTCTATGTCTCTTGGGCCATTGATGCGTGTATCTCGTTTATGGTATCACGTTTGCGCAGATAATCCATCATTATGGACCGTAATCGGCATTCATGCTCCGTTCAGGAGTAAGAACTTGGACAAGTATAAGCTCTTCTTCCACGCATGCGTCCGACAGAGTGGCGCCCTCCCTCTAGACATCATCTTCACTGCAACGCATATGGATACTGCCTCAGAGGAATGCTGGGAAATGCAACATGCAATGGACGCGCTTGACCCCGACTACAACACCAGCCCGACGCGGATATGCTCACATGAGCGACCGAGATGTCCTTTCTGGAGAAGTCAAGCCAGGACAGCTGTCGCTGTCATGGACTTTTTGCATCAGCAGCCACGAGCTCGCTGGCGAAGCTTCCATTTTGACTGGCCACACCGCACGCTGCTTGAAGTCATGCGTAGTTCTCACTTCAACTGGTCCCTCTTGGATATGCTCATTGACGGGTGCTTTGGGCTGGAAAGTCTGTTCATTGGAAACGGTGGACATGACTTTGTGGGTACGACCCGATTGGCTCCGTCTTTGATCAGTCTACGGTGTATCGAGCTCGTGGAGCAGTGCTGGGAACCCGCTATATCCAACCTGGACGACCTGCCGAGCGTCAAGGAACTCTCTCTCGAGTGGAAAGATGAGGGGGATTGGGTGTCGATCGGAATGCGCCGCCTTGGGGACGACTGGATAGCCCGGTTTCCGAACCTCGAGACCTTGACTCTTCGATCACGCAAAACAATTAGCTATCCAATGGTGTGGGACGTTTTTCTGACACTGTCCGCTCCTGTGCAGGCCCTAAACATCAAGCAGCTTACGCTCGTTGGTCGCATACCTTTGAGGGTTCTACAGACCTTTGAAGCCCCTCATCTCCAAACGCTCGTCATCGCTGCCAACGAAATGCGCTGGACATCCGCTCCTGCTGTCTTCCGCAACAAAGTAGGAACGAATGCAACGTGCCTTGAGCTGTTGAATCTACCATCCCACGTCCTGGCGCCCTGGAGCGATCTCCATCAGCTTGTAGAGGCCATGGAAAATCTGGAGGAGGTGAAAATCTCCCAGGCTTTATTCTCGAATATGGTGGCGATGTGCTCCGAATGCGGTCAAAATATCACTTTAGTAGAGGACACAATTGAACATCGTGGAACGGAGGAGATCTTCGTGTGTAGGAACTCTTTGAATGACATTCGCGAGCTCCTCCAACAACTCATGTGATTCCCTTGCTATGTCTGCGAGTCCTGATATAACTTCACGAGCCCTAATATTTCGAATAAAAATTCCTGTAGACCACAATTCTATGCCAGTGGCACCAATCCTGCGGCCTGTAGGTTCAACTCTCGGACACGCGCGGGTAATCCTGAAATCTGAAGACTAAGAAAATCGCCTCCTTGCGGTGATAACTAAACATATCGTGGATCGGGAGGTGTTTGAAGAGAGCCATTGTCCATTGTCCATTGTCCATTGCTGTCCTCTACCATAGATTTTGCCCTGCTGCTCTCGGAGATACAGCCGTCGATGGACGAAAATCGACAGCTCGCACAGCTGACGGCAGAGCTGGCAAAGGTTCACGCGTTGGAGAGGCGAGAGGCGGTTCTCAAACAAGAAATTAACACGAAGGGCGTCAAAAGTCCTTTATCACTCGACGTCCTCGGCCTTATCTTTACCCAACTCGTCCAAGCGCAGAGGATTTCGATGGTCCTTGGACCCTTACAACACGTATCTCGCTCCTGGTATCGCGCGTGTATGGCTCATTCATTATTGTGAACTGTGGCTGGCTTCCACGCCCCATTCGAGTATCGGAATCTCAAAAAATACAAGCTCTTTTTTCACACATGCACTCAGTGGAGTGGCAATCTCCCTATCGACGTCGCCTTCTCCACGACACATATGGGCATTACTTCAAAGGACTGCTTGGCGATGCGTTCAGCTATGGGCATTCTCGATGATGAGGATGATGGAGACACCGAAGCGCCCTGCACATGTGGATATGAAAATGTTTGCAATCAAGAGAATAAGTACCCTATGGCGTTGTTAACGTCGGGTGTGTTCATTATATGACGTACCGCCCACGGCATCTAGAGAGAACAGGCAAAGGTGAGTGACTGCAAGCCACGGGTGATAGCAAACTTTCCCAAGAATGTCGTAGCCCAGGTCTTGTCGACGAAGCCTCATCTCCGGTGCGTACGGTCGACAATATAGATAGTCAGGTTGACGTACGGGTCAACGTTCAACGGTTCTACACGGATCTTAGCAAGGGATAGAAGGAATGCATGACGAGAAACCAACGAAGATTAGAAATGTCGTCAAATCCAATGCTCAGATCCGTCATGGCTGAGCCTGCCTGTTGGGGCAGCTGATGCACGGCGCGCATATGCCCGATATACAACGGGGCGAGTCGTAAGCTAGTGAGCTGTATCGACGGCCTGACTCTCAAGATTCGCTCAAGCAAGACAACAAAGTCCATCCATTGAGCCGAAAGTCGCCTCAAGGTGCGAGGGAAGGCCTGCACCCAGCGGCTACTATCTTGCTTTGGCCAGGAGATTGTGTCAAAATCCATAGATATGCAGCATGGGAACAGCGCGAGATGCTGCTCGAATTGTGACACGAGTGGATAATTCACGGTCCGCAGGGCGAGGATCGTGATAGTCTCTGTTCGAAAGGTGAGCCGGTTTCTGCCAAGACTTGTTGCTTCCCAAATCCAGTCCGAGAGGCTCAGCTCCCCAAGGGTGGGTAAAAGAGCTAGCATGTCCACCAGTGTCCCTAGACGCTCTGCGTGACTTGTAGAGCCATACCAGTGCAATCTCTTGATGAGACGTCGCGTCTCCTCAGAGGTTTCAAGCGTCCTCATCGTCTCATTCCATATCTCCTGCTTCGCGTCGCCAATTCTGGGGCGAGGCGCCTCCCACACAATCAATGGTAGAATCAACGTTAGTGTCCACTTCGACAACATCCCGATCTCCCTTCGCGCAACAGCGCTTGTGGACTCTAAATCAGCCGGTTTTGGTAGAAGCTTGTAGCAAAATACGGCTGATTGCAGCAAATATGGTAGAAGTATGCGTCTCCAGGCCTTTGAAAGTTGACTGCACTCAATAATGTATGCCTGTGGTGCTTTACATAACCCACTATCTCCTCTACAAGCTCATAGGGGAGTTTGTCTATTGGCCGTCGAAACTGATATGGTCAAGGGGATTGGTCAGGTCAAAGTGATAGACATGCTGGGAGACCAAACACACCCAATTCTAATCAATGACAATGTAAAGTACGGGTTCGGCGCTTATCATTGTATTCCGTGCCTACTCAAGTAACGCAGGTGGTTAAAGCATTACTTGGAGCCCGCCACATTTGACATCGTCGGCACTCTCGTAGAACCATCTCCACCGCTTTGTCAAACCTGGTGACAGAGAAATCCAACGTCCAAGATGGCGACTCTGTATTCTTCCGGCTGAAATCAACGTCTCATCGACCAAATAGAGACTAAGCTCCGGTGAATCTCGAGACCAAGAGGAATGGAGTAGCGACGCCGACGATGGCCGTGTTGAGGACATATCTCCTGACAAGATGATTAAAATCCTCGTCGCTGGAGCTGGGCCTGAAGATAGCAGCTGGTCTGATAGCGAACGTTGGGTCGTTCGTCTGAACGCGTGAGTCGACAGTCAGGTCCGTCCTTCCCAAGTGTCTCTATTGCTACGCCGAACGACATTCAGAAAAGGATCCCCATAATCTCATCCGATTCCTCGACAAGAACGATCAAAGGGCCTTTCTCAAAGGTCCTCCAACGACAATGGCATGTTTTCCAGACTTGATTGCTCTTCGTCAGAACGCGATTCCTTGGGAAACAGATCCATCCGACGCCTTCTCAGCGCCAAATATAGCTGATATTTCGGATCAAACTGACGGCCCCACGTCGACGGATCAACTCAAAATTGTTATGTCATGGTCTAGTCTGGAGGCCGTCGTAGAAAACATATCTAAAGACAAGATAGTCGACGAATCTGACAACCAAGAAGCGAGTTATGCTATACGTCATCTCCAAGCTCGTCCCGACCTGCTGGCCACAGCCAGTCTGCGAGTGTGCGGTGACGAGTGTAATGTCTTCTTCGTTGACGCATGCAAGGTGTATCGCACTCAGACTCCATCATGGGATCAATTGGTCTGTAAGCAACTTTTATATGCATTCGTCTAGTCGCTCTATCACCCTCGCCTCGATACACCGATCACCCGAAATACGACCAAGGAACAAAACATCGATATAGATATTCGACTTTTGAGGGAGATATTTCAAATCCTCATTCTAGCGGCGATTTTCCTGGAGCTGTGCGGCTCAAGTCAGTATACGTGAAGAACCGGGTGTCTTTCAACGAATTTGGTAAACTCACTTCCTCTTTGCATTAATGACAACAAGAAGGTTTGTTGGTCGATTCCAAGGCGTCAGTCGGTCGTTAGCTTAGCCTGGCGCCTGCTGGTTGGTCGAGCCAACGGCGCGCCAGTTATAGGCGCCAACTCATCTTGGAACCGCCCATGTCCGCCCCAAACTCAGTCAGTCTCAAGGTATACGACGGTATCGGCGTCGGTCTCGATGTAGTGGCCAATATAGCTGAGGCATCAGATATCCTCGCACCTCTAAAGGCAGCTTGTCGAACAGCAAGAACCATTTTAGGAGTCGTACAGGTGAGCTGGCGAGACTGGCACGACGTCACCTGATGTATTCGACAGGCGATGGAGAACAACAAAGAGGAATGGACCAATCTAACACTACGCCTCAAGGATTACATGATTTCGCTCGAGAAACGAGTCGCTTGTCTTGATAAATGCCCTCCAGAGGACAGAGCTGCCGACGAGAAGCTCATCCAGCCGCTCACTCATTATGTCGAGTAAGTGAACAGTCGAACCTTGTTTCAATTAGTTGAGCAACATAGATTCCTGGAAACTATGCATGATAGGGTCGTCGACCTAAGGGCGAAACATAGCGGCAGCAAAGTCGGCTTCTTTAAAAGGATTCGCGATGTAAAGGCTGATGCGGAGGAGATTCGGAAGCTTAATCGAGATATTGAAGATAAGCATAGCCAGTTTATGGTGCGAGCTTTGTCACTTAGATTCATTGGCTCATTGTTGATACAGGAGGCATTGGAACATTTGACCGCGTTGAGTGTTCAGGTTATAATGCGAGATACTAAGGTCACCAAATCCAACGTGGAGATCAACAAGACAAACATGGAGGTCACTAAAGCCGCTGTAGAGACGACTAAAGCCAATGTAGAAACGATCTTGACAGATGGTAAGCCTGAGATTGATCCGGGATGCTGGCTTAGCATTTCAAGTGGACGCCTCTGCAATACTCCAGCTACCAACAGTAGCGTTTGTCGCTTCCTCCATCCACAATACCTGTATGAAAGGAACGCGTGAGGCTGTCCTTGAGACGATCCAGCGTTGGGCGGAGGATGATACGTCGGATAAGGCGATATTTTGGCTCTGTGACATAGCCGGCTCAGGCAAATCCACTGTTGCAATGTCCGCAGTGGAATCATGGCGGAAGGAGGGAATACTGGGGGGCCGATTCTTCTTTTCAATCGCAAGCAATGAGGGGTCGACTACCGACAAGTTCTGTCCCACCATAGCGAGGGACCTCGTCGACTATATTCCGGAGCTCGCACCACACGTTGCTAGAGCGGTGAAGAGGCACCCTGCCTTAATGCGAAACTCTCTTGATGAGCAGTTCCAGATGCTCATTACTGATCATCTCCATTATCGGCGTGGGCGTGTAGTCCTCGTTATCGACGCTGTTGATGAATGCAAGTCTGGCTCACAGCGAAAGGAGCTTGTAGAGACCCTTGCTAAAGCTGTTCGAGGAAGCAAAACCCTAAAGATATTCATGACAAGTCGACCGGACCCTGTCATCCATGCCGTCTTGGGGTCGCTCTCGATCAAATGCAAGCTAGAGGACCGCCTTCACAATGTCAACCGTCATGATAACTTCGATGACATCGCGGTCTATGTACATCAGTCACTAGATGGAATACTGTCTGAGGAGCAGAGGCAGAGACTGATCGAAAAGGCCAACGGGTTGTTCATTTGGGCAAGCACTGCATGTCGAATGCTCAATAGCGAGACCAGCTTGACCCCTTCTCAGATCACGTACAGTCGTCTGATCTCCATTAACCAGGCCGGGGCCATCGACGATCTTTATAGCCTTATCTTCAAGCGCACAGACCCTGAACACTACGTGGTCATGTATAAGATGCTCGCGCTGCTACTTGCAGCATTTGAACCGCTCACTAGCGATGATCTGGACGATATACTCAAGCATGCTGGAGTACCGGGGAGTGCCAAGTCGTTGGTACGGACTCTTGGGAGTGTGCTTACAGAGGATGCAACCACAAATCTGATTCAGTTTCGTCATCCCACTCTCGTCGAGTACCTTCGACGCTGCTCCATCGCCCCAGTAGTCGATGATCCCGGCAAGATATATATCAATATCACCGATGCACATGGTCAAGCCTCATCGTGGTGTTTCAAATGCCTCCAGTCGCGGACTGAAGGTCTCAAGTTTAACATATGTCAAATAGAGTCATCATTCCTCCTAAATAGGGAAATCTCGGACCTAGACACCAGAATATTAAAGTTCATCCCAAGGAAACTTCGATATGCTAGCTCTTATTGGCTATTTCATGCTGCGGAAACGGACGACAACTGGCGATCCACGCTCAAGAATGAACTTCAACTCATTATCCAAGTTCCGTATGTGTTCCACTGGATTGAGATCCTCAGTTTCACCGGAGGGGTGACACGAGCGATCTCCGGTCTTCGAGCCATTGCGCGTCACATAGAAGTGAGTGGTCTATCCCAATAGATTTAGGCTCTTACACAAAAAAGGTTGAAGAGGAAACTAGAAGCCGGATAGACGAGCTCCGACGGTTTCTAATAGCTTTTTCGGTGCCTATCCAGGATAGCGCTCCACATATTTACATTTCAGCACTTCCATTTACTCCTACCAAGTCCAGAATGCATATTGAGGGCTTAAGGAAGTATAATAATACTCTTATTGTGATTCGAGGACTTGATGATCTGTATCCTGGGCTCCCCAGAACCCTTCGAGGTCACGGGCGCTCGGTCTACACTGTCGCATTCTCGCCAGATGGTTCACGAATTGCCTCTGGCTCGGAGGATAACACGATTCGACTATGGGATGCATACACTGGTCAACCATTGGGAGAGCCACTTCGCGGTCACGAACGCGCAGTCTACGCTGTCGCATTCTCTCCCGATGGCTCACAATTCGCGTCAGTATCGTATGACAGAACTATTCGACTATGGGATGCATACACTGGCCAACCATTAGGAGAACCACTTCGCGGTCACGAACGCGCGGTCTACGCTGTCGGATTCTCGCCGGACGGCTCACGAATCATATCCGGGTCGTTCGACACTACAATTCGAATCTGGGATGTAGGAACCGGCCGGCCTTTGGGGGAACCACTGCGGGGTCACAAACACTCAGTCTTGGCTGTCGTATTCTCACCAGACGGTTCACGAATCATTTCCGGTTCATATGACAGGACAATTCGATTGTGGGACGTACAGAGTGGTCGGTTAGTGGGAGAGCCTCTCCGAGGTCACACAAATTCGGTCGAGGTCGTCGCATTCTCGCCAGACGGTTCACGGATAGTTTCTGGCTCGCATGACAGCACTATTCGATTGTGGAATACAAATACTCGTCAACCTATAGGGGAGCCATTTCGAGGTCATACACGCGCAGTCTACACTGTGGCATTCTCTCCAGACGGCTCGCGAATCGTATCTGGCTCGTTCGATACTACGATTCGAATTTGGGATGCGGAAACTGGTCAGCCCTTGGGAGAGCCACTTCGAGGTCATGAGCTCTCAATCTATTCCGTCGCTTTCTCGCCAGATGGCTCAGGAATTGTCTCTTGCTCGCAGGACAAGACGATCCGACTGTGGGATGCAGAAAATGGTCAATTGATGAAAGCGCAGTCACTTCTGGGTCATAAAAACTCGTCCAAGCCCATCTTATCCACATCAGACGGCTCACGGATCATTCGTAAGTCATATGACGGGATGATTGAGCTGTCAAATACGGACACTATTAGGACACTGGGAGAGTCATTTAGAGATCACGAAAGCTTAGTCAAAGCTGTCGCAGTCTCACCGAACGGGTCGCAAATCTGTTCCAGCTCGGAAGATGGGACAGTTCGACTATGGGATACATACACCGGTCAGTTAATGGGAGAGCCACTTCGGGGCCACGAAGAACCAGTATTGGCTGTTGCGTTCTCAGCAGACGGCTCACGAATCGTCTCTGGCTCGGAGGATAAGACGCTTCGGCTATGGGATGCAGTCACTAGTCAGCCTCTGGGAAGGCCATTTCTTGGTCACAAAAAATGGGTCAAAGCCGTCGCATTCTCGTCCGATGGCTCACGAATTATCTCTGGTTCATATGATCATACGATTCGACTATGGAATGTAGAGACTGGTCTGCCTGTTGGAGAACCACTCCGAGGCCACCAAGCGTCGGTTAATGCGGTCGCTCTCTCGCCAGACGGTTCACGAATTGCCTCTTGCTCGAGGGACAAAACAATTCGACTATGGGATATAGGCACTGGTCAGTCATTGGGGGAGCCACTTCGAGGCCACCAAGCATCGGTCAGAGCCATCGCATTCTCACCAGACGGCTCAAAAATTGTCTCTTGCTCGAGGGACAAGACAATTCGACTTTGGGATGCGAACACCGGTCAACCTCTGAGAGAGCCGTTTCGAGGTCACGAGAGCGTAGTTCACGCTGTCTCATTCTCTCCAGATGGTTCGAAAATCGTCTCTTGCTCACAGGACAAGAAAATTCGACTGTGGAATGCAAGCACTGGTCAGCCTCTAGGAAGGCCGCTTCGAGGTCACAAACGCACGGTTCATGCTGCGGTATTCTCCCCAGATGGTTCACTAATCATCTCTGGCTCAGAAGACAAGACGATTCGGCTGTGGAATGCCGAGACTAGTAAGTCTGACCTTCATTTATCACCCACCATGTGACGAGACCAACGAATACTGTTAGATGTAAACGTGAATAGCCTTAACCAGGAAGACAATGTATCTTCAGATTCGGAGCTCACCGAAATCCCGGGAACAAGCCTAAGAATCCTCGTACCCGGATTCACACATTGCTCGCTTATGCCGGATGGCTGGGTGCAATCTTCTGGCAAACGCCTCTTCTGGGTACCCACAAACAACCGGCACGGACTAGAGTCTCCGCTTCTTCTTCTGACTATGCCCACGACGAGTCAGTTCCGCGCAACCAAAGTGGATTTCACCAAGTTTTCATGCGGACTCTCATGGACAAACGTTTGTGGAGACGGGAACCAGTAAATTATCGAAATTTATGTCACCATTAATACACGCCGTCTTCTAGGTGCAACGCGTGAAGAATCACAGAGCGGAATATAGTTGTATCTACATTCAGAGTTTGGTCTCTACTGTTCCTTACGACCGAGTCCATGCCGAGGAGGCGTGTGGTACCGTATTTCCACTGAACGCAGCATGAGTTTTTCGAAACTAGGAGTTGCCACATATCTCGGTACATGACAAGGTTGGAAAGGAGATTCTAACACATGTGACGGGTATATAGTTCATTATTCGCCGGGCCTTCAAACACCAGTCTGTTTTGATGGGTTCGGTGGTCGAGATATATAAGAAATCACTAGTTGACATAAAATCTCAATTAATTAGACATCCTACCAATGCTAAACCAAACTAGTTCATGGGCAGTGGCGATACCTTTGCATGACTTCGCATCTAAGTCAAAGGCCTCGGACTTCTTGTTCACGCACCTACCGAGAGTCTGCATTGAGGATTGCCATATGATCTCGCTGAGAAAGAATAGAAACGGATCTTCACCTGTAGGCAACTCAGCGTTCACTGACCCCTACCAAGCTAGTTTCCTCTATAGTCTTAGTACGCCTCGTTTGTAGATGTAATTTCCAATGTTTCAATGCTACAAACCAACATGACGGGGAAAAAAAACCAATGCGCTCACAAGAGCAAATCGTCAAACTCTCCAGGTCGACCCCCCACAGGCCGCGGCTGATCCGCGACATAGTTTCCAAACACACTATCCAGATTCGCGTACGGATCGTCGGGCTTGGGGGGCGGTATTGGTCGTTGTTGCTGGAGCTGATCCGAGTCGGTCGTGCCTTGTCTTGATGGTGTCTGTAGACTGGCGGCACTCGGTGAGACAGGGGATGTGATTGGTTGTTCTGCGACTCCTGGTGGACCTTGGAGGGAGACGGGGCTTGATGTTTGTGGCGTCGTGCGTGCTTCATCTTGCATCGTCCTCAGCGATTGCGGTATTGGCGGAACGAGATGTGCGGTCGATACTGGTTTAGGTGGTCCAACGGCTGTCGGTGAGACTAAAAAATGGTGAGATTACGAGCAAGAGGTGTAGTTGATCACGTACTCAGTGCACGCTTCGAAGCAGGGTTCAACGCAGGACTGTCTGGAAGCGACTTTGGTTTCGCGAAGCGAATAAACGTCTACGAAATCGTTGGATCAACGAAGCTGAGATGGCATTGAAACATACATCTGGCGTCTTGTGGTATATCGAACCCAATGTTGCCGTGTGAAGCAACAGCTGATCCAACGCACCAAGTTCCATGCGATCTGTATCCGTGTTGACGGGCGGACGATCACCAAGCACAATTGTTCGCGCGGCCGTTGCGTCTGTTGACAATAATCGCCAGTACATGAACCCACGGTCACGAAGATCTGGATTGTCGACTTCTTCCGTCGCCCATTTGAGGATTTTGGGCAATAGCTTTTGGCCTTGTTGAGGTTTCTGGATGAACAATTTGACACAGGCTGTCAGGAGAGCCAATTGAACCTGACGGAGGCATGAGATGGGATTAATACGAATTATGAAAGCTGTCACCTCTGTCGCCTCTTCGAGGAACGTATACGTCAAGTTGTCCATGAGCTCGTCTGCATTCTCGATTCTATCCGCATACTGGCCAATGATCCAGACAATGGCCGCCTTTGCCTCTGGCTCATCCAGCAGATTAATGTGCTCGCAAAGCAGCGGGATGACGTGCAGATACTTGTCAGGATATCTCCGGAGGATATCCTTGATGACCACCACGGCTTCTTGGAGCACGTAGGACACTTTCGAGTCGATGAGCTCAAGAAGTACTTTGATACACGGATCGCCTGCAGTCGAAATCTTGATGGCGAGACGACCTATTGAGCGAACTGCTTTGCGTGTAAAATCGATATCGACCTCTGTCGCATACCTTGACGGGTTTAGTCCCTGATAAAGTGGATGGCGGAAACACTCACTCGTGTAGTTCGGCCAATACAACCTTTGCATTGGCCTCTGTGGCGAGACGATAGATAATCTCGAGCTTGGCGAGTTTGACGTAGATGGGGTCGTTGTATTTACAAAAGAAGACTTTGACGTCGTCTTTGAGGACAGAAGGTCGACGTTGGATGATGAGGAGGATATTCCGCAATGCGACATATTGCACTTCGGGTCCAGAAGAGAGGAGGGTGACTATCCAAAAGTGAGCTTGAGGATTCGATAAGCAGAGGCGACATACCAAGAGGAGGACCCATCTTCTTGCACAGATATTCAATGCTCTGTTTGCTTTCGATATAGTTCATGAGGTAGAGAAGAATCTTGATGACGGTGAGCACGACGGCGGAATTAGAATGCTGTAATCGAGATACGATGCGCTCAGTCAACGTATTGGCCTCGTCAGCCGACTGAGGAACATAGTTGAGGAGTGAGTCGAGAATATAAATCTGACCCCATCTGGTTGACCGTTAGGTATGGTCGTACAAACAACAATATACGCACTCTGAGCAATTTTCCAGCGCCGCGACCAACTTTGTGGCCATAGAGTACGAAAACTTGAGGACGATATTATCGCTACGCTCCGCAATCTCGGTCAACGCAGCGACGGCATTGGAAACGACAGTCGAATTGACGTCTTTGAGCAATTCCTTGAGCTGGTCGATAAACTTTTCACGTTCGACGATTCGGTGATCCATCAGGTATAGTTTGGCGACGCATATAGCGGCCGTTTTGCGCACGTACGGGTCTCCGTCTTTGAGCGAATGTCGGAGTGGTTCGATGAGCGCGGTCGCTACTGAGGGTAAGGGGATGTAGGCCATTGTGCGAACGGCGAGGGCCCGGATGAGCGGGTTTCGATCTTCGCAGTCCTGTGGGATGTTTATTGCCATCTTTGAGTTGATTGAATGGCTCTTACGGCTTGAAAGTGGGGGATGGCTCTTTCGATGAGGTCTGGTCGGGCTCGTCCATAGCTTACGAGGAAGAGGTAGACCACTGTAGAAGGATCAATACAAGTAAATGATGATATAGATGGGATAGAGTACTCTTCTTAATCTCCAGCATGGGAATTGGCAGACATTGGATGACCTCTGGAAACATCTGGGACACTGGCCACGTATAGGGATGAGCACGCGCCATGATAACAAGAATACGAGAAAAGAGAGCATACTATCGTTTCCCATCGTGATATTCGCGACAATCTTTTTGAGGACCGTCTTGCGTTTGGCAAACTTCTTGTCCTTTCCACGAGCGGCATCCTGAAGTTCCGCCTTGAACTCTTGAATCTTTCCTCGCGTAAAGAACTTTGCGTCATTGCCGGTCGCTGCCATTGGGAACGTGCAAAGCCAACAGGGATCGAATCCAAAGTTGGACTCTTACTGGACACCCTAGCAGCAGGGCAAAAAGATATGCGTCGCCTACAAATACTGGTCCGCCATTTACGCCCGACTACAACACCCGTCGTCCGTCTTTCTCAACAAGCCATGTCGTCTCCAGTGCCTTATACCAGCGAAGCTTGCTGCCAAATCTCGCCCGTGAACAGTGCTTACCAGCCAAAGGGAGAAAAGATTAAACTGGGAAAGTACGATGAGGTCTATGCCGTTGGCGACAAATCGTCGTCGACAGTCGTCATCAGTACGTCTTTACATTTGCCTGCTATGCTCGACGATCACGACGGGGGTTTATACTTGGTCGTCGTTTGTGACGATGGAGTCCTGGGAATCAGGCGGATATCTTGGGCATCAGTGACATACTCCCTGATCTCGAGTGGCCTTGGGCGCTCGATGCGCTTGTGGGACAAATAGCCGTTTCAATAGACTAGTGCAGTCTCCACGGTTGCCCTTGGCCGGCTCTAGCGGAGATTTGGCCTCTTGCCACTCGTCCCTTTACTTTTATCTTTTCACGTACTGACGACTATTGACAGACATCTTTGACATGTAAACAATCTACAGGATGTAATGAGGATAAACTAACAGAGGCTATAGCTTTGGATTCTACCCACAGACCCAGCAAGGAGCCGACATTATCGCCGAAAAGCTGGGTGCCAGAGTCCTGATGCCCGACTTTTTCTTCGGGTAAGTACTATGGATTCAATGACTACGTAGTAACTGTCTACAGAAAGCCGTACCCACTTGACCAATTCCCAGCAAAGACAGAGGAGCAAAAGGTATCTCGTTTGTTCATCGCTAAATGATCTATCAACTCGTCAACAGAAATTCTACCAAAACTTTTTCGCTACTACGGCTAGCTTTGGCAATGTCATGCCAGGCCTTCTCGACCTGGCAAAAGAACTCCGCGAACAAGGTGCTACCAAAGTGTTTGTGTATGGATTCTGCTGGGGTGGTAAAGTCGCTACGTTGTCTGGCTGCAAGACGACAGAGGTCGACGGCAAGACGATTCCCATCTTTGACGCCGTTGCGGCCATTCACCCTGCGTGTGTACTCTCTTCCAAAGGGTATACACGAAAATTCTAATATCTTGTACAGAATGATGAGCGCAGAGGATGGAAAGCACCTCCTTGTGCCGATTGCCATTTTCCCTTCTGGCGACGAGTCTGTGGACGAGGTACGTTTGTATACTGTCAAGAAATGGGTATCTAATGAATATGGTAGTACAAGAAATTGATCGACGAGCTCAAGACCAAGCCTTGGGCCGACAAGAATGCATATCGCGTCTATTCAAACATGCACCATGGATGGGCCGCGGCACGTGCAGACCTCGACAACGAGGATAACAACCGAGAGTATATGGATGTGTATGGTCGCCTTGTGACCTTTTTCCAGAATGCCTAGGCAAAGTATTGTAGAAAGAAATATCAGTCATTGTTCCTGTCCGGGACGGACACCGGGAGCTCTCCACGCTGAAAGCTCAGGAGGGCGCACTCCTATTGGATCCCATGTAGAGTGTGATCACATTGGTGATTGGTGCAGCCGCCTAGCCACCGTTGGGGATTTGACTCTATTGGACGAAATGAGACTGTCTGTGCGGAGGGTAAGGGTCATTTAGAATCTTTACATGAAGAACTGGTGACCAGGGATGATTACCGCGTTGGATTCGGGGATACAAAAGCCGCGCGGAGGACCGGTTGGGGAGATTGCTCGTACGATTTGCACGTGCCCAAGAGACGTGCGGAACCAGACCGAGTTCGGAACGGCGAGGTGGAAAGGCCAACAGTGTGTTTAAACGCGAGAACACGAGTGGCGACCAATTGGGTTCAAAAGCCCTGGACGCACGGTCGCCGCGTGTCTCTCTGGGGATCAATGGCACCAAAAGTCTTACGATTTTCGTGGCCAATAGAATAATAGACTAGTGCCAGCAAATGTTCGGGTGGAAGGCAGGTTGACCCTGGCGTCCCAGCCTCGCAACTCGCGACTGGGTCGAGGGCCCGTTTCCCTACTGGGCGACTTTGACAGAAAATTTGGACGAGATAAGGACGTGGGGAGAAGGCAGGGGTAGTCAAGTCGAAGCCCTTTGGTTCTTTACAGGGCAGCTCCGAGGATATTCTACTTGTAATAAAAGTGTACAATCCTGTGTGAACAACTGGTTGCCGACTGACCCGTGGCGGCAACTTGAGACACAACTGGGTTTCGCCACTCAACTCCTTTCAGCTCTTGGAGCCAGCCACGACTTTCCTCTCTAGAACTAAAACCATGAGCATTATGGCCCTCTTAATCGAACAAGACCGTCCAGCGTCGCCCCTATTCCCTTTCCTCCCCCGCTCCCACTCGTTCAACGACCCGCTCGCCGCGTTTCGCGCTGCCTCGAGCGGCGCAGACAGCCAGGCCTCTGACAGCTCTCGCTCAGGCTCTCCTCTCAAACGACGCTCCGTCCGTTGGAACCGTACAAAGTGGAGTGTACGTTTGCTCATTTATTCCCGTATTTTAACAAGCGGCGCCCCTCTTCTCCACCCCCCCCCCGCTCATGTTGCTCACACACTTTTGCCCCCCTTATAGCGCGAACCAAGCCAGACCGACGTCTCCAACAGCGCGTTTGTCCAGCTCGAAGAAGGCGACTTTCCGCTCAGCCATACGCGCACCCTCGCCGTCGACGCCGACAATGATGTAGATTGCGGCGACTCGGACTGTGAGTTTACATTCTTTCATTAGAATCATTCTCACCCTTCCCAGGCGAGATTGGCTACCACTCGGACACGGTCGACCATGAGCAACTTTCAAAGCTCATCACCCTCCGTCAAGTCCTCGCTGCCCGCCAGGCTAGACGCATGTACGAGCAAAAGGACCAAGACGAAGATACAGACGACGCGCTCGACGAGCCCTATGAGCAAGACGACTTGCCCCGTCATCACGCCTTTACCGCCCGCCGCACCCGTCCGGACAGTGACGACGGAAGCAGTGGTGGCCGCATGATGGATATCGACGTCGACTCTGTCCAACACGACGAGTATGAAGACGACGACGAAGAAGAGGCCGAGAGCGAATACGAGGCTCCCGTCCTCCGAAAGCGCAAGCGCAAGGACCTCGCCACCACTACCACTACCACGACTACGACCGGTAATCCAACCCGTCTTCAGTCCTTTACCGGCAGACCCTCGCGAGCAAAGTTTACCACTTCCGGTCCCTCGTCATCTGTTGGAACGCCCGATGCCGAAGACTCGCCAGACGTGAGCTTCCGTCCACCGATCAAGAAGACGGGTATCAATCGTCGTATGCACGGCAAACGTCCTCGTCTCGAAACTCCGAGCGATAACGACAAGGCCCAGCTCCTCGCAGCCGCAAACGGCGGCCTTTATCCCGCTTCAGCCACTCCGGCCGCTCCAAGCGTCCTCGAGTTTCCATGCCGTTACGTCAGTCCTGACGGTCGTCCATGTGCTAAAAAGTTTCCACGCTGGACAGACTATGAAAAGCACTACGAGTCTTGCCACATTGGCGACTCGGGCTACCCATGGTCCTACAAGGTCGAAGCAAAGGACTGTCCATTCCGTTGCCCACACCCGATTCCATCTGCATCGCGTCCCAAATCACAAAAGGGACGTCTTGTCAAGACGGTCGAGTATGGTCCTTGCGACTTTGTCACGCGCAAGAATACGCACGATTTCGAGCGACACTGGAAGGGTAACCACATTCGTAGTGAAGCCCTCTTTATTGCGCGTGGGAATATGCAGCTCGAAGACGCCAAGTGGGTCAATGTCAAGGAGAAATTTGAGATTGCCTATGCGCTCTGCCCGCGTTGTCCACGGTGCTCGGAAAACTTTACGCGCACAGATGCGCTCACGCGCCATCTCCGGAGCCCATGCTCTGGTGGTTCGGTCGGCGCCGCGATTGACGATCATTTGTATGCCGTTCAACCGGCGCCGACTGCAGTCCAATTCGTCGAGGTAAAGGACGCAAAGGCCGTCAAGGAAATGCTTGATTCGCAGACTACGCCCTCTGCTACCACCACAACGACACACGGTCCTCACCATCATCCTCACCACAACGCCATGTTGCACGCCACGAGTCAAACTCTTGTGACGGCATGAAATGAGCGCTTCATTGCGTCTTGTGACATGCTTTTATTCAAGTCAATCTTGCTAAAAACTGCTGGCATACTATCAATCCTTGCTTGTCGCGCCACTCGTTTGAATCCCTCCCTCTCTGACAGCAAAGGAGTCAGCTCCCTTACACTCAACTATCTCTCCAATCCCGGGGGTGCAGATACGACGCCTGCACGGTACCCGGTTATATGCTTAATCTTGCGGTTACGACGACTCGTCTTGTTCGCTCCTAGGAGGTGCCACTCTTTATTTGACTGGACGATATGCTACTTCTCAAACTCGACATCCGACCTTTTATTTTTTCTCCTGTCTGTGCTTGTTTCAATCCTCCCGCTCCCAGTCTGGCTCTATGGAACGGTCTCGGTCAGAGGCCGTTTGGGATTCATTTTGTTCTTGTTCTCCGTTCGTGTTTGGTTTTCCTCCCCTCATATTGCGCATCAAATCTTTTGTCATCGACTGCGACTCGATTCTTGGCCTGTACTATGCGCTTCGTCCATCCCCTCTCAGTCGCTCTATCTCAAACCTCTCTCGTCTAGACACACACACACACAACATTCTGTGCAGCATCTCCTCGGCGCACAGAATTCTCGTTTTCTTTCGCTGGCTGCGTTGTACATATCGTGCTGAACCGGTATTGGCCGGTTCAGGCATGTAGTTTTGCTCCCTCCCTTGTACTGTATACACGCCCCACAAACCTCTTGCTAATCGACAGTGTTTTCCTTTTTCTTCTCCAAAACCTCTTCTGATGAAGAATGGGTGTATTCGCGCTGACAATTCGGGCTCACGAGTGATCGTCTTGCCTTGCTCTCCCACGCAATGAATCGAGTGGGCCGGGCCAGTATCTCGTCTGTTTGCCGGCCAACACGCCATAAATCCTGAAACGAGAGAATCCCTCGCGGCGCTCTGATCTTGTCATTGCTGCCGTCGTCATGCCCACGCATCAGCGAGGAGAGCCGGCAAGCCGGGTATACGGGCGTAAATGATCGGGTTGCGCAACGTCAAGTCCCCTCCCGTCTCCCCTTTCTCTCTTTCAATCCCATGCATGGAATGCCACCCACCGATCAATTCTCCCCCCCCTTTGATGCGTCCGTGTGTGAGAATCCGTCTTTTGACCGACTCAGCCTTTGCCCTTGGCTCTGTTCATGTCGGAGTGGCGCCGTCCACCAAACCCCCTTCTTCTCCAATTCTCTCTTCTCCATTTCTCTCTACTGGTGGTATCGAACGCTGAGCTTGAGAAAGGAATCTTGCCCCACAAACCTCGATGCCCTGTTATTTTGTCGAGACGGTGCTGCTGTCGAGTTGTTGCCACGTCTGGGAAATAATGGCGGCGTCTACTGTTAGTGATCGGCTCAAAGGCGCCACCCTCGATATGGGAAGCAATGGGACAGGTGAGAAAAACTGGTTTCTAGTGAGAGATGCGAATCGAAATGCCTTTTGCATTTTTCTCTCTCCGTGTTATGTACAGGTATGTGTCTTGTTCGACGATCATTTAGAAGATGTCCTGTCAGGGAACGTCCGTCAGACCAGTCGCTTTTTTTGACGAGAATGAAAACGTACGTTGATACTATCCTGACCTCCTGGCCTCTCTCTGACACTATAAGGTTTATGAGCATACGCCGTGAACATTGCGCGTAATACGCACCGGCGTGTAGGCACAAACTCGTCTTCGGGAGCAGCATCCCAAAAGTTTTTGAGCGAATCTTTACCACCTGGAGGGTCCCTGACTCTCCTCGACTACAGATGCGAATCCTGAGCTCAAGAATCAGGAAAACAGAGCAGAGCATACTGGCACCGCGTTATTGTCCGGCAAGCCGACTGGATCTTCAGTTCGAGTAGCCTTTATCGACTGGATCAGTTAAACGATACACCAGGTGGACTTGTGATACGTACCACCTTTGGCGGAGGAGCCGCCGCGAGCGCGTCCTCCGACTCGTCAACAAAGGAAATGTTGGACTTTCCTCCAGGTGCCTCTCGAACGCGTCGAGTTGGGACAAAATCGCTTCCTGCCCCAGTCCCAGAGGCCGCGCTCGCGCCACCGCGTCCGTCATTGGTGGCATCCGCGGAGCCGTCTAGCTTTCCAAACGCCGCATAACCTAACCCCACACATCAAACCCCCACAATTAGTACCCAGTACGGCACAATCAAGGCTGGAGAGACGGCACGTACGAGGAAGTTTGGAGATATTGTTAAAATTTGGGTCGACACTCGTTCCCGTGTACCTGGTCGTTCATCTCTTAGCGCTGGATTCGTTCGTAGCTCATTGTAACGGGGATCGCGAGGGCCGATGGAGAGCGATATGGGAACGGTACCAACTTGAGAAAGTTGATGAGCTCCCGCTTCGTAAACACGATACGGGTGTCATCCCAGTCGAGCATTCCTATCGCACAAAATGATCAGAATTGGCGAGACCCGGTGAATGCCCGTTTACCAAGTTTCATGGGCCAGTCTTTCTCAGAGCCTTCAAACGTATTGACAGGAGTAAACCTATGCAATTTGAGTGAAAGATATTAATTTCATTTCGAGGCGCACGTCGACATTGTGAACGAATGGCTGCACTCGATGGGTCCAAGTTTCAGGTACAAACAAGGCCTCGCCCTCAAGCAATCGGAAATAACAAGATGCTTCTACTAGAGTACATACAAAAGAGTCTCCCTCTTGACCAAAGTATTGGACTACGTCAAGTTTTGAAGAAAGTCGATGCAGAGGGCATTGACTTCTCTCGGGTGTGTATATGAGCAGAACATGGGTGCTCCCTTGAGAATGTGCAGCTCTACGGACGCATTAGACAGCATCTTGCGGTTTTTATGTGCAGCCTCTGTCGGATAGACATGATCATCGTCTGTCGACACTAAGTTCAAACGGCATCTGCTACGAGGGAAAAGGGCTTACCCCCGTGTATCAACAGTACAGGGCAAGTGACTGCCGCCCACTCTTCGTCGGTAAGTGGTCTTCGATAAATCAGCGAGCTGAAAAACTTGTGGACATAGGGCTGGTTTGACGCTTTGAGATTCTTAAAAAGATGTCAGCACAAATCATTGCCAGAAACCAGGTACACTTACTGATGTCTTTAGCCACTCTGGGAAGAGTGCGGCTGGCGAGAGTCAGCCAAAAGGATTCGATCGTAGCTTCGGGTACGCTTACCGTCCTTGTGATTCCCAAAGTAGATCCACCGTCCGGCTGCGACAATCTCCAAAGGAATACTGTCGGTACCATCGCCAGCATCGTTTCTACACACTTCTCGCATCACTTTATATTGCTGCACGTTTTCCGCCTCCTATCCGCGGTCAGATATTGATGACATCGGTACCATGAGGTAATATATCACCTCTTTTGGGGGTGGTGTAGAGCATAGCATCAGCGAGATGATTCGCTTGGGTTGCACAATGGCCATTCTTATCCCCAGAATAGCCCCTAACTGGACGCCAAATATGTGGAATCTATCCACATTGAGCGCATCCATGACTTCGAGTAATTCGCGTGTTACCTAGGCGAAGCGGCAGTCAATAATGAGCCTGAATCAGGAGACTGAATTGGCACTCACGCGGTCATAGTCAAAGATATCATCGTCCATTGGAACCTTCGTCTTTCCGTGCCAATGAATGTCGACCCCGAGCTGCAAAAACCCCCAATCCATTGCGTAAGTTTTTCAGTCACCGAAAGATGATGACGGAGACGCACGAGATTATACTTAGATGACAGTTCCGTGCATTGTAACTGTGGATCAAGCACATGTAGATCGAATATGCGAGGATGGAGAAGGAGAATTGTGGGCTTGGAGCGATCCAGGGTCTCCTTAAATGACGGCAGAAAGTAGTGGAATGTGTATCCGCTCTGAGTCTGAATATAAGGCATTGTCGACGATGCGGACCCAAAATTTTGCTGGAGTGGTCGGGTCCAAGCCAAGGAGAGGGAACGAGAAACGGGTGCTATTGGGGCTCAAGCGAACGGAGGGTAGCGGCTTTAAAGGAAGGCGCCAGACGACCGTCAAATGATTCCCAGCGTCTCTGGTTTGGCGAATGAATGCCCGCTTCCCGACTCGCTCGGCCTCCCAAGTCGTTGGTTTAATGGGGCTGCTTGCTCGGCTTAGCATCGTTTTTGGTTTCTATACGTCAAGGTGCGGCTATCATTAACGACAAGCCACCAACAACCGCGTTGATGGCTCTGATAGCACGTGTAAATACAGTTGGGCAGGAGGAGATTACTAGGGTTGGGTCACTTACCAATTACGAGGGGCGGACCACCTGAGGAGGTTTGCAAGCACCAGGTCCAAACAGGATAGGCTCCTGCACGGCCCAGACGGCGGCGGCATTGAGTGATCGAATACACATCGCCAAGAGTACCTTGAGCTTGCCGCACGTCCATATCTAAGGGTTCCCGAAGAGTCCTGCGCCGTGACGACCAAGTCGGATATCAAGTTAAAAGCACCTGCTTGACGAGGACTTCTGATTCCCGGGGCGAAGATCGGAACCAGAAGGCTGATGTTCTAGAAAGAGACCGAGGGCTGGCAAGTCCCTGAGTGGCCGCGACGATGTCCACCTCTCTCGCCACTATTCCCAAATCAGCTTCCGACAGTAGCTTTCCGTAAGTGACAATTCGACTAGGTAGCCTCCGCTAGCCGAGGAACATGGCTGAGCTGGTGAAGTGAACGGCGCCCTCAAACACAGCTGGTCCGTGCCACGAATGTAATCTCCGAGTCGTAGCTAGTGAGTACAAGGGTTGTACGCGATAATAGTTCGGCGATTTTCCACTGGCGAAACACGCGACAATCCTCGGACAGCCTAAGATTTGTGTAGTCAGCAGATTATATTCTATCCCGTGGGAACAGGAGATAGCAGCATACTTGCATCTACTATCTAGAGTCAATAAACACGCCACAAGCAATTCATTCACCGATAAGTGTTTCACCAGTATATCCAACTCCCAGCTACATCTCCGTCGGGGAACCATTAAGAAACACGGATAAATGATCCTGGGAGTGTCAGATGTCGTCGTCGGTCTACCTTGTCTTAGCCAGATGCTAGAAGAGAGAGGAACATGCGGAGGAGCATGCGGTCGCGCATTCGCGAAACGAACGAAAATGCGGGTTTGGATAAGCAACATTGATGGCTTCTGAGTCAAATCCGCCATTGATTCCGATGTGAGGATCGGTGCGTCTGAGCTTTGACGGACTCTGTAGTAGAGATCATCCGGAGTGGAGTATGCAGACGTCTGGCTCTTCCGACCTGTCGATTCTAGATATATTTAGACTTCAAAGTGACAGAGAATATGTATCAGTTGTCCTTTTAGGCCCAGGTCTGCCCCAAACCAAAGGGTCGAAAAATTCTGGTAGCATGAGAAGGACAGGATGTTCAATGTCAGACACATAATCACGTTCCACAACACCCAAGGGAGACAGAGTAGGCCTTCGAGGAGTGATAAACCTGCTAGTCGAATTCGTTGGCGCGGGAGGGTTCAAGCTCACTCAACTCACTTACTGCCTGTAGGCTGTGCAGAGAGCTGAAGAATTAATATCTATACTGGTTATCAGACATTTGGGAATATCTAAAAGGCACCTGATGGCTGGCCGCTAATCTTCATATCCGACACAATGGAAACAGGTAAAGATGCCCTGTGGGTCATATCTGTTCTTGATTGAGTTGAGACGAGGATAATTGCTCCCCCAGAATGTTTCTTGCCACTTGGGTTCATTCTGCTGACCGTCAGTACAAGACCTGGAAATTGCCAAACCTGGCTTACAATGTCTCCCTTGAGTGAGTGGGTTAGCCACAGAGAGTCGACAGATCAGTAGAGGAACTCACTCGTTGACGTAGCTTCCAAACCCGGGGAAGAACTTTGCAAATTCCTGAGTCGCGCTCGTCAACGCGCTTCTGATAAGATTTCTTGTGGGAATAGGCTGGGAGTTGTCCCATCCCCCCGCTAGAATAATGTGATGAATCGCCTTGCGCCATGATGGATGTATCGCGGTCGCATCGCCGGCAACTTGGCTGACTTTGTTTCCGGCAACTACGAACGTTCATTAGTTTATGGCCTATTCAGATACGTTCTGCTCACCCAAGTGCATGATCACGATGAATGGACTCTTGACCATGAAATCTGCGAGTTTCTGGACCTTGTCGCCTTGGAAGGCGCTCGCAGGCGCCAGACGACTTCCAAAGATTGTATAGCTACCAGCACCCTGATCGAATGTAGTTGGATCGTCGAATAGGCTCAAATAGCTAGGAATCACGCCAAACCCCGTTATAATCTTGGCAGGTCGTCCATTGCTTGTCTCTGATTGCGCAAGATCGAACATGGGTTTGAGTGTCGAGTTGAGCGCAGTGATATTTGCAAAGTTATGGATAAGAAGCTGTGCAAATATGCCGTTCGCCGTAGGAGTGCTATAACCGGAGATGTTGTGCGTAGAAAGAGTGGGTTGAAGAGCGAGGTACTCACGCAGGAAGCTGGTGAATGACGCATTTGTGTAGGTTGCATTGAAAAGCATTGTCGTGATCGCCGTGATAGGAGGGTGCGTTTTATACGTGACTTTGGTAACCACCTGTGGTGAATAGTTGGATTAGGGCTTCACCATGAGATAGTAAGCAATACTCCAAAGCCAGTTCCACCACCTCGCAAGGCCCAAAAGAGATCTTTTTCCTGGTACTGGTTCACAATGCGAAGTTGGCCGTCGGGCGTTACAATCTCGAATTGTAGGACGTCTACACTGCTTTTCAACAAGATACATAAATTCAATCGACACATACTCACTATCAACGCCTAGACCGTATTGAGGACTGAGACTTGAATGTCCACCGCCTAGAACCCATCCACCAGCAGCACCCACAGAGTAGCTGGTACCTAAGGTATGATAAGATGCGGGGTCAGGCTGAGGCTAATGACCTGCCTCCAACTACGATAACACCATGTGAATCCGCAGCTCGATTCACATCTTGTGGATTGTAAGGCCAGACGATTAGAATCAATATATCAAGTACTTACGTATCCAATGCTCTCCGGCAGCGATGTGCACGACCGATTCGGGGGAGGCTCCTTGTGGGGCACCAGCAAGAGTGAAGCTGTTGACGAAGTCGATTCCCTTGAGCTTTATGGTCGAGATGCCAAACGTTCCATTTCCAGAGGACCTTCCCAGGCTACACAGATGGAGTCAAAATAAGCTCATAGCCGGATACCTCTGACGTACAAATCGTGGGATGCGCCTTTGACCCTGGTGCTAATCTTGTGATCATGCGCAAACTTGACTGCTTTCTGTACGTCATCGACGTTGTTGACTTGGGCGACATAATACGGGACCAATCCCTGAGTACAAGGCAGACTTGCATTGCCATTGATATCGCAGAGATTATCTCCATTCTCCCAATCTAAGGAATTGAGAATCATTTAGGGGTTAATGATAACACGTACTGAGGTCAAAGTAACCTCCAGGCTGCTGTGCACGCCAAAATTGCTACGATACGTCAGTATACGCGAAAGCTATATCCAGCGAAGTTCACTTTGTCCAGTTCTCCTTGGCTATATCGCACGCGTCTTGATTGACGGGTGCATGACATGGAGAGGCTACAGGGAACGCACGAACGAGTGCGCCATTTAGAGTCGAGTTGAGCGACTCCCAGGTCGCCTCTGAAGGCCAACAAGAACTCGGATACGTACACGCCACGTCGCGAGGTCTACGATGCCCAAGACAGCGAGAACGAGGATCCATAAAACAATCGTCATGTCAAGGTGTTCAGATGAACTCTGCTCCAATTATCTCGCCTTTTATCCCATTAGCCCCCCTTCTTCATCTTCGGTTGACGTTCTGACCCTCGTCGACGATGTTCCATCCGTCGCGGGAGAAGGCTGGGTAGATTTGTGCTTCGCCCCCACTATTGACGAAATCCTGAGTCATGCATTGCGCAAAACGGGCATGGGTACTTTAAAGCGCGCTGGTTGCAGAGAGCGAGGTACGATTTCCGGAATAATAGAGTATACAGACGCTCCATTTTCTGACGTGTTTAGTTTGGAGATACAGTTGGAAATTTGAACAGCAGGAAAGGGCGGTTGCCAGCATCATGTGTCTTTTTAGACGGATGCTTGCCCCAAACCGGAGAGGCGAAAAGTTCCCGTAGCCATCATAAGGGTAGGATCCTCAATATCAGACAGACGGAAAATCACGTTCCACAAAATTCCGGGGTGAACGAGGCGACCTTTGAAGTGCGGTAGACCGGCTGGTGTAATGCACTGGTGTGGAAGAGTTCAAGTCACTTATTGCGAGCAACTGTAACGCAAACAAAGATATTTAATTGCAATACCAATCATCAGACATTCGAGACTATTGAAAACGGCACCTGGTGGCTAGCCGTTAATCCTCATATCCGACACAATGGAAACAGGTAAAGATGCCCCGTGGGTCATATCTGTTCTTGATCGACTTGAGACGGGGATAATTGCTCCCCCAAAACGTTTCCTGCCACTTGGGCTCATTCTACCGACTGTCAGTGCAAAGCACGCGAACTGCCAATGACGGCTTACAATGTCTCCCCTTAGGTGTGTATGTCAGTCATTGGGAGTCGCGAAATGACTAAATAGACTCACTCATTGACGTAGCTTCCAAATCCAGGGAAGAACTTTGCAAATTCCTGAGTCGCGCTCGTCAACGCGCTTCTGATAAGATTTCTTGTGGGAAGAGGCTGGCTATTGTCCCATCCCCCAGCTAGAACAAGATGATGAATCGCCTTGCGCCATGATGGATGTATCGCGGTCGCATCGCCGGCAACTTGGCTGACTTTGTTTCCGGCAACTACGAACGTTCATTAGTTTATGACCTATTCAGATACGTTCTGCTCACCCAAGTGCATGATCACGGTGAATGGACTCTTGACCATGAAATCTGCGAGTTTCTGGACTTTGTCGCCTTGGAAGGCGCTTGCCGGTGCCAGACGACTTCCAAGAATTGCATATCCAGCAGCGCGCTCGTTGACCGTAGCTGGATCATCGTTGAACAGGCTTAGATAGCTGGGGAGCACCCCACCCAGTGTCTCAACCTTGGCGGGGCGTCCATTACTTGTCTCCGACTGCGCAAGGTCGAACATGGGTTTGAGCGTCGAGTTGAGTGCAGTAAGGTTGGCGGAATTGTGGACAAGAAGCTGAGCCACGATGCCATTTGCTGTAGGATAGCTGTAACCGGAAACGTTGTGCGCAGAAAGAGTCGGTTGGAGAGCCAAATATTCACGTAAGAAGCTGGTGAATGACGCGTTCGTGTAGGTGGCATTGAAAAGCATGGCCGTAATTGCCTTGATAGCAGGATGCGTTCTATATGTTACTTTGGTGACCACCTGTGAATGACGTTTAGATCACTAATTCACTGTGAGAGAACACATACTCCAAAGCCAGGTCCGCCACCTCGCAAAGCCCAAAAGAGGTCCTTCTCCTGGTATCTATTCGCGACGCGAAGTCGGCCGTCGGGTGTTACAATCTCGAATTGTACAACGTCTACCCTGCCTGTCAGTATAATCAGTATATTCAAAGAATAGCTGCTCACTATCGACGCCTAGACCGTATTGAGGACTAAGATTTGAATGTCCGCCCCCCAGAACCCATCCACCAGCAGCGCCCACAGAATAGCTAGCACCTAAAATGTGCTAAGCGTCAGACCTAGGCCGAAACAAATGACATACCCCCAACGACGATAACGCCATGTGCGTCTGCAGCTCGATTCACATCTTCCGCATTGTAAGACAAACCGACGCGGGCACACGCATCAAACACATACATATCCAATGCTCTCCAGCAGCCACGTGCACGACCGATACAGGAGAGGCTCCAGGAGGGGCACCAGCAAGTGTGTAGCTATCGACAAAGTCGATTCCCTTGAGCTTTATGGTCGAGATGCCAAACGTTCCATTTCCAGAGGACCTTCCTAAGCTGTATATATGGGGTCAAAATAAGCTCATAACCTGATACCTTTGACGTACAAATCGTGGGATGCGCCTTTGACCCTGGTGCTAATCTTGTGATCATGCGCAAACTTGACTGCTTTCTTTACGTCATCGACGTTGTTGACTTGGGCGACATAATACGGGACCAACCCCTGAGTACAAGGCAGGCTCGCATTGCCGTTGATATCGCAGAGGTTATCTCCATTCTCCCAATCTAAAGAATGTGAGAATCATTTAGGGGTTAATGATAACACGTACTGAGGTCAAAGTAACCACCAGGCTGCTGTGCACGCCAAAATTGGCTGTGATGCGTCAGTATACGCGACGAGCATACTCAGCAAAACTCACTTTGTCCAGTTCTTCCTGGCAATATCGCACGCGTCTTGGTTGATAGGTACATGGCACGGTGTGGCCACGGGGAACGCACGAACGAGTGCGCCGTTCAACGTCGAGTTGAGCGACTTCCAGTTCGCCTCTGAAGGCCAACAAGAACTCGGATACGTACACGCCCTATTACGCGCACTCGCACTCGCAACACCCAAAGCAGCGAAAACGACGGTCCACAAAATAATCGCCATGTCTCAAGGTTTCGTTGTTCGAGCTCGATGTTGCTCCACGAATCAAGCTTTTATCTCATTGGAACCTACTTCCTCTTCGGTCAACGCTTTGACCCTCGCCGACGAATTTTGTTTCGATCTTCGACCATCGCTGCGGGCAAAGCGAGGCAGAGTCCAAGCGTCACCGCCACCGCTGGAAAACTCTGATGGGCAGCCATTGCGCAGGAAATATATCTGTGTAAACACAGGATGCATTCAAGTCAGCAAGAGCTCAGATACGCCGTGTCACGAGCAGTTACGGTGCCCAAGGCAGTAAAAACGCCGGTCAGCAAAGAAATGCCATTCTAAGACTGTCCTTTGGGGTTGACCCTGCTCTATGCATTACGCCTCTTCCCATGAGAGCCCCTTCATTGCCCTTCAGTCAACGTTCTACGCCCTCGCAGGTTGGAGGTTCACAGCCATATTTGCGAAACTGCGAGGTGAGTGATTGCATAGAACAGGCGTCATTATTCACAGCCCTGGTCGCAGAAACGAGGTAGAGTCTCCGAACTTGAGTATGCAGACGGCCGGTTTCACCCTGTTAACAAGTGGAGATACACTTATACTTTTGAGAAGCAAGAAAGGAGATGTTATACACATGATATTTGCCCTGCTAGGCCCCGGCGTGCCTCGAACGAAAGAGTTGAGAAATTCCGGTAGCATGAGAAGGGCAGAATGTACAAATTTACACATATGGCCGCATTCCACGACATAAGAGGGAGGAATATTAGGCCACCGAAGTATGGTAGCCTTGCTATTCGTATTCGTCGGTTCAGGAGAGTTCAGGTTCGCTCAATTGACTTATTGTGGACAGGTATGTATAGATAATTGAATACTGGTCATCAGACATTCGAGCGTATTTAAAGCGATACATCCGATGGCTGGCCATTAGTCTTCATATCCGACGCAATGGAAACAAGTGAAGATACCCTGTGGGTCATATCTTTTCTTGATCGACTTGAGACGGGGATAGTTGCTTCCCCAGAACGTTTCTTGCCACTTGGGCTCATTCTACCGACTGTCAGTACAAAACATGCAAACTGTCGAGCCTGGCTTACAATGTCTCCCCTTAGTGCACAAGTCAGCCATCGAGAGTCGACATATGGGTAGAAAAACTCACTCATTGACGTAACTTCCAAACCCTGGGAAAAACTTGGCAAATTCCTGAGTCGTGTTCGTCAAGGCGCTTCTAATAAGATTCCTGGCCGGAATAGGTTGATTATTCTCCCATCCAGCCATGAGAATAAGGTGGTGTATCGCTTTGCGCCATGAAGGATGTATCGCGGTCGCATCGCCGGCAACTTGGCTGACTTTGTTTCCAGCAACTACGAGTGTCTGTAAATATGTCGCCTATTCAGGTCCTTCCGGCTCACCTAGTGTCATCAGCATATTGAAGGGGCTTTTGGCCACGAAATCTGCGAGTTTCTGGACCTTGTCGCCCTGGAAAGCACTCGCAGGTGCCAGACGGCTCCCCATAATTGAATATTTACCCGCACCTTCGTCGACCGTAGCTATATCATCGTCGAACAGACTTAAATAACTAGGAAGCACGCCTCCCTGTGTTTCAATTCTGGCAGGTCGTCCATTGTTCGTCTCTGATTGCGCAAAGTCGAACATGGGTTTGAGCGTCGAGTTGAGCGCAGTGAGATTGGCGGAATTGTGAGCAAAAAGTTGAGCCACGATGCCATTTGCCGTAGGATAGCTGTAACCGGAGACGTTGTGCGCCGAAAGAGTCGGTTGGAGAGCCAGATATTTACGCAAGAAGCCGGTGAAGGATGTGTTTGTGTAGGTGGCATTGACAATCATTACCGTGAGTGCTTTGATAGGAGGATGTGTTTTATACGTCACTTTGGTGACTACCTGTGTTGGAAATTCAGATCGTGGCTTCACTGCGAGACAATACATACTCCAAATCCAGGCCCACCACCGCGCAAGGCCCAAAAGAGATCCTTCTCCTGATACTTATTCGCAACGCGAAACTGGCCGTCGGGGGTCACAATCTCGAATTGTACAACGTCTATCCTGCTTGTCAGTATAATCGCTAGATTCAATGATCAACTCCTCACTATCGACGCCTAGACCGTATTGGGGACTGAGACTTGAATGTCCACCGCCCAGGACCCATCCACCAGCAGCACCCACAGAGTAGCTGGTACCTAAGGTATGATAAGATGTGGGGTCAGTATGAGGCTAATGACCTACCTCCAACTACGATAACACCATGTGAATCCGCAGCTCGATTCACATCTTTTGGATTGTAAGACAAGACGATTAGAAGCAACATATCAAGTACTTACGTATCCAATGCTCTCCGGCAGCGATGTGCACGACCGATTCGGGGGTAGTTCCAGGGGGGGCACCAGGAAGAGTGAAGCTGTCAACAAATTCGATTCCCTTGAGCTTTATGGTTGAGATACCAAATGTTCCATTCCCAGAGGACCTTCCCAGGCTACACAGGCGCGTTAAAATAAGCTCATAACCAGAGACCTTTGACGTACAAATCGTGGGATGCGCCTTTGACCCTGGTGCTAATCTTGTGATCATGTGCAAACTTTACTGCTTTCTTTACGTCATCAACATTGTTGACTTGGGCGACATAATACGGGACCAATCCCTGGGTACAAGGGAGGCTCGCATTGCCATTGATATCGCAGAGATTATCTCCATTTTCCCAATCTATAGGAGTTAATAGATATAAGTCAATTGCTGATGAGACATACTGAGATCAAAGTAACCTCCGGGCTGCTGCGCACGCCAAAATTCACTATGATACGTCAGGGTGTGGGATAAACATACTTGATGAGACTCACTTTGTCCAATTCTTCTTTGCGATATCGCATGCGTCTTGATTGACAGGTGCATGGCACGGAGAGGCGACGGGGAACGCACGAACGAGTGCACCGTTCAACGTCGAGTTGAGCGACTTCCAATTCGCCTCTGAAGGCCAACAAGAGCTCGGATACGTACACGCCTTTTCGCGAGCACTCACGACGCCCAAGGTAGCGAAAACAACGGCCCACAATACGATCGCCATGGTCGTTCTTCGAGACCGACTTTGCTCCATATCAAGCCTTTTATCTCATTGGGACCTGCCCCCTCTTTGATTAATGCTCTGGCCCTCGCCAAGCAATTTCGTTTGATGTTCGTCCATTTGCTCCACTGCGGGCGAAGGCGGCAGAATCCAAGCTTCACCGCCACCTTTGTAGAACTCTGATGGCATGAGCCATTTATGCAAAAAAGAAGTCTGTGTGAGCACAGGATGTATTGTCTAACATTTACAGAGGTTTTTGATGTCATAGAGCGAAACATATAGAAACAACAACGGAGAGTTGAAAGAGGCCCGGGCGCAGTAAGTAACACAAAGAGCGCGTTACAGGGAAATCATGATTCGTCGGTGGATGCATTGGTTTTCGCTCGCTTTCTTCCTGTGGATGGGGTATCCGAGTCTCCGGTAGCCTTGCGCTTGCCGGTCGAGGATTTCCCCTCTGAAACTCATAGTTAGATGATACACATGCAAGCGAGCATACTCTACATACCCTTTCCAGTACCTGATGCATTGAGTTGCTTGGAGCCTCGTTTGGCGCGGTTACCGGACGGGGGTCGTCCTCGTTTCGGTGCTGGAGGCCCGCTGGGCGCAATTGGACTGACAGGGGAAAGTGAAGACGGTGCAACGTGTCCCTCTCCTTCAAATGCAGTGTGAGAAATCGGCCCAGTGTGTGCCCCGTCTTTACATACCAATCATAAAGAATGCCGTCTGCGCAGCCTGAGAAGGGTCCACCGCTCCAGACCCATCTGACATGAATGCTGTGGGGTCATACCCAGAAGAGGGTGGTTGAAGTGTCGTAAAATCGGCCCAGGATGGCGTCGCACTCGCAGCTGGCGCGTCGAGAACTGATTCGGCGACGGAAAACGGGTCCAGAGAAGAGTGTTTGCCATGAATAAATGGACTAGCGCCTGTACGTTCTTTGACTTCGTCGATGATCAGATCGAGGCCCTTGCCCGTCACACCCTCAACGGCCGCAACTTCATCTGGAATCTTGTTTCCATTCAGGCGACGCGAAAAGGCATTGGCCACCATCTTTAGTCTGTTATCGTGGGCAGCCAGGACGGCAATGGCTTCGGAGCGTCGTGCCCAATAGGAAAATTGAGTATTTGACCATCCGGAGAGTGCGAGGACAGTCGATCTCGACAGTGTAACACGGCCGCTTGGAGCTTTTGGAAAGCTGTGTGATAGCGTCTTGCTTGGGTTATATGGATGGCTGGAATAAATTAGACATGACCGATTGTGATCGGGTGCACGTACGGTACATAGACACGAAGCACCTCTTTGACAGCCTCTGCTTTGCAAAGAAAGTCGATGACCGTCGCAGTCGTCTCGGTCTGCCCATCGGGCCCAGTGGGGACTGGCGACGCCTTCTTTGGTTTTCCGCGAGGGCCTGTGAGCCGGCGCTCAAACAAACGCGCAGAGAATGTCGTCCACTTATCCGTCCCCAATGACTCCTGTAAAAATGCCTCTGCAAATGGGTCTACGATCGCAGGAGCCTTTTTGTTGGACGCCTTGTCTAACAATTCTGGGGCGATGGGTGACACTGGAGGCTGCAGAAATACATTATCAAACTGTACGACGCGTGTTATCAACCGCATACCTCGAGCGGCGGGTCGAGTTTAACGGGCAAGAAGTCTTCTACGTCGTTGTCTGGGAGCGTGGGGCTCTCTGGACTCGCTGTGGGCTGCAGATCCTCGTGAAGATAGGTTGAATACGGATGGACGTTGTCGTTCTTGTCGTCTGTCCCAAATGGAGCGGTGGGATCGTGCTGGCCGTCGTCGAACATGATCCCGTATCCCAGGTCAAAGCCTTCCCACTCGCTCGTCGTCGCTGTCGTCGGTTGCGCGTCGAGGGACCCATTGGTAAAGACGAGCGTCCGCATTTGGGACTCGCGCTTTACGCCCTGCACATCAGCCGCTCAATTCTCTCTTGAAAAATGGCTCCTCACCACTTGCAGTCCTCTCACAGGTCAACGCCGTGTCCGATCGTCCGTCCAGTCACCGACCGCGTTCAAATGGTGCGTCGAGGAGGAAATCAAGCTCCGACTGACTCCCCTTTTATCGACCCAGCCAAAAGCTAATGGATTGCTTCCTTGTTCGCATACATCCATCAAAACTACCTGCGAGAATAACTATGCTCCCTCCCATTCCCTCGTCTCCCCGGTGGCGTCCTGCTACGGCTATGATACCTTCGCCCATATCCCTTATCTCGATCATCTCGTCGTGGGGACCGAGAACGCGAGTCCCTTCGAATCGATTTGCGAGGCGGAGAGCGCCGTCGGTCATCAGGAGAGCCCGACAAACGGCGACGATCCCGCTCATCCCTCCTCGGCGAGCGAGACCGTCGACTTTTCGGTGGAGGTGAATCGTCATATCGTTTGCGAGAACTTGAAGGAGGCGTTCGACGGGGGCTCCGTGATCGCGAATCATACCGACGACGAGCATAACGATCACTCTCTCGGCTTCGGCTCCTTCTCCGTGGGCTGATACTTCGGCTTCGACTTCGACTATCATCCGAGTCGCTGTCCGAATCCGAACTCGAGTCGGAATCAGAGTCACTGTCAGAGGACGAGGATGACGGTGCCTGCGCACGTTGCTCCATGAGAAGCTTTTGAGCATTCTGAAAGAATCTTGTTAGTGCAGGTAACTTTGCCAATCCGTTCACATACCGTAAGATGCTCTCGCATTTCCAAAGTGAGCACACCGAGGTTGATGCTGGTGAAGAAATTGATGGAGAAACGAGTATTCTTGGGGAGGTCGGTAGGGAACATGTTCTTGCAATGCTGTCGGACGTCTGGATCCTTGAGACGCTCTGCCAATGCTTTCGTCCCCATCGCCTCGTTCATTTCCTGCATCATAATCTTGACAAAGATACGACTGGCCGACGTAGTGTCGTTTTCGTTCATCTTGATGGCCTCGAGAACGGACCACGAAATGGCATCACTCGCCAATAGATGGCCAAAGAATTTGGCAATGATTCGAAGGCGGTTCGTTTCATATCGATGAATCGTCTCGTAATAGTTTCCAAATGCCTGCTCGAAGCAATCGTACCAGACCCGATTCAACTTGCAAAGTCGTTCGCCGATCAGGCCATAGTAGCGCGAATAGGTCCGCTCTTGAGACGCACACTCTACGACCATGTTACAAAGCTCAATCTACGGCATGATGAGCACTTATACGCTAACATAATCAAGACGCACCTCTTCTCCCTCCTGCAGTTTGATTTTCAACAGTTTATGCACTGCTTCTTCATAGCCGAGCTGCATCCATGGTCAAACTCGAGAACAGATCGAACAAAAAGAGTACTTACAGCATTCTGCAAGGTCAAATAGATGACTCTTCGCAGATTGACGAGGTTGGTTTCTGTCTTGTCCTGGATACCTTCTTTCTCTTGGACTATACTTTGTAAGCGACGCTGGCACATAAAAAATATGTATAACTGACCAGGAGCGTCTCCATCATCACTTTCGCTGTCACTTCCATCTTCGTCCGACTCGGATTCGTCGTCACCGAGAACTTCTGACTTGAATTCTTTGTATTCTTGCTCGTGTTGCAAGTAATCTGGATCAAACTTGAAGACATCTGAGAATGTCAGCATCCTATTGATTCGATATGGGCCTTCACTTACTCAGAGACTCTTGAACTTCGAGCTTGTCGTCCAAATTAATCTCGTGCGTGATTTGATCCTCCTGTTCGACGAGGTCGAGACCCTCTGGAATCATGGGGTTATCCTTGTATTGATCTTTTCGGACTTGGAACAGAACTTCGATCATGTATTGAACGCGCTTGTCAATAGCTCCCTCGTGAAGGACTGCGCGGAAACGATCGAACAGGAGATTGTTCTCTTTTGGAAACTCCGAGAGATAGGCTCCGACCTCTTTCATGAAGCCGACTGCAATCTCCACACTCGAGTCGGTGGGTCGCTCAAGCAACAGAATGATGATTTGGAGCGCGAGGGCCGAGTCTGCAACAGATTGGTTGACCAAATGAGCGATAAACGTCGAGGTTGCGACACAGACTGGCTGTGGAAATTCGGTGAATAAAAAACGGGCAACCCCCGAGGCAATTCAAACTCACCTTGTCATTACGTTTAAAGGATCGACGAAACTGGCTAACAAGCCGCACTAGAACCAATTCTCCAACGGTGGGTAGTTTCGTGTTAATGATGGCAACCAGGCACGCGAATACTGGAGTAAAGGGCAAAGAAGCAGCTTGTGCTTTCATGATGGAGCGGGCGAAAAGTCCCTTTCCGCGAACAAGATTCTCATTGAACAGTTCTGGAACAATCTGTTTGATGTTGACAATGTTGACCCTATTGACGATACCCGTGATGGATTTTCGGAGCGCGTCCCATGACAAACGCTGATACTCTGGGCTCGTCTTGTCCTTTGCTGCCTCTTCCTGCAACGCACGAAGGCGTGCAGGAGGCATATACACGCCTCCAGAACGCGTGCCTGCAGTCAATTTTTTGAATTCTGCGACGGCGTCAAAGGTTGCCTCCTGCGGTTGGGCCGGACGCTCCTTGTCAACCGACATGCGATCTCCACCATCTGAAGCACTGTTCGAGCGTCTTCTGTGTGCTGGAGGTGATCGGTCCCTTTGCGAGTTTGACGGGGACGGAGAGCTGTCGTAAATTGCAAGAAGAATGTGAGCGTTTGTTGGATAAAGCAAAAGGGATAATAATAAAATGGAATAGACGGAATTACCGTTTTCTTTTCAAACGGAAATCGTTGTCCTTTGGCAGGGCGGACATTTGATGGGATGGACGGCTCCAAGTGGCTATAAACGTACAAGGCTTTCGACTCTCTTGTTCCAAGCCACCACCCCCCTCTCTCCGCTGCGACGACTGCGACGACGACGACGAAGACGACAATGAGCTCGTTTTACTTTCCAGACGGCGACTTGGTCATCAAGGCCAGCGACAACATTCTCCTCCGCGTCCACAAGGCGAAAATGGCCACCGCCAGCGCCGTATTTGCCGACATGTTCTCGTTTCCAACACCGGAAAAGGAGAAAAGTGACGATACAACACACGTAGACGCGTCGGTAGAGCTCACAGAGAGCTCGTCAACGCTCGACGACCTCCTCACGTTCATTTACGACGACAAGTCCACCTCGTCTGTACTATTGGACAAGACCACGAGATTCACGTCGCCAATGGAAGACTACGAGCGCTATTCGTCCCTCTTCGAAGCCGCCTGCAAGTATGAAGTCGTCCGGGCCCAGGGTGCGGCCGTCGATGCTCTCCAGTACGTCCGCCCCGTCCATCTCAAGCCACGTACCAACTGTTTCAGATCCTTGCTTCCTCACCGTGCTTTGCGCGCGCAGATTGAAGACTTGGCAACCCGGCTGGACCATCCTGGTTTGGCTGCACAAGCCAAGCACTATGAGAGCATCAAGTTGAACAAGCAACTCAGAGCTGCTGTGCGCCTTACATTCCTCGACGGATACGATTGCTAACAACATTCAGGCTGCCTGGCGCACTTCATCCCGCAAGTACATGTGGGTATGTACTCATTCTCTATAGTTTCATCCTCTAACTCTTCACCAGCAATTCTGGGCTCTCTGTTGGGTCCTCGCGGTTGTATCGATCATCAAGCTCGCAGTTTCGCTGTAAGCCAATTCCCGCCCCATGGTCGAAACATGCTAAAGTCTCTTAGTCACATTCACATTTCGCTTCATCATTTCATTTTCCCCGCTTGCGAAACAGGAGTGGCTTGTCCTCACCAGATTAATGTAGAGTATGTCGCTTCTCAACCCCAAGTACACAGCTGACAGCCCCCAGATTCAAGCTCTCTGTGTTTACTGCATTCGTTTCTTTGTTCCTCGCACCAGTGTATTGTTGTTTCCTTGTAGCTTCGCAGCCGGTGGATCGTTCCATACTGCGTTTCCTCATTGTAGTCACTTGTAAGTCTCCCCTCCCCCAGTTCTGATGATATCTGACCCTCCTCTTAGGGTTCCTTTGGGTCGTCGATTGTATCTACAGCACCCTTCACCTTCGCGCATCTCATGGAAACTGCGATAGAGTTTCCCCAAACAATCCAGAATTCTTTGCCGACTGTCTTCTTCGGATGGCTTCGATGACTTCTGTCGGCTTGTCGTACTTTTGTCGTGCGTATTTCCCTTTTGGGTCACCACGCCCTCAGTTGACCACCATCCCAGTGTTGCTCGCAACCCCCCAGGTCATTTCAGTAGGTTATTGGCTGAGTGCAGTCATTTATCAACAATGGCTCATCGTCGCAAGCCTCCCTCGTCAAACGGCACCCCTACACACGCTCCCAGAGCTCAAGCCGCATTCCCTCTAGTCGCACTGGATCCTCCGGCGCGATGAGCAGCCCTTCATCTCCTGTCAACGGCCCTTGCCTTCGCAGTACAACCCACCACCCATCTTCGTCTTGCCCGACTATCGCTCTGAGAATATACCTCCCGGACTCTGTCGCAGCGCTCCATTCCGTCACTTTCGACGTCTGTTCCCCTCTTCTTCCTCTTCATCCTCCTTCGAGACGCCATACCGCTCTCTGAGCGACTCAAAACTTGAAGAGGTTGACCCTTGCTCCGATTCGTCTTCGTCTTCACTCTCTTCCTCCTCCTCGGACTCGATCTCTTCTTCGTTTTCGGCAGTCTCCCAAGCAAGCAAAGTCGCTACCGCCTTTTTCACGTCTCCATCCTACCGGACAATCACTCTTTTTACCCTACCGCTCGTTTATGGACAACACTCACAGTCTCTCCCAATGCCTCTATCGCAAGCTCGCGATCAAAGCCAAGCGCACAGATCGCGGCTATATCCTGTTCAGAGGCCTCTTGCTCCTTGATCTCCTCCACCATCAACTCCTTTGCGCGTTTACAGGCGTTGGCACTCGATTTTCCATCTGCCTTTTACGCCTCGTTGGCGATGGTGTCGCTTGCCTCATCTTGTCAAACGTGTCCGCCCTCCGCCTTCGTGTCGGCGATGTTCCTTTGGTTGGTGACGTGGGGATTGAACCTGTTATCACACGTCTCAACAGAGGTTTATTATCAGAAGCCTCACAACTCGCCTTTTCGAGCGGATCGACCCGCACCCGGCTTTCCACTCCATGCAGGCGATAGCATATCTAATCCTGGACGCGAGTTGACGGGAGTCGTCGGGCGGGGTTCTGGCAACGCCGTCTCGTGCTCCTGCAGCCCTATCGCGCGCAAGCGCTCCAGGTCCAATCCCCTAATCTCATTCCAGTCGAGTGAAGACACGACTCCGTTTGTCTGCTCGACGACGAGTATTTGCGGGAACCGACTAAACCTCCTCCACCTATAAAGCAACTCTCAATCCGTACTCCTATCAACCCGTGCTGGCCACCCACCTCAGACACTCTGTCTCCTTCTCACACGCTGGACAATCAAACTTTCCTTCCCTCGCCGCGGCCCATGTATCGATGGACCAAAATGTTGCAGCAGCAACGTCCGCTCCTTGCCCCTTTCCTGCGATTCCGCGAATTGTATCCATTTGCTCCGAACTGTATCTCACGCCGTTGCATTGACTGCACTCCGTTCGTACCTCGACATGTATCGTCATTCGTTCGAATATACCGTCTCTTCGACGCAAAACATCGGGGCCTGTCGGTTGTTGTGAGGTGTTTCGACATAGGTCTAGGATACTGCTGAGGACATGGGCTTCGCTTGTTGTATCATCGACCACGACGCCTGCGATTGGCTTGATGGTGGCCTCTAAAGCGAGGGAGCTGATTCCCTCTGACGGGAAAGCGTATCCATTCGCTAGTGTGACTGCCGTAGCGAATTTATGCATCTGGCATGTGAAGCATGTTCGTGGATCCGAATTTGGGCAAGTGAGAGGGTGAAGAGAGGCCGTTGGTAAATATCGATTGCGGTACTTGGTAGTCTCCAGTAGTGCAGTCATGATGACCGGGAGGGCCTCTCTGCCCAAAAGCGTCAACTGGAGGCGGAACCCATCAAGTCATCCTACCGTAGCTCGATTGGGTGCAATGATCGTGGCTGCGTCGAGGTTGAAAGGCTCTTATGGACTGCTGTAATGATTGCGTCGATCTGAAGTCGATTGGTGGCGCGCGACGACGGTCTCATAGAGGACTCACCACTCCAGCTCCTTCGTGATCTGCAGGAACCGCAATGACTTCCCCATCTTCTTCATATTCACCACACTGCCAACACCGAAGACCGCATTGAACGTCCTGCGTCTTGTCCTCACTCTCTTCATCCTCCGAGCCACTGTCCTAGTCGTGGCAATTAGTAAGAATAGCGCGTATTTGGAGAGGCGATATTGCGTACGTTCTCTGATTCTGGATCAACCATCCGTATACTGATAGAAAACTGGTGCGTGGTCTTGTTATAGTGCAGATATGCGTGCTCGGAGCACGAGGCGACGAAACACGCCGTACAGACTTCTATATCATCTTCCTAAGGATGAGTTGCAGTAGAGGCCGGTTGAAGCAGAGAGGCCAGTGAGTGGAAAGCATGCAATTCGTAGACGTGTGATCGTATTTTCATGTTTGAGTAAAAGAATGCAGTTTTCAGATTAGTCGTGAGTATCTAGAATGCTTCATACCAATCTCCGAAAGCACTGGCCACATTCCTCAACGATGAACGCAGTCGCAGGAGGTGGAACTGCTTGAGATAAGAGATGCGGAAGGTGAGGACACTCCATACTCGTCAAATGAGCGCGAGTCAAGATGTCAAAGTGTCGCGGTTGGGTCTGAGCCTGGCCTAGATGGTAGTTTGGTTCCACTACACCGAATAGGCTCACGGGAGAATTGCTCTAAAGCGACTGGTCTACTCCGTTTCAATGCATGGCACTGGTCTGTCGATGTGATGTTGTGTATATAATCCCTATGCCTAGTAGTAAAGCAGGTGGTAAAACCATAGTTGGACCTCGCCACACCTGACGACGTTATTGATTCCGCGGCACTTTATATCACCATCTCCACCTCTCTTTCGAACCTGATGACTGAGAGGTCCAATACCTCCGGCTGGACCTATATCCTCGCCAATCAGACAGAATATGCTCACCTACAGGCCGAGAGCCCGCGAAGAATGGAGTATCCAAGTCTATGATACGCATGTCACGGAGATTCCTCCACAAAAGATGATAAATCTCCTCTTCGCAGGAGTCGAACACCAATACAAGAGCGGGCCCGAACAAACAAAGTTTATAGAGCGCTTGGACGCGATTAGTCAATGCATATGGGAGGATTTGCGTTTGTTCTATCCCCAGCCCATTGTGCTGCACTGACAAACATCCAGGAAAGGATTCCGGTAATCTCATCACCTTTAAAGGTTCGGAAAAGGAAAGGGGGAAACCCCAACGACCATCCAACCACCACACAATGCGTACCAGGCTTTGTTGCTATCCGCAAAAGTGCAATTCCTTCTATACCGATCCTATCCAACACGCCCATATCGCCGGATCAATCCAATTCGCCTGCGAAATCTGATCAAACTGATACTTCCACGTCATCGGATCAGCCCGACACTCTGACAATTGATGTTCCATGGTCTCAATTGGAGGCAGTCGAGGAAGATTACTCTAAAGGCAAAGCCATTGGAGAATCTGAGATTCAAGAAGCGGCTTATGTTATGTATCATCTCCAAGCCCGACCTGATCTGATAGCCACAGCCGGGCTGTGGGTACGCCACAACGAGGAATATAATGTCCTCTTTGTTGACGCATGCAACGTTTATCCCTCTCTGCGTGTGATGTATACGGAGGAGGTTTGCGAAAAGCTTCTATACGCATTCGTCTGGTCGCTCTATCACCCTCTCCTCGACACGTCAATCACCCTGAATACGACGAATGATAAAACCACGTTCAGCATCACACTTTCTGACGGCGCTCGCTACGACAACCTTGAGCTTGAGTTTACTGGCTCAGTGCCTGACGACGAACCACGATCTTCTTCAAGCCGGATGAACCTTGCATGGTGATCAAGGAGCATACATCGATAGCGATCGGCGATTTTTTGAGGGAGATATCTTAGAAAATGTGCATGGTAGCGGCGACTTTCCTGGGATTGTGCGGCTCAAGTCAGCAGAATATGTGAAGAACGGGGCAAAAGGGTTGCTGTCTCGACGAGGGGCACACGTCACTTGAAAACGCGACTAGTGATGCAAGATAAGGGTACACCTCTCGAGATGTCTTAGAGGGTGATTACAATCAACAGACGGCGCTTAGAGACTAAAGGTTTTCAGTGACGCGCATTCTGCATCGAACTCGGCACATCGTGCATAAAGATATCAGTCCAGGGAACATCTTGGCCACTGACACTGCGCGCTCATTTCCCAACACATGTCACATAAGTGATCTGTCGTTCTCGGAGATCATCCTCAACCCTGGGTCGGAATCCACTCGGACATGCTTATTGTTGGCCGATTTTGAGTTTGCTGAGGACAAACAGTATGGAGAGGATCAGTCAAGAACCTTGGCACCCCGCACGGTGCGCCTCTCAGCCACAAACACTTCACTTATTGACGATGCCTCAGGGAACGCCCATATTTATGGCACGCATGCTTCGCAACAAGATCTACTCTGCTGGTCTCTTCCGGCTTCTCCTATGCCGACTGTCGATTCCAGCCTACATCAGCTCTACCAACAAAGATATCCATGGCGCATTGAAACCTTCTCCAACGACAACCAAAAAGTGCAAGAACCGAGGGAAATAATCGAGATTCCCGAAGAGTCAACGTTGTCCGAGTCCCAATTTGAATACCGTCTTCGATATGATGCTGAATCTGTTTTTTGGGTACTTACCTGGTGGCTCATGCGCGCCAAACCCCAAGGCGATAAACGCTCTCCTCACATCCCAACACCCGTCTTGGGACAATCTGACATCTGAAGAAGACTCGTGTCATGATTATTTTATTTCTAGGAGTCAAATTAACACGGAGTTATTTCATCCCGCATACAAATCTCTTTACGACCTCTGGAACGACATGCGGAAACATCTGCTCGCCGACTTTGATCACTCAAAGGACGAGATGAAAACGCATCCAGAATACCTGCACGACGTCTTTCAAAGGCTCATCCTCAACTTTTTCATTAGAAAACCGAAAGATATGAACCTGAGTTCATGAATTTGCCCAAGGACGGGGAGAGTCGCTCTTACCAGCTGGGAGCCAGTGGCGGTGGCATGGCTGCAAGTACTACACCTTCACGGTCCAGCAAGTACAAAGAAGTACAGGTCGCCTCGGATAGTAGACCAGCAAGCGCCTATGCAATCGAAGTCGTTCTACGGAGCTCGGCCCACCAGCTTCCCGCAAGACCTCCTGAACAAGAGGTTAGAGCCGCTGGGTACGGGAAGATGGTGCGTTCGAGGCGGGCTCTTGAGGATATAACCCCTCAAGGCGCATCGTCTGCATTCAACCAATCGAAGCGAGTTCGTGAACAAGATGAAATCGCCTCTGAAGCAAATCATGATGACGCATGAGTATCTCTTCAAGTCTAGCGAGTATCTTCTAACCGGCGCATAGGAGGAATCCCCTGCCAAAAAGCCTCGTTTCGACTGAACCATGTCCATAGATTATAGATATTTTGTTATTCTTGCTCATGAATGTGTTCGATTGACTGCTGACCGCTCTATCTCCAGCCTTGCAGAGGAACTCTAAGAGTCGGCTTGTACCCTCTGTACGCACGCCTCTTTTGTCAGCTCAGTTTCCAATACTTTAGCGCATACGGAGCATTGAGCTTGGGGGAGGAGGGCGGTATCGGCCTCTGCGTCGGTCGTGCCTGCGTTTTGTAGACTTGCGGCGCTCGGTGAGACGGGATGTGAGTGGTTGTTCCACGGCTCCTGGTAAGCCTTGGAGGGAGACAGGCTTGAGGTTTGATCAGGGTTCAACGCCGGACTGTCTGGAAGCGACGTTGATTTTGAAAAGCGAGTAAGTGTTCACGAAGTCGTCAGAATCAACGAAGCTAAGACGATAGCTCCCCAAACAAACCTCTGGCGTCTTGCGGTATATCGAGCCCAACGTTGTGAATCAAACAACTGATCGATTGGAGCCAACTTTCATGCGTTCTGTGTCCGTGTTGACTCATTCATTAAGAGCGGGGACACATTGCAGAAGGGAGGTCGCCACAGGAGCATTATTTGAGACTTTGCTAAGGTATCTGAATTGCTTATGCCCCAAGCTCACAATGGACGTATCAACAAACTGAGAAAACAACCCCCACGACTTCAATAGGATTCTAATCCAAGATGCGGTCGGCATCTGCCACTCTCCGGACGCCACTGAAGATTACAATGTCATGTAATGAAAACAAAGCTTATATCACTTATTGGCATTGTTGGCATTGAAGACACCCACCCTCGAGCTACGCTTGTGAGCGCAGATACTCACCAAATTTGAAGATGAATAAGTATAGAAAGTATTTCATCGTTCACACTCTGCAAGTAGAGGTCAAATGACGGCCATTGACTCAGTGGTGCATTACGCTGCGGGAAAGCGGTCCCTAAACTCAGACCCGGCCATATTGATCTGCATACACGGACATGGCCTCAAGCGCATTACTACAGCAAATCCAAGCAGGAAAGTCGTTGAAGAAGACTGTTACAAATGATAGAAGTGGTCCTGTCCTCGAAGGCGCTGGAAAGTCATCCCGTGCCGGCGGTGGAGGCATCGGAGGAGCAATTGGAGGGGCACCACCAGTTTCTTCTAGCTCAGGAGGAGGGAGCGCATCATCTGCAGGACCCCCACAGCTCGGTGGCTTGTTCGCAGGCGGAATGCCCAAGCTAAAGCCTCCAACTTCAAACGGCCCCGGTCAGTATAACGATAGTATAACAACCTTTAGGCTCATATCTACCTTTCCTCTCTAGCTAAACTTTCTAATCTGGCGAAACCACCAACGATTCCCAAACTAGCATCCGCCGCGGCCACTGCTTCAAACGATTCGCCAACGACTCCATCCTCGCACTACGCTGCACCTCCCGCACCACCACCTCCTCCCGCAGCAACATCTCCCGCGCGCGCAGTCCCTCCTCCTCCAAGCCGAACTGTTCCCGCGAGAGGCGTTCCGCCACCACCACCAGCTCCTCCTACACCAAGCAGCTCGAATCTCCGTGCAACAAGTCCTGCGCCTCCTCCTAGAGCCGTTCCACCACCGCCCAGCAGAGCTGCTCCTCCGAATCCTCCACCGGCCCCAGCACCTCCAAGCCTACCAGCGCGTTCTGTTCCAGCACCTCCTCCTAATCCTCCTACCACGAATGGACGACATGTTCCTCCACCGCCAGTAGGTCGATCTGTACCGCCGCCACCGTCTCGTTTCCCACCTCCTCCTACGCCATCTTCGACGACAGTAGAAGCACCCAACTCTGCGATTCACAACAAATTTGGAAGAGATAGTCCCATCAGCCCATCGACGCCCTCTCGTGCCGTTCCGCCTGCCCCTGCGCTTCCAGGACGCAAAGTGCCACCTCCACCACCTCCAAGAGGTCAACATGGTGCATCTGGTAGCATGAGCGACACTGGAGGCGCACCACGTCGACTCGCCCCACCTCCACCACCAGCAAGACCAGCGAGTACGATTGGAACAAGGGCAGCCTCGCCAGAAGCTCCGCCTCCTAGATCGTATGCACCTCCCCCTGCACCACCTTCGAGGTCTATCCCACCGCCCGCACCACCCAGTAGAACTCGAGTCCAAAGCGCTGTTTCACCCACGAGCACGGGGACTGAACCTCCGACGCCTATAAGCCCACCGGTTTTACCCCCACCGCGCGCAATGCACGGTCGTAGTGTTAGCGGAGGTCCTCCGTTGGGCCCACCGCCTTCACGAACGAGCAGTAACGTGAGGACCGCCGTGTCCAACCCGGGACCAACAAGAAAGAGTACGTAGACTAACAATTGCATGCAAAGCTGTTCTAATTGTTGGATCCTAGTTCCTTCTCCGCCACCCGTGTCTGGCCAATACAAGTTTCCTTCGTCGTCAGACTTTCCGCAACCAAGAAAGTTTGAAAAGGGCGCAAGATCATATCCCAGCGGGAAGAGCAAAGGTGGCAACTTTGATCTCAGCCTAATAGCCTAACTCTGCCTTGATTTATTCGCTTCGTAGACATGTATCAGCTCTCTCTAATATGATACCTGCGACCGAGAACGTGATGAGCTTAGTTTAGGAGATGGCATAAACTCGACGAATAACTCATGTCACCAATGAGACGTGTAATGAACTTTCTATTGGAGACGAAAGCAGTACATCGAGCAACAGATTAGGTGTACGCACACCGTGACAAGGCGATAAGATAGCGAGACAGATATAAGACGAGAACCGAGAAAGAAACTGATGCTTTTTGTTCGCTATACCCGAGCTTTCCTTCTGAGAAGAGGCATATTATGGGCATTGTATGGTTGGTATCTAATGAAGAGTTGTAGAGCTTGTGCAGCTGCACACGTTCTATGCTCCTCGCACCAGCGCGCGACGCGCCGCATAATCCTGCCAGAGAATGCGAAAAAGCGACGAGACATCCAATGATGATGAGGGACTAAAGGGTGGAGGAAATTGAATGGCCGAGATCATTCAAATGACAAGATGCCTGTCGAATTACGTCTTGATCTTGATCTTGCTCTCGACTTCGCCATTGCAATGACATGTCTTGCGGTTGCCGACCCATCCTTGGCCGCAGGTGTCGCACCATCCTCTTGAAACACCAGGCGCGGCGACACCGAGGCCACCGTCGACACCACTCTTGGTCGAGTATGTGCTTCCAGCACGTCCAGACGCAGAGTACGTGCTACCTGGACGTTGAACGCTCGAATCTGCAAAGGCAGGGCGTGTGACTCGTGTCAAGCTCTCTTCGGGAAAGGGTGGGATTTTGGTATCCTCTGGCTTAATGAAGCTGCTTCCGAGAGCAATGTTTGGCATGAAACTGGCGCTCTATACAACGCATAAGCCAAATCATTTACACGAAAGAAAATTGACTTACGGTGGGTGTAACCGCGCCTTTGGAGTCTTTGGCCACTTTGGTGTTGATGCCAGTGAGTGAGCCTTTTCCGACGTGATGAACTCGTCCAGGAGGAACTGGATGTCCAGAAACGCCGTACGTGGATGCGCCGCTCCTCACTGCACTGGCACCAGCACTAGCTGGTGCAGCAGAATCCGGGTGCGTGAGCTTGAGACCACTCTCGTCTTTGTGAATAGAAACGAGATGGCGGCCGAGATCGTGTTTACGCGAAAAGGATCGCCCGCAACCAGTGTGGTGGCACACATGTGGCTTGAGTCGGTTCGGATCGTGTGTTGCCATGTGTGTTTTCAGGTTGAACGCGCGTGCAAAAGCTAAACCTCGAAGTAAATAACAGTTGACAACGCGCAGAGTAGATGGACACACCTCGCGGACAACTCGGACATTGGTACTTTTTGCGTGGGTCCGTTGCCGATTGGGGTGGCACAGGTACAAAGCTACCCACGAGGCCGGTACTGGATCCAAATTCGCGTTCGGCACTCTCTTGTTGCCGTTCGCTGGCATTGTTGGGACCGGGCGACGAGCTCAGCTCGTCATAAGATGTTCCAGAGGCGATTGAAGATGGCATGAGGAGGTCTAGACTGACAGAAGATGGTTGGATTGATCGTGTCGTTTGCGATGGGACGACGGCGTCGATGGTGGCGAGGTGATTCGAGCCGAGGTTGGTAGCGTCGGATAGACCAAATGCAGCGAGCTCGTTGGAAAAGTTTTCGAGCGCCTGGAATAAAGCTGGGTTATTTGCGATAAACCGGGCGTTAGCGGAGTTGGGGGCGTTGACGAGCGAACCCTGGGGACTGTAGGGATTATAGTAGGACTCGCTTATATTATCTTCTGCACCGTATGCGCTCTCGCTGCTTGCAGTAAGGGCCGACAGCGGACCTGGGTGGGAAAGCGACGTGGGCGGGAAACCAGCGTAAGCCGATTGGGCACCAGAAAAGTGGGAGTTGAATGCGCCGCCAAACGAGGTAAATGAGCCGAAGCCGAACTGGTTGGCAAACGACGCAGCAGGGGCGATCGAAGTGTTGAATGTGTTGGCGTTGTTGGCGAGCGGGGTTCCGACTCCTAGTGAATTCGCCTGTTGATTAGATAGTTGTTGTGGTTGCTGTTGTTGCAACTGTTGGACAAAGCTGTGATGACTAGCCGGACCGGCGGCTGCGGTGCGATGAAGGAGATACTGCTGCTGCGCGAAATCCGGTGCTGGTTGGAGTGCGTTGATGTAGCTAAGTTGGTCGGGCTCAATGCCGGCGAGGGCACGCTCGAGGTCTTCTTCAAACTGATCTGGTTCGGGTAACGACGAGTTATTGATACCCTGGGCGGCGTTCTCGAGCAAGATATCAGAGGAAGTAGTGAGAGGGAGCGCGCTGTCTGTTGCAAACCAGTCGATGTCCGAGTTGGTGGTGGATGACTGATTCTGTAGCAGCAACGGAGTACTTGTCGTGTTCAGAGAAGAGTCTTGTTCTGTGAAGAGTGCTGCAAATAGGTCTACACTCTCGTTTGTGGCCGTTGCCCCACCGTTGGGGGTGGTTGCGGACGCGGAGGAAGGAGTGGGCTGTGGGGGCACGGGGAGCATGATCTGATCGCAGGACGGTGCTCAAATGTAGACGGTGTTTAAGATGCTGATCAAGACGAGCGAGCGAGTGGCGGGGCTGGGGCCGCAGTTTGGACAGACGCTGGCCGAGGTTTCTAGTTGGATGGCTGCGAGCGTATGCGTCGTGAATTCCTTTGATAGGGGTGCTGATCTTCTCAGCCAATGGATCTAAATGGCTGATGGCGTCGAGTCCAAGCTTGGGTCCCTGCCCGCAGCGCAGCCGTCTTCTTGCCCAGTCAGCGGGGCATCACGTTTAAAATTAACAAATTTGGTATTTCGTTCTATCACTACATCATTCATTACATTGACTTGTCATTCCCGGTCCACAACTACGTTCCCATGTGGGCTTCCGCAGTCGTAAACAGTCGTAAACGCCCGCCTGGCTTCTGAGCGCAGTACACAGCTGCAGCTATCCCCGACCATCTTACGTGTACCAAACCCGCAGCTTGACTGCGCCCGACGACGCAAGCTCATCGTCGTACGACATCTCCGGCATCATCTGGGAACACCCAGTCTGAGCCTTGCAGTCGCCCTGCCAATCCACTGACCGGACCCCCCAGTCCCTGCTGGCTCTTGAAGCTCTCCAAGAAGTTCTTGATCAAGTTGTAGTCCATCGGCTCTTCATCCTCTTCGTCTTCGTCCTCCGAACCGGATGAAGCCACATGGACGTCACGCTTGAGCGCCGACCTCAGCTCCAGGTCCATAGCCTCCTGTAATTCAACCATCTCTTCATCCTCTCCATCCGCATCGCCTTGTCCTGCAGTCTCCAGGTACGCCCGTCCTTTTCCTTTCTTTTGACTTTGTATCGGTTTCGACGATGAGGATTTGGGCTTCGTCAATGCCGGTGCTTGCAGCCTTGCCAACTCCTTTTCCATTGCGTCCATTACCGCTTCAAAGGAGTTCAACTCCATATTCGGTGTTTTGTCCGTCGACGAGGCATCGGTAGCTCGCGACTTTCGGTCGGGACGAGGAGTAACGGCAATCTTTGGAATCTCTTCAAAGAATCGAGCCGCACTCGGGCCCTGAGGTTTAACCGGTTTGGCCTCGTCTGCCTTCCGTGAGGTACCGGTGGCACTCTGTGGTACATAGACTGTAGTACGTGAGGTAATGTGCATCAAGCAAGTCAAATGCTCACCTCCTCGTTTCTCGCGGTCAGCAATGATGCTCTTCCAGGTATCGTCGTCGATACCCAATGCCTCTCTTGAGAAGCGCAAAAAGTCTTCCTCCTCCTGTGCCATGTCTATCTCGACTTCACCCACAACCTGCGGTCTATCTTCGTCATTCTCCAACGCCTCTCCATCTTCGCCCATCACAGGCTGCTGTGCGTTTCCATCTTCCTCTTCGCTCGTCTCATCATCAGAATCGACGCCGTCAAACTTGTCACGCTGAAAAATCAGCGGCCTCATGACAGGTCTTGTCGTATCGCTATTCCCCTGGGGCTCTCTTTCCTGGTTGCTGGCTTCTTCAATATTGCTCATAGTCGTCTGAGTATTTGGATGCCGGTAACTGAGTGGCATTTTCCGTACTCGCCAGGTTCTAGTGGGGCGACCAGGGCGTTCATGGCAGCTTGACGAGCCGAAGGGTCTTCCTTCTCGCTCTCGTCCTCGTCGCTGTCTTCATCCTCTTCGTCGGAGAGTAGGTCGCTATCCTTCATCAGATAGACAATTCTTCAGCTTTTAGTACTCACTCGTCGAACATTGCGCCTTCGAGCGCACCCTCTCGCTCGACAAACCCCTCCATTTTGTCAGCGAGATTTTTCAACTGTTGCGCCTGCTCATGCACAACCTGATCCTCAGAGTCCATATTCGAGTCTCTTCGCACTGATATGGCCTCATTTTCGGTTTGTGATTTGAGGTACTTGCTCAGCGTCTGGTCAACATCCATCGGATCAACGTTGAGCCATTCGTCAGAGTCCTCCCCTTCATCTCGAAGCATAGCATCGGGATTTGATTGTAGAGCCTTGGTGACGAGGTCCGCAAACGATGGACGAGAGGCGTCGCTACTCGATTTAGCCATTGTACTTGTCGAGGGGAGCTAACATACTCTGCTTGTCGCATCGATATCCACATCTCTGCCGCCTGACTCTCTTTTTCTTTCCACCTTTCGCTGTCCCGCATTTGCCCCTCAAAAAAATCTCGGGCTTCCAAGCTGCTGATGTACATATTATACCCAGGGTCGCGGCGTAGGGCGTCAATCTTGGCAATGATCTGTAGCTGGTTAGTTTGAATCGACTGTGGTAACGTTACATACAGATTCGCCAGATGTCCCGGTCCGAAGCCTCTCACTCCTCGTCCTTGACTCCTGATAGAGCATTTCAAATCCACAAGCCTGAACATTAGACAAAATCAAAGGATCAGAGGAAAGAATGCGCTTACTATTTTGACTCCAATATCCCACCAACGCGCTTCCTCTTTGGACTGATTCGCGGGTTGGCGAAAGATGCGTGGAGCGGTGAATCTTTGACCCATGAGTTGGGCATACGCTGTACGTGTCATCGTTACAGTCGCTGTTACGGACTCTGATGGCGGGAATCTTGTCATCTTTTGCGTCGACTGCCTGTCATCAGCTCCTCGGTGATGCAATTCCTGAATAACTCACTCGTAATTGTCTGTGGTCGCGAGTGTAGAAGCACTCTACGGCCCTCTGAATCAGTTGTGGATCTATAGCCAATGCTTTAGCCACATCTATGGGTAAGGCGGCCTTTGTACGATGGAGTAAAGACGTTGCGGCTTGCGGAAATCTTTCGGTAGTGAGCTTTCTGAGAAGTCATAGAGTCCAAATCGTACCCAGATATCTTCTTCCTGATGATCTGCTCGACGTCGTCTGAGGCTCTGGTGTCTTCGTGCGACGCACGAAGGATATTCAAAGCTTCTTCAACCGGAAGCACCCGAATCATCTCCGTTCTGAAAGGGTTCGCCTCCTTGTCCTTTTCGGACATTCGTTTCGGCATATAGGTCTTGGAAGATGATTGGTATGAAAGTGGGATGATATGAAGATGCCCTTGATAGATCCAGACCTTGATAAGGTGAGAGTGTTGCTGCATTTTTTGATATGACTCTACCCTGTTATCCACATTTTCTGGGGTGACCCATGACGGTAGCGCGTCGGCAGCTTCTATGAGCAAGAATTGACCATCCCCATCATGAACTCTGTAGAAACATGAGAACACAAGACAATTTCGTTGTAGCACCTACCTAGCTGCGACGTTGAAGTTCTTCGTAATCTGCCACAGAAGAAAGACGACGAGCCACTCGTCGTCTACAGAGTCTCCAACACGCATTGTACATTCCATAGCACTTCCCTCGTCGCTTGATAGTGTTAAAAGGAATGAGTCTCGGTGCCAGATGTGGTTTGGAAGCAGCTGCTGAGTAAACTCTGTGATCTGCGCAAGCAGCACAGATCTATCTGTGTCTTCTGTAGGATATAGAAAACATTGGAGCGTATCATCTGATATTGCTGGAACATTCATCGACTTTGTTCAGACGTGGTCTGGGTCAAAAGTGGATCTAATGCTTCCGTCCAGCCACCACCGGCCATGGCCAGTTCTCAGTCCACAAACTTCTTTGGAGATGAGACGGACGGGTTTGAAGACGAACTCAGGGAGATAAAGCTGGGGAGCCGCAGTAACTCTGCTATTCTACCGCTCAAACGGAAGCATGACGACATAGAAGAGGAGGAAGAGCATGAGAAAGACGTAGATACTCATGCCATGTCCACAATGAGGCAGAAAGATGACCCGGAAAACGTGTACGGGGCGTCTAGCTTTGGGGGATGGGGCCAATATATGCAGCGGAAGAGAGCCAAACTTCAGATTCAGAACCAAGATATGACATCCGTTATATCTGGAATTTTCAAGGGTATCGAAATATACGTGAGTGTCACACCGGCGCTCGAAACGAGCTGAGCCTCTTCTAGATTAATGGCCATACAGAACCCTCAGTTCAGACGCTACGCGAGCTTATTGTAGCTCACGGTGGTATATTTCACGCATATCTCACCAAAAAAGGCCTTGTGTGAGACAAGTTGCCACACCTCTGGATCTTCATGCTCATCAACCTATTAGCACTCACATCGTCGCCATGAATTTGACGCCAGCCAAAGTCAAAGAGTTTCAGAGAATGAAGGTCGTACGCCCTGAGTGGATCCTTGACAGCATCAAGGCAGGGAAGTTACTACCCTGGATCCAATACAAGCTTGTGATGGAAAATCGAATCGACGCCGCTCAAGGGACCAGTGTGACTCAGACGACGCTCTCCACCTATACACAACACTCGACGCCTACCCTCCTAAAACGAGTTGATCAAAATCCGACCGTTATCAAAGACCCTTTATATACTACAGATCCAACAACGTTTGAGCAAGCAGCGAGGATACCGTCTTATGCTGTCAATAAGTCGAACCAAGCTGCGCAACGGCTCATGGCCAGACCTGGCTGGCAAGAGGAGCATACCGCCGTCTCTGGGAGCAAATTTATTGACGGATACTATCAAAATTCGCGGTTACATCATCTTTCCATGTGGAAGGCTGAACTTAAGGACCTAGTGGCAAAAGCTCGCGAACGGTTTGAACAAGGCGATGATCAACCGCTGCTAGGTGATAATGAATCCACAACTCCTATGGGTCATGGAGTCAGCATGATGGGTGCGGAGCTCATCAAGTCCTGGGAAGCTGCCTCTCCAACGAAAAAGGGGAAGGAGACGGCGACTCCCTCAATTGTCGAGCGCATTTATATGCACTGTGATTTCGATTGCTTCTTCGTCTCGGCAGGGCTGATTGATCGCCCAGAGCTGAGAGGAAAGCCAGTCGTTGTTTGCCACTCACAGGGAGTTGGTGAAGGAGCAGCTAGCACGAGCGAGATTGCTAGCTCAAGCTATGAAGCTAGATCTAGTGGTATCCGAAACGGGATGAGGTAAGTTGGATACGTGCGGTCTGTAAAACTGCTAAGAAGCTAGCTTGGGCCAAGCTCGCCAATTATGTCCAGAAGTCATCACCCTCCCTTACGAGTTTGAAAAGTACGCTCTATGTGGCCCAGTGAGAGGAGGTTCTAATTCAATTGCGCACAGATACAAGGAACTCTCCCTCAAGTTTTACACCGTGCTTCTCTCCTACTCTGAAGAGATTCAACCCGTCTCAGTAGATGAAGCTCTTTTAGATGTCAGTCGAGTGGTTGCCAACCTGAAGTATCAAGCCCTCGCGGACGATCCATCAGCCAAGGAGATGGATTATGCCGTAAAGCTGGCAGAGATGATCCGAACCCGGATGTTAGAGGTCACCAAATGTCAAGGTATACGATCTTTTTTTTCTTTAGTTTGATGTCTCACCTGTTGCAGTCAGCATCGGTATCGGGGAGAACTTGCTTCTCGCCAGGATCGCATCTCGTAAAGCCAAGCCAGCGAGTACATATCACCTACTGGCTATTGATGCACCCGCTTTCCTTGCACCCCTTCCTCTGGATATGATCTGGGGAGTCGGCTACGCAAATAAGCGAAAAGCGGAGGAGAAGCTTGGAGTGTTCACTATTGGTGACTTGCAATCTCAGTCCAAGTCGTTGTTGATCAAGACGTTTGGGCCCTCAATGGGCGAGAAGTTGTTCAAAGCCGCCAAAGGACAGGACGACACAAAGCTCCAGCCCGATCAGAAGCGAAAGTCTGTTTCCGCGGAGATTAATGTAAATTCACGCAGACTTATTATGATTACACTAACTCTCTACTAGTTTGGTATCCGCTTTCGAACAAATGAACACGCGGAGGAGTTTATGCGCAAGCTCGGTGCAGAAGTGTCGAGTCGCCTCAAAGCTATATCTACCAAGGGCCGGCATCTGACGCTCAAGATCATGAAGCGACACCCCGAGGCCCCCATTGAAGCCCCAAAGTTTATGGGTCATGGCATATGCGAGACCTTTTCCAAAAGCACCTCTATTTCTGATCTATCCGGGGGTGCGACAGATGATGCAGATGTCATCGGACAGGCTGCTTGGAGATTACTAGAGTCATTCCACTTTGACCCAACTGAACTCCGTGGACTGGGTCTCCAAGTGACGAAGTTGGAAGGAAAGGATGGAGTACCGATCGATGACGATAAACGTGACCCTGGTCAGCAACGACTAGAATTTCGCCGGTCGCCAACTCGTCCACGACTCGCGTCCAATGCCGCGGGGGAACTCGAGCGGGATGCTCCAATGCTGGACTATCAAGATCTCAACTCTATCGACGAAGGTGTTTTGGAATCCCTTCCTGACGACATTCGTCAAGAGATTATTCAACAAATGACCAAGTCTGGCGCTCAAACGACGGTCACAGAGCCAGTACCGACAGAGGATATGGTATCAGAGATTCAGGAAATCGCCGTAGATATAATACCGAAATCTCCTGTCCCCAAGGCACCATTGACGGATGCATCCCACATTACTCGCCAACTTCGACCAAAGCACAAGACGGTAGTATCGCCCGAGAAACAACAACTCTTTGCGAGGCAAAAGGACGCCTTTCAGCCCACAGATGAGGAACTTGCGAAGCTAGGTCTTGATCCTGATGTGTTCTTTGCTCTGCCACCAGAGCTGCAGAAAGAACAGATAATATATGAGCGAAACCAGAGGAGGCAGCAGATTTCAGAGGCTCCAAAGTTCCATGGTGGAGCTGGGAAGACCCCATTATCAATCGCTGCCGGTGCGTTGACTCGTTCGCCGTCCGGTCGCCCGATCTCCAAAAGAGGCGACTTCAATATCAAAGTATCATATCCGGAGAAGGTTTCACTTGCGGTCAAGACCGGAAACGGCATTTCCACATTGACGGAGGTGGGCGATATACAGGCATACGTGAAGCGATGGGTAGTCAGCCATCAGAAGAAGAATCTCAAGCCAGTCACCATCGACGTCGAAGGACTAAAGTCATGGCTTGTCAGATGCATGGAGATGAGGGACACTGACAGCGGGATGGAAAAGGCGGTCGTTATCCTCAAATGGTGGCGAGAACTGCTGAGACGATCATGGGCGTCTGAAGAAAGTTACGCCATTCCCCTACCGGGTGCCCAGTGCACTCCACAGAAGGCTGAAGAAAGCGTAGCAGAGGCATGGTGGCGAGCATTTGCAGAGTCGAGACGAGCAGTGGATGCAATTTTCGATAAAAGGTTTGGTGGTAAATTATCTCTAAAATAACCGCAGACTAGGTGAGATGTACTTGACAATACGCCAGATAGACAAAGTTTTGGACCCACTTCTATCTGTTGACCCAGCTGTGCTTGATGATGAACCCCCACTGATGCTTAGTCAACACTCCCAACGCTGTACAGATCCCTTGGCATCCAACGCTTTCGTCGGTCCCGTCGCATCCGAACAGCGCCCAAGATCTGACTCTCCCAACGGATCATAAGAGCGAGACGAGACGTCCAAAATACAGGACACCAAGCCCTTACTACCTTCAAAAGAATGACCATCTCAGTGTCGAATCCTCCCTCAAGCCACGATTTGTCCACTCCGGACGGCATTCATGCCTATCTCAGGGAATCGTCCCCCTTCAACCCCTCCAATGTCGAACTCGTTACAGGTGGCATGGCAAACTGGACTTTTCGTGCAACGCTCGGTACCCCAGCTATTCAGGATGAGGCCTTATCGCGTGCTCTCGGTGACCGTAGGCTGGAGAGCATCATCATCAAGCATTCGAAGGATCGTGCCGCCGCTTTTCATGGATGGACCTTGGATCTAGAGCGAGTGGTGTGTTTATATATTTCACCAAAAACCCCTCTTAATGACAATTGCCGCAGAATATCGAGCTTGCTGCACCCAAGCTCGTCGCCACACTCCCTCTTCCCCATTCACGCACGCTTCTTAATCAGTCACCAAACACATCCAAACCGGACGAGCCCAGTATCTCCGTGACAGAGCAAATTTGGTACGATGCCGGAAACCACATTCAGTGTATGATCGATTTCGGACGCCTGCACACGCTCAAGAGCTTCTTCATTGCAAACCCGGGTCCTTCCAATGTTTCTCTGGCTCAACAGGCCGGCAAAGCTCTCGGAGAGTTTCTCGCGGGACTCCATTTGTGGAGCTGGCCCATTCTGCATTCTACTCGGGACAAGGAAACTGTGCTGGAGATGTACCAGAAGAATGTTTGGGCTAAAGAAGCCTGCGCTCTTCGAACTATTGGGAGTCTCAAAGCCTCTGCGGAACAAGCTGGCGTACCAGGGAAATGGGATGAGATTGTGCAAGCACTGACGAAAGAAGTCACGGAGATTGATGAAGTGTTCAATATAGGCGACCTCTGGTGCGTCACTTTATTCCATTCCCAGTGGCCATTTTGCCAACCAACGTTGTAGGACAGGCAACGTCCTTATCGAGACAAACGAGAATCATTCTCTCAAGGCACTGTACATCGTCGATTGGGAAGTCGCCAAGACTGGAACGGCATCCACAGACATTGCGCAGTTCGCAGCGGAAGCGTACCAGCTCTGGAAGTTTAGCTCCTCCGATACCAATTCAACAACCGCGGGATCTCCTGCGGGCGAGGCGCTCGCTCGTAGCTTCCTCTCTGGATACCAAGACCACGTCACGTCCTCACTCGCCGCACATGGTTCCTCTTTGTCCGATAGTACATCATCAACCACTCGTGGTAGGACAGTCAAGCAGGCCCTCCTTGACGGGGAATCTGTGATTGGACACCTCTGCGCACACGTCGCCACCATTGGGCGCGACGTCTCCTGGGCAAAGGATACAAGCACTACAAAATCAGTTGTGAAGAAGGCTCTAAATACCTGTGCGAGCTTTAAAAGTTTGGATGAGGACGCATTGGAAAGGAAGCCGGGGCTTGACAAGGTTTGGGACGATCTTCAGTAGGAGATACAATGTTATTTGACGAGGATACCATGTATTTCCAATGTTGGGTACAGTACATTCGCAAGAGTCCACCACCTGAGTGCACACAGAACGAGGAGCAACTCTCCGTGGAAAGAGGGCGTGAATATCAGCAATCAAAGCACATATGAATAATGAATAGATCATAATCGCCAGCGAATCATCAGGTGTGAGGAGCAGTGAGATGAGAAGAGGATGTATTCCGATTCGCCTCGTTTTCTGCCGACGGCGAGTGTCCACCCACACCAGAACTCGGCGTCGTATCATTTTGCGATCCCGGGTATAGATTTGGGGCGTCGGATGCAGGAGCCACTTGACCGGCTGCGGCATTGTACGTAGGGGGAAGCTCGACCGTGCTAGAGTTCAGATTATCGACCGACCCGGCATCTGTATGCAGCACGAATCGCCGTGGAGCGGCACCTTGTGTACTGGTACCAGCCATGGCGGCCTTGGCCGATGCTGCAGTGAGTGCGGTTCCTTGAGAGGGACTTCGAATGTGCCCAAATGCCCCCGGAGGTGGTTGCGCGGATGTACGGTTCCCCGAACTTGGTTGATGGGATGTGCTGGTGTGCGAGGTAGGCGAGAGTGGCGCATCGTTGCGCCCTCCACTGCTGCTTCCAGGCGGAGGCAAGATGAAGGGTTCAGGCTCAAACGCCATGGGAGGTAATTGATGGTTTTCTGTATGTAGATTCGGTGTCGACGGCGCTAGATCAACTGCACGCATGCCATCTGGTCCATCACGGGCTCGCCTCTTGTTGTATTTCTTGAGGGAGCGTCGACTTCTTCTCATTAGGAAGAATACCAATATTCCAATTAAGATTAGACTAAGACTGTTAAGATTTCGTCGAGCATGCCACTTGAATACTCACAACAGTACTGCTCCGCCAACCGCACCTCCGATGATAGCGCCGTTATTGTCCGAGGGCGACCCACCTGTGGGCATCGGTGACGAGGTAGCGGTAGGTGATGTCGGCTCCTGAGTGGCGGAAGAGACCGTCGAATGAGGCGAATCGTCGTCGATGCACGAACTATTCCCATTCCCTCCGACATTCCTACTCACCGTTAGCACGCTCAGAGAATCGTGTGAAAACTCACAATATAGGAGATGTTTTGCTGAGTTTGCCATCATCATCCTGGATAAAGAACAGAACGCGCGTTCCCGAGGCGATATTGACCGTCCAATTGAAGGAAGACGAGTTTTCGGGTGGAACGAGATCAAAGGTCGAACCAACAGGAATTAGCCCCTGAATTTTGACACCTGGCCGCCTATTTAGCTGTAGACCCGCGGAGAAGGGTTGTACATACGCTCAGAGGCATTTGAATAGCCGCTAAATGTGTATTGGCCGCACTGCTGGAGTGTCGATGCAAATTGAACCGATAGGTCTGCACTAGGGTCCGTCGTATTGCACTGTGTGCCGGTGGTGCCATCTCCAACGAGGAGAAGGTCAGAATTCCCTCCAGTGCCGAATCCAGTCGAGTCGGACATGGTGAGAACAAAGCTCTGTCCAGCTGTAAAGTTTAGAGTGACCGAATAGGACCCCTCTGAGCCGTTCCACGCGCCGTCAGGAAAAGATAGATTTCGTGGAGTGCCTGTCGGCTGAGAAGGAGAGATAATTAGCATTGTACCAGAACTTGAGATGCAAATGAGTTGGATCAGGGACGTACGGGAACCATAGTCACATAGAACGGTGGGCTGCCGCCTGTTCATTCTACGTTAGCCAGGGCTGGATGATGAAGAATGGGTCCATACCAGTCCATTGGACCTCAAATGGATCACAAGACTTTGGAGCAGAGTAAGAGAACGAAAAAGCGTCCACCAGTAAAGTGAATGCGAGCACGCCAAACGTCAACCACTTGACACTTTGCAAACGCATTAGGTAGGCTCTTGGATTGTCGTATCAAATGGTTATATATCGAGTGTAGAGCTGCTCTCACGAGCGTTTGCGGCTCTCTGAACTGGTCTTTGTCCAAAGTCTTACGATTGCTTGGTCGAGTGGAGGTCTAAGCTGAGGACCATACATTGGGGATGCATTTCATGGACATCAGCTGAAAGTCTTTTCCAATAAACATGCACGCGTCTGCCAGTAAAATGCCGGTGAGGATCACGTTTCATGCGCATAGTGCGTCACAGGTGAGGTCGAGCGGTGTTATTATTCCGATGCACAGGACACGAGAGGGAATAAGTCAATATAAGTTAAAGTTTACCTTTTATGGCGTCAAATAACTTTTGGTTCGGTGTGGCTTCATTTCCGGCTGTTCGTTGAGAGGCTCCGAACACGGCCCAAATCAGACTACGCTTTCCAGCTGGGACGCCCAACCAATCGAGCAGTAGCGGCGCCTTGTTTGGCAGAAACGGTTGGAGTAGGATGCCGCATATTCGCAATGCTTCGCGAGAGAGGCTGACAGCGGCAGCTCGAACATCTGGGTCCGTTTCATTCCACGGAGACTTGTGTGCAAGGTACCGATTTGTCTATAGAATATTAATCTTAGTATTAATCTAGCTTGTCGATGAACTCACAATTTCGATTGGCACCATGATTGCATCGATGGCTCGAGCTACAGCCAGCGAATTCATTGCCTCTGTTACTTCCCCAGTGATGGTCATAAGGGATGAAGCAAGCTCCTTCTCTAGTGGATCGTTTGATGAGGTGGAGGGGAGCGCAACCTGTCGGCCTTCACACATTGGAGCGGCATGCAGTCTCTTGTATAAATTCCCAAGACCTCTCAGGTCGCGGTCGTGAATGATCTTGAGTTGGTCCAGGGACCAATCTTGAAAGTATCAAACGAATTTCCTCGAATATCGCCGGCACTCACCAACATCGTCGACAAAATTTCCTCCAACTCGTGCGAGGTACCATCGCACACTATCTTGGCCATAGGTTTCCAGGATCTTGAAAGGATCCACGACATTTCCAACAGATTTTGCCATTTTTTGCTTGTTCATTGTCCAGTGCGCATGGCAGAGTATTTGTCGGGGTAGAGGTATGTCTAGAGCCATGAGAAACGCGGGAAAGTAGACGGCATGGAATCTGCTCATCTTCATTAGAAACATCTTCAATAAAAAGAGTGATCACACCGCAGAATGTCCTTGCCGACGACATGTACGTCTGCCGGCCATCCAGATGATCTCATAGTTTGGGTGTCTGACCAAGGGCAACCTACTGCTGTCATGTAGGAGGTGAGAGCGTCCAACCAAACATAAATAGTATGCGCAGGGTCGTCTGGCACTGACAGTCCCCAATCCACGCGAGCCTTGGGACGTGACACCGATAAATCTTGTAGTGATGAATCGTCTGAAAGGTATTCAAGCAGCTCGTTCTGCCGCTGTCGAGGGTAGACCGCTGTTAGGAGAGTCAGGTACTGTTAATGTGGCTATAGATGACCTACGAGACGCTCGTTCAATCCATTCTTTCAGTGGCAGACGGAATTGGGACAGCCGAAATTTGTAGTTTTCTTCATCTGTCCAAACGACTTGCTTCCCTGTTTCTTTAGACCTCTGTTTGAAACATCAGCCAATTCACATGTAAGTAAGTGTGCCCATACATGATACTTTTCACCATTGTGTGGATCGACTACCTCTTCAACTTGCTTGGAGGTGTAGAATGCCTCGTCCGAGACGGCATACCATCCAGAGTGGACACCTTTGTAGATATAACCACGCTGCACAAGCTCATTCTACACATCTTCAGCATGGTAAGACTGAGAATGTTTCTCTGAACTGACCCAGATACTCTCTACCGCAAGCCGGTGGCTTTGCTCGGTTGTGCGGATAAACGACGTTGACACTATCCCACTCTGTGCTGCTAGATCCTATTCAATCTCCAAATATCAGGGTCATTGCTCAAATTATGTCTAATAGGGACCCACTCGAAAGAACTGACTAGTCGAATCACACAACTCTCGGGGAGATTGTCCACGAGCTTTCGCGGCTTGTTGAATCTTTAGACCGTGTTCATCGGTTCCAGTTGTGTATAGAGCGGGTCGCGTGGGATTTCGGATCTGCTGCCAACGTGCGAGAATATCCGCTATTACTGTGCTATAGAGATGCCCAATATGCGGAGCTGTAATGGAATAAGGCATTATTCTACCTATGAAACGATTGACAGACCAGCATTGACGTAGAATATGGGCGAGGTCACATAGTACGGTTTTTGTGTGAGGGTGGCCGAGATGGATGTCTTGATTGTTTGTGAAGATGCGTATGAACGACAAAAACTCGATTTTAGCAATTGAACCCGCCTTGGACACCACTTGCTAGTCATGGTCGGCTCCAAAAGACGCGTTCAACAACTTGGACCTGTTCTCGACCATGTCTGCCTCGCCCGGCGGCGACTCACCGCGAAATGAGGGCGACAAGCCGTTTGAAGTCAATGGAATGGCACTTACACAGCTCTCTGGTCGTCAACTTGACCAGCTGACAGCAGCGGTCTTGCAACTTCAAGGCTACACTGACATTGCGGCTACAATCCAGGCTCGGTCTGGTGGTTTAGTTTCGGGAGTCCAAGCACAGCCAGCAATTACTCAAGAAGAACTGGTGGAGAGACACATTCCACGCGTCCGTGGGGATAATCCATACGACAAGCCAGGCGTCGTGACCCGACTGGCCGGAGTACTTAGTGGAGATGTCACTGGAAAAGCGGTCACACCACAACCTTCAAACCTGACAGCAGTCCAAGACGGCGCTTCGAGTCAGCTGCTCTTGGATGACCCTCTCAACCGACAAGAAGCTTTTCGAGACCTCCAAGCTTGGGTAGAAGGCTCTCTGGACATGTATAAGGTCAGTTTGTGATCGTATTTACACAGTTTGCTCACATTATGGACCCTCGCCACAGCCAGAGTTCCGACCATTGCTATTTCCCATCTTTGTTCATTTTTATCTGGACCTCGTTCAAGGCGGATATCTGGAAGGAGGTTTGTACTTTCCTTGACTTGAACAACTGTCTCAATGCAACTTGTACAGCGCGACTATTTCTACGGCGCTTTTACCAGCACTTTTCTATGACACACCGGGTAACCCTCGAGAAACTTGCTGCAATCACAAGTCCAATTCACGTCGAACAAAGTGAATTGGCGAAGCGGTTCCGTGATGAGCAGTACGTCTGCCGAATGTCACAATCTGGCAAAGACCTACTGCTAGGCTGGTTGACGGATGGCACTGGTGGTGAAGAAATGGGAGCTGGTATGGGAATTATGACAGCTGCTCGCGCGAAGAAGGGTCGTGACCAGATCCTTCGGGTGATTAACAACCATCTTGTGTTTCATGGTGAGTCGACTTTATGTAAAGGCTAAACGCTCTAATAGTATGACAGTCACCTCTTCTCATTCTCTAACGATCTCTCCAAACGTCTGGGAGGAGTCAACGGGTCTCATGTCCAGCCTTGTCCCTCCACTACCAGCCGATGCAGAAGCAGACGCCACCATGGCCAACGGGACTGCAGTAGATCAATTCAATGCTGCCACTGGAGTCTTGAAATTGGGACTTCCTGGCCCTGAAGGTGCCCTAAAGGAAGAAGTTGAAAAGGTCCTCCAAGAGGACCACATGCACGCCGTGCAAGTAGCAAACACTACTGCGGCCCATCTACCACCACCAGACCCTCGTTCGCTCATTCAACCTCCTAGCAATGGGCATCCTGTCCCAACTGCGGCCGAGTTGCCACCCATGCCACCTAATTTCCGTACAATCGATATCAAAAGGGAGGTAGAGCGCGTTCGAGACATTCGCAGACGGATAAAATTGGACGCGTCAACGTTTAGTGCTATGGAACGGAAAGAGTTTTCCATGAACGGGTTCGATCAACGTCAGGTGACGGCACGACAAAAGGCGCTCCCGAGCATTTGCTGCTATACTTTCCGAGAAGCACCAGAAGGGTGAGTCATCTGGATTTAGAATGTGGAAAGCGCTTATGATCTCTAGGGTATCGAGTTCGGCGTTCTCGCTAGACTCCAGTCTTCTCGCAGCAGGCTTCTCCGAGAGTTACATCAGACTATGGAGCACAAAGGGAGAGAGATTGAAGGCTCTTCGATCAGACTTTGACGTTTCGGAAGTCAAAGAATGTAAGGTCTTCATTGCACACCAGGCTATTATTAAACCTTTGACAGTGCGGGATATTAGAGAGCACCGCGGGACTGTGACTCGAAAGCTCATCGGCCACTCGGGTCCAGTGTACGGCCTGAGTTTTGATCCGTCTGGGGGAGCGGTGGTCGCCCCTCGCTTCTTGTTGTCCTCCTCGGGAGACAACACGGCGAGGCTATGGTCGCTCGATACAATGACGAATGTGGTTGCCTATCGTGGTCACACCAAGCCAGTTTGGGATGTTGAATGGAGTCCACGAGGGATTTATTTTGCTACGGGAAGTCGGGATCACACTGCACGACTTTGGACGACGGATCGTATTCTCTCACTTCGAATATTTGCTGGCCATCTCAGTGACGTAGACGTACGTGTTTGGACGTGACCCATTTCAAACATTGACATTGCGCAGTGCATAAAATTCCACCCCAACTCGCTCTACCTCGCCACAGGCTCGTCCGATACGACATGTCGACTTTGGGACGTCCAAACTGGAAACTGTGTGCGCGTATTTTTAGGTCATCAAGGACCTGTGACCGCGCTTGCAACGAGTCCCGATGGAAAATACCTCGCGAGTGCAGGCGAGGATCTGGCGATTAATTTGTGGGATCTCGGGACAGGCAAGCGCGTGAAGAAGATGACTGGGCATACCGCGACGATTTACTCGCTGGCATTTTCGCAGGAGACGTCGGTTCTCGTGAGCGGTGGCGCGGATTGGACGGTGCGCTGTTGGGATGTCAAGTCGGCTGGCGGGTTGATGTCCAAGACTGGTGGCGACGATAATGTGAATACGGATGCGTATGGGTTTGCGAAGAAGATGGCGTCGGGTGCGACGGCGGCTGATGCACCTGCGGAGAGGGAAGAAGAAGATAACTTCGTCACGTACGTTTTCTATAACTGTGTTGGGATGAGACGCTAATTTTGTGGGAACAGCCGGGATCTTATGGAGACGTTCCCAACAAAACGCACACCAATCATCGACGTCAATTTTACACCGCGTAACCTCTGCCTTGCTGCAGGATGGTACCAGACGCCCATCGGCGGTGGAGTGTGACCTCAAGCGCGTCATTTACATTTTCTTGTATCTTGTCAAGTTTTGTATTTCACAAGCGGTGCTCTAATGTTCACAGAAGAACAATCCATATCTATCGCAAAGTGACGACTTCTGTTTCACTCGTCAGCTCAAAGGGTAATCTGGCTGTTGTGAAAACGAACCTTCTGCAGAAGTGGGATGGATGGCGACGGTATCATCAAATTGCTTCTTCGTAGCTAAATTTCCAGTGAGAAATGGCGCCTATGGGCACATGGATTGCATGCTCACCTCCCATCTTGACGGCAACGCTAAAGCCTTGAAGTGCCTCATCACTCCCGGCGCCAACCATATGCAACCCGACAACCTTCTCTTCTTCTCCAGTGACGATGAGTTTGTAGACGGTTGGTTCACGGTGATCTTCGTCTGCGAAATCAAAGAACATGGATTTGAACCTTGTATTGTCTATGGGGGCGATCAGAAAGGAACGACGTAGTTCTGAACAAGTGTACTGACATATCTTTACGTTTTCATCACCAAACTTCTTGCGCGCTTCTGGCTCGGTCAACCCGACAGTGCCAATCGGCGGGTGGCTAGCAGATATCAGCTCATGAGATATGGAGCGAGGAGAGAACGTTGCTTACGAAAAGACAACTGTAGGGATATTCTCATAAGAAAGCTTGTCCTCCTTGAACTTTTCCGGACCAAACAAGCGGTTCGAGATCCTGCGACCAGCGGCAATGGCGACTGGAGTGAGGAGAGCCTTGCCCTGACAGTCTCCAATCGAGAAGATGTTGGGGACGTTGGTCGCCTGCCATTCGTCGACGAGGATGTTGCCCTTTGCATCCGTCTTGATGTTTACCTTGTCGAGCCCACAGTCCTCGGTGACGGGCTCACGACCGACAGCCCAGAGGATATAATCGGCATTCTCAATCTTTTCTCCAGTATTAAAATGCACCGTCACGGGTTCACCTTGCTTGGTACCCTCGACTTTGACAACCTTGGTGTTCTTGTGAATCTTGACACCAGTGTGCTCGGTCCAATCCGTGATCGTAGTCTGAATCATCGGGTCAAACGTCCTCAGCACCGTCTCGTATCGGATCGCCAAGTGCGTCTCGGTGCCGAGAGCATTGAGCACGCCTGCGAGCTCAAGCGCAATGTAACCCGCACCAACGATGACAATCTTCTTTGGCTGCGTCTCGAGATCGAAAAAGCCATCGCTCGTGATACCGAGGTGTGCACCGGGAATCTCCTCGTCCTTAGGAACAGCCGGACGACTACCTGTTGCAATGGTAATGTAATCCGCGCTGAGGGTATACGTCGAGCCGTCGTGGCGGGTGACCTCGACTGTATTCTTGTCGAGCAAGCGTCCCCAGCCGTCGTGATACTCGACGCCGTCTTTACCAAAGTTGCGAGCGTAGGCTTCGGTCAGTCGTTTGACGTAAGCATCGCGGCGTGGTTTAAACGTTTGCCAGTCAAATGAGGGTTGAACGGGTGAATAGTTGTAGGCTGTTGCAAGTCGGAGCTTGTCCGCCATGTCGGCGGCGTACCACATGATCTAGCGACGGTTTGAGGAAAACCGGACAAACGGTCAGTGTGTGGAGAAGCACACCTTTTTGGGAATACATCCTGCATAACAGTGAGACATGCAGGGGAGGGGTTATTATTAGATTGACGCACCAACTTTGACGCAGCATCCTCCGAGAACACCAGTCGCTTCGACCACGGCAACTTTTTTGCCATAGATGGCAGCGCGACGCTGTAACGTGTCAAACACAGGACACGAACGTGAAAAAGAAGCCGTACGGCAGTTCCAGACGCTCCGCTTCCTCCTCCAACTACCACATAATCATATCTTTCCTGCGTAGGATGTGTAATCGGCGGCATGGTCGCAAACGACTTCTGAAGCTACCAAAAACAATGTCAGTGTCATCATTCGGAATCATGATGGACGGATAGAATACCTGGGCTAGCCTATTGACAGCGGCGGTGGACGTTGTCGACGTCGTGAACAAAGTAATCACAGAGATTGTTGAACGCGTTGATAGTCTTGCAAGTGCTCGTGCTTGTGTGCGCGCAAGCAGCGACGAGGGGGAGGACAACAAGGTGGCCAGATTGAAGAAGAGGGTCAAGTTGGATTTGGTGAGCTTAAGAGGGGGAAGCAAATGGTGACGGCTACATTCAGAGATTACGAATACACTGAATAGAATCTGATAACGATCAGAGGACCGTATGCCTCGTCGCTGATTGATCCCTCGTCAGCTCCGACGGATACGCAGCTCAGCCGATCCCCGTCAAGCGCGCTAACCGACAGTACTTTCAGAGGCGCTCATAATAGTTTACTCTGATCTCCTGATGATGCGGGGTTGACAAACCTGGTATAGCCACCCGGGTAATGGGCCATTGAGGAACGTTTCATCTCCTGCGATCGGGTATGAGCAATCTTGGCATATTCATTGTAAATGGTCATTCTCTACGACGCCCAGAGGCGATGAAGAATGTCGCCTTGCCTCCTCCCATCTCCGCCGTTGCTGCAGAATCAACAAACTGGAAATCACAAAGCCCTGCATTAGTAAAGCAAGATTGAATGCGAGACGACGTAAAACCGCCGGTATGTGCGACGGTCGGGCCCGTAAACGGTTCTGGGTCATGCGAGTGTCCGGCAGAGGGAGGATGGTGGTGTGCATGATGGTGTCCGTGATGATGATGACCAGCACCATGTGGTCGTTTGTATTCCGAAAGATCGACGACAAATAGACGGCCCGTGTCTGGTTTAAGCACCGAGACTAGAAGCCTTGTGACGAGGTCAATGTCTGGAAAATGGTGATAGGCGTTTGCACAGAGGACGACGTCGAATTTGCGACCAGCAAGTTGGAGCTCTTCTTCCAGACGGTTTGCTGCTTCGGCTATTCCGCCGTCGGGAGCAGTAGAGGTGTTGGAGGTGGGGACAAATGGCTGGACACGAATGGCCTGAACTTTGTCCGGAGAGAGTCCCTGTTCCCTTGCAAGTCTGTTATAACTGTCTACGACGCCCTGGGAGATGTCTGCACCCAAAATCTGCCGGGTCGATGCCGCGAGGTTGCGGGACAGGGGTCCTGGAATAAATTAGTGTTCTGAAATAGCTGAAACAAGTCCAAAGAAACCTGAACCAGAAGCATAGTCGAGCAGGAATGTGGATTCTGGGTCAAACGCATACAGCTGTCTGAGCACCTGAGCGACTTGAACCGCAATTGTATTGTCCTCGTTTGTCGTCTCGAGTTTGTCAAAATGGCTAATGTTAGCATTAATAATTTCCATGGTGGTCTGGTCCAAATGATTGACCAGTGGCAGTGTCTTGCAGCTCCGACGCAGATCCGCTAGGCTTAATAGACACGATAAGATCAAACGTGCGCATGGATAGGGGCTACTGCCATTTATGCACTTATTCCCAGGAGGCTGGCTTATCTTTTGTTAATGCTCTTAGCCCTCTTGGCACAGATTTCTTTTCTGATAATAGCCACCGGAGAACAAAGAAAACTTTATCAAACTCATATATCTTATAGTTTCTGTTTCGTAAACATAACACTTATAGAGAAGCCTGGCTGAACCGGTCACCTGCTTAAATTCGAGTGTTGCTCCCGCGGCCTTTGGACCTTACCTCGTCAGTCTCCGCTAGCCCGTTGCTCGTCTACGCTGCTCTGTGCGTCTTCAAAATTCATCTCGATATTCCCCAGCCTTCCCCTTGCCTTTGCCCGCCGCTGACGCACTCCCGCCGCCCGTCCAGTTGTTCAGCCCCGCACCCAGTGGCGGTCACCGTAGCAAGCCAGCTTGACCAGCAAGTTTTACAGCAGTATAACGACTAGACTCTCCTTCTCTTTCATCAGCGACCTCGTTACTTTCACTAGTTGGAATACGCCGCCTCTGAATTTCTTGGGACCATGGCGTCTTCCCTCTTGTCTACGTCCATCTTTTCCAACTCAGCCGCAAACTCGCGTACAAGTAGTCCCAGAACAAACTCCAACGTGCCTCTTCCTCGCGGAGGTGGCATCCTCCTCAATCCACTCACGCCGTTGGCACTACCGGGAACCAGCAGTCCGTCTACTCATTCTCCACGCCCAAACACTTCATTGTCACTCGCTCCAAACTCGACAACCTCGGAATATGCCTCTTCCTTTTCGAGTTCGCCCCACCCCCGTTCAGCCACGTCCCCCCTCCCGCGCTCAGATTCTAGTTCATCTAGTCAAAGTGAGACCAACAATTCCAACGGCAACGCGACTCAGAATGGCAACAGCCACTCTCGCGCAAACTCGATCCGCAAGATTCGCTTTGCGCCCTTACCCGATCCAAGACGGGAAGAATTGGCAGAAAACGTGTACACGACAGACAGTCCCCTCATCGGTGCGCCTGGAGGTCTGACCCTCCCCTCGGACGAGGGCGTGTCGCTCGTGCAGCAACAACAATTACCCACCACCACCAATACCAGCAGTGCCCTCGGTCTTGTTCACAGCGCAGGGGATCAACCTGCCGCCGGCACTTTACTCCTCCCCGCGGGCGCACAGGGCGCAAATGTCGACGAGTCGGCCATTCCCGACGAAACGGCCTCGGATTATGGAAGCTCAACCTCCGCCCTCCGTCGTGACAACACGGTCTCTAAACCAAAGCGCTGGAGCCAACGTCTTTTTGGACCGCTTTTGGGTAAAACCACCAGTGGTGGTGGCTCTGGCCCTGGTTCACCCATGAGCTTTGATGGGGGACGGGGAGCGCAAAGTGAGGACGAGAGCATGTGGCGAACAGCGTCCCGTGACTCGATGGCCTCGAATACGAGCAACGAGGGGGGCATGCTCGCAGGCCTCGCGCTGACCCGAAGACGAACGGCGTCTGGCGCAGACAGTCGACCATCGAAACTGTCACTCGGTTTTGGTGGTGGTGGTGGTGTGCCCATGAAGCGTGTCCAGTCGCTCGGAACGCCCGTGTCAAAGGGACCACTAGCACCAGCGCCGCGGAGACGAAATCAACGAATGCTAAATGGACGTGTGTATGGTGCGCCACGATCAAGACCGTTTGATAACGTCCAAGATACCGAACCCGAGTTTGTCGAATGGGGCCATGGCGGCGCGGGAAGTGTCAAGAATGCAGGGCTCGCTGGAGGCAAATACGCCGGCATTCAGAGTCAGGGTAACGTCAGCGTCGGAGCCACTGCCGGTGGAAGCGTTGCAGATGATGACGACGGGAGCGGTATGGCGTGGGTGAAGCGAAGAAGAGAACAACGGGAGCGAGAAAAGGCAGAAGCAGAGAAAAAGGTTTGTCTTCTATTCTATTCGTATTCCGGAGAAAAACCTGATCAGCGTGCTCTAGGCTGCAGAGGCGAAAGAAGATACCACCAATTCATCTCCAAACGCGGTGGCGGAATCCGAGAGCAATGTGACGATCCAAGCACGCGATTTTGTGGCAAAAGACGGTCAACTCGTCGAAGATCCCGAGGCGGTCGACCTCTCTTCGGTACCCATAACTACATCCGGCTCATCCAACGTTACGCCACGACCGTCGGGTACGCCGACCGGTGTGGGCACACCTAGACGCAAGGACAGCGGTATGACCATTACCAATGTCGGCTCGCCATTGTCCAACGAGTTGACGATCAATGTGGCTGAAGATGAACATCACGTCGTCAAGGCCGTGGCGGTTCCTGCTCATCACCATCACCATCACCATTCTCACGTTCAGCATCCACACTCTGCAAACGAACCTGGTCGCAAGTCGCCGCCTCCACCTACCGGTGCCACCCCATCCGAGGCAAGTAGCGTGACGGGAGACGACGAGGACGATGATGATTCGGATTCCTCGAGTTCGGACGACGAGGATACGCAAGAGGAGCAAGATAGCGATACGGAAGAAGAAATGGCCGAACGCGTATGTCCCATTCCATTCTCGACGTCGTCTTTTTGGGTGCTAATGCTTCTCGTTAGGAGGAGAACCGCAAGACGTCGCTTTGCGCTGGTGTCGAAAAGATTTCGCGTCATCGAGATCAACAAGTTCCTGGCTGTTGATAACATTCGACTGCCTCTCCCACTCTACTTTTTTTTTGTCTTCGCGTCTTTTGTCATTGTATTGAGCGCTCGCTCAGTCATCCCGGGAACATATAGGACATCGGGATAATCGCATCACTTCTGTGGACTGCCTGTACATCCAACCCCCCCCCTCTTCGAACTCTTCGAGGACATCGATCGTTTGCCTTTCGGGCCCATGCACACACACCACTTTTCATACCCTCTTCTGACATGCTCTTTTTATTCCTTTGGTTGACGGCTCTTTTGGTCTTTCTGGTCGTCCATGTTTATCCCGCTTTCATTCTCACCACTCGTCCTTTTCATTTTTTGCCTCTTTCGACTTATCTGTGTGCATGCGATTGCAGTCTCGAATCAGCGTTGTATAACTACCTGCCATCCGTCGTCTAGTTTGAACTAGAACAAAGTCACAAATGTAATACATGCTCTGTTACTCCATGTGCTCATCTCCTCTGAGGCTGATAAAGTATCGATAGTCATTTCACATAGGCGACGAATAGCGAGATTCAGATAGATCAAAGTACAATTGAGAAGCAAGTGTCCCAAAGTCCATGAAAGGGAGCTCGATGGTGATTCGATAAGAAATCGTGTTATGAGGTGGGCTCACTTTGTAAATGAGGCGAGCTCCTCCTTCGGTGAGTGTATAGGTGTATTCTCCGCCGTCCGAAACTCGAGCGCACTCGTGTCGGGCGAGCCAGGATAATCCACCTCGACCTCGCCCGCATCTCCTCCGTACACGTTTCCGTGTCCTACACCCACATTGGCAGCATATGCGCTAAAGGGGCCAGGAGGATCTTGTTCGCGTTCCGTTTCCTTTTCCTGCGCCTTTTCCCTTTCTTGTGCACGTTGTCGAGTTGGTGTTTGTGTCGAGGGAGATGTGGGCGGGGAAGTGGACGAAGATGGGAATCTAGGTGCTGTACTCGTGGCTGGCGGCAGAGGCGGAGTGACAGGTGTGGGTCCAGGTCCAGGGTTCCCGCCATTACCCTTACGCAAAACGGGTGCAGGTACAGGGGTGATGGGTTGCACTTCTTCTTCGTCTGCTTGTGCTTGGTACATGAGCACTGCTGGCTCGGCCAAGAGCGAGTCAGAATATGACCCCTTCTTCGGCACTCCCCCACTCTCGTGACCCGTCGTACTTGTCGTGCTTGCGTTGAGATAGGTTCCACCACTATTTCCGTTTGCACTGGTTCCATTTGTACCGTTGGATGGTCCACCGCTGGTGCCAGTACCTGACGCAGATGATGTGTGAAGTGATACAGACGAAACGCCCACTCGGCCAGGTACAGTACTTCGCGCGGGAGAAGACGACGCGGAAATCTTTCCTCTTTGGGTAGACGCCGTCGAAGAGACGGATGGATTCGAACTGTGTCCCTTTGTATCGAGCTTGGGGCCTCGTCCTCCCGTCGACGGTCTATCTCTTTCGTATCCCGTGGCGCGTCCATCTTCTGACGGTCTACTCGCAGCAGTATTCGAGTTTATCGCTGCAATACCTGCAAGCGCCGCAGGGTCGACGCTCCCAGAGGAAATCGTATTTCTCCTCGTCGGCTGTCTATTAGCCGGTCTTGGTGGCAGCTTTGGTGGATACTGTGACGAAGCAGAGAGGGATTCACCAAACGGCACCCCATCTGCCGTCGTACCAAGCAAAGGTTCGTCTTTGTACTCGATGGTAATGTCTTCACGACAGTGTGGGAAGAGCCATAGATAGGAGCGCTGGCTCGAGAATTCAGCGCTCCAATCTCGGACGGTGGTATGCTGGGCAAAGGCGGCGAAGAGGATCGCTCCTCTCCAGCGTGAGGATCGCAGAGGATTCTGGCATTGGCAATCATGTCTTCCATCAGTGTGTCCTGCACAGCTCTCAGTGCCTGGACTTCTGAGGTTTTCTGGGCGTACCTTGGTCATGGTTAGAATATCTACACCGGCCGGCAAGGCCTCTTCGCCAAGGATAACTGGTCCAAAAATGACTGCAAGATTCTTGGCGTCCATCTTATTAAATTTCTGGTTCGCTACGACTTTGGACAAGTGTTCGAGCATGGCACGCAGCGTTGCTTGGTGAATCGCTGGAAGGCGACGTATTTTGCTGCGAATCATGGCAAAATTGTTTGCGAAATGTTTATCTGTCATAATTTAGCTGAGAATAGGGTCGTTTGACTTATTTTACCTCTATCTTCAGTGTATTGGACCCTGTCAACGATTGGGAATTTGAACACCGGTTCGGGAAGTTCCCGCAGATAATACTAGAGAACAATAAGTTCCGGAACAGGGCCGAGATGTCAGATTCACTTTGAGTAAGGCTGCAATGGAATGTATGTCTTCCTTGTCGACGGTGAAATCTGCCTCGCTCTTCTCTGCCATCAAGGAAAGCTGTAGAAGATTGGCGACGAGACCAAAGGGCGGTCTGATAACTCACCTCCATCACATGTGCGTGCCGGCCAGGGACCTGGTACAGTTATCAGCATTGGGTAGGCATTGACCCATCACGTACCCGGTAGATTCCCTCCGTCTTGATGCCGCGTGCTTCGACTTCCGCTGTGCAAATAGATACTATCTTGGGTAACTCGTTGTCTCGGAGGCCTCGTGAGCTCGCGTAGTCAACAAGGCTGACACCAAATAGCATGTCGGTACATTCTCCGACTTGATAATTGCAATAAAGAATGGGTTTGGGTATCGCTGCGGCCAGCGTTTTGCTGGTCAATTGTCGTAATCTCTGGAGGTCTTGTATGGGATGGATAATGTTGACGACAGAACCAAGACTCGTAGATAATTGCGAGTTTGTGACGTTTGTTGCGCTAAGTACCGGTAAGGCGCCTAATCCAATATAGGAGCGGGGACTTACGTGAGGTTATCCGAATATCTTTCGATTACTCGTACCATAAGGTCGGCAGTTTCAGCCACCAGTGTTTCCAAACTCTGGAAAGAGTCAGATACGCCAAGAGCCACTCATTTTACTGACGGTGTAGCCGGCTTCCAGAATCTTTTCTCTGCGTAGCCGAAGTGTCTCCATGGCATGCACTCCTTTTCGATATTCTTTGTCTGGAATTATGTCAATATGGTGAACTCCTATTGCGAGAGGGCCTCACCAGCTTCGTCAGCGTCGCGCCTTGCACGCACTCCTCGAAGTGCAATTTCGCCTTTGGGATTGCCCCCAACGCCTCCCTTGGTCTCGATCAGAGTCCGAAGATTGTTCAACTGGCGTCTTCCTGTTGTGATTGTGAGGCCATGGTAGGCAGAATATGAAAAGTCAAAGTCACCTTGCTGGGCAAGATCTGAAAAGCTCGTTGAACCACCAGGACTCCTGTCTCGCCGTCCTTGCCCGCCGATAGAAGATTGCCTTCCCCTTGGTCCTCTCTCCGATGGCGCATCCGACTGGTAGACTGAACGATTATTCGTCGGTGGCGTGCTAGGCGTAGACGAAGTGGGTTTGGGCACGGGTTGATGAGGCGTCGTCGGGCTCGTAACTGTATTCCGAGCACTTCCTTCGTGCTTCCACTCGTCCGCCTCCATGCAGCGCTTCATGTACGTTCTCCTCAGACGAGGGAGCGTATTCTCGCTATACTCGTTGTACTGAACGAGTGAATTCTTCACATCTTCTTTGATACGTTTGCGGGACCGCTCGTGCGTTTCCTGCGACACGACTCGTTATGGGGCGAGAAGAGGCATCCCTATCGTCCCTGCTCACCTTGAGTTCCAGGAGCGGCCCTACAATGTCGGTTCTCAACGAATTGATAAATGCACCCCGTACGTCACTCTCTATAGGACCCGTAAGATGACCATGCCACAAAAACAGACTGGCGCAACGCACCTCTTTCGAGCCCCTCCAAAACGTCCTTCCAGGCTCTCCTCAGCGTCCACTCGCTATCAGGGAGTCGCTCGTTGAACATGAGATCAATAGTAATCTGTCTTTGAAGAAGCCTAATCATGCCATCTCGACTGTAGCGCACGCGGGGTATGACGGACGGTGAATTGTGGACATAAGCCGACTGAGCAAGCAAGCGCAGAGCATGTATTCACGTACTATTGCTCCTCCAATTTCAATCTGCCGCGCGTCGTGACATTAAGCTCGTCAGCAAGGTGCAAACATGGGGTACGCCGCAGTGCACACTGCTCGACGCGCAAATGGCCGGTAAAGGGAGACATAATCTCACCTTTCACTAAAGAAATTGAGATAACTGTCCCCAAGAGCGCGCAGAAACACGTCGTAGGCTGGCAGGGGACCCGTCGACGACTCTTGGGAGCGGATCGATGTTTGCGACGTTGCTGCAGACTCCATATTTACTTATTCCTCCACTGAGCGTGTCACCGTGAGCCGTAGCCGTCGTCGGCGAACCAAGCTCGGACCCGTTGGCGGCCAAGGAGCGGGCACTACTGACGAGAGGATTACAAAGGTCAAGAAAGCCACGTTTCAATGAATGTCAAGTTTGTACAACACCACAAGGGAGTGAGTCCGTTATAAATAGGCCAGTCTCATCTAAACGAGCGAATAGTGGTCTAGAACATGACTCTGTGGATCACGATACCTCCCAGCAACGCCGTCAGTATCCAGATTGCACTGTCGAGCCAGATGGGAACGCCTTCGACCCCCGAATCGCGAAACGCTGGGAACGCCTGCACTTGGTGCTGCTGTGGCGTGTCCGACTTGTCCCCTGACGCTCGCGCGCCATTCTCCTCACCATGACGTGCCGGGTCGTTGGAAGGCAGCGCCACAGGTTTCGGACCGAGCTCAAAGATGGAGATGTTACGCGCCGGGGTCGAAGGTTGCAGGGAGAGGGCAGTGGCATTCGCTTCGGTGGTCGTGGATAGGGTATTGGGTGGTAATGTGGAAGAAAATGCAGGGATAGCAATATGGTTGGGAGCCTGGACTTTATCTTGTCGCGCTACATTGGGTCCCAGGCTCGCCTTTGGAGTTTCGACAGACTCGGTCAAACTCGCACCGTCTTCTTGTTTCGGTGTCTCGACAGGGTCTGGAAGCATTTCTATATTCTTCTGGTTGCAGTGTGGGCATTTCCATTCTCGGGATCTGGTCGTGCCGCCAATTAGCCAATAAATCACCCCGCGTGGTCTACGACCATGACTCACAATGCCGCCAGTCGTTTGCGTTCTTGTGGAGGTGCATTCAATGAACCAACACCGAGCGCATTTGACCCGCTCACGGGGAAAAAGCCCTGCAGTCCGATAATGGCTGTGAAACGCACGCGATTCAGCGTCGGCATCAGAGATTGCACGGCGAGAACATACCAGTTCGGATACCCCACGCGGGCTGCCATAGCTCTTCATGATCTACGTGGCCTCATGAGTAATGCACTAGAATCGTTCTCACGTTCTACGCACAGTTGGTGAAGCTAATGCAGACCTGTATTCGACCAGTCGTGAGCAATGAACCCTCGATGTCGACCATATACGTACGGGTGTATCCACCTCGAATCTACCGCTAGGAGTGAGGACCCGGAGGGATGGGGGTCTAAAGGGATACTGAGGGGGGAGCGTGATCCTGACGTGGTAGAGTCCGCCTTCGAATTCTGTGTCCTTTGGTCCTCTCAGTGTACAATGCCAGTCCTAGTATGCTGCTTAGTATCCCATCCGCTGTGCCGGCTGCCACTCTGGCCGACTCACGAATAGATTATCCTAATAACCATGAGCTCAGACGGCTCGAAATCATTCGAAATGCATACCTCTAAAGGTCCGGCTGTGAATTCCGTCGAGGGGTCTGCCTGGATCTCTCGCGCCTCGCGAAGGATGCGCTTGACGGCTGGGATAGAGCTCAATTAGCCAGCCTTTAGCATCTAATTGCATTCTAGACCTACAAGCATTTGCACTGTTGTGTGAAGTAAGCGTCGCCATTGACAAGCTGGTAGAGGTCTGGTCCAAATCGTGGCAAACGTAGCGGAAACCCTATCATGACGCGGATAGAAAAGCTCAAAGTAAAGCCCAGGAAAAGTGAGTTAAATTCACACAAACTTGTATATCCGCTTATTTCTGCCAGTGAAACGGCCTGGGCCTTGCAACCAGCAGCTCACCGAAATGTTGAGCTGCTGGGCGTCGACAGGCGACACCCAGAGCACAAAGGAATGTGCAGAAGCCGCAAAGTCTCTACATAATTGCATGCGGACCATGGTCAGCTGCCGTCCCATCAACATTTGAAAACTTTCGACTGACTTTTGTCAAGCCTCCCGCTCAAAAGCCCTTGAAGCCGACGATAAATTATCATCTAGCCAGACTTTCAAAGTATTTGATCAAGTAATAATGCATATAATCATGGCCAATGCGTATCACCGCTCGCGACCGCGACCCCTACTTCACATACAATGTCCCACAGTTCTATCATCTCCGTGTCGAGCTCCTGCATCATCATCTTCTCCAGTTCTTCCACTTTGATCAGGTCCCTACTAGCGCCATCTCGCTCGACAACATCTCCAAGTGCTTCGTAGACGATGGCTTGAAGGTAAAGCACATCTTGAACTGAGGCGTGCATCTCCAGAATCATGTAATCAGCTTCTGCCTTTTTCAGATCAACAATCGCGTCTTCCAAGAGTACTAGTCCCAAGAAGTAAGAAACCCGATTTCTCTAATCAGATAGACATACCACGACCACCGGATTTGCTCTGCGCCATTTTCACCTTTGCATAGATCGTGTACACGAGAGCACGCTGCTCCAAATCCTCTCCTCTGGCCACCTGAGGAAGAATCTGCTCCAAGACATGGCGGGCCGATTGGATTTTCCCCCTCTGCAGCTCGAGATCCGCAAAAACAGGGACGGCAGAACGATAGAGATACCAATAGTGGTTGACCTCTGCATAGTGTAGCGCGTCAATGATCATCATGGTTGCCCGCGTAATATCTCGTGCAGTCTGAAAACTTCTAGCTCTACGTTAAATTGAACAGGGAGGCTTACCAATGCCTTGCTTGCTTCAACAATCAGCTTCCGAATGGCTTCGGGCGACTTTTTGCCGGTTTCTGCCGTCTCAAAGGGTGATACCTTGGGCTTTCTGGGTTCTAGAAACTGTCTTTTGAAATTTTCTTGACATCTGTGTATCTGTGAGTTCACAGCTAGGAGACACGGATGGCACTGACCGTCGAGTAGCGAGGTCCCACATCAGATGCCAAACTTCGTTCGACCAGTACTGATATTGCACAAGGCCCAGATGCGACCAAGTTTCACCGTCGAAGAGCGTTGCAAATGCCTTGACATACTGACCCTGTTGGAAGAATTGACGCGCTCGGGCGCAGAGAGTGTACAACCGGATCTCCGTCCCAGGTTTTGTATTTCTGAGGACAATGTCGTCTCCTATCTCCGCCACAGTCGCGTGTCCTATCAATCATCTGTGAGCCGACCATATGTTGGATTGATGCAGACATACCGGCTAACCGCCATAGCGTCGCATCAACCGCGTAAATCTCCCATTGAATATCTAGTGGCCAAATATGCAACTCGGGTGGCAAATCAAATGCCCCTATTGCCTCAAAGCATTTGCGGAAGAGAAATGAGATGGACTCGCCCTGTAAGATATCAGTTCATGTCATGCGACTAATGTATAGAATACCGCATTGATCCCAAGTCGGATATCAAATAGCAAGTCTAGTGGCGATGTGCCTTGCTGAATTACCGTATACCGTTGAGGGTTCAGCTTCGCCTGCTCAGCATCTCGTTCAACTAGTGCTTGCCGCCTTCGAGAATCATCCAAATCGTCATGAAATGTAGGGAGCGCCTTTAGAGGTAGTCGTCGCGCGAGGCTACTCGTCTAAGCTGGCTGGTCACCGTCAAACTGGGACACGCACCTCGTTACGTCCATCAAAGCCCTTCGATCTCGAACGGTACGTGCAATGTTCATTGCCTCACTGCACATCTGGTGAACCAGTCAAGACTCAGTCGCGAAAGCCAATATTCAATATGTTTACCAGCCGGGCCATTTCGACTTCGCCTGATGTCAGTGAATAGTGCACGAGTGCATTCAGAACGTGTTGTCTGGGAGGCTGCTTTCCAGGCGTGAATCTTTGGTCAAAGTAGCGTCGGAGATTGTCTACGGCTCCCGCAACGTCTCCGACATGGGCATCGTACTCGAAGCTGGCACAAGGTGGTTAGATAGATCCTGTAATTACTGAGTAGACGTACCATTCGTACGAGTCTGTCGTACCCGGATTGGCACTATCTAGGAATGTAGGTATAAGATTATACCCAGCTATAAAAACTCAATACGTAGGTTTCATCCATGCTATAACTGAACTCACGTTCCTCGACGATTTCTGTGCTCAAGTCGTAAGAGATAGACTCGCCGTCTAGCCACTCCATAAGAGCCTTGTGTAGCCTAGTTAGTGCCGCTTCGGACAGCTTCATGTATGCCAAACGACATCGTCGGAGGTATATACCAAACCACGATCGTTTAGTCTGAAGCTACATATCAGCAGTTGCAGAACCATCGTGAGCGAACCCACTGCGACGAAACGTTCACCCGGCTACCATCACCGTTAGTTTCAATCCTTTCTTCCATAAGCAACATACCTGTGCCCCAGCAAGGCCAATCTTCTTCGATTCCTCTATTCCGACTTTTGAGTGAGGTCCCACGCGGGAAACAAGATGCATACCCATCATTAGTTTGTGAACAGACATAGGATCTTTGAGTTTATGTGCCTACTCTTGTCAAACCTCGTTCCAAACTCAACCCAAAATGCAACGTACATAGCGATGGAGGATCACCCGAAAGTCGAGTACCTCGCCCTCTCGTGACTTTCGTCCACACTCTTCCTTACAAACATCGAGGATGATCTGTTCCCAACTAGCTGGGCGAACCTGGTAGCCCAATTAATGATTTCCTTCTTTATCGAAACTTGAAGCCGGGGTGAGACTCACATCAAGTGTTTCTCTAAAGAGAACTTGGAGGACGTTGAGTACAAATTCTGGACTGTACAATTCGGCGTAGGGAAAGACGAGAGTGACGAGTGCAGTCCACCAAATGTGATGCGGCTCAAGGACAAACGGCTTGGATGCACTAAAAGAGTCTACAGCAGTCCTTTTGTTCCGCTCGGGTGAGGAAGAATTGCTGCCGTCACGCCGACGGCGCATCGATTGGGTGTGCGAAGGGTCCAAGTTTCCATTTCCAAGATACCACTGATTGAGCCAAGGTAAGGTATTCCAGACATGTTGCGAACAGAAAGCGCTCGTATATAGACCATCGAAACAATCTCCCAAAGCTATACACCTAAAGTCTAAACCACCTGTGTGACAATTTCTGAGCTTCTTCCGTCTGGCCACAGAGTTCTAAGGTGGTTATAAGCTCTCTCGCCGCTTGAATGGTATCCTGATGTCGAGGACCAAGGATATCTTGTCGCAGCTTCAAGAGCTCCCGCCCTAACTCCTCTGCGTACCCTAACTTCCCGCGTTGCCGCATGACCCCCGCGAGACTGTGCATTGTACTAATTGTATCTAGGTGTCTGTGTCCTAGGATTCGCTCTTGGACATCGAGCACCTCTTGTAGCAGTCCCTCCGCCTCCTCCCATGACCCGCAACACTGTAGGGTCATCCCAAGACCGTGCATTCCTCTCAAGGTCGCTGGGTGTTGTCGTCCAAGGATGTCTATCCGAAGCTTCACCGATTCTCGGCGCATTTTCTCAGCTTCCTCGAGCAAACCACGGCTCGTCAAGGTTTGGGCAAGATTGTTCATGGCAAGAGGTGTCTGGGGGTGTCTTCGACCGAGAATCTCCAGCCTTAATTCCAGGACCTGTCGTTGCATACTCTCGGCCTCCTCCAATCGACCACGGATAAGATATGTCAGCGCGAGGTTGCTCATTGCCCAAACCGTGTCCGAATGTTTGGGTCCGAGGGTCTGTCTTCGCACATCCAACACCACTCGTTGCATCTCCTCTGCCTCATCCAGCTTATCGAGTGCTTGCATTGTTGCCGCAAGGTTATGCATTGTTTGGATCGTGTCGGGATTTTGCTGACCAAGCACTTCCTGTTGCAAGCTCAGCACTTCTCGCCCCATTTTTTCTGCCTCCTCCAGTTTGCCTAGCTTATGCGTAGTCCATGCTAAGTCGCCCATTGCTTTGATAGTATCGGGATGTTTTTGTCCGAGACTTGTTATTTGGAGCTCTACAACCTTCTGTTGGATGTTCGTCGCCTCTTCCCATTGGCCACACTCTCGTAGAGCATAGCCTAGCTGACGCATCACCCAGATCGTATTTGGGTGTTGTGGCCCTAAAGCTTGCGAAAGTTGAGGGAGACAATGCTCCAATGTTTCTCGACTTGCATTCCAGCTTCCAACAGTTCGATGGACCATATCAAACGCTAACGCATGAGCTATGTTTTTAGGTCTCTTTACTGCCGGTAAAGCGCTGATATGAGGCACTAAGTGCCAGTACCAGGCATTGCTCTCTTGTTCCGACAAGGGACGTATTGCTCCAAGAAGGAGCTGTTCGGCTGCCAGTGCGTAGTGATCCTGACAGTTGTTGACAAGATCCCTGATGTAGGCTTGAAGAAGTGTGTGAAGGCCGTAGAATATGTTTCCTGCGTCGTCTCTGGATATATGAAGGAATGATGCCCGGCAAACCGAATTGACTATGTCTTGAAATGCGACTTCATTCCATTCCGATCCAAGTAGTTCTGTGAGGTATAATATTATCTGCTTATCCCTATCTGGTGAGGCTTGACCTTCCATCACGATGTGTGCGCAGAAGCCAGCGGTCGTAGATCTCTGGAATAGCTCCTGTGGTATAGACGTATAATGAAGGAACGCAACGAGTTTCATAAATTCCTGAGACTTCTCTGGTAGTTGTTGGAACGATAAATCGAACGCAGTGTACGTTGGCAGCAAATAATTCCTTTCTTTCAGGACGTCTTGTCGCATTATCTCGCCTTCATGCTTACTAAATGTATCAAGATATGTATTTAAGCTTCCTCCGTTGAAAATGTAGGCTCCAGCATGAGTAATGGCGAGTGCCCACATGCCCAGCTTTTTCACTATAGCAAGTGAGATATCGCTTGATGAAGGTGATATTTCGGCGACACAGTGAAGAAGTTCGAGGGCCTGTTCTTCTGTCAACTCTCCTACTTCCTTGTGAGCCCTTGGAGCACAGGCACAGTATTCCGAATTCCTCGTTGTCATCAAGATTGATCCATGGGTAGAGTTAGGAAGATACTGGGCCAGAGGTAGGTTTAGAGTGTCAACATTATCCAAGAAGAGGAGCCAGCCAGTATCCTTGCCATCGAGATAAGCAATCGCGTCCTTCCACGTAGATTTGCTGTACTGGGGGCCAATTTCACGGATAGATCTCTCCAAGTCTGCCTCGATTCGCTGCTGGCTGCTACCATCCACAACGATGACTCGCGTAAAACTGTACAGAGCATGAAATGAATCCGGTTTTTCGCTTGAAGTGCTTACTTTGTTTTGTTGGTTCTGATCCAGGATGAAGCTAGCTGCGTTTTCCCGCCACCGGCCATGCCATGAAGAATACAGCGTGGCTGACGAATCGGCGGACTTTTGGGAAGCAATTGACTTGTTATGAAAGTCTGTATCTCAGGACGCTGGATATAATTTCTCGAAACTGCCAGGAGTGGCTTTGGAAGAATAGGATTTTGTGATGGTAGCTCTCCTTTTGCAACGCCTAGGATACTTAGCAAGAATAGCCGGTTCCTCTTGGTACGTACTTCGGTAACCATGCTCCCGCGCCCACTTTTCTTCCACCACCGTATTTGCACCTTCAAAGGATTCCTTGAGACAATAGAGGACCGCTTTATAGTTCGGATCGTTATCACTAGTGTATTTCACAAGTTGCACGTGGTCGGCCAAAAGTTCCTGTCGAACCACTTGCTTCTCCCCAGCAATGGTGGCGGAGTAATACGGTACAATCTAGCTTGTGTTCAAATTATGAATGAAATATAACTCGTATCTACTCACAAAATTTCCTATTCTTCCAAGCAAGGATGTTCTGTAGGTTTCATAAAAGTAGACATTGGTAACCTCCTCGCTCGCTGAAAGATATGTAGCCTGAATGTCTTCAAGAACGGATGAGTTTTCTTCCAGATCCCGAAGTATTATATCATTTGTCTCCATATAGAATGACAGCAGTCGGTTCAGCATCCGAAGGAGACCGGCACTCTTGGTACCTGCATGAGGTGTTCCAAAGAATAGCGTGGCATGGGTCGACACAAGTACGTCACGGAACCCGTCATTTGATCCAATATTTCTACTGTGACAAATAGTGAGAGCCTTTCAAAGCCATCAGAAAAAACTCGACTCCCAGGCGTCAGCGACCGACCTTCTTGAGTATAATTCCGCCGAGGCTATGTGCCAAGAAGATAATCGGCCTCTATAGAACCACTTTGAGAAATAAAGGCAGGGAAGGGTACGGTATACCGACCTGTTTGGAGCCTGTCCTTTGGCGAACGAGGGCTCTCATAAAGGTTTCGGCGTGTCGATAGATTGTCTGTGTTGATGTACTCTCCAGGCTACGTGTGTCGGCGTCGTATCCATAGCTAAGAACTCGTGCATTGGGAATGTCTGCAGCCAAGAGATCTCGCAACCACATTGTTCCATTAGCCGCAGTCCAGGTCAGCTCCCTGTGGCCATCTAAGCCATGTATCGCAACGATACTGCACCCGAAGATTTAGGGACATGAAATTAGCAGTGGAAAGGTATGATTTACTCAACAACTGGATCTATTCCAGCCGAAATCTCGAGAAATTCCAGCTCCTCTCGCTTCAATTTTGGTGTTGGCGCTGATAGGTGTTTAGACTGGCGGTTCGGAGGCCAAAGGGCAGTATAGATAGCTTGCATTAACAGCATAGACAGTACACTGAGCAAGTATCCGAGCCAGGTTTTCCAGATATCGTCCATCTTACGGTATGTTCAGAGAGCAAGTCATCTACATGGTTTAGGGACAGCTTCTCGGCTGGGCATCTGCCCTGAGGAGGCGGGAAATTATGCTGCATGTGAAATCAGCTTGTGTACATGTGGGGTAGCCCATCTCGGACTGCCGTTTCGGACTGTATTGGTGGCGCAACCGAAGCCCTGTCAACACGGCCAAGGCTTTGAAACAATAGCTTTTGGCCACAGCAATATGCATATATTGAATATATAACGGACCTGGAATGTCATATGACCGGTATTGCATGCAAAGATTCGAGTTGCGTCTTGGATAATTGAGGTATTAACTTCGAGGTTCGTTTGAAAACATTATGCGTTTATCAAAGGTTTTGTGTTTGCCAATTATTGCACTTCGACCTAGACTTAATCATCAACTCCGCCGACGAATGGCTACGCACAGACCTAGCTCAATGTTTATAAGAAAAGGCGGTGCAACTGTCAGAAATTTAGGATACCTCATAGGTTGATTGGGTACATTTTGTGTGCGCCAGCTGGCAACAAGGTACGCGGCTATTGGAGGAGACTGGTAAACATGAGGCAGCCCTTCTCTAGTCAGCTCGCACACGTAATGATCTGAGTAGGGCATCCACTACAATGGACCCACTTCGGATTCCATTGCAGGCTACCATTGAGGCCCTACCAACCCGGTCAATCCTTGAAATAGAAGACCTCAAGCACCAGTAGCCGGGGTCGTTACTGACATAGAACCAAGCGTATGACCCGTCTCTATCGGCTATAGTATATAAAGTAAAGGTCCAAATATATGTTATCAAGGTCAGCTCAAAATTCATATTTATCATTTCGAACCCGATGTTAGTGTGGTGGTGGCGCTACTTGGGGCTTCCTGATAAGTCGAGAGTCAAGTCCGAGGCGAAGAGATGATGAGGAGACGCGATGAGGACCTAATTTCTGGTCGGAGACTACAGAGAGACCCGGGTACAGGTTCGTTGTTTGGTTGGTTGCCTCGGCTTATCAGGGATAGCCCATAAGAGCACACAGAGCGGCGACGAGGATTAGGATCCTCTGATTGACTCCGTTACAGTTAGACTGGTTAATCAGGAACCATACTTGTGTAAGGGTCCCGCCTCAAGTAAGCGAACCATGGGCCGGTTTCATGAAAACCATGAGCGAATTTGTGCAAAGTCCAAGGTTAGAGGGATCACGATGCGAATGGAGATTTCAATGCTGATTGCTTCAAACAGGGATAACCAAGTTGTGGCATAAAGAAATTCGAGTTATACGGAAATCAACTAGCATACTCTCTATCACTACACTCTATACAGATCGCCTCATCTTGCCTTGCATCGACCATCATACTCTTTTCCTCTCCTCCCCCTTCTCCAACCTTGTTCGAATTGGTCAAAGGGTATCCATGTCAAACACACCGTTTCATATGAGAACAGTGTCGTGGTCCACATCCGAAAGACCTACATTGGTTAGCTACGCATCCCTTTAGCATGGTGGTACATACTTCGGAGGCTCCTCTCTCGAAGCCACTTTCCTTCTACTGTTATGTTTGCATCGCCGAAGACCTCTTTGAGGTAGTGGAGAACAGTTTCATAGTTGACATTGGTTTTACCGCGGTACTTGATCATCTGGATATGATCAGCTGAAAGTGAATGTACGCTCGATCCCCTCTCGCCAGCGACAGTGGCAGAATGATAGGGCACGATCTAAGTCTCGTTCATTTGCTTGCTAATATGCAAATAAGGGCTCCTTACCAATTTCGTTTGTCCTCCGATGATGGGGTAGCGTAATCTTCATAGAAATAGACGTTTTTGATCCCTTCACTCGTTGAAAGATATGCGGACTGGATGTCTTCGAGCTCGGACGAGTGCTCTTCCAGGTGCTTGAGAATTTTATTGTTTGACCTCATATAAACCGATAATATTCGATTGAGCATAACTTGAAATGCGACCCCTTTCACACCAGAGTGAGGAGTTCCAAAGAATAATATAGCGTGAGTCGACACCAAGATGTCACGGAGGTGGTTATATGACCCAACATTTTTGCCTTGACAGATGTTAAGGGCCTAGGAGGGTGAGCGGAAATCGGAATTGCTGCCGAGAATCAACAGACCTTTTTGAGGATAATTCCACCGAGACTATGTGCTAGAAATATAATAGGTCTCTAGAGTCTACATTCAGCAAGACATAAGAAATGTTGAGATGTGCGAACCTGTTTGGCATTCAATCTTTGTCTTGCTAGTGCTTCTATGAATGTACCAGCGTGACGACCGATCGTGCTCGTTGACGTGACATCGAAACCAGTGGTGTCGGCGTCATACCCATAGGTAAGGATGCGTGCATTTGGGACATCCGCGCCCAAGATGTCTCGCAACCACATTGTCCCATTATCTGCGGTCCAACTGTTCTCTCTGTGACCATTGATGCCATGTATGGCGATGATGCTGCACTCGAGGTTCAAGTTCTGCGAAGTGAAGTGTAGAACGAGATGACTTACTCAACAATTGGATTCACTCCAGCTGAAAGCTCAAGGAAACCGAGCTGCTCTTGCTTTGATTGTGGCTTCGACCGCGACCGTATACGAATCGTTTTCGAGAATAATATAAATATTATTCCCAACAAGATGAGAAGCACAGTAGTCCACATATCTTTTACTTCGCGGGAGGTTCAGAGGACAAGTTACCCGCACTGTTTGCAAGCTGTCGGTTCAGCGCCTGTTGGGGGAGACTGGCAAACCGGGGCTGCGACCCTCCTGGACCCTGAACGTAACCAGACTATCTTCAAACTTCTGGGCTGTAATCGGGTTACTGGCCTGAATGAAATGCTGTTAGATGATGGCTATGGTACGACAGAAAACCTATATATAGTGGTGGTGACTACAAGCATGTACATAGACTCAATAGATGCTAGTCTCCGGCTTTGCAGAAGTGCATCTTTCAGTATCTCCTCTCTATAAGCCTCTTCCTGTCTACTGCCGGCTTCACATTCTCCAGAGCCTCCCTGAGGTAATAAAGAACGGTGTCATACTTTGCATCGGTCTTTCCATGGTATTTGACAATCTGTACGTGATCGGCGGACAGTCCTTCTATGGTCGCATCCCTCTCTCCAGCGATGGTGGCAGAGTGATACGGTACGATCTAGTTTAAGATCAACTACCTCATTAGGCGCCATTATAGTCACATACCATGTCTCTTCGTCCTGCAATGGTCGGAGTACTGTATACTTCATAGAAGTATACGTTGTGGATGTCCTTGCTCGCATCGAGGTACATGGATTGTGTTTCTTCAAGCTCCGAGGAGTGTTCTTTCAAATGTCTCAAGACTATATCGTTGGTCTTCATGTAGATTGATATAACTCGGTTGACCATCTGGAGAAGATCGATCCCCTTGACGCCCGCATGAGGTGTCCCGAAGAATATGACAGTATGAGTTGACGCCAAGATGTCATGTAGCTGACTATCCGCATTCGAGTTTTGACTATGACCGATGATGAGAGCCTTTTGAGGAGCCGTATGAGCGGATGCCTCGACTCGCAGTCACTGGGGGACGGACCTTCTTAAGGACAATTCCACCAAGACTGTGGGCTAAGAAGATTATAGGTCTCTAGGAGCCTGATTTAAGAAAGGAATACGGAGCAGTAGCACAAAACCACGTACTTGTTGGGCAGCACCTGTCCTTTTGCGAGCGAGGGCTTTCATAAAGTTCTGGGCATGTCGAAAGATTGTTTGTGTAGACGTAACCTCGAAGCTACGGGTGTCGGCGTCGTATCCATATGTAAGGATTCGTGCGTTGGGAATGTCAGTGGCCAAGAGGTCTCGTAGCCACATTACTCCATTATCCGCAGTCCAAGACTTTTCTCTATGACCATCTAAACCATGGATAGCAACGATACTGCACCCAGAAGTTCAGGTCTATGAAAGCGATGAGTAAAGACGACTTACTCGACGATTGGATCCACTCCGTCCGCGAGTACCTCAAACCCAAGGTCCTCTATTTTCGATTTTGGCGCTGACATCGTCAAGTCTTGGCGATCTCGAGGTAGGAAACGTGTAATATCGAAGACTTGAGCGAGGATGCCTAGTATTATCACGCATGTACCAAGCAGAGATAGGAAGCTTTGTATATCTCCCATTTTACGATAGGCGTCAGAGGGCAAGTTGTGCTATTAACCTGCAGACATGAGGCAGCCGTACATACCAGCGCTAGTTGAGGTTCAGTCAGGTAATATTTAAACAATACAACACAGTCACGTCGGAGGTGGCAGTAGAAAATGATAGCCGGACAAATAGAGGGACCTAAAGTCTGGACAAGACACCGACCTCCTGGGCCATTCAAGTTTTGCGACAGCTTACGGAGGACCAAGAAAAGCTACAGGTGTTCATATCAGGCAATTAGTCCAATATACATTAGCGACTCGTGTTTATCGAACAACTAGAAATCTCCACCGAAATCGCCACCATCAAAGTCTCCTCCATCATAACCTAGAGTAGTCAGCACCGTTGCATGAAATAGAATATGGAAAGAGTCGTACCTTGGTCATAACCGTCCTCGTATGCATCGCCAATGGCATCTGCGACGAGAAGACCACCTAGGAGACCGGCACCACCCGCGAGTGCGGCATTTCGGCCCATATTCGACTTCTTGGGTCCCTGCTGATAGACGACCTGTGGCTGGCCATAGCCACCATAACCCGGGCCGGGACCATATCCGCCACCGTAGCCAGGTTGGCCACCATAAAACGGCTGGGAGTGACCTCCGTATCCGTGCGAGCCACTTGGCTTCTTTCCGTGACTAAATAGCTTGCCTAGTAGACCTGGCCGACGGTTAGCAATAAAGCCACATTATGTATGAGCCATAAACGTACCTCCGGCAGCTGCTCCACCGATTGCACCACCAAGTGGCCCTTGTTGTTGGATGGATTTGGTTGGTTGTATCCCTGTTGAGGATACGGCGACTGTCCTTGCTGGGGGTATGGAGACGGTCCCTGAGGATATGGTGACGAGCCCTGAGGATATGGGGATGACGAGCCCTGATAATAGTCGTTGGCACTTCCTCCCTTCTCCTGAGGACCGTTGGATGGAGGAGCCCCAGATGGTGCAGAATACTGCCAAGCCATGAGTAATTACGCATATGAGGTGATATCATTACACACCTGTTGAGGTTGCGGGGATCCCGGAGGTCCAGCGGGATGGACCCAGACGCTCCTTGGTGGACTCTCCCTGGTATTAACATAAAACCAGGCCTTGTAGCTATGTGAATGGTGCAAGATTAGCATGTTGTTATCCCCAGTTTGACGCAGGATAACCTACTTTGGATCCCACTGCGTGATCCAACCGTCTGCGCGTGGTCAGCACTGTTCCAAAATTGGTGCGGAGGTGCTTACCGGGTAGAGGACGGGTGTCTGGATTCGACTTTGGTGGTTCAGATGAATATTGCGGGTATTGAGACATGGCGTAGGTGTGTAAGAGACGTTGGAGAGACCAAGCTTGGATCGCCACCATGACGCCTTTATGAGTCCGATCGGCGGCCGACTCGTCTACTGCGGACTCTCCCGCCGACTCGATCCCTAGGCCCGTGCAGACCGTGCTCGATGAATCAGCTTATGCTTTCTCGGAAGTATTTCTTGTAATCATCATTCGCGGGTATTCTACACGCACATACGCACGTAAGCAAGCGCAGTCAGTCAAGACACAGCACAGTCCATAAAGATAGTCCAAGAAATCAAGCAATTCCGTTCAGTTTCGTGTTTATGCCTTCGCCATCGTACGCCGACGCGCCTCTGCCGCCTGGCTCACTCGAGCCTTGCGCATCGCAGTCTCTGCAGAAGCCGCGACCGCACTCGCTCGTCCTCGCGCTCCATCCGTGCCCATCAACTTGGCCTTGGCACTCAAGCCTGCGCTCTTCCTTGCTTTTGCAACGTTCGACACATTTGCACTCTTCAGCGGCGTAATCACGCTCGTCTTTTGCGCTTGACGCGACTCGTGCACTTTGGCAATCACCTTTGACCGCGAGATGCGTGGTTTGCGGCCAAGGCTACCTTTGCCCTCCTCGGTAGCGGATGGAGCATTTGCCTCCGTCGAATCGGCGGCTATCCTTCGATTCAGTGGTCGTGAAGACAGGGATGCAGGAGGAGCAGGAAGTGGCGAGCAAGAGCGCGACCGTTCTCCATCACCCATTCCCGGCTCAAAGTCGGGATTTCTTCGTGTCACTGACCTTGATGGCCTCTCTTCATCAGCGACGGGGACCTCGGCTTTGGATTTGATCGAGTCGGTATTTATCTTCGACGTCCTCCGCGCTGGTTTAACGTGTTCGACATTCGAAGGCTCCGCCACACTCTGTCTGGCAGAGGTGGTTGCCTTGGCTGGCTCGACATTTGTCTTCTTGGAGATAGAGGTGCGCGAGGATCCTGTTGTTGCCTGGAAAGAAGGCAAGCCTCCTCTCTGGACCCCCGCGGTCGAGACTCTTGTCAATGTCGGACGGCGAACATCCTTGATCGGAAGAGGCGGTCCAGTCGAGCGCGTAGTCGTGGAAGCCTTTTCCTCACTGCGAGTAGCACTCGCCCGTGGCGCAATGGTCGATGGCCGTGCACTTGAAGCGGTGGACATTCGAGAAGGGGCTTGTCGGGATGGGGCTCTCTGAACAGTTGGCACCGTTTCTTTAGTCTTTGCAGCCGGTTTGGGCGGTGCAGCTGGAGGTACAGTCGCTTTACTGGCTGCAATCGTCTTACTAGTCGTTGCTGTGGATGATCCATTGACCACTGATGAGACTAGGCTCTTGACGACCTTTGCTGCGCCAGTTCGGAGCATTCCAAATCGACTAGTCGGCGCTGCTTTGGCTAAACAACATGAGAACAAAAGCCGAGTGAGTAAACAGACACTTACCACCCGCAATAGAACGACGTCTTGATGTAGATCCTCCAAGGCTACCACGCCCCTTCGAGCTCCTGCGACGTTCCTGCTTCTTCTTCACCTCCTCCTTTGCCATTGGCTTGGTAGGGAACGCAACCTCGCCTGATTTCTTGACGAGGTCGGCGCCGTCGACCTTTTGACGCTTTGGAGCAGGAAGACCAACTGCTTGGTCCTTGGGATCATCGAGACAGATGACTTTTGTGCCATTGGGACGAGCGTTCTCAACGACGTGCATCGACTTGCGTTTGGTGCCAGCAAGAGGACCAGGCTTGACGGGCGAGGCCGCACGCTTCATGGTGTAGTGATTCGCAATGGAATCCATCCTTGAGACACTTGTCAGAACAGAGCGCAGACTTACAGTCAACACTCACTTTTCAAATGCCTTTTCGTGAGCACGCCCAAAGCGACCCTCTTCCTTCTTGGTTCCCATAGTGAGAGTCGCTTTCCTGCTGGGAGTAACCTCTCCAAAGTTAAGAGTGCCGTCCTCGCTAATCTTGGCGGCACCAGACGAAGTTGAATCGAGTCCCAAACGTTTGTTCATCTCCTCCAGAATGGCGGCGGCAGCATTGTTAAACTGAAGGTTGGAGACGGCATGCGCCGGAGAGCCAAAGACGAAAGGAGCTGGAGACCCTCCCAGTAAATTCTCTTCCTGTGCCACTGCCACCACAGTCTTTTCAGGAGTTCGAGGCCGCGAGAGGGTTACTTCTGGAACCGACGTCGTAGCATTCTCCTTGGGACTGGAATCGGAGAAGATTAGGCTGAAAGGACGAAGATTAGGGGTTGCCTTGATGCGAGGCTCGTCTGCAGATGGTCGTGGGGGCGATACCACCAAGCGGATCGTTGTCTGGTTCTTGTCCAGGGTACTCGCGTCCACGGTTCCTTCAACAATGGGTTCCACAGGGTCGTCCTTTTGCGTGGCGCCCTCTTCCAATGACTTCCCCTCTGCCCTCTCGTTTGCCGATGTAACCGTGTTTGTTGGCACTGGAGGGAATAAATGTGACATTGGCTTTCGAACGATACTGTCTGTCGTCGAGACGGACATTTTGGAATTTTTGGACCCTGCTCGTTTCAAGGAAGTGGCAAGTGACTTGAGGGAGGAACCTGTTCATTGGTGAGCATAATGCAAAACGACGACGCGTTGCCCACCTCTGCTGGACACGCTATCCATATTGACGTCTTTGGACGAGACATGTGATTTGACTGTGCCCATTGACATCATTGACTTCATGGACAGGGTACGGGAGCGCTTGTCGAGCGTCATAGACATGTCTTCTTCTCGGCTATCCTCTTCAACAAGTTCCCACTGGTCGCTCGTACGGGCGTGAGGTTGCTGCGAGGAATTATCCTTTGCATTATTGTTACTGGTTTTATTAGAGGCCATCGCGTCTTGTTCCTGGTCTAGCAGTGTTTGAGCATAAGTTCGCAGCCGACCGACGAGCTCTTCATTCTGTGGGAGCGGCCGAGCATCACGATCAGCCCTTTTTGTATGCAGTTACCCTCGTACCTTTCCTGACTGCTTGATGTTGTATCGTTTGCAGAGAGCAAGTAGCTGGGCGCGCTTGAGAGACTGGAGCGCGGGCTCGTTGAACAAGATATCGTTTGATTGGATCATGTTGCCACGTCGAGAACGCAGCAAAAGCTGGTTATTCAAAGAGATGATGTATTTAGATTGCTGGAAGCTGGCGTTATAGCGCTGTTAGTACGACGCCCAAGTTGTGGTTAGAAAACAAGGTGCAAGCAGCACGTGACCACGGGCCCGCGTCAAAGTCTAAAACTTGCCGACATTTGTAGTCTTTTCTTGTTCAAAGTAACGATAATTGATCGTGTTGGTCGTTGATTACGTATCAAGACGGTGAAGAGTAATACCTATTGAGGGGCCACCATTTATCGTACGGTTTACGCGTAAAATCTACGGCCCATTATAGACAGGGTAATTATTCTAGTCGTGGACAGATTATATGGTTGTTCCTGGTGTCCTGTGGTGTTCGTATTGATATGATACAATATATCCTTTCCCTTACGATACTCTCACCTGATTGCAGTCACTTACGCATCGCTCACGGCAGGTTTAATGGAAACGCAATATATCCGCTCTTTTCACAACTATGAGTAGTGGAACACTATGATCGTGTCATTAAACTACAGCCCAATGCCCAGTGACGCGCATCTCGAGTCAAACGACGTGGGGTCTTCCAACTGGATGGGATGCTGCAAATTGCTGCTATTCCGGAAGATGTCGACGAGCGTCCGAGTCCCAGGGCCCTTATACTTCTTCCATCCAAGCAACGTCAAGCCATTGTCCGGATTCAAAATGAACGTGCTCCATGCCTTTTGCAGGTACTCGGTTGCTGCCGGCGCAACGTCGGGAACCGAGTTGAAGAGCACAGTTTGGTCGGTGGTGTGCCATGCTCGCAAGGGTGGTGGAGAAAGTGCAGGGAAGATACCCATATACCTGTATCGGTACACCGATGTAAGAGAGGATGCATATCTTTTGGGGGAGTTAGCATCGACAACGGCGTTAGTGGACAACCTCACTTGGATTGTTGGCTATCGTAGCACCTCAACATCCCAAGGGTAAATAGATCTGAAGCAGTCTCGTTGATCGTATTCGTGACTGGATCAAATACAAAGATGTCTCCTTCGTTGTCCGTGGTCCCAGTCAGCAATGGCTGAAATGCCTCAGCCATCGTTTTGTAAGATTACCAAATCACTCACAATATGTGCAAACTTGCCAGCACGACCTCTCGACTTGTACTCGGCGATACTGAAAAGCGTCGAGTTGTCAATGTAGGGCGACATGCCGACAGTACCAGTAGCATTGAGCGCATCCGTCAACTGTGCCACGCTCTTGCTCCGAACGCACTCTAGCTGGCCCTTGTAGTCTGTTCCTCGAAGGTCACACCCAACTGCGGTGGCGATGGCAGGAAATTTATTTGGACCGCCCAACGAGAGGCCCGGGAGAGGGATGAGTGGAGTGGTTAGTGACGTTGCCGCTTGTGCACTCATGAGGATAGCTCCGCGGGCGAGTGGTAGAGATGGATAGGCGTAGAGATGTGTAGCGACACTGGCAGAGCCTGCAGAGTACCCTCCAAGTATGATCTGGTTGGGGTCCCCACCAAATGCTGCAATGTTGGTGACGACCCATTCGACAGCCGCACGTTGGTCTCGGAGTCCGGCGTTGCTATCTTTGGGTGATAGTGCGGGGGAGTTCGCATAGCCATAGAGGTTCAGGCGATAGTTGATGGAAACAAAGACAATCTCTGGATGAGATTTGGACCATGAAGTGAGATCCTCGCCTGGAGGACTGTCACCAAGGGAGGAGGGGAACAAAGAGTGATTTGACTTACTGCGTGCCCCAGAATATCCCGTCGTCCAACTTCCTCCATAGATCCAGACAAAAACGGGCCTGGGCTTTCTAGCGGGTGATGTCCATACATTGATAGTGAGGCAGTCTTCACCTGCAGGATACGGGTACGGCAATGGACCCCCTAACTGAAGGCACGAGAGTCCAAACTCGGTGGTATTGCGAACAGTCGCAGGTGTGAGGAGCGGTTTAGGTCCTGAGAAGCGCAATGGACCGACTGGTGGTTGCGCATAGGGGATCCCAAGATAGGCGTTGGTCTTACTTGATACAGCTTTCCCATGAAGTTTTCCCGATGTCGTTTGGATAATGGGGACCGTCTGAGCAAGACAAACGATTGCAAGCGAAAGCCACAGGCTGAGAGTCGAGAGGAACATGGGGAACATGGCTCGTAGAGTCAAATCCAAGCTCTTGCACGCGATTATATACCCAATCTCGGTCGTTTATCGCCGTTGAGGTTACTAATCCCATGGTTTCTGCCACAGAGTTGTGAGATTCGATTCCTAAATGGATTGTTGCGGCGCTTACTGAATGAATGCACCGAACCCTGTGATTGCTCCGACGAAGAAGCCATTCAATGAGCGGCATTTATTGTCGGAAGTTTGCAGTGCGCGGTCTTGTAGCCCTGGATTCGCGCATTTGTGCTATTGGCTAGATATCAGCCCAGAGTAATGCTCATGTGAGCAAGCTCTTTTCTCATATTACAAGTCTTCATATGTGCTCGAGTATTTGAAACGCGGCTTTAGGGGAAAGGATATCGAATCGTGTGATTGGTTCGTGTAGCCACCGTCGAGACCCAGCGAGGGTATTTCCCTAAAGGGGAGACGCATTTGGAGCGCTAAGTGGTGGCTAGTGCTGTCAAAGAACTCCAAGCGGGTTGTAGCCAGAAACCAAGAGATGACCACAAACCTGCGTCGAATTCCCAAACTGTGAATATTTGTCAGTATTTCCCGCTTAAATAAGGATACTTGAGGTGCGTCTAAGAACAGGGGATGATGATTACAAATGAAAGAGGAGGAAATACAAAAGGCGAAAGTCTAGACGTTGAATCCATATCCTCGCATACACGCTATATGCTTTTGAACGAGTTCTTTGCACTTTTCATCTGCGACTGCTGCGTCGGTTTTGAGAAAGCAGTCATCTCGTGCAGATTTCGTCTCGGGACAAGCGCAGCAGCTAGAGCCAGACCATTAGTATTTGTGATCACTTACAAGCCAAGATTGAGCTCACGGTTTGAGATTATTAGGATTCAACGGATTGACAGGTGCAGCTGGTACCGCGCATGCAACTGGTGCAGCTGGTGAGGCAACAACTGATTGCTGAGCACCCATAGAAGAGAAACGAGTCGTTTAGAAATAAATCAGGAGTATTGGCCTACGTTGGCCTGTAGCGTGCTGGAAGGCAGTGGTTCAAGAAGATTTCAAAGTCTGGACCCGACCACTTTCCATGTCCGGAGCAAACTTTCTCATCCGACGACCAACTCCAGTCTCCAACGAATCCTCGGATGTAGATGCAAACGGCTTCAAAGTCCCTGCTGTCCCCCAGCGTCTGCGCGATGAAAAGTCTTCACGCGCCGGCTCGCCACTAAACCCGAATGGCAAGCGACCGCTCAACTTTGACGATAGCGATGAAGAGGAAACAGACTTCACAGAGGAACTCGTCGTTGGATTTGATGCTATGGGTGCACAGCGGTGCGTCGCGTCTGAGCACGCTTTTCAGAACGACCCATCTCATCGCTCACCAAAGTATCTTTTAAACTTGAACAGTGCAAACGATTCGCTTGGAAAACCTGGTCCACTCGTAATTCCGGCTTTGCCCAATAAAGACTGGAAAGCTATTGCGAGGAAGCGCAAAAACTACGTTCCAGATGAAGGCAGGATGAAGATGGGAGGTGACAGTAGCCAAGGAGGACTGGGAACGCGAGACACGATCAATGCAGGACCTCAGCAGTCCGGCCTTGTCGTCTTTAAAAAGCGCAAGATCGAAGACGAGGACCACAAGATGGAAGAAACGGAACAACACATGGAGGCGGATGCAGATGAAACTCTGAATCCAGAGGACGCTCTCACCGACGAGCAACGAGCAGTCAATGCTCTTCTCAATGCCGCAAAGCGAGCCAACGATGGCGAAGATGTCGATGCGCTTCCTCTGGTCGCAATCCCGATGATGCAATCCAAGAATGCAAACCGAGTTGAGGCAGAGACCAAAGCGTTCCAGCAAGATACGGAGGATCTTCCCGACGAGCCCGACAGAGCCGCCTACGAACGCATGCCAGTATCACAATTTGGCACTGCTCTGCTCATGGGGATGGGTTGGAAGCCTGGACAAGGCGCGAGTAAATCGGGAAAGGGGCCTGTCGAAGCCAAAGTTCCAGCAATGCGACCTGCACTGTTAGGACTTGGTGCCAAACCCGACGACTCTGTTACCGCCAGTTCCTCAAAAGGTGCACCCAAGCCCAGCAAACGCTATATTCCAATCGTCGCAAAGGAGAGGGAACGGGAAGGAGAGAGCTCGAGGGAGGGATCTCGTCCTCGTTCTGACCGAGAGCGAGAACGAGATAGAGAGAGGGATAGGAGGGATGACGATTCTGATCGTCGTGATTCAAGGAGGCGAGATGACGATAGAAGGAGAGACGAAAGACGAGATGACAGAAAGGACGATAGACGCGAAGACCGGAGAGACGACAGGCGCCGCGACGATCGTAGACGAGATGACAAGTATTCTGATCGACGGGACGACAAGTATTCAGATCGACGCGAGGAAAAATACTCGGACAGACGAGACGACAAGTATGGAGACAGGCGGGATGATCGTGATCGTCGAGATGACTCTAGACGTCGACGATGAATCTAGCTACAGCCATTTGCTATGAGCGGCCACGGTGGACAAAAATCATTCAAGATTCGTGAGAACAAAGCAAGAGGCAGGGGCGGGCTCTGGCCGGCTGGGGCGTGACGGGACGGGCTGAGGCAGGCTCACAAATGATCATCCTGGCCCCCGCCCGTCCTAGCCCGTCACGCCACAAGTTCGTCAGCCTGCGTCAGTTAATTCTAAATGACTGTGATTGTAAAATTTAGCCGTCAATGATTAAATCCCCTGACCGTAATGAAGTGGAGGGAAGGGTCTTACAAGCCTTTACTAGGCACAGTAATTGAAGTGTCTGCACGTAAACCAGTACGCTCTCCCTATCACTATGGATGTACTGACACTCCCCAGACAACACCCTCCCGCTCGAACACGTTCAGTTTGGCTTCGAAGCCTACTCACCGCCAACCTTTTTCCTGTAAAGCTATCTGATTTGCCACCTCAAGGTGTGTCGGACCTCTTGATACCCCTGGACTTACTCTGACTGCCTCTAGGTGTTGCCGGCGCTGCCTGTATACCACGCGAGGATTCCAATGTCGTTTCACACGAGCCTCTGCGCTCCGTTTCACCCCTCAGAGGCGTTTATGTCACTCGTTATCCGTTGAATTTGCATGCATCTGCTGTTCCAAGGAGAGACGTTGCTCCCTTGAGTATTGTGAGCGTATCACCAGCTGAAACTTTACGTTCTTTTATCGAACAGCTTACTCCTATGCACCTGAGCGCGAGCTCCAGCAGATCAAGGGAAAGAGGACTGAAGGCTCGGGCCCATAGTCTTAGTGCCCCTCACAATCTCCGCCTGCGTGCTCTGTCTCCTCCTGGATCCAGATGGCACGATTGCTTTTGTTTGTCATTTAGGTCTCTGATGAAATCTCCTATTTCGTTCACACCCTTTCTCCCTGTTCATTGCGAGCGTCTAAGGGGTCCCACGCGAGTTGTGTGTATAACATATATTTCGCAATAAATCGTCCAGCCCAAAAGGAGATAAAGGTCAAGGGTCCGCCCGGAGGGCCCTTCAGTGTCATTATGGGACATTTGTTCGAACATTTGTCCAAGAGAGACCACATTGAAAATTGGTGAAATTAAACTTGGTCTTGCGGAATGGAGCCTCGTTTGGAATTGTCAGGAGATATGGATATTTTAGTCCGTGTCGATTGTCTGGTGGTACCCAGAAGAGACGTTTGCCGGAAGAATGTACCCAGCCGTCCTGCGAGAGTAAGCAAATTTGGAATCCAGGTACATGGATTCTTAGAGGAGTGGCCGGTAGACCCTCACTGAGGCTTGAATATACAGGCTCTTTACCAGAAAAATTTGCGTTTGCACTCAAGGCTATTTGTCGAGTCGCATCAAAATCTCGAAGGCGAGCTGAGTTGAACTCACCTGTTTCTGCATCCCATGATCGGATCGTCTTGTCCCACGAGCCGGAGACTATCTGTGATCCGCCTGGCGAGAATCCGACGGCGCTGACTGTGTGTTCATGACCTCGGAGTGGCTCTCCCACAGCCTGACCAGTTGCCGCGTCCCACAATCGAATTGTCTTGTCGACGAGCCAGACACAATCTGTGAGCCGTCTGGCGAGAATCCGACGGCGTTGACTCCGCCTTCATGACCTCGGAGTGGCTCTCCCACAGCCTGACCAGTTGCCGCGTCCCACAATCGAATTGTCTTGTCGTCCGAGCCAGACACAATCTGTGAGCCATCTGGCGAGAATCCGACGGCGTTGACTCCGCCTTCATGACCTCGGAGTGGCTCTCCCACAGCCTGACCAGTTGCCGCGTCCCACAATCGAATTGTCTTGTCGGACGAGCCAGACACAATCTGTGAGCCGTCTGGCGAGAATCCGACGGCGTTGACCCAAGCTTCATGACCTCGGAGTGGCTCTCCCACAGCCTGACCAGTTGCCGCGTCCCACAATCGAATTGTGTTGTCGGACGAGCCAGACACAATCTGTGAGCCGTCTGGCGAGAATCCGACGGCGTTGACTCCGCCTTCATGACCTCGGAGTGGCTCTCCCACAGCCTGACCAGTTGCCGCGTCCCACAATCGAATTGTCTTGTCCTCCGAGCCAGACACAATCTGTGAGCCGTCTGGCGAGAATCCGACGGCGTTGACTCTGCCTTCATGACCTCGGAGTGGCTCTCCCACAGCCTGACCAGTTGCCGCGTCCCACAATCGAATTGTCTGGTCGGACGAGCCAGACACAATCTGTGAGCCGTCTGGCGAGAATCCGACGGCGTTGACTCCGCCTTCATGACCTCGGAGTGGCTCTCCCACAGCCTGACCAGTTGCCGCGTCCCACAATCGAATTGTCTTGTCGTCCGAGCCAGACACAATCTGTGAGCCGTCTGGCGAGAATCCGACGGCGTTGACCCAATGTTCATGACCTCGGAGTGGCTCTCCCACAGCCTGACCAGTTGCCGCGTCCCACAATCGAATTGTCTTGTCGGACGAGCCAGACACAATCTGTGAGCCGTCTGGCGAGAATCCGACGGCCTTGACTCCGCCTTCATGACCTCGGAGTGGCTCTCCCACAGCCTGACCAGTTGCCGCGTCCCACAATCGAATTGTGTTGTCGGACGAGCCAGACACAATCTGTGAGCCGTCTGGCGAGAATCCAACGGCGTTGACTCTGCCTTCATGACCTCGTAGTGGCTCTCCCACAGCCTGACCAGTTGCCGCGTCCCACAATCGAATTGTCTTGTCGTCCGAGCCAGACACAATCTGTGAGCCGTCTGGCGAGAATCCGACGGCCAAGACCCAACCTTCATGACCTCGGAGTGGCTCTCCCACAGCCTGACCAGTTGCCGCGTCCCACAATCGAATTGTCTTGTCGGACGAGCCAGACACAATCTGTGAGCCGTCTGGCGAGAATCCGACGGCGTTGACTCCGCCTTCATGACCTCGGAGTGGCTCTCCCACAGCCTGACCAGTTGCCGCGTCCCACAATCGAATTGTGTTGTCGTACGAGCCAGACACAATCTGTGAGCCGTCTGGCGAGAATCCGACGGCGTTGACCCAATTTTCATGACCTCGGAGTGGCTCTCCCACAGCCTGACCAGTTGCCGCGTCCCACAATCGAATTGTGTTGTCCGAGCCAGACACAATCTGTGAGCCGTCTGGCGAGAATCCGACGGCGTTGACTCTGCCTTCATGACCTCGAAGCCTACTTGGGAGCCCAGGATACATTTCCTCGAGGCCTTCGGTTACACAGAGGGTATTACTATACATCTTCGCACCCTCAACATGCAATATTGAATTTGTAGGGGTGAATGGGAGTGCGGAAATGTATATGTGTGGGGCGCTCTCTTGAATCGGTACTGAAAATACCATTATAAACCGTCGAATCTGGTCCATGTTGACTTCATCCCATGTTTCAAGCTATCTGTGGCGTCAGAGTTGAATTGACTCGGATCGGCAACTTACTCCTGCGTGGCGTTTGATAGCTCGAAGACCGGTTATTGCTCGTGGCACTCCCCCGGTCAAGCTCAGAACCTCCATCCAGTATAACACGTATGGAACTTGCATAATCTGTTGAATTTCCTTCTTGACGATGGACCGCCAGCTGTCGCCAGCTTCAGCCACGTGGAACAGCCAATGAGAGCTGGCATATCGAAGGCGTCTTGAAATGAATCTTGATACTCTCGTATCGAGGTTTGGAATCTCTCTATTGAGATAGAAAGATGACTCCAGTTGACATATATTGAACTTGAGACCATCTCTTCGCGATGTGAGATGTTTGAGACACCAAACTGCGGCTTGCCCGTGTGCGTCAGGAATCCTGATATGCACGTTGTTACGCGTATCAATGGGTGGGGCAACAGCGCAACGCCGAAGGTATTCGACGAAAGTGGGGTGCCGAAATTGGATTAGACTCGTGGTATCATCCTCAACAAGTACGCTGCCGAGATTCCGTACCAGTGCCTTTGCACTTCCGTATACCCCGGAATGCTTGAGAATGTCGTCCACGTCGTCCGCAGTCAGCGGCTCAAACGCTGCAAGCAGTACAGCGAGCATCTTGTACATGATCGCGTGGAATTCGGGATCCGTGCGCACAAAGATGAGGTTATATAGATCATCTATGGCCCCAGTCTTGTCCATCGACATGAGGTGATCATACGTGATCTCCGGAGGGCTTAAGCTTGTCTGGCTGGTGAGCATTCGACATGCAGTGCTCGCCCAGATGAACAATCCGTTGGCCTTTTCGATCAGTCTCTGCCTTTTGCCCTCCGGCAGCACGTTGTCTAGTGCTTGGTGTATGTACACTGCGATATCACCAATGTTATCATGATGCTTGACATTGTGCAGTCGGTCCTCCAACTTGGATTTGATTGAGAGTGACCCCAAGACGGCTTGGATTACGGGGTCTGGCCGACTCGTCATGAATACCTTGAGTTTTTTGTTCCTTGAACAGCTGTAGAAAGCGTTTCGACGAGCTCTCTTCGCTGCAATCCAGATTTACATTCATCAAGAGCGTCGATAACGAGAATGACACGTTCTTGACTATGATGGATCGGATCAATGACGAACTTCTGGAACTGTTCTTCTAGAGAGCTTCGCATGAGCGACGGGTGCCGCTTCACAGCTCCAGCGACGTGCGGCGCAAGCCTGGGTATGTAGTCGACCAGGTCTCTTGCTATCGTGGAGCAGAACTTGTCTGTGGTGGATACTTCGTTGTTTGCAATGGAGAAGAAGAACCGGCCTCCTAGTACTCCTTCCTTCCTCCAAGTCTCTGCTACAGACATTGCAACTGTGGACTTGCCAGAGCCGGCGATATCACACAGCCAAAATATCGGCTTGTCCGACGTATCATCGTCGGCCCAGCGGTAGATGGTCTGAAGAACAGCCTCGCGTGTTCCTTTCAGACAGGGCCTGTGGACTGAGGATGCGACGAAAGCTACCAACGGTAGCTGCAGTATAGCATTGGTGTCGACTTCGAGTGTTTAGTAAGCGCCTCATCCCAAATTTCAGCTTACCGTCTGTAAGAATGGTCTCCACGTTCGCCTTGGTGGCTTTGGCATTCCTCTCGACATTTTGAATACGCAAGGCTGTAAAAAGACTCAAGGCCTCCTTTGTCGATAGTGAGTACTGTGAACAAGGTCGATGAGGCTCGCACCATGAATTGCCTATGCCGGTCCTCGATGTCTCGATTGAGTTTGAGAATCTCTTCTGCGTCAATTTTCATTTTGCTGAACGCTTTAAAGATGCTGAGTTTGCTGCGGTTGCGTTTCTCCTTCAGGTCGACAATTGTATCGTGCATATTTTCGAGAAATCTACATTACTCAGCCTACTGAAGCAAATTTGAAGTGCTACGTACTCGACATAGTGGATTAGCGGCTGCCTGAACGCCTCATCAACGGCCATGTCTTCCTCAGGATATGCCTCCAATAGGGTGATTTGTTTCTCGAGCGCAGACATGTATTCCTTCAAACGTCCAGCTAGATCAATCCATTCCTCTTGATTGATCTCTGTTGCCTATTGAATCCGTTAGACGCAGTCGTGGCAGGTTCGCCAACTTGCCTGTACGACTTCGAGAATTGACTTGGTGGTTCGACAAGCTGCCTTGAGAGGAGCGAGTACATCTGATCCCTCGGATATGTTGGCCACTACATCCAGGCCGACATTGAGCGTGTCGTATACTTGACGTTTTTTGCCTGTTGGGCGCTGTGCTGACGAGGATCCCGATGAATCTACGGGCAGATGTTGTTTCTTGTGCTTTGTTGATTTTTGGGTCGACATCGTGAACGTGGTTGGCTCCAAGATATGGTCAGCGCCAATGCCACTCTCCATATTGTCGGCGCTCAAAGGATAAAGCCAAATACAGAGTTTAATCATTGAAGGTACAGAACAATTCGAAGCCAATAGATACCATTGTCCATATTGCAGAACCCATGGAACCTCGCAGACAATTTCTGGCCAACCTAGAGACAAAGAATTGGAAGCTACTGTAAGAACTGGAAGGCGGACGATCGACACACCCGAAGCCAGCGTGGAGCGGACCACTTCCATGGCGTCGGTCACCTGGTTTGACCGTTTCGCAGTCCTACTAGACCTCTTTTGCATCCTAAAAGCAGCTATTCGGCCTACAATATCAGCAACGTTCAGGCAGCCGTCGCTTCTTGTCCACCCACGAAGATTGCAAGACGTGTTCTTTCAAAACGTCTGGGCCTTTACGAGCTTGGGCGCTGGACTCCATTAATTCATGAAGAGTTTGGGATTGAGGTGCAATGACATTCCATGTAAATTGTTGAGTACATCTAGATAGTAACAGAACAGGCTAGCTAGGATGGGATGGGCTGGGCAGGATAAGCGAATGCAGCTTACTTTGTCCTGGTCATACCCAAGCCCGCCTTGTCCTGTCCCAGCCCGCTCCATCCTGCCTCTTGCTTTGTTCTGGGTGCGCAACTCCATAAGTCGAATCAATTTTGTCCACCGTGGCCGCTCATAATTTGCTATACATTTACGCGTGGCTATTTATGGTATGGAATGTCCGACTCTGTTGGTGCAGACTATATGTCAGCCTCTACTTGTGTATTCCGTTTGATAAGAAAATATTTCACTTTCATCTATTATTTCTGCAGAATACGTGACTGCCCACCATCCCAAGTGTGCCAGCCAATCAAGGACCGTCCAGATCGACTCAAACTCGACCTCGACATGATGGCAGCGCTGAGAGCAGCAGTGAGGGTCAGAAGAGCGCCTATAATGGCTAGGACAATCTCCAGTAGCTCTTCTAGAGCGTCGGATGCACTATTTGTGGTGAGTGCGGCCGCGGACGACGGATGAGAGACAGCTCAGCTCGCTCGCAGCACCGAGATACACCGTACAACAACTCTTCGGTAAATATAAACTTCTTTATACCAGATACGGTGCAGCTGAACACGCATTTAGATCCCCTTTTCGTTTACACCTGAAAACATGAAAAAGGCAGAGGAGATTATATCACATTATCCGCCCCAGTACAAGAAGGCTGCCATTATTCCTCTTCTCGACCTTGGTCAGCGCCAAAACAAGGGCTGGACGAGCATTAGCGTCATGAACTATGTTGCAAAGCTAGTCGAAGTCCCGCCAATGCGTGTCTACGAAGTGGCGACCTTTTATACCATGTTCAACAGGTACGCTATATGTAGATGAAACGAACGGGTGCTAATACCGATTGCCATGTGCAGGGAACCTATTGGCCAAAACTTTGTACAAGTTTGCACGACCACTCCGTGCATGCTCCGCGGAGCCTATGATATTTTGGAGACCGTACAGAGCCATCTTGGAGGGATCCATGTCGGAGATACAACAAAGGATGGAAAGTTTACACTCGTTGAGGTCGAGTGTCTGGGTGCATGCAGCAATGCGCCGATGATGGCTGTCAACGATGACTTCTACGTACGTGCTTGGCTGTAGACTTGGTTCGAGTGCTAACGGTAGGACAGGAGGACCTCACACCCGAGACCACCAAGAAGGTGCTCGACGTTTTCGCAAAGGGCTCGATACCAAAGCCAGGTCCACAGAGCGGACGACAAACGAGCGAAAACTCTGCTGGTCTGACTGCACTTACATCAAAGGTTTGTCTATATCAATCAGAACAAGGCCTACGCTCAGCCCCTTATAGCCTTATGGTCCTGGCGAACATTGCACGCCCGAGTTTCAGTAATGGCTTTGTATGTATCGTATCAGCAGTTTATATATCAGCAGCGTTGCACCAAGGGAAAGAATTACAAGTCAAAGTCGGAGTCAGAATCGTCACCCTTCTTTTCGCTGGACCGTATTTTGGAAGTGGGCTTGTCGCTTTCTTCCTCGTCGTCTCGTCTGTTGGCGACTTGGGACGCTGAGTAAACTGGGTGGGATCGAGGATGCCATGGTGTATTAGAACTGCCTCCAATTCTGGAACGCGGTGAGACTCTCTTCTTGCTGCGTTTCACCACCGTACCTTGTATCGAACCCTCAGTCTTTGCACCCCAAGCGACTAGCTGTTCCTTGATAGTCCCTCCACGGTAAAGTATCAAGGTGGGTAGCATGCTATCAGGATAGTTTGGTATGCACTTGTTCCCGACAATTGCAGTAAACTTTGTGCGAGGATATCGAGAGGCAAGATCTCGTAGCTGTGCAGTCAAGCGTACACTCGGTGGGTGGACACTTTGGACAGTCAGGGCTTAGCAACTCGATAACGGTATTCGCTTACCCTTCCTTGTACAAGAAGCATACAACACCTGTTCCACTTCCTGGCTCTTTCCCGGGCTCATCGACTTTACTCGCATCTGCCACTTCGCGCGTATAATCGTCTCGCGAGATGGGCAGCAGATCTCCAAATCGATGCAGTTTTTGCTCTTTCTTCATCTCCTTTAAACGTTTCTCGCGATATGCAAGCATTATCCTCTCCGTCTCGGAATCATTCCCGTCTTGGAGGAGCTCGTCAATCTCGTCTGTCGTCTTCTCATCGAGTTTGGCGACGAGAGATGGAGATGGGGGAGGTGAAGGTGTAGGTGTTCTCTCTTTTTTTGCTGGTAGGATCCCGTACTTTCTGAGCGCGTCATTGCTGAAGTGATTTCAGTGCTGGGTACAATTCTAGACCACCAGACTTACAACTCGGTATCTTCGTTGGGATCCATGTTGATATCGAATAATTAGGACTCTTTGCTCGTTTATAAAGATTTTCGTTGCGCAGCAAAGTAGACTGGGCCGCAGTGGCTCGAGTGGCTTGGGCAGCTGTGGGCAGCTGTGGGCGCTTCCAAGTTTTGGATCCGACTCCCGCCTGACCTCTTAGGGGCTCGATTCCGGGGAGCCTGGCGAGATACAGTTTATATAACCCGGTTCGCTTTGTAGATGTCTGTACAACCACCTCAAGCCCACAATGTCTGATCCCGGCGTTGGCGACAGCCTAGGGGCGCGATTATACCAGGAAGAGTTGGCCCGACATGCTAGGGATCAAAACGCCATCATCGCTGCAGACACTGGGACAGGAAAGACTCTGATCTCTGCCATGGTCATCAGATGGAAGATGATTATGGAGAACATGGCCCGCATTGGACCACTGACATTGGAAAATAGAAAGGCACGTAGGAAAAGGACATGGGGATTGGAATGTTTAACTTCTTCTAGGTTGCTCTCTTTCTTGTTCCCAAGGTGCCACTAGTCGACCAGCAAAGAGCGTTCCTTGAGGAAAATACGCCGTTCAAAGTTCGCGGCTACAGCGGCGCGATGGGCGTCGATTACTGGGACAAGACAGCCTGGACGAAAGAGTTTATGGGAGTCGACATTCTCGTCATGACTCGTATGTGGGGTTTCATTCAACGAAGCTAAACTCTGACAAACACCAAAGCGCAAATATTCCTCAACATCCTCAGACATGCCCATTGGAGTATCGATCGGGTTGGTTTATTGGTTTCTGTGCTACTATATTCTGATTTTTGGCAGGTCTCCATCATCGTGTTTGACGAGATACACAACTGCAAAGGGGTACGAAACCTTTGGTCTTTATTGAAACAGTCTCATATACGTACAGAAATCCCCCGAGGCTCTGATCATGATGGAGCACTATCACACAATCCCCAACGGCTTACCTCGTCCAAAGATTCTTGGACTCACCGCCAGCCCCATCTTCAATCCCAAGAAACCTGTCGCTGCTTTGGCTGAAATCGAAAAGCTCACAGACTGCAAGGTGTATGTAGTCAAGGCCCACACGGAAGACCTTGCCAAGCATACCTTTCAAGCTGAAGACATGATCGTCGATTATCCTCCCACTCCCTCCATCTTCCCTCGCTATCCAGTAGTATCGCTCTGGGTTGAGCTCACAATGACAAGGCTCCTCCCCGACTTTACTTTGTTTCCGGGAAAGCCTAAAGACACGATGAGCGGCAACCGAGGTGGCCCCTGGTTTACAACCCTCGAGAATCGGTACAACACCACCCGTAAAGCTCTCGGCCCGTTCGGCGCAGATCTCTTCGTTTATGTTCACGTGTTCACAGCACTGGAGACGATAAAAAAAGATCTCCTTCCGATCTTCACAGATAGACCGGATCCAGATGCAGAGAAACGAAGCCATTTAGATGATCTCTATGAGATTCTTGCGAAGCACGAACACCGGCTCTTGACTAGTCACGAACTGCTTTCAGAAGAGTGGCTCTCCCCGAAACTACTACGCTTGCGAGAGCTACTCCTTAAACAGGACAGTACCTCGTTCCGCGGCATCATCTTCACATACGAACGTCAGATTGCCACCACGCTTTCTCTCATGTTCCCGCGACTCGGCATCCCAGGTGTTCGTGCAGGCCCTATTGTCGGTCATGGCTTACACGCTTGCTCCGTGCCCGAAATTTTGGGCATGAAGGGTATGCCCTTCAAAACACAGGATAAAGTCGTGGCGGACTTCCGCATGGGAGGGCTCAATCTGATCATTGCAACATCTGTGGCAGAGGAAGGTCTGGATTTTCCTCTGTGTTCTTTTGTTTGCAGGTTTGATCCGCCGAGGACTTTGCCTCAGTACATCCAGAGCCGAGGTCGTGCTAGGATGGCTGGATCGACTTTCGTCATCATGCTCGAAGAGGGACCATCTAAGGAGCGAGAAACAGTGGAAGCTCTCCAAGTTGGGGAAATCCGCGCCAAGACAATGTATGGGAGCAACATGGATCGAGAGGACGACGAAGTCGAGTTGGATGAGAATACCCCCAAGGATGATGGACTGGAAGGTCGATTCATCGTAGAGAAGACAGGCGCCTCACTAACTCCTGCGGGCTCCATTTCCCTCCTCAACAACCTCTGTTCACTTATTCCCCGTGACGATCATACACGGTCACTACAGCCAGTCTACGAAACTGATCCGGTAACATTTCGGACCATAAATCGACTGCCGCCAGCGTTACCCATACCCCGCGAAGATCTCCTGTTCGTCTCTGACCCATTCTGTCGCACCAAAAAGGCGGCCAAGCGCAACGCTGCTTTCAAGGCAGTGCTTAGGCTCTACGAACTAGGGGTCTTTGACGACTTCCTCTTACCTATACGGCGCGAAAAAGGCGATACGGCGGAGGACATCGACGGGAAGCCACCGGTCGATGTGACGGGGATAGTTCCCATGATGGATGTCCTCGTGCATGATCCATGGGGTGATATGTGGAGAGAAAGCTCCCCTATATATGTCCACCAACTCGCCCTCTCAGACCGGAAAGGCAGAATGGGGCTAGTCTGCGGGAACCGCCTAATGCCCTTCGATGGCTACATGACGGCTCTCAAACAAGAAGTACATGTGAGATTGGAGAAGGGAGTGATGCTGGAACTGGAACCAGAGGTCAGGCAGCAACAACTGGCTCTCATGGACTCGTTCATGAAGATTGGGATCAAGGCAGCAATTACCCGTCGAGGGTTGACCAATCGATCAGCAGTATTTCTTGTCCCTCTGGACTCGTCCGGGCAGCCTGATTGGGACGAGATCGAGCACTGCGTATACACCCCTTCTTCCACCGATTGGAGGGCGGTAGACTTGTCCGGTAAATCTGATGTTTTCGTCTCTTTACTGAGTCAAGGCGGCATCTCGAAGTTTGTTGCGTGTCGGCCAGACTTGAATGTCACCGAATGCATCGAGGCAGATGCACACCTGGCAAAATACGTCGCTTCTTTAGCCAAGTTTGGGCGAACGATATCAGAGGACGATACCGTCCTTCAATGTCGACCAATATTCTCAATAACCTCGACAGAGTTCCGGGACCCAGCGCGTCAAAAGCCTGGAATACTTTCTGACACAGACGTGTTCATACCCCAATCGGTCTGTCAGTGGCTAAACCTCGATGAAGATCGATTGCGGTGGTTCTCCTCATTACCGCCTCTATTCCATCTCCTCTCGAGCGTCTATCGTGCAAGGTTGTTGCATTCCCGTCTTGGTGTCCCGGAATTGGATCTTGATCGGACTATCGAAGCACTTACTATACCACAAGCGTGTGCGAGCTTCAATAATCAACGCTTGGAGACGCTCGGCGACTCCTTCCTCAAAGTTGCCACCACGATCCACGTTCTAAACAAGTTCCCTCACAAGCACGAAGGACAGCTCACCTCGCTTCGACAAAACTCGGTATGCAATCGCTATCTGCTGGGAAGAGGTCACGCTCAGAACCTCGTGAGCTTCATGAACATCGAGCCCAACTCGCAAAGTCGCTGGAGGATCACGCCAGTGTCTACCAAATACATCAACAGTAGATCATTTGTCGAGAGAGTGATCCCGCGTCGGAGTGTACAGGATTGTATGGAGGCGCTGCTCGGTGTCGCTTGGCTCTCTGGAGGTGACAAAGCCGGGCTAAGGGTTGGTACCAGGCTTGGATTGTGTTTTGGTGGCACGGTGCCTTGGGCGGAGAGGTATCCAAAGGTTGAGCTGGCTTTTAGCAGTTCATCTCCTTTCCCACCCCTCGAGGAGAACCTTGGTTATACCTTCAAGGATAAATCTCTTCTCGTGGAAGCGCTCACTCATCCGTCGTTTGTGAGCGGAAGTGCGTCGTACCAGCGACTAGAGTTCCTGGGAGATGGTAAGCAGCTTATCACCTGATAAACTCTTGTTCACTCTTAGTTAGCTGTACTTGATTTGGTTACAGTGGAGCACTTCTTCCACCTGTATCCCAATGCTACCTCTGGCAAGCTAACGAGGGCGCGTGCCCGCTGCGTCTGTAACTCAACACTCTCAGCACTTGGTACCAAGAAATTGGAGATACACAAGGCCATGTTTTGTGATGCCATCTCGTTGGTAGCCGCCGCCAACAAGACTGCGCGCATGTTCAATTCTATGGACTTTACCCAGGTAATCGACAATATCTGGAGACTCGACGCACCAAAGGCCCTCGGTGACATGGTCGAAGCACTGATTGGTGCGGTATTCGTTGACTCCGGGTGGAATTACAACATTGTGAAGGATGTCGTTATCCGCCTATTCAAGGAGGTTCTTGACTATATTCATCCGGATATGCCGCTTGACCCAACTAGTGAGTTCATGATCTGGGTCGCCAAGCACGGATGTACCCAGGCGAGATATAGGTAAGGACAGTGTCATAAATCAATAAATTGCTCATTTTATATCGACAGGAAAGCGTCTTCAAGTGAAAAGGTTGAGCCCTGGAAGGATCAGGTGTTCGTTACAATCCACGGCATTGATGTGGGTCCGCCAGGGAGCATCCAGCCAAAGACATCTCCGGTACTCGCGCGTGCCGAAGCCTCTGTGAGTGCCAGAAAGCTGCTGGAGGATCCGATGTCAGAGTTCTTCTTCGAAAAGCTGTGCACCTGCTCAGCAGAGGAGAAGAAGCAGGGTGCCGAAGTCTATCAAGCTGCCGTGGATGTCGTGACCGATGAGGGTGATCTCAACCCGGAGACAGTTGAGGGCTTCGCGATATCTGCACAGGATCAGCTGCTCAGAGAGTACGTTGCTCCCACCGTTACCACTGAAGATCAGGAGGAGAGAACGGAGTGGGTGCATGCTATACTGTGAACTCATTTATATTACAAGAATAGTTTGGCATAACATTGTTTCGCTCTCTTACTATTGAGCCTGGCCGGGAGCTCTATGCCATTCAAAGGCTTCTTCTGTTGCCATCACTCTTGTTCCCCACCACGTCCAGTTCAACTTCTAAAATGGCCCCCAAACGTAAAGCTGAAGATGTTCAGCCTGAAGGCGTTCCAGAGGGGCGCCCAAAGCGTGCTGCGAAGTCTGCCAAGGTCGCTGCCCATGACGACAACGAGAAAAAGCCAGCCAAAGCAAAGCGTGGAGCAGCAAAGACAAAGAAGGAGGTTAGTGAACTTGCTTTCGTGACCCCCAAGTCCCTTTATACTGGTTGTTATTCACCCTCGTTTCGCCATCCAGCCCATTCCTACACAAGACGAGTTCAAGGAGGCAGCCCTTCCTCTCCATGTCAATATTATGCACACTCCTCCTCCGATTGATCAAGTTGCTGCTGCCAATCAAGACCCAGGCTTCCTTTCGCACATTGCGCTGACGCCAACGGTCTTCAATACACGCAGCTATGGCTGGAAGGGCTCTAAGAAACTGTTGGTTGAACTGGAGAATTCAACTGGGCCAGAGAAGACCAAAGTCTGGGTGCAGTTGAACATCAACGCGGTGAGTAGGAACCCTAGTTGCTCTGTTCGAGTCTAATCTTTTCCTAGACTGTCGTTGGCAGTAAGCCGTCAGATGATGAAGAAAAGGATGCGGAGGAACAGGCTGAGCCTGCGACAACGGAAGCTGATTGAATAATGAAGCTTGATCTAAGAGAGCAAACTCTGAATATGCTGAATAATTTGCGGCTTGTAATTTGGAAGGCGAATAATATCCGTGCCACCAAACCTGAACTCTGCCGCTTCAGCCAAGTCATCCCACAACTCGATGGACCCCCAAGTAAATGTCGTCTGTGGCGAGTGAGGGAGGACCTGTTCTAATCTGGAAATGGTTTCATAGGGATTGACCGCCTATCCTCCCCTCTCCGTTATTGAACGGATCATCGTCAAGGAAAAGAGGGGAAACTGTGTACCAGTCTATGTAGAACTACCAGCGGACCTGCTTACGCCGTGCATGGCGTATCTCAAAATCGCAAAAGATTCCAAATACAGCTTTATTTTGGAGAGCGTTTTGGCAGGCGAGAATATCGCCCGATACAGTTTTATTGGTTCAGGTATGTACATTGGGTTGGCTGTATTCATTCTCGACTTGTCTAGATCCCTTCAAGGTTATCAGAACGGGCCCGGGGGACCTCGAGGGCGATCCTATGACCCATCTCCAACGTGAACTCAGTCACTACAAGTATGTCAAACTCCCAGAGGTTCCTTCTTTTACGGGTGAGTTCATGTTGAAGAGCTGGCCCTGGCCTGACTTTCAGTTAGGTGGCGCGGTGGGATATGTATCCTACGATTGCATTCAATACTTTGAGCCCAAAACGAAACGGCCTCTGGAAGATTCGATAAACATCCCAGAATCCCTGTTCATGCTTTGCGACCTTGTCGTGATCTACGACCACCTTTATCAGAACATCAAAGTTGTCTCGCATATCTTCTCTCCCACCGCGTCAACTGACCTTGCGAACCTATCTTTCATCTATTCGACTGCCGTCTCAAAATTGCGTCGCGTAGCAAAGCTGCTAGTCACGGGTCCGACGCCAACTGTCCCACAACCGCCTGTGACGCTCGGCGCAACAGCGACGTCGAATGTGGGCAAAGAAGGTTACGAAAGATTCGTCACCGAACTCAAGAAGAATATAATTGCTGGAGATATCATCCAAGCAGTCCCTTCCCAGCGATTATCTCGTCCAACTTCACTCCATCCGTTCAATGCATACAGACAGCTTAGGCAGGTCAACCCGAGCCCATACATGTATTACTTGGACTGCGGAGATTTTCAAATTGTCGGTGCAAGTCCGGAAACACTTTGCAAGGTGACTCAGAATAAGGTATACAACCACGCCATTGCCGGCACCACGCGCCGAGGAAAGACAGAAGCAGGTACGCATCTAGATATGTCTGCCATTTACAATCACTCATTTTGTGAACAGAGGACGCGGAGCTTGGCAAGGCGTTGCTTGCTTCGACAAAGGACCGAGCAGAGCATATCATGTTGGTCGACCTTGCTCGAAACGATGTCAATCGCGTCTGCGAACCTTCATCGGTCAAAGTTGATGAACTCATGGCCCTGCAAAAGTTTAGCCACGTCTTCCACTTGACAAGTACGATCACTGGGCAACTACGAGAAGATAAGACAAGGTCGAGTGATGCGCTTGAACCTATCTGATTGACTCATTGTTAGCAGATTTGATGCCTTCCGCTCTATCTTCCCTGCTGGGACGGTATCTGGGGCCCCAAAAATCAAGGCCATCGAACTAGTGTTTGACTTGGAGAAGGAGAAGAGAGGCGTGTACGCTGGAGCGGTGGGGCGCTGGGACTTTGCCAGTGATGAGATGGACACCGCGATTGCTATCCGAACAATGGTCTTCAAAGATGGCGTTGTGTACTTTCAAGCCGGCGGAGGAATCGTCTACGATAGTGTCGAAGAGGAGGAATACATCGAGACAATCAACAAACTCGGTGCCAATGTCAAAGCAATTGACGAGGCTGAGAGTGAGTATGCGTCGCTACACTACATATACTTATAATTTTGCAGAATTTCATTACACCCAGCAACGTGCAACAAAGCAGAAGAGCTTACCGTGATTAGGCACGATTCGCCATGGGGGATACCAATGTAAAAGAAGTAACGGGTATTCCTCGAGATTAATGTCTGGTGCTCTTGTACATCTTCGCCTTTGATTCGAAACCAGACTCCTACCAGCTCTTCATCCGCTTCCCATTCGCGGGGTAGAGTGCAGCACTGTTCCTGGGTTCTTAGTTAAGTCATTGTTGAACCGCACTTCAACCCACTTTCATTGAGTATTGTCGTATCTTTACTCCCCGCAGGCCAGTACTGGCCAACCTGCGAGACTCGAAAAGCCTGCTGTCACCTTTCCTCTCCGAGTATCGTTCACAATACAGGAAATGATGGTCACATTTGACCTCGATTTTTCCTGGATTGCAAACATTTAAAAGTGTATCTCCGATCGACCAGCCACTTGGGGGACCTGCACATGTCTTTCCATCAAATACTCTCCAAAGCATATTTAAAAAAGAGATACCAATAAATTATTTTTAGTCTATTCGTGTATATGAAAGAGTTGTGGGGCATATTCAAATGTGGCCTTGGGCAGTTCTACCATTTAGACAGTGGAAAACCAATTTATGTTGCACTTACACAAGGAGCACCATCAGTGGCATTTGAATGAAGATCCTAAAGAAATTTGGGACTTTTGATACCTCCACACGCAAGGGGCCTTTCGCAGGTAGGTCTAGGTGACAACCAGATTGTAGGAGCAGGAATTTCTGCACGCATGAATTTCCTCCATTCACGATATTCGGTTATATCCTCTACCAACGTGAGACTTTGGCTGTGCTCGAAGCACAAAGCCAACATAATATTTTGATCACCTCGAGGCTTCACAAAGCCTCCACGAGTAAACAAAGGGTCATTCCTGAGCATCTTGACATAAAGCGACGTACGATACATCCGCACACGGATTTTCCAGCGCACGCCATTGTATTAACAGTAAAGAATAACAAGGGTCTGTGTTTCCATTCGAACTATGGTCTCCATAGACTGTATCATGCCAGAGGTGGGATAGTGCCGAAAGGGGTACAGCGAACCAGCAAGCGATTCGCAAAGAGAGAGTGAGTATGCATTGCTACATTGCACGCGCTTATAGCCCCAGGGTTTCATAGCGGCAACAAAGCAGAAGAGTTTACCGCGAGTAACTGGGCAACATTCATCATTAGGATGGAATACCAAAGCCAGAGAAGACGCGAAAAAATAAAAAGACATCATTCTAGGTTAAGCTTGGTCACCTTTTACATCTTCAGCCTCGCCATCCGAGTCCTCCGACAACTCGTCCTCTTCGACATCAAGACCGACTGGGTCTTCGAGCGAATCCACTGGTCTATCCCTCCACTTTATTCCCTTTATAAAACGTGAGCGAGGTTTGAAAAAATAATACTTGGGACTGTACCTGCTGTCCGGCCAGACTAAGGACTCCAGCGACAATTTCAGCTGTTCGTACGCTTTCGTCATTGGCAGGGATAGAGTACATTACTATTCGCGGGTCTGCATTTGAGTCGGTGATGCCGATTGTCGGAATATGCTCAATAGCACATTCACGGATGGCATGGAGATTGCTGAGAGGGTTGAGGAAGATGACACAGTCAGGTTTCAGCTTCTGACTTCGTGCTACTTCTGTTCCGAATAGACCCATGCGATTAGTGAGCGTTCCAGGGAGCCATCTTTCTCCGACATGAAATCCGTTTGCTCCGAGTCGACCAGCAGCTTTTGCGACGATTGGTCGGAGTGATGGGGTTGTACCAACGAATAGAATCATTCCGTCGTTTTGTGCAATAGCCCTGACGACGTTTGCAGCACGTCGAAGCATCGGCAACGTCTGCTCGAGGTCGATAATGGTGACGCCAGCACGTGTTCCGTAAGCATATGGAAGAAATGACGGGAACATGAGAGAGTGAAAGTGCCCAATATGCGCCCCAGCTGCGACGAGCGCAGAGAGTGTGAGGCTTTCCGACGACTCTGGTCTGTTGAGACCGTGGTGAGGCTGATAGGTGTTATTACGGTTCTGGGTTGATCCAAGTTTTGAGAAATACTCTACTATTAGCGCCATTTTAGCGTCGTTTGTCAAGTTGCACGACTTTCGACTCACAAACTGCAGCTCGCCGTTGTCTAGCTCGCAGCATTCGCTGCCAATCCCATGAAGGTTTCCCGGTAGATGTTGATACATTCTTTTCTGCTAGCATCATGGCTTCCTGGGCTGCCTGGCTGGCTTCGACCTCTACAGACGGCAAAGTCGTGGATTTAGAGGCAAAACAACGAGCATGTTTCGCTGTTTTATGCTGTTGAGAAAGGATCTTGAGCAGCGTCTTGCCTGCCCGTGAGGATTCCATGGGCGACTGCTAGCCAAACGAAGGTTCAAACTTTCCTCACCACCTCTACCACGCAAAAAGGCTTCGCCAGCCGTTTTACTCCTCTAAAACACCTTAAAACTTGTTTCTTGTTTCTAGATTTCTAAACAGAACATGTCTGAGGAGGATATTTTCGAGGGCAAGTGACCACGCCGCTCTTCGCGCTCCCCACTGAGCAATCTGCCCACAGGAGCCGTCGGTATCGATTTGGGCACGACCTACTCGTATGTATCATGCTCTTTACAAGTTTTTCTGTACGTGGATTGATTTTCTGCGCAGTTGTGTCGGTGTCTGGCAAAACGACCGCGTCGAGATTATCGCAAACGATCGTGAGTGCTATCTTTGGCGTGTGTTTGGGAGTACGATGCTCATCAATTTGGTGTAAATTTAGAGGGAAACCGGACAACTCCTTCCTATGTCGCGTTTTCATCCGAGGAGCGTCTCATCGGGGATGCCGCAAAAAATCAGGCTGCCATGAATCCCAAGAACAGTACGTGGATACACTGGTTCTAAGCTTGCACATCTAAAATCTACATTGTCTAGCCGTTTTCGATGCCAAGCGTCTGATTGGTCGTCGCTTTGAGTGCGTGCCACCCACTGATCAATAACCATATGCTGACTGGCTACTAGTGACCCCGAAGTCAAAAAAGTGAGACTCACAAAAATAAAAGCTCACTAATGTTTCTAACCGCGATCTCCTAGGATATGACCCACTGGCCATTCACCGTGGTTGACAAGGATGGATCACCCTTTATTCAGGTCCAGTACCTCGGAGAGGAGAAAGTGTTCAGTCCCCAGGAAATTTCTGCAATGGTCCTCAGCAAGATGAAGGAAATCTCCGAGGCCAAGCTCGGCAAGACGGTCAAGAAGGCGGTCGTAACGTGAGTGGCTTCATCAGTCCCTCCCTGTCAACTCATTGATGAATCTCCAGTGTCCCAGCCTACTTCAACGACTCGCAGCGCCTTGCCACTAAGGATGCCGGTGCTATTGCTGGCCTTGATGTCCTCCGTATCATCAACGAGCCCACTGCTGCGGCCATTGCCTACGGCCTCGACCAGCAATCCAAGACGGAGAAGAACGTCTTGATCTTCGATCTCGGTGGAGGAACCTTCGATGTCTCCCTTCTTAACATCACTGGTGGTGTTTTCGCCGTCAAGGCCACCGCCGGTGATACTCACCTTGGTGGTGAGGACTTTGACAACACTCTTTTGGAGCACTTTAAAAACGAGTTCAAGAAGAAGACCAAGCTCGACATTTCAGACGACGCCCGTGCCCTCCGACGCCTTCGTTCGGCCTGCGAGCGTGCGAAGAGAACGCTTTCCAGCGTCGCTCAGACGACTGTCGAGGTCGACTCGCTCTACCAGGGTGAGGACTTCTCTGCCAACATCTCTCGTGCCCGCTTCGAGGAGATCAACGCGGCCATGTTCAAATCGACCTTGGATCCCGTCGAGCGTGTGCTCAAGGATGCCAAGATGGCCCGCGAAAAGGTGGATGATATCGTCCTCGTCGGTGGATCTACCCGTATCCCGAAGATTCAGTCCCTTGTCAGCGAATATTTCGGTGGCCGTCAGTTGAACAAGTCGATCAACCCTGACGAAGCTGTTGCCTATGGCGCTGCCGTCCAGGCCGCAATTCTGACCGGCCAGACCAACGAGAAGACGCAGGTCCTCCTCTTGGATGTCGCTCCTCTTTCTCTTGGTGTCGCCATGCAAGGAGATGTTTTCGGTATCGTCGTCCCGCGAAACACCACCATCCCAACCATGAAATCACGAACCTTTACGACTGTAGAAGACAACCAGACCACTGTCACATTCCCAGTGTAAGCGTCTTTTTTACTCGTGTCATACTTCTCCTGCTTATTGCGGCTTCTAGGTACGAGGGTGAACGAACGCAATGCAAAGACAACCGTCTCCTTGGAGAGTTTGAGCTTAACGGCATCCCACCAATGCCCAGGGGTCAAGCCGAGCTCGTCACCACCTTTGAGATTGACGCCAACGGTCTGCTCAAGGTGTCTGCCATGGACCGTGCATCTGGCCGCAAGGCATCGATCAGTACGTAGAACAAGGAGCTGGGAGAGGATTCCTACTGACAATATCTAGGCATCACCAACTCTGTCGGACGTCTGTCGTCGGCTGAGATTGACCAAATGATCAAGGATGCGGAGCAATTCAAGCAGGCTGACAAAGAGTTCTCCGCACGACACGACGCCAAGGCCGACCTCGAGGCGTACATTCACCAAGTCGAGGGCACGATCAGCTCGCCCGAGATTGGCATGAAGCTGAAGCGAGGAGCAAAAGCCCAAGTCGAGTCTGAGCTTGCCAAAGCTCTGGAGAAGCTCTCGATTGAGGATTCGACGGCGGACGAGCTTAAGAAGGCTCAACTTGGCATCAAGCGTGCCCTCCAAAAGGCCACTGCTGGCATGCGATAGACTCCCGGCCGTGTAGACTGTAGTTTCTAATGAATCGGAAGTCAATTTCGCGTCTAAAGCTTGTTGAGACTCGCTGTATAGCCGGTTCGAGTTTGAGACAAAGGACCAACAAAGGCACGCGTTTTAGACCCAAACCTCGTGAGGCCCCAATCTCAATGCCACGACGCAAACGCGGCGATAGTTCAGACGACGATAGCAATTTCGATGAAGATGAACTTTACGACGACAATGAAGAAGATAAGCCTTACTTTCCCAAAAATGCGCTCAAACCTCCGAATTCGACCACATATAGCGTCGAGCTGCTATGGGGTACGCGTCTCTATGTTTTGTCTCTGTGTTCTTGCTTGTAACAGGAGAGCTAATGTTCGTGTTTAGCTTTGATGGACGCCAACGACATCGATTTAGAGCCAGAATATCAGCGAGGTATGATTCTGTGACCCGCTTTGTCACTTGATTCAGCTTGGAGACTTGTTTGAGTCTGATTTCTCAAAGGATTCGTCTGGACGGAGCCGAAACAAGTGGCCTTGATCGATTCTCTTATGCTTAACTACTATGTCCCACCCATCATCTTCCGTACTATTCCTGGAAGTCACGATTCGAATGACAAGATGATATGCATAGGTGAGGCAGGTCGATTGAAGCTGCGTAGGCCTAACGCGCATTGGTCAGATGGAAAGCAACGTCTAACGTCGATAAAACGGTAAGATAACACTCTTCTTTGCGTTGGTGGTAATAACCAGGCCTTTGTCAGCTTCCTTGACGGCGAGGTTCGTCAGCTCTCTGAGTATTTATCCAGTTCTGATCTAGGTATATTGCCTTAGATTTATCGTGAGTATTTTTTTCCCCTCTGCAATGGATCTAATCTGTTTCAGACAGGGATAAGTACGTTTGGAAGCTGTAGTACTTTCATTGTCTGATCGTACTCTGAAGTATGACTGGAATCCGGTACTGGAGCCCTCGACTGCAGAGAGACCACCGGAATTCTCGTGATAAGACTTTACCACATAATATTTATTCCCAATTCCTTCGGAAACAAAGTGAGTGAGGGCGACGTGAGGCGCTTTTACTTATGGTCTTTGTAGTTGTATGCGTAGAGTACAGGGAGCTAAATGAGCAACAAGAGCGCGAAATCTTTAATCGAGTCCAAATGGGTATGTGAATCCTGGTTTAGTAGACTCTTCTAATCTCTCTGGTTTAGGGATGCCATTGTCTGCCGCGGAAAAAATGTCTGCTATTCTAAGCGATCGAGCGTTATTCGTCCGAAATCTTCAAAAGAAACTCACAGACTGGCCGGCCAAGGTCAAAATGGCCGAGGATCGAAATCGGATGTTTCAGTCTGTGGGCCACATTGTCCGCGCTGTGGAGTCATATCCTAAATTGACATCAATCACCAACGTCTCATTGGATAAATGGCTGCGAGAGCCGGGAGATCCAGCACCCGACTGGTCTCGAGCAGGATATTGACCTCTTGATCACGCTTGCTCAGGAATATAGTGAGGTCGCGTTTCCCACCTCCATCGCCGTCAAACTTGCACCCATCGAATTCATCTTTTCCGCACTCATCGTTGATCGGTTCAAAAGTGCACTCGACCTTTCCCAGCTTGCTAGAGCGATCAGCGATACCCGGAGAGAAATACGAGATCAGCATGAGGATATCCGGAGTAACAATCGTGTGGTGGCCTCTTTTCAACAGTACATCTCTGGAGAGCTTGAACGTCGGGTCAAGACTGGAGTGTACTCAAAAGCTGGTCTTACTACGCCTTTGGTCAAGCGCAAGCGTTCCGTAGCGCAAGTTGACGACGGAGAGCCAGCTGACATGGACCTGGATAGTGCCGCGCAGCCGGCGTCTCGCAAGAAACGCGTCAACTTTGGCCATGGGGAGAGCATTGTAGCGCCACTCACACGACTCACTCCTGAAATTTCTCGACCTGTCATCACGCCGAGTTTGATACCCGTTGGAGGGAGCTCTGGAGTGAGAACGGTGGCACCCATGAAACCCTTTAATGCACAAGGCTCTTCGGAGGCATCGAAGAGATCCAATCATGGCTGGGGCTCTGATGGGCTCAATTCCCCCGCTGAAGAATTGCAGATTATAGGCGAGGCTCAACCTCTGAATGCTTTAGTATCTTGTACCGATAACCCCTGTGCATATGTCCACCACCGCTTTGTTCCTTTCCTTCACATATGAATCAAATCCAGAGTCAACATGGCCGGATACCTGAACCCTAGCTAAGCTCTCGCCAGATGAAGTTCAGGTGATGTTTGCACTAGTCCACTTAGTTGCTGTACAGAGCTCGGAGTGTATTATTTCCTTATAGCTCCTTTAACCTCTATCTACTATATTTCTTGTCTATTTATTGTTGACCTGTACGCGTATGCCGCATGCGTCGTCGGCGATTGAATTGGACCAAAGCCACGTCAAAGTTTTGAACCCGAACGACCTTGGGCGACGCGTACATAATTCTGCAAATAATATGGAAGCTGCCTGGACTTGCAGCTCGGAGCAAGTTCTTCAGCATTTTGGTGTCAATCCAGCAGCGGGTCTTTCCCCCGAGCTTGTCAGCAAACACAGAGAGATCTACGGCCGCAATGGCAAGTCGTTCTCAGTCACAAACGCTGTTATTACTTTTGCTAACCGCCTTGATTTTATCCTACAGAACTTCCAGACGATCCCCCGACACCACTCTGGGAACTTATCCTAGAGCAATTCAAGGACCAACTAGTCCTCATCCTCCTCGCCTCAGCCGTCATCTCATTTGTCCTCGCTCTTTTAGAAGAAAACGATGGAAGCATTTGGACTGCGTTTGTCGAGCCAAGTGTCATCCTTTTGATCCTGATTGCCAATGCAACCGTCGGTGTGATCCAAGAAACAAAAGCAGAAAAGGCAATCGACGTAAGTCGCTCTGTAGACATGACCGGAATCTTGTTCCTCATCTCCTTGTTACCTTCTAGGCTCTCAAGGAGTATTCGCCCTCAGAAGCCAAAGTTCTCCGCTCCGGATTTTTTACTAAGCTCGACGCGACCGAACTCGTTCCAGGCGATATCGTCTCCATCTCCGTCGGAGATCGTGTACCGGCAGATTGCAGACTATTATCCATCTCGTCTAGCAGTTTTCGCGTCGACCAGGCCATCCTCACCGGAGAAAGCGAGAGCGTCAGCAAGTCGACCGACATTGTGCGCGACGAACGTGCCGTCAAGCAGGATATGACTAATATCGTGTTTTCTGGTACGACCGTCGTCAGTGGGAGGGCAACGGCTGTTGTTGTAAATGTGGGCACTCGAACCGCCATTGGCGACATCCATACGTCAATCTCGGATCAAATCAGCCAAAAGACACCCCTCAAACAAAAGTTGGACGACTTTGGAGACATGCTCGCAAAGGTCATTTCTGTAATTTGCATCCTCGTCTGGCTGGTCAACCTGCGCAATTTTTCTCATCCTTCACACCATGGAGTCTTGCGTGGTGCCATCTACTACTTCAAGATTGCCGTTGCGCTCGCTGTTGCTGCCATTCCAGAGGGTTTGGCTGCCGTGATTACTGCTTGCCTCGCCCTTGGGACGAAAAAGATGGCTCAGAAGAATGCAATCGTCCGTAACCTCCCTAGCGTCGAGACGCTCGGCTGCACGAACGTTATCTGCTCCGACAAGACCGGTACCCTGACCACCAACCAAATGAGTGTCAACCACGTGCGTGTTTTCGTCCCAACAAGAGACGCGTTTCCTCATCCGTTATAGATCGCCATCCTAACTGCACAAAACGCAATCGCAGAGTATACAGTCGAAGGGACAACATTTGGCCCACAAGGCAATATTCTCGATGCCAACGGCAAAAAGCATACGCTTACTGAGCCCTTTGTTCGAACTGCTGAGATTTCGTCTATTTGCAACGACTCGAAGATTGTCTACAATTCGGTAAGTTTCCTTGGAATTCTATTCTAAATTCTGACCCTAGGCAGGAGAAGGACCTGTACCAGAATGTCGGAGAGCCCACAGAGGCAGCTCTCAAAGTCCTCGTCGAAAAGATTGGCAATTCTTGCCCACACCTTACTCAATCACTCGCTACCTTGGACGCCCCACGTCGGGCCTCGGCTGTCAGCGACAAGTACGAGGCTGATATCAAGCGCTTACTCACTTTCGAGTTTTCAAGAGATCGGAAGATGATGTCGGTCCTCGTCAAGCGTACCAACGGTAGCGGCGGTCTGTTTGTCAAGGGTGCTCCCGAATCGGTCTTGGAGCGATGCTCCTCAGTCCTTGTGGATGGAGGCATTATCCCAATGTCCCCAGTTCACCGTAGACTCGTCCTGGATCGCTTGGCCGACTACAGTCAACGAGGGCTACGAACACTCGCCTTGGCCTATGCAGATAAGACGGACTTGGACGCGTCTCATTATTCTTCCAAGTCTACCTCCGATTACTCTCGATTCGAACAAAAGCTCACATTCGTTTCGCTTGTCGGAATGTTGGACCCCCCGCGACCAGAGGTTCGAGACGCAGTTGCAAAATGCAAAGCGGCGGGGATCCGCGTCATTTGCATCACGGGTGACAACAAGGGCACTGCGGAAGCAATCTGTCGGCAGATTGGCATCCTAGAACCAAAGGAGAGTACAGCGGGAAAGAGCTACACAGGTCGAGAATTTGATGAGCTCAGTTTGGAACAAAAGCTCGAGGCTATCAAAGTCGCCAACGTCTTTAGCAGGACAGAGCCTACCCACAAATCTCAACTGGTTGATTTGCTCCAGCAGCAAGGACTGGTTGTCGCCATGGTATGCATTATAAAGCTCTTGTAATGTCCAACTGATTCAAACTTTGCTGTAGACTGGCGACGGTGTAAACGATGCACCTGCCTTGAAGAAGGCAGACATCGGTGTAGCTATGGGTAGTGGAACGGATGTCGCCAAGCTCGCTGCCGATATGGTCCTTGCTGACTCCAACTTTGCCACGATCGAGGGAGCCGTGGAGGAGGGACGTTTGATTTATAACAACACCAAGCAATTTATTCGCTATCTTAGTAAGTGTCAACTTGTCTTCCACCCGACTTATCTCACCTCTATCTAGTCTCCTCCAATATCGGCGAGGTCGTCAGGTATGCAGTAGTGCTCGATGTCTAAAACTTCCGGCTCATTCTTCCATAGCATCTTTTTGACCGTCGTTCTTGGCATGCCCGAGGCGTTAATTCCGGTTCAACTCCTCTGGGTCAACTTGGTGACTGACAGTCTGCCGGCAACCGCTTTGGGCTTCAATCCCGCCGATCATTACATCATGAAAGTGCCACCACGAGACAGTAGAGAACCGCTGGTTGGCAAATGGCTATTCTTCCGGTACATGGTCATTGGAACATATGTCGGATGTGCGACCGTCTTTGGATATGCTTGGTGGTTCATATTCTACGAGGGTGGTCCGCAAATCTCATGGTATCAACTCGTCGGTCATCTCATTCGCAGTATCTTTCCCCAAACTCACACCTTCTAGACTCATTTCCATAGCTGCGCTTCGCAGTTCCCAGAGATTGGCTGCTCAATGTTTACTAATGAACTATCCAAGACAGCCACCACGATGAGTCTATCCATCCTCGTGGTGGTCGAAATGTTCAACGCGATGAACTCGCTTTCGGAAAACGAGAGCTTGCTTGTCCTACCTGTGTGGAAGAATATGTTCCTCGTCGCTGCTATTACCCTCAGCATGCTACTTCACATCGGGATACTGTACATCCCATTCTTCACCGTACGTTTCTTGCTTCTTATATTGAGCTTTACTCAATCCGGAATAGAATTTGTTTGCTATCACACCGTTGAACTGGACGGAGTGGAAGGCCGTTTTACTTATTAGCGCTCCCGTCCTATTCATCGACGAGAGCCTCAAGTTCACCACAGTATGCTATTTTCTTGGTTGCCGTGTTCTTTTTTACTAACAGGATTGCAGAGGATGTTGGGTAAGCTCTAATTCAGTCGAATTCGCAAGATATTGTATTAAACAATCACAGGTCTATAAGCCACACTATAGTAGTAAATATACATGATTGACGATCGCTATATGGGTGCGACAATCTACGATGAGGGTGAGCCTGAGGCGGTCAAGCAGACCGCACGAACGACGCTGAGGGCGGCATCGTTAGCTAAGAAAGGAAGGTTGATAGTGAACAGCACGTCGCTTCGGTCACTGTTGAGATAGACTGGAAGGTTGACCTGGATCTGGTCCTCGCCTGTCTTGTTCTCATCGCCAGCATGCACCCATCGTAGCTGCGAACTGCTAATAGGAATAGATTCGCCATCATTGATGGCAAGATGACGGCCTTTCCATTCAGCTCCCTCGATAACTAGACCTGTTGGGCGAGTCAAAAAGATTCATATGATTATTCGTGTCGCTCACCCTCGACGGAGAATGCAGTAGGATCCCCTGCCTGTTCCACATCTAGACGAAGGTCCAAGGTTTCAAGAGACCAAGACATACGGTGCGCGACGGCTTGTCTTGTCGCAGTGATATAGGCTTCAGGGAAGAAGAGGCCACCGAGCCAAACACTAAGACCGGAGAATGAACTGAGTTGCGCAACCTTCTCCAACTGCGCAAGTCGCTGGCTAAAGTTGGGGATCCACCCTGCTACGGCCATAGCCTTGGGGACCTTGTATTGTTTCCAATTTGTCGGTATCGTACCTTGACAGAGTTAGTATGAATGCATCCGTAACAAAGAAGCCAGACCTTTTGCCAATTGGCTCATCAGACTTCGCAAGTGATTTGTTTGTTTGAGCTGCCCTTGACAAACGAGAATAAGATCGTCGAGATCTTTTCTGACCCGTTGCAATAATTTGGTTCCGACAATTGCCTCCCGCATGAAGAATCGATACAGCGGATCTTGACTGTCCGAAGACTGGCGCGGAAGTTTTGTCACATGCTGGAGCGAATGTGAGCCGTGGGAAGCAGGTACATAAATGAACGTGCCGTTGGAAGCCCTGCAAGCCAGTCTTTGCAGTTGGCCAGCAAGACACGCATCCAAGCAGGCTGCTGCGATGAGCTAGGTACGGCCCCTTTGGCTACTGGGGCTTCATCGTCGTCGTCATCTAGCGTCCGCATCTTTCTGAGCTTGTTGAGCATCTCCATTCCTGTAGGAAAGAGCATGAGAAGAGAAACACCAAAATCGTGGGGGATTCGGACCTTGCGATACGGCAATGACCCTTTCTGCTGTTGGTGGAAGACTGAGCCAGATTGGAGGCTCACGTTCCGGTAGTCCGTTGACCCAAGAGAGGAAGTGCTCCATCTTTGTGCCTTCAGGGACAGTGACAACGGCCTTCTCGGGCTCAAGTCGCGGGACTAGATCAAAATCGACGTTGTATGCCTTGGGCGTGAAGAGACTGTCCACAAAAGAATCCATGACTTGCTGATCAAAGTCACTATCAATGCGACCTCCATACACTGCTTGCTTGATCAAGGACTTTATAGCACCCCAAGGGATAGAAGCAGGGTCAACGTTTGCTCGCCCTTTCGCAATGGAGTGGAGCCATTGGTCAATAGTGTTGAAGGCGGCTTCCATGTCAGAGTCATTGAAGTCGTACACTTTACTCCAACCCAACGGGACATAGCGGAGGCGCTCCTGTACAACGGCATGGAACCAAGCGAGGAGGAAGTAGAGTCGGATCTTCTCAGCTGGACCTTTTGATAGTCTTGAAGGCGGTATACTACGCAGGCTGTCGAGGAGATTCGCCTTGATACCCGGCGGTGGCTCGTTCATAATGATGCGTGATTGACGGAGGATGTTAACAGGTATGGAGGGATTAGTTTCCATGGTCAGGAAGAGGCGGAAATTGCGACTGGGATTGGCTGTCTGCAGCTTCTTCTCCAGCTGACCGAGCCAAGATGGCGCAAGGTGCACATTCTTCAGGAGCACCCAGGTTCCCTGACGCGCTGCTGAACCAATTGCCTGCTCTGCCAACGAAAAGCCTTCTTGTGAGCCCATAGCCACGGATTGGCATTTGACACCTGAAGATGTGACAAGGTTCTCCACCCTGAAACTAGCATCATAGCCTGTGACGGAGACGAGAGCGAGCGGCGTAGTGGCAGGAACTTCATCAGCAACCATTCTGCCGAGGTCAAAGAGTGCTTCAGTGGCGAGGTCTGTCTCGAACATCTCGCTTGCGAACGCGGTTGTCGCCTGGACGAGTCGGTCGGGACGGAAACACTTGACGATGATAAGGTTTCGGACGGCAGTCATTGGGCCTAGAAATTTATGAGAGAGCCTCAGATCGTTCATCAGCCTACTTACGCGAAACACCTGTCCATACGCTGGGTATTTGTCGCTCAGGAGTAGCTCCAAACAAGAAGTCCCTCCAAACACCTTCGTCATTCTTGATCGAGTCATGGACGTCCTTAAATGGTGCATAACTTGTGAATCGCTGAAGCCTTGCGGCTTGCTCTCCCGAAAGCAGAGATGAGCCATCACTTCCGCCCATTGAAGCACCGCCCTCGCCACTCTCCATTAGAAACTCGAGTTCATCGCTGATATCCTCCGTTCCTCGTAGCTTGATTTGGGCGAGAAGGACCGCAAGGACGACATGATCGCGGTATAGAAGTGCGCGAGAGGTGCGTTTGTAGACGGTCAGGAACAGATCGTTCCACAATATCTCTCTTCTGCGCAGGTAATCGGTGACAGACTTGAGGTTTGGATTATGGTGCAAGACATAATTGAAAATGTCAAGGAAGAAGTTGAGGGAGAATTGATAGAAATGGTTGATGGTGCTCAGCTGCTCCAATACAAAGAACGTAGAGCTGCAGGCTTGTGCAAGTGGCAGATATTCCGCCGTCACCTGTTCGACCTCGCGCATCACTGAGTCGGTCTCTTCTACCTTCCGGGTGATCTCGGCTGCCTCCCTCTTCAATGTCTCCAGTGTGTTGATAACCTTGTCATCGTCTAGGATGCTACCAGTAGACTCGTTCAGTGCCTGAAGCAGCAACTTTTCCAGTGTGCGGAGGCGAAGTCTAAATTCTCCCTGCACCTTCATCAAATCTGTCCGCTTGCGCTCGGTGTCGGGACGTTCGACTTTGAGCGCCTGGTCCAGCGATTGACTCTGCAGGCTGCTTCGCGTCATCGTAAAGTTGACAAACGTAACGCGAGAGCAAATATCGGGAGAAAACTCGACCGAAGGGTCGCGGGTTGACAGGAACATGGTGAACGACGGGGAGAAATCGATATCTTGACTGCCGAGCCGGATTAAGACTCGTCCTCCCGTTCTTCTGATTTCCTTGTTGAGTACTGCATTCAGCACAGGATCCAGATGTTCGACATCTTGTATGAGCAACGGATTACCGAACCGAAGAGCGCTCTCAAGATTCTTGAGGAAAGCCTCATCGAGGAAACTGGTCACCGTGATCTTCTTGTCACGATACTCGTTGAGCAAGAAGGTAGTGGCTTGTCCGGTAGGGTCGATGATGAGTGGATACCGATTGAAGCGCTTCAACATGATTGCATTCTCCGTGCACAATGTATCCGCCGGTAAAGCCTTGGATTGCCAGCTCAGGCGGTCATCCGCTGTGGAGAGATAATCTGGGAAGGAAAGTTCGGGCTTGAACTTGATTCCGGCTTCTGTCAGATGCGCGGTCCATTCTGACCACATGACCTCGCGGTAATGCTGATCGAAGAAACCGCCATAGGCAAGGAAAGCCGCCGAGATGAGACAGTCTCCTACAATTGTGCTCATCTCCGTGTCAAAGGTGCGACTGCTAGCCTCCCAACGCGTTCGTTCGGATGCCAGACTATCGAGCAAGGTCATACTACGATTAACCTTACTCTCGACCCTTTCCATCTCCGACTTGATGGCCTGGGTTTCGCTAATCAAGAGAGCATATTCCTCCTTGTAGCGTTCGATACTGGATTCGAGTTCCTTGATCATGCCAATGATTGTCGTTGCCTTCTGCTTCGTGCTTTCCGCTTGCCTCTCGAGCGACTGCATCTCGTTTTGCAGCGGCTCGATTCTATCAAGGATTTCGGAGAAGCGTACTTGAGCTATAACCCACTCAACCAGAGGGCCGCATGCTTTGCTAGCGCGATTGACGGTCTCATAGTTGTATGAGCTACGGCTGAGGAACTCCTTGTTCATCAGGTCACGTAAAGCCCCGGTCATACTCTTCTCCGTTTCGAAGTTGACGATGCGCGGGATGAAGTCGTCTCGGCGAAGAATACCTTGGACGGTTCTCCAAGAATCGATCTTGTGGCCCAGAAGAGTACATACGGACTCCATAGCCAATTTGACGGCCTCTGGAGGGTTTGCCATTGAACGAACCTCCACAAGGTGTTGTCGCTTGATACCATTGACGGCCTGACGTGCCTTTTCAACGGCAGGCTGGGCTTCTGCGAGGTCTCTGGTGACAATAAGGCGCCTTTCTTCAATGCTCTTCTCCTGCTCGACCAAAGCCGCTTGAATTTGAATAGATGCGGCCTTTTTCTGCTCTGCTTCCTGCTGATCGGCAACCATCTGTCTGAGTTTCGCGTTGGCTTGTGCGTCTTTTTCCTTTAGTTGAGTTCGTTTGATGGCCAAGCTTTTCCTTAGCTCCTCAACTTGGGTTACGGTATCACGCAGCTTGTCAAGGCCAACATGCAAGTGCCTTTGCTGTTCCTCAAGCTCATCCCTCTTTTCGCTGTACAGTCGCACGTAATGAGAGATGCTACCAGAACGATCAGTAGGCAGAAGAGCGACTCGAAAGAAACGTACAAGTCCAAGTAGTGTCGTGGTGTCACATAGTTGTATCTTCCCTGTCGCTTGCTGATACGAGCGTTGATGTTGTATAGTGTCTGATGCACATGCACAAATGCGTTGATAACAGCGGTTCGATGCACAGGGGGAACTGACAACTGGCGATATGCGATAGGGAAAATGAGAGGCGGGGTATATGTGGCCAAGTCGAGATCCAGGGTATGGGTGAGCTCCAAGCCAACTTGGAAGAAAGCTTGGTCTGGCCAATCACCGAACCAATCGAGGACGCAGCGATTGAACAAGGCCGGAGAAGTAGCCGCACGTGAGGCGAGGCCATTCTCGGGTGGATTCATCGTGAAAACAACGTGGAGATTCTTGGCAACTTGTTGTGTGAACCATTTGTAAAGCTCTTCGTGAGAGTCGAGCATCAAACCATCACGCTGTGATCCCTCTTTACATGCCGTCATCAACGCTGAGTGCTCGTCGCCTTCGAACAGACCTGGAACCTCTGCGTTGGCAAGTAGAGTGTTCATGCGTTCGAGGAAACCGGAGTCCAGAACATTGGACTCATCCATGATGAAGCAGATTTTCTCGCCTTTGCACCCAGCGCGACGAAGGACCGTTCTCAGGTCTTCGTCAAAGTCTTCTCCAGTGTATTTGTTGGATACCTTGATCTGGAAGATGCTCAAACCGTTCATCCATGCAACGAAGCGTGACAACGTCGTCTGTGACACGATAAGCGCCTTAATAATGACGATAATTTATCATACCTTGCCGCTTCCGCTGACACCGATGAGAAGTAAGTGGCCCTGAACTTGTCGGAACACCCGGTCGATTCTTAGTACATGATCCAACACGTCGTTGAAAAGGACCAGCTGCACATCTAGCTCTTCTTCGTGAAAAATCTTCAGACGTGCTTTGATGTACTCTCGTAGAGCCTCGCGCTCGACTGGAATATAGTTCTTGGAGGTCCAGTTGGAGAACAGTATCGGACGATTGAGAGCCTCGTCTCGGTTGATCGTAGGGAAATGAGTTGTAGCTATAGAATCAATTTGCTCATCGGTCCAAGTGCGCTCCTCCTCTGTCACAAGGCGATCTTGGAAGAGGCGCAACGCTTCGTGGGCCCAGACCCGTACGAGCCCTTCGACCGGGAGAACTTCCAGCGGTCTAATGGCCTCGAAAATACCACGAACCCAGCGTGTAAGCTCACGAGGGCTATATACGTAGTGAGCTTGAACGTCGGTGGTGAATCGGCGTTGGGAGGCGAGGTAGAAAGTGACCATGGCATCAGTCAATGGCTCCGCATAAGGGCGAAGATTGGGGACCACCTTCAAAAGGGCCCTTGAGTAGGTGCCGTAGATCTGCTTAAGCGAGATCTCTCCGGGATAGTCTACCATGATCAGCGGTGCATGCCGGAGGAAGCGATGGCTCAACGGAACCCGACCTGGATCAGTTGGAGGGTTACATGCACCGACGAACTGAATCCTCTCGAGCTTGACCCAGGACATGTCAGTAGTGCGATAGAAACCACCACTCTCAACGAGCTGCCGAAGGAAAGAGATGACGCGCTGGGTGCCGTACTTGTCCGTAGCTGGAAGATTTATCTCGTCACAGAACAAGACGAGCCATCGGCCAATCTGTACTGGTGAAAGGATGACACCATTGGGCGTCTTTCGGTACTCGCAGTACTGGTCGAAAGTCTTGAGGATAAGCTCGGGAGTGGTCGCGCTCGAAAAGTTCAATCCCACTACTTCCATGTCTGGAAGCTTGCGGAGAGCACTAAACAAGGTCATCGTCTTCCCTGAACCCGGAGGGCCGCAAAGCATTAGAGGCTTGTGCTCCGAAAGCCATGAATATAGGATTTCTTCGTGGCGAACAGTGTCCATAGTAGGTACGACAACATCAGAGGCCGTCACTGCATGGGCCTCGATGTCGATGACAGGGACGCGAGTTTGCCACTGTATCCACTCTCCGCTAGAAACATGCACATCGAAGTCGATGAGCGATGTTCCTGCAAGCATCGCAGGTAGGTCGACAGGAGTTCGGTCGCGTAGGAAATGCCCCATCTCCGCCCTCAAGTCGAGGCGAGAGTCGCCGGAGAATGCCCAGATGAGACTGACGAGCATCCTTCGGGATACGTATTGCTCTATCTTTTCCTGAGCGAGGGGAAAGTCGGGATGTTGGATATTGTACTCGATCACGTTTCGGGTCGTCTTGTTGATCAATGAGAAGAGCGTGCTGAGAGCACGAGTGACCGTGAAATCCATAATATGCTCGATGGACTGCGCATGTTCAATTGCAGCATTGACCAATCCGTCCTTTGCGAAGAAGGGTTCAAGCACGGTAACAATCGCCCGCTGGGTAGCAAGATGTGGTGACGAGAACTCAGAGCTGTCGAGGCGACGGATGGGTGAATCGTCGTCCTCTGCATCCAACGCTACATTGGAAAGGGTGTCGAGATAGTTGCGATAGAGCATTTCCGGCTCGACAATGTCCTCGCTGAACCAGATCATACCGCAACGGCTGACAGTGGCCGGTGTCGCGTACCGCAAGTGCTCGACTTCGAACATGATGCGTACGTTTGGGGGAAGGTTGAGACGTTCGCCATTTGGCAACGTCAAGAGTTTGTTGTCATCCAAGACACTGAGAAACATTAGGGAAATACGCCTGATAGTTAGACCACGGACCTGTTCAGATTTTCCACCCACTCTGGGTCTACATCTCCATCGAATATAATCCAATGCCTCTTGGCGACCTCTCCTCGCACATTGTCCACAATCTTACGAAGAATGTGTGTAAACAGACCATCATTCCATTCGCGAGTGGTCTGATCGAGCGTTCCATAGAGCGCGTCCTTGTGAATGGCTTTAGGATCGATGACATACGCGACACCTTCCGTCTTGTCCAGTCGCTCCAATGCTGCTAGGAGTACCTGCCAGGCATTGGACTTTCCGCTTCCTGAGGGACCAACCATCATGAGACCGTGTTGGATTTTCTGAATCTGGTAGAGCTGCATAATCTTCGCCATCCATCGCTCTCCAGTTATAAGACGGCGCTCCTTGCAGACTTCGATGATTTTCTCCCGAAGATCATCGAGGTTTACGGGCTCATAGTGCGTACCAGGGAAAACATCGGCCAACAAACTATGCAGACGTCAGTATCACGGATGGCGAGTAGACAGGCATTACCTAGTCAGGAGAGGCACATCATCCGCGACTAGTTTGGGCACAATGGTTTCCGTTACGCTCTGGATCAAGATCATCTGTTCTGCAATGGTATCCGGAATGTCGTCCACTTCCTGCGAGGTATTTGAAAGCCTTTCACGCTTCAGAATACCGGCACTGGCAAGAACAGCTTTAAGAGCACGAAGTCCAAAGTCATAATGGGGTTGTGGCGAAAGTTGCTCCGAGCACAAATTGAAGAAGGGGACAATCTTGGACGCGAGACTTTCTGCCGTACGGAAGCCTTGAGAAAACAACATGACTTGAGCAATAAGCTCTCTGTCCGGGCGAGTCATTGCCATTGGACGAAGAGTTTGGTTAAGTTTGGAGGAAGCGTTGATCGACCGGCATATGTCGGATTGGTAGTGATAAAAATGCCAATATTCTTGTTGATACGAAGCTGCTTGCCGACGAGCTCAATTTCCGCGTTGGGATTGGTCACGAGTGCAGCAAGGCCCTGCTGGATGCTCTGGACCTGTTGTGACACTGCACTGAGGATACGTTCTTCGAGCCGGTTGAACTCGTCGAAGCATCCCCAAGCACCGACTTGACATAGGCCGACGAAGATGCGACCCATAGCCTGGAAGTCGAAGGTTTCATCGCAGCAGAACACCAGGACGAATCGACCCAGCTGGACACCAAGGGCTTTGACTGACTCGGTTTTGCCTGATAAGGGTTAGCACATCCAACGTGCCACATTGAGAGTCACATACCTGTGCCTGCGGGTCCAAATGGCGAACCACCAAGTTGAGTATCCAGAGCTTGTGTCAGTGTGAGATAGCAGCGATCCGTCAACGGAGTCTGGACGAGACGGTCGGGGACACCCAAGTACTCCCATCCGTAAGGGAACGTGGCGTTAGCTACTCGGATGCTAAGTTGCTCCAGAGGGTTCTTGATGTTGGTGTCCAGGTAGAAACGCATCTGATAGAGCCACTGGAAGTCCTTTGGGTTCGTAATATTGCCGACGACGAGGGTCCTCGTCACGTCTCGCTGATGCACGAGCTCTGTAATGAGATGTTCACATTTACGACGTGTAATCGCATCGAGGTCTGTGAGCACAACGTCGGCCAGCAGTTCCAAGCCGCGTAGAACTGTTTCCAATGCAGACTGTGGGACTTGTCCAGATTCCAGTGCAGAGTTTGCGTCGGTCGTCCACGCCACCTGAACTGCGAGAGTGACTAGTTGAGCTGGATAGGCCTTTATCCATTCGACGAAGCGAGAGGGATCTGTGAGTCCCTCGACATTGTAAAATTCGCCGAGGCCTTCTACAGCACTCGTCAACAAGCGGGCAAGCGAGACTCGCATCTCGGACTCGATCTTCGCAAGCCAGTCATTGATTTTCGGGAAATCTTTGAGTTGAATAGGCTCAGTGAAGAAGACAGTTTCTCCCTCACGAGAAGACATGCCCAAGATCTCCGTCAGCTCCTCGTTGAGCTGCATGGTGGAGATTCCAGCAAACATCTTCTTCAGGTGCTTCATAATGCGGAGAATATCCTTGCTATTGCCGATAATTTCGAGAAGGTCCTCGTCCCCGACGAAGTAGAAACGCGGGAATGAAGCACGCTCACGTTCGAGATATTCTCCAAGTGCCTTTTGGATCTTGTTGAGCATCTCTGCCAGACGCTCCAGACTCTTTTGAATGCCTTGGATGCCTAGCACATCCATGACAAAGGGAGATTTGTAGACCTTCTTCATGACGGAGAGAAATTCGTTATTGATGTTTTGGAAACGTTGACTCTCCAGGGGAGCAGATGTTTGATGTCTGCACTGCCGGAGAAAATGCCTTCGAGATACACCCATTGACGCTGTACGTCAATCCATACATCAAAGAGGACGTGGATACGGTTTAACTTCTCTTCCCAGGACGCTGCATCCTCCTCGAAGACTGGAATGGTCAGAATGTTTGGCTAGGGTATCCAAGGAAGCCTACCTTTATAGTATGGTGACAACTTCATTGCGACGAGGGAATTGAGGTTTTCTGCACACTTGGCAAAGAGATCGTCCCAACCTCTAATCAAACGGCACTTGTTTTGATAGTTGACCAGGTCAAGGGTGTAATTGGTCCAGGTCTCTCTGACTTGCTTGATGTACTCCTCCAAAGCCATCTCGCCTTGGGCCTGAATGATGACCTCTTTGATCAAAGTTTCATTCTTTTTGAGACCCAAGTCATATACTTGGCCAAGTGTCAAACTACACAAGGGTGTCAGAAAGGAACACAAGTGCTTGGGACCCTACTTACGAAACAAGGGTGATCTGGTTGGACACTCTGAGGAGTTTGAAGAGTTGTCTCCAGTGCCGCTCCTTGACACCCTCAGACTTCAGTTCGGAGAGCAGTGCATTTGATTTAAGCAATCCTCGGAGCGTTTCCTGTACGTATTCAAAGGCCGCGTATTGTCGCATGCGGTTGGGCATTTCCTTTGTTGAAGAAAGCAGGCCGTCAAGGGTCTGTCGAACCTTGCGAGGTTGAACAGAGGCCCAGGGAGTATCGCGCAGTTCCGCGATTTGGCTCCAAATGCCGGAGAGGGCAGTCCACACGGCTTTGAGGTCGCGCAACTCCTCGATGACTGGTTCAAGTCGATTGTGTCGAACCAGCTCTAAATCCAATGCCTCCTTCGCACGGCAGACGAGGTCGTACTCGTCTTGGACACGGTTTACTTTGCCCTCAAAGACGTTGATCGTGTTCAATGCCGTGTCCGCTCGCAAGCTTCCTTGAACAGGACGCGAGAGTTCCCACTCCTGAAGAATGTCCGTAATCTTGTTTTCGACAATCTTGTCCTCCGCGACAATCTTGAGCTGCAGGCCAGCTGAGGGAGATCTCTTAGCCCTAGACGGACACAATGCGACGTGCAAAGAGATGATTTACCTAGTTGTTCTTGGATGGAATCGTTCTTCCGTTTCAAAATCTCGTTGTAAGCGCTCCATTCGCCGCGCAACTGGTCGCTATACAGCCAATCGTCCGGGAATTGGTATCTAAATCGTTCCAAAGTCTTCTCTCCACTCGCACAAAGTTCTATCATTGGTGCCCATGCTTTCGTCTTGCGTTTGAGGTCTTGCACAAATGTGATGAACGACACAGCGGCCGCTGTACCAGACTGAGGGGCTAGAAGGGCCTTTAATTCGAGTATATTAGCCATTTAACGCGTGATATCTCGATGTCGTCCCCGTACCTCCATGGTTGTCTGGCGTGGCGCGGACTGGGTTTTCGCAGAACGGCTTTTGGTCTCTGCGCCTTCACCCAACTGCGTCGTCCAACCGGAGCACTTTTAGAATCGCCCTGACAACTTCAAGTTCGCGCTTTATTCACGCAACTCTGCCACTTTTTGACCAGCCCATAGTCGCTCAGGATGTCGGGTCGTCAGACGCGTGTGATGGTTCAGCCCATTGTTCGTATTTTCTTTTCTTGCTCATCGAACAAAGTGTTTACCTTGAGTAGAATGTAATCTTCAAACATCTGCAGCAAGTTTGTACACCATTCCCGATCCTAGTCCATTATTGCTGAAAGCTCTCTTGGTAGAAAACAAAAGTTGTTATCTGGCTCTACGACAACGTTGAAATGCGTATAGAGGGAAGAATCATTGTGGGTGCTCTGCCGTGTTCTTTTCATCACGCCTGACGGTTGTCGAACAGGGCTTTGACGAGTATATGAACGTTGTAATGGACGATGCAACAGAAGTCTATACAAAAGAAGGACGGCCTTCTGTCCCCTTAGGTATGCCAAAGCTTGCCGTTGACAACAGAAAGCTGACAACAAGGCAGGGAGAATTCTCCTCAAGGGCGAGAACATTACCCTCATCCAACCTCAGCAATGAAATGGAGCTTCTCGGGCGTATGCTTGAGGAGCATCATGAAACTTCCATGCCGAATACTGGGGCCCCTATCTTGAAGATTCAGTTGGCGAGACTTTCAAAAGGCACTCGTAAAATGCTTCTGTAACTGCTCCCTGTAGATGCAACGAGTTTAGGATAAACGAGGGCTGAGCTATGAGCATAATACGAACCGTTTGAGATCTCTCCACTTCTCCAGCATCTTTATGACCTCGTCTTGACTCGCCGAGTTCAAGTCACCTCCTACAAGGTTCTCAACGAGCACCCTAGCGTTCTGGAGTTGCTTCTTAAAGTCATCAGTCTGTTGATTTGGGTGAGAACTCGCTGTATCTCAAACTGATCTCCAAATACCGCTTCAACCAGCTGCTGTGCTGTTGTTGGAGTGTGACCTTCTTCGTTGGCATTGTATGGAACGTCGTTGACCATTGCATAGACCTTCAAAAGAGAAGGAATGAGTCCCTCAAGGCTGGAAAGTGGGAATGGGTTTTCAGTCGCCATCTTCGCAGGAGCCAAATGCTAATTCCTCCCTGGACCCCTCCCAAACCACCGATGTCCTTTGAAATCTCTGTCCCAGCGACGAGCGCGAACATCGGACCAGGATTCGATGTCGTTGGACTTTCTTTATCACTTTATTTGACTCTTCAAGTCACCATCACCGCTGGAGGTCCCAGAACGCCAGTTCTGAGCTACGAAGGGGAAGGCGCCGATGAAGCACCCCTGGATCCGTATAAGAACCTTACAACAAGAGTTGCACTCTACGTCCTTCGATGCAATGGAATATCCTCCTTTCCCAGTGGAATCAGCATCCACGTCAAAAATCAGATCCCCTTCGGACGAGGACTGGGATCGTCGGGTGCGGCCGTCATTGCCGGTGTCCTGCTAGGAAACTCGCTAGGAAACCTAAACTTATCGACCGAGAGAATGCTCGACTTTGCGCTTATGGTCGAACGCCACCCAGATAATGTTACGGCCGCTCTCGTGGGCGGCTTCGTCGGATCGTATTTACGCGAACTGGACGAGAGCGCAACCGCTGCAGCGAGCGTTCCGCTAGCAGAGGTACTCCCAGAGTACCCAGAAGATGCAAGCGAGGACTGGGGAAGAAATCCTCCACAACCTCCGACGGGGATCGGTCACTATGTCCGCTTCAAATGGGCAAAGGAGATCAAGGCCATCGCCATTATCCCTCAATTTGAGCTGAGCACGGCGAAAGCTCGTGCCGCTTTGCCAGAGTCGTATTCAAGAAAGGACGTGGTGAGTAGTGTCATACATGGTAGCCACGCTCTCATTATTGGCTAGGTTTTCAATCTACAACGACTAGCCGTCCTAACGACGGCGCTAGGGTTGAGCCCTCCTGATGCAGAGCTCATCTACGAGGCCATGAAGGACCAAATGCATCAACCTTACCGGAAAGCCTTGGTATGGATGTTCCTCTGATCCTGCTAGCTTCTCATTGTCTCTAGATACCTGGCCTTCCCGAGGTATTGAATTCTGTCACACCGAGCACCCACGAAGGGTTGCTCGGAATCTGTTTATCGGGTGCTGGACCAACTATATTAGCACTGGCTACCAAGGGGTTTGACAAAATTGCCCAAGACGCATCCGCCGTATTTGCAAAACACGGGGTACAGGTCGACTGGAAAGTGTTGGAGGTGTGCAGCGGCTGTTCAGTACGATGAACGAATAAAAATGGTTGGGATTGTAACCCATCAGCTTTCTGCTTTGCGGGGTCCCTGTCAAACTTGAATTCGTCCATCCCAGTGAAGCCAAGTAAACTTACATCACGCATATCATCCCCTTCATCGTCGGGAGAGCGCTGCCTCTTTCGAGACTGCTCGCCGGTACCTTCCTTCCAGTCGCCACCTCCACCAGCCACTGCGCCAGGAACGTCTTGGGCATCACTGTAGAGCTGTTCTCTGTTCTTCCTTCGTTCATTCTCTTGCTGTATCTGAGCCTGCGCACCCCAGCCTCCGCGACCAGCATCATAATCCTGACGATGCTCGTCTCGGACCTATCGACATCAGACAAGATACGACTTTTTGCAACCCCTCGTACCTGTCCACCACTGCGCCCTCGTCCAAACTGTCGACCGTCTTTGTAGCCTGCGTCCAGGTCACAGCGAATGATTCGTTCGTCCAATTTGGTGCCACTTATATACTTCATGCAAGCGAGTGCCTCTGCATGGCTATAGTATTCCACAAAGCAGAATCCACATGGTGTTCTGATCAAACGTCAGTTTCCCCTTCAAAGATATTTGCGAGTACTTGCCTGGTGTTACGGTCAAGGCCCATAATGATTCTTTTGATGCCTCCACCGTCTTCTGGACTGGTACATTTGGAGAAAAGCTCATAGATTTGCTCCTCTGTGGTGTAAAAGCTCAAGTTTCCAACGTACAGCGTCGTCGACTTTTTCAGAAGCTGAAGTTGGGTCTGACGATCAGCTGAAGCCTGAGAATCCTTGTACGACGAGAATTTATCCAGAGGATCTACAACGTCGGCCATGGCTCTGACAAACGCGGCCGTGTCCAAGAACGCGCAGGCGGAGTTCAACCTTGAGCTCTACCTTTGCACCCTCGATGCCGCCTGCGACAGTCCCCTCGACATCCGCAACGCACTCTGCGGGTCGTTCGTCGCGTATTGCACCTCATTCACACATTCGAGGTCTCGGACTCCGACCAGACGGAATTGCTGATACCGAAGCGGCGGGTTTTGTAGGTCAAAATGCAGCAAGAGAGGTGATTGTATACTATACATGATAAAGGAAGGATGTTGACATGGGAAAAGGCTTGTGGAATCGTTGTAGAACTCGTGAAATCGCGCAAGTTTTCTGGACGCGCGCTCCTCCTCACAGGAGCACCCGGCACGGGCAAAACCGCATTGGCACTCGCGATAGCACAGGAACTAGGAGTACGCGTACCGTTTTGCCCTATGGTAGGCAGCGAAGTCTACAGCACCGAGGTGAAAAAGACAGAGGTGCTCGCCGAAGTCTTTCGACGCGCGATTGGTATACCCGATCATGCCTGTCTCATTCCACCACTGATGATACTCAGGTTTGAGAATAAAGGAGACAAAAGAGGTCTACGAAGGAGAATTGACCGAGTTGACACCTACCGAGACGGAAAACCCACTCAGTGGCTATGGCAAAACGGTCTCTCACGTTGTCATCGGCTTGAAGACTGTAAAAGGCCAGAAGCAACTCAGACTGGACCCTGGCATCTACGAGGCGATTCTCAAGGAGAAGATTACCGTCGGAGATGTGATCTACGTCGAAGCGAACACGGGTGCCGTGAAGGTCCGTCAATTTACGTTTCTATGGTATTTGGTAACATTTTACTCCAGCGCGTTGGTCGATCGGATGCCTATGCTTCTTCCTACGACCTAGAATCGGAAACATATGTACCGCTACCAAAGGGCGACGTACATAAGAGAAAAGAAGTCATCCAGGACGTGACTCTGGGAGATCTCGATGCCGCCAACGCACGACCACAAGGAGGACAGGATATTATGAGCGTAATGGGAAGCCTCGTCAAGACAGGTCGGACGGAAGTGACTGAGAAGCTCCGTCGAGAAGTAGAAAAGGTTGTCAAGGGGTATGTGGAGCAAGGAGTTGCAGAGGTTGTGCCGGGCGTTGTGTTTATCGACGAGGTAAAGTCCATTCATCTGAATTTCACACTTTTCTTATTCTCCTTAGGTTCACATGCTTGATGTAGAATGTTTCACTTATCTGAACGCCCTTTTGGAGTCACCGATGGCTCCAACGGTCGTATTTGCGACTAATCGTGGAAACGCGCTCGTCCGCGGCACAACAGACGTGATCTCTCCCCATGGTATTCCAGTCGACCTACTCGATAGGTGAGTGACAAAGAGGACACGATAGTCGTAATATCTCAACTACTCTCAGGTGCCTGATTGTCAAGACTGAGCCGTACGACAAAGCACAAGTGGCCAAAGTCGTTCAAGTGCGCGCTGGTGTCGAAGGACTGAGACTCGGCCCTGGCGTTCTTGACAAGCTGGCTTCAGAAGGAGAGCGAGCTTCCCTTCGGTATGCGTCAGAAGCGTGTCTTCATCCTGCTCACGCAATTCCATAGGTATGCTTTACAATTGCTTACACCAGCTTCGATACTTGCAAGCGTTTCAGGACGACGGGAGATTGCTCTAGAGGATATCGGGGAAATGAATGAGCTCTTCTTGGACGCAAAGACCTCGGCCACCAAGATTGGCTCTGTAGCTGGTCTCCAGTAAAATACAAAATTCTTGACTATGGTCAAGATGGTATGAAATCGTGCATCTTCCCTCGTAACCTTGCGCGGAATCCGTGCGTACACGAGCTATCTGGCGACTGTACGCAAGTTCTAATCTTGGAACATCTTTGAAAATTCCCACAGACACGAGTAACTAGTCAATAGTTAGTTGAGCAGAGAGAAAGTATCATGACTTGCTAGTCCCAGTCAAACGCATCTTTAGGAGAGCACGAGCATCGACCTTGCTTGTGTCTATCGCCAGATGGACTGGATAGATGTTAATCGACCTGAAGATGAGAGACAAGAAAACTGACCAGTGCTGGAAGCTTTCGTGCTTATACCTAAGCGTGTTGAGTGGGGTATGGATAGGATATAATCAGGGCCTTACCCAATCTCGTCGAAGAACCGCAGTTGCTCTTTCCTGAGAAATAGTGAAGCAGCTATCGAATGTACGGGTGCGTCTCCCCATCGCTGTCCGGTATGAGATGAGATCGTGTGTGCGTACGCTCAAGTACCTCGTAATAAAACCCGCCTTTGGATTCCAGCCAGTCAAAGTATGCAGTGTAGGCCTCGCCCCGCCAAAATTCCATGTCGGCAATTTCAAAGTTGCTCCAGACTGGAGATATGTCACGCCAAAGGGGTTGAATAAGGCAATGACACCTACAATGACAGAGATTGTATGTTCGACCGCCGTCCTCAGATAGAAACCCCATTGCGTTGCCGCTGGCCACGTACTGTGGATGTTTGCTGATGAATTCTACACAATTAGAAGGGTACCTCAGCCAGATACTGGACGGTACCTTTTGTCGCTTTCCAGAGCGTCGGTATTGTCTCCTCGAGCTCGTAAAGCGCAATATTGAAACCATAGACCTGGTTATTATCCTCCATAGACAAGAAAGGATCATAACCTATGTCACAGTAAAACTTGACTCCAGGTCTATGTGGATTCAGTATTAGATCCGAAGCCTCCGAATACGCACTCGATTCTCCAGTACCACCGATATGGCAGGATGAGTGGATGACGGAAGAAATACTGTGTCGTATTAGATTTGTAGACCGAGCATATGTGCAGACCTACACCGCTGTTGAACCTACACATGTTCCTGTAGGACACAGAGCCTAGGATATTTAGACCCATAATCTCTGGATACGACGACATACCGCCATAGATGATGTTCTCGTCTACCATCTTGTCGCGCCCAGCCTTTGCTCTTTCCTCGTCGATCCAGTCCGGCTGTTGCCAATGTTCTCGAGGAATGATACCGTATTCGGCTTTGGATGAGACCATTTGCGAAGTCCATCTATAATCATGAGCGTTATTCCGCGATTCAATCTCTCTACGCAATACACACTCTTTGAATTCATCTGTAAATGGTTCATCGTTGAGGAATACATAGGGATATTGAAACTTCTTGTTGAATCGATCTTCCATGTACTGTATTGACTCTACAACCGCCTTGAGCTCCGAATTACGCGCAAGGAAGATAAAGGTGGCGTTGGCCTTGGGCGTTGCCGATGCTTGGTTCGCTAGCGAGTCGGCCCAGATATTAGTTTCTGTGAGATTGGCGATGAAGGTATGCTCTTGTGGTGCTTTTGTACCAAGGTCGCATACTCTGCGCGAGAGTATTTCCAACAAGTTCTTCCATGCGCTACTATAAGTGAAAGCAGTCAAGAAACGAAAGCTCGAGTCGCCGTCAGCACAAGAGGCTTTCTAAGGACAAATTTGTACCTCAACTTGACCTGGTTAGCCAGCACAATGAGAGGCATATATTTGCGACTCACACCCAGGCAAACAACGAGCAGGAGTGCTCTAGGGAGACTAACGCGGCCCATCTTGCAGATGCGACAGAGAAAGAAGGACAAACGTCCAAACGGCCCGCCAGCTTCACATATGCCCCACAAGGAATCTTCCATTCCCCGAAGGGATCACGCACTCACCACGGTGTCAGGCAATAGTCGGAGAAGGAAGGCCTGCAGAAGCCGTTCTCCGCAGCACTTGTGCCGGCCAGGGCTAGATGGCTAGCCCGGAGACCTTGTAATAATAGACTCTTGCAGGAGACCTAATAGAGAAGTTGCTGGGTTCTTAAATTTCTCCTGTGAACGTAGGGGAGTGAGGACAAGCTGCCCTACTTGAGGGAAGCCGGTCGAAGAAATCGAAGCACGTCATCCTTGCTATAATTCGTGGAAGGTAGCTTGTGAGGTTGAAGCAATGTGCATAGACACTAAATAAGAGGTCTACATTTGATGTGTATGTGGGGGTCCAGAGGATGCATATCCGTCGAAGTACAGGTGACTTGGTCGAAATGATCGATTAAAACATTCTATCGTAGCGGTATGTGCAGGAGTAGCTACGGAGAATATGAGTAAAGCAAGAGCTGGTAGTATAGTACGCACGGAATATAGTCGAAAGTGTCCTTTGGATCACACCAGCATTTTCCATTCATCCATGTATCGCCTTGGGGACAATGTTGGAACGGCTCGTGTCGATAACCTGAGGTCGTATAAGCAAAGTAAGATGGAAGCGGACAACGCACCAATTTCTTTGAAAAAGTGTATTTGATCTTTCCGCGCGAATAATGCCACACCTAGCGAGTGGACAGGCGCATCCCCCCATCGCTCATAGTAAAAGCCACCACGCAGATCTAGGTACTCGAAATACTTGGTATAAGCTTCGCTCCGCCAAAAGTCGAGGTTTCCAATCTCAAAGTTACTCCAGACTGCAAAAGTTTAGGTATACCACCAACTCATGAACGTCAGAACGACTCACAGTGACAGAGATTATAGTTTCGGCCACCGTCATCAGAGATAAACGCCATGGCGTTGTCTTTGGGGAGATATTGCGGATTCTCTTTGATGAATTCTACACAAGGAATAAGCAAATACGGTCAGATTGCAGGCTATGACCTACGTCGCGTGGCATCCCACAGAGTTGGGATTGTTCGCTGGTACTCGTACAACGACAGAGTAAAGCCATAGACCTTATCGTTATCCTGCATAAAGAGGAACGGGTCGTTGTCCATGTCGCAGAAGTACTTGATTCCCGGCCTGGTGAAAGATCAGCCGTCGCGTGGCGGCAACGCGCTCGTAACCTACTCGACGCGCCAGTAGTATCGGTACTTGAGCAAAAGTGGGTGCCGGAAGAAGTAACCCGAATTGAAGCGACACATGTTGCGATACCTAGTTTGATGATGAGCGATTTCTGGTGCTTGGATACAATTCGAACTTTACGCGACAGAGCCTATGGAGATCATCAACGTTAGATATTACCCGACGGTCGGAGAGAGTTGAATACCTCCATAAATGACCTGGTCCTGGACCATCTTTTCACGGGCGGCCTTGGCAAGCTCCTCGTTGATATGACTCGGTTGTTCCCAGTGACTTTTTGGAATGAGTCCGTATTCTACGGTGCCCGAGGCTAGATTTGAGGTCCATCTTGGCAGGCAAAATTAGCGACAATGGTTTCATGGCAGGAATAGCCAGCGATGACGGACCTCTTGAACTCTTCGCTGAACGGTTTCTCGTTGAGAAAGACGTATGGATAATGGTAGTGGCGGTTGAAACGATCTTCAAGCTGGCGAATAGACTCCATGACGCCGTTTAGATCAGCGTTGCGTGCCAGAATGACAAACGTCGCGTTCGCTTTGCGTGCTGGGGCTGGTCGCACGTCTTCGTCGACAAACACGGGCTTCGGACGGGGTGGTTCTGGCTTGTTTCGCCATTTGCTGTTGAGACTGCTGAACGAGGTGGCTCGGCCGTACTCCTCGTGCGAGACTGTCATGATAAAGTGTAGACTACAAATGTCGTCGTTGAGTTCTTTGTCGTTGTACGTCGTCGGGCGAACTCTACCTGAGCTAGGGACAGAGTTCAGCAATCAATGGCACTGGCCGCAGCAGCGACGACGGGGGCTCACAATAACGAAGAAGACGAGACAGATGTAGCGCATTGGGGTCATCATTTTTTTAGGAATATTTGACGACGCTCGACGCGGCGTCGAAGCGCTAAACGGCGGAAGGGATCAGTGCTGGACGGAGACAAGTGACAACTGATGGACTGCGCGCCAGCCACACGCTCCTTGACACAAATTTCTATTAAAGACTTAGGGACCCCCCATCTTCCCCATTCTGCCGAACCCCTTGGCTCATATGGGCGTCATATGCCATCAGTTGATATCGATCCAAGCAACAACTTGCATTCTGATGAGTATGTACGAGTGATAGCAAGACTATCCCCGAGACCGACAAACTTCCCTGTTCACCCTGAGCGGAGGGGGGACGATTTCGCAGGCGCGTGGGCCAAATTGACCGGCGCTAGCGAAATGGGACCCTCTTTAAGTCCAGTCGTGCTCGTGGGACGGATCTTGGCCTTTACAGGCGCTTTGAGATCTTCTGGGCCGTCGAAACTATTCTTCTCGAGCGCAGATTCGACGTCGTACAGTGTCTCACGTCCTTGGCCAACCTTTTCATGAGCGCTTCGGGTCGAGCTATGATCACTATTGTTTCTGACACGGTTGAGAAGATTGACCACTGAACGAGTGCGGGCTCGAGTTCGGTTTCGACGCCAACGACGGATGAGGCAGAGGCCGAGGGCAAGTAGACCAAAGAGAGCAAAGATGGATGCAGTGATGAGACCTGGTTGGATCGGAACAGTTGGGTCTGGAGGACGTTCCCAAGTGGAGGATGCAGTTGGGCGAATGAGTCCAGTTCGAGATGCGGGGATACTCATGGTCTGAGAAGGACTTGCAGTCGTGATAGTCTGTGAAGGATCCATTGTCACAGACGTGTCCGAGGAAGAGGAGAATGTACTCGTGTCCTGAACAATCTGGGCCGACGAGGAATCCTGTGGCAAATTGATGCTGTGGAAAGATTGAATTGATACCTAATAGATTATATGACAAGTAAGCTTACATGGGCTGCTGACTGTCAGCACTGGCCATCCCATGATTAGGATCCACGACTGTTTGCTCTGGCGTTGGATCTGGGATTACTGGAGTACTCTCTTGTGCAGGAACTTCGGTATTAGTTTGTCTGGGCATTTAGAAGCGAGCGTCGAGGATTATAGAAACGAGGCGAATAATGTAGAGCGGTTCAAGGTAAACTTGTCTCTCGACCACCACTATACATTGTGAACAAGTAAAACGCTAGTCTTGAAATGAACAGATGGCTTCCAATCAGATTCATTCACCAAGTCTCTCACAACTCGGCGTGCCGCTCACTGCCTCACGGGCGCTGTGCTCTCATTTCTCGCAACCATTGTGGGCCTTTGGAGACGACCACGACTTTCTTTCGTCTTTCTTTTATCCCTTTTAATCTTCATTCTTCTCAGCTGGCCGGTTCCTGCACCAATTTTTACCGTTTCGACATTATTTTCCCCATTTGATTCAATTCCAACTGTCATTCAACATCCATGCCGAGCATAGTATGTATCTACCTCTGTTCCATCTCATTCTAACTCTTCTTTAGTGGCAACGAATCTCAGAATCCCGTCTGACGGTTCGTGGGATATTGGATGAAGACGGCGCCGATGCTCACAAAGTGCTCTAGGCTTTATTCGTGGTTATTACCTTGCTCAATTGCTCAATGGTGTGTCCGTTGACTTGCACACCATCGTTATTGACCGTAGGACAGCAAGTCACCCTCACTGGCCGTATCTTTTATAGCAATTACACTGCCGGTAATGCGCTCAAGACCGTATACGCATCCCAGAATATGTCCTATTTGGAGTACACCCAGTACGATTTCGATAAAGGGGTCGTAAAGATGTGCGAGACCAACGAGCAAATCCTCAACAATACTTGCAAGGTTGTCTGGCCAGCTCCCATCGCACTTAATCTAGCACTTCCTCGTTTACGATCTGGATTTCTCGCAGAGCCTTCCCCCGATACGTTTGCTCCAAAGGGATCGTCGCTGCACTCGCAAAAGGTCATTTCGGTGCATGGTAAGTCGGCTCTAAGTTTTATTCCCTAACTTATCACAACGTAGTGAACAATGGAACGCTTGCCAAAGCTGGAGATTCTGGAACGGTCCACTTGAGCGAGATGTGCCTTCGCGTCCTCAAGTGGCCAACGCAAGTGTCAGTACCTACTCATCCCATGCACGCAGATACTAAAGTTCATACAGACTGCTTCAAGACAAGAGAGACAATCTGACTTTGATTGTACTCCAGGTGCGTTTACCATTAATCCTGTCAGGTTCCTGGCTTACTTTGGTACAGATATGGATCTTTGGACTGGGATTCGCCGCGCTGGTCAATGATTCTGTCCCGCATCTCGTCGCGGCGTGCATTGGCTGTACATATCGACTTACCTACCGAGTCTAAACTGACATAATCCATAGACGTATCTGTCGCTACGTGGTCTTTGGTTCAGCTCATCGACTTTTACAACTTTCGGACACAGTATGACCGCCTCATCAAAGGAGTCGGTCTGCCAAACTCTGTCAACGGCAATCTTGGACGAGTAGGCGCATGTGACGGACAAGATTTTCTCCCAAAGTACTTCGAACAGCAAAACATCTCCTACTTGTTGTTAACTGGCTGGAACTTTCTGGGCCTCGTATGGTTTCTGTATTTCACCTATCGGCTCTATCAGGTAGATACTCGCCAGGGATTTGTCCACTCTATACTCACTCGTGGATAGTCTTTCAGGTGGACCACATTCAAAAGAATTGGCGCTTCGATCCTCATCGAGCGACTCTACCGAATGGCACTTATGCACCTGCTCTTCATTCAGCTTGCGGTCTTCTTCCTTGTGGCCGGCATCGTACTTTGGGTCGACCAGCTCTTCTATGGCTCATTTGGCAGCAAAGCACATCTTGGAGGAATGTACAAGGCTTTGGGAATCGTCGCTCTCGGAGTCACCATCCCGTGGGTGATACTGGTGAGTACTCTTCATTGCCTTAGATCAACAATATTTATACCCCGCAGGGTTCAATATCCGTACAACGTGAACTTAGAAAATCGATGTTGCTCTTTGTGCGTTTCTAGTCTTTTCCGGAGACAAACTTGCTAAACTTCCAAAGATCTTCCTGACGTTACTCTTCATTCTCTACTGGATATCGCAATGCTTTTCACTCTCGTGGAGGTTGACATTCACTCATAGACCGTATGTCGTTTGTCTAATTCATTCATTTGTTCATCCCCTGCAGATTTTTCGCTGCAATGCAGGTGGCTTCGCTTGTTTTTATAGTCACGACATTCATCATTGGCATTCTCGCGCGCATCTTTTGCTTTGGTCGAGGACTCCCTCAGTATTGGCATCCCATCGAGGAGAGCGATTCTGATGATCTGCATGCGGCGCCTGATGTCGTCGAAGGGTTTGAGCCAGTCTCTTTCCCTTCACTAGCACCACTGGGCGATGAAGAGCAAGGCAGACATACTCGTAACGCCAGTACTAGCTCTGGAGGGAGCCGTGCGAGGGGACTTCGGCGGGCGGACTCTGACGCGACACTGACGAATCCTCATGGCGGAGAAGATGACTGGAAGAGCAAAAAGAATGAGCTGGAGCCCAAAGCGGTCGATGGGCCTCCGCCGAGCGCTACGAATGCCTGGAACGCAGAGCGAGGAGTGTAGACTATTTATTCTAAACTTTTCATCTGGACCTAGACTTTTGAGACCGCTCTAGTGCTGAGCTGAGTGTGCCCGTCGCAAGCGGGGGAGTGGTACGACATGCCACTTCTAAGAAATTTAAACCGACTCACGCCTTGGACTTTGACCACGCCAGCTCCCAACGATGGATTACATCCTGAGCGTGCTCGATAATCTCATTCTTGACAAAATCTGGGCGAGCGTCGTCCCCGCCGCCGTCTTCGACCAGCAGGTACCATGGAACACGACGAAATTTCCGGCAGCGAGCTCGGCCAGTGCGACATGGCTCTCCATGGTCTCACACCTTCCACATCCATCTCCCGACGAGTTTCTGGTAAAAAATGCTGAAGCACCAATGTACCAGACGCCTTCGTTCCTCGCCCAGTTCGAGTCTCCCCCACTTGTCCCCTCTGCATGGCCGCGGTCATATATTCCGCGCCAACTAATCTCCATATCAATTATTACACTTATTGGAATCCATATTCTGTATTTCTTATTCGCCACCCTCTCGTACTACTTCATCTTCGACCACCGCATGATGAAGCACCCGCGGTTCCTCAAGAACCAAGTTCGACTAGAAATTATGTCGAGCTTGAAAGCATTCCCAGGAATTACCCTGCTCACACTGCCCTTCTTCCAAGCGGAGGTCATGGGCTATTCGAGATTGTATGACGACCCGGAAAAATATGGATGGACCTACCTTGTCCTCTCAGTACCACTGTATGTCTTTCATCAACTTAAACTCGCCGTATCTCATCCTTTTCAGTTTCCTTTTGGTCACCGACTATTGCATTTACTGGATTCACCGGTGGCTGCACCATCCGATCCTGTACAAGCGTCTCCACAAGCCCCACCACAAATGGATCAGTATGTTTAGCACTCTTTCCATGCCGTCCAGCTGACCGTGCCCAGTTCCGACACCATTCGCATCGCATGCTTTCCATTTCGTGGATGGATACGCCCAATCATTCCCTTACCACATGTTCATCATGATATTCCCTCTTCACCGGGCGGTTTATCTCGTCCTCTTTGTTCTCGTCAACTTTTGGAGTATCTTTGTGGGTACTTCTTCTGCTTGACGGCTGAAACTGACAAAACCAGATCCATGATTCTGATATGATCACTGGTCATGCACTAGAAAACATTATCAACGGTCCAGCGCACCACACTCTTCACCACCTGTACTTTACATGTAACTATGGACAGGCGAGTTTCATTCTCTACGTAAGGTGCCAACTAAACCTCCGATAGTACTTTACATGGGCAGATAAAGCCGGTGGCTCTTATCGAAAACCGGAATCAGAGCATGATCCTCTAATAGAGATTCTCGCGGCCGAAAAAGAAAAGGAAAAGGAAAAACTGGGCAAGGCCCAGTAAAGTCCAATAGAGATATGTACGTATCTTATGTGCAGCTTTCCTACGATAAATATTACTCGACATTATTCGCCGCGGAATTCATTTGGTCTTCGGACATGATGACAAAGCCCGGCCGTGACGCATGGCGCATGGAGGAGTAAGTGGTGCTTCGTTTCTAACTCACAACTTGGTCCTCGCCTTGAACGAACATGAGCAACGCCAAAGCCCAAAGCACTACTGGATTCAAACTCAAAGGTCAATGCCACTGTGGTCTTGTGACGTTTGAGTTCTCCCCAGCGTCCGTCGTGGACCTTAATGATCCTGCTCTGCCGGAGTCGGTCAAACAAACTATTGCACCCCCCTCGGAGCAGAAGCATCCTGAACGGGGTGGAAACGTTAACAAGTGGAAGAGCACCTGGTGCCACTGTAATCCTTGTCGAAGGACTGTGGGGGCGCTGGCTGTCGAGTTCGTCAGCGTGCCCATGAACTTGATCACCATCAAGCGAGACGGGATTGCAAGCTATAGGTCATCCAACCATGCTACGAGACAGTTTGTGGGTAGGGTTGATGCTGTACTGGAGACTATTGACCACCTTCTAGTGTCCAAAATGTGGCACTTCGCTTTTCTTCGTAGAGGACGACGAGAAGAGCATCGACGTGACCCTCGCATCGATTACGACGCCGAATCTATTTGATTACATTGAAATGATTGGTCATATCTGGCTTGAGGATGCAAAGGACCTGGTATTGGACGAGGCTGGCAAAGGAGGAGGACTGGCCGGAATCATGACGGATGGAGGGTACCGCACGAAACAAGGGAGCAAAAGCGAACCGTTTTACTAGGATGTTCTAGTTTTTAGTTGACGACAATGATGACTCGGAGGTGATGACATATAGCCGACGATAGTATCTTGAACCCCGCCTCGACCGACAATGAGCTCATCGCAAGCTACATCTACGATTCGTGGCCAGTGCCACTGTGGCCTAGTTACTTATGAGTTTCCTCCTGCTCCTTCCATGGACATGGAGGCATCAGACACACCCCAGTTACTCAAGGATAATATTGTTCCCCCATCCAAGCAGCAGTTTGCAGAAAGAAGTGGAAACGTAAAACTTACGCTCTCGTCCGACGATGCAACTCACAAGGCTCTAGGTCAACAAGTGGCGAGCTAGCCACTGCCATTGCGGCGCTTGCAGGAGGACGGTTGGGGCGCTGATGGTGGATTGGGTCAACGTTCCTACGAATGTGATCAAGATTACTCGCAATGGGGAAACTGGGAGGTACAGGGCGTCCAACCACGCCACCAGAGAATTCGTGGGTACCTCGACTTGTGTTTACATAGCCCTGTTGACAAATCGTCAGTGCAAAAAATGCGGTACTGCTCTCTTTTTCTTGGACGACGAGGACACGGAGATTGTAGACGTCAATGTAGCGTCCATCACCACCCCCAATGTGTTTGACTACATCGAGTACGGCGGTCACATTTGGCTGGGGGATGTCAAGGATCTCGTTCTAGACGAGGACAAGAAGGGAGGAGGTCTTGCTGGAATACTCAATGACGGACTCCCCCGGACCGTACGAGGCCGACAAAGCGAGCCCTTCTAGTCGTAGAAACGTGGCATGATATTCCAAAAATGAAGATGTACAGGTTGTCCTACGGTCCAGGTGTAAACCGCTGTGAGAATGCCGCGGTCTATCGAGCTGTCCCGTTGGCTCGAGGCGTGGTCGTTGGAAACTTGTACCAAGACGGCACAAGAGCCCAGACCGACACCAGGGTGTTTATATTACACGGTTTTGACTCATAATCAACAGTGGGCCAGCAAAAGGCTGGATGATGCTCGTATGAGCGCTGTTGGATAATCTAAGGACTGTGTGTGGGTTAAAAATCGAGCTGAACAACAGAAAACATGTTGATATCGCCAAAATATCTTGTTTCTTTGTGGAGTCCAGGTGGACGCGTACGATCAAAGTTCTTGCGGTGACATCTGCCACTTAGATCAAGTCTTGTCGAGTTGATTGGTTTATTTCAGCAGTTTGAACACGTTTCTGAGAGATGACACGATGGCGGTATGTGGTTGTGCAGTTCAAGTGCGTCTTAAGCGTGAACCACGCTGAGCTTACAACTACGTTTGGCTGGAGATTCTCAACAGTAACCTGGACGGATCATTCGACGCTATAGACACCCAAATGGTATCCATCTCAGCGCCTCTGGCGTCTACAAGTGCTGACTTCGTCCAAGACAGAGTCAAACGACGAGCCCATGTCGGGGCCAGCGACCCAACAACCAGAAGAGACGCTTACAATCTCTGTCGACGATCGTGAGTGTCCAGAGACGCGGCCATTTGGCTCTGACAAAGCGTGCCGTGCCCAGATGAGACGTTCATGCAGCGACATCTCCCGGATCTTGGTCAGGAAGTTGAAGATACGCAAGTGTTCAGCTGGCCGCTATCAAATTGGAAGAAGCTTGACCGCAAGATAACGAGTCCAGAGTTCCCGTGCGGTGGGCATAAGTGGCGAGTAGACCGTCTCCTAAGCCCGTGCTGAAGCAATCTGACGTACCGCCTAGGAGAGTACTCCTTTTCCCATTTGGCAATGCCAGCGCCCCGCCAAACGATTCCATGTCGATATATCTGGACTACGTACCACCCAAGAATTCTGAAAACTGGCATGCCTGCGCCCAGTTCGCGCTCGTCCTCTCAAATCCAAGTGATCCAACAAACTTTGTTGTTAGCCGTGAGCATTCATCTGCCGTTTTGCAACAGCAGAACATCGGCTAATACTAGTTCCCTCCGTATAGACGCCCACCATCGATTCGTTCCCGAGGAATGCGACTGGGGTTTTACTCGATTCTACGACTTACGCAAGCTGTTTCAAGCTCCTGATCCAGCACGACATCCCATTATCGAGAACGAGTCCGCCATTGTGACGGTATTCGTGCGCGTCCTCAAAGACCCTACTGGGGTCCTGTGGCACAACTTTGTAAAGTGAGTTGCCTGGCTTGGTTGAAACTCGTGTACTGACGTGTTCTAGCTACGACTCTAAGAAAGAGACTGGTTACGTCGGTCTCAAAAACCAAGGGGCGACATGCTACATGAACTCGCTTCTTCAATCACTATACTGCACCCGTTACTTCCGCAAGGTACTTTTACATTGTCTCATTAGCGATAACGCCATCTCAATTCAATCGCAGGCCGTGTATCAAATCCCAACAGAAAACGACATCGCATCGGAGAGCGTTGCTCTCGCATTACAACGTGTATTCTACGGACTGCAGACGTCTGATCAACCAGTTGGTGCGTTCACCGCCGAGTGCGTCATTCCCCATCCTGACCGTCGATAGGAACCAACGAGTTGACCAAGTCATTTGGATGGAAATCTCTCGACTCTTTTATGCAACACGACGTTCAAGAGTTTAATCGAGTCCTGCAGGACAAGCTCGAGTCCAAGATGAAGGTAATCGACCACTATCGGTCTATCTCAATACTCAAATACGCGATAGGGTACAGCAGCTGAAGGTGCGATCAATCGCCTCTTTGTCGGAAAGATGAAGAGTTACATCCGTTGCGTCAATGTCGACTTTGAATCGTCGAGAACGGAGGAGTTTTATGGTGAGTAGTATGATGTGAGTAGAGTGCAACTTACGTGTTTATATAGATATCCAGCTCAACGTGAAGGGTATGCGCAACCTTCGCGAGTCCTTCCAGGACTACGTTGCCGTCGAGACTCTCGAGGGAGACAACAAGTACCAAGCGGAAGGACACGGCCTTCAAGATGCAAAGAAGGGTGTGATCTTCCAATCCTTCCCCCCTGTCCTTCATCTTCAACTCAAACGCTTCGAGTATGATATCCAGCGAGATGCGATGGTCAAGGTCTGTCCTCTGTCCTCTTCAATACATGATCTGACAAGCCATGGTTAGATTAATGACCGTCATGAATTCCCATTCGAGATTGATCTCGAGGAATTCCTCGACGAAACCGCCGATCGTTCTGAGCCACACGTCTACAAGCTCCATGGTGTCCTGGTCCACTCTGGAGACCTCCATGGCGGACACTATTTCGCTCTCATCAAGCCGGATCGAGAGACTCGATGGCTAAAGTACGACGACGACCGCGTAACCCCCGTCACAGACAAAGAGGTGCTAGAAGATAACTACGGCGGAGAATCTACCACTGGTTTATTGCAGCACCAACGGCAACAAGTACGCACGTTGAAGCGTTTCACCAATGCGTACATGTTGGTCTATATTCGCGAGTCAAAATTGGACGAAGTCCTCGGCCCCTTGGCAGAGGCTGACACTCCTGTACACCTCAGTACGTCCGCTAGATTCTGCATTTCGTTCTATCCTGACCGCTTGGGCAGGGAAAATGATTGAGGAAGAGCAACGGCAAGCCGAGCGTAAGAAGAGAGAACGCGACGAGCAGCACCTCTATCTCACTGTCAAGGTTCGGGTTCAGCAGTTCGACCAAACTCCGCTCATTGTCTTCTAGATTATCACGGACCAGAGTTTCCAACAACACCAGGGCTTTGATCTTGCCACATTCGAGGACAAAAATTGGCCCGCATCCGAAGTTCCGACGTTCCGTGTCCTTAAACAAGAGACATTTGTCAAATTCAAAGCAAGAGTCGCACAAAGCGTGAACATTCCGCCTGATAGGATTCGTCTCTGGGTTCTCGTCGGTCGTCAGAACAAAACAGTGCGACCAGACGTCCCTGTTCCGGATCATGACGCCTCCATGAGTGAGCAACTTTTTCTCAGACGTTTGATGACACTCATTGTTTTCTAGCAATGGAGATGGTTCGCAACACGATGGCGGTCCGATCTGCTGAACTCAGATTGTTCCTCGATATTCGCTCGGAAGTCGAAAAAGTTCACCCTGAGCCAAATGGAAACACTTTGATGATTTTCCTCAAATACTTTGATGCTGCGAAGCAACAACTGTATGGTGTAGGAAAGATTTACGTTCAACGACAAATGCGAGTTGGAGACCTCTCTGGAATAGTTTGCGAGAAGATGCGCTGGCCTAGTTCGACACCCCTTAGGTTTTTCGAGGAGATCAAGCCCGGGATGATTGAACTCATGAAGACCAAGGCGACATTTGCTCAAAGCGAGATTCAAGACGGCGACATTATCTGCTTCCAGGTCGAACTCTCTGACAAGGAGTACGTCGTTCTCACCTTCTATTATCCTGTGCTGACCCTCTTTCAGCGTATTGGATCTCGAGAGCCAAGGTCTCTCTGCTTCGCCAGTCTCATTCTACGACTTTTTGCAAAACCGTATCATCATCCACTTCCGACCCAAGGACGAGCAGAGCATTGAGGAAGGCTTTGACCTCACGCTCAGCAAGAAGATGACTTATGACATGGTCAGAACCAGATCACCTTTATTGGTCGAAGCTTACATATTCCTAGATGTCGCAAAAGGTCGGAGACTATCTCAAGCACGACCACCTCAAATTGCGCTTTACGACCACTCAGTCAAACGGGCAACCAAAGCAAGTCCTCAAACGAGCGCTTAATCAAGCCGTTTCCGAAATTATACAGCCAACTTATCTGGCTCATCAAACTCCAACCATCCTCTACGAGTTGCTGGATGTTCCAATATCCGAGTTGGAAACGAAGAGAAGCTTGAAAATTGTGTGGACTGGTCTTCACAACAAGGAAGAAGGCGCCTTCCCCTTCTTGTTACCAAAGACGTACACAGTCGCCGAGTTGGCAGACCAAGTCATTAAGAACGTAACGCTCTCACCCACTGGCACGGGTAGAATACGTTTGTTTGGCATCTCTAAAGACGGCAAGCGACAAGAAGAGTTGAGTGGAGGCGAGATGATTGGCAATCTCTCCGATGCTGCCGAGCTCTACGCAGAGGTACGTACCAATTTTGCCAAGAGTAAAGCCGCTAATTTTGTGGTAGGAAATTCCTGTCGAGGAAGCCCAAGCAGACGAGGCCGATAAGGTCATTTTTGCTTATCATTTCTACCGCGAGCCCACTCGTGCACATGGTGTGCCCTTCCGATGTGTATGCAAACCGGTACGCATCAAAGTTGAATTTTCGATCCCCTTCTTATCTGTTCTCAGAACGAAACGTTTGCCGAAACGAAGAAACGGCTAGCGGCGCGACTCCAGGTTCCAGAACGTGACTGGGCAAAGTATAGATTTGCTTTGATACAAGAAGCTACGTTCAAGCAGCCAACGTATATCAACGACGGTGCGTCTGTTCTCTGCATAGGTGGGGGTTGTGTCTTACTCTGTCCCAGAGGATTGCTTGTATGATCACAAGTTTTTGTCAGACGATGTGCTTGGGCTCGACCATATGGACAAGTCTGGGAAACGTACGAATGGAGCTTATAAGAACGAGGCGCTCGTTATCAAGGGATAATCTACATCGGTTGCTACGCTTGCAGTCTCTAACGTAACTCTTCTGTCAAATGACCTGTACCACTTAATATATGCCTCTGCACAGACTTTCCTGGGCGGTGTAAGAACTTGTCCAGTTCCGCAATAGCAGATAATGGCCACTCCTGAGCAACTAGAAGCCTTTTTTGATCGCCAAAGGCAGCTTCTAGCACAGGAGCGACAAGCAGAAATTGATCAGACTTCGCTGCTGCTTTCCAATTGCAGCGCAAAGCTCCTGGAGAAGAAGGGACTTGCGTTGCTTGGTCTAGGAGTTGTAAATGTCAACATCGGACTTGGAGGTAAAAGGTGCATCACTCTATCTCTGATTACCTATGATCTGACGGCCATAGTGCAGCCTTGTCGAGTTGGAAAGACCCAGCGCACATCATTCGAGTCCATTGTTCCCACCGCACACATTTCGGTATATCAGGATCATATAATGGAGCCACTGTATTCACACTGTTACAGACCTGGAGATTTGGCTAGGATCGACGATGCCTCCACGACCAGTAAGAAGGCGAGCAAATCGAAGACTCCCGCGGCTGCTAGCAAGGAGAATTTCGGGGTAGAGGGCGTAGTTTACAAGGTAAGAACCTAAATAAATGAGGTGTCTGAATACCACACGATAACAGGTCTCCAATTCACGCATTATCATTGCTGTCGACGCTTCTAGACCTGGAACAAATGAAGACCTTGACATTCCGGAACATTGTATCGTAGTAAAGCTAGCAAACACCGTCACCTACGATAGGTAGGACCTCGATGTATGGCTACGATGATCTAACACATCCTACAGGATGGATCAAGCAGTCGAACGCATGTCTAAGATTATGCTCGGAATCGCTGGACCCAGTGGAAATACGCAGGCACCCAACGCACTACAACGGGTACTGTTTGGTCAATCGTCTCCTTCGCGGCCAGACGACATTGGCACGATTCAATTCTTCAACTCTGAAGGGCTGAACGAGAGTCAGAAGAGAGCCGTAAAACTCGCGCTAGCTGCGCCAGAAATAGCACTTATACATGGCCCACCTGGAGTGAGTGGCATTTCGAACTCCTACCAGAGACTGATGATCGACAGACCGGGAAGACACATACATTGGTTGAGGTTATCTTGCAACTTGTCGCGCGGAACAAATCGTGCCTGGTGTGTGGTGCAAGCAATCTAGCTGTGGACAATCTGTTGGAGCGACTAGTTCCACACAAGATTCCTCTCATCCGAGTTGGACATCCAGCTCGTGTATTGAATGATCTCCATGATGCCACTCTCGACTCGCAAGCCGAAAGAAGCGATCAGGCGCAGCTCGTCAACGATATTAAGAAAGAAATCAACGATCTGATGAACACGCTAAGCGGAGGGGGTAAGGGAAAGAAACCGAGGGGAGCTGAGAGGAAGAAGATGTACGATGAAGTCAAGGAGCTTCGCAAAGAGTAAGTCGAACCCTGCTCTTCGAGTTTTGAGCTGATATTCAAAGATATCGAAAGCGTGAGGGAACTATAGTGTCTCGCGTCGTAGATGGTGCGAAGGTTGGTGGACATGTGTTCGATGAGTCTCGCAGTGACGAAGTGTAGATTGTGCTCGCGACCTGTCATGGAGCCGGAGGTCGACAACTATTTAATCGGGCATTTGACGTTGTTATTGTCGACGAGGTGGGCCGCGTACTGATCGTCCGCCTTCTACAATTCACCACTTTGATAGGCCGCACAAGCTCTGGAGGCTGTTTGCTGGATACCAATACTAAAAGCCTCAAAGCTAATTCTAGCGGGCGACCCCTTGCAGCTTCCACCGACAGTTCTCTCGACGAAAGAAAAGAAGAGTGCCACAGTGAAAGCTCAGGCACCAGCCAAAACTATGGCCAGGGCGAAGGCCACAAAGCCTAAATCGCAAAAGGCTGAACCCGAGCCAGCAAAGGAAGTAGATGAGTCCAGCGAGGATGAAAGAACCGGGGCCGAAGGATACATGCAAGATACGGGAAGGCCAAGGACCTCTATAACGAAACTTGGGCTGCTCATACCACCCAAATCGCTTGAAGTCACTCTTTTCGACAGGATGGAGGTAATGTGGGGTCCAGAAATCAAGCAAATGCTAGATGTGCAATACAGGTGAGTAACTTTACGGGTGATAGGACTTTGTACTAAATTTTCGTAGAATGAACACCAGGATTTGTGCCTTTCCTTCAGCCACACTGTACTCTTCCAAACTTACTTCGGATCCTTCGGTGGCGAATCGACTGTTGACCGATCGGGATCCCACCAATGATGCAGCTCAAGATACACTAGGCCACCCTATAGTCTTCTTTGACACGGCTGGATGCGAGTTCTTTGAGCGCGTAGATGGTGGAGACAATGAGGGTAAATCGACGACTCTAAATGACGAAGGGAGTAAATGCAACGTCAACGAAGTGGAAATTGTCAAACAATGGGTCAACGACCTTGTCAATTATGGGATCCCTCCACAGGAGATTGCAATCATCACGCCGTGGGCTCTGTTCATAAGCCTCACCGTGGCTCACTAACACTCATTGCAGATATCAAGCCCAGGTGTCGTTGCTCTCAGCTGCTCTCACGTCAATTCCTGGATTGGAAATTGGCACCGTCGACGGTGTCCAAGGACGAGAAAAGGACGCGGTAGTCATCTCTCTTGTGAGGAGTAACGATAAAGTGCGCTTGAATCGCTATATTCCTCGCCCGGTTGACGACTTTTGCTAGCGGGAGGTTGGGTTCCTCAAAGAGAAGCGACGCTTGAATGTAGCGATGACCAGAGCACGGAAACAGCTGGTATGTGCGTGGATACATAACAGACATGCGCTAATCTTGGTCAGTGTATTGTCGGCGATAGTAGCACAATCCGTCACGGTAGTTTGTATCTCAAAAAGTGGATGGAATGGCTCGAGGAGAATGCCGATGTACGGTTCGCAGGTGATAATTGATAGTCGTAGTTTGGTTCATGCGGCTGTTTTGCATGGTCTGTATACATAGAGGGTAAAACACGCATGAGTACCACGCTTGACTTCCCAAGAAGCACAAGATCCGTCCAAAGGGTACTTTATGCTGCTCGACCAGCCCCTGGTACGTTTCGCCTCTGTCGGCCAGTGTTGGTAGGCACGTACGCATTGACTGGGACGATGGTGACATTGATATTGTCAAAGTTGAGGGAGCGCAGCATTTCCTACAAAAGAGCATTGGTTCGAGACTTCTCTTGGAGCAAGTAGGCTCACCTTGGTATCAGCATCGACGCTGAGACCCTCCTCTCCCACATCGAGTGCGGAGACTTCTGGAACGTAGTTGTCCTTGCGTTCTCGCTCCTCTTCCTGCAGTTTGTACGAGATACCACGGACAGGACCCTTTTGAATACGGCGCATCAAGTGTGTAGTAAAGCCGGAAATCTTATTGCGTAGGCGTTTCGAGGGAACGACAGCCTAAAGCCCAAAGGTAAGAATAAAGAAGAGACGAGAACTAAGGAAGCACTAACAACTTCATCGATGATCCTCTTGTTGGTGTGGAAGTCGTTGGTCAGGCGGGGATAGCTATACGAAAGAACAGGCAGTCAGCACACCATAAATCTATAGTTTCTGAGTAAATTAGACATACTATTTCTCGATGAGGACGCGAGAGGCGCGCTTGACGGTCTTGGTACGAACTCGACCCTAATGGCAAGCCCATCAGCCGCTAAATCTCCAAACCGATGCTCCAAAGACGTCGAGCAGACTATCTTATAGAATCCCGACTAACCATGATTTTTGATGATTTTTGGCGCCGGTAGTGGTAGCGTCTATACGGTCCAAACTAATGCGACCAAACGAAACCTTAAGTTGGCCTCTTACCTCCTCGCCGTTTGACGAAAGTCAGTCTTGTTTGACTCGTGCTCGTGTGCACGACACTCATTCTGAGATTTATACGGCACCAGTCCTTTCTTCTAGATTGCCTTTGAAAACCAGCTTGCCTCAGCCATGGTCCGCGTATCTGTCTTGGTGAGTTGCCTCACGCGTCTATGCGGCGACGTAAATGTTAATATTTGTTAGAACGACGCTTTGAACAACATTGTCAACGCCGAGCGTCGCGGCAAACGCCAGGTGCTCATCCGCCCCTCGTCAAAAGTCGTCGTCAAATTCTTGTCTGTCATGCAGCGACATGGTAAGACTGTTCTCAGGTTTTTCATCTCCGACGTGATAACTACTCGCGGCGAACAAACCCTTCGCCACTCGTCTCGTGTTTTAACGCGTCGGTACAGCAAGGCCTAGGCCAATATGCTATAGACAGTTGAAGGATCTACATTCTTCTGTGGTCCCTTGACTCATAATAGCTCGTACATCCCCTCTCTCAATCGCATCGGCTGACTGTTGGTATCAGGCTACATTGGCGAGTTTGAAATCGTCGATGATCATCGTTCTGGAAAGATTGTTGTCCAACTTAATGGACGACTGAACAAAACTGGTGTCATCTCGCCTCGTTTCAACGTGCAGGTCAACCAAATCGAAAACTGGGTCAACTTGTTGCTCCCCTCTCGTGGTTTCGGCTACATCATCTTGGTGTGTAGAATTCTTACATATTAATTCTTCCCTCTCACCATTCTACAGACCACTTCCGCCGGTATCGTCGATCACGAGGAGGCACGAAGAAAGCACGTCGGAGGCAAAATCTTGGGATACGTGTACTAGACGTTTATTCCTCACTTCAATGACATTTGTGTTGAAAACATATCTCTATTCGTTCCTATGGGGCATTACGCCTTTTCACCCACGGGCTTCGACCATTCCCAAGCCTTCTTTCTCGAGGAGCTCGATCAACGGATCGCAGAGCTCCTTGGTGTATGGTGCAAGCACACCAGTCTGATTGATGACTCCGTCGAGCACGAGTTGCGTTGCAATACCGCATGGTACTCCTACGGTGACCGCCATTGCGCTGTGTCCGCCAGGAGTTCCGTACATTTCCAAGGTGGAAGTAATAATTTCCTCTTCTAGTTGGCCGTCTTTGTTCCACTCGACGACAAACTTGTGCTGGAGCATGACGAGGTCGCGCTCACCCTCTTCATATTTCATCAAGGTCTCGAGCCGGGCACAAAGTGTATCGAGGAGGTTCGATGCACGAACGGTGACCTTTTCAGAGGATAAGAGGCCGATCCATCTCAAGCCAGAGATGATGCGTGTCCTTTCCGAGACTGAGGGGAAGTCGGCGATTGCTGCAACCTTCTCTACAAGAGTCCTGAGATAAAGTTTAGGATATCTGATACGGCAATTTGAGTATTTGTGCATACTTTTCATCTGCAGAGTCTGCGCCAAGGGCCTTTTGGGTGACCTCTGCCCATGTGAGGTCGTTGGTGAGCCACTCCTTGCTCTCGCCGTCGAGCCAGCCCATCTTGACGAGCACGGCGATAAACTCTGGGAAACCTTGGAAGCGCAGGGTTCCTCTGACAACAGTCTCTGCCTCGGGAATGTTGTAGTATTGAGCAAACGGCGTCGAATCGCGGTTCGGATAGGCCACAAATGCGTAAGCGGGCGTAATGAAGTACGGTTTTGCGTGAGACATGAGCTCTGAGCCAGGGATCGAGACCTTTTGTCCGTTTTCGATGTACATTGCTGAGTTGAGCAACGCGAGCAAAACGCCTCGAGATGACCAGGAGAACTTGTATCCAAGGGGGTTGTTGGAGGCCTCTGGAGCGGGGAGACCTCCACAGTACGAGAGGAAGTGCTTGATCTAATCAAGCAGATGAGTAAAATGCGCACTTGTTTGGGAGGCTGGCACTGACTTTTCCTCCCTTTGCGTGAACCTCGTCGATAATCTTGACGGCGTACAAGTGATCAATTCCAGGATCGAGACCAATCTCATTCATAACGACGATACCAGCCTCCTTTGCTGCTGCATCAAGCTCACGCATCGCAGGCGAGACATAGCTCGTCGTGACGACGTGAGTCTTGCCCTTGATCGCCGCCTTGATGACTTGGGCATGATAAGTGTAAGGAATGAGAGAAATGACAACATCGTGGTCCGCGACAGCTTGCTCCAGAGCCTCGGGATTCTGGACGTCGAGGGAGATGGCGTTTACGCGGGGGAGACCCTCGCCAAGGCTGACTGCGGAGGCAAGAGTGCGGCAGGCTGGGTTTGGATGTTAGTGTGTTTCAATTGTTTGGAAGAAGAACTTACCGATAGTGAGACTGTTGGATGGATCTCGCACTACATATTCTGCGCAAGGACGCGCGACAAAGCCACTGCCGAGGAGAAGAATCTTCTTTGCCGGCTTGTCCTTTGAAGCAGTTGCACCGAGAACGGGTAGGATTGTCTCACCCGTTTCCAAAATGCGGCGTCCAAATTCTGGCAAAATAAATGCGGCGCGGTGGACGTCCTCGTTGTAGTACCTAGTGCCCTCGACCTTGCGAACAGGTGTCCTCATATCTCTCGTCGCATCTTTGCTGGCGAGGCAGAAGCCAATCTGTCCAGAGGGATACGTCGGGATGGTGGTAAAGGCATACTCGACTACAGGGAAGATTTCCTTGACCATGGTGTTGGTATTCTTGATGAGTGGAAGATGGATCCATAGGCATTCTCCTTGCGTTGAGATGCTTCCTCCAGGCGCAAGTGCGTCGTGAAGCAATTGGAAATAGGGCTTTTGGAACAAGGACTCGGCTGGGCCTACCGGGTCAGAAGAGTCGGTGATGATCACATCATAAGTAGATGTATTGTCTGCAAGGAACTTGAAGCCATCTCCCACAAAGACGCGAACGCGGGACGAGTCCAAGAGTTCAGACATGTGAGGAAGGTACTGCTTCGAGACACGGATAACTGCCTTGAGGTGGGTAAGCTGTGAAAAATGCAGGTAGACTAGAAGACAAACCTCGTCGATGTCACAGAGCACAACTTCTTGCACAGATTCATGGCGGAGAACCTCACGAACGACACCGCCGTCTCCGCCACCGATGACCAGAACTTTTTTCGGGTTTGGATGGCTGGCCAGAGGGATATGTGCAATCATTTCCTGATATCTAAAATATATCTATTTGTCAGATATGACAATCCCCGAAAGAGTTTAACTTACGAAAACTCGTCGCGCTCTGTGCATTGGATGACTCCGTCGAGGACAAGTACATTTCCAAATGTCTCCGACTCAAAGACGAGGACGTCCTGGTACAATGATTTTTCGACGTGGAGGATCCTGTTCACCTTGAGAGTCATGGCTTGTCCAGGCCATTGAGACGAGATCTCGCGGAACCAGCCATCTGCGATCATCTTAGACAATATTTTCGACACATTTCATAGTCTTTTTTCACCTTTGATTGAAGGGTGGGTGAGGGGAGCCATCGGCCGGATCTGGAGTGGCGGAAAGAAAGATTGCACAGGGTAAGCGAAACTTTACGGGAGGCGTCAAAGTACGGAGAAACAGTGCTCGGATTCAAGAAGACTGCTCGGAAAATTCTGCAGCAGCCGCTACTTGACATAAATAAAGGGGAGTCGATAAACTACTTTCGCTTCTTCGCCTTTTTGGAAGTGACCTACATGATACGTGATTAGACAGAAGTTGGATCGTCCATTCCATGTCATACCGAAGCGGTAGGAGAGCCGGGAACTGCGCCGTCTGAGACTGGTTCGGAAGATGTCGCGTTGGTGGGTGAGGGGAATGACTGCTGCAGTTGTTTCGCGGAAACAGTTGTTGTAGGTGTTGCAGGAGCCGGACCATTCGCTTGTGGGGGCGGAGGATTGATGGTAATGGTGGGTATGATGCGCTTCGTCACGCCGTATTTTGCCTCTACAAAGGTGGTCAATACGACTCCTCATAGTGAAAGGGGAAAACATTACCGAGCTGTGGTCGGGAATGGAAGACTTTGTTCATGCCCTCGCGCAACTTTTCGTTTTGAACAATCTCTGCGGCGGTTTGGAAGATTAAATTTCCCCACCCTTGCTTGAAAGTTTCTGCTTCCGTTACGACTTCTAGAATCTCTGCTTCCAGTTCCTTTTCGGCGGCCAAAAAGCTGGTCCACAGGTCATCGCCGATGGACCCTCTTGCAAGAGGTTGGAGAGTGCTGCCTTGTCTTCACGGAGACGGAATATGCGATGAACATCTGCAACGGCGCGTCGGACGAGGGCGGCTTTGATGAGGCCGTCATGGGCTGGCGGGTCACACTGCAGGAGCGACACGTAGATATCTCGCTCGTGGTGTGCAGGAAACCACGGCTCTAGTCTTCTTGAAGCTAATTATGTGTCAACGTTTGAGAGAAACAGATGCCAGCGAGTAGGCTGAGCTCACCCGCGACGCGCTTTCGGTAGATGCGCCCAAAGACGAGGAGAGCAGCGACGAGAACGGCCAAATATGCGGCAGGTACAAGTAATGAAGCCATTGTGAGAGTAAACGAGCGGCCAGCTGGAAATATATGTCAAGCCTGCTGGCAAAGGCAGAGCCAGAGTTACGATTTCACTTTGGACACCACTCTGACAATGCTCCGGATTGCTGCTCGACAAACACGCTCCTGCACACGCTCAACAGCATTGGGACTGCGATATGCGTCTCAGACGAGCAACAAGGTCTGTAGTCTCCAGCAGATCATCGGCCAGAGCTCACCAGTCGAAAGTCGTTGCGAGATACAATGGCAGAAATCATTCCTCAGAAACAGGAAAAGCTCAAGAAACTGGTATATAATCTCTCTAGTTTACTGTCAAGCCCCTGACACGCAGGACAGAGGACAGAACATGGTCAAGTCGTCTTGGGGGACGTCAAGGTGGGGGAAGCTTGGCCGACAACCAATCTTGGTGCTCATCCTATTCTACAGGTTGAAAATATTATTGGAGGTATGAGAGGACTCAAAGCCATGCTTTGGGAAGCCTCGGTTCTCGATCCCAACGAGGTTCGCCTTGCAACTCGATCCCGCGCTTTTGCTCATGCGTACAATACAGGGCATTCGATTCCATGGTCACACAATTCCCGACTGTCAGAAGCTCTTACCCGCCGCACAAGGGGGCAAGGAGATAATCCCTGAAAGCATGCTATGGCTTCTGCTCACGGGCGAGATTCCTTCGGAAGCCCAAGTTCGTGCTCTTTCGAAAGAATTTGCAGACAATGGAACGCTCGATAGCAAAACGGTCAAGCTCATCGACGAGTGAGTAGCGCGCATGTTCCGTCCCGTGATTTTCGAGCGTGGTCGAACAACTGTATTGACATCGAATCACGCTACCCAGGCTTGATCCCGCCATGCATCCAATGACTCAATTCGGCATTGCAGTCGCATCATTGAACACGACAAGCAAATTTGCCGCCGCGTACGAGAAGGGGATCAAAAAGACAGAATACTGGACATATGTTCTCGAAGACTCATTGGACCTTATTGCCAAGCTTCCTAGCATCGCTGCCAGAATCTATTACAACATCCGCAATCCCGGAAAAGCAGGTTCGCCTGATAGCGCCGCGTCCCTAGCGGTGAACCCCAAGCTTGACCTCGTCGGTATGTACTATGCAACTTGGTCGCTTTCTATTGACCACCTCTAGGTAACTATGTCGAGCAAATGGGCCTCGGTGGAAATGACAGCCTGACGGAATACCTGAGGCTGTACATTGCCCTTCACGGTATGTCGTTCATCGGTGGCAAGTACAAAATAACGTATTTCTAGGTGACCACGAGGGTGGCAACGTGTCTGCCCACACTGCTCGTAAGTCTTGTAGGCTCACGCAGGTTTGAAGCTCATGCACGTCTAGACCTTGTTGGATCCGCCTTGAGTGACCCATATCTCTCGTACTCCGCCGCATTGTTCGGTCTTGCCGGTCCACTCCATGGGTTCGTCGTTATGAATCTCCGTTATAGTGCAAGCACTCATCTGCTCCAGACTGGCAAACCAAGAAGTCTTGCGCTGGATCTTGGCTATGCAAAAGTCTGTCGGTGACAACGCCACGCGCGAGCAGATTAAAGAATACCTTTGGTCTACGCTCAACTCTGGCCAAGTAGTGCCGGGGTACGGCCATGGTGTGTTGCGCAGTCCCGACCCGCGCTTCAACGCTCTTCAGCAGTTCTGTGATGTTCGACCGGAGTTGAGCTCGAGCCCTGTCATCAGGCTCGTCAAGCAAGTATCGGAAATCGCACCCGGTGTGCTCAAGGAGCATGGAAAGACAAAGAACCCGTATCCAAATGTCGATGCCACCTCGGGTAAGGCTTTCCATACTTGAGATTTTATATCAGATGCTGACTCGACTAGGATGCCTCCTTTATCACTATGGCCTGACAGAGTTCAAGTATTACACCGTCATCTTCGGTGTCTCTCGAGGTAATGTCACTAAAGTAGATACAATCTATTCCTAACACTGTGTAGCAATCGGGGCGTTGACACAGTTAGTGTGGGACCGTGCCCTTGGACTCCCAATCGAGCGCCCGAAATGTACGTATACCTCTATAATTTCTCCCAAGTCTGACTCTTTTGTTAGCCCTCTCCATGGATGCCATCGAGAAGCTCATTCCCAAGTAATCCTAATGCTAAAAGACTCGTCATGGGACCAGTCAAGAGTATCTTAGAACTTTAATTGCAATCACCGTTCATAAAGGGATAAATCATTGAGTTCTCGTAGCAACATGGCCAAATAACATACTAAGGAAGGAAGTATGACAATGTACGTTGCAGTCTCGTGAGCATCGTCAAGGGCGAAAAGGGGGGGAAACGGAGAGGAATCCAAGAAGAAAGACGAACCGAGCAAATCGTACCAAGATATTTCGTTGTTGACATTCCGAGAGTCCTAGTCCAACCAGGAGGAATATGAACGTTCGATAGTCCTCGAGCTAGACTCCACAACCCAGAAGGGTATCATCCAAAAGCTTAGAAACGACGAGACGGTGGCGGTTGCTGTCCGCCAGACATGCCCCCGTGTTGGAACAAGGGGTTTGGCTGCGGCATGTGCCCTCCCCCAAAGCGAGGATCCATGGGTGGACCACCTGGCATACCAGGCCTACCCATCGGCATGCCATTCGGAGGCGGACCGCCCATCATACCTGGAGGTGGTGGACCGTTCATCCCTGGAGGTGGCGGTCCATTCATGCCATTGGGAGGGAAACCGCGTCCGGCTGGTGGAGGGAAGGACTGCATTTGGTTTGGAGGCGGTCGTTGCATACGTTGTGCAGATGCGGGCGGTCCACCTGGTCCACCACCAGGTCGTAGACTTGGAGGAACAGGCCCAGGACCACCTCCGGGACCCGAGGGCATTGGAGGAGGCATTCCTCGACCTGCCGGGGGAGGTACCGCGCCGCCTGGAGGTGGACCACTCATCGGAGTCCCATTCTTCTCTGCTGCTTTGAGAATTTCGTCACTTTGAAATCGGGTTAGAATCGGAGCCGGCCGCATATAAAGAAAGGAAACACCGGCTCACTCGAGGAGGTTTAGCGCCGCACACAATACAACCCATTCCACGCAATCTTCGTTTCCTTCGCCGAGCGTCTGCCAAACGGCCTTTTCCTCTGCCGTCTTTCCGGTGATGGAGATTCTGGTGCCGCCGCCCGAGGTGGCGGGATTCTTTTGAATCTTGCCAAATTCGATGCGCTTCGGAGGGATGAGGTGGCCAGCATAGGCGAAATAGAACATGCTCCAGTGGGTGGCATTTGGGTTGGGCTTGGAGATTTGGAAAAGGGGGAGGTCGGCAGAGTCTGGGGATGGGAGGGACAATTTATAAATGGGAGACATGACGCCCGTGTTGGCAATGGACCATTTTAGATTTCGGGACGCTTCACAGCGCACGACGCGCGACGACGCAGAACCATGACCGGGATCTGATGCGTTTGGTTTTCCGGAAGCTGGCGGTCTGGGTGGGAATAGCTTGGCCACACAGAGATCTCCTTGTGGTGACGGGGTAAGCAGGTAGTTTTCTGTGTTCTAGGCGGGGAGTGAGGATGCATGGGATAATCTAAGAAGGTTTCCTTACAAAGTTTGTGTGGAGATAAGAATAGAGAATGTTGGAAGGCTGGCCTACGGGGCGTCTGTGTGAGCGCGGGCGCGATACGGCGCGTTCGGGAGAGGGGATTGCTTACCGTGTGGTGTTACAATCAAAGTAGGAAGATGATTTGGGATAGGAGCATGCGTTGGGCTCGTAAAGACTGTGTAGATTGCTGGAGAGCTCGCGGTAAGCTGGCTGCTGTTGGCCAACAGGACAAGATAAACACACCAGCCATGAGCACTGTGCTTTACGAGTCTTCAGAGACGCAAAGGAGCTGATCCGCGGGGAATGGGCAAGAGGACGTCGGGGCCAAGCTTGAAACCTCGTTTGGACTCTGTCGCCGACGGGGGTTTGGAGCCAGCTGGCCCAGAAACTTGCTGGAATCCATGCACCACAACGATTCATTGCCAGCGTCGCCGTCAAGCGGAATTCCCCTGTCCAGCAATCACGTTGCCAATGCCTTTCTCGGCCCAGAGGCGCCTTCGTCGCTCGATTTCTCCCACTTGAATTTGTCAGAAATCCCAGACGACGCTGTCGACCAGCTTGTGCAGCGTAGAGCCTCGGACGACGGCCAGAGCGACGGCAGCATCCACCGGTGAGCTTGCAGATGCCCTCCGCTCGCATCGTTGGCTGATAGATGTGCTAGAATCGCTCTGAGTAATAACCATCTCAGGACACTCCCCCGATCTTTTCATCTTCTACGCCGCTTACGATATTTGAACCTTCGCTCTAATGCTCTAACCCACTTTCCAGACGTCGTACGTAGCCTCTTTTACCCTCTTTGTTCATCTGTTTTGTCCCCAGTTGCCCCTTTCCCTTTTTGCTGACAGACCCCTCTAGCTTTCAGACATGCCCTCACTTGAGATTCTCGACCTCAGTAGAAACAAAATCAAGTCGTTTCCAGTTTCCCCGGGAACGCTTATCAACATTCGCGTGCTCCATCTAGGGAGAAACTGCCTCGACATGCTTCCGACCTATTTCCCAAACCTGCGTGAACTCAGTCTTCTCAAGATAGAACACAACCCAATCACTTGGCCACCTCCACACGTTCTCAATGCTACCGCAAACGGCTCGGACCTCCAAGTCGCCAGTAAATGGGTCCTCGCCATCCAGTCCTGGATTAGGGATGACCTCGCAAGATATGGTCCAACCACGGATAGTGCACGCTGGGAGTATCCCCGTAATGACGCAGAACCGACCCGTTCACCCGCGCATGACAGGACCCCGTCCAATGAATCCAATGGGTCCCACGTCTCCAGTTTCTCGCAGTCCAGCGCCCCAGATTCTCCTCGCGAGTTTCGTGCGATCAACAGACTGCTTCAGGCAGAAACCGCAGATGGCTACTCGTCGTCCTCCGTCGATGGTCACCATGGCATTCTGACGCCGCACTCTAAAAACGCATCTTTGACGCTCGGTCGCAAACAGTTTCCCAACGGTCTTCCCCTCAACCCCAAAAAGAGCCTGCCCGAGCTCCGAAGCATCCATCTACGCGGAGCAGATCGCAAGCCCAAAGGTCGACCCCCTCTCCCGGAAACCTTTCCGATCCAACATCATCAATCATCCTACTCCAAGGGCTCTGCGAGTGATACAGGCCACACCGTCCGGCCCAGTCCGCGGAATAACCTTCGGGACGAAGAGGAGACGGAGAACAAGCAACTTCCACCGATGGATGGCGAGAGTAGTTCCTACTTCCGACGCATGTCCACGCTTCCGGCTTCGACGATATCAAAGGCTGTGCCAAAATGCTTGCTGGTCACCGTGGACGCCGCTCGAGGGATTCTCTTTGCACTCTCACAAATCTATTCTGCATTGAGACATTATACCGTATTCGCCATTAATGATCGCCTTGCTGGTGTGCTCAACAAGGTCCTCGACCCAGCAAGCCAATACCTCTCTCGACTCATCACCGCGCTTGATCGATTCGATGCGCTCTGTCGAGTGGGGACGCCTCGTCCTGCTGCCTGTCGTGGCGTACTCGAAAGCTGTCGTGATAACATTACTGTCTTTTCCAAAGTTGTCGGAGTCCTCCAGATCCAGCTCAAGGTGTTTGCAGGATCGGATGACCTTCGGTATACGAGGACATTGATCATGATGCTTTATGGCTCCATGGGCGAGCTTTCCAATTCGTGGAACGCGATAGTCCCGCATATCGAAGAGGTTCAAAACTTGGTTCGTGACACTCCAGAATCGACGACCATATCGACCTTTGCAAATGCTCAACGTGCCGCCCAAGTAATTCCGGAATACATTGACAGCTCTTCCTCTGAGATGCGCTCCAATCTTGCGCTCGGACGGCCTCGCAGGCCACCCTTGTCAGAGCAACGCCGGCGTGAAGGTGGATCCTTCAGCATCAACGATGTCAAGATTGGAAAGGAGTTGCCTATTTTCCAACCCAATTCCGTCCAACCACTGAATATCAAGCCCCAGAGTGCTGCTAGCAAGAATCTTCGTAGTCATCTCCGACAGCCTCCGAGTGCATCCTCTCCGAGGTCGAATCAAGGCCATGGTTATTCGATGCACTCACCTTCTCCGTCAGCGTCGTCCCATGGACACGGGAGCAACCATGCGTATTCAAATGGACATGGCGACTCGCCAGTCAATGGCATGTTGTCGTCCGATAAAGATACGCTCGTTGACGCATCAATGTTGAGTTCCATGGAGGAATCGACCGACTTGGCCCTTCGCGTGTGGAAGCAGATTGAGGATCTGTTCGAAGTTGCCGATGAGGGGAACCCTGTCAACAGGGATTATCTCATGCGGACGAGGGAGCTCACCATGTCGTTGCGATCCAATATACGGGCTCTGCTTGATGGTGGGGATGGAGAAATGTACGGCGCTTCGTTGCTGAAGAAAGCTATGGCATTCAGTTTGGTGTGTGCCCAAGTTTGGTTGGTTTCATTAGAACTAAACAGAACCTACAGGACGTGGCGAACATCTTGAAATACGTCAAAGAAGTTCGTTTGGAGCGTCGCATACCTCTGGACCCATCTCTTCGAGAGGACATCCAAAAGCTCTCGCACACCACACAAGAGTTTATGTCATTCCTCAAAGTTTCTTCCTTCGCAACTGGGAAACCGCCAGCGTCTCCCGCGCCGAGTGCGCTCATGAGCCCAACGCCCTACGATGACCGCTCCCCCACGCCATACAGTGCCGGTGGCCACGGCACGTCGCTCGAGACGACGCCTACGTCTTCAAATCCACTATGGAGGAGCAGGAGCGCCAATGTCATTGGGTCTCCACCGCCTAGTTTTAGCGGACCGACGCTCAGTCGTGGTGCTGGGACTGTCGGAGGGAATGGTGTTTATCAGCATTCGATCGAGTCTGTCGTCAGAGAGTCTCCCCAGTGGAGTGGACCGGCTCACCCTTCTCTTTCCAAATTTCGCACACCACCGTCTCCCATTCCTGGCAGCAGGCGCCAGAATGGTGGAGTCGTGGGATATAAAGACTCTGATTGATTTTGAAATTTCCGCCTTTTCTCTATTTTCTTCCTATGCCGTCTCATCCGACGTAGCTCGCATGGTTTCGTCGTTTTTCCATCACTTTGCATTTACAGCTCGTGCTCGACTTCGGTTACGAAATTCATACCTTACATCGTCACAATGTGTATCAATAGTTGTAGCAGCGACCTTATTATCACATCATATACACTCCTCGTCGTGCGTTAGGTATTCAGCACATTAGTCCTAGTTGTTCCCCATTGCACCCATCATTCGCGAGAACATGGAGCCAATTCCTCCAGGTCCACCGCCACCCATGCCCATTTGGCTCATCATTCCTAATGGGAGTTGTGAGGACAAATATTCGATAAAACCGGCTGTCACCTACGCTGCATCTCCTCCATGTTGGGCATATCGCCATCCCCTCCAGCTCCACCTAGCATGTTGCGCATCATTTGTTCGGGAGTCATGCCGGAGCGTTGCATTTGCTGTATCTGCTGCATCATACCGGGAGGCATCATGCGCTGCAAACGTGTCAGAGACCAATATACGACAAAGCTGCTGCACGCACTCTCATTGCCTGGATCTGGGCAGGAGACGGCATTCCACCTGGACCAGCTCCTCTCCCTCGTCCGGCACCACCCATTCCCTTGAGAGCTTGTAACCTGATAATGATAAGAGGATGAAGGAGGCGTAGTGAGAGTGCTCACATCCCATTCTTGCCACCCATTTGTTTGGCGACATTCGCCATCATTCGATGTTGCATAAGAACCTCTTCGACCTCTCGCACGCTTGCACCACTCCCTTTTGCTACTCTCAAAACACGTTTGGTAACGCCGGTCGGTTTGTTGTCCTTGCCGATACGCAAAAACAGCATCCCATCCGAGTCCAATTCGGCCGGCGTCATCGAGTCGGTGATACATATCAGCCTCTTAAGGCGCCTCGATGCTTCTTCATCCGTGCCCTCCCCTGCTAAGCCTTCCATCAAGCCGGCCATTCCAGGAATCTTCGAGGTGATTTTGGATAGAGGGCCCCTGCTCAAGGTGAGGACAAAGATGCAACAGAAACAGGCCACGTACATGCTCATGATGTTCTGCATCTGTTCTCTCCAGTCGCGAATACTCAACTTACCCTCTTCAAATGCTTTGGTCATCTCCTTTTGTCGATCCGGGTTCTGCCGAGCTAGGTCGGACATGTGTTCCATAAGTCCTCTGAGGTCTCCCATTCCTAATAATTGGGAAATAAACGGCTCGGGTGAAAAGCGGTCGAGATCATTCAAGTGTTCACCGACACCGAGGAAGATGATAGGTGTTTTGGTAGCGGCCACACTATAGGCGGGTCAGGATCTTTTGCTTTAGTAGGAGAATGACTGACGCTGATATGGCCCCTCCTCCTTTGGCGTGTCCATCCATTTTGGTGACGATGATCGCGCCAAAGTCTGCACTCTCCTTGAAGGCTCTACTTTGAGCCTCTGCAGCTTGACCTGCAAAGATATCAGATATGAGCAAGTGCGTGGCTTCATCGAGTACCTATGCTCGCATCCAGAACCAGCACTGTCATGTCTGGTTTGACAGCAGCCTGAATCTGCTTCATCTCCTCAAACAGCTCCGACTCTTGTCGATGTCGTCCACTAGTGTCAACAATGATGACCTCAAATCGCTCCTTCTTAAACTTTGCGACACCTTCAGAGGCGATGGCCACTGGATCCGTTTCCGTGTACGATCCGTAAAAGTGCACTTTGGCCTTTGTCGCAGATTGTCGTGTCTGATCGAAAGCACCAGCACGAAAGGTGTCTGCACAGACAATGCAGCATTTGAAGCCACGCTTTTGGTAGTGGACGGCCAGTTTGGTACACGTAGTGGTTTTACCATTACCCTAGATCGCAAAACGAGAGTCATGTTAGATTTTTATGGGGCCAAGTAGCAAGTGACAAGTACCTGAAGACCCACGGCCATGATTACGTTTGGATGGCCTTTCTTTGGCTTGTATGGCTCAACGCCAGGGTCCACAAGCTGTACCAATTCATCGAAAATGGCCTGTTTATGACGTTTCAACACCTATTTGACGCATCGAATGAGTAAATAGTTGCCTTTTGGATAATACTTTTCCGTTGTCCTTCCTTCGACTTATCCGTGCTCTCCAAGGCAGGTTTCACTTTTGCTTTCACTTGTTTCTTGAGTGTCTGAACCAACTTTACGTTGACATCAGATTCGAGTAGTGCTTTAGTAATTTCCTTTAATAATTCATCGAGAACCTGGGCCGATTATGAGTCCCGTGAAACAGTACGACGCTTCGAGTCACCTTCTCATCGACGACGGGCGACTTGTTGAGATTCGAGAGCGCTGAATTAAGCTTACGACCGAGATCAGCGAGAACCATGGTAGGGAGGAGGTCCAAGTGCCACTATCAACTTTCGACACAAGAAACAGACAGAAGCAATAATCTACGTGGGCCTCCATGTCCGTAGCTGGTATGCAGCCTTCCTGACCTGCTCGTCATAGTGCTTCTCCTCCAGAATAAGGATCTCCCACCAGACTGCCGCAAACGGATTGCAAAGCTGCGGGTCATCAACCGTGTCTCTATAGACACCATCTGAGACCCTCTCTTCTGTACTCAATAGCGCGTCCAGCTTGCTATCTGCTCCAAGGAGGCTCTTGACGAAATTCAAGAGCCGAATTGTCATAGCTGGTCCTGTTTGAGTAGCAAGGGTGAGAAGACGTTTGGAGAAGGCGGCGAGTAGATAGGACGGCGCTTTCCCATATCTGGGTGTGAGGATGATTCCCAGGACGCGGAAGAGAAGGTCGGCTATGGAGCTGGAAGGATCCATTTTTGACCCCTTTTCGAACATCTGTGACTCCTCTTGGGAGAGAGGGAAAGCGAGTCGAGGGATTAATCGATAAAGGTGAGTCGTGAACTGGCTCAGGTCGAGATTCAAGGCCTCCCCTGAATGCGGGTGAGCGGATGGGGCATGGCGAGATTAAGAGATACCTTGGCCTGTGAGTAGATCATATGCAGTGAGAACGCAAAGCAGTTGAAGTTTAAGGTCGTTGCATGTATCGAGGGCCGTCTCTCCGTCCTCTCTCGTTTCTTGAGTGTCATCAAGGCGACTCATGATGTCGCGAATAACCTGGAGGAGGTCTCGGAAGAAGTCGACGTTGATCATGTGTGCAAATCGTGCGATGCCTTGGAGAGCTGCAGAAAGCAAGGGTGTTGTCTTGGATCCCTTGAGGATACTAAAGTAGAGAACAAACAAAAGCTTGAGTGTCTCCGTTTGCTAAAATTCCCGCGGATGAGTGGATGCGCTAACCGAACAAGGTTATGCGCACCTGGGTTGCTCGCTCCTCTCGATCGATTTCGGCCTCTGCCTCTTCCATTTCAGCTCTTATTTCCTTATTCTCTTTGAGGGCTTTCTTCGCTTTCTTGCTGAGATGGGGTGTGTCAACCTTCTTTCCTTTCGAGCGCTTGAGCTTTGCCTTGCTCTCAGACTGCTTCTTGTCGACGTGCTCCTTTGATGCCCTGACATTCTTGAGTTCGTCTTTTAGCCTGAGGTGTAGTAAGCAGTTCAGGCACCGGGGATTGACGTTGAAGTGGCGTTCTTTGATCATACGGTTGAGCAAACGAACAACCTCAAGTGAAGGGGCCCCAGTGAGATCGCTCTTGAAGACTGATATAAGCGTTTCCATGCATAGATCACTTGTCTGATGGTCATTAGCTCAGAAATCTGCCCTAAAACCTGATTTACCACATCCCAAGACTTGCGGCTTAGTTGTGCAATCAAAGTGCTCATAATGTTCGTTCGGAAGTTGAAGTGTGTTAAGTGCTGGAGTAGGGAGCACATGCAGCGCAAGCAAATATCCTTCAGTCCGGATTTTGCTGTAACAGGATTGATGAGTGAGTTGCACCAGCCTTGTAATGCGCAGTACCTCTGACTTCCTTATCCGCCAATTGCAAGTATGACTGATAGCAAGAAACAAGTCCTTGCTCCCAATCTCGAGTCTGGCCAACCATTTGGCTAACTTTTTCCCCGCGCTCTTTGTCAGTGAGCTTTCGTATTCGGTAGCCGGGAGCAATGTCTTTGAAGACAGCCATCAAGGATATAATGGCCAGTTTGCGAATAGACTCGTCATTCTCAACCTTCACGATGCCGGCCTCTGTTGTAGCTTCGACAGTCGGACTTGCAAACGCTAAAAGCCTGCGGAGTAAACCAAGCTTGATGAAGAGTAAGCGCTCGAAAGGGAGATGGTAGCGAAACTCACACTGTTCTCTGGTTCACTCAGAATATCTTGGCAGATGCCGGCGATCTGCTCTCGAGCCGCTTGCCCGCGTTCCCGCCCAGAGCGGATAGACACGACGTCCGCAACGGAAGCTCGACCAAACCTAGCCCCAGTAAAGTTCCTCTTCGTACTTGACTCGATTGGGCGAAGGGGCTCTTCTTCTTCTTCTTCACCCGACGACACTACCGAGCCCTCCCTCACGCCAGTTTGCTGAATCTGTCCTCCGGGTAGCTTGATGGGAAGTCGCGGGATTGTCTTTCTCTTCTCCTTCTCGTTTTCTGTGGAACGTCCACGGGGTTGTCGCTCGTAAGACTGCTCCTCATCAGAGCTGTCGACAGACGAATCCTCATCATCCTGTGATGCTTCCCCGTCGTCTTCACTGTCATTTGAATCTAGTTCGATATCGTCTACACCGGAACTCCAGTCACTACTGGAGTCGTCGAGAGGGCTGGCAGAAGGTGGAGGCTTGGGTGCTGATTGTTTGTAGGGGACCTTTTGAAGTGCAAAGAGACGATTCGTCTCCTTCTTACTCCTATGCTTCCAGTATTAGTATCATGGTAGTAGCAAAACTAAGGCTTACCGCGAGATTGCCTGCTCGTCGAGATTTTGTAAAAATTGACCGGAGAACCCGTTCTGGTGAAAGAACTCTACATCTTCATCAGAAATCTCAGAGTTTCCATCGATATTTGGTACGGGGATTGTCGCTTTTTGATACGCTTTTTCCTTCTTCTGAATGCGACCGTGCTCAAGCTTTGGCTTCTTCCGCGACTAGAAAAGCGTGTCAATACGCATGTAGAAGTATGTTGATGACCTGGAGACCTTTGAGGAGACCTCGGGAGCTGCCCGCTTCTTGTTTGCAGAGTGTGGCATTTGGGCAACATACGGCAAACAGCGCTGTAATTCTTGTACCCCGCCGCAACATCTCGAGTAACCGGTAGCATGTCCAAATCACAACAAATTCACGGAGGACACACTTCATCGTCCTCTGCTTTCTCTAAACCGTCACTCCTCGCCGGCGTACAGGATGCTTACTGGAGCGACGACGAAGAGGTCCGCCCAGGCTCTCACAGCAGCGCCGGGAGCAATAAAGTGCTGAAATATATCATATACAGGAAAACTCGACATGTCCTTTGTGCATAAAGGAGCTCGACCTCGAGGAACAGAGCTTTAAGCCATGCCCCTGTGGATATCAGGTAGCGCAAGGATCTCCCTTCTGTCACGCACAGCACTCACATCCCCGTTCGTTTTCAGATATGTCTGTTCTGTTGGCATCACATCAGGGACAACATGAACGCGCTTTGTCCGGCTTGTCGGCGACAGTACACTGAGGAAGGCGTTGTATGGAAGCCCGTTGCCGCTGAAGAGTATGTTTCTTTACAAGATCCTATTTAAATGGTTGTGCTCATCGTCCTCGATAATATTTAGCGCAAAACGTGTCCAACAGCAGAAGAAACGAAAGGAGAAAGAGCGAAAGGAGTTGGAGACGCTAGGTCGTAAATCATATCTAGACGTCAGGATCGTCCAACGGAATGTCGCTTATGTCGTCGGGCTTGGTTCGCGGTTTGCAAAAGAGGAGGTGAGAGGACGTCTCGCCTTGTCTATAAATTTGACATCCTCATATATATTCACTAGACGATATCTGTTCTACGCTCGAGTGACTACTTTGGTCGCTATGGAAAGATTTCTCGCATTCAGCTGCAGAAACGGACGCCGCCCGGAGCAGACGCGCCTGTTGTAGGCGTATACATCACTTATCTCAGACGAGAGGATGCAGAAAGAGCCATCCAATCGATAGATGGCAGCCCATCTCCTGGCGGAGGCGGTGAGGTGATGCGAGCCAGCTACGGTACAGCAAAATACTGCATCAGTTTCCTGCGGAATGCGACTTGTACCAACAATAATTGCCTCGATGCACATGAATGGGGCGAACCGGATGACTGTTTTACCCGAGAAGATCTTACGCATTTGTGAGCCTCGTCCCATCTACTCGTAGCCTCCTAACTCCCAAGCCAGGAAGCTTACCATCAAAGATACGGAAAAGCGGTCATCCATGACCATAAAGCGATCCGCTGGCCCAGATGGTTGGTCAATTCTCGTTTATTTGGGCAATGCTTACATCCGTCAGCCCCTTCCCTCCCTCGTTCGGCTTCCTGGGCTTCCCGGCCTGCCCAAGCAAGCTCGTCGACACAAGCTTCACAAACAGACAGCCCGAGTCATGGGGTCAGAAGCTCGAGACCAACCCGACAATCGAGGAACGTCTCTGGTCCCAAACCCCCGAGAAATGACTCTGGTGATAAAGGTTCACGCGAAAGGGATAGAAGAAAAGGATCAGGCTTACAACCTGCCGCAACAGCCCCTTCGATACTTCCGTCACCGCTATCTCAAACCACAACGCAGGCCGTTGAACCACCTACAGCCCCTGAACCTGCCGCAGAGACTTCGACTGCTGCTTCATCGCCTCAAGTTACTGCAAGTGTAGCCGATTCTGAAGCCCGATCGCACGCAATGTCACCACCTGTTGTCCACGGTCAGCCTTCTGTTCCCCCAGGTCTGGCCCCTCCAGGATTGGCTCCCCCAGGATTGGCTCCTCCTGGATTGGCTCCTCCTGGGCTCGTGCCTCCACCTGGACTAAGTGCACAATGGAAGCAAGGAGCAACAAGCTCAGAAGCTGTGAACCCTGCACCTCCGGCATCTCTCCTACAACCACCTGGTCTCGCCCGACCCCCACCTGGACTCAGTCTACCCTCTGAGGCCCTATCCCCGACTCCTTCGAAGCCCTACCAACTCTCAAAGAATGCTCAAGCACTCATAAATGACGTTGTCTCTCGCCGCGAGGCCGTCAAGTCTACCCCACCTCCCATCTTCCCCGATTTTGATCGCACGCTCTCGACTCTTGTTAATTCTGCCGGTTTCAGTTTTTCTTTTGCAAGCCTCTCCCTGAATACAGCCGAATCAGGCCTACCAGCTATTCGGTCCATACGCAAGACCACGTTCGATCCATTTGCGTCTCCGTTGGATCTTACATCGAGCTCGGAGACCTCCTCACCAGCTCTCAGGTCGATCAATGGAGATCCAAGACGAGCTATGTTTGATTCTCAAATGAGTGATCTTCCCACCATTGGGGAGGGTGGAAGGTCCCGTTTCGACTTTGCTCGGAGACAAAGCTCCCTAGGGGGAGGGTCATCTCTATTACAGAGTTCGCGTGGAAGCACCCCCTTCAGGCCCGAAGCTACCTCTGGAAACACTCTATACAACTCTACGGACACGATGGCAGGTGGCCGCCAAGGCAACTGGGTCAATCATCCAAATGCTGGCATGTCGATGGAGTATCGCTATAATCCACAATACCCTGTCCAGTATCAAGTGCCTCTTGCTGGACCAGAACATCCCGTATACAACGAACTGCCTCCGACACCTTTTGATCAAGCGCCCATGGCCGAAAACATGCGCGAGCTCGTCAGAGGGTTTGAGACACCAGGGATTGAGCGTGCAAATAACAGACAGCTCGAGCTCGGTCTATCCGCTCAGTTGACGCACGGGCAAAATCTGCCCTATCAAATGCAGTCGACAGTCCGCCGGGACGATCTTGCTAGCTCTCAACGCATGATGACCAAATCGCCTCCGAATCCGCAAACAAATTTCATCTCCTATCAAACACAGCAGGTGACTGGTCCTCCTGGACTCTCTCACATCTCACAGGCGCAACAACCCAGCGCCTCGGGAAGTGGCCCGAAGGAGTTGACTTCCCCTAATGGTGAGTTACGCCGTCTTCTCAACTCGGGGAGGGTGTATTAGAGGCCACCGAAAGTGCAATCTGCAAGTAGTGCACAACCAAACTTGGATCGACAATTGTCCTTCCAATCGAGAATATATCTCTTCCGACCAAGTCTTCACGACTCACCACGATTCTACGGACGCATTCCATCGCCCTCCCCTATATTAATGTTCTACTTCTTTGTGATATCAATAGCTGACTTTACCCTGTGTCTTGTTTGATTCTTAGTTTCACACGCTCTACCCTCTGAGCCAGTGCCAAAACCTCCCTCGCCGGTCATAGGCCCCGGCCCCGTTGTCGTTCAAGACAATCCTCTTCCTGACCAAGAGCGCACGACAGCGCCAGTAGAGAATGAGGACGAATTTCCGGCTCTGCCAGCCACAGCTGTAGAGGCCAGCGTCCGACCTCCTGTATCGGTGCCTGCTCCTGTGAAAGCACCGCCGGCGCCCGCAGCACCTCGCAAGGTTGCCCCACCTAAGCCAACCAAGAGTGAGATAAAGAAAGCTGCTCTGCCACCGCTCACTACTACCACACTTACCAAAAAGCCGTCTGAGCCAAGCCAGTCGTCTGCTGTCGAACAAGTGGCAAAACCAGAGGCAAAGAGTAAGCGTGCGGCTCAGAATGATGCTTCGACGACTGCTGCGTCTACTCCGATCACGCCAGTGGTGGCGACCCCAATTCACAGTACCAAAGAGAGCAAGGTCGCCGAATCAACGTCGTCTACCAAAGCGAATACCTCGAAGAATAAGGATGCAAAGGCAGTTCAACCCCCGATCGTCACTTCGGAACCCGTCGAGCATGCCCCCATTCTCGCTCGCCAGACGAAGAAAGTCAAGCCACAGCAGGTTCCCAAGAAGAAACAGCAGCAGCAACAACAGCAACAGCAACAGCAACAGCAACAGCAACAGCAACAGCAACAGCAGCAGGCAACGACTGCTCGCGAAGAGCCAGTCGCACCAAAAGAAGCGACTCCTGAGCCAGCTCCTACCTTGACCGCCCTTGCGACGCCCGCATCTGTCCCCAATTCGAACGTTCGAACTCCAACCACCATCTCTACATTGTTGTCGCAAATACAGGACCATTTGGATGTGCCTTCGCTGCGCTTCTTCAGCCAGACTTATGTGGGTGGCCCAGAGGTCATCGACTATGAGACGTTGGTCGAAGCCTTGTCCGCGCTCAGTGCGGGGTCTGCTGGGCTAGCTAGTCTCAGTGCTAGCTCAGCAGCTGATTCGACAGTGTCGACCTTTCAGGGATTGTTGGCGACGTTGACGCAAACAATTGGCGAGTTGCTCGCAAAGCTTTCTGGTGGAGACCGAGAGGACAATTTGACACTCAAAATTTTTCAAGATATGCTCAAATCAGATATGTTGGCTTCGCAATCGGGTGCCGACTCGCTGGGCAGCAAGGACGGCGATCTCGAGACGAAGACGCAATGGATACAATCTCAACGTGAGTGTGTTTCTAGACTACAATGGGCATATACTAACAGAGCCTACAGTGGCAAAGCTAGAAGATGTGCAGCGTACGACGAGCCAAGCTGGGTCCGCGACGAGCGAGACCTGGGACCGTCGTGGGCTACTACCACGGAGTGCAGTGCCCAAGAAGGAGGAGAAGGATATTGAGGGGATGACCGTCGTTCAGCTTGAAGCGGAGCTGGCCAATGCGAAAAAGTCGGTGTCGTCGCTGACGGCCGAGCTTCGTGAGGTCATGGTGATCAATGCCAAATTGATTGCAGAGCTGTCGTGAATAGATTGAACATGTATTGTTGTTTGTCCCACCGGCGCCGAGACACATTGAACCCCGACCGCAATGGCTCGTCTGTCGGCGTTGCTCGTCCTGGCGGCGACGCTGCTCATCCAGGGCGTTCACGGTGCTTGTGACAACTATGGGATTGAGAATGGCACCAATTGCATCTGTCCTCCTGGCGTTGGTGGCCAGGAATGCCAGCTCCCGACGTGCGGTGGTACTTTGTACGACGGCCCGTCGCGTCCGACTGTACAACCACAGAACGGAGCTCTCTACGGAAACTCATCTGGCTGTTCTTGTCCAAACGGCTGGGCTGGCGTGGGCTGCAATGGTACGACCGTTTGCGCAATGCTGATACACCAAGGATCTCATTCACTTTCTAGTCTGCGAATCTGCATCTGCTTGCTCGTCTGCGTATCAGAGCAATTTCGGTGACCAAAATTCAGCCATAACTTCATCGGGAGGCGTATCCGCAATCACTGTACGTTTTCTCGTCGAGGCCCCGCGCCCGCTCGCTCACAGTCCACAAGTGCTCCAAAACGCCGAGAGTGTACGCTGTTGGGCAAATGTCGTGCGATGTCAACGTACGTTATTGTTAGCTTCTCCTCGGCGTCGGCGGCTCACGTATTTCTGGCGACGCCGCTCATTCGGCCTCTGATAGAATCCTACGATCCACGCGCTCTATCCGGGCAAGACCACGCTGAACATTCTTCGCAATCTCAATCCTTCCAATACACTTGCTGCCAATGTTTCCAGCTATGGAGCGGCCGGCTCCGTACACGCCCAACTGTGGTACGATGGCGAGGAAGAGTTTTTCTGCAACGCCGATAGCTGCCAAGCGGAAGAAGCAGATGGGTCCTCTCACTGGACATGTCACAACCTGAAGTGCACATGCCGTACCAATGCGACCATGTGTGGGCGCTTTCCGGTAAGAAATTTGATTCTCGTCGTTCATTTCATATCTAAACTTTATGTTTGTGTAGAGTACGTCCATCAAAGGGACCATTGATGCCCTCAGTGGTGACCTTGAAATCAAATGCGACACCCAGAGCGATGGCACAGTCCGATGCGCGTTCCTTCAAGACACGATCAAGTCGGTCTTTGGTGCATCTGGCCTACCCATGGACAACTGCCGAGTCGGCGAATGTGTTGCTCAATCAGTCATCGATGCCGCGAATAACGGCAACTCCTCTTCCTCATCGAGCAATGCCTCCAAAGGCAAAGAGCTTTCTGGAGGTGTCATTGCCGGCCTTGCTGTTGTGGGAGCACTTCTCTTGGCTCTGCTCGGCATGTTCATTTGGGGATGGATTGTTCAGCGCAACGCTCGGAAAACGGGCACAGATCAAGCGGTCAAGAGCGGTGGCGTCGCCATTAGCTGGTCTGGCATCAATTACTCTGTACCAGCATCAAATTCGCAACCAATATTCAAGAAAGGCTCCTCTGCCAGTGTAGGAGATCGACATATTCTCCATGACTTGTCTGGAGAAATTCGTCCAGGAGAGCTTTTGGCTATCCTTGGGCCAAGTGGAAGTGGAAAGAGTACGACTATTGACATCTTGGGAGGCAAGAGCAAAGTGGGGAAGACCGCTGGTGCTGTGATGTTTAGCACAATGAGTCCTGCTGGACAACGAAGTGATCCAGTCAACAATCCACGGATCGGATTCGTCGACCAACAGGATATTCTTCCGTCCATGTTGACTGTCGAAGAGGCTCTCCTTTTCGCTGCCAACTTGCGGCTGCCCGAATCTGTCAGTCAAGAGCAGAAGCGAGCAAAGGTCTTTGAAGTCATGAAGCAGTTGGGCATCCTTGATATCAAGGATACAAGGATTGGAAGCCATGAGCGACGCGGAATCTCTGGAGGCGAGCAAAGGCGTGTCAGCATTGGACTCGAATTAGTGGCTTGCCCGGATATCTTGATCCTTGACGAACCAACTTCTGGTCTCGACTCAGTGTCAGCTACCAAAGTAGTCAACGTCCTTCGTGACCTCGCACACGATCCCGAGAATCCCACTGCTGTCATTGCATCCGTTCATCAACCCAAGTAAGCCTTGCAACGTTTCTACAGGGCCTTTGACTCAAAATTTTATAGCTCTAAGATTTACCAGCTTTTTGACAAGGTTCTTGTCCTTTCTCGCGGCCGTGAGCTCTACTTTGGGCCTGGTGGGCTCGCACCAGGTGACTATTTTGCCGCCCGTGGACATCCAGTTCAAAAAGGTTACAACATTGCGGATCACCTCTTGGACATTGCTTCCGACCCAACCGACGACCTCTTGAGCTCAAGCCAGCGCAAGTCTGCCTCGCAAACGTCCGGCACTGGAACGATTACAACTGAAGATGAACGGACTCGCGCTGATACCAACGCTCATACGCCCAATGAAGTTGAAAATCGGGATCCTGAAAAGGCAATGTCCAAGGAGCATGTTCCTGAAACCAAGAAACACTCCAGCCTACGCTCGCCACCGTTGATGTCTACTTATCGCTCAACCTTCTTGACTCAGCTTGAAGTTCTATGTGGTCGGGAGTGGAAAATTCTCAAACGGTGTGTAAAGTGAATTTGTTCCGTTCCCGTGAGCTCACTTTTCGCAGTGACAAATCTCTGTTCTTCGCGCACTTATTTGCAGCTGCGGTTCTTGGTGCTTTCTGCGGTGGTTTATACTTTAAGACGGGTATTACCATTGCAGGCTTCCAGAGTCGAGTTGGATGCTTGTTCTTCCTTGTGAGTACGCCTGTTAACCTTTGTATCACTCCTAATCACTATCATAGGGGTCGCTTCTCTCCTTCTCGGCGCTGAGTGCGCTGTACAACTTGATCGAAATCAGACCGTTGTTCTTGAGAGAGCGCGCGGGCTCCTACTACAGGTCTGTACTCCTACTCTCTTATTTATAGGCTTCTCACGTCTTGAATTCTTTGTCCAGTCCTACCGCCTGGCTGCTATCCCGATTCTTCTTCGACGTGATTCCGCTTCGCGTTGTACCGACTTTGATCGTGTCGACCATGTATGTCTTGATACTATATTGCGATAAGCCTCTAAAGTGTCTTTAGTGTTTATTGGATGGCCGGCCTTGCCCCAGATGCTGCCCACTACTTCAAATTCTTGTTCATTTTGGTTCTTTATACCCTTGCAATGACTCTATTCGTGTGTTTTTCTCTTTATTCGCACTTTCTCACTCTCATCATCAACTATAGAACTTCCTCCTTGCATGCACCTTCCGCAACGGAGGTGTGGCCATCCTGCTCTCGGCCATCTTCAATCTGTTCATCATGAGTACGTTTTACATCTCGATTTCAATCACACGCTAACTATTGCTCTAGCATTTGCCGGATTCTGTTCGTTGCTCCAGTTCTGTAACCGACCTTTACTGACTCGATCGTAGTCGTTCATTTGAGCGATATTCCTCCTGTGTTGAGATGGCTGCAGTGGTTCAGTCTTCTCAAGTACTGCCTTGAAGCCCTTGCCGTCAACGAAGTAGGCTCTGGCCTTCAGATCGTCGATGTCCTACAAGGCGTGCCTGTCAACGTATCCGCACAACTCATTATGAATTTGGTGCGCTTTTATGCGTTTCGTTACTTGCAAGACTGACGCCTGTCTAGTTGTTCGGATTTGGCGAGAACAACTATTATAGGTATGGGATGCTTTTCACGTCTCGATTGTGACTGACATCCTTGGTCAGGGATGTCTTGGTTTTGTTTGCGTTCATTGCAGGGTTCGGTATCGCTCTGATAACCATCGTCTGGCTCAACGTTAGGGAACGACGATAATCCCAGCTATCGATCTGCCTTCGCGTAAGGGATGTAACTTATACACGTGCTAATCTATGTAACTATATCTCCATTGCATGCCAGTTATTGAGGAGGCATCATCGGCATACCAAAGCCTGCAGGAGGTGCAGGATAGGCTGTACTGAAACCTGGCGGAGGTGGTGGAATGCCCATGGGCACGGCGGCACCTGGTATCATACCGGGCATAGCAAACCCTGCTGGAGGGGGTGGAGGTTGAGCAAGGGCTCCAGCATATTGCCCTGGATAGGCTCCTGTATATGGAGCAGCAGCAACTGGCATAGGAGGCCGTGGACCAAACTGACTCATGACTGCCGCAGGAGCAGCAGGGGGTCGCGCCGCGAGCGGCAGTTGCATATTTTTTCTGGCTTGAGCAGCGAGCAGTCGTTCGGCTTCGGTACCATGTCGCTCGCCCTTTCCATCTTTCTTAAAGGCGTACTGGACTTCAATGGGCTTGTTCATGAGGTATTGCTTGTTCATCGCCTCGATAGCTGCGTCTGCGGATTCAAAGTCTGCATATGAGACGAAGCCATGTCCTCGAGATTCCATGGTTGTTGGATCCCGCGCAATCTATCGGAAGTCGTAAGACACTGATATGGATACTGTGGACCAGAGCATACCTTTGCTGGCTGCGTAAGGGGACCAAAGACCGTAAACGTGTCATATAAAAGTCGTTCGTCGACTGCAGGGTCAAGATTTCCAATAAACAAGTTTGCACCAATGTCCAGCTGTTTTTTGTCTGACGACGCCTGAGCAAGGATTGAGCAGAGTGAAAGCCAGTATGTGAGCTACTTACTTTGTTCACTCGAATAGGTTTTCCCCATAGTTTTATCTGGTTCATAATCTTGCAGGCGTATTCGGCATCTTCTTCTGTTAGAAACTCGCAGAAACCGTACCCTTGGTGGGACATGGAGACGCGATCCTTTGGTAAATGTACATTCACTAGAAAATATCAGAATTGAGAAACAATTTCATAGCGAGACAAGGATTGCTTACCAACTGGGCCGGCCTGGAGCATGAGTTCCCAGACGATGGCGTCTGTTACTCGCTCATCAAGGTTTCCCTGCCAATCATCAGTATTATATAATTGATATAGCCCACCCTACATACAAGATACACCGTAGCTTCTTGATTTCGATCGTCTTGAGGTCTTGTTGACATTATGGTAGGGGCTCAAGTTTCGGTTCAACTCAAAGTCGGCGATGAATGTTATGAGTGTAGATTACAAGGCTGGTGTACTACTGATAACAATAAACACGAAGTGTACGTAGTGGCAGAGTGTGACAGAAAGCAGGAGGAGAATAAAAGGCTTAGTCGGCACCAAGCATCATGACATCTTCGGATGAAGCATGAGTGTCACCAGATGAATCTGGAGGTTTGCTTCCGCTTGGTCCTTCAATGGCGGCGGGCTTTCGCGGGGGTAATCCTTGGAGCCTCGCAATCTCCTCGTCGAGTCCTTCATAAATACTCTTTTCTGGAAGTCCACGCACAAGACCTGGATTCTCCTTCTCCAGCTTGTCAAAAGCCTCGCCAATGTCCGACTTCCAGCGCTGCAAGACGCATACGGCCTCCCAGATGTCGTTTGGTATCTGCAAGTTGCCATCCATACCGACGAGCCCTAATCCTGCGATCCCAGCGGGTTCACCCGTCGCCGGATTGACTGCCGCTGCTGCGGCCACTTTTTCTTTTTCCTTTTTCTTCTTTTTCGTCACTTTATTGGCACCTGTGTTTCCCAGTTTGGCAAACATGTTGGAGATGTTGCGCTCCATGCCTTCCTTGACCTCTTCGTAGTCGGCATAGCTCAGTCGTAGCTCGGCAATGGCCAGTAACCGCTTCTTTCGCGCTTCGTTGACTTGGAGTTGAATCTTGAGCGCACGTTGACAGCGACGAAGCTCAGAGGCAATCTGGTCGTCTTGAGGTTGTGAGTAGTCGGGCTGTGAGGTGCGTAAGCTCGCTGTTTCCAAAAGGGTGTGGTACGAAGGGGGTTACGGACCTCTTCATTTTCTATGATCAGGCCGAGTGCCTTGCACTCTTTCATGAGACGCTCCTCTAGGTCCCCAACAGTGCCTTGTCCAGCTGCTCGTCCAAGTCCAAAGCCGCCGCCTTTGAAAGAGTCGTCCTCTTCAAGCTTGACCGAGTTGGGGAGGTGCATAAAGGCGCTGAATACTCGTTCTGTCAACGGACCGGAACCATGTTCGTCGGTAGCTGTATCTGCTTCGGTAAGAGTGGCAGGATCCCACCGAACACCCGAGTTTGGAGCTGGCTGCATTGAGCCACCGGCGGATGGAGGAGGAGGGTTGGTAAACGCAGAGTAAGGGTTGTGTGTCCTGTGTTTGTTAGATCGGTTGAGAGGAGGGAGGTCGAGTGTGAATCGGTCTTGGTCTTCCCAGACTTCAGAGTAGTGTCGTTCCAAAGGCGGCATCTCCCATAGGTCATCATCATCACCCTGTGGTTCCCTGATATTAGCTTGCAGGTTTGTGGATGTCGCGAAGACTCTTACACTAATGGCAAGAAAGGCGACGTCTTCATCTTTGACCTGACGCGTCCACGGCTCGATAAAGTTCCAATATGTATGCGCAGTAACCTCGATAAGTGTTCAGAGGACGTGTAGAGATGCGAGACTTGACAAACCTGATTTGGTGGTTGCTTGCGTTCGGACATATCGTCGTGGACCTCGTTCGGGTCATCTGTTTGGGGAATAGGAAGCGGATTCCTTGGAGGTTTTGGAGGTAATCCCCCTTTGACAGACTCGGACCAATCTGTGATGCGTCGAATACCAGCTGGATGCATCTAGTCGTCGCGCTCAGCAAACCCGTCTAACCACCCATCTGGGCACAATATTGAGGCGATACGTACGCGTAGATCATGATCATCATGTTTTGCCTTCTTAGATTTGTGCTCCTTGTGGCCGTGGCTTTTGGGTACCGGAGTGGCATTTCGCGTAGCACCATCGGCCATGAAATCATCTCCTTCGTCTGGACGTCTTCGTTTCTTCTTGTTCGTCTTGGAAACGGCTGTATCTGAGCCCCTCAATGCAACCGAACCCGCGCGTTGGGCCGGCTTTGCGCTTGAAGCTGCAGTGGGCGGGAGTGCTGGCTGCGGGGAGGAATTTGTCGCTGTTGAGGGACCGGAGATGCGGAGAGTAGGTTGAGTAGCTTTGCTTACGCGCGGCGGTTGACCCAGGCTGTCCAGTGGCTCTAAACGACGAGAGTAGCAGCGTCAGCGTGTTTACCAGGCCACGAAATGGAGATAGAAATGTCGAGGAATATCGAAATATCAAGTTACATACCCTTTTTGAACTGCTTGGCTTTTGAACGATCGCGCTCCTTCATGGCCGTGTAGCGCTCGTCCACGATGAAAAGCACGTCGTCACAGTGCTTTAAACGTTGTTCATGCTGCTTCTTGTACTCGAGAATGTCGCGTGTGAGCTCCTGGAGCTGCTGCTCGCCCGGGACAACGTCTGGCGCGAGCGATTGAAGAACCGCAGGACGTGCCAACGGCGCCTGGGCAAACGGGACAAGATGGAATGGCTTTGTGTCCATCTTCCGCTATTGATCCTCGTCGAATTAGAGGCCCAATGGCCGTCGACTGTTTCGCAGGCACGCGGTCGGCGTTGAGATCGCAATATGCTCTCGCGGCTTACCAGAGAGAGCAAATTTATTCAGGGAAGTTTATTATTCTAGTTTTGAGAAAACGAGTATGGGCAATGGACGACTCCTTGGACTGTCCCGGTGTGGCGTCTGGGGAATCTGGACTTTGAACAATAACTAGACAGGAATCCAACCGACTAAGCATAAAGGCGATTGAAGAGGTGCATGTCTAGGACTCTACTGAGATTGCGGCCGCGGAGGTGCAGTGGCTCATTGGAGAGCACGTATAGGCCATACATCGTCGCAAATGTAGCAAGGATAGCCACAGTACGTCGAACAGTCCTGTTCAGAGGCTTGCCGGTCAGCCAGCGGTTGATGATAGACCCTCCTTCGCCTCCATGCAGAGCGACAATGGCAACAAGTCCAGTATATGACAACCAGCTCGTTATAGGCCAAGCATGGAGACTTGCTTTGACGAATTCAAAATTGAGCTCGGATGGCGAGTACGAGGAGATGGGTGGGTCAGGAGACGAGGGGATGATCCTGTGAATAAAGATATGGAATGGGACACTCAAGAGAGCCGCGTATCCTGTCAGGGTGACAAGGCTAGGCCTCTTGGGGACCCCAAGCAAAGCGCGCCTCGCAAGACTCGAGCCAATATGTATTCCGAGCGGGATAAAGAGTAGAAGAGGCTCTGTAAGTGGTCCTTGGTAGTACTCGCGACCCAGAAGCTGCAACCTATGAGAAACCAATCTCTCTCTCGACCGAAACCAAATGGACGTACAAGGAGCCTGTTGGAGGCTGCTGAACCTCCGAAAATGGCTGAAATCGGTGCAGCAAGATGAATTCCAGCGAATATAGTGATAAATGGCGCAGAAACCCTCTGCGCAACCGTCAAATATTTGAGCAACTTGGAGGGACTCGTCGCTGTCGAGTCCTTGTGTTCTGGATGAGCTTCATCTGCTCGATTTTTGCTAGTATTTCCGTCGCTGGTGGGCATGGTCAATTCGTCGCTCTCGACCGCGGGAGCCAATAACCGGAAGGGAGTTTATACCACTTGGATCCGTGAATTTGTATAGGATCTAGGAAATCATATGCATATCAATGATATAAGCTCTTATCTATCAAAGCAAATGTGGCCTTAGATGTGGTAGACGCCGTCGAAAGCACCTTAGAGGCTACCACGATGTCGTCCCAGAAATCAACCAAACCCAAGAAACAGCTCAGGATTACGAATCCATCAGGATCCTCGTCTTTCAAAGGAGAATCATCGAGCAAGAGGGATCAGGTATACAACACAGTCAACGTCGGCCTCGACGTAGTGGCCAATATAGCAGAGGGATCAGATATATTGGGCCCTCTAAAAGCAGCTTGTCGAGCAACAAAATCGGTCCTCGATGTCGTACAGGTCAGTTGGCGAGACTCGTAGCGCGACTGTTCGTCTAATGAGTGGGATAGGCGATAGAGAGCAACAAAGAAGAATGGACAGACCTAACGCGACGTCTGAAGAGTTACATGTCCACGCTCGAGGAACGAATCGATTTGTTCGAGGGGTATCCTCTAAAGGACCGAGCCGTCGACGAAGCGTTTAGCCAACCGCTCATCCACTATGTTGAGTACGTGTACAGTTCATGCTTGGTTCAATACGCTGAGCAATGCAGATTCCTCGAAAGTATGCATGATACGGTGGTCGAAATTCAGGAGAAGCGCAGCCGCAACAGGCTCGGCTTCCTCAAGTCGTTCAGCAAAGTCAAAATAGACGCAGGGGAGATTCGAAAACTCAATCGAGATATTGAAGATGGGCATAGGCAGTTCATGGTGCGAGTTTCGGCGAACTTATTCGCATGCTCATCGTAGATATATGCAGGAGGCGTTGAGTCATTTCACTGCACTACGTATCCAAGCCGTCGAACAGAACACCAAAGTTATTTTAACAGACGGTAAGCTGAAACCTGGGTGGCAACACATACTGAGTATTTCAAGTCGATGCATCTGCTATTCTCCAGTTGCCAACGGTAGCATTTGTCGCATCCTCAGTGCACAGTACTTGTCTGAAAGGAACGCGCGAGGCTGTTCTTCAGACGATCTGGCGCTGGGCCGACGACGATACGTCGGACAAGCCAATATTTTGGCTGTGTGACATAGCTGGCTCCGGTAAATCCACAGTTGCAATGTCCGCAGTAGAATCATGGAGGCAGCAAGGAGTATTGGGTGGGAGATTCTTCTTCTCCATAGCAAGCAGCGAAGGGTCGACCACCGACAAGTTTTGTTCCACAATTGCAAGAGACCTTGTCGAATATCTCCCGGAGCTCGCGCCGCACGTTGCTGGAGCCGTGAAGCAGCACCCTTCTTTTATGCGAAGCTCTCTTGAAGAGCAGTTCCAAAACCTTGTCGCCAATCCTCTTCATCATTGGCAAGGGCGCGTATTCATTGTGATTGACGCCCTTGATGAATGCAAATCTGGATCACAGCGAAGGGAACTTGTCGAAACCCTTTCCAAGGCGGTTCGAGGAAACAAAACCCTCAGGATATTCATGACAAGCCGGCCAGACCCCGTCGTACAAGCAGTCTTGGGGTCGCTCTCGATCAAATCCAAGTTGGAGGATCGCCTACATGATATAACCCACCGTGATAATATCGGCGACATTGCGCTCTATGTACACCAGTCACTAGATGGAGTGCTGTCGGAGGACAAGAGGCGGAGGCTGATAGACAAAGCCAACGGGTTATTCATCTGGGCAAGCACTGCATGCCGAATGCTCACCAACGAGACTAGTTTGGTCCCCACTGAGACTATGTACAATCGCCTTATCTCCATGGACCAGGTTGGAGCCATAGACGATCTGTATGGTCTCATCTTCGAGCGCACAGAACCTGGAAACCACGAAATCATGTATAAAATGCTCGCTCTGTTGCTTGCCGCATTTGAACCGCTCACTACCGACGATCTTGACGATATACTCAACTATACTGGAGTACTCGGGAGCGCCAAGGCGTTGGTACGAAACCTTGGAAGCGTCCTTACCGAGGATTCAACTACAAGAATGGTTCAATTTCGTCATCCTACGCTCGTCGAGTACCTTCGACGCTGCTCCAATACACCGAACATTGGTAGCCGCAATAGGGTATATATCAGTATTGCCAATGCACATGGTCAAGCGGCATCGTGGTGTTTCAAATGCCTCGAGTCACGGACTGAAGGTCTCAAGTTCAATATATGCCAAATCGAGTCATCTTTCAATCTAAATAGAGAGATACCGAACCTTGATGCCAAGATATCAACGTTGGTTCCGAGGAGACTTCGATATGCTAGCTTTCATTGGCTGTTTCACATGGCGGAAGCTGACAACAACTGGCAATCCACGCTCAAGGACAACCTTCGACATATTATCCAAGTTCAATACGTACTATACTGGATGGAGATATTGAGTCTCACTGGAGGAATCTCACGAGCAATAACTGGGCTGCGAGCCATTACCAGCTGGACAGGGGTGAGTGACATATATCAAAATATTAAACGCTTACACCCCAGGAAGCTTGAAGAGGAAACTAGAAGCCGTATGGACGAGATACGACGATTCATATTGGCATTTTCGGTGCCAATCCAGGACAGCGCTCCACACATCTATATTTCCGCGCTTCCATTCACCCCTACCAAGTCAAAACTGCATATTGAAGGCTTAAATAAATACACCAATACTCTCAAAGTGTGTCGGGGGCTTGAGGAGATGTATCCCGGACTCCCCACTACTCTCCGAGGCCACGAAGACTGGGTTTATTCTGTGGCATTCTCTCCAGACAGCTCACAAATTGTGTCTGGCTCAGACGACAAGACGATTCGCCTATGGGATACAGTCACCGGTCAGCCGCTCGGAGAGCCCCTCCAAGGCCACGAGGCCGGGATCCTTTCCGTTGCATTCTCCCCAGATGGATCACAAATTGTCTCTGGCTCGGAAGACCAAAATATTCGACTTTGGGACACGTCCACCGGTCAGCCGCTGGGAGAGCCACTCCGAGGTCACTATGGCTCGATACGCTCTGTTATATTCTCACCAGACGGCTCGAAAATTGTGTCCGGCTCAGATGACAAGACGATTCGACTCTGGGATGCAGCCACTGGTCAGTCGCTGAGACCGCCACTCCAGGGTCACGACGACGCGATCACTTCCGTCGTACTCTCTCCGGACGGCTCACAAATTGTCTCTAGTTCGGACGATAAGACGATTCGTATTTGGGATACAGCCACCGGCCAGCCGCTGAGGGAGCCGCTCCGAGGTCATAGCGACTGGGTCAATTCCATCGCGCTCTCGCCAGACGGGTCTTGTATTGTCTCTGGCTCGGAAGATAAGACTATTCGGCTATGGAGTACTGTCAATGGTCAGCCGCTGGGAGAGCCACTCCAAGGTCACAATCGCTCGATCAATTCCGTCACATTCTCGGCAGACGGATCACAAATCATCTCCGGGGATTCTGATGGGATGATTAGACGTTGGGAAACAGGTACTGGTCAGCCACTGGGAGAGCCACTCCGAGGTCACGGTACCCAGATTCTCTGTCTCGCATTCTCATCAGATGGCTCAAAATTCGTCTCTAGCTCTTCTGGACAGACGATTAAACTGTGGAATGCAGTCAGTGGTCAGCCAATGGGAGATTCACCTCAAGGTGACGACGGCTTGATCAATTCCGTGGCATTCTCGCCACATGGTTCACAAATTGTCTCTGCCTCTTCCGATATGACGATTAGACTGTGGGATACAGTCACTGGCCAGCCGCTGGGAGAGCCATTTCGAGGTCACGACAGCTGGATCTCTTCAGTTGCGTTCTCGCCAGATGGCACACAAATCGTCTCTGGTTCAGACGATAAGACGATTCGCATTTGGAATGCCGCCACTTTTCAGCTGCTGGGAGAGCCACTTCGAGGTCACGACGGCACGGTCAATTCCGTCGCATTCTCGCCGGATGGCTCACAGATCGTCTCTGGCTCTGACGACCAGACGATTCGACTATGGGATACGGCCACTGGTTCTTCGTTGGGAGAATCCCTGCGAGGTCACAATGGCTGGATCTCTTCCGTCGCATTCTCGTCAGACGGCTCACAGATCGTCTCCAGCTCTTCTGACAAAACAATTCGGCTTTGGGATACAGCTACTGGTCAGCCACTGGGAAAGCCACTCCGCGGGCACTCCGGCTTCATCGACTCCGTTGCATTTTCGCCAGACGGATCACGAATCGTCTCTGGTTCCTCTGACAAAACAATTCGAATTTGGGATACAGCTACTGGTCAGCCGCTCGGAGAGCCATCCCGAGGCCACGACGACTTAATCTACTGCGTTGCATTCTCGCCAGATGGCTCACAAATTGCCTCTGGGTCACGAGACAACACGATTCGACTATGGGATGCGGTTACTGGTCAGCCGATGGGAGAGCCACTTCGAGGCCACACAGGTCGCGTCTCAACTGTTGCATTCTCGCCAGACGGCTTACGAATTGCCTCTGGCTCTTTCGACCGTACAATTCGACTATGGGATGTCGACACTGGCCACCTGCTGGGAGAGCCAGTTCGAGATTATGGCGTCTGGGTTAATTCCGTTACATTGTCGTCCGACGGCTCACAACGTGTCTCTGGCTGTCTGGATGAAGTGATTCGGTTTCTGGACGGAACTGCTGGTGCGTCCCACTCGGCTTGTCCTTGATAGTATGCCATGACCTGACAGATGCTATCAGGTGCAAACATAAATGACTCTAGCAAGGATGTCACAGAGTCTACGCTTCTAAGCTCTAGGGAGAGTTCACCGGGCACTCCCTTAAGAATTTCTGTACCTGGATTTGAACAGTGCTCACTCTCACGAGATGGGTGGGTACACTCTTCTGGTAAACGTCTCTTCTGGGTACCGCCGGACAATCGGCACGGACTCCAATATCCCCGTTTCCTCTTGACCATGCCAACATCAAGTCCTTTCCGTGCAACCAAACTTGACTTCACCCACTTTCAATGTGGTCCCTCTTGGACAAACGTTCGAAAGGACGTTCACTAGTAGGTTGTAAAGGTTGATATCATCATCATCGTTATAATAAATTATTATCTATGAAAGATGAAACCAAAGGTTATCCTGCGTCCGTCATAACTGAGCAGAATGAATAAGAGTTCTCAAATCCGGTCTATCATTTCTTTCTCAGCTTATGGGCTAGCGCCTTCAGATATGATTGTCACCACCTGGTCGACGCGCGCACTTAGCATGACACTGTTGCCGCGCATCTGCGCATGAAAGAATCACGATACCCAACTTGAATGATAAACAAACGACTTTGAGTGCAACTTTGCATCCGTATATTTCGGAAGCGGCACGAATTAGTGATGAGCCGGTAATTGGATTGCCGACCCCTCGTCGACTTGGGCTCTCGATAACTTGAACTTGACCACAACTTGCAAAATGGCTGCTCCAGGTTTTCTTGTGCTCTTATCATACCGGTTCAAGTTGTTTCTAACTGTCCTCTACAGATCTTTCGGTCCCTACGCTCTTCAACGTCAAGGGTTCGTTTATTCACACCCATTCAAGGTCGAAATTCAAACATAGAACAGGAAAAATTGCCCTTGTGACCGGTGGTGGCTCTGGTTTGGGCACTATGATGGCTTCAGCCTTGGTACAAAACGGAGCCAAAGTCTACATCGCGTCACGAAAGGAGAAGCAACTCAAAGAGGTCACTGAGGCCCTGAATAAGCAGGGTCCAGGGACGTGTTCGTACATTGTTGCCGATTTGAGTGTACGTACAACACGCTCTGGCTCATCCGAGCCCCTTTGCTCTCACTAATCTATATACAGAGTAAAGCTGGATGTGACGCTCTTTGCGACGCGTTCAAGGCCAAAGAGAGCAAGTTGCACATCTTGGTCAATAATTCTGGCGCGACCTGGGGTGCACCATTCAATGATTTTCCGGAAAAAAATGGGTGGGATAAGATCATGAGTCTCAATGTCAAGAGCATCTTCTACAGTGAGTTGCAGTTCCCTCCACTCCCTCCGCTCTGGCTCCCCTGAGAAGATCCGCCGACTGACCTCTCGAACCAGTGACTGCAAAGTATCTATACATCTACTTGACTGATCGGTCCAATGCATAACTGAAACACCCACGCTAGCCTGGCGGACTATCTCGAAAAGGATGCCACGCCACTCGACCCGGGGCGAGTGGTAAACATTTCCTCAACAGCGAGCATCGGAACTGTTTCTGATGGCAGTGGTTTGGCGGGCGATGGCCACGGCCTTTGGTCCTGTCAGTGCATTTTGTTGCCCCTTCGGCCGCCCTTAGCCATCTCCACCTTCTAGATCACACAAGCAAAGCCGCGGTAAACCATTTGACTGCCAATTTAGCCTCGACGTTGAGCACACGGCACATTACCGTGAATGCAATTCTTCCCGGGTACGCGACCCCAGTCTTCCGTATGGTTGCCCATATTCATGAAACGGCAGGGTGTTCCCATCCAAAATGACAGCGTTTGGATTGAATAGTGCCATGGATGCATTCTTAAGCGCACAGCCGATGGGTACGTCTAGCACCGGAACGTCGATGATCCGGTCTATCCCTCTCTTTTGCACCCAGAGACTGACATCTGTATTTCATATGGTTATGTAAGGCCGAGTTGGCCAACCATCGGATATCGGAGGGGTGCTGCTGTTCTTGGTCAGTCCGGCAGCCAGCCATGTTACCAACGCGGCAATTGTAGTCGACGGAGGGCAACTAGTCAAGTATGGTGCATTTGCAAGACTGTAGATCCCGGGGAAAAGCCTCAGGGACACGACCAGGAGCTGCTAGAGCAACCGGCAACTGTACAGTTTGTTTAGAATACTCGCTTGGTACAGAATCCGACCTTCGGCATCAGCGAATGCTTAGCTGAGTTGTCGAGAAAAGGCTTCAGCCAAAGGCGGTGAATGCCGATGGCTGTTGTTGCAGGGCCCTCGAGATTCCCAGGCATCTCCGGTGCCCATTCACTGCGCCCCCGTCGAAAGCGCAGCTTGCAAGGGGGCATTGCCCGGATCTGAGAAACAAGAGGTTAGAATGTTTCAGAGATAAGAGTCACGAGAAAGAAACGCTCAACTGTAATGGTCGCGCCACCCCCTGTCATCCCAAAGGCAGCGTGTCAAAGAGATGCAAAGGGCGAAACCGATTGAATTTAAGAATCACAAGAAGCTTTAGACCAAAGTCGGCACAGGGTGGCCTCCTTTGGGTTTGTTTGGCAGACTCCTTTAGTTTCCACCACTACTTGAACCTGGCCACCATGGCTCCTGTCCGCCGCACACGCACAACGAGTACCCCGCAATTCCAGTACCCGTCTACGCCTCCGACGTCCGGAGACGAGCACGACGACGAGTATACTCCAGATCAGGATTCCGCAAAGGATCCAAAGCCCAGCGGCCAGCACAGAACGGTACAGCGTACTCAAAGCGCATCCATGCAGTCCTCCGTGTCTCCTCTACAACGGGGCTCAGCTTGTCTGAGCTGTCGGCGACGCAAGATGAAATGTGCGTCCCCAACAAACTCGAGGGGCAACTATAAACGGCTGACACGGCATCCTAGGCGATGGATCAAGACCTGTTTGTCAACAGTGTACACGTGCTAATCGCACTGCCGACTGCGAGTACGACGAAGGAAAGTCTAAAACGCGCACCCAACTTCTTCAGGAAAAGATCCAGAGGTGTGTACGCGATGCAAACGTCACGGATCCTCGTCTCATTACACTCTAGACTCGAGCTACGCATCCAGGAGATGGAAAGCAGCGGGTCCTATGGTCATTCGATCGATAATCCGGTACGGATAGCCCGGGAGGGACAATGGCAGACTTCTCACCCCTCTACAGGTTTACGGGCATCATGATTCTTCACTTGACCTTTCGATGATTCCGGACCCTCGTACCGATTTAGGTGAGTCCTCGGCGACCTTCCCCTTTCTTCCGTGCTGCCCGGGAATATCTACACCGCGTCCGCCCATTCGAGCAGGCGACCGGCCATCCTTGCCCGCCGGTTTCATGGCGCACCAACGTTTCCTTTCGCAATGTCAAGAGCACCCGGCCCCTCTCACTCTAAGACCCACATGGTGCCTATTTGCTGACCCTCGGCACAGGATTTACCTTTGGTACCACGGCCTCAGGTACACAAGGCTATGAACTTCGACAGCTCATGGACGTGGCTAGTACTGCACCATCCTCCTCCGCCGCCGATCAGCACGCATGGCCAGAGGAAAGCCAGAATTCGGCGGAGGCATGGTCGACAGAGATGGGGCCTCTAAGTATGCAACAGGCAATGTACGTCTCCTTGTATAGTCCTTCCGTTGATTAACCGACACATATATCGGCAGGTTGGAATTAGTTCTTCCACAACTCCCTCGGTTGGGAATAGACATCGACGGTCGCGATCTTCTTCATTCTCTTTCGCACCCAGCAAGCGCTCGGAGTGCGTTGCATCCATCACTCATCAACGCTCTCTACCTTCACGCCTCCACCCTGGCTCCCCCAGACCATTATCTGCGCGCACATCAATCTCGTTTCCTCAAACGAACGCAGGATGCCATTAATGCGTCCCTTGAGCTTCCCGACAGCCACCTCTTCGTCGACACCCTCCGAGCACAATGCCTCCTCGCAACGTGGTATATCCGCATGGCCCGGACGCTTGAGGGGTATTCGGTCATTAGCACCGCAGCGCGGCTTGCTGTCGGCTGTGGTCTGAACCGGATTGTTAGCCCCGTCTGGAAAGGGCATTCACCTCTGAGCGCTACAGCTGCTGCAAGCCTTCACGATGCGGGTTCCTCCGACGTGAATACCACTGCGGGACTGTCGCAATTGTATGGGCTGGGCTTGGGCATCCTGAACCTTGCCGCGGCGGGTGATGGCGACAAATCTGACCTCTATCCCATTTTGCGTGCCAACTCTTTGCATCGGCCAAGGACTTTGTGCCTCGAATTTGGCACCGGTCTCCTCCCAGGGACATCGCTTCCTGGCACTGCTAGCGGTAGTTCATCGCCCCTTGCTGGAGGCATGGCATCCTATTCTGGTGGTGGCGTTGGTGGAATGGCAAGGCCAACGAGAACCAGGGCAAATCCTATTCTCGACGCGCCCAAGGATGCAAAGGAGCTCGGGCAGCGCATCTTGTTGTTTTGGCGCATCTTCAATCTCGACCGCTTCTGGAGCATCGCGTGTGGGATGCAACCGTCGCTGAGCGAGGACGAAATCATGACCGTCTGGCCCCGAACGATGGACGACTATGTCATGGTGAGCATTCAGAGTAACTTTGGGGGGGAGATGGGCTCTTGCTTATACGCGATTGTGCAGGGAAATGTCAATGATAGCGAATACGCTTCCCTTCGCTCCCTCGGAGTACGTTCGCCGCAAGCCCCCGCGCAACTCCGCCCGGATGCCCCCCTTGCGCTGTTGTCCAAAGCAGTTACCCTATTCGAACGCTCAGCACGACTGGCAGCAAGTCTGAGCGACGTTCAGCCTCCTACCGCGGCGTTCTGGGAGGCCTATCGTTTGATGGAGACTTCGATTCTACAGTTGAGCTCGAGCCTCCCGCCCATTCATCGTCGCTCAGTTCGACACCATGCAGAGACATTAATCTCTCTCGGCAACCCGCCAACTCGGCCACCTTCAGCACCGGTGCTGAGTCAAGCTGGCTCACAAAAAACATCACCCACAGGCAGCATGGGCAGTGACTCGCCTGGTACTGGCACATTCTCTACATTCTCCGCTTCACAATCTCCAGCGTTCAACACGCCTGTATTTCACCCATCTATACAAACACAGCAGCAATCACAGCCCGATACTCCAATCGAGATTGACACCGAGTATATGCTCGTGCACGTCGTGCTTAGATGTGCATCCGTGCAGCTATACAATATCTTTGCCCAGACGGACGTCAATAGCTATGCAAAAGCACTAGCTTCTGCACGGGAAGCAGCCACGATCGTTGCCCAAGTGGCGGAAGTCGTACACGACTCTTTCGAGTACGACTTGATGCTTGGACCGTGTCTGACGCTTATTGCCGATGTCCTTCTCCGCGAGGCAAACCACGCAACCGCTGCAACCCCGCTAGGTTTGGGAGGTGGGTCCGGCACAATGGAAAACGTCGAACCCGAACTGGAAGCTGTCTTATTTGTCCTCAAAGCCATTGCAACAAACTCGCCACTCGTCCAAAGACAAGCGGCATTGGTCGTTGCCGCACGCAATGTACTTGTCGAGCGTATCAACGCTGTTCACCATACACCTCCACAGGATGATGTGTCCATGGCGATGATGGGCACCATGATGTACGGAGCATAAACCCCTCTTTGCTTGTCTACCGGATTCTGTAATGTTGAATTTTTCTTCTCTGGACTTGAAATACCCTGATAGATACTTTTATTGTGTATATTAGTCTTTGATTCGAGTTATTCGTGCCAAAGTTCTGTGCAAAGTTTCGGAGTCCATCACGTGCAGCTTCTTGAACACGGCCACGGTCCAAGGCTTTCTCTCTAATCGCCATGAGTGGCCCACGAAATAACCTCGACGAGATCCTAAGGCGGAATAACAGATCAGCAGAGCTGCCAATAACCAGAGGCGAAGGCAGCAAGCCAAAATCCGAAGTAAGCTCGTCCATCGACGCGTCTCTGGCGACCTTTTTAATGCTAAGTCGATCATTGAAGCAATACAAATTCAAACGCCTACCTGATGAAGACCCGAATGCGCCAAATGTGTCCCGAAGTGAGCTCAACATCCAGTCTTTCGACTCTAAGGGGTGTGGCTAATCATAAAAATGCAGTACCCAACCCACAGTCAAGCTCATCCTCGACATCTCTACATACTCAGTTTGCGAGATCCGAGTTCCCTCCTTCCGAACCCCCCTCCGTCAGCCGCATCTCTTCTTCAATCCGCCGAACGGTACCCATGAAGCGTTCCTCACCAGAGTCTACCTCCTATTCGGCCAATAAACGAGTAAAGAAAGATCTGCCACTATGTAAATTCAAATAGTCTCGTCTTCACCGAATACATCATTAACCCTTTTTAGCCGACCACACAGAACTTGATTTGCAGACCGATTCCAACAGGCATGCAACAGTGAGCCTGGTCGAGGATGCTGCTCAACCACCACCACAAAGAATCGCGCCTCCGACCAAGGTCCGACCCAAGACTCCACCCCGTCCAATATCCAGTGCATTTGGAGCCGATCTCAGTGAAGTAGGTTTCATGCTTGCTTCTAGTCCCCTCGCCTAATACTACGTCTCAGATGTCTACTCGCAAGCTCAACAAGTTGCAACTCGGCCGGCAGAAGGCAACAATAAACGCTGCGACTAATATATTCAACAAACTGCGAGGGAATGACGACAGTGAGGAGCTGGACCTTGATGCCATGATGCGGCAATTGTGAGTCTGACCTGGCCGGCAGTATGTCACGCTCATCCCAAACACAGTGAAGCACTCAAGAACAGTGCAAATGAGGTGGAGGAAATACTCAAACGACGGCAGCTCGAAGAAACTACGGTCGACAGCTCCCCAAATCGCTCTCTGGCATCCATACTGTCTTCGCCCATAGGCACTGCCGCAAACCTGCCAGATCTTCGCCCAGGTGCCCCCGAGACCTCTTCGCGAGTTGTCATGCAGACCACCGAAGTTAGGCGAATGGAAGTAGCCGAACTAGACGGGCCATCATCTTCTAATCCACCAGCCCGAGGGGCGAGTACATTCCGCACCACGTCCAGTGTAACACGAGAAGCCATCCGACAGGAATACGAAATTGGCGATGAGGAGGAGGATGGCGCACTTTGGGAAGGCATGGGAGACATTGGTGGACCTAGTCACGATGCGTTTTCTGTTCCCCCAGTGGAAAGGAATCACCGGGACAATGTTTCACGGATTAAAGCAGCTTATTTGCCCGAAGATCAATCGGCGGATGAGCCCGCTGTCGATTACACAGGGCATCGGAGCTATCAAGAAGTCATTCAAGTGCGAAACAACATCTTCCAGCTGCGCTCTTTCAGGAAGCATCAACTGGAAGCAATCATGAGCGCCTTGTCTGGCAAAGACGTCTTTGTGTTGATGCCTACTGGTGGGGGCAAAAGTCTGTGCTATCAGCTACCCGCCGTTTGCACAACCGGTACGACTCGAGGGGTCACCATCGTAGTCTCGCCGCTCATTGCTCTTATGGACGACCAGTTGAAAGAACTGCAGGATCTCGGGATCGATGCCACCAATCTTCACAGTGAACAGGATGTGGAAATGATCAAGGATACCAACAAACGTTTACGAAGTCTCTCGGAAGACAAGCCAGCTTTGGTTTATATCTCTCCTGAGAAACTTACGAGCAGCCTTGCACTGAAGGACATGTTGAATCAACTCTACTCGCGTAACCAGCTCGCCCGCTTCGTAATCGACGAGTGTCATGTCTTACCCGGATGGGGACGCGGTTTCCGTGATAGCGTACGTCTTCTGACCTTGCTTCCGGCTCCTTACTAAACTAGGCCAGTATATGGAGCTATATAAGTTGCGGAAAGATTTCCCGAAAGTACCAATCATGGCGCTCACTGCAACAGCTACCAAGCAAGGCATTCAAGACGTGATTCAAAAATTGCAACTCAGGCCGGACCATGTCCTGCTCCAACAATCTTTCAATCGTCCGAATCTTATCTACAGGGTGGCACAGAAAAAGAAGGCAGTAAACACGGAAATTGCGGAATGGATCAAGCGTAAATATCCCGAGGCAAGGGGGATCATATATTGCTTATCAAAATTCGACTGCGAGAAAGTTTCCGAAGAACTCAATCAGAAACATGGACTCGTTTCTACGTTCTACCACGCGGAGGTCGACAAAGGCAGAAAGCGGAACATCTTGCAGGACTGGAAGGCGGGCCGAGTCCTCATTATTGTGGCGACTGTAAGCTTGCCCCTAACGAAACAAGTCTCGCAAACTCACACCGCCGCTAGATTGCATTTGGCATGGGGTGTGTACCATTGTAGTGATTGCTCGCAGCTACTGACCCGTATCAAGCATCAATCAGGCTGACGGTGAGTGAAAATCTCCTACTTGAGAAACACTCAGACTTTCAACAGTACGCTTTGTGATTCATCACTCCCTTCCAAAGAATCTCGAAGGGTATGAGACCCCGTTGACCAAACCGAGAATCCCCTTAGCTAACGTTTCTTAGTTACTATCAAGAAACAGGCCGTGCTGGCAGAGACGGAAAGGTCTCGGAATGCATACTCTGTAAGAAGCTCTTGCCGATGCTGGAACCTCCTGACGGTCCAAAGACTACAGCTGGAACGATGTCCAGCGTTATACCAGAATGTTACGAGGGGACGACGCCATGCCAGTCGAAGAGCAGGATCGACAAATCTCTCAAGTTCGCAGTGTATATCAGTACTGTGTCACGGACGTTGGCTGTCGTCGTGTGGATGTTCTGAGACACTTTGGTCAAGAATTCCTCCCGGAACATTGCCAAAATACCTGTGACAATTGCATCTCCGGAAATGCAGGTTCGCTTAAGGACCTGACCTTCGACGCGTTGAATCTCGTTCAACTAGTTCGCGAGCGAAAGGACCCCAAACTTACGCAAAATCTCTGTGCGGTCGCGTTCCTTGGAAGCAATAACTCCACCATACGCGATCGGGGGTATCGTAATTCCCCTTTCTTTGGTAAAGGTCAACATCTGGGGCCGACCGTGGTCCATCGCCTGATTACCCATTTGATTATGGACAATGTGCTCACGGAAACCATCAGTGAGGGTCGCGGAGAGATGGGGTGGTCACATACGTACCTCAAGGTATGGCATGCGCCAATATGTGATGGGCAAGCAACTGACGGTAGCTAGCTGGGTACCCAAGCGGAAGCGCTGATGCAAGGGAGTCTAAAAGTCGAGATGCGGGTCTCGGACTCGATGGCTGGCCTCGGTGGAAACAAGAAAGACTACAAAGGCAAACGGGTCAATGGGACTGTGCGCTCTATCAACCGCACCGTCGTCGAGGAGATCACCTGCTATGACGATGGAGATGATCTGGGTCAACCTATAGAGCATTATTCACGCATCGAGCGCGGGATAGAGGAAGACTATATCCTGCCAAATGATCCGAAGCCGTCCGGGTCGCGATCACTATCGAGACAAACTGCTCATGTCCAAACAGAAGTCATTTGTCTCGATGACGATGACGTCGAGGAATATCCAGGCAACTCGGATCCCTCAACAAAAACGCTACACGATAGCCTGCTCCAACTGCGGAAAGAAGTGAGGTGTCTCAGCCATCCGAAGATGTGAAACTAATCCAGTTCAGCTCGCACAACAAAAGAGAAAGCAGGAAGCAGACATACTCAGTGATGAATGCGTCCAAATGCTGGCCTGTATGCCGCCCACCGGTATGATTTACAAAGGCGTCCCGAACTTTACTGAAATTGCTGGTAGATCCTAGAGAATTCAGAGCGACGCTGATGGAAGTCTACGGGGACGAGGGAAAGGTGAAGATCATCATGGACCGCGGGGCTCTCAGGTTCTTGGATGCGTGCATTCAGCAAGCTAGGAAGACAACTACTGCGCCAAAGCCACAACCAAAACCAAAGGCTAGCGAGTCGGTACGAGAGATACGCTCAAAGTTTACGTTCGACTCAACCACTATCACGGCACGAAGAGGAAAGCAGGCAGAAACGTCTGCAAGAACAGTACGGCCAGGCATACGGCAGATGGATGTATAATCGTGGTTTACCTTTACTTCTGGCTTTTGGTCTTGCTCTGTACATTTAGTGTGATCTGATACCATACACGCGCTTTCTAACTCCGCTCCCACCTTGGACCCGCCACCCATGGCTGAGCATCGTCACGTTCAGCTCTACTCGTATGAAGAGCTCGTGTCCAACATTCACCGTACCGTTGGGGTCACCGTTTCGCAGCGTGATCTTGCGCAACCAATGGCTCAACTTGTTGAGCTGCTTTATGTCAAGTTTTTGTACATCATCTTCGGCTTTGACTTTGAGGACTATACGAGGAATCTTCATAATGAGCCAGATCCCGTGAGTTCATCTGCAGATATTCTTGCCAGAAATGGTCCTCACACTGGACGCGTCCAGCAATATGCAGACAGCTTTGTTGTCAAAGTGGTGCTCCGACATTTGAAACAAATAATGCGACTTACATCCGAGACGTCTTGGATTGAAGGAAAGACGCCCATCCCATTGGAGAATGTCCGCATTTCAGATATTACGGAGCCTAGTGCGTCATCCATTGCTTCTCAGATCATATATCGATAAACATACTCAGCACCTGCAAGAACAAAAGTGATTCTTTCGACTTTGATCAACCTGGTCAATCTGCGTGACGGCGAAATGGACATCTTTGCCGAGGTCTTGGAGCGTTTCACAGCAGCATCGAATCAGCGAGAAACATCTTCTAAGCAGATAGAACGGCTCAAGGCTGAAAATGAAGCCGCAAAGTATGAACACAATCAGGACTGAGACTCGGTTTGCTGATTGATATCTCTAGAGCGGTTATTGATCAGAAGAACAAGGCGCTCGAAGAGGATCTCAAGAAAAAGGAAGAAAGAGAGCAAGAGTTGGCAGAGGCCGAGAGAGCACGCAAGAAAACCAAACAAGAGCTCAAGGAGATTAAGAACGAGATGAAGCAAAAGATTGAACAAAAGGTATATGTCGACCTTTAGTCTAAGCATCAGTTAAACTTTTACTAGGAAAATCTTGCGAATCAAGTATCGGATTGGGAACGAAGAAATCTAGACCTCCAACGACGGCTCGTCCGAAGTCCTGATAGGGTCAAGAACGAGATTCTTAATATGGGCGACGACGTTGCCCAAAAAAGAGAACAAGTGTTTAGTAGGGAGGAGATGAATCGCGCACAACGGGCAAAGCTCGATGCTCTCCAGGTCATAGAAAAGGTAATAGAGCATATTAACAACTTTCTGCTCTGACGACAAGTTCAGCACATGGAGACTCTACAAGATAATCTCGTGACTTTGCAAGATATTCAACAGGAGCGGAATAAGCAGCTTAGCGTCGTTCAATCAATCAGAGACCAGTTGGAGAAGCAGCGGATCGAATATGAAGACGCAATGGCAAACAAAGACGTTCGTCGTTCATTACCCTTTCGATGTCGCGCTGATTTGGTATAACAGAGTTGGGAAAAGAAAGGAGAAACTGCGCGACAACGTATTACCGCCTATGAACTCAAGATGGCTGCTGAGAGGAGAGATATTGAACTCAGGACGGCCGAGGCTAAAGAGGAATACGAGCGCGTGACAGAGGAGAGAAGTCAGACCGACCATCGTATAGATGACGACCGGGCTCACGCCGTTGAAATTCAACGAGAGGTAAGCGAATCCTCTTGGTGTAAGCATACACTCATCACTTGCAGATTGACACGATGATTCATGAAGCAGAGAAAATGATCCAGCAAACCCTCAACGACTATTGGCGTCTGACGAAGCAGGCTGGTAAGGTTGATCGTCACCCTATGATCTTGACTGAATCTACATAGACGAGTACATGGCGACGATTGCCAAGCGGTTACACTTTCCATTGCCCACATCTTGACCCTTTATACCTAACGTTAAAGATGTATCTCTTGTAACAAAATGCACGATGTCCATATCACGGGAAGAAAAGACAGGAAGTAAAGACAGGGCTCTAGGCAAAAAGTTTCAATCTATCCACCCGTATTCGCTTCCAACTCCTCTCTCGCTTGGGACGACCTACTTGCTCTCAAAGATCCGGTTCAGGCTGTCCCATACAACACCGGGAGATTGCGCAGCATCAATGGCCTTCCAGATGCCTTGCTTTCGATAATAGTCCACGACGGGACCTGTCTGCTTGTGAAAGGCATCCAATCGCTTGCGAAGCGTTTCGACGTTGTCGTCTGACCTTTGAATCAGCGGTTCGCCGCTCACGTCGTCCGTCATTGGCTTTTTAGGCGGGCTGAACAAGTTGATTAGCTTCTAAAAATGCCAGATGAATAACGCAAAAAGTCACATACTGGAATTCACGATGATATGTCCTGCCACTGGCCGGATGAATCAAGCGTCCAGTGATGCGCGAGATGAGCAGTTGGTCCTGAATCACAAGCTCGACAACATGGTCCAACTTCTCCTTTCGTTGTGCAAGCATCGAATCGAGTTTTTCTGCCTGCGGAACAGTACGCGGGAACCCATCAAGGATGAAACTATAGGGTCGCGTCCTTGAGCGTGGTGTTCAGACGAAGACGGAGCAACATACCCCTTCTCGCATTCCTTGTTGTTTTCTAGCTGGTCCTTGATCATTCCTACCATGATATCGTCACTGACGAGACCTCCCGCGTCCATAATCTTCTTGGCCTCGATGCCGAGCGGCGTCTTCTTCATGACCTGCTCGCGGAGCATGTCTCCCGTTGCCAAATGGCAGACACAATACTTTTCCTTGATTTTTGGGGCTTGAGTACCCTTGCCTACAGCGGTCCGTTCGTCCGCAAATGCATGTCGAGCGAGGTCGAAGTCAATTCAGTCAAAGCAAACGTGATTATGGGGGTGAAGTCGAGCCCAGAACGGGGCAGGGATCATCAAAAAATAGCGCAGAAAAGATAAACTGATGAGAAGAGCGTCCAGACAGTGTTATTTGTAATCCACTCACCAGCGCCAGGCGGTCCAACGAGAATCATACGCAGTTCCTTGTCGGACTTGAGAGGAACAGCAGCCGCGGGCTTTGCCTTCTTCTCTAGCTCTTCAATTTTGAGCTTTAGACGCTCCGCAAGTGATTTGAGATACTCGAGCTCATCGCCTGGAGGTTGAGTTGGAGCCATCCCTGAGAGCGACAGTCTAAGAGCAACAAAAACCGAGCAGCTAAATAAGAAGAAGTAATTAGCAAATTGTGGATCACAGACTATGGGACTTACGGCCAACGAGATCAACGAGGTCAGGAGCAAGCCACGAACAAACTTGGGATTCGACGACGTGGACAAGACATTGCAGGCCATAGTCGACTGATTCAACGCGCAAGAATGGGACTACTCAGGTCACTCTTTACGTCTCTAATCAGCCTTGGGGCGCTCTGCGCAGCGTCATCGAGCGCGGGCTCGAGAGTGCTCGTCGTTTTGGAGCCGGCATTGTCCAAGACTGATTATTCGACCTTCTTTGACGGTCTAGAAGGTATGTAACCTCATGTATGTGCAGTAAGGTTGCTAAAGAGTCGCCCATGTCGTTGCTGCTGGCAGAGCGCGGATACCAGCTAACTTTCAGGACACCAAAGCAAGACAAACCACTCCTTGTAGAATATGATGTCCCAAACTATGACCACGTTATCCTCTTTGCCCCGACAACGAAAAGTGAGTAAACGATCCTGTCAAACCCGCGCAAGCAAACTCCTCGTTTTTGGATAAGCTGGAGTCTAATTAGAATTTCTTCTCCGTATATTTGGCTAAAACCCGACACTGACGCTATTTCTAGCCCTTTCGTCGGATATTTCTCCCCAATCACTGCTGCAACTCTTATCCCAAAAGGTCAATCTGATGGTCGCACTATCACCAAAGACGACCCCGATGCACTCCTTTGCGAGCGAGTTTGGCCTCATCCTCCCGCCTCCCGAAACTCCGCTCTTCTCACATTTCCCCGCTCGCAAAGGTCCACGTACGACACTCGAAGTCCCTCTAAACCCGGATTCAAGCGTGGTAAAATCGACTTCATCGCCAATTTTGTTCTCTGGTATCAACTTTGGCATCTCGACCAACCCTATGCTCTTCTCTATTGTCAACGCCCCCGCAGAGAGCTTTGCGACCGATACAACGAAAGAGGAAGAAGCAGAAATCTTGATTGAGTCGGCGAACAGGGGAGGAGAGGGTCTTTGGGCTGGGAGCGCAATGTCCGTCGTTGCAGGTTTCCAAACAAAGAGCGGCGCGCGCGTCGTATGGGCTGGTGGCGTTGACATGTTCAGTAACGATTTCGCTTCGAGCACACTAGCAGGTGGAAAGAAGAGTGGAAACGCTGCTGTCGCTCAGGATATTGCCAAATGGGCCTTCCAGGAATCTATGGTTCTCCGTATCGACGAAGTCAAACACCATAGACTCGGAGAAAGTGATCCTCGAGAAATGTATACGATTAATGACAAAGTGGTATGTATCTCCACAACTCCAGCAAATCCCTGCTCACTATCTCTCGCTTCCAGGTATATTCCGTGCAAATATCCGCCTTTGACCCTACTACGTCCTCCTGGACGCCCTACTCCGATATCAAGGATTTGCAAGTCGAGTTCACCATGCTTGATCCGCATATCCGCACCTCTCTGTCGCCCGTCGCTGGACAACCAGGCAGGTATGAGACTGTGATACGCATTCCAGACCGACATGGTGTCTTCAAATTTGTCGTCGACTACCGAAGAAGGGGGTAAGCAACAATTTCACCGTTAGTCAGCATCCCTGATATTTATTGTGCAGTTGGTCCACGCTGTATTCAGCCACGACAGTACCAGTTGTTCCGCCACGACACAACGAGTATCCGCGTTTCCTGTCGGCTGCGTGGCCGTACTATGTCGGTGCCATTAGCACGAGCATTGGTTTCATCCTCTTCAGCGCCTTGTGGCTTGGTGGCGCCGCGAGCGAACGGGGCAGCAAGAAGAAAAAGGAGTGAACGATCTGTCAGATTCATATTTAAACAGCGTCGAGTGTCGAGTAGCCGTGCACAAAAGTATCTGGTTCGGTTATATACAACTTGCTATTTCCAATCAAAAAATAGGGGTGACCCTCGAAGACGTGATCAAAATAAAGAGAGTGCAAGAAATACGGGGTTATACATATAGCTACGTGGGTCTATGATAGGGCGGGAATATTTGCGACATTCAATGTTCGTTGAAGTTCGAGGATCGACTCGCTGACGGCGGCACAACTTGGACAGGGTGTGCAATTGTTATCTGATGTCAGATTCGACTGGGAGCCGCCGCTGCAAGCGAAACAAGTACATCCAGATGGACACGTGCATTTTGAGAGTAAGGGTACGTTTCCTTCCCCGAGTGATGCCAGGACCTCTTCTGCTTCCTTGGATCTTGGGGGTGTCATCGGGACAGATGTAGTTGGAGTTGTGGTCGCGCTTTGAGCTGGTGGCGAGACAGAACTTGTTACCGGGTTCATTGACGGAGGAACCTTGAGACTGTCCTCGAATGCCTTCTTGCCAACTAGAAGGCTATCGTCGGACTGCGGAGGCGTCATACCGACCTCTTCCAACCGTGACTTTGCCTCCTTTTGAATGTTCCTCAATTGGGCAGGTTTGAGACCTGACATCAGGGACATGTTGGATGCTACTTCATCGTCGTCGAGGTTAAGATTTGCCATCAGAATCGCGCAGTCGAGCATCTGTGCCTCTGACTTTTGTCCGAGGCATGGGTTGACCTTGGTAAGGCACTTGATACAGATACACCCTTCGTCGCAGAGATCATCCGGATCATCGCTGGGAGGAGTACACTCTTCGACAGGGCTAGCTCCTGCGACGGCAGGTGGCGGCGCGGGTATGGTTGTAGGCGCAATTGTTGGAAGAGTCGCAGGACTAATTGGATCCTCCATGGCCGGGTTCGTCTCGTCACGGAGGAACTGATCCCAAAGTTGTGCTGTCCTCGCATCGTCGGATGGATGAGAAGATATCGGCAGAACAGTCTCGAAAGGGTAGTCGGTATAAAATGGTGGCGACACATGGGCTACACCAGGTGCTGTCAGGGCGGAGAAAGATTGTGGGTACGGTGTGTAGCGGGCGGCTTTCTGTCGAGTTTGTTGCTGGAGCAGAAAGGATTCTTCGTTGAGCACCGGGGGAATGTACGATGCAAATTGCGAATCAAACGTCGAGTTGAACGCATTGAAAGAGTTAGATGTGGATGTAAAAGTGTCCGTTGGATTGACCAAGACTGGCGCGGAAGTCGGGAGTAGAAGAGACGTAGAGGACGAAGAAAGTGGCAAGTCACTATTCGCGGATGAAGACTGGCTCGAACTGGTGCAGCATGAGCCATCCTCGCCCGAAGAAGAGCACCCATCTGTGTGTGAGCACGATGGTGAACTACAGTTACTCTTCGCTACCGCTTGTTGCGGTGGTGCACGGTCCTCGGCTCCAGAGTACTTGCGACCAGTGCGGCTCGCTACTGTACGCGGGACGGCGCAGTTGCAGATACCCGTATTGTCGCAATCACAACCATTATGCTGTTTCGGAGCACTTGTATCTTTCCCTAAAGCAACGCATTAGCGAAAAGGGACAGAGGAAAAATAGGTACAAACCTTTGCGTCGTTTTGGCGCTTCAGACTCGTCTGGCGTGCATATACAGCGCACATGAACTTGCTTGACCTTCCGTAGATCGCGGCAGTGGTCGCATTGGGTCAACGGACGTCCCTTTTTCCGTACTTGAAGCATTGGGCGGTCGGTGTGTTGACAAGAAGTTGAACGATGTCCCCTGATGCACGAGGCACTACATTCCATCAGCTTCACGCCAATCATGGCTTTCCTGTCGCGCGTACCAGGCCATTTTGACCCCGTCTATAACAGGCTGCAGATGCATCAGTCAAATAATCAGAGTCGATTCCACCAAAACGCTTCACCATCCTGAATTTCGAGTAGGAGCTGCCAGCGCTGAGCAGTGATTGATGTGGAAGCGGGTCAAGCTTGGTAAGCAGAGACGCGCGTAGAAGCGCATTCAATTCGGCGCGCGGACTTAGTGGTAACGACCCAAAAAAAGCATGGAAATTGACAGAATATTTGGTACTACATACATTAGTAACCACCACCTCCATCGTTGATACGGTGCGATGCCATCGTGCGTCGGTGAGTGTCCTCGAGCTTTGGACAGTTGGCAATCCCATGTCCAAGCCCTCCGCACACAGGACAACTTTTCAGAACTCCTCCTTGAGCGACTCGAGGATCCTCCACAGATTGCAAAAAGGCGGGTACCCTGCGGAGGATATTAGACACAGCCAAAATGCTGCAGGGGCAATCTTACTTTTGTCCTGCTTCCATGAGAAGATATTTAAGATCCAACAGTGTCTGTTCTGGGGTGTTCATGTTCACAAACGTCGTCGCGATCCCTGTCTTGCCACTGCGCCCTGTGCGCCCTATCTGGTGGACATAGTCTTCAATCTCCTTTGGCATTGTGAAAATGATGACGTGTTGAATCTCATTAAAGTCGAGACCCTTGGATGCGACTCCAGATGCGACCATCACGTCCTTCTTTCCAGATTTGAACGATTTGATAGCGTACTGGCGTTCTTCTTGAGCTATAAAAGAGTTTAAACAAATTTAGATATGCTCGAATAGGTGCATACTTTTTGATCCATGAATAGCAACTGCTTCCACGCCCTTGAGCAAGAGGTACTCTTGAATGTCTGGGCAACCTGTCAGCGCGCGCACTAGGTTCATAGGGAGATACGCACCATCGACTTCGTTCTTGTTTTCGCTGAAAACAATAACGGGAGGTGGCGTCTTCTGCAAGCACTCGAGCAGGTATACCATCTTCGCCTCTTGTTTGACATATTCGACGACTTGCAGTACATCCAAGTTGGCAGCACCTGCTCTCCCGACGTTGACCAGGACCGGCCGAACGAGCGATTGCTGCGCAAAGTCTTGAATCTTTCGTGGCATTGTCGCGGAGAAGAGTAGTGTCTGACGCTGACTCTACGAAGGGTCAGCATCGAGACATCCAAAGACAAATAATCGCACCTTGAAGAAGCTCATGATTGTTCGGACGTCATCCTCAAAGCCCAAATCGATCATCCGGTCTGCCTCGTCCATACACATGTATTTGCAGCCATCAAAGTTGAACTTCTTCTTTTCGAGCATGTCGATCAAACGGCCCGGTGTAGCAACAACAATATGAATCCCCTGGCTCAATGTATGTCCTTGATCTGACATGGAGATGCCGCCTATGCAGAGCAACGTACGGAGCCGTGGATGCCCATCCTTCTCGAGTGCAGAGCACCACGCTTGAATGTTTTCGAATGTCTGATTGGCAAGCTCGCGCTGTGGAAGATGAGCCATAGACAAAGCAATTACAGCGAGGCACATACCGATGGACACAATATAACACCTATTGGTCCCTCTCCTCTGATAAATGGTAGTCTCGCTTCTGCCTCGAGGGCCATCATGATTGCGGGGATGCAAAACGCCAGTGTCTTGCCCGAGCCGGTGAATGCAATCCCAATCATATCTCTTCCAGAAAATCTAATCGAATATGAGCTAAGGCTTGTATGTATACTGATTCCGTACGCAGTAGGGATTCCTTGTAATTGAATCGGTGTGGGAGAGTTGATCCGATTGCTTTTCAGGTGCTTTAGGATGGCTGGAGGTATCTTCATTTCCTGCGACAAATGAGGTGCTTGAATCAGTAGTGAAACACTACATACTGCAAATGTCTCAATTGGGGGAGGAACATCTTCTCCCTCGACGAGGATGTGGTATTTTTCTCTGATTCGAGCGTTTTCTTCCTCTGTCCGCTCACGAATATGCTTTGGAGGTCGCCACCTAGACCGTGAGTAAAACGATTCTCAATACATGTAATGTACTCACGAAGTCTTGAGAGACTCGGTATACTGGATGCCTTTTGCCAACTCTAGATCCGACGCAAGCTTCCTCCTCGCAGCAATAGCTGCCAGCATCTCGCTTTCTTCTTCCTCTACCTTCTTCTCCAACGTCTTGTGTGCATCCTCTTCGGCCTTTTTCTTTTGCACTTCTTGCGCCTCCTTTAGTAATGTACGCTCTCGCCGCGCCCGTTCTCGTTGTCGTTCCTCTTCTTTCTCCTCATCGAGTTTGTCTTCCCCTTGAGCATTACTTGCAGCCTTGACCTCGTGTTGAGACCCTCGCGCAGCAGCCAACTTTTGAAGGCGTTGCATGCGTTGTTGCTTTACGGGGACATATGGCACGTATGGCTCCTCCCCGTCATCTAGCTTTGATGTGTTCTCTTCCTCATCGACCCTTCTCTTCTTCTGCGGTGGTTCAGCCATTGAGTCTACGAAGCGGTCGAGTTCAAGTTGCGAACCTTGAAGCCGGCCATGTCGTGCCGCCGTCGCAAACGTTTGCGTGGGTGAATCCCGGATGCCGGTTGGGTGTGGAATCGCCAGATGTAGCATCTTGGTCTCTTCTGCTATAATGGACTTTGACCCGACAACTCATCCCCATCGTCGCTGTGAGCTACTTATTCCCTTTTTAGTGATCTCGATTGGCTCAAGGTTATTGAAGACAACCCGTTGACTGGAGAGCATGTGCTCGTGTCTCCACATCGCAACAAACGGCCGTGGCAAGGACAGACAGAGCCGCCGAATCCTACAAAGCTCCCAGAATATGACAGCAAATGCTATCTATGCCCAGGGAATTCGAGATCTGGTGGTCAACTGAACGACAAATACACTTCTACGATGGTCTGTCTGCCCAGATCTCCACTAGGCAACCTCTAAACGTTGATAGGTATTCGAAAATGACTTCCCAGCCGTACTCCCACCACCTGGACCAGATGCTCCTCCAAACGCGCATCCGCTGCTGCAAGCCACTCCTGTTCAAGGAGGTTGCGATGTCATCATATTCCACCCACGGCACGATCTAACACTCGCTCGATTATCTCCAAAGGATATCGAACCGATCATACAGGAGTGGAAACGCATCTATCTCAAGCGCGGCGCCCAGCCAGGAATCAAATATGTGCAAATCTTCGAGGTCCGCTCTACTGTATCCCCCCAAGGGCGGCCCCTGACTTTTGATAGAATAAAGGCTCGATGATGGGATGCAGCAATCCTCATCCCCATGGTCAAGTGTGGTCCCTCAGCGAGGTTCCAACTTTTCCCTCCACAGAACTGAAGCATCTCCATGAGTACAGTGAACAGCATATTCCAGACTCTGGTGCTCCAAGAGGTCCGGGTGGCAAGCCATGCATGCTCTGCGAATATGTCCACTATGAACTATCTATTCCACGTGAAGAAGGGAGAATCGTTTTACAGAACAAACATTGGGTGGCGTTGGTTCCCTATTGGGCAGTATGGCCGTTCGAAGTCATGTGTATGTCCTTCAGTCTCTTACATTGGCTATTAATGATCACCCACTGTTCAGTACTTCCCCACCATCGACATATACCTGGTCTGAACCACCTCACTGCCGAAGAGTCGACGACGTTTGCTCAAATCATAAGCCAACTCACTATTCGCTACGATAATCTCTTCCAGACCTCATTTGCGTATTCTATGGGAATCCATCAACGGCCTACCCCTGGCGACTCCGAGCAACTCGACAAGGATGACATTGCGCACCTCCATCTGCATTTCGATCCTCCCCTCGCGAGGAGTGCTACTATTCGAAAGTTTATCGTAGGGTATGCCCGTGTTTCACTAACTGTTACACTTTGTACTGATTTCACAAACCCAGCTTTGAAATGATGGGAGAGCCTCAGCGGGATTTGACGGCGGAGCAGGCAGCAACGCGATTGAGAGAGTGCAGCGATGTGCATTTCATGGAGTCGTCCGAATAGATGTTGCAGGAAATGGATTCAATACACTGGTGCACGACACGTTCATACAAAAAACCTCAGTTACCCTTTTTCTTCTTCTTGCCACGCTTTCGTTTGGAGCTGTCGTGTTCATAGTCTTCTTCTTCGTCTTCGTCATCTTCTTCAGCATCTTCCTCGGCGTCCATAGCATCCTCAGACTCCTCTTCGTCTCCTTTATCCTTTGCACTCTTCTCCGGCCTGGTGGACGACGCTGCGGCTGGCGGATCTGCAGAGGGCGGGACGGCAAAACCAGGGTAGTACATTGGTGGGATGAGGGCAGGAGCAGCCACAGCAGCATTCCCTCCATCAGCAGGCGTGCTCCCATCTCCCTGAGGCATTGGAGCAGCGATGAAATATGGATAGTACCCTGCGGTCCCTTCCCCAGCTTTTCCGCCAGCCGCGGCCCCGAGAGCTGCAGCCGCCCACTGCGAGTAAAGCTGAGCCGAGTAGGCTGCTGCAGGGAGGAATTGTGCCGCAGCGGCAGCGGCAGATGCCGCATTGTTCGCGCTTGTACTCTCGTCCTCCTCGCCTGGCAAGGCTTGCACGGTCGGTCAAATGGCATTAGACAGTAAAAACTCCCAACACTCACGTTTCTTCTTGTAGGAGCCTCGCTTGATGCCCTTTCGACGTTCCTTGCGTACGCTGTCCTGGCAGTCGTCTGCAATGCCGTATTTGACACACCGCGTGCATGGACGCTCGTCGTCACACTTTTTGCACGCCTTTTGACAATTCGTACATGCATTCTTGACCTGCTTGCGCTTGAGCTTCATGCCTGGGGGCATCATTCCATAAGGGTAAGAGTACATTTGCTGAAGAAATGCCGGATGAATCATCATCGCGCCTGGAGTAGCTTGAGCTTGCGCATTTCCCTCGCCTGTCTCGCCTCCTTGGGCAGGGACGGCCGTCATGGGCGGGAAATAGGGGAGAAACTGCATCCCGGCGATTGGCGCCATCCCAGGAGGCAAGACGAACCCTGTGGGGTTGCTTGTAGCTGTCCCTGCTGATGAAGAAACGTCTGGAGTGGCGTGTGCGTCGCCAGTGGACGTTGCAACCTTGTCGGGGGAGGCGGGAGAGGGACTGGCAGCTTGGGAGGATGTTGCAGACTTGTCGGCGTCGACAGACATGGCTCGAGAATGTGCACAAAATACTCGTCGATAATTCACCTTTGGATTTTACAGGGGTCGGCCCGACAGCACTTTTACGCGGAGTTGCGTGAGCGGAATCTCGGTCGCCGCTGCAACTTGGGAGGCGTTAGGATGCAAAGGCGCTCGAGCCACTCGCTCCTGCATTTCGCATCAAAAAAATCATCGAATATTCAATGTTGTAAAGTATATCCCTGGGATGCATGTCAATGGGCTTGGGGTACCTCCAGGCGACACTATTGGCTTCCAATCCGGCAAAGCGAAGCAAGATCATCTCATTAACGTGATAACCCTCAGCCCTTAGAAACTCAAGGCCATCCGGTCGTTAAAGGCAGGCTGCTATTCCTTTATGTAAACCGATTACTCAACCAACTGTCTAAACTTGTCTTGAATCTCCGTGTGCAGTGCATTGAGTTTCTCCATAATAGCCTCCTTTCCTTGAGAGGGGCTCTGTCGCGGCAAGTGAGTAGGCATCCCAATGCACTAAATTCTATCCCACCTCAAACTTCATCTGGGAGAGCTTGAACATTTGGTCCGCAGTTGCGTCCTTGATCCGAGCAAATGTAATATCCCCCTGTGCCAACGCCTTGACGGCCGCTTCGTGATATGCGATAAAGTTACGCAACATGGCACTCGTCTTGTAGAATGGACAGTATCGGTCGTATTCTGAGATACCGTTTTGCTGCAAAAAGTCGTCCTTGAGCATCCGAGCCACTTCTAGTGTCACCTTGTCCGACTCTCCGAGTGCACTTTTGCCGACGAGCTGAACAATCTCTGCCAAATCTTCCTCCTTTTGAAGAATCTCTTTCGCTCGTGTTCGGATTTGGACAAAGCCAGGTTCAGAACTCTCATAGTAGGGCTCCAGGACCTTGATGTACTTGGAGTACGACACGTTCCAGTTGACCGAAGGGAAGTGTTTACGTTGCGCGAGCTTCTTGTCCAAGCCCCAGAAGACTTGTACAATACCCAAGGTAGCACCCGTGACTGGATCACCATAGTCACCACCCGGAGGAGAGACACTAAAAGATATTGGTCAGCAGACTAAGCCGATACAAATAGCGTACATACGCTCCAACGATGGACACCGTACCACCACGTTCTGGTGCACCCAAGCACGTCACCTTGCCTGCACGTTCATAGAAACTTGCCAGTTTGGTACTCAAGTACGCCGGATAACCAGAGTCTGCAGGCATCTCCGCCAAACGACCTGAAATTTCACGAAGTGCCTCTGCCCATCGACTAGTCGAGTCCGCCATCATCGACACATTATTGCCCTGGTCACGGAAGTATTCCGCCAAGGTGATGCCGGTGTAGATACTGGCCTCACGAGCGGCCACAGGCATGTTGGAAGTATTGGCAATCAATGTAGTTCGCTTCATGATGGGTTCTTGTCGTCCGTCAGCGGTCTCCATCTTGAGTTCGGGGAACTCCATCAAGACTGATAGTGTCGTCAGTAACATTCCGTCGTAGATGGGTGGCTTACCTTCTGCCATCTCATTTCCACGCTCGCCACATCCAACATAGATAATGATGTCGCTGTTAGAAAACTTGGAGATGGCTTGCGAAATGACCGTCTTGCCAGCACCGAAAGCACCAGGAATGGCCGTAGTTCCTCCCTGAACGCAACTATACAGACAAGTCAGAGAAAATTAAGGGGATCAGGGTAACGAACGGGAACAGAGCGTCAAGAACTCTTTGGCCGGTGAGGAGAGGGAAGTCCGCTGTAAGCTTGTCTGCGACCGGGCGAGGCGCACGAACAGGCCAGATTTGCATAAGGCTGTGCTTCGACGTCTTGCCTTGGAATTCGGTTTCGAGCACAATATCGTCCACGGCGTAGCTGCCCTTTTCAGCAATGTGGGTGATCGTGCCCATAGCACGTGGGTTCAGCATAATCTTGTGGTTGCTGACAAGAGAGTTTTCATGTACAGATCCAAAGATGTCGCCACCAGAGATGTGATCTCCGACCTGGCTCAGAGTCAATCCACGGCGTAATGGGCGGCGACAATGCCTACCTTGAGCGTTCCGGGGGTAAAGTCCCATTTCAACGAGCGATCCAAGGCGTCTGTATTGATACCGCGAGGAATATAGATGGATTGCGAGGCTCGTTGAATTTCCTGAAGAATTCGACGTCAGGACTGCGGGACACGATCTGACCACGACATACTCGTAACGGTCTTTGGATTCCGTCGAGAATGTTTCCCATGAGACCTAGACAGGCGTTGAGCACGACACATCAGCATCGAGATGTCGCTACGGACCTGGTCCAAGCTCCACGCTCAACGGTTTGCCTGTCCGTAGCACCGGGTCTCCGACTGTGACACCAGACGTTTCCTCGTAGACCTGAATGGTCGCCTTATCGGCGTCGATACGAATGACCTCTGCCACAGCATGAGCATCGACAAGCCCGCATTAAGCGAATAGACGCACCACCGACGAGCTCGTTGTGTCCAACTCGAACAAGTTCGTACATTGCACAACCGGTCATGTTCTCTGCAATGACGACGGGTCCTGAGACGCCGTAAACCTGGCCGTAGCGCGACTCGCGGTCCTCATCGCGAATCTTATTGAGATCCCGTTTTGCACTCGATAGAGCTCCAGCCTGTATGTATAATACGGATGAGATTCTTCATCGTATTTGTGAAAAGGGGACATGGCCACTTGCCATCACTAGATGAGGAAGAGTTCAATCAACTTGGACCACTCCTTCGACTTGTCTTGTCCCTATATCCCCATCTAGAACGCGAATATGCCACCAAAAGCGTACGTTTGATTCTAATTATGCTTAGCTGCGAGCTCATAAATGTATTTCATGCAGCGACTGGGAAAAGTGTACGCGTAATCTGGTACTCACGACGCGATGGAGGGCTCATTACATCTTTAGACGAGAAAAGAGTGGATGAAAAGGATGAAAAGATTGTTGGTGAGCCGCAACTCGACGTGTATGCTGCGGCGTTGCTGACGGGAGCTAGCCTTGGATGATAGCGACATCCAAATCCTCAAGACTTATGTGTGTACACTATTTAGGAGATCATTATAGTCGAAACTGACTGCTCTGTAGGGCCAGGGACCATATGCCGGTCAGCTCAAGAAGATAGAACAAGATATCAAGGACATTCAGAAGCGGGTAAACGAGAAGCTCGGTTCGCATATAATCTAGAAGCTCAGAAGAACTAGGACTGACGACCTATAGGTGTCAAGGAGTCTGATACCGGCCTTGCACCTCCAAACCTATGGGACGTCGCCGCTGACCGTCAGCGAATCGGGGAGGAAGGTCCACTACAAGTCGCTCGATGCACCAAGATTATCCCTGTCGATCCAGAGAAAAAGGCAGCTGCAGAAGCCGTCAATCCTCTAGGTGGCAACCAAGGCCAGAAAGGCGCTGATGAGCAAGACAAATATGTCATCAATATCAAACAGATTGCCAAATTTGTCGTCGGACTCGCCGACCGAGTGTCTCCGACCGATATTGAGGAGGGCATGCGAGTTGGGTGCGTGCCAGCGTTGATGAAGATGAGCAAATTGCTGACTTGGCCTAGTGTCGACCGGACAAAGTACCAGATCATGATTCCATTACCTCCAAAGATTGACGCCTCTGTCACCATGATGCAAGTCGAGGAGAAGCCGGACGTGACCTACTCGGATGTCGGTGGATGCAAAGAACAGATTGAAAAGCTGCGAGAAGTCGTCGAAACTCCGCTCCTAAATGTACGTTGATTCATGTGCGGTGCTAACCTATTCTAACTGTCACCCAGCCTGAGAAGTTTATCAACCTGGGTATCGATCCACCCAAGGGTGTACTCCTCTACGGCCCACCCGGAACTGGAAAGACACTCTGCGCACGTGCAGTCGCCAACCGAACAGATGCGACGTTTATTCGTGTCATTGGCTCAGAACTCGTACAAAAGTATGTCGGAGAGGGAGCGCGAATGGTTCGCGAGTTGTTTGAAATGGCTCGTCAGAAAAAGGCGTGCATCATCTTTTTCGACGAAGTCGACGCCATTGGGGTGCACGTTTCGATGACGGTGCTGGTGGTGACAACGAAGTACAACGTACCATGTTGGAGCTGATCAACCAGCTCGACGGTTTCGACCCTCGAGGTAACATCAAAGTCTTGATGGCCACAAACAGGTTTGTCTTCCTACCCCGCGTTGTCGTCCTTGGCTCAAATTTTTCTTTGCAGACCCGATACGCTTGACCCAGCTCTTCTCCGTCCAGGGCGACTGGACAGGCGTGTCGAGTTTGGGCTACCCGACAACGAGGGGCGAGCACATATCCTTCGCATCCACGCACGAAGGTACGCCTATCCTGATCCTCACCTTTTATCAACTTAGCGGAATCTAGCATGAGTGTCGAGCGTGGTATTCGATTCGACCTGATTGCACGTCTGTGTCCCAACACGACCGGTGCCGAACTACGATCCGTTGCTACAGAGGTGAGAAACCGCCATTAATCTCGAGAGATGTCGTTATTAATCTGTACGTAGGCTGGTATGTTTGCCATTCGTGCTCGACGGAAAGTGGCCACCGAGCGCGATTTTCTGGACGCAGTCGAAAAGGTGGTTCGTCAAGGCACCAAGTTTTCGAGCACGTAAGTAGCCTTTTTGTTCGGTTCATGCCAGATGCTGACAAGATATATAGGCCGGTTTATCAAGTATATAACTAGTCGGAGATCGAGTTACTCCCGTCCATGCCTCTATGTTTCGATTGCACTTTGCAAACTCTAGAAGCTTTAGATGGCCAATCTCTAGTCAAAGTGTACAATTAAGCTACCGTACAACATTGTTTGCTATTTTCCTTGATTATAAATCTTGCCGGCTGCAGAGGAAAAGAGTCCAAACAAACATGGGTGGAGTGGGAGGGGATGGTGGTATACGATTCTGGAAAGATGACCGGGGGAAGGTGGGGGGAAATGGAATGCATGTATAGGAATCAGCAAAACATCTCGAATCCAGACGCCATAGACAAGTCATGAGGGGCACACACAAAAAAACAGAATAAGGCTAACATAGGCCAGCCCTACGAATCTCTCTGGTATTTTGCACCAGAGTGCGCGCTTAAATGAGACCTGCGCAGCCCGAAGGTCCCATAGCCTGCGTAAACCACTCGGCAGGCTCCATGCCTATTGCCGGGTATCCGAGCTCTTGTAGAATGCTTCTCGAGTAGCGCGCATCGAGCTCACTCGGAATCGTCGTCACGGTCTGAGTCTGCTGAGAGGGGATGACCGTAGCAGCATATGGTACGACCATTGGCGGATGATGCGCCGTCACGGCGTGTGGATGCGAGTAGTCCACTGAGCCGTAGTGAGAGTGCGAGTATGCGGGTGTGGTTGCCCCGTTTGTTTGGGGGTGCATGTGATGGGGAGGTGGGCGATACATTAGTGGTGGCTTGGTCTCTGTGGGCGACATTTGGGCCAAGGGGGGCGGAAGACTATGCGGTATGGCAGTCGCGGGGAACGTCGCATATTGAGGTGAAGTGGCTTGACTACTCGTTCCAGCTTGGTTGGAATGACCATTGTGTGGATGAACGGGCGAGTACACCGACTGAGTGCCACGAGACGGAGAAGTATCCTCGTCCATTTGGTCCGGTGAATTGCGTGATGACTGGCCCGAATTGCGTTGACTGACTTGTCGCATGATTTTCGACTCTGCATCCTTCGCGACAAGTGCCCGGAGGAACCGAGCATGATACGCAGCCGAAGAGGATGAAACAGCCAGCAGAGCGGCTTCTTGATAGACATCAGCAGTCTGAGAAATGAGATCGTGGATATCTCGAGACGCCGTCGTGGCGAGCTCGGAGAGCATTGCAGTACGACGAAGTAGCTATACCCATTCAGCTTCCATTAAAAGTCCCTTGGAGAGACGTACCTTGATCAAGAATACGGCAGAATATGCGGACATGACAGTCATTGAATCTTGTCCGTAACGCTGTGCCAGTCAGTCGGAATACATCAAGACCTGAGCATTACTCACCAGGAGACCCCACGGTGCAAAGGATCGCGTGATCAATTCCAGACTCTGAATCGCACTCGTGTAACAGATGGACAATGACTGCAGACTGGGCGAGGTACGACCGAGCTACATGATCATCAGCGACAATGCCCAAAAGTCGATCCGGAAGACGTACTGGAGTAGATGACGACTGCAGCCCGAGACTGTTCAGGAACAGGCGAACGTGAAGACGGAAAAAGGCCAAAAAGGCATAGTGGAACGGCAGACCATTGGCACGCTTGAGCTCCGTGTCCCAAAAGTCCATCCAGTGTGTGAGCTTGCTATTGCAGCCACGCAGGAGAATCTCGTGGTTGACGTCGGAGTAATGGCCTTCGAGACCGCCACCTTTTTGCATTCGATACACGTCCGTCGTCTCGGCCTGCAGATAATGTTCAATACACTTGTCAGGGCCACACTGTACCCGGTTGACGTACAGCAATTTGGCGGAGATTGACCATAGCGGCGACGATTACATCTTCGGGCCGCATGGGCGTATCTTCGTGCCACGATTTTGCATGGCGAATCATGTCGTCCTGGCAAATGTCAGCCAGGGGGAATCATCGCAAGCCTGGGAGCGACTTTACCTCTGGCAGCATCCAATTCCGACCCGTCTGCATGCTAAGCGCTCTATCGTGCACCCAAAGCACCAGATACGTGCGCTCGCGATTGCGGCGTTCACGTTTGTGCTCTTCAGACTCGCCCTCGATGCGACCCACATACGTGTTCAACCCGAGCTCGACGGCCATGCGACAGGCCTAGAGGGGAGGTTAGCGCGCGCGTTACCAATCTCCAGGGACACAAAGACGCACGTATCCGATGTATGTCCAGGTGCGCTATCGGAGGTTGTCAATTGGGCCTGACCTATTGAATTCGCGATTACGCACCGTATCGTCAGGTTCCTTCCAATACGTCAAACACGCAAACGCTTGGACAACTTCAACACTCCTCCAGCCTTCGGCAAACGCCTTGAAGGCAAAACTGTGGGCAATCTGTTGGCACTGGCGGTAGAGCTCCGCCTTCCAAAACTTGCAGCCGGCCATGATCAAGCACGAAAACAAAAGGGCGATCGAGAGCGGACATAAGGCACCGTGTGCAGCCGTGGGTCAAAGAGGTTAATAAAGCCATTCAAGCGCATGAAGACACTGTGGGAGATGTTAAGAGTTTCACCGTTTATTGCGTGGCTTGCGAAAGGACCCACAGATCAAAGAGCACTTTGGCTTCTTGTTCGTCCAATAGGCCGACAGCGATTGGGTCCTGAACGTTTGGATCGAGTACGATGGGCCGAGGCGGAAGGGTCACCTGGACGCCCCTTTCTGCATCTGATTTCGAAGCCTCGCCATGGTTATTCCCAGGGTTCGAGTCGGGTGGATTGAGAATGGTTCTGAAAAACGTAGAATGTCTCTTCGTTTCCTTGTCCACGACCCGTGCAGGGTAGATTGCATCGTCTGCGTCTGGCGTGCTTTCTTCCATACTATCGCCCCTTTCCATAGCGCCATGTTCGACCGAGCCCTGCCTGTCCAAGACGGAACTATGGCGCTCGAGTGCAGCATTGAGCTGTTGCTGCTGCTGACGGGCGTCCGAGGACGGATACTGGACCTGAAATGGCATCTCGTACGCTTGGGTGGGTGTAGATCCCATGCCTGATGAACCAGAGTTAAGAGAAGAGGCAGAGTGGTGCGGAAGATCCGAGGAGACGAGCTCGTGCGGAGGTTGCTGCGTGCTCTGCGCAACCGGACCCGCGCCAGGGACCGAGGCAGGGACCGACTGCTTGTACGAAGTTTGAATAGGTGGAGGTGCACTTGTCGAACTCGACGCCGTTGTCGCAGCGCTTGCTGCTGCTGCTGCTGCCTTTGGTTTCGGAGGTGGGGCGACGCCAGCCTCTTTGGCTTTCGCCTTCATTTCGCGCTCTAGTCTGCGGAGCATTTTAGAATGCTCGGATAGCCTGTTCGGGTAGATTAGCACGCTTAAAGCGGGGTCAGTCTCCAAACTGACTTTGAACCTGGTTTACGGCCTCGTCTGTGGTCGGGTAATAATCACGCCAGTTCATCCGAAGAAGCCGAGAAGAGAGGTAAGAGGCCGCGCCTGCTAGGAACGAAGGACACGGGTACGACTTGCCTGTGCTTTTCAAAAATACACCTGGGGAAAAAAAGATGAGAGAAGACGGGGTGAGACTCGATAAGGACGTACTCGAGATTCTGACGCTTGCAGCGTTGGCACTGCTGGGCACCATCGTCGGCGCCGATGCAGCGCATCTGTAAGCCGCATGAGTATCCGTTGTTAAAGGTGGGGAATACGACGGGGAAGATACCTTTGCGGTCCGGCAAACAGTGCAGGCGCTGGAGGTTGAGAGCCCGGAAGGACGGGTGGTGGCACATTATCGATGGAGGATTGGCAACAACGGCGACCAAAATCGAGCACAGAGAGGGAATAAAAATAGAAATAAAAGAGAATACAAAGCCAACGCAGTCAGCAACGGCCGCGGGCACTGGAGAGGGACGCCCGAGAACGAGCTCGCCGTCTACTTACCGGGCGGAGCGTACAATTGCGGGCTTTTGGGCAATGGAAGACGACGGATTCTGAGCGTCGAGCTCGAGTTGGCCATTCTGGGCTGCTTCGAGCGTGCTCATGGCCTAGACGATGAGCAAGGCCAGGTCCAAGATGCGATTTTGTCACCAACGCCGATGAGCGTAGCGTCCAGCAAACCACAAACACTATCAATTCCTCAAATCTCTTAATTCGTGTTTGAATCCCCGCTCGCTTCAGCACACTCGCCAAAAGATCACCGAGTGCATTCAAAGCCACTTGGATAAGTCACCGTAACGAGAAAAGATACCCGAGCTGCTCGACCCAATACGCCGTAAATGGGTCCAAAAAAAGCCCGTCAAGTGACGATGCATCCCTCATCTCGCGCCTCTTCCCGCGTCGGGCGTGCCATCGCTCCCGCCTTGCGACTCGTCCCTATCCGTTTGAGCTCGGTCAGCCGGCTCATCGCTCGTTTATTTCCCTGAGCTGTAAACCATTAGTATACACTCTTGCAAACGTCCCAGTCCTTATCCGGAACTTCCGAGCGAAACACCAACTCACCTGCAGCTCGCATGTACCACCGCCGTGCAAACTCCATGTCCTGCTTGACCCCAATCCCTTGCTCTGCATAGTATCCGACTGCAAACTCTGCCTTGCTAAGCCCCTTGTTCGCCGCCCGACGTGCCCACAGATAGGCTTCCGCATCACTCTGGGGCAAGACACCTTCGCTGCCCGTCAAGTACCAGCCACTGAGCGCAAGCTCGGCTTCTGCATTGCCCTTTTCTGCAGCCTTGGTGTACCATGCAATCGACCGCTTGGGGTCAATCGGACATCCGAGTAATCCATACTCGTAGCAAAACCCAAGCTTGTATTGCGAAGGGACAAAGCCCAACTGAGCCGCCTTGGTGAACAGGTCCTTTGCGTACACCTCGTCATGAACGACAATGTTCGAATTGGGTGTTTCATGCAATAGAGCCAACTCGTGAAGCGCATGCGGGTTCTCCTCGTCTGCCTGTTCTGCCGCTCGTTTCAGCCACCCAATGGCCTCGCGTATATTCTTTGGCTGTCCGAGCGATCCAGAGAGCAGGATCATGCCAAGCTTGTACATAGCAGACGTATCTCCCAACGACGCCGCCTTGCGATAAAACGCAAACGCCCGAGACGCATCCTTGCGCGTCCCCACACCGAGCTCATTGCACACCGCAACGCGATACGACGCTGCAGGGTGATTCTGCTTTGCAGCCTGCAAATATAGATGGTACGCTCGTTCGTGGTCCACCTGCAAGCCCAACAACCCAGACCCACAGCAATTTGCAAGGTAAAACTGCGCTTCCGAGTATGCATCTCCTTGCGTCGCAAGTCGACGGATCGTCTTGAGTGCTTCAGCCAGAAGCGTCTCGCGGTATTTGCGCACAGCGCGCTGGTCCGTCGCTTTGGCACCAATCTTCTTGGCCGCGTCAATCAAGTATTTCGCGTACGCAAAGTGTGCTTCTGGATCTGGGTCCCCCTTGATCCGCGCTCGGTACTGTTCGACATACTCGCGCGTGTAGGGTGGCTGGGAGAGATCGACAGCCTTGATTTTGGCTGTTCGCAACGAAGACATGTCGGATAGTGTCGCTTGCGAGCGGTCCAACCCCGGGCGTTGGCCGGAGGAACTCGCATCATAGCCTTGGTCGTAGTACCCATTGGCATTGGCGTAGTCTGCTGGATATTGTTCATAACCAGTCCCTGCTTGCTGCCCGTAGCCATAGTATGCCTGTTGATTTGAATACTCTTGCGGGTACTGGCCTCCAGAATACTGATCGTATCCAGGGTACTGCTGCGCATTTCCTCCATAATACTGCTGCTGTTGCTGCTGCTGAGGATCATACGAGTATGTACTGCCGGTGTCGTTGTAATAGGACCCAGAGGCGTTGTATCCTGCTTGTTGCTGGGAATAGTACTGGCCGTGGCCATCGACGGACTGTGTGCCCTGGTGTCCCCAGCCAGCATTGGGCAGCGTATATGCATGTCGTGGGACGGATCTCACAGATGAATAGGACATGGCCGTCCCCGTCCTTGCCACGGGATCATGTGCGTTCATGTTGATCCAGTCGGGGGCAATCGAGGCCGCGGCGGCGCCGTTATTAGCTTGATTATAATTATTATTGTAGTTGTTCGTTGCAGAATGTCCTATTGCGCTCGAGGCGCGCGGTGGAGGTTCGGCGATGGAGAGCGCATCAAAGTTGAGCTGCGAGGGATCGTACGGAGGCACATCTGGTGGCTGATCTGCCGTCTGGAGCGATGGAGTCGACTTGTTTTGCAGGTTCATCAGTCCTCTGGGCGGTTCTGTACAAGATCCAGGCCGTTAGCTCCAAGAAAACGAGTCCAAAATCCTCCCAGTAATCACCAACGAACGCAGAATAGTTGAAAAGGACATACGTATGTACCCGTCGTCGTCTACGGACCGCCGTTCTGCGGGGTATGATCCCTGGGCCGTCTGGTGTCGCTGAGGCTGGCCGGTCGGGGCTCGCCAAAGCTCCTGACGAGCGCGTGAATGCGCATCATAGGAGCCTTGAGAGGTTACTGGCCAGTGCTGGCTCGGAGTTTCATCCACGCGTGAAGTCGTCGACATTCAGGTTTGTATTTCTGCTTCTTTCCACCCAACACCAATCTCCCTCACTGCGTCTCAACCATGACAAAGCATACAATCCTCACTCTGGGACCCATTAGAGCATACCAGGATGAGCTTAGGGCTCTAGAAGTCACCCATGGAGCTACAGTCCTCCAGCTCGACAAGCCAACGCGCGAAGAGTTTCTCGAGGAAATTGCCAGCGTTGCAAAGGAGCACAAAGTGACTATCCTCTTGACGACCTACTCTCCTATCCTCCGCAACTTGAACAAGGACTTTGTAGAGCCCCTTCTTCCCAGTCTGCGGCTCGTCGCTGGGATTGGTTCAGGTGAGTACAAAATGGGTTGTAGTGACGGCCCCAATGCTGATACACGCGTCTAGGCTATGAACACGGTGAGAAAGTTGCTTAGCCGCTTCATAAGCGTTAGTAATCTTCCGACCCAGTCGACGTCGACTTTCTTACCGCCCACGGCGTCTATTATTCAAATACACCCGTTGGAGTTTCCGAGTATGTTCCTCCATTCTTTCCTGGCGTCTATTTCCTAATGCTGTATGTCTAGGCCTACGGCGTGCGTTTCGACCCTTGGGGCGTTTAGGAACATAGCCACCTACTAATGCGCGCTTCTCCAGGCTGACGACTGTCATGCTTATTCTCCAGACAGTCCGTGACGCCACTCAAGCCGCCGCAAATGTTCGCAGTGGCCAATGGATCAACGGGCTCGGCTTCACGCCCGACGTGAGGGGCTTGGTCGTCGGTATCATCGGTTCGTCGAACTAGTCGCCATGTCCTTGTAGAGAGCTAATCCCTTTCACTTGCAGGGATGGGAAGGATTGGTAAGGTCTGTGATGGCGCTTCGACCATGGGTTCTGGAACTTGTGACTGACTAAATATGTAGCTGGTTCGCGACAAGGTGACGGGTATGTGTCCCAGATCTCGGCCCATGGTTCAATGGTGACCTTTTGACAGCGCTTGGGATGAAGGTGGTCTACTCGAACCGCAAACGTCTTCCAGAAGCTGGTGAGATGACTATCACTCTCCTAGCTGTGCTCAATCTTTGGCAGAGGAAAAAGGGGCAACTTACCTCTCTTTCGACGAGCTTCTCCAACAGGCGCAGTTAATCTCGATCCACTGCCCTCTTACTCCCGAGACGCGTCATTTGCTCTCCGACGAACAATTTGCCAAGATGCAAGACGGTGTGTTCATCGTGAATACTGCACGTGGAGCAGGTATGTGTCCCCATAGGCTTCCTCAGAGCGCCAAAGCTGAACACTTTTAAAGTGATTGATGAGGCTGCACTCGTTCGTGCCATGCAAAGCGGAAAGGTGGGTTTGAGCCTCACAAAGTGGCCACCTCTTGACGCGGGGATAGGTACTCCGCTGCGGACTAGATACGTTTGAAGAGGAGCCGAAAGTTCACCCTTGGGTATGTTAATTGTTGCATTTTATCCAGAGTACTAACCCGTTCTTAGCTCGCAGAATCCAATCGTGCGGCATTGCTTCCTGTAAGCTCGAGTCTCCATGATAAAACGTGTCTGACACGATAACTGCAGCACTTTTCCTGTTTCACGACGAGAATCTTCCGAGACCTCGAGCTGGAGATTTTGGAGAATATCGTTGCGTTTATGGAGAAGGGGACCCCGAATACGCCTGTCAACCAACCTCAGTAGATTGATTAGAATTGCTGGACTGTGCTTTGAAATCAATTGGGGGCTGTACCTCCCCTCCTTTGTCCGTCCGAGGGGGGACTTGAGGTCCTGTGAGGGCCATCATTACGCCGATTAGAATGGCTCGCCTGGCTGGGGTTAATTACAGAGGTTGATAGGAGTATATTAGAAATGTCTGTAGAAGGTCTGGAGCATGTTCTACATGATGTGAGAGCCGAGTAATATCAATGTAGATAAGCCTCGGAGGCTTAGCGAGTCTGCCACTGGTGCTCGTCCGACAGCATCCGCAGACCTTGTAGAAACAGCACGCGACATAAGCGCGTCAGAATCATAGAAAAAGGGTGTTGTGTGGGTAGATTCCAACTCGATCCAGGCCGTCCCTCGAACTACTCTTGTTCCCCAACCACGATCATGTCCATGGCCACCGTCTGCAAACAAGCCGTCAAGCCCCAGGCGATGCGTCGGGCATTTTCAACAACTTCTGCAAATTCTTTCACGCTCCCTCCTCGCTATGGAGCGGGCCCTCTCTATCGAACAAAGTTGTCCCCCAAAGACGCAATCACACACAACGAGCAGCCAGTGCTCCGTATGCTCATGGTACGTGTCATTTACTTGTGATTTTAGCTCGTTCTGCGTTGGTTTCAGCTGCTCATCTATTTCCTCTCTCAGTTTGGCAAACCTGGCTCGGGCAAGGGCACCCTTTCCAACAAGCTCATCAACAAATACGACGTCTCTCAACTCTCTGCGGGGGATTTGCTACGTTCCAACATCGCCGAAGGGTTAGCAGTCTCGACTCCCCCCCCCCGCAGAGTCTCGACTGACCGGTCACTTTTCACTTTCACAGCACGGAAGTCGGTAGAGTAGCCGAAGGAATCATTGCGACAGGAGGTATGTGCTTAATGCATCCGACCGCAGTCGTACGAGCAACTCATTCCGACGGAAGGCCTCGTTCCGGACGATATCATGACAAAGGTCATCACGTCCAAACTCGACGCGTTGAAGAACAAGGTTCGTACACGCATCTCGATCACGTTATGAAATGTATTGACAGATGGCCCTAGCACTGGATTCTCGACGGCTTTCCCCGCACGGTCGGCCAAGGACAACTCTTGGAAGCACACTTGCGAACTTCTGGCACTCCCCTTACCCTAATCATCAACCTGGATGTTCCCGAAGAGGTCATCCTTGGTCGTATTAGTGGTATGTCTTTGTCGGACGTCATCGGACATGCACTCAACACCCCTTTAGATCGCTGGGTTCACCTTCAGTCTGGTCGAGTGTACAACTCGAGCTATAACAAGCCCAAGGTAGCCGGTTTCGACGATATTACGGGCGAGCCCCTCGTCAAACGACCTGACGACAACCCAGTGAGTGGCTTTTGCTCCGTTATAATAACAGCGTGTTGACAATCCCCCAGGAGATTTTTGCTCGCAGATTAAAGGCCTTCAATGCCTCGACGCTTCCTCTCCTTCAATTCTTCTCCTCCACCGAGGGTCGAGCCTCGACAAAGCTCGTCACGCTTACTGGTGCAACGTCGGACGAAATCTGGCCCAAACTCGAGCAGATCATCACCTCTGAGTTCCGCCTGCGCCCAAGGGGGGCGCAGAAGACGAGTGTCCAAGAGGCCTTTTTCGGCTCGAAAGCCTATGGCCAAGGACCTCTTTATACAAATGCAGCAAAACTCTGAGTACATTCTGTTCAGAGGTATGCGACGATATATGTCGCTGTCGTGGATATCCCGATTTTCAACAAAATCAACCCCCCCAGTATTGCATCCCTTTGTCCTTTCATTATCTCTTTCATGCATGTATAGTTGGTTGTACTCTAGGACGTTTGGCATATCACGGTTCCGTTGCTTACAAATCTGCCCGTCGATGAATGTAAACAGTTGGTCTCCGCCACAACCAATGGCCAAATGGACGACGGCCATGACACTGAAATGCTCCTTGCAATGCTATCTTCGATGATGGAAGGGCCTGTTCCTTCTCAAGAGGTGCTTCTACAAGCGCTCGTCGATGCGGATGGTGACATTTCTGTCGCTGCGGCCGCACTCAAAGTCACGCAGAAGAAACAAGCTTCGACGAGTGCTAATAAGCGGAAACGAGGGCTGGAAGGATGGATCGTGAGCAAACGGAAACCTGCAGAAGCGAAAATCGGATCGTCCACCCCGTCGGGAAGCTCCTTGCACACACATAAAGACATGGGTGTCGTCCCTTCAGACAGTGAAGAAGATTCGGGTGCCGCTGAAAGTGTCAAATTCGCCAAAGGAGAAGATGGAGATGCAAAGCCGTCCAAGGCTCGACAGGGTCCTCCTGTTTCTTTGATGAGCGTGCTCAAACAAGCACCGTCGTCTCCAACTCGTCCCCCTAAACTTGTACCCCGAACATTGGGTACGCCTGCCTTGGTTGCGCAGCATACTCCTTGCACGATGCATCTCTCTGTGCTTCCACCAGAATTGGCTTGTCGACTGTTTTACGTCATGCTTCGTGAAGCTCATGGATGGTCCAGGAATAAGTGGCAAGTCTGTTCCTCTTGTTGGTCTTTACTTACAAACGAATACGTGGCTGTTTGATAGACTTGTGGAAAGTCCACACAAAACATCTTTCTATGCGCGGAATCTCGAGGAGGACCTAGAGGGCAATGAGAACATGCAAGAAGCAGCAAAGTACTGGTAAGATTCAACTCCCTGGTTCTCTGCATCACCAAACCTGAGCGTATAGGTATAATGGTCGCCCAACTGCGCCTCCTAGGCCGTTTCTACCCGAAATGGAGGAAGCCTGTGAGATTATTGAACGTATCGTCAACACCGAGATCCTCAAACGAGAACGCTTATACCCTCTTGAATGGCCCACGACTCCTGAACGACCCTGGAGAGCAAACGTGGCGGCAGCCAACTGCTACACCGGATCAAAGGAGACGGTGGGCTGGCATTCGGATCAGTTGACCTACCTCGGCCCATGCCCTACAATTGCATCCCTCTCCCTCGGAACGACCCGCAAGTTTTCTCTGAGAGAGGTCGTACCAGAGTGGGAAAAGGGCGAGCGAAACGCACAGACGTTTCACGTCCCTGTCGTGCACAACAGTCTGCTCATCATGCATGCATCGTGTCAGGAGAGATTCAAGCATACCATACCACCACAACAAACGATCGACGCGTTCAAGCCACCCTTTCCTCCTCCAGTATCCATAGACGAAGACCAAATGATGCCGCCTACTACATCCCGGATCAACATTACCTTTCGTTTCTATCGACCAGACTTTGCGGCAAAGTCCATACCGCGGTGCCAGTGCGACATTCCAATGATCCTTCGTCCAGATATGAAAGGCAAACAGCGGGATTCTTCGATAGTCCCTCCAAGTAATGGAAAAATGGAGGACAGAGGCCTGTCGACATGGGAGGAAATGGCGCAAATGCGCTACTTTTGGATGTGTTATTCAGGAGCTCAGAACGAAGGCAAGGCATGCAATGCATTTCGCGTCCTTGACTTTACAAAAGAAGGTCGAGGTCTTCCGGAACTGGAGGAAGACGCACTGGAAGGGAACACACATATATCTAGTTGATGCCGGCTGTCATATTTCACCACCAACCCTGTCGTAGATGGGAATGGCAGATCCTCGTCCCTATGCGGCAAAGTCGAGGTGCTGATCCGGTTCTACCTCATTCAGAACTCCACAAGGCAAGGCCCATAGTCATCATTTGTGTCTGCTCGATACAGGCTCAACATGAGTATGGTAGGAGGAACCACTCCGGGTGACCCTGCTAGAAGTCTCAATCGGCTCTACTCCTAGCGCGTAATGTAACGCTTGAGAGAGAAAGAGGGAAAATTCTTTCGACGTGATATTTACAATAACGTGACCGCACGCGAGTGCCTTTGTTGAGAGAGTCGATCCTAAGATTTCTCGCACGATGGCATGTAGATAGTGATAATGATATCAACCGTAACACTGCTAATGAGCGTCCTTTCGAATACTTGTCCAAGAGGGACCACATTGGAAATTGGAGAGGTCGAGTTTGGTTGCACGGAATGCACTCGTTGTAGGCATGGTCAGAAGTAGATGAGGTTGTTGTAATCCATGACGGTTTTCAGGTGGCACCCAAAAGAGACGTTTACCGGAAGATTGAACCCAGCCATCATGCAAAAGTGAACAATTTGTGAATCCGGGTACCAGAATTCTGAGAGGTGTGCCTGGTACCTCTTCTATAATGCTCGAATATGTAGACTCTTTATCATCCTGGTCGGAGCTCTTTGCATGAATATCTAGTACCATTTGTTACTTCACTTCACAGGGCCGAGAATAGAAAAAGCTACACTCACAATGGTCTGTACTCCACACTCGAATAGTCTTGTCAAGCGAGCCAGAGACGATTCGCGAGTCCGGCGAGAACGCGACAGCCCAGACTGATTCTTTGTGACCCCAGAGGGGCCCTTCCAAGGCTTGAAAGGTATTCACGTCCCATATCCGAATGGTCTTGTCCGAGGAGCCAGATATGATACGTGAGCCGTCTGGAGAGAATGCGACAGCCAAGACCCAGCTTTCATGTCCTCGGAGTTCCCCGAGCGGCCGACCAGTCATCGCGTCCCACACTCGAATCGTCTCATCGGACGAGCCAGAGGCGATCTTCATGCCATCTGGCGAGAATGCGACTGCCCTGACCCAATTTTCATGTCCTTGGAGTGGTCCTCCCAGCTGGTGACCAGAGATTGCATCCCATAGTCGAATCGTCTTGTCGTCCGAGCCAGATATAATCCGCGAGCCGTCTGGCGAGAATGCCAGGGCCAAGACCCAATTTTTGTGCCCTCGGAGCGGTGCTCCTAGTGACTGGCCGGTCGTTGCGTCCCATAATCGAATCGTCTCATCCGACGAGCCGGATGCGATTCGAGAGCCGTCTGGCGAGAATACGAGGGCTGTTACCCAGTTGCTATGAGCTCGGAGCGGCTCCCCCAATGGTTGGCCAGTGTTTGCATCCCATAGTCGAATTGTTCTGTCGTCCGAGCCAGAGATGATCCGTGAACCGTCCGGCGAGAATGCAACGGCCGTGACCCAATTTTCGTGTCCTCGGAGTAGTTCTCCCAACGGTTGACCGGTGTTTGCATCCCAGAGTCGAATCGTACAGTCGTCCGAGCCAGAAGCGATTCTTGAGCCATCTGGCGAGAATATGACAGCCGTTACCCAATTTTCATGTCCTCGGAGAGGTTGTCCCAGTAATTGGCCAGTGTTCGCGTCCCATAGTCGAATGGTCTTATCGTCCGAGCCAGAGATGATTCGCGAGCCATCCGGCGAGAACGCGACGGCTGTGACCCAGTTTTCATGTCCTTGGAATGGCTCTCCCAATGGCTGACCAGTAATTGCATCCCATAGTCGAATTGTCCTATCGTCCGAGCCAGATACGATTTGTGAACTGTCTGGTGAGAATGCGACGGCTCTGACCCAATTTTCATGTCCTCGGAGTGGCTCTCCCAGGGGAGTTCCAGTGCTTGCATTCCATAGACGAATAGACCTATCGTCCGAGCCGGAGACGAGGCGGGAGCCGTCTGGCGAAAACGCAATGGCCCAGATTGAGTTTGTATGTCCTTGGAGCGGCTCTCCCAATGGTTGGCCAGTGTCTGCGTCCCATAGTCTAATCGTCTTGTCAGAGGAGCCAGAAGCGATTCGCGAGCCGTCTGGCGAGAACACGACGGTCCAGACGGAATTTCCGTGGCCACGTAGTGGTTGTCCTAATGGCTGACCAGTGTTTGCGTCCCATAGTCGAAGGGTGTGATCGTCTGAGCCGGAGATAATCCGAGAGTTATCTGGTGAGCATGCGACGGCTGTGACCCAGCTTTGGTGTCCTTGGAGAGGCTCCCCCAATGGCTGACCAGTATCTGCGTCCCATAGTCGGATTGTCTTGTCAGATGATCCGGAGACAATTCGCGAGCCGTCTGCAGAGAATGCAACAGCCAAGACCGATCCTTCATGGCCTCGAAGAGTTCTGGGAAGCCCTGGATACATCTCCTCAAGGCCCTGAACAACTGTAAGGAGATTTTTATAGAGTTCCATGCCCTCTATACGGAGCTTTGACTTTGTGGGAGTAAATGGAAGTGCAGTGATGTAGATGTGTGGTGCGCTCTCCTGGATAGGTACCGAAAATGCTATTAAAAATCGACGTATCTCGTCCATTCTGCTTTGGACACTTTCTTCAAGCTTTTTTTTGCGTCAGAGGCTGTCATTCGCAGGTTTATCACTCACTCCTACACGGCGCGTCACGGCTCGAAGGCCAGCTATTGCTCGTGGCACCCCTCCAGTAAAGCTTAGAACCTCCATCCAATAAAACACATGTGGGTGTTGAATGGTGTGTTGAAGTTCGTTCGTGAACGTAGATCGCCAGTTGTCATTAGTTTCCGCCATGTGGAACAACCAATGAAAACTGGCATATCGAAGTCTTCTTGAGATAAATCTTGATGCCTTGGTGTCAATGTCTGGTATCTCCCTATTTAGGTAGAAAGATGACTCGATTTGACATATGTTAAACCTGAGTCCTTCAGTACGCGACCTGAAGCGTTTGAGACACCACGATACAACTTGACCGTGCGCATTAGCGATGTCGACATATACTCTATTACGGCTATCGATGGCTGGAGTATTGGAGCAGCGTCGAAGGTACTCGACGAGGGTGGGGTGCCGGAATTGGATCACACTTGTAGTTGCATCTTCGGTAAGTACGCTCCCGAGATTCCGTACCAAAGCCTTGGCGCTCCCATCTACCCCAGCGTGCTTGAGCATGTCGTCCAGATCATTGACGGTGAGTGGCTCATACACGGCAAGCAGCAGAGCGAGCATCTTATACATGACTGCGCAGTGTTCGGGTTTGGTGCGCTCGAAAACGAGACTATACAGATCGTCTATGGCTCCAGTCTGATCCATAGAGACCAGACGGTCGTATATGCTGTCCGGAGAGGTCAAATTGGTCTCACTAGTGATCATTCGACATGCGGTGCTTGCCCAGATGAACAACCCGTTGGCCTTTTCGACCAATCTCTGCCTCTTGTGCTCCGACAGCACTCCATCTAGTAATAGATGTACATAGACCCCAATGTCATCAATATTGTCACGATGATTGGCATCGTGTAGGCGGTCCTCCAGCTTGCATTTGATGGAGAGTGGCCCCAAGACTGCTTGTATGACGGGGTCTGGCCGACTCGTTATAAATATCTTGAGGTTTTCGCTTTCTCGAACAGCCAAGGAAAGGGCTTCGATGAGTTCTCTCCTCTGTGTCCCAGATTTACATTCGTCGAGCGCATCAATCACGATAATGATGCGCCCTCGCCGATGAGAGACGGAATGTGTGATGAGCTTCTGGAACTGCTCGTCAAGTGAGCTTCGCATGAGAGAGGGGTGGTCCTTCACGACTTTAGCAATATGGGGCGCGAGCTCGGGAATGTAGTGGACAAGGTCTCTTGCTATGGTAGAGCAGAACTTGTCGGTGGTCGATCCTTCGTTACTTGCTATGGAGAAGAAGAACCGTCCGCCTAACACTCCCTCTTTCCGCCATGATTCCACTGCGGACATCGCGACTGTGGATTTGCCGGAACCAGCCATGTCACAGAGCCAAAATATTGGCTCGTTCGACATATCGTCGTTGGCCCAGTCCCAGATAGTACGAAGAACAGCCTCACGTGTTCCTTTCAAACAGGTTCTATGGACTGAAGATGGAACAAATCCTACGGTCGGCAACTGGAGAATAGCAGCGGTGTCGACTTGAAAAAATAAGCAAGCGTACCAGATTCAGTTCTACCTTACCATCTGTAAGAATTGTTTCCACATTGATCTTGGTGATTTCCACACCAGCCTTGGTCACTTCCACATTGGCATTTGTAGCTTCCATATCTCTTTTGATAACACTGGCAGTCTGTTCGACGGCTTGAGCACGAAAGGCGGTAAAAAGTCCCAATGCCTCCTGTGTCTACGGTGAGATTGTGAACTAAGGATGATGAAGTTCTTACCATGAACTGACTATGCCTGTCCTCAATATCTCGATTTAGTCGACGAATATCTCCCGCATCAGTTTTCAATTTGATGAACGCTTTAAACAACCCCAGGGCTCTGCCGCGGCGCTTCTCCTTTAGCTTGACAACTGTATCGTGCATATCTTCGAGGAATCTATCTCGCTCAATCTATTGAAACGGTAGATGAACTGCTTACTTACTCGACATAGTGGATGAGTGGCTGGCTCACCGCTTGGTCAACAGTCCATTCCCGAAGAGGGTATGTCTCCAACAAGATGATACTTTCTTCAAGAGCACCCATGTAGTCCCTCAGACGTCGCGTTAGATCGTTCCATTCTTCTCGGGTGCTCTCTAATGCCTGTCTCGCCATGAGATGACGCCGTCACATCTCACGGTCGTTTTGCTAACTTGCCTGTGTAACTTCAAGAATTGATTTTGTTGTTCGACAAGCTGCCTTGAGGGGGGCCAGTATATCTGACCCCTCGGATATGTTGGCTACTACGTCGAGACCAACGTTGAACGTGCTATACACTTGATTCCGTCTGTTTGACGAGCCCTGTGATGATGATGATCCCAGATTATTCACAGTTCTGTGCTGCTTCTTGGGCCTGATCGACCGAAAGGTCGACATGGTGTGAAGGTGGTTTCCAAGCTTTGTCGGCGCCTGTTGACAGTCTCCACGACCATGTGAAAGACCACAACTCGATGTGAAGAATGACACTAATATGACTCAGATGGTACAACTCTCTGGTACAACAGGTAGACTCGCATCACCCATCGCGCTCTATAATATTCATACCCGAACCGCTCAGGAGAGGGGTTAGTAAGAGCACAACAAGATTTAAAGGCGCGTTAATATCCAAAATACAAGAATCAAGAGGTTTCCAAAATTATAGACTTGCCCGGACTAAATCTGCAGCTTGGTGAGAAAGGAGGTGAGATCCTCCTTGTCCACCTCGACGACATTTGTATCAAATGTCGAATGTCTTGTTCTCGCGTTGGAGCGGCTCTGGGCCTCTAGAAAGGCCATACCGAATTGACTACAACTCGGTGAATGACGCTCACACCAACACAGGAGTAAAAGCTCACTTTTTGCGCAAATCGCCCATCTCTGGAGCCGCTAAGACACCAACAACGAGATATGTCCCCTTGCGTTCATCCAGACAAGCGAGAACAAACGGAAGTACCTTCTTTTTTGTGCGAGTGACGTTGATAGGGTCGATCCGATCTCTGGTCGCCTCTACAAGCCATAGCGCCAGCCGCGAGAGATTGCCCGGGTGCACAAAGATAGGAAGGTCTGGTCCTTCCTTTAGCATCGCCAGTTGAAAGTTGCGCATCCGCTTGATTTCGCCTTTCTCGATTAACGATGACCCTTGCCGGACGACAGCACGTTGAAGAGTCATAGAAAGGCGGAGTGAAGAATTCAATAGTTCGGTGCTGCCATAGATCAGCACGAGGGAAATTTGGGCGGGCCGGAGACTTACTCATTACTAAGTGCATCGTACGCAACCCAGAAATTGTTCTTCCACCATTCATCTTCCGAATGTTCGTCTTCATTCTGGGTACCCGACAAGGCGCTCGACTTCCCATTCGCACCGTCTCTTGCCACAGGAAGATTCTCCTTGTTGTCGTCTCGGCGCATCTCCCATTGTCTGCCAGTGCCAAACCACTCTCCTCCATTTCTTCCACCTTCAATCTCGACGTCTAAACGTAAACCACCTGCTGCTTCCAGCAGAGCAGAAACGCCGTCGACGACATCTGCAGCGCACAATGGCTGAGACTTGAAGCCAAAAGATCGCACAAAGGACGGGTACGAGAGCTCGACAAGTCCGTATTCCGGCGCAATGTCTTCCATCTTCTCTCGTAGCTCACGTTTCAAGTCGGTATCCATGTGCGAATAGGATTGTTGACACTGTGCAAGGGAGAAGCTGATAGATTTAAGTTATATTTCACGATGAGCAAGAGTAGTCTTACCCCATTTTGGCGAGAAGCCCATGTAGACGCTTGCGACCTTTCTCTTTCCAAATCCCGAGTTTACTGGCAACATAGGGCGAGTGATACATAGAGTCATATAGATTCCAATGTCTGAATAGCGCGAATCGCAGCTCCTCAGATGGCCGAATCGACGTATCGTCAGGATGTAAAGCTACATTGGCATTGCCGTTGGCCGGTAGAGATGTATTGAGACGCGCCACTTCGTCGAAATAGATTTGATGCATAGTTTCGCATGTGTCTCGTGATATTCGGCTGGTAAGATATTGATAAGTTAACCCTAGTATGCTTAGCCACAATAAATCATTGTCCGCTCGCTCGAGCACCGTTGCAAGGACGTAGATGACGCTCGACGCTGCTTGTCCGTGGAATGTTCCGCTTCCATAATACTTTTCAAGAATTGCCGTGTATTCTTCGTACTCGTCTTCCGTCATTCGTTTTGGTTTTGGTTCTGCCTGAGAGAAGGTCAGTTATCCTATAAGTGGTGACCCGAATTCCAACCTCCGTGTCATTCAACCGCCTTCTCTTTCGTGGGCGCTCCATTTCGTCAGAATCATATTCTTCTGGTTCTGGTTCCTCCCTGTCCTCGTCCTCGTCCGAATCATCAGAGTCTGGAAGTGGTTCGTACTGTCCCGTCATTTATATATGAAGCTATTGTAGTAGTATGATCCTCACCTCCAAGGAGTACCAGGCAGACTTAACATCTGTGAGCTTTGGTGCTGTCTCGTCGTCCCAAACGATGATACGTTCGGCAGCGCCAGCACCAAACAAACTTGACAGATTGTATGGCCTCGAAGAGTCGATGACATGGACATGAAGGTTTTCTGGGAAAGCTCCGAACCAGGCCTCTGACGGGAGATCTAGATGGGCTCCAAAGTTGATCAACACGAGTGTACTGAGCTAGGAACGCGTGGATAAGCGTGTCATTGGCACACTGGAGAATAGGCCGATAGCCTAATGCTTACCTGTTCTTTCTGCGCGAGTTCCTCCTTTAGATCGGCGAAAGCCGAGAGTCCAGCGACAGGGGTGAGTCTGTGCGTGATATTGTCCTGGTGGAGGAGCGTAGCGAGCATGCTCGCTGCACAGAGGGCGTCGACATCGGGTGCCACAGCGATGAGAATGGACGACGCAGAGGCTGCTCTGTGCTGAGAGACGATGGACTGGTATGCTTCTCTATAATCCGACGAATTGATGTACATGGCCCTCTGCGATGGCGGTCTGTTTGGACTTGGTCGAGGTCAAGAAACTTGTCGCCCGCCATGTCAAATGCGCTCCATGGACTCGTCGTTGCGCTCGTTCCAGCTGCAAGACGCGACGAGAGACTCCGATCAGAGCTTACAGAAGATGCCCTCCATATTCTAAACAGGTTTGTGCTCATTGGTTTACGCTGTTGGGTGGCTCAACGCGTCTAGCCATATCGGATCCTCTCGTCAAGTCGATATAGGCCATATTGCAGGCAATATTCGCAGCAAATGTGAGTGTCTCTACGCTTTTACGCGCTCTTCATGCGTCTAAACGCTCGGCAGTATCCGCCCAAGACTCGTTGCGGTTCTCCAACTTGATGGGACGTCTTCTCGATCAGGTTAGTCTCCTTCATGAGCGCACATTTGGTTCTGAGCAAGAGGACGTGTAGGATCTCTTGACGCGGAAGCATGCAGTTTTACAATTCATGGCTGCTCTTTCTGCGTCGTCTAATCAGCCTCAACCAATCATACCACCATTAGTTCCATCAATCTCACGATCCTCTCCTTCTAGCCCCCATCCTCGCTCCAGAAAGTCATCCATTGCTCCACCTCCCCAAATGGTAAACGACCGAACAACCACTGCGACGAAATCGAAAGCGCAACTACTCCGAGAATACAGACTACGCCACGGTCGGCCTCAAGTTGCCGAGAGCGTCCTCTTGCGTGATACGCTTTACCTGCTCCAGGGAATCTCAGGCAAATTCGTCAAGTTTACTGAGGGCAAAGGGGATGGAGAACTAACTGTGACCTTTTCGGAGGAACCAGTAAGCTCACTACCTATGCGAGATGATCATCTCTGATTGCTACAGAGATATGTTTTGCCAGCTCCGACGAGAGCCCTCATTCTCAGACTATCCGAGCTTGGTCATCTGTATGTCCGTGTGTCCAAGTGGGTTCGAGACCATGATGGAAAACCAGGTGTCGGGATGATAGAGCAGGCGGGTCCATGTTCGTGTCACTGATCTGTTGCTCATCACACTATAGAGTCTCTCTCATCACCTTCAATCACAGCTCACAGAGTACTACCGACTGATCGCCGTACTCGAGTCTCAGATGTCTCAATCTGGCGCAGCGGAAGACGACGGAAGGGGTGGTGGACCTCGTGAAGAGGAATCTGGGTTGACCCTGCGTCGCCTCGAAGTATGGGTGGACGAGTGGCGTCTGCGGATGAGAATGATGAGCGTTTGCGTTGAGGGATGTCAAGGTTCGTCCGACTCCCTGTGTCGCCACCTTTATTGAGTGCTCTGTAGACAGTGCCGGCGGGGCTCTTGTCAGTCTGATTTATGGCTACACGGACAACGGAGACCCATTTGTTCGTGGATTTACTGATCAGCTGCTTGAAGAGGTAATATTGATCGCCATGGCTGCTATTGCTTACATAAGTCAGGTTTCCAAGCCCTTCTTTCAGACACTTCAGAGATGGCTCTTTACAGGAGAACTTCATGACCCCTACTCTGAATTCTTTGTCGCGGCCAATGAAGAGTTGGCGCATCTTCAATATACTCATGCCTATTCGAACGCCAATGTCGGCGTGTTGACTGGAGACGGAGGATTTGCAGGTGCAGAAGACGAGGAGAGGAATGACTCTGACGAAACCAGAAACAATGGACTTATATTATGGGAGGGCAAATATCAATTCCGAAAAGACATGCTCCCAAGTTTTGTCGGTGAATCATTTGGAAGAAAGGTAAGCTTGCATTTATATAAAAATATGTAAATTTATGGCTTTCTAGATCTTCTCTACTGGGAAAAGCCTGAATTTCATTCGCTATAGCTGTCACGACTCAGATTGGGTGGCGACGAGGAGTAAACTTGACCATACTGGCAGAGGTGCGTGGTTTAAATGGCACTAGACAGTCCTGATAATGCATTATAGCTCTAAAGTACAGCGACCTTCCAGGTCTGGCTCGTTCCATTGACTCGGCCTACCAAATAGCGAGCAAGAGGCTACTTGACATCTTCTTGGATAAATTCCGACTTTTGGATCACTTGAAGGCTCTCAAATCTTATCTACTTCTCGGCCAAGGCGACTTTGCTGATCAATTGATGGAGGCACTCCTTACAAGCCTATCAAGACCGGCCAACACCCTCTACCGTCACAATCTGACTGCCACCCTAGAGGCAGCTGTCCGCTCCTCCAATGCTCGCTACGATCCTCCTGATGTGCTACGTCGGCTTGATGCACGAATGATGGAGTACAGTCACGGAGAGATTGGGTGGGATGTATTCACGCTAGAGTACAAAGTCGATGCGCCAATCGACACTGTTATCGACCCCGAAGGCATGGAGAAATATCTCAAAATCTTCCACCATTTATGGAAGATGAAGCGGGTGGAAGGTGCGCTCAGTGCGTCGTGGAATAGGATCGCCTGTGGTGCGAGGTCGTTTTTGGGACCTACGATCAAGGGTGTTCGACGGCGTTCAAGTGCTCATTCAGACGTCTTGGAGCGGTTAGAGGGCGAATGGCACCAGATCCGCGTCGTCCTGTCGGAGATGATTCACTTTATGCGACAACTGCAGGCATTCTGTCAGCTCGAAGTTATTGAATGCTCATGGAAGGAGCTCATGGACTTTGTGACGAAGAAGGATGGTGACCTGGATGGCCTTATTCAAGCTCACCGCAACTACCTGGATCGCATGGTCAAGAAGATCCTCCTGATAAGCCCCAAAGCCGGAAAGGAGGTACGAATGAGCTCAAACACTAGCTTCACTATCTAATTTCTCCTAGGAACATTTGCTCATCCAAGTCAGAGAACTATTTAACAATATCCTTCAATTCCGGGATGCTGCTGTAGGGATTTCTCCGAATTCAGGGGGGCTGATATTGATGGAACTTTCAGGAAACGCTTTACAATTATTGTCTGGCAGAGGCGGCGAGAGCAGACAGCGAAAGAGACCATGACAGAGTCTGTATCCCCGTGCTTTCTGATTAACTTTCTAACACTTGCACAGGGCGTGTTTACAATCTCAGAAAGCGACGGCCTCGGCGCCTCTAAGTCTGCAGATAACCTCCCCCGTATTCTTCGAAGAGTCAAAGAGTACAGTGGCTTATTCACCGAGCGAGCACAAGCGATCGTGCACTCTCTCCAATTACATCAAGATCTCGACTGCCGTTTCCTCTCTGTCCGGCTCAACTTTTCCGACTTTTATAAGACGCGCAAAGAGCTCAAGGCTGCGTTGGAGGCTAGCAAGGCCTCGTAGGCTTAACTTATCTCCAATATGGACTATTCGCTCGACAAGACATGTACTGTATCAATCTACTGACATTCAATAGCATATCATTACAATCCTGTGACTATGACCATAGCCTACATTGCTTCTCCTTTGGAGGGTTCAACTACAGAGTATTAGAAGGGAGAAAAGCTCCAGAAACGATCATACCTTTGAGCCGGTGGAGCAGTTAAACGCCTGGGCAAACTCCGGGATGTCGGATAGGGTCCCATCTACGCGGAACTGGGTTGGAGAGTGCGGGTCAGTGCGTATTCGCTGAACGGCTGACGCAGGCCGCATGTTTCGAGCCCAAGTGCGGCCAAAAGAGATGAAGAAGAGTTGTTCCCTGATTCTATGTATGAGAAAGATAGATGTCGGCTTAATACACTTACCTAGTGTAGTTCAAGCCAGGGAGAAGGTACTCGGAGCCTTGCTCATATGACGAGTTGTAGTTTGCCTTCCATGCTCGATAAGAGTTGATGAGACCTAGAATCTCATGAGCCATCACTTGAGGCGGATATCTCTTTACTTACCTTGGTCGGCGATATTTTCGCCAGAGGTTAGTTCCCCCTGCTATGATTCAGTATGCGTGATCAACGTCATCGGATTGCTCACGTTAACATGGACCTTGTTTCCTTTGCCATCGTCGATTGTGTATTCTACAACACGTCAGTCGCGATCAAAATAGAGAGGCATTAAGCACCTGAATACTGCTTTGAGATGCACTTTTGGATCTTGTCGAAGTTTTGGCTGGTTGTATTGGTCCACCATTCTTCTAGTTTCCCGTGTTGGTTGTACATTCTTCCTGCAGAGTCAAAGGCATGCTATCATCGTCCTTAGTCACCGTGGTCCATATATGTTATGGGCAACTCACGCAAAGTTCATGAGCGGCAATTGCACCCATTCCTCCATAGTTGAGATATCCTGGCCTAAGAGGATTAAATACATGGTCGATCTATCGGACAAACTGCTCACCAATTGACGCTGAACCACGGCGGTCTCATAATACCGGCAGGGAAGACTATTTCCTGAGCCGGTGGATTGTAATACGCGTTGACAGTTGATGCAAACATCTCCCACTCCATATGGTTACGAGCGCGGCCGAGCTTTTGCCACTTTCTGATTTGATCCCAAGTCCTGGATAACCGTGAGCTACAGTGGGCTTGAATAATAAGAAACTCACTCTTGAGCAAGGACTGTCGCGAAATAGCCGTTAGCGGATGGATCCAATGCTTTATAGAAGTTGTAAATCTGGAAGGAGGATTCCGTGTTCGGCCATAATGGATAACCAACTTTGACGTCAATTGCGCTCGCCTGTAGTGGGTGAGAATTAGAAAGCAGTGCAAGTTGATCGACTTGCCTTCTCCGCTGCCGCGGTTGATGAATTCTTGTCCATCCAGCTGAGGTGTGGAAGTGAAGTCTTGAATGCCTCAATGACATCTGAGACTTGATGAGCAAGTACACCTAAGAGCTAGATATAGCATACTTGTAATAACGTTGCTGGCTTTCTTCTTTGATTCGCCGCCAAACGCCTCGTGAACGAAGAAGCGTCCAGTTGCATATCCCTAGATGACTTAAGTTTAGTTCAAGGTAGTTGGGCACACATACCAGGACTTCGCTAACGACCTTGGCACAGTACTCGGAACGATCCGGTAATGCTCCTTTCTTAAGACCACCAAGCACTTCTCTCAGCTCCCGTACTACCTTCCATATGTACGTATCTTGGCCCAGAAGAGGTGCCAACGACAAGATGGTGCGAGCGATGAGGTATGCCTCGACGTCTTCCTTTTTCGCATCGTCTAAAATTGCTGATAGACTGGTAATGTACGCAGGATAAGTGACTATCACACGCGAAGGGAACGAACGCGGTGCAAAAGCCGTAAGATAGTTGTCGAATTGAATTTGCGGCAGTCCCTCTGTCAGATTCGAGAAAGGGACCGGATTATAGCTCCCAATTGGATCATATAGCTCATCCCTATCGAATCGGATCAATAATGATTGACCCAACCAGAGATGGTACTCACAAGTCCTGGCTTGCCCTGGCAATCGCTTGCTCAAACTTGAAGACGGACTTTGCCAAACGTTTGGCGCGTACCGTGCTATTCTCAGGTTTTTCATCATCGTCACCACCTTTTGGAGGTTGAGGCCAAGGGAAGGGCGGCCAGAATTGCTTCGACTGTACAGCTTTCTCCTCTTCAAATACTGTAAAGAGAAGTTTTTCAATGGCAGCCTCGTAGACTTTGCTGATTTCAGGCTCTTCGTAGTATTCCTATTACGCAATGAGATTTGCTTGACCCAAAGAGCCTGCGTCTCTACCTTGGATGGTAATCCCAGTTCTGGTTGCCAGAACCAGAGAGCTATTAGGCATCAGCAAAAGCTTGTGATTTCCTCGACAACTTACTCATTTTATCAGGATCGACTCCAATATCTCCGTCAATATCGAACCCGAAGAGCGCACCGACGCCTTTGACCTGTCAGTCGAAGGGAAAATAGACACAGTAACCTTACCTCTCGAATGAAGATAAGCAAGGGCAGCCGTGAGTCCCTTTGGTGTGGCTTCGGTAGCAAACGAACGTTGAGTTCCATCTTGTTGCGTTGCAAAATGTGGATCTATGCTGGTGCTTCCGTTGTAGAGACCTCGGACAACACGAATAGTATCCAGCAATGGGGCCATGCCAACTTTGTCAAGCTTATCCTCGGCCAAGCATTCACCGTAGAGAGCCTTGACCTTTTGCAGAGACTTTCTATCGTAAAGGTCAAGGTCCTTTGGAGAAGGTGCTTCCAGAATTTCCCGAATGATAGCCTTGGAGGTTCATCAGTTGTGAATGCATGCAACAGGGTATCCATACTTCGTTTTGAAGTTGAACGTCTTCAAAGTTTCCAAACGAGCCTTTATCAGAGGGAATAGGATGCGACTTCAACCAACCATTGTCTAAGAGAATGTCAACATGTCAGATACAGCCGTTGACGAGTAAACGCACTTGTATAAAGATAGAAGTCTTCACAGGGGTCGAAAGATGTGTCGATAGATGACAGTATTGAGGCTGACAGAATAATGCAATCCGAAGATGTGCAAACATCCTAGCTGCGGTCAGCCATGTGGTCATGCACGCGCTCATACTACATACCGCAGTAGGTTCGCCCGTTGGTGCAGGCAAGGCTACAGTTGTGGTAAAGATGCTCGTCTTAGTACTGACGAGTGTCTCAGTGACCGTGGTTAGGACTGTGGTAGGTGTGACCGACGGCGGGGCAGGACTCGGCTTGTGGTTGATCTTGTGCTGAGCTCCAGCGAATAGACCAACGAACACCGAAAGTAAGAGCAAAAGGAATAAACAGACGCCGAGAAGGACCTTTGTGAGCGTCGTCAACGGTTGCTCAGCAATGTCTGCAAGTTTTTGGAAGAAACCCTCGTCTTGCGCTTGACTTTGTTCATCTTCGTCTGAAGACCTAAGCAAAGGGGCCGTCTCTAGACGGTTATTAGCACAACTCGATAGGCAGACTCGCCGTACGTGCCTACGTCTGCAGGCGCTGCTGGAGCAGACATTCCGCGTTTATAAATGAGGAAATTTAGCCAATTTTGCTAGTTGTTCAATGGAAAAGGACCGGCACAGAGGTCTCGGTTGCGGTTCAAGGTCCTAGACCACTCCTTGACCATGTTTGCCATTCGACTCGCGCGTCGTTCATGCGCAACGGCATTTCCTCGTCGTTATTTCTTCAATTTTTCACGAAAAGTAGAACCTCCTCCAACGAGCAGAGCTCTCCGGCCAGACGACGATGATCCAGAATTATTTCATCTGCATTCACAGTCGCCTAACCGCGATATCAGGATGAGAGGAGAACGCATAAAGAAGCTTGCATCCTGTCCAGTGTGTTTAAATGTAGAAGGAACGCGCAAAACGTCAAGCACGAATGTCCAGACTGTGGTTGGCCCACTCACTGTTCAGGCGAGCATTGGGAGCAAGATGAAGAACATGCAAAATACTGTACAAGGCTAAGGCAGGTCAATGAAGACGACCACGACCTGCGAAGCGGACGCGAGATGCACGAATATGCGATGCCTGGTCCGTTTCCTACTTTTGAATCTGTCCCAAATATCTGACATGCTCAGGTCCAATCCCGTATGGAGAGGTCGTATCGCTCTCCAACTGGGATATCTTTTACTATACAAGAGGCTTTCCTTCGGTCGACACCGATCGAGCAGGCCGCCATCTGAGTAAACTGCTTACCTACCCAATGACAATTGCTGGGGTGCTCCATGAGTATAGTAGTCTTACGACAAGAAATCAACGGTTAACTCCGGAGGGTTTGCGTTCGCTAAACGGTAAGAGTCCTCACGGGCTTATGTCTCTCTGACACGCTCTTAGCCTTGCGAACAAGTTTACACGCTCCAATGGGAGCTCCAGAAAGTCACGGGCCTTCTCCTGAGCGACCACCCGTTCGCCTCTTCCTCCTTGGAGCACGAGCTGAATCATCCCTGCCTCCCCATGTTTGGAATCAGCTGTCATTAATGTTCCCGAGCGCAACTCTCTCCATCTATCATATTGGGCCGGAGGTATCTCTACCCAAGGTCTCGCTCCCTCCAGAGGAACAAGCCTCGTCAGCTCCTGAATCCAGTCCGACCCCGTCTGCTGCCTCCGAAAGAAAAGGCGAGACAGGCGCAGCCGCCGACGCAATGGCTATCACACCTGCCGAGAAAGAAGCCCTAAAGTCTCTACGAGTATGGAAACCGGAAATTCGAGAACTCCGTATGTCGAAATATACGCGAAACGAAGTTTCCGTCTGGGGTGTGCCATCGTACATGAACCCAATCAACGACCAACTTCAGATTGGCGCACTTCGCTCCCCTTATCAGGACATTCACGAAAAGTTTGGGCCATTTGACCCATACACTGACGTCTTCTTTGCATTCCAGCCAGGATTCGGTTTCCCTTCGCAGCATACTCCCGGAATCACTCAGATAGCGTCCCCATCTGAGTGGGGTAATGTTATACCGCTCATTCTGGAAACGAAATGTGCCTTGTTCGTGACCGGATTTTCGCCAGAGGATGTGGAGAGAGACGTACGGTCGCTCGAAGGTGTCCCTGGTGTGGCCGGCGAATTCGATTGGATTCTCACTCCTGGAGAAAACCCATTCAAGAGCGAAAGGTGGGAAGTAGCTGAATTCGACCCTCGCCTTATGGTTCGAACGAATTGGGGGATATGGGGTATTCGAGGTGAGTTCAATCGAACGTTACAGCGCTACAGCCTGAACATTGCGCAGGAAAACGGAGAGAACTTCAAGAAGTGGCCTAAGTCGATATTTGTATCTTCCGTTGACTCTACTATAATCACCTCTTTGGCTAATGAGGGTCTTGAAATTCTATGTATACAACGGATCCAAAGATACACCGGTACGCTACTTTTAGTTCGCAATCATCTCCTGGACCAATTATTGGTTCCAGCACCAGTACCACCGCCGCTTCCTCCGCCAGCTGGAGGGCCCAACCACTACTCTGTTGGAGCATGGCTGCTCGAGACGGATGGATGCCTGATGGCATACCTCCATGTTGAGGCGGGGGCATACCTCCCCACGATGGGGTTTGCGGAGGCGGAACCCCATATCCAAGCAGTTGGGGTCCGGTGGTCATCTGCGGAGGATACTGTTGTGGAGTAGACATCGATGGTTGCTGGTAGCTTGGAGTGTGATAAGGGTTTGGCGTCTTGGATTGCGCAGGTGGTCCAGGAGGGCGAGACGCAGCGGGAGTGCGGCCACCAGGTGTTCTCGCCCCATACGGGGTCATGCCTGAATGTAGAGGTCTCGCACCGGCGAGAGGACCGATATGCCTGAGTGCACGAATGAGCAACCGATTGACACTACCTATATCAAGCATACCTCATCTTGAACGCGTCACAAAGTTGAGGCACACTTGGTAACTTTTCACCGAAGAAGACGTAGGCTTCGGGCGTGACCTTGACAGGCTAGAAACAATGAGATTTAGAGCACCATCACAACAGCAAACACACCCATGTTACGACAGGTGCATTGACGTTGGCCTTGAACATTAAGTTGAAGTAGCCTGGGCGCTCGGGATTCAGTCCGAAGACATAGAGACTCTTGTCAGGATTGGCGTTGACCATCATAGTCAGGTTGTTGGCTAGGAGAAATGAGAAACAAGATGAACAAGACGTTCATACTGACCCAAATCGACGGGTGAACCGTGCCTATACTTGTCGTGCGCCATCAACTCATCCACCTTTCGAGCCATGGCTTTGACATGATTGACTATGAGCTCGTCCAAATCAGAGAACTCGCGTTGCCCTTCACGTCCATGGTCCACTATGTACTTGTAGCCAGCCATCGGATCATTCGCGTCCATAGGAACCTCCAGAACATCTGCAATATGTTTAGGCTCGGGAAAACAAGCTATAAATTTCATACCTATGTGCTGGTAGATATTCCTGTCTACTTTCCATGTGACAGCCAGATGCTCTGGACCCTTTGAAGAAGGTCGAATCACAACATCTCCACGGTGCTGTTTCGATAAATGCTCTTCTGCCTGCTTTGAGTTCATATTGAAGAAATTTGGATGCTTGACGATTCTTCGCGCATGATTCTTCTGACTGTTTTTCTTCCTCTGCAGAATCTCCTTGTCACGAGTGGCTTTATCGTTATCGAAATACTGGTCAACCTCTACACGTTGATATGACTCGTCCCCGGTGAGTAGATCCGACGGTCGGGACGACAATTCGATATAAAACTCTCTGGGGTTGAGAGCGATCAGCCGTGCGCGTATTGCCTGACCCACTTTAACTATGCGGTCCGGCTGCACAGTATCGCCATCTTCGCCAAGATATTGCGCGTTGATAATTCCCTCTAGGTTCGACGCGAGCTTGACGATAATGAAGTTCGGTTTAATGCGCAACACTTGGACTGATAGAATCAATCCGAGACGCAGAGACTTGTCCGACTCTCCAGTCAGCATCGCGAGTACCTCCCACTCATCTGGAGGAACAAACGCCGGACGATTGTCGTGGAATGGTGCAACCAGTTCTGCCTTGATCAAGCTCAGTGTCATTCGCTTCTGCTCGTTCTGACTTTGCAGGAGATTCAACGCGAAATCATCGAGATTGAGGAGGTTGAGTGCGTTCTCCTTCTTCCGGCGTTTCTCTGAATCACTGAGCTTGGATCTGTCTTGACCATCGCCTTTGCTATCCGCATCTTCAAAGTCTCCTTTCAGGAACTTCACGACCAATGCTGACGGGTGCTCGTCTGCGTAATCCTCTTCATCCTCGCCAAGCGCATCTACTGCCATTTTACGGGCCAGGTCGTAGTCTTGCGGGTGAAGACGGGTTCCGTCAAGAGGGTCTTGCATGTCACGTATTGCAATAGTTTCCCCTGAAACTCTCGACGCCTGATACGACTTGGAATAGATGTCTTGTGGAATACGCAAGAATCCAGCCGAGTTCAGCCAGACCTTAGTAGTCATGATTTCGCGATGTACGAATTGTTCGCGATTGGCGAGGCTTCCCTGGTGAGTTGTCAGACACGCTGCGGCTTTGAGAATGTTCTCACCAGGGCAGCAACTTTGCGCACGATATGCTGCGCTTTTCGTGGTCCCAGTCCAGCAACGAACGGTAAAAGTGCCTGATAATACTGATCATGAACGGCGCGATTGATATCGACACCAACTCTGTTGACAACGTTGACCAAGGCTCGTTCAAGGGAGATCAACAGTTTCTCGCGAGGAATCTATGGCGCATCAGAATAGCGGTCCAGAAACGGAGAGTGTCATACCAAGTGTTGAGAATCTTGATCAAAGGTAATTGCAGTGATATCGGGACCAAGTGCTGCGTACTCGTTCAAGGGACTCTGAGCATATCGAGCAAGGCCAACGCAGTATCGCGTCAGGATGGGTAACGTTCCGTGTTCCTCTGCTGCTCGTTTGCTATGCTGATAGATTCTTGCCACCGAGTCCTGAACGAACCTAACATCGTAAGGCCGGTCGACGGCTGGTTTGAAGTCTCCGAGTTCAACCTTTTTGTTGCTCTCCGCTTGCTCCTTAGCTAGGGATGGGTCGTTCAACAATAGCCTGACAACATCATATAATCGATGTGTACTGGCACTGAATCCGCCGACGACCACGAGATCTGGCTGGTGCTTCTTGACCATCCCGCCAAAGTCACGCGCAAGATTTTCATCCTTGAGGTTGTCAAACTTGGCATGATCGCGGAAACGTCCGGCTTCGTCCATGTAAACAACAAAGATGGCATCCTTCTTCGGGTCGCCATCACCCCAGGATAATGCCATGACGCCTGGTACTTTGGCGTCGTCACTTGGTGGCGTATCAGGTTCCCGAACGGGTATGAAGGGCTTGACGTTGACCCTCTACGTGGTGTCAGTATGCATCAGCACCTAGGGAAAAGTGCTGACTCTTTCCAATTCGTCACCGCAAGCCTTGGCAAGAAAGTCCTCAACTTCTTCTCTAAGCCACTCTCGGATCCATTTCGAACCAAAAGGAAGGAAATGCTTATCGACAGCCTCGGTTACGGCTTGCGCTCGGACGTCATTCCATTGTTTCGAAACAGTGCTGTAGCCATCAGAGGAGACTGCTTGGATCAAGTCGTTGACGAATTGCACTCGGACGTCTTCTCTGATTCCAACAGAGACGGTGACTAGATGGTCAGCCTCTGCAGCCTGGATGTGTAGGAATTGGGAGCCTCTAGTCATCGCAGTCACGGGCTTCTGGTCTAGATATTTAAAATTCTGGGGATGCAGAATGAGCAAACAATATTTGCTTCTCGACATGACTCACGTAATAGGGATGCGTTTCATCGATTTTGACCAAGCCTTTTTCCGTTGGCGTGACTGAAACGTGACCAGATTCTTTGAACAAATCCCGAATGACTTGACGAAGCAGCGGATCCTTGCCAAGTTCGATAGCAATTAGCATCTTGGCTCTGTCCAGTAGCTCTTGTCCCGAAACCTCTTTGATGGGAGTCGGTCCATCCATAGCGGTGGGATTTGATGCCCAGCGTTTACGCTCGATCTCTATCAACCGCTGCTTTTCTGCGTCGACGTACGGTGTGACATGCTCCAGGGGTGACAAAGCGGGGTCATCGAGGAAAGTATGTACTACTGTCCCACGAGAGCTCCTGACCTGGCGAACCTTGCGCGAAATTTCACGGGCTGGAGGACAGAAATCCTGCTGAGAGTAAGCCAAAAGAGACTAGTGACCCGGTTAACATACCTTGACAAGCTGATCAATCTGCGACTTCTTTAGCACCTCGTATGCCGATACACGAGTCGGTCGCTTGACTTTGCCATCATCCTCGATCATAGCCGCGTCCCGCAGTTCTAGTCGATGTTGAAGCGTTAACCATTCGGTTGCATCCGTGATCATCTCGATAGAGTCGATTTTCGGCTGGATGTCAATCTTGTAGTAGTCGTCTGGTGAACTGAGTTTGGCATGCGTGGCTTCAAGCCCTCGTCTTCGCTCCAGATATGCCCTGAACTTTTGGCCCAGCGTGTACACTCTCCAGAGCTCGGATAAGCTAAGAAGCTCAATCTGTGCGCCGTCGTCAATGTGCCAAATGCAATCAATCTTGTGTGTTGCTATGAATGGAACTTCAAACCCTTGAATGAAGAGGAAATCGAGTGTCGAACGAACGGCTGTGATCAGGTCCTCGAGGTAATGACGGAACTGGCCCCCCGCTTTGAAGAAATCGCGCTCAATACGTTGACCCAAACGCAAGGCGACCCAATATGCAGCGTCGTCTAGATCGTGAGGAGAGAGAGGTGAATCCAATGCGAGTGTGGTCTCGGTAGAAAGGGAACTGGTTGCCAGCAGCATCCGTTCTGGTAGGTCCAGAGTTCGGATGAGATCGTCATCCTCTGTAAGCATACGTGATCGAATCTCTGAAGGTTCGAAGACCTTGTGGGAATAAGGCTTGGGTCCAACAACAAGGCAACACTTACATCCGTATACTTGCTCTCCTTGCGCACTTCTTGCACCTCTTCTTCGTCTCCAAGAGCCCAATCATAGTCTGTACCATCTCCAAACACTTCAAAGAGAGTTGAAAGAGCACTTTGGAGTGTCAGCGTCCTTTTTCTGAAGAGTGTAACCGTATCCTCACTTTTGGTCCAAGCCAGCAAGCTTAGAGATATCACCGGCTCCTCTTTTTCTCTCTTTTGCTGCTCTGCGCTGCTCCATACGCTCTTGTCTCTCGGCCTCTCCCATTTCGTTTTCTTCATCCTCTGGGTCGCGTACGATAAAGGCTCCCATATCGTCAAAGTCATCCTGTTCATCCCCATCTTCTTCATCACGTCGTGCTACGCGCAAATCGGCGTCGTCTTCCCACAAGTCACGAGGCTCTGCTGCTGAACGCCGTCGTTGGTGATCATCTTCTCCTGAATCGTCATCCACGCGACGCCGAGTAGTAATGTCATCATCTTCGTCATCCTCTCGAGCACGACGGAGACGCTTGAGGCGAGATTTAGAGGGCCTCACTCTCTGGCCTGTAAACTCCTCGACGAGCTCCAAATCGTCTTCGTCAAGTTCGCCCATCTCATCATCTTCTTCCTCATCTTCTCCTCGCTCTGCACGAGAGAACGCGAGCTGAGTCAGCGTGACAGACAGGTAATAGCGGGCGACTGACCGCGTCTTCGGCGTCGTTCCTTGCGATGTTTGCGCCTTTCCTTGCGACTTTCACTCTTGTCCTCCTTTTCGCTCTCCTCTTCATCCGACTCGTCGTCTTCGTCGTCTACAATGAAGCCCTCGCGAATTTTCCGCGCCTCTTCTGGGTCGTCTTCTTCCTCCTCGGATGAGTCGGTTGACATGGCGTTTCCTTGTTGTTCCTCGTCGTCAGAACCAGCTTCAGCATCGTTTTTGGGGACATCCACGTCCATTCGCTCCCCGTCGGCGGCTGTCCATGCCGCAGCCTGATGGTGGTCCATGGCCAACTTGTGGATTGGCAACTTGCTCCTGGCCACGACGCTCAAATACCCACACGTTACTCGTTACCGCAACAAATACGCTATTAATCGTGAAATACTCTCAACTAGGCGCACTACTAGATTCCAAAGAACAAATACTCTTTGGATCAACGCTTGGTCGTTGGCATTGAGTCGAGATGTCAAGCTTTGAAATGGAAGACCTCACCAATCAGGACAATAGCACCGAACTTGCAGATATCTCGCAAACTGGAAAGCGAACTGCGCAGTCTCTGTACGCTCCCGATGACAGCATACAAGTCTGGTCGTTTACAGTCGCCTCGGTGTATGTATTGAGAGACCCTTTCATCCGTACTCATAGTTGTACAGAATGGCAATCCTCTCAATCCCACTCTTGTTCTTCCCCCGATTTCTCCTCTTCCTATGCGACTCGGACGCCCATTTAACCCCGCTGGAACAATTCCTCTCGAATCAGCTGGGGGTCATGCTCCTTGTTCTGGCAACTGCAAGCATCATTGCCGCCCCTGACACGCAATCCACCACACTGGAGACCACGGCGCAAGGCTCTCATCCGCTCTTGCCACCGCTCACTATCGGTGCGGGATTTAGTGCATTATTAGCATGGAATTCAAAGGGGATTGGGTCGCTTGGAACCTTTGTCAGCCTCGGCAATGGGCTGGCTGCCGCCTGGGGATTCTGGACGGTGTGTATATCCTACTCTGAGTATGACTTTACTGACGATATCCAGCTGCTGTTCTCTGGTTCTTCGTACATCTCGCGCAAGACTGGGGCTGACAAGCGCACCTCGACGTATTTATTTGGTAACAAAAAGGCAGCAAGTGCGCAAAAGAAGGAGTGGAAATCAAGACAGAAATTACAATGATGACTTGCGGTGGCTCGTTGTCTTGACTGTTATCTACAATACCGCGCTCTCTGAAATCTGTGAATTAAAGTCGTGTCGACAATATTCACGAGTGCACATTCAAAGGCAGTGCGATGAAGCAACTGCGTATGCAACAACACCAGTACCTAGGATTCTTTCTTTGGCGAGGTATAATATATAAGAGTGGCATCAATAGGAACAATGTTCTAATAAACGTCCTTTCGGACATTTGTCCAGTAAGGACCACATTGAAAATGGGTGAAGTCAAGTTTAGTTGCACGGAAGGAGCTTGATGTCGGCATAGTCAAATGATGCGGGTATTTCAACCCATGCCGATTCTCCGATGGTACCCAGAAGAGACGTTTACCAGACGATTGCACCCATCCATCCTGCGAGAGTGAGCACCATTGGAATCCAGGTACAGAAATTCTTAGGGAAGTGCCTGAAGAATCCTTTTCAAGACGTGAAAGCATAAGTTCTGTGTTTCCTTGTCTGGACTGGTGCGTGTTTGCATCTAATCGCAAATGTCAGGTCATGTCATACGATCAAGGAGAGGCCTAGTTAGACTCACCACCTTCTCCGTCCCACAATCTAATAATCTTTTCCTTTGAGTCAGAGACAGTTTTTGGATCATCTGGCAAGAATGGGACTGAATGGGTGCAGGAGCTGTGAACTTGAAGTGACTCTACAAGCGGCTGACATATGATTGCAACCCAGAATCGAATCGTCCTATCTTCCGAGCCAGAGACGATTCGAGAGCCGTCTGGCAAGAATGCGACGGAATTGACTGAGTCGATGTGCCCTCGGAATGATTCTCCCAGTGGCCGACCAGTCGCTCTATCCCAGAGTCGAATTGTCTTGTCGGAAGAGCTAGAGACGATTTGTGACCCGTCTGGTGAGAATGCGACAGCTGAGATTGAGTTGTTGTGACCTCGGAGTGGTTCTCCCAGTGGCTGACCAGTGACCGCGTCCCATAGTCCAACCGTCCTATCTGATGATCCGGAGACAATTTTTGAGCTGTCTGGAGAGAATGCGACTGATCTGACTGAGCCATCGTGCCCTCGGAGCGGTTCTCCCAATGGTTGACCAGTGACAGCATCCCATAGACGGATTGTCGTATCAACAGAGCCAGAAGCGACTTTTGAGCCATCTGGAGAGAATGCGACAGAATTGATCCAGCCATCATGACCTTGGAATGGCTCCCCCAGCGGCTGGCCAGTGGCTGTATCCCAGAGTCGAATTGTCTTGTCGGAAGAGCCGGAGATAAGTTGTGAACCGTCTGGTGAGAATGCGACGGAAAAGATCCAGCCATCATGACCTCGAAGTGGTTCGCCCAGCGGTTGGCCAGTGACTGCGTCCCATAGACGAATTGTCGCGTCTTCAGAGCCAGAGACGATTTGTGATCCATCTGGCGAGAAACCGACAGAATAGATTGAGCCGTCGTGACCTAGAAGTGGCTCTCCAAGTGGCTGACAAGTCTCCGTGTTCCATCGTCGAATTGTTTCATCGTAAGAACCAGTCACAATTTGTGAACCATCTCGTGAAACTGCGACAGAATGGACCGAGCCATTGTGACCTCGGAGTAACTCTCCCGGCAGCTGATCAGTGACTACATCCCACAGTCGGATTGTCTGATCTCTCGAACCAGAGATAACTTTTGAACCAAGTGGCGAAAAGGTGACAGAGAAGATCCAGTCATCGTGACCTCGAAGTGGCCCCTCGACCGGCTGGCCAGTCACTGTATCCCATAGTCGAATCGTCTTGTCAGAAGAACCCGATACTATTTTTGAGCCGTCTGGCGAAATGCGACTGAAAAGATCGGACCCCCATGACCTCGCAATGCTCCTACTGGCTGACCAGTCACAGCATCCCATAGTCGAATCGTCCTGTCCCTCGAGCCGGAGACGATCTGTGTGCCATCTGGCGAGAATGCAACAGAGTGGATCCAGTCGTCGTGCCCCCGGAGTGGTTCTCCCAGAGGCTGACCAGTGACTGTATACCATCGTCGAATCGTTCGGTCTCCCAATCCAGAGATTATCTGTGATCCGTCTGGCGAGAATCCGACGGAATTAATAGCGGTCCTGTCAATTCGAAGTGGTTTGCCCAGCAGTTTGCCAGTGACGGTGTCCCATAGACAAATTGCCCCATCCTGAGAGCCAGAGACGATCTTTGATCCATCTGGTGAGAATCTGACACAATAAATCGAGCTCCAGTGACCTCGAAGTCGTTCGCTCAGCGGTTCGCCCAGCGGTTGGCCCGTGGTTGCGTCCCATAGACGAATCGTCGCGTCTTGAGAGCCAGAGACGATCCTTGAGCCATCTGGCGAAAATGAGACAGAGTTGATCCAGCCATCATGACCGTAGAGTGGCTCCCCCAGCGCCTGACCAGTGGCTGTATCCCAGCGTCGGATTGTCCTGTCGGAAGAGCCGGAGACAATCTGTGAGCCGTCTGGTGAGATTGCGACAGAATTAATCGAGCTGTGGTGACTTTGGAATGTGTCCCCCAGTGGCTGGACAGTGGCTGCATCCCATAGTCGAATTGTCTTGTCTCGTGAACCGGAGGCGACTCGTGAGCCATCTGGAGAGAATTTGACGGAATATATGTCATCTACATGACCCAGGAGTGGCTCTCCCAGTACCTGGCCGGTCACAGCATCCCATATTCGGATCGACTTGTCCCTCGAGCTGGAGACGATCCGTGCGCCATCTGGGGAGAATACAACAGAGTAAATGCAGTATTTATGACCACTGAGTGGCTCTCCAAGTAGCTGGCCTGTGACAGCATCCCATAGTCGAATTGTCGCGTCTTCCGATCCAGAGACAATTTTTGTGCCATCTGGTGAGAACGCAGCCGAATTGACCCAGCCCTGGTGACCTCGCAGTGGCTCTCCCAGCAGCTGGCCAGTGACAGCATCCCATAGTCGAATCGTCCTGTCACATGAGCCAGAGAGTATTTTTAAGCCATCTGGCGAAAAGGCGACCGAATTGATCGAGCCGCTGTGACCGTGGAATGGCTCTCCCAGCGGCTGACCAGTAACTATATCCCAGAGTCGAATCGTGTTATCTGATGAGCCAGAGACTATTTGCGACCCGTCTGGCGAGAATGAGACCGATCTGATCCACCGACTATGACCTTGGAGTGGCTCTCCCAGCGGCTGGCCAGTAACTGTATCCCATACTTGGATCGTGTTGCCGGAAGAGCCAGAGACAATTTGTGACCCATCTATTGAGAACGCGACAGAATTGATGGAACCACCGTGACCTCTCAATGGCTCTCCTAGTGGCTGACCAGTGACAACATCCCATAGTCGAATCGTGTTGTCGTTTGATCCAGAGGCAATCTTTGAGCCATCTGGTGAGAATGCAATGGTGTTTACAGGGCCATCGTGACCTCGAAGAGCACTAGGCATTCCGGGATATCTGTCCTCGACTCCGCGACTCACTGTCAGAGTGTTAGGGTATTCCGGTAGCCCTTCAATATGTAGCCTCGACTTTGTAGGAGTGAAAGGAAGTGCAGAGATGTAGATGTGTGGAGCGCTCTCCTGTATTGGCACCGAAAAGGCTATGATGAACCGCCGAATTTCGTCCAGGCTGCTTCTAGTTTTTTCTTCAAGCTTTAGATCCCGTTAGTGATTGAATTTAATTAGTATGATAACCTACTCCTGTGCAGCTAGTAATCGCTCGAAGACCAGCCATCGCCCGTGCCACTCCTCCAGTGAAGCTCAGAATCTCCATCCAGTATAGGGTATATGGGATTCCAATAATGTACTGGAGTTCATTCCTGAGCGTGCGTCGCCAATTGTCGTCAGTTTCCGCTACGTGGAACAGCCAATGAGAGCTGGCATATCGAAGTTCTCTTGAGATACACCTCGATACCTTGACGTCAAGGTTAGGTATCTCTCTATTGAGGTGGAAAGACGACTCGATTTGACAGATGTTGAACTTGAGACCTTCACTCCGGGACTTGAAGCATTTGAAGCACCATGACGCAGCTTGACCATGCGCATTGGCGATGTTGATGTATATCTTATTGCGGCTGTCGACGGCTGGGGTGATGGAGCAGCGTCGAAGATACTCGACAAAGGTGGGATGGCGAAATTGGATAAGATGCGTAGCTGTATCCTCGACAAGTACGCTCCCGAGATTCCGTACCAAAGCCTTGGCGCTCCCATCTACCCCAGCATGCTTGAGCATATCGTCCATATGATTGACGGGGAGCGGCTCAAATGCGGCCAGCAGCAAAGCAAGCATCTTATACATGACTGCGTGGTGTTCGGGGACTGTGCGCTCGAAAATGAGACTATATAGATCGTCTATGGCTCCAGGCTGGTCCATAGAGACCAGAAGATTGTATGTACCCTCGTGGGTACTCAAGCTGGTCTCGCTAGTGAGCATTCGGCATGCGGTGCTTGCCCAGATGAACAACCCTTTGGCCTTGTCGACCAGTCTCTGTCTCTTGTCTTTTGACAGTACTCCATTCAGTGATTCGTGTACGTAGAAGGCAATATCGTCGATATTATCGCGATAGATGGTGTCGTGCAGACGGTCCTCCAACTTGCACTTGATCGAGAGTGGACCTAGGACTGCTTGTATGACGGGGTCTGGCCGACTTGTCATAAATATCTTGAGAGTATGACATCCTCGAACCGCTGTAGAAATAGCTTCGAGGAGTTCCCTCCGCTGTGATCCAGATTTGCATTCGTCGAGAGCGTCGATCACAATAACCACGCGTTCTTGCCGATGATGAAGAGGGTCGGTGACAAGCATTCGGAACTGCTCCTCCAGGGAGCTTCGCATGAAAGAGGGATTCCGCTTCACGGCTCCGGCAACGTGTGGGGCGAGCTCGGGGACGTATTGAGCAAGGTCCCTTGCTATGGTTGTGCAGAACTTGTTGGTGGCCGATGCTTCGCTGCTTGCTATCGAGAAGAAGAATCTCCCCCCAAGCACTCCTTGTCGTTGCCACGATTCGACTACAGACATTGCGACGGTGGATTTGCCGGAGCCGGCTATGTCACAGAGCCAAAAAATTGGCTTCTCCGACGTGTCATCGTCTGCCCAGTGCCAGATCGCCTCCAGCACGGCCTCGCGCGTCCCTTTCAGACAAGTGGTATGGACTGAAGATGCGACGAATGATACCGTCGGCAGCTGAAGAATAGCAGATGCGTCGACTTGAAATGCTAAGCAAAGCGTTGCAACCCAAACTCCAGCTTACCCTCTGTTAGAATGGCCTTGGTATTCCGTTCGACAGCCTGGATGCGTAGTGCAGTGAACAGACTCAACGCCTCCTACGTCTACGATGAGCATGTGAATCACCCTGGATGAAGTTCGTACCATGAGCTTCCTGTGTCCATCTTCGAGACCTCGGTTGAGTTTTCGAATCTCTCCTGCATCGATTTTGATTTTGCTCAATGACTTCAAGAACCCCAGTTTGCTGCGCTTGCGTTTCTCCTTTATTTCGACAGCCGTATCGTGTATAGTTTCAAGGAATCTGTATTGCTCAGATCACTGGAAGAAATTTGGACAGTTCACGTACTCGACATACTGGACGAGCGGCTGGCTAAACGCATCGTCGACGGCCCTGTCCTCTAGAGAATATGTCTCGAATAAGGTGATTCGCTCCTCGAGTGCGGACATATAGCCCTCCAGACGCCAGGTGAGATCCGTCCATTCCTCTTGATTGCTCTCTATCGTCTGTCGCATCCGTTAGCCGAAGAACTGTGCCAGCATTGCCAGCAGACCTGCGCGACTTCAAGGATTGATCTTGTTGTTCGACAAGCGGCCTTGAGAGGGGCTAGTATATCTGATCCCTCCGCTATGTTTGCCACTACGTCGAGTCCGACGGTGAATGTATTGTATACTTGATCTCTTCTGGTTGAGGAACCTTGTGGGGGAGACGGATATGCTGACGGAATCACAGTTCTGTGCTGTTTCTTGGGCTTGACTGCCCTTTGGGCGGACATGGTCAAGGTAAGGTCCAAGATGTATTCGGTGTGGATGCCGACTAGTCTGCGATTGTGAGGATATAAAACTCGTGCCAACGATAGGAGTACAACCGTTAGGCTTACACTGGATACATTCTGTCGACGAGAATGAAAAGCCGTCCATTTGCGTTGGACTGCAAGTGTACAAAGGGATATCGGTTCACTCCTACCGCTCTCCGACGCATGACACGACCATAAAGGTGGAGTATATAAAAGTGAGGTGATCTACTTCTAAGTTGCCCCAGGTCCTCGTGTCGTTTGCCACCGCGTGAATCCCTAGGATGCAGTAGGGCAGTCCGGCGTTTGGTAGTGACTTAGATGGGGGTGAACCCAAAACGCTGTCATCGACCTGGAAGGCTTGATAAGAGCGGCGAGGGAGTGCCCCAGGGAAAAGACGACTCTCTACAATGTCACGGCCTACATTGAGCACCCACACAAGCTGGGCCTCGAGTCACAAGACTTGGTTAAACTTTGGATCAAAGAGACGACGGTACGATGAATTCCCATGCGCACTCGCTGCTAATTATTACCAGCAAGTCGGCACCTCACAATCTGCAAGCTTCGAGTGATCAGAGCCCCCAGCCCGACTTAATTCCCACAAAAATTTGATCAGGGCTTCCATGGAAGCGCATCTCGAGTCGCCCCTCCTCGACACAGCGTCCACTTTCGATAGCCAGCCTGTCAGCTTGCGGCAGACATTCAGTTTCAAAGTGCTCAGTCAGTATACCAACAGCTAATATAATAACTCACACTAAAATTACCTCCAATAGAGAGCCTCTTTCGGAGTCGTCGCATGCGACGAGATCAAACAACTCGACAGGTCTTGCAGTGGCTCTCCGAATCCTCCCCAAAGGACCCAGTCAGGTCCAGACGCTACATGATAAACTCATATGATAGCGTATTTGGTCATGAAAAGGCCAGTCGACAGAGGGCTAGCGGCTCGAGTGGCTCGGAATCCACTTCGAGCTTTGAGCCCCAGTCACCTCCACTCACTCTCGAAGAGGCCATATTTGAGCGCGATATGTTGGTAACCGTCTCGGATATGCGCCATTTGCAATCACGATCCAGAAGGATACGCGTCAATACACTTCAATACTAGATAATCGTGTATGCGGCCAATCGCACACGTAATGTCTAACATCTAGACGAAATCTCTTGTTTCGAGTACCAAGAAATAAACTGAATGCTTCTACGCATCGTTACCAGTACAAAGGACAGCTATCATGATCAGTCGTTCAAGGTCCTTCTGCGAGACTCTTGTACTCGTCTTTAAGGATCCATCGATTCTTGTCCTTGACAAACGCTGTCTTCATCGTTGCTTGTATCGCATTCTTCTTTGCGCCAGCGCCTTTGAGCTTCAAATAGACGGTATCGACAATGGACTGCTGCGTCAAGCCAGTCTCGGATTCGAGTACGAGCTTGGCCATTTCGTGTGCCAGTTTGTCGGAGAGCATTGGTGTGTCCTTCGTGGCTTTTGCAGACGCCCGCTTCTTCGCTGGACCCGCGGTCGAAGCCAAGGCGGATGCCGCCGGGTTCGAAGTTGAAGCTGACGCGGTGGGTAGTAGCCGGTCAGGAATAGCTGGTATAGCAAACCCATCGGCGCTTTTGGCAGCTGGAGCAGGCGGATCGTGGTACGAGGCCAGAGGATCAATATACAGAGGGACGTCTTGAGTGGTGTTAGTTTACGTCGTCCGAGAGTGTTAGAATCCTACCGTTTAAGACGCGAACACAATATCGAGACCAAGACGAAAGTTCTGGGGTCCCAAGCGTAGTTTCCCAATACGGTCCCTTGCAGTCGGGCTTGAGTGGCACGAGCTTTCGTCGCTTGTTCATGCCGAGCCAACCAAAGGGACCACTCTCCGCCTTGCGCTTTCCTTTGGGCGAGTCTCCAAGCGTCACAAGACCACCTTCATCGTTTGGTTCCAACTCGTCCACATCATCGTCCACGATCCAGTCGTTGTTTTCGTCGTCAAGCTCTTCGTCCTCCTCTTCAATCGTCTCCGTATCATCCATCTCTTCTCCTTCCTCTTCTTCGAACCACTCCTCCCCACTATCATACGTATAGTCCAAGTTCTCATCCATAGCAAATGGAGTTCGTGGCCCAACGGTGTTCGAGGTTCTCGTCCAGGTACCGACATACATAGGTCGAGTATTCTCGTAGAAATAAAGCCATCGAACGGGTAGCTGGCGACGATCCGAAAGTGTCGAAATAAGGATTTTGGCAGAATAGACATCACCTGCGGCTGTAGCGTCGTTCAGCTTTTCGATCAAGTCCCGAACTAAGACACGAGAACTCGTCTTCATTGCTGGGGCTTTGTCATGAGGGCGCCCGTACGCGGTCTTTCGTGGCTTGGAAGATGGCGGCATTTCTGCCAAGAGCGTTCGCAATGGGTGTGTATCTTGTAAGGAAGTCAGGCCTGGATCTAGGTAATGGGATAACGGCTGACCTCGATGGGTAGCTGAATTGAAGCGAGTTTTGGATTCTGGGCCTTCCTCGTCATCGAGCACAATGACCCGAGCCTTTGTTGACTTAAAGTGGTTGATGGGAGCAAGAGTAAACCCATTCTTGACACGAAAGGGCTTAAACGTTTGATCGAAAGAGGAGGAAGCTGGCTTTGATTCCTCTTTTTGCTCGACCGGAGTCGGGTCTGCTTTCTTGGGTGTGGCGGGAGCAGCAGGTGTTGATTTAGGAGCGAGCCACGACAACAGAGTAGAGGATCCCTGCAACACCTTAGGAAAATCTCGTCTCAGGAAGATGTTCGTACCGTAGCGGGTGCTTCCTTGGGCTTCGCACCTTTCTTGGCTTTGGTCTCCTTCTCTTTCACTATATATATTTCCGTCAGTTCTAGAAGAAAGTACAATCAAGATATACCTTGCTTACTATTAGTAGTAGTAGCGGCATTTGTCGTCGACGTTGACGTCGATGGGGCATCTTGCACCACCGCGTTTGCCAGTGCAGAAGGCACAGTCGATGGAGCCGGCACCTAGAGTTGGATAAGGTCATATAAGAGACATTAAAGACCTCTTACGTTTTCCTTTCCGCCATTTGTTTCGTCTTGCTTTTTACGTCGGGACTTCAATACGATTGCGGTCTTGTCTGCATCCGCCAGTGCTTCATACTGTGCCAATAATACAGCCCTACCCTGAGAATGATCCTAAGTCGATGAAAGGTCCACTTGGATAGGTATACCTTTTGACGATCCGCGCGGCGTTGTAACATGAGGGCACGCTTCGTGTCCGGAAGGTCACTAAGGTCGTCTAATTCCCATCTCCACACACAAAAGTCCTAATAGAACTGAGATTTGACAGACATCTGGCCGTATAATCCACACCTTGAGGCCTCCTTCGACACCGTAATTGATACGTTTGGCCACATCATTGATAGCCGACTCGACAACATTCAGGGGAAGAACAGGAGCTTGTGTATCACTAGAAGCTGTGGACGAAGCCGATTCTGGGGAAAGTGTCTTCTGGATTTCCTTTGCAAGCGTTTTGATATCCTTGTCACTATCATCGCATTGATCAGGAGTTGATGTACAGATGATGTTGAAAACGCACCTCTCCTGCGTTAACAAGGCCACGAGCGTGCGATGCTCGGCGGTGAGGGAAGCTAGTGGACGCTCCTGTAAACTTTCTATCTTTGTGCGGAACTTGAGGATTTCTGTTAGGAGCGATGGACTTAGGATTGTGCTCTAATTAGGGGATGCAAGGACTCCACCTGCAAAGGTTTCCGTCCAACTCGCCGGGGGTGGCACTAGCGCCTCCTGAGCCCATACCACTTTTGTCTTCTTAAGCTCTACGTTGAAAGAAGGCGGAGATGTCGTTGCGACTGGTGTTGAGCGATCAAAGCAGCATCAGCGTCAACTCTTCGTGTCTAGGTCTGCTCGGAAAATACGACTGACCATTGCTAGACGTGTCATTTGACGTGATATCCATGATTTGGCTCGCTTTTGACGAAAGTTCACCCGCCGAGCTGGACGCGGTGTTGGTCCAAGCTTTGAACTCCGCTTTCTCTGGCCACGGCAATATGTTCCTTAAGCCCACAGCAAAGACTCAGCCTGTAAAGGCGACGATAGACCCCAAGTTGCAACCATGGGTCGAGAAATAGTCAGCACTCAACCACAGTTCATGAACGAATTTACTGATGTACTTGCTTCTCTATCTAGCCGTCCAAAGACGATGGACGAGGTATCTTCACAAGATCATGCTGTATCTGTTCTTAAAAAGACACTACTCACGACAAACGTAAGTCGCACCGGCTAGATCAACACAATTTTCATTGAGCTCTCCATAGCTGCCACATATGTTGTTCTATGGACCCCCTGGTACAGGAAAGACGTCGACAATCCTTGCGCTTGCTCGAGAACTCTTTGGCCCGGACCAGTTTCGCCACCGCGTTTTGGAACTCAACGCATCAGACGAGCGCGGCATTGCCATCGTCCGGGAAAAGATCAAAGACTTTGCTCGTCAAACTCCAAAAGCTGTGACCTCTGCCGCCTCGGATGGCAAAGTCTATCCATGCCCGCCCTACAAACTCATCATCCTCGACGAGGCCGATTCGATGACACAGGATGCACAAGGAGCACTCAGGAGAATTATGGAAACATACGCAAAGATTACTCGATTCTGCCTCATCTGCAACTATGTCACGCGCATCATTGAACCGCTCACATCTCGCTGTTCCAAGTTTCGTTTCAAGCCATTGGATACATCCTCTACATCTATCAGACTAAAAGAGATTGCAGCGGCGGAGAATGTTGAAGTGAGCGACGACGTAGTGTCTGCCCTCGTTACCACCTCGGGGGGTGACTTGAGGCGAGCGATTACCTATCTCCAAAGTTGCTCTCGATTAGCGCACGCGACGGTTGACGAAGTCAACAAAGCCCCTCAGAAGATCCGACCAGAGGATGTGCAGGAGATTGCAGGGGTCGTTCCCGACCATGTCATAGAGAGTTTCGCGGCCGTATTAGGAGTCGAAGTTGACGGCGCCTCTAAAAACAGCATGTCAATCGACAACGCTACTGTTCGAGCCAAGACTTTCGACGATGTTCGGAAAAAGGTGAAGGAAATTTCGAGAGAGGGCTATAGTGCGGCCCAAATCTTGTCACAGGTACGTCGATAAAGATTAAATTTGTGCATTTTTAAGTCCTGCGCAGCTGCACGACGTTGTCATCCTGCATCCACGGTTGGACGCAAGGCGAAAGGCTGCTTGCGCACTCATTCTCGGAGAAGCAGACAAGGCTCTCTGTGACGGGGCGGATGAAGAGTTGTGGACGTTGGAGACGGGGTTGCGCATCTGGAAGGCGTTGGCGGTATGATCATTGGTCAACTTGGCCGAAAGATGCTAACAGGAGACGGCCTCCTGTACCACTTGAACTTGATGGGACCTGGCAGTGTCTGTGTATTTTTGAGTAACGTCCAGAATAGATGATAATTTGAATAACGTACACCCCAGCCACATATAAGTCTTCCAGTGATCAATGCGATTGGGATTGGACCATACATTCTCGAGTCGCGGCTTGCAGGAGCATTGTCTCCTTGTACCCATAGATGACCCTTTGGAATCACAACATGCTCCTTGCGAGTGTTACTACTTTGTGCTCGGCTCAGTGGGTCTGGTAATGTTGTAGGATCTATTAGAATAGTATCCCCTGGGAGACCAATGATTCGTTTGCAAACTAGCGCGTTTGGGTGGTACGGAGCACGATATGTGACTATGTCGCCTCTTTGCAATTTTTGTGGAAACCACTCGTGGCGTATTTTCTCCTCTATCGCATACTCATGCATGGACATTGTCGGAAGCATGGAAGGACCTGCAGCCTGTCGAGTCTTTGTTAGAAGAGTTGAATAAATGAGGAAACACTCACCGTCCGAAAGGCAACAATATGCTCCATTGTAAAATGTGTCAGTTCTCCGCCCTAAATACATTTGTAAATTTTGACTGGACGTAAGTGGGATAGCACAGACGACAAGAACTCCGATTAGTGCATGCTTGAAATATGGCCAACTAGTCCATTTTCTCCATAATGTGTTCATCATCGTCGCCGGTTAGCCGGGTCGAAAGTCGAGGCGCGGTCGAAGGGATCTTTGTTTGGCAGGACTCTTGAACTCGACCGTGACCGTGACACGCCACCACCCGCTTCTAGTAGTGTACAATTCCCCTTTAATCATGCTCGTTCAGGCAGCCATTCTGCACAAGGAACCAAAGACGCCCGAAGCAAAAGCCATGGCTCGCTTCAGCCGTCCCTCGACACCTCGGACGGATAATTCTTTGCATTTTTCGCGACCCACAACATGTTTCTCTTCTGATGGAATCCGTTCACAGTCTGTGATGTCGCAAGACTCGCCTGGAGCCCAGTACATTCCTCCCGAAAGCCCTCTGACACTTTGTGATGCCAAACATACTGGGTATAGTCATTCAGTTGCCAAAACGATCTCTTCTCTCCCAGTAGAGTCTCCTATGCATCAGTGTGTCCAGTACTTTCCATGAATTCCGTACTAATCACGAAGATGATCCAGACTTGCAAAGGAGCTTCAAGACATGGATATCTTCGAGCAAGATCCAATCGACGACACGGAACAATCAGAACTCAGCGTCATTCCTCAAGGACTATTTCAAAGCCCACCTCGCCGGAGCGAAACCCCTGATCCCAAGCTCCAGAAGAAAGCTCGAAACCTTTTGATTGAAACGTTGAAAAAGCCTGGTCAATCTCACCAGTCCCTGCGATCTCCCATTCGACTTCCTGAAGACAGATACTATTTTCCTTGTGCACGCCTGGAAACTCCTTTTGCCGACAAGAACGAAGACAATTTCTACGGATCCACGTTGACTCCCTCTTCTTCTCCCAAGTCCGCTTTGCTCCCGACAAAGTAAAGGCAGTCTCTCTCCGAGAGCGTATGGATTTAGATCAGGGAAATACAAGAGTAACAGTCTATAATTCGTACACAAGTGAAGATTAGCTCGCATTGATGCTCCATAGTTCATTCGTCTCGTCAACGGAGAGCTTTTCATGAACAGGGTGCACTCGCCAGTCACCACTCTCAGTTCCTACCTGGTTGTCAGAGCAAGAATAATGATAGAGTATACATACGGATTAGAAGCTTATTTGCTTTCCCATCAGGTCCTCGTCTAAGTTCAAAGCCCAGTGACTTCCAAATCTGGGCCCGGAGTCTGCGAGACGTTAGTAAATGTATGCTTGACATGGCTTACATACGGTAGATTATCCACTTCATGATCCGCTATCGGATCTTTGAGCTCCCAAATCGCCGTCTCGTCTTTCACTCTAGATATGTGCGACACCTTGTCTCCTAGTTCTCTTTCGAGCTTTCCTATCGCTTTCATACTTGCGAAATGCTTCTGCTCGAGCGTCTCCACCGTGCGCGTATGTTCAGCACGCGACGGCACGTCGTCCGAGCGCTGAGCAGCAGTCTTTGAGGCTTCTAAGCTCTTTGAGAGCGCTATTTAGTGCAATAAGACGCGTGAACACACGATTATCGTTGCAGTGAAAGCTGTACCTCGTAGATCAGTCCGTATTGACTCGAGCTGAGCATTTCGAGCGGCTGAGACTTTCTTTGTGTGATCTGTTCCTTCATTTATGACCTCCATATCCGGAGCGCGTCTAAACAGATCACTAAATGCGACCAACATTGAGCTTGGCTCGTTATCAGCGTCCATGTATCGTAATGCTGCTCTGATTCTTCACCTAACATCTTCAAGGTCCGGTCCCTTTCGTGTCGGAGGCTCCATAGTCTAGCCGGTTTGAAGAGTCTGGATCGAGTCAAGAGCAAAGTGGCACAACAAACTCAGACTCGACTTCAATGAATCTACGTCCCTCGGTCCGCCATGTACATCGCCAAGGAGTACATATAATAGCTCAAAGAAGATTAGTCAGGACGCTACCGGCATTTCACAACAAGGATCAATCATCGAGTCGAGACGGATTGCCGAGCTGGTCGCCCAGCGTCGCGAGTCCTCGCCAGGTAAGGTTATAGCACAGTGATGGCTCATTACGAACACTTTATAGCTCGTAGAATATCTGAATGACTATATTGTTGGCCAAGAACGGGCAAAGAAGATCCTTGCAGTCGCGTATGCTATCCTTATCGTAGTCACAGACAAGATTTAACTCTTTTTCAGAGTTTATAACCATTATAATCGAGTACGAGCAAACTTGGGACACCATAACGAGGGACACACAGATGAATTTGGCAAGTTTATTCGCTTATGCATTTTACATCTTTTAAACATTGAAACAGTTTCTGGATCAAACGAAATACCCTTGACTCCTCATCCTTTTCGGCGTAGAGCATTTCCTGCAGCGGCTGCCCCACAGCCGATACCGTTGTTCGAGAAGAGCAATGTTCTGGTGATTGGACCATCCGGTACTGGAAAGACACTGCTTGCAAGGACATTGGCCAGGATACTGGATGTACCCTTTAGTGTATCTGATGCAACTGCATTTACTCAAGCAGGCTGTGAGTTACTCCTCTAGAACCTGAGCATTCCTGACTGTACATCCTAGATGTGGGTGATGATGTAGAGATGTGTGTACAGAGACTGGTATGTGCACTGCAACATCGAGTCATCTAGACTAACTCCCCTAGCTGCAAGCGGCGAATTGGGATCCGCATCGCGCAGCGTGAGTATAAACTTCTCAATAGAGGGCTACTAAGCAGTACTTAGGACCGGGATTATCTATATTGACGAGTCAGATAAGCTAGCGCGGCGAACAACAGGCGGAGACAATATGCAGCGCGACATTGGAGGCGAAGGTGTTCAACAAGCATTACTTCGAATGATGGAAGGAAGTGTTGTCACAGTTACTGCAAGCAAAGGGAGTGATGGGTTTTCGGAAGGTCGGCGAAGGGATATGGGAGCCCGTAAGTGACTTGATTACTTCCAGAACTCGAGGCTTATGCGCTGGTAGCCACCCCTGAGAGCTACCAGATTGACACTAGTAACGTCCTGTTTATTCTTTCGGGAGCCTTTGTTGGTCTCGACACCATCGTAAAGCGTCGCATAGCCAAAGGCGTAAGTAGTGTGGATCGTCGGAAAAACTTTCTGATTATCTAGTCTATCGGGTTTGGAGCGAACCTCGGTGATGCATCTGCCAGCAACGACAAGTTTGTTCCATTCTTCACAAAGAATGGCCAGGCTGCTGACCCTTGGAGCTTGGTGGAGCCAAAAGGCAAGTAGATTAATACGTACTGGATCGTTCTAATGTCCATTTAGATCTTGTATCTTATGGGTAAGACTCTATTCCGCGAGTAAGCGGACACTGACACGCCATTCGTTACCAAGGTACATTCCAGAGTAAGTCGCCATTTTTGATATAGCCTTGGCTCACGCACTCTAGATTCGTTTCACGACTACCCGTCATTTCCTCCTTGAACCCTCTAGCAGTTGAAGACCTATATCGAATCCTGACTGACGTGAAGGGAAGTCTGGTCTCTCAATACACGGCTCTCTTCAACTATTCGGGCGTTGACATTCGATTCACCGACTCTGCATTGAAGGAGATTGCACAACTGGCCGTTGAACGTGGTGGGGGTGCACGAGGTCTGCGGGGTATCTGCGAGAATCTGCTACTCGATGCCATGTACGAAGTACCTGGGTCTGGTGTCAGGTATGTTCTTATCACCGACAAGGTCGTTCGACGAGAGAGTCCGGCCATGTACTGGTCTCGAGGAGACGCAGCGGCGTTCTGGGCAGAGGTTGCCCGAGAAGAAGCCAAATCTACGTAATATATGTCTCCTTTGTAGATCCGTTTGTACATTATATTCGAGTTCTGGTGGTTGGCGGAGTTTGAAAGCGTGAATCTCTGCCTTCTCCTTCACAATGGCGGCACTGACGGCGCGTCGTGGACCAGTAGCGTCAACATCGACGAAATCATCTGCTCCACTTCACGTCGAAAATCACTTTCAGCCTCATTATCCTTACCGTCTCAACTTGTACGCGCAGCGATTTTGGCTATACACCAATTTACTGACTCGTACTAGCTACGATACGCCTCCGCAGTTTGATGTGACTCTTGAACAGTTTGAGTCTTGGGGATTGGACAGACTTCGCATTCTCGCCGAGATTGAATCCTCGTTTGTGCGCAATCGCGCCTTTGAGGAGCTCAAAGGGATTGTCAATACGCAGCAGAAGAAATACCTCACCCTAAACAGTAACACAGCAATCAACGCGGACAAAGACGCGGAGAGAAAGAAGGACCATGTCAGCCACTTTGTGCTCAGACTTGCGTTCTGTCGATCAGAGGATCTAAGAAGACGATTCATCAAAGCAGAGATGGCACTATTCAAGGTTAGGTGGGAGACGGATGATCCCAAGGAGAGGGAAGAATTTCTCAAGGCTCGTGCTTTCGGCTGGGGCGACGTAAGTTGAGGTATGCAGCTCTATGTGCCTATTCTGACCTTATGTCAGGTTTCTGATGCAGAAAAGGCAGAGCTTGAGCCTCATCTCAAGGCCTGCCTCAATCCAAAGCAGTTGCAATACTTTCCACAAGAAAAATACTACAAGGTTCCATGGAGTCGTGTTCCAGATCTAGTACATGGTCGGAGAGTCTATCTCAGAGCAGGAGCCGCGTATGTGCCAAGTCGGGAGCAGTCAAGCATCGTCTTCCAGCAATTCCAAGCAGATTTGGAAGAGGCAATGGAGGCAAGTGCTTTAGTGCGTGAATTGACTGTATCTCATTTATTTCAGATGACAGCAAGAGCGCTTCCCAGGATGGATGAGGACCGCTTGACACCGATTCTTGATCACTTATCCAAGGGCTTCCTTGCTGGCGTGGCGTCTGAATACTCTGCTCCAGAAAGTGGTGAAAGTGTTACTGCGGATATGATTGATGGACTCGCCAAGAAACACTTTCCGCTCTGTATGCGAGCGCTACACGAGCATTTGCGAAAGGAGAGCCACTTACGCCACCAAGGTCGCCTTCAATACGGACTCTTTCTCAAGGTATTTGGATCCTTCGGTATTTCTCAACTATTAACAATTGCTAGATTGTTGGTCTTTCCATTGAAGAGGCTCTTGCCTTTTGGCGGAAAGCATTCTCAGGAAAGATGTCAGACGAAAAGTTCACCAAGGAACACCTGTATAATATCAAGCATAACTACGGTCTGGTTGGAAAGATGGCAAACTATCCCGCGAGAAGGTAAATAATCCTCGCAGGTCGACTGAGGCTGACCCTTCCTGAGTTGTCAGACGATTCTCACAACATACCCACCGGGGGCAAACGAGTTTCACGGATGCCCATACAGACACTATTCAGAGGACAATCTCAAGACTGCCCTGCAGAGCATGATGGGTATCTCCAGTCACGACATGCAAGACGTTCTCTCTTCTGTGCGGACACAACACTATCACGTCGCCTGCACTCGTGTCTACGAACTGACTCATGGGATCCGAAAGGGGGAAGGACTCGGCGGCGGCGAAACGGTCAACCATCCAAACGAGTATTGCCAGCGATCGCGTGAGCTCGAAAAGTCGAAGAATGCAGCCGCTGCAGACGATGCGATGAAGATTGACTAGATATTTTGGCTAATGTTTTAACATTGTATACTATACCAAGACACGAGTTTCCGACTTGAGAGTGGCATCATTTTACACTTGAACTCGGCGTCGACATTGTCTACAGACGACAAACCTCTCAAATCACCGCCAACACGTGTAAAACTCTGCTAGACGCGTCGGAAAATCCGCGATGTCTGGCGTAGATGACAAACTCGTCAGCCAACGACTTACGACTTTGATTCATCGATTTTTGGACGCGGAGTTGCTGAAGAGTGCGCTTTTCTATGCAGAGAGACTATTTTCGATGGATGGAACGAATCACGACAGTCGGCATTTGCTCTCCAACGTGTTGTTGAAATCGGACCAGCCGCACTCGGCGCTGCATCTAGTGACAAGGCCACAGGACGAGCCCTGCGCCGGCTGCTTGTTCCTTGCTGCAAAGTGCAATGAGAGGCTATTACGGCCCAGAAAGGCAAAGGAGAAGATGACAGAGGCGTTGGAGGTGATGACCGGCATTCCTGAAGGCAGCAAACCTCGGCGTGAGTATCTTTGCTGATCGATGAATCCCGTCTCATGTGCTGAAACTGCTGCATTTTGTGCTATTCTGAATACAGCCGCTCAATCCATGCATCTCGCCCATGACATTCCTGACATCGCAATCGTATATTGCAAAGCTGGCATGTTGGCAGCAAAGGCATCACAAAGACAAGAAGCTATAGACAATTTCTCCCATGCTCTGGCGTTGGAACCCCTGATATGGGACGCCTGGCTAGGCCTATGCACTCTTGGTGAGTATATTTTCACGAAGTAGACAAGCGAGTGTACTCATACTTCTCAAGGTGCTGATATCAAGATTGACGAGGTGCTGAAGATTCCTCCACATCTCCAGAACGTACCGGCCACACTCCCGTCTGATAACGAACCCACTCCACCGCGTCCTTTGACCTCCAATCCCATACTGTCAAGGATTTCAAAGCAGTACGCTATCGCCCCAACACCCCTCACGAAACCGGAAGCGGTCGGGAGCAGTAGAGGATTATTTACACCAGAGCAGAGTGGCGTCGACCAGCTGCCCTACAGGTATCATCTCGGAAACTTGCCAAAGCCAGACACTACGACTATGGGAGCGCCAAGGTCAATTTGGAACGCTAAGAGATCGACCGACCACTAACTTTGCCCAGTGTTCCGCAAACACCACTGGGAGCTCTTCCAGAGCTCTACAAATCAACATCTATACCGCAATCTGGAATTCCGATCCCTCAACTTGGTTTGCCCATCCATTCCAGTGGTCAGTTTGCCGGAACGAGGCGAGGGGCAGCGGCAGTCGATGAAGGCCCTAATAAACGCATCCGTACAGCTACTGGTCGCTCGAACAAAGGGAAGGAGACGGTTGGTATGCTCGAGTTTCTTTTTGAGCTGCACTCACCTATTATAGGCGACGGCCCAGAATTTGGCTCCCCAGTCGGCGACCAGAAGAAGTACAAGGCTTCTGATGAGTAATGGGAAACAAACACAGATAAAGGTGAAGCCGCCGTCTTATCCACGCCTTATCTCGTTCTGAATGCGCGGAAGCACCCGCCGTTGAGCAAAGATAATCGCCGCAAGGCACGTCACAGATCTCGGTCCGTGTCGGACGTGGAAGATACGGCTGGGGATGCACCGTCCCAATCTTCCGGTTCGATAGCCCAGTCTCCGCGTTCTGATTCGACGGAGAACATCCCAGGTGGATCCATCGTCCCACCAGAGACGAAGCAGAGGACAGCGATAGCTGAAAGATATGTGTTCGACCTCATGAAGCACTTTGCCCGGGCACAATTTCATCTCAGCAAGTACGAAAGTCGGACAGCCCTGGATTGCCTGGAACGATTACCTCGTAATCAATATTTGGCACCTAGCGTTCTTATAATGATTGCAAGGGCTCATTACGAACTTGTAGAATACGTTCAGGTATGTGGCGTTGACAAAGGTAGTAGGCATGTGGACTAACCAATCAGTCCGAGAGAGCGTTCAAGGCGGCCCGAAGACTGGATCCATATCGGATATGGGATATGGAATTATATTCGACATTACTATGGCATTTACGACGAAATGCTCAACTCTCCTTTCTTGCACAGGAACTATTGAGTACCAATCCGCGGTCTCCTGAAGCTTGGATAGCCGTAGGGAACTGCTTCTCGCTGCAAAAGGAGCATGCCCAGGCCATGGTGTGCTTCCAACGAGCCTCAGAGCTGGATCCTTACTGTGCATATGCGTACACATTAGGCGGTCACGAGTCGCTTGTGACAGACGATGTCAAGAAAGCGATCGTTCTGTTCGAACAAGCTTTAGGGCACGATCGGCGGCACTACAACGCCTGGTACGCGTTTTTCCGTTGGAGTTGGATCGCCACCGGCGAGCTGATCGTTGTCACATGCTAACCTCGTTGATTTGTTAGGTACGGACTCGGGAGCTGCTACCTGAAAATGGGGCGACTGGCTCTGGCACAGTACCACTTTGAGCGAGCGGTAGAGATTCACCCGGCGAATGCGGTGTTGCTTGCATGTTTAGGCATGGTACGTACGAGATACGCGTGGGACAAACGAGCATCGAGGCTTAAGGGCTCGCCGGGCCTCATTTCATTCAGGTTCACGAACGGCAAGGGCGTGTGGAGGAGGCATTGTCGCTCTTCAATGTGGCCCTCGAGGCGAGTCCCAATAACCCATTGGTGCGGTACAGACGAGCAAAGATTATGGTGCAGCGAGAAAACTTTGAGGTGAGTTACCCGCGGCGGCGGATAAACGTGGCTGACGACGGACTCACGCTAAATGTCCCAATTATTCATTTGTCGAATCAGGCGGCCGAAGAGGACCTCGTGCGACTGTGCGATCTTTCGCCGAGCGAACCTAATGTGGTCCTATTGCTCGGAAAAGTGTACCATCTCCAAGGCAAGACGACAGAGGCCACACGGATACTTGCGACAGCTCGGGATCTTGATCCTCGGAATGCGCCCAGGATTGCAAAGCTTGTGGACGAAGCCGCACGGAGTCGGAATGCCGCCGCTGCTGTTGGGGGACCGTCGCTGTCGTCGACGGGCGCGGGGGAGACGAGCATTGATGGACCGAGCGAGAGTGTGGTGGATGTGAGCATGGAGGGCTGAGAAAAATGATGATTGTCGGAGAAGGAGCAGGGCCATCGGGCGTGAATCTGAGACTGGGCGTGCGCGATAAGAGGTAATACAAGTTCCCTATGGCGGAATAGAATTCGCCATTTGACACCAAAGGGGAGCACAGGCTCGGTGACTAGGGCCGGTCTTCTGCTATAAGCCCCCCCGGTCGAAAAGTTTGTCCCATCCAAGTCAGACCCGACCTCGACCCAAGTTTACTGCCAGACCGCCATGCGCGTCTAAGTCGCCTGCAAAGACAGAATCTACGCACTTGTACCTCTCGTGTGCATCGTTGAGCACCCCCAAGATAATGGTACGCAAAGACAAGATCGCCTCCTCCAACAATCTCTTTGAGCCCTTTGTGGTCGACCGCATACGAATCTGATCCCAGTCATCTCTCTGGTGCGTCTCTGATTTATCTCGAATTTTCCCGCCACACACGAGGACCGCGCTCTCTTGAATCGCGCTTTATTCAGAAGTCGCAAGACTGCAGCAGCCCAGCTGAGGGTTCGGCGCCTTGCTAGCTCTGATTACAATCCGATTATATTTCAGCGTCTCATATCCAGACTCGTTGCTCACTCTCCCCTCCTTCTGTAGCCATCCCGCCTCCGTCAGCTCCGGTCACTCGATCCCCCACGCACATCAATTATCGTCAACAACAAGCTGCACTCGATCAGATTTCGTTCCCTCTGCACCAACTGCATTTTCTCAGAATTTCTCCACGCTGACTGAGATAACGCCGTCCTCGTCTCCAAACACGTCATTCGATAACCCCTCCAGACAACCAATCCTCGACAAATCTCCTACTACAATGCTTCAGTCTATCGACACAACCGCCTGGCTCACCTCTGTCTCGCGGCGGAAGCTCCAGCAAGCTGCTGGTTCGCTTGACCGCTCGCGAGACGCGGACAAACTGTTGCGCAAGGTGTTGCTGCGAAATTCGATAACCCGCGGGGACCTCCCATTCGCAGAAGCTCTGCCATCACAGTCGTCACCCCCTTCCCCGACCCTCGCGTCGCCACAGCAGCCGCCTTTGCCACTTGCATCTACCGCCAGCCCTGTCGTCCCTCGAACAGACGAAGACGACTTTGTGTTCCCAGACGCAACGTCTTTGACGGCGTCGCGGGTATACAGTTCTGAAGACGCTGACGCAGAGGCAAAATGGCTCGATTCGCTTCTCGAAGACTTGAGCGACGATGAGTACGACGATACCACCAAAGCTGGCGCTTCTCACAAGATGTACGGGGAAGAAGAAGAGGGTGAAGATGACCTCGATCTCGATTGGTTACTCTCAAATACATTCGATGAGCCCCAGCCCATCTCTGTGCCAGCTCCCCTTCCGCCGCGAGAGCCCATTGTCCTCGAGGACCTACGACCGTTCCACTATCCATTGCCAGAAGACGACGACGACGATCTGTCGACTGCTCCTGGGATGGAGGAAGATGTCGAGGGCGAATCTGAAGCCGATTCTGTAGAATGGCCACTCACTCCCGGGGCCTATCGATCCATTACCTCTATTTTGGGCCGCTCAACGTCGAGCTCTAATCTGAATCAGCTCGTTGCATCCGCTGGTCGGGACGACAACGCTGGTCTCCCGTCGATAACAGAAGGCGCTGTTTATGATAACTCGGCTCGTCCTGCTATCCATGTCGTCGAAGAGACACCACTGTATCGCTACAGCCCCGCTCCTCGAGAGCACGCCCTCTCCGCCTCGACTACACCCGCTCTTGGGCCCTCGTGCTAACAGAGCCTCTGTCGCACCACACGCTTCCTCCACACCCCCCAGCAACTCGGTAGGAATTCCCACTTTAGCAGTTTCCGGTTTTGTCTCCAACATACCACCTATGGCTCCAACTTATACAGCATGCGTCTTCCACTCTCTCTCTCGACTCGTCACCTGTGGCATATCATTCGATCATCGACCCAGTGCGGCTCGACTCCCCTATTCTACATCCACCCATCAAACCGTCCTTGTCACATAGAGTCCCCCTTCCGCTGCCCGTGACCCGTCGTCCCAGTCTTTGTTATCCGAGCACTTGTCGCGCTGCTTCATTTTCTCCGGTGTTTCAGATCTGTTCAACTATTCTCACCCAATTGCTTCCATGTGATCTTACGTTGTACACTAGCTCAGCTCTCACGACGGGCTCCCTGTGTGGCTGACTGTCTGCAAAAGGCTTTGCAAAAAGCGTGAATATACGTTTCACTCATCGACACGAAGGCCCCCATTGTTTGAACCTTTGTCTTTTGTGATTATAGACGACGTCTAACCGCTACAGTGAACAACCTCATTAATGACCGTGTTCATCCCTTTCTGGCTTTTGTTCTGTTCGATGGTCATGTGTTAGCGATCACAACTCGTGGACTAGAATGAGGCAAAGCGGAGAAATGAGGCGGACGCCACCCGAGCAACACGGGAACGAGAGTGCCAAAAAGTTTATAGGGTGGTATGGAGCCCGATGAGCTCCAACAGGGATGGAGATGTGAGAGTAAAAGGTGGGGGAGTAATTCAACGACGATTGAGAGAACACGAAATCGGTTACGTACCAGGTGCGACAGCGATGGCGTCGTCGATGCGGAGTAAGCTGACAGCTGCCTCGTATGCGCTCTTGAGACTCTTGACTTTGCTCATCGTCGGCTCGAGGATACCCGCAGAGACATTGTCGACAATCTCGCCGTTGAGCAAGTCTAGCCCGTAGCGCATCCCTGCTTTGCGTCGGTCTCCCTTTGGCGCCGTCTGCGAGGCGTAGTGGCACGCGCGCAGCTTTCCGACCAGCTCGGTTGAATCCTTGGCTGCGTTGACCGCCAACGTTCGAGGGATGACCAAGAGCGCGTTGGCAAATTCGGCAATGGCGAGTTGTTCGCGGGAACCCTACACTGCCCTTGTTAGCCTAGTCCTCTAATGTAAAGTTATAGAAACTTGCCAAACTCGTTGCAAAGTTTTCCAAGTAGACGTTGAGTGCGGTTTCGACGGCTCCTCCACCGGGAACGACAGAGCCGCTCTCCAGTGTACGCTTGATGATGGAGAGCGAGTCGTGGAGAGCGCGTTCCATCTCATCAAGCATGTAATCATTCGCTCCTCGGAGAATGATGGATGACGAACTGACAGACTTGGTGCCCTTGATGAGAATGAGTTCGTCGTCAGAGATACGCTCCTGGACGACTTCCTCTGCTGTGCCCAAATTGCTCGCTTCAAAAGTCTCCTCACCATCAAGGTTTGCCAGACTGGAGACGAGAGTGCCTCCAGTCGCTTTTGCAATACGGCGTAGGTCCTCTTTGCGACATCTACGCACGGCCATGGCGCCCGCCTCGACAAACTCTTTCAGACAGAGATCATCGATCCCTCGGGCTGTCAAGACGACATTGGCACCGGCAGCGAGAATCTTGCGAACGCGCTCGAGGACAATCTCCGACTCTCTACACCCGTGCGTCAGACGCGTTTCGTTGACCGAATGGCCAAAATGCGTACCGTCTTCTCATTCCTTCTAGCTGTTCTGGATCGTCTGCTTGTAATTGAATCCCCAGATGCATGCGTTGTTTACGGAAATCGATATCGACGCAGGCAATCTTTGCATTTTGGATGCGCGTCTTCATCGCTGAAAAGGATAAGGAAAGAATCATATTGATGATATAGTCTTACCTTGACTTGCAACAGTGCAATTGAGCGCGTATCCCTTGACATAGATGGACTCTCGGGCACTCTTGCCATGAGCTTTTAGTACATTGACAGCCTTGACCGGATATCGAATGTCACCACGCTGGGTGATCGTTTTGACTGCAAGCATGGCATCTACGGCCATGGGAGCAAAAAAGTCGTCGTCGCTGAATGCCACTCATCAGTCGTTGTGGTAACAAACGTGACAAACGTTCATACCTTCCGAGAATCTTGCTCGACATGCTCGTCTTTGCGACGTTGATAAGTGTATCGCGACCCAACGCGTCGACCTTGTGGCTCAATTGCTCCATCATGAATTTGCACGCCTCTTTGCAGGCGAGGCGGTAGCCGGTGATGATTGTCGTTGGATGAATTTTCATCTTGACGAGGTCGTTTGCTCTTCTCAGTAGCTCTGCGGCAATGATGACGACCGATGTAGTGCCATCGCCGACTTCCTTGTCTTGTTTCTGAGCAAGATCTACAAATATCCTCCCAGCAGGGTGCTCGACGTGTAGTAAGCTTAGAATAGTAGCACCATCGTTTGATATGGTGACTTCCTGTAAGCAAAAGAAGGATCAGCGGCTGAGATGGTGCATAGTAAAGACATACGCCGATATTGTCCACGAGCATCTTGTCCAATCCAAGAGGTCCCAGAGAACTCTTTACAATGTTGGAGATTGCCAGGGCTGCCGTGACTGTGGTATGCCGCAGCGTGTGTGAGCGAGCGTGTACTAGACGCGTATAAACTGACCATTCTGATCGCGAATTTCTTGTCCCGAGACACGATCTCCACCAAGGAATACGCCAGCTCGAGGGTCACGCTGGAACATGGCTGACGAGGCGCAGTCCAAAATCTTTGACAGTGACCACGACACCAGCAAATCATGAACAGGACTTATTCTAATCATCTCTTACTTTTAGGAAATCAGTGAGGATAAAGATTTGCATCTTGTCCCCGCAATTACATATCGTCGAGACATTGTCACCCGTCTCGGGTTTGTCACGCACTTTGTTCTCCTCCATGTCTGCTGGTTCAGTCATCTGGAAGCCCTCTGCGCCAGATCTTCCACCTCCTCGTCTCCAGTTTCGTTCTACAGACAATGTCGTCTTTCACGTCCACGATTCACTCCTTTTGCCACAGAGTCTCGCACTCTCTGTTCTTTTGGGCGACTTTAGCATTGATCAAGCTGCCTCGACCGTCTTACCACTCAACATGTCTTCCGACGCCCTCAAGCTCATTCTGCACTTTGTGTACAATGTTGAAAAGGAAACCTGGACTGGGAAACATGGTGTTACTCTCCAGACCGTTCACGATGCAGTTCTTGGATGTCAGCAGTATATGATGCACACTGTCGCTGCCGCGCTCGAAGCACCTCTGAGGTATGAAAGTCCGGATCGGGACTAAAATTCTGACCCTTGAGGGTCCAATAGGGCCAACATGAATTCGGATCCTCTGCTCGCTGCCGTGACCGCACACTTCCCGATCATCTCCAATCCGTCCTTGTGCTCCGACGCGCTCCACTTGGCCTCCAATTCGCCGGCGACTTTTGCAGCGAGTAATGCGTCCCGTCGTGCACTTCTCCCTCCCTCGGCGGTCGACCTATTGGTGAGTAGGTTTGCTTCGCCGGCATGCTAAAACGGTAATTGATCGAACCAAACACAACAGTACCAGTACCGGGACAGACTCGAGGAGGTCATGCGGCGTCAGGATACGGCTCGAGCCGCCAGTATACTTGCCGGATTCAAGATTGATGATCTAGGGTGGGTCGAGTCTGGCGACGACGATGTTCCCCATTGGAAGAGCTGTCGGCATTGGCCGGGGACGGCAACTTTGTTGCAGGAAAAGCTCCACGAACTCATGCTGAACATTTTGCGCGGGGTGCGATCCCCCCGCCAGGTCGAGCTGACCGACCTTGGCTACGGGTGCGTGCGGTGTCTCCCCCCCCCTTGGACTTGTGGAGCGCTCTCATATTCCTTATAGAGTCCGTACGAGTTGCAAAAGTTGCCGGGGGCTTCTGAATCAGAATGTACAGAGGCTGGGAACCGAGCTTTCGACGGTGCTTTCAACGTCATGCAATGGGGTCCCGACCAGGGGGATCTGGGGAGTATAACAGTTGAATATTGTTATTAAGCATTACCGTGTAAATTGAATGCCGCTCTCGCCGCTTTCGACCGTTGGGCCAAGGGTTTTTGTTGTTTTCAGTTGTGTGGCCTTTGCTCCACTTTGATTCTTGGACACTGACCACGACCGTTGCGACGCGCCAAAGGGCCGCATATAAATCGCCACAAATTGCTCACAATCTCGGTACAACCTGGCTCGATAGCAGTACGCGTCTCCGAGTTGTCCTTGATGAGCAGGCCGAGCTACTTGCGGGGCCGACAAGAAGTGACCGTCCCCGAGCCGCCGTCTATCGCTGCTCGTCGACGAAACTCGAATGCAGCCGTATTACAGCTCCAGCCGGGGATTGTGGATCCAAAAGCGCGATCCTTGGGCGCGTACACGCAGACGCCGTCACCGAGCCATGTTAGAAGTAACGATTACTTTCGGCACGCTCATGGTAGTATCCCAGCTACAAGCGCTACAAGTCCGCATGCACTTGCTAATCCCACTCCTACGACCCAGAGGCATCGACTGTACGGGCACCAGCAGCCACCTACGCCCATCAGCCAGCATATCCCTGCCTGGCAAATGCTTGAAGAACAGCGGCCCAGAGGAGGTTCGATATCTGGCTCGAGCACAGGAGGAGGAGGAGATGCGGCGGACGATCCTCTGAACATACTCGACACGCTTCCAATCCAAAACTTGCGGCTCTCGGGGAATGCGCCAGCGTCGGATTCGAGGTGCGGCTCGCTGCGACGGCCAGCCGCCGGAGGTCTGGGTGGTGGGGCGGGCGGTTTAGACGATCAACATGGCCGGAGAACAACATGGCCCGTCGATGTTGTACTCAATCCGAGCGCGAGTGGAATCGCCAGCAGACGAAACGCGACCGGAACTTTGCTGGGTGGCACCGCTGGTGGAGGCTCCATGACGGCCGGTGGAACTGCTGGTGGTGGAGAACAAATACGAACATCAACAGTCAAGCATCGCACCGTTGAGCCGGAGTCGACCGTTAGGCGTTGAGAGCCCACTCCTCCCAGGACTAGGGCGCACCCGCCTCACTCGCCGTCTCAGCTCATCCAGTCTATGATTTTATTGGCCATTCCAGCGTCGAGGCTACGCTTTCAAACACTTCCTCGTGAGTAACAATCTGTCGAGCCAACCTCGCCCCCGCAACTCTAAAGTCTTGGCTAGCCGTTGCATCTCCACCCTTTGATTATGGCGCTTCACACTCTCCTCCCTGCAAGTGTATTCCTACCTGCATCGCACGCATTCGGTTTTCTTAACAACATTCACCGCCGCTCCTTTTCTTCTTATTCCTTGGGCTCATGGTTTTGCTCTCCTTTCTCTGGGCAGTTACGGACTTGCAAAGGTGCTTTTGCACGCCGTAACTTTTTCTCTCCGTCACATATCCATCTCATCTTATCGGGCTGTATCGTCTCATCTCCCGCCTATCTCCCACACCCATCACACACCCACCACCACCACTGGGCCTGGCTTATCATCGCATCCACCGCCGACCAATATGATCGTCCCGCCATCAGTCTGTTTATCGACTTATCGCGTATAGTGTGTCTCTGTTCCAGCATTCACTCCTCCCCCTCGCATGCGGTGCTTATTATTCCACACTTTCAGAAGAATTGTATACGTCCTTGTCTGCAATCGAACCTAGCGAGGCGGCCCAAATGCCGCCGCCAAAAAGGCATTCTACCCCATCCATTCAAAAGTCGTCTTCGTCCGAGTTGAGGCCCTCAATCTCATCCAGTGCCGCCTGCGATTCTTCTTGGAGCTTGTCGAGACCAGTAAGTTGCTCCAGGAAGCCCTCTTCGTTGAACACTCGGAGAAGGAGTGGGAAGCCCTGAGCCTCGTACGCCTGAATGACCTGCGTGGAAGGAACCTCGGGTCAATCAAAGTGTGGAGTGGAGTGGGAGACTGGCAAAAAAGAAGGAAAAAAAAACTGTGCTCCCACCTTTTCGCTACAACCGGTGCATCGTTCAAATTGCTGTCCTGTCACCAAAATGTTTCTAAACTGGCCTAGGTAACCACGAATCTGATGGGGGACCAAACCGAGGATGCTCGTTCCCTCGCCCTCATCCTCGCCAGGAACGCGTTGTGGATTGTTGGGCGGCGCCGGTGCGTGGAGTCTAAAAAAAATATTGAATAGCGCAGGAATCGAATCCGCGGCGTCGTCAGCGCTTTCCTCGCCTGTAGGGTGTGTACGAGATAGGTGGTGGTGGTGGCGCCGTCTCGGAGAGCCGGACAAACCGAGACTAGGCGGGAATAGGTGGAACTCACCCATCTGGATGTTGGAGCATCGATACCAGGAGCTCCACGCATGTCGAAGAGGCGATGGATGCCAGGCCTGGTCGAGTCACTGTACACATTTGGTCGAGGGTGCGGTCGGTCAGGGACTGGATCAGAGGGCGAGGCGCCGTCGTCAGAAGGACAGAATTTTCCAAGCAAGAGGGGAAAAGAAAAATCACGCACATCTGTAGGAGCGACGACATCGTTACAATAGTAGCAGCCAAGCTTGACGCCGGCATGACCCGCCGGGTACGAAGTGGCGCGCGCGCCATGCCGCATCACGACAAATGTATCAAAGCCCAGCGCCGCATTCATTACGATCTGCTCCACCCATTTCAGTTTGATCACATTCCACAGAACCCGCACGCTCCATGCAGCGCGGTATGGACGCACCTTGTTCTTCGAGGCGGCCACGATTGACGGGAGCCATCTGCTCTCTCTAGAATCCATGAGCAAAAAGACGACGTCGTGTTCGTCGATCAGTCTTTCAAGCTGCGCAACGTCCCTCTTCGTCTGCTCCAACGATTCTTTGGCTATCGGGTGTCCGGGCATCGGAATGAACATCGAATAGCCATTTGCATCGATCCCTGGGTAAATCTTCTTCAGCCTTTCGGCAGCACACTCGGCTTTGGGCCGGCCACCGTCCAGACAGTCTTCAAACTCGAACAAGGGTTGCCTGACGGGGTTCGAAAACGAGACTTTGGACGAATCGACGAGTGAAATCTTCTTGACGCCCCACGCCATGAGCGTTCGCGCGACGTAGCAACCCAATGTGCCCGCTCCCAGCAACAGACATTTCGTGTCCGCGACCCTTTCGAGGTCGAGAGCAGGTAGGATACGCCATCTCATCAACTTCAAGTTTAATCCCAGCGCCTGGTCGGCGAGTTGTAGTGGGTCCATCGAGGAGCCCAAGTCGGCCATGCGAGGGGAAAGCTTGCCTTGGGCATTGCGTTCCCAACCGACTGCGGATGGACGTGTACCGGAGAGTGTCTTCTCGTTGGCGCAAATGGTTGCCCAGCGTGATCTCCAGTGTCCGGCTTCTGGGATGACTGTATCCCTCCAGCAGAGAACTTGATGTTTGCGGGCGTTGGGTTGTGTATGGAACAGGTACGCCAATATATTCAATAAAGGCCACCCGGGGGATTGAGGATCAGACGATGGGTCGAGAAAGGCAACCGTTCTCTTTTGCGGAGTCAGCCAAAGCTCCGTGTGTGTATATCGTTATGCTCACAGATTGCTCTGGTGTGTCTTTGAAAAAGGTGGCATATTGTGTAATCGGCGCAGTCTCGAGTTTCCCACCAATCTCCCGAATGAGAAAGGCTTGTGGGTGTGTTGGGACGACTGCAGCAATGTCTTCGAGCTGTATGCATTCAGTAAGTATGCACTAGAATGTAGATGTAACCACCTTTTGAGAACCGAGGACGCTTTCTGCAGAGACTAGTCCCTGGCCCTCTGCCACCCAAGGGTCTGCAGGGACAAAGGCCGGAAAGGCGAACCAGTAGAAGAACTTGTACTTTTTGAGATCGGCAAACGTAATCAGAAGGAAACTTGACAATTGTGGACTGTCGGTATCAAACGAAGCCCAGATCTAGTATATATCTCTCAGCGTCTGTGCTCACTCGCTGCATCGATTGCGCATACTTTGTCAGCGATTTGGGCGAATAGTGCCTTTTTATTCGCGTCTTTAAACTCTTCAATCGTGTTAAAGTTGAATACGGTTCCAGATGCAACGGCGACGTTTGCTGCTGGTCTATGCCGCTACACTCAGCATACCCAAAGGCGCCGTGGAAGGAGAGCGCGTACGTGAATGTATCCTTTGAGAATCCATCGCCAGACGCGTTGAGAGTGCATCCTAATGCGATATCCTTGCCCGTCTCGCGGTCGACGATTGTCCGGCCGGCGCCATAGGTGGCGTCTAGGCTAATCGAGTCCTTTGAGAGTTTAAGAACATCAATCTTGAGCTTTGAGAGCTGATGCCACAGCTGCGGAGAGACTTGGGATGTAAACGGCGTAAATTGCAAGGTGGCCATGGTTGCCAAACTACGTGTGGACCACACCTTTGACCCCGCCCTCGTCCCAAATTCTTGTAAAAAAAAGGGGCTCAGCAGCGCCGACGCTTATTTGGCAGTTTACGCCGCTTCTTCCAATGCAAACGGCCGTGAGATAGCGGCCTTGTATCCAGCTGCCATAGGCCTTTGGCGTCTTCCGAGGTTCTCGCATCATTCCAGAGTCCATTATAATTCATGCTCCTTGCTCCCGACGACAACTGCAAATAACCAGGATCAACGCGTCACAAAACTTGCAATGCCCGCGGGCCCTTCGCCAGCCCCGGTGCTCATGAACCTTCCAGAGGGGGTGACAGTCGACCAGCTGCTCGTATGGACACGAACCCATCTCGAAGGTATGTAACACGATACTTCCTTGTAGTTTGGCTGCTGAAATCATTTATGTATTCAGGCGAACGGGTCAGAATGCTCCCCACCGTTGATATCGACATAGTCAACTCAGACTTTGATAGCTACTCCTCGCGACGATTGTCTTTATGGTGTATGATGTTATATTGACCTTGTAGGATGCGTTTCCTGTGCCCATCCTGTCTCTCTAATCATCCCCAGTCCGGAAGAGCTCGAATTCATCTGGGCATTCGATTCCTGGAGCGTATCCAAGACTCTCTTCATCATTGTGAGCATTTCTCAACTCACCACCACAAGATCACCTTATCTTCATGCAGAACCGGTACTTCCCCATTGTGCACTCTATCATCCGGTTTTGGGTCTATGCACACGAGCGAGACGAACGACTTTCGGCCTTGGTCAGTGCTTCTCCGTGCCATGTGTCCACACCTTCTGACGTCTGCTTCCGAATTAGGCGTAAGTATTCAAATGACTGCAACCCTCAATGTTCTGAAAACACCCGCTTATTAGATGCGGCCCTATTCTCGATATCGCAGCCTACGGATCCGTGGTAAGTCTGAGACGCGATGATGGTTCCTCTTGCGACAATACTCATGTCTTTATTTAGATCAGCGTTGCCGTGATCGAAGGTGGGCGTTGCCTGCGGCTTTCTGTGGGTTTCTTACTCACGGTTCGTAGTCGTCCTCATGCTACGACTCTGGGCCATGTATGCGCGTAATAAGCTATTCGGTGCCTTCCTCGGCTTCGTCTTCCTCACTGGCATCGCAACTGCATTGGCCATTCGGAAAGTTCAGCCACCGGTTCGTTTCACACCACCCGGCCCGTGTGTGTCCTAATTTCTGTTTCGCAGGACGATTTCAAACTGGTTCGCGAAGGTGAGCTGTGACAAAAAACCCGTGTTCACCGGGCATCATTTGCTAAAACTTTGGGCAGCGCCACAATCGCTTACCATCTGCAAACGTTCTTCACCAAGCGAGCTGTTCTTCCTATATGCCATCATTCTCGTCGTAGAGACGATGATCTTTACACTTCTACTGTGGAAGGTTTGGCAACTATCAGCCGTCGGTGTCGCACCAATTCTTCGGACCATGCTCAAACAGTAAGCTCACATAGTATCCTCCCAGATGTATCTCACTCTTTTCAGTGGTACACAGTACTATCTGGTCGTCTTTGGTTTGTCTTTGTAACGAGGATCATGATTGCTCCTTACCCATCATACAGTTGCACTATTCTTCCAAGTTCTAGGGACAATTCTACAACCAGTGCGTCTAATTCTTCCTCGTACAAACCTTTCTCATCTACTTTTAGCTCTGGCAACCCATGGCCGATTCCTTGTATGAGACATCTTTGTCTCCGGCTCTCAATGCTGACGATAAGCAGGCTGGTCGTGTCGGTGGCTTCTGTCGCATGTAGTCGTCTTGTCCTATCCCTCCGTGGAATGTACTCGACACCTCAAGAAGTAACTACCATACAGGATTTTCAAGCCAACCCTCGTGCGTCGATCATCGCATTCATTAAGACCTGTGATTCTGATCCGTTCTCAGCCGATCCAACGAGTCGAACCGTGCGCTTCTCAACCTTGAGATCAATATCCGGATTCAAGTTTCGAGATTCGACAAGCTTAATGACTGACACGACAACGACGGCCGACCATGAGCGCAATGCTATCCCATTGCGTCGGTATCGAGATTCAGTACAACCGCCGATTGAAGAGGAAGACGACGACTGGAATGCCGAGCCGCAGCGACATCCGTTTGCCCACGATAGGACGGCTGTCGACTCGGAGACGGATCTCCACCCACAAGGACGGACTTGGAATGCACTTTAATTCACTTCCCTCAATCATTCCTCTCTCGTAGAACAACAAAATTAGAATCTGGTCCAGTCTTTCTGATGTTCACGTATCTTACTTGGTCTCACCATGGTCACTGTATCCATCACGTTTATTCTTGGTAGCGATAGATGCATATTGCATACCAAACCAATTACAGTTCATCCTTTGCTGGACGCGACTCTGAGTCTTTCCATGGCACGCCCATTGAGTATGCCACGAAGCTCCATTTATCGGCCGCTTCTTGTATTCTAGGTGGTATTGTAAGCACATTGAAATTCCAATTCATAACGCTGGTGCTCACATCTTCTCAGTAGACTTTCCAGCCCCATGTCCAGCAGAAGTCTCGATACGGACCAGGAGTGGGTGAGGGTTTTTGGACAGTGTGTGCTGCAAAGTTGCTGCATGTTTGAATGTATGCAGAGGTACGACGCGATCATCATCTGGCTCAAGAGTTAGCGTCGGGAGTCATGAGTTTAGCGAGCAGCTTACGGTCCGCAGTCATGAGCAACGTCGGTGGAAACTCTTGATCCGGGACATTGTGCAGCGGCGAGATTGGGTAAATGTAGTCAAATTCGTCTGGCTTGTGCGGGTTACCATAGTCCGCCGTCCACGCTTCTCCAATCGTAAAGTCTGCAAACTTGAATAAAAGTCAGAAAAGTCAACAAAGAGAGAGAAGCGAGTACCTTGAGCATGTCGAGCACACCGACTTCTGCGACGGCTGCGCCAAATGTACCTGGAGGTGCTCTGTTCAAGCATGCTGCGACGAGGAGTCCACCGTTTGATGCGCCGTTGATTGCTATTTTGCCCGGTGCGGCCCAGCCAGTCTTTGTAAGATGCTCTCTGCCAACCCGTCAGCAGGTGCTGTATCGAACCACTAGAACAAAAACGTACGCGACCGCAATAAAGTCGTCAAACACATTGTGCTTGCGTTCTTTCGTTCCAGCTAGATGCCACTCTTCGCCAAATTCTGCCCCACCTCGGATATTTGCTATGACGGAGATCATGCCGTAGGACTTGATTGTCGTGAGCTTTGTGGCCGAGAATGAAGGCGTGATTGAATACGAGAAGCCGCCGTAACCGTAGAGGATCGCGGGTGCTGTTCCATCCTTCTCGACGCCTTTTGGTCTGACGATGAACATGGGAATACGAGTGCCGTCTTTCGAGGTGCACCATTCCTGCAAATTGTTAGTATGTAGAAAGAGAAGCAAGATTCAATGCACCTGGTGAGCAATAAAGTCGTCGGCTTTGATTCCTTTGACCTGGGTGTCTCTGAATAGTTGGAGACCTTTCTGGTCTTGGGCCTTGAAATCATAATGGTAGATAGTTCCTGGAGTTGTGAACCCTGTCGCCGTGACAAAGAACCAGGACTCATTTTCTTTTGCAGACACGCCGATGGATCCAACAAAGTTCGGAAGCAGTCGTTGTAGCCGTTCACCTGATTTCGAATAAAGATAGAGCTCGTCTTGTACCTAATCCAGGGGTGAGTGGGGTATATATAGAAGGTAAATCAGACGGACGTTTCGTGTATAGGTAACAATAAAATGATCCCCAGCTATAACGGCCGACTCGATATTCGCCTCGGGATCCTCGGGGATCAAATCCACGAAAGTCGGCTTACTGTCTGCAATATTCACCGAGACGACCTTGTCACGCGGTGCATCCTTTGTTGTTTGCAGATAAAACTTGGTGCCGTCGTTTCCGAGGCTATAACAGGTGAGCAATGAGAGACGTAGTCAACTTCTCTGCTCACATTGTGAAGTCTGCCTCAAAGTCGTCGACGAGCTTGATCCACTTGATATCGGGACCAATATCATTCTGCGTTAGATCGGCAATCCATAATTTGTGTTGCTTTGCGGAGGTTAGTACAATGACAAAAGACAGGATTCGGTACGTACTCGAGCAGTGTCCTTGGAAATGTAGAGTGCGAGATATTTGCCGTCGTCAGACTTGGTGACCTGCGTACCGAAAAGCCACTCGGGATTTTCATCATCCTTCCAGACGAGGATATCCTCGGCTGGAAATAAGGTTGATACTTCGCCATAACTTTTACTAACGCGGAATCTTACCCTGTGGCGTCCCCAGGCGGTGATAGCATATCATTGCATTGAGATCCTTATTTGTTTCAGTACCTGCTTTCCCAGAATTAAGCTCTCCGTGAGATTCCCTGTCCGGGAAGCGCTAAAGAAAGAGGTCAGGAGAGGGAAAAGAGATTCGGATACCCACTTGATAGAAGAAGCCCTTATTATCATACGTCCACTCGATTGAAGAGAACTTGACGTAGCGAAGTATATCACTGGCTTGGTGGTCCGGTCGGTCATCTCCCTCTTGCCTGAATGGTTCCGTTGTTTTCCGCACGTAGATGGTAAACGAATCCGAACCAGCCACAGATATGCCGTATGCAAAGTATTTTCCGTCGGGTGAGAACGCCGTCACCGCAAACGCCGAAGTGCCATCCTTGGACAAGAGGTTGGGCTGCAAAGGGCATCAGAATCTCATGATAATAGGATATGTACTAACGTCAAAGAAAACTTCTCCTCCTGGGCCATCGTCCTTTTGAGAGAAGTCGGGCAGACGTTCGTCCTTTGATCGGTACAACACGCTCTGAGCTTGTAGACCGGTGTTATAGTACCAGTACCAGCGCTTATCACCCTTGAAAGCAGGTGGTCCGAACTACGTACTGGTCAGTGTCTGGTCATCTGGGTCACATGCACGCGCGGCTGACCCTAGGAAAGTTGATGTTTTGCATCAAAATATCTTTGAGTTTGCTCCGCTCAGGAATCCTATCCAGATACTCATTCGTCATCGCAACTTGATCTGCATTCCGGTCAGATTGCACCAACAAGCGCCAAATCCCAAACAGCATACCGTTGATCCAGGTTCGCTGTTCGTCATTGGGGGTTTCTAACCAAACGTATGGATCATGAACCTTGACCTCTCCGTGCTTTGCACTCTTGTACACATCAACATGGTCATCGCGCCTGGCTGGCGGGTAGAGTCCTGGCTTCCAGGGCGTCGGAGATGGTTTTCCGGAAGACATAAATCGATATAGAGGAGGGTTCCAAGGTTTGCAGAGGATGGGCGTCCAGGAGAGAAACTTGCAGAGATGGCGGACTCCAAGCATTGTGGACTACTCATCTCGGATGCCGCCTTGTTGGCGGGCTCGGCGCTCAGCCCGTTATGCTGCCATTGTGACACCAAATAACGTGATGATGGCATACTAGAGACAACCAGCCGGGATATCTTGTCGCTCGGGGACTTGTGATCACAATCTGCAGACAAATTTCACCAACATCGGCCACATTCTTTCGGTTTCCTTTGCAGAAGACGCATATTAGTGCTTTTTTTGGATTTGTCAGCCTCTATTCATGCGGCAGCACCCTAAGGCAATTTGCCCATTTACTCCAGTTTGAACAAGCGCCATCAATCTGAGGATTGTTCTTCGTTTAGGTCACGATGGCCACCATACTCTATAGTTGTTTGCAAAGTCAAGATCAAGGCGGTTGTGCGCTAGAGCATAGCAACGGTCGGAGCTATCGATCCTCATATCCGCCCTCATTACAACGGAAAGTCCACTCTTATTAGGCCCCTACACAGCTACACCCTGGGTCCAAGTATCTCTCCCGTCCGACCCGAATGGCCTCGTTAAACTTTGCGTCCTCGCAAGACGTCCCGGACGTATCGTCACCGTATGTTCTCTTCGATAATTTCATAATCTTTGACTAAATCTCATAGAACGCCGCTTGCTTCATGTCAACCTGCCGTGGCAAACTTTATTGGAGGCAAACCCCCCTATATCCTTCGAATCGTAAGCGGCAAGTATGTCAGTTTTAACACCTATTTTAGTCTAATCATATCTCAGCAAATGGCACGGTTGTTCTGCATCAATACCAGAACCTCTCCTCCAGCCCCTACCAATGGACCGTAGAAGAGCAACCAAATACAGAGGTCCGTCTCAATATCACGGATTCTCAGGGTGCCACCACTCTGTCTAGTAAGGCTCCTTAGTCCTATTAACTATCATTCACATCCACAAGGCGGGTACTATACTGTCCGGGCAAGCAACGAGACGAGCTGTCTAGCCAAAGGAGATGAGGGGGGCCCGGAGACCCGTAATATATTCCTAGGCTCAGTGAGGGCCCAAACTATCTTCATAGCGGCGTGGGTTTGCTTCGGCGCGCTGGTCCTGATATTCACGACCTGGTGGTGCATCCGCTCTCGTCGCATATCAAAACGTACAGCTTCGGACAATGAGAGTGTATATGCTGGATTTCTCGACAATACACCGGATAGGATCGAGGGTAGAAGGAGCCTCGAATCAATACGAGGGGCTAGGGGGTTTGCGTATTATTGCCGTTCCCTCTTGTCTCGCGGGTCATCAACAGCACGAAGAAGCGTTCTCAGAACACCAGGTCCTCCTCCTGGCTCGCCACCAACCACAATCTACAGCATGCCGCCGCCAGACTACGAATCGCTCTCCCCTATTGCTGTAGTTCCACCGGCATTCGAAGGTATCCCTCGCGACATAGAGAAACTATAGCCAAGCGTCGTTTCCACACAATATCTTATTGGTATCTTTATTGATTATAGTCTATTCCTTGCTGACCGGTTGACCTCAACGGATGCGGGGAGGGGTTGTCTCGAGATATAAATCCGTGACACTGCACAAAATATGATCAAGGATCTCCGTTGACCAATCCGTTTGTGATCCGGGATAACCGATAGTTGCTGCTCCTCAGTGGTTCACATGTATCCTACTCATTCGTGTCCCTTTCCTAGTCATTGCGGCTAAGCCTTTTAGATCACTCTCTTAGTGTCTATCGAGAGACTGCCATAATGTCAAACGGAACTTGTGAGACTTTTGTTGTGCTGAACTCATCCCACGGTCGACCACTCGGATGGCAACCGTCATCGGAGAAACTTCTGAGCGAAGGGAAACACTCGGGTGGTGGTTCTCAAGCATCGGGCACGCATGTTTGTCTCCGTGGCGGTAGCGCCGCTTAATTCGCGAGCAAAGGGCCATCGAATTTGTCCACGAAGGAGAGCACCGCACAGTGGGATTATCTTCTTGAACCTCTCCCAATCTAATGTTATCCTATCTTTTTCTTTGGGCCCTCTTCCTGGCCTCTGTGTGGTGTCAAACCGATGGGGGAGCAATGACTATCGATACCCCGTAGGCTCTGGTCGTTTGCGGGATTCGCCTTGCTAAAGTGATGTCTAGACTAGGTGTTGTCAGTGGCCTTACTACCGTACTTACGTTCAGGGGAGGATTGGGGCCATATATGATACAAGTACTCCCCGGTCGGTGATAATCATCTTCTTCAGAGTGATGAAACTCATAATCGATAGCCACATCCCCATCTGATTTTCCTCTGGCCACGTACACGACCTTTGATAGCCCGTACACATGGCAAGTCGTCGACATACCAGCAGGTCTGCGTCTTTCTCATTCGTATTATGCCTTTGACCGACCCAAATTAAGGTATAAATGTATTTTTACGACTTAGAGACGTCACTGGACGTGCAGCTCTCACAGGTAAGTACATGATAACCATTTGCCGTAATTCGCCAATTGGTAACCTGGTCAAAAGCGTCCTTTGCCATTCAGCCTGGGCCTAGCGGAGGTATGCCAATGCTGTCATCACTTTTAAATCGCTCATGTCTGTCTCACAGGAAGTACAACTACAGAATCTTCCACCTTGCCTACGAGTACTTCCGCCACATTGGCTAGCTCTTCGACGCTTTCCCAGAATTCGACGTCTTCAAGCTCAATATATTCCATTGTCACGCCAGTACTCTCTCTATCATCTTCAGGAACATCGCCATCGAGTAGCGCGACAAGCAATTCGAATCCAAACTCGTTTAAACCAAAACCTAACACCGCTGTAATCGTTGGGGCGACTGTCGGGGGACTGATGGGATTTCTCTTGTTGATCCTCATAGTTTCCTCCTTCCGAAGAAGAATGAGACGGAGAAGACTGGATAATCAAGTGACGGACATGGTTCTTCAACCCGCATTTGCGCCACTGGTTCCCCCCGGAGCGAGTGGAACACGATTCGACTCTTATAATACCATCTCGACAGCATCGAGCATCACTCCGGGAGAAATGCATAAACCCACTCCAGGAGGATTTGCAACCTATTATGGCCCCCTACCGGTCGAGCACGAGACTCGTCCATCCACAGCTTCGTTCCTCTCAACCTCCATTTCGCCTCCACCACCGACATATGACGACCAGGCATACATGGAATCTGTCGCCATCCCCACTCATCTTGCCTCGAATTTCGCTTCTGATTCGGATCCTCGGGCGTCGACATCTGGAGTTACAGATGTCATTGGCCAGTATGCAACAGCCAACCGAGATCTTATCTCTCCGTCTCTGGAAAGCAAACTACGAGCTGCTCGATATCATCCCATGGATAACCCCGCCGAAATATCTGCGTCGGAATGGCAGTCACATTACCAAGTGGGTGTATTAGAACTAAGGCGGCTGCAAGAGGCCTATGATCGGTATGTAGATACTGTCTCATTGGATGACTGATCTCATATTCAGCAGGAGTCGAGGACTCGGGAATAAGGAAAAGGCGGTCCATTCTGCTGGGCAGGCGAGTCCATCGTGGCGTCCTTCATAAGAATTCGTATCAAAGCGGGGAGCATGGACACTAGTTGCACAAGATGGAAGGCTTCAAAATCATAGTTACATATCGGCCTTTCATTTGCGAGGCTGCTTCTGAAATGCATTGCGTAATAGGCTCGAAGTGCTCAAAGCCTGGAATTACTGGCGAAGGGCTACGGGCGTGCAGCAGCCAAATGGGGCCCGTGAAAGCCAACCCCATACGGACCCGATAGGGGTGCCTGAGATTTGTCTCGCTATTCCTCCAAAAATTTTGGACAACGAAGTAATTTCAAAGGTGGTTCATTCAGCTGACCAATTTGGGAGCCCTTGGAGTCCCCTGTAAGAAGCAATGCACTTGGACTTGTTATTTACAATAGCATCTCGTGCGTTAGATTGGGACACGCGGTCACACGCAGTCGGTACAGAACGTTCGTAGTTTATATAATAATTTAGTTCAACATCTTGGCGACTCGTATAACTTGTCAAAAGGCACGAAGATTAAGGGTGCACATAAATTAGGGCAGATTTTAATCGGGTAAACCCAAGGTTCAAGATGCAAAACAAGATAATACTAAAGAATCGGAGGATCGACTTGGGTGTGTATCTGCATTCGGTTCGGTTTGATGAGCCCTGTAACTGCAAGTGTTTTTGACGACGGATCACCTGATGAACTGACTGCTTCTATCGCATGCCATCATCAAATTCGATCAATCATACAAAATATTAAGGTTTACAGAATTTCCAACCAGCAAGAACCCATCATGATTCATCTCCATTGTGTACAGGGGAAGGTGGAATCAGGCAGAGCAGTCTCTTCGGCATAGCCTATTGTGGATTGCATTTACTCAATTACTACGCCTAGAGGCACTCGACCTTAGGCGATGCGCCAGCAACCAGCCACCAGCCTCCAAAGGGCTTTATGCTATATATACCCCAAAAGATATCTACTCGAAGGTTAATAAGTGCCCACAGATTCTAAACCCATCATGTGCATTTTCTGGTGGGGCATAGGCCTCGTCACAGCCATGGCAAATGTCCTTATCGCTGCACAGAGCATACCCACATCGACTTTGGGCTCCATCCCTCAATGTGTTCTAACATGTGCCTCAAACGCCCTCATAGGAACACAGTGCACTTCAATGTAAGCTGGCTCGTAATTGATCTACCCAATGCTTACTGATGCTTGCGTGTAGAATCGACCCGTGCATCTGCACATCTGACGCGTTCCTAATGGCTACTATCAGCTGTATGAGATCGCATTGTACGATTCATGATCAACTCATTGCGGAGAATCTGCAGAGTGCGCTCTGCACCACAAGCACGACAGCTGTACGTCTATACTCGTTTGCATACTCATTCGTGGTCCGTTCATCCCTGCTTCATCTGATAAAGTCCTCGCCCAGACATCTACTGAGGCACCGAGCTCCTCGACTGCTCAAACGACAGCTGCAACAGTTGCACCTCGAAACGAATACAACACTAGCGCCATCATTGGAGGAGCTATTGGCGGTGCTGCTGCATTGGGCATACTCATTGTAGCGATAGTAGCCTTTCGTATGCGGGAAAAGGCCAATAGCGGGCAGCATTTATCGGGGATAGGCCATGAGCCCGGGCCCGTTCCTGGATTTGTACCCGCTGCCTACTCTACGCAAAACCGTACAAGGTTATCTCATGACTTGTTATCCGATACACAGACTCGTGATTGGACTATGCCGCCTCCTCCATTCGATGGACACCAAGTCGGCGGAGAGTCCGTACCTGTTCTAACGGCAGCACGGCCCAATGAGATGGGTGCTGGCACTAATAATGTTTCCCAACAAGTCGTAAACGATATTATAGGACAGTACGCAGAAGCCAACAGAGACCTCATCTCTCCCTCACTGGAGAGTAAATTACGTGCTGCGAGGTACCTTCCGACAGACGATCCGAGTGAGGCGTCGGAGGCGGAATGGCAAACACAGCACGGAGTAGGAGCCTTGGAGTTGAAGAGGCTAAAGGAGGCATATAATAGGTATCCTTCTTGTTCTTGCCCTAAGTTTTGCCTCACACCTTTTAGAAGCAAAGTATCAAGTGACAATGAAAAGGCGGCTTTTGCAGCCGGCCAGACTCTAGATTCATCGCGCCCATCGTAAATTAGGCGATGGTCATCGTTGCCCCCTTGTATCTATCCACATTCGATGTCGGGGTCACCACACATCGAATTTTTCCCCGAAGGCCCCCACAGATCGTCTGCAATGAGACATTCCTATAGAATGTATTGCACCTAGACGACGAACACAAAGTCTCAGACGGAGCGGTAAGCAAACCGAATGAGGTAAAGACGACCAAAACTGCGCCACTCATCTCCGCTCCTTCTCCTTGCCACACTGCCACTGCGTGACGGGTGGTATCAAACGTAATCTCCGCATCACAGAGTGCCACCGATTTCACCGCCTACTGAGCCGGTTCTGCTGCCGCCATCTTCACCACCCCCGCCATCTTATGGCGACTACTCCAGTATGAACACCACATCGATACCGATAGCAGCGCACTCCACCAAAGTCAATCAGTCAAGCTTAGGCATCGGAACCAGTGAACCACTCATGGACGATATCCTCGGACAATATGCTCAAGCCAATAGTGACCTCTTCTCACCGTCCTTGGAGAGCAAATTGCGCGTTGCGAGGTACCTTCCGACGGACAATCCCAGCGAGATGCCAATATCGGAATGGCAGGTGTACAGTGTACAAACATTTGAGCTACGAAGATTACAAGAGGCTTACGATAGGTATGTGTCCACGACTGGTCGTAGCTTTGTTATCCTTACATATCGCAGGAATAAGCTTCCGGGAGACAAGGAAAAGGCGGTTCACTCCGCTGGCCAAGCAGGATACTCGTGGCATCCATGAGCAAAACTGGAACATGTCTAAGTTGCGTGGGGCAATCTGGAGGGTTATTATACAGGCACCGATTATATATGCATATTTACAATTTTTGTACCGACTACTTCTTTGGATCACGAAGCTCAAATGCAATCTCTTCTCCATCCATAATGTTGTAAGAAGCGAGTGATTCGCTGTTCGTCAATGTGACGTGGCCCATACTCAACTTGATACGACTGACAGGGACTTTGGAGCCGAGTTGTGCGATAAGCTTGTCTCGAAGAGTGGAGACAATTGCAGACGAGACATCGGGAATCGCCACTACCGAACCAGTCTCTGGAATAATGATGAACGGTCTTTTCAGCAGAGTCTATTGTGAATTTGGATTTACCCGATTACTGAACCTTGAGCCACTCAACCTGTAGCCGAGGCGCCAGCAACCAGCCACCAGCCTCTCAAAAAGGTTTTACGTTATAAGACATCTTCTCGAAGGTTAATAAATTCCCACAGATTCTAAACTTGCCATGTACCTCTTCTGGGGGGGCTTAGGCCTTGTTATATTCATGCCGGGTATCCCTATTGCTGCACAGAGTATACCCGCCTCTACGTTAAGCTCCACCGCACCGGGGAATGGTGATACACTCTATTGTTTCAGCCAACAACCCAGACACCGCCTCTTAGTCTACAGCGATCAAGATGGTTGCAAAATAGTCATGTACGATGGTGATCCGGATCCCTCACGTATAATGCCACAAGGTGGCTGCGAGATCTTTATGCACCTTCCTAACCATGAAGAGCCGACTCACAGGCCACCCGTTATGCGCCCATCTTATGGCTTACCACCGGACGCGGGTCCCACTCCTCCGGCTCCGCCATCTTCTGCACCTAGGTCGTCCAATGACGACGACGACACTGATATCATGCGGATACTGATGGAAGAGTCTTCCGAAAATAATCGGCCAATCAGGTTTTTTTTATTTATTGTTTTCATTGTTTGTCTCTTCCATATTTTCTTTTGGGAATAGCCCTCCTGTAGGCCCAGCCTCCTAGTTGATAGTACATCGAATACCGTCAAGAGCCATACAACGTCCGAGTAGCGTAATGTCTCAACCTTGCGTCTGAGGATAGCAGTACTACCTAAGTCCTCATCCATAGTCCTATACTTGATGCAACCCGCGACATTGCTAAGAGTAGCTTACTATTTATCTCACAAAGTTCGAGTGAATGGAGTGATTAAAGACATGATTCATCAAGTCCCCGTAGATAATATGTCTCAATCAGCCTTGGCGTTATAAGCATGTGTTTCATTTGAGAAAGTTAAAATAGGCGGACGATAGGTAGGTATGAATGATTCAGTATGCTTCATTTCATAAGATAACGCAGGAATAACGTTACCTGAAGACAAATGATTCGCTGAAGGAGGCTCGTGAGCGAGCCTACCAAGTGTATCATCAATATGAAGAACTTGTTTTGCATATGAGGAAGTGATTATCTTATGATTGTTAGCTAGCGCTCGTCACCACGTTTACCTATTCACCATCGGCGCGCAGCCTCTCCGCTATTCACCCAGTACGCAGGCTCCTCCGCCATCGTTCTACGAGCTGTATGATATCAGCTCGGCATCACCTCCAATTCCAACGTCCTGGGGTTCATCTGACGAACCAAATTCGTCGCACCAGGCATCAACCGGCATGTCCGAACAAGTTAACGATATCATCGGACAATATGCTCAAGCTAATAGGGTGCTCATCTCGCCATCGCTAGAGGATAAACTGCGCGCTGCGAGTTATCTTCCCATGGACAATCCCGATGAGATGCCATTATCAGAATGGCAGGCGTATGGGGTACAAACATTTGAGCTACGAAGATTACAAGAAGCTTACGATAGGTATGTGTTAACGATTGGTTGTCGCTTTCTTCTTGTCCTTACGTATCGCAGGAATAAGCTTCCGGGAGACAAGGAAAATGCGGTTCACTCTGCTGGCCAAGCAGGATACTCGTGGCGTCCTTAAGCAGAACTGGAACATGGGGCAGTCTGGGAGGTTATTACACAGACATCGATCATATATGCAGATTTACAATTGTTGTACCGACTACTTCTTCTTTGGATCACGAAGCTCAAATGCAATCTCTTCTCCATCCATAATGTTGTAAGAAGCGAGTGATTTGCTGTTCGTCAATGTGACGTGGCCCATGCTTAACTTGATACGACTGACAGGGACTTTGGAGCCGAGTTGTGCGATAAGCTTGTCTCGAAGAGTGGAGACAATTGCAGATAGTGAGACATCAGGAATCGCCACCACCGAACCATCAAGCTTCCACTCTGGCTTGTCGGCATGTAAAGGCAGTCGAACATGGATAGTGATTGGATCCTACAATGACATCAGTTAACACATAGAAGACAGGTAAATGGATCGCACCTGATGATACGATAGCCATGTATCCTCCGGGTACAATTGACCGTCGGGCATCCTACCTACTCGAGGGCGTTTCATGACGGGTCCACCTGTCATATCACCCTCAAGCATCTCATCGGCACTTCGCACGGTTCCAGCTTTGCCTCCCGGGGTACCGACTCGCATACCCGGAGGAGGTGGGGCATATCCAAAAGGTTGCGAAGAGGCGAGACCTTGGTAATGAAGAGGAGGGAGAACAACAGGCTGCTGTTGCCCGGGGGCTAGATTGAAGATGTTTGCCGGTGCAGATGGCGCACCAGATGATGCAGCTGCTCCGGTATACGATTCGGCCATGAGCGTTGGATTTTTCGGCAAAGAAGCTGGCACAGATTGAGGGAAGATGGGAGCCGGCGTAATGGCTGGTCCAATTCCAGGTCCAATCGCTGCAGATTCCGTCCTACGATCATTCGTCAACAATCAGCCCTGGTAGTAATCTAAATCAGTGAACATACTGTGCAAGGCCTTTGGAGCGATGAATGGCAGCAATCTGCTCTTCGAGGTTGACATTTGTCTGATACTTGTCCATGGTTCCAACTTTCGATGCAGTGTGACCATCCCAAACGACCTTTTCTCGCTCTTTTCTGCGAGCAAGTTCAGCTTCCTCTTCCTTGCGTCGTAGTTCCTCTGTCTCTTCTGCACCGAACATGTCTGGTCGCTTGCGTGCGAGCTTTCGAAGAGCCGCCGCAGGATCGGCACCGCGCTGTAGTTCCTTTGCCTGCGAGCGTCGAGATTCAATCTCTGCACGCTGCGACTTCCATCTTGGATCAAGGAGTTCGATACGAATATGCTCCTCGAGTTCGTTGGCAGGGATTTGCTGACCGCAAACTTGACATGTCGTCATTTGTGTTTTCTTTGCCTTTTCGACAAGGGCTGTGGAATGGTCAATGTTTTGAAGAATCAAGTCCGATCGTCCTTACTCTTCGGTACGTAGTCGTGGCGAATCTTCATCGGGCCGGCACCTTCGATATTCTTCGCCTGGACTTCTTCCATTCGGAGCTGTTCTCTGATTTCGTCCTCCTGTTCGGCGATGCGTCTTCGCTGCTCTTCCTCTTGTTGTTGCATTGCAACTGTTGCCGCCTCCTTTGCTCTTTCAAATTCCTCTGCAGTATCAACCATGACCATGGCGGTCATTCTCTTCTCCTCTAATGCTCGGGCTTCCATTTGTTCGATTGTCATTGGAACCGGTAGCTCCGTATTGGCGTCCGCAGCGGTAAACTCGATGGTCTGGACAATGGCAAACTCATGCCAGTCAATCTCCGCAAAAGCGACTTGAGAATGATCAGTGACGCTGGCTCATGTGTTAAGAAATGACATACTTCTCTCAGCTTCCTTGTCGTCGTCCTTTTGCTTTTGCTTCTCTCGCTGTATGCGCTCCCATTTGGCATGCCGTCTGATTTTAGCAAGTCGCTGCCACTTTCCATCCGGTTCAACGGCCTCCCTGACCTTCTCCAACTCCTCAGGCGGCGGTAAAAGTATGCGGCGATATTGCTCGAGCATCGCATTGAACGTCCCGTAAAGCATGGAAGCCGGATTGAGGAAATCGAATTGATGGTTCCTACCCTCCTTTACGGAGAGCGAGGCAAGGAATTGTGTCCCTCTTTGCGCAGTGAACAACGCAGTCAGCTTCATAAGGTCAATGTCCATTGCGGATATCGGAGGCAATACGAGAGCATAGTTCATTCTCGGAGGTTCCTCTCCTTCGTCCACAGGTGCAGCAGGCTTGTCCACTTGCATGGCGGTTTCATTTGTCGCACCAGGAGCCTCTTCTTCTACCTCGCCAGCGAGAACGCGTTGAACACGATCCTTGTAATACGCATGGTATGGGTCGGTAGGGATCAGAAACGAGAACTTTGGGTCCTCACGACGACTTTCACGCAGACGTTCCTCGAATTGCTCGCGAGTGGTAGAGCGGGCGACGTGTACAGCCGTTTTTGCAATGATTGCTAGAGTAGAGGAAGACTTAGCGTACGAAATTCTCCACGAGATCGCGACAAAGAGCTTACTCTTGATATCTGGAGGCGGCAAAATGATATCCGAGGCTGCAAATTTGGGCAAAGGAGCACCATTTGATGCTGAACCGTTTGCCTTGTCGATTGTGACTGGCTTTGGAGGGAGAAGGACCTCTGCCATGTTGCGGTCAGGAGCAAGCTAACTTGGACTCTGCAATGTTTGGGCCATTCACGCCCAGTGCACTCCGGCAATCTGGGTTGCTATGGAAAGTCTTTGCATACAAATCTGGGAACATTTAATGACAGCTATCTCTCCAGGAAGATCCCGTGGAGGCTCTCTAGAACACGAAAAGCAAACCAACGCAAACGGCTCAAACTCGTAGACAGCGTCATCGAAGCTGTACGAGAAAGCGGGGTAGAATGTAACGCTTTGGTGAGTGCTTTTCAACCACGTCGTGCCTTTGTGACCGACATTCGACTTGTAGACGAAAGCGCTGGAGATGCCCAAGGAGAGCGAGATGCTCCCTAAAGACAAGTATACAGTATTCTCAAGAACCTCGAGGGGGTACAGAAAGGGCATCCACAAGATTCCCAAGTTTACCAGGGTGTGTCTCGCTCGTTACCGACAAATAGCAATCCTGACACGCTTTTAGATTACGCATAGAGTCAATCCTCCTGGTTTCTAATTGTCATATACTTCTATTCTACCAGCATCTATTATTCGTTCCTAGCCGAAGAGACCAAAGTCGACAATACTGAGAGATTTTGCCATCTCTGTAAAGGACCCTTGCACTTGCTGACGTCTCTCCTCCGACGTCGTAGCTGTCTTGGGCAAGTTAACCACAAAGATGATATCGTGTGGTTTCTCGACCACGCGATATAATGCCATCAGAATCTCTACCGTGTCCAAGTCGGTCTTGTTATATTTCGCAACCTGTTGTGTCCCCTGAAGCAGAATAGGTGGGGGGTTTGAAATTGGAGCCTCACTGAAGCCATCTGGGACGATGACTTCGATAACATTTGATGATTCTGCAGAGTTGTCTTGAGCAAGAGATTCAAAGTGAAACCTGTTCTACTTGTTAGATCGCGGCGCTAAAAATTGCCACACAACTGACCTCGCTGCATCGTTTGGATCTTCTGGCTCGACACGATCTAGAATCTCAAATATGTAGCTGACATCTGAATCGTGCTCAAGAAAGACTTCCTGAGCATCTGGGACTTGTCTTAAATCTCTGCAGGGAGATAAGCTGTATCAAGTGCTGACGGATCCAACATACGAGGCGTCCAAAAGGTTTAAAGGAAGTTTGACAGTGATAGCTCCTCCATATAAATCCTTCTTTTCGAGTGGACTGGACATGGAAAGTGTTGCTCGGGTTCAAGTCATTTTGAACTCCGCCATATCCGCGTCTTGGGGCCAGCGTCTATGGAGGCTCGTAGAATGGGACCCCCATCGGGGATTCCCGTACCTGCTTTCGCGTTTGAAACGCCTCAGAGGCAGTCTCGTTTAACGAAAATGCGCCAGTCACTTGGAGGGCAGGGCTTTGGCGTGTTTACGCAGCCAGACAAGTCTTTGAATATGCAAACACCCCAAGTAGCCCCTACACAATCCGCTATGAGACCGACACAGTCCATTCGAAGGCAGTCAACACGTCCTGGTGCGCCACCCAACATGTTATCAAGCACCCAGACGCCAGCCATGGGATCTAGAACAATGCAAGTCGTTTAATATCCGATTTTGATGTATTTCTCACTCTACTTTTAGAAATCGCCAGGCAATCTTCCAGCCACCGACTACAGCGCCCAGGGGAACACTCCCACGGATGCAGTACGTAGCGGACGACAGAGCGTTGCGGGAGAATGCCTCTTTCATGTTAAGGGGAATCAATGAATTCTTGCGAAAGCAAGGAAAAGACCTGACGCTGCGAACACAACCAACGCCCTCGGCAAAAGAGTTTCAGGATGCCTTTCTTTTCATCTATAACCTCGTCTTCGAGGACGATAGAGCGCCCACTGGCAAGAAAATGGATGAAGAAGTAATCGAACTTTTGCGACAAGCAAGATACCCCTGGATGGAGTCGCTCAGCAAGCTGAGCTTTTCAATTATCCAACCGCACATTTGGCCCCATCTCATCGGCGCGTTAAGCTGGATGGTTGGGCTCTACAACGTAAGCAACTCCTATAGCGAAAGCTCCTATTCTGAATCGGTTTTAGTTTGAAAATGGCTGGATGCAGGACAGCAAGAATCACTATCTCCTAGATGAAGACCCAGGAGAAAGAATGGATGATCCTGGACTCGAAAGCAACGAGCTCAACCACCCCCGCTTAATGCGACTGTTCCTCTGCTATCTTTCGGATGTCTGGCCCAGTTATCTTGCTGGGAAAGATAATTTCGATGAGCAAAAGAAGGAGTTTGCCGCTATAGTCGGTGAGTCATTTCTCCCAATCTTGTACCAGGACTTAGAATCGATAGATGGTATCATCGGCGAGCACCAGATTTTATTAGAAGAGCAAGAGCAGACCCTAGCAGAACTTGTGCGTGAGGCCGATGGTCTCCGTCGCACTGAGGTTGGTCGCTTGTATAGGGAAGGCGTGCGCTTACACTTTTCAGGACGCAGAAAAACAGCTCAAGGCTGAGATGGCGGATATTGATATGCGTATTGATCATGCCCAAGAAGTCGTCCGTGCTGGACAGACAAAACTACAGCAACAAATCGACTTGAACAGAGGTCTCGATCTCGATCTGAGGAGGACCGGTGAGCAGGATATTCCTTGAGAATTATGTCTGACCCGAAACAGAGGAGAAGCTAGAAAACCTCATCCGGAGTAATACTAGATTGGCAGACGACGTGCGGCGACAAAATCTTTCGGCAGAGGAAGTCGCTCGAATGTATCGGGACAGAGAAGAGCTTGGAAAACAGCTCGAAGATCTGATGCAGAAGGATATCGAGCTACAGAAGACTGGAGACACCCTGGCCGTATCCATCTATCGCAAGTCCGATGAGATTGACACCATGGTCGAAAACTATGCAAACATACTCTACGAAGTCGGGCTGCATCCAAAGCCACCTCCACTTTTCCACCCTGGCGAGTTAGACTTCAACTTTAACAGAGCAACAAACAACTTGGACGAGCTAATCACCGGCGCGGATATCTCCGCATCTGGAGAACTCATTAGAAAACTTCAAAGGTATACGGCGACAGTGCGTAACGAAAAGGCAGAGTTGGCCACGCAAGCTGTGATGCTCGAGAATGAGCTCGAGGTCGCGCAGGGAGAGCTAGACCACCTGTCTGCCGAAGTGATTGATCTCAGGAAAGAGGTCAATGACATGCTTGATACCCATGCCGTTACCAAAGCTGTGCGTATTCTGAAGCCCGGGCGTCATATTCTCATTGGTTTACAGACTTGGGAAGATGAATCGCGTCTCAGTAGAACACATCTAGAAACGATGAGACGGGAGATTGCAAAGATTAAGAGCACGAATCAAGATAGAGGGCTAGAGCTTAGTATGAAGCTGCAGACACTTGAACTAGCGTACGTCGTCTCGAAGCCCGCAACGTACATCTAACCGTATGCAGTAAAACTGAGACTGCGACCAAGATCCAACGCCTGAAGACTCGGCTCATCAAGGACCTCGTCTCAAAAGCGGAAGAAATTGCCGAGTTGAAGACATGGACCACGGAGCGCCTAGAGTCTTTGACCCGCCTGGCAAAGGAGGACGATATCGAAGTTCTGAGCCAGCCACCTACAGATTTGGACACACTTATCCAACGTCTCTCCATCAATTGAGTATTTGCTTCACCTGACTGGCTTTATGTGTACCACTGTACTCTTATTGGATTTGTAACCCAAATATTAATATAATACCTCTTCTCTTCAAATCCGAGTGTGCCGCCATGTTGCTGTTTGGGGTTGATCCTGGTCGAACGGTGCGATTTCTGGCAAGCATGCAGCGCAATGGCAATGGTCGCGCATTATGCCTAGCAAGCTTTGGTAAGTATAAACGAATCTAACAGATCTCTCTAACAACACGGCTAGATGGCGGCGAGGCGAGATGTATGTCGCAGCTTCATATCCTCTGTGCATTGATGCACCAGATTCAATTAGAAGGCCACCCAGAGGATCCAGACGCAGTTGTCTTACCATGTGAGGTGTTTGATCTCATCGGAGGTTCTGAAGCTGGCGGGTACGCCTGAACTTGTTTATCCCCAATCAGATGAATGACAGCCCATAAGCGTCATCGCAATCATGCTATCTAGGCTTCGTATGTCCGCACCAGAGGCTGCTGCGGCCTTTGAAACCATCTCGCATCAAATCTATCTCCAGCAAACCCTGCCGGCGAAGGACAGATCACATATACTAAGAAGATCTCTGGAGAGTCTTTTGGAGCAAAGGAGCTTAGACGCCGATGCAAAACTATACGATGGCTCCTGTCCTCCAGCGTAAGTCTTTCAAAAGCCCTATAGCCGTTGGTAACACTTGCGCAGTTTCGTGATTGTAACACCCACATCCAATCTATCAAGTTGTATGAAGTTTAGGACGTACAGGTCCCGTGTCGGCCTACCGAGTCAAATCACCATTTTAGACGCCATGCTAGCAACTGCAGCGACACTGCCTTACTTTGACCCTGTCAAGGTTAAGCAGTCTTTGGGTGAAGAAGAATACATAGCGCCCTCCTTGGAATTCTACAATCCTATCAAAGAAATCCTTACAGAGGCACATGGACTTTACTCTGGCAAGGCTCAAGTTGCCACCCTTGTCAGCTTTGGCGCGGGCAATCCTGGCGTTATAAAATTCAATCCAGGCTCCGAAGATTGGAAACTCACGCTTGCGAAGCTTCTATCAAATAGTGAGCGAGTTGGAGGCGAAATCGGCTCTCAGATGGGCCACCTCGGGATTTATTTTCGGTTCTCTGTTCAACAGGGAATTCAAATCTCATCGCTGCCAGAAGGCAGATTGAGCTCTTTAATCGGTACCCATACCGCTGCATATCTCGAGGACTACGAGGTGGCAAGCCGGTTAGAGGCGTGTGTCGAATCCATCCAACAGCGTGTAGGTGTTACGACGTTAGACCAGCTTAGTATGTCAATCTCATGTCTCTTAGCACATGTCTAACTCTCATTTTAGGGAGAGTAGGTGGCGGGCAAGCAACCTACAAGGGCATACCAGCTTTGACAACACATTTTGTAATGCGTTCAGAACCATGGAAGCGAATGACAGATGCCCTACAAGACGATCAATCTCGTCAGCGAATCATAGTCCTCTCTGGCATGGGTGGTCTGGGCAAGACGCAGTTGGCCATTCATTTTGTCGAAGAACATCGGTCAAGGTATGGGCTGTCTATTACAATCACAGTGCTGACTTTAGAAGATTTGACTACATCTTCTTCGTCGATGGAAGCTCCGAAGCAAGTATCCAACTCGACCTCATCGCCCACGCGAAGAGTTGGTCTCCAGGATGCACGCACCTGACCCTCGAAGCAAGCCTTTCCGCTTTCTGCGATCCTGGACATAAGAACTATCTCTTGTTCATCGACAATGTTGATGACGTTAATATTGACCTTGCCCGATATCTTCCCCAGTCGAATTCTGGTTGTATTATCATCACAACTAGAAACCGGTCACTTGGTCATCTGGCGAGTCAGCCTTCGTCGCACGTTGAGCTAGAGGTAATGAATGTAGAAGAAGCGACGGAGGCAATCTTCCGATCATCGAGGCTGCCAACTACCAATGGGAACAGGCAAGCGCTAGTTCAGATTGCGGAAGAGTTGGGATGCTTGCCTGTGGCTCTCATTCAGGCCGGAAGCTACATATTTCAATCACACTGCACTCCAGAGGAGTACCTCGATCTGCTTAAGCAGCATCTGGTGGATATGCTGGAGCAGGCGTCGGCTGACCGTCAGAGGAGGAGCGTGCACGCAGCCTTCAACATTTCCTATCAAAAGCTTCCGCATGAGCTTCAAAACTTTCTACTACTTCTCTCGTGCTTCCATTTTGCCAATTTTCCGACTGCCATCATTCCATCTGCGGCAAAGGCGGGATTTCGCACCAAGGTGCGGTGTCTTCAAGAGCAAGAATCCGACTCAGAGCTCTCTATTCCCCTTCTTCAGTCAATATTCTGTCCGAAAGGAGGGGAATGGGATGACCGCACCTTGCATCAATACGCTATCATACTCCAGCAATATTCTCTTGCTTCGTTTAGTCCGACAACTGGTACACTCATGCTCCGGCTTCATCCACTTGTCCACAAGTGGGTGTCCTTTCGTACGTCGCCTATACCCATGGCTGCCTTTCGACAAGGCGCTGTCCGCTTGTTGTCCTGTGGTGCAGCAATGGAGAGTTTGAGACATCACTTGGCCCCGCATGCAGAGGAGATCATCAGACATACCGATATAGAGACGATTGGCGCTGATGACAGCGCCGCTATTGCCATCATCTTGCAGGCTGCTGGTCAAGGTGAGCAAGGTCGGGAAGTGTGGCGCCGGATATTATCTCAGCTCGAGAATATTCATGGTGAGAAGGATCTCCGAGTGGCAACCGTCATGATGGAGATAGGCGGCGACTTCTCTGGGAGGCTCACGGAAATGGAAACATTGGTGATGAAAGCTATCGCCATCCGAGAAGAACTGCTAGGCAGGGAGAATATAGATACTCTCAAAGCCAAAGGGCTCCTCTGCGGAATCTACCGATATGCTGGGAAGGTGGATCAAGCACGTGAGGTTCAAGCAGAGGTATCAACAATCCTCAAGGCACTCAAGTCGGCCTCGCAAGATGACAAGTTCCAGGTCACAAAGTGGTTTGGATCAATTCATACATTTCAAGGGGAGTGGGCAGCAGCTGAGCGTCTTGAAAAGGAGACGCTTGAGGACCTTAAATCGCGCTTGGGAGAAACGCATCCAGATACTCTCCAGGCGATGAACAACCTGGCGTACCTCTACTATTCGCGCGCATGGTTCAAAAAGGCCGAAGACCTATGGCTCCGGGTCGTCGAAGTCCGCAAAGAGACTCTTGGAAAGGAGCACCTGGAGACTCAAAGAGCGACCGCAAACCTCGGCAGTGTCTATCATGCTGAGGGTCGATACAAAGAGGCGGAAACGCTCATGCTTGAGGCGCGACGTGTGGTTGGGAGAATGCTGGGGGAGTCGCATTGGCTGACGCTCATATCTCTGGGAAACCTGGGGACCATTTATCGCTCACAGCGACGCATTACCGAAGCGGAGGCCATGTTCGCCAAGGTGCTGGATCTTGCAAGGGGCGCATATCCAGAGTCAGACCCGATAGTCATGCGAGCTCTCCTTGCATTGGCCAAATTCTATCTCTCGGAGGATGAGGGAGAAAAGGCCCTCCCGCTATTGAATACCGCTTTGGCACAACTGGCTAACGAGGGGACCAACAACAGACTTGAATCTGGTCACTCGCTCTATTACATCGCACGGGAACTCCTGTCCTCTGGACTCTTGGAAGAGGCGAAGCGATGCGCGATGCAGGCGGAGAGGTTGCTTCTGGAGCCACCTTCTAGAGCAGATGTCACATCAGGCTCAGATGAATTTTCGCGAGAAATGCCGAACAAAAGCTCTGCCAAACAGCTTCTGGAAAACATAGAGGAAGAACTAGAGGTAGAGGGGAGAATGAAGTAGAGGAAGCCGACGCAATCGCTCCCGGTGCAAATTAAAGGCCTCTGCGACTGCATAGCCCTGTATATCATAAGCGTGTATTATGTAATCTTTTGTCTCCTTCAGTTCGATATCTAACAGAGGCACAGGGCTTTGACATCAAGTTCGAAGGAGTCCACCTCGTCTGCATAGCTTCTTGCAGAATCGTTGAGGGAAGTGGTATGACCTATCACATCTCGGCTTCTGGAGCAACTCTCGTCGACTCAGACTGGGAGTAATATGAACCCGATTGCTGAAAGAGCGGAAATAGAGGCGAGATACATAGTGTTATCATTTTCAACAAAGGCGAGACGCATGTCCCAGAAGTAATTTCACAGACGGCTACCAGGATTCAACGAAGGAAAGCCAACGACTCGCTAGCAGGGCAAACCAAGGTCCCCTACGACTTTGTAATTCTATTTATCATTAAAGTGCGGAGTATATGCCTTCCTATGGATCAACTCATCTCCGAGCGGCTCTTGAACCCAACGATGCCGAGTTGGTTCCTCACCAAGGCGTCGGACGATCTAAAGCATATGAATAGAGAGCAAATCATCCAACATATTCACAAAATCGCGTCTGAGAACCCAGGAATCTTCGTAGAGACCGAGTGGGAGTGCTCCAATGCCGGAGAGCACTATCGAAAGGGAGAATGGCTCAACGACAGAGAAAGATGGTCAGATGCTGCGTATTTAGGTGATTGGGACAAGATATTAAAGGTTCATTCGCCCCAAATGTCGCGCTACGCTGAGCTCTTACTGATATCCATTTCTTGGATGTGGTGATAGATTGTGGTGGAAGTACCAAATTCAATGGGGAGATATGCAAATATACGAAGGCTGTACAAGGAATCCGACCTGCTCAGCAATACAAAGACTCCATCAGGGTAAGCGCTGAGCGATTGGAGAGGGAGATTCTAACAAGGTCTAGATACACTGTACTCCATCAAGTACTCTATCAATATACCTAGTCGATTTCATACTGATCAAGCGATAGGCTGCGTATCATAACGCGCCAGAGGACGTTGTCTCCGCTCTCGTTGCGCTTGGCTGCTGGCGTACGCAATCTTTCTAACAAGCACGAGCAAAACTAAGAGCCATCGTTCAGAACATTTGCATACAACTGATGGGAAATACCAGAAACCAGTGGACATTGCACGCGAAAGGGGTTTTCTCTCGCTCGTGCCACTCCTCAAGCCGTCTGTGGACCTACTACCACACATAACCGACGACGACCTCGAGAAGATTCAAGCACATTTTAGAGAGATTGTGATCAAAGAGTCGGTTGGGTGCTTCAAGCCAGAGACGATGAGCATCGTCGACTTGAGTATTCTCCGCGAAGTGGACAAAATCTGGATGCCAGTCGGTGGCATGTACGGCGTGCGTGGTGGGGATGTTCCTCTTTTCATTCTCTGACAGACGCATAGGGGTTTAACATCGAGTTTGAAGGAGACCACCTCGTCTCCAGGTCTTTCTGCAGAGTCGTCGGGGGAAGTGGCATGACTTACCACATCACGGCTTCAGGAGCCACTCTTGTAGATTCTGGGTGGGGATAATACAGGTCAACATGAAATCGATTGCCCAACAACATAGTGGATAGAGCTGTAATACTAGCGCGAATATAAGGCATAAGTTAGGATATAGCAAAGATGTTGTGTTATCGCTTTTCAAACGCAAAAGCCAGGTACACGTCTGGCAATCCATTAGTACACCTTGAAACTCGATAGAGAGATAGCACGTACTCGCGGCATCCCACTGCGCAGGATCCATAGCACTGTTATTGTCATCGTCGACCACTTTCATCCGTTTGAGAAGCGCGTTGAATTCTGGATTTTCGGCCTCTTCGGCATACACTTCATGAAACTCTCGCTTGTACAACAGAGCCAAACCATATTGACTTGCCAGACTATCGTAGAGTGAGAAGACTGAAGAGAAAACGCAGAAGGTCGCGCACCTGACAAACTCTTCCCAATAGACGACATACTCTGGCACGTCCTCTACGGCATCTTCGAGGAAAAACATGTATCGGTGTCCGTAAAGAGGGCCACGTGCTTGGTCAAACCGTATCCTGTACACCTCGTTGCCAAAGGAGAGGGCGTTTGGATCGCTTTCCTGCGCTTCGGCTAGACTATTTCTGTAGGATAATCTGAGAATATACACATGAAATAGAGAGATTCCACCTACAGGAGGATATCCGAGTTGGGAACGGTGCCAATAAAGCGGCCACCGGGTCGAAGATAGCTCGTCACGTTATCGAGCATCATTCTGACCTTGGCTTCCGTCTCGAATGCGTAGTGCATGCAAAATTGCATCGTGACGACGTCAAAGGGCTCTGAAAAGACTTTTGGAGGAAGTTCTGCGTCGAGAGGATGCTAGTCGTACATCAGAGGATGTGTACACTGTAGAGATGACATACCCTGTAGCAATCCAACTGGGCAAATGTGGCATCAAAGCGCTCGGCCTTGTCCCCCCTCCAATCGCGCCAACGCTCTCGGGCCTGACTGACAGAGACGCCAGCAATGTCGACGCCCACATACTCTTTGATCCTCGCGCTTCTCCACTTCTGGAGATCACCTCCCTTTCCACAGCCAATGTCGAGGACCCGTCCGGCCAGGGTGAGATTGGCACGAAGTGTACGGCGAGAGCGGGATTGTGTGAGAGCCGGGTAGGCCATTTTCTGCATGAGGACCGACTTGATCCAGTTGTTGAAGGATTTGAGACCGTAGATGGGAGACTCTTTACGTGCTGAGCGGCCTACTTCGGGACGGTCGTCGTCTAAAGGGCTAAATGTTAGCGTATGCATCCATCAACGTAATAACACGTACAGTGCTTGGCTACGACGTTTTGGTCGCGTTCCTTTTGGCGTTTTTGGAGCGTAGAGGCCTGCTCGTCGTCGTCTGACGCCGTTCTTTTTCGTTTTCTCTGCTGATCATAGTTCGAGGGTGAATAAGATCTCGAAGGCGAGTACCCGCCGTCGACTTTTGGGCGAGCGGATGATCTGGCAGCGAGGGCCGTTCTGAGCGAGTTTGTTGGATTTGCAAAGACACGTCGTTCTGCCTGAGTGATAGGCTCGAGGATGCTCCCTGGTCTGGAGATTCTGTGCGGGTCGTAGGGAATGCGCAGAGGCCGCGAGGGGACCGGGGGAGCCGCCATGAGTGAGTGAGGGTGCTGGTCAAGTTTTGCTGGACGTCTAGTGGGCGATGCAGGGTTCATGAGCATGGTCAATGCACGCGCACCCGAAGAGCTTGCACTGCTCGACTGCGAATGCGGCAAAGACGGCCTCGTCAGCACTGGGCTCGGAGACGATCTGTACGTCGTCGCGTCGTTGAGCAGCATTGCGAGGCTCGCGCTCGTCGCCCGCGGAGTTGTGCTGCTCGTCGGGCTACTGCTGCTTGTCGCGGCAGGGATCTGCAGAGGAGGCGCAGTCGGAGTTGACGGAGTTTTTCTCACCGACGTCTCCTCCATTGCATGCCGCACGGGGTCCCACGGCATCCTTGCTGCCCAACGCGGCCGGGGCCAAGTTATTAAGTTGATACTTTGGACCCGACCACAACTCCCATGTCGACGCGCACATGTGGAAAACACTCGTAGCATCCATTTTCCTTGGCTGGTACTTCATTCTCCTCGCAATCGGCCTCTTGGGTTGGCGAGAGGCGTGAGTTTTCGTCTCGCCTTTTACGCGTCAAGCTCAGTCCCGATACAGCAGAAAGCGCTACTTTCGACGCAACAATGCCCTCACCAGCTACAGTCCTCGTGCGAGGCCCCTCGAGGGCGTGTCCATCCTCAGACCACTCAAGGGCCTCGACCCAAATATGTACGAAAATCTAGAAACGACATTCAAGCAAGACTATCCAACATACGAGATTATCTTTGCTGTCGCCGATGACGACGACCCATGTTTGGACATTGTCCGAATGCTCCTCGATAAATATCCTCATGTCGATGCTAGGGTCACCATTGGTATGCACCATCTTTTTTTTTTACCCCATGTTTCTCTAACAGTTTTACAGGCGAGGAGATTGTTGGTGTCAACCCAAAGATTAACAACCTCATGCAAGCCTACCGCACCGCAAAGTACGATATCCTCTGGGTCATCGATTCCAACGTCTCCGTCGTCCCACAAACTCTCTCCCGCTCCGTCTCAGCACTCACCGCCAGTCCCACCATTGGTCTTGTCCACCACGTACCCTATGCGACTGCCTCGATCCGCGACGCCAAATTTGGTACACACCTCGAACGCGCCTTTCTCAACACCAATCACGCAAAGATGTACATTGCCCTCAACGTACTCGCCATCGACTCGTGCGTCATGGGCAAGTCGAATCTCTACCGCCGCTCGCACGTAGACCAAATCAGTGGCCTCGGCGTCCCGCTCTCCAGGCAGAATATGTCCCCACCACCAGATGGCCCTGTCAGGGGACTCGCATCGATGGGCAAGTACGCGGCAGAGGACGCCAAAATTGGCCATTCGATTTGGCACGAACTCGGCCTCGAGCATTGTCTCGATGTCGATGTGGCTCAAAATGTATTAGGGCCCATGACGCTCAGGGGTTATATTGAGCGTCGTGCACGCTGGATTCGCGTCAGAAAGGCTCAAGTGTTGGCCGCGACGATCCTCGAGCCCCTGACGGAATCCGTTCTCGCTGGTCTTCTTGCGTGTTTAGCACTACATTATTTCACCGGAGCGGATGTAGTTATCATGTTCGTGATCCATTGGTGCATCTTTCTGGCCATTGATCTCGACGTCCGATACCATCTCACTGGCACTCACTTTACCTCCAACGCAGAGCTTGGAGAGTTTATCCTTGCGTGGATGGCGAGAGAGATTCTCGCGTTTCCCATTTGGGCTTATGCAATTTGGGGCAGCAGGATTGTCTGGCGAGGCGTCACGTACCGAATGCTCCGAGGAGGCGTCGTTGAGCGTCCGGACCGAGCCACAAGACATTCACAAGACTTTGCGGATGGAAGAATGCAGGAACCACTTCTAGACAATCATGATCATTGACTCTACATAGACTAATCCTAGATAGCTTAGCGTGTATAAACGTAATATACCAGTGCGATGCCTTTAGCAATCCCAACCTTCTTCACCCTTGACTCGTCCTCGCCAGTTACACTCGACAAGTAACGGAATCAACCCGAGCTCGTAAGGGTACAGCGCGAAATCCATCAGTACCCATCCACGCAATCTAGGTTCCCTGCGACCATTTGGCTGACTTTTATAGCGCTTCTCGTCCCCAACGAGTGTGACCTCGCTCTCCGACTTGGAAAGGGGCGCAATCGTTGTGTCAGTGTCGTCCCCCAATTGATCTAGCAGCCACCTCCCCGCTCGCGAGTTGACACCTTCGACCCCCAAAACCGACCACCCAAATCCACAAGCCACCGTCGACGGCAATGCCAGTGGGACCCTAGCAGCGGAGAAGAAAGTGATTGCGAGGTCTTGTTTGCCGTTTGGTGTCGGTTGAGGGATAAGCATCTCAACTGCCACGGCAAATTTCTCTGGAATGTCCAGAAAACTTGGAATGGCATACCAGTCTTGTGTTCGGACGCGACAGTTTGTGAGCTCCCACTCGAAGCCTTCTCGACGACTGTTTGGCCAGATTGGAGGGTGGATTCCAATCTTGCCTCCTTCCCACCCTTCCCCATGGTTCCCGAACCGGCTAAAGAGTATGGCCTTTCCGCGTACTTCTCCGAGTCTTGGGATCCTATTTTCAAGGTACCAGAGGCTGCGTTTGGACGGCTCGCTCAGGATAGCGTCGTGGACGAGACTTGAAAAGAGCGGTGAGGAGGGCATGAAAGAGGACTCTTCCATGATGGATATGACAATCGTCTCGCTTTTCCCTTCGTATGATTCTAAAAAGGAAGAAACAGCTTCGAGAATATCAGTAAATGTCGCTCGTTCTGGCGTTGCGCCATGATAGGTCCGAAGTTGGCCGTCCACAAGCACGATGCGTATATCAACTATGCGCACGCCGTACTGAAATTGCTATACGGGACCAATTAATCTTTCGCTCAGGTCTTGGACTTGCATACCTCGGTGAGGGTAATATCTTGGCCTGTCAGAAGTCAGAATCTGGGCCTTGGGGCGGCTCGAGAACGTACATTGAGAAAATGGCCATCCATACAGTGCCATAGTCTCGTGCGTTCCTATTTCTGGGTCAATACCATCTTATGAGATAGACACGTACCTACCCGGCAAGCAGACACTCGAGAGAGGTAGAGAGTCTGGGAGGTCCCTCATCCACGATGCCAGAGGTCGTTGTGGAAATACGAATATACGCTGGTGGCCCTTGCCAATCTTGGCCCGGTACAGCCGCCAGGTACTGTTGTGAGCGGACAGTGGTTCCCAGCTGCGACCATGCATCCGTCGTTTGAAGATAATCTTATTCGAGTAGATTTCTGGACCCTCTTCAGGCTTTTCAGAAAGCGATATCTCCACCATCTTGCCCACGGAGACCTCTCCGAGATGTGTAAGTGCGCCGTCGCTCAGTGCCAGCGGTTTCAACAAGCTTATCCCAGGTAATGAGACATGTAAAGTTGTCCCTGTCAGGTTGATGAAGGAAAGCTGAACGTTGGACGGCATTTCCCCGCTAACTAGGGCAAACTACGGAGACCAACCTCGTCTTCACCACAATCCGGTGGCCACGCTCAAGTTTCTTGATAAATCCAAGCAAATGTCTGAACCCGTATCGACAAGTGCTGTCGTCGACGAGATTACTAGTGCGGTCGGACAAACATCCCTAGTCGAATCCAGGTCAGTGGTGGGCACGAGGGATTCAGATAGGAGGCATATTTCACTCTAACGATTGATACAGTGCTCCAAAGGCTGAAGCTCAACATCAGAGCCACCAAAGGAGATTGCCACGGAGCAAAAAGTGACTCCGTGGGATGTGGCCGGAGAGGTCACAGAGACGGGACAAAAGCTTGGGATAGATTATGATAAACTCATCAAGCAGTTCGGAACGCGGCCCATCGACGAGGCTCTTTTGGCTCGATTCAAAGAGGTGACTGGGCACGACCCGCATATTCTCCTGCGCAGAGGTATGTTCTTCTCGCATAGGTGAGCACCTTGTTTGTTCTTATTCCTATTCATCTGATGTCAAACAGAGAGTTGAATCGGATTCTGGATCGCCATGCTGAGAAGAAGCCAATCTTTCTCTACACTGGCCGAGGGCCAAGCAGCGACAGCATGCATCTCGGACATATGGTTCCTTTCATGTTCACCAAGTGGCTTCAGGACGTTTTCGATTGCCCTCTAGTCATTCAGCTGACGGGTAAGGATCCTATTTTGGTCGCTGCAAGCGTTCAACGTGTGCCCAGATGATGAAAAGTTCTTATTCAAGAACGAGCTCACAGTGGAGAAAGTATTGGAATATACCAAAAAGAACGCCAAAGACATTATTGCTGTTGGCTTCAACCCTGAGAAGACATTCATCTTCAGTAATTTTGCCTTTGTGGGGTATGTCTATTTAAATTCGTCATCTGAAACTAACTAGGGGTTTAGGGGGCCTTCTATGTCAATGTACAGAAGATAGCTAGGCAGATCACATTCAACCAGGCAAAGTCGACCTTTGGCTTCAACGAATCGTGCGTTTGTCTACTATAGAGTCGCAGCATCTGACATTTCTCAGAGATAATATCGGAAAGATCAGCTTTTGTGCTATACAAGCCGCTCCCAGTTTCTCCAACTCGTTCCCGAACATGTTTGGGACGAAAAAGGACATTCCTTGCTTGATTCCATGCGCCATTGACCAGGTACGAGGGATAATATCATTGGGATCCTCTCTAACCCAGCCCTAGGATCCTTATTTCCGATTGACCCGGGACGCTGCCGTCAAGCTAAAGTACCCCAAGCCTGCCCTGATCCATTCGAAATTCTTCCCCGCTCTGCAAGGCCCGTCCACCAAAATGTCTGCGTCCGACGTCAACTCTGCCATCTATTTGTCGGATACTCCAGCGCAGATAAAAAAGAAGATCAAAGCACATGCTTTCTCAGGTGGCCAAGAAACGATAGAAGAACACCGACGTCTAGGAGGAAATCCCGATGTGGACGTTGCGTATCAATATCTGGGCTTCCTCCTCGAGGACGACGAGAAATATGCTCAGCTGGGTGCAGTAAGTGTACCGTAGTTGGATGATTGAAGCTTAACGAGTCTAGGATTACCGTAAAGGTATCGTCACCACTGGAGAGATGAAGGACTTGTGCATACAAGAGGTACAGAAACTCGTAAAGACGTTCCAGGAGGTGAGTAGCCCACAATGATCTTTCAACGTGCTCACTTCTCCCAGGCCCAAGCCAAGGTGACCGACGAAGTGCTTCATCACTTTATGGATCCCACCAGAAAGTTCAATCTTGGATTCTTCTAGGCGACTCTTGGAAAATACTGATGAATGAAGCGGATACATGCCATAAATAGATGATAGATATGCGTCAGGCTGGACATTCGACATGTTCCAATACGCCAGACGCGACAATGCGTATGGATGGAGGCCTCGTCTCTCCGCTTTCCGTCTCTCCGTCGACGACAATAGGCGGAATCACGCTGCGATGGCACTTCCCGCACACCGCCTGTGCTGGCCGCCATCCATAGTCACGCTTACGAGTCCATTCTTCAAACAACTTGTTCACGTCGCGGTTGACCAATGCTGAGGATGTTGTCAAAAGCTCTCCTTCGTACCGATATGATTCCAACATCCCTGTTAGAATCATTCGGAACTCGGAATACAACTCGGTAGATGGTTCCTCCGAGTATTTATTCGCCTCGGTCGTCGAGGTCACGAGCTCCTTGAACAATGTCGGGAAGGAAATGCCCTGTGAATGCGAACGGAGTAAAAGAGCGCCAAATGACTCTTGAACAAGCGTCCGCAGGGGTCCTAGTATGGAATCTCCTTCCTCGAATCCAGAGAGATTGATCTCATCCGCAACCCCCTGAACGAGGAGGATTTGCGACTGTAGTAGCCTGAGCCACTTTTGATCTGCAGGAACGCTCGTGCCAGTGTTGGCTTGACAAAGTTTGATGCTACGTTCCCCCAATCGTTCCAGCCTCTCTAGGATCGAACGAAGGTTCTTTGCTCGATCTGCGCTGGCATGGTTATCAAGGAGGGTCCCAATACGTCCGGTCTCTGTCCGGCATGCCTTTTCAATGTAGGATATTGCCTCATCGACCTTGTTCGCTTGCTGGAGGGAGAGAACCACTGCATCATGAGCCCCGTTTCGTTTGAATATCTCCGTTATACTATCTGGCAGGACTATTGCCCCGCTGAGGCTCTCCAGCGCCTCGATTACACCTCCTGGCTCAGTCCTAGACAGGAGCTCAAAGAATAATGCAACACCCGCCGGTTCTACGTGCTGGGACGGGGGAGGTATATCCCCTTCGGATGCATTCGGGAGAATCTTAGCCGGTTGGAGCAATGTGCGCAGGTAGACAAGTTGACGCTCATCATCTCCTTCTAATTGTTCCAATGCTCTCGAGTGTTGATCTGGCATACGTCGATCGAGGAGACTCGCTGTGCCACTGAGGTTAAGCGAGAGCAAACGAGGAAGTGAATCGACAGTGACAAGCACAACGTCACGGGGAATTACGCCTTTCTTCATCGATGAGGCGAATACTTCGTCCAGACTCCGGAATAGGTCGCTTGTTGGAAGGTCGAAATCTTGTAGATATGCCTCAAGGAGAGAGCTCCATTGCTTTTCGGCCTTGTACCGAGTACGCAGGATGCGGTAGAAGCCTGCCTCCTCGAACATTGTAATAAGGTTGTCCTCTTCTCGGGGCTTGTATACGGAAAGCAGGTATTCCGTAGCCAGCTGACGGTCTTCGCGGGTGTCAGCATCGTTGTCCGACGCAAGGCCAACAAGTACTGTGTGTAGAAGGGATGGTGGCATCTTGATATATTGAGGGTATTTGGGGACGTTGCGTGCGACAAAAATTCGCACAAGCGTCGCGTCTGAAGGTGGGAACCCGCCAGTGCCCAACATTTCCAGCAATATTTTGATTATGATAAGCCGTCCGACACCCTGATTATCGTCATTAAGGTACGAGTCCTCAAACGCAAGGTCGAGGGTATGGAGCATCGACTCTGGATCGAAGCGGAGCAAGAGCCTTAGATATGGGTACGTTGGCTCTGTCCCTCCGTCTTCGTCAGCGGTCAATATAAGTTTGCCGCTCGGACCGCTTGGCCAAATTCGAGATCGCCCATCAATGAGGAACGCGTATACGGTGCTTTTCGCTTGCGAGACGTCATCCTTAGGTAGAGGTGTTTGACTTGGATACGTCGAGCCACACAAGGTTGCTGCAATATAAGGGAAAACCTTGTAGGCGTCGGGGGTGATTGCCTCCATCTCCTTCTCGATGGCCGTTGTGAAACCCGTGGTACTAGCGAGTTGTCGGAGCTTTTGGACTTTGCGAACGAGTGGGATGAGTTCGACAATAGGTGCGACGTAGTCCCTTAGCGCTCTCGTGTAGACGTAAATCAACGCGTCCCAGAGGTTCTGCTCACGACACAGGCGGATGGCCTGATTAATGTCGAGAGACATAGGATCCAGATGCCATATGAGAGCTTCCGCTTTGACAAACTCCTCCTCCTCTTCGTGCATCGAAATGAGCTGCTGGGTGATCCATGGAGGAACGGCGGGTATCGTCCCGTCAAGAAGAAAAGGCTCTAGAGCCCTGAGGTAAATCCTCTGGATACCTGCGTTCTGATAGTGCTCCAAAACCTCCTCAAAAAGGAAGTCTAGTTCATCAAGAGCCTTGCAGGCGCGAACACAGGTAGGAACGAGTCCCTCAAAAAGATCTGTACGGTCGACTCCTCTGTTATCTGCGGTGCGATGAGTCGCATCCGTCAAGCGATCAAGAGAGAAGGCATGGCGGACAGAAGCTTGCATCAACTCGCGGAGTTGGTTGCCCGTCATCACCTTTCTAGCATCCTCTCGGCGCGGCAGCCCATTCTTGTTCCCAGGGGCAGTATCGAGGTGATACGCGGTAGCAAGTTCGATAGCTGCCAACGAGTCTCCTCGCTCGACCAGACCAAGGATATGATCGGTCCAGGACAAGAGTGTTCCCACGAGAATATCTTTGACGCCCTATAAAAATTAGTTGTCGCTTGTGGAAACTATCGGAGTACTCACCAGAACGAAAATCTTGCCCTTGTAGGCGCAAATGCTCTGCTGATACGAACGCAACTTGATCTGTTCAATTTTCACCCAGATATGCGAGATATTCATGATGAGAAATTTGGCCTTTTCAATCCTTTGGCACCCGTCTCGAATATCCCAGACTTCGATCGAAGCGTCCAAGAGCAAAAGTACTTGCTATAAAAGGGTTAGAATTACCGTAAATTTGTACCATTCACTCACATGGGCGTTTAGCCATTCTACAGCCTTAATTTCACCACCGGCCGTCCAGGAGCCGATTTGTTGGAATTCCAGCTTTGCTTGCTCATGTGGGATACCCCTCTTTTGAGATTTAACGAGGCGCTCGTCGAGCTCCTCGCGAACTGTAAGGACAGTAACCGCTTTTCCCCATGTATAAACCAAAGTTGGCACCGTATTCTTGGCACCTCCTGGTGTATCTTCGTCTTTGATTGTCACCGCAGGATACCATGATAGACATCCTGCTACTGATACACGCGTCTCCTTGAGTGAAGCGAACCGATCCTCCACACGTCGCTTTCGCAGCCATGTCTTTGCAACTGGTTTCAGCGCAACGATGACCAGTTTTAAGGGAGTAAGAATGGCGATGATGTTGTACGCATCAGTCGCGTTCGGAATAGCACCCAAGGGAAGAGGAGCCATGGCAAGGATGTTGGGAGATTGTCTAATCCAGCGAAGTTTCCGCCCATCTCCACGAATAGTGGAACGTGGGCTTTGATTACCCGGTTTGGGAGATTGCACAGCAGCCTGAGCTTCTTCTGGGTACTTCCCAAGGAGTCGAAGTACGTCTGTCGCCTCGACAAAGAGAACTTTGCCTAGACTGTGGTAGAACACGAGTCCATGCTCATCGGAAGAAACGACTGCGGTATGGCGCGCTCCTACGAATGCGATGTGCGTGATACGTGACCGGTGCAAGTGTCCTTCCCTCCTTCCAGAGAGCACAGCAGCGCGGGGAAGAGTTGGGACGGTTCTCACAGGCTTTGAAGGATCCGCAAGGTTGAACAGATGCATTTGCCCGTCCATATGCCCGACAGCAACGAAGGTGCGGTCTTGCGATAGGGCAATGGCACTAACCATGGAACTATCCTTTGCTAGCCAATGTTTGGTAAAAAAAAATACTCATAAGCGTTGACCTGACTCACTTGCACAGATGCATTTCAAGTTTTGCTTGAAATCGAATACGTAGACCCTCCCGAGGGTCGTACCGATGCAGATCAACCCATTAGCGGCCATCACAGTTGGTGCTTCTGCGTTTCCCAAAACGCTTGCGGCCTTTGGAGGAGCAACAGAGTTGGTTCGTATTCGCTCCAGGATGCTTTTCATGGTCGACCATCGGAATGGTGTCCTTTCGTGTTTGTATTTTCCATTAGCACCATGAGGTAGAATTTCAACATCTTGAAGGTTTGAATTCGACGACGTGCGCGAAAGTGCAGACATGTGCGAAGGAGTATCACCTCCGTGAGGCTGCTCCGAGACAGATGGAACTGGTGACGCCGAAGCTGCTCCGAGATGTGACCGCAAACGGGAGACATTTGGATGCAAGAAGCTGGGACGGGTGAGTGTAACTTTAGGAGTCGGTGAAGGGGTCGAAATGTCGCGGGGAGGTTCCTATGGACGTGATAGTAGCCTATAAGCACGTAATTATTCATATCAAAGATGTCACCCACTGGTTCGTCACTGGGTTCGGGGTTCGACGGTGCTGAGCCTTGGAGCAGCTTTCCGACATGCTCTGCGTCCTCGAGCTCATCCAGTTCGTCAATATTCTGCTCTAATATCTCGCTAAGCTGTTCCTTGTAGGGCCCAGAAGGCTCAGCATCTTCTCCATCGTACACGAATCCTTCGCCAGAGTCTTCATCGCTGTCGTGTTGCTCATCTCCACTGCCTAGAATATCGTCCATGCGAGACGCGTAGTCTCTGTTGTCCTCTTCTATCTCAAAGTGATCATCCATCGGCGAGGACGTGCTCATATGGATGCAAACAGAGGTCAAGTTTCAAACTGGACCGCTCCACCTCGAACACTTCAGTTTCTTTGTACATCAAGGATATCAAGAATATATACAGTTCAAGATGGAGCAGCAAAGCATTATACAAAAAGGTCGTCGCTCAAAGCGTCAAAAATATCTCTGACAATCCTCTCAGAGTAGTAGTCCAACGTATTCACAACTTCTTGTGTGAATTCTATCTTGACTCTCTTCTTGCCTCGAACCGTGGCCTCCTTCTCTCTGACTGTCTTGACACACTTGGAAAATTCCTCTGCGTCAAAAAGGACTAGATGGTGGTCAATAGTATTATAAGGATGTCATTCCCTCTCACCAAGCCCCAGCTTGCGTCGTCGCTGCCACTCATCCACAATGGAACGCAGCCCTTGGTCAGAAACAGTCCTCAGGTCGGACGTCCTTCGAGCAAACTGAAATGCATGAGAATAGTGGTTTACACTGACATTTTCTCACTTGTTTCAATTGCTTGAAGACCTCTTCGACCTGATCCTCGACGTTCGTATCTGTGGTATTCCCTGGCTCATACTCCTCTCTAAACCTGGGTAATCGCTGAGCTGATTTACTTGGTGGATCCGGTATGCTGTCCTGGGAGTATGGCTTTGAGAATTGACCCTCGTCATCAGCATCCATCGACATGTCCGCGCCATCTTGAGAGGGCTCCTGTAGCATATTGAGCACATCCTCTGATTCGTCGTAGTCATCGTCTTCAATGCTTTTCGCATCTTCGTCCATGAGAGGTTGTGTCGTGAGCCCAGGGGGGCGATGTCTTCGAGGTCGTGGAACAGGTGGTTTCGGATACATCCAATGAAGGACGCGATCCAGCTTGACAGTCCTCTAGAAATATGTCAATCAGACATAATTTATACCATTGAGCACACCAGTCCAATCATAGGTCGCAATTGCATCCACTTGGAGAGTTGACATTCAAAATCAAGAGCGAGTACCCCAGTTGCTGCCATATACTCAACAAGAACTCGTGCACGGGACTCATTGCGGAGTGCTTTGGCTACCCGTCTGACTAGCTCGTGTTTAGGCACCGAATAATCTCTCTGAAGCTGCTCCTCAATAATATGGAGCTCGGAGGAGATTTCTTCTGGAGTTACGCAATTCTCCCGCATGTCGCAGACATCGCAAGCTTCGCAGTTCCCGTTCTTGCTCAAGGTGTGCGCTTGCGTTGAGTAGATCTTCATCTGGGGTCCGGAGAACTGTGTGGGCTTGCGATCAGCAAATGGAGCCACAATGTGCTGTCTCCGGCAGGACCGCACGTCGAGGCAAAGATTGACGACCTGTTGTATACTCTCTCGTTGTTCATGGGAAAGCTCTCGAGTTTTGTCACCAGAGGCTAGGGTGACCTCCTCTGCAACGACGCTCGCGACTCGCGCAATGTCGCTAAAGTTATAGACTGAATCACACATGTGAGAATGAGAAATTTCGCTGGTACCATATACATAAAATGCATTTACTTGGGAGGCCATCTCTGCCTAAGAGCCGTCAGTTTGCAAAATGTGGAAATAATAGAGCTACCTGCTCTCCCGGTTTCCTGCAGAACAATGAGATGATAGCTATGATATATTATATGTGCGTACCTGGTAATACGCCTCCAGTGTCGGGGGTATGGAATAATGGAAAACGAAATGGACTGTTTGTTGGTGAGACAGGAGAACTATACTAACATATCACATACCGCCATTCTTGTCGATTCCTTCAGCAAATGCGCTCTAATGCAATGAGGACGTCTGTCCAGAAAGGAACTAGAACAAACTCACCGTGCAAACAATTGCCTGAAGTGTACCAGAGTGAAAGTATTGCAGTACCTGATTCAACTTTTCCTGGACACCACTATGATAGAAGTCGACCGAGAGGCCTTCCTCCTGTAGTAGCCTGGCCACCCTCATGGCTTGGTTCCTTGTTCGCGCAAAGATGAGCCCACTCTCGTCTGGATGTTCTCTTTCAGTGATGGGGACACCCTGTTAGCATAATCAGGAAAAAACACTAACCAGACTCACTCCATGTATTGTGCGATAGTGCGCACTCGGAAGTGAGCCTCATTCCTTGGCACGTGGATGACGCTATAGTGAATGTTGGGTCTATTCGAAGAATTCGTTATACGAAGGCATGTGCCTGTCATGTCCAAGCTCTCGGTGAGCCGGAGAAGCTGCTCTTGAGTGGTTGATGCAGAGATCAATGTGAAAGGAATGTCCGGATATTGTGTGCGCAGCCTAAACACGCTAGAATATGCACTACGAAAGGTGCTCTATATATAGTGAATATAGTATGAACAGAACCTGAATCATGTTTCGTACCAGAGCTGTGTGAGCTTCATCTATCACAAATCGAGCAACGTGACCCTCATTACATAGAATTGCAAGAAAATCGGCATGTCTTCGATTGTCCAACCACTCCGGACAGACGTAGAATAGTCGGGGTGAGTCTATTGTGAACGGGAGAAGTTTTCGTTCGTCCCTCTGGCTCTGATGTGACCTGGAGAATAGTGAGCAAGCACAAATTTGTTCCGGAAATCATACCTTGCCGCTAATCCAACAGGGAGACTGCGTATCTGATCCTCAATCAATGCAACCGTGGGCGAGAAGACCACTGTAAGTTTTGGAATATACAAGGCTGGCAGCTACGATCTCAATTGGATGCCTTGATGTCGTTTAGAACATACTTGGTAGCACAGAGATTTACCCGCGCCTGTGGGGAGTGACATAATGAGGTCATAACTATCTGCTATTAGAGATCACAGCTGAGAGTTCTTGTTTTTACCCTGATATTGCTGCATTTATCGCCGGAGGCTGATTTGGAAGAAAATCACTTTTGCCAAAGACACGCTTCAATATTCTCAGGAGGGCCGGGAATTGGGGAGTAGTCTAGAGACTACGTCATTTGGCTTCAGACTGGTACTACTGGCTTGCCCTGTATGAGATCGCCAGGCCGATGTTTGGTTTCTTCACGATGCTCCCTTCTGGAGGAATCGTCCAATAGGGTGCCTTGGTGGATTTTGGAGGGCGTCTCCGTTTAATACAGTATATGGGTTCATCTGATGACATTGTGGTCGCCGAAACCTGTGGCATCGTGTGGTTCAGGCCAAGGTTGAGACTTTGTCCCTGCCCGCATTCGCCTCCGAGTGATTGCATGTTATTTGTCAACTAGAAACTAACGTACCGTGTATAGTCTCTTTCAAATACTTGGGCCTATTTTCACCACGCGAGTGCTCCATGTTCATTCGCGAGCCTCATTTACAAGCAAGCCTCTGACATACAAGACTCGATACTATACCCCTCGCACGTGAGTTTGTATGATCCACAATAGTGACTTTATTGACTTCCACAGACACCCATTCAGAAACCGCCGATGGCAAACAGAAGAACCCTCAACGAGCAGACACATGGTTCCGGTCGCAAGGGCGCTTTGAGCGTCTCTTCGGTACTTTCTAATTCCTCATCGAATACAAACCTGGCCCCTTTCGAAGGCTTAGCGCCGGATGAAGTGTCGTTCATAGAAGCAATCATTTCTCGGGTTAACCCAGCCGTCACGACGTTTGTCCCAGTATTCAAGGCTTATCAAGACGAATTTGAAGAGTGTGGGCGAAGTGCATCCGATGACCAGTTTTACTACAACTTGCTGTTGAAGCTGGGTATGATTCGCGCGGAAAACTGGCACGAGAAATGGAGGATAGTAAAAGAACATTTCGGGTACTCCTCTTCGTCGTTTGTAGGCTCGACTATCAGACAAGGCGGAAAGTACCAACCCAAGGACGACGAAGACGATGCTTTTACCCTTCACTTCGCAAGCTGGCTCGGCCACGAACAATACTTCCCCAGGTTATAAGGCTCTAGTCACACCGAAACAACCAAAAGCGACTCGTACAAACTATCTCGATTCACAGACGGAATCCACTCAACCTTCCTCGTCCAATACACGAGGACTCTCCTCTATCCTTCGGGAATCTGGCCATCGTCGGTCTTCATCAGCAACCACCAAATACGAAGAAAATGCCATTGAGATTGACCGACCTACACACGTTAAATCCAAACAAGCAGGCGTCCGTTCCACCGCACCAAGATTGTCTTCAACATCTTCGAAGCCAGTGTCGACAAGAGATGATGCTGAGACGTGGAGAATAATCGAAATGGAGCGAGATGCAGACTTGTTCCGACGCGAGTCTCTCATGGCTCGGTGTCTCGACGTCTGGATCAAAGGGCTCAAGTGGGTAGAAGCCACGTCTACACAACTGGATAATGCCCGGACTGAGTTCTTACTCCGATCTATCCTAAATATATGGCGAGTCAAGGCGGAAGCTGCGATGAAAGAGACCAAAAAGGCCTCTGTCATGCATCGCTTGCGAGTGTTAAACTCGGCTCTGTTCACTTGGAGGCGTCGCGCATGGGAGAAACGCCGACAGAGATGGGCCAAGGACATGCGAGGTCTCATGACGGTCATGCAAAGCAAGGTTCAGCAACGACTGCTACAGCAATACCTTCTGGTGAATTTTGCACCCAGCCCTTATTATACTGACAAGTTCTAGTATTGGAGACAGGCCCAGACGATTCGCTCCACGGGACGTCAATACGATGCAGGACTTCTTCGTCGGTCTCTCATCACTTGGTGCAGTCGGTTGCGGCGTTTATCGGACTTGAGTCGCGACGCAGACAAGCTGAAGGAAATTAACAATGCCGTCGTAATTGAAAAGGCACTGGCAACCTGGAAGCGTCAAACTCACTTTAGGATTGTCACAAACCTATTGAGGAAGCGGCAGTCGGAACGCATCCAGTGGCAATATCTTCAATTCTGGCAGCAGAAGACGTGAGCAGCAGTTCAGGCTGTCTGACATCAGCTAACCGTTATAAAAGTCAAATCTATTCCGTAGCTGGAGGCTTTAGTGACGCTCGAATCCTTCGTGAGACTCTACGGAAGTGGGTTCGCAGAAGGGCTCGGTTGCAGGTTCGTTCTATGCATACTCCTTTATCACTACTAATATTCATCAGTATATGGAACGCCGAGCAATTGCACATCAAAACAAGCCTCTCGTCCGTGCCGTCGTTCATATATGGCTCACAAAATCCCGCCTACAAAAGTGTTTAATCATACAGAACCACCGTGTATTGTCCAAGGCACTCGATGCGTGGATTGCGCGACTCCAGCAACATCGCGACATGCAGCAGCAGGCTCTGGTCTTCCGACACCAGCACGACAGTAGACTGCTCGGTGACTATACCAGGAAATGGGCCCTCGAGTTAGCCTCTCAAATGCGTTTGGAGAGAAGGGCCCGACGATACTATGAATCGACCCAAAAGGCTATGACTTTGATCCGCTGGCGAACAAAGATGAAACAGAATGCACGAGCGGGCAAGAATGCCAAGTTGGCTCGTCGCATCTTTCTCGAGAGGATGGTTTGGCAGAGATGGAGAGAGGCATTTGAACGCAAACAAACGGAAAGAAAACTGGCAATGTTTGTCAATCATCGCCTTGGCGTCATCATCAAGAGATGGTCCTCCAAAGCGAAAGCGATGAGAAACCTGAAGAGAAAGGGAGAGGTTGTGCTTCTTACTCAGCAATCAGTGAGTCACTCTAGCCCCCGACGAAGAAATGATCCCAAACAGAGAAGCGAATACTACGCGAGGCATTGAGGGCATGGACCCTGCGTGTGGTTTTCTTGAAAGATCGAGAGTACAGTATCCTGCAAGCGCGCAAGGAAAAGCTCCTTCAGTCAGTGTATAAAGTGATTTGAAAGCATTGATTGACATAGCATAGTCACTTCTTTATCAAGTGGAGGAGATCGTTGGATCAGCATAGGGAGAATACCAGCTTAATGCAAAGTTTCCAAGATGTCCGCAGAGAAGGTATGGGCTCTTTTCTCTGTGCATTGGATACTCAAACAGTACAAAGACCTGATCCGCCGTGTCCTTGGTCAATGGCGACATGCAACACGGCGACAGCGATCTCTTCTGGTCAGAGAGGAAGAGTTTAAGAAGGCCATATTGCTTCAAGCACTTGAAAAATGGCGAGACAAATTCTTGGAGATTAGTCTTCAGCCAATTGTACGGTCCATGCTTGATGCCCGAGACATTCTAACCAGCTGCAGGAGTCGGATGTTTTGATGTTATCGCAGACAAACCTATTATTCAAGATGTTCCGTCTCTGGGAAGCTCGAACCACCGTAGGTGATAGAATATCCTGCTTCGCACGCTGACCGTTGAAAGTCGGTACCGGCAATCCGCTTTCGTGCCTATTACTTACGAGCACATGCTTGGGCAAAGTGGAAGGCGGCTATGCCTGGTGCAATGAAGCGCAAAGAGGCCAGAGAACACGACCAGCGCAAACTTGTTGGTAAGTGGAGGAGTGAATGCCATCTATGGTCGATCTAACTATTCGCTAGGTCGTGCATTCGCCAGATGGAAAGAAAAGTACAGGTCAAAGATAGCTCTCAAGGCTGTCGCGTGCGTCACTTCTTCTGGCAAGGCTTTCTACTTATGCATCACAGCCGAGCGCGATACTTGCGTCTTCCACCCGCCCCACCCAAGCCTTCCACATCTCGCCTCAGTATCGGAATACCAAAGAATCCTCCAAGGTCCTATCGTTCCGCCAGCCCAGAACGAGAGCCTGTTTCACGACGTGTGTCAGCAGTATTTCCCCCTCGAGCAGAATCGAACCGTGCACCCAGTCCTACTTCCACCAAGGGTAGTCTTACTGGATTGGATCTTCCTAAAAGGAGACCGCTGTTTGGTGCACCATCGAGTATTGAAGATCCCGCTCATCGCTAGATGAGCGTGTTAGGAGTAGCCTCCCTTGGGACGGTCTTGGTGGGACGCGCTCTCGTGCTCGAGCTGCATTCTCCGCCGGCATCAGTCGTCCATCTGGTGCATACCAGGGGGGCCGACTCGATAGTGATAGCGATTAGATTCTGGTGCCCCATACCTTGCTCTTGGATCTGTACATTATAATTTACATGTTTCGATGGACAGCGTCCTGGATAAATACGCCGTGTTAGGACCCATCTGGCACTGACACTTGAACCCATCCTCGACATTATGGATAGGAAGCGTCCACTGGAAGACAATGCGGACGCATCAGTCACTAAGAAGCCAAAGCTGTGAGTAAATTTATGTAGCTAGAGTTGTGGACCTGACTCACTGCCGCACAGGGATGGGAATGTAAGGCCGCTACAACCGCCAGGCGCCGTGATACTTACGAGTACACCATTTAGGCAGAAGACATGATAGCAAAAGCAAAAGCTGCAATTGCTGCGCGTCTCGGAAAAGCTGGAATCACACCTGCAACGTCAGTAACCAAGCCAGTTGCTCCTCCGCCCAGTTTACCACCAAAACCAGTGGCAAACTCTTCGAATGCGGGCTCTGTATCTTTACCAGATAGGGAAGAACTCGCTCGACGCGTAGAAGAGGCCAAACGCCGTGTAGCCAATGCCACGACGCAACAGCAGCTGAGCGCCAACCCTTACATCGTGCGTACTCCTCTAGCATCATCATATTGGATATGATTCGAACTAACGTTTCTTCTACTCAACTTTTTAGCCGCCCCCGACTATGGGAAAGAAGAAAGTGGTCATAGCGGAGCCGACTGCCCCGCAAGGAACTGGTCTCAAGACAAAGGCACATCCACTGCTTCTCGAGACGGCAGCAACGGCAGCAAAGCCTTCGCAATCAAAAAAGGACCGCTATAAGCCCATGGCGCCCAAATTTGCATCGACAAAGGCGAATGCACGCATCGCAGCGCCGACGACAACGTCGCTGGAGCCCATAAAGGCAAATCCTTACACAAGTCGTGCTATGCCTCATGAAGGATTCGAAGGTGCACCAAAGGAACGCATTGGGCGGCAGCTGCAATTCAGCACCAAGGGCAAGTACATCGCCAAAGCGAATCAGATGCGAAACGAGGTATTTAATTTTAATCAAATCCCTTCTTTGTATTGACATACTGCATAGGCTCAAATCGAAGCTCTCAAGCAACGCGTAGCAGCCACTGCACAGAAGGCCGGCTTGGAGAGTAACTTTGATGTGGTAGAGCGTAGTTTTAGGGTGTGTTTCATCATATCACTTGGACATGCAATGATTTATGGCTATAGCGCGAACCACCACCCGAAACGGAATGGTGGGATAGGAGTTTGCTTCCAAACAAGACGTATGACGATGTTCTGAAAGGTTCAGATGCTTTGAACATTCGCAACGAAAGCTCGCCGATTACCAAGTATATTCAGAACCCCATTCGTCTGCCTCCTCCTGGGGACAAGAACAAGCTGGCTCCAAAACCACTCAAACTCACCACCAAGGAGCAAAAGAAGCTTCGCAAGCAACGGCGTGCTGCAGAATTGCAGGATCACCAGGATCGTGTTCGAATGGGCCTTATTCCCCCTGATCCTCCCAAAGTCCGAATCTCAAACATGGTCCGCGTTCTCACCAATGACGCCGTCACGGATCCGACAAAGTTGGAGGCAAAGATCAGGAGAGATGTGCAGGCGCGCAAGAATGCTCACGAAAAGGCAAACCAAGAGCGCAAGCTGACAGCCGAGCAACGCCATGAGAAGCTTGAAATGAAAAAACTAGAGGATGAGAAGAAAGGGATTTATGGTACATTGTTCAGGTACGCTCTCTTTTCTTGCACCATTCAGATACTAATCTGTGTGTAGAATCAAGAAGTTGACCGATCCATCGCACCAGTTCAAAGTGGTCAAGAATGCACAGCAAAACGGCCTCACTGGAATCTGTATCATCAATCCCAACGTGTGTCTTGTTTACGTCGAGGGTGGTAGCAAGGGTATGAAGCACTACACTCGACTACTTGAACATCGAATCGACTGGACGCAGCCTTCCCGTCGGCGCGATAAAGAGGAAGACGAGGAAGGAGAAGATGCAGATGAGGGGGGCGCAATGGAGACGACTAAATCCGGAGATGCCGCCCAAGACGAATCGTCGCTTGCTGATAACCGCTGCGATGTCTTGTGGCACGGCAGCATTTCGGAGCATACGTTCCATAGCTTCAAGTCGATCAAGGCTCCGACGGACAATTTAGCGAGGGAACAACTCGGCAGCAAGTTCGCCAACTTTTGGGACAGCGTAAAGAATTGGAAGCCATCGGATGAGGAGCTCTTGATGGCAGATTAGTTGGGTATGTGGTGTAAAGGAGCGGGTGCACACATTGGTGCTGACTAAGGATACAGAATGGTGATAATATGGCTACAAGGTAGAGAAATGTTATGAGGTGTTTGAGCGTGAAACCTTCTGCTTCAGATTGATTTTCGTCAGCAAGCAGTATAAATACTCGTACGGATATGTCTCTTACCTTCTTTTTCATCTTTCTTCTGTTGCGCGCGGCAAGTTTTTGCCGTCTGGCGAGCTCTAGGGCGGCGTCCTCCTCAAAATCGCGCTGTGCAGAGATTGAAAACGTTTCGAGGATTTGTTTCTTTGAGTTTGAATACTCCCACGACGAGTCTTGTGTCAGTCGAAGAGTCGGCCACGCGTCGTCTTCTTTTGGCACTTGACATTGAGCATCCAGAACGGTGAGCTCGGTGGCACGTTTGAGGAGAGGGAACCGAAGCCTTTTTGAATAACTTCCTTTGAGGAGTCGGTGCAATGGTCTAGTCGTCGCGCTCGATGCAGGGAAGATTGTAGGGAGCAACAAACTTGTCGATGGTGCTGGTTCTGCCCTGAATACAAGACGCTCTGTGAGTCCAAGCTGTCTCCTAGTCTCGATGTACCGCCCAGAAGACGCAGTATGATTGAAGAATGCGACGCGGACGTGCGTTTCTGCGACTCGTTGATGGAGACTCGCGAGATTGGCCAAGACTATTGAGAAGATGTTGAAGAATGCGATAAGAATGGACACAGAAGAGATTAGAAGGATATATGTTCTACGAGCGAGCATTGTGGAACAAATGCAGGGAGTGGCGGAGAGCAAGCTTCAGCAAGGCCTTTGGAGAATGCAAGCTGGGGCTACACCAATTAGATATGCGATACAAATCTACGTCCAAGATATCAAAATTCGTCGAAACCGCCGCCGACGTTAGCGTTCTGTCGGCGGAGAAGAAGATGTAATCTCGATGATCTCGCCGTTCGAACCATTTCCATTTGCTCCGTCCGCCGCATGCTTCTTTGATGTTGCCTTGGCGCTTGAAACGAGCTGGTCGAATTGGCTTTATTATTTTCCTGTGACGGCTGTCAAGACAAATCAGAGGTGAACACGAACCCACCAGCCACTCCTGGGCATCATCGACTTTCGGAGGTGGCTTCGCTTTCAGCCGGCCCTTTTCCCTTCTCAGTCAATCAGCACTAGGCCAGACAGAGGTGTCAGCGAACTTGCCATTCTGCCATTTCTTTGAGAAGCTGCGACTTTGTTCGAGGGTTTGTGGCATCTACCTCCGCATTCCATAGGTTCACCCATCGTTCGTGTCGAAGCTTGAGCTGGGCGAGCTCCCCCTTATCACTCAGGCCAATGTCCTATTCTCTGTCAGTTCTGGTAGCATAGCCAGCAAAGAACCAACAGCTATCAAATCTCGAAGCTGTTTCAAAGACTTGAGGTCATAGTTCATCTTGGGTATCCTTCTGCTGGGTATCTCGTCCGCTTGATTTAGCTTTCCTTTCTTGCTATTATGTCATTAGATTGATTGCGTGACCGACGTGAACAAGCCGTACCTCGAACCAAAGACATTCGCCCAAGCCTTTGCTTGTCCGTTCGAAGGTTTTGTCGCTTCTGAAGCCCTTTGAATCTCTTCTATATCTTCCTGATCAAGCTTGCAATTTTTATCCAGATGCAGGTTGATGTACTCCGAGTCCACTATATCGTCGCACACTGGGCAGGAAACCATCGTTCGTCCTGAGATAGCTTCAGCGTCAGAATAATGTATTTTAACCAATGCATACCCTTGGCCTTGGTGGGTGTAGCCTGAATTCCCTTGCTTGAGCCAGCACCGGATGAAGATCGATGATCAAGCCTGGGAACTTTGGAGGTAGTGGCGACACTCTCCATCGACGTATCCGAGCGACGTCTTTTGCGCGATAGAGATAGCAGAGGCTGCAACGATTGAAGTTCGAGCCGTAAAAGTAGTGCGCTGTGGCAAAGGTTGGCCAAATCAAGATAAAGATACGGCTGAGGCATACCGAGTTTGCTTATAAGCTTCCGAGATTTCGGAAAGCATGGTGTTCCGCTTGAGTTGGCCGTCTGTTACGGTGGTTTGACACACGGGACACTTTCCAGCCGCGACTGTAAGACTTTCGCGGATACACTAGGTACTATACTTTAGAAAGAGTCCAGGCAGCTGAATATATGGAAAGTTTACCAAGCTACAAAATGAGTGGGAACAGGGGGTGATCATTGGAGACGTGATGAGATCTTTACAGATGCTGCAACGAAGACTCGAATCAAGTTTGATCAATTGATCGTTTGAAAAGTCATTAGGTTCGGTTATAGAGTACAAGTCGGCGTCATCCATGGTATTGGTCGAGTCCAAGATTAAAGATATGTTAATTAACTAGATCCTTCCTCGAGCAACGAGCACAGTTTTTCCCATTCTCCTGTATGCATATCATAAGTATGTTCCTCCGCTGGGAATTCGCGGCTTTGGACGGCGGAGACGTAGTCATTAACACCTTGGGCCGCGACTTCGCCAAGGTTGGCAAACCGGCGGACAAACTTTGCCTTATGTCCAGTCCAGTTACCCATTGCATCGTCCCAGACGAGGACCTGGCCACTACAGCCTTTGCCGGCACCAATCCCAATGGTAGGGATCGAAAGTGTGTCGGTAATAAGCGAGGCGAGCTTGTGAGGAATCGCCTCGAGAACCATTCCATATGCTCCGGCGTCTTGGAGTGCCTTTGCTGCGTGTAACAGCAAGAGTGCACCTTGGGCATCGCGACCTTGGACGCGATACCCTGACAGAGCGGCGGCACGCTGGGGCATGAGTCCTATGTGCGCCATGACAGGAATCCCAGCCGTTGTGAGTGCTTTGACAATGGGAACGACATCCATACCGCCTTCCAGCTTGACACTTTCCGCATTCCCCTCTTGGATGAGCCGGACAGCGTTGCGGATAGCGTCTGCTACGGAGACGTGATAGGTTCCAAATGGCATATCCGCGACGAGATGGGGCGTCTTGCATGCTCTTGCGACCGCTCGGCAATGGTGGAGCATTTCGTCGAGGGTAAGTGAGGTCGTCTTGTCGTAACCGAGGCAGACCTGTGCCACAGAGTCTCCAACGAGACAGATATCGACGTTTCCGAGCTCGCAGCGTTGACCAGTTGGATAGTCGTAGGCCGTCAAGACGCTAATTGGTAGGTTCCTCCGGCGCATCTCGGCAAGCCGCGCCAGAGTCACTTTTTTCTCTGGATAGTCCCGTGAGTTCAAAAAGCCACCGGAGATGCGCATACTCACTGGGCGTCGCTGCCGGTAGCTCCTGGGGTCGAAAGCTCATAAATCGTCTGCCAGTGTGTGCTAGAGAGCGTCTAGAGAATTCTCTAGATATTCTTGAAATTATTGGACGCATTCCGAGGCGGGAATTGGTGGTTTTTAGGGAGATTTATGGGCTGACTCAAGGAGCGCGCGTCAAGAGTGGCTTCATGTGAATTCTTTTCCGCCACCTTGTCAAGGCCACTAGAACACTTTGTCAATAATATCATGCAAATTTACGACAACTTTGTCAATAGCCCGCTCCTCACAAACACCTGGTCCCCCGCACATGAAGCGGTCAGTTGGCGCCCTTTGCTGCTTCTCGCCGAGAGTTTGAGCGTTTCACAGATTCTGCTAGAGCCATACACGTACATGACTTCGCAACCTGGCAAGGACTTTCGGACAAAGATGACTGCAGCGTTCAACGACTGGCTCAAAGTGCCCGAGGAGCAGCTCTCTCTCATCGCAAAGATTGTTCAGATGCTCCATAATGCCAGCTTGCTGTACGTGTCATGCTCCCAGACGCCGTCTATTCACCGGCCCCATCTAGGATGGACGATGTCGAGGACGATGCCCAAATGCGACGTGGAATCCCCGGTCCGTCTTTCTTCCTTGTCTTCGCCTTCTAAACGATCTAATGGTTCATTTCAAGTCGCACACAAGATCTACGGTGTTCCTCAGACGATCAACTCTGCCAATTATGTCTACTTTCTCGCTTACAAGGAGCTATTCGCGCTCCGAGCATCCGACGACTCGCACGAGGGGCTAGATGAGATTGTAAATGGTAATTTTTCTCCATCTAAATAACTACAAATCTCACAATGGACCCAGAGGAGTTTCTCAACCTACATCGGGGTCAAGGGCTCGAAATGTTCTGGCGCGACAGTCTGCAGTGCCCAACCGAGGAAGAGTACATTAGCATGGTCAACAACAGTGCGTGTCGCTTCACTCATCTGCCCACAATCTGATCATCACCAGAGACTGGCGGCCTCCTTCGGCTTGCTGTGAAACTCATGATGGCAAAGAGCGAATCGGAAATGTATGCGCACCCGGGTGTAATTCGGTTCTTTCCTTACATTTCTAGAAATTACGTCCCCCTTGTCAACCTCATTGGGGTCTATTTCCAGATCCGAGACGACTACATGAACCTACAGTCGGATCAGGCATGTCACCGTCTCTCAATTACTCAGCTCATCTGATTGGCCCCTAGTATGCAGTGAACAAGGGCTTTGCCGAGGACTTGACAGAGGGCAAGTTTTCGTTTCCAGTGGTGCATGCAATCCGGTCCAGCACCTCCAACCGTCAAATAATAAGTATGTTCCTAGCTATTCATGGCGGCCATATGTCTCAAGCCAGACAGATGTTCTTCAAAAGAGACCGTCAACTCCAACTACAAAGCGATACGCAGTCGAGCACATGAAGAGGGTTACGCATTCGTTTGCTTATACCCGCTCTGTCCTCAATATCCTCGACAAGCAAATAAGGGAAGAGGTCCATCGTCTAGGTGGAAATTCCAAGCTCGAGGCGCTTCTGGACCAACTTACAGTTCCGGACGCGGACGATGACGAAGCTTCTGAGTAGCAATATATTTCATTCTCTCATTCGAAGTGGTCGAATGCGATAGGTATTGACGGGACATAGCAGTCTGTTGGTTGTTATTTATTGTAAGCCCGGCTCCGTTCGCTTGCCAGTCGGATAGCCCACGTGAGCTCATATGTCCTACAGGCATCTGTATCTAGAGTCAGAACGCTATCAATCATTCGTATTTTACTCATACCTTCAAAGCTGCTTAGGATTTCAGATGCCAAGGACCCCTGTTCGATCACATCGATGATTGTCGACACCTCAAACCAAAATCACAAAGGTTAAGTCACTGGACAGTAAAATCATACCTCGGAGAGGAACGGATCGTCTTGCTCAAATGTGTATACCTCATCCAGATCGGAGCCTGGGCGACGGACGTGAAGAATAGGCGCATTGTATGGATCAATGAGCCTTCAAATGTCAATTTGGGTGCCCTTTATCATGTAACACTTACTTCAGGAGATAGCCGTCGCAGTAAACCTCAATCTCGCAGGAATAGGCTTTGCCTTGAAGTGCAACCAAGTGAGTCAGAGTTCCAACGGCACCGCTCTTATATTTCCTGGGTTTCACTGTTCAAACTCGACCCGATCTTTAGCAATTGAAAACGTACCAGTTGGCGGTCGTGACTCGCGGAATGCGATTCTCCGGCTCGATGGTACTTTCGTCGATGCGAATCTTGGAGAGCCTACCAGGATCTTCATCCCATTCGACAGAATGCGCTTGTACGCTGGCAATCTCGACGTCGCCACCAAAGTAGCGGGACAGGTCGCAGAAATGCGTGCCTTGCTCAACGATAGGACCACCGCTATCTCCCTCTCAGAGAATAGTGGCAAGAAGAAGATGAGATATGCACCTTAGTGGTTTGTTCCACCAATGGGACTTTGCAATTGACTCGTAAGCGCATGCGTACCGCGCAATCGTACACATGACGGTTAGGTTGTTATCTTTGATAATGTTCTTCATCATTTGCACAGCTTTGAGATACCGGAGCATGTATCTGCCAAGGTTGATCAGGCTCAAGGCCAGGTGTCGGGTTTGCTATGTACCCGACTGAACAGATGACTTGAGACTGCTTAATCGCATTTGCTACCGTGAAAGCACGGGCTACTTCTCCAGCAGCTACAGGTTTCTCGACGAAGAGTGCAATTCCAGGGAACAGTTTCAGGAGTTGTAATTCGATATCTCTTCCGACTTGATCAGAGCCTCTAAATGCAGGAGGACAGCCTATAAGGATCATTCTGTAACGAGATAAGTCCCAGGACTAGCAGAGACAACCAGCGCACCTCGGTTTCTGCTCGGTAGTCATTGCGGCGGCTGCAAATTCTGCGACTGATTTGTAGGTTTGCGTACTCTCGTATGCAGATTTGACAAATGAGGCGCGCTTCTTGGCCAGGACGTCGGCGGATCGCTCAAGCACTGGGTCGATCAAAGCGACTACCTTCAAACGAGGACCAAGTTTTCTGGAATAGTGTTATGGTCAAGAGGAAGTGAAGCCCAATTGGCATATCCTACTGCTCGAGACGATAGCTATGATTCCATGGGCCTTCATCAGAGCCTGCAACGATCGTCAAGGTGCATCCTCGAGGTATGTATGCGTACCAAAGTTGACATTTCCAGCACCTATGATCGCAACGTTGAAATCATCTCCTGAGGATAGCTGGCTCTTCTCATGCCAGGATGGGATAGAATAGGTGACTGGGAGCATCTCCATTTTGGAACTTTGTCACGAAGGGGAGTGGAGCGTGTGGAGCGGTTGGAACCAAGTGATAGCCACAATTGTTACCGCGGTTGTATCCGACCTCTGAGTTTGCAAAGCATAAAGCTGAAATTTGAGCAGCGATGATATCAAAAATATGGCCTAGGCTCATCATTGCTTCCTATCGTAGTCTGCAAATGCTTTACGAGGCACTGTCGAAGCGGTTGAAGCGCTCGGAACCAATGCTGTCGGCGCCTATCAGTGACGAGGTTTGCATCTATATCAGAAGTGTGCATTATATAGTTCTCGGATGGGTTTCGGTGGTCATTTGGCAGCCCGTGTGCCTCTCTAACTGGTCAAATGTTCACGCTTGAATTCACTCCCACCAGAAGCGCGTCTGTTTCTGTCATCAAGACTACTGCGCCGACCTTTGGCGAGAGGCGCACATCTTGGACTCCGACCAAACCCGCCGCTTCCAGGCCATTTCACAGTTCTTGCCAACTCCAAGGCCGCAAAAGCTAGTGGGCTGTATTATGGACGAAGCTGGATGGCACGCTCTACGAAGAGTTAGTATCTCATCCCACGCTTCTAGGCACTTTGCCGCATTCTAACGCGTCTTCAGGCCGAAGCAGCATACCACGAACCATATGAGAGAAACCCTGATGGGTCATATCAACGTGAGCTATACTAATCCAGTGTGATTATGAACAAGCAGTTTTGATGTCCACTTAGCGATAGTCAATGTGAATCCTCTCAACGAGCCTTATATCACAGGCCCATCCAGATCGACGAGTGAAGCTTCTACTGGAAGTTGGGGTCCTCCTCCTGGACCTCCGCCTGGACATCAGGAGCGCCCACCTGCGTATCACGCTCCCGCGAACCATGCCGAGTCTTGGATGCCAAACGAGGAAAAGAGAGTATATGAAGAGAAACTAAATCCCACGCCTAGTGCCATTGAGCGATGTGAGTTCGTTCGTGTCTGACCGTGCAAATGTTGAGTGCCAAGATAGCAAGAGCCTACAAAGGCCTGGAAAAAATGAACCCTCACCTTCAGTTCTTGCGAGTATCAAATATCCTCTATATATACACGTCCTAACCACAGGCATAGATGTGGACCTTTGCTCCGATACGACACGGTCGAGAATGATACCTATTACGGCTCAGTGCTCATTGTAACTGCCGACGCCGGCTCGATATATTCTCCACATCCTCGCCTCACGCTCGAATGGGACCCAGAACGACCCTCATATCTACGGTCGTCCTCAACCTCGAGTCAATACTATGCTCCCGGATCTACACCCATGGGTGACCCATCTCATCCAGCGGCAGCGTATGGTGGCACAAGCTACAGTCGGACTTCCCTCCAAAGCACCGATAGTTACACGCCATCTGCCCGTGCGAGGACCAGCCTCATTAAAGCCCAGGAAATTTGGGTGTACCATGGTCCATATGGCTCATGCACATTCTGGAGGATGATGTTCGAAATACCTCTTTCTGAAAATGAGATGGCAATCACCTATCGGGTCAATGGAGGTCATGGCCTGCAGTTCTTCGTTCCCGGCAAAACGCAGAACATGCGCTGGGCCGCATACTCGGTACGTTTCAATCTTTTCGGCTCGCTTGGAAAATTCTTATTGAACCAATGGCTAGTGCAACGGATTCTCGGCTGGTATCAATGCAGACGAATTCAGAGGCCCAGGTCATGCGTCGGGTTTCGATCCTGTGTGGTCGGACCTCCTGGATCAGCATGCTGAGAAACCTTTTCATGTTCTTGTGGGTGGCGGGGATCAATTGTATTGCGACAGTCTCATGCGCGAGCCTGAATTTCAAGAATTCATCAACCTCACTTCACGAAAAGCAAAGCTCGCGTACCAGATTACCGATAGTATTCGAGCAGCTATTGATCGGTAAGTCCTTCAACCCGGTCCCAGGGTTACTCATCTCCTCTAGGTTTTACTTTAGTCATTATTGCTTGGTGTAAGCGCCTATGTCCATTGGAGCCTGCAAATCTTACGTCGACAGATTCCGAAACGGAAAGTTTGCACAAGCCAACAGCACGATGTGAGTATCAAGTACTCGTTGTGAACGCCACTAAGAACGACTAGTCCAATGGTCAACATGCTAGGTGTGTAGTTCGAGTTGAAGAATCTTGAGCTCATCAGATCCTGTACTAGATGACCATGATATGATTGATGTAAGAATTTCCTCACTTTCTTTTTACGGAACTGATCGAGTACTCTCAGGGTTTTGGCAGCTGTATGTGTATTTCACGCTCAAAGCTCTTCATGACCTCTTGTAGATCCTGAGGAACTACAACGCTCACCCATGTTCCAATTGATCGGAGACCGCGCATACCATTTCTTCCTTCTCTTTCAGTGCTTCGTGGTAAGCAACCTCCGACTATAATGCCTATAACTCAGACCGGTTAGGTCGACGCGGTAGATGGAATCGACTCGCGTCCTGGCAAGCACAGTACACACTCGATGTTGATAGGCGGAGCTGGGGCATGGATCCCTTACCCGTCACACAGTTTCCTGACGTACATGGGCCCAGCTACTGCGATGATTATGCTAGACTGCAGGTATGTGCCCATCGGATTGATCAGCCCTTAGCTAAAGTTGAATAGAGCAGAACGTCGATTGGATCGTGTGTGTAGTGAGACAACCTACCGCCGAATGTTCGACAGATTGTGGGAGCTACCCGCTTCGGTGAAGCATTTAGTCGTTCAGCTTGGTACGTACCCCGGCTCGTTGACCATACTGTAAGCTTATGCTTACCTAGGTATTCCTATTGGTTAGCATTGCCACCTCGAGGTGCCTATAGTCACTGAGATATACGCAGCATATCCGAGGATGAATTTCTTAGAGTACGTACATGTCATAGTGTCGAATAGGTGAAAGACCATCTTCTAGAACCGCCTTGGAATCCTCCTTCAATCCATTCATTGCACTCGGAAAGAAGGCATGTATTTCGCTTCGCTCTCCTCACGTGCTCATCTATATACAGGGCCAGTTGGGTATGGGCTCACTGGTTAACAAGTTCAACAAGGATGCTGAGCTGCTCGTGAGTGAATGAAGGCACATTGAATACATCTAATTGAGATCAGGATGATTTAATGGATCACTGGACAGCCGCAAAGCACAAGAAGGAACGGAATTGGTTTGTCGAGCAAATGCAAAACTTTGCCCTCCTCCGTCGGATACGGGTAACCTTTCTCTCTGGCGACGTGCACTGCGCGGCGGTTGGTGTATTCAAGACGCTTTCTCCAAATGCACCTGTAGACCCAAGGATGGACTATCGATATATGATCAACGTTGTGACATCCGCAATTGTCAATACGCCGTATGTCCTCTAGTGAGCGTGATACACCCTTCTAATAACGGACAGACCGCCGAATGGCGTGCAGACAATGGTCGCTTCGCTGAGTGACAAGCAGCACAAGTCCATGCACTATGCGCAGACAGTACGTATAAAGATAAATGTGGTCCCAAATCTAACAGATTCAGGACGAGACCATGATTCCTCTTTTCCAGAAGGATACCAACGGCAAGCCACCGAAATCGAAGAACATTATGGGCCGACGTAATTATGCAATCGTGGAATATGACTCAAAGACGGAGGAATTGCAGTTTGACATCAGAGTTGAGAAGCAGAAAGGAGTGGGTACGACAGTAGGGTGAGCCACATGATGAATTGCTTTCATGAGCTCATGAATTGTGCTAGGTATCCGATACGAACACCAGGGCCAGGATGGCAGGTACCGTGACCTAACTTATGAAGCCAGAGAAGGATATATCAGATATTTATTCGTCTACTTCCATTTCCCTACTTTGTTGCATAGGAGATTGAATAGCAGGGCTCCCTCCCTCCACCTTGACCGGCATAGGTGAACTCCCAGAACTGAGATCACGGAGGGCCGATGGTTCTCTCGACGAAGTTGCGACATCTAAGTACATCCCATACCCATCGTGGTCCCCACTTTGCGCCCTCTTCTGAGCACCAAATCCAGTATCGGACAGAGGCGGGGTAGCGTCTAGCTGATTGGCCGCTGGCGTAGATGCGGGTATCTGGGGTGTACTTCCTGGTTGTGAAGAAAGCGGTTGGGGTGTCCCAGAATGTGCGCGTGTAGATGCACTATTCCCCCTTGCAGAGGCCGCTTGTGCACCCTCTTTCTTTGCTTTACGGCGAGCTTCATCTCGCTTTCGTCTTTTCTCTCTCTGCGCTGCCTTTTCTGGGTCCACCGAAATGATTTCAATGTCCTTATTTGCGAGTCGCTCCTTTGCCATTTCCTCCTCCAAATCATCCAGTTCAAACGTCTCGGCGACAAATTGTTCGTAGCGGTCCGAGAGCGGCTTCCACGTTCGTGTCATCGAAGGAGTCTCAACCCTTCCGAGGACCGCGTCGATGTCGTCTGGAGGGGGAAACTGAAAATCTGGGCCGGCGTTTAATCGAACAACGGCTTCATGGTACAATGACACCATCGGGTAGTAGCCAAGAGTGCCATCATCAAAAGGGTTGTGCCGCTCCTTTAGGTTTAGAGCTTGTCGGTCTTTAGCGGCTTTGCGTTTCGTCGTCTCACGCAATTGCAAATAGTCATAGATGTCGGTGAATGCCGTTCCTTGACATTCGCCGTTGATGAAATAGGCAATGACAGATCCTTCAAGCACGGGCAGTGGTCGAAGTGGACCTTGTTCACCGGTAGTAACGTTCTTTGCCGGCCGTGCCTCCACTTTCCTTTTCTTGCCAGACGTGACAGGAGGTGGTAGCCGGTCGTCCTGTTCTGAGAGTGCCTTCATCTCTCTCGAGATTGGATACTCCGCTGTTTCAAAATAAGGCTGTAGTTTGAGACCGATCGGGATGCGTTTCCGCAACAGGCGTGCAGGGTCCAGTGGATCATTGGGATCCGCGTGGCGTTTTGGAGGAAGTGAAATGTACATGCCGACGACATCGCCTTGTTTGAATGGGCGACCGTACGGCCGTAGCTTGGAGAGCGTCACACAGTCGCCGGTAACGTCGCGCAGTCCGTAGCTATACCCGTCCAGACCAACGGGCCCGTTCAAGGATGCTTCTCGTCTCGCCCAACCGATTCGAACATGTTTGCCAAGGTTCTGGCCATCCGTGTCTTCGGCGCGTTCAATGATGAACTCGACGTACCATTTCCCCTCTCGCACAGGAACATTGCAACGAGCACTCCTGAAACCTCCGAAACCTTCTATAGTCAAGCCGTCCTGTGAGATGCGAATATGAGGAGAGCGATCCTCCCAGCTGAATCGGACTGTCGTTGGTGCATTCTCGATTGAACGATGAAGGACGAGTTTTCCCGGCTCGGCAGCACCCGCTGGTGTATATCTAAAGGTTGCTCTGTTGACGGGAACATCTGGAGTAAGAAAGAAACGCGAGTTGTTCGGCGCGGCTACGAAATTGGGCAGTTTTGAGACCCGCGCCGTTGGGAGAGCTGCAACATCCAATGGAGCAGTTGATCCGGATAATCCTTCTACAGCTTGGCCTGAACGAAACGCTGCAACATCACTGCCAATGTCGCCGGGCGAAGGCACGTCTGGGAGCGACGGGGCGACACTGGGATCGCGCTTTCTCTTCCGCAAGTCATCCGGATTCTCGCTTGTAGGATCCATGGCGCCTTTTTTAGGATTAAAAGGACAGCGGCCGTTTCGACTCGGCGCTTGCTGGGTCCAACCCACTCTTACTCTCGACTGTATCACTGATCATGGCTTCAACTGCTCAAAGGAGAATTGCAAAGGTAATACAAGCGTAAAGGCAACTAGCATCTCTTATATGATTCCACAGGAGCTCCGAGACCTCTCTAATAACCCCATCGAGGTGAGCGTCAATTTCTTGGTCAAGTTGCATGGACGACTGATAGCACCCAGGGAATCACTATACATCCTCAGGAGGATAATCTTGCTCACTGGGACGTCACAATAACAGGGCCGGTGCGTTACTGTGGCTATCGATCTCAATAACTGCCACTCACATTTGGCCAGCCTTCTAGCCCGTATAAAGGTGCTATCTGTTTCTTGAAACGGGGTGGGGTACTCATCTCGATCAAAAGGAGGGCATTTCAAGGCCACGATTGACTTTCCGGGGAACTTTCCCTTCAAAGCACCTTCAGTGAGCGGCACACTGCGGACAACTCAGCTGTTTGACCCATGATAGCTTGTATTTGCGACCAAAGTCTACCATCCCGGCATCAACGAGCAAGGTAAGCGGCGAGGCTCAGTTTCTGCGCTGTTATTCATGACCATTTCTAGGCGAAATATGTGTGCCAATTCTGAGAGACGAGGTACGACGATCTGCAGATTTGTCTCATCCTGCTTAATCCCCTTTTCAAGTGGAAGCCCACAATTTCAATGTCCACAGGCAAGCGTCACGAAATCAGATTTGGAAGATTCTCACCCATATGCAGTGCTTAATATTGTCTACGAAAAGCTGGCCAACCCCTCGCCGGATGACCCCTATGAAGCAGACATTGCCGCCGTATGCCTCCCTTATGGCTTCCTGTCATCACACTGACATATATGTCGAATAGCTATTAAAGTCGGACGAGGCCAAGTTCAAGGCAACGGCAAAGGAATGGACGAAGAAGTAAGTGCGCCTCTGGGTCACTAGACTGGGCCTGACGTCGGCTGTAGATACGCATCCTGATCATGTCCCGGAGATGCTGATGTATAGAACTACGCCTGCCAACGTGGTTATGTAACGTATCCAGCCCGAGTGTAAACTGGAGGCAGTGAAGCATATTCTCGACGCGCGCCAGCTCGACCGCGGCCGTTGAACATTTTGTACCCATAAGCGTCTGGCTGCCATTGCATTTCTCTCGTGTTATTTGGACCCTTGTTCTCCTCGTCCGACCCTTGGACAGCGCCTTTTCTCATCAGGACTGGATCCCGACAGCGACTGACCCGCTCGGGAGATCCAACACCAAATCTTCAAGCCTTGCTCGGCACGTAGAATACTATAATGTATCGATTCCGGTCAGTAGAGCGCCCTATAGACATGCCTAAGGCGTGCGTTTACCACGAGGACCCGGCTGACGCTGAATTCTGGCCTCCCTTGGCCATGATCCACACATATTCAGCAAAAAATCAGAAAGTAGGCGCCCTCAGGTGATCGATGACATCCTGGACCAAACGCCGCCTCCGTCTTCAGCAACTTCCTCGTTTCAGCCCGCACCCGCCCTCCCGGCTCTCGCGACTGGCCAAGAGTTTAGAACAAGCCTCATTTTCCCAGAGTAAATATCTACGCCTCGTTATTGCGAGTACACCCATCGCTCACACGCTCCCAGTCTCAGTGCGCACTTCAAAGCTGCCGGCCGTGCCCCCAACGTTCTGGAGAGCAAAATTCGCTCGAAATTAGCCCAGCAGAGAGCGTATGGTGCAAAGGAGGAGACTATTACTGAAGAAGAAGAAGACCTTATGTTTGCTGCACTCTCCAGTATCCAGACAATTCGTCGCAGAGGGAACTCGTCGGCCACGGATACCTCGCTCGACATGCAGTATCCGGAAAGCGTATCTAGCTCAAAAGCATCTGGCCCATCCTCCGGAAGCTTGATCAACGCATTTCCAGACGCCCCCATGCCACAGGAAACATCAATTTACCCATTCGCTTCGCTCAGCTCACATAGTTCATCTTCCTCGCCCTCACGAAGACATAGCAACAATCTATTCGGCTCCTCGCGTTTCCGAGACGCGGCGCAAATGAAGGGTAACCATCGACAGCGAAACCTCTCAACGTCTACCAACAGCCAGGAGAGTATGCGTGCAGCAGATGTTTCCGCTTCCTCGGACGTAGACTATACAAGTGATCTTCAAGATGTACCTGAAGAGACGCCGTCTTCATCATCTGCTGCTTCTCCCATTGAAACAAGCACAGATCAACAATTCAGCGACAAGGATAAAACCCCAGTAGCCAAAAGCTCGAGGCTCCCCATTCCATCCAAATTCCCCAACGGTACCCCTGTTACCCTTGCTCAAATCCGCCGAATGTCTATTGCCTTGGAACGAGCCATTTCAACAATAGTGGAAAATGACCCTGACGCAGATGAAGATGAGGAGAAAATCTTAGCACCTCATTCTGTGCCCCTGGGCGGAGGATACCCAAACAGAAGGCCTCTCACGGTAAGCATCCCCAAAAGGTGGCGAGTGATGTTGACGGCATGACAGGCTGTGAGCGACCCTACCCAACATATCGAGCTCGACGATTTAAACGCTGTTCTTGCCTTTTTCGCTCAAAACGAGAGGGCAAGAGAGTCGGGAGCCGTCGAGGAGGACGAAGAGGCCACCGTCGTCTCTCCGGCACCGGTGTCACGGATGCCTGGTTATGTTCCAGGAATGGCGCGTCCGATTTCCCCAAGAGACATATCCGGCCACGACTCGGAGGATTACTCGACAACACCGCGTGCAACCTCGCCAGTGGCAAATGGTCGAGGTCATAGAGTCCTGTCTCCGAAACGCCAGACAAACAATCGACCATCGACGGCACCGACTCGGGTCGGAATGACAAATACGTCACACTCGGTGGATTGGCGACACCAGGAGCCGGAAACCTCGTCCGGCCTGGAGCGCTCTTTCAGCGCAGGGCAACAGCAATACAATCGGAGAGCACCAGAATATGTGTCCAACCTGTCACGAATGCGACCGGCTTCTCCACTCTCTCACAATCCCCCTCAGACGAATGGCCGTACCCTTACATCTAGTGCTCACGACGCGAGCGTGCACCCTTCTACGTCCCAGCAGTCGAATGCGGTGAACCAGGCCCGAGGATACGGACACGATGTCTACGACCGGAATCCCAATCAGCACCAGGAAGCAAGTGATATTACCAAAGGGTTACAAAGAGAGAAATCTCTCACACGCTCAATGAATGGTCCGGCGTTACCAGACTCTCCAACGATTGACCAAGAAGCCTTCCAGAGCTACTTCCCCATTCCCGCAACTGGCAATTGGAGCCTCCCTCCCCCACAAAACCCCGAATCGTCTGTGAGCACTTCAATTGCCGGCATTTTCATGCCTCAACCCTCGAGCCACCGGGCTGTTGTGCGGACGACCACGCCTGTCCCGCCCAGGTCGCAGACACCAAATAATATCGCACGTTCTCCTATCACCGGTATTACAAACCCCATAGATCCTATACAACGCTCGAGCACTCCCGTCTTACAACGCGCGGTTTCACCTGTTGCGCGGGTTGGTACTCCAAACTATCTCGTTCAACGGTCGCCTACATCAAACGGATTCAACTTGGATCAAGATCAACGAGACTCTGCCATCAGAAGAGCAATATCCCCTCGTCCCACTCCTTCTCACACCCCTTCTACCTCGTCCATGTCTGCCCATAACCCACTCCTCCATTCATCGCTCGGAAGTTCCTCGAGAAGTTCCATCGACTCAATTGGATCGAGCTATCACTCATCCGAGGAAGGGGTAAATGCAAAGTACAAGGATGTTTCCGACTGGCTATTTGATCCAGAGTCAAAGGGACCCGTGTTTGTGGATCCAAGGAAAGTCAAGGCACGAAACCGTGAGGACCAAGATGGTAGCTCAAAAGGCGACTCGCATAGCAAAGACGATGTCTCGGAGTCGATTGCTGATCAAGAGGACGTCTTGCAGCTATTAACTGGTTTAACGAAGAAGGATCTTTCCAGTATCCAGCAGAAACTCATCTCGGCTGCTGTTGCCCGTGAGGCGGAGGAGGCGATCCGCATTTCCCAACGAAGACGAAGACCTTCTGTTCAATCACGAGAATTTGTGCGTTCAAATTTTCTTACCAATGTTCATTGTCTCACGGTACAATCCTAGGTGAATAGCCCAACTCCCAAACCAGCTCCTGCTGCATCTTCAGAAGTGACTGCTGCTCAGGCCACCCCTGTTTCGATTGCTTCCACCATCAAGCGAGTTCAAAGTCCTATTATAGAGGCCTCGCAACCGATGACATTGCCGGAGCACTCGTCACCCGTGGACGAACGACCAAAAGGTCCGCTGATTGTGGCTCGACCGCCAGATCACGAAGACGAGCCCCCAGTCGATTATACCGCCACAAAGGAGTTTGAGGTCCCATCACCTTCCTTGACCCCTCCGCTCACCCAAACAACACCCGCGGTTGACCAAAGCCCAAGGGCCAAAGCGCTGGCCGAGGCGCTATTCGGAAATGAAAAGCTGTCGCCCGCCCCGACTCCTCTCCGTAATCAACCGAGTGCTGAAGACATCGAGGATGAGATTGTTAAACGGGCAATGGCAGCAACGGCCGCGCTCAAGAGCCCTGCGCTGTCGCAAGATGGCAACTCGCCTCTGAGGAGAAAGTCGACAAAGCGCATTGACCTGCAAAAGATTTCTGGGCCGCAGCTTGTATCGGCGTCGATGAGTGTGGATGCAATCCCACTTGCGTCGGCATCTGTAACTTCTTTGGCTCATGGTCAGTCGCCACTGGATAGCCCCAAGGGTGGGACAAAACTAGGGGACCGTCTCCGACGACTACGAGGAAGTCTGAAGCACAAGCCACAGGCCTCGACCCACACACGAGATGCTTCAGCTTCATCAGTCATTCACGAACCATCGTCTAGTGGTTTGTCGCAAATTGTCGAGTATGATCCTCAGACACTTCAGACGCCACAAATTCGCAGCGTACCCTCAAATGCCAGAGGGCCTCAGGCTCAGGTAGGCTCGAAGAGGCCGATGAATTCTCCTAGTGTAGTTTCACCTCCTGCTTCCGCGGGTTCAGCAGGGCTCAAGGGCATCATGGCTCGGCTCCGACCCAAAGGCGGACCAAGAAAGGAGGATGGCACACTCCACCCGACAGGCTCAAATCCGTCCGCCTTGCTCTCGGCTTCACAACTTCATGACGTCGAATCGTCATCTCAGAGTGCTTCCTCTCATCTGGCACAGCCCGTATCGCCACATTTCATGGCCATCGGCTCGCCTTCCGAAGTCCACTCTTCGAGTGCTAGTGCACATGGTCAAGACGAAGAGACCCTCAGGAGGCAGCTTCTGCGTATGGGACGCAATCTCGGCCTGGACGAAGAGGCGCTCAATGCGCTCATCTTGCAGGCGATGTCACAAAAGGCAAAACCCACCACTGCACCGGACGGGCGCATAGACGATGCTGTTCATACAAACGGCGACCCTCCTCTTACAGGAACAGCTATCTCAACACTCACCAGACAGGCCAGTAATCGGGTAAAGATAGAAGCGGTACCAAGATCGCGCCCTGCACAAGAGGGTACCAATCAGCAGGGTGCAGTTGTGAGGCGTACAATCATCTATCCATCCGCATCTCCGCTCCCACCCTCAACGTCTCCGCTTCCTGGACAAACGCGCGGGAACAGCATTTTTCGAAAGCTTTCATCTGCATCGAGGAAGCGCCCGATCAGTATGCAGTCACAGTACTCTGGAAAGTCTGTCCATGATCGCATTCCAACGCCGCCACCTCCGCGCCACGCTCGACGGGTTTCCGAAGATGGACTGCACCCACTGCCTGGGTCAAGTTATGCATCGAATGGCCGCCCAGGGACCTCGGCTGGGATAGTGTACGTAATAAATGGGAACACGAGGTCAATTTTGAGAGGCTAACATTGTCCATAGCTACGATGGCGCGTCCGGCCTCGGTAGAAAGTCGATGGATATTCCCGAGGGAGGTCTAGAGCAAGGGATCGTCGAAGACGGTCGAGCGCTTCAAGTGGTCGAGTTTGAGAATGGTGAGGTGATTTGGTCCGTCTTGGATACGCTTCGATCGCCAAGCGAAGGATTGGAAGAGGACTATTCATACAACCATTTTCCGAGTCGGGCGTCGTTTTCGTCACATGCTTCTGGAGCGGACGAAATTTCCCAAAACGGGTACAGAAACGCGTCTCGGAGCGTGTCTCGCACGGAAAGCAGTGGCCAGACGGGCTCTCGTTTTGGGGATGGATCGTCGCCGCCGGAAACCAAGGTATGTGTGTCGTGATTCCCGACATGAATGCAAAGAGAGGAGGAATAACGTAAAATGCACAGGTTGTTTACAGTGATGCGCGAGAGGTCAGGCATTTGATTGGACAATTGACGAGTGCGGCCGAGTACGGCTCCCCGGGAACGGATACTCCGGCGTCTGCATATAGCTCGGACGGTCTTCCTGTTGAAGAACAGCTGGAAAGACTGTTGCAACGAATCTCGTAGATGGTCGCCTGGGCCGTTATGAGTATGAATCATTCATGATCATCATCATCCATTACGCGTTTTGTGTATCCATATGGTAGCTCTATAGTATCCAAGTCCCTAATCGAGTCCATCTATGCATTTGGATATGGTGAGTTTGGGCCGTCAAGCCATCGGTTTAGCGTCAGAGTAACCAGGGCCATGAGCAGCAACGTCTTGTCATGGAAGAAGATGTCCATGCAGGCGTGTGGCGGCTGGGAGGATGTTTGGTTCCGCTCATAACGCGCGAGGAGTGTATTTCCGGGGCCAGTGAGCTACATTTGAATCGTGAGCGGTGGAGCTCAAGCATGCAGACAACATACCGTGTAACTCGATTTATCGCGTGCCCAGACGTATTGAGACTTTGTGCCGCTTCCTGTCAAATCCATCAAAAAATATCTGCGCCTAGAAATTTACAAAGCCTGTTCAGTCGGCCGGTTCGCTAGCTTTCAGGGGGGGAGGGACCAACTTACCCCGGTTCCTTCGCTGGGATGCAAAACGACGCAGATGTCATTTCCACGGGTGGACGGGTGATGAGGATTTTTGTATTTCCGAGATGTCGCGACGTCCATTCCATTTGGGCTAGCACGAGTAGAGGCGCCTGTCCACTAGCGGCCCTAGTCTGGACGACCGTCTGAAGCTGCGAGCCATTGCCGGTGAGGGTCGAGCTCGTTTTAAACTCGTAGTAGAGGTCTGGGATTGCACTACGTTGTGCGCTCACGGCGATAAAATCACGCTCGGTGGCGCCGTCCTGGAAGATCAAGGAGCCAGACACGGATGGTGGGTAGGACATGAAGGAGACGAGTTGGACGCGTCAGATGTGGCGCCCTTTTAATGTCCCGTACACGAGAAGGGGGCCTTAGGACTTGGATTCGTTACACGCCGAGTGAGCCATTCGCTCGGACTAGACCCACTGGTTGCATTCCGTTTCCGTTCAACTGTATCACTCTCCTCCTTGACGCCGAAGTCCCTCAATCGATGACATCTCCATTCGGAAGGTCGCTCATCGACAGAGTCCCTGATCCTTTAGTTTCAACAGCCTTTGCTTTCTATCAACCTCCAACAGCTCAAAATGTACGTCCTCTCTCTCCTCTTTGGGTGGCATACACTTCCCTCTCGTTCACGCTAGTGGTCGACCACAAAAGAACACCCCCCCCTGGGTACAGAAAAATTTCTCGCTGTATTGCAATCGATCAAACTACAGGGACATGTGCACAACGATTGATCCCAGCGGCAGCCGCGCATCGTGGCTCGAAGAGGACCAAGTGTCGTCACAAGTTTTGAGCGTGCGGGAACACCGGGGGACACAAGGACAAAACTAAGAGCGAGCGAAGAGCACGAGGGGAACAACGGCGCACCGGGTTCCTACTTGGCCACCTTCCAAAGCGCCTTTCGACGAACTTTTCGGGTAATGTGAACGTTGCCCTTGCCTTCACCGACAGCGAGAACAACGGACTCCTCTGCGCCCCTACCGGCGAATTGTTTGCGTTTGGCGATAGCAGCTTTTGCGAAACGGAAACGATCGTGATCCGACCCTGTAAATCCCATCAAGGTCGAGCGGTCAGCAAACACGCCTGGCTAGATTTGGGATAGCCGGTCCAGCAGACGGGCCTGGATCCCTTGATGGAATCCCCCAAGAAGGAAGGCTCACCTATCACAAATTTGGGCGACTCCATAGCCGTTTTGAAGACTGGTTCGAAAAAAGAGAAACACACAGGTGGGTCAGCCCCTTGTTACTCGTTTGGGTGTGGCGTTTGGGTGAAATTTATACTGACTGTCAAACGGAACACGCGAAAATACGCGAAGCAATGCCTCCGTAGCGTCCCCGCCCACCTCGGCCTTTGTCGTTTCACTTTCCGCCAGGAGGATCGACGGCAACGACACGGTCAAAAACTCTAATACGTCGTCCCTCAGCATCTGTGCATACGGTCCATAGATGCTTGCAACTGGCGCCTCTTGCGCAGATTGGGGGGACGGTGAGCGTGGGGTGGACACTGCAGAGGAACTTGGGGAGTGTGATCGAAAGGGGGAGGAGTGGTCATCCACCCATTTAAGCCAATCTTCGATTGTGTCCACCCGAATTGAATCCTTGCAGACGTGATAAGCGCGCTCGCAGAAGTCGTGTACACCCCCTAATAGACAAGCAGCAGCGAGAGCAGCACGAGCGTTTGTCTGAGAGAGCGCCATGCCTGCCTGGTATGAATACAAGTAGCCGATGGCCATAGCCATGGTCTGTTCGTTCGGTTACTTTACGTGCCCACTATTCAGGGGGAAGGGGGAGAGGACGCTTCTCACCTCGAGTGTGACGTCTGGATACTGATCTATTGGGATATAGATCATGTCCTTGTACGGAGAGGTCGACATCAGATGCAATAAGAAGGGCGACCGTGCCAGGATGAGCGTATGCAATCGGTAGACAGTCGAACCAATATGCTGGATCAAACCACATCAACATGCTGGTAAAACGACGAGTAAAAACGTGATTGGCGCACCACATTGATGTCCGAAAAATTCTAGTACCGGTGATGGGGTCAGCAAAACTCAACAAAGGTGGGCTGAGGCTTACCCCGTGCTTGAAGCCGGTTTCATAGAGATAGGCTACAGTTCTGTCACAGTGCGCTCTCTCTTCGATGATGTGAAGACTGGAAAAACGACGACGAGGGCGGTCAGCACCACTCCAGGGAGCCTGCAGAGCCCGCTCTCACTCGATTTTCTGGGCTCCATTCGGAAGATCACCGTTTCCAGAACCATTTGCGACGAGATGAGCCTTGCTCGAGCCCGCTACGCGCATCTCGTCTGTTGCATGTTGACCATTCATGATGTTGACCGATATAGATCTCGAATTTTGCGATATTATATGACTGATTTGGCCAGGATCAATGGTCGCAGCGCTCCTCTGGCAAACGAATGGCAAGACTAAATGGTAGTGAAAGTCGAAAAGGAGCAAGCCGTCTGTTAACCACTTGAGCCAACAAACGTCTACAACAAAGTCCTGGAACTATACATGTTTACAAAATACAGAACGAAGGATTTGCGGGGATAAAATCTGTCCATGCGGGCCATCAATCAATCGACTGGCCTCCAGCGCCCCGGTCTCTTTGATGGCGTCGGACAGCTTCATGGTCACGTACGAGCCGAAGAGATTGTTCATACTCGTCGCCAGAGGCCCCCTGATACAGGAATACGTTGGTGGAGGAGAGGTATACTCTATCCTTCCTCCCAGCAGGCCCCGGATCTACAACTCATCAGTCAGCAGACAACCACAATTTCTGAATAAAGACTAGTACCATGTGTGATCGATCTGATGCAAAGTAGTCCAGGTAGCGCGAAAGGGGGATCACCCTGAACAAGCTAAATGGCCGACCGGTCAGTAGTCTTTAGTCCACCGAATGAAACAACCTTGCCTCTGAAACTGCTTTGGAAGGGTTTCTCCAAGTGGAAATGTTCCGTCGTAATACTCGTCAAATGGACATCCCATCTTCATTCTCGTGTCAAAGTCATAGACAAAGCTCTCTCCAGACGTCTTTGAAGTCAAGATGAGTATGACATGATAGTCCCATACGACTGGAAAGTGACCAGGGAGAAAATAATCACGCCGCGAGTTTGCAGCCTGGCAAAGGATAACCTGAACTCCGATTAGCCCCAATCAAGGTTTATAAATGCGATAATAGATGTACCGTCTTGGTTTCATTAGAGATGAAGACGACTGAGGCTTCCCAGCTAAGAATAAACGCGGCGGACGATTCGAGAAATGCTTTGCCCAAGAGGTAGATATTCTCCTCACAGTAGCAAGACGTATAGACCGAGCCGCTCGGAGCCTCAGGCGGATGCATTGCAGAAGGTGCGGGGCAAGAAGTCGATTCAGATTAGAGCGCTTGACAAAACATGAGAAATGTACACAGAAGATTACAGAGTTAGAAATCATCCACACGCTTCAGACCGCGTGTCTTTAATACTTTTTAATCATGAGCAGGTGATCAGAGCCACGCAAGGACGGCAGCCCTGTAGGAACGATTAGAACCTTGAAAAACGATGACTTCATGGATGAGAGTATACGTACGGATAAGGTATATATACACCCTACTTGCTCGCGCCTTCGAGTTCCCACTGCGTCCAGGACGAAGTCTTTTTGCGCAGGACCGCATCAAGCTCGGGCGTGACTGGTCGTTTGGCATTAAATGGCTCAAAAATAGCCGCTTTGGCCGCTGGTGTTGGTGCTCCAACTGCAAACCCTCGAATCGGTCGCGGTTGAGGCGACTGCATTGGTGCGAATGACGCCTGCGGGGTAGCTGGCTTGGGCGCGCTCTGACTCGCTGCCGATGAGCTCATGGGTGGCGCCTGTGTTCGTGGCGGAGTCGTCGCGCTGAACAGGACATGCGAGGGATATACTGCTGTAGGCAGCCCTGCCTGTGTCAAGGGATGTGCTTGTGGGCTGCTCGAGGCACTCGTAAAGTAGTGCACGGCATGTGGGTTGAACGACTGGAGAGGAGGTGACGCGGACATGATGATGATTGTGCGGCTAGCGGCTGACGACGAGGATGATGCACACGCGTGTAGAAAGTGCTTGTGGGGGGGATAAAAGAATCAAGAACAGAGAGTCCTCCCCGCCTTTTTATGTTCATGTGCTCGCGGAATGCCCGGGTAAAGGAAGAGCGAATCACGACTCTGGCTTACCGCCGGCGTGTGATTGCGGAACTTGACTCAATGTGCCGGACTCCATGATCGTCCGTTTGCGGAAGCAAGGTTGCCTTGTCTTTCTCGTCGTCTAAAAGCCCGGAAAATACGTGAGCTTGAGCCTGCAAATGTGTCCGAAAAAGTACCGCTTTATCCAGGAGAAACCCCACTCGAGGTCACGCCGCCACCACGGATCGCTCTATCGTAGATATCCTCCAAACTATTGTCCGATCGTCAGGCGTCGATTGGCTCCTATCCTCGCCTTGGACAGCAACCGCGTCTCATCTTTGTCCCGAACCGTATCGACATCCGAAGGATATCAATAGAGGAATCTCAGGATAAAAAGATTCGAGAATGGCGACTTGTGAACGCGTCCCTTCGACCCGGACCGCTCCTCTTCATTCCCTTCCGAATGGGCCCGTCTCTGTTCATTCCGAAACATTGAGGACGACAGAACACGCTGTGACCTCATTGCACTAGACGCTGGGGAAAAAGCTAACCCTGAAGATGATTAGGACACGGCGACGCGACCTCGGACGAGCCGACCACTAAACTTGCCCACTTTCGAAGAATTCCCCCCCATGAGGTCATCGCCGCACTTGTTTTTCACTCAAACTCACTGCCAAAGTACCGTGCAGTGTCCGGATCCACGCCTTCGTAGTCGCCTTGAAGTCCCATGGCCATGTATGAATCCCGGTCCAGTGGTGGATTGCCGTCTTCGCCACCTTCTTCTTCCTCTTCATGATCATTGGATGTTGATAAGACGGCGGTACCGTGACCAAGTGCCCAGACACGGCGGGTGTGGGCCTCCGCCAGTAATTGATTGGTCTGCGTGTGTCCAGATGCCAACTCTCGGTTGCCAGTTTCAATGTTGGGAATAGACTCGGTCTGCGGGTGATCATCCCATTCTGGGTGAGTCTCGTGAAGGTATTGCGCCACTGCTTCAGAGTTGAGATAACCATCCAGTTCCCCTTCTTCGAATAATTCTTCGTCGGTCACGTTGGATTCTCCCCCTCGGCGAAGTGCGAGCGCTTGCAGTCTGCTGAGAGGCTCGTTCTGGCTGTGTAAGACTTGTAGCTCAATTCGAGAAAGGCGATCTTGCACATCTTCGCGCTGGATCATCGACGATAGCCTCATGTCGGCGTTTGGGCTGAGTAATTGGGATATCACCCGCTGTGCAAGTTGTGCCCCCTTTGGTCGACGTCGGGTGCGATAAGTGTCTAGCAAGCGAAATGAGGGAGAAACTTCGCCATCTTCAGGAACGATTGTCAATCCCTGGTCGCTCGAGGCGTTCTCGGCCATTGGTCTCGCTGCTCTGATCTCGTGCTGGAATTGAAGGACGTCTGGTAATACGCGGACAGCGGCTGACTTGCGGGAATTTGCCCACAGTGTCGGAGCATCTATAGAGACGCGTGGAGGGACCCATGGTAGGTACTGGCCCCAATCCTCAAAGATGGCCATCATTGACTTTCGGTGCTCAAGGACTCTTGTCGGCGCGGCACCCACGCGGTCGCAGAGATATTTGACCATTGTCGGTAAAGGAGCTGGCTGTATAGGAGCCCCGTGTACACTTTCTAGGGCTAGAACAAGGACTGCGCAGGCCACAGACGCGGCACTGCTGCTTGCAAAACCCTGGCTCGCATCGAGAAACGCATCTATCTGTTCTGCCATTCCAAAGACCGCATCGAGCGACACCCCTGATAGGCTGAAGGTGTTACGAAGAATTGCTGGGACACCATATGGCATCGCGAGGACGTCTTGCAAGTATGCCCTTAGGATTTCGAGATTGAGCAGAGGCGTGGTGGGTCTGAGAAAGAGCTCCAGAGTATCTGTGACTCTTGACCACATCCTTAACACATTCGAGGTGGATTCACCGAGCAGACTCTGCAGTTTGGCAAAGTGAGAGAGGCGGGCATGCGACAGACCAATCAAGTGGCTTACCGCAATCCGCGGAATGGCTTCTGTACGTTTAGACTCGGTCATAGAGATTGCAACGCACACAGCTGATACCAGTTTTGCTTCATTTCCCCAGTGAAAGTCGCCTTTAGCCATGGCGGCTTCAAAGTGGTGAAAAGCGCGTTCGGTGCCCCCGAAGCCGAGGGAATCGCAAAGGTTGTGTATGATTCGTCTGTTTGTTTGCTGTCTACGCGTCAGAAAGAATGAACTATTGTGAAACGAGACTTGCCAGATTGTTGATCAAATGCCACTGTTTCCCTCTGACAGAATGCATCCGCGACTGCGTGTGTCTACTGAGTGGATCGTGCAATGAGGTCCAGGCTGGCTGCGCTGGCACTCTGTCGACGTTGAGCTCTGCTAGTAGCTGCTGGCCGTCGTCTACGGTGCCACACTGGTGACATATTGCATGTCCGTGTTCTGTGTCCCATATTACACTCTGCTGTCCACATGCTTTGCAGATGCCTGCCTCTTCGTCCATTTCCCCCGGGCGTATCGACTCGGCGAGGAGCAAGACAAGGTGTGTTTGCAGCTTTGAACCCGACTCCATCGTGACCCAGGCATGCCGACTGGCGACCGAAATCTGTAAAATATCCTGTTAATTCGCGACAGGAAATACGCTGACACTCTTCTTAGTGTTCGTAGAATCCGCCTGACTGGTACGCGCCACCAATGGTTCGAGTACAACAGCTGATTCACTGCGCTCAGTCGTCGCAGCGGATAGTCTCATCAAGAGAGAAGTCTTCAAAGTCCCAGATCCCTTTGCAGTTATCACGGTCGATGCTGAGCAAACGCACACCACGTCGGTAATCAAGAAAACGCTCAATCCATACTGGAACGAGAATTTTGAAATGTGCGTGTCACAAAACTGCAGAAATACGCGTACTGGGCTCATATAATGAGCTCAGTGATGTCAAGGACTCGTCTGTTGTTGCCGTGCAGGTCTTCGATCAGCGCAAGTTCAAAAAAAGGGACCAAGGGTTCCTGGGAGTGGTAAACATCAAGGTTGCCGATGTTCTGGATCTGGAATTAGGCGGTCATGGTCAGCCCCGAGCGATCCTTCGACGAAACACTAACGCGCCTATCGCAGAAACGCTCCATTTAGACTTGCAACGCTCAAACGACAACCTTCCAGTACAAGGAAAGATTATTATACATCTGTCCACCAACGTCTCTACTCCGCTTAGCAATCCAGGACCTTCCCAATCCAGAGGTTTGACTGCCATAGGAAACTCAGCGGCCAATGCGTCGACGGCATCTCTCACGCCAAGCCCTTCTATGAATGGCACTGTGGCAACTGGAGCTACCACCCACTCAGCGTCTACTTCACAGTCCGCAGCGACCTCCACAGCCCCGACCTCGACTGCCTCGGACGCACAGACAAATGGGACTTCGCAAACACAAACGCTGATAGACACATCTTCTAGCCCTCGGGCAACTACCTCAGCGCCGTCCAACAGCGACCGCAACTTCAGTGCGACCGAAGACCAATATGGTCCTTTGCCCGATGGATGGGAGCGTCGAACAGACCACCTAGGGAGAACATATTATGTGAGTAGAACAATAAATGTGTTAACACCGTTCTAATAACCGCTTAGGTAGACCACAACAGGTGATAACAGCGGCACATCCGAATACTTGCATACTCACATATCGCAGCCGTACCACTACATGGACAAGGCCCTCGAGTAATCAAACTGCAAATGCTGCTGAACAACGAGCTGAGGCTGATGCATCGCGAGAAAACCATAACCGCCGCATTCTTGCGGACGATCTACTGGAGACTGGTGGAACTTCTCAAGCAGGAAACCCAAGTACGATCCTCCCCACTAGTAACATGACGACTGGTGGCTCGGGTCCGCTTCCTGCTGGATGGGAGGAACGCTTCACCCCGGAAGGCCGACCTTATTATGTTTCACATCTCAGTCGAACGACGACTTGGGTAGACCCACGTAGGCAGCAAATTATCCGTGTTCTCGGGCCAAGTGGAAACAGCATGACGGTACAACCACAGCCAGTGTCTCAGCTTGGACCTCTGCCGTCGGGATGGGAGATGCGCCTTACATCGACAGCGAGGGTGTACTTTGTGGATCATAGTAAGTTTGATCTCTCTCTCGTGGCAAGTTCTCATTCGTTTGCTAGATACAAAGGTATAGAGGGCTTTATGTCCTTGTCCGACGCACACGGCTTACTCATTCAAATTAGACTACGACCTGGGACGATCCGCGCTTGCCTTCATCGTTGGATCAGAATGTCCCGCAATATAAGCGCGACTTCCGAAGAAAACTCATCTACTTCCGAAGTCAGCCAGCGCTTCGCACGCAACCAGGAAACTGCCAGATCAAGATACGGCGCAACCATATCTTCGAGGACAGTTATTCCGAGATTATGCGACAGACTCCGAATGAACTCAAGAAGCGACTCATGATCAAGTTTGACGGTGAAGATGGTTTAGATTACGGAGGACTGTCCAGGTTCGCCTCTAGATTTATGCGCTGATGCGAGATTGATACTAAGATGCTCCCGCAGAGAGTTCTTCTTCCTCTTATCTCATGAAATGTTCAACCCGTTCTACTGCCTCTTTGAATACTCTGCCCACGACAACTACACCCTCCAAATCAACCCTGCGTCGGGGGTCAACCCAGAACATCTCAATTACTTCAAGTTTATTGGACGATGTCTTGGCTTGGGCATATTCCACCGTCGTTTCCTCGATGCATATTTTGTCGTCAGCTTCTACAAGATGATTCTTCACAAAAAGGTGTCCTTGTCGGACCTCGAGAGTGTGGATGCCGAGCTTCACCGTGGAATGACCTGGATGCTGTACGTCACGACTTTTCTTCTTCTTTATCGTATCTCTGACAGCGTTCAGAGAGAATGACATCACGGATATCATCGACGAGACATTCACTACAGTGGAAGACCGATTTGGTGAACTCGTGACGATTGAACTGAAACCTGGAGGAGCAGATATTCCTGTCACAGAAGAGAATAAGAAGGATTACGTAGAGTACGCCGCGACCTCTCTGTCACTTCCGAACTTACCCGCTATAGTGCCGTAATCGAATATCGGGTGCACAAGCGTGTCAAGGAACAGTTTGACGCGTTCATGGCCGGCTTCTCCGAGCTCATTCCTCAAGATCTCATCAACGTATTCGATGAACGAGAATTGGAAGTGCGTATTCTTCGCTTTGAGTAGGACACTTGTTAATCATTGTCCAGTTGTTGATTGGAGGCATGTCTGAGAGTATGTTCCTGGTTCTTGTTGGGTAGATGTGCACTGACAGGTATCTAGTTGACGTGGACGATTGGACGAAGCATACGGATTACCGGTAAGAAAACTTGATATTGTTCATCGTACACTCAATCTGAACCTGTTTCAGAGGGTACGATATCAATGATCAAGTCATCAAGTGGTTCTGGGATTGTGTGCGAAGGTGGCCCCCAGAAAAGAAATCCCGTCTCCTGCAGTTCACTACTGGAACCTCTCGTATTCCCGTCAACGGTTTCAAGGACTTGCAAGGGTCAGATGGTCCAAGAAGATTTACCATTGAAAAATCGGGAGACCCGTCGCAACTGCCGAAGAGCCATACATGCTTTAATAGAGTGAGCAGCGCCAAAATGTAGCAATCAGGCTAACTTGCTGCTGTAGATCGATCTACCTCCATATAAGGATTACGAAAGCTTAGAGCAGAAGCTCACATTGGCTGTAGAGTGAGTGTTCAAGTCTCAACTTCTTCTAATATTGCTGACCACCCCCTTCTCCAGAGAGACTGTAGGATTTGGGTACGTCAGGAAAATTTCAGCATTCTACTCGCTAACTTTGCTCTAGTCAGGAATAAGTGTAGCGGAGCTCTCTCAGATTTGGCATATTACGCTTTTGTCATCGCTAATATCCGACGGAATTTATTGACAGCTTCACGCTACTATGATACATCAAGAAAGCCAGAGTACAATGCTTTAGTGTGCCCTTCGGGCCTCAAAGCTCGTCTAGAATGCTCTTACACCATGGGTTTCCTTCGAGCTTTTCTCTGTGCCTAGCGAAACATTCACGCAGTGCTTGAAGTTGCGCTTCAGGATCTTCGTCATCCACTTCCATGCTGTCACCACCTGACCCATTGGCAAAATCGCGAAAGAATTCTTCGACGATTTTTGTTCCTTCATCAATGTCCGCCTTGGAGAACATCATTGTGTCACCTTCATCTGTCCAAAGTTGAGGATACATCGCATTGCTCGATCTTACTCACTTCCAAAATCCTCCAACTCTTCTGCCTTTCGTTTTGCGTGCTATTCATCGTCAGACGTATACCAAGTGTCAAGGGGTCTACTGACCTTCACGACGCTCTCAGGGAAGTTGCACAACTGGGCGACGTGAATCCCGAAACTTTGGTCGGATGGGCCTATTCCAGTTAGCCAACTAACCTATGGACCAGGAATCACTCGCCTTCTTCGACTTTGTAAAGGAGTGTGATCTCCTTTTCCTTTGACCCTTCACCCTCTGATACATGCGCGACAACGTGAGCGTTCTTGACATGGGGTATTTGCTGAGATAATGTCGTCAATTCGTGAAAGTGAGTCGCAAACAAGCAGAATGCTCGGATTGTCGTCGCGATATATCTTTCACTTCGGTCAGCGGCTCGATACAGAAACAACTGAACTCACTCTGAGATCGCCCAAGCTATTCCAAAGCCATCTGCGGTTGAAGTACCTCGACCGAGTTCGTCAATAATGATTAAAGAGTTTGGAGTCGCCGTCTGCTACCCGTCAGAATACCAGCAAAGGAAGAGAGGTCCAAGCAACCTTTAGAATTGCAGCTGACTGTGGAAGGAGTGTCAGTAATGCATAGTGCCTCTGACCAGGGCATACCTCCAGCATCTCGGCCATAAATGTCGATACACCCTTAAGTTGACTATCCCCGGCTCCCACTCTTGCTAAAATGCAATCGACGATGGGAATCTCCGCACTTTCGCAAGGAACGAAACAGCCAACTTGAGCCATCAGCGCAATGACACCAATCTGCCTCGCATACGTGCTCTTGCCGCCTGTATTCGGGCCGGTGATGATATGGAATTCGCTCTTTCCTGTTGCAAATTTTAGCAGTAGACTTATCGACTGGGGTTTACAAACCTCGAATCATCTCCACATCGTTTGGAATAAAGCTGATGTCCTCCTGAACTTCAAGACATGGGTGTCGAGCTTCTTTCAGCAGCAGGTTCCCGGTTCCTTTCTCCGTCACGACAGGCTTGACATAGTTTGAGGGCGCGTTTGCAGAGACGTGCGCAAAGCTGAACAAGTATTAGAGTGTAAATCAGAGAATCTGCTCAAGGCGGACCTGACGATGACATCCAGATGAGCGATGATATCGTCCACTGCTTCCAAGACGGGAGTATAGCCAGCTAACCACACATCGGTATCGTACACGCTGATGAATGCAGAAACGCTTACAGGCAATGGAAACAACCTCTGCAACCAGAGTGCTCTGAACTCGATTATAGCGTTCGCGAAGTTCTGAATATTCGACGCTATGTCGTTTCAGCGTCTTGGTCGTAAACAAGACGCCAGCCTTTTGCGTCGAAAGCTCGGTATAGTCTTTCTTCTTCTCAACGACCTTGGAGTCCTGACAGACAATTAGTCCCCTACACACAAGTTCCAGTCGAGACACACATTCTTGGAAACTCTGAAACAGTAACCATGTGTGGGGTTGTTTTCCAGATGAAGCTTCTTGTCCATGTCCAGGCCCAAGTCCCGAGAGACTCGCTCGTGCTCTTCATCAAGTGCGCTGACAACTTCTGCAATCTGGTCTGCAAGAGATTGAAGTTGCTCATCGTAGTCAGGTTTGATAATATACCTATAGCAGATTTAGCTGGATCGTCATGGAATACAAAGTCTTACTGATGATTTTTCAGCTGGTCCAGATCTATCGTCTGCTCCACCATTTCTTTAAATTTGGTGATGTTATCATCAAATTTCTATAAGAGCTCAGTAATGAATCTTTGAAGGCGTTCAACTCAACTCACCTGAAACGCAGTGGTATACTGTTCTGCAATGAGTACCGAGTCTGCATATTCTTCCGTGTCAATATCGTTCAGCTTCTCTATAAGATCAGGAACCTGGAGGATTCGTCAGTATGTCTCCTCACTTCAAAGCGCCTCAATACCCGAATGGCGGCTTGATATACGCGAATAACATCTTCGAGACTGGCGACCTTTTTATGAAAGCGCTTGCAGATGCGATGCATATCTGGCATGTACCGAAGGAAATCGTCCTGCAGAGCACGTCGAGAGCTGCTATCTTTGACGAAGATTTCGACAAGATTGAGTCGTCGATCTGGCGGACACAGGTTATTGACAACCAATACCAGACGACCCACGCCACTTACTTATCTCGTGTAGATTGACAAGGGGCAGTTTAAGCCATTGCCCAAGAAGACGGCCACCTTGCGCAGTCTTGCACTTGTTCAACAAGCCGAGTACGCTAGTATTCTTCGTGGCGCTGTCTCCAGGACCAGGAAGAAGCGTGAGAGCCTGGATAGCTGAAGCATCAAGGCGCATGTATTGGCCAAGATCATACTGGCTAAGGGTGTAGTGTCCAAAGTTGGAGGAGTCTCGCATCAGGTCGAGGTAGCGTATGAGGCCGGCCGTTGCTGACATGGCGACTCGAAGGTCAAAAACGGCTATTCACAGAGTCAGAGACGCTAGAGGAACGAACTGAGGCATACGAAGTGCGGTTACTTGCTGATTGCCGCTTAGCAATCGCGTCAAGTCTTGTTCGACGTCCTTGGTGGAAAACTCGACTAAGAAGTATGAGGACTTTGAAATGCTCAATAGAATCTTACCTGGCTTTCTCTCGGTTACCACAGTGTTGCATCGTTCGAGGACCTGGCGGAGCTTGGAGAGATCATAGTCGGCAGTCTTCCCCTCTGTCTGCATGATACACTCCTTGACCCCCAGCTGGACAATCAGACTCTGGCCCCGTGTCATTAGTAAGTAGACAAGTGTAAAAGGGAACAACAAACTTCGAGGTTTCCGAAGAGATCGTTTTCTGCGAACTGAGAGACGCCAATCTTGCGAATGGTTGCATCAGCAAATGCAGTCCCAATCGTTCGGATATTGTCCACTTTGGCAATTCGAATAGACAGCACAATTGGAGCAGTCGTCATGTCCGTGTTAGCAAAGATGAGATCCTCGACTTCTTGCAGGTTCCCAGGAGATGCCTACTTTGTGATGAGCGAGAGTTTATACATCCCAGTCAGACGGACTATACCTGACGAGAAAGCTCAAACTTTGCCGCAGACTTCTTCCCACCTTCGGGTACCCAGATTTCAATCTTGAGTTGCTTGATGGTCAACGCATCGCGCAGAAACTCTTTTGCCAATGTACTGGAGAGGGTCACCGACGGTAGAGGTGCAGCCTTTTTACCCAATGATTTGATCACAGAGTTTGTCCTATACACTTCTTGGCTGTGGATTTGAAATAATTTTACGAATGCATGGGGGAACGTGTTAGGTTGACATTGACCAACGGTAGAAACACGTACGCAATGAAGTGAGCATCTGCACCATGTGCTGTGTAATAATCCTATAAAGGGGTCAACACGGCTGATGGTGAACTTGCAGGGACGCACGCCGCGTTCAAACAGCCTGACGGTATCGTCGCGTTTCTAAAGGCTAGATGTGAGAGGATACGTCGAATTTACGCGTCGTACGTACTGCAGGGAGCTTTGAAAACCACGCGCAAAAGCCCAGCTCGGTCGCGTTGTCTTGCATCAACATTTTAGGCCTGCGCACGACGACGAAAAGACGCGTTTCCTCGTACCGATATCCATATCGACAGGTTCTTTTGAATACATGGTCATCTTGAACAAGTCTTGGGACGCGCAGGAGCCAAGTGCAGTTCAAGCTCCGACGACGATCGTCGGATTTCAGGGAGAAACGAAATGCCCAAATATAATTTATAAACGTAAGCACAACACAGAGAGATCAATTTAGAACACGACTGTTGAAACCGCGAGCTATGGGTGCAGAAAGTGCTTCTATTTCGGAGGAAGCACGGATTTCCGTTTTACTGGCGACTTTCGGCGAGCAGAAGGCGACTGGCTTGCTCGTGTGCGTGTTTGACGAGCCGTATCAGGCGTTGTTGGCTCGATTGGACGAGACGAACGCTTCCAATGCTTCTCCGAGCTATCGACATGGGATTCTGCAGCATCTCCATCGTCTTCACCTTCTGCCCAGTACCGCGTTGCTTGAAGAATGATGACGCCGGTCAGCGCGACTGCACAAATCAGGTGGGACGAAGCGAGTTCGACTGTCGGCTGGCGCAAAGCCGGTGGGAAGCGGGGGAGATTTGCCGCAAATGGTGTGATGTTGGTATACTTGGACATGGTTGGGAGGACGGAATAGACGTAGATTGCGGCGGCACTCCCATACAGAACTATGTTTCCATCAGCCAACGCGTTGCAGAACGCGATCAAAAAGGAGCTACTGACATATACTTGCACCATCAAACATCAAATTGCCAGCCTCGCCATCCAGAGCCGAGAGCATGAGGGCCATAAAGCCAATGGTGACCACCGAGACGAGCGTCGCAGCCATTCCAAGGCTCATTTTTGCCAATAGCGAGTAATATGCTGCTGATGTGTACAAATGCGCGTCCGTAAGCGGCGATTTCCAGAGCGTCTGCGAGTCGGCGATCCAGTGGGTCATCAGACAGCCTGCAACGCCGTCAGAAACAAACTTATAAACTCGAAAATAACAAACCCAGAAGGAAAGACGTGCTCATGACGATCACAGCGACGCGGACGCCCATGGTACTCAAATACGGTGGAGACCAAACTGCCGTCGAACTGCGTGGCTCGTCTTTGGTCCCCGCCGTGACGGCCATGCGACATCTCAGACGCTGTCAACTCGTTCACAGCCAGCATTTACTCGTAAAAAATACTCAACGACACGCATTTATCGCGACAAAGCCCTGGTTTGTCGACGAGCAAGAAGCTGAACCAGCGGTACAAGTCTCAAAACAGCAGCAAACTCCCATCAAACCACCACCAGAAGATGCTCCTAAACATGTTACACGTGCATATTGGTTTCTTGCTCACTCCCCGCTCATCGAACCAACCTCTGTGAACGTCGGTTCACCCGTGCCAGCGGAGGAACAGCCAGACGGAGATCTTCCACTTCCACTGTTGAAAAAAGCTGCAAGGTCAAGAGGAAATAATAAAATCCGGGGCTATGGAAGGGGCGTCGGTGAAGGCCTTGGACATGGAGTTTACCAGTGGGAGGTCAGGAGAATCACAAAGTCATGAAATCCATCGACTAACGCTCAGTATAGCTTACTGCACAAGTCAAAGAAGGTGCTGAAGCTCGAGGTGCCGTGGAGAGCGTAGCAGCTTCACTCCGAAATACGGTGAGTATCACTAGGTGTGCACTCCTTTACTGACCATCCACAGCTCAAGAAGGAATTCCCCAAACTATCTATTCCACCTAAATCCGCACACAAAGACCAACGAGACGGCTGGTCAATGATCGACATGGGGTCGAGCGTTGTTCACATCTTCAGTCGGAGAGCATGGTACAAGTGGATGGATCCTAGTCGACAATGGTAAACGAATCCTCTGTAGCATATACAATTTGCATGAATTTCTGGAATCTCAGCCGGTTAATTCTAAACATGTGATTGGTCGATCGGGACGCCATTTACCTTGGTTTCTTCCTCGACCGCTGTAAATGTTAAGCAGGTCACTCTATCGCTCCTGTAGATCCCTACGGGCTTCTACGTCCGGGACTACTCTACGACAGTTTTCTGCTTCTGCAGTCTCCAGAGGTCTCGTCGGTTCGAGACCTGCAAAGGCGCAAGAGGTCAAGGTGGGCTCATTCACGGCGTTATCCACCCTTTCAACCGCTGAAAACACATACAATAGTCCTGGCAAAAGGCTTTCGAGGGCAAATATCCGCTCGTTGAACACGAATATGACGCTATCGTCGTGTGCGTAGTCGAGCATCTCTAGATCATTTTGCATGTCTCATTTTGCTTCTAGTGGTGCTGGAGGAGCCGGTTTACGTGCTGCATTCGGACTGGCAGAAGCCGGTCTCAATACCGCATGCATAACCAAACTCTACCCGACAAGAAGTCACACTGTTGCTGCGCAGGTCGGTGTCTTACCGTGGTTCCCAGTACAAGAGCTCACATTTCTACGCTAGGGAGGTGTCAATGCCGCGCTAGGAGTATGCTGCCCTAAATATCGAGGCCATGCCGTCTTGCTAACGCGCCGTTTAGAACATGACAGAGGACGACTGGCGGTGGCACATGTACGATACGGTAAGAATAATTAGACTACCAGGTCGTTTGATTGCTAAACCGTCTCTTCTTTGCAGGTAAAAGGTTCAGACTGGCTCGGTGATCAAGACGCAATCCACTACATGACTCGGGAGGCACCAAACACCGTCTACGAGGTACGAAAACGTTTTATAATACTATTTTGGCGCACTCTGACCTGTCCTCAGCTCGAACGGTTCGGGGTTCCGTTCTCCCGCACAAAGGAGGGCAAGATTTACCAGCGCGCATTCGGTGGTCAATCGCTTAAATTTGGGAAAGGAGGTCAGGCATATCGTTGTGCAGCCGCTGCAGACCGTACCGGCCATGCTATCCTTCACACCCTCTACGGCCAATCCCTCCGTCACAATACCAACTTTTTCATGGAGTATTTCGCCCTCGATCTCATCATGCACGACGGTGAATGCGTCGGTGTGATGGCTATCAACCTCGAGGATGGAACGCTTCATCGTTTCCGCGCTCACAAGACTGTCCTCGCCACCGGTGGGTACGGGCGTGCGTACTTCTCGTGTACCAGTGCGCATACTTGCTCTGGTGATGGAAATGCCATGGTCGCTCGTGCTGGATTGCCTCTGCAGGACCTCGAGTTTGTGCAGTTCCACCCGACCGGTATCTACGGTGCCGGATGTTTGATCACAGAGGGTGAGTAACAGTGATGCGCTTTTTGAACCGCAAACTCATTTCTTTCTAGGTTCTCGAGGTGAGGGAGGATACCTCCTCAACTCAGAGGGCGAGCGGTTCATGGAGAGATATGCGCCAACTGCAAAGGATTTGGCGTCTCGTGATGTCGTCTCACGCTCCATGACCTTGGAGATTCGCGAGGGACGTGGTGTTGGTCCTGAAAAGGATCACATTTACCTCCAACTCAGCCACCTTCCTCCCGAGATCCTCCACGAGAGGCTTCCTGGTATCTCGGAGACGGCCGCCATTTTCTCTGGAGTCGATGTCACCAAAGAGCCAATTCCGGTCCTTCCAACTGTCCATTACAACAGTATGTGCTCCTTATCAACGTCTATTTCTTCAACTGACCGTCTATAGTGGGTGGTATTCCAACCAGGTACACCGGTGAAGTCATCACCATTGATGAAAATGGCAAGGACAAGATCGTCCCGGGTCTCTATGCCGCTGGAGAGGCTGCTTGCGTGTCCGTGCACGGTGCTAACCGTCTTGGAGCCAATTCGCTTCTTGACATTGTCGTCTTTGGTCGTGCTTGTGCTCTTCACATCAAGGATAATCTCGAACCAGGCAAGCCACACAAGGCTATTCCCGAGGAGAGTGGATTGAAGGCCGTCGAAGACCTCGACAAGATTCGGTAAGAAACCTTGATTGATGTTATATTACATTGCTCATATTGTTGTAGGACATCAACTGGTCCCCTTCCAACAGCTCAGATCCGCCTCAACATGCAAAAGGCGATGCAGAGTGATGCCGCAGTCTTCCGGTACGGCTCTCTATTTTCCTCTTGAAACTCTACTCACGGCACGGTAGCACGCAACAAAGCTTGGACGAGGGTGTCGAGAAGATGAGGGAGATTTATGACAGCTTCGCAAACGTTGGAATCTCGGACAGGAGTCTCATTTGGAACTCGTACGTTTGATCCCATGGCCTCTGATAACAGCTGACCCTTTTGAAAAAGGGATTTGATCGAGACCTTGGAGTTGCGCAACGTCTTGACTTGCGCAATGCAGACAATTGTCTCAGCTGCTGCCCGAAAGGAGAGCCGAGGCGCCCATGCACGTGAAGACTTCCCAGAGGTGCCTTCCCTTCCTTTATGAGATACGTTTGCTTATCCGGATCCTGCAGCGTGATGACGAAAACTGGATGAAGCACACGCTCAGCTTCCAAAAAGATTGCGACAAGCCAGATGTCGACTTGAAGTACCGCAACGTGATTGCGACGACGCTTGACGAAAATGAGTGCAAGCCCGTTCCACCGTTTAAGCGTGTCTACTGAGTGGTGGCGGAGGTGATCCGGTGTCGTGCAAAACCCTATTACGTGGTGTACACAGACGATGCAATAATAACTGTCTCAGAGCGATTTGATGTTCCGTCCATTGGCGTGGGATCAAGTCGACAACTGCCATATGCAAGCTCCGTCGAGCACAACGATGTGAATTGATTATTTGAACCGGTTTGTCGGATTGCTTTGTTTCAGCGTCCTAAACATGCCGCTGCAGACGTGAGTTCAATATTGATGAATGGGTAACATGTTAGCTGTGGTTCGCGCAAACGCCCGACGACTGGAATAGCTTCCAGGGCTCTTCTTGTCTTTTTTTTTTGTGCGCCCATATGCTCACCGCCTACACTGCAAAGCGACCACCATCGAGCAGCACGCCGAGTTGCCAATTGAATACCCAATATACGCAAAATAGAGATGTCAGGGCGATCATAATGGAAATCCACACGCATGGCGGTCCACTGTCTGCGATTCCGACCGGATAGCCTTAGCCAGCCTAATTCATATAATAGATGGGCGTTCCACCCCGTGCTCTTGCAAGCTCGACACCCTCCTCTGGCCATTACCTGCAAAAATGATTTGGTTGATACTCTTCTTTGTAACACTCGTGGCCCAGTCGTGTGCGGTCATCTTGACAAACTGGACGGTCGACGACCAGGATAGCTCGATAATATACTCGGGACGATGGGACTCGCCAGCTTTGCACGCGTCTCCTCTTAACTACGGTGGATACCATACTTTAAGTGATGATGCTCAGGGGAAAGCCGTCTTTACCTTTACGGGTATGTCCAACGCCTGGCGCGCCCCCATTGTAGCTAATCGAACGCGCCTCGTATAGGCGTCGCGGTCTATTTTATTAGCTCATTGTGGCCTTATGTGGTAGACTCCTATGTCTCGTTGGATGGAGCAACTCCAGTCTATGTCAACTTGACAATCCGACCGGGAATGCCGCAAGATTTGGATGCAATTGGCGACGAGGTGGCTCTATGGAGCGAAATATGGAAAGCAGAAAATCTAAGTAACACGACGCATACCGTTACCATTACTCGAGGTCCATCCGGGTTTGCCATCGTCGATGCCTTCAGGTAAGCACGACTAAAGACATCCATGCATCTCATTCTGACGATTCGACCGAGCAGATACACTACATCTCGTGACGACAATCATTCGACTACGACTGTTAATCCGCCGTCTTCTGTTTCCTACCCATCCTCGAGTAGTGCCCCCAGTGGGCAAATGGAATCACCACCCACGACAAGAAAAACTCCAATACAACGATATACGCTGCCGTATTCTCAACTCTCGGTGTACTTTTACTCTTGGCTATTCTCCTCATCATCTGGAGAGCCCACCAAAACCGAAGAAGGCAACGCGCACAAAATACGGAGCAAAATTGGGAAAATCAACGCATGCAAAGAACCGACCAGCCTTACTCAATCCCAAACAACGCTGCTCGAGAGTCAAGCGCATTCAACCACGGCGCACCCACCGGGGAGCCCAATTATCCCCTACCACAGGGAATCACACCCTGGAGCTATCCGGAAGAAAAGGCGATACAGCCATCCACACATCCTTCGACGAGTTTCTCCAACGCCACATCTGTGCCTCCCCTCGTTCGGCATGGGGATTACCCTCATCCCGCAGGTGTCGCCACTCAGCCATCTCATTCAGCCGCATCGTACTCCTTCCATTCTCCTGTAGATATGTTGTCGCCACCAAGCCGCCATGGACGTGCCCCACCGCCATACGTTGCATAGTACACTCACCATATTTCGTTCTATTTATGACTTGCTGCAAAAAAAAATCCTTGTACATAGTTCGTTATAAGAAGGCATGGCTATTGTCCTATCTGCATCGACCATCTGAAATGGTGATCCGGTACCGAACTGTATCATCAGAAAAATTTATACCGAGAATATTCTACACCGTCTGTAGGTAGCAGATTTTTCGTGATATACTACTCATATAGGAGCATTGGGTTGCGCTTGAAACCAGCATCAAGCCAATAGCCGACAGTCGTCACCCAACACCTCGACCCGCACGATTTCAACGTTTGACGTAACTATGTATCCCGTTTAATCTCGCTGAATGGTCATATCAACCAGTTCATCACCGACCGCTGGTCGTTCATTTAGAGTGCTCCATCTTGCGATTTAGACCAGCTCGATACAGTTTCCAAACCATCCCCACGACAATGTTTTGGTCGATATCATTCTTGCTAACGCTCGTGGTTTACTCGTGCGCAATTATTCTCACCAATATTACGGTCGACGACAATGATGCCTCTATAAGCTACACGGGACGATGGGACGGAGTAAATGCGCACCCATCCTCTCTTAATTATGGGGAATATCATACTGTGACCGAAGATCCTCAAGCAAAAGCCGTCTTCACCTTTACAGGTATGTCTGGCGCTGGCACCTCTATGGCTGGGGCTGATCGAGCTCGTCTCATCCAGGCATCGCGGTGTACTACATTAGTTCATTATGGCCATATCTGGTGGACTCTTATGTCTCGCTGGATGGAGCAACTCCCGTCTATGTCAATTTGACGGTCCCACCAGGAATGCCATACGACGTTGCTGAAATTGGCAGCGAGGTCATTATGTGGAAGGCGATTTGGGGCGCACAAAACCTGTGCAACACAGTACATACCCTCACCGTTACTCGAGGAACGACCCATGGCATCGTCGACGCTTTCAGGTAATTAGCGCCTAGGAATTCCTATGTCCCATCCTGATCATTTACCGAGTAGATATACTACAGTTCGTGAAGAGAATTCTCCCAATACAACCTCTGGCTCCTCATCCTCTGCCACGAATCATCCGGGCTCTCCCTCAGCCAGTGCCAATGAACAACCAACTACGCTGCAATCTAAATCCAGTATAAATATATACGCTATTGTATTTTCAACCGTCGGCGCACTCCTGCTGTCTGCCCTCGTCTTCATCGTTTGGAAAAGAAACAGACACCGCATTCAAGCAACAGACCGAGCCCTAGACACTACAAACAACATCGCTTCCAACTCGGTTGTACCCTACACTTACGTGGTGCCCGCCTCGCGCAAAGAGATACCTCTGCCAGGGAAGACACCCACCACCCGGGCCTACGAGGATCACAAACACCTAGCAGTCTCCGTACAAGTTCCTTCAATTCCGCGTATATACATTCTCTTCCACCGCAGATGAATCACCTTTATCTAGGAGGTGTCCATGTGCCAATCGATCCCCTTCACCGCGCAGACCAAATACTTCAGTCAACTATTTCACCTTCTTCCCATTCGCCTGAAGATATGTTAGCGCCCTCATCATTTCGCCCTGGGACTGCTCCGCCGTCATATGTCCCGTGATATGCGAGAGGTACAGATCTTTGTCTTTCATATGAACATTTCATACATGTTTCATTCTGATATTCAAAAGGATAATACTTCCAGCTCGCGTTCGGGACTCTGAGAAACGGAATTCTGAGAAATGTCAATGATCATGCGTAATTGGCACCATGGACATACCCCAAGCAAATATATGTTTTCGTGGTCAATCATCACATACTTATGGCGGAAGCTTCCCTTCGTGGTCGTCTCCAAATATGGTAGCTGCGAAGATATGGGCTCATCCAAGATTCCTCTTTGTATGAGGACTTCGTCAGTTGGGCCCTCCACATATCGTTGCTTGACGTGCTCGAGCTTTTCTTGCTCTGGTATGGCGTACGGGTTAAAATCGCAAACTTGAATATTGCACACTCTTGGTCCATTTCCAGGAACAAAGCGCACAACTCTAGTCCCACTGGTTCGTATTTTGTAAACAGAATTATCTCGTCTCCATCCCGTGACCCGTGTTTTGTTGCCCCAATGGTTCCAGGGGATAATATGCATATCAGGTTCTTCCCTCATGTAATCTAGAAGAGAAGACGTAAAGAAGATTACGTTGCCTGTGTTAAACCCCGGGAAGAGGAAGCTAATATGAAGTCAATACGCTGCGAGTGACGAAGCACGCTTGCTCACAAAGATACGACGCAGATGCGCTGATGGGGCGAAGTGTAGAAGGGGCGTCCAACATCTTTATTCAGTTCTGGTACCGCTTCGCATGAAATGTCAATGTCAACAGCCATCCCGTTCATGCCTCTGGGTAGCAAAAACCGATGTGGAACGACCTCATCGGAACTTTGAGAGTAGTCGTATACGTCGAGGGATGATGCCAATGTAGGCCCTCCGTTGAACGGATTCCTATCTCTTGACGCGACCATCACGTGCTGAGGTGACAGGAAACAGAATGTTTCCAATAGATACCCTCCTTCGGAATTTAGGTGCTGAGGGAAGATCAGACCCACGAAGAATCCCGCAATAGGACATACAAAACATCGTTTCCCTTCTTTCCAGTTCCAAATGAACAGTTCACTCGAGGAAACCCCCGCCTCGTCGCTTCCCATAAAAAGTATGCCAATATGTTGATTCTGAATGGTGATTCCACACCCTGCATCCCGCCCCACAGCACTCTCCTCAGAAAAGAGAGGGACCTTGGCGAGTTTATGAGGTTGGCCATCTGCCATGGAAAGAAAATGAATGTGGTGCATAGGCTGAGTGTTCCTTCCCCGAGGAGTCAGAACAAGACGAGCTGAGGGATGATGTCTTACCGGTTACCACCGGAAGCGACCACCACAGCCAAGTCTTGGAAGCTGTCCATACTAAAGTCTTTAATATCGACGGGGACCCTGATTGTCCAGGTTTTCTCCCGGGTCAACAATGTGGGAGAGAGTCCCTGACGAAATTCTGGAGAGGTTAAGAACGATAGCCCCAGGGATATAAATAAATATACATACTGATAAAGTTCTCATCCATGGCTGCTTGAGCGTATACACCAGAGAAGAGCTCCCATAGGTTTGTAGGATCCATTGCGATGCGATAGCTCTGCAACCCAATGTGTATACCTTCACATCACTTATACAGGAAACACATACCTTATACCATCTCAAAGTGCTGAACCGGGCGTAAAACGCTCGGAGGCTCTCTAATCGCCGAGAGACGGGCCATGCAGCGTCTGCAGGCCCGTCTACCATAGAATACCGATGTAAAAGAACCTTGTACTGGAAATTTGGTGACCTTGTAAGGGTATTCCAGAGACGACAGATCTTGTAGACGCTTCAACGCCCATGACGCTTGATCAGTGGCAGTGACTCACAGTAGCAGCCACGAGCAGTGATTTTGGGTCGAGATGCTCGAAAACGACAATCAAAAGCTCCGTTGGGAGTTGACCCAAGGCCGGCATCGTGTTGAGGAGGAGCGAGCTGGTTCCAAGTTTGCCAAATACACTTTTGGACAACTCCAAGATGTCGTTTCCCCCGGGCATGGTCCAGGCGCCGCCTGGCGCTCCCAATATTCAGCAGGGGTCATCTTCAATGCCTCCAGAGGTGTTGGCACAAAAGTCGCAGAAGTGGACGCAGATGCAGAACAGGCGTTACGCAGAAAAGCGGAAGCAGGGCTTCATCGACACCGGAAAGCAGGTTCGTACACTCTTTTGACGATGTAAAACTCTACTTCACGTTGCTGATACCGCGTCTGCTTTGCGTCGTTGCAGGAACTTCCACCAGAGCACGTCCGCAAGATTATCAAGGACCATGGTGACATGAGCAACCGAAAATTCAGAAATGACAAGAGAGTACATCTCGGCGCGTTGAAATACGTTCCTCATGCTGTGATGAAGCTGTTGGAAAACATGCCGTTCCCTTGGGAGGTGAGTAGGGGGCTCACGCTCGTCTATGGACTCAAACATTGACAATTATTCAGCAAGTACGTGAGGTTCCGGTACTGTATCACATCACTGGAGCTATCACCTTTGTCAACGAGATTCCTCGCGTGATAGAGCCTATCTACCACGCGCAATGGGCTACGATGTGGTTGGCAATGCGTACAGAAAAGAGAGACCGGCGAAACTTCAAGCGTGTTCGCTTCCCGCTCTTCGATGACGAGGAGCCGCCGCTTGACTATGGAGACAATGTTCTCGATGTGGAACCATTGGAAGCAATTCAGTTGGAGTTGGATGAAGAGGAAGACTCTGCCATTATCGACTGGTTTTACGATCACAAGCCTCTCGCCGACACGCCAGCCGTGAACGGACCGTCTTACAAATACTGGTCGCTCTCACTCCCAGTAATGGCGAACCTGTACCGGCTCGGAAGGACACTTCTTTCGGATCATACTGATAGCAACGCGAGCTACTTGTTCGACAAGAAGGCGTTCTTTACGGCAAAGGCGCTCAACATGGCGATTCCAGGTGGACCTAAATTTGAGCCTCTTTACCGTGATATGGACAAATACGATGAGGACTGGAACGAATTCAATGACATTAACAAGATTATCATCCGTCAACAAATACGGACGGAGCACAAAGTCGCCTTCCCTCATCTGTACAATTCCCTCCCGCGTTCCGTACACTTGGCTCCTTACCATACACCGAAGAACGTGTACATTCGCACCGAGGATCCTGATCTACCAGCGTTCTACTTCGACCCATTAATCAATCCCGTGTCGTCCCGTTCCTTCCACCCGAAGAATCTTCCGCTCGTCTCCCATGAAGACGAAGTATTTGGCTATGGTATTGAGGAGGAGGACTGGGATTCCAAGCTTGACGAAGAGTTTGCACCATTCTTGGATGAGGAAGATCTGGAATCCGAGCACATTGCAGATGCCATCGCGCTTTGGTGGGCTCCAACGCCCTATGAACACCGAAGCGGGAGGACGAGGCGTGCAGAGGACGTTCCATTGGTCAAAAACTGGTACTTGGAGCACTGCCCCCCCGGTCAGCCTGTCAAAGTCCGCGTCTCTTACCAGAAACTGCTCAAGTGCTATGTGCTCAACGAGCTCAAGCATCGACCCCCAAAGGCGTTGACGAAGAAGAGCTTGTTCCGCCAGCTCAAGGCCACCAAGTTCTTCCAAGTCACACGCCTAGATTGGGTGGAAGTCGGACTACAAGTATGCCGCCAAGGATACAACATGTTGAATCTTTTGATCCATCGAAAGGTTTGTCATCTCTACCGGTGACCGATGTGCTTGCTCACGCGATGACAGAATCTCAACTATCTTCACTTGGACTACAACTACAACCTGAAGCCCGTCAAGTACGTAGGATTACGCCCGTCACTGTTGACGACTGACCACATCTGCCAGGACCCTGACTACCAAGGAACGCAAAAAGTCGCGATTCGGCAATGCATTCCATCTATGCCGTGAAATCCTGCATCTTACCAAGCACGTTGTTGATTCGAACGTCCAATTCCGCCTTGGAAACATTGACGCGTTCCAACTGGCAGACGCTTTGCAGTACATCTTCGCTCACATCGGCACGCTCACCGGAATGTATCGTTACAAGTATAAGGTATGCAATAACCCCCAGAGTGCCATATCATCCCTCATTGTCCAATAGTTGATGCGTCAAGTGAGGATGTGCAAAGATCTGAAGCATCTTATCTACTACCGCTTCAACACCGGTCCAGTGGGCAAGGGTCCGGGATGTGGTTTCTGGGCGCCAGGCTGGAGAGTTTGGATCTTCTTCATGCGAGGAATCGTTCCTCTCTTGGAAAGATGGTACGCATCTAACCCTTTCATATAACCCTGTGTCTGACTTTTGACTCAGGCTCGGTAACCTTTTGGCTCGTCAATTCGAGGGCAGAAACAGCAAGGGTGTTGCGAAGACAGTGACCAAGCAGCGTGTAGAATCTCAATACGACCTCGAGTTACGTGCCGCTGTCATGCACGACATTATCGACATGATGCCCGAGTCCATCAGGCAGAACAAGGCGAAGACAATTATTCAGCACTTGTCTGAAGCATGGAGATGCTGGAAGGCCAACAGTAAGATAAAGCGTCTTTTACTTTCACTCCGTCTGACCGGGTTATAGTTCCTTGGAAGGTACCAGGAATGCCAACGGCCATTGAGAATATCATTCTTCGATACATCAAGAGCAAGGCTGACTGGTGGACGTCGTAAGTTTTCTCGACTGAATAAGGCTTCATTTGCTGAGCTGCTTGTAGTGTGGCTCACTACAATCGTGAGCGTATCCGTCGCGGCGCCACCGTCGACAAGGCTGTTGTCAAGAAGAATCTTGGCAGGTTGACACGTCTTTATCTCAAAGCAGAACAAGAACGTCAACACGGTTATCTCAAGGACGGTCCCTACATCTCTGGTGAAGAGGCTGTCGCCATCTATACGTCGACTGTCCACTGGCTTGAAAGCCGCAAGTTTGCACCAATCCCATTCCCGTATGTGCACCCTAACTATCCAACAAGCTTCTGACATGCGGTTAACAGTCCACTCTCGTACAAGCATGACACCAAATTACTCGTGCTTGCGCTAGAAAAGCTGAAGGAAGCATACAGTGTCAAAGGTCGACTCAATCAGTCTCAGAGAGAGGAGCTCGCGCTTATAGAACAAGCGTACGACAATCCTCACGAATGTGAGTATATCGGTTCATCATTGAGCGATATCTTACCGAGAAATAGGTTTGTCTCGTATCAAGCGTTTGTTGCTCACACAGCGGGCGTTTAAGGAAGCGGGAATCGGTAAGGATCATTCATGGTATTCTCTTTCATTCTAATTTATCACGCAGAGTTCTTCGATACATATGACAAACTCATTCCCTGCTATGATATTGAGCCAGTCGAGAAGATTACGGACGCGGTTTGTCTAGTTGCACTCCAAGTGTATCTATAGCTGACGCATTCTAGTATCTGGATCAGTTCTTGTTCTTCGAAGCTGACAAGCGGGGACTCTTCCCTGCATGGATCAAGCCTGCTGTACGTGGCGCATATCTGACCGCAACTTTTGCTCATTGATGTTAGGACACCGAGCCACCGCCACTCCTTGTCTACAAGTGGTGTCAAGGTATCAACAACCTGACGGACATCTGGGAGACTGCCGAGGGCGAATGCAACGTCATGATCGAGACGGTGTTCTCAAAGGTCTATGAGAAGGTTGATCTGACGCTTCTCAACCGCCTTCTTCGTTTGATTTTGGACCACAATCTTGCCGACTATATCACAGCCAAAAACAATATCACTTTGACATACAAAGGTGTGTTTTCTCGTCTAGGCGACTCATATATTCATATTTGGATAGACATGGCACACAACAATGGATATGGCATGATCCGTGGACTCCAGTTCTCGGCCTTCGTCTTCCAGTACTACGGTTTGGTGCTTGATCTACTCGTCCTTGGCCTTCATAGAGCGAGTGAGATGGCCGGACCTCCACAAATGCCCAACAATTTCCTTCAGTATCGGGATTCTGCTACCGAAACTCGCCATCCAGTTCGACTCTATTCAAGATACGTGGATCGCCTTCACATCCTCTATCGCTTCACAGCAGAGGAAGCTCGTGATCTCATACAACGCTACCTGAGTGCCAATCCCGACCCAACGAACAACAATGTCATTGGTTACAATAATAAGCGCTGCTGGCCGCGAGATTGTCGAATGCGCCTCATCAAGCACGACGTCAACCTGGGAAGGGCCGTATTCTGGAACGTCAAGCAAAGTCTCCCGAGGTCACTTACCACCATCGAATGGGACGACACCTTTGTTAGCGTCTACTCCAAGGATAACCCACAACTGCTTTTCTCCATGTGTGGCTTCGAAGTTCGCATCCTCCCAAAGATTCGAACAACAAGTGGAGAACAGTTCTCCATCAAAGACAGTGTGTGGAACCTTACCAACGAACAAACCAAGGAGCGCACCGCCCAAGCTTTCCTTCGCGTCTCCGATGAGGGTATCCAGCAGTTCAACAATCGTATTCGGCAGATCTTGATGAGCTCGGGATCCACAACGTTCTCCAAGATCGTTAACAAGTGGAACACTGCCATCATTGGTCTGATGACATATTATCGAGAGGCCGTTATTCACACCAACGAACTTCTCGACGCGCTGGTCAAGGCCGAGAACAAGATCCAAACCCGCGTGAAGATTGGTTTGAATAGTAAGATGCCTTCTCGTTTCCCTCCAGTCGTGTTCTACACACCCAAGGTATGTTTTTAGTAGATGTTCATACCACTCGCTAAATGGCCGTAGGAATTGGGAGGCTTGGGAATGTTGTCGATGGGACACGTCCTCATTCCGCAGAGTGACCTCCGGTGGATGAAGCAGACGGATGTTGGAGGTATGTTCAACGATTCCGCAAGCGCTTAGTACTCATGGGTTCTCCTAGTCACCCACTTCCGAGCCGGCATGTCCCATGAGGAAGATCAGCTCATTCCCAACCTTTACCGCTACTTGCAACCTTGGGAGGCTGAATTCCTTGATTCTGCTCGTGTTTGGTCCGAGTACGCAATGAAGCGGAAGGAGGCCAACGCTCAGAACCGACGCCTCACTTTGGAAGATTTGGAAGACAGCTGGGATCGAGGCATTCCAAGAATCAACACCCTGTTCCAGAAAGATCGACATACCCTCGCATACGACAAGGGCTGGAGAGTCCGCACAGATTGGAAGCAATATCAATTACTCAAGCAGTACGTATTTTTCAATATTCCTTTTTGTCTCTGATAATTCTTTCAGCAATCCATTCTGGTGGACGTCTCAACGTCATGACGGCAAGCTATGGCAGCTGAACAATTACCGTGTCGACGTAATTGCTGCCCTCGGCGGTGTTGAAGGTATCCTGGAGCATACACTATTCAAAGGCACATACTTCCCTACCTGGGAAGGTCTGTTCTGGGAAAAAGCCTCCGGTTTCGAGGAGTCGATGCGCTACAAGAAGTTGACAAACGCTCAGCGCTCCGGTTTGAACCAGATTCCGAACCGTCGCTTCACGCTTTGGTGGAGTCCCACAATCAATCGCGCTAATGTCTACGTTGGTTTCCAAGTGCAGCTAGATCTCACCGGCATCTTCATGTGAGTTTGGAGCAGCGCAATTTCATGTTTCTGACGTGATTTAGGCATGGAAAGATTCCAACTCTGAAGATCAGCTTGATCCAGATCTTCCGTGCTCACTTGTGGCAGAAGAGTGCGTATTTCATATACCTAGAGGGCTTTTTCTGACTTCTCATCAGTTCACGAGAGCGTTGTCATGGACTTGGTACAATTTCATCTGCTATCACGAACTGTTCTAACCCTGGATACAGTGTCAAGTTTTCGATCAAGAAATGGAGGCACTCCAGATTGAAACGGTCCAGAAGGAGACAATTCATCCTCGTAAGAGTTATAAGATGAACTCGTATGTAATCCAGTGTTTGCAGAATCCGTACTCACGTTTCCTAGATCCTGCGCCGATATTCTTCTGTTCTCGTCATACAAGGTGCGTGTGCTTTAAAGAATTAGTTCATCGATAGCCTGACGCCACGTAGTGGAACATTTCGAAACCATCATTGGTATCGGATGTGAGTACTTTGCACATGCAGTTTACAAGGCAAATGACCGTTGCCCAGGGGAAAGACAGCTTCGATGGAATCACCAGCAACAAGTACTGGATTGACGTCCAACTCCGTTGGGGTGACTTTGATTCACACGACATTGATCGATACACCCGCGCCAAGTTCCTGGACTATGTATGTAAGCTCGGGCAGGTGATGAACCGTACTGACCACAACGTAGGTCTCGGACTCGATGAGTATCTATCCTTCACCAACCGGCGTCATGATTGGCATGGATCTAGCGTATAATCTATGGTCTGGATACGGGAACTGGTTCCCGGGCATGAAGCCATTGATTCAACAGGCCATGTCCAAGATCATGAAGGCGAACCCTGCATGCCACGTCCTGCGAGAACGCATCCGAAAGGGTCTACAACTCTACTCTTCGGAGCCTACGGAGCCGTACCTCAACAGTCAAAACTACTCGGAGCTGTTCTCCAACCAAATCATTTGGTTTGTCGACGACACGAATGTCTATCGCGTCACCATCCACAAGACATTCGAAGGCAATCTCACCACCAAGCCCATCAACGGAGCCATCTTCATCTTCAACCCGCGTTCGGGACAACTGTTCTTGAAGGTATGCTGGTATGATGATGCGAGTTACAGTCTTCTCACACAATTTCAGATTATTCATACAAGTGTCTGGGCAGGCCAGAAACGTCTCGGACAGTTGGCCAAATGGAAGACGGCAGAAGAAGTGGCTGCACTGGTCCGTTCGTTGCCAGTAGAAGAACAGCCCAAACAAGTCATCGTCACTCGAAAGGGCATGTTGGATCCCCTCGAGGTACACTTGCTAGATTTCCCGAACATTGTCATCAAGGGTAGCGAGCTGCAGCTACCTTTCCAGGCTTGCATGAAGATGGAGAAGTTTGGTGATCTGATCTTGGTCAGTAGCTCAATTGGCCCCATTTTTCTGATTTCTTATCTTTTGTAGCGCGCGACTCAACCTCAGATGGTCTTGTTCAATCTTTACGGTCAGTTTGGCGAATCGCAGTTCTCATTCTCTAACGTTTTTGAATAGACGACTGGCTCAAGTCGATCTCGAGCTATACTGCGTTTTCGCGTGTTATTCTACTGTTGCGTGCCCTGCATGTCAACAATGAGAAGGCAAAGATCATCCTGCGACCCGACAAGTCTACGATCACGGAGCCGCACTTTGTCTGGCCCACATTGACGGATGAAGAGTGGATGAAGGTCGAAGTTGCACTCAAGGACCTTATTCTGGCTGTATGCATCCACGCAATCTGCACCTTCCTCGATGCTGACTGCTCTCTAGGATTTCGGCAAACGCAACAGCGTGAACATTGCATCGCTTACGCAGTCTGAGATTCGAGACATCATCCTGGGTCAGGAAATCGCCGCTCCATCTGTGCAGCGGCAGCAAATGGCCGAACTTGACAAGAGCGTCGCAGCTCAGAGTCAAGTCACGGCCGTACAGACGTGCGTGTTCGTTTATATTGCTGGTTGAAGTACTCATCTACGATTATAGTATGACGACCAACGTGCACGGTGACCAGATACAAACCGTCACCATGACCAACTATGAGCAACAAGTGTTTAGTAGCAAATCTGACTGGCGAGTGCGGGCCATTTCCTCCACAAACCTGGCACTTCGTTTGCAACACATCTACGTCTCCAATGACGATGTCAAGGATGAGGCCGGGTCACTCACATACGTATTCCCCAAGAACGTACTGCGTGCCTTTGTCATCAATGCCGATCTCCGTACTCAAGTTGCTGCCTATCTGTACGGAGTATCGCCACCCGACAACAAACAAGTCAAGGAGATCAAGGCCGTTGTTTGGATCCCCCAAAGAGGCAACAACAACTCGGTTGAGCTTCCTCAGCAGCTCCCCAAGGACGATTTCCTACTGAGTGATCTCGAACCTCTTGGTTGGATCAAGACCCAGCCTCAAGAGTCGCAATATCTCTCGCCCACTGATGTGACGACTCAAGCACGCATCATGGCCGATCATCCAGAGTGGGGGCCCTCGTCCGTCTGTGTCACCTGCTCCTTCACTCCCGGTTCAATTTCACTGGCCGCTCATTCGCTCACACCAGCTGGCTTTGAGTGGGGACGCAAGAACACGGACAATTCGCTCAACCCACAAGGATTCAATCCAAACATGTCGGAACGAGTTCAACTCCTGCTGTCGGATCGCATTCTTGGGATGACTTTAGTCCCACAAGGCAAGGTCTGGAATTATGGTATTGGCCTGACCCAACTCTGGGCCACAAATCTACCATACTCTGTCGTCCTTGACACGCCTCTTCCCTTCTGGGCCGAAGCCCATCGTCCCGCCGCTTTCCTAACGTTTACGAACATGACAGGAAACGACTCTGCAGATGTCGAGAATAGCTTTGCTTAGGATTCCTTGTATCTTAGTCCCGTGAATACGCGCGTCAACTGAAGCAAAGGACTCGATTTTGGTGATGATCATACAGGACGCTCGGATGATACACAATCCGCTCCCAATTAATGAAGCCTACTAATGAATAGAAACAAACAGCCCGAACTTGGACTAAATAAACGCATTGGCGTCAGGTAGGTTGAGGGCAGAGTGCCGCACAGGAGCATTGGACTGATAAGGCACCACGGGCTTGTCCTCGTCCAAGCTTTCGACCACAGCCTTCCATTTTTCCTTCTCCTGCGGCGTCAGATCCCTGGATGCTCTAGAATTTCGACGTGGAGGGGGGGATAGGGGCATGGCTGCCGGTTGCGGAATGGACGACCTCATGCCAGTGAGGGGTGTATAAGCTTGCATCGTCGGACTAGTCGGGGACGGCAGGCCTCCTGAATAGTTAGCGATGCTTGACTCCCGACGATGTATAGCAGATTCGCCGGACATCCTCGAGTACGCTTGACTGTCCGTGGATGCTCGGATATGTTGATGTTTGGTGCCTTCAATTTCACCTGGAGCCGCAGGCGGCGGAACGGATGGTGGTGGAGGAGCAGGCGGTAATCGTTGGTAGTCGAGAGTACTACCACTCGGTTGAGTGGGCTGACTTTTCATCCTGAAACGGGCCTTGATCGACGACATGCGGTTGGAGCTAAAGGCAACGGGCGTTGATCTTGTGGAGCGGTCCGAGTTGACGGATCGACTCGGAGAGACGGGACGATGATCATCCACCTTGTTGGGAGTCGGAGGGAGGGGCCGGAGCGGTGGTGGTTGCATCGCAGGCAGAGTCGTCGAGATTCGACGGGGTGAACCTGGAATCGAGAACAGGGGCTTGACGCCATTGCTAGGGCTTTGTGACACGTCTGAACTTGGGTGATATCCAAAATCATCATCCATCTCCGGTCGTGGCGGGAGAGCAGTTGTAGGTGGGGGAGCTGCAGGACCAACCGAATGCCGAACCATTCTAGATATGAATTCCGAACGCGCAGATGGGCCCGAGGTCGAATTGGGACTCGTTGAACGCACCCGACCCGAAAGTGAATGACGATGTTTCCCTCCAATCGAATTGATGTCGTCGAGCGGTGCGGGCGGCAAGGGGAGCGCCTGACTGGGAGCCGGTCGAGGTGGAGGATACGCATACCCTCGCGACCCTTGACCAGAGGTAGATAGTCGATTCGAACCTATAGAGCCATTGGGGTTCTTGTTGCTCTGGCTCGCGCCTCCTGATGATTCGGTACTTTGAAAGCTCGGAGCGTCAGATGTGGTCATGATGGACATCCGTTTCGAGGTAAGAGACAGGCCCATATGAAGACTTGGAACGGTCGAAGGAATCGATGAACTACTACCTGGTCGCTCAGAGCTCGAATAGTCGTGCGACGGTGATTGTGCGGGGAAAGGAGGAGACTGGAAGATTGGAATGGCAGGAGGGGGTCCCAGTGGAGGGGGTCCCAGTGGAGGGGGAGATTGCTTCGGGATTCCACTCATGCGAGATCTACGCGATGAACCAGTTGGCAGGTGAAAGTGGCTAATGTACTCTGCATCTCCTTCCATAGGTCTCACATCCTCCTCTGTATAATGTTCGTGTTGTTCCGAATGCAAGGATGGTGTCGAAGGTCTGGACGCATTGCTGGCCAGATGCTCGAGCGTAGCGGTCTTTGCACTCGTATTGACACCGAATGAGGAAGAGCAGGATGGTAAGAGTGGGGGCGTATGCTGCGCCATTGGCGAGGGAATCGGTTGGGCAAACGAGGCCTCGTCCCGATCCGTCTCGCTGATAGGTGTCGTATTGCTCAGCTCTGGACCAGTGTCTTCTTGCCCATCTTGACCGGTGGCTGACGATTCCGTAAAGGATGATTGACCTATCACGTCCCCAAAGCTATGCTCGCCCTCGTCGTCCAAGGAGCGCCGGGTCACCACTGCTGGTGGAGTGCTCAGCCTCTTGGGCTCGCTTTGATCCTTTGGAGGAGTTCCTTGTCGATTTGGTAGTCCTCCGTTGGTTAATGGCCGCTTGCGCGGGGGTGGTGCAAGGGCAGTCTGCGTGACTTGCATGATTCGCTTGGTCGTGACGCTCGGAAAAGAGCCACCGTCGACGAAGTCCCAGTCCGCAGACAGAGAGCTCGAATGGTGGCCATGACGAGGACTAATTGGCCCAGAGAATCGGGACGTGAGTGTCGAGGGAGACGACAAGACGTTTTCGTCCATTGGCGTGTGTTGAAGAGTAGGAGAAAGTGGGGGAGATAGCGTGCTCTTGAGTGGTGCTGGTTGAATGGGGCTCGTCGGTCTAAATATATTGAACAAGGTCGAATCCCGCGTCACTTTGCCGGAGGAGACTTCTTGCGTGCTGGACTCTGCCTCATGGATAGTGTTTTGTAAGGATCCTTGAGATGGATGGTGTGTCGGAGATGCGAGTGCGGTTGCAATAGAGGAGCCGGAAATGGACATATGCCTGGATGGGGGTCGGCCGTTGAAAACGGCTTTGGCATTTGCGCTGTCATGTCTCTGCAGTACGGATGTAGTAAACTCTTCTGCTGGATTCGATGCGGCCGTGGTTTCAAACGAATTGCCGGTGGGAACGGTTGATGGTGCGGTGAACAACCCTTGCTTCCCCATGGAGAGTATCACATCTACATCCCCCTTGAGCTCCGGACCGACATTATTGTATGTATTTTGGTATAACACGGGCCCAACGCCAGCTTGTTCTGCCCTTGAGAGGAAATGTCAGCCCATTGAAGTACGAGTACGAGAGAGGAGCGAAACTACCAACCTTTGCATCAGGACCGCGCCTTTGATGAAGTCTATCCAACGCTGCATTTGGCTCGCGTCGGGCATCTGAAGCAACCAGGTACTACCGGCAGAGTTTTCGTCCCTTTTCAGATTCGACGCATGTGCAGTTGTCCCTCCGACTTTGATCACAAACTTTCGACCACCCAAAAACTCTTCATCGGCAATGTACACAACCGAATCTTGTGTGATGCTCATTCGTTCAATCTCCCTGTCATGTGGTGCCGAGGTTTTGAAGAGGTGGATGTGGGATTGTGAGCCGCCGAGTTCGCGACGCGGACGGACGGTAGTTAGCGCTATATGACGTGTCTTCCATTGTTTCGACCGTGATAATCTGAGCAAAGGCGAGGAGACGGGGCAATACTTGGAGGCCGTTGCCGACGTGTGGATGAGCGTCTGCAGGTCAGAAAGCGTAGCGGGAAAGGTTGGAAGACGGGCAACCTGCTCTTCTACACCATGTGCATTCAATGATGTTGAATGATCCTCGACGACCTGCGGCTGCGGTAAACCAACCGCCTGAGCCGCCGCGTCGCGCAATCGCTCGCGCTCTGTAGAGTCGTCGACAGATTCCTGAACGGCAGTATAGTCATAGTTGATGTTGTTCTTCGCTGCAGAGATTTCCAGCACGACATCGTCGACGAGCGCGGGGGGCTGGCGGATACTCATCCGCTTCTTCTTATTCATACGTATCCCGAGTGCATCTCCAGCCGTCTGGAGAATGCTATTCCTGTTTCGACGCGCGTTAAAGGCCTGCGAACGGCCGTCCATCGTTATGCGTCCACCCTCGGCTGTCTAAGCTAATGCACGGAGTTGTCGTTTGCTGTAAAGAGATTGCAGAGAGCGATTAGCAGTCGTATTACATCATTTCATTCCACCGTGAACTCACAACGAATCCAAAACTCGCTCAGAATCGTCCAAGGCGCCGCCGCTCTGGATGCGGGAGATCGAGACTCGGCGATGACGGTCGCGTCTGGCGTCGACGACGAGCTCTGACGAGAATTGGGAATATGTGCAAACTGGAACAAGAGTCCAGAGGCCTAGCTCGGACAAGGCAAGGTCGAAGAGCAAAATAAGGCACAACTCTCGCAAGGCTAATCAGTCGTTCTATAGCTGCGTTGGGAAAAGGGAAATGGGAGGGCTCTATAGTTCTCAAACCGCTCTAACTAGCGTACACAAACGAAATAGGAAGCACTCTTACGCACAATCGACACGACCAAAGCCCAGAAGCTTGTCCAGGAGAAAAAGGAAAATACGAGAGATGAGATCTGTGAATCAGTTACACGACAGCACAGGAAAAAGGAGAAAAGGAACAGTTCTTTGACAGAAGCCAAAGGGACACAAGGGGGCGTTGCTGTCGATCCAAAGTCGTCGGTTATTCTTTGGCGGCTGCTGCTCCCGCGTCCGCCGTCGCCATCGTCGTCTCAGCGTCTGCAGTACCAGCTAGAGGTTTCCCGTTGGCAAGAGTCGCCGGTGTGGTCGGCGCTGCAAGAGGCTGCGCCACTTCCTCGGGGATTTGGCCGATTGCACCGTCTTTTCTGGCCTCTCCAGGTTGTGGGGAAGGACTAACGGTCATTGCCCGAGATGCTGGCTCCTCTGCACTCGCCTCTCGCGCGTTATTGGGCTGGAGGTGGTGGGCCATTGCAACATCTCCATCCTGGTCAACCGTCGCAGACACTCCTCCAGCAGCTGGTACTGGTCCCCTTAGCAACTTTCGCAACTCTGCAACCTCTTTCTTCAACTGGACAATCTCTAGGTCCCGCGACACCAATACGTCTTTGATCCGTCGGTCAATGTCTTCTGCAGAAATGCATTGTTTGTGGACGTTTGTCCGGTCATAAATCTCCGACATCTTTGCCATGAATCGCGCCTTGTCGGCCACAGAGCCAGTGGATGCTCCGAGCGTTGGTATGGGAGATGGGACCGCGGGTGTGATGGGCAAACGCGCAGAGGGAGACCTCGCACCGGTCAAGTTTGGGTTTGATGGTGGCACGGGTGGCGGTATAATCGAGTGAGAGAGTCGTAGGGACGTGGGTGTTGGGATCGATGGCCACGCCTCTGAATTTTTATTGGCCCGTGGTGTGAGCTCTGGAGTGTCAACCCCACCAGGGTGTGAAGAGCGTAATTGCGATGACGACGTCGCGCGGGACGAGATCCAGGAACCTCCGGCGGGTTGGGCAGGCCGTGGGGGAATCATTTGGCCTTGCGGAACGGGTACGGGGGGAGCACTGCGGATGCTAGGAGCGATATTGGCTTCCAATGAGGATTTATGACCGTGATGGGGCTGGAAATTGAGTCGACTGGGAGGTTGCTTGCGCCCTGTCGGACGAAGATTTGACGAGGACGCGTTCGATATTCGTCGCGAGAACGAGGCCGATTCGTTTTGCCAGGCGGCCGAGTTGCTACTGGCCGATGGTAACGTCGAAGGAGTGGCGGGCGACTGGACGACAACGGCTGGCGGAGAGATTTGCTCTTGCTTGAGGGGCGCGTCATGGGCGTGAGGAGCGGCATACATGCCCGAGGTCGACGTGGTCCGGCGATGCTCGTGAGAGGGGCCCGGGCCTCTAGACGGTAGAGTTGCATTGTTTGGCGGTGTTGGCGGCGTCAAATGATGTGAATCGACGCCAGAAGCCTGTCTCGAGTGTCCATGGCGCACCGACGGCGAGCGAGAGGGTCCAGGAGCAGAAATCGCCGTGAGCTCTGCGCTGGCACCATTGCTTTCTGTAGACTCGAGCCTACGGCGTTTGCTTGCGCTCGGCGGGCTCAGATTGCTCGTCACCTCGCCCGTCGCAGTTCGTTTCCGATGGTAGCCATTCGGGTCCGGTGGAGAGCTGTGTCGACGCGGAACAATGTCAGAAATAGTCTCACACGGTAAGACGGGCGAATGGGAAATCGCATACAGACTTTCTCTGCCCAAGGTTTGGCTCGCTGTGGGCGTGTTCCAAGCGAGACGGAAACTCTCGTGTAAGACTCTGAATCGGAGGAAGTACCATCGACTCGTGCATAGACTTTGAAGACTGTCTGAGCGTGCCCAGCGGGGATGCTGGTCGGATTGCCGGCAGAGTTTCACTCGACGGCGTGCGTGTTTGCTGAGTCGCCATGGCCAAAAATATCCTTAATACTCTTGTAAATGCCGTAGAGACTGTCTAGCACGCGCTGTTTCACCCGCCGCACGCTGCCCGTGTAGAAAATGCAAAGGTGGTAGTGGCCAAAGTTGGAGTCCGACCTCAAATGGCTCAAGGACAGCCAAAGCTCACCGCAAAATCCGCGCCCAGACGACAGTCAAAACACGCCAAAGATCCGAAAAAGGGTCAACGAACGATTAAACCCAAACGACAGTCGCTCATCAAAGCCGCTGCCCAGAAACAAGTCCGTTCTCTAGCAACGCCCGGGATAATACACGCGAAGCTGATGGCTGACTACAGCAATTGTCTGCAAAACTAACAAAGAGCATCGAACGACAGGCTGCAGTTGCTGCCTCGTCTGGCAAGCTCACCATTATGAAGCCCTCGGCCACGGGTGCGCATGCTCTTCATATCAAACAAAAACACAGGCTGATAGCGTAAACAAATCGGTACAGAAAACTAGGTGTATACTACTTTCGCTTCTTTTTGGACCCGCTTGCATCCTGTTCACCTGCCTACAAAAAAAGGGTCAATCTTTAGATCCCATCCTCTCTCTACACATACCTTGCGTTTGGTCCCTTTCCCACCAACAGGTGCTCCTTTTTCTTTCTTTTCAGGCACCGCCTTTGGCGCGACTTTGAAGAAGCTGTCGAGCCGTCCTTGCTGTTTCGCACCAATGTGCTTTGTCAATTTCTCCGCTCCTTTGCGAACCCGGTCCTCGCTACAATAGTTTATGAGCAAGAGATACCATTCAAAAGAGCCCGACCAACTTGAATCCCTTTTCCGTGACCAGAAACTGCACCAGGCCGTCGAGATCTGGGGCCTTCCATTCCAGCTGTCAACCGATTAAAACTTTGGCATCGGTATATAAAGGCACCGGCTACGCACCTCAAACGAGTCTGCTGGTGTAACATCTGGCTGGAGGAACAGGTCCTTTGCCCTTTCCCATGGCCACTCCTCTGGGACATGCACTCCTCCCTTTTTCTTCTTTCCTTCGCCTTCTTCATCGGCATCCTCCCTGCTGGCCTGCTTTGAACGCAAATGCTCGACAACCGCGCCCAGCGATCCGTGTTCGCGAAGGAGTTTCAGGGCCGACTTTGGTCCGACTCCCTTGATGGGTTCTAGATAGTCGCAACCGAGTAGAATGCAAAGCTCGACAAACTGTTGGAATCATGAGCACAAGGCTTCTAGCTATCAGATATGGGATTACCTGAGGCATATCCATCTCGAGGCCTTCGAGAACGGCCGGAAGAGAAATTTCAAGAATGGGCTCCTTTCTATTTTCGCTAAAGGTGAGATGGCGAAGCAGGATAGGTGAATTAAACGTCAATGTGTCCATGTCTTCAGAGCCAGCGCCATAGACCTATGAATGTATCAGCCTCTGGCTAGCAGTCAGCCTGTAGATATACCAGTCCTCCTCGAGCGAGTTCAGCGCACTGAGCTTCTGCTTCAGAAGGTGCCTAGGATAGACATGTGTCGATAATATCCGTCGTCAGTGCGAAATACATACCACAACAACAGGGATGCCCATAAGACCGAGCAGCTTTCGACATTCCTCATTGTGTTCCTTTGTGACGCGCACTTGTCTGCGCGAAAACTTTTCGACTTCCTCAGTAGTACCTATTCTTGGCTATAAGAAGTCGTAGCCATGTCAAGGAGAACACACGCACCAACTTCCTTTGCCTCATCTCCTTCCTCTTTCGCCTCTTCGCGACGTTCAAAGCGTTTTGCAAGCTGACATAGATATAAGCCAAACAGCGCTCGCGCAACAACGACGAAACAAAACGTACAACGCCCGACTTGAGCTCTGGAGGCTTGCCATCAAACACATAGCACGGTTTGATGCCATTTTCAACCATGCGAATCGTACGGTAGAAGAATCCCATCAGATGGCTCGTCGTTTCGCCTTGTTCATTCTGCAGCGTCTCCCCGTCGCGTTGGCGGACGGCGATGAGAAACTGGTAAATGCTCATCGACGCGTCGATTGCGACTTTGCGACCAAAAGCGTCTTAATGTCATGCTCCTGTAGACCAAGAAAGACGCCAACGAAAACTGTGCGTCAGCGACAACGACCAAAGACGCAGGACGCGTCGTGCAAATTAATATGCTCAAACCTTGATAGCTTTAGGTGCGTGCTCTTGGATGAGCGCGGTGAGGCCCTTGATTCCCATTTCAACGAGGCGGACGGCAAGGAACGAACACGGACGAGGCAAAACATGTACAAATAAGAGAATAATTCCACAATGCTAGCTACACGCTCACTCTGCAATGTGATAATGCTAGACATGTATATCAGTCATCTCACAGTGCGCCACATTGGAACCTACCGAGGTACGCTTGGGGGCGTTTGGAAGCACGACTGGGCGAGTAAAGTTGCGTCTGCAACAGCGTAAGGAATGCTGTAGTAGCAAAATTATTACATACCCGGAGCGATATCTTCGCAGAATGGAAATGGCGACTTCTTCAATCTCGACGGGTTGGACCCCAACCTTGTCCCAGTCCGAGGGCGCACGGTCGGGGACATTGATAAACCTTCTCTCAATCTCATCTGGGCTGAGTGTGGGCCACCATACCAGCTGCGAAATCCGAGAGAGGAGGAGAGCAATCGACTTTGGAACCTCTGGCATGTTGGAAACGGGGTTGAAGGTAAAGAGTGAAATGAGTTGTTCCAGTTCCGTGTAGGAAAAGGTAACAGGACCAGGCAATGAGAGTGTGCTGCCGTCGAGTTCAGGCAAGCTGCTCAGATTGGCGAGACCTTGGGCGACATCTTGGACCTGCAGGTCGTTAGAAAGGCCTAGAGCAAACGAGACCCACTCACATATACCGGTCGCGTCTGCGTCTTGCCCTTGTTGAATTTCCAGAGCATTGGCCAGTCTACAAAGTCAGCAAGGGTCACATAACCCACCAAGCAACATACAAGCCATCGAATTCAAAAACTTGTCTTCTGGTCCGTACATTTGACTCGGTCGAGCGATGATGGCGCTGGGAAAGGCCTCTCGAACGGCATCTTCGCCCTCTTTCTTCGTACGATAAAACTTGGAGGGCGAGTCGGCTGCGGCGTTGATATGAGAGACGTGAACTAGTCTTGGTACACCACTCTCTGCGGAAATGCGGGCAATATCTGCTGCTCCCATCTTGTTGACACTTGCAAAGTCAAAGTTTCTTGTCCCGTTAGAAGACAAACGAGAGAATAAGGAGCTCGTACTTGGTCTCATAATCACGTCCAATGAGGTTGTAAACAATGTCCGAGTGCCTAACTGCCTCTTCAATCTGCTGTGGGTTTCGGATATCGAGTTCGAGCGGAACAATTTGGCCGAGATCGCCCATTGGTCGCAAATGTCGCTTTGTATTCTCGTCTCTATACGGTACGATGACCTGTGTCCCGTTTTTTGCTGCATGTTAGGCGCTAGTTCAGCCGTCGAAAGTGACGAAGCGACGGCGGTACTGACCGAGCTTGGCCACCAAATATCTTCCCAAAAATCCAGTGCACCCAAAGACGGTCGCTACATGTCCTGTGACGGCTGATCGTCCTGGAGGGCCATAGCTAATGAGTGGTTTGCCTCCGACCATCAAAAGGTCTGTGTATGTTCGCTGCCAGATTGTCAGCAAGCTTATTCTTGATGGTTTAGAGTGTCCCATACGCTATGGGCAGCCTTGCAGACGGCCACGGTGGACCGCGACAACATTGTGGTAAGGTCTAAAGTTGTTTTGCCCCCGACTACTGGCGATGAACGCGCAAGAGAGGGTCAATGCGGCTGCAAACCTGCTTGTACAATCACCTCCTGGGGAGATCAATGACTGTCTTACGGGTTAGTCGACGAGGAGCGTACCGATTGCCCATTAACGCACTCTGCCACAGACATCCGGGTCATCATCAACGACGACAATCTCCTGCAGCAGGGGATCGATCAAGCACTGAGAGAGTACAATATTGCTCAGTTTGTTACCGTCCAGTCCCCAAAAGGCGATCACCATGTGCGTGCCACTGGGCACGATGGACGCGAACGAGGCTACTAAGTCGTGCTCTAGGTCATTATTAGCGACGCTGGACGTGTCGGGGGCGATACAGAGGACAGATTCTTCGACCCGCGCACGAAGACATCCTTCTTCTTTGACCATTTGAGCCTGGTATGCTCTACACCTTGTCCACATGCCGTCAGACTCATTCTAGCTCAGGAAGCCTCGGATCCGAATACAGAAGAGGCGAATGAAGACATAGAGGGCTACCGGTAAGTCATTCTCTCATTCTCTCATGTGCCACTTGTGATGGGATTCGTTCAGTGCTGCCCTAGACTCTGCGGCGCAGGAGTATATCAACGAACATTACAAGGAAGGAGTAACGAGTGTATTTGCCTCGGGTTCTAACAATCTGACGATCCAACTCGTCGCCAACCGATACAACCCACAAAACTTTTGGTCGGGTCGATGGAGGTCGAGATACGAGATTGACCTAGACGCAAAGACGGTGACTGGCAAGATCCTTGTTACCGTTCATTATTACGAGCAAGGAAACGTGAGCTCGAGGATCTATTCAATTGCCGGGCCCTGCTAATCCTCGGACAGGTCCAACTAACGACAGAGTTTACTCCGACGCTCACATTGCCACCTTCTTCGCCGTCTCCTCAGGCAGCCAGACAGTTGATAGCACAGATTACAGAGCAGGAGAATACGTACCAGACGTCGCTGAGCGACACCTATCACGACCTTGGGGAGAAACGGTTCAAGACGCTACGGAGGGCGCTGCCGATGACTCGCAACAAGATTGACTGGGACAAGGTAATCTTATCTCTTTCCTTTGGGCGCTGTGTATTCACATGTACCCAGGTCACTGGTTACAAGCTTGGAGCGGAGCTTACTGCGAGCCGGGGCGGGTTTGGATCATAGTCTTGTTCGGGACAGATGAATAGACGGTGTACCGTTGCAGCTGAATGTCCGGTCGAGAGCTGAACGTGAATGGTCCCGGGTCGCCTCACGTGAATTCTCCGCAAGTGGCGGCTTCCCTTGGGACGGGAGAAGGTAATGGTCCCGGGTTGATCGTAAACTTGGACTCGAACCACAACTTTGTCGACCATGTCCTCTGAACGAGAATCCTTCAAGCAAGAAGTCGCCGCTGTCGAACGGTGGTGGAAACAGCCAAGATTTGCGTCAGTCAAGCGTCCGTATACTGCTGAGCAGGTTGTATCAAAACGGGGGACGCTGCCTATCCAGTATGCGTCTGATGCGCAAGGGAAAAAGCTCTGGTCACTGCTGGAACAACACTGGAAGAACAAGACACCTTCGCATACCTACGGGGCGTGAGTCATTCCCTGCATTGATCCTTGGCATACCCTTTTTGACGACTTTTTGGGCAGTCTCGATCCCGTCCAGGTTACCCAAATGGCAAAGTATCTCGAAACCGTCTACGTTTCCGGGTGGCAGTCGAGCTCGACGGCCTCGTCGACAAACGAGCCTGGACCGGATCTCGCAGACTATCCATATGACACTGTTCCCCGCAAAGTGGAGCATCTCTTCATGGCTCAGCTTTTCCACGACCGTAAACAGCGCGAGGCGAGGTCACGGCTGAGCCCAGAGGCGCTTTCTGCCACTCCCTACGTCGATTATCTGCGCCCTATTGTTGCAGATGCAGATACTGGACACGGTGGACTGACGGCCGTCATGAAACTCACAAAACTTTTCGTCGAAAAGGGTGCCGCCGGTATTCACATCGAAGACCAAGCACCTGGCACCAAGAAATGTGGCCATATGGCTGGAAAGGTCCTCGTTCCTATTTCAGAGCATATAAACAGATTGGTGGCAATTCGTTTCCAGGTACGCAACAAAGTCGAAAAGTACTCGGGCTAATGTGGCATAGTACGACGTTATGGGAGTCTCAAATCTCGTCGTGGCGAGAACAGATTCGGAGGCTGCTACCCTCATTACAACCAATGTCGACGAGCGCGACCATGCCTTCATTCTGGGGTGCACAAACCCCGAATTAGATGACTTGGTGACAGTCATGTCGACGGCAGAGGCAAAAGGTGTACAAGGACAAGCGCTACAGGCTCTCGAGGATGAGTGGACGGCAAAAGCGGGACTTCGCCTCTATGCTGACGTGCTGGTCGATGCATTGGCGAAGACGGGCGCGAACAAGACTAAGCAGGATCAACTACGTGCAAAAATTGCGCGTGTATCTCATAAGCAGGCGCAACAGATTGCGTCAAAGGAATTCGGGCTCACCAAGCTTCCTTACTGGAACTGGGACGCCCCTCGTACACGAGAGGGCTATTACCGTTATCAAGGTGGCACTCAATGTGCCATCAACCGCGCCATTGCATTCGCTCCGTTTGCCGACCTTCTCTGGATGGAGACCAAAAGCCCTATCCTCGCGCAAGCGAAGGAATTCGCAGAGGGCGTCCATAAAGTGTATCCCCAACAGTGGCTCGCGTATAATCTCAGCCCCAGCTTCAACTGGGACGCGGCAGGTCTGGGCACAAAAGAGATGAAGGACTATGTCTGGGAGCTCGGAAAGCTAGGCTTTGTGTGGCAATTCATCACGGTACGTGGTCGATCGAGACCGTCGCTCGGTTCGCGTTCAGCCAATACGGCTCACTATCTATGCGAGCGTTGACAAGCTTGATTAAACACTATAACTGACTATCTCATCCCCGTCATCTGCAGCTCGGAGGATTGCATTCGAATGGATACATCTCGGATTTGTTCGCGCAGAACTATGCAAAGGAAGGCATGAAGGCCTATGTCGAGTTGATCCAGCGTCGAGAGCGAGACCTCGGCACAGATGTCTTGACGCATCAAAAGGTTTGTCGGCTCCCCGCTGCTGCGACCGCAGACGCTAATTTGGATTGTAGTGGAGTGGTGCCGAGTACATTGACAACATGTTGATGACCGTGACTGGTGGCATTTCGTCAACGGCAGCTATGGGTAAAGGCGTAACGGAGACGCAGTTTGGGAAACCCCAGAATAAGCTCTGAGTGAGTAAACTCCCCCTTTCTTAGAACCCTGTACATTGCTTCCGAATCGTATTTGCGAATGTGAATCGGTTATCAGCGAGCCGGGGACTAAGGAAATTGTGGGGGAAAGTGTGAAAGTGTCGCTGAACCGCGGCCGAGGGCGATTGGCTGCCGATATCCCGCTTCCGCGTTTGTACATCATTCAGGGAGACCTTCGCAGCGCATGTCGAGTATATAAACCCGCTCTCCCAACTGTCACAACTCTGGGCCACTCTTGGAGCCAGCCACCATCGTCCACCGCGATGCCGACCCGCATTCTCACTCCAGAATACGTTAATGGAATATTCAAGGGACTCAAAATTTCCCCAGAACGTACGTCCAATCAACTCACAGGTCGATTGACCGACGATCTGACTCGAACCACACTAGCCAAGGCAGAACCAGCTCATGGACTGACGCCTCCAGCACTGAACAAGAGTATCCAATACAAGCGATGCATGCTCCAGCTTCGTTCAAAGGGCGATCGCCCGCTGGAAAAATACATCTTCCTCAGCTCGCTCAAGCAGTATGATGAGGAAATGTTCTACGCAATCCTCATGGCCAACATGCCTGAAATCTGCCCCTTGATTTATACACCAACGGTCGGAGACGCGTGCCTTAACTTCAGCCACATCTATCGCAAGCCCGAAGGTCTCTACGTCTCCATCGAGGACAAGGGTAGCATCAAAAACGTCTTGCGCGTGTGGCCCCATAAAGATAAGGCCAGAATTACCGTGGTCACTGATGGCTCGCGTATCCTGGGCCTTGGAGATTTGGGTAGCTATTCCTCTTCCATGATTCGAACTGTTCTGACGATGTTCGCCCAGGTGTGAACGGCAGTATGCCCATACTATTTTTGGATTATACATCTGTCTGATGACCTTGCAGTGCCGATTTCCATCGGAAAGCTTTCCCTCTACATTGCTGGTGCTGGATTTAAGCCAGAGTCGACCCTTCCCATCTGCCTCGATGTGCGTATGTTCATGGTCCGAAGAATCTAACTTATCAGCCTATAGCTTGGTACCAACAACGCGAAGAATCTGGATGATCCTCTCTATCTTGGACTGCGCCGAAAGCGCGTCGACGACAAGGAGATGGACGAATTTATGGACGAATTTATGCATGCTATGGCCGAAGTCTTCCCGAACATCCTCGTCCAGTTCGAAGATTTTAGTAAGATTGCTTCTCTTGGCCCAGCATGTGCTGATTGTGGATAGGCACCGATCACGCGTTCCACTATCTCGAGCGATACCAGAACACAGCCAAGGTTCCTGTCTTCAACGACGATATCCAAGGTACTGGTGCCGTGGTACTCTCTGGGTTCGTCAATGCGGCCAAGCTCTCCTCTGAGGCATCGGGTCGCGATTTGACCGATCATCGTGTTCTCTTCTTGGGAGCGGGAAGTGCGGGTGTTGGTGTGGCGAAGCAAGTCATGAGTTTCTTCACTCTCCAGGGGCTGTCGGAGGAGGAGGCCAAGTCGCGGATCTGGTTCATCGACTCTCAAGGTATGATCACAGCCGACAGACCTAAGCTCCAAGCACACAAGATATGTGCGTATCGCAGCATTTGAGAGTATGAGATTCTCACAAGCCATAGATTTCGCTCGCAAGGACTACTCTGGGCCACCACTCAAAAACTTGTTGGACATTATCGATTATGTGAAACCCACCGCACTTGTCGGCTTATCGACGATGAGAGGAGCGTTCACCAAAGAGGCGGTCGAAAAAATGGCTGAACTCAACCCGCGACCAATCATCTTCCCCCTATCCAACCCTGTCTCGCTCTCTGAATGCGAGTTCAAGGACGCCATCGAATGGACCGACGGAAAGGTAATTGCTATAGGTTCTTGTGATCGATCCTGTGTCTGACTGAGGTTGATGATAGGTCATCTTTGCCTCTGGCTCGCCGTTCTTGCCCTACACATACAAGGGTAAGGAATACTATCCTGGGCAGGGAAATAACATGTATGTCTTCCCTGGAATCGGCTTTGGGGGCGTCCTATCGAAGTGTAAACACGTCACACCGAGCATGGTGGAGAACGCCTCCCTAGCATTGGCAGAGTCACTGACTCAAGAAGAACGGTGGGTCTTTCTGGTTTCCCCAATAATGGAAGACGATGCTGATGGTCCATTTTTTAGGGACATGGGCCTCATCTACCCCAAATTGACGCGTGTGCGCGAGGTTTCGATGCAGATTGCAGCTCGTGTCATTCATGTTGCTCAAGAGGAGCACGTCGACCGCAACGCACCCCTACGCCATATGGATGACGAACATCTCCTCGAATTTGCACGCAAACGCTCATGGTACCCCAGGGTTCCAAGTTCATAAACATCTTAAGAGTTTTCGAGGCCACACGAGGTGCATATGGAACGGATGCTCGATGACCACAATATTTGACCAGTTGTTCACGTATCTTCCCCTGAAATATAGCTCGCGTTTGGAATCTACCATTTGTACTTCTAAGGATACTTCTAATCGGGCTCTTGTGTCTTTCTTGGTAATCTCGTCCGTCGAAATGGTTCTGCCTGAGACTGGCCGTAACGGTCACAAGATACCAGGAATCATGCTCATTCTGACATTACGAAAACTGTGGTCCCGGGTCAGTTCGCTTCTTTTTTATTGGGTATTCTTTCATCCGATATATATAACGGTGTTCCGGCTCCTCTTTCCGTGTGGCCACCCTCGTCCTCACCACATCGTCTTCAAATCCTCCATTCTTGACAACTCTCTGGAATCAACAGGAAATATGCCTTCTGTTACAGTTGATTGGAATTTGATCGACAACCCCGTTCCTGTCCTGGAGCGCTTCCCCAGTCGCCGGAGCGTAGTTTACAGCTCAAAGGGTGAGGGCACAAACTATTGTCTTAACCAACGAGAACTCACAAATGTAGGAATGGTGTCGTGTACGCAGCCACTGGCTTGCCAGGCAGGACTTGAGATCCTTGCCAAAGGAGGGAACGCGATGGATGCTGCTGTCGCCACCTCCATTGCACTGAATGTGACAGAGCCTTCATGCTGTGGGATTGGTGGAGATGCGTTCGCACTCTTCTACGACGCAAAGACGAAAAAAGTGCACGCACTCAACGGTTCCGGACGATCTCCAAGGGCTCTTACAGTCGAAAAGCTCAGAGAACGCGGGATAGTTGGAAACACAATCCCATATACTGATCTGAACAGTGTGACTGTTCCTGGAGCGGCCGCGGCTTGGGTTGATTCTGTCGAAATGCTCGGTAGTGGCAAAGTCAGCTTTGCAGAAGTTGCTGCCCCTGCCATCCGTCTCGCAGAAGAAGGTGTCCCGGTATCCGAGGTTCACAGTCTGGGAGTAAGCATCCCCTCTGTGTACGTTTAATCATATTGACGATATCCCAAGTGGCAACGGTCGGAGAAGATCCTGCAGCATGCTTCTCCAAATGGGGATGCGATGTTACTCAATGGTAGAGGTACGTAAATGTGTGGAATCGAAGAAAGTAGGCTGAATTTCTGATAGCGCCCCGACCTGGCGAGGTGATGCGCTTTCCAGACCTTGCATCGACCTTCAAAGCGCTGGTCACAGAAGGGAAAGATGGATTTTACAAGGGACGCGTAGCGCAGGTATTCTCATTCCTTGAACACAGATTGCAAACTAAGATGCCCAGGCCATTGTTGATCTCATCCAAGGCCAAGGGGGATTGATGACATTGGAAGATCTCGCGGCACATAAAACCGACGTCGTGGATCCAATATCGTACACTTACGCGAATGATGTCAAAGTCTGGGAGGTGAGTTAGATACCAAACCTGACCTCTAGCTGACATTCTTCGAGTGTCCTCCAAATGGCCAAGGAATCACTGCACTGATGGCACTGGGGATCCTCGAAGCTGCCCAAGAGCAAGGGACAATCAAATCGCTTCTCGACATGGAGCACAATTCAGCAGAATATCTCCACGCTCTCATCGAAGCTCTGAGGTCCGAGTGACTCTCTACGATATTCTCCGCTTACCATATCCGTAGATTAGCATTTGCAGACAGTTTGCATTGGGTAACCGACCCAGATTGTGCCCCAGTATCCCCTTCCAAACTCTTATCGAAAGTAAGGTCGCTTGTTATCTGCAACGCATGTGACTTATTCGTGTTCAGGAGTATCTGTTGTCAAGAGCAAAGCACTTTAATCCACAAAAAGCCATCGCTGATGCAGAGCATGTAAGTACTGTACCCTAGCCAACTTCTCTCCTGACGTAGACTTTAGGGCAACCCGATCAACTCATCCGACACCGTCTACTTTACTGGTATGCGTACACTCTTTGATGGGACGAGCTGACAGAGGCCAGTGACCGATCAATGGGGAAATGCGGCTAGTTACATTCAGAGCAATTACGCCGGATTTGGCACCGGAGGCATGCCTTTCTCAAATGGAAGAAATACATGCTAAAATTTTGTAGCTATACCGAAAGGATGTGGATTCACGCTGCAGAACAGAGGTTGCGGGTTCGTCCTCAATGACCCGTCGCATCCAAACATCCTCAAGGCAAGCCACATTCGATCTGTTTCCTTTTGGCTCACTAATGATGATGTGCAGGGCGGGAAGCGACCCTATCACACAATTATTCCGGCTCTTGTGACTCGGGGAGACGAGCTCTTCCTCAGCTACGGAGTCATGGGTGGTTTCATGCAGCCACAAGGTATTTTCATACGAGAACCTAGATTTCGCATCATAATCAATGCGCAGGTCATGTGCAAGTACTCCTAAATATGCTAAGAGGGTGGACTCCCCAGGACGCCCTCGACGCACCCCGGTTCTGCATATCTCCCGGACTGCCTGATGCTCCTGTCAAAGAATCTACAAAAGCCGGAGACATCAATAGCGAAGTCTACTTTGAACCCGGCATTTCCAATGAGACTATACAGACGCTCCGAGGTACGCACACTCGACAATTACGGCCTTACTCTAACTAAAATGAACAGCCATGGGTCATGACGCTAGACCCGTTACCGGAATTCAACGAGCACTAATGGGCCGCGGCCAGATTATTCAACGCCTCAAGACATCGGATGGCAGTCTTGTATGGGCCGCTGGCTCGGACTTGCGAGGGGATGGACATGCAACGCCGCAGATATAGTGTCTAGTCTTTAGTTAGCAATCGAATGAATGTGGTCCGGGTGGAACATGGCTGAAATCCAACTACTTCAACGACCTCCTTCAAAAGATGAAGCCGAGGGCAAAACGATTGCTCTTCTAAATGCAAGAATTCCTACCTGGAATGTGCTACTTGGTTCGGGAGAATTTGACGAGTGGACACGGCAGAGTTCGCAAGAAGCCAGCGAATTGGACACTCAGGTGTGTTCGATATGTTGCAATACGCCTATTTGACCAGTAAATTTATCACAGCTCCGAGACTCTACTCAAAATTTGAACGAGGAGAGGGCAAGAGCCATTGAAACAATCCAAACAACGATTTCATCTGCACAAGATGCCGCGCTGTCCCGACATATCTTAGCAGACGATTTACAGGCCTTGTCTTCCGAGCTTGTCTCCTCAAACGAACACGGAATTAGTCAACCGACTCTCCTCGAGGATCTAGAAGCATTGCACCGTAAATTAAAGGAACTAAGAAGCGTTCATCAGTACACGAGTGTTATACAGAAGGCACTCTCACTCAGGTAAGAGCTATGACCAAGGTATGACGCATGCCCTAATGCATCCCAGCGCTGCAGCCATCGAAGAGTTCCAGTCTGCTGCACCTGGAGACCCTATCTCGTCGAGTTCTTTGACCAAGTACACGGAGCTTCAAAAGTTTGTTCAATCTGTGGCATCTCTATGTGGTGAAAACGACGCATCGTCTGAAGGCTCTGTGGGCCTGCTTTCGTTCCTAGAGTCCATCAGGGATCGTACGTGGACAGACATCAAGTCTATTCTTCTGGAGTATGTGAAAACCCTTTCGCGCTCGTCCATTCTGATGCAGTTCCAGAAAACTGGTTGCTGCGGCCGAAAAGCTGAAATGGCCAAATAAGATCGAATGGAGCAGTTTACCCACAGAAGGCCGACATTATTTTGTGGACGCTTTCACGCGACTCTTAAAACTCCAAGAGATGTAAGGGGAACTATCACCTTTATGTTTCTAACTAAGCTGGTTTAGAGCCGAGACGCTGCATCCAGCATTTGTGGAAACAGAAGAATCCAAAGGGAAAAACGGAATCTACGCTCTTCAAGCCCTTGTTCAACCCATCGCCGCTCGATTCAAATACCACTTCGAAGGCCCGCGAGAAACCAATCGTTTGGACAAGGTCAGTGAATATATAGACAGCTATATTCCCTATATACTAATATACGATTCAGCCTGAATGGTACTTCACCAATATCATCAACGTGATCCACCAGCACAGGGAATTCATGAACAATAATATCCAACGGCTATTAAATGCCAGCCACTACAAGCAAATCAATGCGCACAGGGAGTTTACCCGCCTCTTATTCCCAATGCTGGGACGAAAGATAAGGAAGTCAATGCCAGAATTGCTGCAAGATACTGCATTGTTGGCCCAGACTATCTATCAATCTGTCGCGTTTGACACACAAGTCAGAGACGATGGGTTCGCTCTTACGGGGACATATCTTGCTTTGAATAAGGCAGCGGGACAGGTCGAAGAATGGGAAGGTGTTAGTGAAGTCATTTTGGGAAGAAAGGAGTGGTTTGACTCGTGGCTGGAAGCCGAACGGCGATGTACGCGTTTATTTCTCTACTTATTCTTTACTGATCGGAATCAGTTGCCGAGGCACAATATGATGAACTCGTCCATTCTCCCAACGCCTGGCAGTTGGTCGATGATGGGGCGCTTACAGACGAAGATTCCGAGACTACAATTGACCTTCGACCGACCAACTCTGCGCGACGCATCAAAGCACTCTTTGAACAGATTTCGGATCGCTACAAGCCATTGCCGCGGTTCAATCATCGGGCACGCTTCCTTATTGCGATCCAGATACCTATTTTAGAGCATTATCATACGCGGATTTCTGGATCTTTGGACGCTTTCGAGACATTATCGTCTACTCTTCTGCGAGCTGTTCCTGGAGCCCTTGCTGGACAGGTTGGACACCAATACGATACCAGGCGACTTACAAGCGGAGTAGATGGTCTCCAGCGATTGATCAAGGCCTTTGTTAGTGCGCGGTGGATCACTATTGCTATGCAGGGTTGGGGGGAAAAGCTAGTGAGTTCCCCTTCCGATGGTGGCACCCTTGTGCTCACAATGCAAAGTTCTACCTTGAGCTCTGGAAAGAGATCAACGAACGAGCAAGCTTACGAGCAAAAGCCGCCGAACACAACTCTCTGCCTACACCGATCCCAGAAAACGTGGAAGAAGGTGCCCTGTTCGACGAACTCATTGCACAATATGACACCCTCACCGCACGAAGCGAGGACTTGATTGTCCACCATGTCATATCGGAGGTCCAGGACGCCCTCCGCGTTCATATAGCCAGGTAAGCAGTTCTAAGCCTTTTAGTACTCCTATTGACAGGCAATCAGCTCGTGGACAAGTGAAACTGGTGATGAAGCCGTCCTGCCTTCAACATTGCTGTCCCCTGTTACTGCCCTTCAACAGCAGTTGGCATTTTTGGCGACCACACTCCCTGCATCTTCCGTCACGATTCTCTACAGAAGAATTTGCTCGAGCGTGGCTTCCTTCCTGGTAGACCGCATGATTTTCCAGCATTCAAGAGGCAAACTGGAGCCGAATGAAGCTCCGGTTCTTGCAGCAGAATACAAACTATGGATTGAATGCTCAAAGCAGGCTGTTGGACGTATGGTTCGCAAGCTCGAGATCCCCTGGCAGCGCCTGCGCGAGGCCTCGACGGCCATGAATTTGGACCATGATGCGTTCCGAAGTCTAACAAACGCTGCATGGGAAGCAAGTCCGGAGAACTATGAAAAAGTGGCGGAGGAGTACGGCGTATCCTCCTTCAGCCAGCGTGACGCACGGTCATTGCTCCGTCTACGAACCGACTGTACAAGGTAGACTCCGTAATACTTCGTTATTAGATCGTAGACGTTCGTTCATTAGTAAGAATGATTATGTGACAGTGAAGTATCTACAAGTATATGACGCGAGACCCCAGTGTCCCAAAGGAGGATCATGTAGAAATATTAGTCGTCTTGGGATGGAGTGTCAGTGCACTCAGTCCCATAGACATACGCTTCAGAGGTGAGAGTGTCCCTGCCTCCTTGGAATTCTCCGGATGTGCTTCATCCACCATGTTCCAATCATCGCTCAACGCCCTGGTTGAGCCTTCTCCACCGGGCTTATGCGGCACTTCCCATTCTGTGTCTGTCTCCTCCTGCAGTGGGGTCTCGTGCGAGTATCGTTTGATGATAGACCGAGCGTACTCCAAATCCCTATAAATAGACTCGACAGCATTGGCAACGCCGTTCTCCTGCCAGACTGTTAGCATCTAACAAACCCGGGAAGCAGCAGACTGACTGATCGTATTGCCTTTCCAACAGCATCGGCTCGCGCGATCTGCTTGACATCGGTAGTCGCAGTGATCAACGCTGCAGTCAGATTCTCGACTGTCAACTTTCGGACACCGGTACCAATACCGAGCGCCTCTACGCGGTCGGCCCAGAAGTACTGGTCTCCAAAGAAGGGCTTGATGATCGTCGGTATACCAGCTGTGCAGCATGTAAGAGTTTGCATTCCGCTCGGGTATGTACTTACCCCGAAGACTAGCTCCAGTGGTTCCAGCACCCCCATGATGACAAGCTGCGTCTATCTGTCGGAATAGCCAGTCATGAGGGACTGAGGTAATGTTATATATCTGCTCAGGGAGAGGTGGCACCGCCTCTGCTGCGTGTGTGTCATGCTTCTTCGAGGAAAGTCGATCCGACCATCCCTTGGACATGATGGCGTACACTCCGCTCTCCCGGACAGCTTCAATGACGCACTTGGTCATAGCATCCGGATCCGAGACGACAATAGATCCAAAGCCGATATAGACGAGCTTCTTCTTCTGGGAGCGCGCTTTCTCCATGAAATCAACGAGGCCAGCGGGTGGCTCCCACTTCTTCTCGAGCGAGTTCTCGGAGTCGTCCAAGAACCAATAGCCTGAAAACGACTTAACTTGAATTTTTGTTTCAGCATCAATCTTCTCACCTGTAACTCTTATCCACTCGTACCAATCCAAGGGCGGTGGAACGACAGTAGGACTGAAATTGTATAGGAACGGCACTTTGTGTGCTTCTTGTTTGTCCATGGTTGTCGCCGGAATACCCAACAGTTGCTTGCGCCATCGATTGATTTGGCCTGAGATGGCTCGCCAGAACACTTGATCAAACATGACATAGGTCTGCCAGAAATCAGCAGAATATCACCAGGACGTAACAATGCGAACCAGGTAATTATAACTCCCACCCATCTACGAGGGATATTAAATCTCGGCCGTTGAGCGTTCAGTGAGAACCAACCTTGGTATCGGGAACTGCAAATGCGTGGGGATATGCACGCGTCCGCGTCCATGGCATGGTGAAGGCACGATAATACGGTATTTGCAGGGCTTCGGCAATGTGGATACCACCCATCGCGCTGGGACTCTCAATGAGAACATCCGAGCCTTGACACGCTTCCCAGGACGTCTTGAGAAGGTCATCGAGCCACCCACGGAACTAAGTCACTGTTAACCCGCCGGTCACTCGAACAGAACTGAGGCGTACCTTGGCCAAGCCCTCTCTTAGGAAAGCAACGGTAAACGTACCGTTTTCCACACAAATTCTCATGAGCTCAGCCGGATCACCTCCAACGTATCCATACTCAATGCCGTGCTTTGAAAAGTGAGTTTCCAGATAGCTTGGCTGCGTGGCACACATACCCCTTCAACCCAATCTTTGAATTCTAGGTGAGTGGCAATCTTGACTTTGTGTCCATCGGCTTGCAGTCCTTTGGCAAGAGCGATGTAAGGTTGAACATCTCCTCGAGAGCCAATGGTGAGACATGTGAATCTCAGAGATTCCTGAGGCTTGAAAGTGAGGAATGTCGACCCAACCGAGGTGAACATGACTGCTGGTATGTTGTCCGAGCCTTCTGGCGGTGGCTTTGGCTCTGTATCATCATCTGTATCGACACTAGACCTTCTCTCTGTTGTCTCTAGTAGCAGCGACTCTGGTCTTTCCAGAGCAGGCCGCGTTGGGAGCCCAGAGCGCTGTCTCTCGCGAAGTTCGTCTACCAATTTGTCCAGCAAGGCCGCACAAGCATTTCGTCTCTCTATAGAACTGAACTCGAAAAAGAGTTCTTCATGTCCTTTGATGACGACTGCAAGGCCATGATGTCCGAATCGGAACGCTTTGGCGTTCTCGGTAGAGAGAATATCCCGAATAGGAATCATCATCTTTGATTTGTAAGGTTTTCGCCTGCATAACAATTGTAGCACCCACCCGTGTCTTCGTCAACGGCTGCGAAGATCGGAAGCAGAAGTAATTAGAAGAGATGTTGACACGTCCAAACACTGGCAAAACACGGAAAAGATACCCGGGAATCTCTGAGAAAAGGCATCAGAGTCTTGCCGAGTAATTGTGAATCATACTGACCGGCAAGTAGCGTTTCACGTTCATCGAAGGCAAACGCGGCCCTAAACTTGTCCACAGTCGCAGGATCCAAAGCAGAGTCCAGCCCATCCACAATCGAGAACCCAAAGTCTCCATGATCTCCAGTAGACTGATGGGCCGACGTGTGAATGCCTCCTACATCCTTTGTATCGACCTTGACCGTGCCAGGACCGACCTCGGGCGATGACGTGAAAAAGTGCTTCGAAGAGTTCTTGATCCAATTCGGGACGCCAACCGGCACGCTCCACGAACTCTTGGTGCTCGAATCACTGACGTTATGGTGGACCAAGCTCGGAGGATACGTATGATCCCCTGGCATCTTTTCGGCAGCGCTCTTGGGAGATGCCGTCACCGTAATAGGAGAGCTCTCCGTAGACATTGTCGACGTCGGGCGCGAATCAGGTGTCGTATGTCCCGGTCGTAGCAGAGAGTTGAGCTTTCCTACAGGCGTGGACAACTTATCGCGCACACTGTCACGCACCGATGACAGTGTACTCGAAGTGGAGGACGGCGTCGGTGCGCTGACCACTTTGTCGAGCTCATGCACGAGCGGCAAAGCGGTCGATGTCTTGTGAGATGTCGTGTCCTTGACCGTATCTTGTACAAGCTTGATCATAGGCGACTCCTTTGCCTCTTTCAAGGCAGCACGAATTTGCTCTACAGCGAGGTCGATGCTGTGGAAATAGGCGAAAAAGTATGAATCCAGGCAATCGTCTTCCTTGTCGACAACCTTGATCTCGATTGTTTCGCTGAAATCCATGGCCTTTGATTTGGTGACATTGACTACTGCAGAGTAAGGGATAGCAATCTGGAAAGCTGTCAGCTAGAAGAGGGAAGGATGTTGGGCAGATCTGACCTTGACACTATCTCCATGATTCTGAGCCTGGAAAATGACCTTTCGGATAGCCTTGACCCATTCATCTCTGCTGGGAATCGAGTCTGCATCGAGATTGACCGTACGCTGGTTGGTACGAATCCGCAAGCCCTTCTCGCCATGTGGCTCGCAAGCAATAGCATATCTCAAGTCGACAACTCCATGGGGAAAATAGGGGTCCTTAGGGGTTTGTCAGCATGAGGTGAGCCTCACGTCAGCCTAACAGACCGCAGATGAATGGAACCACGTGAGCGCATCGTTCTTCAGCACGAACCAGTGCTTGTTCCATCGTTTCGTTCGTTGGGCCTTCTTGGAGAGACTACCCGACTTGAGCACTTGATTCTGAGCAGATATCAGATGCTGGGGGTATGTGAGCTACGACCGGCACTTACCTCCCGCGAGGGCATGTGAGCAAAGAAGCAAATATGCGAATTTGTCAAGTACATGTAGCCTTGCAATACTAAGGCAAATTAGCTGGGAGCGCCAGGATGCTGGGAGAGAGCAGACTCACAGACTGACCGCAGGAGCCAGCAAGGCATCTCTGCATATATTTTAGGGACACATCAGCTACATACGGGTGCTTCTGCTGACCTGCGATGACTTCGCCAATTTCGGGGACATCAAAGACCTCTTTCAGCTTCTCAGCGAGCCTCGCTCGACGTTGGACTTTGACAGTGGCAAGACTTGTACTTCGGCGCATTATTGTGCGGGTAGGGAGTTCACTTTGGCGGGCCGTTGCGTTTGTGTGCAAGGGAGGGCGGGGAGCTGAGGCACCCAGAGGGAGCGCGTCAGGATCAAAGTCGTCTTCATCTTCTTCATCTGGACTGTCATTCTCCGGGGAGGCGGTGTCCACTGCGGTCGACTGCCTGCGGAACCGAGCCACTGGTCGATGAATTGTGTGGATAGAGGACGAAAGGGTGAATGCTACGAAAAGAATGAGTTTGCCTGTTTGCACTGGAATTGCGTGCACGACGTGTAGACACGTAGACGGCCACACACCTGGTTTATCAGCGTCGTTTTCGTCGCTATCATCCTTGTCTGGTACGCCTCCTTCGGCCTCAGCCCATGGAATGGCCTGGAGGGCCTGTATTAGCGTCTGTGTGCCCATTCTCAGCTATAGAAGCGTGTAAATGTTAGTAACAAGACTGTGAACGCGCCCGTGATAAACGTACGGAGCCTTCGCCACGGAAATTAAGCGAGGGGCGCGAGGGTGGGTATGAGCTCCCTGCGTCATCCAGCGACACCTTGGACTCTCTACGAGTCTTCTCGAGCTCATCTACACGCTCTTCAGGATGTTCTACAGCGTACAACAGTAAGCAAGACGAGCGCCTGTTATCCGCCTCGTTCGGCACATACCATCATTCGCAGGAGGGCCCTTTGCCTTGCGAGAAATACTGTTTAACTTGCGATGACCAGACTTTTTTATTTGAGATGATTTGCGGATGATGCGATCGACGACACCGGGCGAATCCTCTTCATCCCGCGCGTCCAAGACGAGTCCAAGCGCCTTGGGACTTGTGTCGATTGTTGTACCCATAATTGGATTCTGGAGATGCGGTCTGGGGCCTTCCATCGTCTGGCTGCCAAAACGACGCAAGAGTCCAAGGTGTTCAACGGGTGCCGACCCGAATGTACGTCCACAGAGATGACGCACTGACCCCGCCGAAACAGCTCAAAGCAGTCGAAAAGTAGCGTAGAGAAAGGACTGGTATTCTAGAAATACACTTTGAAAGATTGACTGCGTGGGACATTTCACTATGGGAAGAAAAAAGAATGCAACAATGGGACGTCAAAGTCGTTAGAATCATGTCCGTCGAGGACAGAGGGGTCATCAAAACGAGTAATCTAAAACACTCGATTGCGGTTCTTGGTTGCAAGCATCATAGGTCGTTGCGGCGGCGAATAATTTGGCGGCGACAAAGGCCTCGACAGGACGGGCTCTGAAGATTCCTGTCGTGCAAATCCATAAGGAGCATGGGCGGGCGATGAGTGCTCCTTTTCCGTAAAGATGGAAGGCGCGGCAGAAATGGTCCTGTTATGGGCCGAGTAGGTGCGTGAGACGCCGCTTTCGACAGACTTGAGGTCGTTGGCAGCACGGGAGCTCTTCCAGAATGCATACGAGCGGAAGAACTTGGGCCTGTCAAAGTACATCTACACACACCCACATCAGCGCTTAGTCGAGAACAATAATGATATCGGACATACCGTGCAAATGTTGAAAATGCCAGCAATGAGAAGGAAGAAACAAGCGACCAAGGGGAACGTTTCCAGGAAATGGCTCATCATTTGGGCCGCGAGCAAGAGCTCGAGAACGCCGAGCCCGACGAGACTGTGCTCGTTGTCTAAGCAGGGTATCCATTTCTTGAAGAAAGATGCTGCAAATCCCGTCAGTCGGGTCTGGAGGAGCACACGCGTTCCTGCTGCAGCACAAACCTGGGAAACCGATTTCGGAGAGGATGAGGATGATCGTTTCCACAATGTTGAGAGAGATGCTCAAAAAGGCTCTAAAGTTGCCCGCTGGTTGATTGGGGACGCCTGAACCCCTTTGAAAGACGAGTCAGCGCCGGGCTCCCAGCACTCCGCCTGAGCAAGAGAAAACGTACTCGATGTATTCACAGTCTTCGTGGTCCTTGTTGTGCGCATTTTCGCGCAGAGCTTGGACGTCCTGGGCCATGATAACGATATTGGCGATGAACACGAAGAGCAGCGAGAGCAGCGAAAACGCGCGCAACGCGTTGAGGAGGAAAAACTTTGGCTTCGAGGCGAGCGAGAGCATGACCAGCAATTTGTAGAAAAAAAAGGATCAAAGAAAGTAAAAGACGGGGGGCGTGAAGCAGTCGTAAAGTGTGAAGATGGGACCACACGGCTGCTTGGTTTGCCTTTATATAGGGCGGGCCTTGCGGCGCGTCGGGAGAAATAGCCGTCCCCCCATCTCACCGCGAAGTCCATCTCGATATTCCATGTAATTACAAACAAAAAGGCGTACTGCTGCTGATCCCGAAGAGCCGGGCATCAGCCCAGCGTGGCCGACTACTTTGTAAAGACTGTAAACGCCGTTCAGCGAGCAAGGAATAGTTATAAATAGTAAACTCACTGCTCACAACATCCTCGTCAGCAACCTGTCCCATGATTGTCTGTTAGCGGCGCGCCGCAGCCAATAGGGCAACAACTCACAGCATGATTCAGCCCAACCTTTTGTGCGTGCGGACAAAACTTTGACGATTTCCCCTGCCAAAAGGTTAGACGCGTATCCAAGTGACCGTTGAAACTTAGAAACAGACCCTGTCGCCCAGGTCAGCCTCGCACTGCATCGACAATGGGGTCGCCGGCTCACCAGACAAGCGCATATTTGAAGTTTGGAACAAGAGATCGATGAATGCCATAACAGACGTCCTGGTGGATCCGAAGTCATTGAGTGTTTACAATCATGGGCTCGACCTGCCTCGATCGTTGCGCCTGGGATAGTCAGTACGCATCCGCTGTGAACGGCATTGCCTACCTTTGCGTAAACAGATGGGATCTTTCAGGTCTGGATGCTGTCCCCGCTTCTTTGTGTAGACTTTGACCAGGCCGACTTGCTGCATCGAGTGAGCTCAAGCTCAACACCGTGTCCGCTACCTACATCCCAAATACGCTCCACAAGTTGGTCGAGGCTACAGAGTAAGGCAAGGTAACGGACTATACGAGAGACTCACTTCAGATCCATCTCACAAGATATCACCATCGAGTGAGGTTCGTGGGCGTACTTGTCCATCTGCTCCAAACTAATTGCGTCAATCTTGTTGAAGACGTAAAGACACGGCACGTATTTCCGAGTGCCAATAAGCACGTCGATAAGTTCGTCAACCGTAATCTGCTCTAGTGGTCGGCAATCATTTGAATACCCTGGGTTCGACGCACATCTTCTCGAATCATAACCTACGAGATATGAGAGAGAGGCCAATATGACAGTCCGCAGACGTACGTCGCAGTTGTGAATCTTGTATCCAGCGAGGATGGTCTTGATGGCCTTTTCATCTATTTTAGTAAGCTTGACAGTGGCATTGATCTGGACTGAATGAGCATAGGGATTGCCTAATGAGTCTTCATACCGTAATCTGTGAATGTCAATCATAGCTCTCAAGATAGGATTATACATACTCCTCCCGCAGCTTTCTGTTTGAAGACGACTAGAATCTTGTCAGTGTAGCCCTTCATACAATTGAAAAGTCGCTACCATCTGGTTTACTCTTGTTCAAACGGATACCGACTGCGTCCAACTCGATCTCTAGGAGACGTCGCTGTTCTACAGACTTGGTAGCATCAAGCATCATGATGATGAGATCTGCCGTCTTGGCTGTCGAAACCACTTGCCGGCCGCGGCCCCTGCCGCTACTGGCCCCCTCGACAATTCCAGGAAGGTCGAGACTGTTGACTGGTCCATAATTTCATAGAAGCTTCAACATTTCTGCTTACAGTTGTATACGCGCTCCTAATATTTGACGAGGTTAGTCATTGAGAGCGAGCGGTGTGGCCAAGACTTGCCATTATATTCTATCACACCAGGAATCGCCGTGAGTGTTGTGAATTCGTAGGCTGCCGCCTCAGAGGCCGTATTGGTCATTTTGGATAGTACTAGGGGCGATTAGGTGTAGCGCGAGACGGAAAATAGCCACAAACGCGTCGACTTTCCGACAGATGGGAAACCAATCAAGCATACTCGTGCATCTCCAGCCTTTTGGACGTCAAATCCGGTTCCACCTCGAGTAGTGTTAGCATCAATAAACCAAGAATATGCCTGTTAGCCAACCCCCGCTCGATTTCGATGTCGGTTCTAGAAGCTGGGCCCTGTATTTGGCTAACTTTGCTTTAAGTAGACCAAGGTGATATTCTGTTGCCTAGATTCTCTCATTATTCGCAGCCTCGTCGTGCAGGTCTGAATCCATCCCCGACCTTGTTCTTCTGCGCTGAGGATACGATAAGTGAAGATAGCGTGACCAAGTGATGTAACTTACTCCTCGCCATCTCCTCTGAATACACAGGCATCAGCCGCGACGTGATAGTAAGAGCATGATGCTTACCCTCAATGGCTTTGATCTGTATTCAGTTAGCAGTATATACAATTTCTCATTATGTCCAAAGTCACCTTTTCTAAGACACCCATGAGAGCAAGCTTGGTGTGGTTCAAGTTGTGTTCTTGGGTGGCATTGGATCATACCGCGGTCGCGGAATCGAGGGAATACATTTTGTACGCTCTAGGATCGCTTATTTCTTCGCTTTCTATTCTACATTTATGGCAATGACAGATAAAAAACCAACCTTTCTAAAGTATGCATCTCGTCAGCGTGAACCGTTTGGCAAATATGTCCACTCACAAGGAGTCTTTCTTGTCTTTCCCGAAATCCTAAAGTTTTCTCTGCACCTCCGAGATAACTGACGTTGAGCTCGGCCTTTTCTGGAATTTCTCTAGCCGCTTTGAAGACATATTCTCGACCTATGCGTTCTTTCGAGAGATTTGGTGCGCAGGAATGATTGAAGTAGCTGGCGGTCGGATACATGCAGTAAGCAAAGAGCTCCTCTGCGAGTTCCAATCCCCAAATTCCCCAGCTATTCCCACTGTCTCGAGTAAAAACAGTCACCATATGGAGTGGTGTCACGTAGCGCATAATTGGCGAGTCCAAGGGGAGGACCGACAGCATGTAGAGGTAGATGTCAATATGACCTTGCAAGGTCGCCCGCGAGTCGGTATATAGCTTTAACGTTGGGACGAGTCGTTTGACTTGGTCGTATGTATGAGGGTGGTTGTGGAACGATATGAATGCAGAGAGGGAGAAGCGGGCTTCATCCAGGTCGACATCGTGGGTCAAGGTCGCTGTGGGTGGCACCCAGCGAGGCTTAGTCCTCCGAGTGGCCAATATCTTCTCCCCTGATTTTAACGCATTGTCCCAAGCTGTCTCTATGTCTTGTAAACTGCAGGTCTCGTCTTCTGTATTGGATACCCCGCTCTTCGAGGACCGAGCTAACCCGTCCTCAAATGCCGCTATCGCAGTCCACCCTACATCCCCTATCAATTTTCTCCAGTTATCCCGGCATGAGGTACTGCAGAACCACGCCGCTCCTCTCCTCCGAGGGGTTTCGAGTTTGAACTTGAGGATGTCTCCAAATGTATAATGAAAGCACCATGCACAGACTTCTTTCCTGAATTTTGCAACCACAGTACTTGCGACTGGGTCCTGCGCACGTAGAACCACCTGGCCATTTTCGAGTGGCTTGGATGCAAAGCAGGCAAGTCCTGCGCCTTGCTCGGACGATCCCTCGATGAAGAATACGTCTGGATTTGCGGATGGGTGAGTACCGAGAGGACGCCCGATTTGTTCCAGGACGCTCATAGTGTCGAGATCTAAGCTTGGTCTCAACCGCGACTTCGTTTCCGAACCCATGTACTTTGCGACAGGCTCAGCAAAGACATTAGCGATTGGAGTTAACGAAGAGATACAGAATGACTCGATTATTGGTATCTGGGTTAACGTCAGGAGAACCCACTTTGTCGTCTTGAGCAAGAGCGACGTTGCGGTCTGGAGGGTTCGGGTAAGTGACGCGCTTTGCATTATAGCTTGACTCTAAAGTCCTCAAGTCCTTGCTGTAGCCTCCAGTTCTACTCGCTTCGCTGCGTCGAACATCGGTCTCGTTGGACTCGCATGGCCACAACCTGCGCGCCTTCTGGTCTCCAGGTGGCTCTAGAATCGTTGTTCAAGTGAGGTTCACTCACATCTGCACCATTTGATATTGACTGGGATACAGACCACGCTGTCGTTCATCGTGCTCGTAAACCTGTATCAAACTCCAGACTTCCCACCGTTCTCAAGACTGAGTTTACCGGCTGCATCACCGAGGGCATTTTTACCCGGACCAGGGGAGGGAACACCCATTGAGGGCCTCATTCTTCAGCTCCATGGAGTCATCAGCACTGACGGAAAGTTGTCATGGTTCGTTCTTCGTACCATACGTTGCGCTGTCCCTCAGCTCCTTTACAGTCTCTCTCCACGCTTCTCTTACTTTCTTTTCTCCACTCTTGATCCAGCTGCTGTGCAGCGCATGCCATGGCCGGAGAATGAAGATTCTACAGCACCAAATTGGCTTGGGCATGAGACATGGCTGCTGGACAAGGAATGTTTTCCGTGGCTCGAAAACGAAAACGGTATTGAAATATCATATTTAATAAGGCTCGCATTGACATATTGTCAGATGTGACTCTTATCAGACTTCATTTCGTCAGAGAGAATGGATCAGAAGGATGGATAACCAGCGATGGGAAGGCCTATCTTACCCAGCATGTTCAATCTTTGGCACCTCAGTCCGAAACCCTTCAAAAGTCTGAAGAAAGTCCTGTGGATGGCTCAGACGATACATGGATCGGCTCCTGTGTATATTCACCATCTTCCCAGGACGATCCCTCAACCACTGCTCAGTCATCCCATGCGATGGAGATTGCACTGAATCCTCGCTTCTCTATGCTCGCAGTGGGTCTTGTAGATGGTTCCATCCTTTACATCTCTTATCCAACTGAAGATGACTCGTCGCTACCTCCAAAGCGGGTAGAGATACCCGAGACCTCTTTGAGAGGAACCACTGGAATGGTTACAGCTCTCGAGTGGACCAACGATGGGTATGCCTTGGCTATCGGATGGGAGCACGGCTGGGCTGTTTTCAGCGTTGGCGGGCGTTGTTTATCATGGGTCCTCGGAATCGACCATTCTCATCCTGGGTAGGTTTAATGGGACCCATTATCCTGGGAATGTAACTGACATCGACACAGATTGCGTGACAAGTGTATGCATGGTGTCTCCACTCTGGTATGTCGATTTTTGTCATCACTTCGCGTGTTGACATTCTCAGTTCTGGGGGCCAGGAAACTTTGAACTGTTTCTGGCATCCAGCGGAACAGGTGGCGAACCGGAGCAAGTCTCCATCCTTTCATTCTCCAAGAGTAGCTTTGCAACGCAGCAAACTCCAGTAGGACGAAATATATCTGCTCTAACAAGTACTGATGATTGAATAGGACAATACTCGTTATGCATTTCTTATGCTGGACGATCGAGTGCTGGTATATCGAGGTGCAGATCAACCAGACATGTCGGTCATCAACCCGGAGTCAGACGTATGGCAAAGCATCAAGATTCCTGTTCAGTATATTGCTGACAACTGGCCACTACGATACTCCACAATCAGTGGTGATGGCCGTCTCATCGCGGTTGCAGGACGACGAGGGCTTATACACTATAGCATGTCCTCTGGTCGATGGAAATGCTTTGACATCTCCGCTCATGAGCAGGCATTCTTTGTGCGAGGGGGCCTATTGTGGTTCCATCACGTTCTTATTGCCGCAGTCGAGATGGCAAACAAGAGCTACCAGGTAATTTCTTTGACCTCGTAATTCTTAGCTAATGGCAGTAGGTTCATCTTTATTCCAGAGATCATGAGCTCTCGCCACGATCTGTTCTCCACACCGAACCTTTTGATTCACCGGTCATCACGCTGTCATTGATCGACAACTCACTCCTGGTTTATACCACGAACAATGAGTTACATCATTATCTGGTGTTACCAACTGCCGATAGTGTAACTCTACTCAATTGCGGAAGTATCTCTTTCGATGGAGTAGTCGCATTTCCCAGCCTTGTTCGCGGAATGAGCTGGATGATTCCTGCGTCTCAAAAAAGTAGGCGACTCAAACTTCTCTACGGTAATTATTCACACATAAATCTAGGTTTTGGCGAGGCACAAGATGACATGACGACTGCGACAATCTTTCTTTTGATAGGGGGCCAACTGGTTCTGCTGATACCGAGAAAAGTGAGTCTTTGTCGGTTCTCCAGCCGTTTACTGATTTCACAGAATTCCACACGAGATGTCCGATATGATCTGAAGATTCTGGCAGACAGAATCGAGTTTTGCTGGATCCACCTGCGAGGAGTAGGCGCACTTGAGAATTCTCTCTGGGGTTACGACGGAGAAGGGATACGCATCTGGCTAGATGCTCTTACGATAGAAACAAAACCGGAGTCGACTCCCTCGGTTCACTCCGTTGTCGAAAATGTCAAGCTGTCGCTCGACTTTTATCCATTGTGTGCGTTCATTCCTATCGCATTGGACACACACTCACCGCTGGCAGCTGTGCTAATGGACAAAGGCATCGTCATTGGGACAGAGCAAGAGATTGTTGTGCGCACGTCTCTCCCAGTCGTCATCTTCCGCTTAGCTACCAGTGTGAGCAGCCTACCCAGTGCGTTTGCTATAACTGACGGCCGTAGTCTCACCTATTCATGAGTCATATCCTACGCTATCACATAGCGAAGAGACAAGTCAAAGAAGCCGTCCAGTTTGCGAACAATTACCAAAATCTCGTCTTCTTCTCTCACTCCTTGGAGATCCTTCTGCATAGTGTGCTGGAAAGTGAAGATGAGGTCGAGGAGTCCGAGAGCATATTGCCCATTGTTATCGAATTCCTGGATCATTTCGAAGTCTCACTCGAAGTTGTGGTGGGATGTGCAAGAAAGACGGAGATGACGCGCTGGAAACGATTGTTCGACGCGGTTGGGGATCCAAAGGCACTATTCGAGGTATGTTACTTGTGCCTCTCACAGATCTACACCTGATGGGCTCTGTTTAGTCTTGTATACGGGACAACCGGTTGACCACGGCTGCATCATACCTACTCGTCTTACATAACCTTCAGCAGCTGGATGAAACGGTAGAGGACGCGATACGACTGCTATCCAGGGCGATGGAAAGCAAGGATATAGCCAAGGACTTGATGCGCTTTTTGAGATCGACGGATGAGGACGGGACGGTTCTCAGGAACGTGTTAAAGAGTGTTGGAGTCGATGTATTAGCTTGATTGATACTATCCGTGAATCTCAAAATGCTCAGTGATTGGAACCAAATCTGGCCGTAAAGACTTGGCCGTCTCCAACACGAGCCCGATGCTCGGGCCTCCCCAAACCAATCGGAGACATCAACAGACGCTGTATACGCACCCAGAGGACGATGATGTACGACACAGTCCCAGTGCGTTTCGCCATTACTCGCAGCCACTATTGGGCGACGGCCAAATGCAGCAGCCAACGGTGAATAGACAGCATTCATATCCTGCTGATGGCTCTTCTTTCATGGGATTTCAGCCTGGCTTACCTGGTTCGACGGTGCGGAGCGTACCGTACTCTGCACGCCAGAGCCGCGATGCTCGGTCGTATACTGGTCTCGCAGAAGAACAGAACGAGACTGAGGACGACACTTCGAGTTCTAGTGATGAAGAAAACTCGGACAGTGGAGTGGCACAGGAAGTGATCTTCACCCAGTTATCAAAGGAGCAGACTGAGCGGCTGGAATGGCAGATTATGCTCCGATCTGTCCTCGACGGTGATGTTATCTCGTCCGAAAAGGCCAGAGTCGGCATCGTAGAACCAGAATCTGAGGACATCAACCCAATTCAGCGCCTCAAGGATCAGCTCGTCAAAACAGAGGATGCATGGCTCACCTTTCGAGCAAAGCTAAGGCGAAGGACGCTGGATGAGGAGCGAAAACGCGTTGAACACCGTCGACTGAGATTAACTGAGACAGTGCATGAAGATATCTTGCACTTTGTGTTCAACGAGGAGAGTCCAGAGTCTGCCACCTCGCAGATAAACGGATGCCTCCGTCGATTAGACGCGGTCGAGAGCTTCTATCCGAACCTCGACGCCCTCTACGCGGATAAACCGGCGTTCAAGGAGCCCAACTTTAGAAAGCGAGTCGCTGCAATGATTGCCTGGGTCAACCTTGCAGGCATGACGAGTCAGCACGTCACTCTCTTACAGAAGTGGACAGGGAGCAAGAAGCTGGACGTCCTCGCACCATACACAACAAACGAGGTCCCCATAATCGCCCGAAGATATCAGCACGAAGACTACTACCTCCCAGAAATGGCAGATGCCTCGACATTTGTGGAAAGAGTACTCAAAGAACACTCTCTTGTTCAAATATTCAAGAAACGCGCGCTGATAGATGCGGGTGACATCGTCGCAAGAGCAAATAAAGTATTCGGATCGTACTCTTACGATTTCGAGATGATGAAGCTTCCGAGCCTTAGGGGTGACCTTCATCAATTGCTCACATTCCCTACGAAGCTCATGCAGGCTTCACTGCGAGTGCAAATTGATTACGCCAACCGTGTCCGGGATATGGACATCCTCCTTATTGACCAAATGTTGGAGGACTTCAAAGTCTCTATCAGCGAGGCATGTGCAAGGAAGGCGGAATATACAGAGCTCCTTGATGGAGGCAAATTATTGGATGACTGTATCAGCGAGGAATACGATACAGTCGTCCTTGAGGCTGTGACAACCTTCTTTGGTTTGTTACACCGCAAGTTGAAGAGTGGGGCTGGCTCTCGTGGCTCCTACTTCCGGGAAACAGAATTTCTCGACGGCCAATGGGATCTTCTGGAACGAGTAGCATTGTATATCAACGGTGGATCCGTTCTCGTCGCGGAGCAGATTTGGTAAGTAGAATCAATGACAGTGTGGTACATTGACTCACTCACCTCAGCATTGTGACCCACCGTCTCATTGTTCGAATAACGGACGTCTTTGATCATCAAATCCGAAAACCCACCACGCTCGCATCTCCCATCTCCAGATTTTCTATGGTCACCAACGCCTCTGCAGACAGTTTCACAATGGACGATCACCATCTTCTGCGCGTTCCACCCGACAGCGAAGAGGGAAAGAACCTTATAGTCGAGACGTACATACACATGCTCGATGAGGCTAGGGTACGACATCGTAAGCTGCGGCGCTTTGCCCGGTTAGTTGCGACCATAGTCTCTTGGTACATCTGCTGATTGACGATAACAGTGGCCTTATGAACCGGTTCAGCAGCTCGGTAGAATACAACATGTCCGAACTGAATGTCGGTCTCTTTATTGATCGCTTGGTGGAAACCGGACATGAACTTGTGTTCGCGGAGAACTATCAAAGCCAGGGAGTCTATATCGTAGCAGCAGGGGTTCTTAGCAAACGAAAGAACCGAATGGCCGATTTCTTTAAGGGCGCATTTCAAGTATCAGTTCCACAGCAAACGAGTAATCGAACTCGGATGCAGCGAGCGGTCTCGGACTTCGAGGCGGAGTTGAAAAAGAAGTCCGATTCGACTGTTGCAGACACCCGGGACAGTCCAGAAATCTCCAAACAGGATCTTACAGATGGAGAAGATGGACAACACGAGGATGACAAGCCCGTCCAAGGCTCCAGTACCACCGCCACAGCAAACGCCACAACGCTCCCCAACTCGACCACAAAGGATTCTTCCACAGATGAGTCAGCCTATCTCCTCGTTTTTCGAACACGTACATCCTTTTGGTGGCACGGCCGCATCATGTTTGGAGTGGATCTCCCATTTAAGGATTTGGGACTGGCGGATAATCGACTTCTACTCATTTCTGAAGGAGGGCAGACTTCTTTGTCCAAAGCAAAGAAACGCTTCGCGGCTCACTTTGCATACGATGATCCAGAGATGGAGGGTAAAGGAGAAGCGGATTCCGGAGTGGAGGCACCGCTCCTCGGCACGCTTCCTGTCGAGGTTGACATGCGCTCACACATTCCAACTATCAACAAGGAGCTCGCTCGAGTAACAAGAGCCACCAACCGTCTCGCCCTTAAGATCCTCGAGTCTATTCACCCAGTCCGAAATGCCCTGCGAGGAATATCTGGCTTCCAGGATCTGCTACAGAACTGGTTCTTGTTCGCTGCTGAACATGCGCACCAAGAGTTCCCGGGACTCGAGTTCAGTAGATCCCTGACCACTCTCGCAATTTCTTGGGTGTCGTTTATCTGCGACGATTGCGATGCGACAGACAGGAAAACATTCAAATGGGCAGTTACGGCGCTGGAGTTTGCGAAGGACCGATTAGGGAGCAATGTCATTCTCCAACTGCCTACTGAGCAGTTTGTGCTCCTTAGGAAGAAGGTTGCCATTTGCATGAGCCTTCTCATTCGACACTTTGACATCCTTGGGGCTCGGTCGAGCCAAGAAGCTCGTCAAGCACGAGAACGTCAAGAAGAGGCACGGAGGCAACTTGCCCTCGAAGCCAAGTTGAAGTCAGAGGACGATCGGTACAACCAAGACCTGGTGTTGCGGGAGGATGAGGTGCCAATGCAAAGCTCTGGATTTATTTCCACTGCCCCTATGCGTAGTATCCGACAGCATAGCGAGGAGGTGGTGCAGCAATTGAATATGCTAGATCGTTCGAGGGACGTCCCAGAGGGTCGTGTGCTGGACGACAATGTCCCTGAAGATCGAACACTCTTCCTCCTCGCATCTTCTCATTCGACTGTCTCCATCCGATGGCAGCAGGGGAAACTCATTGGCAGGGGCGCATTTGGCTCCGTATATCTGGCCTCCAACATGGATACAGGCACACTCATGGCCGTTAAAGAAATTCATTTCCAAGATACGGCTGGCTCGTTGACCAACCTTTACAAGTCGATCAAAGATGAATTGAGCGTCATGGAGATGCTTCGACATCCGAACATTGTCGAGTACTATGGTATCGAAGTTCACCGCGACCGCGTATACATCTTCGAGGAGTATTGCCAAGGAGGCAGTCTCGCAAACCTCCTCGATCTAGGACGGATCGAGGACGAAGTTGTGATCCAAATGTATGCCCTCCAAATGCTGGATGGTTTGGTCTATCTGCATGAGCGCAATGTCGTTCATCGAGATATAAAGCCAGACAGTGAGTTTACTATATCATGAAATCAACAGCTAACAGATAGACAGATATTCTCCTCGACCATCGGGGTGTGATCAAGTTTGTTGACTTTGGCGCTTCGAAGATCATAGCACGGAATCGGACTATGCAACGCACACGCAATGTCACCGTGCCCAACACAAACGGCGGCCCAGCGATCACGGGGAACAGTTTAACCGGGACACCCATGTATATGTCGCCAGAGATGATCAAGAATGACCGCCCTAGTCGCCTCGGCGCTATGGACATCTGGGCAACGGGATGCGTTATCCTCGAGGCTGCTACAGGTCGCAAACCATGGAGCAATCTCGACAACGAATGGTAAGGTCAAAATTCTAGATTCTTAGAAACTGAGCGTTTCTAGGGCGATCATGTTCCATATTGGCGTCGCCACAAAACACCCACCATTGCCCGACCCGAGTCAACTAAGCCCAGCCGGAATCAACTTCATCAAGCGGTGCTTGATCATTGACGGGGTGATGCGACCCACCGCCATTGATTTGCAAAGCGATCCATGGATCCTACAAATCAAGGAAGCGCTTGCGGCGGATGAAGAGATGTCGAGTCGAACTCAGTCGCCTGTGGACGAGATGGGCATGATTCCGCGGCATGCCGCGATGCAACATGAGCTTGAGGTGGAGGCTCTTCAGGACGGATACACACCAGACAACGAGACTCCCCGAGTCGAGCGCGAGAGCTTCACCGCCTTTGCCAGGTAACCTTTGGAATGTCTGTATATTGACTATTTTGGGGTTTGATCCACTTGGGTGTTTGTGCTGTCCTCCTTGAGCTGATCATGTCTATATCATTGTATCTCCACTAACAAGCTATCTTGATTTTATTCACAATACAAATATTGTACTCCAGAATTAGCTTTCTATGAACCGATTGGGCACGGTTTCCACCCATTTCTAACCTGTAGACGTTGCCATCCTCTCAAGCCAGACGGCGCTGGTAGGTCGGAGGATATCGAAACCAGCTGTGCCTGCACACTCTCTAAACGCCTTTCCATCGATTCAAGTGAGTCATTTGTCCATAAAGATTGTCGAGACTGGAGAAAGGTAAGCTTAAGCCGGCTTATGTCGCTCGACAGACCTCGGTAGCCTTTAAGATGTTTGAGAGCGATTCAATGAGGACACTTAGATCCGGATGGCCTGCCTCGATTCGCTCGAAAAAGGCTGTTGCGTGAACACTATTCCAAGGTCAGCCAAAGAAGTTTCTATCGAACAGGATACTTGCGGAAGTTTGCAGCCCTTAGGAAGGGATTTAAAAACCAGAAGAGTGACAGACTCCGCGTCGCATCCTTCGAATTCTCTCCAATGCGCGGTGATCCAGGCTAGCCACCCACACAGACACATGTAATAGCCTTTCCCTTTCCAGCTACTATCGTCTGCCTCTGGATCCACGTCACCTGCAAAGGCCGCATCCACGATAGCGTCGGTGAGGATGGCTGCGAAATCGGGATACGTCGTTTGGAGATGACTAAGTAGAGGAGACCAAAGTTCAGCAGTTGGAGTTTCAGCAAAGGTTGGTTGCTTTCTATAAAGAGATCAATGGGGCCCAGAGAACCAAACACTTGCCAACTTTTTGGCTACCGGCACCAGCCCACCCTCTTCCGTGAGCGCGGTAGCCAACTTCTCCAATGCCCAAACGTTTCGATCATCGCCATCGGCATCCCATATCTTCCATCCCATCACTGCTGTCTCCGCGATCCAGGCGTCAAACGCTCGAAGGACAGATGCGACCTCCTTTTGATTAATCTTCGCAAGTGTTGCGTCCTTGAGTATTGGTTTTATGGTGCTTTTATACTGCTTCAGTAGAGGTGCGACGGGTGGGGCAGCATCATGAGTATTCGAGGTCGGATCGATTGCAAGCATGGGCAAAAAGTATGCCGTCTCCAACCAGGAGAGTGCCTGAATGTCATTAGAGTGTTTTTGTATCATGATAGGATATGCACCTGTTTTGCAGCATCTCGCAAGGCCACAAGGGATAGCAATTCCTCGTGTGTACATGCGTGTCGTATATCTACAAGAGACAAAGGTAACCCAATCTGTGCTGCAATAGATGCAATCGGCCTTGCAAAAGCTCCTGTTTGCAATGGGTCGACGAATCCATTCACGAATCGGATTATCGCGAGAGCATAGTTTTGGCGAACAGAAATCTTGCAATTGGACTCCTTTCTGTCAGAATCTATTGCGACGAGCAGCGAGAGTGCAGCGTCCAATGCATGGGGAAGGCCACAGGCAAACTTCCAAGCTGCGAGGCGTCGGATGGCAAATGAAAGGTTTTCTACAGTGTATATGGCGTTGTAAACTTGCTCAAGTTGAGAAATTGAAGCCCATGGCACCCGACGAGGGAGCCTCATTGACAAGTTTAGTAGAGGCAGGAACCAAGTGTTGGCTTCACAAACAAAATTTTTTGAACATTTAGAAAGAACAGACATGGAACATAAATAGGTATAGATATGAGCGAAATTCATCGTCTGTCACCATCGTATAGCAGTCCCGCAAGGCCATATCGCACAGCGAAACCGGCGGCACTGCTGAGAATCTGAATCACAATGACATAATTAGTCAAGGTGGATTCTTTGATCGGACCAGTTTTGTTTAAGACGAAATTTAGCAATGTGAGGTTGGTGGTTGTACCGCGGCGCTTGTCCGAAGAGAATTTGACCTTGGCTAGGCCAAAGAAATTAAGGACTTGAAGAACGAATATCGTCAGTCCTGATGGATTCTCGATTTCAGCCGTTGATGGATCCAAATACCCATCCGGCCTGGCTTGTGTCAGAGTTTAGTCAAAGTTTGTACTGCTACATACCGGAGTTTTGGCAGCCGGTGACGAGGGCAAGGAACGAGACCAAAGAGCTGTGGCGCGCTGAGAATAAAATTGAATGCTTGTGGGACGAAGAACAAGAGCAGAGTCTTGCTAAAGTGACCCAATATCGCTACGACTGCAAAGGCCATTCCAGAAAAGTAACACAAAGTGTCACCAGGGAACGCTCGCGCGGGGTACCTATATAGAAAGTCAACAGTAGGCAAACTATCGATCGGAGACCAACTTGTTGTGGTAGGCGAAGCCCAGAGACACGGCAAGGAGAGGCATCATGAAGTATAAGCTGAATAGATGTCGCTCTTGAGCGAGTGCCTTTCCAAAGAAGCCGGAGATCTCGATTCGTCCAAGTTTGAGGGTAAAAGGCCAAGGCAAGAACAGAAGATCATTGAGAATGATAGATGCAGAGATAACGATTGTCTGGGCGACCTCAACCCCGTTGATGCCAGCGAGAATGTTGATAGAGTTGGTCGTAAATGTCGATAGCATGGCCATGTAAACATAGTAAAAGAAGCCTGGATCGAACTTAGATTTGAATCTCAACCACCAAGTGACCCACCAAGGTCGATAAAGTCGCCGAACCAGCCAGCTAATGGCTTGGGAAGGACGACGTGCGTGTTGCCTTGCTCGGCATAGTAACTAAGTAGTAAGGGAACCGATGCGACCAATGGAATTGGCAGTTTGTGTCGCCATCGGATATCGAACAGGTCATCCAACAATCCGAGGATGGTAGCAATCATGACAGACAAAATCGCGGCGAGGTACACGGCAAGCTAGAGAAAGGATAAGGCACGTCGTCACCACGGCTAGAGATATATACCTGGCGATGAGGAGCATATTCTGGATTAACCCGGCTCGTCAAAGGATCGGAGATAAACGCGGCACTGAATGGGACCGGAATGAAGCAGACGAGGGCGCAGATGTAGACCAGAGCTGCAACCAGACCCATGCACTCGGGACTGCAAGTAATAACATGTCAGAGTAGCATGTAAGAATCTTAAAGAGGACTGACACGTCATCCTCCGACTTTTTGAGCAAATCTCGACCTCGCAATCCGATTTTGACAAATGCACGACTGAAACGAGGGATCAGAGCCAAAGTCGCAACGAATGCGAGGATAGAAAAGGCGAGCGAGGCATAGACTTGAGGAAACTGGGTTCCATTAACGAATGGCTGCCAGGCTAGTGAGAGCGCAAGAGGAATCGAAATAGAAAGGACAGGTGCGAGCGAGACTTTGCGGCTGCGAACAATGGCCATGGGAGGGCGTCGATGCAAGAGCCAACGTTGCAACTTCACTTGCTCCCTCCCTCACCAGCCGAAAATATGGATTTTAGTCGTTTCAATGCCGCAGAGCAGGCTCAGCTCAACAAGGTCATCGAGAGGAAGCAGGCAAGTCTTTTGAAGCACTCTGGGACGTATGTTGAGCGCGAAAACTGACGGCGACCAACAGATGCAAGATTTCTTGCGTATGTATTCGACGCTTGTCGATCGTTGCTTCAACTCGTGCGTAAATGACTTTACGAGCAAAGCAATTGGCTCCAAAGAGGCGAGTCTGTCTCTGAACGCGGCTCGGCCCCGGTCCTGACAGCAAGAACAGAACACTTGCCTATTAAACTGTGCCGACAAATTTATCAAGCACTCGGAACGCGTCGGCGCGCGGTTTGCAGAATACAACGCTGGTGCGTCACGTCCTTTTTAGCATGTAGAGCGCTTCTAATGTACACCTGCAGAGAGTCAACTACAACAGCAATGATTTTTATTACTCGAGGACTTGCTTTTTCTTCGCAGTTGTGACCGCTTTGGATATTGAGCCTCGGCATGGCAAAAGTGCCCCATTCGAGCATTCTATCAATACAGCCCCTCTTTATTAACGCTCAGATGTCCTTCTTTGTTGCTGAAAGCTATCGAGGACAGTGTCCCTGCATGTTAGGCACGGTTGCCCCGAAACCCCCGCGGTATATCCTGTAAACCTGGACTCCTTCCCATCCCCCGCACCCGTTCTCTAGAAGAACCTTTCCTCTTGTCTACGTTTATTTCCCATTATTTTATGTCTCTGGCATGAAGGGGCTTCTCCATCTCCTTGTTGCGAGCTTGGCTCGACGAGAATCACCTCAGGAGCACAGTCATCACCGGTACATTGTCAAAGTCAAACAGATGCTGTAAGGACGAGTAGATTTGGGTTCAAGCGCCTTATCGACGCATTTTTAGCGATTTAAATAACACCATTGGCGTCGCCGATCCCGTGTTCGGGCTGTTGACCAACGACGTGGCCTCGACCGGCATGGGTCAGATCACAGATCCTAACTGTCTACAGGTAAGGAATTATTTGTCTTTTTTAAAGTGGATACCTTGGCAAATCTGACGAAATGTTGGGGCAGCTCGCCATTGCCGACTCAGCCTTTAGCAACAGTAAACGGAACAATGATCTCGAGGGACTTGTTGCGTCTTTGATTTACAGGGCACTCGAACGGAATACAGCCGCCGGTGAATACCACGAGCTTTCTCCTCCGAGCCAATCCTCCTTACTGACGGATTGTCCAGTCGGGCTCGCATCGGAGCCATGCAAAAGCTATGTCCCTGTCAACAAGGAACTTGAAACCTTTAAGCAACACCAGGATCCGGCAGCACCTGGGGCACAAGCGAACAACAAGGCGACTGTCCTCGAGCTTGCCCGGCAGATCATGCTCCTCGGTGGTGAACCTACAGATGCACTATACTCTGGCACATTCACCGCCGCGGATCTTAATGGTCCTGCTGCTGGGAACTCATGTAACAGCAACGACTGTATCTTTGAAAACAATCTGCTCATCAGAGACGCAAGCATGGCGGAGATTTATGACTATGTGGGCAATTGTATGGAAACTGGTAAGTGGTGTATACTCTCCTGGACGTGCAGAGCTGACAGGTGAATAGTGACTTCGACCGTTGGAATCAATGGAAGGTAAGAATCGACAATTCTGCAATTCCCAGGAGCTTATTCGACATAGTACACCCCCAACAGGCATAAACACTGTACAAACCGTCACCCGAACGGTCACAGGCACTGCAACTCAAGCACGAACTGTTACGACGTCGGTGCCGAACCCTACGTTTTCGTCAGTATCATCTTCAGCAAGAGCATCACAGTCGTCGTCTGCCAGCTCAGCCACACAGCAGCAACAATCCTCACAACAACAGCAGCCAACAACTAGTACACCGACAGCCTCTCAACCTCAGGCTACGCAAGATAGCAGTACGAACTATCAGAAATTCACTGGGCAACGTGAGTCGTCTGATTGGTTTCATGGTTTCTCGGGCTAACCGTCCTAGTCTTTGGCATCGGTGCGCCCGCTGTCACACTTGATTCCAGCGGCATCTATCGCGTCGACGGCGTTTCTGCACCCTTTCCTGATCTCAAAACTGCGATTGGACGGAGCTGTAGCATCCAGGTTCGTTGAATTATTTGTCACTTTCTTGACTTACGTTTGTCCAGAAAAACGCGTGCGCGAATGCAGCCAACCAGCAGAAACAGGACGTATCTCAATGTGATGCTCAAGAGAGGCAATGTAACGCATAATTAATACGATAGCACCGTCGCGTCCATACCCCGCCTAACACTCTCCATATCGGACTCACGCTTCGAGTTTTCGCGGAACGTCGTGTATCCATAGCATCCTCTTTGCCTAACTCTAACGCTCGTTTACAAACTCTTCCATTCCAACCCGTTAAGAAAACATGAAAGCGTGACGAATCTAAAAACTGGCCCCTCCTCAACGGCATGACTTCGTCTTTCACCCTATTCCAGGATCTCGAGTTCCTTCCACTTTTCATACAAATCTCCAATTGCCACTGGCCCGGTTCCTGCTGCGCTTGAGCTCGGGACGCCACCCTTGAGATCTTTCGTGTCCAAGAGCCCAAACTCGCGACCAAAGGCAAGATAATGTGCAAAGAGCGAATTGAGATGTCCCTCGGACTTGAGATGAAGTACGATCTGGAAGTGCGCATGGTAAATATGCGCAAAGACGTGCAGGAGCAGCCGATAGACGAGCTTGATCTGCGAAGGAAAGTTTTGAGGGAAATCGCGTCCTAAACGACCCCAGTCGTCATAATTTGAGTGTAAGATGGATGAGGGAAGGACATACCGCTCTTGGTGGGGAAGATGGCCTCGTCGTCAACGAGTCCCTGGACCCAGGACATGACCAGATCAATGTAGTGTGGTGCGGGGAGCCGAAGTTGTTTGCGATTCTGGTCGATCCATAGACAGTCACGTCTGCAACCGTGTCAGACGCAAAGATCCTCTTCTCCTTATGCACGAGCGGACGTACCCGGGCCCGACAGACATGCTCGTGCACGTCTGGGAAGTACAGAATTCATTGATGACGCCGTAGAAGCTGTTGATGTTCGTAAAGAAGTCGAAAACTAATCCGCGAAATGTTAGACAGCCGGAACTTGCAAGAAGGGGTGCACAAACTGTTGATTGCGACCCATTCGTTGACGGAAACAAATTTGGGCAGCATCACGATGGTCTTAAAGTTGCCGTTGACGAGCGCCGCGTTGACAAACGGTCGGTAGAGATATAGACGGTTCATCTTTGCAGGATCCTGCGATCCGACTGCCTGAGAATGCTGCATTATGGGCCGTTGTCGCGGGTACTAGAGGCGTGTAGAAAGGGAGAGGTCGTGGTCACTATCAAAGCGTTGCTGCCCAACCTTGCCCCCCAAAGCTCAGGACTCAGACGAACAAAATCCAGGCAAAAAAACACTTGCTACGCATAGGCGAGCTAATTACAGAGCACATTCCACAAGTCGCTGAGCCCAAGCGCGAAGAAATGACAGACAAGAACGGACATGTCTTCGCCAGCGGAGCTGGTAAAGTGAATTGGGAACAGACCACAGAGTCGATAATAGCAGTACCAGGACAAATAGCAGAAAGGGAGACCAGGGGAAAAGGACACCGTTCACAGGCCAGATCTGGGGAACCTGGAGGTCTTTTCTGGAGGCGTCAGGGAGCTGTGGGAATTGGCGGCATATGGAGGATGTACAGTCTTGGAAGGTCGGGTATGGACGCATCATCTACTTTGTCTATCCGCGGAGCGCTGTTTTATGCCCAGACCTAGATAAAAGGTTAGATTGCCTGTGCAACGAGCGAGGTTTGGAAACTCACGCGAAGCGTACTATCCCAGGATCCCGTGCAGAGGGCCATACCGTCGGTGGAGACACCAAGGCAGGACACACGATTTTCATGGCCGGTCAAGACGCCGACCCGCTCGCCCTTGAGGGTGTCCCAGACATTGCAAGTCCAGTCGTCGTAGCCACCGAACAAAAGACGGCCAGAGATGGAAAAGGCAACAGAGGTGATGCCACAAAGGATATGATCATGTGTAAACGAGTTGAGCTCGCGGTCGGCTCGGATATCGAACAAACGGCATGAAGCATCGTCGGAACCAGTCGCAAATGCGTCGCCGTTAGGGAAGAACCTGGCAGAATGTCAGCAATTCGCGTGTGGGAAAATGAGGAAGCAACTGAACTGGACGGCGTTGATATCAGACTCGTGGCCAACAAATGTTTGGGTGGCCTTGCCGCTTCGAATGTCCCAAAGTTTTGCGGTCGCGTCGCATGCACCCGAAACGAACACGTTTTGATTCGGGCCAAGTGAAAGGCTAGGGTGAAAAGGTTAATTACAGGAACCCGATGTGGAAACCACGAAAAAAAGGACACGGTACCTCATCACATCTCCGGTGTGGTCGCTGAATTCCATGACTCGCACGCCGGCTTCAATGTCCCAGAGCATGCAGGTCATGTCGCCGGACGAGGTGACAATCTGTCTGTCGTTGATGAAGCGGCAGCAAGAAAGGTAGCCCGAGTGTGCACTGAGCTCGCGCGCCCCTTTGACGGAGCCGATGCCTCCCTCTTTGGAACGCAAGTTGTAAATCGAGCAAATATTGTCAAGACCACCACAAGCGACGAAATTGCCAGAGGGCGAGTAGGCGCAGGTCATGACCCAGGACGAGCGCAATGGGATGGCATGGACCTTGTTCGTCGTGTAAGCGTCCCACACAATGAGCTTGCCGTCCTGGGACGCGGAGACGAGATGGCGTTTATCTGCAGCCCAGTGCATCGCGTAAATCTTTGCAAGATGGCCTTTGAGCGCCCTCCTCGGCTTCATCACGATGCGGGGCAGCGTTTCCACCTCAGCGGCCATTGCGCGCACTGGTCGGGGCAGAATACCCACAATCAGTCTGAAAACTTGTCTGAGCAGCACTCTACGCACGACTTGTATCCGCGGTGGCCTCCTTTTTGGCACGAATCTTCTCCTTCAACGAGTCGGCCTCACGACGGGCGGAAGCAATGCTAGGTGCGGAATGAGCATCTCTCAAGCGTCCAGACGAATTTTTGGAGAATATGCTGACCGTTCTTGGATATCGTTGGCGGACATGGCTCCGAATAGTGCAAACGCGATCAGGTCCAAGGTTTGTTCAATACGGCGCCGTGCTGTTGTCGACGGAATAGTTGCACGAAAAGAAATAAAATACAATAAAGTAACGTAGTCTTCTACTTTTCTCGGCCTGGCTCCTCCGTCCGCCTTACGCCCCTGGTTGCCTTAAGAGGGCGCGCCTTGTCCTCGACAAGGACAAACCCCTGCCGTCGGTGGATGAGTCCCATCCTGACCCACTTGTTGCGGTCTCTGCAATGATACGTGAAGGTGCGTTCAAACGCCATTGCCTGCGACCCACGCAGGTCGTGAAACGAGCCCCGAGAATCCCTCCAGCGGGTCCCATACCGAGCTTCCCTCTCTGCCATGTCCCACGCGATGCCGAGCCCTTTCTCGCTTCGCTCCTCCAGCCCATATTTGGCGATCGTCCGTCGAACGCGCTCATCCTCGACGTCCTCCCAGCGCTTCGCGAACCATTCCAAAGCCTTGACTGCCCGCACTCCCCTGCGCGAGGCACCTCGCAGCGTTTGAAGGAGCACATACAGGGTTGTGGCATTGGGTTTTATATCCGGGTGAATGGCGAGAATTTCGGTCAATATCTTCATTCCGACCTTGTACGACACGCATCCATATTTGCGATGCATGAGAATGTGAAGGACCGTCAAAATGTTGGCATTGGTGCCTTCAGGCAACGACTTTACTCCATGACACAGGTGGCGGATGTACGCCATCGCGTGGGTAAACGCAGTCCCTCGCAAACCCTCCAATAATAATCGCCGGATGAAGAGCGAAAAAGTCGCTCTATCCCGACGGAAACGCTCTATTAGCGCTTCATCGTTCAAGATTTGCTGAACAGCGGCGCTCGGCACTGGGTTGGCAGATGGATCGAAGCAAGCGGCGGGTAGGCTCTCCAGTCGGCTGTATGCAGATCGCATAACAGACGTCCGCTTCGAGACCTCCGGTAAATTAAGAGTATGGGTACCACGTTGACGTAGGAGATGCCATCGTGGTGCAAACGGCGTGTCGCCCTCTCGCAGCATCCTCTCAATATCTTCGAGCATCCTGAGCTCTCTCCGATATGCGTATAAAAACGTTTGTTTGTACCGATTAGAATGCCGTCGATGTGAGATAGTCAAATGTTCTCGAAGAATGCGGAGCGAACCGTTATGCTGGAGAGTGTTGAGAAGTGCGGACTGGGATACTTCTTGATGAAGTATCCACGCGTGAAGATGAGGATGCCGTTCAAGAGACTGTATGTCACTCATCAACCTTGGCATCACACCAGGAGGGTTGCGACCCAGCCGTAGGAATTGGAAAACACGGTGGGCGACCCGCAGCCGCAGCCGCGTAATCAGTACGAGCGTGCGCTCCGTATAATAGATATTCTGCGCTTTCATCCCCCGTATTAGCATTCTTGTCGTCTTGACCGCCGTGTGGCGTACGGCAAGGGATATGAGTGCGTTGAACGAGCGTGGAGTGTGTAGCCAGGGAAAGGTAGAATGGTAGTCCACTATCTTGACGAGCGGAATGACGGGATTCGCGCTGCACATTGCAACGATATTCCTGACCAGTTCCTTGCGCGTCGTTGGTGTCGGGGGGAGGGGAGACTCGACGGGGTCGTAGCTCCACCCGAGCGAACCTGCTGAGATCTTGGGGTCTCTATACAGCCATTTTGCACTTTGGTACGCCTAAAACATCCCAAACATGGTCAACGCCAACGTACCGTTCGAGCAAACGAGAAACGCACCTGTGGCCCATAGCCAGACGTCTCTGACTTTGTAACAGGGACCTTTGTCTCAGATATAGGCTCAAGAAATATTGTGTCGTCTTCCAACATTGGTCTCTGCAACGCGTCTTGCAACGTCCAACCTGGAGTAATGATTGGGGGACTATTCGCGCTTCCTTTCGAGTTTTCCGACCTCTCAACGTCATCTTTACCTGATTTAAATCTTTCTGGTTCGCTTCCAGGTGCGAATATTGGCGTTTTGCTCGTTTTCGACCTGCAACGGGTAGGTCCAAACGTGAATACGCGTCCAGAAATGGTAAATTTGCGATTCTGAACAGCATGACGCAGCAGCATTCATGCATTGGGATGTCTGGGAACCCGCCCGTCGCGTCCAAAGATGCTGGCCAGGTGCAAGTAGCGGTTGTTGGCGACTTTGGTCTCAGGATACGATACACACAGTTGGAAATCCTTTGTTAAGTATGTAATACGTGCAATGAACAACATGCGAACACAGGGTTCTGGTCCGTCAAGAGAGTCACACATCTTTGATCTGGTGGCACAAGTGGATAAATGTAGATCGAGCAGGAAAACGGGAAAGTCGGGTGTGGTAGATGACAAGGAGATCGTGCGCTACAAAAAAAGGGAGGCGGCATCGTCGTCGAGGCTGGGGTCCAATCTAGGTCGTCTATGGGACAGATGAGAAAAATAGAAGCTCTAACAGCCATCCCAGAGCGAATTGCGTGGGAATGTAAAGTTGGCGCTCGCCCACGTCGTAAGGTTTGGGTTAGTGTAGGCAATGATATGGCTGCTCATGCATGAGTAGAACGTGGGTCAAGGATAGACATACTCACTCGTTGATATAGTCTTCAGTAGGATGGTGGTCAGGACTGCAACTCCAATCCTCGTGGCCTTCCCTCTGGTAGACTCGTACGTAGTCGACCCTCATTTGTGCTGGGAACTTCAGCTTTGAGAAATCTTGTGATTGGAATCCCGGTGACATGCCAAAGTTGAGGATGATATACTATAAACTCATCAATAGACAGACCAAGCTTGATGATTGTAACTCACCATTGGTTCTTCAGGAATCAAACGTTGGCTGACTTTGACAGGATCATTCGCTTGCAGAGAGCCTGTTGTTACTGTCCAAGTTTTTTCACCGTCGACCATCCAGGTGACGTATCCATCATCTCCTCTGCTCGGCCAATACTCAAAGCCATATGTCGAGAATTTGCCCTTTGTGCCGACATAACTATCAGAGTCAAGATATGTCAAGGCGGATAGTGCTTCCTGGTAAACACCTCCTTTGTAGGTGTTGAGCTTTGTCTTGTTGTGGTCATACACAAACGTGACCGACGTGTCGTTATTATAGTCGTAACCATAATCAAATGGAGCGATTTGTAGCGACTGAGAGCCTTCACCGCGAGAATATCTCACGTCAATCTGGGCTTCCAAAATGTCGATTTCGGGTGCAGCCCTTCCGACAGGATTTCCATGTTTCGATGGTCCAGGGTGATCTGACCCGCTGCAGGTGCAAGCTGAGAGACGCTGCCCTGGAAGCCACGAGATTGGGCCATCATGCATGTAGTTACCCGTCGCAGCTAATGGCGGATTGCCATCTTTATCGGTTTGGTTGGGAAATGTGCCCACGTCGCAGCTATCGTAGGAATATGGCCACATTCCTTCCGTGGTTGCGCCATATCCGGCTCGACCGAGGTTACCCTGCGACTCTTGAGACGCCGTAAACCGACCATGCACAATATGCTTACCATGGTCCACGCTCCAGGCCAGAATCCCGGTGCATCGGGTGTACCAGGCAGTGAGATGGCAGTCTCAATATATCCACCGGTAAAGCAAAACTTGTTCCAACTTTGCAGCATAGCTATCCAAGTATTAAATAACGGTCACGAGTATCCAGTGTAGAACGTACCAGACTTCCAGAACAAGTTGTGGTTCAATTGCTAAAAGGATTGAGCCACTTTCACGCAGATGGTCGGCCACCTACCTCGACCATTGTGATGACGAGACTACCACCTATGCACCATCACTGGTCAGTATATGCCGATCATTAAGGCCAAGACTGAGCAAGTACCTTCTGTAGTTGCCATCTCTGGATCATACCATTCGATATCCTTGGTTGGCCAGTAGTTGTAGTCCATCGCCTCCCAATAGGGATCATCTAAATGGTTATGAGGTCACAGATGGGGAACCGGGTGGATCTACATACCGCCAGGAAAGAATGTTCTTCCATCTTGGTTGAATTCGTCACTGAATACAAGGCTACGGTCATGGTTAGACACTTCCGATTGGCGGAAACGGAGCAAGTTTGTTTGACACTGACTTGTACTTTTGTCCATCGAAGCCAGTACGTGTATAGGCTTCCGTCGGCGTATCCTTGTCGATACGCGTTGGGAGATTCGGTAGGTCCGGTACTTGTCCGGTGATATTGATACCACCTAAATTGAAGCCATTGCGATCCCAAGCTCTTTTCGTATAGTATGTGATGATGGGGTATCCACAAAAGAGAATAATGAGGCCGGTCATGAGCGAGAAGAGCATAAAATAGTTTGCCCAACCACGAGGGCTCCATAGTGTCCATTCTGCATCCTGAATCGCATTCTGTTTTGGATCAGGGCTGTGAGGAGGGGAAACGTTGAGCAGGTGTAGACAACATGGGGACCGCACGCGCCACTCACTTGTGGAGGGCGTCGTCCAAGTCGGGATCCCGGCTATCCCAAAGATACGCAGGTGCTCCAATCGTGTTTGTCTGCTGCGGTGGACCTGGCGGTTGAGTTTTCTCGCCAAATGAACCTTCTCCAGAGCTAAACCGCGAGTTTACGCCGGGTTCTCGCACAGAGCCGTTCTGATGGTACTGTGGGTGCAACAGAAAAGAGCGTGTCAGCACTCTGGCGCGTCAACAAGGAGCCCAACGCCAGGGAACGCGATGGGCTATTCTGGTACCGACCGCATAAGGACCAAATCCACCGCCTATTTGACCCGTTTGAACGCCTTGGTGGGTGACATTCTCTGCTAGATGCGGCTGGGGCGACGTGAGACCGTCGCTCGAGGCAGAAATTGTTCGTGCATGACGGCCTTGCATCAGGGGTTGCGTTGGGTGAGCAAACCCCGCAGATTGGGGCGATTGGGGATATTTTGGAGGGAATTTGTGGCCTTGCCCGTTCATGCTGGGCGGTGCGTCGGCGTTGGTTGCAGTTCAAGTGAGGAGCGGCTAACAAAACGTCAGTAAACACGAAAGAGGGGACGCGCAGCAAAACTCAAAACAGCTGTTTAGAATATTATGAAGATTCCCAATTCGCATGCATTTCTCCTGTACACGCCCGAAGCGGCACCAATATCTCAGTCGACGAGCGCTTCTTGTAGAACTGAACCACAACATCTCATGATTCCCAAAAGACTTGGCAAGCTATAGTTCTACTGTGGATACCTCTTCTAATATGTTGTACGGGATTTAGGACTGTGTGCCAGAGTGCTCTCACGGCCTCGGAGCTCCCTCCTTTCCAGAACATTCGCTACACAGCCAGAGAAGCCGTCAACAGCCACAGAAACGACACACTTTGGATTTAGAGATGTCCCCAGATCAGAAAAGGAGAGCCTTGGTGCGCCATATCGTTGGCTTGCAGAATTCTCAAACACTCATGTTTCGTCAGTCAAAGAGGTCTTCTCTTCGGTCGCGTCAAAGTATGATGTGATGAACGACGCCATGTCTATGGGCGTACATCGCCTCTGGAAAGACGAATTTGTCTCGTCCTTGAAGCCGGGCAGCGTCAAAGTCGGCAAGGTCACTCGTTGCATAGACGTCGCAGGGGGCACGGGAGATATTGCTCTGCGCATTCTCGACTATGCTCGAGAGAAAAAAGCGGACCGGGACATTACCGTTGACCTCGTCGACATCAACCCAGACATGCTAAAAGAAGGCCAGAAGCGGTTTAGGAAGACCATGTATCACGGATGTGGGCGCATTCTTCGTTATAGGTCTTTAACACTGACTTTTTCCAGCACCACAAGTGGCCTTTCACGTCGGCAATGCCCAAGATCTAGGAAAGGACCGCTTCCCAGACAACACCTACGACATCTACACCATTGCGTTTGGTATCAGGAATTGTACCGACATACCGGCAGTTCTTTCAGAAGCCTACCGTGTCCTGAAGCCAGGAGGGGTGTTTGCATGCCTCGAATTCAGTAAAGTAACCCAACCGGTTCTAGCATCGTAGGTGACTTTCTCTACTTGCTATCTCAGTATTCACTCTGTCATTCAGGCTTTACGAGCAATACTCGTTCTCGGTCATTCCGCTGCTTGGGACAATCCTCGCTGGTGATCGAGCGTCGTACCAATACCTCGTGGAATCCATCCGAAAGTTTCCTTCACAACAAGAGTTTGCACGGATGATTGCAAATGCTGGATTCGAAGTCGGAGAGCTCGAAGATGGAGGCGCCTGGCGAGATCAATGGGGAGGGATTGCGTCCATACATACGGGTGTCAAGCTTGCATAGAATTATGATAATACCAACATTTACCTTTGATATTTCTAGCGCTTCGCTGCTCGTCTGACTCGTGTCCAGCCCGCGTCTATTTGTACTGTCCTTTCCTTCGTCTCGACTATAATGGCCGCCCCACAAGCTGAAGCTCCCATGCCGCCTGCAAACGCAGATTTGCAGACGACATGGGCATATCTTGAGGAGGGCGTCGATCATATCATGACCCGTCTCAAGGACGGCATCTCGTATTCGAAATACATGAATCTCTACACCGTGGCTTACAACTACTGCGTGTCCTCGCGTATGCACGGTAATCTGGACAGCAGCGTCGGTCTTGGAGGTCGCAGTGAGTCCTCGTCCCCCGTCGTCTGCGCCAACTGCCGCTGACTGGGCGCTTTTGCGCTGATTGACTAGCGGGAGCCAACTTGATGGGCTCAGATTTGTACAATAATCTGATCCGATACTTTGTCAGTCATCTGACAGAGCTTCGAAATGTACGTCTCCCTCCCCAGCCTGCCACACGTGCCGCGCCCGGTTTGCTGATGGATTTTGGGTTCTGTCCAGGCATCCGACTCCATGGTGGATGTCGCTCTCTTGACGTACTATGCGGCGGAGTGGGATAGATACACGACTGGAGCAAACTATGTAAACCGACTGTTTACCTATCTGAACCGACATTGGGTAAAGCGAGAGAAGGACGAGGGTCGAAAGAACGTCTACCAAGTCTATACTGTACGTATGGTTCTGCTGGGCTTTCCAACGCTGCTCATTTATGCCTCCAACAGCTGGCGCTCGTTCAATGGAAAGTCAATTTCTTCATCCATGTACAGAACAAGCACACAAAGCTTGCATCGGCTATTCTCAAGCTCATAGAAGCTCAACGCAATGGAGAAACGATTGATCAAAGTTTGGTGAAGAAAGTGATCGATTCATTTGGTATAGTTCTTTTGCGCTTTCTGCACTTCGACATGCTCTAACAAGATTTTCAGTCTCATTGGGCTTGGATGAGACCGACTCGAACAAGGCGTCTCTCGAAGTGTACAAGGAACACTTCGAGGTTCCTTTCATTGCAGCTACGGAGAAGTACTACAAGGCAGAGTCAGATCTCTTCCTCGCGGAAAATACGGTGTCGGACTATCTCAAGAAGGCAGAGGAACGCTTGAGAGAAGAGGAGGACCGTATTGAACGGTATCTGAACGCAAACACCCGCAAGACGGCATGTCTAGCTTTTCCATTATCTCACGTTACTAACAGTCGGCTCTAGCTAATCTCAAAGTGTGAACACGTCTTGATCAGAGAACATGCCGAGAAGATGTGGGAAGACTTCCAACAGCTCTTGGACTATGACAAGGACGAGGATCTGCAGCGGATGTATGCCCTCCTCGCTCGTATTCCTGAGGGTTTGGAGCCCCTTAGGAAGAAGTTTGAGGAACACGTCAAGCGTGCCGGCCAATCCGCCATCTCCAAGCTGGTTGGTGAGGGTGGTGCCAACGTCGATTCTTTGGTCAGTCCCTCCAGAATGTAAAGGAAATACTCTAACGAGCATGTCAGGAGCCAAAGGTCTACGTTGATGCACTTCTGGAAGTGTATCGCAAGAACCAGCACACTGTTCAACGAAGCTTCAAGAATGAGATGGGCTTCGTTGCCGCTCTTGACAAAGCCTGCAGAGACTTTGTCAATCGCAATGCTGCCACCGGCACTTCGACCACCAAGTCCCCAGAGCTGCTTGCCAAGCACGCCGATGCCTTGCTACGCAAGAGCAACAAGCTGGCCGAGGAGGGTGATCTCGAAGAGGCACTCAACCAAGTGGTAAGCAGTACATTTCCTTTTCGAATGTGTTCACTATTGACACTCCGTAGATGATCTTGTTCAAGTACATTGATGACAAGGACGTGTTTCAAACGTTCTACACCACCAAGCTTTCGAAGCGCCTCATTCATGGAGTATCTGCGTCTGACGAGGCTGAGGCGAGCATGATCTCAAAGCTCAAAGATGCTTGTGGTTTCGAATACACCAACAAGCTTCAGAGAATGTTCACGGGTACGATCACAATCGCATGCTATACCCTCCCTAATAAACCTCGTAGACATGAGCTTGAGCAAGGATCTTACCGATCAGTTCAAGGAGCGTATCGAGCAGTCTGGAGATACCACCGGAGGCGATGTTGGCTTCTCAATCATGGTCTTGGGTACCAACTTCTGGCCCCTCAATGCACCAACTCACGAATTCATCATCCCTCGTGAAATCCTTCCAACGTACGAGCGCTTTACACGCTATTACCAAAATAAGCACTCTGGTCGCAAGCTTACATGGCTCTGGAACTATTCGAAGAACGAGCTTCGAACAAACTACCTCAATCAAAAATACATCCTCATGACCAGCGCCTACCAAATGGCCGTCCTTATTCAATATAATGCAAACGACACGCAGTCCTTGGAAGAGTTGATCACTGCTACCGGTATCACCAAGGATCTCTTGGTTCAAATCTTGAGCGTGCTCGTCAAGGCCAAGATTTTGATCAACGAGGAGACGGATCAGTACGATTTGAACCCCAACTTCAAGTCGAAAAAGGTTCGCTTGATGATTTTTTACCTCGCTCAATGTTCTGACTGTTGATAGATTCGTGTCAACCTCAACTTGCCGATCAAGGCAGAGGTCAAGGCGGAGGCTGTCGATGTTCTTAAAGCAGTGGACGAAGATCGTAAATACGTGATTCAGGCAACTATTGTTCGCATCATGAAGGCGCGAAAGGTGAGCGAATGTCCACGCTCAGACGAACAATTGATTGACAAATTTCTAGACCTTGAAGAACCAAGCACTGATTCAAGAAGTCATTTCGCAAATCAGCGCACGCTTTACTCCCAAAATTCCCGACATCAAAAAGGTTCGTTGGATTAACGATTCTAGGCCTATAATTGACGAGATTGTCAGGCCATTGAAACTCTTCTCGAAAAGGAGTATATTGAACGTGCAGAAGGTCAACGCGATGTGAGTTTGCCCTTTTCATCTGGCTTGCCACGAGAGCTCATCCACGTTCAGACCTTCAACTACCTTGCTTAAGGGTCCTTTTGATACGACTAGACTTTGGCAACATCCTCGTTCGCTCTCATGTAACATCTTTCCTATTCACCCTAAACGATATCAACCAACTATTCGCACCTGAACTAAGAGTAATACAAAGTGTCTTAGCAATAAAATAAGCCCAAAGCCTAGTACGCATATCCTCCAGACCTTCTACCCTTTTTCTTCGCCTTTGGTGCTAGGTTCTCGCCAATGATTTCAACATCGTCATCAGACAAGTCCAGGTTTCCGACTGAGGGACGCGCAGCCTTGCTCTCGCCCACGACTTCGACACTGTCTGAAGCTTGCGATGGTGCAGGTTGGTTTACAGCCCTTTCTTGTTTCCACTTCTCGGATAATTCTGAGATTTCATCGTAGAGCTCTTGGCGCTTCGCCTCGAAAGATGGGATATCCCAAAGTGGGTGTCTCTCCGTGAGTTGGTCCTTATTCCACTATGTGCTCATCAGATACCTCATCCGGAGAGATGGAACACGTACAAATAAGCGCTTGAAGAAGTCATCAGGCTTCTCAAGAAACTTTTCCGCCGTCTTGATTAGATAAAGACCACAATCGCAGAAATTGGGCTGAACAGGGCTCTAACAGTCTGCTTAGCCACTTGTAGAGAATGAATGAAGGTCAGACGAACCTTAACCAATTTACCTCCGATGTGACTTAGCTCGACATTGATACCTTTCTTATCTTTGGCTTCTCGAACGAGATAGTCCTTCAGTACCCTCTGGGCGCCTGGATGCTTACTTCCGAGGGAGTCAAAAGTCAGAACATAGGTGCTGTAGTTGATTAGAACACATTTCAGTATCTCAAACAGATGGGTTTACCTATCTTGATTGGTCTTCCAAGCTTCATCTGCCTCCTCGTCAATTTCTTCTTCAGCCGGTGACATTAACTCGTCTTCTTCCTCCAACACCAACCCGTCCCGCTCGAGTAATTGTTCTTCTATCCTATATGCAGAGGTTGCTGGAGATTTGCTGTTATCCGTAGAGTTACGTCGTGCTATGTTCATGTCGACCACTGGGGGTTCGAGCTCTGGCGTGCTCGATCTCTGCGGAATCACAGACGATGTCTCATTCAACGGCGCAGGAGCGAACTGCTCCATAGCTTCTGGGTCCCTTTGACCAGAGTCTATTTCCATGTGATCCCCCTGCGGGTGGCCCTCTGATGGTCGTTCTCGATTCTGTTCCGGGATTTGCTTGCTTGCTTCTCTTGTACCCATTCTCAAGGCATTTCCTGGGTACATAATTACAACCAGATACCAGTGGGCTCTGACACCAATATCAATTACGTGAATATCAAGACGAAGCCGCGGTGCGACATACTTTTCGTTGATAGGAACGACGAGATAGCGTTTACTGAAGATGTCGACTTTGGATGTCCAGGTCCGAACAGCAGCATAACCGTTTGCAGGACTTTCTCCAGCGTTAGCATGAATGCGACCCGGAGAGAGAACACAGACTCTGGAGTTTTAAGTTTCTTGTAGAAGAATGGACTGAAAACGTGAATCTGTTCTGCACGTTGAGGGTCAGAGATCTTGAGCTTCTCCATCCACAAGCTGTTCAATCATATCAACTTGAGCTTTACTTGAGCAAAAGCTGACGAACCGAAGACCAAATTCAATGAGAGTATCGTTCAGAAATTCCCCAGGCTGTAGTCGTTCATGCTCCCCTTTGGTGATTTGTAGCCCCCTAACAAACGGATAGACGAGGATACTACTAAAATTAGAAGCAACATACGAATGAAGATTCTGACGTACACTTCATTATCATCCGTTCGAAGAGTAGGTTTGGATGCCATCGATCTGGTCTTTTTGACAGTAGGTCGCTTGGTGTTCTTCTCAAGATACTCTAGAGTTTCCAGTCCCGCTTGATTTCCGCCCTTGGTCTTCCCGAAGGGCATTATCAGGTCCTCGTCCTCCCACCCTTGTTCTTGTATAGATCGTTCTAGTTCCTTTTTCCGGGGTGGAGGGCTGGAGGTGGGCATTGAATCGGAACCAGGGCTTAACGACGCTGTTCTATTTGCACGAGACGAAACCTCGCTACGCTTTCCCCCACTGGTCTCGAGAGCATACGCAGTGTGAAGGTGATCCCAATTCCACTTTATATTTGACCATTGCTGAGGAGCACTATTCACTATGTGATCAGCAATCTCTCAAGATTGTGTAGAACCTACCGACGGTCTTGACTAAGTCGTCGGACAAATCGATAAATATTTCCCTGTTGGAATGGATAATTTTTAAACATGAACGATAAAGTAGACCCTGGAAACTCAGGTGCAAAGCTTGGAACTGTGCGAAATCAGATATTACATCGCAAGACACGGACGACTTGCCGGATGCCATTTCTCCGCCCGTACGAAGCCGACGAAGCGCGAGACTGGTCTTGGCTAAGCAGACAAAAAGGGAGCCCTGATCGTCATGTGCCTGAGAGAGTGTGTCAGAGGAAGATCTGAGATCCCGGGGGAAACCCACAATCCACTCTATATCGGCTTCTGTTATACGTTGTACGTCATCAGGCAAAATAAGTTCCAATGATGGACGCATATTAGGACCGAGCACTATTTGAACTTGCGCAAGCTTTTGTACGGGATGCTGCCCAAAGAAGGATTCTTCAACATCCAATTTCAGGCATTGATCAAGATCCTCTTCATCCCGTTTATTTGGCTTGGATAGAGATGATCTAGTTAATGCGTCGTCTCCGAGGATACCGGTAGCCTTCTTGCTGTGGCCATTCTAAATTCATAGTGAGCACAAGTCCGTGATCTTGAGGGCACAGAGGGCGACACTTGCCTGATCTTTCATATTGGATATTCTCTTCTGCTGCAATCGTTGGGCCCCTGAATGCTCGCCGACTCGGATCATGTCAGACGGAGATTCATCGCAGCTGTGCCTGCGCTCAATCTCTTGTCTTCGCTTTGCAACCATTCCCGGAGGTACAACAGGAGGGCGGAGTGCCGGAACTGAACGGGGGCTGCGGCCTTCGTGAGGGTGTCTATCTGGCGAAGATCCCCGTTGCCCTCGGATTCGTTCTTCAATGTCGCGGTCAGAAGTGGCTGATAACGAAGATGCAGGGGTTGGCACTCTAGCAGTAGAGGCAGATTTTGAGTGATCAATATCTAGGTGCCTTTGACCACTGTCGGTAAGTCTTGGTCTCTTCACAAATCTTTCGTTCGCTTCTTCGGTGGGATGTTGGTATCGCACCATTGGAGCAACTGTGTTGGTACTCGTACTGGGGGACCAGCGATGTCCTTTCAAACCCAGGTGACCGAGTGGATTGGATGCTCTCTGAAAGATACTCAGCTGCCTTCTAGTATGCATGACTTGTTCCTACTTGTCTGGGTGCATTCGAATTCGATTTCATCGGTGCAAGAGCGGATTGTGAACCGGGAATTTTGATTCTCGTAGGCTCTTCCTGCCAATGCCTGAAGAATATGAGTTCTCATCGTCCATGGTAGCTGCCAGCCGTCTAACCCAGTTGTTCTGTCCGCTAGTCCGTCCATTTGACGAATGTTTGGTTTTGCCGCAGCTATAAGCCGTACTTATTCGCCACTTTGCTGGATTATCGATGGCTTTGCAGGATGAGGGCGGCGTCAACCACTTGAACCACCTCCATCGCAGCAAATGTCCACCCTCGGCTCAAAAAGACCACATGAGGATGGAATCGAGCAGACCTCTCGACAGAAGAAAAGGCAAAGAATTCATGATGCTAGAGCTATCCAGACGGCATCTATGAATTTGGCCGCTCTTCCGCCAGGCGAGCATAGCAGCTTGAAAGTGTACAAATAATAAGCAAATGATAGCATTGAAACCGCTTCCTGCTTCTCTTGACGTTGTCAAGTTTGCTCAAGTACGTGCCTTGCTTGTTTTCTAAAGCGGTCTCCTAACGGTTACAGGCTCGCGCATTTGAAATCGATGCTATGGAACGTACCATGCGAACTACAAAGTGACCTGTTCCGCTTAAATCTTGTTATAGCAACTCACGAGCGTTCTCAGAGATGCCGCATCGAGTCGCGCCTGGCAATCCCTCCCGCGTCATCTTAGGCGAAGAGCAGCCAGTCATAACATCCGCCGGGTCCCAGCTCGTCTGCGTGAGAGAGCTCGCAAAGAGGTACGCACAATTTGTCCCTTCGGCTCACGACTAATACTGCTAGATGGATCCAGTGAAGAAGAAACGCCTCAATGCCTTGATAGCAAAAGCCGGCAAGTCCAAGCATCAGACTCGTAGCGAAAAATTTCAGGCCAGGCAGCGTCCGGTAAGCCTCGGTGCGCTATGGCAAGACTAATGCTGTCACAGTCAACAAGCGGTGGCTCGAAACGCATATTTGGCATGCAAAACGTATGAAAATGGAGAACAAATGGGGATATAGACTGGTTTGTAACTGTATTCCCAAATTAACGTCACTAATCCCTTGCAGTCGCTGCATCCCACCGAGAAAGCTTTCCGTCCGTCCCATCGAGCAGCAGTCCACGGCTGCATATTGCACGATTCGTCATACATCGGGACTTTGGAAATAAAAGCATCACAGGAAATTCTCAAGCGGCTAATTTACAAGGTCTGCAACCCTCAAGGGATTAGTGCAGCAGCTGCTCGGTACGTCAAAATTGCAGATGGGTGTTGTGCTGAATAAGACCCACAAGGTATACAAATGGATCTCGTGCATGTTCAACTGAGCTTTATGAAAGTTCAAAGTACCCCTTGGGATTCATCGCACCTGCTAAAATACTTTGGATGCCATTGGAAGACAAGACCGCAAGCCAGCAGCCTCAAGGGACAAAGGTACAGGATATCGGGTCGGGACAGCGCACCTTATGGATACGAATTCATCCATCAGCGTATGATATGGCTTCAAAGAATGTGACTAATACTGTTATGGAAATTCTGGAGTCGGAGCGAAAGGCAGGGAACCCTTCTGTCTCCGTAGAGATTGCAGACCTTCGCAGTCACCTGGTGTCCTTCGATTTGGTCGGTCCTAAATCAAGCCAGGTAATCCACGGTGCTTTCGGATTGGACGGGACCCAGAAGGCTGCTATCAAGAAACAGGTTTGTTTGCAAATCATTTTCTCCTGATTCTCACAATTGCAGTTTTGGAGTGCCTTGGGCAAGCTTGTGACTCCAGCATCCTGTCCCCGCGATCTTGTTGCTGGATTACAGGTGCATGATCCGAGACTCAAGTGTGTCCAGTGACTACTGATGGCATCACGACTCCTGACTTCAGCAGATTCCCTCCCAAAAACACATCCGTCAAGGAAGGCGAGAACAACCTACCTATGGATATCTTTACTATAAACCCGAGTGCCTCACTGGCATCTAGTTCTCTGTGGTCGGAGCCAGTTCGCTCCCGCTTGGCAAAGCCTACTTTCAAGAAGAAGGATCTCGACGAAAGACGCGCAAAGGTACGCACACCGGATCAAGACCAGCTTTAATAACCTCTTTGTGTAGCAACTCATTCCGGGAACCCCCTTAACACCACTTCGTCAGGACGATCGCATTCCAATCATCCTGGTTCAAGGATCCAATGAAGTATCACCGGCTCCGGGCGTCAATCAGAATTCTGCGAGTGCGGTCCATGGCTGGACTCTCTTAGCTCCGCAAGGTTGGGGCATGGCATTACTGTCTTCCCTTGTTTTTACTGGAACTCGAGTCGGAGGCCTGAGAGAAGTCAAATCTCAATGGTTTGAATCGGGACTTCCTTACTTCCCTGACGACTTCTCCGGGACGATATTAGGCACCGATAACCAGCGCTCTGTCGGGAAAGAAGCAGAGGCGAAGTGGAGCCGCACGCCGCCAGCGAAGCGGACCTCGTTTACGACTCTAGGAACGAGGAGCCCATTTCAACCAGACTGGAATGTTGTATGTGGACTAGTTCAACCAGTAGAACGGTCCGAAGGCTTTGAGCCCACTCAACGGATGGAAGAGGACCAAGTCGACCCATGGCTACTACATGGTCAAGGGACACATGAGATTGTGCTTGAATTGGTCGGCGTGGTCGATCCCGCAACAACCATGATACAGCTTCTCGATGCTGCTCGCCAAAGTCGGGGACTTACACCACTCACGACCGACCCTCAAGTTCTTTACTGCAGCGGACTGGTACTCGTCAAAATCACTATGCAAGGGCGTGGAATTCCAAGTGACATGTCCATGATCTACGACGTCTCTGACAAAGAACTTGAGTCTTGGGAGAATGGGGTCAGCGAGCGGACCTTCCAAGGACCAGCTCCCGCAGACGAAATTATCGGATATGTCACCACCGGCCGACCCTCCCTCGTGCGAGGGTGCGGTATGGGAATAGGTGCAGTGGCCCTATCCAGAGTTGTTCGGTCCATGAGCAGAGTCAGGTGAGCGTGTTTGGGTACCATTGAACCATCTACTGAACCGCAGATCAGTCATAAAACCCTTCAAGGGCACCTAGTCAAGATTCGCGAAGCACACGGAGAAGTTTACTGGCCGGCTCTCCTTGATGTCATCTAAGACCCTCACTACGATACAAAGGGAGTTTAGTCAATTTATATCATATGAATGTTATATGGTACACTGAGTAGTCATGGACAAAAACTCCTACTTTATTGCATTGGGCATCGATTGATGAAGACGTCCTTTTTTCATCGTCTAAGAGGTTTCAAAGCGCTCGCCCTTTGTGGGTTTGGATCCGGCTCCTGTTGTTGTTCACGAGCATGTGGGTGTGGCAAGCTAGGTTGAGAGGGCGGTTGTGACAGCTCAAAGCGTACACCACGTGACGGTGACGAATCTCTGCTCCTCACGTTTGGTGTATCGGCCCCGCCCTCTCTGAGCCTCAGTCTCGCTACCCTATCTCCACCATTGCCCGAGCGGACAGACGAGATAGAGTCGGTACGGATAAAGTCAATAGCAGTGCTTCCGTAGCGTGGCTGAGGTTGATTAGGCGTAGAAGGACTAGAGTGCCTCGAATCGGTCCTCGTCAACTCTGTACCGGTGCGGACTAAGATCCCGGATGATCCACCCGGTAAAGATGGAACGGTGACAATTGGTGTGTTTGTTGCTTCGTCATCAACGCTTGCGTGTCGAGAGTTACGGGCGGCACCAAGCGCGGTACGACGAATAGACGCATTTCGCCCTCCATGACGACGTCCACGAGGAGATGACGGGCGTTTGATTTTCTTGCCCGCTCCTTCTGCCTCGCTGGATGGTTCATCTTCCCAGTCGGCCTCATCGTCATGTTCGAGCCCAACACGTTGTTCTTCAATCTCGGGTCCCTTTCTCTTGGAAGAACGCGAAGCTGAATCATCGAGCGATGGGCGTTGAGAGAAAGAACCCAAATAACGTCTCACTTCGTCCTTGATCGCGCTTTCAGCGACCGTAAACGTTGCTTTGATGGCGTCGAGATTTGGATTTCCAGAGTCGGCGTACGCATCGCGAATCACTTCCACGCGAACCTATCAGAGCAATTAGTGAAAAGCTCATTGGTTCATTTAGTTCACGAACCTCTCCTCCTGGATCTTTCGGGCGGTATTCCCTGACGAGATGCCTGCCTTCTCTCCATTCTCTGACTTCGACGCCACCTTCCTCGAGCGGAGTTACCTCACCATCTTCAGGCTTCCTTGTCCCTTCCGAGCTAGATGTTGTAAGTGCGGCACGTCCTTCTTCCATTTCCTTTTCGGTGATCGTGGTTGTAGCGGGCTCATGGTCGCGATTGACGACAATGTCTTCGGGGCGGGTGACCTTGATAGTCTGACCAGCCCATTCGGGTTCGTGGTGTCCTCGCAGGGACAATGTGCGCGGTATAGTCAGCGATTGAACTCGTCGGCCGAGATTGAAGAATGGAATAGAGAGACCATCTGCAAACAATTGGATACTGCGATGTAGAAAAGGATAATAACTTACGAGTCAGGATGGAACACATGACCATAAACGCGATAATGGGTTCCATGGCCAGTGCGAGGACGTCTGTCTGATTAGATGGAGGTTCATGCGGGTGTGGGAGCTTCTCAAGTGCCAGGGTCGCGATGAAGATGGCTCCGACGCCCACTATGGAACTGTGAGAGGACATCCTAGTGACAGAGAGAGACGTACTTGGCCCGAAATGACCGCTGAAGAGAGCTTCACGGAAGGTTCTGATATCTGGGATCCACCTGTAGAGCAAAAGCATGACCGGAAGTCGTCGGAGTAGAAGAACCAGGATGGCCAACACAACCAATCGCCAGACAGTGATGGACGTGTCTTCATTGGAGAAGTTGTTGAACGGCATCCAAGCACCCTAAGCGATGAGGTGAGTGTGATACCAACATTTTGATGTACCGACATACGATAAAGACGAAAATGGCCACGTTGAAGAGTAGATCGATAACAGCAGAAAATACCGAGTCTGCCGTCTGCTTGTTGAAGTGGGAGTCCCAGGCAAAGGCGACGCCAGATGCAAACGCCGCCAACAGGTCATCCGACCCAAGAAGTGCGGTGATGCCGTTCGAAAGGAGAGCCAGAGAAATGTACTGGGCGACATAGGAGTGTCTATCGATCAGGTCGCGACTTTCGCAGAACTTCATGAGGTGTCGGAACCCATATCCGATCAACTGGTGGGCGTCAGCCATGGGAATACAGACACAGAGCAGAAAACGCACGCCTCCGATAGTTATTCCTAAGAGAATCTCGTCTACACAGTGTGTCAGCGGTCGCTAAATCCTTGTAGATAGGACCCACAGAGCCACGTGATGTAGAACCAGTGTGCAACGGCCACTCGATCATCTGCTTCGAGAATTACGTAGAGTGAGATGAAGAGGAACGGGAAGGCTGCGCCATCGTTGGACCCGCTCTCTGCTGATAAGAGGTGTCGAATGTGTTCCGGGACATGCTTTTCCGCATACCGACCGTTGATAACTGTTTGATTTTCGGTCAAGACGCCATTTCACTATGTGAGGAATCTTGTACGTACCGGCAGCCGCAAGGATAGGGTCCGTTGGGGTTAGGCATGCAGCAATGGCCAAACTCGACATGAAATCGAGTCGGGGGATGAGCGCATAAATGAGGCCCTATTACTGAATGAGTGTCGAGTCACTAATTAATTATCGGGCTACTCACAGCACAGATTACCCATCCGATACTCATTATGGGCAAGAGACTGTCGCCAAGAAATGATAAAAAGGGTGGCGTCAGTCCGGCCGAACGGAGGTAATAGACGATACGCACAGGAATACAAGGCTCTTCCAGTGCTTTTGCATGTATTTGCTCGGTAATTCCACACCAATGGCAAACACACCGACCGCGAGCACGACTCTCGTAATCTCGAGTGTAATCGATTGAACAACCTCACGACTCCCATCGCCCCATTGGCGAGGGTTAAATATATTCGCGCCATATGGGCCTGTGAGGTGTGAATGTGAGCGGGCTGAGAAACGGACGAAAGGTGGTGGGCGCACCAATGATGACACCGAACAGGAATGCTACTATTGACTCTCCGAGATAGAGCTGGTATAGCAGATGAGTATGCGTTGGGCCGTGGACGAGCGTGGTGCGTACTTTTTCACGGATAAGCAAACTGAACATTCCAAACTAGAGCGGCCAACAGTTAGCATGAGCGTCGACGGTAGTATAATCATCGAAAATGGCGTTCTTAGAATATTAGAGATACTCACAAACACGGTAAAGCCGCCGAGGACGACATAGGTAATGATCGCCACACTAATATGGAACTAGATCACTCGTCAGAGGTGTAGCGGACCTCAGAGGTCATATTTACTGGATAAAAGCCCATTTTTGGAGGGCACTGGGTATCTGAACGAGTGTGGTGCGGTCCAGGAAGTGATAGAAATGTACCTTTCTGGGCATCAGGGCCGAACTTAGGGCAGGGCCCGTCCGGCGCGACGAAAGCGGGCTGGCTGCCCATCAGGCGGCGACAAGGACTCGGTCATGCGAAAATAAAAAACTGTATTTGTGGTGGAAAGACTAAACTCCAAGAATACAGCACTGCGGAGCGAGATGTGGGTGGGGTGGGCAAGAAGATGATACAGTTACGGCATAATGTCAAGAATAAGGCAGTGGACGAGAATACATACTGCTAATAAGTCTGCCCTGGGTGCATGTAAGGAGGAGTGCGGCCAGGCTCGCACCGGCGCCGAGATGGCTCTCCAGACAGCCAGCAGAGGACACGGTAGACGTCTATAATATTATGGCTGTGGTCACGAGGTCGTTTATGGTGTTGCTATGATCATCCTCGGACATGCAAAAAAGTCGTGGCGCGGCATCGTGGCTCGGGTAGCATCACGAGTCACACTCGCCTATCGTTTCATGGATGGAAGAGGCTGCGCGTGATAAGCACAGAACCCTAGTGTGCCTTGGGAGGCTTCTCTCTGGCACCCACTAGGGTAAGCAGGGCTTTGTACATCGTTCCAGCCACGGATTTCTTCTTTTCCTTGCTCTTCGCAAGGTCATTATGAGCTGACATCGCCTCCAAGTTGGCTGACACTGGTCTCGGGCGAGCAAGGTTTGGAGTCTCTTGTCGGCGCATAACCCCAATCCCATCAAACGAGGCTGCTTGGCGCATCTTTCGTCGGGGTCTTGCTTGTTCACGAACACTATTCAAAAATTGGGACGTCGAAATCTTTTTCTTGAGTTCAGATGGAGGGGCATTGAAGGAGGATGGCGCAGCAGATTTGCGGCTCGTTTTGTGGTCGTTGCGGGTGCATAGGTTGGATTGGTATCCTTTACCGACTCGTTCAACGTCATGACTTTCGACCAAGAGTCGATCATAGCTAGTTCATGGGTCAGCTTCAGCCCATCAAATAAACGCTTGTTCTCACTAGCTTTCAGAATCGTCGTTTCTCGTTGCATCAGAATCCGTTGCGACTACGGTATTCAGATCGTCTGCTTCCTCGACATGAACTTCTGGAATGGCGACAATATTGGCGCGTTCAATGGCCAACGAGTTGTACGACGGTGTACGCTTATGCAAATGGCCTATCCAACGTGTCAATAGGGACCAACACAGGAACAACAGCTACTTACCATTGGCCGTGGTGCCGTTAGGCTGGCTCGATTGAGTCATCTCCATATCACTCCTCGTCCTCCGAACAGTGCGCAAGCTATGCCGGGATTCTGTGGCCTCTACACGAGCACCGTCGATGGACCTTTCATTGAAGGGATACTGATCAGAGGCCATATGTCGCAATGCGCGACGCCCGTGGAGTTGCTGAGGTGAGTTCAGATCTACTGAGAATCCTACGGCACGAGGTTGAGTGCTTGCAGAGATGATAGCGTCGCTTGCACGCATGCGGGTATGAAAGGGAATCCCGATCGCTGGAAGTGGTGGCAATGACTGCGAGGTACTCCCAGCGACTGCATCCTTGACTCCTTGAGCAGCTCCTGCAAAGACATAAGACCCTACCGTGCGATAAGAATGGGATTCACCTTCGACTTGATCCTCACAAATAGGGATCTGCTTTACGTGTTTTTCAGCAATCTCCCTGACACCCGTGGATTCCTGGTTACAAAGTGAAGGTGATCGGACTATGACAGGGTTAGGTATTGGAATCAAGCTGGTTGCAGGCGTACCTTCGACGTTACGAGAACCAGCGTTGATACTCAAACCCATATGGCGAAGGGTTGGCGACTTTGGTTGTGGCGGACGGTTCTCCTTGCCACTAGAGTAGTCATTCGAAGCACGAGTCTTGTTGACGGATGCTCGACCCGAATTTCTTGCATTGGACTTTGAGCTGAGAGTTGCTCGTGTAGGGTTGCCTAGTCGTTTTGTTACCGTTTCCGAATCACTGGATGGTATCAAGCAGTCGATGGCTATGCATACTACGGTCAGGCTTGGACCCGAATGACAGAAAAGGCATACTTTGAGTTGACCAGTAAGGGTCAGAGACAATTTGAGAGGCTGTAACCCGAACATCGGCGTTTGGAGCAAGCATTCGACGTAAGAGAGATTCCAACGGCCTGCTCATTTTCTTGCGAATGCTCTCGTTGTTTGAGACTAGCCACTTGCCCTTGTAGGTGCGCTTCCAATATATATCCAGCTCGTCCTTGGAGATGAATTGCTCGCCACGATCGCTTTCAAATGGCGTACGACCCATGATAATCTCGAAAAAGGTGACTCCCAGTGCCCATACATCAGACTTGCGAGAATCGTGAAATTGGCCTCGAGCACGTTCGGGGCTGAGGTATTCAGGTGTTCCATAAGCAAGAGACGACCGAAACGCGTCCGGTGTGGATAAACCATAACATTCGGAGAAGCCAAAATCGACCAGTTTTGGAACACCCTCTTTCGACAATAAAATGTTTGCGGGCCTATGATACCGTCAATACTGTCAATGAGTACAGCGTGTTGCGCACTTGATATCGTTATGCACGACCCCGTGCTCGTGAAGGAAGTGAACGGCCGAACTCAGTGACACGAACCACGTTTTGGCTTGTGTTTCAGCGGCGGGCACGGGCAACGCTTTTGGCAAAAATTCCCTGCATAACTCTTGAGTGCGCATTCAAAAAAGGAGCATAGAATAGCACTGACATGACGATCAGAGCATAGCTTGGGGAAATAATAAATTCATGAAATTTGACAATCGAGGGATGACAGTCTTCCTTGAAGGAGCGTACGACCTTCATCTCATTCCACCTGTGCGAGTCAGTAGGAGAATGCACCGGATCCTGAACACGTACAATGCGCGCACTCGCGCCGCTGTTGTCTGCGTCTTGGAGCGATGGACAACCTTGATTGCAACTTTGGGATGACCTTCAGCTTGAGATGCAGATGTCTTGTCGGTAGCTAGCCAGACGCTCCTGCAATTATCCGAGCGTTAGCACGCCGTCGTCGACGCCCTCGCGCAGGCAGCTGCCAACAGATCTCGATAACGCGTCCAAAAGTACTCACCCCCAGTTTCCTACACCATGCTATCGGAGACACAAGTAAATGAGCGCGTTATCCACGCTTTATTGTCACCAGCACACACCTCTTTCACAAATTTGTAGCGGTTGGCCAGCGATTCATCGGTCATGGAGAACACATTAGACGTGATATTTTCAGGAGTCGTGTCGCTCATGACGCGTCAGAGGGCCGGCTCGACGACGATGTGGTTGGGATTCAAGAATGCTCAAGTTCAAACTCCGACAAACCATCCTAGAGCCGGTGTACACACAAAAAATAGACTAGACGAAAAACTCAGACAGCTAAAGGCCAGTTCGCATTTGCTCTATGGCCCATCGTGCAGTTCGCTCTTTGATGGCGTTGAAAACGCTCCGCTCCTCGGCGGTGAAGCCCTCTGGATACACCTCGTAGAGAAAGGTGTTCAAGGTTTCAACCGATTGCTGCAGCTCATAAGCGTTGATTGTCTTGCTCCGTGTCGCATAAGCGTGCTCGACAGGCGTCGCGTGGGCAAGCCTCGAAGGGTCCCCCATGGACAGTGCGTTGAACATGGGCCGAACCGAATCCACAAACTTGGGATCATCGGCAGGTGATGCGATGGAAACGCTGTCAGACGTCTGCAATCGAGAGCGCTCCGACCGCGGTGGGTTGATTCGCCCTCGTTTTATACGATTCCGGTTCTTGAAGTTTTCTATCCAACCGCCGGACGCCTTGAACATGTCCTCGCCAATTCCATATCGTCGTGCCGACAGTTTCGCCTGTTCTTTGAGCCCAGCATCTGACACAATTTCGCCGGCCGCAACTCGTTCTTGGACCCATTGAAGAACGTCCTTTTCGATCTCGGGAAACTTGGTTGGCCTACTCAGCGTCAGTCATGGTATAATTTCGGCAACAAAGGCGCGCGCTAACCTGTGCTTAGCGATTTTTAGTTCCTCCTCGTCCTCTATGCTTAGCCATTGCGCCTTGTTCTATGAAACATGAGTGAGATGTAGAATGAATGACTGATATGCATACCTTGAGGACTTTGGAGACGGTGCTTCGTTCAACGCCAAATCGAACGGCAATATCTTCTTGACGGACGTTTGGGTTCTCAGTTGCATAGATGCACATGGCTTTCCTATCCGCGTTCCGCAGTTTATTCTTCGTGTGCTTCTCACGGGCAGACCTGTTCCCGTCCGGAGAAGCGCTCGAGGATAGGTCGTCTGCATCGAGCACCCGTGACGGCGAAGACTCATTGGTCGATGACCATGTTGACTGGCTATGTGCGCTTATGCTCCCACTAATTGATGTGACGGATGAACTGGCGATACTAGACGCTGGCGAGCTCGCGCGAACATATGGCCGGGACCCTCGAGAATACGTTGACGTAGGGCTGAGGGTAAGGGGTTCGGGCTCAAAGGCAGAGTTCAATGAGATGTGACGTGAGTGAGCACGCCGTGCAAGCGGTGATATGTCCGCCGGATTTGCACTCAGACTGGCGGAGGGTGAAATTGCCCGAGTGTCGTGCGTCGGCAGCGACGAGAGCGATGCGGACATTGCAAACATGGACGGGTACTGCATAGTGTCTCCGATAGAAAACATCTGCTTCGAAGACGTTAGAAGTTAGCCTGAAATCAGCGTGATCCTAACTTGCCTGAGCAGTAGCACTCTCCATGCCCCGACCGACGCTGAGCGCAGCTCGTTGGCGTCGAGTGAGAATACCCTGAGTCCCATTTTGAGTACTTTGGCCGACATTGCCACTCGAGCTTGACATCGCGGCCAGAGCGTCCGACGACGGTGGAAGAGCATGCGTTTGGGCTTGATGTGGGCTCACACCAGCCGAAAAATGGGCTGTATGAACATTCCAGTTCATAGAGGTGCTATTTGCGTGGCCATTTGGCGATGTGTTGTAGTACGGAGAGTCAAACAGAGATGACGACTGGCGCTGGAGGCCGTCCTGTGGGCCCAAGCCGTCCATCAACGTCGAATACAAGTCGTACGCTGCAGAGTCTGTTCAACGACTCTGGAACGCACGATGTAGCCGCGCCCTCGTTTTCCAATGATAACGAGGCTAGAGTCCAAGATCTCTTAGACCCTTTCAAGCGCCGTCTCCAAACTTTTGGATAGAAAAGTCCCTGTCAAATTATACAGTGATCGAAATAAGAATACAAACGGTGGCCTAGGGCATGCTGGTTCCAGCCCCGAACCGCCTTCCAAGTCTGTCAAGTGCGAGATCACAGGGTACATCACCCATTCAATGTCCTTAGCTGTACAGGAGAATCACCATGATCACGGCCACCATCAAGCCGCCGACACTGACAGTGGTTGGAGGATTCCGAGCGATGATCCCAGGACATAGAGGTTGGCTATTCTCCTGCCAATGCATGAACTCCAAGGGAGGTTCCAGTCTCTAGAGCGTCGCGCATAACAGTCGTGGCCCACTGAACAAAGCCCGCTTCGTCTGGCTGTGGTGCTTTATGCAACTTGCGTTTTTCCATCCCTGGAAGATACAGAAGCAATCCTTTAGTGAGTTGCGCGTGCTTCAATACCTGCAGGGCAACCTTCTCCAACGCCTCACGATCCCTGGGCTTCTGTCTCCACACGGCAGAGAGCTGGGCAGGAGAAATGATGGGGGTTTTGACTTGAGAAGCGACAAATACCTCGTATAAGAGGGTATCAAGGAAGCTGCGTGTTTGCTTTTTGAGCTGAAGAAAGTTGAGAGGCTGTTTCAGAATCAGCACAACAACTCGTTCATAACGGGGGTACTCTTGCCTTGAGTATGAGCAGATTGGATGCGCCATGCGCAATCCACCATGCGTAGAGTTTGGCCGTATTCCGAATGCGTTCCTTTGGGATAGTCTGCTCCGCGAGATTTGCGTCCCGCGATTGAGATTTGAGCAACTCAGAGCCACCCACGTCGTCCTCCCCGAGCTCCCGGAGGAAATCCCATAGAGAGAATTGAGCAGTAATTCTATACGAATGGGATTGTTCGCACAGACGTAGACCAACAAGTGCGTAGTATGGATTATACGTCTTCTCCTTTGTAGAGGACATCAGATGCTTCCTGGGAGTGATCAATCTTTCTTACGTTACCGCAACAATGCAACAAAACGCGGATGATTTCGCGCTGCTGTTGCTCACTTAGCGAGAGCTGGCCCAATTTTTCGCACGCATCGAAGAAGTCCTAGAGGCTTATCAGCGGGCACGATGCAAGAATGAATGAAAACTAACCTCGCTACTCATAAGGACCACAAATATACTCCGTCGTATATCAGTGTTCATCCCCATGAGATTTGGCCAATTGTAGCAGACGCTGGTTCGCTAGTTTACTCTCCGGGTGCGTCGGTGTAGAAGACTTCTCCAGTTTGTGATCAACAAGAGGGTCGCCACCCCACGCAGCGCCAACCAACCACCACTTTCCCTTGGATTCCGAGGAATGAAGGTCACTCAAGGTAACTCGGAGAGGTTCTGTAGAGGCTTGTCACTGTTAGTGTGTACATACTGTATGAAACGGTGAAAACACACAATGGTAACGCTTGCTGAGGGTCCCTAAAAACTTTTTCATGCGCTCGACCGTTTCCATCGCTGAGGTATCGCTTTTTTTCACTTTATTGTTCTTGAGGTTGGTCAAGGTCTCGATCATAAAGCGGGTTCGAGAGCTAGGAGAATCAATTACCGCCTGAGAATAGAGGGGGAGCACCGACCTTAGATCCCCTTTGCGATGGGCGACATTGTCCAAGACCATTTGCACAATATCCTTGAGGGCAAGGGGATCGTCTTGCCGTAGTTGCTGTCCAGATACTACTCTTGTTAGTCGTGTGCTGATGCTCTCGACGACGTACGTCTTAGTATCTTTAGAAGGAGCTCGGCCTCTAGTTCCCCAATCGTTTCTTTGAAAAGTTGGCGGACGATGTCGTACACAAGGACGCAGGAGATGACTCCGAAATTGTAGAGTTCGGCCAGACAGACGATGAGATTGAGTGGTTCTTTGCTCACAGCATCCATCGTATCGTCTTCCGGTCTCTTTCTTGCATTTTCGTACGCTACTTCATACTTTTCGACCAATTCTTGGACGAAATGAGCCACTACGAGCAGTGAGTGGGCACAGTGCGGTATCAAGTAGACATACCGAACTCAATCCCAATAATTCGATACAGGGATGCCACAAGCGTTGCGATCAGCGCGACGTGACTATCGAGTAGGCTGGAGTTGGAAGCAATGCTGTCCAGAATAACAGTTGTTAGTAGTGTAGTGACAGCTAAACACGTCAGACACGATAAAATTCAAATATATGTCGTCACCGTTGCGAGTATTGTCCCGGTAAACTTGTTCCAACTCATTGAGGATCGTCGCAACATTTTGCTCCGATAATCTGTAGAGACGTCAGTATAATACATCCCTGCTACAGGATCTGTCTCACTTGTTCACCATTCCACGTATTTGTCGTTGGAGTCTTGCGCGGGTAGCATCCAGATCGTTTGCAGCCGCTGCTCGAAGGTGGGGAGGGACATATTTCGATCCATCCGCGACTACAGGGCATTAGAGGTCGTTTCACAAGAAACAGCGGGAGCATACCTTCTGCCTTGAAAGTCACTGAACTGACCTGAACCGCCTGAGCGTCATCCATTTCTACATCGGAAGCATCGGATTTGCCGTCCTTGGATGGTTCATCTTCTTCGACGCTGTGGTCATCCTCTTCCTCTTCATCCTCCTTGTCCTCATCCTCTTCGTCTTGACTTTCTTGCTCAGTGTCCCAATCCTCTGCAGGACCCTCCACATCGTCTTCCGATCCACCCACTCCACCAAGTACGTCGTCCAGTCCGTCCAATAGATCTACTCACTCTCAGTTTCCCCCATCAGTCACCTGACTCTACACACCGTCAAGCCCATCCTCTTGTAACATCTTATTCCACGACTTGCCCTGCTTTTTGCCAGACAGACCAAGTTGGTACTCCAACCACGCAATCTCCTTATCTTCATCAATTTCCACCTGCGATCGCGTCTTTTTCAACAGACCATCCCCCTCTGCCATTTTTACTCGAAGAGGCTTTGGGCCAGCGACAGCATCCTTCTTCACCGGCTCAAGCGTTTTCAGACTTTTGTCCGAGCGTTTTGTAACCAACGGTTTTGAAATAGTGTTACCCTCGTCGAGCTTTCTCCTCTTTTTCGGTGGCTCTACATCTGGACGAGGTTCCGACGACCGTGTATTATTCAGGTTGTGTGAATAATATTCATTCTTCCGTTGCTTCTTTGCAATCTTCTCCTCTGTTCGTCTCTCCTTTCGAGATTTTTGCCTCTTCGAATGCGAGTGGCCCGTCTTGTACCCTAAAAGTCCGCTGCTCAGTTTCTTTGATGCGTACGGCCCAGACAAATGGATAAACCTTGTTGTTCCAATTGTTCTCGCAACGCCTGAGGTAAAAGCGTCGTTTTATCACGTCTTTTCACTGGCATCGTTCAAATAGAGTCAGGGGCCAAGGTGCAAGAAAAGGTCGTCATCTATTTGATAGAGGGGAACTCTCGCGCAAGCACGTTATTCTAAGAGGAGAGAAAGGAGTCGTTAAGAGTTGCACCAGTCGACGTAGCAGTCGCTCCTGCTACACCAATTCATCCAAAAAAGGGTGCTTCCACCACGTATCTACGAGTCGGCGGTCATATCGAGACCGGAATCGCTGACAGGCTCGTTGTAGACGGCCTTGCATGCAGCCTTGCCGTACGCGTTCTTGTAGAACACGACATCTCCCTCATCCTCGACAAACTAGGCAGTTTCATAAGCTCGGGATTGAAAGTTGTGGCGGCAATGATTCTCACCTTGCATTGACGAATGGTCTTGACAACCTCGGACCATCCTCCTGGAGCACCCTGGAGATGGATGCCAGCGCTAGCAAGACGCTTGCGAAGAGCGTCGGAAGCCTCCCAGCTGGTAAAATAAGCATGATGCCATCCTAGAAAAACAAAGAAAACGTACGCATGGTAATGGGGAATCTTTGAGCAGACGTGGTGGAGAACGTGGGTCTCGGAAATGCCGTGCGTCAAGAATCCACCGAGCCAGCCGAAAAAGGGACCGGCACCACCGAGAAGGCTACGATCAAGGGTCGAAAGCGCACCACGTTGGCTGCGAACAATGAGCATTTGCCCCGAAGAATGGGTTGGGGTTTGACTCACAAGTTGAATGCAGCCGCGCGGTAATGGGGGAGCATGGGGTCGGTATGTTGGAGGAAGGTGATCAAGACGAGCCAGGAGTTGACTGTGGATGGTGAGTGACATGGATATCAAATCGGAGGATGACAGGCTTACCCCAAAGGTAGGGAACGCCGTATACGCGCATCATGGTTCCAAATCCAAATGTCATGGACGAATAGACCAATGCGGCAATCCAGAGAAGGACACCAACGTCGGAAAGCAGGATTTGGTCCCGCTGGTGGGGGGCAAAGATGACCGATGAGGGCTGGAAGTGGTTTGTGAAGCGAGGATACGATCGTTGTCCAGTGGCATTGCGGATTAGATACATGGGCCAACCGAAGAGCTGATGGGGAAGGGGTTAGTCGGCTGAGCCCATCGGCCACAGGAAGATTGGGGGCTCACCAATTGGAGGGCACCATACGTGGCGGCACTGAAGGGAGAGTCTCCAATGGCCTCCCACATTTCCTTCATGACCTCGTCGGAAACCTTGATGCCGAGTGGGTCGTCCTTGGCGGGATCGAGAGGAGGGAGGCGGAGTTCGGAACGGGTTTTGGGGACAAAGACTTGGTCCAAGTTCATGTGGCCGGTGCTGGCGTGATGCTTCGCATGGCTGATGCGCCAGGAATGATAGGGAACGCCGAGTCTAACGAGCAAAAGGCAGTTGTCAGGAGCCAATGTCTTTTATGAAATGTTTATCCAGGACGTACGAAGAATGAAGGATCCAGCCCATCGTGTTATTGATGAATTTTGACTCTGAAAACGCTTGATGCCCACATTCTGGGGAGATTTGGCCAGGGCTGTCAGTGGGAGTTCCGCATGTCAATCCCGTCGGAATCACGCACCGTGGGCAATTACCCAGATACCGGTAGCCACCAGGCCGGCCGCATACCCGTAGAGGCTCCATAGGCCATAATACGCGGCCGTCTCGAAGTAAGGGTGAGGGTAGTCAATGGTGGGCAGCAGCTGAGCCTCTGCATACTTGGTGCCCTTGTAGATGGCCCCAAGTAGGAAGCAATCCCAAACGCTGTGAAAATGGTCAGGAAACGAGAGAGGCGCGTGGGGGTGGCTCGTACACGTAGGAAAAGGACCTGAGGGCGGATCGCTTGAAGCAATGCTGACTGTAGGTAGCAAGAGGTGAGCGGAGGGATAGCAAACGCGGTCGTAGACGCACGGAATGACCGAGAGGAGGTCCTTGACGGAGAGGTCTGGGACGACAAACGTGGCGACGTCGTCTTCTGGCGTCGTGGCTTGCTTTAGCGCAGCAGCGGGGCGTCTTAGAGCCATTTTTGAGGGGATTTTGTGATGGACGGAGAGTCGAAAAGAAAGACGAGGCGGGGTCCAGACTAGAGGGAGCGAGGGCGAGGCAAAGCAAAAACTTGGGGCGGGCAAATTTCGACTATTCATTTGCATCGTGGCATCGTGGTGATCGCCTCTGCTCCCGTGTTGGCCGTTATTCCAGGAAAATGGCGAGCAAATGTAGAAAATGTCATTCGACACAGTCTTCATTCCAAAACTTTTTACTGAGATGTTCCGGCTGCAAGTCGTGGGTCCACACGCGTATGCACTCCCAACCACTATCCAAGGACGATTGGCATATAACAACGTAATTAATAGTGTGTCATGAACCACCCGTCACAACCAATGCCCTCCGCGAGCTATTCCAAGCCTCGCCAGGCGCCATCGAGGCGTGGAAATGCAGCAATTGTGCTCTACCACAGGCACCAGAAATCGTGGATTTGACCCTCGAGGATTCAGACTCGGACGTAGAGGCAGTAGTAAGGATGGTTGAGCCTCCCGCGGCCACCAGAATGGATTCTGAAGATGTGCATCCATCTCAGCAAGCGGCATCGACATTCCAGCCATATGTCACCCCTACGCACCTCCAGACGCTACTCAGGATCAAAGAGGATGAAAAAGAGAGTTACTTGAAATCTCTCTTTCCCCCCAGAGTTGCTCAACCAGACAGTTGCACGAGCTCGTTTATGAGCACAAGCGTCGTCCCTCCCAATGCCCTAACGCCGTGGATAGCAGTGAATCGTAGACGAGGAGGTCATCCTAGACCACCCAGAAAGCTCGCTGCACGTCCTTTGGCTGAGGCAAGCACCTCACTCCTGACGGGTGGCACACAGGACTGGAAGAATTGGTAACTTGAGAGCAATTTATTACTTGTATTTCCATGTTGAAATAACATTTCCGAGTGTTTAATTGCCCTTCCGAGTGGCTGCGCCGGTGGTTGATAGAGGCCAACGTTGTCTTGGACTCGACGCCAACAGACGGGAGCTCATGGCCCCGCAGACGCGTCACGCACAAGCACAAGAACAACAGTCATCACCACATATCCAGCTACAGCTCCCAGAAGATGTCTCAACATCATCCTTGGACGCCTTGTTAGGGCCCAACGACTGGTCCGCGCCCTCTCCGGACACAATACTCGCCGTCTATCGTCTATTAATCTCCCAAAAGGAGCAGTTTGATGCCGCCTTTCAAGACTGGGAGGAGCGGTTGGCTCAAAAGGACGCTGACATTGAGCAAACTTTGCACCAGCAAGAGACGTTTCGCGTCGAATACACCGAGCAGCTCGAGTCACTCAAGGGAGAGCTCGATTCCGTCAAAAAGGAAAACGCAGAGCTCGCGCAGAGCAGAGCGGCCATCCAAGATCAGCTCGCCACGCTCGCCTCAACGTCCACAACTTCTACACACGAAACAGAGCAGCTGCGAATCAGAATCGAAGAGCGTGAGAGGGAGAAAAAGACATTGACAGACACGCTCGACGCGGCTCTCAATCGAGAAACGCGACTGCACAGTATGTTATGGGCTAAATATGCGAGGACGCTCAAATCTTATTTGATGACAGGTGAAAATACAGAGTTGAGGAGCGAAGTTCAAAATGTCAAAAAACTCGTCGCAGACTTGCAAGCAAAACTCGCCGAAACATCGTCTTCAGAGGCCACCCAGCACTTTAAGATTTCCACTCTCGAGCAACAAATCAATCTACTTCAGGAAAGCAACGACTCGCTCAACAACGAACTCTCCAACCAGCTATCACGCTATACAGAGTTGCGACGAGCGCGTACCGAGGAAGTGACGACGCTGCAAAGCAAACTCGACCAAAAGACAAGCGACTATGATCGAGAAGCAGAACGTCTACGGGCTATACAATCGACCAATCACGAAATGGAACGCAAGCTCAACGAAGCTCTCGAGAAGAACCGCGACTTGCAGAGCGAAGAAGCGGCCAACAAGCGTGCCTTCCAAGAGGAAATGCAAGCTTGCAAAGATTTGCTCGAAAAGTATGAGAGAATCGCAGACGATGCAAAGACGCGTATAGCCGAGATTGAAAGGGAGGAGGAGATTATTAGGAGAGAGTTGACGAAGCGCGAGGAAACGCTCCTTGCCCAGGCAGATCGCGAACGAGAGCGAGCAGATAGCGCAGAACGAAAGGTGGAAGAGTTGGAGGAGGTTTTGCAGCGTGCACAGGCAGGTGAATTCTCCATGGCCGAAACATCCTTCAACCGTGCCATGACACCTGGATCGCCCGCGCCCGGTGGAGTTTCTTCCTTGATGCTCAGCCCGACTGCTTCCATCGTGTCCAAGCTCCAACGAGGAGGCAGATCTATCACCGAAGTCTATGCCGACTATGTGCGACTTCAGAAAGAACTTCAGCAGGAGAAGCAGGAGAAACAGCGACTCGAAACAACGCTCAACGATATTTTCAACGAGATTCAGGATAGGGTGAGTACCTTTGGGCTATATGCTATTACTTCTTTGCTTATATGTCGTAGGCACCTGTTCTCACTCAGCAACGTTTGGAGTACGAGCGCGTTTCGGCAGAAGCACGTCAACTTGCTACACAGCTCTCAGAGGTCATGGAGGACCGTGATCAGCAAGCTCGTGCGGCACGCGAGGCGCAACATGCCCTTGCCAGCAAGCAAAAGGAAGTCAACCTGCTCAATAAGCAACAAGTAGATCTCAGTCGTCAAGTCCGTGGACTGATGCATCAACTTGCTCGTGCCCTTGACCCAACTCTCCCTGAAGAGTTTGTCGAGGACGTTTCTGGAGAACCCGATGAGCTCCTCGATGGTGATGGCTTTGTCACGTCCAATTTGGTCCTCTTCCGCAGCATTCCACATCTTCAGCAACAAAATCAGACACTGCTCAGTCTCACGAGGTCTCTTGCATCGCAGCTCGAGGAACGAGATCGCAAGGCAGCGGCGGATGAGGAGAATGAAATGATGGCAGAGGCACGAGCCGTTATCGAGAGCCTGCAGACACAATTGCAGACCTCTCAGGCCAAGATGGAGGCGTATATCAAGGAAAGAGACGTATTCAAGGCCATGGCCTCTCGACGACAGGGATCGGGCGCGTCTGAGGCAGGCAATGTCATGGTGATCGACGGCGGCGTCGATTATCACCAGAAGTACGACGAGGAGCACGCCGCATTGGATGCACTCAAGCGGGAGACTGCAAGAGACTTTGAGGAGCTCCGGAAGGAGTTGAAGAAGGCTCAGGCCGAGTCTACGGATGCCCACGTCGCTCTTGGAAAGGCCCGTGCCACCAATGAATACCATCTTGGTCAGTGCTTGTAGTCGTGGCAGGGCTATGCAACTAACAATTGTGTAGAACGCTATCGTCTTCTCCAGTCAACAACCACTGCTCAGACCGAGGAATTGAAGACGCTCTCAGCCAGGAATAACGAGCTCCAAGCTCATGTTAGACAAGCAGAGATCAAGATTGGCGAGCTTTCTTCGACGCTTGCAGAGTATTCTAGCACACTCGCCAAAGCACAGAGCGAATCGCAGCTGCTACGAAACGAAAAGGCTCTGCAAAAGGTGAGATATATTGTTCGTGTAGAAGCCGATGTGTATTAACTCTGCTTATAGTCTCGAGAAGAGCGCTTGGAACAAGAGAATCGCCAGTTGCATGCAGAACGTACTCGCAACAATCAAACTCTGGAGGACTATCGCCGCATGAAGGATGAGCTCTCATTGCTTTGGGAAGAGAACAAACAGTCCTTGGAGCAAGAAAAGACGAGATTGATGTCTGAAGTGTCAGTGTTTCTGTACTGGGCCTCTGAATACGAGCTGACGACGCAATAGTGCTACTTTGCGTGACGAGATTATGACCGACAGAGCCGCTGCTCGATCAAGACTCAATGAAAAGGAGGCGGAAATCAGGGATCTCAGTCATCGCCTTTCCCAACTCGTGAGTCCTCTCATTAAACCAAAAGTCACTATATCTGAGTGATGTGCAGACCGAGGAGAGTACCAAGTCACGAGAGGCTGCTGCTGTCGCTCAAGCAAACCAAAGTCATCTTCAAGCTCGGGCAGACGATCTCAACAAGCAACTCCAACGTGCATTGGAGAAATTGGCCGTCTTTGAACGTCGTCCGGGAACAATTGGCATTGTTCCTGCAATGACCAGTGGTTCAGAAGAGGAGAACCTCCGCGCCCAACTTGCCGAACTTAGGTCTGTTCGAGATACTCATATTACTCTCCTTTCTGACTATTTTCAGTGCTGAGTTGAAGACGGTGCAGCTCGAGCTCACCAACGAAAAAGCTAATGCAGTCATGTACCAAGAATTGGCCCAGACAACAGAACAGGCACTCGAAGACTTGCGGCGATCTACGGATGAATATAGCGCCAAGACTCAACAAGACCTGGCGACGAAGGAGGTTTGTGACGCTGATGCTTGACAAATCTTGCCATTGATCAATATCTCTAGGCTCAGCTTTTGTCTCTGCAAGAGAAAGTAACTCTCCTGGATCTAGAAAGGGCGACGCTTGCCGACCAAAAGAAGGCGCTCGAGTCAGAGATGGAGGTCAAGGCAACTCAATTCGCCGAGGAGAAGAAGTTCCTTGAGGATATTGTTGCAGATGTTCGCGGCGCTGATGAGCGTGCCGTACGGGCTCAGGAAGATATCCATCAAGAGCTCCGCGCCGAAGCTCAAAGAACGCACGTACGTATCATATACGATTTTCCTTCTTCTTGGTCTAATTTACATAACAGGAGGCGCAAACCAAGTACCAGGCGCTCCTCGTCGATCATTCTAAGGCTCTCGAGGAGTGCACGAACCTCAGGCAGCAGCTTCAAGATTTACAAGTTTCCGCCGAACGTCACGCAGCTGAAGCAAGGTCGGCTCAACATATCCTCACCTCCTCTCAAAAGAGCTGGGAGGTTCAGTCAGAGAGTTTGAAGCAAGAAGTTACCGAGATTCGCTCGCGGTAAGTGGTTTATAGCCTTTCGCCAACTCTTTGTTGACAGTTTGCAGCTACGACGATCTCATGAAGCAGAACACTCTCCTTCACAATCAGCTGGCCAGCGTCACTTCTCAAGCTGCACGACTTGGCGAATTATCAGAGACCGCTGTGGCCGCAATCCAAGCGCCATCCAACGACAGTCAGGTTCAAGAGCTACAGCAAGTTATCAAACATGTCCAGAGAGATGCAGACTTGCTTCGTGGGCAGTGCGAGCTTCTGAAGCGCGAAAATGCTCGTATAAACGGAGACGTACGCCGTCTCACGTCCGAACTCGAGTCTACTCGTCAACGTCTTTCAGAAGTGAGTATCTCTCCATGCATGCTTTGTGCTGGATACTAAAATTGAACTGTAGGAGCGTGAAATGGCCTCAAAGGCGGCACTCAATCCCAATGACCAACAGACTTTGCTTTCAAAGGTCTCGGAGAATGCGGCGCTGATCGAAAGTAACCGAGTGCTTCGCGAAGAAAAAGCTCAGCTCGAGCAACGTCTGCAGAAGAAGAGCGACGACTTGATCGCTCGAGAAACGGAAATTTCGCCATTGAAACAAGAGGTCATCACTCTTCGCAGCGAACTTGAATACGTCAAAGTTGAGAACGAAAAGTTGCAAGAATCGATTGACCAGTGGCGAAAGCGTGCAACTTCGATCATGACAAAAGTATGGTTCCGACAGTCCCTATATATTCACTATCCTGACGTCCTACAGTTCGAACGCATCGATCCAGAAGTCCACGAACAAGTCAAGGCTGAAGCCGAGAGATTGGAAGCCGAAGTCGCAACCCTCAAGGCGCAACTCTCCAAGTCAAATGACCAGGTACATGGCCCCTTATCTGTTCGTATGCATCTAACTCTGAGTAGGTCGCAAAATGGAAAGATGCTCAACAGCAATGGAAAAACGCGGCCCAAAATGCGCAGAGCACTGCAGAGCAAGCCAAAGAGCGCCAGTCTGCCCTCATAGCGGAAAGAGATTCTGCGACATCCCAGTTAGAGCTGGTCACCAAAAGCCTGGAGGCTGCGCGCGCCGAGTTGGAAGAGCAAACCAAGTCCAATGCATCCAAGCCTGTCGTTTCCGACTCTGAGGCTCAGGCTCTGCGAACCGAAGTCGCCCAACTTAAAGAGCAGAATACTTTGCTCCAAACAGAATTGGCATCTCTCAAGGAGCAGGTCGCCAAAGGGGCGCCCTCGGGCACTGGTGCGACCGGTGAACAAGTCGCCAAAGCCGCAAGGGACTTTGCAGTAGGTCAAAGTCTTGTGGCCGAGAGCGTATTTATAAGTTTGTTAGGATCTCCAAGCACGAGCCCGGAAGATGGCGGGCGATTTATCAAAGCAGCGGGAGACAATCGTGAGCTGTCCATTTGACCTGTCGTCGAATGATCCTGAATTTCATGTAGACCAATTTGGAAAAGGAGAAGGCAGCGCTAGCATCTTCCGCATCCACTTCGACAGACGTGGAAGCGATTGTGGCTCAGCGCGTCGCAGCTGCTACCGCGCAATTGCAGTCGGAAAAGGATGCCGCCGTCGCGGCAGCTATCGCACCGTTACAGCAGCAGCTGAACAATCTGGCGAGCGCTCAACCAAATATCGCTCAGTTGCAACAACAAGCAGCTGAGATTCGATCACTGCAAGAGCAACTAGCAAAGCGACCAGAAGGCCTACCGCAAAACCCAGAGCTTGAGACAATTATTCAAACTCGAGTTGCCGAGCAGGTTGCTTCTATCCAAGAGGAACATAACAAAGCGCTCGCTCAGGCAACGGAGAATGGTCGACGAGAAGCGGACGCCAAGCTCAAGATGCTCAACATGCAATTCAATCGGGTCAAGACCGAGCTTGCTCAACTCAAAGGTACGGCTGCATCCAAGCCTGTAGCGGCCCCAGGCGGCAGTGCGCCTGCGACCACTAATGCCGCTCCGCCTTCAGCGGCTGTACCCTCCCCGGTTAAAGTTGAGCCTGCGGCGAGCCCTCTCGCGACTTTACCTGCTGTTCCGGTTGCCGCTGGATTGCCAGCCTCGCCAGTGGCGGCTCGTGGACGTGGTCGTGGTGCTGCAAACCCAAGAGGTGCACCAGCTACTCGAGCAAGAGGAGCTGCTCCGGCGGGTACGGGAAGAGGCACTGTACTCGACGCGGTTAATCAAGCCATTGCGGGTGGTGCACCTGCGTCGCCAAGTGGGCAGCTCAGCATACTCGGCGCATCTGGTCAAAAGCGTGCAAGAGATGAGGACGATTCAAACGACCCTGGTGCGTTGGCAAAGCGACTGAAGCCTGGCGAAGGCGGTCTACCAGCAAGACCAGCTGGTCGCGGAGGCGCACCTCCTGCTCGAAATCGACTGCCTGGTTCACCAGCTCCGGGACCATAACTCTTGCATCTTATGATCAGATTCTTGGACATTCCTGCATTGTCACTCTACTTTACACCCTGCATTCATGTACCTCGTTAGACAGCGCATATATACTCTCAAAAGCATTCCATTTTCGATCTGTCAATCTAGTACTACTACGCGTTAGTTCGTTTCTAGTAATTTGTGAGTGGTATTACAAAACCGAGTTACCAGTTACTCACCAATAAAGCCATGATGTCTTGAAGACTCTGGTTGGATTGTCCACCTGGTGGTGGCGGCCCGCCAGGTGGCACGGGATAGTTGTATCGCGCGGTGTCTGGAGGCAGTGGAAGATTCGGGGGACCACCACCACCAACGTACGGGGGTTGGTTTGCATTTGGGGGAGGTGGGTAACTGTAAGGTGCACTTGGGCCCGGAAGAGGTGATCCATATAGATTTGGTGGAGGACCGGCTGTGCTGTATCCTCCCTGAGGTGGGGGAGGATATGGGGTAGCTGCTGCCGCTTGGAACTGTTGAATAGCTGCTGCCGCTGCTTGTGCTTGCTGAGCCTGTGGGAGCTGAGCGGCTTGGGTCAAGAGAGCTGCGAGTTGAGCCATGCTGGGTGGGAGTGCCGGATTCGGTGGTGGCGGACCAGTGGCGTTTGGTGGTGGTGAATAGGGCATTGGGGGTTGAGATGGTGGAGGTCCACTGGCCGGGGGACCACCGCCACCTGTTTGCTTCAGAGCAGCGAGTAACTTATAGATGCATTGAGCAAAACTGCCGTGGTATGGTGATGACACCTTACCTCTTGGACTTTGCGTGCTTGATCCAACTTTTCGCGTTCAGGCTATTAACGAGGGCTCAGTGTCGTACCTGACTAGTAATAATAAATTGCTCACTCCTGAATCGCCGTTGCTCCTGGCTCGTGGTGGAGGAGAGCGTTCTGAAAATCTTGTTAGTGAGGTATGAGAAGAGTCGAGCATACCGACCACGCCATCTATCGACATTCCGAGGTGGAGACATGCGACCTCGATCTCGTCCATAGTGATCGTCGTCCCAATCACGGCTTCGACGATCGTCATAGTTTCCGCCACCTCCTCGTCCTCCTCTGCCACGTCCTCGCCCTCTGTTATGCATTCTCTCTAGCCGCGCACGCCTAGAACATGTTTAGGGTCTCCCTTGGCATAAAACCCGCACATACTCTTGCATAGCAGGCCCAGGAGGCATGTAATCTCCAAGAAATGCAAACTCAGTCTCCATTATTCCATCTTGGAGAGGTTGATGCCGCAATTTTCCATGTGCTTCATCCGCAGACTGTGAGTGGTGAGTAGTCAGGTAGCGCACAAACAGACTGCCATACCCTCGTGTCATAAAATTCTATCATCCGCGAGCTACGAAATAAGTCGTTAGACACATAAAAGTGATAAGGTCAACCTACTCTGGCCTGCCGTTGTTTGGCTGAATCGACTTGACATCTCCAAAGGTTTGGAGTTTGCGACGGAGTTCGACGTCGTCGATTGATTTGGAGGGTGAATCAATCAGTGTGACGATGATGATACCTTGATTCGGTTCGCTATTTCTCAATGAGATTTTGCTGGTGATACTAAAAGTTTTGACTGACTTTCTCTGATCCTCTCGCGGTAAACTGTAATGTACGTCGATCTGGAAAGCATTGAGAGCCATTCTGCTTTCATTTGAAAAGTCTTACTGGCCGACCTGCTAGTTCTGTTCCCTGAAGCCGATCTTTGGCTCTCTCCGCAGCGCGCATGTCGTACTGTTAACAGCCTGCTCAGCGTTGAATACAGAAACCATCAATTCGCTCACGTATGTGCAGAAAACCATGCCACGGTGACTGATGAGATCAAAGAACGTTTTAATTTCACCGAATTCCTCAAATTTGCGGCGGAACTCGGCACTGTCTGTCTCATACTAGAGAAAATACTTGTTAGGATACTGCTGAGGCAGCCTACGAGACGACGAATAGGTTCAGAGAATCAACTCACTTTAATGTTGCGAATAAATAGGGTGCGACACGGCCGTTCACGCTGAAGTCTTTCCTCAATTAACGGGTCGTGAGCCTTCTCTTCAAGTCTCTGGGGACGTCTTCGTTGTTCTACAAATTCGCGATTTACGATGAGTTCAATCGTCGTCGTGAGCCAAGGAGGAAAAGAGACATAGATCGATGCGCTGAACAGCTCATTTCACAGCGTGCTTCAGAGGATATGTTCGAGGAACTGTCCTTAGCGCCAAGGGGTCTTTGTGCATTGTTTTATGCGTGCTCGCTGTTTTTTTGCAAGACGCAAGGCTTTCGGGGGAGAACTACATACCTAGATCATGTTCAGGGGGATAATAATCGTCTCGCTGGCTTCCTCGATAGTCATAAGGATCGTCTCCATACTGACTGTCGCCTCCAGTCCCATGATACGGTGGCTCATAACCATACGATCCAGGGGGAGGACCTCCCACTCCTCGCCCTCGTCCTCGAAATCCTCTATCTGGCATCCTCCCGCGATCAGGCCCAGGCCCCGTCGGTGAATCCCCTCTGCGACCTGGCGGTGGGCCGTAGCCAGCGTACGGATGTTGTCGGTGCATATTCCTCAAGATTTAGACTCCTTTCCTCGTCTTGAATGTCTTCAAAAATTCTGTTTGATTTTGGGACGTGCGCGCGGATACTCGTGAAAAATTCTCTGTAGGGGTTGCGTCCAACTTGTCGTCAACCATGAGCGGCCGACTTTGCTCTCGTGGTCTACAACGCTCGTTTGCAACTTCTACTCGAGTTCTAAACTCGCCAACTTCTCAGTCGTTGGCCGCCAAAGTCGCCCCGATAGAGCCAATCGCTCCAGCACCACCGCCGCGACGAGTAGGAGGCGTTCGAGGAGGGTACAATACTATTTCCAGGTTTATATACATAATATAGCTGACCTCGACTCGTCAGTATATTTGGCTTTCTTTTCGGCTTCTCGCTAGCCTCGGCTTATGCGAGTTATGCCCTCCTGGACGAGTATAGGCTGGCTTCTGCGGTCTTACAATCTAGTATTCATGTATGCCGCTTATTTTTCTCTGTTGTATACCTCTAAACCCTTCCAGGAGCTGCAAACAAGCACTCAAAAGGCATTTCGACCTCGGGCATTCCGTCCAGCGTGCTGACCACTAGCCAGGTTTCTGCGCACGTTCGACGTATAGAGACTGTAGAAAAGGAGCTCAAAGCATTGACCGAGAGGACAGCGGAGAAGAATGATGTCTCGAAATTGAGGGCCGAAATGAAGCAGCTGTATGATGGTCTTCATATCGGTATGTCCCTCGAAGGACGTGTTCGAGATACTTACACTTTCCCCAGAGTTTCTCGACCTTCGAGCACACGTCTGGGGCCTTCGTGAGTATCATTTTAGCTCCTCGACTTTCGCTTGACCCTTTGTAGAGCAAGACCTTCAAAAACTGACCAAGGAGAAAGATACAGTCAATGTATCATCTTCAACATCAACATAGATTGGAGACTATCCCAGCCGTACACTCTTGACCACTTTGGAGCTAATACCACTGGTTTCACCCTCATATCTCCCTCCAGTATTGGCCAATCCACCCTTAAAGATGGCCTTTTGAGACTTGAGCTTCTTCTTTGCCTCGTCATACTTCATACGTTTCTTAACGCGAGGATTGCGCACGCTCTTCGACCTTGTTGGCGTGAGACCTTTGTTCTTAAGGATGGCGCGGGTCAAGGATCGTGGTCCATCCGCAGCCGAGTCAAGATCTCCCTCTCGCAAAGCCCTAGAGAATCTCAGTACGATGCGGACCCCACTATTAGCCTACACACCTCTCGGCAGCCCTTTCAGCCTCATAATGAGCCTTGGATTCTTCTTTCTTCTCCTTTTTCTGTCGCTTTACGAGATCGTAGTAGCCATCCACGTCCGCATGACTAGTATCGCCATCATTGTCCTCTCGAGATCGCTTCTTGCCAACTCTGGGCTCATCCTCCGCATCCTCCAAATCCTCGCCACTTTGGCCAAGTTTCTTGACTTTGGCTGCATTCTCTCTCTGCAAACGCAACTCTCGTTCCTTTTCTCGTTCGCGGTAAGGAATGTCATCGTCACCACCCATCGCCGCGCCACGGGCCTTGGCACGTCTCGCAGATGAGCTTTCAATCTTCGAGGTGTGAAACTGAAGCGACTTTTTGCGTGCTGATTTATCGAGTGCGTCCACGTTATCCAAAGAGGTCTGTTCGCCATAGGCTGTAATATTAGTGGAAACCATAGCCTTTGCTGATGGCCTCTTTTCGATGCGGAGACGAATTCCGGTTCTTGGAGATCAAATACTGGCTGAGTTTCCTTTTGCTTCTTTGCCTTTTTCGCCTCTTTGTCTTTGGACCTTTTCTTCTTCTCCTTTTTGGCTGGAGGAGAGATCAGGTCTTCTTCATTGTCGTCCTGACTTGCAGCGGTAGCCTTTTCGTTCATTTGTCGAGCTTCCTGTACCAAAGCCAGGAATTCGTCCTCGTCCATCTCCGCCAGGCTCTGATTCCCCCACAAGTCTTGCATATCGTCCTCATAATCCTCGGAGTCAAACTCATCTTCCCCCCCAGTTGAATCGGGACCGAAGTCTAGTTTCTCGAGAGACGACATTGCTTGCTTCAGCGTGAGGAGCCGTGACAATATTGGATGGTCTTGCAAAAGACTGGGATTGCTCGCATACTTGCGGTCCGCACGCATATGTAGATAAAATGCAAGTGTTGTAGCGTATGTGAGCAAGGTCTCTAGAGAGGTTTTCAGCCCCACGAGCCACATGGAGGAGCTTGGACACACGATGATAGAGTTGAAGCATGCCGGCAGCGGGACTTGCAGACGCTTCCGCGTCCTGTCTAATAGGTATTAGTCTGTAGTTCGGATTGTGGAGCAAGCAACCTACTCTTTGATTGCTTGTTGAGACCGCGCCAAATCGAAGACGACATCCTCCCATTCACGCGCAAGAGCCAATGTTTCTGGACTTGTCTTCTCGAGATGCCGAACAAGCGCGGCGGGTTCTTGAGGAAGAACCGTGGCAACGGACGGCGCGTCTGGACTGAGAAGGGTGGGTTTCGTTGACTTAGGAAGGGTATGTAGCTCTTACATTGCCGGTGAAACAAGGGTGCGTGGTGCATCCAATAGCCCAAAGTCTCCTTCATCCAATCCAGAGCGAGTCTCAGCCTGTAGCCTCAAGACTTCGGCCTCTTCCAATTTCTGGGCCTCTTCGTCGTCCGAGTCAATGTCCTTCGCGTTTGTAGAGTAGTATGCGCTCTTCTTTCGTCCCCAGGATTCTTGTATTTCTTCGGATTGGTCAGAAGATGATGGTGTTGGACTGGTCCTGGCGTTCGACTTCTTTTTGCTCTCTTTCGTCGCCTTTTTCAATTTTGATGGCACCTTGTCCTCTATTTCACCTTCGTCTGTCTCGTCTGGACCTTCTTCAAACTCTTGTTCAGAGTCTTGGTCCTGTGGCAGGCCCTTGAGACTAAAGACTTCGTTTCCGAGGTCGTCGTCTGAGATATCGTTTTCTTCACCCTCTAATAGAATTTTATCGCGGTTTTCATGGACTAGCGTGGATGTCAGCCGTCTGAATTAGCGACTGGTGAAACACTTGCAAGCGTCTTGCTCGTCGAGTTCAATGTCCTCGCGCCGCTTCCATTTGTTTATAGAGCCTGCTCTAACATTGCTCCTTGGTTTTCCTTGATTTCTGGCATTTTTTAGGGCGTTGCGGCGCTTGGTTCGCATGGGATCGAGTCCAAATAGAGACATCCCTTTTGGACTCTCCCATCTCCTCGTCGTGCTGCCCAGCGCCGACACTAAGCTCTCCAACGGCCCACAACTGGGAAACTGGCGCCTTGAACTGGCATTTCACTCGCTTTCACCTACGATTACGAGCCTCCGCCCTCGCTCCGACCTTCCATCTCGCCCTCTTACCCACGCAGATCCCTCGATAATTCCCCAATAAACAATGTCAAACCAACAACGCAGAGATCCTCCACTTGCTGGTCGCCCTCCCTTTGCGACTGACGAGGACGATAGTGTATACAACAATCCGCCAGCTGCTCAGCCCAGGGTGCGTCAACCGCAGCCACCCCAGAATGCTCGCAGCGACTCTATGTATCAAGCGTATGTAATTTTCAGACTCGTGGTTGTTCACTTCGTTGACACGGCCCCGTTAACAGTTGGGACAACTACCTTCACACCGACAAGGACAGCCGGCCAAACTCGGGTGCGGGAGGTATTGGAATGGGCTTGATGAATGGAGGATTGGATGATTCCGACGACGAAGACGCTCCACCCGCACGCGCTCAACCCAGGGCCAATGCACCGGCCAAGTCGAGCAATCTCAATCCTGGGTCGCAGCGACCTAACAATGGAGACGCGCCTAGGGGCATACTGCAAACACAACCCCTAGCACGACCGGCTCCTGCGGCCGCGCCTGGAGCGGCCACTCGCCAAGGTTCCTACGACCGGCCACAGTATCCTCAAAACGGCCAACAGCAACAGGGTGCAGGCGGGTCCCAGCGCACCGGTGTACAGCGCCCGGCCGCCGCCCAACTCCGAGTTGACGTCCCGCCGCCTGGGATGCCACGCGCACCAATGCCTGCATTCATGCACTCGCCTTCCCCGTCGCCATCACTAAATCCGCATCCCCTGAACGCGCCATCAACGCCCATCACGCCGGTGTTCGCGCGGCCCAGTTTCCAAGAACCGGAACGCAAGGTCGAGTTCGCCAAAGATGCGATTATGCGTGGTAACTCTGAGGAAACACTGCTCCCAAGAAACACACCAAAGGGTGAAGAGTTCTGGCGCAGGTTCAGCGTCGTCGCCAAGGAAGACCCGAAACGAAAGAAGAGGTGGGTGATCCCTGGTTGTTTTCCGTCATATTATTAAACTGAATGGTTTTATTTCTAGCAAATGGCTATCGTCTACCATGGGAAACAGTCGGAGCATGACACGCTGGATTTGGTGCATTTCCATTTTCTTGCTCTTGGCCATTGGCGCTGGTATCGGTTTCGGGTGGTACTTCACACACAACAATGCACCGTCGCTCCCTGTTGCCATTGGAGGGTCTGCCAACGAGTCGCAAATCTCGACTGCTCCGCACACGACCGCGGCGGCGGCTGCGGGCGGCACGTCTCGCACGCTCATTGCTCCACTTGCAGTTGAGACGAAGCGATCACTCCATGCGCGAAGAGATCATTCAGACTTATTCCCAACCGAGTCTGCGAAATTTGCCTTACCCACGGAACGCGCGGAACATTTTGCTCAGCACCGCTACCACCGACGATCACTAGAGAGACTTAATTAAGGCTCTTGGCGCAATCGTCATTCTTTCATCCTCTCACTGGCAACGGACAACTTCCTCTATGGTTGTCCGTCGATATCGTCGGCAGCAAAATACTATCACAAGCTTGGGCAGCAAATACTCTCTACCTTATCCATACTATTTGAAAGATAACGAAGATGTTTTGACGTCTTATCCGTTCATTTCCCCTTATTATTTAGACCTACCTACATCTCACCTTCCACCTCCCCGTCCGTTCATTCACTCTCTCAAAGGATTTTAGGTTATTGCATTGGATCATTGCAGTCTACCTCGGTAGTTGGGTTTGTGGACAACTTGTAGTGAATATATCGGAGATTGATTTATACGTAACCGATTATGGCACGTTTCTTGTAAGCTGACCGTGGCGAAAAAGGATATATGACGCCCTCAATGAGACTTGTCAGTCAATTTCGAGGACTGTCGTCTCGGCTACCCCAGCCGACGACAACGGCGGAGGTGCTGGTTGTGGAGCTGCATCCATTGACATTCTGACAACGGTTCCGTTGCACGTTTGCCCATCAAAGAAGAAAAAGTTTGCCATTGGCGGCTCGCGTGCGGCTAATGCTTTGAGAATGTCTTGTCCAAGCATCCCGCCCACCACGGCACAGCTGGGGGACCATTCTAGCGCAGCCCTGGTTGACAAATATCTAGCGAGAGGGTGTCAGTTCTCGTGTAATAAGATTTGTCGCGCAGAGTGACGCACTCTATCATTTCCCGTGGTACCGACGTGCAAACCTTTTGTCGTACCTGGCCCTTGCGGAGGAGTCGGTTTGCTATAGACTCGAGATCGTTTGCAGCGCTCTCGGAAGATGGCGGCTTGCCATGTTGGGTTTGGTATTCCCAACAAGCTACTAGTGATGAGTGGTGGCGCTCTCCTCTACAAAGAATACGCACCAAGAATGGAGAAGACAGTCGTTGGTCGAAGAACCTTGGTCGCGTTACTTGTGGTATCCTTCCATGAATGCTGCAGGGCTCGAGAAAGTGGTGGATAGGACGTCTTGAACTGTTCAAGCCGAGAGGTGGCGCCTTCCTTAGCTATTGATCGGGGACTATCACAGGAAAAGGTGAATGTGTCACGAGTCTAGATTCTGAGTACGTACGCCGCAACATGCTGATGCTCGCCCAGATCGCAAAACACATAGCCAGATAGCCCAAAAGAGCCGCCACAGTAGAATTTTTACCTAGCTTTCTGGATACTTCGTTGACGCGTATCTAATAGCAGGTGTCACAGCAACCCTGGCTTTGTGTAGCGACATACCGCCGTTGCCTGATCTGTATCCGTCAAGCACACCAAATCGACTTCACGAAGTAGCTCTGTCAGAGTGTCTTCATTTGTAAGAATTGAGAGATCATGCGAGACCTCGACGGCCACGAGTGGGTTGAGAGACTGTATATGCGGTTTGGCGGCATCGACGCGTTTCTTCGCGTTTATGTCCTCGTCACGGAAGAAGAAACCGGCGTTGAGATCCTCGGGCTGAACTATTGCATCGTCTATAACAATGAGTTTGCCAATCCCAGCGAGTACGATATTCTTGATAGTCTCTGTCGCAACACCCCGTAGGCGAACAACTAGCACGGTAGCGTTTCGCATCCTGGTAGAATAAATTAGTTGCTTCTTTGCTTTTTGAGCAGCAAAGGTGCACACTTTTGCTGGGCCTCCAGTCCCCACAGGCGTATTTGACGATCATAGAGTGCTGCTTCATCTATGAATAGTTATAATTCAAACATTAAATTCGTCCAATCCGCGACTTGCCCTCTGTGATTGCAGTGGTCATGAGCAAAGACTTGAACTTTGACTTCGACTCTGTTGCCCTGCAGCTTCAAATATCCTAATGGGCGCTGCTTCGTCCTCTTTGGACACAAATAGTCCGTCTCCACCTGCAAAGGCGCTCCATGTGCTTCGTGTTGCACCAGACTCGCCAGCAGACTATGTGATTGAGCCGTTCTTTGATTTCGTGGTCGGCATTGACAATGGCAATCTATCATCTGTACGTTGAAAGGTCAAATTCACGCTTATATCAGACCAATACTATGCAGAACATCGATGCGGCCACTCTAGGCAAACTCGTGGAACAACATGAGGGCAAGGAGTTGCCATTGGTCATATGGAGTGCCAAGTATAGACAATTTCGAGGTATCCCTCCACTATTCTACTTTCTTATGGCCGTGCTAAGACGAGACGAATAGTTGTACCAGTTACTCCATCGCGTTCCTGGACAAAAGACGCACCTTCTCTCCTTGGTCTCAGCATGAGGTTATGTACACCAGAGTATGCTCTGGAAAATGTCTGGCACATTCTCGAAGTTCTCGAGAATTCGCCTGCTGAAAGCGCAGGGCTTGTGCCGTACGGAGACTGGATCATCGGTTGGAGTGGTGGTGCATTGTCAGGAGAAAATGCTTTCTACGAGCTTGTAGAAGCGCATATTGACAAGCCGCTGCGAGCAACCGTCTATTCGTACGACTTTGAGTACGTGGCATATTCCGAACCAGCAGTCAACCTCATGACCTTTCAGTACCATACGAGAGGTAGTATTGGTTCCAAATCGCAAGTGGGGAGGCGAGGGCTTGCTTGGCTGTGGGGTCGGTTACGGACTTCTACATCGGATACCTCCCCAGCCAGTCAACTCGGAAGCAATGGACACGATCCTCAAGCAGAATATACCCTACGACGAACAAGATCCATTCGACGAGAAGCGACCGCATGCCAACGAGTCAACGACTCTCTTCATACCCGCGGACGACGACAACTTTGAATTTGGAGGCGTGTCGGGTCAACCAAAGGGATTTGACGAGGATACACACCCTTCGGCATCGTCGGAGAACTTTGATGAGACACCGGTTGCCCATTGGCATGCGGTAAACGACCCACCGAAACGATCAGACGAGACACACCGCGGGCATACTGGGGGATCACACTCTTATGGAGACCATCATGGGCATTCGCACGATCACGGACAACACTCCCATAGCCACGACCACTCGCACTCTCATTCTCCTTCACCACAGCCTCCAACGAAAGCGAAACCACGGGCTCCAATGGACCGGAGAAGTGACAGTATATCCAGCCTAAAGTCGGAATCAACTTCGGCGACCACACCACCACCACGTGCGTCGACACCTACCCAATCCGGCATTCCATTGAGCCACTCTCTACGAAACAGCCTCAACGGTAGTTTCAATGGTATCGCAAAACCTGAACCATTAAGAAAACTGGGCTCTCCACCAGCCTCTGCGACATCGCCACGAGCTCGAATGCGAGGTGGAATTGTTCACTCTCCTGCCAACTCTGGACGTGGTACACCGACACGAGTGAAATCGCCAGAGGCTTCGGCACCACCAGGGATTCACACTGGTACAAGGCATGACGATGACGACGAAGGGAGCGATAGTACGAGCAGGGTACCAGGAAGTCCTGGTGGGAGCATCACCAGTGTGGATTAAGTTACTTTATGTACATTTCGTGTTCTCATTCTACGCCCTTTTTGGTCTTTTTGAGCTTCCTGTGTCCCTCGCTTGGTGCACCGGCCTGCTCTTCGGACTCTGGCTGGTCTTGAGGATATATGGCATCAAGTGTGTCAGATTCTGGCCACTGGAGTCTTCCTGTTTCCTTCCGTTGGGCGAGTAACTGTTCGTAGTCGGCTCTGTTGAACACTCTCCCACCTCCGCGAACTTGGGCGACAAGCTCATTGATGAAGAGTCTCTCGTGCTCATTTCTAATGCAGTTGATCCACCAGCGGTCCATACTGTTCCTCAAATGTTGGGCGTTGAGCTTGTTCTGGTCCGACTGCTCACAGAGGACGTGGAGAAGGAACCCGGCATTCATATGCTCCATGCCTAGCTCCGATAAGCATTTAAGAATTCTAGAAATGCGTAGATAGTTATGTGGTGATCCTTTATAGTATATTAGCCTGCTTCTATGGCTTGCGGGTCGCCACTCACTGACGAGATTCCTGTAACGAGATCGATATCCGTCATGTGATACGATTCCACTCAGATACTGAGACTCTTGGAGTGAGCGGCTGAGAAGCCCAGTCTCCTCATCGAGGAGTTCCATTCCATAGAACGAGAGCATGAGCCTGTACGAGCGGACGAGTCGCTGCATGACGACTTCGTCACCCTTCATTGCCTCTATTTCGTGTTTTTGTAGCGGCTGCGAGTCGTAATTCATACCGAACTCGCGAATCGGAAATCTGCGAAGCCGTGAGTGCAGTGGTGGCAAACCGGTGGATAAGGCCTTACAGCCATTGTATGAAGCCATGCTCGTATTCTAACGTTTCGAAGTCATCTTGCCAATTCCGCAAGAGCTCCTCAATGAGCATATTATCTGGTTGGCAGCGCCTAACATTTCTATAAAACTCGAGGTTGCGCTGCTTGCGTGTCTGATCGGAGACACCAGGATATTCCAGCAAGAATTCTTGAACATCCCGCGGTATCGACATTGAAGAGATGGTGGATTGCATTCGTGCGGGCACTTGCCTTAGGCGGCCAATGAGGTAGGGTCCAAGTCTCATCCAGCTTCCGATAACCAAACGGCAGCAATACATCGGAAGTAAAAACACATCAAGATACACGAGGATTATATTTCCAAACTGATATCGCCACTCCAGCTCCGCGCCTCGTAGGCTCGCAAAAACTCCAAGCCTTTCCGCGTCTCCTCCGAGGTGAGAACTTCCAACGAGGGTTGAAGCACCTGGTTAGAGCTGATCACGATACAGAGGTTCTTGGCTCGACTAATGCCAACGTTGAGCCTCCGACGTGAAAGCAAGAACCCCAGATGGCTACTCAGGGATGGCTGATGGGTGTGGGAAAGCGGGAAGATGACGAATGATGCCTCGGAGCCTTGCAACCGTTCGACTGTATCGATGCGGAGACCATTCTCTGAGAGGTGGAAGGCTGCAAGTTCGGCGGCAAGATTGTCGACATTTTCATCACCTGCTACGCGCTCTGCTGTTTCAATTTCTTGAGGAGATAGAATGGCTTGCCGCGCTGCACTGCGCTGGATGCGATGTGGGCAAGCTACGAAGATGCTATCCTCGGGGAAAGCCTCTCTGAGCCAGTGAACGAGAGCGGCGACCAGTTTGGCTTCGGCTGATACATGCTCCTCATAGGGTGACAAGGAGCCCTTTGTCACGCGAACGCGAATGAGCGCGAGCGACACTGCTTGACTCTGGGCTTGTTTTTCAAGCCCTGAGCTCGTGGGTAGTTGTGGTCGCATTAGTTTGAAACTATGACTCTTCTTATTTGACATTGCTTCTGTCAGTCCCAATAGAAAGAGGCGAGCATCCTCCATGATTCGATTGGTCGACTTGTTCGACTCGAGCCAGAGTCGTAAGTCTCCGAGGTCGTCTTGGGATTTCTGAGGAATAAACTTCTTGGCATATATAATCTGGACAAACGTTCCGAGGTCCTCGTTGAGGCTGCGGCTCGATTAGAAGGAATGCCGTGATGAAAGGGATGTCGTACCGGAAGTTCTCCAGCAATTGCACAACCGGGGCGTCATACAAGTGTTGGCTCTCATCTTCTGTAGCTGCAATAGCTAATCCCGTACGCTTGCGTCCACCCATCAACAGGTCCAACACAGATCCAAACAAAGGAAGATCCTCAGGTTCAGGATACGTGCCGATGAAGATTGGAGCAAGCTGTTCATGATCCCCTGCGAGAATAAGCTTCCCTGTGGAAGAAAGCCATCGAATCACCAAAGCGGCGGTCTCCAAAGGGAGCTGACCTGCCTCGTCAATGATAACCACATTTGCTCGGAGTTTGGCTTTCTCGCAGAAGCGATATAACTGGTATGTTGTTCCAGCGAATATGTACACCTTGTTGTTGTCGAGGACTGGATGTGGGTGCGTTTTACCTTGTCGAACACGCTGAAGATCCACCGAGTTAAGCCATAAAGAGTCGCGGTCTTTGATGGCAAGATACTTTCCGATTAAGCTTTCAATTTTACCAACGATAGCTTCGATAGCTGCATGCGTCATTGCGGTGACGAGAATGACGGGACATTGATCAGGAGCTCGCCGTCCAAGAACTTCAAGTATTCTCAAAGTGGATAGGGCAAGGGTATATGTCTTGCCAGTGCCTACATACTGTCAGTCAACGTGGCGCACGACCATGCAGACACTCGCCTGGAGGCCCCCAAACGACACTTAGACGCTTCATCATCATCCTCTTCGCCGCTCGGTGCTGAGAAGCTTTGAGAATGAGGGAGGAGGCGTGTTCGACTCCGAGTTTAGCCAGTTCGTTCAATCCTCTTACAATTTCCTTCTCTTTGCGCTCCTCCAGCTCCCCACAGAAGGTGGGTGATTGTGCAAACGCCTCAGGATTGTCGATGAGGTCAATGAATGGGACGGGATTATTTGCCACAGTGTGCTGAAAATCCATCGTGATCAGATTGAGCAAGATTTTCTCGAAATTAAAATTGACGAGGCGAGGTGAGATACGATAGAGTGCTCCTTTAGTAAGATGATTGCCCGTATAGTATGTTTCAAGTACTGCTTGTGAGCACAATTTGTGCGAGCGTCCATCTTCTGTCGGCGTCTTTTCCATTCGGACATCCACTATATTTGATATGGTGATGCTTTGCTTGACGACTGGTTGCTGTTCGTCCCATCGTGACCGAACGAATTTATTGGGACGTACTACGACGCTACACACTGCGCTGTTTAGTCAATACGTGAGTATATATAGCGGAGTTAAGGTCGTACGGCTAAGGTCGTCAAAGTGAACTTCGGGTGGAACACCATCACCAGCATCGTCAGGGACGAGCAACCAATCGTAAAAAGGTCGTTCCTCCACCGGAGCCTCAAGCACTCCAGAGACGACATCAAAGATTTGGAGCCATGACGTGCCTCGTTTTTCTGCACGCACGTAGCGGAGTATAGGGGCATTGGGACATCCATCCAAACGTTCTTGCCATATTTCTTGAAGGCGAAGGACCACCTCGAACTGTCGGACAAAGTGTGACAAGAGACGCTTCACGAAACCAGATCAGACACACCTGGGTCATGTACATGAGCCTTCGTAGCTTATCCGATTCGCAGAGATCGAGCATCCCAGACTCAATAGGCTTTGCTTCGTTGAGGAGGATCTGCTCACTCAACCCCGCATCCGATATTCGCTTGCGCACATTGTCTAGCACAGCTCGCATTACCCGGTTCCGCGTCTTGAGCGCATCTTCCCATTTGATAACAGGCTTTTCGTCTCCAGAGATTCCAGGAAAGCGTTTCTTGCCCCTGGCCATCCATGCGCCAAAGATGACATCGTCAGGCTCGCATTGTCCAATCGAGCTCTTCCTTCTGTCAGATGGGTCGAGCAGTACCTGCGCAGTGCTAGGTAAATCAATAAATCCTTCCACAGGGAGAGCAATCAGTCGCTCTACTTCTTTCTTGAGTACCACAATCTTGCTCAGCTGTCCAACCTCTCGTCTCGCCACGCCTGCGCCTATTCCCCTTCCACCAATTTCTGCCAGGCGCCACTGTTCCTGTTCGAGCCGCTTGCGAAGAACCTCAGTGGTGCCTTCACCGCTCAACCCGAGTCGTCGACAGCATGTTTCCAGATGGGCTTTTGATAATGTATTCTTCTTGGACAAAAATGAAAGCAAAACGCCCGACAGGAGCTGTGGTTGATACGCAGTCACAAGAAGTGCAGCGCCATCACAGAGCGCGCCAAGAACGAGTCTTATATCTCCTGGACTCTCTTCGAAACTCCCTTGGCTCGTCCCTTCTGTAGCCAGGCTCTCTCCAGGTATATAAGGAGGCGAAGAGAGTGCCGCATGAATAAGATGGTTGACGATTGCATTCCTCTCAGCCAGAGAGTAGGTGTACACCTGGGTCCTTGCGCCAGGCGTCTTTCCTATGTCAACCAGAAGAGATGCAACCAAGCGAATGAATTCTTTTGGGTGGCCTGTGACATGGGCCATTACCATTGGTGCCCCTGCTGACTTTCTGCGACCAGTACCGTGATCGGCCGTAGAAAGACGAACCACGGACACGCAGAATGCCCCTATATTTCCATCACTTGCGTTTGGATCTTTCGAGATATCGATGATGACCGAAATGAATATAGCGACGTCCTCGTTTCGGGGAAAGGAAAACACACGTCGTCGAGTCAGCTATCCGTTTGTCAGATAAAGCTACGAATGGATCAGATCGTTCACACCTGGGGCTTTTGTGTCAATGCTGCGTCAATGAGCGGGCTGAAAAGCTCAGGTCCCCGGCCGGAGAATCTGTGAACGCCCGCAATCCGCTTGAATTTTTTCGTAGTGGGCGCATATGCCACTTCCAGCTTCCTCATCATATCAGGCGACTTGATCAGTGAATCCAGAGCCTCAATGTCTGTCACTGCGTTCCAGTCTGGATTCTGTCTCTGCACAATATCCATAACCTCGCGCAGTAGGCGAGCATCCGACCCAGACAGGTTCGGAATCATACCAAGCCGTTTTTCTTGTCTTGTCTTATCTCGACAGGCATCGAGAAACTCGCAACCCTGGCAAGACGGGTTGAGGTACCATTCCACTTGGTCGCGGGGTTTCGAGAGAATGATAGGGAGCTTTTTGAAGAGAAAGGTACTAAGTGGTTGAAGTAAAAGGGACGTTGGCATGGAAGAGGGGAGTGATACTCTGTCTTCTATACCTGCTTCATCGGTCTCCCGGCTGGGCAGCCATATAGACACCTTGTCAGAAGGAACAAGCTTCTTACCACTTAAATGGGGCAAATCTTCAAACATCGACCGGAGACAGAGGTGGTAGAACCCAGTCTGCGCATTGTGGCTCGACTTGACGGCCGTAGAGGACTTTGCGTCGATGATTTCCCACACTATAGTATCTTTCTGGTCTCCAAGTGAGACTTTGACGAGGTCTGGTTTGGCAACTCCAAACGCCACACTCCGAGGTGGAGAGCCGTGCTGCGCGAGTTCTCTCGCAAAATCGGGGGACTGAAACGAGAGATAGGCAATATATCGCACGTCTTCCTCCTCTTCATCGCTCGTACGAGGGCGAAGTTGTGCAGCAGCGTCAAGCAACGCATCCCGAATCTCTTTGGGCTTGTAGAGATGGGTCTTTCGGAGTGGAATAAACTGCTTGCGCCGCTGGAGCTCTCGGAAGAGGTACGCCTCCCATTGTAATCCGCGTTTATAGTGCGCGGCCGCGAGCGGGGAGACTGCCTGCGCTCGAGGCGAAGAGCTGGGAGGTCGGTGATAGGATTTGTGAAGATAAAGGTCGCATTGGTTGTGATAAAAAGTCGCAACGTTGGTGGGTGACAGATGACTGCTCATTGTGCAGGAGACAAGCCCTTGCAAAGCGTCATCGTCACTGGAGACTGTCCAAAAACAAGGTGGCGATGAGAAAGTATCGAAAATTCCCAGTGGGTTTAGTCGACAACTTTTGTGTGCTAAAGGGTCGAATCCAAGTCACACCAGCTCAGGTTCGTTTTCTCAGAATAGACTGTCGGTAACAGGTTTACTATCACAAGTAATCCTTGATAGCGATACAAAGAGTTACGAAGGGAGAGTAAAACTAAATGGACGCAAAGGTCGCAGCATATGCGCGTGCGTCAAAAAGGCGGGTGCGGAAAGAAGGCTGCTCTCTGGTCTAAAAGAGGTCGAAGTTGATACCAAAGTTAAAGGAATGAAAGAAGTCGTCCGTGCGCAAGTGTGAAGCAAAGTTGAAAAGGAACTTGGAAAGTGGGCTTTTTGAAGTGTCCGAGAATGATTCAACAGAGAACAGAGTCCAGTAACGATTGGGCAGGGTATGAGCAGGGGGCGCAGATGCAGATGCAGTCGTGTGTATGTGTACGCAAAAGTCGTCGTCGTGATGCCGTGCATGCATGTGCGAGGTGGGTATCGTCGTGGAGGCGGATGCAATATAAACTAATACCGAGCGAAAAAAAGGTTCGGTTGTTTAGATCAACAACCATCCGGCGACACCAACAACGGCAGCAATCCAGATTCCGGCGCCCTGCTTGCCAGAGAGCGCGCTGTTCGACTCGGCGTTGACTGGCGTAAGGCTGCCAGTCGCCGAGGAAGCTGGTCGCGACGTAGCGGTAGCCTCACCACCAAGAGTGGTCGAGGTGGGTACAGTAAGTGCAGCGTTGGAGAGGAGCACGTTAAAGTCGGCTGGGATAGCAATGGGCGAGTTGTCGGGTGTCTGAGCACCGTTGCTCTCCATCATGCCCGGGTTAGCAGCAAACGACGCCTGGGTGAAGAGCACGTTGGCGGCGACGTCGGGATAGCTCGACTCGGGAATACCCTCGAGCGACATGCTCATTCCCCACTGCGACGCAGCCATGCCACCGGTCATGTTGCGGGTAAGATAGCGGTAGGCAGCCTCCATCGATGGGTTCGACTGAACCATCTGGGACATCATCTCGCCGACGGTCATCGAACCAGACGCAGAGCCAGAGGAAGTGGCGGGGTTGATCATGCCAAACATGCCGCTTTCGCAATGCTGAGCGACGCTGCAGTAGAAGAATTGCGGCTGATCAGTCTCGACCTTGACGTCAAACGTCTGTGGGCCCGATTCTGCGTTGCGGACGCCAGAGACAAAGTTGCGTTGCTCGGCGATACCAGATCTGTTGCAGATGGCGAGTGCGGACGAGAGAGTTGCAGTGTGGTTCTTTGGCGTCGTCCAGACGTAGCGGATGGTGTCACCAACCGATGCATTGACGGCAAACGGAACGTAGCGGAGGCCGGCACCATCGGGAGCGACCATGATGGTGTGAACCGAACCAGACACATTCTCGGTTGCAGAGGCGGAAGGTGGCATGTGCATGGTCATCGTGCTTGGCGGAGCTCCGAATTGAGCCATGCATTCTATGAAACATTAGCGTCAATCTTGACCAATCATCGTAAAAACGCACGAGAAACGCAGTCGTTGTAGTTGTTGCCCCACTGGCTGGATCCAGAGCCATACGTCGGCATGGCATACTCGGCGCTGGTGGACGACTGTTCCGTGGCCAAGACAGACGTCTCGTGCGCCATAGCGCTCGTCGTGGTCTCATGGGCCATGACAGATGATTGTTCCATCTGCATGACGCTCGATTCGTGGCCGATGGCGGTCGTGGTCTCGTGCGCCATTGCGGCCGAGGTCGTGGTCTGGTGCTGCTGCTGCTGCTGCTGTTGCTGCTGATAGTTGTTATTGTACTGGTTTCGCTGCGGCTGCTCATATTGGTTGTTCTGCTGGTACTGGTTGTTCTGTTGGTACTGGTTGTTTTGTTGATACTGGTTGTTCTGTTGGTACTGATTATTCTGTTGATTATACGAATTGTTCTCGGGAAGGTTCGAGTCTTGGTTCGTTCTTCGCATGGGCACTAGAAGATGATCAATACCCACGAGCCTTAATGAACCAAAACCACCCAAACGTACCGGCAGCACCAAATGCAGACTGAGCAAGGAGCGCGGCAGCCCCAACAAGTGTGACGAAGCGGACCATGGTTGAAAAGACTGTGAGTGTGATTTGAAAGGGAAAAGCCCAGAAAAGTTGATGAAATTCCTCGCAGAGGGTAGTGTGCGACGGGGATCTCTCTCAAAGAGGATTTGATATCTAGACAAGACTCGTGTGAGCGTCTGTTGTGTTGTTGAAGGTGATGGAGCAACGTACCAAAGTGGCAGAGGGATCGACCCAAGGACAGACTGAGAGCGGGGAAAAGAGAGATGAAAGGAGGGAAGAGAAAAAGAAACGAATGGCAGGAAAAAGAAAAGGGAGGCAGGAAAGAGAGTTGGTTGTTTGGGTCCGTCCGTCCAGGACATCTTATACGCGTCGGCAACGGAGCCCCCGTCGCGAGGGACGGTCCGTCGCCTGGTCGCCAACGTCGGCGATGGAGGGCTGCCATGCTAACTTACTGAGTAGGGGACGTTGCTCGCCGACCTTGGTGATTTCCTCTTGCCTGGAGAACAAACCCAGAAGCTACTTTTCTACACGCCTGAAAACGGACAACATAACGCCCGATTTCCAGGTCTATCGAAATCAACGCTTTCCATACAAGCAAACAGAAAAGTGCACCAATCTGGCCATATGCCCCGTTTAGCCACGCGCTAACAGAGCACTGCCAACGCCTACCACCAAACCCCCCACCGCTCCGCGCGGTGTTCTAGAGTATAAACTGTAGTGATATCCAGCCACTAGTACACATGTATCAAAAACTGCACAAAATCCAGAAACTATAACCGCCACTTGTGCAACGCCTGCACGATCCGAGCCGTGTCTTCACGGACCTGTTTCTTCGCACTTTCTGTCAGATCTGGTATCCGATCCAACGACCCTGGGCTAGCCATCAACGGGTCAAATTGCACAGTCTGTCCTTTGCTCGTCGAGATGGTAATCAGCGTTCCTGTAGAGGACACGGCTGTCGACGCGCTCGAGGAACCCATCGAGACTGTAGACGGATCTCGTCGGACCAAAAACGCCGGCCCTACTCCGGTCGACTTGGCGTGTGAGTCGTGCTCGCTCTCTTCGCCTTCATCCACAATAGGAGCCACTCCACGCGGAAACATGAATGCAGATGGGAATTTCAGTGGGGTCCCGTTGAGGCTCATGACCGCTTCATCCGCACGCGCGACTCGTCGTGGGTAGGTGGGTGTTTTGGGAGGCAGCACAGGGTTAAATGTCGTACTTGCGGGTTTAAACGATGAAGTAGAGCTAGTGGGCATGTTTTGAGGTTTTGTAGGGGAGACAGCGCGTTTCGAAGGGGACGGCATGACCTTGCGTGCGCTGCCATGTAAAGCCGTCTTGGTTGGATTGACATTGTTCATATTCCTTGTCGGTGTCTTAGGGAACAAGCCCTTTGCACGCGAAGAGTTTGGCACCTGCGAAGAGGGCTTGGATGTCTTGACAGGAGAGGGTGGTGCGACGCGCGCTAGAGGCATCAGTATCAGTACTCTAACCTTTTCATAATAGAAAGCAAACGACTTACGCGTCTTTGACGCGCGCTCGATCTCTTCCTCCTGAATCGCTGCCTGCCATTTCCTACGACGCGTCAAAATTCCACAACCCAGACTCCCAACATCCCATACTAACCTCTTCTTTGCATTCGCGTCCCCATCAGCCTCTGCGACACGCTGTCGTGCCATGGCCTGCACACACCGTTGAACATTGCCACCAAACGCGTCGAAATCCTTCATCTTCATATTTCGTATCGCCTTTGGAATTCTTGAAATTTCCATCCCATGTCGGAGCGAAAAGCCCTCGAGCAGCTGCTCCAAAAACGCCTCAAACCGTCGGCGGTGGTTCGTCACTAGAGTTTTCCAAAAAAAGAGTCAGCCATCATACCAAGATGTGCGATAAATCTGATAGAAGAGGAAGAAGAGTGTACCTTCAATGTCTAGATTCTCAATCAACCGCTCCTTGTCCTCCATCGAGAGCTCAACACCAATACCGGCACTCAGCCCGCTCATGTCGCCTTCAGCAGGCGAGCCGACGCGTTTTCTGCGCTGTGGAGTATTCATACGTGCTGTAAATCCTCTTCTAGATTTTTACGAGGATTTCCAAAGACCGAGGCCTGAAGTGGTTGGAGTCGAGTTTGGTCACGCGCAATTCAGAGTCCGACACTCCGCGCGTCACCAAGTTCAAAGAATGAATGGACATAGAATAGGTGGAATAGTTTGGATTGATTTGGGTATCATGACCAGCCAAAAAACAAGACGGAAAATAGGAAAAATGAAAGTAATCTACGCGCTCGTTCGAGAACTTCAAACACATCTGCAAGCCACACTCGATCCACACTTCGATCGGGCGCTCGTATCTCAAACGGCAAATGTACTCTTCCTCGATTCGGCAAAGCGGACGCTCTTCTTCCCTTGGCCATCCGTCGAGGCAGCAGTGTCCGTCGAGGTCGTCGCAAGTTGTATCGCAGCTTTTAGCCCATGGGTAAACCCATCTTCATGGAATCCATATCCCATCCACGCCCCTGCGTACCAAATGCCTCTCTTGCCTTGAATGCGTTTCATCGCTCTTTGCGCTTGCTCTGCACGGTTGTTGAATGTCGGATGTGCGTACTCGAACCGTGCTTGGATTGTGTCGGGTGCAATGGGGAAGGTCGGGTTGAGCGTGCAGATGATGGGCCCGTATTGCGAAAGGGGTAGTGGCTGAAGGGTATTCATCAAATCTAGAATCATCTGGTTAGGAGGGGGCACTGTAGTAGAAGCAGGTTCAACGTACAACTCCTGCCAAACATGTCAGGGTATGTGGGTATCGAAAGATTGAGACTCACAATGCAAATTGATCACTATTAGCCTTTGTAGTAGTGCCCTTTTCGTCTTTGATAGATGTTGAAACAAAGTTCCATGCAGACCAAGCGTTCTGATTATGAGGGAGAGCCTATAACCGGAGCCATGAGTGTCCGATCGCATATCTGCGCAGAACACTTACCGAAACATCACTATGCAAAACAATTTCATTCTTTGTCCAACCGACGCCTTCTAGAGCCGACCGTTCTTCTGGAGTGATGAATCCACCGTTGCGGAGCATCTCGAGTGCGGTCGACGAATGGCATGCCAACACAACGTGGTCGTATTCTTCAATTCTACCAGTCGCGGTACACAATCGAATTTTGGATGAAGTGGGTGCAAGACTGGGGTTTGACGATTGGTCGAGATCTGAGATGAGCGGACGTTCGTCGGCATCTCCATTGCTACTCCCGCTACTCGCAGCTTCATCGCTCGACCCTAGGTCTTCAGAGCTCGTAGCCGGGGATGTCGTGCAACCAGTGCTGATGGAGACGACGGGTTCCGATAAGCGGAGTGCGCCTGGTGGGAGTGCGTTGGTGATGCGTTTGACGTATTCAATGCTAGAATCACCGCCAATGTCAAAAAAATTTTAGAGGTGTGATAAAATGGGGAAACGAACCTGCCACCTTTGATGGTCAACCAATCTGGCTTGCCGATGATCTGGAGGAGATGATGGTTGTGGAAAAAGCGAAGGAGAGAACGGGCGGTAAACGCTATAAATGCGTTAATTCAAATGACCCAATGATGATGTCGGTGGAAACATACTTTGTGCGCATGTGCTGGGTGGCGTGCTCCATATGGCTGCACACATTGGCTACGTGAAGATTAACGCTGGTATGAATCAAAAAAGGGAGAAACATACGATGAGGTAGTCATCTCGAAAGCCATCAGAGTATCCATTTTTGTCGAGATACTCTCCAATCGTGATTTCGTTTGCCTCTACGGATTCTCCCTCCATCTGGCGTTCCTGCTCGACGATCAACTTCCTGGCAGAGGCGTTGAAGCGGAGGATGTCCCAAATCATCCTCCACATTCTGGCGCTCAAGAGATTCCGGGGTTGACAAAATAGGGTAAAAATAGTGTCGCCTGCCCATTCGAAGGCGCCGTTGTCACGGGTGAGGGCAAAGGTCATCGAGCTCTTGACGATGGGGATGTCGGCATGGTGGAGGAAGCGGAGAAAGTTTGGATAAGTGCGTGGATTGAGGACAATGAAACCAGTGTCCACGGGGACGCTCTGTGGTTGCTCTCCTGGGCTTTTGTAGACTTTGGAGTATATTTGAAGGGAACAGTGTTTGCATGGCCTCCTGGTCGTGCGTCTGCTTCATAGAGGTGGACTTGGTGCTCGCTGTGTTCGTTGAGGGCCTGGAATCGAGTTAGAAGTCTGTGATTAGATGCCATCAAAGCAGTATACCCAGGTTGCACCGAGGCCGGCGCATCCAGAGCCAACGACGGCGACTTTCATATGAGTATGTGAAGAGGGGAGAGATAAACGCGGAAGAGATACCGTCCAAAGTATGGTCAGGGTTATATGTACCCATCGACTTCGACGAGACTGACCGAGATCGACGACGTCGTCACTTTGTGCTGATCGGTGTGTGGCCCATCGCTCTTTCAGGGCTGCCGAGCTTCCGAAGGTCGAGACTTTAAGCCGCTTATGTGTGTCACCTTGGAACACTATTCCGGGTGCAATCTCTTTGACCTTGTTCTCCAGTACTGTTGGAAAAACACGCAGTCAAATTGCGGAGCCAGTCGTGAGGCAACCATTATTCTGTTACTTGGCGACAGGGTCAATCTCCGACACTAGCTAATCCTTTTGGCTTTACATATTATATATATATATATATCCCATCATCAATCTACAATATGCCCATGATATGATCATTCTATGGCTCTTCCCGCTCCTGGTAGCCTCTCATCCCCTCTATCACCATTCACGCTCAGAGGACAATCTCTTTCCATACACTCACTACAGCCAGTACCAAATCTCAGATGGCACAGGCGGCGATGCATACGAACGCGCCAGCCAACTCATCCTCGGTAGGTCGATCGACTCTTCAAAGGGGTCTTATTCAACAGCCCAACGTATCCTTAGAACCGCTCCTATCCTCCAACGCAAACCTATCCTCGACACCTTTTGCCGTATACGAGCGTCTAGACTTGATGTGGGAAGCCGTCGATTATGCTCATGCTGTCCTCTTTCCCCAAGAGATTCAAGCTGCCAGAGTCCATCAAGACCAGTTTCATTACGAAGCATTACAAGTAGGAATGACGAAAAACGACGTGCTGAAACGCTTGGTACGTTGAACCCGCCCCCCTCTAGTCTTTGTCTCTCAATGTCGTAGATCCACAATGTTATCTACCAAATCAAGGTATTCCGTGTTTACATTATACATCATCATATAACAATCAGATATAGGCCGCCAAGGATGCTTCGGAAGGACTCGAAATGGACGAAACACTTTTAGACCAGTTTGAGTGAGTTTTCCAACCCTCGTGCCCATATTTCCTCCCCTAGCCCAATTTCTGATCCACGTGACACTTTCGCTAGATATACACTCGCCATAGCCGTCGAGGCTGATAGACGAAACCGCGGGCGCATCTCGCATCCCGTCCCGTCGCTGCACGGATAACTAGAACGTCAATTACAACACGTGTATCATGTCTTATCATTATATGTGTACCATAGCAATTATATCATTGTTTCTTTGTGACTTATGTGCACAGGTAAAAAAAAACAAAGAAGAGATGCGATGCGAGACTGGATATTATCACAAACTAGTCATACACGACAAACACGACAAACATCAAGGGGAATCAACACACCAGCGTCGGAATCTCGCCCACCCATTCACGCCCACGAATCCCCTCGGGCTCAAACAGGACAGGGCCAAGCGTGCACGATACATCCTCTTCTGGGTCCTCCACCTCGACAAAGACCTGCGGTACTACCCTCTCCACGTCAGTTTCCCAGCTTCCACTCCTTCGAATCAACCGGACCCGCCGCATGGTCGCGGCCGGTCGATCTTCCAGTACGCCCTCCGCCACGAGTCCAGACGTGAGCGTACACTCGTATTCGTCGTCGCTTGTGAGATATTCTCGACCGTTCCCGCCTAGCTTCCAGCAATCGTCTCCGCACGGCCGTCCATCGTCCACGGCCACCAGCAGTCCATCGTCCAGTCTCCATTGCTCTCCATGAGTCGTCGAACGTCCAAAGTAGACACGCAGGGAGATTCGACTTCGCGAGCGATAAGGGGTGTACAGGCACGAGAGGCGTGCGCGCAATAGGGCGTGGATCGAGTGGATCGACGTCGGACGTGCCATGATAGATGACCGTCTCCTCTTCTTGTCCATTCTCGATGGCTCTTGCGACCCAGGCGAGTACGATGCCGCTTGCGTCCAATCAAAACAGACCGAATGTGACGGGTTCAGCTCTGGGTGCGTTTTCCACTCATCTCTGTGTCTCGACGCCATCGATGGGCTCCTTGTTCGTTGCTGAGAAAAATATCCCCGTGCGCCGGTGGAGGACGAGGTCGATGACGATGAGGTCCAAGTTTCTGGTCCCTCTACCTCTTCGGGCGAAGACGCCACATGCGAGCTATCGCTACTCCCGTTATCGCTGGCATACTCGTCTGGTGTCTGAACCAATGGAAGGCTATTTGATCGACCTCTCCGGCCGTTTATGACGTCCGCAAATAACGAGGAAGAGGTTGGAGGGATCGCGATAGGCAGACTCGTGGCCTGCGCATTGTTGCTGCTGTTCATTGCACAGCTCCCATTCGAACCTGCGCCAGAGGGTATGTGTTTCCGTAATGGTGCAACCTCGAGTAGCATCCAATTGACCTCGCCGAAGACGCCCAAACGGTAGCCCTTGGAGATGGCATGCAGGCTGCTCGAGGGAACGCGGGCAATGTCGGCAAAACACATAGGAAATCAATGGCGAATTCCCGGCAGGCATGGCGATATGTCGGTGGGGATTTATCGGAAAGGAAGACTGATTAGTGACTGAACCGAAAAAAGAAACAGAATTGGATAGTGATCGCGATAGCCGCGTCGAAGGAATGCGTAATCGGGGAAATTTGGGAGGGGGTCGAGAAAGAGAAAGGAAACGTACCAAGATACGGTACTGAAGAGGGACGGCAAGTGTCCCGAGGGTGCAACGTTGTTCAGGTCGACGAGGACGAAATATTTTGCCCAGTCGCGTTCGAGCACGTCGACAGAAGTACCGGTGGCGAGCACGAGTGGCGGATTTGTGCAGACTAGAGAGCCAGTGAAAAAGTGAGTCGTCGACGTCGAGATCGAGAGCCGTCGGCGCGGTTGACTCGCCGCCGGTTCTGCTTGCATCGCAGCAAGGAGCGGCGAGTGGCTCGATGTACATTGTAGGAGTGTGTCAAACGCAGACGAGGTGATAAAGTAGCAGGTCGCATCGAGAAATCTGCACGGGCGTTGTCAAGTCGGGACGATTGGACTAAAAAAGCAGATACATACTCGAGCGGCAAGCCAGCAACGTCCTGGGATGCTCTGCGTGCGCGTTGGAGAGTGTCCATCGTAGGGGTCGCCATCGAAGGGGGGAATCAAGTGTGTGTCGCTTCGGGATGTGGAGGGTCGCTGCCTTTATAGGTTGCCGCTATTCAGAGTGACTGGTGGGATAAAGACTGAATAACGCCGCCGAAGATCCGCAATCTGAATCTAGTGATGCTATAATGTGTGAGATATTAACTGCTAGACGAGGGATAAGCAACTCACCAGGCGTTGGACGAGGAGGGCACCACGGGACCCACCAAGGTCCTTCCAGCGAAGCCATCGCGTCTGAAACTCAAAGATGCCGACTCTATGCGCCATTTAGGTAAAGCGCAGACTGTCGTTGGCCGGCTCACCACCCGTCTCGCGACGCGACCTCAATAGTGGCTGGCCGTGCGAGCTCGACGTTGTCCTGATCCGTCTCCAATCCGTATCACGCGTCCTAGGGCTTAGGAAGTGTGGGGGCCAATCTGCGGGGCAAGTGGAGGGGACATCTCTTCAACTACCTAAAATTGCCCCTTCTGCGCATCAATATGTCCTCTTTCTGAATACATATTGGATTTCTTTGTATTTCCATCATTTTTTTTGTACAATTCTCGTCCCAGAACTCGGCGACGATGACGCGTGGTGATGGGTGTCTCCAACTCTGAGCCGCCCACAATCTTTGGGGCGTATGTCGACCATCAAACGGCTACGTGTATACGCGTTTCCCCTCTGTAAACCTCGGATTTTACCCTCAGCAGTCGCTTCCAAGCCCGCACAGCCAACAACGGCAAACGACCGACCGGCCATCGTGTATTATCATGTTCAATCTCCTCCTGAACCACCGTCAAGGAACCCCCATCTGTTTAAAAAGATGATGGACAAGGCACTCGGAACGTGGACCGAGTTTGGCAAGGCCGAAAAGACGTCGTGGAAGGTCAGCCGACTCTCGGCTATGATCGCATGTATGACGCTGATTTCCTGCAATTTAATCTAGTTTAAACTCTATGCATGGGGTGAGCGCGTCGCGGACCGCATAGAGTTTGAAGAAAACGCGTTAAAGGCCATCAACACGTCGTTTAGGCCGGATGCACCAAAGCCAGAGTTCAATCTCGGTTCAAAAGATGACAAGGCACTCTTTATTTATCCAAAGGGACTCTCCTTTGAAGTATTCGAGGACTGGAAGTCCCATGTTCGTCTCCGAGAGCCGTATCACAAACGGTGCGTCCGCTCCTCATCAACCTTGCTGCTCTAAACTCGTCTGTTCTAGATATTTCTATCTTTGGTCATTAGGATTGCCAGTGACAGCCCCTATTGGGATTGCACCCATCATCCCAAACGTGCCTTTTTACTTTTGTGCTTGGCGTGCCTGGTGCCACTGGAAAGGTGGGACACATTGTCTACGCGTCAACACGTCTCTAACTCGTCCTTAGCGTGGCGTGCGACTATTTATTTGAACCAACTCCTCACCATCGACTACTTTGAACCAACCGCCGACGCTGCACTAGACACGATTTACAGCCCGAAGAATGTATCCCAATCTAACTTATCACTATCGGATTCTGTATCGGCATCCTCACACTCCTCTGGCGCACCTTCGTCTGCTTCCTCGGACTCTCTTTCGGATTCGACACCCTCGCCCAGTGACCCTGCATCCAAACACGCAGAATTCGACCCAATGGTCGACTCTCAGCTCGTGCTTCGCGAAGAAGATGTTCCGGGACTCGTCACACGACTCGAGCTGCCACAACAAGTCGGCTCAGAGCTCTTGCGTGCAATTGAACAAACTCGAGTGCGACTACGCAAAGAACTCGCACAGGATCAGAAGCAACAGACATGATAGACGGCACTGTAGATTATCACTAATTTGTTATCACTTATACGTTTACACCTCGTATGACTAGGTTCACTGTGATAGTACATGGGCAACCTACACGAGTCCGAGATCTCTATGAGTGCTGCTGTTGCTGTGTTCGATCCGGCGCGGGCCGGTTTCGCGTTCGGGTGCGACCTCTATATCCAGGCTGACGATGTTCACTGAAAACACGACGCCCACTCGTCTCACTATCGCTATGCACTCCGCCGGTGCGACCCGTGCGTTTCGAATGATGACCGATTCCTCCACCCCCACTGCCACGGTTTGCCTGACCTCCCCGTCTTACCCCGTTCCCCGTACCATTGCCATTACCACCGCGCGAGCGTGAAAGACGATCATATCGACGACCCACGGGGCTGAGGAATCGAATTGCCACCTCTTCTGCAAATCGCACGCCAGCTCGTTCAGGACTCGACTCGCCTGCCTCTTCTGTCTCCAGGTCGTCATCCTCTTCAGTCGTAGAGTTTGTGTCAATGTCGGAGACGGGTACATGCATATCTGGTGCCGATGCATTGCGGTTCTGTGTAAAGACACGACGCTGGAGACGACCCATGGACGTTGTGCCAGGAGCGCTTATATCACGGGCGTGGATTAATACTTTGGACATGGAGCTGGTGAGACTGGTCATGGATGATGCGTATTGAGGAGCGCGAGAGCGGCTGGTTGATCCGTTAACGGTGCCGGGATTTGAGACAGTATTCCCGTGAATCTGACGTCTGTTCTCGCTTCGTTGTTGCGTGGGAGACGTCTTGTTAGGCTTGGATGCGCGAGGTTGAAGTCGCTCCGTTGGTTGAGAGTCCGAGCTTTGTGTAGCCCATGCGCGAAGGTGTTCGCCGATACCATACTTGATCACTGAAAAGAAGAATCGTTGTTCGAACCCATGCTCTCCGAGAAGATGCTTTTTACGCTGTGCCGGTGAGACAAAGATCAAGCCACAATCTTCGAGTAAACATTGATACTGTGGCACATTTAGTCACGATTGCATGACAGGAGCAAGCTCTTACTATTGATTCTCCGGCGCCTTTACGTCGCATTGCACCGGTGTCATGCATCTCCGTTCTGTGCTGATATAGCATATTAGAACGATTCTCGGCAAATTTTTGAGACCTACTAGACGCAGAAAATGCTCCGAGTTGAACAGACAGGAGCAGCCTTCCTCTGGACAGACAAAGGCATGACACGACGCGTAGTGAGCCTGCAGGTCCTGAAGACTGTGAAAGCATCTTGGCTCATTAGGAGGAGCGCATGTCGGACTGAGAGAACACCAGATTGGCTCGCTTTCTAGTGAAGCTTTTGCGTCGACGGGCATAGTGTAATTGCTTGGTTTGGAGCTGCGTAAATCTTGCAGATTAGGTTCCATTTGATTCAGAGTCCTTGCTGAAAGAGTGCTAATACGTGTAACGAGAAGGAGTGGCAGAGTCCAAGTTGCGAGTTCTGAGTCCAAGAGTCAGCGTCTGCTTTCAGAAAGGGGCAAGTCCTCGAGATTAACTAGTCGGTCTCTGTTCTATTGTGCTCTGATCTGAAGAGGCTGTTCGACCACTCACGTCACAATGTTAGGGCGTCCTTTGGGCACCGTTTGGAGAAATAAGTGTGTCCCTAGGGACTATAATGGCGTTTATCGACGTTGAAGATGTCAAGGTCAATGATGAAGAGGTCAAAGGAGGCGGGAGCACAGCCACCAAAGCCTTGGACAAGTTTTCGTCTGTCAGGCAAACTCGTCTCCCTCCAAACCAACGTCTTCAACGACTCGAAGAGCCCTAAAAACGCGTAACGAACATGGTCAAAGTCAAGGAAGTTCCAGATGAATCGCCCTATGGCAGCTCAGCCTCGGAGGCGTCTGGCTCGTCAGAATCGCTCGCGTCTGTGATTTCCGACATTGACGTGGAGAAAGAGACCATCCTAGACAGAATAGTCGCACTCGTCGACATCGTTCCTCCACAGACGAGACACAACATCTCGACCACGGTGTCGAGCGTCGCGTCAAAAGTACATACGACAGGCAGAGTCTTTGGAAACATTCTCTGGGTAATTGCAACATCCGTCGTACTCGTTGGTGTACCGCTAGCACTCGCTCTTGATGACGAGGCAAAGGCTACCCAGGCCGAGCGAGAGATGGGATCACAGCCAGGTCAAATAGGGGTATGTACATGACATATTGGCACTCTTCTTATATTTGCTCACACTGCCGTTTGCACAGATGATGGGCCCCGCCGGGATGCTTCCCAGTAAAGACGAGCAGCGAAAAGACACAGTCACACCAGCCGGTTTCTAAGCTTTTGTTCACATACTATATGGCGAATTACATGTTGTCTAATTCATCAGCTCGCTCATTATCCCGCAATCCATCACCTCTCATATACCCAGCCAATGGCATCCCGCATAATCTGAAAATGCATATGGAAGCATATGGGAACGAATCGCCTCACCGAACAGAGCGAGCGTGAGCGCTACTGCCTGAGCCATTCGCGTATCGTCTCCGGCTGAACCACTTGATCCAATCTCAGAATCGCTGAAAACGTCCTCACGCCCCCTATATATCCCTTCACAGCTATGGTGCGGGCCGGCGAACTGTGTCTACTTCGTGGTTCAGTCCGTGCCGATGTGCGCACGAACTCTGCCCAGATATTGACCGACCTTGGTACTCATCATTTATCAGGCAGAGCCAGTACAATCAAACCTACATAAGATGCAACCGCTCTACGAATCTGGCCCCAATCACCCTACAAATGAAGGTTGCCGTGATTGGATCTGGGTGTAGCGGACTTGCCGCAACTTGGGTTCGTTCTCGTACCCCGACCAACCTCTACATCGCTCTGATCGTACCAGGCTCTCAACGAGTACAGTGGCCACCAGGTGGACCTGTACGAAGCCGACGCCACGCCGGGTGGACATGCCCACTCAGTGAAGTTTATCAACCCACAGAATGGCAAAGAGGTGATGGTAGATACGTATGGTGATACTATGCGTGTATACATCAGATGCTGATGAACCCTAGTGCGTTTGTAGGTTTGCATAAAGGATATCCGTAGCTCGCTCAAGAACTACAGATGGTCTTCACCCCGTCGGCTTATCCAAACTTTACTCGTCTTCTGAGACTGCTCAATGTCAATGTGCTGGACACGTCGATGAGCTGGTCTGTCACACGGAATGAGGGCGAGTTTGAATGGGCGTCCCATAGCGTCTTCACGCTGTTCAGCCAGTCTGCAAATTTATTCAACTCGCGGCTGTGGAGGATGCTTTGGGACATTATGCGTTTCAACGCTTCAGCCCGTCGATTCATTGCGACCTGTGAGACGTCCGACACGGTCAATAACATGTCGATAGGCGACTATCTCAACCTACATGGCTATTCGGACACGTTTCGTGACGACTATCTATTGGTATGCGGAGTAGCCCATGCTGTCTACGCTCACCACTATTCTAGCCCTTGACTGCTGCAATCTGGTCGACATCCCCAAATGTTTGTGCCAATGGTGCGTCGGCAAGGAGTAGACTGCCTTGCCTAACGTAATCTCTTAGACTATACTATGCAGTCTGTACTTCGGTACCTGCATAATCATCACATGCTGCAGATATTCGGCAAGCCGGTGTGGCGGACCATCGCCGGAGGAAGGCATGTGTATAGGGTCGTCAGATGCACATGTGCTCAACGATCATAGCCATCATTACGTACACCAGATAACATCCAACCTTCCTCCCGACGCCCTCAAACTCGCAACTCGTGTATCGTCTGTCGCACCAACAATCAAAGATGGAAAGCAAGCTCTCACAGTGACGACCGAATCTGGAGTGTCAAAAGTGTACGATCATGTTATCATGGCATGTCAGTCATACGCCTCGCGCGACATCCTCAAGAAAGGGGGCTTTATCACACCAGAAGAGGAGAGAATTCTCGGTGGCTTCAGTTGGACAAAGAATGAGGCGGTCCTGCATGCTGACGAGTCTGTGAGTCTTGTTGGCGGAGTCTACAAAGCCAGATTGCCGACTGTTTACAGTGTATGCCCCGGAACCGTGTGGCGTGGTCCGCGTGGAATTACTTTACTAAAAACGGACCAGCCGGAATGAACGATGACAAGGTAACCGTGTATGTTTGATCGTGTCCCTTTATCCCATTGGTTTTCTGACCATTCCTACTGACTCAGAACATGTAATGCATGACGTATTTTTGTGCGTCACCGGCTCTAACCGAGGTGTAGCGTCTATGAACATTTTACAACATCTTGATATCCACCATTATGGACCCATCCTCAACACCCTCAACCCCTCACGACCTCTGAATGAAAGTCTCGTCCAAGCACGCATAGAATACTCCCACCCAACCTTTGACGCCAAGGTACCATCATTATCGATAATCTCGTGACCCTGAACCGACCTACAGGCCCTTGCGTTGCAAAAGGACATGCCGTCCATCCAGAACAAGAGAGGAATCTCGTTTGCGGGTGCATGGATGGGGTTTGCCTTTCATGAAGACGGCATTACAGCCGGACTTGAAGCTGCAACGGCATTGGGCGTGCGCCTGCCGTTTGAGCTCTCGTACCCCGATCGACGAGTGAAGCTTGCCTGGCTCGCAGAAGTCTTTGATGTTCTCGAATTCATTCGGCGCCTTCTCTCAGTAATGTGTTGTGCCCTTTACTCGGGCTTCTGGAGCATTGACCCGGTGGTCGTAATGGTTCCCCAGAGCAAAGCTGCTTAATATCTGTGTACTCAATACTCCTATTCGACAGTATCCCTCCACACCCCCGGGTTTCACACGAGTCTTCTTGCTGAGAGTTTATGAGGTACCACGGTAAACCACCGGGTACGCTTGCAATTTCGCCCCCTACCACGTTCGCGTCGATGAGCTTCAGCAACCTTAGCGACGACGTACTTCTTGAGATTGGATTCCACCTGGATTATCGCTCGTTACTCTCGTGGTCCCAAGTAAGTACCTATCGTGGCCCCGATTCCCCGAGAGCAGGGACTGAAGACTTCCACAGGCGTCGCGTCGCTATCATACCCTCTTGTCGCGTAGCAAGTCCCTTTGGATCTCTGTAGCAAGGACCTGGGATGACGCTGGCAAACCACTCCCTCTACCCGTCCATCTTACCGAAGACACCCTGACCGCCGCAGCCATTCGGACGGCAATAAAACACGCCTCAAAACTTCATCACCACCTAAATATCGGTCATTTTGATGCCAGCTTTTTCGGACCGCAGCCGCTCCACGTCTCGGACCAATTTCCTGGTTCGTGGTTTGGAACTGAGAACGGGCATAAAACTAATTTTGGGGCCGTTGAGGGTAGGTTCGGCGGTCCAAGATGTTCACTATTTTGCAGGACCGGACCTGGCGCTTCTAATTCTCAGCGACGGGGGACGTGAACATATTCGATATATCGCGATATATCAAGTCAACCCTCTTCGGAAACTGGCCATATGGGATTTGGGCTCAGGCGACCTGCAAGGTATGCTTCGTAAAATTAATAGGTTTCGCGACGTGTAATGATGCATCATAATAGACTGGAACTTTACCTGGGCCTTTGTGGAGGGTAGATACAAAAGACTAGTGTTTGCAGCCAGTATCCGCCGGCCGGGTTGGGTGGACAAGTAGGTTTGCAAAGCTCTTGATTTTTATTGGAACTCATGATCTTCAAGGTCTCGGCGAAACTCGCTCGAGGTGCGGTCACTTGACATTGAGGATTACCTCACGTCGGGTGCGTTACCAGAATTCAGAACCTGTGCACAAGTCTTTTGGAAAGACGCATTCACACGTGTCGATTTGGGGGACACGATTGCGACCGGTCTCGTCTTCGGCAACGGGCTCGCGACCGTTATCACTTGTTTGAACTGGCGGACAGGCGACGCATTCAGTATCATGGTCGACGGACTCGGTCTCGAAGAGTTCAAAGGAGTAGAAGATTATAGTCAAGAGGTCCAGTTCAAACGACAGATGCCAAGCTACGCTCATGTACTTGTGCTGAATGACTGGGTCGGAATCTACCAAATTGTCGGCAGCAAGACGCTCCGTTGTCTCTTCTTCCCGACCACGCCATCGATACCCACAGTACGGTTATTACCTGGGTATCCACCATTCCGGATCAAGCACCAGAATCCTGCCGTGGGGTGTAATCCGATAGGGCCTGAAGAGCTCATTCCGCTCTGCCAGATGGAACCGGTGAGGACGAACCAGCACTGTGGCTGCGTTCACAGGCGCATACAAATGTCGATACGAGCCGACGATGTCGAAGAGGAGGATATGGCCGTGTTCGATTTCGAGCCGGTCGCAAATGAGCTTGGAACAATCGACTTTGAACGAATCTACTCCGAACTCATGCGTCCCAACCTCTGTCGACCAGGCTATCATTCCTTTGAGGATCGAGTAGGGGTGCAGACTCACCTTCCCTTTGCAGAGGGTGTATGGGGAAGTCTCGTAGGCTCGTTTGGTACTGCAGTCGCATACTGGAAGTCCCAAACGTTAGGCGAAAATGGAGAGGTTGAAGAGCACCTGATCGTGCGGAGACTGCCCGATCCAAAGCACGGTAATCTCCCTGTGCGATACACCCGTGCTTTTGTCTCGCTGATGAAGGGTGACTCTGTGCAGTCGTCTCTCCGCGTTTGTGCCTTTGACGATGCGATGGGTAATCTCTCTCTGGTGGACGACGATGGTGAGCTACTATGGTTCCTACAGCTGCTGGATGATCCCGATCGTTTATAAATTGTTGTATACTCCCTTTTCATGTAGCAAATATACGCCCTTGCCCCTATGTATTTATTGAGATTTTGGTGGCAGTCAGAACTTGCTCCCAACCCTTCGGTACCGCCGATTCCCTCAACGCGCTGGCGCCTCTCTGACGGCTCGCTGGAGTCTATAAGAGACCTAGAACGCAAATAATCAGCAAAATATGGATATAAAACGCCAGCCGAGTGACAATTCGACGACGACACCTCCCTCAGACGTACTGGGCAGCACCCAACTCGCACCTTCGAGCGCACCCACTCGCAAGCAAAATGTTGCATGTGACGCATGCAGGTGAGCTCTTTCACCCCTCCATGTCCTCGACGTCCTCGACATCGCCGGCTCCTTTGCACATAGCCGCTGCTCTCGGACCCGAGCGGTCGCGTCCTGCAATCGATGACAAAACCCGGACTGACTTTGGATTCTTAGGGCCCGCAAGGTCAAGTGTCTCCAAGTCCCAGGACAGTCAAAGGTGAAATTTATCGCATTTTGCAATCAATGTTTACTGACCGCCGCCGCCCGCAGTGCCAGGTACCGTCTCTGTTTCGTGATACATCACTCAGGGCAGCGGTCTAACGATTCTCGTGGTTGAAACACTTGTAGCACTGTATCTTGAAGGGGTCAGAGTGCCTGTGAGTTATCAATCACTTGGTCCAGACTTCTAATTCATCACCGGTCATTAGCCATTTGATCCAGCAAATCACCAGCGAAAAGCGCAGGGCTGTCGGTTCTCGACGTTCGAAAGTGTCCCCACAGGAGTCAGTGCAGCCATGCGGCCACATTGAGCCGTCTCTGATCACTGTTACACAGCGCACTCCCCAAACTCCAAAGTGGTTACACACCCCTCGGGACGGCCACTCGCAGGCAATCCCATTCTCAGCCCGACTCTAAATCACACTATACGCCGGATCAAGCGCTCTTTGGCACGACACGCACGCGTACGAACCAGACCCTGCAGCTCATTGATTGGCTCTTCTCTCCGCCGGATGATGGCGTGGCGGTCCCGCCGTTCGTGGGAGGTGCAGACTCGGTTGGGTACCGCAGTTTCATGATACGCTCTAGAATCGCAGTCGCCCGACCTACGGATGCCGATTGGACAGACTTGAAACAGCATCTGCAACCAGATGACTTTCGGACTGAGTGAGCTTGTCCAGTTCCACCCGTCACTCGTGCTTCATCTCACGCCATGTGTACATTTCAGGTTCGCAAACGACCTCGTAGAAGTCTACTTTCAGATATGTAAGCCCGGTTCCGTGGACCACACTTGCCAAGATTCAAACATCAAACTTAGGCCACAGCCGCATGCCCTTGCTAGATCCGGCAGAATTTCGGACCCGATTGAAGGCTTACCTCTATCCGGAGACCGCGTTAGACCCAACGATTCTGCCCTTGCCTGCCGCCCTCCTCGCGACCGTGATAGCATGGGGTTCCCGCTTCTCCGAGCACCCTCTGCTCGTGATGGATCGCTCTGTCAACTCTGGAAGAAGCAGGATATGTCGCATTCTCACTAAGCGCGCGCGGGAAGCTGCCGAAGGCGAGAAAATTCATCGACTACCATCAGTTGACAACGCGATCAGTGCGCTCCTTTTGGAGCCGCTCCAGAGCCGTGCGCATCAAAAATCTCATTAATTATCTGGCGCTAACAATGGTTCTAGACAATCCTTCTGATCCCGATGGTGAGCTGGCAGTGCACAGGGTCAGCCGATCATTTCTTACAAATCTGCACAGGATTTAGGGGCTTCTGGCTCAATTGTGGCATTCGGCACCTGTTCGAGCTCGGGGTGAGGTCACCGAGGCGTGTTCCTCGCTTGTCCGGCTAAAGAAAGTACCTAGATGAATCGCAAGGCGCGGTTAATCGAATTAGATGAACAGACTCGAGGAAGGATGACATACGCTTGGTTTCAAGCTTGTATCGCAGATGCCTATGCGTCGGTATATTGGAGAGTGAGTGCTTGTCGATTTGGGATAGCCAACCTTGCTGACTTGGTCGCAGAAAAAACCTGTCATGTGAGCGAGCATTCAAACTCGAAACGTGTGCTCATTTATGATAGAGAGGACGATGACTATGACTTTAGTTTCATGGGTGACCCAGGGTTTCTGCCACATGATAGTCAGCTTGCATCGCCAGAGGTGAGTTTACGCTTCCGCCACACCACTTCTCTTCTGACATTGTTTAGAGCATGGTGAGAACGTTTCATTGACAGACACGATACTGAACCTCTCAAATTAGCAAAGTTGGATATCCTCTCTCCATATGGCAGACATAGCTCGGCATCTTGCACGCAATCTCTCCCGCCCAGACGTCACCACGAGCGGGATACCCCTACGCGTTCTAGAGACTGCCATGAAGTCGCTCAGAGAATGGAAGGAAAAGTATCTTAACATTGTTGGCGTCCCCAATAATTTTCAAGCGGACTGGGATTTCGTCGCCGCCGTCTCTGCCTGTGAAGGATGTTTATTACTGCTATTGGCCATGACTCACGTTTCTCAGGCACTTGTGATGCCCAATATCATGTCATGTGGGTCATCTTGCACTCTGCACTCGAAGAATTCCAAGTTCGAGAAGCCAAGGAAGGCCAACTATCGTACGAGGTTATGCGAGACTTGGAAAGGCAGGTATTTGAGGAGGCATTACAAGGCGCTCTCCGTATTGCCGGTCTGGTGCGGTCATTTTCCAAATTTTAAACCTTTCCATTTACCATGGTGCAGACAAGCGTGTTGACCTCGAATGGTTATCTACGACTCGATCCCAATATCCTCCACTTCAGTACCTACGCAGCAGGGATGTTCCTCGCACGAAATGGCAAACCCGAAGTCAAAACCTGCATTAAAGGCCTCGAGCAATACTCTTTTGCGTACGAAGAGGCTTTTGAGCAGGCAAAATGGATGCAACAGGTCTATTCTAGTGTAATCCATCACCAACAACTTCCCATTCAGCAGACTCTTCACTCTCCCGCTTCGTCTATTGGAAGTTCTAATGGTCATCACTACGCAATGGACACAGCGCAGGATCCACTGGGCGTGTTCGTAAACGGCGCCAAGAATGAGCGGAGTACCTTTGCTCCTGTAAGTTCAAGAGATTCTATTCGCTTTGAGCGCTGACATCCGGAAGGATACTCCGTATGCAGATTCGTCCATCTTGACACCAGGAGCAGAGCCAACGGCTGCAGACTCCAGCTTTTTATCTATTGGGTTCGCTAAGTAAGCTCTAATATGTGTTCTGTGCTTCACTAGTTAAGATTACTGTGACCATGAATTCATGTATCGTTTTTATGCTGAAAACACCAACGCCTTTTTCTAATCGTTACATTGCGCTCTGCGACACTAAATCGATAGATAATAGTACAATGATCGTAACTTGATAAGTTTGAATGAAGAATAAACTGTGGACTCCTGGTTCTACTTGTAATCGACCAAACTATCGGAATAAATGATGTTGGCGAGCTTCAAACTAGAAAAATTGAACTCAAATCCTAAGGGAACTTAGTAATGAACCCTCAAAGATTGGAGAAAGACGGACCAGTAGTTGATTACTGGACAAAACGGGATAGGGAGATGACTTTAGCCTATCTGACCAGTTTCTCTCCCATTCAGAATGGAAGCGAGGACTGTGATAGAATGAGTTGGAGAGCGAAGGGCTAACCATACTGTACATACTACATTTCGTCGATCAAGACCTCGGCACGGACTTTGAACTTGTGTTTTTTCATCGAGTCCAGGAAGAACTAGAGCGAAATATGAGTACAATCTTCCGCCATAGTGGGAGACCACGTACCGTTGTTAGCATCCCCCTACTACCTTCGAGTTCAAACACGGCATCGTGATCGATGCATGCGGACAGCGATACCTAAGAGGGGTTCAGTATCTCGGTGTGTCCATTGTGGCGAACTTACCGCCACACCCCTCTGCGACTCGTTCCGCATTGCGTGCATATGATCATCAAACATTCGGCTGTGGGGTATCAGCAGGGTATTAGCGCTATTCTTCAAACAGGAGTGACTTACACAGATGCGGAAGATATACCGTGTCCGAAGGCCATCTCAGCAGACTTGCCCAAGGCTTCACCCAAAGCGCAAGGTGACGACTCTCTGTGGAGTAGGTCCCGGAACTTCTCGAGTCTCGACTGAGGTTTTGCCAAATCTCGTAGCTCAGGTGGGATCGTCGTCAAGCCTTTCGGTGAGAACATGGGTCGTACAGCCCCACGTGGAAGATAGTGGTACCGCAAGTCGAGGATTGACCCTGAGTGGCAGCTATCAAACAGAGTCTACGAATGATTAGGATGATATGAGAGGTGCATGTGCATGTGCCGATGAAAAACCTACCACCAGACGTACGCCTTGTACAAGAGGCTTCACAAGAATGTCGCGCAACTCATTGTCACGAATCATCCCGCGGTAGGCCGACTGCCAGCATCGTGGGTCATCTGGCGCACATGAGCAGTTGAGATGGCACTCTGGGATCGTCTCGTCCACAGACTGTCGCTTAGCGGGGCATGGGCAATCCGCGGGTACAATGGCTGTGAACAAGTCAGTTGATTAAATAAACTTGGAAATTATGGACATACTTTCGTCAAGGCCGTCTTCTTCAGTGCGTCTTCTTGTTGGACGCTGCCATCCGTGACCGGAGTCTATAAAACTTGTTAAGATTCCATCGATACACATTAATTTTGTGAGTTACTTACAGTGCAAGAACAATATGTCTCCCTCTCGTGCACCTTCGACTAACCAATTAAGTTTTGCAAGCTAAATGAATGTCAAACCACATGTCATATAGGCGCAAGATGGGCACTTACAATATTCCGTCGAGATACTTCAGCAGAATTCGTCTTATCGGTAATGGCAACTACCTCGTTGTAATGAAGCTTGTCTTAGAAATGCGTTAGCATGCTATCAAGATACGGGATAGGCGTAAATCTACTTCGAAGAAAGGAACGCATTCGCTCTGCATCATCCACTGTTCCATCGAGCTCTTCCCATCTATTTGACGAAGGGGGTGCATTCGGCTTCTGGTAAGAAATGCCAATCTACCAACGCCAGTTAATACCGTGACCTAATATAGCCCAAATTCTCACAATGAGAGCCTTGGATCTGCGCGTGGTATTCATTTTGCAAGTACGTTGTCCCTAGCCGGAGGGGTGAAGAAAAGGTTGGAAGGAAAAGAAAACTTGAAGTTTATGGTGACAGACACTGGCGGTTTTATTTCTGGTGGCCCGTCGAATTGGAAGGCGCAAACCTGGCGGGTTCATTACTGAGGCTGTCAGCCAGCAGGAACAGGCGCCCGAAGGAGCCAACCAGGTTGCTGAGGTAGTCATCGTATGACCATGACTCTGGGACAGACTCACTGCAACTGATGTCCAGACGCACCTAGACTGTATATTAACCAGGCCGAAGCGCGTACTACATCAGTGGTTGGTACCCCGAGGTGGAAGTGAGTCCTACGTCGGAAATCGGGCGGGGAGTACATGCAGTAACCACAAGGCCAGTCATCTAAGTGGAAATCCCTTGGCTATGATGCAGCACCGCGTTCTGAAAACGGAGAGAATGATAAAATTTGGTCGGTATATACAGGATTTTGCACCTGCTTAACTCTATGCTGTCATCTCTGGTCACTATTTGACCCGTTTCTTGCGTCGATGTTATCTTCCTGTTCTCTCTCAGCCGACCCGAGGGCTGCGGTCGCCTCGTACGTAGGAGGAATCGAATCCTTTGACCGCTCATCCAAAAGGGTATGCACAATGGCAGGAATCGCATCGTTAGAGACGACGTTGTCCGTCGGTAAATGATGGAAGTATGGAAGAAAGGCTTGGTGTATTGGGGAGGGCCTGTTGAGTAAATATGATTGCAAAATTTGTTCAAGGAGAGCAATATCCTCGTCTGAATAATGTGACGGTTGAGTCTTGCGGTCGAATCTTCGCCTCACGGCGGAGAAGATTTCGGACCAATGCGAGTTGGTCTCTTGGGTATCGAAGTCGCTGGAACGAGCGATGCGCAGTGCGGTAATTATACGCCTATGTGGTGTGAAGTGGATGACATCACGGCAGATAGAGGCGAGGACGACCTCGTACATTTTCCTCCTTGCAATATCTTCGTGATCACGTCTTGCTTGGCGAATGCATTGTGAAATAAACCTGCCTTGAAAGGCTTCTTTAGTCTTGGTGAAGAGTTTCCCGAGTAATGGAAGGATAACAAAGAAGAGGAAGAGGAATATCAATGGCCAGCATAAAACGATTAATCCGCTCGTGCAAATTTCCCATGTGATGATTGCAAGTAGGAAGTTGAGAGTGGCGAAAATGAGAAGAGAGGGAAGTATCTTGGTGGCGACATGAATTGAGTCGAGGGTATGCCTGGTGGAACGATGAAACTGATAAATGGCCTGGTCTTCGAGGCTGATTCCCACATTGAGTAAACGGGAGCGTCTGGTGAGTAGAAATGCTCCTATAGCCGAGACGATACTGGATGCCATAGACGTCAGAAGACCGATATTGACCCAGACGAGCCAATGATCAGGAAAGAGAACATTGGTGTAGTTTGATCCCACTGATCCAACAATCCAGTGACCAACGTGCGCGAAGTCCGCATTCTCTTTATCGGCAGTGCTGAGGGATTTGAGGCATTCCATGAATACCGGCGTGACGACTGCAGTAAGTATTGCAGACTATAGGGGCATAAGTCATTTGAAATTGTGACTAATGTGGACTTACATAGATTAAGACAGCTGCCAGAGTGCTTCTGACTTGTTCTCGGACCCCATCGTCCGCGGCGGTGGTAGCAACAGCGAGGTATTCTCTTGAGAGGCAGTCATTATCTTCTGCCTTGCGTGATTTGCCTATATTTGGACTCTGCATGAGTGAAGGACCGAAGATAGAGCAAGAGCGCACCCTCTTTTTATAAGCGTAAGACGCCAAGTTGCTGGTGGTCAAGCCGATGGAGGTCGCCTTGGCGAAATGATTATGAATCGTTTAATCTCACGTACTAGTACCTTTGATACGTCACATGTGTCCCGATTTCTTGGGAACGAGGCTGAAACGGAGAGCAAATGGTCTTGGTATGCGGATGCTGCACATGTACAGTCCGAAGTATCAGATGCACTCCATCAATCTTGCTGGTTGAGATTCCGGGAAGCCAAGTACGCAAAGCCTAGCCAAGCTGGAAGGAGTCAGGTCCAGAGTTGTTGACACCACCGAGCGTTCACCAAACCCGGCTGCCAATCCACCATTCAAGAAATCTTCCAAAGTACGAACACGGACGGTGTGTTTGGTATGCCTAATGATATGATGGTATATTTCGCCTCGCTTCTTGAACCCAGCCTTGTTCGTAGCCACTTGCTCCTGTAGAGTCTGTAGCGGTTTCGCCCCCTATCAAGTCCAAGCAGAAAGTTACCGCACATCCCTTGTCGATTACAACTCTCTGGTTCCCTCGTTGCCGTTTGCCACTTTGTTCGGCAAATTCACAAAGTGTCGTATACTCTCCCGAGCAAGTTATATAACATGTGTAAGTTGAAATTCCTCACTGAAACATGTGTATCTGCTCACATGGCCAAGTATCTTGCAGTACGTGCCTCCCACCATTACCAATGCCCGATTAACCAAGTTTATTTCCCAGAGAATGCTCTGTACCAGTTTGAGCTCGTCTCTCGAGCCATTCAGAACGCCGCTCTGCCGCTCATTGATCGCGAGAATGATGAGCAATATCAGACCACGCCTCAAAGCAAGGGTATGCTCTCCATCGCTGTATATACAGAATGCTCACACCCTTCTTCTCACTAACGTAACAGAGGATCCTGAAGCTGTGACCCCAGTCGACCACGCCACTCACACTCTTTTGAACACCCAACCCATTCCAAGCATGCCATCCCCGCCAAACACCACCTTCTCGTCGCAATTTCTCGCCCTACATGCCACACGCGACGTTCCTGTTGGCCTCCTCGGCCTCTCCAACAAGACTGTTAGCGAATTTGCCTTCAGGATCGTTTGCACCGTTTCCGCTCCTCAAAGCGCAGAGGCAAAGCTCTTGATACGCCACTGTCCACAAGCCGTGCTGTTTGCTCAGCAGGTTCACCTCGCCAACGCCCACGGTGAAACAATTGAAGCCATGGCAGACCGTGCTGTGACAAGAGGGCGCCATTACCACGACCTCTTCCATCTCGAAGGTCCCGAGCGCGCATGCTTGTGGCTCAGAGGAAGAGATACGCCACAAGCAGAGATTAACCGTCGCCTCGCTGCCGAGCATGCCAGGCTCAGCTTCCGTCGTGGTGTCGTGCTCGCACAGGCGAACAAAGCGTATCGTCGAGAAATGATCAACAAGGTGAACGAGGCATTGGCTTCGGTGTCAGTTTGAGTTTGGTATTGCATCCATAAATCGTCGTTCGTCCTTTTCATCCCTGTCTCGTTTTCCAGACTCGGTATTCGCTGCTCGTCGGATAGCCTGTTGTAGTGCCGTTGGCATTTGTAGCCTAGACTTGATCCAGCTGACTTGAGCATTAAGAGGGTCTTGACAAAGTACATTATCCTGACGCTATGGCGCTATGAGTATACTTTATAATTTGAAAAGCGCGTCCATATCCTGTTCTACGTCAGTCGGGGGAATTGCAGGGAACAAATCCGTACAAGGGAGTGCGTGCTGGAAAGTACTGGGATACTAGGTCGACTATTCTTGAGCTCTTCCCCGCGTTCCATAAACTGAAAATAATCTTCGGTCGAGTTGTCCGGGTCATCAAATACGGGGGGAATCAGAGTACGGGAATGACTGTCCAGATATTGGCGTTGCGTTTGGTCTAGTAACTTTCTTCGCACGTAAAATTGCTCTTTCATAATCTCTCTGGGTTCGGATCAGCCTGAAAACTTCATGGAAAGGAAAGTAGTACGGACGTCATGCGTTTAATCAATTGGCGTCGTGTGAGGGTGTCTTTTTCTTCGAATGCGTGGAGAAATGCCTACAGTGCCGTTAGGTTGGTATTCTAGAGTCATGAAGGTACTGACATGCGTAAGTAACCCTACACTAAGGAACGCTCTATTGTGCGTAGAGAAGGTCTTCACCTCCCACACTGATTGATCGTCAAAGCAGGCAGAGATTGTCAACTTGCAGTAGTTCAGCCAGAATCTATAGTCGCGAAGATTGACTTACCACTTTACCACCAGTGCTTGGCCTCTGGTACTCCCTGAAACTATCGCAAACAGCCTGGCTGATCCTTTCCTGATCATCCTGACAAGGGTCCTTAGGGGGATAAACCTCGATAGGCGTTTCATAGACTGGACCATCCAGTATCCTCGTGGTCCCAGTCGAGAGAGCGATACTTGGGCGTGAGGGGCCATCTGGCTTACCGGTTCCATCAAGTACCAGCGAAACAGCGCTTAAGCTAGCGCTCAGAACGCGAGAATAAGTACTGTTGGGTGAAAGCTTGTTCTCTGTGCCCTCAACCGGCCACGGTTTTTGTCGGCGGAAACTTTTCCTTTTGACCTCTGCCTTCTGGTCACTTGTATGTGTATACTCGAAACCCAAGTCTAATATGGTTCCAGAGTGGCAGCAGTCGAAAATTGCCTAGAATGGTCGGCCGAGTTGGAACGATGACAACAGGCTTACCAGCAGGTTCGCCCCATTCAAATTCTTGACCAATATATTGTAGAGCTCATTGTCTCGGATCATCCCCTGATATGTTCGCTTCCAGCAATAGTTCGCTCCGGGTGGGCACAAGCAATCAATCGGGCAGGGTTTCGTGACCTTGCCGTTTCGGAGCGCTGGTCGCAGGCAATCCCTAGGGACCATCCCTATCACAATTAAATGGTTGAATGGTGTAAGCTGGCTCGACTCACCTTCATCCATGTGATCATCCTCTGTAGGGCTTCGTGTAGGACGCTGGAATCCATGTCCAGAGTCTGATGACGCGTCGGTTACAAATAATGGTTCTTACAGTAACCTACAGTAAAGGAAGAGGCGGTGGCCCTTTTCAGCGCCTTGAACTAGCCACTCTAGCTCCTTGAGCTACGGAGTGTTAGCGAGTTCGAGCGACCTATACAGGTGACTTACAATGTTTTCTCGAGAACATTCGAGCGCTTCGTTTTCATCAGATATCATATGTACGTCAGTGTACCGCCATCTCTCTTCGAGAAGCGTCAGCACCGGTAAACTCATCAACAAATCGACAGACCATCCATGAAGGACTTGACGCGTTTAATATCCCCCAAGGCCCTTCTAGCGCCCCCCAGCCTGATATGTCGCTTGCATGCGCAGTGGAAGTCGACGCCAGGGTCGGAGCATAGGAGGTGGCTGACAATATCGACGGTTGGGTGGAGATTTCACTGAGATCTGTACACGCAGTACTAGAAGTTGCAGCTCTCTGCGGTCCGGGGGGAGTTTTACGCTTATACCCAATGCCAATCTATGGGTCTCGTCAGCCAGTCGCCCAAGCGCGTGTGGAGACGTACCAAAAGTGCCTTTGTTCGTCGAGTTTCTGGTTTGTAAGGAATACTGATACTCCTACGGTGCGCAGTGCTGTCATTTTGAGCGGCAGAATGTCGTTCGGTTAAAGAGGGCATGCAGGGCGAGGACGAGGTTGAGAGCAACCCTCAGCGTCTATGAGGTGCCCAAAGCTGGTTGAGTACGGCACACCATGGCATATGGGCTGGGTTCTCAGCCAATCATGAGCGAGGGCGCTGCCTAACGGTCAGCCCGAGCAGCCAATCACGCAGAAGCCCGTCGATAATTATCGCGTTTATTCAACGGCGTGATAGTTGAGCCACAGTCCTTTCGAATTGTGCCGCGGCCAGAAGCCTCTTCTATGATGGTGGACAATCTACCAGCTTGCCCAACGGCATCAATTGCATGATGCCATGGACATCACTGAATACATACTCCCACATCATAAGCCTTTCTCGTAAACAGATTGCCAGAGGGAATGAGTTTGTGATACAGTATACAATACACCGTACATAGCGTCGAGGTGCTCGAAATAATGATAATTGTCATAGTTTGAAGGTGCCGTTGAGCTTCTGAAGCAAATCAGTGTCAAGTCGTAGAAAATAAACTGGCTCACGATGTCATAGTTGCTGGATAAGATTGGGACACTCAGCTTACTCGATTTCAGTGCCTTTTCATAATCCATATACTTCTGATACTCTGCGGTAAGCACATCCGTCGGATAGCTTTGGTTTGACGCCAGGGCTCGTTGATACTCGGCGTAATGATTGTTGTATGCAATTTGTTCCCGCTTCAGTTGCTCTATTCTTTCCCTATGCTTCACCTTGAATATCTCCCTACATATCATCAGATCGTGATCCGCTCATAAAAGGATACACACGTCATTTCCTTAATCAATTGGTGTCGCCGCGGTTGAGGGGTACGATTAAGGACTTGGAGGAGAGACTTGAATCGATCATTGTCAGGTTTGAGGGCAAGTATACGAAGCAATACTTACAAACGTGAGAAGTCCGCTGGTAGTGTAATAGGTTGGATAATTCTCATGCTGATTTTTTAGTTCGAAGATTTCTTGATCGTCGCAGCACGCAGAAATAACCATCTGATAAATTGTCAGAAGCTGTAACCAATTCCTGAGATCGGAATCACTCACCACTCTACCACCAGCGTCTGCCTTTTGATACTCGCTATGACGTTCGTGCATTGCCTGACTGAGCCTAATAAGAGTCATTAGCACACAGACGGCCAATAGCATCCTACTCACCTCCGGTGTAGTCCTAGCTTCGGTGGACTGTCGTCTATGGGTGTAGTGCATAGTGGGCGGTCGCTGAAAAAGTGCGGTGGACTACCCGGTGAAAGATCCCCAGAGCCGGTCGGGCTACCAACACCAGCTTCCAAGGCAACCGCGGCAGAAGTGAAAGAGTGGGTGAGGATGAGGGCTTGGATGCTATTGGGTGCAAGCTTGTTTTCTGTCCCTTCGACTGGTCGAACCTGGTATTTACGGAGCCGATTCTTCTTTCTGTTGGGCCGATGCTTGTACTGGTATTGCAAGTCCACCATTGTCCCGGAGTGACAGCAGTCAAACATTGCCTATTATCAGTCAGTAACATGATAGGTATACTAGAACCCGACTTGGATGTTCGCCACGCGCGCGTGTTTGTGGCTGGGAACAAGAAACCATGGACATACCAACAACTTGACACCTTTTGGGAGGCTCTTGACGAGAAGATCACGAAGCTCATTGTCTCGGATCATGCCATTGTATGACCTTTTCCAGCAATACGTTGCACCTGGTGGACATTGACAGTCGACCGGGCATTCCTCCTTAACCTTGCCATCCAGGGCATCTGGATAGGGACAATCTTCGGGTACAATCGCTGTTGACCATAAGAGTGGGACTTGAAAGCACTATAGGAACTCACTCTCGTCGAAAAAGTCATCCTCTGTTGAACTCCGGGTCGGACGCTGATACCCATGTCCTGAATCTGAAAGACGTCAATCGAGTACCAAAATTACAGATCATCAGCTGACAGTGCAGAAGAAGCCGGTCGCCTTCTTGAGCACCCTCTACGAGCCACTTCAGTTGCGTTATCTGCTCAGTTCATTAGCCTTGGAAACACCCAATCAAAAGATACGAACAATATTCTCGCGAGAAACCTGCCCGGGCTCCATCTCGTCCGACAACTTGCGTACTTCGCGGTACGGGCAATTCTCTGGGGGCCTATCAGCATCAGTACTGTTTTTCCATCAGTCACCTACTCCTCAGATACGATTCAATGCTTTCAATGTCTCTCCAAGGGCCATCCAGTGCAACCCACGACAATCTTTCACCCACATAGATCGTATTTGCGTAGGAAGTGGATGTGAGGGCCGATGTCTCATAGCTTTCGGCAAGTATTGTATGACCAGAGATTGAAGATGCTGTTTCAGCCGAGGTCGGGACGTTTCTACGTCTGTAACAGATGCCAATCTATGTCCATCGTGAAAGAAGGGCGCGCGTGATCTTGAATGCTTACTAAGAGTGCCTTGGTTCGCTGCTCATTCAGGCCTGACAGCATCCTTGACATGGATAGACAAGCCCTAGTGTCGTCTAGGACGTGTAGAGCGCCGTTGCAGGCGAGGCTGGAAGCAAGGCAGGGAACAAACACGGCGTCAGTCAGGAGTGTGTTGTCGATTCCCTCATCGAGTCCACTCTTCTGCAGAATCTTAGAGTCCATAGTAATGTCATCCAGCTGTCGGTCACCTACTAAGGAGCCACCAGACTCATCCAAGGACGAACAAACGCCCTCGGGGAAGTAATCTGTCCAGTAAATTGCTTGAGAATTCGGTGTGCTCTTAAGAATCTTTAGGTCATCTTGGGAGGGAGACCCCATGCCGCTCAAGGCTTGCGCATTTAGGGCTGTCGGGACTCATCCAGACACAGAAAATGGTATTCAAGCTTTGACACGCTTTCGACTTCTTACAGCAGCTCAGACTTCACTTAATTGACATCATGCCACTGACCCACAAAGTTCGCCGATGGTACCACAGAGGCGTTCTTGATTTCGTACAAATGAGAGGAACACAGGGCCTTTGAGATGCTTTTCAGGCGACATTGGTATACCAAACGAGGATGAATATCCGAGTGGTCGATATATAACTCGCTCGCGTCAATAAATCACAATAAATCAAATCATGCAGGAGAATCGTCCATCAGCTGGGCCTTTGGAACCAACTAAACCAACAGTCAGCACAATAAGATATTTGATACCCTAGAAAAGTAAACGTACCACAATGCCAACAGTCCAATACTCCTTCGGGGTCATACTTGCGCTTCACATCTAACAGGCGCGGATAGTTTGATCCCCAAAAGGCTCGTTCATGATCTTGCTCATATACGTTCGCCTCCGAAGCATAAGCACCGCTCTCTGGAGTCAATTCCACTAGAGGAAGAATCGCCTGTGTGCTGGCTCGATAGGCGGCTTTGACGCCCTCGACACTCGTCTGATAGTTCCAGAAATTACCCGTCACAACGCTCCAGAGACAGTCCCGCCATGCCTCTGTCACACTGGTTCCAAAATTACCCGACTCTCCATGAGAAACTGGGGAAGAGGAGACGGGAGAAGGTGGTGACTGAGGGGTATAGTTGACCGGACAACTTATGAGCAGCTGTTTGAACTGGGCCGTAGTAGTACCGCGAAGAATCGCATTCTGAAGCTCTTCGCGCTTTTTAGGTGTCGTGAAGTGTGATTTTGGTATGAGACGTGAAGCAGGGGCACCGGGGAGGCCAACCGGCTATATGCAAATTGGTCAGAGAGCCATTAGGCACTGAGGAGAGTAGACTGACATTCGTTCCAACAAATTTATCATAAAAGCTCAACCAAGAAGGCGCTTCTTCAAGCACAAAGGTCCCATTGACGCTCTTGGCGAAGTCACTGTATGGCTTGAAGGAAACGGAGGCTTCGTCGAGGGAAAGGCGAGGGTTGATAAACGTCACCAAGCTGGTCTGCATCCCGCATGGTCAGCACCACCATCCAATCATGGAGGCAGACATACCCCAACTATTCCAGACCAAGCTTCTTTCGACCACTTGATCGCATTTTGTACTCCGATTTCAACCACTTTTTGCCAGTTGTCTGCAGACGGAGGAAACGTGATCTTTGCCCTATGCAAACCCGGTCAGCGCGCGCTAAACTTCTTTCAAGCAAGTCAAACGTACGCAATCAGCTTCACAGGATTCGCCTCTACTCTAAATGTGGCCTCCAAAACGACCCCAAATGTCCCGCCGCCACCGCCACGCAGCGCAAAGAACAAGTCGGCGTTCTGACACGGGTTGGCGACGAGGTACTCGCCCGTCGAGGGCACGACGACTTTGAATTGCAAGACACGGTCCACGCCGAGGCCGAGCGTGTTTGAAAGAAGAGAGTGTCCGCCGCCTTGGACCCAACCCCCGGCAGGTGCGACAGTGCGGTCCGTTCCACCAACAAAAGTGAGGTTGTGCGCCTCTGCGAAATCATATGCTTGTCCAAATACGGTTCCAGCCTGATCGTGAGGAGGAGGATCAGCTAGTCTCCACGTACTGTAGCTGGGAAGATGCTCACGCCAATGATCATCGCCGGCACAGGATCGGATTCAGAACACGAGTCGGCTCGAAAGGCTGGGTCGTACGAGATCTAGAGATAACTCATGGTCAACCATCATAGCAACAAGCGGCCGCGCGTGTTGCTGAACGCACTGAATATTGCGCACCGAGAGCGTCAAAGAATCCGGCGCACTTGATCGACCGATGTAGTCATGACCGGTGTTTTTGATGGCTATTCGAACGCCCGTGGATTTGGCAAACGCGAAAGCTGCAGTAACATCTTCGGCAGTTTGAATGTCAACCTATGTAAACTCTTCAGTATCTTCTCAGTACATAATGGGTGAGAACGGACGTAATATTTTGAGACGCTCCCTTGATGGCAGACTGCCTGATCGCCAAAGGCAGCTGGATTAGCTGGGTTCTGCCAGTCGAGCGTACAACCTTGGCCAGTTGCTTGACATGTCTCCCATTGGGGCTACACAAATGCGCAACGAAGTTAGCTAGTCAGCTCCATCCTCAGAGAAAGCCACCCACGTTCATATAAGAGCCCATGTATGGTAGGCGGTACTTTTCGCTGAGGTATCCAGCTTGAGCATCTGAGCACACTGGCGAAATAGTGTCGTTGGTCGAAAAGTCGTGTTGGGAAAAGCAGGCGCTAGCAAAGGGTGCACCGTCTGCACGTAATCGTCCACTGACGGTAGCATTAAATGTGCTCCATTGCTCCGGGGATACTGCTTTGATTGACATGTGTTGGATTTTGCTCCTTGAGAAAGAGGAAGACGAGGATGGGTCAGAAGTCGTAGGAACGAGGCCATGGGTGGTGTCTACATTGTTACGAACGCTTTCGTTGATGTTCACGGCTGATGATGACGGTGCGGAAGGGAGCTTGTTGGATGTCACATTGAAGAAGGCTTGGAGGAATACTGGGAAGAGGGGGGAGTTGACCATCCTGAGTCTCCAGCAGACGATATGAAATTGCAGTGGGATCTTGCGAATGACCCAAGCTATATTTATTATGAGAGGGGTGGGGTGCACCGTCGTGGGCAGAGCCTCGCCTGATGCACGGGGGGTCGCGAGAAAGGGTCGATGATTGGCGGTCTCAGGTTTGTATAAGCCTGCTTGGATTGTGTGCATACGGCTTTGCGCCAGTTCATTCCATTTGGGGTCCTCGAGCGCAAACTCGGTGCTTGGGCTATCGCCGGGTCCGTCGAGGAGCGTTCGGCATACAGTCCCCGTCCTGCGGCGGTCTTCTATCTTTACATTTGAATTCCCACCCTATAATGCCTCGCCCTTTGCCGTTGGGCTCCACGTTTGCTTGGTGGGCCTTTTCCGTTTCCAGATATCCAGAAATGTTGCCCATTCGGCTTTCCGGCTCGCTTTAACCGTGTGTCGACTCTTGTTCCAGGCTGCAACCAGTCTCAATTTTGTCTCGCGGGTCGGAGGATTCGAACCGCCGGTCGCGAAGCACGCATGTTGTCAGAAGATAGTCGGATCACTGCGAATTATTGCATCCATTCGCTTACATTTGCCGGCCGTGTCCCTTTGGCCGTCCGTGGCGGAGTCTAAGTTGAGTGTGCTGCGAACCACCGGCGCCGTGGCAGCAATATACTGGATTCTTTACATGCTGGAGACTCCAGGAGGCAGATTTCGTCTGGTACTGACACTCTGACCGCACAAAACCGACCGGCGCTTGCTTTACACCGTGTCTTTGACGATGTCCATGGTACCATTGTAAAAGTGACCCTTTAATTGTTGATGTGCCTTTTCAGGTCCACTACGCTGGTTCCAAGGCAGAACTATAGAGGTGACCTTTGATAGGTGTAGGAAAGATAAATACCTTTGCCAATCATAATCTGTACATCTCGTCTCGACTACGTCTGCACAATTCGTACGATGAGCACAAATAATGGACCAATCATTGAATACCCCACTCGAGTCAGTAGGCGCGGACCATTATGATACTGTGGTTTGCACGACCGTCAAAGCGCCTACTTTGCCACAAGCCACGGATTTGCCACACCTTGCTCAACTTTAAAAGACCACTCGGCGCCAGTCAATATTCGACTCAACCACAACACATGGCTGCAAACCCAGAGTTGGAATCTGCTCTCACATCGTTTGCCGAAGCTTGTACGTGAATCCAACATTACTCAAAAACTACTAAGCACAGTTTACAGCCCAAGAGTTCTTCGACGCGTCATGGAGGCCCAAAGCTACCGTAATCGCAGTTGCTGCACCATCCGCTATACGCAAACTCCTCTTGCGTCAAGACTTGGACGCTGATGAACTCGCTATTGAAGCACACAAGCTCCAGATGGAGACGTATACCAACAACGTTCAAGCCATCAAGAATGGCGGTGACGATCCTACTCCCCAAGTTGGATCCGTAGGCAGCCTATTTGACACTGCGGCTAAGAAACTGGGCAAGCTACTCGAAGACGACTCAGAGAACGTCGATGCGGTCGCCAGTCTTGTCAACCCATCCATCGCACGTGCAACTTGGAAGTGGTTCACGCTTCCATATCCCGTGTTCTGCTCCATTCAAGCAAAGTTCATCTCAGCTGAACCAGAAAGAAAGCGCGTCCACGTCGAGCCGGACGCGAGCGGCAAAGAGGCAGACGTGAGCACAAGCGTCGACCATTGGATCTTGAAGAACGAAGAGTGGCTCAGAAACAGGCGTATTTCTGATCCTGCCGCCAATTGGCGCGTGGGTCTCGTTGGACTTGATGGAATGTCCAACGACGTCTGGTCGGTTTCCGAGCTCGGGGAAACATATCGAAAGATCACAAGAGCTCCAGTTGACGGCTTTATGTTCCTTGATGCGAGAAAAGCAGCTCATATCTATATCCAGCCAAACGCACAACGTTTCAAGGACAGCTTTGAACGATTGACGAGTGGTCAACTCAAGGGGCTGGATTGGTCCAATATATTTGTCGCTGGTGGAAGTGTACTCGGATCACTACTCTGCGTCGACGGCGTCGAAGACCCAATCAACACACCCAAACAGTGGGAATCGTCGGATATCGACGTCTATATCTACGGCCTGGATCCAGAGGAAGCAAACAAAAAGGTTCATCATTTATTCGACGTATTCAAAGCCAACCTCCCAGCCGATGCACCAGTGCTCGTCGTACGCAACACAAAAACAATCTCCTTCATCTCCAACTATCCCACCCGAAGGTTCCAGATTATTCTTAAACTGTGCCCAAGTCCTGCTGAGATCCTTCTCAACTTTGACTTGGACATTTGCGCAGTCGGATTCGATGGAACGGAGGTGTATATGCTTCCACGTGCTGCAAGGGCTTTAGAAACTGGTTATAATGTATGGACCATGGAAATGGTTCAGGGCCACTACCTCGGCACCCGGCGAGCCTCTCAGGAGCAACGGTACGTTGATACAAAAGTTACAATATTCTTGAATAAATTCCTGGTAGCGTGTTCAAGTATGCAGACAAAGGCTATGGAATTCGCATCCTACCACACTACCTCGCTGCGCTCAAGGCAGTAGACGCCACCAGCATTCCAAAGTACTACGGTATCAATTTCGAGGAAGGAGATCCCCTCAACTTACAGTCTCATGTCAACGAAGCCCGCAAGTACTTTGACACCGTGTTCAGGGTCTATATGAAGTGGACAAAGAACGGCGAGACAATCAAACCGCATTATGTCTTGGGAGCGTGGAGCGGCTCACAGAAGTACGATCAAAATTCGAAATCGAAGCAAGGGCAAAAGCGCCTGCCAGTCCTTTCGCATGCATTGCTCGATACCGATGAGCAGATTACCTCTGAACCGCTGAGAAGGGGTTGTCTCACAGGATTTGAACTACTCTATCGCCATGTTGCGCTTTGGGAAGCACAAGAGCAGGGGAGACTCATAATCAGACCAGACGTGTGGGCAAGTACGACTGTAAGAAGTTTATGGAAACTACGCGAAGCGATATTTACGGTACCTAGTATGAGGAAGTTTACTTCTCAAACTCATACAACGACCTTCCGCAGTAAGTGCGTCCATCTGATAAAGCAGAAAAGTTTCTAACTTGCGATGGTAGATATGCCTGGGATGAGACATTCTCAATCAAGGATTTTGTCGATCGAGTGGAAAAATTCAACGAGAGCCAGGTATCAGCAGCCTGTCCTTCGGACCTCAGATGTACTTCCAAATTGTGCGCAACGTCAAATACTGACGATGTCGACAGGGTCTAATCAGAAGCGATACGACGAGCTTTCGGAGAAGATTGTCGTGCGACGTATCATCTGTGGCTCCACGCTGGATGAAGTTTTTGCAAAAGACATCGTAATTTCAGTGTGGATTCCGCGCAAGTTCGTTGACTACATGTCCACTGTGCTCAAAGAAGTCTACAAGGACCATCCAACACTGGCGAAATCCGAGATAATTCGCTCAGTTGAAGATGATATCGAGGTTCTGTGTCATATTACGCTCGACACCATCGCTATGTGGCAGCAGATTGACAGGAGAGTAGACGAGTGCGTGTTCATTTTCAAGCTCGGGTCTTTGTATATTGACTCGGAATTCGTAGGCTCCTCGAACTCGTATGGAGCTTTGTCTTTGCTAACCAGGGGCCGGCTGGAGAGAGTAGGCATAAACTCAAGCTGCTTAAGCGACAAATTTCCCGTCGAACGGCACGCTCAAGGGCGGAAGACGAATTATTGAGCTTTGCATCATGGGTCGCGAGGGACCCTGGGCCTATTGGCGGGGAGAATTATGGAGCGATGGGTCAAGGTTTCTGGTCGGAGTGCTTTCCAGGCTCTGACGCGGAACAAGAGGAGGATGGGATGGATCAGGATAATGAAGGTGATGATGACAATGAACCTGAGGAGGACACTGCTGAGGATAGCGAGTATGTGGACTCGCAGGGGGAGCGGGATTAGTCTACGTCTTGCCACTCCAATTATCCCAACCGAAATCTATCAATGTCAACTTCCTCGCACAACGCCACTGAATAAAAAATGAATCGACGTCAGTCAAGATAAACAGCCGTCTACGCGCAAGTATTATGGCCACTCCACTGTGTTCCTTATATCCTGTCTTTTCTGTGAAGATGAGGATCTCTGTGGATATTTGCAGGATTTTTCCCTTGGCCACCTCTGTGCATCACACTTGAACTCCGCCACATAGCGTCATGGCAGCAGCATCTACGGAAAACTTCTACAAGGCAGAATTGAACAGGACAATGCGGGAGAATGCGTTTGGTCTAAAGAGCTGGACGATGATACCTGCGTCATCGACTGCAGACGAACTTCACTCCGCTGTAGTGCGAGTAGAATTGCTCGAGGGCATGACGGTCTATATCAGACTGACATATGTCGGTTACGAGGTGAGTATTCGCCTTCTTTTTATTCATGATTTCGATGTGGAGCCAGTGATTCTAGACCGCTTTACTGATCCGCGCCTTGTGCAGATTATCGCGGATCCAAGCACACAAGAGTCGCAAAGCCCGCAGATGGAAATATCCGAGTCACTCGACGAGCTTTTGCGAGCTCTCAGTCCAGCGTTCAATCAGGCGTACACCGAAAAACTGATGACCCGGTTGAACCGAGTGCTCGTTCACTGATGGCCGAATGACGACGGCCCTCGTAACTTAATCAAGTCATCACTCCCTGTTATCTATACATCATCTACGGCCTACGTTACATAATGGCGCTATTTACAGTCGGCTCTTATACCTTTTATCACCCTTTACGGGCTCACCAGACGCTCGTAGCCTCTTTTCACGCTCTCGACGCTCCTCTCTTTTCCAGTCCCAATGAATCTCTTCGCGGTTCAAAGCCTCAATGAACCGTGGAGCACGATTCATCTCCCATGCAATTCTCTCCCGGCGTCCGGCCTGTCCAGGCGCATCGACCTCAAAGCCCTCAGGGGCCGTCCCATATCCGATCTGGGCCACTTCGAGCAATATTGACGCGGTCAAGCCAGCAATTGGCTTAGTCCCCGAACTTTCTCGTCCAGTCAGAAAGCTGTGGATGCGAACCTTTGTCGGCCCCCACTCCATGTCATGAAAGGTGTGATATTGCGTCGGATTAATGCGTGGAGGAGGTGGTCCAGCATACTTTTCGTCTTGTTCGTGGAATTGCGATGGTGCCGCATTCGCGACATCGTCCAGAGCAGTGTCGGGCAAGAATGGAGAAGCGCTTGGGAGCGGAAAGGGTGCACGGTCGTGGAGAAACGATGCTAACGGATGGGAGAAGAGGGTATCAACCTCGGGTGCATTGAGGATTGGCTGAGTAAGGTCAACTCGTTGCTGCGGATGGAGGACAAATCACCTACACGAAGTGTCGGATCCGTAATAAGTACGACGACGCTGTTACGTCTCGGTTCATGTCAATTTTAGAGTTCTCTTGTGGATTACGTACGGTGTGACAATAAGATGGGAGCGAGCAAGAAATGGTGGTAGAATGCATAAGAGGGGTACTCGTCGTTTATCCCGAGGCAACCCTATCTATTGAAGAGTTAGAGTGCGTCCTTCTTGAACTAAGTATTGCTCGCCTCCTCAAAAGCTTCACGTCTCTGCAGAAGTCAGGAACGTCCTGCAATCAAAACTGAGCTTACTGCAGTCTCTTCAAGCGTAGCATCTTCCTTGTCAACTCGACCACCAGGCAAAGCGGTGTCTCCGGCATAGCTAGACAACGAAGCCGACCGTCTACCTAAGAATCAGGCGCCTTGACTCAACGTAACGTGCGTGAGCTTACCGCGAAAGTAATACGTATATATCACCCCATCTCCCGACAAATAGTGCAACAAGAACGGCAGCAGATTGGGAACGCGGGTATGGTGGGGTCGCTGGGGGCTCGTATTCAGCAAGTCGTTTGAGACATCTGGTATCCTATTTGTTAGACAGTACTACGGCTCGCCTTGAAGTGCGTCCTGTAAGAGTCAACTCACTGTCGAGAACTCTCTTTAAACGGAACGACGAGTGCAGTACGCGCTACTCTTCTTGGTTTATGTAACTCTAATAGTGTTGGGATTCCAGATTTCCGAGTCGACATGGTTGGGAGCCAGTGTAATGCGCCACTTGGACCTTGCATCTGCCGGGCCAAAATTACAACTTATCGACGTTTGGATATCCAAACGCTCTATCTCAGTGCACAGGATTTGAATATGGACGCTCAGAAGCCTCATGCGCTCACACCGCTGCAAGAGCGCCGGATTATGGTATACATCGAGGACAAACTGTTGGATATTACGCGTGCTTTCCAGAAGAGGTGCAGCTCTTATGGTTTTCCATGTCCAAATGACTGATTGAAGGAGAGGCATATGGCCTCGTCAGCACTCCAGACACTGCCCGCATACCTTACGGCGATGAGAGGTCTGATATTCGACATTGTTATGCATATATCACCCATCGTGCCGTCTGGTCAACTTCGCTCGTCGCTCTTGCTCCGCTTGACGGCCGACCTCCTTGAAGCTGTCACTGGATATCCCGCGTTTCTCCCTTCCAATACATCTCCTGCAACAGAAAATACAGGGACAAGTGAAGATGGAAGCGCTGCAGGTGATGGAGAGGATGTCATGAGCACATCGGGGTCAGAGGGTGGCGTCAAACGGGAAGACAGCGATGCAACAGCCACAAGCAAAGATCAACGATATCCACTTGTCGAGCTATACGATACGCTGGAAGATCTAGATCGTGCGTGGTCAGCCGTACTTTCGTGCCAGGTCTGGAACGCCACTGCGCGCAAAGGGGAAGATATGATCATCGACGCGCCTCTACGACGTCAAGGAGACCGACTAGAGCATAGATTCGAATCGGAGGAGAGGCTCAAGACCGAGGAAGAGGAAGAAGACCTGCAGATGGATGAGGAGCGCAGAACAGCTGACGGGGTCGATGGCATTGAGCTCTACGCACCGAGTGAGACGGAACAAACCCGACTACGGAGTATGATCGTGACGGGCATGAGTGCGATTGAGGACTGGTTGGAGGACGCAGAGGCTCCAGACCAAGCGAAGCAGCCATTCGAGTACGCCTTCAGTACGACATTGGAGCTCCTTGGAGAGGACAGAAATGCGGTCTCGTGGGAGGACGATACATTTGTTGGCTGTGGTGCTAAATAGCAAGGCAATGTAATACTCAGAAAGTGATCTACAAAAATGTTTAGAGATTCTAGTCAATGTTCGTCCCTCAGGGTCAACGGTGGATTAGACGCTTGCCTGCCCACCGCCCGGTGCTTGCTGGGACTCACAACTACACTGGACGCGCAACAACCAGATAAAGCGGAACCTGGACGCGTGTATCAATAATGACGGCAAATATGCCTGCACTCGCCGTGACATATATCGATACACCAGCGACAATCGATGGCACAGAACTGAAGTCCCCCAATGTCACAAATGTCACAAGAGATTCGGGCCACTTACACGAAGAATCTTCTGTGCGTAGTGTGGTCAGTATACTCGTTGGTACATGATCAAGGATTATATTTACCCCGAGTTAGGGCGTGCCTTCTGCAAATGTGCTGCAATGTTCAAAATGGACATGTAATCTTGCGCAATGCTCGAGATTTTCTAGGGAGACCCGTCGACAAGTATGGCGCACAGCTTATGCTTACCCTGATGTTAACCAGTGTCAGACGTGTCGATGTGTGCACACCCTGTTGCATTGAGCCACTTAAACCGCCCAAAAATCATGTACCATCGGCCCATTTGCCACCCATTCGAGTCGGTAGAGATTACAGCCACTTAGAGCCTACTCATTGATTTACAGCCAAACGCGAAACGGTCCTTAACATCAGGAACTTATTCTCCAGCCATTAAACCTGACGAACTCGAGGCAATTGTAGAAGCGAACCAATTTCAAGACACTGAACTGGGACAGACGATCCCGCCGGTTCCGCTTGGCCTATCTGCAACAGAAGTCGATCAAGTGCGGCAGGTAATAGTTCGACTCGCCAGCAGTTATAGGCAGGGTCCTCCTGCGACATCAGTGGGTTCGAGAGTACACAAGTCTGCCTCACAGCGTCAGTTTGAGGCCGTCCTTACCGCTTGGCCTCAAGAACTCTCACTACTGGAGGAAGACAAGGGACGATTGAAGCAACTGCCTGCCGCGGAGCAAAAGAAGGCCCAAGAGGAGTTTGATCGAAAAGTTCATGACACTGTGGGAAAATACATGGAGTACCTGCGTGTGGTTCAGGGCACCTTCCTTCACCGAGATACTCAGCCGAGTGAAAGCCCAAGTGACACTGAGGATTGCAAAGAAGAAATCGATGCGAGTTCTAAGGCCGCAACGTTTCACCTGGACCCACATGACCCCGAACACCCTGATTTAGGAGAGCTTGAGGATGAGGCTCATGGGTTCTCCATCAACAGCACCGAAGCTGATGAGTCCGACATCTACTCACGAATGCAAACAGACAACGAAGAAGATACTCTAGGGCTGAGAAATAGCATTCCAAACATTGAGCCCCCAACATTGGTCGCCTGGCGTGGACTATCACCTCTAAGTTCACGGGATAGTGTTGACGAAACTCCTATGCCAGCCCGCCCTAGGCTGCTCTCGTTGCCCGCGGGTTCCAGCTCTGACGGTGGTGATGTAGGAACCAATTTTCACATAGCGGCGAAAGGTCTATCACTTGAGCTGGCTATACCAACGGTCATGCACGCCCACACCCCCGAGGCCGATAGGTCACCAATGACTCATAGCACAGACCTTAGCGACGTAGATGGCGGACTTCCTAGCTCGTACACTACTTCTTCCTTTGAAGGCTACAAAGGAAGGCTACCCGAACTTGACAAGGATATGGTATTATGGAAAGACAAAATATTTTCATACCGCGGGTACTACTCAACTTTCTACAAATGTAGATACGAGGACCAAGACGTAGCTATCAAGGTCATCCAGCATACACACGCACTGCATTCTACTCGCAGGGCAAGCATCTTTTGGGGATTTTCGCAGAGTGAGTGCTCAACGAGGTGTAGAAGTTTAATAGGGAATCCAGAGTATGGTGGAAGCTTGATCATCCAAATATCCTTCCACTCCTTGGGGTCCTGAAGGATCCTGAGCTCGGTGAGTTTGGAGCTCTGCTATCTACAGTGAGCTTCCGTCAACAGACTTGTCATTGAACATGATACTAATATCATCTAGTTTCGACAAAATGGCTCTGCTGATCTGTTTATCCAACGCGCTAGTGTCCGCGTGGAAGACCGCTTGAAACTGGTACATATGACATTGCCCAAAACCTTTATTCTAACAAACAGTAACTGCAAGACGTCGCACAAGGCGTTAATTATCTCCATACATTTCACCCAATCGTGATTCACGGTGATTTGAAACCGGTATGTCTGCTGTTATACAGTACAGGAACTTCAATGATAAGTCTACCCAAGGCCAACGTGCTCATCACAGACGACAACGTTGCTCAATTATGCGATTTTGGACTCACGCGCGTGCTATTTAGCGACATTGATACGGCAGGGTTGACAACCACTTCTGCGCACAGTGGCACGGCACGATACCTCTCTTTTGAGCTCGTGCAAAGCAATAATGCAAAGACGACGTGCGAATCAGACATTCAGGCACTAGGGTGTATTGCACTAGAAGTAAGCAATCACGTTTACTGGGACAGTTACCTATCTAAGACTTGACCTAGTTCCTTTGCTTGCAGTATCCATACGCGAACCGGGTAGGCCCCTACGCTCTGGGTGGTGTATTTGCAGACATTGCCAACGGAAATCCACCTGCGACTCGACCAGATGGTATCTCTCATCCCGGGCTAGACAAGCTTTGGCAGATCCTCAATGCGACTTGGAATAAATGCCCAGATCGTAGACCAAAGGCGTCGGATGTATGCGATAAACTCATGCTGCATGCAGCCGACATCCTGAACGGGCCCAAACACTATGGTATACAGTGATTCATTTGCCCACAGCTGTCAGTTTGAAGGATCCATGTGTTGTATTAGCTTTTACGTATCATGTTTGGAGGATAATTTAATAGGATATTCATTCTACTACATACGGCTTGTGTATGCAATATGGTATGGATACATTGCTTGTGATTATTGTACAGCGATGGGTTCATGTCTTTTCCCAAGGGTGGCGTACCAACTCCTCATAAAGTTCGTCGGGAATGTCTCGAACGAGGGTTAACGCAATCGCGCACACTTCTTTTGCGTTAAATTCGGGAAACTTGCGCAGTAACGTATTTGGACTGGGGGTTCGTCAGCAAAGTTGCAAACCAGAAGGTGGCTCACTCACCGTTCGCTACTCAGGAGATCTTGACGAATGACCACCATTTGGGCAATAACGCAGAGGATGTTGAGATGGACACCATAAGCGAGTAGGAAATCCCAGAGTTGAAGTACTTGGTTCAGAGGCGGAGTGCATGCGCACAAGGTGAGTACGGAAGGGAATGCGTAGATTTTCGCGACGAGTCCCTTTGAGTGGAGATGTGTATATAATTCGGGATCAAGGTGTTCGAGACACCGTTCGAGAAGCTGGAAAGGTGTCAGAGTGAATTGTGTTGTGAGTATCAGGGACTCACATCTACACCGCGATGTACACCATCGAGATTCTTCTGGACATATTGTGGGCAGCAATGCTCGATAAAGGCGGAGAAAGCGTAGAATGCCTCGATCTCGGAGGGCATAATAAAGAGAAAGGGTGCGACGAGGGCGTTCATTCCCTGAACGTAGCCAATATTAAGCTCATGGTGCTCGTCGTTGCGCCATACAAAGGCATCAAGGAGGCGCACGAGCATGCTTTCGCGTACGCGCTCTGTGAATACACGGTTGCTTGCAAAAGTTCTGATGGCAGATTAGAATTGTTGGTGGAAGCACAGGCTAGGCGTACCGAAAAGTGTCGTTGCGAATCTTTTCGCTCAGCCTGCATGGCCCACGACGGACGAGGTTGAGATATTCTTCACCGTCGACTCTTCCGACTTGAAGGAGAATCTTCCATATTCGCGGGCGGAGTGTCGGATCCTAGTCAACGTTTAGAAACGGGGCCGCTACTGCCCAAATGCTCACCATTTCGACGGGAATACCGTCCGCGAGGATCATTCCTCTAAGTCTCTTGAGATCTTCTTTGACGGCGTCTGGATCTCGATGCGCCGTCTGCCCATTCTTGAGTAACTTGTTGAATGTGGACGCTCGTCCTCGTGCGGATGCGGATGCACTGAGTGTGACCCCAGACGAGGATCTTGGTGTTCCAGGTAGACTCCCCGAGTGCGTACTGCGCGGTGACGGGCGCAGCGATGGTCTTGGGGACGCACGGGGCGAGTTGCGCGGGCTCGGACGGGGCGAAAGGGGTTTGAGAGAGGCCATTTGGCGCCGTCCAAGTCAGCTTAGACGTGCGTATGGTACAAGAGCTTTAGTCGGCGGCTGTCAGGGTTTGCAACTTGGACTCTACCACTTCCATCTGCTCAAGCCAGATATCAGCAGACCCGCATAGAATCAAATCTACATCACCATCATGCGTTCCAAGTTTAAGGATGAGCATCCCTTTGGTGAGTACCATTCGTGCACGCCGTCTGTGGCGACTGCGCCTGGCGCGTGCGTGTCTGCGAGAGAGCACGGGCTGACGACGAGATTCCAGAGAAGCGCAAGGCAGAAGCTGAGCGTATCAGACAGAAGTATCCAGACCGGATCCCTGTAAGTCCACCTCAGCACTCCACGCAAGCCACGCACGCCGTATCACCTAAGCGGCTTGCTCCGTCATCTCTCTGTACTACAGATACAGTCACTAATCACATCCATGTCGCCAGGTCATTTGCGAAAAGGCGGACAAGACTGATATTCCAACGATCGACAAGAAGAAGTATCTTGTCCCGTCTGTTTGTATCCTTCTTTCGACTATTAAATGTCACAGCTAACGCTCCCCTCATAGGATCTCACCGTAGGCCAATTCGTCTACGTAATACGAAAGCGTATCAAGCTCGCGCCGGAAAAGGCCATTTTCATCTTTGTCGATGAAGTTTTGCCGCCGACTGCAGCTCTGATGAGCGCCATTTACGAGGAACACAAGTACGTGATACCTCGTCTGACTCTCCGCGACGGATCTAACATGACGTTGAAACAGGGATGAGGACGGGTTCCTCTACGTGTCGTACTCTGGGGAGAACACGTTTGGGGCGTAGATTCTTGCTCCGGTACCCGTGCGGGCTACCCCTCGCACATCTTACGATCCGACGTCTCCATCTTAACGGCTCATTCTCCGAAAGCGCTTTGTATATCGTAAATGCAATTTTCAATTACGTCTCTCGTTATACCTTTCTGCGTTTCTTTCTGGGAGAGTCGACGTCCATCTGATTGTCCTCTTGGTCCAAAAGAGGTGTAGAGTCCATCGAGACATCGCTGTCGTCGTCTTGGACATTTTCTAAGCCGCGTTTGAGCGCTTTGACTTTGCGTGTTTGCAACTTTGACAAGTCTTGTTTGGCAATGTGGATGCGACCACGGAGGTCGCCCATCTCGTCGACCTCTTTGTTGCGCATCTTTTTCTTGTCGCCCAAACCACTCTCCACGTCCCTTTTAGCGAGCTTGGGACGCTTGAGGCTGGCTGCTAGGAGGACTGGATCTGGCTGCATGTGTCTTCTGAGCACGAGGTCGAGCGAGGGACCCATGGGGACCAAGTCTACGTAGGGTATCTTGGTGTTTGATGATTTGAGTGCAATGGTGTAGGTTCTGAGAAGGATTGGTGGGAAGAGCGATGGGTCGTCGTCGATTGACCCTGAGAGTGGTGTCGTGGTGGAGGATGGAGGGAGAGGACCTAGTTGAACGGATATGACGTGCTCAATACCCCGGAGTGCGATTGTGTCGATTGCTTCAGCGTTGAAGAGGCAGAGGAGTAAAGAGCGGACTTGTGCGAGTCGTGGGTGTGTATCAAAGAGTGGGGACGCAAAATGCATTAGTGGTTTGTATCCTGGTGTTGATTTTTTCGTCTATAAGAGCATGGTCAGTCTTCTCGGTGCAATAACCCCCCAAATACGCACTTTGTACTCTTCCATGGGCACAAAACGCTGCACACCGAGTTCGCACATGTCGAGGACTTTGCCATCAAAGGTTCGCACGAGCGTGAGGTTGTCTGGTCGTTTCTTTGTAGAGGTGCCGACGACGAAAAAAGTCGCGTCGTTTTTGGCCGACCAAAACTCGAGTGAAGTCATTCCTTCTGGTTCAAATGGATGAATCACATTCTTTTTTCGAAAATGAAATGGCGTGCGGTCGTTTGAGGGCCATCTATCTCGATTTTTTCCAAGATGGGTTCGTCTACAAAGGCGAGGAAAAAACTCACAAGATCTTTCATGACACCGTTGAGGACTTGACCGGTGTGACTGCCGCGCACAAAGATTGCTGTTCGCTCGTCTTCCACCTCTTTGGGTGCGCGAGCTTCGAGAGCGCGTTTGGAGCGCGCATTTCGTGGGACACTGTTCAGATCGATATTAGATTGACTGGCTTGTAGGCGAAAAGCAAGGAGCGGTTACATTGGTCGTAGCATGGCCATGGTCGAAGAGTGGCAATCCTCCAAACATGACACGAGCAGAGAGAATAACGTCTTTATTTCGTTTCAAGAGGTTAGACGACACTGGTAACGCTACCGAGGACCTCTTCGACTTCTTTAATTCTACCCTCCAACAAGGAAATCGTCGTGTCTAAACCGAGCACGACACCTTCATCCTGTCCAATGCCCTGTTCGACTTTTGTGTGAGCAAAATCAATCAGCTTGACGGCATAAGCTGGGATGATGCCATCGCGTGCAGACGGCTGAGCCGCCGCGGGGTCCGCAACGGCGCCGACGAGCGTGGTAATTGTCTCCTTTGCTTCTTCTTTGCCTTGAATACTCTGCTCGGTTACGTTTTCGATAATGGCTTCTTCATGTGCATCGAGTGCGCGTGCGAGTACGGTCGGGTCACCTTCGTAAATGATCAAGACGCTACCGCCGACCATGCGCAATTCTGTGCCGGCAATGGCCGTGCGAATCTCCCTTATGGCACCGAGGATGCCTCGGAGGACAGGGAGTAAGAGCGCAGGAGGTGTGCCTGCTGGCGATGGCTCGAGTTGCGTCGGACCGCCTGGGAAGTATTCTAGTCATGATAAGTGAATAGAGGGGCGGGCTCACCTTCCTGTTCGGGCGTCGGGGAGGAGAGAGCGACGAGGGGAGTCTTGATTGGGAAAAAGCGAGCCATTGCCTCTGGGAGCTGCGCTACTTTGAGGGCGCGACCATAGTCTTTTGGAATGTTGATCGAGGACTGTGTTGTCGTGTCGTAGACCTAGATAGAGAACCAAATCGTCCGGTCAATGTTCAGGGAGTACCAATACAAAAGTGGAGTGGGAATGGATTCGAGGTGCAGTGCTAATAGATTGGGAGATGCGCCAGGGAGGAGACTGGACAGGAGAGCTGAGATGGATGGGTGACTTAGGGTGCGCAATCCGGCAGAGGTCCGAAGAGATGCGTAGGCTACTTACCTGAAAGCCCGTGATACGGACGCCCGTGTCAAAGCTAGTAGTTTCCTTTGCACTCTTGATCATGCGCTGCTTCTTTTCTTCAGAAGCATGTTCATCGTACAAGACTGTGCCGAGTTTGATGTCGAGAATGTTGGGTCTTGTAAACGCATGCGATAGGTTTTCAAGGATGAGGCCCTGTGATGACACAAAGACGAATGTTAATAACCGGAATGAGATCAAGAGGGATCTACAAGTCGGAGAGACGCGATCGCAGGTCGGGGAGCTAAGAGGTACTCATCTTTGCCTTCATCGGCCTCTGCGGGCGCGACGCCATAGAATCTAGGGACATGTTTTGCAAGAAGAGCAAATGCCGGGTCCTGGGCATGAATCACCGTCTCATAGAATGCGCGTTCTGCCGGTAAACAAGGCTTGATGATCTGAGCGCCGTCTGCGGAAGAACGGACGCCAGCATGACCTCCGACTTGCGATGTGAGCGGGATAGACGTGGATGACGACATGTTTCCTGTTACAAACTCGAAGTGGTTCCAGCCAAGTCGTCTAGCGAAGTCCAGGGGGCGCCCAAGGGAGGGCCTAGACAATAAGCGCGGCCAACGTCATGAGTATCGGGTAACGATATCGCTAATGAATTTTTGGGGAATATTGAATGTAATGTTGGAGAATACACGCACTCTAGGTGGCTACCACTGCGAATCCGGGGAGCGTCTGGTTTGTCATAAGGTCCTTTTGGTATCGTATCCAGGGATGATGGGATGCATTGGCCCACTGTTTGGGGTTCTCCCAATATAAGATTCTGCTTCCGACCCTGTTCTCGCTCTTGCTCTCCCCCTCTCCCCCTCGCTCTCTCTTATTTCCTCTTTTTCTCTTTCCTCTTTTTCGTCTGCATTTTAGACGACATTTTCCACACTCTCGGCCTTGAGCGCGCATTACGGCAGCCCCAAACTGCCTCGGAGTGGCTTTGTTTGCGGCCGCAATTATCTCCTACAACTTGAACCCGACGTCTTCAGCCTTTATACTGTAAATCAGTCAACCAGGCGTCCTTATCGCCCAAACCACTCGGCCCCTAATCCTCTAGCGGTCTTCCTCCCTCCGTCCTTTTTTCGCCCCTTGATACAAAGGTCGCCTTGCTGGGCCCCGCTTTTGGTACGTCTAAGCGTGTCCCTGCGCTCCTCGCTATTTTAACGGCGCTTTGTTGCTGACTGAATGGTTTTCGCGCGCAAAAAAATACATGACGTCTATCCTTTCGTCGTCGCTTCTTATTCTGCGGTTGCAACACATGATCTCGATTACAACTCTTCATCTTTGCCGACGTATCACAACAGCCCCTCAAACCAATCTTTGCCCCCCCCCTCCCCCGCACTCGTTGCAACTCGTCCAGACCCCCGCCCCGCAAATCTCAGTATTCTTGGTCAGTGTCTATGCCTTGACATGCTTCTTACTGACACTGAAGCAGACTTGGACCAATGACGACGAGCGTCGCGCCCAGCCATGTCACCTTTATCCGTCCCCAAGCTCCCCCTCCTCTCCGTATCCCAGATGTCGACTTGAACGATGGTGAATCGCCGTCCTCGGCTGCCCCCGTCCCCTTTCCCCGCATCTCTCAGCGTCGCAAGCTTTACAGAGGTGTCGGCACCCAGCCCTGGCATCACAAAGCATCCTCCGATTCAGACTCGGACAGCGAAACCAGTCAGACTCGTACCGCAAAGCAAAAGAGCCCAGTCCACCACAACCCTGAGATCATGCCGGGGTTCGATCCCAAGCGCACCTACTCCGAGTCGCAGCTCTACTCGCCCAACCCGTCCCTCCTGACGGCCTTTGGGACACCATTGATTCGCAAAAAGAGTGGCCAGGTCGTCAAGAGTGCCCTCAAGTCGCCCAGCACCAGCTCGTATGGTGGCTCTTCGCCACGCACGAGCGTGCCCCCTACACCCACCTCGGACAAGTCTGTCAAGTTTGATGAGCAACTCGAGCATGTTCGTCTCTTCCTCAAGGAACAGAGACCCGCCGCCGTTTCCCGCGAGGGTTCCCCCCACGACTCGGAGACGTCTGACAATGATACCCTCGGCCAGCAATCCGATGGCGTCTATCGCTCGAGTGAGGACGAAAGGCTGCGATCCAAGCTGGTCATGGAGACGGTCAATATCCCTCTCCGCAATGCCATGGAGTCGACACAGCAGCGTCTGGGCGATCTCGACATTCGACTCGAGCAAGTCGCCCTCTCTCACGACAATCGTGCCGTCGAGGGCACCGTCCTCGTGCGCAACATTGCCTATGAAAAGTGGATTGCCGTTCGCTTTACATACGACTGGTGGCAGACGACGAGCGAGGTCACGGCCAAATACTCAAAGTCGTTTCCCGAGGAGAATACGGATCTGTTCTCGTTTACCATTCGTCTCCCCGAGGTCACAAAGCGGATAGAGGACAAGCGACTCTTTTTTGCTCTCCGCTATACGGCTGGTGGCCGCGAATGCTGGGACAATAACCGTGGCTCAAACTATCAACTTCGCTTCAAGACGGAGACAAAGGTCCCGGCCGTTATCGCCTCGTCGTCGTCGTCGTCCTCCTCCCCCCGCTCCTCCTCATGGGCTATCAATTCGTCGGCAGACAAGTCGATCGCCGACCTCAAGCGCGAGCTCGAAAAGGTCGCGCGCGCAAACGCCGACGGCGACGACGACGACAAGGACCCTAGCGATGTGCGATCGTGGAACGTTCTCACTGCCAAATTGCGTGCAAAGAATATGCATACCGAAGAGAGTCGCGATATCAAAAAGGGTCTCGACCTCTCCAGCCGCTACAACTTTAATACGAGCTCCAAGGAACGATGGCAAGCGCCCAAGGACTTGCCTCGATATGGCGGGCCACCTCCAGAAACCGTGGCCATTCCCTTCCCGTCTGGCCGCCCGACGCACATCAAGTCGAGTTCGACCCCCGCCTTGGGACAGGCCTCGTGGCGTTCACCTCGTGGATCACCGCGCGACCATGGCTCGGAATCCACCGCCAGCTCTCCCAAATTTTTCATCGACCCGCGCGATGCCAGACGGTCTGGTGGTGGCATTGGGCAGAGCTCGCCTGGAGGCTCGCGCGTCCGCCATCACCAGCGTGGTGGATACTTTGATTCGTACATGGAGGGACTCTCGGGGCCGATCTTGACGCCTACGACTGGCGAGACACTTTCGACGCCCATGGCGAGCGAAGACGGCAGCCTGGACATGTCGACCTCGTCCAGCGTCGATTCGGCCGTCACCGTCACTGCCCCTTCGTACCCCTCAGAGAAGAGGGACGCACAGTCGCAGCAGCAGCATCAACCTATGCCAAGTGTCACGATCACAGAAGATAATTCTGAGACGACATCCGAATCGGAGAGCACGAGCTCGACGACTTCGGATTCGCAAGTCACGGGCACGACTTCGCCCATGAACAACGAAGACGCTTCCACGATGGTCGGCATCGAGCAGCAGCAGCAGCAGCAGCAGGCACGCTCGGCGATACGGTTCAATTCCTATCCGATGGACAGGACCTATCTTTCACCCGCCACGTCCAATACGCCTTCGCCATCTGGTTCGCTCTCCCCCAATGCTGAGCCGACGTCGGCATCGCTTGCTGTACCCAAGGTGGCTATTGGTGGTGGTAGCGGATGGCCGCTCAGCCCCCAGGGTTCTTCTTCGAGCGTCGTCAGTACGCCGTCGATCACATCCGCGTCCAGTCCTTCGCAGTGTCCCTCTTCGCCTTCAGAGCTGTCGGATAGCCTGCGCTCGATTCATCAACTGGCACCGGGCAACCGACCCACGTTGGACAGTGTGGATTATTCCTACTTTTTGCAGAGGTGGGCGTGCTTTCTGTTCCAGGTAGAACCAAATGCTGAATGGTCGTTATCTAGGTTCTGCTACTACACTGGCAGCGAGCTCCCTGTGGATCGACATGGGATGAACCTTGCATATGGAAGTAGCTACCATCGACAGACACAATCCGACTCATTGCCGTACCGCCGTCACTCGCTCGAGACGGTGCCCACAGTCTATGCGGAAAGTCGAACGGGGATCGAAGTCGCAGTGTCGCCTGGCTACGACGCGTCTGTTGTCATCAATGAGGCACCGTGGGTAGACGAACGCTCGACGTTGGGCCCGGTTGAGAGCCGAGTGCCCAACGCAACCATTGTCGAAGCAAGTGCCGATGGTGCTGGCTGGTCGAGTGGATCTGGCCACACGACGCCGACGCGCTCTCCCAAGCCGGCGAAGCGCCATCTGGTCATGACCGCAATCGAATCGAGTCCTAGCAAGCAATCGTCGACGACACCACGGCCCGAGGTTGCTGCAGTCGACGTCGAAGCGACGCCACGTCTGACGACAGATTACTTTGCGCGACCACACCGCGGATCGCTCTAAGTATTTGACATGCGGGGGAGGTTTTTTATTCCTTCAACTTTATGGGCTCTGGCACCCGCACTCGTTGGACGCCGACGCCTCGCTCGGTTCTTGATCCCTTGCTCCTCGGAAATTGACTCGACGGCTCGATTCTCCCTTTTCACTGGTCAACGATAGACGGCCTTCTGTACAATTTTTATCGACTCACTGGCTAGACGGCCGCGACTCTGTCCTTGGGCTGGTCAATGACCAGACCGGGTGACTAGCGCGGCTTGTTGTACAGTTCACTGTGACACCACCAACACACCGACGAAGATGATATTTCGTCCTTCGTCGATGGCTGTGACACCTCTTTGCGGATGGTTTCCGTCTGCACTCCACCTCAAAAAAACAACACCGGATCGGTGTGCTTGTTTTTATACAACTCGATTATGATTCATGACTGCGATGCCACTTTCTCCTTCCTGGTCCGTGCGGTTTGTCACCAGTGCTTCAAATCACACTCAACTCTCAACCTGTTTGTTCAACAACCCCCCTACCCATCGACTGGGAACAATACTCCATCTCCTCGTTCCATCAACTGGAAACACTCTCCGCCCTGAATTCACGCTTTGGTGCCAATCTGTCGCGTCTTTCCTCTCATATACAACTAGGGAGCGCGTCGTACCTCGCATCAACTCTTTTATTTTGCTCGCGTCTTGGGGTTGCAGCAGCCGATCCTAGCTGGGTCGATGGGTGCTTGCCTTTTGGACGGGAGCGGCACCCCCTTCTCGCACCCGGCGCCTCGCTGTAGGCGCCGTCTATGAGATTCATCTCACTCTCCATCTCTCCTCGGTCTCTCGGTCGTCTCTCACACACATATATTGCACTCATGCTCTCGTATGCACAGTTTTCCTTCGGTGTTTTTTTTTTGCCCTCTCTCCCTCTTCTGCCATGGACTCTAATTCACTCGCTCTCCACTACCCATTACCCACGCTCCTAGCCATTTCTTCCATCTTTCTCTCGAACCCCTTAATCTTCATCGCCGTACCGAAACCGCCCCTACCGCCACCGCGACGCGCCGCCACAAAACCCTCAACCCCTTCACACACAAAAAAAACACTGAACAATGGTTTTTACCAATCGCATAGGCATTTCTACTGGGCTTTCGCTTCATCTCGTCTTCGTGTACACGGGCTCGACATTTCCCCCCCCCTTACATATCACCCCATCCACAACCCTGGATCACTGTCGTTTCGGAGCTCGCACACTGTTCTCCTTTGTTTGCATCGTGTTGTCGCAAACGTGTACTTGCAGTATCCAATCAAAGAGCATTCCCCAAAAAATAAATCGTGAAACATCCAAAGCGTGAATCTGTACTGTCTCAAAAGTAGGAGCGAAGAGAAAAAAAGGGTCGTGATTGATAGCAAACGTACAGAATTAAGAGGTCGGACGTAGGCGCAAAAAAAAAACGTGCACAAGGACGCCAACAAAAAAGACGCAAGAGACCCTAGGAGCGTCCAAGAAGAAGAGTGATCCATCACAGCAAACAATAAAAGACATTGGTATACGTAAATAGAGGAAAGAGACTCCATGGCGGGATGCAATTGCACTCATCGTCGTGGGCGTTTTTGAGGGGGGCCCGTCCGTCGAGTCTACGAAAGCTTTGCGCCGGCTGACAGGTACCGCTGTGCACGTTGCGTGCTCGCGTTGGACTGCAAGCTACTGCTCGATGCAGAGTTGGAGATGGGTGGCAGACCCGCTGAGAGACGGGCCGTACGCGTTGCAGTGAGCGGTGTTGGCGGTCCAATCATCTTCTTGGTCACCTCATTTGATTGTGTGTTCGACGAAGACGACGCGAGCCGGCTAATCTTGGACACCGTCGAAGAGGAGCCCAGTAGTCCGGATCGTGACGATGTACTCGCGGTAGGCGTCTTGCTCTTGCCTCGGCCCCCAGTGATAAACGGATGCCGCATCGCGCTCTGTGGCTTCAGTCGTCTGTCCGGATCCCAAATTAGACACTTGGCGATAAAGTCTACAAAGTCGGCATCGTCACAGCGCAGGACCTGGCTCAAAGTCTTTGTTCCAGGACGACGACGGCGTCCTTTCGAGTTCACTACTGGACGTGGAGCGCCAGACGAATCTATATTCCGTCAGCAAAGCCGAGAATGTTATGCGAACATTACGCACCGAAAAAGATTCGTCGACGGGAGCTTCGTTGAATAATGTCCTTGTCTGGAACGCCGAGCACCTCCATAATGCAAGCCAGCTGCTCTTGTTCGTTCTCACCAGGGAAGATTGGGAACCCGGTATAGAGCTCAGCTAAAATGCACCCGAGACTCCACATATCAATGGCCATACTATAGCTCATGCCCAGAATGACCTCGGGTGAGCGGTAGAAGCGACTTTGGATATACGTGTACACTGTAGTCATGAGCACCCGAAAAGATATGTGATGAGTGTACGAACCTTTTTCGTGCTCCAGACAACTGCTTCCAAAATCAATAACTTTGATTCCGCTCTTTGCTGGATGTCGTAGCAAAATGTTCTGAAGGAGGATTAAGTGGATGGCCGTATATGCTGAAAAAGAACACATACCTCTGGCTTCAAATCACAATGGACAATACGATGGTGTCGCATGAGTGACAAAGATCCCAGCATTTGTGTCGTGAAGCGTCGGATGAGAGTTGTCGTGAACCCGACGAATCCGTTGGCTTTGATCAGTTCGTACAGGTTGATGCTGAGAAGCTCCATTGCAATACAAAGGTGATTGCGGAAGTAGAAATTCTCGGTCATCTTGATCACATGGTGCTTCTCATCAGGATCCTGAAAAGGATCAGTATCATAAGTCTGACATTATCAAAAGACATACCCATTTGCGAAGATTGTCCAGGATTTTGATCTCGACAAGAGCTTGATGATGAAAACGCTTCTTGTTCCTAATGATCTTGATCGCCACCGATTCGCCAGTGCAGTGATCGCGGCAATGAAGGACTTGTCCAAACGAGCCCTTGCCGAGCGTCTCGATAACCTCGTATCGGTACGCGAGATGATCACCATTCACAATCTGATAGTCCCCTCGGTCGTCATCATAGCTATAGTTGTTCGTCGGGTTGTCCCTCATCGCAGGCTTCTTGTCACTCCGCGCCCCAATAAAGTAGACATTCGGATAGTCCAAGATTTCCTTTCGCTCATAATCCGATAGGTAGACTGCTTGACTGCTTTTGAGGACGGCTATGGCCCTGTAAGTTACGAATCGCACATAAAGGAACATAAATACTTGCCCTGTGGTGTTAGCGCTGGTGCTGGGGCAATAGGTTCTGGGAACTTGAGCATCTCTTCCAGATCCTCCTTTTTGGCACCACTTGCAATCTTGCGAGCGTGCTGCCGACGGATGTAATCCATCATCTCCTCATCTCCCAGCAGCTCCTCTTCGTCCACCGGGGTCGGGATTGGTGAAGGGGTGGAGAAGGAATGTCTGTCGCTCGAGGAAGACGAACCCTGGCGGAGCGCTGGAGAAGAGGTTATGCCATGAGCCTTCGGAGATTGAACAGCAATCTTTGGCTTTGGCGAGAGCATCTTGATTGATTTCGCCGGCGACAATGCAGAGAACCGATGAGGCGGTGTTTCGGCCATGTTTACGGAGCTAGATGCAAGAGACGAGCTCATTGAATTAACAGATGCTGTTGAGGACTTGCGCATTGCATTGAGGGAGATAGAAGAGTCCCGAGCTGGCTTCCGTATTGAGGAAGTCGAGACTGACGACGAAATTGTGCTTGCGGCATAGCGCGGTTGCTGCTTTGAAGATTGCGGAGAACCTCTAACACTATAACGATTGTTCCCGACCGTTGTAGTTGCCTTGTTCACTGGAGTGTCCAGCAGACCAAACTCCTCGAAAGATGTCGAGACCTCAGAAGGAGCACTTTGTTCGGCAACACTCCCTCGCTTGGTTCCCGACATCATCGATTTCATGGCAGGTTGCGGAGATCCCCCAGCAGACGTCTGGCTCGAAATGCGAGGAATCTTCGTCGACGAGTTCACGTCCTTGGCGGATGGTGTTCCATTTGTTGCTGCGGCCAGCGCGGCACCTTCTTTGGATCCGACAGTGCTGACCGACGGTGATCCAGCGATGGTAGGCAGTTGCTGCCTGTTCGACCGCAGAGAGACGTCGGATGACTTGGTCAGCACCGTGGGGGTTTTCTGGGACGGAGAGGACGGCGAAGCTGTTGAGCGAACAGACGTTCGTGCTTTAGAGGGCGGTGTAGATGGAACGGTGATCCTATGAGCTCCCGAAGTGACAGAAGCGCGTAGGCTGGCCACACGCTGTGCAGTCGATGAAGGTATGCCAGGCATCTGCATCGGTGGAAGCTCTGGATCGGCTGTCTTGGTCTTGCGTGTTGCATCTGCCGAGGACAATGTCTAATCTGTATTAGTCGAGCGTATCGGCCTTTAGTGCATCAACTTGCCTTGCCACGTCTTCTGCCCATCAGGACAGAGATTCTACTCTCACTACGCTCTTCCTTCTTCTCCTCTTTCCTTCTTTCCTTCTCCCTGGCCTTTTCTTCCCTTTCTCGCTCTCGTTCTCTGCTCTTCTCCTCGCGTTGCTTCTTTTCTGCATCGCTCTTGTCCCCACCATGCAAACTTCTCCTCGAGTTCGACCCCTTGAGGAGCGAAGGCAACCCCATCAACATCGACTTCCTGTGTGAGGAGCTGCCCGGGGACGATGTAATGTCCGCGGTAGGAGGTGTTGCGCGTGTGAGCGATGGCAAAGTGGGTGAATGATCATTGAAGCTTCCTTGACCATTGTTCATGATTGGCATGAGCGGAGATGTGGGGTTCAAGCTCGCGGGGCTTCTAGGAGACATCAAGGGAGGCGGCGGCAGAGGAATAGAAGCACTCGGAAGATTTGGGGAATGTGCCGAGTGAGTCGAAGACCTGCGGAAGAAGGGAATAGACGAAGGCGTCAAACGACGAGTGGTAGACGGTCGTCTTGTGGGACTGCCTTGCACGGTTTCCTTGCTATGTGTTTGCGTGCTGGTAGCGTTGGTATAATGACTCGAATTGGACCCAGGTCGACTGAGTCTATCAGTAGAGCGTCGCGTTGGTGAAGGAGCAACTTGTGAATGAGGATTTGGGAATTGATGCGGCTGATGTCCATGGTGTGATGACGTCGAATTACGCGGAGATGGAGACCGACGGAGGACAAGTGATGGGGAGCCAGGTTCTTGCTCGCGAGAGGTAGAAATTCGCTCGGGAAGTGGCTGTTGCTTGGTTCCGGGGCTTGGCCCAGATGCACTCCGTCCGGACAAGCTCTTGCGAGGAGAAAGGGGCGAGAGCGGGCCACCTTCCTTGGGGCCGGATGACGGGAGCCTGAGATTAAGCCCAGAGAAGCTCCATTTCTTGCTAGGAGTCCGCGTTGCGGTTACCGAGCTGGATGCGGAGGGTGATTGAGGGACCTCCGCTGCCGGTGTAAGCCGTTTCGGGAGAGCATGCGCCTCAACCTCCGGTTGACCATGAAGGTGATCTGCTGGATCCTCTTGTAGGAAGTGGCCATTATAAGAATTGACCGAATGCTGGTGGGCACTTCCAGGTGGCGTTTGGTAGGCCTTGGGCAGAGGAGGTACCGGAGGGATGGACGTTGGTTCCCCATCGGCACCGGCAGCCAAAGCAGCAGCTCTGTCCTTTTCGGAATGGATACTAGAGCTATCACTACCGGTACTATTGCTCCTCTTCAGCTTGGCACCTGAGCTCGAGTGTCGATGCGACGAAACGTGTGTGGAGGTAACACTGGTCGAGGTAGACGCTGACGTATAATCTCGTGTAGAAGACGGGGTTCCAGTGCTCGTAAAATGCGTATGTGTCGAACCACCTGAGCCACGTTTGACGGGAGAAGGCCCAGCTGAACGCATACCAATGGGCGTATTGGACGCTTTGATGATTGTCATATCCAAATCGGCATCCTCTTTCTCCTGAGGCATGATAGGAACGGCAGCTGGAGTTGGGGCTACCGTTGTTTGACCAGAAGAGCTAGCCGGGGTGGCATCCCGCAAGTTCGCGCCGACACTTCGCCTTTTAGTCAAAGGAGGAGCTTCTACGCCTTCCCACTGTCCATGACCGGTCTTGCTTCCTGGTGTACCCGGACGACTGCTCGATTTGCTAGCTACGCTGATGACCGAGGATCGAGCCCGGAGGTTTTTACCTGAAATCCCGTCCAGCTTCCTCAGTGCCTCGGCGGTAGCAGAGTCGTCAAGGCCTGACCAGCCTTCTTGAGTACCTCTCAGCAAAGAATGCGCCACCGACGACGTACTCGGCACAGTCGCATGGGTAGGTAGCGGGGAGGGAGTGCCGGTATGGTTGACAGTAGTACTTTTCAGGATATGCTGAAGAGTGGTGGACGACGGTGAAGGGGGTAAATGAGAAAAGTCGTGCGCACGCTTGTTGAACGTTGTCTCCTGAGACGGAGGTGACGAGGTCGAGGCTGCCGAGGCGGAAGAGCGACGGACATGTCGCTCCTTTGAGATCGAATCCTTTGACGAATGTCCCCGAGATGGCGAAATCATACTGTTAGCCACGTCTTGACGGCGTCTTTCCTTTGCCTTTTCGCGACCTATAACGGGACTGCCACCTGGCGGTGCTACTCCCAGACTCCGATGGCGACGCACCGAGGTTTCGTCCTTGGAACTCGAGGACGATCCATTGGCCCTACCAGTCGAGCCGGATGGAGAAATTTCCTCAGAGGGTCGTTTTCGATGTCGATGGGGGGTTGACGACGAAGCTGGGGTGCCACCCGAGGTGAGAGTCGGGGAGCGTCTGGCTTCACGAGCGGACAGATGACCTCTGCCGCTCGTAGACGACTTGGCCGCGTCGGAGAGCACCATAGGAGTCGACGGCTCGGTACCTGGGCGAGATTTAGATACGGTACGAGGATACAAGATTTCCTCTCCAGCACTCTTTTCGCCGGGGTTCTCTTCGACAGAACGTCGAGCTCGTAAAGCGCGAAACTCTCCCGCTGGGTCAGTAAATTTTGGAGCTGGTGATGGTGGGGCCATGGCAGGAGGTACTGGTGGGGGGCTGGGGACAATCTGTAGAAGTTGATGAGAAAGGAGACCGATGAAAAAAGGCAAAACACGCCAAACGTACATATGAAGGCATCTCGTTTGTATCAGACTCGTCGACAGCTTCTATTGTCCATGGGCTACTCCGATCAACGTCGTTATCCTGCTCTTGAGCCCCTTGAGGAGCCAAGGGTTCGCTATCCTCCTTGGGCGGGACCAAGTCGAAATCAAGACTTCTCCATGGATGATTCCTGCTGCTAGCATCCGTCCTCGACGTCCAGCGAGGCGTTGTCAGGTCTCCTACACCCACCAAGCCCGCACGATCAATGGAACCAGGATGGGTCGCTGGAGTCTTGGGTTCTTGAGCAGGTTCTATATCGCCATATGACGATGTTGGGGGAATATTGGGTTCTGGTCTTGGCTCTGGCGTCGAGGAAATGACGGGACGTGCAATCGTAGCGGTGAAATAATACGGATCAAGCGACGAATGCGAGTTTATGGACCCCAACTGTGTAAAAGAGAGAAAAACAGGGTCGAAAACGCAGAGTCAGCAAAGCTAGGGTAAAAAACGCGCTCACGGTGAGCACTCACGGAGGGCCTTGGATGGTCGCTGGCGCCTTGAGTTCCGCCGTGTTCTTGCGAACTGAGCGTCAAGCTTGGAGGTCTCTCCTTTCGTTTTCCTCCATCGCGCGTTGCACCTTCGTTGTAGTTCATGTTTCTTGCAACCTAACGCGTCGCCCGATCAGGCTGGCCGGTACCCTCCAAAAATGTGCGCAATAATCTTCAAAATGTGCCGGTAATCTTGTAGTTGGCGCCCTTTATAAATATAGCTTTGGCTTTGGCGTCAGTCGCGGTCACTGGGCCGCACCCAGTCGTGGATGCAGCTCAAGATCCAACTTTGAGGTTTGACCAGCCGCCGTATTCCCGTTGGAGCGCTCGACGGGCCCTTGCGTCTGCAAACTACACGATAATTATGCCGAAACCTATTGGAGTTTCTGGCTTGAAGCCAGCCGCAGGTGCTGTGCGAAGAGTACGTCGCTCGGTTTTCACCAGATGTTTCAAGCTCCATCCGCCCCTTTGGGTCACGACTAGACTACTCCCATTATCTCAAACGGCTACTTTCCCGACACTTGATTGACTGTTCGACAGGCTAAGCGACTGGGCAGAGGAGGTAACAGAGGAGGCACGTCCGGCAGAGGTCACAAGGGCCAGAAATCTCGTTCTGGAAACGGGAAACCAACTCCGGGTTTCGAAGGTGGTCAGAATCCTATCACCCTTCGATTCCCCAAGCGAGGATTCGTCAACCAGTAAGTTTTTGCAACCCAACGACATACGGCGACTCAGAGGCATTGTGCAGCACAAAACGGGAATATGCGCCCTTGAATCTGGATAGACTTCAGCATTGGATAGACACCGGAAGACTAGAGTCGTCACCCGACAAGCCGATAACGGCGCACGAATTAGAGCGGTCAAACTGCGTTCACGGGGTACATGGCGGCATCAAGCTCTTGGGTGACGTATGTGATTATGCTCAGAGACATCCGGCTCGTCTTCTCACTCGACTGTAGGGCCTCTCTGCATTGCGTTCTCCAATCTTCATCCAGCCATCCAAGGCATCCAAATCTGCTATCCATGCAATTGAAGAGAAAGGGGGAGCCGTTCTGTGTCGCTATTACAACGCTCTTGCTCTCAGAGACTGCATCAAAGGAAGAACAGATCGCAAGAGCGCCGCTCCCACCCGGCGAGATGACATCGGTTAGCATGCCGTACGCCATATTGTCCAAAACTCACTAGCTTGTCTAGAATGGTATAGCAGTTTCAAGAATCGCGGCTACTTGGACCGCAAGGCCGTTGACCGTTACGCCGCTACAGCCCTGCGTTGGCAATTGGCGCGAGACGCCGGAACACTTGTCACCTCTCGACCCGAGGAGTCCTCGCTGAGAGCACGACCAATTGCAGATATTGGGTCGACACCTGGCGAGCCTCACGAGAGCTCGCAGCCTGCGAGCAACTAGAGTAGGGCTCTCTACACATGAGTGTTGTTTATTACCGCTTAATTCACATTTACATTTACGGGCAACATCTCGGATTATGAGAAAAAGTACAAGTTTGTATGAGCGTACTAAAGCACGAGTGGATATGCGACGTCGAGTCATCGTAGATGTACCTGAATTGTCCCTAGTGATCAGAAAGATGAAGAGGTTGCAGAGCTGCATGTGTACACGGTCGTGGGTTGTCGAAATGCGCATTGTATGGTCGTCAGGAGGCAAGGACTGGGCCATCACGTTCCATGAGCCGGAATGGCACCCTTTTCAAACTGCCAGTCAGTCTTTTGTACGTAAGGGTGTGACTTGAGTTCTTCGGCTGTCGGTCTGTCGTTAGGCTCCCTACACAATGGATCAGCTGAGTAGCACAAGTATTGCAAACACGCACAGTTGGAAGCATCTGTCCAACATATCATGACCTTCGGCAGAAATGTTGAGATCTTCAGGGATCGGAGGGGCGCTACGGGTCTCCTTGTTTCCAAGCTGGATGAGGTGAGTTTGTGTGTATGAGATGTCTGAAGCAAACGTACCAAAAGCAGAACTGCAAGTTGATGCTTTGGTGCCCATGGTCGCTCTCCTGTACACATTTCGAGCACGACACACCCCAAACTCCAAATGTCGACCTTGGCTCCATAGCCTTCAAGATTGTCGAGAACTTCTGGTGCCATCCAAAAGACTGATCCTTGCATGGTTGTGGCAGCCTCGTTGGCGCCATAAATGTTCTCTGTAAGAAGGTTCTAGGTGTGGACCAAACTGTTGGAAGAGGCTTACCCTGCTCGTGCTTCGAAATACCAAAGTCGGAAATTTTGCACACGCCTTCTAGATCAACAAGAATATTGTCTGCTTTAAGGTCCTAGAGTACGATAAGAGACCTCCAAAGGTTGTGTAAATGCACTCACTCGATGCAGAATTCCCTTGGAATGGAGATATGCGAGACCGTCCACAATCTGCCGTGTACAGTGCCTGGTGAGATCCTTGTCGAATCCCCGCCCAAGTTTTCTGTAGCATTCGCCAATGGAGCCACCGGGTACGTATTCAAGGAAACTGCAAGGCATGTTAGATGATCTTTAAAACCAAGACTTGGACGTACATGCTGAAGTACTTGTCAGTCTGTTCGTAGCCGAGATATGCCACAATGTTTGGATGGTCCAAATCGCGCAATGTATCACTCTCCGACTTGATCGCAGCAAGGACCGTCTTTTGTCTCGGATCCTGCAAGTCGCTTTTGGACTCTGGCATCTCTACCCGTTTGACAGCAAACACCTCGGCAGTCGTCATATTGAAGCCAAGGTAGACTTTCCCGTACGTTCCCTTGCCAAGTAGTTTGCCCTTGAACCATTGGGTGACTGCTGGCTTGTTGCTACCACCAGGCGACTCGGGAGCGGCCGTCGACTCTGTAGTAACCCTGGATGTGAGTGCAAGCTTTTCAAACTCAGCGGGCTGTAGTTCCTTGACCGAGCTTCCCCAGAACTTGGTGCTGCGCCTTCTGAGCATTGTGTCAGAGGCCGCACCGTCCTTGGACTGACGATCCATCTTCCGTTTGCCTTGACCCGCGAGCATGCGCATGGTCTTGCCTCCCGGCTTCGATCTTGATAGACCTCCTTGACCTGCACTGGTCATCATGGTGGAGGACGGCACTAGGGTATTGCTTCCACCAGCACTGCTCGTTCCGAGATGCGTGTTGTAAGGGGCATCTATCAGAGTGGGAGAACTGTTGCCAGAGTTGGCTCCAGGGCTCATTGCACCAAGATTGGAGTCCCCAATCACTCTATCGGGATCGTGATCTGGGAAGAACGACTCCATTCTATCCAACACTTGTTCCGGAGCAGGTCGAAACTCGAAGACGGCACCTCCAAGATTGATTGTCTCCATTGGCGCCGCACCTTTGGAAGGGATCGTCGACGTCGAGTTTTCGTTTGGATGCTCTCGTTGAGTTGGGAGAGCCGGAGGCATATCCGACTCGAAACCCATTCGATGATCACGACTGCGACGATTAGTACTCCGCCCGAGAAGCGCAACGACTTGCTCATCCGGTAGATTCGAGAGATGCGCTTAACCAACGGAGTCTGCCACAAATTGTTGGCACCATCAGAAGTCGAGGGATCGTCGTATTCGTCCGACTCTTCCTCTTCATCACTATGCGTATTCCATGGCGCATTGTTTTGTGGATGAAGCGGTGACCGGGCGACTGGCGTCTGCGGGGACTGGCTGCCCGTCCTTCGGCTACTTCGTGACGAAACTGTATTCGTCCGTACCGGTTTCGATCCAGATTGGAAATGATGTTGCATCAACGTCCCACTCTCTGAAGTGCCAAGCATCCCCTCTCTCCACTGCCGACTGTTGACAAAGTCTTGCACCTTGAGCGTGCCTTCTCCCAAATCATTATCATCTCCCTTGAGCAGCTCGCCATATCTCCGCCTCCTTGGAGACGTCTGACCAGCATCGCTGTCACCTTGAAGCGGAGTGCGAGGCGAAGCGGGTGAAGCGGCAGGCGAAGACGTATGTCCACCGGTGCTCTGACTCAGGAGCTTTGCCTGTGACTTGGCGATTGAATCCATGCGAGTGGGTGGGGTGGGCGACACCGTACTTGGTGGCGTTATCAACCCGTTTACGACTGAAGGGTCGAAAGTGGACTGAATCTGTTGGGGTGGTTTCCTGCGTGGGTCTCTCGCACCAGGAGGTAGTTCGTCGGCTGGATATTTTGGATCAGAAAAGGAAGGTCGATGATTGGGAACAGGGGGTGGTGGTCCCTGAGGGGGCGGGGCAGGAGGAAGTGTAGAGTGGTTGAGCGAGGAAGGCGTAGATACGGCTTGATTAGAGCCAGGCGTAGGGAGCAGTCTGAGTCCACCGATCAGAGTCGACGATTGGGATCCAGGAGGAAATGGTGGAGAAGGAGGAGCACCATATGCATCTGAAGATGCATGGGCCCGATTCCCCCCTGAATGTTTTTGACGAGGGGACATGAGGTTCGCATTGAGGGGTGGTGGGTTCGTCCGATTGACGGTGGCACCGACTGCGGCGTATGGATGGCCAACTTTTTCGCTCACACCGCCAGAATAGAGATCCCTAGCATTCACCTGTCTTGCTTGCTGGGTCACAGGCGATCGTCGACTGCTGTTGGACCCAGAGGAAACTTGCTGTATATGTCGAGTATTTGTCGGAGAACGAGGAGCATATGGATGATTCGGGAAAGAGGAAGGAGTCGGTGGCAACTCTTCCTTGGCCCACTTCTGTGCATTTGGCGGGGGTGGCAACCGTGAAGCGGGACCTGGTCGTCCGATGGGAGACAGACGCGAGCCGCTCCCATTTTCACCGTTGGCAGCAGTTCCGGGACCTGCACCAATGCCAGGAGTGCTGGCTGTCGACGTTATGACACCACTTCCCCCGTATAGATAGTCCTGCCGCAGACTCTCTTGGCTTCGAGAAGAAGTCAAACCTTTTGGCTCTCCATACGCGGCAATTCGCCCGACTTTCGGCCCTATACCAACCTCCCCGAGCACAGAATCCTGGGGCGATGGGGCTTGACCCTGATTGGAAGATGGCTGATAGAACGTAGACGTGTTGATGACAGTGTTAGGTGGAGCGCGTTGTGATTTGGGATTAGGGGGTTGCCGTAGTATTGGAGGTCCATCAGCAAACCCTGCCCGCTTTTGCTTGAGCCCAGCGCTGCCATACATCCCCTGTGGATAAATGACGGTACTTTGGCTGCCTGTCGAGCTGTATCCATTGTTCTCATTCGTGTTCGCCCGCGGACCGTAGATGTGTTGATTCGACTTTGATGATCCGAGGTTGAGATTGCCAGCTTGTGGGCTCCGCTGACTGGTCGTACTCGGAGCCATATTCATAGAGATTGGTTGTATAGTCGAGGATTTGGGGCTGAACGCATGTTGTCGGATATTCACATTCATATGAGTCCCATTCTGTCTCGGCAAAGTACCATTGTACTGCATGGTATTTGCGGAGCCCCAAGGATCTCGTGGTCGCCCATCACTCGACGTCGATCGAATGATTGGGCTCAACGAGGGCTTGGCTTCACGCGAAACCTGGTCGTTGTACATCCCAGTACTCGTACCCGGTCGGTCATAGACTCCGGATGACGGTGCGTCGTAAAATCCGGTGCTGGTACCGGGACGATTAATCCATACCCAATCCGGCGGCTCTTTCTCCTCCGTCTCCGTCCGTTGAGGGCGGGTGGCCCTGTTCGTTTCGGCTGGGCGCTTCTGATCGGCGCTGGACGAGGACGAAGCCAACAACTGGGGTGGAGGAGGCGGCAAATGGCTCGGTGGTGGCTGGGGTGGCGGGATATTGGTGCCCCTCGATGACGAGACGGTGCCAGTCGGAAGCGACAATGGTAATGTGTCTCTTTCTCTTGTCGGTTCAAACTTTTCCTTGGGAATAGATGGCCCGATGGTGGCAACAGTCGATGGTGGCGGGAGGGGTGGCGATCCAAGCGTGCCCGGAGTGGGCGGCGGTGGAACACTGGGGGGATTTGGGAGTGCAGGTAAGTTGACCCGGGCGCGTGACTTGATCTTTGCGACGGATTGGGATTGGCCATACGTCGGAAGGTGCTGTTGTGGCGTGTCTTCCGGCCCACCACTGTAACCACTAACCTCTGAGCGATCGTCTTGTGCAGAAAGAGGAGGATTTGTATAACCGTTGGAATTGGACTGATTGGACGAGAGATTGGGCCTCGTGTGCAGCGGCGGGACGGGCGGAGACGTGGTTGGTAGTGGCGGGAGAAGACGATCCGCCATCCCTCCATTCGTATTGTTCACAGAGAGTATATGTGTATCCAAGGACAGCTGGGGAGTACCAGGATGGCTATGATGGATTTGGGCGTTTGGCAATGGTATTCGAGACGGAGGAAGAATTCGGCTCGGCTGGGTCGACAGCGGAGCATGTGTTGGCCTGACTGAGAATCGCAGAGAGGACGCAGAATCGCCATAGGTATGGCAAATCGCGAGAATGCCATCGTCTGAGAGCGCAGGTCCAGAAACAGAATCCCCCTGGAGGAGATGAATGGTATGATACTGCTGCCGCTCGGGTGGAATGTCAAGCTAGAGATGAGTTGAATGAGTGGATAGAGGGCAGCTAATTGCCAAACGGACCTTTGAAAATAGCCTGTCTTTGACCATCTGAGCGGATCTTGCGTCACCCAAATCAACCGTTGACCATCGTTCACCACCGTCTGAGCTGACAAGAACTTTGATTACACGCTGATGATCGGCCGTTGGGCTCTGAGAGGGTGAAAAGTCAGCGCCAAGGCTCGGAATGGACAGATGCGGCAGATGAAGGACAATCGGGACGATGAAAGCTCACAGGAATAGGGCGTTGAGAGTCTGAAGGACGACGTTCGTGCAGCCTGCCAAAGTCATAGGGTCTGTTATCCAGCATGAAGCTATGGCTCGGTAACGAGCTCGACATTGGCGAGTTGGTGACGGGAGTATAGATAGCCATATCTTGGAGCGTGCTGTTCCCCGTCGACGTCGGCGTGAGCGGTACATGGACGTGGAGGCCCATGCCATTTGTGCCGCGCATGTTATAGTGCGACGTTGGGCCATCGCTGTGCTCATCGCTCGAGTCCGAATTGACATCTGGGTTCTGAACCCGCAGGATACTGCGACCTGTTCTCGGAGGCATCCCAGCCGGCTCGAGGAGACCGTTGCGTGCGTGACAGTGGCGGTCTGGCTGAGATCAGCGCCAGCAGAGCCTGTTGACTTGTTTAATACGAGATTATAGCGACTCCTTGTCCTCTTTTTGTACGCCAAACTCGCGTCAAACGGCCTTCTCAGCGAGCCAGAGGTGCTGTAGCGGCGTCCAAAGTCTTACGCTCGTCGGCGCCACAGCCAAAACCAAAAGATTAATCTATATTCTCCTATCTCAACTGTGCAACTAGCACCACTTCTCAGTAAATGGCATCGCGGGCCACTCTCCGCCCCTCTCAGGGCTGATTTCGCGCGAGTTCTACACGACTCTAATCACCTTGCAAACACGTCTTGCAGTCGAAATGACGTTTGGGGAACTCGCCACCATCAGACACGACTCCCCCGCGTGTTGAGGAACAAGGAGGGAATACGATTCTCCAGGCTCAAGAAACCTTGGGTATTTGCCCCTCGGAACTCCAGAGTTGGCCACTCCCCGCGCGCAAGATATACAAATGATTCATGCAGAAATTTTGGATTCACATGGGCGGGGACTGGGATGCCAATAACAGCATCTATTATACACTCTAGTCTGACTTGCACGTTGCTCTCATGGTTAAACCTCGACCACGAAACTATCCAAACCCGGCGCTCCTGGTACTCCTCCCAGCGATTGCATTCGGAGCGTTTGCATTTGTCGTAAAAAGTCGCGAGCGCAGCGGTCCAACACTATCACCTCGACCAACCGAAAACAGCTTGAATCCTCCCGCGTCGGGCTACCTAAACAATGCCGGCCATAATCGACAAAATTAAGCGTCTGTTTCATCCCCACTCAGAAGTATTCGACCACGACAAAGTCTTCGTCATCTTTGTCCTCGGCGGACCAGGCGCAGGTTCGAGACCTGCTCATATGCAGCAAGTCATACGTCTAACAATACATATTCTAGGAAAGGGAACTCAGTGTGCGAAACTGGTGCAAGAATTTGGATTCTCCCATCTCTCTGGTGAGCATCAATTGGCGGGGCTCTTCTAGATCAACGACCACGATTGACGCCGGACGTCCCGAAGCGGGTGATCTCTTGAGAGCAGAGCAGAACAGAGAAGGATCTCAGTACGGAGAGCTGATCCGCCAGAACATTCGCGAAGGCAAGATCGTTCCAAGTGAGGTCACTGTCGGCCTGCTACGAAACGCCATCGCAGCCGAGCTGGAAAAGCGCAAGGAGAATACCGAACAAGGATGGGGCGATGGTAAGGGTCGTTTCTTGGTGGATGGATTCCCCCGACAGATGGATCAGGCCCACATCTTTGACGAACAAGTGAGTACCTTCTCGCAACCCGGAAGGATACTCGAACATCTTTCCAGGTCTGCGAATCCAAATTTGTCTTGTTCTTTGTGACTTCAGAGGAAGTCTTGCTTCAGCGTCTCTTGGAACGAGGAAAGACGAGCGGCCGTGAAGACGACAATGAAGAGAGCATCAAGAAGCGCTTCAGTAGGGACATACTTGCTTCTCTGAGCAATCGCTAAGGTTTCACAGAAACGTTTGTCGAGACGAGTATGCCAGTTGTAGAATACTACAAGAAGCACGACAAGGTTATAGAGGTATGATTTCTTCTCCAGCTTTGTATCCAAGCCGACCTCCTAGATCGACGCCACGAAATCCATCGACGACGTCTACACTCACACGTCTGCTGCCGTGCGGGAGCGCCTCTCAATCTAGGATGTTTCAGTTTCATGGAACCAAATGCATAATGACAGTTACCGTTTCAGAAATCTGCGACGTCTTTGTAAACATCAAATCGTCGTTGAGTCGTGACCGGGATTCCTGCCCGAGTCTCGGCAATCTTTTGAGGATCAATGTCTGCATAGACAATGTCTTCGTCATGCTCCGTAGTTGCGATGACGGCACCCCTGTCATCGTGTCAGACAAAGGCATCGGCTTGAAATCAGCTTACATTGGATCGACGACTGTCGAATGACCCCACTGTGATAACGAGTGAGAAATGGACCGGGAACATCGATGTGGACTTACGGCGTGATATCCAGCAGTCATATCACGCGCAGGACTGCACATTGAGACATATATTTGGTTGTCCACGGCACTTTGAGGTGTCAGCTCATTTGGTTCTAGGTGCCATTCAACGCACCGTGCTCGCTGGAGAAGCTCCCAGTGCAGCGGACCCGTCGTCAGATTGAATGCACCAGGGTAGATCATTGCTATACACCCTGAACCTGCTGTGAGCATGTGTGTTTTAATAGGCAAGAGAATATGACCTTTTCGTGCTGCAATCATTGCAAGCTCTGGGAAGCGCACGTCATAACAAATGCCGACTCCAATGCGACCATAATCTACAAGTGTCAGTAAGTTTCTTTAGCTGACGGCTGATTCATACCGGTGTCGACGTGGGTGAGCTCCGAGCCTCCAGTGAGAGTAGTGCTCTCCTGCAATAGTAATGAGTCCCCTGAAGAAACAGAGAATGCACCAATCACCTTGAATGTAATCTTCCCAGGTATATCAATATCGAAGAGGTGTATCTTGCGATGGATAGCCACCAACTCTCCACGAGGGTTGTATATCGTGGCCGTGTTATAGAGGTTTCCATCCTCCCCCTTTTCCGGGATCGATCCTGGGGGTATTTTCATTATAAATACGGGAGTTTATTTGCCTCTTACCACCTATCAGCCAAACCCCGCAGTCTTTCGCAGCTTGTGACAGCATCTTGACACTGTCGCTGCTTGAATTTGAGACATCATAGGTTTCTCCCTTTTTGAATCCGACACTCTCTGCGTATTTTGGAAAGTGTACGTGTCCGTATGGTGAGTTGAAGCATTCCTATTACAGGCCCATGAGTTGTGACCCTTCTTGACCAGCAATTAAGCAGCTCTAACAGGAAGAACGACGACTCCTGGCTTTTCTCCGCTTTGTGGATTGACGGCTTTGTGAATCAGATCTCTTGCATGCGCGAGATTGCTGGTTTTGTCGGCTGTGACGCCTCCCATCTGGATCAACGCCAGTCGAAACGGTCTATTTGCCTTTGCATCAGTTGCCATTCTGTGTATTTGGCCTGCGCTGCGACGTTGGATTTGCCGTGATACGCGAAAGAGTCCAAGCATCAGCAAACAAGCATTGCAAGGCGCCAACTTGGTCATCAATCACGACATTGGCGGCAATGCTCATCATCTCAAATCAGCACGCTGGAGACAAGTCGGGCGACGTTCTCGTTCGCGAGACGGTCATCCCACTCATCCAACGTCTACGACCGTCGCTTCATCTCGACTACAAGCAGACCCAAGGCCCAGGTGACGCAGGTGACATTGCACGTGCATACGTGAAGCAATCTACTCAGCAAGATTCCAAGACAATACTCATTAGCGGTGGGGATACGACGATTCATGAGGTTGTAAACGGCTTGGTGGCACACAAGCTCGAAGGCGCAGTCTCGCTGATCCTTGTACCGAGTGGAACAGCAAATGCATTGTATCACTCTCTCTTCCCTCCGACAACCCGTGCGACATTTTGGGCATCGTTACCCAAGGAGCTGCAGGACGCGGTCAGCGGACTACCGGAATCAACAAGGGAGAAACTGTACTCGGTACTGTTCTACCTCTCTGAGAGTCCGATGCGCAGACTTCATTCGACCCGGACGACTGTTGCCGATGCAGACGGTGTATCTACACGCGAGCTTACTTCCTGCGTCGTAGTCTCATCTTGTAAGTCCGCTGAATCCTAGCTAAATATCGTCACTGAAGCCTGAATATAGCTCTTCATGCAAGCATCTTGGAGATTGCAGAGCAACTCCGTGCTGAACATCCCGGGATTGAGCGGTTCAAGTTGGCTGCTGCAAAGAGTATAACCCAATGGTCACAATCTCGATTAGAGATCAAGTATCCATTCGCGGCTTATAACCCTGCTACGGGCACATTCATTACTCGGGACTCCTCTCCAGAAGCAACACCCAATCAATTCGAGTCAATTGATGGCCCATTTGCCTATTTCCTCACGACAACCAATGTTGATAGGCTCGAGATGGAGTTTCGCATTGCACCGCTTGCAACGTCCCTTCCAGCTGGCGTGCATAGTGACAGCGAGGCCTGGATGGAGCTTTTGATGATTCGACCACTCCGAGATCCCTCAATCCTCAAGGACGCTCCTTGGCAGGAAGATGCCGCCATTCGGGAACAATTTGCGCCCAAGACAGTGGCAGTACTCCAAGGCGCGTATCAAAACGGTACACATCCTAACCTGTCATATACTGCCAGTGGGGAAGTCAGCAATGGGTCTGGAGAAAGCACAGTAGTCGAATATCTTCGGGTAAAAGAATGGAAATGGACGCCGGTAAGTACAACCTACGCCATTGAGCTAACGCTAATCAACGGCAGGACCCAAACAGTCCACCTGCCCACCTTGTGTGCGTAGACGGAGAGGTGCTATTTATCCCCATTGGAGGAAGCGTAACTGTCAAACTTAACACAGAAGACGGACAGTTGAAGATGAATGTGGCTGGAGGTATTGAATCGGACTAAAATGTGGTCATGCAAATACTTTGATGATTTCTGCGACCTTGACATCGAATCTCTCTGTACGGATCGGCATCTCTGGAGTATGAAACGGATTCTTCATTACATAGTCCGCATATGCTTCGTAAATCCGTTGTAGCGCTGTATCGGCTGTCGTGTCCGTGAGGGAAGTTAAAAGGACAAACTTTGTGCCTGCAAACGATAAGCACGGCTCCAGATACTTGAAGACGACTGACCTGTTGCCGTGAGGAAAATGTTCATCTTGAAAGACTCTGCCTCGATGATCTGGACGCCGGAACTTGAACCAGCGGGAGACAGTCGACTGGTGATGGCGTGTATGCCATGAAGAGTACCTGCGAGAACCAAGTATTCGTTTGGACTTAGTTTAGATAGTCCATCTGCCACGAAGCCTATGAGATTTATTGCCTGCGTCTGTCATCGCCGTGCTCGCCTGCAAAGTTCTTCTGGTAGACAAGACCTCCAGCCTTGTTGATGATCTACGGGCCAATTAATCACCGATTTTTCATCCATTTCCAAACAAACAGACCCAGAGACCGAAAATGGCCATCGAGGTCGGAAGCGATTCAACTTGAACACCTCCATCACCATGGTCCGTGTCATGTCAATAGATTATGGCCTCCTGGGTAAATTTCCGGACGATCATAATGATTTGCCACCCGTACTCGTAAAGCACAAACTCCCTTAACAACCGGGGATCGTGGGTCGAATCCCAACGCAACCTATGCTCAGGAGCAGGGGCAAGCCATAACCTCATTGAGCATACGGAAGCCTTTTAGGGCTCGAACGGAAGGTCGTATAGAGAAGGCAGCCCCTCAGCGCGATTTCATTGGCGACCATCAACGTCGACACCTATATACAAAATGGGATCCACAAGAACAGCAGCCAGTCGTGTCATTTAATTGAGCATCCCCCGATTGGATAAGACGACGCTGAGCGCGTGCTCTGCGATATTCTCCTTTTTCTTCCCCCGTCACCCGAGAGTCGTGGAATGGCAGATGGTCGAGCCGCGCTTCGTGCAGATGGCTTTCACCGGCTCACACCTTTTCTAAGTCTTCACTTCGAGGCAAAGCGTCTTGCATGTGCGTTGTTTTCCTCGATAAGTGGGTCGTCGGCTTCTAACTTGGTCTAGTGGCCATGACGATTTGGATGTTCTATGATCTAAGTGAGTACAGATAGTGCACTTGATTCGATGCTAACTGAACTAGTCATTACTTTACCTCAGAACGTGAGACCAGCGATTTCCCCGCAGGTCTTCTACTGACTATGACCTCAGATTGGATATATCCGCCCGGAAACGTGGACCCTGGGTAGATCCCTCTTCGTTCTCGTATGTCAATTCGTTCTCCGCCCTTCCGAGTTTAACTCGCTTTCAGAACCGATTTCTGGTTCCTATTTTAATGCTTCTAAACGCAGTGTGTAAGTACAGTTCAATATAAGGAGCAGGAACCTGAGTCCTTTGTAGCACTGATGATCCCGGAACCCTCGAACGCAGTAAGTGGGCATCGGTCATCGTCATCCGCTGTTGACAGAGATCTAGTTGTAAGTGTGACCTCTTGATCGATACAAAACACTCATTACCGTATAGCTGCTCGTTTGTCCCGTGGTTAATGACATTGGGTAACTGGCTAGTTACGGTCTGTCTTGGAGGTACGTGACCTCTGAATACACCATTACATACTGAAAATTTGGATGTAGCATTACTCCTCGCCCGCGTTCATGCTTTATGGATGCAGCGGTGGATCTTGGTCGCTTTGATTGCATTCTTCGTCCTCGTCTTTTGCGGCAACTTTGTCTTTCTCGCGTTTGTGGCATCGGTAAGTATTGAGCTCGCCATGTACCGAGTGATGACACTGCATAACAGAAAAGTGTCGGCCTACCGAACCCCTTTCCCCGACCTTTCACAGGATGCATATGGTTCCCCATGTCCCGCTTTCTGTGGGTGACCTTTGTAACATCTGGCTCGTTTGAGAGTGAGTCGATTGTTGCTAATACTCATATCTGACATTCTTCAGCAATCTGTGTGATCCTGACGGCATGGAAGACATGGAAACCGCAGAATAAGAAAGAAAGCCCGACCTTGTATCTCCTGTTTCACGAGTATGTTCTTCCTCGCTTCATTCTCATTGTACTTACTGACGCATTGTTAGTGGAATTCTTTGTATGCTTGCTCTATACTGCCCAAAAGTTGCTTACGCTAGGATAGACTACATGTGTATCATTTCGCTCAAAGCATTTACCCTCGTTTCAGCATTTTTCCCTTCGGTACGTTGCTGGACCATGGCATGGCCTCAACTAAAGCCTTTCTAGACTCGGGCATTCGCATCCTCCAAGTATGCACATCAATTTGAGATATTTAGGGCCCTCTAACTCAGATTACTAGTGCAATTCTAGCAATGACGAGCATGCTCTGCTCTCAGATCCATATCCGGCTGCAGCACTGCGTCCAACGGCGCGTCAGTCCAATGCAGGTGTCCGATTCAGTGCGGTTTGGATCGACTGTAGGGCCGACTAAATTCACGTCTCAAAGTTTCTCGCTGGACGAGAGCCTGCTGGAGTACTGGGCAAGGGACAAGCCGCTGCCACCACTGCCAACAGTGGCACGCATAAAATGTCTAGTCAAATTTGGTAGTCGGTCACTAAGCACCACATCTCCTGGAGTTGTATGATAGCCATAAGAGCAACGCGGTGGCTTGGCAAATATGAACAGATGAATCTATGAGAAATGGGGTAAACCTGGTTACCGCCTAATGCGTATGCGGATGCGGGCGCCCGGCTGCCTCGGTGGCGTCGGGGCGGAGACAGCTTTTCTGCTTTTATTGTGCTTCAACAAAGTCCAGACCGGTCCAGACCCACCAATGCCGTTCACTTCACAGTCCAGCTCCAAGAAATCGCGCGGATCGAAGACCAAGCGGTTTGTTTAAGCGTTTAAACTCCGAATTCGTGCACTGACGACATGGGCAGGCTCGATCATCCAGCCTTTGACGATTCAGATTCGACGGACAGTGAAATCTCGCTGAACGACGAGTGCGTATAAGTCAAAGGAGTCATACAAACTGCTAATATGCAACAAGGGAGCCCCTTCAAGAAGCAGATGCAGACGCCTCGCCAACTCCGTCCATCAAGGCAGAAACAAAGCAGGTTCGATTCGCGCAAGGCTTTGAAGACAATGGGATAAAATCGCAGGATGTAAATGGCTACAGGAGATTACCCTCGCGGGCCGAGTCGCTGCGACCGCCTTCAACACGAACCATTGCTCACTCTCCCGCCATGTTAGGTCCCTCTCGGCTGGCACGATCGTCTTCCGCAAATACAACAAGTCTTTTAACCAAACCTACCGCCCCTATGATGCCAACCAGAAACCAGGTCCCTCAACAGTCGTCAGCAAGCAGACAAGCGGTATCATCCATTCGACAACCAGTCAATGATGCACGCATAGTATCTGTAATGCGTGAGATTGATGACGCTTTGGTCGACTTACGATCCATCGCACCTTCATCCTCGCGAGGTTCATTACCACCGTTACCCCCCAAGACATCAGCCACACCCGGCAGATCCGAGATGACACCCGTCTCAACCAACCAATCTCGATTTGATTCTCCTCCAAGTATGCAAGATGCCAAGCCATTTTCTTCGTTACCTGAGCTGAGCCTCCCTTCACGCCTTGCACAATCCTCCATGACGAGTGACTCCAACACACCGTCTACATCACAGCTAGAGTCCTCTCCGACTTCAGCAACCACCATTCAGTTACCGTCCGTGGCATCTCCCCGCATTTCGCCCGCTTGGGAGACTCAACTTACCGAAATACGCCTAACGACTTTAACGATCGACGAATCTGTTGTCCTTCGAAACCAAAAGGAGAACTCATCTTCTTCAATGGCAGATACGCCGGTGCGGACTGCCGAAACAGTCACTTCGTTGCCACCACCCGTACTCGCTGGCGAGTCGCAGTCCTCGTCAATAGAGCTGCAAGCTGGCCTCGAGAGAAGCTTCTCAAAGAAAAACCGGACGTCTTCCCGAAATGTTCAAATATCAGCGCCTGTGGCGGAGCTCCCCCAGCGGGAGATTCTTTCCCCACCCCGAGCGGCGCCACTACCTCCTGTCTTGGAAAATAACCGATCCACTACAATGAACCCATTAGATTTTACAGACATCGGTCTTCTGGCCCAAAGCTTGGAAAACACCGAGAGGAATGGGGCGTGGGCTAACACTCTGCCACCGATGAGCGAGCCCAGCCGACAGGCATCGTTCAATTCGAAGCCAAGACTAGGATTGCTCACGCAAGTGACTTCTCGATTGCTGGGAGAATATGCAAGAACAGCCAAACGTCCGCAATCCTCGACGAAGTCCACACTTCCACCTCTGATCTATGACTCTTCAACACCCATACGAGATCATATTGGGGTCGTGTCGGAGCGTGTCAAAGCCGAGTTCAAACTCAAACTAAAGAATGAATTAGAGCTACCGACGGAAGATGGGGCGAGCACCTCCGAGCTGGTGGAGAATGTCGAAGACCTCAACGACGATGTGTCGGAATGTGTTAAAACCCTGTTAAAGCTTGTCCTCAAAGCGCAATCAAAAGGATCGAGGCTCCAGGAGACCACCCAGCAAGCGATGGAGGGAGCAATGCATTCCAAAATCAATGCATTTCTTGTCGAAAACGTGTTCAGGCCGTTTTCTCTGGAGTTGTCGATTGAGGCTAGCCAGGCTCTTCGTGGCCACTACGAGCAAATCGCACCAAACAGTAAGTTCTTGACGTGTTCAGTGGCTTATAAACTCACTTCGTGCAAGTTCCTCGGTTTATCGCATCGCGTTGGAGAGCTCTCGCAGCTAGCTCCACCTCCCGACCAGCACAAAATATGGGACCCCTTCTCGCATCCATCGCATCCAGTCTGAGCGCGATACTTGTGGAGGGTGTTGACCCATCCCTTAACACTGATGGCGCGCTCGCATGGGAATTCAGCAGTGCATTGACCCCTCTCATCCGACAAGCATACCTCTTGTCTCATTTCATCCACCTGGAGATGCTGAGTGCCGACTATGATGTCTTCCTAGGAACGGATATTGGTGGATGGGCTGTCCCAGAACAAGAAGAGGAGTACATCAAATCGCGACATTTTGCTCACAGGCGGTCTCATGGACGCAAGGTCACAACGGATATGCGCGTTAGTGCGCACTGCAAACTCGGTCTTCGCAGAAGCCAATATATTGGAGAGGGGAATACACGTAGACGAGTGTGGGACGTGATTCTAAAGCCAAAGGTTCTTGTCGAGGTATTGACATCCGGCAATGCGAAATAGCATATTGTACCACATTAATATGTAATCTATTGATCTCGCAGCTTTTGAATGAATCTTTGATGCTACTAGTCCCCAATCGAGTATCGTAAAACTCTCTCAATGGTCGGGCTCAGTGGCGTTATTACGAACGAGAACTCTTCGGGACCGCTATATAACTGTGTCAGGAATCAGTTTAAAAATCGGTAGGTAAAGGATACCTGATAGTTCCAGAAAGAAATGCGGCCGTCTTGTGCTCTCCCGGAGCGAGTTCGATGTGCAGCGTCGCAAAGATTGTAGCAACTGCATACCAGATCTCCAGGTCTGCGAGATCCCTTCCTGGACATACTCTACAAAGTGACATGAGAAGGTAACCGTACGAGTGGCATAGTCATTACCGCCTTCCAGCACCGAAGACAATGTTCCATGGCTCGTACAATGCGGTAGGCGCATTTGGATCATCCGACTCGAGGAATCTCTCAGGAAGAAATTCATGCGGGGATGAGAAGAATCGATCGTCGTGACAGATACCCCTTTCAAACCAATTAGGTCAAGCCACCTTGGATGCTGCATTCACTCACCATAGATTGGACAAGACAATTGTCTCCTTTGGAAGCACATAGCCTTCAAGGATGGTATCCTCTGTAAGGCGACGAGGACCACCGTTCGCGACGATTGGGTGCCAACGCGTGACTTCTTTGATGAAAGCGTCGATGTAGGGTAGGCTTTTGCGATCCTTTGCGGTCGGAAGTTGATCTTTCCCCAATACCCTCTCTATTTCATCTCGTGCCTTCTTTTGGACCTCGGGATATAGTGCCATGGCAAGGACGGCGCTGTTGATTGAGTTTGCTGTCTAGCATAAAGATCAGTCAGATTGATCCTGCCATATCATGAAAACGATACCGTATCGATGCCACCAAAGTAGATGGATGCGAGCATCCACTGAATGTCGCTGAGCCGTTCGGGTGACATATTTGGTTCTTGCAAGAGTTCATGAGCTACCGTTTGCTTGACGATACCTTGGCGTAGCTCATCCATGACAATATTAGCTGGTGCCTCGAGGACTTTATTAACCTCCTTCCTCCATTGTGGTACCATCCTCTTGTAGCGCATACCCGGCACGTACTTGACTACAACTGGTAAGCCATGTTCCAACAAGCACAATGAAGGCTTACGGAAAGGGAAAAACTCGACCATTTGTGAGCCTGGTTTGGTGTTTTCATTAAAATGGTTAATGGTGATTTGGGCGTCGGCCATGATGGGATCATTTTTGTCCGCAATGTCGATGCCATAGGTCACCTTGACTGTAATACCCGCGATAGCGCTACATATTTCGTCCTTAGAAACAAACTTAGTCGTCGACATGTACTTACTGCTTGATGTATTCTGGGACCAACGCTTTCTCTCCTTGAGATTCGAGTAGATTGACTGCGAGCTTGCGAATCTTCCTCTCGATGAGCTCAGAGTAGCGGTGAAGAACTTGTTTCCCTATTGTCTCGTGGAATGCTCTTCTGGCTTCTCTGTGGCGAGGTCCAGGTTGCAATCCAGCGGTAGAGTTTTCCCAGCCAACTCTGACGGCGAATGTTATGAAAAATATCACATGGAAGTAGAGAATACTTGCAGTTCACCTAAGACGTAGAATATTGCACGTCCTGAGCTGGCCGGCGTCTTATCCAGCATTTCGGTGATTAGACGTGGCTCGTTGAGCATGACAATTTTCACTTTGAAGATTTCCAGACAGACTATAGGACCTGTGCGGACCCGGAACAGGTCAGGCCTCACCATTCGCGCATGACCACCAGACATTTACCGTATTGCTTTCTCCACTTTTCCCAGACGAGCCAAGGCTCGACCATTGGGAAATCGAGCGCATTACCGATAAGGGGAAGACCCGGGGGACCAGGAATTGATGCTTTAGGTTTCAGGAGCATATATAGTGCTGGCAACGACAGCGCTCCCAGCGCAATGGCCACCGTTTTCAGTTGTTCTGCGTCCATTGAAAAGCTTTACTTCGTTTCAAGGTTGTAGTAGAGGTCAAGCCTTGCTCGGTACTTCCCGTCGTGAATCTGAGCCGCGGCGTCAAGCCTTTGAATAGCGGCTAAACCAGGACTCAAAATTCAGCTGCACAAGACTGACACCGTAAATGGGACAGAATATAGTGGCATGAGAGGGAATTACAATCAAGAGGAATGAGATTGCCATGGGTCTGGCCCCACACTGACCCGGCATATGGCACCGATTAATATGGAACAATTGGCCTTGAAGCTTACTGGTCTGCGACCAAGTATCGTAAGACTCTCTCGATCGTTGGGCTCACTGGCGTTATCGTGAACGAGAACTTTTCAGGGCCGCTATAGCTTTGTATTAGAAACCAGTAGGGGCTCGGTATGTAAAAAATACCTCAGAGTTTCAGAGAGGAATGCAGCCGCCTTGCGCTCTCCCGGAGCAAGTTCGATGTGCAGCGTGGCAAAGATTGTAGCAACTGCATACCATATCTCCAAGTCTGCAAGATCCCGTCCTGGACATATCCTACAAACTGAGATGAGAAGGCAGCCGCGGCAATGGTGGAGCCGTTACCGTTTCCCAGCACCAAAGACAAGGTTCCACGGTTCGTACAATGCAGTTGGCGCGTTTGGATCGTCCGACTTGAGGAATCTCTCAGGAAGGAATTCGTGCGGGGACGAGAAGAATCGATCGTCGTGACAGATACACCTTTGTAGCCAATCAGACCAAGTGACTTGGCTGCAGGGTTTACTCACCATAAGTTGGATATGACAATCGTCTCCTTCGGGAGTACATAGCCTTCAAAGATGATATCTTCTGTAAGGCGACGAGGACCACCAGTTGGTATGATTGGGTGCCAACGCATGACTTCTTTGATGAAAGCGTCGATATAGGGTAGGCTTTTGCGATCCTTTGCGGTCGGAAGTTGATCTTCCCCCAATACCCTCTCTATTTCATCTCGTGCCTTCTTTTGGACCTCGGGATATAGTGCCATGGCAAGGACGGCGCTGTTGATTGCGTTCGCTGTCTAGCACAAATATCAGCGGGTATGTTTCCATTACGTGATGAAAGGAACTACCGTGTCGATGCCACCAAAGTAAATGGATGCCAACGTCCATTGAACCTCTCTGAGACGCTCGCGCGACATATTTGGTTCTTGTAGGAGCTCATGGGCTACCGTTTGCTTGACGATACCTTTGCGCAGTTCACCCACGACGACACTAGATGGTGTCTCGGGAACTTTGTTAATCTCCTTCTTCCATTGTGGTACCATCCTCTTGTAGCGCATACCCGGCACGTACTTGACTGCAACTGGTAAGCCATGTTCCAACAAGCACAATGAAGGCTTACGGAAAGGAAAGAATTCGACCAATTGCGAGCCTGGTTTGGTGTTTTCGTTGAATTGATCCACTGCAACTTGAGCATCGGCCATGATAGGATCATTCTTGTCCGCAATGTCGATGCCATAGGTCATCTTGATTGTAATACCGGCAATGGCGCTACATAATCCATCCTTAGAGTCATATCAAGTCGAGAACACGTACTCACTGCTTGATTTATTCTGGGACTAATGCTTTATCTCCTTGAGATTCGAGTAGATTAACTGCAAGCTTGCGAATCTTCTCTTCGACAAGATCTGAATAGTGGTTGAGAGTTTGTTTCCCTATTGTTTCATGGAATACTCTTCTAGCTTCTCGGTGGCGGGGTCCGGGCTGCAAGGCTACGGTGGCGTTTTCTCAACCGACTCTGATATCGAATGGTGTTTAGACAATCAACATACAAGTAAAGAGCACTTACAGTTCACCCAAGACGTAGAATGTCGAACGTCCTGATGAGGCCGGCGTCTTATCCAGCATTTCGGTGATCAGACGCGGTTCGTTGAGCATGATAATTTTCACTTCAAAGATTTCCAGACAGACGATAGGACCGTACTGCTTCCTCCACTTTTCCCACACGAACCAAGGCTCGGTCGTTGGAAAGTCGAGCATGTTTCCAATGAAAGGAAGACCACGAGGACCAGGAATTGATACCTTAGGTTTCAGAAGCATATATAGCGCTGGCAACGACAGTGCTCCCAGTGCGATGGCGACTGTCTTGAGCCGTTCTGCATCCATTTGAGAGCTCTACCTAGTCTCAGGATTGTGGTGGAGGTCAAGGAGCATCCTCGGGCGCTCATTAGCCCTTCTGTCATATATCTTTAAGCGCGGCGTGAACGCTTTGAATGGAGGCTAAATTGGGACGCGATTTCTTTGTTCAACTGCACAGAATTTCAAACAAATTGACAAGGGATATGGCAAGTGGGGATGTACACACCAAAATACAGGTTGCATGAGTGGTAATTGCGAGAAGATCCAAAGGAGCGAGAATGATATGGGTTGGTGGAAACCATCTAGTGACTCTGCCCTACACTAACCCAGCTATCCGCCACAGACACTCCTGACGATGGCAAGCTTCCAGACACAATAAGTGGAGTTTGAGACTGTCTTTCCGACGACTGTACACCCAGAGAAGACTCGTCATGTTCTGTCTTGTCGCTGCGTTCGTCTTCTGCAGGGGGACGAGAGGCGTCCTCGTCTCCTGATGCGTCAACATACGACTCTAGGTTGGCATTGCTAGCCTCTGGGAGACCGGATAAACTGATACCCTCGAAGCTTCCTACACTCTCGCGTCGACTGTCTCCACCAGCACTTACTGACGAGGCAGGTGCGGTAGAAATAGGCCTATCGTCTTCAAATTGACCACCCTGTCTTCCTTTTCCTCGCTTTACAGTGTCTTTGGAAGCGTTTGAGGTGTCGTAAGCTGATGGATGGCCAAGTGCTCGCCGCCAACGGAGAAGACGTTGAGGCAGATCGAGAACTTCGTCGAGAGCCCAAAGAGGAAGAAACCAGCTTGCGATGGCATAGGTTCCTGCACCGGCCCCGACACTGATTCTGTATCCCCGGAGGTAGAGATGGAATCGGCGCCAAGTACGGAGGAGTGGCTGACCGGGGTTCAGATAGGAGAGAAGTGTGGGCGAAGTGGTAGGATATGAGCGATATGAATAGGAGGGAATAAGTGGAAGTATTGTTGCAAGTAAGGCATCCACGTCTGTGGGCTGACGCGGTGGTCGTGGTGATGCTTTCTTGCGGCGCTTTGAGACGCTTGAAGTCTCATCTGATACCTTTGCTGTAGGAAATACACGAACTAGTGCAGCTTCATACTCGGGTCCATAGGCTCGCCTCTCGCTCGCCGACCACGCATTGGTAAGAGCAACCACATCAATTTCCTCCTCTTTCTTCGAGGATTCGACCACAGGATCCACGACGGCGCCCACATCCACGAGAATCACATTTGTCGTTGCGCCGATCTCTCTTCGGAGGACGTCTATGCCTTTGACAAGTCCACCAATCGCCATCGCCCTTGCTCCATCGAACGCAACTCCCACAAGACTTGCAATGGCTGGCACAAGGAACATCACGGTCGGCGTGCATTGACCGAGCTTCGAGCTTCTACCAGATCCAAGCCCTTGACGTCCAGTAGAAACACGGAAAAGGGGCAATATCCCCTGTAGTACAGCCAATGGGGTAATATGAGCCTCGTATATCATCGGCAGCAGAGCAGACGATAGGTCTAGCCTCTCTAAAGGGATCGGAGTTTGCTGGGCCGAAAGGACCGTGGGAGATAGCGAGAGTAGGGAGATGAAAGTGGTGAGTATGTTTGCAGATGGTGGTGAAGGGGCTCCCCGTTGCGAAGTGGAGGAAGGAGAAGTCCCAGTCGGAAGATAGGGATCACCAGGCGTGTTTAGAGGATATCGAAGGGATAAGGCAGCGTTTAATGAACGCAGGAAATACGGAACAGATGCAGGCTATTGGATATAATATGGTTAACCATCATGCCTGACCAGTGCCACACGGCTCACCTCTTTTGGATTTAGCACCAGTGCCTTGACGCATCCCTTGCTCTTTTTCTCCAGTATATCCACACCATCAAGGGTAGACACACTGGCAATTACGACGTAGCCCTTCTTCTCGAGTGCATGAACTAAGGCCGGCCCAATGAGCGTATCTCCACCTAATACAACTGCAGCGGAAATCAGCTTAGATCTCTCAAAAAGTGAATGAGTCTCGTACCCACTACCTCCTTCCTGAGCTTGAGTTTTTCATTGCTTTCCTTGCGGCGCCTGACGCCTGCTCTTTTCTGATCGTTGAGAGTCCAGTAAAGCCAAGCGCCATATCCAGCACCCAAACCAACACCAATTATGCCACCAGCTATTGCAACCCGTCGCCGAGTGACTTCGTCATCAATGAAGCCGAGTCGGTACCATGGAATCTCTTCTGGCGGTGGAGTGATGGCAGTAATAGGTGGAGAAGGTGCTGGTATGTCAAATGTTCCTAATCCTGGGACTGTGACTGTGCTCGGCCATGTTGTAAACCCGTGTCTCTGGAGATCAGATAGAATATGCTGATACACCGCTTGGGCATGTCCTGGGAGTGAGTGTAGATACTCATTGAGCGTCATGATATACTCTTCTATATCTTCTGGTGTTGGAAGCATTGCAGCATTCGTGTTTTGGACGAGGTCAGGAGCAAGTTGTTCTCGACCACATCTGCCTGGTCGCAGCCCTTCAAGTTATTTCACATTCTTATAGAAACATAGTCAGCGGCATAATCTCAGAACCCACCAATTAGCTTTGCACATCCCAGAAAGCCTCCTTCAAAAATCGAAAGGATGTCAGTGCCAATGCCAAAGCCGCTGCAAAGATTCTACTCTTTGTTCCCTCTTCGTATATATGACGAGCCTTTCTCACTTCCAACGACAACCTCAACCTCGCCTTTTGCATCTGGCACCGGTCCCGCACATCCTACACTTTTCATACACCCTCCATCTGATCCAACAAAGTCGCTACTTTCAACTGACGTTGAATGCGTCAAGTGGCAGGCATACCTCGCCTTACGTGGTGTTTCCAAAAGTATCAACATTCGCTGGGATTTGTCTCCTGAAGGGGCGATAGACCAAAGGCTACCAAATCTCTACCTCCCGGTCAAGCAGATGCAAAATGTCAAGGCGGAGATGAAGGGAGAGCTGCTCGAAAGTAGCCGGATCCCAAGCTGGGTAGATGGGGAACTTGGCCAGAATCGGGCACCTCGTGGCGAAGACGAAGACGATCACATATTGGAGGGATATGTGGACGAAGACGCCCGTGACGAAAGTCGTGCTTGGGTCATGCTCCTGGAGACCGACATAGATGCTGCATTACGAGCCACCTCCACGAATAGAGACTCGTTTTTGAAGCGTCTAATAACATTTCCGTCACCAATGGTTCCAGAAAGGCCTCTCCTCACGAAGCCATATACTGGACTTTCGTCAATGATCACTCCGTTTGGCAGCGCTGTGATCATTACACCTATCCTAGAACGTTATGCGGAGGCCTTGAAAGCTCTCAGTTTGCGCTTGGGCGGATCACGGTGGTTTCTTGGCTCGAGGTAGGCATATCTTCGTTTACAATGTCGTATCTTCGCACCTAATGATTGTAGAGGACCAACTGCCCTAGATTCTGTCGCTTTTGCCTATCTTCACTCCGCACTGGAGTCTCTATATCCAGAAATTCGAGAAGAGGCCAGGAAATGGGTGAATCTTGTGGCATGGGAGCAACGAGTACGCGAGAGTATCTCGGCATCTTTACACCACTAGCATTTAGATCAGTACACTCGGATACACTGGCACCTCGACTCCGTCGAGGTTCCCGCAATAGACCCTCTCCCGCTCCATCGGACGCTTCCTTTCAGACGAGCGCGCCTACGGTGCTGGCCTGTTGCTAAGATGCCACTATTTACAGGTTCGGCCCGCCACGCATGACCCACCGTTTCGCCGACAATAGCTTCTCATCGGCCGGCATTCTGCCAGGTGCATGGACAAGCACCTATATTTACACACTTCTCTCACACGTAGGCAGTGTACTCACCGAATCAGAACTGAACCGTTGACTTCTCGAGTCGTGATCTTCCGGCAGAAGTTGAAGGTGGATTGATCACAGAGGGTAAACCCCGCAGGACTCTGGAGAATATAAGACCTTGGAGATAGTCAGTCGAGTGAGGGGCTCTTCCTTCCTGTTAGTATGAGGTTTCAGCTGCTGCTCATTTCTTGGTTAGCGGCTATTTCCAATGCCCTCAGTATGTGTCATCTCGTCCAAGAAAGACCATTGACGGGTAAAAAAGATATCATGTCGCTTGGGGACTCTATAGTCGGTTCGGGCTGTTGGCAAGCGATTCTCTGGCAGAGGCTCAACTCGACAGGACTCTTACAATCGAAGAAGATAGAGTTTGTTGGGACTCTCCACTCCAAGCAATGTGGTTTCGCTTTCGATGGTGATAACGAGGGCCATTCAGATCAGCTTGTGACGAAGGTGGCAGAGCAGGTTAGTGACAAGACTACCCCTCTTCCAGCTTTATTGGCTGACTATCATGTAGAATAAAGTGTCGGGTAAGCTGGCTTGACATTTAAGAAACAGGCCGTGGCCCTGATTCTGCCTCAGAGTGGCTTGTATCCGTCGAATCCCCAGATATGGTGCTCATGCATTTTGGAACATACGACCTACTTGCACAAGTGTCGCCTAAAAGGATCCTAGAGGCATACACGACCATAGTCGAGCAGCTTCGGAAATCCAACATCTATGTCAAGATATTCGTTGCTCAAATACTTCCGATTCACAGTGATGCTTGGTATGAACCCGTACATTTCTATTATAACATTCTGATTCCAATAGCTGGAACTGCAACATCAAAGTGAAGAGGCTCAACGACCAAATTCCGAGTTGGGCGAGTCGACTATCCAAGGGAGATAGCCCAATCTATGTGGTAGATCAGGTGTGTCCCAAAGCCTCTCGTCTCCACACTCTTACATCCCCTAGTATGATGGATACCCAAGCAGAAACACAATTGGAGGGATACTTCCCGACGAGTTGGGCGATGAGCTCTTTGCACGTAAATGGTATCATGCCATTGTTCCGCACCTTTGACTACCACATAAGATTGTATCATTTACCTCGACTGTATTTTAGAACACATTCCTGTTTATGGCGACTAGGATACATAAGGATACACATTAGACTCCAATTCTGTAGATCCGAAATCAGATTCAACCTAGCAAAATGGAGTCACACGCACCGGCAAACCACTTTTCGTTGCCCTTGGAACTTGATGACTTCGCTCTTCTCCATGACAAACAGAGTTCGTTCCAGAGCATGTGCCGAATAGTTTTGGTTATTGACAAACTCCTTGACGAGACTCTGATAACTGGTCGTCCACCCAACCGGCAGACGCTTTCGTAGTTCCTTTTCAATCGCAGTCATTTCTTCGTGAATCTGTCCCCTTGATAGCCCCTCAACCGAGCCTACAGAGACGGCATCCATGGTGGAGATTTTGAAGAGGCGAATGGCTTCGTCTACATGGTGCGTCTGGACAGATGTCTGGAGTGCAATCTTTGCAATGGATTCAGAGATACGAATAATGGCCTCCAACTGTCTATAGACGAGAATGAGTGGTATTTGAGTTACTGACAGGTCTAGGCTTACCGAACAGTGATTGGGATTGAGCTTCGCTCGTTATTATCTCTCTCTACGGATTGGACTTGCTTGCGTATCACGACGAAATGGTCGCTTAATTGCGCAGCGGCCTCTGGCGAAAGTCGAGGAGCACATTTTCTGCACAAAAATGAGCTTTGAATATTTGGTGAGAGGCAGGGCATACGCTTTGCAATATGTGATGTAGCGCTTCATCTTGTCAATGTCAATTTCCCCAATAACTTCTTCCTCATTCCTTCGGTTCATTTGTAGATCAATGACATGCCTGGCAATCGTCTATTTAACGTAAGCTTGTGAAGCGAATGTGCTTAGCAGACCCACCCTGTCTCGAGCCTCGTTATGCTCATCTCGTACAATAAATATCATGTCAAATCGAGACAAGATGGTAGTTTGGAAATCAATGTTCTCGCCCGGAGACTTTTCATCATTGTATCGTCCCCATACCGGGTTTGCCGCCGCAAGCACAGACGTCCGCGAGTTGAGGACAGTGGTGATGCCGGCCTTTGCGATCGAAATCGTTTGTTGCTCCATCGCTTCATGGATCGCCACTCGGTCTTCGTCTCGCATCTTGTCGAACTCGTCGATACAGACAACGCCGCCATCCGCAATGACCATTGCTCCTCCTTCGAGGTAAAATTCACGCTATAACGGTCAGCGGAATCTATTTGTCGTCAATAACTTACAGAGACAGGATCTCGCTGCACAACGGCGGTTAAACCAGCTGCACTACTTCCTTTGCCAGAGGTGTAGACCGAAATAGGCGCCACCTTTTCCACGAATTTGAGTAGCTGAGATTTTGCGGTTCCTGGGTCTCCCAATAGCAAAACGTTGATATCCCCGCGGAGGCGCATCCCATCTGGAAGCATCTTCTTAGAGCCACCCATGAGCAAGCAAGTCACAGCCTTCTTGATATCTGGAAATTGTTAGAGCATTAAGCAGAATATCACTGATTCCTTCTACCTTCGTTACCGAAAATGCTCGGTGCTACACTCCGAGAGAAGCGTTCAAAGATGCCACCCTTTTCATCGCGATAGCGTGCCATCTCTGCAAACTCTTCTTCCTCGGCAGCTGTCCAGCGCTGGCCGCCAAGCAGTGATGCTGATGACACTGATTCTCCAGTCGAAAGCTCGAGATGGCAGACGCGGAGATACGAGCTCCTCAGAGCCGGACCGGCACCCTTTCCTGCTTTCTGTGTAATCTTTAGATGTTGCATAGTTGAGCGGTGTGACTTACCCCTTTGGGGGAGAATGTCGAAAAGATGCCTGTCGCGACCACTCGAGTTCCGGGGATCACTTTATTCGTAAGGTTTCTAAATTTTATTAGCGGTTGTCTCGATAATTCAATTTCTCACCTGTCCACCGAGAGGAGCATATGCTTGGGAAGCTCTCCGACCGGAACCATATCAGGGGCTTCTTGCAGCTTCATTGTTTGGTGGTCAACAAATGTGCATTTGGGATGGATGATCATGTATGGATCCATTGGGCAGTCCTTCTTTTGCCCATCAGGTGTGGGTCTAAGCAATGTAAGATTGGTTTCAAAGGGATGAGCAGAGACGTACGCATCGCACACCCGTGGCAACCCTCGATCAAATCCTCCACCTACGCCACCGAGGCCTGGAGGGGCGTGCATAATCTTGATTGAGCCGCATGCGCGGCACTTGAGATGCAACTTGGTGGCACGGGATTGGAGTGTCGAGGTGGAGATGACAATACCAGGTATTCTAACGAGCTTTGTAAATGTATCTGCCTACAAGACGATGGATCAGTCGCGCGCGAGGCCGGCAGGCCAAAGTCGACACACCGTAAGATCGCGAAACTGCAGCATGTTCATGCCAGACTTGATCATGATCTGCACTTCTGGACCTTCCTTTTCCGCATCGTCCTGTCTCACGTCTGTAGAGATTGGGAACAAGATCTTCTTTGCTGCCTTGGACGCCGCTGCTTCAAAGAGTGGCAACGTGTCTCCTGGACGATCTTGAATAGCATGCGCAAGGTCTTCGTTGTAGAGACCAACGTGTCTGAGGTCGACTTCGAGCGAGTCTATCTTCAACAGGAGATTTGACCGAAGTTGATCACTAATGACGCGCTCTTAGTCTCGATGTCGCGTTCTATGGGCGTTTACATGTCATAAAAGTGCTCACCGATAGATAAACTGGCCTCCAACGCGGTATTGGAGGAGAAAATCGAGGAGCATGCGTTCGGTGTCCGAGGCATTCTCGAGCGTTGTCCCCAGAGGACGCTCACCGAGAATAGGAACAGCATGGACGAGATTCGCGTCAAATCCAGACATGATCGTCGTCGCTGCCAAATATTCCGAGGGCAGAGTTGCGGCGTCGGTGGTTGAAGTGTGTTTTGGACCCGGCCACGACCATGAAGCTCACGCCAGAACTCATCGCACAGGCGACTTCATCGCTTAATCCGCTCAAGGAGCGCCAACTCGACCTCCGTGGGCTGCAGATTCCGGCCATCGAAAACTTGGGAGCGACGCGGGTAAGTCGTCCCTCGTTGGCCGTCACGCTTCCCATTTTTGAAACATGGATTTCCTCTTGTTTCCGTTGTGACAAAGGCTGAACTTCATCTTGATCTATGTTCCAAAAGGACCAGCACGACTCGATCGACTTTACCGACAATTCCATCTCTGTTCTCGGAAATCTGCCGCTAGTACGAAGATTACGCACGTTACATCTTGGGAATAACCGTGTAATGTCCATCTCGCCAAACCTCCACCTCTCCTGCCCGGGCCTCAACACCTTGGTCTTGACCAACAACAATATCGGCCAACTGGGAGACTTGGAGCCACTAAGGGAACTAAGGTACCTCCAGTACCTCTCTTTAATTGGCAATCCGGTTCGGGAGCAGCGCTACTACCGCGAATGGTTGATTTTCCGATGTAAATCACTCCGAGTACTCGATTTCCAACGAATACGAGACAAGGTATGTGGTTTAATAGTATAATATACTGTGTCTCACATCATGAAAGGAACGAAAGCAGGCGGAAGCCCTTTTCCTCACTGCAGATGGGCTAGAGACAGCACTCGCGACTCAACTCGCCGCTACGGTGACTACAAACGCTGCAAAGGCTGCTGTAGCAGCCACGCTCGATGAGCCACGCGTAGGAGGTGCATCTGGTGTCTCCACAGGGAAAGCAGGACGCTTGATGACCGCGGAAGAAAAGGCGCGTATCAAGGCTGCCATTGCAAAAGCTGCGAGTGCAGAAGAGATTAAGCAACTGGAGAGGAGTCTACGAGAAGGATGGGTCCCTGACGGATAGCGCTCCCTCGACGGTGTATCTCATCTCCAAAAAAATAACCGCGCTGCATTATCATCCTGCTTTCTCAACGTTACGACCATAGAATGTGTGACAAAAACTGTGCATCGTAAAATCCAAGAACAGTACTATCATACAGGGAGAGCGACACAACAATAGATCCGTTATCAAGCACTTGTCAAGATATGATACCGTAGATCCATCCAGTCAGTTCAAGGTATTACCCCTGTGGTGCTGTTGTGGAGATGATTCTCGGGAGCAGTAAAGTTTCCGTTGATATCCCCGTGGACAGTCACGACTGTAATATCGTTTCCACGTACACCCTAACACGGATAGTCAACACGAAATTCAGCCATGGTCCAGTTTGCATACCGAGCTCGTGATCGACCCCTTGTCCGTCTTGACCATGACATGATCAAAGCCAATGCCAGCCTCTGTGAGATTGTCGAAATGAACGTCCCATCTACGACCTGGAAGGCTTTGGTAGCCCTCTGCCGGAGGATATGTATTCCAGGTCAAGTTGCCATAACTCCTCCCAGCTGGAATGCCACTAGAGTATGGTCAAGCACCCGTGTGGCATGACAAGTAATATCAACTTACACGACGACATTTGCATAGTCGATACCGAAAGTGTTCGGCAACAAGTCGCTAACCTAGATGAACACATTAAATGCGTCAGGTCCGTCCATCACGCCATTTTCTAATATACTCACGACAATCCCGAATCCTGCTTGCTGCGCCCCTAAATCGCCCAACAAATTAGTCGGATGAGACGCAAGTGGATGGGTATAGGAGACTCACCTGCCATGACCCATGGTGTGAGCTTGAACATGCGCCCTGGAGCGGTTGTCTCAATGTTGATCGTGAAATGATTGCTCGAGATAGGGGCGCGCGTAAAGCGGATCGAACCAACGAGTCGATTGTTGTATGCCTGCATGTTGAGCGACGGCGTCGTGAGCGGGAGCGTCATCGTCCAATTATAGTACACGTATGCAACTTCATTTGTCGTCGAAACCTATTGGGATCTATTAGCCCTGAGTGTATCGACGCGCCAAGAGATGGAAGCCCACTGTAAACGCGCGCCCGGCGATGAAGTCACCAGCTGGACCCCAGACGATAAACGCGACGGAGAGGATGATGCTGACGAGGAGAATGAGCCCATCGCGGAGGAGCTTTGTCCTCCGGTTGCTCGTCGTCGCAGCGACTGCAACTGGACTGCCACTCGTCTCTGCAGCGTCGTTGTTCTGCTGACCACTTGGGAACAGAGACGAGGTGAACAAACCAAGTTTCTTGTCAGGACGCGTCGTGGGCAGCGACATGGCTGGTCGAGACTGACGGGATCGCCGTGGGTGGTCGAGGTCAAGTCAGGGGTCTCGCACCACCATCACCGGCCAGCATCTACAAATCCACAAATTACAGTTCGTATAACATCGTGAGTGATTGACATGTACAGCATCATATTCTTCTACTTGGCCTTTGCCGTCTCGCCCTCCTTTCTCCGCAAATATGGAAACGCGTACAGGTTGTATGCTACCTCGTACGAATCTGGCTCTTTGAGACCACTCATAAGTCCTAGAATACCTGCATCAGCATCCAGCCTCGCACTAAGCAGAGCCCAGAACCCACCAATCATCGCAACCACAAAGCGGTTGGACCCGCATGCGACGAGCAGATGCCACCAAGCATGTCCCTGCGACAACACCCCAAGGGAACCGACGCTCTCCCTCCACGCAGTAATGTCTTCGCACAGCAGGTTGTCCATGTTCCAAATGGTAAACGCCAGCAGCGTAAGCACCGTTCCCGTCTTCAAAAGATGCGTACAGTCCTTCTTCAGCTTCGAGTCTGGTGGAAACCGCTTGAGGATGGCCTGCATCCGATACGTGATAAAGAGCTGTAGGGCACCATAGACCACCTGGTGGAAGATTGGATTCGGGTATGCGATGTAAAGAGCCGTGAAAAGGGCCGGAAGAACGGTGCAGATAATCTTGGGGGACAGTGAAGAGCTTGGCCTTCCTTCGAGGAGGATGCAATAAATCGCCTGAAAGGATGCATAGATCATCGGCAACTCGTCAAGTAAAACCTATTGATATGTCAGTAACCGAAAAGGCCTGAAAGAAGACTGCGTAGCATACCTGAGCATGCCATAGAAGCGTCGCATGGAATGCAAAGCTCCCAAGGCCAATAAACGCAATCATAGCATGACAAAACGCATATCGTTTCCTGCACCAGATGCAGTCAGTTTCCATCCAGAGCAATGACGAAAGACATACTGGTTGGGTAGATTCTCCCGAAGCGTCTTCATCATACCATGAGCGGCAAGGAGCACAAAGGGAATGTTCGAGAGCGAGTTCCACGTCTCTGCGATAAACATAAAATGGACATAGTTGTCTTCGCACCTAGAAATTCGTTAAAACTACATCACAGCATGTAAAACAGGATGCTTACCAGTCGAGAGTCGACGTATGCTCCCCAAAGAGGCCATGCGCAACTTGGCCTGGGCTAATTACAGGTTACCGTTGTAGCCGGACGAACTGTTCCCATCGTACGTACCGATGAAATGGCTTGATATCCATGAGGAACCGAAAACTGAGGGAGTGGACGGGTCAGAAATGCGAGACTGCGGTCAGCGGCGCCCAGCCAGATTTTATATAGTCGGTGTTGAGTGCCTATGACCACAGCATCCCACAAGAGGCACATTCTCTTCGTGAGCCTACCAGTCCGGATCTTATCTTATAGCATCAGAAACCGACTTTCTATGCATACTAGAGGTGCATACAGCAGATACACGTATTGTTCGTGCTTTACAAAAAGCACTAGCCAAGACTAGGGGAACACATAGACACACAGATGCACGAAAAAAAAAATCTAGTCACACAGTATACCGGAAGAGAGAGAAAGCTGTCGGTCGCACAACAACAGGTGATCAGCTGCAACCGGCTGTTGCAGCTGGCCCGCCAAGGAGAGCCAAAGGGCGACGAGCGATAAATAATGGCGGCCGTCTCTGTGGAAAGGTTGGCCGGATAAAGAAAGCTGAGCGATGCTTAGTGCAGCTCCTGCGACGCTATTTCGTCAATATCGTGTCCATCGACCAGGACACCCTCCTCATATTCGTCCTCATGCTCCTCGGTTGGTTCCTTGTCGCCACCAATGATTTCTGTCACACCAACCTCTACCCGTCGACGAGCAGCGACGCGCCATGGGGGACTCGGAGCACCCTTGCCACGCATAAAGTCGTCCTCCCAGATTTCGGAAATCTTGGCGCGCTTTATCGGATCGCGGACAAGAAGACGAGCAACCATGGCCTTGAGGTCGTCCGTGGCCAGTGTCGCATCGTCTGGAAACGAGTATTCGGCCTTTGCGATCCGCACTAGGTACCGTCTTCGTGAACCCTGACCATTATCCGTTCCTTTTGGATCAAATGGTAGGGTACGAACGGCGAGAGCATACAGCACAATGCCACAGGCCCACGCATCCGTTTGCCTGCCGTCATAGCTTGATCCCATGACAATTTCTGGTGCCGCGTAGGATTCCGAACCACAGCGGGTCGTGAGCATTGGCTGATTTAGATCGATGAACCGTGCCAGGCCAAAATCGGTAAGCTTGACTAGTGGTTGCGGCAATAGGGCGACATCGATCGCTTCGGTGTGTCGGAATGGGTTGACCGTGAGGATAATATCTTATCGAAACATCAGTGATGAAATATTTAAAATTCGGAAACAGACATACTTTCGAGCTTAATGTCGCGATGGACAACGGCGACTCCATGAAGCCAACCAACGGCTCGACAAAGTTCGCCCCACATACGACGAATAAGAGGCGTAGTCATTTTAGCATAGTTTTCGTCAGAGTTGATGAGCTCAAACAGCTCTCCTCCACTGACATGCTCGAGGACCAGACAATGGTGGGTCTCGATGGTAAACGAATGCAAAAAGGCGACAATAGACGGATGAGAAATGTGCTATAGAGTGTGTAAGCGACAGTTTCAAGTTGATCCGGAACAAAAAAAGAAAAAGCACACTCACGCGCAAAACCTCGACCTCGCGAACAAACGCTATTCGCGTGCGATCGTTGACGTCGCACAGTTTCCGATCAAGCGTCTTGACGGCAACAAGCTTCCCGACTTTACTAGGCGGGCCTAGCTCACGCCCACGGGGTTCATTCTCGGCCAGTGGGCTAGGCAAAGACGCGCCTTCACCGTCAAGCTCGTTGAGAACACCGAGGCGGGTCGTCGCGTGGGGCGCTGGTCGAAGTCCCGGTAGCGCATCCCCCTTTCTCCGGGCCGTGCTGACCGACTTTCGTCTGCGCTGTCGGGGCCCAGGTGGGATCAGCCGATCCTCAATGTCACGGGCCAGCCAAACGGAGCTAAAGGCACCATGGCCAAGCAGTCGAACGAGAACGAGAGGTGCATCATCGCCAATCGTCATGCCGACTTGTAACTCTTTCTCCGATGGGTTGCGCTGTGTTTCTCGTCTCACGAGTGCGTGAGGATTATGAATGGCCGTGGGAGCGACAGGGTCGGAATCTACGGGTCGTGGTGTGAGCATTTCCATCGGCGACATGGGCATCGGTGTTTCATCAATCTGTCGTATTCGACCAAGTGGTGAAGAAGGATGTGTCGAGGGCGAGTAGGAAGACGATGCGGGAACATCGTAGAGGGTAAACCCCAAATCGCGTCGAACACCGCTGACAGATGAACGCGAGGATGAGCGCGAGAGGTTTGAGCTCTCGGGTGTCCAATAGGCAAAGTCACGCGGGGCCGGTTTGATAAAGCCATTGGTGGAAGAATACGACGAGGACCTGCTCCTGGAACCGGTGTCGACTTCGTCAAACGAGCGTGTGGACGATTGGTCGGGAACGGCTCGCGTCTGTGCCAAACGTGCGAGATGGAGGCGCAACGCTGGGGCTGAGTCCGGCTTTTCGTCCGGAGGGGAGAGATGGCGAACTGATAGTGGTGGAGATGGTATATGCTTTGCAGCAGAACTGAAAAAGTCGACTGTTTGAGAGTTACGAGTTGCAAGTTGGGGCGCTGGTTTTGGAATGTTGACTGGATCCGAAGTCGAGAGCCCATTGCTAGGCGTCGGGTCTGTAGAGGGGCTTGGTACCAATGTTATAGGTGGAGGAGGCACTGGAGTAGCCACGAGCGACTTCCAGGGTGAGCTGAAGAAGGCGTTGGTCTTGGAGCCCGTCGTCGCCAGCGTCTCCACGTCGAGCCGAGGTCCCAAAAGCGGGGATGGCAAAGGAGAAACGTCTACATTAATAGGCTGCGATGTATCTGATGAAAGAGCTGGCGACGGAGTCCTAGGGAGCGATGCAGGCGCTGGTCCCAGCAGCAGCGTCGTACTCTGCGGTGGCGCTGTCTCGCGCGGTTTGTGGCCCAAAAAGCTTGTCCAGCGAGATCCATGGTGTTTTTCAGTGTCTATTCGGAGTCCTAGCGTGCTCATGGCGTTTCTGTGGATGCAGCGTCAGCGCTGCGCAATGACTGATCGCCACTGGGGGTTTCCAAGTATGGCCCATGGGCCCAATTGGACAGCCAAATACGCACAATCGAGAATTAAGACGATCACTAGTGTCACAACTTGCCACGGTGCTCACGACGACGCATCCAAACAATTTTGGAGAGGTCCAAGCGGTGTGCTCCCGTGGCCAACGGCGTCTGTCACGGAGCATCCAGATTCCGTCAAACTCCTCTGGACATGTTTCGCGCTTATTTCATTTAATCACCTTCCACGGAAATCTCTAGTTTGTGAATATTGACACCTTAAATCCACCCGAGACGCCCAACTGTCTTACGGCTCTCTACCTGCGTTTCATCTGGTCGTCGTCCGTGGACTGTGACCTCCCAGACGCCAATATCATCCACAGTTTCCGTCCAGGCAACTTCTTCGGCACTTTGCGCTGAGATGAGTTCAAGTCGGACCGACTGGCGCGCTCCCGGTGAGTCCAGGATCCAAACCGCGCCTGGGGCTCTGTCTTGTACAGGCATCGGTGATATTCCCAGTGCAGTCCTAATCTCTTCGATATGCTTGGACAACGATTCGCGCCTGGTCATCAGCGTCACGGCCGCGATTCGTCTCCTTGCCTCTGAGCCTGAACCCGCGCTCCCTGGGGACCAGGGCACCTATCCATCAACCCCTGTGAATACGTGGTTCAATAGATGGGGATAAGCACATACCCGCCTCTCCCTCGGAGTTAGGTCCTTGCAAAAGAACGGCACTCCGCCCCGTTTGTGTTGCTTGGCAGGAAAGGTCACCAACCAGCGCAAAATATCCCCATTAGGTTTGACTCTTCCACCTTCAACCCCATCGTCGTAGCGGAGTTGCACCTTATCTTTCTCGGCCTTGTGATTGATAGCCGCCGCCACGGAAACGTCCGATGCACTTGTCAAGTCTCCCAAAGAGTAATCTATCCATCCATTCTCCTTCATCGAAGCCCACCAATGGCTTGTCCGAGCCTGTCTCTCGGGCGAACCTTCGGGATACTCCTCCACCTCTTTAATGAACTGGATCAATTCGATATAAACTCCGTCATCCAGGACAATCAATGCATTCTCGGTCAATCCATCTGCGTGCTTGCCGCCGAGCAAGACTCTTTCCTCATAACCGTCAACGAGAGCAAACGATGCCACCCCGTCAAAACTCACTCAAACCCCATATTCTCAAACTCTGAGATTGTATTGCGCAACATTCCTGGAGCGGAAAGATGGATAATATGATCCATAGGGAAAGCCATCGTCCGAGTCAGAGTTCAAGTGACAAACAGAGACTCTGCCACGCTATAGCTCCATGAACACTTTTAAATCTCCAGAAGAGATCAGCTTGGCTCTCTTCGCCTTCTTTGCTTGTCGCTCTTCGTCCGCCAGCTCTTTCCAGTCATCCGCGTCCATCTTATCCTCCATTTGCTTCTTCTTAATCTCTTCGGCCACATTCCTCTCCCATGCTTTTTTGCGCTGTCGCTTCTCCTTTCTCTTCTCTCGCCCCTCCTTTGCTTCGACCTTTTGTGACCATGCAGAGTTTTTCTTCTTTTGTATTTGTCGCTTCTCCTTTTCATTTTGACCCTTGGCGGCGGTATCTGCTTTGACAGCTGGGTCTAGCTCTGCTCGTCGTTTGCTTTCGCGGGCTTTGTCCAGATATGCGTACTCTTCCCACTGGCAACCCATCAGAAGACTTGGATTCCATAATATACGGCACTCACGTCTACGTGTGCATCCTCCCATCCATCCGTACGTCCTTTCAATTCAGGCATACGAGGTAGTCGCAACAGCCCATATGATTTGGCGACACCGACCAAGTCCAAATCTTTGACTCGGAATATATAGGAAGCTTCGTGTTTTGAATACGCCCTCACAAATGAGACAAACGCTTTCGTCCCCTGGGAAAGGTCAGCCGCTTCAATAGCCACAAATTAGCGCTCACCTTTTCGTGAGTATCACGGTCCCTGAGAACAATTGATCTCATTTCTCGCAAGAGGTCACCCTTTTTAACCGAGTAGTTTGTCGAGGTGCTTGGCAATTGTGACTCAAAGGAAGGATCCTGCTTGAGTGGAATCTTTCGAATTTGCAATAAATCTACTAAAATTTAGCGAGTGACATTACTTTCAAATGATACTCACCAACGTATTCGCTTTCTCTTCCGGTCAGCAAGACCCAAGCCCGCCCCTCTCTTCCCATTCTTGCCGTCCTTCCCGCCCGATGGCTAAACGTCTTTGTGTCTACGGGTGCATCGTATTGAATGACGACATCTACGTCGGGTAGATCCAGCCCCCGTGCAGCTACGTCGGTGCATAAAAGAATGGAAGGATTAGACACGGTTGATGGGTGATTAGTGAACGATTCTAGGGTTAGTGTGCGCTTTTCTGGTGGAAGGTGTCCATGTAAGGAGAAGAATTCGATTGTTTGAAAATCTCCGAGGCCGGAGAAGACCTGTAAATGACTGGTTAGATGGAGAAAATGGTATAATTCATCGTACCCGGTAGAAATAGTCCACAGCTGCACATGTGGCAAAATACACAATAAATTTACTACTAGATCGGTTTCGCTCATGTTGCACGATATTGAATAACCGACTAGTCTTCTCGTCTGTCTCACACAAGGTGTAATAATTTTGCAGACTGAACAGGGTCAACACAATAAAACCGAACAAGATGCGCGCACCTAGCTGGAGTTCGCCTCTCTTCGATTACTTCCTCGGCCTTTCTCTTCGTACCGGCCAATTTCTTTGCTTCCACTTTGACAGTAACGCGGACAGGATTCCTGAGTCCCATTCTGACGAGCTCCGAAAGTGCATCTGTCATCGTTGCAGAGAAGAGTCCTGTTCGTCTCTGCTTGGGCAGGTGGGTAATAATCCGGGTGATAGTAGTGGTGAATCCGAGATCGAGCAATCTGTAAGAGTGAGTCATTATACCATTACAGGTGATTAAAAGCATACCGGTCCGCCTCATCAAAGACGAGGACTTCTAGTTCCTTTACATTGACCCGGTTTCCACCTCTTCCGAGTAGAAATTCTTCAATTCTCCCTGGTGTGCCGATAACAATGTCGGCAGATGACTCGAGAAAGCGAGAGAGGTCTTGCGCAGGTGTCGATTCCGTTCCGGAAACCATAAGCACCGAGCGGGGGCAAGAAACATCCTCTGGAGCCGCATCAACAAATTTAGACAGTACAGAGTTTATTTGAGTAGCAAGTTCTCTGTCGACATCGGTCATTTTGATTGCACAATAAAAAGGCATCGCTTACCGCGTTGGAGAGACAATCAAGGCCCCAACTTCATGTGTTCGTAGAGGTACATCTCTTTTCATCAATCGCTCTATTATCGGGATGAGAAATGCTAGCGTTTTTCCAGAGCCTGTGACGGCCTGAGTGCGGTTAGAGTAGGTCTCGAGCTTGAGCATAACGACAGACCTCGACGACGACATCCTTGTGTTTCATAAATAGAGGTATTGTGGATGCCTGAACCGGAGTCATCTGTGTAAACCCAAGTGAATGCACGACATCGAGTCTGTGGCGAGAGTTCAACCGAAAAAAACTTGCGCCCTAGTCAAGAACACACATCCACGGTGTTAGTGAGGGATTTAATCTGCTCCATGGGCCTGCAAAAGCGTTCGAAGTTGAGGCGCTCATGAGGGACGGGTCCAAGGATGATGCTAGATTTGGTACAAAAATTTCGGAAGGTGTATATAGGGGACGCGTCTAGTTACTCGACATGAGTTCGCTGCCGTAAACTGGAGCTGTCATTTCCCGCTGAGCGACCAGGTGCTTTCAGAGGTAATCCGGACTCTGCATGTTCGTCATCCCCATACCACTGCTTGCGACTAGCTGTAGACGGTCTTCTGCGTCCACCAGTCATAACATCGATACCACGGATGACCCAGTCATTGATCCAGATGACAAGCTGAAATACCGGAAGGCGAACCGGAACCAGAGGAGAAGGAAGAGGATAGATCGTCTCTCCAGTGGTTCTGCTTAATACAGGGGGCGCAGGCGAGTATGGTTGTGTTGGTGTAGGATGCGCGTACATGGCGAGTATTATATACTATGGGTGGTAAGCCGTGGCCGATGACCAAAGGGACTCTTACCGAGGGAAAGATGAGTGCGAATATCGCGACATTCACAAGAGAATTGCCGAGATAACATAAAGCAGTGGTAGGGAGACCTGCTCGGCGTGAGTTGGTTGAAATCCTGGAATATGCGTCATACCGAAAGCTAGAAAATATGCCCAGCGTTCCTCCAAATAACGGACACGGGCAGCAAGGGAAAGCCCCTTTGCTCTCCACACAAATCTGAATAATAATCAATGTCGCGTTGGATTTTGTGGAAGGGACACACTCGAAGCAGTAATACCTGCCAGACAGTTAGCGTCGCCAATCAAGTAGCATGTACTTACGAATCCACCCAGCAAACAAAGATGAACGAGAGGGTAGAGCCTACAAAGGGAATATATGATAATGACCAGGATACCGCAAGTGAGGTGACAATCAGGATTACTCGGTAAGCCGAGGAGGCGATTGACGTGATGAAGCTTCCAAAATCAGTCAAACGAAACCTTTTGGTATTTCCTGACCCTGTGTACGTTGTAGGTATCGTAGATTGCCTTCCATGCTGGAGGGTGTACAACTTATCCGCTATAGTTGAGCACCAAATACCCTGCGCAAATCCAGCGTGTATCTCTGATAAATCACCAGACGTACGTTGAAATACAGTGAGCCTCCAACCACCGGAAGCACCCAGAACAACTGGTAAACCCCCAAGTGGAAACGATGGATGAAGGTGAGGCCTTCCTGTGGAGTAGTGGCAGAATGATGAGATCGAAAACAAAGATGGAGAAAAGTCCCAGCGAATTAAGGATCAGTGATTTGAGCACTACGAAAGTTAATTGATGTATCCGCGAGAACGGGATTGCTGCATACTATGCGCCCGTATTTCACCGTCTCTAGCATATAGTGATTTTATTAGTTCCTTTTTTGAGACCAAATTCCAACGCACGAGATTACAATGTTCACGACGTGGTTCCAACGAAATGAATCCTTGAGACCTTCCCAGGCCCAGTTTAATTGCAGTAATGCAGTCTTTGAAAAGGAAAGAAACTCTGGATACACTTGTCGGGTCGGTTGGGGTCTAAGATCATGTGCATGCTGGGGGTGTTGGGATTGATTTCCAGGCCCGTTCCAGGTATGCTGAGAGCCCTCATATCGCGAAACATTCTGAGATTGATGTATGAATAAATTCGCTTGGCTATTCGCTGGAATAGTGCTTGGGGGGTTGGTTACCGCCTTGTCGGACGAGAATCGCGAAGAAACGTGGACATCTCGTAACGGGGCATTGTTGTTTGAAGGATTTTGAGGTCTTATACGTCGCACGGCAGAACCCGAAGACATGGTCGAGGAGCAAGATGTATACAACGGGCTGCTAGATGACAAGACATAAACAAAAGATCAATAATCCAGATGGTCCGCCAAACGTGAGGCTGCGGACACAAGTCCGCGATATTCCACACTGCCTGGCCATTCATTCAGCGCACTAAGTTTATTTATCAGTCGCGCAAGAACGAAATTCTATGAAAGTCAATGAGCATTCGCTGCAGCATTCATTCTCATGCCCACCTGGCTAAGATGCTTCAGAACGGGCTCCTGAACGCCGTCCATGAGCTCAATCGCAGCACGGCATTCAATAACGTCCTGTTCCTAACAAACGTCAGCCGGAGAACCTTCTGTCAAATCGAGCGACGAACCGAAGGTATGCTCGCTTTCAACACAGTTTCAATAAGAGGCTGAGCTAGAGCGCTCAAAACCTTTGCACGTGCGGCAGCAAGCTCATCTTCTCCAGAATACTTCTCCAGGTCGACAGCCTGTACCACTTTGAGATCCAGTCGAGCCTTTGCCATCTGGACTTTGAATGACATCCGAACCGGCGATGCTGGGCGAGCAATTTTTTCAATCGTAATCCGTGAGCGTTTCGGCGCCGCTGTACTTGGACTTGTAGGCTGACCAACAAATGCAGAGGTAGAAGATGTTGCAACCCCGTTTGTATAGGTACTAGATTGCCGCTTTCGTTTCAGATTTGACGCCACGATTGGTGTTGAGGATATGTTGGCTGGGGCACTGTACCGGAGAGATGACCTGTCGACCGATATGAGTTCTTTCTCGAGCTTCGCGTTGAACTCTCGTCCGAGTTTCTCCAGCAGCGGTCTTTTGAGACCTGGACGCGGTTGAAGCGTATCTGATCGCAAGAGTACCAGTGCCTTGACAGTAAAAGCGATACGTGAAACGAGCTGGAAGATGATTTCTAGTGGTGTTGAGGCTGAGGAAATCTGAAAGATGTGTGATGCATACCTGGGTCTTGGATAATGGCTGCAGGTGTTGTTGGAAATCGACGGAAGCTTCCACCAATCTTCTTTAGATAGGCTAGAAGTTCAAGACAAGCACCCCTTCAAAGGATAAGAATGCAACAAACGTATTGATACATAACGTACTCGAGGTTGCGTCTAGATTGGAAATCGTTGAATGGCACTCCGACGGTCGGTGTAGTACACTGCAGCGAGATCTGGCGAAGAAATTCATCGAGGCCTGACATCAAAACAGATATGACAAGAAGAGTAATATCGAGATCGACGTCTTCGAGTCATTAGACGAGCCAATTATTCACGATTCTGCGCACCTGGATAGAGAGCCTGCTCGGAGCCAAATTCAAATTCTACGTTCCACCAGTTCATGTACTCGGACACAAGATCTGGCCGGAGTGAGATAGGTCTAACAGCCATGAAATGGACGCACCGCCCAGAGGAAGCCGAGGTGCTCTGCCTTCCACGTCAAACTTGAGCTCCTCGAGGTGCGTGTTCAAGGTCGCTTCGAGGCCGTGAGCCGAGTCCATGTCATTGAATATTGCTGCACGTCTATCCAGTACCACAGATTCGACAATCCTATCAAGCTGAAAGGAGGTTAATATGTTGAAGGCACAGAGTCTCCATCTCGTACTTTGGATATCCACGTTGGAGGTATCATTGAGTGGCCACGAGGTGCAATCATGACAAGAAGTAAACCCGGCACGTATGGGCTGTCATCCGGAAGACAATCTATCAGCTCTTGAGCCCTTCTCAAGTTTTCATCCCACTCTCCTGGCTCGATGTGAAGCACCAAAAGGCCTGGAGCGGCTACATGATCCTCGGTGGGTGCCGGACCTGCAATAATACGTGATAGATCTGACGCATTTGCTTCACCGGCGAGCTTTATCTTTAGCCATTCTGCAGACGAACTGCCGTGAGGAACAAAGGAGACCCAAATTTGCCAGCCGGGGGGTAACTCTCGGTTAGGCGCACGTCGTTTGGCTGTTTGAGTTAGGAGTCTCGCAAATGTTTTGGGAGCCCATACTTGAAGGCGATCGTCTGCCTTCTGTAAAATCATCAGTCATTCATCACATGTGTACCGTGTAACACCTACCTTTTCGGCCATCATAAAGGTTTGAGTAGCGTCAAGTTCCTCGGTGATCCGTTTCTTTGCGACAGGCTTCTGGCTGGTTCGCCAGTGTTCCCGAGATGAGAACCCAATGGAAGCTGGGTTGCCATTTCTTCGGCTTTCTCCAAAATGTCTTGTGGGTCTTGACCCCTGTCCGGACTTCTCGAACTTGTATCCCTCCACTTGTCCACGAAGCTCTTCAGCGATGAGATGTGATTACGATCCAAATCGATGCGGTGCTCTGAAAAAGGACCAAGGTCAATTATATCACTGTCGTTTGCTGACGAGACAAGGGACGCTGTCTTCGACAATGGTTCATGGATTGGTCTCTCGATAATATCCTGCTCGTCGCCACGTGTCGATGGCGGTCTTATGGACGATTCTCCGCTGACATAGCCATCTGAGAGATGCCGTCTGGGCCCCTCTCTTGGGACTACATGCTTTGTGAGGGCCGAGTTGGTATCGGTGATGAGGCCAGTGAAACTGGAAGAAGTCGACAAAGAAGGTGCAAACGATAGAGGTTTAGGACGCTCCTGCTCCTCAGGATGTTGGGGAGGCTGCTCCAACCGAGTAATGGCAATCGGGGACGTAATAGTGGGCTGCGGGACTGTAGGGATCGTGGGATCGTCATCTGCACCATCCTCAGCTGGTGAAGGAGGTCGAGGTGTTGAAACTGGGCCCGTGGCCGGAATTTGTGAGAGCGAAGTCTGACTAGACTGGAAAGCGGAAGGCAAAACAGCGGAAGGCGGGGGTCCTGATATGACCGGTGGCACAAAGGTTGTGGGAGGTGGTTCAGGAGCTCGTGTTCCGGCCCTCTGGGGGGTAGGTGCGAATGAAAATACTGAGCTCGATGGTGCAGGCAACACTGCTGCGTTTGTTGTAGATGCGATCGGAATGAAAGGTTTGGGAGGTGCGCTAGGGAATGAGAAAGAAGGAAAAGGAGCTGGAGGTTTCGATTGTTCCTGGAGAGCACCGAATGCACTTCGTACAGCCGTCTGTGGTTGAGCACGGGCGATGCCGAACGCGGAGTATGTTTGGGGTGCTGGAGGAGGCACTTGCTGAGCCGACCCGGAAAGTCTCGTTCCGAACGGATTGGAGACGGGTTTCGGAGTGGCATGATTCATGGACTGTGCCGAGAAAGATTCGATATTCGAAGTCTTTGATGTGGGCACGACTTGCGGTGGCGGCCAGGAAAACGGCGAGACAGAATTAGGTTGCACAGTAATTCCAGCCAGAGGATATTGGATTGAAGTTGTTGGCTTCAATCTCGGTCTCCGCTGCCGTGGGAGAGATGCAAGAGCCAGTTGTTGAGCGTCCGTGGTGGCGGCCTTTGTGATCAATGAGTCGATAGCGCCAGGGAAGAAGCCGGTTGAAGAGTTTAAAACTGGTCTCTTCGCGTCGACCAACTGTGACTTTGGTCTCGGAAAAGGGGTAGCAGTCGCTATCGGTGCTGTCATCAATGTCAGTGACGTCCCTAACAAATAATTGTAAACGTTACGTAGAAGGATTTCTTCCCGACGTGAATGTGGAATCTCTACAAATCCATCGGCCGTAAGGTTCCATCTAAGATGAGATGTCCAGCCGACTGCGTCCTCCTCCGTATCAAGGTGAAGTAGCCTTCGGAATCCCGCAATGGGAACGATCCTCGACGAATTCTTCAGAGTAAGTCCAAGCATTAGACATATTTGTCTTCGAATATCGTCGAAATGTGATTCCAAGAGACATGCAGAAAGATACGATGTATCGGGATGCGTGAGGAGTTCGAAAAATCCCGCGTACTCCATCTGTGTCACGTCCGAATTGTGCTCATCAGCTCCGTTTGTGTTTCTGGTCAATGTGAAGCGCAGCGTGAGGGCCCACTGTAGCGTTGTAGAATTGTAGATGGACGGGGGAAGACTTCGAAGGGTAAAGGGTGCATGCCGGCTACGTATATGCATCAAAATATAGTAGGCTCGGAACTCTGCCTCGTGAGGAGATGTATACTGGACCCGAGCATCGTGATATACCTCCATGAGACTTTGGAGCGTCTTCTTGAGTTGTTCGATCTCCATCGTCTCGGCCTGCACTTCACCGCGGCAAACCAGGTGAAGAGCTAAAATATGATAGCGAACAATTCTCTCCAGGCAGTAGATAGCGTCAGGACTATGATCCCTTTGGCGGGTGAGGTCGCTGCGAACGGCTCGAGTCCGGTTCCACAAAAAGTTGTGAGTTGGTTCTATGCCATGTTCAACCATGACTTTATCAAATAAATAGTCGATGGTTGCCTGGAAGGGACTGAGTACGACGGGTCAAGTACGGCACAAATTGATCACGAACCCGTAAGATGGGCGGTGGTCTTATATCTTCCGAAGGGGGAAGAGTGTTGCCAGCTGCTGCTCGTGCGTATTGCATGACCATTAGGCTGCGGTCGTAGCCACCTGTTGGAGACTTTGAGGTGTGAGCGACCGTTTGGTGCATAAAGACACAATGGAGTACCTTTTCGTAGTGATCCAGGTTTCGTTCAAAGTATCTTTGCAGCGACTCAAACTCGGGGCACATCATGTCGCATGTTCCGACTATATCGACCGCGTCTTCCAGGCTGATTTTACTTGTTGGAGAGTCAAGCTTATCTGAATCTCTCTCTTGTTTCATCTGGGAAGTTGCTGCTACCTGTAGCAATATGCTCTTAGCACTGGCGGGCGTACCTTCATGTAACGCTTGTACAAAGCGGCATCGTCTTCATGCTCGTAGCTCTGTCCTTGAAATCGTTCTTTGCGCGAGTCGACATCGGCCATTCGTCAATGTCGCCCGACAGAGGCGAGGTCTGAGTTGTTTGCGTGCTGACACTCTCCCTCCCAGCCTCTACTGACACAAAGAAAAGACGTGATTTATAACTTTTATATCAAGCCATACTGTTTTATTTCAATATCTCGCGCAGCTTCGTCCAGCGCGTGCGCGCAAGACGCGTCCTGCACCGCTGCTGTTCTGCAACTTCGACCATGTCTCGTACTCCCCAGCCATGGATGGTGACAGTCGTGTCCTCTTCATCTCTCGACACGGATCCTTCGTTCCTCATCACATTCGCTGATGCGAAATACCTGTTCAATTGCCCGACGAATTCGACGAGAATGATGCTCAAGGGAAAGTTTGGCCTCAGCAAGTTTCGAGCTATCTTTCTCTCAAGGATAGCGACGGAGTGTTCTGCCGGATTCCCAGGTCGGTTTGCTCGATTGCAAACCGGTGCAGGCTGACCCGCTCTAGGATTCACGATGACTCTTGCCGATAGCGGGACTAAAGAACTGGAGGTCCATGGGCCTCCTGGACTCTCCCACTTTGTTGCATCGACCAGATTCTACTTGCAAAGGTAGACAAACGTATCTTCATCTCCTTGTTTTCGCTGAAGAATTCACCAGGGATAACCTCAAGGGCCACATAAAGGAAACGAATACTGCAACCGATAATCCAGTCTATAAAGATGAAAATCTAACCGTGATCGCAATTCCAGTCACAGTCGATGGGTCGTCGTTGTCCGTGCCAAGCTCGCCTGCATCACTGAAGAGGAAACGATCAGATTCGCCAGAGGGTACCCCTGCATCCAAACGGTCTAGCATCGATAACCGTGCGGAGGCGCGCAGACCTTCACCAAACCTGGAGATTAAAGCTCTTCGCAACGATCCAGCAGCATGGCGAGATTTTGTGATCAGTCGTATACTTCCGGGGTCTCAAGGTACATCGTTATATCGCGAAAAGCAGGCGACTATCCAAGAGATTAAGAAACGGCTCCCGACTTGGACTCATAGAAGAGTGGTCAATAGCTATCTGATCATCGGCCCAGAGTTTCGCGGGAAGTTTAATGTCAAGCTCGCAGAGGCTTTGGGCGTCCCACCTGGACCAAACCGCGCCAAACTGACGAGGGGAGAGTCAGTCACGCTGAGCGACGGCAGAGTTATAACACCAGACATGGTCATTGGCGAATCGAGTCGAGCAGCTGTATGTTCTCCTCATAGCAAACTCCCGCTGTCGCTTACCCTCATTTAGAGTCTACTTGTTGTAGACTGTCCTGGAACCGACTACATTGAACCCTTTATTCAGTCGAAACAGATTCAAAACATTCGAAGCAATGGACAAAACCAGCTTCACTGTGTTTTTCATATGGCCCCTTTGGAGGTCTTACAAGACACGCGGTATGCGGATTGGATCAAATCACTCGGCCCAGAAGTACATGTCAGTTGACCATTCCCGCTTGCTTTTCTTATATTCACCTTCGTACTAGCATATCATATCGAACCATGACATTTGTTCCAACGCCGTCAACTTTGTAGGATCTGCAGCTATGCAGGACCGGCTCAGTGAACTTGACAAAGAACTCTTCCGTGTTCCCTACTCAGACAAAGTAGACGGTGCTCTGCTACTATCTAGTAAGCCTGGTGCATCTCCCACGAAGGAATAACTAATATCACCAGAGCTAGACCTCGGGCCAAACGTTCATATCGCTAGGAATCAAGTAATCGGAATGCGACCCCTGACATCACCAGTCGCGCCATACGAGGAAGGGTTAGACCTAGCGGAAGCGATAGCTTCGTTACCCAAGGCAACCGACAAGACCTTGTTCGAGGGTGTCAGAGAAAAAATTCTTGCAGAAATCCCCAGCACAATACCTTGCCCAGGAGATGATGTTACATTGACCTTTCTGGGAACTGGAAGTGCAGTACCAGGAAAGTATAGAAACGGTATATTCTCTTGCTACTATAGGAGTAGGATTTAATCTCCTCTATTTAGTGAGTGGCGCGCTCGTGACAATTCCAGGCCACGGAAATGTGCTGCTTGATTGCGGCGAAGGAACACTGGGCCAACTGCGGCGACATTTTGGAACGGATGTCAACGACGTTCTGCGCAACATTAAATGCATCTTTATCTCTCATATTCATGCCGATCATCACATGGGTATCTGCCAGTTGCTCCTGGAGAGGCGCAAGGTATGGTTCATTCGTGTCGTGGGATATGCTTTCAACACCCGTAGCTTTCATCCCCCAAAATTCCGGACCTATTTGTCATATGTACTTGGACCACGATGGTCTACATTCAGGAGTACTCGGAGATCGAAGATATTGGGCTTGACGCTGTTCGGTTTCTTCTCGCCCCAGAGATAGAATATCGAAAGATTAGCAATACGGCGACACTCGACACGGTCTTGTAAGTGCTATTTGTCGGCATAAGTGAATCTCATGGCCGCTTAGGACTATCAACGAGCTACGAGCAACTTTGGGATTAGGCTCGGTGCAAACTGCAGCTGTAATTCATCGCACACCAGCCTTTGGACTTGTCTTACGGCATAAAGATGGGTGGAGTCTTACGTATGTCTTATTTAGAAGTCATTTTCAGTACCAACTGGTCGCAGGTACTCAGGTGATACAACGCCTTGTCAAAATCTCGCCGATGCTGGGAAAGGATCCACTCTTCTCATTCATGAAGCTACCATGAGTGATGAACAGGAGGAAATGGCAGAACAAAAGGGTCACAGCACAGTTGGGCAGGCATGCGAGATTGCAAAGAGGTCAGCTATTCGTTGCTTAGACAATCAGAAACTGATACCCCTCACAGGATGGAAGCCAAAAAGCTTATACTTACTCATTTCTCCTCGCGCTATCCAAAGCTTCCTGTGCTTGGAAATAACGCTCGAGACGGCAAAACACGGAGTGACGCAGTCACATCGCCAGAAGTATTTGTTGCCTTTGATTTCCTACACATTCGACTGGGCGATATGGCAAGAGCTGAGAGATACATTCCGAATCTCGAAGTTGCTTTCTCAGAAATTCAGGATGATGAGGAGCTTCCCTCACACGATGATTGACGGCTCTCACTTCGTTACGGTGTGGATTGTCATACCGTCACTATGGAGGATAGGACTCTACAGCTAGCGCCTCAGTGTACTCATGAAAGATTCCAAATTCATGTCAGCGTATTCGTCCTCCCCATGTAGTTCCTCCAAACCACTGAGAATATCCTTCTGGGAGACCGGACCGTTGCTCATGTTGCTCCTTTTATTAGAGGCTGCCGCGTCGTCCTGATCGGTGGTCGGCTTCCTGAACAAGTCGAGAACCAGGTCAGTATCCATAGATTCCAAACCAGCATTCTGCTGAGTGACGACTGTATTGGCAATGTTGAGTTTGAAACGCTGGAGACTAAGGGCATTCAGAATCAGTGTATCAGCAGTTGTGGCGCAAAACATACCCCATAATCTTTTCTTCTAAGGTGCCCTTTGTTATCAGTCGGTACACATTGACGACGCGTTTTTGTCCAAGTCGGTGGGCACGATCCATTGCCTGCAGATCTTTCATTGGGTTCCAGTCATGTTCGACGAAGATGACCGTGTCAGCTCCGGTGAGAGTGAGTCCGAGTCCTCCGATATGGGTCGTAAGGAGAAGACAGTCGATGCTGGGATCATCGTTGAATGTCTGCACGATTGCGTGTCTGCGCTGTGACTCCGTGGTGCCGTCGAGTCGCATGTAGCTAACCGTCGGCATCATCGTCTGGAATAAGTCCTTCTCGATGACGTCGACCATCATCTTCATCTGACAGAAGATGAGACATCGATGCTGTGGTGGCTCGGCAGGTAGCTCCAGGTGGTCCTCTGGGGCTTCTAGATCCTTGGATGTAACGCCAATCCCACAATCTTGCAACAATTGTCTATCTCCGTTGAGTCTTGGTTCCTCATAAATAGAACGCTCACTTTAGTGCAAGAAGCTTGGGCGCATTCTCTATATCCCGTACTGACTTGACATCCTCGCCATTTGCGGCCAACTTCTCTAGAATGGCGGCGGTCTCCGGTTGTTCGTCCTTGAGAACAAGCGCCGGATGATTGCAAACTTTGCGCAGATATTGAAGCGCTTGGAATACATGCCCTTTGGTACCTTCACTCTTCACTGATGTTGTCGCTTCCTCAGAAGCCTTGGACGTTTGGAATTCCTCGAATAGCAGCTGCTGCAGCGGAGAGACATCGCAATAGTAGTCCTGTATGATTTTTGGCGGCAAATCGTTCAGAACATTTTCTTTCATGCGGCGAAGAAGGAAGGGTAATGCTTGTTTGTGCAGGGCCTCCAATGCACGCGCCGCTGTGTTGGTGTGAGAACATGAAGAAGGCGCCAATTTAATTACGCACCACTCTCCGCTCCTTTAGCACCCATCTTGCCCTCTTTGCTTGCAAGGACAGGTCGAGCGAAGCGTTCGTTGAATTGACTCTCATTGCCCAGGAATCCGGGCATCAGGAAGTCGAAAAGGCTCCACAACTCTAGGAGATTATTCTGAATTGGGGTCCCGGAGAGAATGAGGCGATGATGTGCTTTTATCGTCTTGACGGCTTGAGACACTTTTGATCGCGCATTCTTGATCAAGTGACCTTCATCCAGTATGCAATATAACCAAGTTTGATGGGCGAGAACGTTGATATCGTTGCGTACCACATCGTAAGAGGTAATGACAACGTCGTATTGCTTTAGCCTTTTCGACCTGGCACGACGTTCCTTTACTGGTCCAGCATATATGATTGGTTTCAGGTTGTTTGCGTATCGATTGATTTCATGGAGCCAGTGATTCGTAAGGGTCGGAGGACACACGATGAAGGATGGAAGATGAGGCTCATTTCGTTCCGCTCGCTCGTGATGAGCGCTTGCTAATATGCAGATAGACTGCAATGTCTTCCCAAGACCCATATCTGAAAACACATGAGGAGGATGAGATGTATGCCCACTGGGGACTGACCATCGCAGAGAATGCCATGGAGTTGGTACTTGCGCAAGAAAGCAAGCCAGTTGACGCCCTCTTGCTGATACTTTCTCAGCTCGGCATTTATTGTGACTGGTATCTGGTAGTTCTCAACCTGACCTCCGCCCAACAGCTGAGATAAGAACGTTCGCTCTTCATCACGCTTTTTCAAGAGCTGCTCTGGGAACCCTGGAGGATCGGGAAGACCGTGCTATCCAAAGGTTGGTGACAATTTCGGACGTTGGTTGAAACTCACCTCCAATGGCATTAGCTGGATCAGAGTAGCAAATGAGTTGGTTGCAGCAGAACGAATATCCTCATCAACGTCATTCATTCGACCGAGAAGCGGGACCACCAGGAAAAGAATATATGGAAGAATCTTCATCTGCAGCGCACCAACAACATCTATAAGGTATGATTAGACCAGAGCTTGGGAAGGTGGAAAGACATACGAAAAATGAGCTCGACAGCGCCTTGCCTCCTTTTCACATTCTCCACATCATCTATCAGTGGAAGAATCTTCTGCACAAGAAATAGCATGGCCTTTGACGTCATCACGTCGCATATTGCTGCATAACACTTGGAAACAGCTTGACGTATGACCGCAAATTTGGATTGCAGACTGAGTAGGAGACTGGGGAACAGCTCCTCAATCTTCGAATGCAGATCAGCGTGCAATGTTGGCAACACATCGCGCAGCGCCGTTAAAGTGTCTAGTAGCCCCTGTCCGGCACCATCGAGAAGGGCCGCATCGGCGTCTGTGATTGAGTCGGGAGGGTATGCCTTGAGTAGCTCCTCCGATACGCATTGCCATATCTTTGGTACTTTCTCAAATAGACTTGAACCAAAGATCATGGTCATTTGAACAAAGGCCGCGACGCCTCCGCGTCTCATGATCCGAGCAGCGACGATTTCCTTTGGCTCATCGACTGGAACATCCTTGTGTCGACCAGCGGCAACAACCGTCGTAGCCAATACTTTGTTAAATGAGAGTATCCCCTCTTCCTTTCCAATTTTGGCAAAGAGCGGCGTGTGGGCTTCGTCCTGACATAGGAATACGCACAGGTTTTTGATAACCTTGTCCACAGAGTTGGACAATGCTGAAGACGGACTGGTCGAAGAGAAATGAATGAACGCGGCTAATGAGCCCGCGGAGCGACGTTGCAAGTCTTCAATCTCTTCTGTCTATCGATGCTATTAGCAAACCATGCACACAAATGATATTTGCTCACTTTTATGCTATTCATGACACCCTTGATAAGCGGGGTCAGTTTGGGTGGGATAGCCTTTAGAGCAATCGCGGCGGATGCGAAAGCAGCGGCAACTTGCGAGTCCTCGGCGGATTTCATCTCCTCAAACACGTGTATCAGCTCGCGGATTGACCTCTTGGAATCGTCGATCCGAGTGACATCCTTCTTCTTCTTTGGCTTTTGGAAGAGATTGTGAAGGTTATCCAGCCAATCAACGGTAGAGCGTGCATGCACGAGAGTGAAGCTTCCGGCTTCGCTTCCTAGAGAAGCCATCTGTGGTAGGCCAGGATTCGTGGCGCTGAATTTGGAGTCTTGTAGGAACGATATGACGAGCGAATTGCACATCCTACAGAGTTGATCCAGGACGTAGAGTGTTTCGTGATAACATGCCGGCGGATCTGCCACCAGGACCGATACAATGACTTTACTGAGTTCGTCTGCGAGCGGCGAGGAGGCGGCGAACGGGTTTCCGGTTGCCGTTTCGTACTCTGAAGACCATTCCTGAAGTATGGTGGCGCCCATAAACTTGTGGAAATAGCTTGGCGAGTTGAGATAATGCTTGAGCGGAAGATCAAAATATTCATTGTGTAGCTGTTCTATCATCAATCGCTAATTAGGTAATGAAAAGCGACCACATACTTGCTGGGGTAGAGCGTTCGCCAAAATTGCTAGGCATTGAGCTGATGCTATACGTGCTTTCCACACAGTGCCCAGGTCTATGAGTGACAGGTCTTGAGAAATCATGTTCTTGTCCACGTTGTGTACTTCGGTCATGTCGTCAAAATGCGGTAAGATGAAGAGCCTAGATGTATCAATGGGGTCGCCGAGTGGCGTTGTACAAGTTTCGATCCAATCTCGAAAGATCAAAACGGGTATGAGGTCGTCCATGTTGCTGACGTTAGGAATGACTTTTCCGAGAGCGAGGCGCCACGTTCGGACAGACAATGCTCTGATATCGTCTCGCTCCTCTAGTAGAACGTTTTGGAATAAGAGGCGAAAGAATGAATTGTTCGCCCAGTTGTATGGTAGGCTGGGAACGGAGAGAAAGTCATAAAGCGTGCGCACGACAGCAAGGCGAACATTGGAGATTGTATGACGGAAGAATGGGAAGAGGAGGGGTGCCAGTTGATCTAATGGACGCCTGTAGGCGATCAGTCAACGGCCCCAGCGCACAGGGAGGTTAACTCACGATCTCGTCGAGTCCGAAAACATGGCCATGACATCAGGGAATGCGACAAGAGCCCTATCATAATTCGTTAAGGCAACTGGTAAAAGAAAGAGCGCTTACCAAGAAGATCCATTACGGCACTAACGCTCGAGCTCAAGTCATCCTTCATAGACTCAAAGCAGCTCCAAAGGATAGCGAGTAGTTTCGGGAGCTCATCCAGGAGGTATCTCACGATAGATCCACAGACGGGGATCAAGCAGCCTGCTGCAGCGGATCGCACATCGTCGTCTGCATCCGCAAGCCTAGAACATCGGTTAGCCCGTCCGAACGTTGGGCAACAAGGTCACCCACCCTAGCAGTGCAGCTTCTACAACACCTCGTAAAAGCTCTCGGCTCTCCTGCCGCTCAATGAGATCTTCGCGTACAGCAACCTCGTACTTGAGACCGAGCAAGCCAGCGTGGCGGACTTGCCACACATAGCCATTCTTAGGCTTCTTTGCGGGAAGTTGACTGAGATCCTGACGTATCATTGCCAACAGTATCCTGTGGACATGATAGACGGAGCTTTCAGGCATGTGAAGTAAGAGAGCTGCAAGCGCTTGCGTTGCACTTTCCCGTACGGGCGCGACGACTTGATCAGATACATAGTCTGAGAATCGGTCCATGACGAATACGCAAAGCAATTTGGCCGCCATATCGTTGCACCATTTGGCATGATTGATCGCATTTTCTTCTGCGGTGGCATTATCTATGGCCATGTCAACCATGATACACGCAATTATGTGATGCTCACAGAGTGTTCCGGCATGAGCGCCCTGAAGTTTGATCACCTCTCGGAGTGCCAGCGCTGTTCCGTGGCGAGTCTCCCAGTTCGCACTGATAATCATCAGAGAGCATGCTAATGCCAAGGAAACAACGCTCACTTGAAGAGATCTACCGAGAGGACTTTCATCAGTCCAGCCCATATCCACTGTCCTGGCTTGACTTCCAACGCTCGATGAGATGATTTTTCCTTTGCTTCTACTTGACCTCCTTTTTGTGGATCGATGACAATCTTTTCGTCTTCATTCGGCGGTGGGGATGATGCTGCCGGCTTTGGCGTCGGTTTCCCTTCTTGCTCGACGATACGTATTCTATATAAGCTCATGAGAAGATTTGATTAGGCAGCGCGAAACGTACTTTGCAGGGGGAGCAGCTGCTCGAGTGATGATTGGGCCCGCTCCCTCTTCCTGACGGCGCTTTCGTTTGAGCCTGTTCCTCTCGCGCGCAGAGAGTGCAGTGTCGTTGGGGTACTCTGCCGTGGGTGAATCCAGGCGATCGTCAGACAACTGATGTGAATCCGTGCGAGCTCCAGCACCAGGTCGGGCGAGAGGAAAGTAGGGCGTATCGACGGACATGGGTGAAGCTGGATCATCTGTTCGAGACATAGGGCTCGTTGCGTCCATTTTTGATTCGGGAGACTTGACATGGTTTGTCTGTTCATCGTCGACATTCACGTTGGCGGCTTCCTCCATGAGCTCCTGGGTCCAACCGTTATCGTCTTCATCTCCATCAAGAAAATCCAATCCAAGTCTTGTCTTTGCCTCCCGCCGGGCACGTTCCAGCTCCGCAGCTGAGCCAGCGCCACCCGCCTTGTTGAACTCTTGTCCCGAAGAGGACAGGAGAAGTTTACCACTTTCCAGGATTTGCTCGACAGAAAACGGTGGAAATTCGACGTCTGAGGCCGCGTCTGGCAATGCTGGATGAAGTGGTGCCCAGACGGGTGCAAGAGTACAAATTTGCGAAAGGGTGTTTGCAGCGGCGTTTCTAGTCTCTATGTTCTTTGACCTGAGCAGCGGGAGGATCTGAGAGAACGTTAGAAACAAAGCCTGAGCGGCCTGGAGGCGAACCTGCCTTTGCGACGACAGAAATCACGTCTGACCAGTCTTCAGTGGATTCCAGGGGTTGAATCACGCTTCCGAGCGCGTCCAAGGCTGGTTTGATCTCCTGGGCGTCTCCTTCGATGCCCGAGTCCTTGCGGAGACATTTTGTAGCAATGTGAGCAATATTCTTTGCTGTTGCAAGACGGATCTCGAGACTTGAGCCAGTATCGAGGAGCTCGAGGAGCTTGTCGAGGCTAGAGAATGGGTCCGAATGTTAGTGTACGCAGGTGGTAACGGGTGGTTAAAGGTACCGCGAAGCCATCGCCGTTGGGCGACGGGGGAGCGACGAGAAGATTTCGATTGGATTTTTGGTGGCCAAGGACAGGCCCTTTATATACCGCGCTCCTCGCCCAAGAGGCCACATCGTGATGGCCGCCAACGACAACAGCGGCGACAACAGCGGCTGGGATCGTCCAGATGAACGTCTCATAGCGTGCGCATCGTCTTGGATCGCTCGTGGATGCTGAGCCCTCGACAGCGACGCCTATCGACTCCTCTTTGGCTCCCTGACGCGCGAGCGCCTCCGTGAAAACGCTGCAAATGGCGCTCTTATGCCTCAGAAGTTTGAATTTGGGGCGTATGGACTCGCTGGACGCAGTCTCGCCTGGAAGGTGCGCTCTCAGTGGCAAACCGCATCGCTCACGGCCACTCCATCTCGCTTTCTAGGCACTTCTCATGCCTGCACCACCGCTGACAACCGAACTTTCGCAACATCCAGTGCCCCCGCTCGCAGAAATCAGGCGGCGCCGTGACCTCTACGTCGATGTACTGCGGGACTTGATGCAAGCGCCAGACGGAAACTACGAAGAAGGATTCATACTTCCAGGTCACAGCAGGCCTCCTACACCCGCTCTCAAGACGGGGACCTTTGAAAAGAACAATCCTCTTAGCCTCGACGAACAGGTGCGTAACGGGCTATCATGTGGCGCATCACTCAATGATTACACTCAACGATCACAGAACCCCTGGAAGCAATGGTTTGAAAATGTCGACTTGCGCAAGACCATTCGGCAAGATGTTCAACGGACTTTTCCAGATTTGTCATACTTTAGGGAGCCAGAAGTGCAGTCAGACCTTACGAATATCCTCTTTTTGCATGCAGCCAAGCACCCAGAGATTGGCTATCGTCAAGGTATATGATTCACCTTGATGCACACAAAATTCATATGCAACTACCAGGTATGCATGAAATTCTGGCCGCAATCTTCCTGGCCGTCGACTACGACTCTTTGGATCGATGGACGTCTTCCGTCGATGACAGAGATATCCTCGAGATGTGCGACCGTACGTGGGTGGCTGCAGACGCTTGGTCACTATTCGGTCTCGTTATGAACTCGATGAACATTTGGTTCGAGTGGAGAGAGCCAACAGGAGCTCCCAAAGAGACGGAGAATGGCCTCAACCCATATGTCGCGCCCATCGTGACGACGTCTAACAGGATTCAGAACCAATATCTCAGCAATGTCGACCCAACGTTATGGCGCAAGATGAGCGAATTGGGGATCGAACCTCAACTTTTCCTAATGTAAGCGTGCGTTCCGCTCATGTCACTTCACGACCCTGACCGCTGTCAGTCGTTGGCTCCGTCTTTTGTTCTCAAGAGAATTTGGCTTCAGAGAAACAATGATCCTTTGGGATGGGTTGTTTGCATTGGATCCCTCGTTGGAATTGGCGCAATGGATATGTGTCGCCATGCTTGTCCGTATCCGCAATCAATGTAAGAAGGCAACACACTCACTTTAATGATCTAACCGCCCATAGTATTGCCATCTGATTATAGCGAACAGCTCACATATTTGTTGCGCTACCCTGCTGCCGAAGGCGGCGCGCTCCACGTATCATTATTGCTCCAGCAAGCCGTCCGACTAAGCCAGGAACCAAACACGTCCACCGGTGCATCCATCGTACTCCAAAATAGAAACCTGCTCGGTATCCCGATAGAAGTGCCCGAACCACCTGCACGTCCTACTCCTCGTCGACGCGGCGATCGGCCTCAGCAGCAACAAACTTCGATCAGGACTCCGACCGAAAAAAGGGAATCACCTCAGCCAGGGTTCCCAGAGCTGATTGCGCGAAATATCATTGATAAGAGCGAGAGTCTTGGCATCAATCGAGCCATCTTCAACACTGTTTCCGAAATTAGGGTGAGTAAATCTTAAGTCTGCAAGTCTAACACTTAGTTTTCCCAACAGAGGAACTGGACGGAAATCCCCTCTGCGTTCAGTAGATCCTACACTGCATCAAGTACAGACCTCCCATCATTGTCGTACTCACAAAATAACCCGAGTCCCGATTTGGAAACTCCAGTTTGGGAGGGTCGAGGACGCTCAGACATTGAAATGGAGTTGGCGGCATTGAGAAATCAACAAAAGACGCTGGCACATGCAATGACATGGGCTGTAAATGCACTCCTGAAGGACTCTGACAGGCTTGGTAGCCAAAATCGAGAGGCACTCGACTGTCTGTCCTATGCGCGCGACGTCTTAATGACCGGAAATGTCATGAAATTGGATCAAGATAGACTGGTCAGCCATGCCGCCCCCCCGCCTCCACCAAAGGAAGCTCAGGTTGGTACCCAAATTCCTCCCAGCAACGAGGCGCCCACTCCTAGCGTCATGCTCTCCAAGCGTGACTACCAGCCTCCAGTGGGTTTGACTCGAACGCCGCACGTCATCAAGCCAGAAGTGTCTCCTCTACATACTACACCTTACCATCGTCCATCAGCATCATCCTTTGCAAGCAGTACTCCTTCGCAGGAGCGACCTAGGTCGACTGCAAGTTCAGCACCCCCAACAGCAAGCCCAAGATATATCACCTCTCCAACCAGCCCGACACCACGCTCTTCTGGCTTGCAATGGCAGCATAGTCCTCCATCCATGATGTCGGCTACTCACAGGAAAGGTGGAGATGCCCAGCACGCCGCAATAGCTACCCCTTCTACACCCTCATACGGATACCCTCCAAAATCTTTATCCTCTGCAGGGAGATCCAATACTACTTCGACTGATCCACTAGGTGCTCTCCAATGAACCCCTAAAAATAACACAATCTTGTATAAACTAAATATATACACTCTTCCACAACGTAGATTGTGAGACTACTGCTCGGACTCGTTGATTTAGAGATAGTCTTGTACAAAATGTCCCCATTTCTCAATGACAGGCAGAACAATCTTCTGCCACTCTGCATTTTCAAGCTCGCCAGTAGCCTTGACAAAAGTGAAGATTTCCTTGTGCACGCGACTACCTGGAGCATACATAAGCATTAGTTCCCGCTTGGAGAATGGGTACTTACAGTCCGGGCACGGCTTTCCAGAGAGACTGACATCAGGCTCCTTTTTCTTCTTCTTGGAGGTGCCGACATCAGGACCAGTGGTAGGACCAGGCCAGCCGGGTCGAAGGTATGGCGCATTCTTTGCAATATCCGCAAGCTCGAGGTGGATTAATCGCTCGAGGCGATTTACATGCGGACCCTTTTCGCCCTGTTGCATCTTTCCTTTGAGATTACTCGAGTTTGGATCAAATGGCCAACACCCGCGCAACACGAGCTGTTTGCTTCGGCATTGCTTCTCCCATTGGCCTACGCGAGAGACAAAGTTATTCGAGCGTCCGACTTTGAGATGGACGTGGTTGGGTGTGTCCACATCTACTGGTGGTGAGACTGGCAGCATACAGAACCTTCTAGTACTCACTAATGATCTGGTAGCAATAGATGTAGCCATCCACATTATCTGCTGCCGAGACAGGTTTCTCCATCTCCGCTCTAAGAGCAACCCTCGTATCTTCCTGGAGTTCGTCCGAAATCCAGGTATCAAACGATACCATGGCACTGAGAGGTTTCGAAGGGAAGAAGCCGGTTTGAGAGAGTATCTCCTTTGTATGCTGGAAGCAGAACCGTTCAACCCCTTCGTCTGATTCGAGCGGGTCCAGATTGGAAGAGAAAGGAGGGGCTGCTTTGACTTTGCGGGTGCATCGCTTCCCGGCTTTGGTGATGCCCGCACATTGAATTCCGTCACCGTCGTCGGATCCCGTACGGCGTCGGGTTGGTCGAGGCTTCGAGCTAGAAGGAAGAGACGCTAGGCAATTATCAGTATCGATACAAAACTGGGAGAATAAACGCACGAGGGGCATCTATAGATGGTGATAGTGGGATTGGGTACGACGTCCTGTGAGTCCCTTTCCGCACTGGAAGAGAGGAGTCCGACTTGGAAGGTTGAAACGGCTCTGGAGTTGGCATTGAAGGTGGTGGTAGCGCAGGGTACAAGCCTCCTGGAGGCGCAGACGGTGCTGGATAGTTCTTGGGTGGCGCGGGCGGCAGCGGCTTGTTGAATGCAGGCCGCTGATTGGCTGCTAAATATGGATCATGCTTGGAAAGTTCTGAGAGTGGGAGCTGCTGAGGGTTGAAGCCCCCAGTCCACCCTGAAGGTGGGTAGTTTGGCGGTGCGAAGCGCATGTTTTGCATCTTATCCGCGAGATCATCAACTTGAGGAGCGTTCGTGCGTGGAACTGGGAATGCTGGAGGCTTTCTACTATCAGCCATGGTCGAAGTTGAGGACAAGAGGCGCCTGATTGAGTGGCCTTTTGCAGGTTGCCTCGTGCCTCGTTTGGGCTGAAGGGCAAGTAAGTCTTGAATATTTCCAGGGTTGAGGATATCGAGGATGAAGCGCACTGGGCTCTGATCAATGGGCTCAATGGGCTCAATGAAGGACCTGCACAACCGCCTACGGGTGGGCCGCCTAGAAAACGGTTTCCTGATCTTTCTATGGCTCGATTTCTGTTCTAATCACGGTACTAACTGCATATATCAAACAGAACACGTGACAATGTCGTCGCTCGAAGCCCAATTCTGCACGGCATTGGAGACAATGACCAAAAGCATCGCAGATACGCGAGCGACAGTCAGAAAACTGCAAGAAAAGTCAGTATAGTATACAATGTGTATCGACACTGACTATTTCGCAAGGAAGGGGTCAGACGATCTCGAAATGGCCGATGGCATCTCACTACTCTCTCTCAAACACCAAGTGATGCTCACATATCTCCATGGCTTGGCTCTTCTCTCTGCACATCGAGTCCTTGGCCACTCCTTGACGGAGAGGAACCCTCCAGCTGCGCCTTTTAGCGATCCTGCTCGTCAGTCCCGGGGTTCGGCACCGGGAGATATTGTGGACATGCTGATGGAAGGACGACTAGTGTTGGAGAAGACCAAAACTCTGGAGGCACGTATGAAATATCAGATCGACAAACTGGTCCGAGCCGCGCAGCAAACTTCGACCACGCAAGATATTCAAGGTTTGAATTGCAGTAATGCTTCTCACGTACGGCTCATTCTTCTCTAGATCCTCTTTCTTTCCGTCCGAACCCGGAGAACTTTGTACAGGCGGAAGAAAAAGTCGAATCAGATGGCGAGCTCAGTGAAGGTGATGGCGTATATCGCCCTCCTCGAGTCGCTCCGATGCCATATAATGAGGCCGACGACTCTAAAAAGACGAAACGATCCCGCGCTCCCGCCGCGCTGACGGCACTCGAGTATCAAAACCCAAATGATCCTTATATGGAGTCAACATCTGGACTGGGAGGTGCCGGCAAGGGTGCCATGGCTGCAACGTCTGCCCGGGCGCGCGAGCTTGCGCGAATGACAGAGTACGAAGAATCACACATGACGCGACTCGTCATGAGCAAAAAAGAGGCTAAGCGCCGGCGGCAGGACGAGGAGAACCTCGCATTGGGCGGGAGCGCACTCGGAACTCAGTACGGTCGTGGTCGTGCGCGGGGAGCAGGATTCGCCGACGAATTCGGTGACCTTCTTCGCGCTCGTGAGGGCAAAAATAATCTACGTGATGACTACGAGGAACTGCGGGCGCGCTCAAAGAAGAAGACGGCGTTCGAACGGAGCAAGGCGAGAGAGATACCAGACAATATCCAGATGGACGGAGATGAACGTCCTCGGAAACGAACCAAGTTTCACCAGGAGCTGAAAAAGGCCAAAAGGGCTGACCGCCAGCGACGCTAGTTTATCTTATATGTATTGTTGGCGCGTTGATACATATGCTTCTCGTTTCTTTATCATTATAATCGCGAGTATCACCAAGCGTGGTGAAAGTGGTGATTTACGTTGAACTCAACAACCATGAGCGACTTGGACGAGGCCGTGACAAGAAAGCTTTCAGGAGGCAAGAAGATCGTCGAGAAGGTCGCTACAGCCACGGAGACGGTCGCGCCGGCTGAAAAGAAACGAAAGCTCGTGGATGGTAATATCATGTTGGACCCTTGTACATGCAGAAAACGATACTTTATTGACATTGTACATCTTGCAGGACCATGTTTGGTGGCAGTAAACCTGCACCAAAATCCGTTGAGGAACCGTCGACGTCGAGCGAACCTCCTCCACCGGCCGAGCAAGCCATTCTGGACTTGGAACAGACGATGGGGAGGGACTGGTATGAAGCTCTCAAAGACGAGTTTACCAAACCGTACTTTCGGAGCGTACGTTTGCCACACCCTCCAAGTCGCCATGATGCCCATATCCATTAGATTCGTAACTTTTTAATCGCGGAAACACGCAAAAAGGCGACAATTTATCCAAAGAGTGAGCAAAGCATCTGCGAAGCCACGAGTCTAATCCCGTGTAGCGGAGGACATTTACAACTGGTCCCGACTCACGCCATTGGAGGATGTGCGTGTCATCATTCTCGGACAGGATCCATACCATGGCCCTAACCAGGCGCATGGTCTGGCTTTCTCTGTACTACCACCGACAAGACCCCCGCCTTCGCTGGTTAATATCTACAAGGAACTCAAGAACTCGATTCCAGGGTTCGTGATCCCAAAATCTGGGTACGTCACCGATTAAATATCTCGGGTTCTGTCTCACGTCAGTAGTGATTTGACTCCACTTGCACAAGCCGGCGTCCTGTGGCTGAATACTTCGCTCACCGTGCGAGCGAGCGAGGCAGGCTCGCATTCCAAGATTGGATGGGACAAGTTTACGCGTGCTGTTATGGAAGCCGTACTTGCCCGACCCAGCAAGCGAGGCGTCGTCTTCATGGCGTGGGGTGCACATGCTCAGAAAGCAATTGCGGGCTTCGACCAGGTGAGAAACCAACGACCCAAATGTGACATCCCCTTACAAGCCAATCAGAAAAAGAACAAGATCCTCAAATCCGTTCATCCGTCACCCTTGTCGGCCAATAAAGGCTTCTTGGGTTGCAACCATTTCAAGTTGGCAAACGAATGGCTCGAAGAGAAGTATGGAGAGGAAGCAAAGGTAGACTGGACGGCTATTAATCCCAAGTAACAATCTCTCGTACATATTGCGCTTTTGTGTAGTTGCCCTAAATTGTGTACCATAGACTTTCAACGCGGTCTTTGTCCCTGTGATCTCCGTCCAGAGTGATGATGAGACGGAGTCCGTGGTGGTGTGTATGGCATCGAGAAGGCCGCGACCTCTGGGGCGACCGGGACGAACTGTTGACGGAAGGGTGGATCCAACGTGAACCCCTGGAAATGATTTGCCAGAGCATCGACAGGAAATGTAGGCGAAAAGGGACGCGGGAAAAAGGTAGAATACGGCACGCCAGGTGTTGCGTGCATGGGAGGAGGCGATGCCTTGGCTGCACTGGGTGGTTTCCAGTTCTAGATGGTAACCGTTAGTCGTTACTGCTGTTTACTGGGAATATGCACACGTTTTCTCTTCCCGCACGATAGATTTCTTCCAGCTTGTCATCGAATGTGTGAGCCTCCTCCATTGCCTGGAAAGCTTTGTACAGAAGGAGCGCCGATCGAGCGTCCTCTATCGAGTCGTGCTCGTCCTGCTGAATCTCTTGTTCCAGTACAAACCACGTCAGGAATCGTAGAGAGATCCTCCGCTGCCGCTCTGGGATAAAGTACACATCGACAGTGTCAATGACCTGCTCTGGTGGGACAAAGATGTCTGGGAAAGAGATAAACGAGCATGTTAGATCTCAATAGGATCCTTACTGATGATCCTAAAGTCCTTGGCCAGCCCATGTCCAACAAAGATACAGCCAAGGTCGATCAGAAGGCGCAGTTTCTTGTACGCGACTTTGAGGGGAACCAGCGTATGTGCAGACATTTGTGGGCTTAGATCGCCATCTGGAACGTATGAGTGATGAAGACGATATTGTAGTCAACTCACAATGGATTCCCGAGAACTCGCTCAGGTAAGTTAACAATTTCTTCGCTAGTGTGTATATAGTCGTCGATGAATGGCACCCCTTCTTTGGGTCCTGAACCACGTAACACTGATACTCGTGCAAGACCCAAACGCGCCGGGCGAAGAATGCGACGAGTGCCGTCGCCAAAAACTTCCGTCTCTTCCTGTAGAACCATTAGATCTGAAGTATGGGATGTAGTTCATCTAACCAGTTGCATTTGAACAAACTCTGCGTCTATTGCCACGATTGTTCCAGGCTTTGGCAGCTCATCGAGTTGCAGGAGTTCGTGGACCTTTCGTGATGGATCTCTAACACTGAATCAAATTAGATGTCAAATAAAGTGCCTGGCAAGATGCTTACACGGACAAAGAGATGTCCTGGGAGAGAATGGATGGGTCCTGGGTCATTGGTAGACCAGAAAAGTCCAGCCCGTCTTGCATGTCGACCCGTTCATAGTAAAGAACGGCCGGAACCTGGATAATTGAGCCAGCAGAATTTGAGCAAGCGCGGGGTGTCACACCTTCCAGCGTCCAGGAAAGGAGAGCGCATCCTCTTCCGAGATTCCGCGTACTGTGAAGTCATTGAACAAATACCAAGAGTACTTCTCAGCTCGATTTCTTTCTACTTCGGGAACTATTCTCGATTTAGCGACTGTTCATCGAAGTGAATACTTACCTTTTGCTATGCATACAAGATGTGAAGATTGATCAGACCCTTTGACGTCGATGACCATACTCTTGGTATCGTCAGTCGTGAAATTTCGTCTGACCATACTCACTCGTAGCTCATACCACACAAGGCCAGCACTGACGTCTACCAACGTGCTCGATAGTCCCCCGAGTTGAGAGGGCGATGTCGCAATGTCTACACCAACAAAGGGCTGCAAGAAGCGTCCGTTCTTCGAGTCTTGCCATAGTTTCAGTTGCTCGTCGTTGTGTATCGAGGTGTTGAGCAGTAGAATAGGCGGCAAGAGTTCTGGCGTCAAGGACCTTCGAATATTCTGAACCGCCACTTGCTTGCAGGACTGGCAAGTTGCCTTTTGCGAATAATCTCTTATTAGGGAGTTACGAAGGATGGATGCAAAGTCCGAGTATTGGGATGCTTCATTTGTCGGGATCTAGAAGACAATTCAGCCATAATGCGTAAAACAGGGATAGTCGGACCTTTCGAGGGTAGGTGAGGTCGATGATGTGAGAGGAGTCCGGCTTCTCGTTGCTGTTCCGACAGTACGTACAAGTGATTACTGACTTCGACTCGATGGATAGCAGTTGACTCAGAGGCGATGGGGTCTTGTCTTGGAAAATACCTTGTCGAAAGGGAGCCAGGGAGGGATTACTTGGCTCTATGTTTCCTTCGACTTTGATATTCTCCACAATGAACCTGTTGAAGAATTGAATCTTTGCGCCATAATTGACTGTGTGGGTCTCTCTCCCATAGTCAATCACATCGTAGGTTGCAGCTGCATTCTGTGAGTATGCATTATCATAAGGAATGAAAGGAACCACCGGAATGAATGTTCGGAATCGTCTTGCAAAAGTTGGTGGCTTGACAATTGATTCCTTTGGCATCTTCCAGCATCCTCATTACAAACCCTAGCTCGCAAAGAAGACAGTATTCCCGTGAACAAGATGTAGTAATGTGAGACTTGGCTATCTGGCGTATTGGCAGCACATAGTGCATCGCTTGTATAAGTGCATTGGTGTACGAGTTGAGGATGTGAGTCTCCAAGCCACTGAACGAGGTCTTATTGTAGAATCTGTCATGGTGAGAGTCGTGGCAGAAAGAGTTGATATACCCTTACGCAAAGTCAAAGTCTTCGACTCCAAACTTGGAATACTCAATCTCGTTCCGTTGATAATGACGAGGAGCAGAGTCACCGCTTTGTACATCATACGGTGATTCTGGAGGTGGCGACTTTATAAGCTGGTTAGTAGTTCATGGCAAGAACAGAGTCACGCTTACCCCTCCTGCCCGACGAGACTTTTCACTTCTGAATCGACCCTGCTTTTTGGGTGGCGGTATCGATATTACGTTACGTTTGCCTTGCAATTCGCGCGGCAATTGGGCAAATGAGACACCCTCGACTTGTCGCAGTGACGCTAGGACCTGTGGCGGGATCTTCATCGGTGGAGGATAGTACTCTGGGACGCTTTGGAAACCCTTGTCGTAGGATGAAAGAAGATAGTCCGAATAGTATGGCATCCCTATCAAATTGAGCGGCCTACCCAGTAATGAGCGCAAACGTCGACGTGCGACCTGTACCTACGTCTCATCTGTCCAAGTTATTTCAGGAGGTTCGGCTGGTTCATCTGCCCATTCAACTGGCCGTCCCTCAAATCCATTGAACGGTTCGGCATCGTTCTCACTTGCGGTGAGCACATGAATGATGCCTTCTGCGTCACCAAATGAGATATAACCGGCATTTGGAGAAATGGCAGAAGAAGTCAAGTAGGAAGCGACGTCCAACTGTTGAGGTCAGTCGTGAATAGCAAGGATGCGATGAGGTTACCTGATGAAACTCTCCCAGACTAGGATTGAGTACATCAACGATGTTGACGACTCCGGAGTTTGATGTGAGGACCAGTGTCGTAGATTTGACAGGATGAACGTTGAGGAAGGACGGTCCTGCGGCGAAGTTGAAGGAGGAGGCGAGTTTGAGATTCCTCGAGTCAAAGATTTTGACGACGGGATCCGGGATGGGACGCCCATTCCTATGCATAGTCAGCGTGGTTAGAGATTCGATATTTGCATTACAGACAGCGAGCTCCAACCGATGCTGTATATCCAGTTGCCGCTGGATTCAATCGCCTGCACGCTACCTTGATGCGCCTTGACAATGTGTTCGGATGTAGAGTTTCGCTTCGTGGGCGCGCGCAAGTCGTGTGTGCGGAGGAGACCGTCCGAGGATCCTGATAGCACATGCGATGGGGACACATGGAGACACACAACTTGAGTAGGGCACTGTATCTGTCTCGAGACGACGCCATTTGTGGGATTGATGACCAGCAGCTCGGCCTTGTTGGACATTGCGACGACGGTGTGCCCGTTTTGAGCAAAGCTTGAGAGTAAAGTAGGAGGAGTTGTTCTTCTCGAAACTTTAGTTTGATCTCAGAAGACATATTGTGCTCAAGAACACGCTTACCTATAATGCCACTTGTTGGCCCCTCCTTTAGTCCATGAGCCGAGTCCCTGGCCAGCCATAGTCATGGCATATATCTGGTTATCTGTTACAGAAAGTGAAGAAACTGCTCCATCCCCGGCGGGGAACAGGACACCCCGCATCCGGTTTCTATAGTATGCCGCGACTTGCCCGACACCATTGCCGGCCCATAATGCGTCGGAAACTGGATCAAATGAAAGGCTTGAGATTTGGCAAGAAAATGTGTGCTGCTGAAATGTTATGGGTGTCGAAATCGAGTAAACCTGGGCCATGGGAGGGAGCAAACTGCGAAGAGACTGGCTACTGGGCCTGGTTAGAATGAAGCGTCCATTCAGCACCAGAAATCATTATACATTGCATAACCGCATCGAAGAACGCTAACTCATTGGCCGAGGCATAGGCTTGCAACCAAACCTGTCATTATCCTCACAATGAACATACAGAAATTCATATTCTCGCATAGACAATATTCTGTAATTTCTAGACGAACGTTAAGAACTCGAACGGCCTGATTGGTTCGCTAGCTGTTCCGCCTTTCCGAAAATTTATTGTGTCTCGACTCTTCGACCCCAACTACGATAAGCAAATCTCCCAGCTCGCCCTTAAAAGCCCTCTAATCCTCTTTATCGATATGCCTTACTCTGCCGGTATGTGCATTCCTTCACTTTTTAGTTTTCGTCGTGGTCGGAGCTGATGTTTTGTTGGCGACGTTGCAGGTGACGCTTCCAAGGGCGCCTCGCTCTTCAAGACTCGCTGTGCTCAGTGCCATACTGTTGCTGCTGGCGAGCCTCACAAGGTCGGACCCAACCTGCACGGTGTTTTTGGACGCCATACTGGCAAAGCCGAGGGCTACTCGTATACTGCCGCCAACGTCAACAAGGGCATTACATGGGATGAGCATACTCTTTTCGAATACCTAGGTAAGCCCAACTCAATTCTCCACACTTTCTTCCTCGTCGCACATTGGCGACCGACGACGTCGGCTTTCCACTGACGCACACCCCAGAGAACCCCAAGAAATACATTCCTGGCACAAAAATGGCCTTTGCTGGTCTCAAGAAGGAGAAGGAACGCAATGACCTCATCGCATACCTTAAGGATGCTGTAAGCATATTATGACTTGTTTATTTTTGCATTACTTATCCATCTTCTAGACCAAGTAGACATCTGGTATAGCGCTGCCACGCGAAGCCTCGTAGCGCGCCGGTCTTCGCTCGTCGTGTCCTATTTCTTCTTCGTTTCCTCTTTTTATTCATTCTACAGTCTATTCCGCATTGTCTACTACTAGACATCAATACAGGATCACCACTCAATACGCTCTCGATGAATGCTGAGCCACCTTCAGAGTACATCTATTCACAGAGTTGGTCCTGAACCAACTCTTTCGAGAAATTCTGAATGTCGATTCGGACTCTTCGCCTACAACTACCCATTTTGCCCCCCGTCTGCGTCGCTCTCTGAAAACGTTTGCATGTATTGACCAAGCCTCTTGAGCCTCAACATAATCCGCTGCGGGCCCAGTTTACTTTGTTGGTATTCTTTTCACGAAGCAAGCCATGTTTTCGTCCCCTCCTGTACACCCGGACTTGCTCGACGCAGTACTCATTGTATCGACTCAGCGGTCCTCGGCCTGATGACCTCTGTTCGCTATGCACCCTAACGCTTCTGTTTGACGTTGCTCGCTCTCGGTACAGCTCAATGTACTGGACCGGCTGCCCTGCCTTTAATCGTTCATCAATAGATCTTATACTTGCGATGCCACCCATACGGCATAGCAAACATCTTCTGTACGTGCACTCTAGTGGGCCCGGAGGATGCTGACATTGGTACAAAGACTCCAGTGTTTGTCGCCCAAGTTCAGAGCTGCACGAAAGAAACGTTCGCAAAAGTTGCAAGTGGAATTCGGACCCTGAGTCGCGATACGTTGTCCAAAGCCGCCACTTTGATACCAGTCAAAGCGCACTGATTCCACAGGCAGATGTGCCGACTATTGCTTGAAGCCCTTATGCAAATTCGGCGTTTTCACAAGCTTGCGTGACTCGTCTCTGAGACTCAACTTCAGTGCGCACATACAAGCCAGAGTGTCATTGTACCAGGAGAATCTCGAAACAGACGACGGTAGAATCTAGAGGTAAACTCGGACAAAGGGTCAACTGGTGTGATATGCTTGGCCTCTGGACGGCAGGCGGGATACACCACCGTTCAAGATCGATCACTCAGCAAGTCCGTTGCAGCTCCAGGAACATTGCACCCAACTTGACCATGCAGTTGACTCGAATATCCGGTTATCTCTCGTTCTGGACGGCCCGCTTTTTCTCGGATCCAGGCCATCTGGCATTTCAACAACCGACATGGAACCAACTATGTGAATGCCTATTGACCAACAATCGATGCACTGCACAGCTGTCACTGATTTTCCGCAAACCAATGACGGATTTCTACAAATGTCGGAAGTGTCTAAAACTCAAAAAGACTCTTGCGAAGTAAGCATGACCTCTTTTCCTATTCGCTACTGAACATCTCAAATCTCCGATAGTGCTCTCGCCATTCCAGAGGGATACGCGAATCCATGATCCCAAAGGCTACACGGCACTCTCCTTCTTCCTTCTAGCATCTTTTGACCCCACAGCTCTCCTTTCCATTTCCGACCTCGGCGATCGGGGACACGCTTCACGCGCGGCGTAAGTATGGGACGTTGTGCATCTGCACCAATCGGCATCATTCGCTCGATGTTGTGAATCCATGAATACCTTTGATTCTGGCCCACACATCAAGGAACAATGTCAAATAGGGCCCATCATTGACGCGGTGGTCCCGACACGGTCAATCTGCGGGACTGTCTAAACTTGCAGAGCAGGTTGCATCCGAGTGCTTCTTCTCTTTGCACATAAAAGCCCCCATCGCAGGCTGCGCCGAATCGCCACTTTTCCAAGTCCCAGCCATGAAGTTCTTACCGCTCTTCGCCGCCGTCGCAGCTTCGTTTATCTTGCAGGGGGTAATTATATCTGTATTCATTTGTTTCTTGACCAAAATAATGGAATTTAGGAGGCCCACGCAGCCAATATCGCCCGTCAAGAGATTGGCACTGTGACCCGTGTTACTGGCGGTGGTGAGGAGGAGCCTACAAGTACGTATCTCGTCATTAGACCTCACATAGTGTTGCTAACTAACATCGAGCTTACTACACACCGACCTCCTCCCCCATAAAGACATCCAGTACCAGCAGCGTCAAACCAGTATCGACCACAAGCACAAAAAGCACAAGCTCTCAGAGCTCTTCAACCGTAAAGCCAACTTCCTCTTCGAGTCAGACGACCCCCAAGCCCTCGAGCTCGAGCTCGAGCCGCTCCTCTACGAAGCCTCAGTCATCATCAACACAAACTGGGTCTCTCAGCCCTACAAAAACGAGCAGCGGGTCATCCCCTAGCTGTTCTCCTTACCAACAGTGTGGCGGTGTGTCAATGCCCGCACCCAGTTCGCGCACAATGGTTAATCCGAGTTTCTAGGAATCGCATATAAAGGCTGTACGATTTGCAGCCCTGGATACAAGTGTGTATTCAGTAATGAATGGTACTCTCAATGCGTGCCGATTTGAAGATACCCTCGAATGTATAACTTTCGCTTTTGATTTTATCGCTCTCGAGGATTTCAATCCTGATATGTGTCAACGAATAAAGCCTGAGTTGGAGCATCTGGGCCTGTGATTGATGATTAATTCGTCTAGATTTATACCCTCTGTAAATTAGCCGTCGTTGCTTCGGCTACCCCGATACGCGTCTCGAGGGTTATGGATTGGAGATAATCCATCATTTGATAAGTATTAATTGATCTAGTGTGGCAGAGGGAAACCTCTGTGTAGCTGGAGTAAGTATCCCAAACGGTGTGGCTCCGAGCCGTTACAGGTTCCAAACCCAGATGTCGACTACCAGATCAATACTTTTAGCTTTTCTTGACTATTTTCATAACTCTTTCTTTTGTCTCCTTGTTCTTATCGCTAGGTTCGGCGCTGGTGCCCGCCTTTCTCTGTTGACAATGGACAGATTTTTCACTTTGATACGAGTTGCAACAATAAACAGGGATCCATGACCAAATTACAGTACAGCTTCGTACAACACAGGCTGTGCAATACCTAGGTTGTAACACAGACAATCAATCCGAGATTCATCGAGCGATGAGAGAACCGAGCATGAGTTATATTCGAGTCGTTTTACTTGGTGGACTTGCGACGGCCGCGCCCAGCAGTAGAGGCAGCAGCATTTGACTCGCGCTTCGCCTTTGTTGTAGCAGCACTTTGCTTGACCTTTGTTGCTGCCGCAGTAGTGACCTTTACAGCCTTTTTCTTGCGCTCAGTGGGGGATGTCGCGGCCTTCTTAGCAGGCGTGGCCTATTACAGTATGAGTTGAGTACAGCAGAGGGGCTTCGATTCACCTTGGCGGTCGTAGCCTTTGTAGCCTTTGCTTTGGAGGGTTTTGCAGCCTTGACGGGCTTTTCATCCTTAACGGGCTTTGCTTCCTCAGCAGGCTTTCCCTTCGCCGCAGTGGCCTTCTTCGCAGCGGTCGCCTTTACATTGGTGGAGGCCTTCTTTAGAGGTTGGCGAGCAGGCGCAGGCGCAGGCGCGGCCTGATCGCCGTCATGTCTTGTGTCAGACTCATCGGATTCACGCAAAGAATGGATACGCACCTTTTTAGGGGCAGAGGCGGTCTTCTTCGGGGCTGCAGCCTGGAACGAGTCTTAGAGATGAGCATGTTGGGATGTGTAAATGAACGCACCCGTGCAGCACTCTTGGCTGCTTCCTTTTCCTTCTTGGCATTGTTCTTTGCCACAGCAAGGCGACGCTTAGTAGAGTTGGTAACGGGAGCATTGTTCTAGACAAAGGGCGGTCAAGCTCCTGCTGAAGCAGGGTAACGGACTACACAGCATACCTCTTTATCTTGAACAACAGGAGCAAGTGTGACTTTACCGCTCGCACCCTTGGGGAGTACAAATATGCCCTTCTTCTGGCCGGTAATGATAGCACGGTTGATGTTGCTGATTGTCTGGCCGCTCATCTCGAGACCATATCGAGTCTCAATGAATTCTGTACGAAAATAATACGGAAAAGCGGCCGTGTCGCGTCGTTAACATGGGCTCGACAGGGCGCAAACACATGACGGACGCACTCTTGATAGCGGGACGGCTCACGCCGTCTCCAGTAGCCTCTGTGATGCACTCACGAATGATTTCTTCAAAGGGAGGATGTTTCTCGCCCACGTTTTTGCGCTTTGCGCCTCCCTTGGTCTTGCTATCACCGTCCTTGCTCTCCTTGGACTCCTTCTCGTCCTTGGACGTGGCTTCAACCTTCTTCTCCGTCGTCTCTTCCTTCTTTGCACGAGATGTTCTCGGCTTCTTGGCCTTGGGCTCAACTGGCGAGGTGACTTCAACGGTATCAACGGCTGGGGACGACATTCCTGAGCCACAACGAATCAGACACGGAACGTTTACGCGTTGAAGCGCGTCCTCTGACAGACCTAGTTTTTTCTATTGATTTTGGAAAATGGTCAACTGTTTCTCAAAGGTGTGCGACGGGTCCAAGTTGTTCGAGCGCTTTCCAACTACTGGAAACTGTAGGGATGGTCACGTGCCTTTCAACTCCGCTACAACAAACTTGTCACGACAGCTGGGATTTCAAGGATAACACGACAAGGGACTATATCAGAGTAAAGTCATGGGCGCTCGAGCTCGTGGATTCGTGTGGGTTACCAACGACAAAGGTGCCGTTGGAACGAACGTGAGCTGTGACGCCGCTGTCGACCCAGCCTTCTTCTGACTGGACACCCATTGGGATCGGGTCACCAACGCCAGGGCCCTTGATTTGGAGCTATAGCACGTGGTCAGGTCAATGACAGTTTCAAACAGCTTCTATACTCACATTTCCCTCTGGATCTGCGCCTCCTGCAACAGTCTCCTCCTGAGTGTTGACCAATTTGACAGAGATATTGCAGGTGGGAGGACCGCTATGAGCTTTGCCGGCAACGTCGTGTGCTGGAGTGCCTTCCGTTTCCAATACTTGCATATCCAGAGGATGGCTCGCAAAGATCGGACCTGTGGCCAGCGGATTCGCATAGACGTTCACAAGGGGTACTGAAAGTGCGATCCGAGCGGGCAGGACTGCGGAATAGTCCAGGGCATCTGCAAGCAAGTAAGTATCATCCAACTGATTCAAAAAGACCCTACCTGGCCCAACAACAACGCCACGTAGAGTTGTAGGCAGCGAACCAAGTGCATCCATGCGTGCTCGTGCAAAGACCTGTCTATCCCAGAATCCGTCCTTTACGAGATATCCACGCAGCAAGGCGGAATACTTATGTCTCCAGGCAAGCCAGAAGAAGGGTGATTTTTTGCTCATGGAAAGAATGCTAGTCGTCATTGCGTTGAGATGTTTTGGCGTGCTATTTGCAGGTTGAGTCAATTACGACTGGTAGGCCACGAAGAACGAACATTAAGATGATTGTCGGAGATGGACGTGATTCGTGCTCTGAAGCACGGATGACCTCGGACAAAGACGGGGTTATGTCTGTATTCCTTTAGTGACTTTCTCACAAAACGAGCAGTATACCCACCTTGGCTCTCGTGTAACCCCTTGAAAGTATTCATTGTGCCAAAATTGGCACCACTGTAGAGTGCGGCATACACGATTGAGCGACCATACGGCGTGGAAAGTGAGTGTGCAGATACTATGGTGTCCTTTTCACTCCAGGGACCAACGGTCGGAAGGACGTTGAGGATACCCGTTGCTCCGGCCACAACATTCTTACATAGGATCAGCAATTAGTTGTCAATTGAGAGGTTATTTTTACCTGATGAGTGAACTGTACCCCTTTCAATGCCTGCAAACGATCAGTCTGTGTCATCTTCCAAATCCACAAGACCTGCCCCATTTTTTATCGCGAAAAAGTGTGCACTTGAAATGTCGGAAGCAACTAAAAGGCATAAGGGCTGTCATAGAACGATGTAAGTCTTACTCGGGGTCGGAAGTTGAAGAGTGCTTGGAGGAACGTTTTCCAAGTCTTCCCATGTGACAAGCCTCAAGTCGACCTTCTTCGCCCACACTTTGGTTTCCCCAGTGCGATCTCCGACGACGATGATGACGGGTTTGTGGGTCGACTCTTCGAGAAGTTCCAGCAGGTGCACCAATTCGCTCGCGTCCACGACAATGGCGGTAGGTGGATGGGTTTCCAAAGTAGCCGTCAATAACGCATTGGACGATAATGTAATGGTGGGGACGCAGTAAGAGGCCAAGGCAAGGTCGGCAATGAGCCATTCTGGTGAGCAGTATGAGAATCGCTCAGCAGAATGCGGACTTACTCACCCAAGCTGTCACGGAGAAGAAGTAATACACGAGAGCCCTTTGGTACCAAGCCAGCTGCTGCACACAACGCTGCTCCAATTCGGCTGACCTTTGCTTGAAGGTCTCGGTTGTTAATCTGATGATTCTCAGCTAAACGAAGAGCTTCTTGCGAGACGCATCCACCTTTTGGTCCCATAACCAGCGTTCTGCCGTGTCGAACGGCGCGTCCTGTCTCAAGAGAGATACCTGAGTCGTCACGCCCTTGCCGGGTGCAATGGGAAGCTATCGTAGATGAGAGAGAATATTTTAGCGATTATAAACAACAACACTGACTGAGGAAGCTCCTATTCCATAGTTTGAATATACAGCGGACTCGTTTTCCTTGCGCACTTGAGCAACATGAGATTGGCGGCCAAGAAGCAAGGGATGAACAAGAGGCGGAGGAACAAGAAGAGTAGATATGAGATATGTTGCGGCTGCGGTGATTCCCAGCGCGATTGTGTATTCGTCGCTGAGCGAAATCATGCCGGAAGTGGAGTGGTTCAAGCCGTAGTCACCACTTTTGACGCGAACATGGCTTCATTTATGAGATTTCACCTCAAATACTACAAACCGACGCGTTACCGGGACCTGAAAGTCATATCGTGGTTGAACAGACGCGTTGCAAGGACGTGTACAGGGAGGATTCCATAGTCTGAGTCAAACGGAGAAGGTATCAATCAGTGGTATTAGATTGTTTGCAGACTCCATAAATCATCTCCCAGGTAGCAGAGTATCTCCACAGCGACGCCTTTGTTGATAGCCTTCATATCCTCGGTGGATAGTTTCGTGATCCCAATGGCAGCGGCATGCTCCTTTCCTTCGGTCTCAATCGCAACCACTGTGCCAGCTGGGATTGCTTCACTAGCATCAGGAAGCCAACCGCCCTTGGAGGTGAATCCGGGAGCCATCATATTTGCTCCCTGAAGAAGGAAGCGGATCGCGCCTCTATCGACACGAAGCGCGGGGAGTATCTTTGGAACTGCAGGTGATGAGTTACAAGTCGTGTTCGTAGGCAATCTACTGACATTGATGGAGCAGTCGCAATGTAGGAATCAGTGGCCCATCAAAGTGCTGAAAGAAGAGGGGTCGCCCTTGCACGGTATAGATGGACAAGTGATCACGTCTGATTACTGGCGCCGTCAGGGAGCTGTCCCTAAGAGACAGAAGGCACAGACCCTTTGACGAGGACGAGAGACTCCTTTTTGGACCAAATTGATGCATCCAGCGTCTCTGGAGTGAGTCCCTTCCATTGATCTAGCAAATTTGCTCTGATCGTACGCTGTGCTGACTGCTTGAGGATGGCCTGTCCCGCAATGTCCGTGGATGGGGAAAACCTGCCATTTCGTCGTCAGACAGGTCGATGAATGACACTTATTTGCATACTTTTTAAACATTTTTGTTATATATCACTGCAGGAGTCGTGGTCCAAAGGTTCGCCACTCGGGAAATAGCCGAATCAAACTGAGACCCAACGTTGCCCAGCCGTTTCCACCAAAGGCGGCTTTCGAGTCTGAATCCGCTCACTTATTGGCAAAGTATTGTGCCTGTAAAGCGTCAAGATGGAGGTGGGTTCACGATCAAGGCTGGTTACGACAACGCCCACTGATCTCGTTGTAAACGGCAGGCTATCCTAGATTTCAGCAAAGAGGTCGATGTATCGCTCATTGATCGCGTGGTAGAGGCTGGCTTTACCGGTTCTGGGCAAGAGGTACGCTCGTTCTCTGTCTGCATCAAACTCGCGCTCGGCAGCTGCTTACACGCGTCTTTGGTCAGCAACGGGCAGCCCAGCACGTCCTCGCCCAATTCCAAGAGCATCCAGATGCATGGCAAAGAGTGCCGCTGATTCTAGAGAGCTCGTCAAACTCGCAAGCAAAGGTTTGTTCGAGATCGACGCCACAGAAAGGGACTCATTCCTTTTCGTGATCGCGCCCCAATTATAGTTTATCGGCCTTCAAATCCTCGAAAAGCTCATTATGACGCGTTGGAAAGTTATCCCAGACGATCAACGCGCAGGTCAGTCACCACCGTCACCAACCGAGCCATGGTTCTGACACACACGGCACAGGAATTCGCAATTTCATCGTCGGCCTTACGATAAAACTCGCGTCAGACGAGGCAATCCTCCGCAAAGAGCGCGCATATATCGGAAAGCTGAATCTCATCTTGGTGCAGGTACTGTCATGTGAGATTGCACCGTAGGATATCCTTTGACCTGAGACTCAGATTTTGAAACAAGAGTGGCCACATGCATGGCCGACGTTCATCCCAGAGATTGTCGCATCCTCTCAAACAAACGTCTCGCTCTGCGAAAACAACATGGTCATTCTCAAGCTCCTGTCAGAAGAAATTTTCGACTACTCTGCCGAACAGATGACGACCGCTAAGATCAAGAACCTCAAGAATCAGATGTGTGGAGAGTTTAGCGATATCTTTAGGCTCTGCTCCGAGGTACTCGACAAAGCCCAAAAACCAACCCTCATCAAAGCAACTTTGGAGTGCTTCCTTCGCTTCCTCAACTGGATACCACTGGGATACATCTTCGAGACCAATATCATCGATACCCTGCTAACCAGGGTAAGCTACTGTCCATGTGCAAAGAGTTTGATAGCTCATGCCCAGCTAGTTCTTGGAGACCCACGAGTTCCGCAATGTCACTCTCAAGTGTCTTTCGGAAATTGCAGGCTTCCAAGTTGGAACCGAATACGACTACAAGTTCCAAGTCCTCTTCTCAATGGTCATGACCTCTGTCAACCGCATGATCCCGCCATCTACAGGTACAATCGATCAACGTGTTGACGAACTGATACCCACGATTCATAGACATCAAAGCCGCTTATGCTACATCGAGTGATTCTGGACAAGAACTCGTTCTTAACCTCGCCCTTTTCCTGACCAACTTCCTTATCAACCACAACAGACTCATCGAGCCCGAGCAATATCGTGACCTACTGCTGAACTGCCATCTATACATGATCAAGATTTCTCAAGTAGAAGACAAGGAGATATTCAAGATTTGCCTCGAATACTGGTCGAAACTCGTCGCAGAGCTATACGAGGAGATTCAAAGTCTGCCGATCGGCGAACCTGCCCTCTTGATGGGTCTAAACTTGGGTGGCCCAGGTGCAAACTCTCTGCTCAGTGGTTACGAGCTGCGCAAAAACCTGTACACGGACGTTCTGTCCAACCTTCGCCTGGTCGTCATCGATCGCATGGCCAAGCCGGAGGAGGTGTGTGTCATTACGCTATATTGACCATTATGCCAACATCATCCTCAGGTTTTGATTGTCGAGAACGACGAGGGAGAAATCGTCAGAGAAGTTCTCAAGGAGAGCGAAACAATCGTCGTCTACAAGCAAATGCGCGAGCTCCTTGTCTACTTGACACATCTCGACGTTGCGGACACTGAGTCTATCCTCACAGAGAAGCTGAGTAGACAAATTGACGGTACGGAATGGTCGTGGAATAACCTCAACACGCTTTGCTGGGCAATTGGTTCCATCTCGGGTGCCATGAGTAAGTACTGTGACACTCGTTCAGCTTGTCTAACGTTTCATAGACGAAGAGACCGAAAAACGGTTCTTGGTCACGGTCATCAAGGAACTCCTTGGCTTGGTCGAAATGAAGCGTGGCAAGGACAACAAAGCCGTCGTGGCCTCCAACATTATGTACATCGTCGGCCAGTATCCTCGCTTCCTAAAGGCACATTGGAAGTTCCTTAAGACAGTCGTGAATAAGCTCTTCGAATTCATGCACGAGACGCACGAAGGTGTGCCCATTCTTTGAACTTTTGGCCACCACTCACAAATGATACAGGTGTGCAAGACATGGCTTGTGATACCTTTATCAAGATTACCCAAAAATGCCGCCGCCACTTTGTCATGCTGCAAGCACAAGAGACCGAGCCGTTCATCGATGAAATCCTCCGCAAGCTGCCGTCTATAACCATTGATCTGTCTCCTCAGCAAATTCACACATTCTACGAGGCGATTGGCTACATGATTTCTGCTCAACCCAATAAGCCAATACAAGAGAAGTTGATTCAAAGGTTGATGGAGTTGCCGAACACCGCGGTATGTGAACACCAATTTTACGAATACTGACACTCAGCTTCTATAGTGGGACTCTCTAATGATCCAAGCCACGAGCAACGTAGACGTGCTTTCCAACATGGACAACGTCAAGGTTCTGAATAATATCATCAAGACTAACGTGGCTGCTTGTGTCTCCATTGGGACGTTCTTCATTCCCCAGATTTCTCGCAACTTTGTGGACATGCTCGAACTCTACAAGGCTGTCAGTAGCATCATCAGCACCTCGGTGGCGACCGAAGGTAGGGACACTCCCTACAATTGCCTTGTCATTCTTACACCGTTCCTAGGTCTCATTGCTACCAAAACCCCAAAAATCCGTGGCCTGCGTACCATCAAGAAGGAAATCTTGAAGCTGATGGAGACATATATCAAAAAGGCAGAAGAGGTGGAAAGTGTCAATCAAAATCTCATTCCTCCACTACTCGATGCTATTCTCGGCGACTATAATCGTAACGTTCCCCAAGCTAGAGACGCTGAAGTGCTCAACGTCATGGCTACTATCACCCTCCGCATGGGAGTGAGTGTACTCACTGCGTTCTCTCCTTATACTGACGCCGCTTAGCCTCTTCTCACCCCTCAAGTTCATCCGATTCTCGAGGCCGTGTTCGAGCCGACCCTCAATATGATCAACCAAGATTTTACAGAGTATCCAGAGCACCGTGTAGGGCTCTACAGGTTACTGCGTGCTATCAATTCGCAGTGCTTCCCGGGTAATTCTCAGTTCCGTCAAATAGTTCTTGTCCTAACAATTAGCAGCATTGCTCACATTACCGCCCGTACAGTTCAAGCTTGTATTTGACAGTATAATCTGGGGAATGAAGCACACGCTTCGAGATATTGCAGACCTTGGCCTTTTGAGTATGTGTTTCAAGGTAACTCACGATTACCGCCTAACCTTGCTACAGTTCTATTCGAAATGGTCGACAACTTTGCCACTCAAGATGCTGTTGTTGCAAATGCCTTCTTCCAAGCGTACTATACGGCGCTCCTCCAAGATCTCTATTTTGTACTCACGGATACCGACCACAAGAGCGGTAAGATTGGATGCTTGCTGGACTACCACCTACTCACCTTGATTGCAGGCTTCAAGATGCAAACTCAACTACTCATGCGTCTCTACCATCTCGTGGAATCTGGCACTCTTGCGGCGCCCATATTCGATCCCTCTACCGTCCCGGATGCAAGCATGACGAACTCTACATTTGTCCGCGAGTTTTCATCCTCGCTGCTTAAGAATGCGTTCCCTCACCTTCCTCCGTGAGTCTCTCCCGCTTAATAGGAGTATGTAACTATTCTAAAATGCCGCAGGAAACGAGTTGACGCATTTGTGGCCTCGCTCTGCGAGACATGCGGAGACGCGAATCGCTTCAAAGTGGCCGTGCGCGACTTCCTCATCCAGCTCAAAGAGTTTGAGGGTGACAATGCCGAACTTTACCTGGAAGAAAAGGAGCAAGCTGCTTCCGAAAAAGAAGCAGCAGCGATGCGTGTTCCGGGATTACTCAAACCATCTCAGATTCAAGACGAGGAGGAGCTATAGATCATGGAAATCTGTCACAGGAACACCTGGAGAAACTCGAATAAAGGTCGGTCCATAGCGCTGTACGCTCCCGCTGGAATATCTGCTGCAACATTGTACTACCTGCGTTTCCCGGCGTCATCTAATCGCGTCTTGCCTTCCATCTCTCATGTAATTACGAATAAAAATACAAACGGTGGTTTCTCAAAACATGGTATAAAGGAAACCGGTGTGAACAACGCCTAGAAGGGTATACATCGTGACGGCCTAGTAAGGTGGCATCATCGAGGCGAGCTCCTGGGTTTGTCTGCGAAGTTCCATGTCTTCTAGTTGCAACAATCTGGCTTGCTCCTGAAGAGTGGCAAAGGCCAAATAGGGGTCGACAGCCTTTCGATTTCGTGCGGCCGCTTCGGACATGGCCCGTGCAATGAGCTCCTTCTCGACTTTAGCAAGCGCATTGCTAATATTGTCAAGACGGGCCCCCATCAACTGACACTCCGCCTGGTGGAAGTTGCCTGCAAGCTCACTCTTGATGGAGGCAACCTCTTTGACGATGCGACGGCTCTGTTCGAGCATCCCGGATTCGTGCGTCGTAATGCGTTGGATAGCGGCTTCGGCTAAGTGGCGTTTGGCCCGTTCGAGCACAGAGGGGGCCAGCTCGAGGAGGGCCTCGTTGAACGTCGAGGTGGCAAGGTGCCAGGCTTTGACATCTTTTGCAGCGGTTGCTTCCATATCGTAGAGTGCGCTTAGTTTCTGCTGTTGCTCGGCAAGTTCAAGGAGAAACTTCTCTGGAGACTTTTGAGATGTCAGCTTGAGTGTTTGACGAGTTGATTCAGGCTCTCACCTGATTGGATGGTGCATAATCTGTACCCGAACCTGTTGCTGCCTCGGAAGGTGCCTTGCTACTGGGACGGGATGGCTTGAGAGACTAGGGCAACGTGAACCAACGTGGGTAGCGACGGGAGCCACGTACCTGACCAAACTCGGACGTAGAGTAGAGCACTGTAAATTTGTTCTCGTAAGGAGCAGGTGTCGGCTTAGGCCCTGGTATCTCAAAGATACCAGAGGTGCGTGGATTGGGAGTCGGGAGTGGCTGGGGACAATCAGCGAAAGATATAAATGGTACAAATGTTTCACCACACTCTGGACCCTCGTTATAGGCTCTGTGAGCATGACCGGACGACGACTTGCCGGAACAAACTCTTGTGCATTGACATTGTACTTGTGTTTGATGGGAATCGGTACCGACTTGAGTTTAAAGTACTTGACCATAACAGAGTCCCATGGACATTGTGGGTCGTGGCAAAGATCCTCAGGAGTGTCGATAAGATGAAACTTGACGGTGGGTGCATTGCTGGTGGGCGTGGTGAGTGGTTGAAATGGAAACATGACTATTGAAGATGAAGTGACGAATTATGGCGAATAATAGCTTAGATAAGAACGAATAGTGCGGCAAAGGTCTACAGCGTCGGCGATGGTCAGCTCCAGAGTTGCTGCCCACGAGTGGCTGTGGCTGTTGTTCTAGCATTTATTCTAGATTTCAACCCGGAAATAACTGCGCATACTGTGGACATGGCATAGTCTAGGCCCCCGCCGTCTTGTGCGGTACCCCTTCTATTCTGGAACCAACCGCCAAGTACATACGCTGACTGAGCCGCAGTTGAATTAAACAGTGCATATAAGTAGACGAGCAATCGACCTCTTCACCTGCCACTCAAACTCTACCATGACCGACTCACCTCCGCAACGGGCTGGGAGCCCAAATCCAATGCTTCAACGAGCATTCTCGTTACCCATCAGCCAAAGAGCGTGGAGAGAAGTACAGAAAGGGCCACCATCTATCGCATTAGAGCTCCAGGAGAAGATTCCTGTGACGCACAATCTCGCCCCAGGCGAGCTACTTGTCAAAGTTGAAGCTGCTGCCCTGAATCCAATGTGCGTGCATCAGATAATGAAGCGATGTTTCTCAATCACGTCAGAAACTACAAACTAATGGAGATGCTCCCTAATACTATGGCTCGTCGTCCGCACACCGCTGGAAACGACTTTACTGGAACAGTTGTCTCGTCTCAAGGAGTTACAGGTTTTGAGAACGGTGATCCTGTATGCGGTTGGGTCTCTCAATGTAAGCTTCGATCAAGGTGGCTTTGCTTTATGGAAGTATTGATAGACGGCAGCGATGGCGCAAATCACAAGTCAAGGCTCACTCTGTGAATACGTCCGAGTCAGGAGTGATCACGTCGTTCGTAGGCCATCAAATCTGTCACCCATCCAGGCCGCAGGCCTATGCCTTGCTGGGCTCAGTGCCTACAAGTTACTATACGTGGATGCAAAGATCAAAGGATCAGGACAAAGAGTACTCATCAATAACGCGAGCGGGGGTGTTGGAACGTTTGCCGTTCAGATGGCGAAAGCCTCGGGATGTCACGTTACTGCTTCGGTCTCTCCTGCCACGCGTGAACTTGTTCTGGGACTTGGAGCAGACGATGTAAGTTATATACTCCTCGAAGAGTCGTATCTCATTTCATACAGGTCTTCGACTATCACGCCGAGCCAATAGCGGACGCCTTGACAAGAGAACCGCCAGAGCGCCCCTTTGATGCCATCATCGATTGTTATGGGCTCGACAGTAATCTCTATGCGAAATCTGAACACTACCTCAAGCCAGACGGGGTCTTTGCATCTGTCGCTCCTGCTAAAGGAAGCATCTTCGGTACCGCCAGTGCTGCTGCTGGGCTCTTTACACATGCATGGCGTCCAAAGTGGATGGGTGGAACGCAGCGAAAGCTTAGTATGCTCAACCTAGAAAACTCAAAGGAAGAGCTTCGTGCCCTTGCCGCAATGGTCGAGAGTGGTAGGTCTCTTGTCACCCTTTTGGCCATTACTCAACGTTCCATAGGAAAAGTCGTACCGGTGGTCGATTCTGTCTTCAAGTTTGATGATGTCCAGATGGCGTTTGAACGCCTACAGTCAGGGCACGCTCATGGCAAAGTTGTGGTGGTGGTCAATGCAGATTTATATCTGGAGCAGAAGCAAACTAAACTTGTACAATAGTCTTGATATTTGAATTTCTGAGTGGCGCATGGCTGGTGTGAATGACAGGCCCCCTCTTTTACGTTTTGGACCCGACGCCCACCGGCGATCACACGGAGATGCCGGGCAAGCTCACCTCTCAAGATATCATCGATAGAGGCGAATACCTCGAGCCAGACTTTGACCCGTCGACGCTCACCATCGCGCATCTCCATGCCGTGCTCGCAAACCATGATGTCAAGCACCCGACAAACGCAAAGAAGCCGGGGCTAATCAAGTTGTTCCAAGAAAACATTGCTCCAAATGCACGCAAGTACAAGAAGGAGAGAGAGATGATCGCATCTATACGCAGTGATGGAAGCGACATTTACGATGTTGGCACCGGTTCGTTAATCGAGGTACGTGTTCAATGTTCGTTCGAGTGCAATATAGTCTCGCTAACATATAGTTTGTATCGCAGGAGAGTCCTGTCCGGAAACGGGTCTCGCGAAAGTCTGCTGTAGAGTCCACAAAGCGCGTGCCGAGCACGAGTCCCGTTCGCAAGGTCTGCAGAATAGGAAATGATGTTAAATACTGTTTTGACGCGTCATTATAGTCAAGAAAATCTCTGGCTACGCCTAGAACTTCTACAAAGCCGGCCAAACCAGAAGAGGATGTCACAGAGAGCGAGTCTGAACACATGGCGTCTAGCAGAAACTCGGTAGGTCACCTTACGGACTTGTATCGTGGCTCACAAAGAATAGGTCTTAGAAGAAGCTCGCAAACCTCGTCGAGTATCTCAAAAGGTGTGTGGCGCAAAGGGGTCTGACATGGGCTGACGACAGGACAGTGGGGCGCTGGAGATGAAACCAGTCTATGGGAAGACAGGAATCCATTTCAACGCAGTTCTCCCCCAGCACCCAAGCCACGAAAATCCAGAGCAAGGGAATCGCTGGCACCCAAATTCCCTCCTTCAACAGACGAGAATATTTTCCCCGCTGCTGGGGAGCTCAATCTGCCAAAATTTCCGATTAGTGGCCACATATCGTCTCATGTAACGCCTAACAGGACACCAATGAAGGAGTCCGTAGTGTCTGTAGGGTCTACTCCTTACAGTGCGACGTTAGAGAGCTCAACGCTAGAGGAAGATTATCCCTACGTTGAAGGGGACAGTCAAACGGATCTTATTCGACAAAAGATTGCGGCCCTAGGAGAGGATCATGCTAATGGGACGCTGGTAGCAAGAAGACCGACTACACCAGCTTCGACCTGGAGACAATTTGTTCTGGCATTGTTACTGGTCCTCGGAAGCAGCGTTCTATGGGCGTATAAGAATGATTCAGCCATGATAGGGTATTGCGATCCTGGAAGCGACACCAACATTGTATCGCGGCAACATCTCCAAGAAGTTGCAGCTGCACAAGCATGCAAGGAAGCGCTCGTCCGTCGTGCCGAACAAGGGACACCCGCAGATCCGGATATGGAGTCTTGCCAGACCTATTTGATCCCTCGTGCGACCAAATGCACACCCTGCCCACCTCATGCAATCTGCTCAATCCACACCATCACTTGCGAGCCTGCGTACATGCTTCGCCGTAGCGCGCTATCCTCGATCCCGCTGATGGACGCTTTACTAAATGGCATGCCCGGTTTGGGTCCCGTTGCCTTACCCGCACGATGTGTAGCCGACGTGCGTAGGAGACAGACGGTGGGGAAGATAGCAAAGATGATTGAGAACAAGCTCGCGGTCGTTCGTGGAGAGCGAGTTTGTGCCGGGGTGAAGTCTGGAGAAGGGGATGTACAGGAAGCAGCTGCATTTGGGGTCCCGATTGATGACTTGCGTGCAGGTATCAACAGCAAGGTCGCTCATGGAGTAAGTCTAATGGTAAAGTTGGAACAGCATTCTGACGGGAGTAGGATCAAGCGAGAATCAATGACATCTTTGACTCTGCAATCCAAGAGCTCAAGCAGAGTGGATTGATCGTCTCGGTCAAGAACATTAAGTAAGCGTCTATCTCCAATAGTACTCTGGGCTGACAATTGGTAGTGGAAGAGATCAGTATGCCTCGATTCGCTCCGAATTGAGCTACGTGTGTCAGGCAAAGCTCAAGCTCATTGCTACCTGGCATACCTGGCAACGAAGTGTTATTGGTACGTCTGATCGATGGATACTGCTTGAAATGCTCAAGTTTCCTAGGTTCTGTCCTTGCCCTCTTGATGATCATGGCTGCTCGATCCAACATGGCCAAGAAGGCAGTGGAGAACCGCAAGGTCAAGGGACTTGTCAAGGATGCAATCGAGAGAGTGCGCGCTCAGGAGGCGTATCACTACCTCGACTCTGTCAAGTATCCATCGCAGAGTCTCACGTCGCTGCAGCTGCGAGACGAACTGATGCAAGACGAACATTCGATTGCGAAAAGAGCCCGGATATGGCACCAGGTGGAGAAGATTGTGGAGGAGAACTCGAACATCCGGTCAAATATGGAAGTGACTCCGAGTGGAGACGAAGGACGTGTGTGGACATGGATTGGCGCGGGGGGCGCGCGGTTCATCGACGGCAACACCCCGAGCGGAAGACAGGTCATCTGAGTTGTCTAAGCCAACGCACGAGATGACGCGTGTACGCAACGTGGTCCCGGATGGATCTCAACTTGTTCTTATCGAATATTCCCTGCTAGCTTATTCTTCTCGCCGTTGAGTGGTATAAAGTGACTCGAGCTAATAATGTGATTTGTTTTCGATCGACTCATTCTTGTCTCTCTCTATCATCAGCTATCCCTTCAAACATGCCAGGAGCTATCTGCGTCTACTGCGCGTCGTCAGCTGGTACGAAGCCAGCGTATCAAAAGTCTGCCATTTGTATGTCCAAACTTCCCCCAGAGAGCGTGTCATAGAGAACTAATGGCCCCGAAGCGTTGGGCAAGGCGCTTGCCGTCTCACAACGACGACTTGTTTATGGAGGAGGGAAGCTAGGGCTCATGGGTACAGTCGCAGAGGCTGCTCTCAACAATGGGGGATATGTGACTGGCATCTCTCCGTACGCTATGGTTGCTAAAGGAGGCGAGGGCTCCAAAGTGAACGGTGTTGCAGAGGACAAGGTCTCCAACAGAGAACCTGCTCCACATCCGAACAGAGAGTCTATCATCGTGGATAGTATGCATGACCGAAAACTGCTTATGGCCAAGCGTGCCGACGGCGGCTTCGTAGCGTTGCCCGGTGGATATGGAACTCTTGAAGAGGTAAATATTGCTTTATTATTTATGCATATCTAATATTCGTAGTTGCTTGAGGTTACTACGTGGTCCCAGCTCGCCATCCACGAGAAACGTATGTTGACCTCTATATTGCTACGCATTGACTGAATCGTATACAGCGGTCATCCTCGTAAATGTACTCAACTATTACAACCCTCTTCGGGAGCAAATTCGCGTTGGTGTCGAGGCCGGCTTTATCAAGGCGGATAACCTCTCCCTCATCACCTTTGTCGACGGACCAGAAGACTTGGCTGAGCACGAAGATTATGATTGGGGAGGTGAAGTGGTCAAATTGCTTGACGAATGGAAGCCGACAGGTTGGAAGGGCTTTGGCTTCGACTGGAGCAAGCGCCAGGACGGCCGCTCGTCGCCCATGAACGCTATTTGAAATGCACCTCGTATAATTGCATGTAATCAACCGAAACCTGCCCATTCGATAGTGTAATATGAAACCTTTTGAGTTTCTGAATCCCATCCACACAGGAGATGAGACTTTTTTGTTGCGGTACCCAGACGCCCATATGCAACAATCTGAATAGGAAGTATTGGCTCTGTGAGTGATGGGACGACGGTTGCTACAAAGTGCGAATGAAATCGCAACGGATCGCCTTGGAAGTGTAAGTCCCTGGAGTTGCCTTGGGCGACGCTTTACCTGGATAGATGAGCCAGTCTCCTCCGAAACGTAAGCCGTTCCCCATGTAGTATCCTTGTTTCCATAGATCCTCAAATACTCCACACTTGGCAATCTCCTCGGCAGTAGAAGGATACACCCATAGACCAGCCTCTTTGGCTTCTTCCAATGTGAGATAACATTTCTTCCGATACCAAGCGACGTCCGACGTAGCGGGGATAGTAAACGAGTAGCTCTTCTCTTTCGTACTCGATGTCGTGGTTGGTGTCAGGGGCTCCGACATGATTTCGTCTTTTTTGGTAGCTTCTAATGCCTCCTTTCGTTTCTGGCGTTCCAAACGCTTGCGGAGAGCTTCATCACTAAGCGTCGGAGGAGTGAATGTTGGGTTCTTTGGAACGCGATGAACTTCAGCTTTGCGCACTTCGTTCCATTGTGCAAGTTCTTCGGCAGTCGGTGCTTCGTGAGACGCAGTATCATCGACGAGTGCGACAATTCCTGTGTCAGGTGAGATAGGGAGAGTGGCAAATGGCGTGATCTCACCATTTTTCACGAGTACAACAACTTCTTCTGGGAGTAGAGCCAATGGAAGGCCCAAGAAGACGTTTTGTTGACCCGCGTGTGGAAGCGTTCCCGTTAGAGTGCCGCAAATATGGTGGGTCGCTCGTAATGTTGCGACGTCTCGATTTTAATATGAGAAAGGCTGAAATGAGGCTGGTGACAACGTACCATCCACTGACCATACCAGCGCTGTCTGGTTTGAGATGTGGAGAGGAATGCGACCTTGAAACCCATCTGCCATTGCATGGATAGGCTATCGAGTATATTTCGATACAAAGGTATATTTTCTGGTGATTTTTGGGCCGTGGCCGGCTCCTGTTAGCGAGACGCTGAGCAAAGCCAAAGTTTTCCAACCTTTGACCTTTACCACGTCGGCTTGGTCTGCTTGAAGCGTTGACTGGCGATGAACTATAAATCACTGAATCGCAATGCACCTCAACGTCCTCAACCGATAAGACCTCCCCAGCGACCAACGACTTTTCAGCAAGCACGGCCAACTTCTGCTCTTGCGCTCCCTCCAATCACCCCCCAGAGCCTGGCACAGGCAACCCAGCAGCCTGTACAAGCTCCTCAGACCTCTATCGCGCTCCCTCCGCTCGCCCTTCCTCCTCATCCCAGTCAGCAACCGTCTCAGCCGGCGTCAGCGGCAACCGCGGCGGCTCCAGCCCAGGAGCCCCAACAGCAGCAGCAACCTCAGCAGCAGCTTGCTCCTGGTCAAGAATTGTCGTTAGAACAGCAGTATATTACCAATGTAGAAGGAATCGTGCCCATCCTCCAGTGAGTATCTCTGGCTGTAGCCGCTAAGAAGTCCTTTTTCATCTCGTGAAAAAAAAGAAATATTGTAGCAACTGTCAACCTTGGAACTCGTCTCGATCTGAAAACTATAGCTATGCACGCCCGTAATGCAGAGTACAACCCAAAGGTGTGTACCTGGCTGTTGTAGGAGACTATCCGCAACTCCAGTGCTTACACTTCTTTACAAAGCGTTTTGCCGCTGTAATCATGCGTATCCGCGAGCCCAAGACGACGGCGCTCATCTTCGCGTCTGGCAAGATGGTCGTCACTGGCGCCAAATCCGAGGACGACTCGAGGCTTGCGTCGCGCAAATACGCTCGAATTATTCAAAAGCTTGGTTTTGATGCAAAATTTACCGAGTTCAAGATTCAAAACATTGTGGGCTCATGCGACGTCAAGTTTCCGATCCGCTTAGAGGGTCTTCATTATGGTCACGGAAAGTTCTCGAGCTATGAGCCAGAGGTCAGTATATTCTCTTTTCATCATCAAGAGGGTTTTCATGGACTGTCAATGACCCTCATAACTAACGAGTTTATCTAGCTCTTCCCGGGTCTTATCTACAGGATGATCAAGCCCAAGGTCGTCTTGCTCATCTTTGTATCCGGGAAGATTGTTTTGACTGGCGCAAAGGTTGGTCTATCCGTCCACCTTGGAGGAGTCTGCTCAACGTGATCGCAGGTTCGAGAGGAGATTTATACGGCGTTTAACGTCATATACCCTGTGTTGCGCGAATTCAAAAAGCCTTAAAGGACAACCTATCATCACGGCTGCTTTCTAGACAAAAAACAGGCGACTCCCCATCACCAACCTGCAGGACCCGTCTAGCTGTGGTCGATTGTATTCTCAAGCGAACTGTTTCCAGTATACTTATCCCTCCATCATCTACCAGCATCCCCCACTATTCTATCATGCATTCCATTAACGTATGACCAACCCATCCGAAAGACATCCCCCGCGCCTTATTCATGCTCTTTGCCACGAGCTCGAAACGTAGGCACACAAGTTGGAGGCTGTTGATTTCACCGCTGTTCAACACTGCGAACGAGCGACAGCTTTGCCGATTATGTGCTGTCGTGCTCGCGTGAAGAAGGGCTAGACAATACATTGTTTCTTGTAAAAGTCTCTAGTTCAATACACTGGCGTTCCCCCAAATCATTGAGCATCGTTATAATTTGTGAAAGAATAAGAATACAAAATGAGATTATGTGTACAAGGTCAGTCGGAGAACGAGTCTTCGTCCATGATAGATGGGCTCGGAACCATGTCTGCAGATGGAGCTATGCTGATTACGATATCTACCGAGCCTTTGGTTCGGTTTTGTGTACCGCCCTCGTCATCTTCGTCTTCTGGTATAACTTCATCCATGACAGTCACCGATCCGGTAGTAATCTTTGTCTTGATCTCGCTTTGATCATAAGGTAGAATGGTGGGCAACGATGTCGCAAGCATTACGGCGTGAGGGATAGCCGCTCCCATTGCGGCGAGGCGAATCTCTTTGTAGCTAAAAGAGTTGGTCAGAAACATACACTTAGGGGTATGCCATACGTACTCGTATTTGACAAACAAGTCGCGGCATTGTCGCAGGTATGCACCGAGTTCGGTTCGCCGTGTAACACAGATCATATTGTTGCCCTCTTTTCGCTTCGACTTGGGACCTGTTGCATTCGATGATGTCGGTACCGTCGGAAACGGCCTGCGCGGGGCCAGTTTGACAATCTTTGGGCGAGGTTTGCGAGGAGCCTTGACAGTCAGTGGCGCAGGTTGTCGTGGCTTCTTGTCATTCTTGTTGAGCCGCGTTTTCGCAGGTTCTTTGCGTGAACCGGGTGCCGTATCATCACTGGCTTGGACTTCATTGTTCGAGTCGTGCTCGATGCCCTCGGCGCCATTTTGCACGTCCTTCGCAATCTTCTGAGTCGTGCTCATTGAGATTTCTGAGCTGACTAGCTTGTGGGCCCGCTTTGTCACAAGTTCAAATGAATCATCGGGTCCGCGCTTGCGCTTTAGAGTCAGAGGTGCATCCCCCATGGAAATAATGGCGGCTATAAGAATGGAAGTAAATGGCCAAAGGCGAGGAGCAATCCAAGGAAGTTGTTTGTTTGTGCGGCCGTCTTGACTGCAACCTCGCCAACTCTTGGAAATCTAGTTGCCCCTTCTAGCGACGAGCATGAGCACAGAAGCTGAGCAAAATATCCAGACATGGAAGATCAAAAAGCTCATCAAGAGCTTGGACTCGGCCAGAGGGTAAGTGACGCCCTTCGTCACAAGTGATCCCGTAGATGGAGGGCTGATGAGGACGTGGACTACAGTGCTGGAACTTCGATGATTAGTCTTATTATTCCTCCAAAGGTACGTCCCAGATCGCGGATATCCATTTCCCGCCACCCGGCTCGTGCAAAAACGCGATGGACGCGCTTTGTGTATATCGACGCACCTCGATTTACTGACCACACGACGCTAGGATCAAATTTCTCGTGTCTCTGCCATGTTGACGCAGGAATACGGAACGGCGTCCAACATCAAGTCGCGCGTGAACAGACTGTCCGTCTTGGCCGCGATCACAAGCACACAGCAGCGTCTCAAGCTGTACAGTCGTGTCCCACCCAACGGACTCGTTCTCTTCGTCGGCACGATTCTGACCGACGAGGGTAAAGAAAAGAAGGTCTCGTTCGACTTTGAGCCTCACAAGCCCATCAACACGTACGTTTACTCTCATTCTTGCACACCAATGCTTGACTATCTCCTAGTTCCCTCTATCTTTGCGACAACAAATTCCACACCGAAGCCCTGTCGGAGCTACTCGAATCCGACTCCAAGTTTGGCTTCATTGTCATGGACGGTAATGGCTCCCTCTTCGGAACCTTGGCGGGTAACACGCGTGAGGTTATCCACAAGTTTACCGTCGACCTGCCGAAAAAGCACGGTCGTGGTGGTCAGTCCGCACTGCGTTTCTCGCGTCTGCGTGACGAAAAGCGCCACAACTATGTGCGTAAAGTTGCCGAATTGGCGGTCCATCATTTTATTACAAACGACAAAGTCAACGTCTCTGGTCTCGTCCTCGCTGGTTCCGCTGATTTCAAGACCGAACTCAACCAGAGTGACATCTTCGATCCACGTCTGGCTGCAAAGGTCATCAAGGTCGTCGATGTCAGCTATGGTGGAGAAAATGGGTTCAACCAGGCGATTGAGCTTGCAGCAGAATCACTCTCCAACGTCAAATTCGTGCAGGAGAAAAAGCTGATTCAAAAGTACTTTGACGAGATCAGTCTGGACTCAGGGAAATACTGCTTTGGTATCGAGGATACTCTTAAGGGTCTCGAGATGGGAGCAGTAGAGACACTCATCGTTTGGGAGAACCTGGACGTTACGCGTTACATTCTCAGAAATGCGGCAGGAGGTGAGCGAATTCTAAGCATGCGATAGATAATTGAGCGGTTCGCAGACGAGGTCGTTGTCTACGCCAACAAGGAGCAAGAAAAGGACCGCGACAAGTTTATCGACAAGTCGACGGGTCAAGAAATGGATACTGTCGGGGAGCCGCAGAGTTTGCTCGAGTGGTTTGCCGAAAAATATCAAGAGTTTGGCGCACAACTCGAGGTACGGATCAAGAGACATCTTAATCTCTACTAACGACGATAAACTAGTTTGTTACCAACAAGTCCCAAGAAGGGGCTCAATTCGTCAAGGGCTTTGGTGGTATCGGCGGCTTACTTCGATACAAGGTCGACTTTTCAAACATTGCCTCGTACGATGAGGACTCCGACGAGTTTTTGAGCGACGATGATGATGCATATGTTTGACTCGATCCCTCTTCGCGTTTCGGAGGGCGGGGGGAGGACGAGGGGGAGGGAGTACGTCGTGGAGAGGAGACAAAGTGCGTGCTCACAGCCAAGATGGTGGAGGAGTATGGTAGAGGAGATAAAACGACGGCGACGAATGTTGGGCCACTGGCAACGTGCGGTCAAGACCCAGTGCGTCCAGCTGCGCAATGCAAGATCCCATTCGGCACCTTGGGACGACATGTCGGTTACGACTTTAACGGTATTCAGGCTACGCGCCCACAATCCGAGACGCATCGTAAGCCTTACTTTTGCAACTTATAATTGAGGCTGACTTGGAACAGTGATGAATTACATGTTTAAAATGTGTCAGGACAAGTCATTCAAGGACTAAGGGACCGTCGGGGATCACAGGAATCTTCTAATTCATCCATCCGATGCCTTGGCTCACTTGTAGATGCCCTATGTCCTCTTTAGGCAAATTTATTCTTTCCTTCTTCTGCGATAGCCGGCTTCTAAGAAGAGATGATACGTGGAATCGGTGAGCCGAAGGCCATCCTTTCAGCTTTCGCCACAAGAGTAGTTTACGGTCGCAGCTTCTGAGAGCTGTCGAGTCGCCTCCTATGTAAAAATGCTGCTTTTGTGTAGGGTCTACTGCAGATCGTCTAGTCGAGTCGACAATAGAGGAGATGGGCTAGAATGGACAAGAGGCGTCGACTGACGGCCAGGTACAAGATGGAACGGTAAATCCTATCTATAGGCGCTCTCAAACTGTGTAACTAGTAGTCGACACCCTCATTCATCCTTCCCTCGATATGCGCGCTGCTCTACAAATAGGGCCGAGCGAGAGAGTATCTGATAGATATGAGTGCAATTTGCATATTATAAATCGGCATTAGCAGTTACGAGCACGAGGAACAAGAATATGTATTCCAAGGTGATAGTACAAGCGGAATTCGACAGATTACACAATACATCCAATATATATCCTATAAATTATTCTATCTTCCGGTATTCTTTAACATCGGTCCTTGCCTTCTTGACGCAGGTCCATTGTTCTCCGTACATGAACCTGGATGTATCAAGGGTTGTTCGCTGGCAACGGCCGATAATAGAACTTCCTGGTCGCTCAAGCCCAGTTCGAATTTCTGGTGGTACCCAGAAGAGTACTTTGCCATTCGGCCCACGGAGCCACCCATCAACTTCGATCCGACAATGAGGATTAAGAACCGCTGTCGTCTGAATAAACATAAGCATGTATACAAATCTAAAACTCAAATACTCACAGAGTATACAGTGGCCACATCCCATAGTCGCACCGTCTCGTCATCTGAACCAGAGATGATTTGTTGACCATCTGGCGAAAAGGCGACCGAATTGACAGAACAGGTGTGTCCTTCAAAGGGCAATCCTATCTGCATACCAGTCTCTGCATCCCACAAACGCACCGTCCTGTCGAACGAAGCAGAAACGATGTGGCGACCATTCGGCGAGAATGCGACCGAATTGACGGACCAGTTATGTCCGTGGAGTGGCCTCCCTATTGCTTTACTGGTTTCTACATCCCATAGTCGTACCGTATTGTCATCTGAACCAGAAACAACTCGGCGACCATCTGGTGAGAATGCCACTGATTTGACAGACGCGGTATGTCCTTTGAGTGGCGGACCTGTCTCTTTCCCAGTCTCACGTGCCAAAATCGCACAGTCTTGTCATCTGAGCCTGAAACAATCCGGAGACCATCCGGTGAGAATGCGACCGAGTTGATCCCCCCCGTGTGTCCCTTAAGAGGTGGACCTCGTCTACCACTCGTTGCACTCCACAACAGAATTGTCTTGTCCTGAGATCCAGAAACAATTCGACGACCATCTGGGGAGAACGCGACCGAGTTGACGCCCTTTTGGTGTCCTTCGAATGGCTTCCCCATATGTTCACCCGTTTTTGCATTCCATAACTGTATCGTCTTGTCGTCGGAGCCGGAAACGACTTGAAGACCATCTAGCGAGAATGCAGCCGACTTGACCGACATCGTGTGCCCTTTGAGTGGTGCGATCTTTCTAGATTTCTCCAGATCCCACAAGCGCACTGCCCCAGTAGTTGAGCCAGAAACGACGATACGGCCATCTGGTGAGAACCCAATCGAGTTGAACCCTTTGGTATGTCCACTGAACTTGAACCCGTCTTCTGTGCTAGTTTCCACATTCCACAACCGTAGTGTACTGTCGTCTGAACCAGAGACAATCCGGCAACCATCTGGTGAGAATGCGACAGAGTTGACTCCTTTGGTGTGTCCTCTGAATGGTGCTCCTGCCTGTCTGCCAGTCTTTGCATCCCAAAAATACACCGTCTTGTCATCTGAGCCAGAGACAATTCGGAGACCATCTTGGGAGAATGCAACTGATTTGAGTGACCAGGAATCCCCTCTGGGTGACGATGCTATTGATTTGCCTGTGGCCACGTTCCACAGCTGTACTGTTCTGTCGTCCGAACCAGAAATAATTCGGAGGCCGTCTGGCGAAAACATGACTGAGTTGACCGATTCAACGTGTCCTTCGAAGGGTGACCGTATTGGTTCGCCTGTCTCCGCATTCCACAACCGTATCGTCTTGTCATGGGAACCAGAAGCGATTAGCGAGCCATTTGGTGAGAACGCGACTGAACAAACTGAGCCAGTGTGTCCTTTGAGTGGATGCCCTATTTGTTTACCTGTGTCCACATCCCACAGGCGCACCGTGTTGTCATGTGAACCCGAAACAATTCGACGGCTATCTGGTGAGAAAGCGACTGAGTTGACGGATTTGGTATGTCCTTCAAACGGCAGTCCTATTTGTCCACCCGTGTCAACATCCCACAATCGAATGGTCTGATCTTGAGAAGCAGAAACGATTCGTTGGCCATTTGGAGAGAATGCGACTGAGCAGACAGCACTAGTGTGGCCTTCGAGCGGCTGCCCCACATGTCTACCTGTGTCTGCATCCCAAAGTCGTACCGTCTTGTCATTTGATCCAGAAACAATTCGGAGACCATCCGGGGAAAATGCTACGCTTTTAACGGCACCAATATGCCCGCAGATTGTCTTAATGACTGGAGACCAGCTTCGGTAGCCGCCAGCAGTCACCCGTAGCGTGTTTGGATATCGACGTTCATACTGCATCTTGACTGCTGAAGATTGGGGGGATAGTGGCAATGCAGATATGTAGATGTGACATGCGCTCTCTTTTATGACCTTCTTGAAGTCCATAGTGAATTGCCGCATGTCCGTTACAAGTGGTGCCAGGCCATCATTGCCATTTGCCTGGGGACAAAATCAGTGGATCGATAGTTGATGAAATGGTAAAGCTACCTTTAGCCAGATGTTTAATATAGACAGGATCGACGGCACTTCATCCACAAAGCCCCCGAAGCTAGCAACTTCAAGCCAGGAGAGGAACTGAACTTTGAGGAAACGTCGGACAAGGGCCACCATCTCCTCATTCGCCGGCGAGTTATGCAAATGATCTGCCCAGTAGCGTGATGCATATTGCAGATGTGCCGGAATGTAGGCCTCAAGGCACGAAATTGATTCCAGGACTTCTTTGTTGAGTAAATAGGAGGATGAAACCTCGCAAATATTGAACCGAAGCTTCTTTTTCATCACGTGTAGGCATTGCCGGGCAAGAATCCGGTCGCAGTCACCTGTCGTGAGGGAAGGTGACAAAGATGCAGTATGTGGATCCAAAAGGTAATCCACAAAAGATTGATGTCGAAAGCAAAGTCTTCCATCAACCTCCAGCACGGGCCGCAGTGCATTGCATATGTGCTTGACTGTGCAGTCATCCATTTCAAGGAGGTCTGCTAGTGTTTGCAGACCCAGAGTCTCTTTCGAGACAATGATTACCGCGATGATTGTGCGCATCTTCTGCCGTAAACCATCTGAATCCAGGAAAGAAGCATGAAGCACAGTAGTATATAGCTCGTTCAGGGTGGCGCCGCCCCCTCCATGAACGATATGCTCCAAGCGCTGCTTTGGGCTACCACGGCAAAGATATTCCACCACGGTAGACGCCCAGATGAATAAACCATTAGCTTTGGCAGCCAATAGTTCGATGATTGCTGCTCCAGGCCATTTGACAGGCAGTGTCGAGTGACCAGCAACAATTTTTTGCAGTTCTTCCCCCAAGAAGGCTTGAATATCTTGCTTGGATTGACTCGCCGTCTTATCTCCGATGAGGACATCGATAGTGAATGGAGGGTTGCAAGTGAAAGTCCTCAATATGTCGTCCTCTTCGCGACTGGTGACGACCAACTTGCAATTGGAAAGCTTGGACCATAGGACGAGAGTTCGCATTAGCTGCTGACGTTCTGCAGAATATGCGCCTTCTAGACCACCGCATTCGTCCAATGCATCGATAATGACCACGGGTGTCTGGTCGTTGGGAAGATTGCCAATCTTCAATAGTGGCTCCGCGACCAATTGATGAAATAGCTCATCAATATTTGGCGTCGCCAAATCAATTTCATCCCCTTTTAGCATCCTGGCGAGGTGTTTGCGGATGGTGGGATGGCGAGCGAGATCATAGGCCACGCTCTGCAGTAGCGCCTTTGTTGTTGTGATGGCGCTTTCTTGACGGCGGAAGAAAAAACTTGATCCCAGGCGTTGTTTTTTGATCCCTAGTACACGCACTAGGCTTGATGCAATGGCCGACTTGCCTGCCCCGGCGCCGCTTTGATCCACAGAATGTTTGGCGCCTTGGGGTCTTGGACCCAGGTTTGACATTGCTCCAAAATTTCCACACGTGTCCCTACTTGACATTCTCGTGGACGCGTGTACTCCCTGACTTGAAGCTTCTTCAATATATCCGCGTCCGCCGATGCGTTCACCGAGGTATTGACATAGACAATGAGCGAACACTACATCTAGCGTTAAATAGCCTTCATTGTAAGATGAATGATACTGACCATAATACGCCATTCTGCGTTCTTCAGGCGTTTCTCATAGTCGATGATGAGACCAGCCTCTAGCTTTGTTGTACCTATACGCTGAGCCAGTTGCTTGAGCGTAAGGTCTTGTTCAGTTTGCGACTCTTCGAGACCTGAATCGACGCATATGCTGGCAATCAACTCGTGGAGAACGCTATTCCTAGTCAGTTTACGTCAATTCAAAGGGTATATACATACGTGGAATACTGCTTAATCGACTCCTTTATCGAGTTTCCATGCTCTTCGAGGACGTCGTTGATGCCTAGTTGGTCCAGGTGCCGTTGAAATGTGGTCGCGTGCTCTTGAACGGTCCGCAAGAGCTCATACCATGCCGAATGATTATCTGAAACGGCCTAAAACTCGTTAACACCACGCTAATAAGAGTTACCCAAGGGCGAATACTCACCTGGATAGTTTCCAAGAGCGTCCCCACGGCTTCGCAGGCTCCTTTGAGCGGCGCGAACCCGGCAGCATCAGCGACGCTCTTGGTCACGCTGAGCATCAGTGTAACTCGAGCGAGCCATCTCTCCGCTTTCGAGTTGCTTATCGACTGGGGAGGGTGGGTGGTGGACGGTCGGTCGTCGTCGGTACAATGGCCTGTCGACGTCGACGTAGACGTCGATTGCCGACTCTCCACACCCTTTTTGCGAGGCTTACATGAGTCGCGAAATATACCAATCGCTCGTTTCATGAGGAATGGCAGAGGGAGAGAGGTCCAAAATTTTGTCGGTCGGCCAGGCTCCAAAAATTCTTTGAATAATCACGCCTGTAGACATGGTCAGAAGATGGCAGATGATATCAGTATCACATCTGCCAGGTGCCTGCCATGCCCGCCATTGAATCTCCTGCCTCTGGAACGACAGAGAAGCCGCACCGACGGCATAACGTGCTCATCTGTAAGATTCATCGATAATGATATCGTTAGCTTTCACGTGAATCTCCTCATGTTCAATGTTCGTCTGACGATTGGCAACAATATAACGCAGAACCGATTTGTATTGATATATGCAACAAGTGTGATACTGTATGATCGTGAGCAAACATCGTCTGTCATAATGGGTATCGCATTGTGAACGGTATCGCAGGAATAAAGAGTGGGGATGGATGAGAGAGCGCAGAGGGAGAGAAGAACCAAGATGTAGAAAGACACATACAAGAACAAAAAACAAAAAGAGGATAAGAGAAGACTTGCGGGTTTTTCGAAGCGAGCGCGACGACGACGAAAGATGACAAAGAGTGGAAAAAAACTATGTCGTAATAGTTTTTGGGATTTGGCACGTCGAGGACGAAGAAAAGACGGAAATTTTGGTAGTAATAAGCGGTTCAGAGCCTTTTTGGTCGGGGGGGAGAAAACAGTTCTTGATGGTGATACAGCGTTGAGTTAAATATCGTGCCGTGTAAATGCGATGCAATTATGGCTCGATGGTCTTTGCTTCATTCTCTTCGTCACCGGGTGTGTGTGCGTAAAAGGCGGGGGAGGGGAAAGTCGACTAGTGCCGCGCCGCAGTCTGTCGTCGTCGTACTCGTTCCGAGCTAGCCTCTGAAACAGGTGTACTCGCACGCTTGCCTCGCGTTCGCGTACCTTCATGCGTCTTGCTACTCTTCTCAACACCAGACGCACCGTTTGTCGTAGGAGCCGGAGCAGGCTTTTCCTTGAGTGAAGCACGCTTGGTCGCACGATCAGCTGTGGCATTCGTTGGATGAACCTGCTTGGTGATCCGGACCGATCGTCGAGGCTTGCTGCTCTCCTCTTCTTCCTCTCCAGACGATTCAGCATCCGACGTCGGCGAGGGACGCGAGGGCTCTTCGACTTCAATGATCCGCACGCGTGGTCCATTTTCTGCACCGTGTGTGACGACTCCTCGTGGCTTGACGCGTCCACGCCCTCGTGCACGAGCAGCACGACTGCGCAACGAAGCGGCACTCTCCTTCTTCACATCCTCTACAGCGCCAGCACGTTCCATGTTCGACGACGATGTCGGGACAAGAGGATGATTGGTCGACTTGCCCTTGAGCGCTGGTCGACTGTCCAACGACGGCGGCGGCGCAGATGATTCGCTCTCCGAAACGGTAAGTTCAGAAGACACGCTGGAGACGGACTGTACATGGCGAAGATTCCGTCTCCTCGTCGTCTTTTCCGCAGCAGGTGCCGATGGCGCTGAAGGCGTTTGCGAAACTTGCTTTGGAGGCGCAGACTCGGACGCCCTCTTGCGCGCAGAACGAGTCGACATGCGGATAGTAGGCTCTTCCTCTTCTTCTTGTTCCTCTTCAGCCTCTTGTCCGCCAACATCCTTGTCTTCTCGTTCGACATCCGACGACAAGTCGACGACGCCCCGCGCAACTTCTTCCTCTTCCAACTCGTCATCCACACACATTTCCTGACTATCCCCTTCTTCCTCAACATCCTTGGGGAGCACCTGCGACCGTGGCGGGCTCTTGAGAATCGCCTTGAGAATCTCCTCTTCTTCAGGCTTGAGCGGTTCCTCCTCTTTGGGCTCGACCATCGTCTTGCCAAGCAACGTCGTCCAGGGCTTATCGTGCTCGCCCATCGGATCCGTCAGGGACATGATGTTCTGTTGCGCAATCGCTGCACCATGATGGACGCCATTCGCATTCACCCTCCCAAGCTGCACATTCGCATTCGTCACAGCATCAATTGGCGAAAGCGGGAATGACGCTCGAGCCGCCGCGGCAGCTGCAGCCGCTTTCGTCTTGAGCGCAAGCGGCGCGCCGCGGGCCGTCATCGTCGTAGGTGCAGATGGAGTAGGAACAACCACACCAGAGGCTGCCAATGGCAAATTCGCACCGGCCTCTGCCGCAGAACGCGGCGTCGTACGAGGGGGCAATGTCACGCTCACAAGCAACTCGTGCGCGCTGAGCGAACTCGGATTCGCAAATGGCTTTCCAAATCCAACTTGCTGTTGTTTACTCGCTTGTCGAGCGGTCAAAATGGCCTTGACATGCCGAATCGGTTCGGGAAACTTTTCGGCAAGTTGGTCCGCAAGAAACACGCGACGAATGTAGGCGGGCAAATCATGATAATTCTTGACGACTGAACGCGCCGTCGACAACGAGACCCATCCACCATGAATGACGCGCGCGCCCGAGTTGATGTAGACATGATTCGGCGGCAGTTCCTCTGCAGGCGGCGGGGTCGGGAGCGCAGTCGATGCTACTGCAGAAGTTCCCGACGTACTGGCATTGGTTGCGCTGCTATTGCTTCGGAAGCGAGTGGCCGTGGCTTGCGCGAGGTGCTGGGCGAGAGACATAATGGTCGAAATGTTTACATAATCAGTGTCCATTCGTCGAATAAGCTCGATAGGAGGCGAATCGATACGACATTGAAACACCGGGATACCTAAGCGAGCCAATGAGTAACCCAAACTCCGAAAAAGTCCAAAGGGTTGCTTACCGAGTAAGAGCAGAGTCGAGATCCGGACACCCGTCGGGAGCGTCTTCTGGAGGACTTGATTAAACGTGGGCGCAGACAAGCATCGATGAAGCTCGTCATCCGTCGTCTCATCGTTGACCAATGGGACCAAAGGCGAAGCCTCTTGGGGACTCGCCATGCTCACATCCTCCTTTTCGACACTGGCCTTTTCCTCATTCTCCGATACACCACCCGCAACAGAACAAGGTGCAGGGGTAGCAGCAAGAGTAGGCGTAGGAGCTGCAGGCGGCCACGGAAACATTCTCCAGCCCGTATGCGAAGGCGTGGCGAGCGGCGCGGCAGACGTCTCGGCATCCTCTGGTGTACCTGTACTCGTCCAGTCGGAGAATGCAGTCGAAATGACGGACAATCTCCGATTCTTGGTCGTTACGCCGGCCGCATGGGAATGTCGTCGTGCATGTCCACCATGACCGTGAACGCGGGACAGGTTATGGTGCTTGTTGAGCGTCGTCAGTGCGCTCATCGAAAGCCGAGGAGGCTTGGGCGCTCGTCCATTTGTCCCGAGGATGCGTGAAGTGACCGGGATGGGGAATGAGAGCGAACTGCGGTTGAGGCTCGGTGCAGACGTGCTGGGCTGAACCAAACCTGTTGCTGCTGTTACATCGTCTGTGACATCCGTGTACGTGATGCTATCGACATCGTCTGTGCTAACACTCTCGGGGCCTGGGATCGGCGCCCACGTCTCACTCTCCCACGGCCGCAGCAGGTCGACTTCGGATGGCAAAATAGGCGCAGGACTTGATGATGACGCCTCTGGGAACCGTGGGTCGGGACTCGTCGAAGGGTTTGGGAAAAACGCATCCGGGTTGGAGAGGAGTTCGTCTTCTTCTAGAATGGACAGACCGTCGGGAGAAAGACGAGAAGGAAACAGGAGCGGGTCCTCCTCCGTCTTGATCCACGGAGTCGGTGGCGGTGCGGAAATGGACGAATGTCTGGACATGGCTGCGCGGATCGCACGAGCAGTGACGAGCGATGGGAGAGGGAAAGTGGATTGGATGAATGGGGTGGCCGTGACGGGTGTTTGGAGCGCGGTAGCAGCCGACGAGTCGCCACCAGGAGGGACGAGCATTTCGAGTGGGCTAAACACCCCCTCGTCAACTTTGACGCCAGACCAATCGAGTTCTGGATGAGCAGTCATTTCTCCGCTCGGCTCGGTTGCAGGAGGCGGTGTGACGAGTTCCTCTTCCTTGATGTCGAGATCCAAAAAGTCTTCCGTCTTGAAATGAAGGAGTAATTCGTCGTCGTCCATTTCAATGGCGTCTACATCCAACTCTTCTTTGACCGCCTGGAGCTGTTCGTCGACGTTTGGACGGAGCATCGAATTGTGAAAGTCGTCATCGTCGTCTTCCGAGTCTGGTGGAGGCTCGCATGTGTCAAAGAATTGCTGGACAAAGGATGCAGGATCCAAGGAGGATAGCGAGGACTGACGATGATGGTGATGATGGTGATGGTGGTGGTGGCTTGGCTGCCTGCGATGGCCGGTAAACGTCGAGGCGAGGGCGGCTCTTGCTGGACAGGGAATTGCGATAGGGACATCGGCTGCAAGAAGCGTATTAAAGTCGTCGACGAGCATTTCCTCGTCACTGCTGCTGCTGCTGCCACTACCACTCTGTCCGGTCGAGCTCTCGTCGTCGTCGTCATCATCGCAGTCTGAATCGGAAATAGAGGGTGTCGGGAAATGAATTGGACGGGGACGTTTTGGAATGGGCTTGCGAGGGGGCAGTCGGAGGGTGATTCGGATCTTTGCAGGGCGCGTGCCATCGTGTGCCTCGTCTGGTGGGATTTTCCGCTTGAGGCCAGACAACGGCGGGGACGATGATGTGGTAGGAGGAGGGGCACTGGGGTCTACGGGCTGAGGAACAGAGACGCCGATGCGCTCAAACGGACAAGGTTTACCGGCAGCCCTTGACATATACCAGACGGTGGTGCCGCGTCGACAAGAGGCGAGCGAGGCGCAATAGACGGCGCCACCGATGCGCGCCTCTTCGTCTGGGGTGCCGCCTTCGAGCTTGTAGCTGGAAAGGAGTTGCGTCCAGGGAGCGTCTGCGTGTCGAGCAATGTGGTTGCGGATGTGTGTCCCAATGGCCTGGCCAGCCGCAGACGGGCTTTTAAATCGCAAATATATGGTAAAATATTTAAAAGGGGTCCGGGGGGAGCAAGTGCAATATTTCGGGCACGGTCAGCCACGTCGCCAAAAATCACGGAAAAATCAGAAAAAAGGACAGGGACATACCTGGTACGTAGATATCCCTGAGCAAACGCGGCCTCGCCTAGTTCCTTGACGGACATTGCGCGATTCCCAGCGCGTTCGAGGAGAGCAAAGACGACCGCGAGTACATTGTCGCTCTCATCTTCTGGATGAAGCTGGAGCGCGCGCGACACGACGGCTCGGAGGGGCCGGGCGTGTTGGACGAGGCCAGCAACGGCGGGGGCAAGGGGCGGGGCCATCTTTGGCTTTGGGAGGATGGAAGAGGATGAGGTAGGAGCTGTATTTGTGGAAATTAGAGATGTGCTGGCGAGTGTCGTCGCGGATGGCGTCGACGAGGATGCTGCAGAAAGCCGGGATGTTCTGGGAGCTCTTGGGACATCTGGGCGCATGAGATGGTGGAATATCTGGGAATATTGGGAATTATTTGCTAGTCGCCCGGGGCTCTGGGATCGTCTGCGAGCCCAAGCGAGGTCGTGGTCCAAGTTTGCCGCGTTCAATCTGGTACGCTCAGCCATCCTGCCACCACCACCCCCCGTTTGTGTATCGATCACTTGTCCCGTCACTTTCTTTCATGGGCCACGCTGCTTCGAAATCTGCAAAATCTGCCTCGGCCGCCGTGCCCAGAGCGCCTAAACCTCCAGAGAGGCCAGAACAGCTGCTTGCAAATCTCACAAAACTCGGCCAGGTCGCCGTAGACTCGCCCATGGTCCTTCAGAAAGTATGTAGATTATATGTACATTCATCTTAATAATGTTACTCTAGACCCACGCACAAATGACGCACATCGTCCGCACACGGGCCCAGTCTGAAAACACGACGCTCACCAACAAACTCGACGCATACGCCCTCTCACACCTCTACGACATGGCAAAAGACGTCAAAAATCCAGACACTCTCGCACAGCAATTCAAACTGGACCCACAAACCACCCGTAGACTCCTGCAGCGTTACAACTCGCCCTCGATTGGACGCACAAACCAAATCACACTCAAGGATGGAGAAATCAGAGTCTACAAGGAAGCTATCTGGGTCTAGATCTAGTGGTGTACTCGGCGTCTTGTACTTCTTGAACCCCTTCTATAATGGACATTTCCAAACTACACAAGACCGCCGGCGCTCAGGACGCAGATGAGAGTGCCGCAAAGGCACAGAAAGCCGCACAAGAGGAGCAAGCAAAACGAGATATGCTCGCCACGCTGCTCGAGTCAGACGCCCGCGAGCGCCGTATGTGTGACCTCAACGTCGTTGGAAAGTTTTAGTAACAGTCCATACATTTAGTAAATCGTATCGCACTCGTCAACCCACAGTTGAGCAACCAAGTCGAGCTCATCCTCGTTCGCATGTTCCAGTCGGGTCAGCTCCGGGGCCGCGTCTCGGAGAAACAGCTTATTGATCTCTTGGATCAAGCCGATGGTGCACAAAGTGGCTCTGCACCCAAAAAAGGGAGCATCGTCGTACGTATTTTTTCCTCATCACGCATCCAACTCCTCTGATCAGATTGCCAGTTTCAACGACGAAGGGATATAGACGACGACGATTGGGATATATAACATGTGTACATGGAAAAATGCTGTGGCATTTATGGTGATCGCGAACCCGACTCGACTTTTTCAATCATCTTCACTAGCAGCGTCTCCAAGTTTAACCGCGTGTGTTTCGTGACGCGTTTGACTGGGCTCCCACTCTCTGGTTTGACTTTTGCCCACTCTGCCAGAACCGCGCGGAACCGATCCGAATCCCAATGTGCGCGAACCAAGCGCACTGTAAGTAAATAATCATCTTGAAGATCCCCCTCTATCCGTCGTGCGTCGCGTACGACACCCTCCATCGACGTCTCCGTCCCGTGCTCGGCTGTGAGCAGCGCATACACGAGCACGTCTTTGAGTGCGGGTGATAATCGGGTATCGTGGGAGTCTGCCACGGCCTGCGAGAGATTGACGTCGTAAAACTGTGTCTTGTACCCGTCGACTAGGAGGCGCAAATACGACAGTGGACGGTCCAAGAGGAGATCCAAGCTATTCTATCGTGAGCGGCAGCCTCAATCATCCTTGATAAGCGACGTACAAGTTTCTGATACTGACATCCTCCTCGCCCTCGAGAAAGGCTTTGATGGTTTGCACATTCGACATGACCTCTCCATCTTCGACGACCCGCTCGTCCGTGAGCATGCATAGCCGGAAAGCTTCAATAAGATTTTCTTGTACCGAAGCGTCCATCATCCGTATTGCGTCGTTGACAATGCTAGCCAGACTACGGTGCTGCGTTGCGCTGACATACTCCTTGAGTTTGATCAAATCCGGCTTTGATCGCATGACGAGAATCTCGGTGAGAAGTGCTAGTCGTATGCGCGAGCTCGTCTTGGGTTCGACCACCTTGATAATCATAAGTATCGCAATACCCCGCAACAACCGATGCCTCACCTTGTTGAGTAGATATGCATCCCCTCCCAGTGCGCCACTTGCGAGGAGCGCCAGACCAGTCTGATAGCTGCCCGAACTTTCGTCGACAACCAAGTTGACGAGCTGCTTCTGTCGAGCCTTCATATATGCCGTCTGCAGTATCTGAATCTCTTGGGATTCCTATCGCCCATAAATTCCAACCCAAGCGACACCAATTATAAATTGCACACCTTTCCAACGAGGATTTTGATCAATTTGGCGTTATTGGTGCCCATACCATGACAGGCTTTGTAGACACCCTCAACGTCGAGTGTGGGGTCGTATGTATCTGATTTGGCTGGGACACTCCCCTTGAGGAGGATCGTGCCCGAATAGGTCGCGAATCCCTCTGGCTCGTTGACGGCTCGTCGTCTTGGGGCTGTAGCGATAGTACGGTCGGCACCTGGTGCACCACGGGGTTGGTACAATGGAAGGTTATCAGTCTGCAGCGCAGGAGCAAGTTAGTAGCGTTCTCGCGTCCTTAGTCGAGCGTAGTACTCACTCGGTGAGTCATAATGAGGAGTGGAGTGGAGTGAGCAAGAGTTTATCTTCAGCCCATCTCGCGCCTCGTATGCCTTTATGTAGTCCAAGGGCTTACTGATGGGCGCAATCCGGTGGACCAGCACACCAGCCGTTGTGGCGGTGTCACTCCAAAGAGGAAGTCCATCGGCGCCAGTCTCTCCAAACAGTAAGGGCAATCACGAGAACAAAGGAACGCGCGTCGTTTGAGCATGACAAAGAGCCAACCAGCAGAAATGCGCCTGACCTGAGTGGGGATTGGCAGATCGCTCCTGTACGTGCGCAGGCTGCGTTGATCACTCTCTCCGAGTCAATGCCAACTCATCGTATCCCCAAAGATAACCACACCTCGAGAGCTTGTCAAGGTCGATACGTAAACAATTGCATTCATAGGCTGTACTTTTTACTAATATCACGCGGTTTTCTTTTCCGAGTGCAGCGCCGACACTGTCAAACATGACCTCAATAACGTATTAACCACCACTTTCAGAGGAAAATGCACCACTTTTCAGCCAACGAGGCGTGGAGGCCGTCGCGGATTCTTAGCAGCACTGCATAACCTCGTTGCATCTGAACCAGATTCTGAACTTCTCCGGTGTCGGGAGGTCAAATTTGGAAAGAGCGTGGATACCGTCTTGGAGTGAGCGCGAACAAAAGGCTGCACATCTCAGGAGGTGCATGTGGCTGGTCTTGGTGCGGACATGCGATTCGCTTCACATGTACATTTGGCATTGTTCGCTCTATGTAACACCTCTAGCATATACGATAAAGGGTGATATCTTGAGTACTTTCATCAGCACCAATAATGTGTGGGACTTGCCCAGCAGATCGACATTAATGTCGACGCAGAATTATTGACAATCTACAGCGTGTGATCGAAGAGTGATCGTTAAATCACAAGCTACTGAAATGCTATGCGCTCTAGACTGCTTGCATGCCAACGCATGTTCCTGTCACATACATCCAATGGTTACACCACACAATCCAGATGCGGCCCGCCCAATCGCCAGTTGGCCATGCTCCAAAACAGCTTCTATGCATTGTTTCTGCTTTTCGATCCCCAATGGATAACAGTAAATGCGAGGAAACAGCGTGCTCTCCAACCTTATAACACGGCCGCCGGTGCTACTGAGCCGTGCACCCCGGGGTCGTTGATAAAGTATAAAGGATCACATAGACTGGCTGAAAATCAAACTTCTTATCCTCAAGGCTCCAACACGTCTCTACAAGCGCATGACCCGACGGGTGAGCATCACGATTGAAGAAACCAGCTACAGGACGTTACTGAACTCCCTACTAGCTACAGGCTGGCGGTCTTGAATTTTACCAGTCTCGTAATGCGCAAGATGTTGACCGCGCTGTGGCTATAGCGAAAGGTGGTTCTTCAAGGCGACAACCCGTTGACAAGCCAGAGGAGTGTGCCACTTACTTGGGCACCCCTCTCCTCAAAGGCGGCATTCCAGCCATGTCTGATGCATACAATCCTACAATAGACGTCAAACGCATCCACAGGGCCTGTCGGAGCACGGCCAATAATGTGAAGCTAACAAAAATCCTCGTCAGCAAGGTGGCTCCTTTGGCGAAATTGCATTGGGAGAGACTGATAAGATTATAGACTTCTCAAGAGATTCAAATGCTGCAAGTAGCTTGTATGAATAAGCTACAGAAGCCGCTCGTCGACCTGGTTGTCTCAGAGACTTCCGGTAGGTATCAGACGGGCCTTGCACTTCTCGCGAGCGGCGCATTGGCGGGAGATGCATACTTACTCAAGAAGGTAAGTCATTGGGTCTCTTCTATGTGGCCACAGAGGTCCTTATAATCCTCAGGCGAGTAAACAAAAGATGGATTCGCGTATTCGACTGGCGCTGCTCACCGAGATTCTCGTCATGCGATCAAAGTCAGACTTGATCAGACTCAAGGAATACGTGAGCGCAACGCAGCACCGTAGTCTGGCCAGCATTGTCAACGACGCCATACGGATGATGGACGCTTCGGTACAAGAAAACCTCATTGAAGCTTTCCGGCTATGCATGCTCACGGAAGAAGAGGTGGTCGAGGAGAGCGAGGTTATGTCGAATGTGCAAACAATCAAAACCTTTCTCGAGGGCGGGGAGGATGTCACGGTGAAGAAGCTGTACGTCATTCATTTATAGTCAAGATTCCTAATGACGATATCATAGCTTGGGAGTAATCTTGGGCTGCTCATTATCGCATCTACGTCTGCTTGTCGATGGGTACAAGACACGGTTTTACGGCATCAACCTCTCTCAAGCCATCGAGGACTCGCGTGACAGTAGGATATCGCCCACTCTCAAAGAGGTGCTTATACATGCCCTGCTCACAGCCGAACACGAGACGAAGGGAGCCATGGAGGGTGTTGTACGTGATGTGCGCCGCATAGAGACCGGCCTTCATGATGACTACCTGCTCACAGTACGCCTAGTTCGTGCACACTGGAATCAGGATCGATTCCGTGTACTCCTAGCAGAGTGGACCAAGGTCCGACCAGAGAGTGGGCACCCGGTCGAGCGTGTCAGGAAGCACACGCGGTGCGCCCTGGAGGCGCTATTGGTGAGGGTGATCCAAGAGGCTGAGCCGGTCCCTGCATCTTCATGGTTGCATCGTAATATTGACAAGTGGCTTTGAGACTGTGGACACTCGTCAAATACAGGTGACATAGAGTGGAGCAGCCAATTTGCTCTAGGAGCCTCATGCTGGCTCTGACTTGACGGCCCATCTATGCGTTTTATTGATACCGGGGATATATGGACCACCAATCCCCGTCATGGGCTATATTTGAATTTAGATTATGGCAGTATTTATAGCGGAGATTATGGCGTGGATTTTTCACTACTGACATAGTGGCAAATGTTGGTGTATATATAACTCCGATAGCAATCCTATGAAGGTCTCTATGGAATGCAATATCTTGACTAGTATATTTAGCCACCAGTTTCAACGAGGAAAGTGTATATATAACATGTAACTATACAAACGGAATCATGATTAGTCGGCAAATATCATAGATTGGAAACAATGAACCATGGACGCTATGGCTGTCCCTATGATCGCGACGACACACACTCGGCCTTTTCAATCATCTTGACTAATAGTGTCTCCAAATGCAGCCGTGTGTGTTTCTTGATGCGCTTGACTGGGCTCCCGCTCTCCGGTCTGACTTTAGCCCACTCTGCCAGTACTGCACGGAATCGATCCGGATTCCAATGCGCCCGGACCAAGCGTACCGTGAGGAGATAGTCGTCTTGAAGGTCCGCCTCGATGCGTCGTGCATCGCGCACGACGCCCTCCATACCCAATCTGGTTTCGTGCTCGGCCGTGTGCAATACGTACACAAGTACGTCTTTGAGTGCGGGCGATAGTCGGCTATCGCGCGATTCCTCGACAGCTTGCGAGAGGTTGACCCCGTAGAACTGTGTCTTGTACCCGTCGACTAGTAGCCGCAAATACGACAATGGGCGATCCAAGAGTAGCTCCAAGCTATTCTATCGTCAGTAACTGTCCTATAAATGCGAGTAAGGACTGACAAATTCTTTATACTGATATCGTCCTCGCCCTCGAGGAAGGCTTTGATCATCTGGACATGCGACATGACCTCTCCGTCTTCGACGACCCGCTCATCTGGAAGCATGCAAAGCCGGAAAGCTTCAATGAGATCTTCTTGTGCAGAGTCGTCCATCATCCGTATGGCGTCGTTGACAATGCTGGCCAGACTGCGGTGCTGTATCGCGCTGATGTATTCTTTGAGCTTGACTAAATCTGGCTTTGACCGCATGACGACAATCTCGGTGAGCAGTGCCAATCGCACGCGTGAGCTCGTCTTAGACTCGACCACCTTGATAATTATGAGCCACTGTAGCAATTCGCGACAGTCGATGTAAATACCTTTTTGAGTAGATATGCGTCCCCTCCAAGTGCGCCACTGGCGAGGAGTGCAAGGCCGGTTTGATAGCTGCCCGAAGTCTCTGAGATGATCAGTTGAACGAGCGGCTTTTGTCGCTTATTCATGTACGCTGTTTGCAGTATTTGAACCTCTGGAGAAGTCTGTCGATTCTATTAGATTTCTCCATGAAATCTCGCCAAGTAGTTCACCTTTCTGAGGAGGATTTTGATTAGTTTGGCGTTGTCGGTGCCCATACCATGACAGGCTTTGTAAATGCCTTCGACGTCGAGCGTAGGGTCGTATGTATCTGATTTGGCTGGGACACTCCCCTTGAGGAGGATCGTGCCCGAGTAGGTAGCAAATCCCTCTGGCTCGTTGACTGCTCGTCGTCTTGGGGCTGTAGCGATAGTACGGTCGGCACCTGGTGCACCACGGGGTTGATACAATGGAAGGTTATCAGTCTGCAGCGCAGAAGCACGTTAGTAGCGTCCTCTTTCCGTCAAGCGCAGTGCCTACTCGATGGCTCATGATGCAGAAGTATAGAAGTGTTGTGAGGAATGCTTAGCCCATCCTCGATGAAGTGCTCCTTTTTATACCCCCAAAGGCTTACCAATGGGTTCAGTGATCAGCCCGACCAGTTGCAGTTGGCCAGCGGAATCATGACGGGGTGGGATGTCAACCCTCAAAAGCGACCGATACATGCCCGTCGCTCAAAGGGATCGAGTCAATCAGGAAAACAAAGGATATGCGCCGTCCAAACATCAGAATCCCAACTAGCAACGGAAATGAAGACGTGGCGGACCTGGCGGATTGGCGGGAGTGAGCCAACCCCGTTATTCGTGCACATAGTCTCTAAATAAAAAATAAACAGACTTTGAGAAATAACTAGTTGGAACTAATTAGGACAATTCCCAACCAGAGACTGTCTCCTCCTGCGCCACCAGTCTCCTTCCGGATGTAACTCGGTGCAAGTTTATCAGATACGCCGTCGGTAACGTACCAACCAAGCGAATACACCTTAAAGACTGGTGTGTTCAGACATTTGCCAGTGAGGAGCAAGTAGGCGTCGTATGTGACCATCGTATTCTCATACTTGATGACCAGTTTAACAGACAAATGCTATTTTAGTGACGAATTATACACTATCGTACAATAGAGCAATAATGAACCAAAAATGAAATAATGTAGCCTACTAATGCCGATCACGAAGACATCGGAACCGACTCGGCCTTTTCGATCATCCTCACCAAGAGCGTCTCCAAGTTCAACCGAGTGTGCTTTTTGACGCGTTTGATCGGGTTCCCACTCTCTGGCTTAAGCTTTGCCCACTCTGCTAGGAGTGCCCGGAATCGAGCCGAATTCCAGTGCGCGCGAACCAAGCGTACGGTGAGCAGGTAATCATCTTGAAGGTCCGCCTCGATGCGTCGTGCGTCGCGTATAACGCCCTCCATAGTTCCCTCCGTCTCGTGCTCGGCTGTGAGCAATGCATATCCGAGTACGTCTTTGAGTGCGGGTGATAGCCGACTATCCCGTGACTCTGTCACGGCTTGCGAGAGGTTGACACCATAAAACTGCGTCTTATACCCGTCGACCAGTCGGCGCAAATACGACAGTGGGCGATCCAAGAGTAGTTCCAAGCTATCGTATCGTTAGCATCAGACCTTTGGCGATAGGATGAAGTACATACAACCGCTTTGTAGTAATAGTCTCCTCACCCTCGAGAAACGCTTTGATGATTTGCACATTCGACATGACCTCCTCTTCTTCGACGACACGTTCATCCGTGAGCATACATAGTCGGAAAGCTTCGATGAGGCCGTCTTGTATCGAAGTGTCCATCATGCGTATCGCATCGTTGACAACGCTGGCCAGACTACGGTGCTGCGTCGCGCTGACGTACTCTTTGAGCTTGATTAGATCTGGCTTTGAACGCATGACGATGAGTTCTGTGAGGAGGGCCAGTCGCACGCGCGAGCTCGTCTTGGATTCGACCGCCTTGGACAAGTATAAGCATACTCTGCAATCATGTGTCATGACAAATATCTCACCTTCTTGAGTAGGTATGCATCTCCTCCCAGTGCACCACTCGCGAGGAGTGCAACTGCCGTTTGATAGCTGCCCGAGGTCTCTGAGATGACCAATTGAACGAGCTGCTTTTGTCGCTTATTCATATACGCTGTTTGCAATATCTGAATCTCTTGAGAAGTCTACCCAGTTCATTAGATTCCTCTAGAAATCGCGTCAAGTGACTCACCCTTTTGACGAGGATTTTGATTAGTTTGATGTTATTAGTGCCCATACCGTGACAGGCTTTATAAATGCCCTCGACGTCGAGTGCAGGATCGTATGTATCTGATTTGGCTGGAACGCTCCCTTTGAGAGAACAGTACCCAAGTAGGTGGCATATCCTTCTGGCTCGTCGACGGTTTGCCGTCTTAGTGAGGTCGTTGTCGCTGTAGCAACAGCACTATCGGCACCTGGTGCATCCCGAGGTTGATAAAGCGGAAGGTTATTAGTCTACAATGCGATGTGAGGTCAGTAACATCCCCGGGGTCCCTCAAGCATTGTGCTCACTCGATGAGCCATGTTTAAACGAGATGAAGTGCTTTCTGAATATTCATCTGATGCTTTGAGGAGACTTTTATACCTTTCAACGGGTTAAGAGATTGGACCACCTGATGTGTCGGCTTCGTCGAAGTGGGCGTGCATCGCCACCTGAGATTCAACCAGCAGGCAAGCACGGGATTCGATTGGCCCGGTCAGCCTCTTAGAGCCAATTGAACCAATGGGATAAAACACAATACACGTTGCCTAGATGACAGAATCTAACTAGCCGGCGGGACGTGCCGACCAGAGGCGGAGGCGGCATTTTTATCATCGTTGGTTTCGCTCTTCAACTAGTGCCTTGAGTTCTGCAAGGCGCTCCTTCATGTTGTTCCTAGGGATAGTCAGATTTTCCTGACAACTCGCGGCTGGAATGGATGCGTACACTTCCAATAGTTTGGCGTCCAGGGCCTGCTTCTCCTCCTGCCATGCCAGCCTCTTTTCCGCATCGAGTTCAGTGCTATATTTGTCAGATATGACTTCGACGAACGTGTGAAACTATCACTCACAAAACGTATCCACCTTGACCGTCGTATTGGAGGATGGTGTGGTGATATCTACAAACCAGCAGTCAGCGATTGTGGGTCCAGAGGCAGACATTCATTGGGCTTACTTCCACAGCGATGGCCGATGACTCACGGTGAGCAACGTGATCCCAAGCTCTGTAGAATAATTAACCGTCTGTACCAGTAAACGCACAGAACACGCACGAGTTGCAGTCTCCATGAGGACTTGCTCCACTTCCAAGGGTACAGCAGACGTGCACTCATCCAGAATAGCATACTGTCAGAAGAGACGACGTCAGAAGAGGCGGTCTATCGATGGCGTGGCCAAACCTTAGGATTGTGATAGAACAGGCGAGCCCAAGCAATCTTCTGCTTGTCCCCTCCACTGAGGGTACTGTGCCACTCTCGCGCAGCGTCCCAGCCACCCTCCCGCTCGACGATATGGCCCATCTGCACCTTGTGCAAAATCTCGAGTAGCTTCGCGTCGGTGACGCCTCGAGCTGCCATCTCCTCTGGGGCATGAGGGTAAATCACCTATTCAGAGTGAGAACTCCTGCCCTAATCTCAGCCAATCAGACTCACCTGATCACGGAGCGTCCCGAGGGACAAGTACGGCCGCTGAGGAATCAAAATAAACTCTTCCGCCGGCGGTTTGCGTACGACACCGCCTGGGCGATATTAGCTTAGAAATCGCTCATTATCAAGAAAACGCACCGTATACAGGCCACAGACCTCCGAGGATGCGGAACAGGGATGATTTGCCACAGCCATTTGGACCCACAATCAACAGGTGCCGCTAGTTAGGATCGCAATTAGAGGGGTGCGCCATGCGGGAAAGGGTCTGCTTACCCCTGGCTTGACGTGGAAGCTGAGACTTCGTACGAGGATGTCACCATTCGGTGTAACTATTGGCACGTTCTCAAATTCAATCTCCTCTGATTCAAACACTTCGCCCCGTCCTTGCAGCACTGCGTGGCTGTCAGTCGAGATGAGATTGCGGTCAGGAGTTGCAAACCTTTTGCATTATCCTCGATGCTCGCACTGCTGACCAAAGCCTTTTCGTACTTTGACTTTCGAACCTCCTCCATCGTTTCAAATAGTTCGGATACACGGGCCGTATATCCAGCGAGCTCGGCGAGCTCTATAATAAAAGTCAGCATCAAGTGCGACATTATGTCAGGAACTTGCCCTTGTATGAATACATGATGCGACCAAAGGCGTCCGATGCTGAGAGTAGGATTCGTCGGTTGGTGACAAACCCTTCTGTTCGAGTGCCCAGGTCGGACGAAGAGATCCCAGGAAGTTTGAAGAAGACAGGAATGGCACAGATAGCCAACTATGAGCGGTGAGCGACCCATATAGAATATAGCATTGTTGGCTTACACCCATGCTACCCCAGAGCCATTTGATAATCCATTCTTCAGCGACACCGTGCCAGAGTCGGATTCGCAATACGCGCGACGCATGCATGACCAGCCCGTAATAATCTCTCTCTACAATAAGCTTTTCGACCTCTTGTCCTCCATAGAATGCAATTTCTTCCGATGCCTCTGCGAGTCTGGAGTGGGTATGTCTTAATGATCCAGCGAGCGCAGCTTCCTCTGCGGTATACGCTCCAAATGATGGAGTGATGGCGCGAAGGACGCGCGCGGATAAGTTGACGAATATGGTTAACAGCACAAGCGACTCAGCGCCTACGTTTTTGGAGAGTTGGTAGTTGTAGAGCGTAATATCCAATAGAGGTTTTGCGAGGTTGGAGTAAATGGCTGCAAGATGATTAGAGAAGCGCTGTATATCGACTGTGATCATCTGGTCCGGATTTTTGATCCGGTCGTCCAAGTTGGCTAGCGGATGGTCAGTACGGCTGTCGATATTGGGAAACTACGCACAGATCTTGTAGTATATCTTGTCCTGCGAGCCAACTTCCCCGAGATAGAGTTGCATAGCTCGCTCAGTCAGCCTCGTTCGGTAGGCCAGCGCGAGTTTGCTCTGGACATAGCTGAGCCAGCTGTTGCACCACGTCGCAGGGATGGCCACAAGCATCCATCGCAGAATATTGAGCAAGAACGGTACCGGCTGTGCTCGGACCAAAGATCCCACCACCCTATCAGCGAGTTTCAACGTCGTCAGCGCAGTCACGGACGCACAACCAAGCCGACTCACTTTCCGTCCAAGTTTGCAACATAAATGGATATTGCTGTTCGGAACACGAGTAAGCTCGAGTGCATGATCAAGAGCATGGCCTCCTTGGACTTTATGCCTGGAATGACAATACGGAGAATAGCTCGCAGTCGTTGGTAAAAGACGGCATCGACTTGAACGCGTTTGGGCTTGGTTGTCTCTGCTGCGCCTTGTCCATCCTTTTGCTTGCGACGAGACGACCCGCGCCCTTGGCCAGAGCCGCCTTTACCGCCTTTGAGCGCGATGTACGTGCCACCAAATGTCCATAGCACGAATCCAATGTTCAAAATGCGTTGTATGGCTGGTCTATGACGGCTGTACGCGGCCGTGAAGCGTGCAACATCAGGTTTGGAGAATACTGGCGCCATTGGTAGGCCAGAACGTATCTGTGCAGGCGACGAGGTAAGAGATTGAGGGGTGAGACGTCAAATCTGCGCGGTGAATGCGCGCTCGTGAAAGGTCGTCAATCGTTGTAGGGTTTAGCGATGCCGGATTCACATGAAGGTCATAGCCGGAGATGGCTGCCTCAAAGCTGGTAGCTAGAAAGACTTGGAAACCTCGCAAGAGAATGGTTTTATACTAGAGATAATGATATACATGCGCTAATACACGACCCGAGCACCAATGAGCGTTTCCCCTCGCTGACCAAATCTGAACCGTCGCATATGCAAATGCCGCACAAGTCTCCATGCGTCCGACATGGATTGCAATCGAATAGCCCATCGGGTCATCTCCCCAGACGAACTTTTTTTTGGTACCTCAGCCAATGCCCGTACACATCGATTGTACTCACACAAACACACGCTCGTATGCTTCTTCTGGCGTGCCAAACGTAGCAAATTTGTATTCGTGCAGAAACGCCCTCACGTCTTTCAGCTTGAACGATTTTGGGATCCCATAGATGACCGCTGTAGCCGGTGCGATGGGTGCGATAGGTTTCAAAGGATCTATTCGCGTCCTTTTGTGAAACTTTGGGCTCCTCGCATGAACGTAGCCTGCAATGGTGATCGGAATACCAGATATTTGTGCGTTTTTAAGTAAATCGGCTGCTTTACGAGTAAGAGACGGTGCTTCAAACTCGACGAAGGCTGTCCCTGTCTGAATACCCTTTTCCGACTCGATGTATGCTACACACTTGTGAGATGAGGGCTCTGAGGAAGGTCCAAACCTACCATCTCTGATTCCTATCGCGCCAGCACGTTCTGCCATTCGTCTGATGTCTCCTGGTGTCACCCAGTGCGGTACACCTTCCAAGCGCAGAGCGCGATGTCGTGTGCCAATTTCCCGAGCAGCTGCGGCAAAGAGGTTAAAATATGCCAAAGACGGTGGTTATACACGTTTACAACACCTTTTTGGAGGAGATTCCTGGCTGAGGACATGGTGAGGTCCAGGTATGTTGGCACAAATCGTACACTAGACTTTCGACCCGGACGCTCTGGCCGCGCCGCCGGACGAACGCAGAGGATGGATCAGAGAACAGCAGACTCGCTGTTTGGAACAGGAGATGATAGCGCAGCAGATTTTTTTGCAGATAATTCGGTGACCCAAGAGGAACCAACCGCCAGCGAGTCTCTGGAGCACTCGCACGATTATACTACAACTCAGAACTATGAGCAACATCAAGACGCGCAGCAAAGTAATACTTCCTACGACCCGTATGGCCAGCTCAAGTCTACTCCCACCGTTCGTAGCCAGACCAGTTCCCAAGGAATACCGCCAACGGACCCCTATGCGCCACATACGAATGGCTATCAACCTCAGGTATATACACCTTCAGTGACTAGCTCCCCGCCTTCCACGTATACCGCGCCGGCTGCCCACGCAAGTACAGCAGATCCCTATGCAAGCATCAGCGCCCGTCGTACGTAATCTGTTTTGGTCTATTCATGCGGAAAATGTGCTTATAATCGTATTAGCAACGCCAAAACAGACAAATTACAGCCCGTATACGCCAGCCCCAAACTACTCTCCACAGACATACGCTCCAGCGACGTCGTACGCGCCTCCAGCCAACGCGTACAATCCTCTACCGTCACTAGATGTCCCAAAACCACCACCACCAACGTCCATCGACGTTTCAAAGTATAGATCCACTCCCAACGCATATGACCCTCCGATTCGCACTACTCCAGTTGCAAAGCCAAGGTCTTCATATTCGAATGCGCCAGCACCACCCTTTGGACACAATCCAGCAGGCGCTCCATACCAGAGAGCACCGGCCAATCCACCGCCGTCTACTAGCCCCGGCTACTTTCCACCGGGTGCAGTGCATGGACAACCTCCGATGCGGAATACTCAACAGGCTCCTCCCCCACATAATTTGCCACCACTTCCTAGGGCTGGCTCGATTCCACCGCCCCACGTCGCCCGGGCCATGTCGCCCTATGCGCCCAATCCTAATGTGCCACCACCACCATCATCGGTACCCCCACCACCGAGACCTTCTAGTACGTCCTCCAATCGGTCGGTCAACAATTATGCCCGCCCGCCAAGTACAACCCCAAGTGCTGGGACGCATTCACGTCCAACCAGCGCAGCCTCTGTGACGCGACAGACTATGAAGAGCCCTCCTCGGGCACCAAGTGCAGCGACGCGTGTCTCGGAGCCTCTGCTCGCCGTCGCGGAATCCGAGTTGACGCCCAGACCCGAGTTTACGTACAATGAATCACTAGACATGGAAAGTGACCCCACACCGAGGGTCCCAAATATGACTGGTGCAAATGACTATCTTCAGGATCGGCATGTCGAGGAAGCTGGTATCGAAGAACCATATCCACCACCTGAAACCGACGAAATCGTCGAGAATTTACACAATAGGACATCTAGCAACGCGAGCAATGCATCTCAACCAAAAGCCATGGACCCATATGCTCCCATCCAGCGTCCTGCAAACACTGAGCCTGCGAGGAGTAGCTCGTTCACTGCTCCGCCCCCACCAGTACAGCATAGTGTACCCCCACCGGCACCTAAGTCAGTTCCACCACCACCAAAGGCGAACCCATACGCACCGCGTAGCACCATTTCGCCCCCGCCTCCTAAATCGGGCTTGACGCCTTCCAGCTCGTTCAGCGATCGCTATGGACCTGGCGCATCGCTCATTCCTCCACCGGCCCCTGCTCAGCCCATTTCCATGTTAGCCGCTGTGGACCCGTCTCCCATTATCGACTTGTCCCACTCTCCTCCAAATCAGCGAGTGCCAATCTCTCATGATCCGTATAATGCTGTAGGGCAGGCGAGCAGGAGGAGTACTATGAGCGAGGAGTCACATCTTGGGCTCACTCGACAGCCAGCACCCCCACCACCGGCGGGATACCATTACGCACCCCCGCCTATCGTCGCTGAACCGCCCATGCTCGGTAGCCCTCAATATGTGTCTGCACCTGCAGCCCCAGTGGTACCTTCTGCGTATGCCCCGTCCCCATCCCTTCTGGGCACAAACGATCCACTGGGGCGAGCATCCGTCCGTGTTCCCATCTTTAGCTTTGGCTTTGGTGGGCGCGTGGTTTCCTGCTTCCACAATAACCCTGGAATGGGCGCATTTGATGGAATGGCTCCAGGTCGGCCATCGACTGCCTTGACTGTCAAACTCCTCAAGGATGTCGTTCCGACGTCCGCATACGATGTTACCGAGGGCTCCTTTCCGGGACCTTTGTTCAATGATCAAGGACCTGGTGGGGCTACCAGTGTCTTGCAGACGACCGGTGCGGCGATCAAGGCCAAGAAGACTGCGCTACTACAATGGCTGGACAGCCGGATCACGGAAGCAGAAGGTGGATTTATGTATGTTGGGACCACTGGTGGCGAGGCAGGGGCAGCCGCAAAAGCGGAAGGGAAAGTGGTTTTGCTCAAATTGCTGAAGATTTGGGTCGAAAATGACGGCAAATTATCTGGAAGGTACGTTCCCTCGCACTTCATAGCCACTCAGGGCTAAGTCAGTGTAGCCCAGCGATCGATGAAGCCATTAAGACGACATTACTCGGACCTGCCTCGGAAGTTGGAACGTTGGGCGGTGCACCAGCCCCCGCATTTGCATACGCCATGAACGGCCCAGTATCTTCGGTTTATGGCGACGGGGGTCGCGAACCAGTGGTTGCTTCCTATCAGGTCAAAGCATCGACACTGGATCAAATCCAAGATTTGTTGCTTCGTGGAGATCGCAAACAAGCGTATAGAGTTGCCCTTGATGCACGACTTTGGGCACATGCGTTGTTGATCTCAAGAGGACTTGACGAGGAATCGTGGAAAGAGGTGGCTCACGAATTTATCAAGATGGAGCTGACACCACCTGCTGGAGCGGACAACTCGCTTTCAATTGCCGATAACCGAGAGAGCTTGAGACTTGCATACGGCCTGTTCGCGGGCGACGGTCCTGCTGCATGTGGGTGAACCTCCTCATGTGACTTATATCACTGACCTTGTTTGATAGTGAAACTCCTGATCCCACCGAAGCAACTTGGCATGGCTGTCCAAGGACTGGGTGGTCAATTCCCGAATGGTCCGCTATTGCTGGACCAACCAGCGACAGAGGCTACATCCGTACCCGACCACGTTTGGGTGCAGTGGAAGAAACTGTTGGCCGCGACAATCTCAAATCAGCCGCCAGGTAATACTAATGCAACGACGGCTTTGGGTGATTATCTGATGGCCAATAATTGGGTGGAAGCCGCACATTGCTGGTGAGTCACAGTCTTATCACGAGAAACTCTTCTCAAAATCCTTAGCTATATGCTCTCGCTGGGCACTTCTTTGTTTACTGGTGTCGGGGCGCCGGGAGTACGAGCGATACTGTTCGGTTCAGCGAATCCTAGTGTTCATCCATCCTTCCGTGCGGATCTCTCGTCGATCCTTTTCTCGGAGGTGGCCGAGTTTGCAATGTCATTGTTGCCCACTGTCAAGGGCCAAGAACCTTTCCATGGTGTACAGCACCTGCAGGCATACCGCTTCTGGCATGCGACATGTCTTGCGGAGATGGGAGAGATCACGCTCGCCAAGAGGTAACTACCTTGCCTAGAGCCGGGCAGCGGCTGACCATTCACCAGGTACACGGATGCCATTGGCGTGACTATGCGATCAAATACGCGAGGCTCTCCTTACTTCACCACGACCTTTTTGCAGCAGCTTGAAGAACTGCAAGACCGGCTCATTGAGGCGCCTCATGCAGACAAGACCAAAGCCTGGATTTCCAAGCCGACTGTGCGCTCTTTCAACAATTGGCTCACGGGTGGCCTGGAGAAGTTGATCCAAGGAGACGAACTTCCGCAAGGGGAAGAGGCATCACAAGGCAAAAAGTCTCTGGAAATCACTCCTCAAGTCGGACCGTTTTCGCATTACAGTTCGATATCGTCCGCGACGCCGTCAACACATCCGTCCCCAAGTCCATCGTTTGCCAACCTGCATTCAGCCTCGTCTTCCATTGGTCGTAGTGGCTCAGCGGCTGGTATGAGACCTCCCCCAACTCACGCTGCAACTCTTCCTGCTCCTCCACCGCCACCGAGGGCTGCGTCTGCTGTTGATTTCTCCAAGGGGCGGGCGTCTCCGATCGCAAAGCCTTCTTCAGCAGGAGCAGCTGTTACGTCGTTCCCGAACCGCTATCAGCCTCCGTCGAACCCCGTCATTCAAACGCCCGGAACGCAAAGCACAGCTCCAGAAGCGTCAGAGGATGCACCGAAACCGTTGTATGCGACATGGTGGGGAGAGAGTAACGACACGGATGGGGTAACGCCAACAGCGACTACATTCATGAGCAACGATGGCGACGCCGGCAACTTTATCTCGCTCATGGATACGGATCAGACTCTTGTGCCTTCTTCCTCGGCATCTACTGTGGGGAAAAATACAAGCCAAAGAGTGGAGATGGACGATGACCTCGAGGATTTGGGCTTTGGGAACTCGAAGAAACCAAAGAAAGAGGATGTCGACAATGATATGGACGGCGAGGCTGCAAAGAAGGATTCTCCAACCGCTTCAAAGGCTCCTACACCTGCTCCACAAGCAGCTCAACCCGCTCAAGATCCAGGAGCTGGTATGTTTGATTTAAAAGCCATTACTCAGTCTCACTTCTCGATAGCTCCAGCCAAGGGATGGTTTAGTTGGATTCGTCGTTCTGACTCAACTCCCAAGCCGGTCAGAGCGAAGCTTGGAGAGGAAAATGCGTTTTATTATGACGAAAATCTCAAGAAATGGGTCAATAAAAGGGTGAGGTTCTTGTATTTCATCACAAGATCGTACTAACTGGTTGATCAAGGCTGGAGCTGAGGCAGCGACAGGACCTAGTGTTCCTCCTCCGCCACCAGCACGAGCACAAACTGCCTCGCCCAGTCGTGCAGGCATTGCAGTCAACACGGCAACGCCGCCGCCACCTCGTGCAGCATCCGTCGTTCAGCCACCACCACCGCACTCTGGCCTCGCACCACCATCACGCCCCAGCTCGTCGCTCTCCGCTGCATCGACAGATTCCCCCCTCTCTGTGTCCGATTCGGCTCCGCCGTCACGAGGATCCCCTGCACCCCAGAGTGGAATGCCACCTCCGCCACGCGCATTGGGACAAACGCCACCCCCACCGTCTGGAAGTGCGTCTCCAGCAGGAAGCGTCAGGTCTGGTGCGAAACGGAATCCACGAAGCCGCTATGTGGATGTCTTCCAGGCGTCGTAGTTGAACCACGACCATAACCCCAAGTCCTGGACCCGCTGTTCTATATTGTTATTTTGCTTACACTACGCTTACACGCCCCTTGTTTTGACCAGTATTGCCAATACAGTCTCGCTTTTTGACTACATTGCTCAAGATTGATTCCATACACGGGTTTTACAAGTAGCTCCTATTCCATTCTGCATCATAAGATGGCTCGCCCTCGCGAACCCATGCCTTCGCTTTGCCAGTGAGAATGGCAAGGCGAAGAAAGAGCGAGCCGTCAATGTTCTCTGCCCCTTTCAGTTCTGTCTCCTTCAAATGACCTTTGGGACATTGACCCCATCGTGCCGCGTAATGAGCAAGACTTCGTTGGATTTTGATTAGATGCTCGTCTGGGTGACTGAGTGCCGATTGCAAGATGGCAAACCATGGGTTTTGGTTGATATGCGATCGGTCGAGTGTCGAGCTTGCTGGTGAGGGATCTGGCTGTGGGGGCATTGGATAGGATGAAAGTGGCTCCGCAAAGAATTCTGCAATGTCCCACGAAATGCGACCGTGACCGACATAGTATGTCAACGAGGTGGCGAGGAATCCGCGCAGGAAGAGCTTCTGCGACCGCGGCGTCAAGAGATCGTGGATGGACGATACGAACAAGCTTGAAGTGACGAGATGCAGCATGAAGAAGTTGGCTTGGAATACTTTGCCCTTCTTCCATCCCGAGAAGCCATAGATTGCGCATACAAGCCAGACAAGTTCTTCGTACTTTTCGGTGAACGGGCCCTCGGGGCTCCATGCGGCGTAATACTCTCTAAGACGATCCCCCGAGCGTTTTATTGCGTCTTGAAAGCGAGCTTGGGATTTCGGATCAGCTCCTTTGCCGTATGCAAGCTCGGGGTCGGCAATCAGACGCGCTGCAATACTGAGTGCATGAGGGCCCGGTCCCGGTGGGACCTCTTGCTCAAAGAACAAAGGAGGGAATAGTCCACCGGCAATGTTTTTGCTTACGGCGGTCATGGCCAGTCCTGAATGAAATAATGAGAGGGGATCTGTGCCGTAATTCAACGAGATGCTACCTTCTGCTGCGATTCCTGGAAGACCAAACTCTGGGCCATGCCCAAAGTGGATTAAAGGATGGACAAGCCCAGAGAAGAAACGAGCGAACATGTCTACACCTGGCTTATTTGCTGCCGGGGAGAAGACATAGGCTTCCAGAACTTCTGCCATTCCACGTTGTAGTATCTGATTTTGGAAGAATGAAAGATACCCGGGATAGTACCTGATCGCATGCTCAGTCAGCAATGACACTACGAGGTCGTCATTACCTACTGTGGTTGGGCGAGGTGCTTTGTCCAATTCTCCTCTGTGATGTCGCTCGGACTGGGCTTTAGCGCGCGTTGATAGTCGGCATGGAGCTTGTAGGCTGCATTGAGGAGCGTAGGAGTGCATCCGAGAGCAAATGCTGCCAACAAATGATGAACGAGGTGGCTAGACGTCCAATGAGCTATTTGCTGTAAACAGAGGTATCCATCTTACTTGTGAAAATTACTGTCGTTGAAGAAGCAGTGATACTTGATGTGATTAGCTCTCAGCAACTCGGCAAGAGTTTGCGTAGACTCGGCGGTTACTCCAGGCCACGGGCTTGGTGCCAACGGGGCTCTAGGAGCTCTAGGAGATGGAAATAGCTGCTCGAGCAGATTCTGTGAATCCATAGCCAAAGGTCGTCAGCTCTGAGGGGTAACCAGCTTCTTGACCTCTTGAACTACTTCTAATAATGCGGACAGGTCTCGCTGGAATCCTGGCCGCTGCATGCAGCATTTTGCACGCATTCGCAGCATCTACAGAGCAGACGCACCAGCTCCTCGTTGACCTCGCTGCCAAAAACGCTGGCATCGTCCCGCTCGACGCCGGCCTGTTTGAGAAAATCGTGGCTAAAGACCGCGAATGGAGCGTCTCGGTGCAATTCACGGCACTCTCCCCTACAATGAAATGCGCACCTTGTCGGTATGTACGCCCATGGCCAGCTGTCGCCCACCGCTCATCGTCCGCGCCTTTGCTACAGGGATTTTGCCCCTCAGTTTGCTACTGTAGCGAAAGCATGGAGTACTGTGCCCACGGAGCAGCGTAATCAGCATTTCTTTGCGACACTCGAGTTTACAGACGCGGTCGAAACGTTTAGACGTGTCAGTCAACCTTTTCCAAAATACCGCCTCGTAGACTAATGCAAATCTATAGTTACAACTGGTTTCTGCTCCAGTCATGCAGTATTATCCAGCTGCTCGCGGACCCAGAAGACCAGCAAACGGCAAGTTGGATCCCCAGCCTTGGGACTTTAATTCACTGTAAGTATATTCCGTCCATTCATTCCAAGGTTTATACTCTTTCAAAGCGGGTTCGATGCGGAGACAATGGCAACAGAGCTCTCCAAATATACACCAACCAAAATTCCTTACAAGGCACCGGTCAACTGGGCACTTATCACCACATCTGTATCTGGAGTGTTTGCATTCTTGTTAGCACTCAGGTTTATCCTGCCAATCTTGACCTCTCGTTGGATTTGGGCACTCCTCATCACCATCGCCTGCGTCGTTTTTACGTCGGGAATCATGTTTGTACGCATTCGTGGGTCGCCTATGACTGGAAGTGGGAGGAGTGGACCGTCGTGGATCGCTGGTGGATATCAAAACATGTACGGGATGGAAGTTCAGGTGCTTGCGGGCATTTGTGAGTTGTTTTATCTAGCAGACATTTGGTCGGTTTCTGACGTTTGATAGATGGAACGCTTGGATTCTCGTACTGTGCCCTCATCTTCCTCGTCCCTCGCATCCTCTCCCCCTACAAGCAGCGGCTGGCAGTGTATATCTGGTGTACTGTCATCTTCCTCTTATTCTCAGTTCTTCTATCTCTATTTGGACTCAAGAATCAAGGTACGTGATGTTGTTTACGCCCACCCGGACTGTTTACTGAGGCTCTTGCAGCCTATCCTTTCCGATTACTTATCTAGTCATCAGTCGAACATATTGCATGCATTTAGACCTGAATGACATGAGAGATCGCCAGCCTTCGGGGCCGAGGTCGCTACAAGCCACCCGAGACGGACGCATGTTTCATTTCTTCATCTGGGCCTTCCGTGATCACGAGCTTGTCGCCGTGGCTCTATTGCGTTGGCCGAGACTCGACGCCGTGCTCTCGTCGTCGGTGATTTCTGAGCCCCTGTAGTCCCCTGCGCGTCGACATTTGCAGCGTTTGGGCGATAAGGCAGACCCCCACTTGAGCTGGAATGAGCTGAGCGTAATTGCAGCCTTTGTGAGATGAGCGTAATTGCAGAATTGGAGATTGCCGGGACTAAACCTGAGAAGAGGGCTGGTCGCGTGTGGACTCAGTCAGGTGAACCAAACTTGATTTGCCCCTTGCACCTCTTCGTCGCCGTCTTAAACAAAATCTCTACGCGCCGTCACGAAAACGTTGTAATACGCCGCCTAGCTTGAATTCTACATTCCTCTGCGGTCACCACTACATCGCTCAGCGCCCGTCGACGCAAAATGTCTGGTCCGATCAATGGCATCAAGCTCTCTCGTGAGTCTTGAGATCTCTGTCATCGTCACTGTCGCTCATCTCGCTCCGTTTCCTGCTCGTTGTTGCGCATCCTCCGTCCTGCGCTCACGCCCCCCGTTGGCGCTGCCCACGCATGCTGTCCCGCGGCATACCAGACGACCCGACGCGTATTGTCAAAGTTGTCGCGTCAGATGGAAAGACGGGAGAGGCAAAGGAGATTCAGTACACGAATTGCAAAGTAATAGGCAACGGATCGTTTGGCGTCGTGTTCGCCGCACGCCTCCTCAACGTCCCAAAGGAAGAGGAGGAAATTGCGATCAAGAAAGTCCTCCAAGACAAGCGATTCAAGGTGCGTATATCCATCCCTCGCCGTCGTCGAGGATCGTGTCCCCGCAACTGCAACAGCCTCGCTGATACTGGGCGTACACCACCAGAACCGCGAGCTCCAGATCATGCGCCTAGTCTCTCATCCAAACGTTGTCGAGCTTCGCTCGTTTTTCTATTCCAATGGTGAAAAGGTGAGCTCTTGCCATCATTTGTGGCCCCAGAGGCCAGCCCAGCCCGTCGTTACTCATCGAAAACGTTCCACGCAGAAAGACGAGGTGTACCTCAACCTCGTCCTCGAATTCGTCCCAGAAACCGTGTATCGTGCCAGCAGACATTATGTAAAACTCAAGCAGCCCATGCCAATCCTCCAGGTCAAGCTGTACATGTACCAACTCCTCCGATCCTTGGCGTATATCCATTCCGTCGGCATTTGCCACCGTGACATCAAGCCTCAAAACCTCCTTCTCAATCCGCAAACCGGCGTCTTGAAGCTCTGCGACTTTGGGAGCGCCAAAATCCTGATTGCCGGCGAACCCAACGTCAGCTACATTTGCTCGCGATATTACCGCGCTCCAGAGCTCATCTTTGGTGCCACAAACTATGCAACGAGCATCGGTATGTCTCTAAAAGTATCGAGGATCCTCTAGCTGACATTTTTGCAACGAGATATTTGGTCGACTGGTTGCGTAATGGCCGAGCTCATGCTTGGACAACCCTTGTTCCCGGGAGAGAGTGGTATCGATCAACTGGTCGAAATCATCAAGATTCTTGGTACGCCGACCCGAGAGCAGATCAAGACGATGAACCCGAACTACATGGAGCACAAGTTCCCCCAGATCAAGCCGCATCCATTCAGCAAGGTGACATTATTGCGTTTTCTTGATTAATGTTTGCTGAACCGGGGCCGCAAGGTATTCCGACCCCGCACCCCGCAAGATGCGATCGAGCTCGTCTCAAAGCTGCTCGAATACACCCCGTCGGCACGCCTTACAGCGATTGAAGGCATGGTTCATTCATTCTTTGATGAACTCCGAATTGAGGGTGTCCGTATGCCCAACGGCCGGGACTTTCCGAGACTGTTTGATTTTACCAGGGAAGGTCTGTGTCGCAGTCGATGGCGCCTTGGAATTTTATTCGATACTGACGTGCTGCTGCTTCTTTCTCACAGAGCTCTCGATCCGCCCTGACCTCAACAGCCGCCTTGTGCCAGACTGGTGCCGACCAGAGCTTGGTGACAGAGGCATCGACCTCGACAACTTTGAACCGATACCCCTCGAGGAGCTGCGGATCACGCTAGACTGAGAGCAAGGCTAGTTGGAGCGGAAAACCGTCGTTTTGGAGACGACTCTGGCTCGAGGCCCGGCCAGGCTGATAAACGACGACATTTTTGTGACGACCATGACTGCCCGTAAGCGCTTGTAGTTTCTCTGTTGTCCCTCGCTCGTCCAATCACTTTTGCATGATCACTTAGCGCGCGGTATACGATTGCGAATTAACCCGCGGGAGAACTCTTTATGAACCTGACCGTGTATTGTCGGAGTTTTGAGTGTTTGAATGTCGCGCTTGAGTCTGGGAGAGTTGCGTGCAATCACGCTATCGACCACTTCGGTGTTTGTCTATCTTGGACCCCACCTTGTGCTTTGCGGGCCCATCCTCCACCAGGCGTCACCTCTGAAAGCCGATTCAATGGCTTCTGTGCGTGATATAACCTCGTCCGGGTTGCTCCAGGCTTCCCAGACTCCCTGCGACACTCTCCCCGTCCCACAAAACTTGTTCGTCGCCCGCCTGCTCGACAACGCAGACAAAACAGCGTCTCCCTCGTCTATCCCATCATCTTCAAACTCGGTTCCCTCTCTTACTGCGCCCGCGATGGTCGCCGGCGTTGCCCAAGGCAAGTCACCAGACCTTAAAGTCTGGAACCCACCACGATTGCTCATCCCCTGGCCCCAGACCATGAAATGCGCGACGAATCATCTGTAGCGTCTCATTCAAGTGACACTGTTCTCAGTACGCGCAAATTATGTGTGCGCCACAAGCGAATGGCAGACGAAGGAGCGAATGTCGCAATGCAGCAGGTTCGGACATTGGCTTTCGCTCGACCTACACCGCTAACGACTGTGTACACTAGAGTCTAGATGCTCTTCCGGTCTCGGAGAGAGAAGCCGTGAACCGAATCTGGTCCACGTTCAGCTCGTCGTCGCATCCGAGCCGAGCACTCATCCTCAAGGGCATTTTGACCATGTGCTGCTTCTCTCAACTCTCATTACTCTCACAAGAACTGCAAAACATTATCCGGATCGACCCATTCACCGTACTACCGTCGGAGATTTCGCTTCGTGTTCTCGGCTACCTCGACGCTATTTCTCTAGGCCGAGCAGCCCAAGTATCGCGCAAATGGCGAGGACTGGCTGATGACGACGTGCTATGGAAGGGCATCTGCGAGCAGCACATCAACAAAAAGTGCACAAAGTGCGGTTGGGCGCTCCCACTCATGAAGAAACTCCAAATGCCGGTGAGACCGTTTCGGGTCCACTCCGACAACAAGCGACAGCGACAAGAACACGATTCAATCCTATCGGCCAATAAACGCATCAAGACTTCCTCTTCCAGCTGCAGCTCCAGTCTGTCTGCCACCCCGTCCACCTCACGTGAATCAACGCCACAGCCCTCGACGCCCTCATCCCTCACCGAAATCCGCACTCGTCCGTGGAAGAATGTCTATTGTGAACGACTCAGGCTCGAGCGCAATTGGCGAAGTGGACGGTTCGTCGGCCGTACACTCAAGGGACATGCCAATGGCGTTATGTGTCTGCAATTTGCAGAGCGCCTCGCCACGGTCAAGTACCCAGTGTTGATTACCGGGTCTTATGATCACACGGTGAGAGTGTGGAACATGGCAGAAGGCAAAGAGCTCCGCTGCATTCAGGGCCACACAAGAGCCATTCGGGCCCTTCAATTTGATGAAGTCAAACTCATCACCGGGAGCATGGATTCCACTCTCCGTATCTGGAACTGGAGAACTGGAGAGTGTCTCAAGGAGCTTCGAGGACACTCGGCCGGTGTCGTCGCCCTTGCGTTTGACGACGACGTTATCGTCAGTGGGAGCGTTGATACCACGGTGCGAGTGTGGAACCTCCGCTCCCAAGACAGTTTCGTGCTACGAGGGCACCTCGATTGGGTCAATTCCGTGTTGCTCTGGGATGATCCGACACGAGCTGAAGCAGGCCATGGCCCCAATGCAGACCCTTTGAACATTCCAGCCGGCAAAATGCTATTCAGCGCATCCGACGACGGCATCGTTCGGCTCTGGGACTTGGCAAACCGTGTCTGCGTTCGTTCCTTTACTGGACACGCGGGTCAAATCCAGAGTCTCAAGCTGATCATGGTGGATCAATCCAAACTCATGCGACAAGACGAGTCTGTCCCTCGTGCCAATGATGGCTCGACGATTGGACACCCGTACAATACCGTTCCGTCTGGTCTGCCGGGATTCGCTCCGGCCAACCTCAGCATCCCGAGCCCGCCATCTTCTGATCACCCTGGCTATCAAAGCCCGCAGTTTACGCCACCCGATGGCTTTGACCCGACAGCATACCGCTCTAATTCCAATTCGCCGCTGCAAGACGCAGCCTACTCGCATATTAAGTCGCTCGATCAGGCATACGAGCTGCCCTACGAACCTGAACACTCGCGACCCGTCCCCGTCTTGATTACTGGATCGTTGGACAATACTGTTCGTGTGTGGGATGTCGAGACTGGTGGATTGATCAAGACGTTGTTCGGTCATATTGAAGGTGTCTGGGCAGTCGCTGCAGACAGGCTCCGCATCGTTTCAGGAAGCCACGATCGGACCATTAAAATCTGGGAACGCGATTCGGGGACGTGCCAGACGACGCTCGTTGGACACCGTGGTGCCGTGACATGCCTCGCACTCTCAGACGATAAAATCGTTAGCGGGAGCGACGATGGTGACATCAAGATTTGGGATTTCTCCCCTCAAGAATGAAAACTGTTGTCACATAGACTAATGTCCTCTGTAGTATATCGCTTTTCCGTTCAACACTCGGGTTTCCTTGTAATATGTATTAGAAGTATGACTTATAGATGCGACACCCCTCCCGCATATTTTCTTTCACTGCCATTGAGTCAAATACCCTACAAGACCCCTTGAGAATAATACTGAAACTGTAAAATTGATGAGGAAACGAATCACGATGCAAGCTGATTGCCACTGACCGAGTCGTACAACCTGGTCCATGCGGACCCTATGCTCGCCTCGATAAGCTTCTCGACGTGTTCTCCGACGAGCGAATGGGTAAGTGTCGGCTGGAACCGATCTCGAAGTCGTTGGGCCGTTTGCTCGCCAAATGCGGCGAAACATTGCAGCGTGGAATCTTCAAGAAGGCGCGTCAAACTACAGCGTTCGATTGATGTATGAAGATTACACACCCTTTTGCATCAGTTCCACGATGGCTAGAATTTCGGTGGTGTCAACAAGTGTCCATCATCTTCTCTGATCGGGAGTGTCGAAGACTTACTGATAATGCTGTCACAATGTTTGCGCGCGGTCTCGAAGCCGTGTCGAAAGTGCTCCTTGAACTCTTTCCACGCCTTTGAATCCAACCCTCCCAAGAGGTCAACGTACTACGGCAATACTTCGGTCAGCGCTTCGTTGGTGTTAGAGTCTATGAGAAGATCATACTTCGAGCGGCAACTTGAATGGTGCAGCTTCGAAACCGAGATTCCCACCGGGTGAACTTTCCAAAATGAAACCAAAGTCAATGTGGATAATATGCCCATCGCGGTCGAGCAGTAGGTTCCCATTGTGCCTATCTTTAATCTGCAGGAGATAGGAGATGACAGAGTAGCCTAATGCCAGTGAGCAGTCGTCACCGCATGGTGGAAGTACTCACCGGCCAGCGAGACTGCAAAGTTCTTTTGTGCTCGCGCAAACTTGGCCGAAGACGGATCCCCATAAGTCTAAGCCATGAGACTATATCAATCGAATCGCTCTCTGTCTCACCGCGATAAAGTAGTCTCGCAAGGAGACGTTTGTAAACCTTCCTTCGACCAACCGTCTGGCATACTCTGCCTTCTTGATACTGTGTATTGACACTGCATCCGTAATGGTTTCAACCAGACCAGAATTGCTTCCCATTACGAGTATGCGGAAACTGGGGGCGATCAGCTATCGTTCGGACCGTCGAATACACGTACTATCGAACCCAGCATTGACACTTTTCCTCTCTCCATATACGACTAAACTCTTGTATCAACAGTCCAGCTAACTGTTCCTGACGAAGGTCGGCTCCCGTTTTGACGATTACGGATATGCACTGTCTCACTGTCAAAATTTTTCATACCTGAACTTGTTTACGTACGTCCCAGTTGGCGAGATGCCCATATTGAGAGGATGCTCTCACTCTCGCCTTCTTCAACGCGAAAGACTCTTGAAATAGTGCTGCGGATGGGTCCAACTTATTGAGCTCGCGGCGCACAATCCCTTCATCTTCTGCCGTCTTGCGCGTATCTTGTGGTGAGCTCCAGGTAGGGTTGTCGGTATATTGCATTCGAAGCATGCGTTCTTCTTCAAGTGCCATCATCTCCTCCATAATTCGCTTCTTTATAGCCGCTGCTTCAGCTGGTTGTAGGCGCATTCGCAGCTGAGATGCTGGTACCGTTGTGCCATCAGTAGTCTGCTGCGAACTACCTCTTATCCATCCAGATCCAGGTATCCAGCTCAGAACACCTGAGGTAGACTCTTGTGCCGGTATCTTCTCTCCAAAGGCACCCGTTACCGGTTCTCGTACGACATTCGCGTTGAGTTGCGCAAGCATAACGGCCGCTGCCTCCATTCTGTTCGAATAGTCATCCAAAGAGAGGGGCGGATTCGAGAGAGATGGGTTCTCTGCAGAGGGATCGGGAGAAACTCCTGGAGATGCGCGAAGCGATAGAGAGTGGCGGACCCCTTGATTAATATGCGCAGGAATGTGCCCAGAACTAGATGGGCGCGGGGTCGAGGGGTTAGAAGAGCTTCTCCTTGACCAGTTGGCGACATCGAGCGCTTTGTTCTTGGGAGGGACAGGTAGCACAATCGAATCCGTTAGGTTGATGTCAACAGTCTTCACTGAGAGATTGGTACCGTAAAGTTGTTCCACCAAGTCCACCTCTTCATCAGCATCGTCCAGCGCACTCTCCCGTGAAAGAGGTGTTGGAGGCACTATGGCACCAAGCTCGAGAGCGTTTACAGAGGAGCCAATGAGCGGTGTCTAATCGCTTTTGTCAATTTGATCATATATAAGCAAGTCGATACGAACCGGTCTTAGGGACTCTTGGGCAATCGATACCGGCGAGATTTCTCGAATTGGCGAAGGTCCACTCTTCTGAATGGTCATCAATAACTCTTTGTTCACCGGAGTGGCAGGGTTAAAATCCATGTCTCCTCTCAGAATCTCGACCAGCATGAGATACGGAGCCCGTTCCGCCGAGTTCAAAACGACACTCTCTGAGGGAGGGATACGAACGATTCGGTGATGAGATTGAGTGTCTGTGTCAAAGTTACCCTTCTTCGGATAGTTACACCAGAGTGGCAAGCAGATCTGACCAGCCCATAAGCCCAATCTCTGGGCACCAGTTTGCACTCACCTCTGCCGGGAGCTGGTGGTTCAGATTTGTGAGTTCAGCTCGTAGGGCACTCACTCTTGCAGGTTTTGGTATCACAAGCAAACGATCGCTATTCGAAGTGAGCTTGGTTAGTCTTTAAGAAACGAGACTCACGAGATGGCTGAAAGAGTCTGGAGAAATTGTACTTCAGAGTGGAGGTAATGGCTCCTTAGCAAGCGCGACTGATACGCTGCCAATTGAGCAGGACGTGGGCGAAGCATAGGTTTTGCAGGTAAATGGAGATTCGGAAGGGAAGGTGAAGATGCAGTAGGGCGAGTGCTAGCTGTACGACGATGTGATATCCGTGGCTCAGGCTTGTCGAGTTTCCGCAGCGAGCCCACTGTATTCCGTCGACTAAGGGTTGGTGAAGGTGGTGGATTGAGAGTACTCGAAGCTGAAGATTCGGCTTTCGCAGCCGCCTCCCGTGCTGCAATCAACGCTCTGCCATAGGCTTCGACGTCTTCCTCTGATTCCGACTGCTCTGAGTCGGAATCTCCCTCGCTTGGACTGGCTTCTGGTGGCATATTCTTTTGGGGTGTTTCGACATTCGCCGCTTGGGTGGTCGTTGGCATACTTCCCGTGGCCTCTGGGGGAGTCTTTGGGTCGACATACCAACCTTGCTCGACTGCTGTCTGGCCAACTGTGTTTGCAGCAATGGGTAGTCCAGGACACGATGCAAGGACGACTCCGATGCCGACGAGAGCGGGCAACATGTGCGGCTTGACCTTTCGTCGCGGAAGTAATGGGAGTAACGTGCCGTCCGATGGGTTGATCTGAGAATACGGTTCGGCATATATGATGTGCGTGATCGATTGTAGCACCCGTGAGCAGATTGCAAATGACTGGGTATTTCGTCTAGTGGCGAGATCATTCAGCGACGCCTGTAGAAAGCACAGAGTCTACTAGATCTTTCAGTTAGATTCACACAAGGATGTGGATCAGACTCACGAGTAGCGCAAGCACAGTCGACTCCTGGGCCTTTCGCAAAACAAACGTCTCCAGAGCGGCACTCTGTGAGGGCCGCGTGACTAGCAAATGACTGGAATTGCCCATAAATTCGAGAGAACAGAAGGAAAATATAGAAATTACCAGATCAGCATCCATGTTTCCGCGAGCTCGTCTGTCGGTACTTGGTCCAATCTGTGTGTCAAGTAGTGCGTGATGCCTACATTATCCGAATAGTTACGGATATACTGAAGAGCCCGATAAACAGAAAAGAAACCAGGCGCAAGGAACAGCCGTAACAACAGGTTATGTGAACTCATTGCATGAAGGTCCAAGGTAACTTGCTCCTGGCCACCACTGAGTGGAGGGCTGTTGGCTAGCAAACGACAAGATTTTAGGTGCCTTTCTACTCGTTCAAGCGTCTATTACCGCGAGATCACGGCTCGACACGCGTTTGGCGCGGGCAGTTTGCGCGTTCCGCTGAGCAACCAGGCGATCATCCACCATGTCCAACAATATCAAGGTCGTATGTCGGTTCAGGCCGCCAAACTCGATCGAGATGCGCGAAGGAGGCGACATCGTCGTCTCTTTTGACGACAGCTTCAAGACGGTCCAACTCAAATCGGCCCAACTATCGACGGGACCAGAGAAGGATGGTTTCACTTTTGATAGAATCTTCCCTATGGGCACAAAACAGATCGAGGTGTTTGATTATGGCGTCAAAGGGTGTGTATTGCTCACTGCCGTGGAGTGGCCACAAGTCTGGCTAACGCTAGCTTCTTCTAGAATAGTTAAAGGTGATCCTTGATTTGTTTCATGAGCTCTCAGAGTCTTACACCCTTCTGATAAGACGTTCTCGATGGCTATAATGGTATGTTTGTAACCCCGCCCCATCGTTTATGCTAACGCGTGCATACAGGGTAATCATCATTTAAATCCTAACACAGGTATCCTAAAATATCTGCAGAACCGTATTTGCGTATGGACAGACGGGATCCGGCAAAACTTTCACAATGATGGTGTGTCCCCTTACTTGGACATGTGAAAGAGTTAGGATTAACGGCTCTCAGGGTGCCGATATTGATTCAGAGGACCTCAAAGGCATCATTCCGCGGATAACGGAACAGATCTTCGCCTCAATTGCAGAGTCGGATCCGAATCTGGAATATTTGGTCAAAGTTTCATACATGGAAATTTATCTTGAACGCATTCGCGATCTGTTGGCTCGTAGGTGCATTCCATGGAACCTACCCGCAGACTGACCATGCGTTGCAGCACAAAACGACAACCTGCAGGTGCACGAGGAGAAGTCCAAAGGCGTTTACGTCAAAGGACTCTCAGACTACTACGTTAGTAACGCCAGAGAAGTTTACGAAATCATGCGACAAGGTGGCGCAGCTCGCGTTGTGACAGCTACAAGTAAGCGGAAAGATATGTCAACCAACTATGTTAAACTCCTCATCAGACATGAATGCTGAAAGTTCAAGATCACATTCCATCTTCCTTATTACCATCAACCAGAAGAATACAGACACCGGCGGTGTCAAGACGGGCAACCTTTACCTCGTCGATCTTGCTGGTTCGGAGAAGGTTGGAAAGACCGGTGCCACTGGACAAACACTCGAAGAGGCCAAGAAGATCAACAAGTCTCTATCCGCGCTTGGCATGGTCATTAATGCTCTGACGGATGGCAAAGTGAGTACTCACTGATCTCTATATTCGATACTCACGATCTATATAGTCTGCACACATTCCCTATCGAGACTCCAAGTTGACTCGTATTCTTCAAGAATCACTGGGTGGCAACTCTCGTACAACCTTGATCATCAATTGTTCGCCATGCGGCTACAACGAAGCGGAGACACTCAGTACACTACGCTTTGGTATTAGAGCCAAATCTATCAAGAACTCGGCTCGTGTCAATGCCGAGTTATCACCCGCAGAGCTGAAGAATTTCCTCAAGAAGTCACAAGCGGCAAATGCATCCTACCAACTCTATATCGCAGCCCTCGAGGCGGAACTCGCTGTCTGGCGTTCTGGTAAACAGGTTCCTCAATCAGAATGGACATCACAGGAAAAGATTGCTGCTGGCGGTGCTCCCATCAAGAGGCCCACATCGACGACTCCTTCGACGCCGGGTCGCTCGATGACTCCTATCAACCCAGCACTTGCGGATCTTCGGTCAGACCTAGACTCTCGACCCCAGACCCCAACGGCTATTGGATTGGACAAAGACGAGAGGGATGAGTTCTTGAGGCGAGAGAATGAACTCAGTGACTTGCTTGCGGAGAGAGTACGCTTCTGATCTCGCATAATCTGAGCCATTATACTGATTTATATGACAGGAAAGCGCATTGAAGATGCAGCAGAAGCTCGTCGCGGATCTCAAAGAGGAACTCGCGTTCTTGAAAGAGCAAGAGGCATCGACATCGTTGGAGAACAAGGCCATGTCAAGTCAACTCAACGAACTTCGTCTCCAACTCGAGAGATTGGACTATGACAGCAAGGAGAGCGTGATTGCGATGGACATTCTTAAAGAGCAAAATGCTGATCTGAACAACGACCTCGAAGAACTCAGAAAGACGATTGCTGAGCTTCGACTCAACCAGAAGGATGCCGCAGCGGAAGACAAGGAGAAGAAGAAGGCTGAGAAGATGGCCATGATGATGGCAAAGTTCGACACGGTCAGCCGCATAGTCTTCTCCTCAAAGGATGCATTCATCTCCGCGTAGCAGGGTGCTTTCTCCGAGAAGGAAGAGCAGCTCCGCGCGACCCTGGCGAAGCTAGACTCGGAGACAGCCGGCAATCTGTCCCCGGATGATCTCAATGTCCTCAGAAGGCAGGTAGGAGAGCAGCAGCAGTTTGTGCGTGAGACTCTCGATCGCCTTGCTCAGACCCAAGAGGAGAATGAGCTTCTGAGCCGGCGAAGAGACGAACTCGAGCAGCGACTGCAGACACTCGAAGTCGAATACGAAGAATTACTCGGTGAGATGGGGCATGTCCCCGTGTGGGGTGATATTGATTGTTGGCAGAGAAAACAATTCATGATGAGGCCGTTAATATTGACGGACAAGCCGAGTCAATTCAAGAACTCAAGGTATTGATCGCATTAGCCAGGTCGCTCAGTGGCTGAAACTCTGTCGCCTAGGCGAAATTGGAGGCACAATATGTCGCTCGCCAACAGGCCCATACAGGGGAAGTGCAGGATCTCAAACAGCAGATTGACCTCAAGGCGAACGAGATCCGGAGTCTCAACGCGACGATTGACAATTTGAAGGGTGTCAATGAGGAGCTCAAGGTCCGTCTGACTAGTCGCTCGAATGTCTATTCCTGAATCTCCGCTCTGTTAGCGCGCGTTTGCCGTGACGTCGGCCGGTATCGAGGGTGGCAAGAACCTAGCAGAGAGCGCACAGGACTTGGAGCGAACACGAAAAGCAATTGCGGTTCAACTAGCCGAGTTTGATGGAGTGAAGAAATCACTGATGAGGGATCTTCAGAATCGGTGCGAAAAAGTGCGTGAATGGCTCCCCGAGCCGACTATTACTCACACTTCACAAGGTGGTTGAATTGGAAATCCAATTGGACGAGATTAAGGAGCAATATGGCAATGTGATCCGAAACAGCAGCAGCAAGACACAGCAGAGGAAGATGATGTTCCTCGAGCGCAATCTCGAGCAACTGACGCTGGTGCAAAAGCAGCTCGTCGACCAGAACAGCTCGCTAAAAAAGGAGGCTGGAATTGCAGAGCGCAAATTGCTTGCGCGGAACGAGCGAATCCAAAATCTCGAGGCGTTGCTGCAGGATGCCGATCGACGACTTGCGGCTCAGAATCAGAAATTCGAAGCTCAATTGCAGGCTGTCCGAGATCGCCTGGAGCAAGCCCGATGTACGTACCCAACTTTCCCTATCGCGGGTGGCTGATGATCGGCGTGGATCAGCGCAAAAGGTGGCCAATGCATCGTCTCTCAACTTTGGACGGATCGCCAAGCCGCTCCGAGGCGGCGGAGGTGGTGGAAACGCGACAAATACAGGCCCGCCGCCAGCACCTTCTTCTGGCAGCGGATACAGCGGAAGCGGAGCATCGGCGAACCCGTTGGCGAGGCTACAGGAAGATGGGAATACGAGTAAGCCTTCTCTTCTTCTCCGGGCTGAATAAGAGTCGCTGACGGGATGGTGGCTTGCAGGCAAGCGTGCGAGCTGGTTCTTCAGTCCACAGAGAGCATAGATGTATATAATCGAGATCTGGACTTCTACGCATTCTCAGCGATACGCGGTGCTTCTGAGGCGCGGAGAGCGCAAGGCACGACGGGGGCGGGAATGAATTGCAACCCCGACGTGGACGCCCGCCATCAAACGCGTCGCAGCGTCGGGGCAAAGAAGGTTCGAAGTAAATGACTTCTCCTTGTTCCCGCGTATGGGACAAGCCCGAGGAGTCGTGGGTGCGTAACAATCAGAAACAGTTCCCCGACGGACTCAGCCAACGTCATGCTCCGCCAGATGAGCGATATTCAATGCTTCTTTAGCACCCTTGTCATCGCTTATGCTTGCTGTTTCTTGTTTTCCGTAGTGTTTCACTATCCTCGTCTCTCCCGCCTTTGCTCTCTGGCCTTCAAACCTGGGCCTAAAGTCCTTATCTTTATTTCTTCTATTCGTTTCAACCCATTTGAACCCTCTTCCGCCCGCGTTTTGATGAGACGCCACTCGTGCGCATAGATCTACGCGTATTTGAGCCTTGAGCCTATCAAAAAGGCCCCAAAATACGTTCAAGGTTTCAAGAGGTTACTATATCTTCCCCGTAGACACCGTGGTCGTGCCGGCTTCCACCCCGCCTTGGCCCAAGATTCGTTAGCCACTGACTTGCTTGACCCGTGGGACTTGCAAAGCAATATTTCCGGTCTCAAACTCTCACACAACCCCAGAAAATGGCCACCAAGGCTCTCCCTCTTTCACATTCCACGACGCACTCTCCTGCTGGCTCCCCCGGCTCGTCTGTGCGTATTTTCACTAGATGTATTACCCTAGAGTCTGAGTGCTGACACACCCAACCACAGGCCAAAACACACAGGAAGCTCGCCTCCTCGAGCCCGCCAAACGCCTTTGAGATCGTTGGCCTCCCGAACAAGCGCAAGTCCTGGCAGGTTGGTTGATCCTTCTTCTAATGTTTTGATTTCCCTGCACCAACCGGTTGCAAAAAGGCGTATTCTCTGACACTGACTGTTCTTCCCTGGCAGACATCCGATGCCACGCTCTTTAACCAAACTTGGGCTTCAACCACACAGATCCCCGAGTGGACGACGGAGGCTGCTCCTGTAGACGTGTGGTCACTCTCTAGCGCCGTGGATGCGGACAGCAGCCAAATTGCTGCGACCCGCTCATTAATGTCAAAAATCGCTCCAAATGTTGGTGATGAAGACCACCTTCATCCGATAAGTGTACGCATTCTTGTTCCGTCACTTACGGAAGTGACCGTTTATTCACTCGTCCCTCAGGCGTTTGAGGATAAGTACAGTCCAGCGTCGTCCGCCAGGAATTCTGTTCATACCGTGACTACCCCCTCACTGATGGGCTCCGTCGATTCAGCGCAAGACCCGTCGGAATCTGTACTTGACGCCACGCCAGACAGTTCGCAGTTATACGCGCCCTCCTCATCGTTCCATACCATCGCTGGGACACCAACCCACGGCGTCTCTCACCACCAATCTCATCACCACCAAGGCTATCCGCAGCTGACACTCCAGACCGCTCACTTGCCACAATCGCCGTCCGGAGCCTTCGGCGCCCACTACCACAACAACAGCTATCCGGCCTCGGGAGAATATCGATATTCGTATGAACAGATGTCGTATACCTCTCCGACGCAATCAATGCACCCACCCACCCTTTTTAGTCCCGTGCTCGCGCATCCTCCCCCTCCGTCGGCAGCACATGACTACTTCCGTCGTGCGCAGCCGCCTTCGGGGCCGCAAGCATTCTTTTCGGAATTTATAACAAGTCCAACAATCGCGAGCATGCCCACACCCGGTACAGGCTTCTATTATGCGACTCCAAGCCAACCTGTCAACTGGAATGCGCCGCTTCCGCCTATGCCCCCCCATTTACAATCTCCTGTAGTCGATTTAGGTGGGCAGAGACGGTTTAATTCCAATCACGTAGGTTTCCAAGCTACATTTCGCCGATGAGGGCCGTTTCAAATTATAGACTGACGGGCTGTCCTCGTATATTCTAGGGTTCATCGCATGTGATGCTTGCTAGTCAGCAGTATCATCTTGTCAACGGTATGGTGCGCCCACAATCGTTCCCACCATCCAAATCGAGCGGGCCCTTTGTCGGACACCAATCCAATATCCCCAACCCAGCCGTCAAGTCTGTTGCATTACCTCCTCGGGGGCGACATAATTCGAACAATCGTCCGTCGCCCACTCCAAATCTACCACAACAGACAAACCATGCTGTTAATCGGCATGTGCGGCGAGAACAGCGTGAATCGGTTCCCGTCCATCGGAGCACCGTTCTCGAAGACTTTAGAAACAACAGGAACAAACGGTGGGACCTCCAGGTATGTACTGGACCTTGTCGACTTGCGCACGCTTATTGTGATGCAGGACATTGCCGGTCACGTTGTCGAGTTCAGTAAAGATCAGCACGGAAGTCGGTTTATCCAGCATAAGCTGACCACGGCCACTGAGGCGAACCGTAATATGGTTTACCGTGAGATTATCCCCAATCATGTCATCTCCTCGGCGCAGAATGTGTTTGGCAATTATGTGGGTCACATTAGTGCCTCGTTCCTCTCGGCGGTCTGACTGCTTACAGGTTTTGCAACGACTGTGCGAACTAGGCACACCGGAGGAAAGAGCATCAATCGCGCGAACGCTCCAGGGGCACATAGTCATGCTTTCTCTTGACATCTATGGATGCAGGGTACTCCAAAAGGTAAGCATTGTATTCTATCTGGGGCTTGAAGACTGACAAGGCGTCCATAGATGATTGACTATCTGGGCGCGGCGGAACAGGCACACTGGGTCGCCGAGCTCCATGGCCACATTTTGCAGTGTGTGAAAGATGCCAATGGGAACCATGTGAGACCGTGTGACATCCCGATCCCTACGCGCTTAACCCGCCGATCATGCTAGGTCATTCAAAAGTTCCTGGAAAGCCCATTGTCCGATCACTCGCTATTTGTCAACACCTTCAAGACACATGTATTCGAAATGGCAACGCATCCATATGGCTGTAGGGTGTTGCAGCGATGCTTTGAGCATGTCGAGCCCGAGCTCACGAGGCCACTGCTCAACGAAATGCACCTTCGGACATTAGAACTGATGCAGGATCAATATGGGGTGCGTATTTATTTATTCACCTCCACATGCAGCCTCATCCTGGCATTCAGAACTATGTCATGCAGTTTATCCTTGAGAAAGGGTCGTCTCATGACCGTACTCGAGTGATCCAGGCATTGACTGGTCATATGCTGCCCATGTCGAAACACAAATACGCCTCCAACGTCTGCGAAAAAGCGATCCTCAATGGCACAGTTGAGCAAAGGCGGCCACTTATTGAAGAGATTAGCGTGCAGCGACCGGACGGCATGAATCCTATCATTACCATGATCAAGGATCAATTCGCGAGTGAGTCACTGAAGCAATAGAAAGACTCGAATTCACACCTGTGCAGACTATGTTTTACAGCGTGCGCTCGAGGTGGCCGAAGGCAAACCTTTGGATGCATTGTTGACCGCACTCCGACCACAGCTGCACAATATGCGACGATACGCATCATCTGGACCTTTTGCAAAGCACATCATTGCGGGTACGTCGACACCCTCCTTTTCGACCTTGCTGACTTTGCTGGCAGTTGAAAAGATCCTGCAAGTGAGAAACATCGATATCAATGCCCGTGAATATCACTCGCGAACGGCACATAATGCCAACAAGTCGGAGAGCGGCGACTCTTCTACTCCTACCAGGGAGATCAAGCCCCCCGGAATCTAAACAGGACCAACGTCCCACAACCCTCTTCCTATCATCACCCTCCTCGGCATCAATCCTCTGGCGAACAATATTTGTCTCCTTCTTGCATTCGGCCCTTCTTCTAAACTATCCATCGTGTTGTTGTCGTGTCTCCTCTTCTCTCCATCCTGCACCGCCTCTACCTCACACAAGCCTCAGGGTACTCAGTTGGCATCCAATCCCTTCCTCACACAGTCCTTCGCCGTCCGCTCGCATCTTCATCTGGACAATTAGACACTCGTTTCTGCATCACACGCAAATCCAAACCCACATCCGCTCATTTCATAGTGGTTTCCACTTGCCCCTCGTTTATTCCGAGTCTGATATATATACGCCCACTTCTAATGCTAAACCACTCGACGGATTTCGCGTCGACATGAGCTCTGATAGCAAATGCGTGTTTGTCACGGTTGGTTCAACAAAGTTTGATGCTCTGGTTGCCGCTGTGCTTAGCAACGATGTCTTCGAAAGCCTGAAGAAGACTGGCTTTGACCGTTTGGTAATCCAGTGCGGAAATAGCAAAGTTCCGCTGAGCCCAAGGATCTGGAACGATGAAATTCTACTGGATACGCCAATAAATGGCATCTCAACGTCGATATGGAGGTTCAAGAAGAGCTTGAAGGACAACTATGCCGCGGCCGACTTGGTCATCGGTCACGCCGGTAGATTCAAATTGGAGTGTCTGTCAGGTACTAAAACAGATGCAGGGTCTGGAACGATCATCGAGGTCCTACGAATGGGCCGCAAACTCATTGCAGTCCCCAACGAAACGCTGCTTCATAACCATCAAGCGGAACTTGCAGAGGCTCTGGACACCTCTGGGTACTTGATTGCCTCTCCAGTTAGGTGCGTGTCGAAAACCGGGCCTTCCAAACATTCTGACCTGATATGACAGCGACCTGGCGGAAGCGATTCAGCAGGCCATGTCCAAAGACTTTGAACGATTTCCAGAGTACGATGGCTCCAAATTTAGCAGGATTTTGGACGAAGAGATGGGGTTCATCTAACCAAGAAATATCTTGAACTCTCCCAATTCCACTAGTTCTTTGATTCATGTCGACATTAGCGCGCATTGCTTGCAAAAATTCAGTTCGAATACAATGTAGATGCATGTCATCATTGGCTTCCGCACGATATCTTCAAGGCCCTCAGGATGCGGCGACTACAGAGTCGCCAAGAGGCCTGACGGCAGAACAAAAGGAAATTCTTGATGCTGCTATACGAGTAGACCAAGCTGGTGAAGTGGCAGCAAACTGGATATACAAGGGTCAACTAGCGGTGCTTGGACGAGACCCAAAGGCTGGACCGCTCATCCAGGTTTGTCGCAATCCAATTGCGAGCAAAGCGAACCTAAAACACAGTTAGGAAATGTGGGATCAAGAGAAGAAGCACTTGGCGGTGATGGACAAGTTGCAGCAGCAGCACGACGTACGGCCGACAATTTTAACAGAGGTAGCAAAGATTGCCGGATATGGACTAGGATTTGCTACTGCTATGATGGGGAAAGAGGCCGCCATGGCATGCACAGAGGCAGTTGAGACGGTCATTGGCGAGCACTACGATGAGTATGTCCAATACGCTTAGGCTACGCCTTCATCTGACATATGTATAGCCAATTGCGGGATTTGAAACAGATTGAAGGCGTTCACAGTAGCATTCCTTTGCTGCAGCAAGTGATTACAGAATTTAGGGACGACGAGCTCGAACATCTTGATACCGCTGTAGAGAATCACTCACAGCGTGCACCACATCATGCTCTGTTGACTACAATTGTCGAGGGGGGCTGCCAGATTGCCATACAGCTCTGCAAACGGTTCTGAATATTTTATATGCTGTTATATTCCAAAGTAAAATAAATACTTCTGTATCGGCTGTAATTGTCGTTAGTCGAGTCTCCGAGATTGAATACTCCCGGGGGCTCTGAACTTGACCTCGTCCTCATCATGACCTCACGAACGGCCAAACCAGAAAAGCGTCAAGAAACCAAAGAAGACGCGCTGCATCAATATCAGGATAGTGATGGACACTTTTCACTCGTCAGGTAGCTTGTCCTGCGTTGCAAACACGTTCTCGCTGTTCTGACTCCAATGCCCCCAGAAATTTTCGTCTCGCTGACCTCGTCACAATCATGAACGGCTTTTGTGGCTCCTTCTCCATCTTCTCCTCGGCGCGCTACTTGCTCACAAACGACAAGACGCACTTGTGGGCAGCGCTCACGTACCCGCTCGCTGGGCTCATGTTTGACTTTTTCGATGGAAAGGTTGCGAGGTGGAGAAAGAGTGCGAGCCTTCTCGGTCAAGAACTGGATAGTTTGGCGGATTTAGTGCGTCACTCGCGACATCGTCTCCGAACCTGCACACGACGCTTATTGCCTGTTGTTTACCTTCTAGATTTCTTTTGGTGTCGCCCCTGCTGTGTTGGCATTTGATGTCGGACTACGAACTTGGATCGATACAGTCATCCTTACCGGTTTCATCTGCTGCGGTCTTGCTCGTTTGGCTCGCTTCAACGCGACGGTTGCGTTGATTCCCAAAGATGCTACTGGTAAATCGAGATACTTTGAAGGTCTCCCTATCCCTTCGACGCTTATTCTTGTCGGCCTACTGGCCTTCTGGACACAAAAAGGCTGGGTCGCGTCTGAGCAAGGCTTACCACTTGGGACGTTCACATTATGGGAATCTAAAGATGGCTCCGGGGACGTTCATTATGTTTCGCTCATCTTTGGGGCGTGGGCTGCTGCTATGGTTAGCAAAACGCTCCAGGTACCCAAGCCTTGATGCGTTGTTCCCGCGAGTGACACAGGGCCAAATCTTGCCTTTTGATTATATCCGGGATATATGGACACTGTATATAGCTTTTCCAACGCAGTCCTGGCCACTTTACCCCTCTTTACTCGCCCATTTGTGGTAAAACACTCCTTGAACTCTACCGCCATTTTACCAATGGTTAAAAATAAAGATGTTCACCGGTTATTTAAGCAAGCTATGGTATCTCGTCGATACGTCTCCGAGGACTTGGCAGCAGTCCTCTGGAAGAAATCCGAAGAGGCTTGCCGTTGTAAGGCGCAGAAATGACCCACACTTCACGCCAGACTGAACGATGCATAGCACTAAACGACGAAATTCCTCAAATGTACAATGCTGCAGAAGTCAATATCTACATTCAGGAGATCAACGAGACTTTGGTCCCACTTTCCATCGAGTTCAAGTCGCGAATAGACGAAGTCTCAGGCAAACGGATATGGGCACTGGTACACATCTGCAAGTCTCATATATCAGATTAATCGTTATGCAGGTCAACACAGTTGAAGGTGAGATTGCTAAAGTGGCCACAGAATACACTCCTGCCGAAATTGGGCTTTACAAAGCTGTCGTACGTAAACAAAATTGAGTGATTTGCTTTAATTCTGATGACATACACAGATTGATCATATCGTCCTCGCCCCTCGTGACTCGTTCTGCGTTGGAGAGATTGCCTGTCTTCGTGAAGCGTCCTCATTGAAGCCTAGCATGCCCAAATCGCAAGCAGAAGCAACTCTCAAAAACTTCGTAGCCAACGGATGGCTATACAAGAGCCCACGAGGAAGATATACTCTGTCGACTCGAGCGTTGATAGAACTCGAACTCTATCTGCGGCGTACATACGAGGACGAAATATTCGACTGTGCACACTGCAAAGAATTATGCACATTAGGGATCGCATGCGACAGCCACCTCGACGAATGCGACACCTATCTTCATCGTCATTGTTACGACCTCCTCCGCCGTACGACACCACGACTCAAGTGTCCAAATTGTGAAGCAGACTGGACCAGACGAGGCGCTGTTCGAGATATAGGAGAAGAGTCACTCCCGGCCGACTACGATGACCTCAAGGCTCGCAAACGAAGGAGCACCATGCGTTCAGAGGCAGTCGAAGAAGAGGAAGGAGAAGACCAATTAGAATCCTCTCAGCTTGAGCGCGAGGCATCTCCCCCACCCACCAAGCCTCAGAGGAAGGGAAGGCACTTGCGAAAGACGCAGAAGACGCAGTAAGAGACAAAAGAGAAGCGTAGATGTAAGCTGACAGAAAGCAACAGACAAGGCAGTGACGAGGATGGAGACTAGAGAAATGTACAATGTATCCCTAATGATGTACCATGAACACAGACGTAAATGCATGGTCTATGGCTGTTGCACCCGGCCCTCCTCTGTCTTTTCCGGCTTGACAATAAAGCCAAACTTCCCTCCCCATATTCTTCGTCCGCGTTTTCGTCCGCCCTCACCAAACTCTTCGTTCCATTTGCGTAAATCGGCGAGCGAACCTAGCTGCTCGGAAGCAGACGGTGTAATCTCCTTGAGCGCCTTTTCAAAGTGTGACATCCTGAGAATGCGTCTTGGTTTAACATCCTCCTTATCAGAGTTTGATGTGTCCTCGCTCTCTTCCTTTGCGGTTGATGACGGGCTCTCTGTATTTGGATCTTTGATCGCGTCTGTAGAAGATTCGGATTGTGAGGACTTGATATCCACGGATTTTGGCTTAGTGTCGACGTCTGTCGACGGGTCCTTGGGGGTATTCCACGGTAGGTGGGTATGTTCCTTGACCGCGTCCAGCGCAGCCGCAACACAAAGATCTAGTTCCAGTCAGCCCATTATCTGGCGGCCACAGAGGATTACGTACGTTTGAGGTCAGATCCGGAGAAGCTCTCCGTTTTCTCGGCCAGCTTGGTGACGTCTACATCCTGCGCCAATTGCTCGTCGGCGAGATGGATACGAAGGATCGCTAAGGCGCACTCAGACTTGATCGTATACCTAATCGTAGTGCTTACCTTCTCTCTCTTTCGCCCCAGGTAGATCAATCAACAGCCTTCGAGGAAGTCGTCGCAAGACAGCATCGTCTAGATCGAATGGCCGGTTTGTCGCACCAATAACAACGACATTCGTGTCACGACTACTCTTGAGCCCGTCCATCTCCTGCATAAATTCTGTGATGACGCCTCTATGTGCCAAGTCTCCGCCGCTACTTCTGGCTGAGTAGCGTGCACCTAAGAGTGCATCTATCTCGTCTATAAAGACGACACAAGGCGATATCCGTCGCGCAAGTGAGAAAACAGCTCGGACAAGCTTTTCGCCCTCGCCTACATACTACAAGGTGTCAGCGGTGAGATCTTTAGCGGTGGATGACATACCATGTCCATGACATCCGACGGCTTGACAATCATCATTCTAGCACCGCTTTCCCTCGCTAAAGCTCTGACACTAAGAGTCTTGCCCGTCCCTGGTGCTCCAAACAGAAGAGCACCATTCATGCCGTGCTGCTTCAGCACCCCATAGCTAAAAGCTGTGGGTTCAAGGAGTGGAAGCGAGACAATCGTCCGTATCGAGTCTATTGTCGCAGCCGGAAGATGAACGTCGGCAAACGTCGTCGGTAGGTGTTTTGGATTGACAATAGAGCCAAGAAGTCGTTGTTCGTGCTGGTCTAGCGAGGGGTCACGGCGAAGTTGCTCTATGAGTTCTTCGATATCCGAGATTTCCGAGTCAGAGTCTTCTTCAAAGTCCTCATCTTCTTCGGTCCCCTGGGCTCTTTCAGGCTGCACGTGCTCGATCACACGCTTGCTAGTAAAACTCGAGATGAAATCTTTACGGTTCGCGCTTGCCGTTCGCTCTTGATTCCAGCCTTCGGCCACGGCAATCCACGACACATCTGTGGGTTCCAGAGTGGGCGTGCCACTATTTTTCTGTACATTGCGACAAGTCAATATGTGAGTGATGATATTTCAATGGAACTATCACCTTGAGTCCCGCCAACAAGCCCATTGCGCGATCAGCGACCTGTTTGACTTGTTGCCAGGTTTCTACGCGTTGATTCCAATCTGAAATCATTGACTGCGTGTGATTTTGATTCGACTCGGAGTCGCTAGACATTTGAGCTGCGTGTTCCTGCAGACTATTGTCTGCGAGCTTGCCTGCGGTAAACGATGAGTGGTTAACTACATAAATGAGTCATTTCACACCTCCAAGGCTACCTATCGCCGTCCGCATGTTGATTTCGTTTGCCTGTAAACGCCTTTGTGTTCGAGTAGCCTTTTCTTGTCCGGGTTCTCTAGCCCTGGGAAGGATTACAGTCATCCTGTGAGCGTAGTGAGTTATGAGCCGAATACATCAGCTATGAGGGACAGATTCACCTTTCATGGTCGCTTGGTCGTTCTCGAGGCGAATCCTCCTCATGAGGAGCAGGAGCAATAGCTGGGGGCCCACCAACACCAGGCAGGGCGACAAACAAGCTCATTAATCCTCTAGGTGGTCCTCTGGGATTTGGAGAGTCAGAAGACAAGTGGAGGTCTGGCAATTCAGAGTAGAACACCCTAGCATCTTGCTTCTCCCATTTACTCAAACGTTCGAAAAGCCTTCTATCGCGCGCACGTTGGGCTGCATTTGTTTCGTCCCATTCGACAACTTTGGGTGGAGACGGAGGACTGACTGGTCCCCGGCCGCCCATTCCAGAGCGATTACGGTTAGTGATAAAGTTAACCAGACCTCCTGGTTCAGAACCAATGAAGGGTGTGGTGCGGGGTGTAATGATGGATGGTGATACTCCTAGGATGATGACGGTCGGGCTGTGGATAGGTCCCTGTGCCCGTGGCATTGGTCCTTGCCTTCGGAGTCTGACTGCTTCGACAAAAGTTGGGAACCAGTGTTGTAGGGACTCGCTGACTAGCTGCAAATCCCTACAATAGATCAAGCGAGGACGGGGTTCCGCATCTTCGTCGCCTTTTCGTTGTATATTGACAAGCTCTTGGAAGAATTGCTTGCGTGATTGATGATTACTGCTGCCACTGCTGATTTTGCGTGTTTGGATCGTGATGCCAAACGGTGGGCGACCACTCTGTAAACCCTCGACAGCTTGTGAAATCACCGAGCCCATATCACCCTCATCATCCGAATCTTCCTCTCGTGCTGACTGTCGAGCATGCTGAAACTCGCCTAGCTGAAGCGGATTCGAGGGTAATTGGAGCGCTGCCGCCGCTAAAATGAAATCTGAGAATTATACTTAGGAAAAGGACGAGGAAAGAATTACCTTTTCCATATGGACCCCATTCCCCTGCCAATAGGTCGAGTGCGTCCAAGGTTAAAACTTCCGAGTTTGTTCTTCGCGCCAGTTCGCGGACAGTTTCATCGATGACATAGGTCCCACCTTCAATAGGACAGTATAGAGTGATGCTTGGTTCAATGGGAGGTCCAGCAGAAGTCGGGTGCGTTGCTCTATGTTGCGTCTTCGGGAGCAAGGATACATGTAAATTGGCGAGGGCGTCTTGCATCATCTCTTCTGGAGGAAGAGAATGCTTTATTGGATGAGATTCTTTGTCTGGAATCCATAACAGTGATTCAGCAAGCTCTGGCGGCAATTGAACACTGTCTCCAGATTTTGGATCGACTCCTTGTTTTAGCCGCGGACGACCGCGACCCTTTGCAGGTCTTTCGTCGTCTTGTGGCTCGTTTGGGGGAGGTGTCGGTATGGATGGGACCATGGACGTGTTTCGACGGTGATGGAGATGCAGAGCCTGGGGAATCCGTGGTGCTCGTCGTCCCAAATGTGCAGTACTGTTGAGTGATTTTGAAAGTGTACTACATTCTGCCCGTAAAACTCTTGAATGCATGGTCAAGTCGTGACTCGCCCGAGTTGGTCAGGGCTAACCTGGGCTGCTAGTTTCCTTCCTTTTACGGTAATCCCTGCAGACTCAACCTCGGCGTCCCCTGGGCTGGGCTGCATGCAGCATGTTCTCCACCACATCGATACTTTGTTACTTTCCTCCAAAACTTTTTACATCCCATACTAGCTTGCACGCCGCGCCCTTGACGAGCTTGAACAGGTCAAAGTCTAAACCTCGACCATACTCGACTGCCATGGCTCAGTCACCACAAGTAGCGCTCCTAAAGCAATCCACGATGGCCCACAAGGAGACGACAGGCTCCAAATTCGATATTATTGCCGCCTACAAGTCGTTTGTAAATGATCCAGATGTCAGTCGTGTGTTGGTCGTCCAAGGGTTTGTCTCATTGCCTGGATTAAGATTTCGATGCCAGTAGCAGCCATGCAAAGTCTCTCAGAGCTGATAGCTCAGACAGAAGGTATGGATGTGGCCTCTGTTCCTCTTTGCCACCCCGTCACGAAGACTGACTCGACGTGAATAGTTGCGACCATGTTCGAGCTTATGGAGGCCGTGAAAGACGCTGCGACGAGACTCAAGAGGCATTACTCGCACAATTCCGTCTCGCTTTCTGCTGGATGCGATGTCTTCTACCAGTTTATCTCATCACTACGTGACTTTGGCCAGGTTAGAGCACAGACTCCCTATTCACACGTCTTTACTTTTTAATCCATAGGACTTTGAGGGGTTCAAGAGTCACATCATAGCCGCAGTTAGAGAGTACGCCCAGAATACGAAACAAGTCAAGGATACGATTGCCAACCACGTCGATGCATTCATTCAAGACGATTCAGTGGCACGTTCTACGCTGAATATTTGATACGAGCTCACTCCTACTAGATCCTGACCCACGGTTACTCGCGCGTTGTGGTCAATGCGTTACTAATGGCGCATAACAAGGGTCGCCGAATATCTGTCTATGTCACAGAGACGAGACCGAGGGGGCTGGGTATCAAGACACATGAGATTTTGACTGCAAAAGGTAAAATCCACCGTGTACTGGGCGAGGCCCTGGACTGATGGCGCAACGCCAGGGATCCCCTGCACAATTATTCTCGACTCGGCTGTGGCATACACGATGGAAAAGGTCGACATTGTCATGGTCGGATGCGAAGCTGTTGTGGAGAGCGGCGGGATCGTAAACGCGATTGGATCGTGCCAAATTGCGATGCTGGCCCATGCGTTCCATAAGCCAGTTCATGTTCTGGCTGAAAGGTGCGTTATTGTCACCATATGTAATTGTGGAGCTTAGGCCTACTTCAGCTACAAATGGACGCGTCTATTTCCTCTCTCGCAATACGATCTTCCTACACACAACGACCACATCCTCTCATTTGATTTAGTCTCTACACCTCCTACCTCCGGCACAAACTCACCTCTTCCTGGGACTCCCAGACGCCATCACCCAGTACTCAGGACTTCAGACACCATGCCGAGTCTGCTCTTCACTGCCACGAGTGTGCCAAAGGTGCCGCCTCAGCCCTCATTCAGCAGCTCGATGTCCAACGTGATGCCGATTAACCAAGCAGGACGCAACCCAGAGGTTGACTATACACCGCCAGAATACATTACGCTCTTGTTCACGGATGCGGGCATCCTGACCCCAGAGGGCATCAGTAGCTACCTTGTCACAATGTCCCTGCGTTCTGAATCCTAGTTTATTGCATGCCCTTTAGGGATCGCTGCCTTCCTGGCTCAGCACCATAACCTCTACTTCTGCATCCTCGTTTTTATTCTCCTCTCCACCTCCTTGCACCTCTGTTTCCTTTTTCTCCGCCTCTTTTTCATCGCCGCCTTCCTTGACAAATCTGTCGCTCAGCGAAGGCAATGCTGTCGGATCGCTCAAAGGCGTAGAGGGCTCGCTGCTGGTCGTGGCCGTGAGTGGGTTAGGCTTACTTGCCATGTGACCAGGTGCAGGTGTATCCAATTCATCCACCAATCCAAATCCTTTAGGCTCATCCGCGGGCGCCTCGCTCATGGCCAGCGAGTTGTGCAGCCTGAGTGGCGAAGCGGGGGGACTGCGCGACTGGGACCTCCGTCTAGCATCGTCATGCAAGAATGGAATGGGTTCGAATATTGGCGTCGAAACCGTCTTGAGTACGCCTTCCATCCCGAGCGTGCTATATACAGAAGGTTTCCCGTCATCTGAAGCGACGCTGAATGTCTGGGGGGACGATGTGACGAGGAGCGTTTTTTCAAGTCCACGAAGATATTTGCCGACTGTGCGATAGTGATTTCTTGGAAGGAGCGCCAGTTCGCAAACGCGCTTGATTGTGAATGGCGCCGAGCTATAGAAATTTACTGTTGAGACGAGATTAGGGCACACTCCACCATGAGAAACGCACTCGGCAAATCCCTCGAGCATATTGACGACGATCTCAAGCATATCCTTTGCTTCTTGTTCTGTCATCTCACTAGGGAGCGTCCTTGTCGGTCCATACGCGGGGTTATTTGCCCGAGGTTTAAAGGGCGGAAGGACAAGCCCATCTGTTGTCGCTGGGAGATTTGATCGTTCAATAAGAGGATCAGAGCCCCGTTGGAGAAACTCTTGTACGTTCTACTGGTATAGACGTCGTCCAGGTAATAAAGGCTGTTAGAAATGGGTGACAAACAGGCGCTGGAGTGATGCTAACATACGGCGGCTATGCGCTTCGTGAGGACTTCTCTGAGTTGCTCCCAGTTCCTGTCGTCATCCATTAATACAGATGCCGACGATTTGGCTGCCAATCGCTCACTCGACCTCGCCAGAAGCAATCGTTTTGTTGAGAAGACCTTCATCCTCTAACAAAGAGTCAGACAACACATCTATAAAGAACCTAGACACATGCCTGGTGACAAGGTATTACTATTCTCGCCGTTCATGAAGAGGTTGGGTTCAAGTTTGTATTGCGCTCACTGGTACCGGCAAAGTTTCGCCATAAAGCTTGATCTTCTATAGTCTACTCTACAACTGCTAAACACTAGGTCTATCTATATACGAGCTCCCGACAAGGGCTAATCTATACCTCAAACCCGTCCCTTTACGTAGAGAGGAGAGATGACGCAGGTCATTTGACCTCCTTCTGAGCACGCTCCTGGCGCTCTCTATCTCGCATCTTGGTACGCTCCGCAAGATCGACGCCCACAAGAATCTTGCTCGCCTTCCAACCCTGCACAACGTTGATCACGTTCTTGCCAAAGCAGATGGGGAATGTAATCAAGGCGAGGATTTTCGCAAAGGTCAAGCTGGCAACCCAAGTCGCCAAGCCAGGGATAAGACCAAAGGGAGGGAGTATTGGCAGGTTGAGAGGCGTATTATCCCATTTCATGAGGTAGAGTGCAAAGAAGAAGAGTTCATTGCACGCGCAAAAGATGAAAAGCGTCGTCTTGCTAAAGGTTAGCGGCGGTGTACGATCCCAAGATTCGCTCATAGGGTTGTTATAGTAGAAACTAAGGACGCGGCTAACGTCGGTCTCTATAACCTTGTGGCTCTTTGAACCAGTTAATAGAGTACTGAGAGTTGTCAGTTCCATCGCACTCTTGGGTGACTGATCGCACCTATACATATGAACATAGTGTGAACTAAAGTCGAGCGCAATGAGGGCCTGGAACGCGAGAGCATATGACGGATATGCAGAGGAAAGATAGCAAAGTAGACCCGAGGTGGTACATCTGCATGCGATAAGAGTTGAATGATCAGTTTCGACAAGCGCGGCGAATGCCGAGCGCTCACGGCACCAAGCGTGACTAACCTGTCTGTAATCATGTCCAACACGGCCCCAAACCGCGATGTCTGGTGCAAGAGACGCGCTGCATGTCCATCTACGGCATCCAGAAGGCAACTTAGACCATATAAGACTGTTGCAAACGAGGGATTGTACGGCATATAGTTGAGTGCAACGGCAGCGAGAATGATACGCGTATACCCTATGTACGGGTTATCGTAAGCGTCTGAGACTTCAGTTGGAGAGCAACACACCTATAAGATTAGGGACGAATAGAAATACATTCTCCTCGAGTCCCTGGGCAATGTCGACAGCCTCCTTTGCGTCAAGAGTCACACTTGCAGTTGAGACATCTCGTGACTTTTCACCTGGGACAAGCAGCGGCGCGGAAGGCATGTCGACTGAGATGGGGAAGGGTCCAAGGTCTCGTCGGCGATAAAAGGGCGTAACGGCCAAGATGCACCAGCAAGAAAAGTCAGTTTGGCGCGTCTCTACGCGGTGCTAGGCTGTGCGACAAGAGCGGAGTCCGGATTGACAATCGAGTCGTATGCAATTATAAACTTGGACTTGGACCATGCCCGCTATTGCCGCTGAAAGAAAGAGGAAACGAGTACAAGAACAGGAGACGCAGACTTTTGAGTTGTCTAAAGGCTCGTCCGATGAGCAAATTTCATCTGAAAGCGAGAGTGGCGGTGAAGAAGCGGAAAGTGAAGGAGGGGACGCACCAAGGGTTTCACAATGGGTGGATGAAGACGACGAAATCGACTATGAGGCGATAGAACCTTCGAGACCTGTGAGTGCTGTTTTAACAGTGGCAACGAACCCGCAGAAACTTACAAGTGCCCAGCGCAGTATCAAAGACGGCAAGTTTTCAACGCGGTATCGTAAAACTAGACACTAAAACCGAGATTAGATCTGGCGTCTCTCTCATTTGGAGCGCTGCTCAAAGCCAACAAGGCATTGGCAAAGGAAGAAGAGAACGAAAGTGGATCTGACGAATCTGCAAGTTCAGACTCTAGTGATGATGAAGACGAGGAACCAGTGGCCGAGACTTCAAAGGCGGGCGAGACTTTAAGAAAACCCAAGGAGAAGCGAGCCAACAAGCATGCGTGCGTTAGCTTTGATCACGTCTGTTCAATGTTGACTGACCTCTCAAGGCCAATGGAAATGTCGTCCAAGAGGCCAGTCTCACGAAAACGAATGGTCGTGGAGGTGACTCCGATAGTAAGTGAAAGGCCCTCTGCATACACGCTCTCTCACAAAAGACTTAGAAATATCGAGATCCTCGCTTCGGAGATGCTGCAGGAGAATTCTCTGCTGATCATTTTCGTAAGGACTATACATTCCTGGCAGATGTACGATCCCAGGAGCTCGAAACCCTGAAGCAAAATCTCTCGAGGGCCAAAAAGCTGTTGGCCAGCAGTCCTGCTCACCTCCGGGAGGAACGAGGCCGTGAAGTCGAGGTAATACACATTCGAGCTGTGTTTACACCTGACTGACCAGACATAGAAACTGGAAAGGGCGGTGAGGAGAACGGAGAGTACAATTGAGCGGAGCAAGAGGGAAGCATTCGAACGAGATGTTCTCCTGAAAGCCAAGAGGGAGGAAAGGGAGAGGCGTTTGCAAGGCAAAAAGGCGTGGTACATGAAGAAAGGTATCGTCGGATGATCACCCGAGTGGCACTCACTCACCCCCTGAGCTCAGCCGACCAGAAGAAGATGACACTCGAGGCGAAATTCGAGAGCATGTCAGGAAAGGAAGCGAAAAAGGCGATGGAAAAGCGACAGAAGAAGATGGCACAAAAGGACAAGCGATCACGACCGTTCTTTGGAGCCGTCTCGTCTCAGCGCGTATCGGCATCGGCGGGAGTTGTAGGGGCTGGCGGGACGAAACACCGCTCTAGAATAGGTGGGGAAAGCCGACCAAAGAAGAGGCGACGTATAGATGAAGAATAGGGACGTGATCCTCGTTCACAAAACAATGAAATGTCGAGCTAAAACTGAAGGGGGAGATGACCGGAGAGTGCCGGGGCGAGCCTTGAATGTTTGGCACCAACAAACCTTGAATCTGCCGACCGATGGAAAACGACCAAGTATGGACGGGCTACTGCAGGAGATTTTGAAGACAGTTTTGACGAGATGTTTAGGGTGTCCTTGTTGATCTCTACGTCCCGCGCAAGTGCTCGGCGACCAGTGCGTGTTTGTAGGATGGGGAGAATTTGGGACTAACAATGGGCACAGACCGCCTGATTACATCAAAGGACCACGCATCTGTGCAGATTAGCATTGCAGACGTGGATGCAGATGGCAAAGCGCTCTCGACGTCGACAACGTTTGCGCTCTGTGGCCAAGTGCGCGCAGATGGCGAGGCCGACGACAGCTTGAACAGACTGGCAACGAAATCGGGCTGTAAGTACTCGTACTCAACGTGTTATGCGCTCTTGAACCGTTTGCTGAGCGTGTGTTGTAGTGCTCAAGGGTGTTTGGTCGTACCAAAAGTAGAGAAGCCTCTCGCCTGTAGTCTCTTCTTTTTTTCAGACAATTAATCGAACGATTTTTTCTGCTGAATATTCTGCGAGTGGTTTATAAACTGAGTAGTGATCGAAGGCCCACACGTTTGGGACATGAGGCCCAGTGTGGTGGCCTTTATATCCTCGGGGATCTGTGCATCTTGGACTCGTTCGCATCTTTTCTTTTTCCCCTTTTTCCTTTTTCCTATTCTTTTCCCCCCAGTCAGACAATGTTCAAGACCAGAAAGTCCACCGACCAGGGTGCGTCTAGGACGTCTAGAACGTCGTTTAGTGTTTCTGCGTTGCTTATATGCTTGGACAATAGGGGCTCAGCGGTCACTTCGACCCTCGTTTTGGAGATCAGACGCCCCAGTCGCCCAGCCCCCGTCGGACGCAGAGACAATCAGATTTCATAGATCGTCTGTCCTTAGGCACTCGTCGCAGCCCGTTCCAGCGCCTACAGCCGTCGACAGTCGCGCTATCGGCGGTCGCACCCAAGCGGTACCTGTGACGACGCGTCCAGCGACTACAGCGACTCCTAGCGTAGTCTCTAGCTATCCAGCACATTCGCAACCTCAATTTAACGTCGTCAGATCCAGCGTAGATCCGCGTAACGCTGTCGCCACGACCTCGAGTCCTGCTCCCCATGCTGGCCTCACAAGCCCGCCGAGTCAGAGTATCAATGTTCCTCGAGCAAATGACACCTTGATTTCGTCAAAGCCCGCTCCTACCGATGTCCCTTCCCACCGCACTTCAGCCAGCTTGAATTCGCTCCATACTGCCAGCACTTCGCGCTCCTCCTTTGAGCGTATCTCCGCTGAGAATCTCCAAGGGTCGTGGGGCAGCAATACGTTTACCACTGCCCCCAGCTCAAACGCCCCTCGCAGTACTGAGAGCCTCGTCCGAATCCCCGTTGCCCACGACGGCTCAAAGGACTCTGCGCCCAAAGAACAGAGGCAGCGCCGGGAGTCTGCCAGATATCCTCTCGTGGAGACGTCGGATAGTCAGCGGACGCCTGCGGCTGCACACGCCGAAAGCACGCAAGTGGGTGAACAGGCCTCAAACGCATTGCCGTTACCAAATTCAGACTACGAGGTGAATAAAACCCGTTGCATCCCTCCCCCAACTCTAAGCGCTGTCCTCTTTACCCCTGTTTCTGACCCATGCCTCCAGTCGCCTGTGCGTGCTCGCTCTCTTAGGCGAAGCAAAGGTCAGATCAATGGTGGCACTGGTTCCTCAAACTCGATAAGAGACGCGACTGCCGCTACCGGTCGTCAAAGCCCAGCCCCAGCTACTCAAACCTCCCCATCCCCTCCATCTGCTCAGCCGACTCACCGTCGCAGTCGGTCCGAGATGATCCCAGAGATTGCCTATCTTCCCCCACAACACTCTACCGGTTCTGCTGATCGACATACGCTACTGGCGCGCGTCATGTCTGCTTCTACACCTTCAAAGATGTCCAAAGGGGTATGTTACAGAGATTTTCTGTCGATGATGCCATCGTTTCTGATCAATATTCATTGTTTTTCTCGCATCTAGACTTCCACCGCTTCCGCCCGGGCAATGTCCGCTCCCAGCACGCACCAGCCGCGTGTATACTCATCGTCGCAAGAGGCCAATCCAAATATGACTAAATTAAAGCAAACGACAATACCACGACTCTCGACCGGTAGCATCGCGGCCAGCTCGCCCAGTATCGAGCAAGAGCGTCAACTCGCTGCGCTACACTCGCCCACCAGCCTCCAGGCTACAGCCGAGAGCATTCCGCCGTGGAAGTATTCCAATACTCCGGTCATGACGTCTGGACCTACTTATTCGAGTTTGACTTCTCAAGTGATGTCACCAAACCGCGCGTCAGTCGCCAGCCCTCGGACTTTGGTCTATGGCTCCCATCACGCAAGCGAGCTACCAGCAATTCTACCTTCCCAACAGCGCTCTGCCCTCTCCTCTGCTGGTTCGACTGTCGGAAAGCCCTACGTCGAAGAGGACACCAACTCGTCGTTTAGCACCGCAACGCCCGGCAGTCCAGCATCTCACACGGTTCGAGCCCTCTTTTCTTCGTTCACTTCGCGACCCTCTCGTCAACCAGCCCGTGCTTCCAGTCTTTCCAACCCGCCGATCACCGCACCGGAGGTAGACAGTCCTCGGCTAGCGAACCTTGCATCAGGATTGCTAACTCCTCCTCCTCTCCCACCACAGTCCACTCGGCCGGATGCTCCGCAACAAAGCTATACGCAACTTCAGAGTCAATTCCAGCATCCAACCTCGCCCCGTCACGCTACGCCAGATTTCACAAAGCCCAATTCTAGCAAGGCAGCGACCCCATCTCGGCGAGATGAAACCGCATCTCCAGTATCAGGGCTTAGGTCTCCTTCAGCAGCTCAACCATCCATTCTTCAGAATTACGGCCTAGATAGGGAGTCTGCATCCGCCAATCCACGCTCGCCGTCGGCCAACGTCCACCGAGCCCTGATGGGCACGCCATTCCACGGAGAAAGGACACTCATGAGCGACAGTGAATATACCGTGACGACATCGATTTCCGTCACCCGTTCCACGGTTGTCCAGACTGCCCATGCGCAACCTTCCTCGGGACCCCTTCCCCACGCTCTTGAGCGACTGACCGCAAGCTCTATGCGGAAAGAACGGCCCACCCCTGCCATTCAAAGCGCGTCTGGTCGTGTAACCCCGCAATCCCAAGGATACCCGGCTCAACTCCCATACCCACCTCAGCAATCGCAGAGTGGTGGAATCTTCAACATGTTCCGCCCAAAATCACCCGCACGTCCATTCCCTACCATTGAGCGGTCCGCGTCTCCTGCCCCCGCCCCGCCCCCATCAAAGACGCCTCCACCCCGCGCGGCTACGGCCTCTCCGCGCCGATTCGTGGCTTGGTCGAATTCCCATCTTACGCCACAAGCCAAAGAAGTCCATCTCCGGCGTGTCCGGCGCGTCGATGGAAGCTGTCATCGGTGGCACGCAGTTTGGTGTCACGAACGAAATCGCCATGTCGAGCCAGGGCTCGCTTCTCCCGAGTCGAACACCCGATCCTCTTACTGCTCAACAACACGGAGGCATTTCGGAGAACAACAAGCGGCTAGCGGCGGTCATGGACACCAAGGGTCGTGTGCGCATGGTCGACGAGGACGAGTTTGACGATGCGGGTGATGACGGCGTGCAAAGTGACGAGCCACCGTTTGAGGATCGTATGTACGCTGTCCAGCAATGGAACAATAACCGGGAGCAGGACTGGAAGGCGAGCGGTAAATCACGTCGCCAACGTCCTGGCGTCTCATTCGATCTTCCGGCCAGCGAGAGCGAACGAGACGACGGTGGAATGACGATGGTCAGCGCTGTCCCGGCTGCTGGACGTATTCTTCGCTATGGTCGACCACAAGCGCACGCGCGCCAACTCTCCGACGTCGAATCGACTGTCTACTAAATAAACCGATCGAGGATTCTTTTTTCTTACTTCGATGTGGACGTTCGACTGTCACTGGGGTGTGCTTTTGCTTTTCCCTTCAATCTCGCGGCAAGAAATAGGTGCTTTTTTTTACCCACCTCGACTGGACCGCGCCTGTGTACTCCAACCAAAATACTCTTGATTTCCTCATTTCTTGTCTTCCCTCATGTGTTTCTACTATTTGCTGCCGAGGCGAATATTGAATCGCCAGAGCCCCCCCTCTCCAAACTTCACATTTCATCCTAATTCGTCACGTCCTGCTGTGCCTCAACTAGAGGGGCATTTGTCTCTTGTTTATCCTCACTATGCATCATCCACGCCGCTCACCGGCCAGCTGCTCGCTCGGCTGCTCGTGTGCAGAAATCTGTATTATATCACACACCCTTGATCCCATCATCAATCTCTCCTGCAAAGAAACGTCGTGGATCTGATCCACTCTTCTTGTTGAACCGTAGACAAACTACAGATGTAGTTTTAGCGATCGAAACAAAAAAATCTACCATCTCCCCTCCCTCTCTACGTGGGCCTCTAAGACGTCGTTGCCAGTATGCGCTGAGTGTGCTGAATCCTAGAGGAAGACGTCCGTGATGGAGACCGCGCTTCGACACCAGAGTCGTGGGCAAATCCATGGCCTTGAGCTATCCAGAGAAACCTTGAGTGTACGTAGAGTGCTTTGTATTGTGGTTGGTGTCCATAGATCCATGAAGCTCGCGCTATGAAGACTCCGGGGGTTTCAGCGACTCGGGCGGAGGCACGCTCCCTACAGGCATCCTCGCGAGCTTACCGCAAGTATTCGCCGCGGTTTGTGGCTTCGAAAATGCTTGAAGTCTGAATGCGACGCAGTGATTCCGTTCCAGCGACGGTATCTTTGTCGGCGAGCTGTCCATCGACGGCGAGAAGCCCTGGCGGGAGTGAGGGAGCAGCTCAACGAGCCTAGATCCAGATCCAGAGCTGGCACCAAAGAGCCTGTGCCTGCACCTTTGCACGAGGCAACGAGAGTATCCCGCGCTTTGCATTCCTCGGACGAAATCCACGAGTTGGCAATTTCCCTGAAGATGAGGATGGTGCTGGTAGTAATAGAATTCGATAGCACAACCTAGTAAGGCGATCACAGCAATCAAAGGCAGCCTACTCCCTTCCATGAGGCCGAGTGGAGGTAAGCATTTTGGTGACGAAACGGATGCTATGAAGATAGAACGCTTGAAGAGGCACGATTGATAACGATTAGTATTCACGCGTGCAGCGTCCGCACGGCCAACGGCACGGTGTCGCTTGACGATCGCCTTCCGACCGTCTATGATACCTGATAGCAAGTAAATGAAAATGATGTCAACCAAGAAGAAAGGGACAGACATGAGGCATTGATAATCCACCTTCTTTTGCGATCTTATTGCAAGGGTGTATTGGGCTGGTTGTCCGTATCCACCGTTTTCTTTCGTTTTGCATCATCCTCTCGGCCTCCGCGTGTGTCTTCATCGTGCTGTCCACCCGATGCTGCTCGTTTCCGTTTAGTGGGTGAGAGCGCTCGAGCCTTTTCCTTCTCCCATTCTACCTGAAGGTGCTGCTTCAACGTGGGGATATTCTTCTGTGTAGCCTGGCACCGCCAGCACGCAAGATCCGATTTGAGAATTGGTTCGTATTGAGACTCCGGTAGTTTGGACATCTTCGGTGACCATATGGTTCAGCGCTCATCGCAGGGATGAAAAATCCACTTGCTGTTTCGTAATAGGCATCGTCCCCATCGAGCCAACTTAGCACATCATTGAGATGAATAAAGAAGCCGAGGTCCGGGTGGAACGAGTTGTAGTGTTTCTTATTCTTGAGAGAAGGCGAGCACAGGTCGGACGAGATGATGTGCATGTGGAGATGGCTATATCCGCCTCGTCAGATGATGTGAGGCGTAGAGTTTTCTACTTACTCCATGCTTGGGACGGCATGAAACCCGATGTGTATCTGCAAGAATTCTTAGCTCGTTGAACACGGGTCCCAATGATCTTTACCTTCCATTTGTACCCGTGAAGACGAACCATCTCGTCTTCAATGTCTTCAATGACTTTCTCAGAGTCTTTTTGGAGCTGTACAATGGTCTCCTTGGCTTTGTTGCGATCCCACCGCAGCAGAGTCCGCAGATTCTTGAATCTTGCCGTCTCCATTTCTGGAAGTAGCCTAGGCATAATCAAGAAGTGAAATTGGGCCTGCAACTCGTGATTTAGAGGGGTCTTCCTCTTTCCTGAACTGAACGCTGACCTTTGGATACCCATCGAAGATTGTGAGGGTTTTGTCGGTATGAGCAAAGAGTACCGATGACGGTAATGACGGAGAAGGAATAGATTTCTTTGCGTATTCTCTCAGGACCCCCAGCGATGCCATGGCTACTCCCCAGATCGAGATAGGCTAGTAGGCGCCGCTACGCGTCAAGTCTCTCGAGCTTTGTCACTCAACCCTGAACCAAGTTTGACGCAGAAGGGAATCCAGGCTCGTCTCGCTCCCCGCTTGATGCAGGCTCCGGGCGTCAATATCAGGTGTGGAGGTCAGCAACCACAAGCTTCCTCTCTGCCACAACTGGCATTGATTCCAACTCGAGCAGACTCTCGGATTTTCCGCCAAGACTCGAGTCTCTAGATTATAATCTATTATCCAAGGCGTACACATCAGCACGCGAACGCACTGCGCCGCAGCTTGCAGAAGTCTGTCCGTCCGTAGCAAGCGCGTGGGGTTCATATAGCATGGGAGGGGGAAACTCGTTCCAAAACATCGAAGAAGACGTGTCTACACTCTCCGTACGTCCCCACCGCTACCTTACAAGCCCCAGGGACTGACGCGGCCGCTCTCAGATTGACAGCATGGTGGAAATCAAGCACACACCGAATTCGGATGAACAGTTATCCGAAGAGGATATGAAATACGGCCTACTTTACTCCAAGTCAAAGGTGTACGTCCATTTGGCTCACACGAACTTGGCACCGTTTGACTGTATCTTCAGTTATGTCCATCCAACTGCATATTCGAGGGATAATCTGCCAGGATTTGTTGCTATCGTTCGCAAGGTATCTACATATTTGACTAATCGGGTACCAATTCATTGTTTCTTCGATAGCAAGGTCTCAAGCCGACGTATCTGCTTGCGTGGATACCAGAGTCGCTGCTAGAGGAGAAGGGATCCGAAGAATGGGAAAAATTCACATCTGTCGAAGCCTCTGCGTCAACTGAAGATGGAGACGCTGTTCTCGTCGAGCTCCCTTCACGACATGGCGAGCCATACGCGTTTTCTGTGCCCTTAAGTTCAGTCTACAGCCTCATTATTCACCCTCCCTCTTTCTCTTCCTGGTATGGTTCAATATCCATCCATCTCAGTAGTGGCGAAACGCTCCCGACACTCTTCTTCCACGATGACGAGTCCAGATCGTTCAATTCCATTGCTCCAGGCTCGTCGCAGCCTCCCTCTAAATGGGGCGGAGAGGATCTCCTAGCACGTCTGCGCTTGTACGCAAATGTCCTTCGATCTTCTCTCCAGAACAGCCTCTACCTTGTCGATCCATCACGCGCAGATATCGAAACACACACGACCGTGCTCTTTTCAGACGACGCAGTAGACGAAATTCTCTCGCCATCCTCAAATACACCACGTCATCGAAGACGTGGCCGACCACACTCGTACTCCGGCAGCCCGAACCGAAACTCAGTCCTTCACCAAACGCTGTCATCTCCAGCATCGACATCTCAAGCTCGTTTAGCTCTTCTGCAGGGCTTTTCGCAGATCACCCGGGGGGCCCGCTCAACCGCTCAGCGCATTCTCTCGCATCCTCTAGCCAAACCCATTGTACCCTACCTTCCTGATCCCGTCAACTCGCTCGTAAATGCTAATGGGGAATGGTCCAGCTGGGTGGAGAAAGGTGGTGTAGGCGAATATGAAAGTGCCCGTGTCTATCTCGCGAGATGGGCCCGCATCGTTGCAGAGGAGGGAGAACGCGCTCGCCGACGTGAAATCCACTCACAGGTTGGCGGTATTGATGATGATGAGGAAGACTCGGGACTAGGCGTATTCGAGGTGATTAGGCAGTCGCGAAATGTGCCCATATCTCGGAGCACAAGGGATCCAAAGCACCCCGTTGACCGCGATATGTGGGCTGCTTGGTTCGCCGGCGATGGTAGACCTATCGTACCGATTGATTACATGCGACAAGAAATTTTCAGACGGGTAAGTATCACACACCTTGGTAGTACCTTGGATTGACGTGTCTCGCTTAGGGATGTGCCTACGACGTTCGTCAAAAGGCGTGGCCGTTTATTCTAGGAGTTTTACCCTGGGATGTTGATGAACGAGAGCGAGAGATTCTTTGGGCGCAGCTAAAGGCGCGCTACAATGAAATTAAATCGGAGTGGCAAGGCGTGGATGAAGTCTTCAATCGTCAAGATATTCAAGAGGTTTGTCGACATATGTTAGTATGATGTGTCTAATCTCTTGTATAGGAACGGCATCGTATTGATGTCGACTGCCGGCGTACGGACAGGAATCAGCCCATGTTCATGGCGCCTTCAGACCCGTCAAATCCACACAATCCGCACAATACATACAATTTCTCACCCTCGACGGAGGAAATTGGCGCACAATCACTCGCAAACGAACATACGGTCAAGCTATGCGAAATCTTGCTGACATACGGTTTTTACGAGAAGGATCTCGGTACGTCATTTACAAATTTGCTTCTGATGAGGACATTAGACATCCTTTGAAGAAATGCGCGCAAATTTGGGGACTGACACGAACACTTCTTCTCGCATGCTTCCCCGACGCCGCGGGTCTCGTTTTGAATGTCGCGATGATACAGGTTATGTCCAAGGAATGTCAGATCTCTGTGCTCCGATCTATGTGGTGATGAAGGGTGACGAGGTGATGACTTTCTGGTGCTTCGCAGCACTCATGGACCGAATGGTGTGTCCTAATTAAACGATGATCGTGGATTTGTCTGACCCGCCTTTAGAAGCAAAACTTTTTGCGGGATCAGAGCGGCATGAAGCGTCAGCTGGCAACCTTGCAACAGCTAGTTGCAGTCATGGATCCAGAGCTTTACAAGCACTTCGGTGCGGTTACTCGCCTCATCTAAAGGCGCCTGTCTCACAATCTTTCAGAGAAATGCGACAGCCTTAACCTATTTTTCTGTTTCCGGTGCGTGACGACGGCGCGCCACACTTGAAGTGTTGAATCTCTTTTTAGCTGGGTTCTAATTGCATTCAAACGCGAATTTCCTTTCGACGATGTACTGGGACTTTGGGAGGTATGTTACAGATTCCTGAGAGACAATTCATTGAGTATGCTCTCAGGTTCTTTGGACGAATCATTACAGCAGCCAATTCCTTCTCTTCGTGGCACTCGCCGTACTCGAGTCCCACCGGGACAGCATTCTGCGGTACTTGGTCGAGTTTGACGAAATTCTCAAGTATTGCAATCACCTGAGCATGACGATCGAGCTCGACTCGACGCTTGCGCAGGCCGAAGTGCTCTTCCTCTCGTTCCGGCAAATGGTGCAGGACATTGATCGCCGACAAGCTGAGCTGCTCGATCCGACGACGTCTGGCATGAGGAAGCGAAACGTCGACGGTGGCTCAACTGCGGACAGTGTTGTCGGAAGCCTGAAGAAGCTTCCGTTTATCTCAGATGATCTGCGAGCATTGATCAAGGCCGACTCATAGCTGTGTATTTGACGGATTGACTTACACACGAGCACTGTACTTTCCATACTGAATCTCACACGTCTTCACGCATGTTCGAGGTGCTATGACTGTAAGATGCACTTTGGATTCACGAAGAGTGTCACTGGACACCAACGACAGGAGAAACTACAGCGCGACTAACAGACGAGACGTAAGATCTAGTCCTCGTAGACCCACTCGGCCTCGCAGTCTTTATATTCAATGACGCCCTCTGGGAACCAGAGTGCGATTTCCTTTTCGGCAGACTCAACGGCGTCGGAACCGTGGCAGATGTTGCGGCCAGTCACAAGGCAGTAGTCACCACGGATGGTACCTAGGTGAATATCATCAGTGCCGTGCTACGATGGTGTTTAAAACGACAAACCAGGAAGAGATGCCAGGGGGTTGGTTGCACCGAGCATGGCACGACCGGTCTTGACAGCGTCGAGACCCTCGATAACGAATGCGAGGACGGGTCCAGAGGCCATGTACTTGATAAGTCCCGGGAAGAAGGGCTTGTTCTTGAGATCGGCATAGTCTGTGAAAGGCGGGTGGCATGGGCCGGCGGGTCAGCATTTGAGCAATCGATGGAAATAAAAGCTATTTGAAGATGATTTTATATCGTTATCATGTCCTCTCAGTCCTCTCAACGACGCCGAGGACGAGAGCCTGTATCGAGTTCGACGAAATCGACGAGGATCGAGCAAGGAGGACATAGTGTACACGAGGGACGAGACTTACGCTTCTCCAGGTGCTCCGTGGTTGCGTGAACCATTTTCATGGCGATAATCTTGAAACCCCTCTCCTCGAATCTACCGACGATCTTGCCAATCAGGTTGCGCTGGACACCGTCCGGTTTGATCATGATGAAGCTGCGTTCTCTGGCGGGCATTTTGGACTGGCGATGGACTCGACGGGGACGATGAAAGTGGTGGCGAGGATCAAGTGGCAGACTTTGTTTTACCCCCATTTACGCCCTCACGTTCGATCTGTTGTCGGCAAACCTTGACAAGCTCGTAAAACAGCGTCTCAGTTTATTTCAACTGCTTGAACTGCGTTGCATTACCTCGTCCTTGAGGATGGCAGCAAGATACGAGGAATAGCCAAGCCATTCATTCAAACCCTGCATCTTCGAAAGTGTCGGTTTAGACTGAGGGGCTCGTAATTAAGACCAAACTATAATCATACGATAATTCTACGCTATATCCAATTAGAGAGAGCAGTTTCTTGTTATTTAAACCGAGTTACAATAAGACTACGTACAACAAGTCTAACCGAGAACATAAACGCCTCGTTGTTCAATATCGAATACCACCCTCCCTTCCGTATCTCGTTCTTCGCCGCGCGTACCCTCGGCGAACATTTCGATTCCTGCACTCTGCACTGAGTGCGAGCAGGCTTCCTCCCTTGAACGCCTACGACGCTCAAAGGCCTCGTAGACGAGTGCACAGCTGCTTGTGAGTCGCTCAGCAGCGAGTTGTGCAATGCTCGTCCAATGTCCGTCTTTCTTCCTCTTCTCATTATCACCCTTACTGACTTTTGGCTTCCACACTGCCATCTTGCTGACTCCCATCGCCAAGCCACCCTGAAGGAGGGCAAACAGGCCGAATAGAATCAGTAGCGCAATGTAGACGAGTAGTCCGGCAATAGGAATTGCAGAACCCTCGACGACAGTGGTAACGGATGTTGAAGTCGCAGGGATGACTTCAAACGCCCCGTGTGCCAACGGCAAATGTGTTCGGGCGTACTCTCGTTCGAATGCGCGTACGAATTCTGTTGCATTCAGCGTGAGTGCGAGTGGTTGTAACGCGGTCGAGAGCGTTTCGACTGGTGAAAACATCATGTCTAGGATAGCAGTCACCGCGCGCGTAGTTTCGTTGGAAGGGGTCGGCGTGTATGAGAGGATTATGAAGCCGTGGTTTTCGTCGGACGATGGATCGTTGGAACTGGCAGTTTGGGAGAGGGATGGGTCAACGTATTTGACTCTCATATCTGCCACCGTCACGGAGCAAATAAGCAGAATTGCCCCATACGGCGATTCATTCCTGTGGCCCCAATCACCGTTACTTTCCATACCACTTCCAGTCTCTCCAATCAAGCTACTGCGCAGGCATTGAGTAGTGTGCTCTATGCCGCCAACCCGCCTATACGGGGTGGAGGCCTCTGAAACTCGTTCATGACCCTCGCGGCTTCGGGTGCTTCGTCCAAAGAGGTGGAAAGGAAGATGAGCGAGAGTATGGGGCGCACTATGCTTGGATTAGGCCACGCGGCATTCGATTCCACTTCACCGGTAGAAAGGGCTACTGCTGCGGGCCAAGTGTTGGCGACCGTTGTCCCGACATGGAATCTAGTGTCGCATTTATTGCGGGTCTAGGAGTGACTGCGCTTCTTGGGATCGTGTTGGCTGGGATGGCAATGATGGCGGATAAAACGGCCATTGTGGTCCCTCCAGAGGCCGATCATCCAGAGGTTACCGCCAATAGGGAAGAGAAAGTAGTCAACACCATTGATATTGGACGGCGAAGGTTGTGCGACCCGACCGGTCTCGTTTATGAAGTGTTTGAGAAAGATGCGGATAGAGCTGGAACAAGATGGATGTTAGATGGAGAAAAGATGTTTAATCCAGGCTCTACCGGTGCTGGTAGTGGGTTGGAGCCCGGTCAGGTGAGGAGACGCACTGTGAGGGTGGGTTTACAGGGCGATGGGTTTGGTTTCTACAAATAGCGCTCTACGCCAATAGGAAGTAACGAAATTGCTATGTAGAATCACTTATTTGTAAAGTCTAGTTATGAGCGATTGAGCCTCTTTCTACTCCGCAAAATGACCGTCAACGATGGAGAAGTCTCCGCGTCGTACTCTACTGCTTTCGCTGGTATCCATGGTTCAAACTCATTCCTCACTGAAGAAACACAATCTGTAGATTCCAAATCAGCCGAACTAAGTAAACTGAGATATCCTCGTGCATCTATCCAATCCAGAGCGAGCAGCGCTCCTTGCCTTCGAAAGATCATTCGTCCTGTTGTTGTTCATAGGCCGCGTTATGAATGGAAACGCTACGACCACTCGGGTCTGATGAGCATCCCCAGTCCATACGGGGAATCCAGCGCACAGCCGTTGCCGCAGCGGCCTTGGTAGGGAAGTGACCTGCGAAGATCATGTCAGCCTCGATTAATATCATCAGCCGACGAAGAACATACTCTCAAAGATTTCACGGATGAGATATGCTTCTTTGGTCTCGGGGGTATCTTCTGGGTATCGTTCCTTGGCACCCGCCAAAGCCTCATCGGAGACGGTGGCAGCAGCGTGGTCTTTGATACCGTCGATCCAAGAGTAGCCTACACCGTCGGAAAACTGCTCCTTTTGACGCCAGAGAATCGACTTGGGAAGGTATGCCTGCAGATACTCAGTACCCAGCAGATGTTCACTCAAAGGCGTACCTTGCCGTCGGGAGCACAGTCGAAGGCCTTTCGAATGATGTACTACAGTCTATTCAGTAATCAATAGCGGACAAAGAGAATATGACACACCTTTTCCATGATAGGGCATCCATCACTGTCGACCTTTTGCTTCGTACCCTTGCCAAACATCTTCTCTTCTGGGTTGATTGTCATCGCGACGTCCAAGAATGCCTTATCCAAGAAGGGCACGCGAGCCTCTAAACCCCATGCCATCGTCGACTTGTTGGCGCGAAGGCAATCCGACGTGTGCAAGTTTTGCACTCGTTTGACCGTCTCCTTGTGAAACTCTTCAGCAGATGGTGCGGCATGGAAGTAAAGGTATCCTATCCAAGATGTCAGCCAAGGTCGATAGGAAATGAATGCCACAAACCTCCAAAGATTTCGTCGCTTCCCTCTCCGCTAAGGACCATCTTGACCCCCATGGCCTTGATCTTGCGACTGAGAAGATACATGGGTGTACTAGCGCGAACAGTCGTGACGTCGTATGTCTCCAGGTGATAGATGACCTCGGGAATAGCGTCGAGTCCCTCTTGGACTGTAAAGGTGAATTCATGGTGCTGAGTCCCAAGATATGCGGCGACTTTGCGTGCGGCGAGTAGATCAGGGGAATGTGGAAGCCCAATCGAGAACGAATGGAGTTGCGGCCATGCGACTGGGGTAGTGTCGTCGAGGAAAACTGTACCGTTTTCGCCAACCACACCGGCAGATCCAGATCCTCCATTGGTCATAATGACAGGAGACGTCGTACCGCTGGAGAGCAATCGCCTGCGACGTTCCTCTTGCTGAATTTGTGCGACGCGTTCCGTTTCTCGGGCAGCGATAGCGGCAATCAAGCTGCTATCCAGTCCACCGCTCAACAGGACACCATAGGGTACCTCACTCATCAAGCGCTTCTTGACAGCCGCTTCGAGGGTTGTGCGCAAGAGAGTGAGATCGGCATGAGCGGTCAGGCAGGATGACTTCCGGGTCCCACCACTTGGGCTTGTAGTAGCGTTCAAGTTTGCCCGTGTTAGAGTCGAAAAAGTGACCTGGTGGGAACGCCTCGATGAAATCGCAATCGTCGGTGAGGGCCTTGAGCTCGGACGCGAAATAGGTGAGACCAGGCGTATTACTTGAAGTTCCACGATAGAGCGTCGTGATTCCAATCGGATCGCGACAAGAACGCGAGTCGGCGAGACGGACTCGTCTAGGAGGATAAAGGAGAACATGCCGTCGAGGAGGTTGCATAGCGTGCTCGGGTCATGTTGCTTGTACTGTGTGACGATTGATTTATGTATCAGAATGTGAATATAAGTCGGGCCACCGGGCGAGAAAACAGAGGCGGTTAGTTCGGAGATGACTGCCGAAAGGAGAGGGCATGCGAGATGGAGAATAACTTCGCAGTCCGAGTGCGTCTTGAAAATTGCATTTGCTGGGACGGTCTTCTTGAGAGCTTGATAGTTGTAGATTTCGCCGTTGACGCAGAGGATTTGCTTTCGTCGGCACTAATGAGTGGCTGAGCACCCGTGTCTGTCGATCACACAAGCAAAGAGCATTCATCAGTACACATTGCTGTCCAGATCGCATTTCATGCAGAAAATTTGACGATTACAGCGAATAGCTGGGATAAAAATACGTTCAAAACGTTGCGGGACAACGGATAAGGGAAAGAAACTCTATGGGCTCACCAACACCAACGATCGCAAGTCTCTCTCGTGCGGATGCACTCCTTTCCAACGTAACAACCCGACCAGTCGGGACGCGGTGCCTCAGCCGCTTGCTGAGTGCAATCGCCTTTGTCCGCAATCCTGGCGTAGGTTGCTCGAGTCCGTGAACACCGAATATCCCGCACATTCTCTGACAATGTTTAATCTATGTCCAAGATTTTTTCGTCAAATGTCCAAAGTGCGGGACAACGAACGGATGTGGAGGAGTCAGACCCTTGGCCTTATAGCCACAGATTAGCCGACCTGGTCAAGTTCTGTACTGTAGCCGTAGACGTAACTGCCGATAACAAGCGTCGTCTATACCGTCAGCTGATGCACGCATTATATCACTCATGACTTGTCAACAGCGCTCGACTCGCCAAGGAGGAATAGGCCCTTACTCTTTTGAGAGAACTCGGAGCTTAAATGGACTCACGAGACCATACAGCACATACTAGTGGCGCTTGAATGCACTCAGTCGACCAGCATTTCGACAAGATCGCTTAACTTATCGCCCTCACTTCATTCGACAACAATTTACCATCGACTAAAGGTCATGAGGACGGCCGGCAAACAGAGCAGCAAAAATGGGACTTGCATAGAATAGGAAGCCAATGCAACTGTCTACAAGAACGGTAGGGAAAGAAACATGCAAACGCACAAACGGGCAGACAGAAACCGGAATCTACACATACAATAACCTTAAGCGTTCATTCACAGCAACGTGCGTGTGTCTCGGTAGTTTCGTTGACGCAACCAGTAAGGTCAGCTGGACAGATGGAGAGGGAACGGCAAGAGTGGAGGAGACAGAGATAGAGAGTGTGTGCAGGATGAGGTCCAGGAGCGAGACGGGAAAAAAGAAAATACGAGGAATTGTAAAGGATTGCTGGGTTTTGCGGGGGCGTTGGTCGTGACAAGGCCAGAAATGAACGGCTTGAGGCGAATATTATAAAATGTAAGATTAGGCATTGCATGAGTGTTTTTTTTGATCTGTGATGCTGATGTTCGTCAGGATGGTTTCGCGTTTGCGCGGTATATTTCTCGCTGGCCATGGCGGGAGATCCTTTGTGTTCGTGAAGATGGAAAAAAGAGGCCACTAATATGTTATCACGACCTGATTTCGGAGAATGTCGGATCGTAGTCGATGATTTGACGGTACATGCCCACTCCAGAGTCTTCTGATGGGACCGCGCTCAGTGTCTTTGTATTGCCCACTCTCGGCGGCCCGCTTGTGACAGAAGTGTTGCGAACGCGTTTGATGGGTGCACTCGAACTTGCGTTCCCACTGTGTCGTCGCCCCGGCGCGAGCTGTCGAGACAAGGACGTGGTGCTCCCCGTCGTTAGCTTCGAGTCGACGGTACTGGTAATCTGCCGTCTCTGCATACTTGGAGACGCAGTGGCACCTGCCCGTCGACTTCCAGGACGAACAGAACCAACAACAGAGCCGTCTGTGCTCGGCTCTGGTGAACGCAATCGTGTACCAAACTTGGACTCTTTCGCCGGCGTTCTTCCAGCAAAGGAAGACGGTGCTTGGTACCAGGGAGTGAGCTGTGTCCGCGATACGTTGGTCGATGGAACGCGCTTGGCTGCTGGCTTGGTAGGGTGACCTTGTCGGCACCCCAATACGAAAAGCTCATCTTGCTCTTGCGGTCAGAATCATCGCTGTCATTGCCTTCACCCTCCTCTTCGGGGATTCTCCGCTGCCCATAAGATGACCACTCGCTTGCTGGTTTCTCCATCGCTCGATACTAGAAGAAACCTTGTCAGTCTTTGAATAAGTTAACCGACCCAGGACGTACGCCTCTTTGGAGACGAGTTCCCGGGGCTTGGGCTTCTCGTTGATGGTCAGCTTTCAACCTTGAGGAACCGATAAAGATTTCTTGGGCGAACCTGAGAGGATGTCCGTTTGGCGTTGGTGCTCGCATACTTGGGTTTACTCGAGCCATCACCTAACGAATTGGCACGCGAGTTGGCGGTTGTAGAGAGTGGAAGAGTCGTCGTGCCAATTCGCTGGCAGAGAAGAACAACGTCATTAAAAGACGACGAGCCAAAGGTCTCGTTTGCTTCCCAGACCGCTCTTGTCGTCCTTTGTCCCCAAGACCTCGCTGATGCGCCGGAACGAACCTTTTTGCTTGACGGCCTTGCTTCCCGAGTCGTGCTCACGGTGACCACTGGAGGTGATTTGGTCGCTGGATCTGCCCATGACCCAGGTTGAGGATTCTCTTCGATGAGCAGGCGTGAAGGCTTGAATACCGCAAGGACCTTGTCCTTCTCCAAACCATCTATACGCGCCAATGCATCTCGCGTCTTATCGCGCTCCTCTTGTTGAACCTTTTCGTCCTCGATGGACCGTACAATCGTCTCAACCTCGGAGACCATTTCCAGCGTACTCTCATATTCGAATGTCGACGGGTCGGTGTGGAAGAGTAGGTTTTGGAATAATAGCGGATACTTTAGGAGACGCTGGAACGGTTTCGAGAGAAATAGCCAGTTGGTCTCCCCTCGTGAGTGTGCTTCCTTTTCTAGCCGCTGCAAGGGGTCAGACATGGAAATAATGAGACAGAATAGAGACAAACCTGGACGAGTTTTGCCAATTTCACGGCATCAGAATTTTCGGGCTGTCGTGAGCGGCCAAGAATGCTGGCGTTGTTGACAATAGTGTCCACTTGTTCCAACGCGCGTTCCAGATGCAGAACATAAGTAGCATACTCATGCAAGATGGTAGCCTATGGGCAAAAAAGTTAGTAAAGAGTAAAAGGGAAAAAAAAAAAAACTGGAGGTACGCACATGGCCGACAAAGATGTCTGCAAGACTCTGACAAGCGGATACTGTTCATCATACCGAGTGATGAGCGCCTTGGAAGGACACCATGTCCTGGTATAATACCCCGCTCGATGACATCAAGACACGTCCTCAGGTCTTCGGGTATGACATGCGGGGACCCGCCCGGAACGGCGACCAATTTCGGCCTATCTTCCGAGTCCTTTCGCGTCTTTTTGAGTACGCGCTGAGGAGATGGCGAAGGCGCGAATCGTGCTCGCCGTCGTTCATGTCCTGGATCCGTTGTAGACGGCCTCGCTGCACCCGCCCCGGGTCGTCTCTCTCTTCATTGACCGATTTTCTCCCCAGAGAGGTGGTGGATGCAACGTTGGCGCCAGGAGTGCCAGTTGAACGAGGTGGAGGTGGGAGAGATTGATGTGATCGAGAGGATATCTGGGGCATCAGTCTGTTCAAGCGTGGATTGACCGCATTGCTTGTGGCTCGAGAGCTGGTCCATATGGGGACCGCGGATGGTTGCTTTTGCAGCCATCGAGCCTGTGATACTCGACTTTTTGCCTGTCACGCGTTTCGAGCCAACGAGTTTGCCTGCATTCGCACCCGGCTCGTCGTAATCCGTATCCGAGTCTTGATCAGGTGTCGGTATCTGCGGTGTGGTCCCATTCGTACGGTGTGTCGCAGCGGTTGTTGTTGCAGGAGTGGGAGAGCGGACGGAAGAGGGTCCAATAAATCTGGAAGCAATTGGGAGGTGTTCAATCGACTCGGCGGGTGTCTCGCTCCGCGGGTATCCTTCTTCACTCGCGTCATGCTGAGCTGCAAACGGGTGCAATAGCGGAATAATGTAGCTTTCACGCATATTCATTAGCTCTTGAATGTACCTAAACAGAGTTCGGATGCAAATCAGCGTGCTGAAACGCAAAAAAATTGGCAAGAGAGAAACTAACCTCTGCTCAGAGGCGACAATCTCCCACAATACCTCTTGCCTGGTTCGCTCGCGTTGGCCGAGATTGGCGACGAGGTCCTCTTCTGCCGCCTCGCTCCACGACGCTGTAGTGGCGACTGTCGACTTTTGGGATCGTGCAGACATGGATGTGCCCGGGCGGAGGATGGAAACGTTGTCGGCCATGGGCAGACCCATTGCATTATGTTGCCTTGCTTGTGCGCGCGGATGAGCGTGTGCCGGTGCGGTTCCATGGCTCATAGCGCTGCCTGGCGTCGGGGAAGCGGCAAGTGCCCGCGTGGAACTCGTCTTGAGAGGATTGCTTACCGGGATCGTCCTAAACGTTCCCACCGTGTGATTTGTCGAGGTAGATCCACGGCCCTCGTGCATATTCACGAGTTTGGTGACCATGGCCTTTGAGGGAGCCGCCTCGGACGTGCTCGCCTTTCTCCGCTCGTCAAACGAGTCGCCTCTAGACGCCGGTGCAGAGGCATTGGCTGAACCATTCGCTTTTGTCGCATTAGGGACGGGAGCGGACGATGATGCGCCTGGCGGGGGCGTGCCTGCGGCACTCGACGTCTGGTTAGGATCCGTGTCCTTTGGCCGTTTAGCAAGCTCCTTTACGGTCGCGGTGCTGGTCGCGTTGCTAGTTCGCTTTCTAGACTTGTCGTCTGCGGTGAAATCGAGTGGCTCAGCAAAGGATGGCAAAGGAGGTAACTCGGAGTCGACATTGGAGAATGGACGGGCCGCCGTTGGGACTGTAGACGTAGCCTTGAGGTTTGGAGCAGACGTTTCGAGGGATATCGGCACAGACGTCGGCGCGACTACAGGCGCTGGCTGCGAATCTTTGAGCGTCTGGTTGAGCGCGGGCGAGGGCCATTCTGGCAGCGGGGGAAAGTTCTTCTCCTTTTCTAGCTCACGGGGAGCAGGAGTATATCCACCAGTGTTGGATTTCGAGCTCGCATTGGACCGAAACTTTTGCAGAAATGCGCGCATCGCTGCCCAAGCCGGCTGGACGTCGCGCAGTCGTGTACGAGTGTAATTTGTGGAATTTTTGTGAGCTTGAAGGACAGTTGGAATTTATTTGGGGATTTTCTGGTCTGCGGCTATGGTCGGCGAGTAGGTCCAAGCTTTGGCCTTGCGCACAACACGTTTCATTTTTCGACGCCGTCATTCAGCTTTGGGAGCTCGCTTGCGCAGGGTTAGTCCAGATAAGGATTCAGTTGCATTTACTTTTCTGTATTCTCCTCACGATTGCGCCGCCGAGCTCGAGCCGCCGTTTGCGGGAGAGCGTCACTGGACAGTCCAAGTGCTGCCCGTGAGAGCGCTGAATTACACTGAAAACACAGAAACTCGTCGCCGTTGACGACTGCAGCCGTAGCGACTCACGAGGCAGTACAGCGGTTTCAATAGCCCGCCATACGGTCCAATTACCATTTCTGGCAGAAATATCCAGTAGTTTATACATTATTCTCCCAATTCCTCCGTCACTAGAAGCCCATCGAGCGAGTCCACATCTTGGACCCGAACCATCGCCGTCTCTAGCGTCTGTCGGCTGTCAACGACAACGACGAGTACAAACGATCCCTAACGAATCTTTATGTCGTCTCCCGTACCGTACAGGGCCTACCAGGTAGTCCACGTCTCCATTTAGATGTGTCAGTGGTGCTTATAATTACGCTGCAAACTAGTCAAAGAGACACTCGAGAAACCTCTCAAACACATTTACGCCTCCCCAGTCTCCACCTCTTGCGCCCGTAGGATCTCCCAAGTCTCCCGCGACACCCGCATCCAATGCATCCTCAAAACGACTGTCTACACACAGCCCTCTCGCAGATCTGGCCAGTCTAGATCGCTCGACGCCTCCGCCAGCCACTCCTCCGTCAAACAACAAGGCGCTGCCTCTCCCAAGTGCTCCCGTGACGCCGGTAGCCATTGAGATTCTTGAGATTCCACCTTCTCCGATCTCAGAGAGCACAGTAGCGTCACCATCGCCGCAAGTGGTCGAGGAGCCACCTCAGCCAGTTGCCGTCCCGGAATCACCCAGCGTGCCTCCTAAAACCGTGGTCACTCCTCCAGCACCTCCTGTCGCGTCTCCAAAGGAGGAAACACCGTCGCCAGCCTCTCCAGCACCGCCTAAACTGGCCTCTCATTCCACTTTTCGACACGTTCCAGCTCGGGCATCACCATTGAGGCCATCCGCTTCGGTTCTCAAGTCTAGCTATGAAGGGACTCCTCTTTCCTCTCGCTCGACTCTTACTCTTGGGACGCCTTCACGCGCTGCTTCGGGTGTGAATCCATCCTCGAACCTTCGACCACGGCCTCCGGGCGGGCTCAAAGTCCACGACTTTAGTCAAAGCTCTTCACAACCCGGCTCTCCTGTTAACGGATCGTCTTTGACGGTTCATACCGCCCGACCCGCCATTTCATCTCCACTTTCCTCGTCTTCGGTAGGAAGCAGCAGACAACCATCTCCACTTGCATCTCCTGCCTCGAAACTAAATCGAGTAGTCCTTCAAAATCATCCAATCCATCGCCCTCTGCGTCACCATCAAGACCGGCCATTTCTCCTCTCCTTCCCCATCCACGGGTTCAGTTCCACTCGCGTCGGGCTCTTCGACCTCTACCATTCAAGCTCCGAGGAAATCTGATACTCCTAATCGCACCGTTTCCACTGGCAGTGCTCCTTACCGACATGGCTTCCAGCCCAAGGTGTCTACGGGCAGAGAACGATGAATTCTTGGAGGCACGACGGTTGAAGAGAGACACGTCGCGGATAGAAGACCGTAGGCTTGAGCGAAGATGGAAAAGGTGCCCTGTCGCTTGGCTAATGGCTTGTCCTCTAATGCATTCTCACATAGTTGATCGACCTCCATTTTCCGTCACAAGACTCCAAACAAGCGAATACACCGACCACTTCGACTCCCTTGCAGGAAAAGCCGCCTCCCAATCGACGGCAATCGTCCTTCTTCGACTTTGATCTATCCGACTTGAAAGGCAAGAATGCCTCTGATCTCTGGCGCAATGTCTTGGACTCGGCTGCATCGACACGTTTGCCGTCGCTCAACGCAAAGGGCGAAATACGACAACAGGAAATGGCCATCACACCGTGGCAAGAGGACGCGGCGGTACCGGCTTGTCCAATATGCTTGACGACGTTCAACACACTAACGAATCGTAAACATCATTGTCGTTTGTGTGGCAAAGTGGTGTGCTCACTTCCTGTCAAACACCCAAATCGGCCCGAGCTTTGCTCGTTTCTCTTTGTTGTCGATGCAAAGACGGGTCTAATTGAAGAGGTTAGCGGAGATATTGTCGACTATGGCGTCAAACGACAGGTCACGCCTGGAGGGAAGAGTGGAAGCGACGCGTTGCTTGCGAAGAAGATGGCCGAGGAGCAGGAAAAGTATCTTAAAGGAGTTCGAATATGCAAAGAGTGTCGACCTACTCTGCGAAGGAGGCAATATGGAGTGGAAGCCAGGACGACTCCGCCGTTTTCCAAGCTCTATGCGGTCCTGCTAGAGATTGAAAAGGAGATTGAGGAGATGCTGCCGCAATTCCAAGAACTGGTCATTCACCTCTCGTGAGTACTTTCTGGCCCGTTCGAAGTATTTGCTGATTGAAAGCAGACAGGAAGACGATTCGAATCTACACTCGGCGCCCAATAATAACCGGGTTAAACAAGCCACCAACCTTCGCAAGCATCTTCTTGAGTCGTTTTCTCAATACGACGCTATTGCAAAACGCATCAAGTCGCTAAAGACACCTGGGCCGAATTCGTCTCAAGAAAAGGTCCAAAACGCCATCTCGAACCGTGCGACACTCTTCTTGCAGAGGAATTTGTTCCCCCTTCAGGTCAGTACATACTATTCCTATCCTTACTCCTCTGACCGTCACCGCAGTCGTTGCCCAAACCGAAGAAGCCGACGCACGCCAAGAACTCGTCCGTTACAACTCTTTCTCTCCCGTCCAATCTCGTGGACATGAGCGATCAAGACGCTGCTTTGGCCCATACGCTGCAACCTCTGTTGGAGCAAGAAGCGCTGCTGGAGAGTTTTGTCGAAGAAGCAAACGCACAGCGTAAATTTGAAGACGCAAAGACGCTCAAGCAGAATCTGAAAGAGATTCGGCAGGAGATTGATCGTCTGTTGAACGGGAGAGACCTCCCTGGCAATCCCGCGTCTGCTAAAGGGTAAAGAGCTCTCCGTATACATGTATATAATAAGCTATCAGAGCTCAAATTTGGTGTACACCCGGAATTCTTTTGCTCTCTGAGCCACGAGTTGTGTTGTCCCGAGACTTGGATTCGACCATGTCCGATGCCTCTGAACTTTGGGATGACAACGAGGTTGATTGGCAGGAACTCTCCTTGGCAGTACAAGAACCTGTGGCGTCGGAGGCTTTGACAGCACCTGTGGAACCTTCAACTCCTGGTGGTTCAAACGGCCCTGGCGTGACGCTTGTTACAGAACCTACGCTAGTTGCTGAATCCAGCTTTTTGTCAGCACCAATCATTACTGGGTCTACGACGCTTCTGGGTACAGGGACGGTGGTCGCAACCGCCTCAACGTCGCGTTCAGAGGAGCGAACTCAAGATGAACAAGAAAGATCATCGAGTGGACATAATTTATCTCATTCCAGCTTCTCAGTAGCCGAATCTCGCAAGACGAGCATGAGCAACGAAGAAAAGGAGAGCCGGAAGCGTTCCATTCAAGGTATTGAAGCCTTGTGACTCTCTTCTACGATTATTGGATCTCACAGTCTCTAAGCTGCCTTCGAGGGACTGTCAAGTGATGATGATTTGCCTCCCAAGTCGACCAAACGCCAGAGGCAGGGCAGTCCGACCGAATGTAAACCTGATAACGACTCGGAAGATATTACTCCATCTCAGGGTGTCAGGATTCGTAGCGCATTGAGTGCTTATGACGACGACTTGAGTTGTCCGATGTACGTAACCCCCCGCATGCGCCCTGGAGCTCGTATTGATACACTTGAAGATGCCTAGAACTCTTGTGAGATTATATAGATGTTAATATCTTAGTGCCACAGCTGATGGGTCATTCCAGCTTGTCTCCTCAACTTCTCAACCCATGCGGTCATAGTGTCTGTGGCGACTGTGTGCTGCTCTGGGTCGAGAAAGTGCGTAGTACTTGATTCATTGACACGAATACTCATGAGTGTCAGAATCCTTCTCACGTAACGTGCCCGACGTGCCGTGCCAATCTTGTCCAAGGGTCAATATATATCCCAAACTTTGCGATTGAAACTACTGTAAACAAGCACATCGAGGTCCTCCGATCGAACAAAGTAGAGGACTGGATGGATGGCGGTGGTAAATGGAAGGAACGAGAGATACGAAAGAAGTAGGTGCCCTTGTTCTATCTTCCATATAAAATTGAACGCATTTGGTCTAGGACCTATCAGATTATGAAAGCGACGAGACCTGAACCCGTCAGAAACGCTCGAAGCCACAGGTATGTCGAAACGCCGACTCTGCAATGGTGTTGACGAAGTGATCAGATCACACTCGCGCAACTTGGAGCGTGTGATATTTGTACCTGTGCCTACCGACTATTATCGACCTCTACGAAGACCTGCTCAGCAACAGAGAGCAAGACAGGGTGAAGGCGGTGGAACGCATAGCTCTCCTGTACAGATTATTGATTCAGACGACGAAGAAGAAGACGAAGATTCGGACGACTAAGGATTCTCCTCCTGTGTATCAAGATAGAACGCGCACTGTGATGTCTTTGTTTATTGTTATTCATGTATCACCAAGAGATGGACTAGATAACGTCATTTTCAACGCGCTATGATTCCTGGCGCCCCAGACGACTTAGGCGCCTGCTCTTCGATCTTGAATCCTTCCCCGTCGAGCCAACCTTGCTGCACGATGTCTGAGCAACCTACAGTGTATGTAAAAGCTCAACAATTACTGATCATAAGCGATCGAGATTTTGACTGTATATCTGCATGAATCGTCCCAGCCACCCAGACGTCGAGCCGCAACAACAGGATATCGAGCATGCCGAACAGCAGGATCACGAACACACCGAGACCACCGAGTCAGTGACAGAAGAGGTGCCAAAATCGGAATCTGAACAGTGCGTATGCCTTGGCTTTGTGTGGTGCTATTGGCCGTATTGATGTCTCGCAGGAAGAAACCCGCAGGCAAACTTAGAGGACGTCCGACTGGAGGAACAGTGAAAGGAGGTGTCTCTGGAGGACCAACCGGGCCTAAGAAGGGATAACCGGTTTCCAGAAATCGACATCACTGTTCCACAGAACGCTGTCCATTGGACACAAGTATACTGGTATGGAGGTGTGCTATCACGAGCAATAAACATTTACTGGTACATCACGATAAGATAGGATACGCGGCTGTCCATTAGGGATGCTACCGAGCGTTCAGGCCGGTAATACGCTCTGTCAACCAACCAATAGGGGTTTGCAGACTGCTTAATGGTGAACTGACGTTACTATTTCCCCCACGACTCGAGCCACCCATCACCCCACCACTGAGACTAAGAGGATTGGCCGCGGCATAAGACGCTTTTCGCGCTTTGAAGCCCTCTTCGACCACCTGAGAGATTTCGGCGACGTTGGTCTCCAATACCAGTCCTCCCTGGACGATTTCGGCGAGAATGGCGTGCACTTCGTCAAAGTGAAAGACGAGTCGAGTTCACACATTTCTAAACGCCTTATCGAGTGATTCCACAAATACCTATACGTTAATCGGATATCAGTAATCCTTGCTCAGTGATTGTAAAGGATCGCCCACCTGGATCAGGTCTAGGATCCCGAGCTCGCTTTCTCCACCGTCTATGACAAAGACAAAGTACAGAGTCGCATAGTTTCGGTAGACTACGCATATGCGGTCATTGCTCGCGATGTTAAGCTGGGAAGTCATGTCTAGGTCTGGCACATCAAGAAAGTTGCATGCTCCTGGAGGTCGTGATGAGATGAGCTTGAATATTTTCTGTGGAATGACTGTCGCAAGTTCGGGCGACCTGAGCGGCGTATAGAACTTGATAAGACGTGGTGTTCCAGACGTATTGACTATCGTATCTTCATTAATATCCGCAGAACAAATTATCCAGCTAACGTACAGATCAAAACGGAGTGTATCATATTTTGAGGTCGGGGCCAAGCTGTATCTGCCACCTTGGAACTCGCTTTGGCCAGTACCTCGACGGCCCATGCCTTTATTAAACCGAGAAACATTCAAAACAGTTACCGTGGACAATGTAGGCTCAGAGGCTCGCGACTTTTGTGGTGCGTCGCCCTGTTGGTGGGCCTTTTTCTGAAGACTGAGGATTATCCAGCCATTGAACGCACATACCTCAGTCAAATACGATTCGGACTACTCCTTGGACTTCTTTCATCTGCATTACTCCTTAACGCACGGCTTCCAGACCCGAGCGGATCTCATGAACACAAAGTACCGACTTATGCATTGCCTCTGGCGTCACTCTATTTCGCAGCTAGTCTCGTCTGTCTCGCTGCAGCTATCCAAAACTATAATAGACTATGGAAAGGTTTGAAGAACGGAGCGGCGTTCGTTCAGTCTTCCAGGTATGCTACGACTTAAAAAGACATTCTTTCTGAGCTCCTCGCAGAAAACATACAATAGTCATGGCATCCATTATTCTCCTCATTATTGCTACAATAATTACACTCCTATCGAAACACTGAATACAGACTCATTTCAAACGATACTTGCCATCCTTCTTGCCCGCCTCTTTCTCCATGAACCTCTCGCGCTTACGATGCATCTTCTCAGCTTCATCCCTCAGTTTTCGACCCGTTGCGTGTCAGGAAATCCAGATCCCAGAAGCCTGGAGGTGTCTCGCCGGAGGGCATGATATAGCGATGGCGCGAGACTTCTTGGCGATGAGTACCCCCGAGTCTTCCGACTCAGGCCACTATCGTCCGATTCCTCTTTGTTGCTGTGGTGCTTACAATGACGCTGTGGTGCAGCGGCGGGGTCTTGACTTGATGTCGGGCTCTTCCAGAGAGGCGCCTGCAATCGTGGTGGGAGAGGCCCGGCAGCCTTGTAAAACTAAAAAGTACCGGTGAGATAATGATAAGAATGATGGACTCTACTCACCTCTCGACATTGATCACAGTCGGTCGCTTCCATACGCTTTCTCTCTGCCTTGTTGCGCACGACTTCGTCATACGCAAAATTAACCCCGTTGTTCCGATCAGGATTGACTTCGTATCTGGTCACGCTATTCGACCGTAAATCCTTTGCTTTCTTGTCCAAGGAGTTGGACTTACGCCTTTCCCGTTGTTGATCGGCCTTTGATCGGTTTACCATGTTGTTTCGGTGTAATCGAGTCCCTATCAAGCGCCTCTGTATGCCGCTTCTTGCTCGAGTTGGATGACACGACTTTGGTCCCGTCCATGTATTGCTGCACCAAGGGTACGTAGCTCTTTCTGCCGCTCTTTACTTGCAACGAATGGCTTTCTTCGATGGGAGCTTTTCGCTTCCCAAGAGACGAATGGCTGGGACCAGCAACAGGAGCTTCGCCAAGCGGAGTACTCGCGCTTGGATGGGGAGGAGCTGCATTCGGAACCTTGATGGGCGATTCTTCAAGCTTGATAGCCACGGGCGAGTCTGGAGAGACGTGACGAACGGGTGTCTTGATCCTCCTCGTTGGTGATTCATAACTGAAGAAAAATCAGCTCTCGTGCTTGTGAACTGACAGATCACTTACATTGTCGGTTGAGGAAGAGGAATACCTGTGAGATTAAACCTGAACGGCCGCGTTGGTGTACCCGCCGATGTCTCTTGCGTCTTGTCGGTATCGAAAATCTGAGTGGCCTCTTTCGATTGCTCGGTGGTAAAGGGAGGAGCGTCAAACCCAAACGCTTCGTATTGTGTAGCGAATTGGTGATACGTCCTTGAGAGATCTTCACAAGCCGCTTCAAGCATGTCCTTGGACGACAACACTTTCTCACCCGTCGGCGCAGCACGGGTGGTGACAATTGCATCTGTCGATAGCTTCGACGGCTCCAGTGATAGAGGGGGGGGTCATCGTCATGCCTCCTCGCCACAGAGTCGGTCGACTTCAAAGCGTTTCCTGGAAGAGCACCTCGGGCTTTGCTGTCTCGTAGTGAGCGATTAAAGGTACGAATAGCGTCATTGACGCTCGGAATGGAACAGAACTGTCGCCACCATTCCTTGAAACCACTCCATTCGAGGTAGGATTTGAAGAACTTCCTCTCTGCTCTTTCTTTTTGGTCGGCGAGACGGTTAAAACGACGCTGTAAACGTTCCAAGGACTCGACCACGAGCTGGGCCTTTCTTTGATCTGCGGAAGAGGTTACTTTGTATTCGGACGAATTGCGGTCCTTGAGTGTGCGGCTGTGATACGATGAGCTAAAGCTTTCAACCCTTGAATAACATACACTTCGTGGTTATTGACTGCTTCCAACTTTGTCTTTAATCCAGCGTTCTCGGCTGCCAAAGCATCCTCTCGTTCTTGTAGAGAGTCGTAACGGGTCTGCAGTGTCTGTTCTCTGGCCTCTGCCTCGAGGATCCTCTGTTCTTGCTCCCGAAGCTTACGGAAAACCGAGTTGAGCATACCAAGTGTTGAATGAACCGTGGTAGACAGTTTCTCCATCTTGGCATTGTTGTCAGCCTTTGTCTGCTCCAGCTCTTCAGCATCTGTCTGCCGTTTGATTGCCTCTTGCTTTAGTATGTCGTATTTACTGCGGAGCTCATTGTACGCTGTTAATTGTTCCACGAGTTGTGTTGTCAACCGCGCGTTCTGACGCGTTTATGAGAAGTGAGACGCGTCAAAAGACACTTGATTTACCTCTTTCTCAAGATCTGATCCCATATATAAGATTAGCCATCCCCTTTGCGGCGAGTTTGAAGGAACCGACCGGTTGCAGCGCGGAGCCAGTCGTTCAGGGCCTCCACATTCTCCTTCAATGCATCTAATGACATATTTGACGCGTCTTTTACGCGTTACAGAGAGAGCTGGCGGGCAGTAGCAATGCGCTTGCGATGGGTATGTCCAAGATAGGGTTGGAGCCCAACCACATTGAGGGGACCGTGTTCAAGCCACTCCTTGGGTCTCCCAGATATTTCTTTAGTTTATTCAACAACATAAAGCTAGTCATCAGTGCACGAAACAGACGACAAACATGCCCGCCCATGGATTATCGCGAGTGACCGTCCCAAGCATGGATAGCTACAATGCGATCAAAGACAACTTTAGGAAAGCGGTGCTCAATGTGTTGTCAACCACGCTCCCAGGGAACAAAGACGCGGCAAAGCGGGCTTTACTCGAAAAGGAGCTCCTCAAGGTCAGCCGATGCACCGCCTGAAATGTGAAATAGTGTCTGACAATTTCAAAATCAGTGGGTAGACGACACATTTGCGCTTGCTGGGCCGAATCTGCGCGTCAATGGCGTCAACTTTGAAGAATATGTGGATCAGCCGCGTGAGTCGCCTGGAACTGTCAATTGTTTGCGCATCTCAACAGATTGAAAGGTCGCTTGCCCTTTGACGAGGCGCTGGACCGGACCGTGATTGCGTTGCAGGAGCAATCGTTGGTCTCGGGCAGACAATAGCTGAACGACGGACTGTCCCCGCAAAGGTTCAAGAGCTGCTAGTGGTTTGCTCGAACGACAGCGGGCGGCGGAAAAGGCCCTTTTGTCGGAGCTCGAAGAGGTACCATCAGTAGCGGACGAGGACGAATTCTGTACGTTGTTCTCACTCCATGTTGTGGTGTTCCTAACCTCGTGTAGCCTTTGTTGCGCGAGAACCCGAGTTGCGAGAGGAGATCCTCGAGGCGCAACGAGAGGCTGAACGACTAAAAGAGGTGAGTGGTGCATCTGATACCTTTGGACATGAGCGCATGATAATGACGGGTGTGGTTTCTAGACTATACCGCGCGAGCTTCAGCGTGCACAATGGGTTCAAGAGGTCTCCGCCGAACTTGCCGCTCAGCCAACGGCACAGAGACAACGTTGAGACGGTTCAAACTCTTGGGATTGCCTGTCAAAGGATGCCGGATGTGACGTGCCGTGGCCAAGAGCCGATACCCTGGAGCTGAATGCTCAACGCATCTCCGTCATCCAATGAGTTGCTTGTGAGTATTGCTCCAGGGTCTCCGGTGATTGTTTTGGAGTCAGTTTTCTTTAGTCTTCCCTAAGTGGCCACGGGACTGAATTGGCCTATTGTGGGCGCCCAGAGAGTGCACAAATACAGCAGGCCGAACAAAATATGAAATTAATGTTGAAATAGCGAAAAAAGGGATTCCTGCAGTTCTTGCTCTGCCTGGCAGACAATGGCGACCGGCCAGCGAGTGGTACGAGACGCCGCCTATAAATCGAATTGGTGTTGCCTTAGCCTTGTTCTCATTCTCTTTCCCCCACCCAGCCCGCCTCAATCTTGAACTCCACCATGTCCGCCGGCCTCTTAATTTCACTTCCGCTCCCCCTTCAACTTGCACTTGCGCTCGTTGCCTCCACCGCTGGTTATGTAGCCTACAAGTGGTGGGACAATTACTCGCGTCTCCAGAACATTCCCGTACCCGTAAGTCTCCTTTGTGACATGCTCGTAGTTGCCTTCAAGATGCTTACAACTCCTCTCCGCATCCAGGACGGTGCCTCCAAAATCTGGGGTCACGAATGGCTCGAGTTTGAAGACGACTGTGGCTCCCAATGGCGTCAATGGATCACTCGTTTCGGTCCCAATTTTAAGATCAAGGGTGCTTGGGGTGTACGTTCATATTTTTTTGCGTCTAAATTTGCGCATCTGACGATATTTCGACATGATAGCATCATGACATAGTGAGTCGAGGGCGTCTCGAGGCAGTCTAGCAATAGTCTAATCATCTAAATTAGCTCTGTGTCACTGACCCAAAGGCCATTGACCGCATTCTTTGCAAGGTCCGACTTTTTCCCAGACTTTCGACATCGCATCAACGGCCTTTGCAGAATGCGTACAACTACCCTCATTCAGCTGTGTTTAGACCCATTATTGAGCGCCTCACTGGACGTGGTATAGTCTGGGTCGAGGGCGAGCACGCTCACAAGCCTATGCGCGCACTCCTCGCCCCTGCATTTACGCTCGACCGCATCCGCGCAATGGGTCCCGACATGTGGCTCGCAGTCAATAATGTCGTTTCTCGTCTGCAATCTCAGATCGAATCCCATGGTGGTGTCCGAGACGTCAACATGCTCGACTGGACGGCCACTTCGACTCTCGACGTGATTGGTCGTGTCGCATTTGCACACGACTTTCAACAAGGTCAAAGCCCCGAGGCTCGCTCGATTATGGAAGGCTGGCGTAAGCAAGCCAATCTCGGCATGGTCTGGGAAGGTTTTCTTGCTCTCCTCGCACTTCAATTCCCTTGGATCGGCCAACTTCCTCTCCCCTCTATCAAGGCTCAGAGCAACATTAAAAACACGATCAAGCCTTTCGCCAACAAGCTCATTCAGCGAGGTGTTTCGGATATCGACAATGGCCGAGATCTCCTCTCGATTCTTTGTGAGTTGTTGCAGTTTTGTGCTTACAACCGATTCTCATCGGTTTCTAGTGCGTGCGAACCTCGGTGAAAAGCAAGAAGCGCATCTCTGACGACGAACTCCTTGACCATATCGTCACCTTTGTCATCGCTGGCCATGAGACCACCTCTGTCGTCCTCAACTTTACGCTCTACATGCTCGCTCAGCACCCAGAAGTTCAACGCAAGTTGCGCGAAGAGGTCATGAGCACCGATAGGAATCTACTTTCGACGAGCTTTGGTCCAGCGAAAACTTCCCTTATCTCGACGCCGTCACTCGCGAAGGTTTCCGACTCTTCCCTCCCTCTGCACGCAACGAAAAGGTGGCTGAAAAGGACGATATTCTTCCGCTCGCCACGCCCATTGTCGGTACCGACGGTCGCCTTATCCACGAGATCCCGATCAAGGCCGGTCAGGTTATCCACATCCCCGTTGTAGCTGTCAACCGATTCTCTTCTGTCTGGGGTGATGGCGATAGCTTCCGTCCAGAGCGCTGGATTGAGAAGAGCGGTACTCCAGACGGAAAGTTCTTGCCTGGTGCATGGAGTGGTATGCTCACCTTCCTTGTGGGCGCTCGAAGCTGCCTCGGCTACCGACTAGGTACGTCTAATTCGCTCCAAAGGCAATTCTATTCGACTAACTTGTCTCTAGCCGTCTTTGAGATGAAGATTCTTATCATGGCCTTTATCCGCGCGTTTGAATTCGAAGTCATTGAACCCATCGAATCGCGCATGTCGGCCACAATCCAACCTCGCGTGATCAGCAGACCTGAGGATGGAGCATGCTTGCCCCTCCGTCTCCGTCCCGTCGTCGCTTAAATGGATGACAACCAACCCCCCTTGACCCTATCCTCAAATACCCTAACCACCAAGTGTGACCGTGATCCTCTCTTACGACCCCGATAACGACTCCTCCGAACCCTCTATGCCCGCTCCGCCTTTGTTCTACCTCCCAAATGTACACCACCTTTCGACTCCGCAAACCTTTTGATCACGATGACGCCGCCTCTCACTATCTTAACCTCTTTTGTGGAGGGTATCTTATTCGCTGTAGATAGAAAGCAGCTTCTCAATAAATCATAGTTGGATCTCTACATGGGCGTGACGCAGTGAACACAAAGGACTCTGGGATATATGATGAAGGCGAGAGGACTCAAGAAGCTTCTCCCGCGATGCGTGGAACAAAGGCGCCAGTCTTTGGACTAAGCAGGCCCTTTGTCGCAGCAAACTCGATGGTACGTGTGTGAGCGACAGAGTGTGGGACGTAAAACTCGTCCTTGATGGGAATTTGCAAGAAATTCATCTTGGGAGTGATGACCACCATTGTGTTTGTTCGTATCTCGAGCCAGTCTGCCTTCTCAAACGTGAGCGGTTCCGAGGCGATCATGATAATGTTTTCGCGTTTGTCAAGTTTGGACATGCGATAATGCCCGCTTCCACTTCCATTGCCGTTTACAGTAGCAGCATCGTTGTTGGTGCAGTGGACAGACTCCTCACAAAACGTTGTTCCGCTCGAGTAGTACAAGCTCGCCGCCTCGTCCTTTTTGCTCGAGATGTATCGCGTCGCTACGACAGTTTGCCCGTCTGCCACACAAAAGTTCATGAGCGAGGGTTCGCTTACGCCCGCATCACGCGCGAGTCTGTTGAGCGTCGAAATGGTCGCCAACATCGCTTTTTGTAGAAGGTCGTGCGGAATTGGTGCAGAGTGGTCTGGATTGGACGATGACTTGGGAATGATGGGATGAAGTTTGGAGAGTTCGGCGAGGAACAGGGCAAACGCCCATTCAGAGTCTGTGTTCCCTTGTGGGACAGCGAAGATTTCGTCTGGAAGAAGAGCTTGAAGTGGCCGTTTGAGACGGTCAAATTCGGCGATTCCCCCATTATGCATCCACTGTATCCGTGCGGTTAGTATCAGTACCATGCAGCGACTAAACAAGTCGACTAACCATGAGTCGTCCATATCGCCAAGGATGGCAATTGTCTTGACTCAGACCTGCAAACGGCATTAGTCTATTTCGGGAACCGCGAAGGATGAGAGACATACTGCCGGCCGTCGTGGCTCTAACGTGACCAAATACGAGCGGACTACGAATCTTCTCGGCGATACGCGTCAAGTTTGCATTGTTCCAAGCCGGAGTGATAGAGGTGAATATGCATGGCTCTGAGCCACCGTCCGAAGGCGTATCGTACCAACCTATTCAACGCGTCAATTAGAGCGTTGAGCACACCGTGATGCTTACCAACTCCAAAACCATCGCCGTTGATGGGCCTGCGTCTGTCCAAGCGCAGCCGTGAGTCAAAGGCCTGATTGATGATTGAATGAGCCGGTCGAGTAAGAAGCTATACGTCTATTAGTCTCTGATATCACTTTCGAAATGCAGAGGACGCACATGCGAGAGTAAGATGGGCTCGGTACCCTTGTAGATGACCAAACGACACATGGTGTGCACGTTGCTAGTACACGAGTGGTTGTTGGACGAGTAGAATCAAGGAATATAATGCAGGGTGTCCGTGCTTGAGATGCAAAGGTCGTTCGTGGTCGTGACTGGAGTCAAGTCAGGAGCGGGCCCATGGAAGCCCCGGAGAAACACTCGGAGGATGGCGTGCTCCTCTCGCAATCGACCCTCTTTTAATCATCCTCACGCACACTATTCTAGATCAGATACGGGGTGTGTTGATATTGGCTACAAGGAAAAATAGGCACATGGAATCTACATATCAGAGAGGCCATTACAGGAGTGATCAACGACATTGGCTATACCACTGCGTCGAACATCTGTTTCAAGACACTCTGACCTACAGCGGTCCTCGGGAGCTCCATTGAATAAATGCGTCGTTTCTGTCGTGCAGGGATGCGATGATGATGCGATGCAGTAGGTGTAGGGTATTGTAACAGTGCCTCTAGGAGAACATAGGGCGTTTAGAGCTCGACATGAGCGGTGTACGACTTTTCCTCGGGCTCCTCTGCCTCTTCGCCAGGAAGAACGTCGAGCTACCTTGATTTAGTTTTCAGATATAAAAGCGTACGGATTCGCACCTCATCCAGATCCTTCAACGCCTTTGCAATGATATCAATCGCCTTGCGGAGGTCTTCTTCTTCAATCACCAATGGCGGCGCAAACCGTATGCTACACCATTTCATCAGCCCTCAAACCAAGCTCCGATTCTAGAAGCTTACGTGTTGACATGCGTAGGCTTCGCCAAGAGCCCACGTTGCTTGAGGAGCAAGCAAAGCTGCCATGCCGTGCGTCCGCGCTTGCTCTTGCTCTCATCGATCACGACCGCGTTTAGCAATCCTCGCCCGCGTACGGTCTGGACGAGTGGCGAGTTGATCGCCTTGATACCGTCACGGAAAACCTTGCCCAGTCGCTCCGCACGCTCGGCGAGTTGCTCGTCAACGAGGATTTGCAATGCTACAATGGCAATGGCACTACCGTGGGTTTCTATAGAGATTTGCTTGTAAGAGAAATAGAAAAGCCAGACGAAATGGTACGTACCCGCCATAAGTACTACCGTGTTCACCTGGCTTGATAACGCCCATGATCGGCTTGTCTGCTAGGACAGCCGAGACAGGGTACATTCCCCAGAAAGCGCCTTGCCAAGAAGAATCATGTCCGGACGCACACCATCCCACTCGGCGCACAACATCTTTCCTGTGCGGCACAACCCCGTCTGGATCTCGTCGCAAATAAGGAGCACATTATATTCTTTGCACAACTTGTGTGCTTCGGCGAGATATCCGTCGTCTGGGACAACGATACCTGCTTCACCTTGAATGGGTTCGACAAGGAACGCTGCGATATGACCTCCATGTGTTTCGAGTGCCTCTTTGAGATCCGGGATACAGTTGTACCGAATCGCCTTTGTAGTCCCATCTTTGGACATATACGTCGGGCCTACACCTTCGAGGAATGGCCCAAATCCACCACGACTTTCAGGATCGGTACTCATACTATGAAGCGATCAACCTATTGCTGGCAGAATGAACAGGAGAGCCTTCACCTGATGACACCGAGTGTCCTACCATGGAAATTCCCCTCGCAGGCAAGGATCATCGCTTTCCCCTGCGGAACCTTTTTAACCTCATAAGCCCACTTTCTCGCCACCTTGAGGGCCGTCTCAACAGCCTCTGCGCCCGTGTTCATGGGGAGCACCATGTCATATCCAAACATGCGCGTCACAAACTCTGCATACGGTCCAAATTGCGAGTTGTAAAACGCGCGAGAGGACAAGGTGAGTTTGCTCGCTTGGGCTTGAACGGCGGCGACGAGTTTTGGGTGGCAGTGGCCTTGGTTGACCGCTCTGTGAAAAATAAAATCACGTTTGGTAAGAATGATGTAATGATGTATGTGTAGAGTAAGGGACATACGAGTATGCACTCAGCATATCAATGTACTCCCTTCCCTCTGGATCCCAAACCCTGTTCCGAGAATGAGTCACGCGACACTTGCGCATCCCGAGGAATCCGCCTACTTTGCTCCCTTTGCAGAATCAAAGACGACTGGCAGAGGATGGTAGCTATGGAATGGCACGCAATCGCAAGAAGCAGAAAGCCGTCAGTACGGGTGGCGATGGATGGCAAAGTCAGAAAAATAAACCATGATTTTTAAAAAAAGGATTGGGCATACTTGTGTGCACCATGCTTGTGTTCCATGTCCATGACGGCCTTTGAAGACAGTTTCTTCGTCTGCGTTGGCTGTTGGGTGGCATATTCATTCCGATCGTTCCCAACAGGCCTCTCAGCGCTCGCATTTGTAGCAGATGTAGGAGCCGGCTTTGGGACGGTGCCATGACCTGCCCCAATCGTTGGCTGTCGCGTATCGGTCGGCATATCGGTCAAGTAGAATTCTAGATCTGTCTTTTCTCTTGTTGGTAATCCGGTCTTGGTTGCTTTAAACCGTGTTTAGTTCGGCGTCGAGAAACCTTTGGTGGTGGTCAGAGCCAAGAAACGAAAGACCCCACGGTCAAACGGACCTTGTGGCTTTTCAGACTCATGACCATCCTTACGTGACGTTTTCCTTATAGCGCATCATTGAGCGCTCGTCGTTTCCCGTCTATTTGGCTCATCGGCCGGAACTCGTAAATGACCAACGCCACTTGCACCAGGGATCACGAGAATCACAAGAAGGAGAGAGAGACGATTGCATTCACAGAGAGAGAGAGAGAGCTAGTAGGCACAACGAAGCTGGAACGGCATGCGTATCAATGATCAGCCTAGACGGTACACGGTCTCAATGGATGGACCAGGCAGCGGAGAGGAGGGGACACAACAGGCAAGAAGAAGGAAAGCAGGTCCGTTTGTTCAACAACATAGTCGACGTAGGTCCATTCTTGACGAGGACCGGGTGCTAGGATGAAGAAGGAAGATGACGGGTCGGATGGTATTGATATACAGTAATTGGTACGACCGCAAATGAAAATACGGGCACCATAAAGCTTGCATAGTGAGAGAAGGGTTTGCCTAACCATGTGGTCGAGGCCTCGAGAGGTTGAAAAGAGTCAGAGACTTGGGCTTGGGACACGACTGGCACGACAAGTCGGGGTTCCTTCACCTGCGATGCTGATGGACACCTGGAGGCGCCTGTCCCCAACTGCCTGGCGGCGCACCTTGTGGCGGACCGGGTTGTTGCTGTTGAGGGGGATATCCTTGTTGACCATAGTACAGCGCAGCCTGAGGGTCGTGTGCATGAGGCGCGTAATGCATTGTCGTCGGGCTCTGGGTCTCTAGTCCACCATTGTTGTCGCTCAACCCACTCGCCTGTCGCTGCATTGCAAGTCGTGGACTCGTCACACGTCCGGGACCACCGACGCCACCAGCAGAGGCGGCATTGGTGTTACTGCTCGTTCGACGTCTGTGACCGGCATCACGAGCACCTCCACCGTATGGATGGACACCATGATGCGCTCCTCTAGCGGAATGGTTCGTAGCGGCAGTAGGACGAGGTTGACCGGGTGCACCATGATGAGACGTATGGCGTTGCAAGCCCCCTGTACGGGAAAAGGGTTAGAGAATGAGAGCAAGGAATGAACAAATGGTTGACGTACCGGGCCCGAGATCGACCATGGGCGACGTCGCGTCGTCGGAGGGGCTCGCGGGTTCTTCTTCATCATCGTCTTCCATGTCGTCATCGCGTTTGTTGCCACCAATATTGATACCACCTGGAATGTTGCGTGTAGGCGGAGGCATTGCCGTTGGCGGGGGCATGCCCTGAGCGACGCCAGAAGCTGGATGTGTAACTGGAACGGGCCCACCGGACGACTGCGGGACCTGTGGCTGGTTGTGAATATTTGCTTGATGAACGCTACTTCCTGCCTGTCCGAGCGGTGCACCCGTAGGGATCTGACCTGCGGGGGCGTTGAGACAAGCTTGGATGAGGTTCTTGCCCTCTGGCTGTGTGACCAAAGGCTGCAGTTTGGCCGTGGTAAAGGTATAGACGAGACCAGTCTCTGAGACGACGAGCAAGAGGACTTGAGTACCCGTGAGCGTAGAGAGCTCATATGCCTGGTTTGGAGAGTCAATAGTTGAGTACCAAATGGGGACGACGTGACGGCAGTGGGCACGAGTGGCAGACTGGCAAATCCCCCGTGAAACAGCGTCCCAGGGGGTTTCAGAGACCAGGATCTCGTGCGAGGGCGGGTTTGGAGGGGCCCAACACGACGAGCACGGCACGGCGACCAAGGACGGGGCGGGGACAGCAAAGGGAGCACACCTTTTTCATAATTCCAGCCTTGCGCTTTGAGAATGTAATGTGTCTCCTCGACTTGTCGTTGATAAACTCGATCTTGATCTTTCTGCGGCCAGATTTTTTGTCAGCGGCCTTTTTGGACGGGCCCTCGTCATCATCGTCGCCCTCATCATCGTCTCCGTCTTCGTGTTGGAAATTGATCATGGACTGGGGCGGAAGATGGCCGTGCGGGTGCTGGGCACCTCCTCCAGCGCCGACGGGAGCAGCAGACGTGGACATTATCGACTTCTGGAGCGCATGAAACGGGTGTTGTTAGCAAGCTAGATAGCGTGCAATCAAGCTTAGAATGCTAACCAGAGGCGATGGGAGGACTGGCCGAGAATGGTAGGTCACAAAACCGGAGTGGGCGCAAGCACCGTAAACGCAAGCAAACACGGGCGGGCTATAGGGGGGACCTGGCAAAGAAAGTAATTATGAGATAAATAAGAATTAGGAATCAGCGACGAACAAGTTTACCAAGCGGGAGGTTTAGCGCTGGCCTGGCTGCAGACGGCGTCTTGCTCGGTTTGGAACAACGACCAGAAGCGGAAGGAGACCCTCCTTATAAACACATTACACGGCAGTCCAAGCCAGTAGCGGCAGCAGTTATTCAACCGCCGCCTGGCCCGCTATGAAAACATCACCTTCCCAATGCGGCCACAGGCACCCTGGGAGATCATATGTCTGGTTGATTTCAGTGGCCCAAGTCCTTGAGAAGCACAGAGGCTAACGAGGGTCCTGCGCAATATCAGATCCCTGGAGGCCCCTTTGTTGGCCCCGTACAGTCATATGTTCGCCTCTTTGTAATTCTAACAGTACAAGTCCTTTGCAGACAGCTCCTCTGAGCCCATCTGCATAACGCCGCCAATTTCAAGTGACTGCTCCCTCCGTGGAGGTTGCCCGGCCCCAAACAACGCTTACTAGAAGCCGAGTCCGTTTCTCGTATCTCACAGAGAAATCATTAGGCTCTTGTGCTAATATTGAACAAAGCTGCGGAGCCGAGTGTTGACCCATCAGATCTAGAGATTTGTTTACCCAAACGGATTTGCGCCACTGCCTCGACAGTCGGAATGCGGCTCCTCGTGCTTACGTCCCGAAATGTCCTCCTGCCAGCACACGATCAGCCCGTCCCAGCGACGATCCATGCAGATCCATCCACAGGCAAGATCACCGCCATCGACTCTGGCTACTCGCCGCAAGACGCATTCGCAGACAATGATCGCTACGAATTTATTGATGCTGGAGATCTTTACATACTCCCAGGTCTCGTCGAGTAAGTCCCCTACGTTGCTTATCCCCACGCTCTTTGACCTTTGCCATCTAAACAGTGCACATGTCCACCTCAACGAGCCCGGGCGCACAGACTGGGAGGGATTCGCAACAGGGACTCAAGCAGCTGTCGCTGGAGGTGTCACCACTGTCGTCGACATGCCCCTCAACTCGATTCCACCAACGACCACCGTCCACAACCTGACCGTCAAGCGCGACGCCGCCAATGGACAATGCTGGGCAGATGTCGCATTCTGGGGAGGCGTTATCCCTGGTAATCAAGTCGGTTATCATCTCTTGGCGAGACGCCTATTGACAAAGTGATAAGGACGACCTGAGACCGCTATTGGATGCTGGTGTCAAAGGCTTCAAGTGTTTCCTCATCAATAGTGGCGTCGAGGTGTGCCACCTTCAATCACTTCTATATGACATAACCGGCGATAGGAATTCCCCCACGTAGAGGAGAATGATCTCAAGCTGGCAATGGAAAAACTCGAGGTACGCCTTGTTATCTCAATCACTCTCACTACTGACATCTACAGGACACCGACGCAGCCTTGCTCTTCCATGCCGAATTGGATGTACACGAAGACTCGCAACCGGATGCAGATCCACACGACTATAGTACATTTCTCGCCTCGCGCCCACAACAAATGGAACTCGCCGCTATCAACATGATAACCCGCTTACAGGCATCCTACCCATCAGTACGATGCCATATTGTCCACCTCACCGCCTCATCCGCCATCCCAATCATCAAACGCGCCAGAGCATCCGGCTTGAAACTGACAGTCGAGACATGTTTCCACTATCTCACATTTATCGCCTCGGACGTTCCCTCTGGTCATCCAGAGTTCAAATGCTGCCCACCTATTCGTGACGAGGCAAATAGGGAAGCACTTTGGGCGGCACTGGGCGACGGTACAATCGATTTTGTTGTATCGGACCACTCGCCGTGCGTCGCGAGTTTGAAAATGGTCGACGGTGGGGATTTCATGAAGGCGTGGGGTGGGATATCTGGACTGGGACTTGGTCTGAGCGTCCTTTGGACGGGAGCGAAGAAGAGAGGATATAGCATCAAGCGCGTGATGGAGTGGACCAGTGAGCGAACGGCCCTTCATGCCCGATTACACCACAGAAAGGGGTCTATTACGGTTGGACATGACGCAGATTTAATTGTGTGGAATCCAAATACCGAGGTGACGGTACGTACTTGTCATGTCTCTCCGAATTGTATCTGACGAATACATGAATAGATAGCGAAAGAGGATCTGCACTTCAAGAATCGGTTATCACCGTTTGAGGGCGTCAAGCTTCATGGTCAAGTCCAGCAGACGTACCTCAGAGGCGTGCTCAGCTGGAGCGTGGAAAAGGGCTTCCAAAAACCTTTTGGAAAGCTCTTATGAGCATCGCTGTGCTGGACCAGCCAACTGAAGTCAACCCGCCATCTAGGTCCCAATCCTATCTAGTTGGATCTGTACTACCAGATATAAAGAGGCTGTTCTCCGATCGTGCTTGAGGTGCCTCGTTGGAGCGCGCTGCTGGTTAGTTGTCAGTCTCTCGGTTCCACGCCTATGGCGCAAGATCTCGGTATAAATTTGCAGGTAGACTGGTTGGATTCAACGCTCACATTAGTCATTCTCCGTGCTGTCACGACAGCTCTCAACGTCCACGGAACATGAGCACCTGGAGGGGAACTAGTTCTACTGGCACCGCACTCTCACGGCAATTCTCACCTTCCAGAAAGCGAATCATGGGTGTCTGGGTGAAAAGTAGTTCTACGGGCCCAGATCTAATTCCACGGTTCCACGAGACTCCTACAGTATCAGAACGACGCCGAACCGTGGATAGCACTATTCCCAATGATAAAATTAACGGCAAAAAGACCACTTTGCCAGAAGCAATCTGGATGTGGCCTTCGGTCCCGCGCATCCTTACATCGTTTCAGACCCAGCATGACACCGACGTGCCGCTGGTCATGTCTCCCGATACGTTAATATACGATGAACCAGAGGCTGTCGATGGTACATCAAGCCAGGACATAACCAAGGAGGAAAGGCAATTGTCTATGCTGCAGGGCCAAACCATGGTCGAAGACGAAAAACCGGGAAGTGGTCATGTTTGGGACATTTATCCAACCATGCCAAAACACATCCGTCGATGGCACAAGCCAGCCCCGTGGGTCTAGCTATTGGGTTCCTTGGAGAGACTGACACCTCTGGCACCTAATAGAATTTACGTCGCAAACATTCCGATTGCCCCAGGCTCACTCGCTATGAATTGCAAGCTAAAAGAACTGCCAAAAGGGTGGACGATGTATATTCATCCTGAAGGGAAGCCGTACTATCATCGTGAGGCCATGGAGCCTGAGGACAACCTATTGGAAGGAGTAAGCGCTTGTCATTATCACTTTTACTTGGTGAGTCTTTCTGACACTTTCTAATAGACGCCGCTGTACGGTAAAGGCAAGGCAGTCTGCCCTCCATTGTCGATCGTGACAGACAGCGACCCGCGCGATCATGTGGTGCGCAAGACGCTGGAGCATGCCCATTTTATCGCTCGTGTCACTGTCATGGAGAATAAGTTTGAGCTCCCAAAGCGGTGCGAGCTGTTCATCGAGCTTTATCGGGAAGATGAAGAAGACTTGCGGCCTTATGCAGGGTATTATCTCGCAGATCACGATAACCAAGTCGTCTTCTGGGCAGCGTCAACTACTATTAATGACATCGGAGGTTTGAAGGTCAACCCTGAAACTTTTGCCAACCAACACCTTCGTGGGTCCAACCTGGAAAGTTGCCGAGGACTGACCCCATATAGGACTACAACTCGCTTCACAATATTGGTCTCACATTGAATGCTATCCCATCGACTCCAACATTGATATCAACGCGGCCCACAAATATCTAACCGAACAAATCGCGTTCATGTGCACCGACATCGCAACTTCGGCATCCTCTACATCTCCATGGACGGAGAGCCAATGCCAATCCTTCCTCTCTATGCTCAATCGTGAGTATTACAACACATGTAGAGCGCGTCTGATCAGAGTATAATAGACTGCCCACCTGGCCGTAAGACGTGGACTGTAGCCCGTCTGACTGCTCTCATGATGGACTGGCAATTCCAGAACCTCTACGGCCACCCGGCTGCTCGACTCGACCGTTGCCACTCGTACGAGGTTGAAGTGCCCGACATCCCTCTCGAGGATAAACCTGCCGCAGACAAAGAAAATGCCGATATGCCGTCCATTCTTACCGCAGAACCTGACACAAGAACCTCTCAGCAACAGCTGAGCGTGGTTTACCAATTCATGCTGGCAGTTCTCCTTCGCATAGCATGTGTGCTCATCTTCGACATATCGGCGACACACCACCGTGCGCTAGAAGGATTGTCGGTGGATAAGATTACAAGCCAAAGACGTACCCAGCTTTTCATCGATGAAACACTCAAGGATTGGACCGACACTAGCCTTCTTGCGACGGTGCTCTGGACGGCCAATATGGCATTTTTGGCTATCCCATACCCGATCCAACAGCAGTCGCAGATAGGCCTTCAAGAAATCATGCGTAATACCATGATAACTGCTTCTCTCGCCTCGACAATGTTTTCAATTGGCTCGATCGCCATTGGTTTACTGCATATCCGGATTTACCGGACGGTACGGACTGCAGAGGACCACTCTAAGTATATATATACGAAGTATCATCACGCCTTTGGATACCGACCACTTGCTATCATCTGGCGACTGCCTTTTACTCTTTTGGCATGGAGTGTCATCACCTTCAGTGCTGCGGTCATGATCTTCACTGTCACAGCTGCTAACAATGGAACAAGGTATCTGCTCATTACACTGGGCATGTTCATTGTGGCAGAGGTGGCGCTTTGCATGTGGTACTTCTGGTCACATGGTAATGAGGGAGGGTCAAGGCTGGACTTCAAGGCAATCTTTATAAATTGGTTAGTACTGCCGGAACACGATTCGGCGACGCCCGATAAGAAACCAATATAGTCTGTAGAATCTGCTATAGGCAACTGTAACATTTGAGGTGTAGGCACAGGAATATATTTACCTTTGAGAGTAGGGAATGGCCCGTGCTCAATACCACCCAAATGGTGAGGATTTACGAGGGCGCTTCATGGCTCCAGACAACCCGCTCCTCTGATGTCTTCAGAATACCCGTGGTGTCTGACTCTTCCATGCCGAGTTATATGTATACAAAAGCTCGCAACCGAATGTAGACCGACACGCCTCTGGCATATTTCTCGTGTCACCTCCATGACTACACAACTCGCTGCTATCAGCATAGTAATTTGCGCACAGGCATGCCTCCCATTATAAGATGTCACGTTTGTACACCTCGCCACCTCACTCACCGTTTCTATCATTAAACACGGTAAAGCATCCAGCTTCTGGTTGATAGTCGAGACGTGCTTTCACTACCTTGTCGCCGCGAACCTTCTGGTCACCCAAAAGTCAAATTCTATTGGGCAAGTAATAAAACACTTTGGGCGGCGCTGGGCGACGGTACAATCGACTTTGTCGTATCGGACCATTCGCCATGCGTCGCCAGTTTGAAAATGGTCAACGTTGGAGAATCCATGAAAGCATGGGGTGGGATATCTGGATTAGGGCTTGCCCTTTGGACGGGAGCGAAGAAGAGGAGTATAGCATCAAGCGCGTGATAGAGTAGACCAGTGAGCGAACAGCCCTTCATGCCCGACTACACGACAAAAGGGGGTCCATTAGGGTCGGACTTGGTGCAGACTTGGTTGTTTGGAATCCGGAACCCGAGGTGACCGTGCGTGTTCGTCGCTTCGCGTGGATTAATAGTTCACAAGTGAGCGAATAGACAGTAAAAGAGGATCTGCACTTCAAGAATCGGCTCTTGCCGTTTGAGGGCGTCAAGCTGCATGGCCAAGTCCGGCAGACGTACCTCCGAGGCGTGCTTAGCTGGAGCGTTGAAAAGGGCTTCCAAAAGCCCTTGGAAAGCTACTATGAGCGTCTGCATGCTACTGATCTCGGAATCAGCCAACCGACAGGGCCGACATCTAGAATCCAGAGTGTGTCTAGCTGCATCTGTACTATCCGATCTAACGAGATTGTTCCTTGTATGAGCCAGTAATATATTCATGAGCCGCCTCGTTGGTTTCCCGCAGATTCCGATCCAAAGCCGAGTCGGTTGTGCGTGTTCCGGGCGAATGACAGTTTCTGAAAGCTTTACACTCGGATTATACTCCCGTGGCGCAACATTTTCTTATAAATCTGAAGGCAGGTTAGCTTGGACCCAGACGCCCACATCAGTCACGCCCAGTACTCTCACGACAGCTCTCCACTTTACGAAATAAATCATGAGCTTCTGGAGGAGAAACAGTTCCATGGACCCAGGTCTCCCGCGCTTCTCCAACGAGACTGCTGCGCAACCAGAACGACAACAAACGGCCGATAACATTATTCCTAATGATAACAACGACGAAAAAAAGACTACCCAACCCGATGCTCGCAATCCAAATAGGACATGGTCCTCGCTCTCCCGCGTCCTCCGCATTGACACCTCGTTCACGACCCGCCATGGAACCGCGGGTCTGGTCATGTCTCCCGAGGGCTCACTACACGAAGAACCAGAGGGTGCAGATGGCACTTTTAGCCAGATGATTCTCAAGGAGCAGAAGGAAAAGGAAAAGCCCGTGTTGCATGGCAAAACCATGGTCGAAGAGGAAAAACCGGGTAGTGGTCATGTTTGGGACATTTACCCAACCATGCCAAAGCACATTCGTCGATGGCACAAGCCAGCACCGTGCGTCTCGCCCTCTTGAATTGCTTGGAGAGACTGACGCGTCGAATAGAATTCCTGTCGCACATACACCCATCGCTCCGGGCTCCCTCCCAATGAATCGCAAGATGGAGGACCTGCCAAAAGGGTGGAAGATGTATATCCATCCCGAAGGGAAGCCGTACTATCACCGCGAGGCCATGGAGCCCGAAGAACATTTATTGCAAGGAGTAAGCGCTTATCTTCACTTGGCGGGCTTTTCTGACGGTTTCTTCTAATAGACGCTGCTGTACGGTAAAGGCAAGGCAGTCTGCCGTCCATTGCCAATCGTGACGGACAGCGACCCGCGCGATCCTGTGGTGCGCAAAACGCTGGAGCATGCCCATTTTATTACCCGTGTCACTGTTGCGGAGAACGAATTCGAGCTTCCCAAGCGCTGCGAACTATTCATCGAACTTTATCGGGAAGATGAAGAGGACTTGCGACCGTATGCCGGATACTATCTCGCAGATCATGATAATCAAGTCGTCTTCTGGGCGGCACCGACTACCACTAATGATGTTGGAGGTCTGAGGGTCAACCCTGGAACTTTTGCTGACCAGCACCTGCGTACGTCCACTCTGAACGAATTGCCGATTACTGACCCTCATTTAGGACTACAACTTACTTCACAATATTGGTCCCATATCGAGTGCTATCCCATCGACGCCAACATTGATGTCGATGCTGCCCATAAATACCTAACCGAGCAAATTGCGTTTATGTACATCGACGTCGCAACTTCAGTATCCTCCACATCTTCATGGACGGAGAACCAATGCCAATCCTTCCTCTCTATGCTCAGTCGTGAGTTTTCCAATCGTCTTGGGGGACATCTCTGATTATTGTAGATTGTCCACCTGGTCGTAGGACATGGGCTGTGGCGCGTCTGACTGCGCTCATGATGGAATGGCAATTCCAAAACCTATATGGCCATCCAGCTGCTCGACTCGACCGTTGCCACTCGTACGAGGTTGAAGTGCCCAACATCACTCTCGAAGAAAAAGCTGCTGCAGACAAGGACGGCGTCGACGTACAGTCTATACATACCATGGAATCCGACACTCCAAAGACGTTTGGACAGCGGCTAAGCATGTTTTACCAATTTGTGCTGGCGGTTCTTCTCCGAATAACGTGTGTGCTCCTCTTCGACGCACCGGCGACGCATTACAATGCACTGGAAAAGATATGGGTGGACAAGATTGTACACAAGGCCCGGTCTCAGCTCCTCATCGACCGCACAGTCAAGGATTGGAGCGATGTCAGCCTGCTCTCGACTGTGCTCTGGACGGCCAACATGGCATTCTTGGCCATCCCGTACCCGATTCTCGATCCTCAGCAACAACGGCCACAGACACGACTCCAGGAAATCATGCGTACTGCCATGATCACGGCCTCACTCGCTTCGACAGTGTTTTCGGTCGGCTCAATCGCCATTAGTCTGCTGCATATCCGAAAACACCGCACCGAACGGACTGCAGAGGAATACTGCGAATATCTAGAGACACAGCATCACCACGCATTTGGCCACCGACCGCTCGCAATCATCTGGGCACTGCCGTTTGCCTTTTTGATGTGGAGTGTCATCACGTTTAGCGCTGCGGTCATGATTTTCACTATCATGGCTGCTGGCGACGTGACAAAGTATCTTCTTGTCTCACTGAGCGTGTTCATCGTGGGATGGATCGTGCTCTGCGTGTGGTATTTCTGGAAACGCGAGTCACATAAGGAAGATGGGTTGAGGCCTCGATTCAAGATGATATTTACGAACTGGACGTGGGACTGGCGCGCTTCACCTTCTCAGGCCGTCAAAGAGGTGCTCCGCAAGAACAGCGCGCTGCCTCCTGTATGACCTAATCCCCGCCGTTCTCCACAATTTCTATCACGTTATCTATGCCATCTGTCAACCTACAGTATCTCGCTTGTAGCACGCCCTATCGCTGTTTATAACTCCTTTGTACCATGGAACAGAAATGACAATGACAACCGAATATTTCCAGATAGTATGAACTTGAAACGTGTTTATTTATTGTCCTTTTTCTCTTCTTTTGGACCCTTTGGACCTTTCGGACCAGTCCCGTCATTCGCCTTGACTACATCTGGAGTTGGTTTACCGCGAAGTTTGGGCCTCGGACCACTTCCATCACCCGCCTTGACTACATCTGGAGTTGGTTTACCGCGAAGTTTGGGCCTCGGACCACTTCCATCACCCCCCTTGATTGTACCTGGGCTTGCTTTACCACGAAGTTTGGGTCTTGTCCTAAATTCGTCAACGAACAAGCTTCAAACAACATGTTACATATCTTACTTTATGTTCTCCGGTTTATCAGCCGAGTCCTCCGAGCTGGAGTCGTCCGCGTCCTTAAGTGACGAGCTTGTCGAATAAGATTCGTCACTCCTGAAGAGTCAGGTTTGTCAAAATTCACAAAGGGATACTATTTCAGAAGCAATGTCCATCCGGCTCGCAGAAATGGCTTGGCAGGGAAGATAGAGCGAAATAAGAAGGGTGAATAGAATTGAAAAGAAGAGGGACGGAAAGTAATTTCTGGAGGAGATGATTATTTACTTGCGTGGTCCACCGCTCGGTCTCTTCACTGAACTTCCACCTCCCTTTGATCCGTCAGAACTCGACTTGCCGCGCAGCTTGCCGTGATGATCATGTTCATGGTGGTCCTGTTCATGATCATGTTCCGGGCTGAGCGCTCTGTTTGCGGACCGCATCACATTAACCGGCCAAGGACAAATTACGCCCAAAAGCGATATGCCGCCAGAGCAATTATACGTGGTCAAAGTGTCAGTAAATCCAGGTGGCAAACAAAATAAAAATACGCAACCCATGATCCACTTTGACATCTTGATCACTAGTCGATTCATGCTCTTCCGGTTTTGTAGGCCCGTGACTCTCTACGCTGTCACCATGGCCGTGGCTAACCAGGATTGGGATATCAGTCAACTTGCGAAGAAGTCAGAGTCGTCACATACCCGGAACCCTCTACGCCGTTCTCCGCCTCTTCCTCCAGCTTGCGACTCGCAACTAGTGGACTAGAGCACAGTTTCAGATATGCACGGCAGCAAAGGTTTCCGGATCTAGATTCCGATCTGACGAGAAGAATGTATCCTTACCTCGATTTTGCTTCGGACATCAAGAGAAACGAAATTGCGAGTGGTGGCGGGTCCAAGTTGTCAACTCGGTGGCGCGTATTCCTAACTGACACGCGCTTTGCATCAAATCAAGGATAAGAGGGAGATGCCCAAGTTCAAACTCTCCATGCACACTTTCTCTATTATCTGGCATTTGAATTGCCAGTGTTACCAGTGATACAGATACAATGACAATGAGTACACAGGCAAAATGTCTCGGCATAGATTCTCTCTGTGGAGAGCAAGATCAATTAGATGCTGATCACTTTATCGCGATACTGACGTTATATGAGTCGTTTGTTCGGAGATGGGAAGAAGAGGACGAACCAAATGATTGTTGCTCGTGACTAAGGGCTCTGGAGGAACTATGGGCAAGAGACAGTTGGGTCCCAGACACCGCGTGGTGCCAGCAGGACCTTTCTCACAGTCTTCGTGAAGGCTGTCAGTGTGCTTCTTGAAATGCTCGCTGTTTCATCTCAGTATCTAAAACGCTGTTCCCATACAAGTCACGTACCGCAAATAGTCGCTCAGTTCGCCGAGGGTAATGCTGTCATCGTGTTCTTTTGAGCGCTCCTCGAAGCACTGGATAAAGACCTTTCAAGTTGTCAACATAGGCCCACCCCTACCGGATTCAACATACGTTTGTGAGAATCCCGCCTAGATCAGTTTTCTCAATGGCTTCTTCCGAGTCTAGACAAGCCGCGACGCTGGTGACATCCGGCTGAATATCCATTGTGGGTTCATCCGAAGGTGTGAAGGCATGAAGAGTCGACGCTCGTTCCTTCATCGTCGCTTTGGGGACCACGCTTCGTCGCAGCTCAGGGTGGGGGGTAAGTAGCACCGTAGTATTCGCCGGTGCGGCGGATGTTGGTCTGCGGCAGAGTCAGAGTATGCAACGAGGAATATGCTCTCTACTCACTGTGATATAGTTTCGTCATCGATGGGAGACGTCATATTCTCTGGGTGCACACTTCCAACAAGCCATTTGTCAAAGAAATACCGTTTGGCACTCGTAGCCGACTTCATGGAGCCGTATGTAGGGGTCTTTGCAAGAGGAGTGGGCTGTTCAAAGCTAATCCGTGTACCATTCGCCTTTTGCGCAGGTGAAATTGGCGAAGGCATGTCCAAGGTTGACTGAGGCGTCTGCATTTTCTTCATGGGGACCCCATAGTGCATAGCAGAGATGCCAGTCGCGTCGTTCATCTTGGTTTCTGGTAGCTTGAGTAGATTCGAAGTTCGTTGTCGCGAAGGATTGATCGACACCCTTCGAGCGCCTTTGGCTTTGATAAACCTGCTCGTCCTTTCTTTCTCCATAGCAGCCGCTTTTCTTTGTGAAACTGCTGCCTTGACACGGACGTCGGTGTCTTCACGAAGGCGGAATTCTTTTTTAGCATAGATGGGGTCATCGAGAGCTAAGTCGAGTCAGTTCTGCAAACCACCCAATCTAGTTGAACTCACTGAGCCGGCGTTGGTGGATATGATTGCGCACTGCGACAGATAAGAGCCCGGAAGATGGTCGTACAAATGACTCACCTAGGGAGGAGCTCTTGAGAAGAGGAAGAGTCTTGACGAGTCGTTCCGTAAAGGTTGGAGGAAACTCTTTCGGGAGGTCGAGCATTGTGCCCGCGTGACAGCAGTCGAACACAGTCTACAACAGAGTTATCAGATCGTTGAAGAGAAGGAGCGCCCACATACTATCAACGAGCAACCGCTGGGGATCGATTTAACCAACAGCTCGTGTAATTCGTTGTCCGTGATATAAGTCTCTTCGTCTCCTTCGAGGCATAGAGGAACAATAGCTACGAGCGTGGTCAGCATCTACGCCAAATAACGTGTGACATAGGTACCCTCGTCCATGCCATCCACCTGCGAAAGGGGTGAGCGATGTCAAAAAGCAAAAAAGAGACTCACCTCGGATTGAGTCTCGTTTGGCACTTGGTGTCCATGTCCGGCGTCTGTTGAAATGTTAGAGAAGCCGGAGAGATTTTGATAAAACTTGCAATGGAGGAAGAGCTTGTCCCCATCTCTGGCATCCTCCACGAGCCATTTTAACGCATCTCGCTGCGATGACCATCAGCCCATGCAGCCCGTGTGACATCACGATACGTACGACAACATTGGCTGTTGGCTGAGGGTAAGCGTCCTCGTCCAGAAGAATCAGCATTTCGGTGTAACCCCCTAACTGGACGTGAGCTCCACGCGTGGGGCCTATGCGAACCAAACCCATACGAGATTTCAAAAACGCTTCCATCTTCTTTACATCGTTTCCGGGTGTATCCAGCTCCGGCCAATCCTTAACGATATGGGCCCTATAGTTGATTCCAATCTGTACAGACAAATGGTTAGCGTTTCATCCCTTTTAAGTATTGCGTCACGTACGAGAACAGCGCGTTTCTTCGGCGATCTCACCGGCGCTGCAACATCGTCGAGCGCCGCCGTACCATTGGCCACGACTGGCAGCGCGCTACTGGCAGCAGGGGCCATCGCCGTGCTTTCATCCTCTGGAACGCTCTCCAGACCCGAAACGAGTTTTTGTTCAGCCAAAGTTGCATTTCCATCGACAGCCCGTTGGCCTGTGGCGTTTCCGACTGCAAATAACGAGCGCTCGGCGCTGTGGTTTACGTCGTCTGCGCGGTTCACGTCGTCTGTGCGAAGGCTGTCGTTTGTTCTATCCGTCTCGTTTGTACGATTGGGCTCGGTTGTGTAGACTAGATTGTCCGAATCCTGGTGTGTCTGCGCTGCGTCGCGAGAGATTTGTTTAGCAATAATCGTCGTCGTCACCGTGTCCGTTGCTTCCAACACAGAGAGTCGTTTCTGATCCACAAAAGAGGACTCTTGCGCATTACCATTCTCACCAGCGAGCGGGTGCGCTGGTGTTTCGCGCTCCGGGCGTTGCTGTCGATTGCGTAAGGACTGTGAGCCCAAGTGGGAGCGTATCCACGCCCGAGCAGCCTTCCAGCGTCGTTGAAGCCAGCTGAACATGATTGTGGGGGAGTCAAAGGTTTGGCTAATAAGAGCAGTTAAGAGGCGGCAGGGACCTGGCCAGTCAAGGCAGTCATGGAGTACCCTTACTGATAGCCGATCAACGCCCCTTGTAATCCAAGACAAACAAGGCTGCAAGGGTCGGGGGTCAAGGATTCGTCGAGCGCTCGGAAGCCGCTTTCGCCGGTCAATCTCACAGAACGCAGAAGATAAGAGAAGTCGAATTCCAATTCCACGAAACAGCAGATTATGAGACACCGAGACAAAATGACGCGTATGAATGTACAGATAGCTTGCCAAATACAAAGATCATGAGAAATTGCGACGAATTTGGATGCAGAGGGAGCATCCAAGACAGTGAGGCGCGCAGAATGTGCCTAGGTTGGATGGCACTGTGCTGAACGTCTTCGTTGGCCAAGGCCGGTGATATGGACCATGCGGGCCAATGGAGGCAGGTCGGATGTCGTCAATGTATTTGGAATGCTTAAAGTGGCCAAGATGGAACGATGCACGCTTCAATATGACTGGCAATCGAGAGTCAAGACGATCACACCCGTGACCTTTGCTGACACTGGTGGCAATCTGTAGAACAGATGCGAGGTAGTGTCAAGACAAAAGTCAGCTGGAGCAACGTAATCTCGGCCTCGACGACGCAGGCATTGGTAGAAACTGCTTCCTTCCGTTTCGGTGTACAGAGCATACACCCTTTGGCCGGCGTGCTTGCAGAGAGCAATGCGACGCTGTGATCGGCACTGCGACGTCCACATAGACGGGATGGCCGCGTGCAACGTTTTGATAGCGTCATGCTATTGAGAGATTTGTAATTGCAGTCTTGACAGAAACAGTCTTGGGATTGATTATTTCGGAGGCGTCCCCTGTCGGGTCACTACACGGCGTATTGGCTTCTCGTAGCGAATGCGCGCATAGCTTCTTTGATAATGTTTTCAAAGACGGTACTCGGAGCGAATCCAAGCTTGCGACCACGGGGCTCTGGAGAAAACTCTGGTACCGCAGTCTCCATCGTGTCCCACTCAAGCTTGGACTCTGGTGCACGTCGCTCAGGTTCAAAGCCGACCTGAGTCGACAACAGGTCTTCCAGAGAGGGAAGTGTGGTTGGGAAGAGAGTCTGTAGGTTTCGACGTTAGTGACAGGGAAGCGACCACAAAGGGACACGGGTACCTGATACGGTTCCTTTTCGGCGATATACTGTTTTTTGTTTAAAAAAAAGAAAAGATCGTGTCAGAATATATTGGGGTGCGATTGATGGAAGAGACTGACCGCTCGTGTAGTCACTCCGTGGGCTTCGTCGGTGAGGGACTCGAAATCGTCTTCGTCGGAATACTGCGGGAAGAAAGGTACATTGTCAGTCTTGAGAAAAGAAGGTTGTGACGGAAGCCATTTACGTCGGAGAACATGTCTTCGTCGTCGCTGAAAGCGGGATGTGACGCTGCAGAGTCGCACGAGGCGATTGAATGCAAATCGTCGTCCAAAGTAGATGTCAACTGGGTCTTGTTTTCAGCCTCGAGCTCGGCAAAACTTGCTCGTTGGAGGCCTTGGCCGGCTATCGACGCCCACGAAGGCAACTCTTCACGGGCAGCCCTGGAGCGTTGTGTGCGACGATTAGCATTTCTTGCATGAGAGATATCCTCCCAAGAGCGAGGATAGGGCGAGGCAGAGGCTGAGCGGGCTCTACGAGGACCCGCGGCGCCGGGGTAGCGATACGAAGAGGTCATCACGGCGAGATTGGTTTCTGAGCGACGCAGAGAGGCAGACGAATACGAAGAAAATGTTCGCTGGAGCATTCTCGAGGGTAAGCTTAGATGAAGGGGAGGTCCAAGGGGCGGATAAAGAAATCGAGCCCACGGTTTGTCGCCAAAACCTTATAATAAGCAGAGGCCGCCTGACCCTCGATTTAGCTCTTCTCTTTTGCGTCTTCTCGAGGCGTGCTCTCCTCTTCACCCGAACAGCGACGACACCGTCCAACGCGCTCATTAACCTTGGAATCTTGTCTATATCGACGTAAAAACACGCCTGAGGGCATTTGCTTGGACATTCGAGGGCACCGCGACGCGTTGTCCCTCTTGGACTCTACCACAATCAACTCGTACTCTTGCCCTCGGCCCTAGCACGCTATAGGAGAAATGTATACGCTCCAATCGTCTCAAAATGCAGCGATATAGATCCTGTTAACCGCTCGCCACCGCGGTTGCGGCACAGCACCCGTCAATTGCTGCTGCCTTCTGTCGTTTGAAAACTGCAAACCCAGTTACCTTTACGGGAACGCAATCTGTCAACTGTCAACCGCCGTTGCTGCTCCTCCGTGCAATGTGTCCCAAGCTCGCTCGACGATTGGGCAAACCTTGTTCAAACCCACGGGATGGGCCGCCCACCCAGCTCTACACAGCTCTCTTTGGGCAGAGGATGCTGGCGGCCGGGTCTCTGCGGCTCTCTCAGAGGTACAGCCCTAGGATCTTTGGCGTTCCCCCTGAGGCATTATGGATAGGAGACCCCCTATCACTGTTGATACGGCTCTTTCGCCGCCACATTATCTCATTTGGCCAGAAAGGGCATAATCATCTTGTGTACTCTACATTCTCCGGCGAAGATGACTTTCCGACGCTGATAGGGGCATCATTCGTCGATATTCCCAAACGACGAGGGGCATCCGATACCCAAATTTGGCAATTCTCTTACCGCATACATGGGACTAGACGCTTCGGACTGCCCCGTTGGTCGTAATTTAGCAGCCCTGCATTTCCGGCACGCAAACTCGAACCCCGCCAGCACCCTCATCTGCCTGCGTAAAGCCTGACAAATTCGCCAGCGATGAGCGTACACACTCAGCGACAAGGAGCCATGTTCGAGATGAAGTTCCGTCGCATTCAAGAACATGTCCAGCGTCTCCAGGACGATCTCGGTCGTCCCCGCGTCAAGATATCAGAGGCTTCAGCTAAGTGAGCTTATCCTCTCCCTTGGTAAACGTATTGTTGACTCGAACCGATAGTCTTATTCAATACTGCAAGGCGACCCGCGACCCGCTAGTACCGTCCATCTGGGGTCAAATAGAGGACCCGTACGCGCCTCCGGAAAAAGGATGTGAATGTATCTTGGCCTAATTCGTTCAAACCTGGTAGTAAGTGAAGTCGCGGACACAGTACTCGTCCAAGCTCATCCCTCGTTCAGGCATCGTATCTTTACTCTACGCATTTTCATTCCCCGTATTCTACTGTTTGTATCCCGTCTAAAATCCAGACACTGCTGACGTGCCTTTTGATTCTACTTCTGGCTACATGATCTCGCGACTAACGAGTCATATGGTAATCATCTACTTTGAGCAGCAATGCAACAGTCTCTGTTGCAAGCTCGATGGCACTAGTCGACACCAACAATGGCTGTACGACGTCCTCTTCCAGGATATTAGAGATGAGGCCCTGTATGCGTAAGTCACGTCAAGTCACACGCGCAGCCGCATACAACATACCTTTCGAACGTTGATACCCGCATTCCGCTCGCCTTTGGCATGTCGATTGCGCAACTCGGTGACGATTGCAATTGGGTTCAGCCCCGCATTCTCCGCGAGTGTCGTCGGGATAATCTCCAACGCATCCGCATAGGCCTGGAAGCAATACGCTTCCATACCGGTTAGAGTATGGGCATCTTGTGACAACAGGCGCGAGACATAAATCTCTGGTGCACCACCACCAGCGATCAACGCCCTTGACCGCTAGAGTCAGTATCGCGTATACTTAGCACCCTAGATACGTACCGCTTCTTGACAAGACAGCGAACCACACATAGCGCATCGTGCAAGCTGCGCTCCGTCTCGTCGAGCACAAGCTGATTGCTCCCCATGGCCAGGATGCTCACAGTTCCACCTCGAGCACCGACGCTTGCACCAGCAGAGGCTGAACCCGCACCCGCCACAGCAGAGGCGCTGCATATCGAACGCCTGTAATCTTGACCACTTTGCATTCCTGAATCAATGCTTCTTCGCACAGTTCGGCATATCCGAGCTTGTCTTCCGTGAAAGCGTCCACATCGCTGACGGGTTTACATCCTAGGCTTCTACACAGGAAATCAACCTCGTCCCGTTCGATATCCTTGATCACGGCGATTTTGAGCTTGGATAGGATTGCAAGGGATTCGTTGGTCACAGCATCGCGAAGAATCGACTTTTGGATGAGAAGAACGTTGCAGCCTGACTTCTTGATCTTCTTCAGCATATTGATAAGATAGGCACGTTCCTCCTTGATGATTTTATCCATGAGACGGTAGTCGTTCACAATAATTGTGTGATCCATCTACCTGCACTGTTAGCACCGGGCCAGACTTGCGAGTGATTACGAACATCCGGCTTTGGAGGACTCAACTGGAACTGGATGAGGCCAATCTTTGCCTTTTCCACCCTTGTTGGACTACCGTGCGATGTGATCATATTCTGATTCAGGACAACGCCCTCGACCAGAGTCGTGTCTTCGATGGTGCCGCCGACCTAAGTCCAGTGAGCAATGGGAATTTCTAGCTCCGAGGCATCACTGACCTTTTTGACGATTCTGATGTCACGGAGGTCAACATTGGAACTTTGTGAGGACGAAATTCGAGTGACGGCCTTGACGGCAATGGGGGCAAGTGTCGAGGAATACTGCGACACAATCTTCGAGTTGAGACTGGTCGTAGCTGCACGGAGCAGGCTTGCATTGTCTGATAGGTCAATAGGCGTTGACATTTGGGTCAAATACTCGACGGCTTTCGAAGCAGCCTTGAGGAAGGAACTCGCAATGAGCGATGGATGGATTCCTAGCAATAGCGTGAGCAGACACAAACGTGAGTTTATTTGTCTTGCTTCTTACCTTTGCCGAGCATCTTCTCAGCTGCACCCAAGAGACTTCCTGCAAGAACAACGACGCTGGTCGTGCCATCGCCCGCTTCAATATCTTGAGCCGCAGATAGATCGACAAGCTAGGGGCATCTTGTGAGTGCCGAGTCGCAGAAGAAGAATATGAATAACGGCACCATTTTCGCGGCGGGGTGAAGCGCCTGAATGCTCTTCAGAATTGTCGCGCCATCGTTTGTTACAATGACCTCTCCTTTCGAAGTTGAGATCTATCAAGGCAACCGCCGTGGACAGTGAGCATTTGTAAAAGGTGGCTGAGGTTTACGAACCATCTTGTCCATGCCTTTTGGGCCCAGCGATGTGCGAACGGCATCGCTGATTGCTTTCGCAGCCGTCATATTTGACAGACGAACTTCCATTGGCTTACTCTACAACGCGATCTGCATTAGCCACCCAAGGCCACTTTCCCACTGACATGAATACCTTGTCGTTGAAGGTGCTATTAGCACCACTTGCAGCCTTTGAAGTCGATGGTGCTGCTGTCGTGGACGCCATTTTGGTATCTGACGCAGATCACGCTAAAATATGTTTTGCTTTGAGCCGTCTGAGTGCTTTCTGGTAATCGACGCGTCGAGAAGAAGAATACGGCAGCACTCCTGGCTACAGGCGGTGGTTTTAGGGTAGCAGGCGCGTGATGATGGACTCGGTGGCGACGCGAGTCGTGGTGGTTGGGGATCAAGCTTTGCTCCCGACCATACTCGCCGCGTACAAGACATGCCCGCCCATATCGAAGAAATCAAAGACACTGATGATGTAGAACATCAAAAGGAGGAAGAAGATAACTCGGACGACGGTGGTGCAGAACCAGGAGAAAACGTAGGCGCTGCCGAACCGTCATCCAGCACTACAGTCTCGAAAAGCAAAAAATCAAAGAAGAAGAAGAAATCCAAGACGGACAAAGCTGGTAAGGACATACCTCAGGAGGTCGTCGATCACGTCGTCAGTGAGATCAGGTGAGTGGCTTGCTAGCACATCCAGTCCATCTTCTCACGCGACGCTCCAAGGCAGAAGCATGGAGCAGCTGAAGCAGAAAAGATTGACGAGGCTCAAATTCGTGCGACGCTCGATCAGCTCAAGATTCTCGAGGTACTCAAGGGAAAGACTGGCATTGGAGGCAAGAACCGAAAGGAAATGGGCGAGCACAAGTTTTGGGCGACACAGCCTGTCCCTCAGTTTGGTATATCAGCTTGTCACGGTGCATTCCTTGTATCCTCATGGCCATACAGGTGAAGGCGTTCCCCAACAAGATGGGCCGATAGAACCCTCGAAACCGGCTTCCGAGGTGCGACAAGCTCCTTATCCTCTCCCAAAGGACTTCGAATGGGCACTCGTTGACATCACAGACGATGCCGAGGTGAGCCATTGCACCATCGTCCTATTGAATAGAGATAACCGTCACCTAAGCTCAAGGAGCTTTACGAGCTCCTGAGCGCTAACTATGTGGAGGACGATGACGCCTCCTTTCGTTTCAAATACTCAGCCGAGTTTCTTCGGTGGGCCCTCATGCCACCGGGCTGGCATCCAGAATGGCACGTTGGTGTCCGCGTTGCCCCTAAGAAATCGGAAGTGACCCAGGGCACCTCGCAAAAAGGTCGTTTAGTGGCCTTCATTAGTGCGGTGCCCGTGACGCTCCGAGTACGGAATAGGTACGTTCCCAGTAGATTTATCGACATACCTGACTCGTTCTCTTAGTCAATTCGATGCATCGGAAGTCAATTTCCTCTGTGTTCACAAAAAGCTACGGTCTAAGAGGCTTGCCCCGGTGCTAATCAAGGAGGTGACGCGACAGTGTCATCTAAGGGCATATTTCAAGCCATATACACTGCGGGAGTTGTTATACCGACCCCCGTTAGCACCTGTCGGTCAGTTTGCTGGTGGACAAGCTACACACCTTCTAATGTGTGGCAGTTATTTCCATCGCTTGTTGAATGTGCAGAAGCTCGTCGATATCAAGTTCACGACTGTACCTCGAGGCTCGACCATGGCGAGGATGATCAGGCAGTTTCATCTCCCGTCGACACCCAGACTCATGAACTCGGAGCAGGCGGCAATCTTTGGCAATAACGATGGGAAGGGAAAGTCTGCTGAACTCCGTATGTTTACCCGGTTGGACATTGGCAAAAGCCTCACACTCCCGCAGCGACGCATGGGCTCAGGGAGATGGAAGACCGCGATGTACCAGCCGTGACAAGGCTATGGGAGCGATACATGAAGCGCTTTGGCATGGTCCCTGTTATGAAGAAGAGGACATAAGACATCACCTTCTCAGCGGGCGTGGCGAGGGACCAATCACCAACGGCAGACGCGAAGGCCAAGTGGTATGGAGCTTTGTGTACGAGGTACGTTTAGTGCATGACTCATCCAGAAGTACGTTGATCTGATTTAATTCTCTAAGGACCCGACGAGCGGCGAAGTCACTGACTACTTCTCCTTTTACACCCTCCCTTCTACGGTGATGCAAGCTAATGAGAAGCACTCCCAGCTGGATGCGGCCTACTTGTTCTACTACGCCTCGGATGTCGCACTGAGCACGAGCGACGACTCGAGACTGCGGAAGCGCCTTGAAGAGCTCATCACTGATGCGATGATCGTCGCTGTACAGGTATACTATCGTCATATCGTCCATCCAGAGGTTTATGACACCCCTTAGGCCAAGTTTGACGTCTTCAACGCGTTGACACTGATGGACAATCCCCTGTTCCTCGCAGATCTCAAGGTATGTTCTACGTTGCGCTCAATCTTGTCTCACGTTTCTTCTAGTTTGGATCAGGCGACGGTCTGTTGAACTTTTATCTTTACAACTGGAGGACACCGCCTCTGGCAGGAATCGAGTCTGTCGACGGAGTACCAATAGGCCGGGGTGTTGGCGTAGTAATGCTATGACATATACACGGAGGCTCATATCACCCAAGAAAGTACCGACGACCACTGTGAGAGTTGACATCAAAGTCGTTGTAGGCGAACGTCCGACTCGACGCCGTGCATGCTGACTCCAATCTACGATATTCTTTCAGTAAATGGGTTGAATTCATTTATAGAACTCACACGTTTCGGACAATTGTTTGTGATTCTGTTGCAGCCAAAGCAATTGATCCTCTTGAGCGCCGTGGTTCCAGTTTGGTCTGCCTTGATGAGACTACCAATGACAATATCATTGACGTTTCTGCACCATCCAACATCAAGCGTTGAAAGATTCGGTGCCTTTGCTGCTATGAGCTTGAGTGCGTCTTCATCGACTTCTTTCCAGCTATTGATATCCAGGGACACTAGAGTATGTCCCGAGTGCTCAAGAAGTGCGGCTAGAGCAAGTGACGCAGCACCATGGCAGCGAGACATGTCTAGACGCACCAGTTGATTGGTGGAAGGGAGCTGCTTGAACATCGCCGCGATACCTTCATCAGTAATCAATGGGAGAAGAGAAAGCGAAAGATCCGTCAAGGATTTGCAGTTGGCGGCGATACCGTCCGTAAGGACCGCGTCCTCTAGGTCTTCGTGTCCGCTGAGGTCGAGCAGAGCAAGGTTCCTCCCGAGTGATTTGAGGAGCTCAACGACTGCAGCTGAGGAGAGTATCACCCTACCGGATCGATCGGTGGAGATATCCAGACTCGTCAGGTTGGTAAGCTGTGCGAGGGGCTCGAGCCAACTGTCCTCAAATTTGATAATGTCGGAAAGCCGAAGCTCTTGGAGTTGTGGAGCGTGCTCAATAAGAGCATCCAGACATTCTCGAGTGAAACGGGGGACGTTGGTGATGAGAAATCCGGTCAAATGGGGACCACGAGCACGGATGAATTTGAGCCACGCGTCGTCTCGCACCAGAAAGGGTGCGATCAGCTCAAGGCGTTTGAGATTCGGAAGCGACGTTGACCAATGATCAATGGTGGGCGTTTCCATTCGTCCACAAAGATGGAGGGTAAGACGCTCCAGGTTTGGATTGAAGTAGGCCAATGTCTCATATGCAGGTCCCTGAAGATCTTGAAGATTCAGAAATAAATTAATCAATATTTTCCGACTTACTGGTTGCATCGTAAATAACGAGGGACGTGTTTGAAGCATCATAGAAGAGTCGGACATTGTGCTCTGTGAGAGATCGTGTCTTCGAGACAATCTTGCATATCCTATCCATGTTGACAGTCCCAATGTCACCAAGCTCCTCGACTTGATCGATGTATTTGCCAATAATCTGCATTGGTGGTTAACCAGCGCCGAATGCGTGATTGGTACCCATACGTTGATGCATAAGCTAGTAAGTGGCTTAACAGTATCTACCTCTTCAAAGTTCTTGACCGTTCGCTTCTCTGCCGGGTCCTTGCGTTTACGAGGTGCCGGCTTCTTGAAGGGATCGGCTCCGGACGCTTTGGCGCATGCATGACACAGCATACCACTCTCATTGGAAAGAGTATACTTCGTCTAAAGAAGTTAGTTTGGGTTACGTCGGGGATCAAGTCACATACGACCGTGAACTTCTTGCCGCACTGAGCACAGTTTTGGAATGTGCCAATAGGAGCCACCTTTCCAACTGCTTCGCTCATCATTCCTTTGGATTTTGCCTTGTAAGGATCGTCGTCTTCGTCATCTTCCTCGTCTTCAAGTTTCTTTCTTTTTCCACTACCACTAGACTCGCCCTTCTTGTCCAAAGCCGCCTTCTCTTTTGCCTTGAGCTTTGCCTCGGCTGCTTTGGTAAGCTTTCGTTTCTTCTTTGGAGGGCTCGCCTCCTCTGCGGATTCGTCGAGGTTGTCGGATGCGTAGCCAGACTGAAGACTGAGAACTGGGATCATGAGCGAGGTTTGACTTACGTTATTTCTTGCCGGGGTTTGCGAGGCTGACGCGTTTTCTTCTTCGTCTGCGGGCTGTTCCTCATCGCCTGCTGGGGTAGGTTCGGCTGGTGGAGCTTGGTCCGCACGTCCAAAGTAGCTATGCCGCGCGGTGATACCATGTTCCTTATGATAAGATAAGTACAATTAACAGGAACAGGGCATATATCAAAGGACGCAAAATTAGATGATCAAAAGAGGACTCGACGAGTGGGAGAAGTTTACAAGGGAATCACAGAGGTCAATACGTACCCTCAAGAAGGAAGTGAGTGCCGAAGACGGTCCAGTGATGTTGTTTCTGCCGCGGCGTGACATTCTCCGCTTCAAGACTGGTTGTACAGTGAAAGATCAATCGTGTGCTGGTGAATGAGGATGTGTATATTCCTGGAAATTGCCCAGGATGTGACCGAGGGAGATTTGAGAAGGGCGAAAGAGACCAAGAGTGCTGACAAAGAAAGTCGCCTCTGTTTGCCACACCGACATGGCTCAACCAACGACGAGCATTTACATCGAAACGCCAGCTCCAGTGTCCTCTATAGATGCACGAAATGACGCATTGCTCCTTGGATGCGAAGACGGAACTGTCCGACGATATCAGCTCCCCGAATCCAGAGTCCGGAAAGCCTTGATGGGTCTTTCTGGAGCCGTTTCGTGGTTAAGATTCTCGCCTCTAAAAGGACAGCACGATCACATTTGGCTTGCATGCGGAATGGATGTCAGTAGCGCGATTTTACTCACTATCGAAACGTCATATCGCATGTATAGCTGTTTCATTTCGATTTTCTACTTCAGAATCCATTATATCCGTGGCTTCAAGTGCCATAATCCGACCGGCACAAGCTCTCGCAAAGGTGATGGTTCCGCCCGAGTCCGAAGAGGATGAGATCAACGAGGTAAGTTCACCGTTTCTCGAAGAAGCATGCCTTACATCTCCTAGTTTGATATCGTTAAAGAGTCTCTTGCATTCACAACGGATTCTGGGAGAATAGGCCTATTGAACCTCTCGACTCTCGAGATTATGTTTATGCGACAGACGCACCGAAATGTATGCATACGCATATTTCGCCATGGCATAGTTCTGACAAACTAAAGGTTGCCCTTCCAATCTCTTTTATTCCTGGACGCCCGGCTGAGTGTATGTAAGTGGTCAATCACGCCTTTGTTCACAAATGATGCCCTTAGTATGTTCTGGAGGATACGATAACACCTTGCTCCACTTTGATGCCAGGACCGGCAGTCTGCTCTCGCACATAGATTTAGGTCGGGCTCTAGCTGATCAGTTCGTCTCATACTCATGTACTGTAGCACCGAAGATGGATGAAGACTCGGAAACAGCGTCCATATCCCTTTCTCCTCCCTTTGCGCTTAGCATCGCCGTTTCGCCAAACGACATGATTGCTTGCTCGACAGCATCCGGTCATATTTGGATGGGGTATGGTGGATCAAAGCGCTCTGAACCAAATGGAAAGCGCAAGAGCCGCAAGTGGAATGGACTCAAGACTGATGAGGGGCTTTGGTTTCGGGCGGGCAATGGGCCAATTGTTGCTGTGTGAGTTTCCAAGTCACAAAATTGTCCATTAACCAACTTGCTTCTTCCAGTAAGTTTCATTCGAGAAACGAATCGCTCTTATTGGCACTATCCCTTCATGGCACACTCTCTTGCTTCGAGACACCTCGTAATTACAACGATGCCAGGCCTTCCGAGGCGAAATGGTCTCATGAATCGAAGAAAATGGTCAAGGCGACGACAATGGTGACGGCAGAGAGAGGCGTTCTACGGTGCGGAGTAACTGCAGACAGAAAAGGTATTCTGGAACTCGTAGATGTGCCTCTGTTGGATCATCCAGGAAGTTCTTGAAGGAGTCCCTTGCGGTGTGAGTTCAAGTTGATTTCAATGTGCTGCATTGAATCCAATACATATTCCACTGTAAATGGTCAACCGAATTGAGGACCATATGCTCTCCTTGGAACTTGCTTGGGACCCACGAGGTATGGACTGCTTGCGTGCTTCGACCTCGCCAGTCCTGCATCCACTCCCCACGACCTTCATTAGCACAAAATGACCACTCTAGAGCTGGAGAAAACAGTTGATACTCCTCTTTCACTGAGATCTTGTCCCTAATTCCTGGTACAGGACGCACGAACCGTCGAGCAGGAACAGCAACACAGGCCACCAGCAGATCTCGAGACTGTACTCAAAGACGAAATCAAGGAGTATCACTTTCATATCTACTTCCATCAGAAGAACGAGGCCGAACACAAGGAGGCTCTGGCGTTGCGCGACTCAGTTCTCAAATTGCGAAAGCAAGGTGCATTCGTCGCAGTTCCTCTATGGAGAGTCAACGAATGGCCAATGGGTCCACATCCAGTCGGTACGTGTTACTAATTAGATGGTGATTCTGACACGGAAGGACGGGCATAGGTTCATATGAGATTTGGTGCCCTACAGAGTCGTTTTCGTCCGTTTTCTCTTACTTGTGTCAACATCATGGGTCTTTGAGGTGGATTTATCCAAGGTTTCGAGGCATTGCTTAACTTTGCCAGCGTTCTCATCCACCCCTTGACAAAACACGAAGTATGTCACTCGGTGATGATCGCTTGTATCTGATCACGTCCACAGAGACTGTTGGTACACGCTGCAGCTAGTACACAAGCTCACTGCCATTAGGGATCACTCCCATCGTAATGCTTGGATTGGAGCACCGTTCCCGCTGGACCTCTCAACGCTCCCGGTTTTCAGTCCTCAGATCCCGCTGCAATATGCGTCTCTCAGTTCGTAAACAATGAATTTGTGGTCAGAAGGCGATTAATATTTGGTAGAGCTAGGTTATTCCAGTCAAGAGATGCCTCTGACCAAGGAGCAGAGAGAAAGGTTGGGAAGACACTACGAAGGAGTCCTCAAAGGGGAACCCGAAGCCGCTCCAGCACCGGGTGATTAAGAGTTGGATCCAGAGGGGGGACGTCGAGTGGCCTTCCCCATGTGAGGTTTCTTTGAAGTGGGCTTCTTTGTATGTTTCTCATCACGCATATGGAGCTTCATATGGCGCGATCGATTCTGAACCGTGTAGCCGCAGCCGCTATAAGTCCGTCAACCACTGCAAAGCAGTCCCAGAACATGCGCACCAAATTTTACATACGAGGCCCTTGGAATTCCTTTCACGAACGTTCTGAACGTCTTGCTTGGTCTTCGCGTTGGAGTAACCTTCTTCGGAGCATCGGTTAAAGTGCACTTTGCGTACATGTCCAAGAGCCCTGGTGGACGATGATTCGCCTTTCCATCCACCCTCCGTCCAGGTGCAAATCCGACAGTGATATCTTGGCCTACCCCGACTTCGCTTGATCTCAAGGAACAAGGAAAATATGCTCTGCTGCATCTCGGCAGTCGGCATTTGCCGAAGGGCCTCCTTATACTCGTCTGGGACCTCTTCCTTTCCCTTGTTTTGATACCAATCCAATTGGACCACAGCTTGAACTATGGTACCTATCGGTAGTGGAAGTGCCTTGAGCATCCCTAAAATCTTATCGTCTCCTGGTAGAAGAGGGGCCTGTTCCAGCTTGGGATGAATCGTTCCTTGGCCATCATACCATGTCTTAGTCCGTGCTCCAGGGGTATAGGTAGAATTGAACACAGTAGAGCCGTCCTGTTCACCTTCAACTCCATCGCTGACTTCATTATGCCCATCGTCTGCCTGGACAGGCGTATGCTCTTGAATGGGTCCCGCCATGGGGCCAAATAACGCATCTCTGGGTTGAATTGGTGGAACAGTGATAAGCCGCATGTTCCCAGTAGCCGTTCCGGCTGGGTTGAATTCATTTTGCCGTATGGGACCTATCACCAGGTAAGACATGCGTCGAAATGACCAAGCTCACCAACTCGTCTCGAAAGTATGTCTAGATTGATAATCATGAATCGTGAGGCCATTGGGAAAGACCTGTTCAAACGCGTTGGACAGAGCGCTATCCAGATGATTTCCAAACAGTGTGGAGGATTGAGTGTTCACATATCCTCCTTCGACAAGGTCGTGCGAGTCCGACGCAGGGTGTTCGGCATAGCCTAGGAGAAGATCAGATAGGTTCTTGAGAAGACAGCCTCGGTTACCATACTGAGTGGGATAACCTGGGCGGAGTTGAAACAAGCCGTCGACCATGAGATGCGATAGGCCGACATCTGAAGGTTCCGTCTGTCCGGAGAAATTGAAGTTTTCTGGTAATTGAGTGTCGTGCAAGTTCTGAGACTGAACATCTCCGACGCCACCGCCATTATGTATATAATGAGAAGAGATCTCAAATGGGTCGTCGGACTCGTCATATGGCGCAGTTGGAAGGTTATAGCCAGACTCAAAGCCGGTCGTGAAGCTAGTTGAAGGTGGTACACGAGAGCTGCAGCCGGCCCAATAGATTCATCTGTGAGGTATGTTGGAGACGATTAGCAGATAATTTACAGGTAGACCCGTTTGCTACTTACCGACAGCAGTGTTCTGGTCTGCAAAGGTTCGCTGGTCAAGAGAAAACGAGAACATAGCCATCCCGGAGCAGGCTTAATCAAACGAATAGAGTTGCTGTGTGGATGTGTGATTCGGTTCGCTGAGTTTGGCGAAGGTAAAGGGACGGTTCTTGCTCTATAACGCAGAACGAGGGGAGACAGGTCTGACAAGGAGAAGTCTAAGTCAGGAGTTGATGGAGAAACATAACAAGCTGCCTATTATATGCCGCTTTCGGGGTTGCCTCCAAGTAGAGATGAGGAGGTGCGAGTTCCTCCAGTCCTCCAGCGTCCTGCAGGGGAGCGATGCCTTGGAAAATGCCTGGAACGAAAAGACTCAGTTATGTAGAACATTTTGATACCAATGAATATGGCTAATGCGACGAACTCACGCCCTCGACGTACTCAGCCATGACGAGTCGACCGTGGCCAAATGAGAATGAACGATATTGATCAAACCTACGAGACAGGCCGAGTCTTGAATCTGATCATTGGTTTGTCGCCATACTCGCCGAACTAACCGTGTATCAGGATGCCATGGAATGCTGTGAGGTGACTATCGATGAAACTTGCAATGTTTCGTATACGAGAGTCGAAAATATTGCCTATATCGCAAGAATCGCACCCGCATGATCGTGAGATTCAGGTGGCCTGTGGCAAAGGTGAATGAAGAGGCTTCAGGGCGAGAAATGACTGGACATACGTATCGAGGTTGTTGCATCCCCATGATATGACACTCATTTCGCTGAACTTGTTGGTCGTGGCGGGTGCAGATAGATGTTAATACCATACCCTCATCAAGCACAGTATAGAAAAGGTGATACGCAGCACCTTCCTACAAGCGAGCCGTAGTCTGGTTATGCACACTGAAGCGAAACATAACGGCCATGGAAACCAGGACCAGATGAAGTGTGATTGGAAAGAGGAATAATAGTTAGTAGAACTAAGATACTCCACTGAAGAGACACCTAGACTACCAAACCGCAAAGTTTATTAGAACGTTAGTACGGAGAGCCGCTGAAGAGAGACCTAAGCTGCCCTGGTGCCAACGAATCAAGAATCGGGGCTAGGGGGTACGCGAGCGGTCCTTTTTCCTTTCGGGGCCTTCCTTGGTATAACCTCCTTTGCGAGCACCTGGATGCCCATGCATGTGCGCTTATGGCGCGCCTCATTCTGATAAGTGTAACGACGACCACTGCAAGTTCGTCAACCGTCAAGGAGAGCACGACCCCAGGAAACGCGCACCAAGCTTTGCAGTTAAGAGGCTTGGAATTAATCTTGCGAACTCTCTCGACCTCCCGCTTCTTCGTCTCGCACGAGTAACCATCGACGGGATACCAGTTGAAGTGCTCGCGTACATGTCCGAGGGTGCGGTCAAGGCAGCAGTCGCCCTCCCAATCTTCGCCTAGCGCTTCACATATCGTGCAGCGGTTCTTCCGTCCACGAATAATAAAAAGGGAGAAAACGCTCGCGCTCGTTCCACCAGAGGGCAATTTTCGGAGCCTTTCTCTGTATCTGCCCAGAATCTGCTCATCTTTCTTGTTTCGGTACCATGGAGCTCCAACAATGTCTTTCACCAGATCACGGTCGTCCGGCGTGAGGACTTGCATGATGCGTGTGACGAAATCACTCTCCATAGTGAGTGGTGGTTGATTTTTTGTACTATTGGAATGAAAGCGTCCCTGGGACGGTGGCTCTGTCAAGGGCCCCATTGCTTGTGGCTCGACATGAGACAAAACCTCGCCACTCCGGTCGATATCCGCAAAGTCCTCAGGAGAGGTGACGGAGTCAGACGCATATGTACCCCCTTGAATGACCTTTGCGTCGGGAGTGAACGAGTTGCCTGGTCGAGGTGGAGTTGCAAAGGAGACGTTCTGGAACATGCGCTCTCCCGAGATGTCAGCGGGAAAGAAATCAGGTGTCCTTGCATACTCTGTTGAAGTGTCAGGTTGATTGTCGAGATGACAAAGCCAACTTACCTTCGTCAGGAGTGGAACCTGTGTGTAGTGTTTGAGGTAATTTGCCTCTCAAGGTGGTCGGTTCATATGGTTGGGCGTTTCTGAAATGCGGCATGTGCATAGAAAAGTATCCAACGCCGTCCAACTCAGGCATCTGAGACAGAATGTGAACCGAGCTGTCTCCGTCGTTCGTCTGAGTAAAAGAAGGTTCAAAGAGTAGACCTGGAACTACAGGCGCCAATGAATGATCGGATTCCCCGCTAGCAACAAATGGCTGTTGTGTTGACGGCATGGTGCTCATCGCTAGATGCTGCGAATCGTCATAGTCTGAGACATGGACATCAAATGGCGTCAGCAGGGTCGGATATCCATCAGTCGGGAATAGGATGTACGCACAATGGACTCCGTCTGGGCTCCAGTCCGGGAGGAATTGAACATGATGAGGAGAGGGGAACATTCTAGCTTAGGATATGAATATTAAGTGCGTTTGGAGTTGCTTATCGAGCGGTCGATTCAGATAGAGGTTTGCTGTGGCCAATGGACGGGAGTTCCTGGTTTTGGGGCTATCGTGGGTGCGAACCAAGTTAAAATTCGAACTAGCTTTTGGCTAGTCATTGTTTCCACAGAATTCTTAATCCGGGCGAAGATAGGCAGGTGAGGACGTTTGAAGCGGAGTATCGGAGATTGACTGAGTCCCGAGCACGTGAGGGAATCCTCCACCGTGTGCAGTCAAGCATCGAGCTGATAATTTGAATTATACGATATGTTGATATGTCGCTAATGAATGGGACCCTGTGCCGCTGGAGGGTGACCGGCATTACCCTGGCAATCTATATCAATTGGGGAATGACGGGTTGAGTGGAATTGAAGAGACATACACATTCAACATCGAGAGGGAGAGGGTTCGGCCCAATAGGCATCAAAACCCTCCGACGAACGTCATCGTCCCATCACGATTGCTGTTGGCTATAATCGAGCGTTTATTCGGTCTTCGAACACAAATAAATCTCTTCTTGATTGCCAAGTTACGATCCTGGAGCCATCTTGTCGGTTTGATGGTAGCAATGATGGTGGCAAAAGCTGTTGTCACGGGCTGTGTCTCAAAGTCAAGACAGTCGTCCAGTATTGGTATAGGAATGGACATACTCCGTTTTGTTGACAGTACGGTTATTCTACTTGCAAGGTGTGGTTGTTTGATTATACAGGGTGCAAGCCGAACGACGACATAGCAGGAACGAAAGTTGCAAAGGAACATAACCACTGGCTTGTCGGCTGAGACATCCTGGGCCGCTCGAGCACTTCGGGGTCATTGTATCCTACGAGGCGAGGTCGTAGATGCCAGGTTGTGAACAAGCAACCTGTGAGCGCACCAGCTAGATTGAAAGCTGCATTCTGGTGCTCTTTTCTTGAAAATATTGGTTGCACCCGCCACGTTAGTCAGCTTCGCTGCGCTCGTCAGCCAAGAGTGTTCGAGCTCCATAAGTTCGAGGATAAACCCACAATGCTAGGTCGTCAACTTGTAGTATTTCGAGTACATGCTCGAATGCTCTTCAGAGCGCTGTGCGGTCATGGTGGAAGAAAAGTTTTTTGCGTTGAGTACCAGACTAACCAAAAGCAAAAAAAATACCTCGGTCCAGTCTTCCACAAAGGAGGACATTGGTAAACGTGTCATGCAACTCTATAACAATAAGCGCATACTGTGACTTTCACTCACCTTCTGAAGCGCCGGGGAACGAGCCTCAAGGCGGGACACGCCCATAACGAGTTAGAAGCCCAAAACGCAATTCATGAAAATTCAGTGGATCACACTCAATTCGGCCTCAAACCTTCTTTTGATACTCACGGAAGCAATTTTAGGAGTGATTTGCGTTGCAAAGGTTACAGCTATTTTACATTTGGCTTTTCAAGACCCCAAACGGCGGAGTTCTGTGCATCCACATACATTGAACTCCAGACCAAATGATAAAGAGACCCGAAAAAAAACGGGCATATGGGGTCATGTAGAGAGAAAGAGACAAAGGAAAGCAAAGACGACCATGACTCATATAGAAGATATCATGTGTAATAGCTCTCTAATAGGAGAGGCCTCGTTCATTTATGCCCACTGAAGTGACACCTTGATATCCAAGGATGAGCCAGCCAGCTTCGTGGGCGTTGAGAAGAGCTGAGGGTCGCATTGGACACGATGGGAGAATTTCATGTCGCTAGAAACCTTGACTTTGAGGCTATCATGTCAGCACCTTCTCTCTATGTTCGGTGCGGATATTGGACAAGCAGTTGGTCGTTCAACTCAACCCCCAACGCGAGCCATCACCTAGCCACTGACTTTTTTTTTGGGCAAGGGATGAAGATTTTCATGAGCGAGTTGAGAAAACGACTCATGTTTGTCGGTGCAAACAACCTACCCGGAAATGGACATTGATTCACAGAATCAAACCTTCCACCATGCCATCAAGGAAGCAAGCGCGCAAACACGTTTCAGTTTATACTTTTCAAGATTGCATGCCAGCTCCACTGGCCGGTGTCCTTCTTCATCCTCATGGCGGACCACACCTGCAAAAGTCTGAGAGCCGAGACAGCAATTCATCTAAGTCTGTCAATTTACTCAATTCAGTCTCATTGGATCAACGCACAGATTAACAGAAGCTAAGATACCGATATAGCTTATTCGTATTGCAAGCTTACATCTATTTTACATTTTTGCTTTCGAGACCCCAGTGGCAGTGGATCCGTGTACCATGTACATTGAATCCGAGCCCTATAACAAATTGACCCAAGAAAAACGGGCACATGGGGTCATATGGAGAGAAAGAGACAAAGGAAAGCAACGACGCGAGCTACGACGCGACGGTCCATTATACCAATACACGGGTTGCGGAGCGGCGAGCGGAAAGTTTGTAGTGGTACAATGGATCGGTTGGCATCATGCTCGAGTATGTGAACGTTTATATCACCGACGGACGGCTTGAATGACCAGAGAGAGAGAGATGAAACAGAGATATGCCCAAATGAAATGCTTGGCGGCGAGGGATGGCATGCAAAAAACCGACGAGAGTCGAGAGCATTATGTGACGATTATTGGGCAAGTGAAATTACGAGGTGATATAGACGGTAGAGCCCGATGGAATGATAGGAGAGGTTGACCAGTGTCGGTTATGGAGACTGGCGGCGAGGAGAATGGGAAACTGCAGCCCACGCGGACTGATAAATGATTAGGGATAATATATCGTTCTTGATTAGTTATTGTAGCTGCTGGTGTCGTGGCGTGTTGGCGTTTCCCAATCTCCTCTAGTTTTTAGCGGACCCGAAGATGCCCCAAAGGCTGGTGCGACCAGTCGTCTGAGTGGGTTGACGATGAGAGATTGTCGTTTGGTCTGGGACGCTTCCAAAGGTCGGAAGATAGTTCTTGATGAAAAGCGACGCTGTCGACTCCTCCTTTGCTTCCACAAGTCTGAGGGGGTTGATGGCACTGATGAGAGCGCCAGTAGAAAGCGGTCGGGTGTTTGAAGTCTTCTTCGTCGGGCGTGGGGTGATGCGATCGCAGGCACTCTCCTCACCACTGCTCCCGCTCCCGCTGATGCTCGTAGCTGTGATAGCCTCGGGACTACTACTCATCTTCTCTGTGATCGCATCTTCCGTCGGCTTTTGCGGTGCGGCGGAGGTAGCACTTGGGCATAGGCGCACCGAGGCGTGCTCCTTGATAATGAGGGGAGGCAACGCTCTTGGGTTACCACGACCAGACACATCGCTTGGAATGTCGTGGAGGCTATGTCGCTTCGCCTTTTTCTCGTCGACTCGCTGAAGGATGCCGGTAGCGGTGGTTACGTCCGCGGCGCAGATGGAGTGCATTCCTAGAGGACTACGAGGTCCAGGTCCGATAGGTGAGACTGTTTTGATATCGTGCATCTCGGCTTCCACAGGGATAATGGTGGCGAGAGCTTTGAGGCTGCGATTGCGGCGCAGTGCAGGTTTGGAAGTACCCTGCGGCAACATCTCTGGTCGTGTTTGCTGGGACGAGTCGACGTTGACCTCATCCCAAGCTCGGATCTCGTCGACACCGGCAGAACTACGTCGGGGAAGAACTGCGGTCATCCTGAGTCCTTCAGACACCGGCCTCGATTTCGCACTAGTACGTTTCGACGACGTCATCTCGAGTGGAGCGCTTGACCTGCTCAAGGGGCGAGGACGTTGGGATGTCGGGCTAGTTGGTGTAGAGCGGTCTGGAGAGGGCATAGCCTTGAAACCATGGAGCATTGGTTGGCTGGCGACACGGATGAGGAGAGGCGCTTTGGCGAGCTTGTGGTCATCTGCCGCGTTGCGTTGAGAGCTTTGGTAGAAACGTTGCATTTGTTCCTCTCGATGAACTTGTTCCACGCGCTTGCGATGGCGCAGAATCTGCCACTCTTCAAACGTGAGCTCTAAGCCTGTCTCCCGAGCCTCCCAGTACGTCTTCCAGTCCTCGCGCTCATCGACAAGCCACCACGGTGTTCGGGTGGAATCGCTCCGCTCCACGCCATCGAATGCGACCGTATGCCGCCTCTTCTCAACCACTTCGTTTTCGCGCTGAATCTGGCGCCGGCGGTGAGAAGAACGCTCGAACAGAAGCGGCCGCCCGGTCTCGATTGGGGATCCTTTGGTTGGGGAAGCTTGCAAGGCTCCCGGAGTGCGACGGAAGGAAAGGGAAAGCTCGGTGGTGGTAGAAAGTCGTCGGTTATCTCCCAATTTGGGCTGGGCCGGCTCCTCAGCCGGTGGTCCGAATGGGCGAAGGGGTGGAGCATACAGGCCATCTTGCTCGTCGTCCTGAGAAGGCAAGAAGGGTGAGTCGGGATCCTCTTCATCGTCAAAGCCAAACAAGGCGTGTGACCTTCGTCGAATGGCACCAGGACGAAGCCAGGGCATGTCGTATCTAAGCTCACTACACTTGACAACCACGGAGTCGGCGTCCCCAGAAGGAAGAGGGGTACGGGGTCGCGAGGTATCTGGAGAGTCTCCTCGAACTGCCACGTCGTAGCAAGCCTGCGAGCAAAAGAGTTGACCGGCCAAATTTTCATGAGAGAATTCGCGGGGTGAAACCTTGTCCCCTAGGACCGGATTGGCGCGTTCGCCATCAGGAGTTTGGCCCAAGGGACTTTGTGAGGATTCAGTAATCTTCTTCGTAGGGCTGCCTTCCTTTGCGTCTGGGCGTGTGGAGAGATTGATAGCCTTTGGTCTGGGTTTCCCATTCTTCAACCGACTGCTCGACTTGATTCGGGGGACTGGTGGGGCTGCAGGCGTATCTACATTTCCGGGTGCCTGGAAAGCGTATCAACAATTGATCAAAGCCACACCGTTAGGAAAGAAAACCGGCATACCTGTGGTTGCAGCGCAAACTGGTCGTTGGTTCTGGGACTGCGCGGTCGATCGCTCTCGACCCTGCGCAATACACCGATGTGCTCCACAGCGCCCTCTTGCGCATGAACACATCCATCAGTATCCGGTGTTATCGTCCTCATCCGGCTCGCCTTCGCTCCCGTCGCAGTTCCGTCGTCCTGGCTCTGATTGGCAGGTAGCATGAATTCTTGGATCAAATTATCGACGTCAGCATGCGTGGCCGCTCTTTTTTTGGTGAAGACGTGTCCGTTTGTCGTCTTGCTTCGACGCAGACCAGGTCGCGAAGCTTTGCCGGCTCCTGCGGTGACTCGTTTGCGTACGCCGGAAGGTGTGGATGCCCGTGGTTGAGTGAGTGCACCCGTGTCGACTTTCGCCGTCGGAGAGGTTGTTGTGGGGGTGGCATCAAGAGTCGTACCATCTTTCGACATGGTTGACCCCTGATCGCCAGAGGTAGACACTTGGGGTTGAGCGACGCTGGACCCAGGCAGGATTTGGCGGTCGCAGACAGGACACCAGTGTTCAATCTCCATGTTTGTCGTTTGGGGAGAAGAGGTCTTGGGTCCGAGTGCGGGAGCCAAAAGTTGTGAGCGGGTGTCCGCTGTATCTGTAATAACCGGTTAAAAACGTGAAAATGACAGCGAGGCAGAGGCATGGGCGAGGTCATCCCGAGAAATCAACCAAGGAAAATCTTGGTGAGCGGGATGTGGGGTACGATAGCCGGACCGGGAGGATGAGTCAGGCCATGAGCTTACCAGTGAAAATCCTCTGTTTTTAGGTCTAGAGATGCTGCTAGAGCGTCGAGGAGAGAGCAGCAGAAAGCAAGGGCTCGTGAAAAATCGAGCGTTTCACACTCGCGGGGTGGGTTGGAAGCCCTCGAGGACCGTCCCGGATACTTTTAGAGAGCCCAAGAGACGGGGGATAATCCTAGAGAGTCAACGCGTTCAGTGCACTGCTCGTCGGTTTCCATCCGTCCAACCCGGGACGGGAGTCAGAGCAAAGGAAATTCGACTAACACGAGAGCAAGCCTTGAAGGACGCTGCTGGTGAGAGCTAGAGTGCTACAGGCAAAGCTCTGCGTGCGGTGTAGGCAGAGACAAAGGCGGCGGTAGGGTTCAAGGTATGTAGCCGCGCTTTGGCCACCACCAAGGTATTTTGGATTACACGGGCGGTAAACCAGACAGATCGATGACGACGATTGGTGATTGTTCACGGCGAATCGGGAGAATTCCTGCCCGACAAATGATCAGATCACCTCGCTGAGCTCCTTCCTCAGTGGTGGGCAGCACCGCGCCCATTCGGCCGAGTAGTGATTCCTTGCGTCCACATTTATTACCAGAATATGCAAATTTTGACAAAAAGAAGATACCCAGGGGTGATGTGGGGATGTGGCTTGACGAGTGCCTCGACGCTGGAGGCCGCGAATGACCAAGAGAACTCTGGCAAAATTACCTCGCATGTTGTTATTTTCCGGTTTCAAGGCGTGTCAGGACACGATGCACCGTGTCGAGCAACGAGGCGTGCTAGTTTCGACCTCGCCTGTCAGGTTCGACCTCTGCATGCCGTCGACAAAGGTCTGCGCGGAATTTGTCGCACATTTTCAACCGTCGAATGAAGATCATGAGTTGGTATCTCTGAAGCGCCCTCCCCACAGAAGCAGCGCTCCCGCTACACCCGTTACGAAATCCGGCCGCCCATAACTAGGAACAGTGCGTCATTAGGGTGTAAGCCTGATCACTTGTGCCTCATTGATGCGGGGTGTCTCTGGGGAGTTTACGGGCTTAGCCGACTACTCTTCACTCATACGAGCGAATGGACGCACTCTGCCGCTACAAGCGATCCCCCGCCGTTACCCCAAAGGCTGAGAGTATCCTCCACTGCTCACTCGTCGTGTCTCTCGATGTCAAAGATTTTCTCATCGCCATCATTACACGTCCCTAAAGATTTGATCACGGACTCCCTAGTCCCTTCTTCTCTCGCAGACGCTCCTGGATCTCGTCTTGTCGCTTCTTCAATGCCTCTATCTTTTCTTCTTTGGTAGCATCATATGAGACGGTAGTTTGGTTGAATCTGACGGGTGTGAGTACGCAATATGTCAGGTGTAAGCGTCACCCACGGGTTGTCTGGACTCTTCTGGAACGACTTGAATAGAAGCTCCTTGTACTGCTGAAGCCGAAGCCCAGGGCGGTCCTTCTTGAGCTCTGGGAGCTCCCTCTCCATGTAAGCCTCGAACGCTGATTTGAATCGGCGCTGAGAGAGAGAGAACTTAGTTTATGGCTTTCCCGTTGACGAATAAACGGTACCTCTGGGTGTTTCTCTAGCCCGCTAGCCATGTTGCCAACGCTATCCTTGTCCGTCTTTGCATTTACGACTTCGAGCAGATCCAAAGCATCATCCAGATTGGACGCGCTAAAGCTTTCGACCATATCGTAAACGCTGCCTTTTGCATCATATGAGCCCACGCTATTCATGATAAGCACGATCACCTACTCGACGTAGCCGGAGCCGGCTGTGGCTCGTCCGCCTTTCCTTTCCCCTTGCCGCTCGTCTCGGCCGTGCTCGACATGGAGGGTGCAGGTACCGTCTTCTTGACAGGTTTCGCAGCCTTTGGAGCCTTTGCCTACATTGGTTCTTTAATCATAATCATGTCGTCGAATCACCCTTGCCGAGTGCTCACCTTGGATGAACTTCCTATACTCGCCTCCTCCTCTGCCAACAATCTCGCCGCTTCCGCTTTCCTTGCTGCAGCAGCCTCTTGTTTTGCTCTAGCATCCGCACTCTTGTCCACTCGTGCACCCTCTTCCCACTTCTTTGCCTCTTGTCGTTCGCGGTCAGCCGCTGCGGCCTCCTTCTTCTTCACCTCATTTTCCGCCTTTTTCGCTCTCCCAGACTCTTTCTTTGCGTTTCCACCCTTTGGAGGCATTACGTCTGTCCGCAAGTTGATCCGCCGGCGTCACAGATATCGCGCGCAAGTCTCGTTTTGGTACCTTGTCCTGACCGTGAGTTCGCCTTCTTGGAAATTAGAGATATTTGGTGGAAACTACGAGGTGGTGGTGGTGAGGACGGCTCCAGGTTGTGAGCACCGGCGTCGCCACTGACTGGACCTTGCCACGATTGTTCCGCTGTTACCGTATATGTCTCCCATTCAATATTTCATATCTTCTGACCATTATAGGCTACAAGGAATCGCTCAAACGACCACGAAATGACGGACAAGGTTGGCAAGTGGCTTGAAGGATCAGCCTGTACGTCTTCAAGCTATTCGTGAAGTGAGAGGGGACTTTGAATAACGTATATATCCCTCAGATGGCCCCGTGATGAAGCAGACGGACATCTTCCTCTTGGGCGTCACTTTGACTGTCAATCCAGTGCTCACAGGAGATCATCCAGATATTAGAATCAGTACGCACTCCCTCTCAGTAACATGAGATGCTCCTTATCGCCATCGGTATAGATTTCAACGTTTCCACTGGAGACATTACCGCCCAGAATCCAAAGGACGACAAGGAAGAACCTCCTTGGGAACCGTATCAAGAACAGCCCGCTGTACTACCGCGCTGTACGACCTTGTACATTATCTGCCGCCAGACGCCGTGGTGTATTCACATTGAGAACCGCACCGGTGTGACCGTCAAAGTATGTATGTTTCCGTCTCCTAGATAGTACTAATCAAATCACAGGACGTGTTCACCTCTCTCTATGCTTTTCACAGCAATGAATTTATCACCGAAGATGAATGGAATGCGCTGCCACCGAAAACCCAAGACAGGATCAAGCGCATGGCAAGGCAGGCATGTTGATTCCCGTACCAATCACGGTTTTCGGCTCATACTCATCGTATAGGACGGCAATCTAGGCGGACCTGTGCCGCAGACGCCCGGTCAATGGAGTTATTATCATCAAAGCCCCAATCCGACGAGCGTCAGGTTCGCAAGAAAAGGTCAGTTGTATTAACCCAAATGACACCTGCCCTTCTGAATGCCTATGATCATAGCCTGGCTTCAATCCCGGGTCAACCTCGATGACCTTAAAGTCGACGACGAATACTGCGAGCAAAGGCTGGGCTACAAGGGCCCCAATGTACTCGTCATGACACTTACTGAGGACTAATTCTCACTTCTCTCGCATATATGTGGGGCTTCGTAGTGGAACTATTAGAAGGACAATACAAACAGGCGACTTCCTATCTAAAACTCCATCGCCATAATAGTTCGTCAGAGGTGATAATGCTTCATGAGCCCCCTAAGCTGCTGGAGGTGGTGGCACAGGTCCAACGCGAGGCGTCTGCTGTTGTTGCTGAAGCGCCTGAGATGACTGGGTCTTGGTTGTGGGTTTATAATCGTGAATTTGCCGCAGGTGGCGATTGAGATTGAATTTTTTCGGGAATGACTTGTTACTAGAGGGGACGTGAGTGGCCAATAGGGGACATATAAGTTAGATGGCGAACCACACTGGGCATTCGAAGGCAGGTTGCTTATCATGACTTGCAACATGGATATTAAAGTCTTGTTCCCTCTTGAAGTACGAATTACTTTGCCGAGATTATCAGAGAAGAACTGAGAGAGGAAGGCGATCACTCACCATTTGTCACATTTGTAGCGAATCAAGAGATGATCCGCATAAATATGTGCGCGCGTACGATCCGCACGCGTCCAACCCTCCTGATGGCGGCTGCATTGGGGGAAAGGACAATTGTACCCTCCCTCCGTGACAAGCAACAAGTTCCAGACCATATCATGGTGCGGCATCTTCAGCTCCTGCATGGACTTGAGGACCTCGCCCAGGACATTGAGCCTATGCGTATCGTGTTGGAGCTGCATCCGAAGCATCATCGCATCGTGCAAAGAGAGTGTGGTGCACGTGAGAGGACCGAGCGGTACCATCGTTCCGTTTACTACGCCTGCTGCCTGAAGCACTTCCAAGTCTTCCTCTGGCGGTGACATGGAGCGCGCACGGGATTGAAACGCTTCTGCCCGTGGGGGAGGCGTCCCATCAAAGTCATCTGGGCCGACACCACGCAGCAACAAACCAGGATCAGATGTTTTTGCAAATTGTGGGTCGGCCCTCATTATCGTATTCTTGATGCCGGCAGGAGTAACGGGCGTTGCGGACGGAGGGGCAGGCTCTGGTGCAGGATGTGGGGTGGTGATGATGCTATTATCATGCTCGGATCCAGATTGGCTTGGAAGGGGCGAGTGAAGCCACGGCGGTGTTGGGATCGTGGGCGGAGCAGGGGAGGAGTTGCGAGATGCCGGGTTTGAACGCTGTCTTACATAGATAACTGGCCTGTTGATGCTCTTCGGTACCTTTTTGCTTGTCCCGGCCTCTACACTCTGCGTTTCTTCGGTTTCTGTCTCTTGTAATCGTGCGCTGCGCCGTTGTGGGGCCATCTTGGGCGCGGAATTGGTCACTGTAACAATTTTAGTGTCTAGTTAAAACGATTCGGCGTGTCCTAACCTCGCCGTTTGTGTTCAAGGGACCGCAGCGGATCGTTGGAAGAGCCAGCCGCCAGTCGAGGCTGAGATGAGCTACTCTTGAGAAAAGTTATTTTCCTCGAGAGTGGTGAATTTAATTTTCGTTTTTATTTTTCGATGTTGGCCGTCCAAGGGAAACGCCTCGAAGGAGCTGTCAGCACCAAGAACGAGCCGGTCGGAGTGACACGCTCTTGAGAGCGGTGGAGGCGCTTGGCCAGATGCGGTCAATTTGAACTCGGACAATTTTTTCCAAAATCAAGGTAAAGTTAACGACTTTTGATTCATGCTACATAGACGCACAACACGGACGATGTCTCCCAGCAATAGCCATGGAGAGCAAAGTCAAGGTATTCGTGGCAGGACTCGTCGAAAGACATTGGCTTATGATATATGAACAGCGTGGTGGTGAATGGGGGGAAACAGAAAGGATGACTACACACGGGGGGAGGATCGTGGACCATAAAGAAATTGAGATGGGTGAAGTGTTGCCTACCCATGTACAAAGGGTACCGAAAGTGTTCTGTGCCGGTGAAGAACATACCGAGAGGCGAACAGATGCGATGAGAGTGCTAGGCGTCGGTGAGCACGCCTGACACACCAGAGGAAATTGAGCAGATGAGGGTACCCCAGAGAGCGTCCTGAGTGCATACTAATTGGTGTCGCTACGTTTGGGTGAGACATGGCCGCTACGACTCGGCGACTTTGCGCCTCCGTCCTTGGGAGACGACTTTCCTGACCGTTGTTTCGGAGACTTTTTACCATCCTTTGGGGACGTGTTACCGTTGCCGTGGCCATATCGAGCCTTGTCGAGACTGAGGTTGAACCCCACAAGGGAGCCGGTCTTCTCCAAGATGCGTCGCACGCTCGATCGTCTTCGAATCTTCGTGCCTTCGGGGCTTGCGCTGCCCTCGCTCTCACTAACAGCGCTTTCGGCGAGGCTCGTCTGCGTCTGAGTCGGGCTGAGCTTGAATCCGTCCGTCTGACTATTCGACGACGAGGGCGATTTGGATTTTGTCGACGACGAATTTCGAGTCCGAGCTGAGGACATGGACGAACCAGAGGCGGAGCGCGACAGTGAAAGAGAGCCTCGACGGCTCTTCTTCTCCTTGCGCTCCTTCTCTAGCTTTCGCTTTAGCTCCTCCTTCTTGCGTTGTTCTTCCTGCTTGAGTTGTTGTTGTTGCTGATGTCGGAGATGCTGTGCGTATGCGCGACTCTGGAGCTGGGAGTTAGTGGTATTGCTCCTCCCGAAGAAGGGTCGGCTAAACGAGGAGGTCGACGAGGTCGATGGGTTCGGCCCATTGGTCGAATTGCTCCGACCCAATGGCGGACGAAACACGGAAAATCCAGCCTTGTTTGCCGGAGGCGAGACCGGTTTGAAGAACTCGGATACGGACGAGTCGGTGTTGAGAGTCGTCGGTGGTGAGGAAGGTGCTGACACGGCGGCGCTCGAGTCGTACGGCGATGCAAAGAAATCTCGGCTGTTCTGCGTCTTTTGGGTTGTTGACACGGGACTAAAGTACGAGTTTGCGTTTATAGACTGAGAAGTCTGATGACGCGGCCGATTGAGCTTGTTGAGGAGCGACGGAGGAATAGGCGGCTCCCCCGGGTTCGAAAGGAACTGAAGGCTCGCAATGGATAACGAGGAAACGCTACCCGAAGTCGGCCTTGATCGCGAGTGAGATGCATTGGAATCATGTGATGCATCCGACGCATTGGACGGGGCCTTGTTAAACTTTGGTCGCTTCAGGTGGTTCGGTGAAGACGCAGCTGGCTTCGGTATGTTCGTATGGATTGACAGAGGGGGAGGTGGAAGGGGGGAGATTACGAGACTGTGCCGAGCCTTTTGGCGACCAGGGGCCGACGCTGCGCTGCCAGGCGGCGAGGAGTAGCTCTGCGAATGCGACTGGTAGCTACTCGATGGTGAAATCGAGTGTATGCTTGCAGATGATGACGCAACAGGGACCATAGCTGGCGCTGTATGACCAGAGTGCGTCGAACCGAGTGACGATGTGCTCTTGTTGGGCAAATTTCTTAGCTCTGAGAGTGTGGTGTTAACGGCTACCTCCATACTCGCAGCAATCGTCGAGACCAGGCTCGGCAATGGGCTAGACGCCGCCTGGTCCGGGGATTCAGCCGCGACAGAGGCCGCAGCGGTAACTAGAGATGGTGCAGAGGCTATGGAACTTGCAATTGGAAGTGCTGAAAGCGGCTGAGCGGGAGGATAGACTGGGTCCCGGGGCGCATTGCTGATGGGAAATGGATAGTCAAACTGGAGAGAGGTCGAATATGGCGTTCCCAAAAACGAGGAAGGAGAGGTATCATCACCCGTGCTTGGATCGCTGCTGCCACTGTTTGGATCGCTACCGCTCGAGCTCGAAGGTTCGAGTAAGACCTGCGGGTCGAGCAAGTCGCGCAGCGGAGTCGCCGCTCGAAAAGACGTGACCTGAGTGTCGGTCGCTCGTCTCTCTGCTCAAACGATACCAAAAGCGGTCAAAAACAGGCATCACCAGCGCAGGAAAAGAGCGCCTACTCTTTGCCTTGATTTCCTGGGCCGACACAGGCAGCTCCAGGCCAATGACCGTCACGGCGACTGTCGCGTTGGGCGAGTCGTCCATGTTCGGAATTTGTTGGGAATTTTGTGGGCAGTAGCCAAAAAAAGTTGAATGTCGACGTAGCAGGACAAGTTTCCAAGCAAGATCTGAGCTCGCCTTGGAGTCTGCGGGCGGGTATTTATTAGAACCATAAGCCCAGGCTGTGGCACGCGCACCCCTGTCGCTATCGTCCATAATCACCATTCAAGATGATAAGCTGACAATGAGACCGGTCGTCCTCGGCCCAAGACAGAATGCGTGGCGCGAGCTTTCTGTCGGATCGGACACGCATTTGTCCAGCAACTGGGCCTCATCGGAACTGCTGCAGCATCGTAGTCACATCCCAAACGACCTGTAGGAACGTTGAGATCTCGTCTTCCGCCGTCCATCACGTGCAAGACTCGCCTGCTCCAGGCCTCTTTGAGCAGCTCCGCACCGCACGTCTGCGCTTGGGTCACATATCCGGCCGTTGGACCGTCTCGAGAGATGCACTTACATCAGGCGTATTATCTGATCGAGCGCTCTGATCAGCTCGCCGGCTTGCTGCACGGCCAGGGTCAATTCCGGAAATTTCAGACCCAACCGCTCGACGGTCGAAATCCTCTCTCGCTGGAAAACTGCTGGCTCCTCGCCATCCATGAATCAGTATGGAGAATCCCGTGGAGCACATGGACTCCGTGAGCAGGACCCGAGGTCAAAGCTCAACAGAGGCGAGCTGAGAGGACATTCCCCTTCATCGGCATTCTGTATTCGGTCATCAGACCAGATTGGAGACCATAGTTGGGTGTTCCTTGTACAGTTTCAACCAATTACATGCCCTCTACGCAGCCTGATATCCCGTGTAAACGAGCGGGACGACGTCAGGATCTACTTTCGTCAAGTCAGAGGACCCGGGGGAATTCAAATCATCTACATACCGTGCGCATAGAGATCCCTTGAGCGGTTGATCAGCAGACTGAGCCCAATGGCGAACTATCCGAGGCAACAGTAGGCTTATTAGTCTCAAAGGGGAAGGGCCCACTCGGGTGATGAAATCATCATCTGGGCTATCCACATGAATACACTCCACTGTGTGAATCCCTCCAGCAAGTTCGGTGACGTTCGGCATCGAGCGAAACTACCTGGGGTTTCCGAGATCCGCAAGAGGGTACGAGGAGAACACGACGGCGATGTCGACTCGACTTGAGCGAATCTTCATTCTCTCGTAAGGGGTATCGGCTCCTTGTACTGGGGTTTGCGATGGAGAACCTCCAAGATCAAAGAGGGGTTTCGTCCGTGACGACGCCACAACAATCGGAAGGCATGAGGCCAGCGCGTGAGAGTTCGGTTTGAGCAGTCTCAGAGATCGAGTCCTCACCCCCGCATAGTGGCAAGCAATGCTGGCTTCCTGCTGCACACCCGGCATTTCCTAGGAGTGGCGGGCGGGGCCAGTGGGGCTTCGAGAAAGCAACACGCCTGTCCAAAAGAAGAAATTGAGTGATAAAAGCGTCTATGAAGGACTTGAGACATTTTGGGCGTCCCCATAGGTCACCGGGCGGTTGTATTCCCCAAGGTACAGACATTGAAAGCTGGGCAACGGGCTTGAAGAGAAGAGACGCCTTGATGGAGAGAGCCATAGTTGACGCTTCTTTCACGAGCGGTGCTGTCCCGGCGTGTCACCAGCTCATCGATGATCATCTCATCTGTTGTCACTTGAACAAAAAAGGGCTTGAACGCTTATAGAGATGCATCGCGAGCGATGAGATGCGTATCAACCTGTGGTAGGTCAAGGCTCTCCAAACAGGTATCCACCCTTGGCGTGGCCGGGGTGCAAGTCTGATTCTGGTAGTAGGCACATAATCTATCCCTGGATACACTTCCTGAGCATCTCATACAAATTCTAGTATCAATGCTTTACCATTTCCCGCCCCAACCCCCACTCGTCCGTGGAAATCATCCAGGTCCATGTCATGGATTTCCTCGCTGTCCAGAATCCAGTTTTCGGTGTCGATCAGAATAACCTGGCCGCGGTTCATCGACACCTGAGAAGGGTGGTGATCCATGGGGTGAGGTGGGGCCGTATCACCATCCAGTCGCATCCGGACATCCTCATCACCTGAATCCGGAATCGTCTTGGTAGAGAAGTGAGAGATTGCGAGTGTTGTGATCTGTCTATCTGAGTCCCGGTCAGTCATTGCCCAGGCGACACTGCGACTCTTCTTTGGCTGGCCCACCAATACAAAGGCGTCTGGCGTCCGAGACATGATGTAGTGCTCTGGTATGACATAGATCACTGGCATGTCGTATACTTCATGACGCACATCCAGCTTGTCCTGGACAGTTGCAATCTGGTCCTCATGGTCCAGGCCGAGGACACTGAGAGTAATACCAAGCTCGTTTATTGTGCTCTCGCTGTTTATTTGGGAGAAGGCACCGAACATGCCGATTTGTCTCCTATTCCAAAGGCAAGAGTCTCCCCAGAATCCACACGTGGGTTCATTGAATAAGGCGGACAAATGTGGTGGTAGAGAGTAGTGAACGAGGAGGTATGGTTTAATGACAAGTTTTGGTCTTTGCGGCCCCATCGTCGGGAGAGCCGCTGCCAATTGTTGAAAGTCGTAGGCATACGTGACCAAATCCATAGTCCCTGTGGTAATGTGGACGTACATCCTCGTCTCTGATTTCGTGATTCGAAAGTGATCCATCCTCAAGTTCGTTTCGTGCTTGTCAAAATACCGAAGAGGCGTATATGCTTGCACATATCTTGATGATGAGTCCAGATCAATCAGGATCATGTGTAGGTCATCTGAATAGTTTGGATGCAGATCGCTCCTTTTCGCTGACGAGGGTGAATCCAGGTAGACGGCCCCAGCGAACGTGTCGGTGACCATCGTGAATTCTGTTCGCTGCGGAACTATAATGTCGATGAGACGAGTTGGCTCCTCCTCAGTGGGAAACTCGTTTATCTCCAACTTCCAGACTCGGAAACGATCTACGCTAGAGGTAGCTCAGAATCTTGCACGTTCCACATGATTAACAAACTCACTGAACACCATCTTCCTCCAGACTAACGCTCCCAGCAATGAGTATATGATCACCAACGATATGCTTTGCAGCTCGCTCCAGCTCGCCACCAACAAAGAAGCAAACGAGCATGCGGTTCACCGGTATATTCCACAGCTGGATGATCCTATCATCGATAACGCAGAGGACGTGCTTTCCGTCGTCTAGAAACCAGATCCAAGTCACGGCAATGTCGCGAGCGCCGACGACGTGATGCTGCGTTGTATCGAGTACAATCCGTCGTATTGGACTCGGATCAACTTCAGGTGCACCAGACCACTTGCGTTCCAGCCGTAGACCACGCTTCATAGACGCGCGCAGTTCATCTATTGATAAGTCTTGCAGTTGCTTTCGATGAATACGGATGCGCTGCTGGAGACGCGTGCAGACGTTGATCCAGAAAGCCTTTATGTCACCGAGACAGTGTAAAGCTCTGCAACACTATCATCGGGGGTGGTCAGTCGAGTCGTCCCACTTCGCTCGACTTATTAGCTTACTTGGAGGAGACGAAGGGAGTCTTCTGGGTCTATATCCTGAGTAATAGAGAGTAGAATTTCTGTTGGGAGATCGAGTATTCTAAGACTTCGAATACTACTGGTCATAGTGGAGTCTGACTTTTGATGTCTAGATTCGAGACCTGATTAGAGGACCTCCCGAGTAAGTAGACGCCGACACGTGAAAGTTTCAGTTGTTATTTCCGCATAGACGCTGCGTAGTTCAGCTTTAGGACGGATCCACTACCGTAGCAAGCCAAGAGCACTGAGTCCCTCCATGACCCGTCGAACGGTCACTCAACGGTGGGGATCGCTTCTTTTTACCTCCTACACGTAAATATATTTAGAACACAGATATCTACATCTCGTGTCCAGAACAATGTTTGAGCATCGGGACCTGCACGTTCTTCAGGCGACAAGATATGTAACCCATCTGCTTCTCCTACATTTAGTACCCCAGCTTGGTCCTAGGAGTATACATTTCCTCCAGATATTTGATATCCTCTTCATCGAGCTTGACATTTACTGCCTCTGTGGAGCTTATAAGTTCCGTATCATCTCCCAGAGGAAACTACTAACTGATCATGTCCAATAGATGCTCCATCTTGGTCGTACCAACTATAGGAGCTGCAACCGGATCCTTTGTGAACAGCCATGCCAATGCGACCTGGGTCATAGAGATGCCTTTCTTGTTCGCAATCTCTTCCACGCTAAATAGATTCGAGTGAGTCACATAGACTCTTGATGGGCAACAGAAATGGCACTCACCGATGCACAATCTGGAGATTCGGATCGCCAGCTGGTTGGATAATTGCAAGCCAAGGATCATTGGTGCTTCTGAAGGTCGCATGCTGGTCACGAAGTGGCCGACTGAGCAGGCCTTTGGCGAGCGGCGACCACGGGATCGTGCCGACACCAAACAGCTGGGTACAAAATAAGCTTCATCTCCTTCGCAATAAAGATACTCACTCTACACGTTGGCAACATCTCGTTCTCCTCTTCGCGATAAATGAGCGAGTGGTAATTTTGCATGGAGATGAAAGGTGTCAGATTGTTTGCAATTGCGTAGTCTACAGCTTTGTCAGCTCAAGGTTTGGAAGACGAATGCGAGGACGTACTCTGCATTGCGTGGAACTGCCAAGCCGCACACGAGCTCATGCCAATATACCGTGCATAGCCAGCCTGTACGACGTCATGAAGAGCACGCATCGTCTCTTGGTATGGTGTCTCCGGGTCAAAGCGATGGCATTGCAGCACGTCGACATAGTCCATCTGAAGGCGTTCCAAACTGGCTTTGATCGATTCGAAGATGTGCTTCCTGGAGAGACCTTTGTAGTTGACGTAGCCATACTCCTCGGGAGAGTCGCAAACCTCTTTGGGGACGCCCTCTGGTGGGACAGAGCCAAAGACCTTGGTCATTATAACAAAGGACGAGCGAGGAGCGCCAATGGCTTTAACAGCCTTGCCTAGAATGCGCTCTGATACCCCTTGTGAATACACATCGGCCGTGTCAAAGGTCTAGACGAGACATGAGCGCGAGAGAAGGGCGGAACACAGGAAACTGACATTGATTCCAAGTTTGTATGCCTCTTTGATTTGCTCGATGCCCTCTTCCTCCTCGAGGACCCACTCCTGCCACGACTTCGAGCCATAGCTCATACATCCGAGAATCAACCGAGATACTTTGAGGCCAGAGTTGCCCAGGCGGACTATTCTCGAAAAGATAAGCTTGTAAACGTTGGATAGGCTACGACGTACCATATGGCATTGAGACTTTGGTAGCTGACATTGTTAGAATGCTGAAGATACTCTTGGAGATGAGTGAGGAGTGAGGGAACAGATCCACTGGGGTTTTATAGGTGGTATTCGGGAGGTGATGACCAAAGCGTCTATGTCCAATCGCACGTCCGATGAATTGGCGAGGGGCAGTAGCCAATAGGGAGAGTCGAGGAGCTGAGAAAGCAGGAGGAGGGGACGGATGCGGCCCCTCGATGAGTAACATATGATGAAACTGTATCACGGCCAACTTCCCTGCCCGACGAGTGAGTAGTGCGTGGCCTTGGCGGAGAGCAGAGTCAGCCGTCTGGGCCTGAAATTGCTGCATCAGTGACACAGTTCTCTGCATTAAGAGTGGAGCTGAAATAGATTGAAGCATGTGCAACCAAGGAAATGGTCCCTCTGTCCACTGCAAAGGGCGTCTGCCATTATACCATTATTAGCTTAGACATAAAGCAATAAATATAAGTGAATTTCGTTCAGGAAACCTTTGCAGGACCGCGGAACGGGGTTGCAGAGGGCGTGCGGATAGAGGCGGCAGCTAGGAGCTCATTATCGATTCTCCACATCCCGGCCACAAACGCCTGTTTATTGAGGCTCCCTTTCTTCGCCGTATCACACTCATCCCTATCCCTTTGAGTCAAATTCCAGAGCAGGCATACGAAACTCTTACCAAATCGCCTTGAGCGTCGACCTCGGTAGCTTGGAGCATCGCCAGATAAGTTTGATGACACTTCCGCTCAGTTGCTGCTCTTGCCCCCCGCTCACTTCTCCAATTGTCTGAACATCAGTTGTTGTGAGATCGACACTTGTTCCACGCCATCCAACAGCACGTCGAGTGGAGGACAAACGCTTCGCACCAGGACCTCCTGCTCTCAGCCACTCTTGCTGAGCTCGAATATTGGCGTCAAACACGGCCTCATATCGCGCTCGGGCCGCTGGAGGGGGAGGGGTGGTCGTTTACTCTTGGCCATCGACCTCGCGTTGAAATTAGAGGCACTAGTCGACGTTGAGGATCGTTTCTCTTCGGAACTGTAATGAGAAGATCCCAAGGGCGAGTTTATGGCCCCAGTCATGGACGTCATGGAAGAGCGAGGAGAGTTTCGGGATATGTTTTCTAGAGGTGGAGCTGGAAAAAGTCAGCGCTAATCGCATGGACATAGCATGCATACGTCTGTGAGTCCCACGAAGCGATCGATTGGACTGTAGGCCCGAGGGAGGAGGAGGGGGCACTTTTCTGACAGCATACGGTACTGGTATTGCAGGATGTGACAGTGGTGGCTCGACCAAGGTAAGGGTAGATGTACCCAGTGCGCTAGGAGAAGGCGACGGTCGTGGAGGAAGTGCCGGTGGGCCAAGGCTCACTGCACTTAATGCCGGCGATGACATGACACTACTACTCCTATCCACCATTGTGAACACGCTACTTGCGTGGGGCGAAACTGCTTCATACGACCCGCCAAGCCCGACTTCTGACTCGTCCTTTTCGTGGTATTCCTGCTCTGACAAGGATACCGAGTGGAAAGAGGATGTCGAAACTGCATGTTGATGTCCGCGAACCTGAACGGCTAGTGAGGATGAAGAACCGTTTGATGGGCTATTGCGTCCAATCGATTTGAGTGGAATTGGACGCGGGGTCGGTGGTCCTTTCGGAATTGAGGATGTCGACGACACGCTCTTGAACGAGCCTACATCAATACCGCCTTGTCCGCTGCCGCTCGAGGATGCGCTGTTCTCGCTGCCCTTTCTCGGCGGTAGGGGCGGCGGTCTACTCCTCGGTGGTGATACTTTAACAAAGTCACTTGTAATGGAACCAACAGCAAGACTCCGTGCGTCCTCATCTGCCTTTTCGTCGACATTTAGACTACTCTGCCGCGCTGGCGTCCCATCGGAGACATGAGATACGTTCGGTATATCCTCTTCTGTTTCATATAAGCTGACTGGTGGTTTACGGCTTGCAGTTTGGCTGGTGGATTCCGTGCCGAGCGACTCAAACGCTTTGATACGCGCTTGGATGGCGGACATGACTCTGCCGCGAGATGGATGGGAATGCTATGAATCTCCCAGAGATACTTTGTGGCTCTCTCCCTCGCCAAACGGACGAAGAGAACTGGTGACGAATGCGGCCGCGTCAGAGAATGCTTCGCCACCTCTTTGATCTCTACCATGTCTGAAGATCTGTATGCAGCAGCGGGTAGGGACTACATCAAACATTTCAAGGAGATTTGACACGGCACAGACTTTTGCCTAATCCCCATGGGCGTAGAGGCGTCAGTGAGTGCATTTTTGCAATACGAGATTGAGGCTCTAACATCACAAGGTTGGACCGTACATTGCAAAGGTAAGGCATGTCATCAAACTGGAGGAATTCTACTCACGCGAGCCCATACAAGTGCCATCAGGTGTTGGAAAAGTCTGGCCTCAAGTTTACAGTACGTCACACATCATTCATCATTTCGAGCACTCATCATGCACATTCCCTAGATGCAGTACGTTCATTGCCTGATTGCCTAGCGGCGCTCAAACCTCTGACCATCAGTGGCTATGGGACAAATATTGGTACAAGGCTGAGTCTCATCGAGATATAATCTCTAACTCGACTCAGAAGGACCATGGACCGAGGTTTGCAAGGCCATCCAAGACTGCCACAAGGCTGTCCACGAGCAGGGAGCTCCAAGAATTGCGACAGACATTCGTATCGGGACGAGGACAGATAGAGATGCCGTTCCAGGAACCGTTAATGACGGTAAACTGGCAAGGGTGCAACAACTTCTCAAGGAGGGGGAAGGTGTTTCACAAGAGTAGATTGCAATATACAACGTCTGGAGACGGACATACACACGATGTTCTCGATACAATCTATTTTGTTGTGTTGGTGAATAACTTGGAGCCTTACCAAATCATGTCGGCATCTCGTAGAGTTTCTTCACTCTTTTCTCTGGCATCTAGAACATCAAATATTATCCAACGGGGGGCACAGCAACGGTCAAAGCATTACCTTGCTGCAGATTCAAAGGAAGGTTGCCTCGTCACTTTTATAAACAGTCATTTGAGAGCCCAAAGCACAGACGTTTGATGCAAGAATGAAGGATCAAGATGGGAGACTCGTTATTGTCGACTTTTACGCCGAGTACGGTCCACTTCTGACCTGCTTGTCGAGGATTACTGATGGCTCGAGTTAGTTGGTGTGGTCCCTGCAAGATGCTCTCGCCCATCCTCGAGCGTATAACGTCAGATACTACGTATAGCAATGGCAAAGAAGTAGACCTCGTCACTATCAATGCAGACGAAGAACCAGGTCTCACGGAGAAATTTCAAGTAGGTGTCATTATCTGAGTAGTACAACAACAACTCTGATATTTTCCATCTTCAAAGGTTCGAGGACTTCCGACTGTCATTGCCTTTCGTGATGGCAAGCCGATTGAGCACTTTGTAGGCGCGGCACCAGCCAATGTCGTCCAGGAATGGATCAAGAAGCTATCTGCATAGACCTTTTAATATCATGTCGTGCGCCCTCTTGGTGAATCTAGCCCGTCGTCTCCCACTAATGTATGATGCAAGATTTGTACCTTGAAACTCCTTACCCGGCGATTAATATTTCATTTGACCGTAGATGTGGGGGTGTTAAATCGGTAGGACGCGTTTCTTGGCTGAGCGCCTGCTAGCCTGATTGAGCGGTGCCACGGCAATGACCGACCCGACGAGACGTCTGGTGAAGCGTGGATTGGCAATGGGCTGTCATGTCCACGTCATGGCCCTAGTGATGGTCAAATACACTCCAGCCATGCGAGTATCATACTATCGAGGATGGCTCTCAGTTGGACTGTAACTAGTCGCGCACACACAGAGTGTTTCATGGGCTGGTTCGTGTAGAGATGCTCTACATCTGTATCTGCGCCCATATCTAGCTCATCCGGACATGAGGTATAGTCCTGCAGGCAGCTCGGGACGCCACGGGATGCATCATGGCAGTGAACTCATCCAACCAGCGCCATGAAACGCATCAGACAACTCGATCGGGCGAGTTACAATCCACTTGTGGAGATATCTACTTATCTGCATATAACTAGTTAACTAGTTATCCCCGGTTATACGTTATGCAGACGGTCGCTTGCCATTGCCCCTTTGACACGCGTGAATACCTATTACTACGCCACCTTTTATTGACATTGGTTGCCGGGCGGTTCATTTCGCATATCCAGCGGAGTAACGTTTAGGACGGAACTGAGCCCTCAATTACCAAAGGAACCATCCTCCTCCTCCTCGCATTGCTATTTCTTCAGAATCAACCTTTCATCACTCCACTCGCCATCAGCCCATTCATTCTTCTATAGCGCATCATGTGCACTCTTTAGCTCCCGACGTTTCACTCCAGTTAACCGATCCGGAGACTCATCTACTTTTTATTTAATCGGGCCGGCGAGGTTGGGTGTCTTCGTGGAGGCGAGAACAGCCCACAGTCTGACATCTCTAGCAAGATGAGAATCACAATCACCACTGGCAACAGATAACAGCAACGAGCTCGACACAAGCAGCGAGAAAGAAAGAAAAAAGAATAGAACACACATAACGCCAGAGGTGCCGATTCTACAGGAGGCTGTCCATCCTGCTAAAGATTTCAAACACTGTGACGATAATCTCGAAATGCAGGTCGTCGCCCTCTTTCCCAGCAGCCAGCTCTCCCCGGACAGCTTGCACAAGCCCGCCGATGAGCTCTCGAGGTGTCGGACCGGCTCCGCTCCCACTCGCAATCGGTCTTCGTGCTGTACCCATACTCGTACTATTACTCCCGGAACCGAGAGGCCATGCCGTAAACTCGTTGAGCAGATCATCGCATCGCGAAAACGCCGCCTCGCGTTCGTCGTACCCAAGACGAATGAGTGCATTGTCCAAGACCGATGCCGCGTAAGCCGCACATACTAAAGCAACCGTGCGTGTGATGGGAAACGCAATGTTCGGCTGAACACTTGAAGAAGAAAAGGATCCCTTGATAGCTGCTCCTGGTAATGCAGCGGCGGGGATCGTTGTCGTTCGGGCCGTCAACAACGCCACGACGCGTGACATGATAGATTCTTTAACCTACGATTCGCTTAATGGGGAGAAAAAGCTTATGCGGAGAAGCTTACCGCGGCATCTGCGACAGGGTGCGTGGCCATGTCGAATAGTAGGAAATTTCGCTTCTCCGTTCGAAGTATGCCCTTGTCCACGAGGCCTTTTGCAAGTCGTTCGCGTACTTGTTTTAGTTGGAAGCCAATCTTCATCACGTTCCATGTCTCGCCTTTTGGGGGGGGAGGGGGAAACCCGTCGTCAGCTCTCGTCGTCGTCGTGTCGCTATTGCTCGCTCTAGCTCTCACTGACCACTAAAGAGATCGACCCAACTTCCCACAGACATTTTCTCCCCAGGCACACCGCCGCCGGGACCGTCTTGCTGCGCCTTCATGGCCTTTAGGGCCTCGTCAAGAATGGTTTCGCCCGTTTGTCGGTCCGAGACAACTTCGATTTGTCTAGTACATTGAAATCAAACTGACGAGAAGCCCAGAAGGTGAGAACACGAACCGTTCAGCAAGTGGCAGCCGCCTTCTCGCAGGATCCTTGACCATGGCGATTCTCCGGCGGAGTGCGAGTTCGATGAGGATACATCCACGTAGTGCATACGAGATGTTATCATTCCAAAAAGAAAGATAACCCTAAATCAAACTGCTACGTCAGCCCAAGGCCCAGACGACTTGTAAACTGAAGTGGCTGCGGAACGCGAGAGCATCGTATGTTGCCTTCCTTGACCCTCCCTACCAAAGACCCGTACGGTCATACGTTCAACTCACAACTCTTCAGGTATGCCTTTAGCAGACAGCGAGGAAAAATTGTCGACGAGTGTAGAGAGCAGTAGGGCACACACCGCACGATCTTTGATACCCAACAGTAAAATCTCCTCTAAAAGAGTCAACCGAGGACTCGTCCCTTCTTCATCTGCTCCACTGCCCGATGCGCCAACGAGGTCTCGAGGATCGTACGCGACTTTGGACCCGCCTGCGAGCGCCGTTCCAGCATGGACCGCACGCGATCCATTTGCTTCACTCGTCGTCGACGTTGTCGTCGAGATTGGTGGTCTCCGCACGTCCTCTTCGTCGTCGACGTCGTTTGAACTCGACGCTGCAGCGACACGCCGTCTCGAGAGTCCCGTTTGTGCACTCATAACGCGATTCTTTATTCGATTTTCGATTTTACGAGGCCCCGTGAGCTGGCAAAGTGAGGAATACAGTTATGGTGGCTGTCCAAAGTTCAGTTCGTGCACGTTGGAGGTACCCTTGAAGCATAGAGGACGAATGGATTAAACGCTCTATGACTATACTGTGAATACTAGAATACACTAGCGCGACCCATATCTAAATAAAGTAATGGTCGATACAAACACCGTTGGTCGAGGTACAAAATGACATCCCCAAGAAGAGCAGAACGCATATACAACATCAACCAGGAAGTCGTATCATTACGATGTGCGTAAACTAGACACGCGCAACTGCCGAGAGTAAGCGGGACACGGTCAAGAGCCGCTTGAAAGCTGGAGAAGGCGTCCAGCGTATAGATAGCCAGAAGACACAGGCTAGATCCAGTTCCGGTGGTATTAGTGTTGGTGGGATATATGGGTGGCCAAACATGGCTAGGGCCAATTTACGATCAGCGTTGCTGGACGTTGAGACTCGACCATGCCTGCTCGAGTGCATGGAGAGGAATGGACGCAGACGTCCGACGCGGTTCGAGGTAACTCGATTGATGATGCGCATGCATATCTGTCGTGGGTGAAAAATGACCCGAAGAGGATGTGTGCACACGCGTTCCATAATCATCTGGCGAAGACGGTGAGTGGTTGATCCACTGACCATACGGTTCATGCGCAGGGGGACGGGAGGATAGCGGAGGAAGCGTTTGGGGATGCTGAGGGTGCTGTGAATGCGGGATAGAGTGTGAAAGGTACGATTGCTGATGCATAAAGCTTCCTTGGTGATCTGGTGTCATTGTCGACGGCGTGACGGAGGACACCGAGTGCACAGGTGAGAGCATCATCGGCTGGTAGAGTTGTGAGTGCATCCCTGCCGTCGGTGGATAGACATTTGGGCTTGCGATGTGATGGTGGTCGCTGGGGAAGGAGCGGGCCCTCGATAAACCACGTATACGACGAACAGGAGGAATCGCTGCTTGGTAATCTTCTACGGGAGAAGGAACCTGGAGTAAACCAGCACCAGGCATCTGAAACAGCTATGAGAACAAAAAAAAAACACCTCTTTGTAAACCGAACTTACCGAAGCCGTCGACGAGGACGTATACTGGTTGCCATAGACCAGCTCGGGCTGTGGTGGAGGCGACTCGACCTTCATGACAGGAGCGGCATTTGACCAGTCCATCGAATGGTTCTGGGTATGTCCATAGCCATCATTTACTGGGACTGAGGCCTGTGGCGCACTCTCAAGGTGACCATGGCTTGGCTGCTGCGGGAAATAGGAACTGCCCATGCCCCCATACGTCGACGGGGAAGGGTTCATGCCAGCTACGGTGGCTGCCGTGACGGAGCTGAGATCTGGAGTGACGACCAATGGCGAGTCAATATCCGTATTCATCCATTGATGCCCATGGAAAGCAGAGGAGCCAGACGAACCCTCTCCATACATCGAGGACGAGGTTGCCACCATGTCACTCGGAGTACTTCCACGAGACCCATCACCTCCATGATTCGTGCTTCCTACATTATGCGTTCCGTTCCCGTTCCCGTTACTCGCACCTGTGCTGTTGCTTAGACTGAGACTGATACTTCCAGAGTTGTGGTGTCGCAAGATGCGTGGCGTCGGCGCCGACGGAGGAGGGAGCGAGTTTGTAATGATTAGCTTTTCGTTGAAGAGGGCCTCGGTCGGCAGCTCATCCTCTGGTACATCTTGCTGCGACGTAGGATGCGACCAGCGTCCGACGCGCCATTTGGCGAGCGACTCCTTTGCCTTTGTCTGGCACTTGAGAACGGATGGCTAGGAAAAGGAATCAGCGAATGGAATACGAGAGATGACTCGTATTCATACCAGACTAGCGGTGGCGATGGCAGAGTCTCGCCCGTGTGCGAGGAACAAGTCGTTGACTGCCTTGTCCGCAGCAGCCATTGCTTCCTCGACTTTGGGGTATCCAGGGGTGTAGATTGCAAATGCATAAAGGACCATCTGTGCAAAGTAATGAGTATTGTATCCAAGATGAGCCTCATAGACTTACGCATGCAGTCTGGTAGTGCACCCAATTTGGCGAATAGCGTACTTGTAGCCAAGGTGCGTGGCGAGAGACGACAAGCGCGCACTCGAGTAAGCCTGTTGCAGCCTCGTATCTATCGATAGATCAGCCTAACTGCTCATTGGCGTGGATAAGGAGAACACTCACGTCGCGCTGACAGACAGTGCCAGTTTACCCTCGACTGCGTTTTCCTCGGGACGAAGAATTGCATAGGAGAAATACGTCTTGTGGAGCGTAAGGAGCATCAAGCACTTGAGGCCACGGTTAAACGCATTTGCAATCTCGCGCAGCCAGGGTGGCCGTGTATCCGGTATCTTAAGCTTTGGCTTATAGTCTCCACCTTCCATCGAGGCCGCCGTCGTTGCGGGGGTTGATGGTATGGCAGAGGGTGGCGCAGAGGCCGAGGAGGGGGAGACTGAATGCGGTTTGGTTTCAATGGGATTGCCCAGGATGTCGCGACCCAAGAGGTCTTGCGCGGGCATATGCCGGGTAGCATCGACTTCACGAATCTTTCTGTCAAGACGGAGGACAGCAGCGTAAGGTGGCGAAGGTCCAGACTCCATAAAGTGTGCGAGCATATCTTGCAGGATAAGCGTGAGCTGTGGGTGGAGGTCGCCATCAACTAGAATGGTCGTTAGCATCATCGACGACGAGAGGGCGGCGGGTGCAATTCCGGTGGAGAGATCAGGCTGTCCACAAAGCAGCGGAATCCTCGGGCTATGGCGGTGAAGCCATAGTACCATATTAAGGAACGAAATGAACGAAGAATGTGGACGAGGGGGTCTAGAGCGTGTCAACTTACTTGACTCGGCGGACGCTTCTTGCGGGGGGCGACAGTTAACGAAGCCCTTTGCCAGCGTGGGTGGTTGTCCAAAGTTCAAGCTCTGCAAGTAGCAACGGAATGGAAATGTCAGCAAGGGTGTGTCTTATGGTCGGCGAGGGAAACGAAGGAGGGAATTGGGTGCGCTAGGCAAAACAAAAAGTCGGAATAAGCTCCAGAGGTTACATGAAGGTTATTCCCAGGGATAAGTCGAGCTATGCGATGACCTGTCATCGTCACGTCGACGGCGAGCACTACGCGAGGCAAGAGAGTTTCGATAGTGAAACGAACAAAAGCCGAGCGGAGCCGCCCTTACTAGAGAGAACAAGGAACGAGGAGCACGAAATGATCGGGTAAGAGGTGGCGATGGACATGCGGCACCGCGGTTGCCCTCAGGGGGAGAAAAGGAAATATGAAAGAAGAGCGTACCAAGATTGAGTCATGGAACCACATCTGCGCAAGGGAGCCAAGCGTCAGCCATCGAGGGTTACTCTTCCAAAACAGCACTAGCACATACCCCCCAGAAAACACGCCGACGACGTTCTGCTTCTTCGACGGAAAGTTTGAGTGGTTCGGGGTCACGATCTGCCAAATGTTTGAGAATCACGCGCCACGGATGGGTGTCACTATAACGTACGGAGTCCAAGCTAAAGAAAAAGAACCAATGAGAACCCATGAAATATCCTTTTTATCGAGACATTTACCTTGCCACCCAATTTGATTCCCCATGCGAGGAGCTCATAGTTGGCAGCCGCGCTCGTATCAAGGAACGGCCAACTTGTTCGGAACAAGAGGAGCAAGCTCTCCATCTCGTCTATTGCTGTCGGACCACGCGGCCAGTTGTAAAAGAAGAGGGCACGGGCGAGCTGGCGGCGAGATTTGAACTCGTGACAAGACGAATCAATGTTGGGATCATATAGTGAGCCCATGGCGAGGAGAGAGAAGAGGGCGGAGAGGTTGTACGTGCTCATCGCGTATGCGTTGACTGAGTAGGCTGGATGATAGAGTGTGGAGAGGACCGTTGGGCGGTCGATAATGATGGGCCTTTGTGATATAAGCATCCCGAGGGCTCGGACCAATGTTGAAATACATACCATTGCCACTGAGAATAGAAGAACGAATTAGCAACAATGCTCTACAAAGGACACGAAAGAGGAAACGCACCGAAAACTGGAAATACTTGTCGATAAGGTGGAGTGCTTCCTGTGGTGGTGGAAGATGATCAAATGCGAGTTTTTTCAGCTCATCAGCCGAGTGCTTTGTTGCGCAAATAACGCCATGACGCTCTGGGGACTGGAGGAGGTCGGGGGGAAGAGTGGGAAGATCGTTGAGGAGGCGAGATGGGAAAGGGTACTCATTGTCATGAGCAACATCGCCGATCTAAGGGAATAATCGATTATGTCAGTACCCCTATATCGAGATCTCGGTACGAGCGTGGAGCCGTCCGGGTGCTAAAAGCCCGGTTGGCTAATTGGCACAATGCAGATTCAGGCAAGGGCAAATGCAAAAGAGCGCCCACAGTCTGCAAGAGGGGCGTGTCTACGGTAAAAGGCTAAACTCACATCGAGAACCATGGCAGGAATGGCGGTCGTCTATAGATTGATTGGACGAAAATCGAGAATTCGCGGCGTGTCAGTACGACTTGGAGCAGTGAAATAGCAAGGGTTTTGGACGTACACCTAGCCAACGATAGGAGCCGGGCTTTGAAATTTTCATAGTTCCCATTTGAGCGATAGGGACTTCGTCCGGCGGCCTGATGCTCTTTGCCACTGCTGTCATGGGCATAGGCGAGGACGTAGAGAGGTCGGGGGTCGAGGGAGGCATAGATCCTGAATGTTGGCTCTCGGGGCTCTTGACAACCACAGCACGAGGATCCTGACCAATCTTGATCAATTCTGGCTCGAGGAGGGGATGCCGCTCCGAGGCAGCAAGCGGGTAAGATGATGTGGAAGCAACAGAAGACGAAGAAGAAGTAAAATCAGAGTGCTGGTGTTGTGCAAAGTTGAGGCGGGCAGCGGCATGGGCCTTTTCGAGTGCATACTCGAGGTCCTGGACCCGAACGCAGAGAGCCTGGATACGATGCCATGACTCTTCTGCAGACGCAAGGACGTATCTAGAGCCCTTTGTGCCGCTGAGCTGACCGTCGGGACAGAGGCCTAGGAGAAAAAAAAATGCGGCGTCAGGACATTTATATAGGTATCCAAACTAAACGCACTCTGAAGGCCTCGCTTGGTACATGTCCCGCATGGGACCTGCCTGTTGTAAAAGCCCGTTAGAGGGGCACGCAGCATCGGATTTGAACCTTACTTGTCGCATTTAATCTTGAGCTGTAAAGAGTGTAAGTGTCCGTGTTGTATCGAGATGTGTGATACATACGCGTCTGCATTCTTTACAGGATGCGCCCGTCGCCCGCGTCTGTAGCGACTTCATGGGTCGGGTCCAAAGTTGATCAACGACTCGCTCCCTGGGACGAATGATTTATAAGGGCTAGCGCGTTCGGCGTTTAGTGATGATGTGAGTTGCCCTGTTGGGTTAACCATTCTGCCATGAAATAGGGAATATTTAATTATTTTATTTCCAGAGATCCAGTGAGCTCCCTCTCTGCAAATCCCTTTGCGGGCTAACGTAAAAGGCTGTCCACCTGTCGTCTGGCTGTTTGCTTCTCTCGAATTTACCTACCTCAAACGGCTTCGATCAGGAACTCGTCACAGGAAAGAAAACTGCCGGATCTGTCTGGAATTAAACTTTGGTGTTTCTATTATTTTATATTTTATTTATTTCCCCAAATATTTTATTCTTATTAATATTTCTTATTCTTTGCTGGAAGATGCGCCACTCAACGTTGGGATTTTCATCGAGTGTGACTGCCTCCCGCTCCTTGGCCCTTGGCTCCAACGAGCAGCATGTACACCACTGTCCCCGTCGTGGGTCCGTTTGAAGAACACGATGTATTTCCTCTGCAGTCTACCGTAACTCCCGACGATCCATCGTGGGTCCATCTAGGAACCCCGCGTGCAAAGCCCAAGGCAACCGCGAAGACGAACAAGACAACGGTGACCGGAATCGGGGCCGAGATTGGTGAAACAACACCCACACAGCCGTCGACTATGTCCTCGGGCTTGATGCCGTTTGTTCTCCACCGCGTGCAGTTGTTCGAAGGGGGTGCTGTCTCTTCTGGCGAGGCTATTGGACGGCCCATAGGTCTTGACAAACTTGCACTCTACAACACTCCCATCGATCGGAGAAGCAGGCGAGTCCAGGGACAATGTAAAAATCACGCACGCGTCCCAAACCAGCTACCAAGTTCTCACCCCACGGCCTTCCAATAGATCCTTCGACGCCTACACTCTGTAATTCCCCTACTCAATCGGTGAGTATTACACGTGTAGAGGCATGTGTCACGACGCACCCCCCCATCTCCCCCTCACGCCGAACGGCAGGAGCGTTCTATATTCTGGCGAGGTAGATTTCGCATCAATCTCCCACAAGGTTGGAATCGCTCAAGCAACCAGACTGACCAAGATGATGACGACGACACATCGCCAGGGGAAAGTCTGACTGACAGTGCGTGACAACGTCTTAGAATAGGAATCAGCACATGATACTCTTACACATAGTCAAAGAATTTGGCAACAGTAATGAGGAAGGGCATAGGCTAATCCCGTACCTTTCCAGCCGTGGTTCCAGACTCGTATTGGACTATGCGAATGCACTGGGCATCATGCTCTACCCTCGCTTTGATCTCCTCATTCAGGGTGTTGCCGTGGGCTACCATTGGAGTAAGTGTGCTTCTTCTGTACTTTTGTCACCTTCCTCCATGACCAAACGGTGCCGACGGCCCGCGCAAGAACTACTGCTTCATTTCGAAAATAACTCCAAGTCGCCGAAATAACTATCAGAAAAGAATAATCTATCTATACAGTCCCGCCTACAGGCCCGAACCAAAGAGCCTCGACCCAACTCTACAGTTCACTCCCACCCTTAACCCGTCCTAGACCTAGATCCGTCGGGGTTCTTGGTACGATAAGGGAATGGCGCGTGGACAGTTTAGAATCTCGGGACACTCTCAGGCTATCAAAGTCGGCACTCAGGGCGCACGCTGTGCTGTCATGGATGCGCAGCATTAAGCAACGTTATGAAACACCTACGCAACGACAATTACCATCAATCGAGTGGTACGTTGAACAGTATGTGGCCATGTACCCGACCACTCGTCACTACTGGCAGCATTCAAACTCTGGCAGAAAGGTAATCGATATCTCCCACTCCATACAGCCCGCTGATAAACTGTCGACTGGCAGACGCAACGTTCGGAAGTACGCTTGATCCTTGGCCTTGTTCTTACGTCGCCCATGGGCCGTCAGGCTGTCATTGACGAGGGCTTGATCGATAACGATGGGTATAGGGCCCTTCAAAGGGAAATTGATATATTGGAGCACATTGGTGATCTACGAAGAGTAACAATCGACGAAGGAGTCGACGAACTCGAGCCCGTTCCTCTTACCAATCAGGAGGCCTCGATGGAAGAGTCGGAGGTGGTATCACTGCTGGGAGTGGATAGTATCAACGTCGAGGAGACAGTAATGCCCTATGATACGAGCTCTGACACGCCGTCGATGGATTCGTGGTACTATTCCGCCACCGAATCCATCTTTCATCCCCTTGATCCCTCATGATGTATACAAGCATGCCACTCAGTATCCATGGGAAACATACCCAAAGCCTCAGAAGCAAGCCGTGAACATCACACAAGCTGTGCGTTGCTACTTGATCACATACGGCTCCGTCTCTTCTGTGTACCCGATATCCCCAACGACATTATTATCTGATCCATGGGAGTGCCCGGGCCGCCCAGGTGCAGATATGCTTAGAGCGCCCCGCAATACCAGAGATCTACGCGGCGCTCCCAACAAGTACCTTTTAATCTGCGGTCCGGTTTCCCACGTCGAGGACTACGATTACGACACCAGTTGTAGATGAATAAGAATCGACGAGGCCCCTCGCTGTCGGATGGAATTTGGCATGGACAATGGAACCTCGAAAGGACGGGTCAACCACTCAAGACGAAGAGCAAAGATGGGAATACCAGTAATTGACAAAGTTGAAGAACATTGAGCCCTTGAGACACGTTACGGTTCGAATTTGATTACAACGTGTAGTCGGTTGGTAATCATTGACATGTGGGGGAAGCCGGGTGCGCGCGTTGCGTTGGTCTATTCTACGACGGGCGCGTTTCATCTTCTGTTGCACTAACTTGATGGGTGCGAAACAAACTGAAAAATAGTTGCCTTACGGTACCGCGGCACTATATCAGAACTGTGTGCAGATCCTCGCCCCAATCCCCCCGTATCCTGCAGGGTGAGCCATGTTTCGTGATTGGCGATTGGACGAAGGGGCGGGCCGTGTGCGCTCGTCAGAAAAAACGGTACAATGAAATGACGAGATGCGTGTCTTCTTGCCCATGCATCCATTGGTCGTGATACCCGACGTCGTTCCCTTTCTTTGTGCCATGCGTCGTGCGACATTCCAGTTAGGAGTCTGCCAGAATGCTTCCCTGATTGAACGAGTTGTTCAGAAGCGTATTGGGCCCTGTGCTAAATAATTAAAGCCTCCCAACTGCCCATAAGCTGAATAAGGTCAGGCATCAGGAGGCGTTTGCGTTGTGTTTGAAATTAATCTATCATGATCTGGATGTTTTTTAACTACTTATGGTTAGTAGGGTTATTCCACCGGTTACCCGCGAGGCCGAGTCCGAGGAAACTCCTCTCAAAGGAATCTAATGCGGTAAACGGAATATATGAATGCTAGATGAAAGAAGTAGTAGAGAACCGGGTATCGGATATTAGCGACATGGAACATTCCACAAGGTGAAGGCAGGGTACAAGGCTTGGACACCAACCAGGGCCACCTGCTTGAAACCCGTCGTGCGCCATTTGCTATTCGCAATGTCAACCCACCCGCCCAAACCATGCTTTTGGATGATCCAACAAGGGAAACCCTCAATGGTGTCCGGCGCCAACGCCTTACCGGAGATTTCCTGCGCCGATTTGGGTTAAAGCATCCATCCGGTGCGGTGCAGTCCATTCAAGTGTTCAGGAGCATAGACATGCGTCTCCGGGAGGATGGGTAGATTGGTTTCAACTTTCCGAAGAGATTGTGGCGCCGATCTACGCAACCAGCATCGGCATCCTCTTCTAGTCCTGGGTTCATTTGACGGCCGCGAAATGATAGATGATCCGCACATGTAGCCAGTAACGTGTGCTGACAATGGTCTAGACCCTGTAGATGTTCGTCAAAATGCTTAGTCGCGGCGTCTCCTTGGAACGCCGAGCAACCGGTACAAATGGCCACCTCTCGCTGGGCAGACAGGTCTGCCCCCTCTTCTGCTGTGCCATGCCAGACAAGGTGGAACGGTCCAGACCAGACCTTTCCTCTCCTTTCGATCGACGGAACTTGGCTACCCTGGCTCTCCATTCCTCCTCACGCAGACCGCAGATAGCAAGACGCCGTCAAGATTGGGATTTATCGTGACAGCTCCATACTGAAACGACAGAATAACGATCCAGGAGTTAAGTTATCGCGATTGGTGGCATTTAGCGTTGAGGGCTTGCTGAATAAGGCGATAATCCTGGATTATCCGGGACATGTGCTCTTGTGAGCCATATTCTTTCTGTCCTCGAGGAGCAGGATCTCGGCAGGGCTGCCTTGTTTCAGCCCTTCGCCCTATCGAGACGCAGCTCTTGGTGTCTCACTATGGCTGTTGAGAGAAAGGTATCATTTGGAAAGCTACGAGTCAATTGGAATCGTCTGATTTTCTCAGATATATGGAAATTAGATCAACGTTATGGAAGTGATGTCACAAGTAATGTCGCTGTCGCAGTTGCAGAAGTCTTTCATTCTTGCCCAAAAGGAATCTCAGAGTTGATACGTACGTCTTCGACATGTGATAGCCTTGATCTAGTAATTCTTGTTCGTATGTCAATCCTGCTTAACCACTTCAGTCCTAGGCACTCGACGGTGGTCAGTACCTCGTAGAATGACAGTTTTGGAAACCTTGAAACAATAGAAATGATGCTTTCATGTCAGATAGCTACTCTACTTACCGACGATCCGGGTGAGAGGCAAGACTGACGAGTTCCGGCGCCTTCACACACACGAGGCCAATTTCAGTGCATAAAACAGTACCCTTTGGGCAGCATACTCTGATAGCCCGCTGGGCTTCATTAGTTGTCAATAGAGCGAACCGTTCTACTAGTCAAGTTGGAAACTGAGTGCAGAAGCTTTCATTTTGGTATTGTATCACGAACCTGTAAACGTGCTCGTCTTGGCCAGAGTGTGCCAACCACGGGTTTCTGCAACCCTTGCGAGGTTATAACAAAGCCGAGTAGCATATTTGTGTCAATATTTCAGTATCAAAGGTCCAATTAGAATGTGGTAACAGTCAAAGAAGGTTGAACAACTTTGGTCTCCGACCCGTTTGTCTCAACAAAATGCTCAATAATCGCGTAACAGTACAGATTGGAACATACAATGCAAATCTCCAAGGACATGAAGGTCTTCCTCAAAACCTAGTAGACTGGCTCGTACCGTCACTCAAAGTGTCGAGCTTTCTCGCCAACATGCGCACCGCGCCGGATATTGTCGCCATTGGTTTCCAAGAGCTCTTGCCTCTACAATTTGGGTGTAAGGAGTTCTATCCGCTTTATGTCGGGACGTTCTAACATTCTCATAGTCACCGGCCTCTCTCAGGCGGTGATGCGCTCCCGCGATGAGCTCATACGTTCTCAACTAGAGCACCATGCGCCGAACAAAGAACGGTACTCTCTCGTTGCTAAATCGGTCAACGTTGGAATTGCGTTGCTAGTCTATGCACGCGACGATACTGTGGCCAAGCATGTCACCGAGGTCCAGACGCAATGGACAGGATGTGGTCCCGGATGGATGGGGAATAAAGGAGCAGTAGGGATACGCTTCAAAGTCTCCTCTGCGCTCTATGGTGGTGGAGACGGTCCCGGCGAGGTGTACACCTTTGTCAATGCACATTTGACGGCTCACTTGACCCATCTTCAACAACGCATCGCGGACTATCAGCATATTGTCCAAACCCTCTTATTCTCGGACCCCTCAGAAACCTCCAAGCACGCCAATATGTACCAAACTACGCACCTCTTCTTTTTCGGCGACTTGAATTTCCGGATAGAACCGCCGGTTTCCATCGCAAGAGAAAGATTAGAGGCGATGGTTCGCACTGAAGAGGGCCGTGATGAGCTACGTCAGTTTGACCAATTGAGCCTCGTCCGGAACCAGGCCAAAGCTCTTGTTGGTCTCCGTGAGGGTGATTTCTGGAAGTTTCAATGCACATACAAGTACAAGCATGGCCAAATCGATCAATACCAGTATGTTCTCGCTCAGACTGCCAAATAGACACTAATGCCATGCAGTCCGAAGCGAACACCCTCATGGACAGACCGAATACTCTTCACTACAGTCAGTGATGATGCCAACAACCTATCGACTTCCCAGATCACTCCGCTGGTCTACTCGGCTGTTCCGTCCTATGTAGCATCTGATCACAAACCCGTCGTTGCACTCCTTCAACTTCCAGCTCCAAGCACCACCACCACTGCAAGTTTAGCGCCATTTTTACCGACACCTGTGCAATACGTCAACGATCCTGGGTGGATCTGGAAACGCTACATCGGCAAATTGCTTGGCTGGATTGTTGGGTGGACTTGGTGTCTCTTCTGGTTTGTTGGAGCTGGAAACGCAGTCGTTGGCGTTGCTGGATCGTTGCTCGGTAGCCTTGGCGTCGTATGGTGGAACAAACCCAACGCCTAACAGACGATACCTACCACTTCCTGTACGGACATCTAATCTATCCATTTATATGTTTAGGAGGTATACAATAGTGCATGTATATGGTTGTGCTACATACATCTACTCCATGCATATGCGTTCATGAATATTACCAATAGGATACGTCACAAACCATCGTTTATTCGCCTTCGTGACTCGGCGAGAGGAGCGGTTCGCGTTCAGAGTCAATAGGCGATGGACGAGGAATGCGAACGAAGGAGATGAAGACGAGCGCCAGTCCGATGATACACATCCCTGCCACGAATATCCCTTTTGGAAACGTTTTGATGCTCGCTACAAAGACGGCGCCGAAGAAGGCTGGTCCAAGCATTTGCGAGCAGAGCGCTTGCACGACAGCCATCGCGCCGAATAGTTGTCCATAATTTTGCCCGCTTCGTTTCCTTTCATCGCTCTCTCTTCGCGGCCCATCTTCCTCTCCAGAAGCTTGGGTATCTCCACCAGACTGTGTATCGTTATCGCGAACGACATGAGATTTCTCACTCGCGCTAAAGGTCTCGACAGCGAGCGCTTGAAGCGACGGCCCAATTCCTCCCGTAAATGAGCTGACGATGGTGGCACTAGCCCATACGAGCGCAGTTTGAGATGCGATGGCGATGGAGTATTGGACAAGTTCGAGACAGAGACATAGCCGGATCACAAGGAGGTCAAACCTCGCGCTGTGAGGAAGACCTCCAGGCAACGAGTTTCCGTCTCCCGGGGTCTGAGAGGATTGTGGTTTGGGACCAAAGTATTTGATGAATGCTAAACAACATCAGTATGTGGCGGAAACACGCGAGGAGGGACATACCGGGAAGGATAACAATGAGATTGATGGCACGTAGCGTACCAACGATACTGAGCCAGGTTCCAAGCTGCTGAGATGTCCACCCATAGACGTAGTTGGCGTATTGAAACTTGAACTGGTACGAGCCCTAGAGAAGAGGAACCTCAGCGTCATAGGGCAACCCTGAAGCCAAAAGACGCACCACAATCAGCGCGACACATCCGTATGTGATCGCAATAATCAACAAATTCCAATTTCTTCGTCCTCCAGGGCCCCGCTTACGAGGGACGAAGATTGATAGTGGCTCAAGGAAGAAGAATACATGGCCTAGCACCCGTAAAATGCGCTGGACAACGCTCATGTCCTGCCAGACTTCTTGCTGACGCCGGAGTTTCTTGTCTTCTGCCTGCTTTCTTGCTTGCTCCGTGTTCGCGGCTGCACGCTCTTTGGTGAGAGACTCTGGTAAGATGAAGATGGTGAGAAGAAGGTATGTAAAATGTACGAGGGCAGCCAGATAAAACACGGAAAGGAGGTCGCCGCTCCAGCTAATGAGTTGGGCACCTATGAGAGGACCACATGCCATTCCTGTGAACAGAAGACCGAGTAGCAGGGAAAATACGCGAGATCTACTGAAAGTGAGCGCGTTATGAGTAACGGTGATCAGACTGACCGATTGGCAGAGCTTGTCGTGTCGCTCAAGTAGGCGTGCGTTGCGGCAGATCCAGTTGCAATACCTAGGTGCAATTTAGATCGAGGTCATTGTGTATAACCGCCTTACCCCCCATGAGACCATCGATAACGGGAGCGACAGTCAAGAAGCGATAGCCTCCAGGAAGTCTGTCCGATGCCAGTGCAACAAACACTAGAATCAAGTCGCTAGGCCCAATTAGCAGCGTCTAGAGGGCCCTTTGCAACTTACGAGCAGACTCCTCCAACAAGAGTGAGAGCAAGTAGGCGGACACGACCGTAACGGTCGCTAAACTGAACATATACTGAGTAAAAATTCTATCAGTCGTTTGAAACCGCACCTTTCCCCACCATCCAGCTGTCACGCAGCTGATTGAACCCATAATGGTCGTGAGGGTTGCCCCCAAACGCGCGGCGGCTTGCTGCGAAGGAGGTTAGAATCTTCCTCGAATGGATTTGAAATGCGTTACCTGGACGGCAGGATCTGACTGACATTTGGCGGAGGGTCGGGGTATGGTGACTGTGCCAATGCTCGATGGCCAATCCATTACTCCCCCGGCAGGATGATATACGCGCATTGGCTCATAGTCCGGATGGATTTCCTATACTTTACATGAGTGGTGCTTATGTAATGTAGATTGCCATACGTACCTGGCAAGCAAGCTTGACAAAGAGTTCTACTCTCGGTGCAATGGTAGAAGAGAGAGCTATTGCTGCAAGAAATGTGCCAACAAGTACCCTATGATCATAAGTACCATATGCCCCGGTTCTGCTGAGCTCACCATGCGGGCGATGGACGCCGGTACCAGGGTACGCTCGCGTCTCCGCTCAAGGCAGAGACGACCGGAGTGGACTCAGATGCACCATGAACAAAATTGTATGCGTCTGGGTCGTCGCTTAGGCCAAGCAGAGGCTCGTCCTGCTGCCTCTGGGCGTCGTCAGATATCCTATGCGGGCTCGTGGATAATTTGGACATGGGTATCTTCGTTGCCGAGGCGAAGGATGTATTAGTCCCAAGTTGCCCAAGTCGGGGGCGGGTTCAAACCTTTGGATCGCTGCGGCCTGCGGACCTAATGGTCAGCTTGGTCATGACCATGCGCTACTTGCTTACCACCACGATCGGACTTGTTTCGTCATGGCACGCCCCTATTCGCTATCCCATGAGCAAATTATTGACAAATCATGCTTACAGGCCACTATCGCACTGATCCCAAAGGACATCGAGGCCGTCCTAAGAGGGTTCAGAATGTCGTCGCCGCCAACTGTCAGCTACATCTGTTGATATAACTCAATTTAAATTGGTCTTCTAGATTCTATACGTCGACAGAAAGTCCAGCAGCACCCCAACCGTCAAACTGGACACAAACGTCCTTGACGAAGATGAAGACTTTTCGATCGAGGCATTGGCCGCAAGTGTGTCTACATCTCATGTGTATTGATGGATGATGGACACGATCAAAGACCTCCCAACTGCCCCGCGGGTTATTGTCCTCCCATACAAGCCCAAGGGCGAAGACTTTCCAAAGATCATTCTCATAGATTGGATACCCAATGGATGTGAGACTGGTTCCTCGATGCTTCACGTCGGGACACTGCCTGCTATTGAACGCCTCGTAAGTGGACCAGAAGAGCCAATGCCACCAAGCTGACTGTTGCATAGGCAAGGAACCCAAAGGTAAGCGACTCTGCCTCCGATTCTGCATATCTCATTTCCTTCAGGTAATCCAAATCACCGACGCAGACGAACTCACCGAAGAGACCCTCAACGCAAAGCTGCGTAGGTTCTAATATCCCTGACGAATGCTACAAGTATGAAAGTATATCAAATGGAAGTGTATTGCGAACAACCTTGATGAGATTTGTGTGGTAAAATACAGTGAAGTAACGCTGCAGACCAGTGCATCTTGAAACTATTCGCTTCTAAATGGTCAACATGAACCGTGGATGAAGATTGCCGAGCCTCGCAACCGTTTCATCATCTGCATCTAGTCGATAGTCTCTGCTACCAGCCTTGCGCAAACGGTTCTCGCGCATGTTCCACATAATCAAGAAAACCTACATTGTACGTTGAGTAAGGAGCTTGGCAGGAAAGGAAATGCTTGCCGTTAGAAGGAGCAGCGCAATTTGGCCGCCAAGTTGGACTGACAACCCAGTGATGTAGCGCGGCTTGTCTTTTGGTAAATAAACCCAAGCGGAGACTATAGGACCTAAAGATCCAATGGCCACGACCATGGCAGAGCTGACGGCGCGCGTCGTGTAGGGTGCAGAGTTGTTATTTGCCCACGTCAGGAAAATCGGTCCAAGAGGGAACGCTAGCATGATCCGTCAGTGTAACTGTCCTATGCCCCTGTGTATGACTTGCCTCCCATAGCGAGTAGGAAGATACCCGCATACTCGACCTTTCGGTCAGGCGAACCGATGAGCATGCTACTTCCGACGATACAAATCGGCGCTGAAAGTAAGATCCAGATACCTCGTCGAGAAGACCGTTGACTCTGCCATGCAATGCCAATGCAAAATATTGAAGCGAGGATGTACGGGGGCACAGTGAGCAATTGCGACTCGATTTCTGTATATCCCATTCCGGCGATGAGTGAGGGCATGAAAAGAACCATTCCTTGGATCGATATGTTCGTTAATAAAAAGCAGAGCTATGAAACGATGAGCCGTAGTAGAGCAGACAAGCCGGGGGACCCACTGCACATATCCAGTTGGTCATGTTGAACCAAGCACGGAGGACGAGCTCAAAATCTGTGCTTTCCTCCTCAACCTATACGGCATCAGATAGAGTCGAGCAAAGAGGGATATCACCTACCAAGCCAGCATTTTCAACACGAATTCTCTCCATCGCAATGGTCCGTTCCCGTTCCGTTAGGAAGCCAGAATCGTCTGGTGAGCGTGGCAGAAACATGAATCCCACAAAGCCCAAGAGTATCGTGATTGCTCCTTCAATCAGGAAGATGTTTCGCCAACGGCCATGGGGCCTAATAGCAATTAGCAGCAGCATAGAGGAGAGTGAGAGACATACAGGACACTGATCTGGGGTATGGAGAGGAAAGCTGTCGCGAGTAGACCTCCAAAAGCACCGGCCATACTCGCAGCGGAAACTACACACAATTAAGAGCGGCCCCCACACCAATAGGTCTTTGACATACCAAATATGCCTATTCGAAGTGCCAACTCGTCGCGGGTGTACCATGTCGATAGATAGTACGCCACACCGGGCATCATACCGCCCTCTGCGACGCCCAGCAGAATTCGGATAACCATAAACTCGCCAAAGTTGGTGATAAAGGCGGTACAGAAGCAAACAGTTCCGAATGAGAGTACAAGGATCGATACTAGACATTATTCAGAAACAGTTGGGACCAATGGAGAGCACCTACACCAGACCTTGGCCCCGAAACGCTTCAGGAGCAAATTTGACGGCACTTCAACGAGAATGTAGGCAACGTAGAACACGGATAACCCAATATTGTCTAGTGTGGAGCATTAGCCGGTCTCCCTCGGTTGCAATAACGTACATTGGAAACCAACGAGCCCGAGGTCGGTGTTCAAACCGGCGACTCTGTAAATTGGTAAATATGTCAGGTCGAGTCAATCTGGCGCAGGAAATAATACGTACTTTGCATTGCCAATGTTAGCTCGGCTGTCCAGGGACAAAGTGCTGTCAGTAAGAGTAATTTGACAGGGGCGGTGAATCGCGAGACTAGACTTATGAACGCATGACTGAGACAAGCAACCAGGTGGAACTGGCTGAATTGAGCGCCAATCGAGGATGGCTTCCAGAGAAGGTTTCATGCTCAACTCTAGCACCGCCCTTGGACTTGTATTGGGCAGCCAAAAAGGAGAGAAGCTTACTCGATGAAATTGGACAGATAAAGGATTGTAACCAATGGAACGATATGCCAGTCTGGCCAGTAGTCAGTAGGTAGAACACGTAAAGGACACGGTGAAGAAGTGAGAGAAACGCTTACCAAGCCGTCGGACGAGCGCCTTTTCCTCCTCTACAGTCCAATGGACGCTGGTGTTGGCAAACGCGTCGTGCTCGAGAATCGCATCCTCCTTGACTGGATCGACATTCCCAGCTTTCAAGCTGTGCTCCTTTTCCTTTGCTGAGCCACTGAGGGAGGGCCGCTTCTCGTCTGTCGAAGGCGTCCGCGAGGGATCGCGCTGCTGAACAGTATTTCGGCCATTGTTCTCGATAGATTTTGTGTCTATTTCCATGGAGAGATAAGACTGCGAGCAAACGCAGTAGTGGCAGGGACCAAAGCTAGTCACGACGCGGGCCTGGCACCCTGAAAGTCTCAACAGGCTTGGCATTGGACACGAGACTTTGGAGTATTCCAATCCCAAAAAAGACGGACATTTCGAAGTCATAGCGACTTCCATCAACCAGCCGCGGTAAGACCGCGTTGGAGTAGTAAATATAGAATAGATGAAAGACTACACAGAGTCGTCCATTACTCCCGAGCACCCGCTTGGAGCTCGACCTCTTCTTGGATTATCTACACAAGCAGCAAGCCAGTAGATCATAAAAGGGCAATGAAGTGATGATACATTGATAGACGCCATCCTTATCACGATTCCACCGCTTGGATCCTCTAAGTCGCCCCAAGACTGCGCTCAGAAGTGATTGTTTGTCATCCTTTGCCTCATCCATATTATTATATGGCGGTTCGATGAACAACGGAGTTAATAATGTGGCCCTCGGAAGTACGACAAGCACCTATGCGGACGTCCGTTGCCGCGCCATATAAAAGGGATGCTCTCTGGAACGCATCTCTCGACAGTATCAAACATGTCTTCAACTACCAATCAGATGAAATACGGTATGGACATATCCCCTTTGGAAGGGGCCATTATTCTGACACGTCGACAGTGCGTTTGGGCAACTCGGGTTTGAAAGTATCCCGCTTGATCCTAGGATGCATGAGCTACGGCTTGAAATCCTGGCAAGGCTGGGTGATCGAGGAGAAAGAGGCCATTGAACAAATCAAAGAGGCATACAGGCTTGGAATCAACGTAGGTATAACGACTCCTGCCATCAAACTTTCTAAATCCTGGTATAGACATTCGACACCGCCAACTTTTACTCCCTAGGCGAATCTGAGCGCATCCTGGGTAAAGCAATCAAAGAAATTGGGGCCCCGCGCTCGTCCTTTGTCATTCTGACCAAAGTCGGACTCCCAACCCCACCAGACGGTGCTTCCAAAGAACTTCTCGATACCTTGGGTGCTTCTGATTATCACAACCACAAGGGCCTCTCCAGGAAGCATATCTTCGAATCGATCAAGGCTAGCCTTGAGCGTCTTCAGCTAGACTATGTCGACGTGTTCCAGTGCCATAGGTTTGACCCAGAAACTCCCATCGAGGAAACGATGCAGGCGTTGCACGACGTCGTCAAGGCTGGCTACGCGCGCTACATCGGAATGAGCTCGTGTGCGGCCTGGCAGTTCCATATGATGCAAAGTACGTATCACGTATTCGTGTAGCCGGTTGATGCTAATGCTTGGACAGACTATGCAATTACGAACAAGCTGACGCCGTTCATCTCGATGCAAAACTACCACTCTCTGTTGTATCGTCAAGAAGAGGACGAGATGCTACCAACGTGCAAGGTGACTTACTTCTAGAATATCGTGTTACTGGCGCTAATTCAGTGTCGTTAGCTGTTTGGCGTCGGTACAATTCCCTGGTCCCCTCTTTCCAGAGGTCTCCTCACTCGTCCAAGGAAAGATAAAGATTCAACGATACGATCCAAGACAGACCCATACACTCCCGGTCTACAGAGTAATGAAGATCCCAACCTCCTCATCATTGATCGGTCCGTCACTTAGCTCTATGACACCAATCAGTTTACTAATAGCCCTAATAGCGTTGAAGAGCTGGCAAAAAAGCGAGGCGTTACCATGGCGGAAATATCTCTGGCCTGGCTAATTTATACGAAAGACCCCGTCGCCGCGCCCATAGTCGGGACAACCAACATCAAGCATCTTGGAGACATGATCAGTATGTCGAGTCGTCCATACACTGCATTCCTAAACCTAACTCAATCTCTAGAAGCACTCGACCTCACACTCGAGCCGAGTGAGATCAAGTACTTGGAAGAGCTCTATACACCAAAGGCCCAAGTTGGCTACTGAAGGAATATTGTATTCGTAATATAGCTACACCAACGATTAGGTTCTTGAGTTGTGAATGGATGATTGAGTCGGTTCGGTTCCTGTCTATTGTAACTGACCTCGAGCTCGACGGGCGAGCTGATATGATGCGACGTGAAGAATGCCAAATAATGTATAGCATCGTGTATGGGCTATTATACACAATATTCGAGTGTTGATGTAGGTTTCTATGCAAACTGGCGGTCTCGAGATCTGCATGGCTAGTCAGTACTGTTTGACAGGGGTTCGAAGCAGAAGATAATGGATCAGAAATAGGCAATAACAACTCCGTTCTCTCCATAAGAGTCAGAACAGGTCTGTAAAGATTGATTCATCATGAAGGAGTGCGCAATCCGCGCATTGGGGAGACTATGGAGAATAACTCACCACAAGGGTACGAGATTACAATACAGATGGTGTATGAGTCGGCGTCAAACTTGGTTCAACAGCTGTGGAGGAGATGGAAGCAAGCGATGCCGACGATTCAGTAGCCTCCCGGCCGGGAAACGGGGGCATCGCGGTTGGTCGTAGCGGCGGCATCGCGGTAGGCTTGAATCCCGCCATGCCGAGACCATTGTTGATCCCCGGAAAGTCCAAGCCAATCGAGGGTACGGGAGGCATCCTGGCAGGAGCCGGCTTGGCACCCAATTTAGGAGCTTTGGCCGGTGCTCCTTTGATCGCACGCTCGCTGAGGAACAGTGAGTTATCCGTTCCACCTCCTTCGGCGTCGTCGATGGGAATATCGACAACCGGGATTATAGTTCGTGCATGATCAATACGATTCCAGTCTACACCAGATGCGTATCGACCATCATCCAATTCTTCGTCGAGTTCAATTTCCATCTCCGTTATCGAGGTTTGAACCTCGACCACGGTGTCCCTCGTCTTCTTCTTATCCAATGGATTCGAGTTTGCGCGTTCTCGCTGTCTCCGCGTTTTTTCCCGACTCTGATGTAGCCTTATCAGACGCCGAGTGCTCCAGTTTTCGACACGGACACAAAGTCCAGCCGCGCTCTCGGGAATGAGCATAACTCCTTCTTGCTCCAGTTCTTCCATGTCATCCGAATCGCTATCGGATCCACTGCGGCTACGGCTTTTGCTCGAGCTGGTGACTGATCGAGGACCGTCTCCCGAGAATCGTCGCCGCTTCTGCACACGCTGGGCTGAAGCAGCCATTCGTTGTGCCTTTACTCTCTCGAGAGCCTCCATCAAGTCTTCCGCCAACGGCACCTCGTTGGGCGGATCCTCTCTGACAGCGACCCATCCAACGGGAGGAGAGCCAGGGGGAGAGATGAGGAAGTTGCGTTCCGGTACTGGAGGTCGAAGATGAAAAGGAGACTCTTTGATTTCGCCATCATCGTCATCATAGTTGAGCGACGAGACCATGGGGAAGCCTCCAAAATACCATGAGCCTTCCTCGGCTACAGACGGTCAGTCATCCGGATACCTAAGAGATATAGATAACACACCATCATCACTGATTATATGTCGTCGCTTGGTCCCGGGGAACCAGCCATCTTCTACCAAGACGGTCGGTGGGCCTCGAAACGCCCGCAGCGTCACAGCAGGACATCGGGGAGTCTCGGGAATGAAAAGTCTATCCGATGCTAGTCGTGCTCGCTCTGCATCCTCGTTCGAATAGTATACGACAATGGCGCGTTTGAAGGACTTTAGGGGAACAAATGAGTAGAGGTCTCCTTCTGGCTCTTGCTCTGGTAGAACCTCTTCATCATCCTCCATACTGAGTGGGTCGTCCGAATCATCGCCTGATCTGGCGGCAGCGTCGCCTCTGATGGACGCTCCTGGCCCGTAGGCACTGCTGGGGCTGTATGGACTACGTCGATGAAGAAAGGTAGTGCTAAAACTGGCAAAATGTGCACGAAGCGCGTCCAAGATCCTTGGTTCAAAAAAGGGGAGAGGGAGGGGCGTGATGATGAGGGTATTGGTGGGCTCTGAAACGGAGGGTTTGCGTTCCATTCCAAGATCTAAAAAAAATAAAAGTCGCGGACAGGATCAGAATTTAGCACTTTGACCGTTTTAATCTGTGCGGCTTGCCTTGAGCGATGCGCTGCTAGAAGCTGAATCTGTTGATGAAGAGCGCTTGGGAGAGCTGGTTTCGATGGAGAATTCGAAATGGATGGCGGTGTGCTCCTCTGTAGCGCGCGGTGGACTCGGTGGGCGGCTGCGACTCATGATGGAGTGCGATAGTGACACGAGAATAAAAACAGATAATCAAATGATGATTCTTGATGTCTGAGAGAAGAGGAAACTGCTGGTTGTTACAGTTGTACAGGCCAAATGGCAAAAACCAAGGTCGTCGTCAGTGCCAAAGAGTAGAGAGTCAACTTTTGTGCCCACCTTTTGCGGTCGCCGCTCACAATGTTACCTTTTGACGACTGGATAATATATGCGAGCGAACTGAAGGAGAGCGTTGATACGGATCCCAACCAGTCGGCTTATGAACGATTCGGAAGTCAATTTTACAGAAGCCGGATCGTATGATCATGATCCGAAGTGTGAACCTGCTGCCGGATACATCTGCTCTTCCAATCTCCTTCAAGAATTAGTTGGTTCTCGCCGCCGTCTCCCGCCCAATCGACCAGAATTACACGCACACCCCTGGCGACAATTGTCGGATAAAACGTCACTCTTGCGTTTAAACCGTTCTCATTTCCTGTTACAGTCCCATTTCCGGAAGTCTCTGGGCTCTCGTATGGCAGGAGCTCGTCGGCTCATTGAGCCTCCCCACACACACGTCCGCCAAGCCTTAAGGGGAGAAGTCGGGAGCTTCCCGTACAAATTTGAGCTTCAGCAAGGACGCCGTGGCGTCTCGCAATTCGACTCGCCGAGGTAGGCTCCTGCACCATTCTATGAAATCACTTCTCTCAATTCGTACATGCTCAAAACTCGCAGAAACAACGTGTTTGGAACCACAATGTACGCACTCACCAACATAGCTGCTCGAGATTGATCAGAAACTTGATCTGGGACATCAGACGACAGTCGACTGACAAGATCGTATCTTTAGTTCCAATTTTACAATCTGATAGTTCGTCTAGATCACGAGTGCAGGTCGGCCCTCATGAACGAAGACGACAAAGCGTAGTACGTCGCTCAACAGAACAAATCAGCGTTCAAACAGAAATGCATAATGTCCTCTTACATTTGATCAAAGCAGGGCTGCGCACGACCCATAGCCACCCGAGTACCTAAGGCGAAGACGCCGACTTTACGCAATTACGTTGGCACAATTCGACCAGGACACGTGTCAATAGGGTTGGTCTGGTCACCCATTTCTGACTCGGAGGTGCCAGTCAAGTACTCGAACCCGCAAATCCAATGCAAGGGGCTTTTGCGCTAAGAGACTGATTCAGCATAGGTAACCCAAGTACATGGGAGATCTAACCAGCCTACAGGGCTCGAATTGTTCAGAATTGACAGAAGGTTTCAACCTGGCAAGTCAGACTGCTCAATCCCCTGGCGCCCATCCAGTTAGTCAACAAACCCAGGATACTTGCCGTCGCAGGCCCGGCTGTGATTGGTCCCAGTATAGAATATATATAACAGGAGCTATGAATTAATTGATTTCCTTGCTCAGCATTACCCTTACCAGGCTGCAGAGAGATGTATCCATTGAGGCGGGAAATACGTGAACCAAATCAGCTTACATGAGCTCATATACCAGTTTGACGCTGCGGGAATCTGGTACAGGTCTTTGAGAGTGCATTTAAGACCCCAAGATTTCAAGCACTTCGCCGCAGTCCCTTCCGAGACTCCTTCGTCTTCCCGTGACAATGCAGCAAAATACCGGAAAATATCCATATAAACTCGCCCCTGACAAACCCGACCCGCCAGAGCCGCTTAGCTATTCCCATTATCCAGTCGCTGGATTGCAGCATCCGGCAATGAGCGAGGATATTGCCCCACCAAATGTGATGGATCAAGAAAGTATTCATAGTCGAATGGCGACGAGCACTACCCATGACTTTGAGACGCTCAGTCAGACTCCCTGGTCCAACAACTGGCGGCCCTTCTTGGTGGGACAATTCCCGTCGCAAGAATATATCCAATCGACCAACCAAGAGCCTCCATGGGCTCAGTCTTACCAACCAACTGCGGCTGACGCTTTTCCAAACCTCGGAATATACGGAGTCGCTGCATCCCCCGAACAATTCCAGGGTATACTGGGTGTTTCAACATATGGAGTAAGTCTCCAAACATTAGAGAGGATGTTTGCAAAGGCTAATTTCATTCAAGGCAGGTTTTCCAGGCCATAATACGGCAGTTGTCCCAGTCCAGAGTTCATCCAGTGACTACCAGAACTATTTTAACGACCAGGAAACAGCATCTTTGTCGAGCGGTTTATCTTCACCAATCGTTCAAGATGACAACAGGGCTATAAACATAAAGCGCTCCCATAAGCGTCAGGAGGCCACGCCTCCCGAACAGGTGGAACTACAATTTCCCTCTCTTATGGAATACTATGGGAAAACTGGGAAACCTGTTCCAACCAAGCTCTTAAACGTCACAAGAAATAATATGGGTCGCAACAAGACAAGATGCAAATTTGAAGGCTGCGGCCACGAGAGCACCCGCTCTGCAGGAATCTATCATGCATTGCATCATATTGATGCTCGCCCACATGTCTGTGATAAGTGGTGAGCTATCACTAACTGCGTTTCTAGCTGACCAAGAAAGCATCAGTCATGAAATTCAAGCCAAGCCAAAAGGATTCTGGCAACAGTCAGACCTTCAAAAACATATTAAGAAGCGTCATAAAAAGTGATGTCGAACTTATAGTTCCTGTACATACTCTTCCCAATCGAAGCTCTCAGACATCGTGATCTCTACCCCCCTCGCCGGCGAGCAGGCTAGGAGATCACGTTGCCTGTGATCTTGCCCTCTTGAGATGAATCTTTCCTTTCTTATATTTCAGTTCCCTCATTGTTTCCAGGCTCATAAGCTCCCAATTCAGATGTTACGTAGGTCTCAAATAGATAATGCAGTTTGATAGACAACTTGCACGTTTCAGGAAGAAGTAGCTACAGTGATTATTTGAGAATGCCAATACGAACATCCATTACAAAATGAAGACGAGGAGATGTGATATAGAGATGTGTGACTGATAAAGAGATTCTTGTGCTGAATGTTGATGAGATATTCATATGTACAGCGACCGAGCGAGAATCCTGTGAAGTATTGGAATGCACGCCCAGAGCGAGCGTCGTAAGACAAAGGTAATCAGGCAACCTATAACTGATCGATGATGGAAACGTGTGGGACATGTGCTAAGCACGATTCGTCGAATGAGATGGGTATATTCAGTGGGCCAATCGATGCCGAGGCATATTTTGGATGCGAATCACCTGGCCGCTACAAACATATGAGCATCTAGGGCACCTGACGCAAATTGTTCATACCATGTTTCGCAGCATGCGCTTTCTGTTCGTTTCACATGGTCTTGAAGGTGGCTGCGAGCAAAGAATCTCGCGTCGCTATGCTCGAGTCAGCCCTATCCCGAAATGACAAGGCAGGAACATACCAGGCATCCCCCTTCTGACACTCCTTGTTGCACGCGTACGGTCGATGGTTGAGGTGGCTGCGAACGTGATCAAGGGCCCTCTCGAGCCTCTTGAAGCTCGTCGCTTGGCTTCCGCATGGCCGCTCACGATCACCAAAGAGGCATCGCCACTGACTTCTCTCCGTCTGTTCCAAGAAGACTGCGTACACGCTCTTGCCCTCTGGTCCCAAGCCCATCGTCAGTGGGTCGTCTGCACCAGTGTTATTGGGTTCCATCGTATGGTTTGCGAGGAAAGGTGCATGAAGAATGTTGTCCAGAACAGCTCGTCGTTGCCAGTCACCCTCTGTGCGGAAAGATACAGAGATAATGTCTTCGTCGGCTCGCTTCCGAGTTGCTGTGGCGCGCGGTTGAGATTGCAGTCGTTCTGTCGTTGGACCGGGCCCTGCACCAAACGTGTTTGTAGAGGATGCACCTGGTATCCTGGGGCTCGTCTCCGGAGCCGAGGGTGGCGAGGATCCGGCGGTAGAGGATGTCTTGGTTGCCGTTGTCGGGCGGCTAATCTGTCCAACACTTTGTCCACGATCCAGGCGTAACGAGCCACCGGTCATAGACGCAGGAGGCATCGTCGAGCCGTATAAAAAGGACGTTGATTCCTTGATAGGTGACATGGGTTGACCAGTGATAGATGCACGGTGAGGATTTGGCGATTCGAGAACATTGATAGATCTCGCGGGAGAAAACGGGCTTTCCGGTGGAAGAGTCGCTGCTACCGTGGACGTTGACCCTGGGATAGACATAGTGCTCACTGAATCACTGAGAGGGCGTCCATAGAGATCTGCCGGTGCCCTCTCCAAGGCGGAGGCGGCAAATGGCATCGGTCGTCGGAGATTCGCAAGGTATGCCGTGTTGAACGCCGGCGACTTTGTCTGACGAGGTCGGATTGAACGGTTGCTTCCCCGACGTTCCAGCAAAGTACCTGGACCACCCCCAAGGATTGCCATCCCTGAGCCAGCAACCAGCCGTGGTGAGCCGGGGAACCGAGATGAGATGCTATACGGATGGGAGCGAGGTCGAACGGAGAACATGGGAATAGATGGAAGCCCCGAGGGAAGTATTTGATTTTCTTTGGCTCCGACGTTTAGACGATCCTGCATGAAGTCGTTTAGCTGAGCGGTCTCGGCAAACTCTTCGATGGCGTAGCCCGACGGTGACACAGCAGGATAGAGATGAGAAAGAGCTCGCTGCTGGTTCAAGGCCTCTTGAGCTGATTGCTGCTCTCTCTCCAAAAGTCGCTGAGCCTCTAGGCTCGATTGCGGATAGGTAGGTAACTGGTTTGGTTCGGCGACTTGGTTACTCAGAGTGAGCGCCGGTTGCATTTGTGCTTGCGTCATGGGTTGTGTACGTTCCAATCTGGATACATTGCCCCAGATCGATTCGGTCCAGACTTCTAGGGCCATAATTCAGTAAATTGAGGGAAGGAAGACGACAACAATGCACGCACGGTCTTCGCTGGTCTCAAGTTGCATGTTGGACTTTGGGGGCGATAATTCTGGATGCTTGACAGTCAGAGGCATCGCGGATTCCGGATACAGGGTTGACAAACGCAAGACGTCCGACTGAGAGATAGACGCATGTCCGCCCATATCTAGAAGGGCAATCAGAGACTCTAGATCAGAAGTCCGAAAAGACATACTACTGGCCGGCATAACGGAATCGTAGAATGGGACGAGCGGCATTGTGTGATTGGAGGGCAGTTTGATGTATTGATAGCTACCACCTAGAGAATTGCTCAGTCAAAAGCATTTCCGCATGTTGGTCGGACCGACCCTCCGTGTCGCTTGGGGTTGGGTAGGCGGTGTCATGGGATGAAAAGCCTTGAGATAATGTGAAATCACCCCATAATGAACGACTGGTATTATCAGAATGGGATCCGGGACTGCTGGATGGTGCCCACAGGGGGTCTACGTTTGACGAGGCCGGATGACTTGCGCCCAGGAAACTGCCCGCGTTGTGGAATCCTGGTTCATATAGAGACGCAGGAAAAGTAATCTGGGGGCTCGTGGCACCTGTATCTATGCAGATAGTCAGTTCCAGTAGAGTAAAGCAGAGAGTCGCCCCGGTGCGCCCGCGGCCGAGACTAGGAAAGCTCGATTACGAGTAGAAATGAAAATTAAAACGAACCACCAATGGAAGAAGGAGACCAGGAGAAGGTGGGAGAATTCATTGCGAGCGACAACGTGAGCGCGAGGCACCAAGGCTCGTTCGGAGATGAAGAGATGCCAGTAAATGTAGCCCTGGAGCAGCAAGGGGGTTTATATACAAGTCTCTGAACCAGTTCTCGATGGTGCGCAGAGAATGCGTGGAATGCCTGGTGGCAGTCAGGTTTAAGTAACCTTGTCCTGCATTTTATTTGGCTTTTGAGTACCCTCCGCTACGGCATGAGGTAGGGGATTCGATCAGATCAACGCTTTGTCCCCCCGCACTCAACTACCCCGCACCCGTGCGGTAGCTCGCGATCGCTGCCCGGGATGCTCGAAACCCTGCAGTAACCGGCTCTCAAACTAATCTGAATGCGATCTCAAGACTAAAACTATCATCAATTATCGTGGAAATGGAACTATCTCACCACTGAGCCCCGAAAATTGTGCTCTGAGGCACTAGAAACCCGCGCACGGCAGATCTTTCGACGAGAAATCAACGTTTGAGGTGTGAGGAAAGAGCTGGATTTAATTCGTCTCGTTAACCACGACGGGGCCACATGAAAAGTAGGGCTGGAGGAGGCGGGTGAGCACTCGTAAGGTCCGATGATGCAAGTTCCGAAGCTACAGATTTAAACGCTCTGAGCAAGACTGAATGTGATAGACGCAACTAAGAATCCCGGTCTTGTGGCATCTGTTTCCGGGCCCGTGATAATAGATAAGGATGCGCACCGGATCTTGCCGTGTCTGATATAAATCAATCTTTTGATTCGCCGATGTATTGCCCACGTAGCAATATTACCGGCCTTCCAGGAGCCAGAGAACGATGGGGGGTTAGCAGTATACCCCTCTCGACACGATAACATCCAGATTTTAGGGGTTAAAGCCACGATTTTGATAGCCACTTATACAAATCGCAGACGTGAGCAAAGTGAAGACGCGTATGTTAGCACTCATAGGCACGGATGAGGTGGCCCGGAACGACTTGTCTAGGGTCTCGGCTTGCAACCTAAAATGTCGGTTGCAAGCCACCTTGCGATATATTCTGAGAATTGTATGATGGCTAGCTCAAACCTGGTGATCAACCCCACAAGAATATTGAACAATAGGCTAGCTTTCGCGCGAATTTTCGTGACATTGGGTCGCAGAATCGAGGAGTTGTTGACGATAGATTATACATAAAGTAATATCAAAGCACTGCATATCTTCCGGTATAGCCGAGCGACGTAGTGGTGCGCAAACAACGCGATAACTCAGAATGGCGAAGTCGAACCTCTGAAACCGTTCATGCGCCGCTACTACTATATTTAAAATAGTATAGATACGTGTGCTTCAGGGTGATATATTGGTACTGTCTCAGATTTGACGATCCGCTCCTCAAATGGGGTCGAAGGGCTCGCATAGAAGCAGCCTTAGTTGGCCTCAAAACCGATTGTTTTGCAAGCCATTCTCCAGTTATCTGACACAGAGATGACATTCTGGTTTGCATCGACCCATAGAGAGATATCCAAGAGCGAACTCTCAGCGATGTGGCTACGATGCAGAGTTTAAAAATTACTCAGTTTGTAATCTGTGTCATCTCAACCGTGGGATTATCACTCTCAAAGTCACACGAAGGTGGTGACACCTAGATGCGCCCAACATATCCAGTCATTTTTCTAATATGCCTTGCTGGGCCAATAATTGCCTCCTCAGGAGATAGAGATCGCGCCTTTCAATGGTGTCTTGCAAAAAGGATGGCACAACAATGTCATCCGGCGACGATTGCCTCTTCTCACCCTCCGAAATGGCAGACTCTTGCCTTACGATTAACTAGATGGAGTTGCGAGGATGATTGCAAGTATCAATGTTCACACGAAATGACAACCAAAGCGTTGGCCGAAAACAGACGTCGAGAGCAGTACTATGGCAAGTGGGCATTTTGGAGATTCTGTGGAATGCAGGAACCTGCGTCTGTATTCTTCTCCCTCTTGAATCTCTATGTCCACATACAGGGTGGGCGGAAACTTCAACGACAGACGCCCCCACGGCACGCAATGAAACCATACTATTTGGCTTTCACATTGTCCAATGTGAATCTTTGGATATGGTCCGCAGTATTCCACACGCGCGGTAAGCTATCAACCAGCGTACGGAGTGCCACGTTCTTAATAAGCTCGTGCAGACATGCCGCTGACAGAGAAGCTGGATTACTTCTCTGCCGCTTTCGCCATGCTCTGTGGATTATTTTATACCATCGTTCGACTTTTCCATCTCTACAATACGCCACGCACCGCCGCGCGCCATCGCATGATGCGTCCACTGGCGGCACTCTTCAGTCTTCTCTTCCTCGTACACGTGTCTTATCTCACCCTCCTCCCTCGTTTCGACTACGGGTGGAACATGAAGGTCAACGTCGCTGTGGGGCTGGCATACAATTCCCTGTGGATGGCCTACTCACTACCGTATCCTCCATACACGCGTTTCCTTGGCGTGTCGAACACGTATCGACCTCGCTTTGTCTACGTACCGCTCCTACTCGGCATGTCGATGATAGCCGCCGTCTCTTTAGAGATTTTCGACTTCCCACCGTGGGGCCGCGTTATTGACGCCCATTCATTATGGCATCTTGCCACCGTACCAATTGTACTCTTTTGGTACCGCTTCCTGCTTCATGACGCATTGGAAGCGTCCTGGAAAGAAGCTGACAAGTCCTCCTGAATACAAAAGTTCGTCCATTCCACCTCTTGTTTCCCATTTCTGGTTCGTTGCAAGATCAAGGTCATGCGACCATGTCACCTGTGAACGGTTGACAGTTCACCTGATCATTCGCATTGGAGGGAGTCAGACGACTGAATCCTATACTCGGCTCCGTCGTGGGAAAACCTGTCAAGAAGAAGACGAACCACGTTTCCGGACACGATTTGAGTCGCAGTAAATAAGCCACCAATGCAAAGCCGATGACAAAACCCAACTAGCAGCGAATGGACAATCTGAATTTGGGCCCACCTTCACTTCGGCCGCAGCGCAACCATGGAATTGCAATATCCCTTCATGTGCCGCTTGGCCACTCGGTCACCCGGAACAAGAGCGGGAATCGAGCATGGTCGAAGAGGACGTTCCATATAATATTGGTACGTCTTCAAATAAACTTCTGCGAAATAATCATATTAACTGCAAAGATCTCATTTCCGAATTACCTGTTCATTTTCCCGAGGACGTCAATCTGACAAAGGCCTTCGGTATTCCGTCGTCCCAACATCGAGCTTGATAGCTATTGGACCTCATTACGCCCCACAGGATTTCTCTCTACACAATCTTTATGGGCCGTAGGTAGTTAGTTGTTGCCTCGGCGATTCGGAGAAGACGTACAAACGAAACCCTTGCCCACAGCACGGCTAACCCATAGTCAGAATCTTACGCAGAATGCACCCCTGCTGGGGCATCTTGGCCACGCGAGCCTTTGGACCTATACTTGAAGAAGTCGCGTATCACTTATAGAGTACATACATGTCGCTGGGGATATCTCGTGACAGGCAACTGGGGTACCTCCTTTGGCAGTCTCGACGCAATTGCGCGCCATGGGTTCTGCCAGACTCCGACTACTCCACATGCCCTTCGTTGGGCGTCTCACCACGGGTGCGCACCGAACCAGCAGACCGCCTCCTGCTGCTCGTATATATTTCCCTCGGCCGCCGCTTGCCAGTCTCTTGCATCTACTTATAAAGCAGCCGGTCGGGGGCGACTCGACCCTCGCTCCAACGTCGAAAGGGTACGCGGCCTCGACCTAGTCACTTTCAGAAATACTAGGCATGGCTCAGCTGGGAGGGATGTCTGGCCTTGCTCCAAATCCCGGCTCAGGTTCTGGTGATGCTGACCAGAGAGCACCTGAGAATCCCAATTTTCTTCCTTTCAGATTTTCGACACAAAATCAACGTCGCGAACATGATGGCGCGCCTGTATACCCTTCATATACACCACCCTACCTACATCATCGCGACCAGGCTTGCTATCCTCCCCCAGCTAGATCTACTTGGCACCCTGGGGCTGATCCTCCTGGGAACACCGCAGAGACCTCTTTCACCGTAGATACCGACCATACAGCTCAAAGTGCTCCCTATATTGACCATCCGCATTTCGCACGCTCAAGTAATTCAAATGATGCTGGTTGGCCAACCCCCAACCATAGCGCCAGACCTCTTCATGCGGCATATATCCCCCCATCAAGACCAATAACCACCATGGGTAATATCCAAGGAGAAATCGTTGTAGCTGGACACAACCTCGTCGCTCTTGGCCAGTTGTCGGATGTCCACCAGTCAGCGCCAGTGTACTGGCTTCCTCAAGACATGCCGCATCTCGTGTCGCCACTCCCCCTGAGCGAGCCCGAGTCCGTACCCACCGGCCAGTCTATTCACCAGGTCGTGGATCATGTTTATGTCCCCCCACATTCTCCCCACCTCGCCACAGTATTCCAATACTTTCCTCGTGTCGATGACAGTCGCGCAGCCTTCCTTATAGATGGTACCCATATTGGTACGTGTCTCCTGGGAGATCAGGCCTAGCTCATATAGAGCAGTTCAAGTCAATTCCCATATCCTGGAAATCGGCGCAGGTACATTGTTCAGGCATCATATGCATCCTCCTGGTCTGGATTCCGAGGCCCAAAATGCACCAGTGATCGTCGAGCCTGAGGAAAACGAGGACACAAGCATTAACGACGCGACAAGCAACGAAGAGTCCGACGAGCAGTCCATGGGCACCGACCAGGATCAAGAATCGGACTGCTTCAAGCGACTATTGGCAGATTTCCAGCGGCCCGACAACGAAGAGATCCGGAACCGGATCTTGAGAGCCTTTCCCAGTCAACCCCGTCGGCAATTGCTCGCATTTTACATCCTCACGCAGACTTGGTGTGAAAATGACGAGATGGAGCCTGCTCTTGATGACAACGATCCGTTCGTCGTCAGTGGCGTCCTCTCCCCGGGTGCAACGACGAGATTTGAATATTTCCACGAGTCTACCCAGGGACACTTGTGCTTTGCAGATGATCAGAATGGACCGTGTGATCACAGGTGCTCCAGGAGGGACAGAGCAGCCGCACATGCCAGAGCGCATTTCGAGTACCGTCCATTTGCTTGCAATGGAGCATGCAAGAAGAATGGGTGGTGAGTAAGGCGTGTGTATCTTTGTGCTACCGCTGACATATGTCGGACCCACGTAGCCTCGAGCGATATACCTCCCTGGGCTTGCTCGCCGATCATGTGAACCGCAAGAAGAAGCCAAAGAAGCAATGCGAAATCTGCGAAAAGGTTCTCACGCGCCAGAATCTTCGGAGACACATTACGACTCTTCATCCAGATGCAGTTCAGCAAGAGGTTGTTCAAGTGGCGCAACCAGTGAGTGGCATTCCCTTACAAAGCGTCCCTCGTCTAAGGCCCACAACTTTGCCAGAAGAAGAAAAGGCTTCTCACAATGCTTCGTAAAAAGTCGACCCAGCCTTCCAGCGGGTCGTGCGTCTGATCCAAGGGTTGGAACATTCATAGGCGGACGGTACTCCTTTGTTCTCTCCCATTGACTCTTCAAATAATCGCTCGTGGACGTTTCATCAGTGCCAGGACTATTACTGGCCAAAAGTATCCTATAGCCATTGACGTGCTTAGCTATCATGTTGTTTAAACCCCCAAAAGCCATTTCGAGCATTAGTCACTGTATTTAGTTGTCAATCAAATTCTTTACCGGGAGCAATCAGAGATGTATCTGTGCCGATGGTTCCCCGCAAGAGCGAATAGATTCACATGCTTGAAGTCAACTTCAACGTACCCGCCTTAACACCATATGTATCGGTAACCGTAAGGTCAGCATCATTAGTTGTCCAGTATCGAACGAGCATGCATTGCTCCCGATGTCGTTGACCATACGGTACGTAAGCGACGTCAAAAGGACGAAACCGGTGGTAATATATCAGGTCGATGAAAAGTACACAGCAGAAACCCATCAGTTATAAAAGACACTATAGAGATATCAGCTCCACAGCATGGCGATGAGGGTGAGAATCGAACTCACGATGTAGCAGGGGTGGCGGGCCCGATAAGAGGATCATCCAATCACACGAACAACTTGAGACGAGACATTTGAGAACGGAGACAGGGAGCTGAGCAGTTTGAACTAGTGGCGTTTCGATATCCGAGCGAGGTGCCTTGGGCAATATCGTGGGTTTCGGCAAGCGTAGCTGATGGCGAGGCGTGACCATGTGCATCCTCTGGTCGCGAGAGTTTGATAAGTCTCAGTGTATCATGCCCTGAAAGGTCACAGCCCAATTAATTTAGAATAACGTAGCGAGAGCGAATTAAAAAAAAAAGGGGGTCAGAGGTTGTTGAATCTCACCATCCCGTTAATGCCATAAACGCCCATTTCTCCGACCTGGAGGCGCTTGATGGTCTTTTCCTGCTTCCTCCTCTTCTTCATTTCTTCGGCAGCCTTTTTGGCCTCTTTTTCCTCTTCCACGCGGATGCGCGCCTCTTCCGCTTTCAGCGCAGCCTTTTCCGCTTTCTGGCGTGCCTTTTCGGCAGCCTTTTCAGCCTTTGACATGCCCGAACCGGACGCTGGCATCGCACTTAATCCAGGAACACCATCTCTCACAAACGCAGTCGCCAATGCCACTGCCGGCGTGGGTTTCCTGCTCGTACCCGCGCCGTGGTCCATTCTCGACGCCGATACACCTTCACCAAAGGAACTTGTGCCACTACCATCGCTTTTGCCACCAACAGAGGCCGCCCTGAGCGAATTGGTTCGCCCGTTTGACGGTCCAGAGGAAGGAGGCGAATGCATACGATAAGGAGGCGGATCCTTATCTTTGACCGCAAATCCCACGCCACCAAAGCTGAGTCCACCACCGAATCCTCCGCCGAGAAAAGGATTATGTAGAATCGCTCCGCTGTTCATGGCTTCAATGATTGGGCTTCTCGCACCACTCTCCCGTGCCTTTTCTTGGGAAGCAGAAGGCGGAGACTTGAGGAGCATTCCAGAGTCTAGAGATCCTCGACGGGTCCCAGATCCCGCAGAGATTGGGGTATCAAGTCCTTGCTTCTCTTCTGCGGTGGGTGGTTTGAGATCTTGAAGTTTCGTCAATTCGAGCGACTGCTTCTCCTTGATCGGGTCCAGGGTGATAGTTGAAGAAGGTTGCGGCGGGCCAACAGGTGGTTCGACGGGTGTCTCCAATACGCCACTGATCGTGGAATTGGTGCGAGAACCAGATGAAGACATTGTCAAGGCTGGAGCGGAGAGTGGCGAGATGGGTGAGAGGCCGGATTGAGAGGTTTGTGAACCAGCAATCGAAGGTGCAGCTTGTGGTGGATTGGCGAGATACCGTTCACGAAGGTTCTGGTCGCTACCGTATCGAGCTCGATTCGCACCTCCAGGGTTGTTGTAAAAGGCCACCGGTGGATCGTTTCCTGCCGTGCCAGGCCTGCGCGGCGTCCTCGAAACGAGCGGGACATGTTGCTGTTGTGGAGAGGCGGACGTTGCTCCACGAGGAGGCATAGGGAATGCGGCGCTATTAAGAGGGGTAGAGTGCACGGGCTGGTATACACCGCGTTGCTGCGGTGAAAGTTGTTGTGCCGGTAATTGCTGAAGCTGACTAGGGTGAACAGACGGACTCGCTGTACCTTGACTAGTTGGACTCCGAGAGAATGCAGTGTTTGCCGACATGAGCGGGCTGGCATCTGGACGGGCATTGTAAGGACTCGAAGCATTCATGTCGTCGACATCAGTAATAGGCGAGGCACTCTCGGGCGCATCCGGATGGTTGAGAGTCCTGCTGGGCGGCACACCGTATCCTCTCCCGGTGAGTGACCCGTTGGGGGTGTGATTTGCCCATCGTCTCGTTTGCGCAGCACGGTCCACGTCTTCTGCTCGGCCTAGTAGGTTCGATGGAGGTGCCTTTCCAGGCGGCGGGGGTATATGACGCAGAGACTTGCCCATGGCGACAGGAGGCATTGGCGGTGATCCATGTCCAACCGACGAACCGGCAGCGCGTTCGTCCATATCAAGCGACGGACGAACCATTGTCATCTCGTCTGGAATACCAATCGAGTCGAGTTCATGCAACAACCGTCGCATGCGCGCATCTGCCACACCGACAGGCTGGGTCCCGTTCGGCGTAGGCGCTCGCTCATCATCCAAGTCGGGATGAATGAGCGTACGATCTGTATCGGTGACTACAGTTTCCGTGGTGGTCGGACGGAGGGTGGCGTCGCGCGTCTTCTTCGGTAGGAACCTGGCGAGGTTGGTCGTCGATGAACCACTATCTGATCCTGCACCAGAGATGGAGGAATCCTTTCGTCGCGGCTGGAACCCTCGTGCTGGGCGCTGGCTCGAAGGTTCGATCGCAGATGGGAGCTGGTCATGTGTGTCGAAGAATGCGGCGCCTGGCCCAGTGCCAACATAAGGCGTCGTGACGCCAAACTTGAAGTTGGGGTCCGGTCGCGGCCCCTCATCCAAATCTGGACTATGGCCGTCGTTGCTCGGCATGGTAATAGCGAGTTTCAATTGTTGGGGGTACGGCCGTTCGGACTGGTGGCTGACATATCCATCTAAAGGTGAGATCGACATCGTAATAGACGCCACGTGGAGAGAGAGAGAGAAAAAAAGAAGCGAGAAGCATTGAGTAAACCTATCACGACAAAGAAAAAGAAAAAGACGCTAACTTGCTGTTGGTCCAGTCTGAGGGGCAGAGGTATAGCCAGAGCCAGACGGGCCCCGTTGTGGTTCACCAGGCCTTCTCATGTTTGGCGCATCAGACATGCCACGCGGTCTAGCACCTGTATCATCCGACGGCCCATTCATTCCACCGCTGCCAGAGGGTCCACCTTGATGGCGAGGGCGATTATTGGATCGCTGACGACTCGACGACTAGATCATGCCGATCAGACACTCTCGTAAGTGCAATGAACATGTATACTCACCATGACCACCTTGAGTGCGCGAATCTGCAAGCTCTGACTATCGCAGAGCGTAGCCACTTCATACACGCCGACCGACGTTGCAGCATTCAACGACCGATGCATCGCATGTCGAACTTGCTTCTCCAGCAGATCCAACCGATAGGTCGTCGCCAACAAGAGGAGAGCGCTCAACACGGGTGGCGTGTGCTGCAGACGGGTGATGATCGCCTGCGCGTACATCCACTGCAAAAACGCGAGCGTGACCGGATAAGGCTCCGAGAGATGAAACGCACGAGGCGTCAATCGCGGGTCAGGTCGACCATACTCTTTGTCGATATCCGCGAGTGTGCCAGGAAGTTTGGGCAATGCCACATCTCCAGTCGCCTTTCCACCATTCGGCATGGCCTCCATCGCTCTCGTGACGGCATCTACAAACTCCTTTCTGCGATCCCTGAACCAAGGCCACCGGTTCTCGAGCAGTCGTCTCGAGCAACTGATCCGACGTCCATCATCACACACGAGCTCAAAGTCTGCCATGGTTCCCTCCTCGAGCGCTGCCAGACCCAGTTCTTGGGCAGCAAGACTGAGAGCCAACTCGGGTGGCTGGTAGATCCCAAAGGCTTCCAAATCAATATACGCAATGTGATCCCACGAAAGAAGGCGCCGATTGTAATCTTCAACAAGGTTTCCATCCTTATTTCCAAAGATGAGAAACTTGTTTGCATTCTCCCACAGCACACCTCGCGACCATGATCCGCTCGCAAGCGTAGCTCCAGGGTCAATTCGAGACCAAGTCATGCTGACCAAGTCGAGTGCCCAAATGGAAAAACTTTGATACGAGTGGGCGAGATATGTCCCCGCAATCACGAGGTGGTGACCTAGTATCGCACCGGTCGGGAATCGCAGACCGGGGGGCAGCGAATTGCCTGTCATAAGGTTCGACCGGTCGTCGACTGCGAAATCATGGTTCGGTAACGGGGTAAGGACCTCGAGCTCTCTCCGAACGTCGGTGAACTATGGATCCGTCAATATTCGAAATTCCCAGTCGCATAAATGCGAATAAGCGCGGAGGGAGATGAGCATCCCCTATAGCCAGCGGGCAACAGTTGATGGGAAAAGCGAACCAAAGCGTGGGTAGAAAAATATGCGCCAAGGCGCGAAATAGACGCGGCGAGTCAAAATTTGGAAAAGCCACTCACGTTGTAATTAGAGTAGAGAAATACGTCGTTTGGAAAGTTTTCCGTCGGGTCGCACGAGTAGGGCAAATGGACGAGTTCACGGGTTGGGGTGGGACCATCGGGTGCAGTATCCCCATGGTTTGTCCTCGGCATCAACGCATTCGAGTTGACCGTGCGTTCTGGGGCAAAGCGTGCACCCACAGGGCCTAGGAACGGGTAACCTTGTGGTGGCGGACTGCTTGTGCCATTCATCGACATGCCACCACCAATCCCTCCTGAACCGCCAGCATGATTCGCAAGAGTGGCACGCATCTCTTCGGATGGATTGCGCACCCGTTTTTGGGCGCAGACGGCCACACTTCGATAGGTCCCGCAATGGCGAGGGTAAGGTTTCCACATTACCCACGTCTTGGACGGCAGGTCGTAGACGTGAATGTCATCCAACCAGTCATTGGACAGGTTTTGGCCTCCGATGATGAAGAGACGCGACGAGGTGATGGAGGATAGATGCGCGTAGCGAGCGCGTGGAGGCGGAACTTCTGTTCCGTCAATCGACTCTTCGGCAGACGCAGTCTGCACGGGTGTAGGCGGGAGCCACGAGAGGGTCGAGAGCGAAAAGACGCGCACATCCGAGAGTACGCATAGTTCGTCGGATGCAGAGTCGGTATATCCCATACCGCCGAATATTACAAGATGATCATTCCCTGTGAAAGACACGGTCCCGTCAGCACAGTTATGAATCGGTGAGAACGGGACCCGGGGTCGGAGAGTGCTCTTGAAAGGGCGGCTCTCCCGGAAAAAGGGATACAGAGTTTGGGTCACCGAACACTCACAAGCGTCTGCACTGTGAAAATAACGGGGTCCCGGAACTTCTTCGTCGGGTTTGGGCTCGATTTTGGTCCAAACGTGCGCCTTGAGGTTGAATTCGTACATGTCTGACACCATTTTGCGGAGAGAAACGAGTCTTCCACCCTATCCATCCATATTATCAGCCAGGTTAGGGGAATAGAGAGCGTTTAAACTTACAAAAAGGTACATCTTGTCGCCGACGACGGTGGTAGATGCGCCCTGCAAGCGTATAATTATTAGCAATCAATGTGTAGACACCTGTTTCATTCTATTCTGCTCACCACGAGCGGAGGTGGAACATCTCCCGTCGTTCGCCGGGCGAACGTTGTGAGATCAGAAACCGAGTGCATCGTGACCTATTCGTCGATGAAACAGACGACCGAGGCACGAAATACGACTTGATTAGATCAGATTTGGATGAAAATAGGGGAAATCGACGAGGAAAGGGTGGTAAGCGTTGGGTCCAAGCTCGAGCTCTTGCCAGTCTACACGATGTGGAGACGATAGCTGGCACAGTCGACACACGGTCGATATCAAACGTTGGACGGAGCACAGATTATAGAGTAGAGTAGTGTTTTCTGTATCGCGTGTCCGCTTAGATGGCGGGTGATGGACACCAAGAGAGCGTTGGCGAAAGGGCTCTCAAATTTGGTCTAGTCTTGTTTTTTTTTCCTGTAGAATATACGAGACGACGGCGTGGTGCAGACGGGCCAAGCCGCGCGAAGGCGTCGGGAGCAACGTACAATATTGGCCGCTAGCTCGTCGACGAGCTCGAGGCAAGGATTCTAGATCCCCGGGTTCCTGTCCTCAATTTAGAGATGACAAAACAGAATTTGATGTACGACGTGGTGAACCCGCAAGTTTCAGCGCAAAGGGCCATCATTATTGCAGCAAGGGGGATGTCCGAGGTGGGCCCGTTATTCGCAAAGGAGTGGGACTGGGAGGAGAACAGAGAGTGTCTCCCACACTCTAGATTTGTGTATCTCACCTTTGTCTGGGGAATGGGCAGCGGGTGGGACCTGATTGTCGGCAAGTACGGTTAATTCCAGAGTCATCTCCGAGCAGAGTATTCTGGTTACAGCGGCTTATTGCAAGGGTGCAGTCTACTGTGATCGAGTGCTTTACACTAGAATGAATGTAATTCAATAGTAGCTCTGAGAATCTCCCTTGTGAGTGGCGCAGGGAGTAGGGATGACTTTTCAACCAAATGCCCCTCCATGTCGAGGAGCAAAGAGGATTGCCCGACGGCTCGTCGTCGGAGGTAATAGTAGATTTCCAAATAAAAGCAAGGACCACCGGAGAGACTGCGGTAGGCGGAGATCAGTCGCATCTACTGATTGTCAGTTTGGGTGGAATTGGGTGGCGTGAATTAATTGCATGCCAAAAAAAATACAGCAGTCTCCGAGGGAATCCATATAAACTGCTGAGACGGATGACATCGGGTAACTGGCCACGGAGAAACTCGCAAAGATTTATAACCGCGGATCGTGCAACTTGGACCCTCTGTCGTCTGTCCTTTTTCCCTGGAGAGTCTTTACAATAGCCCGTTTCCTGGCGAAACCACTCTGGGGACCCGTAGTCGCCTGGAAAGATTAAGCTCGCGAAGATTGGCAGGCCACGACGACGGGCGCGTGGGACCCACTTCGACAGCGAACAAGAGAGCACGTCCAGACCTGTGCTCTTTGATTCGTTTCTGGACTCTACTCCGCGCACACTGCGAGCCTGCATCTCAAAGGCTCACTAGACAGCCCCCCAATTCATTCCGCCTACACATATATAACATCTGGGCCTTTATCCTTTCACACTTGTTTTTGCCTCCCCCCTCAACATGTCGTTGGCCACTTTTGACAATCTCCCGCTCGAGCTTGTCTACACCATCCTCTCCCACGCCGCAGGTCACACTCTCTTCCAATATCTCTTCCTCGACATCTACGCTGTCCAGAACACTACAAACGATGCCCTCAACCAGCTCTGTAGTTTTGCAAGCGTGAACAAGGCCTGGCGCACCATCCTCTTGCGCGTGCTAGGGGCACTGTTGAACATGCCAACGACCCAGGCGTACAGGAGCGATAGCATCTGCAGGGCTGTTAGTAGCGGTGTCCCGTCTCTTAACACGGCAGCCAATCACCCCACACGGTAAGCAAGCCTCCATCTCTGTTCGATCCCTTGCCCTAGCCTCGATGCTTTTGTCTCGAGATTATCATTCGATCATCCACTCTTAATCTCTTACACGCCTTTGTTCATCTGCCAATTATCCTTTGCTTCCACTTCCACTTCCAACGCCATGACCTACTTACATTGATGCCTCTCCTTTAGGCAAACCTCGTTTCGAGACATCGGTCACGTTCTTTGCCAAATGCATGCCCTTCTCCGAACCCAGCTCCAACATGCCATTGACATGTACCGTGCCGAGCAAGAATCACTCCATGGCATGGCCCTCTTGCATACAACCGCACCCACTCCGGGGACGACGACCCCACCACTCGCATTTCCGCCCACCGCGGCTCTAGTTCCCTCTGCGCAAATTGCGGGGTCGACACACAGTTTCGGCTTGGACACGCGACAGGTGCCTTTGACACCCCTGTCCATGTCTCTACACCCCGACTTTGTCGCCGCCTCGTCGTCATCTGTTTCGACACCGACCATCTCGCATGTCGTCACGGACCGGTACGTCTCTTCTTTCTCCTTGGCCAAAACGTATTTACCTCCATCGAGTAGAGACTTTGAATCCACCTATTGCGCTTCGCCCTTGTTCGTTGCTGCATTGCAATATACTCAGGGATGCCTCTTCACCGCTACTACCTCTCGCTCTTCCCCCTCACAGCGGCAAGACCTCTCCCTCTCGCTTACTCCAGGGAGATTGTCAAGCGCACTCGAGCTTCTTGATAGAATGCATTCAAACAAGGAAATCCGGCCAAAGGAGGTTGCAAGCGTGGTATCGAATGGGATGCAACTCGCTGCCGATGAAGTCGCTCAAGGTGGGATCTTAATTCGTTTCCATTTGTCATCTATTGACTGATGAGGATGAATAGCACTCCAAGTTTGCCAATGGAACGACATGCTCGATCGTGTCTTCCAACAGGGCGAACGAAGCGACCAACTCGTGGAGCAAATCCCATCCCTGTTCGATGCGATGGAATCACAAGCGCAGTCCATCAAGATGCTCTACCTCTTGCGCACCGGTCTCTTCAAGACGGTTCAATCCATTGGACGCATGGCGCCCATTTCTCTCCCACTCGACACGCCAATCTCATCTTCCACAACTCTTTCACCTGCACATGGCGTGTCAGTGTCATACCCAAGCAATTCTATCGTATACCCAGCATACACTTCACGCCCCCCATCCCCAACAGATAATTCGGGCCCTGCAGCAAAGAGCGGTCCAGTCCAATGGAAACAACGCGCGACGTCCTTGTCTGTGCGGTGGACAGGGAGGGTCATCGAGTGGTCTGGGTTCTAGATACCCCAATCCTATCCCCTATTCTATAACTCACCCAAGTTTGCCCCAGCATCCCAATTTCCCATTCCAAGAAACTGCATCCATTTTTTTTATTCATCCGTCTTTTTTTTGGTTGTGTTGCCGTCGTCCACGTTGCATGCTTCTCCGTGACGCGGCGATCTCAACTGTATCACGAGCGGCGCCTAACTCTCTTTCGGCAGCTGCAAGCAGCAATCAAGGCCCCCCGTTTGTTCGCCAGTCATCAACAGCCCCATCCCATGCCGCCATCTCGACTCAATTCGCATTCATTATTACAAATTCACTATGGCACATCACACTCACCCATCCTGTGCAAAAGTTTAATCCATAGTATTTGATCGGTTCCGGTAGATTATATGCAGGCATGATGCATGCCCCACGTGTTGTCCACTATTTCCACACTACGATGCTCAAAAGAGTGCTAATTCGATTTGTTCTTCCGTCTCACACGCGCATACATTGGTTACTCTCGGTTTTTTTTTTTTTGGCAATGAGAGGACGGGTTATGCTACATGAGTGTATACCTCGTGATCGTCACGAGTGTCTCCCTGGAATGACGCATACACGCCACACCAGAATTTTTTCTTGCAGTCCATCCGGTGACTACAAAAGCAGTAATAGCATAATCCGAGATCGGCACGATGGGGGATAAACTCGTCAAAAATTCCAGGGCTCTTCCTGCAATCGACGATCCTTCTTTTACTGTATCCCAGCCCAATACGGTCACCAGTGGGATGAGAATATGACGTGCAGGAAAGGACGGGAGAGCAACTCGGAGTTGACCATTAGCGGCATCACTGCCACTGGTCTGTGAGCAGAGCGTGGTAAGGAGGCTGAAAAGTGCAGGCCAAGGTGGGTAGAACTGCCATTGCAATGCCTCCAAGAACGGGAGTGGATTGGTTCCGAGGTGGGTGAGAATTGCATAAACGCATGGAAAATTGGGCGCATTCGTGTCTCCACCGTATATATCATCTGTGAGCGTCAATTTACAAAGAATTGGCGCTAAATCAGAGTTGAGTATACGCAACACGACGACAGGCACACTGCCCAATACGGTCAACGAAGGGAGCGTTGGCAACGCGGAGTCACTTGATTCAACTGGAAAGGTTACCCCTCCCGTATCTAGTTCGGTAAGGTGGGAGTAATCGCCATCGGGTGTCGAGATGACTGTGGAGAGTGTTGGCTGGACCCTGTACACACTCCATCGTGTCTCGATTATTATTCGTCGTACTCGAAACCTGTCCACAGACAGAGAGGGTATTAGGTCGTACTTCGAGGCAGTCGACGATTGGTAAAGCCGAGAGCGATGGGGGTGGTTCCGAGCTTGCACCGTCAACTATCGGCGGGTGTTTAATTATGGAAAGCTTGAACATTATCTCTCCAGCCGTGGGTACTAGAGATATGAATCGGAGGACAAAAGAAATATTGATGGGGATATGGTGAGGTCGCATGCACGCAACGAATCCAGTTCCTGTACAAGTGAAGCAAGACCGCGTGCCATGGACGAGAAGTGCTCTTCACGCACCTCATTCGGCAATTCGGCGATGCTGACATGCAACCTTTGTAGCTTTCGCAAAGGGCTGGTCAGCTTGAATGGAATGGAGTAAGATGCATCTTTTGGGTATACAATCATGGTTTCGGGCTGAAGATGTGCGCCCAATGATCTGACAGTCATGAGTATCCCATCAAAGTAATCCAGAATCGAGACTCTGTCCGTCTGCAGCGCGAGAAATCTTGCGACAACGCGTCCGTGTTCATCTGCAGAGTCACATCTCGCTTGCTTATCGCCGAGATAGTCAAAAATGACGTGGCGCAGATGATTTATTTGGCCTCGGTTTTCTGGTCTCGCTTCGGAATCCATCTCTAGGTCACAAAAGTGAGGCCTGTGATCGGCCAAACGACATCTACACAAAGCTCAGTCCTCCGCTACTTGTTACCACATGAGATGACTATATTATCGCCCACAACAAATAGTATATACAGAGGTGATTACAATAATTCACCGGGTGGCAGTTATTCGAACTTTGGTCCAAGAGCGACCACATTGAAAATGACTAAAATCGAGGTTGGTTGCACGGAAAAGACTCGCCGTCGGCATAGTGAGAAGAAGGCGAGGATGTTGTAGTCCATGTCGATTGCTTGGTGGTACCCAGAAGAGAAATCTACCAGATGAATGCACCCAGCCATCTTGCATAAGTGAGCACTGTTTGAAGCCGGGAATAGGAGTGTTTAAAGGAATACCATCCATTTCCTGGGGGATATCCGCACGTTGGGGGTCCCTCTGTTTCTTGGGAGCGGCTGTCCTCCTCATCTACTGATACACATGAGTTCACATTGAAATCGGCAGCATGCACAGACGATACAGACCAAATGCTTCTGGAAAGAGTGCACCCATGTCACTCGTTGAGCCAGATATGATTCCTAAATTCTCCGGCGAGGACGCGGTAGCGTTGTCCTGATCGACACGAGGTTGGAATAAATGCTTTGACGGTACAACAATATCCGTATCCCAAAGGCGAACGGTGTTGCCTTCAGAACCAGAGACTAATTGTGAGCCGCCTTGAGAGATTGTGACGGCGGTGACGGAGCGGCTGTGGCCTCGGAGTGGCTCTCCTACTGGCTCACCAGTCTTTGCGTCCCAAAGTCGAATTGTCTGGTCCTCGAGCCAGAGACGATTCGTGAGCCGTCTGGCGAGAATGCGACGGCCAAAACCGAGTCGCTGTGGCCTCGGAGTGGCTCTCCTACCGGCTCACCAGTCTTTGCGTCCCAAAGTCGAATTGTGTCGTCGTGAGAGCCAGAGACGATTCGTGAGCCGTCTGGCGAGAATGCGACGGCCAAAACCGGGTCGCTGTGGCCTCGGAGTGGCTCTCCTACCGGCTCACCAGTCTTTGCGTCCCAAAGTCGAATTGTCTGGTCGCTCGAGCCAGAGACGATTCGTGAGCCGTCTGGCGAGAATGCGACGGCCCAAACCGAGTTGCTGTGGCCTCGGAGTGGCTCTCCTACCGGCTCACCAGTCTTTGCGTCCCAAAGTCGAATTGTGTCGTCGCTCGAGCCAGAGACGATTCGTGAGCCGTCTGGCGAGAATGCGACGGCCAAAACCGACTTGCTGTGGCCTCGGAGTGGCTCTCCTACCGGCTCACCAGTCTTTGCGTCCCAAAGTCGAATTGTCTGGTCGCTCGAGCCAGAGACGATTCGTGAGCCGTCTGGCGAGAATGCGACGGCCCAAACCGAGTCGCTGTGGCCTCGGAGTGGCTCTCCTACCGGCTCACCAGTCTTTGCGTCCCAAAGTCGAATTGTCTGGTCCAAAGAGCCAGAGACGATTCGTGAGCCGTCTGGCGAGAATGCGACGGCCAAAACCGAGTCGCTGTGGCCTCGGAGTGGCTCTCCTACCGGCTCACCAGTCTTTGCGTCCCAAAGTCGAATTGTCTGGTCGCTCGAGCCAGAGACGATTCGTGAGCCGTCTGGCGAGAATGCGACGGCCAAAACCGAGTTGCTGTGGCCTCGGAGTGGCTCTCCTACCGGCTCACCAGTCTTTGCGTCCCAAAGTCGAATTGTGTCGTCGTGAGAGCCAGAGACGATTCGTGAGCCGTCTGGCGAGAATGCGACGGCCAAAACCGAGTTGCTGTGGCCTCGGAGTGGCTCTCCTACCGGCTCACCAGTCTTTGCGTCCCAAAGTCGAATTGTCTGGTCGCTCGAGCCAGAGACGATTCGTGAGCCGTCTGGCGAGAATGCGACGGCCCAAACCGAGTTGCTGTGGCCTCGGAGTGGCTCTCCTACCGGCTCACCAGTCTTTGCGTCCCAAAGTCGAATTGTGTGGTCCCTCGAGCCAGAGACGATTCGTGAGCCGTCTGGCGAGAATGCGACGGCCCAAACCGAGTCGCTGTGGCCTCGGAGTGGCTCTCCTACCGGCTCACCAGTCTTTGCGTCCCAAAGTCGAATTGTGTCGTCGTGAGAGCCAGAGACGATTCGTGAGCCGTCTGGCGAGAATGCGACGGCCAAAACCGAGTTGCTGTGGCCTCGGAGTGGCTCTCCTACCGGCTCACCAGTCTTTGCGTCCCAAAGTCGAATTGTGTCGTCGTGAGAGCCAGAGACGATTCGTGAGCCGTCTGGCGAGAATGCGACGGCCAAAACCGAGTTGCTGTGGCCTCGGAGTGGCTCTCCTACCGGCTCACCAGTCTTTGCGTCCCAAAGTCGAATTGTGTCGTCGTGAGAGCCAGAGACGATTCGTGAGCCGTCTGGCGAGAATGCGACGGCCAAAACCGAGTCGCTGTGGCCTCGGAGTGGCTCTCCTACCGGCTCACCAGTCTTTGCGTCCCAAAGTCGAATTGTCTGGTCGCTCGAGCCAGAGACGATTCGTGAGCCGTCTGGCGAGAATGCGACGGCCCAAACCGAGTCGCTGTGACCTCGTAAACTGTCAGGGAACCCAGGATACGCCTCCTCAAGGCCTTGAGTCACCCTCAAAGTCTCACTATTCTTGCCTAGACCTTCAATCCGTAGAATAGACTTTTTGGGCATAAACGGAAGCGCTGAGATGTAAATATGTGGAGCGCTGTCCTGAATTGGCACCAAAAACGCTATCAAACACCTTAGGGTATCATTGATGCGCCATCTTATCTCTTCTCCGAGCTAAATGTCATCTCAGCCGCTGGTACCAGTAGGCTAGAATACTCACTGCCATGTTATCTGAGAGCGCGCGCAGACCGTCAATTGCTCGTGGCACGCTTCTCGTGAAGCTGAGAACCTCCATCCAATATAGCACTTGTGGGCTTCGAAGGATGTACCCAACATCGTCCTCCAGCGGGCACGGCTTCTTGTCGTCCATTCCTAACACATGGAACAACCAATGCGAGCTGGCATATTGAAGTCTTCTTGGAATGAATTTGGATATTCTGATATCAAGATCTGGGATCTGCTTATTGAGGTAGAAAGATGACTCGAGTTGACATATGTTGAACTTGAGTCCATCGGTCCGCGACTTGAGGTGTTGAAGACACCACGAAGCAGCTTGACCATGCGCATTGATGACGTCAAGAGATATTCTCTTATGGCTTCCGCCGGCTGGGAAATTGGAGCACCGTTGAAGATACTCGACGAGGGTAAGATGGCGAAAATGGATCAAATTTGTACCTGGCTCTGTACTGAGTACGCTTCCTAAGTTCTTGAGCAAGCCCTTGACAGTTCCAGGGACTCTTGTATGCTTTACCAGGTGCTCCATGTCGTCGAACGTGAGTGGCTCGAACGCTACGAGAAGCAAAGCGAGCATTTGACACAACACTGGATGGGATTCCTCATCTATTCGCTCGAAGATGAGGTCATATACCTTGTCTATAGCTCCACGTTGATCCAATGAGATCAAGCGGTCATATAGACTGTCGGGGGAGTTAAGAGTGGCTTCATCTGTGAGCATTCGACAGGCAGTGCTTGCCCAGATGAATAAACCATTGGCTTTTTCAACCAGTCGCTGTATCTTGTCCTTTGATAGCACTCCATCTAGTGTTTGGCCCACATAGATCGCGACGTCATCGATATTATCGCGATGACGGACGCTGTGAAGACGGTCCTCCAACTTTGATTTGATCGAGAGCGATCCCAAAACGGTTTCGATGACTGGGTCTGGACGACTAGTCATGAATATTCTGAGATTCTTGCATCCTTGGACGGCGGTGGACAGAGTCTCGAGGAGTTGTTTGCGCTGTGATGCAGACGTGCATTCGTCTACTGCGTCAATGACTAGAATAACGCGCCCTTGTCGGTGTTGGAGGGGACCAGTGACAAGTGTTTGGAACTGCTCATCAAGGGATCCTCGCATGATAGAGGGATTTTGCGTCACGGCCCGAGAAACGTGCGGTGCGAGCTCGGGGATGTATTGAACAAGGTCCCTTGCTATGGTCGAGCATAGTTTCTCGGTGGTAGATGCGTCGTTGCTCGACATAGAGAAGAAGAATCGGCCACCTAGGACTCCCTGCTTCTGCCACGATTCCATTGCGGACATTGCGACAGTAGATTTTCCGGCACCTGCAATATCGCACAGCCAGAAGATTGGCTTATTTGGTGTGTCGTTCTCTGCCCAATGTGAGATCGTCTCAAGAACAGCCCGGCGCGTTCCTGGTAGACAGGCTTTGTGGACTGAGGATGGAGCGAATGCCACCGATGGAAGTTGTAATATGGTAGTTTTGTCGACTGGAAGCAATTAGCAAGCATCTCCATAAGCGGTTCTTGGTCTTACAGTTGTTAGGGATTTCGAGCGTGGGTCCTCCCTGCGCCGCATCTACATTCTGATCAGCCAAGTAAAGACAATGGAATGACTACAAACTGCGACAATTATCCTCCCTTACCCAATTCTTGCGTATTCTCTCAGGCCCATTACTGACACAGCCTTTGAGATAGAAGTGGACTGTCTGATAATTGTCGTTCTCTCTGGATGAGAACCGAACCAGGTTGCGGTGGTTTGCATGAAGAATAATTGTTGTCGCGTTGCGGTCGCCGGGAATCACAGCCAGAGGATGCGGGACATTCTATCGTCTTGTCAAGAAATAATCGTAAAGTAGAAGATAACTCACAAACACTCCTTCATTTCGCTCATCGGATACTGGATAATCTTCGGAGAAAAATATGCTTTTTATCCTTTCGCTCGCTACAAGCCAGTCGTTCTGTATGTTCTCGAGCTCTGTTGAATGGAATTGAAGATCTTTGAGAATAGCGTCTGTCGTTTTCATGTGCAGCGACGACCTGGGATTGATTTCCGCGAAAGTAGTGCCTTCGACGCCAAAGTGTGGAGTCCCAAAAAACAAAACTGCACATGTGGATACTAGAACATCCCGGAGGCGACTTTTTGATTCCAGGCTTTGGTTGTGGGAGATAACAAGTGCCTACAAGAGGGCGATGTCAGAGACGATCTTGAGAGTTTAGCGTTACGAACTCGTTTGAGAATGATGCCTCCTATATCATGTGCGATGAAAATAATAGGGCGCTAGTCATTACTAAGATAGTGCCCAAACATTGTATGCAAACTCACCCGAGGACTGTCTTCCCGTTTCCTTGAGAGTGCATCGATCAATCCTTGAGCATGTCGACCGATTGTCTGAGTGGATACACATTCCCGACTGTGAACGTCGGCATCATACCCATAGCTTAGGATTCGGGCATTGGGAAAGTCGGAAGGCAAGAGATCACGCAGCCAACAAACCCCATTATCCGACGTCCACGTCTTGTCTCTGTGTCCTTGGAGGCCATGGATCGCGACAATACTACAGAGATGCGCTCAGCGGTGAGCACGTATAGCAGCAGAGTAACTTACTCGACAACAGGATCGATTCCAGGGGCCATTTCTCGGAATCCGAGATAGTTTAGCTTTGATTCGGGCTCTGTAGCCGGCACTGCGCCGCTCCATGGGCTGAGAGCAGAAAGAAAAGACGGTATGCCGCTCCATGAACGTAGAACAGAGATATATTGTCTCATGCTGATGCGCAAAGCCAACAGAGCGATAGTCAAGTGAGAACGACTATTCAACGCTGTTCATGAAGGAGATGGTCGGGTGCAAGCAGCTCTCGTGCTTTGGGTCCTCTGCGGCGCCATGCCACTCTCCTAAGTGCGCACCATGCGGGATACACGCGGCACTCACAGCTCACGAATTGATGGAAAACGTGGTGGACATACGCTATAGGTGGGTAGCATCTGATTAGGATACAGTGGTCGACTCCAAGTTGATATCCACCCAGCTTACGACTCTTCATTCCAGTGTTGTTGATCGGTCTCATTGCAGTGCAGTAAAAACACAATGTAAAAGGGGAAAAAGGTAGAAAAAAAAGTAGCACAAAGACATTTTCGTAGGAGGAGAAATTGGAAACGAAGAATGATGCGCACCACACATCATATCAGTTTGTGAAGAAGAAAGAATAACACGCACGGAGTAAAAGGGGTGACGAGAAAGGAAAAGGGAGAAGAGGAGAAGGGGAAACCGGGTCATTTTGGATACCAGACGAGAAGATACGAGAAAGCGCAGCTTCTAGTTGATGCACAGGTTGAGCCAAAGGAACGGACGGTCTGACAGATGCAGACTCAACGACAAAACGGCATACACAACGATGACGACACAACGGGAGACAAAGTGGACCGACATAGCAGAGCAGAGGTTACAACCGTGAGCGAGTGATGAGGGCGCGCAAGAGTAAACCAATGAAAATAATTTGAAAATAAAATCCTATTTGTTGGCACGCGTACACCGATATATTGACGGGGCGTCCACGACGAGGCGTGCGAGCGAAGTAGAATAGCATTCAGACACCGGGTGTATTGCATGGGCCAGCGTGAAGGGAGTGATCTTGAAGACGAGCAAGATGCTGATGTGGAATACGATGTGAATGGCTCCGTCGAACGTTCATTGACATGGTCCCCTTATTGGCAGGAGCCAAACTTCGTCCTGGTATGTGTTATTCTCTCAATAAATAGATAGATAGATCACCGAGTTCTGAACTGTAACCCCCCAGAGTCGGCCAATATTTCGCGCGAATACGAGATGATTCCTCGTTGGCGTCCAAGATGGTTATTTCATTCGACCACAATTCTGCCAGCACCTCCAACACAGGTCACGAGGGCGACGAGGGTTGGGAGAATGTGCAGTTTGACATGGAAATGGACGACGTATACGAAAACGTGCTCTCCGAGTCGACAACCATGAGCGTCCATGTTCATGCCGACAAGACAAAGCACGCGTATGCGGATATCGTCAAACGCGTTTGAGCCTTTGGGGTCTATGACGGAGGGAGAACGGGAAACGAGTCTGCAGTCGAAGGATTCAAAGTAGTCAATGTCGGACTTGCCATGTGTTCGTCTCTATGCGGATGTGCTCTGAATGAACGACTTGCAGTACTCTTGAAAATTATCCTCCATTCCATGTCCAACTGCAAACCTACAAGCCAATGTCCTGTTCTACGCAAGGTCCGCAAACACGTCGTCGCATCCCTTATTATCTTCTTCCTTGAGAGGCTCCATACCGACTCTACGAAGGATGCTCGTGATCCCAATCTCCTTTACTAGGGCCCTTTCTTCTTCGCTCTTGACGAGTAGCATGCCCGCAAAGCCAAGCGAGTTTATTGAGAGGGTAAGATTCGAAGAGGATGATGTAGGCGTATATTTTTCGGCTGTACGTGGGAAGAGGTATATGTGCTCGAGCGTCATCACGACATTGTAGCTCGGCGTCGACGGTCCGCCACCCTCAAACGCCGACGCGACTTCAAGGTTTGCGCCATTTCCTGCGGAACTGTTCGTATCGGTGGTCGAATGATGCGCATGCACGCGTATCGTCTGATACATTTCGTCGAGGATGGCCATAAACGACATGGCGAGCTCCGCACTCAACCTGTCCACCGCTTCCCGTGCCTCGTCACTACTCTCCGCAGTACTCGATCCATCAACAAAGGGCTTCAGCAGCAGAAAGGACATTCTTGTCCAGTCGCTTGATATGCGCCGCGAATGGGAGTTGAGGAAGAGCAAATGGGCGAGCTAAATATCGTCAGTGCTCCTTCTGAGATCTACCATTCAAATCAATTGCACGGACATACCCTCATTCTCCACTTTGGCCGCTTTGGCAAGCCGCTCGATTGGTGCTTGTCCAGGGAAGAACTGGATATGCTTATGCGGCTGACTCGCACCGCTCAGGATCCCACAATTGAAAAACGCGAAAAAGGGTCGGTTGCGAGTATGTGCAGCCAGGAGGAGCAAGTACGTTTGTACGAGTTGAGACGGTGTGAGTGGATGCGCCTGCGATTCGTATTCTATTCCCATCCCATTCGTCAATCACAACAGCTGCAACACGTAAACCGCAATGGACGTACCTTTGGTGACGAGCAAAAAGTGACCTTTAACGAGCGCAAACTTGTTCAGAAGAACATTGTATCCCTCGACGCTATCCTCTTCGAGTACATCTCGCATTTCACCAATGTGCAACGAGTTAAAGGGCGGCAAGAACGGGTCAGTCTGCGTGATCGTTTGAACGACAGCTGTAATATTTGACGCATCTGGCGCGATATTGGGGGTCGGTGCGCGTTCTTTGTGCTTTTGGGCGAGCGCAGGGCATAGGCGGATTTGGTACTATGATTAATAGCCGTTCATGTCGTCGCGGTTCAGGGCATAAGATCCACCAGCCAAACGAGTAGAGGACAAGCAGGTGAATACGAGGTTAGGAGAAGTCATAGGACTCACTTTTATACCCGCATCGACGACGTCTTCAACAAAACTCTCATACGACTTGAGATCTCCACGGATCTTTGCATTTTCCACCGCCTTTTCCAGTGAATCAATCACCTGGGACGGGCTCAAGACGGATACGCCTGACGTCGACATGTCATTGATGCTTGTGTCGCCGCCTTGGGTCTGGCTCGCTGCAGACATTATGTTATCTGGCAATGTAGATGAACAGTGTGAGATCTGTGGAGATTCCTAGGGATAATGATACAAGTGGCCGACTCCAAGTAGATCGCTCCAGTATCTGGATGTCATGGCGAGGATTTAGAACACTCTTAAGGGCCATACATCTCTACATCTACACAAAGCTCAGTCCTCCGCTACTCGTTACCACTTTCAGTTGATTCACGCTGAGTCTTTCAGATGACTGTATTCTCGCCCAGGTCAAATAGTATATACAGAGGTGATCACAATAATTCACCGGGTGGTACCACATTGAAAATGACTGAAACCAAGTTTGGTTACACGGAGAGGACTCGTCTTCGGCATGGTCAGAAGGGATTGTGGATATTGTAGTCCATGTCGATTGCTTGGTGGTACCCAGAGGATTATGCATGCTGTTCATTTCTAGTAGTACATCTTGAAGGCGCATGGGACCTGTCCAGATCGGGTTGCTGACTACTGCCGCCGTGCTGAACAAGTTGCGCATCAACAACGCCGGAGGTGAGAGTGGCTTCGTTAGAGACCAAGATGTTTCTTCTGTGAGCCAGTTTGTTTTAACCGATTGCATCTGGTTATCTCTCAGCCAGACCACACGAAGATAAGATTGACCAGTCAGCTGAATGTACGAAGCGAAGGGCACGCGGCAGGAGGTTAGCCTCTGTACTATCTATTAATAAGTATCCGGGTAGTTCGTTGATGAGAAGTTCTACTCGTGAAAGGTGAGCAGAAAGCCGGGGCATGTCACCGATCGTTTCGAGTTGTAACTTGATTCGAAGGCGCAATAGAAGAGACCCAGACATATGTATGCACGTGTGTACTCGTTCATCAAAGTCATCTACCCCCATGTCGATGACTATCCAGGTCCACAATGATGACGTTTGGAGAAGTAAGGTGCGCCCATGCCTTGCAGACATGGAATAGGGTAAATGGACCAACATTATCTACCGATACAAGCCATGCGAGAATCGCTAGAATCACATCGTCATTGAGCACGGTCATGGTCGAGTCCAAGGACGAATTAATAAGCCTCGTCACACAGGTACGAATTGGGCATGGATACTTTGGCGAGTATTACGCGCATTTCAAAATCCCAGAGCGATCCGACTGTCCATGCGGGACGGAAATCCAGATCCGCGAACACATACTATACGACTGTCCACTCTTCAACGATGCGAGGCACACACTCTATAGCACCGCACCCGACGGCCACATAGGGTCACTCCTCGGCATCAAGAAAGGGATAGAAGGCCTGGCCTCGTTCCTAAAATTCACCAATGCATTCAGGAAGCGCCCCGAAGACGACGAAGTACAGTAGCCAGCACCAGGCGCAACCGGAGATGGTTCCCAATGGCTGAGTACCAGCTGCAAATGAAGAAGATGGCATCATTCCCTTATCCTTTCCTATTTCCGTAACATTCTCTCGGCAAACCTCGAACGACACCTCCCAGCCTGCACTCATCACCTATACAATAGAGCGTACCCTAGACCCACGAACTCAATCACCCTAATAGTTGCCCCATGTTTCGTTAATGATCGCGCCTTGGTTCCATGTAGTACCTGCTAGCGAGGCCAAATAAGATATCTCTCTCTCTCCAAGAGCGAATTCAATCTCGATAATTGCCTGACTCTCGCGGCTAGTTCAAAGACCCACGACCCTTCACCTTGGACTGCAATTTGAATATCGTGAACGCCTAGTGCTACTACATGAGACTATACTTTGTGATCTCTATCGGAGCATCCTTGGAGTGGCGTGCGCAAGTGACCTTTGAGTCTTCCGTACAGTCCATCCGATGGCTACAAAAGCAGTAGTAGCAGCATCCGCGCTTGTCCTGTCGACCCTCCTTGAATTCATTGAAAGAGCAGGGCTCCTGAGGCAGCTTGGGATCTTTGATAGAATAGACTGCTAGCTCCCCCTTTAGCGCATCGACGAGCAGTGTCAGAATGAGACGGGAGGGGTAGGATGGAAGGGCAAGGCGGTACTCGGCTCGGTTTTCATACAAGCGTGAACCAGCTAAGAATTTGAATAGGTCGAGCCAATGTGGGTAGAACTGAAATCGTAAACTCCGCAAATAGCGGTAGTCTTTACCCAGCAACTCCAATATGTCAGCGACGGCTCGGTGATCTGGACCGTTCCCGCCTCCACCATATACGTTATCCACTAGCGTCAATTCTTGGAGGGCTGGAGTAGAAAATGCACGAAGGAGGCGCACCGCCACCTCCGGCACAGAGCGTAGAACAGCCAGTGATGGTAACCTGGGAAGCACTTCTTCTCCTTTGAGTGCAAAACCGACTCTTCCTGTGTCCAGGAATCGCAGGTGTGCATAATTACCATCTGGTGACCCCAAAAACGAGCTGAGTGTGGTCGAGACTTGACAACACTCCCATCTTGTCTTGATCATGAGACTCCGGGTGCAAAAGCGTCCAGAATAACGGAGATTATAGGGCCTTAGTTCGTATTTGTCGAGTACAGTGGTCATAGTGACCAGCGGCTGTTTTGTTGACAAAGGCACGACACGAACCTTTTTGTCCGTCTCGTACACGGACACTTCGAATCGTATCTCTCTGGAGAAATTTTGATATAAGGGTAGAAGATAATGGGCGTACGAGAATGTGCACGGTGCCAATATAAGGCGACATATGCGGATGGTGGGGATGTTCAAAATCAGAGAGTAAATTGCCTCCGCCATTGACGGGAAGCCTTCTTCTGAGATAACTTGATCGAACTCTGCAAGATCGACATTGAGCCTGAATAGCTTGTTCAAGGGGCTATGTATTGTCAAGGTGAGCCTCCATTGGATGTCTTGAGGGTACAGCGTCAGAGTCTCGGGCTGTATATAGGAGCCGATACGACTGATCGTTGAGAGTATACAATCAAGGGAATCTTGAATGGTGAGATGTTCAACTTGCACCTTCAGATAGGCTGCGAATCGTAGGGTATGTTCGCAGGTTCCCGAGTCTGTCGTCGCCTTGATTCTACCGGTGCCAATTTGGAATAAACGCAAGGAAAGGTGAATAAGCTCCCCTGGTGGCTCATGCGAATTGACCTCCTCAAAGTTCGTTGGCAAACCGTACAGGCGTATCTCAGTCAAGTTTTGGGTGGCCGAAATGAGGTTTGTAATAGTGTCCTGGTCTTGCCACTGATGTGAATCTATGCCAATTCGGGTGGCAAAAACGTTGCGCAACAACCTACCCGACGACAAACTGCTGTGATTAAACCAGCCAATTCTCTGGGAAAAGGCATCTGGCTTAACTCCTTCTACCGCACCATCTCGCATCCACACTACCCGCAACCCCGGCTTCCACTCGGTTCTTGTAAGAAAGGAGCGGATTCGCCGGAATACCACCTCATACGAGATAGTTTTCTTCTTTGTTTCCGGAAGATGCATAATAAGCACATCCGCGCGATGAAGGAAAGGGTTGAGCCAGTCAATGTCTGGCAAAGTCCCGCCACGTAGTTGGATGCGGAATCGTAGAGGTAGCGACCCAGACATATGAATAGACGTCCACGCCCGTTCTTCGAGGTCACCATCCAGACAGTCTAGCGTGATCCAGGTCCACAAAGATGGCGTTTGCAGTAAAATCGCGCGCCAGGCGTTGGAGACGTGAAAGAGTGTATACGGCCCGAGATCATCAAGTGAAACAAACCAATGTAGAATCTCGAGCATTACATCGTCGTTGAGCGTTGGCACCATGATCGCGCCGAGGTCAAGTTGCGCTCATTCGCGCCTCTCACAAGAAATAAACCAGAATGACTACGTTGAATTGATGTTGACAGTAAACTACAAAATGTACAAGAGTTGGGCAGACAAACACCACAGATAGGCACAATTCGACGCAAGCAGACACTCGGAGTGGAGAAAACCCAAATCGAGGTGATCAAGAATGTCCAAAACCAGAGAAACGAGAATGAACAGAATGCCACAGCCCACAACTACATACAACTGCGTGAGTCCGAGAAAACAGTTGTCCGTCTATCGAGAAAGGGTTACTAGAAAGGGTACCTCGTAAGAATACTAGGTGGGCATGAACAGTTTGAGGAAACGTCGAGTGCGAGTGTCCATGAGTTCAGGTCACTGTATCAAAGCGCAGGTCGAGTGGGGAGTTTTTCGGTACCAATCATTTGAGTCACTGTCTAAGGCGTCAGTCACATTCGATCCATTCTCACCGCTCGGTCTTCCCCTCTTAACCTAGTCCGCGTTCGGCACTCTGATACGCCACCCACTCGTCCACCCGCCCCAATCTCCAGCACGTCGTGTACTCGACAGAGTATGTCAAATATCACGACGAGGATGAGAGAAGTGAGAAAGAAGAGAAGGTGAGGGCGCACAGTGGCGGCTCGAACGGGGACGACGATCAATCGGGAACTACAGCTCGCCATGAGTGCGCCGCAGCCCAACCATACCTTCTGATGTTCCAATCCAAATACATCCAAATCTGCACCATCCATCTCCACGAGATCATCCAATTTGATGCTGTCGTGGACATCTCGTGCCGTTGCCACTTGCGTTGTCGGGTATGTTGGGGAAAGGAACCTCGAGTTGGCAGCAAGCATAGCAGCCGAGGACGAAGGCAATGCGTTTGGCAACGTGCTCGCCGCACCACCGCGCACATGACTCGTCTGCAGCCGCCCCAGGTCGACGGGGCTGGCTCTCGTTCCGCTGGTCATCGTATCAGGAGATGAACCACCAGCGTCGCTCGAGCCTTCGTCTACAAGGTAAGCTGCCGCTGCAGAGACTGCAGCGAGGGCCTGCTTTGCCGCTGCGCGCTGTTTCTCTCCACGCACGCGATGAACCATCTCCCTTGTAGTCGTCGCCTTTGCCATAGGCGCTTGATCACTGGTCGCAGCAGGAGAGGACGCGTCTGGATCTGCGTGCGTAGGGAGTGGATAGAGACGGGGCTCAGTCGGACGATATTCATCATCGTCATCCCCCTTGAGCGGCGAGTCATCAGAGTCGTGCTCTTCGTCGTCTTCGTCGTGGTAGACCCCACGAACAGCTCGAGGGCGGCGGGTGGGACCGCTTTTCAACCTGGCCAATCGTCAGATTCTGGTGTTGGCAGTGGCGAAGAACCAAAAAAAAAAAAAAAAAGATAAAAAGAACGTACACGCTGCAGTGGCTCTTCTGATGCCGTTTGAGGTCATCGATTCTCAAAAACTTTTGGCCACATCCGCGTCCACCCATGACGGCTCCTTGAGTGGTAGGGCCACCACATGCAAATGGCTTGGACTTGCAGTGCTCACGGATGTGATTCTTTGCGTGGTCAAGGCGCTTAATGAGTTGCTTGTTGCATCCAGCCCATAGGCAAGTATACCCAGCGGCGCCACCACGGCTGCCTCTCTTTGCGACCGCCTGGCGAAACATACGGGTCAGTTGAAAGATTTCTCTTCGGCATGATGAAAGACGTACCTTTGGAAGCGGCACACGGGCCAACAGGGGTTCGACGAGGTCATCCGGGATCTCCATCTGCTTGGCCAACTGCTCACTGCTCAAGAGCGCATAAATCGCTTCTACGATGGGAGCGTTCACCGTAGTGGTAACGTCGTCCACTGCACGCGTAGAGGCATTGGCATCTCGCGCCGCACTCCAGCGCGGACCACAGGCACGCTCAAACATGGCGCGCTTATCGCGCGGCAAGGATTCCAAGCGCACCTCTAGAGGAATCGTGGGCTCGACGATGGAGGGTGGGAGCGAGACAACTTTGTCTCCCTCGACGACACGGGCCGCTGTCGAGGTCGAATGGTGAGTGGCGGTGACATTGGCGGTGACACTGGCAGTGTTAGAGGCACGAGCGATTGTGTCTCGGTTAATGTTGCTCGGTGGAGGCTGTGGAGACGTGCGCGTGATGGTCGATCTCGAAACTTGGGCATCTGCCTGTTGGCTCGAGGCCCAGGAGGGGGCGATCCCCCCGGAAATTGCAGATTCATACCTCTGGTATACTCCAGATACACGTGCAGCAGAAGCGCGTGGTCCCAATGGCATACTCCCGATATCGTGGTACGCCTGCGCGGGCATGTGCATCTCATATGACCACGACGATGGTGCATAAGTATACTCGTCGTACTGCCCAGTAAAAGATGCCGGGGTGCCACCGAGCCCATCTACTGTGGTAGACTCGGCAAGACGACCTGTACTCGAGATGGATGTTTGGCGGCTAGAAGGAGGGCTGGTCGTCGAGATAGATCCCGCCTGAGAAAGTTTGCGCCTGTACGGAGGGTTACGCACATGTTTCCTGGCGTACGGTCGATTCGTCGTCGTCGTCCCAAGTAAGTTGAGCGAAAGCGGTGGCGAGAGTGTCTTTTGACGCTCGAGTAGCGCTTGGATGTCTGCGGACGCGGTAGCAAATGGCGTTTGTCTACTTGTACCATAAGGGCCGACGTGGTTTGGTATCTGCACGTGAACACGGCCACCATGGCTGTCGTTATGATAATATCCAGACGCCGGTTGGGAGAATCCAAATGGACCTACTCCTGAGAAAAAGTCCGTACTGGTGGTCGAGTCGTTGTCGTTTGGAAGCGACGGCGAGAGGTCGACGGCCAAAGGCGGAGTAGGGGGTGTAGTCGAGTGGGAGAGCGACCGAACGTGAGACCTGTGTGGTCCCGTGGAGGATGTCTGCTGATGCTGTTGTCGTTGAAGGGCTTGGGCTTGTGTATGATTACTGGTGTCTGCGTAGGGATGACCATGCATAAGCGAGTCAATCAGCTGGTGGAGCTGCGAGTCTTGTTGTTCTTTGTACTGCTCCTGTTGTCCATCTGCACCTGTACCTTGTCCCGAGTTTGTGCCTGTGAGCACACTCGGGGATTCCCATTGAGAACCCATGACTTGAACATTCGGGCCTGAAGAAGGCCACTCGGGCCATGTAGACGCTGGGGCGTTGGATGGCTGCGAGGTGAAGCCCGTTCTGCCTAGGAGGTTACTCGGGGCTGGTTCATTCATACCCGAGGCGCGACGCATCCATTCAGGAGCAGAGGGAATAGAGGAGTGCTGGTGGTCAATGTGCTGGCTGTGACAAAGTTGGTTAGGCGACGAGGATGGGTTGGAGCTGTTGTGATGGTGGTGGTGCTGCATGACGGGCGACGGTGTATTCGTATTCGCAGAATGAGCTGGTCCACACACGTTGCCACGTCCACCAGTATGCTGGGTGGTGGTCGCATTACTGGGGCCCAACTCACTATCAGGAGTGGGAAGATTGGAAGACACGATGGGGTCGTCTGGCATCACTGCAGGTGCAGCTGTCGAAGACGATAGGTCAAAGCCGAGAGGATAGTCGAGGGAAATGGGATCAGAAGCGTTGGAAGCCATCTCTGAATGAGCCATTGGAGAGTTTGAAAATGGGATATAAAGGGTGTTGACGCCGTCGAGAGTGGCGAGCACCCAGGAAAGCCAAAGTCGAGGGAGGGGGGATTCGGAGCCGAGCGGGCAATCGATCAAAGGACCAGCAGGGACAAAGTGGGTAGCGAGATAAACCGTGAGCAGGGCGTTGGAAAAGCATGAAAGAGGGACAAACCTGGATGCAGGAGAGAGTGCTCGTCAAAGAACGCAAACCGTTCGAGGGAGCTTTTATCGTACTCGGTGGGTGTCGTAGGTGAATAGGACATGTCGAATATGCCAAGGTGAGGCTATACAAAGTGGAAAAAAGGGGGTGTAAAACCTGTACGGGCGCGGCGATACCCCGCGCTAGGAGATCAAATCGTGACCGAGCGAAGCGAGAGTAAGCTTCAAAGTGCCAGAGGGAATTGAGTATTTGGGATGATATCCGAAGAGGAAGGACTCGTTTCACAACGACTAAAGAGGGGGGAGAGACGGTCAGTTGACGTACGAGACTGTCCGTGGCGAGAATGCAGTACGGGGATGGCGATGAGCTCGCTCCTGGTAGGACGCGTAAATACTGTCGACGACGGCAGTGCACAGCGTCTCCGAGTCGATCAAATCGTAAAGAGCCAGCCAGCAGTGAACAAGCCCCAGGGACCGCAGATAGAAGAGGGAATGGAGACGTACTGTTGTCTGCGAGGAGAGGATGAGAGAGGACAGAGTCCAAGAGTGGGTAGGGGAGCAAATGTCCTCTTGTGGGCTGATTTATAGACGGCGGGACCGAAACGGAGACAACGTTGCGCCGACGTCTACCAGCCTACTGAATCGATGAGGAGCAAGAACAGCCCACCAGTCACAAGGCTTTTTTATGCTGAAAATCCAGCAAGAGATATCCTCTAGCGGTACACGACGGACAGGGGGACACAGACGCTGGGATGGGGATTTACGGCCACGATGTTCTGGGAGACCGCTCGGGCTTTATGTGCTCAGAGGGCCTTTATGGCAGATAACGTTCGAAAGGGCGCTCCGTTGGAACTCTCTCGGTGCCGTCAACTTGGTCCGTCCATATTCAGGGCCCATTATCATATTCTGACTTGTGCATCCGACGCGGTGACACTTGGACACTATGTGTAGCCCCCACGACCCCAGAATCACTCTCCATCTGTCTCTCATTAAATCTAATTAATCCTCCTTTTCCATTGGGTTTACGCACGCATCAAGCAGAGGCCTGCTCGGGTCCGTGACACTATTCGGATCCAGGCTATTCAACATTGGATCTGCATCCGATCCACAGTTTCGGACAGTCCGCCTGGTCTGCGTCCGCATCTCGTCAAGCCTTAACCTCCGAAAGGCGAGACCCCAACTGTCACCCACCAACCGACTGAACACTCAGGCACGACATAACGGACATGGCAAACGACTACTAACTCTCTCCTCGTGCACGTATCAGATCAGGAAATCCATGTCCAATGTCCCCATTCCCATCCAAAAAGACTAGTCCTCTGGCCGTGTCCGTCGTGGTCTAGATTCCCTTTCATTCCCCATCAATTGCATCCTATCTAACCCCTACAGACCTGGAACTCAACTTCGAGTTCGCCAGTCAGTCCCCCAGAATTCCCCCTCTTCTGCTCCCACCGACTTGGCACAAGATAATGCGCCACAACTTCGCAGGGGATATACAGGAACAACTCGATCTCTTAAACTCTATCTCCGATTCCGACTCCGCAGCTGTCGATGTTGACGCCACAGCCAAGGAACCTTGGTGCATGCCAGCGCATGTATCGTGAGTCATCTGCTCTAATTATGGCCATTGTACGTATATATACGGCCTTGCGGTCAGGAACTGTGTCTGCGAGTGACTTGCGTTGATTGAGAGCACTCGGCTTCAAGTCGCGTTGAAAATGATAGGTGAACCCTTGTTAGCTTCCATTTTCATCATAATCGTTATTACGCTAAAGCGGTCCACGGTCCGCTCCTTGGCCCAGCCCCTATCTCGAACCGCCTGAGCCTGATCCGAATAGAGACCGACCAGACAGCCTCAATCGTCGTGGGACCTTTAAATCCCGTCCAAAGCCGTAATCCACGCTTTCTGGGTCAACATGACCGGAACGGGTGACACCGCGGATTTGGACCCGTCCTAACCAGCAGCCACGATCACTAAACCACACCATTCGACGAGGCGTGTAACCCGTACACCGTACAGTTTTTATCGATTACCAAAGGCACTGACATGGGCTTGAGAAGGAGCCTCGCTCCGCGTGTTACCAGTGCATCCGTACAGGTTTACAACCGCTCACTTCTCTTATAAGAGGATGTGCGTACCGCATATCCTACGTCCAATTCCTGCCCCACTTTCGCGTTTACACTTGCTTTCTGGACAAATCTCGCTCAGACAGGCCATGGAATCAGGTTCTCCAGGTTACAGAAATCAGGGCAATGATTCCTTTAATACGAGGCAGCAGCTACCGCCCATGATTGAGGTCTGTTTTTTCTCAGATGCCACCTCCTTAGGGGCCCAACCCATCCTAGGGACTGGAAGCGTATGATGTAGCGGAGGACCCAAGTCGATTTGAAAGCATGTGGATGGTATGTCACCACTAGTATTGAGCGTGACAAGCGGAGATGCTCACAGGTCGTTTGTTAGGATACAATATTACCCTGGCTCTCGGACGGCTCCGAATACTTAGCTCCGACCGCGCCACCAGACCTATCGTCGCCTGGAAGTGGGTTTAGCATCCCCTCCATTGATCCTTCTCAAACATCCTCTACGGATTTCTCATGCCCATCTTCGCACCTTCCGGCGATACATGATGCCTTGTCCGACAATGTAGACCCTGACCAGTTTGGCCCGGCATCGGCACCGTTGCTCATGCCAATGAAGCCGTCCGGGGACCTGTTGTCCATGGCCCCTCTTAATTGGAGTACACCTACGATGTCTGCTACGACGTCGATACTTCAACAGCAGCCGATTTCCCTTCCACTTCCGCCTTCAATTCATCAACCTTCAGCATCCTTTCCAGACAGCACGCACCACTCTTTTATCCAGTCTGGCAACCATGGACAAATGGCGTCACCCGTGCGTTACCTACACTTATTCGGTATACATAGTTAACAATATGCATCATAGGCGGTGTCCATCCCAAGTTACAGTCATCAAACTTTGGGCACGGGTGCCAACAGCTCCCCTGCATCTTCTTTAGAAGAACAGTCGCATCTCGAATATACACAATCGGTCGACCATGTCTCATCAGCTAGCACTGGTAAGCACATGAATCGGACAGCTCTCCCGCTAATACATCCCCCAGATGTCTCCGCTCTTGCCACCGACAATTTCCTAGCTCAGCCCCTGATTACAGCTGGTCATATTGGCGCGTATTCTTCTTTAACACCGCCCAACAATCAGCAAGCGGTGCGTTTGCTCCCTCTAGCCTATTTATGTTGACCAAGGGAAAGCAGAATGACCGCAATAGGAAGTGTCTGCGTCGTAAGGGGGCTCCAAACCGAAGAAAAGGCTCGAGAGCGAATAAATCAAAAGCTAGCCTTGTCGATACTACATCAACAGCAAACCCCCGACCGCGGCGAATTCCCAAGGAAGACGTTCCAGTCGAACTACATTGGTTCTTCATGAATCACGCGCCAGGGCGTTTTCTCCTTAGTAGAGAAAAGTGCCAGTCTATGATAACAGAAAGTGAGGATGGAACGCCTATCTGCAAGTACTGTAATTGGAAGGGCGATAATAAACGCCCTCAACGGGTCACCGAACACTTTGCTATGCACCTCGACTATCGGCCATACACATGCGTAATATGGTTCGTTCCACGAGTAGATTATGTGGCGTTGACTTCTGATTCTCTGCCCAGTAATCAACACATGACGCGACCTCTCAATCATACAGAGGCCAAAGATGGCCACAAGTTTGTCGACTTTGAAGCTCTAATCTTCAATCCAGACACTCCTTTCGAAGAAATTTTCGCCGCTTTTAGCCATCAAGTCTGAATATCCGGGCAGGTACAGACGTCATACACTAGAGATGCAGCTATAGAAGTGATGGACGGCTGCGTCTCCAGTGTATGGTTGCTGTGCACTTCCCCCACCTTTGACTTGATATGCCGCATACCCTCTACACTATTTAGTGGGTCTGTACTTGGCATACCCATAAAACGCGATCGCCAATCAGGAAATACCCGGCTACATAGCCTTGCCGTCGTTATTTCTGGATTGGCGCACACGTTTTGTGGTTGTGATTATGCACTGCAGATGGTTCCTATGAAACCCACGACTTCGATGCGTTTTCTACCTCACTATGCTTTATGTTCCGAACGCTATAGATACTCAACCATCTGCTATGCCCAATCTGATCGACTCCTTCCATGCATCTCCCCTTCCCAAGATCAACTCGACTGACGACGTCTTGACGACCCGTCTCTCGAGCTTCTGTATGCAGCTGTCCTCTATCTCATTTATTCTCACGGTATCGGTTGAAGGGCCTGATTAAGTCGGAGACTGAAACGGAGCCTTATTTCCGGGCAGGCTCTCGACATTTCGTGGCACAATATTCTCGAGATGTAGAGCCAGAACATGCGGGCATTGTGTACTTGTTTACTGTGAATCGCCCAGCGTCGCCCATTCCCCTCCATCTACCGCATGGAAGCGAGTCATCGGATCCTTTTCGAATCGAGTGTGTTCTGGAGCTCATAACGCCTGGATATTCTCTCGAGGGCTGTGATGACGAGCGAGTGGGGCATCCTTTCGGTCCCAACCAGCATCGGTCGATCACAAGACGGTGAAGTTGACCAGCGCCAATTGAGCATTGATTCCCTGCCAGGTCGACGTAGATGGAAAGTCTGAGCTTCGTCTTCGTCCTGGAGATGGGTTCTTGATATTCAATCGACGTAGTCTGCTTGGTAGTTCTTACCTGGCGCGTCGAGATACCTGGAAAAGGGCACTAGCCACTTCACGGGGTCACTATAGGCGAATAGAAGCTGCTGCGCTGAGGTGAGCAACCACATAAACCCGCCTCGTTGTCGATAGCCCACTTTCTTGCCCCATCCCGTTGGCCTAGCCTCGTCTCTTGCTCGTCAGAACATCAGTTGATCTAGTCTAATTCTATGAGTCAAGGATATGGTGTATTCGATTTTTCTTTCGCTGTTGATCCTGGACCTTCAAGCTATCCAGTGATGGCGAGCGACTGGTCAAACGGGGCCAACTCCGACCACGCTCAACAACTTCGAGAAGATTGTATGTATAGTTTGGCCATGCGATAGCTTCTGACAATCTTCCAACAGACAACCTTGTGGGTCTGCACCATACTTCCGAATCAACTCTAACCATCAGCAAAGATTGAAACTTATTCCTTATACCCGACTGATCGCGCATATTTAAATCCACTCTATCCGCATGGCTATTATCCTGTACGTAGCTTCTCCGTCCTTGCTGACTTACTGACTGAGATGCTAGATCCAGAACAAAGAGCAAGCTCTAAATGGTTCTATTTATCATCCTCGGTCTCCACCTGTTTCGCAAAGTCATGTCACTGCCTCGCCGAGTTCTTCGTTCTCCTCGGCACCTTCTGAAAATCTCCATACCTTGCATATTCCCAATAATCAAGCGTTTCCTCGAGTTTACGCCACCTCGGGGTCACCTGGCCGGATTCAGCAAATGAATAGCCTAACCCTTTCGGATCTACGCCGGTTACCCCACATATCGTTTGTGGCCGTTCCTAACGGAATCAATCTTCTGAGGCGCCCAGACGGTCATTTCTACTCTGGAAATTGCATCCAAACCCTTCCCAATCCTCAAATTTTCACGAGTTCCGCCTCCGTATCGGTCTCAACAGGCCCTTCGTCTTCACTCCATTCCCAAGCATCCATGTCAAATGACAATATGAGTCAGGGGCTTTACGCAACGGGCTCGGCTCTCCATCAACAAGACCTGCAAGACGGCATCTTTCGATATGCTGAACCACTCACAGTCAGTCAAACCTATACACGACCAAGCATCGTCTAACTTCTGGATAGAGTGCCGTCCAGTGGGCGCAAGAAAATTCTGGTTCAAACCCCAATGTTCTTTCAGACCATCCAGGCTCACTCACTTGGAACTCTGTTCACAGCCAAGGTTCTGGGAGTGAGAGTATTTCAACCTGTCACGGACTAGCTAATATAGTGCAGGTTTACTAAATTCAACCTCTTATCCAACCTACAGCCTTCAGCAGTCAAAATTCCCCAACCAAGGACTGTTCCCTCTAATGAGCGATACCAATAGCACAGCTATATCTCCGCAGTCCTTTGGTGCCATCCAGAGTTTATTTAACCCCAAAGGATATGCGCCAAATACTGCTAGCTGGCAGGAGAATGGTAGGTTTGGCTCCAGTCTCGATTACCTACCAATGCAAGAACCTACCACCCAATACAACTCTCCAGCTATAGTCAGTTAAACTCGCAACCACCAAGCGTTAGCTGACCTCCGAAAGGGTACCAGCCAGGGAATGCCCACCAGTTCTGGGTTAAACGCAGAGGATTCATCAGAATACCAAGTCTCATTGAATTTTATCAGTATTCAGAACATTCCTGCTCAGAACCAAGATGTTGGGAGTAGCAGCGCTCAAGTCGTCATAAATAGTCCAGCTTCAGCATGCTCAAGCTCCTCCCAAGCCCACGTCCATGACCATTCGTTTCAAAGTCCAATCCCTGAAATGAGCAACCTGCATACCAAAACATTTTCGCCAAACGTAGGTGAAATTTCTTTTGGTTTGGTTGGTCTCTAAGCGATCTTAGACTTTGGCCGAGCCCAACTCTGGTAGTGTCTCTGGTCAAGGGCCACTAGAGGTCACCTTTGATGTTGGCAACGGCTTGACCGTTGACAAACACCCCTATGTAGTCGACCAGCCTCAGGCACGCTCCAGAGCTACCCGGAGAAGGGATCCAGGTTCACAATACCCTCGCAAATCTTCGCGAACTCGCGAGAGCTTTCCCCCTGAAGCCCAACTCTTTCACAACGTCTGTAAGGCCGGTCCCCGCCTGAGCGAGGACGTTTGTCGGACAATGGTCAAGGACGTCGACGGCCGCAAGATGTGCAAGCTCTGCGACAAGTTTCTCCCACGTAGATATGACCGGATAGCAGCCCACTTGTCTGTTCATCTCGGCCATGCACCTCATCAATGCAAAATTTGGTGAGTTTGTGGGGCATCCTTCCCAGAGATGTTAACAATTCCTCAGTCACAAATATTACTCGCGAATAGAAGATCATGGCCGTCAAGACCACGACTTCACCGACGAACATAGCGGGGTTGTGCGCACCGCACGGAAACCTCGGCTACGCTAGGCCATCCGCCATCACATCCAGCCGTCATATTACTCTCTGACATATCCCTCCTTGGTTCATCTCACCCCAACTTCACATTCCTATTCGGTTAAATGCCGAGGAGCCCAGTTGGAAGAAGCGTTGCCTGCATCGGTCTCGTTTTGTCCCCTGTGGCTCCCAGGTCTTAACCAATCTTTGCTCACACTGCGTTTTTCGAGAGGAGACGCATTCAAGCTGCCGTTGTTGCGCTGACTTTGGGGCAGCGCGGCGCGGTTGAGCGGGCTAGAGTAGACTCTTTCCGTGAGTATTCATTCGTCCATCTTCTTGTGCTAATTTCAGAGGATCAGTGCACGAGAAAGGAATACTCACGGAAAGAGTCTACTCTAGCTCGCTCAACCGCGCCGCGCTGCCCTAAAGTCAGGGCAACAGCGGCAGCTTGAGAGCATACAATATCAAACACGACACGCAAATTTATTTGTACGTATCAGTTCTCTCTCCACCTCAGCTTTGACTGATATACCTAGATTGTCAGAGGTCACCGCAACTGGAAATATAAATGCGTTCATTCGTTTGCAATACAGTCGTTCAAAACACGCTCGCTTGCTAGGACCGAAGCAAACACGGTTCAATCTCCAACCACAATCCCACTTAGGCCAACGTTTCCAGTAGTTGCAATGATGGCATCATCCAACTGCTTCGTAGTCCCAGATGAATATAATTCTGGCCTGTTACTATCGTCACATTGCTGATTTGAAGGTGCTGAAAGTGAATTCCCGTCACCCTTAGAGGCCCTAATGGTCATTCTGATTACCTGTGGGCTTTGATTGCTGGGCATGAGTGGGAAACAACTTCAACCGGTGGGTGCTTGCAATGCTATGCCTGCCACTCTGCTCAGATTGATACACCCACGGGAGTGGGTGCTCAAGCCCACTCGCGAAATGAAGCTGCGATACAGCCGACCAATTGGCACCTTTATTGCCACCGCATTATGGCACGGACAGCGTAGAAGTGGACAGAAGGTTCGCAGGCTTGTATACAAAGTTCTTCGATTTGTGGCGAGGCGACAAACGCAGACATTGCGTATATCAAGAGTTAAGTGGTCGAGGGGTGAGACTTGCATTATGATATAGTTTGCATAAGACGTAGAGACATTGAGAAGGTCGACTAGACGGGGATGTTACGGTCCTTTTTGGGCATTCTGACCGCGCTGATGGATGTATTCTGCTCTAAGCTCTTCGAGTCGTTCCGGATTCAAACTGGAGGCAACATGAGTTCATCTTATAATAGCCAGAGTAACGTACTGGATTTTCATGCAATCTCGAACTGCCTTGTATTCGTCTTTGCAGGCCCAGACCACTGATATTGTTCTGCCTTGAGAACATTCTGCAAATTCTTTATTCATTTTATGAGTGTAGGGCGGCTGAACTGATTTCGGGCATACTCTTGACCACCGGGTCGCACTCCTTCATCGCTTTCGCCTTCGTGGATTTCATCAAAGCATCCTCTTCTCGACGGGAAAGCGTCTCCATGGATAATTCACGGACTTTTCGGCTCGTGCTGGTAACTTCTGACTCCCGAGAAAGTGGATGTCGAGGTTCAACGTTGGCCAGCGTCAACCAGCAAGGCCCTTCGGAGTAGCACTCGCCCTGAGGCAGCCGCGATCACAAATTTACAGCCACATGGACGGTTATGATGTCCACTCTGAGTTCGCTGCGCGAGGACGCCTAGCCTGCGGGCGTGGAGAACACCGCCGGGATGCAGACGGCGAATTGGACACGCAGAGGAAACCAAAATGTGTCACAGGGCCTGAAACAACCTCACGTGATACGATGGACCTCGATTGCCAGCCTCAAGCTGCCCTCCTATGTCAACCAGCGGGTTGCAAGTTGGAAGCGCCCTACTCTCTGCCCTGTTTGACCACTCACACTCTCAAGAACAGTGCCTCATTGCCGCTGGAGAGGAGCAGTGCGCGCCTCTGACCATTCAGGCTCTCTTACCAGGTTGGCGCCTACCACAGTTTCCGTTGGGGTTCTGCCATTCCTTGCTACTCGTGCTTGGGTAACATCGACTGCGCAGACGGCTGTGGGTTGTGTGTAGCAATTTCGAGGATTCTCAGGATATACATTGACCAAGAGCCGGCTCCGCTCGGGTTTGCAACGGGCCCTCCTTGTCCTAGCGAGGCTGAGACTGGTATCTAAGCCCGTCGCACTCTTCTTGGATTCCACCATCTCACTCTCTTTGCTTTGTTTATTCTCATCAGCGCGCCGCAAATGATGTCGGGCCATTTCCTCCCCGTGGATCGAGCATCCGCTCAGAAGCAACCAAGAGAATGGGATAACCATCAAAATAGCAATCTTATACCTATACAAGGTGTATACAGGTCTACTCACAGCCTGGAAGGACCAAGCATGCCGCTCGGAGGTGTTACAGACCCGAAACGGTACCACCACGACTACAGTCATAGTAGGCGATCGTTTATTTTGACAGGGGATATCTTACATTTCTGCCTATAGCGAGCCCTAAAAATGATCCATACCTCTCGGAATTGCCTACACTTGGTCTCCAGATTCCCGATCAGCGCGGCGCAAGACATAACTATTCGCACTCATCAGACTCAACCTCATATCGTGTACTACCTCAACTCATCTTCAGTCGCAACGACGATGTATCACCAGTTCCAGATTTCTCGGAGCCGTCTCTCAGCACTCCCAGTTCTGCACCCCATTCGTATTACTCGCCTTCCCTTTCAGACAGCAGCCCGTTATATGAGCCGACGACGATGCTTGATCTCAGTGTACGTGCAGTCACCAACCATGCGCCGAGTACCCGGCTGACCAACGTTTCAGTCCCCTGGTTTGATGCAATTTGATCAAGGTCCCTTCAATCCAGTAAGCGTACAATGTTCAAGGAGATTTCCGCTGACAGTGACAGAGCGCCTATGAGTCACTGCCTTCATTGTCAGCGACGCAAATTCCTCCGTATAATAGTGGCATGCGGCACCCAAGCGCTCTACGGACTCCACCAACTCGGTCCAGAGCAAGGAACACGCCGCGTCATCATCAGCACCAATACCTTGATAAAATTCTGCGACACAAGTTTCCAAAGACACATCTGACTGCGCTTGATGTAGCCATTCAATATCGCGACGAACATGAACCATCGCATCCGATACCGAACGAAATTTTAGATCAATTGCTCGAGGGGCCAATACAGGACAAATACTATTGCTTCTGCTGTCCAGGCGCGCGCAAGGCAAGAACGATAACTCCAGCGCGCGACCATGTGCGAAAGTCACTCGGAAATTTTCCTTTCAGGTGTACGAACCCGTGGTGGTGAGTCTGTTGCAGAAACTGGTATCCGCTTCTAATTCCTTCAGTCAACATTCGGCTCTTCGTCAGGCCGATCTCAACAAGCATATGAAGACATGCTCGAGCAACGTTGGACTCCTTGGCTAGGCGCACGGACTCTTGCCACTGCTGTCCCGTCCCCTAGGACGGAGCGCAGTGGCTCCTTACTAATATGAACATGATCACAATTGGGATTCGATATAGAGAAGTCGTTGTACGATACATTTTGGTACCTTTATTTATCGAAACCAGCTCGAATTCCGCCCAACCGCAGTCAAAGGTGAAATGAGTGCCCTAGACCCTTCTCTTCATTTACTTCCGTCTCCCTCGCTTTGCAACATTGACTTTGGCCACCTGGCCACCCTTGCGCCTCGTCTGAGACCCGACAGGCGTCGCAGGTGCTACGCTGGCACTCCGACCTCTCCTTGGCTTGAACTGTTCGTTGACAGAGGCTCTATCCGACGCAATGCTCGCGCTACGTTTCTGTGTTGCTCTAAGTCTCCGTGTAGGTAACTCAGGGAGCGGTGCAGTGCTTTCCACTTCTTCTTCCAATTCGTCTCCTTCGTCTCGATCTCCGTTCTGATCGTTGTTCGCACCCTCGGTGTTTTGATTAGAAGCGTTACCCATAGGAGCCGTCTGCTGCGTAGACTCCGGGATCGGTTCGGGTGGGTGAGTTTTGAAAGCTGCAGGTGATGCCTCGGGAAGCATATCAATGGAGGCAACGGTGGCGTGGCTACGTGTAACCCGTGTGGATGCCGGGACCGGTGCCCTGGGAGTGCGACTGGAGGCACGTTCTTGACCATCTTCACGCTCGCCTCCTCCTGTACCCACATTCTCTTCATCGTCCTGGGTACTTGGTTGAAACTCTTCATCCTCGGTCTCGGTTGACCGGTGAGACTCTGGTGTCACGCTCGAGTGATTGAGTCGTAGTGCAGCGCGTTTGGGTACTACCTGCAATGGCGGTTCCTCCTCCTCCTCATCTATGAGCTCGTCCACTTCTTCGGGCTCCCTTGCGCGTTCAGATTCGATTTCGCCTTGAGTGGTTGCCACAGGTGAGATGTCCTTGGTCGTCACCGATGAATGGAAGCTAACTCTTCCCTTGCCCTTCCGTCTTCGTATCGCTCGACGTTCTTCCTCCTTTTCCTTCGCAATCGCCGGCCAGCCTTCTACCAGTCGAGTGAGGTGCTCGAGTTCCTCTTCCGCGTCATACTCATGGAGGCCCCGCAGGTACAGGACGAGATCCTTCTCAAACTGCGTGACCTTCATAAGCACGAAAGGCTTGTCTTTGTCATATGCTGGAAGGCTAGTCTCCGATACAATGACTGGCTGATTTACCGCGAGCGGATCAAAAAGGTCCAAAATCTCCTCAGCAGCGGCGTCGTCGGATTCGACGTCGGCGGGTTGAGATTCGGTGGCGTGTACTGGGTGTTCATCGACTACACCTCGGCTTGCGCCAGAGAAATTTGAGATGGCTGTCGAGGTAGATGGGCGCGGGATTTGCTTTGCGTTTGGTGGAGGGGCTGGTCCTACGGATCGAGCGCTCTTTGACATTGTTGTAGTCGTCTCAATGGTAGTATTGAGGACCTTTGAGGCTGTTCCAGTATCGTTCGTAGCGATTGTGATACCACTCGCTGCGCTGACACGCGGCGCCCTCTCTGTGGGTTTCTCGACATTCTCCTTTTCGGCAATTGATGAACGGTTTGCTTCGCTGGCCGTCCCGGGAGAGGACTCTGTCACTGGAGCTTTCCTTTGATCTGGATTCTGGTGATAGGTGAGGAGTGATGCGGGTTGTTGATGCTTGAGAGGGGAAGATGCGAAACTAGGCACAGAAACCCCAGTAAGGATCCGCTTTGCCTTTATTGTAGAGGCATCCCCAGGTTCCGCTGGAGGAATTGGGCTCCCTTTATTAAACGATCCAGGCACCCTTGTTGACCATCTGGGTACTGATCAGCAAAATACGAATATCAAGGTGATAAACCTACTCGTGAATCTTTTGTTTTTTTGCGACATCTCCTTCAGCCTCATCCTCCTCAGGTCGCTTTCGCTTCGGTCTGCCAGCAAGAGTTCGGTCGCTGGTGTTTGTATCCTCAGGGATTCTCTGCAGTCGACTGGATCTGTCCATCCTCCATGTTGATTCATTCGCACCTCCGACAGAAGAGGCTCTGTCTGTCGCACTATCCGTCGTACCGAAACGATTCTGACGTTTGGCTCGAATATAGCCTCCCATCATATCGTATTCTTGAATACCTACTGCTCTCCAATCACCTGCCTTGATGCAGGCATCGATCCATCCAGCATGGATGAGTGGGGAATAGGCTTTCCCGGCTTGTTTAGTACGATGTAGGTCGTTGGCCAAGTCACGAAGGCGTTCCTCTTTTTGCATATCGCTGACCGTACAGTCGATTAGGAGGATGTCTGCGTTGCCTTGATCGTGGCACGTCCGTCCACCGTTTCGCTGAGGAGATGTTAGGAAAGAAAGAGTCAGATTATGATGCGCACCATTATGATATTGACAAGCTCATTTTGTCTCTCCCGAGGGATAGACTCGTGTAGAAAGAAGCCGACTTGCTGCTCGTGTTTAAGTCGAGCAAGAATTTCACCACGTTCACGATTGCGAATTCGAACAATATCTTTTGGAGCATCTGCCTTGAGTCGTTCTTCCAGCTCCTCAAACTCCTTTGGAAATTTGTCCAGTGGGTCAAATCGGTCAAAGGTACGACCGGTTGCCCATATCCACCCTCTCTCGAGTCGATCATCTATTCCTTGTCGAATCTCTCTCGTATATTGGGCAATATTTGCAGCCTCTGACCCTTTGATGATGGGGGGAAGCGTCAGTGGCCACCCCCAACGCCGAAGGTCGCGGTGGTTCCAATGACCACGCGTGACCGCATCTTGAACAAATGAGTAACTGAGAACATGTCGGAGAGGAGTAGCGACTGCAGCGTTGTTTCGTCGAAAACGCATAGGGATGTCGACAGGTTTGTGAAAGGTGGATTTGATCGCATAAAGAGGATGTGTTTGAGTCGGATCGATGAGGAGAAATCCGTATTCAGGGAACTCTCCAAACTTTGTGACACGCCCGCCATGGTTCTACGGGTTGTTGGCCTAGCGATGGACGATTAGGGAGGAGAGCTCACCTTCACTAATTCGACGATAGATTGTCGCAAAGATGACTCAAGATCATCTTGTATCCAAAAATCATACGGTTGGCCATCTGGACGCCGAAAAAGGTCGGTGGGCGCTGGTTTTGGTTTCCTCGCCGACATGAGTAAATATAATCGACGATACGCGTTCTTTGATATTAGACACGCGTCGAATTACAGGCGTGACGCGTCTGAGGAGGTAGTAGTGGTCACGGCAAGCTCTAAACGGGTTCAAACTCCGCAGACAACACGGCTCCACCTATGAGGTCTCGGATGAGGACAACTAGCCTGAAATATAGTATAATAAGTGTTGGATTAAAACTTTTGGATCTTGGCTGGGGCCAGTTCTCTCACCATTGTCATTCACGAGTCTTACCACAAAGTCAAATTGCTCTTTTATTCCTTCATATTATGTATAGTCTCTGTGCGTAACGGAGCTTTCAACTCCGCGGTCGCGCGCAGAATAGCCACCACCGACCAACTCACCTCGACCCGTCCGTGTCCAAGCCACGCCGCTCGTTGGCCTTGAACCTCTACCAGATAACCCTTTTCCCTTCGATATTTAGACTAATTTTGCTGGGAGTCCCAAATGTCGCGGCGAGACTCGCGTAATAGTCTTGGAGCGCGTCAAAGCAATGCCTTGGAGGAATTTGAGAATTGTACGTGCCTATAGTCCACTTCTTCAGCACATACCTTTTCACCTCCGCTGATTTCTTTCCCGGTTCAGTCAAGAAGAAGTACCTCCTGGTCAATAAACACATTGCAAAGTCCGTAGCCACCATCTTGTTTTTCCTGGCATTTTGGCATTAACAACGGAGTCTACATATGCTTACGATTCTAAAGACTCAACTCTTCACTCAATGTTCGTATTGAAGAGCTTCTCTCGAAGATAGCTGAGCTCAACATCGACAATCTGCGCCTTCGCGCATCCGAGTTGAGTCTATCACGCAAGCTGGAAAGTGAACAAGAGAAGAGTAGGAGACTATATATGGAAGCGGAGGCTGCAGTAAGTCATAATTTACCTGTGCCGACGTCGAGGGCAAATGGCTGACGATTCCTCGAACAGACACAGCTATTTTATAGTCAAATCACTTCCCTGCGGGATGAATTTGGCATTGGGAAATCTGCTGGGACCAATCCACTTCGTGAACAGGCTGCGGCTGCTCGAAACCGCCTTCCCAAGATACCTGCACCCCCAATCGCGAGGCTTGCTAGACCGCCAGAGTTCGAAACACTCGCTGAAGCTGCAGAGGAATCGACCTCTCCACGGTCCTCTCGGCGTACGGCATACTCTCCACCACCCGATCCTGTCACTCCAGTGAGCCGACACCGTAGCACAGGCTCTACACCCACCTCCGGTACGGCCGCAGAGACCACTAAGACTCCACCACCTGGTCAAGAGGAAAACCGAAGATCGTCCGTTCCACTCTCCATGGAAATCACCAACGGCAGCTCGCCCCTCACTGCATGCATCTCTTCGGTGGAAAACCTAGCCCTGTCACCAAGCCCTACCCAATCACCAAAGGATGACAAGGGGCCGCCTTCAGTGGCACCAGCTGCAACGCCAGCTGTAGAGAAGCTTCCGGAGAGCAAAGACGAGATTCCTCATATGACTTTTAAGCTCAACGGACTTAGACGAATCTCACGTCGACCAAGCGGCCTCCTGATGACGGAACAAGACAAGTTTGGCGTGCCTCCTGCGAAGAATACGGCCATGCCTGTCTCTGTCGAGATCCCCTCGTTGGAGTCCAAGGCAGGACAGGGGTCGTATCCTACTCCACTTTCTGCAAAGGACGTACCATCCACTCCACCGAGGTCTAGATCGATGCTCGCGCCTCCAGGGGTGTCACCAGCCACGTCGACCAAATCTATCCCGATGTCGCCCGTCCTCTCAGCCAACCCTGCTCTCTCTCCCCCGCCAACAAAGAAGATATCGCTCACACGTCGTCAATTAGACTTTGGTATCGTGGATTCAGAAGACCAGTCAGACGAGGATGATGACGCCGAGTCGGGTGAAAAGATGCCTGTAGCGGAAGGTTTGCTCGGGATCGAAAGCGATAGCGTTGTAGGAAAGCGAGCTATGAAACGCAAGGAACCGGAAGATGGAGATGACATATTCTCTGCTGCGCCGAAACCTGCTACTTCCCGAAAGCGCCAGGAGCGCCGCCGTGATACGGGACCAGTGCACACTGGCATGGTCTTGCAGGAGAAGAGCAGTATCGATACCATTCTGAAGGATCGAGAGAGCAAAGACAGCCTACGCGATGTTACAAACGAGCGAACTACACCACCTTTGGTCATCAGGCCTACGGACGAAAAGCCAAAGATCAGTGTTGGTATCGGAATTGGGAAGCCCGCGCCCTCTGTGAAATCTGCCGAGAATGGAATTCCTCCACTGTCTGTTGCTGGCCTCGCTGCCAAGCTGGAACGACTCTCTACGCGACCGAAACCTCCAGCTCCGCCTGCTCCTCTACCACTTCCCTCTTCTGACAAGGACGTGAAGATTCCTCTTGCTGACGAAGATGTTCCTGTCGACGCCAAACCCGAGTCAGTCGGTGCTGAGCTCGGGAGGCGTGAATCTGGTAGACAAAGGAAAAGCGTCAATTACAAGGAACCCAGTCTACTCAGGTACATCAGCGTGATCGCTTTCCTTTGTTATTACTAACGAGTTCGTAGTAAAATGCGGAAGCCTGATCCTGGTCCACAATCATCATCTTCTGCACCCTCTTCCTCTGGATCCTTCACTACGACGAGTCTCCAGGCTGCCCAGAAACCTCCTCGGCGCAAAAAGGGAAGCATATCTCTTATTGGTGACGTTGTGAATGATTCTACGGCCTCATTGGTCTCCAATGAAGGCGAAACTCGCATAGCGAGCGGGACAGTAACAGGTGAAATGCCACAACCTATCGACATCGACCGCAAGCGACGGCGGACAGCACCATTTCGGAGATTTGGAGACTTAAGTGACGATGACGATGATGACAGCGAGGAGGACCAACCAGGCAATACCAAGCAATCGACGCCTGCACCGAATCAGTCGCGATACACTTTTTCGGGCCTTCAAGGCCTTCGAGGTCCCAGCATCTTGTCACGGGGCGCCAACCCCATTGTCGGGAGTGCCCCACCGAGCGCATCGTCTGCTTCGGAGACCATCTCAGTGGCTGTCGCACGGACTACAGCGGCACTTCGCATGGCTCCTGGCGCAGCGAGAGAGCGACTTAGAGAGGAGATTACTTCAGGTATCACTTCGGGTGCGCGGAGAGAACGTGAAAAGGAACGTCTAAGAGAGGAGGAACGGGAAAGAGAACGAGAGCGGGCACGAGAGACGCCGAACGATGTCGCAGTCTGAAATCGACCCCGGGGCATCCTACTAGAAGACTTTGGGTATGCACTGTCCGCCTATTCAGCTCCGACAGAACGCTGTCCGATGTCGACGACCATTTATTCTGCTTGCTATACACCAACATAACGACCACCTGGCTTCCAGTGACGACGATACACTTTCGTAGACGAAGGGATGTATATATCCTAGTTTCATTCAGAGGTTTCTAGTTCGTTCAGATTAGCCCTGTAATGAGAGTACCTCTCATAGCGAACTCAGGGGCAGACTTTGAGTATTACGAAGGCTGGATACTTTGGAGCTATACAGAGACATAGTATACATAGTTGTTTGACGCGTACACACACCCAATAAGGAACCAATAGTTAGGCGCTTACTTTGCATTTGGTACCAGTGACTTGTCAGAGTATGTGAGTGGCATATGGTCTTCGACTATCGTGCGCTCATCGTCATCCACGACTGGACCGTCACTCGACTTTCTCTCATGCTCTGTGGATACAGCCTTGTATTCCTTTTTCCATTTCTTGGATTGTTTCTTGTACTTCTTCTTCTCCTTTTTCTGGACGTGTCTATTCCACAACCAGAAGCTGATTCCTCCAATGGCTGCTGCTCCGAAAAGCGAACCAAGGATGATGCCCACCAGTGCTCCAGTGCTCAGTGTGCGTTTGGGCTCGGCATCAAGGATGGGGAGTGCAGAGTAGATTGTGAGGTTGAGACAGTGCATGAAAGGCGAGTGATCTACATCATATGGAAGGGGTGTTGAGGATGCCCAGTCGGATGGGGACGTCGTCTCGTTCAAAGGTGGGAATGCATACGTGTTATTGTAGCCTTGATGTACAAGCGCAAATGAACTTGCGCGGTACCATTGGATCACATTCTCAAATCGGAAAGGCAGCATTGTGCCATTATTATTGAGTGTTGAGTTTGCAGAAGTATGAGAGCCAAGAGTCGTGTTGGTATTATTATTGACGGAGATGCCGTTTGGAGATAGTGAAATGTTGTATTGGAGTGGGCCCCCGTCTGCACGCACGGTAATGAATGGGAGAATGGTGCTGTTTTCCGCGCCACATCCGTAGGGCTTTGATGCGCGATCAACGAGCAGGCTGAGAATTGTGCTGACCGACTCGTAGTCGCCAATCATCCAGTATGAGTCCGTACGCGTAGTTGTGGCGTAGTACGAACCGTTTTTTGGCGCGAGGTGGACATAGGACAGATTACCCCCTGGTCGCTCCGTGATAACCGAGAGATTGTACTGTATATTCTGTCCTTCTCCTCCAGCGTATTCGCCACCATATCCATGGTAGCCCCAGTAGATTGGATAGAACCCGAATGGGAATGGCTGGCCGTAGACACCTCGCCGTGTGGTATTGTACTCTTCTGTGCTGACAGAGTATGGATAACCGCTTGCATATCTCGGTGTGCCGACGATTTGCTTCCGCGTTCCACCACCCATCTTGCGTCCAGCAAAGGCGGATGACGAAGGGAGAGTGAATGGCTTGCCGCCACCCTTCGAGAAGTAATTTGCAAATCTTCTATTTCTCCCATTTGCCGGGAAATTCACAGCAGGGTGGCCTGTGTCCCCACTCAGTCCTCGTCCTGTATTTGCGCCTGAAGAAACGATGAGCCAGACAAGCCGCTAGATCGACACTATCACTACCAATTGATCCGCGACTTCTACCGCCACCACTGCTTGACGATCCTCTACCACCTCCAGATCCGCCGCCGCCTCGACCACCCCCGCCTTTTGAGAGCACGGAGGGCATTCGAATGGCTAGTGAAAGGGCATTTACACTTGCAAGAGACACAAGAATGGCGAAGAGCGTGTACTCTCTGAGCAGCATTGCGTGTAGGAGCTTCCAGGTTGGTATGATTCGGGTAAATCCCTTGTAGCCCAGGTTTTATAGGTCGCTTGAGAGACCGGCGCTATTTCGACGTGGCTGTTGCCCATCGCCGAAAGGCGCTCTCAACGCCGACGCGAATTCCAACCAAAAATATCCTCAGTGGCTCGAATGCCTGTAGAAAAAATTGGGATGGAGTATAACTGGTTCTCGGTCCAGCTTGATTAAAATCATGTTTTTTAGCACCAGCTACGCAGAACTAGAACTACGAGCAAGGAGCGCCCGAGATCGACGCCGCCCTGGCTTGGCGTGATGGATGGTCAACTGGACTGATTCCGCACATCGCCTCAGAATCATCCTTGATCATAAGGTTGTACAAGCTTGGAGGACAGGTACTGTCCACAGTGTTCAGTGTGCCTACAAAGAAACAACCAAACTATTGAATAATCAACATTTTGAATCTCTAACTAGTGGCTTGCTAGAGTATATAGATTGCGCTCAAGATTAAATCCGCGCTGTGAGGTCCACTAGTACGCCCGGTACATGCTCAGTCTGGCGTCGAGGATTGTCCGTACAGATGCGATCGTCACACTGTCCGAAGGGTCATGGCCGACTGTCGACACCACGACGTCTGGTATCATATTCCTTTTCACGCACTCTTCGTCCATTCGTGCGCTTCCCATGCTTGCACCATAAATCGGCGGGTCAAACACAACATGGATTGCGCGTGCTGACAAGTGTCATGCAAAGTGGAATGCCTTTTGGTATAGACATTTAATATACATAGATGTTCGATGCGTCTACACAGAGCCCAGAATAAGGAGCAAATAATCAAAAGCTTGCAAGACTACCTCTTTTCACTTGCATCTTGAACCAGTGGCTTGTTAGAATACGTGGTTGGCATCTCGTCTTCGACGATTGTTCGCTCGCTCTCGTGCACAACTGGACCATCGCTCAACTTATTTTCATCTCCCGTTTCCACAGCCTTGTACTCTTTCTCCTTCTTCTCCTTCTGACGATCTTTCCACCACACAAGGGCGGTTGCTCCGAGGATTACCGCGCTCAAGAGGGAGCCAAGGACGATGCCCACCACCGCGCCGGTGGTTAGTTTGTGATCGTATTCGTATTTGGCATCGAGGATTGGGAGCGCAGAGGTGATTGTCAGGTTCACGCAGTGCAAGAACCACGACTGCGTGAGTGCGCTTGGGAGAGGCGTTGAGGATGCCCAGTCGGAGGGAGATGTCGTCTCGTTCAAAGGTGGGAATGCATACGTGTTGTTGTAGCCTTGATATGCAAGCGCAAACGAGCTTGCGCGGTACCATTGGATAACATTTTCAAATCGGAAGGGAAGCGTTGTGCCATTATTAATGAGTGTCGAGTTTGTAGAGGTGAGAGAACCAAGGGTCGTATTGGTGTTGTTAGTGATGGAGATGCCGTTTGAAGAGACAGAGATATTGTATTGGAGTGGTCCACCGTCTTCACGGACAGTAACAAAAGGGTGAATAGTGCTGTTCTCTGCACCGCATCCGTAGAGATTCGTCGAGGGATCGACGAGCAGACTGAGAATTGTGCTGACCGACTCATAGTCTCCAATCATCCAGTATGAGTCGTTTAATGACGTTGTGGCGTAGGTTGATCCGTTCTTTGGTGCGAGTTGGACGTAGGACAAGTTGCCACCCGGTCGTTCCGCGGTCACCGAGGCATTGTAGTGTACATGATATCCCTCTCCTCCAGCGTATTCACCACCGTATCCGTGATAGCCCCAATAGATCGGGTAGAATCCAAATGGGAACGGCTGACCGTAGACACCGCGACGAGTGGTATCGTACTCTGCTGTGTTGGCAGAGTATGGGTATCCACTGGCATATCTCGGGGTTCCTACGATATCCTTTCGTGTTCCGCCTCCCATCTTGCGTCCAGCAAAGGCGGAAGACGACGGGAGGGTAAAAGACTTGCCACCGCCGTACGAGAAGTAGTTTGCAAATCTTCCATTACCTCCGCTCGCAGCAAATGAAACGGCAGGGTGACCTGTATCCCCGCTGGACCCTCGTCCCGTGTGAGCATTCGGGCCCGGGGATGGATGCGAGCCAGAGGAGCCACTGCTACCAGTGGATCCATGACTTCCACCACCGCTGGATCCTGATCCTGAACTGTGACTTCCTCCGCTGCCACTGCCATGGCCTCCCGACGAACCATGTCCTCCCGACGAGCCGTGTCCACCCCCACCCCCATGTCCACCTCCGCCGCCTTTTGAGAGAACAGAAGGTATTCGAATAGCTATTGAGAGTGCATTAGCACCTGTGAGAGACACGAGAATGGCCAGGAGCGTGTAGTGTCTGAGCAACATTGGTGTGGTCGGCTTCGAGTGTGGTCGAGGTTGCTCCGGTCTTATAGGTCCCTTGTAACAACCTTGTTGTGACGGTCGCTCAGCTGTTTGGTCCGTCGCCAGCAGGCGCTCCTTGTCCCCGATGCGAATTCCGACCAGCGAAACCCAGAAATCCGGGCCCTTGGTGCCTCACGCCACCATAAAACAGGCATAAAACGGGATCGGTTCTACGCTCAATGCCGTTGTTTTCACGTTCTCCAAGGCGTTAGTTCTACGACTCAACAAGTGCGAGTAGCGGAGAATTCGATTTATGGCGATGATTCGAGTTGGCGGATGGTCGACTGGCCCGGATTCGCAGTTTAATCAAGGTTATCCCAGAGTGACTCCTAGATCTGTGTTGTCCGCTCTCTCTCAGTCAGAGCTGTCCGTCTCCTCGTCCAGCTCTTGCAAGTCATCCCCGTCGCGCTCTCTACGTCTGCTCATTGTTGTCAGAACTGCTGCCTCAATTGTTGGATTCGTCCCTCTGGCGTGATTTTCCTCATACCTGGTACCACTTTTAAAGGTCAATCCTGGGCATCAAGTAGAGCTAAATTACTAAATCACATGAAGATACAGGGAATATACATTATTTGATGTGCAGAACAAGCCCAAATGAGGTATTACGAAAGTCTGCAGCACTATTTCTTTTCTTTCGCGTCGACCACGGCCTTGTATGCTTTCCTCTTCCCATTAGCGTACAATTTCCACCCGCAAAAGGCCACTAATCCAACGATCATTCCCCAAAGACGGAACCAATGACGATGCCCACCACCTCGGCGGTACTCAGTTTGGGTTTTGGGCCATCGATAATGGGGAGCGCAGCAGAGATTGTCCTATTGACGCGGCTTAGGAAACCTGGTTGCTTCAGTCTGTCTGGAAGGGGTGTCGAGAATGCCCAGTCGGATGGAGACGTCGTCTCGTTCAAAGGTGGGAATGCATACGTGTTGTTGTAGCCTTGATATGCAAGTGCAAAAGAACTTGCGCGGTACCATTGGATAACATTCTCGAATCGGAAGGGGGGTGCCGTGTCATTGCTAGTAAGAGTTGAATTCCCAAGCGTCGTATTGGAAGTGTTGTACTGGAGGGGTCCACCGTCTGCACGCACGGTAATGAATGGAAGGATGGTGCTATTCTCTACCTCACATCCGTAGGTTGTCCAAGTCGAATCAACGAGCAGGCTGAGCATCGTGCTCACCGACTCGTAGTCACCAATCATCCAGTATATGTCATCACTTGCGGTTTTGGCGTAGTGCGAACCCCTTTTTGGTGTGACCTTTACATAGGAGAGGTTACCGCCTGGCCGTTCCGCAATGACTGAGAGGTTGTGTTGTACATTTTGTCCTTCTCCTCCAGCGTATTCGCCACCATATCCGTGGTAGCCCCAGTAAATTGGATAGAACCCAAATGGGAATGGCTGACTGTAGACACCACGCCGTGTGGTGTCGTACTCTGGTCTGCTGACAGAGTATGGATACCCACTTGCATATCTAGGCGTTCCAGCGATCTGGTCTCGCGTTCCTCCACCCATACTGCGGCCGGCAAAGGCAGAGGACGAAGGCAGCATGAATGGCTTGCCACCACCGTATGAGAAGTAATTTGCGAGTCTTCCATTTCCGCCGATTGCAGGAAAAGACACAGCAGGATGGCCTGTATCTCCACTTGACCCTCGTCCCGTACCTGCGCCTGAAAAACCGATGAGCCGGATAAACCGCTAGGTCGAAGCTATCACTACCAACTGAGCCGGGACTTCCACTACTACCACTGTTTGGCGATCCGTGGACACCTCCAATTCCGCCGCCCCGCCCACCCCCACCTTTTGAGAGTAAAGAGGGCATTCGAATGGCTATCGAAAATGCATTTACAGCGTTTAGAGACACAAGAACGGCGACAAGTGTGTATTCTCTGAAAAGCATTGTGGGAGGGTGTCGGCTCCAAGTGTGGGCTCGGGCCTAGATTGTGCTGTCCGAGGTCTTACAGCCTTCCTGTGAAGGTAACTCAAGGGACTTCATCAGCGATGTATTGAACCATGTGGTCGGCGGATGGTCGATAGGCCCGTTGTTCCGGGATTACTCCTTAATCTACATCCCTTGCCCAAGTCTCGTGAGTTAATCTCCATGTCTTCTTTGTTACTCTACGTTTGTTCATCTTTGGCAGAAATACTGCCTCTATTGATTTGTTCCCTTGTTCTCTAACCAAATTTTCTGTATACCCGCTCAAAGGTGGCACCCAAGTTCAGAGGTCAATCCTGGGTATCAAATGTCAAAGATTTCCCTTTACTCTCGGCGCTCACAAGATAGACTTGGCTAATGAACTTGATTCCCTTTGTAACTAGGTGTATTTAAGGATGCATGGCGCAATGGCTGGATCTTACCGGTCTTGCCTCTCGCCTCCTGCATCCTGGTATCAATATCAAATAGAGCTAAATGAAATTAAATAATACATTCAAGTAGAGGTAATATACACTGTTTGATGCGCAGACAAAGCTCAAATGAGGAATTATGAAAAGCTGGAGCACTATTTCTTTTCTTTTGCATCATCAACTAGTGGCTTGCCAGAGTACGCAGGTAGTGTATCATCGTCGACTGCAGTTCGTTCACTCTCGTGTACGACTGGGCCCTCACTCAGCTTCCTTTCATGCCCTACGGGCACCGCTTTGTACTCTTTCTTCTCCTTCTTCTTGGCGTACTTTTTCCACACGAAAAAGGCCACTACTCCAAGGATCGCCGCCCCAAAGATGGAACCAAGGACGATGCCTACCACCGCGCCAGTGCTCAGTTTCTTTTTGGGTTCGCCATCAATGATGGGAAGCGCAGCAGAGATTGTCGTGTTGACGCAGCGTAGGAAGCCTGATTGCGTCAGTGTGTCTGGAAGGGGTGTCGAGGATGCCCAGTCGGATGGAGACGTCGTCTCGTTCAAAGGTGGGAATGCATACGTGTTATTGTAGCCTTGATATGCAAGCGCAAAAGAGCTTGCACGGTACCATTGGATAACATTCTCGAATCGGAAGGGGGGTGCCGTGCCATTATTGGTAAGAGTCGAATTCCCAAGCGTCGTGTTGGAAGTGTTGTATTGGAGGGGTCCACCGTCTGCACGCACGGTAATGAACGGAAGGATGGTGCTATTCACTGCACCACACCCGTAGGTTTTCAAAGTCGAATCAACGAGCAGGCTGAGCATCGTGCTCACCGACTCGTAGTCGCCAATCATCCAGTATGAGTCGTTACGCGTGGTTGTGGCGTGGGTTGAGCCTTGTTTTGGTGTGAGGTTTACATAGGAGAGGTTACCGCCTGGCCGTTCCGCGATGACAGAGAGGTTATATTGTGCATTATGCCCTTCTCCTCCAGCATATTCACCGCCATATCCGTGATATCCCCAGTAGACCGGGTAGAACCCGAATGGGAACGGTTGACCGAAGACACCACGCCGTGTGGTGTCGTACTCTGGTCTGCTGACAGAGTATGGATACCCACTTGCATATCTAGGCGTTCCAACGACCTGGTTTCGCGTTCCTCCACCTATACTGCGGCCGGCAAAGGCAGAAGACGAAGGCAGCGTGAATGGCTTGCCGCCACCGTATGAGAAGTAGTTTGCGGATCTTCCATTTACGCCGTTTGCGGAAAACGACACAGCAGGACGGCCTGTATCCCCACTTGAGCCTCGTCCTGTATTTGCGCCTGGAAGAAACGATGAGCCAGACAAATCGCTAGATCGACGCTATCGCTACCAGTTGGGCCGCGGCTTCCACCACTACTGCTTGATGATCCTCTACCACCTCCAGATCCACCTCCGCCTCGACCACCCCCGCCTTTTGAGAGCACGGAGGGCATTCGAATGGCTAGCGAGAGTGCATTTACGGCGTTAAGAGACACAAGGATTGCTAGGAGCGTGTATTCTCTGAGAAGCATTTCTGTAGGAGAGCGTCGGCTCCAAGTGTGGGTTTGAGCACAGACCGGTGGTGTCCAGATCTTATAGTCCTATGGCGACCGTCACTCCAGGCTGCCGTTGACCGCAGATAAGCGCTCTAATCGCCGGTGCGAATCCCGACCAGCGAACAGAACCTCGAATCTTGGTCAGTCAACCATCGCCATAAAAACAGGGATAAATCGTGATCAATCCCAGATTATATCTTGAACATTTTTACATTTCCCCTAGGCGGGCTACACGATCCAAAAAGTGCGAGCAGCGCTCAAGGAACTTGATCGGAGATGCTTTGGCTTGGCAAAACTATGAACCACAATGTGGTCGGCGGAAGGTCAACAGACCCGGATTTGCACGTCGAGGAAGGTCGTTCCGGGTTTACTCCTCGATCTCCGCCACCGTCGATCCCTTGCCCAAGTGTCACGAGTCAACCCCCCATATCGTCTTTGTCACTCTCTACGTTTTCAAGCTTTTCTTCATCAGAGCTGCCGCCTTCATTGTCGACCTCGTCCGCGTCTGCATCCTCCTCCTCCTCCTCTTGCTTGACTTTCCTACGGGGTTTTCGCAACCGTCGCACGCGTTCTTTGTCTGCTTGCACACGCTTTTCCCACTCATCCAGAGGGGGATCGGGACGATTCATGCGAGATACAACGTGTTCATGGACCAGCATGCCTATGCAGAAATCAGAAAACGAAAGATACCATCCGAAGCGCTCACCAATAAAGAGTAGAGCTGATCCATCAAAGGCGCGGTACATGTCTCTAATCTGGGATTGGCTGGGTTTTTCCTGCTGCATTCCTATATCCTCCGCAGATTCTTTACTGCCGACCGAATCCGCTCGCTCGTCGGCCATCGTAGACTGGTCTCGCCTCTCTCTCTGTTCCTTTGCGTGCAGGCTCTGACTGGCGGTCAACATTCCTCTCTCGTCGTAATATGCGCCCGCGTAATGATGAATCGTCTTCAACAGATCCTTCATCTGGTCATTTTCAACTCGCGACTTGGGGTACTTGCTACTCACCGATGACGGCATTTCATCCTCACTAGAGTTATCAGGTGTCCCTGAGCGATGTCGTTTGGGAGGGTGAAGGTATGGGAGAACACCTGGGAAGTATTCGTCTCTCTTGCGCTTCTTTGATTCTTGTTTTCCATCTCCATCAGATCTTAAACCAGCTGATGGAGACGCAGCACGAATTGACTCCGTCAAACTAGAAGCAGCCACGTCCCCGTCTATTTCGTCACGAGAATGTGAATGCTCGACAGATTTCAGGTGGTGTCTACGTTTGTATGGACGAGGATTGATGACATTGCCCATAATGTCTCTCCTTGATGCGGCGCTCTTGCCTTGACGGCCAGGCGGTTGAACACGCTTGCCGTCGATGTCGACTTGAAGAGCAGTAAGCTCGTGAAGGGAGATTCGAGTTCGCTTCATTCACGAACGGCTGATTGTAGCTTCGACGTTCTATATTCTGCAGAAACCTAAGTAGATGGTGCGGAATTGGATTTAAAACCAACTGAACTGTTGATGGACAGGAGAAGAGCCGAAGTACTGGACTTGGTCGGGTCGAAGGAGTTGCTTTGTTGACTCTTTTGAACCCTGCCGAGGAAACGCGTTCCATCACTGGCTATATTCCACTTCGCGACGTCGTGTACTAGAAGCCTATATTTATCTTCTTTTTTCATTCTTAACACCAACGAGGGTCCCAATGGCCAGCGTCAAGCTTGCAACGCTTGCGATTCGTGTATGCCGACGGAAATCCATCAGACTCGTCAGAAAACTGACAACATCTTGACTTTATAGACAATTGCAAAACCTATCTCCGAGCAGCTCAAGACCTACGCAAGATCGTAAGTCGAAATGCTCAGAGAATCAAACAGTCGCGGCGTTTGTCCACTTATAATATTGGAACAGGAACCAAAGATTTCGAACGTTTTGTATTAGCCTCGCTCAGGCTCTATGGCGAACTGAAATTCGATTTCGAGAGACGATGCTCGGTCAGACCCATAGCGAAGTCAAACCTCTAAACGACGCAAAGTACGCCACTGTTCCTTCTCGGTTATTCGTAACTGATTCACGACTCATTGTCCAGAGCAATACAGAACGGTTCCAACTTCCTGGCAGAAGGCTTCCTGTTCTCGGTAGCAGCAGGTTTGATCATAGCAGAGACGTGGAGGTCATCGAGAAATCAGTCAAAACGAAGAGATGGTGTCGATGATCGCTTAGAGGCACTCGAATCAAAGATGGGTGAGCTCACCGTCGCAGTCAATGCGCTCAATGAGCACCTGGAGAGCTTGGGAACGGACATTCGTGTAGAAACGACGAGGTGAGGCGGAAATATTGAAGTTTGTGATACACCCTGACTGAATCTGTGTAGAAACGACGAACTCTCGAGGGTTCTGCTGCGCGTTGTAGAGATTGGGCTACGAGGGGGGTGGGCAGAGTTTGAGCAAAATCCTATTCAGCTTCCACAACCTGATGTGGACAAATTCAAACCTGCCTCTGTGCAAACAGCAACTGGTCCGACCAAGCTATCCGCGTTGATCGATTACTATAACAAGTCTCGAGCAGCGCTGGACGCAGAATCGACTTCATCGGATCCAAAGGCTGGGACAGGAACCACCGAAGATGAATCGGGGCGCGGCAGCCGATGAGATTGGTCCAAATTTGTGTGAGTGCAATCCTGTCCCCATTATATTCTGGCGAAGGCCTGATACAGCCCACCAGAGAGCACATATTTATCGCATTGCTATTCGCACTCTTATTGATTCTCATCGCCTGTCTAACAAATTACCGGCTCTCACGTTGCGGCTCAGGGCCACAATGGCAAGAAGCTGGGTAAACTTTCGGCGCTCAGCCAGGGCTTTGAGACAATGGTCAACGAAAAGCCCTCAGTATGGGCTTAGTTTTCATCTCGAAGCACGTTGGATTGAAGATACAAGATACATACGAAGTAACGAAATGAGCGTGAGGGTCGAAGTCAAAGGGGACATTCGAAATAAACAAGGATGAAAGAGCGAAGCGAATTTGGAGAAAGGATCGCCAATCCGGTTTAGCGAGCGAGAACAATAAAGTGTCTTTCGAGAGAAGATTCTTTGTACCGGAGAAATGATAGCAAACGGAGAAAAGAGACGAGAGGAATAATAGAAAAGTACGAATGGCACTGGAACAGGTGATTTAGCGTCAAGCGGCGAGGCAACAGATACCACATACCGGGAATCAAGATCTATAACCAACCGTCGGGAATAAACGAGGGAATAGGGACGTTATAGAACTGCTGGTCGTACTGCGGGACAAGTGGGTGCCATAGATGTGGGATAGCTGTCGGTTCAACATCCAAGAGGCCGAGTCCTACAGGTTCGTAATAGGCGTCGACAGGAGACGGGGTCGTAGCTGAGGCCATGAGAGATTGGTCTTGAGATAAGGAATAGCGTGAGGTGATGGATTTGGTTCGAGAAGGACGTGAGGGAATCTAGAGTGTTGATGGGTCGAGGTAACGAGCGCATGCGAGAATCGCGAAAGCCAGTGGATCAGCATCAGCCCTGAAAATACAAGACGGAAAAAGGGGAGAGGGGAAGGGAAGGAAGGGAAAGGAGTGAGCGAAAGTACGAAGGAAACGCGAGTACTATACTGAACGGCATCGTCAACTACTCGCTCTCATCCACCGTTGACACTAGGCGAAACCCCTAGTGACTGCGCATGCGTCTGTCCGTGGTAAACAGGAAACAGGACATCAGGCATGCGCTGCGGCGGGATAGTTGAAAGCGAGTAGGTGACCATGACCCCGAAATGAGCCATGGCGTACCGTTGGGTATGGCGTGGCTCCATGTTCTCCACGAGGATTTTGACGAGTTGAGCGGTATGGACGAGCGATTTCGGTGCTGCTGCGCGGGTAATAGGAGCTAGACGAAGCCTCTAGGGATGAACTTCCTAGGTCTCCTGAAGCCCCCCGCCGGTGATGGGCAATCCCAACAGCTTTGCAAGACTTGACATGACGCGAAAGGTTATCCTTGCGATGAAGCTGAGTTTGGCTAAAACGGGGAATCCAGACGGTGAGCCTTCTCTCCAAGCGAAGCACGGCAACTTACCAGTATGGGCAGGCTTCGTCGTAATTTTTCTGATGTGTCGTGTTTTCGTGTCTTTCCAAGTCACCTTTGCGCCCAAAAGCACTTTCGCTAAACCCCAAGGGCTCAGTTGCGAACAGTACAGTCATAAGATCACATACCATCCTTCATACTGGCACCGGAAGCCCTTGTTGTTGAGGTGTGCCGTTCTCACATGTGTCAAAGTGTGGTCTCGACGCTTGTGGTCCTTGTTGCTGAGAAATCCGTCAGCCAGAGCGGGTGGGGAGTGAGGCGGAAGATAGCTTACCAGATGCGACATCGCCATAGGTCTTTATCAACTTTTTGAACAGTTGGCAAAAGAATGTCCGCTGGGACGTTTTCACCTTGGGCATACTCCTGCGAGGCGTAGGCTGCTTGCATCGCATTGCGAACATCAACTGGGAGGCTTTCGTCAATGTCCATACGGGGTTGCCTCGGCGAGCTATACGAGCGCGGAAATTGAGCGAGTGAGGCGGAGGGCGTGCTGAATGGCACAGGAGTATAGGGCCCGACTGTGGACGCTGGAGAGTAGTGAGGGGACGCTTGCGCGCCTTGGGAGGATCCTTGACTGTAGGAGAATGGCAGGTTTTGATGAGATGGAAAGCTCGTGTGAGAAACATTGGATGGAGAGTAGTCCGACTCCAGATGGATAGGCTCGGCTACCCAATGGGTCATTTGGTGCTGTTGATTCATTGCGTAGGACGTAAGATGAGATATGCGAGGAGAGCTTGACTGATAGAAGGAACCGGCAGGCCATCCATGAGCATACCCTGCGAGTTAGGTGAGCGAGGCTTGACAAAAATTGTCTCTACTTCAATCATACCTTGCGGACGGTTGGCATCCCGGATATCGTCTTTGTGATTCATGATGAGGAGGGGATAAGGCAAGAAAAGTGGCGAATTGGTGAAAGGGTATGTGGGCGTCGGGGAATAAGGTGAGGCAAAGGACTGTCTGTTGAACAGGACCTTGAGAATATGGGAGCTAACAAACAAGAAGTAATGTAGTTTCTCGAGGCGACTGATTCTGGGAGAGAACACCGCGTCTTATATCCATCTCCACAGCTCACGCCTCCCTATGCTGAAACAGAAGTCGATCCCTCGGCGCTGGGCCACGACGCGCGCCTCGAGGTACAAACCAAAGTATTCAAAGTGGGCAACGACTCTGATTTGTGACATGCAGTACGGCGTAATCAACGTCGGAGGAAGCGGAATTTAATTGGCGCGTGTAGTCTTTGGAGGGTATACCATCCCGACACCTTCCACGGCATGCCGCATTGCAGTGATCAGGCTATTCCGATTGACCTCCAGCGCCCGTGCTCGCTATATACGAGGATTCGCCTTGTACGGCTCTCTTGGTGGCAAGTAGTAAAGGTCGTCAAATCAATTATATCCGATAGTAGATCAAAAAATTAAGAATATTTTCGAAATTTCGACAGAGTTTTGCGTGGATTGCGACCAAGGCGCTGAGTTTGAGCCCATGGCCTCGAGGTTCACCGCCTCCTCTCGCATCCGTATCGGTCAAGCCTCACCTTCCTGGAGACCTATGAAGTCTTCAAGGATGCGTAATTGACGCCGACCAAACGAATCCGGGACGAAATAGTTCCAACGTTCGTAATGGTAGGGTGTAGAGTATTTGCGATACCCTTGTTCGCCCATGAGGACATTTCAACCCACCAACTGATGATGTCTTCGCGTGCAAACTAGCACCTCCGCAAGAAAGCATCACCGTTGAGCAACCTCTACTCCGGCAAGTAGTCTTGACCAGCCCGGTTTGCTGATGTGTAGGCTTCCTTCATGTTAGGGTGTTGGAAGAATGACTCTTCTCATTGAGAAAGCCAAAGCCGAATGACGCATGTGAGGTACGGATATCCCCTCGTCCTCCCGTCAAGCAACCAATACAGGTGCTGCATGGTCAATGATGAGTGTCACTATTGCCCCCGACTGGCGCTTGATGTCTGGGTTTCCTGACATTATCGATAACCCGTTCAATTGGACGGGTGAGCCGACGATGACCACCTCTCAAGCGTATGCTGAAGAACCTTGAACTCTATCGAGACCACGATATTCTGTGCTCACCATCATAATAGCTGGTGTAAAAACAGCATCCAATGATAGCTGACGGTATTTGACCTGGCCTTCCTGGTTTTGGGTCGCCCTTGTGACGCACTGTGTTCTCAAGAAAGGATCGACCTCTTCCCTGCTATGTATGGGAACGAATTTGGCGCCGTATAATCTGCCTGCCCCTTGATACTCGTATTCGCTCTCGGCGGAGCGCATCGATTCTGCAGCAGAGAACAGGTAGGTTCATTCATATCTTTGCTGTACCCTCATCCAGGCGAGGGCCTATTGCCGATGGACAATTCAACAAGTGGTCTGCGTCAAGGTGATTCCCGACTCTCTTCCCAACCTCGACGACCGTCCCCGCAGGAATACTACAGATCATCACAGGCAGCAGTTCACTGGATTGGAATCCGATTTTATATAGCTCGGTTTGGTTCTGAGAACGGTCCAAACCGAGAAACATGCCAAGAATACATCGAAATATAGGTACAAAGGAGGTTCTGATGCCAAGAAAGAACTAACTCTAATTACTAACATCAACGCGCGTCTTTCTTTCAGCAAGCACCCTGGGAATTCTCGTCGACACCTCGCGCATCTCCTCTACAGCTTCAACTAATCCCGCAAACTCAATACGTCTTGAATATCGTATGAATGATGTGTTTGGGGTCCCTCCTTCCCGTCTCGTATCATTGATGCTTAAGACTCGGCTTACTCGATAGACTTTCTCAAGATAACTTGCTACCGCACCTTCAGAGGAGATGACTATACACTCCCAAATGAATCCTTTCAAGTCCAACTTCTTCGCTGGCCATCAGACTGACGACAGCTACTCGCTGACATGTCATACTTTTGAGACCGTCAAGTTCTTTTCGGACCTTATTGATCACAGGACCTTCGCAACTCCGAGGCTAATGTCTAGCTCATTTAGATGCGGTCCCCAAACCCTGAAATTGCCCACTTGTGCTCCGTCAACTGTTCTGAGTTACTTCATTGTTTCTCAGACATCTGCGCAGTCGCAATTTCCTGACTGGCTGACAAACGGGCAGCCTGCACTTCGAAGGCTCACATTCACTTAGCCTGTGAGTAGGTGAGGCTAGTTTACATAGGGTTATCCCCTGGCTCAAGCCTTTCATTAATATCATCAATAGGGCCCTCCGACAACGGAGGCTTATCGCCATCGTCATTTCTTCCTCGCGTTATGCACCGATCAAATTGCTACACATGTCCAATATAATATGACCAACTTGCCATTCAGGGCTAATGCCGTGCGACGGCGTAGTCTGGCCTGAGCAATATTGCTCGGCTATTTACCGCCTTATATCCAGCTCCTAGCTTGCGAGAATCAACTTGCTACCTTGTCGCCTTTTACTACCTCCTATATTGACGCAGAGTTGTTTCGCTGCTCGTTTGTAGGCCATGTCTCTGGTTGCCTCGCTCAGCCATCGATTCTCGGTTTCGACTCGACGAAAGAGTCTACGCGCACCGCCTGCATCCCTTGCCTCTTCTTCAAACACCGCCCGTACGACTGACAGTACGCAAGTGAAGGTTGGTCGACCGACGACTGAGCCACCTGTGCTGGTGCAACCCTCGAGGAGAGTGGCCCGCCAGTCCTATTGGGATCTGTCGTCACCAGTTCCAGAGGAACTCTCTGTGTATGGCGAAGAGACGATCATCGAGGGATTGGCATGGAGACTCGAGTTGCTCCTGGATATCTCCCCGCCATATGGTCTAATTGTACCAGAAATGGTATGGGCAGCTCGTCAAGACCCAAACATTTGTGGTACGCCCTAATTTGTAATCAACAACCTGATCTGAAGCGTGCTGACGAAGGTTATTATCTCAGGTCCTGCTCTTAACCTACTCTGGTCGGCGATATATACAGACGCTGAATCACCTGTATGTGAGATCCCTCTGGTGAAAATCGACACCTACGGCCTGAAGCATGCCGATTACACCATCCCAATTACCAGTTACAACGCTCCCGAGTCGTTGCGCCACATTTTGTACAAATGGGAGCATCTCGCACGCCGCCTGAGACGCATCGAGCCGCGATTTCACGTTGATATCGCCCGCATTATCTGTGATATGGACCCCCTCGAATCGCCGCTGGTTCCGGAGGTTTGTCCTATCCATATATTCTGTCACGCTCCAGATGCTTAGCTAGTTAATAGGTTATGCGTGTAGCCGATGACATGCAAAAGTTGGCAGAAGATCTTACGAACCGGAGGTTGTTCTTTGATTATCTGCGACAGCGGACTCATCAGAGCGTTCATCAAGGTTATTCCGCCAACACCTCCGACGCACGGAGCTCATCAACGAGTTCGGCAAGCTCAGGAACGGAGACGAGTTCCGAGAACTCCACGACCATTTCCAGCATTTCACTGGTCTCTTAAGTTCATTCGTTTCCCTTCTTCACACAGATGTATCGTTGTATGATCAAATTCTACCCCCTTTCGTGCTTCAATTTCCTCTATGCGTATAGCCCATGTTCATCCTTACGGGTGGAGATAACACAGGTATATACGGATCGAGGACTTCTATTGACGTGTCACTTTGATGATTCAGATGACTTTTGCTGTTGTAGAGCTTGATACGCGGTTTGAATCTGCACAATCTACTTGGGATGTCAAGGCGTTTAGGTTGCATGATCCCGTATGCGAATTCTTACCTCTGTCTTCGCTCTTTCACTCTGTTCCCCGATTTCCGTGATCTGATTCTCTACTCGCTTCCTGAAAACCATGAGAAGCGTCTCATCAGTCAATTTTAAATACATACAGTTCCGCAGTAATGAAATCCAGTCTTTTCTCGACGTTTGATTTCGCCTCTGATTGATCCTGAGGGATTAGGATGGGACCGATGAGCTTGTATACGGTATTTTCGGGCTTCAACCCCGCAAATTCCTGATATGGAATCCATAAACATTTGAAGTAAAGCAAGCGTAACTACTCCACTTTCTTAACGTTCTCACTTTCCACCTGCTGTGCTGCTAGTCGTTCCCGAGCCTCGACTGCTTTGGATAGATCATCTTGCAAGTCTTGGTACTTTCGAGTAGCTGCTTCCAGATTCTTCTGAAGTGTATTTACAGACACGCTCGCCATATTGTCGGACAATGGCTCGTGTGGCTAAGGTACAAATCAATCTACGTCGAACTGTCTTTCAATATGTCCTTTGCCGCCTTCTCCAACACGTCGAATGCATGTAATACATGTCTCTTCTCCGTCCTTAATCCTCCAACTGACATCCTTAGGCAAATATCACCCCCAAGGTCTGTCCTCGTTAGAAAGAGGTCAGATGTGGTCTTTTCATGTAGCTTGAGGTTTAGAGTATTCAACTCGGCACCTATGGAGGTATCACTTGGCGTTTTCTTGCCAACGAGAGCTTGAGGGGCTATTCGGAATACGACCAGTGAAAGCGTCGGCGGGGTGGCCAGTTCGAAGACGTCTGACTGCTTGACGCGCTCTGCAAGCGCGTTGGCATTATCAATACCCTTGATCAAGTGTGAGCGAGAATATATCAAGCAGAGCGATGAGCAGATGGAGCAAACCGTGACAGGGCCCGTCCACACGCGTCACTGACATTTCGGAGGTGCTTTCGGAAGCCTTCGACTCCAAACGCTCGAAGTACAAACCAGAGCTTGAGTGAACGGAACTTTCGGCCAAGAGAGAGATGCCAATTACGATAATCTATGACCATGCCTATTAAAACATCAGCTTTTGAAGGTAGGTCGCGCGACGTGTCTCACCAGAGTCACCATGATGCGTTCGCAGGAACTCTGGCGTCACATCTAGGGAATCAGTGAGGAGGACACGGTCCTTTACCCAGAATGTGGAGCAATCAAATGCCACGAGTCCCCACTCCATCCAAGCGTCAGTCGTCACTGAGAAACAGGGAGATGTGATACCTTGTGAAAGTTGGTACAAAAGGAGTGAGCGTACTTGTTAATCGCGTCAAGGCGACCGGTTTGGCGATATTCTGGGAGTGCGAATGCAACGCCTGCCCATGCGGCATCAACGTGAAGCCAGATAGACGGTTCGGCGGTCACTAAATACGTGAGCACTCATCAACGGTGTGGAGTCACAACTGACAAACGCCTCCAATCTCATCGATATTGTCCACAGCTCCAGACGATGTAGTTCCGACAGTGGCAACTAGAAGGAATTCAGGGGTGACTTCTTACGACAAGCATCCGGGGTACTCAAGATATATGGATGAAGTCCCTTCTCTCGGTCTTCATCGAGTGCGGCTTGGAGAGTTGACCCACGAAGCGAAAAGTTGTCTTCTGCTTTGACCTCTAACGCACGAAAGTGGACACCCAAGATAAGAGCAGCCTTGGCTCCAAGGGAATGTGTTTGCGTAGTACCGTAGATGACAAGTTTCTCCATTGCCACACCTGGATGAAGTTTTGTGTAGTTTGTACGTGCAACTACTGTCGCAAGTAGAGCAGCATCTGATGCAGTTGTCTGGATATGATCAAAACTTGAGTCAAAGAGCCTTTCAGGAGCAGTGTACCTGCAAAACACCTCCGCCTTTGCCCGATGCCGTTAGAAACTTCTCGTCCAAACCGAGAAGCCTCGCAGACCAGTCCATTACGATTGCTTCGAGCTCTGTAGATGCCGGACTGCATGCCCACTATAAAAGGTCAGTGACACAACATTATGAAGATCGACATACATTGAAACCCGGATTTGAAATACTGCCTGCATAAAGGTCGCCCAAGATACTCTCGAACGAGGCAATGGATGGATAGTAGGCGAAGAACGAAGGATGTTGCCAATGAGTGATACCTTGGGAAGAGTCTAGTACAGCGAACCGCGAAATTCATAAACTGACCCGGTAAAATGTGATTGTGAAAGTCGGCGCTGATGGCTTCCATCGACTCGCCTTGAGCGGGTGGATGGTCTTGATTTGCTTGAGAATGATCATTTGCAAGGCAATAGTGGAGACGCACCTGGGAGTAGCTTCGAGAGGTACCCGGGTTCTACTTGTGAAACTACTGATTGCTTTTCAAGCGAGTAATAGTAATCGCAAATATGATCAATCGCCTGATAGGCAGCTTTGCGAAATCTGATTGCTGTCAACTCATTGTGTCGAGGAACCTGATGACGAACGAAACTGCTCAATATCCATATTGAGTTGCACTAGATACAAATAAGCGTAGAGAGTCGAACGAGGTAGAGTTCAAGAGCTGACAAAATTGGCGGCATTAGCCGAGAGAAAGAGTCGGGACTGTTCTAGAATCGCTCACCGGTATGAATTGCGATATCCGACCTATATTCGTTGGATGCCTAGTAAGGCCTTGATTTGTGAAAGGTTCTTCTCAGCGATCTCTGAGGCGCGCTCGCGGCCTTCCGCAGCCACCTGTGTCAGGTACCCCGCGTTTTCTGGGCGCTTGAGACGCTCAAATTCGGCTCTGATTGGCGCAATTTTGGCATTGATCGCCTCGGCGACATCTGCCTTTAGTCGCCCATACCTTTGACGATAATATCGTGGTATAATGTCAGACGTATCCTCACCGGTACAACAAGACATGATTGTGTATAGGTTGGCAACTCCTGGACTGAGGTCCGCCAAGTTGGGCACAGACTCATCTGCGATGGCCTCAGGGTCTACTGAGTCCGTGACCGCGGTCTTGATCTTGTGCTGGATGTATTCCGATGAATCCGTGATCATAATGCGCGAGCGTTCATCTGGAGCCGACTTGGACATCTTTTTAGGCGGGCTGCCTCGGAGCGCAAGTATTCGCTTCGCAGGGTCTAAAGAGCGTTAGCACGATCTAACATAGAAGGGTGACGTACTAGTGACAGCCATGGGAAGAGGGAAGAAGTCCGTCTTCATGACACGGTTCACTTTTTGAGCTAGTTCCCGGGCAAGTTCCAGATGCTGACGCTGATCTTCACCAACAGGCACGTGCGTCGTACTAGACACGCAGTGAGTTACATACATACTAGAGTGGAATACTCACCGATAAAGCAGGACATCAGCGGCCTGAAGGACCGGGTACGTGAAGAGGCCCAGATTCAAGCCACTCTCGTCAACCTCAGTGTCCACGTCGAGATTTTGTTGAATTTGGAGCTTGCTCTGGTAGAGAGTAAGATCGAAAGGAATACATCCTTGGAGAGTCCTAACCTTCCAAGTAGTCATACGTTTTAGTCGGCCAATGTTTACCATGCAATTGAGCAGCCAGGCGAGTTCTGCATGGTGAGGAACCTGTTTTTTATCAGTTACGATGCTGTGGTCTGATTTTTTGATCACCAACGTCCTCTTGGAAGAAAAGGACCGCCTTCTTTGGGTCAACGCCAACCGCTAGGATGCTCGCAAGCGTATTGAGACGATCTTCCCGCAGTTTCTTGGCATCTTGTGGCATGGTCAATGCATGCAGACCAACAACGGAGTAGAGCAAAGTCTGAGGTTCCGGCGAGTTTTGCATTTCAACCCATTGTGAAAGCGCCCCGAAATAATTACCGAGCTACAGATACACGGATAATATGTCGGTCGATCATGCAATTCGACTGCACACACGTACATGAGGGACACCAGTGGGTTGAATCCCGCTGAACACGACTCTTGGATGGTCCACCACTGATGACAGACATCGACGAGTGGTAGAGGATGACAAGCAGAGACGTTGGGTGAGACCACGAAGTCGGGCGCGAGGTTGTAGCATTGGTCGAGTTCAAGGTCGAGAGCGTTGTCTGAGACAAGGCGAGGCTAGATTGCAAAACTAGATACGATCACATACAAAAGAGTAACATAATGCAGACGACAAGGACAAGTGTAAACCTTCGAAGCCGCCTGACGCATACAGAGTCCGAGAAATGGCATATGCTTCGCAAAGATGGCCGGAAAGAGGCAGAAAGATGGAAATTGTGATAGTAAGAGGAGGGGGGTATGCCATCTTTGCGAAGCACAGGCTCGTCCTAATTCGGAGCGACTTGTATTCCGAAATTAGGAGTGAACGAAGGTACGACATCTGCGATTGCGTAGATGTAGTACCACCGATCAAAATTGCGTCGTTTCGACCTTAATGCTTGCGGCGGGCCGCCTTGTGGACATTGCGAACGTGGCGGTTGAGGTTGAAACGTTTGGGAAATTCTTGCTCACTGCAAGAGAGTCAGTTGCTTGTGAATGTAAATAGACTAGACCCACCACTCGGGACATACAAACTTCGGCGCAGGACTATCGCCACAATCCGGGTGCGCCTTGCGGCGGTGGGTGGCGAGATCGTGCGGCCACTTGTAGACACGATCGCTTGATAGATAAAGTCAGAGGGAACATTCGAAAGCTAGACAAATTACTCACCATCCATCGTGGGGGCACGAATACTGGATGAGCCGGAAGTGCTCCTTTAGGAGGTGCGACTCTCCACGGTCTGCCCTTTTCCATCCCTTCTCATGCCATTGACAGTCTGGAAAGGCGCAGCAATATTTGCCACGATGGTTAGGCGGCATGAGCTCCCGGAGCATTTTCTTGTCAGGCCAATAGTGCCGCCCGATAGCCTCAATAACGTTCGAGACAGCCCCAAATAGATGAGTATCATGGGCTACCGATAGGAGTAGAGCATTATACACAGTGTGGACCTCTTGGCCGGTGCTGGACAACGGGGACGGAGACTCACAAGGAGACTCACAAGGAGACTGGGAGGCGCTTGCCAAAGAAGGTTGGAAGAGCGACTCTAGAATAGAGTCATCTGTCGACGTGGGCGAGGTGACGTCTTCGGCCTGCGAGCCCTCCGTGTAGCCGCTGACGACATGGAAGGAGTCGATAGGATATTGACTCCCCGATGACACTGTGGATTGCTGGCTGAAACAAGGATGGCCCTCGAGGGCGTCTGGAGCGAGCCACGTCTCCCAGTCGCCATCCGACGTGGTCGAAATGGGAGGGCTGGTAAGGAGCTCGATTTCCGCAGGCAATGAAGTACCACAGGAGGCGAAGAGTGCTTCGTAAAGCTCCCAGTCGTTCATGTACGTCTGGGAGTCGACGCCAGGCTCCGTTACGGTGTCGGGATCTGCGCACCATACGTCAATAAGACGATTCGAAATAATAGTATGAAACCTACAGATCTGCTCTTGATTGAAATTCATCATGGTTTGGAGAGCTGAAAAGGAGGAAAGAGACGAGACGAAAACACGACGAGCACGAGCTGAAGTTGGCGTCTATAAGTGAGCTTCAGGAGATAAAAGCAAACTCACGAAAGCTTGGAAATCGCAATGCCGACCGGGCGCGTGCCGGCGTCGCAAACAATGAAGGGAGGGGGGATGAACTTGCAAGAGGCGCTGGACCCACCAGAGACCTCGAGGCAACGGGGTGTTTATGGTCAAGAGCCAAACAAATGGTCAGATCAGAATAGAAATGCGATAGTTGGCTAGCCAGGAATGTCAACGAATTCGGCACTCGAGGACCAAGGAATCCCAGCTCGCGTCAAAGGCAACTCATGTGTATCGAACAAGAAATCAAAATGGTATAGGATGGTAGATATTTGAACATGTTGGTCATCAACGTGGAGGCGGCCGACGTTGGTCATTCCACGCGGAAATAGAAAGAAGACAAGCGATAAAGAGCAAGAGATAGAAAGTATCATTAGAGACTGGTGGAAATAGCATCTTCTGGTGTCGTCAGTAAGAACGTCTGCAGGCACCACAAGACCCTCTTCGCAGGGACAGGCCAATTAATTGAACGCAGTGTACGACTCGCGTATTGTTCGATCATCAGGACTGGCGAACCCTGCGGGGTACAGCTAACCCGTGCGTATTCTTCATGTGCCGATGAAGGTTGCTCTTCTTGGTGAAGATATGCGAACTGACCAAGTGGCGTAAGAAACGTCTCTGTGCCTGCTCATAGGAACACTCACCAAGACTGGCATTGGAATTGCTTAGGGTTTGGGCTGTGGAGCTGGCGAATATGCACCTTCATCTCGTTGGCCCGCGAAGCTGTCGCAAAACTCGAAGGAGGTCAGCGTTGATAACCGCCCACTAGGGTGTGACTGACCACTGCGAACAGACATATACTTTACAAAGGTGCTTGACAAGGACGTGCTCTCTAGCCTTGTCTGGACGATCTCCGAGTCCACGACCATAGCGATCACAGCCTTGAAACGCACAACCATAGTGCTTGCTTCTGCAGTTATCGCGAACCAGAAGATCGTTCACGTCCTCATTCCGAGGCTGCTGCCCTTGGGAGAGGTGCCTGACGATCTGGTTGAGAGCCAGGAGGGCCCGTTTGTTGACACCCAACGCGCTGCATAGATCCGCGTATCTGTTGGAGAGTGTGATGTAGTCGATCAAAGGTTGAAGGTCCTGTGCAGAATCCGGGGACGGCACCACAGAGCTCGAGCTGAGAGGCGTCGACAACGATGAAGGAGATCCCCCGTCAGAATAGAGGATACTTGAAGGGCTTCCAGTGTCACGCATTGGGTAGGCAGATGTTGGGTCAGTCCACAGCTCGTCCCATGAGTAGCTCGTTGAGGAAGGGAGATAATCCATGCAACTTTGACGATGATGAAGAAAAATCTTGTATAAAGGGTGGGCGTCGGGGCACGCTGGAGGTAGTGGGGACGTGAACTTGGGAACAGGGAGAGGACGAGTGAGCGGGCGGCTTATATGCACGGCGCCCTCTGTGATCAGGCTCAGTCCCTGCTTGAACCAGCCGTGACTATAGAATCGAGATTTGAGAACAATGCGGAGGACATCAGCCAAGTATCCCGCTGAACACTGTTTGCCTCTGCCTGTACGGGAGCTGTGAAAGAGACGGGCGGGTTGGTTGCAACGTAGTACATCAGTTGCTGTCCTGTTGCTTTTGTTCGCTTCGCAGTCGCCATTCGTATTGGCTCGAACTCGCAAGCACCCAAAGACCGTTTGTGGCAGGGCTTTCGACTGAATTGGCGGTGGAATTCAGTCCACCACCAAAGGGCATCATACCAGCGTCGTGGACAAGAGAAATCAAATTCCGCTGTGCAGAATGGCGCCGAGATAATTTCTGGAAGAAAAAGGGTGCTCAGATGAGCCAGAACTGATCGGTGAAGGGTTCCCAAACAGGGTGGCGTGTAGCTTCGTTGACTCACCGCTAACGCGCCAGAAACGGGGGATCGTCTATGCATAGCATGTTGTTCTAGCGCTAGCTCCTGCGCAGTCTCAATGTTAGCAGAAGAGCACCACGAGACCACTTTCCGTGATTACATGCGTAGTATGATGCTCATTATTAGTCAAAATCTCAATCTCTGTGAGGTATTGCTCTACGATGCCGTCGAGTTGAGTAGTCCTTGAATCCAAGGGATAACGTCTCGCAGTTGCGACCTCTGGGATGTTCATTTGAGCCAGATATCGGTTCTTGAGATATATGTACGATTTTGAGCCCTTACTTTCGCATCTCCTCAGATGGTCCGACGTGGTTCGGTCGACGTTGTGTGAGATTCAACTTGGTCCTCGTCGACGACATGTATCTGGATAAACCTCAAATCGAGCCTCATTCGATGTACGTAAATAATGATAAGATCAAGTCGAAATTATACTCGCATTCGTACCCAACAGAATATACAAAGTCCTGTCGCAAGACAGCACTACGTTGTATTGCCACAGGACTTATCGACCGTGCGGAGGATTCGAGCCTTCAAGGAGAGTCTTGGACTCTGGGAGGCGTAGCTGATCGACGCAGATGTCCTCCCGGATGAGTTCGCTCTGCGTGTCTCCTCAGATTGAAGGCAGAATCAAAATCCTGCTCACTGTTCTGACATGAGAGCGATACAACCAAGCTTTACCCACTTACCATTCGGGACATTTAGGCCGTTCTCGCAGTCCGGCGTGCCGTAGCAGATGGACTTTGTGGTCGGCTTTGCGCCGCGTTTCTCCCCCACTAGTGACGTGATCAGTTTATACATGCCTCCTAATTCAACTGGACATACCAGTGCACGCACTCGATTCTGACTTCCAGATGCTCCATGACGATATGGCCAGTTACATGGTCATATCTTGACTTTTGGAAGTTGCAATTCGGAAAAGGGCAGTAACTTGTATCTCCTTGTGTGACTACAAGAGCCATAAGGTCCCGAGGCGGCGGAAGGATACCATTCTGCATGTGGGAGACATATGCACCCATTGCCTCTCTCCTGCCATCATCTGGAAATATCTCGACAACGTCCAATGGGTAATCCGGTCGATCAAATAAATATGTGCAGAATTGGCCGTCGACCAGGTCGTCCCAGGTGCTACGCAGGCTTATCGGACGATTCAAAACGGGTGGAGATATTGGCATGATCGCAGGATATCCCTCGAGTTCTAACGGTCCAGGATGGGCAGGTCCACTACCAGATGGTTGCATGGTATCGTGTTCGGCCTCTCCATCCATTTGATCCAATGAATTTGCCTGTTTCTCAATGTTTTGAGCTACTTGTGTGCCCAAAGACGCGTCATTGACTAGCGCCAGGCTCTGGAGCGCCTCTGCGGTCAAGTAATCTGCAAGGTAATCCGCTATAAAGTGACAAGTAAGCAAAATTTTGGTCAAGGTGGACCATGATATTGGACATACAATCCAAAGTTTCCATCCGGTGACACGCCGCGGTCTAAAGGGGGGGAAGATCCTTTTCGCCAGTCTCAAATACCTCCACCCTCTTATATACCGAGCCACACGTGTTTTTTCCCAGTTTTTGTAGCCTGGCAATTCAGTATCAGCTTTTAGGGGCCGGAGCCAGACCAGACTACGCCGAAATCAAGATTGTTTGCCAGCGTCGTGGCTTACTCTCAACCTCACCAAGTGGACCTATCCAAAAGTTCAAGACGGGACTGCAGCATACAATCAATCGACCACGAGGTCGCTGTTCAGCTTGTCACTCAGCCTGCTCCCTCAGAATAACATACAGACACCAGCGACCTGTAGAAGGTGACACTCATCCCATTACAACAACGAAGGTCTGAACAGCTCATGCATTATTCCAAGAGACAGTACACAAAGACTCTGATTATCAAATCGAGTGTTTGGGAGTAGCCCAGATCCGCATGTTTTCGCCTTCCCCAACACGAATAACGACACCATGATAGATGGCAACCGCGAAGATATTTTCTGCGCTAAATTCCTCTGTGCTGGCCGTACCAACAACACCCGAATAGTCAAACCTCTCCGCCTGTTCCCACAGGACGTCTTTGTGCCTTCTCAGCGTCTCCTCCCACATCACATCAGTATCCATGAGGTCTCTGGTCAAGATTATATCGGGTTCCGGACGTGATCGAGGTCTTAGGAGGCTAACATCGAGGACCCGAATCAGAGTCTGGGTGGCTAGAGCCACCAGAGAGCCGTGAATCATGATTTTCTTCGCTGGTTGACGAAGCTGAATCTCAGACAATATCTTGTATGAGCCTAAAGGACGGTAAGGATTCAACCGCGTACCCTCATATATACCTACGGCTAGATGTAGCATTCTAGAATATGTAGCATTAGTAGGATCCTAATAAAACGAGCAGACCCACTTCCCAGTCCACCGCATACGTCTCCTTGTTTGTGACTGCCTCACGATATCTTCCATAACCAAGCCATTTCCACACAGAAATCTTTCCTGGAAATGAAGCATCTTTGTCGGTGACTGACTGGGGGCTCTGTGAGATGAGCACAGAGGGAGACAGCCTGTATGAGGTCAACTCTCAATACGTACGGGCCTCGATTGCTCACCAGCGAACTCGGATCACTTGCGCGTGATGAATCATTTGAAAGCAGAACAGAGGTCTGCCAAGGACAGCCAATGTTCCTACAAGATCAGAGGGAGAAGGTGGTGGGTCGTATTCCCAAATGAGGATGCGATGATCTACCTACTTTTGAAATGAGTCTTTGGTCTGTGTAGGAGTACTACTGACCGAGGACGTAACAATGACATCTAAGTCTGGGTGGAAACACTGTCATCGTCACCACCTGTGGTGTCGCAAAGCGCACGCTACTCACTGCATCCAAGACTGTCGCTTGGTGTCCAGCTGTCTGCCCACCAGCCGTGACAGTGAAACAACGGCCTGTCGGGCCCAATGATTCTTCCTCCCCGCCTGTAAGTGGTGCGCCAAATGGTGGTCCGAAGGAAGCGAGTTGAGGGTCAGCAGATGCCATCTTCATGGACTGCAGAAGATCAAGTGACCACAGACGTGTAGTCTGATCCCTAGAGGTGGAGCAGAGGATGCGAGGGTTCCGCGGGTTGTAATTTAGAGATGTGATACGGCCACCGTGTCCTTTCATCGCGGTAACAATTCTGTTAGTTTTTGGGTCTACAACGTAGATAATCGCTCTAGTCCCTGCGAGTACAAGCCATGGTTGTAAGTCAGAGGAAAGAGTCCAACAGATGGCTCGGAATTGCTGATAAAACTGGTTAGTAAAGCGACCTAGTGACTAAGATAAGTTTGCCTCTTTTGCTCCGTCAATCTCGTCTTCTATCTGGATCTCTCGAAGATATTCAAGCGGCCGGTTGGGGTAGACACGAATCAAGCGAATCTGGGATGATGTCAGCGTCAGATGTCTATGATATATCAAGCATACTATGTGTTCTGCTTGGTTCCTGCCGCAGATGGCGACACAACCCAGCCACTGTTTGACGCATCGACGCCATTGAACAAGTGTGTTAGTGTTCCAGACGAGACCCGGCCAACTAAGCGACTTGTGATCCTCAAATATCCAAGGAAAGCAAGCGATCACGTCGTAATCCGTGCCTTTGGAGGAACGGCCCTAGTTTCAAACGGATATCACAAATCAAACCCATGGCGCGTTTCAAGGTGCGTACGGACGGGAGAATTTGCAACGAGCTCATACTCGACGGGGTGGCTCGACGCCATCGTAGGGTCGAGGCAACGGTTCAAGGTGCAAATGCACAAAAGGTTCGAACAGCAAGTTGCCGTAAGATTGCTATCGCTGAGTTAGGTCATGAGGTACACCAACGAGGCGAAGCATGGAGACAACGGAGTGTTTGAGAATGAATAGTCCGTCTACACGTGCGTCGCGCTAGGAGGATAGGATGGAAATGTTCAACACGTCCTAGGACGACACCAAATCAATAGACGGTAGGAAAGTCGTGAATCCGTCCTCTAATTTTTCGTACGTGAGAATATGCGAATGAATAAAACGACGAGTAGGATGTCTAAAGAGAGAGTAAAGGGGAAATGCGTGAGGAAAAACTATGTCGGGATGGGTATCGCTCCCCTTAGAGGAGGGCAAAGAGGGCGGAGAAGGCACCCAGGGCAAGAGTGACACTAGCCGTAACGGAGACAGCTCCATTGGCGTCCGATCCAGAATCAACGGGCGCTACTGCGACATTTCCAGCGCCGTTGGTCGAGGAAGAAGGCACACTCGATGAGGCCGGGTGCGAGGAAGCGGCGTTGGAAGGAGCAACACTAAGCACGAGTCAGATATCAAAACTGTGCCTCTAAAGACCAAGCTCACTACGTGTTTCCAGCTGCAGCGGACGAGGCGAGAGTCGAACCGGAGCTTGGGACAGCGCTAGAACCAGTATCCTGCGGTGTGTTGTCCGCTGGAGGATTTTCTGCGGGAGGATTCTCCGCTGGGGGGTTCTCTGCAGGAGGATTCTCTGCAGGAGGGTTGGTGTTGCTTGTATCGACGCTTCCGGTGGTGGTCTCGGTGGAACCCGTACCAGCGTTGTTATTGGTCGTATCTGCGGGAGGAGTGTAGGTGTCCGCTGGAGGGTTGTAGGTATCCGCCGCCGGGGGCGTGTAGGTATCCGCAGGGGGAGTGTACGTGTTTGCAGGAGGAGTGTACGTGTTCCCGGTATTGCCAGCGTTGTTGTTGGTGTTCGAGCCTTGACCCAAGCATGCTCCATCACCACCACCCACGGTTTCCTAAACCAGGATTACAACGGTCAGTTACGCGTGACGGAAGACTTTGACACGCCGCTTCTGCGGTCGGCAGGATGCTGCCGGTCGTGACGACCGATCGGAACCCGCTTCGGGTGTGAAGATTGAACATGAAAGACTCACAATTTGACCGAAGTTCTCGACGTTGTTGGCGTCAAGGACGTACAACTGGACTTGAGTGCCTGCAGCCAGGTTCACGTAGAAGTTCACCGACGTATCCCAGACATTGTTGAATTCGGCACTGAAGTGACGATGAGATTTAATTTTGGAACGGCTGTACCTGACTCACAGAGCGTCGCTTTCGCAGGGATTGGTTGCGGGAAGAACTATAAATGGATATATAAGCGTGAATTCATCAGCTCCGCTCGTCGGTTTGCTCACCGGCGACGTAGTAAGGGGGTGCTGAGCCCTGGAAGCTCAGTTGGGACGACGCGCACTGTAGACAGAGTAAGCTCAAGCACTTGATACTCTTCTTGAGAGAGGAAACTCGCCTGTGTGAGCGTGACGGCATTGATCGAGACAGAGCTTTGAGCACGGACGGTCGCAACCAAGGCGAGAGAGACGGCAGCGGCAGTGAAGAGCATTGTAAGAGGTTGTTAGATAAACCAGAAAACGATTGGAAAGTGTTTAAACGAGTGTAGTGTGCTTTGCGGACTGTCGTCGCAAGCGGGGGCTGGTCGCAGTAGAGTCTAAGTTGGTGTTCCAAGTTTGGTCTCCGCGTCGACGCTTTTGGAGAGATGGGTAAAACCTTGTTCGAGTTTCTAAAACTAAATTAAAACTATTCCAGGTTCACGAGCACTGCTCATCGTCTTGGACCTCAACGGTAGCTTGGTTTTGCGTACTCGAGGCAACAAGAGCGTCTGGGCACGGCCTTATTTCGAGTCTTTTCTCTCATACTTGTGCCACCAATCAGTTTTGCGACCACAGGACCCGGCTCCCGCCGTAGCCACTGAGAGAGCAACAGCTCAGTCTCAATCGCAGGCGTTCATAGACACCATGATCTGGTCGTCGGCTCAACCTCATTCAGTCAAGTTTATGGTTGATCGTGTATTTGGTGATAGAGCTCGGCATCTCATCGCTGTCTGGGACAGGACTTACTTTGGGCTGACTCCAAAACAATACCGTATGTACACGAGAGCAACCGAAACACGCCACTGACTGAAATCAAGACGCTAAGACACCCACAGTCAAGGATCTCAGGCGACCATGGATCTCTCTTCCGGAACCATACAGTCATTCTCGCCGGACAACGCTGCTCCTAGATGATTCCGTCGATAAAGCCCAGCAACAGCCGAATAATCACATTTGTCTGACTGAATACACCGCTGCTCGGCGCAAGCTCGATTGCCAGACTAGACTACGTGTCTTGCAGCATTCTACTATGGATATAGCGGATCCATCGTATGATTCTATATTATTGGCGATGGTAGGAATCATAGAAGCTGCTCGTAACCAGCCGGATGTTGCAAAATGGCTGGCGACAGGAGGACTAAGAAAGATAGACACTCAACACAATCCTATCAGCGAATATAATGCCACCAAGGGAAATCAATCAACCCCTTTGAACGATGTTTCTGGCCTCTGGTTTGACGACCCTGATGTTTTGCGATTTTGGACCCGTCGGGGACAGGAAACGCTCTCAAAACTCGATATTCCCATCATTCCTGGGGTTGTGCTCTGAGCACAGACTATTAACTGTACTCGAGTGGTTTGTAACAATAATGCAATAGATGTTTGCTTCTTCGACCCGGCCATATTGCAGCATTTAGTGCCAGTGACAGCATGGATAGAGAGCCGGGTATCCGTTTTCTCTCACTGGGTGTGTACTTTCTGCTGAAGATACTGGCCGGTATTTTACTTCCGTAAGATGCTGGAGGTCTGGGCGTATATTTTCAACTGCGGGGCCCCAAGGAACTGATGGTTAAGGTGGCACTTGATATTGAAACGAGTGAAGACGTCCCTCCATCAGCATATTTTGATCTCGTGGCTTCCAGCGGCTTTGGAAGGTGTGTTTGGTCACCCCATGAGCTCTTGATGGCCTAATAGCCCAAGTGGCTACAAGGGAAGTGGCTGGAATGCGGGCGTCCAGAGTCGGGGACTCTTACTTGGAAGGAGCGACATCTAGACATGGAGCACCCCACTGTAATCGACCTTACCTGCACGTACCTCAATCCAGGGAAATGGAGTGAGGCTGCAAAGATTCAGGAAGCGGCTCTGGCCCTGCGGCGTGCTGACACCGCAAGCAAAGTTTGTGTTCGGGGTCACGTATCGAGTAACGGGGAAACAGAAGAGGCAGTGCCCCTAGTTGAAGAGGTGGCTGGCCATTCGGCGCCAGACAACTCGGGCAAGAACACCCCGAGCACAGGGCAGTCTTGTTACAGTCTACTTCCGGCAAGGAAGGTGTGAAGACGTGGAGATATTGGAGCTCCATGTGTGGAATATTTGCCAGCGATACTTTGGACCTGCCACTCCCACCATGTGGAACCTGGCCGAAACTTGGCGAGAGCTAAAACGCTTGGGAGAGGCAAAGGATATGCAATGCGACACATTAGCACTGGCGGTTGCCGATTTTGGTGCAGACCATCTGGATACTCTCCCCGGACATGGAAGTTATGCGAAGACAATTGTATACCTTGGATTTATCGACGAGGAATTACAAATACAAGAGGAGGTCCTTCAACAAACTCATGGTACACTCAGTGATCAGCACCCGAATACCTAGCTAGCCGCCCGGGACCTTGCGGTGACATGCCGTAAAGCCAACACACTCGATGATTCAGTGAATATGCTACAAGGGAATCTCAAAGTGTGGAACAACTTTGTTGGAAGCGGTCATCCGGCAACCAAAGGTTTAGAAAGGGTAGCACAGCTCCATTCAAAGGTTAGATGCATTCATATGTACAGACCATTTTGAATTGTAAAGATCAATTTATGAACGTTGAGCACCGACGACGCGTAAAAACTGGGCGCTTTCATGACCCTGAGTCAAGCGTACAACGCTCGTCTTTGCGCTCTTCTTCGTCTTTCCCTGTTTCCAGAGATAGTTTTGGGCATACTGAATGGCATACTTCCGCTCGTTGGGAGATGCCTCTTTCCCAACCCATGCATAGATGGCTGGCACCTGTGCGTTTTTGGCATCGTCTAATAAAAAGGCATCTTGGTCCTGGAAGTCGGCAAGCGTTGGGGTTCCGCTCGCGAGCTCCACTTGCGTAAAATTGATTGAGCCACTTTCGTCCGAAAGACGGAACAGAATGGGTGAACTTGGTGCGGACGGTGCTGGAGTGGCCAGTGCCGGGTCCTCTTCGTCTTCACTGTCCTCGATTGACTCTTGGTACAGCTCGTTGACGAATAGGCTCGCGCCTTGTCCACCTTCGTCAAAGACTTTAAGAATCGGTTCATGCTTCCTCCCGTCGATGATTTGCCGGACGAACTCCGCGGCCTTGAACTTTTCTTTTCCAGAGCTCTTCTTACTATTGTACTGCCAGATTTCCCGCCCCTTGTCCAGCACAAACACATCACTGGGGTATTGCTCCATCGTCTTCCTGAAGGCGTGGGTGACTTGACGCACGATGAGATTTGCAGGCTTGTTACCGGTTGCGGATGGCTTTGACGCGCTGATATGGTAGAAGTTGAAGAGATTGAGAGGCGGCGGTTCGGTCACATGTCGAAAGCCGGACGCGGTTCCACCGTGAAGGACGAGGAATTTCGGAAAGTAGGAGAGGAAGCGCGGGCTTTCAAAGTCTTGCACTTCTCGATACTCGACCGGTGTGCCATGGAGGTGGTCGTCGAGTTCCACTGCAGAGTATCAGGTCCAATTAGGAGTGCGACGACTGGGGCGACAGACCTGTCTTATAGGCAGCAGTCCCAGCCTAAATCTATCATCAGAATATATAAAAACTGAATTCAACAATGTGCATACTTCATCCGCTGTGGTTTCCGAGCCTAGCCAAAAGTGGAGATTATAGCTGAGTGCCTCGGAGTTTGGGTCTTGTTTGTACGTCTGCGGATTGATGAGATACACGGGTGAATCTGAGAGCTCTACGTACGTTCAAGACTATGTAGGAGTCTCCATCGTAAAACTCGCCAACGCGGGTCCAAGCCTTGATCCTAAACTGCTCTATACGCCAGATTTGGAGTCCGACAGCCTTGCCAGCAGACTCCCATGCGGGCTCTGTGTCTCCTGCGTGCTCACGCACTCGTTTCTCAAGCTTGAGGCAAGCGTTGGTTCAGTGATTTCACCATCGATAATAAGGCGAACTCATACATCAGATCCGAGCAGCGCAATGTTGCTATCTTCAATCTTGTATTGCGTTGGTTTGGTGAGATGGGCCATTTGGATTGGGGGTGGCAGAGGTCGTCGGGTCCAAGAATGAGTGACAGTTGACATAATTATCAAGTATGGATAACATGATATATAATCCTTTTTGCAGACGCTTTACTCGCTGCTGAGCGTCTCTGTACAGCATCAAGTCGGCTATTCATCTTTTGGTATTCATCGTTTTGGCCCCGACCGCTTCAGCTTTACTTCTCCCCAAATTCTCGGAAATTCGCCCGTTTAGCGGGTTGAAACGCTTGATACCTGTACTCCATCGTTGGAGTGCTGCTTTACCGTCCTTGACGGGATCTTGACCGGTGTCGATCATGTCTTGCCAAGTGAGTCGTCTGTTTCACGCCAGAATCCTCAAAAGCAACCATCTTCGCTTTATATAATATTCTTTATCCTATTCCTCGAGGATTCGCTGCTGCCAGGCGTGTCGTCGTGAATGCCTGCTGCCCAAAAGCCGCCTCGGCCTGTCGTAGCGCCTGAGCAAGGTGGACCATGCTGTACAGCGACGGTCGCTCTCCTGCCTCTGTTTCATGTCCATTCTACTGGGTGTGTGCCAAGAAGGCTGATCATGTTATCTCCTCGCCGCAGGGCTCCCCTACTCTCACTCAATATGGGACGACGTATAGCACTTCGTATCCGGAGAGAGTGATCGTTACGACAGAATATGTAACTGTAACCATTCCAGCTCGTCTCCGCGCCAGGCAGGATCCTGCGTCATCGACTCCAACAACGAGTGGCGAACAGACCTTCAGCGTCAATGATGTGACCCCGGTCGCCCGAACTATCACCATCACGGAAACTGTTGTTGCTACCAAGTACGATTATGCACCCCAATCGCTGCTGACAGTTTACTAACCGCTCGGGCAGCACTGTCCCGACCCTCACTTTATTCGCTCCCTGCACAACCACCACCGTTGATGACTCTGGCACCAATTCGACGACAACGACCACACGCGCAAATCCTGGCGGTAACGGTGGCTCCTCCACTGCGTGGCGGCCTGCTCAGGTCGACAATGCCAACGATGGGAAATCGACAACTACTTCGGATGGGGCTACGATTATTCTCACCGAACTTGTCACGACAGTGAATGGGGTGGAGACCATTGTGGGTCGCCTAAAATGCTATGCACGCCCCCCCCAGTCAGGCTAACCCACGTTCTAGTTTGCCACGCCCATTCAAACCTTGTTGAATACATCCGACAACGTTCTCAGTGACTCTCAGAGAACTGGAGTCATTGCCGGTGCCGCCGTCGGTGGTGTATGCGTGCTCGTCGCACTTTTGGGTGTCATATTCTATTTCAGACGAGCCCGAAAAGCACGAAAGCGTATGCTTGCCGAGAAGAACAAACGCCCGACTCGCCATCCTCTGGAAGACGAGGCAGACTATTTTCCTCATCCAGCAATGGCTCAATGGGACGCTTACTCCACCACGGGCTCGACCGTGAGTGCGCCCCGACTACTTCGAGCTAGGGGTAGCCAGACGGGGAGTTTGTTCCACGAAGACGTCTGGCCACCGCCGACCGAAGTGATGCAGGATCCCCTCCTCACTTCGCAGGATCTCGGAAGCTCCATTTCTTTGGCAATGGGGTTCCCGCACGAAGCGTCTTCGGATCTGCAAGCATCGCCAGAGACTCTCTCGCCATCTGAGACGGCGGGGAGCCTCGGGCGTAGGCACAGATCATCTGCATATGACTCTATTCGTTCCACGGACTCTGCAGACTACAACCGATCTCATTCGCGTGCAGATTCGTCGGCGCCATTGTTGGATAGCGCCGGCAGGACGATATCTCCGCCTCCGCCATCAATGCATCCGTCTGCCATGGCCTCTCCCTCGAGCACGCGAGGCCGTGATCCTCGCCGCTCAAACTTGAGAGTATCCTACACTGCCGATGAAATGGGTGGTTTCGTCAACCGTTCTTCTCATTATCGCTCGGGAACGTCGAATAGCGTCTACTCGACCTCGTCCGCATCTCCCCAAAATGATCAAGCGTCCCTCTGTCAGCTCTCAATATTGGGGGCTCAAGACAGAGCGAACTAGGAGCGTCTCCGTCGAGCAATGATAGCAGCTTGCTCCAAGACGTTTTGCGCGCCGGCTCCCAGACGCAAACCATTGCTTCGAATCCACCCAGATCTGATGAACTACCTCCTCAGTACCATACGATCCCTAGAAATACCTAAGGTCTCTCTGAACGATGGACATTCCAATGATTTGCCAACTAGTGTACCACTCCTTATGGCCTGTCTTTATATCCCTTCTTTTTGGACCTTTTGTAACAATTACCTAATGCAAACGCTCTGCGACTGAGATTGATGCATCCAACTTTTGGGCAATGAGGCGACGCGACGCGGTTGTAAATATTTGGGCCGAGCGTGTCTCTATATCCTTGGATTTAATCACACCCAGCCGTCGGCTACAGCGCTCTCTTAAATATTCTCAAAAATGTATTCGATGATCCGAAAGCGCCCAAGATGCGATTCCAACTCGTCGATAGCCTCCGTCTCCACGCAGAAGTCGTCAACATCGACAAAGTCGAGCATGTCGTGTATCTCGCCTTACAAGCGTCAAAAAACGTGTACAGACGAGAATCCAGACGCTAACAAGGAGAATATACCCCCAGAGGATACCCTTTCCGAGATTGCAGGTCCCCCAGCACGCTCAACTCGACGGGTGACGGCGGTGACCCCCCGAAAATGTGAGATATTTTCATGGTTCTAATCTGGACTAGATGTTAATGTATTAATCTGTTTTATTTTTTCAGCAATTATACGCCGACAGCTCTCACGCTGTGAGTCGACGCCCGTCATCGAGCTCGGCAACCTGCAGCTCGTAACACCACCGACGACGCCAGCAAAGCCCGCACCCAGTGCCCCTACCGATATCTACACGCAGGCTCGCGCTCTCCTCCGCACATCGTCTGCAACATCCTTCACTGGCCGCCAAGCTGAGCGCACTGCTATCACCGACTTCCTGACTAGCGAAGACAAGTTTTGTCTCTATGTCTCTGGAACGCCCGGAACAGGCAAAACTGCCCTCGTCAATGACGTTTTGCGCGGTCTAGACGGCAAGTACAAGAGCAAGTATCTAAATTGCATGGGAATGAACGCGGAAGACATCCGAGCGTCGGCACGCGATACTCGCGACGAACATGCGGACGATGAATGTGCCATGTATGTGCACCCGAGTTGGCCATTGTCCCCATTTATCTGACCGCCCTTAGGGTCATGGTGCTTGATGAGCTCGAACATCTTGACAGTGCCACCTTGTCGCCCGTCTTTGCTGTTGGCACGCCCTCGTTTCGCGTCATTGGCATATCGAACACCCACACGTTGACGTCCAAGCCTACCACATCGACGATCACGCTTCACTTCAAGCCCTATACCTCCAACGAAATGACCCAGATCATCGCCAAGCGCCTTGAGGAGCTCGTACTTCCTGATGGTATGAAGGCCATAGTAGCCCCTGCAGCCCTCAGCTTTGCATGCCGCAAGGTCTCCTCCCAAACAGGCGACCTTCGAGCCTGTCTCGCGCTTGTCCGTGGCGCGATCGAAACAGCAGAAAAAGAGTTTATCAAAAACACATTGGCTAACCAGGGGGATTCTGTCGCTATCGTTCCCGTGTCGATGGCACATGTTCTTGCTGCCACCAAGACAGTCTCCTCGCAAGCACCTGGCACTGTTGGCGTTGTTCGTCAACTCAACATCCAAGCTCGACTTGTTCTTCTTTCCCTTCTCCTCTCCACTCGTCGGCTCTCCGCATCTCTGCCTGTCTTGTCCAAGGCTGCCAAAACGCCTTTGAAATCAAAGGCCAAATCCAAAGCACCCGAGGCTCTCACCATTGACAGGCTCTTCGAGTTTTACACCCATCTTCTCAGTAGCACAGAAGCCGTATTCAGTCCAGTGTCTCGCAACGAGTTTGCAGATCTCGTCGGTCTCGTCGAGACTCTGGGTTTGCTAGAGCGAGGGCCAACCGCGGGGGCCAGAGGAAAAGGAAAGGCAGCGGAGAAATCTCAAAGTGTCGGCATTCCGTCGACGAGTCGCGAGGAGGAAATGGTCAAGGGTTTGACCGAGCCAGAGGACCCTCAAATGGAGGGGCCGGCAGAGAGGGAAATCCGCACCATGTGGAATCGGGAAACAGCCCGAATCAAGAGGGAAACTGAAGAAAAGGAAATGGTTATCAAGAAGCGTCAGGATGCATTCGAGGATGCGACAGAGGCGTAGCTGCTCGCTAGTGCTCTAGTGCTTTCACGGGATATGGGATAGGATTCTACAGTGCTCCCCTCTACCCCTTGTACTTTATTCTCTTGTTTTTTGTTACAAATCGGAAGCTGGTTGTCAATGACATGTGTGAAACAGCTTTTGGACTCCGCCGCGTCACCGACATTCACACCGAGCACGCGAACCCTACCAATATTATCAATCACCCTTGCGAGCATTGTCTGTAAGTATTATAAAGACAAGAATTGTGCTATTTGAATCTTCGGCCTGCTGACAACTTGCCTCTTGTAGCTGGTTTTAGAGTAGACATTACCTTTCCAGGTAAAAGTTCTTCAAAGACTTGAATTTGACTCAAAGTTTGGCGTCATTTACTTCAAGGTCTTCATCGTTGCAGGAAAACTCGTGGTGTGAACTACCGTGATTAAACCTTGCGTGACTGGGCTCTCGGTACAGTTCTGCATATGGAAGGTCCCTCTCATGACTGAAAATACCTCAAGCTCCATGTCATCGCAGTCAATCATGTCCCAAGCACACCTCGCCAAGCTGCGAGAAGCAGCGAGGCAGACGATGAGAGTGAAACAAGCCGCAGAGAGGCTCGAAAACATGTCTTCTACATTATCCCCATCACTATCTGCATCTACACCCACCGTTTCATCCTCTTCGCCCTCCAGACCCCCGTCTAAAAAGATCTTGGCAAAGCTCCTTCGAGACTCTGCACCTGCGGAAAGCGAAACGACGTTGGACTATGGAGACCCTATCGAACAGCTGGCAGAGAGCCCAACCGCTTCCCCTGCTAATACCCCGGCCGCTCGGGGGTTGGGAGCTTCACGACACACCGCAGTCACACATGCCAACGGTCTGAATGGTCAGAAGGAGATTCCTAAAATAGGAGGAAGAGAGGAAGGAGAGATTAGTGACGAAGAGTCTCGAGCGAGACGACAAAGCAAAAGAACAAGGGCGGTTTCTCTCAAGAAGAGCCAACAATCTATCAATGCATCCCAGTCGACCGACCTTCATTCCGATACGGCTCAGAATATCTTGCTTGAGGACCAGCCCCAACCATCTTCCGCTTCTGCCAATCCTCTCAAATTGAATTCGAACAAGATGAATGATCCCTTACGCCCAACACCGGAAACGCATTCATTTGTTGGCTTAGCAAGTCGAGAGGTGAACAACCCTTCGGACGATCGTCTGTCACCGGCGACAATGCAGCTCAACGAAGAAGTATATACCAAACTTCTCGAATTTGGTATCGATGATAATCACTGTCGCCCAGGACTTCCGAGTATGTCGACCAGTGCCCGTTGCATTCGCATATTATTGATGTGTCATTTCCCGCAGTGACTTTTGAGCAGTTTGAGTTGGCAAAAGGGCTCATTCTCGATCTCATCGGATATGGTACCAGTCCTGAATATCTTATCGATGTCGGTATCAACCCTCGGCTGGTTGTCTACTGCCTCCGCGAACTGAAGATGCGGATACCGTCCAATGTTAAGGTGGGCGATATCATCGCTTTTGGACCGCCACAGGCTCTTGTCACTTCACTCGTCGATTCACCCCGTGCAACATCTCCAGAAATGCTCTCTCCAATTTCACCGGAAGAGCACAATGCTGGGCTTCAATTCACGACTGAAGAGCAAGCAGAGCCTTCAGCAATCTCATTACCCTCTACATCCAACACGCCTCCGCCAACAACGCGCCTCAACGTACACGCCGAACCTTTTGTACCCAAAACTGTCGTATCTTCAAAGCCACCAAAAACGACAGGACCATCGCTTGTTCATATAGCTCTTCCACATCAACAAATCGGATTACCTCCGCGCCCTGAACCGGCCCCCGTGAATACCGCTTTACCTGATCCGCCATCATCCTTGCCGCAACGACCAGCCTTCTCCGTGAATGCCGAGCCGAATCGCAAGTCAAGTATCGATGTCCCCAAATATACAAGCCCCCCATCCAGCCCAACTATGGGCGACGAACCCAAGGTTGAATCTGATACGGAGGCCCTTCAACGGATGGAACAGCAGAAAAAGCTTCAACTGTTGCGGAAAAAGCTGGCGTTGACACGGAAACGACCTGCTGTCAAGGACAGTCTGATGCTTCAGACGGGCGACGTAACACCGAGTGATCCCACTCCCAGGGAGTCTGCTCCAAGTTCAACAGTTCCAGATGAGAGAAAGGTTGAATCACCTTCTCCGATGGACGTTGACTACCCTGTTACTACAGAGGCATCACGATCCGCGGTGACTTCAACTGTCGATTCAGCTCCTTCAACGTCGCGAGTATCGACTCCGTCAAACCAATCGGAATCTATCCTTACTCTTGCCCAACGCCGTGAAAGTCTCCTCAATGGCACCAGATCCTCGACTCCCTCTGAACTTGGTGCTAAGCGTGGAATCAAGAGACCAAAGGCGGACGACTTCCTAGACAAGACACCAGTCAAACGACCAACTTTACTGAACAACGTTGTTCCAAGCAAAAATCTTTTTGGTCGTTCGACATTTGCACTTATCAATTCCACAGTCCCAGATCAGCATGTTTTTACTTGGAGCGATGACGAAACACTGGGGGATGAAGCAGAGCCGGACCAGATGGCGCCAGAGAGTGCTGGTTCGCAGAGAGAGTCTGAAGCTGCTCAGTTTGCAGCGGCTGCGCTTGCTATCGGTCTCCCCATGACGGCTGAAGAACTTGAAGCTGCTCGAATCCAGGAAGAAGAAAGAAAGGCCCAGATCAATGCGAAGGCGATCAAGTTGTTGAAAACTCAGCTTAGTTTGCGAAAGCTTGAGCTTAAGCAGGCAGAAAAGAAGCTCAAGAATGTCAAGCACGATGATGCTGAAGCTGTGAGTGAAATGCAAGTTTCCGAGGCTTTTCTAACCAAGGATTTCTAGCTCTTGGCTGCTGAAGAACATCTTCACACTTTGCGTCAAGAGCTACAAAGCCTTGAGACAAGACTCTTGCAACACGAAACATCCGCGATTGAGTTCGAGGCATCAACATTTAGTCCTTTAAAAGGTCACGGATCGTCCAGCGCTATTCAACTCGTCGGTCAATCAGAGCTTTCAGCCATCGAAATGATGGTGAAGGGTGCGTTCTCATTGGTGTTGTTTCACTTCTGCTGAGAACCACCAGATAACGCGACATCATCAACCCCTACCTTGGTCGATACACCATCCCGTCTGCGTGCTCCCTGTCGGGTCGTCTCTGGCTGACGTGATTGGATAGAGATAGAATCCAAGACACTGGAAGATGGCGAGAACACCACTCGATGTAGAACCTGTGCCTTACTGATTCACGTTTCTAGGTGTTGATAGCACTCAAGAACCTTCTACGGCAAGCGTGGATTACTCGATGTGAACTGCTCATATTCACTTTGGCCACTGGCACCGAACTGTAGGATCCTGTGTTTGGACACGTCTCACCAGTAAATGAAGCCGACTCCTCGGTCAGTGGATATACAACCCTGGACCTGGAAACCGAATCCTCAAGTTGACGGTGTTCACTAGCCACGATTCACCGCATATGTGCGACCACCTATGTTCACAACACTGATTAAGCATCACTCATCAGCGTCGACGGACAATTCAGCCCTTACTAACCTAGCCCAATCTGCACATCATTCCAACCCTCAAGGTACTAATTTTGCTGCACAGCTCTGTCAATTTGAGAGTGGTGGTGGCGAATGCAAAGACAACGACTGCCCGGATCTTCATTTCAGAGATTTTGGAGATTCAGGTAAGTGCAGTAGCTCAGTATTTGTTGCTTTATATCGATACGTGCTTGACGATGTCCTTGTGACTCCTCTTCACCCGCACTCAGGTACATCGTCCTCTTCAAAATTCCAATAAAACACCATCTGTGCTATCAAACATGATTGGGTCTCTCTTGGCATATTTCAAGCAAGCAAAATATTATCTGTGCATTTCATCGGGCATCAAGGCACTGTCAAAAGCGCTCTTTTGCAGGTCGTAGCTTGTGCCGCGTTGGTTTCTGTCCACCCTTTCGTCGTTGTATAACACTGTCCTGTATCCACACTAGCTTCTCTGAAGATATCTTTTTCTAGTGCACCTTGCGCGACACGAGCTGTGAACCTGTGGTGACGGACTTTGGACCGCGCCGACAACTAGCTCCATTTTGGCACAAGCGCTCGCTGTACTTCACAGAACTGGAGCAATGACTCAAATTTAGTCTTGTTTTTTGAGCCCTGTTGGAACTCGTTGTCACCAGCAATGGTGCGCCGGCATCGCCCAGACTAGCGTGGGTAGCCAATGACCGTGGCTCTCCAAGGTCATTACGCGGCAGAAAAGTGTGTGTGAGATACTGAGAATGTGCAGTGCGAATCTAGCGTCGAAAGCGATGGCTCCAGAGCCACGTCCTTGTATAAAAGGTGTCTGTGGAGGGGATGGATAACACCAGCACCTCTCTCCTTTCTAATAATATGGACCAATCTTCTCTAATTGCAACGTTGACCGCGGCTGGTGTCTTGACGGCCACTGCTGCATGGTCGTATCTTGCTCAACCGAACAAATACCATCCCGGTCCTACACCCTTACCCGTCTTCGGGAATCTGCACCAGATTCCACGAGAATTACCATGGGTGACGTACAAGGAATGGTCAAAGACATATGGTACGGTACATTTCCATGGACATCTGAGGAAAACTGACCTGTATCAGGACCATGTGTACACTTGGAGATTGTTGGAAAGCATATCCTCATTCTGAACGATGCCAAAGATGCAGAAGAGCTCTTGACGAAACGTGCTCTTAATACTGCTGAGAGACCTCACTTGGTTATGGCGGGAGATCTGGTGGGATTTGGACGAGGTCTCGCCTTGATGCCCTACGATCAAGATGCAAAAGAGACCCGCAAACTAATCCATCTCACTGTCGGTGCAAAGGGATTATCAGCTCACTATAATCTTCTCGAGTCGGAGACGATACGGTTCCTTCGCGGACTCCGAGAATCCCCTCAAGATTTTATCGACCATCTCTCATAGTCAGTCTCACGTTTGATCAGCTACCACAAATTGACAATGATCTAGTTCTGCGGGTGCAATCATCCTCAAAATTGCCTATGGCTACGATGTCTTGCCGAAGGAAGATCCTTTGGTAGCGTTGGCAGCTGATGCTCTGGACAAGTTTTCTAGAACAACACTCCTTGGTGAATTTCCTGTCGATATATTCCCTATTCGTGAGTATCCAAGCATTAAATGTGCACTACACTCACCGTCCATCCAGTCCAATACGTACCATCATGGTTCCCAGGCGTACAGTTCAAAAAGCTGGCAGAGGAATGGCGCCCCATTGGAAAGGACCTGTTCAACAAGCCCTTCGACTTTGTAAAGGATCAAATCGTGAGATTTCTTGTCGGGCCTTTCTTGCGTTTCTTATACAGTTTACAGCGACAAGGCAACACCACCGACTCGTTTGCATCTAGGCATTTGGAGGCTCTCTCCGAGTGGAACGACGATGTGATTGGAAGTCGCGCAGAAATCATCAAGTCTACGGCAACCTCGCTCTATGCTGGAGCCGCAGACACTACAGTATCTGCGATGCGCTCGTTCTTCTTGGCGATGACAATCTATCAAGACATTCAATCTAAAGCGCAACAGGAGATTGATACAGTCGTCGGCCGCGGCCGCCTTCCAACGCTCGCCGACCGACCAAACCTTCCATACTGCGAGAGCCTGGTGAAAGAGGTTCTTCGATGGGGTGTTGTTGGTCCCCTTGGAATACCCCATGTCACCAAAGCGGACGAAACGTATCAAGACCGCCTTATCCCAAAGGGTACAGTCATCGTTGCCAACATATGGGCAATGCTTCACGATGAAACTCAATACCCAGATCCATTCATATTCAATCCAGACCGCCATCTCGGAGAGTCTGCGCAGCCGGATCCGACCCGCTTTGTCTTTGGCTGGGGGACTCGTGCTTGCCCCGGCTCACGAATGGCAACGGCGAGCATGTTCCTTAGCGTGACTAACACCCTCTCGTTGTTCAACATCCTTCGCGTCCGGGATCAACGTGGACAGGAGATTATTCCCGAAGCAGAATTTGTCACGGGCACCATCAGTCACCCGAAGCCGTTTCAATGTGAAATTGTTCCCCGACAAGACGCAAAGCTCAACCTCCTCGACGAGTAGACATCGATTTTTTCTTGCTATACGATATACTCTCACTATTCGATGTTGTATCTAGTCTCCTAGATTAATATTTATTTCAATGATAGTCTCGGGGACAATCGCATATTATGAGCACACACAAGTATACAGCGACGTGAGCATCTGGTAGTAAGACAGAGTCCATGCGAAAATGTGACTGCACGATAGAAAGGATGGAATGAGACGAATCCTTGGTTTACCTTGAGGTGTCTTCACACTTTTGCAGGTCTGATGGTGCATCGGTCTCATACTCGCGCAGTGCGCCACGCGCTTTGCATCGCTATACGTCTCGCCTATTACATGAATCAGTACGGATGATACTGCCGAGAACCAAGGATTGACATACCTGGTCATACGTAATAGAGTCCTCTCTTAGCTCGAGACTCTGCGCGCCAGACGAGAAGACGCTCGCTTCGCGTTTGACTTCTTCTTCCTCTTCTTCGTCGTCATCGTCGATATTCCGCGACGTTCCGCCTCGCATACCACCAAACGCGGCTTTGTTACCCGCCAAAGAGAACGGGTTCGCCTTGACCGCAGTGTGGAAGACGCTTTGTGGGGCGGTACCAGCAGGCCCGCCACCAAATACCTTTGTGTCGTTGAGGGTACGACGCTTGACTGGGGAGAGCGGCGGTGGCGATGGCGATGAGACTGCTCGAGAGGGTTGGTACTTGGCCGAGAGGTACTTGTCCGTGAATCGTGTACCCTTTATCTTAAGGTGTATAAGCTACAGATCAAGACGGTCTTACACAGTGACGCACCTTTCTCAGCAGTGGCTTGGCCGCGGCAATGTTTGGAGCATTGATCCAAACCTGAACGTTATGGGTAGCCTCTGGTAGTTCGCGATAAATGTTCTCGATGACCACTTTCTTCGTCGACTCGTTTCGTAGGAGGAGCTTTTCGTGCAACTCCTTCGCGACGTCGTCGACAGACTCATTGTTCCCGTGGACACGCTCGGCGACAGCCATGCCGACTTCTCGAATGAGACGTTCAATGTCCATATTCTCCAATGCCGATCCGACAATGGCTGGGGCCAGCAAGTTTGCTGTGGTCAACGGCAGCATGAGCCCCCTGGGTGAATGTGGTTGGACAATTGGACTGCACAAGCAATTCAAAAGGACGCACGATGTAATTTGAGTGATAGCATGATAAAAATCATTGGCAAACTGATCATCGTCAGGGATATGCGCGAGGTGGAAGAAAGACCCTTACCGCATAACCGCTCAGTGCAGGTTCGCAGGCGACGAAGAACTGGAGGATACCCAATCAGCACTTACACAAATTCATAAAAGGAAGAATAAAGGCTTACCAAGACGATTCCCCTAGAAGCCATTGTTCTGGCAATTCCCAGAGGGTCTTTCCCATCCGGGGAGCCATCATCAAATCCGTCACCGTACTCTCCAATTCCATGAGGCGGCGCGTCCGCGATGAGGACGACCATTTTGGCGGCGTGAGGACGCCAGTCCATGTCGAGGGCTTCACCCAGGGCCGCGGTGACGGCTTCTGGACCATCGCCTCCACCGGACGCAAAGAGCGTTTTCAGATTGTCGTGCATGATGCTAATGTCTGCAGTGGTCATTTAGTCCCATGAATGTCAGCCCTTTGCCGAAACGAGACCACATACCCGAAGTAAAGCCAAAGTTCTTTGTGATATAGGTATGATCCTGCGGGGGATGATCTCTGAATGCAATCAAGCCAAGTCGGAGATCATCTGGATACACGAGTTTGCCCGACTCGAAGATGGCGCGCGAAATCTCTTCGATATTCTTGGTGGCAGACGTGATGTAGCTACCCTGGCTGCCCGTACAGTCTTGAATGAACACTAGATCACTGTCATAATCCACCACGATCAGCTTTGGATATTTCGAGCCGCTCTGGCGTCAGCCCCTCGACGTGATGAGCAGCAACGACAAGGCCCCAACATGATCGCAGAAGGACTAGACACACAGAGCGAGTTGCAGAGCATGAAGAGCGACGTACAGTTGCTTTCGTCCATCTTCTGGCGGTGGATAGGCGTACTGGGCCTGATCCATCGCTGGACCGTCCATATCCGCATCCATCTCCATTTTTTATCGAGTTTTTCGTGTAGACTATCGATATCCAAGCTGGTTTTCCTGGAAACTGCTGTGCGCAAGAGATTTCGCGGCGCTGGTCAAGTCTAGCTTTGCCTCACTGCGACCGGCTGGCGTAACACAACGAGCTCACGTGGTTCATGCAACCCTCTTCTGGCCTCGCTTACGCACAAACACAAAATCAGTATATCGCAATGTCGTGTTTGATTGCAATTTGGGATACAAAAGAATCCCCTCTCCATCCCACTGGTAGTAGCAAGATGCGAAGGGGGAAAGCCAGCAACTATACAGTGCATAGGTCGTGTATATGCATGCAGCAGTACAGCTGCCACAGAGCAGCGGTTCATTCTTCGGCTGGAGTGCGGAAACAGTAACGAGTGCGCATGTCGTCCAAATGAGAGTGTGAATACGCTAGAAATACAGATAGCGTGCGTGTGTGCTTCGTAAAATGCTGTAAAAGGAGGATATATGCCTGTGAGTGATTCGATCGTCCAAGAGTATTTACGGATCGTCGAGTGTCTTGGTTCGTCCTCGTGCTTGTAACCCCTCCCCAAACCGCCGTGTATATGACTCGGGCGGGAGTGTAGCACAAGGCGTAGCGAGCCAAGGGATTATATGATGTAAGTCGAAATTGCGTGTTGGGCACAGTAGCTACTAGAGTGTATCGAGATACCGGCTCGGGTCGTGGTGCAAAGGAAAGGAATGGCTGATGGGCTAGCCACGGCTTTCTGCTTTTGAGATCTAGCGTGAAGCGATTGCGTGTACGATGTTCCACGAGAAAAGGAATGGTGTGCGGCGTGCTATCAAGGTGGTCGGTCCCCTGACTCGAAGTGCTACCCAGTCAGTGCGCAAAGCGCATTCCTGGATAAGACGTCAAAGGATAGCGATCCTTGGCAGGCTGACGCGAGACTGCAAAATGTGCGATTAATGCGACGACTACCCATCTTCATTGGCCATAGTCTCGGTGAGGCCACGCAGACGGGGGAGGAAATCCTCTGCCTCGTCCGCGACCTCGAGATGACGATGGTTGCGTCGGACTAACTTGAGACGTGGGGGGCGGCGGGCCCTTTGGCTGGACGGCTCCTCGTGAAAGAACAGGACTTCTGTCAGGTCGATCCCACTCTTCGAGCAGCCGCTGGCCAACGCTGGGTTCAATCTCTGTGCCATCTCGAGAGACCTTGACCTCTCGCTACAATCGTTAGATGCGCTCGTCATAAATGATTTTTTTGGGTACGCACGTCATGATTCCACGGATTTCGCAGGTGTCGTGTCCGAGTAAACGGTAGAGAATCGGTCCTGATCCACTTGACTTTAAACGGCGTTCCCCATCCTTCCTCTCGTCCACCAATAGTGGGCCGATTCGTGTCCTCGTCAGGTTTCACCTGGTCGATAGGCTTTGGTGACGACTCTGGAAGAGGTAAATTGTCGAGGTGAGTCGGAGAGAAGTCGCTGTCCGCCATTCGACCCGGAGGAGAAACAGGTGTAGACGCAACCACGGGTCGTGGTTCCGCCTCTTCCTGAATAGCGCCTGCTGACCAGATGGGCTTTGTACGCGCCGTATCCCATGTGTCCGCTTGTGTTGATGGCACTGACATTGAGAAGCCCTTTTCTCTTCGTTCCATCACCGCAGGTGCGCTGGCGGCACTGAGGTGCCTCAGCTGATCTTGATCTCCCGATTCACCTCCGGGACACTGTTGAGTAGGACTTGCAGCCGCGCCGGCTCTTTCGAGCGGGTGCAGTTTACGATCCTCCCCTGGGGTGAGCGGATCAGGAGAGTCTTGGAGAACCTCTCCAGAAAGCAAGTGAACCATCGAACGGTTGGAAATTGGATGTGCAGAGGGTGCAGATACTGGCGTTTTGGCTACTGTCTGCTGAGGAGAGTCGCCCTGGGCGTTCTTGTTTAGAGGCTCGGAATTCGGTTGCTGCTTCGGCTCTCTGTCACCTGGATGTGATTCACCCACATCGTTTTCCTCTTTCACCGTCGCAGGTGCAGACCGTGCATGACGAGGCGGAGTTTTGGGCTGCGACGTTGAATCCAATGGCTCGTCAGGAAGGTTCGCGGTGGCTTGATGCGATTCTACTTCATGTTCACTCTTCGAGCGCGCCTCGGATGAGGCACTCTCGCCCTCTTCTTCAATGGTCGGCTCCGCCGCAAGACTACGTCGCAGGACCGGTGACGTTTTGGGTCCTCCTGTGGCAGGAGGCTCACGAGATGCCCATTCGACGGCTGGGTTGCGTTCAACTTGACTGATTGGGCCGTCCATGCTAGCCAAAAAAAAAAGGGTTAGGAGACAAAATATCAAGAGAAGGCAAGAATTGTGACGAACCGTGCATAACCAAAGAATTCGCCACTCTTGTTCACGCCAAAAATCAGATAGACAGTGTTGGAAGTCCTATAAGCTTGGTCCAAAATTTCCTGATTGTGAGCCTGAGTAGCCCAGAGACCACGCTGAACGCTAAGATCGAGGTCATACTGGAAGAATATGACTTGAGTTGTTGAATTCTGGCTCAAAGGCACCAAGAGACCCACCTGAGTTAGCGACTTGAGGATAAAGTATCGCACAGGGAAGTGACTGGCTAGGAGACTCGATGTGGTAGAGGCATGCGAAACACTCGAGCCGCTGCTCGACTTTTTCGAGACGGCAGGACCCCCACGATGGAGAGGGGGTCGTTCCATTGCCTCGTCTCCACTTTCGGCGCGCGATGAGCCGCTTCGCTTCCGTGGAACATTCTCCTTTACCCATTTTGCATGGATCCCCATCCCTCTCTGTCCGCCTACGCCAGCCTTGAGGTCATCTCCCTTTTTGCGCACGCGACAAACCAGCTTTGGACATCGAGGATCTACCTATCGATGATCAAGATGTGAGCAGCGTTCGATACTAGAGGACGACTGGGAGCTATACCTGAGGACTTCGGAGCGGTTTGCCATTGAACCATTCGACGGCCTGCTTCAAGCTCTCCTCCGACGCATAATTGATAAACGCGCAATTGGACCGTGAGATAAGAAAGACCGAAACAATGTCATTTGATTTGGGACGAGCCGTTTCAGGTGATTTCATTTCTGCCTCTTTGTCCTCACTTGACGGTTGCTGGGCTGTTGACACGGGTGATTGTCGTGCCGCAGGATGTAGAGTCCGCGTGCTGGTGTCACTGCCCTCACGATTCCCCTCGACAGCGACAGGCGGACTTTGGCCAAAAAAGGTTTCGAGCTCGTCCGAGGTTGCATCCCCTGGCACATTGCCGACCCACATTACCCACTCGGATCGTTCCCCCTTGTTGGTTACGTTAGCCGACTCCCTTACGTTCACCCCGTCAGGCTGGTTCTGCCGTGCACTAGCAGGGATTTGGAGTGTCGGTGCCGACGTCAGGGGCTGGCGTTCGACACCAAAGGCTGTTGATGGCAGAGATGGCCCGTCTCCGCCAGGCATCCTCGGAATACTATTGCTACTTCCCTGGCCACTCCCCAGATATGGGTCGGAGCTGTTCGCGCCACTGCTTCCGTAGCCAGATGCAGACTGGCTGCCGCCACCTCGAGGACGGTCGGATAGAGCGTTTCCGCCTTGATTCGAGCCTAATCCAAACGGACTCAAACTTGCAATGTTTGAACCTCGATTCCCTCCAGGACTCAAAAGAGAAGCTGGGGTGGGTGAAGTGACAATGGGCGAATATGGATGGTTTGGAGGCGTTTGATTTGCCGGGGAATAGGGCATCGGAGAAGGTGAAACCTGTGGTGGATGAACCTGACGTTGGGAGAGGTTCAAGGGTGGAGGGCGAGGCCCAGGGTGCGATTGCGAAAAGCCCATGGAATATGGTTGGTGATAGGCTGAAGGACTCGCGTACTGCGGCGTGAAGATGGGACCCCCCGTCGGGGCAAAAGCCGGGATGCTGTATCCATAAGGAGCTGAACTGACGATTATTGGTGCATAGGCAGATATCATTTCCACGCCCCCAGGGCCGTGTGCATGGGCCGACTGAGCAGTGTGTTGCGATGGTTGTGCAGATGTCCCGTGCGCATCAGCTTCAGGATAATGCGACAGCGGCGCGGGCGTCAGACCATTGAGAGGCGAATACGCGTAACCATGCATGGGATGCTCCGAGAGGTGTGGGTATGGGTGAGAATACGCATAGGTAGGGATGGATGACCCTGTGGTCGTCTGTGGACCGAGGTAACCCTGGTTCACATTGAAAGCACCCGAGGGTGTATTCTGCTGCATATGGGGGTGAGACACTGGATGAAACGGCGGATAATAGACTGTTGGCGAAGGCTGCTGGCCCAGGTACGGGTGGTGAGGCTGCTGATGCTGCTGGTGGGACGAGTAATAGGTCGTTGGTGGATTGGACGTATGAGCGTGCTGCTGTTGCTGCGTTTGAGAAGGATGCCGATGCGACACAGGGGGGGTCGGACGGGTGTTTCGGCTCCTGGGAGCATTGAGGGTGAGATAGCTAGTCCCCGATGGATCTGCCGGTTCATTTGCTACATCTGTATCGATGGTGGCAGTGCTATTGGTGCCGTGGAATGGGTCAGACGGCGGCTCATAGGGGGAATGGTCCATGCTCGACTGGCGCGGGGTCTGCGGATGCAGGCGTCGAGGTGCAAAGTACGAGTCTGACTTGATGAACCCAGAATCTAGTACCCTGTCATTCAGTCGGTGCGCGTTTGAATTCAGGAGAACGTTCTCGAGAGGTCCCCGGGAGAAAGCTTGGGCGACGCTGGCTGGGGGGGAGAGTGAATACGCTACTCGAGAAGATCCAGTGGTTGTGTCCGACACTTCTCTGCGCTGAAAGAAGCGCTCCCCGGACGCGGGGCTCGGGATCGACCAAGCGGGCTTGTCGTGGGTCGGACGAGACGCGGGCAGCTGCTGGAGCGCGTCTGGACCGTCTAAAGACGCCGAGTTGTAGAGAATAGTCCGCTGGTCGCTGTCTGTAGCGTGTCGGGGAGGACGAGTAACGAAATCTAGACAACGGGGGCCCGTTTGCCAACGATCAGCGCGTCCAGTAAGCACAGAGAGCGCAGAAGAGGGTCGAGGAGAGGGTCAAAGTCGTAAAAGAAAGAAAAGAAACGAAGGAAAAGCGACGCCAGATCTCTCCAGTTATCAGTGGTGGTGATGAACAAAATTCAGCACACCCGGCCGCCGTCGTCGTGGCACGGCAATAGTTTTAGAAATCCAGGAATCAGCAAAAAGCCTTTGCTTACCAAGATTATGCATTGCAGGGAGCTCCGAGTTGAAAGCAGTAATAACTACAGGTAATAAGACGTCCAATTGGTCTCAAACTGGTCCAGGGCATCTCCCCCAGTGGCTTTTAAGTACATTCGACAGCGCACAACGCGAGCGAGCCATCCACTACGTCACGCCTCTGGCTTCCATTTAGAGCCTAAGATCCAGTGGAGGTCCACTTGGGAGATCTAAAACCACCAGGGCTTAGCGTATCACACTCTCAAGGCACGTTATGACGCCTTCACAAACGTAAGAGGGGTCTCCAACCCTCCCCTCCCGGGCTACACCACTTTTCGCCGCTTCTTTGTCTTCTGGTCCTTTGCTTGCTGCTTGAGAGCCCGTCGTTCCTCTCTCCGCTGTCGTCGCTCAGCTTTGCGCTGTGCTCTGCTGTCAGCTGACGACGATCCATCCCCTTGCCCAGTTCCAGAGTCTGTGGCCTCGGCTTGCTCTGACTGCTCGGATATAATCTCTCCACGGTAAAACCTTCGATACAACTCTCTTCGAGCTGCTTCGCGCTTGGCCATTGCCAGCAAGTCCCCCTTTGAGCCGCCTCGGTCAATGCCGACGATGTGCCACAGTCGGGTATGAGATTGTCCTCGACGACTCTCCGCTGACTCGTGCCCGGTCTCCGATTGGACAAGATGCCGGTTCGAGTAAGTTCAAGCACCTGGCGATCCCTCTTCCCATGCCGTCCAAGTTCCTGAGAGTCTGTTGCGGCTTGACCGGCCCCGGTCGAATTTGATGCCGTGTCATCACACTGTTGGTCGCTTTCCTCGTCCCCGTCATCCCCGTGGACCTTGATCTCGATCGCTTGGGCCGCAGCGGCGTACACACTAAAGCCCCGCTCATTAGTTTCCATCTCCCACGTCCCCCGTTGAAATAATTAAGACATATATAGTCTTTTCCACTCACTGGTCCCAGAATTGAAACCCGTCATCACGGTTTTGACCGATGCCTTTGAGATCCTTTTTCTGCGCTTGTACCACCGGCCGCTCGAGTCCTCCGTCCCGAAGTGCTGTTCCTTTTCCCTTCCAACCCCTGGATGTCAGGTACAGATGCGAGTCCAGCGGCATCGTCAACTCTTTTTTTTGGGTTCAACCAGATCACAGAAGATGCGGCAGGCTGCGGCTGTCAGAACCCGATTGTTTTTGAAATAGATACGCGATAAGGATAGTTCAATCGTGCTCTATGATTTTCTGGATTGTTCGGCAGGTGGCGCCTGGTGGTGGCTGGGGGTAAGTAAGAAGAATGACAGAGCGCTCAGAGCGGCCCATATTTACTTCAAAACTATCTTTGATCATCTCAAAGTCATGTGCGACGTGTCCAAACGCGAACAGTTCGTTAGGTATATTATTCGGAGTCTAGTCGTACGTGAGAATTTAGAAGCGCGCTTGGGTTTGTGCCAAGTCAGAATATATTTGCTATCGCACCAGATTCCCCCACCAAGCCGCCAGGGAAGCGAAAATTCCGAGCCCGGTCCCAGAATTCTGAATGTTTCGGAACACGGTACTCCGGAATATAAACCCCAAACTCGCGCTTAGACCACCAAGGATAAGCACCATCCTGGCCAGACCCCGGAAGCTAGTATTGATGAGCGGCTGCTTTGGGCCACCCGGCATCGAGCCAGACCTGGAACAAAGCATTAGAACATGACACATGAGGCACTGAATTTCTCGGTGGAGGTATGCAGAATAAAGGGAAGAAGGGTCATGCGCTCAAACTAGCGCTGGATACGTACGGGTTCATGGCGATACGACATATCGTTGCAAACACGTCGGCAGTTTGAGACGTTTTGATGCTGACTGCAACAGGAACTTGGAGCGACAGGCGGCGGCAGTACACGTCCGGCTGAACCTCGTGTCTTTGCTGGGCCAGATCCAGGTCAGACTTTGTCGCTACGAATAACGTAGGGATCCCATCAAGACTATACTGTTGCTATTCTGATGTCAGCAATCTAAATCCTCCATCTTCTCGGAACACATACACGCAGGTTGCTGATGTATGAGAACGAGTTTGTATCACTCGAATCATAAACGTAAAGGATCACGTCCACGAGGTCGGCTTTCTTGGAACTTCTCAGCATTTCTGCTTCGTATTTTGAGCCGAATTCCTGCATCTATCCGCGTCTGTCAGGACCATGTGGCTTTTTGAGCGACCATGTCATACCACCAGATATTTTTCGCTTCCATCAATCTCCACAGAGTTGACAACACTCATTCCCTTTGTGGTGGGAATATAGGCGTCCCGGTATCCCTTGCGTACAAAGCTCCGGAGAAGAGCAGTCTTTCCGCTCCCTGCGGCGCCGCATACCCAACACAAGAAGACGTTTCTACCTGCAACTTTCCCTTTGCCCTTTACGGAAGCCACCGGTTTCCCTCGTCTATCTAGCCGTCGTGGCCGAGTGACCCTGAGCGCGGTGGTCGTGTCTGAATCCGGATAGCCCAAGTAGGCAAGGTATGCAAGTGTCGTCTTGTGCTCAAGAAGGGTTGTCATGCTCCATTGTGCGAGCCATCCTTGAAGTGTTACTGCGCCCGATTCGTCAGATGTGGTCGTATCAGGGAAGCCCTGGTTGCTCCATGGATTTCCGGGAGATGTCTCAAAGAGGTTTGTCAGTTCCGATAAGTTGAGCGCGCCGTCCTTGTCCTGTAGGCCGTCAAAGACTGCCTGCAATTGATATCAAGAACACTGACCTTGTCAAACCCAACAAAAAGATTGGTGAGGAATTCGTACCCTTTCTGGCTGAGCTCCACGCTACACCCATGCGGGACGTCGAATTTTGGATTGAGGAACTCTTCAGTGAGCCTCAGGTCTTCCGCGTATCCAAATTTGCGAAGGACAGTCCAGGTTGTCTCCATACGGCCGCGTTGAATGAAGATGGTATGCAAATAAAGGAAACCAAGCTCTGTTAAGCCGGTCACCTTTCCGGTAGGTGTTACCGTTTGCGAAGAGTTGGACGAGAGATCACTCGGGAATGAGCGCGATGGACTGGATGCTCGTGAAGAGCGAGAGGAATAAGACGAGGGAGATGATTTCGGACTTGGTGCTGGCTCGCTATTCACGACTGCGACTCCACCTTCTCCAAACTGCCGGACCATGTCCTGGATTCCTTCTAATTCTTGTGACTGTAATGGGGAGTCGAAACATTTCCGCTGAAACTCGTTGAGTTCAGCTGCATCCAGTATGCCGTTCTTATCGACATCACATAACTTGAAGATTCGGCGTAGGGCGGCTTCGCAAGCAGGCTTGAGAACCTGCCATGGTAATCAAAATGAGATCCTGTATGAACGGAATAAACTTACGTGCTCTCTGCTGTCGTACAAGGGCGCGGTTGGATGCAGCACGGCTTTTTGGGCAAAGTAGAACACTTCGGAGATGTTCAAGGGAAGTTTTGCACTGCTCTCTACACAGGTCTCAACCTCTTTGAATTCAGCCATGATGGGAGCAATCTCCTCTTCCAAACTCTGGTTGGTGAGGCTGATACGGTTGGGGTGGTGCCCAGCATGATGGGAGTGAGCGCCATGATGTTTTTGTGAATGAGATGAACGTGGAAATGATGTCCGTAGATCGATTTTATTGCCGACGAGAATCAGCGGAACGTTGACGCCTGTGGCTCTAAGCCACGGCAGCCAATAATTCGGAATACGAGAGAATGAATGTGGATCGTCGATTGCGTAGACGATGCAAATAACGTGCGCCTTTCTGACCTCGGATTCTAGATGGGGTCGATCGTCCGGTTTTGCTGGAGACGAGCGAAGTGAGCAAAATCAATCGTCAAAATGCATAGACACAGTAAACGAAAGTCACGAACAGCCAGTATCGACAATATATGTGGTAATGTTTTCCGGAGTTGTCTCCGGCGGGATGGTGACTTCAGGAACGATATGTTGGACCTGATAAGCAGTTTCCCCATATTTGGTATATGAATCCAAGACGTAGAATAGTTTAGGTCACGCCAAAACGAAACCGTGGTATTGGCAGGGGGCACACGAGCCGGATTGACGCGTATATGGTTAGAGGTGTTTCCGGCGACAATGAAGGAGCATTACATTAGGTATAAATGATTCTTTGATGAGCGACGTGATGATTGTCGACTTGCCAACACCCTCTAAACGATGCCAGAAAGGTCGTGTTAGCAAATGAGCTCGAAATTCCAGTCGCGAGAGTATACTCACCATCACCTATGAGTACTATTCTCACATCTCTTCGCATAGTTTAAAGGACAAGGCCCTACACAAGGCAGACAGGCAAAGCGTAGAGGAAGTGGACGGAGTCAAGCTGGCGAGTGGCCATACACACCTCCAAGTGATGAATTCTCGCAGTGTTACTGAATTATTAGAATATTTAAGACTGTAGCTGAGTGTCCAAACTATTTCGCTAAGGTTCACCCGCATGGAAACCATCATTTGGACCCGTCTTCGACCACCCAATTTCTTTGCCGTTCACTTCAACTACCACAGCTCACTTCAAACATTTCTACAATGTCTGGTACATCTCCAAGACCGCCTTCATCGCCCGGAGGGCCTACAAGAGCCTTGGCTTTCATCAAGAATCACGCCCTCAAGCATAGACTGACCATTGAGCGGCGTATAACCGATGCTGGTTTCGACATAGTCAAAGAGAGACAGGTGAGAATTGGAGAAACAGCTCCCGAGGGACTCTGGCTTACCTGGTATCGGTGCTAGATGGAATTCAGCCCAGACAGCGACCGTGAGGTGCTCGAAGAACTCTTTGGAAATGATGCAGCCGGAATTGGAGAGTGAGTGTGACTGCCAATTGCATATGCACGGTGCCTCTGGCGAAACGCTGTGCCCAAGGCGCTTGACGCAACGTCTAATAAAGTTGCGCCGCCCGACGTTTCTCTCAAATGATTTGTCTATTTCAATCCATCTCACCATGATTACAGCGCTCCAGTCTGGGTATATGTCCTTGAACGCTACCGAGCAATCGAAACTCTTCAGTCCCTCATGGGGAGCGAGGATCCAGAAGAAGCTCGTCAGAACGAACCTCAATCACTGCGAGCTGTATATGGAATCGACTTTGTAGACAACGCTATCGGAGGATCCATCGACTCGGCTGCAGCAGAAGCTCAGATCGCTGCTCTCTTTGCTTCGTCACCTCCCTTCCCCACATCAGAGCTCCCTCTGGAAGACGAACAGGGCACTGGTACAATGCGGTCCGTGTCCTCGTCTGTTCTCGATGAGATTCGCAACCAGTTGGATCAACAAACCGACGCGGCCTATTATGCGTCATCTGTTCGCTCCAATGGAGGATCGCAGCCCTCGAGCAGTGGTACGCCAACCAGTGGCAAGAGAGCCAACGGTGTTTCCACCACTGGGAAGCCCATCTTCCGTGCGCGACCCGTCCCGGCCACCAATGTCCCTGGCTCTGTACAACCTCGCATGACCAAAGCAGCTGCACTGCGCATGGGACTTGCTCCACCAGAGTCTGCGTCTTCTCGTCCTCGGGGGTCCTCAACGGGTGAAATAGTTGGCAAGCGCGACTTTATCGACACGCCAGGCCATAAGCGGTCGACTGTCATCAAAGTCGCTTCTACTGCTGCTCCCACCATAGCTCCTCGTCCGACAAAAGCGAGCTCTCTCCGCGAGGGCAAGCCCGTAGAGGTCCAAAGGCGGCAGAGCCTGGATGTCTCGCGCACAGAAATCTTCAAGAACATTCCTGGTCATAAGAGAACGGAAACTGTCGAAGTCGCGAGCGTAAAGGAGCCCACGGTAAAGCCGCGTACCAATCGCAGCGCTTCCCTAAGGCAGAACAAGGATACCGCACCACCGTCATCCTTCATGTGTAAGTTTCAATTCGCATTTGCTCTTTGACACTGACATTATGAATAGTCAAAGGTCCCACTGCGCCTCCCCTCGCGACTCGTCGCTCCTCGTCATCTTTGAAGAACGAAGAGATTGAAAATAAGCCAGCTGCAGCACCTCGAAGGGCCTCCATTGGATCTCGCCCGTCATCTGCTCAACTTGTTCGTCCACCCTCGGTAGGTCCGCCAGATGTCGCGCCGCGCACAAACCGCAGCGCCATGTTGCGCGCAGCAAAGATGAATGCGACGCAACCCAAAGCTACGCGGGCCTGAGAGGTTACGAACTGGATACCCGGCGTCGATTCCCTTAAAAAACAATATTCTATTCACTATGTGCTATGCCTGACCTAGCTCAATCATCCTTTCTTTATGCATCTCCGTCTCGCTCAGTGTCTTACGAAGAGCGCCCTCTTCGCAATCTTTTCTTTTTGGGTCGAATTTCTAGTTTATTTATGTAACTACCATACGGACAGTTACCAGACCTGAAACGTTGTTGTATATCTCCATTGTCCGCGATTAGATAAAGGTGTGACGAGTCATAAACGAGGTATGTGCACTCTATTCATGCGATGCTGGAGGTGAGGTTTTAGCTGTTGGGGTTGGAGGACTGGGTGCCCGATTCGGGTTTATGGCGCTCATAGTCGCTAATCGCGTCATTGAATTTCCTTCCTCTGCTATCGCATCTTGCCCTCGAGATGGCATTGTGCCGTGCCGTATCCGCTTGAAGGAGGTATCCCTTAGGAACACATCTACCGTTTTCCGCTTACTGGGCGACCTAGACAATAAATCAGTTAACATGGAGTTAGTAGAAATGTAAGATACGCACGTCGGGGGAGGAGGGGATGAGCTTCGAGGACTTGGTGCGTCCAAGGGATGATAGGCTCGCATCATGGGGTTGTGCTCATGACGGAAGTGATTAATTATCTCATTGTCTCTATCCAAATCTTGAACACGAGCCCATGCCTGCCGCTGTGCCAGGCCTGGCATTGTCGCCGTTTGCTTCTCTTTCGACTGCTGAGCGAGCGCAGATCCGTCGTCTTTTGCGTTTCTACGTTGATCCCAGAACCAATATGCGAACCAAATAAGCCCGGCAATGACCACACCGCCTACCACGGACAGTGTGATAGCGACCCTATAAGCCGTTTAGCGATGAAGCGTGGTTTGAGCCAAATAGCATACTGCTTTCCATTTATCTTGGTGTCATCAAACCACTGAATGCCCAAGATTCCAGTGACCACTGTGAGGGGTAATGAGGCGACCGTAACAACAGCGAGGATTTGCAAGAGGTTGTTGGTGCGGAAGGCTAGCGTCTGAGAGTGGTGAGTTTAGAAATGTAGGGTGCAGCACCGTGTACCTACGTTGAATGCAAGATTTACTATAGCTTCGGCCCTGCGCACGATGTCTGGCAGTTCCTCATTCAGCAGGGATATCAAGCCCATTTGATCCTTGATCATAATCCTGCAAGTAAACTCATCTGGCTGATGTGCAAGTAAGTGAAAGGCAGGCTTACCGTGTCCTCTCAGATATGAGGGCATTTGGCCTTCCTTCCATTTGCTCTGCGGCATATAGTAAATTTGCAGCAGCGTTCTTCAAAGACGTTGTATCAAGGCTGAGAATGAAGAGTCGATCTTGGAGGTGGTAGACTAAAGACCAAAGTCAGCGGTCTGTCAACGGCAGACAAGATTCGACGAACAGTACGATAGATTTGCTTGCGTTGGTTGAGCTGTACTTCTCACAAAGGCTTCTCCCATCAATTTTCCAATCTCATGGACACTAAATCGAAGATCTTGAATGACGGCTCGTAAAATGCCGTCTGTTTCGGGTCAGCGACGAGCCGAAGAAAAACTGACACGCACAGAACATGAGAGATGGGTCCTTGCGGAGGACGATCTGGTCTCAACAGTCAGGTTCCAGCCCAGCTAAGGACAGCCACCCACGCACCTCTGGTCTAGAACAGCCTCGGTCCACAAAATCCAACACTCTGGTCATGGACGAATCTAGAGAGTTGAGGGTAGTGCAAGTAATCAAAACCGCTACTCGAATGCGTGAGCAGTTGAGAGGGAGTAGGACCAAATTCGTACGGTATTTCCCTCCACCATGCCAGATAAACAGACGTGTGCTCTGATTCTGGAAGTGAACCAAGATGACACCATCTGACCATTCCATACTGGCACGAGTCCCTAATGAACGTCAGATCCCACGTTTGGTATCTCAGAAATAATCTTACATGTAAAAATTCCACCAAACTTTCGAAGTGGCCAGTCTAGAAATTGCGTTTAAACCAAGAAATTGATTAAAACACGGCCTAAGACGGGACTAACCCACTGTTTTTGCAAGGGCTTTGAGAGTCGGCCCATTTAAGCCTTCACAGTGTACCCATCTCCAAGCATCGTGAGGCATTGGCGAGTTTAGGAGCTTTTCAATGGCATCAATGTCCTTGACGGGCGGATACCATTTGCTGGGTACAGGTGTCTCCTTGCGAAATTCGACCACCTGAACGGTCGTCTCCGCTACCAAGATGTTAGATACTGCTCACTCTTGGCGATATACTCACCGTCTGGAAACAAATTCCCGTCCGCGAAAATATCCGGTGGCGAATAACTGGCATCGGTGATTGTTGGTGGTTCTTTTTGGAACACGGCATCCGCTCCGTCCTTTTCTGACTGTGTGTACCACCAGCGAACCTCTCCTTCATGATCTCGCAACGCTCTTCGCCAGCCCTTTAAGAGATAGCCTTCGTCCGGACGCGCACTACCAACGTGTCCATTTATTAACCTAAATCGTAGTGAAAAGTTGGGTATGTAAGTCGACGGTGACGCTCTGAGAGTGTGATTGCTCGACCTCGAATGGGTTGCTTCGTGCTGTTGCTGTACAATATCCTCCTCTGGTTCATCTACGAGGTCCATATCCATTGTTCCTGTAGAGTCCATGAGTTTACATCGCGCCGCAAGCTGCTTGGAAAATGCGCGACCTTTTCTGGTTTGTCCATCGGACCGCTGGTCGATCATTGAGGGTCGTCGGGGTTCCATTATGCAAAATTATCGGATTTGAGTTGTAACTGGCCTAGTTTATAAGTGCTTGCTTGTAGCGCCAGGGAACAACAGACTGAATGGGCGTTAACCAACCTCAACAGACTGGGCTGCTGCTTTATGGCCACAAATTTGACAGCGCTGGTTAGAATTGTAGGGATGGGATAGTTGGAATTCCTGTTTAGCTTTTAATTGCGAAAGAGGCTGCAGCCCAAGAGTGCTGCATGGCAACTTTGTTCATTCCGTGCAGCTCTAATGTCAATAAATGTTTAAGACAATGGTCAGAATCATGTAAAGTGGCCATTCTTTGATCGCGGTGATTGTCCGGGAGGAGTAGCCAACTACACTCTTTCCACTCCGCCACGACAGCTGGCAAGACGCTCCTTGACTGCAGGCCGGTAGAGATTCGACACTAAACCATGGCTCTGGGTGTATTTGGAGCGTTTAAGGGCATTGATGCCTTTGGCAGAGTGCGTTGTGCTTGTTGACGATTCGTCGTTCCATCGTCAGGTTTGCTAATACCGCTCCCGTTTATTCTAGACAAGCGAAGATGTCAAGGTCAAGACAAGAACAGGGGCCTTTCGTGCGTAGAATTGCTACTTTGCTGGCCAGCTCATTCGACTGACATTTCATTCGTTGGCACGCACAGTCACTCTTATCTCGGCCTTTTTCATCGCAACATTTACCTTTATCGAGTTTATGGACTTTCGACGCGTAGGCGTGGATACTGCCATCGTTGTCGACCGCAGTCGTGGCGAAAAGCTCCAAGTCGTCTTCAATATCACCTTTCCCCGCGTTCCATGCTTCCGTAAGGCATCTTCACTACTCTTACACATGTCTTTCTGATGTACGGAATTAGTTCTCAACCTGGACGTGACCGACATTAGCGGCGACGTCGTCCGCGAAATCACTCACCATGTCGTCAAGACTCGTCTCGACCCCGCCGCCCATCAGCCTATTCCCGACGGAATATACCGTACCGATCTCAAGAGTGACCTGAGCAAGCAACTCACTGCGACGAGCAAGGGCTATTGTGGCTCGTGCTACGGCGGTCAGCCACCAGAGGGTGGATGCTGCAATACCTGCGACGACGTTCGGAGGGCATATACCGATCGTGGATGGGCCTTTGGAAATCCCGACCAAATTGATCAGGTGCGTTTGCTTTCCCGGCCCTCACTCGACTGACATATGATGTGCTTCAGTGCGTCAGCGAGAATTGGACAGAAAAGATTATGGCAATGCAACGCGAAGGATGCAACATTGAGGGCCGTGTGCGTGTCAACAAGGTCACTGGCAATATGCAGTTCAGTCCCGGTCGCTCGTTTGTCGTCAACCGCCCAGAAGTTTACGCTCTGGTCCCTTACCTCAAAGACTCGAATCACTTCTTCGGACATCACATCCACTCCTTGGAGATCTATGACTACGAGGAAGATACCTGGACACGAAGAAATCTACCTGAGCAAATCAAGGAGCGCCTCGGTATTACCAAACCCCCGCTTGAGGACGTCTACGCACATGTGAGTAATGAACTGAGGGCCTGTCCCGTTCACTTATCAGATGCAGACCGAAAGTGCCGATTACATGTTCCAATACTTCCTAAAGGTTGTCAAAAGCTCGTATAAGAGCCTCGACGGCAAGGCTGTACGTTCCTTCATTTCGAAATTGTCCCTCGGCTGACCGTCGTTACCAGTACTCGACCCACCAATATAGCACGTCGTCATTTGAACGAGACTTGGCGACCATGAGCCACGGCAAAAACGAGGACGGTATCGAAATCGTTCACGAGCGTCAAGGCGTACCCGGTGTCTTCTTCAACTTTGAGATCTCGCCCATGGAGGTCATTCACATTGAGCAGCGTCAGAGTTGGGCGCACTTCATTACATCGTACGTCTCTTTGGAAGCATATTTTGTCTATTAACTCATACCAACGACAGTATGGCTGCAATCATTGGCGGAGTCTTGACGGTGGCAACTCTCGTCGACGCGCTATTATTTAACACGCAAGGGCTCATCAAAAAGGGTGCTGCGGCTGTTGCAGCAGACGGAAAGCAACCTTATCAGCCAGCACCAGCCGTCAAGATGATGTAATTTGTATATTGACATTTGAAGCTGACTATTTACCGCCTACGAGTGTGCACGCATCGGCTGAGAGGCTTATTTCAAAGACCCTTCATCGTATTGTATCGGGCGGTGAGTGCCTTGCAGATCTATATCCACTGTCAATGTGTGCATGGACGCGGTAGGAAACCGTCACCTCTTCGCTCAGCACGCGCCATTCGTCACCCCAGCCCATATTCTTGTCGCTGTGGTACCTTTGGACGGCCTTGAGAAAGTTCTTCTTGGAAATATTGCTTGGATCGTCTTTGTCGATTGGCGCCTCGGCTGGACCTGAGGATCAATCAATACCTCTTGCCCAGAGCGTCATTGGATTTATGAACGGATACCTTCGGTCTTGGGTGGAAACTCTTTGAAAATGTACTACATATTAGATCAGCTCACCCGCGTCGGTATCAAGGAGAAGGAAGCAGACTTACAGCGACAAACTCGGCGTTGGTTTTCCTCTCCCCCGCTTTCAACTTGGTGATCTGGTCGGCTATCTTTTCAAGAATCGGTGCACGTTGTTTTTCCCACTCCTTTGCCTCGGCAGCGGCCAACGCGTCGCGGTGCGCCTGGACGGCGGTGACACACTCTTGATACCATTCTCCCTTGGGCAACGTAGGGGCGAGTGCGGCTGCAAGCTGGACTGCTCGAAGATAGAGCTGGTGCGCACTGTGACATACGATGAGCACAATTTATGCTAGGCGATGTGGGTTACTGACACGACGGGCAATTTGATCACCTTTGCGAAGAATCGAGCAAGACGGGAAATGATCAGACCCTCGAGTTCGATGTCGCTTCCTGCTGCATAGTTGAGAGCAACGCTATGCAATACTCAGGATGGCCCTCGCGTTGTTGAAAGCGTCCTCACCGGTAATCATCCTGAGCAAGGAGTGCCCTTGCGAGTGTCTCACCCTCTTCTGGGTCGCCTTCCATCGCCTCTTTGAAATGAATGTCACCCGAGTGGAGTAGCTGAAAGGCCTGGCATCTCGAAAGTTGCATATTGGTCTCTTCTCGAAGAACTTGGGCACGACTGAAACCAAGAAGGGAGTCGAGGCACCAAGATTCTTTGTAGATAATGCCCTGAGTCTTGATTCTCTCCTCGAGGTCTACCAATACGTCGACCTCGGAGTCTTTCGACTTGAGCAGGCTCATCGCTTTGGCCCAATTGTTCGCATTATACAAGCGAACCGATGCTTGGAAGCAATGCTCGATAAGAGAAGCGCTGGTCTCGTAGAAGAGGACGAGGATATAGGAGTCTGACTTGCTGGCTCGGACTGCGCGGTCGAGATGTCGCTGGACTCCATGCAGCAAATCCTGTCGCTCAATACCCTTGTGCTCGCTGAAAATGACGTCTGAAAGTACACGGTGAAATTCTGAGACAGTCGCTTCGTCTTGAGGGGTGATTTGGTCGTTGGCATGCAGCCAGCGCCAGACAGTGAGGGCCTGATCAAACAAATAAAGCAACTGATGGAGGTCACGCTTTACAAGACCTCCGACATGTAGCTCCTCAATGGCGCGTGCCTAGACGGACGCAGTCCCTGTTAGCAAGGGAATATCGAGCGGAGAGGAACTATTTCGACTTACATTTGCGGTCAAGAGACGACGCTGGAGTAAACTATAGTCCATCTTGTTGACACACTGGGACTCGGCGGTGTTGAGAGTCAAGAGAGCCTTGTTGACTCTGTCGCGGCGGATGGTCGTCCCAAGGCCTTGCTGACGAGAGCTCTCGAGTAGTTCATCTGCCTTGTCGATTGCAGTTTGGATCTGCGGGCTTGCCATGGCGAGACAGTCTCCGTGCTGGGTGCTGGAGAGAACCAAGGTGGGCCGTCCCATCCAGCCCGAAGTGTTATCACATAGTCATTCCATTCCCAGAATAGCACCCGGAGATGATTTGCGCAGATGAATATTCCAGGTTACAAGTGGATCGCACCAACCCCGTCTAGAGCCCTCCAAGCTGCGGATATATGAATATGTTTAAAGAGTCCACAACATCCTATAAATCGAGCTTTGTCGGTTTCAGACAATCCATCCGAGTTAACAATTGGACGCCAGCTGCAGACTTCTATGTGTCCTGCTCATAGTCAATACACTCTCAAGAATTTACTAGTTTATTTGGGAGCATTCCACAAATTTTGCGCACCCCGAGCGACTTTTGGTCGTATGCGCAACTTTTGACTAATCGCTCATCCGTCGATATTTGCTCATGACTGTACACTGGCTACACCCAGCGATTCCTATATAAGACAATGGTTTGGAGGCAACTTTTATCCAACAAAAACAACCAAATCCATCCAACGAAATGCAAGTCTTCATCCTCGGTGCGACTGGAAGCATAGGCGGTGCCCTCTTGCCTCTTCTCCGTCAAGAGTACCCCTCTGCAGACATTACTGCACTCGTTCGCAAGGATAGCGATGCGCCAGTCCTAGCCAGTTCGTGTCCTCCTTTCACCTCTACACGAGCTATTTACTCACACTGCGACAGAATTCGGAGTCAAGAGTGTCAAGGGCTCTGCCGAGAAGCTCGAATTAGTCACAGAACTCTCATCCAAAGCAGATCTCATCATCAATACTGCAGACGCCGACATATTCGACGCTGTCAAGGCGATTCTCGACGGAGCCAAGCGTCGCTACGAGGCTACTGGCAAAAAGTCGATTTTTATCAATATCAGTGGAGTCGCAGTAACCATTAGCACTCCAGAGGGTGTTTTCCGTGAGACTTCTCAGGTCTACGACGTATGTCCTCTCCGTTTCGTCCGTCATAGAGCTCAGGCTGACCTTTTATAGGATCGTGACAGCGCCCTCACAAAGGGCCTGCCAGACTCAGCTCCTCATCGCAACGTCGAGAACCTCGTTACCGAAGCCGATGTGGCGGGATACGTTGCAGTCTATACACTTTCCCCCGCCACCGTCTACGGCGCATCCAAGAAGAGTTCGATCACGCGTCAGACACTTCTCGCCAAAGTCCTCCTCGCTACCGTCAAGCAGAGTAAAAAGGTACACATTGTCGGCGAGGGCAGTAACCTGCTCAACTTTGTACGTCTCTTGATCCCCTCGCTTCGTACGACTCACTAAACAAATTGGAATATAGGTGCATGTCGACGACGTTGCCTCTGGTTATCTGACCGTCATCAAGCACGCATTCTCCGGGAACGATACAGAGTCTGGTTATGGACGGTACTATTGGGTGGGTGGCGAGCAAGTTCCCTGGATTAAGGTCGCCAAGGCATACGCAAAGGAATTCCACGCGAAAGGTATCGCAGATTCTGACGAACCAGTGCAAGCAACCCCTGCCGAAGATCCTATGATGGGGTGAGTTTTTCTGCCTCCATCGGTGAAATATTATCTGACGACCAAAGTTTCTTTGGCTGTAATGTTCGTGTCGTGCCTGGACGACTTCAGGACTTGGGCTGGTCTCCTGTCGGCTCGTCCATCTTTGACAACGTCGAGAATGACATCCGAATGGCACTTGAAGCCCAATAATCCACTGGAAGCTTTCACATAATTCGATCTGTTATTGATGCTGAAACTGAATCATATATCATTGCTCGTGAGGAGAACATTGCATTAAAATGGGCATACAAGAATGACATTAATGGAACAAACAAGAACAGAGGAGAAAGCTTGGCATATTCGAAGAAGTAAAAGTCATGAGAGTTTAGTGTCCGATTGAGGATCCAGGAGCTCTAGTATGACGCGTTATTGTCGATGAACAATTCGGGTGTCGAGAACCCAGGGGACGATTCTTGATACACTTCAGAGAAAGTAGAGGCTAATGCCGCCAAGTCAAGTCGCAGCATATTATCGGCGAGGCTTGGGCTACAAAAGGGGTCGCCTGTACTCTCCGTGTGAGGTGGATAGTTGTCGTTTGTCGATGAGAGCGGGTACTTGAGTGTGTCCAGTGATGCGTATATGTCTGCGGTCCTAATCGAGTCAAACAGGTTGAATGGGTCCAAAGCCGTGTGTGGCGCGACGACGGAATGTTGCTCTGGGACGATCTGGAAAGAATTTATAATAGCCTCAAAGTCCATCTGATCTGTGGGAGGGGATGTAGAGTCATCCGCTCTCGCTTCTGTGGTAGATGGCTGATTTGTCGTCGGCGCGCCGCCAAAGAGGGCGTCAACGTCGGAGGTCGAAGACTTGTCGCCGAATCGATGTCCGTGAATTGACCAATGAAGATGATCACGCATGCTCTTGGGTAACTCGTTTGGGTCCTTGGGCCGCAGCGAGGCAATGGCTGGTTCCGCAGGAGCGCTAGCAGAGGTCGACGTAGACGGCGACGTTTGTACCGGAATGATGGGTAAAGAGGTCGTAAACTCGGAAGGAGGTTTGAATTCTTTCTTGTACGTGACAAGTCGTTTGCATCCTAGGTCGAGTCCATGGATGAAGCAGAGAACGTCGAGCTTGGGATACGCAGTAGACTCTGGCCACGGTCCTGCTTCTGGGTGTGTTGTTTCCCAGTGTTTCCGCATCCCATCGAGCCGTCCATGGTACCGATGGTCACACTCCCATCCAAATGCGCCAACAAATGGACAACGCGGGAGAAGGTGTTCAGGAACATGGGACCATTTATGTCGAGAGAGATCAGTCGAATTTCTGTACGCGCTCGTGCAACCGTCGACACCGCAGACTTGCTTTTCCTCAGAGGGAGTCGATCGCTTGCTCGTTTTGCCACGCGACTTTCAAGGAATCAGATACTTTAGACCAAACAGACTGTATGAGCGCACCAATTGGACTCGAGCTTCCGCAGGCATGTTGACGTCGACTATTTGAAGGTTGGATGAAGGAGATATCTTCGAGGAGATGAACTCTGAATGTGAGAAGAAAGGTATGCGGTGAGTGCTGATACTTCATCTTGGAATTTCCTGCCCTTTTTATATGCGAGCCACAGGGCGTGTTGTGGTTTGTGACTGAATACGGGGGAAACGAGAGTTGACCCCCAATCAGTAGGTAAAGGACAAAGGAAGATGCAAACCATAACAAACCCAGTACGTTAGCCGAGCGCCGCCGCCTGCTCCAGTTGGCGCCGCTGGCTCAAAGTCCTTTGTGTCCGGACAATGTCTGCGGGTTCATTGTCGCCGCTCGCTCACAGAGGCGCAAAGGAGTCTGCAAGCATTTGAATCCTAAAATTTAGAAAGGTTATAGCAGTAACAATGAGGATAACGCCAATGAGGGACCGTCTTTGAGAATCACCAATAAATTATGTCGAAAATCATTATTCTTTATGACAGTACATATCTTTAAAAAGTTAATGGATACGAAAACCGTCTGTTCAGAACTTACGCTCGCACCTCATAGAGCTCCCGCGGAAAGCCCTTTTGTATCTCCTGCTTTAAGACCTTCAAACCTGCTTCTTCAAACACTCTTATCCATGTTCGGTGGGATCTTTGCCATATCAGGATTGGCGGTGAATATCGAACGTAAGCTCACCTTGTGAGACTGCTATCGTCGGGATCATAAACCGATTCTGGTTCGCCTTGTTTCGCAGGCTCGCATATATTCTCCTTGACAATAATCAATCCGTCTGCCGTGAGGGCTTGCTTTGCCTGCTTAAGAAACTTGACAAGCTGCTTGTCAGAGAGATGCCCAAGGCACCATTGACACCAGCTACCCGCAAATGGTGAGTACTAATCACTTGTCTCAAATAGACGTACACGACATGAAAGGATGATGGTGACGATAAATCCACTGGAGCGCCTGCGCGTGCAAAGATATCTTCCTCCGCAATGGTGTCCACGGGGTTAAACTTTTGTAGTGGTTTTTTGACGAAAATAACGCCCTTCTGCAAGGACTGGACACCCTTCCAGTTGACGGAGCCAGCGACTGCTTGCTTGATGAGCGGTTCGACTGGCTCAACGACGATTACTTCGTCCATGAGCTGTAGGAGAACAGTGTCTGTGACTCTTCCAACGCCAGCACCTTGATCGGTTGTGAGTGATGGATAACTTTCCAGGCAGGGACGTTTACCTACATCCAATGCACGAAACCGAGGCCTTTCGCTACTCGTGTTCAGACGGCGCAGAGGCGAGTCTATAGTGCTAAGGTTTGGCAGCATTTTGAGGAGTAATAACCGCGAAGAGAGTGCATCGACGCGCGGCAACGATCCAGTTCCGTATCCTCCAAGCACACCATCCACTGTTGCTTCTTGATTCTCCCAATATTCGAGTCCGGCTTGCAGATTTGGATTGGCCATGGTCTCAGGTGAAAGGGGCAAAGGTTTGACCTCGACTACCACCTGCGTTGTAAGAGATCAACGTCCAGCGTGCCATGGACGATATCTGGGAGGAACCAGCTGTCGTTAGTCACCATAAAACTCCAGCTCAGAACTCGCTCTTCCTTGAAAGCGACGATGAGAATCCCGTTCGGCCACCGGCGGCGTCCGCGAGAGGGCAAAGGAGACAAGAACCCGTAGAAGAAGATCAAGACGACTTTGTGGCAGGTTTATTCGACGATATCGCTCCCGTCGACAAGACTCAGCCGCACACAAACAGAACATCTGCTCGTCCACAACAAACTCAGAGCGCGACGGGCGCGTCAGATATTAAGAAAGGTACCCGGGAAAATCGGGCGGGTCCGGAAAAGGGGGAGGACGCGTCGAAACCGGACGACGAGCCAAAGCAGAAGTCAAGAACGATAGCAAAAGTAGACGAAGAGACGGTATGGAGTCTCTCATCAAAGTTTCGCATTCTCATGGATCAAAGACTACTTGGAGATCGGGGATTTCCTGCTCTGATCAAGGAAGCGCAACAGTTCAAGCCCAAAGGCAAAGGCCACGAGGTCAGGATCTGCTTTCCAAGCAGGGTACAAAGCTTTGACAATTGAAAGGCTGCAGATCTGGATAGGCTCCTATCGATATATCAATTCTGGGCACACAATATGTTTCCAAAGACACAATTCCGAGATACTGTAGACCGCGTGGAACGCGTTTGCAGGTCTCGAAGAATGCTAGTACGTTGCAAGCTTTGGAGTCGTTCGTATACTGAGTCATCCCAATTTAGATCAACATGTCCATGTGGAGAGATGCCAATCGTACTAGCAATCATACAGGAAGAGACTCAAATAAATCCGACACAGACGAAGAAACCGACAAAAAAAGAAACGAGTGGACAAAGCAGAATAGCTCCCGCCCCAACAATGTCCGTGACCACGTCCAACATGAATGGTCCACAGAGCCACCAGACGGTTGACGAGGATCTATGGGATGATCTTGATGACGCCATAGAGCAAGCTCAAGAGCAGGAACGTCGTGGGGAAACCTTGCCTATAGCATCAAAGGAAGGTCCCCAGTCGATACCGGACGATGATGACCTCGAAGAGTGGTTCAATACTGGCCCTACGATATCTAATACTAAATTTATTGCGCACCCAAAGCCACCAGATGACATGGAAATAGACGACACTCCTCCACAGCGAAGAATGCTCTCACCACCCACGGCGGACAATTGGGACGACGATCTCTTTGCTTAGACTTAGACATGTGTCAGGCCTTACTCCATCTCAGCTAATTATGTCTTATTGCAATATACCTGACAATCCAAACGATATGCACGAGGAAATTATGAAGTTTCGGGTGCCTATGATCAAGCCACTAGCATGGCCAGACGGCGGATGTGTGGCATATTCAAGTACGCTGGTACATACGTCTCCAGTCCCGACACATCGCGCGGGAGAGGTGACTCGTATGGGCCAACATCCTCGCTCTCTGGGGGTAGCAGGAGATGATCGTTTCTATCGTTGGGGACAACTCGAGATGCGACAACTCGAAGAATCTCGGGTGAAATAGGATTCTGGTAGAGCGTCAATGTCTGTGAACACGATACCCAACTAAGTGCATACCTCATAGTCTGCAACGAAGTAGTTGGTGCACATTCTCTGAATCTGAGAGGGACTCAGCATCCAGCACACATCATAAATGATTTCGATATCAGCAGCGGTAGCCTGGACCGCGTGTTAGCAGACTGCAATGAGGTGTATATATCTGGCGAACCTTCTTGAGCTGCAGCAGCTTCGTCGCTTGCATCAAGTGTTCGAGCTGCAGTGTTCCCTCTGGCATGCCGTGGGACTTGCACCATTCCTCAATCCTGGTGATGTTGTACTGGATTTGCATAGCTAAAGGGAAACTTGAGTCCCGAGTCAAAAGAACGAAAGAGAGAGTATACCTCGTTTCCACGAGCAGAAGTTGCGCCGCATCAAAAGGTCGTTGAAGCTCGTGACGCCAACGAGTTTGAGCAATTCGGTGACGACCTGCTGAACGACAGACTCCTCCATGTAGTAGCTCTTCAAGCTACGCCAGACTTTGTTGAGGAGGTTGAGGACGTCATCCATACTGAACGCAGGCTGGGTGTTGGCGTTGAGCAGTCTGTTGAACAAGCGGCCTCCACCGTCGGTTGTAGTAAAGCCTGGAAGGGATTGGCTTTCGATGAGAGCCGGAATAACCATCTTCGCCAGCTTCTTCTTGGTCTCCAACATCCACGTATGGTAGATATTGTATTCCAAGCTGTCGAGATCGTGCTTTACGATGGATACCAAACGCTCGTAGTCGGTCCAATCGAATTCCCGACCCGCTGGATCACCGCCGGGTCCAATTCCTTGTAGCATATCGCTTTCTGCTAGGCAAATGAAGGAGAGAATCTCGTGCACGTTTGAGAGCCAGAAAATTCCGGGTACAATGGCATCCTCTCCGGTAAACGACTGGGGAAGTGTCATCTAGGTGTGGAACAGGAAATGAAAATGCGTACCATGACATGGGACTGGATGGTCTGCATCACGTTGGCCAGGAACCGTTCGCTCTCGGCGATAAGACCATACTTCCACATCTCATTGGTGACCAAACTGATGAGATTGGCTGGGAAAAGCACCTCCTTCATCGAGGGTTGGTTCGTCAAATTTGGTGGTGGGGTCTTCAAACCCTTTATGAGCACCTGGAGCATCTCCTCGTCCAAAGCCTCTGCGTCCTCCAGCAACCGAATCTTCTCTTCGGCGGGATCGTCGTAAATGTCTGGAAGTCCGTTTGTTGGTCGGAACCGTGGGATAGCATCGTGAGGGAAGGCCATTGACACCGCTCGTGGATCTCGAGATCGCTTATTGTAGAGGTCATCATCACTATCCGCCTCCATCTCGTCGCGATCTGCGAATACACCAGCGGTACTGTGTCGACGTTGGCGGCGCTTCCCGCTGGGGGCCGGAGCGAGTTGTGGGACGGCACCTTTATCAGTACCCTTGAGACCAGGTGCAAAGGTCGGCGAGTTTGGTTGATAGGCACGCCCGGTCAGCGAATTGAGGGCATTGGACCTATTGAGTTGCTCGCGGAGACTGCTAATTTCGCTCTTCAACGTGGCGATAAGAGACGCGTCCTCTTTTGAGGTCGTTCCATTCGTAAGCTTGGCTTTGGCTTCTAGCTCCTTGGTCTTCTTCTCAATGTCGGTGTTGAGAGAGGCGATGGCTTCCTCCTGCTCCTGCGCTTTCTTGGTCGCGGCTTCGATGCGCGCATCGAGATCCGCCTTGCTCGTCATGAGCTCTTCGAAGCGGCCGAGTGGAACATAGGCAGTTTGCATATCCGACTGAAGTTGTTTGGCTTTAGCATCTGAATCCTCGAACTTGGTGATCCAGCTCCTCAGTTGCTGCTCGAGCCCGTCAATCTTTGCCTGCAGCTCCTTCTTTTCAGCAGTACGGGCTTGCAACGCTTGTGTCAGCTCGACGACTTTGTTCTCGAGTCTGTAAGAGATTTCCTTGAACTTGGAGACGGATCTTGCCTCCTGCCTCAGGGCCTTCAATTCCTTGCGGGCGAGCCGACGGCGGATGCATGACTGAATGAGGATAACCTTTTTGACATCTCCTTTGAACTTTCGCCGCACAAGGCTTTACCATTGTCAGTATCGATTGCCCGTGAGCAAGGGGGGGAAGTACATACACTCCACGAAGAAGCGATTGGAGTCGTACGGCACCGTGATACAACCGCTGATTGAGATGCGTCCTCCGTGCATTCGCACCCCTAATGACTGCACGCCACTCAGCCTGTCGTTCTAGGTCATAGAGGAGAACGTACCCGATTGGAGCTTGGTGACCGAGTTGTGGATGGCCAAGAAGCGGCTGCGTTGGATGAACATCCGCGCAACTCTCTGAAGGCGGCGAACTGCGGTATCCTTTCGAATATTATCAACCTGCTTTCTGGCCATGACTCCACGCCACAGAGTCTGAATGCGGATGGCCGACTCGCGCATCTTGAGATACTTTCGACGCTCCACCGTCCGTTTGAAGTTCTTTTGAATGATTGTCGCCAAAGCGTTGAGCCTGTCCAAACGTCTCGACTCGAGATATGCGAGCATACCGGCACGCAAGAAGATCTTTGTCAGGCCGATCTGGAACTTGTCGTCGTCTTTGATCGTATTACTGAGGATGATTTTTGAAAACTGCTTGGGGTCCTGAGCACCCTGCTGCCAGGAGTCGGACTTCAGCAGCATATAGTATCTGATTTTCTTTCAATAAACACGCTTTGATTTGTAAATCGACTATACCTCTCGGCAAATTCCCCAAATGTCCATCGATTAGGATATCCGGCACAGCTGATTCTAATAGTCTCCAAAACACCACAAGCACGCAGTTGGCCGAGGACTTGCTGCGGTGTAAACTCCCAAGCCTTTTTAGCCTCGTTGGGCTTGATGCAACGGATGTAATGAACATCGGTCACACCCAAGGTATCCATCAAGCTGATGAGGGAGCCCTTGAAGATAGAACCAAGCGTCGGCTTACGGGTCGCACCAACTTTTCTAGCGCCGCTAGAGCTTGGTGCGCTGGAAGACGACACCAAGGAGGACCTTCCTGGATCAGGAATCATGGAAGACCTGCGAGAACCTTGGCTGCTTCCATCGGAGAAGTTGGCCGGGGAGCCAGGATCAGCGGGCTTCGCGGATGCAAGCGCTGCATCGAGCACTTCCTTTAAGAAAGGATTCTTGGTAGATGCGAGAAGATTGAGATGTTCGTCTGGTACGGTATCGCGGTTCTTCTCCAAAAAGCCTTCTGCTTCGTATGTGACATCAACAGCGTAGTGAGCAATTGTGAAAGCAGAGGTTCCGAACCGTGGCTTCTTGTAAACATCCTTGTACTGTGGCTTGTCTAGCTGCTGATGGAGCTTTTGAAGGAAAGACGCGTCTGTCCCAGAGGGGAGTCGAGACTCTTCATCCAACAGGGCCAAAACACCGAGTTTGCCTTCGATAACGTCGATACATGGCTGGTTGTCCGAGAAGTCGATAAACTTCCACTGGATTTGTTCGCGGACGTATTCTTCTTGCTCCAGTTTGAAGACGTGAGCGTTGAACTGATCAAGCAGTGAGTAAACCTCCCGAGAATAATGAAAACTCTCGAACCTCTTGTTGCAGCTTCTCATTGGCATAGTTGATACAAAATTGTTCGAAAGAGTTCCTGTAATCCGTGAACAATAAATATGATGGGGATTGGTCCACTCACTTCTTGAAGAACTCAAAGCCGTAGATATCAAGTACACCAATAAACATCTCGGCACGGTTTGCGGCCTCGCCATTCTCGCCAGCCAAGCTCTCGTTGACGATGGCGACGAGCCATTCGAACAGACAGGCGTAGAGGAACTTGGCAACACTGTCACGAACAACTGTGGCCGCGGCGAGATTCAGGCCAGTGACAATCTTTTCGCTTCTCGTCGTGATTTGCTTCTTAATCGTCCACTTTTTGAATTCGACAGGAGATATTCCCAGGAAGCGTGTACATAATAAGAGAGAAGGTTCTTGATCCGCAATGTTCGAGTCGTTCCTCTGTCCGGTGATAACGATATTCCCGATGTGGAGAAGAGCAGCCAAAAGCCGGAAGACGGACCATTGCTTATCGATACCGATGCCGACAGTGGATAGCGCTTGTTGAGTCATGCGGAACTCCTCTGCGTCATCAACGCCAGCGATAGGAGTAGAGTGAGGTCCGCCTTGGCGCATGTAGTGGAATTTCGTAATGTCGGTATCTAAACCAAGGTCTTTTCGTTCCTTGACTGGGGCGCCCGCGCATAGTTGGTAGAAGATGTGATAGTTTCGTTCAATGTCAGGTTGGTAGACGAGTCTCGATCGCTCAAGGAGATATGTGCGAATGCGAGCGCCAACAATCTGAGTCTTTCCGTCGAACAGAATCTAGAAATCGCCTTGATTAGAGTGCCTCCGTGCGTACATGGCAACAACCGTACCTGGATGTATTTGCCGAATCGTGATGAGTTATCGTTTCGTGTCGTCTTCGCATTACCAAATGCTTCAAGGATTGGGTTGGTAGCCAAGATTTGTTGTTCTACTTCACTCGACTCCTCCATTTTGAGACGAGCGCGGCCATCTGATGCCTCTGCAGAATTGACCGAGGCGAGGAATCGCATGATCAATTTAGCCTATTTAGATGTTAGACGCGAGCCATTGGCTGGAACGGGTGGACGAACAGACTCTGTTTTCCCTGCACCGCTGAATGGTTGTGAGCACTCGGAGAACACAAAATCCGGATGATCCATCCCTCACCTCTCTCCAGATACAATGATAGTCTGGCCTTTTCCATCCCTCTTCATGTGTCCGTACGCGTCCTCCGCGATAGCGAAAAGGTGAGGCTCGAGGTCTCCGCGACGTCTTCCGCTGTACGCCTGGATGACTTCTGGTCCGTAGAGAGCCACGCGCTGGAAGGGATTGACTGCTATTAGCACAATTCCTGAATAGGTGTAGATACTGTGCTGGGCATAACGAAGTCGTATAGTGTGTAAAACTAGCGGTTGCGCGTCAAAAAGCGTGATCCGTGAGGAGGAGAGATGATTTAGGCGTACCAGAAGGTTCATTCAAGTGCGAAAGAGTGGCTAGATCGTCCGCCGTCTCCAAAAGAGGCGGGTTTCTCAGCGGCGGAAGCTCTGCGTTGTCGCTGCCGGTATCGACGATAATCTCCTGTCAGATGAAGGAGAGTGAGCCCTTAATCTTTGGATGCTCGTCGACGCGCACGGACCTTGCCCCGGTCATCTACAAAAGTAATCTTCACGCCATCCTTGGAGCCTTTGGCGGTTCCTGTGACCTCTGCAGAGATCCAGCCCTGCTCCTTGTCTGGAAACCAAACGCGGGTTCCCTTTGAATAATTGTCGGCCATCGAATGACTTCCGCCTGGTGGTCGTCGCGGACAAGTTGGCCCTTGCCACCAATGCCCGTCTTCAAGAAAAAGGCAAACAAATCTCAGGAGCCAGTTCAGCAGCTCCAAGCACAGGACGCGTCGCTAGAAGATGATTTGTTCGCTCAGCTCGACGCACGAGACTCGCAGGAACCTGCAAAGTCGGCGAGCACCGTAAACGCGAATACATCAACAGTATCATCACAATCAACTAAACTTCAGAAGCCAAAAAAGGACTCGAAATTGCGTTTCAAGGCCAGACAGGTTGGCGTTCAATGCCTTGGTGGCATCCCTCAGGACTCACTTGAGGCAGCTTAGAAAGGCACTCGATTTACAATCTCATCAAGCTCCAACGGACGCCGTAGCCGATGCCCGGCTAGAACAGGAAGCAAAGAACGAGGAGCGCGATATAAAGGTCATCTGTGACCAGCTTGGGCTTGACATGTACGAGGTAGCGTAATGGTATTCCAAACCACGCGCCACTGATTTATCTGCAGATCCAACCGGACGGACATTGTCTTTTCGCAGCAGTGGCTGACCAGCTCTCTTTGCATGGGATACTCCCTCGTTCTACGGCATCGTATGCAGCTACCCGTGCAGCAGCTGCTAACTATATGCTCTCACACCAGGACGATTTTCTGCCATTTCTGCCCTCGTTGGACGGGGAGGACGGCGCAGGTGCAACAACAGATGGTATCATGTCCCCCCGGCAGTATAATCAATATTGTATGAACATCAGGGACACTGGAGCATGGGGAGGCGAACCCGAAATTCTGGCGTTGAGTCGAGCATATAATGTCCCAATCCATGTTGTTCAGGCGGGGAAGCCTCCCGTGGTCGTCCACGAACCAACAGAGGGAATGAGTGATCGCCCAGGAGCAAAGGTCGCATTCATTAGCTATCATCGACGAATGTATGGGCTGGGAGAGGTGCGTCGCTTTCCCGACGACGCCTTTGTCCTAACCTCGAGCAGCACTACAACTCTCTACGCCCAAGGGTACGAATGCAACCGACGCATTTCATGGCTGCCATACATTGATCTAAGGACCTCAAATCTGTATGATAGTACAAAATCTATGGGGATTGGACTATCCTTGAGTTTCTCTGATATTACGTCAATTGTTCCTGAATTAAATATTGCCTCCATGCTCCTCGCCATATGATTAGGAAAGTGGGGGTAACTTGGACCCAGCTCTGAACCCCGCCACCAAGAATGAATGCCCAAATTCAACCTGAATCTACTCAAAAACAAGAAATAACTAATTTACCATTGGAAATCCTGCTTCAAATCCTATCCCATCTTCATATATCGGACCTCCTACGCTTCTCCAGGGTACGGCGGTCTAAGGTCGCCCCGAACATGACCTAAAACATTCTGCAGACATGTAAATATGCATGGAGACTTCTCAAATCCACTGCATCTCTCTGGCTTCAAGCCGAGCTTCATGCAGCTGCTCAACGCTTAGTGAGGCAACCTGGTCGATCAGCGATGGAATCGTTGGAGTTACTGGAGAAATATCAATACTCGTGGTCAAGGCTTTCCTTTCATCGAAGCACGACGGTCAATTACCCGCGAAACAGCTCATTCGTATATGAATTATCTGGTGGAAGACTCGTCTTCGGAGAAGCGTCCTTCTTCGACCTCAGAAATAAGACAGGGGCTTTACATGTACATGATTTAACCACAGATGGCGATCCTCCGTCGCTAAAGGTGATCGAATTGGCAAAACCCATGGCCGACTTTGCGATGGATATCTCTCAGAATCTTTTGGTCCTTATGGAAAGACAGTACGTGGAAGTTCTCTCTCAAGCATGAGACTCACGCCGAATGACACTAGGCCCACTGGAATCACTCTCCACCTGCACACCTTTGACACCAATGTGCACCATCCTGAGGCAAAACAACCGAGCCTTAGCATGCATACGCAGGGCTATACAACCGTGCATATTGTCGGTCCCGTCTTGGCTGCTCTGTTCATCGACCCTATTGCGCGTTCCTGTTTTCTGGTTGTTTGGAACTGGAATACTGGGGAACTTATTGGGGTAGGCATCTATCTCACCCTCCAAATGTAATCTTACGCTACAAGCAGCAAGTCAACGGGTCAAAATTAGACTCGATGACATTACTAGCTCACAACGCGCTCGTCGTGGCAAACCTCGATCAAGATACACTGGACGTGTACAAGGTTGAACTCGAACCCGCCAAACTGAAGCTTTTCCAACGGCTCATACTACCAAGTATAACGGCCAACGAAGACGGCACACTGTGGACGTATGAACAGGCACTACTCAGGGCATATCCACCGCCTACATGGCCAGATTCGTGCAATGGATACTATGAAGCACCAGAGTCCAATTACCCGTTCAAAGCGGACGAGGACGACGGAATTATTGCTTGTTCTTTTCAGTCCGAACGCTCCAATTTCACCTTGTTCGTCAGACGCAGCGCTCTCTTGGTTCCTTACTTTGGGGACGCGGCCCCGGTTGGAATATTCAACAAAGGTCGGCGTGAGTACGTCCATGTGATACCATGGTCACAGTGGGGGCCAGAGAATACTCGCTGGATCCCTGTACACTGCTCCATGAGGTGGATTTGCTATGTATATGGCTACCGAGTAGCTGTTCTCGAGCCAGATCCACCTGTGCGAATCAACGGTAGTCTCGATCCCGACGAAGACGACCCGATACTTCTTCAACAACAAGAGCTCATCCGAAGCCACGTAAACAGGGCCGCAAATGGCGCAAGTAGTCTCGACATGTCGTACCTGACGCAAGACGAACTAGCTACCATAGGGATCAATTTTTCCATACGCCCGAGGGCTCTACGTCTTCTCGATTTTAATCCTAGAGCAGTGGCACGCGCTCAAGATGATGCCGCTTTTGCCAGAGGTGATCCATTGTCGGTGGCCAAAGAGCGAGCGGGTCGCGGTCAACTATTGGTGGAGACTGAAAGCAATTTCCAAGAAAGATTCTCTACTAATTTGCCCTACTTGGAAACCACTGTGAAACTGCACAAACTTGGGCGTTCCAATGCACACAATGTTGAGGGTGTGATGATAAACGCGAATAGTCTGATATTGCTCACGGTGCGTATGTGTTCAAAATTTCCTTCTTTGCTCATAACACCCCTTGATAGTCCGAACGAAATGAAAGCGTCCAGATCTTCCGAGTATGAACGATATTGAACAATGTCACTTTTATCGTGAAATTTTACAAACATTCATCTGTGCTTCTGACGTGCGGTATCTCCGGGTTTGAGTGAAGGTTGCTCTCTGCCTCATTACAGCATGGATGTTGCGCGGGTCGTTATCGACGCCATTTCTGATCTCTTGACAGCAGGACTAGCTCCTATTCCAGCCTTGGCACGTTATGGTCTCCCATATTCACTGTTTGACCTCGGAGGAGCTTTGAGACTGGCATTTGTTCTCCGTCAAATCAGAGACACAGAGCTCGCCAAGGCTCGTGGGCTACAGGAAAAGCTCAAAACAGATGAATCTCCTCACGTGAGAGAGATTGAGGAGCCCTACATCGTCAAGGACTTGGTCACGGTACTGATGGTCATCTATGGTGGAGAGCTCGTGTGTTGTGAGAACAATCCCAACCACTACTCGAAGAGAATGAACCTCCTACAGCTCCATGGCTCCAATTCACACCGTCTTTTCTGACTGCGCCTGCGTACCCATTATTGTTCATGGGCGCACAGGCCGTCATCAACTTGTTGCCATCAGTACCTCCGATGTCGATCTATACGGAGCTTCCACTCTCGTTCTTTGACGCGTTAACGAGGGCATTCCTCCTCACTGCCGGAACCCCTGGCTTCATCCTCAAGCATGCCTCTCCGGCGATTCGGTCCTCACCTTGGGCACTCATGGTTTCTTCTCTGGTACGAAGACATACATGGTATCCTAAGTCTTATATTGAAATTTCCAGGTTCTTGCTAATGCAGGATTCTTCTTCGTCAATGTTTTCCAAATGCTATCCCCATATGGTTGGCATATCAAGACGCCTCCAGAGTTTCTCCCGGGAGGATGGCGGACAATTGACCTTTGGGTCGCACCCTTAATGACGGGCGCATACGCCTTCTTCACACAGGCTCAACCAGTCTGGGTTCCTTATCACACTTATACAGTTACACGGATTGGGACACCATCCATGTTTGGATCCATCGTCTATTCAGAGTTAACCGAAGACATTGATCTATCTCCTGAACCCAAGGTGTCATTCGTGAAACCTATGGCCGAAGCGGACGCTCGATCTGTCTGCGTCTTGGTGCTCGCCGCTCTCTTTGCCTATAGGGCGATTGCCAACTTTGGAGCGGAATGGATCAAAGTCGCAAGTGCGAGAACGAAACGGAAACGCGTCATTAGATCAAGTACGATTCCTTCCTCACCTGCGGACGCGTACTGACTCTCTATTAGAACACGACGGCAAGCGACTCTCAAAGGACAACATCAAGATTAATCACAAGTCCGGTTAGGAATAGAGCTAGGAACCTGTATGCAACAACTTTTAACTGAGACTCTTATAAACGCTGTGAATATTCGCTACATTATTGGTCAAGGGATCGATACAATGGAGTTAATACTTTCGCTACATGGTTTACTTTCTCTTCAACGTCCGACCCAAAACCTTTGTCACTGATGAGACCTCGAGCTCTCCAACGGTCTGGATGGAAACGCCTCGTGCTCGTCTTCAAGAATTCTTTCCACTCGTTCCGCCCGCGACCACGGCCACCCATCAACGTCTCCGCCTCTTTGAAGAACTTTTCCACGGCCGTCCAGTCAACGTCGTTGAGAGTGAAGCCAGGGGGAAGGAGTACCGGCCACGGAATCTGATCAAGAGGTGGGACGGGTTGATCCGGTGTGCCCTTGAATTTGTCAAATGCTTCAGACAGAGTGTTATATCGTTGAAGTGCCTTGGCGGATGTCCATCCATTCGTTGCACTGGTTGAACTGGGGCCTGCCCTTCTCTGACTATTATTGAACCGAGGGTGTTGTTCAAACCACTCGAAATTGATTCCACCCGGTCGAGGAGGGATATCATCACCCCAGAAAGCGCTAGTACGATGATACCATCCCGTGTACGGATCCGACCGCCGATATTGATCCTGGTCTGTCCAAGAAGACCTTCGTGCATTGCGTTGGGCCTCTTCTCGAGCCCGACGCCTTCTTTCGGCATCTTCCTCTTGCTGACGTCTCCTCCTGGCCTCTTCCTGGCGACGGCGTCGTTCTTCTTCCTCCTTCCGCCGTTGTGCCTCTTCCATTCGTCTGCGCGCTGCTATTCGTTCTGCATCTTGCGCGTTGATCTCCTCCATCTTTTTGCGAGACTCGGCTAGTCTCGCCATGCGCTCCTCTTCAGAGTCCACCACATCATACGCCGCAAAGCCTTCCCTGGCTTTGTGGTCGTACTCGGATTCGTCTGTATGCAATGACGCGTGCACCTCGTTCTCCTCGTCCTCGTCACTTCCGCTGTCTACCCAGATAGGATTTTCGGCGGAGGCCAGCGGTGGCTCCGTCTCCGATTTAACCTCGCGTTCGTCTGGTGGTGGGTGAGGAGTTTGGGAAGCAATATCTTCGGGATCCAACGAGAAACTGCGGCCTTTGAATGATGAAAAGTTCACGTCTCGCCAAAAATCTTTTTCATGCGCTTCTGCCTTTCGTCCCAACCTGGAGTGTCGCCTTTGCGCGTTCTGCCTTCGGGTATACTCCCGCTGTCTCTTCTCTGCGGCCCGTATCTTTTCATCCCCGTAGTCGACATAGGTGATCGTTTCTGTCGCTTTGAGCTCGATGTAGTATGCTCGGTCTCACCAGTCTCTGCCCAAATATGAGACTGAGAACACACCTAGGATAAAAACTTACGATGCGGGCGCTTAGTTTGGGTAGGATCAGTCTCCATGAATTGCCCTTTTCCATTTGGATGACGGACAGGAGACGGCGATCGTCCGTTCTCTGGGGTAAAGACGTGAGGGAGGTCGTTGGCCATGCTAGCCATTCGAAAGGACGATCCTTTGGCATCCCGCTGCAATCGTTCTCTCCTCTTCTTCTCACGTCTTAGTCGAGCTTGGAGGGCTTCGTATTGATTTGGCTGAACCTCTTCTATTTCCGTGTCGCTTTCCGTCTCGACAGTCGTCCGCTGCTTCTTTCGTGGACTCGACTCGGTATCTACAGTATCGGATCCAGTGCGCTTTGGATACGGAGTTGAGCGTCTCGACCGGTCCTCTGCAACCATTGGCTCCGGAGTCGTATCGTGTACGATTTCTGTGCGTAGTTTGACGTATGGCATGCCTCTTGTCGGTACATAGCAAAAGTAATTAGGGTCGCATTTGAACCTGTCCCATGTATCTTGGTCCATTCTCCGTTCTTTTCTATCATATGCAGTCTCAGCACGTCGCAAAAGCCATACAAGATCGCGGCATAAAACTCACCCGAGCGCGATGACATGTTGAGGCCATGTACGTGGGTCCTCTGCAACGCCTTGTGGACCATACGCTGACGGGACAAATGTCCAAATCATTCTGCCTGGATGTCGAGGGTCCATTCCAAAAGCTATCCGACAGTTTACTGGAACATTGAACGTCTGAAACAGCTCCGGATGTTCTCCTGCGAGCCAGTCCACGCCTGCAAACCCAGATTTACCCGGCACTTGATAGGTGGCAAAGCCCTGGACGCCATAACTCGCTCCTTCAGGAGGACGCTCTGGTGTAGGTGACTTGGACCGATCAGAGTCTTCCATTCTTCGCCGCGACAGACGGCGCTGAACTTATGGCCGGGACTAAAAGCGAATCACAAACATTTGTGCAAAGCTTTCAAAACGCATAGATCATAGATAGTCGAATATCGCATATACATCGAATACAATACAGCAATCTATCAATCAATAGTCTACACCAAGCAGAAAGCGGCTACGATGGCTTGGGCCCTAGCAGTCTGGCGAACGACAAAAAGTCTCGACGAGGTTTATCGGGAGATGAATTAATAAACTTTGTGGGTGGTGGAGGTTTCGCGAGAGTAGGCATGGGTATCGAACGCGTAGCCCGCCGTAGAACACGTGGGCGAGCTTGCTGAGAGTTGATGGCGGGAAGGTCCTGCACCGCTGGTACGCTCATGACGGACATGGATTCGGATAAGAGCGACGGTGCAGTTTGACCACGCTTCAGCGTTGGGATGACCGTCGCATCCGACGCGGCTTCGCTCGCTCGAGACCCAGACCTCCTGCGGGTCTCGCTGCTAGCTGACACTCGGTGAAATGTCGTAGTAGAAGAGCCAGGGTTGTCGGGATGGGATGCAAGAGAGGGTATTGGTGCTCGTCGGGTGCTATTCGATCGTTTCGGCAGCTCAGTCTGCTGCTCTGCAAAGGAAACCGAAGTTGGGCTACTTGGCGAAGAGGGGAATCCTATTGTATTGGAACTCCGCATGGTTGCTGGTGGAGATGCGGTTTGTTGCCCTAGCAGCCTGTCCCTCCGTGATTTCGCGCCTTTTAGCCTATGCTCGTAGTCCTCGAGTGACTGTGGGGCTGCGCTCTTGACCGCCCATTCCATGAGGTCGACGGCACGCTCAATGTCCTGAAGTCGATTGTGCTGGGTACTGTCAACGGCGTCGAATCGTCGTATCAACGCAGTGCCATATGAGTAGTAGAAGGATGCGAGACTGCGGCCAGGCTTTGTTTGATAAAGGGCATAGATGATTTCGTAGTATTCGATGGCTTCGTCAAGTGCCGCGTTGTCCTTCAGGTCCTTGTATTTCCAGTACAAGAGATTGGCAAGATTGCGAAGAATGGAAGGCTCGCCTTCATTCTCCTTGAGAGTCATTCTCGCCCATCGAATGGCTTCCTCCAAATAACTCTGGTCTCTCGTAGCGTCATACTTTCGAGCGACAGCCCTACTGAGCTCCATCAAGGCACCTTGCCGCTCGTCACGATACAACTCGTGTTCGGTCGAGGCTTGGAGGAATTTGATAGCTAGGTCCAAATCCTCGGTTTTTTTCAAACGGTTATATAGTGCCGAGTAGCATTGACCAATCTTGTACTGCGTGCTGCCTTGCTTGTCCTTTGCGCCATGCGAAAGGACAGTCTGGAAGTGCCGGATAGCATTGTAGACGGCTTCGACGCCAACAATGCCTACTTCATATCCATAGAAGTATGCGTCTCCAAGATGTGATAAGAGTTTATTAGCCTATACATATTCTCAATTTCCTCCTAGAAGACCAGATACGGAGACTTACGCTCTCGGTTCCAAATCCCAAGGTGATAGAGATTGTATTCGCGAGTTCCATACACTCTACTGCTCTCAGAATGTCCTTTGGATCCTTGTTGAACGTCTCGAAACGATCGAAATAGCTGGAGCCGAGATTGACAAGATTCTGGTATCTATTCCGACTTGGAGCATTGCCAAGGCTGGTGACGGCGTTCTCTAGTGTCAATATAGCCTTGCGGATGTCTTGTAGCTGGTGGCTATCTTCCCAGCGCAGGAGGATTGCAACAGCATAGCTGGCCAAAACGGGCTCATAGTCCGGATGCTTAGGGGAGATTGCGTTTGCAAGAGGTTCCCATTGAGAAATAGCCCGTTCTATGTCTTCTGGGCTAGTGGAGCTGATTGCTTTTAGAAGAGATTCTTGGGCTATCAGCGCTCGCGATGAAATGGTATCGACGGTTTGTTTCTCCGCCATTAATGCGACCTGACACTCAGAGTATCCAGTCCTAGTTGAGCGGCGCTTGCTGGCGCTTTTTGGAGAAACCAGCGGCAAACGTCGGGTCCAAGTGGCCTGCTGCCGCCGCAAAGCTCAAGTCTCAGAAGCAGTGTTACTCAGTTTCTACACTGATTCTTAGAAGATTGGAATAACGGACACTGTGGCAGGTAACACGCTGGAGTCTGCCCCCCTTTGCCGCGAGGACAAGGGCCAAGTTCTCCAAGAACATGGTCCTCTTGATCGACGAGATATGAGAAGCGATACCGGCATCTCCCCAAAAGGTTTCTCGCATGTACGAGCCAGCGTCTCCGTTCGCAGGCCGCATTCCAGACGGGATGCGCAAGAAACCTCCATTACCATGCGAATTGCCCCAACCGAGCCTTTTGATACGACCCGGTGGGTTAGATTACAAAAAAAAAGATAGCCGGAATACGGGCCAAAGGTGTGGAATGCCTTGACCATAGTGCGGCCAGACAGGCAAATCCTCGTACGAGTAAAGAGAATGCCCCAATATGCGTTTATCGCTTCTTCTTTGCCGCACGTCGGCTCTCCTCTGGTACAAAGGTCAGAGGGCAAAGAACGGTGGGGTAGGGTCTCACCTGGCGAGTTTGCTTTGGGTGGTGGTCCCTTTCCTCTAGATTTACGCAGAGCCAAATCGGCAATCCGCTGTCTCTCGTCGAGATCCTCGAGGCCCAATTCGGGGAACATGCGCTGAACATTCTTGAATGTAAGGTCTTTCGGTGGATAATATGCGACAAGTTTTTCTCCTTTGACCCGTCCCTTTAGATACTTTGCGCCGGTCCTTACAGAGTTTGGGTTGAACGTTGTCGAGAAGATGGAGCATTGTAGCTTGCGTAGAGCCAAAAGACGCTCGTTGGACGGTCTTGTCAACGCAGCTTTTGCTGCCTGAGCGACGTGCGACGACATTTTGTTGTGGACGAAAGTCGGCTCCAAGTTGCTCTCTGCCACTTTCGACCATGCCTACCGCGGACTCAACGTTACAAAAGGTGAAAAAGAAAAAGTCCAAGAAGCAAGACGAAGAGCAACACTCGGACATGGAGCCCGAAACATCAACGTCGTGTGTTTCTTGCAAGTTTTCGTGGTCTTTCCTCCTAAGCTGAGACAGGACGTTCAAACCCCCGCCTGGCTTCCAGGAAATGAAATACAATTTGGATGCACGAGAGTTTGATTGGGATGCGTTCGACAAGAATCCAGACCTCGAATTGTGGGCCATCCGATTGCCTTCGAATGCAAGTGAATTTCTTGCTTCATCTACATGTATACTGAGTATCATCTACAGCTGAAACCAAAGTATCTGAATAACATGTCTTTTCCTCTCCCTGCCGCTGGATCCAAGCCTTCGGGGCCTCTGGCACAGATATCTGCGGGCAAAAAGCAAACAAGATACACGATCGCTATGTCATCTGCTGCATCAGGGGGAGAAGAACTCATTGGCGCACGCTGTTTGCTTCCGCGGGCGTCGAAGGGCGGAAAACTGCAAATAGGCAAGACCTCTCTCTTGAAAGCCACTCAACGTTCTGACAGTCAATTTCCTAGCCCCTAGGCCCATAACAGGAGCCCTTGTTTTGTCTGAAGTTGTCACATCTGGACCAGTCGAAGCGACTGTTACAGAGCCGGACATAGGGCGACTACCTCTACCCAGTTCTACCCGACATTCACACCCTGCACATCTCTTGAAACACAAGTTTGTGCCGACTGCCGTACCAAATGACGCAGAGTCTATCCAGCTCAGGGATCGAGACGTGAATGCGATGGATATTGTAGAGGAAGACACAAATGACAACAGAGATCCAGAGCCGTCGTCTCCTAGAAAACATAAGAAGCGCAAGAAAGAGGATCTAAAGGCGGAGCAAATATCCAAGAGGCCACGCGTAGAATGAACGAAGAGCCTTTGTACCTAGCGTATCTAATGTCTAGCTAGCTCTATCCCAAGCAGTGCGCATGTGTACCTTGAACCCCTCCGCCACCCCGACTGTTTCCCTGTTCTGCCACCCAAGTGGTTTGATCGCATCAATTTCTCAAGAAAGTCTTCCTACTTCCTGTACGGGGCTCAAACAAAGCCCACTCCAAGATGTTTTTCGACCTGAACATCCCAGTTCCTCCCCCTGCGACTCTCAAACACTTGAGTCAACCTCTTAAAAAGAAGGGAAAGACCAAACCAGGAATACCCGAACCTCCTGGGACCACACAGGCTCCAGCCATCGAACTCTTTTCTCAAGCACAAGTTGACATCTTTGAGCGCAAGATTGACGTTCTATCGCACTGTATGTTTCTACGTCCAGTGCGTTTGGTCATGGTCCATCTCAATCCGTTGGACAGTAGGATATACGGTCTTTGCTCTCAACCAAACGATCCAGACTTGCTTTTCACCAAACGGACATGTCAATTACCTAGAGGAGCTTTCGAAGAGACTAAAAGTTCGGGATGGTATTGTCATTCTTAAGCGACTTACCATCCTCTTGGATGACGCGAGCGAAAAAGGCATTGGATTGGTATGTAAAAAACGCGTTGAGAATTGACTACCGATGTTCATGCATCATAGACAAAGAACCATCAAGCCGCGTTAATGGCGTACGATATACTTTCTCTCCAGCCGACCTCACAAGCCACCTTTTCGCTCGCGTGTCTCAAGCACTCTGCAGCATCACCCCTCACTGCGCATATCATAACCCTTCCACTCACAGGACCACGGCTACCGTTCTTCTTCAAGCATACACTAATACGAACCGCTATCAAAAACGGTGCCGCCTTCGAGGTCACCTATAGTCCGGCAGTCGGAGGAGCAGGTGATGTGGAAAGAAGAAACTGGTGGGCTGCTTGTAGGGAGCTGACCAGGGTCACCAAAGGGAAAGGGGTAATTTTCAGCTCGGGGACAACGACGACCCCAATGACAGACGTGAGGGCTCCTCAGGATATTATAAACATGTGAGTGAATGCTATTTGCTTGCCATAAGATGACTAATGGTGGAAGTGCGACCATGCTGGGCTTTGCTGCAGATGAAGCGAAGAAAGCACTTTCCAACTCTGTCCAAAGCCTGGTCATTCGTGCATGTGCGCATGTTCATGCTCTGCTGCCGTCTCAGACTAACGAGTTTAGATACTCGCAAGACGCATCAATCCGTTTTATCAGAGCCGACCATTGTATATCCGGACGAGCCGGATAATGGACACACACCTCTCAAACGACCGCGTGAAGCAAAGACGGACGAGGAAGAGGGGCGACCTACCAAGCGGCCTAAACCATGAGAGAATGGCTTGTAATATATCTAGATGATACTCCAAACCTATTGAAACCTAGTTTCTCTCCACGTCGAGGCGCCGAGGTTGTGGACCCAAACTTGGACCGTGCCATCATAATCTGTCGATGGCTCAGCAATGGGGCCAAGGCCAGCCTGGCTTCCAGTATCCAATGCAGACTGGAATGCCCTTTCAACAGCAACCCATGGCAGCCCAGCAGACGGGATATCCAACGCTGCAGCAGCCGCCTCAACAGCGTCAAGCGTACCCGACCCTCCAGGCGCAGCCCACGGGCTATCCAGTTGCTCAGTTTCAGCAACCACAGGTCACTGGATATCCTCAATTCCAGCGTCCAGCAATGACGGGCATGCCCGCTATAGGATTCCAGTCACAAGCTAACGTGCCCCCCGTTCCTCCTCTCCCGACAAACATGGGACTCCAGCAACAGCAACCAAATAGATTCCTCAGTCCCTCACCTAACCCCTCCGCGTTTTCACCCGCCCAAGCTGCTCCACCGCAAGGGTATCAGCCTCCAGCGCCACTGGTCGCTCAACCGACTGGTTTCATGGACCCGCGTCTCTCAATGATGGGTACTACATTCATGCCCACCGCGGCCGGAGGCTTTCAAACTGGAGGTCTTCCGCAGTTTGGCGGTGCGACTTTGCAGCAGTCTATAGCGCAGCATAATCAGGATATCCGAGGCACATCCACTCAACGAATCCCATGGTCACTCTCAAAGCAAGAGAGGAAGCAATACGACCAGATCTTCCGAGCATGGGATGCAAACGACACCGGTTTCCTCGACGGGCAGAAGGCACTGGAAGTGTTCGGTGCTAGCGGACTTGACAAGGATGACTTGGCCAAGATTTGGTCAGTTTCTCGAATTCAATACTGTGAAAATATTCTCATACATGCAAAAGGAGTCTAGCCGACGCGGATGACCGCGGCAAGCTTAATCGAGAAGAGTTTCATGTCGCGATGGGTCTCATCTATCGCGGTACGTCTACACACACTCCATGGGATTAGTGCTCAATTACCAAAAAGCTTTGAATGGAAATACCATCCCAGCTCAGCTCCCACCAGAGTTGGTCCCGCCATCCGCAAAGTCGTTGGATGAATCAGTTGACATGCTCCGCTCTCTCCTGAAGAACGATACCTACAATAGAAATACGAGCGAGAATGTGCAAGGAATGGGGAAACAACGCACCTTTTACGGTAACAATGGTACCCAGGATGCTCGCAAGGACGGCACAAACTACAAGCATCAAGATGATGACGATGAGCCGGCCTACAGACCCAGGGATCGTCATGTAGATCGAAGGGCAGTCAGTACCGGGAAAGAGAGCCCTGCTCAGGACCTCGCCGAGATGCAACGTCAGCTCGAGAATGCCGCAAAGAGGATCGACAAGGTTAGCGCCGAGCAAGCAGCTCGGTCGGCAGAGGACGAGGCCCTCGATCGAGAACTGGATGATTTGCGCCGCCGCGTAAAACGAGTGCAAGACGACCTCGACTATGCTACCCGCGGGCCACGGTCCTTTGAGAAAGACGAGGACAGGCGCAGGCTTGAGCGCGAGCTGCTCACACTGCTCCATGAGAGGCTTCCCGAGGTTCAAAGAAAGATTGATGAACGAGACAGAAGGAAAAGGAGGGAAAAGGACGACTGGGTCAATACTCGTGACGAGCGCAATGCATCCTATGGCCGATGGGGCGGCCGTGAAGGAGAACGAGACGACTATCGACGTTACGAATCTGACACTCGTGATCGTGATCGTGATCGGGACCGCAATCGTGACGAGGATAGAGGATATCTCCGTGGAACCTACGACCGTGATTCTAGCAGGGAGCGACGGAATTACTCCCCAGCTCGATCCTATGACCGCGACAGATACGACAGTGACCGCAATGGACGTGATCGTCCCCGCAGTCCTCCACAGAACACGAGGACTCCTCCTCCAGCCCCCGTTGCACCCGCTGCCGAGACGAAGCGACCTGCACCGGTTGCTCCCTCGCCCACCGTCAGAAATACTAGGAACATGACACCCGAAGAACGACAGGCATTCATTCGTGCAGAGGCAGCCAGAAGGCTAGAGGAACGTCAGCAGAAGCTTGGGCTTATTTCTCCTAGCGTTACTCCAGCACCAGATACTGCATTGGAAGAGAGACTCGCCAAGGAAAAGGCTGAGGCGGCAGAAAAGGCGCGTATTGCAGAAGAAGAAGCCCAACGTCGTGAAGCTGCTCGTCAAGCAAGACTGCAGAGCGACCGAGGAGAAACATCAACGCCCACTCCTGCTCCTCCTGCGCCCGCACCAGTCAGTGCTTCACCGGCACCTATTTCTCCTGCCCCGACGCCCCCAGTCACCGGGCCTACGCCAGTAAAGAAGAAAGCACCACCGCCGCCAGCGCCAAAATCGGCCATGAAGTCGCCACTTCCGTCAGCAATGAAAAAGGCGCCAGCAGCACCTCCGGCTCCTCGTCCCCCTGCGGCGAGTCCACGACCAGTCGCTCCTACTCCTCCTGTTGCAGCACCTATTCCACCTCCGCAGCCAGTTGTGCCGGAGATTGATCCCGAGGAGGAAGAGTTGCGAGCTCGTGAGGCTCATCAGAAGAAAGTTCGTGAAGAACGTGCTGCTCGAATTCGAGCACTGGAGGAATTAGAGGAACAAAACCGTCGTGAAGAACAGCTCTTTGCGCAACGACAAGCGGCGATCATGAACAAGAGTGCAAGCAGTACACCTGTATCGACCGCTGCCCCTGCTATTCCTTCAGCGCCACCAGCACCAACCCCTCCTCCTGCGCCTGTTGCACCTGCTGCGTCTAGCACTAACCCGTTCTTCAAGATGCAACAGGCTGGTGGCTCTGCCATGTCGCCTGCAGCCAACACGCCATCTGGATTCAATCCGTTTGCTCGTCCAGCTGTCTCGTCTCCTGCGCCGGCTGTACCTGCCGTTTCCACGCCTCCTGTTGCTCCACCTGCACCTCCAGCTCCACCAGCTCCAGCTCCCGTTCAGCCTCCAGCGCCGGTTCAGCAGAAAGCCGTCGAGCCTAGCCCACCCCCTGCGCCCCCTGCGCCCTCCGCACCCCCGGCACCTCCTGCACCGCCAGCATCAGTGCCTTCTATGAGCTATAACCGGTCGCAACCTCAGAGAAAGGCGTCAAACGCCGACTCTGACGGATGGGAGTCGCTGGTGGAGAAAGAGGACAGCGACGATAGCAGTGATGATGATAGGGAGAATCGCAAAAAGCTGGCAGCACATTTGTTTGGCAGCTTGACGCCTGCGACCCCAAGACCAGATAGCAGAGCATCTAATCCTGTCAGATCATCAACGCAGACTCCTGTGCCTGCCCCTACGAGCCCTACGACGTATAGCGCTCCTCCTCCCGCCCCGCGCCGCCGCCGCCGCCAATTATCGCGCAACCAGTACCATCCGCGAATAATACAACGTCCTTTGCCATCCCAGATGCCCCAGCTCCTCCTCCTGCACCACCAGCACCTATTCCGCCCCCTGCACCCATCGCGACTGTAGGTGGCGGCGGAGATCGAGGTGCGCTCATGCAGTCTATCCTTGGTGGTGCTCGCTTGAGACCAACCAAGACAGTCGACCGCTCCGGAGTCATGGGAGCGGGCTCTGTCCTTGGTGACAGTGCTCCTCCTGCCCACATTGTCAACCCACCAAAGGCTCCTTCTCCGCCTCCAGAACCGGCACCAGCAGCTACCAATGGACACGCCTACAAAGAATCCGTCGATTGGTACGCAGACCTTGCCGTAAATGCCGGAAGCCCTCCGCCGGCTCCACCGCTCGCAAGCGTCGTGGAGGAGACAGTTGCCCCAGTTCCTGCAATCACTGTCCACGACGAGCCCATCGCCACCGAGAATGATTCTATGGAAGATGTCGATATGGCGACCAGTACGTCTAGGAGTCTGTCCTCTTTGGTCTACTAATCCCTTTGCAGCACACAAGGTCAGGTCGCTGTATCCGTATGCTGCACAAAGGGACGAAGATCTCGGTAGGTGATTACTTTTGCGAATCGGACATTCGCTAACCTTTGTAGCCTTCGACGAGAATGCAGTTATCATCGCTCATCCATCCAAATCTGGCGGACCTTGGTGGTATGGCGTGTCGCCGTCATCTGGTAAAAAGGGCTTCTTCCCTAATAGCTACGTCCAAGTCATGGAAGAGAGTCAGTATTGCCAAACTATCCGTCCAGGTGACTGACGTTTGATAGTCCCTGCTGTCGCATTGTACGACTATCAAGGATCCACAGCAGAGGAAATGTCCTTCACTGAAGGGCAACGGATTACAATTGTGGATCGGAGTGAAGAGGGTTGGTGGAAGACAGAAGTGGACGGACGAATCCTTATCGTCCCGGCTGCCTATCTCGAGCTAGCTAGTGGTACGTCTTGATCACCTTCATTCGCTGTCCCCTTCACTTCAACATCATCTCGTCATCAATTGTTGATTGGTTGGCACAGTCTGAAGCCTTCTTCTCTCGGTGTACATTTGCTCCAATTGGATGGATATATCTCCGTCTATTGAAACAAAACGCATTTATTGGACTTGCTTGGTAATTCATCTCTGTAGATCGTGAACTGCTGGACCCATTGCTCGAGGAGCCACAGCCTTCATCCGTGGCAGCCTCAGTCGGTGGTGGTAGCGAGCTTGCTCGCTCGACAGCCTCTGAAGTTGCCACTTCAGATGAAGAAGAGGAAGATAGCAGCGAGGACGAATGGCTGACTGACTCGGATGACGAAGCTCAGTTGACAGACGCGGATCGTCAAGAGGAGCGAAGACAAAGAGAACTCGAACGACAGAGAGTTTTAGAGGCGGCAGGTTTGATTCTGAAGCAAACAACAGACTCTAGGCCTCCTAGACCACCTGTCCGCGCACGTTCCACCAGGAAATCACTCTCCATCAAGACGAAACCGGATGTTCCGACTCGTTCAAAGGAGCGAGATCTGCCACCATTGCCAGAGCCATCACCTCAAACCGGCAAGTCGGTCGACGATGCTTTCGGACGATATGAAGCCTTCAAGACACAGGAAGGAAATGCTGCGGCTCAGAACCAAGCCAACCGCCAGTCAATGATTTCCAATGCGAGTACATATGCAAGCACTGTGCCTCCTTCGTCCCCTCGACAACCAATTTCGCCTCATCTCGGTTCTGCAACGCTTCCCTCTTCGGCGTCCGTTCAGTCTACAGAGAGCAAGATTACAACGCTTCTGCACTTCTTGGGAAGGGCAAGGACACCAGGAGAAGGTTCTACAGAGAAAAAGCTGACGATATCTGCACCTGTTATCAGCGGCCCAATGGCTCTGCCAAATCCAAGCAGAGAAAGCAGCCCTGCGTTTGGCTCGGTGCGTACCTGGGTAGCATGGGATTCTTGTTAATACGTTGCAGTCGTGGTCAAGCTTGGTCGACAAAGAGGCTCTCAAAGACCTTCCACCTCACGAACGCAAGAGGCAAGAGGTGGGTCATTTCATCGCAATAGAAAAGCACTAACCCTTTCAGGCAATCTTCGAACTTATCAACACTGAGAGTGCCTATATACGGGACCTACAGCTGGTCGTAGAAGTCTTCTACTCTAATATGTTAGCTCTTCTGGATGAAAAGGCTATCAACACTATATTTGCTAATGTCGAGGACATTCTTCTGACCAACACGGTACGTTGTGTTTCTATGATGGGACAATTACTCACTCAATGCATTACAGGCTTTTTTGAGTCAGCTTGAGGAGAGGCAAAAAGAATGCCGCTTGTATATCGACAATATTGGAGATCTATTGGAACCGAATATTTCATCGATGGGCGTTTACATGGTTCGTCTCTCTGACCCCTAGAGCGAGTCTCATGGATACATAGCAATACTGCGTGAACCAAGCCACCGCTATCAAAGTTTTGCAAGATTTGCGAGACTCGAGGCCTGAACTGGCTGCAAAGCTGCTTCATTTGCGAGAAAACGACCAGACAGTCCGTGGCCTGGATCTCTCCAGTTACCTCCTCATACCAAGTGCGTAATTTCGAACTCATTAGGAATTTACTAAACCAGATCCAGTGCAACGACTCACCCGATACCCACTTCTCATCCGACAAATTCTACAATATACGCCGCATGGACAGGACCGCGCACTAATCGAGCGAGCTCTGGTCACCGCAGAGACCATTCTTGAGGCTATAAATGAGTCGATTCGTGAGCAAGAAGGACAAGACCGATTGAAAGAACTCTCGAATCGGCTTTGGGTCGGGAATGGTCAATTGGATTTAACTGCACCGACACGATATATGGGACAAAGGCAGCTTCTCAAAGAGGGTGTAGTCATGAAGACCAAGAGCCGGCGAAGGATCAGAGCGGTTCTCTGTTCTGACATTCTCGTCCTTGTCGATGAAGCGACCGGATCCGTGTATCGAATGGTAGTTCTTCCCTCAACCCATGCGCATAGTTCTGATGAATGCCGTAGCCCATCCCACTATCTGATATCAGCGTACAGGAGACACCCGGTCGACGAGGTACGTGTTTCTCGTTTGTTTCCCTATCCTCCTAACCTGCAGTAGATGACCTTGCCTTTGTGCTTTCTACAAGCTATCCGAGAGGGGGCAATACGGTCGGTCTCCGTGCAAGCACCGCCCGAGAATGTCAGCAATGGATGAAGGCAATCCAGGAAGCAAAGGACCGCTGCGTTGAGGCTGAAAAACGGCAAATAAAGCGGCATAGCACGAGACAGTCTCTTGGCTAGTTTTTTATTCTCTATATTCTTAGTCTAATTTGGTTATTATCTCCTGGAATTTGATGGTCTAATTGACATGGTCTATTTCTTATTGCTTCTCGCTGAGCTCGGCAACGCCAGGAAGGTTCTGTCGGAAATAGTTAGTACCTTAGCGCCCGAGTTAAGTGATTTCCTCACTTTGCCCTCCAAGAGTTCTAAGCTTGCACCACCGCCAGTGCTGACATGGCTGAGCTTATCTTCAGCCTTATAATTGGCGACGACAGTCGCAGTGTCGCCACCACCAACAATGACAGTGCTTCCATTCTTTGCAGCCTCGATGTTGGCATCAAGGAGGTCCTTCGATCCCCGCGCGAAATTGGGAAACTCGAACACACCTGCAGGGCTAACAGAACAATCAGTTGACATAATGCAACAGCCACTGTTAGACACACCCATTCCAAAGAATGGTCTTTGACTCGAGGACGGTGTCCCGGTAGAGCTTGCTAGTCTTTGGTCCAACGTCGAGACCGAGCCAGCCATCGGGAATGCCACTATCATCTGTGGCTTCTCCAACTTGAGCGTCCTTGTCAAATTTGTCGGCAGTGACATAATCGACAGGGAAGACCAGCTTGACGTTTTTCGACTTGGCCTTTTCGACCAATGCAGCCACCTTTTCTGATCCAGGCTCATCGAAGAGAGAATTTCCAATCTAGACAAGAGTTAGAAGCGTCTGACACTGAGAAAAGACATGCCTTCATGCCGTTCAGAGTCTTCTTGAAGGTAAAGGCCATCCCACCAGTGACGATGAGCGAGTCTACCTGATCTAATGTCAGAAAAGGCCCAAGGATCTGGGTAAACGCACCTTGTCGAGCATATTCTCAATAAGCTGGATCTTGTCCGAAACCTTAGCACCACCAAGAATAGCCAGGAAGGGCCTCTCTGGATTCTCCAGTACCTTGGCAAAGTACTCGAGCTCCTTCTTCATCAAGAAACCCGCAGCCCGCTGTGGTAGTTGCACGCCGACCATGCTCGAATGTGCACGGTGGGCAGTCCCAAATGCATCGTTGACATATACGTCACCGAGATTGGTCAATCCCTCGCGGAACTTCTTGACGTCAGCCTCTGAAGCTTTCGTCTTCTTGCCATCCTTGTCCTTGACAGAGCCTTCCTCCTCGATGTGGAAGCGAAGGTTCTCGAGCAGGATAATCGAACCATCCGAGGCAGAATTGACGGCCGACTCAACCTCGGAGCCAACACAGTCGTTGAGGAACTGAACATCCTTGCCACCGAGCTGCTTCGAGAGCTCGCCTGCCACAGGCTTGAGTGAGTATTTTTCGACAACTTTGCCGTCCGGACGACCCAGATGGGACATCAGCACTACGACTTTGGCACCTGTAGAATGGTCAGTCGCAGCGTCATCGTGCTCGTCCAATCGATCTGACCGTTATCCAGAGCATATTTGATAGTCGGAATGGCAGCTACGATACGCTACATCATTTATATCAGTATTTAAATCTCTTGAAGGATACTCGAAACTCACAGCTGGGTTGGTGATGGCCCCATCTTTCATGGGGACATTGAAATCGACACGAATCAGGACGCGTTTGCCCTTGAGATCCAAATCTGTGATGCTGAGCTTGTTTGATAGAGACATAGTGGTTTCTTGCAAGGACTTTTTCAAAGGACGGGTGGCGGTCGGGGCCAGAGATGTCGGCGTAATGGGCGGGTCCTTTATATGAACGGCGGCGCCCAGATCAGCTCGCTAATCTAACCCGGTTCGGTCGAGTAAGGAAATATGCCAAACGAACAAGATTGTCAGTCTAGAGTGCCAATTCTCACAGCCGAGATAGCTCGTGAATGATCCGCGTCACATTCGACAGGAGCACAAAAAAGTGAACAGGGATGATAGAACAAGCTAGGAAAATACTTTGGATACTGCCAGTTCGTCTTCCGGTCGTCTCCGCAGTTCCCTCCGATCCGCACGTTCGCTTTCGACGCCCTTGCGGATTCGGTACTTTTCTCCCTGGGCTCTTCGTAGCGCCGAACGTACCGCGGTTGGTGTCACAAATTCTGCAGAGGCGGTTAAGTCCGTTAGCGGTGAGAATCACACAAAGGCTTACCAGGATTCGAGTAGACGGTTGCACCGTTGAAGGCACCCTCGAAAATTTTAATCGGTGTCAGTACAAATCGAGGCCCAATTTCCACCAAGCTGGTCTGTGCGGGAGCGTTTGGCTGCTCTGGGTTCTTTTCCATAATCTGCAGTTCGGTTTATGGAATATCTCACTTCACATACGCGGCACTTACCTGAAAGTTACGGAACCATATCTTTCCATCCAGTAGCGAGAACGTAAGGATGTGGTCGATGAACGGCTTTGACCGCCTGGCAAGAGGGGGCACGCAAAATATCTATTCCGTGGTCAGTACTTCGACCAAGGTGTCAATGATGCCCACCTGTGTAAAGACTTCTTTGACGAGTCTTCCCCACTCGGTGTCGTCGAATGCTTTGTCAAAGCTGACGATCCCTCGGCTGCCCTTGAGACAGTTGCCAGTCATCTTAAGCTCATCCATCGTATGGATGTTTGCACATGCATTTTGATACTTGGTCCATTCGGCGTCTTTGCTGCCCACATGTACAAGTCCTCATGCCTTCGGGCTTCAAAATACAGTGTGTTGTTACAATTGTTAAGATCCGCAAGCTCGGGCAAAAGTCCCAAATTGTTCTTCGAGTCTAGCTTTGAATCTTTGCGAGAAATCAGGGCTCGTCTCCATTCGCAAAGAGGGCATACCTTTTTTCACCTGAGGTAGCAATGCCTCCAAATCGTTCATTAGGTGGCGCATTCGATGCGTGACACCTCTAGAGCAGAGGAGTAGCACTCTTTGCTTGTTTCTCTTTTTAGTTTCGCTCGTTGAGGTCGCCACTTTGACCATGTCCTTGGAGGCCTCTTGCATGATCGTATCCTCGTCCTCGTCTGCCACGTCTCGCTTCTGTTTTTGCTTTTTTCTGCTCTCCTTGGCCTCTATCTTACTTGCTATCTTGCTCTGGGCCTTGAGTGCAGACGCCATTGTCGTGGTTGGTAAATAGGATGTGGAGCAACTTGAGAAGTGAGATCAATCGGTGTAGATCACCTTCTAGAAGTTAACCTTGTTGTCTTACGATTACGGCCCACTGTGCCCGAATGTGCTCACTTCGACTCCACCTTCTTGTGGCGACAACTAGAACTCGTGCAAAGATCACCATGTCTACGAGTAACCTCACATTAGATTCTAGAATTCGGGTGGGTTCTTTGCCGAAACTCTGGTACGCAGACCAACGTCATATATAAGCTCAAGGACGGACGGGAGATACCCCATATCGGCTTTGGTAAGCGGTCTAATAGCTCATAGATGGTCTAATTTCTGGCAACTATGCAGGTGTCTATGAAATGTCTGGCGAAGAGGCCTATAGGAGTGTCACGATTGCGCTTGAGGCGAGTAACGCTGCGGGCCACAGATATATAGTACTGAATGAGTGCAGCAAGGATATCGTCTCATTGATTCAGCCGCATGGTACGGGAACGAGGCAGAATGCGCAAAGGCGATCATCGACTTTTGCACATCAACAAATACACCACGCTCAAGCATCTGGTTCACCACAAAACTTCAAAGCAATAGAGGATACAGCGCGACCAAGCGAGCTATTGAGACATCGTTCGAAAAGTGTCGTGGCTTAGAATATATCGACCTCTACCTCATTCACAGCCCACTGGGTGGACCACAGATGCGAAAGGAGAGCTGGAAGGCAGTGCTAGAGGCGAAAGAGGAAGGCAAACTAAGGAGCGTGGGCGTGAGCAACTACGGCGTTGCACATCTTGATGAGATGATGGCAGACGGTGTGGAGATGCCAGTCATCAACCAGGTACGCTTTCATCTTATTGAATTGATACTCCTTGACATTACTATAGGTCGACTTGCATCCATTCATGACAAGGGATCCTATTGTCGAGCGTTGTAGGGAACTTGGAATTGTCCTTGAGGTGTGTATCGATCACCAAGCCTACACGTGAGGTAACAAACACTTGTAGGCATGGGGTCCTGTTGTTCGTGGCCTCCGCTTCAAGCATCCAACCATTGTCGAACTCGCCAAGCGGCACTCCAAGTCTCCAGCCCAAATCCTTCTCCGCTATTCGCTGCAAAGAGTGAGTGGTACCACTGAACCGTGCTCATCTTGAGGTTAGCGTCGGTTTAGGGCTACATCCCCCTTCCAAAATCTGTGACCAAGGAGCGCATCATCGAAAATAAAAACTTGTATGACTTTGAGTTATCTGACAAGGAGATGGAGACTCTTCATGGTTTGGACGAGTGTGCGTTTCGACTTTTGCGGGTTCAAGTGCTGACGATTTGTGTAGATCTCGTCACGGACTGGGATGTGACGGACGCCGACTAAGTCTCACCTCATAGAACGAACGTGTTTCAATTGTTTGAATATAGCATACTAGAATTATGCTGCTACGCTCTCGCCCATTTGGATTCGATAGAGGTGACACCCACGGGCAATGATGCCTGCAAATTCCTCAGTATCGAATCCATGGATGTCAAGAATACTTGCCTTTTCATCATAATCCACCCACTCCCCCTCACTGAGATCAACTTCGTCAAAGACGGTCTCTGATTCTGCACCCTTACACTTCCAGATACCCTAGACGGATAAAATTCAGTATCATAACCCCTATTACAAGACATAGGTACCTGTGGATTGAAGCCCACGAATTCGAGTCCTCGGCACTCTATGGTGATCAACGGTGCAAATTGACCGCTCTGTTCAGAGGTATATGGCCTAAGAGCGGGCTGTGACGGCGTCGGGGTATCGAATTTGGCAGACGACTCGCGCTTGCAATTGCTGCACTTCCACACAAAATTCGCCATGGTCCCTTTCCCCATCGTCAACGGTCGCTCTTCCTATCATAATGAACCCAATCAGTTTTCATCACTTGCAGAATGGGTACATTCAAAGTGTGTAATGGCGGTGGAAGCGAGATGATGCTCGAGAGACGCACTGTGCGGTTCAGCGAGACGAGCTTTGGGTGCTGTTCGTTGCAAGAGTTGCATTTGACCTAGCGAGTGAGATGAGATAAGAGCACTCGATTTGTGTTTGGTCCGATTGGACTCGCATTGAAGAACCACTCAAAGTCATCAGACGCTGGCGCGAGATCCGTCACGTTTTCAAGCTCGGCTTTGATGTAAAGTTGCAATTTCTGTACAATAGGTGAAATTTAAGCCATGAACCCAAGTTCAGGACGCACGACCATCGTAATCAAAGGCAAAGGTGAATTCAAGGTGAATCGTTACCACAGCGAGTGGCTTACGATCTCAGACGGGGCGCAAAAGTTGGGTTTTAATCCAGTGGTTTCACAAAAAGGACCGACAGTGTAAAGGAATGCTACAGGTTGGGTGCGTGCGTCGCGCCGCGTAGCGGCAAAAACGACGTGCGTCTATCCAATCGGACATCTCCACTTGTCCAGTTCTATCGATACAGTAGAACGAAGTCATCATCATCGTATGTCATCAAAAGTCCGTGACCGCCATTGCCAGAGAACAGAGTTGTACAGAGAGGGTGAGAAGAGGAGAGGAAGAGGGAGAAGGATTAGAGGCAAAACCAAGTTGCTGTATTGCTTCCATTCACGACATGATCGTCGAGACCCACTTGCGTGGGGAGATGGCGCCGGCAGCAGATGCGGCAGCTGCCTTGCGAGCTCTGCGCCTCTCCTTTGCACGAATCTTTGGGCAAGGGGGCTTTGACAATCGAGGGACGACGTAGGAGATGTTCTCTGGGATCTGGATAAAGTATTTAGGTGGGTGGCTGAGGCGGGGCACGGTGTACTGGAGCTTTGAGGGTACGATCAAGATCACTTGGTCGCCGTTGGCGCTGAAGCGAGCCTTGTTGATGATATCCTTTTCCGAAACGGGGGCAAAGCGCGGGCTCTTGGGGGGCAGAGCTGGAGGGGGCATGCTCTTTCCGCGCATGTTTCGGTACGCCTTGGAAATTGCACGTTGTGCTGGCATCTCCTTGGACCTGGGGCCCTTGTTCGAGGAATTCTTGATGGGCAAGACGAGGGGCTTAGGGGCAGAAAGTCCCTTTTCAACGTCGGTCGAATCGACAACGACGGCCGTCTCCTCCCAGTTGACGAGCCAGGTCGCAGTATTCCACACTTTGGTCTCGGGAGTCGAGAGGCGGCGGGCGCGGGCAATAAACTCGACGGTGTGGATGACGACTGATAGAGGACGTAAGCCTGAGGACATGAAACCCAAGTACACGAAACTTACAAAGGAGAGGGGCGAGCCAAGCGACAATAGCAAAGAAGACGCTCTCTCGGCAGTTGTTTGCAGAGCAGGCAAAGGACTGGACACTGGCCGAGAAGGCAATGGCTGCGACTAGACTGATGTAAGACTCTAGAGTCTAGTGTCTCTGAAGCACATACCAGTTTGGAGGAAAATGACAACGCAGAGGAGAGTCATTTCACTGACAACGCTGCTGCAAACGTAGGCAACTTGGTGGCGGATGCTGTAGACTTGCAGGGCGGCACTAAGACAGATCAGATACCATGAGAAATATTCACTGTGACGACTTACAAGATCAAAAAGAACGTCAGGGTGATGATGTTGGTGGAGATGAGGAATTGGTAGACGGAAGCTTGGAGGGGCGACATAAAGGAATGTCCCTTGGAGTAGTAGATCACTAGGACCAGAAGCCATATCGAGGTAAAGGCTTGTGTAATGCCTGTGAACAGGGCGGTGAGCACAGTAGCCACGCATCGAGTTGGCGGCGAGGGCAGCAGAAGGCTACGACTCCCTCCGTTGAGAGAATATTTGTACGTACCAAATTTAATAGTGCGCTCTTGGAGGAACGAGCGACGAGCAGGAAGAGTAATGGCGACCATAGTGCGTGTTGGGAAAAAAGGGACTGAAAAGATGTCGTAAAAATGTGGAAAAAAATGGGATCGTCTCAAACGTTGGCGTAAAAACGTGATAGGAGTGCTAAAGCTTCGTTTTGCGGTGAAATGGGTGGATGGAAGGGCGTGCGGAGTCGTACGAGGAGCCGGCCAGTGCTGCGAAATTGAGTGGAAAAAGTAGGGGGATCGTTGGCGGGCCTAGCTGCCTGTTGTTGATATACAAGAAGAGGAGGAAAAGGAGACGAAGCTGGGCGACTGAGCGCGCCGGAGAACGTGAGGGCCGTAGAGGGAGAGTCCAAGCTGGAGGGCGAAAACTCCGGGAACGGCGGCGACTTCTGTGTGGCCACGAGGCGCCGCTTGCAAGGCGACCCAAAGCCTCGACTACGAAAAGGCAAATCGGCATTTCTAATAATTTTATTGGGGAGGAGCAGACACCTGAGAGCCCGCCCATGGCCCGCCCACGGCTAGGCTTGTTGCTGGCAGTGGAACCAGGCCATTCGTAGCTATGGGTCCTATTGACTCTAATTCAATATGATTATCTTAACCCGCAGGGTACAGCTTTTGTTTGAGACGAGCGTTCCCTAATGTCCGCTCGCCAAATCCACCAAACGCTACCGAGCCATGCTCCAAGCGCCACCGCATACACTAGCATAGAATATAACCATTGATGCCAGCGCAACGAGAACCAATGGGCCATATCTTCATCGCTAGTCCGTGTCATTTCCGTGGACGTCCGCGTTCAGATCTTGCACCACAACGAGGCATCTCTCGTCCCTTGTTCCTTGGTTCGGCATCTACTAATTGGCAGATTCGGAGTTTTAGGCTGTGCTTAACCAGCCTCTTCCTAAGGAGGAGATAAGACCCAGCCCATTGAATCGCGCCCGTATATTTAGACCTAGTCACGTCGGGAGAATTGTGAGAAATTCCTCCAATCCTTGTACACTCTGCGAAATGGCTCACTCCCAAGGCGATCCGTTCCCTTTCCAGATTCCGAGTCCTCTCAGCCCTATAAGCCCACCAGGAATTGGTCGTCCACTAAATGCACAAGTTGGCCACGTCTGGCCACCTCACATCGGCACAGCGCCTGTGGGGTTAAATCGTCCTCAACTTTATCCGACAGCGACGAGGCAATCAGGAAATGCAGAAAGCGAAATCACCGAAGACGATGCGTCTATCAGACAAGTGGCACCCCAGGACCCTGCTCAGACCCAGACGAATACAGCTCGCCGGCTTTGGAGAGAGTTGGATGCTTGGCAGGTGAGTCTATACAACCACGTCAGAGCTTCATTCGTTGTACTAATATTGAGTAGGTCACCATGATTACTATAGGGGTTGTACTGGGCACTGGTGTACTAGTGGTGAGCAAACGCTTACTCGGTCAAAACGCTTGCTCATGGGTTTATAATAGGCATCTGGGACAGCACTCCATCAAGGTATGATCAATCAATTGCCGATGTGTCGAACGGCTCTAAGCGAAATCCACAGGTGGACCTCTGGGTCTCGTGCTCGGATTTGTATTTTTAGGTGAGTCCAATAATTCTGACACTTTTCGTCAAATCAATATTCTACAGGCTTTACTGCGTAGGTGTACACCCATCAGACCAACAAACATATTAACCCTGACCCAGCTACTGCATGATGACCGCCTTGTGCGAGGCAAGTCAGCTTCAACGTTACTTCCTGCATCCGACTGATAGGTTTTAGTTGCTCACCTTTTCACCGGACAAGCAAGGGTTCATTGGTGCCGTGACCAAATATATTCATCCATCGTGAGCATTCTTCCTGAAATGGTCCAGAACACTAATCGAGGAAATGTAGTATAGGGATGGGACTCGGCTGGACGTTTATTCTAGAATTCGTATTCGTACCTCCTTCCCACATTAATACGGCAGCCACCGGTATGCTCACTCTTCGTCATCGGGTTCATCCCTGACTCTCTTCCCCTAGTATTGGCTCATGTAAATCAAGCAATCGGTCACCCTAATACAAGTCCCTTCCAATCCGAAGTGGCAAGAGGACTCTCTCGTTTCTTCTTCAGTAAGTTCTTCTGCTAATTTATTGATCATTCATTGACTTTGATTTACCACAGTAATACTCGGTGAGATCTCACATGAAACCATACGATAAAACTCACCTCTTTCAAGTTATTGCAGCCAATCTTCTGTACGCAAACCGCCTCCTTTATTCATACGCTAACACAGAATCAGTGCCATCAAAGCATTTGGTATATTGGAATTCTGGTTATCCAGGTGAGCCGTCCTCTAGTGATCATAAACAAAAGTTGACGCGTCAAAAGTTTCAAAGTTCTCGCCCTCATTGCTCTAGCAATCTTCGGCCTGGTGGTCAGCCTAGGAGGTGCTCGGCTTGAGGGTGGCGGTTTCGATCGCATAGGCTTCCGTTTCTGGGGATCTCCATTTGGTCCAATGGGCCACGGAGTCGGGATTGTTGACCCTCCAGGTGGAACGGAGCCCAAGGATGTGTTTCTTGGTTTTTGGGCAGCACTCGTCCGAATATACTTTGCCTATGTTGGACTGGAGATGGTAAAGAGCACATTCGGCCTTTGAGCTCATGCTAACCGTCTTGTATAGATTGGTTTTGTGGTTGGTGAAGTCGCAAATCCACGCACCTCTATCCCAAAAGGTATAAGATTACCTTATAACAAAGTCAATCTAACCCTTTCGCAGCCATCAAGCAAAGTATGCATGTTTCCGGAACAATATTCTGGTTCTAACCGCAGACAGCCTACCGTCTTGTTTTTGTCTTGTACATTTCGTAAGTCCGTGTTTATGAGCTCTTGCACCCGCTGAATTTGCACTAGAACCGCGTTCATTATTGGGATGATCTGCAGAGGAGATGGCAAGTTGTTTGCTCTCTGATGTGGAGATATCGCTAACAATTATTGTAGACCCTGCGCTGACCGATCCTGAACTCTCTCTCCAAGGACAAGCATCCACTTATATCATTGGTAATTACGTTTCTATCAACTAGAGAATGTCGCTGAAGGCATGCAGCCGCCAGCCGTCTAGCCGGCCGAGCTCTCGTCCCCATAATCAATGCGTACGGCAACGTCTTCACCTAGCGCGACTCCTACTCATTTCCGTCTAGAACCGTCATCGTGTTTGCCTTGTCAGGCGCGACTGCGAATATCTATATGGGCTCTCGTATGCTTTACGGACTTTCGTTGGACAAAAAGGCACCAGCGTTTCTTCGAAAGGTGACAACAAAAGGTCGTCCGACCCTTGCGCTTGCCTCCGTAGTTGCGTGGTGTTTTCTGAGCTACATTGGCTACGACGAAGACAATGGAAACCAAGGTATGCAGATTCCCGATAGACGATAGTCATAATAACGACTCTCGACAGCCTTTGCCTATTTTGTGGACCTGACCAGTAAGTCTTTCTTACAAGTTCGTCTGAATGGTATGCTTATTCTGTTTAGCATCCGCTGGGTCCATTAGTTGGAGTACGCAAACATCTGCTCATTTTGCCCTGTACTGACGGCGCCTAGTCTGTATCTTTTGGGCCCATATCCGATTTCGCAAAGCTTTCAGGCTACAGAATCGCGATATCCGAGAACTACCATACGTCGCACCGCTTCAACTGTACGGAACTTGGTTTGGGCTAGTCGTAACTATAATCTTCAGTATATTCAAGGTAAGGTTCAATTCTTCAGCCAGTCATATTCTGACTCCTAGCCAGGGATATGAGAGCTATGCCAAACGGAGCGGACGAGGTTTCGTTGCCGCTTACATACTATTTCTCTGGTTTGCCCTGGTGTCAATTTTCTGGAAATGGTACCGAAGTGACAGCGAGAATCGGTTCGTTGACCTGCATACGATTGACCTGCAAAAGGGGCAATACGAGATTGACCTGGACGAACGCAGCTATGAGCTACAAAACAACGGAATTGTCGCTCCTTAAACGTATTTGAGGTGTATCTTTTATTGTATTGCATTCGGTCCACGTACAAATCATGTAAACTTAGCAGTAATCGAAATTATGCTTCCCGCTTCTATGCTAATTTTGCCATATTTTCCAAATTCTTCCTCGGAGAAGTTCTCAGTATGAGCCTTCTTATGGCGTCGAATATGTGAGAGACGGGGTTTATGCGGCAGTGGACGCCATTCACTAGGAACACACGTTCGTTGTTTGAAGGACGACGGGGTACCTTGCTCAGTGGCATTTGAACACAATTTGCTGTCCATCACGCCTCCCCAGCCTCCTTTACGGACATCAACCGGTCAGAGACCAGTTGATTGAGACCGAAAGGGATATAAACGTCGCAGAACGATGCGCCTTGGATGCAGAACCCCCGAATTACATGTCACATCCATGGGCAACGATTCCTCCGGCGACGACGAGTGCGGACGTTGATAATGTCTATGCGAGCCCGCCTGCATACGATGAAAACTACCCACTCGAAGAACCTTCGGGCGTTGGTAGAAGAGTCTCCATCGTATCGGATGCTGTAAGTGTGGAGAAGGTCGAGGTCATTCCAAAGGATGTCTCCCCGAAGCTACAATATACGACCCACCGTGGTCTAAAGGCCCGGCAAGTAAGTATAAGGAAGTCACTTCACCGTTTTCATTGCTCTAATTGCTGTAGATGTCAATGATTGCACTCGGAGGTAAGGACTGGACCGGGCTGGAACGCGTCTTCTCATATTGCCAGGCATTTTTGGCACCGGTCTCATCATCGGGGGCGGAACTGCGCTAAATCAAGGTGGGTATGACTTTGTATGGTAGATTCAGCTCATGTCAATGCAGGTGGTCCCCTTGGAATTTTGATTGGGTATGGCTTTGTAGGCGCAATATGGTCAGTAATCATGATGGCATAGGACTCTCATCTTACCATTCATCAGCTATTTCACTATGGAGAGCCTGTGCGAGGTATGCGTCTCATTAACACGGAGATATCCCAAGTTAATGAACGATAGATGGCGACATTCCTTCCGAATAAAAGAAACTTCATCGGTTTTGTGACTCGTTTTGTTCACCCAAGGTACTGTGGTCATTTCGAACTGCACCTCGTGATCAAGTTGACCTATGAATAGTGTTGGATTCGCTGTGGGCTGGATATATCTATTCAAACTTATGCTTGTCATCCCATCCCACATCAATTCTGCAGGAATCAGTGAGTAAAGATCTGTGTGAATAGCCCCCTAACAGCCCCTAGTTATATCTTATTGGACGACGGACGCTCCTATTGCGATGTGGAATATATTATTTAGTACGCATTATTCTCGAGGCCACGACCCTTCATTCTCACTCATTTCTTTAGCTCTATTAAGTACGTTCTATCACTCTCTTCCGGGCTACTTGTTGATACTGTCGGACAGTATTTATCACCAATATTTTGTACGTGACTGGCGCGGCTTCTGGATGACTATTGACTGACCATCCCACATAGACCTGTCCGGGCCTTCGGAGAGGGAGAGTTCTGGGTGTCAAGGTGGACTTTCAACTCATGTCTTTTGGCTATTCCAACTCGAGGCACAGTGTCAAGATCCTAACTCTGATTGGTCTCGTCTTATTCGGCATCCTAGTTGCCGCAGGTGTCAACCCACACCATGTCAGTCTAGCCTTTTGGATCATGCATATAATTAACGCGGGTGTAGGACAAAATTGGCTTCAGATACTGGGTGCCCCCATACGGTCCATTGGGTCATTACTTTAGCCCAAGAGTGTCGGACAGCAAAGTCGTTGGGCAGCTCCTCGGTGTTTGGGCGGTGATGGGTAAGGTCCTATACGCGACTTTGCACGGTTTTTGATTCAGACTAGTCACGGCGCTTTACGCATTCGGTGGGATGGTCATCGTGCGTTCAATACCTACTTGACAAGCGTATGCTCACCAAGATAGATATCCGTCACCGCTGGAGAAGCTACTAGTCGCAAAGAGATCCCACCTGGTAAGCAGTTAAACTGTGGCTGTCACTTACTTACTGTACCCACAAGCGTTTAAGCGCAGTATGTCGTATTGGCTACCGTCGAGCAGTATTAATTATCTATAGCTTACTGGCGTGTGTTCATTCTTTACATACTGTGAGATTGCTGTCGACTCGCACCTCTGCCTGACTGACTATTTGTAGGGGCGTCTTTGTGATCGGTCTCATCGTACCGAGCAACCATCCCAACCTTTTCGCTTCGAGTACTACGCGTGCAAATGCTGGCGCATCTCCGTTTGTATTAGGTATGCGTATTATAGCTGTGACCCTCCCTCAAGCTTATGATCCTTAGCGGCAAGTCTGGTCGGCGTAGGAGTCTTGAGACATGTGATAAATGCGTACGCGTCCTAACCTATAATATGGTCGTTATACTGAATGGCTCTTGTAGAGCTCTTCTCATCTTCGTCGTCTCGGCAGCGGCCACTGATCTTTTCATTGGTTCACGCGTCCTTTTTGGCTTAGCCTTGGAGAAGAAAGCGCCAGCAATATTTCTCAAGGTGAACCGGTGGGGAATTCCATGGACTGCGCTTCTCTTTTGCTCTGCGTCCTGTTTCATCTCCTTTATCAACGTTGCCAAAGGATCTGTCAAAGGTAAGCTGTGAGCAAGTATAGAGACCAATCTCATTGCCTTGAAGCTTTCAGCTACTTTACCAACCTCGCGTCGACCTGCAGCGGATTAACTTGGAGTAAGCACTTGCAGTGGCGGTTGCTAGTCCTGATTTCTGCACATAGTTTGCATCTTAATCGCGCACATAAGATTCATGAAGGCTTTGCAGCTCCAAGGCTGGTCACGGGAGGCGCTACCGTACCAGGCTTTGAAACAGCCAAGCAGGGCCAAATGGGCGCTATTTGCGACCACTGTTATCATGATATTCAAGGTAACTACTGCTTTGTCGTCTGAGGTCTGTTCAACATGCCGTTCTAGGGATACGACGCCTTTTTGCCCTTTAAAGCCGACGCATTCGTGACAGCCTATGTCATGATCCTGGTATTCTTCGCGTTTATGATATTCTGGTACTTCAAAAGCGAGGAGAGGGCCGTCAGGCTAAAGTACATTGACCTACTGGAGGGCCAAGCGGAGATTGACGAGCACGAGAGCTGGTATCTCGCACGACAGGCGGAGAAGGGCCCCCCCAGCTTTACTAAACGATTATGGGATGCACTGTAGAGTAATATGCACAAGGGAAGAATATAGGCGCCGACTCGGAGCTTTGCGCACCGTGTGAATCGGGGCTGCAGGAGATCTCCAAAGGCGGCCATTGACCGTCTTCCTTGCCCCCCACTTGCAGGATTTTCTTGGTATTTCCACGAAACCTTGATTCGTTCTCTCGCCCAGGCGTTGGCAGTGCACGAACCGTCTCTCGGAGCTTGACTGACAAGTTGGGCAGTGAACTACCCTGGTCCAGCTTCTGTGGTAGTTCCGACGATAATCATCCAGAAACAGTGAGGAGTTGTCGCCCACATCTTGGACCTTACCTCTGCCGACCTATTGAACTTCACCCATTTCCGTGCTGTTCTGTAGGACATTTTCGAAAAACAAGAAATTCTTCTATCATGTCCTTCTATGGACAATCCGACCCGCGACCGTTTCAAATCCCTAGTCCACTCACACCAATCCCTCCACCAGCTGTAGGCTCCGCAAGAGATCGTTTCGGGCCTCGGTATGACGACTACAGGATGCATGACCTCTCGCCGTACAGTCATTCGAGTGGTAGCCCACAGCAAACGGCATATGGACATTCTCCAACATCGCCCATCTCGAGCCACGCTCGCAATTTTGGAGGAGGGCAACCCCACATCCAAATGAATCCGACTGCTACTGGGTACATGGATAATGGCGGCAGCGACGAAATGGACGATGAATCGGTTGTTGTACATCAGGTTGCCCCGAAGGATTATGCTGGGCGTGAAGAAGAAAGAAAGAAGCGTACTTTAAGGAGAGAACTTAACTCGTATCAGGTCAGTGCTTAGTCATCTCATCAAGCCTCAACGGCTCTGATCGGCGCTCGTGAGCACCGGCAACCCATCGGAATGGACACGGCGGATGACTGACGACTATTTTCGTTCGATAGGTCACCATGATAACTCTTGGAGGTGAGAAATCTGACGAATATGCTGGCATTTACTGACCATCGACACCCAGGCACGCTAGGCACCGGATTACTTGTTGTAAGTTGCCTCTTTCCGTTCTCAAGCTCCTTTATCTGAACAAATTTGTATTCCATAGGCTTCTGGCACCGCACTCTCTCAGGGTATGGGCACTTGGAGGTTTGGAAACTGGTTACCATCTCACGAACCATAACAGGTGGACCATTGGGACTCCTATTGGCTTACATCTTTCTTGGTATGAGACCCTTGCTGCTCAAGTCTATATCTGACACTCGAGCTGGCAGGCTTTGTCGCGTAAGTTGCTCTTCACTTTGCAACGATCTCTTAACGCCCACAGCTACTGTATGATGACTTCTCTATGCGAACTTTCGTCCTACCTGCCTCACAAAAAGGGGTTCATCGGTCTCATTTCTCGCTACGTGCATCCGGCGTAAGTCCTCAATTTCTATCATAAATAACTGTCTCTAAATCATCCAATAGCATAGGCTTCGGGCTGGGTTGGACATATTTGTGTCGATTCATCTTCGTCCCACCGTCTCACATCAATACGGCAGCCATAGGTTAATGCATCAAGAATAATTTCGGTCCAATGCTAAATACTGCCTGAATAGTCATGTCCTATATCAATGACACTACCGATCGACCTAGCATCAACCCAGTCCCTTCTGCAGCATGGAGGGTAATCTTCAGTGAGCATCTATCATTCACAATTGTACCACGCTGAATATGAGTAGTTGTAGTTGGTGAGGCTGGTCCATATTTCCGATATCTGATGTTTATCCAAGTATAGTTGTTGGAGTTAACCTTCTGTATGTCTTCTCTAGACAAACCGATGACAACTGATGAATTTGCAGAGCGATTCGAGGTTTTGGACGGTTGGAGTTCTGGCTCTCAAGGTGCGTTCTGAGGGCGTAGCACCGGGCTAGTCTGAGTGAGGCTTAGCTTCAAGGTGGTCGCGTTGATCGTCCTCATTCTTTTTGGGCTCGTCGTGGACCTTGGAGGGGTCCGTCTGAAATCGGGCAACTTTGAACGCATTGGGTTCAGATACTGGCAGCCTCCTGCTGGACCAATGGGCCATGGAGTCAGAGGCAACGTTCCTGATCCCAACCCAACGCAGACTTTTCTTGGATTCTGGGCAACCTTGGTTCGGGTCCTGTTCGCATACGAAGGCATGGAGTTGGTGAGTATTCGTACAAGGTCTGTGCACCGACTCAAATCGGAGAAAGATTGGTGTCGTCGTTGGTGAGGCAGCAAATCCACGTGTTTCGGTTCCGAAAGGTGAGGCGTTCCTATATAGAAACACGTTGTCTTACTCATGATTAGCCATCAAACAAAGTACGCAAAGCTTGTTGCAGGTGAACCAATAGTTCATCTCTTCTAGCATATCGCCTCGTCATTACGCTATACATCACGTGCGTTCGTCTCTAATTCGACCGAAATGATTGCTGATTGAGCTATAGGACCGTTTTCATCATCGGCCTGATTTGTGCCAGCAATGGTACATGCTGCTACTTCGTGTTGCTGGATCGGATTCTCACTCACGGTAGATGATACCTTTACTGGTCGTAGGCAGTCACGCGGTCAAATTTCCCCTTTTATTATTGGTCAGTTCATTTCTCGCTCACTTTAACCTCTCTGAACGATGAGAAGCTGCCAATAATCTATCTGCACGAGCGCTCGTTCCTGTCATCAACTCGTGAGTTCTTTCTTCATTCGATACCTTGGATGCTCACTCAGCTTTAGAACGATCATTATGTTTGCACTCTCTGCAGCGACCTCCAACATTTACACAGGATCACGTCTCCTTTACGGTCTTGCACTCGATGGGCAGGCGCCAAAGATTCTTACCAAGCTCGCCGTAGGTGGACGCCCTCTTCTAGCACTAGCCGCATGCTCTGCATGGTGTTTCCTCAGCTACCTTGGACAGAATGATGGCAAGGCAAACCATGGTGCGTAGTTCAGGAATCATTACCCGTTGACTGACCCCCTCTAGCGTTTGACTTCTTTGTGGATGTGTCGAGTGAGTGCCTTGGCTATGTGATTAATTCGTCTCATTCGTCTTTCAGCAACCGCCGGGTCTCTTAGCTGGAGTAAGTAACGCAATGCTGTGATGAAGCATAAGTTGACAGAGTTTAGTTTGCATCTTTTGGGCACACATTCGATTCCGGCAAGCTCTTCAGGCACAGAATCAACCTCTAAGCACATTAAAATACCTTGCACCTCTACATCCATATGGAACTTGGTTCTCGTTGATAGTTACGGTCATATTTGCCATCTTCAAGGTGCGTTACTTGATATTTTCGTTCAATGACTTTGCTCACGGGTGATTCAGGGGTACGAGAGCTTTGTTAAGCGACATGTAGGAGGGCTCATTGCGGCCTACGTCCTCTTTCCGTGGTTCTTTGCGCTGGTTGGATTTTGGAAGTACTTTAAGCACGGTACGTTTGTACCGCTCGACAAGATCAATCTCCAAGAGGGAAAACGGGAGATCGACCTGGAAGAGGAGGATTATTTCATGCGAAAAGCAGGACAACCACCGCAATCATGGTGGAAACGAGTCCTCAACTGATCCACATTACCACTCGCTCTGTTTCCCTTTGGCCCGGATTCAACAATAATGCCTGGACTCTGTAATCTGTCATGTTAATTTCATTGTACTCTTCATGCTTAACTCTGCCAGTCGGGTTAGTACGGAGACGGAGATACAATAAATTGCCCGGGCCGCCTCAGGCGTGAGCACTGAGTAGAGAACAAGAGCTACCTCATTATCGACACCATTATTTGATCAGATATTGGGCCCTTGACGGGATAAAAGCCAAACAGAACGGGCGCCATCCAAACTCAGCCAGCCTCTCTTGTTCCTCCAACCTACCCAACGTCTCCCTCATTCCCATGTCTATCACTATCGTCACCTCTGATAACGAACAGTTCTGTGTCGAGAAACTTGTCGCTCAGCGTATCGCCCTCATCGAGGACATGGTTGAAAGTGCCGTTCTCTCTCTTCGCGCGTGCTAGGCGCAGCCCAGGGCTGAATGCTGATACGATTTAATCACGTACAGATGCTGGAGATAGACCTATTCCGCTTCCCAATGTGACCGCGTCCGTCCTGAGAAAGGTGGGCACTGCGCACGGAGGCTCTAGCCCGTATTGACGATAGGCTGTACATAATAGATCTTGGAATACTGCGAACATCACAAAAATGATCCCCTCCCGCCGTATGATGACGGGTCGCGCAGCCGCACGACCCACATCTCGGAGTGGGACCAAAAGTTCATCACTGTCGACCAGGAGATGCTATTTGAGATTATTTTAGCTGCAAACTACCTCGAAATGAAACCTTTACTGTACGTTCGCCTCAATGTTCCACGAGTCCAATGCCTCACCGCCTGCAACGCTGTCGCTGGGTGGATATCAACTACAAGTCCTGTTGTAAAGCCTCAACTGATAATTTCCATGTAGTGACATTGGATGCAAGACTGTAGCGAACATGATCAAGGGCAAGTCTCCGGAGGAAATTCGCAAGCTGTTCAACATTGTCAACAACTTTACTCCCGAAGAAGAGGTACAGATATACTTTGAATTGTTACAATTTTCAAAAACTGAAGCTATTCCAGGCTCAGATCAGGAAGGAGGCTGAATGGGCTGAAGACCGATGAGGTATCTATCGATGTCGGCAATTGGCTGCGGATACTTCGTGCAATGTTTTCACTTCTAGTTCTCAGTTGATATCATAAATAATTGCCTCGAAACAGTGCAAATCCTCGATAAATCATGAGTAAAGACAAGACATATCCCCATCCCGGGGAAATGTGTACCCAGGCCTTTGACCAGGGAAACATTCTGAGGCGACAATAAAGTTGTGTGATGCTTAGCGTATCCCGTATTGATTGGAAGGTAGATACTGGGAATCGCGACGCATGGCAAACAGCTCACTGTACCTAGTGGCACACCCCCTTTATTTTCACAAGAAAATTAGGATGTCCATGTAATCAGTAGAAATCGTTAGACATGTCGGGTGTATCATGAGTAGCGACTGGCTGCGAGTGGAGACGAACTCGTCGAGTAGACTATATCACTGATGTCCTTGTCGTGTTATTGTATCTCTCACGCTCCTGGGTGATGTTGTATTATAGCAGTGAGATTCATATGAAGCGAAAATGAAATAAGGATACTCAGGCCGTCTCCACGCCGTTGAGCTCGACGAGCCCAAAATATCGACTACGACCGTGTTCGGCTTCGTCTCTTGGTAGTCGTTCGCCTCTATCGAGGACCAAGCCGACATATTTTCTCGAGAAGCGGCCCGAGGTCTGGATATAGAACCGGACATATCCTGGTACAGCTGCATACAGAGTATGGTCTCTTCCCATCAATACCTGTGTGTCATATTAGGATGTGGGGCGTGGGCGAACAAGTGGACTTACATGCTGTCCTGGATGAAATTTTGTACCGCGCTGGCGTACGATGATTGAGCCTGGAGTGACAAACTCGTCTGTGTGAATAACTGTTAGAACTGTGCTGATGGCTGTTGTCCAAGACTGACCTGAAAACTTTTTAATACCCAAACGCCGGCCGGCGGATCCTCCATGGTTCTTGATGCTGCCTCCTGCGCGTTTTGTTGCTGTTCTAATTTGTCCCAGGGCGTTTGGGAGAGCCCAGGGGATGTTCAGCTGTCTCGACAGGCACTGCCAGGCTGGAGGCGCGGGCGTTGAGCAGCGAATGCGAGTCAGTGCAGACGTACACGAAGTAATCATTTGATATTGAAGTCTCTGCGGGGATAAAAGGCGGAGAGACTGGAACAGACGCTGTCCAAAACCCCCAGCGCCTTTTGCACCTTCGACCCGCCCACATCTTTGCCCTTTTGTCCAACTTTGACAACGATGACAGTCACTCTCGTCACCTCTGATAATGAACAATTCCGCGTCGAAAAGGTGGTTGCCCAGCGCAGCGTCCTCATCAAGAACATGCTGGAAGGTGCCGCTCTCTCCCCTCACGCGTTCCAAGACGCCAACTGCAACGAATGCTGATCTTATTCACTCTTCTGTAGACGTTGGAGAGTCTGATCAGCCAATCCCACTCCCAAATGTGACTGCGCCCGTCTTGAGAAAGGTGAGCACAATGCACGCAGGCTCCAGCCCTTACTCACAATGGCCCGCGCGGTATAGGTCCTCGAGTACTGCGACCACCACCAGACGGATCCCCTGCCAACAGGTGATGAGCCATCGGCGGACGAGTCTCGCAAGCGCACGACCGATATCTCGGAATGGGACCAAAAATTCATCACAGTCGACCAGGAGATGTTGTTTGAGATCATCTTGGCGGCAAACTATCTCGATATCAAGCCTCTGCTGTGCGTTTCTTCCTTTTGCCACACTTGCCACACAAATCAAACGTCTCGCCGTCTATCCTTAGTCAGATCGCAAGCAGCCTTCGTTGGCAGGACCCCAGCTGACAATGACCCTTTAGTGACGTCGGATGTAAGACGGTTGCCAACATGATCAAGGGCAAGTCTCCCGAGGAGATTCGCAAGCTATTCAACATTGTCAACGACTTCACGCCAGAAGAAGAGGTAGACCCATCTATCGAAACTTTGTTCCCCTCAGAGACTGACAATGTTCCAGGCTCAGATCAAGAAGGAGAACGAATGGGCCGAGGACCGATAAACTACCAATATCGGTGCTTCACTTGTTAGCTGTGAAGGCTTGTATTTTGCTCCCACCCTAGAAATAAGATTAACTCTTGAACAATGCGGTCGCTTTCAATAAGTTGTTGGCACAGGCAACATAGGTACATGTCATTTCCTTGGTACCCAGACAAGCTCGATGCGGTCACGAGCAGCCAAACTCATTTGCATTGTAGCGCCATCGAGGGCCCGCTGGGCTCGCCTCTTGGCTCCTTCCGACGTCTCCCCCGGCTGTTGACGGATCTCGCACCGGTATTGGGAGAATAAAACCGCAAGAACAGCCGCCATTTGTGTCTCGGCAAACCTTCTTCCCAGACACGCTCTGAATCCTTCACTCCACGGTAAGAATGCACCTCTTGGAGGACGACGGACGCCAGGAAATTTGGCAGACGGTTGGATACCTTGATCCTTCTGCTCCTCGTGTGTGTAAGATTCCATTGCCCACCTTTCGGGTTTGTACTCTGCTGCGTCGAGGCCCCAGTATTTGGGATTGTACTGCACGCCTACAAAGTTGAGGACGACGACGCTTTGGGCCGGTAGCACAATGTGTCGTGGTGACTTGAGCGGGTCTTCGTGCCAAGTAATCGTGCGGGGTTCGGATCCTGTCCACCGGAGGGTGGCAGGAATCGATGGGTGGGTGCGAAGTGTCTCGTACTATCGTCACGTTTAATATTCAGAATAGTAGCAGCCGAGAGAATGCAAACGTACAGCGACACACATTGGACCTGTCAGCTTCCGAAAGAGAGTGTCATACTCCCATGTAGCTGGGTCGGCACTCAGAGGGACTTCAGCAGAGGCTAGGTCCTTGTCAAGTTGCTCGTGTAGCCAAGCTTGCTTGTCTTGGTGAATGGCAAGGTTGATGAGTGCGAATTGGAGTGCCGTCGAGGTAGTGTCCAGCGCCGCGAGGATCATCACGTACACGTTTCCCTAGACGTCCATGTGGTCAATCGACTTTAGATTCATCTTCAAAGATGATTTTAATAAGCGTACCAGGATCTCGCTATTGCTCAGCCCAGCGCGAGGTGAACCAGTAGCCTCCTCAGCCATCGCCTCGGCGTTGGCCTTCACTAGTGCAGAGATGAGGGTCTCCTTTCCACTCTCACTAACATTTTGTCCAGGTGCGCTTTCTTCGCGTTCCAAAATGGCATGGATATAGCTATCAATTGCGGCCTTTGCGTCGAGCATCTGTCCAAACTCGTTTCCTAACAGCGGCAAAAGCCATTTGGGCGCAATGAGGGCCCCAATCATCTTGCGGAAATCATTCGTAATGAGCCCAAATGCCTCTCGGAATGTGTACTTTGTCGCTACACTCTTCCCTTTGCGTGCCGCGTTTCTCGTAGATACCTCTCAATAACCGTCACGTCCTTTTCGTGATCAAACGGAAGTGGAATGCCGAACTCGACATAGGACATGACGTTTAAGCCGACCAGTTTGAGCGAGTGCAGCAAGAGCTTGTGGTCACTCGGCGGAGTGTTGCGCCAGTAGCGGAGCATAGCACTGGCTTGTCGAATCGTTTCGTTCCAGACAATGGCGTTGGTGCTTTCGCTAAACGAGGGTCCAATGACTTTACGATGGCGTGTCCAATCATGGTGTTCAACCTATTGGATAGCCGTCAGCCATACATTATGCACATCCAGTAGAAATATAGCACACCGTAAGCACATTTTCTCCGAAAACAGCGACGATACCTGCGAGGGAGTCAGCGGTAGGGGATTGCAAGATTAAAACGAAAGCGCACCATTGATCGGCTGGTATTTCGTAAACTCTGTTCGTCGATTGAGGACATCCATAAGGACGTCTGCATCTGCAATATTGACGTTGATCTGCTCTGGAGTAACGACTTGGAAGATATCGCCCATGTCAGCGTGAATGCTAAATATAGAGATCTTCAGCTTGGTAATAAACTCATTTTCAAGGGCACAAACCTATATTTTGCAATCCACCTCCACTCTGGACGGACCCATCTCGCCCAACGCTTTGACCATGAAGGGAGCATACCGAACAAACGTTTATAGGTATTGGTTCGAACGAGATTGGAGAAGAAGATGTTTGTCTCTAGATACCTAATTATAGTCAGCACCTGCCTCAGGGATTGTCGGAACAGCATTACGTACGGAACTGAGACCATGGGTAGACCCGTCTTGCTAGCCTGCATTCTATACTTGATATAGCCCGTCACAAAGTACACCAAGTACCTTGTGACGCTCAGCGCAGGGATGCCCACCGCGAGACCCAACGCGACCTCTCTTGGTCCGATATGGATCGTTTTAGACAGCCCAGGTATATATACAAGGGTCCCATTTGATATGAGCTCCCATATACCGTCATAAGACCTTGCAAGAAGCTCCCGAGGACGCGCCAGATACCCCATCCAAACGTGAGCATGGTCGATGACGCTACCGGCCATTTCTTGCTCTTTCAGAGTTTTAGAGCCCCTTAATAGTACGTTATTGAGGTTTAGAGGGTTCTCTTGTGACGAGAGAGCGTCCAAGATGTTTAGCGCGGCCAAATGAGGTGTGATGGATTTGTAACCTCGCTGCTAGCAAAACACGCGGTTGCTCTGGCACCGCTTTATTTATCCATATGAGCGACACAAGTTAGGCGCTGATGACGGCCGAAGTTGAGCGGGGTTAGAGGATCTGCTCGGGCCGCTTGGCTATCATCTGGCAAACAAGAGCCAGTGAAAACATTGCGCTCGTGTACAAAAGCTTTATTTTATTGGCAAGGGCCGTTGTTGTGGTCAGGATCAAGTTAGACGAGGCAAATCTTCCCTGCCCAAACCCCCCTCACACCGTTGCTGAGCAGGACAATCTCTCCATCTTTTACCTCTTCTACTGTAACATCTCGTTCTCCGACCATGTGTTGCCCCAATAGCCATCGACGACCTGTCCCGACGAGGCATCCTGTTCCGAGTGTCGGTGTAACCCATTCATGGCCATCTTCGTTGTATTTGCGATCTTCTGCGACTGTAGATGGCTCTGTAGTGAGAGGGCGGTAAAAATAGACGTTTGTCCGGCTCCCCTCCATTATCTGCCGTTCGTGATTCCAAACCAGAACCTCTGTGTTCTCTGGGTCGAATTCAAATTTCTGATTTGATTTTGCACCATCAAGGCCGACTCGCTGCCGCGCGGCATCGTAATGCGGCCGCGCCGTTGTCTTGTGTGATGTGTAACTCGAGGGAGTAGTCGATTGGGTGTCGAGAACAACAGTATACGGCATGGCTATATTGAATAACGGAGAGCCTCCTGTGCTATCACCTACCAGCGTGGATGGCGACGGTAAGGGACTCGAGGAAAGAGATTCTGGAGCGTGACAGGAGGCGTGGGGGTGATCTCAATGATAAATTCCGCCGTATGATGAAGCACCGGGCGTAACTCAAGCGACGAGTTAATGGAGATACGACCTGATGGAAGCCACTTACCCTGAGTGGCGTATTTGGTTTGATGTCTGACCGCGCTGCAAAATAGCCATTTACATCCTCTTCAAGCCTCTTCCTGAACTTTTCAGTAGTACTGATGGGCTCAAACGTTTGAGGATACGTTCCTTCTCCCCGAGCGCTATCGATAAACCTCCATCCAAAGTGATCCAATGCCTCTACAAGACGTTCATAATGGAATATAACGTTGTAGAACGGCGAAGGCTCCCCGTTTCCTGACAGTGCCGTATTTTCTTTCACGTCTAGGAGTTGAATGTCGTATCGCAGCGAGGTGAAGAGACCAAAGTCGGGAGTATGAGGCGCTCTACCGGACATTTCCGTGACTGAATAGTGAATTTGCACGGGTAGTGGTGCCGAACAATGTCACCCGGTCCTCACTTGTTTGCTGGTTGGGATTGAAGGTACGGATCTTGTCAGACGAGGCGTGGACAACATGAGGTTGACCAGCAACATTGACTGTACTAAATACATCCTCTTTATAGGATCAGCTTGGCCATTATCTCCAGGTCGAATCGTGCGTGCCCGCTCAGTCGCAACTGTTCACGTGTTACATGCGGACTACAGGGGTCAATCAAATAAGGAATGCAGGTTAGAAGGAAGACGTACTTGCGTCTTAGGTTCTGGGACCCTAAACAGATCTCTGACTTCCTGGGGTGTCTTTCCCTTCACAAGATCCGCGACAACAGTGCATCCCAGCTCTCTGAGCCCCAGAATCAGTCATTCTATGTCGATCCGGCGTGGAGCACGTGGGAAGAGGGAGTGTACGTACACGAGTGGCTTCATTTTCGAGTAGTGAGCGGCAAGGATCAATTCAAATAGCATGTTTTGCTCGAGTTCTCGGATCCACTTGGTATCCCATTCACTAAACGGGCTAGGTAAAGGGGTTGGGGAAGGTACGAGTGGAAATCCATTATCCGGGACAAGAGGATCGCTGCGGTGCTCTTTACAATACTGGAGCATCTTCTCACGGAAAGGGTCAGAAAATCGGTCAAGGTCGGGTATCCCAGACTTGCCACTCCGAGAACGTCGCCAGATACTTTGGGGACGAGGATTTCTTCCATATCCTTGGCGACTGTCAAACATAAGTTTCACCCTGAATTGATCTAAACAGGAAGGAAGATGCGTTACGTTCGACTCTGTATTTGACGACATTGATCCTCATCCCAATGTCTTTCTCCACCGTATAACGAGAATCATCTGTAGATACGAGGACTACACTCATGGTTTTGAAGCTCTACGATGGATTGACGTTGGATCAGCTGATGTGGTGAATATCCAATATGTGACAAGCGCTGAGCTAACGTTGATGGCTCCTCTACGAAAATATACGTAAGGTTTACAGCAATACGGAGCAACTGGTCCACGAGGTAGTGACACGTGATATTTCTTTTGACTGGCAGCTTTATGTGGCTTGGGTTAGGTTGTGGCAGACAGTTCATCTCGTTATCCGCTAAACTCCTCTTTGATACGCGCCTGTAAGGATGTCGTTATACTAGCCTGTTCGTCGTCATCTTAACTCACCTCTTCCTCGGGAGTGAAGTCATTTTGAATAGAAAACGCCTCTCGAATTTGCTCAGGTGTCTTTCCCTTGAGTTGAAGTGCGACAGCTTTGCAGCCAGCGTCCCTGTTATTACGCAGATTTAAACGTGATCGTCAGCGACTGTACAGAGTGTACGCTGATTGCATACAACAGTGGCTTGATACCGAGATAATCCGCAGCGAGAATGATCTTGAACAGCTGGCTTTGCTCGACCTCAAGAAAGGTCTTGTCCCAATCACTGAGTTCGGTAGGACCACGCGACTTATTGTCACAATCGTGTGAGACTGGTTCGTCCTTGTAATGTCGGAGATACTCTAGAACCTAGTGGGAAGATTTCCAAATGTAAACACTTGAAACTATACCCAGCTCTCAAATACCTTTTCCAATGTTGAACCGTCCACGCCAGGGAGTTGGATTGTGATATCTACACCCTTGTTCTCTAAGAAACCAGTGAATCGAACCGGCATTGTGGCATTGATGCACATATAAAGCCTTCGTACCGTCTAGCTTCTCGTTTATAGCTTTACTGTGGATCGCTAAGGATTTCTCCACCACGAACGGCTGGTTGTCGGACGTGATCAGATTGATAGACATGAGAGCAAGGTCGAGAGACAGCGAAGACTTTACCTTCCCCTTATATGGCTCTGCGCGAACCTTGCGGGTTGGTTCGTCTCGCATGGCAGCTCGCCACAAAAGCGTCGAGATGTCGCCCTGTATCGCGTGTTCACAGAAATTGGAGTAGGGTTCCGAGTGACCACCCAAAGCGATGGAAAACGTGCCATCAACCTACGTATCTCATGTTCAGAGGCTGACCGATGGTAAATTGCTTTCAAAAGAGCCATATATATGACATACTTTGCTGATCGTCGGTAGCTGAGTGCGTCCATTTGTGAGATGGCCGGCAAAGGGGCGTGCCTACTCCCCAAAGTATAGCCCGAAGGACGGACAGTAAATAAAAATACCCCTCGATTGTATACCAGGGATGCCAATTTTCTGCTTTTGTACCTATCTCGCTTTCTGTTCTACTTATGAGGAACTTGGGCTAAGAAGTGATTGTACGATGACCATATTTGAGCCAATACACATATCCAGTTTGCGTTGAATACGCCCCGGAGCAAGCTGGCTTGTGTTACCGACGTGGCAGGCGACAAGCCGTGAAGTAAGCTTGTTCACACTCAGGTTATGAGGTTTAGTCGGAGAAGAGATGAGAAGTCAAATTTCAATGCGTGGTGACGATCATTCCACTACCAAAATATCCACCGCGCACTCAAAGAGTGGTGAGCCAGGCCATGACCTTCTCGTGACTCGCGGAGAACGTGGCTACATTGGTTATGCAGCCACTCCCTGATTCGGTATTCGCATTTACTATATTAAACTTCAGCTTCGGAATTTCATCAGACAAAGAGCTAACCATGGTTCTTGGGCCGTGCAGCATCTTGCTGGCTGTTGGGCCTTCCCTTTCCCCACAATCCTCCACCGGATGTGCTGTGAGCCTGATACCGAGGTGTTTTATCACAAAAGAGGATCTCAGTTCGCATGCAAGGTGCAATGGCCGTCCGAGTGGTAGCGGTCACTCCGGGTGTCAGGACGTGGAACCGTGAGAATGGCTCTGGAGCGAGTAAATCTCGATTTTGGTCTCCCAACCTCCCAAACACAGAGGTAGGACTCGCCGGACGGCTTTCCCTAAAGCGTAGATCAGGTATCGCGCAGTCGCACGAAACAAGACTCACTCTATCGGACATGCAAAAGAGTCTTCGCTTCCGAAATGGTCACTCCCAGCGGCTGCCTCGCCGGCAAGGCTCATATCATCCATGTTCTCCAAAACGGCTGAGTGAGACGGCGGGTGAAAGTCTGTTGCTGAGGATTCATCGAGTGATACAGTCGAGTTTTGCGGGCTCGTCTCCACACGGATGCCTTTCGACTTCATAAGCATGACAAATTTGGAACTACGGGCAGCAGATGAGTAGACACGAAATCTTTGTTGAGAAACCTTACGTTGCCGCATTCGTAGCGTCCATAACGTCCCGACGTGAGTAAACGAATCGATAGATACCAAAGTAGGTACGTGGAAGCACAGTCCACAATGTAAGAGTAAGGCAAAGTTGTACAGAGAAACGAAGATAGGTGAGATCAGGATCTAAGGGACGTTCGACGCCAGGGACTTGGTACTTATACTGCGGAGACCGTTACAACTGCTGACAGTCTCGGTCAGGTCTGTCACCGCGCCGCCTCCCTAGTTTGAATAAAGATGTATCGTCATGTGTCGAGATGACCGAGCACGTCAGGATCTTCCATGCTTCTGGTGGACGTCGGCGGTCGAAGAGAGGGACGCTTACACAACGCTTCAGCAATAGGTCACAGCACGATTATAGACAGTCAAGAAACTCGTTGAACGCGATAGGAGAATTCCAGTAGGTGTCAAACGCGTTGCAATCCCCTTCCACACAGCGCTGGATGCCAACGTGACAGTTCGTTCAGAAGCCACCGATATGCTTCTTGGGTTTCTTTCCCGCTGCCCGTGGGCGCCCACCAAACTTGCCCGGAAGAACTTGGGTAGAAGAGAGAGCATCTTCTTTGACAATTTGGGAGAGTACGGCGGGTAGCGGCTGGGCTTGTGGTGAGGAAGAACGAACGGGTCCAAGAGTAAGGCCACCGATCCGTGACTTGCCGTGTAAGACGGTTGTATTCACTTTTGGAAGGCTATGCAATTGAGACATTCCAATCTTGGGGGGAGCAGCCAGCGTTTGACTCGGATAGGGATTGGCCTCTGGTTGGGACCTAGGGCGAGCCATTCTCCGGGAATTGCCAGACTCGTAGGCCATTGGATCTGCGAGTGGGGATATATAGTTATATAAATCCGGGTCCTCACCGATAGGCCATTCTGCCAAGAGTCGGCGGAGCCCTATGGATGGTTCATCTTCATCCAAGATAGTCGGTTGGGTCGACCTCGACCCCTCTTCTGCACCTGAGAGCTTTGGATTCAAGAAAAAGAACTCCACAGGAGGAGGAGGATCGTCGGTGATAGAGAGCGAAGCTGTAGCTTGTTCGAGAGATCCATGGGTGGAAGTGATTTGCCGCGTTGTGGGCGCCCTCAGTGGTTGTTGACTAAAGACATAGCTAGAGAGATGAAGGTCCAATTCTAGTTGATTCTTGGCCATCCTCTCCACACTACTTCTCCCCGAAGATGGTTCATCATTGCCTTTCGCTGCAACTTCAATCCTATTGAATGTGTTCCTCAAGTCATAGGACCATGCTGCGCCCTCAGCAAGCATAGCAACTGATGGGAGAAGGTTTTGATGAAAGACCGCATGGCCATAGTGCGAACTGAGGTGGGTGCGGTTCAAAAAGGCGGCACGTGGGATGCGAGTTGGGTCCGAACCAGCGCTGAGCACTAGCTCAGCCCTGTTCCCAGTCAGTGACATTCCTCTGAGAATGAGTTACCTACAAAGTAATTATATTCCCTCGAGAAGTTTCGACTTCTTGCCACACGCGTTTGAGGCGCTCAAGAGTAGTGACGACGTCCACTGCAGAAGCACTAATATTTGGCGGCTCGCTAGCTCTCTGCAATATTTCTGATCGAGAAATGAGATGCTTTTCCATCAGACGCTCATACATACCGTCACATATGGGCTGAAAGTCCACTTCGATATAGCTTCTGACCGTATCGGGGTTGACTTGCTTCTTTCTTGTGCTCCGTTCAGGCTGGATTCTTTGGGAATTGATATCTGCCCCGGTCTTCAAGGGATTACCGAAGTCTCTTGAGTGAAATGTTGCGTATAAACCAACATCGGGTGAGAATTCGAGGAAATGAAAGTCCGAAGATTGATCATCGACCGCAACGAGGAACGCATATCCAGTTCTCTGAAATATACCAGAAGTGTTGGCAAGTACCTGGGGTAATTTGTCGACTTGCAGAAGGTCATCTGGTGCCGTGATTTGATAAGTCGTTACGAGACCGTTGTGTTGGGAGAGAAGAGCAACAAGTAAACCTTAAATAGGATCAGATATGTATGACCTTTAGATGAATCCCTACTTGATTGCGCGTGGTGTATGCAGGTCCTCAAGGAATGGTCATGTTGCCGCATGTGCATGATCGACAATAACGGTGTGGTGAAATATCTCTCGTCAATGAAGATGATGCGTTTTAGCGTCGTAACAATGAGGCAATGATCGAGATAGGTGTCTTTATTAGTTGACCTCTCGACCGATAAAAATTCCTCGTCGTTTGCCAAAGTCACACCAGGTGTGACCTTTCCGTCCTGCAGAAGGTTAAGAGCTCGCCTACAAATAGAATAATACGTACAGATAAATCCACTAGTTCCAAGTTGTGAGGACTTGCCCGGACCATGATATTCTCGTCGCTGGCCCAGCGTATCCTCCATTTATCGGTATGTTCAGCTCGCGAGGCGCTCTCGAGTGGTTGCCTACGTAGGGTGTGAGACAACGGCGACAATCCATAGGATTTACGGACCAGCTGGTCCCTGCATTGTGAATGGCGAGAAAGGATATCGATCCCGACGTATCCACAAGCCCGAGCCGTTTGTTATCAAACGGAGATATGATCAAGTCGGCTATTTCCCCAATATCAGTTATCTTTATAGCAGCTAATTGTGTAATGCTGGTCGTTCGCAGTGTTCTCCCGAACTGAATACTGAACACGGAGACGGTCGTAAGAGTGCGGACAGCAAATGTCGGGTCCCAACGACGCTTTTTATGTTCCCCAGGGCTCCAAATTTCGGTGGAGGAGACTATTTGGCAGATGGGCGAATCGAATGTTGCAGACGGTGTGGCAGCGGCGTCAAAGGATAATTTCTTCGCCCTAGACATGGTGAAGAGCGAGAGATCTACGGAATATGAGAGGTATAATTGGTCGTATGATAAGCACCCACAGAGTTGTTGTTGCAGATCTCCAGCAGGATGCAAAACGCCTGCCTGGCCGTTCTCCCGGCTGGAATAGACAATGGCGAGACAGTTGAAACCCGATGAATTGGTGTCTTGGTTCTTTCTAAATTCCCTATCCTCGTCCATCAACTCCTTGATGAGATCGAAAGGGATGTCGACATCGGCAAAACGCTCGCGAAGAAATCGTGCCTTTGGAACGTTTGTACTTTGAATCTTCGCTTGGAGAGTGCTTACCCCTTCTTCAGCTTGTCTTTGTGGGTTTAACTGCTTTGGCGGCACCGCGTCACTATTGGAACCCTTCCAGAGGAGAGTTGATGTACCATTTGACGTAAATCTGGGAACTAGTATTGCTCAGTCTACGATCTTATAGTGAAGAGAAACGCTCACATTGCCTGTACACAGACTCCCATCGGAGATGACTTGCGTCTGTGTTTGCACGCAACAAGGCTGCTGTCGAACCACCCAAAGACACCACTGGCCCGTGTGTTGAAAACCATTTTGAAGCCGCTGTCTCCAACTTGTTCGAGTCTTGTGCTGATTCTCGGGTCTTTTGTAAATTCCTGACATCACGGTAGTCCGCTGGCCAGAAGTCCATGTTGAAAGGGTGTAAGACTCGAGATAAAGTCCTCCATAAACTAGCTGATTTTTAGAGTTCCTTCGAGGATCCGCTCTGGGCGCGGCCAGAAGGTCGATTGTGACAGGCAAAAGCAAGGGTCATCAATTCAGTGACTCGAAGGGCGAGGGCATTAGAACGACAATTCCCTCAGTTCGTGAACTCGTATATCTTTTCAAGTGTCTACATTATGCACTGCTTCTCGCCACCTGGAGTCGGCCACTTTGGAATCCTCCTCGACATCCGGGCCAACTCAAACGTCGCAGGATCTCTGAGATCTGGTTACATTTCCCGCCTGGAGCAAATACTACTCGATACATTTGTCTGATATCTCCCGGGACCTCGCACAGACGCAGATTGCCATCACCGGAACAATGTCCTCCGACTACAAAGCGCTAGAATTTCCCCCACTCAAAAACGATCTGATCCTCCGGGCTGCAAGAGGTAGGACTATAGCATTCATTCGTTCCTGAGCCAACGCCTCTAGGTGAAAGTACAGAACGCGCCCCAGTTTGGGTCATGCGACAGGCCGGTCGATATCTCCCAGGCAAGTGGGAATCTACGCTCTTGAGTCTATGATGACACCCGACTCAGAATTTCGTGCGATACGTGCAGAGCAGGATTTCTTCAAAGTCTGTCGGACTCCTTCTCTCGCATGTGAAGTTACCCTACAGCCAATACGGCGATACACAGGCCTGATAGATGCATCCATAATTTTTTCGGACATCCTTGTTGTCCCACAGGCCATGGGTTTAGTCGTTGAGATGGTCCCCGGCAAGGGACCGACCTTTCCTGAGCCTCTCAAGACTCCAGAGGATTTTTCACGGCTCAATGACCACGTGGATGTTGACAAGGAGCTTGGTTATGTGTGCGATGCGATCACATTGACCAGAAAGGAGCTCAAAGGCGAGGTCCCTCTGATTGGCTTTTGCGGTGCACCATGGACATTATTCGCGTACATGATCGAAGGTGGAGGGAGCAAGTTCTTCACCGCATCAAAAACTTGGCTCTTCAAGTACCCCGAGGAGTCAAAGGCGCTTTTGGAGCGCACCGCTCACGTCTGCGCAGATTTCCTGGTTGCACAAGTCAAAGCCGGAGCACAGGTACTTGTTAATTACCAGATTTTTACCGTGCTAATTGCCACCTCAGCTCCTCCAAGTGTTTGATTCTTGGGCAGGAGAGCTGTCGCCATCCGACTATCGCATCTTCTCTTTACCCTACTGCCAACTGATCGCACGTAAAGTGCGCTCAGCATTAGACGAACTTGGGATTCCTCAGGTTCCATTGATACTCTTTCCCAAAGGTGCAAACTGGGGCCATAAAGAGTTTGCGGAGACTGCCGGCTACGACGTGCTAGGCTTGGATTGGGTGAATGAACCAGCTGCCGTACGTCAAGTTGTCGGAAACAAGGTCGCACTTCAAGGGAATATGGACCCAAATGTCCTCTATGGCGGGAGAGACGCTATCGAGCGAGCAGTGGAGAAAATGGCCAAAGAGTTCAAGACTGATGGAAAACCTGTTGGATGGATCGCCAACCTTGGTCACGGAATTACCCCAGGCGTTGACCCCGATGATCTCAAATGGTTCTTCGAATGTGTACATAAGTACTCTGCGAAATCGAATTGAAGGAGTTTCGCTCTTGATGTTACTTGTACTTCGGTTGTCGAATACACTTGCACCTCCACCATGTCGTTTGACGAGGACGAAAATGAGCCTCCAAGGAAACGAATCAGAGCGAAGAACGAGACGGAAAAGAATATTAAAACGAATGACAGACGTCTATTCGCGCCGTTTAGAGCGCTTGGTTTCGTAACAAATCATGTCCCGTTTGCAATGCAAGTGCGGAGCTACAAAGGAGCATCTGGGCCTCCGAGAGTACATATAGTGAGCTGTGTTGGGACATCTTGGCTGGAATTCGAAGGTGAAAAGATGAAGCTGCTTTTTGTTGGTGAGTCGCCACTCGCGGTCTCTTCTCAAACTGAAAAAAAAGTCTAGGTCCTGAGAATGAGCAACCCATTACATCCATGACGATGGAGGGAAATCACATCTGGATCACCACAGGATTTGATATAGTCTGTTATGAAGCAGGCAGCGAGGTGGGTCTACCAAGCCCTTTATGGCCCTACTGACGCGGATTCAGCTATTCAGAATCAAGAGTCCTTTGAAATCTCATCTAAATTCGATCCTGGTTCTGGGATCACAAGTCATGGCGCTCACTGCCGACGGCCGACATCTACTTGTCTGGGACAGTTCCCGTCGGGAGTTGATTACTACAATCATATTTGAAGAAGGATTTACGGCAACAAGCGTTATACATCCCGTGACACTCCTGAACAAGGTTCTAGTGTCCAGCAAGCAAGGAACGATGCAACTCTGGAATGTCAGAACAAAGTTAGTTATTCACCCGGCGGTACGATACTTACTGACTCCATCGTAGCGCCTGTATATATTCATTCAAGGCGTCCACTCTACTCCCTGATCGCACCAAAACATCCGCGATTACCTCTCTAGTCCAATCTCACGTCGCCGACATTGTGGGCATAGGCTTTGCTTCCGGGGTGGTATCGGTGCATGATATTCGAGCAGATGACCAAATCATGCACGTCATGATGGACGGAGGAGCCATCAGCTCGATAGCATTCCGCACGGACGGACATGAAGTCCTCGCAACTGCCAACACCACGGGCCATATCGCGCTGTGGGACTTGGCACAGAAAGGGAGGCTGATTTATATCATCAAAGGGGCGCATGATGGTATAGTTACTGCCCTCCAATGGGTACCGGGACAACCGCTATTGATTAGCTCTGGAACCGATAATAGCATCAAGGTTCGAATATGTATTTTGACCGCAATAAGTACTAATTTATACAGCAATGGGTGTTTGACTCCCCAGATTTGCCACCACGACTCCTCAAGTCGAGAGGAGGGCATCATTCTCCTCCGCAACTGATTACTTACTACGGAAGCGATGGAAAGCAGCTTTTAACAGCTGCTCAAGACAGAAGTCTCCGTTATACATCTGTCGTTCGAGACTCCAGAAGCTTCGAGCTATCTCAAGGTGTGCTTGATCACAAATCTGAGTGAGATATCTCAAGTTCAGCAGGCTCACTATCCAAAAAGGCCAAATCTCTCGCCCTCCCAACAGAGTCTCTCAAGATTCCTCCGGTCACATGCCTGTCATTCTCAACTGCACGATCAAAAGACTGGGACGACGTGCTCACGGGACACGTGGACGAGAGTTTTGCAAGGACATGGAGCGTGACAAATAAACGACTCGGCAAGTATAGTCTTTTCACGACTGCAAAAGGGCGAGAGGCCAACCTTAGCCCGAGGGGGGTGGTCCGAGTGAGTTTGTCCATGCCGTTGCCTTGATATATCTCAATAACAGAGTATAGGCAGTACATGTTACAGCTTGTGGAAACTTTGGGCTTGCTGCAAGTTCGACTGGCACGATCTACATGTGGAACCTACAGTCGGGGATCAAGCGGAAAGAATTTGAATTGGGACCAGCGCCCGATGAAGTTGACCACCGCTTCCGTGCAGTGGAGAGTGGTGGAGTCAAGGGGGCAAAAGGCCGCTCGGTGACCGGGCTTGCGGTCGACGCTCTGAATCAAACGGTTATCGCGACCACTTTGGATGGCACCATTAACGTAAGTCCTGAATTCTTGCATGAAATTAGACTTATCTACGGAATAGTACTTCAACTTTCATACAAAAGAGCTTGAAGAGACCCTCGTCGTCCCAAGCTCCATCACTTCATTGTCACTTCAACGCGAGAGCAATCTCTTCGCTGTCATTTGTGACGATGCAATAGTCCGACTATTTGACTTGGAGACGAAGAGACTTGTCAGAGAATTCTCTGGTTTCCACGGCAGAGTTCTTGATATTGTCAGTTTTTCTGGCTTTCCATATCCTCTGTCCTGACACATGCCTAGACATTCTCACACGATTCGCGATGGCTTATCGCTACTTCAATGGACTCCATTATCAGAACGTTTGATATTCCCTCTGGAAACCTCATCGACGCTTTTCGGACACAGACCATTGCCACGGCCATATCTTTCTCTCCTACTGGCGACTTTCTTGCCACAGCTCATGTTGATTCCGTGGGCATTTACCTCTGGTAAGAAGTGGTTGCTGTTGTGATCATGGAGTCCTAATAGTGGTTGCGCAGGGCCAACCGAGCTCAGTTCGCAGAAGTCTCCTGGCGTGCAGCTGCGGACATTGAGGCGGAAATAGCAGATAGCATTCAGCTACCGACAGTACAAGGAACAATGGATGACGAAAGTCGGTGACTGTTTCCTTTTGAGAGCTGTGATTAACAATACCTGCAGCACTCGACGCGTTGACTGAACTTGGAATCATTGACTCTACTCAGACATCATCGTACCCATCATCCCTGCTCGCTGGAGAATTGATTACCCTAACCCTCCTGCCCCGAGCGCGATGGCAAACTCTTCTCAATCTGGACGTGATCACGGTATGTTTCTGACTATAGAATCTCTGCATAGCTCATCCGAGCATCAGCTCAGGAACAAGCCGAAAGAACCGCCAAAGGCTCCGGAAAAGGCACCATTCTTTCTACCTTCCTTGCCAGGAGAGGCCCTGCACTTTGACATTGGCAAGTCTGGCACAAATTTTGACGCCGAAAAATCCAACAAGCCGACAAATCGGCTGGAAAAGGATAGAGCGTTGGCGGCGGAGCGAGTTTCAAAGACTGATCAAAGAAAAGACGCAGAACGATTGTAAGTACGGAACAGCAACGCATCAAGTTCTAAAATTCTGTAGATGATGACGTTTTCACACTGCTCAAGACACTGTCACCGCCGGCGGTGGAATTGGAACTGCGTTTGCTAATCACCGTTCGACAACAGACGCAATTTATCAACGTCCTCATTACAAGACTCCTCTCTCACCGAGACTTCGAAATGGTTCAGACCTTGCTCGCCGTCTTCGTCAAGCTGCACGGCGAGAGTTTGATTGAGAATGAAGAGATGCGCGAAGATATGCAGCGTCTTTGACAGTATCCAGGGCGGAAAATGAGCGCATACGCACGCTAGTGAATAAGGGGATGGGGCTGCTCAACTTCGTGCGGGAGGTTGGCTAACCGTGCGTCGACTTGCTTCTGCTCAGATACTGGATTTTACAATCGTCAGAGATGTAATTCGCATGACCCAGATTGGATTATTTCGTCCAAAAATGTTCACATGAGCTGTCGTTTGCAATTTCGAATTTCAGAGTGACGTCCGCGATCTTGCCCCCGACCACCACCTTTCCTTTACGTCCTTCAACTCTACCCACCGCCTCAGACGAGTTCCTGCTCAAAACGCTCGCTCAGTGACTGCGAAACCGACGCGCCACCGTCTCTACGGGTAACCTTTGTATCGGCATCTCCCGCTCGAATTGTCCACCAACTGGGCCCTACACAAACGCTCAGCTTAGGAGGACTCAAGCTCAGCACCCTCAAACATGTCTCCACAACTCGCAGTCCCCTCCAAGCACCGTCGTCTGACAAACCATGTCGTACGCGTTCGAGGCACCATCCAGAATATTAGCATTCTTCGAGAGCGCTCAGGTGACCCGGTTTCCTCAAACGAAACCGGCCAGAGGCTCGTAGAGATCGTCAACAAGTTAGTGAGACCGTCTTCCTTAATCCTACGATGCTAACCCGCTTCTCCACTCAAGATGGTGGATCCTGTTTGTCATTGCCATCGTTGTGCTACTCGTTCTTCTTGTCGCTGTCCTGGTAGGCATTGTCAAATGCTGCCTTAAACGCGATAAAGCTGCGAGGACCAGCAAGGCACTACATGAAACAGCCGTAAGTCACCCTTCTGACCGTATAAGAGTGTACCGAGCTTCTCTAGATCTCTGACGAGAAGAAGGCTGCCGCTGCAGTCGAGCCTATGATCGCTCATCTCGGCTCAAGACACATCGTGGCTCCTGGGTTATCTCCTAACGTCACTTCTGGAGCCCCAAATATCGTGGTCACGCCAGCCACTGCGTCGCCTTCCAGGACACGGTTCTTCCATCGAGCACGTATTCCTTTGACGGGGACTCGTGTCCAAACGTCTCGAGGCGATGATGATTACGACGGCGACGATGATGATGATCAAATCAAGCTCTACCGTGAGGGTATCGTTGATACTACTGGTCTGGCTCCTCGCCTCAGTTCGGAGACCACGCGTAGCGATTTCAACGGGAGCGAAGCGGATATCGCACATGCTCCGGCGATATACCCAGCAGATCGCCATCTCCGGCTTTACCACGATCAAGACCTCAGCCATAGCTATGCCTATCCACACCCAGATTTTGTTCCCGAGTACGAAAGCCAACAAGCTGTCGGGAAGCTCGACGAAGTTGACCTTCAAAGCCCTTCGTATCAATCGCCTAGCAATCGTTCTTCCGTCTCCTCTGCAAAAACCGTTGAAGTCTCTCGTACTGCTGCTCTTGCCGCTCGTGTCGCGGCCATCCTTGCGAAGAGTTCCTCCAAGAACGTTTCCATAGACCACGAAGAGCGTAGTCGAAATGTTCATATCGGAGATGACAGTGAGGAGCCCATTTCCCCGACGTCCAGCGAGCATGACCTTACGGATGCTGAGTTGGCAGCTCTTGCACTGCAGTTCCCCCCTCCAGCCTATCCAGTCAAGTCGAGAAGCAAAGCAGGTTCCGACGGTACCACAGAGAAGACCCTGCCGCTTCGTCCTCTGAAGGATGGTGCCAATACGAGCGACAAGGGTGACGGTTTCAAGTTTTCCCTACCCCAATTCACCTTCCAGCGCCCTGGTTCACGTACGGGTGCACCGATGCCACCCGTCAAGGCTGCCTCTACCCATACGGCGTCGCCACCTCTCGTTGAGCCTCGACCCCGCTCTTGGACACCACCTACGGCGCCTGTATTTATCGAAAGACCAGAGCTGAGCCGCATGGCAAGCCATCAAGACTTGCATCATGTAAAGGCACCTTCCCATCATCCGACAGGTATGATCGCTCGTGGGATCAGCGCCTCTCGACCTTCTACGCCATTTCAGTTCAGGCACCCTTCTCCACCACGCGCCAGCCCCAATCGTAGCCGCGGACGAAGCCCTAATCCAAGCCGACCCCGCGGACGAACCGACCCAGTCTCGGATCGTTATGACGCGGTTCATCTGGCGAGAGACACTGTGGGAAACCTATCTGAGCATGGAGACGACGAGGGGTCGGACAACCAAGAATTGCACCACGTTGCTTGAGAACTTGTTTGCTTCAGCCCTCTTTTGACCCAAGATCTACGTTCCTTGACGCTCTGTGTAGCATAACACAACAAACTTTCCTTACGCTGTATAACTTTTCGTGACCAAAGCTGTAGCTAGTTGACCCAATACGATCGTTCAGCTCTGTCAACGTGCTGAAAATGAATGAATCGATAAATACGTCTATCTTACTTGAGCGAATCTACAAAGCGCTATGAGAGAGTTAGCATGGGTCATAGTTTGTGGATACGCGACTTACACCTTCGACACTGGCGACTTGTTTTTTAAATTCCTCGACTTCTCTCCAGCAGTTTAGTGGCTTGTCTGGATGCTCTTTGTAGCATTTAACGACCGCTTGCCGGCTCTCTTCGACCGCGGTTCCAGCTCCAAGCTGCTTTCGTTGAGTATACTTTTCCACACGGCGCTTTACGGCTTCAATATCCTCGTTGAGTGATGCAGTCCCTCGTGAACCTGCATTCGCAGTCTCCGAGCCATCTTCCGCTTTTGAATCGCCTATTCGGACGATGATTAGGACAAATAAACAAGTTACAGGCGTAATATGAGCAGACTAGGGAGTTTGTCAGATTAGATACGCACCAGCAATTGTCCTTTCGCGCCCTAAATTCTCCTTCTCCAAGGCCGCGCGCAGAGCTCGTTTGACATCTTCCTCTTCTTCTTGAAGCTTAAGGAGTTCGGCGTGTATCCGTTCTCTGACATGCTTGTCTAGTGCCTCTTCTCGGTCCGGCGACGTCGTCGTCGAATGCAGGTTGTTCGAGAGCTGGGAGAGGACGGCGGGGGAGAACTGAATATATCGAATAGAGGAGCGCAAAGAGCGAAAGATTATGTTGTCAGCGAGCTCTCCGCAGATTCCGAAAGGACTGCATGATTGGCAAAGAATTGTTAAATACGAGCACGAACCTTTATTGATGCTTCATTTCCCGCTGGAATTACGACTGGATCCTTTGATTGTGTGCCTCCCATCTACCAAGGCGAGATATTGGCCAATCGAAGTTGTGGTCGAAAGAAAGAGGCTCTAGGCGTCACGTTCAAACTCGGATACAAGTCGTCATATTAGGCAGGATATAAAGCAAACCAACATATCGACGGGAAAAGTTAGAGCAGAAACATAAGTTATGGAACTAGAACAAAGTCGCCTCTCCCATCCTTGATGACAATAATCTTGCAGTCAAGGTTGTCTCCATTATCCATGCATACGATCGAAGAAAAGTCGTGAGGGTCTGTCTGCACACGTCTGGCCTCCATAAAGGCGCGTCCAAGAATCACGTCGAACTGGTTCTCTTCAGCAAGGTAGACTGTGTGTGTCGTCGTCTTGGTACCTAACGTGATTGGTATCTGTCCCATACTTAAAAAAATGTCAGGAGTGATAGATAAGAATATGTTTTCCTCACTTTACGAGTCCGCCATAGCCCATCTACAAGGCTGATCAGCAAAGGGCGAGAAATCGCAGGTTACGTACCCATCCCGGTTCAACATTAGGTGGCACAAGCCCGTGTCGTTTCGCAAAATGACGCGACATGTACACATGCCGATAGCCCTTCTTAAGGAGCATCTCGACATTGCGGACAGGTCCAAATGTCCCTACGACGACACGGTTTCCATTCTCACCATGAAACTTGAGAAAGTCACGCTTGTACTTTGGCACCTGATTCGCCTCGTCTTGCTCGGCTTGCTGCATCGGGGACGAGTCCCGGAACCTGGAACGTTTCGATTTGGTAGATCTGATACTTCGCGGTGGTGCTGTGCTATGTATTGTATTACGTCTATGTAGATCGGCGCCCCTCGAGGGCTCGTCCGAATGTTCTCGCGCGTAAGCGGCTGCTGGGCCGGCGCCGGTAGTCGTTGAGGCGGATACTTGAGTTCTTGCTGGACTTGAAGTGGATTCAGTTTCTGTGTGTTTCCGGAAAGCATAGTAAGAGAGGTTCTGGTAGGCGGGAGGCATAGGGAGAGGAAGAAGAGGATCGTGAACGTAAATAACTGGCGAGGGCGAGGAAGCATCGGCTGGGGCTACTCTCCACGCAAATATCGAGTAGTCTGCTTCTGCGGGAGGAGTCAGGTGTTGGTCTTGTGTAGCAAAGAATATCGTACCATCGTCCAAGTCCCAATAACTGCCGTTATACTCGTATTTAATCCAACCAGGACCGACTGTTCCATGTACTTTGTGACTGAGACGAGTAAATAACGTCGATAGGCTGTCCCCCTTTACTGTGAGGTAGTCAGAAGAGAAAGCATCACTTGAGGATTTGACTGACATGAATGCGGGATCGCAAACGAGTTGGAAGGCGTATGGACCTCCAAGATGGGTAAAGCCATTTGGGCTGAATCCCCGAACACAGTCCTGGGTGCGGATGACGAAGTGGAGACCAACTTTGTCCGAACCACAAACTCATGTCGACCTATGTCGCACCTGAAGACCAGCTGGAAGAACATTTGGGATGGATGAAGGCCGCTTTGGACATGGTACAGTTCCAAGATCACCGGAGATCACGACAAGCAACTAAGATTTTGCTAGAGGCCAACGAAGCGATGGAAGCCGGAGAAGTACCGGTGGGATGCGTATTCGTACGAGATGGACGTATCATTGCAAAAGCGAGGAATCGTACAAACGAGCTACGAAACGTGAGTCTGAATATATTCGATGGGGAACTGTGAGATGTAACAAGAACAGAGCACACGACATGCAGAGCTCGAAGTTATCGATTATATACTGTCTAGTCCAGAGCTTACGCCCGATCCAACGGCAGAACGCCTCCTCCAGACAACGACGCTCTATGTGACCGTAGAGCCCTGTATAATGTGTGGCTCAGCACTGCGACAAATGGGAATCAAAGAGGTTTATTACGGATGTGGTAACGATCGGTTCGGAGGCTGCGGAAGTGTCCTGGCTGTCAATGAAAGCGATCACCCCCGAAACCCTCCATATCCAGCATCCATGGGCTATCTCAGAGACGAGGCAATCATGATATTGCGCAGATTCTATCTAACGGAGAATAAAAATGGTCAGTGACCATCCTTGCGGGTTGGTCACCTTTCTGACAGCTTCTAGCGCCTGTTCCCAGAGCAAAAGCGAATCGAGTGCTCAAAACAGAGATTCTACCTCCTTCAACTACAAGCTCAGCATCCCGGACTCCAATTCCTGGTACTCCCCGACTACAGGAATAAGGCAAACGACTTTATCGAGGCGTAACGATGTACAGGCATTAGATACTCGTGATAGAGTCCCAATTAATCATCTAGATAATCCCATTTGTGACAATCCTGCGCATAGGGTTCAGATCGTAGCAAGCTCGGTTGAAAGAGAGACTCACAACACACTCCGTCTGAGGTATCGCTTCTGGAACGGCCAATCCATCTGCGTCCCAATCCTCAGCCAGAATCTTGCCAATCATGACCGCGATTGGATGATGAATTAGCGCCTGGGACCACTTGAATTTGGTGATAGTGTCATAGACAATCGTACGTCCAAGATGACACCGAGCTTCAAGTGCATAGCCTACAGACGATGATCGAATCAGCAGTGCGATCTCAGCAGATGAGCACAACAAACCTCCTTTGGCACAGAGAGACCTTACTCCTGTACACGCCCCGTGAGGAACGGGGTCGGCTGTATGATAAATGTGCGTGATTGGATGGAGCGAAAAGGCTTCTTCTGCTGACACGCCTTCCGGCACAGGCGGGGAGGGGAGGTGAAGCCGCTGAGCCGGAAGACGATCACCGAGCGCTTCAAAAGTGACAGTCGGTGCTCCAAAGGTTGCTCCTAGGAGACCAGATAGCCCGCCTCCCAGCGAATGTCCGACGATCCAGATAGTTGATTGAGGGTACATGTAGGTAAGGTTGTTATATAGGTTCTGGAAGAAATTAGAAGCGATTGCCAAGTTGTTGGTAGGACGCACAATCCCAATGTTATAATATAAATCGTCGTCTTGAAGAGATTGCTCAAGACATGACTGAGTACACGCCCAGCTGCCACTGTAACAGTCGCAAACAGTGGAAAAAGCCCACGAATGGGAAACCCGTGCACAGCAACAACTACTAGAAGTCAGAAATGGAGATTTGTCAATGAAGAGGCTGACCTGAATAAGCGATTGTCGTTGAGCTTATCCCGACCAGCTGTAGGGCCTTGTCCGACAAGAGAAGTTCCTTTGATGGAAAGTACAACGGTTGAATTGTCCTCGGAGACAAAAATATTGCCTCTAAAGCCATTCTCCGATTCTTCCCAACCAAAGGGTTCAGACTTGTTCCATTTCCCACCAGTATCATACCATCCACGACTGTCTGGTATGGCATAGGCATTTCCGGTCAGCTTTGCTAGCTCTAGCACCGTCAGCCGGTCGGTTACGTCTGGCATTTCGATGTCGACCTCATCCCAGTCAAGTGCAGCTGTTTGAGAGGAGCGAAGAGCACGTAATCTTGCTTCTTGAAGCTTCTCGGGGTGTCTGAGACGGTGAATCTTTTGCCTGTGACTCTTGAGATGGTGCGGTTCTCGTCCAGCTGCCGTATAGTCCTCTGTCAGCTCTCGAATTGCCTGCGTCTGCAAATCTGGGACTACAAGGTGATCGTTGAATAGGATCTGGGGGGGCGTTGCAGCACTTGATAGCGCTCTGGGCAAGTCCGGGCTCGCGATAAAGGCGTGCTGGTGCCTAAACGAGAGCGAAGAGTGGGGTGGCGTTGAGATTGGAGTCTGATTGATCCGTGAAAGTGGCCATAATAATGCGAGATACTTTGCCAGTGAAGGCATCGCAGTGGCGGACGGCGCCAACCTTGGACTGTTACACCATCCGCGCTGGATTACCTAGCGGGATTATCCAAGGCCCCAGTAAGCAGCTCTTTCGAGGACAAGATATAAGAAAGGTTGCTCGCTCTCTGGGAATGCATGGCGCATTTCTCGTTCAATTCTCGCCCCGCACATGGCTCGAGGAATCGGCCGTGGAGTCCTCCCGTTCATGATACTCAACGCGCGCAGAGGAGAGATTTTGAGGATTATTTTATCAACCCATCGTATGTTCACGGTGGCCCAGCTGCGGGTGGTCAACATTGGGAGGAGCCACTGGCTGCTGAGCACGAACAGACGCTCAGAAGACACAGAGCTAATCTCAGAGCAGCCTATGTGCCAGACTACGATGATCTGGGTATACACGCGTCTGCCCGACGACAACGGAGAGAAGCCTCGGACATCTCTGTGGAGGCTCTCGACCTGGCAGACTATGCACAGACGCTACGACGAGCAGACATAGCCAGGAATGATGCATACCCGGACTTTCATGCATCGTATGCTCGCCCCTTCTCGCGAGCCCTGGTCGCCAATTGCGAGTCCGAGTGCTTCACCGCCCGTACGCACGTCTGTGCCGCATCGCACGTTTTCGCCACCCAGTCTACCGTATCCACCAGTAGCTTCGACGCCTGTGGATCGCCCGTTTTCTGCACTTTCGAGAGACACGATGATGCCACCGCCTTCCTTGGTCTCTGCAGGCACCACCAGCCATTCTAGCCATACAGGCTCACACTCACTAAACCACGCCATGAGAAGACCATTCTCGCTCCCGGCAGACTACCCCCGGGGTCCAGCCATCTTCAATACGCAAACGCCGCCACCTACTGCCCGAGCAGTTGGCACCGGGCGACGAGCGCAACCGGATACAATGGACATTGACTATGGTATTGCAAATGCAGACGTTTCTTCGTTTCCTCCATGGGCACGCAAATGGTACAAACAGGAAGAAGACGCGGCGTTTGGCGCAGGCGGCAAAGGTAAAGGTAAAGGAAAGGGAGCCCGGTCGCCGGTCGAAGAGGATATATTCGGTCCATACGTTCATCCAAATGAGTCCCAACGAGATATTGGGCTCCTGCCCTGGACCGCGACCCACCCAGGAGACGAACCACCACCCCAAGGCGCCATTCCTGACAATGTCAAGGAAGAACGAATGAGAATGCTTGAGAGAGAGTTCGGAGACAAAGGATCGAGGGGTTGGAAGCAGGCACATGTCGAGGAGACTATCATTGGGGGCATTGATGAAAAGGGCAAGCTGATCACTGCTGGTCCCAAAAAGAGAGCCGCGACCCGATGGCTGCAAGCTATTTTTGCGGTGGCGACTGCGGTTAGTGGTATTTATGGCGCCCTCGTACGTCCTTGTCCTTTCTTTATGGTGAATAAGCTCACATGACCTACAGTTCATCAAACTCAAGACCCCTGCCCTGCCGTCTGGTCGTGCTGCAGCCTATATCCTCTATGTTCTCTCGATTCTCACCCCTATTCTCCTCTTCTTCTTTTTCGTCATCTCACCCTTTTGTCTCCATCGGAACAAAGGCGAACCCAACGACACGATGACGACTCCCAACGGTATGATGGTCTTACCAGTCAACCACGGTCAGACTGGGAAGAAAAAGAAGAAGAAAGGCGGGAAAGGAGAACCTGATCCTGGAAATGTCCAAGTAAACCTCATCGTCGACCCAAACATGTTCGGAACCGGGACTGGTCGTTCTCAGCGCATGCCGGGCCGTTACGATGACGATGACTACGACGAAGACTCTGAAGACGATTCCACTGTCCCTTCATCACGTCGGAGAGACAGGAGAAGAAGGCGTCGGGATCGTGACGAGTGGGACTCTGGTGATGACCGACCTGTCCCTCCGCCTCGACGCAGTATCTTTGCTGGTCTCGCTATGGAACGCGCATGGCGACGAGAACGAGCCGAGCTCAAGAAGCGGGTTGCTCTTGATATCGTCCTGACAATCTTGTGGACGGGGTGCTTCGTCATGATCTTGCTAGGTCAGAGATGTCCACCAGGGACATTGGATGGCTGGTGTGACGCGTACAATATCGCGACGACTGGTGCCAGTTTCCTTATCGTTCTCTTTGGGACGAGTGCATTCTTCGACATCAAAGATCTACACCAAAGCAAAGTCTCGCCGCGGACACGGACATGATCTCAGCTACTCATTCTCCCTCTCTCGCATCAGCATACCATTTGCACGTCTTTATTGCCCTTCATTATCATGATGCCTCGGACATTTGCATACACTCCACACGAATGTAGCTCGCCACCCTTTTTTTCCTCCCGTTTTCCGAGGCCCCGTCCCTATTGCATCCTTTGCATAGTTTCGTGTTGTCCTCTAATGACTTTCTCTAGTTCACAGTCTCGTCACGACAATATCACGATCATTCTCCTCCTTCCAAAACGCGTGCTGTGATTACTTTTCACTAACATAAGTGTCTACGTTGGCCCCTTTGTGCTCGTCATCTCGCCAATTCAACAGTCGTCGCATATCCCAAACTCCTACTGGACCAGACACGCTTCCGTCCTCGATGGAAGCACAAGCCGCTTCGCCTACATGATCCACATGGATTGGAGGAATACTTAGCATCCGCTCGACCGAGTGAACAGGTGTATCCAGGGCATCCGCATCCCTACTCTTTGGTGCTATGTTGGCAAGAATTTTGAAGGGTGCTAGATTTCCTAATGCCTTATGAACGGAGCCTACGCCCGCAATGGCAGCAGCAAGTGGTGAGGAAATTGGGCGGAAATGTGGGTGATAGATGAAGCCTGGAGCACGTCATGATCAAGAAACAAAGGTGATAGCCATGGCTTACTTGGTCGGAGAAATACGCTGCGAATCTGTGGTGTGCAGAGCTCTTGAAGTAGTCTCTCGGCCTCGCGTTTGGAGGTGATGTACCCGGCTGGTACCACAGGTCGGAAGATGTCCTCGGCAGAAACATAGACAAAAGTCCTGCCAGAGTCTTTGGTCTGTGCGCGGTATGCCTTGCAAACCTCAACCGCTAACATTCGAAAACGTCAGTAGAGTTAGGACACCTTCAGCATGCCATGACTTGCCAGAGTCTCGGTTGACGCTTTCGTAGCTACCAGCGGCTCCTTTACCAAGAGGATTCCGCCGTTCAATCCGTCGAATAATCCTTTTGCGCCATGTGCGACAGCTTCAAGCGGGTCGTTTCCACGAAGCGATTTCTTGTATGCACCCCCTTCGTATAATGTACCCATAGTGTGCACAACCGCGTCAGACGACGCAAGAAGGGATTGATAACTTGAGGGGTCAAACGCAGAGGCAGCGTACCACTCTACGTTAGACGCCCATGCTGGGAGATGGCCATTGGGTGTCCTAAATGGCTTCCCAGTTCTACTAATACTCTGAACTTTCCACCCGCGTCGTACCGCTGCCCGACATACAGCAGAACCTTTAGAAATCGGTACCATTTAGAATCTAAATTATGTTTCACAATAGAATAGCTCACCCACAAAGCCATTCCCACCCACCACAAAAATGCTCTTCGTCATGGAGAGGTTCAAGTTGCAAATGGCATCAAAGAAAATATGTCGCATTATCATCTCACGAGTACCTCAACTAGTAGGAATTGCTATGTTATCCATAATTTCCTGACCTAAAGTGAGGGTTACTTGGATGTGACGGTGGTGGCATCTGGTTTGTAGCGTGTGCACTCTTCGACGAGCTTGCATTCGTGTATACACTCTCCTGTCTCTCACCGTCCCTATTCCTCCGCAGCGGCGTCACAGGCACGAATCGTCTTGATCCTTGAACAAGAGGTGTCGCCGGGATCGATCTATTCGCCATATTAGGAGCATACTTAAATGTACCTGGTTGTGCTTTGGTAGGTATCGGGGTTGAAGGAGGTTGGAATCGTTGTTTCGAGGCCGTAGACTGTGCTTGAACTGGATGGTTCCGAGTAAACGATTCAGGATCTGGATTCGCAGCTGTGCCCATAGAGCCTTGGTTTCGCTGGCGGTGAATCGGGGGTGGGGGTGGAGGCATGAACGGTTTAGGACCTTTGGATGGAGCTCCTTGGACAGCATTGTTGAATGTAGATCTCGAGGTAGACACTTGAGCAGTTGCAAGTCTGGTGTTGACGGTAGCTGGCTGGAAAGCAAAGTCCCTACGAGGGGATTAGAGCGCCTCTGCTTTGTACACCAGACAAGCCTTACTGTAAACTCCTTGGACTAGAGTGAGTTGCTGGCCGCTCATAACTACTATTCGGCCTCATCGAATGGAGGAACGCGCTATTGTCTTGCTCGAGACGAGAAGAGTTGGGTCGAAGCGTAAGACGGTTCGCCGTTCGACCATTATTCGATGGAGAACTATGTATTGGGACTCTTGTGTAGGGCTATAGACTGGCTCGTTGGGGCAGTAAGCTAGTGCTCACCTGGTTGACTCTTCAACTCGTCTTCGTTTTCCATTCTCGTTGAAATAAAGATCCGAATTGGTAGTGGAACCATTTGCTTGTCTGAGTTGCTCAACTTCTGTCTGGCGGATGAATTAGTGACTAGTCTCGAGCGCAATAGAAACACAGACCTTCAATGCATCAACTTCTTGTCTAAGTCGTTCGATAAGCTGCTTCTGACTGAGACACTTGCCCTTGTAAAACTGAACCAAATCGGCCATTGTTTCATGCTGGAATTTGCATGCTCCAAAGAGGTCAAGGAGTGTATTTGGGATATTTTGAAACCTAAGATGCCCTTCGTATCTGAGAAATGCGACAAATATGTACCTACCACCGCGCCATTGGATCTGGCATGTCTCGTTGAAGTGGCAAGACCTCGACAGCTTGCTCAGTTTGACAAACACGACACGATTGGTCTGGGTCTGAGTAGGAAGGTGCACAATTAGCACAAACGCGACGTGAAGACAAGCCTGGATCGAAACCGACTCAGATGGTTGTTGCAGACAACATGTGAACATTCGGTGAGCCAGAATGGAACTGGTGGAGGAGCATTTGGATCTCTGGGGTTTTGAAACGGCAAAAAGCACACGCCGCAGTGGACGTATTGCCAAGTTGAATATGCAGCGTTCCATTCGTTCTCCACGCCATCATCAAACGTCGATCCAGCTTTATTATGTTTTGCAGTGTGCTCCATTGCTCGATGAAGGGACCACGAGAGGGAGTAGTTGGGTCCGAGTTGTGACGCGCCGGCCTGATTTGGAAGTGGCACAAGTACATTGAAGAGACGTATATAAACTATTGCTAAGCAACTAAGAAACACACAGGGTACGATTTATAATCACACTACCGAGGCGGGGCCTTGGACCGAAAAGACAAGCGTCCATAACAAGAACGTGAAAAGACTGTAAGGTTCGTAGGAGTGTCATTATGGGTAGATCCTTGATATTTAACGATTGCGGGTAGTCCCTCGCCTTTCTTCGACAGACTGTCGCGGTGTTGCGACGTCTGACGGCGAACGGACGTCTATTACGGTGGAGAGATGATGATAATGCTGCAAGTCGTATGCTTCTGAGCGAGCGATGCCAGCAGAATCATTTGGCAGCCAGATTGTTGGAGGAGGCGCGGTGAGTTCTGGCGCATACAGGATTCCGCTCATTTCCTCGGCATGGTCGACGAACGACAAAGGTGGTAGATGAGGAGGTGCATCAGGATGTGTACGAGCGGCTCTTTCCGTGGCGATAAGGTCGTCCAAATGCTCAGTAGCTATCCATGACATCAGTATCTAGCGTGTCGCAGAAGTGCATCACTTACGAAGTGGAACAGGCGGTCTATTGCGATTGGATCCAGGCATAACCGCGAGAGTAATACTCATCATGTCAAGGACACTTGAAATCGACCCATTTTTTGGCTCGGCGTCCTTTACCCTTGGTCTCGGATGAAACCGAGGTGCCATTCTTCTCGCTGCCAAACAAACGACCAGCCGGTCGCGCACTCTGTATATAGGCATCAACAGCATCTCGAGTGATAGGGCTGAGAGTGTCTAGCCCGGGTTTCTTGAGCTTTTTGTAGCAATACCACTCGACGAGGATGACGATAACAACTGCTATGCCAACCATGATGCCTCCAAGTATCCATTTGCGATGCGCCATGAGAATCAAGCCCAAAAGAATTGGTTGAAGGGCTAGCAGTGTGGCGAAACGACGGATAACCCAAAGTTGGAGGAGACCACCGGTTTGGCCCGAGTCGGTGCGTCCATAGACGTAGCCAACTAGGTACCGATGAGCAACCAGAGTCAGCAGGACGAGGAGCAGAACGGCAGGTGCGATAAGGGGGAAGAGCACTGCGAAAGCAGCGACGAACACAATTCCCAAGATGCAACAACCCATCGCGTAGACTGGGTTGTACATCTGCGGATATACCGCTCTAAAATGCTGCCTCGGTGTGACTGCCTTTTTCTTGCGTCGATACTGCTTCCACAGCCGCACAGGCTGGAGCAGTAGGAGACCGGGGACGATGATGGCAATATTGATGGTAATCAACAAGAGAAGGAGTGCAACGGCAATTGAACCGTTGGCGATGGAAGGCGCCTCGTTGGAACGTTGGTCGAGTGCGTGCGCACCAAAGAGCAGAGATGCAGCCGCTACGAGCCAAACACCCGCAACGATGACAATGACCCAGAAGACTGCTTTGAAGGCCTTGATCCGCACTACGGTCACGGATACGGAGCCGCTGTGGCGAGCCGCTCGGTGGATGCCAAACATGGCCAGTCCGACAAAGATACTCGCGGCGACGGCAGGCGCCAGCGCAGTAGCGAGCCCACTTGGAATGTTGTTATGCGCAACAACGGGACTGAGGAATGGCAAGTAGTGAACCAGATCTGGAGATGTCGCCAGAGCGAGCCCAGCAGCCGCGAGTACTACAACAAATGAGCAAAGGAGCTATTATGAGTGCGAATGACTTACGCCCGATGCCCAGGAACATTCCAATGACAAAAACTGCCGTCCAGAACGCGATATTACTCCAAAATCCGCCTCCACGTTGAATCTCATCCCAGCGAATGTCCTCTTTACTCCGGCCCTCTATCATCTCGACACCCGGAAGGAAACGCAGGCCCTTTCCAACCAAAATCCAGCCTTTGATTCCTCGCCCTTGGGCAAGATCCTCGTACCCTTGCTCTTGAGCGTCGGCAATCTCCTTGTTGATCGCCTTGAGGGCACCACGCCAGTGTCGAATATCCGTATAAATAGCACCGAGCGCATCATGGTCGAGACCAGAGATGGGACGATGGAAGGGCTGTTGTGCTTGGACACGCAAATGTGGAGGCTCTTCCTCTCGTCCTGCCCCCTGCCCTCTGCCAGTCCTCATCGGGAAGGTATCCCTGGAGACAGTGGTCAAGTTTGCCTTGGGAGGTCGTGGACGCGCTCTTGATGGATTGGCGAAATGATCTGTTGGAATCTCCGAGGCGTCGTTGACGAGAACCATTTCATTATCTTCAGGGATCGTATCCTCTTCTGGGGAGTATCGATGTAAACCATCATCGTGTGCCGCGTCATCTCCAATCAGCGTCTCCTCGGCTCCATGGTTGGGACCTTTGGATAACTCCAAGGGTGTTAAAACACCCTGTTCGTCGACAGCCATACGACTACCAACAGGAATTTTGCCATGAATCGTAGAGTCTCTGTTCACTTCGAGGAACTTTGTACCAGTGAGGCGACCCTTGATGGCAGCACTGAGTCCATTCTTTCCATTCTCCCCTTGATTCTCCTCCGAAGCCCTACCACTAGACACGCCTCGCACTCCATTGAGTTTGTAGTACTGACTAGGGGCGAGGTAGGTAGTCGGCGTCTTATCAGACTTTACCGCCGTACCCGTTGACCCCGACCGACTCCGTCCTCTTCCTCGCACAGTGGTTGGATTGTTACTGATGGATGGGGGATATATAGGGCCCGCTAACATTGGCGTATAGCCCTTGCGACTTCGACTATAGCTTCCCTTGAGGGGTCTCGGTCGACTGATTCGTGCTTTGAGATCTCGATTCGGATCCGACGACGTGCTTGCGACGCTATCTGGACGCGGCTTGATTCGATTTGTCAGGTTGGCCAAGAAGCCACCTTGAGCGTCCGACGAGCTCTCTTGTGTCTCTTCACCTTTGGATGTCGGTAAAGGTACGGTAGAACGAAGGGATGGAGAAGGGGATGGGGTGATTGCCTGAAATGAGCTGATATAGCGAGTCTCTGCTACTTCAAGATTGTCGAGAATGATATCTCGTTCATCCAAAAGTTGCGCCAAGCGACTTGTATCGCTATAAAACAATGTCAAATGATGAAGTCATCTTCAAGAAGAGACGCACCCGACAGTAAAGACCGAAGTTACATTGATCTCTGCATCTCCTCGTTCTTCGCTGCTCCCAGGACTTGGCTGTCCGCGCTGGCGACGTCGACCATTTGCATCTGGGCTGAGAAGTGCCGAATTTTCATTTCCAGCCGCAGCAGCCGTCCGATTATCATAACGAAGTCCCGAGCCACCACCAAGACCAGCCTTTCGGAAAAAGGCCTTGACTTTGCCCTCTCCCCATCCTCGCCAACCCCACGCGCCTCCTCTGGTTCCAAGAAGAGCACTGTTGCCTGTACCACAGCTGAGGTAGCCCATCTCGTATCCCTCGCAACGACCTTCATCCCACGCCTTGTGATAGATGACGAGCTGACTGAATTCCTTCCACAGCTTCCACAGAGCGGGTAGAATGGCCAATACGACGATGATCACACAGAGCCCGATGAGCCTCCCATACGCGTTTGGTGCCAAATCGTTTCCGTTTTGGTCGAGGAGTCGCTTCCAGAACAAGCCAACCCATTTCGACGTGTTTGCTCCATTTATCGAACCATTGTCGAGCATTCGAAGTAGACGCATTATACTGAGATCATTAAGGGTTCCGTAGCGGCCACCATATTGAATGTCGGGGCCTGAATGCGGGAGACACGGCGTCTCGACGAGGTAGATGGGAAGAGCGATGGCGAGCGCGATAAAGGACCACACGAGGCAGATGAGAAAGACTACCCAGAGCGTACGTTGAGCGAGTTGTTCGTCCCCCGCGAGTAGTTGCGCCGGGTCCGCAAGCGCTTGGCCTGGTTGAGGATTGACACGCGCTTCGCGGGCGTCGTCAATGTCACCAGAGGATGGGAGAGAAGGTACGAGCGGGACTGGAGGGTGTAAGAATGCAAAGAAGCCGTTCGACAGGGCTGGCGGGCGTAAACCTGGCGCAAGGAACCACTCGCGAAGGCCATATAGGGAACGAACGCGAGGCCGTAGAATGGCAAATATGAGCTATTATAGAGGAAGAATCGGCGTGTCAGCACTCTTTGGACGCGTTAAAGGAGGGACAAAGACTGAGCGGCGCGCTTGTGGAATAGGAACATGCGGCGTGTTCGAAACGCGTCAAAGTATCTCACGTACCCATATGAGAAGCCCAACTGCTGCACTAAAGATGAGTGTTGTCAACACACCAATCGCTTGCGTATCGAGGCCCTGGCCGGCGCAGACTGCCTGGTCGGTTGCACCAATCTGTGCCTGCGGGGTGGGTGCGGCCGTTGACGACGTTGTAAGCGTCGTAGAGATGGATCCAGTGAATGTAGATGACAAAGAGGTGGTCCCGGTAGGAGAGGAAGTGGGCTCTGACAGTAGCGACGTCGTGGTAAATGTTGTGAGGAGCGTCGAGCCGCCTGTGGCAAGCGTTGTTGTGATAATCTGGGTCGTAACAGCTGGGAATTGCCCTGAAGATGAGCTTATGCCACCTCCCAATGTGCCAGTGGGCGTCGGCGAGGCCATGGAAGAGGACAAGCTTGCAGCGACGCTGCTCAACGACGCTACCGAGGCGGTAGAGACGCTGTAAATGGACTCCCAATATTCTGAATGCCGCTTGAAAACGACAAGTCGAGGGTCCGAAGTGAGCGTATTGACTCCAAACGCCTCCATGGCGGTGGAGTTGGCCGACGAGAATAAATTAAAGTTGAAATTCGAGACCGCTGGGAGCTATCTATTTTTTGGATATTGTTTTGCAGAGTCTGATAGCTGAAAAACCAGAAAGCAGGGTTGTCACGGTAGAGGTCTAAAAGGTGTCAAGGGCGGCCGTCCAAATCGTGCCGCGTGCAACCGGCGAAACCTGGCTGACATCATAGGCGACACGACAAAGTGTAGATGCACCACAAAAGGCAGCGAGTTTGCTCATCTAGCGTGTTACAATGGTCTATACGTGCTGCGAATAACAAGATATAAGTATACCGGGTGTCCGAGTGCACCGTCAGTCATCCAGTTGTAGCAACTTCATGAGATCTTCCTTTTTGTTCCGTTCTTTCACCTTGCGGATCTCCTTGAGCCGTGCCTGGACGCGGGCCTCCATCTTGTCGACCTCGTCGTCAAATTCGTTGAGCTCGAGCAGTGTCTCTTGTACTGCAGACAAAATCTGTTCAAAGCGCTACACAGATGAAATTGATGTCTCACCTTTGGCCTTGAGGCGAGTCAAGAATTCGCTTCGCAACTCTTCTTGTCTCTTGTAGGCTGATTTAAGTTTTTTGAACAGTTCAATTGTAAGCTCCTACACGATTATCAGACGTGATTGACGCGTCGAGACTGCGCTACTTGGGTTTGCAATTGAGCTTGCTCAAACTGCTCGTGGTAGCCCATGACCGCGTTGGAATACGTGACCGAATATTCATGAAACTTTGAAATTGCGTCCCTAGAGGTGATTAGAAATAGGTAAAAGGCCTGTCAACCGCGCATACTCAAAGTGCTTGTCGGGTCCACTGGCAATATCGTCATGCGTCTTTTTGATATGTGAAAGAGTAGGAACAAGGGCCTCGATCAGATCATTCTTGAGAGCCTGGCCAACTTTTGCAAAGGGAACTGAGAGAGGGTGAGAGAGCCATGACGCGAGTTGCTCGCTCACCGACCTTTTAATGCGTCCACAGTTTCTTCCAGTTCTTCAATACCAGCCTCTTGAGCACTATAGGGTATGTTTAGTATGCTATCCACATCGTAGACGCGCCAAACCCAACTCGGGATCGACATTCATGAGTCTAGAGACGAGCGTCGCGCCGTCTTCCCAATCTTCGCCCTCGGAGCTTTGTTCGTCTTCCATGTCTTCGTCTTGATTGTCGTCTCTAGGAGGAGTGAACAAGGTCGTCTCGTCTGCGGCTGCCCATGAAACCCGTTGTCGACCGCGCTGGAGAGCAGTAGAATGGGAGAATAGAGCTGAATTCTCTGTTAAGAAAGGTATAGTCGCGAACCTTTGACGGGCGGTAGACGTACTTTGGCGGTGAGCGGTCTTGCGCTGGCCCCCCGAGCGCTGGAGATCACGCATCGATTTATTTGCTCGTAAAGGAGTAAACTTTACGTCTAGCGTGCGTTGTCTCGCCATTGGGGTTGCTGAGCGTCAATTCCAAACTTTGGATCCTGTCACCGTCTACGTCTGGTCTCTGAAACCACACTCGGACGTCCTCTTGTCGACGAATAGCATCTATACTGGTGTACATTTCTCGTATACACACTCTCCACGTACTCTCAGACGGCTCTCGAGGTGAGTGGCTGCGTTCTGCCCAACGGGACCTTGGCCTCTTCGCATTCCACTCAAACTATGCCTCTCAACTCTCCTTTTTTTCCCTTCCCAGACGCATCCAAAGTCCATCACCATCATCGCTATTTTTCCCAGATTTTTCTTCGACTCTAAAAAACCCGAAACACCGTCCTCGACCCAACAGACGGCCTTGGCCATTCCGTCTATCACTCTTACTGAACAAACTCATCACCCGCGAGCTCGCTGAAACTCCTCCCCCACTCACAAATGTCCCACCAAGCTCTCCAGACTGAATCCGTGTCTAGGAAACGCTCGCGCTCGCCCGACGAGGTCGACGACAAGGCGAGCGTGCATCAGCAGGCTAGCAAGCGCCAGAACACGGGTATCGTGTCCTCTGGTTCGTCTGCTGTCTTCGATGTTGCAATGTCCGAGCCCCAGGACAGCAAGCCCAATGTCGCCGCCCACCCTCAAGCCAGTAGCGTCGAACTCGAGAAACCAAAAGATTTACCCGCAAAGCCCGAACCCGCAGTGGAGAATGGACAAAAGTCGTCGTCGAATGCGGCTACCGCCCCGCCTGCTTCGACCATCCATATGCGTTGTCTCATCGTAACCCAAGACGCCTCGATCATTATTGGCAAAGGCGGCTCACACGTAAACGAGATTCGTGAAAAGAGCAACGCCAAGGTGATGGTCTCTGAGAGCATTCCCGGAAATCCCGAGCGTATTCTCAATGTGAGCGGTGCATTGGACGCAGTCTCCAAGGTATGGAAAAACAGGCATGGGAATCTGTATTATCGCGCTAAAGAGTACACTAGGCATTTGGTCTCATTGTCCGCAGAATCAACGACGAACCCATGGGACCTTCTGTACCCGGCAGCCGCGCCGTCACCATCAAGTTTATCATTCCTCATTCGCGTATGGGATCCGTGATTGGCAAAGGCGGTGCCAAAATCAAAGAGATTCAAGAGGCGAGCGGCGCTCGTTTGAATGCGAGTGAAGGCATGCTTCCAGGCTCAACTGAAGTGAGTTGCAAACATTGTTAGCCATAAGCGTTGCTGATGAAAAATTTCACACAGCGTATCCTCAGCGTTACCGGCGTGGCAGATGCGATCCACATCGCGACGTATTATATCGGTAACATTCTTATCCAGCAGCAAGAAGCACACGGTGCAGTCGGGTTATCATACCGTCAATCTCGACCTCCTCGAGCGTTTAATGAGACGATGGGTGGAGGCGCACCCGGTCAGCAATATTTCCCTGGACAATACCAAAGCCCCATGATGCCGGCCGCTGTTCCATCTGGACCGTTGCAGACGCAGCAGATTTACATTCCAAACGATCTCGTTGGGTGTATCATTGGCAAAGGTGGTGCAAAAATCAACGAGATTCGACAGACGAGCCAGAGTCAAATCAAGATTATGGAGCCTGGTGCGGTTGGTGTCGGTGTCGGTGGACAACAAGCTGGACCGCCAAATGAGGGAGAGAGATTGGTCGTCATCACGGGACAGCCGCATAACATTCAAATGGCCGTCGGGATGCTCTACCACGTACGCGTTGTCTTTTTTTTTTTTTTTTGGCACTGTAGCAATGGTTGACAAGGACAATAGCGTCTTGAAGAAGAGAAGAGGAAGCAAATGGCTCAACGCGGGATGTAGGCAACCATACCCACCTCTTTGTTTTCGCTCTCGGCCGTCTGTGGATTTTTGGGGCGCTCGCCCAATTTCTTGAACGTGGGTGCGAGTATATGGGGTAATATATCAAAACGGTTCAACACGCCGTGTGCTCGCCGCCGTGTTTCGTTCTTTGCCGCCGAATTTGTGACGGCTGTTTTTTTGTGTAGACTCGAGATTGAACCCCTGTATAGTTTTTTTTTTTTTTTTTCCCTTTTGAAATCGATTGCTTCACAAACTCAAGACACGAGTGGAGGGAATACATTAGATCACATTTGGATTGATTGGAAACTATCAGACAGCCAAGATGAAGGGTCCATCCGTCAGATTAGTTTTTTGGTATCCGATTCAAGAAGAGCAAATTCTGGAGTGGATTAGAGGACGGTACCTGCGATGGCACCGAGGAAGAGGGCACCAGCCACCTTGAGAGCGGCACCAATATCTGCACGTGCAAAAGCGGCACCACCGCTTCCATTACCACTTCCAGTGACGGGACCGGTCTGAGTAGCAGTTTGGGAAGCTTGAGCGGACGAGGCAGAGGCAAAGGCAGAAGTAGCAGCCTCTGGATTGGATTGGGTGTTGAGGAGGACAGAGTCGATGAGATGGATGACGCCATTCGAGGTGAGAATGTTGGTCTGGACAATCTTTGCCGTCGAGTTGCCCGACGTCACGAATGCGCCTGACGAGTTTACGGCAAACTTGAGTTCTTCTCCTCCGGCAGAGATGGCACTCCCGCCGTCGGTGACACCCGTCGAGTAGACGGCTGTTCCGCTGATTGGGGGGATCAGTTTGGGATATACGTCGTAAAGGTGATTGACTCACTTGATGACGTGGTTGAGGAGGACATTAGTCAAGGTCGTCTGGTTAAGATTGGGGAGCTGAGAAGCAACAGCCTGGATGGCAGCATTGTCTAGAGAATCATCAATACTCTATAAAAAGTAAAATCAGGTGACACTCACTTGGTGCAAACAAGGTCAAGCCCTTTACTCCCACAAGAGCCGTGAGCACCTGTGGCGCCGCCGACGTCACGGCACCAACAAGAGCACTGATCTCTGAAGTCTGAGCGGCAACGGTAGAAATATTGGCGGGGATGGAGAGCACACGGTTGATGGCGAGGACGCGGAGGTTGGCATAGGTTGCATTGGCAGCGACTTGGACATTTCGACCATTATTCTCAAGGAAAACGGTGCCATTGTTGGCCTTTCCAACGACGAGGACTTGGGTCTGGTTGGCGGCTGGACGAGTTATTTAGTTAGAGTGTGTTACACTTGAATAAGAAAACATACGCAATTCAACTGCTGGTGCACTGCCCAAGCTGGATCGGACGACGGTGGGCGTCTCGTTGAGCTTGTCCGTGTCGACGACGCCGGCAGTCACGTGGTAGGCAAGGATATCGGCGATATTGGGTAATTGAGTTGGATTTACACCGCTGAGTGCGTCATTTGTGGGCGCAAAGACGGTGTGGTTGCCCTGCTGGAGTGCACTGAGGAGTGAAGCGGGGGCAGCACCAAGAGCAGTCGCAAGGGACGTGAGACCAGCACCGTTGAGTGCTTGTGTAAGCCCCTCTGCGTAGCTGCCATTGTCCTGTGCGGCGACGAGGCCAGCGAGGAACAAGAGGGAGAGGGAATGCGGGAGATGCATGAGTGAAGAAAATGTGGGAGGGGAGATTTGAGGGGAGACGAGGGACAAGAAAAAGTACGGGGATTCCAGGTATTTATGGGTTTTTGAGCCTCGACCGGACCACAAGGTCGTTGCGTGCTCGATGGCTGGGCGAACGAGATCGACGACGTCAACGGTGGGTGGCGATGACGGGCCCCGATCGACACTCACTTTTCCTCGACAAATCCCCACATAAAACTAGACCTCTTATGTTGTGCATACTTTCTGCAATATTTCCTGCCCCTCTAGTCCCTCCAGCAGTCCTCGCCAGCCTTGCTCATATATTTGTAATTTCCTATATTTACACTCGTGACACCATCATCTATTTACCGGTATACCCCGTTTGATTTCCGACTCTTATTCATTCCCGGGTCTTGGCCTCATTGACGTATTACGTCCATTCCATAAACGGCCTCAGTCTCGAGATCGAGCAAGCCGCCATCTCTAAATCTCACGAACATGCCCGAACTTTCTGCGGTCCAATATTATTCGCATATGTGTTCCTGTCGATGGCCACCTTGTTTTTAAACCTCATCATCCTTGGTGCGAGGCACACAAACGTCGTTCCAGAAAACTCCCTTTGAGCACATTCCATCAACGTTTCAGCATTGTCCAAGGGCCCCGTCCTATACCCCTCACGCCATCTTTCAGCAGTTGTGAATATGTGAACATGTAAAGGCTATGGTCTATAAACATTGCGCAACTACATTATACAATTGTCGTGATAACTATCTTGCCGACCTCGTATCATCGGCTAACGGCCAAGCCTTTGAGTGTGAGTACGTCGAGAGGGCAATCTCTCCCAATTGACCGTGACCATTCGTCCTTTGATAGTTGGGACTTGTATATCGTTGTGTAGATTCCATATCAGAACTGTGAGTGATCGTGGCAAATTCGCTGGTCGATGCCGGTGGCCGGTGAATGTGTTCCTGCAGCCGAAGGTGAAACCGGCTAGCAAACACAATCGTCCTGCCCCCAAAAAGAGTTTGAACATAGGATAATCGAGTTGTATTTATTTTTCGCTCACAGTGGAAACTCTGTTCGACTCTTTGCGAGCCCAGCACCTTTGCCAATCTGATTCTGTTCCATAACGGTGAATACATTGATGGCAAAGAGTACGGGATACGACATACGATCAAGGATGTTGAAAGTCGAAGAAGCAAGGTTAGTAACAGGTACATATACCCGTCACGGTAGAGTGCTTGCACGAGATCAAAAGAGCTGAGATGTGCTTTGATCCCATGCTCGCGTCGTCGGTAATGATGCATGATCTGCAGTATAAGAATGTATAGCTCTAATACAACCTTTTTCGTGGCGTCAGCATGAGATTACCGCAAAGAGGGGATACACAACTGGTGTAAAATATCCACCTCGGATCAGCGCCACATTGGCAATAGATCTGCAGAGGGAAATGTCCGTCGAGTATTGGATTGTTGCTGCCAATATTTCAATCATCGTACGTGCAGGTAAAAAGAAAACATACGATAAGCATCCTGAGCGAATGTGACGTTGAACGCAAACGAGGTTCCGTGTACTATCGCGTAAAGGATGTAGATGGACAAGACGATTCGTCTTTGGCGATGATACAATGAGATGACGCGCAAGGAGAGCAGCCAAGTCGAGATGGCAAGAACGCCACCTGGAATTGTCAGAGAGCTTCTTATTCCCGTATGCTACCATGTCATACCAAATGAAAAGAAATAGCCTAGAGTGGCTCCTTTGCACATCTGCGTTCGAATCATTCAAGGGGATCATAAACTCACGGGTGAGAGCACTCACGCCGTCCGACATACTAGGCCGGAGATTGCTGAATTCTACAGAGCGTCAACCATTTCCGCTATAAACAGTGAAAAGATTACCGTAAGCTGTCAGGACAATAAACGGGAGGAATAAATATCGATTCTGTGTCCAGACCGCGAGTGTTAGAAAGATCATAAACGGGCAAACTACCTACCATTAGATAGAGAACAGATAACCCTGTGAAACCTTTTCGCCAGATATAATCTAGCTCCTTGTCGAAAGTGAGCAACAAGTCGTAGAAGAGCACCGTCGTCCCAGCACCAAACCCATAGCGCCATCTCTGAATGTCTGCAAGAATATCAAGGAGCGTCTGTGCATCCATTGGCTTCACCGGAGCGATCCTAGCGGGGATCTCAGACGGAGGGAGTGAAGCCATTGCTGTCGAGGTCCCAAGAGGCAAGAGACCACAACCCTCACGGAACATTAATGATTTTGGCATATCATTAGGTCGCTATGGTCTAGATCATGAACGCCGTCATCATCGGGAGAAGTAAGCTGCGGGAATGCAATTTCCGTCGCCTAGCTCAGGGCCAGTCGTACGCCAGAATGAATACTTCTCAAGTTTGTATTTGACACTTGCCAGCATCATTTCAGTCTATTCCCCCCCCCTAGTTTCATGGTATCAAGCTTGATAACGGTGAGCACATGGCCGACCATGTGTTGAGGCCATCCACAAGATTTGACATCTCCTGCCACGCCACCCGCGGTGAGGTAGGCTACGGAACAGAGCGGCTCCGTTAGTTACGTCCGTTATCTGTACCAATGCTCGGATATAGGAAAAACAACAACGCGGGTTTGAATTTGGAGCTTTCCCTCCCTCTTCAAATTGGCGATGCGCATACCATGCCCAGCAGAGAAGCTGCTACTCGAGATCATCTCAGAGGTCTAAAAATCCACGTGATGGAGCATTGCGAATTGCCAGAAACACTGCTACTGGTGTGTCGCTCATAGTGCGACACTGCATTGATGACAAGGGAGCTATATACTCCTTCTGACCGACCATAATCGCACCGCGCTCGGAAATATCCTCAGTATCAAGTCTGATGTTCCAGCACGCACGTTGAACGAGTAATTCAATGAGCTGTGTCGGTGCCGTTGGACCTTTGCATCCTCGAGTCAAACAACCCGACGTGCGCTCCGGGTGTTGACTTTCGACTTTACAATGGGAAAAGACCACACAAAAGAGGTCTATCAGATGGATCTCGTTGCGTTGCGAATGTCGTGAGACTATGCGAGCAACGATCTATCCGAAAGAGGCCATTCCAAACGTGTGCCATCAACTTTGGAGATGGATGGACGAGCTGGGACGAGCTAGGATCTTGACGTACATTTTTATTACCTGTACAATTTAGGCAAGCCATCATCCCAGCCAAACACAGAGTCGCAGCTTGAAATGGCAACGCGGGAAACTTGGAGCTTACCTCCATGCTCCAAGATGTCGATGCGTATACTAAGCCCAGCAGAGAAGCTGCCACTCGAAATTATCCCTGAAATTCTGAAATTTCATGTGACGGAAAATTTCGAACCGCCAGAAAGGCTGCTTCTGGTGTGTCGCTCCTGGCACGCGGCAGCGCTGATGACGAGGGAATTGTGGGGCTATATACTCCTCCTATTGGAGAATCACCACGCTAGGTTCGACACTAAGAAGACTTATCCCCAATACCAAGTTTGCTGTACCAGCGCTCAGGTCAAACGGGCTGTACAACGAGCCGCAAGAGTGCCACTGGACCTTTGTGTGGTCTGGAGTGACTCGGAACACACATCCTGGGGCAGAACAATACAGAGGGTAGACAAGATTATCCCTCTTGTCAAGACTATAGAGTGGAAGGCCTTTGTGCCTCGCCTCCGCTCCCTAACGATGGAAGCGGAGGATCATTTGATCTGGATGAACCTACCAGATGACGTATTCGGGCTCTGGGATTTTTCACGGCTTGAAGTCCTCAAAACCTCCAATGAACGTCTCCTCGACAAGGCCATGCAAGATTCACGGCACTTGTCTAGGCTAAAAATACCTGGCATCAGCCTAAAATACATCAAATCCAACAAATTCCCGGCCTCAATTCGTCACCTTCATATCTTCAAGATGCACATGACGGTTCTCCGTCTCTCCGAGATCACACAGCTCGTCAGCCTAGAACTCACCGGTGATTTGATGCAAGGCGCTCCCAGGGACACCTTACTACAACTTCAAGAACTCTACCTGCACGGATGTGCGCCGTTTTGGCCGATTGACTGTCCGAATCTATTGCGACTTCGGCTCCACCCAAAGGTGACTAGCTACGTCGGTTATGAACCGGCGGAAATTATCTCATTACCATTGCTACGCGAGTTGGAATACATCTCGTCCAGCCAACTCTCCTTGCTTCGTTTCTTTCATGCGCCACAGCTTGTCACCTTGGATATTCAGGAGAAAGGATATAGGAAGCAAGAGACATACGACGCATTAAATGAGATATGGCCACCATCACCACTGAGTACAGGCGTCGAGCAGAGCAACTACGGCCTTGACCCTGTCATTTTTAAACTCGGCAATACTGCCATCGACGGCGAGGCCTTGGCGCGTATTCTCCATCGCTTTAAACACGTGGAGAAGGTTCATTTAGACAACACTATATTCTCTGGAGAGTTCTTTGATGCTCTTCGCTCTACGATGACTGAGGACATGTCCTTCTCATCGCTTAGCACGCTTCAGGTGTTGACTGTCGAATATACGACGGGAATTCACGGGACTGTAGAGGTGGATAGAAGGGGTCTTATCACGAGTATCATACAATTGGGCGCGCAACGAGGGATCAAGGGAAGCCATTCCAAAAGTGTACCATCAACTTTGGAGATGGCTGGAAGAACTGGGATGAATTAAAACTGTAATGTAGGTTCGCATCGTTGTATGTGTAATCTAGGCGGCCTGCCGCGTTCAGCCTTTAGGTCAAACAATGGGACTGGCTGGCCTCGCTCGCGCCAGGTCGTGAGCATTCCGAAAGCATATCAGGGTGACAAAATTTTGCAAGTGGTTGCTACTGTACTTCGCTTGCAACCATGCAGACTCACCAGTTACCTTCGTTGATCGACTGTCGTCCACCTCCGTCGTTTCTACGCAGCTTGCATCCTGTCCAACGTACAACAGAGATTCTTCAACTTCGTAGTGGAAGGCGCGTATGGCGAGGACGAGATCAAGCGCATTGACTGACTGTCACGAAATAGGTCATATTGGTTGCGATATACCGAGTATACAAATGAAAAACAGTACTTGACCATGTCTAAACAACGTAGTAGATTGAGAAAGAAGCAGCTTGAACGCAAAAGAGACCGAATCATCGACCCCACAGGTGCGCAGGAAGATACTCTATTGCGCACCATTTGGACGTGGATGGGACGAGTGGCCTATGCAGTATTGACCAGTGGAAGATCGCTGTGCAAATCGGGTGCATAGGTCGCAGGACTAGTGTCCTGGCGTCGGAGAGCCTAGTTGAAGCTTTGGTTGGATTTTGGTTCTTGGATCGGACACGTGTTGAAAACTTTGACAAATTGGATAATGACTTGGGATAGATAGCGAACATTGCTCCAATTATATCGCCGTCTTGTTCACCGTCTTCTCTTCCGAGCGGCACGTTCGGATCCCGACGCTTGAGCTTGAGTAGTGCCCGTATTGTCGACAAAGCCCAATTTTTCTGTGCAAATGTCACAGTACCACGTCGGCGGTAGCGGTTTCTGAACTTTAACGCAAGCAACGTGGAACTAACACAAGCATAAGTAACTTGCATGAGCACATAGATCAGACGTACCCATTGATATGGACAATCTGCGCCGTTATCACACCCAATCATTTCCCCGTAGCTCTTCTCTTGACAGAGGCAATACGGACCATCGTCCCCCTCCATGTCCACATCATCGCCCGCGTTGCTGCTTGCATCATCAGCTGCCTCTGCATCCTGCTCGTCACCCCCGTTGGTCGCTGTGCTCATGGACGTAGACTCGCTCGTATTGCGACCGGCGCTCGAGTTATTGTTCGGTGTCGGGCTCACGTTAGTCGCAGCAGCACTTGCAGCCCGTCGCGGTCGGCCCGAGGCGGGTGTGCTGGGAACGCTCGGCGTCGTGGGTGCGAGTGTCGCACCTCCGTTTGGTGGACGTGGTGCAGAGCGAGGAGCAGATGGTGTAGAAGGTGCCGGCATTGCAGTCGCGGGTTGAACGGACGAGCTGGACTGTGTAGCATTCAGTCGCCGTCCTAGACAAAATTTTAGTTAAGTGTGTCGTCGAGTTGGAGAGGACTTACGTTTATTGGCCGCTGGTGTAGCAGCAGGTGAAGGCGCAGAAGAAACACTTGGTGCAGGCTCAACGACGACAGGGACTGGTGCTGGCGTCGATGCGGCCGCGGTAGCAGCAGTACTCGTCTCTGCCTTGAGCGTAGACACGACATTGGTTATTGGAGTTCGGCTAGCTCCGCTGAATACCAACGATTCGGGCTGTACAGACGTCGCTGTATGACCTCCACTATTCCCGAGGGCTGCAGAGCTCGCCCTTCCGGTCGCAGGTAGATAGGCTGGTCTGTTATACGTATCCCCTCCAGGATTCGTGATACGTGAGAGCTCGGCCTGGAGTCGGTTCGAATGCTTGATGAGAAGGTCCTTGAGACGGTGAGCGAGGTCGACCTTTTCGTCAGACAGTCGGCTGATAAGTTCATAGTCTGCTGATACTCGCTCCAATGTTTGGGTGTCCTTGTCGTTGATCGTGCCTTTGCTGGCGTGACGGATATACTGAGCTGCACGAGGCTGTATACGCATTTGAAGTTCTAACAGCCCAATTTGAGCTCCAATATCAAAGAATAAGGAGCATAGAACACACCATTTATACGACACTCGCGTTCGCGCATCTCCGCCAAAAGAAATTGGACCTCTGCAGGTACATTATCTAAGCCTATACGAGGAAGGGTTAGTTCAAATTCGTGGGTACAAATGATTAACGTGCTTATGATAAACTCTTGTGCAATGACGGCGGCTTCCTCGCCAGCTGCGGTGGCCATGGCGGTCGGGTTCAAGTTGAAGGGTCACAGGTGGCACCTGTAAACCAGTCAACTTCCATCGGACATCAAGTATACAAGATGAAAAGGTGACTAAACAAATATCTGATGTTTGGATTTCATGCCACGAGTATAACCAGAACACCGACACCACACTGTAGATTAAAGAAATGAGCCTATTCATCGGTCTTTTTCAGAACGTTAATTTAAATACACTTTACATGCGAAAATGAACCGAATACGCGGCTGATATTTGAGATTCACGGCAAGCTGCAATTAGAAGCAAGCCGTTTCCACAACCCACCATATGCAAATCTGAATTGCACTAATGGACTTCCAGCAGCTTGTCGCATTGCCCTTAGACGAGACGCGGCGTCAAGGATTTGCCCCTCATTGACACATACGCCCTTTCTTTGCGTATCACAGTCCATGGTCACTACCCGCAGCATTGGCAAGGGCACGACCATCCCTGTTTTTTTATTGATAGGCTGGAGACCATCGAGAAAGGTTCCGGAGAAGACTGTGTCGATCAAGTGAATTTCCCGGCAGCGAGTGAGACGACAGAGCACGCGTGCGAGCGACCTCTCGCCCACGGTCGTATGGGAGAAGGTGAGAATCCGTGGGTCAAGAGGGTTGCGCGTTGCGTTTGTTACTGGCCATATCTCGGCTAGTGCTTTGTACGTGGCCTGCTTTTTGAGCAGGCTCTCCTCGATGCGTAGCGTCTCAAGATTTGGCGCATCAAAGAAGCGAAGGAGAGATACTCGACCACGAGAGAAGTATTCGAGCATCTTTAGGGATGGGAGGACGATGATATCGCCCCTAGAGTGGCTATAAAGCCACTCGGGCGGAGTGATTCGGAGATGGACAAGGTTTGGACAATCGATGGGCCAGAGTGGAAATGTCTGGTTTAAATTGAGCGCCTGCAGTTGCTCCATCTTGACTCTCGGCGCACTCTCCCGCTGATTCACCGAAAGTTCAAGATTGACGATACCCTGGAATGTAGAGAGCGCTTGCAGCGTAACCAATTTTCTCCCATCGAAAACCTCCAAACGAGGGAGTGTAGTCTTCAATCTTGTGTCTTGAATACGATCAAGAAGATCTTCAGGTATGGCCAAAGAGCACAGCTGGTTAGACTCTTGCACTGCTCGACTGACGAGGTCTGGAACCCAGGTCCCGAGACTTTCTAGCTGAGAAAAATCCCAGTCATTGAGCATTTCATCCGGGAGATCTGGCAGTATGAGATGGAATCTCCTCTCCATGTTGAGGGAACGCAACCGCGGTGTTGGGCATTGTGTTTCGACCATCTTGAGGAGCGACAAAATTTTATTGGGCGACTTTGAGGCCGTATTTGGCATTATAGCCGACAGTGTCCTGTCAGGGATGAGATAAAGATGCAGTGGCGTCGTCCCTGATCGCTCAAGGATGTAGAGAATATGTTCCCGAGTTTTGCAAAGGTGGAAATGCTGGAAACCTTTATCCATGTCTCGCTTGTAGACATACTGTTGGCCACAAATGGCAATACAGTTCCACAGATCCCTCGTCATGGTCGCAGCCGCTCGCAACGACCGACAAGTGAACATTGGAAGCCATGGGGATTGAAAATTTTCTCGGAAATGCATACGGATGATTATGGACAGCAGTTCAAGAGGCAGACGAAGGATTGGTGCCTCTTGTCGCTGCTGTATGACCTCTTGAGACAGTGCGTCCGACCGTTTAACATTCTCGACGTTGCTCTAAAGAAATCAAATGTTCGATTGAGCATGACAAGTGTAGCGACGCTCACCATCAAACGAAGACCAGTCCAAGATTATGCAACAATTGCCACCCTTTGTCGAACGAAGTCTAAAGCGTTTATTACGCATAATATAGCATAGCAACAAACGAAAGAGATATTTAAAGTCAACCACCATGAGGAAATCGCTAAGAGGATAAGATACGTCTTAGGATGCCACCTTTGTGCGCGTATTTCGCTTGCCAACACGTTTTCCATTTGGAGTAGTACTCTCTTCACGGGCTCCATTAGTCTTTCCATTGGGGATAGGACTCGACGGCCGCGAGTTCTTGGGCGTCGGGGAACCGAAGCGCCTTCGGACGGCGTTGATCATCTTGGAGAACCAGAACCAGTTTAGGCCATTTAGAAGAAAATTTCCCGCACAGTAAGTGACCAAGAGTGGCCATCCAATCTCGACGCGGTTAAAGTAGAGCGTCTGGAAAAAGTCGTAGGACTATAGCACCAGATATTAGTGCAAACTGCCATACGAAAATATGAGGGGAAACGTACCATGTAGACGCCGTAGACGAGACGTGCAAAGAAAAAGGTGGCGAGGAGTGTGAGGCCATTGATCAACTGGAGCGTCGTACCCTTTACACGCGTGCGATCAAAAAACCAGTTTAGATTGAGAAAGGGAGTTGAAATTTCCCAGAGCAAGAAGCGTGGGCCGTAATACGAAAGGAATGGCCGCTAGAGAAGGGTGAGTGGGAGACCCTGCATGATGGCTTGGCACGGACATAGCTGAACATAAACACGAAGAGGCACGTGGCACCTATACAAAAGTCAACAAAAAGATAATGGGTTGTAAGCGGGGCGACGCACCGTGCAGGACGAAGCCGAGGTTCTCAAAGTAAATCAAGGCGTCGAGAGTATCCCAGAGAAAGCTATGCCGAATTAAGCTGCGTTTCAACGTCCAGACGTGTCCACGTACTATCTGCGCATCGCCCGTCAGAGATGGGATCGCAGCATTGAAAATAAGAGAGCTCACCCGCAGGAAATGGCGTGTAACCGACCAGCGGTGTCGTCCCATCCAAACGTCTTGTCTCGCTTCCCACTGAGTGCAGGAAGATCCAAGCACATGAAAGCGAGGGGGACGATGAGGACGGAATGGGAAAAGGCGACCACATGCGTGCTCCAGCCCTTGAGCGACTTGTCTCTTCTCTTGCCATTATCATCATCGTTTTCTCCTGGATATGTCTTGATACCGTTTGGTTGGGGGACAAGCTGCTGCCTCGCTGGTGCGTTCCTGTCCGACCTTAGTTTTCGGTTGCCGTTGGCGTACGTGGAGAAATGATGGGTGAAAGGAGAGGAGAGACGACGAATTGAATTGAAGTCCAGAGTAAAAAGGATGCCATCATGGTTGGGAAATGCTTTGCAAGGTGTGGAAGATGCAGTAACTCTGCGACGGCCTCGCTGGTGGCAGCGATCATGTCGTTTGTATTGTAGAGCGCCATTAAAGGAATGGTTAACAATTTACAATCTCCGCTCAGGGATTGAGACGTGGTGGTGACGAGGTAATGGGAGGGGCCAAGCTAAGGACCGGCTTAGTGGGCCCTTGTCGAAAATCACGACGACGATCCACTGGCCGAGTTGTCAAGATCCGAGATAGTCGGAGTTTTAGTAGAGACCTCTATTAGACGTGGATAGTATGCTTTTGGGCGTAATCATCCCTTTAGAATTTATTTATCCCGGATAAGCTTTCAGGAGCGTAAGGCTTGATTTGATCTGCTCAGCCGACTGGCTATCCCAATGGATTACGAGAGACCCCTGTTGCTCCACTCGTCCAGAATTAGTCTCTATTCCCGCGTGACAGCTCCCAAGCGCGGTCAGTCGCAGTCCAGAGCCCGCCTCTTTCCAAAATGCCGCTCGTCTGATTGGGCTGCGATAGACAGCCGCGAACAGATTGCAATCGCTCGTCCTTAATTGGTCCAGAATTCTCTCCCAAATCAGGCGCTTGCTTGGCTATAAAAGCCCACTGTTGCTCGTCTCCCTCAAACCTCACGAGTTGCCCTCTACCACAACTTGACATCTTTCTACAAATCATGGTGAGCCCGCCGTTGTAAATATACTGAATGGTACTAACTACTCGAAGCCTGAGTGCGAAGTTAAGCAATCCTCCTGCGACTGGCCCGCCTGTGGCTGCGAGAAGCCCCCGACCAGCCAAAACTGTGGAAGCTCGAGCTGCTCCTGCGGTGACAGGTATGCCCGTCCTCGTCTTCTCCTGCACACTCTTCATCTCACCCTCCCACCCCTAGCTGCAAATGCGCCCAGGGCGAGTGCAAGTGCTAAATAATCCAATCATTTTGAAATAACGTAATAAATCTTGGCGCTTTGGTTAGAGTCGAGCCTTGTCCCCTGTGGCTAGACCTGTCTGTCAATTCCAATAGACGCTGTTGAAACGTTTCCTTTGTCATGTGACCCGTGCATTCGTAAGCAACGTAAGATTAGATCTCTTGATACATGTGTAGAATAAGATAGGCATCGCCTCAGTCCTCTTCTGGCTCCAAGTCGCCGTACGGTCGTGCTCGGAAGTACGAATCGTCAAAATGGTGAACACGAATGAACCCGTCTTCACCTCCAGAAGCGTATGAAGTCCCTGCCGGATGTACAGCAATGCTGCTGGTTGTCAGCCACACTCGACGCTGACGCGTAGTCTACGCACGTGTTGATGGGTCCAAAGTGCCCTTTTACTCTTCCAACCTCCTCTTCGAATACTTTGTGCCAGAACCGCGTCTCGAATTTGCCCTGGCGGAGCGATGTAGTCGTCACGTTCATGGCTTCCTGCCCACCTCCGAGCAGGATCTGTAAGAAATGATAAGAAATGATGTCAAAACTATTATCAGACGCACGTATGGTCGCTTGGGCGCGATGGCTGCGCTGTTCAATGGCGTCTCGGTGACATACGACTTGAGCTCATCGAGCGTCTTGGCCTCGAACAATTTTGCCGACTTGTCCTTGCTACTCGTAATGAAATAGCTCCTATCTGGACTCATTTGGATATCCGTCACAACCTCTCGATGAGCACGCTTGTTCGACACGACCTCGTCGCCCGTCTTGGTCTTATAGAGGGTAATCTTTCCCGACTCATGTCCCGTGATAATCTGATCCGACGTCGTCCCAAATGTCAAGACGGTCGCCTTGCTCTCGATTGGGTGGAACATGGACAGTGGCTCTTGGGTTTGCTCGGTGCCGGTGCCGTTGCGGTTGACGGGGAAGACACGAACGGCACCTTGGTGACCCATACGTTGCTCGGTGATACATGCGATCAACGAGTCGTCGTCGCTGAATGCCACACGCTTGATCGCGGTTGGAAACTCCCAAGTGAACAAGCACTTTCCCGTCTTGACTTCCCATAGTTTCATCATGTTGTCTGCAGAGCCAGAAACGAGGAATCTCGACTCGCCTATATCTTAATCAGCCAAAGTCATTGGATGAAAAAAGCGAGACGCACTGTCGACGTCGACGGTCCAGATGGTGCCATTGTGACCATCATAAGTGCCTAGTCTCTCTCCATTATGTGAATACCACACATTGATGCGGTGGTCTTTTGAGCAGCTAAAGATGAGATCGCCATCCACGTTGTATTTGATCTGTGTCAGCGAGCGTTCGTGACCTAGCGCGTGTTATTCATGTATTTATGTATCCAGAGCCTCATCTGGTTACCTTGAAGAAGGATTGGACGCTGTTCAGTGGCATCAGCGCGTCTGCTCCTCAACCGCCAAAAGAACACTGACCATGATTTTGTAAAGAATCCGAGACGAGCTGTTGGTCCTTTTATGCGTCGTTTTGGCGCTCGGAACCGTCAAGAGTCACCGCCAACTGCCTCTTCGTTATTTGCTCCGCTATTTGGCCACCATCACTCTGACAAGACGTCTGCGTCTCGTTTGCACAACAAAAATTAGCAAAAAATCCACATCAACCGCATTATAGTCTCAACGAGACTTTGATTACTCTCAAACTCGAAAATGGGAAAAGGTCGCGCTCCCTCGCCATCGAGAGATTGCATCTGCTGACATACTCCTCTGGGCTGCACGGAAACAATCACGAAATAATGGAAATGAAATCTACATTGATTACATTTCGCGTTGATAATGGACAGTTCACGGATCCCTTGCCCGTGCCGGCAAAGTCAAGTCGCAAACTCCAAAGGTCGAGAAGCAGGAGAAGAAGAAGACTCCAAAGGGTCGTGCTAAGAAGAGAATTCTCTACAACCGTCGGTACGTGTTCTGTCCTTTACCTGCCGAGGTTATGAACTGACCTCCATCCAGCTTTGTCAACGTGACCGCTGCTCCAGGTGGAAAGCGCAGAATGTACGTGTTCATACTCTCTTCTTGCTCGTCGCACCTCCGTGCGCCACTCCATGGGATGTGCAATATTACCATTCAAGTCCCGGAACATATCCATGTCGACCTATTATCCTAGTTATTCTGACTCTTTTGCTATCATCCTTCAAATTCTGCGTTGCTGACACTCGTCCTCTAGGAACCCTGCACCAGAGAAGTAGACGATCCGCCACCTCGATGGCTGGACCTTGTGCGACTCTGTCTCTCCTTTCTACCCCATAGTATTTCCGTTTGCACTGTGTTGTCTCGTCTTTGGAGACTATCTCATCTGGGACCAAGCATGGCCCACGATGGTTTTTGCTGTATTGTCGTAATGAATACGCATACGACTTTGAAGATAGACAGATTGCACGTAACTGAGCTTACTAACCATTTAATTGTTGGTACTGCTTCCCGCTCAGCTCTTACTCTCCGCCACAACAATGGATTGGCCAGACCTCTCGAGCTCGCAAACGGACCGCATCTTCATTGACACGCTCTCCTTCAATGCAACAGCTGGACGCGACTGCTGGGGCCGCACACGGCCACAACCGCTCTCGCTGACAATTGAAGTGGAAGCAAATCTCCAAAAGGCCGCACACAACGACGACTTGACCGATTCGATAAACTATGGTGGTCTAGCGAAACAACTCCTCGCGCTCTGTGACGACCAACAGTTTGAGAGCATGCTCCATCTCGCTCAACGCGCTGCAGAGTTGGTAGTAACGCAGCCAGGTGCAATTGGCCAGGCAAAAGTCGAACTGAGAGCACAAAAGGGCTTGTTGCAGGATGCCGGCCTTGGATTGCAGGTCCGCAGGGGAAAAGAGGGGAAATCGACGCAAGAGTGGACATGGCTCATCGATGGTTGGAGAGTGCCCGTCTTGATTGGCATGAACCCTCCAGAGAGACAGAACAAGCAGATTCTGATCATAGACCTAAAGTTGCTCATGCGGACCGCCGGGACCAAGACCGAGGACGAGGTTAGCATTCCAGAACTCATGCAACATCTCTCAGTCGTGAGTGCTTTTGCTCAAGGTCTGTTGTGGAGTTTTGACATGTTTAGTGGGTCGATACGACCTCCTTCCTCACCCTGGAGCGCTTCACCCGCGACCTCATCCACGAAGCCATGCACCACCATTCCAGTATCGCATTCGCAAACGCCAAAGTATCAAAACCCTGTGCCGTTGCAGGAGCTAGATTCACTGCAATTCAGATGCAGCTCGGACGCAAGCAAGGTGACGATTGAAGCTTTTCATTTCAGTACATCAAACAGATCCGACGTTGAACGTATTATGCAAACCGATATTGTCATCCGCTCCATTCATTGGACCAGAACAACTGGCCATTGCCTCTCGACGCTTCATTGCCTCTTCGTCGGCGAGCATCTGCATCGCAGCAGTAAGGTTGCTCGTCATGGCACTGTTCACGCGTACACCGTTCGTCATGCCACCCTGGGTATACGAACCATGAGGAGGTGCAGGAGTGGGCGCGATCAACTTTGCCTTTTCGCTGCGTAGGCTTTCAATGTGCTGAAGATAGTTTTCGTCAATATCCCCCGTAACGTATTCCCCAGTGAACACTGAACAATCAAAGTGTGTCAGCTTGGGATTGAATTGCTGTACTGAGCGAACAAGGTCGGGCAGCGTTTGGTAGATGACCAGGTCGGCTCCCAAGGCTTCGGCGATCTGATCCGGATTACGATGATACGCGACTAATTCCTCGCGTGAAGGCATATCGATGCCGTATACGTTTGAAAACCTTGGTGCGGTCAGCTGGGCTGTCCAAACGGCTAGCGAGACGTACCGGATCGGGGGAGCACACGAAGCAAAAATGACTTTTCTAGCGCCCACATCCTTGGCCATTTGTATTATCTCCTTTGACGTTGTCCCGCGGACAATCGAATCTGGATGCACATTAGAGGCACCTTTGCTGCCAAAGGTAAACGCACCATCGACAATGAGCACGCTCTTGCCAGAAAACTCCAAAGCCATTGCGTTTAGCTTTCTTCGGACATTTTTTCGACTAAACTTGTCAGTATTTTGCAAACGAATACCATGTATCCGTACCGCATCTGCTGACCAGGCATAATAAAGGTTCGGTCGACATATCGGTTTTTCACAAAGCCCTCTCGGTAAGGGAGACCGAGCTTCTGGGCCAAGTTGAGCGCTGCGACGCGCGACGTATCCGGTACCTATCATGCTCCATCAGAAATCACGGCCCGACAAACAAAGAGCACTTACAGGAATGACGACATCGACCTCTATTTGCTTCATCTCGAGCACACGACGGACTTCTTCGGCAAGCAAGTCGCCCATAGCCATTCGGCTCCGATATACAGACACACCGTCGAGCACCGAGTCGGGTCGAGCAAAGTAGACCCACTCAAAAATGTCGGGCGCAAATGTCTTGTCTGGCACGAGGACACGACGCGAGACTGTGGTGCGCGTAATGATTATTGCCTCGCCTGCATCCAGCCAAGTGAGTGAACCATTTGTCCTGTCAAAGTGGAAAGAACTGACCAGCTCGAACGTCATCCCAATGTGTGAACCCAGCTGCATCTGCGACCACGCTTTCGCTTGAAAATAGGTAGTCTTTGCCGTCCGAATTGGGGACCGACCTAACCGCCATACCGACGGGCCGAATACCGCATGGGTCCCTAAACGCGATAATACCGAATCCAGCGAGCATGGCGACGCAGGCGTAGCCTCCTTTGCATTCGAGCATTAGGTCCTTGATGGCCGTAAAAATATCCTCCTCGTTGATACGAAACTTGCCCGTCTTTTGGAGATTGTTTGCGAAAATGTTCAATAGTACCTCGGAATCCGACTCGGTATTGATATGTCGATGTGCATCCGCGTCCAGGAAATGCTTGAGTTCATGAGTATTGGTAAGATTGCCATTGTGCGCGAGGACGATGCCATAGGGACTATTGACGTAGAATGGTTGTGCCTCTGCATGTGCAGAGGATCCAGCAGTAGGATATCTGACTACAGAGCGACGGATGTCAGTCTGCGTTTGGTGCTCAAATCCATAAAAAAAACTGACCGTGGCCGATGCCCATGGAGCCAACAAGGCGTGCTACAGCCTTTTTATCGAACACGTCTCGAACCATTCCATTTGCTTTACACTGATACAGCCTGCCCTTGGAGCCGCAGGTCACCACGCCACAGGCATCCTGGCCGCGGTGCTGGAGGAGCGAAAGACCCTCGCAGATTTCCGCAGCAGCATCCTGATGCGGAGAGTGAAGCAATAGTCCAAGAATGCCACACACTGTGCCATGAAACCCGGCAGACACAACCAAAAAACCCAGCGAGCAACGGAATGAATTGTCAGACGTTGCGCAAGCTATCGTCAAGGCTCACTCTCGCCGCGGATGTCGCTAGATGAAATTTATTGGTAATTTGGGGTCGCAAATCTCGATGCGGAACAGAGGCAAGGTGCGTGAGGGGCGACTCTTTCTTTTTCCGGCAAGGCGATAGGTAAAACTTCGCGGTTGAGCGCGTTTTATAGTCTCTACTGCACACTAATCAGACACATGCAAGAATCGGGAAAGTAACGTGATCGACTGTAATGAATGATGCCCAGGAGAGGGATGCGATGAGGTCGTGAGGAGGATGGATCCGGTGAGAATCTATCAAGAGGAGCGACGTAAAGGATGTAGAATATACAAGTGAGGGGGATAGTAAAGAAAAATGCGACGTGGTAACCACTGGGAAGGATGAGCTTCCGATGCGGATGTGTCTAGCGTGCAAACGTAGACGATACAGTTCTATGCCGAGAATCTAGAGAACGAGCTTCTTGGGTTGCTCCCAAGAGTACCCGGGTTTGCCTGTGAAAAGGAATGAGTAAGCGGGTTCGTGGAAAGACTGGTTCACAAACCAAAGTGGCCATAGGAAGCCGTGTGGAGGTATTGGGGCCTCTGGAGATCGAGTTCACGCACTTGGAGGTGTGTCAGCGACTTGATGAGTGGTCGAAAGAAACAGACTAACCGATGACACCAGGCCTGAGGTCCCAGTTCTTCTTGATGATCTCGACGAGCTCCTCGTTCGACTTTGTGCCAGTCTCGTAGGTATCAACGTAGATCGAGAGCGGCTCGGCGACACCGATAGCATACGAGAGCTGGACAAGTGCGCGGCGGGCAAGTCCGGCAGCGACGAGAGACTTGGCTATCAGCTAGTCAGTATTGTGGAAGGAGAATATTCGCTCGACGCACCGATCCAACGCGCGGTGTAGGCAGCAGAGCGATCAACCTTGGAGAAGTCCTTGCCAGAGAAGGCTCCTCCACCGTGAGCACCCCAACCACCATAAGTGTCGACGATGATCTTGCGGCCAGTCAAACCGGCATCACCCTGAGGTCCACCAATGACGAAGCGGCCAGATGGTTGAATCTACGACAGAGATAAGAAACGCAAACGAGAGTGCATGGGAGCAAGAACTTACGTGGTAGATGGTGTTTTCGTCGAGGAGCTTGGGGTCAATGACCTGTTTGATAATCTTCTCCTTGATCTCCTCGCGGAGGTCCTCGGTAGAGATGGTGTCTGCGTGTTGAGTGGAAACGACAATGGTGTCGACACGAACAGGGATGGTAGCACCACCTTCCTTCTTGTACTCGACGGTGACTTGGGTCTTCGAGTCGGGCCTGAGCCAGGGAAGAGCACCAGTCCTCCTCGCGACAGCCATAGCCTGGTTGAGCTTGTGGGCGAGCATGACGGTCAGAGGCATATACTCCTCTGTCTCGTCCGTGGCATAGCCAAACATGATACCCTGGTCACCGGCACCCATGGCCTCGAGAGATCCGTGCTCAAGACCCTGGGCGATGTCAGGGCTTTGCTGCTCAATGGCAACAAGAATGTTGCACGTCTTGTAATCGAATCCCTTTTCAGAGTCGTCGTAGCCGATCTGCTTGATGGTGTCACGGATGACTTTTTGATAATCGAGCTTGGCCTTTGTAGTAATCTCTCCAAAGACCATGATCATGCCCGTCTTACAAGCGGTTTCGCATGCAACCTTGGAAAAAGGGTCCTCTGCGAGGCAAGCGTCGAGCTGGCCGCAATCACGTCAGCCGACGCGAAAAAAAGGTAGATAGAAATGGGATGAAAAACACGTACGATGGCATCAGAGACTTGATCACAGATTTTATCTGCAAGTAAAACGCGTTAATTTTGTCTCTATCGCCCGCGGAGACGCGTGAAAATGCGACTTACCGGGATGGCCCTCGCCAACGCTCTCGCTGGTGAAGAGGAAATGGCCCGGAGGAAGCTGAGAGGTAGTGGGAACAGCAGGCATTATGGTTTTAGAAGACTGGCTGACAACGAGACGGATGTGGGAGAGTCCAAGAGGCTTTGAGACCCCGCAAGCATTGGGCCGACGAGAAATTGCGCGACTTTCCAAATCTTTGCATCGGACGAGGCACGCGAAGGCAAATCACGCCATGTTGCATTCTCTCTAGAAAATACACAGAATTCAGAAAACTCGATGGCCATGGCCAAAACGGCAAGGGACAATTCTCTACAACCCAACACCCAGCGGGTCGCTGCTGATGGGGGGAGACTTCGGCTTCATCCCTGGTGTGGCTTCCAGTGTCGACGAGGTAGGTAACCCCGTGTTCGGAGCGTGTCGAGGCGCGGGCGCCACGATAGGGACAGAGCTCCTGGCCTCGAGGGGGTGTTGAGAGAATGTACTGTTGCCCAGAGGTCGGGTTATGTTGGTTTGCCATTCATCTTCAAGTCTCTTTGTCCCTGCAGATGTCGCCCAGGGATTGCCGTCCAACGTTCCAACTCGTGGCTTTGGTCGAATAGTTGCCGGCTCCTGGCTGGCGGTCCATGTAGAGGGACTGGCTGTCAAAGGACTCGACGTCGTAGCCCCCATCCATCGTTCCCCCACCCGAGCGCACTCTCTCGTCGCGGTTCATTGGACCCACTTCCTCCATAGCCACCGAAAGAGCCGCTACCGCTAGGTCCTGCAGCTCTAAGGTCCTTTGTTGCATCCTGAACAGCAGAGAATGCTGCAGAGGCATTCGAGCTTAGTCTCCCCCATATCGATTTCATCCCCCCTCCGGCGTTGTTTGCAAAGCCAGCGAGGCCGTCAGCAAGTGAAGCAGTACTAAAGCTCTGAGAGCCAAAACTATACCCTTGCGCATTTGGGTTTGTTCGACTGCTGACAGGTGGTGGTGCCGGCCGTTCGTACAGCGATGAGTACGGATTCGCCGCAGGCTTGACATATGGATCTGGTGAGGGGTATGAATCCACAGGTGGCACAGATTTCGGTTGTGTCGTCGGTGATGAGCGAAGGGAGAAAGCGGATGTCGACGAGTTGAAGGGTCGGAATGACTCTTGTCTTCCGGCCAATGGTCGAACCTCGGTAGGCGAGGTCTTTGAAGCTGGTGATGTTGAAGGTTCAACAGGTAGAATCGCTGGGCTCTGCTCTCGCGAGAGGCCGCTGAGAGCTGAGGACGGTCGGGAGCCTGTAAATGAGGATGATAGACTCATGGCTGGTATTGGTGTACCATTCCTAGACGATACGAGACTGCTGTCTCCGTCCTTTCCCAAGGCGAGACTTCCCACGGCTTTTGCTACTCCCTGAACTAGGACAGTGTCATCCTTTTCTTCCTCGACCACTTTGAACTCGGGATCCGGTTGGGGAGCAACCACCTTTCCGTTCATCTCTTCGTCCGTTTTTCCATAGAGTTCATTCCAGAAGCGAACGTCCTTTGCACTGGGGATGAGGACACCCATATCACCGGCGCCATTCTTCACATCATCCAGAGATTTGTTATATGTTTGGTTAAGCCACCTATCTCCTTTCATGTTCCCTTCAGACAGGAACCACTCCCAAACGCTCTTCGTCTTCTGAATACCGCTCCAAGAGCTCGCACCATCCAAGCTGACTTTGCGTTCTCTCTCGCAGTTGAAGAGGAAGGTGCCATACTCGCAGGCGTAGAGCTGTCGATGAATGTTACGCAGGAACAGTTCATTGTACTCGAACCGGTCCGGGAATTGTCGCTGGATGTTCCTGACGCACTCTAGGAACTGATGAAAGACTGGTGACATCTCCTTGATGTGAGATGGGTTGGATATTCGATCTCGGAAGCCAGCAATGAAGGCTCCTGCTCCTCCGCCACCGCCTTCATCTCCTGCTTCAGCTGCTCGTTCGGCCGCACTGCTCCCTCCGATGAAGAACCTTTCAGACGAAAGGTGTCCGCATCGATCCAAAAACTTGTGGCCAAAGCTGCACCACTCCTTCTCGATGAGAACCATGAAGCCGCGTATTGTACGATAATAAGGGTCCAGGCAGAGTTGGGCGAGTGCAGTGATTTGGGCTGTCCGATCCCACCCGTCGGAACAATGGACGAGGACATGGGAAGAGGCAATGTGAACGGTCCGCACGACAATCAGGGTGCCTTGAAGAATGGATGAAAGATGTCTGAGCCACCCACTTCTCCGCAAGGCATGACGGTCAACCAAACCTAGGCTGTCCGCTCCAGTCGCGTCGAGAAAAGCAGCGCCATCTAATGTTGGCTCGGCGGCTCCGTCGGCCTCGCGAAGTGCCTCTACGACTTTGTTGAGCGAATCCCGCACGACGTGTATATTCTCAATGCCCAGATAGGCCTTCTTTGTAACACCGAATCCGGTGCCTGTGCCACCTTTGTAGTGATCCATATTCTCAGATCCACCTCCTTGTGCAACGTTTGCCATTGCATTTGCGGTAGGTCGGGCATCAATGATCACGTTCGTGCAGGTTGCACCGTAGATCATTGGTGAATCTTTTGACGGTTCAGCAGAGAGGTGAGATTGGAATATGGCTTCAACGAGCTTTTCGTCTTGTATCGACCGGTTCTGCGTGATCCCTACAAGCGGTTGGCTACATCTGGTGATGCTCCCCTGGAGTTTTGGCGTCAGTAAACGGAGCCCTGATGCGGTTACACTTACAAAGTTGGACCAGTGGAGATAAGATAGCGTTGGAATACGGGCTTTACTTCGATATTTTCCGGCATAAGTCAGCGTTGCGTCTCCGATGCGAGCTGGGACAACGAGCTTCGCAGGATAGGTAGGAGCAAACTACAGGTTGAGATGAGTTTATAAACACGCGCACAATCACCCCTTTGACTTGCCGAGTAGTCGTTGTTGATCTCAGTAAACCTCCAGGCTTTACTTCGCGCTCCGACGCCCATTCGCGTAAACTCTTCTTGGGCATCATACAATTTCCATCCATTGTTTCCATCAGGGGAGATAGGGAAATCTGGCTCGTTGAAGAATGCATAAAGATGAGTCACCGACGCTGAGGCATCTCAGTCTCACTGGCAATGAAAGGGTATCTAACATACCGACCACTGTGAGTTCTCTGACTGTATCAAAAACCTGGGTGGCATCTGTATCGCGTGGAAAGAAGAGCGTGAATGCCTCGAACGTTCGTGTGCGGAAAGCCAGTGGCGAGAGGCCTTGTAGCGTTTGCGGTAGTCGTGTCAGTTGATTGATCAGCGGGTATGGGACCTTTCAATATATCCTAACGGTCAGATATGACTCATCTAGCAAGCGCCATGAGGATTACGCACCCACATCTCTTCCTCGTCGGCCTCGCCATCGGCAGAAGTTGACTTGGATGTAGAATATGTATAAATAAGATGATGTGCGGTCAAATGAACCGTTCCATTTGCTCGAGCTCGCGCTCCTGAACCGGGTCGATAGATCTGAACATCTGTGACCTGGAGGTGACGTGTTCTTCAGTCAAAGCGCTCTGTAGAACTTGTTTATGAACCTTTGGGACGCGTATTGCGTCCATTGTTCTGTGTGTTGGCACGACGAGTGCAACACCTGGAGGAGTTCAAAGTCAAGTGCCGGTTGCGGCCTGACGCCGAGCTTGCTCGGTAGTCGAGGCATGTCTCAGCTGAAAGACTAAGGGTAATTGTATTTCAAATTCAAACTGTATTTGGCCTTTCATGTACGTTGTATTCGGTAATGGAACGATACACATTATTCAAAAGGACATTAAACGACGTGGATTCGTGTTTGTTTGGAGATATCTCTCGGGCGGATTTTGTGTACTTGCGATGAGCCTCAGGATATAGTCGGAAAGAGTGGAGCCGAACCGGTCCGTAAAGCGCCACCGTCGTTCGCTGCAATAGCGTTCCAGTCTCGTATATATGTCCCAATCAAGCTGAGGATGAAACAATAGAGCGTTGTGCCATGATTCATGCAGCGCGATGCGCCGAATTGAGGACTTGCGGTCATCCTCGATAGCGCCTTGAAGCGGTAGGCGTGGCTCGATCTCTGAGAAGTCCTCCGCAAAGGCCATAAGTGATTCTGATAGGCGTACGACGCGAAGAGGGTGTCCAACAGGAGGGTCGAGCGTCCATATAAAAGGGAGTTGAACCTCTCTTACTCGAGGAACAAGTGACCAAAAGCTGTTAGGCATTCTGAGGTCACTCTCACAGGAGATGGTAAGCGTCCTAAGATGGAGGCCCCAGCAACCAAGAATGCGAGACAGTAAATCCGTCGCACCGGGACCCAGTACGAGTCCAAAGATGTCGAGATGAAGATGAAGAAGAGATGGTATTGACCATTCTTCAGGGCAAAAGTTCTGCATCTCTCCACGGAGAAGGAGTGTGGTGAGATTGGGAAGCTTGAGGCCTCCTGTGATTGCGCACCCCTCAGCCCAGTCCCCATCCATAAGCAGCATTTGAGTGTGTGGTACAAGTTGCTGATATTTGTCGAGCTCTGCGCACGACCGCTGTGTTAGCGTGCGCAATCTTGGACAAACATTTGCAAGCCTCTCCAATGCAAAGTCCGGGATCTGAAGTTGCCCCTCCAAAATTTCTAGCTTCCAAGGCGCATGTGACGCAGTCGTAGCCCCGACCAGCATTCTGGCCATGCGCGTCTTGATGGACATCCAGCGTGCTTCACCGAATACCCTTCGTTCAGGGTAGCATACCTCTTTGCATTGGCAAAAGCTGTAAGGCTCGAGGAAGATTCGAATAGCCAAGGGCAATGCCTCTAGTGGTACGCGTCCATGAGCTACATCAGATAAACGAATGTAGCGGTGTCGAAATGTATCCAAAGCAATGTTCCAAGACTTGCAGACTCTCCTCATCGCATTTCTTGTGCGCTCAGAGTGCCAGTAGGCGACTTCTGAGTAATACTGGACAAGGCTATCCACGCCATGGACTGCTGGATCAGTTTCAAAGAAGAGAGGAACAGAGATACAGTATTTGTGGATAATCTCCCAGATTTCTGGAGGTACTTGGGAAAGTGCCGAAGTGGTCATGGACAAGCTAGCAGAACTGAGTGGCTCATGTTTTAACTATTGCCCCTCCCACGGACACACTAAGGAACGCGCTCTCGAGGCGAGATAACAATCAATATAAATTCTGCAGAAATTAAATCCTTGGATCTACGCGATGAACTGGAAAGTGGACGAGCCACGAGCCAGGACGATAGCCGGACACATTAGGAGCCAGGATCTTAGCATATAATGAGTCTAGATGTCACCAAAAGAGTACGACATTGCCGTTCCTTCCACCTCACTGTCATTGTCGGTCGACCAAGGCGCAAATTCGTCTTGTTCCCATTCATCTTCACTCCAAGGAGCAAAGGCTATCAAATAGGGTCAAATTTCACCTTTTTTACGTTCGGGGGAGCCTCACCTTCTATCTCGTCCTCATTCTCATCAGGCGTCCAGCGAGATATCTCCTTCGGCACGTTGATCCCACACTTTGCGAGCTCCGCATCGATACTCCTTCCCAGTAGTGTGATATTCCCTAACCCGCGGACTCTTTTGACGAGCCGCGTATACTGTGCCGTCCTGGGTTCATCGCCAAACTCCGAGTCGTCGGAATCGTGATCGTCATTCAAATCGAATGTCCCGAGGACAACTTTCTTCGCATTTGCCAGGTTCAGCGACTGGTTAACGCGCTGAAGATAGCCCACATCGGATACACGAAGACAGAGAAGGTCGAGTGTCCTTTCCCCGACCGCTTCGAGAATCCCATACGGCGTCGCTCCGAGAAGGATGAGCTTTCGAAGGTTCTTGAAGGCGAAACCTGATGGGATGTAGACAATGTCATCCTCTTCAACGCCAAGCTTAAGGACCAGGACTTCGACGTTTTCACATTGGGTAAAGTCAATCCCAGCCGAGTTGTAATCCAATCTCAGGGTCCGCACTGTTGAAAGGCTGGGGTGACGACGAACAGAGCTCTCGTGTAGCCAGACCGTGTGCAGCCGGGGCGCATCAAGGAAGAGTGGGCTTGGTGTATACACTGACCGAAGAACGAGGCGCTCGAGGAGTGGCGCAGAGTGGTTGAACAGGCCCTGAAAGTTCCAATGCCGCTTTGCCATTGCAGAATTGGAGCCGAGCTTGCACCAAGCGGTGACAAGGTCAAATTCAAAGGACGTCCAGCGTCGTATATGGGCACCCTGGGGCCCAACAATTATGTTGAGCAGGTAGAAGGCGGCCTCGCGGATCTGAGCCTGTGTCCCGCAGAGCTCCTCCCAAGTGCACTCGCAGACCTCGTCGTGCTCCCTCTTACCGGCCACCCTGAAGATGACTCCAATGGGAACCATGGACCATCTCTCCAGTCTAGCCTGCAAGTATGGTGCGATGCGACGAGCGCGGGGTACAGTGGAGACCTCGACCTTGAGCGACGTCCAGAAGACCTGGTTGTTCTCGATGACGCTCTTCCAGACTATGCAAACCCTAGAAAGACGTGATACCAAGAGCGTCTGGAACTGTAGTGGAGTATCGAGGTAAAGGGTATGCAAGATCATGACGAGAAGCTCTGGCGGAAGTTTGGCCACAGAGGGATACAGTACGAAGCCACAGATCATGCCGTTGAAGAGTCTCTCCGTCCAAGTGCCTGTATACCCGCGGATTCGCTGGATAGGCGGAAACATGGCTGAGGAGGACATGTCGCTTCGAGGGAGAGCATCAGCTCGGCGCAGCTCGCTCACGAAAACCTAGAAGACATACTGTGCTGATGATATGACTCACGAGTGGGGTACTGTTGGTCGCAGGCGGGGAGAGTAGAGTCCAAGTTGGATGAGGGCCAGCCAAAGCGGAGTTCGTCTTTATAGACTCGCCATTGGCGTGGACACAAACAATGACAAACACTGGCTTGCGACTTCCAGTGCCTTTCAAGTACCATTATGGGCCAATGTAGCCTGCTTACCAGCCGTGCGGCGGGTTCCTCTCAGTGTTATCCGGAATGCTGGCATTCCCATAGCGCTCTACTTATTGTACTAATTCACTAATGCTTTCCCTTTTCTATAAAATTTAAGACTCTCACCCATCAGCACTATACGACGCATTTTTGGGGACATCCTCCTGACTGCCGCCGGAAAATGTGTTCAACTGCTTTCCATTTTGCGATAGCTACATTCTTTTAACAGCCAAGTTAGCCAATCTCACGTCTTCAATCCTCACACCAAAGTGAGTCCCAACCCATTAGCCGCATTCAAGACGGCCTGCAACCCAGACGCGGTAATATCCACATCCTTTGCTACACCCCATGAGCTCGTCGTCTTTGGCGTTTTCCCTTCCTGCGCCTCTCGCTCTTCATCCGCCGCCAACCGCTTCTGCCACGAACCGACGTGGAAATTTGTCAAGGAACCAATCTGCAGCTCGCGGACAGGCTCGTCATTGATATTCTCCAACACGAGCTCAACATAGCTCGCCGCCATGACCTCGGAGCCTTGGCCCAGGGAGTGACCGTGAAAGTCACGAATAGCCATTCGTTGCGCGACATGCTCATGCAGACCAGCCAAGAGAGCTGAGAGGGGTCCATTTCCTCTTCCTTGAACTGTACGGGCCTCCCCATCGGAGGAGGATGAAGTGGTGAAGAGGATTGTGCCGCTAAACTCGCGCGCGCCCTGTTCCAACGCCTTGAGGTTGAACGTCTTGAGGAACATTTTGACAGACGCCTCTCTCTCGCCAGTTCCATTAACCCGCGATGCCGAGCCATCGGGGAACGCATACGCTGGCCGTGGCTTGAAATCGTGTCGAATAAAGGCAGCATCAAATATCTCTCCAACACGCGTAGCATCAAGTTCTCCTTCGGTTTCTGCGACGCTTTGGAGAAGTTCGTACACGGGTCGCTGCATCCTCCTGGGTACCTCGTAACCCAAGCTGGCTTGCAAGTCCTTTGCAACGTCGGCAACGCCAGTGCTGATGCGCGCATCGTACAGGATGCCCTTCTTGTCCTCCGGTAGCTTTCGTTGATTAGCACGGAGAGCTCCGTTGACGGCGCTGAGAACTGCCTTGAGACCGCTGCCCGCAATGTCGCTGTCGACGCCGACTCCCCAATACGTCTGTCCCTCGCCACTCGTCTGCCCAGGGAGCTGCTCGACAAGCTGGACGTACGAAGCAGCCTGCGAACGGGTGCCTTCTCCGATGGAATGTTCCGAGTACTCGCGAATGCTAAAGTCGAGGTTGAGATTCGCGCGCAGTGCGTCCAAGAGTGCAGATAGGGGTCCGTTTCCTTCGCCTCGGAGGAGACGAACTTGGCCATCGACCGCCACTTTGGCGATAATTCTTCGATGCTCGTCCAAGACTTGTCCAGCTCGTGGGAGCTCCATCGGTTCCGCATTCGATCCATGATAGAACCGGAAGCTCTTGAGCTCCAAGCGTCCCATGTCCAAAGCACCAGCCAGACCACCAGCGACTGGGAACGATACTCCGGGAGCACGGTAAAAATACGTCGTGCAAAAGGCCTGCACAATGTCCTCCACACGCATCTCCTTTCCAGTTCGTTCTGCGATGCCCTGAATGACGGAGTAGAACGCGATTTGCATCTTCCTCGGCAAGTCGAATTCCAGGCTTTGCTTGACAAGGTACGCGATGCCACCCTTGCCGCTTTGCGAGTTGACTCGGATGACAGCTTCATATGTGCATCCCAAGTCTGCTGGGTCGATGGGGAGATATGGCATATGCCAATACTTGTTGCCTCCCGTCTTTTCTGCCTCTGCCCATAAGCGGTTCTGCACCTCGAACCCCTTTTTGATTGCATCTTGATGGCTTCCTGAAAAGGCGGTGAACACGAGCTCACCAGCCCAAGGATGTCGGGGATGGATAGGAAGGTCGTTGCAGTATACAATCGTGTCAATGACCGATTGCAGGTCCGAGAAATCAAGACCAGGGTCGATGCCTTGGGTATACTGGTTCAAGGCCAGCGTCACGAGGTCAACATTGCCAGTTCGTTCGCCATTGCCGAACAGGCAACCCTCGATACGGTCAGCGCCGCCCAACAGACCGAGCTCTGCGGCTGCCACGCCTTGACCACGATCATTGTGAGGATGCAAGCTGACAATAATCTTTTCTCGTTCGCCGACGTGTCGACAAAAGTATTCAATCTGGAAGATGTGAGCAATCATACGCGGATATGCAGGGTGCATACCTGGTCGGCGTAATGATTTGGCGGTGCAATCTCGACCGTTGCCGGTAGGTTGAATATGATACGCTGCATCTTTTCTGTACCGGCTCTTCCCCAAGTCTCTCTGACTCTGTCGCAAATCTCGACGGCAAAGTCGGGCTCAGTTTGCGTAAAGGTCTCTGGACTGTACTCGTATCGGAAATTTGTTTGATACTTTTGTTCATACTCTTCTACCAGCTGTCGGATCAAACGAGTGTGATCGACCGCGAGGGCAATCGTCTGTTCTTTCGAGTTGCGGAAGACGACCTCTCGGAAGAGGGGAGCGGTGGCGTTATACATATGAATTATGACGTTTTTTGCGCCTGCCACCGCTTCAAAAGTACGCTTGATGAGGTCGGCCCGCGCCGGCGTAAGGACCTAGAAGATGCGGTGAATTAGCAAGGGTTTACATCCTCTTTTTACAAGGTACACATACCTGAATCCACACATCGTCTGGAACCTCTCCGCCCTCAATCAGTCCGCGCACAAAGCCGAAATCGGTCTCGCTCGCAGCGGGATAGGCAATCTCAATCTCCTTGAGACCACACTTGACGAGCTGGCGGAAGAAGCGCGTCTTTTGCTCGATGGACATTGGGTTTGCGAGCGCCTGATTTCCATCGCGGAGGTCGGTGGAGAGCCAAATCGGCGCCGTAGTCGTTACACGCGAGGGCCATTGGCGATCTGGAAGATTGATGGGAGTGTACGGTTTGTACTTTTTTGAAGGATCCTTTCTGCGAGTTTGCCAACCATCATTTGTCCAAGAGCATCGAGTGGCAGACGGTGGAAAGACATGATTAGCATTCGGTTGTAGCTGGAAACAGTCTGTAGACAGTATGAACTTACAGCATTGGCATTTTGAACGGTTAATGCGTTGTTCGATGGCCAGAGCGCGTGCTCAGTCGTCGAGAAATGGATTTTGAGGATCGCAAGAGCGTACTCGAGCGTTGGTTAGAGTATTTGAAAACGAAAAGGTGCGTGAAAAGCTGGAGGAGATGTAGTGGCAGGATCCAAGGCTGACTCGAGACCGGCCGGGAATCGGCTAATGTCGACTTTTGTAGCCACCCAAATCGCCGACGGCACAGTAACCCTCATCATAACCATGTCCTTGAAATATTTTACATTCCAGGTTTGTAATTTACAACATCCTCGCTGTCAATGACGTCTGATCCATCCTACCTTGATGCACAATCCCAGGTCCAAGGGACTGTTCAGCGCGTAAACTTTCGACAGTGGACGAGGAAAACAGCGCAGGCCAGTAATATTACCGGCTGGATCAGAAACCACGACGCAGGACATGTCGAGGGAGAAGCTTTGGGCCAGGCGCAAGACATGGACAATTTGTACGCCACCATCAGGTTATAGCCAGCTTTCTGACACTATTCGTATGCAGCAAAGTCCACCTTCATCGTGGCCCTAAGCGTGCCCAAGTCTCCCAGGTCATCATCACCGGAGAGAAAGTCGTCCAAAATCCAGAAGACATTGGTTGGACACTCACAGACTTTGAGGTTAGAGAATAGGCCATGTAAACGAAAGCAACTGTATTGCGTCACAACGGCATAGATTGATGCGAACCATCAGTAGTTTAGGCGACCCAAGGCTTGGATGATTGAGAATGAGCGACACGTCCATATTCTTGCCTGGTTTCATAGACCCAGTCAACGAGGCGTTTGGCAGAATCTGCTTCAGGAATCTGCACGACGAGCAAACGAACGAGGGGCGTAAACGAGTCTCGGGGGTATCTCATACGGAGGCTACTCGTGCTGAGAGATTCCACACGGGATGCACACAATTTGGGTCTTTCGACACTTTGGATACGTGCTGTCGTCGCTGTCAAGGTCGGCAATGGAGCATCCCAGCTCTCCGCATAAGTCTTGATTGCAAGCTGCATACTGGGCACACCACGTTTGTACTCTGCTTCTTCAAAGGATTGCTGGTATTCTTCCTCGTCAAAGTCAAGGTTGGGCGTAGAAAATGGAGGTCGAACTGCACGTCTGACTTGACTCGAAGTCGTGCTCACGTTGTCACCGCGCATCGGGATATCAAAGAGCTCATACAGGCGTTCGATTTCTTTTGCGCTGTTCACCCAGACATCAGCCGCCCTCAGTGTGGCAAAGGCAAGCCACTCACCGAGTTGTGGTACGGACAGGCTTGGTGGACATACTGGTAGAGACTATGGTTTCAATGTCAATACAGTACTGAAGCACGATTCGCGGGTCGTTTCAGATGGCGTCGACGGTGGCCAGGTCTAAGAGACACCAGTCCGTCTCTAACTGAGCCCTCAGCGCTGTTGTAAAGATGCTCATCACCGCTCAGCAGACGCATGTATCGCGATGAAACATGTGCTAGGATTGCAAGGTAAACACAATGATACAGTGTGAGATGATGCTGAATGAGCAAGCGACACAGATGACAGGACGGGGCTGTCGTGAACAGAATGGCTTGGGATATCTGGGGTGGAAAGATGAAATCTTTTGCGATGTCATATGTGGGTTTTAGGGTGTAGTGAGGTGATGCGCCCAGCCTTGCGCGCGCAACAGAAGAACGAAAGGAGGTCCAAAAGTCGGAGGGGCGTTCCAAGCAAAAAAAGAAAATTGTCGATTAAGTGAGAAGGAAATTGCACCCTCTTGTAAAGACACCTGTCTCGAAAGTTGAATAGGACTAGCTTATGTAGTCATCCGTGGGTTAAGGAGTGTGCGTATGGAATGAAGAGGGTCGGTACAATGAGCAGAGCTGGAATTAAGTATATGTGGGTTTGTGAGTCAAGGGAGTGTGTGCTTTAAAGGCGATTTTTAGTCGTGGTCCCATGTCGAACGAGTGACTGCTCCGGTCGTCGAGTCTCTGCCCGTATCGGTCTTTCCGCTAGCGTGCAGATCGGACATTTCGTGGTTGCTGTCACCTTTCCATATCGATGAGTCCGGGTACTGCTGCTGTGAAATAGTGTAGCGAGCAGATTGCACTTCGTAGCTTGGGTGGTGGTCCAGGCCCTCGCTACCATATCCAGTCTCTCCAATCATGTTTCGAGACACTCGCTTGTGTCCAGGGTTCGGTAGTCGATGGTCGTGCTTGACAAGCGCTGGCCCTTCGATGTACGAGTATGTGACCGGCCGACACATCAGGTACCCAAGGTTTCGGTACCATCTGTTCAACGTGAACGGATTTGCAGGAAGCGGACCAGGAATCAAGGATCGATGGGCCTGGTTGCGGACTTGCTCGATGGTCGTAATGTTGAGTAACATCAACTAGGAAAGCAGTCAACAATGCACTTGCCAAGACACGTCGAATACATACCCGAACATGATAGAAGAACAAGGCAGCCACGGGTCCGAGGACAAGGATACTCATGACGAATGCAGCGGCGCTGCCAGGAGCAGTCTTCAGAGCAGCGACAAAGTTGACCACTGTGTGCCGACGAATGAGAAGCAATAGATGAAAAGCGGATGTGATGATAACCAGCAGCAGTGTGAGGTTCTGCGAGGGTGAATAATCAGCATTTCTCAGAGACAATCGCACGTACTGCAAAGAACAGGAATGTGAAGAAGGAGGTATAGTTCCTGCGACCAATGCAATTATTCACCCATGGACAGTGGTGATCACATCCTTCGACACAGTTGTCGCACAGCTTGCAGTGGCTCGATCGGGGTGGGCGATAGATCTTGCATGTAGTACAGTACTTGACACGAACACTAGAGGGGTCAGTTAGCATAGGGTGGACCTGTCAGCTGTGGTTGCTTACGCTCCCGACCGTACCCTCAAGTCTCTTGGTAAAGGAACTCTCGGACCACCGTCCGAGGGTGGTGAGCTGGGATAGGGAGGATCCATGTCCAAATCCCTTGGAAGGATCCCAGGATCCCGCAGCGCGGTAGCAAACATGCTCGCGATGGTCACCAAGCACATGTAGGCACCGACAGCTGCTACAGCAGGACTTTTATACTTCCACCACCACACCGCAGTGGTCCCAAACCAAACACCACCAATGGCGAAGACGACAGAGATGGAAAACAAAAATGCGAGTGGTGAGTCGCCGCCTGTGAGCAATCGACCGCCGAGGAAGAAGGTATTGCGAGACGGATGCTCCTCCCAGTTATGCCGAGGTCCGTATGTGAACCGTTGCCCGTCGAGCGCAACGCCTTCAAACCCTTGGCCCTCGATTTGTGTCTCCTCCACTTCGGCAGCCACAGGGGTTGTATGGGATGCCTCTGTGAGCGCCTGAAGAGGCTCTTGTGCACGAGGAGGATCCGATGGCGGCTCTACGTTGACTTTGACCTCTTCGGCATTCTCGCGCAGGTTGGGAGAACGAGCACTCGACTGCCGCCGCAGGCGGACAGAAAGTGACGAAGCTGCACGAGCATGCTCATGCATGGCCGGTTTAGTTCCTTCTTTGGTATTGGTCACTTCGTTCCTATCCCGTTCGCTGCTCGTAGTCGCCCTTCTGAAAATCTTTTCCAGGCTGCTTCGCACCGCCCCTGCAGGACTCGTCTTTCCGGTACTATTCCCAGATAGTGTGTCCTTTTCGCCAATTGGCAAAAGAGCCTCCCTGCTAGGCTTGACTCGCGTAGCCGTCCCGTGCGCGGAGAGTCTTCGCCGCCCCTGGCTGCTGTCAGAGTAGGAGGAAACGTCGGGACCACTTGTGGAGCCGTCCGAGTTGCGTGAATGAATGTGGGACAGAGGCAGCATGATGAGACCGTGCTCTCGTGCGTGCGACGAGGCCGATGAAACCAGTGGAACGCCCGTACTCGAGCTCAGATGTAGATTTCCTCCACCTCCGGTTGTCGAAGAGCCGGTTGAGATACCAGAAGATGGCCGCCCGCCCGCGTGTCGATAACCTCCGCCTCCGCCATACGCACTCACGCGAGCGGGGGCATAGACATTGTTTGCATTGAGCGGTGGTGGACGGGAGTCATGTGGAAAGTTTGTACTCGTCGGCGAGTTGATAGAGGGTTGTTTGGGATGAAAAAAAGAGGCTGGTGGGAGAATCGCTCCGGTGTGCGTTTGCGATGGCGAGGCCGAAGGAGAGGGATGAATGGGCATATACGAAGTTGACGGAGGTCGTGAACGCGAAAAGGAGTGTGGCCGTGACATGGAAGAGGCTGACGGCGGATAGTTTGCTCCAGACAGAGGGCCAGCGATCCCCCCGCTCAGCGAATTTGTCAGCGATTCTGCGCGTGATCTCCTTGCACTCGCCGTCGTCGTTGCCCGTGGCTTGTAAAACGTATGCTGGGTGCCGCCAGACGAGACGTTTCCTCCGCTTAGCGATGCCGATACGCTGCTGGGGCTGACCGGGGGCGAGCTCGACTTGTTCGTCGTTGCAGAGGACATTCCAGCACCTGAAGACGACATCTCCGTGGTCGTTATTTGGACGACTGTGCGTTTTGACGTCGATGGCAGCGACGGTGGTTCGACTACGGGTTCCGTCATGCCTTCAAAACCTCGTAGAGGTGCAAGAGAGCTGGAAACAAATAGAATCTACGGGACCAAGAGTGGCCGCGAGTGTACTCGTGGCTAAATCCCGAGTTGTGGAGGAGTCGAAGCGCGTACAAAATTTTGGTCGGGCGCCTGCGATCGCCGGAAACAGTCGCCCGTGGTACAGCTTCAGAGAAGCTTACAGGTCAAGTGTATCTACTACACGTCGGAGATGTCATTCATCAACTTCGCCTTCTGACAGCAAGGCCGGCCCTTGCAGGTTTCTCATAGTCGGTCTCAGCTGTCCGACGCATCTTAAAACGTCATACACTCCGCAGAATGGCATTGTTCTTTCATTAGACGGTTGAAACACGCGCATCGTAGCCATAGCCCCCAACAGGAGCGCCCGGAATATTCCCAGGACCGTCATAATGCATCTTTGTGACATCGTAGTTCCCTAAAGAGCGGTCAGGGTCGCAACGTAGGGCAAAGGGGCCGTTGGAGCGCTCACCGATAAACTCCCAACCAGTCTCCCGGACATGATAGAGGTTGATTGTGTTGCCCGAAAATGCATCACGATGTCCTGCCGCGTAGATGCTGCGGCGGCCAAGCTCTTGCGCATCCTCGTCGGAAAGCTCCCAATGGTACCCCTGATCTAGCACACCATACGCAAATGTACTTCCGGATCCGACAGAGAACACATCTCCTTTGAGTCTTGTTCCATCTGAATCCACATAGAAGAGTGCCGGACCCTGTGAATAGCATTCAGAGCCGGATCAAAAGTGAGACTGGTATCAAACGCACCGTTTTGTCCCAGCCGCAAATCATTGTACCCTTCAAAGGCATCAGTTGTATTACACCTACATATGGAACGGAAAGTACCATGCTCAAACCCATCCCCTTGTAGCTGTAGACGAGATTACTGAGGTACTTGCTAGCCGCTGCAACAGAGATACGCTCCCGGTTACGTAGCTCGTGTAAACGACACTGAATGCCAAGATAGGTTTCCCAATATTGGCAGTCGGCTAGAAACGAGTTTATGGTGAGATTGACGCGTAAGCCTTGGGGAATGCTCTTTACCAGCGCCGCCTGCCATAGTTCCTAGAAGAAACTTGTTGATTTCGATCACCTTCTTTACTGTCCCAGAGGCTATGGCTGCTGTGAGAACCCGCTCCTCAGCTACAGATCAAACTCGAACCGACCAATGTAGCTTCCAGCAGTGGCTCTAGAGTCCACCGCGACGATGATTCCTCCTCTAAACCTGAATGCTAGTGTTGTAGTTCCATGCGCGATCTTGATCCTGCAGTTTGGATCTGCATGGTCGTCGGTGTGCAACTGCAAGAACGCAGTAGGCTACAAGGAATATAAAGCATTATTGAGAGCTATTAATGGCTGTCAGGGTGAAATACACACGCTGGGAACGTTTGGGACGACAAACTCGGGAGGAGCTCCCGCTCGAAGGTTACCAAACCCACCCTGGGAGCCCCAGAGAACCGAGTCTTGAGCATTTTGATCTTGCTCGACGCCTTGTTCGTGATACGGGCTCGCGCGGAATCTCGAGGCTATTGCGTTCATGGTTCAAAAGACGAGGACGCGTGGCGGCGTAACAAAAACAAACAACTTGACTGGCGCGTCACATCCCAAAGATCACGTTAACAGTCCATATACTAGATGCACAAGCTATCGGTAGACCATATGCTCAATCTTTTTAAACTCTTCATCTGCCGCCACTTCACGTTCGATCAACGCTCGAAGCCCCATGTCGTCCCGCACACTCTGCTGTAGCAACTCTTGGAGCAAGTTTCCTTGCTCTGTAAGCTCCTCCTGCCTCATCGCGAGCTCAAAGTTCTCGCGGTTGGCATAAAAGTCGGGAGAGTAGATGCGAGCTAGCGACATGACCCGGACCTGATCCAGCTCGTTGTTGACCGTACCAGATGTGGCTTCCAGCACCTCGACAAGTGACGTGGGTAGGCAAATGTGGGAGATACCTGCCAAGGCAGTGGCTTCCACTCCAGTCTCGATTCCCTCTGGCATGATTCGAGTGTTAAACTTGCGCGTGTGGAATATTTCTGCCATCCTTTTCACAAAGATAATGCCAGGATGGCATTCAAGTTGCTCAGAGTCGTAAAACGGGCTGTCGTCGTGTAGGTCGTGCCACTTTTTGATCTACAGGCGCATTAGGACACCTAGCTTTTGTACAGACGTTGACTTACAGCTGATACGGGGGGCGCAATCCATTCGAGTCCTGCGACACCACACGCCACTGCTTGGGTCGTTGTATAGACGAATCGCATACAGGAACGGATCCCAAATCTGGCCTTCAATTCCCTCGCTGCTTCGATTCCGTCCCAAGTGGCGGGTATCTAGAGGGTTTCATTCATTAGTATCGAGTCTGATAGGGGATTGAGCCGGCACCTCAGGAGGTGTAGGAGACACCACCACCAATACACATCTATTGAGGCAATGGAGCCAGAGAGGATGGCAAGAGGCGCTACTTACAGCGAGACAGATCCGTTCTCTGGATATATGACATAGCTCCGTAGCGATGCAGAGACTTTTTGCAGTTGCGACGATTTGCTCATACTTGGCCGCCGGGTTGTTGATGGGGATAATAACTGGGTGCATGACCCGCCATGAAAGTTGAACCACCATCGATACCAGCTGTCACGAGGTCAGTTGAAGCTTCGTCTCCCATTGATTTTGCCGAACTCACAGTGCGATGATAGACGAGAGTGATAAACGCATCGTAAGCGACTTGAGTGGACGTAGGTCTGTAACTGATCAATATTTGTAAGAAATCTTGTCGGCGAGTACGCTACCCTCCGAGCTGACGGGCCACCTCTGTAATGGCCTCGCTCACATAGGACTTTTGAGGCGAATGCGCACTCCTTTGGAGCATAATGGCACGCATCGCTGAAGAAAAGTCAATTTTAACATCGCATTCCTTCCGTCTGTTCTGTAAATCTGGTAAAGCGCAACTTGTTAGTCAAACCCCACTCCGAAACCTATTTCAACTTGCCCAAATGGTTCGCAGTCAATAATACGACTGCAGTTCCAGCATCTTGCAAACCCTGCAGAAGGTTACTCATGCGTTTAAGGAGGGGTTTAAGAGGAGAAAGGCCCAATCCATTCCGTCTGCCCTTTTTATCTACAGCGGAAGAAAGAATCGTGCCGGATTAGTGACAAGTGCCCGCCTCAATAATCGTCCCTGTTGCAGGTGGCTGATTTAAGCATGAGGGATCCCTGTCGACCGGTTCAGACACGGGTGGAGACAGTCGGGAACAAGACCCAGGGCCAGATCTCACCGTTTTGGAGCTAGATGCACATTAATATTAGCATATTCAGAGGTGTGTCGACCGGCCCACGCACCCTTTGGAATTCGTCATACAGTGTGCTCCGCATGTTTTCGTACGCGTTGCGGACAATGCTAGCCATCCAGTCCGCTGCGCCACGCTCATTCAGATGGAGGGCGAACCTGTCCCGAAGCCGCCGGATCGTTGGGTCTCCCTTGAAACTCGGTAGTCCCGATCCGAGCATAAGCTGGATCGTGTCAATGATTTGTTCAGCATGAGGACGGACCGCCAAAAACGCCTTGATGGTCAGACGGGTGAACAGGGCGAACCCCTCCGAATTTCTCCCACCCATGACAGTGACCATCTCCTTGTTCAGCTTGAACGAATTAGGCTCAAACTTGACGCCCTTACAACACGTGAGTTCTCCTGCGCATAAGGGATAAGACGCCGACATACTCCTGGGGGTAGATATCGCATGCATAATTGGTCAAGCGTTCAGAGATAGTCAAAGAAAAGGGTACTCATCTATGTCGAAAAGGAAGCCGAAGTCAATGTGGACAATATGGCCCTGACCATCGATCATAATATTGCCGTTATGCCGGTCCTTGATTTGAAGAATGTAGCACGCTACGGAGTATGCTGCCATGGATTGGATAAAATTCAGACGCGCTTTCTGGAACGCGACCGTATCCTCGCTTCCAAATCGAGCGACGAAAAAGGCCAATAGGTCATTGATCTTGGCCCTTCCCATCTCATCCCGTGATGTGGCATTTGGGACGACATCGATAACTCCCATCTTCGATTACGAAATGTCAACCTCTCGAGTCCATAATACGAACATCGCTCACCCCTGGTCCGGTCGCTATCACACGATAAGGCATGAGGTATAGGGTCAGGCCAACTGCAGTGAAACTGTTCTTGAACATGGCGATGACTTGGAGGGCGAGGACATCTTGGCGACAGTCGTCTCCAACTTTGAAGATGGCTTGAACCCAGGTGTCGTACTCAGTTCGCACTCCCCCCTCCCCCTCGGCGGAGGTATCGACCACAGCGTTGGGATCCGTGTTGATCTCCACGCGTTCCTTTCGCACTTTGAATGTGGCCATGAATGGAGCCTACAAACACACAGATCAGCTTATGTCGTCACATTTCGTCACCATGGCCGACCTTTGCGTGACTTTGTAATGGGCGACCAGATTTTTTGTCGATGTCGACCACCTTTCCGTCTGGATTACTTGGGAGGTAGACCCCCACTTCCACTTTGATCTTAGCCATCTCTTCGTCGATTTTAGCCTATAGAAGTTTAGCTTGATGTTTCCAACGTAAATAAAATTAACCTTTTTCTCTGACTTCTCCCGGCGAATATACGGTTTGAGTTTTCCGGAGATAGACGTTACTTCTTTGAAGAAGCCGAACTCGCGATCATAGAACTCGCGCGCCTCGCCTGATAACGACTGGACCATCATACCGGTCATTCGATCTAACATTGGCTTCATAGCGTCCTCCTGTACGGTAATCTGAGCGATGCACGGCACTGCTGGGTGGACGTACGATTTCCCCTGCATCGTCTTTATAGCAATTGGCCTGCATATTCCATATAATTTGGTGGCAGAACAATTGGGAGATCTTGGCAGTTTCAAAAATGAACCGCTCCACGTAGCCTGTCGCTTGTGAGCCCGGCCTTTCGTCAGCGGACCAAATACAAACCGAGTGCATCGTATCGCAACGCTTGGACAACTTGAGGTACGAAAAAGAAAGTAAGTTCGACGGGATGCTGCTCGAGCACACGATGCGCGTATTGCAGGATGATGGAATCGTTGCCGTAAGCCGGGGAGAAGTAAGTGACCGCGACTACTGGAGGGACTGGATCCCATAAATGCAAAATCTATACAAACCGTCAATTGGGACAATGTCATGGACGAATGAAATACCTTGAGGCTCTTTCGCACGTTATGATCAAGACGATTGCCTAGCAAATATTGTAACGCTTCGGGGACATGGAGGACCCGCTCTGGATGCGCTTTGATCAGCCGAGTAACTTCTCCTTGCGCCGGTTTGAACCTCTCGGCCATCTGAACCGCAACCGCGGGGTTGACTTCCCATGCTGTTTGAACTACCTTGACCCAAGTAGCCTATGGGAATGAGACTGGAGTTATGCAAAACACGGAGGCTTACCTCAGAAATGCCTCGCTCGACGCTGCTCAGGTGATCCATCCCACGTTTGGGTTCATTGCTGGGGTTGCCCCAGACAGTGAGGCGGTATATTTCATTCTCCACAAGCAATCGAAGCAGGAGGTTGTGAGTTTTGAGCCTTGTCAAGTAATCTGGCGCACATGTCAGGTATGACTAAAAATACTCGACAGGCATACCGGAACCGAACTTTCCTTCAGCCGAGCGCCTGCCATCATAACTTGTGACAATTGTAGATCCCCTGACAATGTCTGATTGCAGAGATTCCATAAATTCATTCAAAACTTTGATGTCTGCATCGAGCTGAACCCGACTAGCTCCAAACGTCCATCTACTGGGGTGAGGACAGAGTCACCGAATCATCAGAATACTTACTGTGGCCGCGTAGCAAACCAAGAGAAAGCAGTGTCGTAAAGTCCGTCTCTGAGACGTATCTCCGAGTAGAGGTCCATCTTTGAGCTCTTCAACGCCTCAAATCCGAAAATCAGAAACGAGAACCGGCCTTCTCGTGCCATTGCGTTCGTACTAAGAGATGTCAGATGAATTTGTGGAGCAGCCAACTGCATACCTAAAGAGCTTATGAGCCTTGGTCGAACGGAGAACTAGTCGTAATAAAACGAGCATAAGACCTGATCTTCTGTAACGGACAGACTGGAACCGGCTCAAGAGCATTCGGAGTAACTGATTGTGTGGGGATAGGAGACGCTGCCCAGAGTACATCACACGGTCAATTGAGGCCTTGTCCGTTGGAGTGTACTCTATTGGGTGCTCGAATGGGTCTTTGAAGCTAAAGAAATGATCAGCGAGATCTCGCTGTGGAAGATGACTCTCCATACTTCATAGATTTCGAGAAAACTCCCTTTCCGCGCTTGATTGTTTCCGCCCAACCAGCATCAATTTCCGTCATGAGAGCAATCTCCATGTCTGGGCGTTCTCCAATCAACCAGGTCCAAGCCTCTACTCCGACTGCAATGGAGGAGGGACTGAAAGCCACGAATGGAAGATGCGCGAGTTCGTGGAGAAGTTCATAATGCACCTAGATCGGAGCGTTAACCCACATATGTGGCTCAAAGACGTGACTTACGTTCTGCGATGAAATCAAGGCCGCTGCTGCCCTGAAGAGCAGTCGCTTGAAGTCCGGAAGTTTCATATCGCTCACTTTTTCCCTAATCTCGTGGGCCGTCTGTTTGAGTTTGAGGTGCAGTGCTTTCAATTGTTCAAGAGACGCGAACGGTGGTGATAATAGATGTAGCGAATTGGCTGTAGAAGGTGAATCACTAGCTTTAATTGTGTGGAAGATCTTCACCTTCATGGTTGACGAGGCGTACCCCACTCGCTTCCCAGCAAAGCGCTCCTTCGCGGACAGTTGACTGGCAAGAACCTTTGAGCGGTCCGGAGTCCAAGGATTTGGCCCTGAAGTCGATGCTGTGGGAAACTTGAGTTGCCGTCGTCAAGAAAGCAATGCTTCTTACCAATCTTCCGTTCGCTGGGGGGTATTTTACACGCAAATTGAAGAGCCAATGATGCACCCATCTCCACAGTTTCTGGAAGAAGCACGGTTTCGTAGTGTGCAAGATATTTCTATGCAAGCGAGTTGAGCGACATCCAGCCAACGGCTAGTGCTCACCTGCAAAGTGGCCTGAACTTCAACTGGTGCCCTGTTTATCCCCAAGCTCAGCCAGTTAACGGCATTCCTATGTAGCTGGCCTAGAATTTCATTGCGTACGGTGTAGGACCCTGTTAACTCCAGAAGGATATTCGATCTTGTCGATTTGAATTCATGCTGCGGATTGTACTAGAGAGATAGGTAAGGATCTGGCCAAATGACGGGATAATATATACCTCGTCGGTGAACTCTCCCTCACAAGCTCTCCTGAGCAAAGTGAGGACCTCCAAGATGGCACAGACTAGTGGCGCATCACACATCAGCGACGGGAATGATGTGATGAGCCTGTGAAGGTATTTGGCTGCCACGTCTCTGACTTTGTTGATGCGATGACATGCGGCAACGAGGAGTTTTTGCATCTCCTCACTCATTGAAACCGGAAGTGAATGTTCGACGATTTGACTGCTGAGTTCACTGATGGAACTGCGCATGATCTGAAACCAAGTCAGTTTCTGGGTTAAGATATACTTGTTTAGCTACCTTTTCTGCCACTGAGTCCATGCAAGAAATTAAGTTTTCCCGCATATTGACATCTTTATTGAGGAAGTAAGTCGGCATTGAAGATGGGTAGCCTCGTGCACTTCGGATAGATTCGAGATCATGGAAACTGAGCAGAAAAATGACGTGAGCCGGAAGGAGATAGCGAATTTCAGCTTGCTTCAGGGGAATATAGCTGGCCAGCGTCGTGCGATGTTGTTGCAGCACCTAGAGGGAGTGAGCAGGGAATATGTACAGCGGAAATACCGTACACCGAGTAGATAATCCTGGCGTAAGACGGGATTATATTCGAGCTCCGCAGACATGAATTCGTGGGCGTCCTCTAGAACAATCGGGGGCGTCTTCTCCGCGATACGCATTAATGCGTGTACATGCCACTCGTTCATGCAGGGGGGCTTATTGTGTGTGCTCGTGAACCCAAAAAGAACACACAGAAGCCAGAGATTCCGGAATTTGGTGACAAGAGTGGGTAGAGCATTGACATGGGGATGGAAATCTGCATGTGAGAGGAGAGCATCGAGAGGCAGGAGAAGTGAGCACAACTCTTCCATCTGTGCCGCCTATTGCAGCCTTTAATATCTACTGAAGATGCCTCCCTCTGTAAAGACATACCTCGACTTTATCTGGATGAGATCCCGACGCAGTCTGAATCGCGATCCCCTTATCGGCAAATAGAGTCAGGATCTCTGCCAGATAGACGTCATAGAACGCCGATCTCAGTTTGATACTCTGAGCAAGTCTAGTTTGTGCAGCTAAAACCTGCGAAGAGTTGGCTGTTTATACTTGAAGGCAGATTCTCGCTTACCATGCTGTTCAACGAACGGTTTGCTTCGGCGCGGTTGATGTTACAGAAAGCACGAATAATGTCGACGAATGAAGGTTGAGGGGCGACAAGGGCAAGAGGAACTAGATTCCATGCGATAGCCGATTCGACGGAGACTTCAGCGGTGCGCAGATATTGTAGCAGCATCGAGACTGTGAGTCGGGTCACCTAGTACATCGTTAGATTTGGAGCATACTGCTAACAATAACAGACCTCTTCAACCTTGAACTCCAACGCCAATGTCGAGACGACACACACAGTGCTAATGGATACCAACCGCTTCTCTTCTTCGGTAAACGAGCGAAGGCCAGTCTCTACGTACGTATTAACCGCTGGGTCATCATCGTTCATGTACGGTGACGTTCCGATGGGCTTGGTTCCGTCAGAGGTTTTGCTGGATGCAGCAATATAGTTGAGGAGAGAATACATGGTGGACATAATGAGATCCTCTCCAGGGGAAAGCTTTGGGTTGGTGTTAGCCATCTTCCATGGACAAAGAAAGGAATAACCTGAATACACAAGGCCAGGCACTTGGCTGTAGCCAACAGCACGAGTGGCATCTGCTGTTCAGACGCGAATTCGATCTGGAAGATTGAGAGAGGCGTGGCGATAAAGCGTCGAAGGTGACCAATCATCCCTGGAGCAATGGACTTGAAGCTACAAAAGTTGTTAGTTAAGGCTTCGCAGAGACACGCCTGGACGAACTTGCGTAGAAGCATAGTTGTAGCTTCCAATGCAGCCTCTTGGACGAACGGGTCATAAACAGGAGATGTGTCACTTAGAAGGAGTTTGAGACGCGAGTGTAGGTTTGAATCCAGTGTTTGAAGTGCAGCGGAGCACACGGATGCGATTTTCTAGAGTTCTATCAGAATAGGCGAGCTTAACATGTAACGAACGAACAAGGCATTCGGCCATTGTTTCCCATGCGTAGGTATCCATGGACGGCTCGCCTTCAAGCTCGCCCATTTGAGCCAGAAGGTCTGTAAAGCATTCCATAGCACGAGACTGGGCACGATTCAGGCCAGAGACTATATCCGCCGAATAGTGCTCGGAGATGACGACTTTTCGGGAGACCAGGACGTTCCAAGCTGCGTTGGCGGCCGCTGCATCCTCACCAATATCTTGCACCGTAACACAATGTCCTTCCTTCGCATCGGATGGTTGGATTAAGGTTTGGGCTAGCACTGTCCACTGCATCTCCATCACACAACACACGGCGAAGTAGCCAGACAACGGACGCTCCTTTCCAACATAGCGTGCGAGCACAGTTTGAGGTAAGTGACTGTTCGGATCATCGAGCTCGACCACATTCGACAGCAAGTTATTGAGACGGTCAATGACTTCCTCCTCGAGAAGTTTGGATATCACATCCGACAGGGACAACCAATGTGCGGTGGTCCAATGGAACGAGGTCGAGATGATAGCCCTGTATAATCCATGGAACGCTGGATAAGTCTGGGTCACAATCGCAATCACTAAAGTCGACGTCAATGTCGTCAAACGCGTGGTTTCTAGAACTTACACGAGTCTCCTTGCATCTGGGAGACAATCTGGGAAGCCAGCTTGATGATTGCAGCGACGATGCGCTGCTTGCTTCCCTCGGATTTCTCCGCAAGCCTCAGGAGTGCCGTCACTGTCGAGTATACGAGCTGATCGGGGAGAGCCCAGTCTGGTATCGAGTGAGAAGTTTTGAATAGAGCTTCTGGGTCCGCTTACCCGACCATGCTAAACTTTGGTCAAAATCGACGAAGGGAATGTCGCGTAGGATGTCGAGCAGTACAGGAATAGCGCTCTCTAGATGACCAAGTGGAAGGTTCTGGGCCATTTCTCCGAATGCTATATGGCAGTGGACTCTTGCCATGGACTTGCCGCCGTCAGAGGGGTTTCACTTGGTGTTTCAAAGCTCACCAGAGAGACTCGCCCAGCTGAAGTATCCTCTGATGCATATTGGTCTACTTCTTGAGATGCTCTGACTTCACGCGGGATCCAAGAAGATTGAGACCCGCGTCAAGGACGGTTGGATCGTCTGCCTGGCTAATATTTGCGGCTAGATCCTTGAGAATAAGAGTATGAAGATTGAAATCTAAGCTGCAGATTTATGAGTATTCAAAACCGAGTCGCAGGACAGTCAAGTTCTACCTGTCCATCGTTGCGGGAGGCAAGCTTGAACCGAACCAACTCGGCTGCCGACAATGTCGCTCTTGCCGTACGACTCACAGATTAACTATACCGAGGAGAAAGGTGAATCTGCATTCCAACACGCTTTATTCGTTCGTTGACGCGCTCCCCATTGCTAGAGAAGATTCAACAGTTTCTCTCCAAGTTTGAAGGCACCGCGGACGATGTCATCGAGGGATTCGACGCTCTGGATCTTCAGGATAATGATGTGCAGCGAAAACCAAAATATATGGAGCAGCTAGTATGTCAAGGACTGTGTTGATCACCTCTCGGTTGCTCACAACATTCGTTTCCCAGCAAAAGATTGCCAACAGAGAACAAGAACGACTAGTCATCGAACTGGAAGATATCCAAAAGGTTCATATCTTTCACGCCACGTGCTATTTACGCCGCTAACATGAGCCCAGTACGAGAAGTCCGCGTCGAATCTTGTTCACCGTATCCGCTCAAATACAAGGCGTTACGTGCAACTCTTTTCGGATGTTGTCGACGAGATTATGCCAAATCCTACAAAGGACATCAGCCACCATGATGACGTTCTGGACGTTATCATTCACCAGAGACGCGAAAAGAATCTTGCCAATGGACAGGAGGGGCAAAATCTATTTCCCCCAATGCTTACAAGAAGATAGTACGTCTTCTACTGCACATAATGCACCATTCCTGATGCTTCGTAGTAACCTTTATTTCCGGCCTTTGCGCAATGATCCTCCTATGCGTGTGAGAGACGTCCGCGGGGCCCATCTTGGGCATTTGATCACTGTTCGAGGCATCGTCACCCGCGTTTCAGAGGTCAAACCATTGCTCTTGGTCAATGCGTACACGTGTGATAGTTGTGGTACCGAAATCTTCCAGGATATCTCTCATCGACAGTTCACACCTCTGACCGACTGTCTTAATCGTGAGACATGTGTTAGGGACAACAGGAAAGGCACTCTGCATATGCAGACTCGTGCTTGTCGATTCAGCCCATTCCAGGAGGTCAAGCTCCAAGAAATGGTACATCTCCCGTCACTGGCTTTGCCCCAGCTGATCTTTACTAGGCTGATCAAGTACCTGTTGGCCACATTCCACGCTCCATGACAATCCACCTTTATGGGAACATGGTCCGACAGACCTCCCCAGGAGACATTGTCAGCTTTGGTGGCATCTACTTGCCTACCCCTTACACTGGATACCAGGCCGTCCGCGCTGGTCTACTAACTGATACATACCTGGAGGTACAGGATGTTCTTCAGCTCAAAAAGCAATATACCGCAATGGAGGCCACGCCAGAGATTCAGAGGCGTGTCGACCAGCTTAAATTGGATCCCTCTCTCTATGAGAAATTAGCCCTCAGCATTGCGCCAGAAATATACGGCCATGAGAATGTCAAGAAGGCGCTCCTTCTCCTTCTCGTCGGTGGCGTCACCAAAGCAGTTGGTGATGGCATGAAGATTCGTGGGGATATCAACGTTTGTTTGATGGGTGACCCTGGAGTGGCCAAATCCCAGCTACTCAAGTATATCACCAAAATTGCCCCCCGTGGCGTCTATACGACTGGTAAAGGATCGTCTGGAGTTGGTCTCACAGCTGCGGTGATGAGGGATCCCGTGACCGACGAGATGGTTCTTGGTGAGCACAGGTTGGTACGATAGGATTATTCATCTAACGCTTCATTCAGAAGGCGGCGCTCTTGTGCTCGCTGACAATGGAATTTGCTGCATAGACGAATTCGACAAGATGGACGAGTCGGACAGAACGGCCATTCATGAAGTTATGGAGCAGCAAACAATTTCAATCTCAAAAGCCGGGATTACAACGACGCTCAACGCCCGAACGTCGGTTCTGGCAGCTGCCAATCCCTTGTATGGACGGTACAATCCCAAGCTGTCACCTGTCGAGAATATCAATCTGCCCGCTGCGCTACTCTCCAGATTTGATGTAATGTTTTTGATTCTGGATCGACCTACCCGTGAGGACGACGAACGACTTGCGCACCACGTCACATACGTGCATATGCACAATTCACATCCGGCTCTGGAACACGAGCCCGTCGACCCAATCATCATGAAGTAAGTTTAAATTCAAGATAATTTTCTCTCTTAATATCTCCAGACACTACATCGCTCAAGCTCGAGAGATCCGGCCAACTGTGCCGGCGAGTGTATCTTCATATATCGTCTCCGCCTATGTCAAGCTCCGTAAGCAACAAGCTTCGGAAGATGGCCTCAAGAAATCGCACGTATATACAACTGCCCGTACTTTGTTGGGTGTACTCCGACTTGCGCAAGCCCATGCTCGTCTTCGCTTCTCCCAAGAAGTCGAAATTCTCGACGTCGACGAGGCATTGAGGCTCATGGAAGCAAGCAAGGAGTCATTATACGATGATAACACCAATGAAAGGCGCGTCGGTGATCAATCGGATATGAGTAAGGTATATCGCCTTATTAAGAGCATGCTCCCTGGAGGTGGGAGGCGTGTGGGGACCCGTGGGAAGGCGAACGGTCGAAGGTTAGGAAGAGGGCCTGATGGAGAGGTTGAAATGGACGACGAAGACGAGCCACCGATGGAGCTTAGTATGGTCGACATTCGTGCACGGGTCCTTGCTGCTCAGTTCACGGAGACAACGCTCATGAGCACCATTCTGGCTGTGAGTATGGACCATTCTTTTATCTCAACGCTGACTCTGCTATCAGTATGAAGATATGGGCGTATGGCTGCGCGTTGCCAATGGCTCAAAGCTGCAAATGGTCACCTCCCAGGACTAACGTCATATCAAATACTGATTAAACATTTATACAATGACCGTGTGTATAGTTACCGTACCCGGGAACCGGATTGCTTTTGTTGCCACACAACTTTGATTCCTCCATCCTTGAGCATACCGAACCGTCCAGTATACAGGGTATACGTATAAATTGAAGCGCGAAGATGGATAATATTGGGGTAACTTTTGACTTTCATCACAATCAAGACTGACAGTGCTAAGAATTATCACATTGGCGAACTGGTCGAGGAGTTGCTGCATTCCCGCACTCATGTAGCCTTGTGTCTTCGTGGAAGGATGAAGGGAAGAATTGTAATGCTTTCGCTTGTACGCGCTTTGCAAGCTTCGAGAAACGCGCTGATTTCTAGGATAGACAGAGACACCCAATTTCAACAAAGAACGATATCAAGAGCTTCTAGACCTCAAAAGAACTCTTCGTCACCCACACATTCTCTCATTATTCTCCGCGTTCGATCACTATCAAATCGTCGAATATGCACCATACGGAAATCTGGCGCAATTCCCTGCGATTTCCGAGGCACATTTGCGACACGTATTGCCGATGGTCACCGATGCACTGAGTTACATACACTGTCGAGGGTATGTCCACCTTGGATTGCGCCCAAAGCATATTCATGTCACGGACGGGTTTCGCGTGGTGAGCAGTTTCGGATAGGCTGCCCTATTCTAATCTATACCAGAAGCTTGGAGGATTAGATTCGGCTCGTCGAATACAACGTCGGTACCAGAGTGGCTCAGGGAATCAATTACATTCTTCACCAGAAGACGAGCTGCATAGGCCAGAGTCTGATTCATGGTACCTTGGGTGTCTTTGCATCTCACTAATAGCACCGGAATCTGGGACAAGCGATCTGACCTCATGGAAACTCCTACTCCCAGAGTCAACGTCCGCGGCGCTCGTGGACCTTGTCGACTGTCTCCTGCGATCAGTAAGTAAGCAATGCACGCACTTCGTTGGTAGTTACGCGAGAACCAGGACCCCAACCAAAGAATGCCAATCCCTCTTGTTCATTCTCACCCATTCTTTGCACCCGCGCTACCAATCGCATCTCTCGAGGATCTTTATTCCCATTCGCCACATTTCCAGACACGAAAGCGATGGCATGGTCGAACCCGTGATTTATTCGCCTCACAGCGGCCGTCATACCAAAGAGGCGTGAAACGAGCCACATCGCCAGGCCGTCGCCAACTGAATGGATACGAGTTTCCTCCCGAACAATTGAACCTCGCTGAAGCAATCCAAGAAGCGCTGGTAACACGTCCTCTAGAACCAAGATCAATGGTTTCCCCCTTTAAAATCACCGACACGTCCTCTGCTACTTATAACAAATATCCACTCGTTATTGCAGGATCACTACCGCCGCAAACTTTGACCTTATCTCATGGTACAATTGACCTCCTCCGTTCCGGTGAGATCATCATTGACTTCCGCGAGAGAGAGCGCTTGAAAGGCCGAAAAGGGGGTATTGTTTTACTCGTCAACCCTGATGGTCTCACTGTAGGCGCCGATTCAAGCTCTCTTCAGCTGGCTCCCTCGCTAATAGCTATTAGGTTACTCTCTTTCGCGCAAGTCAACCTACCACGCCTCCTCTTCTCAAGGAACCTATATCAACATTCCTTGTCAAAGACATTCCTACAGAGTGCAGATCAGTTTACACTTTTGCCGCGCGATATCTGGATATGGTCAAGCGCCGCACGCCCATGGTATTCCTCACGTTATCTGCACATTCTTGCTCATTATTTCTCAGCTTACTGTCAGTAGCGGCCAGCTTCGGTATTCCCTCATGTCCAACCTGCCACGACCGGATATCGAGTTAACCTTCTCTAATAAGGAACGCACGGCTGGAGATTTGTCTCAGACTACTCGAATTCGCTTGTCAAGGAGTGAAGGCACATTGGAAATCGCGCAATACCGCCCCATCTCTGCGAAAAGCAAAAGCATTTATGCGCCATCTGTAAGAGCGCACCAAAAAGGAAAGCATTCTACCATACACGTCGGAGAATGGAAGAAGCGAGTCTTACCGTTGCTGCCTGATGGGACTATGGACATAGACCTGATCCACCAAGAGGAATTTGAACTGATCACCCGACTCAAGGATTTCGTCGAATTCGTCAAGGATATCCAAGTCTCTCTCAACCAGAGTCGATTATTCTGTTCTATCGACAAGTTGTGGTCAACAGAAACAATACCTACCCATCTCAGCGGGGTCGTGACGTCTTCCGAAAATGCATCTGACCATTTAGAAGACAAGAGCACCCAGGATGAGCGAATCGTCAAGTCAACTCACAGGAAGCCTCATCTTATGGGCCTGGGACTTCCTCCTCGCCCCAGGAGGTTTTCGGTGACTGCAACTCCTAGACGGCAAGAGGCTATTTGAGAGACACGCAAGCTAGATGTATGCATATATGCAAGCAATTAAAAATATTTAAACAGTTTTACTGAACCTGCGGGACATGTGGTGAATCAACGTTGAAAGTAACCTCACTTGTCGCCACATCCACTGGTGATAGGAATCGATTGGTAGCGTGAGATACCAAGTTCACGAAGATAACCCAAATACGCGATCTTCTGGCAGAACCCACCAAACCCGATTGGAATAACAATGTCTGACCATCATGGGCATGGATGTCACGATGAACATCGAGATGGACACTCTCATTCTCACGAAACTCCACTGGAGGATATTCCCCGTGAGACGCTCTGGGGAATCGTGGATCACCAGAACGTCTTGGCTTTCAATGTAACGGCTCAGAATAATATCATCAAACCGTGGGAAGAAAGAAATGATGAAACCATTGTTAGTTGACTCAACTTACGTGCAAACGACGTTTTGATCCCTGTGCGAACAAAGTTCCTAGAATCAGATGCAGATGACCAGATGATGATAAGGATTCCTTTCACCGACGCGTCTGCGAAACTGTTGTCTATTTTGATCAAGGCGGGTCCTGGAGAGCAAACACCGGCGCGCGTGCAGTTGGTGCGTACACAGACGACGAGAGAGCAGTTACTGAAGAACCTCGAGTTTGTCAACGAAGATTCAATGGACTTTGACGATGTAGCAGGCAAGCAACCAGCCCAAGAGGTTGAAATACCACAGTCTCGCGATGTCTGCGAGTTTCAACTCAAGTGAGGATCACGAAGGCCTGTTAGGGTACATCTTACGAGAATCTCATCCAGGCCAACAAAGTTCGCTAGTGTACGCACCCTGACTGTCTTCGTGCCAGAGGCACAAGGGGCCGAGTCGTGTCGATTATATTACATAGGTTTCACTGGCTCATTCGTCAAGGTAAGCTCGACTATGCAACGTGTCATGCGTAAGCGTAACCTCCACAGATATCCAACCAGCCAATCATCGCGGTGTACGAAGCCTCCCCTCGTCTGGCAGATCATAAAGTTACCGGTATTCACGAACAACTGGCAAAACAGCAATTTTAATATGTTGGAAATAAAGTATGTATATGGTTACAAGCATAGGGCATGTGAATATACGTACATACATTGTGCATGGAGATATTAGGCCAGAAACGCGGTTTAAATAATTCAAACAAACTCTATGTACCACCAGATAGACCCCACCCAGCTGCTTGTTGCCTATGTGCGAATATCTTTAGGACTTCGGCCACCGGTATGCCTCTTTGATTTGCGATGCTGGTGGCCATCGCCATCACCGTTTCCGAGTTGGACTGAGGCCCCATGCTTCCCATTCCAACAGTTGAAGCATTGACCGTACTTTGCATTAAACCCGCGTTACTTATCGCTGGGTTCACATTCCTTGTGGCAAGGTTGCGCCCCAGGTCGAGCCCTGCAATGTTGTTCATGAAATTTGAGGCACCTAGGGAGGTTCCAGCCATACTGCCACCACCACCACCCAACGCGGGGACTCCTGGTTGCTTGAATCCGCCGGGTTGCCCTAGTAACTGATCTTGATTCGCGCCAAGGTTGACCATAGTGTTACCGGGAAATCCGGATAACTGAGAGTTGAGAAGGGACTGCTGTGACTGCTGTTGTTGCTGATGCAGCGCGTGTTGAAGGACCTGTGAATTTTGTCCGTACGATACGTTGTGACCTAGCGATTGATTTCCCATACGATCAAGTAAAGTAGCTCCAGAGATGCTCGCATTGTTGGCATTCCTGTTGAGATTGGCCATTATGCCAGCGGTGGATGCAGCTCCAGCGTTGACCTGTTGATGTTGATTCTTCAACAAGTTCAATTGTGCTTGACCAATAGGGTTCTTGATGAAATTTTGGAGGTTTTGTTGATTAACATTTCCAAGAGAGTCGAACAAGCCTTGTGCTCCTTGAAGGGGGAAATTGCGCGCCGCACGCATCTCCATCGACACATCTCCAGATACACCAGGGACATTAGAAGAGCCCGAAGCACCTGTCAGGAAGGAGGGCTTCACTGCAGCATTGTCCAAGCCGTATGAATTTCCAATCACCGGTCGCGCCGTGTTATTTTGTATCTGGCGGAGATTCGCACCGATATTCGCAGGTGTGCTGCCCTTCATCGCACCATCCGCCACTTGCGGCTGTGTCGGCCATGCATCACCCGGAATTGACATAATGCTCGGTGGCGAAGGATATCGGGCCACAATTAGTTGATGTTGCGTATTCGGCACCGAATTCGGTCCGGAAGGAGTGGGCATATGGAAAAGTAGCACAGTATTACTACCACCTCCGGTGAGTTCAATGGAACCAAGAAGCACCTTGTGAGTCCTATTAGAATGACTGCCAAGACCTCTTCCGCACTCACAAGCTTCCCATCAACTATGGCATTTTGTGCCTGCAGGAATCGTTGCTGTAGCTGATTCACCACAGTCTCGCTTGCCTTGGCCTGGGGGTAATTTAGCCCACAGATGTCCATTCGAAAACGATCCAACTTACAGCCAGGGTAGGCCATTGATCCACCGGGATGGGACGCAAGTTGAATATGCCGTCTGGTTGATTTCCACTCAACCATTGAACAAGCTGGTCCGGGAGCGCACGAGCTCGTATGGGCTGAACAATAATTCTCTGCGGCCAGGAAGCGATTGCAGCTCGTCTGAGGGAGTTTAGCTTTCGTATGCGTATCAACAGTAACTCACGCGGCATCACTAACTTTGGCAGGCGCCAAATAGCAAAAACACTCTGAAATCGCCGGCTTTCCCTCGCCATTTGTAATACAGAGCATTCCCCTCCACAAGAAGTTAATATTCTGAGGGATAGGATTGTTGTTAGGCATTGGGTTGGATGGGACTGGTGGTGCCGATGGCACAGGTCGGATCGTCATGGCGGCGTTCTCTGCAGCGGAACTGAACGAAATGCCCCCTGTTTGCTCCTTTCTCTGAGGATTTTGTATACCAGGGTTATTGACTGAATGTGCTCCAATATTCTGTGATGCTCCTTGCATAGGTAACGTGGACGGTCCTGCAGCAGCGTTGATGGTTTGTTGTCGTATCCGTGCATAAAGTTTTATCAAAAAGTCTTTAATCTTTTCGGCCTGTACCTCCTTCGACCTTGCTTCGAGGGGTTTGCCCTGCGACAGGAGGGCCGTCTTGGTCGCTACCGCCTCCTCTGTAACAGTTTAGTATTTGTGCAGATGACAAAGAAATCACGCAACATACCATACATCTTCTTCAATTTCAGCGCTGTCTCACCCGCTTGTGCTATACCATTTGCCATTATCTTCTCTATCTGTAAAGCATACTGTGGGTCTGGAGCCTCAGTTCCGGGAGGTCGAGCAGGTCCAGGGTTCGATGCGAGTGAATTCGGAGGTAGTTGCGTGACTGGGCGATTGGGAATTCCTGACGGTACGATCGTATTCAATTGTGGTCCGGCCTAAGATAGAAAACCCAGTCATGACGCAGAAAGTTCTATGAGTTCAATAGTAGTGAGTGGTGGTGGAACATACCGTTGCATGAGACATTCCTATAGGCATACCTGTCGGGCCAACGGCTTTTATTGGCCTGGATTCGGAGGCAGATAGATCTTGTGTTGGCACAGATTGCCCTAGGGAAGTGGGGACTGACCCCGGGGGTGCAGACACTCCAGTAGGAAATTTGGCTCTTCGGGGACTGATCTGGAGATCTTCTTGGGCTTTTCGCTTTATCGCCATGTTTGGAGAAACGGTAACGGCAGGGGTTGTGCCAGGTGAATTGGTGGTCGGTACCGCGCTTCCCGGTGGATGCTGACCAGGCTGCAGCGGCCTGATAAGGACTGCTACTCTGAGGGACGGGTATAGTCGCACAGGCCCAAGAGGAGGAATCGGGTCCACCGCAGCAGGATTGAGCCCTTTGTAGAGAGCCAAATGCTTTGCATCACCCGGCATTCGTGTAACCACAAGACTGAGAGACACTTTTCGCTGTATATTTCGTGAGATGTCATCCTCTGGGGGAAGGGCCAGAATCACCTCTCGCAGCCATTCCTCACATTCCTGCCAGCCAAAATCGTCGAATCTGTGGTTCTTGTTTGATAATACTCGCGTGCTATGGTCTGGAGGGCATGCCGTTACAAAAAATATGTGCTTTTGAACCAGATTCGACGATGGCTCGAGTTCGTTTAATAGGTCGAGATGCTGTCTAAGCTTAACGCAAGGTACCAACAAAAATGGCACAGATGACATACTTCTATGGCACGAACCAGTCCTTCAAGTGATGCGCTCCCTCCTCCCGGCAGTGGGCGGGCAACGAACCCACCTAGTGAGCCCGAGATTGATCCAATGGCCGAATCAAGGTCTTGAGACCGTGAAAAATACCTGTCCTCGACTATAGGCCCACCACTTGAACCCGCCGAAGAGTATAGGACATAGGACAACCGTGCCTATGAACCGGTATCAGTTGATGACGAATTCTAGACGACAAAAGCGAATAATTAGCGGTATGAACCTTTGCGTGAGTTGATCTGCCCAGAAGTTGAACAACTTTTGAGAGATATTTCTCGTACAATTCTTCCCAGTCTGGAGTAGCCGAGTCGACGACAAGTGTGATGAATAGGTTGTTGACCACCGGTTGTAGACTAGACATTGTGGTCATTTTACCAGACGTTTGTCAAATAGAGACTGGCGTGGTCAGGACCAAGGAACCAACCCGCGCGTCTGTTTCTTGGACTCTCCCTCCTCAGCCAGGCGGCATGTCACACTCGACTGGCTTTCTGAACACGATGAACCCGCTTGCGAAACCAAGGCACAATCAACTTCAAGCCATACACGATTATGAACAATCAGCTGGCTTGTTAGAAGAAGACGAGGAGAACATAGGGAGCAATGGGAGCAGCAAGATATCCCATTACAGCGCTCGACACGTATCTCGTCTTCACGGACGATTCCTGCAGCATCACAGGCTGATAGAAGACGCGGCCACGTTGAACTTGACCACGAGAGTGATGAAGACGACGAAGTTCCGCGCTCTTTCATTATAGAAACTTCTCCGAAAGCGACGCGCAAACTGTCCGGAAGAGGTCAACGGACCGGCCCACGTTCTTCAAGTCAACGAAAGAGAGCCACTGGAAGCTCTTCAATCTTACCAACGGCACATCCCATCCATCTTTCCACAAGGGTACCTCATCCTGACGATATTGAGGAAGAGGAGGAAGAGGAAGAGCTCGGCGCGTCTCCTCTCGGCGCTTCTGTCATGTCTTCAGCAAGCAGGCACAAAGGAAAGAGCAAGCCCCATGCAAAGAAAGATTCAAGGGACATGCATGATGCAGGTCTTGACGAGTATCAACAAGCTCTATGGCGTTGGGTCAATGTTTACAACCTCGATGAATACCTGCAAGACGTAAGGTGTCCATCACCACCAGAACTACCTTCTAAACGATAGCCAGGTATACGATTACTATGCTCACTCAGGATTCACGTCAATCGCACTTTCACGTATCCTCAACCTCCTGACAGTTGGCTTCGTGATCGCATTTGCAACCTTTCTATGGGGCTGTATCGATTATTCCAAGTTGTCAAGGATTGGGGAAGGCGGGAAAGGTGGTCGGCTACAGGACGTTACGATTCCACGGTGTTTAGCCAGGTACGGACTTTCTGAAAACGGCAAGTGACCCCTAACGCATTGCCAGACTACCACCAGTCACCGCTCTCTCCCTGATACTGTTCTCTACGTTTTACGCATACCAACTTCTCACATTCTTTTTATCCCTACCCCGTTTGGCTCAAATGCGGTCCTTCTATACGCATCTCCTCAAGATTCCTGATGAAGACATTGGCACTCTTCCATGGTCTGTGGTTGTTCAGCGTATATCAGCTATACGTGACGAGAACCCAATCACCGCGATTGGTGGCAACGCCGATGCCTCTTTTGCTGATCAAGCGACCGGCACAGCAAAGTTGGACGCCCATGACATAGCGAACCGGATTATGCGTCAGGAAAATTACTTAATTGCTATGTTCAACAAAGATCTGCTCAACTTACGCCTTCCAATACCTGTCTTTGCCCAAAAGCTTCTTGGACTTACCGGGTTTTATCGCCGTGATCCAGCTTCGAGCGAACAGTCAAAAGGAAAGATTAGAACATCAGGTACCACACTAACGAGGGCTTTGGAGTGGAATCTACGTTTCTGCCTCATGGCATTTCTGTTTGATCGAAGTGGCAGGGTCAAGGAGATATTCCTGAAGGAAAGAAGCCGGGATAACCTTATCGAAGAGTAAGCAGTCACGCTACCGCCGCCAGCATTTACTGAAGTGCATAGACTCAAAAAGAGGTTCATCTTCATGGGCCTTCTTAACGTGATTCTAGTGCCTTTCATTGTTCCATACCTGCTGATTTACTCCTTCTTTCGATACTTTGAGGTGAGAAAATAATTGTGCAACCTTTTAATGGCTCACCATGTTCAGGAAGCACGAAGTAATCCCTCGGCAATATCGTCCCGTCGATATACTCCATATGCAGAATGGAAGTTCCGCGAGTTTAACGAACTTCCCCATTTATTCACTCGTCGATTGGACACATCGTATCCAACAGCAAACATGTATTTGGACCAATACCCCCACACAACAGTCTCTCACGTCGCTCGCTTCGTCTCATTCGTGGCGGGCTCCTTCGCTGGAGTTTTGATTCTGGCATCCCTGTTGGACCCTGAGCTCGTTCTCCACTTTGAGATTTCTCATGGGAGGACAGTTCTGTTCTGGATTGGAGTATTCGGTGGAATTCTTGCTGTCACTAGAGGAATGGTTCGAGACGGTCATTTAGTTTTTGACCCAGATATCCTTATGAAGGAAGTCATCCGCCATACACATTATATGCCCGAAGAATGGCGTGGGCAGCTTCATAGCCAAAAGGTAACGTATTTTTGTATTGAAGATCTATATCTGACTATCTTTAGGTATATCAAGAATTTGGCCAACTATTCACCATGAAAGTGATGATCTTCGTTCAAGAATTGCTCTCCGTCGTTCTTACACCCCTCATCCTGATGCTTTCGCTACCAAGCTGCGCCCCAGAAATTATCGACTTCTTCCGTGAATTCACGATTCACGTCGATACACTGGGCTATGTGTGCTCCTTTGCTGTTTTCGACTTCAAACGGCATGGAAACATTAGGTTTGGAGGGAATATCGACGAGACTGGAGAAGAAGCGGCGGATGACGTGCAACAAGATGGGTGGCAAAGAGACGAACGCTTACAGAGCAAAGATGGAAAGATGGAGCAGAGTTTTCTCGCTTTCAAGGCCGCCCACCCCGAGTGGACGCCGACGGATCCGACAGGAAGTCTTTATTTGGAGAGGCTTCGTGAGATGCACCAAAACATGAAGCATGCGCCACAACCCATATCTCGACGCTCGACGGCACCCACATTCGGTGCCGGATCGGCGATGCAAGCTCGCTCCACGCTCGCCGAACGTTCGCAGATGTATGAGAGGGCACTGGCACAGTCAATGGCCAATGCTCGCGCAAGGCGAGGAGTTGGTACAAGTCTTCAAATGACAGCCCCAGAAGAGCCCACTTCACGAGTCAAGCGGCGAACGGAAGAGGACCGAGCTGAAGATGGAGGAATCGGCAGTCAACTTGGCGACTCTTATGTGGATGATGTGCGCAGGCATGGAGGTCAAGTCATTGTCGGGACTCAGGCTCGTGGAGAACGGAGCCAGGAGGAGGAAGAAATCGAGGAACTCGCCAATGGCGGTGTTCTGGGACTTCTCGCACAGATATATGACCGTAAACGACCTGTAATTTAGAGTATTCTCGTCTGTATGTAGATAGCTTGGTTTGATACAGTTGACCAACCGCCTATGAAACCTTGGACTCGCACACCATGGCCACCGAGCACGACGTCGAAGGTGACGTCTTAACATCGAAACGTTTCATTCCACTGAATATTTTAAATTGTAGCTCTAAGATCTTTGCTATCAAAACTAGACGCTGCTGAACAAGCGGAACTTGGGTCAAGTGATGGGCGCCAGGCTAAGGAGATATCCACAGAGGCACTCAAAAGTATAGAGAGGAGACTAAAAACGTTTATTGGCGAGGATTTTGTGATGCCCACGCAACCAGCAAGTGTTGAGCCACTGGATAGTTGCTTCGAGGCTCATCTATCCGCCCTTAGGCTGTCGACGAGGAGGGCCTACCTATTATGGAATTTACGGAGCCTGTCACCGACTACCGTCCATCAGATTTCATTCCTCCGCCACCAGAGCTAGTCCCAATGCCGAAAACTGAGGAGGGAAAGGCCGCTTTCAGAAAGGCAAGAGATGCCTTCTTAGATGCGCTTGAAGAGGAGGAGAGGCAGGACGAAGAACGCTCCAGGAAGGCAGGAGAAAGTGAATTCATGAAAGCCATTCGCATTGCGAAGGAACGGGTCGAGGAAGTTCGGACAGAGAGCAATACGAGGAATAATTCCAAACCCACTGATTCGGTGTCTGAAGCCACTTCACTGGCTTCCGAACAGGCGAAGGCTGGTCCAAAGACGAAGAAGACTGTCTCCTTTGTAGAGACTGATGAAACTTCCAACACAAAGGGACCGATTGCGCCTGGATGGGGTAGTATACAGCAGGGTCGACTTCGTACGGCTGCAGGAGTCAAAAGTGGCAGTGGCGTCATGAAACTGCAGATTATCGAGCGAGTGCCAGCTCAGACGAGTGAAAGCACCACAATAAAGACCACCGATTCGGATGACGAAGATTCTGGCGACGATAGAAGGACGACTGAAGGCTTAGAACGATCAGCAGAGGCAGCTATGGACGACCTCGTAGACCCGGAGGCGAAGCTCCTGCCAAGCAGCTCTGAAGGCGAAGTTAGTCAAGAAGAATCGGACGAAAAAGACGAGGCTGATATAGACGATGCTATTCATCATCGAGAGGTTGCACTGCGATATCATGAACTCCGACACTCACTCGGAAAGGGTCCGCAAAGTGGCGCATTGGGTGGTCCGATTGAATCTATGCAAAGTGACGATGAATGGGACCAAGAAGTTGGTTTGAAAGTTGAAAGATGCTCACGATACTGATATAGTTCATGGTAGAACGTTCCCCTAGAGGCGCATCTGCGTGAAGAGCCTCGCGAGAGACATTCGTCCAAATTTATTCAATCTCGAATATCTCGAAAGGCTATGGACGCAGTACTGCCCGGGGGTCTCCAAGGTCAAGTCAAATATGGAACAGTGGTCGACAATCAACTCCTGCAAGGAAATGATGAAAGTGATGAAGAGTTGAACGAAAGGGGTAAACGGATCATCGAAGGTCTCACAAAGGGACTAACGGTAGAAGAAACCCTGGCAAACGAGAAACTAGGCGAGGCGCCCAGCTCGACGCCCGTAGTTGATCATGGGGAACCTGAACGGATGCCACCAAAGATCAAAGCGGGAAATACGATCCTGGGTGACGTCGTAGAGAGTTCCGGTAGAAGAACTCAGTCACCAACGGTAGGCAAGCCTATCAAAGTATCCAAGTTTAAGGCGAATAGATTGACATAGAGAGACGATAACATATGACATTCAAACGATTCGCCCTCCTCCTAGACACCATGAGCCCTGGTATACCACCGCGATCTGTCCTGGAGCAACACCGATTTGAGGTCTCGTGAAAGTGATATCGTACAAATCGCGTTCCCTGAGGGTTCAATACCATAGGCAGATAATCGGTCAAAAAAGGGTCGTACCTTGCATATACGATGGCAGACGTTGGCTCCATCACCGAACGAAACTTGACTTCTACTTGCAATCCAGACGGTTGAAAGATCTCCGATGGAGGATGGTCACTCCATATCCAGTGCATATCACGGATTGCGATGGTAGTACGGTGGAGTGTGGGGTGATTGCTGGTGAAACGTTAGTCGGTGGGTGTAGAACATAAATCTATCGTACGGATCATCTACGACGACAATCTCATTTGTATTGACCCTCTTGTCCACGACGAATGTTTTTCTGGGGAGCCCCGAGATACGCGCATTTTGACCGATAGTATAACGCCACAACCCTTGGTGGCGGCCAATCAGCTTGCCATCTAGAGTAACAATGTTGCCAGGGTTTGGGGGCAGGTAGTCATCTACATATGTTATCATGATGCAGTGGAGTACAATTTGGGGGACGTACCAAGGAACCCGGAGAATGATCGTTTCTTCCCAACAAAACATATTCCCATACTTTCTTTACGAGTTGCTGTGGGAAGGTTGGCATTCTTTGCGATCTCGCGCACGTCCGCCTTGCTTAAGTGTCCTATAGGGAATAATACCTACTCGGACATTATTGATGCAATACACCAGTTTGTGGTACGAACGTTTCGAAATTGTTCTTCTGGGACACTAGATAGCCAATATGATTGATCTTTGATTGGGTCGACTCCTCGTCGCAGCTTGACTCGCCGTTTGTGAGCGTCGGCTTCAGTTTCCAATCTCGCATAGTGACCTTGAATTCGTGTCAAGTAGCGAAGATACAGACCTAATGACCTGCCTGTGGCCAGAAATCCGGTGCCGAGATGGAGATGCTCTTTCAATGCACCAAACTTGATCTCTCTGTATGGAGAGTAAGACTCCGCCCGGAGTTTCATCGAATAACATTACCTATTGCAAGCTACATCGGGATTTGGCGTCTCTCCCGCTCTCCAAACGTCCAGGGCGGGTTCAAAGACACGCGTCCAATACTGACGCGAAAGGTCGACCTATACAGAATGAGCCACGTTTAGAATTAATAAGAACAGATGTTAACCATCTTGCACGGAATATCGAGTTTCCGGCAGACTTGCTGCACATCTTCCCAGTCTTTTTCCCATTCGCAACCTCGCTCAGTACCGCTTTCATCTCTCGTATCCCAATTTCTCATGAATATTGCGGACAGGTCATAAGTTTGACGAGCGAGTAAGGTCGCGGTAACTGAAGAATCGACCCCTCCAGACATTGCTACGACCACTGATAATCCATCTTAGTCTTCGAGTTGGGTTTGATTATTTACAGACCCTTTGCACCGTTCTTAAGGCCAGGAACAGCTGCATTGTTCGAAAGTGAACGAGTAGAAGTGAAGAGCCTGGAGAAGCGAGGTCCAAGATTCATGGGAAGCGACATCTAGTTTGTTCATCCTCTATTCATAGTATTTCCCATACCCTTCGGATTTGCTTCTGTGAATAATGCCCATTCTTCTTCCTCACGTCGTTTTTGCTCCGACTTTTCGTCACCTTCCAGAGTACCATCCATTTCTGACGCTTCTTTGAGAATCTCCTTGCTCGTTGGTGCGTTAAAGGACGCTTCCCTACACAAGGTAAGTTGATGAGCCCACAGAACTGACGTATAGCTCACCCTCCTCCTGAGATGATATTACCTCTTCTTCGTTCTTCTTCCAGGTACTCGTCAATGGTCATAGTGGGTAAACGATGGTCTGGTCGGAAGACTTCTGCTTGAAGCCTTGCCCTCTCTCCAGCATTGGATGGGAGAATTGTGAATGGCCGGAGTGGCTAAGGAAATGAGCAACCGAACAAGAAGAAGAACAAATCATATCCCACCCTTCCACTCTTGTCCAGTAAAGACTGGCCTCCAAGAGGCATGTCCAACTTCCAGCTGGCGTCACTGCCGTGACTGGAGGAACCTGGTTCGGCAGGTAAACCACCTTGAGGTCTAGGAGGTGCTTCTCGTATCATTTTGATCTCCTTTTCTATGTTCGTCAGATGGCCGACAGCCTGCACCCAGAACATTTTGAGTACTGCCTTGACCAGCTCGCGAACTTCTTCCTCGTCCCCGCCATCACCTTCTTGTGATTCAGGAACCAGTCCCATGATCAGACTATAGTCGTTGGAAGTGTCCGCGGCACCAAAGCTTTTCCGACCTTGCTGAAAGGCCTTGAAGGTGTCAAACCGTGTCACGGACAGAAATACCTTGGACGCACCTCCACCGCATTCTTAATTGCCTTCTCCGCTTTATACCTCGCTATTTTATCTTCTCGAAATTTCGCAGGATCCGTAGGTGGTGGACTGGCATGCAATCTTTTATCCGCCTCGGATATAATTCCGTAATCGTCAATCAGTCGGACAAAAGACGTCAGAGCAATCTAGAAGGAGTCTTCAGTTGCGATTTTTACGTCATCATCATGAACTCACAGTCGCCCCGCGTAAGATCTCCATTCGCTGTTCGTCATCCGAAGAACGTGCTCGAAGTTCGAGGTCTCCGATTACATATGGTACGAGCATATAGACTGCATTCCTCGTCGACAGCTCTTCAAACGATTCGTTTGGGCTGAATAATCCAAGAGTATTGAGCCTGTTTGCAACAGTTCGAAGATCCAAGAGAGCGGAAGAGAGAATTTCCTGTATTTAGATGGCAATGGTGGCTTTAGGCGATCTCGTGTCTTTGCCGTGAGGGAGCTGGCGAACCTGAGTCTCATCCGCTATCGTTGGCAGATCCAATGTTCTTGCAGCTGCTCGTAAACCGCGCTTGTATAGTTCGCTTAGGCCAATGTCCTGGTCGGGCGATGTCATGGCAGGATTCAAAGTGGCGAGCGCCTTCGAATTCACCTTTTGTCACAATGACCCAAAGGAGTCAAGAAGAGGAGAAATAACATTACAAACGTTCCTTATAGGTATTAAATGAAGGATAATAGCGTGAAGAACCTCGAAAATACGCAAACAAGACCTGCGCTCTCTGTTCCTCACGAGTCGACAAACGTGAAGCAAAAGGGTCTGGAAAGCTGCGGATTCGCAACATAGATAGAGATGACCGTGTGTTGTGACAAGTAGTTGGTAGGAAGGATTCCACTGCGTTTCATTCAGCACTGACATTGGCTAGCCTCTGGCACTTTTGCAGCTGATTCCGAAACATCAATTTCTGCGAAAGGAATCACATTTATCAGTCTTGTAGGTCGAGCAAGTCCAGATAGGCGACTTACTCTGCGCAACTGCCTCTACCCCAGCCGGCCCGGTAGATCCCGCACCGTTATCCATTCCAGGGAGCGCCATGGCAATCTTCTTGAATAAACTCTTGACATTGTGGCCAGCCTTTGCGGATGTTTCCATGAACATGAGATTGAGTTGTGTTGCTTTGGTTGACGCCTCTTCGTGCGTGACTTGGCTGACAACAGATAATTTAGTATCTCCCAAGTCAAAGAGGGCATGAGAATGGGTAATAGGAGCCCCGAGACGCGCGGTATATCTTAATTATCCAATACGGAGATTACGCACCGTTTGTCAGAGAGGTCCGCTTTGTTACCGACGAGGACAATGATAACATCGTTTCCTCTCTCTGAGCGCACATCGTCTATCCATTTTGAAGTTGACAGGAAAGAGGCTCGATCTGGGACCCGGTCAAACACGGTCACGACGTGCCCAGAGCCAGGTAATCAAAGGACATGAATATACAGTACTCACTTGTAATGTCGTATACAACAATGGCTACCGAGGAGTCTCGGATGTACGAGGGAATGAGCGACCTGAATCTCTCCTGACCAGCAGTATCCCAGAGTTGTAGTCGAACAGTTCTGTCCTCCAGATACATGGTTTTACTTAGGAAATCGATTCCGATAGTCGCCTGGTAGGTATTGTCAAACGTGTCGTACATGAATCTGCAATCATAGCAGGAGTGTTAGCATAATACTCTTGTGGACCATCAACGAGATGCATTGTTGCTTCATTTAACTGTGCATAGGCGCAGAAACTACTGACCGGGTGATAAGGGATGTCTTGCCAACTGACTGGTCGCCTAACAGGACTATCTTGGTCCTTTTCAGCGGTGAAGATGTAAAGTCTGCAGTTTGGGGTGTCGATGGATTGGCCATTGTGGGTTCTGAGTGCTTTGCCGAGTTTGCACTATGCAAAGGTTGTCGTGGCCGAAGTTCAAGTGTCGATACCTGGCGCCAACACCGTTGACTCTAATGGACTTGCTGCGAGTGTAAATACTTTAGAGAATGTACATGGAACATGTAAACTCGAAGGGACTTGTGCTTTGACATAATGGCAGGGGACCACGATAATACCATAGAGCCTGGCTACACTCGCAAGACGCCTCTATGTGTCTATAGAATCTCTATTTCTTGATCCAACTCGACGGAATATTTCCCACAACCCTGGCCCACTTTCCAAGTCTTCCTTGCTCCTCCTCCGCCACAAATGGAGGTCCCCGCATAACATGACCATTCTTGCCTCTCACAATCTCCGGAGGACATGATCCGTCCTCTCCACCAGCTCTAATTGAACTCTCCATCTTGCGAAGCCGACTTTCTGCATCACACCAGAACAAGACCCACTCCTTCTTGGATCCGATGCGCAAGTGGCCCGAGCTGCGCTCATAGTACCACTTGTTGACGGGGTTATCCGCACGAGACCGCCAGACGAGGTCTTGGCCCTGGCCGAACCCTTGCATACTCCCCTCGAGGAAATTGCGCGCAAAGGGCGTACCGAGACCGTACGACTCGTCATGCAATGCGACCCACAAAAAGTCGACGGTCCCGTCTCCCTGGTGCGAAGGAAGCACAGCAAACTTGTCGAGATACACCATGGACCGTGGCTCTTCACCAGGTTGAGAGGGTGGGAGCGTCTCTCGAGTGACAATAGCGCCGCCTTCGTAGTCTCCAGCGATAATGGCAAAGTCCAACTTCCTGTCGACCCGATCCCAAAACGCGTTATAGTCGAGGGTCTTTACAAACGATTGCTCCAGGAGTGCTGTCATCTTCGCCTTGTCAATCTCCTTGGGGTCTCGGATCACACGGATAGGAAGTCCAAACCGAAACAGCGTCGGTGTGTGCGGGGTGAGCTTTCTGGTTCCATGCAAGAGCGCGTGTGGGAGTGAGGAAGATTGCGCCGGTTTATTCGTGATGAGGTTGGCGATGAGCGAGGAGGGAGAACGGTGGGAGACCATGATGGCGGAGGAGGTGCGAGGCATGTACGACAGGCACGCCCTAGCCAGTGCGAGATTAGCGAGAGCGGTAGGGTGTGATATTTTCCACTGTGGTAGAAACGAGTCGTGAATATGTTCGTACTCTGATGCCAGATTGACGAGGAGATGAGGGAGACCAGAACGTGCATAGGATGGTATGCCACCTTCTCTATTGATGATCATCAATCGAAGAGGTGTCATATCCACCTGGGACGCTGCTGGGCCAGGCACGGGTGAGGAGCCCATTTGTACCATAGTGCGCGTCAACGCAGCAATGATATCGTTGGCAGATACTCTAACAGATCTGCAAAACGAGTCCAGAGCTACTGGTGGGAGCACAGGGATTTCGCCCGAATGCAACGCAGAACGAACCGCGACCAAGTCTTCGGGCACGGCATGCGCCTCTGGCGTCCAATATCCTTGCCGTTCGGAATCCTCGGTACCCTCATCTTGTGGGTTTGGGCCTAGTCGTACGATACTGTCCAGTACGGGACGGGCCCGTGCGCCCTGGGCTTCGAGGGAAGCCACCACTCGCATCGTCTCTTCGACGACGTCTTCTTTTTTACACTCACTTCCAGACTCCCAGGTGTCGTTGTCTACGACGATGACAGACACGAGGCCGAGCTTTTCGAGATAGACGATTCCACGGGCAATGCTCTCGAGTTGACGATCCGAAAAGGGACCTTGGAGTTTGACAAGTGCGGTTCGTCGGTGCACGGGATCAATGAGCTCTTGAATAAGGGATGGTGGGTGAACTTGTGCATTGGTCTGTGCTTGAGACGGTGGGCTCAAGGTGGCTGTCGAGTCAACAGCTGGCTTGTCCGTTGTGGCTCGCTGCAACGAGGCGGCGGGAGAAGGAGGAAGGGAATTGATTGAGGCAAGATACGACTTTGTATCCCTGATGGAAGGCTTTGCGCGCAAAATTGATAAAATAAAGTCATTCTACAAACGACCGACAGATTAGCAAAGTTGGAGAGAAGAATGGTGTATACGCACATCATTCCCATTAAATTCTATTTCCTCTGCGTCGTGAGCTGGAGACGAGCGCAACGTGCGCAGTTGGTTTCGAGAAACGCACTGTGCCCATCGGCCTTGAGCGAGTGGGACGACGGCTCTTTTGGGTGGGAGGAGGACTGTGGGCATTTTACGGGCCCAGTATGGCCCTAGAGGGCCCTTTTAAACTCGGGAGAGACGTGGAAGAGTGCAAGATTGGTGAATCCGACCAAAGCCGGCGCGCGCATAGGCTCCCGTAGCGTCGCCATTGCTTGTGAATCTTACAATATGGCCCCTTCTGGACCTCTTTCTCCCTCCAGAATTTCCGTGAATATTGTATATGCCCAGAATATCGAGCGCGGATTGTTCAGACGAGCGCTAGCAGACGCGCCCGGTACACAGCTTGAATACGCGCTGATAGCAGAGTTAAGAGCTGGTGTAAATGTAGACTGGATAGTTGATATCAGCCATCTCATGCAGCTAATGTAAGCAGGTCCAAAGTGCCGCCTCTTGACCCGCACTGCGTCCATGTCCTTGGACTCGTTTCCAAACTTTCAATTCGATACAACATCCCAATACGGTGGAGGAGCTGGTCTCGACGATACAGCATCCGTAATCTCTGGTTACACCCAGCAGCAGCTCGACGATGGTACAGAAAGCTTGCTCAACGGCAATGGTCACGCAAATGCCACCCAAAAACAGCGAATAGACGACGATTTTGACGCAGTTTTGGATGATTTCAAGGACGGGCCTGTCGATTTGCCGCCCCACGCATGCAGGTGCGCTTACTGTCTCCGTTGCTTGCTCTGACATGCGCTCACATCTAATCTAAACCAGTTACTGTGGCATTCACAGTCCTGCATCAGTCGTGAAATGCCTCGTTTGCTCAAAGTGGTTCTGCAACTCGCGCGGCAACTCGTCAGCATCCCACATTGTAAACCATCTCGTTCGCGCTAAGCACAAGGAGGTCGTCCTTCACTCGGAGAGTCCTCTTGGAGATACGACACCCGAATGCTATACGTGCGGCAGTAAAAACGTCTTCATGCTTGGATTTATTCCCGCCAAAAGCGACACTGTCGTCGTCCTTTTGTGTCGGTAAGTATTATTTGTTTCTTGTCCAGCTTTCCACGTTGACCATCTCCCAGCCAGCCATGCGCTACCCTTTCCAAGGACATGTCCTGGAATCCTGCTCTTTGGTCTCCCCTCATTGATGATCGCTCGTTTCTGTCGTGGCTTGTAAAACCACCTAGTGAAACTGAGCAGCTTCGGGCACGGCAAATCACCTATGCCCAGATCAACAAATTGGAGGAGCTCTGGCGCGACAATGCAAACGCAACGCTCGAAGACTTGGAAAAACCCGGTGTAGACGACGAACCGCAGCCCGTGCTACTTAGGTCAGTTAGCTTCTTACTCGGCAGACAGACCGCTGAGCCGACTCAGATATGAAGACGCATACCAATACCAAAACATCTTTGGCCCACTCGTCAAAATCGAAGCAGATTATGACAAGCGTCTCAAAGAATCTCAAACGCAGACCGATATTGTCGTAAGATGGGATATCGGTCTCAATCAAAAGCGCGTCGCCTGGTTTGTTCTCCCCAAACTCGAGAGTGGCGAGGTGCGCCTCGCTGTCGGAGACGAACTGAGGCTCCGTTATTGTGGTGAAATGCACAAACGCTGGGAAGGCGTAGGAAACGTGATCAAGATTCCTAATAGTCAGTCGTGGACGTTTTTAGTCGAGCGCTCTTCTTACGTTGCTGCATGCTACAGATGTTTCCGATGAAATCGCTTTGGAGCTACGTCGATCGGATGATGTGCCTACAGAGTGCACTCACGAGTTTGCTGCAGACTTTGTCTGGAAGTCTACCAGCTTTGATCGGATGCAGCTTGCGATGAAGACATTTGCAATAGATGAGAAGAGTGTCAGTGGCTATATAGTAAGTGGTACCACCACTGCTCGTCCTCTCCCTCATCCCCTCCAGTACCACAAGTTACTTGGCCACGAATTGGAGCCACAAGTCCTTCGCACCACGATGCCAAAAAGGTCGAGATCGAATTCACATAAACCGAGTTTGTCTAATTTTGGCACAGGTTCTCGGCCCCAAATCTTCCCGAATTGAATCACTCTCAAATGTCGGCCGTCAAAAGCGTTCTCCAAAAGCCAATCAGTCTCATCCAGGTGCGCATAAGTGACATTCACCCTGTATATCTTCACATCCTATTACAGGGTCCGCCTGGCACTGGCAAGACAGTCACCTCTGCTTCCATCGTCTATCATCTGGCAAAGATGAACGGAGGCCAGGTGCTCGTCTGCGCGCCGTCCAACGTTGCCGTCGATCAACTTACGGAAAAGATTCACCTTACCGGTCTAAAGGTCGTGCGTCTGACAGCCAAATCCCGCGAGGAACTCGATTCGTCTGTCGCTTTCCTGAGTTTGCATCGTCAAGTCGCCAATCATACTGGACATGTCGAACTTCAAAAACTGATTCAACTGAAGAATGAACAAGGAGAGCTGAGTCAGAGCGACGAACGCAAGTATAAGAGCTTGATCCGCAACTGTGAAAAGGAGATCCTTGGTGCTGCAGATGTCATTTGCTGTACTTGCGTAGGAGCTGGAGACGCGAGGCTTAGCAAGCTCAAGTTCAGGACAGTACTTATTGATGAGGCTACCCAAGCTGCTGAGCCTGGTGAGTTGATAAACATCGTGAGAGGTTACATATTCATTTGGTTTAGAATGCATGATCCCCCTCGTTCTCGGCTGCAAGCAAGTCGTCCTCGTCGGTGATCACCAGGTAATGCCGCTCCACATTATGTGAAGGTGAGACTAATAATTTCGCTAGCAACTTGGCCCAGTCATCATGAACAAAAAGGCAGCCCGAGCCGGCCTTACCCAATCTCTGTTTGAGCGGCTCGTGCTCCTCGGGAACAAGCCCATTCGACTCCAAGTGCAATACCGAATGCATCCGTGTCTCTCCGAGTTTCCGTCAAACATGTTCTACGAGGGCACTTTGCAAAACGGCGTCACCGCCCCAGAGCGTCTTCGAAAGAATGTCGACTTTCCATGGCCCGTTCCTGACTCGCCAATGTTCTTTTATCAGAATCTCGGCCAAGAGGAGATATCTTCTAGCGGCACATCATTTCTCAACAGGTAATTGAGCTTCGTTTCCGACCTCTGACCGGATTCTCACGTTTGGATCAGGACTGAGGCGTCCAACGTTGAGAAGATTGTCACCAAGTTCTTCAAAGGTGGCGTACTGCCAAGTCAAATCGGCGTTGTGACACCGTACGAGGGACAGCGCTCCTATATCGTTAATTACATGCAGTTCAACGGTACTCTCAAAAAGGACATGTACAAAGAGATTGAGGTGGCCAGCGTCGACGCATTCCAGGGACGAGAGAAGGACTATATCATCCTCAGCTGCGTCCGAAGCAACGAACATCAAGGCATAGGGTTCTTGAATGACCCCAGACGTTTGAACGTCGCTTTAACGCGTGCAAAGTATGGAGTAGTCATCCTCGGAAATCCCAAGGTCCTAAGCAAGGTTTGTACCTAGCGATCGATTGTTGGCACTCGCTCACACCTTGTAGCATCCTCTATGGCACTATCTTCTCACTCACTACAAGGACAATAATTGTTTGGTGGAAGGTCCTCTCAGCAATCTTCAACCGTCCATGATCCAGTTTAGCAAACCCAAGCGTTCCTTGAACAAGGCGATGGACTCATTCCGACGGCATGAAGTCAGCGCGAGAGAAGCTCTGAGTAGTGGACCCGTGGCAGATGGTAAGTTATCCTTTGTCCCATATAATCACCTGACGTTCTCTCAGGACGACGAGGCTCGGGCCAAGATCGTTTCGACTCGACATTTTATAGGACACACGATGCACTTTCCTACATTCCTTCCGACACACAGTCGCTCAAGTCCCAAGCTACGTATTCTTCTGGCCTTCCCACTTTCTCTGGCGCTAGTGGGCCTTTTCATACCAACGGTACCAAGCGAAGTGCATACGGCGGATACGCATCCTCTATTGTCTCACAAGATATTCGTCCCGGCGCGGCTTCGGACGTCGCAAGCGTGGTCGGGAGTCAGGCGCCATCCGAACGAACCAGCAGCATTGCCTTTTCTCAGTCGGATCGGATCCGTAGGCGCACCTCTTTTTCCTCTACCTCGGACATGGGAAGTCTATCCACCTACGACTACAAGAGTCAAGAGGATGCGGCCGACCTGGACGACACTCGTTCCCAATATTCATCGTCAGGAGTCACCGAGTTCTAGTGGTGGTTGACACTCGGGTTTGCACCGTCCTCGAGTGACGAACAAAGAAGCAACGCTAGTGCATTATGACTTGCAGAGCTCATCTTTACTTCGCTCCAACGCTGGAGGTCGCTCAGCTTGCGCGCCCGCCATCCACAGACTAGGTAGATGGCAACAGGTCATTTCGACGGCCTCTCTGTGTACTCGTCGTAGACAGTGCAAATAGGGCTGATATTGATGAGGGGCCACGATTTACTATAGACATGATCAAGTAGTGTGTCCACATCGAGGGGAATTGATACAAAGCAGATACGAATAGTCGGAGGCATACTGGACAAAAGTAAGATATGAACGAACAAGGAGGACATTCATGCGCGCATGTTGTCCAACTCTTCTACAACCTCAGACATTGAGGGTCTGTCTCGCGGGTCTTGGGCCCACATGCGCTCAATCAGGTCCACAATTTCAGGACTCCATTGTTTTCTAAGACCAGAAACAGAGGGGCTGAATAGGATTCAGTTTTGTACTCAGCTTGAAAATATCTGGAAAAACGCACCGCTGTCTTTTCGCCCCCACAGCGTCATATATGGCATGCTCATTCATGCCTTCCCATGGATACTTTTTATTGGGAAGATGCCATTGGAGGATTTCCCAGAACACCATCGCACACGAAAACACGTCCACCTTGTGATCGTATTTGGGATGTGCGTTCCAAAGCTCTGGGGCTTGCCAGTTGACGGTGCCTACGAGACTTCGCACCATCGAGCGCGTCGACTGCTTGACTTTGGCTAGGCCAAAGTCTGCAATCTTGGCTCTCCCATTGCGGGTGATCAGAATGTTTGAGGATTTGCAGTCTCGATGAATGATAGAAGGCTTATGCTTGTGTAGGTACTCCAAGCCACTGGCAATGTCGAACATGAGGCGTAGCTGCCCAGAAATCAGGATGGCAGAAGAAATCACACATGAGAAACATACCACTCGAGAGAATGACGGTGCCTTTTCGTTGCGCACATAGTCAAAGAGATCTCCGTTGGCGCAAAGCTCGCTAATCATCATCACGGGAGTTTCCTTCGTGTTCTCGGGAACGCTCACGCCGTACTGCCGAAGGGGGGTTAGCAGAGTAGTGATAAGAAGTAATTCACTTACAAAGCGCACGATATTGTCATGGCTGAGGTCACGCAACAACTGCAGCTCCTTGATATCCACTACCAATGCCGTTAGTTCAATCCGTCCATCGAATCCAGTTGCAACTTACTGGCAGTGAGAGTTCCTCTAAACTCGGCAATCGCCACCTTGCGATTCCCCAGAAGGCCCGAATAGACGCTACGGATAGAGTGAGAAGGGGTCGAAGATATAGAAGATGATACATACTCTTTGAAACCGCCACTTCCAATTTTCTCCTTCTTCACAAGCTTCTCGTATGGAATTTCTTTGTCTTCCAGTCCAAGAGAGCCGAGGTCGAATTCGAGTTCTGGCTCTTCCGCAGTACCATGGATCTCAACCCCTTGGACGCTTTCGATGCCGTGATCTTCGGACAAAGGAGGCGTACGGGGTTGTGATACATGCACACGACCTGATCGTTCGAGGACCGGTGGGCGGTGTCGCTGCTTCTTTGGGTGCTCGGTAGACGGTGCACGAACGGTCGATGCACTGGAAGAGGGTTGCTGAGAGTCACGCTATTAGACGAGTCAGAAGCGAAAAAACAAATAGACAACCAAGGACGTACCCATTCAAGCAAGGCTTTGGCAAGCTGCGGTTTGGTCCCATCAACATCGAGGTTCCTTGACTCGCAAAGTCGGACCAGCTCTTCCCGTCTGTACCGGATCAGTGACTTGATAGTCTCCTCTGAGAGGTCGACATCGTCGTCGTAGTCTTCATCCGCATCGTTATCCCCGCCAATGCTTTCTGATTCCGCGTCTTCCTCATCCTCTTCCATGTATTCGGTGTCCCCAGAGGCATTGGGATCTTCAGTCTCGGAATCACTGTTGGCCTCTTCTTCCTCCTCGACAGTGATGACCTTTCCATTTCGGAGTTTGCGTGGCGAGAGTCTGTCCTCATCTTCTTCGTCTTCATCGTCGTTTTCAGAGTCCTCGTCGCGATCCGTATCGACTGTAGACGATGCTGGCACAGCGTCCATGGCACTCCCCTCGCTATCGAATCCATCTGAGTCTTCTTCCTGTAGTTCTCCTATCTTTGGCTTCACCGAGCGACCAGGAAGCTTTCTACCTGCACGGCTACTGTCTTGCGAGGACCGCTCTCCATGAGATCGTAGACGCCGCGGACTAGGCTCATAAGTTCTGGGCAACTCGACATCTGAATCGTCATGCTCGAGGTGAACATGCCTCGGGTCAGACTGGACACGCTTGCGAGTAATGGGGGGAGAGATAGGGGTGATGGGAGGAACATCATCGGAGCGCGAAGAACAATGAGAGTCGATCCTTGCTCTCCTGAATGTGAGGTTAAAATAAATGCCGAGCAAAAGTTGTAAGTCGAACGCACCTATCCCGACCGTTGTTTGGTTTCACCAGCATGTTTAATGAGAAGGAGCGCCCGATTGGTTGTCCAGTCTTGGAGCCAGCGTCTCCGTCTGTTGCTGCACGGCGAAGATTTGTTCGAGTCTGGTTTGACCGGTTTGTTCGATAGTCGTCCGAGTCTGGTGTAAAAGGAGGGCGACCAATGCCAAGGGTACGGCCAGGACGGGGTTGTTTTCCGTTAGGGGCACGCTTTGAAACTCCGCGTCGGTGACGATTGCTACGCGCGGCAATAATAGCGTTTGCGAGATGGAGACGCGTGAGCTGCTCAACCTCTGATGCGGGACGCGCTATGTTTGCCTCCTTGTAGAATGCCACCAACTCGTCTTTCCTGAGCTTTTTGAGCTCTGACAGCGGGGCATCGAAGAGGTAATAGTCTAGAGTTTCCTCCTCATCTGTTTCGCTGCTCTCTTCGGTATCCATTGCGGCCGTATCACTGTCCGAATTTGATTGCGCCGGGGATGCGCTTCGCTTCAAGCGTTTGGCGGACCGCGGATTCGAGGGGCCAGCAGCAGCGTTTTCGATCCCTCCCGGGGGTCTCTTTCGCTTTGATCCAGCAGAGATCTTGTTGGCTGGCGCCTCATCGTCTGGCACAACGCCAGGACGAGGCTTGTTGCGACGAGTGTTTTGCTGAATGGTGACGAGAGCGGGACGCTCTTTGGATGCAGAACTGTGTCCTATAAGCTTTTGCGCACGGTATGTCTGCGTCAGCTGAGGATTGGGAGCGACGTGAGCCCGCCGGAGCGTCATGTAACGACCTCCAACAAATGTTGGAAAATGCGATATGAGTCCGGCACTGTAAACAGAGCTTTCCTGTGTGTTTCTCCTAGCAGACGCCTTGATATCCCAGCCGCGATAAATTCAGAAAACGGCGTCAAGTTGCGAGCAGAGTCAAGTTGCTGAATTGGCCGTGGGTCAACAACAAACGGACACGACTGTGCATTCAAAATTCGTAGATTATTCGTTTATGTTTTATTGTGTATTTATTCTTCATCGCAGGCTATCAGATTTCTCTTGTGCAATGCTGTTGGCCCGCGAGCGAGTGCCAAGCGTTACTTAGGAAAGTAAACCGTTTTGATTGTTAGAGAATCAAGTAAGTAATTGGAATTCAGTGTAGACGTGGAATTAGCCAAAAGCTTGGACCCGGCCATAATGCGTCTTCTAGGGCTACTATTATTCTTGACCAGCCCGGCGCTGCTGGAAGCCTCGTTGAGACCTGCAAAACGCTCTTACGATACACACAGTTACTATGTTATCCACCACGATCCCTCCTTTGGCCAATCTCCAGCCGACAGCGCCGCCGCTTTGGGTGCAGAGCTCGTTGAGCAAGTCGGAGAACTCAAGGATCACTATCTTGTCCGCTACGAGAAAGATTCTCAGCCCGAGCGAACGCTCTTCAACACCGGAGACGAGCCAGTCACCCGCAGCAAGAATGTCTTGACGCGACGACATGACAATCTCCCGCCATCTATTCGCTCTTTGACATACCAGACCGTTAGACAGCGTGTCAAGCGTGCACCGGTCCCGTCGTTTCCATCCGTAGACGAAGTGGTCTCGAAGCTGAACATCCACGATCCAATGTTCTCCTCGCAATGGCATATCGTCAACAAGGATGATCCTCAGTACGTCCTGTTCACCCAATACTGGGTGCATTCGCTAACGGTGTGCTGCGTGTAGACACATGGTCAACGTGACAGGCCTGTGGAAGGAGGGAATCACTGGAAAGGGAGTGATATCTGCGCTGTTAGATGATGGACTGGATTATAAAAGCGAAGACCTGAAGGCAAACTTTGTACGCCATTTCGTCTCGAGAGCTAGTAATATGCTAACAAGTGCATAGTACGCACCAGGCTCGCACGATTTCAACGACCACGAAGATCTGCCTACACCGAAACTATGGGACGACAAGCACGGTACACGATGTGCTGGAGAAATTGCTGCCGTCAAAAACGATGTCTGCGGGGTCGGACTTGCGTACGATTCAAAAGTAGCAGGAATTCGCATTCTATCTGGGCCAATATCCGATGCAGACGAAGCTATCTCGCTGAATTTTGGTTATCAACAGAACCAGATTTATAGCTGTAGCTGGGGACCACCAGACTCTGGACGAGATATGGAAGGACCCAACCTCCTGATCACCAAGGCGATCCTCAATGGCATTAACAAGGGCCGAGGCGGCAAAGGTTCAATCTTTGTATTTGCCTCTGGAAACGGTGCTGCCTCGGGCGATTCGTGTAATTTTGATGGGTACACCAACAGCATCTACACGATCACTGTCGGTGCCATCGACAGTAAGGGTTTGCATCCCTACTATTCAGAGGCGTGTGCTGCAAACTTGTTTGTGACCTACAGTTCAGGTTCCGGCAAACATATAGTGAGAAAGCTCATGCCGTACTTTGGCATTTTCTGACTATCACTTCCAGTACACCACAGATGTTGGTGAAAAAGTCTGCTCTCATAACCATGGTGGCACGTCAGCAGCTGCCCCCCTGGCTGTTGGTGCCTTTGCCTTGGCTCTGAGCGTCCGGTAAGTCACACAGGGACAATAATAGGAGATATCTGACGTTTTCAAGGCCGGATTTAACCTGGCGGGATGCTCAGCACATTGCGATTCATGCCGCTCTTCACTTCAACCCTGAAGATCCTGACTGGGAAATGACAGCAAGCGGTCGACCATACTCCTACAAATATGGATATGGTAAAATGGACGTATATACATTGGTCCATATAGCAAAATCATGGCAACTTGTTAAACCACAGGTCTGGATGTCCCTGCCAACCATCGAGTTTGAAGATGCCGCGATGGAAGATGGAGTGATGACTGGAGGCGAACCCATTAAGGAAGGAGGCGTTCGCAGCACAACCACTATCACCAAAGCCATGCTCGAGGAAAACAACTTCGAGAAACTGGAACACATTACTGTCAAAGTGTGGATCACACATACCCGCCGTGGTGATGTAGAGGTCCAATTGATCAGTCCTGCTGGCATCAAAAGCGTCCTTGGCTCTCGTCGACCGGGAGACTCGGCCGATACTGGGTATCCCGGATGGACATTTATGACCGTCAAGCATTGGTAGGGTCATTACGAGCTGTTGGATATTTTGACTGATTGGTTTAGGGACGAGAATCCTATTGGGCAGTGGACGCTGCACGTATTTGACCAAGGCAACTCGGAAGCTGGTTCGATTCTCGGATGGTCTATGACGCTTTGGGGATCTGCAATTGATCCCGAGGATACTGAAAAATATGAACTGCCAGACGAACCGAACGAAGGCCACAACCTACCACCGCATCCGACAGCAACAACATCGACATCCAAGCAGCATGTTAAGCCTACACATCACCTTCCAGGAGATCACGCTTCACAAAGTGGCGAAGCAACACGACCGGCCTTCCATCCGACGGATTCCAAGCCGGGAACATCTCCGACGAACTCGCCAACGACACTTCCGGCAGATGAGGGTGTATTCACGCACATGTATGATCTGCTGAGCAATCAACTTTGGTTGATTGGGGCGTTTGGTATCGTCATCATCTTCGGCGTTGGTGCTGGTGTATTCCTGTGGAGACGACGACAGCTGGCAAAACGGGCAAAGGGCGCATATGCACCGATTCCTGGAGACAATATGCCGATGCGCTCGATGGAGGGTGGCACTGGTCAAGCCTCAGGAAGTGGGGAGCCGGGCAGCGGAGAACGAAGTGCAGGAGGTACGAGGGAACTGTACGAAGCCTTTGGTGTTGGCTCGGACGACGAGGATGAAGCCGACGAACACAGTGCACTCACCGGGGGAGGTGCGAGCCGATACGTGCAGCAGCGACAGTGTCGTACCACGACGGCTTTCTGGACGACGAAGGACTATCGACAGCTCACACGTCCCGTACGCCGTATAGAGACGAACTAGCCCCGCAGCAAGACACCCAGTCGCCGCGACGAGAGGGAAGTGACGGTAGTGGCGATGGGAGCTGGCAAGATGCATCTGAACCTCGTTGATAAAGCTTATTTTTCCACCCTATAACCTTAGTCGTCACATGTATCTAACTTCCGGTTTTACGGCGGTATCTGGCAGGAGAGGTATCTGGACTTGAGTCTCAATTCACAGTAATCTGACGTACATAACTGCCTTTCTTAGATTTTGCTATCATCTCTCATCGTCGATACTTAGGCATTGCCCCATGCAGGTAGCCAATCCTCCCAGCCTTCCCACATCTTCTCCTCGGAGACATCCTCTCCATCTGGATGCACTTGCTTGAACGGATGAAGAACGCGACTAAGCGCATAGATTGCGCCGTTGCGCGCGGTGCCCTCAACGAGAGTTGGATTTCCATGGACAAAGACGTAGCTCCTCGCAAGCGGTGGGGTCATCTGGCTTTCGTTGTGTTTATCAATCGAACTCTCCGGGTGGTGTTCGTTCCTCTTTGGCTTGGCTACCACGAATCGGACTGAGTGATCATCCAGCAGCGTAGGTACGGTGATATTGACTGTGATGTCTGGAGGAGAGTGATGAGGAGGCCAAGCTGATGGGACTGGGACAAAACGCATCAGCGAGCGTTTATACTTTTTCTCGTGGTGGCGACATTTCTTGACAGTCTTTTCCTTCGTAGGATGAGAGGTGAATATGGGATTGAACCATTTGTAGAATTGCTTTCGGAGCTGGTTGATGAGCGTAGTTGGGTCAGGAGAGCCAGTCACAATGGCTCTGACTTCATCATACCAGTCCTGACCGTCGATATCGAAAGCTGACTCATCATCATCCTCGACCTTATGTACCCAATCTATGGGTTGGAGTTAGTACTTGAGCGCCAAATCAGCGTCCACGTACCCGAATGGAGGATATAGTTGGGTACAATATGGAACTGGAGGAGTTTTTTGAGTGCCTTTTCACCGGCTGGGGAGAAAAGCCAAGAGGCGAAGACGAGCTGGGAGCCGCTTGAATGCCCAGTTGTTGGGCGCGAACAACGAGACCACTGGGCCGTCACCTTGGGTCTCGGAGACGACTTTTTCCAACGCCATTGAAGAGCGTCGTCGAGTCCTACTTTTTGCAGTGCAGATGACTAGTGAAGGGTCAGTTTCATTTTATTTAGAATCTGTCGACTACCGACCAAAGTCGAGAAGTCGTCAATAAGGAACAGCTCATCCATGATAGAGGGTGGTGGGATGAGTGGGTGATTGGTCGTATATATGTATCCTAAAAGCGGGTTTGCAAAGTTCGACTTGCAAAAGCAAGAACGCACCATTGGCAGCAGACACAGAGAGCCACTCGACCTTGGCCCAGAAATTGATGAAAAGTCGTCCAATGAGATCATTCGACGCGGTGACTCTCCTTGGCTGATCGTCAAACGAACCATCCTTGGCCTTGAGCGCAGTTTCATATGTGGCGTTTCTGTACAACGCCGGCTTGTCGAGAGAGGTTGGGAGCGTATGATACTTGAGAAGTGCATGAACAATCTTCTTGAAACGTTTCTTCTTCTCTTCGTCATCATCGTCATCGCCTCCTTCATGTCTCTGGGCTTTGGCTTCGAGACGTTCTAGCTCAGCATAGATATGGGCGAGGGAGAGACTGCTTCGTTGATGGTCGCGCCTACGTTTAGGAGGCGTCAAGGCCTTGTTATTGGGTGCAAAGAATGTGATACTGCACAGCAATTAACCACACACTCATTGAATAGTAATCTGACGCACTTATCATCTGTAGAGTTGAGAACAGAGATGTATGACTTTTCCCAGTCAATAATTTTGACCAACTTGGTGAACCTATATAAATCTGGGTTAGTCTGTGACGCTCAGCATGGACCAAGAAGAGATTAACTAACTCTATCTGCTGAGAGAGATACTTGTAGATTGTCTGGTTGGTTTCTTTGACTCCATGCTGAACATGCGCGGTCGCGACTTGGGACTGGGCCTGGTTCGTAATCGGCTGCGTAAGGCGCAATTGGTCAGATTCATTGCGAGTATTGTCCGCAGGAGCTGCGAGAACTCCTCCAACGAGCAAAGCGAATGCAAAGCCCACACGCATTGTTGTGGTCGCACTCCAAGAAGCAAAGCCCCTAAGCTGCCACCTCGGGGACAGTCAGTCATAGCCCTGAGTTCGATGAGAACACACGCGTATCATACTGCGGGGCGGCATCTTGCTCGGATGGGATGACCTCACGATCACTGGCTTTGCCCGCAGCGCAACAGTCACTCATTCAGTCAGCTCAGCCAAGCCAGTGAACCGGCCGCCAGATAGAAAGCACAAGTATCATGTACGCGTACGTTTCGTCTTTGTACAGATGTAAGGGATGATAATGCATAGAAAGTCCTTGGGCCACATCGACTTCCCTTGCACGACGTCGAGGCTAGTAAGCAATCCTAGAATCAACCACACAGCACATGTCTCCTCTAGAGAGTGAGCGATATTGACTGGTCTATTGGGCAGGGGTGCGGATGCCAAAAGAATGGGTGTGGTGGTGGTGGCGGGCCACCATAAACGACGTGGCTAGTCTTGGAAACAGTGGCAGATAATTGGGTCACGATGAATGGCGGCGGAGGAGGATGGGGTGCTCCATGGCACGGGCGATCGCCATGGTTGCTTGGAAGCTCGGTGAACATGGGGAATAAGAAGGAAATGGCGGCATTCCAAATATTAGAAAACTTGGTATCGAGGTGCTTGTGATGGCGCCTGCCTCGCCCGTGATGTGGAAACGGTGAAGGGGGAAGTTTAGGATATGTCTCGTTCAAGGCGGGCTGCTGCAAGTCAGCGCCCTGAAATCCATGGTATGACAAAGGACGTACGAAAATGTCCACAATAACTGGTGGGGTATGCACTCGGCCGTGAGGATGCGGCGGGGCAGGGGGATGGCTACCCTCGATTCTTGAATGAGGGTGTTCGTGTCCCGGAGTCGAGTGAGGCACCAGCGTCGTAGCACAGAGAACAAATGTCTCCTCGTCCTCCTCTTCACTGACGAAATGATCAGGGAACGGTGGGCGTGCAGCCACTTTGATAGCAACGTTCAAAGTCGACCCCTCGGTGCGCTCCACCAACTCCTCTTTCTCGTCGGTGTTCTTTTCGACGATAACATCACCGAAAAGGAGCTTGTGGTGCAAGACGACCGTGGCATTACTCGGGTAAGAGACTGTGAGCTTGATCTTCTCCGACACGATATCTTCGGTAGGGTTTGGAATTGAAGCACAACCCAGGACAGAGATTGCGGGAGGTGGCCCTGCTGGATGGTGTGGTATTCTTGGGAATGGATGCGGAAAAATATCAGCCTCGGATGAAGCTCCGCGGGAGTGTGCAGATGTCTGTGAAAGCGCCGTGAGCGAAGCGAAGAGAAGCGCACTGTTGACAGAAACATACCTCATATCGAGAATAGGCGACCCATCCGCAGTACAGAAGATAGGTCAAGGCGACTGCTCCCATTGTAAGCGTGAATTTGCGACGACGACGAGGCTCTTCAAGTTGCTTGACCTCGTGCGCCCAGCGGGGCTGGGCAGGGAGGGAAGCTGTTGAGAGTAAAGGAGCGTGGACGCCAGCGCTGCCGTCTTCATCGTCGTCACGATATCGTTGCTGCATATGTGGATAGGATGAAGCCATAGCAGGTCCGCCGCACGTGAGACGTAAAGGACGAGGGAACAGACGGGGACAAGAGATCAGCGGGCGAGGACGTCAGTAGGGCAGGCAGTGTGAGGATATATAGAGCCAGGCTGCCCAAACCGCAGCAGGTCGCTTTGGCGTATCGCTTGATCATTGAGCCTGTCCACTATTCGACACGCTTCACGGAGGAGCTGCGGAAAGGCACGCCCCTCGAATCGATGTTGAGCTTGTGCAGTCTTATCCCAGATACTAAAAGTGCCTTCGCACGGATTCCATTTTCTTTTCCAACGCAGCGGGCATGATGGCTTTGCTCAAGATAAGAAAAGCAGAGACCGCAGCGGGCTGGATTCAACAATTAAGTACATTGAGTACAACAACTATCTATAATAATCATGGTCAGCAGTGTTCAGTAAGAAACGAGAACGAAAGGTCAGAGTAACTATGACATTTTTTTGGGTAAACTCCTCAGCAGCAAAAGCCTCGGATAAGATGTATAACATCCCGGGTGTGAAAAGAGAAAAATAGATTCTCACCTAAAAGTTGCGATGCTGGCTGTCCTAGGAAAAAACATCGGTCAATGGCCATTTAGAAAAAAGAGATGAAAAGCAAAGCATCAGGATTAGCATGGTATAATCGTCAATCTGCGACATCCTTGGATGTTTTGCAGTACGTGCTTGACTTCTATGATGATCATCACAGCGGAAAGGTCGACCTAGCCACTTTGGAATTGAAAAACTCACTCGAGATAATCAAGAATATCAGTAGATTGCATCACGATGCTCGTCGTCAAGGGTCTAGCTATAGCCCAACTGACGGTCGAGTCCAAGGTGTACAAGGTTTGTGGATCTGTATATACCGTATATTAAACAACTAATAAAATATGGTTACATGAAGATGTAGTTCATTTACAAGTGGTCGCCACCCTTTCACTGCTGCCACGTCCGCTGTGCATTTCCCTGGGCGTGCTCAGACGCGTGTAGTTCTTACTTGAATGTCGGAAACACATATTAGATCTCACTCGCGGCACGAAACCCCCACTCCTTCGCGTCCTGTGACCCCGTCAAGCTCGCGGCGACCGTCAATCAAGAGTCACAACTCTGTGCCATCCCGTGCACTCACTAATGCTCAACTAATGGCATCAGCATCCCCAGCACAAGTGTCCAGTGACCAAGCCGTGACGATTGAACCATCAGGCGTCCTCAGCTCAAGCGCGTCCATCTCTGAATTCTCACATGGAGGAAACATCATTTCTAATAGTCACCATGGCTCGAGTGATCATGTTTATCTCATGGAAGACTCGTCAGGATCGGATGGGGCGACACCAAATCTCATGCGCTCACCAGAAGAAGTGGCAGCTGATGCTGAGAGACTCAGAGAGCAGCTCAAGAAGAGTCTGAGTCGCGGTCGTGGTGAGTGAGTACCTCGTCGAACCTTCATCATCTGTATGAAGACCTTTTCTCATGAACCCCCAATGCGAGCAGAGCCACGTACAGATATACGTGATATACCATACGATCCGTCTCATGAGCAAAAGTTTCCGCCGCGCCAATTCTTCGTGCTCACTCATGCTGGCAAACCCGTGTTCACCAACAGGAAGATTGACGAAACAGAGGGCGACGACATTACCAACTTGATTGGTGTCATGCACGCGCTCATCTCCGTCTTTGAGGATGACCAGGACAAGATTCGGTAAGCCTTTCCCTTTAACCGACAAAGGTGGTGACCCTGAAACTGCGTCAGGTCCATTATCGCTCCACCAGTCCGAATAACCTTTACAATTCGTCCGCCGCTGTACTATGTATGCGTCACGCCGTTCGCGGAACCAGAGTCTGTGGTAAGACCTCCCTCTAGTGCTATACCATGGCTCACAGCGTCAGGCGAGAATATATTTGGAACATTTACATCTACTTATATTATCTGTGCTCACTGGATCCCAGTTGGAGCGGATCCTAACTCGACATGCCAACTATGACCTTCGTCGGCTCTTGTCGGGGACTACCACCATGCTCGAGTCGTACTTGGATCACCTTCCGAGGTCCTTTGCAATTCTCGCCTCGTCACTGAGCACCTTACGCCTGGACTCTGGGCTCCGACTTCGAGTCGCAGATGCACTGGTCCCTCCACCTAATATGAAGACGCGGCTCAAGGACATTTTATATGCCATTGTGTTCGTCGACGACAAGGTTGTGACGATTGCACGACCAAAGAAACACACGGTTCACCCAGCGGACATGCATATTTTACTGGCGACGATTGGCTCGCCCGCAGTCAAGGGAAGCGCAGCGAGCTGGCTGCCTATTTGCCTTCCGCGTTTCAATTCCAATGGGCTTCTGCACGCATATGCCTCCTACCTCCAGCTACCAAGTAACAGTGCCGCAAGCGCTTCGCAGCCTGCCGAAGCTGGCGAAGCACCGCGGGAGAACGAGGAAGATGCAGCATTAACGGGTGGAACACACGCGCCTGCCGTGTGTTTGGTAATAGTCTCAGCTTCTGGAGACTTTGAGGTTGTACGTCAGTGGGCGGACGTGGCTACGAATCGACTTCGCGATGGGGAGACACTGCGACAATTGCTCAAGGCTGCACAGCGAAGCACGTATTCGGTAGATGAACTCGGCATCCCAGGACTTCGGCATTTTTTCTTTAAGAGTCGGCCGAATGTGCAGGTCACCTCCCCCATCTTTAACGGGATCGAAGCCCACGCGCATGATGAGAGGGACCAGGTAGAGCTAGAGGACGAATGGGAGCGACTGTTCAACCTATATCGCGTCGTTTGGGACGCTATACACGCCAAGTCGGGTCAGGAATGCACACTCAAGCTGCAGTATGTACGGACAGAGGCAGTGAGCGTGATGGGATGGGTGAGCGGCATATGATTCATCCCGAGGGTCAACGTGGCTAACTCGCATTATGCAGATCACAAAATCGTTTGAAATCTACATCGCGCTGTCTCCGCGACTGCCAAAGAGTGCGGCCATTGGAGCTGCCAACGCGGTCGTGTCTTGGGTGAAACGTGAAGAGGCCAAGCTCTTTCTGCGGGATGCTCCCGTGTTCTAAACGAGGATGAGGGAAGTGGCCCTTGTGGAGAGGGGGTTCATTCATAAATCGGCACGGGTGCTAAGCAGCATTTGACGTTGGAAAATGTGTATAGTAGCATTTTTGATATTTCAGAGACCATGTTGCCGCTACGGCGGTTCCAGTGTGTTGTCAGGCTTTTCAACGACGCCGCTTCTCCTTGACCGCATGGATATGCTTCGACCACCCGCTGAGCACATGGCGTCGCTCTTAAAGCCCTTCGGCACCCTGTTGGAGCACATTTGCAACCAATCCGCACATCCTGGCCTCGTCGTTCACGCCGTCTGTGCCACTGGATGGCCTCGCCGTCGACCGCTGCGTCTTCAGACGCTCCAGTTGCTGATGTTGACAGCAAACCCGCGGAAAGATTCCTCATCGGCGTGCTTCTTGGTCTATTTGCCATCTTATGCATCTGCGGCATTTTTCTTGTTAGACCCGTCGTCTTGAGGGTCATTCGAAACCTCAGAAACCAGCAAGACGCGGTAGAACAAATCATACAACAGCGGAGACGCCGTGCCCGAAAGCCAAAGCTACTCGAAGTTTATGTGGATCCAAGGGCGCAGACGGATGCAGCATACTGGCATAGCCAACAAGTGGGTCATATTTGTCGCAGTGAATCACACTCATACATATCGCAGCCATTTGGACTCTCTGTCGACTATACAGAGCCGGATCCCCCTCAGTATGCCAAAGACGAGGCGAGGACAGGCTCAAGGACAGATTCCACTTTACCAGAATCAAATGGAGTATGCAAAGGAGATGACTTGAACACTCCGCGGTCCGAAGATTCCTCCTCTCCCAGCGACGAGCAGCCGTCTCCCCCTTGTCCACGTCCGGAGCCGTCCTCACCACCACCACTGGAACAGCTCGATACCATTGCACAAATTTGCGTGTTCGTAGCCATGCCATCACCCTCGCGCTCCGTCCGGTACCAGTTTCCCCCGACTTCGCCTAGCCCACACCCGACCGCGCATTCATCCCAAAATTCCCCCCGAAGCACTCCATCTCACCTCGAGCTTGATAAAATACGTGACAGAGGTGACACTCCCTGTTCGGCATCGACTCTAGAGGATGATAGACTCATTGTACCACCACCCCTTCCGTGTTTGGCACTGGGCATCGGATCATCGCCGTTGACACTGTATCAGTAGACTGACTTATTCTATTTATCCATTGGAACTCTTCACATCGACACTTGAGCGGGTCGCGCAGAAGTTGTAAGAATCAAGGCCGGCTTAACAGTGAATGCAATCATGGACATTTCGAGCTATTCAATGATGCTATTTGACGCGTGAGGCACGTCATGACGCGCTTCTCGACGCGACGACTTGAATGGGATGTGCGATGGACATGAGCTAGATTCGCCATCCACAAACGTAAATTTACTTGGATGCGTTTCCTTATCGATTAGTATGGACTGGGCAAGATGTCGGATTGTCAACCAACAACTTTGACCCCCAACGTCGTTGACGCTTTCCGGTGGAAATCCCCGAAAATGCCTCCGCAAATCTTCAAGGTGAACAATGATAGGCCACATATATAAGGAACATGTGCTAAGCAGCATCTAGGCGACCTACAGCGGTGTGCCTGTCTATGAGATGCAAGTCGCGTCGTCGTTGGCTCGCTCCTCAAATTCATAACTTGGCTCTAGGATATCTGAGGGTGTCTCGGTCATGCGAAGACGCGCAGACGGCTGGCTTAACGCGACCCAAATCCTCAAAGTTGCCGGCTTCGACAAACCACAGCGAACACGCGTTTTAGAGCGCGAAGTGCAAAAGGGGGTCCATGAAAAGGTCCAAGGTGGCTACGGAAAGTACCAAGGTGCGTTCCTATTCCCTCCAACACGCGTTTGCATGCACGTCCTGACCACGCGTTCCCTTTGTGTGTTTGCAACTGCACATTCTGCAGGTACATGGGTTCCTCCAGAGTCGGCCCTCGCGCTTGCTAGGCAATACGAGGTCGAGCCACAACTGCGTCCTATCATTGATTACAGGCCGTCGGAAGACAGCCCCCCGCTGGCACCAAAGCATACGGTGGTTGGAAACAACCTCCTTCCACCAGGGTTCAAGCAGGGTAGACATCGGAGTCCGGCGGAATACAGCTCCACACGCACCAGGAGTGCTCGCCACCCATCTGAAGAGTCGGAGAGATACTCCGGAAACGGGGGGTCATCTGAACCCTCTGCGACTCCATCCCCTGTTGCATCCGTCACAACACTCTCTCGAGATGGTCAGGAGGTCGAGGTTGTTCAGCCATCCCCGAGGAAGCAGCGGAAACAAGATTCGCCAGAGCCAGATAGCTTCAAAAATGCCATGCTCGAATACTTTCTAACGGACACTGCACAAATACCACAGCTTCTTATCCACCCACCCCCGGCCTGGACGTCAATGTAGACATTGACGACGAGGGACACACCGCATTACACTGGGCTTCCGCCATGGGTCGCATCCGTATAGTCAAGCTTCTTCTTTCTGCTGGCGCGGATCCTTTCAAGGTTACGACCACCGGGACAACTGCACTCATGCGTGCGGTGTCATATGCGAACAACTACGACATCCGCAAGTTTGCCGAGCTTTATGAATTACTCCATCGTACCACACTCAACATTGATTCGTACAACCGCACCGTCTTCCACCATATTGTTGACCTTGCCATGACCAAGGGCAAGATTCATGCGGCTCGATATTATATGGAGACGGCTCTAGCTCGCCTATCCGACTATCCGAAAGAACTTGCAGACATTATCAACTTTCAGGACGCAGATGGAGAAACGGCGCTCACTATGGCCGCACGATGTCGCAGCAAGCGACTCGTCAAGGCGTTGCTAGATCATGGTGCGGACCCACATCTCAAGAATAACGATGGAAAGTCTGCAGAAGACTATGTGGTCGACGACGAGCGCTTCAGATCATCTCCTACCATCGCCGCAAGGACGCTCTTTCGCCTTGGCGCGCTCGACCCCAGGACACAAGAGTTGCCAGCTGTACGGCGAGCAGGAGACGAAGTGTTTACGGAGATGACGCAAAGATTTGACGAGCTACTGGTGTGCTTAGATGGTGAGCTCAAGTATCGTGAACGGGAGCTCTTCCAGGCAAAAGGCATTCTCGCACAGTTGGAGAAGGAGGTCGAATCAACACAAAAATCCATTGATGAACTCAAAAACCGGGATTTGCAATTACTAGGTGGGAGGAAGCCACAGTTGGAGACCCTCCAGTCAGAGGTCATCGACATTACAATCCGACGAAGCAAGACGGGTATGCTGCAATGGCTCTGTGAAGAAGACCAGTGGGAAAAGATGGTTTGGGCTTCTGGTCGTGGATTGACCCGAGAGACAATTGCATTTTCCCCAGAAGCTGTGGTCAAGGGCTCGACACCGGATGAAGATGCTTCAGATTTGATGGAGCTATGTTCAGACATCCCACGCTCGCAAGTCGAACAGGACGAACAATGTCAGAAGCTCAGGGCAGAGATTGAAGCACTGTCGCAACAAACGGACCGACTCGTCAATGAGTACGCTCACTCATTGACAGAGTCTTCCGACGTTGGAAAGATTGGCAACTATCGAAAGCTGCTGACGGCGGCGGTGCCTGGAATTTCAGGTCCAGAGATTGACGCTATGCTAAGTCAAGTTCTTCAGGTTAGTTTGCCTATTCATGGAATGAGCCATTCTAACTACTGCTCAGACGCTCGAGGCAGTGTAATCGACCATGTTCATTGGAAAAGGCAACGTTACACCTTAGGGCCGTGCAAAGATCTACTCTCTCCGACCAAAAAGTTCAATTAGTTCTTGTAGTCTAGAAACACTATCAGCGTGCAAGACAGTCATATTGCAAGCGTATTTACCTGGCTTCCTTCTTCTCCCGCTGAGTCTGGTGAGTCTTAGTTCCTGAGAATGCCTGACGAACAAGCTCCTTTTTACGCTCTTGAATCGAGAGCACCTGGGAAATGTTAGAGTGTACGCCATACCGAATGAGAGGCTCACCTTCGCCTCGATGGTATCCTCAGCTACCATCTGATATACAAATACCTCCTTTTTCTGCCCAAGACGATTGACACGATCAATAGCCTTCATTAAGTTAGTGAAGGCGAGGTTATAAGTATAAAATGAACCTGAGATTCGATTGCATCCTGGAGATTGTTAACATGAACTCTTGTAAAAGTCAATTTACTCACGTGCCAAAATGGATCCATTAAAAACACATTGTTTGCGACCTGCATAGATAAGACGAGTTTTAGTAAAGCCTAATATACTCACTGTGCAATTGAGACCAAGTGCACCGCTCTATTCAGGAGGGTTAGAAGCTGGGAACAGGAATGAATAAAGCGTACCTTGAGGGAGATGAGCATGACCACAGGGTTCTTCGCCTGTCCGCTTTCAATGAATCGCGAGACAGCTCGCGCTTTCCCCTTTCGTCTCTGCCTCTTTCTCTCTATATACTCTCGATATGCATCTTCATCTTCGGTTTCCGGTTCGGTCTCCTGATCGTCAAATTCTGTGTAAATTGGCTCCGAAAACTGTTCCAACACGGCCTTGCGTTTGCTTGCACTCATAGTGCCGTCGAAGCGAACGTAAGGGATGCTGGAATTAAGTCAGTAAGGTACCATGTCTTTGCTACTCGTACCTTCTTTACGAAGCTGTATACCAATCTATTGATCTTTCAGAAATAATCTTTGCACGATAGGGTCAACTCACAATGTCCAAGAAAGACGTAAATTGAGAAAAGACGAGCGACTTGGAATCGGAGGGAAGAACTCGAAGAATTTGAATAAGCTGTTGGACCTTTGCGGAAGGAGCTATTTCTTCTATGCCTAGGTGGTCTTCAGACTCATCGTCGCCTTGTTCTTCGTCTTCTTGTGGTGGCCGAGGCTCTATGAGATCCTCGACTCGCAGTTGACGACGATCCTATCTCCTATCAGTGAAAAAAAATACTCACCAATAGGTATACTCACCAAAGGACATTTCTGCTGGCGGTTGATAGTCTAAAAAGAGAGATTAGATGGTGAAGACAGTAGAACCACAGAACCTGCCTCCACGATGCACTCCAAGCAGAATCGATGCGCACATGTTGTGATACGAGGGTCGGTCAGGGCCTCGAAACAAATTGGACCTGAGGAGATATCAACGACCTGCGAGGTAGTTGTAAGGATGCTTACACTCTTCACAGTCCTTGATAGCCTGCGCAAGAAGATCCTGAAGTCTAGATTTTTCCTCTGGACTGATGTTGGATGCGGCAGGTGCGGCTACCGAGTGCTGGTGTGCCTTCGCAGCGGCGCGAAGATCCTGGGTAAATGATATAAGATCTAGGTATTACACTGCAGCTGTTCACACCTCGAGATATCGCGTCGGGACGAGGCTGCGATCCAATGCGATTTGGCGAAGTCTCGTAAGCATACTTAGTACATTTACACCTGTTGGCATCTGCAAGAGTTTAGGCTTAACCTTTCTGTAAGCAGTGGCTCACATCTTCTCTGTTTGCTCCTCTTGCGAGGTAGTCCTGAATCAACGCTCGCGATTCTTCTTCGACCGTATCATAAAACTCTCTCGTCTTTTCGTCCAGTTTCACAGGTATGACATTGAACGTGACTGGTGGAAGGGGCACCAAGGCCTTGCCGTTTTTGTCTTGCATTTCCTTGGTTCTTCGAATGCAGCAAGAGCTCATCAAGGCCTGCAAACTTTCAGAAATCAAGGTGAAAAGTGAGACGTCACCGACCTTGAGTAAGTCGGCGGCGTATGGGTCTCGCTTTGAGAGTGGCCTCGACAATAGTCGCTTGAAAAACTCTGGTTTGTCGAGAGGGCTACAAATACGCAAAAAGCGCAGCAGAGAGCCCAAATCCTATGCGTATGTCAACATTTTGACAAACTATGCTCCATGGATCCTACAGAAGGATTATTGATCTAAAATGGTCATGAGCCTGTACAACGGAATTCCGACACAACTCACAATCGGGGTTCCAGATACGACCCATCGACGCTCTGCGGAAAGGGCATAGCATGCCTGAGCCATCTTTGTTTTTGGGTTGCGTATCGTGTGTCCTTCATCAAGGCAAATGCGCTTAGGACGTTGAGACTCTGGATTGATTTGAGAGAATGGTATAACATACCTTCCAATTTACAGCAAAAAGGCCAGACTTGGCCTTGTTCACTTGAATGGTTTCGGTTCCGTCTACACCCTTGATCATTTTCGCAGGAGGCATATCCGCAACGACGCATTGATAGGTTGTGATAATAATATCTTGTGCCTCGAGGAATGATGGCTTCACGTTCCGGCCATTACCGTAGTAGACGTGAAACTTGATGTCGCTGTCCTCTGTGAAATGTTCTACAATTTGCGTCTCCCAGTTGGAAAGTACGGAAAGAGGCACAATAATGAGTGTGGCATTGCAGAATGGTGAAGCAGTTCGATCCTTTTTAGTAGCCGCGACCAAGCTCAGTAAAGTCAGAGTCTTTCCGAGTCCCATGTCGTCGGCTAGTTTAAAGCATGAGAAGAGCAGAGGGAATAAAAACTACGCTCACCAAGGATACCTCCCCGACCAAGGGCTGGTGCAGTTTCCTGAGGAGTTCTGGTTGCGACTATTCATATGTGAGTATTGATCTTCCTTTGATTTTCAGCGTACTATTGTAGTAATAAGTCTGGTCCCAGGTCAATCATCCAGCCGCGCACTTCCGTTGAATACTCGCCTTAGCTCCAGTCTTCTGAATTTGCCAAAATTGGACTGGCTTGTCTGTTTCTTTTTTCGGTAAAACTGGATTCTCGGCGTTGATACACCATTGAAGGCCTTGTTTCTGTGAAACGAGTAAACGGACTAGTCGGACGCAGAGCTTTACTCCTACCTGATGCTTGAGGAGATCATTTTTGAGGACTCCGGAAGCACGTGAAGGGGGTGATGGGTACTCAGGAAGCTCCAGGACGTCGTCACCACAAAGCGAATTGAGCATCGTATCACGCCGTGATACATCATCAAGTCTGCTCATGTTCTCCATGATGTTGCGCAGCTGGACAGCTTTGGCGGCATCAATAGATCCAAGGCCCGCGCTATTTGCTTGACCGGCTCGAGCCTTCTTGGCTGAAACAGAGGTACCCGCGACGTTGGTCTGGGATTTCATGGCTTCAAAACCACATTGTCCAGGAGTTGCCCAAATCAAGCTTGCTTCCAAAGCTTTTCGTCGCTGAGGGTCGCTAGGGCCGATGATGGCAATATCACTGAAGCAAATCAATATAGAAGGTAGAGCTAAAGGAAAGATCCTACATATCGAGTTTCCAACCAGCTTTGCCATAGAGATTTCCAGAGGTCATTGTGCCCTCAATGGTGATCAAGCCCCTGTCGATAAGTGGAGACAAACGCATAGCAACTGACAAAGAGTAAGTTATATCCTTCGCGCATTGGTACATGATCCTACCATCCTTCGGAATATGACCGACTTGTACACCTGCGAATATGTTGAGTATTCCCAAGGTGGTCCACCTGTCAACACACCGGATATATTTTTGACTGAAATTGCATTGCGATCATATGCATTCTCTGGCTGTCTGATAAGTTTGACCTGTTCGCCGATGCCGACGAGGCCGCTATAGTATTTGATCCCAACAACAGACGACGCAAAATGAGTATAGACTTCGTCTACAGGGGGGTAAGAGACAGTACGTTGCCCCAAAATGACACATACCTTGTCCGGCATCTTCGTCATTGTCGCTGTCGCTGAGATCGATGACCTCCGTAGACTGACCAGCCACCGTCAAATTTTGAGTAACAGACGGTCCAATATTCTGTCTCTTTTTCATATGCACCACCTCGACATCATCATCACTGTCGCTCAACTCGATAATATCCGAACGACGAGATGTAGTCGAAGCCTGACTAGACGGTGGTGGTTCGACACGTTTGCGCTTCTTGCCGGCAGCATTTGAGCTTGCGCTTGCTTGGCTTGAACTAGCGACCGCTGCGGCAGGCGTGGTAGGGAGCAAGTTGGGGTCAAAGGTGCGAGCAGAGGCAGGGATATCGGCCATATCCACTTGACCACGTTCGACAGCAGAAACAACTCTTTGCTGATCTTCGACCCTATAGAGTATAAACAGTGGGTCAGAAAAAGATCGGAGACGAACCGGAGGAGCTGAAAGCCTGAGAGACCGTGAACCCCTCTAGGATATTTCTTCAATTGTCTCAAAAGATATGGAGTCATGCATCCCCTACAGTTTCACAGATGCGTCAATGAGTGCGTCCTATGCCGTTTCCCAAAGGGGCTCACCAATGCCGCCATTTCCAGACCGGGTGGTCTTCGTCGAACACATTCTCTGATAGCTCACCAAATCTGAGGCTTCCCTTTTCAATCTTGGTGCCGTAACATGGCTTGGGGCCTGTAGTTGTCAGCAACAACAATTTCTTGAAGTGAGCAATACTGACCTCTGCATGCTGCACGGCTGGAAGGCGAGTACTCAATTTTATACTCTGACATATTGAGACTCCGAGTGTGTCAGGAAGATGCAGGCCACTGGCTCAGGAGTGGCAAGGACCAACGGATACGGCTCAGTTCAAGTTGTGCACCACAGTCAAGGCTACTTCAGCCACATTTTGGGATTGTCTCATTGGTTCTCTTGATTTCGTTAGCAGATGATACATTGAGTAATCGCTCGGAAGTCGAGCGTCGGACGCCGAGAATTGAATCAGTCCTTTGTTCGTGACAAAAAGAGTCGGAGATGGTACGCAGAATACCTAGCACTGAGTAGTCCCCCATCCCAAGAAATATTTAAGCCTTTTTTCACCTCGCAACGTGGTCACGAGGTATCGAGTCGTACGTTGGCGGAATCTCCCCAGCCGCGTCATCATCATCTGCATCCGGTACGCGTCCACCATCCTGATGGACACGAACAGGCGACGTTGGGCCAGCTCCTCCAGCTGCGGACGAGCGAGACGGCGTAGGGGAAGGATTCGAGCGGGCTGGTGCACCGGTTTCGCTCTGATTTGAGACCATATAACCCTGATTTTGGTACGTCCGCGAGAATGCTTCGCGCTCCTTTGCACTACGGGCATTCGTCGGCGCAAGGGATGTTCCCGCTGCCATCGGGGGTGAGTTGGGAGAGATACGGCCAGTGTCTGGTGGTGGAGGCGAGTAAACCGATGTAGGTGGATAGCTAGAAGCCGGGTAGGACGACGCATTCGACGGAGAGGTTGTGTAGCCACGGTGAGCAGCAATGGCAGCGGCACCACCAGCCGCCGCAGCACCTCCCATCGCCGCTGGGTGATAGTTAGGCCCGTATGGGTTCGGGAACGTTTCTCCGACGTTGACTGTAGGCGTATTCGCGTTCCAATTACCATAATTGTTGTCCTGGTATGTGGCTTGTGGCACATCGTGATAATATGCGAGTCCAGTATGCGCTTGTTGCATTTCGGGCTGACCACCTACACTTGATCCGTAATGAGACGCCGTTGCAGGTCCAGTTGATGTGGGAGCATATGGATAGGGTGTCACATTCGTTGCCTCTCTTTCGGCTGCGCTCGTTCGCCCGGCAGTGACACCCGCAGCAGCCATATCAAAGTTTTGACCGGGTCGCATAGATGTCGGACGTTCTACGTTTCGGTCTAGATCAAAGATGTTTGCTTCAAACTCATCCTTCTTCATCTTCCGGCGCACAAGCCATATGCCAAGAGCAACGAGGACAACGAGCGCGATCCCTCCGACAACTCCACCCACAATCGCACCCGTATTAGTCGATTTACCCTGAGTTCCGCCTCCGGTGGTAGCAGGTACGGTACTCGTTGCTGAGACAAAAATGAAGCTAGTAATGACTTGTCCCTGCGAATCGGTTGTTTGGATTGCGGATGAAGTCGTGGTCATAATCGCTGTAGATGAACTGGGCACAGCGGAACTAGGGGGGCGGCTTGAACTTGAGGATTGGGTGGAACGAGTGGACAAAGTGGATGCAGTTGAGCGCGTCGAAGCCGTTGAAAGTGTTGAAGCAGTTGAAGCAGTCGAAAGTGACGATGTGAGTGCCGTAGAAGATTCTGGAGGGAGCGTAGAGCCCGTCGACGTGGGTTCATCTGAGATTCACGACAAGCGGAAGGAATGGGCATATACGATGAGATTGAACATGTACAGGAAGTCAAGATGATCAAATAAAGCGTAAATTGTCAGCTGTTAATTCCTGAACTATGGAGAATCGACGCCTCACCTGGACCTTGTCGTTTAAAGACACCTGCATCTTCTGCAGCTCTGCGATAATATTGTAGTAATTGCGCTGGATCAGCGTCCATGGTTGATTACGGAAAGAGGACGAATGACGAAGAGTCCAAGTTTGTGTGATGGCGCTCGGGAAATCCACTGGCCGAGCCACAAAGACCGGCGGAAACTTTACGCAACTGGCCACTTGGCCACTAATCCGATCGGCTGCACTGCCTTGTTACCTCATCCGCGCGCCGAAAGGAGCGCCGTTGCTCGGTGGAGTTTGCCGTCGATAGCTCCCAACAAAGAATATTCACAATATTCCAAAACTTGGATCAATACATACTAATAAATAGGTAAAATAGGTAATGAGGTCACAATGCTCCATCTATGCCCTTGCAGAAGTATCCTCCCAGCTTCCGTCACTCCCTTCTCGTGGCGGCGAATGGCTGGCCTCTTGCTGCGTCTCCTCCGGACCAGGTTCGTCTCTGTACGTTGTACGGGCCGTGTGAGCAGTAGATAGTCCCCTCGTCATCCAGGAAGCCGTCGTGGTAGGACACGGTCGCTTGCTGCACGTATCGACTCGCACCACCCCCAGTAAGTGCACTGTGTTCGTCGGCTTCATCCTCATCGTCCGATCCAACACCAAATGCATCGTACAGCTCCCTCGTACCTCCTGCACTTCGTTCTCCGCTGCCCGGTTCTCCACTTCCTGCAGTTTGTCCCTCCATCGAACGCATTGGCATATTGTCTCCTGGAATCTGCGCATATGTACCCTTGGCCCGTTTCGCCATTTGTCGTCGTCTCCACAGGAATACACCAGCTCCCACACCAAAGATGATCACGATACCAAACGCTCCAATCAACCAGAGCTGGTTGCGCATCAGATCATACATGTGCGTGAATACGCCTTCATCCGTTGGCAATGTCGACGAAGAGTTTGTCGGAGCTGTTCCCGGCTTGGAATCCGTGGGATGGAATGCAGGTCGCGTTGCTTCGCCACTTTGTGAACCATGATCTTCTGGAAGGTGATGTGTAGGTTTAACATGCTGCTTGGATGTCGATGTCGTTGCTGTCGGATGCGGTGGCAGATTGTGGCCTTCGTTCGGGTCGTCAGGAAGTTCATATTTCTCAGTATCCTCAGGATCAATTGCAGATCCCCAAAGCGTCATAGACCATCCGAGAATCGAACCAGCTTCCGAGTTGCCTTGGTCGAAAACGTGCAGCGTCCACTGTCCAATAGGGTTCTCGTCCCTAAATAAATCAATAGGAGATAGAATAGCTCTTGATAAACCTACCAATGCTTGACGGTCATAAATGTCCATCCAGGATAGCCAGTATCGGCGTGGTCCCCTGGTCGACGAGAGCCAAGAACGCTTTTGATGCCAGCAGGACTGATCAATTGGACCTCGACATCACCACGGCGGGTATGCGTGATCCACACTTTGACGGTAATGTGTTCCAACTTCTCAAAGTTGTTTTCCTCCAGCATGGCTTTGGTGATAGTGGTCGTACTGCGAACGCCTCCTTCCTTGATGGGTTGACCTCCAGTCATCACTCCATCTTCCATCGCGGCATCTTCAAACTCGATGGTTGGCAGGGACATCCAGACCTGTGGTTTGACGAGTTGCCATGATTTTGCTATATGAACCAATGTATATGCGTCCATTTTACCATATCCATATTTGTAGGAATATGGTCGACCGCTTGCTGTCATTTCCCAGTCGGGGTCTTCTGGATTGAAGTGAAGAGCGGCATGAATCGCAATGTGCTGGGCGTCCCGCCAGGTAAGATCCGGTCTTATACAATCAGAGGATCTCTTCGAGACTAAAATACACATACTCACCGAACACTTAACGCCAGAGCGAATGCACCCACAGCAAGAGGCGCCGCAGCCGAGGTGCCGCCATGGTGCCTAGAACATTTCTCCCCAACATCTGTTGTTGACTGAAGAACTATCAGAATAAGAAATGAACAGTTGATGATACTTACGATATACTTGCCTGACCCAGAGCTATAGGTCACAAACAGGTTCGCCGCACAGGCCTCTGAGTAGAAAGGGTGTAGCCCTTTACTATCAATAGCGCCAACGGTAATGGTGTAGATACTATTGGTGTATCCATCAAAGTTGCACGAGTCTCCCACGGCAGCACCATTTCCAGAGGCAAACACAAAAATTGAACCTTTACCGCCACGACCATTATTGATACCATTGAGGATCGCCTTGCTGACAATGAGGTTAGGCCCATCCATAGCTTGTCCAGAGTCTGGTGGTCCCCAGCTGCAGCTATAAATCTGGCTCTCCTGGAATCCAAAGTTCAAGGCAACAGCCTCGTCCGCGTCTGAGATTGGCCCAGAGAGAATGCGAATTCCTGCCACTTTTGAATCGTACGCAAGGCCAACCCCGCAGACGTCGTTCTTGACGGCAGCAATTTCTCCAGCACATCGCGTGCCGTGCTTGTCATCCCATAACTTTGGTGTAGGCAAGTCTTCGTGGTCGTTGAAATCGTGCGAACCTGGTGCATACTGTACGCACGTCAGCAAACTGCCAATTCTCGAGACGAAATGGCTTACAAAGTTCGCTTTTAGGTCGTCGCTTGTATAATCTAGTCCATCATCTATCAATGCGGATATCACTCCCTTTCCAGTGATTCCCTCCTTCCATAGCCCAGTCACATTGACCATGTGTCTACACGCGACAGAATATCAGCGAATACACCGAATGTACATACTGCAACATACTGTGGATCCTCCTTGTTGACGATATGCCATTGCGAGGAGAAAAGCGGGTCGTGAATATTGAACTCCGAGACCACTTTGTCTACGGATGGAAACGACGGGACCGGTGCACGCTTGACACGCTGTCTAACGGTCTGGTATGTCAAAGAACGAATAGATGGCGGGAGATTGTCATGTCTTCGTGTTAAGACATTCTTGCGGCGGGTGACTGGCTCCTTCCCAGCGTCGAAGAGCGTTCGCTCTGGTTGGGAATCCTTCTCGTAGCGGACAAGATAGTGGTCCTGGAGTTCTCCAACTTGTTCCACGAGCTCTGCGCCCAACGCCGCTGCGCTGTCGGCTGGGGATTGGCCAAAGGAGGGATCGTGGTGGATAACATAGTAACTGTGTGTGTCATAAGAACGTTTTGCAGGTCTCAACGAGGCTTCCAGCAGCGCCGGGCTGGTCAAGAATAATAGTAGCCCTAGAAGACGCATTATGGCCGGGTCCAAAGTGTGATTATTAAACGCCTGTGCACTCCTTTCGATATATTCCCATGTATCTCACGGAATAGTGTACGTGCGAGGTTCAAGCTGTGTCGTGGCGAAATCTCGGCCGCCGGACACAACTCCTGAAGTTTATTCATATTGTCATATCTAATCTGTACAATAGGTCTGGTATTGGACATCGAAGTCACAGCATTTGCGGATTGTTGAGACGAGAGTGGATTCACATGAAATTGCTGGAAAATAGTATACAAATCACAATATGAATGGCGTCGAATAAATCTGGACGACCAAAACGTGAAAAGAGTTGCAGCTCTGGAGAGACATCCTACCGACAGGAAACCACCCACATATACGATCATCACCGAGACCTGTACGATACTGAACTATGTGCAGTCCATAATGCTCGTCTCAATGATCCTGTTAAGCGTGTGGTCCTTGATTGCCTGATTGAAGCCGACTACATCTGTCCAGCCAAACTGCGCAGCCTCTTTTTCTCCAGAACCGGCAAATTCCATCATCTCTTCGTCAGAGATTCCCTTGAAGAGGAGGAACAAGCGGTTGAACACGCATTGGTCCATCGATACCGAAATATCAATGGCTGCTGTTAACCGCGAGGGTGACATGAACCGGTATGCAATGTTCTTGTGGGCCGTAAAGGCAGCAATGTTGTTGCTGACAAAATGTGTTCGTGTTTGGAGACTGAGACCGAGTGTGTCCAGGACGCGAGAGATGTGGGGAATAAAGTCACATGTGGGCATCGCAAATCCATTATATGGCGAGATATAGGAAGATGGATCAAAAGCAGTCGTATCTGGTCTGAACTATGTCAGAACAGAGCATCGCCGTTGATCGAGGAGAACTTACATGGCTTCGTAGTAGAGAGAAGAGACGACCATCTGGTGGTTAATGTCCTCTAATGCACCACCAGGATGTACTCTAACGAAAAACTTGACTCTATGATCTGTAATTGCGTCGGCTTCTGGGTAGGTGGTTCCAAATTTCCAGAGGGCGTGAAGGTTGAGGATGATATCCGCATACTGCACTTCGGGCGTATTCATATACACATGGCATCGTGCAGTCGTCGGTTTCGCAGCGACAGCCAACTTGGTCATGACGCGCTGGTCAAAGAAAAAGTCGGATGGCAGAACCGATTCGTCCTTTCGAGTGCCGGTAAATTCGACGTAATGGTCATCCCCCTCATGCACGATTTTCATGTTTCCCCAGAACATGCCCGCCACGAGCTCGCCTTCGTCTGTTCGCGACATGTCGAGGTCGTCCGAGGTACAGCTGGTCTCGAGGCTAATCACCCGTCCTGGGGCGAGTTCCAAGTTGAAGGTTGCAGGCATCTCGAGTACGGGAGGTGGCGGCGGTGGAGGTTCTTCTCTGTATTCATTGAGCAGTCATTTGTCGAGAAATTGCAAGTACTCACTCTGGTGGGGGAGGTGCATCGGTAACGATTTCGATTCGGAGACCATGCACTCCCTGCGCTGCTATTTGGTACGTTTCTTCTGACGAGATCTAGATAAGCCGGGCGTAAACATGGCGACTGGCAATTGATTGTAGTATAACGAACCCAGAGCCATGGACCGTGGATAAGACGCTATGGGGGATGGATAAGTAGCTGTGAGTAGTAGAGAAATATTATTACACACCGAAGCTTGCAGGGAAGCGTATTCGACAGGAACCCGTAGATGGAAACTCGCCTCTGGGGGTGGTCGGACCCATTCGCGAGCCATTGCTTCTGCTTCCTGCATTTGGATAAGCATATGAGAATATAGAAATCAGTGTTGACGGACAGCGTAGGTGTTTGGCATAAGCTTGATCGTCTCCATATCGCCGTGGACGAGGGTGAGGAATCGTTGGCGCATCACGGCGCCGCCGCCCATCATCCCTCCACCACTCATCATTCCCATCATTGGAGCAGCTGGTTGCTGGGTGGACGCGCCGCCACCGTCCCAATCTGACGCTCTTTTCTTGAACTTTGACCAGAGGCCTGAGTTGGATTTGAGGTTCTGGGTCGTTGAACCTGCTAATAAGAGGAAAGAAGAGATGTTAGCACGATTACATCAACCTATCTCAGCAGACCTGACGGCAGAGGAGAGAAGAAGACTTGCCTGGTGAAAGGAGCATGATGTGGCCGGGGCTGAGTGACGACTTATAAAACAATCTTGGATCTGATTGCCACCTACGAGCACGACTCAACTCGGCTCTCTATAATCGCACAAATGCCCCTTGCGCACGCTGGAAACACGAGGCTTCTGCAAGCGGCGTGACGCTACCTTTAGGGGGATTCTGGAAGTGTCTGGACGCGTGGAATGTTGTGAGGATTTGATCAAAGGTTGGATTCTCTCTCCACCTTGGAATCTCCAGCAATTCAGCCTCAAATACGTCCTTTGGGTGGACCTAGTGATTAGTAGAACAGCCACCATATGCGTCACATCAAGTCTAGAGTCCTATGAGTCGATCACTTAATTTTAATCCTTGGCTATGAGGATTAGAAGCTTGATTCGTCTGATTGACCGTCGCGTCGCCGAGGCGATACTCGCCCAATATCATCCCGGCGCTCCTCTGTACCACGAAACCTCATAAAGCCAGTTCATCAGAACAAATGGTCTCCCTTTCTTCGCTTACTCGTTATGCTCTACTGGATTCTGGTCTCTACTCTTGCTCTTATGGTCTCTGCAGCAAATGTGACAGTCGATGATACTGGACAGGACATCGTCTATTCTGGGAGCTGGAATATTGGAAATACTTGCACGGTGTGCGTCCCTCATTGCTTCGCTTCGCGTTCTCAATCTTCTTAGCTGCGTTGCCCAACCACAGGGGAACAGAACATACCAGCAGACCTGGCACGACGTAACCAGAGATGCAGGTGAAGAATCTCGATTCTTAGAGTATTCATTCGAAGGCATGTCCTGCATCCTCATGCAACTACGCCTCTTAACCCTGCGTTAGGAGGCTCCGTGACGCTCTATGGAATCCTAGCCGATATTGTGAGTTTCCAGCTCGACATAATCTATATATTTCTAACGAAAGTAGGTTAGAGATGGCTTTACGACTAATGTTAACTTGACAATATCAATTGACGGGGAAGCGAAGGGAGTATACCAGCATGTTCCTCAACCCCTGAATACATATTCATACGACGTACCCATGCTGTCGGTCTCTGGACTGAGTGCCGGATCACATACATTGCGTGCAGAGTTGGAGCCCAACTCGATGTGGATGGTATGCTCCATTCTGCATATGCGTGACAAACTAACTATGAGTTTAGTTTGACTACCTTGTCTACACAACCGTAGATTCAGTTTCTAATTCGAGTGCTCAAGCAACGTCAATAGCACAGACGACATACAGACCTGCGACAACGATATTCAACTCTGAAACGACCCAGACGGAAACGGGCAATGCGTAAGCCACTTTGACTTCATCTCGAGCTACAACTTACCCAATCCAGATACAGACGTTTTTGGAATCTCCCTCTAGTTGCGACTTCGGCAGGCGCGCTTATCATGTGTTTATTTTCTGGTTTCTAAGTAAATGAATTATACCATTTGATCCAATGAATTGCGGGGTTTGATTAGCGCTGTAGCCATTGAAGGTCGTCGAGTGAAACGAGTCGACTTTTAGACTCCGCTTCGCCCGTCCTCTGATTTCTCATGGGTTGGGCCGACGCTAAACGCCTATCTCCGACAATTTGACAACATCAAGCGCGCAGTGAACCCCTAATGGGCCCTTTGGCGCACGTGTCGATCAGCAGAACCGCTTTTGCTTTTTGTAACTGTTGGCTATGAGGGCATAACTCGCACTCGATACTGCACAAGTATTAGTCTAAGGGATTAAGCTGCAAAGACCGGGCCCATATTGCATCCGGCGATGCGTAGAGCACAGCTCTAGGTCGTGAACCAAAATGGACGGTAGATTCCCATAGCAGTTCTCTCCATTCGTGTGAGCGAGGTCTTTGGTCGTTTCAGTAACTTGTGCTTCCTCTGATCGTCTTTCCCAGCCCAAATAAATCTCCGCCCGTTGAGTAATATTGGTCCCTTGACTTCTTTTGCTTATAGCGCGGGCACAGCAACAGAGAAGACGACGGCCCCTCTTTCTCATTTGGACCCCTCCACACCGGCTCACACGTCGCGTCTGACGACCAGCCCATACCCACAGTTTCCCTCGTGCTACTCTTTGTACCGTGCGGCCATCGACGTAGACGACTGGGCGGGAAAAGGGGTTACGAGCACATCGAGTGGCGGGAGTATTTACCAACCGGACCGGCATACCCATGTCAGCTTTCTCAGGCCGGTCTCCCTCGTTTTGGCTGCTGCTACTATGCACGTCACTCCTACTAGACGTTGTGCTGGCGGCAGAATATAGAGTGGACGACGTAGCTTCAGGAATCACCTACTCGGGGGGATGGCAACAGGGTGCGGGATGCACAGGGTTCGTGGCGGCCTTTGTCAGAGATACAAGAGCTGATGGCGAAATAATAGCTGCTTTGCTAAACCAAATAAGGACAATGCCTATGGAGGCACTTGGCATGATTCGACTAGGGGCTCCGGTGCAGCCAATTATTTCGAGTACACTTTCACCGGTACACTCCTCGATATATACATCGTCTTTGACTAACATGCATTAGGTGACGCTGTATCCGTATACGGCATATTTATCAATATTGTGGCTCGAAATTATACATTCACGACCAACGTCGACCTCACGCTCTCTATCGATGGCCAACTCGTAGACACCTTTAAGCACCAACCAGAGGACACAAACTCATATGCGTACAACCAGCTGTCCGTCTCTGTCAACGGGCTCCCCGCCAGACCACATACACTTCGTGTAGAACTACAGCCATCATCCAACTTTCTTGTCTGTCCCCTTCTTTACTCATCCACGACTTGAACTAACAACAAAACAGTTTGATTATTTGGTGTACAATACCCCGGACGTGACCGGCTCAACATCCAGCTCCTCCAGTTCAAGAAGTTCATCTTCTTCGACGTCATCCTCTACCACACAATCTTCAACTTCGACATCGACCTCCACTTCACGTCGTTCGTCGTTTTCTACGCTCGGTCCTGTCACGCTCGCCGATGACCCCGTGACAACTCCGCTCCCGACCCAGGCGAACAGCAACTCCGACCCACAGACTACGTACGCTTTATCCTTTCTTTTATTCCTCATTTAATTCCATTCATAGTACGACTAAATCCTCCAATCTGGGCGTGATAATCGGCGCGGTAATAGGCGGCTTTGGCGCACTTTTGCTCCTGCTCTTCCTCATCTTCTTCTTTTGCTTCAGAAGAAAGCAGCGTCAAATCCGGCAACAATTTGAGCAAAACCACAAAGAGGCATATGACTCAAATCCAGTATTCGACGGCTCACAGTCGCAGCCATTGGTCTCGATGACGGGTTTCGGACCGAATTATAGCAGCAATGGCATGGCAAACTATTATAATTCTGGTGCTCATGGAGGGCAAATGAATGATATGGTGAATCCATTCGTCCCGGGCAATGGGACGGTGGTCGTGCCACCTCTGTCGACGATAGAGAGACTAGGGGAGAATGGCGTGGACTACTCGAATCTCAACTCGAAACAGCGGATGATGCTCGACCATACGCAGCCATACACTTCACTGCAACAACCGACTTATCCTCCACAACCACTACGGCAAAGCAACGTACCAATATGGGTGAGGAATCTCAGTGACGATGGAGACATGTCCAGTCACACGGGTGCGCTCAGTGACGACTCTAGCCCTGGTGGTTTGAGGAGCTTTGTCCCTTCGCGCATGCAAAGGCAGAGTGAGAGTAATCATGGAGGTGCGAGGAGGGGGCCAAGGACGGCATCTGCGTCTGAGACGAGTGGATACCTCGAAACCGAATCCGACTCGACGTCCAACGCAAATTCGCGGGGAGCATACTCTGGTATTGTAGGGCGTTCATCGATGGAAAAGGGTTACGCGACCAGCATAAGCTCGCCATCGAATCAGGGCCATACGGTTCCTCTTCAGCACCTGTCGCAGTCTTTCCATCCGCTACAAAACCATCCGTATGCGAACCCAGATTCGTATAGACAATCCCGAATCCGGCATTTCCGCTAACGCGACGAATCCGAGCGCATTCTCCCACAACCAGACACAAGCCTACGCGCAGCTGGTCGAGCAAAAGGAGAGACGGACACGGGAGGAGCAAGAGGCTGTAGACGAATTGGCGTTTATTCACTCTGCCGGGACGAACGAAGATAGTCATAGACTGAGTATGGGAACGACGGCATATACATACACGGACGGCGGGTTGGTCGACCGTCGTGCGCCATCTGCACCGCCGCCGTATATCCGTTCGCCACCACTACCAGATGCACCGGTTCCATCTGTTGATGTGAGTGTGCTCAATGGAGGTGTGCCGCCTGTACCACCATTGAGGGAAAAAGCCGGATGGGTGTAATGGAGATGTGATATTCATAAGCCTCTTTATTAATATGTTAACTCGAGTGCCATTCGTTTTACCCGACCTAAAGATATGCTGAGCGTCGACGGTGGCTAAGCTCGTCGAGTCTCCTTGAACCCCCACTACTACCAACGGTTGAGCGGAGATGCCAATAAAATGAGTATATTTGCATCTGGATACTCTTTATCATGGTCTCGGCTTTACTGTGGATCTGCCGCCCGACTCGGTTGGGGACGCCTTGGGACTCCAATGACGAGGCTGACGGCAGGCTTGACGCACCCAACTGCAAGAATATAGTGTATTCGCACGCTACAGCTCTGGGAGAATACCTGGCTGGGACGATAATAGGGGCATTTGAACCTTGTATCTTTCCTATGGCACCTGATGCCTTAGAAATCAAACAGATTCCTGAACCGCGCTCGCAGTCGCCTAGCAAAATCCGGCTTGGGTTCCTTGGGAGATTCTGGCCCCGGTGGCGATGACGTAGCGTTCTCGGAACTCGAGCGCGCGCAGGATCCACCCTACAAAAGCCGCCCATGACGCGCCCTCCAACCTTGGACTCACCCACGACTTGCCAACCAAAGCAAACGCTAGACAGACAAACATGCCGTTCACCGCTTCAGACATCTTCAAGGTTTGTCCTTTCACATCCTCATAAGCCATACGGTCATCGTACCACGCCTTCTCGTCGTCGCCCTGTGCGCTCAGACGGAAATATCTCAACAAATGGACGTCAAGCAATGATACTGACACTCTGACTCGGTTTAGATCATCCTCGCTATCCTCCTTCCGCCTCTCGGCGTCTTCCTCGAGCGCGGGTACGTCTATCCTTGTTGCACTCTCCCTCGCGCTTCAAAATAGATCTGACAATCTTCCTATAGATGTGGTGGTGACCTCGTCATCAACGTACGTCCTTAACATATCTCCCTTTCCCTTTATACCTTGTTCTGACAACCCCATAGATCCTCTTGACAATATTGGGATATATGTACGAGCTTCCCGCAGTCCCTTGACATACTCACTAACATACCTTATAGTCCCGGTATCATCCACGCCTTGTACATTATCCTAAAGTACTAGGCCCAATACCCCCCGTTTTTTCGTCCACAGGCTCCGGGAAATGACGAGTAATCGACAACGACACGGACTAGTATTTCGGAACCGCATTCGACAAGCAACTATGCACGACCTTTGCTATCAGTGCGCCGACAAATCCCTGTAGCTCTGTATAATCTTTGCAATCTTAAGACCGCTTTATCTGTTACTCTTTCACGTGTCACTGAGAACTAGGTGTATGATTACTGCGAAATAAGACACAAGAACAAAATGACAGGTGGATCACGCGAAACCTTATGGGCGCGCTGCAAATGGGTCAGTCTTCCGGCTCGAAGAGCTGCCCGTTGAAAACTTACACAACTGTTCCTTGCGATAGAACCAGAAGTAGCCCACCACGATGATGATCTGGCACAACATGGCGATCCAAAATGGTCCAGATGCCATCGGACTTCCCTCCAGCCCCTTTGAGAAATCCCACTTGGACGCGTCAGGGAACACGGAACCAGGTCCGATTCGGTTTGGCGCCGTCGCGCGAGCCACCATCACGCACACGCAGCCCAACAATTGTGCGAGCGCCAACGTTGCACACACGTGTAGTCGAGACAGGGTCTGCAAAAGAATCATCCCCAATCCGACTCCTTGGATCGCGTCCAACACCCCCAACCATAACCATAGTGATGTCCCCAAATACGGTCCAGCCTTGCCTGCCCATGGAATATACAGCGCAAGCGACGACGTTCCCCAGAGCATTTGGCACCAGCGGGGAGCTCCTAGGCCGACCGCAAAGACCGGTAAAAACCAGGTGTGAGTCTTGGTTAGCCGTGTAAGAATGACCATCATAAGCCACCATACGCCGACAAAGAATGTGATAACTAGGAGAAGAATCGCCCAAGTTGGCACGAATGCACTCCAAAGGAATGACCAGTTTCGCCCGTATGGTCCACTGAGCCAATAGTCTCGCAAAATCTCCGATGCCAGAAACCACAGGACCAGCTTACGCCTAAATAGTGTCTTCATAAAGTTTGGGACTTTGGGTGGCGTTTGACGATAATAGTCTAGAATGCGATCAGACTTGCCCCTTACGGAGAGTTACTTATCCACCTGGAAGTCCATCACGAATGCACCACATGAACGCAAAGCACATAATCGACAGTGGCCACAAGAGTATCACAACCCACCACGGAGCCTTTGAGCCAGGCATCGCGCCGTTCAGCTTGTGACCCCAATACCAGAGCGCTGTGACCCAGATTTGTTGAGAGCCTTGTACAATACACGCTCGCATGGTCCAAATCTCCGTAGCAGCACCCTATAGACCGATGAGCTCTGATAGCTCGACAGTTGAGAATGGACTTACAGCCTCCTCCCCAAAGTTTAGCCCAAAGAACAGGAATGCCGCAGCCGACGCGACAGCATAGCACCAAGTAGCGATGCTCGTGATCATATCATGTGTCAGCATAGAGAACGAGTCGGTTATGGACGGGACTCCGACGAGGAAAAACGCCATGCCGTAGAAGATCCATGGGTAGGAGAGAACCCAAACGGATGGCTTGAGCCGAAAGAGAGTGTACCACACGAGAGAAGCGACAAAGAAGACGCATCCGAGGACGTATAGTTGCATATCGCCTTGATAGTTCTGACCAGAGAGTAGCGTGATTTGAAAGCTGGTCGCCCCAAGCATTTGCCCAAGCGCTAAAATGATAGCATAGACTGGCCATCCCTTGATCTCTCTCGCCATTCGGAGCTGCATAGCTGTCATCATCGGTGGTCCCAAAGAGTTCGGAAGCGGTCCAGTATAGTTTGCCCTATCGAACTCGTGTTCAAGTGGCGCTGAAAACCATGAGCTATCGCCTACATACACAAAAACAAGTATCGCACAGGCTGGGCGAGAGTCATAGTGCAGCGATGTGACGCCTCCCCACAAAGACTCTCGCCTTGAAGAGAGAATACTGGCGGCACTGGACATCTTGTCTTTCTTGACCTTGTTGAAGAAGTCTTCCTCACTCTTTACGAGGAATCTCTCTATAGAGAGTTCACCTTTAGAGTTTTCCGCCGACAAGGCCTGAAGCTTTGCAACGAATGCCTGAGCTACTTCTCCATCTTGATCGGTAAACTAGGACGGGTTTAATAAATGAATCAGATTTGGATAGAATGCTTAACTTACCGATGCAATCGCCTGGTTGAGAGGCGAGTCGCTCTTCTCCTCCATAATACTGGAGATGGACTCGACGGAAGAAAGCCGAGAATGACGACCAGCAAATGGCTTGTGAAGCGCATTCGTGTTCTCTAGAAACGGATCACCAAGGTGCTTCTGCTCTCGCGCGATTTGCTTGTTGGCACGGGCAAGGAAGTCGCTGTAAGGCCCAACAATTTGTGCTTCAGGAGGCGTAACAACTCCACTATTGTCAAGGGACCTGGAGCGGCTGATGCTATCTTCGCTGTCAGAGTGATCCGTGCTGGCCGAACCACTATCGAATCTACGAGGAACCAGGCATTGTGTCGACGCCAGCGGGGACCTTTCACTGCTTTGAGAGTGAACATGTCGAATGGAGCCAATCGAAGGAGGGTCGAGGCTTTCATGACCTCCTGTCGAACCACGCGCACTTCCAATGGTGCTCGAAGCCCAGTCCGGTCGTGAAGGATCGTCTTGATGCTCAGGAGTCCAGTCTTCTGGCTCTAATTCTGGCTTAGGCAGTGGCTCTTGACAGTCCGATTCGCGCCAGGCATTCGCACCAGCCAGGTTCCTACTCTCGATAATGCTCCGGCTGTGGAAATCCTCCATCTTTTGTCGCCATTCTACGACCGGGAAACGCTGTACAGCTGACCGTGCACGCAGGATGGCACGTTCTTCCTGACTAGAGGCCAGTGCCAGCTTGATTGTCTTCGTCAGCTGCGATAGCATATGTGTCGTGGAACTCGATTCGACCGAGAACCACTGTTGAGAATGAGTGCCCCATATCATGCCACTACTCAGCACGTACCCATCCAGGCATTAGACCAAGACCACCCAATCGACTCCCAACTCCGAGAGCACCCTTCCTCCCAAACTCTACGGCTACGAGACCAAAGGGCTCGTCCCGAGAAGGAATCAACGCAAAATCGGCCCCACTGAAAAGATAAGGCGGTAGTGCGGTAAACTCTGGCTTCGAATAGACCCTCTCAGGATACATCTCCATCAGCCGAGCCAGTTTTTCTGCAGCAAAACGACCGTATAAGTCGATCACCGGACCGACGGCGATGAGCTGGACAGATGGCTTCTTTTCCAATCTATCGTTGGTGTCAGATATGTAGAAAGCCAGCGATTGAACGCACATGGATGGCATGACATCCGCGATCAGGTCCACACCCTTCTGTTTAGACCATCGTCCGACGAACACAAATAGATCAGCGTCTGGATCCTGTTTAATCTTCGCCCATTCCTGTGCCTGTCTTTTGAGCTCAGGTCGAGCGGCTTCGGCTTTCTCATCAACCTTGATATCAGCCAACGCTATGGGCGTTTCTTCTAGGGCAGCGATATCGCTCGGGTCTAGTGGCAAACATTACTAGATACTCTGCTGTTGGAACAAGTCACTGACCGGGATTTGGCAGGGAATCGACGTGCTTCAGCGTCCACAGCGCAGGATATCGTGCCCAACTGCGCTTTCCATACTTGTCGGAAACCCCCGCCACACCAATGCTCTTCTGATGAACGCTGATGAACGAGGCGGCGGCGTGCAGGAGGTTGAAAGTGTTGCCAAACTGGACATATTTTGTGCAATGTTCCTTTGGAATGTTGAAAGCTGAACACACTTCCTTCATCTCCTCCTTGGTTCGCAGAGGCCACAGGCCTTGAAACTCGGCATTGTGTAAGGAAAGGCAAACGGGGATGATTTTGGGGAGGAGATAAATGGGAGCAAGTGCGCCATGGTAATCGTTAATGTGATATATATCGATCAGCGGGAATCTCCTAATTGTCTCCGCAATTGCTTGGTTCCATGTCGAATAAAAGATTGCCGAGCTCAAGTCGTCCATGCGTGCAGGGTACGGGTCCGCCTTGGTCTGCGCTCGAAAAACTGGACTCTCTAGAATCACGTAGGTAATGTTATCCAAGGTATGTGTTTCCACCTCGATAAGATAGGTCTCGCCAAAGATGACGACCTCGATTGGCTCCGCTGGATCTCCGGCTGGGTACTCCAGGTCCTTGACCTTTGGAACCACCCATACCAGGTCCACATCGTTCATAGCTTTGCCCATCAAACTCGACATTACGCCTAGTCCTCCAATCTTGACCTTGAGCTTCCAGTCGATGATCTCGTATTCCAATGTAGCGATCAAGACTTTACGCCTCTTTTGTGGGTTTTCTGGCCAGCCAATTATGTCTGACGCGTGCGAGGGTTTGATCCAACCCTTGAACTTTTCTTGAAGATTGGCTGTACTTGGAAAGCCGTCTCGACCCAGGATAGGCAGGTACGGGTGGTGCTCCTTTGGCTTCATCCCCCATTTGTTGTGCTTGATGCCATAGAAAGCCCATCTAAACGCAGCCACTGATGCGATCGCCGTGATGAGGGGAATAATAAGGAGCAAGACAAACATGACGGCTCCAACGACGGCATGGCCGCGAGGCTCTATCTCCCATCGACCAGTCCTGTCATTGATCCGCAATGCCCATGCGAGGTGCTTTCCGCATGTCAACAAATAATATCTCTCACATCAATTGAAACACACCGGAGCTGGAGGTATCGACATGTTGAGATAATTTGGTGCGACGGTGTTGGGCGGCAATCGTTCCATCACGCCATCCCCGTCTGTGTCTCCGTAAAAGTAGTTATCAAATGAAAAGACGTTTGCTTGAACAATGCTGGGCCACTGTGCCATGATCTAAAGGTGTGTCAGTCGCGGCTGCGAGACTATCAACGGTTTTACCTCGAGCTCCCATATCCCGTCCTTCTTGTGCTCCATTTTGGAAGGCACTCCTTTATCGTAGCCCCAGGTATTGTAAGGGCCCCGAATGATGAATTGGGGTACTCGACGCGGGAGATCATAGCCATGATCGGCATGGACGATATGAGCCGTCGAAGCTGCAAGGCTAGCCCAGTCTAGATGGGGTTGAGCACGAGTTCCTGTTGAAAATACCCAACTCACATTGAACGATGATGTGATCTCCTTCCCAAAAGCAATCTGGGCAGTCCTCGAAGACGGTTTTGGGAATATGCGTAACATCCTCATAGTCCATCCAAACAGTATGATTTTTTCCAAAGTTCCAGGAGTAGCGGAACTTCTCCGCTCCCTTTGCTCGATGTGTAAAGACATACTCCCCTCCTTCAATCTTGAACACGTCCCCGGTGGGAGCGTAGTCATGATCTGGAAACACTATTACATTTTCTGCCGAGCCTTTACGGAAAATAAGATGATCAATCGCCTGTGTCGTGTCAGAGCCCTCGTTGTTGGGGGGACGCGTAACGACAATCTCGATGATTCCATCTGGGACATCAATAAGTGTAGCCGACCAACGCCAAGTCGAGGACACGTCTCCAGCGAGGTAAGTGGTGTTTTGGCCACCAACTATGTGACAGTCGACTGAGCCATCTTGTACCCGTGGCCTGAGGTCACTTCCAGATGAAGAGGCCGCCACAGAGACGGCAGCGGATACTCCATTGCAAGACATCTCGACATTGAATTCGAGTGCGATTTTGACTGTCGTGTCGTTGCTTGCACCACGACTCAGGATACGTACATCGTGTCCTGGCTCGAAAAGGGTGAGCATAGGACGAGGGGGCACCCACATGTCTTGTGGGACGAGTGCCTTAAACGAGAATGGGTCCATGGTGATCGCTGGCAAGCACCCTCGATATGGAGGATTGCTATCGTTGAAGTACGACGACTGAGAATCTTGGAGTGTGTATGTCTCGAAAGGCGCGAAAAGGTTGCGCACTGTGGTGCCAGATACGTAAGGGGACGTGATCCATCCGTCGCTCTTGCAGTCAAATGTGTAGTCGCGAGTTTGGTTCTCGTTGGTGTATAACAAGTAGACTTGGTCGGCGTATGGTCCAGTAAAATTTTGTACGGACGGCAATGCTGAGCGACTGACATACCAAAGACCGAGCTCTGTCAGAGTATGGTTGGATCCAGGGAGTTCGATGAAATGAGTCTTGTTTCCCCACTGCACGAGGTTGAAACCGTCCTGGAGAGATGGATAAATTGTGCGTAGATGATTGAACCTCGAGATTAGCCGTCGTGGAGGGGCAGTAGGATCGAAATGGTCGAGTCCATTCCAAGCGTCGTGGCAACCTCGAAGGGCCTTGTCGAGAGGAAAGTCAAAATACTGCTGGGATCCAAGTACATAGCATCCATGTCTTTCCCAGGCCTTTGAGGATGCCATCGGCTGACGTCCAAAGATGTAGTTGGCCGCGCCGTTGTCTAGAACGTAGAATGCTTGCTCTTCTCCATAGTAATACTGACATCGTTAAAAATCGACGGGGTGAAACAAAAAAGGAAACTTACCAGAGGGATACCTGGCATCACGAGAGTTGCAACAAAGAGGCCCAGCATATTCTTCTCGACGCCGTTATGGAGCGCGGGCCACCGGAAGACGTCAAAATTGGAGATGCCATACAGGTGGCGAGGATCCACCGCGCCCGTCTCCTTATTAAGAAAGTCGTTGTTGACAAACATCTGGTTCCATGCGGTGACAAAGTTGACGTCCACGTCGTATGCCACTTGTAGATTGCCGTCCATTCCAAGGAAACGACACAGAGAGCGATAAATGGAGTAGTGGAACGCGACAGAGTCGAGTGCAATATGCTGCCTGTCGCGGAGGAAGAACTGGCTCTGGTCAGGCGTGACTTGGGATGCGGCAATGAACCCAGGGGGTCGCTGAGTGACGGTGCGACCACGGCCGAGGTAGATTGAGCCGAATCTATCGCCACCAGTGACTTCACCTGGAATGAAGAAGTTGTTCTTGCCAAACCTTTTCGCACAGGCATGCGTCGCCGTCGTCCATTCTGCGAGTGCGTCGAGTGTCACTTGAGTGGCCTTGTCGATTCGAATGGCATCAATGTCGAGTGCTTCAATGACCATACATGAGAATTTCTTGATCTTGGCCATGACGGGCGATTGCCATTCTCGAAGGCGGTCCTGAACGGAAGCAAACTTGGAGAGCTGGCGTTGCCAATCCGGGTGAACACCAAACGCCTCCATGTCTCCAAACTGATCAAACTCGGATCCATAGCACCCGTCGTACGGTACATCGACAATGATGCCTTCATCCGTCCAGAATGTAGGCAGTTGGCACGATTGGTTTCGCTCGTTGCTGAACTATCGAAATGTAAGCTCGATTTGCTCGTCCAAGAGGCACATACCTTGAAGTCGGGATACTCCTCCATCCCCCATGGAGCATATGCTGGTCTCTTCCAAACGGCGTCGTACTCTGCCAAGCTGAAGGGCGTAGACGTATTGAGGTGTCTATAAGGAGTTGAGCAATTTCTCAGATCAAAATAATTTCAATGCGTACCCTTTGAAGCCGATAAAGTCACCCATGGTGCCCACGGTGAAGTCTGCCATAAAGTACATTCCACGATTATGGAGCTCGTCGATGAACGCTCTCCATTCATCGATTATACCCCAGTGAGGGTCAAGAATCGAAAAATCGAGAGCAGAGTAGCCTGTCAAAAGGTTAGTCTGGCTTGGAATGGAACTGCGTGACGCACTGTCAGCCTGCCACGGCATGTTAAGAAAGGGCGTTCCTGCGATGTATATCACGCGTATACCCATTCCTTGGATATAGTCTAGGTGGTTGAGGAGGCCACGAATGTCGCCACCGAAACGAAGGTTGATCTCATTCTGGTCGTGCTCGAACATGGTGCTGAAAAAGTCGTTGTTTACAGGGTCACCATCCGCAAACTTGTCGAGGAGAATCGTGTAGACTGGGAGCTCGCGCCAGTTGCGAGGCGATGGCGTGTGGTTTCCCTCTGGCCTGCTGGTGCTATACTGCAGAACATTCTTTCCTGCATCCTTGTTTGTGTTCAGGTTCCATGGCACGAGATCTTCGCGGAATTCATGGGCAGACACGACAGGCTGCTCGTGAACAATGGTTGTGAGCCCAAACAGAGCGAAAACGACGAGTAATGCGGGTAAAGGAGACTCCAACATTAGGAGGTATACGTGGTGTTAATTTGGTGGTATCGTGGCGAGCGGGTTTTGGTGAATGACGAGACCGAGAAGTGGCGAGGACCAAGTTGGCTCTCCCACTAAAATCGACGGCAACAAGCACTTGCAGATGAAACAATAGTCAGTATTTGGAGCCATTCGAGACGTGGATTGCATACCCAATTTGCTACGGAGGGACTCTTGGACCTAGGGGGATTCACTCCCTCCGCGACACTTTCTCACAGCAATCGACAGAGGAGCTGCTAGAATGAAGTTGTTCGAGCTCTTCCATGCTTCCGAAAGACGAGAAAGAGGGCAGTTGGACCTCGCCGAATCCTGTTGCGTCTCATTTCGAGCAAGACGAGAGCCCAATATCCCCTTTGAATTGCATTTAACACACATTTCAAGGGAAATCTGCAACTAAAACAAAGCCGTGTCGTTTTCCCTGATTCGAGCATGTTGATGTGCCCAGAGAAGAGTAAGAGGATAAGGGAAAATGCAAGGAAGGCTAGAGGAGAGCAACTTCAGATCATGTTGACTGCCCCCGACGTCACGAAAACTTGGCTGCAACCATAACCATTGCGAGATGGAGAGCGAACTCTTGCGCTATGAGCAGCTCGCGAATCCGAATCCAGGCAAAGCGGTCAAAACGAAGACGGTTCCTATCGCCCAGACACTGTCCGATTTGGCTCAATTCCTGCGTGACGAGCGTGACCGGCTCGTGAATCAGCCAGAGGTACCGCCCTTGGCAATCCAGCAGACGTTTCAGACGGCCCTTGCAAATATAGAGGCATCAAAGGCGCAGATTGACGAGCGTCTGAAGGAGACGCACGCATCAGGGACGAAGATTGGCAAGCTCATTGACAAGGTTTGCCGTTTTCTCACTTTTGACTGGACGAATCCTAACGCAGTGGTAATGTACACAGAAGACACCAGTTTTGTTACCAGAGCATGAGCCACTCTTTCAAAGTACCGATGCCGTGGAAGCCATTAAGCGGACTATTGGCCAGCACCTCATCCGCACGGGAGCTCTCCAGGCGGCCAACGTGTTTGCAGAGGTCATGAATGCATCATTAGATACCATAATCACACTTTCTAACGCACATTACAGGAGACCGCCACCGAGCTCGACTCGGCCGAAATTGCCAAGTTTGCAGAGCTACGCAAGGTGGTGGGAGCTCTGCGTGTCCATGATGTTGAGCCCGCATTAAGGTACGTATATTATCAGGGACCGGGAAAACCCAGCCTGACGTCCTCTGTACAGCTGGGTTGAGGCCAACAGGGGCTTTTTGGAAGCGCAAGGCTCAGACCTCGAATTTCTCCTCCACAGATCCCAATATCTCCGTATCCTTTCAGAGTCCCCAATCCCAACGGATATCGCTCCGGCGTTTGAGTATGCGAAACAGCATCTTTTGCCATTGGAGCCCCGTTATCCATCAGAGGTCCCGAAATTGATGAACTGCCTAGTGCTCGGGGACTCTGTCTCGCGAATCTACCCGGACCTCGCGTCGCCAGAGGTGCATAACCGACTCGAAGGCGCATTCAGTCGAGAATATTGCGCAAGCCGGCACGTCAGCAATCAGGCCCCCCTCAAAGTTGTATCTATAATCGGCGGGGGGATCGCATTACCCCGTATAGAGAAAGGCAAGAAAATTATGAAGGAGCGCAAGGGCGAATGGTCGCACACCGAGGAAATACCGGTACGTATTCATATGGGACTTTTGGGGTACCTGTTGAACCTTCGAGTACAGGTGGAAATTCCTTTGCCACCGGAGAACCACTACCACTCCGTTTTCACCTGTCCGGTGTCAAAAGAGCAGGCAACGGTCGTCAATCCACCGATGATGCTCCAGTGTGGACACGTCATCGTTCGGGAGAGTCTCCAAAAGTTGACCAAGGTGCACACGTTAGTATCCTCTTGTTTCCGCCGAACGTGCAGCAAAATTTTGACATGTCCGCCTTAGACGGGTAAAATGCCCCTACTGTCCACGCGAAAGCGATGCTCGACAGGCTGTTCGCCTCTATTTCTGACATTTGAGAGCGGCCATTTGAGCCCGCGGACATAGCAGGCCTGGGCGCCGACTCGACCGCTGTACCGGGTTCAGGCGTGCACAAAAAGCATATTATTTCAAACCCTACGATATCTCGATATTTCTATTGTGTTCATGTAGGACCCTTTGCTATCGCCATGTAACATTAACCCCCACTCTTAGCGTAAGACAAGAAAAATCTTGGAGAACAAAAAAAAATATTAATCGCGGGCTTCGTTCCAGTATCCTTCTTCGTCCGAAGTCATCTCCATCTCGTCTTCGGCTACTGGCTGGGGCTTCTTCTCAATCGATTGAGCCCATGCCACGACTCGCGGATGGGCCATTACCCTGAGAAATGATTCAGTCATCCTCTTCCAAACTCGAAGCCCCCCCTCCCAATTTGGGAGACTCCACGAGGCGACGGGTTCTCGGGGAGGCGGGGCAGCCACTCACTTATCCTGACTAAAGTTTTTCACTTGAAGACCAGCAAAGCTGGTAGCGCGAGAGACTGCAACGTAGGCTATGCCAAATTCAGCCATCCTCTCTCCGTCTTTTCCCAGCAGACCAGCCAATAAGCGCCTCACCTTGACCTTTTTCGAATATGCCGTTCAGATCCACTTTGACACGCTCGAGCGTTTGTCCTTGGGACTTGTGGATGGAGAGCGCCCATGCAAGGATGAGCGGCACCTGGCCGGGCGAGGTTGTCAACCCAAAAATTAGGGCGGTGAGAAAGAGCGGGGAGAATGTACCTGTTGCCGCATAGCTTCTGAATTTCCATGCGCGTTTACAACTTCAAAGGGCATCGGTGGCATAATCCTGACTTCACCAGTGATAAACTTGACCATTGGCCAACGGGGTAATGTATATGACGAGGGGTTTCTCTCTAGGTCTCCTCCAGAGTCGTCAGTGTTGGCGTCATCGAGTTGAGAGGCTTCACGGCGAGTGGAGTTGTCGTCTCCTGCTGCAGAGATACCATGATAGTACGCCCCTTCGGTCGTCTCAAAGGAGACAATGGTCCCGATGGAGCCGTTGACCAACTTGGTTTCAGGGATGTTCTACTGTACGTCAGTCATGCGTCTAGATCCGTTGAGAATGAGGCACGACTTTGATGAGCATGACTTGTGCCCCAACGCGAAGCGTGAGGACGCGTGGAGCAAGTGTATCATCCAGGAGCTTGGATGCTGCTTCTGGTTTGATGGATTTCCCGTACATGTCGTGAAAGGCATAGTCCATGGCAATAAAGCGAAGTTCCTCGCCTGGTAAAGCATTTAGTCGTGCATTGTTGGCACCTTCGACCTGAGCTCGAAGAGGAAAGAGCTCTGTCGGTTCGATACCGTCGTCGTATTCGACTTCTCGATCGAGCTTTCGAAAATACCATAGGCCAATCGCGTCCACTTGCCCCATGCGCATCATATCGAGCATTTCGATGAGCTCTGAAGAGATGAGAAGGCATGCTTGGTTTGAAGGATGTGAAAAGACGGACCGTTGTCTCTTTGTCTAAAGACTGTGCGCAAGGTGATCATTTGCTTGACGCATCTGGACCACGATTCGGCTTCGAACGCAAACTTTGTCGTATCCCGTTGTCCCGCAGAAGGCGCCTTGGAAACAGGAGGCAGCTGGAAGAAATCGCCACAGATGACGAGTTGTATCCCCCCAAAGGGTTCGTTGTTCCCCCTGATAGCACGAGAAATCTGTTCGAGCTTGTCAAAGAGATTCCCGTCCACCATGGAAACTGCAAGAAACCTGTCAGCATGGCTCATTCAGGGCCACATATCGGACCGACTTTCGTCAATGACGAGAACTCTTGTCGCCCACCATCTCCCCTTTGCTTTTGTCCCTTTCCGGATGTTTTTGATTAACACTTCGGCTGGTTCTTTCCCGAGGCCAATCCCTAGATCATCGGAGGGGGTTGTGAAAAGGTTGAGAATCACGTCGGGTGCAGACGGAAGCTCGTGCCGCACCTGCGTATGAATGAAGCGTCGTACCACCCACATTGATAGCCGCGATTCCTGTGTAGAGGTTATACGGACCGAACGCCTTAAATGCGAATTTGAGAGCGACTCACCCGTGCTAGCGGTGACAAAGACGCTTCCAGAGCTGTACATGCGCCTAAGGCGTCGGATGACCTCTTTCAACGTAACCGATTTACCGGTTCCTATATCCGTAGATCAACTATGGGGCCACCCATTCAGGAAGCCGGGCCGACGACATACCAGCAGAACCGGTGAAGAAGATGGAGTGTCCGGCCTCACACTGACGTACTACATGCTCTTGTTCGTCCGAGAGCTCGATAAGCTCTTGGCGGGGGACGCCAGGCTCGGGTGTAGTCCGGTCGTAGGTTATCGGGGCATGATCTAAACAGAGTAGAGAGATAAAATGAGTGTGTACAAGAGGTAGACTGAGCTCGACACACCCTGTGATGGAGGGACGGTGTCTCGGACACCGGATTCGTTTGTGAGCCACATCCAGGCGGTTTCGCTCGAGTCAAATGATTTGAATTTTGCCCCGGGGTATTTGTTGACCTGTTTAGAGATGAAAAGAGGCTAAAGTCAATGGTAAATGCAAACCATGGCATTGCACTGGTCCCAGTCTGTGTAGACATCTGTCCCGAGACGTCCATTGAGGACGGCATAGAACCTGGAGCGGGGCATGACCAGCAAAAGGCTGGTGGTTATTCGGATCCGGCTAGGGGCGAGTGGTACAAGGAGCGGGGCCGGGTCCAAGGTTTGCCACGAGAGCCTGATAGGACACTTGACTGGTCACAAGGAGGGCGGGTGGGGACTCTTGGAGCCTGTCTGTGGCATTTCCCAGGCCTTGCAATGCCTCGCAGGGGGGGATTCCAGCGACTTCTTGGGGGCTCCCAGGGGTCCCCAGGGGGTTCCCCGTCGTCGGAGTTGGGTCCCATAGAGATATAGACTCGCCATTAGATCGCGGGTGGCTCAATCCAAGAGCAGGTGGATTCAGGGAATATCGTGAAAAAACATCGGAGAATGCAAAGACGCCCCTTTGCCGGTAAACTAAGAACGGGACGTGGTCTACTAGACCGAGTGCGGGAATGTTGCCCTATTCCTTGTTACTTTTCCCGCAGAGCCTATCTCGCGCCTAAATAATTCTAGTATCGATGAGAAATGCGGGCCATCCACACTTGCGTCTCTTGGCCGCTCCCACTTCCAACGACTTGTCACGGTCCGTCAAATCCTCCGCTCCTCCAGCCCGCTCAGCATTTCGATTCTTGTCCAGAATCTCACAGACGACATTCTCACTCGACCCCCGCGTCCTTAGAGCCGCCTGCAACTCCTCCCCATCCTCCACCGCCCGGCGCACAAGTAGAGCATTTTTCACGACATACCCAGAGCTCTCCAGCTTTTATAGCTTACGTTTTTACACTCCCAAAGCCTAGTTGTTCAAGGCTCCCTCTGGCTCCCTGCACGACATTTTGACCGCCCCGACCCCGCTGCCCATCGATTAACCCATCTTAGAACCCATGGATCAGTGGCGAGTAACCGTTCTTGGTGATGGAGGTGTTGGAAAGACTGCCCTCGCCGTCCAGGTCAGCTGCGTTCCCCGTCTCTGCCCGCCTTCTGCCTTTTCCCGCTCCCCCGTCCCCTCTCATCCCGCCCGCCCGTGTCCCCGGCTGCGATTGCGTTATGCACAGCGGTGCGCTGACATGTTTTCCAACAGTTTACTCTCAACTGCTTTATCGGTTAGTCCTTTCTTTTCCTTTCGCGGACGGGCGGCCGCTCACACACGCCTTTGTCCGTGTCTTGTGCCGATCCTCTTTGTCGTATTCGCTCTTTTCCTCCTTCCGGTATACAGAGGTAAGCCCGCCCCCAAAAGCCGTACCATTTCTCCTCAGGCTGACCCTGAACGCCGCTTGTTCGCCGTGACCCATCAAATCAACCCCCTCAACCCCCTCCCCCCCGTCGCTCCCTCGCCTATTGGGTTTTGCCCTGCCCCCATCTCTCTAGACGTATGACCCGACGATTGAAGATGCCTATCGCAAACAAATGATCGTCGATCAAAAATTGTGCTTTATAGAAGTCATAGACACCGCCGGTCAAGGTGCGTTCCAAACTCTGCTCCTTACCGAAATCAGAATAAAAATCTAATCGGTAAATCTTCCCAGAGGAGTATTCGACCCTCCGCGATCAATGGGTTCGGTAAGCCTGTCCAACCCGTCTCGAGTTTTCTCCGTCAACTCATCTCATCCCAATCATCCCTTGCAGAGAGGGACAAGGATTTGTCCTCGTCTACTCCATCGCCTCGAGAGCCACATTTGACCGCCTCGAGGTCTTTCGACAGAACATGATCCGCGTCAAGCGCACACAGCCCGTCTTTGTCCTCGTCGGCAACAAATGCGACAAGACCTATGAACGAGAAGTCTCGCGCGAAGAAGGTGCCGCCCTTGCCCGTCATTTCGGCTGCGACTTTTTGGAGACAAGCGCAAAGACGGCTGCAAACGTGGACAGGCTCTTTACTGACCTCGTCCGTACGTTGCGGTACCACAAGGAGCTCAATGAGAATGGCGGCGCGCTCCCACCCCAAGGCGCAGGCCCTCACAGTGGCCAAGGTGCGCGTGTCAAAAAGCCGCCACGCAGCAAGTGTGTTATCGTCTGAGGTGCCATCGCACCAGCACCCACGATCTCCATGTGCAGCCAGTCTACCCCTTTTTTTTTTGAGTCTCATTCGGGAGCGGTTCGACGGACTCCTTGGCGCCATCTTCCTCCCGTTTTTCCTGCTTCCTCCCTCCCCAACCTCCGGCCTTTTTTCCCCCTTTTACTGGCTACATCATGGCCTTTTCTCCCCCCACACATGTCGCGGCTGTACCCCCCTTGCCTCGATAGCTGCCTCCTTAGTCGCCGATCGTGCTCTCTCCCTCCCCTCTTGTCGTGAAGTTGTCTCTGTTTCCAATTTCTCGCCACCGCTTTTCTTCATTTGGCGTTTTCAAACTCGTGTGCTCACCCGAAACGGGCCACTACTGACGGTCGTCTACCCCGCCAATCACGACCTTTGACCATCGCCACGGGCTAACCAGAGGGAGATTATGTGGAGGGGGCTTAACGCCGCGTGCTCGGCTCACTTCCTAGCATATTGCTGGCGCCGGCATGAAGAGCTCCCCGGGGTCTATGCAAACCAAACCACCACGCGTACACGCATACAAAAAAAGACTGAACCAAAACCGGATGTGAGCTCATAACCCACTACCTTTCTGCGAGCGTGGAGGGGGCACGCGCCGTTCTCGGGGAGTTTCTTCACACCTCCTTTTTGCCCAGAGCTTGCATGTGTATGCCAGCTATGGTCGTTCTCTCACACCGCCCCTCGTCCTCTTGTATATAGCTCTCGCTCTCACCTCTCACACGATGTATGACATCGTGGCACTGCTGTCGTCTATCTTCATCTGGCACTCGTCGTCCTCATGCAACTCAGACGACGGATCTGCATCTTGTTTCTTTTCTTCTCCTTTGGGTCGTCCTCTCTCTTTCTTACGATTCGCTCCTGTACGTTGATAAAAAGTGAACTCTTGACGCGCGAACGACCTTTCATTTTCCTCTGTAAACGTGGCGTATGCATCTATTGGGCCTCGCTTCCGGCCAGGCCATGAGGTCACGACCCTGGAGATGGTACGCTATCCCGGTCAGACGGTTTTCGGAAGCCTTCGAATCAAAGTATATTTGCAGAGGAGCTTGATACAAACGATTAGAGCGGGATGTAGACAGACGAGCCAAGCAGGCCACCTCAACAGAATCGATCACTAGCGGGTGACGGCACGTTAGAACGCCAACGTTTGAGAAGCAAAAGGTTAATGTGACACACCTCTTTAATTTGATACGACGATCGAGCATGGCTTCTGCAAGCTTGCCTTCTTTGCGTGCCTTCTTCAATGCCCTGGTATCCTCTGAGGATACAACGGAACGGCCGGCCCCCCACGCTTGATAGATGCGACTATTGAACCATTGATTAGTTTTTGTGACGTGTCGCGTGCGCCGGAGAGTGCCCTTGGACGAAATAGGCAAGAGCGAGACGAGAAAACATACTTTGTGCCCGCTTCGTCAATCTTTGTCATGCCTTCTGTAATCTTTTGCTTCTTCCTCTCTTCCTCTGTTGCCTTTTTGACGTGTCCAAACTGTACTTTGACCCACCACTTTTCTTGAAAGCCAACCGTTTCTGCATCTGCGCGGAGTGCGAGACCTCCCCCGGCGACTTCATCCAGCCCGAGATAGTTGCCGTACACATTCTGAAACGCCAATGTTCCATCTTCGAGTACCTGTGGTGTCCATTCTTCCTGTGGCCCACGAGCTTTTTGTGGTGTGCGTCAGTAAACAGATGTAAGCGACTGTAGAAAAGAACAAGACCTTCGCGGTTTGCAGAGACCAATCCAACACGGTCAGATGATAGGAATTTTCCTTCTGGAGTACGAAAGTTGATCGTTTCTGTCCCGGCGATGTGCGTGACAACCCAGACATGTGACACTTCCTTTGGCTCGTATGCCAGCAGTGGAATCGTCTCCGACGTCTCTGGGTCTGTGCGAGCAAGTGCAGGAAGAGCTATTTTGCTCCTCGTTGCATCGAATGCGATACACACTGGTGGGTCAGACGCGTGGTAGATAAATGTCGGGCCCAGCACTTCAGTCGGCCGCTGGGGGCGAACCCAATCTGTGGATAAGAGTAATTCATCAGTATCTTTATCGGTTACAGCAGACGACGAGTACCGTCTCTGTCGTAAACGATTACCAACCCGTGTCTTGGTGATCCTCCTCGTCCTCGCGCTTGCGTTTCCGCGAGCCAGAACCAGAACCGTCACGATGTTTCTTGGAGGATTTCTCTCCTTTAAATTTGAGCTTCATCGACTTGCTTTCTGACATGACAAGGCGGGCTTGGGCGTGGTCAAAGGTGCAGCCGGCGAATGCCGAAACCTTATCCTGACCTTTATACCGACCTTACGATGGGCAAGCTCAATCCTGGTTCGCAGGCCTCTGCAATCGCTATTGCACACTCGAAACTTACACAGTTACATCTTAGATCTCTCTTCCTCTCGCCGCAAGAGCCGCAAGGCCCACTTTGCCGCCGCGTCGAGCGTTCGCCGCGAGCTCATGACCTCGTCGCTATCAAAGGACTTGAGAACCAAATATAACGTGAGGAATTATGGAGAATGGGATGCGTTTGCAGCCAGTGCTGATCGCCGCTTTGATTTCTAGGTTCGCTCGGTCCCAGTACGAAAGGACGACGAGGTCTTGATTGTGAGGGGAAAATACAAGGGTCGTGATGGAAAGGTCACCCAGGTCTACCGTAAAAAATGGATCATCCACGTCGACCGAGTGCACCGTGACAAGGTCAACGGCTCGACGGCCCCCATTGGCATCCATCCAAGCAACGTTGTTATCACCTCGTTGAAGTTGGACAAAGACAGGTTCGTTTTATTGATCACTCTTTGCGTCGTTTGCTCACGGCTGGCAGAAAATCCATCCTTGAGCGCAAGGACCGAAAGAAGAATGCGGATACTGAAATGGCAGAGGTATGTCAATAAATTACTCCTACTCTGTATTCTGACCATTTCTGTAGTAATTCATGTCCTGATTCGGTGGTCCCTTCTTGCACCTTATGTAGCATCTATGCGTCGCTTTCTACGCAAAATAACATGCACATTAAGCGAGCACAATGAAACTAAGTCGATGTCCATCTCCAGACCTCTACGCCACCACGTCGTTTCTCGTCTTCTTCAAATCCGTTCCAAGTGCGCCATACGCGCTTGTAGCCCTTTTGATGTAGTACATCCGCTACCGTTGTTCCTTCTTGATCTTTCATCTGCGGCAAAACCCCAAACATGACCAAGTACTTGGGCCAAGTGTGCCGCCACTGATCAACGTACGCTACAGTGACCATGTCTTTCTTTTCGATCCATGTCGTCCTAAATGAGGGAGATGAACCAGGAATTGTGGTTGGATATGGGGAAGGAGGAAACGTTGAATCGACTGTGCTTGGGAAGTTAATTCGAAGATATGCGATTGGGTCGTGGTGAAATATCGTAGTCTGATCCATATACGTCGGTGGAGTACTGAAAGGCAATGAGCAATTGGAGGTACTAAAGTGAAAGAAACTCACTTTAATGGAGGTTCGCATCCAAGTGACCAGGCGTGGCCGTGATCGAGCGATTTTCTATGCAAGTATGAAGCCCATGGTGTCGAGTGGCATGGCGTAAGAAATCCGATGCTGGTCAGGTCTGTATGAGCAAGTCCACGAAGGTGGTGCATGACTGCGATTTGGGCACGCCCATGAATGAATGTGGTATAGACAATTGCGGGGAGTGATAGTAGAATGCAAAACCCTGATGGGGTAAGGAGAATGGAGGCAAGTTTGCTTTTACCTCGAATCTCGCGCGTCGCCTGACAAAGCGAAGAGACGCAAAAGAGATGCATAAGTGGAAGAAGAGGGTGAATAAAACGCCATTCCTTGTGACCGGCGACAGAGTACACGAGCAGCGTCCATCCGATCAACCTAGCATAGGTTCGGAGCTGGGGCGATGGCGTTCTTCCTGAAAGCGTGAGAAAAATACCGTGAAAAAACAGCGGCAGCTTCGTGGTCAGAAGAATTGGAATTGCCTGTGTGAGGTAATAATGCCATGGGTTTCCGCCGTAGAATAAAGAGACGGAGGACGCGTTGACACGAAGGAAATTGACCGGGGTAAACGTCGGTTTGCCAAAATAGAGACTGTCTGTGATTGACATTGTGCCAACGGAAAGAACCCTGGGGCGGATGTTAGACCGAGTCCTCGATCAGACCATCCTCGCTCGCACCCGACGAATAGAGCGGCGGAGAAGATATTGGTTATTGCTTTCCGACTGAATCGACTCTGGAATATGAACTCGGCACATAGATAGAGCCAAAGGATGGCATTGGTCGGCCTGACGATACACGCGACTGAGGCGATAAGCAAGGGTAGGAGCAGACTGTTGACAGACGTGAACATCGTGAATCGGAGTTGTTTCGTTTGACATACGTTTGAAATGATTTGGCGGGTGGAGAGTGAGCCGGCCAGTGACTCAGGGCGAGGACGGTGAGCGAGGTTTCAAGCGAGTTGGACAGCGTCCGAACAAGGGCAAGGCCATGGAAAAAGGAGGTCAAGCTGACGAGTAGCTACATGCGGATAAGGGAGTGACATGTGGAATCGTGAATGGCCTACTGTCAAGGATGTGTATTCTCGACCGAATAGGCGACGAGAGAGACGACAGACGGACACATCTGTGATGGCCGCAAAAAAGCCTGCAATATCTTTGGGCATACAATCTATTTGGCAGTCAGATGCGATTGGCAGAGAAGCTTTTGAGACCGACCAGGGCGTTTGTCTCGTCGAGCCCGCTAATCTTGAGTAACCAGTAGACTGGAATCCAAAGTGACGGGAAGAGAATACTCCTGATCGGGTTTGACGTCGACCATTCCCAGGTCAAATGGCCATAGCCAAATACTGCATGATGTGCAACCTCTAACGACTGGAAATATTCGTCTGGCTGGAAGAATGTCTGGATTAATACCGCTTGAAGTACTCTGACCACAGCAACGAATATTATATGCTTCGTCTTCATTCAAGGGTCACGGCAGAGACCAAAACGTTGCGCCACGCAATGGGTCAGTTGCTCCCGACCGCAATGGCACACGAGGAGCACCAATGTCTCAAGAAGACAATATTGGTTCTTTCCATTTCTTCCTTGCAAGAATATCGACATTTGGGCCCATCTATCGAACAGGCTACTAGGAATACAGAATCACGACTTCTCATCATTCTTGTTTCGCCGCTCTTTGATCCAGAGAACGGGATTGACCCTATAGGATCATGGAAGGAGATGGAGTCGTTCATTTCGTTTGTTTATATGCGCGCAAGCACTGTCGCCATTGCTCTCGATCGCGTTCTCATGAGTATAGACGTTGTATTGCATCCTGGAAACGGCTCTTTGTTCAGTAATATTGATGGAGAACACGCCACAAGATGGGAGGGGGTCTATGTTCGAGAAAACGGTGCGTATCACGCAGGGTCGGCCCGTCACGACGTAATGAAACCTCCAAATAGACATTACTACCCTGGAAGCGCTGCCCAAATGGATCTCCACGATTCCCCAGCTACGGTTGCGGGCAGAAGGCTCAAGCCCATATCCATCCTCTCCCAGTTCATGGGAAAACTCGCACCGTCGACATGGTGTCGTAGCGCTGGGAGGAACATTTGATCATCTCCATGCGGGCCACAAGATTCTCCTGAGTATGGCTGCCTGGATCACCGCGAAGAAGATCATTGTAGGCGTTACAGGTCTGGAATTGATCCGGGGTACTCAATAGGGAGATCTAATAACACAGCAGACGACACTCTTCTGGGAAAAAAGTCGCACAGAGAAGTCTTAGAATCGATCGGAGCACGTCAAGATGCCGTTCGAGCGTTTCTCCAGCTGTTTCGGCCACAGATTGAGGCGGAGGTCGTCGCCATCTCGGATGTGTATGGTCCTACGGCAACCGACGACGACATACAGGCTCTGGTTGTGTCCAAAGAGACAATATCGGGCGGCCAGTCGAGTAAGCTTCCACGGTCGAGGGCCGAGATAGGCGTCACAAGGGCAAAGCTAATCTTTGACAATAGTCGCAAAACTCCGGGATGAACGGGGTCTCCCCTCGCTAGAGACATTTGTCATTAACGTTATCTCGGACGACGGCGGGGGTGGGCTGATAGGCGAAGAGGATGCGGAGAGGCTGAGGACGGCCAAGATGAGCAGCACGTATATCCGGCGCTGGATTGCAACACAGACAGCACCGAGGCCAACTCCGACCTATGCATGACGACAGAGGCGTGTTTGAGGAATTGCAACGACGGAGGGACCGGAACTCGAGGTTTGAGTGGCCGCGTCTGATCACTGCTAGTGGGAAGCCATGTCGAAACTGTAAAAAGATTATTGTCTGGGACAATTTTGTATCAGTGAAAACAGATATCCGTTGCCTTGTAGTACCTAGGCGGCTAGCCAGCCGTCAAACGGCTGCTTGGACTCTCCTCCTTCAGGCTCGAGCGAGTATTCTGGCAGAATGGCCGCCCAGCTTTCGATACGACCTCAAGATACGGATCGTAGCTCTCAATTGCCAGTCATAAAGTGCTCGCAATGCTCCCAGTCGATACCAATGGACGCGCTCGCTGACCATATATGTGCCCCGGACCCTCAGCCATCACGTTCTCCTCCAGCAGCTGCTCGAAACTCTCCTGTGTCCTCGAGACGACTTGCTCCTCCCTCCCAGAGCCCCCCAGGGGCCTATGCTGGCCCGCGGTCACCGAGTCCCCTGCGAACTGCGACCTCTCCAGCTCCTAGACCATCTTTTGACTCTCAAATGACGCGTCCCTCGTTTGATCATCAACGTCCTCAACCGCCTCGTTCTCCTTTTCAAGATCCTATGGCACAAATGGCCCGGGGACCCTCACCTCAGCCCCTACAGCAACCTCTTATCACTGTTCCTCCTCCAGATACAAAAATCGGGGGTGAAGCGGGTATGGCGGGTGTCGGTCGTCGAGCTTTTGCAGCAGTGGCCGCCGCTGCAGTTTTTACCGTCGCACATCCAACTCCTCATCGACATCCTAAACAATATCCAGACTTACATGCACCGATTCTCAACATCCCGGACCCAGGTGAGTTTTCAGCGAATTCGTCTTCCGGAACTAGTGTCTGACAATTGGGACCGCGTCTCGCGCTTCAGTGTCTCCGCCACCGGATCGACGTTCGCCGTCGCCCTACATGTCAAACCATGGTCATAGTTCGAATCATGGACACGGTTCAAACGACGGACATGCTTCGCCCTACCAGAACGGCAAAGTCTCGCCTGTCCGGGAATCTCCAACCCACGACCAACCCGCTTCAAAGACACATGCAACGCGATTTGCAGCTTCCCAAGCCAAGCGACCACAGCAGCCGTCCCTTGACATGAGCTCGTCGACCACGTCGCCCAAATTGGCTTACCTAGAGTCTGTCAGGTCGCCTACAAGCAGCGGCTCGCCCGTGACCACCAAACGCAGGAATACGGACGACGACAATAACTATCCCAAAGAGTTATCGGCGTTGACAGATGACAGGGCGCTCGACACGAAATCGAATGGCGATAGCCGACACGAACGTGGTATTGATTTTCCTAGACGGGGAAGACAGGATGCGGACACTGACTCTATGTATTCGACTTCCTCGCGGGAGCACCACAAGTCTGGTGTTTCGCTCGAGCGGTCTCTCTCATCTCCGTACGAGTCCATGTCTTCTCCGGCCCTTTCCCAGTCAACCCACCCGACAAGCGCTGGCTCATCTGCAGCGCCTGAACATCTTAGGGCGCCCCCCGTTCCTCACCCAACGCGCTCAAATACGTCGCCCTCGCTGTCCAGGACCGACAAGGCAATGGATCAACCGACAACGCGGCGGAGGACGGAAAAGCAATGTGTCAAGTGCGGAAAGAAGATCACAGACGGTAAATGGATCCAGGTCGACTCGACAGGAGGGGAAAAGCCGACTGTATTGTGCGAGTATGATTGGAAAATGCTCTATCTTCCCAAGTGCCGGCGATGCGACAAGCCCATTGAAGGCCAAGCGATTGGGAGCTCTGACGGACAGATCAAGGGCAAGTACCATCGCGACTGCTTCAATTGTGAGACTTGCCAGGTACGTTGGGCACGCACCGACTGCTTCCTTCGACTACAACTGAGTTTCTCCTGTTTCAGAAACCATTCCCTGACAAGTCGTTTTACGTGTTTGATGGCAAACCGTTTTGCGAGTATCACTATCACGAAGAGAATAATTCACTCTGCGCATCTCCGAGATGTGGGATGCCGATAGAGGGTCCGTGTGCGGTCGCGCACAATGGTGATCGTTATCACCCAGCACATTTCGTATGCGAGTCTCCGTCGTGCAAGGAGAGGTTGGACGACGAGTATTGGGAAATTGACGGCACTCGGCTCTGCGATAAGCACGCGCGGAGCCATCCCATGTTCGAGGAGATGAAGGCGCCTTCCGAATCGGATAGACGAGAAAATGGCGAGGTGCGCGACAGTCTTGCATCTATCTCCAGTTACGACGCCGGTCATGCGTCGATGGCGCGAGCCCAAAAGAGAATGACACGCTACGTCGATCTCTAGCCTGTGGATGTCGACTCCTTTTTCTTCGTCGTTTGATCGTGCCAAAAGCGACGACGACGTGTATAATCTTCATGCTCCTCACGACTCCACAACCCATCTCCTCCACCATCATTCATGGCATTCCATTGGCCCTACAAAAACCACTGGTCTATAATTCGCCCTACAGGAATCCCTGTCAGCGTCGACTGACATAGTCCGCGGCCTCCATCTTTCACTATCAGCCGCATTCGCTCCTTTTCTTCCTTCCGTTTGGCCCCCTCTGGATCTCTAGTCATCGATGTATCCCCTATCCCTCGTCCTCTTTTTGTGTCACATTCTGTTCGGAATAAGTATTGGCTGTTTATTGCTCAATCCACTGCGTATAATCATAAAATGGCAAACAGGTTATCTTGCTAAGGATACATTGCTATTGCTACATCCTGAGTACACATCTAAATGGACTCTGCACCTTCTCCCGATTGAGTCACTGCAGGAGAACCTTTGGATATCGTCGAATGGTTGAGCATATTCTCGAGTGCATCTGGGTCACTAGGCGGGCTAGATCCGTCTCCAACAAGGACGCGAATGGCTTCGCTCCATTTGTCTCCGACAACAAGATAGATCCATCCCGGACCAGGTGGGTAAATCGCTGAATGAGGAGGGGATTTGACCGCCAGCGAAACAGTTGTATTAGTAGTCTGCTGCTCCGTATACTCTAGATAGACGAGACGACTATTCATGTGAAGTGAGTGCGTGATAAAGCCAAGGTCCATCAACGCCACTGCGCAGGGTGAGCAAGTCTTCGGTTGATGGATGGAATCATCGCACCTTTGATCCTCTTCGCATCTCCACCCTTGAGATCAATAGTGAGAGCGAACTCTGATCCAAATGGCAGAGTAGTAATGGATGCACTTGCGGTGGGTCGAGACGCTGAATCCCGCATCCACATAGGCGACAACCATTCCACTCGGTACTCGGTAGGATATCTTGTCGTGGTTCTATCCAAGTTTGGGTTTGATCCAGTAATGAGGACTCGGCCGTCCGGAACAAGGGTGGCTACGGAATGGTACAGGCGAGGAATATCTGAGGTTGGCATACCCGCGCTAGAGAAACGAGAGCCGATTGCAGCGGTTGGATTGTATAGAACCGGCGTGAGAACGGGGTTATCCGCATTCGAAAAACCAACTTGATGCTTTACGTTTCCATAGCCGGCTATACCGGTAGCGCCTCCGTTGATGATAACGACGGCACCCGTGGGCAACAAAACAGCATCTGGCATCACACGGGGCTCTGGCATTTGATCGACTTCCCATCCGTGTCGTATGCCCTCCTCGGACAGGTCCATTCGAATACATTGGGCAGAGGCGGCCTCTTGGGAATCGATTTCATAGCCAGGACGTTGATCATCGACATTGGAGCCCCCACAGATGAGAATCGCTGGTAGATAGTTGTTCTGCGGGGACAGGGGTAACAAAACGGCAGTGGCAGTCATCGGATACGTAACACGAACGTTGTTAGGGAGTTGAGGTAAGCGATACTCCACGTTGGTCTTCCAATCATAGATCATTGCGTCCCGATTTGCTGCGAGAAAGACACGGCCGTCCGTCAATAGAAACGCAATCGGGAATAGATTCGAGTTGAGCGTGTCTGCCAGGAACTGAGAAGGAATGGGCAGTCCATTGAAGCCGTGAATATTTTCGGGGGGTAAAACTCAAACGTTGGATTGTTTGTGGTTGCATTGTTCATCCAGCCACCTCTCAAGGATCCACCTATGATCATGGCAGACCCGTCATCGAGTCGCATGACAGTGTTGTACCATCTTGGTGACGCCAGACGAAGAGTACGAGGGCTTCGATTATATCACATCCTTGCCCTTTCCCATTCACGTCGCAAAGGTCAGGATGAAATAGTCGGACAGCCTGTAGGCCATTGATGTCACCAAAATCAGCGGCACCAGTACTATCAACGACCACTGGATTCCCACCAACGTTGACAAGTGATCCATTTGAAAGAAACGAACCACCCGCGCAGAAGGAATTAGAGTGGAGGTCCAGTGGACGAGCCTTGTTCGTGCGCAGATCGTACAGAGCACCCCATGCGGGGTGACCACGGATAGTGAGAGGATTGTGTTCGACCTTGTCAATAACAATAGCCTGCGTGGCGGAAATGATAGACAGTTGCATAGCGTGTACACCCGTCTCACCTTCAGTCGACAGTGACCACCTTGTGGCGACTTGAGCGGTCGCATTGTAGTTGGGGGCCTGGGCCATTTCTTGTTCTTGCTGTCGGTGTGGTGCGAGCAAGGCAGAGAGCAACCCAAGTTTTCTGACTGCGGTGGTCGAAGTACCAGGGTTGACCACAAAGGCATCGACATCGAAAAAGGTTCCTCCTGAGGCACGTCGCTTCTTTCCCGTGTTGACTATGGAGAACCGATGTGTTCCGAGGGGAAGGTGATCAAGACCGAACAGTCGCTGACGCTTGAGCCATGTTGGGTGATAGGCATCCACCTTGGACTGCAGGGTATCGTTTATATATACACCTACGATTCCATGTTTGGCAGTGAGCGATCCGAACCATTCAATCCCTTCAACAAAGGTGAGTTCGCGCAGTGACTCGGGGATTGACATACCTATTCCAGCAAAAGTAAAATCGACTCTTGCTCCTGCTTGAGATGCCATATGCATAGTCTTGTCGACAAGATCTTGGTGTCTAGCCTTGCCCCAGACACCGTCTGGGCTATACTGGACAAGCGGGTCCGCGTCGTCGATCGAGACAGATCCCGAAGGAACATAATAAGGAGTGAAGTGGGTATCTGCGTACGCATCGACGGCGGTGATGGCTTGCTGACCATTCCAAGCGGTCAAGGTCTGGTCTCTGTGGCGAAGGGGAAAGGAATGGGCATCGGAAACCAAGGTATGTGAAGAAGAAAGGACAATAAATGAAAATGAAGGGAATAAAAGCATGACGCGCGTCATTCGACAAAATTCACAGTCGCCGTCAGGTCCAAAACAAACTGACGGCAAACTTCGACCCGGAATCAACCCCAAAAGGCTCGGGTCCATGTGAATGTCTACATCTTGGAGTCTACCATGTCCATGACTACAAACGAACTACGAAACAGGCGTCGGACCCACGAAAATGAGCCGCCTTCATCGTCGGCAAAGGACCAGGCGTCGACGAGAAAACTCCTGACCTGGGACGAGATTCCTCAGTGGCAACGAGATAATGAATATATCATCTACGGATATCGGGGGTTAGGTCGTTTTGTCTGCGTTCCTGGAAGCGGCTTACATCCTACCTAGAGAGCTCAATTCGTGGAGAAGAAGTTTCAGTTCTGCATTCACGTGTGAGTGTGATTCTAAAAGACGAGTGATCACCAACTGACGACCCTAGACTTGCACAACGAGACTGGTGAGTCCAACCTCGAACGAAGATGCGACTCTCAGATGAGGAGTCAATATCCAGTCGCATTGGATAGGAGGACTCGTCTTTATAGGGATGTGGCTCTACCATCTCCGAGGGGTCTACAAGCAATATGCGGATACCATCAACACCTTTGACAAACTATACATGTCATTTTTTATGATCGGGGCACTATTCTGTCTTTTTATTAGTGGCTCTTATCATATGATTAGCAGCCATTCCAAGCCGGTCAGTAAATGTGTACTACCCCAAATGTGTGCTCACCAGAAAATTAGGTCAGCGATGTCTTTCACAGGCTTGACTACGCTGGAATAGTAATCCTCACCGTGGGTTCTTTCTATCCCGCGGTATATTACGGCTTTTTCTGCGACCCCCATTTTGCGGTGCTGTGGCTCGTGCTCCTCACGGTTTCAGGCGCTGGTGCAGCCTATGCCGTCCTCTCACCAACGTATTCTACGCCAGAATATCGAAGAACCAGGGCGTATCTGTTCATTACCCTGGGACTCGGCGGAGCTCTCCCAGTCATTCATCTGTGGGCAGCGGAGGGATTCTCACATCTCATTCAAATTGGTATCGATTGGCTCTTGGCCTCTGCCGCATTCTACATTGGAGGTGCCATTCTTTAGTGAGTCTTCCCCCGTAGCCGAACATCGTATTAACCGTTCCAGTTCCGAGCGGTTTCCAGAGCGCATCTGGCCTGGTCGCTTTGACCTCATAGGTGCCAGTCATCAAATCTTCCATGTTTGCGTAGTTCTCGCAGCGATCTGTCATTACATCTCCATGCTACGATGCATCGAGTTTTGGCATGGTGAACATCACGGGCACTGTGGTGTGTTCCGCGAGTAGAGTAATATTTATTCTGCATTCATATGTAGTGTATCTATGCAAATCTTCACGACCGGACTGTGTCATATAAGGTTCCACTAAACAGTAAATAAACCATTCAAAATCTTGCCTTCCGCCACAGACATCAGAAAAAGGACAGATATGGCTTCAGCTGCCATCATGACGGCTTCTACTTCTTCCCCAACGACGACTAAGCGTACTCGCAGAGGCTTGTCCAAAAAGAAAAAGGCAGCGCGTACCGCGAACCTAGATGACATGACTATCGATGAGGATAGCGCGATTCAAACCAATAACCGCGTTGGAATCGTGAGTATTCTCGATGAAGATGGCGAGCATGCACAAGGTTCGGGTATCTTTGGCGGCTCGACGGCCCCGGCATCTGCAGCACAAGAAAAAGCAGCGCTTGCTGCTATGGACGAAGAAGAAGGATTGGATGATGAAGAGATGGTACTAGATACTTCACCACTGGCAAATCTGTCACAGGAGAACAATGGCGGGAATCCCGTGTTCAAACCACTCTCAGAGGCAGCTCAAGCGACGACATTACGCTCGGAAACGCGTCGAATAGCAATTCCTCCACACCGTATGACCCCTCTCAAAAAGGACTGGGTAAATATATTTGTGCCCTTGACTGAAATGGCTGGGCTGCAAGTCCGTATGAATGTCCATAGACGGTGTGTCGAGATCAGGGTGAGTATATTCCCCTTGCTTCCAAGTAAATGCTTATCGCCTGTAAAGACTTCGAAGGAGACGAAAGAGTCGGGGGCATTGCAAAAAGGCGCAGACTTCGTCAAAGCGTACGCGTTGGGATTTGACGTCAATGTGGTCACAATATCTGCTATTTGATCATGGTCTAATATGTGACTACAGGATGCGATTGCCTTGTTGAGAATGGACGACCTCTATATCGATACGTTCGAAATCAAAGACGTCAAGACCCTTCACGGGGATCATCTTTCCAGAGCCATTGGTATGTCACTTTATGTCCAAGGCGCCATGCTGAACTGGCCCTTTCCCTTTCAGGCCGCATTGCAGGGCAAGATGGAAAGACCAAATTTACGATCGAGAATGCATCAAGAACGAGGATTGTACTTGCAGATACGTGCGTCATGATGCCCCTTTGTTCCGCGAAGTGTGCAGTCTTACCTCGCTTTTAAGCAAAATTCATATTCTCGGGTCATTCCAGAACATCAAAATCGCCAGGGACGCTGTGGTCTCGCTGATTCTGGGATCACCCCCTGGGAAAGTCTATGCAAGCTTGAGGACAATTGGGGCTCGAATGAAACAGCGAGCGATCTGACCCTAGATGGTGCAGTAAAGGGTTGTTACATATTTTATACATGACAGTGGCCATATTATCGTAATCGCCGGATCTTGATAACCAGGCAAGCAAGTGATTCCGAGCTCAGAATTGAATCATCTCTAGAACCTCCCAGCTCTCCACCGGCCCTTCCGTCTTTACGACCCACAACTCATCTGGCAGGTTGCTTACAACTCCGCCGATCTTCAACCCTGCCCAATTGCCACTCTCGACGCCTTTGGTCCGGATATGCGATGCGATCCTCTCCCGGTCCTCTGCTGCGATGTCGCCATAATGGAGTGAGATGTGAGGGAAGAATGGCTTCTCTGGCACGGGTACGCCCAACTCTCTGGTTACTGCTTCGACAATCTCCCTTCTGAACTCGAGGAGTGGGCCACTTGGGCTTAGTGCAATCGCGACCGACACAAAATAATCCGTTCCTATGAAAAGTTCCTTGAAGCCGAGACGCAGTCGCTCGAAGTTGCGCAGAATGGGCGATAGGCAAGCGTCTAGAGGTGGGACCGCGTTTGGACACTCGACGGAGACGACCGTCATGTGTGGCTCAAATTTAGGGCTTCTTTCAGCATCTGCCACGTCGTTTATGATGGTCTGGATCTGAGATTTGCACGGCTGGGATGGGATGAGCCATAATGACAAGCCTGTTGGGGCGATCGCGTCCATCATGTCCGTTCAGAGTGGTCAGGACAATGTTTGAATCTCGAGAGGAGTCTTTTCGAACCACTTACCCATCTGTCCAATAAGGCGGTCGACTTGGCTGAGACCAGGTTTCGACCATACAATAGCCACACTCTAGCTGAGCTCCCCACACCAATGGAAGCCAGAAATCACAGACTATCGGTTCTTCCTCGAGGAAAGTTCCCAGATTATCGAACGTGTAATCCGGCAATTTGACGGCAGCGATCGAGATAAACTGATCCCCACCTTGATTCCCGACACAAGTTCAAAAAACAAAAGATGCACAACTCGTGCTCTCTGCAGAGCTGTTACACTGTCGATTTTCTTCCTGTCGTATGTGAGCTCTGTAAACAGGACTATTGCGCGGTCCACGCCTTTCCCGATGCGCACGCTTGCGCGGCGAGTCTGGAACGAGTCCAGACACTATCCTCCAATAACACCAGGGAGCATTGTTCATTCTCTGGATGTTTAAATCCAACGCCATTGTTCGCAACCGAGGGTACACCGACAACCATGCCGCCACCGACGTGCAGTGGTTGTGGTGGTTTATACTGTCTAAGGTACGCATTACTCGGACACTTTCCTTCAATAGACACGAGAAATTCCCCAGTCACCGACATCAGTCCTCACACGAGTGCTCGGGCTTAAAACAAGAGCAAGTTGGACCCTCTAAAGCTCAGCAGATGGCGAACCACGCAATTTCTCAGCTTAAATCCTCAAGCACCTCATACAAGTCCAAAGAATCACCTAAAAACGCTAAAATGAAGGCCATAGAGCTCATGAAACTGCGACGGAAAGCAGAACCGGCCAACCCAAGAGATGACCCCTCGAGTGTCCCGATGGACGAACGACTCATTGTAGAAGTTACTTACAATACAATGGGTATGGCTCTCTGGGTCAAGAATGTGAGTTAGTGCAAACCACTGTTTCTTCGTTGACAAGACACAGGATGTAATTGCCGGTCGAGCCCTCGACTTGTTCGCAGCAAAGATGAGAGTTCATGTCTCACCGGTATGTCAGTTTTTTGCTGATGAATTTCGTTCTCATGGGTCATAGCTTCAATTAAAAGAGATGAACGGCGACATCCTCAAGACGGACGAATTGCTCTCTGCTCAGGTCGAAAACCCGTGTAAACTTACAATAGAGAGAAGGGCTTCCTGATTCACTATCACTTTTACTATTTACAAGCCAGTCCAGACGAAACCTTGCTGGACGGTCACGGTGGTTTGGAGGACAATGTCTTTGCTCGACGTGCCAACGAGCACAGCAAATTCTCCAGCATCCACTCTCCATTTGGCTAAAGGCTCATCCCAGTAGGAAAATGCGTACTTGTCAAGCACCATTGATAACTCTGTCGACGCGCCGGGCTTGACGTCTTTGGCCTTTTGAAACGCTCGTAGCTGTTTGATTGGATGCTGTACGCGGCCATTGCTAGGATAACTGACGTAAACTTGCACAACCTCTGAGCCCGTCAGGCTCCCAGTATTCTTGACCTTGAGGTTGACATTAAACTTGCATTCAGGCCCTGAAGTTGAGACCCTCAAATCGCGTAATTCGAAGTTCGTATAGGAAAGGCCGAAACTGAGCTCGTTCAGTAAGAAAGAATCTTAGAGCGATCAACACTGACCCAAAGCTGAACAACGGTGCGATTTTTCTCGCATCAAAATGCTTGTAGCCCACAAATATGTCTTCCCTGTAATGCACTATACCATGCTCGCCGCCAAAGTTGAGATGCGCAGCAATGTCTTCTTCACGGGCGGGGAAGGTAATGGGGAGCTTTCCTGAGGGATTAATGTAACCGTAGATGATATCCGCGATGGAGTTTCCAGTCTCATTGCCCAGATACCAGGAATGCAAAACGCTCGAGACAGAGTCCAGCCATGGCATCGAAATGGCGGAACCCTGTAAAGTATGAGGGTCACTTCGGTGGCGTATACGAGTACACTTACACATTGAATGACCACGACTGTTGCCGGATTCGCTTTCGAGACCGCATGCACAAGTTCATCCTGGTCGCATGGGAGAGCAAGATTGGGACGATCGAATCCTTCCTGTATAGGATAAGAGAAATATCAGCTTTCGTGGTTCATACGTACGGATTCCCAATCAGAGTTAAGACCGACAACGACCACAGCAACATCGGAGGCGGCAGCGAGCTGAGCCGCTTCGTTGATCGCAGCTTTCTTGTCAATCAAGGGAGCCCCACCAAGCCGCTACCCAATTTGTCAGAGAAACGAGAATAGAACTTGGAAATTACCCACCACACCCCTCATTAGCGCAGGCTGCGACCGGTTTTTCTCCTGCACAGACGGCGGGCGAGTATTGGTATAGGTGACAACAATCTCCACAGGTTTTCCCGCTTGGAGTTCGACTACTCCTGTTTCCTCTACGGTACCCTGCCTATTGCATCTTAATTTCTGCTTGATCGCTGGAAAAGGACCCACCCATACTAGGAATAGGATGAGGGACGTGAACCTCAAAGAAGAAATATTGTGGACTCACAAACCATTCACCGGGCCGCTGTGTTGTCCAATTATCTATGACCATCTTTCCGTCAAGAAACATCTTCGCCCTCCCAGCCACAGTGAGACCAAACTCGAATGGGCCACCATTTGTCGGAGTAAACATCCCTGTGCATTTCAGGCTCCATTCGTCTGTTAGGCCCTTGGGTAGGAAATCGTTGAGCTTGACACGCGTGTCGTGCAGAGCAATCGATGCGACTGGCTCGTTTGCCGGAACTTCTGGTGCAGTATTGGCAAAGAACTCAACGAGCCACCCGGGTTCTCCGGATTTGGTCGTCATGCTATTCTCCAGCGTTGGTAGGTACCTGTGGGCTTGGAGAGAAATGAGAAGGGGTTTGTGATAGAGACATCACGTACAATAGCACCCCACACTGTAGCTGATTTCGACTCCCTCAGGCTTTCCTGCGACAAGGCCATCGAAAGGCGTGACAGCGTAACAGGGCTTGAGCGCAGCTGATCCACCTCCAGAGATTGCACTAAACTGCGCATTGGGCCCGATAACAGCCACCTTCGTCGTTTTTCCGTCCTTAGTGGAGAGTGGGAGGAGATTTCCGTCGTTCTTTAGAAGAACAATGCCGTCCGCGGCTACTTTACGACAGAACCGTCTGAGATTCTCTGGTGTCTCTCGTGTTTGCTCTTCGTTATTTGAATAGACGATGTCTGGGGAAAGGTTGCCCAGCTTCTGAACTGTGGCGAGTACGTTCGCGGCGCGTTCCGTGAGTGTCTCCTCTGTCACTTTCTTGCAGCTAAGGAGGTGGTTTATCAGGAACGGAGTTCGCCAGCGAGGTGGCCCGGGCATTTCTAAGTCCAGAGTGGCGTTCAGTGCGGCATCAGTGCTGTACGTTCCATGCCTAGAGGAGCACAGTTGGATCTACATTGCATACATAAAGATAAAGAAGCATACCAATCGCTCATTATGAGCCCTTTGAAACCCCATTCTCCACGCAGTATGTCAATGAGTAGGCGAGGGTGCTCTGAGCAGTGCAGACCATTGAGACGATTGTACCTAAAGGACTTAATCAAATCCTTCTACACAAAAGGTTTACTTACGATGTCATATATGCGATCGGCTTAGCGTCGCGCTGAGCAATCATAAATGGATAGAGGTACATCTCTCTCAATGCTCTTTCTGAAATGACGGAGTCCTGTGAAGTCCTATCTTTTTCTTGCTCATTGGCTACAAAGTGCTTGATGGTCGCTCCAACGCCGTTCTCTTGGAGTCCAGAGACGTACGCTGCTGCCAACATCCCCGAGAGATGAGGGTCTTCTGAGAATGACTCGAAGCTACGTCCGCCAAGCGGAGAGCGCTGTATATTGCAGGTAGGTGCGAGTAGGAGCGTGGCTGTCTTGATTTTTGCCTCCTCGGCGAGGAACTTGCCGACTTCTGCGACCTGATCGCGGTCGAAGGACGCGGCTAATGCCGTCGCGCACGGCAAACACTAGAGATGCCATTAGCTCTTAATCCCTTAGCCTGATGGGTTCTGATATACCTGAGCGGGGGTACTCTTGAAGTGGGAGCTCCCGCGGACACCATTCGGGCCGTCGCTCATACGTATACTTGGTATGTTTAAGCGTGCAACCTTGTTTGTGTCCCACCAAGATGGGGCACCCAAGAGCGAGATCTTCTCCTCGGTGGTGAGCTGATTCGCGAGCTCGACGACGTCTGCGGTGAGGAAGGAACGATCCATGGCTGATGTAGCGGGGTCCAAGTTATCGATGAGTGATATTTAGCGTGCCAGTGTTCCGATTCGTGCATTTCTTTAGCGTACGCTGATTCCTCGGCTGGATGTCGTCGGCTCCAAGTGGTACCAAGGTTAGCCACTTCTGCCACTGAACCTTTGGGGTCGCAAGAATGGAAGATCTGGACGATACTCCAACAAATCTCGCAAAGCCACTATCGTCTGCAACGATCACTGTCCGCATCGTCAAGTCGTTTGAGTACAGGGTGGCAAAGGCGCTGGTGTTGCATGATCTCGATTTGGAGAAGACAACAGTTGGAGATTTGAAACAAAAAGCAAGAGAAGGTATTTGACAAGGCGCTCGGAGCGAGATGCCTTCTAACAGGCCTACCAGCAATAAAGACTCTGCCCGGATGGAAGCCATATCGAACCTTGGACTTGGGTAAGCGACATTCGGATACACCTCTTGTGGGCCTTAATCAGATCTAGACACCTTGAAACTATACACAAAAGCTCATGGGGCTAAAGTGATCCAGGCTTGAGTGCTTGACAGGGGGGACTTACACGCACATAGACCACTAATCTTATCATAAATTTGGATCACGACGAATGGATACTGGAGGACGAGAATGCATTTCTCGCCAATATTGGGTTTGGTGAGTGGGCAAAGTCCTGCTCGTAGCCTCTTCTTCTAAGCTTGCCTCAGAGAACGAGACAGAAGTCAGCTTCTTCAACCGTGCTGACTACAACACATTCAAAGCGTCTCCAGAGGTATCTGTGTATTCACCCCTGGGCTGCTCAATTGACACCCTAAAAGGTCAAATGGGATTAGACACCTAGGCATTTGTGGAGATAAACATACTATAGGATGATTTATTGTTCCTTTTACTTGGGTCGAGTCAGAGCTCAATTTGGAAGTAAAACTTTGATTCGCTTCCACAACTCGAAAATGCCAGAGATTAAGGATAAAGGCATCTTACGGCAAGTGGAGACCCTCACTTCAAAACTAAGGCGACGGTATATCTTGCTTGTTACAGCTAGAAGGTTATCCTCATATTCTTGCTGGTAGGCAGCTCGCCGGCGCACAGGAATCAGCCATCGAAACGACGCTTTTAATAAAGTATATTGTCGCTCATGCCAAGTTTGCCACCATTCACGAACTCATTGCCATAATCAAGGCCGCAGGCAGGCGCCTTGTCGAAGCGCAACCCAAAGGTGAGGGTGGCGATGAGTCAAAGGCATACGAGAGCCTTAACGATGGACAGAACATACTGTCGGCAATGTTGTACGTCGAATACTACGACTTATCCGCGAGGAGTGGGCAGCCAGCGTCAACAAACCCGTCGACGAGGGCGATCAGCCGATGACGACTGAGGATTCACAGACAGAGACCGGGGAGATGTCGACACAGAGTTCTCCAAGATCGTCGACTCTCAGCGTTGGAGAACAGACGCCGCTAATGACGCCTGCCACGCCGAGACCCGTCGTTTCGGATTCCCAGTACTCCCTCTCCAACTTTGTATTGCATGGGAGACCGCATCGAGAAGCCACCGACTTTGCATCGGTCTATGCAGCCACAATACAGGAAAGCTCGACGACTCCCAAAAAAAGTGCACAGTCAATCAGACCAGCTCTCATATCCGCGATCGAAGAAGTGATGGACGAGCTGGAAACTGTGTTTGAGACTGTTTCGAGTTCTGCTAAAGACCATATCCACTCTGAGTAGATCATCTTTTTACACCCACCTATTCTGGGGCTGATTCCTTCCAGTGAAATTGTACTCACACTTGGCATGTCACGGACAGTCGAGGCGTTCCTCAAGAAAGCAGCACTTGATCGAAAGTTTACTGCCCTCGTCGCGGAGGCCGCACCCTCGTACGCACACACTCGTCGCAACGGAATCGATCGATTAAACCTTGTTCGTAGATTCAGTGGGCATCAATTGGCACAATCCCTTGCCTCCTCCGGCATCAACACCATCCTGATCCCCGACTCGGCCGTCTATGCAGTCATGTCGCGCGTGAACAAAGTCATCCTCGGTGCACATGCGATCCTTGCCAACGGCGGAGTTTATGCCGTCGCTGGATCGATTCTTGCCGCGCATGCTGCACAGACCCATCGTACTCCTGTCGTCTTCTGCGCCGGCCAGTTTAAGCTCTCACCCCTATGGAACGTGTATCACACATACGGTTCACTCGATTTTGCCAATCCAGCACACATCCTTGGCTTCCAAGAAGGCAAGCTCATGGATCAGGTTGATGTTCTCAATCCGGCGTATGATTATGTTCCGCCCGAGCTGATCAACGTGTTCATTACCAATGAGTACGTATTTCCACGAATATCATGAAGAAACATAATTGATCAAACTATTACCAGCGGTGATATCCCTCCAGCTTCGATGAACCGGTACGTCTTAGAAACGACGCTCAGCGCGTGCTGATTTCTTCTAGACTCGTCAAAGAGACGTATGATAACGAGGACTATCAACTATAGCGGGGAGTTTCCGGGCGGGAGTCCACCACGGGACTATTTCTTGTTGTTCGAGCTCAGAAGCGTGAAGAATGCCTCTTGCGGCAAGTCCACCTTGCCGATACGCTTGAGCCTGGCCTTTCCCTCCTTTTGCTTGTTGAGATGCTTCAGCTATGTGAAGGTAAGTTGAGAAAGAAGAAGTGGACGATGTGCATGCCTTTCGCTCAAAGTGACCTGTAAACTTGGATGAGATCTCAGATACTGTATCAGTTATGAAGTTCTCACCACCATACAAGCCCGCCGTCACATCCTTCCTCATCGCCGAGATAGTTTCGCGTGCAACGACCTTGTTCTTGACCAGTGCTTGGATAGGAACCTGCCTTACATGTTACAAAAAGTTTATTCAGCCACACGAAAGGCTTGACCTCAAAATTTTGCCGAGGTATGACCTCCTCTATTCCCAGATTAACCTACGGCGGATATTCAGAATCCAGAACTCACTGAGTTTTAACGCCCACTTTCTTCCGACATCCTCGCACACAGAGTCGCTGCGGAGAAACATGAGCGCTCCAGGGCACAGGTCGGCCACCGAGACAAGACATACTGGACAATGGTAGCCAAGGCATCAACTGGTTTCCCGTTGAGAAGGAAAACCATCTGGAACCATTGAGATGTAGACGGCACCCGGTCGGACGAAGAGGGCACACCTTATGCAGAGGGCTTCTTTGATAGCCATCTTCCTCGTAGCTTCATTTGCTATGAATAACTTGGAAATGAGAGAAAGGTGAACGTACTCGAAGCTGGCGAATCCTGAGCTGCGTCCTTTGAGCTTTTCGAAGAAGTCAGAGACAATCTCTCCGAGCGGAAGTCTGCATTGCAGCAAAACGCGTGCTGTATCTCCCGAATTATCCAGGTAGCGAATATCTGAGATATCATCTGCCCGATGTTCCGCGCAGAGTTCCATCATTTGTCCGACGTATTCTTGTGGAACGATGATGCTCCCTTTCACATATGGTTCTTGGATCTCCAAGACCTTGGGATCCCCATATTCGGGAAACTCCACGGGGTTTCGGATGATGGTATCGCTGCCACTGCGGTAGACAACTGAAAAATTGGACTGAGCTAAAATCAGATGAGGTATCTGGCGCACCCTTGTAGGGAACCGTCGGTGCCGTTATAATGACAGAGGCATCGTACTCATCCTCCAGCCGCTGCCGAAAGACGTCCATATGCAGGGTACCAAGGAAGCCAAGGCGGCATCCCTGTCCAAGGGCAGTAGACGATTCGCGTTGTACTGTGACACTACGATCTGTCAATGATTAGTGCTTCTACTTTGCCCTATAGCCGCGGAGGAGGTTACCCGTTAAAGTTAACTGAATGTCCATCAGATCAGGCACTCAGCAGTAATTAAAGTCACTGACTCTCTTTATGGATTCCTCCAGTCGAGGAAACTCGCTGGTATCGAACGGAAACACCCCCGAATAGACCATGGCCTTATTCGGCTGGAATCCAATCAATGGTGCAACAGGTTTGCCTGTATGATGGAAGGTATCTCCAATGTGGGCTGTGCTAAGCATCAGCATGGCGTTTTCATCAACTTCTTCCCAGGACCTTCTGAGGGATCCTTCATATTGCATGCTGCGCTGCCGTATCAGCAAGTGCGGCATGTTCAAACGGTAAAATGACTTACCAATATATCCAACCTGCCCTGCACGAAGCTCACCGGTCGGAGTTTCGCCGGGATTCATCACTCCGACCTCGACCACTTCGTACTTCTTGCCTGGGCTATGACATGATGAGATTTTATCTCCTATGGAGGATGTCACGGCCTGCATCTTGCCTTCTCCAGTAATTATACCAAAACTTACCTTTTCGCAACACCCCACCCTCCAAGTAGAGCAGCATGATGACACCTCGGAAGCGATCAAAGCTGAGAAGAATGGCGCATCAACTTCACATTTGATTGATGTGGTGAAAGGGCCCACAATGAATCAAAGAGGAGTCCGCGGAAGGGCGAGGTCACGACGCCCGCCGGCGGCGGGATTCGAGACACAATCTGTTCCAAAACAGATTCAACACCCTGACCAGTCTTTGCGGATATATGTAAACAATCCTCGGGGTCTATGCCAAATGTGGCACTCAGCTGACTGGTAATGCGACCTGTGTCTGCCGCAGGCAAGTCAATCTGTATATCGGTGAGTCTAGTTGCATTACAGAACAAGAGATCATACCTTGTTGAGAATAGGAATAATTTTGAGTCCTCTTTCGCGCGCTGAATGAAAGACAGAGATGGTCTGTGCCTGGATGCCTTCTGGATTTATTGTTGGCCTTGGCTTGAGATGGACACCCTGAGACACGTACGAGTTGCGTCGACGAGTAAAAGGGCACCTTGGCAGGCTGCCTGTGCTCGAGTGACTGCCCGGACATGAAGGCCAGGATATGGACAGGGACAATACGCCTCTCACCTTCCCTTCGGTAGCGGAATGAGCACTGAGTGAGGCACGAACCCACGATATGTTCCTTACCAGGTAAAATCCACATGTCCTAAATCAAGGATGTGAGTCCGGTCGCATTGCCAACAAGGGTCCTCACCTGGAGTGTCGATCAAGTTCAACAGATAGGTACGTGATGCACCGCCCGCGAGACCAGATACTCCGGGAGTATACTTCAAGGAAGCTGTCTGCGCCTTGACTGCCCGCCGGCCTCAGCCCATTCTTTCCAGGCCAGAGAAATCGGGAGCCTTACCGGTGATTCCTCGCTCTTTCTCGACCTTGAGAGTGTCAAGCACCTGCTTTGATCCGCTGTTTTTCGGAATGGTGTGTGTCATCTCGAGAAGTTTGTCAAGGTTAGAGCCCAGGGATTAGCGACACAGCATACTTCCAGCATTCCTGCGAGAGGAATGATTCAGACGGCTAACCCACGGATAAATGCATGGTACTCTACGGTCCGCAAGCGTCGATTTTCCATGATCTAAGGGTCGGCCGTCAATGAGCGTGTAAACTTTGCACGGGTCGAGCAACGCTGCTTACCGATGTGTGCAATGATGGAGAAATTCCTAGAGTAACAGTTATGACCTCGGATTTAACAGTGTGGGAAACATATGAACCTAATGAGTTCTGGCGGAAAGTCTTCCATGTTCCAACGCGACGTTAATGTTGCGTGTTTTCGACACCATCGGGAGTAATAAACATTGAAAGCAGAATTCCTGACTCGCGCATCGACGACTGAAATACTTCGGAGCATTGGTTTCAGCTCCTAGGATGTGCAGAAGGCCAGCCGCGAGTTTGGCTGCGGGAAGAGGATGTATATAGGAATAAAAACGAATAAAGGAGTAATGGAGCTGCGTCGTACACGATATTGTAGAAATAATGTGGTTGGAGTCGAGGTCTACGTTTGGCTCCCTGCAGGTTGGCCACCTCTTCGACGACCATTACGACGACCAGTGCAAAATATGTCTCTAGCTGAAGAGGTCGAAGCACGAAAGCACGCTTGCAAGCACTTCGCGCTAAAAAGGCGGGTTTATCCAACGGGTCAGTTTCACGCGCCCATGTTCAGCAATTTCATAACAAGTTTACGTCAAATTGACCGTTTTCCCGGCAATATCTAGTCAGGAAAAGGCGGCAATCGACGTACTTTCCCAGCGAAACTTTGATCCGGAGACGCGGACGCTCAAACGACCAGATGTGCAAGCAAATACTGATACGGTCGAGAAGGCCGTCGAGGGACTCGCGAAAGACATTCTAGAGGCGGACAAGCAGCGGCAGAATGCAGAGCTGGTGAGTTGTTTCCATGTGTCGCGATCCTTGTGCATACGGGTGACCCTACGTCAGGACATAATGAACATTGCCCCCAAACGAGCAAACTGGGACCTCAAACGAGATCTTAACAAAAAGCTCGTTCCCCTGGAGAGAGCCACCCGAGAGGCTATATACACGCTTGTCCGTACGTATGACTCAAAGACACGGTTAATTGCTGATGTCCGCGCATTCTAAAAAGGTGCTAGACTCAAAGCAGATTCTAATGATACATCAAAAGACTTGGCAAATGCTATGGACGCTCGGGCGGCTGCAGAAGGGTCGTCGTCCGAAGATGACGAATAGACACATAAATACATACAGTGACCAAAAGCCAGAATTGAGGGGAAGTGAAAACAATGTCCGTGACACATGGTTCGTGTCTTTGGCACATGGAGTGTGGCTCGCACCTCAAGCATGTGCAAAGTTTTGGGATGGGGGTGACGACCACACGGGGAGTGCCGTCACGTCTATGGGATACCGCGAGAGTTGAGCATGCTGATAACTCGATTATCCTCCGAGTTCCGGCCTCTACAGTTTCCACTCGGCTCCAGGGCGAGCGAAGATACGGGTGGCAATCGTGGGATGGACGCAAACGCTTCGAGATGCGGAGAGGTCATCCGTGAGCTCGACGACGCGCCAGCTGCAAGTGACGTGCTTGCGTACGAAGACGTGTGCGTGACCGACGCATAAGCGCTGTCGCTCGTCGAAGGGTCAAAGTACGAGCCCGACCCACGGCGAGCACCGGGCCAGTGTGCCAGGGGGGAGTGTCCGATGCTGGACGGAGACGAGGTGGGAGAGGGTGACGAATCGCCAGTGCCATGTGTGACGACCTTTCGAGGACGAGCCGGCTCTGCGGCGTTGGCGAGGTTGCGGCCAGACGTTCTCGACTTCCCACTCCGGTACACACCCTGGGGGATGACAATATTCCACAACATGGGCTCCGACTCGAGCGTCGGCAGGTTCGGTAAGTCGGCGTACGTGAAATAGGCCGTCAAATGGAACTTTTTCCGGATAGAAGTGCCCGGTGCGGTTACATATGCAGAGTAGGCTTGCTTGACGAGCCCGGGACCACCAGTGGCGCCATCACCAAAAGGAGAATGGACTGCATTGCTGTACGCTTGCGGGACTGAGCCGTGGTGCGAGGGCGAAGACTGATGGCTGTGGCTGCTCGGTCCGCCGCGAGTCGGGGACAATGCGGGTGTCAGTGGACTGAGAGAGGAAGAAGAGGATTCGCTGATGGAAGAGAAGGACCCACGGCTGTCAGTTGCGGGCTCTGATGGAGCGGTAGAATGGGCATGCTCACCCAATGCTCTGCGACCGATTCTTGCTCGTCGCGTTACCCGTGCGATCGTCCTGAACCTTTTCTTCATAAAACAGGAAGGGCTCTCTCATCCTACTCTGACTCCACATGCAGCCGTCTGTCCAACGTTTGATGCCTGCATCGTCTTCGCTCTCCTCCCAGACGAAGACCGAGCCCGAGCGAACATACATGCTCCTCTCGGCATCATTAAGTCTCCTTGTAACTTGTTTGAGGATCCCGAGTCGAACCGCCTCCTACAGACGGGCAAACGCGCCGACCGTCAGCCAGAGGGCCAGAGGGAGCAGGCACGCTGCGTGCTCGTAAATGAATCGACGTACCAAAATGATCAGAGCGTCACGGACGTCGCGAACGTGAAGACGCGGATGAGTTGGACGCTGGTGCATTGGGTAGGGAGGACAGAACGAGGCGGCGAGTGGTTCAAAGGTAAACGCGGCGATACTATATATCGGGAGACTCTCCATTATCGTAAAACTGAGCAAGGAACGGATGGAAGATGATCGGCTGCCCTCCACGTGGGCAAAGTGATGTAGAGAAGGAGAAACAGGGAGCTTTGTTTGCGACGAAGAAGTTTTAAAGTTGCGTACTGCCGCTGGGAGCGCGAGTCGGTCGAAGGGGAGGATCGGGGAGAGGCGAAGAGTGACGACGAGACGACCGAATTTCAAGCGAACTCAGTCGCAGATGGATAACCAGGAAGTTTGGTTAATCTCAGGGTAGCCTCTTGGGCCCTTATCTAGCTGCGGGGAAACTCTTGCGGCGTCTGGGAGAGTACGGCGAATCCTACAAGAGAGCGTCTGATTCGGAGATATGTATCACAGCCAGGCAGCCTTTTGAACTCTGTGAATCCGAATGGGCCCCTTGGCTACGCTCGCTCGGATCTGGCAGAGCGTGAGTCTCAAACCGGGTAAACGCGCGTTAGTCGCCTGTCTGTATGGGATCGCATCTGAAATCGTCGTTCCGGTCGGAGAAGCTCAGATTTTTCCTGGAAAGATCTCGGACAAGGGCGTCCAAAGGCGAGACCCCGACTCGAATATGGCTGACCGCCACCGAAATTGTGTTGTTACGGCCAACGCCGTGCGCACTCTTCCGAGCAGAATATTGAGATTCTCGGTTTTCGACGACATCGACTTCGAGATGAACCAGCCAATGGTAGAGATGCTACCCCATCTTGGACCTTACCTTGCCACTCCCACCAACAATCCCTGGCCATGACGGAAGAAGAGTCTCGAATTCCTCCGCTGACATATTACTGCTACCAATGTGAGTCTCGACAACTTACCCTTTTCGTCTTCTCAGTCCTCCCAATCAGCCGTCTATGCGCATATCGACCGTGGGTCCAGCTCCCAGACATCCCTGCACAAATTCAGTATCCACTAGGGTTATCGTCTCTCGGTCGCTTACCTTACAAGCTCATCAAACCGGTCTTATTCGCCGTCGACGCAGACACCCTAAAGCACCTCGAACAGGGCTATGATGACTGGCAACGCGTTCGTTTCCGCCGTTTCCCTCGCTTCTCGCGTCTGATATTCTCCCTCGTCACATTATTAGAATGAGTATCTTGACCCCACCGACGGTTCGTGCGTTTTCATATGCACCGCTCCTTCTCGCCGAGAAAGAAGACTCAAAAAGTCGGATTATCAGTGGAAATATGGCATCCTAAATGCCTTGAAATCTTAGGACCAGAAGCTGTCAGCCTCTATGCGTCGGCAAGCAGATCCGTGCCCGTGAGCTGGCGCGATGAGTATTTTGTGAGCCCGTCTATTTCACCGACGGCCTCTCTCTCACCCATATTCTTCGCAGGCACTCACGACGGAACGCCAAAACGCGGTTAGCCGCGCCAGCGATCGGGTATCACGGTTTCGCGTCGCGCAAGAAACGGATCAACGCAAGGCGAAACTCGTTCACGATCTACCTCCGACAAGAAGACGAGGAAACAACCCGCGTGGGTACCCTGACGCCCTCTTCCTACCTCTGTTTCGTCTTCATTGACCTCCCATATGCTGGTGCATTCTCTTCTATACAGTCCACTCTATTATTAATCCAGCCTTTCGGAAAGTCGTCGCCGATACACGAAAGATGTCCATAGCTGCACCCAACCAGCAGGCCGTTCACAGACCTTACCCTATGCCCAACTTTAGACCTCCTTCGACGATGCCTATCAGAACAGAACCCACTCATCAGTCTCGATCCAAGGGATCCCCTCATCCGCGTTCTTCGCAATCCACTCTGTTCATTCCAAAGTCGCGTCCATGATATCCCTTATCCATCTTGTTGCACCTGAATCGTGTTTCTCCGAATCTGTAGCACGTCAGAGCTTTATTGTGTCTCCTACGAATACATTGTATACATGCGCACGGTAGCGGACGGAGTAGGGATCTGCAATAAGGATATGGGTTCTATGAAAGGGAAAAAAGACAAACTGTGCGAGGGCGTGTTCTCGAGAGGAACAAGATTGTCAAAACTGTAGAAGTCCAGTCGGCTTATGCCGGTCCTCCTCTGCCCGAACCACCAAGCAGGCTTTGATGGATCCCCCTTCCCCCAAAAAGCAAAAACCTTGAGCTGATCGATCTAGTCTGATCTCCCAACAAGGTTCCGAAGCTAGGGCAGTCCCGCTGCTCGATTGCAAGAGGTAGAGCCGGCTGCACAGATAAATCGCCGATGTATTGCATGCGTGGCGCTCAGAGTTGCTTGCAGGGCGGCAGTGAACGACCTGTTACGCCAGAGGGTTGCAGGGAATTGGCGACGACGATTACGAGCGACCGAGGTTTGACCGTGCGTCGGAGAGCGCGTCATCGTTCCGTGAGATTAGAGGAAAATCTCGCCGGAGTTTTTGGGACAATCCCGTCATCTTGTCGATGCCTCCTTCATACGGGATGGAGAGGCACCAAGGAGATAACCGTCGTTGGTTCGCAATCCTCCGACAAGCTGCTTTCCATTTTGCGTCTCTCGTTCGGATGCATCATGGACGATTGGTCCCGGTTGTTCAACCATATTGCTGTCTGCCGTAAGCTCTGGTTCCGGTCCCCATAGCCTAATGGTTCCGTCGTCGCCACAGCTTGCGAACAAGGCACTCTCACCGGGGCACCAATCCACCGAGTTAACCCCTCCGGGTTCATGCCCAGACAACATCTCGAATAGTGTCCCCGTTCGTCGATTCCATACGTAGACATGCCCATCTATTTGACGTCAATGGCGGTCCAGGTGTTATGCAGTAAAGGAGAGCCCTCAACGAAAATCTCACGCACCTTCCGAACCACTGAGAATCAAGCCGCCGTCAATCCCTCCGAAGCAGCTTCGTACAACACACATTCCTCGTGGCCTCCCGACATAACGTTGGATCAATCTTTCCTCTACAAGGTCCCAAAGGGCCACATCCTACTTGAACATCAGGCATTGCCACAGGGAACGAGAACCATGGCTCACCCCTTGCTGGTGGTTTATTAAAGCAAAGCGAGAATCCTCCGAGATCTTCACGCTTTGTAATTCGCCCCATACAGACTGCCACCTACAGAGTGATAAGAGGCGTGTACGCGCGGTCAAAATTTCGGACGAACCAGATTTCTTGCCGGGTTTCTAGATCATACACCACTATTCTCCGTTCGATATCTACCGAGGTTCGGTTTTCGTTTCCGCTGACAGTTGGAGCGTGGACTCCCGCCGACGCTTGTAGCGTTGTGGCGAGGCTGTGTGCAGACGGAGTATGTTCATTTGAAATAGATATTGGCTGTGCAAGCTGACCAATAGCTACGAGACGGCGTCCATTCGGAGTAATCGCCAACTCGAGGATTCGAATGTCGAGTTGGGGCCATTGGAGGACGAAATTGCCTTTTATGTCCTGTATAAGACGCATGAGGAAGCGGTTATATGCGACAGGGCAGAATATCACTGTACCCATTGGATGATTCGTCGGTCCATGCCTCCAGTCACGAATCCGCTTGAATCCGCCAGCCAGCACAATCCGTTTACAGTTTGAGAGTGTTGCTGGTTAATCGTCTTTAGACATGCTCCAGTCTGACAACGTTAATTAGTATCTACTTCCTCGGTTCCTACTGGTTACACACCTCGGCGTGCCAGAGCTTGATCTCGTGCTCAGCACTCGACAACAGGTATGAATCATCCGGTGACCAGGATATGGCATTTATGTGGAAGGAGTGATCACGAAGCACATGTTGAAGCGTACAGTCGAGCTCTCTCGTGGCCTCGATGCGGGCCTAGGAGGATAAGTTGGGAAAAAAAAAAGTGCAAATGGGCATGATGGCTTACAATCTTCCATATTATGACCGTCGAGTCTTTGCTAGAAGAGGCCAGCTTATCCCCTCGATGACTCCATTGGAGCTGCCACACTTCGTCACGATGGCCCTCTAGAATGTGCGTGTTCATCGATGGAAACTGCTTCCTTGAGCAGCTATGATCATGATATAATGAATGCGTCTGTGAGCCAATATGATAATTGCACATTTGAATCTGATGTTCGCGGGCTTGCTGTAGCAGTGTGTCCAACCGTCGAGAAGGTACCATGGCGGAGGATGGGACAAGCTCTGAAATAGAGTCAGACTCGAAATTGCCAAATCTCCAGAGTACGTACGTTGGAGATGACTGAGGAGTCGCTGTCGTGATGAACCATTGCTTCCGTCCCAATGTGCCTGCCTCCGCAATTCTTCTGGCCCACTGGCCATTATCAAACTAGGAGCAGATGAGCAGAGCCCAAGTACAAGGCTAGACGTGACTTGCCTCGAGAGATTATGCAGGCGGCCCTGTTCGATATCCAACGGAGCAATCTCTTGCCGCAGGGTGAGTAGTGCTTCGGCCCGTTTATTCGCCTCGAGATATTCCAGATACTTTTGCTGGCTAATCATGAAGCGTGCAGCCTATGAAACCCCATGGTCAAACACGTGCCACTCGCTGGGGGAAAGGGAGTGTGTTTCCACTGACCCGAAGGGAGTCATCATCCCGAACTCCAAGAACGACCAGTCCATTTTCAACCAGATCCCATTTACCGTTCATGACGGCATTGCGAAAGGCCGCGACGTGCGCAGTCTCGTAAGAATAGCCCGATTCCTGCTCGAGCACATTTGCCGTCTCTCTACAAGCAATCCATCAGTCCGTGGTGTTTCGGGTGTGGTTTCCAAACGCACAGGTATCCAACGTCCTTGAGTGTTTGGAGCAGTAATCTGACAAATTCCTCTCGGTCTGTCATCGAGTCGGGATACAATGTCGTGCCGGGTGGAAACACTCTTGCAACGGCTTTTGCATGACGCGCGTACGGTTCCGCCAGAGTCTCTATGCGTGGTGATAGCGATCCATTGGTGAGCGAGCCGTTTGTTGAGCCGTTTGAAAGGGCCTTGACGTGACCGTTCTTGACGTTTACGAGTGGATCGTCCATAGAGGCGATAAACGCAGAGGGCGAGGTGTAAGTACCTGTAGTGGCCCCAGCAGCGGCACCTGGGCATGCCACGGAACAGTAAGCCAGGACGCAAGTGAGCTCGAGCGCGCGCGTACGCACCGTTTCCCACGTCGGAAGAGCTCGAGGACTGGGTTCCTTGGGGCTCTGATGCCTCGCCGGCCTGGGTCAGCCTCATTGCCTCGGCCGCGTCTGCAATTCCAGAAAGCGGGTGCTGATTCGAGTGTAAAGACGATGCTTCAAGGTTGGGATGATTACTCGTGTCGATGCGTCGCCGTTTCACAGGTTTGTCTGCAGATGGATAGGTCGAAGTAACGCTCAACGCTCGCCTTCTACGGATTGCAGGCCGTGCGCTCTCCGCTAATTCTGGAAAAATCTGCGTCGTCATTTGTGATTCAAATGACGCACTAGAGCCTGCTTCGAGCTCATCTGAAGCTCCAGAACGGCGTGCAAGCGGGCCAATCACGCCAGTGCGATGACTGAGCGATCCGCTTGAAGCGTCTACGAGAGACTGTCGGCTTTCTGATGAGTCCTGAATCGTGATTGAAGCCGTGCGGTGGAGATATCAAAGTAAAGCCGGGGTTCAAGGTCGATGGCTACTCACCAAACCCTTGCACACCCGCCCAAATGAATGCAAAAAATGGCCATCTAGTAAAAGGTTTGACTCGTGTAAATACAGGAATAGAACTAGGCGCGCCCAGATAGATCAAGGCGAATAAATTAAAGAAAAAGAAGGATTCACTCCAACGTCCTCTATGCCAGCGGCTCTGTCCATGTTGGGAGCACGCAAATAAAGCAGGCCAGTAGTCCATTTTGGAGGTTCGAGCGGCCGCGAATGAACGCAGCCAACTCGAGAGAGAGGGTAAAAGGGAAACGGGACACTTGCCCCCAGTCAAAGGAAAGAACGTATAGTTCTCTGTTGGATACTGACGAAGCTGATACCAGACATGACTCGACGTATAAGTAATCCGGCAGCGACATGATGAGTGCGAAGGACGCCTTTGGGTTGTTGATACATTTTTGAATGCAAGGGGGGGGGATTTTTCTATTATAGAGATTGGTGGTTGGTCGAGATCCTCTCGTGACGTTTGTAGGGTAGGTAAACGGATGAGCATGAAGTTCGGGGGGATAGGGTGCGTAAATGCGACGTAATCCGGCGTACCGGGATCGTTTTGGGGGGTGAAAGAGTCAGTGGTGACGTGAAGAAAATCGATAGAGGCGAGATATGCGACCAGAAAGGGGGATTTTTGGTTTTGGTTGACGTGGTCATTTTATTTGCCACGGTGAGCCGATCGTCCTCGTCGACGATCCATCGGCTCGTTTTCGGCCCACGAAGCCCAGCTTGGAGGAGATGGGCTCCTGCTTGCGGCAGGTCTTTTGCGCGAACGGCCGCGTGTCTCTGCTCCGACCCGATGAACACGAGACTCGTCATCTGCGTCGACATATTGCCAATCGACAGCCTCATCAACCGGTGCCACTGCTGGCATTTTCTCCCAAGAACCGTCTGCCGTAGGCTGCTTCGGACGATCGACCGTTCTAGAATGTACTGCTGATGCACGTGGCTCTCCAGAACGCATCCCATGGGTTCGAGCAACGTTTTGGAGTGCACTGTACGCGTCGGACACGGGCTGATGTTCCTTTGGTGGCGCTTCGACGGTCGTAAAGGGTTCAACAGCCCGTCGCAAGGTATGGACAATTGTATCCGACACGTGCCTCATGGTTCCAGTAGCAGCTGCTGATTGCGTCCCATGTCCCAATGTAGATTCTGATGCGCTCATCTGAAGTCCAGTCGTGCTCCCAGTGAGCACGGCCGCAGCCTTTGAGCGCGGTGTCGAGCTCGTGGCGCTTTCGGTAGACCCGTTTCGCCCTAGAGCCAACTTTGTGGTAGAACCAGCGTTGGAAAACGTCGTCGTGTGCACTGGATAGGCATATTCAGATCCATAACGCTTGTGACTGTGGCTGAGCTTGTAGGGCGACGGACTGGCGAGAAGCTTTGACGCTCCGGCATTGGCGCTGGCATTGATGGGCCCGGGTTTTCGAACATACTGCAACGCAGTGGGTGTCCCCGGTACCGACTTGCTGCCGACGTTGACTTCTTGTTTGGTGATATTGATGGGCGTGGCCACTCCAAACTCGGCGTAACGAGACTTCCAAAATGCATGGTCCAATACACCCTGGGATGAGCGGAAGACGCCATAGTCGCCAGCCTTGCGATCAAAGCCGAAATCCGCGTCGTTGTCCGAGAGTTCGGGAAGGTCGCTGGTGTGAAGCGATGGCGAGGATGTGCGTGAGGATGTCGTGGAATACCGCTCTAGATGCCGGGCATGTGCATTGGAGCGATGAGTTCGCTGCCTTGATGGCACGAGCTTGGGAGAACCTCGTGACGGGGATGAAGATGCCGAAGATGGTGCCACCGACGAATTGGAGGCGGATGCTGAACCATCCCCGCAGTCCTGTCGACGGCAGATGTCCGAGCAATAGATGCTGCAAATATGTGTAACAAGGTCGAGTTGGTCAGGGTCAATGGGTGGCCAAAGCAATGACGTGCATCCGACGAGATGAACAACAATGAAATCACGAGTTTTGTTTGGGACAGATGACCAAGTGGCGAGCGAAATACGTTAGCGAACGTGCGGAGCGAGTGTGATTTGAACGAGGGGTGGAAAGAGCGAAAACGGGCGTATGAGCCTAGCGGGCCCAGAGCGTCACGGCGAACGTATTGATGACGAAAAACAACAAAGAAAAAGAGGATAGACTGGGTTGCGATGTGGAAGTGAGACAAGAAGGACCACCCACCTATTATCCGACGTGGTTCTGCCACAGCTAAAGCACACATTTTCGTCAAACATGTCTTATATGCCTGTCCGTCTGTAGCTAGCGTATTTTGAAGACGAAAGCGAGGTCCAACGAGGTAAACGGCGGGTAAAAAGGCCGCAGCGAGCGAAAATCCGAGTCAGCGCGCGGTTGTAGAAAATGCGGGGGAATGGGCTCGCACATACCAAACGTAGTCTGGAGAGTATCAGCTATGGCCCTAGACGCCCTCTGTCGACTGCCAAAAGCGAATGAGCGATTTAGTGCCGACCGCGGGTAAAGTGGCCCAGCGCTGGAGGTGTTCTAGACGATGCTCTCGAGATGATAAGCTGCAAAGACGAGAACGGTTTGGCCAGAGTTATCAGCCTTTTTTTTTTTGGCGGTAAGCAGCAGCGGTGGTCGAGTTCAAGTTGTGTCTGGGGTCGACACTCAATCAATTCAAGTCGACGCAGGTTCGCTTCACTTGGTCTACCAAAAGCGGCGCTTGTTTCGGCTTTTAGTTTACTTGTCTAATGCAGACAAATACAGCATTCCAGCATTCCACTAAATTTTCGTTTCATGTCTTGTCCAACTGTCGCTTGTATCATTTCGACAAACGGCGGAACACTCAAGGAGGGGAGCCTAAAGAGAAAGATCCACTCCTTTTGGACATGGCCTATGCGATCGGAATCACGGCCTCTTCTGTCATCCCTGCTTTCTCTGCGCCACCGGATGGTGGGGAGACGGTTCCCTATCGACTCTGGTCGCGAGACTGGCTCAGGTTCTGAGCCCCGGCCGCACCTGGATAGTCTGTCTATTCAACTTGTCGACGGGCAAGTCACTTTCGCCACCACTGTGGGTTCTTGCGACTACTGGCTGCTCGTGGCATTTGGGGCCTCTGAGCGAGGTGATCTTGGAGCAGATTGCACGCTCGTGCTCATGCTCGTCCTCGCTGGACCAGGCGTGTGTGGTGGCGATGGGGCTGCCACAGGCGAAGCTCTGCCCTCATCTAGAGCCGGCGTCGGGACCCCAGAAGAACCTACGACTAGACTTCCTGATGGCGTTCCCGGTATCGATGTATCCTCTCTACTCTCATTGATATTGCTCGTCGAGCCAGCCGCCGCATCGCTGGACGTGGCCTGGCCTCCCAAGAGATTCGCAAACCGTGCGCGGGAAAATGGTGACGGCCGAGCGGCAATGTTATTTAGTCCAGACAATGGAGAACTAGTACTGTTCTGTCGGACGTTCGGTTTGGGCTGCGCTTGGAGGTCGATACTGCCGCGTGGACGAGGCGTGGAACTACTCGGGCTACTGCTATTTTGCGTCGCAGCTCCGTTAGTAATTCCATTTGCATTTGATGCCCCTGGGCGTACGATGGGCTTTTCTTGGACGATAGTCTCGAGCATGTTGCTCAATGAGCCCGCACCTCGCAAGGCTGAGATCTTCTCGTGAAGGAAGCGCGCATCTGACAGCATCCTGTTTGGCAGCCATAAGCCGAAAATCATGCATCGGCAACTGAGCCAAGCACACCTTTCCTTTGCCTCTACACTTGGAAGAGGAATACGCTGGTACTCCTCCCCAAGACGGTGATTGATCGAGGCAAACACATCCGACATGATTGGCTGATGAATGAGGAGGAAATCATCGTTAGTATGTAAATTAACAAGGTAAATCTTCACACCTCGGTGGTGGTCGAGCCGAGATACTTGCTCAGGACCTTGTGAAGCGTCACCGTCTCTTTGACTAGGGCTTGCATGTATGCATTCGGAGTTTCGGCACCCTGCTGCTGCTGCTCGGTCGGGCCACCCCAGTTCACCTCTTGCAGTGACTTGCAATGGAAGCTCAGTCTCTCTCCCATAATTTCGATAAGCTTGGCGTGAATCCCCTCTTGGTGATTCTGATAGTCCCCCCTTAGCCTATCAAATTCGGTCAACAGCACGAATTGCTGTGGACTAAGATGCCGGCGGAAAGTCTCTCGAATGTAGGGTATCAGTGCGATAACGATTGAAAGAGATTGAGAGGCAAGGGCTGAGAAAGGAAAGTCAGATTAGAGCGATCGGTAGCTCGGGACGGCATACCGAGATGTCGAGCAGTAATATTTCGAAGGCCAGCGGAGCGCATTGCACCAGCTCCTAGGACAACCTGACATGTCCTCGAATTGAAGGCCTGTGCGGTAATTATATGAGTAAACAATGGTCCCATACGCCCATTACCCACCTTGAGAAACTCGACGAGCCGGCTCATGCACTCCATATTGAGACTCGGAAAGTTTACTGCCACGCGAAGATAGTCGATCACCATTCCGAGGACCTGTATTGTCGCAGCGACAACATAAAACTGGCGGTCGTCCACCATGAGATATTTTGAGTTCTTAGCGGCTGCTGATTCTCCCTCCCCACTCGGCGTCGACGCTATGTCATTTGGTACGGGATCATCAGGTGTCAGAGTATGCGAGCGAGAATGGCCCGGTCTATCCGTCGTGCCCCCCTCTTTGACCTCGGTGAATATGAGCTCCGGGGCATCCCGTACTGCGCTGTCTACCATGAGAGTTGCCACCCGCTGGGACCTCGGGGATACTTCGATGACTGCCCATTGTTCATCCTCCACTTTTTTGGCACTGTCCTTGAGCCTCTCTTGATGCAATGCCTGCAGGAATGCTTTGGACTGATATGATCAGTGAGGGCCACCACTGTTGAAAATAAAACTCACTTGACCGCCGAGCGTTCCTCGTAGACCCACGACCATTCGTGAGCAAATGACCTCACTATCGACGATGAATGTCCAGATTTCTTGATGGAATGCATAGAAGTCGCGAAGTTTGAGGTCGGTATGTTGATCTTTTCTTGTCGAGATTATCTTTGCAATACGAGTATGCGCTAGCTCTGTCGCAGCGAACAGAATTGAAGAAAACGTCGCTTCATACGTCTTATCTAGAGCTTTGCTAGTCTGCAAGGCTTTAGAGCTTATAATCCAGTCAGTAATGGGAGCTCCGCAAACAATGCGGCATACCTCGGTTTGGTCTCGCGATTGAGGATTGTCAATAGCACTCCGCTCTGCATATTTGCACCTTCCAAACAACGTAGAGTGGGCGCATAGATCGACTTCATAAACCTCAGGAAATCCTCATGCGCCATCTCTTGCAAGCACCGAACTAGTACGTCCGGCATGCTTTGGCCAAGAGATCCCATGCTGTCCGAGTCCCCACCCGATTCAATGATAAGGGATGCTAGTTTCTATCAGGGGTCAGCTAGATGAGCGCGAATTAGAATTGGACGGTGGAGGGTGCACCTGTTCAATGACCTCTTCGACCTTGCGCAGAACCACTTCCCTCCACTTGTCAAGAGCATCCTTGACGCCCCCATCGCCTGTTCTGAATAATCCGACCACCAAAGAATTGAGTCTCTCCAGTAACGCTTCCTCGTCATCAAGCTCCTGATCAGGTCCGTTTGCAGCTATTCTCAATGCCAAGTCGTGCATCGTCACGTCGGCGAATTCTCGAGTGAGCGTCATGGCTATCTTCAGAGTCATGTCCCGCAAATCGTCGGGCAGCGACGAAAAGGCATGCATCGAGGGGATTGATACGTCCCGTATCACAGAGGAAAGCTTTTTAGTCGCTGAAATCTCTTCGTTCACTCGGTCACTAGCCTCTTCTTCTCCCACTGGGGGAAGACGTTGGTCTCGACCAGGCTCTTGTGTAGACGAAACCGCCGCATGATCTGTTTTCATGTCCAGAAGGGAACGAATGTCTTCGACGACATTCAGGGCGTCTTTCCAATCTCCCGCATTTGTCAGGCCTTGAGCGATTGTGCGTCTCTCTTGGATATGTCGGACAAGTTCTACTCCGTCTTCCAACCTCTGGATCTTGGAGATTTTGTTGTCCTCTCGTGCCAATTCGAGACCCTTTTTCGCTCCTTTCTCGTCTATTTGCTGCAACATCGCCTTCAAGTCGACGATTTTTCTGAGGCAGCGTTCACTTTCTGATTGGAGATCGTGGAGATTGGTGAGAGCAGAAAAGAAGGAGGACGAGCGGGCTTGAATCTCTTGCACGAGATGTCCTTCTACTGTGTCTGCATAGTGGGAGAGTTTCTCTAGGAGAGGAAGAGAGTATGAGATGGACGCTGGGTCTTGTTCAAAGGATATGTTCCCGCCGTCATCAGTGGGTCGATTTTGTTCAGTCACGAGCGCAAATGTCGCAGGGTGAGTAAGGTTAAAGTCGGGACTGAAGTATATCTCGGGCACTGTGTCCAAGGACGCCATTGAAGACTGTACTCTGGTGGTCTGGACAGACTCTAGTGACATTGAGACCGAAGTAGGTGACTGGGCTTCTGAAGTTGCATCCAATGCGCCATCTGGCACGATGGACGCACTTCGAGCTCGCTTCGCATATTGCTGACTCCGTCGGAATGTGGCCCAATGAGGGGCTATATCCTTGAGATATGGATCGAAATCCTTTCTGCGGACGCGTGGTAAGTCCGCAGGAACCACAGTTGGCAGCGTCGAGTGCGCCTTGGGAGGTGCTGCCCGTTTGGTTGGATGATTCAACACAGTGGAGATAGCTACCAAGCGTAAATGTGTAACATAAGCAGAAGTTCTCGTGCGCCTAATGATGACACGTACCATGAAAGCCATGCTTCCCACTACTCCAATCACCAAACGCGCCCGCTGAAAGCGTCGCAGTGTTCAATCCCTGAATCTCCCCGCGTGCCGAATTTACATTCCCAACAAAGTCTACTTTGCTCTCTGATTCTGAATAGGCCGATACGCTGCCAGGGCCTCGTCTTCGCTCCCATGTGAATCGAAATGAGGGCTGATTCCCGCGTATTGACGGTGCTATCCCAGATATTGATCCAACAGGCGATCCTGGTCGTGATGTGGAAGGATTAGAGAGCACCTCTTCAGCCATTGGATGTGGTGGTCGGTGTCAAAGTTTGCGACGCGGTTAGTTTTGGACCCAATCTCGTCCTGAACTGGGTCCATGAGCCAAAGCCACAGCAAGAATGCGCGAAGTTTCTTTCCAACTCCAGCTTTGGATCATGCTGCTGCAGGCATCGGCGCTGGAACTGTCGCGGTTCTGTGCATGCACCCGCTTGACCTCATCAAAGTAAAGTTCCAGGTAGCGACGACTAAGCAAACTACAAGGGGGATCGGGAAGCAGATATACACGTCTTTGAAGGATATATGGATGGAGCGAGGCATTCGAGGCCTCTACCGCGGCGTTGGTGCAAACATGGCGGGCAATGCTGCAAGCTGGGGACTCTATTTCTGGTTGTGAGTAAAATAACCATATTTCCGTCGTATTGTACTCATCACCAGCTAGCTATACGCAGTTCAAGACGTTGAGACCTCCTGTCGAAGGAAAAGTAAATTCCGCGTCAAACTACTTGATTGCATCGGCAGAAGCAAGTACGTAAAGGGGTTTACGCTATTAATTACTGATTATGCTTGACAGGTGCGGTGACTGCCCTCCTTACCAACCCAATATGGGTTGTAAAAGTTCGCCTCTTCACGACCAACGAGGACTCTCCGAACGCGTATAAAGGTCTCTTTGGTGCGTTTATTCCATTACTCCATGACCACTCGCTGAGTTGTCATAGACGGCCTTCGTCGGGTATGGAATTCGGAGGGAATTAGAGGTCTATATCGTGGCACCTCCCTGGCTCTATTCGGTGTCTCGAACGGTTCGCTACAGTTCATGACATATGAAATGATGAAGAATTGGGGCTACGCCAGGAAGAAGAAACAGATGGAGGCCAAAGGCGAAGCATGGTCGTCCGAAATCGACAAGCTGGTGAGCTACATTTTGAAATAGGGTAAAAGAAGTCTAATATTATAGCCCAATGCATACTATACACTTTTCTCAGGCGCCTCCAAGCTATTCGCGCTGACCGCCACCTACCCGTACCAAGTTGTTCGCGCCCGAATCCAGGTATGTAACTCCAAGTCTGATATCATAGAATTTACGCAAGGCATTAGAATGACGCTACATCCTCGCTGTATCCCAACATTCGATCTTGCGTGAGGATAACCTGGCGCGAGGAGGGTGCAAAGGGATTTTACCGTGGTCTAGGGACAAATCTTGTGCGTGTCCTCCCTGGGACATGTATTACGCTGGTCGTGTACGAGAACATTGCATGGATATTACGACGACAAGCCGCAAACCGAGACGCAAGACTTCCAGCGACTACCGGTGCCTGAAGAGAGGAGGAACTATTAACTTAATTAGTCTACTATTTGAGTACAAATTCTTACTCACGGTCGAGTTAGATATCCCTAGATCACTATACAGACAATTGTATCACTCATGGCCCTCTCAACCGGTTCAAGCGTTCCTGCAGCGCATCCTCTTCCGCAGTCGACACTCCTCCATCCCCTGAACCAGAGCTGGGAACATCGTCCCCTCCCAGTGCGACGGCCTGCCGTCTGTTGACAACAGGGACTGCGGCCGAGTGCAGGTCGGTTGGAGTTTCCCCAAGCTTCTGTGACATGTCGATACCAATCTCTTCCAAGACTTGTTGGAGAATCTTGTCCCCTTCTTCTTCTTCATCTTCGGCATCGTCTTCCATGACGCCGTCGACTGCTTCGGACATAAGTTCCTCCTTCATGTCCATTGCGGCACTCTCTCGCTCAAACTCGTTCATTATTCGCTGAATTGCTGGAAGGTTGAGGCCTTTATTCATCGAAGCCATGGCCTGTTGCTTATTAGCATCCCTTTCATGGAGCAAAAGTATAGCATACCCGGGTGGCGCCTCTCATCGCATCTGCCATTTGTTGGTTGCTCCGTAGCGTTTGGATTCTGAGACCAACGGCTTGAAGTTGCGTGCGCATTTGGTAGAATTTCTGGACATATCTCCGAGTTCGTACGAGATCCTTGGCCATTACTTTGCAAGCATTCTGCGGTAGTGATAAGTCAATTTCATACTCGAAATCGGAGAAATAATTGAAGAGATAGTGAACATCATCATGCTCAACGGTTTGCGTCGTTAAATGGAACTCGCAGACGCACCAACTGCCCAGCCTTGGCGCTCTTCTTGATATCCGCGACTAGCTTCTTTTCTTGTTGCTCGAGCTTTGTTCTCTCTCTATCCAGTTCTCGCTGCGCCTTTGCGAGCGCACGTTGATGCTGGCGGAGGCGCTCAGCGGGCGTCACCGTTCGTCCGAAGAGTGTTTCCTATCAAATGGCGCACAACGAGACATAAAAGCGCGTTATAACGACTATGAGCTGGACGCCGGTGATAGCAGCTGCCATTGCTTACGAGGATGGTCATGGATTGAGTTCAAGTCTGTGTCGCCACCTTTCGATATACGTGGAGCTCACGAGACAAGCATAAGATCTCGGAACATGCATACAGGATTCATAGGTACAAAAAATGTTAGCCTATTGCGTCTTTGAGACGGTTGAACCTATCAAGTGGATCAGCAAAAGAACCTCGGCGCAGTGAGACATACATCTGCGAAGGAGACCAAATCCGAGAATTTTGAAAGTGGCATTAAGCCATGGCTCTACGAGAATGCTCTCAACGCATTGGTATATCACACAGCCGTCGCCTCTTCGTTTGCAGTCTCGCCAACAGGCTGTTCGGATGCCTGAAAAATATGAGTACATCAAATGAAAAAAGGAGTCACTCACTGCTGCATATCCGCGTCCACGCCCTCGCCCGGCACCACGACCGCGAGAGCCTCTACCTCGACCACGGAACGAATCACTTGATTCATCTAGGCAATATGAGCGCCTCCCTTTCAAGTGCGCATCACTTACTGAGTCCTGGCTTTCCGGAGTCCCACTCCCGCCGACTCGCTTGAGCAATCTGACAAGAAAGTCAGACACATACTTGCAGGAGAGACCAGTCTCACCTTTTTCTCCGCAACCTTCTTCCGATCACTGTCAATCTGTGCTTGAATTTTGGCTTGATTTTCTCGACGGGCTTTGTCCGCCTCTTGTTCCTTCTCCCATTGCTCCGCATCTGCTTCAACTTCCTGGAGAGAATATTAATATATTTCGATTCGAATATAACCACGCATACCGCGCGCTTTTCTTTAATCTTTTCGTTTTTGAGTCGCATCTGCCTCATCTTCTCCTCCAACTCTTCAGCACTGAGCTTGGTCTACAGAGCTGTCAAGGTTTGATATGTGTTTCATGAGGATTTCTCACCCTCTCGGCACCTCCAGTTTTGACGCGGTCGGGATTGTTGTAGAGAGGTGGCTTCTTGTGTCTGGATTGTGCCGTCGTTGGACTGACGGTAGCTCCCCAGTCATTCCCGTTATTCATTGTCCCCCAATCTTCGTTTAGGTCGGCGTCACCCCATCCTCCAGTCGCAGTCTCTCCATTGCCACCATCCTTTTCGGTCACTGGATCTGCCGTCTTGTCATCTGCAGGCGTAATACCCCAGGCAGCGTCCTGTTCAGCTGTAGACATTCCAGGAAGAGGTCTTGAATCTGCTGTATTTTCGACAGGGGCCTTGGCTTCCTCTTGCTGGGTCTTTTTGGCCCGCTTTGGTTTGGCGGACTGCTTCTTTGGCTTGGGGGCTTTTGCGGGATCCGCTTCCTCACCAGCATCTTTTTCACCAGTCGGTGACATGGGATCATCGCCAGTTGCTTCATTCTCGTTTGTGGCGGGTGTAGGGTTTGAATTTGGTGCCGCGCCTCGCGAGCCACCACGGCCCCTTCCGCGCTCTACTCCTCGACCTCTTTCTTTCCCTCGATCCGACGTTCCTCTAGTACTGTCACCAGTACCTCGTCCTCTTGGCGCTCCACCTCGTTCTGATGCCCCGCGCCCTCGCTCACTGCGCTCGCCACCGCGACCACGAGTTCCTCGGCCTCTGGAGTCATATCCAGCAGATTGCTGCTTTCCGCCTCTTCCTCTCGTCCCTTTGCCTCTATTACCCCCAGAGGGCTTGTCAGGCTCCGCTACGGGCTCAGCCCACAGATCGACATCATCATCCTTTGGAGGAGAAAGTTCCCACGGCTGCCTCTCCGTCGCCGCGTTCTGTTCTGGTTCCTCCTCGTCCTCTTGCCTTCGAACGCGAGGTTGTCGTTTTCCCCCGTCGTCGAAATCCGAATCTGCATCATCCTCGGATTCAGCATCTACTTTAACTTTTTCTGGGACCTCTTGTCCACTGAGATCAAGTCCAAGCGCGGCCATGGTTGGAAACAAGCGGCGCCCTTTGTTTGTCTCTCTCCACCATCATGTCGCTCGTCCGCCACGCAGAAAGTGCCCAAGCGTTGGAACAACTGCTCACATCCAAGGCATCTGGTCTGGTTGTCATCGACTTTCATGCCGTCTGGTGCGCGCCTTGCCACGCAATCAGCCCTGTGGTAGACGCTTTCTCGAAATCGGTACATTTGGGCTCCATTCAACCTTGCGATTCTAACGTGGCTGCTACAGTACCCTCAGGTCACATTTGTCAAAGTAGACACGGATAAACTTCAGGATGTTGCGCAGAAATATACAATTAAAGGTCAGTGTCTGACAAATATGTGGATCTCTTCTAATCGGGTCCCAAATATCCAGCTATGCCTACGTTTCTGTTCATCAAGAATAAAGCGGTCGTCGAAACGATTCGGGGAGCAGACCAGGAGGGACTTCGTGCTGCCCTCGTCAAGCACGCGCCTACTGGGCAAGCCTCTACTTCTGGCTCTTCCGACTCTGACGTGTGTTGTGTCCAAAACCTTTGTCGGATTACATCTGATTCATATCTATAGATCTCACTCTTGGAGTTTATCGACCGTTCACAAGTAAACTGCCTCAACGAATCAAGTAGTCATACCCTCAAATCTATCCTTACTGGGCACTCCAGGAACACCTCTGCAGCTTACTTGGAGAGCGATACAGACGAGCAACTGCTGCTGAACATCCCTGTGCGTTCATGATCTCATTCGCCGCTGTAACTAAAACCGATAGTTCAACCAAGCCGTCCGTATCAAAGGAATATCTATAAAGACAGAGGAGAGTTCTCATGCACCAAAGCTCATCAAACTCGTTGTGAATAATCCCAACCTTGGCTTTGAGAACGTGCAAGACGCGGTCGAACCTCAAGTGGCCCAGGTGATCGAGCTAGACGAAGCTGCAACGTCTGAAGGAAAGATGATCCCTTGAGATTTGTCCGGTTCCAATCTGTCCTCAGTCTCGGGGTCAGTACCATCTATCCATCTACATTTGTCAACATTACTAATAAGGGACAGATATTTGTATCGTCAAATCAAGGAGGCGAAGATGAAACACGTATAAATTCCATTGATATATTCGGACTACCGGGACAGTGAGTGTAATGTTGGGGTTGTAAGAGAGTGTTAACGGAAGAGATAGGACGAGTCGCGTTTCGGAACTACGACCACGAGAAGATCACTAGCCTAAGATAGTGGGTACCATAGCATGTATCGCTTGCGCTCCTCTTCGGTCCCCTCGAACCGGAAATAGATCCTTTTCAGGTCTTTGAATCCTTCCGCCCTGGCCGGCTCTTCGAATCGACCCTGAATATCTTTAAAGTCTTTACAAGGGATCAACTTTGAATCTCCCTGAGATAGCGTGAGTGAGATGATGTGGTGAGCCTTTGAAAGAGATTGAACCATACCTCGATCTCTCTAAGAGCTTCGGTTCGGCCTAGGGCTCGATACATATTATTGTGCCACGCGACGTCAGTATCTGCGAACCAAATGCAGCTTCGGGAGAAATCAGCGACGCCAGGTGAACGGGCAGATTGAGGCATACTGAACGCTCATGTTGAGCTTCTTTGCGCAGTCGACATAGTCTTGCCGCTCGCATTTGGTGCCGTTGATTCTGTCTGGGCATTTTGAGTGTCGCAGATAACGGAGATGCGGGAGACTTACCTACGACAACACTCTTGCCTTTGGAGCACGCCTCTTCGATAGCAGTCATGTTCTCCGACGTACGAGAGCTGTTTATGTGGATGTAACCGGCTTGTGCAAAATATTTTCGATATAAAGTGCTCTTGCCGATGGCAGGAAGTCCCACAAACAGGATTAGAATGGGCTTGCGGGCCTTGACGGCTGGGACGAGTGGGGTATTAGATGGCTGAAACCAGTGTTCTGTATATGATCAGTCAAATATTGCTGACCTCTATAATTCATACCGTGTTGGACGATCATACTAGGGTGGAAACCCTTGGGCTTTCGTGTTTCCACTGGTCGACCCAGAAAATACTCCTGTAGAGCGTATTAGACTGAGGTTTACTGGCTGTGAGTGAACTCACATCAGGGGTATGCAATGCGATTGCAATGTTCTGCGCAAACTTGAAATCACTGGAGCACTTGTCTGCCCGACGTCCAGCAAAGTCGCCGACAAAAAAGGAGTTTGCGAGGTCAGGTTCCATGTCTTCCTCTTTAAGTAACTGCACGATAGCCTCCCACATTCCTGGGAGTGGTTTTCGATACCAGTCATTTCGAACGGACGCAAGAAGGCGAAATGGTACGCCCTGGAGCTATTGAAACCGTTAGTACCTGATGGTGATGAACGGGAGATGTGGCAAGGTGAGATTCGGATCTGGTGACGCACCGCGGTCGCCACCCGGTCGAAGCGACGTCTCCAGTCGTTATAAAAGCTTTCCGAGCTCTCGACACCCGGTGGACATAATTGATTGGTGACGATGAAGATGAGATAACTGGTCCAGTGGCTGTGAGACAAGGCGCCTGGAAATAGGGGCGTAACGTACCCATTGTCATGAAGCTCGTGCAATTTCTTGGGAATCACGGGCGTGAACCATTTCCAGTCGCCGCAGTCGAGGAAGAATACACCACCAGTCTTGGTTGTTATCAGCGTGTTGTCCAAGTCGAACAGCGCAACGCGTCGAGGCCCGCCAGAAACTTTCCAGCCAGCCACTTGGGCAAAGAGGCAGGACGGTTTGAACCTAGAAGACCAAATTATGCTTCCATAACCTTGTTTGACCTCCTCTGAGCCTGGATTTCTTGTTAGCTGCAGCCAGAAAGACTCCGACCCAGAGTTGCGCACCCTTGGTATACCCTCTACGCTTCCTTGGAACGGATTCCATGTTATCTAAAGTGGCCTGAGAACGGGATCTTTTCATAAGAGAGCGCCGTATGTGGTTGTGTGGCAAAAGACGACGAGGTCGGAAACAAGCGGCGGTGTCAACTCGGAGACTTCTCCGCAAGATGTTACATCACGCAGTCAAATAACATGATCACAATGAGGATTATACATTATTTCTCAGTAATCTTCGTCGCCGTCTGCCATTACTCCGACTCCAACCAGACCTGCATATCCATCATCACCTTCAAACCCTCCCTTGGCATGACTGAGCTTTCCCACGAGAAAATAGAGCGTGATACCGCCTCCGAGCCCTTCGACGCGGAATTCTAGTGGGGAATCGAGGTTGTTGAGGAGCATCGACAGCGAATCCATATGAATCTTTGGTGTCTCGGAAGAGAAAGATCCGGAGGATGTCAAAGCGGATGGCAATGGCGAGGGAGATGCCCCAGCAGTCACAATCTTTGTACATAGTGAGACGAGATCAACGCATCATAGATTTATCCTCACCTTTCCCTTCTTATAATTCACCCAATCGGCGAGTCCAAGATTCTGTAGTACATTCTCCGGGTCCTTTTGGGTCAGCGAACCGACCCAAACGCCAACGTCGCCATACTCGTCGCTTTCACTAGATTGTCCGGCGAGTACAGAGCTACACAAGAGGCTGGTAGAGACTTCAAATGCTGCTCTGGTCAACTCGTCGAGATAGGATTGTACGCGAAAGATTGCTGGTTGAGTCGTGTCAGTCTTTGAAGATATCAGAGCAAAGTGTGCCGGTGCGTAGCTGAGCAGAGGGCGTTGCCTGGCTTAGCAGCTGCAGGGTGGCCCAAACTGCCTTGATCATTGGCGGAGGTGCATGCGTCGCTAGAAAGCTGCTAGACGTCGAGTCTGCGGATTTTGGCAACGAGCTAAGTGGAATAAGGCTGAGATCTGTTGTAATTGGAGATTCCATTGTCACGCAAGCGGCGTCAGAGTTCAAGTGGAGAGCCGCAGAGGCTGGGTCATATGTTCCAAGAAAAGGGCAAGAATGTCTATCCAGTTCACAAATTCGGTATTTTTCATTCTTTGGTGAATGTGATATCGTAGTCGGTTCCAACGTTGGAAGGAACAAACTTGGACCTCTTCCTCAACGGCAGACTTTGATGGACAGTCGCAACGGTGGGCAATGACCATTTTGTAAAGATACATAGAGGGATTCAACAACCAACCAGGTATTGCACCGTCAATGAATCGAACAGATTCAGATCCAGTCAACCCGTCGAGGAAGAGACAGCGCGTTGACGAGCCAATTGAGCCAAGGTATGCCATCTAAAGCTTGTAATCAGATCATTTGTATGCTAACCTGGTTTGTGGAGTCCCCATCTGCCGTCTAGTGACCGTCAAGCGTGGTACTATCCAGGCGTCGCAAGAGACGAAGATGCAGACGAGCTAGCACCAGGTACAGCAAACGGTAACTGGGGAAAGAAGCATCTCCATGGAGCCCGCTTTGTGCGACGGGGACATATGGCTGCCTGGGGACCAACCCGAGCCCAGTACGATGTACGAGCTGTGCGACTTTTAGACTTGGTTGTGATGCTGATCATTCGCCCTCTACACGACAGGTAGAAGATAGGGCCCGTAGACGTCTAAGGCTAATACTCCCCGAATTCACGGGCGAACCCATCGAGCAAGACCCAATTCTGCCACATTTACGATCACCGTCGCCGCCAATGACAGCTCCGTATACACCAGCTCCTATTCAACATACTTCGTATACATCCTCAGTCTTTGATCCCAACGTCGGGGCGTCGTTTCGCTCAAATCTCTTAAACAGCTTGGAACGCAGCGCATCTGAACTCATTCAGAGCGAGATTGCCTTGACACGCGCATTGGGTCGATTCTGGTCCGCACTCACGGAATCCGCAAATCGTCTCTCTTCTGAGAAACGGCACGCCATCATGCAAGAACAAGAGGCGCTGCTTGCTGAGCAACGACAGTCGAGAATGACTGCAGAGATGACAGACGGGAACCACTAACGAATGGCGCAAGAGCGGACAGCGTACCCCCAGTCGCGCCAGTGTATCCTGCAATCCCCGATGATCGTCTGGTTGAACTGGACCCGTTTACGACACAGGATGTCACGATGCGTATGTTTACACTTCCGACGCACATGCGCCTGGAATATTTCCACACGCCCACCGGCGCTCCAGAGATTATCTCTGTCGCACCACAGCATCAAGTTGATTTGGTGAAGAGGTCGATGCTGGCTATACGAGAGCTTCAGGAGGATAGTAAAGAGTGTATGGAGCGGTTGGAGGAGATTCGAGAGATGCTCGGCAAGGTCAAGGGTCTACGAGATGCCGTCTGGGCAATTATGAGATCCCGTGCAATTCTCGAAATGGAAAACGAAGAATGATCTAGTGCATGTATTACATACTTCATGTATCGGCCTAATCATACTAGCGCTTATTATTTCAGAGAAAGCAATCATGATAGCTGATGATTGAGCGTGAATAGTTTGGAGGCACTCTGGGACACGTACGCATTAGGGGGAAGGTAACAGGGCCATTCGAGACGGGTAATATAACCTTGCCACTGGTCTTCGACGGAACGAAAGAGGTCCATTACTGCACGCGCATCCTCCATCTATATATTGCTGTTAGTTGGCGTTGCTGAGCGTTGATGTGATGTATACTCGCAGGAGAATGCACCCCCTCACCCATTCGTCTCCCCATCAGAACCCACATCATTGTCGGCAAGCGTACGATGTGCTCGAGACTATCGAATACATTCCTGAACGGGACATAAAGGGCTACGTCGCGAATGTCGCTGTTGGAGTGTGCGAGCCCGAGCACGCTCAAGTCTTTCCAGATGCAGTACCTTGAGAAATCTCAAAGGATGGTGGAAATTCGAAGAGTGTTCCGTACCCTATGACTATCTTGCCATTGATAATTGCGGCCACTCGCTGCCGCACCTCCTCAAATGGGAGGGAGTTTGCTGGTTGGGCTTTGTTGGCTCCAAATTTTCGTCATGGCGAGATACTAAAACTTACTTCCAACAAGATCCTGTCTAGTTAAACCCGTCGTAGCAGTTCGGTAGTCTACCACTGTCGATGTGGGCTGTACAAATGTATCAAGGATGCTCCGGCCATAATAGTCACAAAGGGAGACACGCCTGGATATTATTATATTATTATAGACTATTTCATGAAGAGTATCGTGCACATACGCGAGCATGTTTACACTTCCGACGGTGGAGATCCCAACACTTTGACAGCAAAGTCCAACGTATCTGCACAATGAATTATTTTGATGAATCGATGGAGTCCCTACTACTTTGGTGGCAAAGTCATGGGCACAATGGCAGCCCGGGACCAAGTTAATTTCTGATTGTTGTAAGTGGCGTCTCCGAAACCTTGGCCTTAAAAGGCGTTGCAATTGACATTGAATTGTCTCGAATGTAAATAGTTCAAGCCAGATTTCCAAGGTTCATAATCTCCTAATCAGGAATCTGCTTATACCGTATCTTCTACTGTTCACTGTGGTCACGTCAATTACGTCGCCCGGGAAACAGTTCGATTACTCGGATTATCTTTAAGGACCGGCCAAGGCAGGCATTTGCACGGCTTGATTCCGGGACCCAATCTCTTTTGTCAGACGAATAGATTTGAGATAATAACTTCAGGCATTCACGGATAGCCAGATTTGGCGGACAAAAGTCGCGCGAGGAGGAATGAGGGAACCGACAGGACAGGTTCCGATTACACTAGCCTCTTGCAAGCTCAAACGCTGCCACCCTTCCTGCCTTTACACAATCTGCGATACCCGCTCCATCAACATCTGCCCCAATTATTTGCAAACGACCGTTCCACGGCGCCTCAGAGGCTATTCGCCTTGTCATTTTCATCCGTTCTAGGTGCCCCACAAGTGGGAGTGGAATGCATTCTTTTTGGTCATGCTCTCGCACGTGGATGGGCTCCATTCTTGGGCGGCTCAGGTGACTGAAAAGTTGGTCGATGAGATTATCCAATGAGACTTCTGTGACAGATGTCGCATAAGGTCCGCCGCACATGAGCGTCAGCTTGGTGATTGGGTTTTGGCCGGGCTGGTCCTGAGCTGCGAGGGCGCAAGAGTCGAATACGACACCCAGAATGTTCGAAAGAGCATTATCATACCCGTCTGCTGGACGTGGTATGAGGAAGCCAAACCCTTCTGGGTGGATGTCGGTGGGTTTGCATGGAAACACGAGATTGATGACTTTGACATTTGACCGTGGGTTGAATGACAGATGGGGTAGACGTTGATTTGTTGGTAGTAATGTATCAAGTCGCGGAAGTGGCAATGCGGAGACAACATGGGACGCTTCGATAAATTCAGCGCCCTCCAGCTGTACCTAGGAGACATGAATATCAATATCCCCTTTTATCTAGGATGCATTTACCTTTACACCGCTTTCTAGAGCTCGCAAATTGACCACTCTACTTTTGAGTGACAAGGAGACGTTGGAAGCGGCAAGAGCCTGCAGGAGCGAGGATGAAATTGTCGATAATCCGTTTTTAAAAGAGAAACGGAGGCGTTGGACATGATTGTAGGAAGATTTCCAACCTCCAATTCATCGTTGTTCTTTGCGGCTTTAGGCGTTCGCACAATACCCGTGATGACACTTCCCTTTCCTCTGTCTTCGGCGTCCCACAGCGATGGAAACGCGGCACGAACGCTCAATCTCCTAGAGTCCCCGGCGTAGATGCCATGAACCAGGGCACTTCCAAAGAGTCGAGCGACTTTTGGACCGAACCGTCTGGTGAGAAATGAGTCGACGGACTCGTCATCATATACTTTCATGCTTTGTGAAAGGCTGGCCTTCTTTTCCTCGTCTACTGGGATGGGTTGCGTGCGGTTCGGGGGCCAATAACGTTCGGTAAGAACGGCACGCAGCAATGTAAAGAAGAATGGAGAGAAGAACATGTTGAGGGGCGAGGAAGGGAGTGCTTTGAGACCTTGTCCATCAGGCTTTGAGAGGCACAAAAATCGCTTTGTGGCTGCGGGTGCAGACTTTGGCGTGATGATCAGCTCGGACTCGAGGTTGAGAAGGTGGACCTGGAACTTTGTAAAACTTTGCCTTTGCTAGGACCCATGTTTGCTTACCAGCTCCAGTAGTGGTCTCGAAACAGGTCGCAATGTCCTCGGTCCTGCCTCGAGCAGAACACGGCCATATTTTGGTCCCAAGTCGACTGTATCGGACTGTATCCACCCGCCTGCTCTGTTTTGCTCGTCTAGCACGGTGATTCGGATGTCTGGGAAACGACGTCGAAGATGGAAAGCGGCCGTCAGGCCAGAAATACCGGCTCCCAGGACAACAATATGATCATGGTTTGTGGAACTAGATGCGTTTCTCGAAAGTATCTTTGCTTTTGAAATGAGTTGACGAGTGTAAAGGTGACCGGCAGACTCACTTGGAATGTGTTTGGGAGACGGCACTGCCCTGCGTAGACACACAGACATCCTAGGTGATAAATAGACACGAGATTATCCACTAAATCTTGTGTTAGAATGCAGGAAATACACTCGAGCACAAGACACGTACAGTATAGGCAATTGGAAGATTGGACACCCTTTCGGATGTAAATTATCGAATAATCGATGTAAATGGCGCTTATGAATTTGCGATGACTCGAGTCGGGCCCGGTCGACTGAAACGGGTAGAGGGCAAGCAAGTTGCTCCAATCTAAACCTTGTACTCGGCCACCAAACTTGATTCTCAAAAGCGCAACTAATCGCACAAAATGGTCAGTAGATCTCTCCTAAATAATTTAAACTCGCTGATGAGTGGTTTCCTCCTTTTTTATGCATTTATTGGTCATTGTATCGCTCCTAAAAGACGCTCGCCGTTGACCTTCTCAACCCCTCGCTCGAAGCTGAAAAGTCAAAGCACAAGCTCAAGCGACTTGTTCAATCTCCAAACTCGTACTTCATGGACGTCAAGTGCCCTGGTGTGTGCTCTCTGCATGTACCATCTTTGACTAATCCGCCATCGTCTACAGGGTGCTTTGCGATCACAACCGTCTTCTCGCATGCTCAAACCGTTGTTCTATGCAGTGCATGCTCGACGGTGCTATGCCAGCCGACTGGTGGCAAGGCTCGTCTGACTGAGGGTAAGCTCTTTGATATCCTCCTTTCGATCTCTTGTTGATGGACATACTCTTCAGGTTGCTCGTTCCGCCGAAAAGCATGAGCTTGCTTCATCGTCTTGTCGTCTGCTGCCCTTTCCGTCTCGGTCCCCGCCATAGTCGCATTCGCGTGTCCATGAAATAAGTATACGTACATGCACACGCTTCCTTGCAATCCATTGGCTTCTGTACTACTCTACAATTGTCCAAATTGCCCGGCTATCGCGGTGCCGCCTGCTCAGAATGACCTAGGGGGGTGAACACGCGTTCCGCCTCGTGTAATGTGATCTAAATGATTCTTCCGCCGCATTTGAAACCGGTAGTGTGGTCTCGGCTTGAGCTCTCTTTGTTTAGCTCATTTCTTGTCGTGGAGCTTGTGAGATAACTTGGACCGCACCACACTTTCGCCTTGTCTACTTTGCGTCGTATTCCGTGTCAGACAAACCAGACAATCTCATGAGATCGGCGCCGTCGAATCTAGCGCGAACCGCGCCAGGTCGGCTCCCGCCGACGCCCGTCCGCGTAAAGGACGAGGAGCGCGCGTCCCGAAAGCTCAAATACTTTGCCAGAAGCCTCCCATACAATATAGAGTCCGAGGAAGAGATGCATAAACGATTGGACGTCATCATTGCCCGCCTCGCACAGGCTGTCGAATCGCGGGACTATGAATATGGAGTATTGCAATGGGACAGCTTGTTGGCAGCGTAAGTATAGGTTAATCGTAACATCTAACTCGAATTCACGATTTCCCAGTTGGATGGAGCTCAAGTACCCACTACCTAAGAAGAAGCGAATAGCCCTGGTCAAACTCTTCTACCAAAGTACGCTACATCTATCACAGTCTTTGCATAAGGTCATCTTTGTTAGTTTGTGTTGTGCCCGGAATGCCTGCAGACACCGTCTCTGCTTGCATGGACTCGCTTGCAATGTTCAGTCGCTCCAAAAAGAAGTTGAGCATCGAAGATTTACGGCTTCCATGGAGGCCCGTTTACAAAATCTTGTCGTGTGATCTCTTCTTGCGGAGACGCCAGTTCGAATATAGGTAAGCATCGCGCAGGCTCGCGCATCGAAGCTTATTCTCGTAGTCAAACTGCATATAATATGGCTTATGTAGCAGAAGTCAGCCGCAGGTTCTTCTCACCTGCTTGTATCGACGAAATGCTCGAAGAATTCATCCCACATATCATTGGAAGTAATTTAGACGTGAGTATCACTATGTGAAATACCTCTTTTGACTAATATCGAGATATATTAGCGCATTCTCGCAAACCAATACTATCTAGTCACATTCTTACCCCTCTCACATCCTCAGTACTACCTGCCCACAATGATGCGCCTCTGGGAGGCCGTCAATAGTTATGCCTTTGATGAAAGGATGCTCTCATTTCTTTCCAAGCTCGCAGAACTCCACGTCGATCCAACTGTCAGCGACCCCAAGTTGATCGACAAGATTCCAATGGACTGGGGAGAAGAACCTCGAGTCCGCTGGCCAAAACACGAGATCAACGTTGACGACTGGAGAGGAATTTACAAGGACGTCGGCATGTTTACAGACGACGAATGGAATTTTATCATGTGCAAATGCCTCGTCTCGATGGGTGCGTATCGACTTCAGTGACGACCTTGATTCTCATCACTGCTTTAGAGATCCCACTTGCGGATGCCGGATCTCTGACGACTGGTCCCTCTGTGGACGGTCAAGCAGGCTTTGAGATAGGCCGCCTGCCGCGCTGTGCATGGAGAATAGCATCTCTCGCCCGTATCATCGTATACTCCATGACTCCGGACAGCGCTCCAGCACCTGTATCGGGAGCTGCGACTCCCCTCAGTCCCGGTATGGCAACACCTCTACCAGGTAGTTCGCCGGGCAAGATAGCCGACTACTTCTCTACATCCCTCGGGTCGAAGACGCGTTTGAAAGAGAAGAAATATCTGGGTGGCTCCAAAGCTTTGGATTCACTTTCCAAGTTGATCATATCCTGCGAGAGCTTCTTCCATCCGACTAACAGCGGAAGATACACCAACGATGCAAGACATTTAAATTATCTCTCGGATCAAATCTAACTGCTTTGCAGCTCACTGCATTTGTCAAATACATTGTCTACGAATTCAACAAGCGGTGGCATGAAGAGATGCAACCAGACTGCAAAGTTCCAAAGGTGCGTCAATCTGGTTCCTTCTCCTATACACATGCTCATCCAAATAGTCACGACGTCTGACCGCGGCGATGCGGAGGGAGCTAGTACGCTGTCTTCGGACAGTATGTCTCCTCTCAATATTCTCATCAGACAGCACGTCTACAGGAAACGTTCAAAGTGCCTTGAAATCGATGATAAGCATGGAGCCTGATCTCATTTTGCCGTCTATCCTCGACAGAGCAGTCACGGCTCTCGAAACTCTGACGGAAACCCAAAGGACCATTGCTATCATAAAGGGACTTGGTGCTGTCAGTAGTGGTCTGACCTCTCGTGCGATGTATTACCCTGGAGCAAAGCACATAGCGCCCGTGCTCGAGCTTCTCATTCCTGGGATCGATTTGGTGAGTATGATATTCGTGACACGACCAAATATTTACCCAAATCACAGAATGATCCTAACAAGACATTGTGTACTTCAACCCTCGTCAAGGATATCGCCCAGTTCATCAAATTTGGCGATTTGACAGAATTCAACTTTCAGTTGGCGACTAGCCACGGCTTTTCGTCACCTCTGCAACTCAGCACCACACCTGGAACGTCAAGTCGGAATAGTGGAGCTTCCACGCCGATGAGGATTCACTTGCCGAGTTTTAGTGTCCCAACTGGATTCACCGGGGACGAAACTCCCAACGACAGTGAGCCTCGCCTCCCTGATAATGAAGAGGACGCTCTCGTGAAGGAGTCGACGTCTTCGTTTTCAAACTTTATCACTTCGTGGTTTCACCGTGTGATCACACTCATGGAGAATTTACCAGAAGAGGGGCAACCAGGGACGCGAGCAGGTGGGGAGGATGAGGGTATGTATACAATCATAAAGCCTATTGCCACTAAACTCGTCTGCTAGTCGCCGTGATTGACAACGTTGGAACGACGTGCTACTCTATTTGTCAACATCTTTCCGAGCCATTGTTCGACTTAGTACTCAACTTGATGCACGAGTACGCCACAAGCCACGTTCGACCCAACGCGCTACGAGCGATACATCAGCTTATCGAGTGTCTCGCCAATGCAGATCCCAAGAAAACGCTTGCCCGCTTCCTTCCACACTGCATTCGAAACATTCGCGTTGAACTGGAGCATGGAGCCAGTTCTCAGAGGCACGTTTCTAACTACCATAGTGGCTTATCTAACCCCATCACATTAGAACGACATCCTCTTCGGACGCGCTACCTTCTGATGCAACGCTTCACTGGAGTCAGTCATCGCAATGAGCCCAAATACCCACTAACTTTGCACCAGACCTGGCGATTCTCCGAGGTGCAATGCATAAGGACGGTCGAGAAATACTCCCCTACAAGGAGGAGCTCAAAGATATTCTGAACCTTCTTGTCGAGAAGGCGTACTCCAAGAGAGGGTACCAGTGGGCGAGCCGCTTACTGTACAGCATCCTTCTTTCCTGTACAAATACGTATCCTCTCGAGGAGAGATTTGTGAATGTCGAGGAGTGGCACGGGACTGGTAGGTCTTGAATGTTCCCCTTCGTCCCTGGCTGACCTTTATAGCATTCTTGCACTCGCACCACAAGTACTGGGGAAAGATGTATCCTATGGGAGATGCCACAGTCAGTATACCACTGTCCTTATTTGGACCTTACTGACTCGTTTATAAAGATTTCGTGGCATGTTCCTAATCAAGATGAGATCGCATTTGCCCTCGAGATCTTTGAGGACGTTGTGTCACCTACCCTTGGCCGTCTCGAGGCATTGCTCGAAGGCAACGCCACCCGTGATGCCGCGTGGAGGAATGACTTTTGCCGCTTCATCTCTTTTGTTCAGGAAGCATTCAGCGGGATCGCAGGTCTGATGAAGCAAGATGCTACACAGGAAGAGAAGGACGTCTACTATGCCAACACGGACCTTCCGTGGGTGTTTAACAATTTATGGAGTGGATAGTGGCTGACCCTCGCATAGCCAAAGTATTCCGGAGATGGTTGCATGGACACTTCCGATCGAAGTCAACTATCCCTTGAGAGACCCTAAGGATCCCAGACACGTGAAGATTATGGGATACCGTCGACGATTCGTAGAGTTTCTCCTTCGGGCTTCCAGAGCACTTCGTCAGCAAGGCGAGGAAAATACGGTCGATGCGATCCACACAGTCGTAAGTATTAAAGGAATTCAGTATATAAGACGGCCTCAACCCTCACAGATTAGCTCATTCCGTACATATATGCTGGAGAATGGGGCTCCAGACGTTGAGGATTGGGGAACGCTTAGAAATCGTTTCGGAGATGATAGAAATGGTGAGTGAATACCCTGCCTTGAATGATGTCTCACTCTGCCTAGTGGCTCGAAACTATGCTGGCCAACAGGAATGGCCGCGAAGTCTTTGGATCCTTCGCCTTAGGTCGGCCAATTCATATCCTTTCCATACGTACTAATTTAACCAGGTTTTACCAAGCCGCTCGGTTGCGAGCCAACAATATGGAGCGAATACGGACAGACATTGAGAATGATATTATCGACGAGCTGACAGAGTGGTCGATGTACATTTATGCGACTGGTTGGCGCCTTTCTTACCACTTGTCTCCTTGACTTACGTCTACCAGTTCGCGCGCCAGCCCAGAGTCTCCTGGCTCGCGTGTCTGAGGTCTGTTTGTGGTGAATTTCATATATTCCCACTCACGTAGCAAAAGGTTTATGATGGTGTGCGCACACGAGTGCTACCGCAAATCTACAAATCCCTGGTTCAGGGGACCGACGACGATCGTATGAAAGGAGCACTATATCTGCTCAATTACCCAGCCTTTGGTGAGTGTTCACTTTCACTATTTTCGGCAATTCACAACAGTAGGGAAGTACGCCGTTACAGGTAACTTGATTGATCAATAATGAGATGTCCGTTGAGCTTTTCGCAGAGCCCTCACAACTCCCGCTGTTCATCAAGTACTTTTTCGGGTGCCAGCACAACGAGAAGGTTTGTGTGACGACTATCGCAAGAGCAGTTACTCATTCTGGTAGCCTTCTATTCAAAGCGTTCTCTCCTCAATTGCAGATAATGGTGGGTCGTTTGCGTCCTGTAAAAATATCACTCACGCACACCAGCTTTGAGCAACTTCGTTGAGCGTTGTCAGACTGTCTTCAAAACGGACAGTAAGGCATTGCTAGAAGCCGCCGAAGAGCTCTTCGCAACAGTGCCGGAAGCCTTGCGTGACCGAGAGGTCATTCAAAGGAACATAGAAAATTGCAGGAAGCGGGAAAAAAAATTTCCAAGAGCACCTTAACGAGTCGATGACAGCACTTCTTAGCATCGGAAATTCTTCCTCGACCCATTGGCGGTATAGCATCGTCGCGCTTAGGATGATCCGAGTCTTGGTGCGAAAGGATGTTACCAACAATGACGCCCAGTTGGAGTACCTTGTTGCAAAGATAACGGATAACCACCCATCCATGCGCTATGTAAGTCTCACTAGCATACATATTCACATTCTCACAGGCACATAGTACTCTCAACGGGCAATTATGAAGATGTTACGGTACATTAAAGTTAGGTCGTCAGCCACCAAGCCCGAGGATATCTCTCTTCAAATCAATCGCAATCCCCTTCATCGGCTTGTGGCCATCAATCAGCCGACTCTTGGTACGACGGAGGAGTATCTCCATGCCTTTTCTAAGCCGTTGGATTGGAAGCACGCAGTTGAGAAGCCGTACGTAGAAATTCCTACCATGACGAGATCTAATGGCAACCCAGGCTACTCTATGATAAAGTATCATCAGGTACAGATTGCTACCCCCCGTCTTGTAATGACTAAGTATCCATAGGCTGGCTTGCGTGGGAGAAAACCTCGGAAGCTCTCCTTGCATCCGACTCACTCCTAAAGGATCGACTCGAGTCTGAAGCTACGCCTGTCGTTGAAGCACTACGCCAATGGGCGATCAAACCCACATCCTGGGAGTCTATCAAAACACATTACTCAGAGGAGACACAGAGTGGATCCGTCAACTGGGACAATATTTCCTTTGTCAAGACAGTCTGTAAGTTCCACTCACGGGTCCTTGGTCGTTTCCTTACTCATCTACAGTTCAAATACTGGGAAATGAGCCGTGGGAAGCTTTCCGACCCACTCTCGAGACCTTGCTTGCAGACAGTGAACAAAACAAACAACGTGCCGCTGCTGAGTTCCTAGCCGGCGTAATTGGAGGTACATAGGTTGAAACCTACGAGATTATATTCTCACAAAAACTGCAGGAACAAAGAACTGGCCAATTGGGTCGCAAGCAGTGCTATTAGACTGGCTATCTCCTCAACTACCCAAGATCCTCGGACAGAATGTGAAGACTGACACGCTCAGTATCTGGACATCATTTTTGGAGGTAATAAATTCTCGTCTCTGTAACAAGTCGGAATTTGACTCGTACAGTACACTTTGGGCAACCGAGACCCTCGGAGGCCGTTTTGCGACCTCATCGTCAAGTATTTGGTCCAGGAAAATCAGATGATGGAATATAATCAAGAATTATCGTTTGATGGTATAGCTCAAAGGGCTCTGATCACCATTCACTCATCAAACCTCTAGCGGTTCGCGTGTGTTCTTTTACTCAAGCCATGGCAGAGGCGTTTGGTTGGCGATTCCGGCCATGGGTGGAACCCATCCTTGATCGTAAGCATAGCAGTTCTGTGCAAGAGACACCCCTCACATCTCGTAGGTCACTGGCCGGAACTGGGCTCAGAACACGATGAGGTATGAGGCAACTATATCACTAATCCGGAACTTATTCGATTAGGTTCGAGCTTATATAGCAGATATGCTTCAGCTTTTCGACAAAATCATGGTGAGCACTCACGCTGATCGCGAGCCCGTGAATCCGACGTCGAGTAACAGTGGCAACCTCAACCTTCTGTCCCTACTGCCGAAACGGTGGTACGAGAGTGCCAGGCCATGTCAGATTTGGACGACATCTTCTCGATCCGTCGACCGCACCATCATTCCCGTTTCAAAGAGCTTGTTCAACAATTTGGGAAGTGGAGAGAGGAACGACTCCCGGGAGCACGTGCAATCCACTCTCGGTATGATCGTACAGCGGCGACTGTTCTCAAATGGCTATTCCTTGGGCTGCATGATATCCACGCTGTCTCAATCTACGAATATGTTCTACCATTTATTGTGGGTCTGCCACAACATTGATGAAGACGCTTTTCTAATGTATCCTGCAGCCAGAACTATTGCGCATGAGCGAGCTCAATGATAACAATGATCTTGCTTCGCGTGCAAGTCTTCTCTTGACTCGAACATGCGGCGTCAGCCCACCTCGCGAGATGATCGCGCCTATCCTCCACGAATTGTACAAAGCCATCCAGGACTCTCCTGTACGTATTCGTATTCGCGATATGTAGGTAACCTCCACTCACTCTATCACAGTCATGGAGAATCCGCCTCAAGGCCCTTCCTCTTCTCCAAGGTGAGTGGCAATAGGTGAGGAAATGGCGTTTCGAACAATCCGACAGTGTTCTATTTCCGCCAACTCCCACTCCTCAGCGACATCAAGGTTATCCGAATACTAGAAGTACGTCATTCATCTCGCAATCCGCGCCTTGCTGATATTCTCTAGGTTGTCTGTGCGTGCCTCGACGATGAGAACATCGCCGTACGGGAAATGGCGGCGACGTACGTAATCTTGCACTATAATCACGCATATACTCACAGAATGTCAAGGACACTCTCTGGTATCCTGCGGTGCTCACCACGGCAAAGCGTAATCACCCTCAAGGATCGTTTCCAACGTCTTGCCCGAAGAACAAAGCTTCCAGAAAAGTCGGATCCGAACTATGCTACTGCTCTTCGTACATTGCATAGTGCAATGCTCGGAGTTGGAGCGCTCCTCGATGCGTACCCATATAGCTGTCCCAGCTGGGTTCCAGGTCTCATTACGGATGTCTTGGCGAAGCATACACATTCCCCATTACCCATCTCTGCTACAGTTCGAAAGACAGCTCAGAATTTCAAGCGAACACATCAGGACACGTGGGCAGAGGACCAGAAGAGGTTTAACGAAGACGCTCAGAGTGCACTTAGTTTACTCTTGACTGGGTCCAGCTATTACGCATAACTTGCTCTCTTGTAGCTTAATCTGATGTATTATATAAGACGACCTACGGTGCCAAGAACGAATACTGTGGGCAAGTGGAGATTTTGGGTATCTTATATGTCGTCCATTCCTACGTCTATCACAACCTGCTCTCCAGGTTTGAACGCGGGAAGGCCTGGTAAGGTTAGCACAAGTCGCCACTCTGGAAACAGACCCAATCACCTAAATACGGGCAACTCGCGCATCGAAACGCATCACCCAAGAAACAGCTCCCACAGCTGCTCGTTGCCTTCTTAGACATGGCTGCTGCCTTGATCAGCCGTTGCCTCTCTTCATCACCGACTACGACCGCCTCGCCGTCGACTTGGGCGCTGAGCATGACCGTCTTCCCTTGCTTTGCCTCTTCAGCTTCAATCTCTGCCAGGCCACATGTGCAACCCTTGCAAGCCTTTTTGCGTCGTGGCGCACCGTCTGCGATAAATGGTTCGCATGTCGGTACTGGACGCGCAAGGTCCGAAGGCTGAAGAAGTGAAGTAGCATCAATGGTGGGCGTAGAGGGTGAAGAGAAGGCCCAGATCGCTGCCTTGTTGGACTTTGTAGATCGTTTGGGGAGGGCGACGGAGGTAGGCTTTTGTTCCTTTGAGGGCGACGACTTTTTGGCGGTGATAATGGATGTATCAGTTTGAGATACATCCAATCCCGCGTCCGAGATAAGTTTGGAGAGTGCCGAACCGGACGGGACGTTGTGCACGGAAAGCTCGCCACCGGGTACAAGCGCGAGGGCGATGAATGCAAAGAGCGTTGGAAGGCTATTTGTGAGGGATTCGTAGTCACCACTTGTGAGGATTACATGGGCACGGTCGTAGTAATCTTTTTGCTGCTCGACGGCTGAGTAATGCGAGTCAGGATTTTGGTCAAAAGACTACCGAGGACTGACCGGATTCGACGATCCTATCAACCATGTATTTATCCACTGCTCCTTCAAGTCCAGAAAGTAGCGAATAGTATGACTCGTCGCTTGCTGTCCCGAGTGAGCCTACCGCCAGAGTCCTGGGAGATGTTCCGTTTGTGGTCATTTTGTTCTATATCTAATTTTCCTGGCAATCTGATAGCAAGTTGTACAGTGGGTGTGGCGGAAGGGTCCAAGAGAGTCGGCCGAGTCCTTGGAGTCTGTCCACGATGAGCCGAGCGCGTCCGACATTTGAAGCGCTGCCGTACTACGACGAAGATGGTTCAAACAATCCCGAGCTTCTCGAAAAGGTCAAAGCGGAGATTGCCCGCGAGAGGAAACGCCTCGGACAGCGCGTCAGCGCAGACGTCGATCCGCGAATCCCACCAAAATTTCCTCTCTTTGCCGTAAGTCGGACTCTCCTGGTCCTTGTTGTTTGATTGGGTAAAGTGTACTGACAGTGTGTAGAAAAATCCATTGTTGGCGGCTGAATTAGAACGAATCGAGTCGCAAGAAAAGCTCAATGCGATAGACACCAAGCGCTTCCAACTTCTCCCACCGGATAATCCAAATGCAACGGTGGAAGAGTGGCAGGCCGCGTTAAAGAATGCACGAGCGCAGCTAGAACATCAACGACTACGGTGAGCGCTGCAACATTCACCAGAGACCATCTTTAAACGTTTATAGAACTGCCAACGGTGCACTCATGCAGCAATATGGTGCCAATGCATGGCGAGTGTACAACTACCGCCTAGAAGTCGTCGGAAAGAGTCTCGACAAGGCCATAGAAGAGATTAACGATAAGGTCACAGAGGTTAACAGGAGTCGCAAAAACGACCAGGTCCGTGTCCGCACTCTCCAGTCGCTTACTGCTGACGACCTTTGCAGTTGGCAGTGGGCAAACAACTCACTGCCTTGGAACGAAAATGGAATGAACTCATCACCAGCGTCATTCAACTAGACATTGCAAATGCCACACTCGAAGCCGAGATTCAAAGTCTTGCGGAACGAGAAGCAGAACTCGAGCAAATGGTCCAATAGTATCCTTCACACGTTTTCCGAGGGGATCTCGTCGTATCTATATATACGCTACCACTATACATCTAACGAGCCGTCGAATTACTTCTTGACCTCTTCCTTCTTTGGCTCTGGTGGTGGCGGGACCTTGAGCTGCTCCGGTCGTTCAATTGGTTTCCCATCGCCGACCATTTCCCATGGAGAGGTCGACTCAAAGTTTCTGAACGCCTGAGTAAGTTGCAGAGGCTCATACACGACGCGCTTGTGCTCCTCCGAGTAGCGCACTTCTGTATAGCCCGTCAAAGGGAAATCCTTTCGTAGTGGATGACCCTCGAAGCCTGTTGACCATAAGCAAGTGCTGCAGAAGAGATCCACAGGACGTACCGTAATCGGTCAATATTCGTCGGCTATCAGTCACTAGAGTCAGAAAGATGTGCTACTCATTGAAGGGCACTCACAGGTCGGGATGGTCGACGAACCAAACGCCATAAAGATCCCAGACTTCGCGCTCGTACCTGGGGCTTTGTCAACATCGACTCGGAACAATTAATCTGCACTCACCAATTCGCACTATTAAACATATCCGTAACAGACGGTACACCGCTCGTCTCGTCTGCATATGTCTTGACACGAATCCGACTGGCAAAGCGCACGGACAATAAATGATAGACAACCTCGAACCTCTTTTCGCGCGTTGGGTAATCCACGCCCGAAATGTCCACGAGCGACTTGTACTGGCAATTCGTGTGGTCACGCAAAAACAGCAGCGTCGGCTTGAGGGCAGACGGTGCGACGTAGAGCGTCAATTCGTCTCGCACGACACTGAATTGCTGAACATATTTTGGGAGACAGGACAAGAGGTAGGCGCCGTAGGTGTGTAGGTCCGTCGAGATGGATTTGTACGTCGTTTGCGAGACGTCTTTGGCGGGCCGTTCGGTGAATGGGGGTGTTGAAGCATTTGCTGTAATTGAAAACTCTTGTTAGCATGTGGCTCGATGAACCCATCCGCTCTCCAGAGTGTTGGGAGCACTAGGAGAGGGACCACGTACATGTTGCCGACGCGCTGAGCATTCGCATAGGGTTATAAAGTCGGCTAGGAGCTCCTCGTAGCACCCGGGGAGCGGCTGAGCGAGCCAGCCGGGAATACATGATCGTGGTCGAAGTCCAAACGATTCGAGCCACTGCCCAATCATCGTGGGCCAAAAACAAAATGCTCAGAGGAACCCAATTTGTGTCAATTCTTTGCGAATCCTAGTCAATTGGATAGGCGATTATCTACAGGCGTCGGAGCGCAGCGACGATAGGGATAAATGCCAACCAGTGTCAATCCGTTTGCAATCTAGAGGGTCCAATCCGTGGAGGAACATGTAAAACTAGAAGAAGAATGGGGAACTGCACGCAGGAGTGTTACGCGGTAACAGGGAGGAACAAGAACACAGGAGGGGAGTATTGTATACCACAAAGACACAAGCATCCAGAGAAAATCGGAAAAGGTTTTGCACTTGAAGGCGATCATAGGACCTTGGGACCTCGCATCTGGTACAAGTCTTGCTCAGGGTCGGTTTGGCGATCCGACTCCTTCTTGCCATACTCGAGGTCCATGGCACCATTATCGTCCATGACATCTGTCTGAGTCTGCGTGCGGATGGTAATACGGTGGCGGTTTTGGCTGTTGGTAGTTGGACGCGACAGGACGTGGTAAAGTCGTGAAAATAGTGTGATAAAGTATGGCGAGACGTAGATGAGAAGGGAGCCGTCAGTCATTTATTCGTTGAACGACATGGCAGGAAGGAAGGATCGTTCCCTTTGAGAGATCGTTCAACTCGGATAACTTGCCGAAGGAAACGTGGAAGAGAGGAGGTGAAGGTAAGGAAAGATACATACTTCTTGATTGCGGAGAGACCATAGGGTTGATCGAAGCCTGGGGCAGCGGGGAAAGTAGGCATGCTTGCACCTCCACGGTCGGTCGTGGCTGGCCCAGTGCGTGCATTGAACGATGTCGAGTTGCCAGTGTAGCCAGAGTATGCTCCATGCTTGTGGTCATCGTGGGTCAAGAGGCGAATATACACGCGAGTGGACGCAATGACGGAAATCATCATGGCGACGGGCTATCCACAAGTGAGCAAAGTGGTACAAGTGACTATGGAAGACACTATACCAAGAAGATGACGTTCATGAGGCCGCTCAGGTTGAGGGCGGGGAGGACGGCCTGGACGAGGTTACCCGCAGTGGCGAAGACAAAGTACGCCATGCCGTTCTCGAGCAGGAGACGGCTGATACCGCCCTGAGCTCGCCACGACCACAGTTTCACAATGGTGAGGACCGTAATGAAGAGATCCTGTCGAGGGTCGGCACCGGCACATGTCAAAAAGGGTGAGATGTGTCAAGCGAAAGAAGTTGTCAGCATCTTGGACATCCTCGGGGTCACCATCACTCACGAAGCACCTAGTTACGCCGGTCGAAGGGTCAAGAGAACAACGTTTTAGCTTCTGTGAAATACCATTTGGAGTGAGAAACCGACGTACATGGCTGTGAAAACGAGATGTCAGCGCGGCTCCATAGGGAAAAGGGGGAAATGAACATACTATAGGTAAACTCGGTGAGGAGGATACGGTTCGAGACACTCTTGAGGATGACACATCCACGGCCATTGAACTTGTTCACGCTAGGTTGCCAGGTGAGGCAGTAGACGACGATGAGGCCAGCCGACAGGAGCATGAGGACGCCGAGCACTCTCCTGTCGGAGCCCCAGACGGCGAGCGTCCGGAGAATGAGCAAGATGGAGGATGCCCAAATGGCAATGGCATCTGTAATCTTGAGGATCCACACCTGCCTGTCGCATGGAATGACCTCTGTTCCCTGGCCGTTAACGACGAGGGCCATGATGTGCAGACCAACAGCGACCTAGAGGACTGATTTAACACCCCGTAGATGACTGGGAAAGGTGTACACACTCTGGAAATGAAATAGGCAATCATGGGCCATCGAAACTTGCGCTTGCCGGAGATGATTGACCAGTCAAAGGCGCTAGTCACGAGAACTAGAACGAGGTTCAACACGAGGTTAAATTTTTAAGACGATGGACTCACTCTCCCAGAAGAAGATGCCCAACAAGACCAGAGACTGGAGGGGGCGAGGAGATCAGCACCGGTAAGCCTGTAGCAGCTGAACTTACCTGAGCATTGCGATAGTTTGTGAGCCTCGCAATCTGGTCTGGAGCGTTGTAGTTGACCATAATGACCGGTAGTGGCGAGGAGCAAGAGCGACAGAAGGCAGCCTCCAGTCGTCTTGGTCGCTATATATTGGTCATGGGCTCTATGAGGCCCTTGGCTTCTGATCCGTGAACACAAGTCCCTGGGTCTTGTCCGTTTTGAGACTGCGATGTGATCACGGTTTGTGCGACAGATTCGCCTTTAGTTTATCTAATACGGATCCTTCAAACACCTTCGCAATTCAACTGGCTAGCCGGCATCCTCGTGCCTCGCTCCTGAGCCGCTCTCTACGCCCATCCGAGCACTACATCCGTCTCTAGAAAAAATTCCGTGTTTCATAAGAATTAATTGACAGAGTACTGGTATCCTTCCTGATCAACAGAGAGAGAGAGAGAGATTAAACCATCAACGCAACGAGTCCCGCGAATATCGCAATGGCACCAGACAGTCCTACTCCCCCGAGTCTACCGCGTACTGCATCATTCGTGTTGCCCGTCGAACTGCCAGACAAGATGATCGCGCCAGCCTATGGATATGTGCTCGTCAGCCTCAAGTTGCCAAAACCGGGGAATCAACGGTAATGAGATAGCCACTTCACCCGCTGTCATTTAGCCTCTGGCATCATGATGGCGGGCATAGGGATGACAGGCAGGCGTTTGGAAATCGAACACACCTTGTTTCCAATGGCATAAACTGTGCTTTGCATATGCGCCGCAATGTGCTGGGGCACAATCGACGCGTCGACGACACGAACGTTTGCAGTCCCCCACACCTTGAGACTCGAATCTACCACACCATTCAGGTTCTTGGGCGCCATAGCGCAGGTGCCGACGGGATGCTTGATGGATTGCAAGCTCGCGCGAACTAGTCGGGGACCATATTCGTTAGAAACCTAAACCAAGAAGAAGATTGCTTCCTACCATATCTACAGAAAATTGATCAGATCATGCAACCGCGTACTCAATGCGTGGGAGAGGGAAATCGGGAGCGAGCAGGCCAGGCCCCGTAGCCGATAGCATCGGGCGCAATCGTTGAGGGCCAAATCAAACACTAAGCCGAACAGCGGCCCAAGGGTCTGATAGCGGCGAGAGACATCGAGGACAGCGGCGAGGGAAGCGTGGCCGTTCACCGTCACCCTCGCGCGCGCACGGGCGGAAAATAATAGTGGCCACCCGCTCTGTCCGTTGACGGGGTTGAGCATGAGGCACCCATCAAGAACCCAAGCGAGTGGGCACCCAGATAGCAAGCCAAAGATCGAGACTTACCCTTCGAAATGCGCCCCGCTAGTAAAGTTGGTGGCCGGGTCGATACGAGTCGTGATCAGGCTGGCAAGGGGCTCCGTAGAGACGAGCTACGAGTGAAACAAATGAAAAAGGGGGTTTCAGTAACGTTTGCCGCGTCGGTTGCGAACCACTAGTGGCGTACCTTGTTGGCAAACTGTACACCCTGAACAAGCGCAGCGACATCTGCGGAACATTCATCAGCATCATTTCAAATAAATGTTCGCGTGAACGCGATTAGCCGCCAGGGTCTCGTTCAGACCTACCAAATGGACTAGTAAGGTACTTCGGATCCACGGCAGGCAGTTCCATTGGGTCACTGCTGTTGATGTGCTGTTCCAGAGAGTGTCAGGCATCGTTTTCAGGGTGACCCGCGACGCGAACTAGGAGTCGCTGTCACTTACCACATTACCGCGCGAAAAGGGGTGTTGAAGAATTGCAGAGATAATCATGTAACTCGTATCGTTGGCAGGACGAGTACGCGTCAAGCCTCCAGATGGAATCATGACAAACTCCATCCCAGGGACAGACTCATTTATCCAACGTTTTTGGATGTCGTACTGCTTCGACTGCAGAGGAGTGAGGCTCGTCGAGTTTATCCACTGATCTAGAGTATTCAGAAGATCTCCATAGGCCGTATCATTGTCCGCCACGGTTCGGAACGAGCTGAAAGCAACGGTGTTGATCGTTGAGGCGAGGACGCCATCATGTGTCGTATTACTACCGAGGTTTGTCAGAAGAGCAGGACGGTAAGCGGCTAACGAACTATTGTTGGGCAGCCGCCGCAGCAAATGTAGTATTGATGCGAAGCTGGTCCCAGGTGACCACACCAGGGTTGACCTGCCACATTTGTGCGGACATGGCATGGTCCATCAGGTTTTCTCCGACACCAGGAAGGTCGACCTTTTCATATTTAGCCTTGGCCTCAATCATTTTGGTAAACCTACCAAAGTGTTGATGCCAAATCGCTGCAGGATTGTCGAGTTACCGATACCGCTCAACTCGAGCAATCTATTGACGTCGTGAGTACCAGAGACGACGGTGCCGGACACAACTCACTGTGGTGACTGGAAGACACCAGCGCTCAGAATAACCTCTTTACCGGCTTTGACGGTGTAGCTAGTCCCACTGACATCGAATGTGACGCCCGTAGCCACGACGTTTCCGTCCTTATTCTTGTTGGGTGAAAAGTCGATTTTGGTGGCACGCGCACCCTGAAGGAGCACAAAGTGATCATTATCCATGTTCTTGACGTAGAAGCTTGCTGCATAGCTCCGCTTTCCAGTCGTGCGATCGACAGCTGTTGGAGAATTGTAGACACCCGTGATGTTGCCAGAGTCGGGCAACGAGTTGGTCGAGACGCCAAGAGAGTTCATCGCCTGGACATATGGATCCTGGACATCTGTCTCAAATGTGTTATACGACACCTGTCGAGGCAATGGCGTGAGCTCGGCAGGTTACCAACGATGACGAGGAAACGAACCTGAATCACACCGTCAGTCCCGTGATACTGTTCGGACTGGGAATTGATGCTATTGGCGTCCAGACTGTTTGGGAAAGTCTGGTTGTCCGTGATGGAGGTGTAATGCGAGACCTCTCGGAATGAGTTGGTTAGAGAGTTCCAATCCCAACCGTCGTTGCCAATTTCGGCCCATGCATCATACTCTTGCTTAGAGGCTCGATTGAAGACGAGGTAGTTCTAAAGTTGGTCATTTCGGGGTGTCCGGACACACAAGGAAGATTCAAACCAGTGCAGTTGAGCCTCCAACGACTTTTCCACGGGGATGAGGAACTGTTCTACCAGAGAGCTCTGCTTGAGGGGTTGTACTGTAGTCAGGCGTCAGGAGGATACCAGGCAGTGAAACGGGCCGGCCTACTTGAAACGCCAGTCGTATTTTGGGTTGCCATTATTCTGGCCAAAGTTTTCTAGAAAAGGGCTCAATATCTATTTTAATGTACGTAAATTGATCACTTACTGGGCACATCGATGAGTGGGTCGTTCGGGAGGTACAAACCGGCCTCGATGATGCCAACTCTGGCCTTTCCATCTTGTGCCAACCTTAGTGGCAGTGTGTAAGATTCCCCGTACCAACAGGCGCCGCTTATGGACATACTTTGAAGCAACTGCCAAACCGGCTGTTCCAGCGCCTGAGTTGAATGAGCATATGAGAGAACAAATGTGTCTTTAGACGCACCAACGACGATATAGTCAAACGATTGAGAAGCAAACGACGAAGGGTCCGATGCGGTTGCTAGAAATGGACAAACGGACGTTCATTAGCACTCTCTGACCCGCCACAGAGCCGTAAACTGAGTACATACCTCTGTTCACGAGTTCTACTGATTGTGCAGATGCGACATTGACCGTGGACAATGTCGCTGCTGCAGTTGCAGCGACGAGACGATGCCTGAAACCCATAGGATGTCTACAGAAAGGGAGGGACTGTAGAAAGAGGAGATAGAGGTCGAGGTAGGAGGTCAAGAAAGACAAAGGCAAGCGTCGCTCTCGGCTCGTCGAAGAAAACCGATCAGGACCAGGGACGTGTAAGCATCAAGCGACAGCGGCAAAACTCCAAATGTTCCGTTCAGCCACCGATCAGTGCATCTTGCTCCCGCGAATATTGGACGAGAAGTCCGCGCGCAGTGACCGCGTCCATTACCCTGGTTCATTCCCAGCTCGGCCAAGGGGGTCTGAGCAATCAGCGGCGTTTATTAAAACCGATCTACGGTACATTGTTTTGACTGCAATCGTCAGGTCCCGCGGCTGCTCATTGATGCCCACCCTCCATGAGGCATTCCAACCTCGACAGGCAGAATTATAACTTGGATTTGATTTGCTTCCGAGCTCCATCTTCAGGGGTCTTGGGTGCGATTCGCACTACCCCCTCTTGGGTACAAACGGCCACCAATTTGCCGGCCTGTGTAAACCACTGGGAGTAAAGATCATGCGGTGAGTTCCAAGCAAACGCTCCCGATCAATTCGCGTGCTTACCTGGCCAAAAACTACTGCTCGACCGTTACCTGCAGCAACGCAATTGACCTGGAAGAATCAGCCGTCGCCATCTACTGAGCTGTAGATACTCGCCACATAGAGTAGCCAGTCGCCTACGTCAAAGTCATTGCTTCAAGCGATTAGAAGCAGGACGAGAATGTCGGGTGGAAGACACACCTATAGAACCAGACTGTATGGTCTAGCGTTGACTAGTAGAGTTGTCAGATCCCTCAGAAGGTGGGGGTATGACCGAATTACCATCATTCCCAGAGTCCTGGGCCATGGGCGAGTTCTTGATAGACCAAGTTCGGTTGCTGCAATCCCAAGACTGCAATTTGTTAGTTTTATAAAGCTAGGAATCCTTTGAACGTACAGACGCAGGTCGGACATGTAGGACAGGATGCACTATTGGTGATGAGTCGAACTCCATCAGTATGACAAGCCACTTACCCGCTGGAATGGTAATTCGTACTTTGGGATCGACTTTGCTTTCATCCAAAACGCCTGATTGAGGATTCCGTCTTGTGAACGGAAGATTGGCGTGTCTTTGACGGCCACGGGACTCATTCGTCGCTCAATAGCATTCTCCTTGATCCATGGCTTAATGTACTCGGGTATTCTTGGATCTGCGAGTCTCTCCTCGAGCACGTCTTCAACCAGTTTGCACGCATCCGGTGACGGTACGCCAGGAGGCATGGCTCGTTGATGGATAGGCTGGCCTGGCTCGTCTTTTTGAAACGAGCAGGTCATTGTGAACACTAGTTTTCCGTTTTGGAACGCCTTGACAGAGCGAGTAGCGTAGGACCGTCCATCCCGCAGACGCTCGACATAGTAAAGGACAGGAATTGATGGAGTTGCGCTGAGAATAAAATAGGACTATCTCTACGTCACTAATGCGGATTTGGGGAGAGTTTGAACTAACGTGCAGAGACTGTAAAATGTAAGATAGGATCCTTTGGCCTGCAAAGGTAGTACATACATGAAGGTGATATTCAGGATCTACACAGTTTGTTGCAGAAACTACAGCTTGCGAGATGACCTGTCGTAGGTGTCAGACACGAACTTGGCCCCTTCCAACTTGCGCAACTTGACCCCCAAATACGCCACGCGCATTCTTTGGCAACCACAATGTCTTTGAACGAAAGCTATTTGTATTTCCAAAGTCAGGTCTCGGTTCCCTGCATCTTGTCGAAGACAAACAGATTCTTGTCGAGCTGCTCGACTTCAAGCGACGTCGCAATTGACTTTGGTTCCGCGTTAGAAGCAACTTCGTCCATTTTGGATCACTTTTGCGCCTCTGCCACCAAGTGCCGTTATATAGTTCCGCAGAGTCGGGAACCAGAAAGCCGAGGTTCGAAACACGTGACACTGAGGTCCGTGTTCACTCTGGAAGAGAGTTGACTATACTTTGCGGGGATGCTTGAATGTGTCCACCCAACGATGACGCTTCAATGAGTTGCGGAGATCCATAACGAGTGAAACTTGCTCAACTTCCGATCTGGCTGGCTTTCGGAGATTTGTGATTGTGATGTTTTGATCCGATTTAGACGGAGGCTTCTCGCCTTGTATGGGTTTGAGCAAGTTTCAGCTGTCGGCGCCTGTTCATGACTCTTAGCGGTGCCGAACAGACCAACAGCACAACATTCGCGGGGCCGTTCCATCATGTTATGACATTCGAGAGTATTCATACGGTCCCCCGAGTCAGCTTTGTTATGACATGGCACAACTCGGGAGCATAACACCCGTTGGAGCATAAAAGGAGCACCTCTCCAGACGACTTTTCCCCTCACAAATCCCATCGAACACAACCAATGGATAGCTTCAAAGCCACTCACCCCACTCAGGCAAGCTTTTTCTGCTCCCACTGACCATAGAACTATATCCCTTGCCACACAGCCTAGTAACCTCCGTGCCGCTCTCAAGACGGGTCAAGTCCTCGTCGGAGTCGGTGTCTCCTTTCCCTCCCTCGAAGTTGCCCAAAAAGTGTACGCTCCTCTTCCAACCGTGCTCTATCCATACTTCCCTCTTCTATGAATCTTCCCTCCGACACTCAGCGCCATGACGGGCTTTGATTGGGCATTTATTGATGCCGAGCATGCTCCATTCACACCCGTCCTCCTGGCCAATATCATCAACACGATCAGCACGGCCAGCAACTCCAAGACCATTCCGGTCGTGCGTGTCCCAGCCATGGAGCCAAGCTTCATCTCCGTGGCATTGAACGCTGGAGCTGCTGGAATCGTGCGCCCTCATACCGAAACTAGAGAAGACGCACTCCAGTTGATTGAAGCTTGCCGCTATCCACCCTTGGGCAAGAGATCCTACGGCCCTTGGGCATGGATGCCCGGCGTCAACGACGCTGTTCCTCAAGGAAAGGTATGTTTTACATCCACGCTTACAGAGGGGTACTGACGACCTCAGACGCTTTTCGACGCACACAACGAGTCTATTGCGTGCATTGCTCAGATTGAAAGTCGCCTCGGGTTGCAGAACATGGAGGATATCATAAGCCTCGAAGGAATAGATGCAATCATGATCGGCATGGGTGACCTCAGGTCGGTAATGCACACTCGTTTGAACCCCTACTCATTATGCATAGGTTGGACATGGGTCTGCCTCTCCACGTACGTCAGTTATGCGCAACGACGCCTCTCCTTACGCTTTGATAGATTGGAAATGAACCCGAATATGTTGAAGCTATCCAAAAGCTTGAAGGTCTTGCCAAAAATATAACAAGCCTCTTATGGGATTCGCATTCGCCGAGATGAAAGCCACAATGGAAGAGCGCGTTCGCAAAGGATACAAGGTACGCTGATGGCCTTATAGGAGGAAGTGGAGGGAGCTGACATTATATAGTTGTTGATGGTCGGTGCCGACAGTCTTTCCTTGGTCTATGGACTGGCCGTGGCTGGTCGCACCTCCCGCGCCACGATCGTTCAAGTCCAGGCTGACATGGCCAAAGAAGGCGAAGGCAACGATTCTGATGTCAAAGACCAGGCGTGAAGCCAACTTCCAGTTTCTTCCCCAATGTCAAATCTCTAGTGCTTCAAACGTGATACTTGTCCTCCGAAAAGCATACGACGTTAGCAATATATGTCAGTATTACAATGAAGGCTGAGCCTCGGCACTCTGGTCGCGCTCCTGTAGACGATCCCCCTCTTTTCGCTTCACACCAGCTTGTTCGAAGCTACGCATACCACTCAGACCCCAACGGTCCATCATTGCCTTGTCCTGTACTACATCAGAGAAACAAATGATTTTGTATGAAAAGCTCACTTCGTCCCAGGGAGAGCAAGGGGTCGTCAGCATAGCGTCGCCAGTAAAGATGGCGTTCGCTCCCGCCATGAAGCACATTGCCTGTACTAATTAGATAATTGCCCCGTATTTGACTAAACACGTACTTGTTCAGTCTCGTTCAGGGTCTGTCGACCTGCAGACAATCGGATGATTGTCTCTGGTAAAACCAGTCGGGCGGTTGCAATAGTTCGAAGAAGGGTATGTACTGCCACGGGCTTTTAAAGAGTAAATGGCGGGGTGAATGAGGAGACTAAAGAACGACGTACAGGATTATTCTCCATAGGAGTGCCAGGGATCGGAACAAGTGCATTGACAGGGAAAGACTCTGGATGTTCTTCAAAGCTGACAAATGTAAGGGGAGTCTCATGATGATAAATTCCCATGCGTACTTTGAGACCTCCCAGATCAACCCGACTCGGTCGTCGTCTGTCTCGCCAAGACCAAGGATTCCACCGCTACAGACACTGATACCGGCTGAGCGTACGGCTTCGATGGTATTGAGTCGGTCATCATAAGACCGCGTCGTAATCACCTACTGGCATCAGCCCGTTGGAAAAGTGACAGGCTGGGGACACACCTCTGGATAGTATTCTCGACTAGTATCGAGATTGTGGTTATATGCAGTGAGTCCTGCCTCTTTGAGTTGCTTCGCCTCGTCGGGAGTGAGCATTCCGAGAGTGGTGCACACCTCCATCCCCATTCCACGAATCTCGCGAACCATTGTTAAAATATTGTTAAATGATCGTGGTCTGCCTGTTGCCGTTCGCCACGCAGCACCCATACAAAACCTCGTTGAGCCGCTTCAATTCAATTCAGTCAGTTGCCACTCTAACCGAACGGGCCTTGGGGAAGCCGCCTACTTTTCTTTGGCTTTGCGAGCAGCCTCGAGAACGGGCTCAACGCTCAACAATCGCGACGCTTTTGTGCTTGTCTCGTATCGAGATGACTGTGAACAATACGAGCCTAGTAGACACTGATAAGCGGGCGGTCTCGTATGAGGATAGCGGACGTACAATCTTCAGAACATCCACCGGCTAACATCATCATACCATGAGTTTCGAGCTTTAGATATTAGGATGGCGGGACGCACTTTTGATGTTCATCAGCGTGCAGAGCTGTACTTTGGAGGGATCAAAGTGGACCCGATGGGACGCAGCGGCCCGGAAGACGAGGTCAAGAAGAGGAGAGTCGTAGATTTCCTTAATCTCCGCCTTTGTCCAATGTTTTCGTGGCACAGACGAGGTCGACTGGTCGGATGAAGCCTCAAACGCATGCGTAGCGTGTCTTCTGCATTGTATACCAATGATAGATGTCCTTGTAACTGACAAAACGCTGAGATGTGACCGCGAAGTGCCTAAGCGGACTAGACGGGCGCTCGCCATTTGTGGTGGCAGGGTCCAAGTTTGGTGAACACTGGCTCTGTATAGATCCAGAAAGTCGAATCTGATCTCGCCAATTGGTCGGAAAAGACCGATGGACCCAAAGCGACCGATAAGCCGTGGACAAACACAGAAGTTGCTGGATCTTGACCACATTCGCCCTTGGCCAGCGAACAGAAATGGCGACTATGGAACAGCTCGCTGGCGAAACAGGCAAACGTGTTGTACGTCTTCTCTTCTTGGTAATTCCGCCGAGGGCGAAACTGAGACGCGGCCAGTGTTACTTTTTTGATTCCGATATTGGGGGGTTCCATTATGGACCAGGTCACCCGTACGATGTCCGAAACATGATATAGCTATCAAACGTTGACGGAATGGCTGCAGAATGAAGCCGACGCGTGTGCGTATGACACATTCACTCGTGATGAACTATGGCCTCTACAAGAAGATGGAAATCTATGTGCGCACGATTTTCTACTCGCTCGTTCTGTTCTTTTGACGGACAACACTCACTAGCGCGCGAAACCAGCGACGAAGCGAGAGATGACCCAGTTCCACTCAGACGACTATATCGAGTTTCTCTCCAAAGTGACACCCAACAACATGAACATGTATCAAAAAGAGCAAGCCAAATGTGCGTCTACGTTTTGGTTCCGGTGAATCATCCGTCTGAGAAGGCGCGTCTCTGCGACGATAGATACCGTTGGTGATGACTGTCCGATATTTGACGGCCTGTTTGACTATTGTGCGATATCCGCTGGCGGATCTATGGGTGCGTCCTGCTTTCTGGTTGACCACGAGGTGCTGATGAGATACAGAGGGCGCTGCACGTCTGAGCCGGGACAAGTGCGACATTGCGATCAATTGGGCTGGAGGATTGCATCACGCGAAAAAGGGCGAGGCAAGCGGATTTTGCTACGTGAACGGTGTGTTATCAATCTGGGCCGTAGGAGATCACTCATAAGCATGGATTATGCAGACATTGTATTGGGTATATTGGAGCTACTACGTTACCATCAGCGAGTGCTGTACATTGACATTGACGTGCACCACGGCGACGGCGTCGAAGAGGCGTTTTATACCACCGACCGTGTCCTCACCGTCAGCTTCCACAAGTATGGCGAGTTTTTCCCTGGAACCGGTGACCTTCGCGTGAGTATTTCACTCTATGAGCATACCTTGCTTGACTCTGGGCTGTATAGGACATGGGAAGCGGAAAGGGCAAGCGATACGCATGCAACTTTCCACTGCGAGAAGGCATCACGGACGAAAACTACAAACGGATTTTTGAACCGGTGCGCGTCTTTATAGTTGAATTTTGCCTTTTTCCAAACACGTATTCATCCCGAATCAACAGGTGATCAACCAAGTGATGGAATCGTATCGACCGGGAGCGATCGTGCTCCAGTGCGGGACAGACTCTTTGTCTGGCGACAAGTTGGGATGCTTAAACCTCTCGATGAGGGGTGCGTATGATTTGACATGCTACAGTCGAGACACGGACCTGATTGGTGAACCGTATCCTAGGCCACGCGAATTGCATCCGATTTGTCAAATCATTCAATCTGCCGCTCTTGCTGCTGGGAGGTGGTGGATACACGATGCGAAACGTGAGTCGTGCCTGGGCGTACGAGACAGGACTGGCAGCAGGATACGAACTCGGGGCAGGTGAGCTGGGCCACTACTGGCGGCATAGATCTGTACTAAACTTGGTATTCCAGACCTTCCTGTGAACGAATATTACGACTACTTTGGTCCAGACTATAAACTTGACGTTCGGGCGAGCAACATGGAGGACAGAAACTCTGTCGAATACCTGGAACGGATAAAGAATGTTGTAATGGAGCATCTGAGGGAGATTGGTGGCCCTCCTGGGATCCAGATGAGCGGTGCGTGTCGATTTCATTCGAGTGCTCGTGAGCTGACAACAGGGAAAAGATCCTCCACGAATGCCACATGATGACGAAGATGGAAACGAGAAAGAGGACGAGGAGAACCCGGATGATCGAAAACCGCGTAGGTCCTCGCTGTCTATTGACCGAGCCTATCAGTCTGATTTATTGACCAATAGAGCGCCTGTGGGACCGCCGCGTGCAGCGCAACGATGAGTTTTCAGACTCAGAAGACGAAGGTGAAGGTGGTAGGAAGCATCGCGCGAGTGCACGCACGAATGGCGATGTCGAGATGAGTACTGTCGCCAAGGAATCAACACCAGGTCAAGGGACAACTCAAGGAACAGCGAGCACGAGCATTGGGAATCAAGCCACTTCTTCTGATGCGGAAGACGGAGGGGCAGCGGTTGGCGATGGGACTAGCGTGGTTGGTAAGTACATGTGAAAAACCCCGCCCGTGGCGTTAATGTCGATCGGCGTAAACGAATTGACGAGCGAATGATATAGACTCTGGAGGGCCGACTGCATCCGGGACTGTGTCCGCGCTGGCGCCAGGTGCAAATGTAGGGACTGTGGTTGGTGTGCTCGCAGCAGGAGCATCGGCCGAGGTGGGTCGGATGGATAGAGATGGGGACGTCAAGATGGACGAGTAGCTTGGCGTGGGGGGTTTCATCCGCATCCGCAGAGTCGAGAACCAGGGAAGGCAGGCTCACCAGTAGCATGGGCGAGATAATTCCTTGGCTATTTTTGGTAACCGCTGTAATCGGAGATGTGAGTAAGAGGTCACTTGGCATTGGATGATGAATGAGCAGCGCGCATGTGATTCCAGTGGGCTAGAAGGTGTCGCCTGTTGGCTAGACCCCCGCATCTCCAGGTCGGCCTCTGGGGGGAGCACGCGGGGGGGAGGGGCCTCCGCATTTTGGAGGAAATAAGCCAAAAATTGCTGGGAAATGTCGAGGATGCGTAGAAATGGGCGGGTTGACGACAGCCGTGGAGCTATTCTTAGCCCTCTTGTTCGATTCCTCCCAAGTGGTCAGTTGAATCCCCGTGATCAAATTCTTACACAAGAAATGTATGGGCTGATGACAGCTCTTACTCGTCACAATCACGCGCTCTGCCCCAATCTTTCATTCACTCTCCAAGTCTTATAAAATCCCAGCGAGTCTGACAAGTATTTGGTGCGAAGTCCTTTGCACTCCCTTCCCTCCCCAAAAACCTTTTAGTTCCAGCAGCTATATCATGTCCACGACCACTGGCGACGTCGAAAAGGGCACCCGCCTCCACCACGACTACCCAACAAACGGGTCCACCGTGGGCGCTGGCACGAACGTCGCTCCTGCACCCCAGTTCCGTCCACTTGGCAATCCTGGTCCTCTGGGCTTGTCCGCTTTTGCGCTGACGACATTTGTCCTTTCACTCGTACGTCAATCGTCGCTCCACGTCTCTGTAATTATTAGCTGACCAGGTGATACGCTAGATCAACGTCCAAGCGCGCGATGTCACTGTAGTAAGTTCTTGTCTCTGTCATTCCCTCGTCACCCATCTTGTGTCCGTCCCTGCCTCTGTTCGGCATCTATCACCCAATCCTCGTTTATGCCGTTCGGCATCCCTTCTCTTTTCCCCTCTTCGCATTTCTCCGATGGTGTCACATTGCCTAATTGTCGTTGACAATTTACTAACGGCCCAATTATAGCCAAATGTCGTCGTTGGTTTAGCTCTTTTCTATGGAGGCATGGTCCAATTCGCAGCCGGAATGTGGGAATTCGCAGTCGGTAATACATTTGGTGGAACAGCACTTTGTATGTCTTTTGGTCTTGACCCCATCCTCCCCCCGTTTTACTGACCGCTCTTCGTAGCCTCGTACGGCGGTTTCTGGCTCGCCTACGCCGTCATCCTCATTCCCGGCTTCAACATTGTCAATGCTTATGGCGGAAATGCAGAAGAACTCCACACCGCACTGGCCTTTTTCCTCTTTGGCTGGTTCATCTTCACTTTCCTCATGCTCGTCGCCGTCCTCCGTCACTCTGTCGCCTTTATCTTCCTCTTCTTGACCCTTGACCTCGCTTTCCTCACACTTGCCATTGGCGAATACGTCAGCAGCACCGCGTCCATCAAGGCTGGTGGAATCTTTGGATTGTTGGCAGCGTTTACCGCGTGGTATTGCGCGATCGCCCAACTCTTGACAAAGGACAACTCGTATTTCACCCTCCCCCTCGTTTCGTTGCAGAAGAAGGCAATTTAAAAATTTCAGAGACTCGAGGCGCACAAGAGGTGCCAAAGAATACTAGCGACGCACGAGGATAGTTCTGTACGATAGTGACTTGGAATATGCTCGCATTTCTATACTACTATCTCTGTTTGCTTCAGCGGCTGAATGGCACAAATCGTTTGTTGAGAGGAGTCTGTCCGCGGATCCACTAGAAGCCAGGGATCTGCGTCGTGACGCGCGTGGTGATACTCTAGTACAAGCATCTCTCGCATTCTAAATCTCAAAAGGTATATCCGATGCCAACGCGAGAGGGGAGCGAATGGGCGTCCTCGAGAAGTCGGTTACGTCGTTGACGACGCGCTATTTTGGTCATGGTATATTTAGGACAGGTATAATACGAGTTTGGGTGATTGCGGTTACCGCTTGTGTCGGTGAATCAATGCCCAAGGAGGTCAACAATGGAGGTCGTATTGGTGGAGAGTAAGTGTCAATTTCTAGTATCATTTGATACTGTTTAATGATGATTATATGCTCACATGTTATGTTAGTGGTACAGTGGCCGCATTACTCTAGCTATACTCGCCGACGGCTGGAGCGTGTCTGTCGAGGACACACCTCTTTGTGCACATAGCCTCATGCAGATACTTGTATATTCACCTCTATAATGTATATATGTAGGAAATGGCCTGCCCATAAGCAGGCGCCTGCCATATCACTCTCATCCGGGGACAACCAACAGGCGTAGAGATATATAGCCAGGTGAACCGATCTCACTTAGATTGATACCCTATTCGTCGAGTGCCCCGGTATGTCGCCTGAAGACTTCGACTTCGGTGCACGCCAGGCTATCCGACTATGATGAGCATATTCATGAAGCATAGAGGCCAAAGAATTGAGCAAGCCAGTCGAACGTCATCGGTGACGACAATCTGGCGCTTGGTGTAAAAGTCGGCGGGGAAAGTGACAATTGCGAACAGCACCCCATCAAAGACCGCCAAATGCAAGCCACAATGCGGATGATTCGGTTAGCCAACGTTTGTAGTGACGACGACTGGGGTCTGATGAGTTTGATCGGAGATTGAAATTGTCAACCGGATATAGTAAGCCGACGATAATGGGCTCGGCCGGCAAGATGCCGATCTAGGCGCTTGGCGATTTTCTCTGGTGGCCTGCAAAGGGGCTGCCAAACTTCTACGATGACAAAAGCTATACGTGGTCGGCATCCGAAAGAAAATTTCGAAGGGGTGAGGGATGGGCGAGTTCTGGAGCGTGCTCCCGTTGCTGGGCCCCACTGTTGTGTTCGCGGGCTCCACTTGAAGGGTGCTTCTGTCCCGTGTCCAAGGGATGGACAAAGGTCATTGATTGGCCATGGCGACCTCTCGCCCCGAGCTCCATTTCATCTCGCGTTTGCAGGTGGAATCCAGATGAGAATATGCAACCAAACAAACGAACTTACCTTTGATCCCTGCCACGACCAGCTTTCGCTCTCGTTCTCTGTCAGCGTCATTCTTGTACGGCCCTTTGGCGGGTCTTTGACGATCCCACCTCCACCACTCTGCTTCTTGGTCCCCGCCATATCACTCTCGTAGTCACCACCGTCCCAAAGCATTTAGAAAGCGACAATGCTTGTGTCGTCGTCACATCCAGACCGCATCCCCATGCTCTCGCCGGAAACCATCAGGGCTCTCAAGTATTACAAACACGAAGTGGCCGCATACACCCTCCGCCAGTGGAACAATGCAAAGATCGAGTCCGAGAGAAAAGAGCGAGATAGGAGGCGACGACGCGCGGATTTGATCGCTCAGAGAACAGCCGCGGCCGCGGCTAGCTCGCCTAAGACCACGGCGGCTACTCACCAGCATCATCATCATGCGGTGAGAGGCGTTTCCGACTCTTCTTCCGATCCGCGGCGCCCGCCCGGTGCATCGGGGATGCATACGAGCGTGGCTGGTGCCAGTTTGGGCAAACAGCGGACCAGTGGAAGCGACGAGAATGAAAATGGACCTTTGATGATGGTCAGTCGAAGGCGCTCAGAACGCGCACAGACCACAATCACGCAGGCACCCCGTTCTTCATACGGTGCTGGCTCAACTCACTTGCCTGCATCGCTACCAGTAGTACCACCTCATTATCCACGCCACCATACGGCTGCACCGGTTGTCCAATCTGCAGTCGGTAAGCACCGCCAGCACCGCGCTCATGAACCGCACCGTTCACAGCACCAACGGCCCAACTCCAAGTCTCATTCTCCTGTAAGTTTACCCACTCTATTCCCATTCAATCATGATCTGTGTTGACCATTGATTCCCGGTGTTCCATGGAATAGGCCCGCCTTGGAGCTCTTGATCAAACCTCCAACCTCCCATCGTATGCTTTTGACAGACCAACCATCCACCATCTTGAGTCCGTTCTGGCAACCCTTGATCTGGACGAGTCGCATCGTCCATCGGGTTCGGCTTCGACGCCACCAATTCCTATTCCTCCTCGTTCCAAGGAGGAACAAGACCAGGATGAAGACTCACTTGTGCAATCTGTGCCCAGCAATATCTCTCCCTCGTCTTCGTCGTCCAGCCACCACCGGCCTGCACGTGCTCTAGGCTTTGCGGCGCATCTCGGCATGACGAGCATCTCAAACGACGACGCCTCAGGTAGCATTGCGTCGTCCTCTGTCGGTCTAACTGATTCGGCATCTACGTCGAACCCGACGTCGGAAGGAAGCTCTCGTATGGGCTCGTTCTCCGAGACGGGCCATGCGCTGCACAATGTTCGCATTGCGCTCAAAGATATTTCAGAGGTGACTCCGATGGCCGACGATTTGGACGCGTGGCCGATTAGAATGTACGGCGACGGTATTCGCGTCCAAGGGGATGACGATCACGTTGTCGGGCCGCTGGAGCACCACTGAAAAAACGCTTTCTTGATGAAAAAAGGACATAAGTCCACCATAGAAGACCATCACGGGATTGATACCCAATGTGCATGGCCGTCCGTGGTTTCTCGCGACGTGACGGCAGCCCGATGAGAGGTCACTTATTATTATATCGATGGTAAAACCCAACTGTATCGATATTTCCATCTGGATGATAGTCGAATGCAACCATTTTCGTACCCTGGTCCTTTCAGAGCTTGGGTGGTCGAAGGTCAACGAGCCCTTTCATGAGAACGGCAACTGCAACGACATTATCGACACTGTTTTTGATAAGTGTTGCGGCAGGTATACGCGCGTTCCGGACCCCGTCAATCGTCACGGTGTGTGTCACTTCAATGTTCCACGGGTTCAGATTCGACTCTGCGGGCGATGTGACAAGTTGATAAAGCATGATTACAATCGACCCTTTGAGAAATGTGTATCCTTTGCGCGTTGTGGTCGCTGTTGGTCTAGCGGGATAAGCGTACGCAAGCCAGTAAGTCATAGATACGCACTTGTATCCCATTGCAGATGCAAAACTGAGCGCGTCGCCACTAAGCAAGGGGATCGAACAACACGAACGGACGGCAGCAGTCGTGTATGTGGGCGTCGGTTTTAGATATGTGTGCAGTGTCCTGTAAAGATGTCGAATACGTGTCTCAAGATCCAAAATGTCCTATACCATTCAGAACTACGCCCGTCGACCGCAGTCAGGTCGCGCTTTACGCGCAATGGTGCGCCTTGACCAGACCCACGCAGGTTAGCAGCATTCAGTGTGGTAAAGTCGTTTGTCACGCCAAGTGCAAAGTCATAGTCCTGTCGATGAAGCACAAAACTTGTATCGGTATGCAGGCTAAGCCTGTTTTCAACTTCGCGCAGCATCGTTTTGTCTGAGGCGGGGAATGAGCCAGTCAGGAATACTTCGTAACTTGTCACTGCTGGTTTTGCAGCCATTTATGTGAATATCACGTATTTGGACAGACGACGCAATGGCCAAGTTGTTCATGTTGTTTGTGCCATCTATCTTGCTCCTTAACCCGGACCTCGTTGGTGAATTGCTTCAACTGCGGCCGGGCGTGGAAGACTATTCAACAAATCACCCAGAATAAGAGAGCTCACTGTCAAATGAGCGAGATCGAGCCAGTCTCGGATCGACAAGAGCCACCACCACCACCGACGACGAATGGAGACACGAGCGCGACTCAAGACGACCAGAAGCCACAAACGGAGCAGAATAGGCTATCGAGTCCACCAAACGCAAACGGACCGGCGTCTACGCGCTCGAGCGCACCCTCAACGCCAGGCGCGACGCATAGTGCGCCTACGCAAGTCAAGAGGTTCAGTTCAGCCAACATAAATCAGAAATTCTTACAAAAAGTCTCATCGGCACATTCGTCCACTCCTTCCTCCCCCGCACAACCGACTACCTCCCCCGCGCAGACGACCAGCACCTCCACACCGGCCGCTGGGAGCCCCCATGGTTCGTCTGCTATATACACTGTATGAGAGGAATACGTGTAGGCTGACTAGGTTAATTATATGTGATCGTGCGTAACGCACTTTATGGATTATTCGTCCAGGATCCAACACGGGCTCATCGCGCTTTGTGACAACGCGATTGACGCAGACAGCGGCGTCCCCTGGGGCAAAATGGCAAAAGGATACATCTGGACAGACGATAAAGCCATCTGTGACTGGTGCAGATGCCTCGGCTGCGAAATTGGGCCTACCTTCATCCAAAGGTGCGCCGATCACAAAGAATCGTGCGCAAAACGGTCAACCGGGTCCTGCGTGGACGTCGTTAACGGGCACTGCAAAAACCAATCCTCGTACGCAAAACGAGTTTCCAACTGCTGCCGAACTCAAGGGTACGTAGACCCTACAAATATTAAAATTGCGACACGCATGCTTAGTTGAACCAGACAAGGCCGAAAAGGCGGCTGCAAATTCGGCTGCGCAGCGTCGCTCGCTCGATGCCTTTCGAGGAGTTCATTTGGATCCAAATGCACAGCATTGGGACGAAGTACGTTTTCACGTTATATTCTAAAGACCTCGTTTAGACAAGATCTCCGCAGATGACAGAAGAGGAAGATTTCCTGAGCGGCGTCATCGAATTTGGCGATGGAAAGCAGTATACGGTTGCACCAACTACAGAAACACAGCCAGAAACGAAGGAAAACAACGGTTTGGATGGAAACGTCCCTCGTGAGCCGTCTGTAAAACCTCCCGAGGCCACAACTGTGCATCCAGATCGTTCCATGCACGATCTGCCTCCCACGAGACCATCGCCTACTCTGTTACATGCGACTCCTTTTGGACGAGGCGGACCAGTGAGAAGAGGCTCAGATACTCGACCCTTTCGAGACGGTCCCGCATGGGGCTCACAACGAAACTCGTATATTGAGCCTTCGGAGCGAGATCGAGACTCTCGAGGACGCCGACCAAGTGCGTCCGAGAGGGATCGGTTACCTATCAGCCCCGGTGCGCTAGGACCACATTTGAGGGACCGATCGCCCGACGGATCGGGTCGCTTCCCTGGGCGAACGATTGTACCCAACAGGAGAGATTCGCAAGCGTCATCTGCCGTTGCTGGGCCGCCTCGGTCCGCACGAGCGCATTCCAAAGAGTCGACCGACCGTGGTAATAGTGCACGGCAGCTCCCACCGCATCTGGAGCAAGTCAAGGATGTTCCATCACACGTGTCTTCTACATCGTCGAGAGATCATTGGCGTGAGTCGTCGACCAATGCCCGATCTGGACTCAATGCGATCCATGATTCTCAACCACCGCTGGCTCCAGTCACCGGCGACAAAGACGTGGCATCTGCTCTCATCGAAGATGAAGAGGCATTAAAGACCTCCATGGCTGTCGCGGCCGAGCGAGCGAGAAAGCGGCGGCAGGAAGAGGAAGAGGAGCGAGAAAGGCAGCGAGAACGAGCCAAGCAAAAGTTATTGGAACTAGAGGCAAGGATCCAGGCGGAGAAAGAGGAAAAGGAACGCAAGGTCAAAGAAGAGGAGGAGCGACTCAAGCGGGAAAAGGAGGAAAAGGAAAAGAGAGAACGCGAGGAGGTCGAACGCGAAAAGGAGAGGACCCGTGAGCAACTCGCAAAGGAGCGTGTGTCACAGACGAAACCTTCTCGACCACTCCCACCGTCGGAACGAGCAGACTCTTGGCGGTCCTCTGCCCCTAGGTTCCTCAGCACGACCGAACCGTCACAAAAGTCGGTAAAAGATGTCAATGAACCAAGGCGACCACCCACCATCCTCCAAAAGACAAGACCATTGGAGCAGCCGACCACATCTGGTGCAAAGGAGAGACCCGGGTTAGATTTATCCGGAAAGCCTGCAAGTTCGGCAACGATTCCAGAACTCGCTGCACTTCAATCTCCAGACTCAGATGGTCCTGTCGAGGTGCTCGATTTTGCGGATCTGCGTCAGCTCGCTGAAGGGTATCACGGCAGCCTTTCGGTGAACACTCTTCCCATCAACGGGGTAGAAAGCTCACCCTCTTCTCCGCTGGTCAATCTACGGTCCACAACGGAATCGCATGGCGGTCGGAGTCAGCATACTCGACGTGATTCGCTCACTCGTTCGCATATAGGGGCCCAGGCTGACGATATTCATTCGCGATCTCTCAAATCGGCACGTGCGCAACCTCCAGCGCCTCTAGTGCTAGGTCCTCGAGGCTCTCATGACACTGGTCATCCAAATTCTGCGGCCCTGAGTTCGGCTCGCTCTCCGAGAACGTTTGACTCAAACCATCCATACAAAAAGCACCTATTTCCGTTCTGGATGATACTATGTCAAGATTCAAGACTGCCCTGATGCACAGTAACCCGGTTCATGCGGGCATGTCAAGTGACGCTATCATGCTAGGACTCGAACGCGCAGAAGCTGAGGAGCTCATCAGAGTAAAAAGTATGACCATCGCGACTTTTTTGTCATGTGCTTACTCTTCATAGATGCCAAAGTTCTCGCAGAGCATGCGGCAATAACCGGTCAGGCTACGTGGTGCCAAACTCAAGAGCAAGAACCTGAAGAGGAGGACGAGGGATTAAACGTCTTGATCCCGACACTGTCTCTTAACCGCGAGCCAGTCCCTGCCAGGCAGTTGGCCTTGATAAAGTACACACCGCCGTGGCGCTGGGACTGCTTGTCTTTCGAACCGCCGGTTCCGTACATGAACAAACGAACCTTGTCTGTTTTCGATGTCCTAACGGAAGGAACGAAGAACCAAACCTCTATTCGGATCCAAATCCCAGGAATGGCGCCAAAGGAGGTTGCTTATCATGCACGTCCGACTCGAGCAGTACCTACAGAGCGACCCCGGCGTCTCGAGAGACCAGAAATCCGGCCTACAAATCCTCCGGCTGTAGTAAATAGCACTCCTGCGGTGCCCAAATCTGCGCCTTTAAATTCCCAATGGCCCCCCAAGAGCAACAAGGGTTCTGATGAAGCGGTATGGCGACGAGCGATTCCAGTTACTTCCGCCGAGAACGAACAACCTTCAGCCGCCGAGCCGACTAATCCACCGACGCCAAAATCCGCGCCACTGCAGAAGCATAATCGAGCCTTTGTGAGTTGGATGCCAAGATTGCAAATAGAGCTAATGAAGATGTCTAGTCGTCGCCTCTGGGTACGCCATCCATGTCCAGTACCTGGGGCCGCTCTCCGTTGAGCCTACCAGTGACAGAAGAAGTACCTGACGATCCCTCGCTCAAAGCAGCATGGAATAAGGCCTCCCAAGGCATGGAAGCGGCTACGACGAAGAACTCACTCATGGACATTGCGGATGAACCACCACCGCATATACCGACGTCCATTAGCGAGCTGCGGTCTGAGGATGGAGATAGGTCAAAAGCGCCAGAGAGGCGAGCAACACCGCCGCAGAGGGCCAAGTACGATCCTCATCGTGCGTTCCAGCAGGTGACCCCTCAGTCGACTTTGCCCCCTCAAACGGCGAGCCCAGCCGCTCCCCGTTTCCATTCCATCGCCTTACCCTACGCCGAGGACTAATGCATTAGCCCTCACGACGAATAAGACTCCGGGTCACACTCCTCCTGGATCCGTTCCACCGCCTGCCGGGCCCACGATGATGCCTAGCAGACCGCCTTTCCCTGCTACATATTCGTCGCCACTGCTTCCTAACGCGACGCCATTCAATCAGAGCATGGTGGCTACGCCACAATATGCTCCTCCAGCATCGATGGCCCCGCCGCTTACTCCAGGGATGATCCATCGTGGTGTGAATCAACCAATGCAGATGCCGTCTACTCCGTCAATGACGCCAATGTGGGCACCACAAACGCCAGGTTCTACGGGTCCAATTCACGGTGGCTATATGCGACCGCAAATGCCTCCAGTCTCTGCGTATCAAAACAATATGATGCCACAGCAGCAGCAGCAGCCGTCTCAACCGCCTCTGCAGTTGTACATGCCTCAATCTGGGATGCTTCCTCCTAGTCCTGGCGTCTCGCCCTTGATGCCCCCGGGCATGAGCAAACCATTCCCTCCTGGACCACGAACATCAATAGGGAGCAATGGACCGATGCCCATGTCCATGGGTTATCCTTCACCCCAGAGTCAAGGTCCATATATGATGAGTAGCCCTATGCTGCCACCCCTCCCACAGCAGGCGCAACAACAGCCGCTTCCACACGCACGGATTCCTCAAATGCCCCAAGGTCGCGGTATGCCGATGCAGGCGTCTCCATACCAACAGATACCGCCAGGCGCACCAGGCGCATACCCTCACCCGTGGTAAACCGGTCTTGATAACAAAAGCAATCTGGACACACACTGTTTATTCTGCTCGCTTTCATTACAACTCTGACTGCTTCACTAACAATGTTGTTCGCTGTGGATCTTGTGCACTCTCCATCCCGTCGTGTACCTCGTGAAACTTTTAGCCATAGCACCTTGTATCTCTAATCAAACGATTCAAATTCCGAGCATAATAATGCAAATCTATTCCTCTACGCGATGAAGAATTTATGCAGGAGCAGAGCGGCCGAGTTCGACGGCCTTGGAGGCTGCCTCATCGAGCTCGTCAAAGGCGTAAATCTTCAAACCTGATTCCCGAATAAGCCTGGAATATATGTAAGTGCAAATTTCCGGCTCAATTGTGGGCGTACTCCTTTGCCTCCATCTCTTTGTTGCCTTTCAGGCGGACGACGAGGGGAACTCGAAGCTGCAGCTCCTTGGTGGCTTTAATGACACCTTCTGCAATATAGTCACAGCGCATGATTCCTATAAAAGCGTGTTAGTGATATACCGAGCGGGTCGGAACGCACGTGCCTCCGAAAATGTTGAGGAAAATTGCAGTGACGCCCTTGTCGGAGAGCAAGAGTTCAAAGGCCTTCTTGACCGTCTCTGGTGTGGCGCCTCCACCAACGTCGAGGAAGTTGGCAGGATCACCTCCATGGAGCTTCAAGACGTCCATGGTGGCCATGGCGAGACCAGCACCGTTTACAAGGCACCCAATGTTTCCATCGAGTTTGATAAAGTTGAGATTGTACTTTTGGGCCTCGACTTCAGCTGGATCTTCTTGCGTCGTGTCACGAAGGGCGTAAACGTCCTGTTGTCTAAACTCTGCATTGTCGTCGAAGCCAAACTTGGCGTCCATGCACAGTACTGCACCGTCTTTTGTCTCTGCCAATGGATTGATCTCAATTTGGGTGGCGTCTTTGTCCTTGAATAGTTTGTAGAGTTTTTGGAAGATATCTGCCGCCTGCTTCTTTGCGTCTGGAGTTGCAAAGCCGAGCTTGTCTGCTAGTTGAGCAGCTTCAGCATCGCTAAGGCCATTTTCAAAGTCGATGGGCGTCGTGATAATGGCGTTCGGGTCCTTGGCGGCCACCTCTTCAATGTTCATCCCGCCTTGGTTCGAGGCGACGATGACCGGAGTCTGGCCGGCACGGTCGTTGAGAACGGCGATATAGTACTCATGCGAGGGATCGCGTCGCTCTGCGAGCATGACAGCGTTGCAAATTCTGCCGGCGGCTCCCGTCTGTTTTGTGATGAGCTTTGCGTTGAGCATCTTGCCCGCAATTTCCTTGGCCTCTTCGGGACTAGAAGGTCGGTTAGAAATGCTTGTGTACTCTTTGTTTTGCTTCCTACCTATTGATGACATGCACGCCACCCTGGAAGCCATTGTCGAATTTGCCTTTTCCACGACCTCCGGCGAGCACTTGAGCTTTGATGACCAGCTTGTCGGTACCTTTGAGCGATAAGGAGATGCGGGAGCCGGATCTCGGAAGTGCGCGCACCAAAGTTCTTTGCAACATCATAAGCCTCTTGCGTTGACATGGCCGGAACACTCTTGGGAGTGGGAATTCCATACTGAGCGGAGACAAGTGAGCCAATATGCAGCTTTTGAACCCAAGTGAGCGCACCGAATTAAGGAGCTTCATCGATTGGTACTCGTGAATCGACAGTAGTCGCTTTTGGCAGACCTTGCCCGACTAGAAGAACCATGAGCGAGCCAGACAGTGCATTCCAGTGTTATACTGACAGCTGAGGCCGGCTTGACCCGTCGTGCGGCGGCTTTGAACATGGTGGTCGAAAGCAAATGTAGAATTCAACAGTTTGTCCCGCGCGATTGACGACGGCAATGCACGATCATTAACCTAGACCATCTAGGGGCTATGATAACGTCTTTCTGTCTCTCACGCAGTTCTGTGACGCAGTTGGGATACAGCAAATAGGCTCGCCTTGAGTTCGGACGCTCTGGGCAAATGGAGAGTCCGAAATTTGGCAGAGCAACAGCTAATTCAGATTTACCCTGTATCATCAGTTTTTAAAGTGCATATCACAACATGGCCTAGGCCCTCGTTCGCCCCAAACTTGGAGGCCACCTTTTCATATCTTGCACTCGAATGGCTTCAGAGCAACACCAGCTACCTCCTGTAGAGCTCTCTGCTCATGAACAACTTGTTGTCGTTGCAGTTGCAGTGCTCGGACAAGCCGTCGACCTCGTGGAGAACTCGCTGAACAGCGACGAACAACTTTCGTTTGCGTCGGCGATGATTCCTGGCTCTACAATAGGTGTGTACGTTTATAACTGATTTAACTTGCTATTGACTGTCATTCTTTCGTCTTTGCGTCTAGGAAAACATTTAAGGCATGCGAGAGATCATTTTGCTCTGCTGTTGGACGCGCTTTCAGGACCTAAGCCACTAAGAGTCTCTTACGATGCGAGGAACAGAAATACCCCAATGGAAAACGCGCGAAGTGCAGCGGTCCAGGCGCTTGAAGAGACCATTACTCGTCTGCGGAATCTTAAGGTGAACGACATGGATGAAGAACTTACACTGGATGCAATCACACCGTATCCTCAAGTTCTCAAGACGTCCATCGGGCGCGAAGTCTGTTTACTCCAAGTCACATGGTCTCAATTCTGACTCACGATGTAGCTTTGGTTTGGTTCACTTCATGCAATTCATCACTGGTCCATGGTGCGTATATTGCCACGAAATTGAGATGGTTGCGCTCATCTTTGGCCAGGTTCGGGTGGTTGCGGCAGAGATGGTGAGAACCAATCCACGATGGTGATAGTGGCCTAATTGTCCCCAGGGAATCACCATTGAACCGTCGTTTGGTGTTGCACCATCGACATTACTTTACCGCGAGCTAGGACCAAAAGCGAGAATTTAACGTATATTTGTATGTCCGGCTACTAGGCCCTTATTATGTTACACCGGTTCGATTGTTAGGACGGACCTTGTTTTGAATCGAGAATAACTTGGAGCCGACCATCATGCCAGAACTACCAGGCAATCCATTCTTTCCTCCGTCGAAAGTACAACTAAAGTGTTGCAGAGGTTGAAAGGGCGGCTGGTGTTATTCGTGCAGCTGCCAAAGGTCGAAAGATCTCCAAAGTTGAGACTACAGAAGATACGATTGTCTATACTGGGACGAGCCATACAGAGTTTGTCAGTACTTAGGTTTCACAAAACCCGCGTTTGACCACTGTTTTAGGCCCAGGAGGTGATGGCTCGCAGAGAGTTCATTCGCTTACTAAGCCAGTTCCAGATTACAGGAAGAACACTTGTTGATACAGGTCGCTATGGAAAAGTATTCTACCTCTTGCTAGACGGAGACGGACGAGTGCCTGTTCTGCATCTAGGCATGACTGGAGCTATTCAAGTACGCCTTTAGCCATGCTACCAGAACCAACTAATGTGTAGGTCCGAGGTGGGGAAGCTTTATACTATCGAAAGAAACCCAAACAAGATCCAAATGATTGGCCTCCTAAATTCATGAAGGTTCGTGGTTTCTCGTGTGTGGCAAGGAAGCCTATATTCCCCTTAGTTTATTCTACATTTTGAGCCTCTGGAGGAAGGAGGAGAGATCACAGAGATTGCCTTTCTAGACCCGCGCAGGCTGGCGAGAATCAGACTGTGCAAGGACCATCTGAACGAGCCACCGATTTCGGCCCTTGGGTTCGATCCAATTCTCTCTATGCCGCCAATAGAAGAGTTTCAAGAAAAGGTGCTCAAACGTGGATGCCCTATCAAAGCCCTCCTCCTCGACCAATCCTTCTCTGCTGGAGTCGGTAACTGGATCGCAGATGAGGTCTTGTTCCATTCAGCTGTTCACCCAGAGCAAACGGCCAAGTCACTTTCCCCGGAGAAGATTAAGCTTCTGTACCGCAATATTGAATACGTATGCAAGACTGCTGTCGAGGTCAACGCAGACTCTCGGGAGTTTCCATCGAATTGGCTCTTCAAGCATCGATGGGTGAGTGAACCATGTCCGCTACCTAGTGTGCCGCTGACTTGTGATAGGGCAAAGGCAAAGACAAGTCGACTCTCGTCCTGGTATGTCACCTATCTTGTTCTACTTGGGTCGCCGTCTTATACGAAGTTCCAGCCTTCTGGTGAAAAGGCATCTATCAAATGGATCACTGTCGGGGGAAGAACATCAGCCGTGGTACAACAAGTTCAAAAGCTAGAGGGTGCCTCCAAAAAGGCCAAGAAGGAAAAAATTGAGGCAAGCCACTCGACCCTGGGGAACCTTGCCTGACCACGTTTAGGATGATACCGAATCCAGTGCCTCTGAGCTGACGGATCTAGGTGACGATACAGAGGATGAGGAAAAGAAGCGCAAGCCAGCAAAAGGGAAACGCAAGGCGCCTCCAGAGCCCAAACAAAGCCGCAAGAAACTCAAAAGGTCCGGGTTAACCCAAGTCACGGGACAACTAACGCTATCATCATGATATTCACGACCCTACGGGTACGTACGAAATACGTTGTAGATATTTTTCATCGAGGACCGTAATTCATTCCTCTTCATCCTCCGAATCTTCTTCAGAACCCCAGGACTCTTCGGCTTCATCGTCGATAAAGCCATTGAGATGAGGCTCCACCTCGGAATCTGATTCCTCTTCCTCCTCATCGTCTTCTTCGAGACTATCGCCTGTACCTTGTTCGTCTTCTTCTTCACTCTCGCCTTCGCCCTCTGAACCTTCACTATCATCCGAACCATCAGCATCACTCTCGTCTGTACCTTTACCACCAAGACCGATGTCCTCGACGCTCCCTACATCGCTGCCCTTCTCGACCTCGACCTCCATCTCTTCTTGCTCATCGGAGCTGTCGCCTTCCACGTACTTTAGAACGTGGTCGTCCGCCTTCTTGGCCTGTCGTTCGGCCTTGGATGCCAATTGTGCCGGCGACTTGCCAGATCGCATTTCAACTTGCGCCAACGCCAGGTCTAACCTGCCATTGAGCGACAGTAGCCTTTCTTGCAACGTCAGACGCTTAGTCAATGTTGAATGAAGGGATGATAGTTTGGGAACAAGGTTCGGCATCTATGAGCAATGAACTTTGAGCCTCAGAGTATTTGCAGAACGTACCGTCATCAAATGTCCGCTGTGATATATAAGCACCGCTCTAATCCATGCAATCATCGTTGTTCCCCTCTGGGAGCTCGCTGCTGACCCGATTGCAGACCCTTTATTGCCACCACGTCCTCTTGCAAGGCGATCTACACAGACTTGCAAAAGCGGGAGAGCTAACTGTGGTGGAAGGCGTCGAACAGTGTTTTTGATGAGCTTTGCATCCGAGTATCGGAGACAACCCTCTAGTAGTCGTGTATCAGAGGAGTGGAGGGCCTGAATGAGTGTCCGTGACAGAGACTCAACAGGAACTTGAATCGAGTCCGGGCCTGCCTTCTTCTTTTTGTGCGATAAACTCTCAGGCTCTGATTGAGAGTCACTGAGTGCCTCTCCGTTCATCGCTCGAAGCCTTTGTCCCAAAGTCAACTCGGCCATTTCGGTGTCAAGGGTGCCATCGTCGATCTGGAAATTTGGATCCAGGGTGCCATCGTGCGGTAACGTGATCCCACTACCCAACGCCAGCTTTTCGGATTCTTTGTATCGTTGAGTTGAGGCGCCCTGGTAAAGGAATAAGGGCCATTACAAGATGAAGAAACTGGGACCTACGTCTTCGGTTGTTTTTGTCACACTAGCGTCTGACGCTTTGATCCGGACTTGTGGGAGGAAGGCTCCATCATCGTCTGTAAATCGCTAGCGATAGCATTAGATGCACTCAATGGCTGAGGAATATGACAAACTATGCTGTGAAAAACCGGTCGAGCTCCGCTCACGAGCCGAGTCACTCGCAAGGTGTCCTCCAGGTCTTCGTCGAAGACCGCGTCCACAACATCCGCGGGTATAGTTGTGTTCCCACTAGCGGCTATTACAATCCCTATAACGGAATCGGGTTCTAGCGGAGTAGTGGAAGATCGCTTGCTATACTCTGGTGTGGAGAAGACGCAAATGGTTCCAGTCGACGATAGAGCCAGAAAGCGCTTTGCGTCGGAAGAAATATCCGCCCGCCGAATTTCGTTGTCGACAGAAGCTGTGAATGCTATTCTTCCTTCTCCTTTGGACGAAATTGCCCATCCCTGAATAAATCGATCCCTCTCTCCACTGGTAATAAATCGAGCATGCTTCAGGGTTGATATCCAATGCATCGATGTCACAGGAGTCACATGTCCAGCGAATTTTGTGACCATTTCGCATGACAGCGTTTCGGTAGGATTCGGAGGGGATAGCTCGAGGAGTTCGATGGCATGATGGGCAGCCAGAAGCTGCCGTGATTCCTCTTCCTCTGGGCTCTCCAGTGGCCTCAACAAGAGTCGAGAGTAAGGAGTTACGGACTCGGACCTCCATGAACCTAATAAATCTCCGCTTTGTATCGACCATAGGCGAATGACTCCATCCGCACTAGAGGTCCATAGTCGGATTTCATCTTGGTCCATATCCACGGACAAGACTGGGCTTGTCGATGTTGGATGAGATAGGGTAAGGACTGAGGCATTTTGCGCTGGTGAAAAAAAGGTGACGGATCCGTTGACAAGTCCCAATATCACAACTGATGTGGGTGGTGATTTTGCAGACAACTGTGTCTCCTTCTTTCGCTTTTTGCTATGGGATGAGACGCTGCCACTCCCGGACGAAATTCGTCCCCAGCGCAAACAGCGTGCAGAAGAGGTTTGTAAAATGTATTCCGCAATTGCTCGACCATTGTCCGTGTCAAAAACACGTAGTCTGTGCTTGTCGACAGATAGAGAGAGCAGCGCAAAAGACCGCCTATCAGGAGAAAAGGCGTTCAATGCCGCGAGCGCGGCCGCATCTGCGGTCACAGGTTGCGAGAGAGAACTCGTCGCGACAGGTCGTGACTTTGGGGGTTTCGAACCCGACTTTTTCTCCTTTTTTGAAACATGGGCCATCGTGGTGTCGGACAGGACAGGAGTGGCTAGTTCATCCGGAAAGGATAACAAGTCTATCAGAATCTGGCAATTACATATCCAGCACATTTCCCCTCTCCTAGATATTTACTTTGAGAACCAACTCCGTATCCCATGTTCCACCTCAATCCCGGCCATGTGGTACAATTCCTCCTTTTCACCACTTTGATCCACCAAGGATTTGAAGTATCCTTCTTTCTTGCGTAGTAGGTTGGCTGGACTGTCAAACTCGACGAGCTTGCCCGCATCAAGCACGAGAATTTTATCACTATCGCCGATAGTCTTGAGTCGGTGTGCCACGGTGATGACAGTAACACCTTTAAGCTCGTTGCGTATCGAAGCTTGGATCGCAGCATCGGTTTGATGGTCGATAGCGGCGGTCGCTGTAGATTCAGTAAGTCGGAAATTTTTCGTTCATAAAGTCTCTACTGACCCTCATCCAAAATTAAAACCTTGCTTTGCCTGCAAATTGCACGAGCCAGGCTCAAAATCTGACGTTGACCAAGAGAAAAGTTTGCTCCCCCAGAGGACACGGCTGTATCTAGTGTAATGGCCTCCTCTGAGTCTTCTGTTTGCACATTGTTGAGACCTGATGCACGTAACGCGTCGTTGAGCACGGCGTCGTCATATTCGCCAAAAGGATCCAAGTTCTCCCGGACCGAGCCAGAGAGTAGCTCCGGTTGTTGAGGGACTAAAGCGTTTCAGTAACTGGCAGATTAGACTTTTCAAGCACGTACTAATCGTCATATTATTGCGCAATGGCTCAAGGTTGATATGGCTCGTTTCGATGCCGTCGTACATTACCGCACCCGTGGTGGGAATAAGACGCAACAAAGAGAGTGTCAGGCTGCTCTTCCCGCTACCTGTACGCCCAACTGTCGCAGGGCATGAGGAAAGTAATGTCGCCAAGGAATGTAGTCACGTACCAATTCCCACTCTCTCGCCCGACTTGATTTCGAATGAGATGTCTCGAAGCACTGGCGGCCCATCAACAGAATAGCTAGCGGAAAGTTTCTCAACAACAAGATGCCCCGAAGACGGCCAGTATGCTGGAGGTTTATTAACATCCGTTGGTTTGGGCTCTTGTTCGCATTTAATGTAGCTCTCAATGCGCTCGAGGCTGTTGCCTATACACAGTCAGTGATACTGATAGATCTATAAAATAGTTGCTCACAAGAGACCTCAAACTCGTTCCCAATGCGCACCCACCATAGAATCATGCCTATCCCAGTCAGTACAGAGGTCTCTTTCGGTCGCAAAACCTACCAGAGAAGGCAATAGCCATGGTGAGTGAGAAACCAACGTTGGCAGCGCTTTCGGGCCGAACATAAATCAAGTAGGCTGCAAGCGTTGCAGAGAAAAGTGCTCCAAGCAAATCGATCCTGAAGGAGATCCACCTGTCATTCAAGTCAGCAAAGGCCATTTTGCACTATATGAGAACAAACCTATTCAAGTTGTAGAAGGACCGCGCACAGCTTGATATGGGTTAGAACCTGCGGCAATTCGAGGTTGGATACGTACCGAGAATATTTGTTGATACGCTCCATTGTCATTTCTCGGAATCGTTCTTCGGCACCGTAGGCACGAATCGAGGCTGCAAGGTATTATTAGTGCATTCACCCCAGCAGCTGGGGAGACTTACTGAGGCCAGCAATTGACGCATGGAAGTGAGAGAAGACGGGCGCTCGGGCGTTGCTCATCTCCCTTTTAACAGAGAGCTGGGCCTTGATGTACATATTGCCTAGCCAGCTTCCCAAGCCACCCACAAGGAGACCAGGTAATACGAATACTGGAGTCCTGACCACGACAGCCCCAAGTTTAACCAACATGGTGATCGTGATCTCGACTGTAAAATGTGAGGAGAGGAATGGCTCGAAAAAATTGAACGCACGCCAGTCAGAAAGCATCCCACTGATTTGCCCATCAATTGCTCGGATGTCAACGGTAAATCGGCTAATAATTCGACCGACGGGCGTTGTGTCGAGCCACCGAAGAGTGGCAGCAAAGATAGAAGTGATGAGCTGGTCATGTATCTTGCGGGAGGCACGCAAGGCACCAAAGAGATAGACCGTAAAGGCGGTAGAGTAGACAATCATTCCGATAAGTAAGAGACCACCGTATACGAGCAAGTAGTAAAAGACATTGACTTCTGAGGTTGGATGCGTTTCGTATTGACTCGCCCAATGCCTATCGATCCCTGTGAGCAGTTGCGATCGCCCTCACGTGTGTCACATACCCCAGCCAGAACGTCTGAACAACACTGAGAAGGTCAGCCACAAAGAATCCACCTAGAAATACGATCCAAAATGCAGAATTTCCGAGAGCGGTCAGATACATTTTCACTATTTCGAGTGAGCAAACGCAGAGCAAGCACAAGGGCGACATCAACGTACACGCTGGCCAGCTGACGCGACCAAGAGCGACTTCTTCCGCGACGATGAGCTTTCCAGCGGGCTTTACTTCGGCCTTGGGTGCTTCGGTGGGTGCATCCACCACTTCCTGTCCTTTGGCAATGGCCTTCTTCTCCTGATCGAGCTCCTCTTGAAGCTTTGCATCCAATTTGAGCGCTTGATCCAGCGTTCCTTGACTAGAAATACGCCCATCGACACCCAATGCCACCACAAATTTGGCCACGGGGCTAACCATCGCAACATTGTGCGTCTATCTGCGTTCAGCGAAATTGTCAGTAGAACACTGAGGAAGAACTTACGACCAACAAGATTGTACGGCCTTTGACCAGGTCTCCTTTGAAGCATTTGTCGACCACCCAGGAAGATGTATGAACGTCGAGAGCGGACAAGACGTCGTCCAAGAGAACGATGCTCGCATGGGAGTAGATCGCACGCGCAGGCTGACCCTTGCTTTCTGACCTCCACTTTGAAGAGTTTTAGAGCCTAATCGAGCCAAAGAAAAAGACAAGTACCTCAGGGTGATGCCCTTTTCTCCAACTTCTGTTTCATCGCCAGCTTCAAACATATGGAGATCAGTTTCAAGAGAGCACTGATGAAGAACTGAAAAGGTTCAATAGTTGGTTCACGCCACGTTATGAAATCACCTTTTTTGTATCTATCTTCGTCAAAGGCGGTGCCAAACAAAATATTCTCCTTGATCGTCTGATTGGTGATCCAAGGCTCTTGGCTCGCAAAGGCGACTCCACCATCGCGTGGCAAATTGTACCACGCGTCAGGGTTGGCCGGTTGGAAATGCTTAAGGCTTATCAGCTACATTCATACAGGCTCAACGTAACATACCATTTCGCCAAGAAGAGCCATAAGCATAGAGGTTTTGCCGCATCCGGTAGGGCCGATGATCAAATTGATAGCACCGCGAATGAAAGAGAGTTCCCCTTCAATGTTCAAGCGAAAGTTGCGTCTACCTGGTGTTGGTGTTCCGGGTACAGTGTTTGCCCATGTGAACGTCGCATTTCGAAACCCAATGGTGTTTGGATCAGGGACAGGAAGTGAAATTTGGATAGCCTGATCCTTGGACTTGTCAGCGTAGCTGTCGAGAAGTTCCGTCTATCCATAGTCAGTTTGATATCCTTCACTTTTGCTGTCCATTTACGTTGTAAAGGAAGTCTGTTATACGGTCCAAGCTGACTTTTCCTTGAATAATGGCATTTGCGCCCCATAAGACAATGTGAAGTTGATCCCTATAACCTGTGAGAGGATAATCGGTCACAAGAAAGGAAGGCACCTTAGCATGTCAAAGACGGCGATGCTCGAGAAGACACGAGAAGCTGCGGTTGTGAGCAAAAGCGATACGACTTGAGAGGTACCTACCCGTAAGTTCATGCTTGAAAATCAACGTCTGAAGATAGTGTGAGGCTTATCAAACCTGATTAGTGGCACGTACATATGAAGAGAATGTGACAATCATGACCAAGAGCGGAATCACATAGCTGCAAACTGTTTCAGGATGTGAAAGTCTCACGGAAATTTACGCACTTGGTGTTCATGTTCATCAGCTGGAAGAATTGGGCTCTCTTGATAAGGGCGAGTTCATCGGTACGCTTTTCATCAACCTTGCGTTTGACCTTGGGTTCCCAGGCGAAGAGCTTGATCATGCGCAATACATTTATATCTAAGGAAGTGAGTAACTGATATCAATGGTCGAGTGGGGGACATACACTCTGACATCGCCTGTACACGGGCATCCGTCCGTTCCATACGCTCCTTGTTGACTCGAGCGAGTATCGTACCAATTAGTGATGGTACAGGGATAGAAGCAACTAGAACACCCATTCCCAGGAAAGAGCTAAACCTCTTCAGCAGTCGGCCGATGAAGGATAGGGGACGTACGCAGCACCAAGGATACTGTAAAGGAACCAAACGCAAATACTGATTTGTAGGGGCGTGTACCAGATCATGAATAAAATGTCTCGTCCGTCCGTAATGTTGCCGAGGTCAGTGGAGACAACTATGATGCATTAGATAATTGCAGGATATATAGTATAAAACTTACAATTGTTGATCTTGCCGACCAAGTTTTCCTTTTTTTTGGTACCAACTCCTGTCACGGATGTGGCCGTCGAGGCAATAGAAGGCGCGACAGAGGTCTCCTTCTTTGATTTCTTCGTCTGTTTACTCGTAGATGCTCCATTCGGGGTCGAAGTTGACGGTGAGCTGCTTCCTACAGCAGTGCTAGTATCCGTTTGATCTCCATCAGTGGTTTGTTGTTCAATATGCCCTGCCTCTGGTGTTTCTACTACAGGCTTCTCGCCAGCAACTGCTTCCTCTTTCATCCGGATCCTGAGCGAGTGCTCAAATACGAGTTGGGTGATGATGCACTCGATCCTGACCAGGTTGCGAGTGTTGATGAAGATATACCACTGTATAGCTCCACTTCCCACAACCGGTCCAAGGAATAGACACAGAATCCAGACCCACGGGCGGATAACGGCCCCCCGTCCCCCAGTCTCGATATAGGTGAGCAGGCGATTGATTCCTAAAGGACCAGCGAAGCCGATGGCTACTTTGACGAAGATGAGAAATGCAAGGAAGATAAACTCTTTGTAGAAATAGCCCAATAACCCCCAGAACAAGTGTCGTCTATGTGCCAACCGCATGGGATCGACGTACTGGATACGTAAGTCGACCGTAAGAATGCATTAGAAGAACATACTGGAAAACTGGACTTGCGAAGGTGGGCAGCTGCGTCATAGTCCGCAAGTGGTGGGAGCTTCTCGACCTCGAGATGATCCGTCTTGGAAGCTTGGTAGATGATGGGGTCCAAGAATGAGTATAGAAAGAAGCTAGCCCATGAAGCAGTCTGTTCCGGATTCACTTCGCTGGACGGACGTTCTGGGTCGACAGGGATATACTCGTGAGGCATAAAGGCAGGAATAGCCACGGCTACCAAGGTGAGAAGGGCGATAGACGTCCATGTAGTCCAATGATTTGGATCGACAGGCTGTAGAGTATAGGTTGCGACCGGCCAAACGTCGCGATACAGGTAAACTGCCCAGGCGGCAACGAGTAGGATATTGAGGTGGTTCTTGGCTACTCGCCGCCAACGCTTCTTGATAAGGAGTGTACAAAGGGCGAGTACACTTGCATACAGCTGTCGAGGAAAGTTAATTGTAGACGAATTGTCACATGATTGGACGTACATAAAACGCAGCGAGAACAATCTGGAGCCACTCGTAGTCTGAGAAGCGATTTTTGTGTCTATTTCGATGTCTGTGCTTCTTTCCCCAGTGCTTGCCGTTTGTGTGCAAAGTATTGTCGCTCGCGACAATTGCAGCTGTGATAGCAACGCCGAACAGGGCCAAAGAGCCAAATAGTCGCGCGACCTTGTAGGACCAGAGAACAATACCGCCGTTGGAGGCGATATTTGCCTTGACTTCACTTGTCAAACCTGTTGGCGGCTCGGGTTCATTGTGAATGACGGTTCTGGACGGCGCTAAGCGCTGAAAGAGGGTCCTCTTGAGTGGAGTTGCAAAGATGATAAGATGAACGAGCGCAATAAGAAAGGAAACACCAGCCAAGTAGACCGGAATCAACAGAGTGCTTTTGTATATCGACGTTCTTGAGCAAGAAATATCAGCACAACGCACGCTTAATCATAAAAATAGTACTTTTGAACGTCGTAGGTTGGCTGGCGTAGCACAACCTGAAACGGGTCGAGCATGGTGGAGATCCAACGCGCACTCGTCGCCGTTGACAAACACAATCAAGGCGCCCAACAAATTGGAGCCTGCTGACTGGACGAGTCTTCCAAGGGACGTGGACCATATGGCGCGTCGAGACAAATACACACGGGCAGTTCCCCGGCTGGGACAAGCGGCATGAATTCATCGAAACAGCCACGCAAGTACAAAAATCCAGAATACGATAACAAGAAATATCATGTAGCATGCCCACCGTCCTCCCTGTCTCGTCGCCATTGCATTCATCCGTCGAAATGTCCCGGACAAAATCCCCCCAGTCTCCGTAAACGCGTCGTTCTGCAATAAGAATGATCAAAAATGTCTAAAAACAGCATGACACCAACCATGTGAGAAAGTTGGATGGCCGACTCGCGAACTTCTTGGCCAATACCTAACGAAAGCTGGCAGAGGGAACAGTTAGCTATCAAATATCATGTCTATAGATCCAACCAACTTCTTTGAGAATCTTGACTTTGCCCGTCAGCCCTGCCAGCGCCTCGTCGTTTTGCCCTTCCAAGTCGTCTGCAAACCGGTGACCCGAAGGGTTACCAAACCGAGGAGAAGAACGTCCTGAGCCAGCAGGAGTGCCTGAAGATGACCGCCATGACGGTTCCGGTGTCGATGAAAGATGTGAACGGTCTCGAGCGCGCAAACTGCTTGAAGATGAGACCTATATGAGCCGTACACTATCAAAATAATTACTTGTTCATGAGTTGTAGAGTAATTGGCCACGGCCGACAGTCGTGGCAGACGCTGCGTTGCTCCACTTTATAACTTGTCCTAACACCTCCATGTCCTTCAAGGTCAACACGCCAGTTCCCCAGCCATTGCCAAAGGAGTGCATCAAGGCAACCAAAATATGTCCGTATTTACTTTCCTCGCCAACGTCAGAGCACTCATGATCGACAGTCCAATCGTTTGTGGGTGATGGCCGCGGTGGTTTGGACGGCGTGCGAAATTTTATTTTCTTGATAATCTCTCTGAGTCGATCTTCAGGTAGTTCCTCGTCGCGTCCTCGAGCAAGCATATGGGTTTGCGTTCCTCAGTGTGGTCAAGGCAAGTCAGTGGCGGAATGTGCACGCTGCCATCTTAGAGTTAGTAGGCAGGGTTCTTGCTAACTGCAAGAGGTGGAAGTGGTCTTGTGATTGCACGCTTGGATGACGACACCTGGAGTGCACCCAGTGCTATTGGCACGGCCGGAATGGGCTTTGGAGGACAGGCTGGAGCAGAAGTTACAGACTTTCTCTTTGTTCTCAGTACGTCGAGCCCTCCGCACACAATGATTATCTCATCAGAAGCTCGATAGATTCTCGCTCGGCCGTGCGGTCGTTCATGTCCGCTGGATCTGTCACGCTCGGAGGGAACTTGTCGGTTGCTCTAGGCCCTGTAGGCCGTACCGGAGAGGCCGCGGGTGCCTTAAACACTAGCGGAAAAGTCGCAGCGATGTAAGTCTCTAACATATAGGTTTCGTCAAACTCACACAGCCAGATATACGTATGCAAGATCCAAAGGTATATTTGGAGGCGTATCTATTGAAGGTTCAATCATTGTTGAGCGTCAAGACGCCAACTTTCTTGCCTATGAGTCGAGTGTCACGGCACAGATGCTACTTTCAGGAGTTGTCCCTGTTCCACGGTGGGCAGATCTTCTCATCCAGACGATCGAACAATTCACCGGTCAATCTGGTGGACGAAGGTTCGTTCGAGACTCCAACCCGGGAACTCCTGGAGAGTATGCATTTGGAGGACTAGGGTCGCCAGGCAGCGTCCTAAAGAAGAAGAGCACACCCAAGTCGGAATTTCCGCCAAGAAGCTGGGGAGCACCCAAGGAGAACGGGTCATATTTCGACTCATGGGATTCGGAGCAGTCTCGAGGCGGAACACAGTCTAATGAAACAGAAGGAAGTTTGATCGACATGAGTATACCAGGCCAAAGCAATGGGTTCAACAAGAGCAGTCCCTTTTCTCATATGACCTCGCCCTTCGACACTACAAATGCCGATATTCGCCTTTCAACAGACAAAATGGTGTCTCCGTTTGATACTTCGGTTCTCAAGCGCTCGAACAGTGGTCCAACCCGGCCCAAGGCGGTTCGCACCGAATCCGAGACGTCCCTCAAGATGAAGTCTCGCGCTGCCCAGCTATCATCTCAACTAGAGGGTGACATGACATCCCTTTCTAGACTATCCCTCCTACGTGGTGCAATCACTCCAACACGACAAGCCCCACCAACAGCAAACCTGATCGATATCCAAGATGATGTCCACATCCCCGACCACAGCGAACCTCCTCGGACAGACCCAAATCTTCCCTTTCATCTCAGGAGGTTCACGTAGACTTGGACAAGACCAACGTGGTATTGCCTTCGTCTTCGACGCCTACGTACATTAAGCCAGCGGTCTTGCGCAAGAATAGTCGGAAGAATGACACAGATTCGGAAGAGGATTACGTGCCCAAACACAAGAGGGCACCTTCCCAACGCTTCAAGGCGGCACTCAAAGAGCCGATGCCGGATGAGGGGGTCGGGAGAGCAATTGTCCGCTTTGATTTCGAAGCTGTAGAGGTACCCTTGTCATGCTCTCGTCTTTACTTGGCTCACATCAATGCAGGTAGAAGATTTAACCATCCGAAAGGGTGACATTATCACAATTTTAGAGAAGAGTAATAGCATGAACGACTGGTATGTGTCAAAGGCGCTATGAGGATGCGTAGCTGATCAATTATTAGGTGGAAGGGAAAGATTGGCACCCGCGTAGGCCAATTTCCTGCCAACTTTGTCGAAGTTGTTGGCGACGTGAGAACCGAGCCAGATCCATTCGACCTGTAACATCTATCATTCGGACACTGTAGCTTTATCTCCTTGATCAATTTTTCTTTTCTTGCCAAGGTTAAGCCCTGTAATTCAACTCGATTAAGTCGGGGGCAAGTGGTTTGGATTCAGCCCTTACTCTCACCGTCCTCCTATCCAAAAAATCAACGCGTGTTGTTTCCGAGTAATAAGCTCCAATATGGATCGCTCACTTGGGGTACCGCGGGATCTCACGCATGTCCGCGCTAGTTCGAAACAATCTTGACTATGTTGCGAATGCCCGAATACTGGCCCATAAGTACCGACCGCGGGAAGCTCGAAAAGACTCATACTCCCCAAAACTAACCCGCATCGAGGATGAAGTTCCTCCTTACACTCTTTACTGCATCCACACTCCTTTGTGGCCCAGTCCAGGCCACTTTCTACCATCTCACCGACAAATGGGTTGGGCAGGACTTTCTTGACGCCTTTGCTTGGGAAAATATCACTGATCCCACTCGTGGACGCGTCAATTATATTACCCAAGCCGACTCGCTCGCCATGAATCTGACTTATGCTCATGGTGACCGCTTGTGAGCATCTTTCTCATCAAACTACTCGTGCTCATTCTGTTTGCAGTATCATCAGACCCGATTCTGTTTCCGTCCTGGACCCCAATGGCCCCGGCCGGGCCTCGAATCGAATTATTAGCAAGAAGACGTTTGGGCATAATACAGTAATCATTGCGGACGTCCGCCACATGCCTCAAGGCTGTGGGTGAGTAAATCTGATTCTTGTCCGAAAAACCCGCTCAACTCCAGGGAGGACTTGGCCCGCACTATGGTCGACGGATGTTCCTTGGCCTGGTGCGTAGAAAAACGATTCAGCTTCTAGTTCCGGGCATTGATTCTGTCACGACAGACAAGGGAGAAATTGACATCGTCGAGGCGTCAATGACCTGGGACCGAACCAGATCACTCTCCATACCACGGCAAACTGCACCATGCCGGAGGTGCGGCCGCAGACGGGGTAAGTCACAACATGATCTTTCGGTCTATCGGCTCACGCTCTCCCGCAGTACTCCAAGGTTTAACGATTGCTATTGGGAAGCGAACAACTATGCTGCTTGCGGCGTCAAGACGAACAAACCCAACTCGTATGGACCAGACTTCAACGCTGCAGGTGGAGGATGGTTCGCCATGGAACGGACGCCCACTTATATTCGCTCGTGGTTCTGGTCACGAAATGATCCGACTGTTCCATGGGAGGTGAAGAATCCGCACAGTTTCTTCATTGGTACTCCGTTCTGGGGGCTTCCAGTCGCCAATTTCCCAAATAACAGCTGTGACATCGCCTCCAAGTTTAGTCCCCATCACGTTATCATCAACCTGACGTTCTGTGAGTTCTTTCCCTTCTCAATTAGCCCCTCTGATTGTGTCCCTAGGTGGCGATTGGGCCGGTAATGACTACGGCCTCAGCACCTGCCCTGGCACCTGCGTCGGTAAGTCGATTCGCATCAAACATGTCACATATCCTGAATATTAGCAGATTATGTGAATAATAATCCCCAGGCGTTTGTAGATGCTTACTGGGACATCGCTTCGATCCGTATGTATGGATGGTAGAGTCATTTGGACACATAACACGCACACTCGTTTAACCCCTCTACCTCACATACGAGCTGGAAACGACGATAGACACAGCGCTCCGGCCTTTCCGGTGATAATAGATGGTCACTGGATGTTCGCGTTACGTCTCATCCGCAGCCCTGGAGAATGATGGGCGTGGTACAAATCCAGGTGATCAGGTATCATCTTCTTGATAGATCTGTTCCTAAAGCACCCTGCCTTCTGGTTACCCATGCGCCGATTATCGGAACATCCTCTATAAGCGATCTGGTACGTGATCCTAGACGAACAATAATAGACGGGGGATTTCGGGGGAAGCGACTGTCGCTGTTTCCATCTTGGGCAACGAACCGCGCGAACTTGAAGCTATTACTTCCCATTACCCCGCATCATGCTCTTTCGCGTAGTCATGGGGTAGGAATATGGCTATTCGGAAGAGCTAAATCCAATCACAACTCTAGAAGGTTTGGAATATGGTCCGCATTCTGAGGCATCGACGGTGGAAACCGGGAAGACATTCGCAGAGTTATTCCACAGTATTTCTCCACCACCGACTATATAGTCACCATATCACAAGGAGCGAGCCCTCAGCTTTGAACTGTCACACTCTTTTTCACAAGATGCATCTCATCCGAACCCTCTTTACCACCTCAACACTCCTTTTGGGACTCGTGGAAGCCTCTAACTATCGCATTACGGACAATTGGGTTGGAACTAGCTTTCTAAGTGCGTTCAGCTGGGAGAATATTGCTGATCCAACCCATGGCCGGGTTAATTACCTCCCTCAATCCGCTTCACTTGCTCGCAACCTGACATATGCTCACGGTACTCATTTGTCTGTCTTTCATATATTTGCTACCAATCGCTGACTGCAGGATAGCATCATGAGGGCGGACTCAGCCACAGTTCTTAGCCCCAGTGGACCGGGCAGAGACTCCAATCGCATCATGTCTACAAAGTCTTATGGCCATAATACTGTTCTCGTCGCAGATATCTACCATATGCCTGGGGGGTGTGGGTACGTCCCTCATTTGACATTTGGCTCTTTTTTCAATTCGTCACCAGGACTTGGCCAGCACTATGGACAACAGATGTGAATACATGGCCGAGTAAGTCGGAGCATCGTTTCGTCTATTTCCAAAGCCGACACCTCGTGCAATAGATGGAGGGGAAATTGATATTCTTGAGGGTGTTAATGACAAATCTCCCAATGCAATCACCTTGCATACGTCGGAGAATTGCATGATGCCCGCCTCCCGTCTTCAGACCGGGTAAGCTCTGTTCAAAACACCCATTGGTGAGCTCAACTCACGAGGTGGGCAGGACTTCAACGCAATTAGACTGCTATTGGATGACGAATGGAAACGCAGGGTGTGGTGTACTAGAACGGAAAGCAAATTCGTACGGGCCGAGTTTCAATGCCGCGGGAGGAGGATGGTTCGCCATGGAACGCACCCCAAACTTCATCCGCGCTTGGTTTTGGTCACGCCAAGATTCGAGTGTCCCTTTCGATGTCCGCAACCCTGGCCAGGCGACTGTCAATACGGATGGCTGGGGAACACCGACTGCACTCTTTCCGAACACAAACTGTGATATTTCATCCAAGTTTGCGCCACACAAAGTGATTATCAACTTGACATTCTGTGAGTGCCCTCCCGGTTCCTGGTTCTTGTTGACGGATGACGGATTCTAGGCGGGGACTGGGCTGGAAACACGTATCTAAATGATGGGTGTCCTGGTAATTGCATTGGTATGTACTTCGTGGGTGCTAATGACCCGCATTTGTCGCTGCCATTTCTGACGATGACCGAAAGACCGCGTGAATAACAGTCCTGGCTCGTTTACAGAAGCGTACTGGGATATCGGAGCCATTAGGATGTATGGTCTCTGAGCGTTTGATTCATATGTTGGTATCTCTGCCTTTGCGGCCTTTGTAAACTGTTTGATACCCAAAAGGAATGCAAACAACCTGGATCTTGTGTATTTTGAAATATGGGTCGATGTGGCTTGACACTTACCGCAGCTGCCAAGGGACGGCGTGCGTACGTATGACACCTTGCCGGGGACCTCGCTGCGCTGCTAAAACTTGACCTAGAACCATCTCCTCGGCTTGTCTCCTTTGGCTTGTATGAGACGATGAGGCTCTCTTTTAGGAAGAATCAAAGGCCGTGGGGGCTCAAGTTCCGGTCTTCAGTTGGCTATGTGACCTTCGTCTGCTTTATGTCGGTGTTCGTAGATCTCTTGGTATACTCAGTCCTGATCCCAGGTATCTATTCCTCTGAACTGAACTGTCAAAGTACTGAACGCACCTTCAGTCATTCCATTTCGACTGGAGAAAATGGGCTACAAATCAGTTTCCGCGCTGACAGGCTGGCTTCTTGTTGCATACGTACGTGTCAAGTTTCCGTGCTCTTTCACATTGTCTCATGTTTCTAGTCGCTTGGTCTCGTCGTTGGTATGCAGGCGTCATTGCTTGCGATCGAGTGGCCCCCGTTGGCTGACCAGGATCACAGCGACACCGCCGCTGGCATACTTTGCAGAAAGATATTGGTCAAGACAAACCCCGTTGGTTCTTTCCTTGTTGCTGCTCATTGGCTCCCAAGTTATGTTCATGGAGGCCCCAATTTATGCCGTAATGGTCATCGCAAGGGTTATCCAAGGCGTTAGGTCTGTGTGTAGTCTCACTGGGGTGACTATAACTTATACGACAAACCAAAAGCTCGGCCGTAGTATGGGTTGTCTCCTTTTCACTCCTGTCCGTTCTTCATCAATAAGCGACTGTACTATGATTAACCCGTCCGTAGATGCGATACTGTACCAGAAAGTCACCTAGGGAGTAGGTGCTCGTATAACTTCCTCTCTCGAGCTTACCATGCATAGGACAATTGGGAATCGTTATGTCCGGCCTTACTCTTGGCTTTTTGGTCAGCCCTCCACTGGGAGGCGTACTGGATGAGAAGATGGGCTACCGAGCGCCCTTCATCCTGGGGATGTGTGTCTGCGTAGTCGACCTCGTCGGCCGCCTGCTCCTCATCGAGAAAGACCAAGCCAGGAAATGGGAGACCCCACCTCCAGAGCAGCAAGTTGAGGATGGTGTAGAAAGGCCTCAATCAATCCGTAAGACCAAGTTGATTTGAAGATGTGATCCTAAGCATTGCTTCCAGCCCCTCAGCGGAGCCGTTCTCAGCTTTCAGTACTCAAGGTCATCTCGAGGTTGATGCGTTCGAAGCGTGCATTCATTGCATTCTTCAACACTTTCATCTATGGGTAAGTACCATTCTTCTGGAGGAAGCATACCAACCCCGTGGCAGCATTACATTTACCCTCAATGAGCCTACTCTGCCACTTCGACTACAAGACGTCTATGGATTCGCATCACTCAAAGTTGGAATTATCTACTTGGCTGCAGTCGTTCCCTCCCTATTCTGTAAGCCCACAGTACGATAAATTCTCTCTCCACCGCTAACTGTTCGATAGCTACGCCCATTGCGGGTTGGATTTCAGACAAAATCGGAGTTGAATTGGTCACATTCTGTTCTTTGTTGCTCTCCGCTCCGTGGTGGGTGGTCATGGCCATTCGTGGGCCCTTGGCTCTCCTAATTGCCAGCTTGGCGCTAGCAGGTGATCGAAAAAACAAAATATTTGTGAAAGAAACTCTAACGTTCCCTCCAGACTTTTTCCTAGCAGCAGTAGTAACCCCACTCACTGCGGATCTCGCTGCGGTAGCCAGGGAGATAGACGGTATTGGATACGCACATGTTTTTGGAGCGTTCAACTTCTGCTATGCTGTCGCAAGCTCAAGTGAGCCCACCTTATGCTGGTCCGTCTCTTGGCTGATCAACGAATAGTTGGCCCTCTCATTGGGGGTCAGATATACTCGCATGTAAGGAACGGCTGGACGGTTCTTATGGGATTGAGTGCAGGGATGATGGTCCTCGCAGCCTTTGCGTCTGCCTATGGCGCAGGCGAGAGACCACTTCTTGGCCGCATCTTCGGAGAGAAAGCCCAACCAAAGCCGGACGAAGAAAAGAGCGGCACACCACGCGCGCTAAGCGGTGAAATGACACAGACGAGCCAGCCAGCGGCTATAGAGTTGCAAAACGAAGGGACAGCACTGACCTCTGAACCTGTCCGCTCAAAAGAGTAACTTATAACTATCACTCACAGTAAATTTTGTCATAACATCAACCCGACTCTCCATCCCCTTTTGTGTGTTGTGTGAACTTGGAACCGGACCATGCCGGGGGGCTCAGCGAACCCTCTGCGATTACGACATTTTGTATCGCCTTAGCTCTTTCCGATGGCTGTGAAGCATTTTCGACGAACATGCCGCATAAACTGCGCGACCTCCTAAGCATCTCCTATGACCTTCGCTCAAACAGAAACGCCGGTCCTGACTTCTCGAACACAGGATCTTCCATAACGCCATTACGATACTTTTCACCGTGTCACATACTGTGAATCAATAGCTTTGAAACGAGCGCCTTAATTCCTACTCGAGCTGATGGAAAGTCGCTGTGCTCGAGTACCTGGGGGACCGCGAGTCGAACCGGAAAGACAGGGCGGCTATCCACACCCTAAATCACCTGTTTCAGGACTTCTGAATGTTGATTGGACAGCGACCGTCCTCGGCTGGCGCCTGCGGTCGCACGAACGTGAGGAGAGGACAGCACACATCTTCGCGTCCAAATTCAACCCGAATCCCAATATTATAAAGTCCGATAGGGTCCACATGGGCCAGTTTTCGTCACCCGCTCGGTTTTATTTTATCTTTTTCTCATCTGCGCTTCGAGGAGGCAAAGCTACCCACGGCTGCGAAACGTAGCTTGACCTTGACCTGTCCTCTTTATGATGCTCAAAGGGCTGTTGGATGCTCGTCAAGGCGAGAATGACAGGCCCTTGGGGCTCCAGTTTCGCTCGTCTGTTTCCTTCGTGACATTGGTCTGTTTCATGTCAGTTTTCATCGACTTGCTAATCTATTCTATCATTATCCCTAGTAATTATCCTCTCTTTCAGTCCGAAGACCCTACTGATCTCCTTTGGACAGTTATTCCTTTCCGGCTGGAGACTTTGGGTTATAACGAGCCATCCGCATTGACTGGGTGGCTACTAGTGGCCTATGTGAGTCAGAGACACACAATCGAGTCTTGCTAACCAAACCCTCAGTCTTCTGGGCTCGTTTGTGGTGAGCCTTTTCGGCAGAAAGTGGCGCTTGCTTACAGTCTTAGCGACTCCACCACTTGCTTTCCTCGCTGAGAGATACTGGTCACGGAGGCGACCGCTGACGATCAGCCTCATCATCCTCGCTGTTTCTCAAGTCTTGTTCATGGAAGCACCAAATTTTGCCATCATGGTCGTTTCGCGATGTATTCAAGGCATGAGGTGCGTTTCATTCGTAATTTTGGCTGCATAATTGACCATTAATAGCTCTGCGGCCGTTTGGGTTATCGCTTTCTCGCTCTTGTGAGCCGGAGCCTCTTGCCATTAGCACATTTTTTCTCAAATACTTCCAGATGTGATACGGTGTCAGAAGATCACTTTGGTCGTCAGCTGGGGATCGTCATGATGGGGGTCCGGGCAGGATATCTGTGCGGGCCTATACTTGGGGGGTTTCTCAACGAGTCCCTTGGATATCGCGCACCATTTATCCTCGCAATTGGATTTTGCGCTCTCGACCTCCTGGGCCGCTTTCTCGTCATTGAAAAGCACGAAGCTGAGAGGTGGATGCAGAGTGGACAATCAAAGCAGAGCATGGAAACCGGAAAGAGTATTGAAGATATCAGCGGTCGACCTAAACCAAGTGAGTATGGCTGAATCCTTTGAGCATTCTCTGACAATGCGCAACCAGCCCTTCCACGGAGACAAAGTCAGATGTCCGTCTTGAAAGTACTTGCGACTCTAGCGCGTTCTCGGCGTGCATTCGTTGCCCTGCTGAATATCTTTATCAACGGGTGAGGGTTCTACTCTTAGACTTGATCGGTGCTGATATTCTTAGGCTCATCTTCACTATGTTGGAACCGACATTGCCGCTTCGACTGCAAGCTCTTTACGGATACACATCATTCAAAGTTGGAATCGTCTATTTGGCCTATGCAAGCCCTGCGATTATTTGTGCGTTTCGATTGTGCGAATGAATGAATGACTGATAAGTCCAAAGCCACCCCACTTGCTGGGTGGATCGCAGATAAAGCGGGAGTAGAGTGGGTTACGCTGGGTTGTCTGATGATCTCGATCCCATGGTGGATCGTCATGGGATTTCGAGGCTCGATCGTGTTGCTCGTCGTCTGCCTCGCCATCGTAGGTTAGTAAACAACCCCTTTAACAACTGGTACTCATGCGTCATAGACATCTTACTCGCAGCTGTGGCTACTCCGCTTACTGCTGACCTAGCGGCGGTCGCACGACGCAAGGATGGGGTAGGGAGTGAGTGAAAATTCGGAGAGAAATTTCTGTGACTAATGACAAACTACAGATGCGCACGTGTTTGGCGCGTACAATATGGCGTATTCACTCGCCGGGCTCGGTAAGGGTGGGAGCAAGAGTCTGGGATTCTATTCTGACACGTCGCAGTTGGTCCTATTATCGGTGGACAAATCTACACTTATATCGAACACGGATGGTCCGTTATCGTATTTACGGTTGCCGGTCTGCTATTCCTGGGTGGTGTGGCTGCTTCGATAGGGGCCGGAGAACGACCGCTTCTGCTACGACTCTCTCAATTCGGTCGCACCGAAAAGCCACCTATCTCAAACTCGCCAGACGTTCCCATTAAACTCACGCTCATGGAACACGCTCTTGCAAGCAGTACCGAGACGGACCTATCAAAGGAACCCAAAGCTCCCGTCATCACCAAAACGGTCCGCTGTTGACCGAGTTGTATCTCTGCCTTCCGCATGTAGCACATTTGGTGTGAATATATGCTCGTTGGACGTCACTCAGGGCGATCGCCGGATCTCTTCGTGGCCTGACCCGCACTTTTTGCGCAGTTTCCCGTTGAGGATGAGTGTTGAAATCTCAGATTGGTGTCTTATAGGGGCTCGTTGGCCGACGTGTCCGTTCATCGGCGTCGAGCTCGAGGAGTCTGTCAGAATGGGCGCTGAGATATTAGATTTCGAGAATATTCCGCGAGTTTTTTGGTCAAGAGACGCCTGACTAACCAGCGCCTTTTGGCAACAAGCGTCTGTACTTATAAGCGCTGTGGCTGCCAATTCGGACCTTGGCCTCTACCTCATCCCACCTCTCCAGGTGAGGCTCATTGCCAAAATTATTGGAAATTAATTCTGACACTCCATTTCTCTCGATTCACCGCGTCATCGTCGACGATCGTCGCACTTTACAGCTCCAGACCTTTAGCCGCTCAGACTTTCCACCATCTTCCAATGGCTCTCAAGCGCATTAACAAGGTACATATCCTCCATTTCACCGTCTACACTACTCTCCACGTCGCGGGCGTCTACTCTGGCCATTGTTCGTGCTTGGTCATTACACTGGCATGCGACCGCCCCGCGGCACGCCCGATCGAGTGCGATTCGTATACGAGAGCTCAGTGCTGACCTCTTCTTTCTTCTGTTATCTAGGAATTGATTGATCTCGGCCGTGACCCCCCTGCGTCGTGCAGCGCCGGCCCGACCAGCGACAACAACATGTTTGTGTGGACTGCGAGCATCATGGGACCGGTACGTACATTGCATGCAATCATTAAAGTAACGCTTGGCACTCACTCGCTTTCCGCCAGGGTGATTCGCCGTATGCTGGTGGTGTCTTCTTCCTGGACATCAACTTTCCGACCGATTATCCCTTTAAACCACCCAAAGTCAGCTTCAAGACGAAGATTTACCATCCCAACATCAACGCCAACGGTAGCATCTGCCTGGATATCCTAAAGGAGCAGTGGTCACCAGCACTGACAATCGCCAAAGGTACGCTTTTCTACCATCGTTGAGAATCGATTATTGACACATCGTCCAGTTCTCCTCTCCATTTGCTCAATGCTCACCGACCCTAACCCTGACGATCCGCTTGTTCCAGACATTGCACACGTGAGTCTGGTTCTCCCTCGATATAGACCTTTTGACTAATTTCTCCTAGTTGTACAAGACGGACCGTCGGCGATACGAAGCTACTGCGCAAGAATGGACGAGAAAGTGAGCGCATGGTCCTTTTTTATCAACCAACCCTGTCTAATCTTCCTCCAGGTATGCTATGTAGCGTGACCGTGTCCCCTCGATCGGTTCTGGCTCCTGGCTCGTGGTCGATGGTTTTGAACTATAGCCTGATCATGTCTCCCTGTATACTTGCGATAACGCTTCCAAGAATCTCATCATCTCTTCATTTCACACATCCTTGGAGTGTCCTGAGAACTGCAATATACAAGTCGGCCGTGGCTGTTGCTGTCAAAATAAGAGTCAATACGTTCAATTATTCTATTTTGAATAATTTAGTGAGCTTTCTTGCCTGCGACGCGGTGACTCCAGGTGGTGAGCCCGGTTTGCACACGACGCAGCGTACCCTTGAACGGCGAGCGACGTCCTTTGACAACTGTATCGTTGGCGGCAGCATTTACGCAGCGAATATTGCCCCTAGATTGCTCCAATTGGACCCACAACGACAGAGGGGCCTCGTCGTGCGATTGCAGGCTACAAACGAAATCTTACTGGCACCGAACGCGGCCCAAGATATCTTCCAAGACGACAAATCACACGTCTCTGTCCTCTTGTTCAAAAAGGTGAGCTCTAGTGTCTTTTCCAGAGCATCGCGGGCAGCAGCCGTGCTTGTTGGGGTCGGCGATAGTACTCGGTGCGCTCTGCGGCTTACATCTCGCGAAAAGCCATGCACCTGCACAGTCAAGACGCCTTGATCGCCTGCTTATCTCGTCCTTAAACCCCTTACTGACCAAATTTCTTCCCGCAGCCCCGTACGCTGGCAGACCATCCATTCCAAGTAGACGACTCGTAGGGGCTCTTTCCCAACCGCCAGAGACCCCACGCACTTTTCAATACGCTCCTGTCTCATGTCCGTGGAAGTACAGTCGAAGAAACGCAAGCGCGAAGAGTCGATTAGTGACGCTGATGGGAGGCCGCTGCCAAAGCAAGCACGCTCCGAGAGCCCATTCCGCGATGCGGAAGACCTTGCTCTCTCCCCTCTGGACGCGCACAAGGTGCTGACCATCCTGGAGACGTGAGCGGACGCATTCTCGGAAAGCCCGTTCAAGCGAACTGACAATCTGGGTATTTTAGACTCGACGCCGATGGCCTTCTCGATCGATTGATACAACATCCGGTCATGCCTTCGACCCGCACAACGTTTCGGCAACTCTTGCGAGAGCCGGCTGGAAACCCTTTGCGCACGATACGTATGGCGGTTCGACAGCTTTTGCCGTCTGCGAGTCATCCTCGAGCGCTCATCTCCACCGGGGCCGCCAACCAGCAGCGGTTCTGTGACTTTGCGCAGAGTCTCTTTGACCAAGTCGCAGCGCGCGGCTCGAGTGCGCGCACGGATGCACCGTTTCTCACTGACGGGGAAGAAGATGCGGAAAAGGTGCTGCCACTCGACGAGAGGAAACGAAAGTATGCACTCGTCCAACGTCTACCCAGTGGAGACTGGTGGAGTAGTGCAACGGTACCGCGGGATGGCGACGTTGGGTTGACGAGAGCGGCAGCAAAGATGCTAGCGACCAAACAAGCAGAGTTGGTGTCCATTATTCCTTCCCAACCAATCCCAGCCGACGAAATGCCCCTCTTTTCCTCCTTAAAGCCAACACCCGTAATCAAGCCACGAGACGAATCGCGAAAGTCGATTACTCTCCCACGAAAAGCCCTTCCTGCACCCAAGTTGTTGGACTATGGCGTCTTTTCCACCTTTGCCCCGTATTTTGACTCGGAAAACGCAGAAGTCGGCAACGACCAAATACATCAGGTCGTCCACGAAAGCTTACAACGACGAAAAGCAAGAGCACTTCGCGCAAAACTTCTGGAAAAGCAAAAGGCGATTGCAGAAGACGACACTGTTGCTTTACCAACCCCGAAATCCGGCGCAGACATGACTGGTGTGGAATCCGCCTTTTCAATAATGTCTGTTCAACCTCAATTCCCGACAGATGAGGCACTACAAAATCTGCAAAACATTATTCCTCAACACGAAGGCGAAATTCTCAAAGAGGCGTTTGCTGCCCTTCGGGTGGAATTTGGCGTTTCCGAACTTTTGGAACATATCGCTCTTGCGCTAGATAGCATCGTGTCTATGCAGAAAGAGCGAATGAAAGAGGGGCAGCTGACCCCAAGCGATTTGGAGCAAGAAATGGGTAAGCTTTTCTTTGTTCTCGTGGACATCTTTCAGTGCTGATCGTGAAACACTAGCGGATGCAACCATGAAGTCTCTATCTTTGCTCGTCTCAATGCAACCTCGGACTAGCTTGGCACCCGACAAGTCGCTCGCTCCTTCCGCCACCGTTGCTCGAGCACTCCAACGATCGCTACCCACCGAACCCACGTCGGGATGGCGTGGTACATTGGCGAATAATCAAACCACATCCCTAAGAGACGACGCAACCATGTTCGTCAAGGCCACCGCGAGGGCTCAGGCTGCTGCTACGGCCGCTGCGACTGTAGGCCATCAAATGAACGGTGCTCCCCGTATCCCAACTACACCAGTTGCAGCATCACCAGTGACACCATCACCAATTTACAACTCGTCACCCTATAGTCCGAATCCAGCGATGCGATACAAATACCCGCCATCCCAATATGGACCACTCACGTACGCACCACAATCGACGCCAGGAGCAGTCGGTCCGCCTCGAGTGGTGCCGAATATGATGAATACAAAGCCCAATCCGCCGTGGATAGGCTATTCGCATGGGCCCATGGCGTTTCAAACGATGCCTCCTGTAACTCCTGTACGCGGAAGCTCGACTCAATTCAAGCCATGAGCAGGTGGGTTTATTGGAGATCGATGTCTGCTTGGAATTACGTTACGAGGAATGCTAGTAAGCCGATGTACAGACTGAAATATAGTCTCTCTCTCTCTACGAGAACAACGAGTGCGCAGCTGTGAGAATATCTATATGTCGTAGGGATTCTGCTCGTGCAGACTGCTCCAGATGCCTCTGGCCGACGGCGTGACACTGACGACCGGGTCTCGTTTGAGAGGTTTGATTTTAGCGCCCGTAGACTCTAATATCAGTTTGACTTTGGAGACGATGCCGTTTTCTTCGAGTCCGATGAGGGAGATGACCTTGTCCCTGTTGTTGACTACTCGAGCGTCAGCAAAACCACGTTGAAGAAGTGCCGACAAGGTTTGACATACGATATAAACCTCGAACGACTGGCGGTTTATGCGAGCGAGTCTTTACGACGACTTCGACGTGAGGATTCGCCCTGGCCAAGTCCTCGACGTGAGTTAAAAGATAGGATCTCGTGCGGGCTGATTGCTCGCTGCGTTCACAATACTCAAAAACGAGTTTGCGAAGCGGAGGAACGTAGAGGTTGTAGCCATTGCCCTGGCTCGACACGAGCTGCGAGGCCGGGACGGGTCTAAAGGCAGGTTCGAGTTTTGTGGGTCGTGGACCTTGTTTTCGAGGGGGTGGAGGTCGGATTCGCAGTCTTGTGACCGCTTTTGCGGTAGGCTGGGCAGTTGACATGGTCAAGGACGGGCTCAACAGACACCAGTACTCATTATACAAATATCATTCTATTATTCCTCCTCGGGATCCTCAACGACAATGGGGAATGTCCATGGACGAGTGTCGAGTTCGGAATCAATTTCTGCCCAGGCTTGATCTTCGTCATGGGGTAGAGCGGCCTCTTGTGCAGCGGTCTTGCCTAGCATGATTCGTCCACCGCTCTCTGGTCCAACGAGTTTCTGCGGGTGCCCAATGTCCACGTCTGCGTCCTCTTCTGCCTTTGTTCTTCGTTCGGCTTCCGCTTTATCCTCCTATGACACTGGTTAGTCACCATAAAGAAGAAGAGGGTCTAAATACCTGGTCAAACTCTGTCTCCTTCTCGACATACTCTACATTCTCGTCCACCTCTTCAAACTCTGCTGCAAACGCCGACCATTTCATTTTTGGAATATTACCCCAAATATAGATATTGCCAAGCGTCGATACGCTCAGCCACTCGGACAAGTGGGGATGCCACTAGGGAAGTTCAGTTTGGTGGCGAAGGGGAGACTGGACGGCATACATCCAAATCAGAAAGAGGCTCCTTTCCGTTCTCCATCGTCTTTAGATATTGACCACCTGCTGCTACGTCCCAGACAAAGACCTCGTGAGAGTTGGCGGTATCAGAACCTAAACGAGATCAGGCACCGGTATAAGGTTGATGGGAAGCTCGTACCCGCAAAGAGATGCTCTCCGTCGCCCGCGAACATCATTGTGCTCCAACGGGTTCGAGCAATTGTGTCTGTCATCCGAGCAATAGGCTCAATGGTTTCCGAGTGCGCAGTCGCTGAAAGCAAAGCTGAGATATAGAATATGCGAATGTTCCTGTCTCCGGAATTGGTCGCCAAGTATCTAGAGTTCATCAGCATTTATTCTCGGAACCCTTCCGACGGGCCGTACCGACTGCGGGGATCGCAACTAATATTACGAATGGCACCAGCTCCAGGTATTTTGATTCTGTTAACGAGCTAATAGAATGAGTGCGCAAATTCTTGGTTTAGAGGCGACTCTCACCAGCTTTGTACTGCAATTGAAGATGACAATGGCACCATCAGAACTTCCCAAAAAGATCAAGCTCCCATTGGAGGAGAATGTTGCACATTGCACGTTGACACTGAGGTAGTTGAATACTAGTCACACGGAACTGCAGACAACGTACCGATGAGACACGGCATCCTCGACCACAGGAAGACGCAAGTCCGCCCTCGGTATTTGTCCTGGTCTTCGATCCACCACAAAGGCTTCGCCCGTTGCAAGGATTGCAAGGACAACATTGCTAATGGCTGAATGGGTGAGTTCAATACCTGCGCAGTCGACAATAGAACCACACCTATTCAACGGGTGAAAGAATGCGCTAACAACCGGCGCATCAAATCGAATTGTGTGATACCGCTGTGGAGGTTCGGAACGCGAAGCCAGATCCCAGATTACTACGTTCCAATCGCGCGAAGCGGAAAGAAGAAAACGAGAATTTCGGGACCAACTGGAGAATAGTTGGCGAGAAAACCGTGATTGACAATCACTGTCGACTCACGATAGACCGGTAATGGCCCGCACATGACCTTCAAAGTTGCGTACAACGGCTTGCGTAGCTAGATCCCATAGGAAAACACTGCCGTCCCGTAGACCTGCTGCCACAAAACGCCCGGTTTGATCGAAGCGGGCAATAACCGCGCCAGAATCGAGCGTTGCGCGGACGGTCGAGGGCAAACTCTGGGTCTCGAAAGGATCTGGAAATGGCCGCTGGTCAGATTGAAATACCCAGTGCATGTACAGGTCTCACTGAGAAGCGAAACGTTCATCCGCCAAATGTGGTCAGGTGCAACTCAGACCCTTTCTCATTGAACCCGCCATGGTTTAGCGCATAGTTAGGCATCAAATCCAACTTTAACGTGTTCAAACCCGCTGCAACACTATCTGTAGCAATTTTTAGACATCGATCTCTCGTCGCTGGTCCTTGAACCAGTCTGTCCCTCTCCCGTGGCAATGACAACGATCATCGATCAATGAAATTGCTGCATCGAAGATCTATGCAGCACTGAGTTCAGCTGCGGAGGCGGCCCGTCAATGATGCCTGTTCCTCGCTATCAATTTCAAGTTTAGAACGCATTTCGAGTAAATATAATTGTTGCCATTTGTCCAGTGTCCACTAGAGACGCCCTTCTGCCGAAGAATGAGCAGTCGTCAGGTGAGTAAATCCGCAGCACAAACCAATTATCCATCTTCTTCGGTCGCGAAGATTTGCCAAGGATGATCACGCTCGTCGTCCTTAATGTGCCAACCAACTGTAGAGGCTTCCAGCCAGGAAGCGTGGCCCTTCGCGCCTATCGAAGCATGGCAACATATTTCACATGGAGTATCAAGGCTTGACAGCTAGCCCGGGTAGGCTCCTCCGATTTGGAGCCATTGCACCTGGTCGAGCCCAAATCATCGGTGTATTTCCGTTGTAAATGATGGGAACGCTCATAAAAAGGCCCTTCGACGAGTTTCCTGGTCTTTCTGCACCATTCCACTCGTTAATATGAAGATCTCCGTCGGATTTGCCTTATTGCTACCCTCATTTCCAGCGCAAACGCTGTGAGCGAGTGGGGTCAGGTACGTTCTTCATGCGCTATGATGTGTTCAAACTCATCCCTTTTAACACATCCTCTCAGTGTGATGGAATCGGCTATGGAACCAAAGGTAAGGCGCCGCCACCTGCAGTAAACTCGCGCTTATTGCTCCTTAGCTTGTGACTCTGGCCTGGTCTGTGTGTACATCAACGACTGGTACAGCCAGTGTCAGAAGGTAAATTCTATCACGGATCTCTTCATCGAAGTTGACGCAGTCACAGGGGACATCCACCTCCACTCGCCAGTCGTCGTCATCGACCACCACTCGCCCAACCTCCAGTAACCCTCCGACAAGCACCGTAGCTAGCTCCACCACGAGTGGTAGCACGTCGACTGCAACCGGTCTCGGTGCCCGCATGAAGGCGAAGGGCAGGCTCTACTTGTAAGCCCTGCATTCAGAACCCATGTTAGAGACGCTCGCTGACATGTTTATTCAGTGGTACTTGCGTATGAAATTCATCCTCAATGCTTGTTTGAGCTTACCTTGTCTCCATAGGCCGATTCTGGAACTCTCAGCAATACCCAGAACTCCAACATCATCAAGGCTCAATTCAACCAGTTGACTCCAGAGAACTCGATGAAGTGGGACACCATCGAGTCGTCTCAAAACAACTTCAATTTCAATGGAGGCAATACGCTGGTCAATTTTGCCCAGTCCATCGGGGCCTATGTCCGTGGTACGTACAAACCGCCATGCCGATCTTTGGGTATTGACAATAACGAAAAAAAAACACTAGGTCATACCTTTGGTACGTCTTCCACCGTCGGAAAAGTTTACGCGCTCATCAAGAAACTTTAGTGTGGCATAGTCAGGTATGGCGACATTGGGTACGACAGACGAGCACTGACGCCCGGTAGCTCCCAAGCTGGGTATCTAGCATCAGCAACAGTGCAACATTGACCAGTGTCATCCAAAACCACATCACCAAGGAAGGTGGCCAATGGAAGGGCAAAATATATGCTTGGTACGACGTCTCCTATTCCTTTGGCACTGGTTAACAATTGTCAAGGGACGTGTGCAATGAGATTCTTAACGAAGGTCAGTGATTATGCTCCTGTTTTCTCAATACTTACTCTAGACGATCAAGATGGCTCCATGCGTAGCTCGGTGTTCTACAATGTCCTCGGAGAGAGTCGGTGTCTATGTGGTGCTATATAGGTGACAAACTAACACGCCCTTAGACTTCGTTTCAATTGCTTACAACCAGGCACGAAGCGTAGATCCCAACGCCAAGCTGTATATCAACGTCGGTGCAATCATTCACGGTATACTCGCTCCTGACCATTGGTACTAGGATTATAATCTTGACAGCGCAAGCTATGGGAAAACGACAGGCATGGTCTCTCGTGTCAAGAAATGGAAAGCGTACGTGATACCGGTCAAATATTTGACTTGGTCTAACGGAATTTCAGTGCAGGGGTTCCAATCGATGGTATTGGGTACGATCTTGGTGATGACGCGCGCTATTCGACTGATCGTTTTCAGTTCGCAAGCCCATTTGTCGTCCGGCGGCGCTGGTGGGGTACAGGCTGCTCTTGCGGCTCTCGCCGGTACCGGTGTTAGCGAAGTCGCTATTACCGAGCTAGATATTGCAGGAGGAGGAGCAAATGACTATGCCACGGCGGTGAAGGCTTGCTTGGCTGTCTCTACCTGCGTTGGTATCACCGTCTGGGGTGTCAGCGACAAGGATTCGTGGCGCTCGAGTACGACTCCTCTGCTTTACGATAGCAACTACCAGCCCAAGGCCGCTTTTACTGCTGTCATGAATGCATTGGCCTAAAGATAGGCACTGCATGCCACTATTGTTCGGAAAGGTACTTCTCTTGCCCGCCTTTGAATTATACCATCTTCATAGAACCCAGCCGGCACCTGAACGGAAACTTATTGCACATAGCGCCACACTGCAAGTCGTGTGAAGTACTTGCATCTCGGGGGAGTGCTTTGGAGGCGAATTCATATCCAACGACATAATTTGAAGCATCCATAGATCGGTCGACATACGCGGGCGCAGGTTCATCTGGAGTCAACAAGAAGGCGAGAGCATGTCAGGATTCTGCCGAAGAATTTAAAGCGAGGCTTAAACCCAGTAGGTCCACTATTATCTCCCTGGGTCCATGTGATACGTAGCAGACTCGAGGATCGACGTCCTAGGCAAATGCATTGGTAGGATGTTGTTGCCTTTCGTGTCCATATCAACGCTCACATCGAGGTCTAGGGTCAATAGTATCATCCATTCATCCATGAGAACCCGATAATAGCTTGAAACATAGCTCGAGCGGCCAAAGTCGACCACAACCACAAAGATTGGGAGGCGGCAAGGGCGAATAACCTTTGGATAACTTTCACCCAGACACTATTGCATGTGACTAATCCTGTGTCACGCAAAGCTCTCTCTGAGCACCGATTCCCGACTTTTGGATATTTACAGCTTCGGAAGCGAGGCACTTATGCTCAACTTGGTCAATCGAGAGGTAGCCCGTATTATGGGCAACTGGACCCGATGCATGTGTAAATTCCAACTTGATTTCAAATCAAGAATGGACGCCTATACTATACATACGGTGCTGCCGCGGCACAGCGCGGATCAACTACTGTCGTTCTTCCCCCGGATTTTTCCAGAAGCTACACAGGAGCAAAAGCCCGTGATCGATGCCTTGAAATAGGTTCACCTCTTGAACAGATAAAACTCTTCAACTTGGCGCAGAATTCCTGCCTCGACTATCATTCAATGGCAGGATCGAGATAAAGAAGAGCCCAATGCCTGTAGCACTCCGATTCTGCAGGTTAACCCCAGCGATGAACAGACATGATCAGCTTGGCAGGGGTTCCAGACCTTTTTCCGAGATATGAGCAGTCGTCAGGTGAGTGAGTCCCAACACAATGTGCAACCCATCCAATTGCCAATTTATTTCGATTGCGAAGATTGATTGTTGACGTTTGCGCACAACAGTTTGGAACAGATTCTTACGAGCGGTCAGGAAGGGTGCCGCCATGATATATTTCCTACCAGGGGAAACTTTTCTCTGTCAATAGCGATGCATCACGAAGCTATTTCACATGCGCTAGCGATAAAGTCTCGCCCAATCGGTAGAATCAACCCGCGTCAACAATTGTCAGCCATTGAGCCAGCCAGCACGCGTATCGTCGGTATATTTCCGTGTCGGACACTCGATTTGCTTATAAGGAGAGCTCCAATTCCCAAGAGAACCTCGCCATCTTGGTAACACCCTCCTTTCTTTAACATGAAGGTCAGCGTTGGATTCGCTCTCCTTGCCACCCTCATTTCCGGTGCAAATGCCGTCAGTGAATGGGGCCAGGTGTGTTCTTCGTATGAAATACCGTATCTCAAGATATAACCGGAGCGTCTCATAGTGCGGCGGACTGGGTTACGGAGATAGACGTAAGTCAGGTTTGCGAGCGCATAAAGTGAGCTCATCACATGGTAGCCTGTGACTCTGGGCTTGTCTGCGTCTATTTCCATGAGTGGTACAGCCAATGCCAAAGGGTGCGTGGCGCGGAGTGAAACTAGCGCGCCTTTGACAGGAGATCCAGGGAACTTCCACCCAGCAACCTACATCTACCCAAGGAAACCACATCTACCCAGGATCCTACATCCACTGAGGACCCTACGTCAACAGAGGACCCTACGTCAACAGAGGACCCTACGTCTACCCCACAATCCACATCTACCACCACCTCGACAAGTACGAGTACTACCGTTGTGCCACTCGCCACTAGCCTTGCTGGACGTATGAGGGCAAAGGGCAGGCTCTACTTGTGAGCTCCATTTCTAATCGTAGTCAATGACACCAGCTAACACATTTATTAGCGGTACATGCGTCAGTGTCGCCAATAATATAGCTAGATCATTGGTTAAAGCCTTCTTAGATCGACTCATACAACATGAACAATAACCAACTGACCAGCATCGCCAAGGATCAGTTCAACCAGTTCACTGCGGAGAACTCGATGAAGTGGGATGCCATCGAGAGCTCTCAGAATAACTTCAATTTCAACAATGGCAACTCGGTTGTGAACTTTGCACAGAGCATCGGCGCCTATGTCCGTGGTACGTAGAACTTGATTTTTACTAGCATACCGTCCAAACTAACATGCGCTTCTTAGGCCATACGTTCGGTAAGCTTCACCAGTCACCTCTGGTACGGGTGTCTGACTACGAATCGATCAGTGTGGCACAGCCAGGCACGTCTTGCTACCTATAAATTGTATGCGTATTAACTCTTTGATAGCTTCCCAACTGGGTTTCATCCATCAACAATCCCAACACGCTCACGAGCGTGATCCAGAACCACATAGACAAAGAAGGTGGTCAATGGAAGGGCAAGATCTACGCCTGGTACGGACACATTCATTTTCTTAGGGCTATGTCATTGACAACAATCAGGGATGTGTGCAATGAAATCCTGAATGAGGGTAAGTGACACACTCCCTGCAAGCAAGTATTTGACTTCCTCAAGATGGATCTATGCGCAGCTCTGTCTTCTACAACGTTCTCGGAGAAAGTGTGTATGCGCCGCCATTATGCGTATCTTACTGAGTAATCCTTAGACTTTGTCTCAATCGCATACAACCGTGCACGACAGGTCGACCCCAACGCCAAGTTGTACATCAATGTAAGCTCCTACTGCCTACTCTCGGCGAGCGATCCACCAAAGGGGGTACCGTCTGAACATGATTTCAGGACTACAATCTGGATTTCCCCGACTACGCAAAGACGACTGGTATGGTTTCCCGTGTCAAGAAATGGAGATCGTATGTATCTAGGCGGCCCAAGCTCTCACCCCTGACAAATTTGTAGCGCTGGCGTTCCCATCGACGGAATCGGGTAAGGTAATCCGGTCTCTGAACTACAAATAGCTTAGTCGCCATTAGCTCTCAGGCTCACTTGAACTCTGGAGGTGCTGGTGGCCTTCAGGGCGCTCTTGCCGCCCTCGCTGGTACTGGTGTAGGCGAAGTTGCCGTGACGGAACTCGACATCCAAGGTGGCGGAGCCAATGACTTTGTGATTGCAGTCAAGGCTTGTCTCGCAATCTCCAACTGTGTGGGCATCACCGTTTGGGGTATCAGCGACAAGGATTCGTGGCGTTCGAACACGACACCGCTGTTGTATAACAGCAACTACCAACCTAAGCAAGCCTACTACTCTGTCATGGACGCGTTAGCGCAGGGTACAACCACCCAGCAGCCCACTTCCACTCCGCAATCTACGTCTACCCAGCAACCCACGTCTAGCAACACTCCGACAAGCACAAGCACCAGCGTCACTTCGAATGCCACTAGCCTCGCTGGACGCATGAAGGCGAAGGGCAGGCTCTACTTGTGAGCTCCATTTCTGATTGTGGCCGACGAGAGGCACAAATTGACCTATTTCTCAGTGGCACGTGCGTCAGTATCATCGATGCGCCTCTAGATAGATCATGGATTAAAGCTTTCTCAGATCGATTCGTACAACATGAACAACGGCCAACTCACCAACATCGCCAAGGCTCAATTCAACCAGTTCACTGCGGAGAACTCGATGAAGTGGGATGCCATCGAGAGCTCTCAGAATAACTTCAACTTCAACAATGGCAATTCGGTTGTGAACTTTGCACAGAGCATCGGTGCCTATGTCCGTGGTGCGTAGCACTTGTCTCTCAATACTACAAGCGTTTAACTAACATGCGCTCCTTAGGTCATACCTTTGGTACGCTTCCCACTTCCACATCAGACGAAGATTCACTCACCATTGAATGAATTAGTATGGCACAGCCAGGCACGTCTTGCGGCCTATACATCGTATGCGTATTAAATCTTTGATAGCTTCCTAACTGGGTTTCGTCCATCAACAACCCCAACACGCTCACGAGTGTCATCCAAAACCACATCGACAAAGAAGGTAGCCAGTGGAAGGGAAAGATCTACGCATGGTATGTAACCGTGTATCTCTTGATCATACTACTGACGAGTGACCAGGGATGTGTGCAATGAGATCTTGAACGAGGGTAAGTGACGCCATCTCTGCAGACTAGCGGTTGACTCTCCTTGAGACGGATCTATGCGCAGCTCTGTTTTCTACAATGTCCTTGGAGAGAGTGAGTACGCATTCCCGTTGCTTAATTGTGCTAAGTACCGCCCAGACTTTGTCTCTATCGCATACAACCGCGCACGGCAGGTCGACCCCAATGCCAAGCTGTACATCAACGTAAGTAGTGGATTATCGTGTATTCTTCCGCCAGACTGCAACCGGCAGTCGCTGCCCATCCAAGAATTGCTTGCTGACCACTATTTCAGGACTACAACCTAGATTTCCCCAACTATGCCAAGACAACGGGCATGGTATCCCGCGTCAAGAAGTGGAGATCGTATGTTTCTTCGATAAACCCATGGTCCCTCTTTTAACAGATTTGCAGGGCTGGTGTTCCTATCGACGGAATTGGGTAGGTGGATTCAACTCTTCCACTTCAAGTCACTTAAATCGGGCCCAGGACGCAGGCTCACTTGAACTCTGGAGGCGCCGGTGGCCTTCAAGGCGCTCTTTCCGCCCTCGCTGGTACTGGTGTAGGGGAGGTTGCCGTGACGGAACTCGACATCCAAGGTGGCGGAGCCAATGACTTTGTGACTGCGGTCAAGGCTTGTCTCGCAATCTCCAACTGCGTGGGCATCACCGTTTGGGGTATCAGCGACAAGGATTCGTGGCGTTCAAACACGACGCCGCTGCTGTATGACAGCAACTACCAACCTAAGCAAGCCTACTATTCCGTCATGAACGCGTTGGCATAGGCTACCTTTGCTGGGCAAATACCATGGAGTGCTTCCGGCTCAAAGCCGCACAAGGGGTACCGTCCTAGATCAATAAGGTATTCACCTTGCTCGTCTTTGAATTATATTGCCTTTATCGATTCCAGTTGGCCGTCTGAACGGTATGGTACGCCTCGCGACTCGTATAGACTTCTCGTTTCGAAAAGACGCTGCTCATCACCAATGAGTATCCGGAAATCTGATTTAATTTATCTATAGAACCCTCAAGGCGCGCAGTTACAGGCCGATCTCGGTGTTAAATTGGACAACGACAGGTTATACCGACATATCCAAATTGAATGTTCATTCTGACGAGTGCAGCATCTCCAGGTGCTCGTACTAAGGCCCAATGTTTACGGGCAAGTCTTCATTCCTTTCAAGTAGGCGCGCTGACATCTTGTTCATGTCGCCAAAGGTCCATGAATTGCTAATAGTAGCCTCTTCAAGGTGGTGAACGACGTTCGAGACCAGGTTTAAAGACCGACTACAGACATCGCCAATGCCAACTTGGTGGGGGCCCAATTATTGTGTGTCCGGTGGCTATTCTTGGTTACCAGCTCTCTAGTTTATGGGACTGATGCCGTCGCAAAAAGATGGCTCTGAATTATTGACAACTGCACCCGACGAATGGGCAAGGTTGAAACCTGATTTCAAAATCGAGAATAGAGGCCGCCGCCGACTACGTCGACGGCGCTGCCACAACAACAGGCTCGGATCAATTACTGGCGTTCTTCCCTCGGATTTTCCAGAGACTCTACGGGAGGAAAAAACGCTCTGTGGGATCCTTGGAGCACCTATAACGTACAACTCCCTCGCCTTAATGCGAATATTTGGTTTCGACTGCTCCTCCAACGATAGGATCGGAATAAAGAAGAATCCAGAAAGTTTGAAGGCTCCGGCAGCCCACCGGTTCCTGACTGGCTGTGCGCCTCGCACGAACAAGTGCAACTTCATCCGCCGAGTCCTCGCTAATAATATCTTCTTGGCATGGGCTCAACATAGCCAGAACTTTTAACGGGGACTAAGTATCCACTAGCCACGACCTTTATCCGAGATATGAGCAGTCGTCATGTGAATGAGTTCATGCGCAATGCGTGAGCCATCCAATTACCAATTCTTTCGATTGCGAAGGCAGCTATTGACATTCCGAACAATATTTGGAAACTTGTGTACAGGATGGCTGCCATTGCCGTATTTTTCCTACAAGGGTGGAGCTATTTTCTGTCAACAGCAACGTATCACGAGGATTTTTCACATGCGCCAACGATGAACAATCGGTAGAACTGCCCCACATCAACAATTTTGAGCCATTGAACCAGCCAGCACGCGTGTCGTCGGTATATCTCCGTCTCAAACACTCGATCTACTTATAAGACAAGCTTCCATTCCCAAGAGGAGCTCACCATCTTGGTTTATCTCTCCTCTCGTTCACATGAAGGTCACCGTCGGATTCGCTCTCATTGCCACCCTCATTTCCGGAGCAAGCGCTGTCAGCGAGTGGGGACAGGTACGCATTTGATCTAATAGGCTTCATCCAAGTGTGACGGAGCTCCTTGTAGTGTGCTGGAATTGGCTACGGGGATAAGCGTAGGTCGCGCTTACCTGCGTATGATGAGAGCTAAACATGCGATAGCCTGTGATTCTGGACTGGTTTGTATCTATATCAACGACTGGTACAGCCAATGCCAAAAGGTGTGTACCGCGGAACGATTCTGATGTGTATTGTGACGTGAGGGCCAGGGAACATCAACCCAGCAGTCTACGTCGACGCGGCAACCCACATCCACCCAGCAACCCACTTCTAGCAACAACCCGACGAGCACGAGTACCGGCAGCACGTCAAACGCTACCAGCCTTGCTGGACGCATGAAGGCCAAGGGCAGGCTCTACTTGTGAGTGTCATCCCTGAAGGCAACCACAAAGATTATGCTGACATTCTTCCTAGTGGTACCTGCGTCAGTCCTACCAATCATTCTAAGGCCCCCTCAATTATTGAACCTTTCTCAGATCGACTCCTACAATTTGAATAACAACCAACTCACCAGCATCGCAAAGGCGCAATTCAATCAGTTCACCCCCGAAAACTCCATGAAGTGGGATGCGATCGAGAGCTCTCAGAATAACTTCAATTTCAACAATGCCAACCAGGTTGTCAACTTTGCACAGAGCATGGGTGCCTTGATGCGAGGTACGTATACGCATTTGGTTCTCAATATGTCAACCGTTTAAACTAACATACATATTTACAGGCCACACCTTTGGTAAGCTCCATGTCTCACGTCTGAGACAAGCTCATTGACTATTTATCGAACAGTGTGGCACAGTCAGGCACGTCTTGCGACCCATGCATCATGCATATATTAACTCCGTTTCAGCTTCCCAACTGGGTTGCATCTATCAATAACCCCAATACCCTCACGAGCGTCATTCAAAACCACATCGACAAAGAAGGTAGCCAATGGAAGGGAAAGATCTACGCCTGGTACGAAACCATTCAGTCTTCGCGAGCTATCTTACTGACGAGCGACTAGGGATGTGTGCAATGAGATCCTGAACGAGGGTAAGTGACTCTACTACTCCACATAATAATGGCTGATTGTCCTCTCAAGATGGCTCCATGCGCAGCTCCGTCTTCTACAATGTTCTCGGAGAAAGTAAGTATCCATTGCGGCTATTTGAATAATGCTAAGTAGCTACCAGACTTTGTTTCCATCGCATACAACCGCGCACGACAAGTCGACTCCAACGCGAAGTTGTATATCAATGTAAGCTCCTGACTTTCTGCGAGCGGTCGGAACCTAGGGAACCTTCTCACCATTACTTCAGGACTACAACCTGGATTCTGCCAACTATGGAAAGACAACCGGCATGGTCTCTCGCGTCAAGAAGTGGAGAGCGTACGTTTCTAGTAGACGACTCGTGTTCCCAACCTGACGAAATTACAGCGCCGGCGTTCCTATCGATGGAATTGGGTAAGTTATTCTAACTAATCGTTACACTGCGAATGACTCAAGTTTCGTCCAGCTCGCAGGCCCATTTGAATGCTGGAGGTGCTGGTGGTCTTCAGGGTGCTCTCTCTGCGCTCGCTGGAACTGGAGTTGGAGAGGTTGCTCTCACAGAGCTGGACATTGCAGGAGGCGGAGCCAATGACTTTGTGACTGCAGTCAAGGCTTGTCTCGCAATCTCCAACTGCGTGGGCATCACCGTTTGGGGTATCAGCGACAAGGATTCGTGGCGTTCAAGTACGACCCCGTTGTTGTATGACAGCAACTACCAACCCAAGCAGGCCTATTACTCCGTCATGGACGCGTTGGCGTAAGCTAGGAATGTAGCCCTGATACCTACAAGCATTTACCTGTCACACTCGCTTCTCAGTCCATCGTCTTTTATTCTCAGTGTTCCGGTCGAGGGTGGTGATTTGTATGTTGAGCCAAGCTCCCTCTTTGATCTATTTCGATGACACACGCATACAGTTCTTAGAGAAGTCAGGATATATACAATGAAGTTTCCTTGGCAGTCCCGCAGTCCGCAGTCAGTCAATCCAAGAAGAGAGCGAAGGTATTCACCGAAATAATGAAGTCCAACCTACCATCCGCACTTTCCGGCTAGAGCGTGACGTTTATCGCTTATGCAGTCGTCCCCACTGCATGTAAACTACGTTGGCCCACCACCTGCTTAGCATCACGTATTCTAGCGGTATTTATTATCGTACGGTTGTAATTTTGTACTGATTCCTTGCAGGATTCACCGAACCCCCTTTTCTCCGAGGTTGTCTTGTGACGATCGGCCTCTTCAAACCTCAACTGAACATCCTGTATTCCGAAGGAAGGCATACGACATGATTTGCATCGACTAGTTATTCGGTTTCCAGGAGCACGTAGGGAAAATGATGCCGGCCCGGAGCCGTCAACGCTTCTTGAAGCAAAAGGGCACTATTTTTAGTTTCAGAGTCCGGGGTAGCACCGTTTATGCGTTCCTATCAACTAAAAGGGTGCGCTCTTATCGGAATTTCCCTTCCAGCAGGGATCCTCGACGTATATAAAGCGGTTACTCGTCGCCCAGGACCCTTATCCGCTTAGCCAGCCATGAAGACCTCAGTTGGACTCGTTTTCCTCGCTACACTCATTTATCACCCCTCAGTTGTGCTCGGTGTAGCAGAGTGGGGACAGGTACGTTCGCCATCCGTTGGGTCGTTCACAGTTATTTTGACACTGTTCCCTTTCAGTGTGGAGGTCTCACCTACACTGGAAGCAAGAGTATGTCTGACTAACCTTACCGAGCTGTGGAACGCTGACCCGCGCCAGCTTGTGACGCTGGACTGGTCTGCACGTACCAAAATGACTACTACAGCCAGTGTCTCAAGGTATGCCTTCGAATTGCTGCGATATTAGTCTCTTACATGTTTCAAGGGTTCTAGTACCCAGCCAGCAAGCAGCAGTAGCAGCAGCAGCCGTCCGGCTACCTCGACGACGACGAGTAGCACTGGAACGGCGACTGGTGGCCTTGGTGCACGCATGAAAGCAAAGGGCAAGAAATACTTGTGCGTCTATGTCCTCTACTACGTCCGGTGGCTAATAAACTCGAAGTGGTACTTGTGTAAGCACCAGAGTGAATTAGACACCTTCAGTACCGAAGCTAATGCATCGTAGGCTGACGCGGGCACCCTTTCCAATACGGCAAACGCCAACATTATCAAGGCACAATTCAACCAATTGACTCCCGAGAACTCGATGAAGTGGGACTCCACTGAGAGCTCCCAAAACAATTTCAATTTCAATGGAGGCAATACTCTTGTCAACTTTGCTCAGTCTATCGGTGCTTATGTTCGTGGTACGCTCACCTCGCTTACTCCGATATTCTTCGTTCACACTGCCTAGGTCATACATTTGGTAAGAATTTCCCAACTACGACCGGCTCATCGACTGATCCATGGCACTTCTAGTGTGGCACGGTCAGGTATATCTTTGACGATTCTGTCGGGTTCCACTTCTCATTCCTGGCTAGCTCCCTAGCTGGGTTTCCAGCATCTCGAGCAGCAGTACCTTGACGAGCGTCATCCAAAATCACATCTCAAAGGAGGGAAGTCAGTGGAAGGGAAATATCTACGCATGGTATGGGCTATTTTTGTCATTCGGCAGCCCTTGACCGGCGTTCAGGGACGTTTGCAACGAAATTCTCAATGAAGGTGAGTCATCCTACTCCTTTCAATGGTTATTGACTACTCAAAGATGGATCCATGCGTAGCTCCGTCTTCTATAACGTCCTTGGAGAGAGTGAGAAGACATAAACGTGTTGAAGTGGATAAACTGACGTATTTATAGACTTTGTTTCGATTGCTTTCAACCAAGCTCGTTCCACTGACCCGAATGCAAGACTGTATATCAATGTACGCGGACCGGTAGCGCCGCACCAGAGACTAAATCTTATATAGGACTACAATTTGGACAGTGCCAGCTACGGCAAGGTGACCGGCATGGTCTCCCGTGTCAAAAAATGGAAAGCGTGAGCCCATCTTATCCAAGACTTGCTTGAATTTGGCTCTGACCTCTTCCCAGAGCCGGTGTGCCAATTGACGGCATTGGGTGAGGAAGGTTTTGGACGCATTAGTTCGCTCACCTTGTTATAGCTCTCAGTCCCATCTCGGCGCTGGAGGTGGAGGAGGTACACAAGGTGCCCTCACTGCTCTCGCCGGTGCTGGTGTCAGCGAAGTTGCCCTCACCGAGCTTGATATTGCCGGTGCAGCCGCAAACGACTATGTAACCGTCGTGAAAGCATGTTTGGCCGTCTCTGCCTGTGTCGGCATCACGGTATGCGTCTCTATACCTCTAATAACCACTTCCTTGACCAATCCTAGGTCTGGGGTGTTAGTGATAAAGACTCTTGGAGATCCAGCTCGTCTCCTCTACTCTATGATACCAACTACCAACCAAAGGCAGCCTATAGTGCCGTGCTGAACGCGCTGGCCTAAAGGAATCTGATACCTGTGAGACTCACTCCTGTCTGTCGTTGCTGAACAGTGCTTCCTTTTGATCAAAGATGAATATTTGAGCGGTGAGGGACCCTTCCCTCCCTCCAGACCCTTCTTCCTCAATCTCATCAACGAACTCTCAAAATTTTCCTTAAGGATTATGATCATGTCAAGTATGACTTGCGATAGTTCACCAACCAAGCGAGCTACGCACCGACAGATTTCTGGCAGTACCTGAAACACGGCTTACGCACCAGCAGACTTTGTGCAAGCTTACCAGTAGGAGCCCGGACTGACATCGACCATTTATGAGGCGACGAGGCGCCCGTACTCTATAAGTATTTGCCACGAACGACGTTGGTTTCCTTTGCCAAGCCGCCTTTATCCGAGGTTGTCTGCTCCCCGTAGGCCTCGACTCAATTGCCTAGAAACGGACCGCTTCCCATCAAGACTCATGTCAACAACTCGGAGATTTACAGGCCGGGTGTTGCGTCGAAATTTCATAGCCCGCTCTCGGACGCCCCGCGACTTGTATTACAGGATCAGACCGCCTGATACGACCACAATGACGGCCCGTGCTACTTATCTTGGCATCAAAAGATGTTGACTGCGTTTCAGTAGCGAAACCCCGCCAAGCCTAGTACCAGAAGCCGGAGTAGCACCGTCGCTGCGTTGACTTTGGCCATCGCTGTCGGTATATCCTCGTCCCGCAAGTCCAGCTCGATCCCATAAAAGGTGGGGTAGTCGTAGCTGCGAAACCTTGACTTGTGATCCCCTTTAGGTTTCAGCCATGAAGACTTCCGTTGGACTCGTTTTCCTTGCCACGCTCATTTCTCAATCGTCGGTTGTGCTCGGTGTACCAGAGTGGGGCCAGGTACGTTCTCTGCTCTCCAGGGTATTTCAGAGCTGCCTCTGATGGTTGTGTGCCCAGTGTAATGGAATTGGCTATACTGGAAGCAAAAGTACGCATTGAATGGTCCCCAGTCGGGCATATATACTGATAGTACAAAGCCTGCGACTCCGGCTTGACCTGCGTCTACATCAACGACTGGTACAGCCAGTGCCAGAAGGTACAGTCACTGGTATTCGCATGACAAACCGCTGAGATGCGTCAAGGGTTCAGGCAGTCAACCAACGAGTACGAGCAGCCGCCCACCAACGTCTACATCAACAAGCAATGGTGGAACAGCTACCGGTGGACTCGGTGCACGCATGAAAGCGAAGGGCAAGAAATACTTGTGCGTCTCTCCCGGGCTTCCTTTCCAGACATTGACAACCTTTCAGCGGTACCTCGGCGCGTAGCAGTCAGGAATGCATAAACCATTGATGTTAACGCGACCTTAGATTGACCACTACGACCTTAACAATTCGCGGCTGACGACTATCGCCAAGGCTCAGTTCAACCAGCTCACTTGCGAGAACTCGATGAAGTGGGATGCTATCGAGGGCTCCCAGAATAGCTTCACCTTCAACAACGCCAATCAGGTCGTCAACTTTGCAAAGAGCTACGGTGCATTGATGCGAGGTACGCCGACCTGTCTTTACCTCCGGTACTTGGTACTTACGCGTTATAGGCCATACGTTCCGTGAGTAGATGGAAACCAACAAATCGGTAATACCTTACCGACCCGCAATAGTGTGGCACGCCCAGCTCCCTACATGGGTTCAAAACATCGGAAGCTCTAGCACCTTGACCAGCGTCATCCAGAACCACGTATCCAGGACGGGTGCCCAATGGAGGGGCAGCATCTATGCTTGGTACGTAGTCCGTTCTATACGAGCGGCGACCACTAACTGAATTCTCAGGGATGTCGTCAATGAAATCCTCAATGAGGGTAAGTATTGTATGGATGACAATGCTCGTGCTAAATCTGGCCACTAGATGGCTCCATGCGTAACTCTGTCTTCTCCAGAGTTCTTGGCGAGAGTATGTTCCACCCCTGTTGTCTTGGTTTGCCTCTAATTGGAATTCGTAGGCTTTGTCAGCATTGCTTTCAATCAAGCGCGCCAGACAGATCCAAGTGCCAAGTTGTACATCAATGTGAGTTCATGTATGAGTTGACGTTCCGCGATATTGACATTCCCCAGGACTACAACCTCGTACGTATCACCGACAAGCTGAAAGCCGATGCTCATTCTGTATAGGATAACCCGAACTACGGCAAAGTTACTGGCATGGTCAGCAAAGTCAAGAAATGGAAGTCGTAGGTGTATTTTAAACCCTACCTGCTCAAATCCTCACAAAATTTGCAGTGCTGGTGCACCCATCGACGGTATTGGGTAAGCGAGACAATGCCTACGCGTAGAAGCCATATTAACGTCTATTATAGCACCCAAACACATCTTGGTGCTGGCGGTGCTGGCGGCGTCCAAGGCTCTCTCAACGCTCTCGCTGGTGCCGGTGTCGAGGTCGCTATCACCGAGCTTGACATCGGAGGAGCAGGATCCAACGACTACGTGACCGTTGTCAGGGCTTGTCTCGCTGTGTCTGCTTGCGTTGGAATTACAGTATGTGCCCACCTCATCCTTGACCTCCTCATTGACACCACATCCAGGTCTGGGGTGTCAGCGACGCCATCTCCTGGCGAGCTAACGACAATCCTCTGCTCTATGATAGAAACTATCAACCCAAGGCTGCCTACAATGCGGTCCTCCAAGCGTTGTCGTAGAGGAACTCGATACCTGTGAGATGTACCCCTCTGCACTGTTTCTGAATACCACTGTCTTTTCCGATTCAAAGATGGATATTGAGTGGTGCGACCTTCTCCGTGGCCTTACGCTATCACTGACTGCCAGAAGATGGTGATCCTCACTGCGTCCGTATGTGATTGTGCGAATTTTCTGAGCAAGAACACTTGAGAATACACAGGCATTGGCAAGCCCATGGTCCGACGAACGTGGACATATATTGGGCGACAACACCGGGGCTCGAACCGATGTTTACCTTATTGTACGGATTATACACGGGACTGCAAGTGTTTTCCCCTCTCTCTGGCAGTTGTCAAGTTCCTTTCTCCGAGGTGTCTTGTGATGGCCGGCCTCAACAACATTCGCAGCTATCCCACTTCTGAATACAAGCTGGTTAGCCGATTACGATGACATGTTTCCATCCCAGAACACAAACAGCAAAGATGGCGGGCCGTGTCTGGTCGCCATATGGTTCCAAGTGCTTTTCAAGGCTCGGTATTACTATTTTTATTATGAAAATCCGCGATAGCGCCGTTGACGCATTCACACTAGTCAAGAGTGAACATCCCGGTCGGCATTTCCTCGTCCAGTTACGGAACCTAGTCATCCATAAAATCTTTCCACTCGTAGCTCAAGCCGCACTCATCGTGATCCTCTATCATGAAGACCTCAGTTGGACTCGTTTTTCTTACTACACTCATTCCTCAGTCCTCAGTTGTGCTCGATGTAGCAGAGTGGCAACAGGTGTGTTTGCCATCCGTTGGGTCGTTCACTGTTGTTTTGACACCGTTACCGTTTATTATGGAGGCCTTGACTACACTGGAAGCAAGGTACGCATCAAATATACCACAGTAGAGTATAGATGCTGATAGCACAAAGCCTGCGACTCCGGCCTGACCTGTGTCTACGTCAATGACTTTTATAGCCAGTACCAGAAGGTATGGTCGTCGGTGTTTACAAGACAAAGCACTGAGATGCGTCAAGGGCTCAGGCGATTAGCCAACGAGCAGTAGCACTCGCCCACCAACGTCTACGTCGACAAGCAACGGTGGAGCAGCTACCGGTGGGCTCGGTGCACACATGAAAGCAAAGGGCAAGAAACACTTGTGCGTGCCAGTGCTGGTGTGCCTATTGACGGCATTGGGTAAGAGGTATTTGTGTTACACGGTTTTTTGCTCATTGGTGTAGATCTCAGTCTCATCTTGGCGCTGGAGGCGCTGGAGGGACGCAAAGTGCCTTCACTGCTCTCGCTGGTACCGGCGTTAGCGAGATCGCCATCACCGAGCTGGATATCGTCGGTGCGGGCTCAAGCGACTACGTGACCGTCGTCAAAGCATGCCTGGCCGTCTCCGCCTGCGTGGGTATCACGGTATGAGTTCCAATGCCCCCTGTGTTGAACCGCCTTGATGATGAGATTTTAGGTCTGGGGTGTCAGTGATAAAGACTCTTGAAGGTCTAGTGCATCTCCTTTACTCTACGATGCCAACTTCCAGCCAAAGGCAGCGTACAGTGCCGTGCTCAACGCGCTGGCGTAGAGGAATCTGAAACCTGTGAGGTGTAGTCTCGATCTTCGTCTCTGACCATTACTACCTTTTCTGATGAAAGATGAATCCTTGAGTGGTGAGACTTTCCGCTCCATCTGCCGCTGTATGGGACCCCGTCTTCCTCAAGATCATCAACGAACTTCAAACCATTCTTTATATATTTTCCATCACGTCAACATTCTCAATTTGCGATATTTCCCCAGCCAGAGGAGCTGAGCATGGGCAGATTACCCGAAGTACCTGAAACGAAGCTACGTACCAGCGTGCATGTCGCCTTCCATGAACAGGATTCCGTACCGACACCGACCAGTTATAACATGGTTTTAGCCAAGGGCGAGGCATGCCGGTAGGATCCAATTATAGCACACGTCGGTTTCCCTCTGCCATTTCCCGACCCACCTTTATCCGAGGTTGTCTGTTTCTCGCAGGCCTCGACTGAATTGCCAGTAAACGGACCGCTTCCGATCAAGACTTCATGTCAACAACACGGAGATTTATAGGCCGGGTGTTGCGTTGAAATTTAATAGCCCACTCTCGGACGCCTCACGACTTGTATACGGCACCAAGACCAGCTGATACGACCACCATGGCGGGCCGTTCCATTTACCATGGCATCAACAGGGACCCTAAATACGTTTCAGTAGCAAAACCCCGCAAGGATTAGTGTCAGAAGCCGGAGTAGCACCGTCGCTGCGTTGTCTTTGGCCATCACTGTCGGTATATCCTCGTCCCGCAAGTCCAGCTCGATCCCATAAAAGGTGGGGTGGTCGTAGCTGCGAAACCTTGACTTGTGATCCCCTTCAGGTTTCAGCCATGAAGACTTCCGTTGGACTCGTTTTCCTTGCCACGCTCATTTCTCAATCGTCGGTTGTGCTCGGTGTAGCAGAGTGGGGCCAGGTACGTTCTACACTTTCCAGGTACTCTGAGAGCTATCTGTGACAGCCGTATCCTCAGTGTGATGGAATCGGCTATACTGGAAGCAAATGTACGCGTTGAATGGACCTCGGTCGCACATGCTGACCGCACAAAGCTTGCGACTCCGGCCTGACCTGCGTCTACATCAATGACTGGTACAGCCAGTGCCAGAAGGTACAGTCACTGGTATTTGCATGACAAACCGCTGAGATGCGTCAAGGGTTCAGGCAGTCAGCCAACGAGCACGAGCACCCGCCCACCAACGAGCACGAGCACCCGCCCACCAACGTCTACATCGACAAGCAACGGTGGAACAGCTACCGGTGGACTCGGTGCACGCATGAAAGCGAAGGGCAAGAAATACTTGTACGTTACTCTTTCGTTAGTCTTTTGCACCGCTTACACCCCTGCAGCGGCACAGAGGTGCGTGTAGCCCAAGTAACCAATGATTCGCTAATAACAATTCGGCCTTAGATTGACTACTACAATCTCAACAATGCGCAGCTGACGAATATCGCCAAGGCTCAGTTCAACCAGCTCACTTGCGAGAACTCGATGAAGTGGGATGCTATCGAGGGCTCCCAGAATAGCTTCACCTTCAACAACGCCAATCAGGTCGTCAACTTTGCAAAGAGCTACGGTGCATTGATGCGAGGTACGCCGACCTGTCTTTGCCTCCGGTACTTGGTACTTACGCGTTATAGGCCATACGTTCCGTGAGTAGATGGAAACCAACAAATCAGTAATACCTTACCGACCCGCAACAGTGTGGCACGCCCAGCTCCCTACATGGGTTCAAAACATCGGAAGCTCTAGCACCTTGACCAGCGTCATCCAAAACCACGTGTCCAGGACGGGTGGCCAATGGAAGGGCAGCATCTATGCTTGGTACGTAGCCCGTCCATATGAATGATGATCACTAAATCGGATCTCAGGGATGTCGTCAATGAAATCCTCAACGAGGGCAAGTAGTTTGCCATTTGTCACCTCATGCTGACTTGGGCTCTTAGATGGCTCCCTGCGCAGCTCTGTCTTCTCCAGGGTTCTTGGCGAGAGTAGGTTCCGCCTCTATTTTCTTGATTTGGTTGCTAATTAGAACTCATAGACTTTGTCAGCATTGCTTTCAATCAAGCACGTCAGACCGATCCCAATGCCAAGTTGTACATCAATGTGAGTTTACGCATGAGTTAGCCTCGTATGATATTGACGCTTTCCAGGACTACAATCTCGTATGTTGCATCGACATAATTCTGGAGACCATACGGCTTATTCTATTCGCAGGATAACCCGAACTACGGCAAAGTTACCGGTATGGTCCGCAATGTTAAGAAATGGAAGGCGTAAGCATATTTTAGCCTCTTCCTATCTTGGATATTTACAAAGTTGTAGTGCCGGTGTGCCTATCGATGGTATTGGGTAAGCGAGACAATGCCTACGCGTAGAAGCCATATTAACGTCTATTATAGCACCCAAACACATCTTGGTGCTGGCGGTGCTGGCGGCGTCCAAGGCTCTCTCAACGCTCTCGCTGGTGCCGGTGTCGAGGTCGCTATCACCGAGCTTGACATTGGAGGAGCAGGATCCAACGACTACGTGACCGTTGTCAGGGCTTGTCTCGCTGTGTCTGCTTGCGTTGGAATTACAGTATGTGCCCACCTCATCCTTGACCTCCTCATTGACACCACATCCAGGTCTGGGGTGTCAGCGACGCCATCTCCTGGCGAGCTAACGACAATCCTCTGCTCTATGATAGAAACTATCAACCCAAGGCTGCCTACAATGCGGTCCTCCAAGCATTGTCGTAAAACATGTCACTCCTTTTGTATATATTTTCCCGGTCGACATTGCTCGAGAATACCAGTTCATACTTCCGCTCATTGAATCATTCCGAATGGAAAGTAACCAAGTTGATTCGCCACATCAACTTGACCGCCACCAACCCCGAGCTTCGAGACACATTACACCGGGGACGCGTCTACAAGTGACCTACGCCTCAAAATGCCTCGAGATGTTGAATTAGACCAAAATGTCTCCATTCTCACTGTGTCCCCTATGCGTAGACGGCAGGTTGGCGCACCAAAGTATATTACCGCGCGCCTGAAAAGATACGACTGCTAACAAATGGATTAGGAAGTACGTTATCTCCGATTCAGATAGCGACAACGACAAGATTCGGGCACCGAGCAAGGTTCAGAACTCCAATCGTTCGCGCGGGGCAAGCCGCGTTCAGCCAGAGGAGATGGAAATTATAGATCTTTCTTCCGACTCTGAACCTGCCGAAGTGTGCGTACTTCATCCATGTCCCTCGTAGTGGATTACTCAATGCCAGGCCCTCCAATGTCTCTAGTACCGTCAAAAGGAATATTCCAAAGGCAACAAGGCATAATAGAGGGGAAACACATCAATACGTCGACCTCCATTCCATTACCCACCTCTCCAACCAAAGTCAGGCGCAAACGTGTAGTATATTCTTCGTCAGATGAGGAGAATGACCCCAAACCATCAAAATCATCAATTTTATTCGAGCCTTCTGTCGACACCCTACATAGGCGACTTGACTTCCCCACGACTCCAGATATCCGATACGGGGAGGATGGCATGATCGATTAGTAAGTTCAGACATGTTACTATTACATACTCTCTGAACATGTGATCTAGTATTCCCTCCCCTAGAAAGCCCAGACCTCTTTCTCCTGCAAAGCAACTGGCGGAACCTGCACGTCGAAGGACCCTTCTGGAACCTGATCCAGTGGATGAAGAACTCAAGTGGGAGGTTCAGAAGGAAGCTGAGAGTGATATCATATCCGGCATGAGAGTTATGCGTCGCTCAATCGGTCACAAGGATGCCGTCGATTCTGCATCAGATGTACCTCCGCCACCCTCCAGGCCTACTAATGCTTTGGATGTAGCTGGAGTCATTGATTCTACTGAATTCGACGTGACAGAAGCTCCGCCTGCTCCTACCAAGACGCCTCGACTCAAGAAGATGCCGGATGCGGTGGCAGCATTACACCGACTCGCAATCGCCTTCTTGAAGGAAATGGACGCGGTAGTATTCAAAAACCGGCTTGGAAGTACATACCTTCCAGACCTGGAACCAGCTCCAGCCGGCCCTTCCAAGCGTCGTGGCAAGAATCAAACAGGCATCATCTATGGACTAGGCTCTCGCGGAGATTACAACGATGGGCTCGGTTCATATATAGAGCTTGTATGGAGCAACAGAATGGCTACGACTGCCGGACGTACTGATTATCGAAAGTGAAGGGAGAATACCTGTTGATGCCTTGGCTCACGTTCCATAGATCATCCAATGGAAAGACTACGACAAAGATAGAGCTGGGTGTCAAGATTTTGACCACGGAAGGTGTGCATCCTTGCAGTGGTCGACTCCAGCTTACGTCCATTTCCAGCAAAGCTAAGGAACACACTTGCACACGAGGCTTGTCATGCTGCGACATGGGCGATCAGCGAAGACTTTAAGCAGCCTCATGGAGCTACCTTCAAGAAATGGTGAGTCTTCTCAGCATTTCCTACGTTTTAGCTCATCTACCCTCAGGGCATCGCGAGTCATGGCAGCATTTCCCGACGTTGAGATTACGACGAGGCACGATTACGAGATTGAATACAAGTTCTCATGGAAATGTCTCAATACAAACTGTGGCCAAGTGTAGGTCGACTTCCCATCTGCGTATGCATGAGATAACGCCATTCAGGTATCAGCGTCACTCCAACTCGATCAATGTTGAAAAGCATGGCTGCCATTGCGGCTCTCGACTTCAACCACAGTTCACCTTGCCGGCGAAGAGGGCTCGTAAGGGCGACGAGTCTCCTTCCAAAGCCAGCCGCATGCAACTGTCAGGCGACGTCGATGCTCTAGCACTTGCTTTGAAGGTCACTAGGCTTGATTAGGCATTCGAACTTTCGGTCCCTCAAATTCTGCTACAAATACACACAATTCACATTCTTTCAACTTTCACGGTTCACTATCTATTGTTTAAGCATGGCTGCCCTCACGGTGAGGTGATTTTTAGGGGCATCAATCGAGCTCAGGTGGACCTCGTGTGTTCGACAATTGACTGTTCAAACATGTCCAAATCTCGGCTTGAACAACCTTGTCGACAAGTCTGCAGACATATCGAAGTGCAACTTTTCTATGGAGATGACTGATACGTCCAAGGACGACTGCGATAGCGCCCTGGATAGACTTCGCTTGTGGATTGTTTGTGAGTCGTGTGGTCTGCGACCTACATTCATTGGTGGTGTTCGACTGGAGAGAACATTGTTCAAGGCATCAAAAGGGACAGAGTATCCTGTTGTCTTCAACTATGGGTACGTTCACACGCCTTGCTATGACATACTGCTCATACATGTGCCAGACATGGAGGGTATGGCTACCAGAACTCTTGGGTTTGTGCAGAGCGAGCAGCAGACTTGCTTGAAGTAGCACAGATAATACTTTAGTAAAATCAATGATTATATATTGTTTTCGTCTACTGTACAGTCCACATCTAAGTCCCTCAGAATCTTGTGAGCTCCGGAGTTCCCTTAGCAGGAGGGTCACTGAAGCGGGTCTGGATGAATATCTTCATCACTTGGACATCCTCGCTGCGCTTGTCGAAGATAGGGTAGACCTTGTCAAGGTCCTGGATGTCAACGCGATGCGAAAGCATGATCGTTGGGTCCAATTCGCCACTGCGAATTTGGTCCAAGAGCTCCTCCCAGTACTTGTGAACTGGAGCCTGGCCATTCCCAATCAAGCGGATGCCAAGCTCCATTATGGCTCCGATATTGAAGTGGTTCGTGTCTATGCATCATGAGCAATAGTAATGTAGGGAGAAAGAACTCACAGCCTGTGTAGACGCCAATTATCCCTATAGATCCAAATTTTTTGACGGAGAGGATCATCTCGTTGATTGTCTCACTTGTATCATTTTCCATTCCAAGTGCAAGTTCAGCCTTTGCTCGTCAGCCAAAGCATTGTGTGATTTTACCATACTTACCTTATGAACGATACTCTTTGCATACTCGCCTGCAGCGCATTCAAGCGCAATGTCGACGCCTTTGTCCACCATCTTCCTTAGCTCGGTTGGTACACTACTGCCTTTTGGTAGTTGAGAAAAGTCGAGTGTTTCAATCTTGGGGAGTTTCTTCTTGGCCCATTCAAGACGCCAGCCAACTTGGTCGATGCCAATAACGCGTGACGCTCCCTTCTGGAAGCAGAAGAATGCCGCCATAAGTCCAATGGGACCCATGCCCCAGATGGCAACACTGTCCCCCTTCTTAACACCAGTATCGACAACGCAATGATATGACGTGCAAAGTACGTCAGAGAGGTAGAGTGCCTTCTCGTTGGGAACGTCATCGGGGATCTTGAGCAAATTAAAGTCGCCGTAGGGCATGCGGACGTATTCTGCCTGTCCACCAGCAAAGCCTCCCGTGAGATGTGAGTAGCCCAGGATTCCTACGGTGCGGTGTCCATAAAGCATGTTCTGAAGCTCGTCCGCGTTGGTGCGTTCGCAGGCTGTTGTGAGTTTTTGTTTGCAATAATAGCAATCACCACACGCAATCTATATGTAGTTAGCACGAGTGGGATAAGAATAGCGTTCAACAAACTGAGAAGGACGCGACGACGCGGTCGCCTGGTTTGACCTTGCGAATGCCTGGGCCGACCGACTCAACTTTGCCACAAAACTCGTGGCCTAAAATGTCGCCCTTTTGCATTTGCATAATAGCACCGTGGTAGAGATGCAGGTCGCTGCCACATAGCGTTGAACCGGAGACCGAAACGATCACGTCGTTGTCGTTGAGAATCTTGGGCTTGAGAGAGTCGACTGTACAGGTCAGTAATGCCTACCAACGCATTGCCAGAACGCACCAATTTGTACGCGGTTCGCGCCTTGCCAGGTAAGGGCCTTCATCTTCTCCCTGCTTGGATCTGCATACTGTTCGGGATTGGAAGCCGGGTTCGCAACGTCTGTGCGGACGTCTGCTTGTCCATCACCTTTGCGGAGAACATTTTCGAGCGCGTTTGCGGCAGCGTTCATCATCTTGGGAGTAGTTAAGAGCAAGTTGCTATCTTCATACGACAATCATGGAGCTATTTATGTAGCGATGTCATGTAGCAATGTCATCGTTGACGCAAAGGTCGATCAGGTGAACGCCCAATGACGCTAGGTGCTTTGTCAGCAATCGTCTTGAGATTTTTGGTCGGAGTTTGAAATGATTACTTGCGAAAACGCACCTATTTTGTTTTGTTTTGTTCTCGTGCAAGGGGGATCCAAGGCTTGTGTCTCGCCACGTCCACTCCCTTCTACGTTGTTCCAGCCGTTACCTCGGGGAGGATGAACAAAGTGAATGTTCAAGTGTGGTATTTTGATCTGATGAATGTTGCGTTCTGTTTTCAGTGTAGGCGGCCGTACGAGCCTGGACTGTGCATCCACTTCCCGTACGTCCAACAAACTCCTCGAGCCCCAGAGGTACATGTGCTGATATCCATTCGGTGACAAAGTCTGCGGTACCCACTGCTCACGGGCGATGTGACTTTAGTGGGACAGGGAGGGTGTAACCTCTACCAAAGCCCAGCCTCTACTGACATCGCCAAAGTTGTAACTTGCATCGATCCACGTCTAACGGTACTCCAGCCGGGCGAGGTTCAAGCATTGTATCTTCCAATCGTTTGTCCACGTCCAGCACGCATAGTAAGGCCTTTCGAATTCCAACACCATTTGCTCGACCATGGGTTACTTGCAGCGTATGTTTCAGCTTTCCACATCTATTTCGTTCCTGACGGCACTTTGCCACCCAGATTCGATACCCAAATCGGCCCAGATACTTTGCAAGAGCAATCAGTGGAAGAAATGGAGACGATCGACTGGACACCCACCACTGTCGAAGCTGGCAACGCTCTTGGATATCGGTCAAGAGCCCAACACTGCCAACACCAGCCTTGACTACTACGTCTTCCCAGTCGAGGATTTCGAACCACGACGTGGAAACGTCCGAGAACAGCGGGCTGCCACTTGTTCTGTCGATACCAAAGAAAAAGAGAAGGTTGCTCAAACGCTCCAGGACAGATTATTCACCAGCGCCTTCCTCTGGTGAATCGGGTGAGCGTGCAAGCAAACGGGCTCGCAAGGCATAAGGACGCACATCCCATCTGTTCGAACCCTGTCTGCATTGATTTCTTTTTGTTTGTCGTCTAATGATCTCCCATCGACCACTCTATTCTTCTCTTTGACGCACTCTTGTATAGATGAACCTTTCCATGTAGTTTCCATAGTACGCTCGGCGCGGTGGTCAAGTTCCTACGTCAGAGACTTCGCGAACGCAATAACAGTAGTCTGGTTGTGATGAACATGTTGGAGTGTGTCAGCATAATTCCTGACAAGGTCAGTTCAGGTGAGTGGATATTGCGTGTGCGTACGGTTCAACAAAATTCCAGTAATAAAGAAACGGCCATAGAAACTAGAAGAGATTAGACGCACTCGATGGGTCACTTTGCCTTATATAAGAAGCACTAAAGGACCATAAGCGCATATCATTTACATAGCCATGGCATAAATCCATTCGATTCGAGGTCTAGAAACGGGCACAAGCTGTCCTCTAGTGATGATGGTTCTTGTGGTGTTTCAAATGGGCTACGGGAAAGGATGAGAATGAGGACGAGGATAAATGAATATACGTACTCTGGTAGGACATGGTGTAACCAATTCCAAAGACGCCCAGAACCAGGAGGACGACGGGAGTGCCACTGGCATTTTTTCCGTTGAAATAGCGAGCTTTCAAGAATGTCAATATTCTCCTGTATCAGATTAGAACCGCACAGACCCTTGAGGCCCCAGCCGGCGGTCACTGGGTTTGGGCCTTTGGGCAGCTTGGAGTAGAAGTCGACGAGTGGTGTGAGAGATGCACCACCACCTGAAGACTATAGTGGGTTCCGGAGCGGAGCGATAGACGAATGGGCAACATGACCGCCATGTCGAATCCGAGATGTGATGAAAGACGCCAATTTGCAGGTGTAAAAATCCACAATAATGACAAAAACATGCCGTAAATAAGCATTATCGTATATTAGCCATCAATAAAGCTGATATACGGTCGTAAGAGAGACGTACGAGCGAACTAGGCGTTGCAATCTTTGGAGGGACGATGCCGCCCAAAGCACGACGGGCAAGCGAAGCACGCATCCTCTAAGATAATTTCTAGAATATTACGGTGCAGACCAGCGATGGTGGTCAGAGTTCAAAGTTGAACGGCTTAGCTAATCCGAAGCTTGTGACTTTTCGACGCTACCCCTTTGGCCAGTTGTTGCAAAAAAGTAAACCATTAAGCCCGTGTGTGACGACGACGAGATCTACAGCTCTGGATAGTACCTGTAAGCGTCGAGGATTCCCACATGCGTGCAAGAGCAACGGCTGCCTGCCGAGTTGCGCGACGAGCTTGCGTGCTGCTGGCACAAGTGTTCTTGCTATGTTTTGCTCTGTGATGATATTCATACATGCTTACTGATTCATTTTGTTTAGCAACAATCCTTCCACACGCGTTTTCAGTCTTATAGATCTAGTCTACGATCCAGCGACATTCCATGGCGCAGCAAAACGCGCGACTTCAAGCCGTCGAAGAACGCCAGCTCAAACCTATCTATGGTCAGTGCTTCTTTTGCACATCTCTACGGGACTCCGCACGTCCTCCCAAATGCTACGTGACAATACCGACGGCAAAATCTCGTCGCTGCCCTTTTCACGCGTCCAGTCCCGTCTCTGACGTGTCATGCTTTGTTTTCAGAGGCATTGGACACCGGAAATGCAAAATCCGCATTGACCCAATGCAACAAGCTCCTAAAAAAGTATCCAAGTCCACCTCCCCCAGGATCGGCTCTTTCCGCTCCAGCCAACTCTTCAACAAACTCTCGACAGCTCATCACGGCGCTGAAAATCCTCGCGCTCGTCAGAGGAAACAAGCTCGATGAGGCGAGCGCACTCACCACTGCGCTCCTCGAGGAGACACCGACAGAGGATTCGGTACTGAGTACACTTGCACACTCGCTCAAACCTCTTGATCGTCCAAAGGATATGGTGGGCATGTGGGTCAATGCCTGGAATCGCTCACAAAAAGAGTGTGACGAGATGAAGAAACGTGCCGCAAAGATCAAAGGTTCAAAGGGCCTCTTAGAAGCGGAGATCTCTTCCAAAATGCAGCAGATTGAGGAGCTAGGAGCTCAAGCGTTCATGGCCATGGTCAAGACGGGTCATTGGGCCATGGCACAGTCGACAGCCTTCAAGCTTTACCGGGCATTTGCGCCACCAAAGGGACAAGAAGAAGCCCAAGGTGAGCTCCTATAGTACTATACTCTCTCAAATTGACAACCAGCAGCTCCTCCAGCTCTTCGCTATCTCTATTGGTCTGTCATGGCTTCGCTCATGCAATCCGATCATCCCAACCCACCCCCTCCTGTGCCAGTTTTGGTCATGATTCCACCCCCAGCATCTGTTAAGGAGTGGGAGGACAATCGCAAAAAGGAAGAAGAAGAAGATCGCAAGCTCCTCGGTATGTTGACTGCATTCTTCTGAAGCACGCGATTAATAATCTCATTTCAGAGGACTATGTTGCGAAGCATGGTGCACCACCACAAACAACTGGCCCGGATCTCTCCCTCAGTCGTCGCAAGAAGCGGACGTTGGCACTCACGCTCGCTCAGCGTCTTATTGAGACCATGGTCGAAACAAAAGGTGTGCATTATTGTACTGCTTCACCTTGTGCTAAGTGTTTGATCAGAAGCAGAGGCTATCGGCCCCCAAAAAGTACTGAGAGGGATGACTGTTGAACGTCTCTGGCTATGGGGAGATGTTCTCAGAAGAATCGCAGAAGCTGGAGACCAGGATAATGGTTTGCATCATTGTGCCGCATCTGCTTCATCTCTAACCATCGTTCCAGGTCCAGCCGAGGAAAGCCGATGGTTGGTACCCAATCAGCTACTGAGCACTCCACTGGTCCATAATGTAGCCAATAACTCGCTACATCTCGAGGAACTTCGTGCCGACGTCGCTAAAAAGGCCAGCGATTGGAAACAGGAAGCAGAGACGATGGCCATGAGGCTTGACAAGGGGTAAGTATCCTATTTGGCTGAGATAGAAGGATATTGAAGCCCCTCTGTATTCTAGTAATCGAAACTGGACGACCTTCTCAACGTTTTTCGATGCTATGTTCAAGTTCTTCAAAAATGCGGGCGACTCGCCAAATCAAGACAATCTTCCTTGTCTTGTGCAATCACCAGAACCCCCTACACCCAAGCAAGAAGGCGAGGGGGCCGACACCGAGAAAACAGAACAGGAGACTACTCCAGCTCCTGAACCAACCAAGACTCCATTGACACTAGCAGAGACGCGCAAGTTTGTATACAGTCTCGCAGAGAAGGACGACGCAAAGGTGCCAACAGGCGAGAGGGCAAGTCATCTTGGTGTCCTAGAGTTTGAAAGGCGGGTCAGAAACTCTGGCCTTGCCGATGAAGGTACATATCCTAAAACAAGGGGAGGATGAGCTGATGCTGTCAATAGGTGCACCAAACTATGTGGACGCGCTGACAGCATACTTTGACATGTTTGGCACCAAAGCCGTCCTATTGGAGGACTTGCTCCCCTACGTTCGGGAGCTAGAAGGGGATGAAAAGGCCAAATGGGATGCTCATCTCGAAAAAATTGTGCAGAGCACCTCGGATTTGAACACTGTGCAGCAGACAATCAACATTCTCAAGCTTCAGAGATTAAGCAGCTCGAGTGACGCAACGACCATTGACTCGGAACTTCAGTTTGCGAAGCATTGCCTGAAGCTATACATTGAGGCGTTGCCATTGGGCAAGGAACTCGTCTCGACAGAGTTACAACCGGCCGACGACCTCGCTCTTCTCGCCGCCTCGGCACTTCTCAACGCATATTACATCCAATGTCAAGGGCAAGCACCATCTGAGGAAACCCCAGCGCTTGCACAGGACAAATTTGTGGCCCTTCTCCTTGACGCGCTCGTCGTACTGGAGCAAGGTGCCTCCAAGTCACGATGGGCGTATCCGTTCCGACTTCTACTCGTTCGACTGTATCGGCTGCTCGGTGCTCCTGCTCTCGCTCTTCAGAACTTCACCATGGCAAACCTGAAAGGCATCCAGCATGACACGCTCAGCCACCATGTGCTCTCTCGAGCAAGCACCTTTAGTCTTGGGAGCGCTGGCGATTTGAGTTTGATCAACGAGTGCGTTGAGAGCAGCCAGATATATGCTATTCATGGTGTTGATGTAAGTCCTCCGCCTGAAAGCTCGATGAGCTAAACTGATATTTGATAGGTATCTGAGCAACTGGTCAAGGCCTTCCAATTCGAACGATATTCGCAGATCGCTGAATTCGTGCTCCTCGAAGACAAGGTCGAAAACTCTTTGCAGAGGGATCTGACCAAATTGGAGCATTTTAGAATGAAGAACGTTCACGAAGGTCTGACCCCTGAGAATGTCGAAGTTGAACTTGTCGAGCTCCGCTTCGTCTGGAGCAGAAGTAAGTGTTCGCCAATCTGTCTATGCTGGCCTGACGTTATTATAAGCACATCACGACAACCGTGATTTTGCACTTCTTCCCAACTTTCAACCCCAGGGCGCCGCATCAATAGAAGATATCACGAGTATAGGTGGACGGCCTCTATCGGTTAGTATTGTACTCCAATCTGGATAGCAACTCACATTATATGCAGAAGCAATGGTTTATTACCATGCTCCAGCTGTGGATCCTCATCCTTCATGAGAGTAGCGAGCAGCTCTGGACCGAGGAAGAGCAAACCACTGTGCTCTCAAAGCTCAGGACCTTTAACGAAGCGGACCTCCAGCAATTGACCGCGGCAGAGCAACTGTTCTTCAAGTTTAGCCGCGCATGCATCGCATGGCTTGCTCCTCATCACGCACCACTCAAACATGCCGTCATGACCAACGCTGTCTCTACCCTCTCCGCAGCCAAAGCGAAGTATGCCGCAACGACCAATGGAGCTGCGGCAACAAGTGTAACGGGCGGAGTGTCGAATTCCAAAGCAAAGTCCAACATTGGGAAAAAGTCCAACGGTCTGTCCAATGGTACAGAAGGTACAGCAGCATCTGGGGGTGAGGGAGGAATCGGTGTGAAAGTTGGCGATATGAAGGTATTCACTGGCATGTTGACACTTCACGAACCCATGGAAGTTCCACCCATTCCGAAAGATCTCGGCGAACCTGTCAAAGAGCCACCTACAGAGATCCTTGATATGCTCGATGGTAAGCCGGTTTGCTTCTGCGCTCAAAATTTTGATATCTGGTAGAATTCCAAAAACTTTTCGACGATACTCTGGCCAAGCCTACAAGCCTTCCATGGGAGCACCTACACGTCGCACAAATGGTCCATGAAACAGTTTTCGTCGCTCACCTCTTGACCGCGCGATTCGCTCTTGGTGGAAGCAAGAAGAAGACTCACCCGGTATGTGAGCTGAAAAATGGGAGAGATGACATTCTGACAAGGTATCAGAGCTTCAAGCCGCTACGAGTCAAGGCAATGTCCCTACTCGAACATGCTGCGCAAGAGATCACCAAACTTGGCGACGCAATCGACTTTTCCCCTGAAACTCGGCAGAAGTGGCTTCAGGACCGTCGAAGCAGTGGCGTACTGGATATTGTTTGTCTCCTGTTAACATATGCATTCATGGATCTGATGCTTGAACAGCTACCCGACCAGGAAGTTTCACAAGTTGGCAAGACGTACCTCGAGAGCAAGAAGAAGATGTTTGAACAGCTCGGCAAAGGAATGACCAAGGCTCAACAAACGTTGCCGAAGTCTGCCGCGGGAGTACCCGCCGGAACCAACTAATTTTCTCGGATCTGATGTTTTACCACCCTTGTGTAGCCTGGGCTTCCCTTTTTGTCTTGCATGTATCGTTTGTCTCGTTGAATTTATGTCTTCACCACTTTGTCCAGAAAGCGCGGACCGTCTTCCCCTTGCCAATTCAATCTCAACTTGGAGTGCACACCTCTGAGAATTCCGAGAAAACCTTAGACAGGAAGGCGTAGGGTACCAAAAAATGGTGTATGGGGTGGCTCTTTTCTCTCCAGAAGATAGTGCTCAAGCGCAGGAAACGGAGCGAGAGCGTCTGGTGCTGCTCTCGCAGATTCAAGATGCAGAAACGCACAGTTCACACAGACAGAGGCCATGGATAGCGTCTCTGAAAGACCGTTATAACAACATTGTGCAAACGCAAATTGACTCGCTGCGAGGGCCGCTGCCAGACCCTATTAATCACCTCCCGATAGAGATCTGGGTCGTGTTGCTCAAGGAACTCGTGTACCGGGAGAATGGAACGTCTGTCCAGGACTTATTAGGACTCACGCTGGTCAGTGCGAGATGGCGGGCGTGTATTATGGACGTCAAAGATATCTGGGCAGACATAAGCATTGGCCCGGTGCGTAATTAGATAAAATTCCTATATATCTACTGACCTCAAACTCAAAGGGCCTCTCTGACTCAGATTTGGAGGCAAGATTATATCTTGGCCTCTATCTTTCGAGAAACCACCCACTTACACTACATATCGACCATCCTACGCGAGATTGGGATAAGATACTGTCCATAATTCGACCTCACACACAAAGAATACGGTCAATCACTATTCGGAGACCGTTGATGAAGTCGAACGAGGAGCTCGATCCAGAAGACCCCTCGCTTTACACCCTGCTTGACACTCTTGGTCATCTTCCCAATCTGGAAGAGTTGAGATTGGATGGCATGTATCGTATGTTTCCCAGAGAATGGGTTGTGTTACGAAATATGCCCCGTCTCAAGAGCATACTTGGCGAGTCATTGCCATTTCACGCAGTGATGGACAATGACCTCCGGTATTTACAAGAGTTGAATACAAACTCGACGGTCAACCGATGGTTCATGGTCATGGCGCGGTTTCCTCATCTGACACACCTATGGCTCGACGACGCCGACGACGTTGCCGAGTACGGGTGGTCAATTGATACTCGGAAAGAGGATAGCCTGAGATATGAACTCGACCAACCGCTTCCTCCGCCGCTGGAAAAGCTCGATCTGCTTCATTATCAGAAGCATCACGATCACCGCATCGCCGACCTAATTCGACTCTGTCCCAACATTACACGACTCACAGTCTCAGTCAGTTGGAAGCTGCTCTCTCAGCTGTTGTCGGTGATTGGGGGGCTTCGAAACTTGATGGAGCTTAGCCTCTACATCAAGTATATCACTCCCAAGATGAATAAATTTGATCTAGTGACGGAAGACGCCCCCCAAAATCTCCGTCTTTTCAGCATTTCCTTTTCGACTTACGAAGTCCGATCAATGCCAGAGGACGAATCACCCTCTCAGGCCGAAAAGACAGCCAAACTCCTTCACATCTTCAAGGGCTCTTCGCACTTGGAGGAGCTAATACTTCATGCTTGTCATGACCATACCTTTCCTTTCTCGCTGGTCCCCACTTTGTCGGGATTACGGACCCTTCATCTGGATCTCACAAGCCTAACAGCCAAGGAGACCCCTCGGATTCTCTCTAGATCCCTGGAGAATCTGCTACTCTTTCTACCATCAGAGCTGATGCCTTTGGCCGTCTCGCAGCTTGACTGCCCCAATCTGGTCGCCATTCAATTCTTTGAAGATCTCTCTTCAAAGATTGGAGTACCTTCGAGCGTTACCTTTGATTCATCGGCGTACCAGAACCTATTCAGTATCACCTGGGGCTTCAGAGAGCTCCGGTGGGAAGTCACATCACTACAGTCCCTGAAGCTCATTACTTTCACTGCAGCAAGCGCTAAAATATCAAACGAATTTTTGCTCCATCTCATTCTATATCCCAAACACTGCCCGACTCTGGAACAAATCGAGTTTCAAGCGTACCCCGAATGGGACCTCTTATTCCTGATGCTCGAACGTCGGAATTTCTTGCAAGATAGGGATGTGACGAGCATCAGAACCATTGGGCTACCCACGACAATTGGATTAATTCTCCGTGAGCCTTTGCTCGAGCTACTCCGAGGCCGATACGCAAAGCGTTTATCGAATTTTGAGATTTCAATGGCAGGATTAGCCGAAATATACTTTGATCGCAACATGTACGTTGTTGTCTATGGCCCTTCTGGTTGACTGATCATTGTTAGACCGGGATGTCAGCTCTGCAGTCTCTCCATGCACGCCTGCAAGGAGCCAGTATATTTCAGAGGAATGAGTGACTCGACATTTAGGGACCCAGTTACAAACCCTCTCTCCTGTGAAGAGGTTCGAGCCGTCCTCGCCGACCCGCCATTGCCAACAGCGGTCCTTGAATGGCTTTGTCACAAGAAGCCGAAGTTGGATACTTGGACAAAGCTCGCAGGCACTGCATATGACTGGAGTCGAGAGTCAGTATGTGACAAGGTACAAACCTTTACGCGTCGTTGAGGAGCCTATGGACTGACATTCCCAAGCACGAACTTAATATCAACTACATCTTCTCAGGATATGTGTTTAGCAGTAAGTCTCAACGTGTCGCCGTACGTGTGCTTATCCGCGGCCTAAGACCCTACTCGCTATCGATCTGTGACTCGAAGTATCTTGAGATATGTGGAGGAACTAGAAGATTCGTAGCTCAAGGAGGGTCTGTTGTTTATTTCTGTACTAGAAAGTGTATCTCGGTTGGCTATACCTTGGTTTCCGCCCACAATCCTGGGTTTCTAAGAAGCAATCTCAAAGAACCTTCTGGCTTCACTCGGCGTCTATTTCGCATCTTCAACAAACAATCAAAAAGCCATTAGCTCGGGAACGCTGAGGACAGAGTTTTAGAGAAGATGGTCCGAAAGTCTGCGGCTACTACGATCACGTTTGCCTCGGATGAGCCATTTGAAAAGGCAGCAGAATCATTTGCGACATGGGACACGGAGAGAATGAATGTACGTGTGATATTGTAGGATGAATGAATGGCTCTGACACTCTCTTCACAAACGCGTAGCCCCATTCTCGTCCAATTGTTTCCTACTACTTTCCAAAGGGTGTTGGAGAATATCATTATGGCGTTCGTAAAGCCCTTAGTAACACTGTTTTGAAACCGGAAAACTGACAACTCGACGACCAGGATACACACCCAATGAAACCTCATCGTCTTACTCTCACAAATTCTCTCGTGATCAGTTACAAGCTCGACGCTCTTATTGACCAAATTCATGATTCGCTTCCGGCAACGAGACAAGAACTTGAGACCTACCATGATCCACGGTATCTCAATCTATTGGAAACTCGAACCAAGGCAGCCCAAAAAGTACTGAGTGACATAGAATTGAACTCGCCGACTGACACTTCCCATCTGCCGAGCAAGAGAGCCCAAGCACGCCACTCGTCCATCGGCGATTTGTACGAGCAAGAAATATTCACAGACGACTGTCCTGTGTTTGGCGGGATGGACACATTTTTCAAGCAATACGCCGGCGGGTCCCTCGCAGGTGCTAGAAGTGTTGTTCAAGGCCAATCTGATATTGCCATCAATTGGTCTGGTGGTCTTCACCACGCCAAGAAGTCGGAACCAAGCGGTTTTTGTTACATCAACGATATCGTACTCGCAATCTTAGAGATGCTCAGGTATAGTTCTCGAACGAATGCGCCCGGGGTCACGCTAAAGGCTTTCCAGATATCATGCTCGCGTGCTGTACATTGACATTGACATTCATCACGGTGATGGTGTTGAGCAAGCGTTTTATCACTCAAATCGTGTCTACACCGTCTCTTTTCACAAATATAACGGACAATTTTTCCCTGGTACCGGGAAATTCACCGACACAGGAAGCGGACACGGGAAACATTTCTGCACCAATATCCCTCTCGCCGACGGAATCGACGACACCGCATATGTGACGCTATTCCGACAAGTCATGGAAGCAGTGATCACAAGTTTCCAACCTTCTTCCATCGTCCTACAGTGCGGTGCCGACTCGCTTGGAAACGACAAGCTCGGTGCGTTCAACCTATCTATCCACGCACACGGCGAGTGCGTCAGGTTCATCAAGAACTTTAATCTACCACTTCTCGTACTAGGAGGTGGAGGATACACGATCCACAACGTCGCTCGATGTTGGACGTATGAGACAGGCGTCCTTGTCGGTGCCCATCTTCCCAACACACTTCCCATTGGGCCATACCTGTGCTACTTCCAACCAGACTTTGTTCTTCATCCCCAGCTTGCGTCAAAACATACGAATAATGAAAATTCTCCAGCTGCGTTGCGGAACATGGTCGCCAATGTTCTCACCCGCCTACGTTACCTGCAAGGTGCACCCAGTGTCGGTGCCGATATCCTACCACCGCACCTCAAAGACTGGTTGGAGGCCGAAGCGAACAGGGATAGCGATATGCAAGATGAAGCGAAGGAAGGAGACGATGTGCGCCATCGACAGACGAGTGAATGATCGACACTTTGCACGAAACGAGTATTTTGGGACGGATAGAGATAACAAAGGAGAGATTGGCGGGGATAATGGAGGGATTTCCATGGAAGGTGCTGGCCGGCGTGGACGCGCCCGCGGTGGTGCGAGAAGAGGTGCAGGTCGTAAACCGCGTGGTAGAGGGCGAGCGACTGGGCGCGGTGGGTCAGGAATGGGGGGCGGAGCTGGCGATGCGGATGAAGGCAACGAATCGGACAAGTCCAACCCGAGTGCGGCGCCTGCTGCTCCAATCAAGAGGGGTCGTGGGCGCGGACGCGGACGAGGGAGAGGGAGAGGAAGAGCAACGCCCGTCTCAAGTTCTGGCGAGGAGGACAAGGCGATGAGCGAATAAACTGCTACCGTGGATGTAAAGTATGCATTGTAAGACTGGGAATGTACAGGATGCAAATTGACCCGAATGAAATGTGTATAGTGGGCCGTCTAAGGAGAAGCAAGCGAGAGGTTGAAGTCACCATATTCCCAGCTGTAGCATTCTTGTTGCTATGAATGGTTGTCAGATGCCATACAAGCGCCGAGTTCTTTAATCCTACCTCACAGTCCTCTCCGTCTGATGTCTCATCTGGAACAGGTTTACCCTCTTCCCAGTCTTCAGCAAGCAGCTTGTCGATGATGACACCTATACGATGTGTGCGTACGTCCTGACTCCAACCATATCTCGAGACTGTATCATAAAGCCGCTTCTTTCCGACGTGACACCGGCTTTCCATCGCAAATCCTGCGATGGCACACGAAGAGAGGACACCATTGCATGTTCCCATCGGAATAGGATCTGCAGTGTGAAATATGTGGGTAATATGCTGTAGGTCCGGCTAGAGTGATAATTGAGATTGCGACTGATATGAAGAAGTTGTTACGTACAGGTTTGGGAAGGTGCAAGCGCCTAGCGGGCATACGGTCTCCTGGGGATTCGAATGAGACCACGGGCGACCCAAATGTCACGCCCAAGAGTCCAGAGAGCGATCCCCCAAGACTATGACCGGTGAACCAGATGTTGGCGTTTGGATACATGTATGTAATGTTGTTGTACAAGTTCTGCATCCGCTCAGTACGGTTATCGAGTGACATGGTTGATCATACCGTGCCAACAGGGTAGAAAAGGCTATCGTTTGCGAGTGCCTCTTGGACGCAATTCTCATCGCACCGATTTCGTCCACCAAAGCACCCGCAAACGGGTGACCAGGTCGGACCAACACGAGCACAACAGCAACTAAACTCAACCATTAGGTTGAGCTAGTAACGGGCAATGACGCTTACCTGAACAACAAGTTGTCGTTTAACTTGTCGTTACCTACAGTCGGCCCTCCACCCCCAAAGGCACCCGCAGATGTGCCTTTGATGGAAACGACGACAGTATCATTATTGTTCGTGACAAATACGTGTCCTCGAAGTCCATCTGCGTCTGGTTCCCAACCAAAGGGCATGGTCTGAGAAAACGTCAGTGCCTCTCCAAATATCTAATAATATTACGAAAATACTCACTGTGCCCCAGTCTTCCCCTAGGTCATACCACTGCCCATCATCAGGCGGGATATATGCGTTCCACGTCATCTTAGCCAAGGTCCGCAGCGTCTCGCGGTCGCCTGTGTTTGGACCCGGAACTTCCCACTCGTCCCAGACGACGACTTCTTCTTTGTCCAGCACACTGATAGGGAATCCTCGCCGCTGCATCCACGCTCGGCGCACACTCGCTTCACGAACGCGGAAAAATTGGGCTTGCTCGCGTGGCTTGTACGTCTTGACTCTGACGGGTGGTATATCAAATGTAGTTTGATAATCTGGATTGGAGGTTTGAATTCTAACGAGGTCTGATGGAGAGATATCCTTGAGGGCGACTTGAGAGCCACGGTGACCATGGATATGGCGGAGTGTAAATGAGAGTTTGCTTGAAGCAGGTATGGGAGTTGAAGGTGGGAGTGCCTCGGGCGTTTGGGCGTCGTTGACGGCCCATGGCCAAAGGCCCACGAGCAAACCTTTCGGTAGTCGCATTCCAAGTTGTCCAGAGAGCCTGCCACCACATCTGCAGCACACAAAAGATATTATCAGAATCTAACATTTCTGATTATTGTCTCAGGGACACTCCAGGTTTCTGCTTTCAGCTTCTTTATTCCGCAACTAGAGCATCGAAAAGAGTGCAGAATGACTCTTCACGAAGAAAACAAAGGATAAAAATTGACGAATGTATGCAGCACCGTATCAGATCGACGAGTAGCGACCATCAAGGCCTACTCTCTAAGCACCAAAGTATCCAACTGCGTCCTCCTTAGTTATTCCTATTTCGACCGCCCTGGCGAGTTCCGGTTGTTACAGCACCGACTGCGGTCGTCGCCGCATTTGCTGCTGCGCCCGCCTGGCCTAGATTTGCCAACGATTGCTGAAGCTGAGCAATTGGTACTGCATTATTGAACGCAAGAGTGTTTGTTGTTCCTCTGGGAATTCCAGAAATCAGGCCTGTTTGAGCAACGCTCGTGATGGCTGTCGAGAGTTGCGCAGGCGTCATTTTACCGGCCTGTCCCATCATGAGTGCAGCAAGTCCAGCAATGTGTGGTGATGCCATGGACGTTCCGCTGAGAACTGCCCCGAGATCGTCTCCCTGGAAAGAGGCAGAGACAATCGTATCACCGGGTGCAAACACGTCGACTTTGTTTCCAAAGTTGGAGAAGCTTGCAATACGGTCGTTGATATCTGTGGCACCGACGGTAATCACTTGAGCGAGACGGGCAGGACTCGAGTTGTTGGCGTCTTGGGTTTCATTCCCTGCGGCGACACAGAACGGGAGACCGCTTGCGACGGCATTCGCTACGGCCCTATCGAGTGCTGCAGAGACGGGACCCCCGAGGGACATGTTCACGACGGCGGGTCGGTTCGGGTTGGCGGAAGAACGTTGAACCGCGAGGTTGATGGCAGAGATGATGTCAGAGGTTGCTGCGGAGCCGTCGTCTGCGACACATTTGATCATGAATACAGAGGCCTGCTTTGCAACGCCCACGGTTTTACCAGCCACCGTGCCCGAAACATGAGTACCATCTTTGGAGAGTTAGTCAAGGGAGTATAATGGCTGGATACAGCACTTACGTCCGTTTATGTCTTGACCAGGAACACCGGGGCCAAACGTCTGCAAGAAGGTCGCCCGTCCACCAAATTCACTATGAGTGGTGCGTATTCCTGTATCCAGGACATAGACATCTGTTCCAGCGCCACCCGTACTATCTGAAAAGTATGGAAACTGGAGAGCGAGAGGATCGAGGCCTTGAAGAGAGACGGGGCCAGTGGACAGTCTGGAGACACCCCAAGGGGCGTTATCCTGCTGAACTGTCTCAGAGATGCGCATCTCATAGTCTAATGATCATTAGCAACTGATTCAAGAGTGTTGAAGCGAAATGTTACGCACCAGGCTCGACATAGGCGACCTCGCTTTGGGCACGGATGACATCGAGCGTCGAGTCAGAAAATGTACCAGCGATACCATTCATGACAGTCTCGTTCCAACCAAGACGGAGTGAGCTCGTCTCAGCGTCCGACATGCTTACGCCTGCTTGAGACATGATCTTGTTGAGCCATGCGCCACGGTTTGCAGGATCGACGGTGTCTGCCTTGATGGCGACAATGTATGCGCTGGGGGCGACTGAGCGTGCTCCAAGAGAGATGGAGCGCTTGATGGGGGCACGAGTGGTGCTCGTTGGTGCTGCAAATGCAGCGAGAGGAAGGAGCGTAAACGAGAGAAGTGCGTTGAAGATCATCGAGTAGAGATTGCTCCTGTTATTAGATTACTCGCTAATGATGTGGCCTGCCTAGTTGTCGAATAGGAATAAGTAAAGCCCACTGGGAGGAAGAAGAAAGCTGAAAGGAATAAGGAAAGAGGGACGAATTCTAGTCAGAGCCTTGCTGGTCCAGTTATATATCCCGCCATCATGTCGACGGAAGCCTGGCCTGCTGCGCGACGGCACGAGGCCCGTTGAAACCCCATGAGAGTTACAAGAACAAGTTGACATGTAGCCCAATCGCTGCCCAGACCTCGCCGTTGCTATGCCCAACAGCCGACCGTCCCAATTTCTGCGAATACTCGTGCGGCACAAGCTTCATCCGGGAATCTAGCCGTCCTTTCTTCTCAGTTTACCCGTTATGGCTTTTGCTTCTACTTTTTCAGAGTCTTGTATAACTGGGACTTTGTCTCCAAAATAGCCCTCTATTTTTCTTTAACGCCCGTTCCGACCCTCGGTCGTCCAAGTTGCCGTTGTCCTCGAACAAGCTCTCGCCACACGACTGCTTCCGACCTGATGTGCGCAACCAAATCATTCTTCTCAGTTTCTACCGACTTTATTCACTCAGCTAGCTGCCAGCTGCTGGCACAGAACACATGCAAGGTCCTCCTTCTTTGTACCTCGCCAGCGCCGTCGATACCCCGCATACGCATCTCCATGTACAGGATGTAGAAAAAGCCGCAGCCCTTCGGACCGCGCGGCACCTCGCGTATGAGAACCTCCCCCTTTGACAGCGGCGCGCGAACAATTAATAGACTATGCGTTGATAGCGAGTCTGAATTCCTTGAACCATGCATATTGGTCTCGGGGGGATGCCCAATCCGGTGTCGAGCCACCAAAGAAAGTGCTGTCCCGTCGTAAGTTCACCGCATAGCAATGAGGAAGGACTTGCCTGAAGAAAATGCCACTGAAACCAATTGTAGAATCTTCGGTTGGATCAGCCCTCGTTAGCACTGGGAATGGCCGCTCGCTTCTGCTTGGCGAGCTCACACTTGCTGGTCACACTGACAACGGCCGTAGATACTCCCGTAGAGAGATTGGGATGTGTGACTGCGCTCATCCCTTGAATCGCATCGACGGTGACCGTAACTGGTTTCGTCACATGCAAGCGCTCTTGCCCATGAAAGATGAGCGGCGGTACACTCCCCATCGGGGAAAATATCACATCCTCCGATGACAGCTGTCGATCTGGATCATCGTCCTCACTGTACATGTCGTCGATTTCCCATGAGGACAGTGAGTAATCCGGCACTGTTGCGCTACGGTAGTAGACTTCAGCATTGCTCATAACAACCTGCATTGGTCCATCATCTGCTGCGGTTGTTAGCTCTTCTACCTTCATTATTACATTTGAATCTCACCGTATCCAACTTCGAGCACAAACCCGCCGTCATTGATGCCAGGAGTATTTAACCAAACCGTCTGCTTGACTCGTGTCCATGACGATCTCTTGAATGTGAAGCTCCCTCGACCAATGGATAGTCCGTAAACGGAGTTGCATGCCGAACGGGGTGGCGTTGCGCAAAGTGACGGTGATTGAACATCCTTCCTGGCGTACTACTCCCTTGAGCATGGTGTTCAGGGAAAAAAAGCTACTCACGAGGTACAGTTCACCTTTACCGTCGCCTCTCCACATCAATCGTGTGCTGAAGCAGCCCAATCCATCGTCCCCTCCGCTACACCTGCAAATCGTCAAATCTTGTTTCGACTCAGATGCCTGCATTTACTTTTCGTGACCACCGTACAATCCAGGCAACTTTCCGCCCTTCACAAAGTCAAACTCGGGTGGAAACCAAACGCTATACTCAAACGTCACGTTCCTTGCGCGCTGGAGCATCTCCTCGTCGACATTTCTCTTCTTCCTCCTCCCGCTATCCCACCCTATCAATGATGGCGTCGAATAAAAGTCTGCACCACCTCTTGGATAATGCGAAGGAGAGTAGGAACCTCGAGGATATGTCACTTTCAGCAGTGATGTGCCTCCGCTCGTGGGCTCTGTGGATAGGTTTTCCCTTCCATAGGCAAAGTGATGGATACCAAATGCATCATCGAGTGAGCCGTATTGTGAGGGTAAAGTCCATTCAATAGAGCGAAAAGGAGAAAAGGGAAATGAGCCCGAGGCATGAGGCGGAGATGGCCGAGCGGTCACAGTTTCCGTATTTGTAGTCATCACAGTAACCGAGGGCTCTTCAATCGAGATCATGACATCCGGTCGTGTAATTGTTGCAAACGCAGACTGTTCCAAGGCAAGAGGTGTGGCAGGCATCTCGGTGCTTGAATGTCCGGATATGTTCTCTTGAGCCTCTTGTACTATTGGAGTGACCCTAAATGGTGCCAAAGATCGCAAGAGAGGGGCCACACGTCCAGTCGGAGCAGAGATTTGTGCATCGTTTGATAGTACTGCGACAGGAAATGAGGTTCCAGATGAAATGGTTGTGACCAGCACGACCAGGAGAGCGTCGTTGACATGGGCCACACAGACCATTCAACAGGCGGGAGGCAAGCCTCTGCCACCACTTTCATCCGAGGCATTTATGCCTACCTCTTGTAAGTAGGAGGCGAGCTTGTGTTTTTGCTACGTTTAGAGTGGTAAAGCAACTCTCTCCCGACCACATTCCTCAGAATGGAGCGCGTACAGTATTCGCTCGAGTCGGCGCTCCCCGAGCTCAAAGATTTGCAAGAAAATGGAATATTCTCTCCAGAAGAGATTCGAGAGATCATCAAACGCCGTACGCACTATGAGACACAGCTCATCCGACGACAGCCACGAAAAAAGGATTTCCTCGAGTACGTCGAGTACGAAATGGCGCTGGAAAGACTGCGAAAGAAACGTGTGCAAAGACTGAGTGGGTACTCTCTTGACATGGGTCCAATTTTACACTTACGCCTCTAGACAGAGACACCCCTCCCGCATTCAATCTCGAGCCATTCGCTGGTTCAGAGACAGTTCTCTATTCTGGAGCGTGCAACGAGAAAATTCAAAGGGGATCTACGACTCTGGGTGCAGTACATCGAAATTGCAAAACGTGAAAAAGCAGGAAACCTTGTGGGCCGCATAGTAGCAAAGTACGCCTTTTCCTGACGCATCTTCCTTTGTCTAAGAATCTATAAAGAGCACTCAAACTACATCCGACATCTGCCGCACTCTACGTCCTCGCCGCACAATATGAAGTCGACCGGGGTTTGCCGTCTGCTGCGCGAAACATATTTCACCGCGGTATTCGACTCAATGATTCGAACGTCGAACTATGGTGTGAGTATGTCAAGATGGAACTTGGCTGGTGCGAGGGCTTGCGACGGCGTTGGGAGACGTTGGGCATTGATCCAGCATTGGCAAACCTGTCTGCTGCAGAGAATGCAGAGATTGAAGGATCAGCGAAGCAGAGTACAGAGGCCGCGAGGAAGGAGGTCCTTCAGGGTGCGATTGTCAAGCAGGTTCTCCGGGATGCGCTGAAAGGTAAGTCTCTCAATCAAATTTGGATTATAAATAACCTTGTGTAGCAATCTCGACGTTAAAGTTGTTCAACTCTCTCGCTGAAACACTGAAAACCTACCCGACTAAACTCGCGGCGTCTCTTGTCCCATTTTTATATGATCTGCTCCAAGACATTCCCGCCTTCTCTGACGCTGGAAGAGGAGACGTTATCACGGCATACGCGCTTCGACATTTGTGCAAAGCGAATCTGAGAGACAAAGACTTGGTGGACGCTCTCCGACTCTCCAACGAAGAAATTCAAGCGGCACTTGCAACAGAATTGCAATCTGGGAATACGAAAACAGTGCACGAACTCGAAGTCGCATATAGCGTGTTTGTATGGACTCAGTGGACGAACCTTTTAGACCCCCATCTCGTAAGTTTCATTGCAGTCTCTATCAGAGCTCATGGCTTTTAGCGGTTGTACCTATCCTCCTCTCTTCATAACATGTGTACCAAAGCTCTCAAACGGACAGTCACGGATTCCGGCGGAGTGGCACTCTTCACTACACATCTGCGCATATTGCTTGATCCAACTCACCCACCACCGGCGCCTGATCCGGAGAGAATACTGAAAATGGCGCGAAAGTATTCTATCACCTCTACCAGTGCGGAAATCTGGCGAGCGCGGTTAGAAGCAGAGGAGAAATGTCAGACAGATACTCTGAACAAGAGTAATGAGATCAAGCGGGTGGCACTCGCTGCGAGGAGAGCATGCAAGGGTGCAAACCTCGAGCAGGTGTGGTGCTGGGGTTGGGATAACCTCGACTTGTCGGAACAAGAAGTGCGTTCGTCAGCTCTGAACGAATTTCGCTCTAACATCTCGTAGGATATTCTGAAGCAAGCCCTCTCACAGAGCGAGACTCTTAGCCTACGCGAACACATACTTATGCAAACGCTCTCCTCCCTTTATCTCACCCAGCCGCAAAACAAGAGCGAAGTCATCCTTCGACTTTTACGCACCTATTCGCCAGGAACTGCCGTCTATGAGCACGCATTTGAACTCGAAAAGTCCGAGCCATCGAGTTCGACAAATTTGCTACGATCCATCTTTCACCTATGGCGAGACGCACACAACGAGTCTGGGAGCACAGAGTCGACACGAGAGGATGCCACGCTTGCATTTGCATCGTATCTCTTGCACAATGGATCGGTAAAGGAAGCAAACTCGATTATCAGCAACCTGGTGGCAGCCTCTGGAGCCCGGCGAGAGGGAATTGAGCGACGATGGAAACAAGTTATCGATGGTCCACGAATAGATCAGGTTGAACGCGAAGATGGAGCAGAGGACGCTATGGAAACTGATGAGGACAGCGAAAGCGAGCTTCTTGTTGTTTCTTAGTATTCGGCCTCCTGCGATCAAATCATTCTGTTATCCTTTCTATCTTACGGTATATCAAAACACGACAAATGAGAGCAGTAGAAGATTGTAAGCAGAGGTAAAGGTGATTACAGATGGCACAGAGTGAGAGGTGATTAGGAGGTGGCATCAAACTCGGCGAGGAGTTTCTCCTTGGGATGTACAACGAAGTCACCATAGATACTAATGGAGGCAGCAAGCCGTATAACGGTTTCACGAGAAAGATTGGATGCTCGCAGGAGGCGCGCCATGACCGGATAGGCATTTGGCACATCAAGTGAGATGTCATCAAGAGCCTCTACTGTCGGCAAGAAACCCTGCTCAAACGCTGTGGGTGAGCATGCCCCAGAGGTGGACGCAAGAGAAAAGAGTTCCATGATGAGAGCGACGTCTGAGTCCTTCGAGTCCATCTTGGAAACAAATTTGTCCACAAGGAGATGCCGATAATTGGAAGGCATCGACTCAAAGTAGCCGACGGCCTCATTGAGGTCACGGATTTGCAAGAATTCCTTGATGTCCTCTTCCACCTTTGCCTTTGCCTGATCTTCTGTCATCGATGGTGGCTCTTCAACAGTGGAACTAAGTAGAGCCTCTGAGGGCTGGTCACCTTCTGTTGTATTTGGTATGCTGCCGATTGTACGAGGCAAAAGCTGGAGACGCTTGCGACCGGCACTACCCGCTTCAACAGCTGCATCCAACTGAACAAGATCGACACTCGTTCTTCGGTTAACCTGGCGGGTATCTCCTCCTCGATCTCCACCTCGACGGGAGCGTGTCCTGCCGGGTTCCGATGGATTGCGCGTCATGCGGGTCGTACCAGGCTCTGAGGACAGCCTGCTCATCGAGTGAATTCCAGATGTGGGAGGTGGAGACTTTGCGCTGATTGGGGACCTCAGCGAATCAGCGACAGTGCTCGTGGAGCCAACTGTAGACGTCAAAGAGACGCCACCAGCCTTGCCAACAGAGCGCCCTAACTGGCTGGACGGTATCCAGGAGGCTTCCGGATCACGCTGCGTTCCCGTGTGTGAACGATTCTGCCCACGTCGCGAACTCCCTCTGGCGATAGGGATCGGCTTGACAGATGTTTTATCGCCTGACTCCTTGGCAGCGGCTTCGTGGATCTCTGCGAGCGTTGTAGGTGCCGCGATTTGTGTTTTTGGGATCCAGTTACGGGCTCGCAGGTCAATCACATCCTAAGGGATCATCAGAAAATTGATGTATTAACCAAGATACTCTTACCAGGAGCATAAAGCGAATTCTCTGAGAGATTGTTGATCCTGCGATAGTTCTCGCATCTTGCCGAAATACATGTCCATCGGTTCCTTGCCTTTAGGCCCACTGAGCGCCAACCCAACCGTTTTGAGAAGTTGGCAGACGCTCTCAATGTCTTCCTCCACTGGTTCATCTAGCAACTTGAGAATGCACCGATGCATGATACGCTCGGTGAGCATCTGCAGCTTGAAGAGCTCTCCAATGAATTTTACGAGACCGAGACCCCTGCGCTTGGCCTTCTGAAGCGCATAGTATTCATCAGAAAAGACTTCTTCTCCAGGTGCAACTCCAGATGCAGCAGCGGCAGCAGACTGCTGTTCCTCTAGGGTTTCTCGAGTCGACCATCCACGCTCAAAGTCGGCTTGACACCGTGACAGTAGATACTGTCGGAAAAGTTGGCCACCAACCACGAGCTGGCCATGTTTATCCCGAACGCTTTCGTCCATCACGTTTGGGCTGAGTTGTTCGTGCATCTTCTTGCACAATGCCGCGTACATGCTGGACCATGTTGCCTCGTCGGTCGCCTTGTCAAAGACGAGTCGAATGACTAGCGTCAATGTCCGCCCGTCCGTCTCGGATTCCGATTTGTTGGCCCATGCAACAATTTGATCGGAGATGGAATCAAACTTTTCCATCGTTAACTTGTTGAGCAGGGCTTTGACCTTTCGTTCCACCACCTCCAAAGGCTCGACCTCAGGAACAGACGAGCCAGAAAGAATGGTGCGGTCGAGAATCCCAGTGCGATTTGTGGGTATGCTAGATGCTTTCCACCTATTCTCCGAGTGTTCGAGTGGCTTGACGTCGTCCAAGCCGGGTGTCATTGGAGGATTAGGGAACATTGAGCGTGTGCCAGAGGGGAGAGGAGGTTGATCGGTACGAGTTGAAGAGCTGCGCTTCCGTGCTCGTAAGCTCTTGGACCGTCGGTCAAGAGGCGAGGGAGGAGGAAGACCCGAAGGCTGTATCACTGGCCTAGATGAGCCATGCGAGGTCGATCTCATCATTGGAATTGGTGGAGGTAGCGTTCCACTAGTGACGGGTGTCGTGAGGCTTAGAGGTGGCTTGGTGGCATTGGATCCATTTCTCGACCGGCCACCTCGTGAGCCTGTTCGGCCCATGGAAATAGGTGGATACGAGGGCGAAAAGGCGCTAAGAGACGTGGCGGGAAGGGGTGCAATAGGCCCACCGTCTTCGGTTGGTACCGCTGTTAGAGGGGTTGCTGGGATGGTCAAAGTATTGCCATCCGCAGTGATCGCTGGTGTTGGGAGATTGCCTTCTGCATGGCTCCTAACAGATCTCCTGCGTCGACTACGTGTTGGTGCCGGAGCCTCGATGACTGGCTCAGCATGAATCTCCTCGATTTCGGCCATCCCCTCTGGTCGCTCGGTGCAATACCCACGGAATTGGAGGAGAAATTCTTGATCATATCTAACACGAAACTATGAGTATTCCAAGCAATGGACATATACTGTACTCACAGAAACCGGCCGTCGCTGGTACCTTCGTTGAGCTCCTTTAGTGGTCCAAAAATACCGTCCGCTTCAGGATATGTCACTGCGGATATATCGGTAATCATCCGTGCGTTTGAGATGGCAGATGCCAGCGCTCCTGTATTCACTACACTAGGCCTCGGGATCCCGGAAAGATCCAATCGCGCTGGCATTCGTCGGCGCGGTTCACCAGAACGTGTTCTCGTGAGATTTCCGGAGCGAGTCCGCGTCATGGAAACGAGGCCGGAGGTGCCAGCATTTGCAAGGTCTGCCACTGGCGGCCCATTGACGGTTGGAGGAGCACTTGCGTCTGCTCGTCGAGAAGAGCGTCGTGAACGCTCACGACGCATACGGATTGGCGGAGCCGGAGTAGCAGAGGTAGGGAACTGGCCATCCAGGGAACCAGTCGGTGGACTGGTCTCCAGGACGGGTATCTCCAAGACTTGGGATTGGGTCGCATCGGCCGTGTCTGGGCTTTTCATACCTGCTGAGCTACCATCGTCCGGGGCAGTCAAACTTGACATGCTCTCTGCCAGACCGTCGAGCTGCGTCGGACTCTCGACCTCTCCAGAGGCCAAATCGATGTCTACTGATGCGCCTCGCATTTCGGAAACTGCAAGTCGCCTTTGACGATCCTCTTCACTCTCGATGCGAACGGCACTCGGCACAGGTAGAGCAAAGGGGGTCGCAGCAGAAGTATTAATCTGGAGGCTTCGAATGTTCACCTCTTCGCCTTGGGCATTTTTGATAACAATGGCGTTGCTCGGTCGACGGGGCATGGGTACAAATGGTTGCGCATCCACCTGGAGTTTGGATTTTGTAGGTGCCGGAGGAAGGGGTGGGGCATACGCCGGAACAGGAGGCAAATCCAACACGACATGCTCGGCGTCTACTCTTACGCCGCTCTCCGGTGAAGGTTCTCTTGTCCTGGACCTGCTTCTAGACTCTGTAAAGACGGGAGGTGCCTCGGTTGAAATTGGCGGTGCGGGTTTAGAATGGGACAGGAGAGCGTTCCAATTTGGTGTTGATGGAACATCGCTTCCGGATAGTACTCCAGTACTATCAGCTCTTGAAGAGGCTCAAAGTTCCGTCAATCCCGAGAGACAAAACTGGTGAAGACACAACTTACATGAGCGGGAATGGATGAGTGGGGGTGAATCACTCGCAACATCTGTATTTGAAAGCTTTCTTGCTGGATTTCTCCTCGGCCGTCGGGGTGGGTTCTCGCCGGACTGGGCAGGGAGTGGCGTTCTGGTTGGAGATGTGACATTAGAGTCTGTCCCGCTGGTTTCTGCGGAGATGGGAGTAAAAGGAGTTGAAGGACCCGGTGGAATAGAGCTGGCCGCTGACCCGGGAGTGACTGGCGTAGCCAAGCTGGGCGTGGCAACGCTGAGCGAGGTGGATAGAGAGCGAGGAGGACCCCTTGTCCATACTGAAGATGGTTTAACCGGAGAATGCGTTGGCGAAGATAACGCAGGGACGGTCTGGGAGATGCTGACCCCAGACTTACTCATCTTGTAGTCGTTTTGAGATGTAGACAAGTAAATAAAACTGTTATCGAGTGAGTCAGCGAATGCCGCTCGTCTCGCGCAGGCCGTTGCGGCTTTGACGTCGTGGTGCCCGCGTCGATATGGGGCGAGCGTAAAGTAGAGAGCGTGGAGAATAAAAATGGATATGTAAAATAGTCGTCAGCAGTCAGATCGCGAGCTGGAATGTCTTTGCTCGCGAGACGGAGTCCACAGCGTCTCTGTTTCGCGTAGCCAGCGTATTGTATGGGTCTAGAAAGCGTCGCTTCAGAGCTCCACTCGTTGCCGTGACAGACGACGAGCACAAGGAGGGAGCTGGTGTGGTCCAAGTGTAGGTGATTCCATGTGCGTCGATGGAGTTTTCATCACACAAGTTTCTCATCTATTCTACAGAGCCTACGCTACGATACCCGCACATCGGATCATGTGTCCCGCTTGGATACGCCAGGAACAGCGGCCCATATGGAGGTCATGAAGCCTGGAGAAGCGCGGCAATCTGCTCATTCCCAGAAGCCTCGGCGAGCTCTAGAGCTGACAAATCATCTGCATCCTGAACTAGAGTCAATTAACAATGGTCGAGAGTGGCACCCCTTCACCTTGATCGAGCTGTCGGCTCCTTTTCTCAGGAGCAACTCTACGACCCGCACATTCCCTCTATCCGCTGCGAGATGTAGTGCAGTATATCCCTATAGATATTAAGGTTGTAAGACTAGGGGTTGTAGGACTATGTACCCACATATTCATCCTTCTGGTTAATGTCCATGTGGGGGTCCAACTGCAGCAGCGTGTCGAGCTTCTCTGCGTCTCCAAGAATTGCCAGTCCATGGAGCGTCTTAGCATCCGTCTCTTGCTCATCCCCAGCAAGAACGCTGACTTTGGTCCCCATCCCTTGTCCGCCACGTCGGGAACCCTCATCCGTCTTGGGATCATACTCTGCGTCCCAATCAATATCATGAACATCGACTTCGTTGGTTGTCGAAACCTGAATAGTGCTGTTTGCCTGCTGGGACGGGTTCCATCCAAGCGATTTGCAACGATCCAAGTATTGGTCCTGGATTTGCTCTAGACTTTGATCTTCCAACTCTTTTCCCATCTTGTCCCAGGCATCCCATTTCGCTTTGCCCCGAATGTCGATAAACGAGGGTCGAGGAGTGTTCGGTTTGCGTGAAACGGTGACCATTTTATACAATGCATAGAGCTGAATTCGACAGATTAGTCGACAGACGTTTTAGGTTTCAATCAATGGCAATCTACCTCAAGCTTGACATGATTAGGTGCTTTTCCGAGCTCTGGAGCAGTAGAAACAAATGCTGCCGCGTTGTGAAACTGCGGAGACGGTGTGAACACCTTGGAGCTCATGTGGAAAGGGTCCAAGCTGTGGCAATGGCGATTCAGCTTCTGCAGTGTATCCGTAGTTTAAACAAAATATATACTCCGAACGCTCATATATGCACGATACAAGCGCGAAGTCAATCTATGCAAGACCAGCATCCTTCATTGCCTGCGAGCAGTGTCAATTGGGCTCGTGAAGCCAGTAAGATCGACCGTACCTTGAGAAGCAGACTTCCAAGTTTTGCTGGGCTGTCACTGACAATCACACCAGCCTTTTCCAGAGCCTTGACTTTGTCGCTGGCAGCCCCTAGCGCCATTTGAGTAAAATTCGGCAAACAAGTAGGATCACTAACCTTTTCCACCAGAGATGATAGCTCCAGCGTGTCCCATCCTGCGTCCTGGGGGAGCGCTCGCACCAGCAATGAAAGCAACGACGGGCTTGGGGTTCTTCCTCGTCTTGTTGTACTTTTCAAGGTACTCTGCGGCTTCCTCTTCGCTGGATCCACCAATTTCACCAATCAGGACGATTCCCTTCGTGTTGTCGTCCTCTAGGAAGAGCTTGACGCAGTCGGTATGTGTCGTACCCGGGAACGGATCACCACCAATGCCGACGCAGAGTGATTGGCCGAGACCGACAGACGTGGTTTGGGCGACGGCTTCGTAGGTTAGGGTACCGGACCGGGAAACGATGCCTTTAAACAGAGAAAACTTAGCATAACTAGCTCCGACTTTGCATATAGTCCCTTACCGACTGAACCCGGCTTGTGAATATGTCCAGGTTGAATGCCAATTTTGCAGCCAAGCGGGTTGATGATGCCTGGGCAGTTGGGACCGACGAGACGAGATTTAGATTGAGATTTAAGGGCGTTCATGACCCTGATTTCGTCTTGTTGTGGGATGCCCTCGGTGATAGCGACGATGAGTGGGATTTCGTTTTCGATAGCGTCAATGATGGCGTCTGCACACGAAGGTGGAGGAACGTATAGCACGGTGGCATCTGGTTTAGTCTCCTTTACAGCCTGTAGAGGTGGTCAGAGACTGCCGACGGGAGCGTTGAAAGCGACTTGCCTCGCGCACGCTGCCAAAGACGGGCAAGCCGAGATGGGTAGTGCCCGCCTTTTTGGGAGAGACACCGCCGACCATGTTTGTGCCATATGCGAGTGCCTCTTTGATGTGGAAAGTGGCCTGGGACGAGTTCAACGTGTGTCCACGGCCAACAGGCGAGCGCATACCGTCTTTCCTGTGAATCCCTGGCAGAGAACCTTTGAGTCTGGTCTGAGTGCGAGGTTCTTGATCGTGTCTTCGTAGCCACGCCGGGCAGCAGAAGAGCTCAACGTTCTGCGGCCGACTGGAACAGGTTGTTAGTGCACATAATAATAAGATATAATACACAAAACTCACCCGCAACGACGGCTGGCGGGAGTCTGCGGTACATTACAGGTCAAAGGTGCTTTTTGTTTTGGTTAGCTGTCGCTTGAACTTGACCTCGACACCTCCGCTCCGCCAACTTCTCTCTCTTGCCTCTCATTTCTTCACGACTCTACTCTGCCAACGGTCTGTATTACTACTACTATCCTGCTGTACTCGCTCTCCTCGCTCTCCACGCCGTCGACGCGTGCTGACGCCCTTTGGTGCTCCTCCGCCCTCGTAGATGGCCGACAACTACGCTGATGGGCAGTCTAATGCCTCTGCTGGCTTGTCAAAGGCAGTCCGCAGAAAATTGCTTGCGTACGTCCTCTCAAATTCGACCTCCGCCCCCCCTCCGTCTAATTTCTCTTTGGGCCCTTGCAGCTTCGTCGGTTTTGCCAACCTTCCCAATCAAGTGCACAGAAAGTCGGTCAGAAAGGGATTCCAGTTTACCATCATGGTCGTCGGTACGTAGCTCCTCCAACTCGTTTCATCTCCATGACATGTCGCTCATCTCTTCCAAACTCCAGGCGAATCCGGACTCGGAAAGTCGACGCTCATTAACACTCTCTTCAACACCACTCTCTATGCACCGAAAGAGGTCCTCGCCCCAAGCGCCGAGCGTCCAAAGACGGTCGCCATCCAAAGCATCAGCGCAGGTTAGTCCATCTCTCCTTTATTCGATTTTCTCGGGCGACCGCTCTCCATCTCGGCATCCGGAGCCTCGTCGCACTCGTCTCACGGCCAGACCGCCGTGTATTGCGGCCCCTGATGTTCCCGTTTCACCATCAGAGTCGTGTGAGATAAGCTTCATGTTAACGTTCTCTATTCATTAGATATCGAGGAGAATGGCGTCCGACTCCGCCTCACCGTCGTTGATACTCCCGGCTTTGGTGACTTCGTCAACAATCACGAAAGGTTGGTTGCTTCCACCTCTGTCTTGAGCCGTCTCTAAAGACAAAAATAGCTGGAAGCCTATTCTCGACAACATCGAGTCGCGCTTCGACTCGTATCTCGAGCAAGAGAACAGAGTCAACCGCCAAAAAATTGTTGACAACCGTGTGCATGCATGCCTCTACTTCATCCAGCCTACCGGCCACTCGTTGAAACCGATCGACGTCGAATTCATGCGCCAGCTTCACACCAAGGTTAACCTCATCCCCGTCATTGCCAAAGCCGATACCCTCACCGATGAGGAGATTCTCAAGTTCAAGCAGCGAATCCTGAGCGACATTGCTCACCACCAAATCCACATCTTCCAGGCTCCCATCTACGATAATGACGATGAGGAGACCATTGCGGAGAATGAGGAGATTGCCTCGAAGATTCCATTCGCCGTCGTCGGCTCTGACAGGGAGGTCCGAACCGCAGATGGCCGCTCAGTCCGTGGACGATCATACCCGTGGGGTGTCATCGAGGTTGACAATGAGGAGCATTGCGACTTTGTCAAGCTCCGCCAAATGCTTATCCGCACCAACATGGAGGAGCTCAGGGAGCACACCAACGATGTCCTCTACGAGAACTGGCGATCCGAGAAGCTCATCAACATGGGTGTCGTACAGGACCCATCCGTCTTCAAGGAGATCAAGTATGTTCCAGCTCTGCAAAAGTAGGATGATGATCTGACAATTTCCTTTTAGCCCTGCTGCCAAACTCGCCGAAGAGCGCGCAATTCACGAGGCCAAACTCGCCAAGATGGAGGCAGAGATGAAGATGGTCTTCCAGCAAAAGGTTGCCGAAAAGGAAGCCAAGCTCAAGCAAAGCGAAGAAGAGCTCTACGCTCGTCACAGAGAAATGAAGGATGCGCTCGAAAAGCAACGCGCAGAGCTTGAGGACAAGAAGAGGAGGATCGAGAGCGGCCGACCATTGACGCCCGACAAGAAGAAGCCTTCGCGCTTCCTCCCTGGCCGATAAGCAGCTCCAAAATTCTGCTGCGACCAATCTGGTCACACAAAGGGGGACGACGGAGCACAAAAGGCCGCCGTCCTGTTTTCTCTCTATGTTTCCCACCCTGCATACCATCTACTCGTTGTGTTACACATCCTCCAACTGGCTTTCCCTCTTTTTCCATTCCCTACTCTCTATTCGCGTCATTTCCCATGCGCCCTTGTCATGGGTTGTCACCGCACTTATCCGTGCGTGCACACTGGTCGCCGGGTGATCTCGTTGGTCGGACACTTTTGTTTTGATCCCCTTCTGTCGTAGCTCGACGGTTTATGTTCACCAGTTGTTTCCCTCCATCTAGGTTACTTGAGCGGTGTTTTAGTCCTCGCCTTATACAATTCACTTTTGGCTCTGCCTTTGCATGGGTGTGAACAATCAGAAAGCAACGCTGTAGTACACTGTTCTACAAGATGAGTCCAATAACGTGATGCCAAACGAGGTAGAGAAACGATTATGCATCCGTTGGTCTGTTCATGTCCACTATATCCCCCAGCTGAGAATTCCGGCGGTTTGCTTGATCGAGCTGGCGTTGTAACTTAGCAATATTGGCCTCCAGTTCGCCGATGCGCTCCTTTCCGCCTTGTCGTTCTCGCTTTACGCGTTCCTCTGCGGCCTTCAGACGGGCTTCGTATTCCCGTACACGCGCTTCCCATTTCGTATCCGCTGAGGCCGTCTTCTCGTTCATAGAGTTGATCCGCTCTTCCGTCGCTGCTAGTTGGTTCTGGGCATTGGTCAGCCGTCGTTCGGCGTTGGTGGCTCGCGCAGTCAGCGCTCGGATCTCGGAACTGTCGGATGTTGGCTGTCGACGAAGTGAAGATATTTGGGTAGTCAGCTCGGCGTTGGTGGCCTAAGAGTCAAGTCAGAGAGCCCGCAAGTCAAATAGTTCTGAGGCAAACCTTTGCTGCTTCTAGTTCCCCTTCTTTGGCGTTGTACTTCCGTCGCCATGTGTGCTTGACTTCCGCCAGTGCCTTTACGCTCGACTCGAATCGGTCGAGCTGCTTCCATCGAAACTCGAGCTGTTTCTTGACCTCTCTGTAGGGGAATGTTAATGTGACTTCGTTCGATGCAAGTCTACTCACGCAAGGCGATCTGTAAACTTGCTCTCAATCTCCTTGGAGCGCTTCTCAAAGTCTGTCTGAATACTGGTGACGGCCTTGAGTCGCGAAATGAGGTTGTCATGGAAGACGGCGAAATTGGTGAATGGTTTGGTTTCAGCCTTCTATAATGACGTGTGAGATCGACGTGATTCTTCTCGCAGCACTCACGGCGGTTTTCTCCACTCCTAGAATCTTGTCAAGGTACTGGTACACTGTGAGGAGCAAAGTGTTTCGCTCGGTAAGTTGATCCCTGTACTGATGTTCCGTGGCGAGTAGACTTCGCTGGTCCTTGCTAAGGCGTGCTTCCAAGTCCGTCACCTTGCCACGCAAATTCGACACTTCAGCTTCAGCCGTCTTCAGGCTTGCTTGTACTGTGTCGAGCTTCTCCGACAAATTGAGCCGAGCTTGCGTTTGGGACGCGAGCTGACCGGCGAGTTCTCGATTCTCCACGTGCATTTTATCCAGGGCGGCTTCCCTGTCTCTGGCCTTTGCATCGCGTTCGTCGATATCTCGTTTCAGTCGAACAATCTCCTCTTCCCCCCGAGCGATGTCACGACGAAGACGCTCGAGCTCGAGATTGAGAGCAAACCGATCCGATGTTGCGCTCTCCCCCAAACGCCTAGATTCAGCGTCCTTTTTGCTGAGAACATTTTGTATCTCCGCAATGTCGGCCTCTCGTTGGCTGAGGAGCGCCTTTGCAAGGTCGAGGTCGTGGCGGGCGGTGGTCAGTGCCGCCTCTGTCTCATCGAGTGTCCGACGTTCTCTCCTGGCACTCTCCTCCCATTCGCCCCTTGCTTCACGATATTTCTCATCCAGATCGTTAAACTGGGCGACAATATCGTCACGTTCGGCCTCTGATTCTTCACGGGCTTCTCGTTCGGCATTGATTTCAGCTGCAAGTTCTTCGGCATGTCGAGCAAGCTCCTCTTCTCGTTCCCGATGCTGCAGAATCTGCTCCTTGCATGCTTCGTAGAGCTCTGTAGCCTCTTGCTGCTGTTCCTTGGCAGTGGCTAGTTTCTGAACTCAGATTAGCAGTGTTCATATATTAACATGTTGTCGAAATTACCTCTTTCAGCGCAGCGAGTACCATGTCGGCACGTTCACGTTCGATATCCGCCTCGTCGAGACGGATGCGTACTTCGTCCCGTTCCTGTTCTAGAGTTTCCTCTAGTTTCCACAGCTTCTCGGAAAGCTCGGTGATTTGTTGGTTGGCATCGATGATTTCTTCCTCTCGAGCCTCTGCTTGCGACTCGAGATGAGCGAGAGCCGCTTCGAACTTTGTGTGTAGCTCGGCAGTGTTCGCCTCAAAGTCTGCGATTTGTTCGCGCAGGCGAGCTTCCTCCTTCTCCTGCTCTGCAATCATATCGCGCATGTCGTCCACTTGTTGACGAGCCTCCGCAACTTCGCCTCGCCAATTGTTCTCGATGTCGCGTACGATAGACTCATGCTCTGCAATAATCTCCTCAATCTCCTGAGACTTGGCGCTGAGCTCTTCCTCCTTCTGCTGGAGTTCGATATTCGTAGCAGCCAGTTTGTCACGCAAAGCATTGATAGAATCTTCGAGCTCTTGCCTCTCTTCTTCGTCTTGAATCATATTGGCTCGAGACTGTGAGCGCTCGAGAGCGTTAGCCTTTTGGCGATGCTCAAGTTCCTCGATATGAAGGGAAAGCGCCTCAATCTTGTCGGCCAATTCCTCCTTCTCCTCTTCACGGATGTTGAGTTCTTGAAGGACCTCCTCCAACTTGTCTTGAAGAATATTGTTCTCGTCCTCTAGGTTTCGCAATGCTTCCTCCAGCTTTGCTCTTCGACTCTCGCCACTTTCCGATGACATGGAACCATTGGGATTCTGTCCCTGTGCCTCCCTGAGACGATCTATCTCGTCTAAGTTCTCCTCGATCAGAGCCTTTGCAGACTCTAGCTCTTCCTCGACTTGGACCAGTCGCTGTTCCAGCTCGTCGTTGCGACCTCGCGCCTCTGAGAGCGCGACATCGTCGCGCCCCGAGCCCATCTTCCTCCTACGCAGCTCTCTGAGCTCTCGCGTCAAACTCTCCACTTGCTCTTCCAAATCTCGCTCCCTCGAACTATTATTCTGGTCCTTCATCTGAGCCAGTTCTTGCTCCATCCGGAGCAGGAGCTTTTTGTACTTCTTTAGCTCTACCCCCCGAGATTGTACCTCGATCTTGAGGTTGATGTTTTGCTTCAGGGCGGCCTCGATGTGATCCGGAGCTAGCTCTGCAAGTCGCTCTTCCAACAGGTGAACCTTGAGTTTGAGCGAAAAGTTCTCCTTCTTTAGTTGATCAACAACCTATTGGAACAAGTAAACGACGGATTTCCCAGGCCCAACGAGGGCACTTCGATGTAACTCGTGGTGTTGCGACACTCGGACGTAGAAGTAGCCTCACCTTTTCCTGCTCTCGTAATGTCATGTTCACACCGGCCTTGGTAGTTGTAACACCGGACTTTGACCGTCCAAGACGTGCTGCTGTAGGGTTGTCGCTTTCCCATTTCCTTCCCATGTCATTCCCTGCATCATCTTCATCCATACTATCGTCCAAGAAGCCGTTTTTGTTGGAAGCCTTTGGCGTTTTGACCTCATCCTCGGTTCCCCGTCGTACGAGCTGTCCCTTGGGAGTAGAAGGCCTATTCTCCGGTCGATTTGAAGAAGAATTTGTCATCGTAGAAGAGCCGGTCAAGGACAACGGTGCTGCCTGCTTGTTCAACATTCTCGGCGGGCTCTTGAACGATTCCTCGAGAGATCCCAAGGAGATATCTGGCATTGTGTTGCTGGATTCATGCGAATCCTCCGCAATGTCGTCAAACTTTAGTCGGAAGGCCATCGAGGCGACCTCCAAATTGGCCAAACCGCGCTTCAACGCCGACCATGTCGAGCTCAAGTGGCACGCGGCGACTGCTCGACCCGCGGCTGAGAATACTCATCGAAAACAATGTCAAAAAGAATCACAGATCGTTTATTGTACTAGTGGGAGATCGTGGACGAGACAGAGTACGTATTTGCTTTCTGCCTGCTTGGTTTTCGCTGCTCAGACGACGCGCCATGTCAGATACCTGGCCTCTATTATCTTCTGACACATGCAAGAGACAAGTTGAACTCGAAACGGAGCGTCCTGTGGTGCTACAAAAAGGAGCTGGGTTTCAGCAGGTCAGTTTGAGAAACACTCTCCTAAGCTTAATCCTGTTCTCTCCTCTGCCATGATAGAAGCTGACTGCCTCTCAGTCACAGGAAGAAACGCGAGCAGAAAGCAAGGATGAATCAAAAGCTCGGAAAGCCGAATGACGATGAATTTGATCTGTTCATCAACTCTGCGGAGATACGATACACGTACATCTTTTCCTTTACTCGCCTATTTGTGCGGCTCACCATGTCCTTAGATACTACAAGGAGTCGCACAAAATCCTTGGCCAAACATTCGAGATGTGCATACTACAGGATTTCGAAGCCATTACTCCAAATCTCCTTGCACAGACAATCGAGACCGTCGAAGGGGGTGGCCTGATCATTCTAATGCTCAAAACAATGACTTCGTTAAAGCAGCTGTATACCATGACCATGGTACGTGAATTAGAATATTACATCCTGTTCTCACCACATGCAAGGATGTGCACTCGCGTTACCGGTCGTCAAGTGGTGACTCCGTCGTAGCTCGGTTTAACGAACGATTTATCCTCTCACTCGCCGCGTGTGATGATTGCCTTGTACTTGATGACGAGCTCAATGTGCTTCCAATATCGAGGGGAAAGGATATTACACCACTGGAGGAAGATGAGCTGCGTTCTGGGGAAGGAAAAGCCGCAGCAAAGCAACTTCAGGAACTGAAGGACAGCCTACAAAATGACCGCTTGAAGCAAGACCTCGTAAATCTCACAAGAACAATTGATCAGGTGAGTCCCGTTTGTTGGCTGATCCAGTAACTCAGACGCGTACAGGCACAAGCAGTGTTGACTTTCATCGATGCGTTGCAAGAGAAGACGCTATCTTCAACGGTTTCTCTTACTGCCGCGCGCGGAAGAGGCAAATCCGCAGCCCTCGGCCTCGCCGTCTCGTCTGCTATCGTGCATGGCTATTCGAACATCTTTATCACCTCGCCCTCACCCGAAAATCTCAAGACATTTTGGCAATTTGTTGGAGATGGGTTGAAAGCATTGGGCTATGTCATCAATGTCGACTACGACGCGATGGAAAGCGTGAGCCCGGAAGTTGGCAAAGGAGTCATCGTTCGTGTCAACGTGTGGAAGACGCATCGACAAACGATTCAGGTATATATCTGGTGGCCTTACTCTTTCTAGCTGACCCTGAATAGTGGATACAACCCCAAGATGCGCATGTCCTAGGGCAGGCGGAGCTCGTGATCATCGATGAGGCGGCTGCAATACCACTCCCACTCGTCAAGAATCTAATGGGGCCTTATTTGGTTTTCATGGCCTCTACGATCAACGGATATGAAGGGACGGGCCGTTCGCTTTCACTCAAGTTGCTCCAGCAGCTTCGAGAAAGCACGCGACCTTCCCTCACCAAGGCACCAGCTGCAGATGAGTCAGCAGCTCTGACTTCCCTGTCTGGCACGCACAGCTCCAAACGAGCGGGAGCTGGGCTTGGGGGTGTCGCCACGAAGGCGCGCACTCTAAAGGAAATACAATTGCAGACGCCGATTCGGTATAGCTCTGGTGATAAAATTGAGCGGTGGCTAAACGGGCTGCTGTGTCTCGATGCCTCAACCTTGCCGAGATCGACCATTTATTCGGGATCACCAAAGGAATGTCAGCTGTTCTCCGTCAGCAGAGACACCCTTTTCTCCTTCCATCCGGCATCGGAGTTGTTTTTACAAAGGATGGTCGCGCTTTACGTCGCGTCGCATTACAAGAATCAGCCAAACGACCTACAACTAATGAGCGATGCACCTCAGCATCGACTTTTCGTCCTTCTTCCGCCTATTGCGGATGACGAGACCGTTCTGCCAGACCCAATCGCGGTGGTGCAGGTCGTGATGGAAGGCTCTATTTCCAAGGAGGCCATTCTGGACAGTATTAGTCGAGGGCTGAGGGCTGGAGGAGACATGATTCCCTGGACGGTTTCGCAACAGGTGCGGGGCTCGCTACTAAAGGAATCGCGTACTAAGTATATCTCAGTTCCAAGAGAACAAGTTTGCACAGCTTTCTGGTGCTCGCGTCGTGCGGATTGCGGTGCATCCAGACTATACCAGGGTGAGTATACGGGATGTTGCTGTAGAATGACTGACCTCAGTTCTAGATGGGATTCGGTGCTCGCGCTCTTGAAGCCCTCAATGATTTCTACAGTGGTGAATATTTCAACCTCGACGAAACGCCTCGTGCACAAAACTCTGTTTCTTTCGAGAAGGCTGCTCGCGTCGGTAAATCGACCACGCTTCAAGAAGAGACGCTCGGACTTCGCGATGTCACAACCATGCCACCACTTTTACAACGGTTGAGCGAGATTCAACCTCCCGCTTTGGATTATCTCGGTGTGGCATATGGCCTGACCGCGCCATTGCTCAAGTTCTGGAAACGTGCGGGGTATATCCCTCTATATCTGCGACAGACACCGAGTGATTTGACTGGCGAGTTTACATGTATGATGGTCCGGGGGGTCGGAAAAGGCGATGGACCTGGAAAGTCGCCGCCGATCGATTGGTTGACGGAATTCGCCAAGGGTACGGCTCAACCATACTTCAGATTGCTGACTGACATTGGGATAGATTTTCGTTCACGCTTCCTTTCTTTACTTTCCTATCGATTCAGAGAGTTTGGCAGTATCCTTGGGTTGCAAGTTTTAGAGGCGGTCAATGGGGGTGCGCGGGACTCCGCGGGTCAAGAACTCGGTGCACCCGAGTTGGGCGTCTTCATCACTGCATTCGATATCAAGCGCCTCGAGGCGTATTCGAACAATATGATCGACTATCACGTCATTCTCGATCTTCTTCCTACTCTCGCCACCCTATACTTTAAGCGTCGTCTCATTGCACCCAAGTCCTCATCTGCGGACACCAATGCCGAAGAGGCGACCAAAGAGCGAAGTGTGAAGCTTTCGGCTATACAGAGTGCCCTTTTACTCGCCATGGGACTCCAGCGCAAGACCATCGAGGAGGTCGGCGAGGAAGTAGGACTTGAGCCGAACCAGGTCTTAGCGCAGCTACTCAAGGTCATCAAGAAGATTTGCAGTGTATTGCAACTGATACAGCGGGAGGACGTGGTCAGCGGATTGCCCGCTATTGCAAAGCTCTCTGTGCAGGATGAGGCCGCTTTAGATGGCGGTGGTTCGTCCGCGTTTGCCGCAAGGATGAATGAGGAGCTTGAGGAGGCGGCAGAGCAGGTTCGACGAGAACTACGTGCACAGGGAGAGGAAGACGATACCGTGATGGCCGACGGGGAAGAAGAGAACGAGAAACGGGCCCGCCAGAAGGAGTTTATCAACTCTTTGGACCTCAGCCAGTGAGTGAGCGAGACACCCAGATCCCTGAGTCTCTTCTGACACTAAGGATCTTCAAAGGTATGCGATTGGAGATTCAATAGACCTGTCTTCGGCGCAAGCCCAGGTGTCCAAGCTGTCCAAGGAGAAGAAGGGCGCTGTTTCCTCCATATTCAGCGTCAAGAGTAACGCTCCGCCACCAAAACGCAAGGCAGAAGCACTCGACGAGTCGAGTGTGAACAAGGCTAAGAAGACACGCAGAGGAAGTGGGAAGAAACAAAAGTAACTTACACTTTTCTTAATTATTACTTGGGCAATATGCACTATTGACTACCTTGGATCCGACCACGTTTCATTTATCTTCTTGAGGGAGGCGACTACGTAAAATGTCGTGGATATATGGTGTATCTTTTCGCTCCTCTTCTATGAAAGAGGGGGGCGTGTCGCCTTTGCCACTCCCAGGATCGCTCGTCGTCGTTACAGATCACAACGATGCACGAGGGACGTTCATCTACACTAAGGCAGCCAGTATAATAGCAAAACAGAGGAATTCAGGTTCTTGTGGCGTGGAACGATGCATCTTCATCAGTTTGATGGAAGACATCGAACACTGGAAAGCGATATTGACGAAGAACGTGAGTAGAGGATTTATGGGAATGTTTTCTAATCTTTCTAGAGTGTCAATTGTGAAAAGGCCAGCGGCGATGGGACGCTGGTGTTTGTCGACTTGCTGTCGAGCAGGGCGGAGGAAGATAGCGCTATACTTTCACGACTATTTACGAAGCTGGAAGTAGAGCTATCCAAACCTCAAGGAACCACACTGGTAATCTTGGACGACCTGGCGCATATGACATGGACAGGAGAGGATGAAGGTACACTAGTGAAATTTCTGTCTTCTCTACGAAGCCTGTGCAGAAAGGTTCGTTCTATGTGATATTTTCTGGGTCATTTTAATTATTCACAGGCTGGAGCCGCCCTCATCGTCGGGTATCGAACACTCTCCGCCGGTTCTCCTGACGAAGCGGCGCATCGCTACCTATTGTCCACGTGTACACTCCACCTAGCGTGTCGACCCCTGAGTAGTGGGAGGAGCGGTTCAGTCTCTGGCGAGGTACGACCTTGCCGATTCATCTGTCCTCGGCTGACTAATAATGTTTCACTGGACAGCTGATAGCTCGCAGAGGCCCTGAAGCGTGGCCGGAGGAAGTGTTGACACCATTGAACATGGTGCTGCATTACCGATGCACTGAGAGCGGCGCGGTTCTGTTTGAACGCGGGAGTGACAAGGTGTTATCGTAGCTACAAACCATTTTGATGCTATTTCGCATCTTAATGAAGCTAGTGCGCGCTTAGAACTTGGCTGTGAGAGTGACGCCATCCACGGCGCGAATTGCTCTGTGGGTTCCCCATCAACCTCCCATGTGGACCGCTTGTGGGTGACGAGAATATCAACGAATCACACTACGACGATAAAAGATGGTTTGAGGTGGGCAGCTGGACTCGAAGAACTTTCCCCCGGCCCTCCATGTCTCATACACCACCAAAATTCGACGAAGAAAAGTCGCTCGCTCGTGTGGAAGAAGCATCCACCACGGATGTACTGCCAGAGGGCTCTGTGGATCCCATTTATTTGGCAAAGGCCAAAGTGCTCAACGACGCGATCCAGAGCATTGGCATGGGCAAATACCAGTGGCATCTTTTCATTGTCACTGGATTTGGATGGTTTGCCGACAATTTGTGGCCAGTCGTCACCGGCATTATCCTCCCTCCTGTCCTCGTCGAATTTCAAGGTTCTAGTGGCCCATACCTCAAACTAGCGCAGAATATTGGTCTCCTCTTTGGTGCATTCTTCTGGGGTCTCGGCTCAGACGTTTGGGGTCGACGAGTGAGCTTCAATATCACCCTCTTCATTATCGGCGTGTTCGCGACTGCGGCCGGGGGATCAAATAGCTATCTCACCCTTGAAGTCATGGCTGCGTATGTTCTTTTCTTTTCTACTAGACCAGGGCGATTCTACACCTTCAATGTCGACACCTGTTCTGAATGTCGTTTCTAGGCTTTGGTCAGTGGGAGTAGGCGGTAACCTTAATGTGTACGTGCTCTGCTCTGGTTTCATTCTATTGGAAACCTTACGTTTAGTTAAAGGGATTCTGCCATCTTCCTTGAAGCATGTCCTGCAAAGAACCAGTACCTCCTCACCGTGCTCTCTATCTGGTGGGCATTTGGTCAACTTATCGGTGCGCTCGTCGCATGGCCACTCCTCGCCAACTTTTCATGTCCAACAACCGCCACAACATGTGCAAAGAAAGACAACATGGGCTGGCGGTACTTTGTATTCACGATGGGAGGGCTTATGCTCTTGCTATGGGCAATCCGATTCTTCGTGTTCGATCTCGCCGAGTCGCCCAAGTTCCTCATGGGACGTAAGGACGAGCAAGCTGTGGAAAGCGTGCATCATATCGCCGCATATAACGGCAAGACATCAAATCTCTCTGTTGAGGACTTGAAGCAAGCAGCGAAAGTGGCTGGTGCGGGTAAAGAACATGCAGGTGAACCGGAGATGGATACCTCGGCCAAGGCTGCAGCATTGCGAACAGTCGAGAAGTTTAGGCTCGATCATATCAAAGCATTGTTTGTGACACCACGTCTCGCCTATTCGTCCACCTTGGTCATTATAATCTGGGCGTTGATCGGACTGGCATTCCCGTACGTTTTTCCCTCTGCTCAATAAAGTAAGGCTGATGCAGGTAGATTATACAATGCCTTTATCACCGTCTTCTTCACTCTCCGAGGTACCGACTTTGGAGATGGGAGTATCGACACAACATAGTATAGTCCTCTGTTTACTTGTGACATCTACTGATCGAAAATAGCCGAAATCTTGTCATTCTCTCTGTGATTGGCGTACCCGGGGCAATTATTGGCGGTTATCTTGTCGACGTGCCCTATCTTGGACGCAAAGGAACACTTTCACTTGCGACAGGTAACTATTTTCGTTGATTAAGAGCGAGCACCAATTCATATCCTCTACTTTCAGTTTCAACCGGTATATTCTTGTTTGCGTCTACGACAGCTCGCGACTCGAATGCACTTCTTGGTTGGAACTGCGCATACTCCTTTACATCAAACATCATGTACGGCGTGCTCTATGCGATGACGGTGCGCGGCCCCCCGTATGATCATCCTCTCCGCTCATTGTAAACACAGCCAGAGTTATTCCCCACCAAAGACCGTGGGACGGGTGTCGGATTAGCCGGTGCGTCAAGTCTCCAAAGAGGGAATTCTCTTGGTCTAATAAAGGCGTGTAGCCACCGCCAACAGAATCTTTGGTGTCATGTCGCCCATCGTGGCGCTTTATGCGGACCTGAGCACCCCAGTACCTATCTACGTCTCTGGTGCGCTCTTTATTGCGTCGGGCCTAATTGCGCTTTTGCTCCCCTTTGAGACTCGAGGAAAAGCCAGTATCTAAGAGTACTCCTATGCCGAGCCACTGTACACAATAAGCATCAAGGAAAAGAGAATAGAAATTTGTTCATCCACTATGGACTACTATACAGATGGGTAGCATAGCTCGTCCACTAGAAGTCCATCCATGAATAGATGTAAAGGGTACTCGTTATTGCGCGTGTGTGCGCTGCGAATGCGTAAAAGAATGAACGTCGCAGACTAGTTGTCATGCGACAGGAATGGCGAGGTTGCATCGTATAATCAGCCGATGCGAGGGGAAAATGGTTTAGAGCGACTTCTTGAACCAGTCCTTCCAGAAGCAGTCCTGCCACCATGCTGGGCAAGAGTTCTTATCGGTTGGGGTGGTGGTCTGCGAGGGGATGGCTACTGGCGCTGATGCACCACCTTCGCCATTGTAGGCAAGGAGGTTGACGGTTCCAGATGGAAGTCCCGTAATGACGTTCTGGGTGCCGAGTCCAAGGAGCTTGCTGGTCAAGGCTGCAGGCGTGAGTGTCGGTTCCTTTGAGAGGAGATAGGCAGCGAGACCAGCGACGTGTGGGGTTGCCATCGAAGTTCCAGAGATCTATTCTATCGTCATTATCAAATAAAAAGAGAGAAAGAGAGTATACGGACCTTGTTCTTAGCGTCGGGGGCCCCAATCCATGCACTGGTAATGTTGACACCGGGCGCAAAAATGTCTACTAGCGATCCAAAGTTGCTGAAACCGGCCTTGACGTTTCCAATATCCACTGCACCGACAGTGATAGCTTCGGGAACGCGAGCGGGGGATTGAGCCGAAGCGTCGACGCCGCTGTTGCCCGCGGCGACAATCATCTGAATACCGGCTGCGATGGTCGTTCGGACGGCATCATCGAGAGCCTGAGAGGTACCACCGCCAAGGGACATGGATCCGACCGAGGGACGGCCCGTCGATTTGGCGTTTTGGACCACGTACTGCAAACCGGCGACGATATCGGATGTCGAACCAGATCCGTTGTCTGCGAGAACCTTGACACCGATGATATTGCTATTTTTGGCGACTCCAAAAGTCTTTCCAGCCGCCGAGCCTGCGCAGTGCGTACCGTGACCGGCGCCGTCTGCGTATTGTTGATTTTAACTACGTAATGTAAAGGAGAGAAGGAACCCGTACCTTGCTTTGGTAGATTGTTGGCGGCAAAGCCAATCGAGGCGCGTCCACCAAATTCCTCGTGCTCGGCGTATACGCCGGTGTCGATAATGTAAATGTCTACGCCCGCACCGGCTGGTTCGGTGTACGAATAAGTATAGTCCATGCGGTTGGTATCGCTACCGCCGACGGGGGTCTGCGAGCTGATGCTCTGAAGGCTCCATGGTGCATTCTTTTGTTGATCAAGAGCATAAAACTGCGGAGGTCATTCAGAACCAAGACGCAAGAGAGGGATTGGAAATGAGCGTACGATGGCATCCTCTTCGACAAAGTCGACGTCGGGAGAAGCAAGGATTGCATCCAAGTCTGTCTTTGAAAAGTCTCCAGCGTACCCTGGGGAGTGACATATTAATAAAGAAAGGGGATTGCACAAAAGGACTTGCCAGAGAAAAAGTCGGAACTATATGACTGGGTAATGGGCGAATTTGAATCCGCGACGCTGAATGCAAAGGGGAGCGAGTCGATATGGACGGCGGCATTGACGGAACTCTTGAGTTTGACAATGTAGCGCCCTTTGACTACGGGTCCGTTGGCTTGTCGTACGGACAGACGCCTAGATTCCTGAACGGGTGCGCCACTGCCAATGGCAACGAGAGCAAAGAGAGTGGCGAGGCTAGAGAAGAGCATGTTGACGAATCGTATGGCAAAGTCGTAAAAGATAACGAGTGGAGGGTTTCAAGTCTGACTTGGGAAAGAAAAGAGAGTGGTGGTCTTAGCGTGTCGACGGCGAGCGAGATCTAAGAATGTAGAGCTGCGAGCTGGCCGGACGTACGGAGCAGAACCGAGATGATGGTGGTGGTGGTCGAGTCCAAGATGTGTGCAACCGTTTGTTGGCCGCTCCCCGGCTTTTGCCAACTCGCATGGGGTCCACAAGGAGCCACAAGACTTCCGGCGCCGGTCGCTCCCTGACGTCCAAATGCCGCGCAGCCAAGTAGGGAAAAAAGGAGATAAAATCCGGATGGAGACCAAACGTGCATGATCTGCACGCAAATGTCAGTTCAGGGGAGATTAGTCAATTCTGGATGCGCCCGCCCGGTGTTGCAGACGCAGACCAGAAGCCACCCCTGTAACCGTCCGGAACGTCTGGCCATTCGAAGACGACGGAGCCACTTGACATTCGTCATTCCTAGAAATCTATTCACAGTAACCGGTTAGAGACGCCGTAAGAAACCTGGAAGCATTGTAAGCGAGCAACGTTTCGAATCAACGCTGTCATTTTCAAGAGTCTAAATACACAATATATTCAAGTTTGGACAATTTTCTGCATTTATTGGAGGGCTGGTGGCAGGTGCGCAGACATGAAAAATGAGAGAAGAGTAGCCAATCAGCACCCTCACTTGCGGGCTATCAAAGTTGTCCCCTCCGGGGGACATATAATAAAATTGGAACGATACAGAGAAGATTAGCATGGCCCCTGCACAAGGATGACACGCTTTACCAGAGATGGTCGATCTACGGATCGAAATATTTTTTTTTGTCAAGTTCCTTTTACTCTTCGAAAGTATTGCTTTGGTGACAAAGCTACTGGACCTACTCTTAGAAAGTGTAGATATGATGTTGGCGGTCATTTATTTTTAGGCGTGTAAGTGTATCAAAGCTGCTCCAGGCGCGGTCTCGCACGCCCAAACCTGAAATGCCAAGCAAAAGCTGTACGGTCGATATTGAAGAAAAATATCCACGTTTGTAACATGTTCGCACGTCGGTGGTTACCCGAACTCTGCCACTGCCACTGCCTTCTCATGAGGTTGTGATCCCTGTTGGCTTCATGCATATTCACTACAGAGCACTCTTTGAAGGAAGAAATCGTCTGAATATTCTGCAAAGGACATTATGGGCTGTCTGTAGTCTCTCCAACATCGACCATGACTACGTGATCCCAGGCTAGACGCCAAACCCCAAAGCTCCCACGTGATACAGCAACAAGTCTGTGCTCAATTGACATGAGAGTCTACGTTATGCCCGTCATTTGGCCGCGCGCTATCCACGGTGGTCATATTCAATGCATCGCCGTTCACACAGGCTGCTACCAAATCAATATCAGGAGATGCTTCTTTCGCTAGACGCGGTGAAACAGTTCACACCGCAAATCGATGCTCGTAGTCCTATAAAGCCTGGCCAGTCTGGCCGTCAACGATTCCTCACCACCTCTTCTTTCGTGGACACCCAGCTCTTTCATCTTTTCTTCGCAGCGGCCAGGCGCCCCTTTCGTATGTCTCTCCTTTTCCTCTCTTTCCTTGCTGACATTTTTCCTAGTTTTTTCACACTTTCAACTACTTTTTTTTCAACAAGTTCTTCTTTTTCTTTATCTTTCAACACCCAACAATCAACATGTTTGTCAAGAACACCCTCGTTGCAGTCCTCGCCGTTGCCCCCGCCATCTTGGCTGCCCCTCTCCCGAGCACCACCTACGCACACTCAAGCTGTTGCTACTGCATCGCATACCTCGGCTGCTCCTCACGAGACCACGACTGCGGTGCACCACCATCACCAACACGCTCACCAGCACCACGACCACCCTCACAAGCACCACGTCCCTGCTAGTGCAGAGGCTCGCAAGGAAGAGGAGCACAAGCTCAAGGAGAAGGAGCACAAGCTCGAAGCCAAGGACAAAGAGCTCGAGAAAGAGGTGCACGATCTCAAGGAACACATCAAGAAGGATGAGAAGGCTGAGCACCAACACCATGCTGCGACGACGCCTGCCCCAACTGCGTCGTCGACTTCTGCCAAGCTCAGTCGCCGTAGTGAGACCGCAGCAGAGCTTCAGAAGGAGAAGCAGCGCCTCAAGGCGCTCGAGGAGAAGAAGGACAAGGTTGAGGCACAGGAAAAGGAGCTCAAGGCTGAAGAAAAGGCCGATGAAAACGCTGACAAGGCTCCTACCCACCACAACAAGCAGCACCACAACAAGCACCACAAGCATGCCTCCTCGACGCACACCTCTACGCACACCTCCTCTACGCACACCTCCACTGCGACCCCGCATCCTACTGCTACCGAAGCAGCAAAGGTCCAGCGCCGTGCCGAGTCGTCCTCGTCCGCTGCCGCCGCTACGTCCACGAGTGGAACGCACCACGCTCACCACGAGTACAAGCAAGCTCTCCAGCGCCTCATTGAGCTCGCCAAGATTATCGAAACGGGTGCTCGCAAGCTCGAGGCCGATCCCTCTGGCAAGCACGCCCTCAAGGCCATCGACAGCCTCGAGAAGAAGTTTGAAAAGATTCACGCAAAGCACGCTAAGCACCACTCTTCGTCTGCGAGCGCTCCTGCTGCCACGTCCACCAAGGTTTAGACGAGTGTATTATACTAGTTTTTTGTTGATTAGAAAGATAATTGATGGGCTTGTTACACAAACCGTGTGATTGTAAATCTGGTGCATCTTGAAAGGAATCGGGAGTAGACGAACACAAAATAAGCGTATGCCAAAAGAAAAGGTTTCGATATGGGTATCCTTGGTATATCATTCCAGAGTCTCATAACGTACAAGGACAAGCTTACCACCGATGGGCACATAGCTACTTGACCGCCACCACCATCTAGGCTCCTCAGCTTCAGTGGTGCCACAGCAAGAGATTTCCTGTAGCAATTCAATCTGGCGTGAGATGTCATGCTCCTCTGATTCTACAGGTGCACGTCGGCTTGACGCCAAACGGCCTTGGGTGGCCGTTGACAGGAGAACTACCAGTCGTCCTAGCTCCCATCGCGTATAGCCACTTGTTGGCGTAGGCTCACCCGCAGTCTTTGCCCGTGGTTTCATTCTCGCGCCCATCCGTCTCGCACGGCCCATACTACAAGGTCAAAAGTTATATAACCCCGCAAACTTGGCTTGCCATGGTCTCTCACCACTTTTCCTTCCTTCGTGGGCATTCCTCTTCTTCTTTCGACGGATTTCACTTTTGGGCCTGGCGCCTTGTAAGCCTTTGCTTCATTCCAACGCGAGCTAGCATCGACTAATGACCATATCTAGTTTTCACCTTTTTATCAACGTCTTTTATTTACCTCGACTTGAATCAATATGCAACTCACCAGGACCTTCCTCGCTCTCCTCGCCACCGCGACTCTTGCACTTGCCTCACCAATTGTGGACTCTACTTCCTCGTCGCTTTCTGTCGAATCTACAGGGACAGCTTCACTGGCCACCCATACTGGCACCGCGGTCGCACATACGACGGGCCATGTACACTCACATCACGGCCATGCGCACAAGGAAGCCCATATCACCAAGCACCATAGCACAACCGACGATGAAGAGGAGAGGCACGAGAGGCACGTTGAAGGAAAACACAAGGAGCACGAGAAGAAAGAGGCTTCTTCCTCCCCCACAGAGACTGCAACGCTCAGCAAACGCGCCGATCCGTATGTCTTTCTTCTTTGGTGCACATCATCCACTAACTGTTTGGCAGAGCACCCACTGCAGCTGCTACTAGCACGTCGTCTGGGACGCCCACTTCAAGCGCATGCCACCATGTCCATACTCTCAGCGCAGCCGAAAGACACGCCGCGGTCGAATTTGCCAACATGTTCAGCGACTTGAGCAAGATTATGGAATGGAGTGCACACGTCATGGCAAAGGCTCATTATCCTGGTCATGGTCACGGTCACGGTCACGGTCACGGGATGATCAAGGATCTGCACTCGCTTCAACGCAAGTTGCGTCGCACAGAGATCAAATTGGGCAAGTACCTCGCAAAGCATGCAAAAGCCAAGTCCAACAAATCTTCCACGACCGCTGCGAGCACGTCAAAGGTTGTGAAGAGGGAGCCCGAGCCGGGTAAGCATCATGGAGAGCGCCACCACCAACACAAGCACGAACATCATGAAGCGGAACCCGCACCTGATGCTTAGTAGGTGAATGTAAGAGTTAGTCGAGTAATATATCTGTCGAATGAGATTGCTGGTCGTGAGACTAAGAAGTCGTCGAGGTCAATACAGGATCTCTTGAATTTCAGCCATAGTTTGAAAGAGTAGTGAATACATTCGAGCGGTGTCGTGTCGACTATAGAGACCTTCGACCTTTCCTCTCCATGGCAGCGCCCTTTGGATCGTGGACAACGGTGCTCACTGCCGCATCCATCATATTCGCAGGACTAGCTGGTTACAAAGCCGGTCAACTGAGCGTAGCAAACCAACAACGGAAAACTCTGTCAGACGCTAAAGGACACGAGGAGCACGACCAGCAAATTACATCCGGTAAAGCTACATCTCAACAAGATGAAGACGAAGAGGATGAAGAGGCGCGTGCAGATGGCGACCTGGGGTCTGTGAGCACGCACGGACCGTGTAAAATGGTCCGTTCCCCTTACTCGTGCTCGACATTATCTTCCGAGTCTAAGGAATGTTAGGTTCTTGTTGTTCGAACCGACCTAGGAATGACCAAAGGCAAAATTGCCGCGCAGTACGTCTTCCGCAAGCACTTCGAATCCAACTGACCATAGTAGATGCGGGTTCGTCCATTTATCTACAACACAACATCTCTAGTGAGAGTCATGACGCGATGTATTAGACACGCTACGCTTGCTTGTTACAAGACAATCCAAAAGGCGAACCCAAAGGCATGTTCCCTGTCTCTTGACGGAAAAAACTAACGACGCACAGCTCCTTCGTCACTGGGAGTGGACAGGACAAGCAAAGATTGCCCTCCAGATAAAGAGCGAGGAGGACATTCTCCTATTGCAGGCCACCGCTCAGAGCCTCAATCTTGTGGCTCGAGTCATTCAGGATGCGTACGTAGAGCTATTATCTCACAATAAGCGCTCACGTTTTGTCTAGTGGAAGGACGCAGATCGAAGCTGGCTCGCGAACTGTCCTGGGAATCGGTCCAGGTTAGGCCCAAAGGTCGTATTTCCACGTCTTCTCACGTTTAATAGGTCCAGTTAAGCTTATAGACCAAGTCACGGGACATCTCAAGCTCTTGTAGGGCGCTATTATTCACCCAATTTCATTGCCACAAAGTTCTGAAAATGCGAATGACCGAGAGAATGCCCGTGTTCAACGTACTCTAAGGATCCTATAGTCATACAGCAGCGTTACAGAAGGCGAGGACACGAGCAGAAAACGCGAGTCGTTTGTCTACTTGCCGGCAGACGAGAACTTGGTGACCGACTTGGTTCCCTCGGAGATGGCGTGCTTGGACAATTCTCCTGGCAGGATGAGACGAACAGAAGTCTGAATCTCACGTGAGGAAATGGTCGACTTCTTCGAGTACGATGCGAGTCCTGATCAACTGTTAGTTTCGGACGTCCGAGAAACATGAGTAATCAGTAAACTGACTGGAAGCTTCGCTGGCAATGCGCTCAAAGATATCGTTGACGAAAGAGTTGAGAATGGCCATGGCCTTGTTGGAGATACCAGTATCGGGGTGAACCTGCTTCAAGACTGGTTCTACGCGTCAAAAACTGCATCTTCTACCGACAAGAAATCACGTACCCTTGTAAATGTACGACGAGTAGGTCTCCTTGCGGGAGCGCTTCCTCTTCTTCTTGTCGTCACCGCCTGGCGCAGCCTTCTTCGCGGTCCTGTAGTGCACCAGCGCCAAAAGTAAAGGGAAAGGGCGTGTGTCAGCCATGATTCATGGAAAACGGACGCGATATTTCCGACACACTCGTCGAAAACGCGTTCCACGGCATCCAACACTCACTTCTTTGCAGCCTTTGTACCCTCGACAGACTTGGCGGGGGCCTTTCCAGCGGTAGAGGCAGGGGCCTTTGAGGCGACGGCGGACGCGGGCTTTGGAGGCATCGTTGGTAGAGATGAAGAGTAGTTTGAGCTGTTTCCTAGTTGTCGACGACGGTCGTGGTCGGGGTCAAGATGGGATGCGCGCACCTGGCCAAACAGACCGCGTTTTTGTTCTTTGGCGGCCGCTCACGTGACCATTGTTTGGGCGCAAATAGTAGAGTCCTGTGGATGCTCCAAAGAGGTTAGAAGACGATAGAAATGCAATGAGAGTACGTTTCTATTCGCCAACAAGCGTTACAATACAATACCAATAATGAAGAGATAAGAAATGACTGGCGAGGCAACGCGAAGTGACAAGTTCATGTAAATGTTAGAGAAAAAAATCACGAATGTGAAAGGAATCGCAAACAGAAGAACATATGCGTGACACAGTCGGGATATCGACAATTTGGTCCGTATTCATATCTAACCGCTCGGCGGGTCCGCTGGAGGTAACGGTCGTTTGGCGATACTACTCCGCCTCTCTTGCGGTTTATTGTTAGCTGGAGGTGGTGATAGCCCAACTTTTTCGGGCGGGAAGCTGTGCGCGGTCACAGAAGGGTTTCTCGGTACAGGAGGAATTGGAAGGGGCCGTCGACCTGTCGACTCTGTCCCGATCGTATTCACCGAATCTGTCGAAAATAGTCCCAACGCACCCGACTTTGGAGTCTGGATCATGGACGAATTGGTGATAGACGTCAGCTCGGACGTGCGTCGAGTGTCAAACGACCTGGCCGGGGTAGGCGGGTAGAAAATGTCGCGATTTTTGGTATCTCGCGGATAGTCACGGAGCGGGACAACTTCCTCAAAGGGCGGTGGTGGAGGGTGACTAGGCTGGTGAGTATGCTGGGTTCGCGGTACATTTTTGGACTTCATCATCATAGCGTCCATGTCAGCAGCTGCTGGAAGGGCCGGTACAGGTGGTGCGTCTTCTTGTGGGAGCGGCGAGGGGCCAATGTACGAAGAAGCAACTGCCGTGCCGGGGCCACGGTTTCCGACTGTCGTCGTCGCCTGATACTCTGATGGTAGGCTAATTACACTTCCCGGAGGGGACGCTTGCTGCATTACCGCGACGTCGGGACGCGGATTCAGTTGGTGTTGGGTGATGGAATGGTAGGATTGCGTGTGCGCGAGCTGCGACTGTACGTAGGATTGTGTCTGCTGCGATTGTGATCGAGAATGGGATTGCGTGTGAGAGCGCGAACTGGAAGAGACACCGCCATCTCTGCGAACGAGCCGTTCCTTTTCAGATATCGACGGGTTGCTGCTTGACGTCTCGGGTTTCTTCTTCTTCTTTTTCTCCTGTCTCTCCTGTGATACCCTTGGTGCACTTCGGACCGAAGGTGTGGGATCGATTAACCCAGCTCTCGAGCTGTTCGTGGGCCGCCTCAAGGTGAATGGTTGCGCCTGGCGTATTCTCTCTTCCTTTTCGATACGTTTGATCCTTCGTATCATCAAGAAGATAATGAGTGCGACAAGCAAGAGTGCCCCCACGCCGCCCCCGATCGCGGCTCCTAGTTTTTTGCTGTCGTCTCCGGCCGGGCTTGAGAACGATGTCAGCGCAGTGACAATTGCATACTGTTGTACATACCTTGCACTTGCCGACGGCGAGGAAGTCAGACTCGAAGATGAAGGTGGGGACATTGTTTGCGGAGTTGCGGTGCTGTATACCGCGCCTTGAATCTATAGGTAGTGAGTCGAGGGAATAGATGGTGGGTAAGAGCACCCACATAGAAGGGAGTGGTTTCGCCGATGAGAGTGAGCTGTTTCGGAGCATGTCAAGGGCGAACAGATGGCAATACAAAGATACGAACTGTAACAGTATGAGAGGTGAATTCGAGAGAGGACCGTTCGAATATTTTATAGTTGACGTCGATGCCGTCGAGATGCTGTGGAGAATAGGTGGGCTGGACAGTCTCTCCTGTTCTGTCGACTTGGATCGAAAAGTTGAGAGAGTTATTCTGGACGCCGTCGTCCACTGTTCCGAATATAGCGACGGCAGTCCCATTAAATGTAAAGGATGCGGTGATTGGTGCTGCGGCATTGGGGGCGCGCCTCCCTCTGGAGAGCAACATATGAGCAAAATGGGTAGATGTAAGAGGTATTACATACATGAGCCAGTTTCCGGCGTATATATCGAGGGTTTTGTTGAGTGTCCAGGTCTCACCCGTCGTTGTCCACTTAGTAGTGTCGTTGACATAGACATGGACGCTTGTAGAGCCATCTTGGGCGTTGACGAGGTGTATTTGGTGTGCAAGGAGTGCAAAAGCGAAGCAAAGGAGCGTGAAATGGGAGAAAAGACGGTAAAGGAGGGGTGCAAGGACCATCTGGGAGTGTCGACGAGTTTGTAGACGTCGCCGGAGAGAATAAACTCGCGAGTTTAGAGCATCCAACGGGGATGCAGTCGACGAGGATCAGGTCAAAGCGGGTGTCGCTGACCGTGAGAGTGCGCCAGCCTGGGAGCCGTTACCGCCAATAAATCCGCTGAACTAGCGTCCATGCGCATATAGCGCTTATTCAAGGTTTCAGGCTGTTGTCGGGCTATTACCATCTTGTAGCATATAATATTTTCTCACAATTTCCGCAGATCCTTGATAGGGACAAACTATGGGCCCTAGTCTTGTTTCTTGTCTCCGCTTAACGCCGTTAGTGGTCCCATAGGGGATTGGTGGATCTTGCTAGTCTAACGGTCACTAGTCAAGTCACTAGTCAAGTCTACTGGATACAGCCTTGACCCGACCATGTTCATCCAATCCCGTAGACTCACCACCCTCCCAGACTTTACGACAAAAACCCTCATCCTAGTCTGTTCTACTTCACATTTGGGCATGTTCTAGAACTAATGACCTGATAGCCGTCCATCTCTAAAGGCAACGTCCCCCAACTCGCCTGCGACCTGCTTATTGCCTCTCTCGGACTGCAGCATGTGGGATCGCTCGACCCCAAATATCTCGTCCCTGTCGTTGGAGGTCGTGAACGAGGTGAACGCGGCATCTCGACACCTCTCGAGCGTACGTAGCCCCGCGCATACGCGTCCCCGCCACTCAACATACGCCATTTCCAAACCGTATTAGTCTTTTCTAGCAATGATTCCCCTGTTGCTATTGTGCAGCAACGATCACCGGTGCTCAAGGTAACTCGCCTATTACTCCCAAGTGGCGATGGTGATTGATGACGACTGCAGGCCTACAAAGAAGAGTTTGTCAAGGAACTAGTTGACTGGATACAAAAATTCAGCTTTAAATCCGTCGTCGTTCTCGCTGGCATGGACACGACCAACCGCTCAGATGCCCAGATGCAGTACGTTCATATATCAGTTCTCTCATCACTCATTCTTACTATAGAATTCAACTAGATCACCGTCATACTATCTTATCCCACCGTCGACATCCTCCCTTCCGGACCAGCTCAGCGAGAGACTTTCGATTCTACCAGCCTATGAAGCACCCCCCGTACCTTTGTATCTTCAGAAGCCAGACAGCAACAGTGCGCAACCAAAGGAAGATGGTGGTGTGCCAGTCATCCCAGGAGGCGGCCTCGCTCGTCGAATCCTCAGCAGTCTATCCACTGCCAACATCCCAACGCTAGCGATTCTCCAGTTTGTCATGGAAGGTGATAATAGAGGGGATGCGGGTATGATGGTCGCCGTTCTCAACCGCGTCCTCGACCTTGACCTGCAAGGTCCGTCCTTGCTCTTTACTTTACGACTCGCCCTGCTCACTGGAATCCCATAGCAATAAAAGAGCCAGGAAGCTGGAAGAATGGTCTCTTTGGCTCAAATCATGATGGCTCGTTGTTTGGTTAAGTGTACATTATGTATCGAAGAGAAAACGACTATAGCAGAGGTACCTAGGCTCACATTCCAAGAAAGGAGGTTATTGCGTCTGTTCGACATAGTAAGGTGGAGGAGGCGCGACGTTCCATCCTTGTGCCCCATATCCCAATCGTGCAGAATTTCTCGATGCACTCTTCCCGCCTACTCCTCTCGGTGGTATCGCGCCTGTTTGGGGCACTCTCTCCGTCCTGATTGATAGGCTCGTTGTTCCAGAGCCCAGTAGATCCTCGTCGGACCACCGCGAAATGACAGTTGACACCAAATCGCCTCCTCTAGCACGTACGATATGGTATCTTTCTGACGTTATATCGGAGTCTCCTGCTTCTAGCTTGGACGAGACAGACGACCGGTCGTCCACGCTCCCGCCGACATGGTGCTCCTTCTGTCCCTGTAGTCCACTGGATTGTTTCGACGTTTCGTTATCCCGCGCTTCGTAGGGCCCCGTTGGAGAATGTGACCTGGGCGTGCTGCAATTTCTCCAACTCGCGGCGCCAGACAACTGTGTATTGCTTGGTTGTTGCAAGGTGAATGGAGTCGGAAGCATGTCTTTTGCTGAAGGTAAATTTGAGGGATCGAATCTTACTCTCCGTGTGTGGAGGAAAAGGGAGACGAGAGCGGCAAGAACGAAAACGAGAATGAGGCTTCCCACAATGATAACAGATATGAGCGAGGTATTGGAAAGAGAGGATCTGTGGATCTGCGATCAATGATACGTTGTGGTTGCGGGCAAGAGGACGTACGAAGCTGCAGCGTCAGGATTCGTGTAAACTAGATAATCAAAGAGGAATTGCGAATTTTCTTGCAGCGATATAGAAACCGTATGGTTCGTCTCTTCCAAGTGGTGAATGGAGAACACGGGCACATTGTAGCGGTACATATCCCCGTTTTGTGCAAGGAACTCCTGGCTATAAGTCTTGTTGTCAATATTGAGCACCAAGCTGACGTTTGAAGTGGTGTTTAGAGATGTCTAAGATCATAAGGCCAGTGAATTTAGACAGAAAGGGGAACGCACCACGTTGGCGATTATCCCGTAGATGTACAAGGCGGTTCCTACGACGGTTGATTCAAAAAAGGTACACGAGTCAAGAACGGAACATACCAGTAAAATTATAACTCAGGGAGACTGGAGTTTCGAAATTGCGCGTCGCGTTATGCCAAGAGTGGTTGTAAACAAGGCTTGGGTCAGGCATCATCTGGCAACTACAGGTTATCCTTAGTCGCAAGTTGTAGTCAAAGGAAATACATGGGCGTACCTGCCACAAGTTTGCCCAACGTTCCACGGGCCAGAGTAGTGAATTTCTGGATTGGTATCATCGATAGTAATGTTCCGAGCGTATGTGTACTGGAAGAGTAAACTGATCCCCAGGAGTGCAAGACAAACCGTGTTGCTCCCGTCGCGCACGGTTCGCCTCAGCCCCGACGGACGCATACACAGCTCTGGAGGGATACTAGAACAGAGTAGCAGAGCTAGGACGAGAGGCTGATTTTAAAAGGAATCGTATTGTGGGCGCGGGCGCAGTGGCAGTGGGCTGAGGCTCGACAATGGGACCTGTGAGCCCGCGGGCGATTCAGCAATTTGAGCCTGCATTTAGATACAGAATTAGGGTTGCCGTAAGTTTGTGAAAGGAGTAAAGGTCATTATACCAACGGCGACATGCGCGGTGAGTCTCATAAAAGGCAATGATCAAGGGCGTCCTTGATTTTCGTCAGATTTGGTTGGGTTCAAACTCAGCATGCCAGATGCCGGTCCAAGGCAATTTATACATCAGGTGCCTACTTATAAGGTGTATATGCTTTACACCGTGCAGTGAATAACGCGACTGGTTAACCTATATGTCCGAAAGTATCCATCCAACAGGGCTTTTCGCGTCCTACTGGGACGGTCCCGCATAGTAAGAAGGCGGCGAGGACCCTGTCGGCACCGCTCGCAGCATCATAGCATCATTATAACCTTCGTCGCCATTTGGCAGCGTAGGTAATGGTCCTGTATCTGTGGTCTTCTCCTGTAGCCCCGATGGTGTCTGTTTGGTGGTCGTATACACCGATGGATCCAAGCTACCTGTCATACGAGGATCCAAGCGGTCTTCCTTCCCCTCTAATGACCTGGCGTCCGATAGTAACCGCGTCGCTCCGTCAATAGCCTCTCCACTGCGTCGAACAGGCGAAGGGGCTTGATTAATGGACACCCCTTCTGCTATATCGGTGGGTACGGGTGCCGAGTGAATAGTCTCGTCTACGTACAACTGCTGCTGCTGCTGGCTCACAGCGCTCTTTCTCGGCGGTATATAGGCGGGATCAGTACCCAGAACAGCAGCCCAGGGGCTGTTTTGAGAAGTTGGGCGCGCTTGATTAGATCTTTCTATGGAAGACTGGACTTGGCCCCCACCCATGGCGGGAGCCTCGATACCGTTGTACGCATTGGTCTCGCTGGTCGTGTATCTGGATTCCATGCCTTGTAAGTTTCGATGATAATATGCATTCGGCTGGATGTGATTAGGCTGTGGTAAATGGCTGCCCCCACCGCTCGACGCCGACCGATATGGATCAGCGATAAACGTCGGCACTGGTGGCACGGTCTCCGCGATGATGGAAATCTTTCGTTTCCTTCGTATGTAAAAGAAAACGATCACGGAGATGATGAGGATAAGAAGAACACCTCCAGCCACTGCGCCTGTGATCACGGGTGCACTAGTCGATGAGCCGAAAGCTAGACTAGAAGAACGGAGACCCACCTCGAACCCGAAGAATTTGTAGGAGACGGCTGCATCTCGTTTCCGCCCCCAGTCGTGTAGATTAAATAGTCAAAGTGAAACTGCGATCTGGGCTGCAAGGCGATGCTCATACGATGAGAGACATCGGACAAGCCATGGATGGCAAAGACATTTGTGTTGTAGCTGTACGAGTTCAAGTTGAGGGGTTGAAAGGCAAAGGCTGCGATGTCGACGCCGTCAATGTTGAGGATGAGGTTCACGTTGCTGATAATGATGTCGTTCACCTGTTAACGGATGAGTGAATGTTACACCGTGTCAGGGGTTCAACGTACAACATTGGACATGATGCCGTACACGTAGAGATCAGTTCCTATTCAATATATTGGCATTTATCAGCGAGATACGACATTACGCACCCTTGAACGTATAGTTGACAGTGACGGGATCGCTTCCAATCCGCGTGGTATCGTGCCATGTCCTGTCGTAGACATAATTTGGATCTGGATGGAGAAGGCATCTGCATAGAAATATGAGCTTCGGGTTAGCTGATCCACGCGGAAAGCACGCACACCGTGCAAGTCTGGCCGACCCTCCAGGCACTCGAGTATAGAAGGTTCGAGTTTGCATCGTCGACCGTGATGTTACCAGCGTACGCATATCTTCGAGACATGTGGAGTCCCAGTATGAGCAACAACAGTGCTTGCAAGATCTCATAGGGGAGTTGTTGCCAGCGAGCCATGTTCAATACGTAGCAACGCGGGGCTTGAACGAGGGAAGTTTACCCCTAGGAATAAGCTGCCTTGGAGAGCTCCAGGTTCAGATAGTGGATTAACGGTTTGACACCAGCAGCACTATATATCACTTCGGTAATGGCAGCCAGGTGATATATACCTGAACTAGACCTTATATGCATCCCGGAGAATCGCGAAAGATCTGGGAAAATTGAGTGAGAGCCATTCGGCCGGTTTATCTGGAGTCTATCCAGACAAACCACCTTGACGGTTAGGTGCCAGCACGCTTTGGTAATGGCAGCCAGGTGATATATACCTGGAGCAGACCCTAGATGCATCCCGGAGAATCAATTCGAAAGATCTGGGAAAATTGAGTGAGAACTATTCGGCCGGTTTATCTGGATTCTGTTCAGACAAACCACCTTGATGGGTTAGGTGCCAGTATATCAGAATGTGTAGATAGCTGTGAATAAAACTGATTTTTCGGGTTTATATTGTATATGTGGAGTACCGGGTAGGCGGCCGTTTTGTCAACGGGCTGCATGAGTCTCGACGGTGGTAAGCCAAGAGGCATCATGTGCTGCGAAGATGCATAGCACCTGGTTCCTGAGATTAATGACACAGAGACGCCCAAGTACGTCTGTGCCGCACCAGTCAAGTCTGTAGACTATTACTTGAATAGTTGGGGTGTGTCCATATAGGCAAGTGGTTTGTCGAAAACACCTGAAAGACTCGTCAAGCACATAGATTAAGCAAGCAGAATGCATTTCAGATGCTTTGGCGGCATACTCGCTGGATCGACGGTGACTAGCTCCAGTCCACGTCAATAGAGTATCACCGACAGATTTCAAGCACCGGACTTGCTTGTGTCAATAGTCGCATTATGGTATGTGCAATGCTAGACAACCCCTTGTTACGACTGGGCCTTCTGGAGCAGTTGGCAAGATTTAAAGCGGTAAATCGACTTTCGTCAACGAAATTGGTAATTTGGGTATGCGCGAGGCTGGTAGGGTCATTGCAGCGGCAAACATTAGGTCCAAGTTGAAGGTAGGTGGCAAAGGCGTAGAGCATGCCAAAAACAAGTGACGAGAGTCAAATTTCGTGTTGCAGGCAATCATTAGTAGCCCTCGAGAGTGTTTAGAATTCGTACGTACAACACTGTAGAGAGTGCGACAGGCCAACCCTATATGTATATGTCCGAGAGTATTCATACAACAAGACTTTTCACGTCCTACTGGGGCGGTCCGGCATAATAAGGAGGCGGTGGAATCACCGTTGACGCCCGCCGCGTCGTCGCAGCATCATCTTCCCCACGAGACGAACGCACAGGAGCCGGCCCTCTATATGCGTTCTTCTCGTGCAACCCTGGCGCCGGCTGTTCAGTGGGAATCGTATACGCCGAGGGCTCCGAGCTACCCGCCGTCCGAGGCTCCAAGTACACTCTCTCCCTTTCCAGAGGTCTCGCTCCTGATAATAGCGGCGTCGCTCCGCCAATAGCTCCACCATGTCGAGTAGGAGGAGACGCGTGATCGCCAGAGCTCCCCTCTGTAATCTCGGTGTATGTGGAAGGCGAGTAGATCCTGTCGCCTACATACCGCTGCTGCTGCTGGCGTAGCACACTCTTACCGGACGATATATAGCCGGGGCTAGTAACAGCCCCAATACCACCCTGCAATGTTGGATCAGGACTTTGCATGGAAAGGTGGGCTTGGCCGCGGCCCATGGAGGGAGACTCGATGCCGCTGTACGCATTGGCCTCGCTGGTCGTGTATCCGGACTCCACGCCTTGCGAATTTTGGTAAGGATGACCATTCGATTGGGTGGGATTAGGTTGCAACAGATGGCTGCTCCCACCAGTCGACGGGTATGGATTGACTATAAATGCCGGCGTCGGCGGTACGGTCTCTTTTATGACGGCAATCCTTCGTCTTCTTCGCATGAAAAAGAAGGCGATCGCGGCGAGAATGAGGAGAAGAACGACACCTCCGGCGACGGCACCTGCAATCACGGGTGTATTATTCGATGGGCTAATAAAGAGTCATTATAGAGCACCAATAGGGTTGACAAATATTTCACCTCGAGCCTGAAGAATTTGAAACAGGCGTCTGCAACGAATTTCCGCCCCCGGTCGTATAGATCAAGTAATCAAACGAGAACTGCGAGTTGGGCTGCAAGACGACACTCATCCGATGAGACTCATCGGACAAGTCGTGGACGGCAAAGACGCTCGTGTTATACTGGTACGAGTTCAAGTCGAGGGGTTGAAACGCAAAGGACGCGACGTCGGCATCGTCAATTTTGAGGATGAGATTCACGTTGGAGACGGTATTGTCCATCACCTGCAAACGATGAGGGAATAGCATACCGTGCAGAGGGGTCAACGTACGACATTGGACATGATGCCGTATACGTAGAGGTCAGTTCCTATTCTGCAGATTAACACTTATGAGCAAGAGTTTGAGGGATTGTGTACCTTTGAAAGTATAGTTTACAGTCACGGGACGATCGCCTGCGTTCCGCGTGGCATCATGCCATGTTCTACCGTAGGCAAAATTCAAATCTGGATGAAGGTGACATCTGTTAATCATCAGTTTTGAGCTGGCTTGTCTACGCGCCAAAGCACGTACATGTTTCCACACGTCTGACCAATCCTCCACTCGGTTGAGAACTGGAGGTCGGAATTCGCATCGTCGACGGTGATATTACCAGCGCACACATATCTTGGAGTGACGTATAATCCTAGCACGAGCAGCGACAGTGCTTGGTAGGAGGGCCGTTGCCAACGGGCCATCTTGATGCGTAGCGACGCTGCCTTTGCGGCAATAGAATGAATAATTTTATAGCGTAGAAAAGTGGCTGTCGTGGAGGGGTCCAAGCTTTGAGGGTAGATCGACGGTGTTAACGCAGGTAGCGGTACACTGTAGCGTATGGGTGGATGCTGGACCCTGTCATTAAAATGGCAGTGGCATATTGACCATATTGCTATGCATTTGCTGCGGGCAAATGTTGTTCATTTCCGATGGATATCCTAGTTATTATGTACGTGTTAAGCGCCGCAAAGTGGGGGGCGAGTTCCAACCTTGAACCGCCACTTGGCCTCGTCCGCATTGGCGTGGAGAGCGCCGATAGCGACCCGGGATGGCTCTGGGCAATGCTCGTCGTGCAGATGAGTCTCCCATCCTGATCGCAGTATCTGCGGTCGCGGTTGCAATTGTCCTGGTGCTCCTGGGGCTCCTCGTTGCGCTACGCGCTAGACATATAGCACTGCGGCAGCTCGAAGCAGACCGATTGCGCTACGAATACGAGAACAAACTCGCGCTTCGGTTTACGGACAAGCCGGCGCTGTTCAACATCTGGATGGCGCCGCCCTGCGACTCGCGTGACCAGGAAAATGAAGCGAGGAGCCAAAAGGAGTGGAATGCAATCATGGTGAGCTTATTTCGAGGCTAGCTTGCCGTCTGCAAAATGCTCATTCAGTATCAACCGGTTGGCAGCCCTTGCTGGTGGCGAGACCGGAACCTTCGGAGCGGGGAATAATGTCCTCTGAAGCCTCTGTAGGTGTTCTGATTCATCTACCGGACCGACATAGGCCAGCCAGACGTGCCAGTCGCCCGTCGTTGGAACACATGAACGGATTCTCGGAGCTTGATGTTGTATTTGGACTTGCAACACCCGTCATTGTCGGTCGTCCACCATGATGGAGAGTTTTCTGGTGGAACCCCGCGTGACCCTAGGCTCTGGGAGATTTTGTTGTACTGTGTAATCGAATATTGTAGACTTTGGCCAAACATCCGGTAATCTAGCAAGTTGAAAACGGATCAGGAGTCGAGCTGTGACCATCGCAGGGCTGCAAGAGGAGCACAGATTGGTTAGAATGTTCTGAGAGAACAACGTCGTAAATCCCCATTTGAAGCCGATTAAACGCGTCGTCGAGCAGCTTGGACCCGTCCATTTCGTCTGCATGGCTGACCATCCCATGATGAGCTCGTCCAACGCCGGCACCGTCGTTTCAGAGGCCGTCTTGACCCAGATTCTTACTCAGCTCGAGTCGCTCACCATTTCTAATCAAGTTCTACAAGCAAAGGTATGCTCCTCGTCGCTTTTCGACGTTGCTTACGATGCCCAGGTCGATGCGCTGAGTTCTGCCGGCCGTCCTTCTGCCCCTGTTGCTGTCCCGATCAACCAAACGAGCTCCCCAGCCGTCACAATCAACGGATCTTTTCCATCTGGATCACCTCCAATGACAACTTTTGGTCTCTCGCCGCCCGCCACCGTCCTCCAACGGCCCCCAGCGCAGCCAGCGCCCGTTTCGCAGGATCGCGAAAAGGTCCTCTACCCTCAACGTGTTATTCTTACCAGTGAGTCATCTCGTCTCGTCTCGTCGGCATCTTGCACTCCATCCGAGGTTTGGCGAAACCGTGATTGCGCTCCAATCTCATAGACACACGTTCGTCAGAATACTGACATTTCTTCTACTTTTTCAGCATACCCAGACCAAACAGGAATTCGTCCCGTTCCGCTCAATTGGGGTGCCCAGGATCCCAAAGTACGCGGACCCGTCGTTCCCTCTCGTCTTCCAGCCTCGATCAAGCTTCGCAACGCGATTGGTGCACACTCTGGCTCATACTCGATCTACCGAGCCCTCGCAATCGCACTCGGCAACCTCAATCCGACACACAAGCCCTCGTACGCCAACACTGAGCCACCCGTCGCCATCCCGCCACAGCCGGCCTGGTTTGACCCGCGAAAGATTGTGTCGTTTGATCCATGGGGACATCTCGTCCCCCAGATTTGGGCAGAGCAGATAGAAGCCGGTCTCGACATTCGTCCCAGTATCGCTGTCACAAAGGCGCATATCAAGCTGAGCGAGCTTGACGAGGCGGCGAGAAAGGGAACGATCAAGGTCGATGGCACACTCGTGATCAAGAGCCGACCTATTCTCAATGCAGATTATACAGAGTCGGATGTGGATCCTGGTGTAGAGTTGGCGTGCAGTAAAGCCGCCGTCGAGCCCGTGTGGTTCTTGCCTGGTGTCGCCGAGCGATTCAAAATGTGAGTTTATCCAAGCCATGTTGACAATGGTGTTCTAATACGTGCATTAGTTCAGAGGGTCTCTTGAGGCGCGCCTTGTTCGAGGATACGGGAGGAATGTATCCAGAGCTCATCACGCGTCCGGATATCAAAGTCTTCCTCCCGCCCATTGGTAATCTGACCGTCTACATCTGTCAGTACTCCCTCATTTGGTCCGTTTATGCCATCTGACACGATTACAGTCGGCAAACCAGAATACATGAGCGACACATCCAAGGAACTGACATTGCGTGTGCACGACGAGTGCAACGGCTCAGACGTCTTTGGCTCGGACATTTGCACTTGCAAACCCTATCTCATCTTTGCCATTGAAGAATGTATCCGAACCGCACAGCGTGGTGGTGTCGGCGTCGTCGTCTATTTCCGCAAAGAGGGTCGAGCGCTCGGCGAAGTGACAAAGTACATCTCCAACCAGTTTTCTGTTTTTCGTTATGCTAACCCTCTACAAGGTATCTCGTGTACAATCTCCGAAAGCGTGGCGGCGATAGCGCCGACAAGTACTTCAAGTCGACCGAGATGATTGCGGGCGTCAAGGATATGCGGTTCCAAGCACTCATGCCAGACGTCTTACATTGGCTCGGCATTCAAAAGATTGACAACATGATCTCCATGAGCGACATGTGCGTCCACCCCCTTTTTTTAAAAAAACACAAAAACACTCCGTGCTGACGCGTCTTAGGAAATACAACGCCATTGTATCCTCTGGCATCCCGATCCTCAAGCGATACGACATTCCCGACCACCTCATCCCGCCCGACTCGCGCGTCGAGATTGACGCAAAAATTGCTGCTGGCTACTTTTCGAGCACAAAGGCCATTACTCAAGAGGACCTCGCAAAGACGGTCGGTCGTGCATGGGAAGAGACGGAGCATTGATGAGCAGTGGAGTGTATGCGCCGAGGGAGTTCATGTAGATTGTCAATCATCGTCTCATTACTATTGTATTATTGGCATGCAATCAGTGATTATTTGTTCACATTCCGAGCAGACTAGTCAGATCTGCTTTTGCTTTCATATTATAAATACACACAGACTAGAAACCCAGGTCGTAGTAGTATATGAGATCGTGCAGCATAACAAAGACTGGTCGAGGACTGGTATATCTCGCGTCGACCCGTCTGGGTGAAAGATGAAGACTGCCGTAAACGCGCGTTCTCGTCGTGGCCCCTTCGTGTTTGGTCCTTGGAATCCAAGTTCGTATGGGGGACGCTCGTAACGCGTAACAAAAGGCAAAAAGGTATCTGGATCTGGAAATCAGATGAGAGCACCCCAGCAGCCCAAGCCAGCAAACAAGACGGCAAGCGAGACCAAGAGGCCCACATAGCTCGCAGTGTGCACGCCAATCCGCGGGAGGGCCTCGATCCAGAGCATCGATAGGAAAAAATGGAAAGGACCGCCGCGCAGATGATGGGTACCGTCGTGTCCTTGACTTTAGACCAGTCGACTGCCCAGTCTTGCTGGTAGGTTGCCGATAATAGTACTTTTAAAAGGTTTGGATCGTCGACGACGGTGGTTGCTGGGAGGTAGAATGCGCGCAGGTAGGCTGCAGAGACGAGGAGCGTCAAGCCCACTGAGAGCAAAATCGAGTCGAATCGCTGGAGCGCGATGAGAAACACTGGGATCCGAGGGAGCGGGGAGCCGTAGACGCCTTCGAGCTCTGCACGTTGTTTGCGGACGAGCAAATGCGACAGTTCGGCCTCGAGGTCCATGGGTGCCGCGATGAGAATGGTCGATTCTTGGAGTGGCTCTGCTTCTTGTCCTTCCTGAGCACCTTCGTATGTTGCCGTGAGATCTGCAGACGATACATGCTGTGGGGTAAGGGTATAGACGATATGGGACGCCGGTCTCTTGAGTGCTGGGTGTGCATCCTCCACCGCCGATGTAGACTCTCTCCTCTCATTTGCTGTAGAAGACCGTCGATGCTTCCCATGGGGAGGCGGGGAAGGGGACGAGGTCGAATCGGTCACGGGACCATGACTATCGTGACGAAGGTGTGGGCGATGATGGTGGTGTGACCACGCATCTCTGTAGAGTGCGAGTTGTTCGTACCCCTGGACGATACCAACTGCCACGTCCATCGTTGCCCATCCGAGCGCAAGCCACCAGACTTGGGTAAACGCCGCGTCCCAGACGTCAGGAAGAGGCGCCCAGTCGTCTAAGGGTGTACCCCCATCTCCACCTCGTAGCAGAGATTCTTCAGAGGGTCGTTCGAGGTGAATCTGGAGCACGACGAGCATGGCCAGGCGAATGGCTTCTTGTGCAGAAACGTGCAAAAACGTAGAGAGCGCCATCGTCCACGAATTGAAGTATGTGTTGCACAATGTTGAAATGTAGAGGATTGGGATGCGCAAGGCGTACGAGACGACGTAGGAACCCGCCGCGAGACCAAACTCGCGAAGGGGTGAGGGATGGACGGTGCGGGGCCACACTAAAATCTTGAGGAGACCAAGTAGAAGGAGAATGAGTGTACTGGGGATCGTGACAGCGAGCGTATAAGAAAGAAGTGCGCGTCGATACGAGGCTGCGGGGGACCAATATGAGCCCAAAAAATTCAAGATATAATATGAATAAGTACGTACGAGGAGGGTCAGCATATACAGAGGTTCGTAACCGTGCTTTTCTTCGTCGGGAACGCGCCCGGCGCTCGCTCGACGGCCGGTGGTCTACCAGGGACCCATAGGAGAGCTGGGAAGCGTGTCTGTCGAGCAGAGGCTGTTGCAAGTGCTGCTGGGCGCTGCGGACGGGCGAATTTTGGTCAGCGTCGACGTCGCGCGCGGTCGCCGTTCTAGACGACGAGGACGGCGTGGCGAAGAGTCTCATGAGACGACTCTTTGTGGTGGATATCTGCTAGAGTTTGGAGACGGAATGGTGGGCGGCGGGGTCAAAAGGTTCAAGGTTTATATAAACTGTACGCAATCGTTGCGTCAAAGCACGAGGCGAGCAGGCAATTAACCATGGAGACACTCAGAGGGCACACACGAGCGGAACACGACAAATTGATAAGTATTCACGATAGGACAGCGTTAATGTTAAGCACGGATGACGCGACAGGGTTATACAAGGCAAAATGGGAGCGACACGGCCGTCTTGAACGAAAAGGGGCGACGGGGGACGTATCGCTCACGAGAACAAAAGATTGCACCATAATGGTGGCAGCAGCAGCGGGCAGTGGGCGGTGGCGATAGAGAGGGGGGGACTCGAGCATCGAGTGACAGCGAGGGAGGACACACAGCGACGAACGCACGACGAGCGAGTGAAGCCTAAGCCTCGTGGCATCGTCGACGACTGTCGCTGCACATCTTCGTGGCAGCACCGAGCTCGAGGGAGGAGAGGAGGAGGGGAGTTGTCATAATGTTAAGCGCAGGCCTTGAGAGACGGCCTAGATAATGGTCAGCAAGCATCCAGTAAACACCAATAAGCAGTAGACATACCGAGAGTGAAACGCGCGGCGCCTTAGTGTACAAGGCAAGAGAGGCGAGGCGAGGCAGAGGCAGAGGCAGAGGCAGAGGCAGGCGAAAGCGGAGAGAGAAACGAGAAACGAGATGGAATTAGTGGAAGATGTAGTCTGATTCTGTCGATTCTGCAGAGCAATCTGAGCCATAGGACGAGCTCGAGTCCCAGTCGTCCGACGAGTCCATTTCCTCGTCCTCTGACTCTTCCTCGGACGAAGAATCGAGCTGGGGCTCGCCTGGACCAGGCTCAAAGCGCTCCTGAGCGACAATGGCGTCGAGGACGACGCGGAGGCAGGCGTCGAGGACCCACCAAAAGTTGCGGCCCTCCATACCGACGCAGTTTCCATTCTCTGCGAGGTCACGGATGAACCAGGCGTGGGCGCGGAGGACTGGATAGGTATAGTTTGCAGCCATCTTGAGGGACATGGCCCACTCGCGACGGCGCTGCTCAAAGTCGATTTCCTGACCGACAAAGTTTGTCAAGTCTTCTGCGAGCGGACCGAGGAGGGCGCGGATGAGGGCCTTGTCGTTGCGGAAATAGGTGTATGCGAGGAGATGGCCAAAGGTAACCACATTGTCAATCTTCATGCGGATAAAGGGAAGCTCGCCACGGGCAAACTCCCACTCTGGCTTGATCTCCTTGCCGTCGGTGAACACGGGCGTGCAAATGTCCATGGGCTCGTACTCTGGAATCCCCCCGAGACGAGACCAAGACGCGCGCAAAAAGGCGCTGTGGACGGGCGAGATGATGTTGTGCTTTCCCTCGGACTCTGTCTGGCTCCAGACTTGGACGAGATGGGTCGGCATTGGTGTCGTGTCCAGTGGCACACCCTTTACCGTTACTTCGGCATGGCGGGCCTTTGTGTATTCCTTGCGGGTCCACGACGACTTGTCGAGGGCGTCCCAGCAACTATAGTAGAAAAAAAATTCAAATAAAAATCAGCTCGCATGTATACACGATTTGTACATACGCGTCAGCATGTTCTGCAAGCTGTTCACGAACGGCGCGTGCATCAAAGCCAGCCGTCTCCTTGATCGATTTATATCTGTCCTGGCGGATGCGGCGTGGAAGGTCAATCTCGCGACCCAACACCACGCGGTCTTCGAGGAGGGGGATATTGTACCGATCGTCCCATCCCTCGGGGGCGGGGAGCGTGTTGTTCTCCTTTAGCCGTGCGTCAAAGTTTGCAAACCGACGCCAGTTGACCTCTGGGCGAAACTGCTGAGATTTGTCGCGCACGGGGACACTGGTGTTGCCCTTGAGTTGCTCTTCGTCGGTGATTCTGCGTGCGCTGAGCGGTGTGCGGTACCGTCTGCGCGGCAGAGTCTTGTCGTAGAGCATTGGACGGTCGTAGGGCTTTTTGGCCACTTTTGGAGGATCACCCTCGATGGGAGAGCGGCAGCGGCGGATGCCAGTAGGAAACTCGACAGTAGTGAGTGCGGGCATGGTGGGCGGGGGCAAAGGCACAAAGGGGAAAACTCTGGAAGACGCGGGGGACAAGTGGGAATCCACCTTGGAGCGAGTTGGACGGGCCCTTTATATGCCCTCCGCCCAGCCGAAGGTGGCAGGTCGGTGTTGTGCTCTTGATTTTCAGTTTGATTTTTTCACCCCCAATCCGTTCTTTTTTGGGCTCGGATCCTCCCAATTTCGTCAAAAATGCTATAAACATGTGCGTTTTATCAAGATCAGTCTCTTTGGCTCTCTCCAGCTCTCCGCCTGAACCCAAACCACAACAAGTCGCCAGCAACAGCAAAGCACCTTGCCGTCGTCGCTCGCATCTCTTTACCCCCTCAAAAGTGTTGGAATAATCTGTAGAATTGCGTGCCAATTTATACTAATTTTTAGCCGCGGCATCTGGCCAGAGAGCAGGCAGACGAGGCCGAAAGCGGTCAGACAAGGCGAGGCGGCCACAAGGTCACGACCCCCCTCGGTCGACCCTCGACCCTTGACTTGACAGCTGGCCTTTGATGGCGCATTGGCGCAAGCGATTCGTCTGATAAACCTCGATTAGGAAATCAAAATCGTCGTACAACTGACTGTCTTCTACTCGAGCAACTCTGCCTTCCATCGGTTCATCGTCTTGCGCTCCAGACTCTTATCTCGCGGGCCCGTCGGTCCCTCTGCCCATATCAACACCAGCAGTCGTGTCTTGAGATTGAGAGTACTCTTGGGTCGTGTCCGCCATTCGCTCACCGCCGCAGGTCCCTCGCCTTTGATGACGCCCGCCTCGGCCGCCCTCAGTGCATCCGCAGACACCTCTTCTGCTTTCCCCCTGACTTTGTTATACAACGTCCGCAGTCCAGCGATCGGTGACCCAGACCTTTGGTGCTCGGTTTGCGAGATCCGCTTCAGCCGCAAGTCTGAAAAACTGTTCCCCCACCGTCCCTGGAACCGTAATACGGCTGCAACCTCTTCGCTCGTATACGATGTGTTCAATCCTGGCATACTCGGACATGCAATCGACGTATACTGCCCGCATGGCCCTTCCGCCGAGTCGACTCCCCCCACAATCGACCGTGCCGCGACAAAATTGAGCGTTGGATCCCACAGGTGACCAGTAGACGTATAGTCAGATGGTCCGACCAGCAATACCCCAGAGTAATCGTGTTTGCCCGCCGACGGGTACATGGCATCTGACAAGTCGTCATGAGACTCGGTCGGACAAAAAGGGGGGAAAAATAAGAGAGAGGTACGTACGAGAACCTCTAGCGGCGTAGATCACGGGGCGCTCTCCTCTTTTCTCAAATGCGGCCCATTTCCACGAATTGCCGTCGGAGTGTGCCGAGAGATGCATGGCCTGTGGTACTCCGTCGCAGAATCGGATCATTGCGTGCTCCCAGTCACCCACTGCGTTTGGATTTAGCAGATTTCTCGCCTGAAATAGACGACCTGACCGTGGTTTCCAAAGTGCGTAAAGAGAACCTGGACCTTGTGAGCAATCGTCTCGTAAACAAACGAATACGTACGGTATTCCCTTGGTTGAACGGCTATTTCGCGCTATCAGCCTATGTAGAACCGACAAAAGAGCCACCCACATAAAAGACTGCAAGCAATCAGCGACGGGCGAGAAGAGTAAAGTCCACTCACAAAAGTAAAACACATCCAATATGTCTCCCTTTTCTTCTACGACACCATTCTTGTCGCGGACGAGGATCCACACGGGTGCCTTTGACTTTCCCGTCTCGTCTGGCTTGCAATGCACAGACGTGAGCTCGTCAATCAAATCATTCTCCCTCAGATTCTTATCCATCGTCAGAAACGTATCGGGCTTGTTCACCTCGTCGAGCGCGAGCATACCCAGTCGGCCCTTGAGCTCTTCGGGCACTGGAATCTCATGTCCGTCAAACTTGCGCGGCACAAGAGACTTGACATGTTCTTCAGGCAAGCCAGGGAAGAATCGCTCCTCCTTGTCCAGATAGACATATGGTGCATAACGAATCGCATACGACGGCAACGAGTCGATTGCCTCCGTGTTGACATTTGTAGATGAAGATGCTATTGCCTCCAAGGGAGGGATATCCGTTTTATTTTCTGCCAATTTTTCTGGCGACGTGGGCGTTACCGACGCGACGGCTGGATTCTGCGCAACGCCAGCGCCAGCAGCAGTTTCCGTGTGTTCAGATGCACCGAGTGTCGACATTGTGGGAGAGAACAAGATGCGTTTCGTCTACGGTGCGGCTTGCACGCTTGGTCCAGGCGGCGTTTCGTCCAAAAGAACCCTCGCGCGGCACAACCCAGAAGCAACCTCGCTCTTGCTAATCTCGCGCTTGACCCCAATTGGAACGGTTTTAACGACCGGAAAACGGAGTGACGTCGATAAAGGGAAACAAAGCAGTGGCTAGTATACACACATCCCGTATGAAGAAAAATGCAGATAATTGGGGCAAGTCTCAATTTGTAATAGTTGCATCTCGTCCGTGGCCTCTGGACGGACGCGACCACACCCGAAGCAATCCACCGCGTGTGCTAGTTATAACGGCAGTTGGAGTAAACTCGACCCGCGTAAGGAGGTCTCCTTCGATGGAGGTAGACTGGATAAAGTCAGTATAAGAACGACTAATCCGAACAGAACAGACCTGGATAGGCTGGAGCACGCTCACGTCGTTTCTCGACGGGGCTGGATGGTATGTCGTATTCGGTACACCATCCACAGGAAGGTTGAGTGTCGATACCTCTGTTCGCCGTCGTAGGGCCAAGGAGATTGTCGACGCTACCGACGCCCGATTCAAGTGGAAGGCGGCATTGAGTTTTGGACGATGAAGGGCTCCAGACGAAAAGTCCCACTGTAATCGTTAGCATAGAGCCATAATACGGTAGCATAATCACCAAAAGCAGTCGATTATCCTCTCCGACGCTGCCAAACCTAGAAGGCGTGAGACGCGGTGCAACCAACAGACCGGGGCGTACCGATAAGTTCGTCCATCACATTGGGAGAGATCAAATGAAACATTGGCCACAAAGGACGAGTGACCTTGACACCTCGCAATGACTCGCTGCTCCGAAGGCGACACAATCGTAATGAGATCGTCTTGTCCACCAGTCTGTGACAATTTTAGTGCTGTAATTTGATTGAAATAAGTGCTTACCAGGATGAAGCGCCCGTCAGGAGACCAGGTCACTGTAGTCAGAGACCCAAAGTATGAAGAATAAGTGTCCAACAGACTAGAAATATGAGAAAGGTTCATATCTTGGCAGAAATCTTACTGTTCTGTCAAGGCGTCGATGACTCTTAGACATCCATCCTCCCCAACAACGGCGACATATCTCACATCAGGTGAAAATGCAAAATCTGTAAATAATCAATAAATTTCGACATACTATTGAATATACTCACCCAGTATTTTCTTTTTTGACACTCTCCAATGGCTCACGGGATTTCGCAACGCCTTTTCACTTCCACCTACACCCAATGGATTAGGCGTAACAAATATGTCGTGCAACGGATCCCAATCCGTCTGTACAGGCTGAGTGGGCTCTTGTAACCCCAGCGCGCCATGGCCATTCGGTTTCTGACCACCATTACTAGGTGAAGGCAATGGTGACGGAAGGACTTCGGGACCGTGTGGCTCTCGTGGTGTGAATGCGCCATCCTCTCGGTCTCGATCATAGACGACCATTGTTCCGTCGGCGTAGCTCGCAAGAAATAGGTTGGTTGACGACGGTACCCATCTAATGGCCGTACATGCGATGTGAGTTGTGTTGGGTATGGTGGAAGTGGTGGACTATATGCGGATGAGAAACGTTGCGGCCAGCAAAATGCTCCTAACCTGTTTGTTTATGCGCGCATAACGCGATGTGATAGTATCTGGGGGCTGTGAGAATTACGATTAAGATATCTTCAGCGCTCACCGAACCAGACGATATCTCCAGTGGCGAAACCAATGATCACGTCGATGTGATCTGGGCTTGCGGTCGCCTTGTTCACATCATGACATGTAATAAAGGCGGAAAAGCTCACACGAGCCAGAGGCTCCTATGGCATATATGAGTAGATGAGATTGTGATCAAAGCGTGGGGCTTGCCTTGAGTTTTTGGCCAATCTGGGTCCAAATAAAGCTCTTCGAGGCATTATAGAACGCATATGTGACGTCCCCACTCTGATGACCGATGAGCTTGCTCAGCCCCTCGACTGTCTGCAATCGAGTAACAAAGCTGGAGCTCGTCGTGCGCAAATTCTGCATCTTGCGCGCACTCGTACTCCGTCTCTTCACCCCATTCATTGCAGGTGAAAACAAAGTCGTCGGTGTAAACTGCGGCTGCTGTTGCTGCTGCCCACCACTTGTACTCGAGGCACCAGCCTCTCCGGCGCCTGCACTGGTATTCGCGGCTCCAGAATCCTGCAACGGCGCGTTCAAGTCTCCAGTCGCATCTTTGTCTTCTCCGTTATCGCTACTTGACACGCTCTCACGGTCGCGATCACGGTCCTTGTTCTCTGCAGTATTCGTACCCAAATTCTCCTTGTCGCGTTCCTTTTCTTTCGTTTTGGCATCTTTTCCTCCTCCTCCGAGCAAAGCAGTCAGCCCGGGTGTTGCAGAGGTCGTCTTGGCTTGGAAGCGAATCGTGATGGTCGATATTCGGGTCGGATATTGGGCGGCATTGCTCCCAGAGACGGTGAGATGCTGTGGCTTATGTTCTTCAAGAAACGTATATGCACCCTCTGGAGCGACAAACTGCGCGGGAGTGTCGGTCGAAGACATGGAGATGGACGTGGCGCAGTTCAAGCGACGTGCAAAGGAAACCCAAAACCCAATAGAATACGACAAAGATATTGGTACGACAAAAGATAATACGCAGATAAATACGCTACAAATCAGACCTCGTCAAGTTCCATTTCGTCTCCAATCGTGTACCGTGAATCATCATATGGAGGTCTCCGGGCCGTCCCGGCTGGAATGCGACGCTCAGTTGATCCTCCCAGTTCCCTCTTTTCCAACTCTTCTAGTCCCCTTCTCAATTCCTCCAAAACGCCATGCGCTTGTGGGTTGCGAGGAAAGGTCTTTCCGTCTCCGCGAGGCGGTCCTCCATAAAGAAGTACCGTGATCCACCATCTCCAAGAGTATGGCAAGGGATCATTCCAAGTATGAGCGCTTCTGCGCGGGCGTAAATTTCGCTCGCCATTTCCCCGCACATTCCCATCGACAATAGCACCTGAGCCAAGTGTTGCGACGATGTTCCGTCTGATACCAATATCCCACAGTCTCAAATGAGCCGCAGTGCGTCGTACTAGTCGACTTTGTGAGAGTGACAACGAATGTTCATCCCATTCGTGATAGCCGCCCGTTGATCCTGCTTCTCCTCCATTCTGAGAAAGTGTTGCTGGACCTCCTGAAGGCGCATTGATGAACACGTCTGATACTGAGGTTGTTGCCACTGGAGATGCAGATGAGAACGTTGCACGGGCCTGGGCCTTTGGTGGTGTCGAAGGTGTTGAAGCGGGAATCGTGGACAATGGATTATGGGCGAGAAGCGTGTCCCGAAGTTCGCTCAAGATGGCGGCACCAGCGTTTTCAGGCGGGGGTGTTGCTGGGGGTGATGGGAAATAGTATGGAGAGTCATTGTCCTCTGACTGGTTCTCCCCGGCACGATTGCGAGGAGGAGGGACGGTGTCGATTCCCCTGGTGATGCTCGTCCCGGGGGGATGTCGAGCAGCCTTGGGCTTTGGTAAATATTTGAGGAGCATATATGGCGACAGCGTCTCTAGGGTCGTCTGATTTGTTGCGCAGAGGTAGATGTGGAAGCCGAAAAAGCTTCCCATCACCAGGGAGAATACAAATCCGATGATGACGAGAATCAAGCAATGTAATGGCGTTATGTCGTCGATGGGCTTTGCGAGCGGCGCAAAGAGGAAGCGATAAAGTGTGTACGACGCAACGACAGTGATATACGCCGCTAGCAATGTGATGCAACCAAGCAGATGCAGAAATGCCATGTGCGTGCGGTGCCCGACGCACTGCGAGATCCACGGGCAGTGATGGTCCATTCGTAAGACGCAACGCCCGCAGGTACTGCAATGGTGCGTGCGATCAGGTTTGGGGGCCCAGCACGTACGGCACCACTTGCGCGACGAGTTGAAATCATTTGGATCTTCCTTGTCTTCGTCCATGAGTGCATCATTCTCGTCTTGTCCGTCTCTCTCAGGCGTTGGACCGTCCATGTCCTCGGGCTGCGGACGCCCGGGATCTCTGAAACAGCATATAGCAAGGGAGTTGATGCAAAGGAGTGTAAGTAGTGTTGTAACGCTGATATGGATGAAGCCAGGGGTGGCGTCGACGTATTGTGAGGATATAACGATGAACCAGCTCGGCTGGGGCAACAGGAGGAGAAATATTGCAAATCCAGGCAGAATATATGCAGTCCATGGCTTTTTCGGAGGTGAAAAGCCGTCGGGGTCTTGTCGTAGAGACGCGTAAGGTCGCTTGAGAATCGGCGGACAGCGGACCATTGTAAAGGTCTGCAAAGGGGCAATTAGAATATTCTCAAATACACTTTACACGTTTTAATCGCACGTTTCTGATTATAACATGAATTATGGGACAGTTCCGGGGGGAGCAGTCGGCTCCAAGTTTAATGAGCAGCGCCCTCATAATCCTTGCACTGACACACCGTGCGAGATCACCAAAGGATAGTGTACTGATATCTACATTGTTAGATACAGACTGTGAGCTATACTGGCTTGCCTGTACGAACTCCATACGAACGGTGTCGCATATAATACAGGGCGTGAGGTGGTACCCGTAGAGTAAGAGGTATGGAAACGCCTTTATCATAATATTCGTAGGCTCAGTGGTTCCCTATCGAACTCACTCAGACGACCCTCGTCAAAATAACCAGGCGTGTGCTCCAAACCCAATGAATCCACCTTTCATTTGTTCTATATGACATTGGGCATTAATTTCCCTCATTAATCTGCTCATCCTAGCCATATTCTCCGACTGTACTGGGAGCTGGTCGAACAGGTAATCATTATGGCTCTTCTTCATAGCTGCACAACGCTTGACTCCCATATGCCATCCGCAATTTGCAGCCGGATTCATGTTGACCGAATACGTGTCCTGTCCATCCTTACCACGCCAGTCAAAGTCAATCAACTTCACTTGTCCCGAGCTTTCTTGGAGCATGCTATTGCTGCGTAAATCCCCAAACACATAGTCGTTCTCTTGCCATAGGCTTTGGCTCTTCGGATGTCTTCTGTCTGTGTCTTGGTGAAAAGCTTTCCGTACATGTCGTCGCGCTCGATAAAACTCCATGATGACCATTTGATCGGGGATATGCTCGTCATATCTATCGCAATGGTACAATTTCGGCGCAAGACCCTCGTTTGCGAGTACTTTCTGACAAAATTTGACCACGACGAGCTTGCCGTTCTTCGTCCTTGCTCTATACAGCGTCCTTGATGCTCTCCTCGAGTCTATGTTGAGATCATTCTCGTAGACGAAGGTACTTTCGATCCCATCAATGGTATACGACGTGATTTCCGGATAGAATTGCGCATCGTTCATCGTCGCTTGCCCGTGAAAGGCCTCGTATTCCTCTTCTAACGCGTTGATTGCCTCTCGGAGTTGAACCACTAGTCGCGCTACTTGGTCGACATGATCAAGGTCATCTGCGACCGTGCAAGGTGGAGTCCAACAGCCGATTTTTGCCACCAACTTTTATAGCATTCTCTTGGACGTCTTATTCTTTCGTGTCACTTTGTTACAATCAAAGAATCAATTTGCAGTAGGATACAGAGGGCGAGTTATACAAGCTAGTCCCAGAGAGCAAACAGTAATCGAGAGCAGGACAATTTTGAGCAGAGCGAATAGTAAGACAGATAATCTAGGGCGTGAGCGGGTCGTAGCGAGCGTGAGGTATGGGCACATCGGATGGGAGGCCCATTTATCATAACAGTCGTAAGTTAAGATAAGTAGGTATCTCTCTCCCCTATCCCTCAGCACTCGGACGAGCTCGCGTCAGAGTAATCGCCTCCATGTTCTGAGCCCGATGAGACTTCGGACGAAGAGCGAGGCGAGGACGAGGTGGAAAGTGCACCGCGAAGGTGCCGTCTGCGAAACTCGAGCGGATGTCGTCGACCGCTCTCGTCCTTGACTTCACCAGGTCGGCACTCCTTTGAATACGCGGGGAGGTCACCAGTGTACTTGGCTTCGCCGTTGGAGTGATACAGTTGAACATAGGCGGGAAGACCGTCGTTGGGTCGTCTCTGTGCAGCAGCAGAAGAGGCGATGTCCATGTCGTAGACGGGGATTGGGAGAACAAAACCGACTCGTTCGCGCTCATTGTTGTATCCAATGTCAAAGTCGACGAGGAGCTTGTGAGCGACGTGGACATAAGGCGACATGTATGTCTGCTTGACGAGACCCTTTGCTGGAGCACTGTCGAGGAAGAGAGGAACAGTGATGCTACTCGGCTCATTGTCGAGCGAATGGCCCTGTTCGCCTTCTTGCATGTTGAACACGCTAGGCTTGTTTGGGTGCAGAATGTCGTCCTTGTCGACACGGAGAGCGTTGGGTGGGAAGCAGATGGCTGCCATGAACAGGCTGTCGAGCTCGTGAGGCGTGAGGAGGGGTACCGATGGTGGTTGTTCCGCAGGAAGGGGGAATCGTCGTCGGAACTCTGCATCGGGTGTGGTGCCATATGTCGTACATTGGATCATCCGGACACCAAACTTGTGAACTGTGACGCCCTCTGCGGTGCACCCGACATCGAGACGAAGGTCAAAGGGAGCAGACGACTTTTGGTCGAGGTAACTTGGGACGGTGGCCCTGACCTGGACGGCCGACAGAACCTCCTTGGGAATGACAGGCTCCTGAGATGATGTCGAGGGAAGTGGGCGGACTGGGACAGCGTAGGTGCACTTTTTAGGGGCAGCCGTTGTGCGATGTCGCTGAACGGTGACGGGGACGGGCGTTGCGTCTCGGTATTTAGTACGACTTCCGAGCCAGAGACCCGTCGACTCTTCACTCTGATAGACGGCCTTTGCGTACAGACGATAGGTGGTCGTGGCCGTGGTGGCATGTTGGGAGTGGATCGATGCGGGGAGCCAGCCAGGAATCGCAAGGTCAAAGACGATTGCGACCTTGTGATCTGGAGTTGAAGGAATTGCGACTGGCGTCGAGGTGCGGGCGACGAGCGTCTGGGAGACGCTGCAGAGGCGGGTGGCATTGTAGCCCTGGCCCTTTGCAAAATGCTCAGTTGAGCCCTCAAAGGTGAGGACGAGCGATGTTAATAGAGCTGGTTGGGCGCGAGACTCTTTGTTAAAGGCAGAGCGCGAGGAGTGGTCGAGATGAGGACCTGGCCGCTCAGCGAGTAAGCACAGCTGCAAGATGCGTTGATTAGCATTGAGAATAATAGTAGGATATTGGTAGGACGCACTCAGTCTCCTGAGGACCAAACATGTGGAGGACATTATCGAGCGGGACGATTTCAACGTTTAGCGGCATTCTCGACGAGCGCACAGCGACAGAGCGAGAAAATGGGAAAGCTGGGTTAAGGAGGATAATCGTGGAGAAACAGTGAGCGCAGGTCGCCCGGTTTGCTTTTATGTCGAGGTCAATAGCGTGCCTGGCTGCCTATTCAGGCCACCTGGCTATTGTCCTTGCCAAATGCGGCGCCGAAAAGAGATTCGACCACAATCAACTCGAGCGCGGATTCTTACTACAATCGTCTCTCAATTCCTCGGGTCAGCGGCGACAAAAGCTGTCTATTCGTACACAATCAAAGCAGCGGCAACAAGTAGTCTAGCGTAATGTCAGGAGGTGAACAAAGAAGAGAAAACGAACAATAAGATAGGTGTAAATGCGCATGTATCTGTAGAAATCGGAGACACGGAGCAAAACGTCACAGCGACCATCGTCGGGGCTGGAGCATCATTCCAATCGTCAAATCCTTGAGCTTTTCCGTTCTAGCTCCCCATCCACTTCGTCCAGACGCAGTCTTTGGCACCCTTCGTGCAACCTTTGCCGACGGCGGAGTAGCCAGCGCTGGTGCAGTGAGCGCAAACTTGGACTTGTGGATAATGTCAAGCAAGATGAATGCAACCCAGAATCGTCCCAGCGCGTCATCGGACATTTGTTCGACTGCAAGTTCGAGCACATCGCAATCCGTCTCGGAAAACTTGCGTTGGCCGGTCGCGGTGCTTCCCTTTAACATCTTTGCAGCCCCAGATGCACGCAGAGGTATATAATCTGCGACTAGGGGCGGTCGGTGTGAGCTGCCTCGCGAATGCATTGGATAGTGAGCCCGAAGTCCTCGTCGGTCGACGACCCATAGAATTTCATGAGCGCCATCGCCTGCGATCACTTCAAATTGATCTTGTCTGTAAAAAGTTAGGTCAGCATTTTGTGTACAAGCCCAAGGGACAAATCCAGGACACATTGTTCGCCTCTGCGATGCCGACAATGCGAATAGCAGTGGGGGAATCCCGTAAACGCTGAAAAGACTTACGAGGTCGGGTCGCCTCTGGGGACCATTTCGAATGGCTGCGAATGACTCGCGCTTTCGCTGTACACGCAAATGTGGCTCGGTTGTGTCCCATTCCACAAGATTGAACCCAGTACATCCCCCTCTGCATCGTAGACTTCGGTACGTTGGTCGTCCAAGTATGGTGCCGTTTCGATGACAAACATGACGCTCCCATCCGGTCTCATCACCGACATCTCGGAAAGTGGAGAGCCTCTGAGAAAGAGTTGCATGTCAACGAGATAACGAATCGAGGATTGGCCGTCTATTGTGGCTTTCGACGCCGCGATGAAGAAAAGAGTTCAAGAGGTTTGCGGGCGTAAGACGGCTGTTGACCGGGCTTATAACTTTGCCTAGTCTTCGCGTGAAGATGGGGGGGGCTGCTCGTGGAGGTTGTCCCTGGTTGATGGGACGAGGGGGATGTCCACCGGGATGTAACCTCGTTTGAGTTGGTGATGTCTACAAGGATGCAGACTAGTTAACGAGAAGGGAGGATGGGGGGGAGCAAAAGTGTGTGGAACCTTGATGGCAAACAGGTAAGCTCGCACCTATTTATCGACTGGGCGCTGCTCAGTGATCACCAATTACGACCCGGCCCTGTAGATTTCCAAAGACCGATATCCGCCTACTGGACCGCTCCACAAATCCCGAACAGTTGGATGATTAGAAGTTGGAACGGCAAGGCTCAAAAACGTGGTCGTCCAAATCCTCGCCCGTACCACTCCAAATGGCACGACTCAATCATCTGCTGCTGTCCGCTGACCGCGCCGCTGTCCATCGTCAGTCGGGACTTTCCGCTAGCCGTGTCTTAGTCCCATCCCTGTATCCTACTCAATTTGGATGACATGCTGGGTATAAATTTTCTTGATGGGCCAAGCCATGTTCGGATTCGGCCAATTGGCTATTGTTGCCCATACTTGGACCTCGCATCCGACGACGATCGGACAATGCGTGTTAGTCGCCAAATGAATACAAATTGACTGCAAAGATGTGCAGCTCCTGCAGCTGAGCAGGAGAGACGGCTCTGGGTAACGGTGAACGGCATGTCGCGTGATGGAATCTGCATAAGTGATTTCGGTCCACGATAGTAACATGATGAGAAGCGATCTAGAGCCACAATAGTTGTCAACAGTCGGCCGCTACCTCCCGTCTCTGCGTGCCGCTTGAAGAGGCGTCCTCTACCCTCGCAGACAGCGGGTGCTCCGATAGGAAGAACTCCTGCAACAATAGGGTCAGTTCTCATTCAGAACAGAGTCAGGCGGAGCTTCTGCCGCAATGTATTGAGGGGTACGGCAGTTTGAGCAGGGATGAATGGCACAAACCTCTGGTGTGAAAAATCGTATTCCAATAGCACGAGCTAGTCCACGGTCGGCATCACTGTGGTCATTTGGGCGTCCGGCCGCGTCCCCAACGTAAAAACATTCGTTTAGGTCTACAATCACGGCGGATCAGTATCGCTATCCGTGACCGGCGGAGACAATGATTTGATATTAGTTGTCGAAACAACGCGTAGTGTTTTGGAGAGCCGCTTGCTCTCACAGGGGCCTTTAGCGCGACTGCCCTTGTCACAATCGCAAGTGGCTGGGGGAGAGAAACGGACGCACCTGGGACCACGCCATCTTTCGCAAACAGCGAGGTGAGGCAACTCCACATTCCAGATTGGGGTTTGCGATATTTATTGTCTTCAATGGCAGCAAAGATGTGGAACGGAACTAGTGAGATCTATAACAGCATTCAGTTGGCCCTTTTCTGCGGTTCCGAACAGCTGACTAACTTGTTTGGCCATGAGATCGATCTTAATTTGCCACGACTCGCGCCGAATGCTTTTGATCCCCGAAAGCCCTCCTTGATTTGAGATGATGATTATAGCATATCTAGCATCAAGAATCACCCAGAGTTGAGTTGATATTGTTATTTGTAGTGTAGACGACCACCCAGGTACTTGTACTCACCCGTCATCGTACAATGCTTTCAGCCTTTCTGGTACGACAGGATTCCACCATTTCCAATCATTTTTCCCTTTTGGGAATGGACCTCTACCCTTTGTGGCGATCAAGGTGCCATCGAGATCAAAGGCAGCGACCTTGGAACGGGCGGGCGGATTTAGATGAATGCCGTGGAGGACCGAATTGCTGCCCAGTCTCTCAAGAAATCGAAATGATTTCTGAGTTTGCTTCTCGAATATTGGAAAGACTAGCGGCGGGTCAGTCCCGATTTCAGGGAGTGGTAACGAAAGTCGTGCCTTTAGGCGCTGGCTTGGATGTGGACGCGACAGAAATGGTGCTCAAAGTTTCTTTCTTTTGTCTCTTTGCAACGACGGCGTGTGTATGCTCCTCGGCGCGTCGCTTGGATGCTTTCGAAACTGTGGTCGTGACCTGTACTACTTCCGACAGTACGTTAGCGGTTTATAAATTACAAAACGCGTCCAAACCTTCGACTATGATCTCTTCCGAGGCCATTTTAGATGGAGAACGGTTCAAGCCCGACGAGGCAAGAGTTGAACCCCTACCAAGATGGCGGCCCTCTCAACGTAAGTAGCGCCGGCTTTGCTCAACAGTAGAAATAATCTAGAAAATTTAGATTACTCCCAAAGCCAGTTCATTCGACCATTGAAGTGGATGACGAAGAGGAGGTGCCAACCCAAACTTCAAATGCCGTCGTGCCGGCCTCCCGTGTGCCACCTTATGGGCAAAGAAAAGGATGGAGACCTGGTCCAGATGATTTTGGAGACGGAGGCGCTTTTCCAGAGTGCCATATCGCGCAGTATCCACTTGGAATGGGCCGAAAGAAGGTGCGTGGCGTTGTGCTAGCCTTGGGAGCAATTAGCTGATCAAGTTTTATAATATCAAATACAGGCATCTGCCGGGAATACGCTCGCGTTGACCGTAGACGCAGAAGGCAACGTCCGGTACGATGCGATAGCTAAGCAAGGCCACGACTCGGACCGCATCGTCCAATCTCAATTCAAAGATCTCGTCCCACTTGCGCATCGTACGGATCTCGATGAAAATGCCCAGAAAATGGAACGCCCGTCGCAAGAGGACATCGACGCCACGACAGAGCGCACCCGACTGGCCTTGGAGAGGCTCGTGAATGGAAAAATCAAGGCTGCACAGCCTAAAAATGTTCCAGAGAGCGGTGGAAAGTCCTCGTTTGTACGATATACACCCGGACAACAGCAAGGCGGCAGCGGATTGAACCAGAGAATCATCAAGATCACCGAAGTCGCAGAGGATCCGCTAGAACCCCCTAGATTCAAGCATAAGAAGATACCTCGTGGTCCCCCCAGCCCGCCTGCCCCCGTCTTGCGAAGTCCTCCACGAAAGGCTACGGCACAAGAGCAGAAGGAGTGGATGATTCCTCCGTGTATATCCAACTGGAAGAACAACAAGGGTTATACAATTCCACTTGACAAGCGATTAGCTGCCGACGGTCGAGGTTTGCAAGATGTACGTTGTGCGCTTTTAATTCAAAGCAGGCGACTCACCCCACTCTACAGATTCATATCAATGACAACTTTGCGAAGTTTTCCGAAGCATTGTATGTCGCTGACCGAGTCGCTCGTGAAGAAGTGCGACAGCGAACACTCATGCAACAGAAGCTAGCCGAAAAGGAAAAGGCCAGCAAAGAAGAAAATCTACGTATGCTCGCGCAACGTGCTCGTGAAGGTCGAACGGGCGTAGCTTCGACCGCGAAACCGACTGCCGCTGCCAACGCCGCGTTCCAGAGTTCGCTGGGCCAGTATGGTGATAGTGACTCTGATGAGAGTCCTGGAAGTGAAGACGAAGACAAGAGGGATGAAAGTGAAGAGGATGAAGCCGTTCAGATCCGAGACAAAATGCGACGCGAAAAGAGGGAAGAGCGGCAGCGCGAGATGCGACTGAGCAACATGGGAACAGAACAGCGCATGAAACAACTCGCGAGGTACGCCGTCGTTTTGGCATATCTAATCATTCCCTCATGATGTCTACAGACAACAAAATCGCGACATTTCCGAAAAGGTGGCTCTGGGACTTGCAAAGCCAACCATGTCCAAAGAAGCCATGATTGATCAGCGACTCTTCAATCGGGAAACACTCTCTAGCTCATTTGCAGACGACGACTCGTACAATTTGTACGACAAGCCGCTCTTCCATGGCTCGACGGCTGCAGCTGCTATCTACAAGGCTCGTGGACCGGTAGCCCAAGGTAATGACGAAGCATTTGGCGGTGGAACGGAAGAGGGTATCACAAAGGCCCTTGACAATGATCGTTTCGGTCTCGGCACTGCTGGCAAGTTTGGCTTTGAAGGTGCCGCAGATCAAGAAGTCAGAGATGGTCCTGTACAATTCGAAAAGGATACCAGCGACGTCTTTGGCGTCGACCAATTCTTGGACCAAGCCAAACGTGGCCAGAAGAGAGGGCTAGATACCGACGCGTGCGTACACTCGGCTCTAAATGACAGGATACTTACTATATTTACTAGTGAGGGTGCGAGAAAGCGACGGCAGATGGACAAGGCTGACGAAGACTGATCTCTGCGAGTTTGTATCCATAGCTATGCTTCACCTTGTCCGCTCTTTACTTAGTAATGGATTCTCTCAGTATTTCTCAGGGTATCAGCGAAGCTAATGACTCCCGAGATTGTTATGCCACTTGTGCCACTTCGACCCGACCCCCACTGACTCGTTCTTTTGCCCACCATGGCTGATGCCCTCCGTGATGCGTTTGAGACAAGAAAAAGCGAGGTACGCCTCTTAAATGCTGTCTACTACTCCAAACACTGAAGCTGCGATGTTCACAGGGCAGCAAGGTCTTTGTAACCTTCGTCACTGCAGGCTTTCCAACAAGAGAAGCCACCATCCCCATCATGCTTGCCATGCAAGCTGGTGGTGCTGACATTATTGAACTTGGGATGCCCTTCTCTGATCCGATTGGAGATGGAGTCGCGATCCAAGGCTCGAACACGGCAAGCTCTCTTTCACCTCGAGTGTTTGTCATCTAAATCGCTAGGTGACATAGGTTGCGCTGGCAAACCAAGTGGAGTTTATCGACTGTCTGGAGTATGTTCGGACAGCTCGGAAGGAGGGAGTCACCATCCCAATTGTATTAATGGGTCAGTACTCCTGCATGGAGAAGTCTATCATATAGCTTACTCCCGTCCGAAGGTTACTATAACCCGCTGCTCGCTCACGGCGAGGAAAAGGCCGTCAAAGACGCCCGAGAGGCAGGCGCGAATGGCTTCATTGTAGTCGACCTCCCGCCCGAAGAAGCTGTGCATTTCCGTGATACATGTGCAAAGGAGGAGTGAGTCATACTTTGAGCCCCCGACGGATTCCTATTGACCTCGATACAGCATGTCCTATGTCCCTCTGATCGCGCCTTCGACGTCCGCGTCACGCATCAAGTTTTTGACTTCGATTGCCGACTCATTCATCTATGTCGTGTCGAGAATGGGAACCACAGGATCGAGCGACAAGGCCAAGATGAGCGAATCACTTCCCGAACTGGTTTCAAGAATTCAGGAGCAGACTTCGGTACCTCTCGCCGTCGGGTTTGGCATATCCTCACGTGAACAGTTTGAATATGTCTCCAAAGCCGGGGCAGATGGTGGCGTCGTAGGTTCTCGTATCGTCAGTGTCATCGAGCAAGCGGGCACGGATCCGAAGACAATCGCCACGGCAGTACAAAAGTATTGCTTTGACATTAGTGGCAGGAGCAATACTTCCTCCTCGACCAAATCGTTGCGCTCGTCTTCGACAATGTCGGTTCCAAAAGTAGCCAAGGAGGCACCAGCGACGGCAGCCTCCCCTCTCCCAGCTCGTTTCGGAGAGTTTGGCGGTCAATACGTTCCAGAATCCCTCGTCGACTGCTTGGCGGAGCTTGAGGCTGCCCATAAGGCTGCATGTGACGACCCTGCCTTTTGGAAGGAGTTTGAGAGCTACTATGGCTACATCAATAGGCCCTCTCAGCTCTATCTCGCAGAGAGACTTACCGAGCATGCTGGCGGCGCGAAGATTTGGCTAAAGCGAGAGGACCTGTACGTCCTCTTCTTGTATTTGGCGTTGTGAGCTGACAGATTATAGGAACCACACTGGGTCCCATAAAATCAACAACGCTATTGGCCAAATCCTACTGGCGAAGCGTATTGGTAAGACCCGAATCATTGCAGAGACTGGAGCTGGTCAACACGGTGTGGCCACTGCCACGGTCTGCGCGAAATTTGGAATGCAATGCGTGATCTATATGGGTGCAGAGGATGTTCGCCGACAAGCTCTGAACGTCTTCCGTATCCGTATGCTCGGCGGACAAGTCATTCCCGTCGAATCGGGATCCAAAACGCTGAAGGACGCCATCAACGATGCTCTACGAGACTGGGTAGCAAACGTCCATAACACGCATTACCTTGTTGGAAGTGCCATCGGCCCTCATCCATTCCCGACTATTGTCAGAGATTTCCAACGCATTATTGGTCGTGAGATCAAGGAGAGCATGCTCAAGATCACAGGCAAACTCCCCGAAGCGGTGGTTGCATGCGTTGGCGGCGGTAGCAATGCAATAGGGACCTTCTATGATTTTATTCCGGAGAAGAACGTGCGACTGATTGGCGTTGAAGCTGGTGGAGACGGTAAGCCCTCTCTTTGACCCTAGATGCGTACTAATTCCGTTTAGGTGTCGATACAGATCGTCACAGTGCGACACTGGCGCTTGGAAAGCCAGGAGTGCTTCATGGTGTCCGCACATACCTTCTGCAGTCCCCAACTGGACAGATCATCGAGACGCACTCTGTTAGTGCGGGATTAGATTATCCAGGAGTCGGACCCGAACATGCTTGGCTCAAAGATTCCAACCGTGCAGAGTACATTGTTGCCACGGATGAGGACGCACTTCGAGGGTTCCGGATGTGCACTCAGCTGGAAGGCATCATTCCAGGTACTGCAGACGTCCAGTTGAACAACCAAATGCTTATATCCACATAGCACTTGAATCTGCACACGCCATTTGGGGTGCGGTCAACGTTGCAAAGTCGTTGCCAAAGGATGCAGATGTCGTTGTTGTAAGTTGGCACGAAATGAGTGGCTCAAATTTCTCACCTTCTCTCAGTGTCTCTCTGGTCGTGGTGACAAGGATGTCGAGCAGATCTCACAACTTCTACCGGGCAAGTGGGCGGACAAGTTGGACTGGCACATCCAGTAGAGAATCGTTCCAAAAAATTCGTCGAGTGTATCTTGTCTAGAGCTATGCTCGCCTCTTCTATACACTGTCTTTACGCGTAATTGGCTACTTTGTTTTGAAGAATAAGCGGTAGATCCGTTGGTAGCGTGTTGGTCAAGCTCCGAGTGACTTTGGACGCATGTGATCCCCCAGCTCTTGGACTACAGCGCCATGCACGGATTAAGACAGCACGCACAAACGTCGAGATTCGTGTCAAGGTCTACTTTAAGAACCTTGCGCGGGGTTTCTGCCTGCCAAGGACGACGATATGCTGGTACGACGCCAACGGAGGCCCAGGAGAAACCCCCGCCGGCTGGAGGGGAGCTCCCAAGTATCGTGACGTCTAAATTGCTGCGTGTAACGCGCGAAACAGCGCTCAAGTCTCCAGGGTTAATGTGGACGAGCGAACCAGAGAGCGCGAGTCCAGACGGAGGAAGGGAGACGCGTAAAATGAACATGTACCAGGCTGTGGGCTCGTTATTATGCCTTGTAGAGGGGTGCTAACTCTTGCGCCCTAGGTTCGCGATGCATTAGGGTACGATGTCGACAGGACCAGTGTGATTGATGGCTAACTTGGTCAAGAATCGCCCTTTCAACAGATGAGAGTGCAGTGGTCTTTGGTATAATAGATAATACGCGCATTTCAATGACCTGACACCACCTACTCAGGCGAAGACGTCGCGTTTGGAGGTGTCTTTCGATGTACGATGGGGCTGGCACAAGAATATGGTTCGTTGCATCATAATGCATAGTCCTTAGCTGATCTGTTTAGGCAAAGAGCGGGTGTTCAATACTCCACTCACAGAACAGGCAAGTGCGTTTGGTTTGATATCTTGGTGTACTAACACAGTGTATAGGTACAAACGTTGCTAGTCGAATGATTATTACTCAACTTTAGTAGGGTATCGCGGGCTTCGGTATTGGACTTGCCGCGATGGGGCAAACAGCGATTGCAGAAATCCAATTTAGGTCCGCCGTCGTTCTTATATTGTCATAGGAGATACTTACAAAACCTAGCGACTACATCTTCCCTGCATTCGACCAACTCGTGAACGAGGCCGCAAAGATTCGATATCGCTCTGGTGGACAATTCAACGTCGGAGGGCTCACCGTTCGAACGCCGTGCATGTCCGTTGGACACGGTGGATTGTATCACTCTCAGAGCCCGGAGGGATTCTTCCTAGGTGCTTCTGGACTCAAAGTAATCATTGTCTGGCCTAAAGAGAAAGGCATTGACCAAATGACTAGGTTGTCGTTCCCCGGTCACCTATCCAAGCTAAAGGGCTACTCCTCGCCTCAATTCGAGACCCAAACCCAGTGATCTTTATGGAGCCCAAGATATTATACCGTTCATCTGTGGAACAAGTACCGATATCGGACTATACACTCCCCCTTTCGAAGATGGAAACGCTCGTACGAGGTTCGGATCTGACATTACTTACCTGGGGCACACCCCTCTATACATGCGAAATGGCCATGTCGATGCTATCATCCCCACCTCCATCATTACAGGAGAAGACTTTGTACCTCGTGACGCAAGAAAGGCAAACATCGAGTTGATCGACCTGCGGACTATCCTCCCGTGGGATATGGAAGGCGTCATCGAGAGCGTAAACCGGACAGGCCGTCTAGTGATCGTTCACGAGGCTGGTAGGACGGGAGGCGTCGGAGCAGAGATTGCAGCAGAGGTCCAGAAGCGGTGCTTCCTCAAACTTGCAGCACCAGTGAAGAGGGTCTGTGGTTGGGAGTACGCATCATTTCATCCTTCATTTGATAGGATCGCTGACTTTCCTCAGTACCCCGGTCGGGTTGCAGTACGAAAAGTTTTACATCCCAGACGCGTTGAGAATATTAGATGCTATGGTAGAGACACTCAAGTACTAGTCTACACTCATGAATCCATAATCTCACGCAATAAAGACGGTATCCCGACCTCCTCTTGCGCCTATCAATAACGGTCAACCAGGGGTTGGACGGATTGTGAGACGTCCCACCTGTCTCCGTCGTTCCATTTCGTTTTGTCCGACAGAGGAGGAGAATAAGAGGTCCATCTCCTCCAAAGACACACCCTTTGTCTCTGGCACGAACAGAATTGTCCATACAAGCCCGAGGATACAGGCGAATGCGAGAAGGAAAAACGTCCCCCTGGAATGCGTCATTATATAGACCACATACCAGAGGATACATACGCGGGGGTTGCATGCACCAGGGGAGGTGTAATGAGTCCAATTAAAACTAAATGGGATTGAAGCCATGTCAGAAACCGTGCGACGGTGAATACTCACAGTTGTTAAACCAGTTTGAGGCCGTCGAAATGGCGGCACCTTTGCTACGAAACGAAAGGGGAAAAACCTCTGTCGGCAAGACCCAGGCGACGGGCCCAAAGCTGACACCATATGCAGCGGTAAAGATATATATCATGCTGAGATAGTGAGCGCTGGTCGGGAGTAAATGACAAGGCTTACCCAACCGCCACCCAAGCAAGTGGACGATGTACGTTCCAGTCACTGCTTCCCCACATAATCTAGTCACAGATGAGCGGCTGTAGCAGGACCATCGGCTAGGTTTACCAAGATGGCGACGCTAAGATGCGAAATGGCCATGACAATCGCTCCTCCTTTCAATAATGGTCTTCTCCCGATACTGTCTAGGAGGAAGAATGCTGGTATGACAGCAATGAGCTGCATCACATTGATGAATCCTGACATCACAAGCGATACTGTATCCCCCTCTAGGCCGATACTGTGCATTAGAGAGGGACCATAGTATAGCAGGGCGTTGATCCCGCTCCATTCTGCCCAGATTCAGGGTCAATGTAGAGACGAAGAAGTAAACTTACGTTGAAAGAACATTACGCCGACGCCAATCATCGTTCGCTTGAGCAATGCTGGCCCAAAGAGAGCAGACCAGTCATTGTCATGCCCATCGGCAGATTCGTTTGCCAAAGCGACCTCTACCTTCATTTCTGAAAGCTCGAGCTATGTTGTTAGAGTTAGCTATTACGTCAAATCACTTTGCAGCACTCGCCTGGAGTAGCGGATCACCAGCCTCCCTTCCCCTTAGCTTGACCAATGTATTTTCTGCCCTTGAATCGTACCCCCTCAGGAGTAGTAGTCTGGGACTAGGTGGAAGCCAAAAGGTCCCAACAGCCAAAACAACGCCAGGGATGATTTGCACACCCAGTGGTATACGCCACGATGCTGCTCCTGGAATATTGCGCGTGATGAAACCTGCCCAGAAGCCGATAACGACACCAAGAACAATTGAAAACTGCTCCAAGGAGGTGAGCGAACCCCGAGTTTCTGGGGATGACATTTCCGATATGTATAGAGGGCAGAGCATGCTACATAGACACTTCAGCAAACTCAACAATAGTCATGAGCCAGGCTTACCTTAGTGCGCCGATTCCAACCCCACCAATAGCTCGTCCGAGCATTAGGACGCCGACGCTTGAAGCTACAGTCTGTAAAAGGGAGCCCACACAGAATATGACTGATTAATCTTGGTAAATTATCACTATGGGATGTTCAAGTACACATACCGCTCGCCAAAACAATCGAATGTCGTCGTGAGTACTTGTCCGCAAATACGCCCGCTTGCAATGCACCAACTAGAGCCCCAAGCTCCAAAAATGCCGCTATATTCGTAGAGTTTGGGGATCTCTGTCAGGCCAGAGTCGGGCGAGAGCGGCGACAAAGAGACGCACTGAGCAAGCCTACTTGAAAGGGAGAGAGGGGAAACCGCTGAACAAAATCTCGCATGACGAGGATATTACTGATAACTCCTTGATCGTAGCCAAATGTCAGACCGCCAAGCGACGCAAACAACGAGCAAGCGACGGCATATTTGGTGTTCAAGAGACCCTGAAGACCTGTAAACCAGGTCAAAATCGTCGGAAATGATGGCTCAGGGCCCTGTATGAGAGTTTCGCTTTACCCGGAGGCCCGTAGCAATATGTGTATTCTCCCGTCCTGCCATGTATCGTGATGACACCCCCATTTGGGAGCACCTTGGAGCTTATATCTTCATTGGAGTCGACAGAAAGTGGTACATAATCATGCGGCATTAACTGAGCAGCGCGCAGGAGAATACGGTTGATGTTCAAGGTGTAGATTCACGTTATCCTACATTCACTGCGGGTACAGAATGCTTTTTTTTACTTCCTCGCCCCGAGATTGACGTGTACAGCTTTGACATTGGTGTAGCTAGGGACGTCGTTAATTCTCTATGTCACAATGAAAGTGTCAAGAGCAACGTACTTTTGGAGGGCATACTCGCCAAGCTCACGGCCAAATCCACTGGCCTTATATCCGCCGAATGGTAGCTGTGGGTTGAGCTGGTTGTAGCAATTAACCCACACAGTGCCAGCTTGGAGCTTGTTGGCCACCGTGAGTGCGCGCGTGATGTCGCGCGAGAAGACGGCAGCAGCCAGTCCATACATCGAGTCGTTGGCTTGCTTAATAATATCTATCATACGTGAGTACATTGACGCACAAAGGGCAGAGCCTGTGACTAACCTTTTTCGTCTTCGAACTTGCTGACCACAACAACGGGACCAAAGATTTCTTCTCTGCAGATTGTCATATCGGGCGTGGTATCAGTGAAAACGGTCGGCTGGATGAAGTAGCCGTCCTCTCCATGGCGGTCGCCTCCCATATGCTACTGGCTAGTCAGAGTTGTGCCGGCTAGGCAGAGCGACGTACAACAGTGGCACCCTCGGCCTTTCCAGAGTTGATGTACCCCATGATTCGCTCCTGTTGTGTTTGCGAAACCTGAGGGCCCTGGAAAGTATCTGCTTCAAATGGATCGCCGACTTTGAGTGTCTTGACGTGTTTGGTGAATAGATCAACAAATTTGTCGTATATGCTCGCTTGGACATAGACTCGAGATCCTGTCCACCAAGTTCAAATATATGGAAACGACATGGTAAAGTCACTTACCAGCGCAGCAGCACTGTCCATGGTTGAAGCTACGGGGCATCAGTTGAATCTACCGTATGGCAGAAAGTGAGCGTACAAGATACCGAACGCAGACCACTTGACGGCTTGGTCGATATCTGCATCGTCGAAAATAATGTTTGGACTCTACAATTCAGATTATCAGTACCACGCCGCTACGCGACGGAGCCGGGTATAGTTACCTTGCCACCGAGTTCGAGCGTGACTTTTTTGAGATTCGAGCTGGCAGCTGCTTTCATGATCGACCTTCCGACAAGAGTAGATCCGGTGAATGCAACCTTTTCGAGATGGGGATGCTCCGCGATTGCGGCACCGACGGTGTTGCCGTAGCCAGTCACAATATTGACAACTCCTGGAGGGAAACCGGCCTCGTTGATGAGGGAGCAGATACGAAGGGCTGTAGAAATGTATAAGAGATGAAAAAATGGAAGAGCGCAGAGGATCACCTGTGAGCGGGGTGAGCTCTGACGGTTTGAGCACGACGGTACAGCCAACGCTCAAACTAGGGCCTAATTTCCAGGCGAGCATCAACACTACTGAGGGTCAGCAGGCCCATGTAGATGATATCGAGAGTGAGCCCACAAGGGAAGTTCCACGGGATGATGCAGCCAACAGCCCCGATGGGCTCATGGAGAGTATAGCCGAATTTATCTTCATTAACCTCAATTCTGTACGGTTCAAGGTCAGTTCACCAACGAAACCTTCCAGATTAGGAGCGGGCGGATGCCAGAGGGCGAGAGGAGCTTGCCACAGTGCTACGGGGGTTCTGAGGAATGTACATTACGTTTTCCCGCTGAATTTATCTGCTCAGCGCGATCCCACAACGCACGAGTACAAGGAGAACCCAAAGCCGGTCAGAGACGTGCACCTCGAGATTGATGTCTGTATTTACCTGCCCAGCCACCATAGTATCTGCGAAAGAAATGAGTATCCATCGCGAGGAGAGACCGTCCAGGAACCTACCGGAAGACGGCCGCGCTCTCTGCAACGTCGAAGCCAAGTGCTGTCTTGTAAGCCTTGCCATTATCGAGAGCCTCCAGAGCGGCAAGTTCTTCTGCATTTTGCTCGATGAGATCCGCAAGTCGCATAAGCAATCTGCCGCGCTCAGAACCGGGGACCTATTGAGTCGCTCAGGTGACCCATCTGATGGGATAATGCACAATCTGCCAATCACCTTGAGACCCCAAGACTCCTCGAATGCCTTGTGCGCAGTGGCAACGGCGACGTCCACGTCCTTGCGCGTTCCTGTATACACGATAGATCAGACGATACTCACGAGTAGGAGGTGAATAGAATGGAATGTACCCACCCTCAGAGATCGCTGTAATGACCTTTCCAGACGTCGGGTTGATGACGCTGGAGAAGATGTCACAATGAGTCCGGACGTGGGGACAAGGGCAGAACTTACTCGATGGTTTTCCCCTCGGATCCATCGACAAACTTGCCACCGATGAAGAGGCCAGTTGGGAAGTTGGAGGATCCCTTGTAGGTGGGCGTGTTAAACTGGTACGTGAAAGTAGTCATTGTCGAGGTCAGGAGCAAGTTGCGGGTAGAGCCACCCCCACCATCCCCTTATATAGTCGTAGCATATGGGGCCCCTCATCGATAATGGCCACAGGTCACCACCCACTCACAGTTCAGCAGAAAATGTGGGGAAATCACATGCATTAGTTGGCAACCATCGACAGTCCTCGAGCTCCAGTAAACTTATTCACTCCCCGAGTCCGTCGGGCGTACTCCGTCCTTCACGTGAAATAGCAATTCAGCTATGACATTCAATACACAGGGGTGGACAACCTGTACCTCGCATGTGTTTGTCTCTACTGAAAGTGGTAGAGGAACAACTTCTCGTCCCGCAGAGAAAACAGAAATACGAGGCTCACACCTGCGCTTCGCTTGCCGTTAATGTACTCACGCAGTTGCATGCCCACCTCCTTTTGCAACTGCGGCGTCTCTTCGAGTAGCGTGCGCCATGCGCCATCGTTGGTGATCCAGGTCTGGCTCGCCGTGATCGCATTCCATGCCGCCGGGTGTAAATCAACGCCAACGACAGAGTGGTTGGGCGCATGAATTGCGTCGCGGATGTCCGCTATGATCGCGTTTGCTAGGGCGTTATTCAGCACACTGATTTTGAGTAGTGTATCGCACCGACCTCTCGTTTGATATAGATTCTTCGTTGTATGCCTATGCTTCCGTGTTGAAGTGTCAGGGGCTAGAATGATCGGAACGTCCGCCGACTCTCTAATCTTGGGGACCGTCACGGAGTTCTCGTGCTCCTTATCAAACCGGGACTGTTCCAACAATAGACTTTGCAACGTCGAAACAAGTTCGTGTTTCAGCGCTGCACATGCCGTCAGAAGCTGATACGCCGCGGCAGAAGGGCCTACCCTCTTGCTCTGTTCCTCGCAGCACACTCCGGATCCTGTAACTTGGACGACCTGCACTTGCCTTGTGATATACCAAAAATCTTCATGACGTAAGCGAATGAACCAGCTTGACCCGTACTCACAGTATCCCCTCGCTCTGGCATTTGGCGATCGTCACCTCGTCCGTCTCGTCAACGGCTCCATCGTACATGATATCCGCGCTGATTCCATTCTCCCATAGCATATATGCAACCTCTAGCCGATCCGATAGCTTGCCCGATGTATAATCGCAGATGTAAACATCACATCGACGTGGTGACCACAGTCCGTAGGTTCTCTTGTCCTTGATGAGTTGCTTGATAGAAGCACGTTGATGAGCCGCAAGTGAAGCGGTAATCTTGTCAACAGCAATCTGTACACCAGTGGCGCGAATAGGCAATGCTGGTTGAGGATCGGTAGGAGGGCGGTAGCTCGCGAGTAGTCGATCATATCTATCCAGTGTAAGATAATAAAAAGGGCCAGGAAATTAGCACACCTTCCACCAGAGGCAATAATATCGGAGCGTTTTGTGCCTTTGAGTACTTCAAATACCAAGCCCGATGTAAACAAGTCGCTGGGGAGCCAGGGTTTGAAATAGATCCTTCTCTTGACACCGAGAATAGTCGCAAATCGGACGACTGTCCGAATCTCGTCAAAGACTTTCGTGAGAGAGATACCAAACGACATTTTTGACAATTTGGATATTGTCAATTCTACATCATCTAAGATGGGTCAGAACTTATCCACAAGAGGCTCACAGGCGTACCGATTTGCAAGAGAATCTCCAGCTCGTCCAAGGTGGAGCGTGCCAAACCCAGCTTGGTCAACAGTGTTCGCTTGAGGGGAAGTGCCGTTTTGTGATTATCGAGGATGCCAATCACATTTCTCCTTTGTTCTTCTGAGAGTTTCGCCAAGGCAACCTCGCAAACTATCCCTTTGTCACGAGGATGGCATTACTGCCACGATGTGCTTACCTTTGCTATGTGAGAGGTGGATATCATACGTCGTAGCATTGAGCCCCGGAAATGTGTCGATGATTTCGCTGACAATTGCAATCGCTTCCGCTTCAGACACACCCATAGATGGATCCGATGTAATGATGTCAAAGACGGCGACCTTGAGGCTCTTTGGATGACCACCGTTGGGAGATGATCGATATATATTGCCGATATGATACCGTTTGATACGCTCGATGCCCATGCGAGCCGCGAGACGTGCAAACGACTGGATAAGGTGCTTTGGGAGGGCCACAAGTTCGCCTTGTCTGTCAAGATAGACCGCTGTTTTGGCATCTTCTACGTCTCTGCTTTTCGCTGGCATGAACAACAGAGGATCGCTGCTCACTGCTCCATGCAGCTGGAACAGGTCAATCAGTCGATCCTCCACGACGCCATCGAGTGCGACATGTTCGGGGCGCTCTTCCTCGTCGTAGAGAACGTCTCGTATCTGGCTCACGGGTTTGCTGAACAACGATGCAAGCAGCTTGGAATAGTGCGGGGAATCAGGATTGGCTGCATCTCTTTAGTACTTCATTAGTCGGTTCTCGTGAACGCACTCATCAGCCTGGATGCTTCTCTAAAATAAGCATCCTCCATTTGCTGAGGAAGCAACGAACTCTGAAAGAGCTCTGCAGCCGTCGGTCGATCAGCTGGGTCGTGTTGTAATAGCCAGGTGATAATCTTCTTCTGTGCCGGTCGATCAAAGTCACTAGGGAAGATGATCTCTGGTTGCCTAAGCTGTTGGAGGACAGCAACCCTTTCTGCACCCGTTTTGAACATGTAGTTCATCTCGAAGAAGACAATCTGCCCAAATCTTAGAGTCTGTCATGTAATCACAGTCACTTACACCGAGGCTGTACATATCAGCTTTGGAGTGATTCCTGCCCTTTGCGTGCAAGACCTCAGGTGCGACATATAGACTCGTTCCAACACCTAGAATGGTGTCAGATGTGAAACATGTTATCACGAGTGCTCACCAGAAGTCATTTCCGCAGAAGATTCAACGGTACGTCCAGCTTCCACGTCCGACGGGTCCACAGCAGCTAAGCTAGATGTAGCAAGCCCAAAGTCACCGATTTTGCAATCACCGCTTGCCGATAAGAATATGTTCGAAGGCTTGAAATCCCTATGGATCTGGAGAAGAGTGAGAACTGGACTACCCGCTCATGTTTCCCACAAACAATTCCCAGTGAGGATATGTGCACCACAGCATCCAAAATTTGACGAAACAGAGTCCATGCATGCTCCTCTGAAAGCCCATCCTCCATTATTAGCTACGAATCGTCAATCGACACGCTCATATTGTATAAAGATTTAACCTCTCTCAAGGTCTGTCGCTCTACAAATTCCTATGCTCATTCAGCGGCATTCAATAGGGGCAGCAGTCGACCCACCATCTGTATATATAGCACTCTCGGAACAGGCTTCGGCGGCATGATTGTATAGCTTCGATTCGGACGCTCGACCTCCTCCTCTGTCTCGGGGCTACTCTCGTCCTCATCTTCGTCGTCGGCTACGAGCGACATGGACGATGTCTCGTCGCCAAAGTGAATACTCGGGAAAGATCTCCCACTTCTCGATTTGGAATTCACCGTCAAGTCGTCCAGGTCATACATAAGCACGTTTTCTTCGTCGAAGTCATCCCTCTTGCGCCGATTACCTGACGCCGAGGCAGTCGTGTCCGAATCCGTTGTATCCTCGTCCTCATCTTCTTCGTCTGAGTCTCTGGAGCTGTTTTGGCGACTCGTCCCTGTGCTGCTTCTTCGTCCACGGGTCGATACTTCGAGCCATGTAGCATAGTAGCGCACGATGTACCGGTGGTTTAAGCGACTGAGAGCGTTGACCTCTCGGAAAATCTTATCGTCGTTCTCTGTCCCACGCAGCTTGACTTTTTTGATTGCGTAGATGCGACCGTCCAGTTTATTTCTGGCCTTCACAACCGACCCGAAACCGCCTTTACCCTGTATAAATTAGTCATAAGATATGGGTGAAATCTGGGCGACGAACCAGGAATTCCAACTCCTCCCAGTCTTCCTGGTATCGCGAGGCCCGTTTCGGTCCAATAAGCTGTGACTTTGAGGGCGGGATAAAGAATCCGACTTCGGGCGAATGCCGCATATCGTGCTTGGGCATTGGGGTCTTTAGATCCGCTAGAAGGGCAATAAGCTGCTATCTCCCCAGCGCAAGCTTGCTCCCACCTGGGATGGGAATGGTTCCAGAAGCAACAATTGGACCCGAAATTTGCGAAAGTCGGCGAGTTAACTCGGTACATGAAGGGCTCTTCTTGCGGTTGGATATGAATATAGATTTGAGGAGATCCATCAAGCCTGGTGAGGCGGGCTCTCCATGCTCCAACGCAGAGTATGGGTCCTCGCATTGCTCAACGATAGAGAACCCATGCAGCATTTGCAAGAGAATAACGCCAGTCGCCCAGATATCTCTTGAAAGGGGATACTCTAACGGCCTGCCCAATGCCTCTGGCGCTGCCCAGGCTTCTGGTGGAGTCCATACTTCTCCTAACTCGTCTACAATGTTATTTGAGCGGTGTAGTTCTAAGATGCGTGAGTGATATGAAGCCCGTCCAATCTTGAGGAGGGACTTGTTTGGCGCTTGGAAAAGTGGCACGAGGCTGATGCATTCGGCTGTGAGTCCACGATGACATATGCCTCGAGCGTGAAGCGCGCTCAGTCCAAAGAGAATTTGTCCCATATAATCCTGCAGAGCGTATCAGACCCAGCGGAGATCCTAATATTGTTTTACTTACAAGGGTCCTTTCCAATTTAAGGCCATCAGAATGCTGCAAGACGTCGCGGAGAGATGCAACTGAACGTTGCTCGATCAGGATTGTCATGCGAGGAATATGCATGGCATCGTCGACCTGAACCGCAAATATCTTTATGAGATTCGAATGGTCAATGCTTTGGAGTACTTCTATCTCCCGCCGAATTTCGGTGATCTTGCGGAATCCTGAGAACTGGATCAGCGGTGACGATCACCAGAAGGGTCCTGAAGCACCATAATTGGTCTTGTAGTGAGGGTTGTCAAAGACGACACGGTAGGCTTCCAGCACTGGTATATGGAGTGGTCCCTTTTTGAGCTCGCATTGGGGATCGGCCCTTAGCGTTGTCCCTGCTCCATCTGTTACGAATGTCAGACTCCGTCTTTAACGCGACGAGGACCCACCAGGAACTGGGTTAGATAGAGCCACAGAATGAAACTGGTAACCCTTCCATTTGATTTCCGAATCAAAGGCGTAAACATTGTCAACCAGCAGTCCACCATCGTCTACAGCGGTCTCTGGTCCACCATGATCTAGAGAAGTGTTCAAAGCTCGTAACCGCCGCTTCTCCTCTTTTTTCTCGTCGATTTCCTTTGCAAGGGCGGCGGCTTGCTCGCTCTCCAATTGTCGTAACCGCAGCTCTGCCTCCTGCGATTGCTTTTCATGCTCCTACCCAAGGAGGTGAATAGATATGCTGTACAAGTGATGGCACTCGCCTGTTGTAATGTGATAGCCCGGTTAACCATCTCAGTTGCCAGAGACACGTTCGGCGTATCATCCTCCTCCTTGACAGTGTGGTTCTGATCAAGCCACTCTTGACAGAATGTTACTAGCTACTTTGACGTTGAGTCCTGTTCGTGTCAGACTGCAGCTCGCGCACCTCGAAAATCATCTCTCTACCGAGAGCCTTTTGGGCTTCTACCTTTAAGAGCCCTAACATCTGGTTGATCTGAAGTTTGGATAGGCCCATGAATGCGTCCACAGAGAGGGTTGGTAGCACTTTCGGATAGGTCTTGGAGAATCTATGTGGATTGTTTTACCATGTCAGCCATTCTAACGATGACACTGTTATATGTCACGTACTTGACGTGTAAAGTGAATTCAACGCGGCCGTGAAGCGCTTCATCGTTGGGCCGCACCGTGATGGTGAATTCGGGAAAGGATAAGGCACCCTAGTAGACAAGATACAAAGTTAAATCAGCCTTATCACTAGGAAACGGCGAATAGCCCAGAAGAGACGGCGCCGGTTCCGGCTTTGGGGAAGACGAGAAGGATTTTGACGTACTTTCCATGCCTTTGGAGGTGGAATATCCTTGAAATCGTCACCGTAGATGGCCTTCAAAGCCTCTATCTCCAATTCTTGCGTCTGGTTTGCATCCATCTGTGACGACGGCACGCGTCTTGTTCGTGTTCGAGTGTATAATGAGATCTTTGAGAGTATGAATGTGATGTACGAGTTGGGTACGCGCTCATAAGCGCAAGGCTTGCTTCCTTGCAATCCCCGGGGGCGCGTAAAGCTAGCACTGCGCGTGAAATGTGACGAAGAGCGTGACAGACGTGTATGACCAGTGAAACTGGCGTCTTAAAGGCTCATCGTCGAGAAACTCTCGGTCTAGATGTGATAGTTGGGTTCAAAGGTCGAAGTCTCAAGAGCCCAGTCATTGTCCCACTGCCACTGAGTCATGACGAAATCTAGTCACTCGCCATCAATACTATTCGAGAAGTTTCCGGAATCATCGGAAGCCTTTGATTGGATGACATTGCCTCAGTCAAAGGTGATCCATGAAGGCGACACTTCCTAAACAATGGGAGGGGTGTTCTGAACAAGACCATCTCAATCGATTCTTCATTGTCTGAGTTCTACAAGATTGGTTTACTATGGCTGAGGTGAACGGGCGGCTGCCGCGACATCAGCCTGGACGGCATTCAGCTGGCGATCCAACGGGTCTCCAAGATCTATTTAGAATAGCGTCAGGACACCAATTCAAAGCATCGAGCAGCATCTAAATGCGCCCATGCCATACACCAAGGAATACTCACCCTTCTTCAAGTCGTCCATGAGTTTCTGATCAACAAACTCGTCACGCTTTTGTCGAGTTCCATAACCTTCTTCTATCATCCCGTGAACAGACATCGACTGGGATCCATAGCCAGGGGGCTGCGACCCACCTCCTGGTCCTCGCGAGCCACTAGCAGTAAGTCCACCTTGTTGACCAGGTGTAGACATCTCTCCGGGTTCACCTGTACGGCGTGATTTGGCCTCGCGTTGGGACGAGCCAGAAGGCGCCAGGCGTCGTTTACCGGACCCAGTGGCTGATAGATAGTGAAACAGTTGTACAGAGAAGAAGATACAAGATTAGTTGTCCATCTATACTCCCGTGACAAGACTGACCTGGGCTTTCACGCGGTTCAATATCGATGGGGCTCGCAGTTCCTCCTGATTCATCTTCAGAAGGTGTATCGTATGCTGCAGACACCATTTTTGATCTTTAATGGACTCTTCCTCGCCACGAGTGTAGTCGGTGAGTGCAAGGTTTGTTCGCCACATTGACGCCGTCGAGTGCCTACTAGAATGAAGGACGGTCTACACTGAGATTTCAATTTACTGTTAAAACGATAGTCAAATGCCGAGTTTATGACGAGAGGAGACTGCAAAGACCGGACTTCATTGATCATCGATTTCGTACAATCCACTACAACTTTGATAGCATTTCAGCATGAAGTGCCTTGAGTTCATCCATCTCTGGCTTCTGTGTTGGCCAACCAATAACAAGGCCTTGCTTGTCGCTGGCCTCTGGCTTCGGAATCACATGGAAGTGAACATGCTTGACGACCTAGAGGACGATCCATATCAATATAATACATTCATATTCCTTATCACGCACCTGATGAGCAATCTCTCCGTTATTTTGGAGGATATTGTAATCTTGCGCTCCTGTAGCAATCGCAATCTTCTTCGCGACCGGCATAGCATCGGCAAGGAACTCATCTGGGCTGCCAGAGAGGTGAGTGAGTGAGACTACTATGGGTGTCGAAACAGTACATGTCCGCCAATTTGACCCCGCAATCTGTTGGGCATGTAAGATATGGTGTGTGTGTAATACGACGAACGCGAACACTTTGGAATGATTAAAGAATGCCCCTTGGATAGCGGTCCAATATCCAAAAACGAGTACCTGGGATTGGTGAACATGTAGGCAACTGCCATAGTGAAGCACCAACGTGAGCTCTGTTTCTACAAGCTTGAAGCTCGGAATTTGTCCGCGGATTATCTTGCAGAATATGCAATCTGCAGTAAGCCTTTGGAACTAGGTGGTGAATCGAGAGTATTCTTAGGCGAAATAACCTTACTTGACAAGATTTGACATATTTGGTTTCGACTCGGGCGACGTCGATGCTGATGCGGTTGACTTCAAAGTCTGGACTGTGCCACCCCCACCGTGCGACTCGGTTGCTAGCCTTGGGAGAGAACATGGTTCAGTACAGTTCTAGACCTTCAAACAAGCAATCCAGTGATGAAGTTCATGGTCGTCTAGGAGTCCATTCTGGACGTCACCAGTCGTAATCTCTTCTGACTTGAGCAACCTCAGAAAATAGCAACGAACGAGGCAACAAGAAAACCGCTTGCAATTGTCGGCAGAACTGACAGATCCGCTGCTCGCTGCGTGCATAAACAGCTTCTAATCATTTGTCCAGCGCTTCGGCTCGTTTCGTCAACTATCCAGTTATGGACCTTACCCGTGTTGTACGGGCCTCTGGATAAACACACGGGCGCGATACGGCATCGCCAAACCGCTTCTGGCGCTCTCGCGATTACTATGGGCACCCCCCGCCCCGCATCGCCGTGTCAAACGCGCCGAGACCGGGAATAACTTGTGGATTCAAAAATGACTACTTAGCCTGGAGTTTTCTCGCTCATTTGGGCGGATGGATCCTCCGAGATTTCAATTGTTTCTAGGTACATACCGAGCAAAACTAGCAAACAAGATAAACAAGGTGTAAGAGATGTACAGGAACCCGTCAATATCAACCCCAAGCGCGACCTATCATTCCCGTACCCGTGTCCGCTTGGCCCGCTTGACATCCCCACAGGCTTGGCTTCATTAGGATGTACCGAGAGCGGAAAGGACACAGACTTGACCATATCTATGGATCAGTGACAGGTGACCCATCTCCTCTTTCGAGTAACATCCAGGGGATTCCCTCTAGAGCATCGGAGCATTATGATGAAACCGCGTGATGTGTCGACGGTTTGCACGTTTATCACACTTGAAACCTGATAACAAAGTGAGGTGAGCTGGAAATCACACAGGTGACAAGGAGCAGACAGTTTTCACGAGGCGAAAAGCATCCACGAAACGCCACAGGGAAAGGACGGATTTGCAATGTCTGTCGCTGGCGTGTCATAGATACTCCGAAGCAAATCGAGCCTGGCTATCCCGTCGACAACGACAATAGATATCCGCGTAATCTCGAAGTTTGCAGATTTTGCCTATCTTCCTGTAACGGCGCGGAAAAACTAGGCGGATCGACACGTTTCATCAGGCCCTCCTTTTTTTTGGCTGCGCTTCGACAAGGGGTGAGTGGCGTCGCTATCGCTCCCTGACGTTTGAACCTCGGCACTAACTGAGGATGGCAGGAGTAGTTGCACGAATCGACTCTCCTCCCGGTCGGTCATCGCCTTGAATAAACGTGGGACGCTGGAAAGCTATACGTCTCACCGTGTCGATCGCGTTCCTGCAAAAAGAATAATGATGTGCCTGTAGGTCCATTTCTCTTATGTCATGCAAGACATGAACAGGAAACTGGTCGGATGGATACGTGGACAGAGGACGGGTTCATCGGAGAGAGGCTTTGTGTGGGGATGGCGAGTTTCTCCGAATCCGAGGAAGCGGCTCGCAGGGCGTTATGGGACAGGATTAGGGGGTGTCTGACTGTCCGCCCATGTGTCCATGTGTCCATGTGGGGGGGGGGGATCGGAAAGGACAGAGCCGGAGGGGAGTTCGTGGGCGTACCAAGGGCTTATCGTCATCGAAACAAGCAGAATTCATGCGGCGGGTCTGTCAAGTTGATTTCCCGCATTCGACGAACCGAGCGTATGCTTTTAGAGTGTGGCCGGGTAGACTCGGACCGGCAGTGAGCGTCAGGCTAGACGCGGGATGATTACGATCGGGGTGGAAGCGCCGGGACCATTTTTGGGTGAGAACCGGCAAAGGCGAGAGACGGGGCTGGGGGGGCTGGCCTTTTGGGTCTCCCATCAAACTTCTTCTGTGCAGAACGACACACTCTGGGGATGCATGGACGGCCTCTCTCCGCCTCGTTTGGGCCTTGCGTGGGGGTCCTCCATGTGAATTATAGCTCGGGCGGTGTGAAAAAGTAATTTATTTAAAATAAATAATTAAAAACCGACATTTTCCCAATCGCGATAAGAGCTCTGGTGTGCACACGGCGCGCTGGGGTCGGCTCGCCTATCCGTTGAGTTTATGCGGGGCACACTGTTTATCGTTTCTTGCCCCCTGCCTCTTCCGCCTCCGTGCGAGATCACTGTAGAAGCCCGCGCAAGACAATTAGAACGCTCGTGTTACAAGCAGAGAGCAAACACCCTCCAAACGTCGAGAAATCTCTTGGCCCTCTGATTGCAGTCCCCCTCTCCCCGCCAAACTCGAGAGTATGGACATCGACGTCCAGCCCAAGAACGCTGTAGCCAGTAATCCTCCAGCCAGCGAGAAACCTGCGCTCCCAAGGCCGTACAAATGCCCGTACGAGTCGTGCGGCAAGGCCTTTTCCCGCCTCGAGCATCGTGTATGTCCATTTTCACCACTCTCTGCTTGCTCATCGTCTCGGAATACCCTCTTTTACACGATTGTGCTCGATCTCGCGCCACCCTCTCCATTTTCCATGTCGCTTTGCAATTCTTCCGGAGTATTAGGCCATTGCCATTGCCGTAGGCTACTTGGGCCCCGTTTCCCCAACACGTCACAGGCCCATCGAATTCCTGCTCGAGGCAGTCTCGGTATCACTAAATATATTTTGCGGGTTGTGCGCGAGGATGTTCCGATGCACGCACGCCCACCCAGCACTCTATCCGCCCAGCGATCCCCTTTTTGGGCTTCTTCTCATGCCTTGAGTGGCCGTCCCATACCTCCCTTGCTGTCGTGAATGACAACTGACAATTGTTTTCTTTTTCTTTTTCTTTTTTATCGGCCGCTCTCGATCACCGTGCTACCCATTCTGGACCCTGGGATTCACTCTATCTCAGACCCGCCACATTCGAACCCACACTGGCGAGAAACCTCATGCATGTCCCCATCCGACTTGCGAAAAGCGCTTCAGTCGCTCCGACGAACTTACGCGACATATGAAGATTCACCAACCCAATCATCATGGCCACCACGCGCGCACAGCTGCAACGCGACCGGTGGAGAAAGAGGAAATCCACGAGCCAAAGACGAGGTCGATGACGCATGCAATTGTTCCCGTCCATGACAAGCGCAGGGACGCAAATGATACGGTCAGTATTCACTTGTTTTTTACTACCATTTCACATGGAAATACTAATTCCCGGGTCGTCCACAGGCCACAAACCTTCCGCTCTCAAGCGGGCTGACTGACGAACGGGAAACACGGCCCAACCTCTTGTCGACCTCACTCCCTAGTTCGTCCGTGGGCAGAACCACGACCACGACCGCAGCCGCGGCATCGTCGCTCTCGACCCTACCCCGCAACACGTCACTCTCCAATATTCATTCAAACCCACTCTCCGCACTCAGCTCGGTCGCCCACGAGCAGCTGCTCGAGCTCGAGCGGTCCGAAGCGAAGAGACGTGCCGAATACGAGGCCGCCCATGCCCAGCTCGAAGCCCGGCTACGGGAGCGCGAAGTGGAGATGACGGCGGTCGCGAGCAGGCGAAAGGTCGGGAGGCGTGTCTGGAGCAAGAGTGCAAATGCCAGTCCAGACTCGACCCCCTTCTTTGGTCCGATAGCCGACGGTCCTCGGCTTCGTTCGCGGTACGACATGGACGCAGACGAGGAAGACGAGGAAGAAGAGGACGAGGAGGACGAGTACGGTCCCACGAAACGCGCGCTCTATCACGACTCTAGGTACACGCAACACACTGTGTATTGTGATGGCGAGTCTGTGCTGGGCGGTCTCGTCCCGCGGATGCCCTCGTGCCACCACGAGGAATGCCACAAGTCGTACCGTACCCTCCTCCGTCTCGCCAATCCTCGGTCCGGGACGTCGACTCCTGCTCATGCCCCGCAACACCACCATGTCGGGTCCGCTGGACCTTCTCACCGGGCCGCTCATCGACACCACCCATATGAACAAACCGTTGGCAGCCGCAAGACGTCTCCTGGTGACTCGACCCCTAGTCCAATCTCGGAAGAGGATCGTTTGTTGCCTCCATTGAGCGCCATCTCGTCTGCCTCGTCGCGCCGAGAGCACCCGTATTCTGCAGGCTCCTCAGCCTTCTATGAAGAGCACCCTTACCAGACACCTTCCACGTCACCTTTCCTTCACGCAGTGAGAAGCATGAACATGGGCAAGAGCCGAAACGGATCTCGCGTCCCGAGTCGGGCTCCAAGTCCAGTCCCACTGCATTTGCCGCCCTCTGTCGTTGCTTCTGCTGCTACGACGAAATCATCAACGTTGTCTGCGGCTGCCGATACCCCAACGTTTGTGCGGGATCGCCATCACCGTTCACATCGTTCCCACCCATCCCTTTATTCGACTACCATGGGCCACGGTGCAGGCGCAATGAGTCCGCCCGATGCATTGGGTCGCACTCGCGACTTTGAACATCATCACGGACATGGTCACCGCGAACACCGAGAGGGTTGGCAGCCTTATCCGCATTCCCACGGTGGCACACCCCCTGGCACTCCGGCGCCGATAACCATGATGTCCCGACGGAAGAAGACGAGCACGACGAGTCCGACGGTTGCAAACTCGAAGCATTCAATCGATGCTCTCCTCGCTGGTCCAGCGACGGCTGTTGTGAACAATTCCAATGCGACAAGTACTCATGACTTTGAATCTGTCATGACTGATAATCACTCGGAGATGCCGGGTTCAAGCCTGCATCCATCGCTCTCGACCCAGTTCCCACCGCCGCCGAGGCGCTCTCGACCATCTAGTGAATACGATGCGACCCTTTCCCCAACTCGATTGAGCCCTGCGAATGGCTCTGTTCTTCACTCATCGATGCTCAATCATGGCAAGACGGCAGACAGCACTCTACCCAAGATGCCACCCCTTGTCCCCGGCCTGCCGTCTCCATCTCCTTCGACGTCGTTTTCACAACCACATGGAACTCATGCGCATAGTAATCCTTCTTCAGCACAGACGTCGCCTCGTTTGCATCACGCACAGACGCAGTCTGCGTTCTCATCGAACCTGCACCCGACCACGGCACACCCGACCACGGCACACTCGACATTGGCGCACTCTGTTCGTCTCGCGTTTGGGATGACACCAATTCATCCACCGTCCTACTTTAGCACCTCTAGCACACGTGGTCGGAGTATGGTTGGGTTCGGAAGCTCGAGTATGCGAGCCACGGCCGCTGGTGGATTCTCTGGTTCAAACACGAACCCTCCTTCGATGGCTCCGTCGCGGACTGGATCTGCAGAGTCGGACGATGAAGAAGGAGATCGACGTGGATTGACTCTCCCGCCACTCAAATTCAAGACCCAAGGCACAAGTAGTGTCCTTAGGACGCCCGAAGAGGTCGAGGACCGTACGGTGCGGATGACTGCTGATGACGACGAGGAAGAGCGAGGATTGCCTCATCTCGAGACGCTCACTGGCAAGCTGGGCAAGCTGGCTCGCGAGCTCAATGAAGATGTTGAGATGCACGTGCAGTAGCCACAAAACGAAACGCGGACCTCGTATCACCCTTTACGATCGACCGACTCATTATCAATAGATGACATCAAGTATATCTTATTTGTGCAGACTCACACCACTTTCTCGTGATTTGTACCTATAGACTGATCACCATAGATGCCTCTATCTTATTTCTCCACCGCTCTCTCTTACCTCTATAATGTAGGACTGTCTATACTCGTGTGTTTATCGCAACTATAGAGCTTGTTGCCTCCTTTGGGTGCTCGTGAGGCTGTTCGGACAACTTGAGCTCCCCCAATCTCTTTGAAGAAATGAAACCCGTTCAATAGCCAGCCAAAACCGCCTTTAGAATGTATACTTTTCATGTACCTGTTCGTTTCAACGCACCTACTTGGCTGGTCACGACCGGAGTGCTGCATACCTTGCTGGGCAATGGAGATCCGTCGCTCTTTCCTAAACCATACTCGGGCTTCTTTGCAACGAGATTTGTGCATAATCCCCACGTGGAAACAGCCGCTGAGGGTGCACGGACGGGCATCCTGGGCTGGTGTTCATTATAGCCTTAGCTACGACGTCGGCGTCCTCGCAACCTACCCCAAGAAGATTGCATAGACCACCAGGGCAAAATTCATTTTCTTCAACGTGGCCTAGAGCCATAATTCATTTTCTAGAGCGTAAAATGACATCGATCGCTGGGCTGCCGGGCTCGTTGGGCAGGAGAAGCTACTGCGGCATTACTATTGACCACCACCGATTATTATAATGCCTATCATACTTGTAACGTGGCCGACCTTCTTCTTTCCCGCCCTCCCGCCGCGCCCCGACTCTGCGTCGTTTGGCAGCAGCGCGCTGCCTTTTCTCTGTCCAGCTTGTACACGGACAACCACTCTCTTTTCAACAACACTATCTTTTCAGACATTTCACTCCTTTTCATTTCTTGGACTTCCTGCCTACGCAGGAATTTGTAGCCCCATCCAATCATTCTTCACAAGACAAGCATCTGTAGCCCTATGTGAGTACTTTTCGTGAATTTATCGCATGTTTGATAACCCTGCGGTCATTCTTGCAGACCTTTCAACAACGCATGTCCACCAATTGCCAGTGCGACATACGAATGAACATTGCACTCATCGTCGGCGTCTCCATTGCAGCATCCTCAGTCGTGATCGGCCTCTTTATTCTACTAACTTATCTCGTCATTCATACACGTCGAGCCCGTCGCCGACGTCGCCTCGGCAATCCCATGACCTCGTTCGTCACAGACGAACAACAGCAACAACAACCTCCAACATCAACCACCCACCTTCCGGTAACCCCCCGAACTGAAAAACCACGCGAAGTTGACAGAGGTCTACCACCACCCGTTCGAAGAGAGAATAAACTTCGACGACCACCCCGCGCGCGCGTAGCCGCAAAGCCCGACTCTAATAACAACGCTTTCGTAATCAGCGAAATAAGGGGCCATTCTACGAGCTAGGGCGAATGCGTCGGGCAGCGCCTCCACCACCACCACTGTCTTTGCCTCCCCTCGTCGCAACGAAGGAGACTGAAGCCGAATCGACCACATCAAGGCCGAGATCTTCCCGTGGACAAGGTGCCGTGCGAACACCTGGAGGAGACCGGGCATTCTCCCCCGTTCCTTCCTTCATTTCACCAGGAGAGGAAGACGATGGAGTAGGACGCCGCCGTCGTCGCCAGAGTGGTGACAATGACGCCGCAGGTCAAGATGCTGGACCACCGAGTCCTCAGCCATCGTCAGATCTTGGGCATGGTCGGTCGCCACGCTCGTTGGATCTGTTCTCGGTTAATGCACCCGAGCCCGCGTCGTCGGCTCGTCCACTTGAGACGCTTTATGTCCCTCCAGTCGTGCCAGAATCACCGATGCGTTCGGTCGGATTCGCACGTCGGGCATCAAGAGGGATAATGGTCGAGCGAGAAGAGGCCAAGTCGACTGAAGTATCACAGACAACGAAGTTGGATACTCCTCCTAGCTCTTTGCGAGCATCTGCCCGCGGATACCTGACGAGTTACTTGCTGCACTCGAATCTACCCAGCCGGTTGTCGTTGTCGGGCTCCCGCGACGACAGACAACTCTCTACGATTCACAGACGCCTAGCAAACGCAGAATTTGATTACATTGTCCCTTCGTACATATACATTCGTTTGTTCAATACAAGTTCAACGCCAGACTGCGGTTATGATCTCGTCCCGTGGAAAGGTGGTCGGCTCGATAAGTTCCTCACGAAGCTCCTTTTTTACGACCTTCAGTGATCAATTCTACAATGAATAAAGGACATACGTTGATGCCATTTCTTTTGTGGCGAAAGCGCACTCCCTTCGCATTGCAAAAGCTGGCGAGCTTCTTCGCGTCCTCTGCTATCATTCCTCCTTGACCGCGTGTGACGTATGTAAAAACCTCGAGCTTTGGCATCGTCTCGCACCACTTTACGAGGCGATCGACACTGTATGACTCTTGGGACGGTGTATGCGCATATAAAAAGTGTACCAGACAATCTAGTGGAAGTACTTCCCGCATCACTGACGGAGGTTGGCCATAAAGTACGAGCTCCTCTAACCCAGTACATGCTTTCAACCCATGGACCTTTGCGTGCAGCGGCAGTTCAGCTAGCCGCAAAGAGCGGATCTGCGCGCCATGTTGGGCAAGGAAAACGCTCTCCCGTAGAAAATTCTGAATAGCTGTGGCATTGCCCAAGCCGCGGAGATCAAGAATCCGAAGCTCCTGTCCACATGTTTGCAGCAGTCGTCTGATGCACTCGGATGGGTCTCGACGGCCCCTTCGTGAAGGTCCAAAGTCAACTTCGTAAAGGGGTAATTTGGTTCCAGGTGCACCGCTCTCTGGTATCATATGAGTTGAGAACTGTTCGAGTGCAGTATCTGCTAGTCCAAGGTGACGAATCGTTGGCCAAGTAATGAAGGCTGATTTGAGGAATCTCGGTACCTCTACCATTGCGCTTATACGGAGAGCTCTGATCGATGGGAGTGCCAGCTCCGCATAACCCACGTTGGGAAGTTGTGGCAGCGTAGCCGATAAGATGGAGAGTGAGCCGAGATCGATGTCCTTGTATAGCACTAGTGAGAGTTCTCGAAGTTTGGGACAGTGCCGGAGAACAAAGGAGAATAAGGACAACATGTCCTGACTTCTCAATGTCATCTCCACTGAGCGTACAGATTCCCCGAGAGTCTGTGATAGTTCCGAAATTGCATCAGGTCGAGTCGCAACGAGGAATCCGCGCGTAGCATCTGGGTCATGAAGGCGCACGTTGCGAAAGAGGAGGCGCTGGGCGTATGGTCTCCAGGTCTACATGGTCGAGATTTTCAGTCAGTAGAGTTCAGTACAGTGATGCTTACCTTGCAGACGAGCGACAGTCGATGAAAGTTCTCGTGTGGCTTGTGCAAACCATCCATGAAAATCAACAGCAGGATCTCGAGAACAAGCTCCAAAGGAAGTGTCAAGTTTTTAGTATTCTTCATCTCCAAAAGAGGGCGCTTGGTTCATGCACAGTCCCTTCAATCGTCTTTTGGGCAGTCGCCAAGCGTCAAAGGTTCTTCCACAACCACCATCCATGTCAGCACCAACCTCGTCAGCCGGCCCCTCTATGGAGTTTGTGGAGAATGAGAAAGTCCTGTGCTACCATGGGCCACTCTTATACGAAGCAAAGGTGCGTGTATCGCCCCGTATTTTCATGTACTAATCAACTGTGTGATGTCTCTCCAGGTGCTGAAATGCAAGCGGTTCCACAAGAACTCTCCCAGTCCTTCGAAGGGTCCGCACTACTTTGTCCACTATCGTGGATGGAAGAGCTCTTGGGATGGTGAGCACTCACGGACTGACCGCGTGTTGGACGGGTGGACGACTGACACTGCAAAATTACGTAGAATGGGTCCATCAAGATCGTATGCTCAAATGGGATGAGAAGAATCTTGCCGTTCAGAAGAAATTGGCGGATGAACAACGCGCTACCAAGGACGGTGATCGCAAACCCGAGAAAGAGAAGAGCAACCGCGGTCACCAACATAGAGAGAGTATCTCTCAAAAAGACAAAGAACCTCTCCCAAAGGAACCCAAGCCTGCAAAACCGCCACCTCGTGCTAAAAAAGCGGTCAAAGAAGAGGAAGGCTATGGGACCGAGCTCTACAACTGGAATCCCCCAGTCAAGAAAAAGGTTGAAGTCAAGCTTGTCGTTCCCGAAAAGCTCAAGGCGGTTATGGTGGACGACTGGGAGGCTGTGACACGCAACGGACAAGTGTGTACTGTCAATGTCTGACCCGTATCTTGCTGAACTCGTATCAGCTCGTCCCGCTTCCTCGCCAGCCATGCATCGAGGACATTCTTCTCGAGTTTCAGGAATTGCTTTGGACATTGCCAGTCTCTGGTGGTCCCTCGAGGCGCGACGAGAACGTCCCGCTATTTCTGATAGGTATCAAGGCGTACTTTGAAGAGTAGGTTCATCAAACCATCCGTAATCAAATTTTCTGATGGTCAATAGGGCGTTGGGCGCGCACTTGCTCTATCGGTTTGAACGACCGCAGTATGCAGATATGCTAAGAAAGTATGCATATGGGCCGAATGTTTCGCCTGAACAGGTGAAATCGAACACCAAGCTGTATGGTGCTGAACATCTCTTGAGACTCTTAGGTTTGTTCGGTGAGTATCCGAAGCATAAGGCTAACATTTTCCAGTTACTTTGCCCTACCTCATGGCTTCTACACCAATGGATATGCACTCCATGAATATCATCCGCGAATATTCTAACCACCTCCTGGAGTGTGTCCACCTTCGGATCGAAATGCATTTACTGACAAATTAAAGGTTCCTTGCGAAGAATAAGGATCGGTTTTTCCTGACCCAGTACGAGGATACCTCTTCGACCTATTTGAGCTTGGCCCGCGGATGACTTGAACAATTCTTTACCTTTATATTTCTGTAGTTTATTGTGATCTACTTGCTCGTAGGCATCATTGTGGCCCTTGATATTAGGCACACCTTAAACTCTCTCGACCCCATGCTCAGCTCCTTCTTATTAGCAAAAGCGTCCACAAAGGGCAAGGAATATGCCGTAGATTCCGCTTTAGATGCACTTTTCACCTCCAACGTGCGTTCAGCCCTTGGATATGGGTTGCACACGCTGATATCGAGCGTTTTAGACGAAGCACACTATCACAGTACCAGAGACTGAGGCAGAAACAACTAAAATCGACAATCATTCAGCGTCGACCACTAAGAGAAAGCGCGACACCGTTCAAAGTGCTGTTCCGATTAAAAAACGAAAACGAGATCAACCAGAGGTGGCCCCTCATCCAAAAGGGCCGAACACTATCCGCGCATCTAGAAAAGATGAAGAAGATGTGAGATCTTCCTCTGAACCTGTCGAAGAGAAGGAGTTCAGGAAAGGAAAAGCGGTAAGGGTCATCAAGGTGACGGACGATATCCAGGAGCTAGGGGAAAGATATTCGAAGCAGACGCTACATACCCCGAAATCTAAAAGAGGCATAGAGAAAGGCCTAACATACCCTCCCAAGGTCACCTCCGTCGAAAACAGGGTTGTACCCGCCGTGGAAAGCGATTCTAGCGAATCAGAAGACGGCCACCAAGGACTGGTTCACGAAACTGTGTCAAAGTCTGGTGCTGTCAAGATTCCCAAAGAGAGGAGGTTAGCCTATGTTCCAGACGGCGAAACCAAGGAACAGCGTGAAGAAAGGACGGTTTTCGTAGGGAATTTACCTCCTGAAGTGGTCAAATCCAAGGTTAGTTGTTACATTGTGGTATCTCCTTGAGATAGTGACATCTCTGCAGCCCTTGCAGAAATCTCTGAAGCGCTGCATAACTGGTCCCTTAGCGGACCTAGGCTCAGGAATCAAAATCGAATCTATTCGTTTCCGATCGGTTGCCTTCAAGGCACCAACAAATCCGCAGGCGCTCAAAGAGTCTGAGCCGACCGAGGGCAGTACACGAAGGAAGGAGCGGGCAGCTGCTTGGAGAAAAACTAAGCAGGAGGAAGAGGGTGAAGAACTAGAGCAGCCAAAAGAATATCTAACTCCTGCGGAGAAGAAGCGGATAGCGTTCATCAAGGGCGAACTTCATGATCAAGCGGCATCTGTTAACGCCTACATCGTTCTTGCTCACCCACATCCAAACTCAAAGGAGCTGGCTGGCATGAATCCTTACGAGGCTGCAAAGTTAGTGGCGCGGACCATGGACGGAAGCTCTTTTGAAGGAAGGACCCTACGGGTGGACAGGGCTTCCAGAGGGGATATAGGGCAGGATCGGGATCCAGCATCCACCATCTTTGTCGGAAGTCTCGACTTTAACGCCAAGGAAGAGGACTTGCGCGCCTTTTTCGAGACCCTACTTGCAACTGAACTCGGTCCCCCTTCGGCCAAGGTAGACCCTGAGGATAGTGGAGATGATTCCGACGAATCCAGCGATGATGGTGATCAGGGAATTAGGGGAAATGGCCAAGCAAAGTGGGTTCGTAGCGTTCGCATTGTCCGGGATAAGGATACGCAGCTGGGCAAGGGATTCGCATACGTGCGTTTTTCGGTGAGGCATATTAAAATACAAGTAAAATCCTCGCTGATTACCCACACAGGAGCGCACTTGCGTCGACGAAGTAATGGCGATGGAACCCACCAAGCTCAAGTTCGCCAAGCGCAAGCTGAGAGTTGATCGGTGCAAGACTGCACCCTCGGGGTCAAAGACCTCGATGAGCACACCCAAAAGAGACACCCGTCAAGTAGCGAAACTGTTGACTCTCAAAAGAAACGCCATGTCGAGAAGCCGGTGGGCAAGAAACTTCGAGGCGATCCGTCTCTGGGTGAGAGATTGAAGGGGTTATCCAAAGAAGAGAGGCGCGAAGCAAAGAAGAATGACCCTACGAGGCAAGCTCGGCGGATGGAAAAGAAGAAAGCTCGAGCCGTTCTGGAGAAGGATCTCAGCAAGGCAGATAAAAGTAGAGTCCGGGAGCGGAAAGTCAGAAGTATTTCAAAGTCGAAGGACAAGCCAAAAAGGAAGTACGGCAAATCTTCGAAGTCATGAATATATTGAACCACATCCATTACACTTCTCTTCCAATTATTCACTCCACTGCGCGGCCCTTGCCTTTCCTATCGACCGTGACGGGAGGCGCTAATACCGTATCGTCTACCTCTTGGTTGCTGGTCTCCAGATCTGTGCCACCGTTCTCAGCGAATCGCTGCTGAACCAAGCGGTAGTGCTCCATTTCAGCTTGGCTGACACTCGGAGTCAACTCCTCGAGGGCGGCCTCAAAGTCTTCCTGCGCAACTATGATCTCTGTATCCTCGTATGACGCCATCTCTGCGAGATAGTATTGAGGAGTAATGGGATAGACGTGTTTAGAGGAATGTGGCTGAGAGTTGAGCTCCCCTGAGATACGTGAGTCTGTCAAAGTCACCTGTAGAGAGAACCATCCTCACCAATCTTTCTATCAACTGATTCTGCTTTCCGGGTCATTGCTTTTAGCATGGCATCGGAGCAGAGGGCATAAAAATCTGCGCCAGTGTAGTTGAAAGGACACTGATCAGCAATGGCTTTGAGATTGATGGCGTCGTCCAAATGGAATTTTCGTGTCAATGCTTCGATAATCTTTAACTGCGCCTCGTGTGTATCACTGACGCCAAGGTAGAGGAGTTTGTCAAATCTAATGGCTTTCAGCATGAATTAGTCATCAGTCAATCGGTATACCTCCCAGGTCGGAGCAGTGCAGGATCGAGCAAATCTGGTCGATTCGTTGCACCGATCACGAAGACGTCTCCACCAGCACCACTGGACATCCCATCGAGTTCCGCCAGGAGTTGGCTGACGATGCGGTCCATCACACCTCCAGAGTCCCCATGATTACCTCGCTTGGGTGCGACCGAGTCGAGCTCATCGAAGAAGATTACGCACGGTCGAGCATCCCTTGCCCGTTGGAATACACGACGTACATTGGCTTCAGATTCGCCGATGTACATGTTGAGAAGCTCTGGGCCTTTGACAGAGAAAAAGTTGAGGGAAAAGGACGTCGCCACTGCTTTCGCTAGTAAAGTCTTCCCTGTTCCGGGAGGCCCGAAGAGCAAAATCCCTATTGTCACATTAGTATCACCTCGGTGGGGATAGATGTGCACTTGCCTGATCTCTTTTTCATTCCATCAGCAAACAGTTCGGGATGCTCAAGCGGTAATTGAATAGTGTCCATGATATCCGACTTGACGGATGTAAGTCCGCCAACATCATCCCATGCAACTTTTGGTATGGATGGAGCTCCTATGTTGGCAGAAAATGCAGCTCTTGCCTGTCCCAGGGCAGCATCGAAATCGGCTCCGGTGAACCCAAAGCCTGCTTGGTGAAGGCTCTCCACTTCGACCCCCAAATCATAGCTATACATTTGAATTTAGCATAAAGTGACGGGGAGGGGTTACGACAGACCTTAAATCTGATATTCTCGCGGCGGCTACGAAGGCAACCCGCGAAACAAGGTCAACAAGGTCACCAGCTACCATGGCAGCTGTTTGTGCAGCTATAGACGGTAAGGAGACATCGGCCTCGAAAGTGGACTGCTGGAGTAAGTTCGCGAGGATGACTTGACGCTGATCTTCGTCGGGTGCCTCAGATGAGGTAAGCATGTAATCATGTATTTATGCCAAAAGCTCACAGGTATAGTAAACTGGTGCTTAAAGCATGCCAGTATGCCCAATGGCACAAGGTCAGGATCCCTGGTGGTAGCTACGACCAGTAGAGGATATTGACCCTTCTTGGAGGCGAGATGGGCATCTTTGATGCACTCTTGTATCACAGAAACGACAGAGGGCTCTAGGAAATGCGATGAGATCAAGATTGATTTGATGGGGAGCTAACCTTTGCCAGTTTCTAGCTTTTGGTTGCTTTTGGCCAGAGCCTCAATATTTCGAAGGAGGAGTACTGAAGGAGTAACGGCTTCTGCCTGCTCAAATCGAGCACGAAGGGTTCCCTCCGTTTTGACCTCAGTATCGTCCGCAATATCGTAGCAATCTATCTGTATTCCTTAGTACGGCGCTAAACAAGGGCAAAAAGCCTACCTCCATGACATGAAACCCTACATCTTGAGCGACCCAGCGGACAGTCGTTCTCTTGCCACTTGCACGTCCACCAATTATGAGCGCAGATAATGACAACCCATGCTTGACTGCCTCGGGATGCATTGCTGCCCTGAAAACATTTTTGAGATTCGAAAACGGCGTTCCGTTGCGACACAGAGTGGATCCTTTCACGAGATCAGTCAAACGCGGCCAGTCCCTTTCTTCAAAGTTTGTCAGGAAAAGGGAATACTACAAGATGAACAGACCTATTCCGAGATAACCGTCCAACTCAGGAACTCGCGAGTGTTCTATGCCTCCTTGAATCAATCTCGTGGTCGATGAGTCCATCCAACATCCTAGTTCACCCATCACAGCAGCAAAATGGGTGTCCGGGGTCGTATCTCCTTGTAATCTTACTAAGCTATGCTCCAGGTTGGTTACCTGGAAATAGGCAATTTCATTTGGAGTAGGATGCTCCTCTAAAAGGCTGTAGCAGTCAGCGGATGTCTTTGAGAACTATCGACGGCGTACGTGTCCATTAACTCTTCGATAGTTGACTCTTGTTTCTTGTCGGCCTCCTCCAAGCCATTGATAAGTGGTGCACTGGTGGTGACAAGAGGAAGAGCAACAATGTCATCTTTCTTCAGCAAATGACGTCCAGTGCTAAAGTATCGCCTAAGAGCCTGGAATATAATGGTTTGATATTGCTTCGACGTTGAAACTGGGGAAGCAATACGGGCCAGAGTAACGGAATGAGCTGTCGGGATCGGAGGAAGCTGTTGCCCGAAGCTGCAGCGTTGAACCAAGACTTTGGCCATATTCTCATCCGACATCGATAGGTTGTGGATAAAAACTGGCGGAGCATACAGAGTACTAGACTCCCTTTCGAAACTTCAGCTTTATGGGTAATGAGGAGAGTCAACGACATACAGAAGCTCACTGTGAAGCTCGGTTCCTATCGCTCGCGCTAGACGCATACGGGATCGCTTTTCCGCGTCGGTGACAACTACCTTGAGGAGCAATCAGTGACGGCACAATCACACAAATCAACAACTCACCCAATCGCCACTAAAGATCCCCAACCGTGCAATGTCGGTCAACTTCAACAGGACAGTCATCTCCCTAAACTCGTCATGAGGCAACGGGATATTGTATGGCAATACACGTGCGGTGAACGCGTGCTGGTTGTGCAGGCCATTGGTCATTCCTGTATCTGAACCAATGCGGATGTTTGGAGAAGGCAGCGTGTTCAGCAGGAACGACTCGTCCAGATCCGAGTCTAATTCGTCATCACTTCGTACTATTTCTCGCGATGATACGGGTGAGGAGGAGAGATCGGTGTCATTGATATCCATTCCCTGTACTATAATAACTTTCGTGGTTGCCGGATCGATGAGCCCTTGGTGTACTGGTTGAGCCATTGCTACAAGGAACTGTAGAGCTGAAGGGGGAGAATCTGGTCCCTGCTCGAAAAGCGAGATGATTTCGTCTTGTCGAACGAGTCGCTTATCCCCGCTGAATGTTTCGACTACCTTTTCTCTCCGATCTTGAGCAAATGTAATGGCACGAACTGATTGCGCAACAAGTATGACTTCTTCCAGCGAAACGGGTTTTACGAGATTGACTTCTAGCTTTATAGTGCCTTGAATGGAGCTCTGTGTCGCAAAAACCTCTGGATGTTTTTCCAAGAAACGACGGTTTATGGCTATAGTGCCGCTTTCAATCTGTGCAACGTGAGATTAAGGGGACAAGGTATTGAACAACTCACATCAGATCCATGAATTGCCCAACAGATTAATGATTTCGCTTGCGATGTCTGTCCATGTGCGCGGACAGCAATCGACTCCTTTTCCTTTGCTCCTAGTCGCTCCCAAACATCCGTGCTCAATTTCAAGACCTCCAACTCGTCTGAATCAACGCCAACACCGAGCACGGCAATAGGCAGGGAGCTTCGTGCGGACATGGTTGGATGTCAACCTGAATAGCCGGTTTTTGGAATCATGCGCCCTGTGCGAGTCTTCTGGCCACGAGACGTCACATCTGACGGGGTTGCTGTGGGTTGGCTCCACGAGACTGCCGTCGTTGTCGCCGACGTGGTGGAAAGCAAAGTGCGACGACTGCTTTTGTAACGACGACGGGCTATTCATCGTTCTTCAGGACGTGGAAAATGTGCTCCATGATAGAGTATACAAACACGAGAAATGGCTAGAACTCAAGGAAGCTTGTATCACGCCGCCTGAAGTTGTTGGCCAGGTCACGTTTACAGACTCAGGTTTACCATCCTTGACACTAGCAAATGGGGCGCATTCAGGGGCAACGTGAGTTTCTCATTCGCTATGTTTGTATCTGATAATCTTCCTAGCATCACACTGGTATTCTATGAGCGGCTCTCTTTGTACAAAATGCGGTTCTATTCTCTCAATGCTCTCGAACTGGATATCACGACAGAATCGAGCACTTATTCATCAAACGCAATAGACAAGGATTTATTAAGACAGGAGACCCTGTTTAACACCTATCGACCGGCCAATGCACCGTTTCCTCTTAGGACTCTTATGAACCAAGTGCGTTATTCCATTCCGTGGTCATATTCTATAACACGAGACAGATTAATGCATCCAAAGTCGTGTCCGATGCGCTTTCCACGCCCGTCGATAAACCAAGTGCACAGACTCAAGGACACTCAAAGCTGCCTTTTGTGCTTCAAGAAATTAGCAAGGCACTGATGAATGTCTCGATGGGGACTCTCAACTTACGCCTGTCTATCCTTGGGTCCACCATAACCTTCAAAGACGTATCTGCGACTGGCAAGTACCTTCGAAGTCCCAGTAAATACACAAACCTAAAACCTCACAGCTCAGCAGATGGACGTCAGGCTAGAGCAATTCTCCTTTTTCCCATCACAAGTCGCACTGATCAGCACTCGGAGCCGGCGCGATATCTCCCTTTATGCGGCTCAATATATCAAGTGAGGGCTCATGTGTCTGTTTTAATATCGCTGACTGCTTCCTCACTTAAGTTTCTTCAATAATATCTGGTTAATCTTCAACGACGTTGTAATGGGAGTCGCGGCTGGCGCGATTATCTGCGAAAACCACGAGCGACTAGCTGAAATACTCTATCAATGGACAGAGGTACACATGGGTAATCTGAATCTTGGTGTGTGCTGATCTCTTTCAGCGCTGGTCTGTCGACAGCCTCATTCATGCTCTGCGTTGGTTGGATGATTGGCCAGTGGGTCTCAAACTCAATACAGATCTAAGCCGAGCGCTCAGTCTTTCATTCATTGTTCTCACTACACTGTGGAAGAGTAAGTCCAGCACCGCCGAGTTGGCCACAACTGAACTGGTCTAGATGTTCTGGTTGGCCTCTCTCCGTACTTTCCGACAATGGTGTACACAATCGGTTTATCTGGTTATTTTGGTCTGACGATGATGCTCGCAACGTCCTCCGATACGCTTTCGCTCCTGACCATCCATATCTATCTATCTTACCTCGCCGCAACGTCAGCTTGCCACCAGATCATTGTACTGGCTGGATCTCTGTGGAATCTTTTCCGAGGTACTTTCCTCTCATATTGTCGGCGTTGGCTGACAGCGTAAAGGAAAACGGTACAACGTCCTCCAAAAGCGATTGGATTCGTGGGAGTATAGTCTCGATCAGCTTCTTCTTGGAACCATGCTGTTTACCCTCGTTACATTTCTCTCTCCGACAATGATCGTATATTATGCACTCTTCGCGGCGGTACGAGAACCACCATATCAAAGCCCCATAGCTGATCTACTACAGGCTCGACTAATGATCATCACAGTATACGCGACCATGGAGACACTGCTTGTCTTTATGAATCACTTTCCGTTATTTGTCCTCATGCTACGCATCAAAGATCCACAGCGGCTTCCAGGTCCGTCAAATGACACAAAGAAATATGTATTAATGTATCATAGGCGGTATTGTATTCGTTCCTACAAAGCGGACTGCGGTCGCCAGTCTCGAAGTCAAGGTATGTTGCACTCGAAGCGGCGGGACAGGAGGATTTGACATGGACGTGTAGAGTGTACCCATTCCATTCTCTGGGATATTCTTCCAGTACTGTGAGCCGCTTTTTTGGGTCGTGGAAGGTGCGGCAGCTGACAGACGCGGTTACAGTGCTCCTCTGGGGACGCCTTTCATCCCATTATCACCCTATTCGCTTGCTGGGACATATTGCTTCTGCAACATTCATCAACCCTATCCCTCGATTTTCTATCCGGTATTCGATGCTCCCGACCGCGGCTCTGGACCGACGAAAGGAAAAAGTGGATTAGAGCTCCATAGAAAATTTCTCACGATGGCAAAAGCCTTTGCATCCACCCTTGCCATACGAATCGAGCCGCCGTCCATATCGAGCCATACTGAGCACGGAGCCATTCCGAGGTGTATTGGCGCTGAGTGTCGCGTTCTGAGAGTACCCAGAAACGATAAAACTCGGCGAGATGCTCCTCCTCCATCTGTGACCGTTCTTCTGGGGTCTTTGCGAGGTCTAGATGTGGTTGTCGAGCCCTGAGAAAGGCGTCTTTAGTTTCATAAAATCGTTTATTGCTCTTTGTGGTTATGTAAATAGGTATTTTGTTTGAGATGGAGAAAGAACGCACATCTGCCCAAAACTCGTGGTTAAACTTGTCTATTCGCTGCATGCTGAGCTCCAATTGAAACTTTGTGCCATCTACAGGAACGTGGGACCTTAGTTCGCGTGGAGAATAGTTGTTTGTCTGCGTCTGGTCTGGCAGACCATTGTAGAGGACGGGGCGCAGATTAGAGACTGGATGAGGCGGTCCAACGAGTGTATTTCTTGTGATTAAAGACGTATGCAAGCGGCGAATAGTTTTTAACTTTGACATGGTCGAGCCCAAGCTTGCAGCTGAAACCGAGACCAAGCCGAGCGGCAGAGTGCGGCCGGAGAGCGTCATGGGCACCCCGTCTAATCATTTTATCCAAGAATAATCGAGAAGCGGCCGGCGCGGCAGTGCAACCCCGTCGAGCGCGAGGAAACAAAGCGGCATAGAACTTGATCCCGTCCGCTTCAGCCAACAGACTGCCGCTCGTCGTCGTCGCCATCAGCCACGATGAGCTCGTCTCGTACTATTTTCCTCTCATTTGTGACGCTCGCCGTCGTCAACACCGCCAGCGTCGCGGCTCAGCAGCCCACGCGCCAGGGAACAGCCAACACCTTCAAAGTCGTTGGGCACAGTGGCGTATCTGCTCAGCAGGTTTGTTTACAAGGCTTGAAAGTGTCCTATTTCATCACTAATGACCTCGCCCATAGATGTTTTTAGGGCGTCCGGGCAAGGCAGGTTTATTTGCTGCATGCCCGATTCTTGCTAACCGCCTCGGCCTGGGCCCTTGTAGGTCTACATTGTCGACAAGGTAGAAAATAATCAGGTTCAGGTCAATGGTCATCCCGCATGGGCAGTCGGTGCGTCAACCATGCCGCTCGTCTTTTGGTCTAGATCCTGAAATAGCTGACCCGCTACTTTGCCTGCAGAATATGATCTGGCAACAGACACTATTCGTCCTATGGACGTTGTCACAAACTCATTCTGTGCTGGAGGTCAGTATTATCCTCTCTGTGTGCGAATCTTGAACCAAACCTCGGCATAGGCGGTGTGACTGGGGACGGAACATGGCTCAATCTTGGCGGTTAGTGCCTAGACTCTTGAGCGCCTAACCCATGTTTAATCTTGCATTGGCAGGAAATCAAGCTGTAACTTGGGGTGGAAACACGGCAGACAGCCAGACTGGGGGTTCGGCGCCCTACATGAGCGTGGATGGTGGCAGATCGTCAGTGGAGACTTTCTCCGAACCCGCTCCTTACTGAGCCTTCTTTTAGCATACGTTTCCTCACTCCTTGTGACGATCAGCAATGCCAGTGGATCGACGATCCCGCTCGGTATATGACCACCAGGCGCTGGTACCCGACCTTGGAGAACCTTCCAGATGGCTCCCTAATCGTAAGCATCCCCGAATCGACCGCCTCGATTTTGGTTCTGACGCTTCGTAGGTCTTGGTATGTTTTTTTGGCCGTCCAAGGCATCGCTAAGTGCCCGCAGGGTGGCAATCAATGGGGTGGCTTCGTCAACGACGCTGGCCAGAATAACCCAACTTATGAGTTCTATCCCTCGAGAGGTGCTCCAGTTGGCCTCAATATTCTTGCGACCACACTCCCGGCCAACCTATTCCCGTTCACCTTCCTTTTACCATCGGGGAACATCTTCATTCAGACTAACTGGGGCGCCGAAGTATTCGACTACGCGAACAATGTCGAATATACATATCCTAATATCCCTCACGCTGTCCGCACCTATCCAGCGTCTGCCGGGAACATGATGCTTCCTCTCACACCGGACAACAACTATCAAGCAACAATCCTCTTCTGTGGAGGTAGCGACCTGGAACCTGATCAGTGGACGCAAGACTGGGATATTGCCTCGTATCCAGCTGATGCCACTTGCGTCAATATCACTCCAGATGTCAGCCAGACGTGGAACGACGACGACTCGATCGGTCAAGGACGCACTATGGGTAATATGATTGGTCTCCCAGATCTCAAGGTGCTCCTTATTAATGGTGCCAATACTGGTGTCGCTGGTTACGGGTGAGTGAAGCAACTACACGAGGCGTTCCGTATTCTGATTGTTATTTTCAAGCAATGTATCCTGGGCTCGCGGTCACTCTTATGCTGATAACCCGATCCGTACTCCGCTCATTTACGACCCAGCGGCTCCTGCTGGTTCGCGCTGGACGTCGGCAAACCTTCCAGAGTCGACTGTCAACCGCATGTACCACAGCGGTGCTCTTCTCCTTCCTGATGGTCAGTATTCTCGTCAGATACTCTTACGTGTTCTCATTCCAAGTAGGCTCCGTCTTCGTCGCCGGATCCAATCCAAACCCAGACGTTATTACGGGCGCTGGTGTCGCCTATCCTTGGGAGGACCGCACGGAAATCTTCTTCCCATGGTATTACGATAAACGCAGGCCCGAGCCTCAAGGTCTTCCTTCAAGCGTGGGCTATGGTGGCGCGTACTTCAATGTTACTCTCTCCAAGACGGATCTGGAGGACAAGCCAGCCAACATCAAGAACGCCAAGGCTGTTATCATTCGTACCGGCTTCTCGACTCATGCGTTCAACATGGGCCAGCGCGTTTTGCAACTGAAGACGACGTACACAGTCGCTGACGACGGAAGCGCTACACTTCATGTCAGTCAGCTGCCTGCCAATGCTGCAGTGTTCCCTCCTGGCCCTGCCATGCTGTTCATTACTGTCAACGGCGTGCCGTCTATGGCGCAGTGGATCATGGTCGGTTCGGGCAAGATTGAGACGCAGCCAACGTCAACCGAGGTTCCGCTACCGGATAGCTACATTCCTGCATCGGAGGATAGTGACGGCGGCAGCAGCGGTGGAGACGGCGGGCACAATGCTGCAATGGCAAACGTGCAAATCAACCAAGGGCTGATTGCTTCGCTCATGGTGGGCCTATTTGCCACGCTGCTTGGCGCGACGATGCTATAAAAAAGCGGAGACGATGTCACATTATGACTTTACGACAGCCAAGGGGTAGTCGTAACGACGCTCTCATTACATATTTCTTCTCTTACATATTTTCATGCCGACCGATGGACTTTTAAAGCTACTCCGGCGGCCCTCCATTCCTGATCCCATTAGTCTCGTATCATTCCAATCCCCTTGTTGTCATGCGTACACACCCGCTCGCTCATCACCTGTTACATCCAAACCGCGGACATTCCGTTTCCATCACCATGGGTTTGTTCGCGCCTGCGCTTGTATGTAGCCAGCCACGGACCTGAAAATCTAGACTATCTGTTTCACTATTCTCGCCACAGATGTGAGCGGCCTAGGCAATCACCTTGATGAGGTAGCAATGCGACGTGGGTGATATCGGCATGGATGGTGCAGGTTCAGAGGAGGGTCGGTAGGGTGTGCCCCGACGAAATGACCTCTGTCAGGTAACGGACAGGAGGTGTCATTGGTGGGGCCTAAGAGTTCTCTTGAGCCTTCCTCGAGTCAAAAGAGAACAAGGTTCGAAAACTTTATCGACTGGTTGAGTGGATTTTCCGAGAATTTTCGAAGATAACCCCGAGACGATCGGTTGATTCATTTGAGCCAAGGGATGGCACCCGGTGATCATTCAGCTTTTTCGCTCGAGGGGTGTTGTCCAATCTCAGCTCCGTTGGCCGCCGTGCTCTTGATATTTGGCCACAGGGCTGGAAGGGAGAGAGAAGGCGTAGGACGCAAGAGAAGGTGACACAATGTCCTCGACTCGGAGTTATTAGCACTCCTAAACTCTTCACAAGTGTGACGAGATTAGAAGCTGCCCCTGTTTGCTTATTACGGGATGGATCGACGACGGGCGAGGTTTTCGGACCAGGGGGGATTCGCAATGTACCGAGAACGAGGTTGTGAGTCGTTATCGAGTAGAGGTACTTACACCGAAACTGGTTTGGGGTTTACAATTGCCATCGGGTCGGGGAAACGGGTTCGCATTGAAGCGGGTGCAGAATCAACTTGCTATTCCTGATTGGAAAGAGAGACAGTGACAGTCTAACGGATATTTCTTGTGACACATGTAAACCCTGCGTGGCTCGATAGAGGTGCCTGGGTCTACGCGAGTGATGGACAGTTCAGGTTTGACAGTGACTAGTGCGAGGGGACTTTCCGAAAGCAATGTGGCGATTGCGTTGTTGCACAATATTGCCAGAGATTAGCTCACAGAGTGCCGTCCATGGGGATCTGCGCCAAACGGGAATCCCGGCCGTGTAAGGATGCTGCACGGAATGGGAGAACAAGAGAGGGCGTTTGAAGCCTCTTTTGTCGTTGAAATTGGCTGTAATAAGCAGACTTTGCAGAGGTGGCGGGAGGCAAGTCACGACTTGTCCAACTTGGTCTCTTACTGCAAACTAACTTTTGGGACTGGCCGTTGCCCAGCAGCGTCGCCGCAGATTGCCAACGTCGACAAGACGCCTAGACAGCTTATTCTGTGATACGCTCATCGGGCAAGGACAGCGTTGACGGGCGCGGGGAGAAATGTCTGATTTGGATGGCGCATACGGCCAGAGCCCGCTGGCGACGCTGAATCCTGCATACAGCCAGCCCAGAATGCAGTCTATGAACCAGATTACGGGCACAAGACGGCCCAGCAGAGCGTCGTACAAGCCCGCTAACCCGCCCCCGAACATTGCCCTCCCAGCGACGCCTTCATTCTCGACAAACCAGTCGAGCAGTCTGCAGCATCCACCACAATCACTTAAACCGCTCCACCACGCTTCGACGGCTGCCCAGAGGCCCAAGTCCCATCGCAGCCCACCCGTACAGTGCCCAATCTCTAGCTTCGACGCCTGACCTAGAACACGACATTTCCGACGACTACTATCATCCTACAGACTTGGCTCATCATGCGCATTATCGCTCCTATGCGAACAATGACAGCGTAGACATGGCTATCCCTTCCCAGCCCGCGGCGTTTGCTGCAGACAGCCGACAGAGCTCGTCTAGTGCCCTGAATGCACCCTCATATCCAGGTGGTCCACCCAGTCCTGCTCTCCCTCGAGATCGCTCACCAGCAGTCTCGCCCGGAAGTTATTTTGCCGCTTATCCTCCTGCATCCGGTGTATCGTTCCGGGAACGCTCAGGCAGTGCAAACTCTACATCTTCGGTCGAAATACTTGCCCAGGCGGCCCCACTGCTCCCGCACCAGGCTCAATCGTCGAACCAAACTTCTCACAGAACCAGTCCCTCGATGGCAAGCTCTGTGCCAGCTAGCGAATCCTCACAGCGCGGTAAACGCGCGTCTTCGTCTCGTTCTCACCCTCACAAGAGCCGACCGTCGACGCGCAAGGCGCTGACAGCCGCGCTAGAACTGGCAAAGGTCGCTGTCCAACTCGATGGAACGAGCGACGATCCCCATGGTGCTGTCAAGGCATACGCAAAAAGCGTACGCCTTCTCCGGGAGGTCATGGAACGGGTGATGCGCGGAGAGGACTCGCCATCGACTTCTTCCTCGACACGAGCCGGTGAAGCAGACGATCAACGACCAATAGGCAGACGACGAAGCGTCGTGGCAAAGGAAGAAGAAGTTCGGAGACTCAAGGCAATTGTGAGCTCATATCTCATTCTACCCCTAGGCTAAGCATGCCCCCGCGTATCCGCATCAATCCCCGAGATTGTGCTACCCATATGTCACATACTGCTCTACCACGTTGTGATCGTCGACGTCGCTAACCTTGTGTTATCTTACAGCACGACACCTACGCGGACCGCATGAAGATTCTTTGTCTGATTTATTCCATCTCGGATCCGTTATCAACTCCTACAGAGGACCACTTGTCCAAGACGCCCGAAGCCGAGGAACCAGTATCTGGCCCAAGTAGCTCCGTCCCGCAACCCGCGTTGCCGCCACAGTCGGAACAGGTGGACGCCACTGCAACGCTCCCCGCTTCGGTGCATCCGGTTTCCAATGGTCCGTACGACGTTGAGACGGATGAGGGCTCAGAGGTTGACTTGGATGCTGTAACCATCCGTCGACATCAAGAACAAGCAACTCCTACACCCGAATCGGAGTGGGAGGGGGACTCAGAAGTCGAGCGAAGAGGGTTGTCGCAAGACAGGCTACACGCAGATGATCGAGAGCCAGAGGGCACGCTACTCGCCTATAATTTACCATCTCCACAAGAGGATATTAGACACGAGGACACTGGGACACTCTCGGGTAACGATACATCTCTTATACCACCTGCTGGCACGGCGGCGAAAGTGGCAGTAGGGGACGCCCCACTGCCCTCCTCCGGTCCACCCGTGGTTCATGTCACTGTGGGAGGTCGCACGTCTATTCTTCCACCCCCACGACCGCCGCCTACTGGCCCTCTGCCCACTAGGCCACGTCTACCCAGCGGTACGGTCGTTCCTGCTCAACTCCTTAATCAACCATTACCTCCTCTCCCTCCTCAGCAACCGGTGGGTGTGATTCTATTAACGAGTCGTTTTATGAAGGCTAATCAAATTGTAATCTTCTAGTCCGAGCCAGCCTCTCACCCAATTCACCCCCAACATCAACCTACCCTAACACGGCAAAGTTCCGCATCCTCGGTATCCGCAGTATCCGGTGTCTCGAGCGTCGCATCTGGATCTAGTGCTGCTTCCAATGCACACCAAACCACCCCTGCAGCACAGGTTGGCCCAGCGGCTTCCTTGGCTGCTCCAAACGCGTTTGGGGGTCGGCCACGAGGAAACTCGAATGCACATGGAAGGACACAGAGCAACGCCGACCGCCTAGTTGTAGTCAATGAGGAGCGGGAGGAAGAGGAGACTGGACCCACGATACCTGCAAAGGACGCGCAACCGGCGTCACCGCCCCAAGAGTATCGCTACCGGAGTCGGAGTAGCAGCATGGTCAGCCTCAAGGATAGGGATAGGGCGAAAGCGCAAGTACTCGGTGCCAACGGACTTGTGCCACCAGTCCCGACTCTATCCGCCTCTTCGTCGCCTTCGGCAACACCTACCGTTCCAGCGAATCACGTTGCATCCAAACCCTCAACTGTGGATCAATTTACTGTATCCAATCCGTCGGCGTCTTCACCAGATCTGACATCCTTTGGGCCGCGCGTTACGCCGCGCGCTCGTGGCAGCTCGATAGGAAGTGCCGTCACGCATTCTTCTGAGGATATCGCTACGAACACTGTACCCGTCCCTGCGATTCCGTACACTGCGGGCGCACCTCCTCCTTTGTCCGGGCCAATTGTTATTCCCGGCGCAATGGGCTCTGGTGCGGAAGGGCCTGTCAAGATTAGTCCTACTCCAACCAGTGGGACAATTTCGCAACGAAGAATCAAGAATGCGACAACGGGCTCAACCCCACCTCCAGCTCCAAGCTCTGGCACTTCTAGCGCTCTCGGTAAACTCACAAGCGCGATCCTACCCGCAGCTACGGCAACCTCGTTGGGCTTGACAGGGAGAAATAGGGCGGCATCTAATCCTGGGAAGTGGACACCTGGTTTGTTCAATGTTGCTGTTGGTGAGGCGGCTGCACGTGCTCCTGGCCCTGCGCCGCCAATGTCCGCAGGAGGAAGGCGACAATTTCCTGGCAACGGGAAATATCAGTCGTTTGGGGTACCAAGTGCAAACGCCAGCACAGCTTCGCTAGTCGCTGGAGGCTCTGGAACCGGGACACCGACCCCTTCCGTTGCTGTGGCTGGTCTTCCAGCTTCCTCGCTTCCCCCATCGCCACCAAGTCTATCGGTATTGCGACCATACTTCTTGATGGCCCTCTTACGGCGGTCCATGGTCGATCGTAGCGGTGGATACGTAACTCCGAGATTACACATTCCTCATGAAGTCTGGACCCAGGGCAGTGCCAAGCTAACTAACATGCCCGAAAAGATCAAGGTCATCGACGTCTTGGCGAGCGCTCTCGAGGACCTTACGAGCGCCAGCCTCGATTTCTGCGGAGCGTCCAGTGCGATTGCCGCGTCCACTGGTGGCGCCGATGGGAATCGGAAACAGGCCGAACGCTGGGCTTCAAAGCTAGAGGAATTTGACCGTACATTTAGCCAACTGGCCGAAACGTTTGGAAAAAAGCTCGGGGTTGGAACCGGGTTTGTTGTCAAGAAGAGTGTCGGGATGGCGGCATGGGGAAACAAATTCCTCGACAGGATATCTACTGCAGGAAAGCAGTAAGTATACTCAGTCAAGCCCCCGAGCAAACCTCTGATTCGTTTGCAGATATGACTCACCAATTGCACACGCAAATCTTTTGACACGATTCTTAACCCAAGTCCAGCTGCTAGACGAGCATACTCGTGCTCTGCATACTTCGCCTCAGCCTCCCTGTTACAATTCACTCCCCCAGGACGTTCGCTCGAGGATCGAGGTCGCTTTGAGTGACATTTCGGAACTCTTTGCAAAAGTCGTACTTACTTTTGTCTTTCGTGACCTCAGCGTCATGCTCGACAAGTATCATAAAACATGCGATCGATGGATACAATCCAACCCGGGCAACCCCCCATAACGATATTGTGCTTATTCACCGTTTTGCCGTTTACATATTTCGAGCCGTGCACTCTCGTCAGTCGTCTGATTATGTATCTTTCTGCATTTATTGCCTATGTACTCTTGCTACGTCCCGGTTCCGATTGGATAGTCACGGCCAAAAGAGATCTTTTAACAAGCTGTGTGTGAATTGAGAATTGCATTCTATTGGAAAATGTTACAAAGAGGTAGTGCTACACCCGTATTTGGGAAGAATACCTCAAGGCGCGTGCTCTTGGCCCGGAGAGGCTGGTGAGAGACTATTTCCAGAGGTAGGAGAGATTGCAGATTGAGGGACATCCTCGGCGTGTACCAGTGCCATTCCAGAATTGGTTGACCTGGCACTCGCTTGCGTTTGTAAAGGCGGGCGAGAGGGAGTAGATCTTATGAGAGGCAGTGAAAGGGACGGTTTGGGGTCCCTTGAAGCTCCATCGTCGATACCTCCCCCACTTGTCGTTGGTAGAGTGGCTTCTTCTGGTCGAGGAGTAGCCGCGAGGATATGATCATATCCGGGGGGAAGCTCGGTCACTCGCGTACCCGGAAGGGCAAATACGGTGACAGGGGGCGGCAAACCGGCATCATGATGTACAACGTAGACTTCGTGAGATTGCAGTTGTGGGTTCATGCCGCTCGGTGGGGGAGAGATGAGCATCGGAGAGGTAGTCGATGAGAATGAACCATGGTGGAGATGTGGCTGAGGTGCGGCAATGATCGGAATTTGTCCAGAGGGTGACGACGAATGCCTTGGGGTTTGAGAGGATGTACCTACTGCAGTCGGACTAGGTCCACTGGAAGCAGAATTTGAGACAAAGTGGCCTTTTGGATATGCTGCCGGTGCGGCTGTTCCGAGGGCAACCTCTCTGGCTGGTTGCTGCACTGCATTGGCAGATGTCCAAGGTGTGATAGCACCTTCATTCTCCATTCTTCGAGGACTCTCGTGCCCCAATGCGAACGGGCGTTGTTGGACATCCTCCGTCGGTGAACCTGCCAAGTCGAGATTGTCATTTGTCTCTGCACGTCGAATGGTTGGACGACGACCAGGTATGAGTCCCATCTCCGAACTTGTAGCTCGGGTATTGGAGGGGCGGCGGAGGATTAAACCGCTGAAGAGTTTCGGACTCGCGACCCCTCGAGCCACTGGTGCACTGGCGGATCCATGACGACTGCTCGCTGTTTGTGACAGCCGAGTATCTGCTCGTATAGTTCCTGTATCTGCTTTGGATTCGCGCCTGTGAGTTGGATCTGGACTCCGAGTGGCCATGCTGGCAAAGTGGACAGGTCGTCGAAAGCCAATAAACCAAGCGCAAACCGAAGCAAGGATAATACCAAGGATCAGAAAAGAGAATGACATTCCCAGGCTTGTGGACAGGGTTAGCCATGGGTATGGAGGAGGAGGGCTGAGGCAGGCTCGAGTTCCAGCACCACCGTGGAGTGGACCGTTACTCCAAGTGATACCCTTAGAGTCAGTGACGGATACGAAAAAGGGGTGGCCGTGGTCGAGGGTCACCGTCCATCTCGCACTTTTCACTGTAAAACCATCAATATTACATGCAAGTTGTAGCTATGAATAGACCGACCAAAGGTAATGTTTACGGGTGTTCGGAGAGCTGGCGCGACGGTGAGTATATAAGGAGGCGTGCCCGCAACCCCTCCTTCGAAACCATCAGCAATTTCAAACTGAAGATCCGAACAGCTTGCAGGCCACCCATATCGGGAAAGAGGGCCTCCAGTGTCAACAGATGTCATCTTTACTCCGAGGATGTCGTCTGGCATGGTAAGATTGCGACATGAGGTATTTCCTGTGGGATATACAGTGTACAAGTCTTGACATCCGCCAGAAGTGCCCAAGGAATCCGTCATGCAGACGACTGGCAGTTCTGTCAGTAGCGTGCAAGCAATACCGACAAACGTGACTGACTGTAGCGTGAGTTGGGGTCAAATGGGATGAGTAATTTTGCTTCTAACCCGTCTCCTGCATTAATGACAAATGGATTCAAATAGGACGAGGAGTAGATTTTGAAGATGAACGGAGCCACTGGGTCCGGACTAGAAGCATTGGAGTCAGTCGATCTTTTATCTCTATTCGTCGCTCATAGAGGCGGACGAGGTCTGGTCCGCTTGCCAAACGAGGTCGTCTTATCGAAAGAGATAAGGAGGGACATACCCAGTTCCGGTTCCTCTATACCATCTAATATTTATGCTCTCACATTGGCCTAGTCTAATGTGTTAATGATGGCTGCCGAGGTCTTCCCTCGACGACGAGTTGCTTCTCGACAAGCAAAGATCAGACTGACCTGTAATAGATGTTGGAAGAGGCGATGATGCATTGTTCCAATCAAAATAAAATCCCTAACGGTCGCCGTAGGACGGCGTTAGCCTACAACTAACCCAACTTTGCGGATGCGGGGAAGTTTTCACCTGCTGGGCCCAGCTGTCAGATCCAGAGACAAAGCCAGCCACATTCTCGACGCTGATGGATACAAGAAAAAGTATAAACCTCAGAGAGCGCATGTAGAGGCGGAGAGCAAGTGCATAACGGATCACTAGGGGACAGATCGCTCCCCAGGCACTCTCCGCCTCCTCACCGAGCGCCCACCGGAATCAGCATCGGAAACATCTCCGACCCGACCAAAAGGACGCAGAAATAAGCCCTTCAACTGGGAAGCGAGCGCTATAACTTGACTCGGGTGCAAGGAATTCAACGCGACTACAATATTGGGGAGAACAATTCATTGGGATGTATGCACAGGTACGTAGAATGATAAGGCGACACCATGGGACGAAAAGCTGTCCAGACGGGAGGGACTTGATTAATTTCGGAGGGGCGCAAGGTGAAAGAAAAGGGGTGGCATTCGCCCAGAGCATTGTACTCTATGCAGTTGATATTTAGAGATCGTCATCCTCTTCTGGCAAGGGAGCAGCAGCGGCCTAATCAGGTGATGGGTCAGATATATGCGAGAATGCCACGAAGCGAGTTGAGAACGCACCTTGTTCAACTCTTGCTCGTACTGGGTCATAAGGTTCTGGTCAACTTGTACCTCGGGAGGTGCAAGTGCTGGAGCGGCGACGAACTCCAGGGTAGGGTTCCTTTCGTTGCGGTTAGCCAACACAGATCTCGAGATTATAAACCCAAACTTACCCGACGAGCTTTCGTGCCAGCCACAAGAATGGCTTTTCGAAGTTGTAGTTCGACTTGGCCGAAATTTCATAGTATTGCAGGTTCTTCTTCCGGTGGAAGGTAACTGCCGACGTCTTGACTTTACGCTCCTGTATTTGCCATTAGACTATTGATTCCTTGAGTTGTGATCGTACGCGCCTTGACGTCGACCTTGTTGCCACAGAGCACGATGGGAATGTTTTCGCAGACGCGCTCCAGGTCCCTGTGCCAGTTGGGCACATTCTTATACGTGATTCTCGACGTCACGTCGAACATGATGATACCGCATTGACCCTGGATATAGTATCCATCTCGGAGACCACCAAACTTTTCCTGACCCGCCGTGTCCCACACATTGAAAGTCAAGTCTCCAAAGTTGGTCGTAAACTTGAGCGGGTGAACCTCGACGCCGAGAGTCGCTGGTTAAAAGGAAACATGTCATCAGTCTCTCCAATTTAGGGATCACCACCCATAAAGGGCCACCACCGCCATCGATGAGCCATATCAGAGGCCTTCACCTCGCATAACCGCAACACATCAGGGTTATGCCTATGGTTGCAATGCATCACCAGGCGTGGTTGCCCCAGAGGCATGATGTAAGAGGTAAAAAAACTCACCAATATACTTCTTCTCAAACTCGCCGGTAAGATGGCGCTGTAGACAGATGAAGAAGAGTGTCAGAACACATTAAAAGGAGGAAATATCGCGTCTGATCGCGGCGATCACGGACAGAACGCGCGCAAAGACGCGATGGTTTTGTGGCTACTGACCTTGACAAAAGTCGTCTTGCCAGTTCCTCCATCACCAACTGAAGGGCAGAAAGTAGAGTAAAGTGTCAGCAAATGCTTGAATCAAGTTCATCAGTCCACAACTTGGCGTCCTTCTCCTCGCGGTCATGTTGTGCATTGGGCTCGATTGTGGCGACGAGGGCGATTGGCACGCGATCAACAGGAAATCGACTGACCAAGGACAAGCTTAAAGGTGGGGATATCAGCTGGTGCTGCGGCCATTTTCTACGAGATTTTACGGGCAGAGGTCGGGTCCAAAAGGTTGGCTGTGAGCGCAATCGTTCAGTCAGCTTGCCATAAACGCCTCTTATATAGACCAGAGGCGCCGAGTCAGATCTATTAGGAATCTCGGGAGCGATTTTGTTCGTTTCCTGTTGCTTGGACAATCCGGGCGTCTGTCCCTGCTGGGCTACTACTCGCTTTCCAATCGGCGCCTCTTATTCTCGTTCACAATATTTGATGTGTGTTTCCAGTGAAAATATAGTCTACAGATTCAGCATGTTTGAAGCAAACCATAGGAAACTGAGCGGGGATACCGGAGCCTGGAACAAGAGTTTTCGCAGAAGACGTGATTAGCTGAAAAGGAGATGGCGCTGTGTTACCGGAACTCGAAACACCCCTTGGTTCGCTCTGGAACGTGGTGAAGCTCGAGCTTTTGGTACCTAGATGCATCGTCAGCTAGAACATGGCATGGCACACGGCATATTTCAAGCCTCACATATCACAGATTTCCTTCTCCGAGTGGTAATAGAATCCAGTCAAACGCGCTGGCATGACCGACTTCTTGCCATACGCATAGGGATAACCGCCATCGTACTCTTCATCATCCCGCCGAGAGCGCTCCACCGACCTGTAGCGAGAAGCGGAGCGTGACCTAGATTTCGAGTCCTCCGTCCCCTGGCGCGCTCTGTTCCTGGCACGCTGCTCAACGGAGAGGTCAAGAGCCAGTGCCTCTTCGAGCGTCATTTCTCGCGAGTCTTCGTCCATTTCTGATCTCCTACCTCCGTGAGAGAAAGTAGAGCTCGACGGAGATGCGTGCGAGTGGTGTCCATGGTCGTGAACATGGGCCGGGACGGAGCCAGCGGTATAGATGCTCAAACGGCGTCGACGGCCCATGCTCGAGCCTGCACCACTTGCTCGCCTAATCCTGTTTGCTCCAGTCACGGGGCTCGTAGAAGGTGCGTAAGAGGTCGAGGCATAGGGCGAGGTCCCGTATGCGTAGGCCCTGGACGGCGACTTGTCGTCCTCTAGATGCAGAGGCTGTCGCGATGTACTTCGCCGGACTCTTCTTTGGCGAAGCTCGCCCCCTACCCCAGATGCTAATTGCCCTCCGGTGTGCGCACCGTCAGCCATGTCTGCATCGCAGTCTGCTTCTTCCTCTTCCTCTTCCTCTTCCTCAATATCACGTGGAGGGTGATAATTGAGTACATCGGCGTGAAGATTACCCATTGACGAGTCGAACTCGATGCACACATAGTAAAAGCCAGCATACGAGGCCCCATTGATGGAGCGCACCCGATGATCTGGGACCAAAAACCTCTCTTTCCAGCGCATAAAGAGGAATCCTCGATCGGCTGAGGAAGCCGGATTCTTGAAGGTCAGTTTGGGCTTGGCCAGTTCGGACGGATGAATGTGATGATACTGCGGGAATCGCTGCCTGAACGGCATGTTCAGGAGCAATCCCTGATTTTTGAACGACACTCACCAGTGGGTGGTGTCGACGTGCACATTCGCGCCCCAGTCTTGTGTCATGAACCCATACTGCTGTCCAATAATCTGGCCGTCGAAAAACGTAGTAATCTCTGGGTGTTGATCCGTGAGGTCGTGGATAGTGAGGAACCCAGCGAGAGTCGACTGTAGTGGATTGACATCGACAATCCGCACAGAGACTCGGTGCTCCCTCGACCTGTTCGTTTGCATTCCCTCGAATAGAGCTCCAGGATATAGACTGTCATAGCCGGTAGATGATATGCGAACGTTTGTAGACAAAGGAGGCGGGTCCAGCAGCGATTGTTGCTCAAGGAAGGAACGGGATACCGCACCAAGGATGTGAGGAGTTGTTCGCTGCGGGCTATTCAACGACGTGACAGACTCTACTGTTGAACCTGTTGGAAACACCACTTGCAGCGTAGGAGGTGTCGGTTTCGCAACCTCTGTGGATGGTGTTTTGCTGGAAGATGTCGACTCGCCAGTCGTGTGAGCCATCGTCTGTACCTTGACTCCATTTACAATGACTTTTTCGATCTGAGGGCCTGTATTTTCTTGAAGGGGCGTGGCGTGACTCTCTACGCTGGGCTGAGTAGAACAAGCCTGGCAAACAAATGCTCCCGCTGCGTCGTCTTCAATTTGAGCAGACGTTTCGACACGCTTAGATTGTGCACACATAGAGCACACCTTTTCCTGCAATGTCGACGACCTTATTCCCGATGGCCCTGTGACTCTATGAGGCCCCGCTACGTCTCCCGCAGTTTCGGGTGCATTGGGCATTGCCTCGGTCACAGTAAGAATAGTAAGAGAGTTTTGTGTTCAATAGAAAACGGTAGTGTGATTATCGTTTGTTTGCGGTGACGACGTTTGGGACGAGTGTGTGCGGGGAAGCACCACCTGCAACTTTGTCAAGAGTAGCTCGGACGACCTCATTGGACACTATGACCTCCTAGAGCAGTTCTAAGCGTGAATTATGGAGGAATCCAAGCAATTCGGAGATCATCAAGGCAGGCCGAAGAAAGCAATCTATTACTAGTATGGACGATGGTGGAGGAGAAATTACACGCGGCTATGTCAAGCTAGTCACGTCGAGAGGCGTCAATCCTTGGCACAGGCTCTGGCACAACGTCGAAACCCATGCCCACGTCGGCTGGGAGCGCAGCGGTTTGATCCAGGCTGCGACCCGCGGCTATTTCTCTATCTTCAATGACAGTGCGAGGAGAATCATCATCTGTGGGTAGCGCAGTGTACTCTACAGTGGTTGGAGGCTTGAAGAATGGTGGCGGCGCAATGACGCTATTGAACAGGAAAGTGCCGTAACTACCATAGCTTATGAGCCAATGAACATGAAACCTTTGAACGCGGACTTACACGAGCAGCGAGAATCCAAAGACTTGAAGTAGCGACCATGGCCACACGAGCACCTCCCAACCAAGTCCCAGGCTAACAATCCAAATAGTAATGGTCCTGCAGGTATCAATGATGCTGCGCATGGTGCTGCTTGCGTATTTGGTCAATGATAGTCCAACGAAATTGTAGAGTCCAATGGACAACGCAATTATAAAGGAGGAGCCAATCACAGCCGGATTGTCGACTGTCTGATGCCACCCTCTTGGGAGATCAAAGAATTCGGACTTTGACTTGAGGAATACAAAGGTCGGGCTGGCGATGAGGATCGTGAGGAGGCCAAACAAACCCTCGAATCCAACAGCAACGAGCGGAGTGACAGAATATGTGCCCATGATCTTCTCTTCAAGGACAAATTGGATAGCCGTACTGCAAAGGATTAGATGAAAGCCGCTTTCGAAATCGGTCAGACCTACCCAATTTGAGCAAATAGCACGAAGAAGATGCCTATGACTACAGCCACATCGTTTGGTTGCTCCTCCTCTGCACGAGGTACCAGATTTCCTTGGTCTCCCAATGATTGCTTCGTGAGTGAGCCACTCAAGCCTACAACGGCGACACCAGCGACAACCACACTCATTGCAAACCACTGGTAGGAATATAGTCGGCGCTTCAAGAAGACGACGCTGAAGATGCCGACGAACAAGACGAGTGCGCCTCTGGTCATTTGGTAGATGGAGACCGGGGTGTAGATAAGGCCTACATTCATCAACTTTATTCTCTAGGTCAGCATACTATTACGTGTAGTCCGTGTTTTGCTTACCGTTGTGGCGGTCAAGTCACATAAGGCTGGTAACCAGAAGAGAAGAAACTTCCATCCCTTCATTGGTCGCTGCGTCTTCGTAGGGTCCGTCTCTGCTTGTTGATAGCCTCTGTGGCGAAGAAGTGCAAAGAGAACGGGCAAAAAGCCTGGGGCAGCAGTCAGCGGCAGCCCACCGCTGCGCGACGAGCATCGTACGTACACCCTAGTTCTCCGACGAACATCTGAATTGTTTGCCAAACTGGTTGTTCGTAATAAACGTGCTTGCTTGGGTCTGGGTCCTGGCAGTTTTCGACACATTGCATGTCTGTGAACGTCGTGAGCAACAGGTCTTGTGGGCGCTGGTGGATCGCCTGCCTTGAAACTTTGTCCACAAAGAGTTGGAACTTTTCATGATTGCTTAGCTGTGTCCAAGACGTAGAGAAATGAACGTACCTGCCCGTGACAAGCATGCCAGTGACCAACGTTATGAGGTAGAACGACATGGTGGATGTCGGAAATGTCAAAGAATAACCAAAGAACAGTAAATCTTAATTTATGGATGGGATTTGATGATTTGCGAAGAGCAGTACGAGTTCAGAACTCGTGGTCGGGGTCCAACCAGCAGGACGACTGGACGGATCTCCCAGGCTCCCAGGACGGCGTCGGCGACTGATTTTCGCACTAAATACTGATAATATTCGATCAATCGGACGTCTATGTCTATTGCCGGTCTGTAATCGGCGCAGAGGCAGGAGCTAGCCAGCTCTGCTGAATCCCTGTAGCTCACTGCAGCCTCTACGAAATATACAAGCAATTATCTACGTGCTAAATTGGCTGGCAGTGCTGTGCGAGCGCTCTAGCGGCGCGCTATAAAAGCTCACTGCCTAGGGATTTGATGGCCCTCGTCTGCGACTTGCTTCCTTCCTCGTCGGCCACGTCGTGCAGCTCGTCGACGACATACACTTTTTGGTTCTTTTTCTGGTCTTCTTACAAATCGACTATCAAATCAAGGGCGTAGCCTCTTGGTACCTTCAGCTTGTCTGAAGAACGCGAGCAACCATGGGCTACATGCGTACAAAAGCAGTCCTTGTGCGTTTGATTCTCATCTAGTATAACACTAATGGTTGCTCATCCCTTTCTACCGCTTTGCAGATTGGAATTCAGTATTCTGGCTCACAGTGGGACGAACTAGATGGCCCTCATCACGATGTCAAGCGTATGCGCGACTTTCTCAAGTCATCACCATGGCAGTATGCTCAGTATAGAATCCTCCTCGATAAGCCTGGTTACGCCCGACCCGACCGTGAGGGCATCGTAAGCTAACGTGCTCCGAAAGCTCACCCAATTGCTGAACATTTGGTAGATCTCTGCACTCAACTGGCTTGTTGAAGGTGCTACAGAGGATCATCGGCTCTTCCTCCACTGTACGCCCTCGCCCATGACGGTGATTGTCAAATTCTCACACATTCGACAGACTCGGGTCACGGTGATCAATCACCGACCAGTTCCGCTTCGGAACCAGATGGCTTTGACGAGAGTACGTCCTCCACAGGAATATTGACTCTGGCTGACGAACGCGATAGCAATCATTCCCGTGGATTGTCCACCTCCTGAGACAGAAGACGGTTTCAGAGGAGCTATCCGCGACAACCTACTGAGAGAACTCCTTGTTGACGCGCTTCCGGCTGGCTGCCATCTGACTGCCATTTTCGATTGCTGCCATTCGGGATCCATACTCGACTTGAGATACTGTTACCCTAGGTATGGCATATCCTGGCCCTTGCTCCTCTGCAAAACTAAGTGTGTCCTCTAGGTATCTCAGTATTCCATGGGCATGGAGAATGTCTGGCCCCGCTTGCGACTCTCCACGCTGTTTGTCCTGTCCCGCCTCGCTGACTAGTACTGATGACCCCTTAGTGAATCGTACGATTACTGAGAGGCAAAGAACTCTGAGTGAGTTTTCCGAATAACCTTCTTGGGCTCGACTGACTAGGAACAGCACTCCCAATTTCGTTTGCCAATGTCATTCCCCCTGACCTTGACGAGCTCAGACAACCCATTATCGACTCTTCGTATTTGAAGACGCCAACGCCCCACGACCTCTGGGAGTTGGAAGAAACACCACGACCGTCCTTTCTCATGTCTCTTACCGAGTCTCGGAGCGTCTCTCAACGTGGATCGCGCTCTAGCTCTGTCGGCAGCTGGGCACGCCCACAGCTTGGACTACAGTTGCAGCTGACCGACATCCCCGACATTGCTCATTTGACTCTGGCACCCTCCATTGATGCGATCGATTCGTGGCGCAGCAGTATCTCGTACAGCGGGGAGGAAGAAGTCTGCGAGTCTCCTGTTACTGCCAGTCCCACGTCGACCATCGCTGCCTCGTCCCGGAGACCTTCGCTTCTGTGAGCTACATTTCCGCTTTGTGTGAAAGGCGTTCTGACAGCTCTATAGCCTCCCTGCCTCGAGCACCGTCTTACATAGACTCATCAACCTGAACGGCAAAGCAGGTGTACACCAAGCTTGCTATGTGGATAGAGAGGAGGAGACTCTTGTACCATTCAGAGGTATTCAGTACGACCGTCCTGTCAGGAGCCGTGGAACATTTGCCGGATTTCATCAACCAGCCCACCCACAAGGACCTGCTCCGCTTGTGGTGAGTATCTCTGACACGTCTATAGCATTGGCTTAGTTTCTTTAGTGTTCATTTTCCGCTTGCTACGACCATCAGGTCACGTTCGAGATTGGGAATGGTGACGGCTTGTTGACTTCGGTGTGTTCTTTGCGTTCACATAGTTCGAGTTGCTCATCTGTTACACAGGCATTCATTGAATGCATGAATGCTGCCGACCATGAGATCACGTACGGTCAATTGTTGGTGCAGATGAAGTGAGTGTTCCTGAAAATCAAATGAATAGGAGGTTGATCTCGCCGTAGAAAGTATTTTATCAGAAAGAATGAAGAGCGCAGCTCGGATAAGTTAGGCGATCCTCCGTTCCCGATGCTCTCCTCCTCATACGAGTTGGTAAGGATAAACCCACTGAAAACTGAAGATTCTTACTCTGTCCGTAGAACCTGTCTCACCCCGTCGAAGTTTAGAGAGCATTGAATCCAGCCAGGCCCCTGCCGTCTCCTCGACGAGCCACGACCCACAGTTTCGTCTCTGTCTCTTGTACAATTATCCTTATGGACTCTATGTATCCTCACAGTGCATTGGGAATACAGGTTTTCCGACCTCTTGGCCAACTTCTTGATTTCTCTATCGTTCTTGCAATCACTATGCGTCGAATAGACGCCGTTCTATTTTTCTAAGCGGCCTCGGGGTTCTCTCAGCGGTACCCCGGGTATATAAGATGGCGGTCTGAGCACGATTCCCACTCCTATAGGCACCCATACCTGGTCACGACTACCTGTTTGAACTCGGAATGAATACGTTGACCACTGAAGCCTTGAACGCTCGCGCCATTGCCGGCGCAGTTGCAGTCGCAGGATTACTCGCTGCCGCGTTTCTTCGCTATCGACGCGCCCTCAAGTACCCACGTCCCCCAGGCCCTCCAGGGTATCCAGTCATAGGCAATGCATTTGACTTACCCCCTACTCAACGATGGCTCAAGTGGGCGGAATGGAGAGACATGTATGGTGCGTACAATTGTTGACCGGCCTTGTAGGCTTTGAAGTAGATGGCATCTTTAGGTCCCATTGTATGCTTGGAAATGTTTGGGAGACGGGTGGTCATGCTCAATGATCCTCAATTGGTGATGCAATTGCTGGAGAAGCGTTCGTCAGTCTCGGCGGATCGTCCACAGCTTGTCCTGTGCATGGGGTTGTGAGTATCCAAATGAAATCCGTTATGGCCTTTGTGTTCATTGTGCATACAGGCTCGGCTTTGGGCATAGTACCGTCGGGCTCCAACACAATGCGACGCACAAGGTGAACAATTCGAACTACATTAGCACTCACTAAAGAGTTCCCAAAGGAAGCACGGAGGCTGTTCAATCTGACAATAGGTAAATCTCAGCTACACAAGTACACCGACCTTGTCCAGCACGAGATGCAAAAGCTTGCCCTGAAACTCTTGGAAGGCAAGGGAGCCAAAGACAATGTGACTTCAAGCATCAGACAGTAATTGTTTGTCTGTTCACCAAGACATGAGCTTATTGGTTTTTGCAGTGCCGTTGGAGGGATCATTCTCGCCGTGACCTATGCTCTGCCTGTCAAGGATCAGAACGATCCATTTATCGAGGATGCAGAAGCCACCATGGGTATATTTGCCCGCACTTCGTCTCCAGGGACGCATACCGTTGACGTCTTTCCATTCCGTACGTCTACCCGTTTATGTGAGACAAGTTGGACCTCTGATGGGATGCCCAGTGCAATATGCACCATCTTGGTTCCCTGGGGCAGGATTCAAGAAGTATCTTGCCCTTTGGAAGCAGCAAATCAGGAATTCTCTCGAGCGTCCCGTCGCGGTGGTAAAGCGGGAGCTGGTACGCAATACAAAACCCTAGAAAAGGATGGTATCCCACGTGTCCACAGGCAAATGGCGAAGTCAAGACGTCGGTTGCACACGAGATTTTTGCAGAAGCCAACATGAGTGCACAGCGCGAGGAGGAACTAAAGTGGCTCACCGGCTCCATGTACTTGGGTGGTTCCGACACGGTATGTGATACAGTTACCGAATAATCACCAGAGCTTATGCACCACGTAGACCGCGTCGGCAATTCACATCTTCGTTCTGGCCCTCACCTGTTATCCCGATGTCCAAACAAGAGCGCAACAAGAGCTAGATTCCGTAATTGGTGATCGAATTGCAACATTGGAAGACAGACCAAACCTTCCATACGTTAATGCGATTGTCAAAGAGGTTCTCCGTTGGCACACAGTTACTCCGTTGGGTACGTCGAGATTGAGGCGAACGTGGTTCTTAATGGTACACTGAACCGGAAGCCAGGAGGACCTCACAGGTTGACATCGGATGCCGAGATTGGAGGATACCTGCTGCCAAAGGGAACGGTCGTCTTGGGCAATGTATGGTACGTACTGCCTTGACTCTGCCTCCTTTCCCCGTGGATTCCTCCGGGTATCGGACGATCTCATGGTGTATACAGGGGCATCTTGCATGACGAGAAATACTTCTCCGAGCCACACGAGTTCAAACCGGAGCGGTTTCTCAACGCAGAGGATGCGGCGAAATTCGATCAAGTTAAGAGGCCCACAGCCTCTGTCGACTCTTGGAATCATGCCTTTGGGTATGGGAGGCGGTGAGCTCACCCCGGACGAGTTGTGGCCTTGTTTCTGACATCGAATTGTGGGTAGCGTATGTCCGGGCCGTGACTTGGCAGATATGGAATTGTGGCTTGCAATTGCAACGATACTGTCGACATTAAAGATTTCGCCGACCGAAGGCGGGCTCAAGCCGACGTTTACAAGCGGGTCAATTAGGTCAGTTGTCAGATTTTTTCCTCTCTTATTCCTTTATTCTTACGACTGGGTGCAATTCCAGTCACCCTGTACCATTTGATTGCGTGATTCGACCCCGGAACGCACGGATGGAGAGCCTCCTTCGGGAATTATCGTAGCCATATGTAGACCCGACGAGCCTCGAGTTTGTCCGAAGTGCAAGTGTTCCTAAAAAGACTGTGTTATACGCACACGCCCACAAGGAGGACGGCCAGGGGTGATTCCTCGCAATTACCGGCGGGGAAACAGGAGTGCATGCCTAATCCCGCACAGATGGGAAGACACCCTTTTCTTTAAAGCTTGTGATTGGTGTTTAAGGGCTCTCCGGGTGTCAGCTGAACTCCGACTTGATGAAGAGCCGGGCCAGATGTATATAAACCCGCTTGGGTGTGTCGGCTATGGAACGGTAACGCGCCTTGAGCGTCTTGAGCGTCTCGAGTGATTAATTCGACGGCCTGGAGATGGATAAGATCCGACCCGCAGGCGATCGCGAGCAAATAGGCACTCCACAGTCCAACGGCGATAAGCAAGGGCGAGCTGGACCTGATGAGCAAAGCAACGTTGGCCACCATCCACCTTCATTGTCTGCTGCTGTTCATGGTAAAAGGCGGCTGAGCGGGCTGCTATCGTCGTCGAGTAACGCTCCTAGTGTGCCGCTAACGCGTCCTGTGCCCGCTGCAGCATATACAAACCCGTATCTGTCGCCAGAGCTTTCCCTGTCCAGTCCAGCACTCCTGTTTGCGTCAAGTTCGCGTCAAAAGTCTTCAGTACAGTCTATACAGCACCAAGTTGCAGCCATGCCACCCAAACCAGCCGGCAAGGACATTCCCGCTTTTTTCCCAGGGATGGACGAGTTTTATTATGCACCCAAGAAGTCTGTCAAGTCTTCGGGTGCGAGTACATCGGGAACATCGACAAAATCGGGCTCGTCCACAAAGTCGCCGTCAAAGTCGAAACCAAAAGAGCGGGACGGACCGTCATTAATGTCCAAGGATTCAGATCCTACAGAACCAGCCGATTCTCAGGGTCATCCGCGTCGAGCCCTTCCGGCCCCGGTCCCGAGCGAGTCGATTATACAGGAAAAGGAATTAACAAGTAATGATACTCGTCTCGGATTGTCGAAACACGACTGACAAACAACTCGCAGCCGCAGAACAAGTTGCCGCACAGGCGAGTAATACGGATTTGGATGCAGTCACCGGCAAGACCTTTGCCTCGTCTCCCTCTCGCAATTTGCCGTCCTTTACCCCTTCTTCGTCCTCTCCACCGCCTACCTTCTCCATCTTGCCCTCCACTTCGTCCCCGCCTTCAAGGAGACTCGCCCTCTCGACTTCACCACCGACAGACCACACTTCGACCATTATGAGCGTTGCTCGTGGGACACCTCCGTCGGCCCACGGCAAGACGACGTTGAAGAAACGAGCCGCGAGCGCCAGCTCGTCAACTGCAGCCGCCGGACTAGGCATCACTGGCGTCGAACTCGAGCCAACGTCGGGCATGACGATCAGCAGAGATCAGCGGCAAGACAGTGTGACCGATATTGCTCGTACGTCGATCCAGTTGCTTACGCATAACTCGCGTTTCTCACCGGCCTTTAATTTGTTTAGCCTCTCACTCGCCCAGACCGTTTAGGAACAAAAATCATGCAAGGCACCACGCCTTGCCTCTGAAAGTCGCACCCTATCCACGAAGCTACGATACACGTGCAATAGATCAGTCAGTGCAACATTCCCATACTAGTCCAGCGGGGACTGATATCATGTGCTTTCGACAGAGACACGGCCGACCACCTCCTTCTCACTTCACTATGTCGAAGCGTAACTTGGCACGACTTCGCACCAATTCTCCCAAATTCGTCCACATCCAATACAACCACCCCAGCGACCGTGACGGCTGGGATCGTACAGTCGAGCATCGAGAGCACTCAGAATGTGACCTTTGAACCACCATTGACGACCCCAACTCTTTCCGACTCGTCGCCACAACCTACAACCCCAACTCCTGTACCCGAATCTGCTGCACAAAAGACCCCAGCACCGCGCTCAGTTCTGGACCTTGGGTGCGGCAACGGTGTTTGGATCATGGATTGTGCCAAAGTGTGGCCAGACGCACACTTTGTCGGTGAGTAGCTTGCTTCCGTCGAGACACTATCGGTATATTCAACTCTTTAGGGCTGGATCTTGTTCCGCTTCAGCCGAATCTTTCCGTCGTGGACCCCAAGTTGGCGAATCGGATCGAATGGGTCACTGCAAACTTGTGAGTAATCCCCTATTTCGGACTCCAGCTCTGTCGGCATGACTAACGACATTTTCACTTCATTTATTGAAACCTGTCCCGTTTCCGACATCTGCTTTTCAACCGCAACGGTACCTTCCAATGGAAATCTCCACCTGAACCCTGCACCACTACCCCAAACGACCCACCTCCCTGTTCTACATGCGACGCATTTCTTCTATGTCACTCCTTGACATGTGGCACTGGTGTGTATTCTCGTCACCGTACCTCAAACGTTGAAATTCCTACTGTGGAATTCTATTCTGGCATGGACCTCTCTACTGGGTGGCTTCACTGAATATGTGTAACTCCCTCGACCTTTCGCGCGGCCGGATCGGATCGATGGGTGCAGTCTCCAACGTCTCCCTTTCCCAGACTCGCACTTTGATTACGTACACATTCGAAGAATCGCAAGAGGTGTACCCGAAGACAAGTGGCCAGATCTGCTCGAGGAAGTGTCTCGTGTGCTCGAGCCCAACGGCGCGATCGAGATCCTCGAAGAGGACCTAATCTTCCCTGGGGGGTCGGAGCCGTGTACGTGTCATTACCCGCCTGATTGGAATGAGGGCGAGGAGGATGCACGGAATGAGGACACCATGTCTTCGGAGCTTAATCACCAAAGTCCAGAAAAGGGTGCGCATCTTTATCCCGAGTATAGGATTGTGCTTTACTTAATCCGTATAGATCTCCATCATTCGGGCTATCAAGGGCTCTTCTATCCATCTCAGTCCGTTGACGTGCGAGATCACTCGCATCTCGAGCAGGCATACAATGACATGCATGCTGACCGATTCATCAATCTGCGACCCATTTCTGTCCTCACCAACGTTTTACCTCTTTATTTCCGTGATGTGCGGAGCCACCCTCCACTCCTCATAACATTTCCACCGCCCGAGGAGGAAATGTGGAGTGACGCTTCTTCGTTATCATCTACGTCCGGGGAGAGCGATGCAAGCGTCGCTCTTCACAATCGCAAAACCCTTGTCGCCACGCCAAAGAGACAGAAGGCTACGATACCCAAAAGTCCGCACTTGTCCAGACCCAGCACGGCAAACTCGAGTGCAATATACTCCATCGACTCTTCAGCAGTCGAATCTTCCCATGGAGGTTCACCTCCTCAGGGACGGTCCCCACTTCAACAACAACCCCCTACTCTACCTCTTGACGGACAAGTAGAAACTGTCACCAACGGTTCATCGCCGTCAGAGTATATGCACCAGCCACCACAAGGTGGATGGCATACTCTCCATATTGATATTCGTGCCCTCGTCCACCCCAAGCAACCCTTTATCATGATTGACCGATGCCGTATGCCGGCTCGCGTCGTCTCTGCAGGTGCAGATAGCCAAAATTTGGCAGACCAAACGATGACCCGATTACCAAACACTACATTCGAGTTTGATTTTCAGTACTTGACCATGTCCCTTGCTCACAGCGTCACCGAGGTCCTCGAATGCAAAGAGGAAATCTGGGAGTACATGGTGAGAAAAGGTGAAGCGAAACCGGGCAATGGGTCGAATATTGCTGCTTGGACTGGCCTCGGTATGTCGTTGGCAACTTCGGGTGAATGGTCAGAGGAGAAGCGGTGAAGACGAAGAAACCCATTCGATCACGGTCACCACGTCGAGATGAACCTGTCGAACGCAAGGACTTTGACTTTTGGGTCTCCAATTATGAGCGCGAGATGAAGAGACGGATACAAATGGCAAAAGTCATGCGGAGTCGACTGGACTGGAAACCCAGAGAGCTCGTCAGCTCGGAATTTCATTCATCCCACTCACATCGCCCTTCCATGGGCAATTCTGTCTCAGGACCAGGGGGCAAAATACTATCGCCCATTACGCCTGGCGGATGGTCGTCAGTGCCCGCACCATTTGGCACCATTTCGACGGAAAATCCGACTCGACGCCTCGACCCTAGCGATCATCCGCACTCTTCATCGTTGGAAGACATTAACACGGCTCTCAACGTTCAAGAGGATGACCTAGACGAACATCACCATCAGAGTGCAGTCAAGGGCGCACACTCGTCTTCGACCTCGTTAGTGGGCAACGAATCCAGTAGCGTTGGTGCGCGCAAGCGGACGAATTCTGGACCGGAGAAGCTGCAACGGACCAGACGCGGCTCGGGGCACTCTTCCCAGCAAGGACACGCGCGTAATAATAGCTTGGATGCTGCGGATGCGTGGGAGACTTTGGTCCAGGAGAAACCGCACCTGGCTAGTCTCCGTGCAGACGACGGTACAATCGCTGGTAGTGCGATGGATCGGGACTCCAAAGCAGTCGACGAAAATGGCTTTGCGGATGATATCCCGAGGCTAAGTCGGTGCGTCAAAGTGTTCGTTGCCTGGAATAACAAGGACGAGACGTAGCCAGGGAGAAGAAGGTAACTTTATCTACAGATGCTAGATCTTTTTGTCACTTAGACTATGTACAATTAGTTTTGTACAGTTTACTCGTCCTTTTTGTTGTCGCAAGCCCGTCGTAGCCATGAATCAAGGCGGGCTGGGCGTAACACATCTTGGACCCGACTTCGACCGCCCTTTTCATTTGCCTGGCGTCGTCTTGACATAATACATATGTCATTGTCATTGGTTCCGCGTCCACGCGTTAGGTCCTTTGCCATCTACTTTGACCATAGTCTACATCGACAGACCTTGGGTCAGCCGTCGCGTACTAGCATTCACATCTCTGCGGATCATTTCATGCAGGAATTTGACTATAATTCAGACATTAGAAACGTTTCTTCTCTAATCCAACTCGTCTACGCTCCGATGATGAACAAATTGAGCATGATGATCGGCCAGGGCTTGATGACGTTCGTGTTCAGCGGTATGATGATCCACCTGTGCCATATGGTGATTATACTGGGCCACGTGATGCGCAGCAGCTTGGTGGTTACCACTATCTCATTGTCAGCATACGATCCTTCGCCATATTATTTGGACAAACTTCGCTGTTGCTGTATTGGCATGATTGCTATGCGTCTCTGCATGACCCAGGTGAGTTTCTGCTTGTCGTAGATGGTGGTCTGCCTGTGCTTGGTGATGTGCCTGTGCGGCAGCACCTTGCAACCTGAGTGAAAGAGGAATACGGGTCAGTACCCAGATGCATTCGCTGCTTCTGAACGTACAAAGGGAACGGAGCAGCGGACACCAAGGCAGCAGCCGAGGCGAAAAGTGCGACAAAGAACCCGACGCGCATGCTGAATAAGTTTGGAAAAAGAAGAGTAGAGAAAGAAGAAATGAAAGAAGAAAGTGAAAGTCGAGAACCAGTCTGAGGAATAGGTGAGTGAAGAGCAGGTGCCCTTTATAGGAGCAAGTCGCATTCACACTGCCTCGGGCCTATATCGGTTCCATAGCGTCAATATTTTCTCCCTAAAGCAATATTTGTGCTTATCAGTTGGTAATGAGCGAGCGCTAGTCTTTCGGCTAGTCTGGAGGACGCCCAGGAAGCTGTAACTACTATATTGCCTAGCTGTATATTTTGAATTAACCCTGTGGAAGGGTTCAAGGCCCTGTGCGACTGCAGTCGACAGCAAGAGCGCACCGCTTCCCACGCCTCCTTCGATTTGATGCAGTCGACTACGTAAGGTTAAGCCGTTGTGAATCTACCTTGCTCCAATTTTACCATGGCTAAGAGCGATATGCCCGAAGTGACGCCGCCAACCGTCATTGGATCTACCTCCGTCTAGCGCTCATTTGCGAGACGATGGACATTAGAGGCAGAAATCTCCACCTTAGCAAGGCTCCTGTCAATAGCGCACATGCTACAAGAGAACTGTAGATACGATTATTCACGTCATTATTACTAGAGATGCACCTGCAAACGTCAAAATATTCTCCGACGAGATAGGAAGACCTCTTGGACGCTCAGAATATTATGGTACCGGTGATAGGAAGTATGGTATCTATCTCATACACGTCAGGAATAGGCGCAGAAAGGGCGTTTGTTACACAGGGTAAAGATCCGTCTACGATTTCTGGGCACAAAGGCTTGTCTATTAGTTACGATATCCAGCTGTCTTTCGAGGGGCAGAAAATCGAGATCTATCTCCTGTCAGAAAGGCCGCCAAAAAGGCTAATAAAGGGTTACACAGGAATTGGTCAGTATCCGGGCACGTATCAAGTGCTCTCCTGTCATCAAAGAGTGGTGCCAGAAAGTTCCAATTAGTTACTAGGCAGAGTACACGCTACTTTTGCAGAGGGGAGACACAACAGCTAGAGAAAAGAGATATACACGGCGAAAGAGAAACAGAGTCATATCTCTTGTTAGGTGCTCATTGAGCCCAGACGGAAGAGGCGTACTTCTAAACCACAATGTCTGAAGGGTCCCACCAAGCAGAACAGCCGTCATTTGAGGTGACCCCACCTACTTTTGGTGATCGGTCGGTTGATGAGTATATGGGTCGGATAGACCGGACGAATCGGTGGGCATGGTCATAGTTCGTGATTCATAGTTCGTAGTCGTAGCTTGTAAATAGCCTAAAAAAAATCAACCGTCAGGGATTTCATTATGGCAGCCAGCTAGTTCCCGCGATCAAGGAAATGAAGGAGCCCCAAACGATCCAAACGCGTCTAGACTAGTCGCATTCGAATTATTTGTAACCCCAGCATTTGCATAGAGATTTCTAGTGTTTGGGAAAAGTACGGACCTGTTTTGTATCCTTGTTAGGATGTACCGTTGAGAGAGTAAAGTAGGTCAGAATTCCCAGCCGTTGGTGTATCCGGGAATGAAGCTATCCTCGGATGCTTGTTTCTTGACCCAAGACACATAGTCCCGATCTTGACTTGGTTCTCCGCACAGAGGCACCTGTTCGGGGACCAGGGGATCATGATGCGCATCATCTGGATAGACTGCGCCCACAAAAGGATCTTCTGAACCAAGTCTCTGATCATGCCGGGGTTTGCGCATGGCAGGCCTTGGGCGAGGTTTGCGGGAGGACTTGCCGCCGTTCTTTCCCAGAACTTTGGAAGGCGGCAAGGATGGGGCGAGAATTTGACAGCATTTCTTCTTCTTTGGTCGTGTAGTAGTCCACGATGGGCCCTCTGAGGAAGCATAATCGGCTCCAGCAGATATCGAATGAGTTTCCTGATTTGCAGTAGGTTTCCGCTTCCTAATGCGGTATACGTGATCACGTCTCACGTGACGATCAAGCTCCTGTTTGTCACGGTACTTTCGAGGACTGAGTTGGCTGTTAAGTTCTCGGTCTCAGATGTCAAAACTAGCTCACCATGGCAGTTCTCCCTGGAGCTTCTTGCAATAATATTTACCCTTGAGGTCAAGACACTTTTTCTGGTGACGGGCCATCTTTTGCAAGGTGGGTTTTTGCTTGCCGCAGAAGTTGCATATAGCCTTTGTGACGCGAGCATTGTCTCGGACTTTGCCAGTCTTTGTTGTTTCATCAGACACCTCCACTGTCAGAGGGCTGCGCTGATTATTATTCTGGTAATATTGTTTGTAGAAGGGACGGATCTCGCCCTGCTGCTCAGGGGAGAAATGGCTTTCGTTTCCGATGAAGCGTTCATCTTGTTCACTCAATTGTATTTCGCTCGCATTCGGAGTCGTGGCATCTGGCTGTCGGTCGTGCAAATTTAGGATGGCGGCTTCGGCGGTGTGTGGGTGGGTGTCCTGTTCACAAATGGGAGGGGTTATCGGTATTCCTGACGGCTCTTCCGCCAAGTTTGATGGTGCATATACGAGTGATGAGTTGCTATTGTCAAGAGGAAAGAGACCTTGAGCGCTATGAGGGTCGTTGGGAGGGAGTTGCCAAGGCGGACCTGCTATGGTATCAGTTTGGGGCCATAATTTCTGTGCAGGTGCTCGGGTCCGAAACGTACCCCTAATATTTTTAGTGTGCTGAGGCTTGTCGGAAGGGCGACCGCTACGTAACCGTGTGCGCCGAGAAGCCGGGGTGTGGACATTTGGGCGACGATCGAAAGGGGGAGGACTCATAGCTAGGTATCTCTTCAGCATTTTGTTGGTACAAGGAAGACGGAGAGCGATACCATTTTCGCATTCCATCGTGTATGGTGACAGACAGACCGAGTGTCGCGCGCGGTGGAGTGCTCCGGGGCAATAGAGAGAGCTCGCGAGGATCAAGGGTGTGGCTGGGGTCGATTTATACAGGCCTTGGTATCTCAGAGAAATGAGGGAGTGTCCAAGGATGTCCAGCAGAGCATTGCAGCGCGCTCTCGCTATAAGCAAAAAGCATACCAGCTCGGGCCTATGTCCGCTGTGCGCTCTCAACGGGAACGCATGTCAAGCTGTGTAGACGGGATCCTTCTCGTTTCTCTAAAGCACCCAATGCATTCCAAGGACCAAGAACAATGTCAGCGCTGATCCGCAACGTCGGACGACGTTGTAGAAAAAGGCCGCTCGATATCCTCGGAATTCACCTGTTGTCACCTTAAATTCCAATTTGTCCCCGAATTTGACGATTTGGGATGAAAACCGATAGTGACCTACGTTAAACGGCGAGACTCGAGCGCATCCTCATGGGTGTGGTGTGGCTTGACGCGTCTCTGCTTGAATGTGCATTCTCTACGAATTTATTTTGTAAGGAAATCGAGCAGTTGACGCGTATTCGTCACGCATAGGTCCAAGTTGTCTTGTTGTTCGATCACGGCCGGTGGGAATCGCTAATATACTGAAACGAAAGTCGGCCGAAGTACAGCTTGCCATATTTAGAGATCAGTAGGTTAGACCAATTCTCGACGTCAAGACTGAGCACTTTGCAATCAACCTTAAGGGTGCCTTTTGCACGTTCACTCATGGCGAATACTACCGTAATTCAGCTTCGAGTACTAATTCTACATTCTTTCTTTCGTAGATGGCAACAATGAGGCAAAATGGGACCTATGTGGACTTAGTGAGCGGAGAGAGAGGATACACGGGGGGAAGGCAGAGGCACACAACAAATCAACAGAGAGAAACGTAATACACTCATTGCAGACGAAGTCTAAGCGGGCTCACGCATGCAGAACTCCGAACCCATAGAGCCCTGTGGGGCCAAAGTCTGTAAGTAGTTGCGCGATTCCACAAAGAGGTCTGAATGATCTATCATGAGTGTCGTATTTGGTTATCAGTGTCGAGAAAACCCGCGTCAGAATACACCCAGAGCCAACGCGGGAGTACCACTGTGAGTAATCGTAACAAGTTTAGACAAATGAACAAAACGAAAATAGCCTAGAAAACGGATCAGCCTCAGGAACTCTCAGTAACCACTCAGCCAGTCCCCGCAATCAAAGAAATGAGGAAGCCCCAAGCAATTTGAATGCAACCCCGACCTTGCATCCGAATCAGTTGTAGCTCCAACATTTACATAACGATTGGCACTGTCTGAGAAAAGGACGGACCTGCTTTGAATCCTCGTCGCGCAAGCTATAGGCTAAGCGCATAAAATATAGAATAAACAACTGGCCCGGCGTCAGGCCATTATACATGTCGTGTCTGAAGGTTTAGATCCTGCGTTCACATCATTGCGCACAAAGGAATCAATGCAGCAAGCAGTGCTTCGCAAGTCTTCTTCAATGTCGAATTTGGTGGTTCTTGGTCCGGTTCCATAAGGGTAGCCTCCGGAATGAGGAAATTCCTTTGAGGGATGGGATGGTATATGCGATCCACAAGCCTATCGTCGGAATCCTCCTCCTCAATTAGTTGGGATATGAGCACAGCTCGCGAGTCGACGTCCTTTCTCGACTTTTTAAAGGGTCGCAACGGTGGGGTAGGGGTTCTAATGCGACTTCTCTTGTCAGGCGACGTGATCATCTGGGCAAAATTATTCCCTCCAGGAGAAGGTGAGGGAATTTCCTGACTTGCAGAAGCTCTCAAAGGCTTCTTCATAAGACGCTCGTAGACTTCGTGGTCATCTCTTAGATGACGGCTAAGCTCCTCTTTATTACAATACATCCGGTCGCTGCTACTGATGAGCTCATAATCTTTGAGAGAAAAGCAAACTTACCATGGCAAGCCATCATTGGTATTTTGGTCGCACAGGTATTTGCCCTTTAGTTTCAGACAAGTCGTCTGGTGTCGGGCCATATTTTGCAACGACGATTCGACTTTTCCACAGGGGATACAAGTAACCTGCGTGACCTTGGCATTCTTTCGAATCTTGCCAGTCTTGGTGGGCTTCTTAGATCGCTCGACTTTGAGAGGACTGCGCTGATGTCGCTGGTAATATTGTTGGAAGCGAAGCCGAACCTCGGGTCGTTGCTGATCAGAAAAATACGCTTGATTATTGATAAAGGCTTCGTCTTCTTCATTGAGTCTGATTCGACTTGCGTCTGATGGCTGACCTAGCACGGGCGAATAGGCGGAAGTGCGTCCGTGCGTCTCTTGCTCACACTCGCTGAAATCCGTGGGTGTATCTGATCCTAGCTCTTCGGCCAAGATTGGTGTGCGTGTAAATGCGTTGCCATCGCTCGGAGTAAAGAGGCTTTGAGGGCCATGGGAGTGAGCAGGGCTCGGCCCGATTCCTGTTCCTCCAGCGATTGGCCTTGACGACTTCTTGTGTTTAGGTCCTTGGGTTAATGGTAGACCTTGACTTTTCTTGGGCTGGCCATCTGTGGGCGTCGGCCCTTGGTGATTGTCGGAAGGGTTGCCCACGTGCTGAGAAGTAGTGGGTTTCTGGGAGCTATTAACAAAGAAGGAACGTTTCATGGCTGGTTATACTCATTAGCATCTTCTTAGTCTAATGAAATGAAAGGCAGTACCGATTGGCGCTGGTGTCGGGCACGCCAGCCGCTGCCCGCGCAGGAGAGGCCTGCCACAACTGGTGGGAGTGTGTTGTCAAGGGATGGAGAAGATGGCACAAGAGATTGAGAGTCGACTTATGGACCTTGGTAGTTTAGAAGAGCGAGAGAGGAAGGCAAGGTGTATTCGTTCACCACTTACTCGTCACGAAGGATTATATCAGCAAGTCACAAAAAACCGTACTGGCAGACCACGCGTCGAACACGCTGTGCTGGATAACGAAGGAAAAGCTATAAGATGAGCTATCTTTTATCTCCTATCATGTGCTATAGCATTCAGAGGGAGGAGACTGTCGTGCAGAGCCGAAGGTGTCGTCAGCTATTTGAAGGAGCGGCAGGAGATGGCTAGGCGTTTGAAACTCACATTGAATTGCTCTCTATCCAGTAAGGATAATCCCCAATCCATCCCTGAGATGGAAAGCAGCAGCAATCCCCTTCAAATCGCGCATTGCGGGCACCCGAGCACCCTGCTCACGATTGTAGCATGCTATGACGCGTCTCTAGTCGTGTAAACATTCGTCCTTTATCAATCTCATGGGCAAGTTCGGTCCAAAACGCGTCGAGTGGAGATCCAAGGCGTACCGATTTTGATCAACAAAGGCGCCCGAATCGCTCTTTGTCAGCAACGACAACTTCAGTTCCTTCTAGACAAGAAAAATGCCTTCAACACTTACAGATTAGTGCGTTAATGAATACAATGCATCGTAATACTCAAGGACCGTCTCAGCGAACGTATTCGCCAACAAAACATTGAAGCGAACCGGGTGCTCCTACAACAGCTCGACCTGGACGAAGGTCCTTCGTCACTGGGCTTTGTTCCTATTGCGAAGCAGGCGTCTAAACCAGCAGCCGCAAAGAAAGCAAAGACAACGGGTGAGCCATTACTTCATCGGTACGACTCAGCGTGACTTGCACTGTCTAGCGAAACCTGTTCAACCACGCAAGCGCAAACGCACTGCAAAAGATGATGGTGAAGACAGTGACAACTCTAGTGTAGAAGAAGTGATAAGACGCTCCACAAGACGCACAAGGCGGAGGACCGTTGACCCAAACGAAACTCCAGAGGAACGAGCAAAGAGAGAAGTAAGTTTTAGCTCCTTGCGTATGTACCGCGGTATTGTTCACATTGTATCCTTCGACCAGCAAGAGGAAGAGGCTCGCGCTTTGGAAGAAGAAAAGGCTCGACTGGCGGAGATTGAACGAACACGAAAGGCAAACGAACCAAGACATGATGACGTCCCACTCTCAAAGCTTCTTGAGGATGTCGATGCCGAGAAGCGCAGCAGGAAACGTAGGACGACTCGCGGGGTCCAGAGGGAGCTGGAAGATCTCACAGAGGGTAACTCGCTTGAAGCTAGCACAACTGCCAGCGATGCCGGGCCACCTCTTACCGAAGACGCAATGTCGGTCCAGGGTGACGATGAAGCAGCCGAGGACGCAAAAGTTTCTCCAGAAGAGCAGAGTTTACTAAATCTCCTCCGCGACGTCAGCTTGGGAGGACGAGATGCGAGTGGTATGTAGCCTACTCGAGCCCCTAGATTATCTCATGCTGTCTCTAGACGGCGCGAATAAAGCGCAGATCGAAAAGCAAAAGCTAAAATCAGAGATGACGAAGATGCGGGTAGTTGCACGCGCCAAAGTTACCAATGACCGAGTATATTCTATGGAGTATCACCCGGATAAGGTGAGGAAATTCCTATTACAAGACTACGGCTCATGCGTCTCTAGCACAAAGACCTGCTCTTTTACGGCGACAAACACGGTCTATTAGGAATTTGGGATCCACTTGCTCCGACTCCCGACGAACTGGAAGAAGAAGACGAGGAGAAAAAGGCTAGCAGTGATCAAGGTCAATTCTGGCGTCTTCAAGTTCATTGGCCTGCAACCTCGAAAAGCTCCATCAGTTGTGTCAAATTCAGCTCCAACGATGCTCACAGCGTACGTATTATCCGTTGTGTGTTTCATTTGCTCAGCTCCAATCAGGTTTATACTTCATCTTACGACTGCACAATCAGACGCACCGATTTTACGAAGGGAATTTCGACAGAACTCTATGCAATTGACGACGTCCTGATCTCCTCCTTTGACTTCTCGGTGACCTCACCTGGCATCGCCGGTAACGAGCTATGGATATCTGATGCCAAAGGCGGCGTTTCACACCTTGATCTTCGAGCTTCCCGGCATGAGGCTAGAAGGTACCAGCTCAGCGTCAAGGACAAGATTGGGTGCGTAAGCCTCAATCCGGTAGATGGCTGGTCGCTGTTGGCATCAAGTAATGATAGAACTCTCAAGTAAGTGTGAACGGTCTACTCAAACCTCCATCTCATCAAAAATAGACTATGGGACACGCGCCAATTACTCGCAATGCCCAAACCCAAGGCGACTCGTTCATCATCTTTCGATGTAAACGCCGCAATTGTCGAGCCCCTTGAGACGGATTATGATGACGTCTCGGAATGGATGAAGGAAAGCACCTCGAAGAAGGGCTCAAAGTCGCAGTCTACTGGACATACAGGGACACTCCGTGGGCATTGGGCACATGGATTCAGCGTCACAAGTGCATATTGGGATCCATCGGGGACCAAGATTGTGAGCATTTCATATGACGACAAATTACGCCGTACGTTGCCTCCACGCCCACTCTTGATATGCTAACCTTCTCGCAGTTTGGGATCTCCCAAGGAAATATCTACTTCCTGATGAGCCGTTGAAAAGCTTTAGGCCGGCCGTCCAGATTGAGCACGATTGCCAAACGGTTAGTGTCTAGCTCAAGTATGTGATTAGGAGCTGAAGGTCACTTCCATAGGGGCGATGGGTGACACCTCTCAAGGCGAGGTGGAGTCAGAACTCGGAAGCGTATCCCTATTTCTCAGTGGGTGACATGAAGCACTCCCTCAAACTGTTTGCTGCCGATGGAGAATTGCTTGCTGCCCTCAAAGACTCGGACAAGTTTGTACTCTAAATCCCTTTGGTGCCTGCTCACGTTTGGATTCAGAATCACTGCCGTTCAAGCTGTCACAGCAACTCATCCTGCCTATATCAACCGAGCAGCAAGTGGAAATGCAAGTGGACGATGCGTATTGTGGAGCAGCGAAAAGGTCTGAAGGAGCTTCCCACTATCTTTTAAGCTACAATTGAAATCTTTTATTTGTGTATATTCGATGGAATGATCTATCCTACCTACTTTATGCCAAACACCGCTCGGCCCGTGGACAAACGGCAAAATGTGGACCCAACTCTTCCCGAGCTCTTTCTTGGCCTTGCTGCTGGCCTCTGTCACGGCCGGTTACCATGTAGAGCCAAGGTCTCTCAACCTGTTTTCTGATACAAACCTCGTCTCACTGGCGACGACGCCAGACCCGCGGAAGAATATCGACCCCTACGACCCGCACTCACACTTGTACAATATCCTTATCCCACGACCTCGTATGTGTATCTACTCTCCGTCAACCACCACTCATTCATCATTTTTGCTGCATTTTGTCGACGTTCCCGGCCTTGGCCTCGCCAGCGGACACGGCCAATAATACGCTCGTACGCAACTATATCGCCAAGACGTTACGTGATCTGCAATGGCATGTTGAAGAAGACTCATTCGAGGACGAGACGCCATACGGACGCAAGAAGTTTACAAACATTATTGCAACCAAGGATCCGGACGCGCCGAGGCGCATAATTCTGGCCGCACATTTTGATAGCAAGTTCTTCCCTACAGCACCAGATAATCAAGTGCGTAACTCTCATCTGGTCAGTACTGAAGGTATTCATGGACTGTTGTAGTTTCTGGGGGCAACCGACTCTGCTGCTCCCTGTGCAATGTTGTTGGACCTCGCCGGGGCCTTGAATCCAATGTTAAATGAAAGAATGGAGCGATTGGAGCATGGCCTCGCGGACGATGAAGAGGAAGAGGCAGGGGAGACCACCCTCCAGCTAGTTTTCTTTGATGGGGAAGAGGCGTTCAAAATTTGGACAGCAACAGACTCGATATACGGTGCTCGGTGAGTGTAATTGCCTTGACATCGACACGTAACTCATCCAGAATGCCAGCCACCTAGCGGAGAAGTGGTCTACTGAATTCGTTTCCCCAATCCAAGCCCGCAAGCTCTTCCGGGCCGAGACCCAGATATCAACCATCGAACATTTTGTCCTTCTCGACTTACTGGGTTCTCCCCGACCACTTATCTCTTCTCACTTTCCGTCGACTGCGTGGCTATTCGACGGCCTAGTTCATATCGAACACCGTCTGGGTCGAATCGGAATGTTCAACGAAGACCCGAATGCTAACCCTGGACAATCAGATCCTGACGGCGAGGCTGGCGAGTGGCACGCCTGGAGCAGCTTCTTCGTCCCACGGAGTAGCTATGCGCATAACTGGGGTGGTATTGAGGATGACCATATCCCGTTTATGCAAAGGGGTGTCAACATTCTGCATATAATTGCAACACCATTTCCTCAGGTTTGGCATACGATAAAGGTAGGTTAATTACCTTTCTTCTTTCGGGATCGAATATTTAACACGCGCGATATAGGATGATGCGTCTGCATTGGACATCCCGACGATGAGACGATGGAACATTCTCTTCCGTGTCTTCACCGCCGAATATCTGAGACTGAAGCCGTCCAATTACAATCACAAACGAGATGAACTGGTGCGCTCTATTCCAGACATCTTCAACGACTCACCGACGTTGTCAGTAGCCCAGTCCCTCGTAGCATACATGCCTGTTGGACTCTTAGCACGAGAAGTTTTCAGTCTATTTTTATATATCCAAAATACGACTATTCACAATGACGTCTTCACGTTAACATGCGAGTCTTCTCAGAACTGGTGCACCGGACCACCTAGTGCTCTGGTTAGCAGCTCCAAACTAAGTTTACTTCTTCTCACCTGGCCCGACGTATTTCTGATTGGCGGCATCACCTTGGAACGGACTAAGTGCCGTTACTCAGACAAGGTATGTCGTTCAATCGCTGGACTTACTTGAAGTAGATACCTGGGTCTGTCGCAGAGTACGCACCTATCACATATCATCAGAGTTTACACCCAAGCTGTTGCAGGTGTGTACCAGGAAAAGCTAGATCGCTCGGTGACGCTGAGCCTCCACGGGTAACTATATTTGTAGTCAGTACGACTTCAATCAGCAAATCATTGATGCTATTACCAATGAGTTGAACTGTAGCGTGGATGTGCGTCAACGGATGAGACATTGATCCTGAGTTATATGGAATACGCACTGTAAACGGGACTATTAACTGCATGAGTCTTTGAAAGGACTTAAATTGTCTCGACGTACTAGAACTGCGCGCCTCCAACTGACGTTGCGCCATGCAGGGCCAGAAGCTCACTGGATTGGATGAAAGCAGCCCAACTATGATAACAGCCACTTACTGGCGAAGGAGATACTCTCCGGCAGCTAGCTTGCTAGGGATGGTAACGGAAGCTGTAAAGTTATTGGCCACGAGCTGCCGTTAGGATCTCAGTAGTGGTTAGGATGGTCAGCAAGCCTGTGTAGCAATATCAAGCGTACATACCCAATTGTGTTAATCAGGCCAAGTGTTCCAATGAACTTGAATGGTGCTCCCAGCAGCAACAGTGAGCGACTGCCCGGCTGGGAGATAATCATTGCCTACGGAGCAAGTAATCTGAGAAGAGGATGGGTTGGAGATGAACCCAGAGTCTTTGGGAGTTCGGCGAACAGGACGAGCAGGCTGTATAAATGTGAATAAGCGGACGTAGGAGCCGACTAGCCCCTACAGTTGGAGTGGAGTACCATCCCATCCCGTGTACCAGTTACTACCAATTTGAATACTGTTACGGGTAAGCATGGTTGAAGCTGAATCATCATTTCTGACTGTGGAACGTAGCCGTGGGCAGTAATGTGCGTTACGGTTAGGGCGAGAACGGCTACAAGATATAGCATAGCTCGGAGGACCAGTCTCTCTGACTCTTCATAGCCTACCTATTTATGGTTCATTGCAATTCAGTCCAGCATAAAATGACATAGAACGCCATTCTCTTCAAGGGATTTCGGGGATATTGAGACCGATTATGGTCCGTAGATCACATGCTAGGCCCTCTCTACGAGTCGTAAAGGCCGTAATTGTTCCCGTGGAGCTCCCAAGCCAGCGAGGATCCACCAAACCGCCAGTCGTTCGGATTGATCCGTCCATCCGGGTAATAATCATAGGAAAAGCACAAGAGAAGTCAGTATTCGAGTCTGATACTCTATCCATTGCTTGAGGACTTTGGTCGTGGGTTCTGGACATAGGAGAGTTCAAGGTGCTCCCAACTTGACCGCCACTGTTGCCGAGACTTTGGGCTTTGGGTCCTATGTCGCTCGTTCAAAGATGGCTCAGAGAAGCTTCACAGCCTTACGCACATTCGAATCTGGTTTATAACGATGTAGAGAACGCGCGGGCGTCTCACGAGACGATGCGACTAAAGACCGACGTGTACAGTAAGGAATAATCAGATTCACTGCCGAAATGGTTCTCAACTACCGAATAGCATATGATGACGGAAGAGTAGAACTCTTGATCTGCGTTCACGGCCTGCTACCAATCTCCTTCAGAGGCGCTTCGTACAACATCCCGATTGCTGTATGGCTACCTCAAGATTATCCGAAATCACCCCCAATGGTTTATGTTGTCCCGACGAGTGATATGCTGGTCAAGGCAAGCAAGGCTGTAGACCCCAGCGGCCGATGTACATTTCCGTATATGGAAGCATGGGAGCGAAAAAGCGAGGTAAAATTAGTGCAATTACCTCGATCTAGAACTGATTTTTGGCAGGGTTGCAACCTCAGAGAGCTTTTGGACATTATGCAAGAACATTTCTCTCGCGAGCCTCCGCTCTATGCCAAGCCCAGCAAGGCTACCACTCCAGTTATATCCCAGCAACCTATCGTACAGCAACCTACGCGGACAACGTCGCATCCTACGCCGCCCCCACGGCCAACTTCTCAATACGGGGACGCTCCCGCACGGCCTGTCTCAGTAGCTGAGAGCGGCGGTAGCATGTCTCCCTATCGATCACCACCGCCCATCCCTCCAGTGGCCGGCTTCTCACCTCCTGCACCTCCGCGTACACTAACACCTCAACAACATGGGCGAAATGCATCGTTGGGCCATATTCCCCAACCAATATCTCCTCCACCTCGTCCATATGAGCCTACGCAGCGCATCGTGCCTGGTCCTGTCTCACGCCAGTCTTTGCCCTCGGTTGCCTCACCACTGCCACCTCCCGCACATATCCTACCGCAACAGGCCTGGCAGCCTAATGTCTCGCCTCCACCGGCTCCACCCCATAATGTGGCTCCTATCTCTCCACCTTTGTCCCAAGGATCACTACCACCACAAGTCTCATATCAAAGTACAGATATTGCCCCACAATACGTCTCACCCCCTGTCCTTGCGCCCTCGATGATCCCTAATCCTGTGATGGCTCCGGTACCTCCGATTGTGACACCAATTCGGAACCTCATGGACGAGGACGATGCGCCAGCACCAGTCCAGCATCAAGCACCTGCGCCACCGGTGATCGAAGCCGCTGCACCCCCGCGGCCAATAAACCCTCAAATATTGAGTCTGCATGCACAAGTACATGATAAACTTACCCAAGAGTTGAACAAGTTTACAACATCAATCGCACAAGACTCAGGAGGACCGAGAGCTGCCCAGAATGACTTGCTCGCTGGTGAGCCTGCGATCAAGGATGAAATGGCACGTTTGCAGTCTGTGAGAAATGTCTGTAGGACGGTTGCCGGACGACTCGCCGGCACCGTTCAGGCGGCTGAGAGCGCAGTGACCGAGCTGAAGCGGAAAGGCGATCCAGAAGTGGACGAGATCGTTTGCGCTACTAATATTGTGCATAACCAGTGCGTGCAACTAGTGTGAAATCCTCTTTCTGACGATAGGCAGGCTCATCAATCTCATTGCCGAAGACCATGCTATTGAGGATACACTTTATCACCTATCCCGAGCCTTGAACAATGGACGCCTTGACCTCGACAAATTCTTAAAGGTACGTTATGAATGCTCAGTGGCTATCATCTCACACATCTCAGACGACTACACGGCTTGCCGAAGAGCAGTTTATGAAACGTGCACTGATCGAAAAGATTGTAACTCAGATGCCGATAGGCATGCGTATGCTCTGAACACCATGTATTCAAGCCTTTTGCTGTAACAATGCATTCCGTGTCGTAGGCGTACATCCGTCACGTTTCAGCAACCAAAAAGAACACGAGTCCGGCTCATTGCCGTGAAGAACCAAGTAGATAAATAATGAGCAAGTTGGCGCCCTACTCTGATGGGATTGGGACTTGGGCCGAATGCTGGCCGGGGTGCGCCTCGTCATCACGGTAAGCTTCCTTCAGCTTGTCGATATCCATTTCTCTTCGCTTCTGTTCACCGCGGAAGCCGAGGAGGAAAACGAATGCGGTCGCGGCGATGGTAGATCCGTTGAATATCAAAGCTTGTGTCATATTCTCTAAACACCATGGCCAGTCGTTAGTTTCCGCTAGCAATCAATAGATGAACAAAACTGACCTGGAGGGTTAGCGTCGGGACCTGCTCGAAGGGCATCTTCGACCAGAATCCAGATAAAGTTTATAAAGTTGACACTAACGTGAGGTGTAAGTATTCAGCCTTGTCACACTGAGAAGTTGGAATACATACTTGAGCCAGAGCAGGCCACACGAGCCCTCGGCATTTCTCGTAACCTCTGCACCAAGTTCTAATCCGATTGGGAGTAACAAGAAGGAGCAGATGCCAATGATTGCCATCGTCGCAAAGATGGCACCGTCATTGTTGGGCTTGACGTTCCAGATTTGCGCAATCCAGCAGGCAGAGATAATCGGGAGGAATATGCGAACAGCCCAGGGGAGCCTCTTTCCAAACACACGACCGAGAACAGGCGCCCCTGTAATCGCAGCAACAATGCCTGCAAGCAGGATCGTTGCAGAGAATAGACCGACTGGGACAAGGTTAGTATCAAGGTGAACACGAAACGACTCTGCTTGCCTCGAGTCTCTGTGTAGCCATAAGGACCAAACTAAGGAAGATGTGAGCCTCGCGGTCTTAATTATAGATTAGGACGTACGACTTGGTTGGCAAAATTGGACCAAGATGTCGTCGCGGCACAGAACACACCAAATACCATGAAAATGAGGGCAAAATCGATTCTGTCGCGTCGATCCATGTATTGCGAACTCTCTACGGGCTCCTTTCCGAACAAAGCACGTAGCAGACTCTTCATGCCAGGCGACTTGGTCGAGCCGGCAAACGTTGGAGCTGTGGGAGGATGTTCCTGGATGAGGAAGCCGGCTGGGAAGACGGCGGTTGCAACAAAGGCACCAATCAAAATCTAAAACGAGTTGAACAGCGACGAGGGTGAGAATAAGATAGTACGTACTGCCCACTTGACGTTGGCAGCCTGTGGAAGAACCAGAGAGCCAATGGCGCCTCCCAAGGGATTGGCTGTGGTCATTGTAAGCCCTAGATATAGATTCTATAAGGTCTGTACTGACAGATATTTGTCAACATTGTCGCGACCACTCGGGTACGGACGTCGAACCAGAGCTCAGAGTAGCGAACGGTGATGATTTGGCAAGAGCCTTGAGCAAAGCCGATGAAAACTTGTGCGATCATGAGGATTGCATATCGACCGTCCGGAGATAGCTTTGGAGAAATGGCTGCAACACGGATCCAGTTGGCCAACAGCAACTGGACACCTCCAAGCAGAAGCTAGAAGCCGTCGGCAAATGCGAACAAAAGAGGGTCGAGGAACTCACTGTCTTTCTGATCCCCACTTTCTTGGTTATGTGAACGGTTAGGAAAGTTACTGATCCGGATTTAGCCTGAAACAACAAAGATGGCTGGGCGCGGCTTACCTGGAACGTAGACGAGATTGACAATATTGCTATTGATGATCAGAATCATCAAAGAGTTTCCTAGACTGAAATTACCTCGTCCAGTTTATTTTGGTGAGTGAAATGTGCCATTCCTCGTTGACTGTCGACTTGGTTAGCCGGTGGGGCCCCTAGAATATGGGTGGATACTAACGAGAGCTGGGCCGTGGTCAGCATGGGATAGTAGATGCGAATGATATAGATATCTTACGTGGTGATTGGACCAAAGAATTGGCCGTTCATGCCACAGACGACATTAAAAAGAACCTAGAAGCAGGAGAGAATTCTTAGCATCCACAAAAGCGAATCAAATATAGGCGTACGAGAGTAATAATACCGAGCCATCTTCGTTTGTAGAGCCTGTAGACGACTGGAGTCGCGAGCGGTTCGACGTTTGCGGTTCCAGGAGATTGGTCAACCTCGAGAGTGTCTACGGCCTGCTTGTCGACCGAGACCTTGTCGAAGCTGAGCTCTTGGGACATAGATAAATCGTCGCGGACGGTTATTCAAGAGATGGGAGGGACCAAGAGATGGCGTCCCCTCGTGCCGTTGTTACCGGTCTACGAAAAGCTTCATCTGCTTCTGTGAGCCCGTCTCCTGGATGCCCATGCTGTCTCGATCTGTATCGTGCGACGGCGGCCAAAGAGCAAGGCACTGAGTAAACGCGGGAAATTCGCAGAGGTCCAACACGTTCGGCCGGCAGACTCGGAACAGATAGGAAAATATCCTAGATTTATTGATTCAACACGGATATCGTCGACGCGCTCCTCCGGGAGTTGGCTACAATGGTGGTTGTGGTCAAGCAGCACTACGTACGTTGAACCACAACCGTAACCGTCTATGCCAGCCAAAACAGCCAACCCAAAAGGTGAAACACCCGTGGTTTACCTACTAAGCATGCCCATCAAAGCCTAATTGTGTTTTCAGGTTCGCGTCGTGTCACAATCGCAACGCAAGACGCCCAGGGCATGTCCAAAGGCACCGGGAAGAAGCACAAAGGTCGCTTCTCTGAGTCTAAACTACTCGGATCACAACCAAAGGACGGCGACGCCAGCGGCAGTGACCAGGACGAAAGTGGCGACGAAGCTACCAATGGCCCAGACTCAAACATGTTCATCATGTCTGCTATATTCGCTGCCTTTTCTGATACTTCTACAGGCTCCGCAAGTTTGTCGAGAAGCAGCTCGGTCAGTAGGCCTAACAACACTTTCCGCCTGGTCGAACGCATCATTAGCATCCGGAAAGAATGCAAGTGCAAGGGAAACCAAGTTGGAAAGCGAAATAAAGACCCTTTTTGGAGATGCACGCGCCGCCTCGGCGGAAAGAAAGACAGCGTGTGCTGCATATCTGTATGCTACACCCAAGGAGGCTTATATTCGTTGACGTGGTCTCTACAGTGATAATATGCTTATGAGCATCGAAAGCACTCTACAGACTGAGCAAGAACCCGACTGTGAGGAAATCCTCAAGTTGCTAGGTGCTCGCGCGGTTCGAATCTTCTTGACCGCGTGATAAACGTTGCTCTAACATTAGGAAGAAATATGCAGCCAAGGTGACGTCGAAACTGGAAGCATTGCCGCCTATCAACGGCCAGCTGGATATGGCAACAAAGCAAGCCAACGACCACCGTTCGTCCTGCTCAGATCCAGCGCCAGGTCTATCTGACCACTTTTAGTAAAAGATCGTCAGGGACTTCGCGCTCGGTCGCGCAAGCGGCTCATCAAGCACGCACAGAGGGACTATGAGCGCGCCCTGGAGATGCAGAAGGTGCCGAGATTCTTGCCGTCCCACGCTCTCCTCTCTGACAGACACCCGCTCTCCTGAAGCTTGCTACGGACGCAAACGCGTACATCAAACACTATAAGAGGCTCATCGTTCTCTGATGGTAGAGATAGCCGCCACGTCTAGCTCCTTTCGTGTATCACCAGCTGATGAGAAATAGAGGGCACCGTTTGGCGCAACAATGGGGACTTCTGATCCGCGTTAGAGAGAAACGCAACGGACAGACGGAGGTTGCCTCGACCGCGGAGGCCAACGTTTGAGCCCATGCTGGGCTTCTGGAAAGCGTGCAAGGCGCTGTAGCTAATAGTTTTCGAGCAGATGGACTCATGAGAAATACAAGAAGGGGACAGCCTCGGCCATAACGCAAGCCACAATCGGTAGCTCTTCATTCCAACGCCATGCCCAAAAGCAGAACGGAGGCTTATACTAGGCACACGGCCTGTCAAATCCATGAAAGCGTATTCAATTGCCACGTTTTTCCCTCATGGCAAGGATAAAGACCCATCGTCAACTCAGCTCCCAGGCCCTCACTCGCGTTTCCCCCCACCCTCCGACTGGTCGAACCCGTCCGCTGACCATGTCACTCCCTCTACTCATTGCTGCGGCGATTCCAGTCGCTATCATCGCTCTCGTGATCAAGACCTGGTGGGATCGTCGTTTCCTGCTCAAAAACGTCGCTGCGCCGGTGAGTTCAGGCCGCAACCTCCCCCGTTTAAAGCGACCACCGCTGACGACCGGATGCTATCTGCCTAGGCCAACGCCTCGCTCATCTGGGGACACGAAAAGACAGAGTTTGAAGACAATCAAGGTTGGCAATGGCGAGCTTGGTTCAAGGAGTGCGGTAAAGCCTTCAAGATCAAGGGAGCGTGGGGACACCCTGACATCGTGCGCATGTTTCACATAACTAACACCTACAATATTAACGTGTTTTGCGTCCGGGTAGCTTGTTGTTGGCGACACCGTTGCCCTCTCACACATCTATGCGAAGGTGTGTCTCCCGTTTGATCCGCTGTGGTTCCTGTCTCACCGTGGGACAGAACACGTACAATTATCCTCACTCACCCGTCTTTATTCCTTTGATTGAGCGGTCGGTAATACTTAGTCAAGACTTTCTACTTGCTGAACGTCAAACAGCTTAACGGGACGATCACTGATTTGGGTTGAAGGCGAGCGTGCCCATAAAAAGGTGCGAATCCCCTTTGTGGTTTCTCCGCACACAGTTTTTCATTATTCCGTGATAGATGCGCGCCATGATTGCGCCAGCCTTTTCGGTTGAAAATGTCCGGAAGATGGGAGGCGACATCTACCATGTCGCCAACACGTTGAGCAACAAACTCTCGAACGATATCCTCAGCAACAATGGTTCAGTGGTCGTCGACGCAACAGAGCTCGCCGCCCCGGCTACTTTGGACGTTATTGGTCGTGTCGCCCTCGGCCACGACTTTGGTGCTGTCAATGGCAGCGCAGAAGGTGTCAAGATCACCCAAAGTTGGAGAGCACAGAATCAAATGGGACAGGAAGCCGATGGGTTCACTGCAATGCTCGTTCTTCGCCTCTTCCCTTGGATCACCTCGCTTCCGCTTGAAGCCATCAAGGCTCAAGGTGCCGTTGCTGAGCGCATCCGGGAGATTGCCAAGGCTATTGTCTCAAATGGTCAGATTGAGAAGGGTGGCAAGGACCTAATGTCTATTCTCCGTATGTCATTCCCTCCTGATCCGTGATTTCCTGCTGAACATTGTCCAGTCCGTGCAAATGCCAATGAAGATCCCAACAAGCGTGTCGACCTTGCTCAAATTTATGATCATGTTGTCACATTTATCGTCGCCGGCCACGAAACAACTGCGGGTGTCACTGCCTTCACCCTCTGGACACTTGCTACTCACCCTGAAATTCAAAATGCCCTTCGTGACGAGCTCCTTGCGTTCCCTGGCGAACCCACGTATGACGACTTTGCCAACCTCGACACGTTCCCTCTTCTTGATGCCGTTTGCAAGGAAAAGTGAGTGATTTGCCACAGTCCCTTGACAAAACCTGAGACTTTCTTCACAGTCTCCGCATGTTCCCGGCTTCTGCTCGTAATGAAAAGGTTGCTGAAAACGACGACATCCTGCCCCTTCGTGAACCGATCAAGGGCGCTGATGGTTCTTGGATCAAGAGCATTCCAGTCAAGAAGGGACAAGTAATTCACATTCCTTCCATCGGCATCAACCGTGACGAGGACGTTTGGGGAGATGCTGATGTGTTCCGACCAAGCCGTTGGCTCGTTGGCCGTCCTGGCTGCGAGAAGTACTGCAAGCCCGGAGAACAAGGTCTCAAACCCGCCGACGAAATGTGCGGCGGCTGGGCTGGTATCTTCACCTTCTCCGAAGGGCCTCGCGCGTGTGTCGGCATGCGGCTCGCTCTCTTCGAGTACAAAGTGCTCATCTACACCCTCGTCAAGCACCTCGTCTTTGAAGACACTGGTGCGAAGATCATGACGAGATTTGGAGCTACCCTTGCTCCCCGCGTCGTTGGCCAAGAGGCCGATGGCATCAAACTCCCCGTCAAGATTAGTCTCGCGTAGAAAACGGTACTCAATTCGTCTGCGCACTCTCTTCGTGTCTCGTCCTGGCTGTCTTGTAGACTTAACGACCCTCGTCTCATAACCTTATCCCTAATTGCCGCCCTTTCCCGCCACCGCTCACCTCTTCAGACGAGAGGCGTATCATACTATGTATGTGTGTTTGAAATAGGCATACCCATAAACTTCCCCTCGTCCCATGAGATGATTGTCGGTGACAATTTCATGCACTGATGTAAGTTCGACTCCTCCGCGACTCGCGCCTATCGTTTGCCCCGCTTTATTCTACACTGCTATAATATTCAAAGCTACACTTCAAAGCTCTACACGTAATGTCTCCCAGCATAGTCCAACTTCCATTCATAAACGTACTTGTTCCTGTTCGGCTTACCTTCTCCTTCGGAGTCCTCGTTGTCAGTATTAAAGCAAATGTTGACAAGACTCTTGACGGGCGTGAATGGGAGTCTATGCTCAGTCACAATGTGCTACTCGCCTGTGGCATCTGCAACTTGGTGTGCGCTTTTGTCTCGCTTTTCCTCGCCTACATCAGAGACGAAAAGCAACTTCCTCCTCAAACTCGTTGGGAATGTGCGCTCTATGGTCTCATCACGCGTCTCGTCCTCTTGCCCTTATGCATCACAACTACCGTCTTGGTGGCGCTCGAGGCCACCAACTTTTCCGGTGTCGAGTTGGCGTGGGCAGAGTATACACTCGCATTACTTTCGTACGTTGCCAGTATTCACACTTGCTTGCCTAGCTCGTTAATAGCGTATCTAGGGTGACATTAATTGTGGGCCTGGGTCGCAAGATTCATGCTATGCGAGAAGCAAACGTAGCAGGAGAGCAAGAAGTGCAGAGAATACTCAAGAACATGAGAAGGTTGTCCAGTTGTACCACTGCAGTCTCAACGCCGCAGGTTCTACCGCATATCATTCGCAATTCGCCTGAAGGTGACATCGAATCTCTATATCTCGCAGAACCTCTCGGCAATGAAAAGGCGCCTACTGTCTCTACGCTCACCTTTGAGGATTCTCGTGGTGGCGAGTAAGCAGCGGAGAAGGGAGTCGCATACTATACAGGATCGTGTTTCTAAGGTATCATAAACGTGAATTCATCTCACTTTTGGACCAGTAACCTACTTCAGTACAGCTCAACAATCGCCATATGGTGCACTGGCCACGTCTTTTCCTCCCCTTGTCGACGATGCCTCACGCCGATTCCAGTCTTGTGCCTTCGGGATTATCCAAGTCACAGTTTTGGGAGCACTTACATGGACAAGTAGTCAGTCTATTAGAGGGTCAGACTTCATGGGTATGGACACGCGCAGGGTAGCTGCCCTCAAACTTATCACTAATAGGTGTCCAATCTATCCAACGTATCATCTATCGTATATCATTCTCTTATGGCCTATGAGAAGTTTTCAATGACAGACACTGGCCCCGTTGTGAATTGGTGCGGTCAGTCAGCTGGCTCTGCTGTAGAGTCGATCTATTTACTTTATTCACAGGCTTCTACCTGGACTCGTGTCTATTCCCCCCAAACTCGAAGCTGCCAACTGATGCCACCGAGGATGGACCAAAGACGCTGCTGCTCGGACCCTTTTGCGGGAAGCCGGCGTGCCAATTCATTCGAGTCAAAGAGGGTGGAGGGGTTTGTGCAGATGGTTATCATTTTCGTGAAACCCTCGTCGTCCCAGATGTCGATGCGTATCCAGGGCATATTGCGTGCGACGGCGACACCCGCTCGGAGATTGTGCTTCCTATGAAATTGCCAGGAAATAGTGGAGATATCATACTTGGTGTGATGGATCTGGACTCGGTCGTGCTCGCTGCCTTTGCAGACGAAGACGCCAAGGGTTTGCAGCGTATCGTCGACACAACTGTAGCAATGTCCAAATGGTAGAATTGTGCCATTACTCTTTTCCATATCTTGTACTCGGTGGCCATGTGGTAAAGGCACTAATACGACTTGGACTCGCCCTTCGTCTTTGTTGCGCAAGTTTGAACGAAGGCGCGCAAATGGCAGGAATCTGTCGTGTGAGGCTCGCTGAAGAGCGTAAAGCATGGCGAAAGGACCATCCATTCGTGAGTCTAGGGAGAGCTATTGCAAATGCCTTGACGGCTCGTGCTTACCTCGTGCAAAGGGCTTCTACGCTCGACCTCTGAAGGCAGCTGATGGATCTCTGAACCTCATGGAATGGGAAGTAGGCATTCCTGGCAAAGCCGGGGTAAGTCTTTGTAGCTCTCGAGCGAGGCCAGGTTGCTCATCTTTTAGACGCTATGGGAGAATGGACTCTACAAAATGGTGATGAGTTTTCCTGAAGGTCTGTAGTCATCCTCGAGCACGTATTTGCCATCTAAGCACATTCAATTTCAGAATATCCTTCGAAGCCTCCAAAGTGTTGGTTGCCTATTGAACAAATGGATAAATCCTGACGAGTTCCAGGCAAATTCACACCGCCTCTGTTCCATCCAAACATCTATCCAAGGTGAGCCCACGTTTCTTCTCGAGGCGCCTCTCATAGCGAGTAGTGGGACGGTTTGTCTATCGATTCTAGACGAAGAAAAGGCGTGGAAGCCTGGAATCACCATCAAGCAAGTGCGTCTAGAGCTTAGCAATCGCTGGTCGAGACTGACATGCACATTTCCAGATTCTGCTCGGTGTGCAAGACCTGTTAACAGACCCAAACGTCAATGATCCTGCGCAGAGTGATGCTTATACTATGTTCAAGTCAGTACTCCCCTCCCTCTGCGAATTCTAATCTGATACGCGTTGTTCACAGGAATGACCGTAACGCATACGAGTAAGTACAAGCTAATGACCCTCTATGCATCACTCTGACTTCTCCAGTCGCCGCATTCGCCAGCAAGCCAAGGAGAATATTCCGAAATAATAGGGTCATTGCGCGATTGCACCCTCCATACTGTTTATAATTGGAATAAATGGGTTTTTCGTATCGTCGATCTCGAACGAGACCTCGAGGTTTGCCCTGTGCAAGGCAGACGGCGTAAAAGGCTGCATTACGGCAGGGGTAGGTATTGATCCCTTAGCCATCGCTTTTCTGCTCGTTTCTGAAGGATATATCACAAGGCTGAACGAATGCGGCAGGCCGGACCCGTTCGCCTCTCCAATGCCTCGTGCCCTCACTGAACCAACTCTGACCTCCCCTCATCTAAGCCCAATCCCTGAAGCCTCAAATACCGTTCATTGAGGCCTGAACGGCCGTTACGAACAATTTCTGACGCCCGACACGTTTCCATTATGAGTTCAAGCGACCTAGTTGCCAATAATCTTCACCACCCACGGCCGACCGTCGCACGAAATGGCCCGTCTGCTCCTGCAGTATCTTACTTGACTCAGCCAAGTATCCGATATCCAACTTCGCCTGTTCAGCGGCCTCCGGTGCCCGCACCAGTTTCACCAGAAATTCGTCCAGCGCTCCATAACCACTCTTACCCGAATAATGTTGGCGCTCAGGGACACTGGAATGGGCAGCCCGTTCCCGAGAGATACGACTCGACGAGTCCGACCCTGACTCGCCGCTCGGGCAAGTCGTCGGACGCCACGAGCCCAACGTACACCGACGAACATGTCATTCAACATCACAATGTTCTCCCGCATCCTATCAGACCTGCGGTGCTTCGGGGACGGTCTGCCAGTAGCCCCGAGTACCTCAAAACCACTGGCGGCGCCTATCAGTCGGATAACCCCGTTATCGCTCCTCCAGTTCCAGTCGCACCTCTTCCAGTGATCGCACCGGTACAGAAGCCTACACGTCAGGGTAGCGGTGGTGTGCATTTTACGCCCGGTTCGTCTCATTTCCACTTTGTAGATCCCGACTAACAAATCGTTTAGATAATTTATTCCTATCAATTGATTCAAGCAACATACTAAAGATATATAATTTGACTCCTTCGAACAATGGTCCTAACGTTCTGATGCAAACAATCCGAGAGCAATCATTGACTTCTTGGGCTCCCGGCGTTGCTTCTGACGATGAGGGTCGCGGGGAGTGGACTATCCGCTTTAATGGAAAGATCTGGTCCATAAAAGGGGCCCCAAGCATTGCGTAAGGTGCACCATCTCATGTAGATTGCTACTGAGACCAATGTGTAGCGCACATCGAATGATAGCTAGCATGTTTGCCGTCTTTGCGTCGCAGGTACATACCACTCACTATTTAATACTTGATCTCACAGACTTCCAGGGCTACTCTTATCTGTGTTCGATACATAATACGCAGTGGGTAAGGGGTCGCATCCATCACGGTTGGCCCGAGTACTAACATCTCGGACAGAGAAAGACGCCCCGCCATCTCTTCACTTCATCTCCACCCTCATCTCCTCATTTCTTTACACTGTCCTTTTCTCTCAATAAACATAAACTTACTTTTGTGGATATACCCACGGACCTCAACGTCGCTGTATCGAACACTCTCAAGCATTCCACTTTGTACGATGTGGAAGAGGTTGAAGACGAGGCGATGCAGCAGATGCATACCCGACCTACAGAGGCGGAGGAAACAGACGAAGACGAAGACGAGAAACACCAGATTCACGTCTATCACTTGACCAAACGGGTCAAGGTATCGCGATCAAAGCATGACCGTACGTCGATTCCTTTTTGATCTTCTAATTGCAGACTGAACACGTCTTTAGCGCAACTGTTCCTGACGCGGAATGCAGAGGCGGATATGCTCATGCTGACATCGCAGCTGCTCAAAATCATCGCTTCTTTTGGGTATCGGTAGGTTGATCTGGAAATCTCGAGAGATTCTTACAGTTTGGTAGATTGGACGCCGCTGTACCATTGGGTCCAGTAGGTCTCTTCGGGCTCAAAGGTCGGCGAGAGCTGTGGGTCTTCAAGTCTATGGCATGGAAACCCAGCGAAGACACAAGGCAGTGACTCTCGAGTCGGACTACATCATTTCTTGACATGGTTTTCTTGGGTGTACGTTAAAATAATTGTATGCCACTATAGTATGTAAATGCAATAACGAAGTATGCGAAACAGTAGATGAGGGACAAACTGCTACCCGAAAATGAAGGCGAGGAGGCGATCTACTTAGTAGCATCCAGAATGGCATCGTCCGGCGTGAAACTACTGATGTCTAAACGTCCATCCAGACTCAAGACACGTAATTGCCCTGCATGTACTCTTAGTTCGAATGGTTCGAACGGGTAACCCTCCCCATCAACCGTAAAGTTTCCCTTGCCCGTGGGCTTGACGCGGTAGCCGCTGACTTTGAAGTAATGTTGCTATTGCGTAGTCAGAATATGGGAGGTGAAAATATCTGATGGAGCTCACAGAATCTATCCAGTATGCCTCTCCCTTCTCTGCGCCCACCGTTGCCTTGAGCATAATTGCTCGAGGAGCCTAATAAGAGTCAGCGGAGCCACTGGAAGGGTAAATCAAATCATACACGGGACTGTATGACCAGGTCAATGCATCCGTCTGATGGATTGGCCACTGGGAACTGCATGAGATCCCGAGAAACATAAGGAAGGCCTCCAGCGCTGTACGGGTATCAGCTATGATCACAAGTCAACGTACCATACTTACTAGTAGTACATGACTGGCTTTTCGAACTTTGTCCAGCCATCGGTACCTTCTGGCTCATCGTCGTCTGCGTGCCATGGTAGCTTGTGATTTTCGTCGTGCATATCTTCATCTTCATGAAAGTGTGTTTCATGTACACTTGTCTTGGCGCTTGCCGCCATTTGGACTTTGTCACTTTGGACGAGTCGATACTCTATCTCAACTGGGCAAATCTTCTTAGAGACCACTGAAAGGGATTAGTATGTGCAAATAGAAGTGTATCGAGCATACCTCCTCTCAGGTATCCCAGAACAAAGCGAGTGTCTCCCATCCACCGAAGGTGTTCGGTACCTAGGTCAAGGTCTGCCATTAGTCCACCAGCCTGAGTGAGAAACGAGAAGTATTTCTTGTCTCCTTGCTTGATGGAGTAGATTGGCAGCTTCATAGGACGCCCTAGGATGAATGAGTTTGGCTATACAGTGAGGAAAGACGTACCCTTGATGGCATTCAGGCAGCATTTACCAATGTCAAATGCGTCCTATCCATCGTCAGAGGTCTCTTTTCGAGTTTGGGTGCTCACTTTTGGTCCCAAGATGTTGACACAAACCGCATTCGCGGAACCGGTCGAGATTTGGGCAACTGGGATACGCAACGCTCGCGCCGCCTGCTCGTGTTTTGCGAGTCCGTTGACCACCTCATGAATGCCACCGTCTCCCGAGAGAACCACGATCGCGTCCACGTCTAGATCGACTTTTTGTGCTAGCTCGACCATATGGCCTTGATACGCAGTCGCTATTCGAGACGTGAGAAGAAGTCCGACATACGTTAATCAAACTCGTACAGGTAAACTCGACTTTGCATCGAGCGGCTGCAAATATTGGCTCCACTTCATGCTGATAGATATGCGCGCCTTTGCCCTGTTTTGGATCTGATGAGTGTGGATAACGACCGGACATCGTACGACGCGTACTTTGCCGCCAATTGGATTCAAGAATGCGCGTAATTTGCGATTTCGTTTCAGGCCTGGAAATTCCGGTCGATAGGCACACAACATAGAAGGTTACCGGTCGACATACCTTTGTAGGCCGCGTCTAATAACTTGTCTGCCCATCGCTGAGCCTCTTGCCGTATCTCTTCTGCCTCTTTGTCCTTTTCCTTCTGCGTTTTCGCTTTTGACTTTCTGAGCTCTGCCACGACTGGGTGCAGCGCTAGTTTGCCACTTGTTGGTGCGAGCGTAGTGACCACGACTTGATCCTCATCGTTAAGTTCAACCCACAAAATGTTGATCAGGGGGACCTTAGAAAACGATTTGCCTGGCCGGAAACGCGTTGTCAGCCTTCTTGCCGCGGTCCGTATTCGCGACACGCACTCTGTTTCATAAACCGGAATGCTTCATCGTTATATTCGAGTCTCCCTGAGGCTACTTGAAGGACATGCGGGAAGTCGGTCGACATGGTTGAGGACAAGGTTGTTTCGCGGCCGGCAGTATGCTTGTCAGAGGGTGAGCGCTTGACTGGCAAGCGGAAGAGCGAGAATAACCCAGAGACGGATATAGCTTCTGCTTGGTCATGGCTCCAGCTCGAGTCAGCCCTCTTTTGGACATTATCCACGACGAGCCATGTCAACAGTTCACGACGTAGCAAAAGCTGGATTTGGCACTGGAACGAATGAACTATACGACAGGTACGCCGTCCTCACTGTCAGGTCTACAAGACCTTGATATATCAAACAGAGCACGACCCAGCTATCCGCCTGAGGCTCTGGAGTTTATGAGATCCAATCTATCACAGTCAAAGACTCCACTGAGTGTCGTGGAGATTGGCTCCGGAACGGGCATCTTCACCAGAGCCCTTTTAGCCCATCCTGCCTGGAAAGTTCTCGTCCAAACGCTGCGCGCCGTCGAGCCATCAGAGGGGATGCGCTCAGTATTTCTACAGAAGACTCAGGATCCGCGGGTCTCTTGTGACGAGGGCACATTCACTCAGACAAACGAAAGTGACGAGTCGGCAGACGTCCTCTTTATTGCACAAGTATAAACTCGCCCCGTATAGTTATTCTCACTCAATCTCTACCAGGCATTTCACTGGGCGCATCCAAACTATGATGAGGCAATGAAGGAAATTGCAAGAGTCCTCAAGCCGGATGGAGTGGCATTCTTCATCTGGAACATGGAAGATAGGTAGGGATAGCTCGTGTAATCGGAACGCTTCTCATGGTTCGCAGGCAAACAGGCTGGGTGGCAAAAGTTCGCGATCTCTACGAAGCATACGAAGAGGATACTCCACAATTTCGCTTGAACAAATGGGAGGCGACATTTCAAACACCTAGTTATCTTTCCCACTTTGATGCACCAGTGCGCTTCGAAACCGAGTGGCATGTGCCCACCACCATTACAGGTGTACAAGAACGTGTGTTAAGCAAGAGCTACATCACACAGATACCTCCAGAAGCAAAGTCCAAGTTGGCTGAGGAAATTGAGGCCACTCTGCGGGAGAGTGAAAAGGCGTGGATTCAGGAAGAGGCAGGGATATTCGAGTACCCATACAAGACCACCGTTATAGCTATGAAGAAGTCGAATTAGCAAGGAATATAGTATTTTATGTCCGAGCCCAAGTGGTAGTGTATACGCGTTCCTCTTCCTCGACCACAATGGAGGTCTCGTTTGCCATCACCGGAAAGGGCTATGTGATTCTCGCAGCGGATCAGAATGCGGCTCGTTCAATCATCAAGATGAAAGCGGACGAAGACAAGATCAAAGCCCTGGGCTCGCACCTCCTGATGGCGTATTCCGGGGAGCCAGGTAAACGGGCACCTCTGTCATTATAAGAACAAACTTTTCAATCAATTCTCCTCTAGGTGACACGGTTCAGTTTGCCGAGTATGTCGAGCGCAACCTGCGACTGCAGCAGATGCGCAATAACCATCCACTCCGCCCACAAGCCGCTGCATCTTGGGTACGAAGATCGATAGCAGACTCACTACGCTCCCGCTCGCCATATGCGGTCAATATTCTACTCGGTGGCTACGACATGGCGAACAAACAGGCCAAACTATACTGGATGGACTACCTTGGCACGCAGGTGGACGTTCCTTTTGCCGCGCATGGTTATGGATCGTATTTCGCTCTCAGCTTGTTGGACAGGTACGCGCGTCGACGCGCCCTTGAGCCATTCTTTTGAGCTGACGCGTCTTTCCAAACCCAATTGTAGATATCACAACCCAGAGGCTTCGCTAGAAGAAGGCCTCGATACTTTGAAGCGCTGCATCAGAGAAGTTCAGAAGCGACTGGTCATTTCTTTCCCCTCGTTCAAGGTCAAAGTCGTCGACGAGGGTGGCGTACGGGAAGTCGAGCTCGATATGACCGTATGAATGAAAAATTAATACAATTTATATCAATCCGCTTCATCCATGTTCGTATTTTCCACGGGATCTCTCTTTCGTTTGTTTGGTTTTGGCTTGGGCCCCCAATTTGGCGTTGGGTTTACCTGATAACGCACAAGCTTGACCTCAGAAGAGCGAGTAAGTGTTCCTGGGTGAGGCTCGAAGCTCACTTTGGCCCTGTGGGGTATTAGAGACGAAAGCTAGGGTGCGGAAAGGAACACACTCTTGCTCTTTTTGCAGGAGGCGACGAGCAATCTGGCCATCCGTAACGTTTTCCATCTTCACAGGGTGCGTCTTGATCCACTCGCGCATCACATCATAAACAAATGAGCGCGGTGCGGTGGTCTTCAAGAACCACCAAGTGCGTGCGATCGTGATACTTGATATCCACCATTCAAGAGTGCAGAACTAATCTATGGTGAGAATAAATAATACGGAGAAGTTAAACGTACGTAATCTCCGCCAACGAGGGGACCTCGCATCTGAAATAGCCCGCAATTTTAGCCGGTGTAAAGAAGAAAGGTACAGGGAGTTCCTAAGCAATGTCAGAAAGCACGAAAGTGATTTGAGTGAACGTGCCTCTGATGCTACTGTCAACATCCCCTTAATCCTAGGGGACGTCCCGTATCGGGACGGGTCTTTCTCGACGTGGGCTAACACTCTCTTCACAAAGTCGACATCGTGAATAGGTGCACTCCTAAGGTTTAAGTGAGATGGGCGTCATTCTACAATCCTCAACCTACCACATCGGACCTGCCATCTGAGAAAATAATGAACGATGATCAGGGGAACGAACGAAACGTACATGAAGAGCAGAATCGCATTCGGGGCACCGTTGCGGAGCGGTAGGCGCAACATGCGTTTTGTAGAAGAGATTGAGTTCAGAAGATGCCTTTCGACCTGGTTCTTCCACTATACGACCCAGCGGTTGCTCGTAATACGCCTGGCACGAGGTGCAAATATAGTAGGTGGCTACTTGACTACTTTGTGTGATGCGTTTTGTGTGATGGTCAACGATGTTTGCTTACCTGGACAATCTCTTGACCTCGATAGGGCTGGTTTTGATCCGAATGAAGAGTCGAACATAGAAGTCAATCGATAGAGAGAGAAGAGGAGTGATGAAGCGTCCGTATCGGGCCGCGGCGGTTGCGATCGAACTGAGCACTAGTCTCAATGACTACATAACGATCTAGTAGGTCCCTTATTTCTTTGAAAGGACTCACAGATTCGTGGCAATATTCTCCCCGTACAGGAACGCCTCCGTAGTTTGCATAGCTAGCAAATGTTAGTGGTAAAAAAGGATGAATGTGGCTTTTACCATTTCTCTGGAAAGTTACCACTCGCGAGTACTGCAAGGTCGGTGCAAGTGACACAAAGAAGACCTGGGTAAGCTTAATAACCGCTGTTTTCAAATGGAGAGCGTAGTACCATCGTCTCGTATACACTGTACCGCTGAATCGATGAATGGCGCTGCCGTGCCGTACGGATCCAAGTCAACGACGTCCACTCGGGATTTTGGCTGACGATGCGAATACATCAGGGCACTGCGAGAGGTCAGTAAGGAACACTCTGCTCGAGAATGCATACCAAGCATCCCCCTCGTTGATTCTGACTTTTGCAGGAGACTGCGTTGATGCATCCCCATCCGTAGGCCCAAGATTGTTGATTTGGACATTTCGACGCATCGCCTCGCACGCCGCTTCCGACAAGTCGTTTGCCAAGACGTATCTAACTCGACCAGATATCAAACTATATCCTAATGATGCTCTTCGTGACGTACTTTACTTGCGGAATCTCCTTTGCGTAGCGAATTGAACGCAGCCCGGTCGCAGAAAGTGCCTCTAGGATTACAATCCCAGAGGGTCGATACTGTGTTCATGTTAGACTATCATAAGTGAGCACACATTCCGTACTTCCTTGGGGGCTGCCTCGCCTTCTGCTGCATCTACTGCACTCATGTCAATCGTGTGGCCCATTCAACTTAAACCGACCTTTTCTGCGCTTTTCTGGTGTTTCCTTTGCGGCTTGTTTCTCCTGGTTCCGAAGCCACCTCTGTTTCTTTTGCTCCTCCTGTTGTTCACCCCACACCTGAATGCATGCGACACTCAGATCTCGATTAAACTCTTGAACTGGGTTCAGAAAGGCATCATTGGAGTCTGGGAGAAGCAAGTGTGCAGAATTTTCCGTGTGCAATCTGAATCCTTTTGGAACGACGATATCTGGCAGCGCCGTCGTGGAACTCATGGTTCGTACAGACGTCTCGAATACGATTATCCTCGATTTGTACGCTGTGGGCTTCAGCAGCCTAGCGAGATATGTCGCCAGTGTTTGGTTTTCTCCAAGTTATGGCTCTTCTCCGCGTTCACAACGTAGCGTGCCACAACGGCGGGAAAACACTCCTAACAGACATATCATTTGATCTCAACGAGGGGGATTGTCTTGTTCTTGTCGGGCGATCGGGAAGTGGGTCAGTCTTTACAATTTCAACCTACAAAACGAGACGAAGACAAAATGTTTTCCAGGAAATCCACTCTGCTCAAATGCATTGCACATCTCAACGTCTACGAAGGAGAAGTTCTCTACCGTGGCAAGTACGTAATTGCCGATTGCAACGACAACTTCTGGACTGAGCGCTGTTCAGGAAACCCATAGACTATGGTATCTCCACATATCGAACTCGTGTACAATACGTTCCCCAACGCGCCTCTCTACTCTCTGGAACGCCCCGTGCGTTTCTCCAAACGGTCCTCTCGTTCAAGTCACGTAGTGGAATGGAGAAATACACCTCGAGCGTCGACGGCCCAATTGAGCTGGCGGAGACTTGGGGTGTCGACAGTTCAGTTTGGGATCGAGCATGGAGCTCGCTCAGTGGCGGAGAAGCACAACGAGTCGCTCTGGCACTCGCAGTCGGACTCCCGACGGCTGAAATTCTTTTGCTTGATGGTACGCATGTACCCTTCGAGTCGCAATGCGTGCTGAGCTTGCATGTAGAACCAACGAGCGCACTCGACGAAGAAACGTCCGAGTTGGTAGAGAAGCATCTCTTGAACCTCCTACGCTCGCAGGGAACTTTGAAGGCCATCATTTGGATCACACATTCGAAAGCTCAAGAACAACGTGTCGGCACACGCCACTTGTCTCTCGAGACTGGTCGCCTTTCACATCACGAAAACGTTTAACGTTCAGTAGCCATGGTTTACCATTGTATTGGAGAGTATGATACAGTAAAGCATTACTTGTCCATCGCGCGAGATTACTCGATGCATGCCTGGGTATAGACTTCAAGAGTCAACTCCATCAAAGAAGAGTCATCAACATAAGGACTGTGGCTGCCATGAGCATGAAGCTTGGTGTGGTGGTCAGAGCGAATGCTCCATTGTTGTTGTCAAACGGTAGGCCTTGGTAGTCGAACGTCACGTTTTGCGGTACCGAAGCGTTGACACAGTCTCCATTGGCAAAGTTGAGGTTTCGAATATCATCCTGTCGTCATCAGTCGAGCGTCAATGGTGGACGCAAAGTACGTACCGTTGTGCGGAAAAACATATACTTTTCCTTTGGTACATCCTTGAAGTTCTTGGTATTGTAAGGGAAGTGGTTGCTGCTATCAGTGGCAGAGGTGTTTCGAATGAGAATGCAGGCTGTAGTGTTTGGAAAGTCGAGCGCCATTTGTGGATAATTGCGCATGATATCTCTGCGCTATGTGTGAATTGACGAAAGGAAGACTCTTCAGCTCACGCACCCATTGCTTGTGTCACCGACAAGGACGATGGAACGGTTTGGGAAGGTATGGAAAAAGCGTTCTAAATTCGTCTTGTTCATGACCGTCAGAAGTGAAGTGGGCAAGAAACAAGAGCAGTCCTACCTTGCGAATTTGGAAGATCTGGTCATAGGTCGTCAAGTTGAGCGGCCTATCATCGAAGGAACCCAAAGGATAGTATTTGTTCAAAAAGTCGACGTATTGTCTTGTAAAAGGTTCAGGAGTAGTTGTCAAGTAGTGGAAATGAAAGTTGGGATTCTGTGGCCAGGTAAGGTGACTATGATATAACCCAATTATGCATACCTGCTGCGCCCATTTGGCATAGACAGACGGCATATCGGACCATGGAGTAAATGGAACGGCAAACGAGTTGTAAAGACCATTTTGAGGGACATAGATCTGAGTGAACCGAAGAATATCGTCCACGTCTGAGAGGATGGTGACGCCCTTTTGGGGAACAAACCAAACCGTCGAATTGCCACCTATTAAGCTATCAATATGAGCCTCGTGCGTATATAGATAACATACTGTTGACATTAACCGTGTACATTGGCCAACTCATGACCGAGTCGTTTGATGGAATCATGTCACTAGTCAGCTGTATGAATGCATCGAATTCTCCTCTGCTGTCTGTCGCGGCTGGAAACTCGATAACGAGCGAGTTGTTGGACACAGGGCTTGTGAGGGTGAAATTTAGTCGTTCATCGTCTTGTGGGAGGGCGAGCATCAATGCGCTCATATTTCGTGATTGACGATGACCGGTCTCGTTGAGCTGTGAGACATCCAGATCGGCAATAAAGACGGAAGAAATGTGGTCTAACACGCTGTCGTTTGCTGGAGGCTGCTTATACGCCTGACCATGGATGCGGACGTTCCAACCGTTTCCCGTCCAATTCGCGAACGTTCTGAGGGAAAGAGTTAGGTGCACTCTCGGAAGGAGACGGGTACATACGGAATGTTGAGAACCTCGAGGGGAAGTGCGTCGATAGCCTCGTCGGTGAGGTTAAGTTGCTTCTTGATATCATCTGGACTGGGCAGCCCTTGGAACGCAGGCAACACACCACCAGCAACATCTGTAGGTAGACCGCTAGCGACGCTGGAAGCCCATGAAGATATGTCCCGCTTTTGTGGCAACGTCTTGCTCGGAGCAGGGGTCGGGAGTGGGTTCGGAGCCGCTACAGCGAGATGAAGCTGCAATGCAGCCAAGAGGATAGACGAGAACCAGGATCCTGAGTGCATCTTCGTCTTGAGGCCAGCAAGGATAGAACCGACCGGGGGAGAGGTCCAAGGTTGATTTCGTCGACGGTGACTACGTAAGTTGGCTTTAAAGCCGGATGGATTCATTTGACGTCACATCTCCGGGACCGCCTGCTCTCTGGAGTGGTAGCAACGCAGCGATTCTGATGACGCTGTGTGACATCCCACTCCAATAACTCCGAGACTTAACTATGATTCATCTAGAAATTCATAGAAAATTCACGAATGCGTCTTGGCCGACGTTGATGATGCGTCGAGTTCGTCAGTTCCAAGTTGCACCTACCCACGTCAAGCTGGTCCTTCTTCGTGCGCTCTCGGCCACACATGAAGGTAAATTAAACTATATGCTGTCCTTTAAATAAAAATTCGTTCAGATCGCAGTAGAAGGCTGCTGTCATGGCGAACTTGACCACACCTATGCCGAACTCCAGAGAATCGAAAAAGAAACAAACCAAAAGGCGGATGCTCTCATCATATGCGGAGATTTTCAGGCCATTCGCAATCAAGCAGATCTCCTCTGCATGGCCGTCCCTCCCAAGTATCGTCAGCTAGGACAGTTTCACAAGTATGTGCTTTTGTTGCAATGTCAGCTGATGCTCATTGTCCTATAGATACTATACAGGAGAGAAGACGGCCCCCGTGCTCACACTCGTAGTGGGAGGAAACCACGAAGCCTCCAACTACATGTGGGAGCTCTATCACGGTGGATGGCTTGCGCCGAATATCTACTATCTTGGAGGATCAAACTGTGTCCGTCTCAATGGTGTACGCATTGCTGGTTTCTCTGGGATTTACAACTCGCACCACTACCATCTTGGTCATTTCGAGCGTATTCCATATGATAATTCCACCCTTCGCTCCGTATACCACGTTCGTGCTCACGATGTGTGCAAGCTATCCCTCCTCACGCCTGATGTGGGTATTTGCATCTCGCACGACTGGCCAGAAGGCATCTATGAGCATGGGGACGTCAAAAAACTCATAGCCCAGAAGCCCTTCTTCAAAGCGGACATTCAGAAACACGAACTCGGCAATCCGTACGGTATGGAGCTCTTAAAGAGCCTGAAGCCGCAATGGTGGTTATCTGCACATCTCCACGTTCGATTCGCCGCAGAGGTCGACCACACGGGCGCTGGTGTGACTGGATGGGCTACACCCTCCAAACTTGGCCACTCTTCAAAATCCGCCGGGCAGGGACGTCGGCAGCTCAACAATGACGAGATCATAATGGACGAGGATGATCAAGGAATGGAACAAGGGACATCAGCGCAAACCAAGTCAACAAATACAGATGAGATTGTCATGGATGATGAAGATGAGCCCACGCCTGTTGGTCCTGCAGATGAACCTTCTTCAACAAGTGATTTGAAGCAGCCTGCTGTCTCACCATCTTCGCCAAACGCCCTCACCACGACCAAATTCCTAGCTCTTGATAAATGTGTGCCAAAGCGGAAGTTTCTCGAGGTACTTTTGTATTGTTATATGCTTCATTTATCACTGACGGGGTATAGATCATCGACGTCCCGACACCAGATTCCTCCTCATCCGATACACCCCCCAAACTTACATTTGATTCAGAATGGCTAGCGATAAGCCGAGCCATGCATCCACTTCTTTCCCTAGACCGCCGCTCTGCGGTTCAGCCTCGATTGAGCCTTGCAAAAGGTTGGGTCGAGCGTGAACTGGAATGGGTTCAGGATATGCTCTCTCAACGGCTCAAGTTGACGCATTCTGACAACGGTTCCCCGTCTGCATCAGCTGCTGTTCCGTCGTCATTGTCTCCAGCCTCAAGAGGGCCGCTGCACTTGGAAATTATGAGTGTTCAGCAGTTTGTGATGACCGCGCCTGGGCCAGGAAAGGACGTCAACCCTCGACAGCAACGTAAGATCTCATTTACGTTTGCCTTTCCTTTCCGTTAACGACAAAATTAGCACAATGGTATACGAATCCACAGACAGAGGCTTTTTGCACGTTGATTGGCGTGGACAACAAGGTCAACCCACCGCCCACGGCCTCGAATAATAGACGATGAAAAAAAATTGGGTCAATTTGTATCACTATTCAATACTTTAGGGTACAGTATATACGTTGTATACTGTTTGGATCTAGACTTCTCCGGGCGAACAGGCACGCAGCTGTGCAGCTTCTCGCCGCCGTCCCATTTTCGTAAACGATTCTTCGAGGTTTGAAAGAGCCTGGTGAAGCGTCGGATAACTGCAATGGACAATGAAGTCCGTGAACTGCACGATGTCCTGCTGAACCTCCACCGCCTTTTCAACCTGCCCGAGCGCACATAGCGAGAGCGCGTAGTTTGTTTCTGCCAACAATGTGACTGGGTGATTACTCCCCTGAGTCAGTCGTAATGCCTCGAACGCTGTTTTCCTGAGCGACATCGCTTCTTCATCTTGTCCTAGAGTATCGAGCGTATGAGCAAGATTTGTCATTGACACGAGTGTTTCCACGTGCTGTGGTCCCGCGACAGCCTTCCAGAGTTCCACAGCCTCTCTCTGCAAGGCCAGTGCCTCGTCATGATGGCCAAGCTCGTTGAGTGTATGACCAAGGTTATCCATCACGACAAGAATCGCGGCTTTGTCATTTGGAAAGTATTTTCGGCGAAGCCGCAATGCTTCGGATTCCAATGCTTCTGCGGTGTCATACTGCTCGATCGCCTTGAGCGAGACCGCAAGGTTGGCCATGGAAAGTAGTGTGTCTCGATGGTCTGTACCGAGTGTACGCAAGCGTATTTCGAGAACCTGGCTATCTAGATTGATTGCCTCTTGATGCTTCCCGAGAGAAGCACACGATCTCGCGAGATTGCCCATAGCAAGTACAGTATGAGCATGTTCTTCTCCAAGAAGGGCCTTGCGTGCTTCAAGTACTCTCTTCCGCAGAGCAAATCCATCCTCAAAGTGCCCCCATGACTCAAAAGAGCCAGCAAGGCGCCCCATGACCGCGATGGTGTCGAGATGAGCTTCACCAAAAGTTGAAATGCAGATTCCAAGTGCTTTGTTCAGATAAAGTGCTGCACGATCGCCGTGTCTGCTCTCCTCCATAACCCACGCAAATGCTACCAGATCGCAGACACTGACGATTTTGTCGATTGATGCAGATATAATATGAGGTATGAGGCTACGGTGAAGACTGATATGTCTGTAATACTCGTCGGAAGTCACGCAGGAGGCGAGAAGTCGAACGTTGAGAGAACGTAATGGGTCGTCGGGCGGTATACCAAGTTGCAACCAGGACTGTACCAATATATGCATCGAGTAGAACTTGGCGTTATCCTCGGTGATCGTCAATTGGAGGAGGGAGTATTGAAGACAGGCTTGAATGAGGGCATTGAAGTCAAATTCCGACCACTCTCCTGATGGACACAGGAGAGCCATCAAAGCATTGGCATGTTCAAATTGCGAAGAGTCAATCCCTTGGAATGTGAAGGCGTCATACGCAAAGCGCCTTCTTGCTGCTGTTTCTATCATACTGTAAGATATAGATGATGGTTGAAATAGTGATAGCAGGCGCAGCAATTCTCGAACGTTTCGCGGAAGACGTTCGAGTGACATCTCGATCGTCGCTGCTACGGATTCTTTATAATCCTGAGGAAGATCGAGGCTAGTATTGGAGAGAAGATAATGTCGTCTTTGGCGATATAGATCGAGGTAGGATCCGAGGCAGCGGTGAACTAAGATGTATCCTGCTGCATGTGAACATGCCAGTGGAAGACATCCTAGTTCAGAAGCGATCTGTTGAGCAAGCTTTCGGTTTGATGGGTTTTGCTCGTGAGCCGCCGCAGTCAGGATCAGGGATATCGCCTCTTCCTCGGATAGATCCCCAACCAAATGACTGCTGTTCGGCGCAAGGACGCTGTTTGTAGAGTTTCTTGTCGTGATAATTACATGACCACCGTTAGATTTAGGAATGTAGGGGAAGAGCTTGAGGTTGGGATCATCGGCGTTATCCAAAATCATGAACCAATTGTCCCTCTCCGCCAACCAAGCGAGTGTGTCCTGATATGTCTGTGCCCGATAAGCTACACCTCTGGATCGAATGATGGCTTCGAGATCTGCTTCGAGTCTCCCCTTTGAGCGTGCATCGACAAAATATACCACGCCAGTGGGAAAGCTAGAAAGCAATATTCAGGAGCGATATATAGGAGCGAACCTTCTCACCGGGATTCGTATTCAAGGGCAAATCGGAGTGCCAACTGGGTTTTGCCGCTCCCTCCTAGTCCTACTAAGACACTAATAAAAGCCGAGTGATGGGCCAAAGGATTCGAAAAGTGTGTTGAAATAAGGGCATCAAGGAAAACATCTCTTCCGATGAAATATGGAACGAGAGATGGTCGTGGCTTGAGTAATGATGGCATGGTGGTGACAGAGGCTGGGGATTTCAGTCACTTGATGACAATGAAATCAACAGACGCACTGAGTTCCTTTAGGCTTGGACCAGGTTTACGCTGCTGGATGGAGTTGATGAGCCCATCGATCGCCTGTGAGGTGCTGTTCTCTCCTAGATAGGCCTGGACGTGGGCTTCAATGGCCCCTGATTCGATCACAAATCCGAGGCCGTGCTCCACGTTCAAGCGAAAATAGATGTATGCCTCTTGCAATTGCTGTGCGATGTCTTCATGTGTGCGTTCGGTGTCGAGCGTCATCTGCCGAATGGCCTGAAAGAGGCTTGGATTGGCTTGAGAAGTCTTCAGAATATCGGCCTTTCCGGATCCCAGGCTGAGAACTGTTGCGACTCGCGCGCTTTCACCAAATTGCACCTTGGCTTCTCTGAGTAGCTCCTTGATAGGGTTCGCACATCCAACCAACGCTTCGGTGAGGGCAACCTTGTTGTGTTCTGTTCCAAGCGTCACAGGAGAGTAGCTCCGAGCTGATGCGATACTGATATTGGCAGCATCAAGAATTGTGCACTTGGGTGGCGACATTCCTCGGGTGCGGTAAGAGCGAACGAGCTGACATCTGGAGACGTTCGCCTCATTGAGTGCACATATTGCTCTGAAGACCTTGTTACAGCACGACGCAAAGGAAAGTCGAGCCACTTACGTCTTGCACCGCTTGGTGTTTCCGTTTCGTTCCATAAATAGTGAATCCGGGTTTTGATCTGCGGATATGATGATTTCCTTCAATGCATTGCGCAGCTTTTGATCGTTCAGGACCAGCTGCTTGCCCATTGCTTCCTCCCAAGTCATTGCTTTTGCTAATTGGCAATATGCATTTATAGCAGAGGAAACAGTCATTCCGAGTCTTCCGAGTAGTATCGCGACAATCCTGGAGTTGCTGTGAGCCAGCGTTTAAAGCATAAGGGGGCACTTTCCCGCCTGTTCCACTCCCGATAATCATGTCGAAGTATTCACAAGGGCGCAGCTCTTCTTCTACTTCGAGATCGTAGCCCAATCGCCCAAAGATTTCCGATAGAATGTACAAGGCAGGAAGTCCGCTCATCCCAGCATCTTAGATGGTCAGGAAGCGTACATGTGGTTGAAATAAGCGCACCAATGGCGAGATAGTTCCCTGGCACTGGCTCTGCGGTTGTCATGATGAATGAGGAGGACGCTCAAGCTCGATTCGGCGCTTCTTTCAAAGCCTTAAATTATCCAAAAGAGGGAACACGACTTTGTAAGAGCCCTGAGCGATGTCCAAACAATCAAAGAGGTCGCAGTCGGGTACAAGTTTGCAACCCCTTTTCTACGACTGCAAGTCCAGTTCCTACAAGATATCTAGAGAGCGAACCTGTTAAGTAACCCAGTGTCAGAAGTATCATACTCGCCATTGCAAATCACGTATATGTCGCGCATTCCACCAGCCCTTGCCATATGACACCAAGATCTCCTCATTTTTCGCCAGGGCCCGGCTCGTCCAAACACTCATCCTCACCTCTCTTGTATTCCTTTCGCGAACGAGTTTAAAGACGGCATTTGGACGTTGTGCAATCCCGCGGTAATCGTTGATGCACCGTGCCTCGTTTCCTATCCGCGCTGCGTCCACACCAAGGTTGATAACCCATGCTTCAGGACTCTGAATCTGCGTGTCTACTGAAGCGGGCAATGAATAAGAGATCCGACTTCCCAGGTCCAGTTGGTCGCTGTAATGGGATGCGGAGTAACGAGAGATCGTAGTCCGAGTCTCTGTCTTGTGCATGCACCTCGCCTATGTAGAATAGGAGCATCGTATCCGCTGCAACCTTTCTCGACGCAAACAATCCAAGTTGTCCCTGCGCTGGATGCTCCTTGTCGTCGATGCGCTGGATATGTGTCAGTCTGTGACTGCTCTCGACAGCAGGCGCAACTGGGATTGTTTGTAATTCTGACAGGACCAATGGTAGATCACCCCCTCCCGTCACTGACGAGCGAAGGAGATTCACAACATCTTTGGTAACAGATGAATGATAAACTGGTTTGGTAATGTACGTGACCCCTGTAGGCCAATGCTTGGGTGTTGCCATCCTAATCGACTCCAGGCGCAGTCGGGTCCAAGAAGTTTATTTTATACATATCGGTGGCTCGTATCTCATGCACCGCCCTGGAAAGCCTGTGCTTGAATGTTATACAATGTGGCATATTCTCCATTAGCCTTCATCAACTCGTCGTGTGTCCCTGCTTCCACGAGTTCGCCTACAAACAAGTGATGAGCATATACCGTCCTCTCGTGGACACTAAGATTACACATACCCTTCTTGAGACATAAAATAAGATCCGCATGCTTGGTCAGATGTCCAAAACGATGCGTGATAAAAATCCTCGTCGTCTTTCGCCCACGCAGCTCCCTGAGACTCTGGAAGACATCTACAGCATACTGTCAACGACTGTCCATATGAAAACGCACAAAATAGACATACCATACTCGGCTTTGGGATCGAGCGCTGCACTTGGCTCGTCCGAACATACGAGTCGAACTTGATCCCTCTCTGCGCGCATGAACAACCGTGCAAGAGCCAGTCGCTGCCACTGCCCTCCGCTGAGCTCAATCTTCTTTTCGACTTCTTCGGACATGTCCGAAAGCTTTGTCCCTTGAAGCTGCCAAGATCCTTCCCAAGTAGAGACTGGAGCGACGTTGACCTCCCAACCCTCCGCATCTTCTCCGCCGGTGCTGTCCTTGTTGCCTGCACCCGTCCCAGGGAGATGCCACTTGTCCTGCACGCGCTTTTTCTCGATCTCTTTCAGAGCTTCTGCCCGTTTTTTGTGCTTTTCCTTGACCTCTTCGATAATCTCATCCGCCCCACCCAATTTCGCTGCGCGCATAATTCTCTCCTCGATTATATGCGCGCCTTGCTTCTCCGCAATCTCGATCCACATTGGATCTCCGATCCCTATATTCTCCTTGATGCTGAATGGGAAATGCTGATAGCTTTGTCTCAGCACGGCCTGTGCGTCGCGCAGGGACTGGACCTGATAGGTCGAAATGGGTCGATCGTCGATGAGAATCTCCCCACTGCTCGCTTCGAGCAATCGTGACAGGAGTGACACGGTCGTCGTTTTCCCGCTCCCGTTTGCGCCGACAAGGATGACCGTTGCACCCGCCGGAATTGTAAAAGACACGTTCTTGAGTGCATAAGTCGTAGTCTTTGGGTACTTCATCGAAACGTTCCTAAATTCCACTTTCATCCCCTCCATGGCGACGCATTCAGGAGGTGGGTACGGAAGGTACCCATCCACGATGGAATTGCGCATTTCGAGAAGGCTATAGTAGTCTTGAATGAAACGAATCTTCTCGTTGAGTGATTGGTCGTGTTGGAACACGCGATAGATTGTCCACGCAAATGACTGGGCTGACTCGCGTAATACGGTGAGCGAGGTCAATGAGAATGAAGAAGGGTTGAGCGCCACGATGCCGAGATAGTAGATCAGGGATACGTCTTGTAAGGCGACGTTGATGAGATCTTTCCATGGACCTCGCTCATCCCATAGCACGCGGTATACGTGACTATGAGAGACGGTTCCGAGTCCATCCATAGCCTTGTGATACTCTCGTTGGAGATAGACGCCGAGCCCAGAGCTGATAATCTCCTCAAAATAAGTCTTGTCCTGCGCTGTATCGCCAACAGCTCGGAGTCTAAGGTATGCTTTGTTGACAGCATGCGCAAACCATACTAAACACCGTTAAATACGCCTTTCTGCGGGTAGCGAATGGACTCACCTCCCCCAAACTCGTCATTGTAAAGAATTCCCTGTATCACCTGTGGTAGCACACAAACAGCCGCGAGTGCCCACCCGTTCTCTTGGGAGCGGAAAAAATTGAGGAGAAAATAGCCTTGGCTAGCAATCTCCATAATACTCGAGAACTGGCCGACGAGGCTTGTAAACTCGCGCCAGATATTGTCACCGAGGAATGTATTCGTTGTCTTGCGCAGCTTGGATTGCACGTCTTTGCGCTGGAGCGTCACGAGATCCATGCGTGTGTATGCGTCAAGCAGTTGGGACCCGCAAAGCTTGGAAATACGTTGCGAAAGTATTTTGTACGTTCGTGCACTGATAATTGTTAGCAATTGTACTCCAAGGAACATAAAATGCAGTACGATAACCGTCCCAGAGACCATTCGAGGAGTGCGAAGCCGAATTTCAACGCAAAGGCCCGTCGGACAGCGGAAAGGTCCGCCTTGCCGGAAAGAATGATTCCTTGCATCTATATCCAGGTTTAGTAGGGATCCTGTCAATTGAACTCGGACACACCGTCTCCAAAAGTTGTGCAGTGACCCAGAGTGAGAGCGCAGCTTGGAATGACTCCCAAATATTCATAAGGCTCCACAGAATCAATTGCAGAGGGGCAATGCGCCAAATCTCTTTCATGAACCGCCAAAGATATGGCACGCCCTCTCCAATCTCCTTGAATTTGCGCACTGTCTCGTAGCCAGGAAGGAAGCTCCATGGCTTATCCTGATAAAATACACGCCAGACACCGATATCCATCATGCGGATCCGCATGTCCTCAAAATGCCTTTTCTCCTGATCTTCATGTTCGTCATCTTCAGAGGACGCAGAAGATGACTCTTTGAGTTTATTCATGTCATCACCTACCGCTGTGACGCTGCTTTCGGTCGAAGAGCGCAGCAGCGGCGCCTTTTCTTCGATATTTGCTGCGGTGTCGTCTGCTCGGTCAAGCATGAGGGAAGAAGAGGAAAAGATTGTCTAGCACGAGCCGCGAGCAAACGTCCCCTTTATATCGTGTTCTCAAGCCTTGTAGAATCCGAGAGGCTGCTAGAGAGGATACGGGGTGATTCTTGCGCCGCTGCTGTGGACGCGCGGTGGCGAGGGACAGGTTGAGAATTGAGCCCAGAGGCTTATTCAGGGGGTCGCGTTTTATGTCCCAGCTCTCCCATTCACTGCCCAGTCAGCGAGCCGCGCGTAGAGGTCAGCGCCAAAGTGCGGCAGATACCCCGGTTCTGGCTGGGAACGCCGGTAATACAATACAGATCCACTAGATCCGCCCAAATCTTTGCTGGGGTAAATCCCATTTCATGTCTCACGTCGTACAAGTGGGCGAGGCAACCATGAGGCGCCCCTCTCACTCTTTTGCGCACGTTGTCAAGGCAAACGGTGGATCACATTGGAGATGGAGAATACAGCCAGCTACCACAGCTTACCACACAGCCAATCGAGCCTTCCGTCCATACAAGACTTGTCCCCGAGATCGGAAACATGTGGCACAATAAAGCATGACGAAATGAAGCATGGTAGGCATTCAGTAAGCACTCGGTAGACGGGACGGGATGTGGCTTGCAGCAGGACATTTCTGAATGCTCGCGTCTTGCAAAAAAAACGAGTCATCCGGACCTTGCTAATGGCGGAAGGGGAAGGGGGAAGGGGAAATGAAGAAATAGAAAGCGGCATAGAATCGAGGAAATTGGGTGGCTGGGTAAAGGGCGCTTTGTCGCAAAAGTCGGACAAAGACGCGCAGTCGATTGAATCAAATTGAGCGTTTTTTTCGTGTTTTGGGGTTTTGGTACGAACGGCCGTACTGATACTGCATCCCACGTTGCCTATGCAAGAGATGCTCCCTCAGCAGCAAGCTCTTGCTCGACGGCAGCAGCGAGGGCAGCCACCTCGGCCTCGTTCACACCATCCACATCCTCGTTAGGTCCACTCGTGGGGCTGATTCCGTGGATGTTGATGGTGGGTCCAGTCACCTTGCGGTTATTCGCGCTCACACCCAGCCCAGCACTCAAGGGATTGGCGGCACCACCAGATCCACCCGTTGTACGCGGCGGATTCGCACAGCGGTCCTTGCCGTGAGACACACGAAGTGCTGCATACTCGGGCTTGGTCTTGATGCTGTCGATGGCTTTGATCGCGTTGGCAATGTTAGTAAAGTTGACGAAAGCGCAGTTCCTGTAGAACAAGTTAGTTACAAGGTGGAGCGCGATCTCGGTGTGACTCACTTCTCCTTCAAAAAGTTGACCAGTTCAATATCACCGTATTCGGCAAAGTCTCTCTTGAGCCTCTCCTCGTTGAACTGGTCAAAGTCTTCGATACCACCAATGTAAACGTTTCTCGTCGCGCCAGAGTGCACGGCCAAGGCCAAGGCTGGTGTGAGGGGCCCAGACGACTTGCCCCAGCCGACCTTGAGGCGACGATTATTGAGTGTAAGGCCCTGATAGCTGGCGACTTGATAGAAAGTGAATGCCGCAGCGGGATCAATGAAAGTGATAAACTATCCCAAAAGGAGTTAGCAAGTGCTCGCGCGGTGAGATGCAATACATACAGCAATGTGTTTATCCGTCATGTACTTGATACTTTGGAGTACACCTCCACGAATAGCATTGCAGAGATCCTCTGTTGTTGTTTCGGGGTGGATATTACCAAGGTAGACCGTCCTGTTCATCATCCCCGCCGCGCCACCAGGGCTCATACCGCCGTTGGCAGCAGCGAGAAGAGCCATGGCGCTAGCGGGCGTATTTGGAAGCGGGGATGTTGGGTCGTAGTTACCAAAGCCGAGACCACCAAAGCCAAAGCCCATACCAGTCAGAGGGGCGGTAATCGGTGTCCCAGCGGCGGCAGCAAGAGATTGTGCTGCCACTTGAACGGCAGCCTGGGCAGCCTGCGTTGTCTTGGGCTGGAAGGCGCAACGGTCCTTGCCATAGTTGACCCTCTTACCCGCCCATGCTGGCTCTGTAGGAAGAGTTGCGACCACCTTTTGGGCGACCGCGATCGACAAAAAGTGAACAAAGCCGATTCCTTTATCTTTGACGATTTTGATTTGGTCGATGAGTCCGAAACGAGAAAGGTCATCACGAAGCATTGCTTCAGTGATACTGTCGTCCAGACCACCGAGATACACATTCCGGGTAGCGTTATTCTGCTGAACAGCCGTAAGAACTTGAGGAGGGACAGGAGAGGGCTTTCCCCATCCAATCTTTAGCTCGGCACCGTGAAGTGAGAGTTTCTTGAGCGTCGCATCCGTGTGGAACGCTGCAGCGGTCTGTGCGTCGAGGAAGGAGATGAAAGCGCAAGACTTTTCGCCGAGGATGCGAACGTTTTCGATGGGGCCAAACTTGATAAGGTTGAGCAGCTCGTCCACAGCTGCAGATTGAGGGAGGTTGCCCAAATATACAGTGCGACTAGATGGCTGGTTGGCAGCGGCTGCGGCCGCGGCAGCCTGGAGTGAGTACGCCTGAGCAGCGCCAATGTTGAGGGGAGACATGCCACCGAGATTCGACGGGTTAGGACTCGTGGCAACGCCCGAGCGTGCCTGGGCATTCTGAGCGGTAAAGGCTGCGTTTGCAGCAGCCTGGAGAGAGGCTGCCGCATTCGCCGGGGTCTGGGGGAACGACGTCGGAGAGAATGGGTAGTTGAGACCCATCATGTTCATGCCTCCAAGACCCATGTTCATCATGCCCATTGCGGCGTACTGTTGGTACAGCTGGTAAGGATTCTGGACGCCAGAAAGGGGCGTCGCAGACGCGGGTGAATTACCAGACGCATTAACTGCGGTCGCATTGAGGTTTGTATTGGGGATGGAGAGAGGAGTAGGGTAGAGCTGTTGGCCCTGCTGCTGCTGTTGAGACATATTGCGAGGAGGATTTGCTAACACTGAAAGGGCATTCAGTTATCGATCATATCCACAAGATTTATCACTTACACAGAAACAGTTTACACCGCGAAAGGCAAGTTCGTCAATAAGTTTGCGGCCAAATGAACACCTGTCAGCGCGAGCAGTTAGCGTCGTGTTTGCGCATTTACGCGGTCGGAAAGAAGCAGCAGATGCCATATGAAGCGTGCAAGAACGTGCTATTTGCGTTGACGTGGCAGATTGGACCGACGATGGCCACCGCCACGCAAATCGCCTTGAGCGACGATCATGGACCGCAGACGAGTGCACCAAAAGGCGCAATATTCACGTTCTGGGTGCTCGCAGAGCGTGATTCCGTGTCGCGGGACGAGGGATATAGCTGGTGCCAACGCTACGCAAGCTCCGAGCGGGCTGGGACAAGGAACGGGCGCGATGAGAGACGTACGGAGGCCCTAGGATTTAAGAACTTGAAGAAAGTGATAAGCTTCAAAGAGAAGAAGATTTTGCAAGATTGAGGAAGAGAACAAGGTCAAGGGGTTTGTTTGCTCCGTGAGAATCGTTGACCAGTGCCACTATCATCGCCTGCGCTGCCTTGAGCCTCCGTTTAGGCCAATATGTCGTATCCATATGAACTCTACAGAGGCAGCTCGTCAGTATATCCGCCATTTGCAGGCCAGCGCGGCTGCTAATAGCACCCAGTGTCGGCATCGCACTCGCAGACTCGCTGGACGCCCTTATTTCCAGCAACGAAATCACGCCCCAGCTGGCTATTCGCATCATGGAACGTGTCCGTATCTCCTTGTAGCTCTCCCCGTCTTTCCTGTGCGTTGACCTGCCCCGAGTATGACAAGGCCGTCTGCGACGTCCTCCAGAAGCAAGTAAAGGCGAAGGCAACCTTCAAGGGCCGTTTACATACTTATGTACGTTCTTACATCCCCTCCCAGCGATCCCTTTCCATGCCCTTCGAACTCTGCACTCATGGTTTATCTCAGAGAAATTGCGACGATGTCTGGAGCTTCTACCTCAGGTAGATCCATCTGTTCAACGCCCCGCAAGCCTGCTGAACATACCCAGGAAGTGCACCCTGAAGATGGAGGGAGGCGAGCAAGTTCCGGTCGAAAAGCTCAAGATTATTGCATGCAAGCATCCAGATGCGGCGGACCTGACAAAGGGCCAGAAGACGCCGTCAAAGAATGCAGACAAAGACAAGGAATAACCCCGCATATACTCTCTCTTCTCTTGCTGGTTCTACGTAGACTATTTGCTGTCTCACGTTGCATATTATTATGTACTTTACATGGCCCACAATGCCCCTGTGATACCCAAAAGCCATGCGAGGTCAGTGTCTCCTCTCCTCAGCTTCAGCTGCTGCTTTCCCTCTCTCCTTCATTTCATCCTCGCCATCGCTCTCATCATGTCTCTCGGGAGCATGGTCCGCTTTCTTCTCCTCCTGGTGATACTTGCTGTCTACAAAGCTCCATTCGAGTCCATAGTCTTGCGCAATCTTTGATATCTCTCTTCTGATAGCCTTTTCCTCTGTCACAAGGTCGGTCCAGCGGTCAATGTCGAATCCTCGGGCCTCGTAGAGCTGAGATCGCCTTCGCGAGATGGATGTGTCCATGACCGAGCTATAAGATACCTCTCGACCTTGATAGAGGAACCAAAGGTATCCCAGAATGATCATAGACAGACCAGATAGGTAACTAACTGGTTCCATTACGTCCCATCCTATAAAGCGTCGGAAAAGAAAAGGGTACAAAAGGACGCTTCTTACCGAGGTCCCAGAACGTCAGTCGAAAGATGACAAGCCAGTACGCTACCAGCAACCCAAATCCACCAGTTGCAAGTCGTTTTGCAGTTTGATGGGCCTCTACATCGCATGCTCTTTTGACCTCCTCCATGTCTTTCAGTTGCTGTTCTAACCAATTGAGGCGACTGCTGAGGTACATTGTACGGCGCTCAAAGCTCGGGACGGTCACCTCTATCACCTGGTCCTCCAGCCGAGATTGGGTACTCCGGTCATACTGAACCACGATTCGGAACGAGCTCGATCGAACAGCTGACTAGAGATTGTAAGCTGGTGTACCTATGGCCGTTATCTGCCAAGGGAACACACCTTGATAAAGTCTCCAATATCCGTGCTATCTGACCACTGCACGTCCTTACTAGAGCGAGGGCTGGCTTCTTGAATTTTCCCCGTTGTTTGGAGATGGTCTCGCTGGGTTATGGACTCTGCAGGGGAGCGAAAGAAGATGGACGAAGGTCTATTTGGAAGAGACGAAGAGATGAGTCGAGAGATGTGAGAGAGTGGTTGGGAAGGGTGAAGCAGGAAAACGGTGGGTGGCTGCTGCATGTCGAGCGGCAGGATCAACTTGAATAAATGACTAGATGTAGGTGAGATTTTACCTTTCTGTTCTCAAAATTATAATCCTCGATATGCAGTAGATACTCACCTCTTCCAGGCTCGACGTCGTCCAGCTCGTTGCCGACGCCTTCGATGCCCCCTTTCTGCGCATTGTTGACACCCGAGCGCCACGAATCATCTATTTTTGCCTCTGCAAGGAACCTTGCGTGGCCGACGTTGGTATTCTCCGTTATGTTCGATGTCGGAGTCCACGCATTATACCGCAAACCGAATGGCGAACGTCTCGGTATCGACCATGAGGGCTTTGCTTGTACTAAAACACAAGTTTTGAAGATATTAGCAGACCTCAGCCCCCGCAGAAAGTTCATGGTGGAGAGGAAACCGAGCCAAGACATGGTCGCCTGACGTCAAGAAACACTGCTTCATGTCCCGCAAGCCTGAGAAACAATTTGTGAAGAATTTGGTGTATTATTCCTATTGAGCCGCACGAAGTGTACACGAGCCAGTCAGCATTTGTCGAGACCAAGTTACGCGTCCACACCCTTGAACCTCACCATGTTCGGCGATGATCGACGGCGACAAATCAACCTCGGAGGAGCGACGACTACGGCGTCCCATGCAGCTATTCTCGCTCAGGCGCAGCAGGAAAGGCAGCGACGGCATCTGGAAAAGCGACAACTCGATGCCAGTCGTGTCATCCAGTCCCACTGGCGTGCTTATGCCGCCAAACTAAGCGTTCGTCGAGAAATGCTTGCTCAATTTGACCGCGAACCGATTGGGACCATGCTCTCAACGCGCTTGCTCATCTTTGGCGGATGCGAGAGGTCGCGGCTTGTGGCATGGACAAGAGCAGCGAGCGATGCTGGTGAAGCGACAATATTAGGACTCTTGACTGGTCCACAATCGAACAGCTGGCTTGTGCTCATGCGGCAAATCGCACATTACATGCTCCTCCAAACCGCTGCAGACCCTCAGTGAGTGGCTATTACTCATCACGCTACCTCGCTGACCAGAAGTCAGATCCTCAGACTCCCTGTTATTCCTACAATTCATCAACCTGCTCTCAAAGAATCGCCCACTCTCCGAAACCGCTAATGTGCCCGTAGCAGAGCAGATCATCGGGTACCTATTGGCAAGAGATCTGTATCCTAAACTGTCCTACTGTATAATCTCTTTTGTGAGTCCTTGGATCTTCGTATGATTAAATTAACACCATTATCAGCCTGTACAATCCAAGTCGGCGCCTCAATTGCTAGAACTCGTGACCCTAGCGGTCGCACCATTCAGGCTATTTTCTACATCACATCCATACTACCGACAATCCTTTGTGGGGATTATAATCAACATCCTCACCATCCCACTATTGCCCAATCGGATCACCGTACCAGCCCTCTTGACTCTGTCCTCCAACACCCCCTTTGCCTCCTTCGACCTTGTTTCATCTTCACCCTTGTTCCAACAGATCCCTTCAGATGTCCGTCGCCTCCATCTTCTTGCAAACCTTCTCGTTTTCGTGGCCCCTCGTTACGCATCGAGTCCGGCATCGCTCAACAATACGTCACTGGAGTCCTACTTGCGACTCCTTAATACCATACTGAGCGAGCTCCCGGTCAATGCATTGGACCAGTGGAAACCCAAGAAACAACAAGTCGAATTGGCCGCTGGAGAGGACTCTGACGATTCTACGAAGCAATTCAAGTCGCAAGTGGTCGAATCACGGCCTAGTATTTCCGTGCCCGATGCCAAAACGGCCTCGAGGCTTGCGAATCTTGTTTCGCAGGAGCACATCACCTCCTTACTCGCCCTATCCGAGAAGTCGATCGCTATATGGCACCAAATCATCCATCTCCTGGTCAATATTCTCTCCAAATGGCCTGGGAGACGCGATGGACTTCTTACCACAATTGCTACTGGTCCACGTGGACCCATAGTATTCAAGAAGTTGTGGCGAGACTCTGTAAGGGGGTCGCATCTGGGGAAAGACACTGGCGGAAGGTCAATGCGAGATGCCAGATTTGTGAATGACTGGCCTCCTCTCATTCTCCTCGTCGAGTTATATACACAGGCACTGCTCACGATGAGCGACGACGAATTTTTTGCGAGTAGTCCAGCAGGTGGCACAGTGTCCAGAAATCCGCTCATCATTGGAGAAGTGACAGCTCTTTCGCGACAACTGTTGAACATTGTCTTCCCTCTCTACTGGACGGAAGATACGAATGAGATCAAGGATGGAACCGTACCTGGGATGACTCTAACATGGGAGATGGTCAGAGAGCGAATCACCAAATGCCTACAGGCTATTCATGCACGAGAGTAAGTCAACTTAATGACTTGTTAACAAGGACTAAATTGAATCCTAGTTCACGTCGACCGTTTACGCCTGCAGGTCACTGGCTCGTCAGCGACCAATTTGACGTCAAGTCCTTTGTTGCAGCTGCCATGTCAGTGTTCAAATTCACTCATAGCGTCGGCTTACGGTTTTCATAGTGCAGAGGAAGGACAATTGGATGAAGGTAGCCATCCGCGACTACTCACCAAACGAGAGCTCGCGTATATTTCCCCCAGACTCGGGATCCTCAACAACATACCTTTCTCCATACCATTCGAGACGCGGGTTTCCATCTTTCGCTCGTTCATTCACAACGATCAAGTCAAATTTGACGATACCTTTAACGGGAGCAGTCTTTTCAAGCATCGAGTGACCATACGACGTGACCGTGTGTCACAAGATGGATTTGACCATTTAAACGATCTTGGGCCGGCGTGGAAGGGCCGACTGGCCATTCAGTTTGTCGACCAGTTTGGTCAAGAGGTGGGGTCCTCTCTCGCTACAAAAACCTCATCGACTAATAAGAGCACAGGAAGCTGGGATCGACGGAGGCGGTGTCTTCAAAGAGTTTTTGACGTCCTTGAGCAAAGAAGTGTTTGACACCGACAGAGGACTCTGGCTCGCGACAAAGCAACAGGAGCTATACCCAAATAGCCATTCGTATGCCAAAGAACGTGCGTAAATCTCCATGATCAATAGAAAGGTGACGCTCATCATAGAGTAGCACATCAACTCAACTGGTATCGGTTCATTGGCCGGGTACTAGGCAAGGCCTTATACGAGGGCATTCTTGTCGACGTTGCATTCGCCGGATTCTTCCTAGCCAAAGTAAGTCTAATGAATACGACCTAGGCCGCAACTCAGATATTTGCAGTGGCTTGGAAAGCAAAGCTACTTGGACGATCTAGCGTCTCTCGATCCTGAGCTCTATCAAGGATTGATTTTCCTCAAGAACTATACCGGACGATTTGAAGACTTGTCTCTAGACTTTACGATCACCGAGAATGGCTAGTCCTTTCTCATTCCATCTATACAGAGTCGCTAATGCTCTCCTAGACCTCGGGATCACACGTACCGTGAATTTGAAGCGCAATGGTCAAAACATCCCCGTCACAAAGGAAAATCGACTCGAGTACATTATTCTCGTCGCGTATTACCGACTCACGCGGCAAATCAAGATGCAATGCGACGCCTTTTTCGAGGGTCTTTCTGAGATTATTGACCCCAAGTGGCTGCGAATGTTCAACCAGCAAGAACTCAAGATACTTGTGGGTGGTGTGGAGGAACCGATTGACCTTAACGATCTGCGTGAAAACGTCGTCTACGGTGGTCTATACGACGACAATCACCCGACTGTGCGCATGTTTTGGCGCGTCTGTGAGAGTCTAGATCAGGAGCGACGGAAGCAGCTACTCCGATTTGTGACCAGTTGTGCAAGGCCGCCATTACTGTGAGTTGTTGATCTGCAGTTGGGCGTGTGTCTCACTTTCCCTCTTTCAGTGGCTTCAAGGAGCTCAATCCGAAATTTGCCATTCGCGATGCCGGAATCGACGAGTCACGCCTCCCGACCGCGAGCACTTGTGTCAATTTACTCAAGGTAATGTGTGTGTGTTGTAGTATCAGGATTCTTGACTCACTCCAATTACAGCTTCCACTCTATCAAGACGAGGAGACTCTCCGCCGCAAACTGCTTCATGCAATCAGCGCGGGTGCCGGGTTCGACCTTTCGTGATTTTCGTGTATCCTTAGCCGAATAGAATATAGGGGGAACAAGAAAGCTGTTTTCTAGTGAATACACGACGACGAGTCAAGACCAAGAATGAGAGAGATTTGCGAGGGGCGACCATTGAATGGCCATAATAAAAATCGCGAATAGAATTATAAAGCCGATCCCCTCAGTAATTGAAGGGGTCCTCTAGCTGATACGTTGGTGACTCGTCGTCATCCAAGTGCATCATTTCGTCGTCTTCGTCGTTTTGGAGGTGAAGCGTCACTGCTGCAAGGTCGTCCGACGAGGGCAAATCGGCCGGGTTGACGACGTATTTCGACCGCTTTGTCGGCGGCTTTATCGCTCCATATGTCTTGTAGGATGCATCAGAGTGTGGATAAGCTTGAAGAAAGGGGCTCATGGTCGAGGGAGCAGAGACACGCGGTTTCTTGACGACTCTGGATTCGACGGTAAAGGTGAAAAAGGGAGATGGCATTGGTCCAGGATGTTGTCGCATTACACTTGCTTGGTATTGAGAGCTATCAAGGGTCTCGTGTTGAGCACGCCGCCGTCGCTATGCGTAACATGACTCACTACCGCCGTTTGGCCTTTGCCTTTGCCGCAAAATGCTTTTGACGGATGCATTCGGGCTCTTGAAGCTCGTTGGTGCGCATCACGGGCGACCGAACGCGTGGAGGGGTCCTCGATGGATCCTCCTCAGACGACGCGGACGAGGTGGAGAAGACTTGTCGGGAATTGTCTGGGATTGATTGTAACGCGTTTTTGAGCATCGCAGTGGGGGGCAGAGTCGTAGATTGAGCCATACAACAGCAGTTGGCTCCAAAACGCGTAGTGGCCAAACAAGACCAAAGCCAGACTATCACCCCAGCATATCCCTTATTAATATCATGTAAAATTGTACATTATGCGTGCATTCGTCCTTGTCGTCCATTTGCTGAAGCCAGCGGGTTGGATCAGAACTTGTTCTCGCCCTCGTCCAACCGTCGATGGACCTTGTATCCTTATCGCTCTAAATCTTATTAGCAGATGCATATTCTTCTCTCTGCTGCTCCTCGCTTCCTCAGCCTCAATGCTGGTCTCTTGATCGTTTGTTCTGCCTGCCTTCAGCTTCAAACGCACCTATACAAGCCCCTTCTTGTACTCCTTGTTGCTTCTTCACTCTTTCTCGCCTTATCTGGCGTCGCCGGACTCGTTTCTCTCGGTCGTGAAGGGTCCACCATCCGTCACGTCGAGCCCATTCTCAGCAATGTCTCCCAGCTTGCAGGTGTGCAAGGGACGCGCATCCATCTTATATGAATGTTAATTCTCTCTAGGTCAGCTACTCATAGCTACAATTATTCACCCAAGCCCTCGCGGACCTCTTGCCTCAACCTGTAATGGCTTACAACCCTCAAACCCTCATCACGCTCGCGATTGGTGCCGTATATGTGATTGGTATACCGCTTTTGTTCGAGGTCTTCATATCTCAGACTCTTTCTGTAGCTTTCATTTTCAAGGTTGTGGCAGTGTATGACGCTCAGTGGTCTGCATATCTTGGGATCTCGTTGACGGCGCTGTCAATTCTGTTGACGCTGACAATACTGTTGCGAATCAACCAAATCGCTCAGGGACGTCGCTTGCCCGACCGTAGCAATTGGCAAATGTTACTGGCCATTCAACCCCTGGTCATTGTTGCAGCTTTGGACTCACTACGACAGTCCGATACGCCTCTCACCTTGTCAAGTCGCTTTTGTACCGCTTTGTGGCTTTGTGGCATCTCTTTGTTCTTGTTGCGTAAGACCATCTCAATTCACTGTACGAGCGTAACCATACAACAGGTCTACCTACGTCTCGTTTCAATCTCAGCTCAAGCATAAACGAACCGCCCAAGTATCGTGGTCAACATCGGGTGGAATATCCCAGCGTCTCAGAGGACTTTCGCTGTCGAGATCCATTTGCTGGGCCACTCGTCGGGAGTCAAATCCCAATGGTATCGCCCACACGCAATTCAGAAGCACGTATGCAACTACTTCGACCAAGCTCGACGCTTCTTGACCTTGATCTCCCAAAGGCAAAGGATTCACGACCAGACCTCTGTCGCTTGGATAGCAAGGTATCACGACCCACAACAGGAGATACGTCTCATGGTGGCTCATTCTACACTGCCGAAGTATACCTCGACGGCGAGCTAGACTTGTCGGGTTCACCGCGGCAGGCAGGCTCTTCGACAAAATGGCTAATTCCAAAGGACACAATGGACACACTGCCGAGTATTCCAGCTCCGGTGCATATGCCACTGCCGACGAGCCCCAGGCGCCACGCCCGAAATCGCCTTGGAGCTGGTGCACTGACCGAACCCGGGCTTTCGCCACCTGCACCTGCGATGACCTCCGAGCCGAGCGCACGACCAAGCTTCCATTCAACCCTGCACCCAGCATCCCTACCATCATCTTGGGTGGAGCTAACAGAGATTCAGGATCGTACGCCCACGCAGAGCTTGTATCTTTCAAGTACCTCGCTCAACATAGCGATTGCATCCGCTGACAGGGATCACATTCCCATGGTTGCTACTATAAGCGCCTCTACTAGCGTTGGCGCCCTAGAGGACGCCAAGTTGTATCCCCAGGCACTGTCCATGTGCTCGCTCCCTTCTATTCCATCCACTCCCGATACGCCGGAGCAGACGTTTGAAACAGAGCTGAGTGAGGAACTAGGTGATGACACTCTCAACACGGAGACACGGAGGGACTCCTCTTTCCTCGGTGTTCTTCCTTCCAAGCCAGAGGATGATGGAAGAGTGTCGGTTGGCGCGTTTGTACACTAAGAAGGGGTATAAACGCCCTGATTCTTGATGTTCTTGGCACTGTCTTGTATCCTGTACTTTCTGCTCGAATTTTTGCGAGCCGGCCGAGCGCCAACGTCAACGCAACTTGACACCAAACTGCTGGCAGTGCTGAGCATTTATGAGAAATTTGATTAGCGCAGTCGTCGGGAGAATACGGGGGTTTGTTTCTGTAATATCAAACTTTGGCGCGTTGCGGGGGTTTCGAAGATGACACAACATCCAGCAGATGGCAGCGCCTCTGCGGTGACGACGGCTTGTTTGAGTTCTCGAAATAAACACGCGTTTGTTCGGGGATTTTGGTCATCTTTACTCTCCGCGTGGCCGGGGTGTTGTAATGGCCAGACTTCGATGGGTCGGATCCCTCTCACGAAGCAGTGGCCCTTCCAAACTCCGTCGAGATCGGGAGAAATTACTAGTTATCAATGTTTAATTCGGTATTCCACGGGTTTAATCAGACGGCTTTGATTATCTGTTTGGAAGATGACCATTCGGCGGAAGAGGAAATGCTTGCAAAAAAAGTGCTCAAAGAAATATGTGTTGGGACTGCGGAAACTGAGACACGCATTGACAAGCTATCTTCGACGCTCGAGGTATATACAGGCGGTCAATGGTCGGACGTCCGTATAATCCCTCACCCCTTTGTCAGCGCTTACATTCATACCCTTCTGCCGGTCTCCGAAAGGCTTGCGCGGTCTGATATGGCGAGAAGACCGTGTATACAGCCCCGCGCCAATGCTTTGGTATAAAGCCTGCTGGGGAACTGAGGGGTTGAGGATCAAACTCACCTGCTCAACCTCGAGACCAAGCTCTTCTCACAAGTCGTACATCACAGTCGAACCTTCTCGATCGCAATCTCCCGCACCCATGGAACAGTACGCTGCCCTTCATCCTACCCAGGTATGCTACCTAGCAGTATGTCGGGCCTATTCGCTGACTTGGTCAGCCCCATAATGCTAGGGCCGCCATGAAATCGGGCAAGACCCTTCTCGGATGCGGTCTCTCGTTCCCTTCTATCGAAGTCGCCCGCAAAGTGTACGTCTTACGTCAACTTGTGCTGACCTCTGTCTAAATCTCCCTTTAGAGCACTCACAGGCTACGATTGGTGTTTCATTGATGCAGAGCATGCTCCATTCACTCCTGTCCTGCTTGCAAGCCTGGTGTCGACGATCACGCACTACAGCCAGTCGAAGATGTTCCCAGTCGTTCGTGTCCCCGCACACGAGCCGTCGTTCATCAGGTCTGTCTTTAGTATAAAATGTACACACCCAAAATCTAACCAATTTTGTAGTGTCGCCCTCGACGCTGGCGCAGCAGGAATCATCCTACCCCACCTCGAGACAAAGGAGCAGGCTCGTCACCTCATCAACGAGTGCAGGTTTGCTCCCTTGGGCAAACGCTCCTAGTAAGTACCTCCTCCACCCTTCCAGTTCCCGGTAGATGCAAGCCATCCCCTTTGTTCTCTCACATCCACTGTTTACTCATTTGTTCTTAGTCCACCATGGAGCTGGATCAGGGGCATAAACGACCAGGTTCCAGATGGGCACACCATCATGAGCGCAGCAAACGACGCCGTCGCATGCATCGCCCAGATTGAATCTGTCAAGGGTGTCGAGAATGCCGAGGACATTATTAGTATGGAGGGTATCGACGCGGTTATGATTGGTATTGGTGACCTGAGGTACGCTTTCTGCAGTCCACGTCGCCTTACTCTCCTGACGTTGACTAGACTCGACATGAACCTCCCGGTCGTCTTCGAGGGTACAGAGCCCGAATATATCGCCGCTCTCGACAAGGTTGAGGGACTCGCCAAGAAGTATAACAAGCCTCTAGTTGGCTTTGCCTTCCCCGAAATGACGAGCTTCTTCGAAGACAGAATCCGTCGCAACTACCAAGTATGCCTCTCTCGTCTTCTGCCTTTGTCGATTCTTACGAGCTTTTGAATTTAGCTGCTCATGGTCTCTGCTGACAGCTACGCGATGACTTATGGTATGGCAATGGCAGGTGCCACCTCGCGCACCATGGTGGCAGATATTCAAAAGAAGATGGCTGAAGAAAAGGCAGCAGCTACAGAGGGTGCAGCAAACGGCCATGAAAAGGTCGCTAATGGTGACAGCGCCCAGCAGGAAGAGGTGACCGTGTCCGCCTGACTGGCTCTGCGCCGTCGACTCGCGAGACTGCGAACGTCGATTCGTGATTTATTTCATAGATTGTGGAGGCGAGATTGATGGTATAATAACTAATCAACTAGTTGATGCTTTATGGTTTTGTGTGGTAAATGTAAACGAAGCGGTCTCAACTCCTAGCCTGCCACGTTGACCAGTGATATTGCACAGCGTTTATTTCGAACCCTTACGTACTCTTCGAGTCGAAGCAACATCTCCCATGGACCGATCTTGGAAACAGCGCAGCTGACAGGCTGGAGCGCAGTCTGCCAACTCGGACATCCCTCGACACGTTACAAGTGGCCGAGAATGCAGAGCATAGCCCTTGAGAATAAACCTATCGATGGCAGTCATCCGTATCCGCGGGATGCGACGAGGCCGTTTCTTCGTCAATGCGCAGCTATCAACATTCAGACTTGTTTGCGAGTTCTTTCCCGTGATCTCGTCTCCTGCGGTCGCAGCGACGTCAGTGAGCCATACATATTCTTATCCGATGTGGGTGCACACACCGACGGTCATCACGATCTCGTTTACCCCGAGATAACTCATCGCTCCTTCGTTATTCGAATAACGGCCACGAAACTACTTGGTGTTACTAACTCAAGCCCCGCGAGCTCTATTCACATCGCTCCGTATATATACTCGCACGCCCACTCACCATCCATCCTACTATCATGTCCTCCCAGCATCCACCCAGTATCGCCACTGCCTCCTCTGAGATGCACACGGTGGTGAAGACACCAAACGTCGTTGTCAGATTTTGGAGCTCACTCAGTAAACGTCTCGGGTTCAGGAGACCCCTCAGCTTCTTCTTTTGTACTTTTATCCTTAATCTCAGGCGTACTCACAGCTAATGTCTTTTAGTCTTTGTGTTTGGTGGCGCACTTGCTGGATTCTCCTTGGCTAGTTTCCGTCTCCTCGACCCAACCCATTACTATACCGCCTCATTTGCCCCCGGTGAGCTCTGAACCGCTAAGCTTTCTGGGCAAACACTGATACAGTTGAATAGGTGAAGTGTACTGGGTTCGCGAGGGAATAAGAAAAGGTCTAGCGTCTCTTAGCTTAGTATGCTTGCGTGCTCATCTACCACAGCCGGAATGATTCTTCATTTGGCAGCAATCCTACGTAGGTTTGGCTCCTCCAAATGAACTGCAATTGATCGCAATCTAGCTTGTGGTATCCTCTCTATCCTCCAATTCATCCCAAAGATCCGCAAGGTGAGGTGCAAGCGGCCACCTTCAACGAGACATTAATACCATCTCTACAGCAATATATTCTCTTGCACCGTATCAACGGATATCTCGTCCTCATTCTCCTCGTCCTTGGTATCACAGGTGGCTTCATCATGGCCCGACACACCTTTGGAGGAGGCGTATCTGCATCCGGAGCGACCTATGCGGTCGGCGCTGTAACTCTCATCTCAGCATTGATGGGATACTATAACATCAAACAAATTCAGCTAGAACAGCACCGAAAGTGGATGCTTCGTATGCTATTCCGCCCTACTCGTGATCACCTGCTCATGCTCCCCAGGAATGGTCATTTACATGTCGTCGATTATCACAGCAAGAGTGGCCATGATGATCACAGCTGCTGTCGTGACAACTATGGGTGGATTTGCGGCTGTAAGCACCATATTTCTCACATGCCTGTATATTGATGAACGGTTCTAGCCATGGAGTTGTGCAGAGCTCTTGTACACACTGGACAGCAATACGACAAAGGTCATCAACGCTGGCTATCCACAATGTACAGACCCAAACTCGGGGGACCAGTTGGTCCTCGTCCCAGCTACCTTTGAGGTATCCCCTCAGGGGGTGGGGTCTGCGCTGCGTGTAGCATTTGGGAATTCAATGTGGACATCATTGCTGATTCATGTGGTCCTCGCGGAGATCTATGTACGTGGTTCCTAACCTCATGCTGCCTTAGCTTCGAGTCACCTGCTTTCACGATATTGATCGCATTGTAGCTCAAATTGACGCCTAGCGAGACCGACAGGTTACGTGCCATCTCATACCAGAGGCAACTTGAAGCAGGAGTTAAACATCCAGGGAGTGCAGGGACAACCAGTGACAGATGGGGGGATGCAAAATACTATCATGCGTCGCAATTGAAGCCTTAAACGCCTCTTGAAGACATGCGCTTGGCTCTCCGATATGGACATGATTGTACTGGTTCACAAGCATCTCTATCTAATGTATTTAAACGACAACGAAAAAATATATTCTGGGAATCGCTACTGACCCTCAACGATCTGTCTAGTCACTCATCGTCTTCCCATTCTTCATCTCCTTCGCCTTCTTCATCTTCTTCCTCGTCCTCAACTTCTTCGTCTTCGTCGTCCGTATCCTCAAATTCTTCAAAAACCTCTAGATTTGCTCTGAGCCATGTTCTATCGCTCTTCTTGATGCTCGATTCATCGCTGTAGTATAGCTCCTTGAGGGGATATCCAGCCGACTTCCGGCCCTCGACAAATGAGCGCATAGTCTCACCATCTAAGCCATGGGCGCGAAACGTCTTGAGATTCGGCAGCAGTACGCCTGGAGTCTCTCTCGCGAGTTTTAGGGCGTTCTGGAGAAATGGTTGACTTTCCAGTGTTTGAGAAAGCCATTGTGGAAGATTTAGGCCCGAATGCTGCATGGTCTCGGACATCAACCACAAGTCCGGGTCGAGGTAGTTGAAATTGATCCTCAATTCGACGACCTGGGGGTGGTAGAGGAAAAGACTGGATAGATATTCAGAAGTGCAGGGTAATGCTGAGATAATCAAGCTGAATCTGATTAGATTCATTCACTGAGGAGTTTAAACGTACGTGCCTGGTTAAATTGGGAACAGAGGCTTGCCCCGTTTGCGATTGATATTTCTTGGAGAAGTCGTCGGCAGATACCCTCCTGTGCATAAAACTTCGACAACGCGGTTCCAGTCCGCCGTTGAATCGTTGTACTCATCGTCTAGGTCAAGATGGAGGTGACTTAGCGTAGGTGCATCAAGAACGAGAAGCAAACTTTGGACTAAAGCTGGTCTAATGAACGCCAACTTTAGCTCTCGCAGGGCTGGAAGCGAAATGGCCTCTGTTGGCCAGTTCTCCGCATCTGTCGGGTCTGCTGGGCCGGAGCACTCAAGAGTGAGATGCTCAAGGACATCCGCGGAGGATGTGATCATATTGAAGAATTCCGTGGTCGTTGGTCGCACATCCTCGTGGTGGTAAGCGAGTGTCAAGCTGCGTAGATGGGAGAATAGAGACGAGGACCAATCACAGTGTATCCCCCATAAAGTGACATTCTCCAAGGGCCTTGGGACGGTTTTCCCATCTTTTCCCGTGAATAAACGGGCCATTTCGACCATAATCCCCGGATCCCGCCCGGGATCAAGTTCTTCATAGTGACTGAGCTCGAGGCGCGAAAGCTGAGGCGCCTCCACCAGCTGCAGAGACTTTACCGCTGCAAAGATGATGTCCTGATCGTCGACTGCAAATAAAAGGCTCTGCACTCGGTGCATCTCCGCCTTGAGGAGTTTGTACACCTTTGACCAGGAAGCTATAACCCAGCGGGCTGGACCATCACCATCCTCGGTCCAATCCAAGACGATGAAGAGCGGTGCGGTACCAGATCGTTGAAGCCACAGGCGAGTCTGGGGATACGGCTCGCTTTCTCGGATCAAGATCTTTCTCCAGAGGGCAGCCGTTTGGGTGGCTACATCCCGCCATCGTTGACAAACTGATGCCATTATAAGCTGCGACGTTGGCACCCCGTAGTCGCTCTTGGATTCCAACGACTGGACCAACTCGAAGATTCCGGCGAGCAGCTCGACCGGCATTTTATTGATAACAGCACGCGGTTTTGATTCAATCTCCCTTTTAAGATCTCGGTGGGACAGCGTCGTGGCAAAGCGCCTGACTTCGGATATGACAAATTGTGGATCATTGAATGCGACTAGGTGCTGGAGTTTCTCTTGAAGAGCTTTTGCCGATATTGTTATTGCTTCTTCTGCCTGCACGCGCACTTCAGTGTCAGAAAAGCTACTAAGTGGAAGAAAAGCTCGCCTCTACAGTCTTTGGACCCTCTTTATAAGCAATTAGATCATCTTGGGAATCCATTGGACTTCGCCAGGGGCCCAATAATTGCCTCGAGTAAGATTTTGATCAAGGTGGCAGAGGCGGAAAAGTCCGGCGTAACATTACACCAGCGAACTAACTATGATACACATTCAAGAAAGAGCGCGGAGAGAATCTAGAATTTGATCTGCTAGTAGTAAGAACCACGGTTCCAATATGGCTTTCCCCTTCTTGGTCCCTGATAGTCTAAGGAGAGTCAGTATTGCCGGGTTACACGGAAGACAAGCTTACATGTAGAGGTGTCACGAAGTGTACTCATACCAGCGGCGCTTGCGAGATTGAGGTATCCCTCGTCATGAGTCGCTCCGTTTTCTTCACCACCCAGAGCAGCCCATGGCGCACGGCAATAGACACAAGTCACAGGCTTCTTCATGGCCCCTACATGACTTTAGTCTTGAATAGTTAGACGAAATGGCGTACTCACACATTTTAAAGCAATCAGTGTGAAGCCCGTTTTGGCAAGTGCCGCAGAAGACGATGCGCGCGAGATCTTGTTCCGTCTTCCCCTCCATTTCCTCGTAGCAAATCGGGCAATCTTCACCGTCTACTTTTCGTCCCGTCTCTGGCGTCTCGATTGTTGCACCTGCCTTGCCCGCGGCCTTTGAATAAGCAGAGACGACGCGAGAACTGGCAGTAGAAGTTGGAGAAGGCGGCGCTTGGGCAAAGATTTGCTCGAGTTCGGATGTAAGGAGAGCTCTGATTACAGGTTAGACGAGTGTTCTGGTGAAAGAAGGTGCTAACTTTTGGTAGTACAATCCGCTGAGTTCGCTGACACCGAGGACCCTCGTGAACACGAATAGTATATGCTTGCAGTGGTTTCCCTTTGCACCGTCTGGGCAGTCGCAGGTTGGCAACTGAGCAATCGTGACGGTGTAGACGTTTCCGGTGCTTCCTAGTACCTTGAACTCTTCCTTGAGACCTTCGCGATTACGTTCAATCATATAAAACCTAGGCATATTAGAGTTGTGTTGTCAGGCTTAAAGGCTCAGTACCGTTGAGATCGAGCACGGGCAAGTCTCTCTTCGATAGTCTTTGGGCACGAGGCTCTGAAACGAGCGAGTCTCTTTTCCTCTGGTATAGATGCGGCTGCTTTTGCCTTGCCCTTGCTTTTGGTCTGTGGGACGACGTCCTGTGCAGGCGTCGTCGAGCTTGTTGCGGGTTCCTGGCGAGTTGCAGCACGAGAAGAGCGTTTATTTGGAGCAACCTGGCTGTCAGGCTGGGGGTCGCTGAGCTCTTTACGTTTGCGCGGGGGCATCCTAGAAAGTTGTGGTCGACTTTAACTTGGATTCGCTACAATCGGCACTACGAAAGACAATAGATTTATTGGCCTTGAAACATTGCACAGACATCAGAATGTCTCCTCTCATCTTTCAGCTCGTGCCAGATAGTCAAGCGCGGAGTAGGGCGGTCGTCGCTCCTGGACAGACGGTCAAACCAGGTCAAGTAATCTTGCGCAGCTCATCTTTAGCCACCTCTCTTCTTCCGAAATCTCGAGGGCAGAGATGTGATGAATGCTGTCGCCAAACGACTGTCAAGGCCTGCTCGCGGTGCAAGGAGGCGTTTTACTGTGATACTCGATGTGAGTAGTGGTTCCTTACTCGGTTCTCTGTCCTTCACCTAATCTTCTAGGTCAATCTGCTGCCTGGAAGTCGCATCACCGTACTACTTGCGCTCTCCTGAGCAATGGGTACCGTGCTAAACATCCTTATATATCCCAACCAGAAGGGAAACAGGCAGATCTAGATCTTTTAATCACGCTTTACGGTCTGGTGGCAACTTCTCAGCCAAGCATGTTTGAACAGAGCAACTGGGCTGTACGGCGAGAACCAACGCTACTCCCAGAGGAACCATTAGAGTGTTTTAGTACTCTTTTACCTCACTCTGGTCAAGTGGACCCACCATATATTCCAACCACATTTGGCAAAACCCAAGCCGAATTCCTCAAAGAGGCCTGGGCACGCTTTGAAAATAACAATTTTGTCCTTCATAACATTTCTTCCATGGTGCCGAACTCTGGAGCATATGCTCATGGTATTTTTCCACACGCAAGCCGTGGGTTCAATCATTCCTGTAGCCCGAATGCTTGGCCAGCTTTCGTCCTCGAGCAACGCCAGGCCTGGCTCGAAATAAGAGCGCTCATTAGCATAAAAGAGAGTGAAGAAGTGCGTTCCATTCACGCTAGGAATATCGACATTTGCTTACTTGCTAAAGATTACAATACCGTACCTGGATCCGGCGCTCTCTCTCCCGGAACGGCAAGCACGGCTCAAGGCAACCTACGGATTCGACTGCACTTGCTCTCGCTGCGATTTGGAGAAGAAACTACCCCTTCCAACAGAACTACCCAGATACACTTTGTTGGTAGAGCAAGAGCTTACGACCTACGTCTTCCCAGGTTCCCCGGATGAATTTCAAGTTGATGGGTCCAACTTAGATCTATTACGTCAATTACCAGCGCACTTAGGGGCTGTGAGGCATGAACTATTCTTCAAGAGTCTATCGAAACGCTTTGAGGACCATGTGCATGATGGACCATATGAGGACGCCTGGACGATTGGAAGGGCACTCCTTGCTCTCTGTATACTTGTTTACCCTCCAAACTACCCACTAATTGGTACTGTACCCTTATAGATCTATCGCCTTCTAATCTTAATGAATAGGCTACTACGGGCTAGAGCTTGCAAAGGCGTCCTGGAATGCGCATATCTCCGATTTGGTCACACCTTGGGCGCGTCGGCTATCTCGTTTACTCGACTTTATTGAACCGATTCTCGCCATCGTCGCTTTAGAGGAAGAGGGTCAAAACGACGGCCTTGGTGTCTGTAAAACCCTTAGAGATATGCTTATGGAAGACGCCTCCTCTGGATGAAACTATTTATCTCGCAAGATCCATACAGCACCTGTACCAGCAAATAAGATATGAGGATATTTGTTCATGCGTTCACAATCGTCGACCAGGAGGAGGAAGGGGAGTTCCGAGTGGCGGAGGATATTGCTGTTGAGCAAGTTGGTAAGTGGTCATAGCGGGGGTACCAGCTGGGACATATCCCGGTGGAAGAATCTGCTGGCCTTGAGGGACAAGATACTGCTGTTGTCCATGGAATCCGGGTTGCATGACATGCTGCTGTTGAATGACTGGTTGTTGCATTATAGGTGATTGCATGACTGGTTGTTGCATAAGCGGCTGATGCATGACCGGCTGCTGCTGTGCATACACGACCGGCATTCCACCAGGATACACCATCTGGGGTTGCATCCCCATTTGAGCATATCCTTGTGGGATACCATAGATGTTGCCCTTTCCCTTTCCCTTCTTCTTGCCCGAAGCGACCTGTGGCTGACGAGCAGCTCGTAGATTATATCCAGCAGGCTCTTCGTCTTCGTCTTCTTCACTTCCCTCCTCTTCGGAGTCACCCTCGTCAGTCGTGGATGGAGGAGTTTCAATCTTGACGGGTTCAGGAGGCGCTTCGAACGGGATGTCTTCTCCCTCTCGATGGTCGAGACGGAGAATCAAATGCCCTACCCAAGGGCGCTGCCGGGCCCTTGCAGCGGGAGTGTCCGTTTCTGCATTCTTGGGTGGCTTCCCAATGCCGAGGAGATTACGGATTTCAGTAGGATCATCCTCGAGGCCATCGAACACTGTCCACTCTTCCAGCAGGTCTCCTTTCCTGATCCCTGTGCCCACATCGCGTCCAGTTGCTCCGTATTTACTGCTCCGGTTGGCGTGATAGACCGCATCAATCTTGGCTCGCTTGACGGGCTTGAGACCTTCGTACGTGGCGCGGGGCACCTTTTGCTTGACAAACTGCTGGATCCCGTTTACGACGTCTGCGCACGTCACTGCACCACCCTTGCCGGTGCCTTCAATCTCAATGACCCCTGGCGTGTGGTTGAGAACGAGATACAGGCGATTCATCCGTGGCAGAGATGCGGTTGAATCCCTAGAAGCCCAAGGCTTGGACTTGGTGCCTTCCACAAGATGGGCTTCCTTTGGAGACTCGAGGACATCCCAGACTAGCCTTGGGTCGTCTTCGTTCCGCTCAATCATGTGCTGAAGAATTGGATTCAACTTGAGCTTAATCCCTAGGATAGTTGCAGTCATCACGTCGAGTACTGGCCCGTCTGTTCAATGTTAATTTGTGCCCACATAAAAGACAATCCTTACAATTGTCCCCATCAAGGAAAGGATCGAGGGGCGGGTTGTCCTCTCGGGCTTTTGAACGCTGGTATGGTAGATACATTCCGGGAGGATTCTGTACATTCTGTACGTAGCCTGGCATTTGCGGCTGCACCTGAAGATATTGAGGTGGGGGAAGACCGTATGTAAGATATGATGGGTTTCCAGCGTAGCCCTGTTGCACCGGCTGTTGTTGTTGAATATAGTAGCCACCGCCCATTGCTTGTCCAGGGAGTCCTTGTCCAGGATTTACTGGGGTCAACGGAATTGGAACATGTGCCGGTGAGACACCGTAAGGGAGATTGGGAATAACCGTATTGGGTGAGTTCCAAGCCATTTGTACGATTATCGCAAGCCCGGATATAGATATTGCTCAGAAATCTGGCTCGTGCAGTAGCTAGTATGCACTTCAGTCAGAAAACTTGGATATCGTAATAGAATACTTCTGACAATTGGCTACGCGAGACGCCACAGAGGATTCAACACGTGCTCGTAGCGCTGTGAGCTCAGAGAGCCTGATTCCGCACGAACAAGGATGCTGAATCAGTACCAATCCCTAATAAACAGTCGGAATCGCCTATCGACTGAATCGATACGGCCAAATCGTCGTGGACGGCGTCAAGGGTAGAGCCCAAGTGGCACCCCCCGAACTCGGACTTGTTCATACCTAACAAAAATACAAGATTATTATTAGAATAAATGACTGTCCTCATTTGTGGATCCTAGCCCGTGCAGCCAGGTCATTTGACCTCAGCGGGCAGTCGATTCTTTTACTTCTCCACTCCGAAGATTTTTCTCAACTACGTTTATTCACGAGCATGAGCAGCTCCAAAAACCATGATTCAAAGAGTAATGGAATAAACAATGACAACCGGATACATTCACCTGCATTCTCCATCAACGACGACGAGGACGATTACCGGGACGAAGAGGAGGAGCAACAGCGGGCGCTATTGAGTTCTACCTCCACTGTAGATGTCAGGAGACCGTCAAGAGAGAATGGTAGAGTCCACGACGCAGCTGGAGATCGCAAACAAACGCACGTGTCAAACTGGCAATTTATGCGGTCCATCTTTGCAGAGGTATGTCAATGCAAAGTCCTATTCGAGTAAAATGTCCTGATTCTTTTCTGTGTTTAGACTCTTCCTACCCTTATGTTTGCATTATTTGGAACATTTCTCACTGGCGAGCTGTTGGAGCTATTGGCGGTAAGTCGCCATCCTCGCCTCATGGTTCGCATCTCATCTAAGCGACAGACGTGGAGAGCATTCAAAGCGATCAATGAGCTATTAATTCTCGTCCCTATGCTATTGAACCTCAAAGGCAATCTCGAGATGAATCTTAGTGCACGTTTATCGACCGCATCCAACATGGGTACGGCTTTTATTTCTGTCTAATTTATATTCTTATTCTAAACAGGGGATCTGGATAACCGGACAACCCGTAGACACCTAATCGTCGGCAACATGTCCCTACTACAGGTCCAAGGAATCCTCGTTTCCTGTCTCGCAGCAACCTTCTCCTTTGTTATTAGCCTTGTCCTTCCCCACGACCAGCCGGAGCCTTCGCCACCTGTGGGTAACACTGGGGAAAGAGATCTCACGGGGTTGTCACCAAAGATGCTCCTTGCTCATGCTATCCAGCATTTGGTCACACGAGCACATCCACACAGACCTCATCCACGACCAACTCAACCTACTGCAACTGGTCCTCGCGAATTTCTCATCGTCCTTCTCATCGGTCAAAGCGCAGCGAGTCTAAGTTCGGCCATCCTTGGGGCTTTTATGTGCGCGCTCGTCCTCCTTTGCCGCTATTTCAGGCTTAACCCGGATAATATCGCACCAGCGGTAGCATCTGCTCTCGGCGATCTGCTCACACTGGCACTCCTGGGCATCTCCTCACACTTTCTTTATCCCATGTCCCTAGCGGGACTTATCCTTGTTCAGATAGGCTACCTTGTCTTGCTTGGATTCAGTTTCTGGGTCACGAAGAACAATCCGCGGGTTAAAGGCTTGCTGAAGGAAGGTTGGACACCGCTCCTATGTGCAATGGTGATAAGTAGCGGGACGGGGATGATCCTGGACAGTTTTGTTGGACGGTACAAGGACTATGGTCTCGTGTCCATTGCGCAGGATGGTATCCCTGGAAGTGTCGGTAGCGTGTACATCTCGCGGCTGAGTACATCGCTGCACGAAGCGCAGGGTCACAGTGGCCATCAACGGGGTGATGGGCACGAGCACTCAAGAGGGGCACTCGACTCCCCTCGAAGTTTCCTCAAACCGAAAGATGAGGCCACAAAAAGAGCGCTCAAGGATGCACGACCGAGAATATCAGGGTTGGCCCTCTTCCTTGTCACTGTTCCTGTCCAAGTGATTTTCCTTACGGTGGCTTATGCTTCAAAATGGCTTGAGCTTCCAGCTCTTTGGGCTGCCGGATTTGTGATATTTTTTGCGACTACGGTATGATATTATGTTACCTTCATGCTATCACTAATCCTCTGGATAGGTGGTGTGCTCGCTCGTTCTCTCACATTACCTAAGTGTACTCATATGGAATCGGGATCTGGATCCTGATACGTATGCGCTCCCGATACAGTCGTCTCTATGTGACTTGATGGGCCAGACATTCCTTGTAACATGCTACGAGGTTGTCGGGCTCATAGGCGGCCATAGAATTATCGAGGGACGCTAAAGTATTTGTCGTTATCGTATAGTTTATAGAGGTATATAGAATCGGATGTTCCATTCACAAGGTGGCTCCTTGAATAACTAGCATCTTCATGTCCTACTTTCATGGTCTCATGCTGCGCCTAAAAGCTCCGTGTCAGCTTCGAATCTCTGCTTGGAGGATGCCTTACGGTTCCTTGGGCTTGTTGTCCAAGATTGCTTCGACTTTTTCTCTAACTTCTTCCGTGATCCTTGGGATCAAATCGAGCGCCTCAAACTGTTCGTCCAATTGCTCGGGCTTGCTTGCACCAAGGATGATTGTTCCGGTGTTTGGCATGGCGGCGATGTAAGCAAGGGAGAGGGGAATGATACCCGTATTGAGCTCTTCACGGGCATATTTTGTGAGTGCACGTATTTTGTCGAGTTCGGCTTTGCCTTCGGGACTCTCGAGCTTTGCGACCGTGTCCTTGAAGAACTCAGAATGGTTGGCGAACCTTGAATCCTTTGGGATACCATCGTTGTACTAGCGAGGTGTGAGTCATATAAACGTCATTTGGGTGAAGACTGTAGCTACCTTGCCCGTCAGCTTACCCGAGGCGAGCGCACTCCATACGGTCGTCTTGATGCCGTATTTGGCATATATCGGTCTACGCCTAGTCAGTGGGATCTGCAAGCACGATATTTCGGGACGTACGCATATTCGACTTCCGGTCGTTCACGGTGAAGCAAGCTAATAGGCGGTCAGAACGGCTTGATCAAACATGGGGAAAACGACAAACTTGTGTTGAGCTTGCTCGGCGATAGGTCCTACGAGACCAAGCTTGTCCGCGACATCTGATAATTGTAAGAGAAGGGAGGATGGGCGAATCAAACGTACGGAACGCCTCTTCAATCTCACGAGCACTCCACTCAGATGTGGCCCAGTAGTGTGCAAGACCAGCATTGATGCAATAGTTGAACGCACGAACAACCTCTTCCATCGGGACAGTCGGATCAGGTCGGTGAGCGAAATAAATATCAACATAGGGCGTCTGGAGGCGTTCAAGGGATTCATGGAGACCCTCGATGATGCTATAATATGATGAATATCAGGAAATTGTTAATCCTACCAGGAACTTACTGTTTTCGCGAGAGACCAGTCGCATTCGGTCCTTTGCTTCTCCTCGTCAATAGCCGGTCGAGGAAGCCGTAGCCGGTGGACACTCACCGAACGCCAAAGAACACCTTTGTGCTCAGCACGAGATCGCTTCGCCGAATCTTTAGCTCCTTGAGAACACGTCCACTAGATTATTACTTAGTACGCTTCCCGAGCAAGCCTGAAGAGACAAGAGGACGCACATTTCGCGCTCGGAATTGCCCTGAGCATATGCCTCGGCCGTGTCGATAAAGTTGATACCGTTCTCCCAGGCCTTTTTAACAATCTCCTTGACGGGATCACCCTTGACGGTTCCTCCGAGCGTAAGCCATCCACCCAATGAAAGAGCGGATACGCGGAGTCCGCTGGGACCCAACCGACGGTACTCCATCTTGGGATTCATCTTAAACTCGAAAAAATCCTCGTTGTTGTGGGAAGTCATGATGGTTTGCAGTTTGGAGTGGAAGGGGTAGAGATAGAGGTAGAAAGGAGTGGCGACCGACCGGTTATAAACGCGTCATCTGGGAGGATTACTAACCGCCATCGGACGTCCATCACCTCTCATCGTCAGCATCATCGGGTGGCAATCCATTTACCCGGCAATTGGACCGCGGCACAAGCTCCATCACCGAAGACATCAGCCTCACAATCTGATTTCGTCCAATCTTGTCCACGAGAAAAAAATGAGCTTCGTTTGAGGACATAGTAGTACACCGATGAGGAATGGGTACAGAGCGAGGAAAGCGGTCAAAGGGGAGAAACACAAGTTGAGGGGAAGAATCTGAGGGGAAAGAATCCGATTGGAATATTCCGATCCGGAGTCGTGATCATGGCGGGTACGTGAGAAACATGAAAAGTAATGGTGGGAGGCGAGAGAAGAGGGATGCTCGGAATGGGTGATAGTGACGAATAAAGAGAAACCATGCAACGCGAGTCGGTTAGAATGTAATCTCTTCTGTCGCATCCGGCCATCGTCTAAGTTGCTCTTGTCGGTAGAGCTCGCCAGCAGACGGGCCCGCTTCGGCACCCGCCTCGATATCGCGCTCCTCTTTGTCTTCAAATCGGACCTCCGGTCGCTTTTCGTTGACATTGGAGCCTGTAACAGAGGAGCCTTCTGTAAACTTGCCATCGCTCGAGTAGCGCGGCATCTCGGTAATGTCTTTGGTATTCTTCTCTTCCGTATCCGAGTCTTCATTGCACGACGAGCACGAGCAAGACGAGCAAGAGCACGAAGAGCCAGTCTCGGCATCCGATGAGTCTTCCTCGTCAGCCTTTGGCTCTACTTGTGCATTATCAATGGCAGGCTGCTGTGACTGCTGTTGTTGAGTGGTCTCTTCTTCTTCGTCGGATGAGCCGACACTCGACCCAAAACTCGGCGCACGGCGTCGTCCGGCTGGCGCGGCACCAGCCTTGACCGCTTGTCTCCTTGCAGCCTGACCGGGTCGTGTGTACGCAGAGATACGAGCCTGCTTCCTGGCCTCGGCCTGGTCCAAAAAGTCGAGGTTGGCGATATCCAAGTTGAGATCGTTGCCGCGGCCAGCAATGCTCGTCGTTTGCGTTGTCGTCCGTGTCTCGGTCGGGGCATGATGCTTGTGATGTCCCGACGTCGACTTTTTAGCATTCTTCGATCGCTTCGATGCAGTTTTGCTCTGATCCGCAGATTGCGAGTTAGACGGGTTCGAGACAAACTGTGGCATCGAGCTCGTGGTCATGGAGCTCGTGAGATTCACCGGCTTGCCTGGGCGACCAAGGATCACATCGAGCCATGTCCGACGAACGGTAACTCGCTTGCGGTCCTTTGGGTAGCGAATGCCAAACGGCTTGAGGATGGCACCGATGATTGACTTGTACTGGGCCGTTGCTTCCTCTCCGAAGCCGAAGAAGATGAAAAAGTTGATGCCACACACGGGCAACGTCCAGAACGAGATGGACATGTAAATATTGGCGTTTGGTGTGAGACCCAACATGAAGCGCGACAGGTACACGATGCGCATCCAGTTGGAATGCGTATCCTCCCAGCTCTTCCAGGGATAAATCTTATACGCGGTAAAGTTGACGACGAGGTACCATAGCGCGAGCGGGAGGTGAACAGAGATGGATACGGCAGAGAGGCAAAGCAGGCGCAAATAGCGACCCTTGTTGGTGTTGGAGCCGCTCGCGAGGACGGCGTCAAATTCTTTGCGACGCTTGAGGAAGAGTCGGATCGTCAGACCGGAGAAAACGGCCGTGATGAGGCAGACGATGGGCTCAAAGGAAAAGATGGTGGCCAACGCAACAGGGGTCATGTACTGGGTGGCGACCGGACCGATATCCTCGATGACATTGTAGCGGTGGCCTTGGTTGACATAGTGAATGACCTTGAAGATGATCGGCATCCCGTAGCAGATGAAGTAGGTCACGTATTTCTGCTTTGTTTTCTACCAGAGCCAGTTTAGTCAGTTTTCGGAAGCAGCGGCCGAGCATGGTGGAGACAAACCTCCTTTGGTGTAACGAGTACTCGCTTTGTCCTTGCAATACTCCAAAGACGATACTGGATGCACAGGATGCAGCAGGCAAGGGCAAAGCCGTAGACGGCAATCCAGGCAGCGCAAATGTCGCCCCAGATTGGATACGGATTTCGGAGATTGCCATGCCAGACAATGGGATTCACGGTGACGATGATGAGGATACCAAATGTCCAGAAACCGGCCGCAATCGTCGCAATGTTGCCGGCGCGCCAATGGGCTGGGATGGGGAACAGGACGAGGAGGGAACAAAAGGCGCAGATGATTGGATACGCCGGGTAGATGTAGCTCATATCCTTGAGGACCATGTTGGGCGACTTGGGGGATTTTGATGCTGGAAAAGCGTGGCCGCAAGGTGAGCGAGCTGTAGGGACCTCTTTCGGGAGCTCTCAAGTCGTCAAAACGGCTCGAAAACGTCGACAAGGACGAGCAAGGGAGAGGGAGGGTCCAAGCTGCTGAGCTTTGAGCACCGAGCACCTCGAGGGCTTTAGATCGACGCGAATGGAAAGAAAGCAAGGCGCTTGGCGGCCTTGGGCGTTATCGCAGCTATTAGCCCATAGCCATCCCATTATTACGGAAATATCAAATAGATATACTTTGGATCTATAATCAGATCACCAGTGGCAAATCGGAGTCTGGTCATGCGCCTCTGGCCAGATACACGTTCCATCTCCCCCATTTCTGGCAGTGAGCTACTATCATCTTGTCCATGTACTATATGCATAATGAAAGTAGGTTTTATCGACATTTCACGGCTACGCAGGGTTCTACCGAAAAGGACAGACAATGGGAGCTTCGATAGCTCGCCCAGAGATTACTGTTATGCAGCGTCTTGCCGCTGACCACGACAGACTCGAGCAAGTTTCTCGACACGTACGATGGCTTCTAGTGCTCCCCAGATGACCACCGTCCCAGAGCTCTCAGCAGTCGTCTCGTCTGCTCCCTCGGCACGGCCAGTGCTCAATACCACGCTCGATGAAAAGCGGCCACTGTCGGTAAGCACCATTTCATCGTCCTTTCCTCGTTTCTCCGAGTTGACGGTCATGCTATAGACGGCGACGGATGCCTCGTCGGTCCTTTCTAGCGTCGACTCGCCCAAGGGAGATCTTGTCCCACTCCCCTCGTCTTCTACGACGTCCACATCGCCAAAGCACAGAAAACACCGTCACCATCACCATCATCATCACCACCACCGCCGACATTCGCATCGGCATCAACCCAAAGACGTCGCTGTCAATGAAAAGAATGATGGTCAGCTCCTTTCGCCCGTCGACACTGTAAAGTCGCATCCATCCGAAGTCATGACTCTCCCAAATTCGTCTGCACTCGCCCTGGATCTCGAAGACCCCCAGAATCAACCAAACCTGTACGAGACCATGCCCACTGCGCAACCCAAAACACCCAGTTTCCTCCAACGACACTTGTTTATCATTATGATGATTCTCTGCGGGGTCGTCATTCTCTCTGTGGTCCTTGGCGTCGTCCTCCATGCCGTCCTCTCCTCGAGGAGGAGCGATTTCGTCTCAACAGGAGTATCCGTTCATACTTCGGATAGTCTCACTTTCGTGTCGATTGCACTCAACACGGGCTCGACCACACCTCCTGTGCCCACCTCTTCCGCTCAGTAATGACCAGACACGAACGCTCTTCATGTCTTTCCACTCCAGGCTTGATGCTTTTACCATTCGCTCTGTATTGTTGTATCGTTATTCTTGTCCTCACCTATTGGAACGGAGATGCTGTTGGTTACCATTGTCGGATTCTTGAGCGTGCGCCATCTCCGAGCGAATCCTTCCATCGACTACCTTTTCTCCTCTGGGTATAAATATCGCTCTTTCCCTCCTTAGTCTGCACGACCAATGGAGGCACAACGCTGTACGCTCCGCTGAGAATACGCGTACGAATGAGCCAGGCAAATGCTTGATCGAGAGCACGAGAGTATGCAAAGGATGGGTGGCGGAGGAGATGTGCGAGTCGCGTCGCCCCGCGTCCCGACAGGGCATAGGCGTGTGTACATAATGGAGAATTAGAGCGATGGAGGGATGTCTTGCGGCCGTCTAGACGTGTAATAACGAGCGGTGGATAGCGACGCTCGTCCGACCAGCAGTGGCCTAGTTCGTCAGTCAACCTGTGATTAGCAAGGACGACAAGCTTACCAAGCATCACGAGTTCCCAGTTTGCCGGGAGAGCTTTCCATAGCGTTACTAATCGCTCTTCAATGTCCCACTCGAAATCAATGTCGTCCTCTAGAATGATAAAGGTCTGGTTCCCATCCCCATCCCTGGTTTTCAGTGCAATATCTCGTATCAGTGTGGCGTGCGAATGCCAGCATGCAATCATGGCTCGTGTTAATGAGACTGGAAGAGTTGCATTGGAGATGTGCTTGTGGGGATTGAATGGGTTCCCTTTCTCCACCAAGAGAGTGTGGTCCGAGTCTGGGTCGAGGAGATCGGGTAGTGGGAGATACCGTTCATCTTTGGCGTCGTCCCGCAACGGAGTCCGACCCCAGTAGTCGCTGCCCCATGCAACATCGAGACCATGGCTCCAAGAGTCTTCAAACGATCCAATATTGGGTTTGGAAATGTTAGAGAGGATGGTTTGTCGCTCTTTTCGTCGCTGCCACCGTACATGCTGCTCGATGCGCGCTATTCGTGGATCCGACGCATCTGTAGCCATTGAATAGGACGAAATAGATGTCAAATTTGTGTGTTTGACGAAACCAAACGCGTTCAAAAGTGGACTCAGTGAGGCTCTGCGGTCTGCTCGGCGTTGGAGAGAAATGATAAAGACATGCGATGCGACTCCCCAGACCAGATGATTGTTTTGTATTCTTGGATGGACCAACACCTGCTTTCGGCTGTGGTAGAGTAGCAGGACCACCAGACCGGTACCGACAAGGGTGACGAGTAAGAAGAGGCGCGTCCTGATCATTAATTAAGGTAAAAAGGGATTGCCGGGATATGAGTAGGATGGCCGGGCCTGGATTGTCCTGGAGACGACGGGTTCAAGCCAGAGATAAACTTGGACCCGACGACGACGATGGCGAGCGAACCTCCACCGCCGTTTCACCAGCAGCAGCAGTATCACCAGCCTCCAGCATTTGCAACGCAGCCCGTAAACTTCAACGACTCGCACTCAGACTTTTTCCAGCGCGCACCCACAGACGGCAATCCAACGGGTATCCAGCACGAGGAGAGAAGGACGTACAACGATAGATCAAGCGTTCTCACTGGCTGGACCTCTGGCATCACCGTCCCCTATCACTCTGAGAAGCGCGACGATGGCCAAACGCACGCCCAAGCCATTGCAAACGAGTACAGCAATCGAGCTTCACGCATGGAGCCCTCCGCGACGTACAATGCCAGTCCAAACGCCAGGCATAGCCAGGCCCTCTCGGGCGGTGGCGACAGGAAGAGTGTCGGTCCCGTACGTCTTGGGTAATTTGCTGTATATTGTATTCCGCGCTCACATTTGCCGTCGGATACCCGGGCACGGTGGTATATTAGGACTCTGCAGGCCTGTCCTACATCGACGAAAACTTTCGCTACTATTCGTCACGAGGAACACCCGTTTCACACGACCATCGACGATTAGACTCGCCTACAGACGCACACGACGCACCCCTCGTCTCCAACGCCGCAGACATGGACGGGAGCGGGCACAGACTGAGAGATCTAGGCAAGTCGGTCATTCTAGCTGCCCCGAGTTATGCTATGCAATTTCCTATGCCCCCATACGAGTGACATTCTACTTTTGTTTTCCCCGTGCCCTGCCATCTGGCCCGTAGCGCTAACCAACCCGCCGTTCCTCCAGAATACGCCGAACCACCCAGCAACAATAGAAAACTCAATCTATGGGGGAAACTTGTAGACAGAAATCACGGATCTTCGCTCGAACAACAATTAGAGCGCCGCAAGCGGGGAATCCAGCGACAACGCCGGCCCTATGTCGTCTGGTTCTTGACAGTGGTCATGCTTGCAGTAATGATGTACGTCTCTCCTCTCCTTTTCCTCCCCATTTCCTCTCCATCTCCCTCATCAAACTCGACGGCGCAGCTTGGCTGTGCACTCATTTGACTTGGCGACTTTGGCTACAAGAACCCGCACTAATTCCTCCTCTTAGCTACGAGATTGTCGAAAATAAACGAGTAACCGGCTCACCATTCGCGTTCAAACCACAACTCAACCCGATGATCGGTCCAGCCAGTATCGAGCTCATAACGCTCGGTGCGCGCTTCCCACCATGTATGAAGTTTATCCCGGACGTTCCACCGACCCTCTCCATCGGCTGTGCCAATGCGACCTCGACCACACTTACATCGTCTACCATATGCACCATTGAAGATGTCTGTGGATTTGGCGGCTTTGGTGTTACGGCAACGGGGGCGTCCAAGGAGCCCAATCAATGGTTCCGGTTCATCACGCCCATCTTCTTGCATGCAGGAATCATACACTTTCTACTTAATATGTTTGCCCAGTGGGTGTTGAGCGGACAGGTGGAAAGAGAAATGGGCTCCATTGGATTCTTCATTCTGTACTTTGCGTGTGGCGTCTTTGGAAACATTCTCGGTACGATTTTGGGCCGGTAATCAAAGACGTAAAACTCACTCTGGCATAGGAGGAAACTTTGCGCTCGTCGGTCAGCCTAGTGTTGGCGCGAGTGGTGCAATCGTCGGCACTCTGGCTGTGCTTTGGGTGGATTTGATTGCTCATTGGAGTATCGAGTACAAGCCCGTGCAAAAGGTAGGAGATAACCAAACGTTGCCCTAAGGGTTTGACACCATAGCAGCTCATTGGACATATCATCAATCTCGTTCTCGTCGTCGGAATGGGATACATACCTGGTGTAGATAATTTCTCGCATCTTGGAGGACTATTGATGGGCCTGATTGTCTGTTTTTCAATCGACTTTTTACAATAGCTAACCATTCTACAGACTGGGATCATTCTCCTGCCTATCATTTCGACGACAAAAAGACACAAAATGATAGTTTGGGCCCTACGAATAGCAATGATTCCACTTGCAATCGTCCTCTTCGTCGTTCTCATCCGCAACTTTTACACCGGTGACCCATCAAAAGCGTGCTCGTGGTGTCGCTACCTTTCATGCATCCCAACCGCGAATAATAATCGCTGCAGAGGCACCGGTCTCACCACAACTACAATAAGCAACTAGTTCACCGTTCAGAATCTCATCTCGTCGTCTTGTCCATTACATCAAGTTGTATCCTACCTGGGCACGTTACCCATCCACTCCCTCTACCATTCAATCATTCAATAGTATGAATTTCTTGGAGCACTGATTCCTCTTGGACATGTTTCGTCCCAATGGACTTACTTATTCATATGCGCCCACATCCCCTTTAGCTCGTTTTGACTCAGAACTGCCCACTTCCCATCGCTAGTCTGTGTTACGAATGACCCATCTGCATCGAATCTGACCTGATTTACTTTTTGGTGCTATTCGCCTCGAGAATGTTTGAATTGAACAGTCTAAACCCTATATGGCGAACGCTTTTACCATGAGGTTGAGACGAATGAGGTGGACCTCGAGAGTGTTTTCTGATAATACTCAAACGTCAGGAGAAGAGCTCGGCGAGAAGGTCGCTGGGCAGGTTAGTCAGTAAGGACTCGATGTTGGCGTCGTAACATACGTAGTATTGGAAGGCTGCCCTGTGATAACAGCTTCTGCGTGGGAGACGAGTGCTGCAGTTAGCTCTGAAGGAGATGTCCTGCCACGCTTTCCGAGTGCAGTGGCGAGATAGCCAGCTACTCGCGGTGAAGCCATCGACGTGCCACTTTAAGAGTATCAGTTTTCAGTATATGCACAGTTAAAGCGCATACCTAAGAACTCTGGTGTCACTCGGGTCGTTGATCCCTTTGGAGGATGAACAATGTAGTCATAAAAGAAAACCAATGGAACGTACATGCAGCGGTAACGTCCACTCCGAGAGCAAAGACATCTAAAAGTGGTCCAATATTGGAGAACGACGCGCTATAGAGAATGGTGAACGTTGTGGATTGGTAGTGTGTTTAACCTACGCTTTGTTGTCACTATCCGAGGCCCCAACGACGTTTGCTTCTTCGACTATGATAGATCAGAATCATATGTGAGATACAGCAAATTGCCTACCAGATGAAGGCGACGAGAAACTTGCATCTGTGCCTGTGTTACCTGCAGCAATGGCAAAGTGAACTCCTGAAGCGATTGCATTCTTGACTGCATTGTCGAGAGTAGAGTCTTGAGGTCCTCCGAGGCTCATATTGGCTACACTCGGTCGTCCACTAGCAGCAGCTTGCTGCATGACCCATTCGATACCTTGGTAGAATTAGCGATATGGTTGCTCAAGGGACAACGTAGTGCACTTACCAGCAATAATATCAGAGTATCCGCCGTTTCCTGATGCACCGAGGACCTTTACGGCAATGATATTGGCGGCTTTCGCTATACCGTATTGAGCACCGGCAGCCGTGCTGGCGGTATGCGTCCCATGACCAGAGTCATCAGTATCGTTATAGCCGCCAAATGTGGCTCCCCAGACGGCTCGACCACCAAAGTCATTGTGAGCCAGGTAAATACCCGTATCTACAAGGCGTAAGTGGAGACCTAACCGTTTTATCGAATCTGTACCTATCCCGTATATGTCCACACCTTGGCCATTCGTACCGTTTGTAGCCTGAGCTGTCGCGCGACCAAAGGCGTCGACGACAGCCCGCCTCGATGGTTTGGCTTCCTCCATCCGAACGCTTCCGATGTGATCAGGGACAATATAGTCGACGTCTGGGTTGGCGGCGAGTCTCTGCAAGGCGGCACCGGTAATCTTTGCACTGTATCCATTGAGAGCTCTGCTATATCTATGCTTCACAATGGCCGTGTTTGAAGTGTCCAGGATAGAAAAGGTGCTGGAAATGGTGTTGATATGTGCCGCTTGGTCGGAGCCCTTCTTCAAAACACTACAACCGGTAAGCCACAATCTGCCGTATGAAAGAATACTTACACAATGTACGAATCTGGCGCTGTTTCTCCAAGAGCGCGACGTATGTGTCCAGCAAGCACGTCGATGGGAGCGATGGTGAGTGCCAGGAGGGCGAGAGATGTGAAAAACCGCATTGTCCGAGACAAAAGGAGTGGGGAGAGAAACGATTGTATGGTCTATTAGTGAGCAGAAATGTGGTTTAAAAGAGCGGGAGTGGCGACGCTGTTGAACGTCGGGATAACGCGCTAGCAACGCCTTTTTGAATAGACGAATCAGCTCTCATGGGAATTTCAAGCTGTAGTGCGTACGATCAAATAGATAGCCTCTGCCCGGAGCGCAGCGAGTAGTCAGTCGATGTGGTTGGAATCCAAGTTTACTCAAATTTGTCACAGAGGCCGAGGTGATTGTGGAGACGCGAAAGATGGCGTATTTTCAAGCATATACCCTCTATAATTGCCGAATTCAGATTATTCACATAAAGTCGGCCAACGGCTGTCGCTGCCGCTCGCCTTCTTAGAGCGTGACCTACGAAGAGTCCGAGGCTACATAATCACGTAATATATGCTCTTCCGTATGCCTTTGTTCGTTCGAGAGCTCGTCGTCGTCGTGCTCCCCGTTCAATTTGGTTGCCTTATTGCTTTTCACCGATGTTCTTGCCAGTGGCTCTGAACCATGGTCATCGGCATTTCAAAGATAATGAATCCAATGGAATTAGACTTGCCAGACGTTGCTATTCTTGGTCATCGACTGACCACTGGTAGGGAAGCCTGGGAGGACAAAGACGAGTCTAAGATGCCAGCAAATGAGACCTGCAGATTCAAGAACGGTCGGCATTGACCCGAAGCGGCTTGGGCAGAAGCATGCAGGCGCACTCCATACCCACCCTTTTCCCGTCGATATATCCTACCGAGAGAACGAGCATGATCTGTAGCATCCAAAGTCTCTTCGAATGGATTAACCGATACGGCTTCCTCTCCTGTTCAAACTCGGTGCATTGCAAGGGAGAACTTTAGAGTATTCCTGTCTCGTATTCTTCGGCAAGAATGGCTCTACTGCTTGGCTATGCGTAGTCTGGGAGACTTCAGAGCTGTGACAGAGTCGTTGAGCCTTGAGGGCGATTTACTGCGGCTGAGCAAAATTCCTTGTTCGGATGTACCTTGGAAATCCTACAAGTTTATTGGACTCGCTCATGCTTGATCACCTCTGAACTACACTTTTGAAGGTGGAGTCCAAGTTTGATCTCGACCAATATGCGATTTCGATGAAAAGGGCACTCAGACATGTCAGAAATATCGCAACAAAGAATGGAATTACACCCAAAAACCCCTCTCGCAAGCCTATTTCACGTCTATCGACACCAGAGCTTCGTAACTTGCCGCCGTTTTCTCCCAATGCCGTAACCCATGTTCAAGTGAGGCTCAATATAACACCAATGTTCTTCTGACCTATTGGGATACCTAGTTTCGACGTACATCGCCTGCCTCTGTGGGCCACTTATTCTTTCACGCACCTAGTTTCAGCGGACCTCTAGATACATCTCATCCACTCGCCAGAGAGTCTCATCCTCTCCGGAAATGTCCAAACTACACCTCTTCATTCTTACGCGCAACAGCAATTCCGCATGCAGTCCTCGCGCACGTTATACCCGAACAGATGCCGCCTTTCAACGATTCTGAGCCTTGGACCCCTCGTGGATATACGCTCCACGGCACACAAGTTAACAAGATTCGATATAGGATGAAGCAAGACAACCCCAGGGCGGTGTACGCTTCGTTCTTGATCGTGTGTTCCAAGAGCGCTGTCCACAAGGATGCGGTGATACGGAGGAAGATTGCGCGGAGAATCCGTGAGGCTATTAAGCTCATTATTACCCGAGGAGCCCAGCCGAATGAAACTGGATCGGGCATCTCGTTTGCAGAGAAAGATATTGGAGAAGAAAAATGGCTTCTACCAGGTACTGTACACCCTTTGTGTAGTGAGTATTCGACTCAGCTTGATAGGGCACTCCTACGTAGTGTTTGCGCAGTTGGAGGCATACCGAACACCTTGGCCGGACTTACTCAAAGTCATCAGAGATCTACTCTATAATATCAAGCAAAAGAGCAGATCAATGGATCGACATTCCCGCCCTTTGACCCCTTCAAAGACTTCCGCCACCAAGCCTAAATCTCCTCTTGATTCTGTACACAGGAGGTCCCTGGAACCTTACAAGAAACCAGTTGGCTCTTCTTCCCCTTCCCCTTCACTAGCCCGAACCAGGCCACCATCTAGCCCGTCCTCTGGTCGCCAGTTTTCGACAGGACCGAGCCAATCCAAAATCCAAGGACCTGTAGGCAGGCACAGCGATAGCGAAGTTCTCAGTGCATCATTCGGCTCCACCTATCTACTTCCACCAGAGAACGACTACCGATCACACAGACGGCGACAGATGTATCGCGCCGAGATCGTCCTTGGCCAACACAGCTTCAGTCCAGCATTTTTTCATCTTTTTCCAGACCAAATCGATACTAAGAGTAGCCTGGACATGCTTCCATCCGTAGTCCATCCCACACGGCCAGAGGTGGTCAAACTTGGTGACAATGTACCTGGGTCAATCCCAATACACTGGGTACACGACCCCTCGACGTCATTGACCAGTGCTCCGATTCACATGGAGCTGGGAGAAGCCTCGGACGATCTGGCAGAGGGATATGTGCTCTACCAACCCGCAAACGACTCCTCCGCAGACCCTTTCGATGAAGAAGTTTGCGACATCTTGCCTCTACTCGATGCAGCTACTCTCCTGCGATATCGAATCCCACACTTGCCTCACCACCCGGGCGCAGGTCTAGAGGTTCGCTTCCGTCGGAACCAGCACTCGTATACGTCTCTCGACAAAACCTCCGAGTCGGGGAATGATATGAAACAGGAGTTTGACCGAAAGATGTCCCAAGCTGTCATCCAAAGACGCAAACAACGCAGAGCACTACGTGCTCGCTGGAATACGATCGATCCGGCTTGGCTCGAGAAGCTCAAATGGCGTGAAGAACGACGTTTGGAAAATCTCTACCAGATTAAATTTAGCGATGTCGAGAAGTACGGACTCGACCTTGGAAGACCCAATGGCAGAAACGAGGAAGTTGATATGACCGATGCGGATGTGCCATGGTGGAAACCCCGACGAGAAGATTTTGGCTGGGATAAAGTCTTAGACTTCGAGGGGAAGCGCGACTATACTTATCGACCGTTAGTACCTCGACCCAAGTGGTCGGAAAGACCACCAGAGGGACGTGACAAGTAGTCAAATTGTATCGTTAATGATCTATTACATACACACACATCTTCTCCTCATCGAGCGACATTCAAGGTTCATTGGTCGTGGTGGATGATGAGATAATGAAATGGTCCTGGGAACTTGCTTGGTCGCTTCGTACTCTCACCGCATTTCCATAGCCAGAAAGGACCGGCGGGATCATGTTCCTCGTGATCTGCAGAGCTCCAGATTCCAACGACACCCGCACGGCTTTGGACGCGGCCGAGTTGCACGCCTTCGGATGACCATTCGTGTCCACCGACCCTCGTATTCTGCGTTTCGACCATTAATATCCAACGTATGAATTTGGATGTTAGGAACTAAAACTCACAAAGCTCCATCGAACTTGACCTGCCTCGGTCATGCTGACCGTGCCCTCGGTAATACGATGCATGCTAACGTCATGCGGGTAATTCGGGATCGCGGTGTCACCCACGAAATGAATCGTTGGTCGATGTGGGTATCCCGGTGGACCGGTTTCTTCAACTTGACGACGGTAAAATAGGCGCGTATAACACGAAAAGCTTCTGCAAAATTCTCGTGCTCAAAGACTGCAGTAGAAAGTTGTCCTTCTCCTCCTTCAGTATCGAAATTCGACCACTTGGGCAGAGATAAGTGTCTGATTGAAAAGTACATAGACACACTTACGTTGTACGCATGTAAATCACGGTAGTCCATGAAAGATACGGTGCGCATCCAGACACCCTCTACACCGGCCCAGTCGTTATACTTCGTCTTAGCCGTGTCTTCCTCTTTCTCCACATGGAGATCTTGTTTAGGCATACTGAGCGCTCTGAGTCCGCCAATTCCATCGATTGGAAGATCGCAATTGTTCCTCTCGTGTGCGTTATGCCGCAGTACGTCGATAATGTGCCATAGGTGGATATAGTTGATCTCTCCATCCTTGCTGCCGTCTTTGAATGGAAGCCATGGACCCCATTTGTTGCGTTCATTATAGTTGCGCATATTATAAACGTATGCCCGCGAGGGAAGCCGCGAACTTGCGCTGGCGAGTGGGAGAATAGGTAATGATGCCGACGTCCTCGCGTCCACTAAAGCGGCGAGAACGCGTAGCTTTGCACTCGACTGTGTTGTAGGCGGCGAAAGTATGACACCGCGCATGCACTCGGTGACATATGTCTCGTTCTTTGACGAGACGTTCAAAGCCTGGCCAGGTAGAGCGTTGATAGCGGTCTCCATCAACGCATTGACCGCGTCTTCGTCTACAATGTCTTCAAATTCCTCGATTTCTGCAGTGTGCGACTGTTCGAGTCGAAACTTGGCCCGGAACCGACGCTGAGCTTCGCGCTGCCAGTTGAATACGACCTTGTCGACCGGTGTATTTGATTCTAGTGAAAGAGCCTGACGTGGGTCATCAAAAAATGCGAGGAATATGGACCGCCAGAGATGCCCATCGAGAGGAATGTTGATGAGCGTGCGAAGAAGGCTGCAGGTGGCCGAAAGGGAGGCAATGGACGCTGGAGAGACGATTGCAGCGTCGAGGATGATTACCTCTTGTATTTCTGTTGGGATATTGAGCAGCATTGGTCGTGGAAGGAGCTCAAGTCTGCGCGGGTCAAACTGACTAAGTATCACCAACGACTCGGACATCCGAGCAAAGGTCATCGGAGGTTAGTAAAAACTCGTACGATTCGCTATTTCTAGTCTTTCTGGCGAGTCGCTTTGGAGGATCCTGAATTGACCTGAACCACAAAAAGGCAGTTTACGATTGTCAAAGGTGTATTAGAAATTAGTAGAAAACAACCTGTTCCCCACGATTAATGTACGGGTTACATAGTCAAGCTCAAATCTACAGATCCTCACTGAAAGCGGGACCCAAACAGACGAGCTCCGGCTTAATTGAGCCCAATAGTTGTTCTGCGCGTCTTTCTGATACCCTCTGAGCACCAAAGAAGCCAAAGAGTTACAGACCTTTTGGGGACCTGCAGAAGTCGCGGCCAACTTTGAAGTTTTGGGCGCTTACTTGACTCTGGACCCAGACGCGACCGGCCCAAGTCAAAAATGATCTTACGACTGCTCCCATATCCTACACTTGCTCTTGCATTGAGCTGGAGCTCTCTGTTTGGAAGCAAAGGTGTCGCTGCAGACCAATACGTTATGCAACCTGAAGGTCCAGGCGTCCTTGTACCAAGCAACCCACGTATTGCAATTATCGGAGCGGGAGCAGCAGGTTCTTCGGCGGCAAATTGGATTGGATTCGCCACAGGACGATCACAAAAGGTTGTTGGAGTCGACGTGTTCGAACGCGCGGATTATGTTGGCGGCAGTAAGTCCTAGAGATGGTCATTAGACGAATCTAACGCGTGGGTAGGGAGTACGGTCGTCTACCCATACAATGACACGGCCTTAGCACCGGTAGAACTGGGGGCATCCATATTCGTCGACGCGAACAAGAATATGGTCCGCGCTGCCCTCCAATATGATTTAGAGACGATTGAATTTGGTGAAGACAATGAGCTGGTCGGAATCTGGGACGGGTCGCAATTCTTGGTCACCGTGCGTCTTCCGTCTTCCGACTAACCTTTTGCTTGTGTGCTCATTATGCCGCAGACAGGCAACAAGGGTTTCTTTGGCAAAATTTGGGAGAACATCCGGCTACTCTGGCGATACGGCTATCGATCCCCCATGACCGTGAATGCGCTCGTCAAGCAAATGGTCAACACCTATCTCTCGCTCTATACAACCATCACTTCCTGGAATAGCGTCGAGGCCGTCTCGTCTGCCCTCAATTTTACCTCTCTGACTGAAGTGGACACGGCGACCTATCTCGCAAACCAAGGGATTGGCGAGGCATTCGCATTCGAGGTCGTCGAGAGTGCCACGCGTGTCAACTATGCGTCTAATCTAGATGACATACACGCGCTCGAGGGGCTAGTTTCCATGGCCCCAAACGGTGCCAAATCTATTAAAGGCGGAAACTACCAAGTTTTCGCCAACATGCTCAAATTCTCCGAGGCCAATGTACACCTAAAGACCAAGGTCAAGTCTCTCCAACGCGGAGATGACGATAAATGGACGCTCATTGCGATCAAAGACACACCGTCGGGACCAACGACCATGATCGAGAAATACGACGCGGTCATTATAGCTGCGCCGTACGACACGCTTGAGATTGATCTACCGAGCTCTGTCGCTCCAGTTGCACCAACAGCGTACACTCATTTACACGTGACACTTCTCACCACAAAATCACCACAACCGAAGGGCAAATACTTCCATTTGAAAGATGAAGCAGTGCCTACCATGGTTCTCACAACTGCACAAGGGATACGAGCTGGCCGTACACCACCCGAATTCAATTCGCTCAGCTATCATGGCAAAGTGGCGGAAGATCGGGACGAGTGGAATGTCAAGATATTCTCTATGCAGCCCTTGAGTGATGAGTGGTTGCACGACGTATTTGGACATGTGGGATGGGTGCACAGAAAAGAGGTCAGTATCCTTCCTTTCCTAAAGCAAGGCACTGACTGGAGACTGCTACAGTGGGACGCATATCCGAGACTGCCACCCACGACGCGATACAATCCAATGAAGCTTGACAAGAATCTGTATTATGTAAACGGATTCGAGTCGTTCATTTCGACAATGGAGACGCAGACGTTGGCGTCACGTGGAGTAGTGGAATTGGCGATGCACGAGCTCTTTGGGTTTGGATTGTGTCCACCTGACTACCAATCGTCGCCACCAGAAGATGGAGAGTTCATTTGGGGATGGGATTGTTAGACGTTTCGATATTCATCTTGATCGTAATTGAGATGTTAGATTTATAGACTCATGCAAACCGCGTGTCGGTCGGCCCATTGCAATGCCTGCAACTTGGACTTCAGCCATTTCGACTTGCGAGATGCGAATGAAAGACGTGCCCGGTCCGGCGACCAACGAAGAGCTCAGGACACTGTACCCACCATTGTACACATTTCCTCAGCTCAAAGGCTTCATCGAATCGGGGTGCGCTTCTTTCGCGACGCAGATGTACAGAATTCTGAGCACACCACGCCGGCGAATAGCGACTTGGGGCTTCTGAAGCGACATCCAGATTTGCAAACACGGTACAATACGTGGTGTGCTGCCGTCAAGGAGGAGTACGGAACCCTCGGTAGTGCGCTCTCCATCTCAGTCTATGAACTACTCATCAGGTCTATATGCCAATGCGTTTTTTTAGTGGATTACCTCGTCCGAGTTCGTCTCGGCTGGGCGGAAGATGTCAAGCCAAAGCCGACATTTGCGAGTGCGACCAACTCGGCTTCTGCGACTCCAAACCCACTCGTCTTTCGCGCGGATCTTCCTGAAGGATACATCAAGGTCATCCCGAACGATTGGCCATACTCCGGTGTGCCTATTTGCTCCAACCAATCACTTTAATCTTACAACGCCTGATACACAGTTCCATTGGATGTATCACACTTTGTAATCTGGTCACGCGTACCTGCCATCTCACCCGCTAATATTCCAATCTCGATCCAAGACATTGTCAAACACGAGGGCCTCTGGGGCTTCACAGGAAACAGCAATCAAGAAGCACCCATACCACCAGAAGGCGTCGAACCCCGCCAACCGCTTTCGGAGATGCAAGCGACGCATTTACTGGAGGCCTGTTCAGAGTTTGATAAATACGTCAAGATAAATTGGCCTGAAGACAATTGGGAGTGCGCATGGTTTGTAAACCCTCCGGTGGGTCTTTCTCCATCAAGATGCTACCTGCACCGCTAATGGCTTGCAGAGGTTGCAGAGTGTGCCCGGTCTTGCGCATATTCATGTTTTCGCCCGTCGCAAATGACAGACAATGGAACATACTATAGAATACATAGCATCGATACACATTTTTATTAGAAACCTATTCCTCTGCTATATGCTCAAAAAATTGCTTCAGTGTCGCGGACAGGACGTCGGGAAGAGCGTTGACATCCCGCAAGACAACATAGTACTCGAACGGGAACGTATCGAGGTACCGTTCGATCGTCAGGTCATCACGAACTTGCTTCATGAATAAAATGGAATTCTCCACCTTGCCACCCCCGCCTTGGGTGCGAGCGAGTGCGTCGACGACAATGAATACGACGAGGATACGCTGCTCGCGTGCACGTCGGATGACAGCGCGCAGCTCGTCGTGATTCGAGCAGATCCCATCCGAGATGATGATCTCCAATTGCCATAGATTCGCTGCACCGCTTGACCCATTTCCGCGCCGCTCTCTCGCCTCTTGTAGAACTGATATGCTTGTCTCAACGAGAGCCAGAACGTCTGTCGAAGTTTGACTGAACGTAAAGCTGTTCATTACCCTGGCACCAGCGGCATCGTTGAAAGGCCCGTCATCGAATCCATGTAAAACCTGAACGCTTTCGCCAAACTTGACGATCGAGATGTCTCCGGCCTCGAGCCTTGTGAGCGCTTTGGACACCAGGGCCAACGTCTCGAACGACAGGTGCTCCGAGTGCGACTCGGACATGGACCGTGAGTCGTCGAGTGCCAGAAGGATCTGGTATTCGCGTTGGCTTGGGCGTGTACGACGGAGCCAGATCTTGTCCTTTGTATACTCGCTCGCAATGTAGGGAATAATCTTCTTCATGTTCAGGCGCTTTCCCGTCCGGTAATCTCCGCGCAGTCGTGTGGCCTTTGTCGGCTCGAGGGTCAGTCGGAGTTGTTCACAGAGGCCCCAGGCGAGGTCGTGGGTAAGCGAAGAATACAGACGCCACATTGTCTCCGCGCTCTCAGTGCACTCTGGATCATTTTGCCAGGCCACCAACCTTGACTCGACATCATCGCTTGTCAAAGGTTGGCGTTCCGAAGATGGAAGCTCTGCCCGGCCATTTTGAGTTCCAAATTGACGACGAATCTCGTCTCCAACGAGGGCTTCTTCGGACCTTTCGCCACTGCCTTCCTTCTGGGCGGAGCTGGATAGAGGCTTTGGAGTTTGCTTCGGCGTGAGTTGGTGGTGGGAACCTTCATCTTCCAAATCGACCAAGTCTGTATCCTCTTGATCAAGCTTCTCGGTAGTCTCATCGATGAGATTGAGATCACGCAGACGAGCGATTTCATCTTCGGCGGTACCAAGTGCTAGTTGAGTATTCTCGTCTTCTTCAACAGCATGCTCCACAGATTGAAACTCTGTCTTGTCTGCTGGTAGGTGATTCGCTTGAGAGAGTCTCTCTAAAATCTCCTGATAGTTGCGGCGGACTTGAGACAGAGCTTCTGCGACGGATCGTGGTGTTGTTTGTACTTGGTCAGACATCGACACCTCTTGATTTCCGCTCGATTGTCTCGATTCAACTGGGGCTTCTCCTGTGGCAGTGGCTTCTGTCTCTGCATTGTTGCCCATGCCACTATTGCCCTCGGGTTGTCTAGAAGTTGGTCAGAAGTGACTCGCGAGAGAAAGGGAGGCGATGCATACTGGTCTGTATTTAGAGCTTCATTCGCGTCGTGCATTTCCTCATCCATGTCTCTGTCCGCGTTTGCTTCAGTCCCGAGTTCGAGCATAGAAGTACCGCCGCCCCGAGTATCCTGCTGTCCGCTTCCCTCTACTTCATCCGGCTGCGCAATGGCATCTCTATTCTCTTCTGGCAGGGTGCCTGGCTCGTCTTCTGTAGCCTCTAGTTGCTCTTGGTATTCCATGTCGTGTTCGTCATCATCTCGTTGCTTCTCGTTGTTGTCGTCCGCCATTTCACTGAGCTCGTCCATGTCTCCGCTGCCTTGCTCCTCCTCATTAACCTCTCCTTTTTCGCCCATATCAAGGTCGTCCGGCAATTCGAGCGCTTCACCATCTTGTGGTAAATCCTCCATTGGAGCACCTGCATCATTGGGCATATTGGTGGTATCTGGGGCATCTTCACCCTCTTCATCCTCCTCTCCTACGGCACCTCCTCGGTGTCTGGCGGTGCATCTTCCATTTTTGGATCCTGCTGGCTCCGCTTATTGCTATCGTCTCTCTTTGCCCCAACTTCGGACTCCCCAGGCACCTCTTTCGAAGGCTGATCTGTAGTTTGATCCTCCTTCCGATCCCCTTTGTCCGCCTTTCCTTCCCACAATTTCTCGTCGACAGCCCCGGGATCTGCAGGGTCCAGATTCTCGGCCCTTTCCTCGACTTCTGAAGCGTCCGAATCGGAATTGTCGTCCTCGCCGTCATTCTCATCTTGGGCTACATCCTCTAAATCTCCTTCAAAGTCGTTGGCCATCTCTCTTCCTTCTTCCTTGCTTTCGGTCATTTGCTGTTTCTCCTCCTCAGCCCCCTGGAGTCCTTCCATCTGCGAGTCGTCCTCGATCTCATTCGTCACGTCTTTGTCACCACTTCCCTCTCCGACACCTGTACCCTCCATTTTCTGGCCGGTGTCTGTTCGAGAATCGGGGGGAGCATCCTGCGGTTGGCAAAAGCCTCGGTCGGCAAGATCTTGGGCGAGGTTCAAAAGAATTGAACAAAGTTTGAAGAGTGATTTCGTCCAGAGCACAAGTTGTTTGAAGTAGCTATCCAAGGAACGCTGATAAGTGGCGAGAAACGGGTGTAGTCGCTGCATGTATAAAGTCGCAGAAGATGACTGGGGAAGACACAAGAAAAACGCATCAACCTCTTGGGCAACACGAACTGCGTCAAAGATGGTATTCAAGGTGCGATATCTGGTAGCCCCTTGTTTGACGAAATCCTCTCCTGGTACCCCAGCCGAGAACCCTTTCAATCGCTGAGCGATAACAAGGAGAACGTTGAGAGGGTTCTCGTCTATCTGCTTCTCTTCAAATGCATAGGGTGCGTAACTTGGCAACAGGTCAATTCTTTCTTCCAAGGTCGCGACCACTAATCCGCAAAGATGTTGAGCTCGTGGATCTTCTTCGCACCAGCTCTTAAGGACTTTGCAGAGATCGCAAAGAGACGCTTTTGCGATGTCGAGAAGATTATTTTCATCTACTCTGAAATCAATGTGATTCACCATACGCGGCAAAGATATTACCTGAGAAGAGTAGGATGATATGTCCTTGTTTGGAGCGCATGCGCAGCTCTTCTATCCGAACTTTGAGCGTACTCATTTGGGAGAGACGTTCTTCGAGTTCCTTGAGTACGGTAAAGTTAAATGGAAGGAATCCGTAAGGTAGGTTCTGAATCTCGAGTGCCACGTCTCTGATATTTTGCGTAGATTGAGTGGCGTAAGCGAGGACGGAAGCATACACCGAAAGACGGTGCAGGGCGTGATTTCCAGCGTCGGACAACTGGCATGCTCCATTGGCTTCGAGAATGTGAACGACTGAGGCAAGCCTAGACGATATAGTTTGACATTCTAGCACCCTACGCTTTGTAAGTCAGAGGCCACTTAAGGGGTTGAATACTTACCATGAACGACTCTGTATCGCGAAATAGAGGAGCGATTGGGAGAAATGGAGAAGTTTAGAGAGATCTTTGGTCGACACTTCGCTGGAGTGCGATGACAGCGATGAATGGAGCTTGGGTAGTGCAGCAATGACTTTATCGAAATATGTGTCCATCTTTTGTGCAGATGTTGATGGGATTTCAACAGGGACTCGTTGTTCGAACAGCCACCTACGATTGAGCTGCTGTCCGGTAATATCATGTCTGGGCTGTGACGAAAGACCGGCGGCCTTGCACGCCTTGAGAAGATCTGCGAGCCCTTTTCGCTTCCGGTTCTGAAGGTTCTTGAGCCAGCCTCTCTTTTTGTCGGCATCAGCTGGAGCAACAGCGGATTGAAGCTCCGCGACTGCCTCTACAATACTCGAGGCGAAATCCTCGACTAACGGCTGTTCCGGGCTAGAAAAACTCGAGTTGAGGATGTCTTGATACAGCCCAAGAGTATTCTCGATGTTCCTGAGGGCACCCACCGCGGACGGCACTTGAGGGAGCGAGGTTTTTGGGAGGGGAGTGGGGTAGTTGAAAGAACTTTCTATGTTTAAAGCCTCCCGAGTTTCTAGAGTGGATGGTTGCGAAAGAAGTAGGCTGACTGGTGTGCGAAGAACCTCCCTAAACTTTCGAATCGACTTGTGAAGCTGATGATGCGTCCTCTGCGCACTTGCTTTGAGAGCAAGAACATTGATGTCTTTCCAACTCGCCAGTTTGATGAATCCCTTGATCTCCTTGTCGATACTCTCTCGCTGCGACTGAATGCTAGTGGATACCTTCGATCGAAAACTTGAGTAAAATTGCACGACCGAGTTCAATAGATGCGCAACTCGCACTGAGAGTGACGAGTTCTGCGCAACTATTTCCCGGATATAGTTGACGAAGGCCTTCAGCAGTTCAAGTCGGCTCGCATACTGCCCTGCTGGCGAGGAGGTTACAAAACTCTCCAGGAGAGGGAGTAGCTGGTCGAGATACGCGTCTTCGCCCGCCCCATCCATCCTCTCCATCTTCGAGGCGTAAACAAAATTCTCATAAAGTCTAAACCACCACTCCTCCAAGTCTTGCGCAAATTCGGTGGCCTGGTGATCCAATAGATGAGCCCAGCATGCAAGCTCGGAGCGGCGCCACTCCACAATGAGATTACTCAGAGCCTCCTGGTGAATGGCTAGGCTATTCTCTCTGTCTGCATATTTCTGCCAGTCTTCGGTATGTAGGAGGAGCTGTTCCAAGGCGGAGAGTACTCTTGCAACACTTGACTCGATGTCAAGGTCTGTGATTGCCTCGCAGCGTTCTTTGATATGCTTAAGAACCATCTGATCCGGCCAAACACCGATGAGTTCTAAGAGCCGGTCTTGGAGTGCTGACACAATCTTGAGGGCGCGGGTAATCTCGGTGACATTGCTGTCATGATAAAAGTTGTATCCAGCGTCTGGGCCGCGTTCTTGATGTAGACATTGGAGGCGATGCGATGCGGTGCGAATGCGATAGACAACACTGGTGTCTGCGGTGAAATCGCCTTCCAATCGCGCGCTGCGAAGCCAACGGGCCAAGTTTCGCGTACTAAAAAGCTCGGCATCGGGGATCTGCATATTGGAGGGATCTGGAGAGTTGACCGCCATAAAGAGTTGATAGGTTGATTTCGTGTCCACTCGGGGGTCTTTGGTGAATAGTGCTGGTTGAGGGTCGCTCATCACGTCCTCAAACTCCGGGAAGAGTTGCTTGAACTCTTGAGCTTCCTGTTCTTCCTCGGAAAGCTGGACGAATGTGCTTTTCCTCTGCTTGTACAGCGAGGACTGTTGACCTTCCTCTTCATCCGCCTTTCGCTTCTCCTCCTGCCAAAGTCCAAATAATTGCTGGAACGAGGATGCAATGAGGGCGCGATGGATCTCGATTGGCTCGCCGGAGGCCACTAATAAAAGAGACGCATTGATACGTAGGACGGACCAGTCATGGGGGACGACATGGGGAGGCACTTGCAATCCACCAGACGCTATCCGACTTGCCCCAGAAAGCGCTGGAAAGCTCGTTGTCGTATGAGCGAAGTCACCGACAAGACGCAAGTAGTCTGTTGGCGAGTGGCCGCTGCTGACGTGCAGGAGGTTTACTCCGAAACGTAGCCGGTTCACCCACATGAGTACTGGATACACAATATCTCCAAACTCTGGGTATTTGGCTTCGACCCTTTCTGTAAATTGCCTCCAGGAATCCTGGTCGATCTCCTCCCTTTGTTGAGCCATCGTATCACGATTTTTCAAGCCCTCGATGAGAGCTTTGAACTTAGTCGGCTGTATGATGGTATCATGGAACCGTGAGAGTTCCGTGCATAGTGCAGTGAGTTCGTCCAAACTCCTCGGTATAGACTCCTGTGGTGAGGTCGTTTCGTTTAGGCGACTGGTGACGCCATTCAATTGCTCCTTGAGAAGTTCGATATAAGGGTTGGACTCGTTTCCCGTTAAAATCCGTTCGGCCTCCTGGTGCAATTGGAGCTCTGAGTCTAGTCCGCGCTGGGTGAGGACTAGGTGGAGACGTTTGGTTATAGAGCTGGCCTGTGGATCTAATGGAATATTGGGAACGTAGAGGCGCAAAACAAGAATTGCAAGATAGGAGTAGCATTCCGCAACGGCTGACACACGAGCCTGGTCATTGGATGCGTCTTGGATCGCTGTCATTGCGACTCCAAGGATATGAAAGAGCTCTTTTATTATCGAGTCCTCTCTGGCTTCTTGATTGAGCGAAGTCATCAAGGAGGCGAGATCGTGGTACTTGACGATTGGCCCTCCCGAACCCTTTATTAAAGCCGTGTGAAGCTTTAATCCATTAGCCATTATCATATATCACGAATAGACATACCACTTCCATATCATTGCGCAGGATGCTAATAAGATCATCCGCATGACTTTTGAGAGGCATCTGAAGCTCCAGAACCGAGGCGAGGAGCGAATTCTGCAGCATTGCCTCATGGAATTTGCTATACTTCATGGGGATTCGACCCCCGGCACTTTGAGAATGACGTATCAGGCCTGGTCTTTCACCTAGTAGACGGCCTACTCACCAAAGACGAGCAACTGCCATTAACTTTGCATAACGGCCCATTAGTTTACCCGGCTAAGTGGATGTGTGAGTCTTAGAGCCCTTTGGCAACTTGCTTAGGTAAAGTACCTTGCCCTCACCCTCCCCGGCGAGCGTTCCAGTTGTCCAATCACCAAATGAGAATGATGCCCAGCGACGGTGGTCTAACAAGCGTGAGCTCGCGTTCGTGTGGGAGGAATGGACGGACCAAGTTTTAGCTTTTCTGCCCACTTCGCAGAGCTTAGGGTAATAATTCCCCCCATTGGATACCCAGGTGTAGCCATAGCCAGCTGACACAGTACACCAAGCAATTGAGATTCAATTGATGCCTTTGAAGAGTGAGTGGGGAACGTTATCGGGAACAGCCATACCGTCGATATGAAACCACCGAGCATGGTGAGATGAAGATTGAGGAGTTGTACCGCAACCCAGCCGCTTGATTCATCCTGTAAACCCTTGGGGAAAGTCAGGATATGTAAATACTGGCCCCAGAACTGACCGTTTTCTCCCCCAACAACGGCGTCACTGTCTCATCCTGAGAGTTCTCATTCAACCACTGGAGTGCCGCAATATCAACTAGCCGCCCAAAGAGCCTACCTGTTAGAGCGTTAACGAGGTGAATGAGTGATGGCGTGTATCTACCACTATCTCTGCTTGTCTGGTTCAGCTGCACTAAGGCAAGGCTTGCACGTTGCCGACCCGCCTGGTGATCTCTATGCAGCATCCATATACTCTTCATTTCAAACCCACTCTTCAGTCGTATGCTTTCAAGTGCATCGCGGAGCGTCTCGCGAAGATGTCGATCGGAAATCGAGCCTATTGCATCTCGCATCTCGCAGAGAATCGATATCCACGAAGAATAGTCAAGACGATTTTGCTGCGCAATCTCAAAGCCGTAGTACCATAGCTCGGCTAGGGTGTAGCAGATAGAAATATCCTATATTTGAGCATGAGCGACAGAGAGATAGGTACGCACATATGCAAAACTGACAATGACGGGAACAGGCGAACCCATTAAGCTCTCTAAAAACTGTCGCACAGAGTAGAGTACTGGATAGACTGCCTTGACTTCCTCGGCAACGCTGCCCCCAATCAAACGTCCGCTGAACTGAGCTTCGGAGATATTGAATATAGACTGATGCAGTGGATTGTGGCCCTCAGTACGCGACGACTTTCCGATGGCGTTGATTAATGAGTAAATCCGTCGTCGGCATGTATTCCATGCAACGCGCACGTCCAACCCAACGGATCTGATTCTAGCAAGTAGATTGGGATTCAGCATAATTTCCTCGGGCTAATGAAGACGTTAACAATGTATGAGAATAGTTTGGTCCCTGACCTGAGACTGAAGAAACGATGCGGGGAGACCAATTTGCGGCATATCGTCCGCTGTCGTACCAACAAGAGCTCCTTGCGTGTCTAGGGCGAATTGGTGCTGAAGATGAGACAAGAAGCTGATTTCCGCTGTCGAAAGTAGCTGGGAGACGAATAAATTCTGTTGGATGGGCGCAGCGTGTTCCACTAAACGTGCCATCCTCAAGAGACGCTGGAGGGAGCTTAAGGAGAGGTGGCTCATGAGCATAGTCTGTCGCCCTTCCACATGGCCGGTTACTGAATTCGTTGCTAGCGGTGTACGTCTAAACAGGTCAATTTCGATCAAGTCTTGAGGCGTTTTGGGTGCATCAACATAGACTTCGACTCCTCGATTTCGCATAGCGCGTGAGAGCTCTCCGTTCAATGGATCCATCGTCATAAAGAGCCGAAAGTTGGGATGAGGTTGTATAGTCTCGATCGCCCCATTGATAAGACCACGCTCAGTTAGTATGAGCTGACCTCCTTGCTCGCACAAAGAGTTCAGTCGATCAAGAACGGATGGACTGCAAAGGTTAGCGTTGTCAAGGATGAACCATAAGCCCTCCTTGAGTGCATGAACGAGCGGACCATCTACCCAGACAAATCGATGAGTGAGTCGTGCAGTCTCTATGGTTAAAATGTCATCCTCGACAGCGGATCTCTGGTCCTCCGGTAGAAGCTGGCAAACCTGTCGCAGTTTTACAACATCCACGCGGGAATCAGAGAGCCATTCTCCGATATCGGGCGCAACGAACGGATTTGATTGTGAGAGACTGTCCATGAATGCGCGAATCGTTTTAATGGCCTGCCTCTGGCCGAGTTGTCCGTCGTCTTGTTCAAAGCCACCTAAAAGATCAGAAGTGTCAGTAGCAGAACTTGCAGAGAATTTCACCGCCTTTTCTCCATAAAACGAGCCAAGTTGTCGCAGAATTGTCGTCTTGCCGGAACCCGGGCCTCCAACGAGTATGACCAGCCAGCCTTGATCGATGCAGCGTGTAATGACTTCGAAAGAAGAGAGATGATCACGAAGGACAGGGGCAACCCATGTGGACTCGCGCCATGAAGCCTTTCGACGGATCAGCGAATGACCGAATTGGATATAGTACGTCGTGGGGAAGAAGTGGGCACTTTCAACTCCTGAAGACGTCGGCTGCAGGAGATCAACTGCGGCTTCGTATATCTTCCTGCGCTCGGCTGGTTCCCGAAACCGCTGGGCGAAGATTTCTCCAACAAAATCCACAGGATGTCCTGAACGAGCCTCCAAATTCGTGGGATGGTCTGTAAGTTCTAACCAGCGTATGAGATCGCGTAGGTTGAACTCCCAAGGCGATCCTTTTCGGCCGAGAGATTTGGTGACAGTGGTTTCCATGTGGATGTGCTGGGTGAGTGCAATCATCCGTTTCAGCGTCTCCTCTGGATAATTTCCTTTCACGGTTTGAGCGATCTTCAGGAGGTCGTCGGTCGACAGTGAGTCAACAAAAACCTTGGTGAACCGATTGACGAATGATTTTGGGAGTCCTTTTCTGCCACCTCCTTGCTGGACCGGATTTTGGGCTGCGAAAAGCCTGAATGCTGGGTGTTTGGTGAACGTACGACCCAACTCGGGGACGAAGATAGAGCCTCGATGGTCTAATACAGCATTGAGACCTTCCAAAACCGATTGGGGAGCCAAGTTCATTTCGTCCAAGAGCACCCAGTCTCCGTTCTGCAATGCAGTAAGGAAGGCGGCGTTTCTCCATGCAAATTCTCCTGGTTGACCCCCTTCAACAGGGAGATCAGACCCAAAAAGGTCGATAATGTCAGTCTGATCAGACAGATTAATACGACATAGGCGCTGGCGAGAGATTGCCGCGAGAGCAGCGACCAAACTCGTTTTCCCAACCCCAGGGCTCCCTTCAAGCAAGATGGCCTTTTTTAGCTGCAAAGCCCTCACAACACGATGGATATTGCTGAGCGTTGTGGGAGCATGTATCTGGAATTCGACATTGGAGGATCCAAAGGGCCGAGCGGAATTGAGAATGACCCAATGGCAATGGTAGCTGGCTTGACATGAACGCTTATCTCTGGTTCAGGCTTGCCGTCTGGGACCATTTCATTCAGTATCCTTATGGCCTCTGCTCTGAGCCTTTCAATGGCCGCTTCGCTAAATCCCTGAGTTTGTGGTATGGCAGCTAGGCCATCTAGTGCCACGAGATGTGCAGCATGGTGCTAGCGAGAGAGAGTTAGAGCAAGTGACTCCTAGCGGGGCAAACTCACAAAAATTTGTTTGGCAGAAAGTTCCGTTGCATTGAAGATTTCGTCTGAAAAATGAACCCATGCCTAGAGTGAAATTAGGTGGGGGCACAGGTTAGATGCAAAGAAATGAAACTTACGAGGAGATCTCTTATTCCATACGCCAGAGGGTCCTCGAGAAGGCCACCAACTGCTATCAAGAAATCGACCACTCTTTCACTATATGGAGTCAAGACTGCATTATGCCAAGAGGCCTGCACAATGGCAACCTTGTCATCCTTGTTGCTAATCGGCGGCACCCAAATCTCGGTGAATCGATTCCTCAATGCAGGAGAGAGCTCCTTCTTTCCATGATCTCCTCCAGGATTCATGGTCGCTGCTAGTAGAAACTCGCTATGGGCGACGACTTCTAGGGACTCGCCATCCCATCCGCTCTTCTCTGCAAGAACGAGCGTCCTCTCTGGTTCCAAAACGCTGTTCAGACGCTCCAGGACTGAGTCGTCTGCAAGCGAAATTTCGTCCAAAAGGAACATTGATGCCGATCGCATCGCAGTGACCAGTGGTCCATCTTGCCACTCAAACAGCGGAACCAGTCTCTGTAATCCCTTGAGAACCTCGATTAATTTCCCCTTTATCTCAGGACGGTTTTCGGTAGATATTGCCATCTGGACTTGCGTCTCGATAGGCATAGACGGGTCGATTGCTATCTCGAGTGACCCCAGGCAGGACCTGGCGAATCGCTCTTTCTCGCCTAAGAGCGAGGCGCGATTGCGAATAGGACGTTGACCTCCCAGAAGATCTGCCGTTTCCGTATTTTGGTGACAGTTGACGGTATAGAGAGCCTTTCCGGCTGCTTGAGAGTAGATTTCGCAGAAAGAAGTCTTCCCGGACCCAGTGTCGCCGACGAGAAGGATAGGTTCTTTGTGGCGAAGTGCACGCGATGCCAGGACAAAGATTCGTTGCATCGCCTGTGTCCAAACTATCGTCCCATCGGACGGAAGCGGACAAGCAAGTGACTGGACGACTGCTGGATTATGAATGTTGTAGATCTGGCTCTCGTGGATAGACACCTTCATGACGGACTCGATGACCTCCTTGACGATAGCCTTGTCATCCTCTCTCCGCGATTTCTCGGCAATGAGCATATATCCATCTTCCGCCAGCTCTTGTACGCTTCCGGCGCCTCTATTGGCCCACCTAAACAGGTCACGAAGAGTTGCAAAGCCGTGCTTTGTCTCGAATACGCGACCAGCTTGACGCCGCCTTTGCAACTCTTGGTAAACTGCAACGATGCGGTGAGCGTAAGATGGGGCAATTCCGCATCGTTCCTGGATAATCTGCTCCAATTCGTTTTGGGGAACATCTTGGAAGTGGACCTCGAGAAAGCGGTTCCTGAACGCTCGTGACAATATCTTCCGACCGCCGTAGAGACCGGGAGGATTCTGAGTGGCGAAGAGCATGAAATGTGGGTGTGGTCGAACAACTTCGCCGGTTTCAGGTATCACAAGCTCGCGGTTATCATCCAATAGGCGGTTCAGGGCTTCAAGGACATCGCTCGGAGCGAGGTTGAGCTCGTCGAGGACAATCCAATCTCCTCTTCGCACAGCACGAACGAGAAGACCGTCTTGATACGTGAGCAGCCCGGTTTCGGGGTTCGTCACGTATGAACCGAGGTACTCTTGGATATCGGTATGTTCGTGATTGTTAATGCGTATAAACCGATGACCAGTGAGTCTTGCAAGATACTCGATGGCACTGGTCTTCCCGCTAGAGGTCGGTCCTTCGATGAGTACTGGAAATTGGCGAGTGACGAGGATTCTAGCAAGATCGAGGAGTTTCGCTTGAACCGATGGAGTGAGAATATAATGGTTGATAGGGAGGGGATCTGTGGGCCCTCGTTCGAGCCAGAATGGACCAACAGAGATGTATTCAGTGCCATCTGCTGGAGCTGATGGTATCTGAGATAGTATAGATCGAACATTTTTTGCATTCCCCAGGAGGTGTTTCAGGGCGAGGGCTTTGAAAACGTCGGAACTCTTTGGCTCCAGAATGGTCGAAAACGACATTAGGCACCCTTCCCACAGTGCTCGTCTGAGGGGGAAAAGGGTATTCACATGAACGGCAAAGGTCAACGCTCTCGTCAACGTGCGCATACTGTAGTGTGGCCTCTGGTTGGACCCATCTGCCAGCTCTCCTGCTTGAGCCATTTTCCTCGCCAACGTGTAAAACTCGGCGACATCCATGATGGCAGCTCTGTCCGCCATAGAGATGTGGCCGATGTACTGCTCGACTACGGCTAGCAGTGCGTCGGGGTTGGCATCCGGCGGTGGTACGTAGAGTTCCGTCATCAATGCTCGAATATGTTGAGGAAGATCCTTCTTGCCGACGTCTGTCGCCGGATTCATGCACGCAAAGAGGCGAAAATTGGGATGTCGCTCTACAGGTACCAATGACCCTTGCTCTGTCAGAGTAATTGATGCATGAGGACTATGGAGGATGGAAGAGATAGCTTCGAGCGTCTCTGAGCTTGCAAGATTGACCTCGTCGAGAAGAATCCTATTTCATGTTCAGCAATCTTTTTCAGGTTGTAGTGAACCTTACCAATCTCCTCTTTTAAGTGCAGTCACGAGAGGTCCCTCCACGAAGGCAAATACACCTTTGGCGTTTCCACGAACGAATTGCCCTCGAAAACGCTGACTTCCTCCTCAAATTTACTCCAATTGTTAAGTTTCGCTTCCAAGTTTTCGCCTGTATCCAACTTTCGCCTCTTCCTTGGCTCTTCTGATCCACCACTAAACAGAGGGTAAGACTGCGAATTTCATGGGAAAAAGAGGAAAAACCTTTGGGCTGTGTCTTTGTCAATCTTGGATTGAAGACGATCCTTTGCTCTCCCGGCTGCTTCCTTCCAGAGGACCGCTGCTCGCTTCCACTTTCCATTCGCAACGGCGGAACGAATCGCTTCTTCGTACTTGACATTCTTCTCGCGACTGAACGTGACGGTAAAGAGGCTCGTAAACCTTCTCTGAAGATCCTGCGCTGGGCCACGTGCGTCTTGGGGCTTATACCCTCCCACCAAGTCGGAGGTCTCTGTCTGCTGCGACAAGTTTAAGGAGACCAACGACTGATTTAGAAGAGTAGCCAGATGTGTAACAGCAGTAGTCTTTCCTGTACCTGTTTCTCCCACAAGTAGCACTGGCTCGTTGGCGCGAATAGCGGCGGCGAGGGAGTGCAAGAGAGTGAGAGATGGTCGGTGAAGAGCAAATGGACGAAGAGCTTGGGCATTGATTTGGGAGGAAGGATCCACAGCGGACAAAACGATCCGGTCCAGTACAAGCCCAGTCGTGGCACCATTCGAATTCTTCAGCAGCTCGAGTTGCGGACATCGAGCAGAACGAAGCCACTGCAGTCGATGAGAGCTGATTGAGAGCTCTACGGCCAAGAACGTGGCAGCCGCGTCGAGATATGTAGATGAAAGTTGCTTGCTCTCATTGTATGCGCCAAAGAAAATGTCCATTGCATCCAGGAAGATGTCTTCTCGAGTGATGGGGTTGCTGAACAGCGCGCTCAATGGGATTTGCTGCTCTGCCTCCCAAGCCATCGATTCCGTAGGAGGCTCCACAAGATTTATCCTGCTGCTCCATTTAAGAAGGTCGCGGAGTCCAATGGGGCGAACAGTCGATGGATTCAGATCGTGTTCCACCGATCTGAGCCTAACCCAGACCGCGACCAGGGCCTTGGCGCGTTGTGGACTCATTTTTGGAAACGACATTTCAACAATCGCCACCAGGTCCTCTCCAGAGGGCTCGGGTACTTGTACGTGTCGCCACTTGTGCGAACCAAGAAAATTTGCTGGCGGAATTTCACCATTTTGGGACGGAGAAACCGTCCTAGTAGCGAATAGAGAGAACCCCTCCGTTGCGCGTACAGTCTCACGCCCAAACACTTGCAAGGACGCATGGTCCCCGATTGGCTTTGCCATGCTCATGCTTTCTACGAGGGGCCAGAGCATTCCAAGAACCTCGCTACTGGCACGGTCGATGTTCTCTAGCACAAGCACCCGCCCAGTTCGCATGGCCTGGATGATTGCACCGTCCCTCCACTCGAAGACGCCTGGTGTTGTTGCAGATGACACATAGGACCCAAGCAGGGATCTTGAGTCTAAAGACGTGTCCGCAAGGTGAATGGATACAACAGCCGTTGAGGAATGATGGTTCAACAAGCTTGAGAGGTACTCGACGAGGGTGGATTTACCGCTCGAAGATGAGCCAGAAAGTAGTATTGGCTGCCGTTGCTGAAGCAGCCTCGCAACATCGTGAAGTGTGCTCCAATTAGCGTTGAAGCTGAGATATGGCGTTGTCGGCTGCAGCGCGTTTGACCGGAGGAGGATAACTCCTCCAACAGTGGTGACATAGGGACTAGTAGAATGTGAGCGACCAAATAAGCCACGAACGCGATCCTCACCATAATGCCGTGGCATCAATAAGCGGAGCAGCCTTGCACAAGTCAAAGGTGACAGTCAAAGCTAGTCTCTCGTCAATGACTCTTTTATGGTCAAGTAGAGGGAGTGTCCATATGTTGACAGAGTCGCCAAAGCCTGTTTCCACCGTCGGCGTAACGTTTGCTGGAGTTCCGACGAGCGACTCTTCCCACTTGACACGAGCTGGTTCGTTCATCCCAACATGAAAGGCAAAGCAGCGGAGTGCAAGTAGCCTGACTCCGGATTCGGGATGGGGAGGATCGCAGAGACTCTGCAGATGGGTCGCTGGCCATTGAAAATCGCGATGGATATGCGGAATAGCCTCTATGATGCGGTGGTAGGCTAGCAATAGAGGATGGAGCGTCGATTTTGGTATATGTGCGGCATTCTCGCGCGTCACAAACGCAAGTGGGCCATTTGCGAGCGAAGGCCGCTGGAGGAACCGGGCAAAGACGCTGACGGTTGATTAAGAAAACAATAGAGTCATAGATAAATGGGACGTACGGATAGAGTTCTTCGTGGGCGGGCAAGAGGAGTCCAAAGACTGTAAATTTTTGCTCGTCTTCTTCCTGGTCATCCAACCATCGCGCGCAGAGATCTACGAGAAGCGGAGAAAACATTCTGGCAACACCAAGAGTGTGTTTCGGTGATTTTAAGAGCTTGGATAGTGCGTGTAGTCGCTGACTTGTCTCGAGCGCTGTGAGCCATTCGAGGTCTGGAAACTGTGCTACCAATGCGTCTGTCTGAGTTGCTATTGGAAGCGAGAGCGCATTCCAGCGCGTTGTGCCGCTGCTGGTGTTTTCCATCAGAGGGCGACGGCGCCGCTGTGGCTAAGGGCAGAGATAGAGTTCAACACGCGCCCCTCAAAGTTGACCTCCAACCATCGCGGCCACGGCTGCCCAGGCCTTGGATCGCAGTCTTAATTCTTGGATTAATGATGGACCGTGTATCTCCTCTTCTCCCATCACTCGATCCCACCAATCCGGCAATGGCCTCGTGCACGAGTCTTACGAGCCTCCACGACGAGAGCAACGGTCGACGGCCGAGTGGGAGCAGTCTCGTCGCCAGACCCGCTCGAATGTCTACGTCTACACGCCAGAAGTCTGTACAGCAAGTTCTCCATTCGTATCGTCAGGATTTGCAGAGCGCTGCGCCTCTGCGGCGGAACAAGCAGACCACCGCACCTACATCGTACCCGCGAGAGCAGTCCAACAGCAGCCAGCCAGGCAGAAGTAATCGAGACTCACTCGAAATGTCACTCGGTAGGTCCCCTTGCTCTCCCGTTTGCTCGCTAAGTGACTAATGCCACTTTCACAAGACGCTTGGAATATGGATGCGACGAAGAAAACGTTACAAGGTAGATTATTCTGCACACCTATAAATCAAACTTATTTGTCGTTAGATCGACGTTCTGTTCGCAAGCGCGAAAGCCATATACACCACTACACTGTGTCGGTCCCCTATAATGCTGGCGCAAATGCCCTCGAATCGCCCACGACGCGTCACAATGGAGAAGCTGTCACACCTTTTGTCTTACCTCCAAGTTCAAATGCAACCGTTACGCCCACAAAGGCAGCTCCCCCATCTTTTTTCAGTAGCATGTTCTCCAACGGGTCTTCCACCGGCTCGCCACGGCCTCAAGCTGCACCCAGGACGCCCTCAAGTACAAGTCCCGCACGACCCTCTACCGTCCGTCGGATCGCTCGGACACTGCTCGAGTGGAACCTAGGCCCACAAACGGACCTCAGTCGCTGGCAGCGCGACTCGCCACGAGCTACAAGAGATACGAACAAGAATCAAGACGAAATAATGGAAGACAACACCATGAGGAGCCCCGACTGAAATAGGATTTCAAGCGGCGCTTCAATTGTATCACCACACCGCCTGGGCGATGGCCGTCTTTACCAGGGAAGCAAAGGACTCACTTGTAACGTTTCGATTGCACATATCGTGTACGATAACTGTCATGTTTCATCGTGTTTATTCCGCCAGTTCCACCTTTTGCCTCGCCTTGTCTCGTACTTATATACGAATCGCATATTTACAGTCCTGGGTCAAGTTGAAAGGTTATTGGTCCTCGGAAAGATTGAGCCAACTAGTGGTGAGAGGCGAACCCAGAGCAGTCCAATGAATGAGCCCCATTCTGTCCAAGACACCATTCACAATTGTAGCCCTCACGAATCGTGGGACATAAAGGAGAGTGTATCACCTCTTGTTGGCAGACCTTGCAAGCCCGAAGGATTGCTTGTTCATGTGTAGAACGATCTGCTGTTCAAAGTTATACTAGAACCAGTAAGGCGAGTGGTTGCACGACTCACAAAGCAGAACGGGTATGCCTTGGTGCTCAACACCGAAAGATGTTTCCATAGCCGGAATACTGGGACCTGTCGGTTCTGGATGGAGGATATTCATGCCCATGAGCGAAGGTGGGATCGATATTTCCTCTTTATTGACCGGCGAGACGGCGTAGGTGGCTAATCCAACTTTAGCTGAGCTAAATTCACGAGCGCAAATTGACTCACACCCTCTATCCAAAGGAACCGGCTGCGAGCGAATGTAGATGGTTAACCCTCCGATGGTGGCCTTCCAAGAGCGCTCGCCATCTGCATCTGCTTCGGTCGATTCGGGCCAGCTGACATGCCTCATTAAACCATTCTAATAGTGCATAAAGACAGCTCACACTGCAATGTCACCTCCATTCCGCGCATTGGTGATGAGCGCGAGAGGGACTTGGATGAAATACGAGGGTATCGCAAGAGAGGAGATAACACGCTGAGACGGTGGTGGTAAGTGTTGTAGAGCCATGATAGAAGGATCCATAGAAATTTGGGGGTGGAACGGGATGAGCCTGATTGGGATGTGACCCTCCAGAGTTCCTTGCCTTATGTCTATGCGCGGGCGTAAACTTGATGATACCCCTCGGAAGGCAGTAGAGACATTAATGTAGAGATTAAGTGGCTTGGAATGGAGGGTTATCCCATTCAGCCTGGTAGTTTTGCACCGCGGAGTGGCAATCGCCGGTTTATTGACATGTTCCTGGCCGATATAAATCGAATGGATAGTAAAGATGCGATTCTCGTTTAATCAGACTGGAGCAATCGAAGCGAGGGGGGTGTGGAAAGGTGTTTGTTATTACACATCATAAATTGGTCAGGAGATTTGATTTCCATTTGGAATCGGGCTCAGTGGCGTTCTACAGGACCCCTAGCGACCAGCCGAAGGGAAAGAAAGAACCTTTTCATGGCAAATAGCAGGTGGTGCATCCTGGATGAGGATATATTGGCGCAGAAGAATGCTGAATGAAAAATACAGTCGTGGCGTCCAGGTCCAAGTTGTGTCGTGGCGTGGGCCCAAAAGGTTGGCCAACTCTTCGATCGTGCCTATGCTGAGCATCAAAGCCGGACGAGCTTTCAGAAGGGGAACGACATCCTGGGTCGACCCTCAAGCTACAAAAGGACTTCTTGGCCTTGCCCCAGGCGACGACGGTCTCCTGCACTTTACCTGGAAGAACCGGGACACTGAGAACATTGAAGACGTATGATACACGCTTTAAATGATCCTAATACACACATTTCAACTCGCTTTTGTCTCCAGGACCTCATTATTATCCCGGGCGACGCGTCATTCCATCGCGTTGCTGAATCGACCTCGGGCCGCATCTTTGTCCTCAAATTTGAATCTTCTGATCAGAAGCACTTTGTACGTTTCCATCCTTGGCTTGTAAGTCGTCATCACTGACCTCATCGATAGTTTTGGATTCAGGTGACTGCCTGTGGCTACACAACACTTCAATGCTCACATTGTATAGGACCCATCTGCCTCTATCCTGGACCAAATCGAGCCAAATGTGAATGGGCTCTTGCAAGACCCCGAATTCCAACCGAGCTGGACCACCCCCACGGCGTGAGTGCGAGGCCATTACTAGACTTTTGACCATATCTCTGTGACCTAATGGATGAATGACGAACATCATCTTGCATTACTCCCTTTCCTTGCCCTCGTCTCCCCAGCTCAAGCTCCTGACCTCTTTCCGTCTTTCGAACAGCCCTACAGCACCTCGGACAGCGCCAGCTACGATTCCAACGCAAAATGAAGGGGCTTGGATCAACTTCTAATGAAGCCCTAACTCAATCATTGGTCGATCAGCTGAGAGCAATGATGGAGCAGAGAATGGGCAGTGGTAGCCGACTCAGTGGCCAGCAACTGCAACCCCCCTCTTTGGCACTATCAGACATGCTATCTCCGTCGAATCTTGCTCCCCTCTTTGAACCATCGAACTCTACGCTTCTGTCGGCGCTACAAGACTATCTACCACCGGATATCCCGTCAGATCCAGATTCTACGACCGAAGATACGCTCCGCCGTGTAATCCAATCTGGTCCGTTTCAGTCCACAGTGCGTCAATTGGATCGGGCGTTCAATACCGGCCTCCTCAGTAGACTCATGCCGGGCTTTGGGCTGCCCGAAGAAGCTGGCTTGAGCGTAGAGGCCTTTCTCAAGGCAATCCATGATAAAGCCAAACGCGAGGAACACGCCTCGCAACCACAAGAATAACATGCCTTATATCCGTTAGTATATCAAACCGACACCCCATTTGTCTAGCATCATGCGTCAGATCAATGGCTGGATCCTTAATTGATTTCTCAACTCGTCGTACTCCATGATATAAACCCTTTTTTAGCATAGCATGGCCAATCTATGGTGCATGTCTCGTGATGCCAGCTTCTTCGTAAGCGTCTCTGGTAACATATGGAGTTATAATATGAGGAACGTCCATACACAAGAGCACTAGATGTGTTGTACCTTGTGCGATCTCAGACTCCGAGTGAGAATAAAAGGAACGACTCACATAGTTGCTGGGGAAAATGCCATGGCGTCCCTGTGTGTTGATGCCCTCCCACCAGCCCTCTCCATAGTTTTCGCCTCCATGCTCACCTCCTGTCAGCTCGTAGTGCTCTCCGACTTCTAATGCGAGCTCATCATCCCCTTGAGCTTCATATGAGTATATTGCGACGACTAGAGCACCCGAAGTGTGAGTAGTTTCATTTGCGTCGCAGACAGCAGCGCTCGCTCACCAAACTTGCCCGAGCGTACAACGTCTGCCAGTTCTGGGACCGGCATAGAAGGGGCGATATGTATAGATTCGTCTTCGTCGGAATCCGAGTCGAGCTTCAAATAGCTTGCGGGTACAAGACCACTCTTCTCCGTCGACTCCTTGTAGATCTTGATCCACCCTGAGCCATCATCCTCTTCAAGAACTTTCACCCTTGTTCCCTCTGCTGGCCGTCAGCGGGGCAATGAAACTTGGAAGAGACCTACCGTCCACCGAGATCTCAAACGGTGACGATGCCACAAAGTCAAATACGACGGTTGCCCAGATCGTTGGGTGCTCCTCGTGGTGAGGCTGAGTTGTGAACGACGACGGTGTTGCAAGGGTGGTCGTGGTTGAAGGCTTGGGCGACGCTATGCACAATGTGAGCCAAGAAGAGCTTGCGCAGGTATTGACCGAGTACATTTCGTATCACCTTTGGTTTCTATCTTGGAAATCGATAGGCTGCTCCTGTGCCCATGCCCCCCTTTTGTCCCAGTGCATTCGGCTGGAATCTGTTTGGTCGTCCTTAGTCTTGCGGGGGAACTACAAGAACAAACCATACCTTCATCTCGCATCGCGCGTGAACCGAGATCCCGCATGACTTGCATGTCTTTCCTTGTCTGGATAGGCCCCATATCGAACCCTATAATCCATTCAGCCGACCAATGCAAGTATCACCCTTGCTCACATGGCAGTACTCGCAAGTGGTTGGTATTGAAAATGTAGAAGGCTTAAAGGTGTGTGGCTGTTGGGCCCCTATATCGTCTAAGGACCCGTCAGCCCAGAGCATCAATTATTTGCAAGGCTTACCCCCTAGAGCTGATGTGATAACCTCTATCTCCTTTTCCAGGAGCGCTACAGATGTTGCATAGAAGGTGACTTGATGCTTTGCTTCGAGGTATTTCTTCCCCAACGTCAGCGTCGCGCGAATGGAAGAACTGTTTCAATCATACATCTGCTTTCTCGTCTGCACTTTCCGTAGGTAGTCTGATGCCAACCGAATTTGCATCTTGTTCTGCAATAAATAAGAACGAGTTGTCAAAGATCATCTCTTATGTCACCCTTTGCTTGAAGAGCAGCCTTTGCTTCTGTTAGCTTGGCCTGAGCGCGCGATAGTCGATTCTGGAGGATAATCTTGGGCGCAGGTTCCGTATTGATAGTTGCCTGTCCGAGATGAGAACCAAAAGGATGCGACGAGATGGCATTACCGTATCGTAATACGAGGGACAAGGTTCAAACTTCCAGTCTGGAGGCGCGGTAAACTGACGGAGGTTGAAGGCCACGAACAAATTTTGGTCGTGTGTGATATCGATCCGTTCAATTGCATGGAATGCCTGTTCACTCTTGATAGTGAGAGCATTCAGGTGATTTCGGGTGAATGTTTGAGCTTGCGTCATAATCTCCGTGAGACGATATACGAGATTGCCTTGGATGTCCTCTGGTACGGTGAGCATGCTTGTTTACCGAATCAAGTTGCCTACGAACGAAGTTGCTAAAAGGATTCAATCGTATGCCATTGATAAATCAGTACACACTCACGTCCTCTAGCTCTGGAATGTCCTGCTGATACAATTTGGTCTTTGCCCGGTTCGCCAACGCCGTCGCCACAATGTATTGACTAGTCGAAGCGTGTTAATATCACCTCATAATACGGGAAGAAACAGACTTCTTCGAATTTAGCATATCAGTCTTCTGCTGTTCATACTGCTTTGCCACGCGCTCCGAGTGTCTGTCATGGCCAGAGAACCGTTCCTAATAGCCATTCAGCAGCAAAAGGTGGGATATAGACAAGGAACACACCTGTTTCTGTCGAGCTGATTCCACCTCTGCACACTCGTCGTAGTACTGGAAACAATCAGCTTTAAAGCGGGACGTGGTAAGACCAACCTTTTGCTGGCTCTTCACTCGATCTCCATAAATCCTATCCCTTTCCGAGATCAACTTTGCGTAAAACGCAGATTGCTATAAATCCATCGATCAATACACGCGCACGCCATTCTCCTACCTCGACAAGGGGGGGCGTTCAACTTACAAGCCGCTTCGTCTCCTCCTTGCGCCTTTCCAAGCGTCTCAAATCCTCTGCGACCGCATTCCCAAGCTCACTCGCAAACGTGGCATGCAAACTCGCACTCTCCTCCCAGCTGGCAAGGAGGACGGTGTACGCGCCGTCGAGCGTGCTCGACTTGATCGTGTCCTCTGTATACGTCTTTGCGGGCTCATCTCCTAACACGACTCCAAGCATTCGCTTGCTCTTCTTCTCTTGTGCCTTCTTCGTGAGCGCAAGCAGCTTGGTGGCGTAATCCTTTTCCAGATTGGCGCGCTCGCGCACCAAATCACGAATCTGTCTCGGATTCAGCATCTTCACCGACGGGCCAATTTAGATATTTGCGCGCCTCTTGTACCAGCCCTAGCTGATGATCGGTCACTCCCTGGATCACGTCTACTTGATCCTAGGAGAGTCAATATCAAGAGATACTGTTCCAGTTATCCATACTTTGAGTTCTGAGCCATATCTCAGTATCTCGACAGCCTCTGCCATGATTCGGACGAGGTCAAGCTTGGATCGTATGGGCGGCTGTGGCGCCCTCAGCATTTTGGCTCACTCGCAAGAATCGTACAGTCGAGCGCCAGCTTTATTTGAGAGAAAGCTACAGAAACGTGATCAAGGCCAGCAAATCACGAAACAAACACATGCTATCCAAGATTGAGACGTCGAAGTCTCGGTAATAGTAACGGAGAGGAGGCAAGAATAACTACGTAGAGTTATAAGGGAACACACGGGAGAGAACAAAGGGATTACATAGGATTCGCGGGAGTAGGTGGTACTGTAGTGTAGGATTCGGAATGGTCATCAAGGTCCGTTGGCCTTTTTACGCAAAACAAATGAATTGCGTTGGTGTGACCGAAAGTATTAGATATCGGTAAAACGAGTGGTTGGAGTTGGACTGGTTATTGGGGCATAGTGTCCCAAGCAAATGTTGTTCGTACAGCCGTCGACGGAGTAGACGTGCTAAGCATCACCTTCTCCGCAGTGCACATGACCGAGTGTCCCTCTGTGAAAGAGTGATCGGTTCCACACGAGGAAACGTCGGTGGTACTCGCGTTCGAGGCATCGCTACCCAGCCGTGTCGTGCGGGTCAATAGGGGCACCTTTTCGGCATCCGTGGTATCACCGTTGCTAGGGGAGATCAAGATGCTCGGGACGTGACCCATAGTGTGGACGAGCGACACGAGGTTGGCACTCGGAGAGGTAATGTGTAACATACGCTCTCCATCGCGAGGAGTGGACGGTGCCTCGGAAGTACACGGACTGAGGCTGCGATCGCTGCTCATGGAAGGTGAGGCCACACGGGGGGTCGCAGGCTCAATCGACGACGACGGGGTGTTGGGAAGACTTGCTTTGGCAGAGAGCGGGCTGTTCAGCGGACTAGGTCTTGAGGGTGCACGACGGCCGAGCGCACTCTCTCGTGAAGGAGACGTGCCATTCTCTCTCGCCTGACGAATCTCGGCGACGCGCTGTCGAGCAGCTTCGAGCCGTTCGCGTGTCTTGGCGGAAAGAGCAAGTTCCCGAGTAGAACCTTGAACTCGAGATGATGATTCCGAATACACCGACTCTGAGTCGGCCTGGGACAAGCAATCTGAACCAGCTGAAGACTGGACGTCCGAGCCCGATCCCATGTATGGAGTACGCGACTTTAGAGCGCTGTGTAGTTGGGAAGAAGCGCCTGTCCTCGTACTGGTAGCCAGAGCACTCTGGCGCACGGTCATAACGCCCTTTCTTTCTGACCCTTCCATCGATGATGCGACCAGCGGCTCCGAAGATGGAACCACGTTCACCACTTCCCCATCCGCTGACGGTACTACCGGTTTACGATACTCTGGGGCCTTGAAGCTACCCGCTTCGGAGCGCTGTTCATCCATCGTCTCGTCTCCACTACTCGGGACGCGCTTGTGTCGATTGGCCATTTCCTCGGGGGCCTTGGCGCGACTCGAGCGAAGCGACGACGTGCTCGCGCTCGTATGAAGCGTACGTAAAGATTGATGAATCTTTGGGGGGCTCATAGCGTACGCTGGAGGACGATAGGTATTGCTAGATCCAAGTGCTGAACCAAGGGATGAAAATGCGTTTGCTTGCAAGGACAAGCTAAACGCGGCCGAGGCAGTAACACTGGGGTTCTGGGGCCCAAACGAACGAGTAGGGACCGGTGCGCGGATCAAGGGGCAGCGCCATTGGTCAACGATCCTGCTTGAGGAAGGAGGGTAGTAATATTTTGTCCTCGAGCTCTCTCAGCGACCGACGAACCGCCTTCTTCCACCGCAGCTGCATCTACGTGTTTTTCGACACCTTGAGACAATTTTGCTTTCTGAGAGGGCGTCTTTGGTCTAGCGGGTGCCGCATTGTGTAACGGAGATACTGGTCTAGCGAGGAGCGAGGCAACGTTGCTAGCTGAGAGCATCGTCACTGCCGGCCGTGATGCTGTGGTGGCAACGGTACCGCCGATTGGGAGGCGTGCCTTTGAGGCCATGGTGGTCTTGCGCACAACGGTGCCAGGCAAATGGCGAGTCGGATAGTCCGCAGGAGATGAACTGGACACGTCCTGCAGAGACTCTCCCGAGGTGGCCGAACTGGTCGATTCCATCGACGGTCGAGGCGGCGGCATCATAGACAGACCAAACTGAGGCCACTGTGTCCGCAACAAGGAAGCTGGTGCGCTCTTTTTCCGTGGCGGAGTGACAAACGACGAAGTTTGTCGAGAGGCTGATTGCGCAGCGCTCACTTGCACTCCAGAGGTGGCACGTTCTCTCTTTGCTGGAGGGGCAAGATACGATGGTCTCGCATCCTCTTGTACACTTGGTCGGGGAGGTTCAGGAGCTTCTTGAGCTTTCTCGACCTCGTTTGTGCTCGACACGGGTTCCACCACCGTTTGTTCCTCGGGCGCGGGCTGTGAATCGTCTCTCAACCGCGACTTTGATCTCGATTCGAGTCTCCGATGGAAGATCTGACTTTCTTCCATGGTCGAAGACAGTTTGAATGCGGGAGTTGATGACAAAGGTGGCGCTGGCTGTTGAGCGGCGACATTTTGCAGAGGAATGGAGACATTTTGCAATGGCTCAGGGTCAGCCAGTTTTGCGGTCGGCGGGACGTCTTGTTTGCTCTCCACTGTGATAGTCATTGGAGCCACCCTCTCTTCCGCATCCGCTCCATGCACGCCAAACGCCGAGCCGTACTTGCACCTCTTTGCTGGAACCGACGATTCATCGCGCAACGAGACTTCGCCTGTTCTGGCAGGATGATCAGGATATGCGGCTTTGACAGGGGAGTCATCGGCCTGAGAGGAGCCCGTAGTACGGCTAATCCAACTACTACGCGAACGCGCATCCGAGTCGGGTGCAGCTGAAGTCATGAGAGACCCAGAGGTTTGCGAGGACACTGAATTGCAGCGGTCCATGTGGCGTTGGACAGCCGGATAGGTAAACTCTCCTGGTGGATATTGATGTTCGATGGGTGAATCCTGAGTAGGTACCTCGACTATGGCCCGTGGAGTTGGCATGCACGAGTCGAGCATACCGGAAGGGAGAGAGCCCTCCGGAACGGGACCAAAGCTCCCCAGCCGGTAATTGATAGTCGGCGGTTTGACAAGACCGTTTGTCGAATCGCAAATTTGCTTGCGGGTTTCCTTTTCGGCAGCCTCTTCCCTGACCCGCATCTCCTCGACATCCTTGAGAAGCTGGACAAGAAAAACGGGAATATCGTCCGACGCCAATGTTGCATGTCCCTTTGACCTCCGTTTGGCCTGAACTTGCTGGTAATGGCTCTTCCATTCCAGTCGCGAGCCGCGATCATCGCGCGTCGACGAGGCAACAGAGGTTGTAATGGAGCGCGGAACGGACGGTGGACCGTTTGTACTAGCGTGCCTCTCGCCCTTTATCTTGTAGCTAGTCGACCGTCTTTGTCGGCGGGGGGAGCTCCGGGCTGGGTCTCCCGAGCTCGATTTTGCTGCTTTTTGGGTGCGAGGATGCGGAATTGGTCTTTTTGATGAACTAAAGGGACCAATATCAGGGCTGGCTAAGCCGACAGCGTACAGTGCATCATCGTCGTCGAAGGCAGAGAGCGGTTTGGCATGTTTCCCCGGAAGGTCTGAAAAAAAGCCCTTTGGAAGGGTCGGGAGTGGTGCAAAAGTGGAGGAGGACGGATGCGCTACTCCAAGGGTGAGTGAGTCGAGGGCGTCTTGGTGGGCGCAGTCGGGGGAGCAGTAAAGACTATCTTTGCCAGATGTGAATTGACCGCCTGTTGATGGCCGAAGGGTGTGCCGACGAAATGGTTAGTGATGGGCCCACGAGAAGAGCCAAGGGACGCACAGAAGCAGCGACTGTGAGTGGCTGTCGAGGCCATCATCTGCAAACGTACGATGGAGTCAGAGAACGAGGGAATTAAAAACAAGACGGCAGACGTACAGAGAGAGATTAGAATACGTCGTGTTTTGAGAGGGGAGCACTAGAAAGGAGCGGAAAAATCCTAGAAAAAGCCAAGGGCGGAGCGTGAGCAGGATAGTGTGCGAGGTTGAAAGAGACGACTTGCAAGATTAAGAAATGAGTCGCAAATACCGACGCTGGCGAGCGCGTTGGGCCGGCAAGGTCGGGGAGTCGCAGGAGCTAGGCGATGTCACTCGCCGTGGTCAATGCCTGTCGCCGTCGTCTGAGATGGTCTGCTGGTGTCGTCGTCGTTGTTGTTGTTGTCGTTGTCGTCGTCGTCGTTGCAGACGTTGTCGAGAAAGGGCTGGTCGAGGGCAAGGACCAAGGTGCAAATGGGGGGGGGAGATGGCGACGGCTTCGCGAGTGCCTGAGAATGAGGCATTGCCGAGGCTCGATTTCCAGCCTCATTAAGACCGGCTATTATTCGACATTTGTACACTTTTGTCAAGTTGATCCCGGCCCTGCCCGTAGAATCCCCATGTGTCCCGATCAGTCCAACAAACCCTGTCTTGTCCGATGTCGAATCCTGCTCAGAACGGCCCACACTCCTCCGCCGCCTTTGTTCTGAATAATAATACCTTCCCACTATTGCATCCGCCTTATTATGCTACAGGGTATCCTATGCTATCTTCTATCTATTCTTGAAAAAAAACAACAACAACAAATCTCACTTTATCGGTCCTGTTCTTTCCGCTGGTACCGCCGAGCACCCAACAAAACAAGTCCAGCAAGCACATTCGCACCTCCTGCAACCCCAATCGTCACATGGTACACACCCGGGTTATGTTGTTGCATCCCCTCTGGTTGGTGTGCAGACGAATAGCCGATGAGCGCAAACGCAATAGCCGGTGCCACGAGCGATATTGGCGCCGTCACGAGCCAAATGAGCGATAGCGAGTCTGAAAATACCTGTAACGGTACTACCTCGGACAGCAGTGGTCCTAGCGCGGAGAAGAAGATGCCACTCAGGATGCCCTACGCCAAACCCGTCAACGGAGCGACTTGGAAACAACGAAGGAAGACTGACATTCAATAGTCCAAACACAAGTAGAACGGCCTGTGATCTCGCTAGCATCCATATCACTAGGCATGTCAGCCCAGAGAGGAAGGAGACGACAGACGCCATATAGATCCGTCCTTTTTCATTTCAGTTAGCGCCGATGACACTGTGAATCTTCGATTCTTCTCACCAAAACGATCCAATGCAAGTCCTAAACCTGGTCTGCCAATTAATTGACCCGCAGCAAGCATTGCCTGGATAGAGGCTCCTTGTGCTTGGGACAACCCGACCGCTTGCGTCGAATACGTCGCAATCGTAAGCAGAGGTATCAAATACCCTAGCATAATGAAAAACGACCAGAGACCGATGAAGATTAGCCCCGGAAACTTTTTCCACAGGCCTGGCCGGACTGGCTTGAAGCGCGGGTGAAGAACGCGCATGCGAGCTGCAAATAGATCAGCACGTTTCAAGGCACTACCTGGCTGGACCTACGGCGGAAGAGGAGTGTCGTCGGAGTGAGCATTACAAACACGACGAGTCCGTTGATAAGATAGGCAATCCGAACTCCATGTGCGGCAAGAGCCATTCTGGTCGTAAAGCTGAATATCAATCCGCCGGCCCCAACTCCACCAGAGCTCAGCCCCATCGCTAATGCGCGTCTTCGAAGGAACCACTGGCTGATCAAGGGTTGCGTCGCCATAAAGTTCTACCGATTATGAGCCTGGCAATAGTTAAGAAAAGAAAGAGACCGCCGTACAAGCCCAATTCCCAGTCCACACATGACGCCTTGTGTGAGAGCAAACTGCCAAACAGTCTTGCTTTGACCGGCCAAGATGAATCCCAGTGCAAGAATCGTCTGTGCAATAGCGAGAGTGACTAGTATCGCTATCAGCGACCGGAACCGGATAACACACTCCCGTACCGCGCAAGGGTAAAAGTTTGCAAACATAGGCCGTCAATGGCGAGAACAGGAAACCCGTCGAGATTGCAGTCCCTGCAATCCATCCAAAGGACACGGGGGGTTCATTCCCAAACGTATGATGCTCCTGGAACCAAGACAGGAACACGCCACTGCTGGCTGTCAGCCATCTCTACCGACGGCGTGTGACCGGAGACATACTACACCGTCATCATCCCCCACGTCGCAGCTTGACTGACAAACTGAAGTACGACAATAACCCAACCGTATCCACCGTCGGGTATCGGCCCTGGCTCCAACACGACGACTTCGCCGTTTTTCGACTGCGTTGGCTCGTCCTATCGCCTTCAATGAAAAGTCATCGTACAAGAGGGAATCATACGCACTGGTACTACCATCCCATCCTGCTCGCTTTTCGGGATCTGACCGCCGAGTTCTAGTTGGACCAGGGACGGCGCCACCAGCGTCGGCATCCCTGACTCTATCTCTTGTACAATCACATGTACATCTCCCACCGTCTCTTGTGTCGCCTGCCGCGATACGCTCGTTCCGACAGCATTCAGCGGCGGCACATCTGCTGCTTCTTCTTTGCACGCTTTCTTTTCCTCTGATGACTTGTGCATACGCTCCTCTGCGTCCATGGCTGTATTGGTCGAAAAGGACGAGAGACGTCGGGTTGATGAAGCGGCTGAAAGGAATAGCAGAGAGGAGCCTCTTTTATATGATGACGCCGGTATTACCTAATCTCGACGAGAATGCGCCTCGTTGACTCAGGTTTTGTCAGCCCACCGAGGCGTTCGGCGTAAACGGACGAACCAGAAGCTTGGAATTCAGTGCCAGGGCGCTGGGTGCAGGCGGAAACGCTGTTCCGTCGACTCTTCAAACTAGCTACACAGCTAGAGAACATCAATCGAGATGCTTGCACCATTTTTTGCACCCACGGCCCGGAAGGGCAGGGTCCAACATTTGCCATGGGTGGCTGATGGTCACACCCTCTAATGACCAAGGGCATTTCGATATTTTCCTCAAGTATCCCGAACAAACGGTAGCTCTGCTATTCTGTGCTGAACAGATAGAATGCTAGATCCACTGATGAAATGAAACTAAGATGTCTACTGGGACGGTACAATGCCCATGGAGTCATGAATAGATAGCTGGACAAATGGCATATGACAACACTTGGCGACCTTTGCTTGGACATGTATCATGGGTCCTCTGGAACATTGTCAGCAACGCCGAAGCAGGAATCCCATCCACCTACTATTGGCATCTGCATCTCCGTGTAATCGTGCAGCGGCGATGATACGCCCCTTGGCTACATATATGGTCAGCGAACGGGCTGGATCCAACTATAAATACTTACAGGAGCCAGGTGGGCCACGAGGAATTGCAGCGGCAGACGCAACGGTAACAGTAGCACCCGATATGGATTTTACCTTTACAGGCTTGGGCAGCCCGGCTTGTTTGGGCTGTGTATGCGACGAGCCGCCAGTATCCGTAGAGTCTGCGGATTCAGGCGAGGAATACATTGAAGGAGAAGGTGACGCAAGATTATTCGCAATAGAAGATGCGGCAGATCCTTTACGCGCGCGGGATGCGCCTTGCGAGGACGATGTAGATCCAATCTCCATAAGGTCGTTTACTGCCAGCGTTTTAGAAGACATCATCGTGGAAAGAATAGACATACCCGAGTTTGCTTTCATCTTCTTTGGTTTCTTAGTTGGTGTGTCAAGTAGGCTTGGAGATGGAGGCTTCTCTGGTGAATACCAAATTGTATCCATTGGCCAGGAGACTTACTCGCTTTCCATTACTATTGGAATCTGATAGAATATAAATCCAAAATGGAAGTAAGATATGAAAACAACCCACCTTTCTTCTTCTTCGACTTTTGGGACGACGATGGCTCATCGGGAGAGTCAATGTACGGAGACGCCGCACGTTGGTCCTCAATCCTTGTGAGGATTAGTGGCATTCGTTATAGTGACCGGCTCACTTGCTTCGCCTTTGCGTTACGAGCACCTCGTCGGCCCGTGCCTATCCCCATACAATTCGCAAGATGTTGAGCGCAGCGGTTCGATGCGACCTATCTTAGATATAGAAATGACCTCGTTTGTAATGAATAGCAATACCGGGCGTGCGCAAGATGGACAAGTGAGAAGGATATTTGTGTCTTTGGTCGGAGTTCCCGAGCCAGACGAACCAGTCATGCCTTTGGGAGGCTGTCCACTCGCCGAGGTCGCTAGTTTTGTAGAAGATTTCAAACCAGGAGGGTGAGCTGAAGTGTCTCTAAGTGCTTGTACAAAAGCTCGTCCAAATGACGTGACGCACGAAGAGAGCAGCTGGAAAGAGCAAGCAACGAGTGACCATAGTCAGTTTTGTTCTCGGAATAAAGATGTACATATGAATTGGGCCAAACGACTTACTAAGTGCCACAGCATCGACACGGCCTTTTTGCCTTTTGGGCATCTTGATGTCCTCGAACGACGGTATCAAAGACGAGTTCTGAGAGCATTTCTTCAAATATTATATTCGCCTGAGGCCGTTAGCGCGGGTGAACACGCCGCGGGTTGACACGACGGGAAATGCTAACCACGGAAGCGATTGCATCTTGTCTGCTTTTTGGAGGCATTCCTTGCCAAACCGGAGCTCAGAATGCTGGCAAATTTCTAGACGAGGCCAATTCCGACGGGAAAGCAAGCGCTAAGCGGTGTTCACCACCTTCAGGAACTCGACGGGTCAAGAGTCCAACTTGCAGTTTGACAAGCGGTTAAATTACGTCTTAGTTGGCAATACTGACCTGTTGATTGGATGTGCCAATGGAGATTTCCCGACCAGAAATGTACTACTCGTTAACATACGGCTCAGTGGACAGTTCATATGCTTAAACAGACAGTCTACAGGTTTTGTGATTTTATTAACATTTTCCATCAAGCTCCCTGATAGCGTCACGCGACCGGCGATAAGGCCACTCGAGACTTTGGACCCCACCACCAAGCAGCTCAACTCCAGTGATATCCAAAGAACAAATTCAATAAATTTAGAGACTTCTACAGACCCATGGCCACCGCATCCTCTTCCGAACTGTTTTTGGACCATCCTGGGGATGAAAGTTCCCCGAACATTACATCCAACGCATCCTTTGACGGAAGAGAGAACCCATTTCAGATAAAGAATAAGAGTAGACCGGCGTCTCTCCTCTCACGGGCATCTGGAGAATCGACGATTGAGCTCCCAGACGAGGTCATTACCACAGAGGGCCTCAGACACTCTGAGATAGCATTGAACGCAAAGTGAGCAACCAAGGCCATCTTCCCAGTGTCCAGCGCGCTTGGCATGAGGTCATGATATTGACTATCGGCTACAGGAAATATAAAACGAGCTCGTTTCTAGATAGGCTCATGCAAATCCTAGGCGAGCTACAAGTACCTACGTGGTCAGAGCGTCCACTCTCCTCCAATGCATCTATCAGCTCGCGAAGTTCTTTCAATATGAGCGTTGCACCCCCAGAAAAGGGGGACATCTGGATCCACAAAGTCTCTGGATCCCTGACAAACGCCGTCTTTTTTGTCCTCGTCCCATCCACCTCTCGTGAACAAATCACGAGCTTCCAATCAAAGGCACCCTACAAGACACTCCTTTTACGTGTCTATGGTCCCTCTTCTTCATCTCTCATTAACCGTTCTGCCGAACTTCGAATTCTTCACGTCCTCTCCTCCAGATACCGAATAGGGCCTCGAGTCTGGGGCACGTTCGCAAACGGAAGGATAGAAGAATACTTTGAGTCTGACCCGCTCACGTCGAGTGATATCAGAGACCCCCACATCTCGCGCTGCATTGCAGTTCGAATGTCCGAACTTCACCGTGTCGATGTTCGCAAGGTCGTCGATCCGAAACAATGGGCAGATCCCGGTGACGGCACCCGTGGCGAGCTCGGTGTAAAACGCAATGTTCGCACATGGATTCCACCAGCACGGGAGGTGCTTTCTCTGATCAGAAATGAAGAATACAAGAAAGAGATCGACTTTGAACTTCTCGTCAAGCAGTGGGACACTTACTACAAGTGGGTAAGGGACTGGGAAAAGGAGGACGACTGCCTCAAGGAAAGTCCTCGTGTATTTTGTCATAATGATACCCAATACGGTCAGGATATCGCCCTCTGAGTGGATATTTAGGCTCATGTTTGTTTAGGCAATCTCCTTCGTCTTCGTACGACCCAGCCCGGAATGTTACCTCATCAGCAAGTGCGTCTCCAAGATTTGCAGGTCACATTACACTTACAACAATGCAGATCATCGTCGTAGACTTTGAATATGCGTCTCCGAACTGTGCTGCGTTTGATATTGCCAATCACTTTTGTGAATGGACGACAGACTACCTAGGGTCGAATCCCGCACTCCTCAAACCCTCTCGGTTCCCAACGCGCGCCGAACGCGACAATTTTTTCCTCGCATACCTCCAATCTGGGCTCGTTCTTGATAACAGGTCAAGCCGAGCAGATCCTGAGACACCAACGGGATCCTCTGGACAGCTCGTCGACTCTCCATCGTCGACACCGGCACTCAGTAGACACAATTCTCAAGCGCAGATTTCACGACACGGCTCCCTGACGCAGATGCAGTCCAAGACCCCTCCGCTCGCGCAATTCGCACGACGCGGCTCGGCCGTCCTTCCGGATGCCATGGACTTGTTGGAGGAGCAAGTCAGGCGATGGATGCCTGCGTCCCATGGTATGTGGGCCATATGGGCACTAGTCCAAGCGCGAGATGATGTCGAGCGCATCAATCGTCGGATGGAGGGGAAACGCCAAGATGGAGAGGAAGAGGAAGAAGATGTGATGGAGTTTGACTACCTGCTTTACGCCAGCGACAGGATTCGCATCTTCCGCGAGGCGTGCCAAGAGCTTGGTGTATTTTAAATTTCAACATTAATCCAGCTATATTCTGTATGCAGGACATGACATCCGGGGACAGCCCTATGTGAGTAGGTTTGGCCGACTGGTGCCGATCCACGAGTCGAGCATTTTCCAAAACTGAGCTACAGTGGATTTGTCTAGATGTCGCTTGTTAGGATCAATCTTGAGCTCGGTCACGTTCCAATCTTTGACTTTGGGATTCGGTGGGTCGTTGGTCCACGAGATGTAAAATCCTTTGACTACTCTGTGTTAGACACGCCCAACCTGGTTGCGAAAAGGTTACCTCGGTGGAAGAGTTCACGAGGCTCGCTCCATTTATAAGGTCTAAACTGCCATGCCTGACCTGTTGTCAGAACACAAACGACTCTTTCCCTATCTCTGGTCAGTCAACGTTTCTCAGGCCGCTTGCTCTCACCAAGGATCGGCACCAAATTTGTTGAGAGCTTCGATCCCATCAACAACGAAATATTTGACCTGGGTCTCCGTCTCTCGTCCTCCCGGTTCGATAAACGTTCGCTTTCGGTAAAAGACGACGACATCTTCGCGTACGGTATTCTCCTCTGCTGCACGTGCTTTCGCCGTGGTAGAGTCGACAAATTCAGAGTCTTGGAGAAACTTTTTGACGTTCCACATTGTGATAAGGGCTGTCGGTGACGAAGAAATCATGATAATCGGATGCGCTTGGCCTATCCGGTTGTCAGCAAAGTCCGAGCGAGCTTGCGAGTACTAACGGTGTTTCTGTGAAGGAGATTTTGACCCTGAGGCGCGGTGAGCTTGGATGTGAATGGACCAACATGACTACAGACCTGAGCGACTCGGAGGTCCAGTCGATGAGCTCATGGAAGCAGCACTAGCGGCTTGTGCTTCTCGGAGTTTTTGTATCCTCGCTTGAATGAGAGCGCGGATGCCGGAAAAGTCCTAACATCATTAGTTTGTAGCCCTGCCAGATGAATGACACCATACACTTGTTTTTGATCCACATAGAACGGCGTTACGGTCCTTGAGCTCAACCTCGTTTGCTCTGATACGCTTGACGGCCTCGAGGTCGCGAGTGTCCACAACATATCGTTTCTTCTGAGGTGCCTCTTGGGCACTGGACGAGGATCCTGAACATGTTGAGAGGTAGTCATTTCGCAGGGTACAAGCACACCTTGGAGAGGCACAATGTTTGGATGCGAGTCCATTCTTCTTTCCAACCAATCTACGACGCTCTGTTTCTCCGTGATAGCGACCATGTTCGTGATTCCGATCCCCGAATCTCGAACACTCTTCATGTACTCCGCTGTCGCCGCTTCTCGTAAACTCCACGCCAGGTAGACCGCGTCCAGGGCGTAAAAGTCGGCTGGATGCGCATTTGGATCCGTCTGAGTATGGTTTGGTTTCCGTAATCGTGTCGGAGTTGATTTCGCGAGCGTAATGGGTCCCGCTTGGGAGGGTTGTGGAAGTAGCAGAAACACAGCGTTGGCCAACGATGCCTCTGGCTCTTTCTCTGCATTCAGAAACGTAATTGGTTGCTTCGAGGCTATCGCACTCCGGAGGCTAACGAGCGCATCCATTTTGAACCGGTCGTGGTCAGAGGCAAGCCGTGATCTAGTGGTGACAACAGTTTCTTTCTTTCTCTCCTATCTACATGATAGTAACAGAAACGCAGACCAGCAAGGGTTGAACAGGGGGAACACAGGATTATTAGTACCAATAAAAGACACAGAGATTTGGGAGTGGCACAGCGTGAGGGTGGACAAAATAGCGTATGAGACAAACCGCTACAGAATGAGAGAGTGAGAAGGAGAGCTTGTTCTCGTGACTACCGCTTTCGCTTCTTTTTTGCGGGCTCTTGTATTTCACAGTCGCGGCAGTACCACTTTTTGTTGGCCGCGGGCTCTCTGGTGATCCCAACACATTCGTAATGGAACTAGACGAAGTCAGTAAGATTACAGGCCCAACGATGAGAACATACCCATTCTCGTTTACAGTCTGGACCATCGCAGGCAATCATCTACATAGATTATAAGCGCAGGAACAGCAAAAGGCGAAGAAATCTTACATTTCCAAAGGAAACCCGATTGCAATAGCAATATGTCGGCTCGTTTGGGTCGATTGGCTCGTCGTCGTCTAGAGGCACTATAGCGAGGATGGATGGATCTTTCTTGCCGACTCGACGATCCTTTCTAGGTTGTTGCTTTGGCTTTGCTGCCTTTGACGTATCCACCTTGGGCTTTGATGGCTCGACTTTGGGTTTTACAGCCGCGGCATGGCTCTGCTTCTCCACCTTTTTGGAAGCCTCTTTTTTCTCCTTTTTGATAGGTGGCGAAATTGGCGAAGGCTGAAGCGACTCCAATGTCTTCTCTGCGGCGTGGATGGCAGTCGCCGCTTCGGCGAGCGCTAGCAAGCTATTGCTCTCAAATGAGGGTGACCTTGCATGGTTCGGAGAAGTTCCGTTGACGACTGTGCTACTCGCAGGATGGGTTCCAGGACGTATACCAATCTCAATGGCCTTTTCCTGTTCTGCAATGGCAATATCGAGCGCACGAATATGTCTGTCAATCTTTTTTATTATTATTAGCGAGCGATCTGGTGTTAAAACACGACAACGTACCCCTGCGTATGCCGCATTGGCCAGGTTGACCTTTTCCAGGGACCCACGCATTGCGTCTGTCGCGAGCGTCGCTATCCGTGTGATAAGTTGGACGCTCGACGGTGCGGCTGGGACTGCTGATCGTTCCGTCTCAAACGACGTGTCCTGTTCTTCCGTTTCGGCCTCGTCGTTGGACTCGCCACTGCCGCCGTTTCGCACATTGGGAAGGGAGAGCGATCTCGTCGACGGCGACTCGCTGATGGGCGTGAGGGATGCAGAGGAAAAAGAGGCACGGGAAACGGGTCGCTTGCAGAGTCGGTCAGCATCCGGTCGGTCGATGGCGTCGCCGCTGCTGGCGTTTGCACCGTTTGTGGCCATTTGCTCCTCGACTTTGACGCGTAGTTCGTAGTAGTCCTTGAGGACGGCGGGGATGGCCTGTAGATGAGCTAGGTGGGTCCAATGAGCCATCGCCGGTACGACTTCAAGTCGTAAAAACGCACCTGTTACTTGCTCGTCGAGCTCCTTCATGAGCGAATAGTTGCGCTGGAGGGAAAGCGGGAGCTGCTCGAGAACTGAGACGAGCAACGCAACGGCGTCAGCAGATTAATCATGCGGGCTCGCTTTTACTGACTATCATGGCATTCCTCTTTGACAATCTCCCACGCTAGATCACGCTGAGGGGGGGAATGGACAAGTGTACGCTCTGGAGCACGGGCAGCAGAGGCACTCTGGTCGGAGGCCGTCACTGCGACAAGCAAGTTTGGTTCAGCAGCCATTCTGAAGCTGTTTGAACGCAGTGTAGAGCGTCTAGACGGCGGACACTGTCCAATCGCGGAGGGGGAGAAAGCCAAGGTTGTAACGAGCGTCACAAACAACATCAACAAAGTCTTGAAAACAGCTTGTACATCTTTTCAGAGTATATACAGCGACACCTTCTTTGGTGTCGAGACAACGTCGACCCCGCCACCACTGACTGGACTGCTCGCGAATCCCTGGCCAGCTCATCCGTACGACTAGAGCATATCTAGACGGCTCTGGGATACACTAGAAACGATGAGCATCCGTACGACACGCGCACTTCACAACCTGGGCGCAACAGAGGCACTCCCGGGTCTCTCAGAGCTCACAGGCAATGTCGAATCTATCGCGAATGAAGCTAATCGTGTCTCTGTACAAAAGGTAGCGCATTCACTTGTCGTCGTTGGCTCAAATAACACACCAACCCTAGGTCAAGTGCAAGCATCTCGCCAACAGATGCAGAGAATTGCTCGTCACGTTTCAATCCCAGCGATTCTCAGCCGGCACAGATCTTCAGGCTGCGGCAGACGAAGCCGAAATGTACGCTACGAGTTTGGATCGGTGGCGAAACATGCTCAAGGCCGTTGTAGGCTGTTGGAGAGAATCTTGAAAAAGTTTGTCGAATGGAGAGATCTGAGTAAGCTCCAACGGTATTGTATGCTCCTTCTGCACCCTTGCAAGTTGTACCCTGACGCTCATTCCTCTAGTACGACGAGACGAGATTGGTCAGGGGATTGACCAATTGAACCAAGACATGAATGTGATCACGCAACGGTTCATGGTGAGCCCTTCCCCTCGCCATGCGGATACGCGTCGAACCCATGTGCAGATTCAAGCTGCCGCATTGACTTATATGAGCGTTGCGGAAACCCAAGCGTTGATGCGACAAGAGAGAGAAGAGACAAAGAACATGCTGCTCGATGTCATCAAGAGCCAAATGCCAGACGTGAAGCAAATGGCATACGCAGGCGACGTTCGTAGCGTCGAGAGCATCTTGTCTGGATTACAAAAGGCATGTCTGTTACTTTTGAAAACGCTGCTTTCTTGACACTCTCACAGACAGTGCAGGATGAATCTAGCCATCTGAGTAGCGAAGAAGCGCAAACACTCGGCACCGGACTTGTCACACTAGTGCATGAAACCAACGTCCTACCGCCTATCAAGGACCTACGGAATGAAGTTGTGCTCACCTCGACTCAACCGGTGACAGGAGGTGCGTATAGGGATCATCCTTGACACAGGCTCATTGTCATAGGGGTCTACAGCGACATTTTCATGGGAAAATGGCACGGAGAAAAGGTTGCGGTAAAAGGTCTACGACATATACAAGCTACACCACCAGCAGTGAAGGTGTGTGAAAAGGGTCCCGCTTACTATTCCCTTAACAACTGCAGGCCTTTGAGCGTGAAATTAACATATGGTCCCGCGTGCGGCATGATAACATGTGCGCAAAGTCGAACCCTTTGGTTCCGTAATCTAACAACCTCGCTAGCCTTGCTCTTTACGGCCTAACCTCGCTCCCTGGCCGGTCCACCGGTAAACTTTATATGGTGTCTCCATGGCAAGATCGTGGTGATATTCTCGCTTATTGCCGAGCTAATCCACATGCCGATCGCCTCGCTTTGGTGCGTCTTGACCTTGTATATCCAGTCAGATTCTGACGATGGTCGTAGCTAGAAGGTGCTGCGTCTGCCTTTGCTTATCTTCATAGCCAAAATATAGTGCACGGGAATGTGCGCTGTGTAAGGGGCCCCATCCGACCACCCTTCCTTTATCTCATCCTTTGACAGGCGAACATACTCGTTTCCCCAGAGGAGAAACCGCTGGTCTGTCACTTTGGACTATCGAAAATGGTCGAAGATGTGACGGAGACAGCGGCTCAGACGACGCTCTCAACTGAGCCAAACTATTCGCGATATCTCGCGCCAGAACTTATCCGGGGTGATATCACCAGTCCTCGAAAGAGTACCGATGTCTATTCATTGGCCATGACGATCCTGGAATGTCTCACCCTAGAAAGGCCGTTTGCAAACCGGAAACGGGTAGGTGCTCTTTTCGGCTAGTCGAGGCTATACTGAACCGCAAATAGGACGCATTGTGAGTGGTATACTCGAGTAGATCATCTAAGCTGACCTGTGTAGGGTGATACGGGACGTTATAGTGCTCAATCTGCGACCCAGCCGCCCAACAAACGAGAGTGGCACTCGGTGGATATCGGATGGAGTCTGGAAATTATTGACTGAGATGTGGGCAGAGAACCCACTGGATAGACCGAGTATGCAGCACGTACACGCCACTTTGCTAGATCTGCGGCACAGCGGGAACGAGTAAGTGTTTGGGCATGTTTATTGAATGAAGTTGACCGACATGTTTCAGGGACTACAGATGATTCATTTTTTCATCAATCACGGATATTATACAGTTTTTAACGATTGGATATGGTCAATCTCCTTCTTCACCACCGGCGTAGTCGTCAATGTCACGCCCTCGCGAGGATAAGCTCCGTCGAACGTATTCGTCAAGCATGGTGGGGTCGTCTTCGAATTCTGCTCTTCTCAGATGTACCGCATAGTTGGCTTTGCAACTCGTTAGCAAAAATATCTTCGTCCTCATGGCACAAGACTCGCCTTCTTCAATCTTGCGAATGGATTGTTTGGTGACGGCTTGCTTTTTGGACAATTCGCGCACGTCGGGGGTGAATTGCTCAAAGTCTAAGTCGCTTAAGTCGCTTCATGGGTGAAAAGGAGAGGAAGAGACGTACCTGCGCTGCATCTGCGTACAAAGTCGCATATTGCGGACGCACGCTCTCGTCCACCTCCACGTGCAATCGAGGTGATGGCGAGCCGCATGAGCTCGCCGGTAACATCTGATATGCCGAGGAGAAACTCATCATAAGGTAATGGGAAGAACTAGTGATTATGAGTGCTTGGTAGTTTTCTGCTGAGGGCATACCGGGATCTTGGAATCGTCTGAGAACCATAGTAGGGCCTCTTGGTACGTAATGAGCCCCTTTGTCTTGAGAAAGTGAACATATGAGACTGCTTCGAGGTATTCCTGTATTCCTGGAGATATAGATCGCAAGTGGAGCCAAAACTCGTCGGGTGTGGGGACCTCTTTATGAATCTCGGAGAGGAGTGTGGTTCTAATGTGGTTCAGCTTCTTTTCTGCGGCCTCGATTGCCTGGTCATCTACAAGTCGTCAATACCTCAGTGCAGGAGAGGTGAAGTCGAAATACCTTGGGAGTCACTTGTCACTAGTCTGTGTAGCAGGAATATGATCCGCTTAGATTGAATGGTGACCTCTCTAGATGACTGTGAAGCCCATCAGTCAACGCGTTTGGCAAGGGTGAGCCGTGGACACCTTGATCAGCCGCTCTCGTTTGTCATTGACCGCATCAAACTGCTCTCTGAAAGCGTTAAATGCCGCTAGAATTTCGTCCTTGTCCTTGTAGACCATGAGGGGGAGAGCGACGTGAAGACGCCACCTGTGGCCTCTTTCAAAACCTTGTATATTGACATTTACTGAACAGGAAGGAGTGTATTACGTAATCCTGATGGTAAATCTGAGCTGTTTATGCCCCGAATGTGTGACTTTGAACTGTGGCAAATTGTGTCCGCGACTGTTTTCAATCTGACTGGTGTGTGTTTAGTATTGATCAGAATGTATGAATGGAATGCATCCATCGCCGAGTTGTGGCAAATGCACGCTGCTCCGATCCGAATTTCCGATGTTCGTGACGTCGAATAGTGCCTCTGTCCAACTAAAGAGAGTCTTGCACGAGGCTTTCAAGGCACCGCGTTGACTCGACTCAACGGCTATAAGGCTCCCACTACTTTGGACCTGACCACATTCTCCATCCACTCTCCCCCGACAACGACGACAACGACGACGACACCATGTCCTTTTCCGCTGTCATGGACGAGATTCCCTCGCAGGATCCAGACTTGGAAATCCCGACCAGGCCCGTTACGCCAGTCGACAACACTGCGATGCTAGGCGTCCCGGCCAAGAAGAACCAGCTCTACCATTCAGACAGTGTCAACAAAGTTCTCAATGAGCTTTCAAGAAACCTCAGTGGCATCTGCGACAACACCATCTTCTCCTCAAAGGCGGACAAAATGCCACCTCCCCCAGGTGTTGGCAGTCAGAGCGACATTCATTTCGCCTATGGTTTCAAGCATAATTCAGGCGAACCTTCATTTTTATCTGGTCCTTCCGGCCAGACTGCTCTTCCCGTCATGTCTGTCTCACCTGCAGACTGCACTCTCACCCCCGCTTCCAAAGACAAGACTATGGTGTGTAACCTCTTTACCTGCTCACTCTCCCGCATATATTTGGGTCTGGTTGATAACAGACTGAAATCGTTGCCATTCACAGAATGTCGCACTCGACCTCATGCATTTCTACCACTCCAATATCCCCGAACCACCGTCTCTCAGCAATAATCTCACTCCTCGTTCAACATCTCCGGCCCAAGTCGTCTCCCAACGCAAGCCAGAAACCTCAAAGGTAGACGCCGCGACCACTCCGAGCCTCTCGCCCTTGTTAGCCACTTCGGGTGCATCTCCAAACCTCTTGCAGCCACAGAATACGTCTTCTCAATCTACCTCGTCCTCTGCCTCGTCAAAACCTGGCGCCCAATTGAATAGTATACTTTCTCCGACACCGTCTACCCCTGCACTCTCATTCGACGGTGTTGGTTCTGGGAGTGATCATGAATGTCGAGATAATGCACCTCTTCCAAAGCGCCCTCGTGCACCTCGTCGAGCCACCAAGGATTCCGCCGCATCAACCTCGACGGCTGCCAAATCTACCCCATCCTCGAGCAAAGGCAAAGGACCAATTAGTCCATCTCTCCCATTGACCCCTTCAATGCCCATTATCACTCCCCACCTCCAACCGCAAATCCCAAACGGATACACTGTTCCAAGCTCGGAGATCAATTCAGACTTTGAGGACGACGGAGAGGATGAGGATGTCAAAGATCTAACCTATCAGCAAAGCCCATACTCTGGTGGTCCTGTCCGTGAAAAGGCACGCGAGAGAGTCAGTGAAAAGCCCAAGGTGGTACCCCGGGTCAAACAACGCCACGGCAAAGAAGAGTGGTCGAATGTAGCCGAAGCCTCGCATCCGTACAAAGGACTCAAAACGCTTGGTGTTCCATCATCCGGAAACGGACGCCAGCGCTGCTCGTACGTGAGCCCTTATGATGGATGGAAATGTGACCAGGTACTTGCACGGTCGTACGACGTACCGCGTCACATGGAAGTACATGCGAAAGAGGAGTACGAACTCGTCATCACCGGCAAGCTCGCTGCGGAACGCTCCGACTTGTATACTTGCGTGACCGAGGCAAACATGTACGTTTGTCTCGTGTGCCGCAAAGACTTTTCTCGCAAGGACGCCATGCAACGACACGTACGCAACTCTGCAAAAATGTCGAAAGCAAAACACCGCGCGGAGAACGCCAAAATAAGCATGAAGAAGCGGGTCCTTGGCGATCCAATTGTTCCTCATCCATATGACATGGCAAATACGGAGAGTGGAGGTGGTGTGCCCGAAGAAATATTGGATAGGCATCGTGCGCTGCTCAACAATCTCAAAGAAGAGGCCATCGCACTCGGCCAGGACGTCTCGGACTGGGACGTAGAGGAGATGGTTCCCAAGCTCGGAGGCGGCCTCTTTGGCACCTCTAGTACGGGCGAGTTATACGCAGGCATGCGCGATAAGGCTCCAGGGATCCCCGTGGGCAGACGCGGTGGAAACAAACAAAAGACGGAAGCAGCAAAGTTACGGGCGATGGAGGAGCTTCCGAGAACTCGAGGTGCCAATCGAGGTGCGCAGAAAAAGGCCGGGACATCTCGGATGTCTTCGCAAGCTGCGACACCCAAAACGAACCCGTCTACCGCTGGAGGATCACAGGAGCATGGACCCACGACGGAGTCCGAAGACGATGAGCTGGTGTCGAGTGGCGAAAGCTCGCCCGAGGAGGAAGAGCCAATGGAGATGGACTAATGAAACCACAGTATTTGCTTTATTTCTTGGCCATATTTATGGTCGGCATCCACCCGGCCGTCGCTCTTCTCGGACCGGGCTTGACTGGCTGGCGTGTTTTCGTTATAGTGTGCGGCTACGCCATATGTGCTACTCTCTCCCACTCTCCTGTTGTATTTGTTATAGCGACAATTCCGCTCGCCGCAGCTAATGTTTGAATAGACCCTCTTTGGTAATGCTGGGAGACCCGTGATAACGTTCCCTTTCGCTAGCGTGGAAAGACTGAGCCTCGACCACTACCATCGTGATTATTTGCAAGAGCTGAAAAGCACTCCAAAGTCGAAGAAATTGAGCGTTGAGAATGACAAATCGATCAATAGTGATCATAGGGTGAGCACTCAGTACATTTCTGGGTGGATATCAAGCCTGATGAGTCCTCGAGGGGAGGAATCATAGGTGCATCGACCGCCTATTACCTTACGAGACATCCAAAGTTTGGACCAGACGTCTCTGTCCATATCATCGAGGCATGCTCGATAGCTGTCGGGTATGTCCTCCTTTTTTCCAAATTCGTTTACGAAATACCCTCTGATTCGTCGCTCGTTGCCTTTACGTACGCTTCTGGAATCCATCTTGGACTATGGGTATAGTGCATCTGGAAAAGCAGGAGGCTTCATGGCACGGGATTGGCATCGTGGCCCAAACCTCTCCCTCGCTGCCCTATCGTTTGACCTCCATCAGAAACTGGCAGAAGAATATGGCGGAGAGGAAAAATGGGGCTATCGACGTCTCACGACAGTCCAAGTCGAGCTCAAGGCAGAAGAGAGGTTTGAAGACGTTCCAGACATTAACTGGATCGACAAAGCTACTAGCTCATCGTACGTATCGTTCCCCTTCTTACCGTTTCTATCTCTGATAAAATATGATGGTCCAGTGTGATCGGCGATTCCTCTTCGACGGCACAAGTCACACCAGGGTTATTCACTGAGGCTATGGTCTCACTCGCGCAGGAAAAGGGTGTCAAAGTGACGATAGCGACCGTCACGGGTATCGAAATGGACGGCTCTGGTTTGCCGACAGCCGTGATTGCAACAAACGATCAAGGAGAACGGATCCGTGTTGAAGCTACAGATGTCCTGTTCGCAACTGGTCCATGGACAGCGTCGTTAGCCAAGAAAGTCTTGGGCAAACGTGCTGGATCTGCACTGGACATTGAACCAAGGTACGCGTCCCTGTACACACATCCCAAAGAATTGCCGGCTAATCAATGTCATGGATAGTCGATGCTCAACATCGGTCGTCTTCCGCCCAAGTATCCCCGTCAGTGCACACGCACTGTTCACCGAGATGCACACTCCAGACGGTAAATCCACCAGCCCAGAGATATATCCTCGTGGAGATGGCACAGTTTATATGTGCGGCGATCACACGGATCCACTGCGCCAACGACCATTCCCCGAAAGAGCAGACGCCATAGCTCCATCTGAGATTGCTATCAAGAACCTCACGCAGCGCCTAGCCTTCGTGTCAGAAAAGTTTAAAGATGCGGAAATTGTGGTGACGCAGGCGTGCTTTAGACCAGAGTCGAAACGCAATCGACCTCTTATTGGCAAACTCGGAGAGGGTTTGTGGATAGCAAGCGGACATTCCGTTTGGGGGATCTGTAATGCGCCTGGTACGGGCAAAGTCATGGTTAGCTTGCCTTTTCCTCTATGTTCACGATCCTAATCGTTTCTAGTCAGAGCTACTGCTTGACGGAGAAGCGACGTCGGCGGATATTCGCGGTCTACGACCATGAACAGGTGAAACGGTATGCATTTGCCAGGATGAATAAATACACGTGGAATCCGTTGGCAATTGTTGTCACCTCTCAATCTAGAGCTCGCCTTTGACAGCCTTGTCCAACGACGCAGCAACATAGCGAATGTTGTTTGAGTTGAGACCGGCCATGGAGATACGGCCGTTACTCGTCAGGTATATGTGCGCCTTTTCGACCATGGCTTTCGATTGTTCGGCATTGAGCCCAGTGAAGCTACAGGATACGGTCAGTACTCAAATTACGGCAGAGCGTGAGACTTACCTGAACATTCCAATCTGACGAGTGATGTGGTCCCAATTTCCTGGAGTCCGCAGCTCATTTGTAAGGAGAGCGTGAAGCTTTTCACGCATATCGATAATCCGATGGGCCATGGTCTTAATATCTTCCTTCCATTGGTTGAAAAGATTAGCATCGTTGAGGATCAACGCCATCTACCAGGGTATTAGTACGAGAGGGGTAGATACTGGTTCACGCACGATGCGCGCTCCGAACGCAGGTGGGTTGCTGATCTCACTTCGCTGTAGAACAGATATTTGACTGCGAATGCGATCGGCCGCAGCCTTGTCGACGCCGACGAGGTGCAAGCACCGACCCGTTCGCCGTACAAGCCAGCATTTTTAGCGAAGCTCTACAACGGGTTAGTAATGGTTCAAAAATGGCGTTACAAAGGTGTACCTGGCATACAAGCATCGGAACGCCTCGTTGCTCAAAGTAACGCACCTGTACAATGTCAGGAGGCTTAATGGAGGTATATAAAATAGAATGCGTACTGCAGAGGCATCCTTGTCGAGATCGCCACTTGCGAATCCTTGATATGCACAGTCAAAGAATGCAAAGTGTTTCTTCTCAAGGAAGAGATCGGCAATCTTTTCCCACTGCTCAGGAGTTGGGTCTACACCGGTTGGATTATGCGCGCATGCATGAAGGAGGAATGGCGACGAGTCTGGTGCAGAGCGAAGTGCGTTAAGAAACCCTTCAAAGTCGAGACCAATCGTTTTTGGGTCATAGTATGCATAATCTACCGGCTCGATCCCCACGTTTCGGAAGATAGCATGATGATTTGCTAGAGAGATCAGGATTGCTGTCAGTTCACTTCCGGGGATCCGATGCTGTGCATACCCCATGTCGGGTTGCTCACAAATATCTGCTTCGGGCCGTTGAAAGTATAGAACCTGCTAAGGAAAAGTGCACCCAAATGGTTCGCACCTGTTCCAGAAATGGTCTGTGCACTGTCAAAGCGAATGATGTTAGTCGGGGCGGTGGCACCGCATGGTGACGACGATATCACTCGTGCAACTCACCTCGCTACGCGCTGCTCTCGAATAGCCGCGGAATCCGTGCCGAGGATCAACTTAGCCGCCGCACTCGTAAACTCTGGGAGACCGGTGATGGAGAGATACTCGTGGTCGAGTCCCTCGTCATTCGAAAGGATGGCCTTTGCCTTCTTCACAACAGGGAGCACCCAAGGTTTGTTGTTGTCGTCCCTATATGCACCGACCCCGAGGTTGACTTTTGAGGGAAAGGTGTCGGTTTTGTAAGCTGCTGTCAACTTGAAGATGCTGCGATGATTGAGGCGAATTATAAACACCCATAGATGTAACACACCTATCTGGAGGCGCAAGAGGGACGTTTTGCCATGTTTCTAAATGTGCGTCGAGTCAGAATTCTGTGTATGAATGGTATGTGGAGGATCGTTTACCAGCCATGATATGCGATCCGGTTATGTGATGATAGATCTGTTGTAGTCTGGAAGACATAGTATGTTAGAGAAACCGTCCAACGATGCGGGGTTCAAGATTCGTTCAAAAGCGGCCTCAGTCTCACCGGCTCTTCACGTGCAATCAACGGTGGAAAATCACAGGCGTCGACGGGTTGCTAGAGGCGTTGGCGGATTTTCTGGGTATTTATTGATCCTTGTGGATAATGGAATCACTGTTGGGTCTCGGCAAGGTCTGGTCGAAGGGTCGCCACCCACATCGACCACTTTCGGAGAAACCTATCCCTAGCCTTTTCGGGAAGAAGAGAACACTGATGCTCGGTATAATTCACAGATGGTCCGTGTGTGTTTGATCAAAGGAACGTGCAGAGAGTTTGGCTGAAGTACATTGGGGTAAACAAACGAGGTGTTCAGAATGTGTATCCAGTGATGGGAGCACCACCTAAAATTCGTCAGGATTCCAACCAATGGACACTCAATGGCTACGCACCAACATTGGTTCCCTTCTTTCCACCCGAAGTCTTGAGACCACTCCAGTTCCAAGTACCGGTGCAATCCCCTCTGTATGGATTCAGAACGAGTCAGGCTTAATAATTATATGACGTACGGGTAGCAAAGAACCTTGACCATTGTCGCGCTTGAGGTGGTAGAGACAGAGTTGGTTCCTTGGAACGATACATTTTTGATAGTAATCCCTGGGGTAGCAGTGCCAGTCTCGCCGCTGTTGGTCTAAGAATGGTCAGGCCAGGAGGTGCCAAATCATAATGACGGGCGTACATAGTCTTGAACAATAATCACACCATAGGATGTGCTAAGTGCCGATGAGCAATACACACAGACGGGGTAGCCCAACTTACGCTCCAGTCACCGTGTTGTCTTTGTAAATAACATTGGAGACAGACGCGTTGTTGTTGTCTGCATATGTCTTAATGCGGAGGCCTGGGTCGAGTTAGGAAAGGCCATATACACTTATCCAAATACGCACCGTTCTGGTTGTTAATGACTTTGTTGTTCGAGATAGTCACACCGTTAACAACATTGCCGGTCTTGATGCTGCCAATGCTGATTCCGTGTCCACCAGTGCACGAGTTGTTGGAGAAGACGACGTTGGTTCCACTGTTGATGGCGATGCAATCATCCTGATTGATGACCGTGCATCCCGTGATGGTAAGATCAGTCGAATGAGAGACGTCGAATCCGTCAGTGTTGTGCCCAAGCTTTGCACCAGCGCTATTGTCGTAGGTCACTATAGAGTATGTAAGTTACGGCGACTCGCTCTTCCTGCCAGACTAACCAGAGCTGATGGTCAATGCTGAGGGGTTCTGGACAGAGAAAGCGTGACCAGGTACGTTGATCACCTTGACATTGGTGAACGAGCCGGAGATTTTCAACTCGACGGTGCTAAGCCGCGGTGAGCATCGATGGCGCACGAACAACTCAGATACATACTACTTCGGCTTGTCAACACCACCGTTGGTTCCTTGTCCATCCCAGTAGTATGCACCATTACCATTGATGGTATGGCCATTGCCGTTGAAAATAATCTTTCCGCCCTGAAGGGTAAAGAGATTGCCGGTCCAGTGAACACCGGTACCGAACGAAATGTCGCCGGCGAGTTGGACAGTCGTGCCATCGGCAAGATTTGTGAGCGCAAGTGACTTGCCAGCTGGGACGGTTTGAGCAGCAATGGTGATAGTCTTGCATCCTGAAACTTTAAAAACGTCAGTATAAGTGCTAACTGTACAGCTGGCTCGTGTAGCGAGTGTGGCAGGGGCTGCGTTGGCTGCAAGGGCCAAGAAGGAGCATCCCAAAGAGAGGTATGTCGAGTAGCTGAACATAGCGCGTGCAAGAGTATGAAATCCGGAGATGGAGCACGTCAAGCTTACCCAGGGTTTACTCCAGTTTTTATAACCCTGCTGGACACCACCACTCCGAACGTAGACACAACGACCGGACCGCCAACGGACAATCCTATTTTTACCACTTGACTTCCAAACGCTCCTGACATATGCGGTTGCAATAGGATGGCTGCCTAGATTGAATCCAGAAGCCACGGCTGGCTATGCCTCGGAAATGTGGCCCAAAAATACTGGCCTGGTGATATCGAAACGCACACAGGTCGTTTGACCAGGACGGTCCGCTGGAGTCTTGTTGCGTGACCGAAAATGTAGCTATTTATGGACGCAAGAACACTAGAAGATGCTGAAACAGGGCAGCAAATCGGAGCTCAGAGCGTCAGTGTGGGGACGGCCTCCACGAAATTCTCCCTCTGCAACAAGGGTGAGAGCCCTAGGAAGCTTCCGGGAATTATCTATATATTTTTCGAGACTGTTAAAAGTCGACCAGCGATGTGGTCAAGCCCAACTTAGCTCTCGCCACAAACTCGTCGAGGCTGACATCTATAACAATGGACACGGAGAATATCATGAAAATCTCTCCCGTCAGAAAAGAATCCAAGAAACGCTCTCGTCAGGACGAGGACGAGCCGTTGAGTCCCAGAAGTGCATCACTGAGACCTCCAGTGCGTTCATTTTCAATTCTTTTGGATGCAATGAAGAACTCAATGAGATTTCATGAACCAGAAACGGCCCGCTCTGGGACTTGACGTCCCGCTCATCGGTCACGCCCCGCAAACCCTATTCAGGGATGTCGAAGAGCCACCAAATGTCCCAAGAATATCTTCGTGGCGATACAGTGACGATTGGGTCAATCGCACCGGTGGTCTTCGTCTCGACAGTCCCCTCCCGTCCATCCCAAATGCGGGTCTTTTGCTCTTGGTTAGCATTGGTGGTATCTAACTGATCTCTAGAACGAAGCAGATTTTGCTAGTCTTCGCGGAGCTCCACCACATCAAATGCCAACACAAAACACCTATCTGCCAACACCCACTGACTCGCCTCTCGCTACGGTTCAGTCCTTTGAGGGTTATACGAGCATTAATCAAGGCTCAGAAATGCCTCTCAATGTGTCCTATCCTCGGAATGATGTGCCACAGGAAGAAGATGTGATGATGATGTCCCCACAGGCTGAGCAAACCCGAGTCGAGAAAAAGAAACTTGTTCTCGGTTATAGAGAGGGATGTGAAAGCTGCCGTAGACGCGTTCCAGGACACTACATGCACATTATTGCCGACTAAGTCACCGTTCGGACATTACCATTCATCCCCGTGTATCATTAGCTAGTCCACAACTGCTCAACTATCTTCGATATCCTTTGGCACCTCTCGAGCCCTCTTCCGAGCCTTTTTTGCCTTTCGCCGTTTGCGTTCTCTGACCTTCGCGTCAAGCAGGGCTTCCCTGGAAAGTCCTGGATTGTAAAGCTCGTCCAACTATGCAATGAGTAAACAAAGGAACGAGGAGAGATATAGGCTACCTTTCTCGCTAATAGTTTGCGTGCTATACGTCTATTCTCTTGCAGCGATCGGGTTTCCTGGCACTGAACGCGTAGACCCGACGGAATATGCAATAAGTCCACGTTCGTACTGCGTTTATTTATACATTGACCTCCCGGTCCTCCACCTACGAGATGTGAGCAAGTGGTACACTAAGAGGCGCTGGAATACCTTTGACAAACGACTCCTCCAAGTCGTCCTCATTCAATGCTGGAATCTCTCGCTCACGTGATGCCTTCTTGAGGGCCGAATAATTCAAAGTCGACGATTTCGGTTCCGCTAAAGTGGTATCTGTATTTCTATCGCCCGCTAGAATCACATATGAAGATACACAGTAGTAGCTGTCGCCTACTTACGAAGAGGAGCCACAGCACATTGTCGCAGCTTCTTTCGCTCGTCTTCGTGCCCTCGACGGCCTTTCCATAGGGGCAGGGTTCTTGATAGTCTCATTGGAGCCGAGTTCGGTGTCCTTTGTGATTCTAAGTCCTAGATTCGCATTAGGAAGACTCTAAACGCAGGTTAACTGACGCACTGTAGACTCCATCGTCATTTCGTCGCCTGTCGCTGTATGAGTGCGACGATTATAGAGAAAGGAGGAGGCCTACCCTTGTACAATGTTCTTCGTGAGTACTTCTGCAATTTCATTGGCCAACTTGACGCTCTCCTTGTATGCAGCCGGGTCTGTTTCTGCCGACGCAGACACAAAGTCGAAGCGTGTCTTGACCGCAAAAGCTATCGTCCCCTTTGCATTAACAAGAGAATTCCTTAAACATGCTGAATAATGCTACCTTTTCGAATCTCCGGATCACCTTGACATGGGTCAACACTACGTTTGAGTTTTGCGGAGCGATGCTCACCCATAAATGCTTTATTCGCTGCACGGTGTATCGACCGATATGCTGCTCTGGCTGATGCCCTTAGTTGGGGTGTAATGGCGGACATGGTCGTGGGTCAACAGTTGAGACCAACTTTTCGGAGCTGACCATGATGCTCGCTCATTCAAGAGTCACCCTTCGGCGGATATGCCTGTCCAGTATGCAGAGTTCTGCCCGAAGTAGGCATCATTCTTTGGGAAATGGACGCGCTCGTTGACGAGTTTTCGGTGCAGGTCTCCATTCGACACCCCAAAGACTGGCCACGACACAGTTCACAATGCCTGCCATGTCCCCTACAATGACAGAAGGAGGAATTGCGTCTTGGAAGAAAAAAGAAGGCGAATCCTTTGCAGCCGGAGACGTCTTGTTGGAGATTGTGGGTTCGACAAGCTAATGGCGAGCTCAAATGCTCAACAAAACAATTATCATAGGAGACAGATAAAGCTACAATAGACGTGGAGGCGCAAGAAGACGGTGTGCTGGGCAAGATAGTTGTAGGTCGACTGGGAGTACAGTCGTACGCGGGTTTGACAAATTCAACAGATCAAGGAGGGTGAGCGTGGTATTCCAGTAGGAAAAGTTATTGCCCTCCTTGTCGAGGAAGGCGATGACATCTCAAACTTGGAGGTGCCAAAAGAAGAGACATCGTCGAAACCCGCAGAGTCTGCAGCACCTCCGAAGCAAGAGAGCAAACCACAGACGGCTCCAGAACCGTCGAAGCCCAAAACTTCGGAGCATATACATGTCGATGGACCTGTGTTTCCTTCTGTCCTCCGATTACTCAGTGAGGAGGGTATCAAGGACTACAAGAAGATTAAGGGAACCGGTGTAAGAGGCATGTTGACGAAAGGAGACGTCCTTGCTTTCATCGGAAAGGCATCCAGCCCAACTGGGACGTATAAGAAGAGTGCGGCATCTGCTGCCCCTCCTGGTGGGACGCCAGCTGCTCCTCCGAAGAAAGAGGTACCACCTGTTGATGCACTCGGCCTCAGACGGATGATTGTCAGTGGACTTTCGGAACGGATTGCTGCTCGGGCTGCGCCATTGAAAGGTATGATTCGTCTTTTATGCTTGGCCATCTCAACTAAGCCATTTTCAGCTCCTACACCGAGCTTTGATGATGTTCTTGAAGATTATCTCCCCAAGAGCCCAGCACCACTTCCACCTATCTCTCCTCCAGCGAAGACTTCATCTACAAAAAGCGCAGGCTTCTTGGACGGGCTAATATAATTGTACATTCCTCATTTATAGATTATCATCTCTCGCCAAGAACTGGATTCGCATCAGCATCGTCTGGCAAGCATTGTGAAAAGGAAAACTTACTCTAAATTCCATCCACGTCTTTCGCTCGCCAGATGACTCGGTCGGCATCAAGAATTGCAGACTCATAACTCCATCACCGTCAATCCGAATCGACACTTTGACGGAGACGCTCAGAGCGCGAACAGCTCGCTGAATCACGTCAAATGAATAGCTAGAAAGAATGAGCAATAGGAGCGAATGGGATGTTAGTCCTACTTGAATTTCACAGGTCCTCCACATTCGAAAAATTCGAGGACCTCCCGATCGTTTGGATAGTCCATCTCTACGCTCCCTCTTTGCATTCTTGCTTCGATGCGAAAGAAGCTATCGTCAACTGCTTCTTCTCGTCCTTTTCCAGCACGCGTGACCTTCTGAGGAGGGTTGCAGATGATGGTAATGTAATCACATGAGGAATCGATTTCCGAGAGGGCGTCGCGAAGCCAGGTGGACTTCATGATAATCTTGACGATTCTTGGAGGAAATGAGAGTACGCTTGTACAGCATTGTGTACACATACTTGTCCTCGTCGTCAAATGTGAGTTCCATTCTCCTTTCTGACACCAACGTATGAATCTGACAGACGGTCGTCGGACCTTCGGCACTCTCTGCTCTGTACAGACATTAATTATAAATGAAGATGTAAATGGACTCACAGTGAGAGCCGTAAGGGATAACCTTCCCCCGCATAACTCATTCGCATGCTCGTAGCCGCCTTCCTTGGTATCATGAAGCGATCCAGAGGACCCCTTATATCCTCATCGTCTTCATTATCATCGCCTCGGCCTTTCTTCCTCCAAGAAGAGCCACCACCGCTACTGCCGTATATCGAGAGGACCTCATTAAGTATACCCAGGTTGATTTCGATCTCTGTAGTATAACTTCCTGGCTCCATAGTGTCGTCTTCGTTATCCAACGTAGGAGGTTCAAAGAACCATTCATCGAACAATGAACTCGCAAGGTAGGCCGTGGCTAGTTGCATTCTGAGAAACTTGAAACCACAAAAATGGCACCTCCTAACCTTGTAGAGCTCTCTTATATTCAACTTCGATCTGTATTCCCGCTTTAGAGAAGATTAGGCTGGCTGTCTGGGATGTGTGAGGGTCGGAACCATGGTTGGTGAAAGCTTCCGCACGTTGGAAAGACCACTGATTGCTTTCATAAGTGCCACAAACGGTGCAACATCAGGGAGCGATGCCGACAAGATCTCGAATATGGTCAACCGACAGTCTCCAAGATCAAACCCCGCTGATTTACGACTTCACCTCCTTCCTTCTGAGTGTTTCCCTGAGATTGGGAGTCGGTAAAGTCTTCATCGGCAGCCGGCATTATATTTCGGCGAGGTGATCGGGAGCAAGCTATGGCTGCCACCTCGAGTAAACTATCGTACATTTCGAAAGAGTCACTTATGAGCCTGGAAGAAGTTGCTTGCGCTAGAATAGATCAGTAATCGAGTTCACGAGGATGATCGATACTAACCAGTTGCAGAATTGCCTCCCTCTCACCTGCCGGCATAGCATTGATTTGCTCAGGAGTCATTTTTAAGACCTGCAAAAGTATGGCCTACGGGCTGTAAGTAGGGATCGAAAACCAAGAAAGCTGGCTGACCTGTTGTTGAGGGTCAAGTGCGGAATTGACTACGGTGGTGGGTGCCGGAGGTGCTGGTGTTGGTTGCGCTAGAGCTGCCGCCGGTGGGAAACTATTATAACTAGGAGGCCATGGTGCAGGAGGAGCAGGTTGCATGGAAGGAGCAGGAGGAGCGGGAGGTCGTGGGGCTACTTCTGTGATTCTTGTGATCACACCGCCATCAAGGACATTATGAATGATAAGTCCCTGTATGAGAGCAGAAGCTAGCTGGGGATTTGCCGCCAAGAGTGCTCTGGCAAGTTCCGGCTGCTGGGAAATGAAAGCCTATCAGGAAATTTCAGCTTTTGGAGATTCGGATTTCTCGAGAATACCTTAAGCTCAAAGACTGTCTCGAAAAGTGCGCCTTGACCGACTCCGACAACTGTATCGGTGATCATGTCTAATGATGATTTTCCGGGAGGTACTGGGATGCCAGGCGGTAGACTGTTGAGCATCACCTCTACAGGAGAAGGTGGACGGTTCCTCTCATCGTCGAGTAGTTCACCCAGTGATGTGGTGCGACCTTCGAGATGAGGAACAGAGTCTGCAAGATCTATTCTCAATGGACGACCTCCAACTTCCTTGCCGTTGAGGTTTCGTACGGCAGATTGTGCTGTTTCGTGGTCTAGAGGTCACGGGGGGTGTCAAAGTATTGAAACTTGTCAATAAAAGGTCAAACTCGGTTTGATGGACACTGAGGATGCGACAAAAAAGTGGAGTGTATCGGTTCCTAGCGGTACAAGTCCGATTGGACAGAAAGATTGCGAGGAGACGAAAGCGCATACCCAGGTATTCGCAAAAGCCGTAACCTTTGGGTTTTCCGGTTTCTCTATCAAACACCAGCCTGAAATCGTCAGCGACTAGAAAGTGGCTTCCCTAATGTGCCTGCTCACCGGAAACCAGTGACGGTGCCTACACTACTGAAGATCTGGACGAGTTGTTCCTATTTGACTGTGAGTACCGTTGTCGTCTGCTTGCCATTGCGTACCTCTGCAAAATTATAAGGTATATTGCCGACTGAGCTGGTTTAGAAAGAGTAAACAGAACAATGAAATACATTACCAAACACAACGCGACTCATTTGGATCAGCAGGCGGGCTCACACGTTTGGGTCAGGTTCAACAGGCGTTCAGGGTGCACGTTGGACACGACCAACATGGCGGACACAGAGGCCAATCGCAACCAGAGCACAGAACGAGCCGGGACAATCAAATCCCTGACATCGATTCTCAAGGTAGAATCTTCGTCGCGCGAGTAGACCAAGACTCGAACCCTAGTTTGAACATAGCCACCCAAGCTCAAGATTAAACGACAGCATCTGGCAAGATACTCATGGCTTCCTGATGTATTTAGATACGAAGGCAGCGTACGTGCGCTTCCTTCACCTTCCTGCACCCTGTTCCCGCTCGCCCCATTAATCGCAGTCCGGCGGTCTTACGAACTATATTTTCATCTTGGATTCTCACTCTGACGCTCAACTCTACACAGACCATTCCCATCATTGCTGGTCCGGTTTTAACGGGTAAGTTTGGCCACTCGGATTGTTTCTCTACTAATAATAAGCCAGTCACCATATTTGCATCGTGAGGCTGTACTATATCGGAGAAACTCTCAGCTTAGAATGGCAGTATTGTAGCCTATCTCGATGCGCAAGGCAAAGCCATCAGTCTCACCAATAATGTGCGCATCATTTAATTCCGTATGAATCTTCATAACTTGGTGACAGGTCGTGCCACTCCTTTCAGTCGTCGTTGGTTTGATTCTGGTGTTTCGGTAGGTCCTGATTTTTTGTCAGACCTGCGACCTAATATGGTATACAGTAACAGGTATGCGCTTTGAATGTGTACTCCAAGCTGTTAACTCGTAAACAAAGTACGAGCTACGACAGATGGGCTGAAGGCCGACGCGATTTTAGCATTATGACGGCCAATGTAAGCACCTGTCCCGAACCTTTCAGTCCACCCTACTTATTCCAATGAGTAGATACGAAATCTTGGACGCAGTATCTGGATCACTGTCAATCTCCCCGACGATGCCGAAGCAACGGCTCGCTATGTCAGATCTTTGCCGGTTTACCTGCAGATGCCCCACTTGGCGAGGGCACCTTCTGATACTTCATCAAGTACTGCTCATCAAATAGCATCGGCACAGAACCTCGGTGTAGCGGACCATCTTCGTCAAGAGAAGATTCGGGTCATTAAGCTGCTGGTCGCGTTTGCAATCGCGACCAAGGTGCGACATTGCCTTTGGTACCTACGGCCCTGACAATAATCTAGCATCATCTACGAAATGAGCCCGGTCTTGACTATGAGGACTATAGCGGGCTCATCCCACCAGAGATATATAGAGACGAATCGTCCGGTTGGGAAAGGACGACGTCGCCTCAAGATGAAAACTTTCCTACAAGCACCCGTACTCCTGCCCATTCAATTTCCCAGCCAGGCTCGAAGTCGCGTTTCAATCCATTGCGCCGGGCTGCCACCGCTACAACACCTCTACTAGCGGACAGTCAACGAGCCACAGTTACATTTCACGCATATCCTGAACGTCATCCAATGGCTCTACCTCTCATGTGGGTATGCTATACAAACCATCCTCCTCTCTGACACTCCTCAGCATTTCAGCTGAGATAGCCAGATACTTATACAAGTTCAAGCGCCTTGGTTGCCTGGATCCTGTCGGACCAGCGATGCACAATGGCATGCAAGCCCTGTAAGTAGTTCAACCTTGCCAGTCACTTGCTCATATCAGATAGACTGCAGAGTATGGTGGATCAGCTCACTGTACGCAACCTAATAACATGGGCCTACGAAAATCTGACTAGCGCGTAGTCTATGGAAAGAGTTTCAACAACCCCTATTCCGCGAAGGTACAGTCCGTCGATTAATACCTTGCCAATGTACTGAAGATCCGTAGCTGTAAGTCGTGGTCATTTCTCAAGGCCATACTTATGCGAGCGTACATAGACTCCATTCATTTGAAGCAGGCTGTCACTGCCTTTTTGTTTACTTTGGTAAGTCCGCCAGCGTTCATGATGCCCGTTCAACCTATTTGAAAGCCGTTCACTCTCGTGCGAGAGTTGAAGTATCTGGTAATACCCATGGTGACACTGGTAGCATTTACTCTCATGTGAGTCTCCATGGAGCTTGCTCCCTCGTTGACAGTTTCTAACTCATGTGGCACGCTGTAGGGTAAGCTTCTTGCATCACATTCCAGTGCTTCACTGATCGGCAAATACATGCGGATTCTAGGGTATGTTCACCATATCAACTTGTCTTTGCTCACTGGGCATTAGGAATTGAGGGAATTGCGGACGAGATTCAAAGTCCGTTCGGGGATGATCCGAATGACCATCCACTTGGTGTGTCCATTCACCCACTCGACTTGACCGACGCTCACCCGCTGCAGACAAATTTTGTTCGGAATTACGAGAGGAGATGATGTTTCTGATTGAGAGGATTCCGGAGAGCAATTTCTGAGGCGGGTCTGGATGGTAGAGCGTGGTTCGGCATGCGGGCTGTCATGCGGAGTTTGCATCCATGTTTTTACCCGTCTCGCGACCGAGTGCAGCACACGTACACCGTCTATTGCGAACTCTCCACGAGCATGCTGCTTTTCCTACCTCTCTAAGCCGTAGCACGCGCTCGTTCGCTAGCCAATGCGTATTTGAAGGCGTTGTTCGACGACCTCGTCAGAACCATTTGCACTCCATCCAGTTTCGCAATATGTCACAGGCCTACACTGCAGCAACGAACCAAACTGAAAATGATCCTTACCGGCTTCCAAAGAATGTCAAACCGCTTCACTACACCGTGACTGTAAAGACGGATCTCGAGGCGCTCCAGTTCGAGGGACACGTCGCTGTGGAGTAAGTCGAGAAAGCATATATTTACACAATGCGCCATGTTAATGAACTCTGTCTTCAGTCTAGAGGTCCTTGAGGAAACATCCACCATCATCTTCAATGCCGCCGACCTTGAGCTTAATCAGGCGTCATTGCAGTCCGAGGCCCTCAAGACCGAGGAGATTCAGATTGCTGAGCAATCCATTAATACAGATCTCGACCGAGTCACCCTCAAAGTGGCCAAGGCGCTGCCAAAGGGCAAGGCTCGTCTGAATATCGCGTTCAAGGCGCCCTTGACCAACAAAATGACGGGTGAGTAGTAAAATAAAGGTCATATTCCGTATTCTCAGTGCGTTTAGGCTACTACTACTCCAATACGGAAATTGATGGAAAGAAGGCGTGAGCTCCTTTCAATGCTCGTCATTTATCTCTTATTCACTTCATTATGCAGCCATTATACTCTCACTCAGTATGGATGTCAACAAACTGCTGGACGACGTCTAACACGGCCCCTAGATTCGAACCCACTGATGCGAGGAGAGCTTTCCCGTGCTGGGACGAGCCTGCCCTGAAAGCAACATACGGTGAGTGATATGGGGATGTGCTTACAATATTCTCATCCTTATACAGACATCATTATGATTTCTCGAGAGAATACGGTCAACCTGTCAAATATGCCTGCAATCTCTGAAAAACCCTTCACGAAAGCGGAGACAGAGTATGATCAATCCATCGGGAAGCTCACCAAAATGTTTGCTAATCTCAAGACGGAGAGTTCAGAGGGTGGCTGGAAGATTACAAAGTTCCAAACAACACCACTCATCTCCAGCTACCTCGTCGCCTATGCCAATGGACCATTTGAGTACATCGAGGATCACTACACGTCTCCTTTGAGCGGCAAAACCCGTCCTGTTCGAATGTATGCCACCAAGGATATCATTCACCAGACCAAGGTAGGTGTAGACGTCATATTGCGCATCCATCGCTCACGTCCTTCTAGTTTGCTCTAGACGTCAATGTCAGATGCCTGTCCTTGTACGAAAAAGTCTTTGAAGTTGAATATCCACTGCCCAAGTTGGACACGCTCGTGGTACGTGATAGATAGCTTTAATTTATCTGCTTCTCAATCTCGTCTTACAGGCACACGATTTCGATGCAGGCGCTATGGAGAACTGGGTAAGACCCCTTCAATCTGTGTTCGTAATATTGACGTTTATTAGGGCCTCATTACCGGACGTACCACTGCATACCTTATTGATGAAGAAAAAAGCGATATTGCGGCGAAGAAACGCGTAGCAGACGTTGCCTCTCACGAAGTCGCTCATCAATGGTCTGCTGCATCTTCCTTGGTTTTTCATCACTGATGGCTATAGGTTTGGTAATATTACCTCTCCTGAATGGTGGGACGTTCTATATCTCAACGAAGGTAGGAATGGACCGTCTCATAGGGACAGAACTAACAACAGTACAGGCTTCGCTACTCTCATGGGAGAGCTTGTCATCCTTGACAAGTAAGTCGTGGAGCCCTAATCATCTCATCGTCATCTAATAATTCATTAGACTTTTCCCTGAGTGGGGCGCAAAGATGTCGTTCATCAACAGCCATCTCGAGCGGGTAAGGTATCTGAGAATAGCCAAAGATAGATCTCACTACGGGAGTAGGCACTTGCCTTGGATGCCAGACGTTCAAGCCATCCTATCGAGGTTCCTTGCGATGATGCGAAGAAGATCAACATGATCTTTGACGCCCTTAGCTATTCAAAGTAAGTCCCTAAGGTTTCCCTTTCACAGTTGTCTAATATTTCCAGGGCTGGTTCCGGTATGCTATAGCATGTTTGGCATCTTCATCGACTAACCTCCTAAGTTCTTCGCATGCTTTCCGACTATGTCACGGAGGAAAAGTTCCTCAAGGGTGTGGTACGTTTCCAAGTTCAGTATACTTGTGCTCGTCTCTGATCCCTTCAAGTCTATCTACCTCAAGAAGCATCTTTATTCGACGGCACGTACGATCGATCTTTGGAACGGTATCTCCGAGGCGACTGGTCAGAACGTGCCAGACCTGATGCACAATTGGGTCAACTGTATTGGCTTTCCCGTACTCACCGTCACGGAGACCTCTGAAGGAATCAAAGTCAGACAGGATCGATACCTCGAAACTGGAGACGTAAAAGAGGATGAGAATCAGACTCTTTGGTACGGTTAGCTGCTGCCCAAGGTCGATTCTGACCTCGAGCGTAGGAAGATTCCTCTTAACCTGCTTACGGTTGATGAGAGCGGTAAACCCGTCATCAAGCGTGACCTCATGACTGAGCGCGAGCAAACATACCAAATCGATACTAGCAAGCCCTATAAACTCAATGCTGGGACCTCTGGAGTTTGTGAGTTTTTGTAGACTCTATTATTCGATATTGCTAATCTTGGCAAGACCGCGTTCTTTATCCACCCGAGAGAGTTAAGCTTCTGGGCAAGCAGGCTGTGGATCCCAACTCTCCGTTCTCTGTCACTGATCGCATGGGCCTCATCTCGGACGTGATGGTCTTGGGCAAGAGTGGACTTTGCCGCACCAGCGACGGATTGGCACTCCTCAATGAGCTTCGATCGGAAAGCCAATGTGCGTTGGCTGTGACTTGATGGGATGTGCTACTGAACAAGTTTGTAGATCTTGTGTGGGAAAGTATTGCGGAGAAGATTGGATCAATCCTTGACGTTTGGTGGGAAATGAGCGACGGTGTTCGTGCCAATATGAACGAGTTCAGACAGGTGAGTTCATCTCGCAGGAATCAGACTGTCTCTCACCGCTAAACAGTCCCTCTTTGTTCCCTTGGTGAAAAAATACGGCTTTGAGCCACGCAAAGAGGACACATTCGACGATCGTCAGCTTCGTACTCTTGCGATTGGTCAGGCCGCGGGCGCAGAAGCTCCAGAGTAAGCACCGACGAGAACATACTCCAATTTTCATGTTGATTCTCTTGGACAGGGTGATAAAAGAGCTGCAGTCTCGGTTCAAGTTGCTGGTCGAAAGCAACGACCATTCACGCATCTTGCCCGATATCCAGTCAACGGCATACTCCATTGGCGTACGCTTTGGTGGAAGGGCCGAATGGGAAACCGCAAAGAAGATCTTTTTGAACCCTCCGACGCCATCCGCGAGGACGCATGCGATTTATGCCATGACTGCAACTCGGGACCCTGAACTCATCGAGGAGACTTTCAAGTTCCTGATGACGGAGGTCAAGTCTCAGGATATGATGCAAGTTATCCGCACTCGCATGTTCATATTTTGACGATGACTTTCCTAGGTACTTCTTCCTCGGCCTCAACGCAAACCGCTTCACACGTCGTCAAACCTATGCATTCTTCAAGGACAAGTTTGATGAGGTCAGTGGTTTTATGATCGAGGCGCTTTGGTTGACGCTCGACCTTTGTAGCTCTACAAGCGCTTCGAGGGTACATTCAGGTAAGCATCTTGCCCCTTGAGAGGCCATGTTGCTCATTCAATTTAGCTTGGGAAACGTTGTCAAGATTTCGCTCAAGGGCTTTGCCATCAAGGGAGACCTCGAAGACATCCAAGCATTCTTCAAGGACAAGGACACAGCCAAATACGCCATGCCTCTGGAGCAATCATTGGACGCTATTCGCAGCAACATGAAGTGGTTGGATCAAAGCAACAGCGATGTAGTTGACTGGCTCGAGAGCTGGTCCGCGTCTAATAAGACGAATGCCAAGTACTAGGCAGCACTGTGTAGTGTTCTAGGAGAAGAATAACATTGTTTCCATGTCTCTTTGATACAATTAGCCGTAGTTCAGCCGGAAGATATCGTTCAGACTGTAGGGGTGATATGAGCCACTGTGAGTTCTGGCTGATTAGACTTACACCCAATAGGAACCGCTTTCGGAAACGAGATTAAAGCATTGGCAGAATCTCAGAGGTTGCTCCTGATCCTCAAGCTATGCGTGGTTGAGCGAGACGCCGAAATGTACGAGTGGGCGTCATACCTGGAGCTCTCCGGTGACGAAGATACAGATGCCGGTGGGGGTAGGTTGAGCATCGAGAGTACTAATACGAGCTGCAACTTGGCCGAATGGGAGGCCCTGCAAGAATGTAAGAATGTAAGCCACTGACTTTTTGGCCCCGCCTGGTTTGTATACGGACTGTGTACTTTTCTGCGATGTTTCCAACTCCAATGTGTTGAGAGCTTTCGAACGTGAGCATGGATTGTTCTCTCTGCGATTGCAGCAGATCAGCGTTTATCGCACATCTCGCGACAAAAACGCACATATAACGGCACGAGATCTGCCCGATTTGCACTAAACTTTCCATAATAGTATTCTGCAAACTGCCTTGCGACTGCGTTGATGTCCGCCATCGTCGCCACTGGTCAACGCCGGGTTTAAGATGTAAGGAGGCCGCTGAGCTCTCAGCCACGTAGTGTCCACCTCACCAACAGATCTGCGCAGTCGTCTCGCAGCACAAAATAACTCAATATTGAATCATATAATACTCGAAACAAGGCACTCCCACACCCCTCCCAACTCTTGGATCCCACCACATCCACAGGTCCACCGATTACTCGCCCAGCATGGCTAACTTTGGCACTGAAATCGTCGCCGTCATCAATAAACTCCAAGATGTCTTCTCCGCAGTGGGATTGTCTACTTCCAGCATAGATTTGCCGCAAATCTGCGTCTTGGGCTCGCAAAGTAGCGGAAAGAGTAGCGTGTTAGAGGTACTGCAGGCTTTTACGTGCTCATTCTGCGAACGCTAAGCATTCTATGGCCTCTAGAACATTGTGGGACGTGACTTTCTGCCGCGCGGATCCGGTATCGTGACACGAAGACCCCTCGTCAGTGAACAACCTCAATATTGTTCGACTCTTTCTGATATTCTGGATAGATCCTCCAACTCATTAACAGACCTGCCACCCCCAACGCACCCGCAGGTGTGTAACCCCTGTTCAGCTTCAAGAGTCTCTGGCTCACCCCATCTAGCAAATGGTATTCAAAAGTCGGCTGCTGATCCTTTTATCAATGAAAATGAATGGGGAGAGTTTCTTCATCTTCCTGGAGAGAAATTCTACGACTTTACGAAGATTCGAGGTACGCAGTCAGGCTCGAAATAAAACCTTCATCTAAACTGATTTTGTAATTTAGCGGAAATTGTTCGCGATACGGAAGCAAAGACGGGCAAGAATGCCGGTACGTGCACCCACTCGCAGAATACCTGGCGCTCAAGTCTACTGTAGGCATTTCGCCCGTCCCTATTAACTTAAGGATATTCTCCCCTAACGTCCTCACGCTTACTTTGGTCGACCTTCCTGGCTTGACAAAGGTCCCCGTCGGAGACCAACCAAAAGACATTGAACGACAGATCCGCGACATGCTTATGAAGTATATTTCGCGACCATCTTGCATCATTCTCGCTGTTACTCCTGGCAACACCGACTTGGCAAACTCGGACGGTCTGAAGATGGCTCGAGAAGTCGATCCTGATGGTACCCGGACGATTGGTGTCCTCACCAAGATTGATCTTATGTAGGCAGACCTCTCTTTTTCTTTTGGGCAGCCAGCTCATTGTCGTTAGGGATGCTGGAACCGACGTCATTGACATCTTGGCCGGTCGAGTGTACGTCTTTCGATAAATTCCTACCAGTCGCAGGCTAAACTATCGGTAGTATCCCTCTACGACTAGGATATGTTCCCGTCGTCAATCGTGGCCAGCGTGACATTGATACCTCGAAGCCTATTTCTGCAGCCCTAGATGCAGAAAAGAACTTTTTCGAGAACCATCCATCTTACCGAAGCAAAGCCCAATACTGCGGAACACCTTATCTCGCTCGACGATTGAACATGGTAAGCATTGGCACCCTAAGTGTCGTGACACTATTGAAATCATTGAATCCAGATTCTTATGCATCACATCCGCAATACGCTCCCAGATATCAAGACCCGCGTTTCTCAACAGCTTCAAAAGTTCAACGCCGAACTCGCCGCCCTGGGAGGGGCACTGGGTGACCAAAACCCAGGCAATGTCGTTCTCTCTGTTATCACTGAATTCACTTCCGAGTTCCGGACGATGATCGACGGTAACACCAACGATCTGGCTGTCAACGAGCTCTCAGGTGGTGCTCGTATCAGCTTTGTATTCCACGAGCTGTACAACAACGGAGTCAAATCGATCGATCCCTTTGATCAAGTCAAGGATGGTGACATTCGTACCATTCTTTACAACTCATCCGGTTCTACTCCAGCTCTGTTTGTGGGCACGACCGCATTTGAGGTCATTATCAAGCAGCAGATTAAGCGCTTGGAAGATCCCAGCGTCAAATGTTGTCAATTGGTCTACGAGGAACTGATTCGGATTCTCGGTCAGCTCTTAAACAAGATTGTGAGTACTGGTTCGTCTGTGACTAGTAAACCCTTACCTTGTTTTAGCAATCTTTCAAGCGATATCCCGCTCTGAAGGAAAGGTTCAACGCAGTAGTGATCAACTTCTTCAAGACTGCAATGGCACCGACCCTCAAGCTCGTAACGGACATGGTCGCGTACGTCCTTACCAAAGGTCCTTTACGCTCGGAAATTGACTATATACTAGCATGCAGGCGTGCTATGTGAACACAACGCATCCAGACTTCCTGAATGGACACAAGGCTATGGCCATTGTGTCGGATCGCTTGAACGCTAATAAACCTGCCCAATCCGTACCGGACCCAAAGACTGGCAAGCTTGCCCCCGGTCAGATCAACAATAACAAGGATCTTGAGGTAGACATGAAGCAAGAGTCTGGCTTCTTTGGCTCCTTTTTCCCCAAGCAAGCTGCTCAGCAGAAGAAAAAGGCTGCCTCCATGGAACCAGTATGTCTTTACGAGACGTCATTTCCAAATTATTCACGCCTTTCTTTAGCCACCGGCGGTCATTCGCCCTCAAGCCGCCCTCAACGAGAGGGAGACGATGGAGACCGAAGTCATCAGTAAGTTCAGCTGGAGTTGCATAATTGAATGAGGCTGATTATTGCTCATAGAACTATTGATTCATTCCTACTTCAACATTGTCAAGCGAGAGATGATCGACATGGTCCCCAAGGCCATCACGCTCACCCTCGTCAACCATTCAAAGGAGAATCTCCAGCGAGAGCTCTTGCAGGAGCTTTACAAACCCGAAGTTCTCGACAACTTGCTCCAAGAGTCCGAGCATGTCATCTCTCGACGAAGAGAGGTGGTCGCAACCTTGGCTGCGCTGAACAAGGCCGACGAGTACGTCTTCACCATTTCATTCTATATCAGCAACTGACCTTTATGTTTCAGGATCATCGCCTCTGTCTAACTTACCTTTATATGCACCTTTTTCGTCTTATTCTCTCCTTCATGTTACGCAACCTCGCATCTAGATTGCTAATGTGCATCTTAATCCATTGATTCAGTGTTCGAAATAGTTCAGTCCGCGAGGTATTACTAGGTGATACATCCGTGTCTAGGTGGCACAACTATTGAACAAACAATGAGGGTTATATGCGTTTCTTTGGCACGGGTGGAACAGCCGTCAACACTGACGAGGTTCGGGATCGCAGGGTTCTGGTGAAACAGGATGAAGAGGAATCTGCAGCGGAAAACGTAACAAGACCGATGGTATTCCCAAATGCGACGAGACATGCGTGATGTCCAAGGGATATGAGGGAGGATACCTCGGTGAAAGGGAGACGAGGATATGCAGATGGCGTGCGATAATTTTGCAAGGGATTGGATGGTCTCTTTGAGACCGCGACTGGCGACTTCTCCGCACGATTGTGCAAGGTTGAAGTTGTTTGAGGGGGTTCATGATGTTTCGCAGGGTTTGCTGCCAACGCGGCTAGTGTAGACTCTCGAATGCTGAGATCAGGTGTCGTTGGGTCGAATACCCAAAGCTTCCAGCGTTCGAGAACTGGTTTTTCCAGTCCTTCATAGTGAGATGTCCACCGCCCGGACGATGCAATAGCAACGTCTTCGGCGGCCCCTTCCTCGGCGTCAGGATCCTCTTCCAGTGTCTCCAGATCCGAGCTGCGCCTGAAGCCGTACACCATATGATCGAGAGTGTCCCACGCCCCATCTTGAAATGAGACCTCCGCAATACGGGAACACTGGAGATCTGGAAGGCTTTCATCGCGCGGATTAGCGCCATCATCCAACAAATAAAAGCTTCCCTCTATCCGCCGAGGTTGGTCTCTCTCACTCCCTCGTCGAGAGTGCACACCGTGTGCCGAGACTGGAAACTCTGATGCACCCGTCAAACTCGAGGCGCTGGGAGTGGGGCCAGCATGCTTCAATCTTGACGACGAGGAGAGAGTAGTAAAGCTTCCTTGGCGTGAACGAAGTGCGCTAGGGAGCGGATTGGCTTGTAGAATCGGACACGAGCAGCGCCGAGCGTCCTCGATGCTGAATCGATACATGATGACCGTGGTCCATGTAGCGACACTGGCGATAAACGCATCTGGGCGTAACTCTCCACAGGTAATGCATGCCATCGTTGGGACGCGTGAGAGTCGTAACCTCATGACATCCTCAAAGATCTCGTCAAAGAGAAGCCACCTTGAGCCGGAGGACACATCCCAAAGTGACACTTGCCCTGACTTAGTTGCGGCGATGAGGATGATTCGAGGAGATAGGTCGATGTTGATCATGGCAGTGTGGATTTTGGTGACTGGGTCATTTGAACCCGTAATATGGCAAACTTCTTGTGCTTGCCACTCGTGAATGTCACGGGTATAGAGTTGAACTGATCCGTCTGCGCTCAACTTGGCTAGCTGTAAGCTGTCTCCAATCGTTGGTCGCATGATTAAAATACGAGAGTTTTCCTCGCCGCTTTCAATGACCATGACAGGGGAAGGATTATGGAGGTCGTTCCATTCCACCGCGCTACCGTCTTTATAAGTGGCTAAAAGGTACCCCTCTGTGATATGCGTATCGCCGGAGAGTGACCGCCGATGAAGCATCGAGGGCCGGTCCCCCCTTTGAGCTGGGCGATCCTCAAACGCCAACTTGACTACCCGTGACGCGTTACTGGAGCGTCGCAAGAGCCTTCTGTCAGCAATCCGACCGTTCTCCAACCGCCAGATGGCGATGGCCCCGTCTTTGGTTCCCGCCGCACAAAATATACCACAGGAGTCCATTGCCACTGCAGTGACAAAGGATCCATGATCATCAATGTCGGAGACAGTCAAATTTAGGTAGGACCCTGCCTTTTCGGACCAAAGGGCAACCTCGTTCTCCACACTGACTGCTATTACTGTGGAGCCGTCTGGCGTTGCGTCGACGTATTCCACGTCCGCAGCACAAGCGCGTGGGATTGTTGAAAACTGGAAACCGTTTTCAAGGACTGTCTGAGACTCCTTGCGTTGGTGGCCAGATTCTGGGGCTTCACGCCCTTCGGTATCTTTAAGAAGATAGATGAGCAATGCCCAAAGAAGGGCTGTTGTCGTGGCGATCGGTAGGATGAAGATTTTGACAGCGTTCTTGGTGGCTCTGACCATCTTTGTACCTGTCTTCCTCTCTTGGAATGGCTTTGAATCATCCGAGGATTGTTGCCGATCGAAAAAGACCACAACGGGTGGCTCTGTCCGCAGGTGAAGCAGTGGGTCGTCGTCGGGATTGAGCGTCAGCCACAACTTCCATGATGGCGATTGAGATCCGGCTTTGCGAAGAGCAACGACTTTGTCGCGAGTATATGTAGACCGAGTTCCAGGTACCGCTGAGGACGTGACCTGATAGAGAACAGCAGTAATTACAAGCATCTATAGATCATTGAGCGTGCGGGCATTTCTCTCAGCCATAACACGTACCAGGATCAGACTACCATTTCGGGCGGCACTTCCATAAAGTAGTCGATGCATGAGCCCTGGTGCTTCCTTTGGATGCTTCGTATCCAAAGGTGAGGACGGTCCACTCTTGAGATCTTTCCCATCCATCCGTGGCTTCCTGTCTTGACGTAGTAATTCATGAAGCTGTGTGAGAGTCAGTATGTGCTTTCATACGAGGAAACGGACGAGCCTCTAGCCGCTGAAGATCAATAGATAACACAGCAACAAAGAAGGTATGAACAAGGAACCAATGGGCGACCAAAACGACCAAAGCAAAAACACAGAACTGGCGGATGGCTCCTGGAGCAAACACGGCAATAATTCCAAGCGCAGCATTACAGGTGACCACTTTGAGCGTATTGGAGGCACCCGCTTCGCTCAGGCCAAGTGCTATGCGCTCCTTGACAGGGAGAGTGATAGAGGTTGATACGACTTCATCAACCTAGAGGAGGTGAGCGGCACAAAGAGAGGAGGTTGGCGAACTCACAAGGCGGAACATATTCTCGGCTCCTACAAAGACGATTACAATGGGTAGAAGGCCCCTTGGGAGCGGTCAATTGCTAGTAGGGGAGGATATAGAATACATACCAAGGAACCATGGTCACACGGAAACCCCAGATAGCGCATACACTGATGCTGGTGATGGTACTAACGATAATTTCCACAATGCCGGTGAAAGCAATGCCAAAACGGGAATGAACCGTATTCATTCGTCGTAAACTTCCGGAAAAGTTGATGAACACCACGAGATAGATTGTGTAGAGGAGGATAGTTATGGGAGATATACGGCTGTGATCTGCATCAAACTTTTGCACATCAGTAACTGAATACCCGAGTTGGGTCGAACTGCATTACCTGAAGAGCGAGGAGTCTTGGTTGACCTGCAACTACTTGCGCAAGTCCCTTGCCCTGAATCGCAGCTTGAACAAGGTCGACCCATGCAATGTGACCGCCCTGAGAGTGACAGTCATCATCCCGAAAGTAGTACGTCAGTACGAGAAAGGTCCCAATGTCCACCACTTCTTCATTCTCCAGCCCCGCTCGGTCGGCCACAACCATCGGTAATGTGACGGCAAAACCATTGTCCGTCGTGTTTGTCAGCTTGTTGAGTGTGCCAATAATGTCCTCGTCGGCATTGAGAACGGCGGGGTCGTGATTCCAAAAGGAGAGCGGACTGGTGTAGAGACACTTGGCAGCCTGTGTGTGCACGCACGGCAAGTACTGAGTTGCAGAAGCGAGACGCGCGTTGATTTCGGCCTCAAGGTCGAGGGTGAGGCCAAGGGCCGGCTTGTTGAGTACACCATTTTCGTGTCGACGGTGACTGGCAATGAGGAGCCGCTCGACGCGGACGGTGCGTTCAAGACCGCATCTTGCCTTTGCAGTTGCGTCGTATCGAACGTGGAGGGCCTCGTGGCCGTTCCACACGTCGTGCAAATCGCTCAGGTGCGGCGACTGGCTGTCGGTTGGGAGCAGGCTGAGGAGCGTCGACGAGACGGTGGAGAGCGGGATAGATGGCGAATATATCGCAAGTGCGGGATATAGAAGAGATGTAATGACCACACACGAGATGAGAATCACTCTTATCTGGTGCGTCGCGCAGTGGCTGTCGAACATGGTTAACGGGCGGAATGGGAGACGCCAGCAGCCAGCAAAGCAGATAACAAAACTCACTATCCAAACTCCTTGAACACTCGCCGCAAAACAGGCCGCAGGGACGCCGCATGAAGTTTGTCCAAGAGCTCGGTCATGTGTCACCGCCAGCAGTGAGCGACGACGATGTCTAGAACAAGACCTAAAAGATAAGAAACCGCCAAATAAGAGTCTCTTGGGCAGGTCAGATGAGGCTGCCGGCAGAGGTACAGGTCCAAGCTGGTCAAGCCCCGGATGCCACTGGGGTTACCCGTCTAAGCTATGCGAGTGGCACATGCGGTTCATTTCAGCGTGCCAAGAATCTCATCTACAGGAAACCATCTCGTCTAACAACAATGCGTCACTCTCTGCCGATCTCAGATTGTCGTGAGACAGCCCGGAAGAGCGTCGGTGAAGAGCGTTTTACGACCTGTGGCCTCGACCATGCGCTTGTGCCCTGAGATTATGCCAGAGATGGTACCTTTGATTCTCTCATTGACGCGGTCCAGATCTTCGAAAGAGAGGATCACATCATGGCCGACTTGACCATATGCCTCATCGAGACTACGCAGAGTGTGTGAGGAATGTTCCCTGATACGCATGAGCACAAGTAAGCATATAAGCCCCATGACTTACAAGACTTTGCGCATAGAACGAAGATCCTCAGCCGCCTCGGTCATGATTTGCCTACGAGCAATTCTGGCTTCTTGACGGATGCCGATCACCTTGCGTTCAATATTATCAATGATCACCTTTGAAACTCTTCAGCAAGGCAGTAGATGACAGCGCGGAACCGAGTACCTCGTTAATTGCGGTCAGGGCCTAATACACCATCAGCTCTTGTCCGGAGAGCATTGTATGGACACACCTTTGCGACTTTGTCCATTTCTGTTTCCTTCTCATCTTCTGCCTCTTCATTATCACTGTCTTCGGCATCTGGAATGGCCAGCTTTCGGACAGGAGGTCTAACCCAAAGAGTAACTGGTTTACGCATAGGATTTTTCGCCTTTTCCTTGGTATGCTGCACTATAAGAGTGTTTGGTTTGGAGAAAGCGGTGAACCCGTCAGCAAAGGTGACGTTGGGTTTGACTTTTGTGATGGGAAGTCGAGAAGATGCTTGTTCCTGCGGCCTGTGAGTCAAATCAGATGAACTATGGTTTACCCACTGGCTGTACGCGCTTGAATCGCAACGCGGCTGACATGCTGTTCTCTACACCCGTTGAGACGTTTGCATGTGGAAGAACTTTCTCCGAATCCGCTTCGGTAGGATACTTGTCCGATGCATCAAGACGTAGCTCCTGCTTTGGATGTCTACTAGAAGAACTTTATGAAGACGACGACTCTACCTTGACTTCTTGCCTGCGCGATTGAATCACGGCATCACGCTCCTTTTGCTTCAAGGACATTTTTGGGTGAATGGGAGAAGTGGGAGGATCAGACTCGCCGAGATGTAAACCCGTTTGAAGTTTCGGACTTGGGCCAGACTGGGGCTTGATTTGGTCATGCACTGATCCTGGTTCGTCTATGATTATCTCTTGACCACCTTGCAAGTATTCGTTTACGGGGATTGGAGACGCCTCGTCCCTGGAAACATTATTCACATCAGTCGGCAAGGGAGACGATTTCGGCAGGTCCTCTTTGAGAGCGGCAAGTTTCTGAGAAAAGTCTTCAGCCTCCCATAGTGCTTTCTCCAGTCTCTTCTTCGTCCTTTGATTGCCATTCGTGTTTTTTGCTATCGTTTTGACATCCGAGAGTGCCTCCCGAACAGATGCTAGTGGCGGCTCGCTGTGTCGCTTGGCGACAGCTTCCTTTAGGGCTTGCTCAACTTTCGGAATGGGCCGAGGACTGGCCGTTCCTCCGTCCATCGCCTTCATTCCCTTGATCCGGGTTTGCTGTGCTTGCTTGGGGACAGTCTGGTGGCCATGAAGGCGCATTTGGGCAGATGGGTCGTCCTCGTTATCGATAGCTTGTACATTGAGAGCTCCTGTGTTTGCTGGCTCTTCCACTGGGCACAGTTCAGTGGCCCAGGTTGGCGAACTGGAGATACGTCTCGTAGGTAGGGGAGAGCTTTGATCATCTGTATTTATGATAACTGCCGTCTTCTCGATGATTCCTGTGCGCGGCCTCTTGGAGTTTCGAGATGCTTCGTCGTCACGGAGTCCCAATGCTGCACGAGCACGTTTCAATGAGAGAGGCTTGAGGATTATTTCATCGTCGTTCTGACTGTTGGGTATCAACGCACGGCCTCGAGTAGCTGGTTTGAAGAGAGGTCGGTTTCGCGTCTCTTTTGGTGGGTCTTCGTCAAGAGATGTCAGGTCCGAGGTGCCATCGTCATTATCCGACTCGTATGTGGGGTGCCGGCATTCAAGCTCGAGTCGCTTCGAGGCTACGGCGATTCCTTCAGGTGAATCTGAGCTGTCCATCGCCTTCACACCACCTTGGGGCGACTTTGATGCAGAGTTGTAGTCTGAGCGCAATTGGTTACAGCCGGGCAAAGCTCAGTAAGAACCTTACATTTTTCTATAGCTTCTGTTTTATTCTGCACCGATATCAGATAGTGGAGAGTGAGGGTGAATATAAATACCGTGATTGAAGGAGCTAATTGATCATTAGCGGCCTCCAACGTGGTCGGGTGCTGAGAAAGTGATTGCTTCGGAGGCCTTGCAGCTTCGGAGGCAATTGTAACGGTACGCTAGTGCACATAAGTAAAGTAGTGTGCACGAATATTTCGACATACAATTGCCCTGGATGCGAGCACTTTGCTGAGTTTTTCCGCTTCAGCCAAGGGAAGTCGAAAGCAGATGTTCTCTGCATTTTTGGCATCCTTGGTTGCGAATAGAACCTTTTGGATCTCTAGTCTCACGATCTGATGCTCTGTAAGACATGAGAGGTGGCGAGGAGCAAAAGCGAGCGCTCCGACCTTCGGCTGTCTCCATCATCACTTGAGACTTAATGACGTCCTGAAACTTGATCGTCTTGACTTCGTGACCATCCTAAATGGATAAGTAGAGAATTCAACTAAGATGGGCGTCGTACCGAAGCCGTATCTATCACCAGGTTGATCTCAGAGTCGATGAAGAGTCTATCAATCAGCCTTAATATCCAACTATGGATGTGTATGCGCACCTAAGAACATTGTCCTTCGGGTATGCATTCCCTGTGAGAACAGCGTCCCCAATCACGAATCGTTTGGGTCTAATAATAAGGTCGGTGCAGCGCTAGATAATCAGATCCTACCTTTTTGGATGCTGGGAAATTCGTGCATGAATGGGATCAAATCTCTAAAGCGGAATGAGTACATCCTTTGAACGAGGGTGATATCTTGGCGTACCTCCTTCCATAGTTTATGGGCCCCCATGATGTCCGCCACCATGGCTTTACAGGAGTTAGCACCGAGAACAGCTGTCGCAGTGGCCGAACACATTATGGAACGAAAAAACTTTGTCCTCGCTGGAACGTCCTTTCTGGAAGGCGCGATGCGAGTCACCAGCTGGAGGAAACTGTCCATCACGCGGAATTCTGAAACGGAGTCACAAAAAATGTTCGCATCAATACCGCTTGCTTACCGGTTATGCTCGCGAACAGTTTCGCAAGTGCGTTACTAGCGATGTAAGATTGGCGCGAAGAGACGAGTGTATGGCATACATTCCGAGTATTTTGGGATCCAATAACCACTCTTTAACCTCTGGTTGTACTCGAAGACTCTGATCGAGACAGGTTATAGCCTGCCCGCATATTAGAGGTTTAGATGAAGGTTGCGCGGCATCCTTACATCGTCTCGAAGAGTTATAGACATTTGAGGTGAAGAGTCACAATTCAGAGTATAGCATAGTTTTGATACGAAGGTCATTGGAAGACCAACGCATTGCTGCGTCTCTGTAGGAGAATAAATGTGTGGTCTCGTCCAAACACAGGCCGTACGGACCATCATCAGGTTGTAATGCGTATGACTGACAGACTATCAGAAGGCGATTTGCAAGAAGTTCGAAACGGACCGTAATGGCCGGGAGCAAGCCGCACGCTACCCGTTGCCAAAGTCTGGATGTTTTATGGGTTGCAAAGAAGGCAGTAATTGCTGAGAAGTAGGATGCTGAAAACTGGACGGTTGCTCTGCAAGCTGTCTTGTACAAAGGCTCAAGTCTACTGTCGAAGAGTATGAATAGTTCTCGAGCTTGTGCATCGTCGAGCTGGTTATTGGCGGATTTCTAGACATTGAAACGGAAAATGAGTGGGAGAATATGACTTGAGCTTACTGTTGCCTCTTGTTGCGCAAGGGAGGACTTACCAACTTGTCTGTTGCTTGTTCCAGCTCGGTTGCGACAACTGTGACATCTTTCCCGAGTTTGAGAGACCTTATTTCCTTCTGGAGATCCTTGAGAGCCGCGATTACAGCGCGAGCCATGACTGTGGCAAGTTCCAACGCGTCAACACACCTTCTATTATAGCAATCTATCTTATGCTGTGCAGAATAAAGCAGTCTCAAACACATTTTAAACAGCATTCCGAACGTCTTCATGATCCGTTCTCAACCTCGAGTTCTGGCTCCTCCTGTATCGTCTCTTTGACGCTGTCCCGTGCATTCTCGGCAGCTTTAGCACTTCTTTTCCGCTTTGCGGATTCCTTTAGCTTCTCCCATCTCTCTCGGAAGCGTTGAATGGTTGCCCGCTGCAGAAGTCGTCAGGCTCGCTGACAGTGTGACAGGACATCACTCACATTCTTTTCATTCTCCACTCTCGAGAATCGAAGTTCTTCCTCCAGTTCGCGTATTCGGCGAACATATTGTGTCTCACGTTCAGGTCCCAACGCTTGGGATGCTGGTTGTGCGGGGCTGCCGGACGGCTGTGGAAGAAGATTTGGCAGAGTCGCCTCCAATACCGCTAAAGAACCTGCTCTTCCACCCATTGCTGATGCCGAGATGGCTCGTTGGGCCTGCAGAACATTAGACAGTGACGAACCGGCAATCGTTGATTCACCTCTCTCCTCACTGAGATAATACTATCTCTGAGCGCTCTTTCTTGCTCCTGTCGAAGTCTAATCGTTTTCTCGGCATTCGAGAGTTTCGTCTTGGTCACTTGCAGTTCTTGTTTGAGAGCGGCGTTTTCTGATTGCAATTTCTTCATGGCTGGCGAGGCTTCAGACGGAATCACATAAAATGACTCCCCCATCCCAAACTCTACTTCATGTCAATATTTTAGGGACGATATACAGTAACGTACCGGCGAACAGCTCTTCATCATCTTCAAGGGCGAGAGACAGTTTATTCTCCAGAGCCTGCTGCTCTTCTTCGGAGAGTACGCCAGCTTGTGTAAGAGGCTGGGAAATAGGGTGAGATTGAATCATGTTAGGATTACCCGCGTTGTCCTGGTTATCCTCTACATGTTCTGACGCAGTAAGCGGTACAGTCGCGAATGCCACCGGTTGTGACAGATTATCCAACATTTGCTCAATCTTGTTCCAAAACTGGTTGAAGGGATCCTGGGGGTCAGTCTGCAAATAATCAGACCCCAACTCGGGAAGAAGAACAGACGCCTACCCTACCGCCAAGGACCATGTAGGAATCATCGATGGTGCGCTGAGACATTGCGAGGCTTGTGTCACGACCGTTCATTCTTGAGGGTGAATCATAGCGCTGAGATCCCGCGACGCGGTGTGGGCTCTGCGTTCTCGAAGGAATTGATGTGGTCGACAAATCCTCTTTCATCTGCGCAATCCGGCGCTGTATTTCTTTCCCTCGTCGGTTGTTGTCATTGTATAATAGCTTGAGGGTCTGCTTGGTCTAATGGGCCGTTGAGTAACCTTCATCATGTACGTTATTCGCCGACCTGTGGATTTGTCGCTTGATCCATGCAAGCTAGGAACACCTCTGCAGCTTTGTAGAACTCTGGCATAGCGCACGCGAGCAATCCAGCGGCCTCATATTCCTCGGCATTCGCAACATGCGCATGTGCTTTCTCCATGGAAGGAGGTTCTTTTTCTCGCCAGCTCTCCATGACTTAGATGACAGTAAAGCGACGGTTCAATGAGCAGGCACAACGTGGAAGAGGATCAAGAGCGCAAGCGCTGAGACGAGCTGTGGACATTCGATTTCGTTCATATTCACTGACCAATTGTACAAGATATTAGAGAACACCTTTCGTACTCGGTACATCGTGGCCGCCTGTCCTCTCAATTGCCTGTCGGATGGCCAATGCTAGGGCCTTGAATGCCGACTCGGACCTGTGAATGTGTGAGAGTCGCTCGTTGAGAGATTCGGGTGGACCGACTTGTGGTGATCGTTCTCTCCTCGAAGGACATCGACGTGTAGAGTGACTCCAGCGGCCATGGCGAAGGAGTGGAAGACGTGCGGAATCATCTCCGTGGAGAGGTCTCCGATTTTTTCACGCTTCAGATCCAAAGAAGCGACGCAATAGGGACGCCCAGAGATGTCGATTACGGCTCTAGATAACGCCTAGCCGGTGTAAGTTCGCGTCGACTTGAATGCGGGCTCGTACCTCGTCCAATGGAGCGTGTCCAGTTCCATAACGCTTAATACCGCGAACCTCTCCCAACGCCTGCTTGAAAGCCTCGCCTAATGCAAGTGCACAGTCCTGTGTTGGAGACTCAGATCAAGGCATCACCAGAGCAAATGCACCTATCAGCAGTGTGATGATCGTCGATCCAGAGATCTCCGTTGCACGTAATTGTCAAGCACCAGCCTCCATGCTTTGCGAGAGCGTGAAACATCTGAGATAAGGTCAAAAAGGTGAAATATAGGAATAGAAATCGCTCACATGGTCCAAGAAGCCAATGCCAGTGCTAATCTTGATGGCTTGCACAATCCCAGACCCAGGAGTGGCATCTAGGTTAAGATCCACATGGATATCGGTTTCGTTGGTTTTCCTTGAGACTGATGCGGTTCTTGGTTCGGCCATCTAATTCCTGGAGAGTGCAAGCGTTGTATCCACCCTGCACCTTTCGGCAAAAAATCGAAGGCAAAAACACTGTTTGAAACCATGAAAGGGACACAAGAGAGCGTTCCGACAAGCTCGGGCGTAAACCCGCTGTTGCATTACGTTGGATATCGTGATTGATCCACAAGGAAGCAATATTATGAATCCAAGCCCTCTGAATGAAGAACATCCTTGACGAGCCGCCTGACATCGAGTTGGGCCAGTTAATACGAGGGTCTGTTCATGACAGACGTGTTATGTAGATGTAACATTGCTCCTCGATCGCGTTATTGCGATATGATAAATGCTCGAGTTATGTCTAGCGACCGAATTCACCACAAGCTGAGCGAGATGGTGTGGGACAAACATCGACTGCACTTGTCGCCGACCGCGATCGCTGTTGATGAAGGGAATCAAGAAGACACTGTCGGTCTGTTAATTATTGTATATACAGAGACGACGCATTGCTGACCATGCTCTCGTTATGCTCGTGGACTTTGCGGCTGGCGTCTTACTTCTCTGCAACAGCTGAGCCGCAAGACGTCGGCGGATTCGAGCTCAAAGAGTTCTAAGAACTCTGCAGCAAATACCAATGGTCCAGCTCCTCCTCCCCCTCCGGCCAAGCCATCCCCTCAAAGCTCAACGTCGTCCTTGCAGAGCTACAATGGCCAGAGCGCAAACCCCGTCTCAGGATCGTCGTCAATAGGTAGATCGGGGCAGCCGCCAGTCCAGGCTGCTGCCCAACCTCAGATCACAGCTGAGCGAAGGTTTCCGGGACAGGACAAGAACGTCCCGCCAATCGTAGTCACGAACTCTGAGATGCCGGCCGATCCCATACCCCCGCAGAGGGCAACGACACATCAGCCTGGCGAGCCAGCGACACCACCCCGTGCAACCGCGACCTTGAACAATCGCCTCCGTCAAGCTCCCAAGGACACTATCCCCATCGTTGGTAAACCGCCTAAGAAGCAACGGAGTAGCCGGTTTCACGTCACTGAAAAGATTGAGATTGAACGACTGCCTGCTTTTAACGGTATGCGTTTAGCGCCTTGCGTTGGAGACCTGCTCATCATTTGAAACCTAGAGGTGGCAATTCACGACCGACCCGAACTTTTTATTCGCAAGATACGACAATGTTGCGTATTGTTTGACTTTAATGACGCCAGTTCCGAGTTGAGGGGGAAGCAAATCAAGGCGCAGACTCTTCATGAAATGCTGGATTATATAACGACGCAAAGAGGAGTAATTACAGAGCCTATCTACCCGGAGGTTGTCGCCATGGTGCGTGCTCTGAAGTCGAGTAGGAAATAATCATTGACCCCGGTCCTACAGTTCGCGACCAATCTGTTCCGTTCAATACCACCACAAGTCAATCCAACAGGAGACGCTTTTGACCCAGAAGAGGACGAGCCCGTGCTCGAGCTTGCATGGCCTCACCTTCAGATCGTCTACGAATTCTTCCTTCGCTTCGTCGAAAGTCCCGACTTCAATACCAACGTCGCCAAACGATATATAGACCAACCGTTTGTGCTCAACCTTCTTGAGCTTTTCGACAGCGAAGATCCCCGAGAACGTGACTTTCTCAAAACCACCTTACACCGTATCTACGGTAAATTCCTCAACCTCCGCGCATTCATTCGGCGATCCATTAATAATGTCTTCTTCCAATTCATCTATGAGACGGAGAGGCACAATGGAATCGCCGAATTACTCGAAATTCTAGGATCGATCATCAATGGCTTTGCGCTTCCGCTCAAGGAGGAACATAAGACATTCCTAACTCGCGTGCTGATTCCTCTGCACAAAGTCAAGTCGCTGTCTCTTTATCACCCTCAGCTGGCCTACTGCGTAGTTCAGTTCCTCGAAAAGGACTGCACTCTCACAGAGGACGTCCTGCTAGGCCTTCTCAAATACTGGCCAAAAGTAAACTCGCCCAAGGAGGTCATGTTCCTAAACGAGGTCGAAGAAGTTTTGGACGTCATCGATCCTATCGAATTCCAAAAAGTCCAGGTGGCCCTCTTCCAGCAGTTGGCTAGGTGTGTCAACAGTCAGCATTTCCAAGTCGCAGAAAGAGCCCTTTATTACTGGAACAACGAATACATCGTCAATCTGATGGGCGACAACCTGCACGTCATCTTGCCGATCATTTTCCCGGCACTCTATCAAAACTCGAAGGCGCATTGGAATCGGTACGGCGTAAGCGGGAATATAATATGATCTCACAATGACTTAGATCTATTCACGGCATGATATACAATGCCCTCAAGACGTTTATGGATATGAACCCAGAATTATTCGAGGAGGCCGTCCAGAACTTCAAGCGGGAGCGTATCGCGTACGTAAATTCACATAATCTAACCTATACTGAGTGACGCCACAGTGAGCGGGAGCGGCTTGTTGCTCGATACGACGGTTGGCAAAAAGTGCGAGATGCCGCAGTCAAAAACTCGAATGGCACTGCACCTCCAATAGTCCTGGATAATTCCTTATCCTCCAATGCCTCCTCCAGTGGATGACGCTGAGCTCGCAGATTTGTCAATGGAGCTGCACAACGTTCATGTCGAGGACGGCATGCACCCTGTGGATGAAATGATCCCGGAAGCTGATCCTGAAATCGAAACGAACGTTAGCAAACTTGATCATTGATTTTCTCCATTATATTGACCCTGCTTCTAGCATCGATTCAACGGCCCCGTACCCGGAGAAGGGCCGATAGGACAAAGTCCTCATGTCCGACGGAAGAGTGTATTACCGGGTATGTAGATCCTCCCGTGTTTTGATCCTGAGCTTACAGGTCGTAGTCGACCCGGGCGTGTTGCGAGACCTACAAGCACACAAGGGTCATGACATTGCAGGTGGGCCAAGGGGATCCGATCTCAGCTAGTCGGGGCCACACGGAACGACGTCGTGACCGCCACAGTCTCCTGCGCTGGTCAAGCTGAGCGCGGCTCGTGCCTGCTCCCTTCTTTCGCCGACATTTTGTAGAAGACTGTAATCTGGTTTATATGGCGCATTGATACCTTCGATTCTAGTGTCGTGCGTGGATCGTGATGCTCCTGAACCGCCAAGCCCATCTTGCCTTGGAATCGTGAAGTCATCTGGTTGTCCCAACAACAGTTTGAAGATTCTGATTTCTGCGAGATTGTTGGCTCAGCGGGATCCTTCCGTTATCTAGGTCACGGACCGACATTCCTCCTTGGATATCTCCATCACCAGCAGCGCCGCAATCAATGAAAGTGTAACAACCGAACGGCGGAGATTGTCCAGACTGGGATCTGGGCGATATCTGTGCACACTAGACCTGTCTAGACGGCCGCGACGGCCAGCTGCGGGGGAGTTTCGTGGATGGACGGGGAAACGAGCGCGACATCTGCGACGGTGGAAGCAGCAAGCTATAATTCGCAAATTTTTGATTTCCGTAAGTTTCATTGCAGACGTCCTCTAGTCGTCACTGCTCCAGCCAATGACCGGCTCCTCCTTCCTATCGTGGGCGTCTCGCAGGATCTTCAAAGACCGCTCAAGTCGCATGACGCAAGACGAGTGACGCTCGCGCCTCATCTGTCTGGCCCAGGCTATCAGACGTGCATGAGAGCCTAGTCTTGGGCCTTCAAACCTCGGCCAATACTCGCTCGTAGTATTCACCCTCCTCATCACGCCCTCTACCGAGGTTACACCCATGGTTACTAGTTCTGGCGTGTCGGAACATCGGGAGCGGCTGCTCAGGCAATACCTAGCGTCTTCTCCACCCATTGCTATTCCATCGATTCGCACTGGTCGCGCGCACGACGCAGCTCAACCGCACTTTGGGATTCGGTGAACATCCTCGGCGTCACGTAGAATCCCCGCAAGCGGGTTAAAACCTCGCATTCACCCACTCTGCCGTGGCTACATAATCCCCCTTCCCCCGTCGGGCCGCCCCTCGTCACCCACCATCACCCCGACCCATTGCACGCCAAGGGTTCGCTACTAGTATCATGTCTTCTACATGGTCTGCCGGAGATGTTACACTAGGGGGGAGTGCAAGCCGAGAGTTCGATGACGCCGAAAAGGGTGTCTACGAAAATATGCAGCGACTACCCATCCTCCCACCGAGTGCACTTGTGCACGACAAGCGTGTAGTCCTCTCAGTATCCTCTCACCCGTCTCTCCTGTTCACGAAGGGATCACACCCACTGTATCCAATCCTATGATACCCCTCAAGCCAGAAGCGGCCTGTCCTCGCTCGCCACCAGCGGAGAAGCCGTCAGAGGATAAGCCAGTACAGAAGAAACCACCTCCTCCAAAGCGGAAAGTCAGCCGATGGATCCTCTTCCAGCTCTGGTTCAATACCTATCGCAAGTTCTTCACATTCGTAACCTTGCTCAACTTGGCCGGAATCATCATGGCAGCACTCAATCGGTTCCCGTATGCCGAGAAACACCTCGGAGCCTTGGTCTTGGGCAACCTGCTTTGTGCCATCTTGATGCGCAATGAGCTCTTCCTTCGGTTCCTCTACCTCATTGCCATTCACGGTTTGAGAGGTGTACGTACTCTTCTTCCATCTTTGATCTGACAACTTGCTGATGATACTCACGCACAGTGGGCACCTATCAGCATCAAGCTCGCCGTAACTTCGATACTCCAGCATGTTGGGGGTATCCACTCTGGATGTGCCCTATCAGGAGCCGCGTACGTATGAGTTACTCCATCAAATTCCCCAAGACTCAGCAATGTTTAGATGGCTTGTCTTCAAGATCGTGGATATTATTCGACATCACAAGATCCAACACGATGCCGTCATCGTGACGGGCATTATTACCAGCATCCTCGTAATTATATCCATTATTAGCGCCTTCCCTTGGGTCCGAAAGTGAGTGCCTTTTGCCGAGGACCACCCTTTCGTCTGATCGGTCTCCAGTACCCACCACAACGTCTTCGAAAGGCACCACCGCTTCATCGGATGGCTTGGGCTCGCTGCTACTTGGATCTTTGTTATCCTCGGAAACACCTACGACATCAAGACGAGGACTTGGCGCACAGATGGTGACGCTCTTATTAGTGCCCAAGAATTCTGGTTTGCTCTCGGCATGACTGTCTTGTAAGTCACCATACTCGATCACCGGGCCCGTACTAACGTTTCCAAGTGTCTTGATCCCTTGGGTTACCGTCCGCGAAGTACCAGTCGATGTCGAAATTGTGAGTTGGATTATATGTCCCATTAGGACAAGCCTAAACGCCTCTTCAGCCTTCTCCCAAGGTCGCAGTGATTCGATTCCATCGCGGAATGCAACAAGGCTTGCTCGGCAGAATCAGCCGATCCTCTATTATGGAGTACCATGCATTTGGTATCATCAGTGAAGGCAAACGGTCTCGCTACCACTACATGATTTGCGGCGTCCAAGGCGATTTCACAAAAGGTCTTGTCACGAACCCTCCTAAAACCTTGTGGACAAGAGAGCTTAAGTTTGGTGCGTCCTTACCCCCTTATTCATATATTTTGTTTCTCTAATACCAACTCAGCCGGCGTTGGGCACGCTTCCGCCATGTTCAACCGCGGAATTCGTATATGTACCGGCACAGGTATTGGTGCTGCACTTAGTACCTGCATACAGAGCGACAAGTGGTTCCTTATCTGGATCGGCTCCGACCAGAGAAGACGTTCGGACCTACCATTACCGGCCTCATTCGCAAGCACATTGAGCCCGAGCGCATGATTCTCTGGGATTCAAAGAAGCGAGGAGGGCGCCCTGATACAATGCAGCTCCTCAAGGATACCTGGAAAAGCTGGGGAGCCGAGGTCATCTTCATTACCTCGAACATGCAAGGCAACGACGAGATGATGCAAGGCTGCCGAGAAGGTATGCACGCAGCATTATTCCGACGAGAGAATCTGCTAACATCTACGCTCTTTAGCTGGCATGCATGCGTTTGGCACGCTCTGGGACTTCTGATAGTGCATTAGTGTCCCCATCGTGTTTTTGCCGGTTTCGGTACTCAGGCTACGAGAGTCCAAGGACACTGCGGGAATCGATATCGTCTTGGGCAGGAGACAGATTCGATCCCTAACTTATCCAACCTCTTTCGCTCACACATAAAGCTCGAATCAGTCGAAGTCTTCGTTGTTGTCCACTTAGTCAATGTGTATGAACTAGTGACATCCTTGTCATACAGTAGCTTCAAAGGCACTTGCACGACGGGTAAACCAAGGTCTGGCTGCAGCGATAGAACGATGCTTATGTACATGCCGAGAAGCCAGTTATATGACACTTAACTGTATTAGATTGTATGGACTAAACAACGGACACGACAAGGTGAATATGGAGCATCAAACTGTCAGTCAGCGGTGGTCACACCTGAAACGGGGGAAAAGCACGAGGAGAAACCCCGGACAGTTTTCTGCAGCTACTTCGATCATGCACAGGCTCGCCAGCCAAGTCGGGGAAACACGGGGAACCATCGTCGTTCGCGGTAGAATTAATTTGTGGGTGCGAGGAAACGAGCAGAAGTCGATGTCCACGTGCAAGGTGCCTTAGAAGTTCGCTGTTATGGATCCATTTGGGCCCATCCAGCTGTATTTTCGGATCGGACGAGTGTCCAGGTTGGCGGCATCCAGGGGCTCGCCACGGGCGGACAACTCAATGAGTACACGAGCAATGTTCCTTGAGTCCTAATAAGAACTGTTAAGTACCGTAATTTGGCCTTTTCGGATCCGAAAGTGGACCGACGAGAGTTACGTACATCGATACCAGAGTGCTCGCGCCCTTCAAAAGTCAGATTCAGCAACTCCAGTTGCTTGCTAAGCTTGTAAGAGTGATTGATTGAGAAGCTTCCATTATGCTACAACGTCTTTATGAGCTTCATACGAACGAAGGAATGGTTCTCACCCTAGAGTTTTTGGTGAATCTACGTAGATACCTCTGCGTATACCACTCTCCGAAGGTCTTTCTCACGTCAAGAATCTTGTAAGGAATCCAAGAGGGACGCTGTATGCCTGAAATATAAGCTTGCTTGGTGAAAAAGTCCCGTAGATCCCATGGGCCGTCTTCTGCTTGTTAGCCTGTACTGAAACCACACTCAGACTTACCTGTGCACCATATGTACGTTTGTAACGGATTCCCCTCCGAATCAATCACGCCGTTTTTGATCAAGAACGCTTTGCATGAGGACAGGACCTCCGGAAAGGTTGGTGCGCTATTGACTTGCTCCTAGGCATGTAAATATGGGTACTTCTGCACAATAGAGGTGCGTACCTGTGTGATTCCAGTCAGCTCGGTGCAGAATGGGTGTAGTTTGGGCTGAAATGTTGGTCGGACGAACGAGTGAAATTCGTCTACTATAGTAAGTCGCTGGCACCCATCGCTCTTGCTAGATTCGTCCCATCGAAGGAGGACCACTGGCCATTCCTACCGAACACTTCAGTATGTTTGAGAACAATGACCTCGACTTGTGAACCTCACAATAATCTCATTTGGCCAGTCAAATCCAATTGCTAGGGCTTGTTAGTATTCGGTATCAAAGGCAAGATGTGGCGTTGAGGCCGTTGAAGAGCTCGAGGAATGGAAACATTCTCTTACATGGGACGCAAGTGCCTTCGACATCTAAGACAAGGAAAGTGGATATTTTCTTGCGTTCCATACTTTCGGATGGTTTCTTGAACAGAAGAGGTGATTGTGTGGCCAACTCCGCTCCGTTCAATGAGCTCTTGAAGATTACCCAGGATATAAAGAAAATGAGAAGCATGACGAGTATCAACGGCAGGTCGACGTCTTCTTTGTACATCTTGCTGGAAATATGGTGGTTGAGCACGGGGTCAAGTTTCATTTTGCTCTCCGGCGCCGCATGCTATTCGAGGCTGACGACTTAGAGGACAACCTTGACATTGATCAAGACCTTCTTTCTCATGAAGGAGACGCTGTGGAAACCGTAAATGTCGTCGAGAAGCTCGAGCGGAAGCAGAAGAAGAAACAAAAACGCAAGCTCGTCGAGACAGAAGAGAGCGTTTCAAAAAAGGTTGAGAGCCCCGGAAGTTTAGCAGTAAAACTGACCAGAATCTCATTATAGCGACGAAAGCTGGATGGAAAAGAAGGCAAACCGGCAGGCGAATCCATCGCTCTTCAGACGCCCACAGCGCAAGCTGAATATGTATTCGCGCTCTTTCAAAAGGTTTACAAAACTTCATCCTCCCTGGAACTTGAAGAGATGAGATACAATGGTATTGTATTGGGTTTATGTGAACTGTACTGAACCGTTTGACAGAATCTGCCTTTGTAGACACGCGATCATACACGAATGAGAGGAGCGTAGAAAGTCTTGGGGAGTTCATATCAGAGGGTGCCCATCTCCACAATTGTTCTATCGCGCCTGCTAATGAGTGTAGTGATACCCACTTTGCAAGTACGGTTGACACAGCGTTCAGCAACTAAGGGAGCGCCCACGGTGTTGTTTATAACCAGCTCTGCTATCAGAGCTGCAGATGTAGCTAGGTCGTTTCGTTCGTCGCTGAGAGGTCCAAAGAGTGGCGAGGTCGCCAAACTGTTTGCGAAGCACTTCAAACTGTCGGATCGTACGTGTCGTACGTGTAGATACCTCCTTTGTGCTTATATCTCCCCAGATGCCAAGTATCTGGAGAATACATTCATCTGCGCTGGAGTGGGCACGGCTGGTCGCATAGGAAAACTCCTCAGTGAAACAGGTGTGTTCTTTTCTTAGATCTGGTCTTTCGGAAATGTTGACTGTGGCTAGGCAGTCTTTCCGTCAAAGCGTTGACGCATATCATTGTGGATACTCATCTGGACGTCAAGCAACGTTCGATCTTTGACATACCTGAGACTCGGTGAGTAGCATCTCGCAATTACTCACAGTCTACCTGGGGGGTTCTGATGACTCGAGCACAGAGAGGCGCTCATAAAGGATGTACTCGCCAACAATGAACTCAGGAAAGCAATCGAAAGTCGAAAAGTTTCCATCGTCCTATTCTGACCGGGGTCCTCCCCGGCAAGTTGCGATGGCCGCGCGCTCTTGACATTCTTCCCGCGTCTTGAGCAGTGCTTCGCAGCAGCTGGTATCACTGGAGGAGATAGGGTGGAGTACGTACCCCAGTACATGGCGGGTTATTTGCAGGAGTGGGTCGAAGTGCAGGCAGAGTATGCAGCTCGTGACTACATTGCGTTGAAAAGAGTTATATTGGACGCATATGGTGTGCCTGATAAGGGACCTAGGTACACGAGGGAGTATCTAGTGAAGTTGATTGAGGTTCAAAGTGCGGCAGAGATAAAGACAAAGGAACGGTTACACTCACGAGCAGTGGCATTTGATACGATCGCGTTATTTTTGCTTCGAGAGAATGTACTGACGGAGAAGGAGGTCAACAAGGCATACTTCCGCACGCTACCAGCCGAGCTTGGGCAAGAGGTTCATCGTCAGCTCAAGATCAAGAATCCACAAGTACGGACCGCGACGGAACCGTTCACGCGAGCCCAAGTCAAGGAGGAGGCAGTGAGTATTTTGACGCCGGACTGGTGTGAGGAGCCTATCGTCGGAGATGGACGCCCTCTGGTGCAGCGTATGGCCGAGCTGGAGAAAAGGCATCTCGGATTACCCCGACAGAGCTCGAGTACGTACTGGACTCGATCGACGACCTCATTCGCCAGATGGGAAACCTCGATATCGGCGAGGAGCCTTACGTAGAGGTGCACACTGCGCTCGTCGCGAAGCTTCCTGGTGCCTCATGAATTTTCCCGGCACCTACGGATTATTTGAAGGGAGCCGTTCGAAGCGATTGGGACACATTCTCAAGAGCCACCAACGTGCCTCAGCCTGCCGGTCCTCCACGAGCTACTACGCCCACTGGTTTGTCGGAAGAGTGCCTCTGGTGCGGAAGACACGGGCATAGAGTCGCACGTTGTCTAGACCTTCAGGAAAGCGAGGCCGCAGGGAATGTCAGACACGAGGGAGGCCGGATTGTATACCGCGATGGAACGCCACTCAAACGTAGAGAAGGTCGGCCACTGCGATAGGAGATGCTGGCAAGCATGGATCTGGATCAGGCCGCCGCTCGACGAGCCGCTGCCGCGAATTCAGCTAGCCGACCAGCGGCAAGCTCAGCAACTCGCAATGTCCTGAATAAATTCGCGTTACAAGTCGATTAACCCACTATCCCTTACGCTAGAGTCGACCAGTGGGCCGAGCTCGCCCCAGAGCACTCCGGTTTATGTCGACAGGTATGACGAGTACGTATGGGATAATATGAACGATTGAGAGCATGCGGAGCTGGAGCATTGGTATGGAAGGTTTGAAGGAGGAGGCTTGGATGGCGAATCGGCAATGAGGGCAGCGGCAATCGCGGCTGCGAACGAGCGTAGTGAGCGTCAGACGCGGTCTGCCAGGGAGAGCGCGGGTCCTTATGCTAGCACTCGCGCCCGTAGTGGACCTGATACGTCTTCCGGGGTACGGTGGACAACCCCCGAGTCCGAAAGTGCACCTGCAAGGGAAAGTAGTCCAGCGGCACAGCGCTCAGCACCAATACCACCGGCCATGCAAGGGAGCCTGCCAGACGTGAATCGAGCAGCACCCGCGCTACCCACATCAGGCGCAAGGTCTTCCGACGTGCCTGCATCGGTCCAGAAACCAGGAGATCCGACATTTAGGCTTCCACAAGGTCCACCTCCTCGAATCCTCAAGCGCGGCGAGAATCTAACTGGGGGGACGGACCCCATGGAAATTGATGCCAGAACGAAGTCTACACTTCCACGGGCAGGCAAATGGATATTAACTCACGTTCTTAGACCTCTTCGGAACCCCCCGCTGCCTCCCTTATCTCGTGGAGGTCACCATTAGGCGTGGGTCGGCTAATGCTCGGACTTAATATAGCCTCGAAGAAGCCTTGATACAAATGTATAACAGGATGAATTACCTGCACGACTCCAGGACAACCTCCCTATCGCGAAAGAGCATCTCAGGAGCGGGGCAGTCGTTCCATTGCATGGTACTTGGATGGAAATAATCTATTTATCATAAATTTTATATCCTTAATTGATGTAAACCGGGTATCATTTATTCCACCCGTAAGCCAGTAAGGATCTCGGTCCCGTGGAGCTATGGATATCCGACGTGTTTCCCCTCAAACCGATGGTTCGAGTTATCCAGAGTTTATTATTGAGCCACGAGACGTAGAAGTGGGACCCAGCTCGAATGTTTACAGTTTGGAGGCGTTTAGAACGCAGCGACGACGGAAAGCGCAAATTGCATACGCGGCAGGTTCATCTGGCTGGGCCTGGACGAGGTATCATCTGCACGCTAGCAAGGGAGGCCTATTAGGGGATGAAAGATAGTGCCCTGAGTGCCCGAGGAGCACCAGAGATCTTTACATCTTGCGACATGCTGGCACTTACCGAGACGCCGCTCTCGATTGTTACGGCAGTGCTATGTTTTGCAAATGAGAAAAGAGGTCACACGAGTCCTGAAGCAATGAGTTGTATTGGCCAAAAGCTAAATTTAGCACTTTATGAGCCTCCACTGCCAGTGTTTTGGCGTGATGCCAAGACGATAGTGTAAACGCCTGGGTTCGGTGCCGCTCCGGGCGAGTGGCTTTAGGGTTTTAATACGGGACTAGTAGTATTGCCTACCTCCGTCAACACGAGTTATGATCCAGGGAGACCTTGTTGCACCTGCCAGCACGACATCGGCCCCAAAGGTGGAAAACCCCGAGTGTCGTTGCCAGCAATCTTCGGGTTGAATAGACGCCTGTAGAATCATATATAGTGCGTGTGCGCTCGAGTTGGGAGTGTAGGACATTGCTCATTCAAATTGCCCTTGTCGCTGCTAAGGCATTATCCGAAATGAAGCCAACGACGATGCTGATCACAGCTCTCCTCTACGTACTACACTTCAATATCGTCAAGTGCTCTATTTTACAAGCCAGGGGAACTTTGGTTAAGCGGAGCGGCCTTGTCCGCCACCGAGACACAATGTCTTGTAGCACTAACCAGATCACTTGGTATGCCGCTTCATGACTCTCCTTCGAGATATCTCGCTGAAAACGTGCCAAAACAGCTCGAATGGTGGATGTTGCCCGGTTGGGACAGTGTGCGAGGGGAGTGGTGGCTGCTGCCCAGAAGGCACGGCGTGTAGAGGTAGGTCTCTTTCCAAAAATCATTTGGCACATCAATAACCCGACTAGGGGCGGCCCCTTGGTGTGGAGAGCAGTACGCCGTCCCGTGTGACAACTATGACTTTTGTTGTCTACAAGACCAGTACTGCTATCTCGACAATCATATACCTTCCTGCAGTGATACACCAGTGACGACCTCCAATTCCATTTGTACGTACGCTCCGTGAGTTATTGTGTCGCCCATGGTCGCTCATACCACCCAGCCCAAGCAACGACTTCACCTCCGAGCATTACCTTGCCCCAAGCAACGACTTCACCTCCAAGCACTACCTCGACCCAAGCAACGACTTCACCTCCAAGCACTACCTCGACCGGAGGGGGTGCCGTCGGCTCTATCACTTCTCTTATCGGCGGCTTGGCCAACAGCGGGACTCTTACCACTGGACTGAGAGGACCGAGCGTTTTGGCAACGATAGGCGTATTAAGTGTCGCCCTCGCACTCGCATGAGTCTTGCAGGGGCTCCAACGGGAAATTAAATGTATCTAGATCGTAAGATAAAAATATGGACAGAATGTTGAAAAGAACTACTTATCCACAATGTCTATTCACGCAGAGTGTATTTGGGCGATTTAGATCGTAGTAAGGATGCTTTCCAGCCAAATAAGCACCCTTGAACCGAGTCAAGGTTAAGATTTTAGTGCGTAGTTGGGCGATCCACGTCGTTCCCATATAAAAGCGAGCCTCAGTCCAGGAAACATACTACTCACAGTCTATTTTCCTTCCCGACGTCCTCATTTCACCGTAATGAACCCAATCCGAATCATTTGTATCCGTTTTCAGAGAATTCTCACCCCGAGTCATTGCGCTCAAATCGTAGCGCCAGGCCGCTGGACCTGGACCATGAGGTTCGATGCCTCCAGATTTGCGAGGGTAGCCCGCAAGTAGATTACCCTCTTTCCAAAAAGGATCTTCCTCCTTCTTGTATACAAAATCATCTTTTCTACCGCGATTCCCGCTATGCTCGACACTTCCTGCTCACCCGGCAGCTTGATCAACTTTTTACATTATCACTAATTTCAAAACACTGGTCGGGCAGAAATAAAATTCAAACTAGGAATGCGGCAAGTCCTGCTCTGTTCACAGCCGACAAAGAGCACCCATACGAGCGCCACGCCCATCTCAGGACAACGTTGAGCCTTGTGTGCTCCACTTGGAGAGAGGTTATCCGACATCGGGCCCCTCTATGGCCTTTCGGCCTTTCCAAATTAAAGGCACGGAGATGCGCACGTTAGAACGTCTCGAACTCAACATCCTGGGGCGACTCTCCGACTCGGATGCGCACAAATGATCGTATTCGACGCGACTTGTCGTGCAAGATGATAAAACACCCCGACATCATACCATTTTAGTGGCAGAGGAGAAAAGACCATACCAGCGTCCCACAGGCATGATGGAGGATGCACTGGACAATCTATGCGTGAGTTCTCCTCAAATAACCCAAAGGCTCACATGCCTATCATTATCTGCAGTCTCTTCGAGTCTCTCATCGGCACGATTCGTGAATGTCGGTTGTCATCTGCGGCAATTGAGGGTCTTCATCATCAGAGCAAAGGCAAATGAACTCAGAAAAGCAATCGAAAGTCGAAAAGTTTCCATCGTCCTATTCTGACCGGGGTACTCCCCGGCAAGTTGTCCATTATTACCAATCCATCAAATGCTCGACGACTGCGCAATTCCAAATGGAATCAGAAGGTTATCTGCCACTGACAAACCTATACATTATCTGATAACAGCAAATCCGGATCTACGACGGGGTGTGACCCTATAAAAGACTCCCCATGACTTTGCCTTCTTCACCCCATTTCGCCATAACCTACAGGTCATGTCAACATTACACGAAACCCATGATGCTAGTGGACGACAGCTACCGACGTACTCACAACAGGCTGAATGGGAGCGCTCCGATACGTACCACAACTCGTTTCTCATCAAACCAGACGAAGATCTCTCTGGGGCACTGACGAGGAGTGTTGCTGAGGGACTCCCAGATATTGGTTTGTTGCTCGCTAGCAAACCGAAGCACTAATTTAGACCTTCTCAGCTGTAAGTGAGGCCCAGGGCAAATTCCTATTCCTCTTGTGCAAGAGTATTGGTGCCAAACGAGTCCTTGAAGTTGGAACACTTGGAGGGTGCGCACCCGTTCACTTACGTGATTATGACCGACTTCCTTTGGCAGATACTCCACCATCTGGATGGCAAAGGCGCTACCCGCTGACGGATATATTATCACGCACGAGCTATACGCAGAACATGCCGCTGTAAGTATCTGATAAATGGAATCATCGCCACCACTGAAAGTTAAATACTGTAGGTTGCCACGGAAAACTTCAAGCAAGCAGGACTTTCTTCCAAGATTCGCGTTGTTCAAGGTCCGGCAATCGACAATTTGCATAAAATCCCTTCGTCCGAGCCCTTTGACTTGGTTTTCATTGACGCCGACAAGACGAACAATGCAAATTATTTCAGAGAGGCCGAGCGACTCGTGAGACCTGGAGGGGTCATTATCGTGGATAATGTCGTTCGTAGAGGTCGCGTTGCTGATCCTAATATCACAGATGAGGCCGTCGAAGGTACAAGGGGTTGTTACGCTACATCAAGGGCAACAAAGGCGTGGAAGCAACGACTATGGCGACGGTCGGCACTAAAGGCTGGGATGGTTTTTTGTACGCAGTCAAGCTGTGAATCAATCGCGTCTCCGCTTCTTCTTTGGGTTCCGCACCTCTTCATCCTCCTCACTGCTTACTTGTTGAAGCTCTTCCCATGCATCTTCGTCCATTTGAGAATCTTCATGGTGTTTCTCCTTTGCAATCTCGACGTCTGACCCGCTGAGGGGAAGGATTGCCGTAGGGGGCGCTGTGATATACAGCTTCCCAATACGTCGCCATGTCCCATCAGATCACCCTTTTCTGAGGTTTGGTTTGCGGGGGCTGAAGACAGTAGTCGAAAATATCGGTCTAACGAGCCAGCTGCGATGTAACCACCAGACTGACAGGCTGTGATTGAAGTGATTTTACCGCTGATACCTATAGAACCCATGAGCAACCATGCATGCGAAAGAGCAAATAGCTTACCTTTATATGAGTATAGCGGCTCCTTGGCTTTGCGCATGTCTATCGCCCATAGTTGTGTTGCGCAGTCAGCGACGTATAGCTCACTATTACATCAGAGATTAGCGAGCGAGTCGTTCGCATGCCCAGATATCTTACTGTTCCCGTATGCCCCGTTCGACGACCGAAACACCCCCACTCATCCTCGCGTCTTGCCAAGTGCTTACTGGCTTCTTTCCTCTTCGAGTATCATATCGATGCACTGCACCTAGTGTGTTACCAACGGCAATGCTATGGTGTGAACCAGCATCCTCTCTTGAAAGAAACGTGAACGAAGATATATTGACCGGTTGGCGTAAATCCAAGTTGTCGTTTGCTACCTATTGATTCAATGTCAAAGATATGTGGTGCATAGACAGGGAACGTACGTTCTTGGCTCTCCAAAGCTCAGCGGGAAAGAGATCTTTCTCTGCTCGACGTCGCTTCTCTCCATTGCTCGATTCCGACGCACGAAACGCCCTTTCCGAGTCCCAAACAGACAAGTTGACCTCGGTTCCAGCATAGGCGAAATGGCGACCAGTCGAGGTGGCGGCGAAGTGGCGTAGATTGACTGGGACGTTACAATGAAACGCAGAAACCTCGCTAGTGTCCTTTTCGAGTGCAGTGAGACGAGCTTGGCCTCGTTGATTTGATTGAACGATACCCCTATACCTCGTGAAAGGAGCCCGCCCAGAAATTGGAATGAACTTACAATGGGTGTATATTGAGCCCAACCCAATTATCCTCATTGGATCCGTCTGTTTTGAATCTCTTTATTGATTCTCGCCATTGTGAGACTGTCACTAGCTCGCCACTCCGCAAATTTTCAGTGGTGTGAACACTTGTAGATCCATCTGCACGGGCAATAGCTACCTGGAGACAAGATGTAAGCAAATAAATTACATGAATAATCAGTTTTCAAACCAAATCTTTGCCGGCATGGGTCCCTATCGCGAGTTTCTGGACAGAACGGGAGGATGTCGAAGGAATAATCTGAGCATCGAGAGTATACTTGATAGACGACGATTTTGCATCATTCTCCTCGATATTACGGGCATTTACGAGCTTGACAGCCCCATTGTTGTCGGCAGAGAGCCACATTGAGGTGTTCAAAGTTGGACCTTGAACCTGCCCACTGCCTGGGTTATTGGATGGCAACAACGGGGACGCCTCCGAGTCCATTTATTCATCAATCTTTCATCAGCTTGAGCCAGAGACGAAACCCTTTGTCACGACCGCAGACGCCCACGAGCCACCAAGGCGGTAGCATGCATTCCTCTACGCCCAGCTCATCTCCCGGAGGATTGTTGGAGCCTCCTTCAGGCGTATCATATGCTGATTTTGTTAAACAATGGCAGGATGCGCATATTGCGCGTTGGCTTGCCGACAACCGGTGTGCTCATCATGCCCAGGCTTTTCGAGACAACGATATCCGTGGAGATATCATTCTCGAGCTCGATGTAGATAATCTGAGGGAGCTTGGGGTCACCTCTGTTGGTGATCGCACCAGGATTCGCAGCGCTATCAAAGAGTTGCGAAGACTATGTGCGTCGAACGGCCCACAAGGACAATCTGGGCCCAAACTCGTGCTCAATGGTGGTTCGACGGACTTGAGATACTCTAAGACGACCGGTCTCAAGCTTAGGAATGACGCGGCAGGAATAGTACAAGAACCAAATTCCGGCAATCCGACGACCTCAGCTCGCAACTCTAGAGGCAGACCAGCTCCTTTGCAACTCGACAACGTTGTAGAAAGAGATTTGCCTCAGATACAACGGCTCGACTCTGCCCGGTCGGCTACGACTCCCACCCCTCGAGCGCAGGCGAGCAACAATCGCGCACCGTCTGGACCGCCTCCACGGGGACCGCTTCCTTCAACTCCCTCCAACCTACGGTCCGTACCGCGGCTGACGGTTCCTGGTTCGGCCACGCAACGGGCCCGAACTCCAACAGAGAGCTCAAATCCTCCTCCGTTCACAAATGACCCATTACCACCAGCACCATCCCCTGCATCACCTTGGTCTACTGGAGCTCCAGGATTGCCTCGAAATCCGGCGCCTGGAAACCTTCCTGGCGGCTCGTTTGCACCTCGCACAACGTCGCCTCTTCCGCAGAATGGACGTAACCGACTACAGGGTACAAATGCCGCATTGCCACCAACGCATCAGCGCCAACATTCCGGTGCCAGAGGTGGTTCCGCTCATCCATACAGCTCGGCCAATGCGTCACTTGCACCTGGTCCAATGAGTGCTCATGCACTATCTCCCGTTTCAGAATCGTTCATTCCGATGGCTGGGAGTCCCCCTTCCGGCTACAGCGTCGGCAGAGGTCCATTCGACAGGAGGCAACCGCAGAAGGAAGACGAAGTCAAGCGTAAACTTCTCAAATTCTGGATGGGCGATATGAACTCGAGAGTTTTAGATATTCGAGATCTTGAGGATGGTACAGAACTTTTGGAACGCGCATTGCGCAAGTTTGGCGTTGTATACGAGGACTATCCGCCACCAGTGGACGGTACACTCTCTGTAGGGGGATATGCCATCTATCTGGGCCATGACCAGGACCGTGAGTGCATCAGCTTGTATTATTTCTCTTATCCTAACTGTATCTGACAGCATTGACCGAGACCAAACTTTTGGCTCTGATTCATGATCCTGATAATATTGGTCGGGAGAACCTACACATACGAACATACTCTGCATCTGCCAAACGATCCAAGTTGGAACGTATACTCGGAGAAGCTCCTCCTCAACAACCCTCCGAAGACATGTTGAATGCCAGCCGGATCCAAAAGAAAATGAACAGAGCAAGCACCGTCAGTGTTCTCAGTGGACTGGGTGTGCCCGTTGGGTCGCCTCCAACGTCGCCCGGCGGAACCAAATCGACCTCTGCGACTTCGGCCTCGTTTGGAAAACTGAGAAATTTCTTCGGCCACCGTCCACCCTCGGAACTCATTACCACCCATTTACCGGAATACTTTCCCTTCGCCGACAAAAAGGTCCTGAAAAAGACTGCACGTAACAGCATGATGAAGAGGCAGAGTATGAAGCCCAGTGGAACCCCTGGATCTGCAGGGATGTGGGTGCCTCCACGTAATACGTCACGGTTCAGCACGAGTACTATTGCATCACGTCGCTCAACGCGGAACAGTGGCGTACCTAGTGGGAGCGTGACGCTGGTAGATACGTCCTCTCCGAGGCAGTCACAAGAGGAGAAAAGACAAGGGATGATGACGATCCCACGAGTGTCCATTGAAGGAGACGATGGCGGTGCCATGCATTTGACCCTCGTCGATGAGGAGTCGTCCCCCCAAAATGACGCAGAGTTTTCCACCCAACAAGTCACTACTACCAAGGCGTTGCCTATACCACCCGTGACATTTGCAAATGATACCTTTTCCGCAGACCCGAACCAGCTTGCAGTCACAGATACCTCACGAGCAGCCAGAAGAGCAAGTAAAATCACGGAGCTGAAACCTTCAAACCCAGTACCAGAATCTGCAATGGTGACTGTAGAAAACGTGACGACTGGGATCGAACAGTCGATCGCTCAAGAGCGCGTACGAGACAGTCTATTACCTGGTGCGCTAGGGACGAAGCGATTGTCGACAGCCAGCGTGTCAGCTGCGGTCCAGAAGCGTGAAAGCCTGCAACCAAAGGAGGTACCCGTGGACGAGGCTGGTACAGATGAGGAAGACGAGGAAGAAGAAGAAGAAGAAGACGAAGAAACGGAAGAGGAAGAAGAAGACGAGGACGAGGACGAAGAGGAAGAAGAAGAGGTTGAGGATGATACGCCAGAAAAGGTCACCTCGAAGGCGACGACACGCTCTATCAAGTGGATCCGAGGAGCGTTGATCGGTTCGGGATCGTTTGGAAATGTTTACCTTGGAATGGACGCGCAAAGGGGACTCCTCATGGCAGTAAAGCAAGTCGAGCTCAAGGGAAGCCAATACAGCGAGGAGCGCAAGCGGAGCATGCTCAGCGCACTGGAACGGGAGATTGAGCTGCTCAAGACGCTACAGCATGAAAATATTGTACAGTACCTCGGTGCGTAGTCTTGTGCAGGTTGTTTGCATGCAAGCTGAGACTTTGATAGACTCTGCCATTGACGACAACAACCTCAATATTTTCCTGGAGTATGTCCCTGGCGGATCTGTTGCGTCACTTCTTCGAAACTATGGCGCGTTTGAAGAGTCACTCACTGCTAACTGGGTTCGACAAATTCTCCGAGGACTCGAGTACCTCCATGGACAAACGATTATTCATCGAGACATCAAGGGTGCAAATATCCTTGTTGACAACAAGGGTGGTATCAAGATTTCTGACTTTGGTATTTCCAAAAAGGTCGAGGAAGGCGAGTTGGGTTTTCGTTGTGCTGGGTGTTTGGCTGACGAACGTAGGGTTCCCTCGAGCACACCGAATGTCACTCCAAGGCTCCGTATTCTGGATGGCGCCCGAAGTCGTCAAGCAGACTGCATACACAAGCAAGGCGGACATATGGAGCGTTGGCTGTCTCATCATTGAAATGTTGACCGGGCAACATCCATTCCCCGAGTTTACACAAATGCAAACCATTTTCAAGGTTTGTCCCGCATTTAGACGCCCGATTGCGAAATGCTGACGACAATGTCTTCAGCTCGGATCTGGTACTGTTAAACCCGCCATTCCTTCGGACATTAGTGCACATGGTACCGAATTCCTTCAAAAGACATTTGAGCTGGATCACACGCTTCGACCTTCGGCGACAGAACTCCTTAATCATCCTTGGCTGGCCGAGACAGTATAATTAAGAACCAGACTTGCCTGTGTATCCCTCACGCCTCCTGTATCGTCATTGAACTAAATTATCTTTATTGACTGTACGAAGGCAAGAATGTGGTGAGATCATACGAGTCGTAAGTACTAGTCCATACGTCGATAGCGTCCGTAATGAAGGGAGTGTAAAGAGGGAAAGGTGATACGCAATAAAGGGAGAGTGCAAATGTCCAGAGAGTGTGTGGGATGATACAACAGACTACCATTGGAATTCTTCAGTGATGAGCGTGATCATACCCTGCATCTCGCCCTGGAGAACCTGCTGTGGGTTTATTTGCGTCGCAACCATCTTGCGTACAAGAGCGTTGAGAGAAGCAGGTCCGCAGCCTTGAAATAGAAAGTCAGTTACCAACGTCCAGATTCATTTCACTCGAGTTACTCACAGGCAACAGCGACTGCACCCCTGGCCCTGCCCACCTCGTCTGCCAACATTCGTTCCAGTCTTGGTTTACCAGGCCGAGCCATCTCTGACACGAAATGCACATCCTCGAGCTCTTGATCGTCAATCTCAAGCCTGACCTCTGCCTGTTCGAGCATACTCTCTGCCATGGAGATTGGCCGTTCCCCAGGTGCAAACCGATGCACGCTCTCGGGACCACCTGCTGGCGACATGGCACGGAGATCACCCAACGACGCCACGGAGAATCGATTGTTATTCTCCGAAGCGTGGAAACCAGGGCTCGGCGCGCGGAAGACGTTCATCGACTGTTGACTCCACCGACGCTGTGCGCTCATATCGTTTGACGGCGATAAAAACGTATCTGGGCCTGCATTACGATAGGCGTCCGCGGCGCTCACGGAAAACTTGGGATCAAACGAGGATGGCGGATGCGGGGATGCAGGCGAATACGCGCCTTGAGGGAGGCCAGGAGGCGAATTGGGTCCAGGTGACGTTCGGCCACTACGTGGCGGACGAGGGGGGCCTGCGCTGCGGTCCGTGGACATTCCCGCAACCTCAATCGCCGGCATAGATGTAGAGCCGCCGGTTGCCTGCCGCGACTTGGACTCGAGTTCGGTCCTTGCCTGCGCCGCAGCTGCCGCTCGTCTCGATTTAGCACGGCGAATCTTGCCCTCCTTTTGTACACGCTTGCTAATCTTGGCCTCTCCGGCCACGCGAGTGTCATCCTCGCCATCAAAGTTAGTGTAATCCAAGACATGAGCTTCGTGGCCGAGTTCCTGTGAATGGTAGTGGTCCCCATAGGGCGAGGAAGGCGAGGCTTGCATATAGTCGAGGTCGATCATGCTATTCGGTCTGCTGTTGGCAGAGACGAGCGAATCGACAGAGCTGTTCGAATTGGCCCGGTTTCGACCCATAAACTGCGCAGACGGGGGTGCCAGATCGTCGGGGCCCATCACGGACAACATCGAATTCCGGTTGTTACCGTGAGGTTGAGGTTGCGTGATGAGTTCGGTATTGGAGACGAAAATGTCCACTTGCAAAATAGACGAGGGGACCATTTCCATGCAACGACGGAGGACCGTAGCACACCATTGGATATGCGCTGCGGAATAACATGAGCACGCGAATAGAAAAAATGGGAGCAAAAACGTACAGAATTCACGAATCAGCCAGATGAAGCGCACGCGCGAAGTCTTGAAGCCACGAGCACCCCAGCCACCTGGTCTACCACCGAGCGATTTGCCATCTCGGCCCGAGAGACACAAGCAGAGATACTCAAGGATGGAGATACCAAAGCTGACGCCCGTCCCTCCCACGACGATAAACACAGTCGAGTTGCTACCCCAATGTGCACGAATCGAACTTCCAAAGGGCCCGTCGACAAACGCGCGAAGCAGCACCCCAGTGTGTTCGTGTGGATTCTTCTTGAGAGACATGTTACTCTTTTCGCGCGTGTGCAAGGGACCCGTGCTGACGGCAAACCCATTCTCCATCTCGCCTTCGGTCTCTGCAAACGGATTGTTTGCAGCCTCTGCTTGGTTGACGAGCCTAACAACCTCTTCCCAGAGATCCTTTGTGAATCCATTCTTGGCGCGAACAAGCAATTCGACCACACGTCCTTCGCCGGTCTCGCTCTCGTCATCGTAACAGCCCGTGATTGTAAAGGGGTGGGTCGTGTACTTGGAAACAGAGGGGACCTGCAGCAATACATGCTGCCCAGGTGCCCAGACAATGGGTCGTGGCGTCAAGAGTCGCATGCGGACCACACGTCCGGGCAAGAGTTGACAGAGCGCAAAGCCAGGAGGTGGTATGCGAGAGTAACGTGTATGAGGTTGATTATTTCCGCTGTTGATCGTCGGTGGGTAGCGCGGGGAATTATTGTCGGGGTTTAGTCGTTGCGTTTCATGGCGGGCAGTCGTAGGCGACTGGGGTGGATAGTTTTGCAACAAGTCTGCTTGGCTCCCCGAGGGACCGTTCGAGCCGCGAGATCGGGCGTCAAATTCCTCTTTGCCCAGCAAACCATAGCTCGAGTTTCTCGTCGGCGTTACCCGAGAGTCCCAATCGCTATACGTTTCCTGTGGGTATGCCGCATACGAATCGTAGGATCCGGTACGCGAGTCGACCCGCGGGCGATACTGGAGGGGCATTTGCGACGATTCGCTGTCCTGGCTTCGTACGAGCCGGACACCCTGCTCCCATTCATTGGGTCCTCCAGAAGGGGGTGTCGAGGGCTTCTTCTCTGAAACGGAGCCAGGTGCACTAAATTTCATGGGAGGCGGCGCAGCACCGGCGGGAATCTTGCCTTTGCCCATGAGCCCGTTGACATAAGCCCATCTGATTGCACGGTGTAGACGCTCTCCGATCCATAGGAACAGTGCGGACCAACACCACCACCAAATCGTCGGAAAGTGAAGGGCGGCAAAGACGAGGGTGATGGGGACGAGGATGACGTGCAAGACATAAAACGCCTCGTAATAGCGCACACGGAACGAGTCGAGCGAAAGAACGACCAAGGCTGTGAGTGCAACGTATGCCTACAAAACTAAGATTAGCCTAAGTTCTTTTTGGGTGGGTTTTCACAAGCAAAGGGTTGCCGGTGGAACGGCATGTCGGCCGGAAAAAAGATACGCACAATGACGCCCTCGATGAAAAGTGGGTACTGCCATACAAACAGCCAGGCGGGCGAGTCTACGTGGTTGCGGTTGCCAGTTCCGCGCTTGTCACGTCCGAGCTGGATGCCCCATGTCACGACGTGAATGGTGGTGATGAGCCAAATTAGACGGCCTGTCCATCGGTGGAGACGAGCAAGCTTGTCAAAGTGGACCTGGATGAGAAAAGGAATGGCAAAGACGGCAAACGGAGGCGCCTTGAGTGCAAAGAGAACAACGAGGGGGAAGAGGGCGAATGCAATGATGCCCGTACGGCCACCGACCGTCCACCATGCCTTTGGGATGGTGTACTCGGGTGCCCGAGTGGTGGCCGTAGACGCCACGGCGGCTCTGGAGAGCAAATCATAGTGCATGAATGTATGGTCCAGTCCCCGTTTTGTGACATTGTGTGTCAGATCCCATAGCTTTGTGCCCGGGGCGATGTAGTCTGGACCAATGAAACAGAGTGCCAGCGGGATGAGGAAGAGAATGATGAGAGAGAGCATCTGAGCATTTGAGGGAAACGAAAAGGGCTGTTGGTGTGGTTTTCCTTCGCGTTTGGCCTTTGCCAGTGTATGTCTCTTGCGCCAAGTACGGCGTCGGAGCGCCCATTTGGACCACGCCGCACCGACTGGACCACCTCTTGAGCCTGTCCAGTGAAGGATGGCGACGACGGAGACGACGAGGACGAGAAAGATCCAGAGGAGAAACGAGTAGCGGTATGACGGCGTGCTCATTTTATGGATAAAGAGATACGAGTTGATCCATTGAAAGTCGTTGATAAACGCAGGTGTAGATGGATTTGGAACGTGTGGTCTGGCTGTCGTTGTTGCGCTGGGATGATAAGAGGACACACCGCCTGTCGCTCCAGGCGGGATGTAGCCTGTTGCGCGCGAGGCAGTAATCGAGGGCTGAACCTCTGTAAACGGCTTTGTGACTGTAGATGACATTGTCTACAGATTGGTTTTGCTGGATGCACACGCTGGGAGGTTGTGGGGGCGGCGAGGAGAGCCGCGCTTGGTGGTCGGGGAGAGTAAAGAAGGGGATTAGCAGTCAGAAATGCTTGCAGAGTGCCAGTGGGTAATATTTTTTGGGAATTTTGGCAACGTCGAGGTCGTTCCTTGGGTCAAGGTCGGGGCCAAGATGCAAAGGCTTACTTAAGTTCTTGACGGGGACGGAACAACCGATTACAGAACAGCGCGACTAAGTATATCAATAGCACGGGTATATAATCAAAGCTCAGCCGACGGACGGACGAGGCGATACTGCCGCCAGGAATTGGGTCGGCCAAGACTGTACAAATTTTGTATTCAACCCGTGAGATTTCACAACTTAGCAAAATGTAACTAGACCGCGACTGGGGCCGGGGCCGGGACCGAGCTCGTCGTCTCGTCTGTCTCCGAATCGACTTCCTTTCCGCTACGAATCTATATAATAATCTGTTTCAGAAACGCATGCAAGGAAAAGTGGTGAAACGCTGACCTCTTTGCCCGTCTTCTTGATCTTCTCGTACACTTCGTCATACGTTGCCGTGCTCGGATGAACAACAACGGATTGCTTTTCGAGATCGACTTCATAAGAGGAAATTCCTACAAATCGGCGCAAGTCAGATGCAACCTAGACCGCCAGGGGGGGGAGACTTGGTAATTACCCTCGACTTTGCTGAGCGCTCGATTGACGGCCCCGGAGCATCCTCCACAAGTCATCTAGACGGACATAAGTCTATTTTCCTCATTTATAGTGATCAAAGAGGTGTACCTTGACATCAAATACGTACGATTTCTACTCTAGTCAGCACGCAGCCACCCACTGTCCAATCATCACAAGCTTACCGCCATTGGAGATCAGAGTCTGTCCTGTTACGCGTTCCAAAAGTCGAGAGCGAGTTGGGTGGGTGCTGGTCTAATCCAAGGATATCATCTCCTTATATGGAGCTTGGTGCCATCAGTCAGCTTGTTACCGCAGAAATGCCTCTGCACAACCGACAAGCGCCCACACGTGGGTAGAAAGAGAGAAAGAATGTATTGCAGCGAACAAAAGCGTAAAGCAAGTCGTAAAGATTAGAAGCCGTGCAGCTTGATCGTATCTCTGTGGATGCCTTGCTCCGTCAAGAACTTGAGAATCTTTGCTCGCTGGTCTCCTTGCAGTTGGATCACAGTCCCCATATCCTCGTCCTCAATCAGCGTCCCGTTGCATGCAAATTGCTGTCCAGGTCGTGTCAGCCCTCACATGTCACGAGACGACGACGACAACAACGCACCTTCTTAAACTCTTTGAGGATCTTCTTGTAGTCATACTCTACACTCGCAATATTAGCTCCAATCCACTCCTTTGTCCTCCAAACGACTGACCTGGGGAAAGACCCTGAAGCGTTGTCAGCGTCTTGCGTCCATTCCGCTGCTGGATGCGGATATGGATATAATTCTCCTTGGTGCTATCAGTTTGCTCGAAATCGTCGTTGTCCGCGTCAAACGGATCCGCTAAACCGTCCCCAATGGTTTACGAATTGCCACCCATCCGTTGATAATCCCATAGTCAATCGACCAAGATTAAAATAAAACATAAAGACATCCAAACGTCAGCAACTCATCTTCAACGACGCAACAGGTGACGTCGCGCGACGACGACGACGGCGGCGGCGACAGAGTGGCAGCGGGACTCACCTGGGTTTGCGAGATTCTGGATGCTCATAAGACGATTGTCTAGGTATTTCTCAGACACGAGACGGGGATCGAGCTGATCTACGAGTACTGGAGAGAGAAATGGCGGGATCCAAGGAGCGAGCAGCTAGGTTCAAACAATGAAGTGCCCTCTTTGCTCCGCCCGCTGACTCGGCGATCGGGGAAAATGGAGCATTCCGCAGCTCAAAAGGACAAAAAACGAAAACCTCCACGCTTTGTCCATTTGCCAGCTCAGCAAGGTGCCCTTTTTTCCATTGACATTTCCAAGCGCAAGCACTCAGCTATGTCATCTAGCAATCAAAGCAAAGCAAGCTTGGGTTCATAAAGTCAAACTACGTTCAAAATGGGCAAAACAAAAGCGTAGCTTGGCCTCGGGCTCAAACGCCATTCCAGCCACCAAGCGAGACCAGGCAGAGGGCGAAGAAGACTCGAAAGAGTCTGTTCATGACCAAGACACTCCTAGAAAGCGACACAGGCCACAGGAACATCCAAACAGCCTGAAGAAGAGACGACTAGACGAGCCTAAACGTTCGCAAGAAGAAGAAGCCGCTCTCAAGGCTCAAAAGGAACGCGTTAGAGAGCTTGCCAGAAAAGCATATGCTCCCGAGTCTCTTCACACTTTTAAATCAGACCCTCTTGGCCGACGGAGAGGTCAAGGCAATAATCCAAACTCTCGCGGACGAGGACAGCCAAACATGAAGCTACGGATGAATGCATTGCTAGAGAAGATCAAACTCGATACCGACAAAGCTTAGCCACTCTGCCACTCGCTCACCTCGGTCACGTCTCGCATGTATTTCGTCCTGTTGATTAAGAGATATCAAAACAGTTCATTATAAAAAGGATTTGACACTTCCCAATGATCGCAAATCGCTACTTGACTTTGTCGAGTGGCCTATTGAATCCTCCTCTCCTGCAAGAGCCGTCAACAGGTGGGGAATAGCTAGTATAACAACTAACCTGTTCATGTATTGTCTCCATGTGCGCTGCTTGTTAATCTTTACGGCTCCTTCTTGATTACCTTCGACTTCATGGCCCTACAACAGAGTCAGTGTGGTTCGAGTCATGCGTACACACATACCTTTGTTGTCCCAAACCCAGCAAAACCCATCATCGCCATCATGTCTTCCTCTGTTGGATCCCCAAGCTCTCCCTCCTCTTCCTTACCATCCTCCATCATCTTTGACTCTTCTTTTACCGTCTCGACGCGACGTTTGTCCTCAGCATCTACGTATGGGGATCAAACAGGTGGTTCATCGAGAACCAAACTACGCACCACGCGGATCACGCCCATTGGACTCGTGCGCCTTTCGGTCATCGCGTCTTCTGTCCTCAACAGCGCGTCTATCGTCTTTCCTTCGCGAATCTCCATCTCTAGATCTCGAACGATGATGATGGTGACCTCTGGGCGAGCGTGACCTCGACCTGCGTCTTTCTCGAGGTTTGTCTGTCGCAAAAGTCAGCCTAATGGATCGTTTACAGGAATAAAAGCAGACCCACCATCTCTCCTATCTCTGTCGTCGCGTCTCCGAGGACTCGTGGACCGACTGCGTCTTCTTTCTCCGCGACTTGACGAATACTGCTCTCGCTCGCGATCACGACCACTTCCTAGTCCTCTTCTGGAAGATGATGACGAGTATTCGTAGCGCCTGTCGTCTCGTCGGTCATCTCTTTTGTCACGGTGAGACATGGTCGAATCCAAGTTTTCTTGTCCTCAACGTCTACCCATGGGTTACACTCTTTGCGTGCTAGGCAAGCCTATTTTCCTCAAACATGCATCAAATCTCAACGATATGTTTCGTGCATCTCAGGATGCGGCACCATGGGCATCTCCATCATTTCCGGTGTCCTCTCCTCGCTCGAATCTTCAACATCTCAGCTGAAAATACGTAAACACTCTCTTCCCAACAAATGGGAGTCACACACGCCCGGAACATCGACGCCTACGATTAGCAATGGTGGCGAGTCACCCGTCTTGCCCAGTGGCATCTCCGATCCAACGATCCCAACGCGCTTTCTCGCCTGCGTCAGCAGAGAGTCCACAGCTAGGAAACTCCAGACAACCTTTGCGCAGCTGGGTCCGCTTGGAGCAGGCATCGAAGTTTTCCAATCTGCAAATGTCGAAGCTGCGCAGCAGGCAGACGTGATTCTCCTTTGGTGGGCACCCATATAAACGAATTGGCCTGCTGTCATCTTGCTGACGGTGACCATAGCTGCAAGCCACAAATCGCTCATGTCATCTTAAACGAAGAAGGCATGAAGGAAGCTCTGCACAAGAAACTCGTGATTAGTATTCTAGCGGGTGTAACCATTTCGCAGATGACAGAGTGGGTGACTCCAGAAACGCGTCTCGTCCGCGCAATGCCAAACACTCCGTGCAAAGCAAGTCCGGTTGATGTTCGTTTCCACCGATACTCATCAGACACGGAATAGATTCGAGAAGGGATGACAGTCATCACCCCGTCTCTCGACAGTGCACCCGGGGTTTCAACCGACGTCGAGTTGGAGAAGACTATTATCCTCAACATTTTCTCCTCCATTGGGCGTTGTCGATTCCTCGAGGAGAAACACTTTGACGCTTGTACAGCCCTCTCCGGATCGGGGCCTGCTTTCGCCTGTGTGTTCCTTGAGGCAATCGCAGATGGTGGCGTGATGATGGGATTACCAAGGGCAGAGGCTCTTGAATTGGCCGCACAAAGTATGTCCCTTACTTCATATAAGCACGAATACTCACTTGATGTCTCAGCACTTCAGGGTGCGGCGCGCATGGTCTTGCAAGATGGGGCACACCCTGCCCAGATCAAGGACGCAGTCACGAGTACGTTGCGACTACTGAGATGTATACAATGAAGTTAACCTATTCCTTAGCACCTGGAGGATGCACTATCGCGGGATTACTAGCACTCGAGGACGGACGAGTGCGGTCTACGATTGCTCGAGCAATCCAGATTGCCACAGAGCGCGCTAGCGTCTTGGGACAGCCGGTGAAAAAGTAATCCGGGATCACTAAAAGGGCCTTAGTAGTCCAAATAACCACTAACAGAAGCGTTACTAAAACAAGTTTTATTTGTCGACCATAATCTACAAGGTCACCTCGAGAGGTGACAGTAAGACACGTCCAGTAAGTCGTACCGCCTAGCAGACTACAGTCTGTCAATCTTGCTTCCATAAAATGAGGATAGCGCGTGAGAGTACCAGCGCGTAACCAGAGTGTCAGGAAGCGTCACAATTTCGACTATCAATAATTTATTGACCTTAGAAAGGTTTATTGCTTCTATATACGCAGAGCTACACATGGGTGAGTAAGTCATGACCATATGCAGCGTATGCTCGCACCTATCTATAGTTCGTTGGAGTCTGGGTGGTCTTGATCCATCGTATTACCGGAACATATGTTGCACCCGTATGGAAAAGTCATGGCCGAGCGAGCTACGAAGACATGACTGGCAAAATGGGAGCAGTGATCTGGCTCGTGAAATGGGCGAATCGATGTGGAATGCCAACGATACGCCAAAGTGACGGAGCGGTTGATAGTGACGGATAGTTTGATATAATACATATATTACACGAATGCAAGGTCTGATATAGAAGTCAATAGAGTACGGAAGCATGTAATCAGCAAAGGACTTACATACAACGCGGAGGCCCTATCGGTCTGTAAAGCAATGTAAGTAAATGTCGACCAGCAGAATGATTCAACAATTCTTCCCAACAGCTATCAGAACAGTCTTGATCCACCATAATACTGGAAGGTATGTGGCACCCGTGTGAAACAGTGATGACTGGGCGAGCCACTAGGGCAGACATAACTGGCAAAATGGGAGCGTGTAATTTGATCTGGCTCGTGAAATGGGCAAATCGGTGTAGAATACCAACGATGTGCCAAAGTGACGGAGCGTTTCGTGGTGGCATATAGCTTGATATAATGTATGTATTACACAAAAGCAAACTCTGAAATATAGTTAGTAGGGCACAAGGATATGGAACAGCAAAGGACTTACATACAACGCGAGGGCCCTATCGATCTGTAAAGCGATGTAAATACGAGAAACATCCATATTGGCAATAAACGCACAGAACTCGAGAGTCTCGTCGTTTCTCTTGACGACTTGCTGTGGGACAGAGTAAGTTTTCCGACTGTTTGTCTCACCAAGGACAAATAAGACCAGCGTACCTTCCAAGCTTCCTCCATGTCGATTGGCAGGATGACATAGCGGTTCTTTCGGACAGCTATCATTTGTCAGAGTTGATTGCGGGTAGTATACGAGCGCGCACCTTGTAGGCCAGCAGCCTGGCAAATGGACGCAATCTCAGCCGAGGAGATTTTGTCTGGTCGCGAGACGACTGGAATATTCAATGAGAAGGAGGGTCAGACAAGGGGCGAGGAGGATGTCGGCACGTACAATCCTCGAGGTCAAGGTCAGGACTCAGGTTCATCTTGCCCGTAATCGTCTGAAAGATGAGACGCTTTTCTCTTCTAGAAGGCTGCGGGAATTCAATCTTTCGGTCCAGGCGTCCGGGCCGTAGGAGGGCTGGGTCAAGGGTGTCCGCTCGGTTCGTGGCCATGATGACCTGAGTGAGATCAGCAAGTGTTCCCTGAAAGCGCAAGTTGCTGCATACCTTGACATTGCTTCCCTGATCGAAACCATCCATCTGGTTCAGGAGCTCAAGCAGGATACGCTGAACCTCCCTGTCCGCTCCTGTTTGCGCGTCGAACCGCTTGGTGGCAATGGCATCGATTTCGTCAATAAAGATAATCGCTGGAGCATTCTCCCTGGCCAGTCGGAAGACGTCTCTGACCATTCGGGGACCCTCTCCTAGGTATTTTTGGACAAACTCGGAGCCAACGACACGAATAAAGGACGCAGTGGTGTGGTGCGCCACAGCCTTGACAAGCATCGTCTTTCCAGTTCCTAAGAGGTTTCGTAAATACCCTTTCGACGGAAAAATCATGATCAGAGGTGGTACACACCTGGCGGACCGTACAGCAAGACACCGCGAGGCGGGTCGATTCCAATCTTTTTGTAGAGATCAAAGTGCGTCAATGGAAGCTCCACAGCTTCTCGAATTTCTTGCTTTTGGGAGTCCATGCCACCAACGTCTTGATAAGTCACGTCTGGTTTCTGCTCTGCACCCAACATGGATATCGACGAGTCTGCTTCCGGAGGAAGAATGTCTACCAGTGCGTTGGAATGGCGATGAAGCGCAACAGAAGACGAAGGTTTCAATAACTCGCGATCGAGTGTGGAGAGAATGCGGACGACATAATTTGACCCCGTGGTCGATCCAACGATGCCAGTATGCTGGTCTATAGGTTCCAAGAACTGTCCAATGACGAGCGGAACAGACTGGATGCGCTTGACTTCTTCTTGCGCGCGCACCAACTCGCGCTTGAGGTTGGCCTGCTCGTCTTTTATGTACGTTTCCTGAATATCCAACATTTCCAGATGTCTAGAGAGCTTTTTGTACTTGATATAATAGTCATCCTCTTGCATCTCTTGGTACAAAGCCGCCTTTTCCGTCACCACCGACTCGAATGTCGGCTCCTACGCGAGAATCAGCGAGCTGAAGGATATTGACATCAATAATATGTTACCTCTGCGTGAATTTCGATTCCAATTTCGTCCATTTGGTGTGTACGCGACGCGCGTTCAGACGAGGTCAGCTCAGAAGGGTAAACAAAGCAGTCGCCCGCCGCAACTTTGGACCACTACCAAACCCGTTACGCCGCCTGAGGGCCAGCCAAGAATCTCGAGAATATTCACAAAACATCTCTTTACAAGTGCACGGCTCGCTCGAAACCGATTAGCAGTCGCCACACCCGCTAGTTGTCATCTCCGACTACCTCTTGTAGTTCCTCGGGCGTTTTATTGGTTGTTGTCACTAGAATGTAATGTGGATCCTCTGGAGCGCTTCACAGACCACACCTGACCTCTCCGATCCCTCAGTTTGCTAGCCACGAGGCGACCTGCGGTTCCCCCGGCGTCCATATCAAAGCCAGAACTCGTTTAAACAGGCTGTTCACCAGGCATTTGCAATCGTGGCTTCGACTCCCAGCTCCTTCTCGTCGTCTACCATCGACGCCGCTCGCTCTCCGTTTTCGCCATTGTCGCTCCTTTCCCCAAGCAGAGGCGATCTTTTGATGCTGGCCAGCCCACCCGCCAGATCCAGCCAAGCTGCGACTGCCTTACGCCATGCTAGGTTCTCGGAGCGCTTATCTCGCCAATTGTCCCCCTCCAGCACCCAGCAGCCCATGTCTGGGTTGCTACTCGACGCTGCCACCATAGAGCAGCATAAGATGTCCAACGGCTTTGGCTCCAGTGCTACGCTCGTACCCCAAGTCGGCGAGTCTAGCCGTGAATCCTCTCCGCCTCGTGTTGCCCGCCAGCAGTCTGCGGTATGTGTCATACAGCACCAGACACAGCATTCGCCTCATATATTCATTCTAGGAGTTTTACTTTGCGGATGGCAACGTGGTCTTTTTGGTGAGTCGTCTCCTCGACGGCTCAGAAGGTGTGATGGCTTACGCCGTCGGTATCAGGTCGAGCGCACCCTATACCGCATTCACAGATCCGTGCTCAGCAGAAACTCTCCATTCTTTCGCAACCTATTCTCCATCTCCGCCCCTCTCGACAACAAAGAGGTAGAAGGTAGCTCCGACGACAATCCTCTCCATCTTCCGCACATCCAAGTCGATCAATTTGATGCGTTTCTGTCAACTGTCTACCCAAGGTGAGCAGCAGATTCCCGTGTTTGAGGTCAGAATCTCTAACGGATACCTCGCAAGCTGGCGTCCGCTCAATCAGTCAACCGAGGCTATCATCAACATCCTGTGCTTGGCCACGAAATGGGAGTTTGCCACGACACGCTCCTATGCCATTGAGCTCCTGACCTCTCGCCCTCTTTCCCCCGTTCTCCGCATCGAGCTCGCCCGGGTGTACGATGTCCCGACCTGGCTACTGTCGTCTTACGTCGAGCTCGCTCGAATACGCACACCTCTCAATGAATCAGACGCAGACCGACTCGGCTTACCGACCGTCCTTCGGCTGGGACGGGCACGAGAGGCGATTCTGCGGCAGCGGTTCACACGTGCGCTCGAAGCGCCAAAGAGTGACTTTTTTGATGTTCCAGCGGCTCGTCACATGAATTGCTGGAGGACGCTCGCAAGATCGCTCTTCCTGGCCCTAAAGAATGGTGAGCGTGCAGGTGGATCTGACGAAGATCTCGTCGAGGAGGTCCTGGCTGCATCTCGAAGGCTCTCCGAAGACGAAACGCTGTGCCATTCGTGTAGCGACTTGCACATGTTCCGTGCACGCTGTACCCGCTGGTTGGACATTGACAGCGACGCCGCGATTGTGGCCAGCGTTTTCAACCTCTAATTCATCTCACCACTCCACAAACCTCGATTTCTTCAAAGGCTTTGCCTCCCCCTTGTGCCTGGTTGGTGCAGTCTCTGTCTGTGCACCCAAATCCTGTCAGTCGTGTTGTATGCCGGTCGCCGTTCAACTCCCCTCTCCGTGTTGTATATTATGCAAATAGACTTTTGATGTTAAGATTCGGCGCTCGTCCAGATCCGTAGCGGGTGTCCTCTGCATAATGCGGCCAGCCACAGGACTGTTACCCCTTATCTGTACACCTCTGCTCCAGTATTATCCGATGTTCATGGAGTAGAATACAAAGAGATGAATAAGATAAGCTCGACAAAGGATGGCACCTGACGGTCGCTCCATCAGCATTCCAGGTATCAACCGGGGATGCGAAGACGGCTCACCGATATGCACGGTTCTAGACCAGGGGTACCTTTCCTTTGCTCCAAGTCCACACAGGCCCTCGCACAAGGGGGATGCGCAAAGGGAATCCCGGGTCCACGATGGGTTGCCATCATCGTGGTGCAGCATGCATCTCGACTTCATCCGGATCGCCTTCTGTCGCAAGCCGCGTCCACCCGCCACGACCAAGCTGACTACTCCTATCGAGAGAGAACGCCCAGGCAGTGGCGATCCAGCCCTTGACGCGCGACACGAACCCGTCTGGCTGATTTGCCCATTTGGATTGTGTGAGAAAGTACACCGGGACACCGGCCGCGATGAACCCTAGAGTATTCACGTCTCGTTAGCCAATGGATCGTGCATGCATGCGCAGATGGCAAGGGGACGTTTGATCGAGGGACGTACCGATTGCTGAGAGAGCTTCCAATGGCGCTGCAACTATGGGCATTGAGAGTAGGAACAGCGCGACCTGCCATGCGGTGAGGCGTGATCTTTGCGTGGAGCGAGCACTTACGCCGCAAAAGATGAGTGGGGTCGTAATATACGTCCTATAGGGTCTATGCAATAATTAGGTATAGAGAAGCGGATAGCATCCAGGTAACACACCGTTCTAGAAAAGGTTCTTTGATTCGGAGGACAACGAGGCCCAGGACGGTCAAGAAGTAGAAACCCCAACTAGCCACCGAATAAAAATTGACAAGAGACCTAAATCCGCCGCCAAAGATGACAAAGAAGAGGGTGAGGACGGCTTGTAGAATGGTCGCATTGAGTGGCGTTTTACGGACGGGGTGCAAATGACCAAAGAGTTCAGGTAAAAAGCCTTCACGACCAGCTGCACAGATGAGACGAGACGAGGTGAAGAATGCTCCATTGAGAGCGCCAAAGCACGAGACGGCTACCATGCATGCAAAGATGATTGCACCTGCTGGTCCAAACAGGGCTCGGCCAAAGTCGAGTGCAATCGTGTTACTTCGTGATACCGTGTCCTGGACGACTTGTCAGAACATGGTGGTGGAGGGAGCAGTGGAAATACCTTGTCGAGTACGAGAAAGTAGGATACGTTGGCAAATAGAAAGAGGAGCTTGGAAGAACTTAGAAAGGAAAGGCAAGATGACTCATCTTACCGTTACGGTGGTCATGCTGCTGTGGATAACTCTTGGCATGTTCTTTGCAGGGTCCTTCATCTCGCCGGTAATGTAGTTGGCTGCTCGGATCAGAATAATTTGATACACAAGGAATAATCCCACCTTGATCCCATCCTTCATACGCCCATAAACCAGAAAAGAGAGCGAGTGCGTATGCGCTCGGGTTGGGCGATGTGCCCTCGTACAGTGGCTCCCTGAACGACGAAGATATCTTACCACGTGCGAGCGTGATGAATCCCATGACAGCTACAGCAATCTACCCCGGATGAGCATTTATTCGCATGCCCTCTTGAAATCTCACCAAAGCGGCAATCTAAGCTCGGCAAGTTAGTTTAAGCACCCAGAAACGTTTGCCGCCAGACGCCCCGTACCTTTACAGACGTGAATAAAACAGCCACACGCGTGGCTAATCTTGGGGTTGCGACGCATAATACTGATACAATGATGACGGCGATGCATCCCATCAATTTGTTTGCCCAGTCTGGGAGACTGTCTGGGCTGGCGGCTGCCGAAGTGGCATGAAAGAAGAGCCTGTTGAGGTATTCTCTGAATTTGGGATGAGACGACCGGCGGTGGCTGAGAAAAAAGAAGACGCACCCAAAAATAAGGGCGATAATGGCATTTGAGCCAGGCTTTAGGACGGAGATTGCTGTCCATGAGAATAAATAAGACACGATGGGATGATATGCGTATGCGAGATATGCCTGTGCACCACCACTGTCGAGGGTTTGCTTGTGAGATGCCGGGAGGTCATGAAGAGGTGTGAAGCGTACCTTAGTGGTATTGCAGAGCCCAGTTCTGCAAAAGAGCTATTCGGTATGAGTGATTTTGTAGATTTCGACGGGACTAGTTACCTTGCTCCTGTCCATGCTAGGATACCGCTGACGACCCAGACCATTAAACTAGCGCCTACAGAGCCTGAATCTGCGAGTACGACGCCAGGAGAAGAGCTGAATGGAGATAAACAAGGAGGTCGAACGGTGTGCAAAGGGCGCTCACAAGATTCCCGAGCCAATCTGGTTGCCAACGACTAATGCGACGCCTTTTGGAAACACTTAGCATATTCTTTTTTTTAACAGAACAGAAGTAGCGGCTCACCATTGACGAGCCCAATCGTCTTCTCCGCGACGTGAGTGCTCTCGCCGGCGGATTCGCTGAGCGAGATGGGCAAGAGATCTCCCTGAAAGTCGAATGCAAATGTCGTGGGTGTACTGACGCTGAGGAGACGCGGTCTGTGGCCGAGAGAGGGACCAAAGCCGTGTGTTGGCGTGTGAGGAGCGCGCTGGGCACCTTCGGAGAATTCGAGAGCGCGTAAAGAAGTTGAAGAGCCTGAAGAAGACGCTCTAGAACGTGGCGATGAGGGTGAATGGGCCATGTCAAAGAGGCAAGCTCCAGATTAAGGCCAGCTGGTATACGTGAGGTAAACCCATGTGGCGACTAGATTCAACGAGTAGGGATCATAACATTCCAAGACAAACGTGCTTTCTATGACAGATTACGACGCGAGCTTGGCTTTTTTACGCGGGCGAGCTAGGCTTAGAGGCTAGAAAGATAAGCCCATGTGCATCCATCGAAAAGGCCCGAATGTAGCTGGATATGGAAAGGGCCAGAGACTGCCGCGGCTGTTCTTTATCGGAGTAAACATTAGAAATTAGACGAAGCGGGCGTAAATGAGACTTGAACTCTACGTCGATAGTCCTGGCCAGCCCGTATCTCCCTCGACGCTGCTCTCGACATCCCCCAGCACCCAAAAGCTGACGAATAATGGCCACACTGGTCTCTCCTAGTCCTCTGCCCGCGACGCCCTCGCTCGAGGCTCCTCCTAGCCATCCCCCTCAGCCATCTGCTGCCAGTACGGGCCCAGGCAGTCCCAACGAGCCCCCTCCTCCCACCGCTACTGATTTTGCAGCCCACGAATCGTCCCAGGTAAGCTCCAAAGGCTCCCGTGCCGTTCGGGTCGTCTATGCCGCTCACTCCCGCCGATCTCTCGTCATCATCTTCTGCGTGCTCCCTCTCGCTCACTAATCCTCTTAAACTTATAATACTAACACGCTTTAAAAGGCCCTCAAACCCAATGCACCTGCCCTCACCGTCCAGGCTGCGTCGCCATCCCCCAAGCCGTCCCCGGCCCTCCCACCGGCCTCTCCCTCGGGTACAAGCACTCCAAACCACAAGTTTACACTCTCCAGACCACGTCTCGGTTCTCGCAAGTCGAGTACTCCTAACACTAGTCTACCCAACATCGAACCGACAGAAGGCACCATGACCCCAGGAGAAAACGGTCATAACACACACCATGTCAGACACAAGTCGTCGCATCACCTCGGTGCCATCAACGACCTCAAGCGCTTTCTCAATCATCACCTCCAGCACGGTGGCGCATCCCACTACGTAGCCTCCAAGTCTGTCGAAGGCTCCGGAACGAATACCCCAGGCCAAGGCTCAGACACTAGCAACGACGGTACCCCCTCGGGCCGACGCTCGTCCTTTTTCGGGTCCTCTGCCTCGTCCGTCCACGCTCACAGCAATGGGACGAACACTCCACATCGCTCACATGGCATCCTGGGCTTTACGATGATCCATCCAAAGGAAAAACAACCCGCCAAGGGCAGTCAGACGCCAGACGGCTCCCAAACGTCGTTATCGACTATTCAGGACGGCGCCAAGACGCCCTCTGCCCATCATCAAGTTCACGCTTCTAATCATCGCCATCGCCATTCCAGCACAGGCACAAACACGCCATCAGGCCACAAGGACTCTGGGGGGCATACGCCCCACCAGTCGCTTGAAGATGCCACCCACGCGACAATGACCAAGAAATATGGTAAATGGGGCAAAGTTCTCGGCTCGGGTGCAGGCGGCACGGTACGACTCATCAAGGGCAAGGCAAAGGACGGCGGGACAATTTATGCCGTAAAAGAGTTTCGCCAACGAAAGCCCGGAGAGTCGGAACGAGAATATCACAAAAAGGTTACTGCAGAGTTTTGCGTGGGCTCCACGCTCAAGCACTCGAACATTATCGAAACGATTGAAATCGTTAGCGATCATGGCCATTTCTACGAGGTCTGTCCCTGTGGCCCCTTTTAAACAGTTCTAACTTTTGCCAAGGTCATGGAGTATGCTCCCTTTGACCTGTTCAGCGTCGTCATGTCCGGTCAAATGTCCCGTCCAGAAATTTACTGCGTCTTTCGCCAAATCGTCGACGGCGTCGACTATCTCCACGGCATGGGACTCGCACACCGAGATCTCAAGCTCGACAATTGCGTCATGACAAAGCAAAATGTCGTCAAGATTATCGACTTTGGTACCGCGGTTGTCTTTCATTATCCTGGAAAGGCACCGACAAAGGCCACTGGCATCGTCGGTTCGGATCCATACCTCGCTCCAGAGGTCCTCTCTGGCCGTGCCTATGATCCGCAAAAGTCGGACGTGTGGAGTATTGCCATGATCTTCCTCTGCATGCTCCTTCGTCGCTTCCCCTGGAAGCTTCCCGATGCCAAGAAGGACATTAATTTCCGCAGTTTTGTCCACACGCATCCGGATCTCAGTGTGCGACCTGTTCGTACGGCTCCACCCTCGCAAGCTGGGACGCCCCCTCGCGAGGACAGCGTGTCGGCCGTCGAGGAATCCAAGAGCAACTCTTCGATGACTAGCTCGTTTTGCAATGATTCCCTTCTTGCAGGTACAGATACGGACACCAATGTCACCACGCCCACGTCGACCATTGAGGCTGAGCATCATCGAGCATACGCATCTCTTTCGCCTGTCGATGCATTGCATTCTCATCCTCACAAGATGCATCACAGCGCATCTGCTTCAACACTGCCCGCCTTTTTGGGTCCGGAAGTCCACAAGGTCGAAAGCCCTCAAGATCTCGACCCCTCGGTGATCGAAATGAAGCGACCTACGCTCATGACCGAGTCTGCGCCGGTGACACCCGCTATCACGACCATGACCCAGGACGGTGTCGTTTCCGCGGCACCGCTCGTCATCCCGCCGTCCAACTCGACACCAACGCACTCGAATACGGGAATAATTGCTCAACGCCGAAAGCCAATCGTCCAGGCACTCTCCATGAGCGCGCTTCCAGAGCCTGCAAGGGCTCCTTTGGCCAAGTCGCCTCTCGGCGCTTCTCCGACCAACGCTGCACCCTCGACTGCGAGAGAAGAGAGCCCCAAGGATTCACCTAGTACGGTTACGGTTCCTCCGAGTGCCATTTCGCCGCCGGCTAGTGCCGTCGAGGGGTCTTCACCCGCAAAGAGTGTAGACAAGCGCACTCATGCCGCCGGCAATTCGAAGGACAGTGCCGCGACGACGATTAGACGAGAACGTGTGAATAGCAATGCTGATCTCCCGACGGAATCCATCTTCCGCCTTCTCCCGCGCGAGACGCGGGGTGCGTTGCGACGGATGATGCATGTCGAGCCATACGGTCGATGCACGCTCTCTGATCTTTTGATTGGCACGGGCAAGTCCAAGGGACTCGTCTGCAAATGTGGTGGCTCTATCTGTGGTGGGGATCTCAACCGGCATCATTCGCCTTCAGAGGACGATGGATGCGAGGTGGTCGAGTTGGAAGACGATGGGGATGATTGGGTGAAGAATATCATCACTTGCTCGCAACCTGGTGTTCACCCAGATCATTCGCACGTCCAACCCCCGTCCGAGGAAAAGAAAAAGTTTTTCTAGAGAGTATTTGGATCGCAGAGTTATGGACATTGACATCCTTTTGACTGGTCGTACAAGATGACCACAGCACGACTATCGACGGCCTCAACCCCCAAGTCTCCCGGATTGTTTATCGCTAATTGCTTCTCCAATGTTGTATACCTGTGCAAACCCCGCTCCTCGCTCTCTCCAAACCCCCCCTAAATCACCATAACCTCGACACGACCGTATGCGCGGATATGACCTCCTATTTCACGCTCTTCTTTCGCTGTGCTCGCTGCAGCATCCCACCTTTTCAATCGTTTGCGATTTTTTCGTTTCGGTTTCTTTTGCGCTCGATTGTGTACTTTAGACTTTGAAACGACTGCCAAACCCAAGAGACTCTAAGGATGTAAAAATAGCAAGATTGGATAAGTTACAGTTCGTCGTGCTTTCCTTCCTTTTCATCGTCGTCTGCGCCAGGGAACCGTGCGTCAAAGCCCGCGTCTTGAAGAATCTTCATCAACCGCGCCGCGTCTTCACCATCTGCGAGTTCAATCTCCATGACATCTCCTTCATCGTCTCCGAGCTGGTCGTTGCGCAATGTCGGGGCTGCTGCGTTGTCCTTGTTCTTGTCTGCCTTTTTCTTATCCTTGCTACCGCCGCCCAGCGAATCGAGAAACTGAATCTCGCCGTCCTCGTCGATGGACACAGCAACAATCTTATCCGCGAGGTCTTCTCCCTTTGACTTGCCCTCACCTGTACCACCTTGATTGTTGTTGTTGCCCTTTGTCGAATCCTTGCGGCCGAGCAATGCATCAAACGCGGCTCTGATCATCTTTGCTTGCGCATCGTTGATCTTGTCGTCTGCACCAGACGTCATCTTCCCCCGCCGTCCTTGTCCTTGCCTTTGGCTCTTTCCTTTCGGGGCGCAGGGAGTGGTTTAGGTTTGCGACGTTCAAAGGGGGATGAAGAGGCTGGGAGTGTCGGGTCTGTGCCATCGAGTGTGTCGACGATTTTGCGGCAGTGGAGGGGTGTGTCCGGGAGGTCGTCTCGTGGGTCCTTGAACCCTGGTTCATTACACAATCGAGGGGTATGGATAAGGAGTGTGTACGAGCACGTCTTGTGCTCCTATAAAAAGGCGGTCAGGTTAGAAATCAATTGTGAAGGGGAACCACTTGCCTTTATCCACGCGATCACATCTCGAGGACCCGCGCCGCAGTGAAACTGATTATGTATATGATAGAGGTTAACAATTGTTCGGCTTTTTGTGGTATGTGTGCCCACCTGAACGTTGACTTGACGCGGCTGTCCAGATTTATCGCATACGGTGCCGTCACCCATGTGCAGATTGAGATAGCGTTGACCTGCACCTCTGGCGAGCTCGAGTCGGTTCGCGAGTGCAGTGCGATCCGCGACGGACAAGTGCTGCGTCTTGCCTTGGTCGTCGTCATTTGGCGTTGTTGCTGCTGGCGTGGGAGCATGTCCGAGCATGTACGCGGGCTCGTTTGGATCCTCGGCTGGTGTCTTTAGTCCTATTGAAGAAAAAATAAATTGCCACGGGTTAGTATGGATGGGAATGCCATGGCAGCGGCGGGGGGCGCACCGAATGGGAGATTCGGCTCGAGCTCTCGGAATTGCCTAACGTGGCGTCCATGACAATATGCATAGCTAAACCACCCTGGATGCATCTTGGTTGAGAATTATGAAACCAATGGTGAGAACCGGCGTACCTTGGCGATGCTGCGATTTTTTTCAAAGGGCCATTTGACATGGGGAGGTGTACGTCAGGAATAATGAGAGAGACCCCCAAAAAATATGCTCGACGTACATAGAGACATGTGCCTTCCAGAGGCTGCAGCAATTCCCATGCGCGAATCGGCTGGGGTGCCTGCTGGGAGTCGTCGTCGGACGAGGGAACGTCTGGTGGGGACGGCAAGAGACAGAGATAGTCTGAAGAGCCAAGTTTCATCTTTTGAAGGGTGGGTGGGTGGCTGGGAGCGTCGTTGGGTGGACTGGCCGCTGCTGGTGCCAGCTCAGCATCCTCAGGGCCACCAGCAATGCTCTTGAAGAGCTTGGAAGCGTCTTGGGAAGATGTTTTGTGGCCGAGAAACTCGTCTTGGTCGACGACACCATCCTGGAGCCAGCGTTGTGCAGTGTCATTCAGGACTGGCTGGCCATTGAGAAAGTGAATCGAATACTTGGGATATGCAAACAGATCTTCGGGTACATTGCTTGAACGTAGAGCAAATGCTTGCTCTGCGCTGCCCACGACGAGCGCAAGCAACGTGAGTGGCAGCATCCAGAAAAGTGGTAGTTGGCACAAACTAAGATGGACTCTGGAAAGACCCAAAGCGACGTGTTCAAGAGTCCTTGGAGGTCAAAGAAACCGCCTAGGAGCCCCTATAGAGGTGCTGACCAGAAGCGGGAAATTCAAACTCCGCCCAGGGATTCGGCGGGAGTGGCAAAAAATGGACAAAAATTCGGATATCGAGTGACCAAACATGCACAATGCTTTCACCGGAATTTCCATTTACAGCAGGCGAACCAAAGGGCTGGGTCGGGGTCGACGCTTCGAAAGGAGCGCCTCAATCAGAAGATTGGGCGGATTGTGAGTCGCCGAGCGTGATTCTGAGAAAATTAAAATGCTGAGAAAATTTCCAGAAAGCCGTCGGCAATTATTGGGAATTTTCAAGGGGCCGCTCGAGGCGCGGGAGCCGTTCCAAGGGGACGTCTCGATAACGGCGGAATAATCAGGAGACTGAATGTTAATTGCAGAAAATAAGCCACAAATAGCGTAAAGGTGTTTCAACCCATAAAAGGCCCCCCGAATTTCCAGAGGGGACCGTGCTCGCCGCTCCTTCTCCCCCGCCACCACTGGGCCTTTTGTACGAAGAATGGCGACTGTCCCGCCTGCAAAGCGCAGCAGAGAGTCTGATGATGAGGATATCGATGCTAACGACCAGCTCGTTGATCCAGCGCGTATGTGGACCCGCCCGTTGCCAGTGGTGTAAAGACTGACCGTCTACTCGTCGTTTGGACTTGGTTTTCACTCCTTTCGACTCGTTTGCACTCCCAGTCGTCTCCGCCGACGCCCAGAAACGCAAGCGTGGACGACCAGCAAGCACTGGCAAGAAACCAGACGGTGCAGATGCGCCCGCTCCTGCTACCGACAGTGTTCCAGTAGACCCCGCTGCTCCCGTCTCCGGAGACGCCCCAGCCCCGCCAGTCAAACGTGGTAGGGGACGTCCCAAAAAGGCATGTTGCGCCCCGTCCCATCTGTTCTCAGACGTGTTCTAACATTGCTTTCAAACCAGATCAAGACTCCCGAAGAGCTAGCCGCAGAAGAGGCAAAGAAGAATCGTCCACCCGCAAAGCGTGGTCGTCCGCGCAAAAAGCCAAAGACAGACGAAGAGGCTCCAGTCATTGCTCCGACGCTCGAAGCTCAGCCTGCCCCGGTCGCTTGAGCTCCCTCTGCGTCATCACACACACAGACACTCCGTCCAGTGGCGTGTTGAAAACCCCCCGTGGGAACATCCGGTCATGTCATCCCACAAGTTTGCAAGCTCCCGAAACAGCATGCCAACTTTTCAGCACGCCATTCTCCGATGGATCTGTACATATTCTCAAAGCAACGAAACAGCAATGAACGCCTTCTCAAAACATCGGACATCGTCTCGTTCTGTATCCTGTTTCTTTCCCCCCTCCGGTCATTCTCTTCTCCCACTCACTTTTGACTGTGTCATTGCTCTCAACGGTACAGATTTGATACAACTCCTCTTGTATTCGAATCGGGCTCAATGCACGTTGCCTTTCACTTTTGATGAGCCACGTAAATGGATAATGACGTATACCATCAGCACCGTCTCCACCGTGCCCATAACTGCAAACCGACGGCCAACGAGCCGACACCGGCCGTGGTTGCGATCCCGCTCCAAGCAAACATGGAAAGAAGGTAATCTTGCCGTTTTGCCTTTCGTCGCACTTCAGAGTAGCGTATATCCGGTCGAAAGGTGACCATCGTATACAGTGCGAGCCAGCCGTTCGGCGTCGGTTCAAACGTGTTCGACGACAGGTATGGGAAAAAGGATTGGAACGGGAGGAACGGCGTCCACCTCGATAGTAGCCCATCGAGCGTCTTTCGCAGCCGATACATGGGCGTTGTCACTGCATGCCTCATCTCCTCACTAGACGACAAGGGGTGAGATGGGTGAACCAAGGAGAAATCAATCAACCGACGCACTAGTTTGCCATGGCAAGGTCGCAAATTGCATCCAAGTCTTCGTGTCGCGAGTCGGTGTATTCTTGCAAAGCGCGAGAAAGGTTGTCATCGACTTGTCCGTCCGGGACCATATTTTCAGGGTCGACCCTGTGCTTCTCTAGTAGCACGTGGAGAACGCGGACGTCTTCCAGTCCACAGTTGAGCCCCTGGCCGTAAAAGGGCACCATGGCATGGGCAGCATCACCCAAGAGGATGACATTGTCCTTGTAGTGATACGGTCGGGTCTATTCCGGGGGGTTTTAGCAGGCCCAGCCTAGCTCCGTGGAAACGCACTAACCTTGATGTGAATCAGAGCGCTTCTCGGATTGTGCTTGTAGTCGTGTAGCAGCCGATCTTCGCCAACCAAATCGAGAGCATCCGGAAAGTGTGTCCGGAACCACGATATAAACATTTTGTCGTCGCGAAATCTTTCAAATTCTGCCGTGGGTGCAAAGAGGGTCGAAGTGAATGTTTTGTCCTGTATGGATATCAACAGCAGTTTGTGTAAATTGAGGGCTTTTCAACCTTGTTAGGCAATGCAATAAGCATGAAAGAATGCCGTGGCCAGATATGCAGGTGATTTGGGTCTAGTCGAAACGTATCCTCCCCGGAGGGTCCCTTTCCAGCAGGAATTCGGAGCTCAATGTATTCATGAGGGATGTATTCTTGCTGGTAGTTCATTCTGTGAGACAGATTAATCTCGAAGAAACCTCTACCGATGGCACACGTACCGGACTACCCGCATCAGCTGTCGGCGGACCGCTGAATAGCAGCCATCTGCCCCGATGCAAAAGTCGTAACGTACACGCACGTCCTTTTGATCAGATTCGGAGTAGAATGTCAACGTCTTGTGATCAAAGTCTGCATGAAGCAGCTTGTGGCGGAAGACTATAGGCACAGATGCGGCTGTCAGTTGGTTGAGCAAGTCCTCGTTGAGAAGTGCCCTGTCAATCGAGTTGATGCACTTTTGTTGCAGAGATCAATACCGGAGGCTATCGTAAGCTATTCGGACATACCTGCCCATTCAGGTCGTACAGTTGGCTTTCTTCTCTTCCGTGAACGGGATGGATCATTCTCCCGCGCATAGGAATTGCCGTATCCAGGAATCTTTCTGCAAACTTTGGGTTCACCGAATGCAAGGCGGTGATACCTCTGGCGGAAATGGCCAAATTGATCGAGCGTTGCGACAGTTGGCTCTTATTTTCAGGGAGACGCATGTCTAATGTGTATCAGACACAATAGAAAAGCTTTTATTCGACAGTACTGACCAGGACGGGCATCATATACGGTCACTGTCCAGCCGGCGTTGCGTAGCGCAAGAGCGGCTAGACATCCCACGGGCCCAGCGCCAACAACAACGGCCGTTCGCGGCATCTAGGAGACAAAATACAGAGATTTCTTTGATAACTTAGTCCAAAGTCAAGGTTCAACGAGACGTCGATCGTATTTGTAAGGATCCAAGTTGAACCTTGCCATCTTGGACGTCATGAATAAGGACGACTTTGTGATTCCTCTAAACTTGGATATTGGCGCATCAAAACTATCTCCAGAAGATGGTACATAACTTCTTTACTTCCGATCCGTTCAAGGCTCTTATCAGTTTTTTGCCGCAGCATCAAAGCCCTGCGTCTATCTGTGTGGCAATTCGCTCGGACTGTTGCCAAAAAGGACTAAACAACTTATATCCGAAGAGCTTGACGTATGGGGGAAGAGGTAACCAGCGAGACCAATACTCCACTCTCTCAATTCTGTGCGCGCCGCAGGCCTTTGACTTCAAGTTGTCAGGGCTGTAGAGGGCCACTTTGACCATCCTCATGACCGCAACTGGAAGGACATAACCGACCATGTTAACCCTCTACTTGCCTCTTTGGTTGGTACGCAACCATCAAACGAGCCCAGAGGATGCATCTTTGACAATGCGTACAGGAGCCGACCCTGTCGAAGTCGCATGCATGGGAACTCTGACCGCAAACCTGCACCTTATGATGAACAGTTTTTACAAGCCGACCAAAGACCGCTACAAAATTATTTGCGAGGCTCGGGCGTTCCCCTCGGACCAGGTACCGTACACGTTGCCCATCTCAACTCTACTGAAACACTCTGTCTTCCGATTGATAGTATGCTTTCGCTTCCCAGGCCCAATCCCACGGTTTTGAACCCAAGTCGGCCATCATCGAGGTTTGGCCAAGGTCTGGCGAATTCACGCTGCGTGAGTCGGATATTCTCGACACTATTCGGCAGCACGGAAAAGAGACGGCATTGGTACTTTTCAGTGGCGTCCAATACTACACTGGTCAATGGTTCCCGATGAGGAAAATAACGGAAGCGGGACACGATATGGCAAGTCCTCCGCCGATTGACAGAACTTTTCCCGTTCCTCCCGCCACGATTTCGCTACTCGTTGAATAACCCCGAGTGTGTACGTAGGGCGCTCTTGTTGGGTGGGACTTGGCCCATGCCATTGGCAACGTTCCTCTTCGCCTCCATGACTGGGGCGTAGATTTTGCCGTTTGGTGCTCATACAAGTACCTCAACGCGGGACCAGGTAGCATAGGTGGCCTGTTTGTCCATCAAAAGTGGCACGACAAACTCCCGCCTTCGTGAGTCCCTCTTCGTCGTATACCTCGGCAAGTCGCTGAGTTGGCCCGTAGTCAAGCAGGATGGTGGGGTCACGATCCCCGTACTAGGTTTCAGATGCCCTCTACGTTCTCCCCGATCAAGGGAGCCCAGGGCTTCCAGCAGTCCAATCCAGGAGTGCTTTCGACAGTCTCGCTTCTAGGAAGCTTAGAGGTTTTTCAGGCCGCGGGAGGGTTGGATGCCCTAAGGAAACAATCAGTGGCCCTGACAAAGACCTTGGAAGACGGTATTCGCTCGTCCAAGCACTATATTCCGGTTGAACGAGCTCACGGGGCGACAAAGCCTTGCATGACCATCATCACACCCGCAGAGATAGAGTCTCGAGGTGCACAACTCTCTGTACTCTTCTTACCGAGTCGCTCCGGTACCATGCAAAAGATTCAGGAGCACCTCAAGGCATACGGGGTCGTTGGAGACGAGCGGAACCCGGACGTGATACGACTTGCCCCGGCACCTCTGTACGTCTCTGAAGAGGATTGCGAGCGAGCTATTCAAGTCCTCAATGATGCCTTTGAATCGCTTGCGATGGAATAAAGTCAATTTTCCTCCAAGATCCTACAGGCCACCTCTGCAAAGCGTGTTGTAAGAAGCACCTTGTCGTGATCCTCGGTTGTGCTATCAAAATCCTTTTGTACAAGTGCAGTGTCCCAGCCCATCCGCCCGTACTCGGACTGCAGGTGCGCATACATGCTGGCTGCCTGTGCCTCGTCGATGAGGGTGTCGCCTGTGATTGCGCGACGAGCCATCTAAGTGGTGCTCCTTCTCTCACACTATATCGTGTCACGGAGAATGGAGAAAAGTTGGAGCCTGGGAAAGCTCCTTGGACAAAATCTTGGTACGAGGGAAATGTCTCGAGTAGTAGGTCGAGATCATGGATCCCCTCCGCCAATACTACGCCCTTTATCGCGTCGTTCACTGCTACGCTGGGTCGTAAATCAGATGGAGCTCCTTCTCCTGCTGGTGGATCAAGGAGAAGGGATGCCAGCATATGAGCTCCACAAGAGTGACCAATGAGGAATACTCTGCTCGTATCCGAGATCTGACGCAAGTTCTGAGAACTGATGATCGCATCTAGCGCCAAGGACGTGTCTTGAACGTGAACAGGATGCTTGATCGATGCTTCTGAATCTGGAGGTGGGGTTCTCGGGGATAGACGATAGTTTGGGACTGCAATCGGGAGTTTTGATGCTGACAAGAGGTTCCGAGCGAGTGTCTCATGTTCAGACTTATCTCCACTTGAGACAATCTGTGAGACAAGAATGATAAACTAGAAGCCACAAACCTTCTCCAAGCACCGCCGTGTACAAACACAATCACTCCTTTCGCTTTGGAATCTGGAGATTCAGAGATACCTGAAGGTATGTAGAGGTCCCACGTGTGTAAAGGATGCTCTCCATAGCGTAGATCTCGCAAGACTTGTAGTTCTGTCATTTATCAAGCGACGAGCCCCAGTGGTGAGAGCAAAAATCCAAGCCGGAGCTGACCACGACAGTCAGCAATGCCTTTGCAAGAGGATTGCGTCACGTGTAGAGTCGTTGGAGGAGTAACTCTCACTGGTACTGGACTTTATGCACTTTGGAATACTCGCTCGCATGTTCCAGGAAATCCAATGGGCAAGCGGCTGATTGGGATGATGGGAGCGGGTATGATGACATTTCATCAAATACGTCTATCTAAATTTGCTCAGGTTTTGTCGCTATCGGGATTCTACGACTCTTGCCAATGGAGCGATACCTCGAAGCAAAATTTGGATCTCGAAAGGCTTCTGTAGAATCGCAATAAAACACATGAAATGATGGAATTATCACTCTTCTTCGCTTTCTTCATCCTCTTCTTCGTCTTCGTCTTCGTCGTCAGATTCCTCAGCCTCTTTCTTTGAAGCCGCATTGGGCTTTGCTGGAGCCGGGTCTTCATCATCACTCTCCTCTTCCTCGCTCTCTTCTTCAGACGACTCCTCGTCACTATCCGGGGCCAAGGCCGCCAACATTGCTTGTCCAACGCGCCAGAGTTTGTTCAAATTGGACCCTTCTTCGCCTCTGGAATCTGGTCGTAGATGCCATGCCTCTATCACGTCCTCATCGATGATTTCTGCGAGGAATAGTGCCGATAATAAGGCACCAAAGGCCGAGGAGTAATTCGATGTCGCACATAGTTTCTATGGCCGGTCAATAACTACCAATGGACGGTCGTGATTAACTCACCTGGAGTCGAGAGAGCGCCACCTCCATCTCCCCGCGACACAAGGCTGCGACCAGTCCACCCCATCGGGTAACCACCTCTGTAGCTGCACGCTTCTGCTCGACTTGGTTGCCTTCAACTAGCCGCATCTGTTCAAGTAGAAACGCCAGCGCCATTACTTTGATTCTCTCTGGGTCTGCGTTGCTCGCCATGCGCAATGTCGACAGCTCGAGCGCAACGTCAGAGACATTGAGATGCTCGTCAACACCGCGCTTCAGCGTTTGATACGCTTCTCGACCAAACTCGTCCTGCCGTCTTAGTGACGACCAAGGATCGCGCTCGAGTTCTGCCGGATCGTACACGTCGTGGACATCCGCCTCCCCTCACTTCCAGAGTCATTGTACTCTGTCTCGGATTCAGAGGAATCTTTTCCTGTTCCTCCTGCTAGCAGTCAGGTCTGATTTGGGATAAGAGGGTGAGACTCGTACCTAGTCTCAAGTAACGAAGATTGGCGGCGCTTTCGAGTGGATCCTGATCCTCATCAGAATCGGAATCGGAATCGGCTGGCGCAGCGTCCTCGACATAGTACGAAGCCTCTTCATCTGTGGCCAATACATAAGCAAAAGGTCATTGGAGAAGTAAGATCAAACCTGGAGCTGCATCCTTTTTCTTCGCGATACGACTAAACTCGGGGATCCTCGAATGTGTGCGAATGACAACATCTTCGCCAATCAAACAGCCCCTCTCAATCACTGCTCCAGTTTCGACGACCACATTGGCACCGAGAATGCTCTCCTTGATGATGCATCCCGCTCCTATCGATACGCCATTCCAGAGATAGCTATTTCGGATCATGGCGCCGCCATTGATGGTACAATTCTCTCCCAAGACAGAGCCTTCGACTCGAGCCGTGTCGTTGAGTCGGGAACCGGGTCCTATCAAAGTGTTGTTGCCAATCTTGCAATTTCTGTTATGTAGGTTAGTAAAGTAGGACACCTTGAATGCATCGGCATTACCGCGATAGCGTGACCTTGTCTTTGGCGAGATAGCGGTTCCCTGGTAGGTGTTCGTACTGGTGACCTCCTGGATGATTATCGTCTGGAACCAAGGGGAAGCACCATCGTCCAATGATATCACGACTATACTGGCTCAGCACACGATACGAGACCTCTCTATTTGAAACCGACCTTACAGCAGCATAGGTTCGTGGGTCGCGAACTCGGGCTGCGTATCCGTCTTCCGCGTAGTGGCAGAATATTTTCTTGCCTAGAATCTCCGACGTCAGGACTTCGGTCACAAAGTCTCGTCGGAGATCATTTTCGTGAAAGTTGTCGCTAAAGATGATGGGGACCTAATCCACCGTACGTGGTTAACAAATGACTTGGCGCACGCGCAAGTACACTCACATCAACGGAGCATATGTCGATGCCGCAGTCGATAAGGTCATATCGAACGTCCAGTTCGGTGCCTTTGAGGAGGGCTTTTGGAAACGCCGTTTTGTTGACCTTTGGGACCGCAGGTACTCCCTCATAATGTAACAACTGATTGTTCGCTGCGTCCATAGTGAATACAGCAGTTTCTCCTTTTGGTCTGAACGCTCCATCAGTCCTCGGACATCGTCACAATTGAAGAAGGTAGGTACCTCGTTCTGTGGCCTACGGCAGCCTCTTTGACGAGAATAGTCATGATGACTTCGTGGTCGGCCTTTCTACGTGCCTTGTGCGCCTTGACGACTTCGTCGATTTTGACATTGCACACCATGTCCCCGGAAACAAGCACAAAGTCGTTTGTGATGATCGACTGGCTATCGACAAACCGGATCGCGTCGCCAAACGAGCGCGTCGTCGGTGGTAATTTCATGGCGTGAACCTTGAGTGGTGAAACCGTTTGTGACCATTTCGAGTTGCTAACATAGATCAGTTACGAGTGGATGGGAACTGGATTGGGAGAATCAAGGGAGACATACCGAATGGCCTCTTCAATTGACTCGAAATGAGATTGACACATGACAAACACTTCTTGAACACCTGCTACAGCCAAACTCTCGAATGTCCAATCGAGAAGGGGCGCATTGCACATGGGCAATAGACACTGAGAGTTGATATCGATTGGATTGAGTGGCAAGCGTTGGACGGCGGCAAACAGGCATCCAAATCATGGTCATTCGATTAGGGTCATTGTTAGAAAACTCTTTATTCATCATAAATTGGCGCGTACTCGAGGTTTATTCAACGTGAGCGGCGTGAACCGTCGATTAAAGGATTCTGCAATGACAACTGCCTGAAGAACATCATCGGAATCCACTCCTTTTTCCTTTCCACTCGATTTGGGAGCCATCTGGTCTCGGCTTGATGAAACGAAAAGTCGAGTCAGAAAGGGAGTTTCAAAGTGGCCCCTTTCCAGAGGTTGATCCTAATCAAATGATATGACACGTGCAAAAGATTAACCGGCAATCAAAAAACATTTCAAAGGAATGCAATCTATTATGCCCTACGTAAGAACATAACGAAAGCAAACGGCATAGAGTGCTAAGAACAGACACTACATGCATGGATGAATCCTAGAAACATGGAAAAGGGAAGATGGAGCCATCGCACGCTGCGACCGACCGCTGTCGAAACGAGGCGAGCGACTATTAGCGGGGCGACGTAGAGGGGAGGGGGGGACGGAAAAGAAATGAGACAGGTCGTAAACCACGCGAGTTACTGTGATCAGAGGACGGATTAGAGGGCTCGTTGTTGGGGCATGACAGTCTTCACCGAAAGAAGCTCAATTATGCGGTCGCAGGGATCGCGTTTGGCTTGGTCTAGCAGCTCGTCAGTATTTTTAACGGCTAGGGGAATCGCAAACAAACCTCCTCGGCAGTAGACTCAACGGCGAGAGGAGCAACAGGGGTGTGCGAATCAAGCTTTGGGGCCTCCTCGGCAACAGGGGGGGCATCGGTCTTCCTAATAACATAATAGAGTCGTGAGAAACGTAAATACGAAAAAAGGAATGGACACGCACTTGACGTCCTTCTTGCCGCCAAAGAGACCAGTGATCCTGGTCGACAGACGGCGGCCAACCTTTTCAGATGCCTTCTTCTTTGAGTCTTCGGTCGTAGCAGGGGTCTCGGATGTAGAAGCCTCTGCGGCGGCAGGAGCTGCGCTAGGGGCCTCAGTCTCCTTTGCGGCTTCAGTGGCAGCGGGAGCGGGAGTCTAGAGATCGAGATCAGAATCCAGATGACCGTCGATCGGAAATGGATGACAAACCTCTTCAACTGCTGCCGGAGCGGCGGAGGGAGCCTCAGTGACCTCCTTGGGCGCCTCCTCAGTGGTGGCCTCCTTTGGCGCCTGCGCAACCCGTTTAACGGCGATCGAGGCAACGATAAGAGAATGACAAACCTCCTCGGTCTTTGCCTCCTTTTCCTTGTTCTCCTTGGTCTTCTTTGGCGACTTTGGAGACTTTGGCGTCTTGACCTTCTTCTCGGCCTTTTCTACCTTTTGCTTTGGAGAGCCGCCAAAGATCTTTGCAAAGAGACCAGTCTTTGGCTTAGCCTCCTTTGCGGCGGGTTCCTCAGCGGGCTGGCAGAGAGGACAAAGTGAGGTGAGAACTCGAAGATCGTACGACCGGGTCACGAGCAATCAAAGAGGGCATTACCTTGTCGGTCTTCTCAGCCTCTGCAGCAGCGGGGGCCGTCGTCTCCTCAGTGACTGGGGCAGCAGGAGCTGGGTCCTAGAAACGCGACGCGGTGTGAGCAGGGCAGGTTCAGGGCAAACAAAGCGGACGTCCTGATTTGGGACGCGAGGCGACTTACAGCGACCTTTGCGGTTTCCTCCTGTTAGAATGTCGGTCAGATGAAGAACAACTTGGAGGGCGCGACGTACAACTTTGGGCTCTTCTGCGACGGGGGCAGCGGCCTCTACCTTTGGCTCCTCGGCGACGGGAGCGACGGTCTCGACGGGCTTGTTCTCAACGGCTTCAGACATTATGAAGTGTGTGAATGCTAGAGAACGGCGCGTCGCCAGAGGGTCAGCGGGGGGAAGCTCAACAGCGCACGGATCCCAAGACGCTCGCGCGACGCCAGAAAATTCTGGGAAAAGCGCGAGGGGGTCCTTGGCGTGTCGGGGAGGAGAGAATGAGAAGTAGACGTACGATCAAGAGGGGATTAAACAGAGGGGAGAGACTGTGAACGAGATGGAGGGGTCCAAGATGAAAAGCCAAACAAACCTGGATGCCTGGGTCCGCTCTGGCTTCGGTGTCTGGGTTGCGTTGCCGAAGCTTCTGAGCTTCTGAATCCGTGTCTCCGTCGTTGATAAAATTGTTGAGAATATTCCCAACGCAAGTGCTGCTTGTTATCGCAAGACGCCGTGACCCAGCGGCTTCCGCCGACCACGCGACCCTTGCAAGCCAACTATTAGCTAATCTTGCGCTATCTTCAAATATTCACAAATATTCTTAGTGTTGCATTTTGGTTGCTCGTTCCACTCGTTTTATCAATCTCGACATCGCACCACTCGTTTCAGCCTAGAGGTCAGGGACACACGCTCGCCACGGCTATCAGACATGTCCAATGTCAAATCCTCCTTTTTCTTGAAATTCCCACAATTTTTTCCACCATATTTTCGTCTCTAGCGGCGCGCAAAGTAAACAAACGGGATCCAGTCGCGTCATAGGCTCCCAAAAGGAGCCGTCGTTTCCGTTTACCTCTTGGACCCCAACCACGCTCGCTGCAAGACTTTCAAGACCTCTTCAAGACCGTAGAGACGATACACGAGCCATCATGATCCACTATGCCCCCATTGGAATGTTCTTTGTCGCCTTTCTCCTCTTGCTTCTCGTCTCAGTCTCGCTCCCCGTCACAAAAACAATAAAGTACTTTACACTCTCCCTCGACATGACCTCTGGAACCTTTGCGACGGGCGTCAAGGTGTGACTTCATCCAAGCTGCTGCACCAAAAGCTCGTCTCATTCTATCCTCAGGGGTCTGTGAGCTTTGGAAATTATGGCTATTGTTATTCAGATATCATCGTAAAGTACGTAGAGGTCTTGGTACCATAGTTCGATATTGAACTCCTGTTCAGAGTCGTCGGCATCACCAACACAGTACCAGGCGAATGCTCCAAGGTCAAACTGGGATTCAAGTTTGATCAACGTCTCGTAGACTTGCTGTAAGTGGCCTATCCAATCGCCACGCTAAAACTAACAACACTGTCAGCCGTCTGCAAGACTTGCAGGATGCGATCAACGGTGGCCTCACATTTGCGCTGGTCGTTAACCCTATTGCTTGCGGTTTTACCTTTCTCACCTTGATCTTCGCCATCTGGTTTGCGTTCCGACACAAGCACGGACTCGCACCGCTTATTCTCGGAGCCATTTCCGGACTCATCGCAGCCATTCTGGCAACTATCGCCTTTGTCGTCAACTATGTGATCATGAGTGTCACCAAGAAAAATGTAGAAAAAATTCAACGACAGCCTGCACCTCAGTTATGGTCAAACGACCTGGATGACCCTTGCCGCCATGATATTGCTTTGGATTGGGTTGGTCCTCTTCTGTATCGTTGGCTTCCGTGCTCGACGCACAAGGTAAGAGCGCCGCCATCTCGTGAAATGCCTCTATTCACCCCATGTTTCTAGGCGCAAGGAAACTTATTAAACGGACATTTCATGATAACCCGAATCAAAGATCCTTGGACACTGTAGCATAATACCCAATACACAAATTCACCCAACCCGCAAGCCCAACACAAAGCCCGCGATGAACGACGCTCTGGGCTGAAAGTCTGCCATCACAAAGTTTAGCAGCCACTGGAAAGCGGTCTGAATCGTCGGTGCACGCCCGTCTGAACCGTAAAGCGTTTGCTGGAAGCGATTACCTGCACTGTTCCAGTCCACCTTGATCCAGGAAAGTCGGTTAAAGTACTATTGGCAGTGTTAGGCCCTGGTGGCAACTAGGACGCTTCGTTACCTGTAGTAAGACGAATACTCCCCCGAGTAGAAAAGCGGCTGCCTTGAGACCCTTTTTGACGAATACCCCCGCGCAAATTCCGCATATCGCGCCAAATGATAGTTCATATGGATTCGCTATGCCTTTCGGCTCCGGTAGGGGTGTATTAGGATCGTAGGCGTTTGCCGGTACGTTGGTCGAAGCATTGGTCGGAGTCGATGTACCAGGTGGAGAAGCTTATATAGTGAGAAAGTTTTAGCCTATAATTCCTCTCTGGATATATTCACGTACGTTCTAGCAGTGCTGTCCGCGCCATGAACATCGTCATACCTGCACCGAGGCCCAACCCCACTGCAGCGGCGACTCCAGCACCGCGACGGGGTGCATGGGAGAAGCGAAGGCTGATATTTGGTACCACAACGGCTTCATCCACCGCCGTTCGAGGAGGGTGGACTACAGTGTGGAGATGTCGGGACCGTTGCGCAGGCTGGACCCGTCGTAGGGCACCTGAATTACATTTACAGTAGTTTAGCCGTGTATTTCTCGCTATCTGGCGAGTACAAGCGTGGCGGGCGAGTGGGAGTAAGTTCATGGTCGAGTTCCAAGCGTTGTGCCACCTTTTGAACTCTGCCTTTCGACAGATACGATGGGCAGACGCGCAAAAAACAAACAACCGCCTCCAGAACCTCTGAAACCAGTAAAAAATGCTCCATCAAAGTCGTCCAGCGAATCCGCCCCACAAGGCAAAGCTAGGACAGCCAATGCTCAGACGAGCGCAAAGCCAGCTGCCAAACGAAAGGCTATGGAGATGGAAGAGACTAGTTTTGATGTGAAGCGACCGATGAAAAAGTCGAAACAGGATGTAAAAGCACCAGTGGCGAGCGGCAAAGCTGCAAAAGCACAAAAGGGTCAGCCAATCAAGGACGAGTTGGAGAGCTCCGAATCGGAAGATGAGAGTGACGTCGAAGGAGATAGTGATGGTTGGGAAGGCGTCGCAGACGGTGCAGATTTGGCAACCTCGAAAAAGTATGTGCAGACACGGCCGTGTATCAATCTGCTTATGTGATATTCATATGTACAGATCACTCTTTCAAGGCAGTGACTCCGAGGAGGAAGAAGGTCTCAGTGCCCTTGAAGAAGATGAGGAAATGCTGTAAGTATGGGCATGCTCCGATTTACAACTCTTTGACCTTTCTTCAGAGGAGACGACTTTATACAAGTATGCGTGTAGAGCTAGAGGAAGAAATTGCCTAATGCAGCACACAGGGCCACAAGATTCAAGATTTGGATCTCTCCGACTCGGAGCAGGACGATGAAGGCTCCGAAGAAGGCAGTGAAGAATCTGAAGATGAGGACTCGGATGCTCCTGTCACTGCCAAAAACATGGAGAAGCGGTCAAAGGCATTGGAAAGGCGAGCGCGACAAGAGGAACAAGAGGAAGTGGACGAGCAAGAAATGCTACAGAAGCAAGCCGAAGAGGCTGAAGATGCTATGGAACTGGATGAGGAAATTGATGGGTTTGTTTTGCCGTCTGCAGAGGAACGAGAGCAAGAGGCTCAGAGCGGTGGGGTGGACCTTGCCGTGGTACAGAAGCGGATACGAGCTTGCACACGTATTTTGAACCGATTCACAAAACTTGCAGAGCCTGGCAGGTGGGTTGCTTTTTCGCGAGTGCAATCAGAGTTGCTCACAGTGGATAGGTCGAGATCGGAGTACGTCGCACAACTGATTGCAGACATTGCGTACAACTATGGATACAATCAATTCTTGGCTGAGCGACTGTTCCAACTCTTCACCGTTAACGAGGTGTGTCGACTCTTATTCAGGCTTCGACGACTGACCATAGTCCAGGCTATTGAATTCTTTGAAGCCAATGAAACCCCGCGTCCAGTTACGATTCGGACCAACACCCTGCGGTGCAGAAGACGAGACCTTGCTCAGGCACTTATTAATCGAGGTGTTAACTTGGAGCCGATAGGAAAGTGGTCCAAAGAGGGTCTTCAAGTGTTTGAGAGTTCTGTTCCTATCGGTGCGACACCAGAGTATCTCGCTGGACACTACATGCTCCAATCCGCCTCATCCTTCCTCCCAGTCCTCGCTCTCGACCCCAAGCCAAACGAGCGGGTGCTCGATATGGCGTCTGCTCCGGGTGGCAAGACGACGTACATCTCGGCGCTGATGCAAAATACGGGCCTTGTCTTCGCCAATGATGCCACCAAGGCGAGAACAAAGAGCCTATCGGCCAACGTCCACCGTCTAGGCTGCAAAAACGTGATCGTGTGCAACTATGATGGACGTGAATTCCCAAAAGTCATTGGGGGTTTTGACCGCGTCCTGCTGGATGCGCCATGCAGTGGAACGGGAGTCATTAGCAAGGATCCGAGTGTAAAGATTAACAAGGTGCGTCCACTGCAGCATTGAGACATCTCATCTTACGAGCGGATAGTCCGAGCGAGACTTTGTACTTCTCTCGCACCTCCAAAAGCAACTCATCCTCTGCGCTATCGACTCTGTAGATCCGAAAACCGCGGCCATTGTCGTCTACTCTACATGCTCCATCATGCCAGAGGAAGACGAGGCAGTCGTAGCATATGCTCTCCGCAAGCGACCTCATGTGAAGCTTGTGCCCACTGGACTCGAGTTTGGCAAAGAGGGCTTTACCAACTTCCGCGGCAAGCAATTTGGCGAGAGTCTGAAACTCACCAGACGGTTCTATCCACACGTGCACAACATGGACGGTTTCTACGTTGCCAAATTGCATGTGGGCAAGCGGGTGAAGACAAAAGAAGGGGAAAGAAACGAGCCAGAGTTGACTGGTATCATCGACGATGAAGGTGGACAAAAGGGTGCTAAAAAGAAGGGGTCTGCGCAGGACGAGATCAAGTTTGACGACGAAGCTGATCAGGCGTACATTGAAGCAGCCAAGCGAAAGAGACTAAAACAAAAGGGCTCACATGGAGCGACATCGAAGAAAGTCGCCTTGTAGCCTATTCTTGCTGTATATTATGCGATACATCCCTCTTGGACCCAACCATGTTCGGGCTCGATTTTCGGAGGCTTTTGATGATGCCGGATTCATATACACGTCATATGGTTTTCTGTATTCAATAGTTCACTTGAAGCACTTGAGCCCGGGCGCGTCATGAAGTACCCAGATCGCGGCCTCCGTTGCAATCGGCTTAGTTGGACCCCTCCACGACATTTAAAGCCAGCGCCCTTGGGTCCCAAAGCACGCACGCAGTCTTGTTCTTTACTATGGCGAACCGAGCAGCTCGTATACTGCTTCACTCTATCGGAGCTGCGACAATGGTTTATGGCTACAAGGGTCTTTCGAGACTGGGAGATTTCGACACTTGGATTCGTGGACAATATGGTATGTCATGCTCACTCGGTCCAGAGTTGTTTGACGCGTGTAACAGGAGGTCACTTTCAATTTCTAACGATTGACGGGTACGCTCTGAAGAGTGCAATGCCTTTGGTGCTCATGTTTTCCAGGCTGTTCGCTGGAATGCTCGTGATGTTCACGGGTCTCCTCTTGGACTTGTTCCCTCGAACCTCCAAGGGTTCGTTTATATTCGAAAGCCTTACAAACTTTAAGCGGCTGCTTGTGATGATTGCACTGCCTGTGAGACGAGAAACCCTTTCGGCGACACTGTCTTACATTGGTATAGGTGGCAGCTGTCGTAGCCTCTGTCTACTGGCCTTTGATATTGGTTCTTCCTAAGCTTATACTCACCGAGGATTTCACGGTAGAACCTACCTCCAAGGGCGATGTTGCGACTCCTTTCCGGATTCCACTTGACATTGACTTATCCTTGCACGGCTTCCCTGGGCCCCTCCTTGTTCTCGATTTTCTCCTATTTGAGAAAAAGTTCTCCCAGGAGACAATGCAGAAATACGCACCTCTTCTGGCTCTTTGCATTGGTACAACCTACGCTATGTGGGCTGAATACTGTGCCACAAAGAATAATTACTGTACGTCTGTTGGAACTTTAATTGTATCGCGCTCACCCTCTGATAGTTCCTTATCCCTTCTTGACTTTCAGCTCCCTTCCCATTCGCGTTGTCATTTACGCTACTTGCACGACCTTTTCAGTGTTCGTTTTCAGAGCACTCAACTGGCTTCATCAGTAGGTTTATTTGCCACTCCGAAGAAGTCGCCACGGTTCATGTACCTAAACTCCGAAATCCGAAAGGCTCTTTGTCGAACTCTATAAGTCGTTCGTTGCGAGACTGAAGAATTAGGTGACTCGTTGACCTTTTCTCTCTCTCCCCTTCGACTTTGATTTTCCTTGCCTCGCATCAAAATGGCCACAGACGAGCCAACCAAGCAGAAACTATGGGGAGGACGGTTTACTGGAAAGACAGACCCGTTGATGCATGCGTTCAATCAGTCGCTGTCCTACGATAAGCGGATGCACGACGCAGATATCCGAGGCTCAATTGCATACGCAAAGTCCCTCTGTCTCTCTGGCCTCCTGACAAAAGAGGAGGAGCAAAAGATGATCGATGGTCTGCAGCGAGTTGGCCAAGAGTGGAAAGACGGCGTGGTAAGGCATTTGGGCTGGCTTATCATTCTGGAACTAAAGTGAACTAGTTTGTGATCAAGGAAGATGATGAAGACATCCATACAGCTAACGAAAGGCGGCTGAGCGAACTCATCGGCCCTTTGGGTGGCAAGCTACATACAGGGCGTTCCCGAAACGATCAAGTTGCAACAGACATGAGGCTGTGGTTGCTTGATCAAGTCGGTGAGCTCGAACATGCGCTCAAGTCTGTAATTGGTGTGATCGTCGAGAGAGCCGACAAGGAAAAGGATATTCTCATGCCAGGATACACGCATCTTCAGGTAAAGCTTTCATTCATGAGTGGAATCCTTTAACCGTTGATACATGTCACAGCGAGCCCAACCCATCAGGTGGTCGCATCTCATCCTCTTCCATGCCTTTTCGCTTCATGCGGATCTCCAACGCCTTCAGCAACTCATCCCTCGGATTTCTGTTCTCCCGCTTGGATCAGGTCCACTTGCAGGCAACCCATTCCTCGTGGACAGGGATTTTCTTGCCAAAGAGCTCGGCTTCCAGTCCGTCGCAGAGAATAGCATGTGGGGCGTAGCCGACAGGGACTTTATTGCCGAATTCTTGATGTGGTCGAGTCTCTGCATGGTTCACTTGAGCAAACTTGCGGAGGATCTAATCATCTACTCGACCTCAGAGTTTGGGTTTATCACGCTCAGCGACGCCTATAGGTACAGATTGCGACATATGGACTACCAAAAGTGACCCCTGATGAATTGTTAGCACTGGCTCGAGCGTCATGCCGCAGAAGAAGAATCCCGACTCGCTTGAATTGCTTCGAGGAAAGACTGGCCGTGTCTTCGGCGACGTGAGTACAGCTGAGTTTTTCCGCATGTCTGATCATTTTGCAGATGTCTGGCTTCTTGATGACGCTCAAGGGTTTACCGTCGACCTACAATAAGGATTTGCAAGAAGATAAGGAGCCGCTCTTTGACGCCGTGGATACCATTGGAGCATCCTTGCGTATCGCCGAGGGTGTCTTCTCCACACTCAAAGTGAACGCAGAGAAGATGAAGAGTGCATTGACGATGGATATGCTCGCCACCGAGCTCGCAGAATACCTTGTCCGTAAAGGAGTAAGTATCCCTCTTCTCGTGTCTTGGTTCATTTCTGATTGCGCGTGACCAGATGCCATTCCGAGAGACTCATCATGTTTCTGGACGAGCCGTTGCACTCGCTGAATCCTTGCAAGTCCCCATCTCCGAGCTCACACTGGAACAGTACAAGAAGCTCTGTCCATTGTTCGAGGAAGACGTTGTAGGCGTATTTGATTTCGAGGCGAGTGTAGAACGCAGGGCAGCCATCGGTGGTCCGAGTCTGCAAATGATTGAGCGGCAGGTTTCAGTGCTTAGGAAAGAGTTGAATCAATAGATTGAGCATTGGTACTTGCAATTTAGTTGACTTTGACGTCAGGGCTGATTGAAGATCACCAAACCTGTCAGATTTTGGTCCTGCGGATAGCGATGAAGAGTGACCACAGCTGGGGCACGGCACTGCCTCGGGCAAGTGTCTACACCTTGTTCCCTTTCCTCGACCTCTCCTGTTGGGGCCCATTTTTCAAAATGGTATTGTATATCTATTATGCGCCATATAACACCCTAACGGGCCGCCTAGAGTTACAAATAGTGAGAGATATTGGCTTGCTAGACGCCGTCAATCTCAATGCCCGTCGTAGCCAAACTCCTCGTAATGGCCCAGGACAGTATGAAATGTCTCGCACAAATGGTGTCAATACCGGCCTTCCGAACATAACCGACATGCCCTCCTTCTTAATTGCAGTAGAACAGCTCGAAGAGGAGCTCATCGTCCTCAACGCCAACATCAACACAATATCGCAACTACAAGAGCGGTCTCTTAACAATATTGGCGATAATAGGGTTCAGAGTGATCTGGACTCATTGGTACGAGAAACCAAGGCCATGGCACAAGGACTTCGGACACGTATCAAGGAAATGGAGTCGTTGAGAAGCAATAGCCGCGAGGGTCAGATCAGAAAACGTCGGGTGAGTCGTCTCTTTATGCCCGGTTGAAGCGTCGGCTCATTTATGCTCAGGTCGAGATCCTCAAGGAAAAGTTTCTTCAAGCAATGCAAAACTATCGACAGGCTGAGCAACGATTTCAATCTGCCCAAAAGGCACAAATTGAGCGACAAGTTCGTACCGGTGAGTGTACATGATTAAAGTGGTGAATAGTATTGACGAAGCCCTAGTCAAACCCTCTGCGACAAACGAGGAGATTCAGGCCATTGTGAATGATACATCCAATGGACAGGTGTTTCAACAAGCCGTGCGTAAAATCTCTTTTATATAGAAATCATGCTGATGCCCACCTAGTTGATGAACTCTGATCAATTGGGCAAAGCGAAGACTGCATACCGAAATGTCCAAACTAGACATGAAGTGCGTGGGAACGAATCCCCCCTAAATTATTAACCTACTGTAGGAACTTTTACGCATTACGCAAACGATGGCAGAGTTAACTCAAATGATGAATGACATGGCACTCATGGTCGAGCAAGACCAGGAGAAGATTGCTCAGATTGAAAAGAACACTGCAGCTGTCGAGGCTGACACCGAAAAGGCGTACGTGTTGCAGCCATTGTTCTTGATTGCGTGTATTTACGGTTTCAGCCTGAACGAGACGCGAAAGGCGCGAACGTGGGCCGAGAAGGCGAGAGAGAAGCGGAAGATGTGTTTCATCATCTCTGTGATCATTCTGTTGATCATTGCGATTGCTCTTGCTATCGTGGTAAGTTTCGAGGTCGGTGGATAGAATGTCCAGCCCTGATGCCCCTTTCTTTAGTTTGGACGCCCGCAGAAGAATTGAAGGAGTTCCAAGGTAACTATTTACGGACAATATGGACTATTGTGGACTAGTGACTGTGAACTATAATCTTTGTTCCCGTGAGCGCAGCGGAGTCCCTGCGTCGCTACGCTCGTTGTTATATCATTCCCGAGTATTCAAATTTCCTGTGATATGAGGCCTGCTGCAAGCACTGCTGAGCGCACGCCGGGGCAGTGTGGCCGTTCCCATCCTTTGCTCTTATTTCCTACGCTAAAGGGGACGCTTGACGTCTTTCTGCTTTTATTTATCCCATTATTTTGTGAAATTCTTCTTCGTTTAGCGCCCAGAGGTCTGCTGTGCCAGCAGCGAACAACTGTCACCGAACGAAATCCTCAAACTTGCACCCTTCCACAATGGCTACTGACAGACTCGCTGCGTTGCGCGTACGTATTGGTTCATTATCATTTATAGACCTTTTTCGCTTACTTTTTATTGCTCCAGGCCCAACAAGGAGGCAGTTATGCAAGGTGAGCGATTCATGGGACGACTCCGAGCTCGGGCAACGGCGCGCTGACGGGCTTGAAATTTTGCTCCAGCAATAATTCCGCAGGAAGATTTGGGTCTGGAGAAGGAGGGTATTCGAGTCGCAGGCCGAATCCGTATGCCCAAGAAGACAGCAGAGGAAACAACTACGAAATGTCGAGCTATTCAGACAACCAGGGAAGAGGAGCACCCGCTGGCAATGACATGTCTGCATTTTGGTCCGAGGTGAGTAGAAAACTGGCAGAGTTTTACGACTCTTCGACGGACGAACCGCTGACCTTCTCCGCGATAGGTTTCAGCAGTCCAGGACCTGCTGAGAGAATACAACGACAATGTCAATCAAATTTCCAACTTACATCAACGATCTCTGAACAACATTGATGACCAACAAGCGTCGCGGCAGTTGGATCAGGTCGTCGCAAGCAATAGACAACTCAGCAGGCAGCTCAAGGACAGGATCAAGGCATTGCAGGCGCAGGGAGGTGACAGTCGCGAGGGCCAGACGCGAAGGCAGCAAGTCAGTAGTCTTACTATGAGGCGCTTTCATGCTGACCCGCAGCTTCCAGGCAGCGCTTTTGAAAGACAAGTTCCAGGCTGCCCTCCAGAACTATCAGCAAGTTGAGCAAAAGCAGCGAAATGCCACCAAGAATCAAATGGAGCGCCAGTTCCGGATAGGTGCGTACAGCTCTCTGCATGGATACACACCCAACTGAATGCATGTAGTCAAACCGAATGCGTCTCCGGAAGAAGTTCGAGCGGTCGTCAATGACGATTCTGGAGGGCAGATCTTCCAACAAGCGGTTTGTTTCTCTAACGGACCTACACTTCTGTTTGCTGATCAAACCGTAGCTCATGAACTCGGATCAATATGGTCGAGCCAAGGCTGCCTACCGAGAAGTGCAAGAGCGACACAATGACATTCTCAAAATTACCCAAACCGTTGCGGAGCTACAGCAGTTGATGAACGACATGGCTATGATGGTTGAAGAACAAGGAGAGACTATCACTGCCGTCGAGCAGACAACGGCCATTGCCGAGAAGGACGTTGAGACCGGGTGAGTATCAGACGGAAGTTAAACCAATGTCGGCGCTCTGACACACAACAGATACAAACACACGGAGGAAGCTAAGAAGTCTGCCATTTCCGCGCGCAAGAAGAGGTGAGTTGGATGTGCCATCCGTCTCAGCTGAAACAGATCTGATTCTCCGCTAGATGGATATGCTTCTTTATCGTCCTTATTATTCTCATTATCGTTGCGGTCGTCATTGGCGTTCAAGTTGCACAAGGCAACATTGGACGTAGCGGCGGTTCGAATAATAACAACAACAACCAGCCAGCCACCGTTACGGTCACTCAACCCGCTGCTCCGTCCGCATCCGCATCGGCAGGGGTTCGAACGGCGTAATGCAACACATGGGGTCGTCGATTCGTCCCCCACTGCAGCTTCCTCCGATCGAAGACCCTCAATGCACCTCCCTGGAATCTCTCTCTCGGAACCATCCCAAACATGTCCCTTCACGTTCGTTTTACACTCTCGCCATCGCTTTCGTCTCTCCTGGCAGAGGCTGCCCGTCTCAGTCGTTTCCGGATTGGCCCTTGTCCGTGCCCTGCTGCAGTCGTAATGTAGCCGGAGTTGGTAGTATCTTGGTGAAAGATTAATCTTATTGCTTTTTGGCTGTTTCGTTTACCCGATTATGTCAACGCCATTGGGGCTCTGAACCGGAAGCTCGTGCGCTTTCCTTTCTGCAACCTTGCCTCCCACCACTCCCTCAGCCCTTTCCACGAGCAACTTCTCCGTAAGTCCTTGGGCCCAATCTAAGCACCTGAACACTCGAAACTAATACCAGAGCGTCTCCAGATGCCTGCTAAGAAGCGTTGTCAGCTCGACGGTTGCCGCAACGCCGTACAGCGTATTGCTGGTGAATGTTCTCACTGCTCTTCGCACTACTGCACCTCGGTGAGTCTCGTCTGCGTCTGACCAGTGGCCAGTGGCGCTTACGCGGCCCCTCTCTAGCACCGTCTCCCAGAGACGCATGCCTGTGGAAAGCTGACCGAGTGCAAGCAGCAGGCATTTGAAGCCAATAGAGCAAAGCTCGAGTCCCAGACCGCTATCGCTGACAAGCTCGTCGCGTCCTAATCTCAAGTCCGCTCACCTCACCTCCGGCTCGTGGACGCTCGGTGGGCGCCCATGGTCGGTTTTCTCTGCATTTTCAGTCTTATCAACGATCTACAATCGTTGAACGCATTCCGTTTGTCGCCGTCCCCCGCCCAATATGGACTCTTGCTCTGCTCTCGCCCTATCTCAAGTCCACGCGACCCCGCTAATCGCTCAAGGATTCCCCGCAACGGCGGCTCCTTTCCACGTCTCCTGTCTGGTAATTAACACGCTGTTATTCATCACTGCTGTCTAGGCCAAGGGCCTCGTATATAGAACGACTTTAACTCCTACCGGCTTATGGCCGATCTTTCCGCGGACAGGAACCACCCTAAGCCCAAGCCCCGTTGAATGCCGACACAGTCCTTGCGTCAAATGGTGGCCCGATAACGAATGGCGTTGGGCGGCAAGGAAAGTCTTCGCATTCCTGTATTTGTCCTGCAGCCAAGTGTGAGAAAGTAAATTGGCATCACGTGTGTAAACTTGCCAAATGATGGCCTCGGTCCCGTCAGAGATGGATGCATAGAGCTGCGAGAGCTCCTCGTTGATCCGCATGTTCTCCAGATTCCGCGACTGGTCCTCTGCCGCTGCCCACGTTCTCCTTTCGGCCATTGTCTGGACATGTTGCGGTGGAGGTTGGTTGGCGCGAGACGACTTTTGCCAGTCAATGTGCCTGCTCATGAAGTACCAAAAGAAGAGGACGAAGAGAATAAAGACGGCACCCCCTATAATGCCTAGTATGAGACCGATCCTGCACTACAATCAGCCTGCGCGTCTCAATCCTAGTAAACGATTCACTTGCGGCCATCCAAGCGTACGGAATCAAACCAGTTGATTCCGAGGATACCCGTTACAATAGTCACAGGTAATGAAAGGATAGTCGCGACTGCAATCAATTGGAGCAGGTTATTGTTGTCAAAGGCGAACATCTGTCGGAGGCTCGTGAGTGCCATGGTCACATCAACCAGATGGTGACCCCTACGTTGAAAGTCCAGTTGCCCATATTTTCAGCACGATTAATTATGAAAGGAAGTTCATTTTCCAGAAGCCTAATGAGGCCCATTTGATCGAGCAATCGGTCACTGGTCGCCAAGCTTAGTTGTTCCTTCACTAAAGACGGGATAGCTCACCGAGTCTCTTGAGATAGTAGCGGTATTTCTTTTTGATCTGGACCATGCATTTTCTCGGCGACAGCGTTCAAACTTGCGACAGCGAGCCGAAGACCGGTCGTATCCAATGTGAGATTGATCAAGGTTGTTTGAAGTGCATGAACTGATCGAATTAGCATCCAGAAGAGTGTTAATTCTATCCTCACATTCCGCGAGATTACCACGAGACGGTTGGGACATCATCTTGTTATACTTCTTCTCCATGTCGACATGAATTGTTCGGACTTCATAGCGTAGGTCCATAATGATTGCTCGTACCAGTCCATAATACATGAGGGAGGGATCCTTGCTAATTATGACCTATGCTCATCGTCAGCCTCCTTTATCTCGAACAACACGAAATACCTCTGGTCGAGAGCATCCACGGTCGACAAAGTCAAAAAGACGCTCCATAAAGTTTGGGGACGTGGATGGATCTGCAGTGGCGCAGGTGATAAACGTATTGACGGCTGTAAAGGTATTTAAGATTGGTGGTTATGCAAGGCGCCGACACGAACGGTCTGATCCACCTCCTTGCCACGTAAAAAAGCGGATGGATTGGTTGATAAAGTGCGTCAATAATAGACCCTTGGCAAATTCCATGCTCGGACGAGTCCCTGGATAAATGTCACAGTTGGACTGAGTTGAATAGGAAGCGTACATGTAAAGACCCCAGCAAACTTTCTTGGATCCCAACCTAGGTGTCGCCCTTCAGCTTTGCCCCGGCACGAAGTGCGAGGTGTGGAAATCGCCACGCACCTGCTGCCTTGGCGACGACCTCCAAAGTCGGTCCATGCAACCCCGTACAGTGTATCCATCTCCAAGATTTTGCTGGCACTGGTTCAGCGATAGCTTCTGCTATTTCCGCTGACCCGACAAGTTCTCTGTGCCAATTGGGCGGAAGACCTGATTCGCGATGAAATTCAACTACCTGTACAGTAGTACGATCTTGGAAAATGAGAACATTCACTTTTCTGGATTGTCTGCTCACCGTCTGGAAAGTAGCGTCTGTCTCCGAAAGGGCCTGGAGGATCATAGGGAATATCGGCTGTTCCATTGACAACGTCCTTTACAAACTTCCACGAGCCATCGGCCTGTCGAATTCGTTTCACATCGCGAGTGAGATAGCCATTGACGTTGTCACTAGGCGCTTGCTTCGTTTCCATGTTCGTTGACCACAAATGACAGGTATGAGCTCCCAGAGAGGTCTACAGATCCCTCTAAAAGGATAGGAGAAGGGCGGTCCAGTTTGAAATGCGCTTCAACTTGCCACCATCGCTAGAAACTATCGAGGCAGCGCTCCGTGCCACGAATGAACCCAAAGTTACATCCTAGCCGAATACACTTATTTTTGATATTTTACATCTTTTTGCGACGTGATATGTTCGTGGTGGTCGTGTTCGCCAGGCACTTTACCACAGAACAAACTTGCCCTACCTCTAACTTGATATGCTGTCAACCAAAGCTACTCCGAACGCTCCAAAGTCCAAGAAAGAGCTCGAGGAGCTTCTTCGAGATGATATCAAAGTCAAAGTTGCTGGTGAGAAGAGCCTCAGAGTGTTGCGATAAGGATGATTAATGACGTTTGCAGGCATTGACGGTGAGCGGCGACGAGGTATTGGCAGATCATGACCTAATCTCCATTCTACTAGTTGATGGTGTCTTGAGAGGGAAATACATGGCAAGTTGGTCTTAGCCACCCACTGTGACGCTGGATTGACATCGACAAGTCCAAGGCAAAGTTTCTTAGCGCAGTTGAAGGGGATGGTTTCGGATTCTGCTCGGTCATTTTGTGAGCCATAGTCCATCCTTCTTAGCCCTTCAGAAGACCTGACATCATCGTCAAGTGGCTGGGATATTCACGACACGACATATAGTCGGGAGCTTCTCATCTCCAACAAGGCAAATGGATATCGAGATATCATCGCCAAGGTCGATCTGTCGACCTATCGTCGTATTCCCTGGGAGTACGATGTCCCCTTCTTTCTCGTTTCCTTCCTGGACCCCGACACCAAGGAGCCAATCTGTGCCTGCCCGCGAGGAACACTTGCAAAGGCAGTCACTGTTGCGGAGAGGCATGAATGGGAATGTCTGGCTGGCGTGGAATACGAGGTTCGTCTGCTGGTCGTACTAGGGAGCTACGCTGAATCAGTGTAGTACTTCACATTCAAAGGTGCCATCATCCTTTACCTTAAGCGCAATCTCTAAGAGTTGGCAGAGGATCCGACGAGTGCGGCGGATAAGAAATTCAACGGTCTTAGTCCGTTGACTCCTGGCAGTAAGTCGTGACGTCGAGCCAGGACAAACTAACATTCCCAGTGCACGGTTACTCGTTGCTAAGAACGCAGCTCAACAAGGACTTCTTCAATGACATCTTTGACACTGCCAATAGCTTTGCGATCGAGATAGAGGGTCATCGTGAGTAAAGTCACCAAAGCCCAACTACGCTTACAGTCGTTAGACACCGAAACTGGACCTGGTGTCTTTGAAACGGCGCTGGCATACACATCTGCCCTTCGCATGGCCGACAACGCCATTCTCTTCAAATACCTTGCAAAGAGTCTTGGCATGCAGTACGGGAACATCATGCCCAGTTTCATGGCAAAACCATGGGGAAATGTAGGCTGATCTCTCTTGTCTTGTCCTTGTTGACGCCCAGTAGCTTCCAGGTTGCAGCGGGTAAGTGAACCGCTTGGATTCTCCAGCTAATACAAACAAACATCAGGCATGTTCATGTCTCGCTAAAGACAAAAGATGGAAGGAATGTTTTTGCCATCGACAAGTCGCATTTGCATCGTGGGCGCTCAGACGCACAGTACGAGGATACAAAGTGGCTCAGCAAAGAAGGTGAATGGTTCCTTGCTGGCGTTCTTGATGGTCTACCAGATATTGTGCCACTGGTGAGTGCAACAAGGCCACTAAGCAAACTGCTTATTATGTAGATGGTGCCCACCATTAACGGCTATAAACGCTTGGTCGGTGGCGAGGTAAGATGCCCATGTTGGAGCTGTAAAGAAGCGAAAGCTCATATACGCCTAGTCGTTCTGGGCACCGAATGCAGTCACCTGGGGCTACGACTCACGAGCGGCCTCTATTCGACTCATCACGCCACCGTCTTGCCCACGTTCAGCAACTAGAATGGAGATTCGAGTACCTGGAGCGGACATGAACCCATACTTTGCTCTTTCGGCCATCTTCCTCCTCGGTTTTCGTGGTATTGAGAAGCAAATGTCAATTCCCGTCCCACCTGTCAAGGACCTCATGAACGACAAGTCCAGAGTTACGAAACTCGCGACCAATCTCGAGACAGCCACTTCACTCTTCATGCGGGAAGGCAGTGTAGCGCGAGAGGTATTCGGTAACGAGTTTGTTGATCACTTCGGAGGGACGAGAGAGCACGAAGTGAATGCATGGAATGCAGCGGTGACGAACTGGGAAGGTTTGTGCATGAAGCAAGTCTCGATGCCATTTGAACTGACCATATACAGTCGAAAGATATCTCGAATTGGTGTAAAGGAACATAATCTTATGATGGACTTGGAATAGATAGGTAGCCTGCTATCTAACCCACCCATTCACGACAGATGGCCCGCGTATTCTTGCAAAACCATATCCAACGCATGAACCTTGCCAGTGAGGCGCGTTGGGGAATGGTAGTTTTGGTGGTGGTAGGTTGTATGGTGGTGGCTTGATGACAGGCCGAGCTGTTGATGGCTGAGGGGCTGCAGCACGAGCTTTCCATTTTGCTCGTATCGCCGGACAGCGATCCAGAAGCTATGTTTGTTCATGAGTGGATGGGAGTAAAACACATGAAGGCATACATCTTTCTGGCTCACTGGATCTAGTATGGTCTCTACAACCTTTTCCACAACATCGACGTGGTTTCCATCGGCCTTGTCGTCGCGTAGTCTCATAAATCTCCACGCTTCTCGTTCAAAGTCCCATCGGACTTCTACAACCCGGTCATCATACTGGATTCTGGATTTTTTCATGCTTTGGGGATGTTAGCACTATCACATACGACGAATGACCACGAACGTCTCCCACTCATCCTCGTCAACGGTCATAGTATCGTAGAAGGAGTACTTTCTGCCTCCTTCCCAGACGTTGAGCAAAAAGAGCGGCATTTGTTCAAAATCCGGTTTACTAGTGTCCTTGATGGGTGGAAATCGCAGTTCGAGTTTGAAATCAACACTATTTTCATGTGGTGGCTTCCACTTTAGGCTAACGGGCAGAATAAGTGTGCCGGCTTAGCGAACATGAACTGTACGCACATTCCTTGGTCCGTACGAGGCACGTACTTGCTGTTGACTGCAGTATATATGAGTCCATCAGTGCCATGCTGGAGCTTTGGTATCTCGGCGAGGACGATGTCTAGATGGTACGCCAGCTGCATCGGCTTGAGCACTAGTCTATAGCCCGTCAGTAGGAACGCAGAATCGGGTATTGACTCACTGGAATGGAGCCTCGCTCGCCATTTGAGGAAATTCCGCCAGCATCTTCTTGTATGGGTGGAAAAAGTACTGCTGTAGTCGCTAGACCGACGACTCAGAAGCATTCGATACTGTGGTAAAGGGGACGCACACCGTACCGGGATGTAAGAGGCTTATCCATGATGTTTTCTTCATCAATGACAAGCGCATCAAATACGAGATAGCGTAGGACCTAAGGCATATCAGGAAGCAGAATATCTCATTGTGCACACTCGCACTTCGCCTCTACCGGGAACCTTGTCAAGAACAAGCTCTCCATCTAACAGGCAGTCCCTCATGGGTTTCGTCTTGTCTGCATGATGAGGAAAGAAGAAACCGGGACCTTGATGGCGGTACACATTTTTCCGGTCAATCTTGCCGCCAGTTGTAAGAGTGTTCCTGCGAGGTGGTTGCAACGTACAAGGAAGACGTCGTGGCTTCCGTCCTGGGCCAGGCAGATATACATGAGTACCCTGATACCATCCGACTTTTCGCAGACCCAAAAGCTGCCGACATTTCAGAAAGGTGTACCAAAATGTGAATCGCTTTACTCTTCCTGTTCGAGTCTTGCAAGATGGAAACCAGCGAAACTGACAGGCTGACTGCCTGGAAATCTAATACTCTCTTTCAGTTTACAGCCCCCACGACATTCTCGATGGCTGACCTGCGACTTTCCAAGTGGCACAGATACTGAACACGTTCTTGCAGCTGAATGACGTGGTTTGGTCCTATTTCCTGACCTGGAATTCCGGGCAACATTAGTGCTGGAAGCTGCAAATAAAGGATGAGCCAAGGAGTGGTACAAGGTTGGCAGTGCCTCGTTTCCGTCTTGCTTCCAACCGCCGCGATGGCCCAGAACTATCAGGACCCATATGCACCAAATTACAACTATAATAATGCAGGGTTCCAAGATCCATATTATGCTTATGGCGCTCAGCCTGATAATCATGCCCGTTACGACTCCAGCGGGTCTGGGGTCGTAGGCAACAGAAGGTCCGCCGCCAATTCGACATACTCTAGCGTGGAGAAAAGGAGAACCGAAGCATTCCTTGTTGGGGAACCTCCAAAGTACGTCGCCCTCGTTTTGTCACAAGCGGCATCTGACCGGATGGCAAAGAAATACTGGGGACCTCCGAATCTTCAGACACGAGGTACACGGGAACCTCTGGAGAAAGGTATTATATGCATATACAACGGCCAAAGTGGTGCTGACATCTGGCGTTTTATTCTAGGGCGGCAACGCACGCACAATTGGACGATTCTGCTGTTGCTCTATCATGACCTTACTCGTCGTCATCCTCGCTGTTGGACTCTCAATTGCGATGGTCAGTCATCGTTTCTTTCATATCACCCGTGCTCACCTCGTTCAGTGGCTCAGGCCTCCGGACGTTACAATCGGTAACATTAGCCCTCCGACCAACGGGAGTGCTGTAAGTCAAAGCAACCTTGTGCTTTCCCTCGCTCATGTGCTTGCCAGATCGAGGCCTCGAGTACCGAACTGAAGCTAAATTTTGCACTACCAATCGAGTAAAGCCGCCCATATTCAAACGAAAATGCACTGAATCAATATCCAGAGTCAAGAACCCAAACTTCTTTTCTGTTACCTTTGAGCAGATCAAGGCAAAGGCCATCTATCCTGTCAATAACGTCGAAGTTGGAGGAGGCAGTCGAGATTACATTACATTCGAAACCAACTCTGATACATCCTTCAACTTTCCGTTCAGCATTGTCTACACCCAGTCCAAAGATCCCGACGGCAAGGTTCTGATGGATATTGCTAATCGCTGCGGCTTTACAGGCAGTCCGGAGCAGCCTATCTCATTGAAATACTCCATCACCTTGAGGATCAAGATCTTGGTCTTTAGCATTTCTCCCTCGTTCGATGGACAGACATCGTTCAAATGTCCATTGCAGAGAGATCAACTTGCGGTAGGTTTACACTTTAATGTTTCCCTTTACTCATCTCGCCTTAGCCTTTCTTGGGTGGTTTACTTGGAGGCTCCTAGCCGTGGGGCTGTAGCAATTTTCTGTATCACGGACATTGAATGGACATTATATTCGCTATCCAATACGTTGGCAATTGATGTTACCCGCCTTTGCTGCGGGGACTCGGTTGCAGCTGGCTTGAAATCCAGACGGTAACCAGCGCATGCGATTATAAGTTATTGAAACCCTGAGTAAAAGGCTCCTTTGAGGGTCGGAAGAGAGTATGCTGCGGGACGCACTATATGCCTTTTGGCAATGAAGGCGTCAAAGACTTCTACAGCATTCTTTTGGACAATACCCATCTCAACCATATCGTGCAAAATTGTCCAGCACCAGAAACGGCACCCGTCTCCAGCATCGCCATAGCCTTCTGGAAGGTCAACCCAATTCACAAAGTCAGGTAGGTGTACGTATGATATCTGTCCCTTCCGCGCTTCACGAGTTCATTAAGGATTTCTTGTCCTGTTACGGATCCATTGCATTCAAACTCTACGTCTGCCCGGCTGTACTCGTTAGTGTCGGTGGTGATTCCTTTGACGATGAGCACCCCAGCATCTATTCCCTGACTGAGGTCAAAGGTCGTTGCTGCAGTTTGTTGGCGACGAGATAATAGTGCCAATGGAGAACTGTGTCTTCGTCTTCGCGCACAGGGGCTCCCGTCAGCTTGATAGAGGTGAGGGGTTTCTGAAGATTCTCCTTCGCACCAAGGTATGCTATGGTAGATGTGCTCGTATCTTGGCTCTTATTCTGAGGGAGGGCTGTCAAGGTTTGGAGACGCCCAGCTTTCATCTTTTAATCAGACGCCCATACTGTGGCCTATATATAGTAAAGCAAGTTGAAGCTGGACTTGAGATTACGATATACGACCATTACATGTCAGGAGGTGGACACGAGGTTCATTTGCCCGAAAGGAACTTCTTGCACCTTCTGAATATGTTAGAAAGTGTATTTTCCAGGGCAACTAGCCATCAGGCGCACTTTGGCGGTCAGGAGAAAGGTGGGCTTGCTACTCTTCTACCTTGCCCCGACCGACACCCGCGTTCATGGATAGTGGTGATAATGGCCAATATTTTACGACTGGAGGAATATACGGAATCATACCGGACAGTGCAATCTCGACGGCTACTGCTCCAGAGACGCTACACGTTACAAACAACGCGACGCAGGCGTGGTACCCACCTAATGTTGTGAACAACTTCAACGATATCTCGTCCAACGCACAACTGGATCATCATGACTCTGATCTTCATAACCAACAGAGGATGGCACAACTTTCCCTCTCCTCTGGTCCTTCGACTCAACTACCGTACAATCCAGCAGAGGGTACCGGATCTATTCTCTCTCCCGGAACCCCTGGAACATTGACAGTCGCTCCAGTATCCGGTCGAAAACGAGAGAAGGGTGGCCAAAAAAGGGTAGCCTCGAATCACGACAGACAAAGTACCTTGCTACAAGTTCAACCTACTCCAGTGCGCGAGAGTAGTTCTGTCACGGCGACAAACCCAGCTTTCCTGGCGGCCTCTGGTTCTGTCGACGTTTCCCATCCATCCAGACATCATCCATCGCCTTTGATTCGGAATGAAGTCGAGTCTTTTGCTGGGCCAGTAATCACCCCAGTACCGGTCACCAGTGACCAGCAACCTTCTTTAGGTACAAAGCCTCTCAAGTAACAGCTTATGATTGATTACGAGATATTAGGATACCCTTATGCGGTTGAGGAAACTCGAAACGAAATTTGGGCCGCCTCGGTACCGCCTTCCCTGCATGGACCTACAACCGAAAACACATTTGAACATTTGAATGCAAATGCTTACATTCCTGGATCGTCATCCTTGTCTATATATCCACCCTCCATTGAACGCCAAGGCATAGTCTCAATCAAAAGCGTAATTTACAACGATCCACTCGTAGGCTCCAATCTCATCCATTTCGAAACTAACGGAATACCTCTATTGATTGGTGCCTTTCCTCTCTGTCCTCTTAATTGCTCTCTAGATCTCCGCCGGGAAGGTGCGTCTAAAATTGGTCATTAGCGGACTCTAACGTGAGAATTCATGCTAGGCACGCGCAATTATCCTCCAGCTACTATAGGCTGCATACATTCTGCGACTCTCGGGACAATGTGTCTTGCGCGGTACATCTCAGAAAATGTGAGGAACTCGAAACTCCGATGCGAGCGCTAATGTAGTGTTCTTCACAAGGTAACTAAGACGGATAAGGCAAACGTCGCTCGTAACTCGTTATGTATTTCGGAGCCGGGGGCAGCGACATACGTAAGGGATGTCACTCTCCAATTCGATACTCTGAGCATCGAATACTTTTTAGGTGCAAGGATACAGCGCAGCATCATCAATTTGCAATACACGTTGGTCGATAATCGCCCGCTGTGATGTTCCCCATGCTCTGGAAAAACTCGAGGCAAAGGGCATCTCTCTGGATAATCAAAATACCGCACTGGGGTCTCACCAATTCCAAGACTTGATTTCTTCTGGTGTAACTATCTATACTGTCACGCAAAACGCCGGAGACGTTCTTTGCTTGCCTCCCGGTGTTCTCTATCAGGTATGTCAAGCGTTATCATGTAAATCTTTCTCTCATACAACACAGGCCGAAGTCGAATCTGAAATGGAGTTTAGAACGTGGCAAACATATTCTCTTCCGACAGTTGCGCATGCGTTTCAGCACTACACACGCGTCAAGCATCGGTTGGTATTCCGTCTTCCGCTCAAGCTTATACTTACAAAATGGGCAGCCTTTGTTGTGATAAAATGCCGCCATACCGCAGAATGCTGTATGGCTATCTGCAAGCCGTTCAACGATCACTCGATGCAGGGCAGCTGCAATCACCAGAGACGATCGAGTATGCCCCAGGCACCATCCAGCAGGCAATCAAACTCTTCGACAGGCTACTCGTCGAAGAGTTTACCCAAGGGACACGAGACCATGAGCCTAAGCTTGACGATGCTGGCTATTGCGACTTTTGTGGCGCCGACATATTCCACGCGGCGTTTGTCTGCTCCAGCAACGTCGCTGCTTCTGCTACATCAACACTACCGTCAGACTGTTGCGAAGTCACGCTTTGCCCGGCTTGTTGTGCCGAGGGGCGATCTTGCGCGTGCGGCAAGCTGAGAGTTTGCTCTGTTTTCAACTTTGAGCAACTCATTTCCATGAGAAATAGAATCGCAGAGTGGTGTATTGCTAGCCTAGGGACAGTGCCAGCTTCAATCGCTCGATCCATCAATTTGGAGTATGTGACACTGGGTGACTTGCTGGTCAACTAATCTCGAAGTATAGGGATATATATGAAGATGACGAATACATTCACTTGACGCTGGGAGCCATTTCTATCCTCCACATTCGACGCTTCCCTCTCTCCACCGACAAGTCTGATAGTAGGATCAGCATGACAGTACGAATGGAAGTATTACATCCACAAACGCTCACTCAGTTATAGATGCGCTGCAAAGGCGGACCGGCTGGGTGCGAACCGCATGAAGTTTCCCGACTTCAAAGCGTGACTTGCGAGAGATGTCAGTCGCTTTTCTTTGCGTGTCTCTGGTCTGGCTGACAGGTTTCAAGGTCACGACACGATTTGTTTTCCGCACCTCCTTGCAATTGGTGTTCATGCTGCAGAAGCCGCATTCCGGTTGCAGCATGATCGCGACTGGCATTACATTCACACTACCTGGGCACCTCGGTGGCTTGAGTGGAAGCAAAAGTGCAAGACACTATCACACCCCTCCGATACAATGACCCGACTTGCATCAACCGAAGTCAAGTGTCATCCTATCAAAGCCACTGGACTTCGCCTGGGATTTTATGACCATCCATTGCCAGATGTAAGAAATTCGGTCGCGTTTTGAAAAAGTGCTAACCCGTAGCAGGTGATCTGTGAAAAGTACGAAGACGACCCGATTCTCGGAGAAGAAATCAACGAACCTACTTGGAATCAGGACACTAGACATTCAAGTATGGAGCCTTCTCATCGTCTTACCAAAGGTGCCAAGGCAACTATACCCATAGATGCGGAAGGCAACATCCAACGCAAGAGAAAGCGAAAGACCACGGATGGTACATTCAGCCTCAAAAGCGGAAAGAAACCTAAAAAGAAGTCGAAGCTGAGCATTACTACGAATATTTCAACGGCGGAGACCACGGCAGACGAAGCCACCCCTATCCTGGCCACCATTCCTCTTGAAGAGAGCCAGACACCGAATACAGATCGCCGTCGAGCGCGGATCTCTATTTCGTCCAGCAACTTTGACGTCGATGCTGAAGAAATCGATGTGGATGAGCCCATCGTACTGGACGAGAGTTCCAATGGGCTTTCTGCAATCGAGCAACCGACAGAATCCTTCTCCGGGGTCACCACCGACGCCACATGCCCAAGCAGCCCCGTCGACCATCTTCCTCCAGCATCGTCTTCACCCGGACCAGACGTGCCACTGTCTACACAGTCTAGTATGGATGCTAAATTCCATCCAACTCTCCCCGAAGGATATCTGCAAAAGCTCGCTCAGCATGAGGAGACCAACGGTCGACTAGAGGCACAAGTCGCACGTTTGGCGGTAGAGAGGGACGGTCTTGAAGCGCAACTTGTTGGTATGAGCATCTCTTCAGAGAGTAACGCACGGCAGCTGGAGAAGTTGCACGAATTGGAGCAAGAGTGTCAGGTGCAGACGGCTCGCAACAAAATGCTCGAGGAGGAGGTGCAACGGCTCAAGGCATTCAAGATGAATGCTACCCGAGAACTTGAGACTCTACGTAGAAACGAGCGGGACTATGAAGAGGAAAAGAATCGTAGCAAAGAGTCCAAGGTCGAGGTGCAAAGGCTGAAGGTCCAGCTATTTGGTCTCCGAGAGAGCCATGGAAAGCTCAAGGATGAGTTATCTCAGCATATTCAAAGACGAGACAAGGATATCGAGTCGCTCCGGGCGGAGAACAAAGATCTCAAGGCGGAACTCGTATCAGTTACGGAGCAGCTAAGGAAGTACGCAGGCATGTTGGAGGCGAAGAATTTGGAGTTGCTGAGTCTAGACAATGACTATGCGAGGTTGGCGGAAGGATCTTCGCACAAACCATCTTCGTCCAAGTCGCATACTAGTGAGTATGCATTCTAACGATTCGATCTCTCTCTCATAGGTCTATAGGCCGCCCTCAAGGTACCCGCAATCCAATCACCCAAAAGAAGCCACCACCACCGCGAGATGAAGACGAAGAGTCTGATGATGATCTTGCCTACAATCCTCTTAATATCCGCTATTGAGCCTTACGCCGTTTTGTTGTATCTTTATCCTTGACCCCAGCCACACCCTGTCCTTTGGTGGTCGGCGGTGCTTTTTTGACATCGCAATACAATTCGTTCGCTCTAAGGATGGTCTTCATCAAGTCGTGGACAGAATATCAGGCGAAAGCTGAGCAGTTGTATGAGGAACAGCCAATACGGGTGCGTTTGCCGTTCTTTTCAAGACGAGATGAGCGTCTGAAAAGATGGATCGTGTACTTAGACACGGTATTGCATCAAGTATCGTGCTGCAGATGGCGTATTGATTCTCAAAGTGACCGACGATAATACGGTACGCCTCTTGGACGAGCTCCCAGGGTTCTTAGTGACCATCTTGATAGTGTCTCAAGTACAAGACCCGATCTTCCATCATGCTAAACCGATTCGAGGCGTTTAATCTGTCGATCATGTCGAAAATGCAGAACCGACAGGCCCAGACCGCACCGTCGGCGTCTGGAGGTGCTGCTGGGACTAGTTCCGGACAGGATGTGCCTATGTCGGATGCAACAGCGCAAGCAACGGGTGGTGGCGTTGCAGCTCAAGGAGGAGCTCAAGGGGCCGGAGGTAACAAGAAGAAGAAGCCGAAGAAGAAAAAGTAGATGATGTTTCGGATAATTCCTGGTCGGAGATGGGACCTTTGGTGTCTCCGTGGATGACCGGGGCTGCACATTGAAAGGACAGTCTTAAATACAAAGTCTGAACATAAAGTTTTGATGTGGATTTGACTGGCAGTTTGTGAGCCCTCGACAGAGTCCGCGTGAGCCGAGCTTGTCTCCCACCTCGTCTAGCAAGCAGCCCAGAGCGGAAGGACCATGGCAAGCACAGGCCAACCAAACGGCCCAAATGTAGTCGGAAATTACTACAAAGTCAATCGGAAGATTGGAGAAGGTGAGATAAAGCCAGGAGCGCCTCTTTCAGCAGCACAGAGCTCACCCATCCGCCCCTTTGAACAGGCAGCTTTGGCGTCATCTATGCAGGAATGTTCTTACGGTGCTCTGTGAGCTCGTCGTATTGACTGCAAGCCTAGGGACAAATCTTCTCAACTCGTCGGACGTTGCTATCAAATTTGTGCGTCCTTTTGCGCGACAGAACTTGTGATAAATCATTGACTGTCTATCCCATCCCTCTAGGAGCCACGAAAAGTCAGTCTTTCGCTGGCAAGGCGCAGTCCGCATGACCTGACTTTACTCTGCCTCCCCGTGTCGGCTTCCGTGACACCCACCCGCGTCGTCTATAGTCCGAAGCACCACAATTGCGGGATGAGTGCCGTTCGTACCGCATCCTCAACGGCTGTGGTGCGTCCCTTTCCCTATCCTGAAACTCAAGAACAGCTCGCCTGACCGTTAACACGCACAGTTGGCATCCCCCAGATCTATCATTTTGGCTCCGAAGGTGACCACCATTCGCACGTTTCTCAATTCATTCTGATCAGCCTGTGAACAGGCCTCCACAATGTGCTCGTGATTGAGCTCCTAGGCCCGAGCATGGAGGACCTCTTTGACATGTGCGGCCGCAAGTTTAGCATCAAGACTACATGCATGGTCGCACGCCAGATGGTTCGTGGCCTCTCATTCGCACGTCGGAACCGCTCCCAACCCCATTTTTCCACAGCTTTCCCGGATACAGTCGGTGCACGAAAAGAATCTGATCTACAGAGACATTAAACCGGACAATTTCTTGATCGGAAGGCCGGGGACGAAGAATGCCAACTTGGTGCGACATTCTCGCTCTCCCATTCAACGAGTGGTTCCGCGCTAACCCACGACTCAGGTCCATATGGTTGATTTCGGAATGGCCAAGCAATATCGAGATCCAAAGACTAAGCAACATATTCCATACCGAGAGCGCAAGAGTTTGAGCGGTACGTCTCTTCTCCGACGGCGTCACGTCCGACCCATCATTTCTGGCTACAGGCACAGCGCGTTATATGTCTATCAATACCCACCTGGGACGCGAGCAGTCAAGACGAGATGACTTGGAAGCGCTCGGTCACGTTTTTATGTATTTCCTCCGAGGGAGCCTACCTTGGCAAGGTCTCAAGGCAGCCACCAACAAACAAAAGTATGAGAAGATTGGCGAGAAGAAGCAAACTACCCCTATCAAAGAACTCTGCGAGGGCTTCCCGGAAGAGTTTTCTATTTATCTCAACTATGTCCGCAAGCTCGGCTTTGAAGAGACCCCGGACTACAACTTTTTGCGTGCATTGTTCACCAAGGTGCTGGAAGTTCAGGGTGAAACGGATGATGGTGTGTATGACTGGATGCTGCTCAATGGCGGCAAGGGATGGGAGAATAATCCCGTGCGTGTTTCAACGTGGGGACCTGCATGCAACTGATCAAACTGTAGACTCCACATCCAACACAAAGAAGAACACAACCCAGAAACTCGCAACAGCCTGGAAACCCACCGCAATCTCCTGCACTCGTTCGGCAAAACTCCAAGCAACGCCGCACACCAAACGGGGTTCAAACGCCCGTCACGCCTTCTTCCGCAGGAGCACATGTGGCGGTCCCTGCTCCATCACCTAAACCACCGTTCCAGCGACAGTCGTCGGCGCAAATGGCCGCGGGCGGTACAGTCGGCACACATCCGTATTCTAACCAGGCAATGCGGACACCGTCAGACTTTGTAGGGAGCACGACTGTTGACGGTTCGTACGGGTATGGCCGACAGTCGCCGATGGTCGCAAGTGCCAAGGTTGCGAACATTCATGCTGCTGGAATACCCGAGAACCGCGTCCAGGAAGAACAGTTGATGCAAAAGGGTCCACAGCAGCAGAAGAAGGGAGGTCTCATGAGCGTGCTCACTTGTGGGTGCAGCTGAGCGGATCCTTATAGTTGGTTTGCAGCTCGGGTAGCCGGTAGTCATATTTGCTCACATTCTCTTACGACCTCTCATGCGGATATTGGGTGGCACACTTGTTTACATTTTTTTCTTTCCCCAGCCTAGACCTCTCTCTATAATTCTTTCATCGTCCTCGTGTCATTTATTGCATATGAAGACCGATTTAGTCCATTGACGGTTGAGGGGCTCAGAAGTCGCTCCCGAGGCTGGCAGCTGGTTAGTTAGTGATTGCAGGTACAAATAGACCCGTACAGCTGGTCCCTACTGCAACTAGCTGGAGTTTAACACTATGGAACAACCCAATGCACAAGAAACGAAAGCGCAGACGCCCGTAGCAGAGCAACAACCTGAACAACCTGGCGTGGAGAACCAAGGTACACCACTGGACGATGCTAATGGTAACTACCATAAATCCTATTATATATTATTCATCGTATTAACGTGCTTTGGTAGTCAGAAGCGAATCGCCTGAGCCTATGGAGACTGAGCCCACATCCGGATACCTACCCAGAAATATGAAACGCATCTTGAATCAAGGAAAATGGGTGTTGGAAACTGATAATATGGAAAATGATGCGGACGCGGCCTTGGATATCTATCAGGACCGTGATACTTTCAAAGAGGGTGAGTCATATCTGTCCGAAATGACTATTTCTTGACGCATTCGAGACGAATGCACCGTACAAATTGTTACGTTTCATACTGCGGGGGATCGCTATAGCGAATGGGCGGATCCAGCGACAGACCACGGCGATATCCGACGTCGACTGGCAGCAACTGCCGAGGCCAAAGATACTTGGAGACTGATTCATTGTGAAGGTTTACATGGGCCGACATTGAAGCTGGTTGCCGAATGCACTGGTACATCAACTTCAAATATAAAGTTCCAACTATTGACCCCTTATAGGCTGGAACCCCCGGGAGTTCTCCAGAGTATTTACTTGTGATACAACTGCTTCTTTTTTCGCATGATCTGACTGCCCATAGGGTCTCGCGCGAGTGTGGAAAAGGTCGAGGGTCGCTTGCTGGTTCACTTTATCAATCAATCAACTCAAATATACGTCTCTATTCAGAGAGCACGACACCACGTATGTTTAATCCTGTCTCTTCCTTTGGAGCCTAATCCTTTTAGTGACTTTTATCCTTTGCACTGGGCGGAACCCTCGCCACAACTTTATGAATCGCCTGTGGGACTTTGTGGACAGGGGAGACTCACGTCAGAAAAACAAGGTCTGGGAAGATCCTTCGCTCATGCTCTATGGCATCCTCCGAAGCATCATCTTGGACCTGCGCCAGACCGCATTCAGAGTGCAGCGTTCTATGGACTCGGCTTACAAAAAGGCAATGCAACGTCCTAGCAGGGATAACTTGGCCTTCTGTGAGTCTGCCGCATATTAATATTTCTGTTTGGCTGACGGCTACAGTCTACCAACTCAAAGCAAAGCTCCTAGGCATCAAACTGGACACAACCGGCTTGAAGAATGCGGTTACGAATCTCAATATCATAGCGAAGGAGATGCATCGTCGTACGCGAGGATCAACAGATAGCGGCGAGCGCCCTCTCATATCCCAGAATACGCGATATCTCCTCAATGATCAAGCGGGTCTCATTACTCTTCTTGTAGAAGAGCTGCCGGATCTATCTAGTCAGGCAGACGCGGTTGGCTCGCTCGCTTTCAATGTAGGGAACAGCTCATATTGACCTCATGATTGACAAGTCGCAGACGATCACATTCAACACGAGTAACCTTTTACTCCTTTTGACAATTATTACATTGGCATCAATACCTTTGACTATCCTTTCCGGTCTTCTTGGCATCAACTGGTTTAACGAAAGTCGGTTGGACGGACATAAGTATGCCTATGGTAAATCAGGGGCAATATACTAACCTCCGACCAGGATTGTTCTCGCGTTCTCCATCACGGGCGCTATCATTCTCCTTCTCGTCGTCTCTTGGCTCCTCATCTACTTTCCTGTGTTCACCAAGCGCAAGCGGAAGGATTATACATGGGATGAAGAACAAACCGTCGACTTTGCAAAAGAGTATCAGTTTGAGGTGCTCGAGGCGGAGAATAAAAAAGCGAGGGATCAACTGAGCAAGAAGGATACCCTGCGTCCCGACGTCTTTGTTATGGCACCACAAGATGGACAGTAAGTGACCATTCATTTTATGATACTGGTACTTAAATCTGGGACTAGAACCCGACCTACGTCCCCTCGCAGTCTGTCGCATATGTTGCTCAGTATGGGTCGACAGCCTCCCCTGCGGGCGTTTACCTCGCCAGTTATCCAGGAGTGATCTCTTGGACGTCCTAGACAGATTGTAGTCAGCGCTTTGATGCAGCGAGATTTGCCATTCCCTTGAAATGAGAGTCTGCGAGCGCTCGGCTGTCGATTAGCCAGCAATAGTGGCTGGTCACTGCCACCATTTATAGTGGACCGGCATTTGCGGACGTTGGCTGGAGCCGATTTGTGGCTCAGCTGACGTCCTTCCCTTGGCGATCCCGGGATGGGGCGGCAGTGTCCATTGTTTGGTTCAGTTCCTTGCCTCTTTACCTCTCTGCGCCTTTTGTTCTTGAATTCATAAATGCCGTATTTTCAGCTACCAAATGACTTAGAGAAACGAGATGTCGCAGAGCGCTTTACTCCAAAGTACGTACGGTCGAGACTCGAGCGAGATTGCCACTATAGCGATGCATACAGGCGGCTAGGGACTCGCTATTCCATTTGATTCGTATATGATATACATGGATTACTGATACATCGAGTAGCGAGACGCAAAAGGTTACCCTCATCGTTGCGGCGTATGTCATTTCCGTGCTTTGTTGACGCCTAGTTCTCACCTCTGGTAGATGCTACATCGTTGCGATAGCCATTTTATGGCATGTTCCATTCCTCAAGTATCTCCGTACGTCCTATTCATAGCCACGTGCTGCATCATGGCCTAATAACTCCCGCTACAGTGTATCCCTTCAAGCTGCTTACTGTAGCATTGCACGAGGTATTTTAATCAATAATTTGACCCAACGACAGCAGTCTGAACCCACTGTTCCCAGTTTAGCCACGCATTCGCCGGTATTCTAACATGCGCTCGGATACACTCGATCCAGCTCGATCGTGCGTATTCAACTCCTACATGCACAGTACTTGTTCTCATAGTTTTTTTTAGCTGATGAAGGAGTAAGCATCTCCGGAGTCATGCTTTTCCCATGACGGTCCTCTGACACCAAGTTCATAATTACAGGGGGCAACGAGAATGGCTGGCGGGATCCCTATCATCACTCTACCTGCAGGATATCTCGGTAGCAGCTTCTTCGGCGCTTGCATGATTGCTTGTGGCTTCAATACGAACGCTTCAAAGGTTGCAAGCATTGCTCTAGCAGTATTATTCTTAATAGCGCTGTTCTGGGCACGTAAGAGTTGGATGTACGCCTCTCTTCTCGTTGTATTCCTTCACTTTGAGAACGCTCACCACGATACAGTACATGGGCTCTTATAATCGGATTTGCAGCTATCATCGTCGCTCTTTGGCTCATCAAGAACTCGATTGCCCTGCGCTACTTTGTTCTCTTCATGGGAGTCATGAGTTGCATGTACGGTACGTGCGGGTGCTGGCATCTAGACGCTTCCTAAGATCATACCAGTACTTTGGGATATTGTGGACGATACATTGGCGCGAAAGGTCAACACTAGTGATGCTTCGGTCTTCGCAAAGATTTGTGGATGCTGCAGTAGTCGAGGTGAGAACTTTCGATTGTTTTCGGTGTTGATTAACGACAAATAGTATGGGGTTTTATTTGGTTGATTATCGCCTGTATCTACTTCGGTCTCGGTCTTATTGTTGGTCTCGTTGCGTTCAAGGTACGAAGAAACAAAGATTCTGCTCGTGCATGACTCACCGATACTCAGCAATCCGAGGCACAAATGCAAGAAGACGCAAGGCACTTCATCCCAGCTCCAGGGGCATAACGAAATCTAATTCCAGGATGCCATCAGACATCACGATCAATGACACGAATGAGGATGTACGACAAATCAGACAGTCGGAATGGACTTATAGGCGGACGCAGCAAACGGACCGAAACGAATTGTCATGTAGTGCCACAAATTAACAATGTGACTTATTTATCTCAAGCGTGCCCCACTTGGTTGAAGACGTGTGCACATTCAAAGGTTTCGGTAGACTATGGGTGGTCAAGGATACAAAAATGAAGATGGAAACGACACAGTGCCATTGCTACGTGAATCGTCCCCGCATCGCGTGAAGATAGCCTGGTCTGACCTGGTCGAGTGGGTGCAAAAACCTGTCACAGCCTTAGGGATGCCTGAGCACTAGTAAAGATCCTCCAAGGGGCATCGGCCAAGCAAAGAAACGAGATGAGTAGTGGAAGTCGCCAACTCGAAAGAGCCTGTTACCCGCCGCAGGCAATCGACAGATGTGAATAAAGTAAAGAAAAGGATCGATAGAGATAGTGAATAGCGCCAGAACACTCTGTCTGACGCGATGACAGCTCTGAGGCCGCTGGTAGAGGGAATGGAAGACGAGACGAGTGGGGTGATGCAATAATGACAGGAAGGGGAGCCGGGCGGCCGAGGTTGTACAGTCAGGAAAGGGGAAGATATTGAAGCACCTTGTCAAGGAGAGCGGTCTCAGACGGTTGGGACGTCAAGACTAGCGTTTCCGAGCATTGCGACGAGCATATCATCGTCTTTTCGCCTCTTGTGGCGCTTCCTGCGGTCTTCCCTAATAGTACGCTCAATCTTCCTGCGGAGCTTGCTTTGCGCGCGGTTCTCGGTGCCACTAACGGAGCCGAGTTTGTAGGCTGCCAATTCGATGGAAGCGAGGAGCCGAAGAGCATCGTTGTTCGTCTGGGCATGAAGCGAGTACGAGATTACACCCGCTGGCTCGACAGATGCAATGACTATAAAGTTACCACGTTTATCAACACTGATGTTTGAGCTTTCGGAAAATGTGGCGATCGTCTTGTCGTTACTTTGCAAGCGAACAACTGTTTCGACAATAGGAAACAAAATTTAGTACCATATCGATATGAATGCATAAAGCAGCGGAAATTTTGACGTACCGACGATGGGTGTCTTGGGTGTGAGTTCCTGATAGACGCCCACGCGTCCGACATAAGACCAATTATCTCTTCCAGGTCGCCTGATGTGCATTTTCGCAGGAATTCTGTCACTGTGCTCTTCGTCGCGTGCGTCTATTGGGGATCATGACGAGTCGTAAGCATGCGTCCATGAGGAGACCGACGAGGTGAACGAGAGAATGATAGAGTAAACAAAACTCACCTTCTTGATCTGCGGCGCTCGCTGCGACGGCGGGAGGGATGAAGGCTGCAAATGGCCCGTTGACCGTCTCTGCGCCCTGGGGCACCGTCTGCTGGTGAGCAGGCAAGGCAAATCCAGATTGTGGAGGCCACTGGGGGGCTTGGAATCCCGTCGTTGGATGCTGAGCGGCGCTCATGTCTGGGTGTGCCACCGCGACTTGCGCTGGCTCAAGGTCCATCTGAATGTCGTCGGACATGGTTTCGCAGATGTTTTTCCTGCTAATGTCGTTCCAAGGCGTCTGTTCGTTGGTCGATGCGATAGTCGGTTGTTGGCTTGGATGTGGTTAGGAGCAACTTTGGTTGTGCCACCTTTATGGACTTGCGGCGCCAAGTATGGCCATAAATGAGGAATATGAGGCTTGATCTGGTCGCTGTGACAGGTTTTGGGGCTTCGTTTGCCCGGGAGATGCTCCCTGGCGCGGTCAGACCGCCGGGCGTACCCTCAAAGGCAGGAAGCCTGCAGAAACCTAATTTTATGCTACGACGTACTGTACAATCCTGGTGACACCATTGCTTTTCCTTTACAACCTGATTCGCAATCTGACACTCGCTCAATAGAAACCCGATAACCCAAGACAAAGCTGAGAGAAAGAGCATTTCTTCAATCGTACTATTATGTGCCCCATATATTCTCCGTCTGGAATTCTCGCCAATCCTGGTGATACTCTACGGAGGGCCCGCCCGTTCTCTACGAGCCGGCAAGCATTCCCCGAATCTCTGTGCCAACCTTTAAAGCTCTCGTAGCATCGACCCACTGCATAGCCTCTGTACTCGGGCCTCAGGAGACATCCTTAATGGAGAACAGGCTCACCCTCATACGTCCTGGGTATGACTGTCCGGCTAAAGCTTCGGTCAGGAGAGCCCCATGTAAACTTGAACTCGTTCGTGACACGCTCGTCGCCTGTCTGGTCGTCGATGACAGACGCACTAACCACGACATGCTGTGAGCTTGTTGAGCGTAGTCAAGCGATGCACAAGAGAACTTGCCACAGAACTTGGTGCATTCGAAACGGTGTGAACAATTCTTGATCGTAGTCGAAGGACGGATCCAATGGGCACTGGATGCTTGAAGGTGATTTCGTCCAACGACATAAAACGTAGCACTCCTCTAGTGAAGATGGCGGCATTCGAGTACCCAAGTTCATATGCAAGGCGCATCAAATAGCCTGAGGTGGTGTTAGCTCACTTCGGCTGACATTTGATGGATTTACCTCCAAAAACCTTGCTCTGAATACTACATCACTCATTAGTTTATCGATAGAGAGATTATCGGCGCTTACTTTCGTTGTTGAGGATACATTTGCATCGTGTTCTCCAACAAAGTCTCGCTGATCGGTACGGGTTGGAGTCCGTCGCTATTTTTTGTCCCGTTGCCATACTTGAGATACAGATGATGCAAAAGAGCTGCTTCCTCCGAGGTTGGTGGTTTCTTGTCGAGGGATTGCTGCCCCCGAGTCTGCCTTCGTTCCTTTAGTGCTGCCACGTTTGAGCAAAGCCTCATCAAAAGAACCCACAATAGATACCTTCTCCCATCGCATATAACTTCTTCTCATCTTCCGTCATTGGGATGAGTCCATTCACTGGCCGAGCCTTGTGAGTAAACGCATCGAGACAAACCATTGTGAACCGGCCTGGCAGACGATAAGTGTGACTTAGAACTCGCTATGACACACACCAAGCATGATTGTCTCCTCCGCATTATCTCGGCCCAAAGCCTCCATCTTTACAACGACTTCCATAGAGCTTCGACCAGTATAAATAACCTGTCCACTCAACCGTATATCCTTGACGTTTGAAGGAGTCAGCGGATGCAGCATATCTAAGCTAGAGTCCTATGAGCTCTGCGTCAATGGGCAAAATAAGAGCATACCGTTCGACAGCAGCCGTCACGACATAGAAGCCACGGTCGTTGATGCTCCCCTTGATTTGAGTGACGCCCCGTTCCATAAGATGCTTATAAGCCACACCTCCCGCTAAAGCATCAAGGTCTTCCATCAGTTTCCCAGTTCGAATCCCCCCACGTGCATTCGTATATTGTTCCAACACAGCGGGATCACTGCTAAAGGGCAATACAAACTATATGTTCTCAGTTGTTGTACCAAGGGGTGTGAAGCAGCTGACCTCGGAGTAGGAATAATGCATGGGCCGAGCCGGCAGTTCAGAGGACGTTTCTCTCTTTTCAGGAGCCTCTACTTGTGTCCTAGAAGACCCAGATCGGAGAGATTCTGTCCAGAGCTGGGGAGAACGCGTTGGCATTGTCCTACTCGTACGTCAGTGATGCCGGTCACAGGGCACTTTCGGACGAACGATCTCAACGCTGGGTCAGAGCGGTCCCCTGTTGACCTATTAGAGTTTTATAATGATTGGAAGTCGAACACTGACGGACGAGCTCCAATAGTCGGTCCAGCTCGCGCACATTCCGGATATCGTCCACCGGTTTCACAGGCCCGTTCGAAGTCACCGTCGTCGACACACTCTTCCAAAGAAAGTTCATCTTTACAGGACCAATTGTAAGGCGAGGAGGTCTAGAACGTAGAAAGGATCGATACATGGTGCGTAAATACTCTCGCGGTGAGGTCCAAGTTAGAAAGTTGCACACAACCCTCCTACAACCAACCACCAGAGAGCTGATAATTCATCAAGTTTTGTAATGTAGCTGCGTCGTTAGTTCAAATGTGAGCAATGTGAAAGAGATCAGTCAAAGTAGCATGAGACTAAGCCTAGTTAGTATGCGAGTGAGTGCACACGTATACAGTTAGTGGTCATAGATGAGTTTGAGCGTTAGCAAGTTGGGAATAGAGTGAAAGCAAGCTCAGTAGTAGCCAGCATACCCTTGCTGGCCGTACCCAGCCTGTTGCCACGCATTTGCACCATATCCTCCATAACCTTGGCCGGCGTAACCTGCGTAGCCTCCAGGATAGCTCTGACCGCCCTGTTGGGGTCTCTGTCCGCCGCTGGGTTGCAACCATACCTCTGGTCGACGCCATGGAGGGACAGACGTTCCACCGGCAGGAATTTCGCCTATACCTCCACTTTGACCCCATGGAGCGCTTCCAGAGCCTGCACTTGCTGCTGCTGCTGTCTCGCCCAGCTCCGCCATCAGGTTAGCGAACTCGGAATCGACATAGCCACCTGGTCCTCCCGCAGAGCCTCGCACGAGCGCGTTGTTCCCGTTCATTGGTGGACCATTTGGGCTCATAAAGTTGCCATTAGGATTCGGTCGTTGCGTGCAATCGCGGGCCATGTGACCTGCACTCCCACAAATGCGACAGATAATGTTGGCGGTAAAGTTGCGTTGCTCTGGACAGTCGTACTTGCGATGACCTACGCCTCCGCAGTTTTGGCAAATCTGGTTCTCATCGTCACGCAGGGTACCGTTTAGTGCAGCCAGCTCGCGCAGCTGATTACGCTTGTGGTCATTCTGACCTTCTGGAGTGCTCGCTGCCTGTACGAGGTCAGTAATCGGTCAACTTGATTCAGAGACACGTACCGTTTCAATAACCTTGTTAATAAGCCGGACACATGCGCGGACCTTTTCTTCGGAATCAGCCATTACAAGGCAATGAAGGTCCTCTTCCGAGTCGTCAGCGAAACCGTCGGGCCTTCCCTTTCCTTCCTTAACGCTCCCTTTACCACGGATGCTGATCTTGGCGCCGCTGTCTTTTTCCATCTTCTTCAAGCTGTTTCCACGTGGTCCGACAAGAAGACCGAAAAAGTTGATCTCGGGAAACTCTTTGACGGGGATATAGACCTTTTCCTGTGGACGAAGAGAACGTTTCTGCTGGTGATACTCGACGGGAGGGCGGAAGTTAGGATCAATGGACAATGCCTTTTCAACCAGGCGAACACGCTCTTCCTCGAGCTTCTTCTTGTAGCGCACCTCGCGCGTGTTAGTACGGCGACCCTGAGAATCATAGGTAGGGGGAGGGGAGGGAGACCTGTTGTCGTGAGCAGAGTCAAAATACGTGGTAAAAGAATACAAACCTTTCACGCTCTGAAGGAACATAATCGTTGAGTCTCAGCTTTCTGTTAATCTCTTCAAGACGGAGCTGGATCGCGTAATTGTCAAGCTGGGCTTGGGAAATGTTTGTGGAGGAAATCGCTGTAGGCAAACCGGGGAGTTCCATCTTTTGCGAGGCCTCTCCCCAGCGACTACGACGCTTCCTTGGCTCCTCGGGCATCGCTGGAGGCCGTGGGTCAGCGGGCGTGTTACACAGTGTTATCCGGCTTGTATACGTACCAGGCGCAGAGGAGCGCTGCTCATCCTGGGACTGTCGCTCTCTCTCTGATTCCTGGAAGCGACTACGAGGGAAATCGTTTGGTGATGGGGCAGCGAGCTGCGGGGGCGCCATATCCTCTACTGGAGCAGCGCCAAATCTGCGTTTTGAACCGAGTGGAATATCATTCGTTCCAGTCGTCTTTACTGCACGCCAGGACATTTTGAGTTTGAAGAGGTGGTCAGGGATCAAGAAGTGAGCTTTGTTTGCTGACAAACAATTGCTGCTCTTTGCCGCCAACCACCTCTAACCTCTTACATTGTAGACACTATTTCTGGAATGAAACGCGCTGCTGATGGTATGCTCGATACTTTTTGAGGAGTTTTAATCGTGTGCTCAGGCCCGCAGACGTGGGTCAAGCGCCTATGAAGATCAAGCGGCTCAAGCTGGTCGCCAAACCACCCGCTGACTCGATGGACCTGGACTATGTCGACCCGTCCGACGAACAGAGCGACCCGTCTACCCCGCAGCGCGCCAACAAGATCAATCTGAGCGCGCTGCATAAGAAACTTAACCAGGCAAGAGTGCCTGATTCCTCTGCACCACCGTCAGCAGTCACAAGCCGCGAAAGACTACCTGCTCTCGAAACTGTGACGCGTCGGCAGCAGGACCACTTGGTCGCACGCATGTTTCGCGAGAGGCAGGATTGGTCAAATCTCAAGCTCAAGAATGATCACGCCGCCCGTCCGTTGTGGATTAATCCAGACGACAGGACTCTCATCCTGGAAGCGTTTTCGCCAATAGCGGAACAGGCGCAGGATTTCTTGGTTGCTATCAGCGAGCCAGTCAGCAGGTATGCTACCCTGCATCCAAGTCTAAGGATGCTAAATAACGTGCATAGGCCTGAGTTTATTCATGAATACAAGTTGACAATCTATTCCCTCTACGCCGCCGTCTCAGTCGGCTTGGAGACCAACGATATCATCGAAGTGCTTAACCGTTATTCAAAGGTACCCGTACCAGAGTCTATCGCCAAATTTATCCACGACTGTACCGTTTCGTATGGCAAAGTCAAGCTCGTGCTCAAGCATAACAAGTATTTCGTCGAATCGAGTCATCCAGAGATTGTACAAAAGCTCCTTAAAGATCCAGTGATTCGAGGTGCAAGAATCACTGAAGAGACAATGGAGGAAAGTACGGCGATCGCGCCAAAACCCGCTCCTGCAAAACCTGAGCCAGCAAAGGACGACGAGCAGCAGGCGCAAGATGTCTTTGCCGCAGTCATTGGTGCAGAACGAGGTGGGTGTTCACGTCTTTCATACGGCTTGTTCTAACCTGTCCAGACGACCTCGAGGAGGATGATATCAATATTTCGTTCCAGATTGCAGACGCTCGCATTGATGTGAGTGCATATATTTCCTGAGCCAAATTTCTAACTGTAAACAGGATGTAAAGAAGCGATGCAACGACTTGCAGTATCCGATGCTAGAAGAGTACGACTTCCGGAACGACAAGGTCAATCCGAACCTAGATATTGATCTAAAGCCTGCGACAACGATCCGACCATACCAAGAAAAGAGCCTGAGCAAGATGTTCGGCAACGGACGTGCTCGGTCGGGCATCATTGTGCTTCCATGCGGTGCGGGCAAGACGCTCGTAGGCATTACAGCAGCGTGTACGATTAAGAAGAGCTGCCTTGTGCTCTGCACCTCGTCGTACGTATTCTTTTCAACTAGGAGTCGTGTGCTGACCAGGATAGTGTGTCGGTAATGCAATGGCGACAGCAATTCATGATGTGGTCCAACATTGCGTCGCAGCAAATCTCCGTATTCACCGCAGACCAGAAAGAAAAGTTTAGCGGTGACAGTGGAATCGTGATTAGCACATATCATATGATCGCAAATACGCATAACCGATCCCACGAGTCGAAGAAAATGATGGACTTTTTGACCGGCCAGGAGTGGGGGTTCCTGTTGTTGGATGAGGTGCATGTCGTCCCGGCCAACATGTTCCGGAAGGTAGTCACAACGATCAAGGCACATTCGAAGCTCGGATTGACAGCGACGCTCGTACGTGAGGATGATAAGGTGGTCGACTTGAATTATATGATCGGCCCGAAGTTGTACGAAGCGAATTGGATGGATCTCGCGAAAAAGGGGCATATTGCAAATGTGCAGGTACGTCTCTTTTGGGTTCTCCGGTTGGAAAGGCGTTTGGCTAATCCCTGCAAAAAAGTGTGCAGAGGTGTGGTGTCCGATGACATCGGAATTCTACGCAGAATATCTGAAGCAGGACACGCGCAAGCGAATGCTGCTTTACTGCATGAACCCCGAAAAGTTCCAAGCGTGTCAATTCCTGATCGACTATCACGAGCGACGAGGGGATAAGATCATCGTGTTCTCCGACAACGTCTACGCACTTCAGGCGTACGCCAAACGTCTGAACAAGATGTACATCCACGGCGGAACTCCGCAAGTCGAGCGCATGCGTGTTTTGCAGCACTTCCAGAATAACCCGCTGACCAATACCATCTTCTTATCGAAAGTCGGGGACACCTCGATCGATTTGCCAGAAGCGACGTGTTTGATCCAGATTTCGTCGCACTTCGGATCGAGGCGACAAGAAGCACAGCGGCTGGGTCGAATTCTGCGGGCCAAACGTCGCAACGACGAAGGGTTCAATGCGTTTTTCTATTCACTGGTGTCCAAAGACACTCAAGAGATGTATTACTCGACAAAGCGGCAGCAATTTTTGATCGACCAAGGTTACAGCTTCAAAGTGATCACCGAGTTGGACGGGATGAAGAGTATGCCAAATCTGGTGTACAAGACCAAGGACGAGCAGATTGAGCTGATGCAAGAGGTGCTCACGGCCAAGGATTCGGATGCAGACCTGGGTGCGGACGTTCATGGTGGCGAAGATGATCTGGCAGGGACGGTCACGAGCAAACACTTCGGGTTCCCTGGTGGAGCGAAGCGGACCACAGCAAGTTTGGCCGGGGTCAGCGGTGGGTCGCACATGAGTTACCGCGAGACGAACAAGAGTGCGAACCGGATGATTGGCAAAGAAGGGGCGCCCAGTGGGAGTAGTACACCGGTCCGAAATAAGCTGTTCGTGGCTCGAGATAAGCACCAGAAGCAGCTGAAGGGGACATAGTTTAGTCACTTTTCCGGTCGTCCGAAGATTATAGCTTGCCTCGGCGCGCGCATGTATGATTGGCTGTCCAATTGATGATTACTAGACCTTGGCTGCGTGGGCGCTAAGTCGAAGAAGTGGGTGACCAAGCACCTCGGGAGTTTCGTCATACCAGATGACCTTTCGGCAAACGAGACATTTTCTATCGAAGTCGAGACCTGGTTGGTGTCGGCGCGACTCCGTTGGGATCGGGGAGTGGCTGTTATCAGACTGTGGTCAAAGAATAGGGAGCTGACGAGTCAAGGCGCATCTGATCCTGCTGATGCTCAGTCAGCACAAACATAAATCCTTGTCGTGTACGATCTCTCAGGTGCCCATATGGCGCCTCGTCCGCTCCTCACTCTGCTCGTCCTAGGGACGTGGGCAGCAACTGTATACGCACACGGCAGTGGACATGGACATGGATCTGGCGCACCACTAGAGGAAATCGACGAGGACGAGATCCTCCGCTACCACGCGCCCAACGGCGTGTCTTACTACGACTATGACTATCTAGCTGCTACTCCAAAAACTAATACAACAGTCTTTGGAAACGTTGCGGTAATCGACAAGAGGCATGGTGGACTGATGATGCTTCATGCAACTGCGCTCGGCATCAGCTACCTTGGCCTACTTCCCCTAGGTACGGTTGTATTTTTTTGGCTGATGGGTGGCGCTGCCAATGCTGACATGCCGTGTCCACGTCACTAGTGATCGCCCTCAGTGCCGGCCGTCATCGCTTAGCGACACTGGCTCGATCAACCTTTTGGAGCCTGAACTTGATTGGATGGGCGGCAGGAAGAGCGTATAGAAGACTCACCCCGGATTTGTATGCCCCTTTTCTGTCTGGGATGAATTATTCAACGTATGTACAGATACCATGGCTCAACGCACGCGACGTCCGGGGCAGTCTTAATCTGGCTATCTGCCATGGTCGCCTTCGCCGACATCTTTCCAGCACTCATGCCGCATATACACAAGTTGATACATCTCTTCAAATCAAGAATCGCTAAAAGAAAGGAGGAAGAAGTCGAGTATATGCTCTCCGACTCACCTGTACCCCTTGACGATGATGCACATGCCACTGCATATGCAATGTTCTCATCACACAATTCCCATAAGCGACCAAGTCATTGGAAGAGACATTCAATCAACTCTGACCACTCGACATTACATGATGATCACCATCCGCACCATGCGACTTCTCGACCCTCTTTACGAAGTCGGCTCCTCCGTCTAGCGAGCCATGCTATTGAAGTCGTCGAGAGAAGTCTCGTCGTCTATGCCTGGGGTCAGATATTATCCGGGTTTACAATCTACGTTGGCTGGGGTCGGGCAGAGTACATCAATGGTATCCTTGCTCATTTTATCAGTGAGTTATCTTGTTGTCTCTTTTAATCCTTGTTCTCAACACCATCATATAGAGGGTTCAATCTTCTGGTGGTACGGCATCCTTACCTTTGCACGTTATATGGGTGCTTGGGCGAGTTGGGGATGGGCATGGAACACTTTCTCTTCAAAATCACGAATAATGTCCGCCTCATTCCTCGAATCTCTCGTCATATTTGTCTATGGCTTCACCCAGCAATTTATGGAACGATTAGGCAAACATCCAGGAGACCCATACAGTGCAAAGGATATCGAGCATATCTCAATCGCTGTCATGTTTTGGGCTGGTGGGCTTGTTGGTATGGCTGTCGAGAGCCCAGCAGTCCGAAGGTGGCTTATAGGCGACGATAACGACGCCATTCGTGATCATAGTCACGACGAGAGTGAAAGGGAGAGAAAAGGCAAGGCCAGCCTTTCCTCTCCTTTGCATGTTGAGAATGCCCATCTCCAAAGGCCAACACCAATGGCCCAGGCGAGCTCGAGTCCAAGTCCCAACCCATTGCCCGCTGTCGTTATTGGCATCACTGGTATCGCGATGAGCGCACACCACCAAACCTATCGTTTCCAAGTGCAGATCCACTCACTCTGGGGCTTCCTTCTCCTTGGCTTTGCCATCTGTCGCTGCATTACCTGCTTCTTGCAGTGGGTCAAGCCAATTCCTTCATCCTTTTCGAATGAAAAGGATTCGGTTCACTCGAGGTCTCCAAGGAGAGACTCGAGCGAGACGATTATGGAGGACATGGTAGAGAATGGACGAGATTGGGTAGGACCTCCAAGTCGTCCGCCCTCCGAGCTCGTTGGTTCCATCTTCCTGGGTGCGGGAGGTATCTCGTTCATCTGCTCTGATGAGCAAGTCACATTTTGGGCCATGAGGACCGAGCGAGGTGCGTATCTCTCTTGTATTCAAGAATCACTACTGAAACAGCCATAGATGATATGATGATGTTCCTCAACCTCGCTATTGCCCTCACTGCAGTTGCTTATGTGTGGACGACGCTGATCCTCCTCGTCTCCAGGATAGCGAAGAAGAAACAAAGATTGTTGTAAAGTCAAAATGTTGTAGACATGTAATTGAGGAAGTGAGCTTTGCAAACTGGGAATAGCATAAATCTGTGGGCGTCGATATCGCGACAGGGTTTCATTGGGTCAACCAGCTTGTCAACGGTTCGACATTGGTGGGGCTGCAAACGACCAAGTATGTATAGAATGCTTTCACCCAGATCGCGGAGCGCTACTCGGGAAGATTTGTAGGATACTGTCGAATCCCAATTAGTTTGGAGACCCCTGTCGTGGCCGACATTCCTTGAGGTACTGAAGTATATATACAGAGAATTTCGGCCAAATGCAAGTTATTGAGCTGGGCGGGCGGTCACACTGTCCGAATGAATGGACCTCTCTTCTTCTCCTCATCCGCCACCGTCATCTGAGACTCGAGTCCATGAAGCGTCTCTTTGGATTCCAGAGCAAGTCTCCCAAATCAAACATACAACATTCGAATTCAAACACGTCCAAAGCACCTCCTCAACTTGTCACCAGTAATGTGATGAATGATGCCAAGGGTGTTGCGAAGTCGGGCGAGACGAGTAAATCGCGGGAAAGGCGAATAAGCGCTACAAGTGAATCAGAACGAAAGAGTCCGACCCTCTCGTCGCGCCCCACGGCGCCAAAGAAGAGTGATGCGGAGCTCTGGCGGTCCATGCGCCTCGTTCTGACAGAGGATGCACTGCTCGTCCGTCCGCTTAGTACCAAGAGTACCAGGGAGAACAATGTCGGGGAACATCTCAAGCTCAGCTGGTCCAAGTCTATCCGCATTGAGCGTGTCTTGCGTGCCCACAACGACAAGCAAGAAGATGAACTAGTTACAGAGGATACGCTAGAAATCCGTGGAATCATTGGCATTATCACGCTCTTCAGTGCATCATACCTGCTGGTGATCACAAGCTTGACGGATCTGGGTAATTGTGGGTTTAGTTCCTCTCACCACGACGATTAAACTCTGATGACTGCGTAGTATGTGGCCCGACGCGTCAGGTCTATGGCATCCAAGGCGTCGCATATGTGCCGCTAGATTATGGGCGAGCCAAGGATGTCTTCCAGCGGCTCAAACGGGCATCTCAGCGTTCTCAGGTTCCAACTGCTGCTCCACTCAATAACACTAGTGTAAGTGACACGGGTTCGCTACACGTAAAGTGGGCACCTCAACATATCCCTAATGTTGTACCCGACGCGGATTCCATCTTATCCTCTTCCCCTTCTTCATCTGGCTTCTCTACTCCTACTTCTGCAGGAGTGTCTATCGCACCATTGGCAAAGACTCTAGCAGATCGATTATCATTTTGGAAAACTCGACAAGCCGGTCGTGCGGATGAAGCCTCTCTCGTTTCTGCACCCACACGGGCAAATATAGGTGGAAGCACAACGGGAGAGGATACCCTAGGAGAGCTAGTGGATAACATCGATAGCGGCGATGTGGATAACGTGGATGCGGCACAGGCAGTAGAGGATATCGTTGCAGCTGCGACTGGACCCCAACCCTTGACAGCGGAAGAGAAGAATGCAGCAGTCGAGGAGAAAGTACTCAGAGAGCTGGTCCGCCAATACACGAAAGGAGGAATGTACTTTGCCTACTCTTTCGGTGAGTATCCCTGGTGCTGCAAGTACTGGATCCGTGGGCTCATACACTAGTAGATTTATCCAACTCGCTTCAACATAAGCAACAAAACATAGAGCGGATAAAGAAGCAATGTTCCATTCTCTCCGACCTTGATGCAGCCTCTGATGATGTTTGCAAGCCAAATCAAAGTCGAACAGAAGCAGATGATAAGGTGGATCCTTGGGAGGAACCGCTCGCCCATCTTCCTCTGTGGAGGCGCATCGAGCGCAAGTTTTGGTGGAACGAGCACATGCTCCAGCCATTCATCGAAGCGAAGTGCGTTTTCGCATCTTTCTCTATTCCTATTGGAATATATGAACTGAAAACTTGTTATAGCTACATGGCTATATTCTTCCAATCCTACAAGGCTTCTTCCAATGTGCCACCTTCCACATCCCCATTACGCCAGATCCGATCACTCCTATGCCTCTCACAAGCGAAATTGGTACTTCTCCCATAGTACCGGTTGATGCGCAAGGTGCCGAAGCGCAGCTAAACGCTGCAGACGATGCAGCATCAATAAAAGTCGAATACGCCACCATCTCTCGACGATCGAAGGAGCGCGCCGGACTCCGTTATCAGCGTCGTGGCATCGATGCCGACGCGCATGTTGCGAATTTTGTTGAGACGGAGGCAATTGTCAGGCTAATGGTGAGTTCTTATCAGCTTTAGGTGAACTCTCCTAAAGCGTCTTAGCGAGAGGATACAGAGAATGTATTCTCCTTTGTTCAAATACGAGGATCTAGTATGTCCATGATGCCTTATATCGCAGAGGGAGCATTGACGGTGATTAGTACCTCTATTCTGGTCCCAGCCAGGATATGGTCTCAAGCCGCCACCACAGCTTGATTCTACAAAGACTTCAGAGCAAAACTCACAGGCTATGAGAGCACACTTGGCGAATGCCATTGCACGGTATGGACCGGTGGTAAGAGCATCTTTACCATGCGTTGTAATCTTGACAGTTGCCTGCAGAGTTGCGTGAATCTAGCGGAGCAAACGGGCAAAGAAGGGCCCATCACGGATGCATTTCGAGAGACGATGAACGGGTTGGGGCTGCAGGGTGCAAAGTGAGTCCCTAAATAACGCATAATGAAATGTTGATTGTTGTAGGTATAACGAGTACGTCGCAATGTTCCTGCTGATATGGGACTGACATTGACGAGATGGGACTTTCATCGCGAGTGTCGAGGGATGAGGTTTGTGCTTAATCCAGACGACGCGGTGACTCAGCCTCTGTAGATATGAAAATATCTCCAAGCTCATTCATAAACTGGAGAGGACGTTCGAGCAACAAGGGTCGGTACCTTGTCATAAGACTGGAGGGGTTTCAACGTAATACGTAGATTCTACTGGACATCTGGCTCGACAATCCTAGCAAGACAAAAAGGCGTATTCCGCGTCAACTGTATCGACTGTCTCGACCGGACAAACGTCGTGCAATCGGCCTTTGCCCGGCACGTACTAGCCACTCAACTCGAGGCAGTCGCCATCTTGCACGAATCCGGTACCGCCCATACAGAAGCTGAAGCAGTCTTTAACGATGGTGAGAGGCTACATGGGTTGGTAAAGTAGTCATAATTGACATGCCCTTAGTCTGGGCGAACAATGGAGATGCAATCAGCCGGGCATAGTATGTGACCAGAAAAGGAGAGAATATTACTGACCACATCTAGTGCGGGGACGTCCGCTCTCAAAGTAAGTCCTTTTTGCTAATCCCAACGTAGCTGATATTGTTCAGGGAGACTATACAAGGTAAGCTGGAACAGAGTGGATGAGAATGTTACTCGACGAGTATAGGACTGGCAAGCGGGACCTTGGAGGCATGCTTAATGACGGAATCAACTCGCTCGCTCGGTAAGGATCAAGGACTTGATGGACTTTATTGATTTTTTGCAGGGTATACACGTCGACCTTTAGCGATTGGTTCTCGCAATCCGTTATCGACTTTATGTTGGGTTATCGAGGCCCGAGCGTGTTCACCGAATTCCTACAAACGCTCTCCTCGTCTGAACCGAGCGAGGTCATCAGGCTGTCCAAAGTCAGAGAAGCAGCCATAGAGCATGCATCTTTGATGGTGATTGTCAATGATGAGCGGCTGACAGCTGGATGGACTCTCCTCTCCCCCGAAGCGCTGGACGTGCGCTTGGCGGACAAGTTTGAAGAAAAGATTCTCCTCTTGGTGAGTGCTCAGTGTCTATTGGAAGCCATCTCACGCGCCATTAGACTACAAAAGCGATCTACATCGTTGTATGTTTTTGGCCCATGCACAGGTCAAAGCTCACGTTAGCAGAGTTACGATTACTCGCTTGAAAAGGTCAAGGTATCGACAAGAGTACCATTAGGAGACATTGTCAGCATCCAGAGAGGTACGACTGTAGAAAGGTTAACGCAGATTGCTCACTTTTGTAGGCGCATATATTCTGTCCACGCTCAACAGCCAGACTCGTGATCCAGAAACAAACTATGGGGTTAATATCTCCTTTCTTGCTGCCCGACAAGATACGCGAATCACCAGCTACTCTGTTCGGAACCGGTTCGACCTCAGCGGACGTGATAACCCTCCTCGATCGGCGACAGATGGCAGCTTTGGAGCGACACTTTCGCAGATCCTGGCTGATGCAAATTCGCCAAACAAGGTCGTATCGGTTGCATTCAAATGTCTCCCTGTGGACGCAGCGCGGGTTTTCGGGACCGACGGCTCGCAATCCGCGACGAGTCCGAAGACACCCAAGGAAGCAATCGAGAGGCTTGTACAGACGCTCGCAAAGGCGTGCGGAGACTATGGAGTAGTCGACGAGACATTTTTGAGCGAGGCGGATATTGTAAGGTACGCACTGGACGGCGCCGAAGTGGCAATAGATTCGCGGCACGGCAACTGATCGCTGTGCTAGTCTGGCAGAAGCGCAAAAGACGACGAGCGTGTTTGCGAGGTTCGAATACAACTTTAAGCGGCTGTTGTGGCTCGGGAGTTGAGGCGGATGACGAGTGTGTAGGCACCCACGGAGCTGGCCTTTCATTCAAAGTAACCTAGTAAAATTTGTAGCCTTGACCCCTACCGCGTCGTTTGTGTCGACGCAGAGTCGCAAATACCACGGCCTAAAAAGCGAGGAAAAATACAAGTTTATGTCGTTTAACAACCCATACGGTCAGCCGCAGTCGGGCCCCTCTCTGCCGTCGTCCATCGGCACCGCGCTCGATCGCCAGAGCTCGCTGTCTAGCCCATACTCTGCGCAGTTTCCGTCACCAGTAAATGGTTCAAATGCCCAAGCAAAGGCCGGCAACAAACGCAAGAGAGCACCGGCAGACGTCGCCCATCGGCATCCGTCAGAGGACAGCTACAACAGCGACGGTCATGGTATGCGCTCAAATCGCTATATATAACTTGTTTAATCATCTCAAACACAGAATCAGGCCCCACTTCGGCGCATAACGGTGTCCACAGCTCGAAGAACGCCTCAAATCCCCAGAACAGCGACGTAAAGAAGAGGACGAAGACGCAGCGCGCCTGCGACAAGTGTCGGACAAAAAAGATACGGTAACTACTTGGTTGCTCATCTCCAAACGTCGCCGGCGGCGCTAACCATCCACCTCTATCCCAGCTGCGACGTACTGCCCGATACCGATCCGCCAGTGAGTGTCCCTCCCGACGTCGTAACTTTGCTGACGGGGTGCGTAGCTATGTGCCCACTGCAAACAATACAATTATGACTGCACATTCTTCCTTCCAATCCAGGTATACTTGCCCTCCGTGTTGTTTACATCCCCAATTCTCATCTATCCCTCAGGAAACCAGATTCAAAAAGAAGCGACAAGAAGAGGATGCCTCGCTCCAAGGCCGAACTTATGGCCCAGGACATCCAGGACACCCAGGAGAGAGGAGCGAGACGAGGGTCGAAGTCCGAACATTTGGTATGCATGCCGTTGCGCTTGTCGATGCAACTTTGTGCTCATGGCTGCTCTCAGGGCCCACATCGGTTCCGTTCATGATCAATTCTACCGCGGCCCTTCACGTGCCTGTTGACGTACACGGTCTGCACCCACGCAACGTCTGGAACGTCGTGACAGCTGGGGACGGGTACATTAAAGTCGGACCGCTCAAACCTGTGACCGACTCATCCCTCGGGCCAAAGGCTCCAGACGTGCGGGTAGAACGGGACATTGTCGAACGCCTCATCAACAGCTACTTTGCCAACATTTCTCCCATCTTGCCCATTATCACCAAAGCCGAATTTGTCGCGTATCAGCCGAACCCTCCACCTATCTTGCTATACAGTATCTGTCTCATGGCTGCCACATTGCGTGACACGCCTCGCGGCATCTTTGACGCGCTCCGAAAGATCGTGTCGAGCATTATCAAGAACGACGACGTGCTCTCGACGCCGAGTCTTGCGCACGTGCAGGCCTTGCTTGTCCTGAGCATGACCGCTGATTGCCATGGTACGCAACCGAATCCACTCTCGTTTTTGTGGGTCAGAAGTGGCGTAGCCATTCGAATGGCGCAGGACCTCAACCTTCACCGAGCGGAGATTAGCAAAGAAGGGATGGAAACGAGGCGAAGGGTATGGGCAACATGTGTCGTGGTTGACAGATGGTAAGTTATTCTCCAAAAGATGTAGATCCAGCTCATCAGGTCAGGCAAGCTGCATCGTTTGGGTACCCGCAAGTGAGAAGACGACGTTTTTCTTCCAACCTCGACTAATGCGTTTAGATGATCGACCTGACGGATTGCGACGTCCGACTCCCGACTCCGCAGGACCAGGGAATCGGATATCTCAACGCATTAACCCGCCTATCCATCATTCTGGGTGAGGTACTCAAAGCCATTTATAGGCAAGTACTCTTGCCAGGGAAGAGGCTCATAATTTGACAATCGCAACAGCCCTAGCGGTCTCTACAGCGCAAATGACGCTATGCTGGAGGACATTTTGCGACGTTTGGATCTTTGGAAACAAAACCTTCCGGTTGAATTGACTTTTACTGGACCCGAATCGAAGCCAGCTGCTGGTATGTAGCCATCAGTCAGTCGGCTTCCGCCGCTCAACCGCACAGGCCTCTTACACGTCTACTACACCTGCGTCTGCATGATTTTTTGGAGAGTGTTTATGCGCATCAGCTTCATCTGCCCACCACATTTGCAATTCTCTCTCAATGTTACCGAATGGAACAAGGTCATTGAGAATGCGCGTTCTGCCATACTTTGGTTTGATCGTAACGACATTTACTGGGACTCGTGGTTCGCAACGTCATATTCTCTTGTCAGCTGTGCTTTGAGTCAGGTGGGTAACCAACGAGAGTGGAGCACCGGCACTCAACTATCTCATTCAGTACCATACTTGGGCACGAAGAAAAGACGAAGAGGCGGTCACGACTCTACTAGTGCTCCGTGATGCGGTCAAGCGATGGGAGTCGAAGGCCTCCATCTCCGAACATCCTACCCGAGCCAAGGCAAGTCCCACGCTACCGTCGGGTTTCATTATGGTCTAACATTACTTTAGGTTGGAGAAATTCTATGTCTACTGTACGAAGTCACCAAAACACCACAATCTGGACCGGCGAATATACTTGCACCGACCATTGGCATGCGGGAGCGAAGCGATGCCGTTTTCGAAAACCTGACATTCCGAAAGGACACAAAGGGCGGAGCCTATGTCACTTCTGACCCGAAGATTGCTGCCCAGCTCAAGGAGCTCCCACAGGGGACGATCATTACCGAGCCTAACACACCTGCAACTTCAAGTATAGATGATCCGGGGTCGAGAGATGGCACAATGTTTTCCAATGGACCTGTAAGTCTGATGGACACTAGGGACAGGGCGCCTTCCCGCGACTCGATTGGTCGCCCGCCACAGCCGCCCAGTGTGTATTCGCACCCGAACGCACCGGATCAGCTGGGAATCGATGGAGTACCTGGGAACATGTTTGACTGGGGTAAGTGTCTTGGGATTTCGACAGCGTCGTCCTCATTTGTTTAATTAGGTGGGTGGGACACGTGGTTGCAAAGCCTGGGTACAGAGCCACTTTCGAGTCTCGCGCTAAATGGGACTACGTACCCACCACCCTCTTCATAATGCGCTTTCTCGTCGTGCGCTAGGGTCGGCGTGAATCCGATTTCTTTTATGTACTTTTGTCGTTTCTCCCATTCTCATTGTATGCCGTATTTGTCCTATATTACATCGTTTTTCCTCGCTCTTTGCCGTATCTGCATGTGCCATCTGGTGCCGGTTTGTTCGATTAGAAAACCCGCGCGCTACAGCCAATGGGTAGCCACATTGTCAGACGCCGCCCTTTCACCTTGTTGCAACAATGTCGAGCATTGTAGACAGCTACCTGGCGAAACGCAAGGAGCTCATCGAAGAGGATACATCGCTCCGAGCAGATCGTGCCAAGCTCAGAAACTTGACGCCGCTCGAAGCAAAGGCAGAAGCCCTTGTGCGCCAGATACGCAAGCATGAAGCAGAAGAAGTATTCTCTTTCACCCTGTTCTTGCACGAAGTCCCTGATGTTGCTTCGAATCAGATCTGGAGCCAGAAGAATGAGTCCCTAGAGCACCCTTTCCCGGGCATGGCATTTTTGACCGCAAAGAAGACAATCGAGTCGACGCGAATCTTTAAAATCATCAAAAAGATGCCCAAGGGGGCACTCCTTCATGCACATCTCGAGGCGACTGTCGACGCTCGCGTCTTGCTCGACCTTGCTCTCGAACATCCCAACATCTGCATCCGCTCGCCATGTGCGATCGATGCGTCAAATATGGATAACATCCTACCAGACTTTGCGCCCCTTCCTCTCGCACAGTTGAAGGAATTGGAGGCTTCACCCAGCATTACCTCCAGTTATTATAATCCTGGAACTTATATCCCCATCCACAAGGCAAGAAACGAGTGGCCGGCGTCACTTGGGAATGGCTTCGACGACTGGGTGATCCGGGCTATCGTCATAAACCCGACTGAAGCGTATGGGACACATAATACAACTGTCAAGGTACTCTCCAACTCCTAAATTTTGCGTACGTGGCCCTCACTATCCGATTTAGATCTGGGACAAATTCGTGTCGTGTTTCAGTGTCATTAGGGTAAGAAAGCAGGGTATCTTGGATGTGCGCTAACTCGAGAAGGGACTGGTTGCCTATGAGCCTGTGTATCGCAAGTACATTCGAGCTCTCTTCGAGTCTTGTATCGAGGATGGTGTTTCGTATGCGGAGATTAGAATGAACTTTACACCAAAGTACGTCTACCATTCTTCAGTCATACAACTCTCAATGGCATCAAAGGACGATTGTAGCTGCTGATGGCGCTGGAGCTGTTGACCACTCGTACTTTGTGGGCATCTTCCAAGATGTCGTCCAGGAATTCAAAGCAGATCTTACTGCACAAGGCAAAGGTAACCTCTTCCACGGCGCCAAGGTACCTATCCAGTCTACGATACAGGATGTTTTTTTCACCTTTCGAATAGCTGATATATACGGTCATTCGAATCTTGTCCGTAGAGGAACTCAAATGGTACTTGGACGACTGTTTAGAGTTGAAGAAGAAGTTTCCGGATACACTGGCAGGTGCGCGTCTTCTACCTTGGGTGTTGATTCCGCTCATGCACAATAGCATTTGATCTCGTCGGACCCGAAGACAAGATGAATCCTCTGATTTATTATCTTGAGCCCTTGTTAGAGTTTAGTCGGACATGTGAAGAGCAAGGAGTCGACCTACCCTTCCTCTTCCATGCAGGAGAAACTCTTGGGGATGGTAAGCTTGGCCGTAGGTCCCCGCCACTCAGCCTAAATTACCGTCCACAGGGGATAGCGTCGACCAGAACCTGTACGATGCAATACTTCTCGGGACAAAGCGCATTGGTCATGCCTTCTCCCTGGTCAAACACCCAGCTCTGATGCGACTTTGTCGAGAACGAAATATTTGCTGCGAAGTCTGCCCTGTTAGGTACGTGTGTCGATGAAAGATGTAATATCGACTCACTCCCCACAGCAACGAGATCTTGGTCAGAGCGTCATATCGTAATCTCAATAAATCTGACTCTTTCTGTAGCGCTTGACATCATCCATGCCGGCACATCCACTCGCCGCAATGCTTAATCACGGTGTACCAGGTCCGAAATATTCTGCTTGGATGGTAGCATCTCTGACGAATAATTAGTTGCTTTGGCAAGCGATGATCCCGGTATCTTTTCGAACATTGGCATATCCTACGACTTCTTCCAGGTCATTAGGTCGAGCTAACGTGTCAACTGTGGCTAAACCTTGCTCTAGGTTCTAGTCGCTAGCGAAATATCTGGTTTGATGACTCTAGGCGTGTTGGCTCGCCAATCCATCGAGGTGCGCGTCTCGTTCCGTCCTAGGACCTTACTGAGTCTGTATTCTAGCATGCTCTTCTTGGTGCAGAGTCCAAAGCGGAACTTCTTAAAGTATGGGATTGTCAATGGACGGAGTACATAGAGGAGATTCTGGCAGAACATACAAAATAACCAACCGGTTATTCGCAAAGAGCACGGGTATAGCTGTGTTATACATGAGAATACACTCAGTATCCTCGTCGTAAGCGCTCATTCTCCGCCCTGAGCCGCTCGTTTTCTTGGTGTAGTTGCTTAAAGTCACCAACATACTCTTCCATCAAGGTGCGGAGTTCATTCTACGTGAATGTCAGAAGGTGACCTCCACAACTCCGTTTGGATTTACCTTCCACATGCGACCCATCTTTACGACATCGAGATGCAAAGCTCGAAGCTCCTCACGCTGTTCCTCTTCTCGTTCGCGCATAGCTTCCTTGACCACACTCTGAATAAACTCCTTGATGTCCGTGGACTGTGGGATTTGTGGCCTAGCGGGCGAGCGTAGGGGAGACACCTGCATCGATTCTGCTGCCAAAACGTTGTCGATTGGATTTCGTTTGGAGGGAGTAATGCCTCTTGTTGGCTGCCTTTGAATTGTCTTTTGTTTAGGGGCGACTTTCTGACGTTTATCAATTGTCGTGTTCGGCTCATTCTCCTTGTCCTGGTGAAAGCTGAAGCTGACCGTAGACTTGCGCGGACGAGAGGATGGCGGCGAGTCACCAAGATCTATAGCCAGTATGGGCGTGATACTTCCCCTTTCGACCGAATGCTGCCGACCTGGTGGGGTGCTGCAACGTGCGTTGAAAATGGCAGACACTTCACTGACCCCTGGAAGATCTGGGTTCGTACTTTGATCACCAGCTGCTTTCGAAGTGGTTGAAGATGAGCGTCGACTAGCAACGTTGACAGGCTTTTGCCCAGAATGGCTCGCGCCTGTGACCGATAGCTTTACGGTCGGACTGTTGGCTGGTGAGCTAGCCTTGGAGGAGCGAGGGGAGGCGGTTCTGATTGACGGCGCTCGCCGGGCTAGCGGGCTTGCTGCCGAAGAAATTGGTGTCATTGGTTTGTCTACGTCAGCTTGACTCAAGCCTTCAAACCGTGAGGAAATTGGGCACTCCAGCAGCATGTGAATTACCCACCAGAAGCTTGCCGTGACATTTGCTTGCGAGTTTGCATTGGTGAGCCAGGAATGCTGCCCTGGGATGGCTTTTGGCGGAGACGTGTCACTTTCGCGGCTTCAAGTTCAGCAGATGCCTTCCTAGGAGCTGTGGCACTTGTTCGAGGATTTGCATCTGTGAGTGGCTGTTTGCGCGTGGCCGATGTTCCGCGGGTAGCCACAGGGACTGCTCGTGTGATGGAAAGCTTTCTCTGGTGAAAGGCTGAGACATAAATTCACTTTATAAATATTCGTACCTGAGTAGACACCAGGTGTACGCATTCACCCTCGAGCTGTTTCAACGGATGCAACGTCGTGGCTCCCTCTTGAAGAAGAGAAATATGTCCACCGGTCGTGCCAGCCACGACGTAACCCAGCCCCAAGGATGCAATAGATTTCACACCCTCGCCGAGCTTTGCGTCAAAGCGGGTGCTAGGCTATAATGAGCAAACCAAACACAGTAGGTGCATACACACGTACAGTTTGTCCTTTTCCATATCGAACCCATAGATGTAGCCCTCAAATGTGGCGAGCAGCAAGGATCCTCGTGTGCTAGTAGAATAAGCCAGGTCGATGATCCTTTCGGCAGTTTCAAGTTCAAGCGTCTTGATCAGAGCATTTTGTTTGGCAATATCGTAGAGTAACAGCTGATTCCCACATGCAACGGCGAGAACAACGCGCTTTAGAGGTAGAAACGCGACGCTAGTAATCGGAAGGGACAATTGTTGGAAAACGAGCGTCGTCTGGACGTTGGTGGCAAAATGATGAATCAATGCGCTTGTCTCCATCAACATGCAAAGATATTCTTTATCAGGCGAAAGCGCCAACGACTTCAAAACACCTGAAATCTGGCACTGCGTTTAGCAAGAGGCCGCAGCGATGGAGGGAAAGCAGAAAAGGAGCTCACACGTATACCTAGATTCACTACTTTTCCAGTTGACGCGTTGAGTGCGACGAGTTTTGAAGCGCCACCGATAATTACTTGCGTTTCGCGCACAACTATCGCAACGACAGGCTCTGAAAGCGTGTACAGCTTTTCCGTTTTCCCCGTAAATTGATCAAGCCTTTCTACACGTCCATTTTGTAGGCCGACGATGGCGTTTCCATCGCTAACCCATGCTGCACAGCGGACGCCGTCTAGGTTGAGCGGCTTGATGGCTCCGCTGGACGTTGCCTTTGAGGGTACAACGTTGAGAAGCGACGCAGATGTCGTTGTAGCCAGCAAGACTGCGTGACTCATGTTGTCAAAAAGTCGTGGCGCGGGTCAACCAAGTACACAAGTAAGTCACGTGCAAACCCCAAATTGGCCATTGACAAAGGAAACAAGAATACACAAAAGAATAATGCGACAAGTATACAAGATGCGAATAAGTGAGGACTATAGCCGCTTTATGGGCAGCTGCTGGGTCGTGATCTCCAGGATCATGCGTCTGCGCAGATAAGGCATGTTCCGCTGAGTAAAGTCGAAAGGAAGCGAAACTCCTCGTGAAAGATTCTCCATGGTTTGGCACACGAAGACGCCGCAGTCGAACCCGTTTTCTTGCTGTGGGCCATCGTGTCCAAAAAGGTCCGTCCAGCCTTCAAAATTGAATGGCTTTGACTTTTTGTCTTGATGCTCTTTGTCTAGATAGGTACGCAACGCCTAAGAATAGTGTCAGTGCCCGAGTACAAACTTGTGGAATCCCTTACTGCTCGAATACTCGGTCTATCCATTCCCATACTGTCGTAATATTCTATCCGCTTGTCTCTAAAGTTGATGGCGGCACATGTCCAATGCGCATTACCCAGGTTGCACGGGATGAGCACAATATCTTTGCTAAATATGTCCATCTGGCAAAAATGAGTTCTGTTCCAGGACAATTTAGAGATATACCTTTTTGGTCCACTTGTTCAACCGTGCCTTTTCATATCCCATGTCCTGTAACTTTGATAGGAAGAATGTGTTAAAGAAATGAACCTTCCACGGTTCACCAAGTCCCTCCATCTCTGGATACGCATCGCTCGCGCGGCCTTTGCCTTTGCCATTCATCTCCCCATTCTTGACTCCGGCTTCAAACTTGGCGGCGCGCTCGGTGATCAGCGCGCCATAAAAGTTGATAATTTCATCATTAAGCCACTGTCCAGGCCGCAGTCGACCCAAGTCCTGGGCTGTAACCTGCTCGCGAGCGACCTTGACCAAAAGTGAACGATTTGACAACGATTGTTTGACCTTTTGTTCATCTTCCGGTGGCAGTGAATCTGGTAGCTAAATGTCCTGTTAGTAAAATTCGAGTTGAAGATGATTCCTCACTTTCGGCCTTAACCGTCGTTCTATCTCTGCATCCCGTTCCCTATTCTGCTGTGCCAATAGTTCACTTGTTTTAAACCTTGGAATAAATGGACGTGGGCTGTACGAGGTGAACGATAGTGAGCCATAGAAGCAGCATACACACAGCAAAATTTTACCTTTCTAATGACTTCCTTGCGTCAATGACTGCGCGCTGTAGCCACGAGTTTGAAGGCATTTTGGGCTATACAGTGGTGAGTACGGCGTAGTACCCATGTGACCATGCCCCTCACCAACGATTCAGGGCCCGTAGCTGGCTTTGGAGAAGGCACTATGCGCTAATGTTCAACGCATGGTCCTACCTCTCAAATAAGGACCGTACTGTTCTTATCTATCGCCGCATAAAACCTCTCCATATGCTCCTTGTAGCTCAAATACGCTAGGGCCTTGTCAGTGAGTAGTTATGAACGTACAATGACGAGAGTTTACCCCGAAAGGTGGATATATCCTGCGCATATCCTAGTGACCTTTTCAGGTTGTAGAGCTCTTGAGCGCGCGCCATTCGTCTGTCAATATCGTACTGGTGGCATTTGAGACGGCAAATCTGGTCACAATAGAGGTGCATTACCTGTTTCTTGAGGGGATGTACGTGGTTTTTCCAAGTTGACCTCGCCACAGACTGATGGTGGCCTCCTCGGTGCCGTGAAATGGAGATGGGTGTAGTCCGCTGCGAGCTCAGAGCCGAAGAGTACCTTGGTGTATGCGCAAGAGCAATTGGGGACGTTGCGACTGAAAGGATAGGAGTGGACGGTACGGACGTGGCCTCTAGAGAGTCCTGGGTTTGAGTAAAGTCGTCCGAGTTGTCATAGTCGTTTTCTGCATAGCTATCCAAAGTGCTCTCTTCTTCATCCTCGTCTTCCGGTCTGTCCTCATGGTCATCCACGTTCTTGCTAGACGTTTGTTGCGGGGAAACAACGAAACTTCCGGGCAGACTGCGCGTGGATGGGTTTGAAAGATGAATCGGGGGTTCACTTGTGACAAATGCTAATATTCCAAGCTTAGCCGTTCATCGAGCCTTTACAAGAAACGCGCCAACCTTTGGAAATCAACCCAAAAGCATCGCTGAATAGCATGGAAACCGAATTCACTGCCTGTTTATGTGCTGGAGACACGTTGGACGGCGCGGAGACTGCCGTCTTGCGTTTTGTAGGTCTGCTGGTCATTGTTAAATTTGCTTGAGTGGCTGAGCGCTTTTTGAATGGATCCATGAGCCCAGTAGATGAAAAGGAAGATGACAATCAAGGCCGAGATGGCTGGCCTCGCGGATATCTCAGGGACTGGTCGAGTCCAAGAGAGTGGACGCGCTTAGACCCCAACCACCATGGCAAGAAAATCAGTTAGGACATGAATAATATTCATCAGATAAATGTTGTACAGTATCACGGTCGTATACTACTCTACTTTAGTGGATTCTTGCGTCCACCCGCCGTCCTTCGCTGACCAGACGTCGTTTGCGTGGCCCAGAACCAATACGCGGCTCCAAGGGCGAGAATGATGAAGACATTGCCTGAAAATGTATCAGAATACCCTTCTAAATCCCTCGGGACACACTCACCGAGTACAAACCCAACAAGACCACTCATCAGGTCGGTGATGGCGGTGATGATGGCAGCAAGGATACCAAAGACGGCTTGGAAGAGATGCTGCACAAGTGCAATGAGCGATGTGCCCACTGCAGCAAAGCTACCAGCGAGACCGGAGACGATCTGCCAGAGGCTATGGAAGAGGTTTTCGATAGAAGAGGTAATGCTGGCCATGGTAGGTGTGGTATTACTTTCCTTACTTCAACCATGAATCATACCCAGGTTATATATCCGTTTTTCCACGTTGCGTCATGGGTGGGGCACGTCATGGGTGAAATACGCACAGAAATGAAGAGCGCTAGAATTCATATAGAGACAAACACACTGGTCTACGTTCCATAGAAGTCTTTTACTGAGCCGCCGCGGGTGCTGTGTTTGATGAACCACTCGCAGCAGCAGCAGCGGGGGCAGGCTGCGCTGCAGGCGTCAAGATGGTCGTCCCGACAGCCTTGTTGAGGTACACTTTAAAGTTATCGTAGTATCCCTTTGCTTGTGGAACAGAGCCAGCTACTTGGGGAGAGCTGAGGCCCTGGAGAATAGCCTTGTCCAGCTGCTGGAACGCTTCGCGCGTAAAGTTGGACTGGTAATAGCGAGCACGGAGGAAGATACCGTAGCAGATTGGCATCAAAAGCGGGTTTCGGCGCAGGATCAAACCAAAGAGTACGCGGGCAAAGATGGCAATTTCGACATAGGCGACCAATCGCATCGATGGATCATAGTACTCTGCAAGATAAATAAGAACTTAGCCCTTTGTTTGTGGGAAATGTACACGTACTCTTGACAAAGGATTGAATGACTTTGCCGAGAGGTGACGATGTCACATTGGAGCCCGAACCAGGAGCCGGGGGGAATAGCTTGACGAGGATAGTCGTGCGGGTAAAAGTGGCAACATGAAAAGTAGAGAATGTCCAGAACGGGACCACGGCAACTGATACGACCTGGTCAGCAACACGGAGAGAAACCAAAACCGGGTATAAAACTCACTTCCGACAGGTTTAGAGATTAACCAAAAGATACAGAGAGCGAAATACTGGAAGTTTTCGTCCGCTAGAGCACGCCTAGCCCATGCGCCTCCATTTGGCACCTGGATACGTATATGAGTGACACAGACAATGATCAATGATAAAGAATAAACCTACACCGAGAGACTTTCTGTGTTGTGCAAACGAAACAAGACGCGTCAGTATCTACGTGTGAGCGTGACGAATTCCGACGAGGAAAGAAGCAAAAGCGAGCGCATGATAGGCGAATAATGCAAAAATACCGACTTGACCACGATGAAATAGCTCAACAGAGCGCCAGCAAAGGCGGCTGAAACACACGAGCGGTTCGTCAGTAACCGCACACCCAAACGGATAAATCGAAAGAGAAGCTGTCCAGGGCAAACCATCTAGACGTACCTCTGTACCACCAAGTCAATCCGCTGCTCTTGAAGACGGCCCAGGCCGCTAAATAGCGCAGTCCAGCGAAAAACATGAGGCCGTGCCCTCCCGCCCAGTAATAGTGCTGCATGTTGGACGACATGGGTTCGACCAGGGTATTTTTCAGACTTTAATTGTAGATTATTCTGCGTGTTCTGGCCAAAGGCGACGCAGTGGATAGGTTCAAAACGTGGAGTCCAGTACGTCAGGACTCCTCTCCTGAGCTCGTGTAAACAATCTCAGGCTGTCGGAGAAAGGAGAGGATATTTTGGCAAAAAAAGAGAAATTTAGTATCGATACATCGCTTTTTTCCTGGCAGCATTCCACGTGACAGGTCGCGTAAAAGAGGGTTTGGATGGATCGATAACGAAGAGAGCGTCCGAGGTGGTAGTGAGATGTAATACGACTCTAAGAAATTTCGCAACTGCTTCCAGGCAGCCAACGAGGAACCACAAAGATCCCCGCTGGCGGACGCCAAAAGACGTCTCGCCACCGGAGGTCGCGTGGGGGATGAGGAGAGATTCGGGGGTGAATATATGGTACTTGGAGCATTTTTAGGCACGTGGCGGCTAGTAGCACATTAGACATTACTGGAGGGCGGATGGTAATACACAAGTACACGATGGGACAGACAAAGAGGCTGTTGCGCTGTCCTCAATCGATACTCATGCGTTTCGAGTTGGCTGTCATCGGGAACGCCTTATTGTCCAGCGTAATCGAAGTGTTTCGCCGTCGGTGTCCAGCCACATGCTTCTTGGACACTGAAACGGAGGTCAGCAACGGCGACGGGGTTTGGCATTGACAGGAGCGCTTACTTTGCTGCTTGAGTCCGCGGCCAAAGTTGTGCATCACAATGCATCCCCAAATAAACGTGACCATGAGGAAAAGTAGTGAGACTGCGGCTGTACTCGCGGGTCAGTCTTGGGGCATGAACAGCATAGAGTTACATACCAAAGAGATTCAAGGACTTTGTAATGTCTTTGTACATCGTGTTGATGCTGATGCCTTCGTAGATGCGGAATAGCTTGTACGCAAAGTAGACGGTTGCGAACACGCAGCCAAGCATAAATCCAAACATGAGCCACTTGTTCTCATATCGAGCAGCAAAATGCCCCCCGATAAGAATCAACACTCCCAATGGAAGAGCGCCGATTGTGAGGAAGTATTCCACATCGTCCTTGCCCAGGATAAAGACGAACAACTGGGCGGAGAATCCGATGCAGAAGAAGAGGTCAAAGCGGAGAAGGGAGAGGAAGATTTGGTAGTGCGCGTATATCCGCTTGATTTGTCTGTCTGCGCCCAGAAACTTGTAGACCTTCCATCCAAACTCTTTGTAAATCTGATACCCAGTTGCAATGAAGACAAGCTCAGAGATACCAATCACGACGGAAGAAATGATCGTGAGAGGCTTAATGCCGACTGCTGTGATACCCGAACGAAGTGAGGTTTGGACAGTATTGATTTCTGCGGCTTGAATAACGGAATAGACCAGGAAAAGGAGGTTGAATATACTGCGTCGGGTGTCAGTAAGAAGGTATTTGCTACCAGTCAAAACGGCCGTACGTGAGAAACAAGAACTGGAGGGTGTTTTGCTGCCAGACAGCCTCTATGGCCAACGCCAGTTGAAATACGCTAGGAGTTTGTGAGTCAAGGATGATTTTACAAGCGACCGAGCGTACTGTGCGAATGCAAAGAGTGCCAAGTAGACGATGACCCGTATCAGAGCGTATCTCTGGGCTTCATCCTCGGAGGCGGCTTGAACTGCTGCAGATAGGCGACTGTAGATATCTCCTTGAATAGCCAAGTTGATGATAGTCTCGAGGACGACACCCGCGAGGAAGCACCGTATCGGCCATGATTTTGGGAAGAGCTTTACGGCGATGAGCAACACGGACGATTTTAAAATATGCAGAATATACGAACATGAGCATACCACGGTCTCCGAGGCGCCTCTGCGGTGAGTTGCTTGTCCGTTGCTATTCTGGCCTGGGGGACCTCGTGCAGAGATTCCTCTGACACCAGCTCTTGTTTCTTGCCAAAAGACGAGCCAGAAGAGTCGTATGTAGTTGTTCGCGACATGTAGTGGCTCTGGGGGGGATATGTGTCGTTGTGCGAGGTAGGGAGCGTCGTTTCTGAATGATTGGAATAATAATCCATCGCTGAAGACGGAATAAACGAGTGTAGGGTTGTTGATTTGAGTCGTCCCGCGATTTCTTTAGTGGCCAATGCGCACTTGGGTCCTCGAGATCAGGTGGGAGTCGTGATACAAGATGGACTCTGTAACAACCGCCGCCCGTTGACATCGTGCTACCACTGGGCCCGCTAGAATCCCTGTGGTTTCCTGTCTTATTTATCTCGACATTTATGATTGTTTTCGAGACCCGCGACGTTCGGGTCGTTTACCGGCAATTGCGCTTGAATCACGCAGCGCAGCTGCCGCACTCTTTGGACTCCACCCATCATGTTTCCCTTCAACTATCTAACTAGACAATCTGCAGAAACGACGATTCACTCTAGTCCACAGACGGTCAGTATCCAAACAAAGGATGGAAGCCTCTCCATTCTCGATTTTACCAAGAAATACGCACCGGCTGTCTTGAGCCGGTTCCAGCCTGCCTGGTGGCTACCCAAGTCAGTAAACGCCTCCTTTCTGAACCAACACCGCTCATATCTCTATAGCGGACACGCCCAAACCGCATATTGTGCAACTGGCAACTTTGAGAACATTGATAGAGTACAGTACCAGCGGTAAGCCCACGGATCACCCGACCGCGTAAAAAATCTGAACAGCCTTTCTCAGAAAGTATCTCCGGTTGCCAGATGGTGGGACAATCGGCATCGACTTTACTCCCCCGCTGGACGCGCCACTGCCCGCCGACACGCCTATTATCGTAGTCGAACACGGGCTCACTGGGGGTTCGTCTATAGCCGTCCTTTCAACTTGTGCTCACTGCCCTCAGGTTCCCATGAATCGTATGTCCGCAATATTCTCGCTGCAGCCTGTGCCCCCAAAGGACCAGAATGGACTTGGCTATCGTGCTGCCGTAATCAACTTTCGAGGATGCGCCGGTGTACCGATTACGTCGCCTCGGTTCTACTCTGCGGCGTGCACAGAAGACCTGGCTTGCGGGGCCCTGTACATCTCGACCTTGTTCCCAGAGGCAAAGCTCGTTGGTATAGGGTTCTCCTTGGGTGCAAATGTCATCACGCGCTATCTTGGAGAAGAAGGAAAACAGAGTCGTCTCAATGGAGGACTTGCCCTCGCATGCGTACGTGTAGATTCGAGAGATAGAATGTGCTCTGATGTTAAGCCAGCCATGGAACCTCGTCGAGAATAGCAAGCATCTGGAGGGCAATTGGTTCAGTCGTCACGTCTACAGCAGCGCAATGGGGAACAACCTTCTTCGCCTTTACAAGTCACATCTCCACACACTGGAAACTTTTAAGGATACTCACCTCCTCAAGGTTCACCCTAATGTCCTGAAACTCAAATCTCCCAAACTCATCGATATTGATCATGTCTTGGTTTCTCAAACTGGAGGCGCTGCGCCCGTCTGGCCGTTCCCCAGTGCGCTTGAATACTATCAATACGCAAGCAGCGATCATGCGCTGCCCGGTATCGCAGTTCCATATCTTGCCATTAGCGCACAGGATGACCCCATCGTCCGACTCATTCCCCGACCAGACGATCCGAAGACTGAGGCAAGCGGATGGGTCGCGGTCGCCATCACAGAACGTGGAGGTCATCTCGGTTGGTTTGAAGACGGAGAACAGCGCGGTGAAGTCCGGCGTTGGATATCGAAACCCGCCCTCGAATGGATACGAGCAGTAGCCGAGGAGTTTGTACGAGAAGATGGTCAAGGTGGACGCCCTATCGAAGTTGTAGACGGCTTCACCAGAGAAATTGGACGACCCATGATTGGATTCCGCGAAATCGACGAGAAAGATCTTCCAAAGGGAGCAAACGCAGAAGGGCTCACCAAAGGGCTCTAGACACGACACCGATATCATACATAGACGTATCATATTGTACTAGAGGGTAATCTAATAACCTTACTTCCTTCGTTTCGGGGCAATATTTGCGAAATTTCTCTTCTCCGGTTCGACCCAGCCTTCACCTAGAGCATCGAAAACATCCTTCTCGGTCTCGGTTGGAACAAGCTCCCACTCGTCGTCATCCTTTGTATCCGTCTTTTCGTTCATCCGCCAAAGCTCAGGCCGCTTCCATAGCCCATAGTCATTGAGGCGCATGAGCATTTTGAGCGCTTTGTTTCGAAGGTACTGATTAAAATCTGCATCACCAGTATGGCCCACGAGCGCCGCTCCTCGGCTTTGCAGAGGCATGAGACTTGAGAAGTTAGCCATTAATTTGAAATAGTGAGTGATGGAAGCCTCACTTGAGATCTATGCGTCCCAGTCTTCCTTCTGTACCCTGTAGGTTTGCCAGTCCTTGCCACTTGGCGGGTCCTACGGTCAATGGTTCTCCGAGAATCTTGGCTTTGACCAGCGCAGGAACTGCACTTTTGAGTAGAGCAGATTCTTTCATCGCCTTCTCTGATTGCGCTTTTGTTGGAGCCTTTACACTCCGTAGACGTGCCTCGACCATGCTTGGATGGAAGAGGAGTATGTCAATGTCAGACGAGCTCGGGGCTCCCCGACGGCTATCATGCTTCAGTATGAATCATAGCAGGAAATAAAACAACGGCTTACTAGCTTCCTGTGACATATACCTCGAATTCGGGGAGGGCCTTGATGATGCGGGTCGACAGAGTATCGATCTGATCACGTTGAATACGTTGGTCTATTTTTGAGTTATAGCGAAGGCCCGTTTGGATCGCTTTCGGTAAGCGCTCAAAGGTCTTCTTGTCGTTGAGCAGGTCGTCAAGACTTCGAAACCCTTGTTCCGCTAGTACGCGTGCCTTCTTGGGCCTATTTCAAGTTTGAGGTATATTGGAATGGTTTGTGAAGGAAACTGACCCGATTCCAGATATTCGTTGGAAAACTTTGCATGCCTCAAGCATCTCTTTCTGGTTAGCCGACTTTTTAGAGGTAATATCATTGGACTTTGGAAGTGTTCAGTCGGAGGTCATAGAATCTTCCTGTCAACTCACTCCACCCTCCGCCTCTGAGAGGAGATACTCTTCAATTCGTCGCCGAATGCCGGTTCCAATACCTGGAAGCTATTCCAGTAGGTAATTAAGTTCAACTGACCTCTATTATTTACCTCTGCGACGTCCTCTAGGCTCTGAATTCGGGAGGACTTGCTTGCTATCGCCTTCATGGCCTGGCTAAACGCCTTGAGTTTATACACATTTCGCTCCGGACCGACTGCATATTCGAGGTACTCTGAGCATTATAAATGTCAAAGCGACACTAAGTGATATTCACATGTGTCGCACCGTTGTATAGTCGGTTTAGGAGCGGATAGTTGACATCATCGGGGTTTGGGGGTGCTTTTACGGAATATCTTCTTGCGTGTAAGAGGATATAACGCGGTACTAGAGTGCAAAGAGGCGAAGCTGCAGGTTGTGGTCGAAAGCGAAACATGCCACCCACTTGGCACTCCGAGCATGATAGGAAAAAGTCGATTCTGCACTCTGCGAGACATTCTTTATTTACAACGTGCACGAGCAACGTGGCTGACGCGGAGTTTCGACAGCTAGCTACGCAACATCGCGTTCGCCTGACGATTGTGGTCAAAACTAATCAGACAGCGCGGCCACGACCACGACCACGAGAGGACCAAGCGGGAGCGCCGCGGATAGGAGCAGATGGCGTGGCTGAAATTGAACCATTGGCCATGCCTTCGAGTGACGGGGTGTTACCAGATACCGGACTGATAGGCGGCTGTGTTCCACTACGACCGGCGAGGATATGTGCTGGAGGGGGAGGGGCTCTTGCAGATACTCTGGCTGCAGTCACGTTGTATCCACCTCTGACTGTAATGTTGGGAGGAACTGGCTGGCCGTGTTTACGTCCATTATTGGGTATTGAGGCCCCTCTCCCATTATCTGCACGAGTTGAGTACACCTTCAATATAGGGATGGGCATAACGCACTCTTTCTGCCATAATTCTTAATATTGGAAGGGCCACCTTCTTTTGGCCCACGGCGTTTTTCGTATTCGGTGCGCCATTCACACATTTTTCTGCACGATGTCCCATGAAAGGGACTGAGAGGCATGAAGATGCTAATATCTTATCAAGGTGTACTAACCAAACGCCCTGTGGTTGTAATTAGCCTCAGAAGCTTCACTCTCAGTGGATGCACACCTCATCATCTTCGCCAGTGATAGACATTTGAGCGAGATCGCTCATGAGCCCCACTGGAGCCCCACCTTCGCCCACTGAAGACGTTGAAAGGGAGCTCAGATGGGATCTAAGTACTGACCTGCCCACAAGTTCATCGAAGTATCCGTTGACTCTGAAATTGGTGGTTCTGTTGGCTCGAAGTAGACATCTGAAGTCCCTTGTGAAGGATGCGCAGCTGACCTACTGCTGGACGCAGATTTTTGCTTTCTGATAGCGGCCCAAGTACTTGATCCAACTATGTGATAGTTAGCACAGGTAAATTTCGATCGACAGTGACTCACCAGGAGCCGTAGGGGCAGCAATCACCACCGGAAGCTCCAGTTGGTCAAACTCGCTCCTTGGCAATGGACGGCAAAGTGTACGGGCAATCGGCTCCAATACTGGGGTTTCAATGTAGGTCGTCTTAGGATATGGTATTTTGAATGTGCTGGGAAAAGCGTATGAGCACCTTTCGCAGTAACCTTGAAGTAGCACCAACGGGTCAGGATGTTTCGGATCCCCAAGATGATGCTCTTCTACCCATTTTCGCTTCCACCCTGGTCGGAGTGATGTCAGATATATGCGCAACACATGTGTATCGAAGTAGACGGACCATTCTTTTCGACCTCTCTGCCTGTCGAGAAGCAACTGTAAAAGATAGAGGAACAGTTTCTCTCGTTATACCCAGCAGGGTTGGTGAGCATGCCCTCAGAGCCGACCCACGAGTGTTTCCCAATAATGCGTTGGTAAGTGCTTGATGTCTTGTGCGTGGGGGCTTCATACTGGCGAGAGACCTCGATAATAATAATGCGCGGAGACTACAGGGAGGCCGATCGGGATGATAAGTTCGTCAAACATGGGTAACGAACGCACGCTCGGCTTGTGGAACAAGGCTAGCAAAAGCTCCGGGTCACCGATAGCACTTGCAAGCCATCGACAGCAGCGGATAAAGTCTCCAATGATCTCCATGTCTGCATTCTGTGGCCAGGGATTGACGACGGTAAAGTACCTTTTGCTAGGTGAGTAGACTAGAGCGTGGGTTGTTCAAAACACACACTTTGGTTCATCTTCACCAGGCTCTGGGGTAGCTTCACGCTTGGGCATTGCGTTGAGGAGGCAGCGTGTGTCCTTTGAAATGTGGCGACGTCCAAGGTTCGACTTACCACCAGCTCTCAGAAACATACCTGTTTGACTATTGGAATCACAATCATCCGTGTGGATTTGCAGTCCACCTCATCACTTGCCACCCGCATCAACTTAGTCTCGACGTTATTATGGAAGCCTTCCAACTCTTGGCCCGCGGCGTTACTTTTAACAAGAAAAAATATGAAGCAGATATTTCGCTCTTCTCCGTATGTTCTTCATGCTGCCAGACAATCCTTCTGATCCCTTTGCAGAACGGCCAACGAGAGACACCACGTCCTGTGGCGTCTGGAGAGCTACCCGCCTCACTAGACTTTTTCAAATATGCCAAGGGAGGCACTCAACAAATCAAAACTTCGGTGGCGAAACCCATTGAAGCCTCGGGGTCTGGAAATAACCAGCAAATTCCAAGCAAGAAGCGAAAGAGAGATATGGATGACTCTGACAGCGAAATTGAACATTATCCATCAAAATTACCACACAGAGTTACTACAAAGGGTGAACGCGTGCCCGCCCGTGCGGAGACGTTCGTAGAGATGCAGAAAAGGTTCTCTATCGCCGGTAACGTCATGAGGAACCTCGATGGGTGTGGATATTCCGAACCTACAGCGATACAGACCGTTGGAATTCCAATATTAGCAGAGGTCTGTGCTGTCGTCCTTGTCTGCAACAAGCATTTGCTTACTTGTAGCAGGGCCGTGATCTCGCAGCAGTATCCCCAACAGGAACGGGAAAGACGCTGGCATATCTTCTCCCTATCTTTGCCCGGCTGAAGACGCCCGTCAGCTCGCAAGAGGATAGACCCGGAGTCCGCGCAGTGATTGTCGCTCCGACAAAAGAGTTGGCGGGTCAAATTTACAATGAAGCCCAAAAGCTTGCCCAAGGCCGAAAGTGGAGGATAGTCCTTTTCTCAAAGGCAACAGCTGCAACGTTGAAGGATCCCTCGGTGAGAGGGAAAGTCGGTTAGTTCACACTCAAATTCGCTCTCAAAATTACTAGAGATGATATAGATATCATCATATCGACCCCCATGAGACTTGTCGCCTCGATACAAGCAGGAGATATCCAATTAGACAGGTACGCATGAATGATTTCGTGAGACTAGCCGTGATTATTCCACTAGGGTACAAGTCCTCATTCTGGATGAAGCTGATCGATTGTTGGATCCGGAATTCGCATCACAGGTCGAAGAAATTGTCGGGTGCTGCTCGAACCCGGCCTGTCAGAAGGCTGTATTTAGCGCTACACTGCCGGCTAAAGCCGAAAAGACAGTGTTGAATATGATGAACGATCCCATCCGCGTGGTAGTTGGTCTCAAGTTCGTGTACTTATATTATTATCTCACTGGCTGACAAGACCAACAGAGATACGCCATTACCCAATATCAAGCAATCGCTAGTCTACGTAGCTCAGCCGGAATCCAAACTGCCAACTCTCATTCAGTACCTCACCTCCCCTTTGGGCTACAAACCGCCAGTGATCGTTTTCACTTCGACGCAAGCACGGGCGACATCCCTATTATCAGAGCTACTCCTTGCTGGTGTCATGAATGCCGAAGCCCTCCATGCAGGCTTGACAAAGCACCAGCGAGAGGAATGCGTAAAACGAATACTCAAGGGCGAAGTTTGGGTGCTTATCACGACCGATGTGCTCGCTCGTGGAATGGACTTTGGAGGGGTATGCGGCGTGATCAATTTTGACTGGCCTGAGTCGGTCCAAAGCTATGTTCACAGGATCGGTGAGTGGTAATAATGAAACACCCAGCCATCTAACCGAAGCGTAGGAAGGACTGGGCGTGCAGGACGAGAAGGGACTGCAATCACTTATTTTACAGACGAGGATGCACCTTATCTCAAGTCGTAAGTATGCGGGCTTGGACGATGTCAAGGCTGACATCTCATAGAATCGCCAATGTCCTCCTTCAATCAGGCCAAAGTGTGCCCGACTGGATGATCAAACTTCCGAAGCCTTCGAAGATGAAGCGAAAGCAAATGGGACGTGCGCAACGAGAGCAGCCCTCTGTCGGTTTCAAAGGAGAGAACGTTGGGAGGTCGCTCGCCCTAAGGAAAAAGTTTGTCCCAGTAGTCCGTCTTGAAACGTCGCTCTGACACACATTTGGCAGGGACATGATAGCGGGTTCGAAGCGGCGAGCGGAGAAGGCAGAAGTCGGCTCTGAAGACGAAGAGGACTAGATTCAAGTGGTCTATTTACAACCCGGTCTCGGCACAGAGTCTGTGGTCGCGAGCCTTCACCTTGCCGGTCGCCTTGCCGCTTCACAGGTTTGCGACTGTCAGTGGACCTGTATATTTCTGGCACAAGGACGTTCCGTTACAATCATTCCGTCGTTCTAACTGCTGGGGCGCATTCTTCAATTAATGGCTGTTCAGCACCAAGGGAGCTGAGAATGCTTGGGCGGCGACCGGGAAATAAAATGTTGTTGTGAATGAAATTGCTATACAATTTGGCTTTGCAGCGTTATCCGCTTCTGATAAACACCCGCGCGGCGGGCCCGCCATTCAAAGCTCAAACTTGGACTCCCCCGCCTTCGAGGCTTTTGCTTCTACGCGCACACTCTTTGGCTCTCTACGCTCTCTATTGTCCCTAATAATCGTTCGAAAGCCTCTTTTCACGCCCATTAATCGCCTATAATGGTATCCTCGTCTTCGAGCCGTCCATTGCCTTCACTCGTCGCCCTCTCGGCGCTATTCCTCCAGCCAGCACTCGCCGAGCTATGGAATCCGAGAGTACACGTTCAACGCAGAGACTATGTTGTTCCCCGAACGACAGAACGCATTCCACGACCACTCAAAGCTCGCGCGGACACAGTCAAGCCTGGTCAACCAACCCACACCGTGTCAGACGACCTCATCCTAGGCTTTGAGATTGTCGGAAACTCTGGAGTCTCTGGCCAGCAGTTGTTCTTGGGCTCCGATACCAAGGTCCGTTCACGGCGTTTCACATCTAAGCGACCAAGAAATACTTGCTAACTCTCGCTCTATACAGGTTTACGTAATCGATAAAGTCGAAAATAATCCCTTGACCATCAACGGGCATCCAGCTTGGGCTTCCGAATACGACCTTACAACAAACCAAGCCCGCGCTCAGGAGGTTGTCACCAATACCTTCTGCGCCGGCGGCGGCGTCCTTGGTGAGTATTCCTGCGGCGCACCGGGCATCTCTCTGATAATGCATAAAGGAAACGGCGACTGGCTCAACATTGGTGGCAACCAGGCCGTCGGTCCCAACGGCGTCACGTCGAGCTCACAGACTGGTAGCAACGAGTATCAAAACTCGGACGGTGCTTTTGCTGCCCGAACAATTACGCCCGGTGAGGGCGCTGAGTGGTATGACGACCCACAAACGGACTTGTAAGCCCATCTCTCACAGCCAATGGTCGCTTGCTAAACTCTGTCTAGGACCACGCGTAGATGGTACCCGTCTCTTGAGACAATTGAGACAGGACGTATCTTCGGTGTGTCAATATCCACAATCTGCAGAGCATTTACTGACCTTGGATAGTCCTTGGAGGTAATCAGTACGGAGGTTTCGTCAACGAGTAAGTCTTGCCGTCATTCGACATATATACTTGGCCCTAACGTTGGAATAGTGCTGCAAACAGTAATCCGACCTACGAGTTTTGGCCAAAGGCAGACGGAGAAGTACCGATTGAGAGCACCATTCTCAAGAACACGTTACCCGCCAATCTGTATCCCATTACGCATCTCATTCCAACGGGACAGATCCTACTAAACATCAACTTGAATGCGGCCGTCTTGGACTACAAGACCAACACAGAGTATCCACTCCCAGCGGTTCCTCACGCCGTGCGCACGTACCCTGCTAGTGCCGCTAGTGTGATGCTCCCCTTGACGGTCGCTAACAACTGGACGGCCACCGTCATGTATTGTGGTGGAAGCGACCTTCAATCCAACCAGTGGACTTCCGGCATGGTTCTGATCAATGTTCCCGCCTCGGATTCGTGCATTAGCATCACCCCAGAGACCTCGAACCAATGGGTAGACGAAGACTCCCTTCCCGAGGGTCGCGTTATGGGCAATGCCATTCTCCTTCCAGATGGCACAGTCTTTGTCGCAAATGGCGCCAACACGGGTGTGGCTGGATACGGAAACGATACTTGGGTGCTACAAGACTCCTACGCGAACAACCCGATCTACGAGCCCATCATCTACGACCCCTCGAAGCCATCTGGTAAGCGCTGGAACCGAGACGGCCTCAAGGCATCAACAATTGCACGCATGTACCACTCGACTGCAACTCTCCTTCCCGACGGCTCTGTCTTTATCACGGGTAGCAATCCCCACCCCGACTACAGTCCCAACACCATTTTCCCAACCGAGTATCGTGTCGAGAGGTTCTACCCATGGTACTACAACAAGCGTCGCCCAGAGCCGTCTGGTATCCCGACCTCGCTTACCTACGGTGGAAAGTACTTTGATCTCGAGCTCACTTCGGACGATCTCTTTGGGAACATTGGAAATGTCAACGCAATCAAGATTGTTCTCATCAAGACTGGGTTCTCGACGCACGCTATCAACTTTGGACAACGTTCGGCTGAGCTTGACCACACGTTTACCACCAAGACAGATGGCGGTGCAACCCTTCACGTCTCTCAAGTTCCTCCGAATCCTGCGATCATCCAACCGGGTCCTGCATGTACGCCTAATACAAACTGTTTGTTTTGTCACTCACGCGCTGCACAGGGTTGTTCGTTGTTGTCAACGGGGTTCCTTCCGTCGGTGTCAGGGTTATGCTCGGCTCTGGTACTCTCGGCGCGCAAGAGATCCACGAGGTCGAAGCTCTTCCAGCTTCTTCGGTAGTCACCGCAAGCGCTGACACCAATACCAACGCTCACCACTCGTCTGCCGGCCGTACAACTCCTGCCCTGGTTTTCGCACTTTCCCTCTTGATGGCAGCGGTCACTCCCCTCCTCTAGATGTCAACTCAGTCGTTACTCCCTGACGATCATCCAGAGGTATACCCCTACCATGGTGGAAAGCAATTCCTCGTCACTCGTTAATCCCTTTCCCCGTCTTCTATTATCCGGGTCTTAGGTTGGCCGCTTTGCATTAAATGGACACTGGATTCTTGACCAGTCACACGGACATTGTAGATCGATTTGGCAAAAAGGCTTTCTCCATTCGGATCAACCGTCTAATTGTTATCAATGCTGAGAGTTCTATTCGGACGACGTCTGAGTTTCTTGCGGTGCAGAGTCCTCGAAGGAAGCAACAACCGTCGAGTGGTCAAGCTGGTCGTCTGCCTCTGGTATGTTCGATTCTATTAAGTAATTCAGAATGTGAGAACGCTGTAATTATCGTCGTTCTTCGAAGCCAGCATGGCTTGAGAGATAAAAGGCGTCGCAGATCTGACCGTTGCTTGAGCTCTGGCCCACCTTGACTGGTGGGTGCAGCCTACCCGTTGTCAAAATGTCTATTCCCCGACGTTTGCATTTCATCACGTCCCCAGAGATAGACTTCCCACCGCTCGCCGGGACCGCGACAGCCTGTCCGTTCGCGAGCTGTCATCTGATGCCATGTCCATCAATGCCTCATGCAGAAATCAAGACGAATTTACGCGGATTTGTCGGGTCCACAGTGCTTGACGCTTTGATCGGACCGCCATTGACAGAGAGCTTGATGCCTGGGCGGAAGAGACCCCGATAGACCTTTAGGAAAATTGACTCTGAATATCGCCATTCTGACGTGTCAACATCCGGCCGGCTCTTGTCTGCATGTCCCGACATACATGCGGAACCCCTGGCTTCTCTCTTCACCACCCATCCCGACTCGCCTCGACCAAGCTTCTGCAAACTGAGGATAATTGAGACCATTCGATGACACTTATCCCCCGAGGGAAGACTTGTACGGAACATGCTTGTCGACTCGGATGCACCTTGTGACGCACCGCGTACGATCGGGATTCATACACCCATTACACGTCAATTTCATGAAGAAACCTGTGCAGTCTGGGCATATGCAAACATCAGAGAACACTCGGGATGGGTAGACATCTTTCGCCCGAGGAAAGACATCAAGCAGAGTTTTGGAGGTACCCGAATGGTATAAAAAGGACGGTGCTTTCCATCAGGTCGAAATCTCACTCGCATCAGATCTCTGATCAGCAAGTAACCCAGTCCTTACCATGAAGTTCATCGCCTCTCTCGTCGCTCTCGCTTCTGCCGCCCTTGCAGTCGTCGCTTCCCCTGTGGACCTCACGGAGCGTAGCGGCGTGACTGCTCCTGCTGGCTTCAACATGTGAGTCCAATCAGAGCCTTTATTAGTCTAAAACTGACCTCTGCTTAGCACGAGCATGTAAGACGCAATGCCACTTCGAGGCTTTCTGCTCACTCGTTCTCAGTGGTGTCAATGGCTCCGGATGCCCAGCTGGAACCGCCTACGTACGTGATTACAATCCGATCTATTCGTTCATTGACCTTTGTGTAGTATGTTCTTAGCTGTACGTTCTACCTGACAACGCGCCTTCTGTTTACTGACATGCTTAATTAAGCCGACCGCACCTCTGTAACTGGTGAGTTTAATCTCCGTATGGAAGATATGACTTTTTACGCAATTTCAGTAACCTTCTCCAACTTTTACGCACTCGCTGGCCCCGACGTCAAGATCTCCGAGAACAGGAAGAGCTGCCAGCTCTCCCTCGGCGTTCGTGTTCCAGGCGGTTTTGCATTCGGTGTCGCCACTGTCGACTATGTGAGTCATTCATGACCTAGAGCTTGCGCGAATGCTCACGGTTCCTCCACAGCGTGGCTACTACCAACTCGATAACAAAGTCACCGCTACCCAGCAGGCCGTGTACTACTTCCAAGGACAGCTACAGCAAGCAACTGCCCGCTCCACGCTCAAGGGTCCCGTCGCCGGTAACACTTATACTTATCGCGATCAGTTCGATCTCTACTCGACCACGCTCAGCCCTTGCGGTGCCAACTCGGTTCTTAACGTCAACTCTGCTCTCCAAGTGAGCAACTCGGCCAACAGGCAGGGAAGCGGTTACATCGCCACCGACTCTATTGATGCTTCCTTGGTCCAGGTGCGCTTTCTTTGTGGATCTAACCTACGACTCTCTGACTTGTGTATATTCAGACCTTTGGTTTCTCCTGGTATACTTGCAAGTAGACCAACTGAGACAATGTTGTCGATACCCCGCCTTGTACTTAGGTGCTTCAAAGAATGTGAAAACTATCCCTGCAGATTACTGTACCCCGTGAGCATCAGTCATTTCAGCTGCCGCGTCTACCTCTGTGGCATACTTCCTGTGTAAATGATGGATTCTCGAAGTGCGACATTTGCCAAGTGTGTCTCTTGTACGTAGCTCGGATGTTTATTTCGATTGATGTCCTCCTGGGAATAATCTGCCGAGTTGGTGACAGGTGGAAGGTCTTCGCGACCTCCTGCTCACGAAACGCAATTGGAGAGGCTCGTCAACGTGACAATTTTAGGCGATGGGAAAACACTTCAATCATCCTCATGAGACGTTTATTCGGTTCATCGAAGGCCTTTTGGATCGACGCCCGGGGAAACTTGAGCCCGAGTCAAGACAAAATCGTTCGACGACTTGTCGGGTCAACCCTGTGTTGACATCGACTCAACTGGATGCCTAAATTAACTGAATGTCTCGTGATAGAAGCTTGATATGGAGGAAACTGACTTCGTACGGACGCCGCAATACAATCCCATTTGTGGCCGCTGCCGGTCCATCAGGGTTCCATGTCAAACGTCTATTCCACCCGGTCAATCGACGAGTTCGTCGCAAGAATTTTGCACCGCGTTCTCAAGCGCTTTTCTGGCGCAGACCTTCAGGCTGCACCTCCCCAACATAGCCCACGAAGTAGCTATAGCGTGTCTCGAACTCCACTTTAGGCTCTAGAAGTTGTTAATAGACGATATGAAGTCCTTCTTACCTGGTTAACTGCTCTTCCTTCTGCGGACCGCTTTTCCCCCTGAAATACCTCGCGAAAACGTCTCCTACGGGAGTCCAGTAGAGTAGCTGGTACTCATAAGGACACACCTGGGACTCAGGATGCGCTTTACCGAACAATTCACTTGAATTGTCTCGATCCACTCGTTTAGGGTTTGGAACCTTTTCGTGGCACATGGACTCAAGTCGCAGGTATCTCGGTGTGCACACGCTCGTCGGTGAAGCCCAACCACGACGCCCGGCAACTGGTGATCCATACGGCTCACAATCCCATTAGACTTATTGGATTATTGACATTGACGTATGAATATAAGCGCCAACGTGGACACCGATATCCAGCCGGCAAAGTTTGAAGGGTACCTGCACTTCGATCTTCGATGTTCACGACCTTCTATCTGCATACGTTCAACCTGGTCTACCCGATTGATTATGCGGATCAACTAGAGTTGTATATTCATGAAGGTTCTGTCTCTTTCGCCCTGTGACTTATCCGCATCAGTGCGAAGGCCCCTGCTACCTACCGCACGGGAGACATATGGGGTCGAGGGCACATATCAGGACTTTCTTAGCTGAAATCACGCACACTTGAACGTCCGAGAATGCTCAACCACGGTGATTGTCGGATTAACACACTCGTCCAGGACGTATAAAAGGTTGGCCATTCGGCGTTGGGGACGTGTCGTACAATCAGGTCTGCTCCCGGACTCGATCTACACCCAGATTCCTCACTGCCTTATATACAATCCCTCTTTCGTGCTCACCGCCTCGTTCTTCGATCATGTTCAAGCTCCTTGCTGGTCTTGTCGCGCTCGCCTTTGGCGCTTCTGCGGCTCCTTTTGATATCCCACCTGGTCTCGGCATCACTGTTGTCGATGGAACTCCTCGCGTCGTCTCCGGCGCTACCCTCGGCGTCGTCATTCCTCGCGATGTTACTGCTCCTCAGGGCTTCAACATGTATGTCCCTTTCTTCATGTACTCCTCCATCTAACTTCTTCTCTAGCACGAGCATGTGAGTACCGACAAGGAGTGAGGTATACACCGCTAATTGCCGTCCAGTGGCGTTAATGGATCTGGTTGCCCAGCTGGTGAGCCCATTGAAGCATACTTGACATATCCCTAATTCTATTCAGGAACTGCGTACTATGTTCTGAGTAGTAGGTACCCGTCAAAACATTGCGAGCCGTGCTAACCCGCTTTGTTCTCAGCCGACCGCACGGCCGTGACCAGTGAGTTGAGGATTGCATAGGAGTACCCATTCTCATGATTTAAGTCACCTTCTCAAATTTTTATGCCATGGCTGGTGACGGTGCCGCCATCTCCGACAACCGCAAGAGCTGCCAAGTCACCCTCGGCACGCGTGTTCCAGGTGGATTCAGGTACGAAATCCCTGATATGTATCACGAAGTCTGACCACTGGCTGGATAGCTACGGTATTGCCACCGTGGACTACGTACGTACAGTCAAGTCGTGTGATCCTGCTGACTGTGATTCTCGAATAGCGTGGATACTACCAACTCGATGCCAACGTGAGTCTAACATTTGGTAATTGTACTTAGTCTAACTCGCAGGCAACAGGTTACCGCCACTCAGGTAATTTACATGCGCAATGGACCAAGATGTCAATCTCATGATTTTTAGCAATCCATCTACTACTTCCAAGGTCAAATCACCCAGGCTACCGCCCGCTCTTCGCTCAAGGGCCCCATTGCTGGTGCCGATTATACGTGAGGCTACTTTGGTCATGCTTCTCGACTTCTTGCTGACCATAGACAGCTACCGTGACCAGTTCGACTTGACGACCACTGTGATGAGCCCATGTACGCGTTGCTTTGGTCAATACCCTCGGCTGACTGTAAAATGCTTCTAGGCGGCGCCGACACTGTCCTCAACATTGCAGCTTCGCTCCAGGTCAGCAACTCTGCGAACAAGAAGGGGAGCGGATACATCGCCACCGATTCGATCGACACCAAGTTGGCCCAGGTGTGTGATTTGAAAAGATCTAAATGGGCGAGAAACTGAGCGCATGACAGACCTTCAACTTCCAATGGCAGACGTGCACGAAGTAGGGTGTAATGGCTCTGGTAAATCCACACCGTCTCTGCTGTGTACATTTGGTGCTGTCAAAATGCGATACAATCTTCTCTCTCGACCTATTTCGATCACTTATGGGTATGAGGTCTTTGCTCCTCGCTGTGCACACTGCCTATGTCCGATGGCATATGTCACAGAGGTGGGGGTACAACTCATGGCGTTGTCTCTATGTTTTCTTGGTCTATGGACTTTCTGAATCGCCACTGGTTGTCAAATGAAGTGTCGTTATGATGCCAATTAGCGGAGCAGTGCCCTTAGCACTGACCGGCTCATCGCCACGAGGAATTTCTCGCACGTCGCATCTTTGACTGTAACCTCTTGCAGACGCGCGCAAGCACTTGCATCTTTTCCTTTCCTTTCTCTTTCCTTCTCTCTTTTTTTCTTCGCTTGCGGGCTGGGCCTGCCTTTTTTTCTTTCTCGGTTTCTCCACTCTCAAGGCGCGAGTCGCCTTTTATTTTTTGCTACACTCGTTGGAACATCCAAAGGGGGATATATTGGTGCATACATTACGCTTGAATGCCCTCGCGTGTAGACCAGCTTCGAAACGAGACGCGTTCTGTGTCTTCTGTGTCGACCGCTTCGTCAGATGCGACGGCGGTCGACACGCCTGTAGGATTGGAGACACTCTACTTGTACCTATACCCGGGTGCGGAGTTGCCGAGCGTGCCCTACAAGCTTCGCTTCGCAGTGAGTTTCCATCTCTCGCTAGAAACGAGCACTGATGTTTGCACTCAGATCTCCCCTGATGAATGGGACTCGCGTATCCAGATTATTGCAGAACATACCAATAATGCAGCCCGTCCCCTCCCTGAGGCCATTTATTTCTTCATATGCTGTATCGCGTATGTACATTGGTCGCTTGAAATGCATTACTGATCTTCCTCTAGTATTCCAGCCGGGATTGGATACCCATTGTTCATGCAGATGCTCGACTTTGCGGAAGCGACGCGCAAAGGCAAAGGACTGACGAAGCAGGATGGGATGATCGCCATCATTATCTCGTCTGTGGTCGCATTGCTGCTGTTCATGATCTTCTCGACGCCTCTTTTCGTCCGCAAATATATCGTACGTTGTTGGGTACTCGTGGACGATGGATGTAGTCCATTGACTTTTTCTCAAGCTACAGCGTCGAATGAACCGCGTGACGCAATCGTGGGAGGCTATCGATCAGAAAAAGGCGGACAAGAACCTCAAGTTGAAATGGCGCGTCCGTTTACCGTACCTGTTTGGTTCCGCGAGTGTACGTACTGCGCCCTGTATTCGTTGCAGAATATTGATGGCGCTTGGGCCCTGCAGGCTTTACGAATCCCTGTCCCACCCCGCACCGAAGGATCGGGGCGGACGCTCATTGGGATGCATGCACATTCACGTTCGAATTCGAGCACAAGCTCCTGGGAATCTGACATGGAGGCGCAGGGCGGAGGGTCGAATGCGGGCAGCATGTTGGCTCGAGATGATAGCTTCGGGGGACAAAGCGTGTTCACGAGGAATTCTTGATTGGGATGATGTTGTTGATCGTTACTGGAATGGATTGCTATGCAACAACCTGTCAGCCGTCGGATGTCAGATCGGGCCTGGGAGTCCCAAGCGTGCTAAGACCAACAAGGCGCGCGCAATGGGCGAGCTCGCTGTTGTCGGCAGCGATGGAAATCCGAATAAAAATAAGCAAAGCGCTGAATTACTGGCTGTAGGGGATCGCGGGCAAGGGCTGTGAAAAGGCCACCGCTATCGGGGTGAATGGTCATCAAAGGCGGTGGTATCCCATTCTTGACCTCTTCCACTGCCTCGCATTTTCGCGCCTTTCACTCCCTTGTACGTTCCTCATACAGACCGCGTCCGTCTGTTATAAAACCATCCGTCTTTGCTCACCTCTCCCTTCAAGCACTGTTGCTCTTTCTCTCCAGCCCAGCGCTCTTTTCTTCACCGGCGTCCACAAGTCTCAACCATGCTCTTCAACGCTCTTCTACTCTCCTCTACAGCTCTCCTCGCCCGAGCTGCAAACTTTGATGTCCGGGTCGGAGGACTCGAGGGCGGTAACCCCGTTCTCAAATTTAACCCAGAGGTATGTCCATCTTCACTTTTTTTTAAATTGTATGTTTCTAACAACTTCTGCAGTTTGTCAATGCTAACGTCGGCGACACCGTGGTAAGTTTGCAACCAATATAGCTATTCCTCAGGGTATTTACTCTTCAAAAGACGTTCCATTTCGCTCAGCGCAACCACGTACGTGCGATTGTTCGCGCCTGATATTATATTTACATTTTCTATGAATAGTCGGTGGTCGAGACCAGCTTCAATTCGGTCTGCCAGCCCCTGCTCAACGAACAGCATGTTCCCACGTTTTCAACTCAATTCCACCCAGTTGCAAACGATGAGACCAATTTCCCAACAGAGGTCTACACTGTCACGGACGCCTCGAAGCCTCTCTGGTTCTACTGCAGCCAGAAGAGCCATTGTGGTAAAGGCATGATCTTCAGTATCAACTGCCCGACCACTGGTGAGAATACCCTCGACGCTTTCCGTCAACGAGCCCTCGCCATCGGTGCTGCTGAAGCTGCCGCCTCGTCTTCTGCCGCTGCCTGGTCGTCTACTGCGAGTCCCGATGTCTATGGTGGCCAGACGTACCCGCCAGTCTACCATCCTACTGTCACCAGGACCGTCACATTCCAGACTGAGACTTGGACGACGACCTATGAGTCGTATGAAAACTCACCAGAGCCAACGCCCGTTGCGGAAGATGGAATTGTACACACAGTCCTTGTTGGCGCCAACGGTAGCCTCGCATATGACCCGCCATCTATCCAAGCAAACGTTCGCGACACGGTCCGCTTCGTTTTCAAGGCGAAGAACCACACCATCACCCAGTCGTCGTTCGGTGACCCGTGCCGCAAGCTCGAGTTCACGTCGACCACTGGTCAAGTCGGCTTCGACTCTGGATTCGTCCCTGGCAAGGATGACAACTCTGCATTCTTCGACGTCAAGGTCAACGAGACTGGCCCCATCTGGGCATACTGCCGCCAAGGTAACCACTGCGGTCAGGGTATGGTCTTTGCCATCAACGCAGACGAGTCGTCCGCTCGCAACTTTGCCGCATTCCAGGCTCTCGCAAAGACCATCAATGGTACTGGCTCGAACAACGGTAACACGGCCGGAAACGGCAGCCCTGGTGCTGGGTTCGCGACTGCATCTGTCGTTGGCGGGCTTGCTACGCTCGTCCTCGTTGGATTCGGTAGTGTCGCTGCTGTCATGTTCTAAGTACGCTTCAGCGATAAACGGACAGCTATCCAGCTATCTATCGTGATACCCAGAGCCATCTAATGATTCCCCCTTCCACCTTGCATCTCACCCGCAATCCTCATGTTCCCTTTCTCTCTATATCGCATCCGAACTCCGCACCTTCTCGAGCCTGAAGAGGTACCATAATGACTCTTAATGACGCCAACCATCTATCATATTGATTACTGCTTGCTTTTAGCGACGCAACGCGCTCGCCTACCCCTTCATTATCGTCCCTTTCACCTTGGCGTGCAGGGATCTCCATGATTATTTGTCTAACTCATATCTTCTTCGACTATGAATAAATGGTCTTGAAGACTTTGGTTTACATATTGTCCATTCTGAGTTCTCTTGTCCTAGGGGCTGTTAAAACTCAATTTTAAGAAGACACGATATATAGAAGTGTTCGGTTCTTGATCCATCTCTAAGTTCCCAAATAAACCGTTCAAGCAGCGCGTCTTCTCATAGGATGCTGGAATACAGCGACGTACTGGCTATCGTGTTTGTGGAGTGTGGGAAATGCTGTTTGACATGTTTCAGATAAGATCCTACCCAATACCTTTGTGAGACCTCTCGACACAACGGAGACACTTGATAGTTGGCTTTTGACCCCCGTGCTGGCACGGAGCCGGAAAGCATTTCTTGAACCCATACCTTAACATGTATACCCATCTTGCGGACCTAGGAAACACGATAGAGCTTCTCAATGCTCAAGATAGAGATCTGGCGGTCGCCCATGAGCTGATGCGGGAGAGGTATGTCTCTTTGGCAATTTTCACATTCGTTAGTGATGAGTTGCAGAATGCGGCTGGAACAAAAGTTGTACGTCAATAAGAGCCCAATTCTCTTTTGTTTACCCTCTAAGCATCAACGGACTGCGAGCCATTATTGACAGGCACAAGTCATGGCCTGAGGAGCGACACGGAGAGTACTCAGAAGTCCTCATCACTGCATTTGAACAGGGTTTGAGGGGTGACAACAGCTACTACAGATCGATCTAACCTATGTGCGTAGAAATCGAGGCGCGTTCGAGCCCTAAACCGGTAGTCCCCAGGCATCAATCCATGGGAGAGGTAAGGCTATCCTTTACATTTTAATACCGATAAAATATTTTAGGAGTTGATCGTAGGCTCTACACTCGTGCGCAAGCTCCGAGATGCACACAGCGCACACGAAGTCGCTTATACAAAACTATTGTCATCAAAAGACGAGTTACAAGAATGGCTACGTCCTAAAAAATTGTATTTTGAAAATTCTCGTATGCCTTTGATAGGTAAGTCGTCTTGATCAGAATGGTCGATCCAACATCACGCAATGATATCTGAAGAGCTGGAATACCGCTGGAGCGTACATCGTCAACGTGAATGTGCGAACAATCTTCGATTATGGTACGAGAGAAAACAAATGGTACGTCACCTGCTTCGGGCCGTAAATTCTCTCTGAACGAAGTAGCCACTAGTAGAATCTCATCATTCGAGTCTGGAGGACACCAAGGCAACTATGATACGAATGATAAACGCCAATATGTCCGTAAACGAATCATCTACTATGTTCCAAGCTCATCAATCATAGCGATTGTGCATCAACATGCAGCCGAATATATTCGCATGCGCTGGGCAGAGCATCGAGCTTACTTCCCTTGATTCATCGCGCATCAATCGAGGAAACAATGGATTTAGAACTGAGCAGTCACGCACTAGAACCGGTAGACTACCGCAACTGGTTCTTCGATGGCCAACCCTCACCTCTGCAATTTGGCATAGGGGCCATAATTATCGAATCCGACAATATCCCAACTTCTTCGGTAAGCAAAAGGCCACATATAGTCATCAGCTAAAGAATCGCGTGACAAGTAGTACTCCTGGGTTTTAGTGCATACGATGTTGGAAGCCGAGAGAACCAATGATTTCTCTGGTGTTTCCGCCGGTTGTGTCACCCGGGTAAGCTCCTTTGTCCGTATTTGATAAAAGAAAGTGACATCTTTCAGTTTGAGCTCTCTCAATATGGCCCTCTCCTCCCGCTGAATTCTGCGAAGTTTGAACAACTCAAATCTACAAGTTTGGGGAATATATCAACACCTGACGATCAAACTCATAATTTATACAGGGCGCATTTCTCGTCAAGATCTATCTGCCTTGATGAAACCTGATAAGACGGTCTGGGAACCGTTGGGATGTGCAAAGCGTAAAGAACTACTCACGCTGGTTATAGACCACACTCCTTCCTGTTGGCTCACTCATCGTCGAGTATGTCTTGAGGCAGCTTAGAGTCGAGGCTAAGGTTTTCCAGAGCTCGAGCCATATCGTCGATGCTGCTAGGCGAAAGTGGGATTTCGAAAACAATTGTCCGAAGCGCAAATAGCGGCAACTACGTCATATATAAAGATACAAGCAATTGATCTCAAGATGAAAGAGATTGCGATCACTATCCACTTGACATCGGTATGTTTGGCTGTGTGTGTGCGCAAGTGAGGGTTCACCTTCGCCACAGCCGTTCAACATCCCAGTACCATACGATTAGAACCCCATCCCATTCTTTACTTACATCCCCCTTTTTCCCTATCGTGTCTGCATTCCCCTCCACTTGCTTTCTCGTCTCAATTTTCATGGTTGGCTATATAAGGCGTTGTGCATGTTATTGTCTAGCTAAATTTTGTACCTGCGATGGCTTGATCATATACGCGTTATTCCAGAGGGGTCGGTCTCTCTTGACCCCTAGGTCTATTTCGGCTTGTCTCACCATTAAAACAATGTCGGCCGGTCCCTGGAGCTCATAATACAAAAGACAGGTACGAAGAAGTGTGTCTACATTAAATAATTGAAACGGTCGAGATTGATGAATGCCTATGTAGATCTAAGAGGGCGCGATGACACCCAGTATGCCCCCAATGTTTGTTGAAATCGTGAACTGATGCAACCTTTCTCCATGAGACGTCTGTACGACCGTCCATGGATCCACCTTCTCCCTGTTCATCGTAAAGGTTACGCTATCAGCAGCGTCACCGTAGAGTACGACCTGGACCTCTCCATCGACCGGCTCAACCTCAAACTCTAGCTCACCAGACGCCGTATCGGCATCAGAAGCGGGACTGGAATCGTCTGGAGATTTCGGAGATGCCACCAAAGATTTAGCGTTTCCCTTTGGCGAGAGAACATGTTGCTGTGAGCTTGCGCCATTCCACTGAAGAGAGAATGACAGTCCAAAGCGTGGAAGGACGAGGGCAACGATGTAGAGTCCAACATGACAGAAACTTGTAATGAATGGTAGGTGGGCAATCCACCCTAGACGTCGGGTAATGATTGTTGGAATGCGCACGGTTTGTGCAAAGAGGACTCTGGATGTGCGTGGGCGAGAGAGGGTGAGGGTCGCGCTATTCGCAGAGTCGTTTATCGGTTTGGAAGGATTGGTAGGGTTGTCTCCGACAATGGTCAGTGTCGAAGTGTGCGGGGAGTCTGGTTGTACTGGATGGAGAAGGGCTGGCGTTAGCACTCCTACCAATTGCTTTGGAGCGCATGGAATAGAGTGCAACGTAGACAGCCGAAATGATGTCAAGTTGGGCTTGATGAATATAGGGAGGGTCCTTCCATTGTTGTAAGTAGCTGGGGACCCATACCTGGCTGATACATGACTAGGGAAGTCGAGCCCCCCATCAATGAAGTGAGCTTGCTAGGTAAAACATGAATGGGTGTAGATGAAGAGGGTAATGCGCCAAGCTTGACGAGATTAAACTCGGAAGAGATGGCGTGGGGATCATTCGAGGAAACAAAGAGCGCATTTGCGTCTACTGTTGGGAGAGTAGAGACTCCATTTCTCTCTAGTGCGTTCAGTACGGCAGACATTGAGCATCGGCATTCAACGGATACCGTGGAAGGGGTATCACAGAAAACTTCACGCCCCATCAGCTTGATCTCTTCCCCAGAAGAAGTGAAAAGCAGGAAAGCAGAGTATGTGAGTTTCCACTTTGGTTGGGTCGGAACCAGCACCAGATTGTGTGCAGACAGTACATTGGTCCCTAAGTCCTCTAGTCGGTAGGGACGGGGCCTATATCCGTTTTAGAACCATTTATGTAGGGAGAGCTTTTACTCACGGTCCGTTGCGTGGAATGCACCATACCGTCCATTGTCCACTTTGGTGGAGTGAACCCAGACAAGGAGCTTGCTCGGCGGAGACAGGGTTCCAGAAGCCTACTTTGTCCACCTTGATCGTTCCGTTTGACGAGTAGCTACCTAGCCACGTAATGTCTTTGGCCGAATGCTTAATTCTGTACGTATAAGAGTACTTCGTCGCAGTGGCTTGGTTCGCTGGGACTGGAAGACTGAATGATGCACTGAGATGTACAGAATCATCCTTTGCTGTTGTCAGCTACTCGTATCCGACACAAAGAACGAAACATGCATTCTGTGCGTCTGGGGCACTCTCGGCTTGCTCAAAGGCGACCGGATGCCATTCACCGGGTCGGACACCGGTTATTGGGAGATTTGACCAAATCTCCAGAGAGCCGTTGAGACGTTGCCATTCCTTGTTGGGGACGGTCGCATGGAAGGTCACGTCGACGGTGGGCTCCCCTGCGATTGCCGAACGGACGGTCGTTGCGAGGCTGAGAGGAGGCTCGAATAAGATGGTCATTGTGGTCAGGATCAAGCTGGTCAGGCAATCTGGGCTGTACTTGCGCGTCCAGCAGAGAGCCACCGCGCATGCGGCAGCCGCGCAGAGGACCCTCTTCTTTTGAATAGTGTGGAACAGGATACAGACACAGCCAGAGACAAAGGTATACGGCACTTTAGACTTCGAAAGGGAGTATTTCCAGGAGCTAATACATGGCTAGACTGGTATGCAAATATCGGGATCATACGGCCGGGTGACCTCGCCAAGAGTTGCGGAGGGTTATCGTGTGAAGATGATGTGCATCCGTTGGTCGATTGTAACGACCGAGAGAAAGGGCACGAAGGATGGACGAGTGGATTCAATCCGAACCTCTCATGGCGGCTTGCTTGACAGGATCTGTGATCGGAATAAGAAAGCGATAAGAGAATCTTGTAGTACGAACCAAAGTAGGGATGGTCTTGGGCCTCTTTCGCCGTGAGCCGCTCCTGGTGGTCATAGCGGAGCAGCTTGTCTAGAAAATCGATGGCTTCGTTGGAGATGTACCTCTGGTTCTCAGACGTGATGAAGCGAGACCAGGGTTTTCGTGGGTACCGGCCAATGATGTCGTCATATGCAGAGTCGAGCTCGATGTCGTACTTTTCTAAATATGCGTATAACTCTTCGGTGCCTAGAACCTTGGTGATCTTGACAAGTTGGTCATAGTTATCGTGTCCGTGGAAGAATGGCTCCTTTCGGAAGATCTGCAAAGGCGTCAGGCAAGCCAAAAACTGGGCGCTGTTGCGTACCATAGAAGCAAACATGCACCCGAGGCTCCACATGTCGAGACTGTAATCGTATTCCTGGAAGTCGACGAGCAGTTCTGGTCCCTTGAAGTATCTCGAGGCCACTCGAACGTTATACTCGGTCCGTGGATGGTAAAATTCTGCAAGACCCCAATCGATGAGACGCAGCTACAAAGTAGTCAGATGTTATATAGAGGGGGTGTTTATTACATACCTGGCGTTGCTCATGGTCAATCATCACATTGTGAGGCTTGACATCGCGATGCATGATACCTTTGGAGTGACAAAAGTCCAGTGCCTAGGTTTGAATTAGTAAAACAGAATAGATAGTGGTAGGATTTACCTTTAAAAGCTCAAAAATATAATATCTGATGTCAAAGTCTGTAAATCGTGGGTACAGTACTTTGAAGTCGAGATTCTGGACACATTCGAACACCAAGCTTGGAATCTTTGATGTGGGATCACGGACGACATCGAGCAAAGTGATGATGTTGGGACCCCCAGCAAGATTTTGGAGGATCTTGATCTCTCGCTTAATCTTCTTCTTCTTGACGGGTTTAAGAACCTTGATGATGCATTTGTCGTCGTTTCGGATATTTACTCCCTCGAACACCTATGCGCAGCCTGCGTTGAGTTTACGTCGAAGAGGTTGTAGGCGCTGTACCTCTGAGTATTTGCCTCGGCCTACTTTACGGATGATTTCATAGTTTTCTTGAGATCCCCATGCTACAGTAAGATTATCTGCGGACCGAGCCCACGTTAGCAGTTAGCCACCACGAGGCCAGTGGGTTTCAACGAACCGTAGTCATGCCAGTTGGGACCGAGGCTGCATAAGATGCAGATAAGCAAACAATTATGTGCAAATAGAACAATCTACATACCGCTCGTTGACGTTTGCGTAGACGCGGGCGACTGATCGCGACGCGGGCATGGGATGTTGGGCGATTTGGGCGGCTACGAGCAGTGAGGGGCGTCGATGAAGGATCCAAGGAGTGGAATATGCGCGTAGAATGCCTTTGAAAGGCAATGGCCTGCGAATGCTGCCGACGATGGTGGCGGTTGAGTTTGAGTGCCCTAGAGCAAACTTGGACGTGAACCACGCTCGAGGCGCTGCGTCTGCGATCCTACGCAGGTCATTCTAGGACAAAAGGCGGTTCAGCGCGACTCGAATCGTCAAAAGACGCGCGTACATACGCGTCCTCGCTTGAACTCTGCCAAGTCCACGCAAGCCCACCACACGCAGAGCAGTTTGCTAGCTGCTATTTTTCAATGCCAACAAAGCCCACTTTTGTGGCCCTCGAGGGTCCAGATTTCGATCGTGAACACGCAGACCAGCTCGCCGTTCGACTAGATCTCCTGCCTTACAAGACCGAATCAGAGGCACAGGCGAATCACCTTCTCGAAACTTTCATCACCAAACTCATTGCAGCTACGAATGCAAAGGATGTGGATTCAATTGTGCAATGGGGCGTAGAGGCCATGCAAGAGTACGCCATTGTCCGATGACTTGCATTAGGTTTTCACTCTGTTTGATAGGTGGTCCGTACTCAGAAGGTTCATTCCAAGACCACGACGTGCCGTTCTCGTCAAATTCTTCTACTTCCTGACTAGTAAGATCATGTAGCCTTGGGGCCAGGACGTTGGCTTACGTCTTCTTAGTCGTGCCGGGACTCAAGAGAAAGTACATGCGATCTTTCATCAGTATGATTCGGCAATTGTCGTTCTTGCAAGGCGATGGGAGACATCTTATCGACTCTGGCGACCTCTTGCTGGACTGGAGACCATTATGGATGCGTTTCAAAGGAGAAATATATACAGAGGGGACCGTTTCAGGGTAGGCTTTTCGCCATCTTGGTTACTGCATGCTCACACGAGCACCAGCCAACTGATCGATCTTGCCTCCGCGTGCAAAGAATTCTTCCCTGTGGCCGATGTTCCAGAAATGTTGGACGAGTTTTTACCCTTGTTGAATCCAGAGGTGTGTCGTGATCATTTGCTGACCTCACGCTCATCGGTGATCGATAGACACCTGCACTTGTTGCGGCCATTCTATCCAACTTTGTTCCGACAAGTAACCCTCATCTCTATCTACCTCTGATCTTCAGCATGACAGAGGCCTTCAACTCTCCTCTCATGGGTCTATATCTCACAGACCTCCTTGCGGGGCTTACTGAACGCCACACCATCTTTTCGGACGACCCAAGTACGTTCAAAGATGTCGGGATGTTCACATTTCTCGAGTGGGAATTGCTAGTGTCGAAGCTACTGAGTGAGTTTCACGACTGGCCTACTTGCCTTGCTCACTTTTTTATAGCGGGAAATATCACCCAAATGGTGCGTTGGCCAAAGCTGTATGAGAACTTGTGCTTATTCCACCAGCTCCCGTTCGACACGCTCGTGCGCACGGATAGGCAAGGAGGCCTTCTGGGGAAACTCCGTAAACCAGCCTACCAACCAGGCGAGTTTCACATCGTGGTTGCTGATTAGTTCTGATCGTGCGTCAAGACGCAATTGCTCAGATTATGGTCTACTCCATGACCGTCGACGGCGACGTGCAGCCCTCTCCAGAGCCAGGAAGCAAGGAGACTGGAAAGCTTCCTGGTCTTGTTGGCGGATCAAAAGCTCTTGACTCACTTGCTCAATTCATTGTCTCCAAGGAAGTCTCCTTTCATCCGTCGCAGAGTTCATCGATTACGCGTCCGGTTCGTAATTGAATTGACTTTGGCGTTTGGTTCTGACCTAGCTATAGTTGACCGCGATAACCGAATCCTTTTCCCGTCGGTTTATCTATCGATGGACCGAAGAGGCGTCGGGAACATGCAGGACCCCCATGGTATGTTCTATCTACATGTTAGAGCAAAAATTGACGTTCTTTAGGAGCGCAGGTTGACCCCGGAAATGAAAAAGCGCTTCGTCGAGCTCCTAACGACGCCAACGTTGATGGCAATCTTCTCCAAGGACTCCGACACCGCTGCTAGAGCTCGTGGTACCTTGCGCAACCTGGCATACCTCGACGCCAGTATAATTATGCCCCCTTTCTTGGAACGCGCGTATAACGGTCTCGAAGCCATCAACGAAACCCATCGCACAACTGCCGTCTTGGTCGCCCTCTCGGAAGTGGCTCTTCCTCTCGTTTCTGAGGAGGTCTGGTTTGGAGGACAGAAGCACATTTTGCCGCTTCTCGAACTCTGCTTACCAGGAATCGACCTTGTAAGGCTTCCACTTATTTGTTACATTTACTGATGGTTATTTTGAGAACGACCCCAATAAGACGGTCGCAACAGCTTCCTTCGTTTCCAATGTCCTGCAGACGATTCCTATCATGAGTCTTGTCGGAAAGGCAGACTCAGGCGACGTTGTGATGTCACCATTAATGGATGACACGGGCGAACTCAATGTCGGACCTTCAGAAGACCGCGAAGAGGAGCGCACTCTGGTCGTCGAGAGTACGGCCTTATTCGAAGGTAACTAAGCCATCAGGGAGATGACCGATGCTGACCAGCAATAGACTGGGTTAAAGCCTTCTTTGACCGATGTCTGACTCTGTACGAAACCTTGCCGGAGGAAAGCGGTCGTTCCAAAAAGACGGGTGGCAAGCAAGAGGAAGCTATGCTCAGTAGTCTCCGAGAAGCTACCGATGTCATTTGTACGCAGCTTTCAGACGAGATTTTTGACACGGTCCTCAACCGAGTCTACGACTTTGCGACGACAAACGCGAAGCTCAACTCGATGAAGGCCTTCTGCCAACTCTTACGACGAGTGGCACGGTCCAACCCTGGAAAGACGATGGAGAAGTTTATCCCAATGTGCGCTCGACAGATCAGAGTTGAATTAGAGCATGGTGCTGCCAGCATTCCTACCACGAGCACGACGGAGAGCGTACACTCTGATACAGCCCTGCTATGGCGTGCGTCTATCTCTACGGAAGCCTATTCGTGCTGATGGTCTACTAGATCTTTCCCTCTTGCAAGCCGTGATGGTCGAGTCGGGTATCGCTGTACGTCTCTTGTGCAAGAAGACGGGAAATGCTTACTGTGTGGCAGTTGCTCACCTACAGAGAGACCCTCACGGAATTGATACCCTATCTTGTCCTGAAGATCAAGAGCGAGCGTTCCTATAGTCTCACTGGATCCATTATCAAGACTGTCTTCTATGCTCTCACAACGGTCTATTCTTCCAACCGACAATCCCTCAATCCTGATGAATGGGCACAAGCGTGTACGTTTATTACATATTTGTTGATTCTTTAGCTCATTTGGCGAAGCTACGGACCGGAGCTCCCACCGGAAATGGGGCAAATTCTACGAGGGTCATGAGGTCAAAGTTGAATGGCATGTCCCGACCCCTGAAGAGGTCGAACTTGCGCTTTCGCTTTTGGAAAACTTGACCATGCCAGCACTTGCTATTGTCGAGAATCTTATCCAGGTTCGCTCCTCCGACCGTGACAAGATCTGGCGCAACGATTTTGTACGTAGTATGCTCACAATCTGCTTTTGACTGACATGGTTCTAGTGCAGGTTGGTCGTGGTCTGATTTTAATGAGTGGGTTCTAACGTCTGTAGGCATCTGAGTGTTGTAACGAGCTCGTTCAGAGGACTCGATACGCTGATCAATCTCGTGGGCGGTGATTCGTTGAGCGAGTCTATCCGAAAAGAATACGACGTACCAGAACTTCAACAGCACCCATTCCTCCCTCTTGCGAGTCTATGCCTGACAGACCCAAATGACCAAAGATATCAGACGGTAATTGGATATCGCATGAGGCTCGGGAAGATACTCCAAGAGGCCGCGATTAGCCTGCGAGAGGCTCAGACGGAGGATCATATCGACGCCGTATCCAGTAAGTTGAGAGTAAGAGGGCCAACGCTCTTTCTGAACATGGCTAGGTCTTATCACCGGTATCGATACCTATCTATTCCATCATGGTATCAAAGACGACACTGCTCGACGCACCCGATCCGCATTCGACAATGGACGACGGGCTTGGGTCTTCTGTCGTCGTCAATACGACATGCCACGCAATTACTGGACAAAATTTGCAGAGTGTGATCACAATTATCGCTTACAGCACCTTGCGCGATGTCGTCCTTACACAGACATCGATCGTGAACTAGTCTTTGAGATTCTCAAATTCTGTCGATCGCCATATGTCAAGATCAGAAGGTATGCCGTACCGTTTCGGGTTGCTCTATCTCATCCTTGCGGTAGAACGGCACAAAATTTAGCTCTCGCAATAGCGAACGTCTGTATTTTGCATCAAGAGCGAGCTTCTTTGACATCTTCTAGGTCTCTGACTCGCATTCGGAGTACGTGGTTACTCGGATGCTTGAGTTCCTTCAGGAGGACAGTCGCGTGGACCGAGCAGAGAAATCAACAGATTTATCAGACCAGATCAAAGGCTCGCTTCACACAGTTCGACTTGGGAACTTGCCGTCATTAGCCGTCAATAACCCTATCTTATGCAAGCAGTTCTTCATTTCACTGTTGAATCTGGAATATCACAGCAAGGTGGGTAGGCTGTTAGCGAGATAGAAACACTAAATTTCCGCCAGAATTCAATCCAAAGTCTCATTTCAACGGTCTTTGATCTCGGCATTCACGCTTTGCGTCAAGAAGTGCCCATCGTCTTGCCAGACGATGGGCTTCTCACCAAGTCCATCCAAGAAGTTTCGCATTTATTCCCAAGACGAGACCAGTCACTGGAGGCCCTCGCACGAACCAAGTTGTCGATTCGCTTCAACCGACTGCACGATGCCATCCAGTCATCTGTAAGCCACATGTCCATTCTTAGAATGAAGGCTTACAAATCGTGCAGTTTTTGGAGATATTGGATATAGCCCAGAAGCCGACTACACACGTGCGTCTCCTGTCTAATTGTGGCACCATGTCTAATTGTGTCCAGTGGCGATATGCGCAAATGGCCCTCAATGCGCTGACCCACATGAGAGATCGAGAGATTGTACCTCCTGCGGCATATGTCAAATACCTTACAAGTTGCACAGTTCATACTCATCCAACCATCCGTGCCGGTGGACGGAGGTACGCAGGATCGAACTTGACCTCGGCATACAGCTGATGTCAGTTCAGTGGCCTTGATATGGTATTTTATCATCTGCAGGTGCGCACATACTGCAAGACACCACATGCACTGTGGACGGCAGACGGTCACTGTTCCCTCCATCGTCGGATCCGCCCCCAAAACACCCGCGAGTTTCAGCAAATTGCTTCACGTACAGTGACAGCCGACAATGGAGAGTATGTGTGCTTTCTATGTTCTTGCCAGTCGACTGATTATTTGTAGGCTGTACTTTGACGGCTCGCATACGTACTGCTTAGGTTGGGCGCGCTGGGGAGAAGTTTATGGACACGTACCGCAAACGCAAAAGTCTCCATTTGCATGGGAAGAGGCGTCGAGGCCAATGCTAAATGAAGTCCGAGATGTCCTCCGCTCCGCAGGCTACTTCGACAAATTGATCGAGTACTATGCAGAAGAGCCAAATGTTGACCCAGCGAGTCTAGATACTCGAGACGAGTGCGTACATTCATTTTGATTGTGAAGGTTGCGGTTGACTTCAAGTAGCTGTGTGCGATGGATCCTACGTATCTGTGAGGTATATGGCACAGAGTTCTTCCCTGCAATTTGTGCTGCCGTCGAGCCACTGTGGAAAGACGACGACCGGTTCAAGCAACGGGCCGTCCTAGAAGTCTTTGCAGGACTTATTGGAGGGAGCAAGCATTGGAATCAAGAAGAAACATCTGCGCTCTGGACGTGGATCATGGAGCGATGGCCTGCAATTTATGCAAATATCAAACCGGATACATTGTTTTGGGAGAGCTTTGTTTCTGTGAGTGCTCCCAACGGGATAATGAGGCTCACTCACTAAATGGTGCAGTGGTGCTTTACGAGTCGCGACCCGCGTCGGAGTCAACCATTGATTGATTGGTTATTCTCACTCGATTGGGACCTGGCTAACGATTCGGCGTTTACGCGTGAGTACTCATTCATCGTAACCTGATACAGGTGGACTGAGGGATTCCAGTTCGCAAGCAATTGCGCTTTGTCGCCAACTTTTACCACGCCGTCGCGCCGAGGTACTATTTGCCGCACTCACAACGGATTGCCAACACCTTGTTCAACAACGTGAACACGGGATTCGACGTTGCGCAGAGATACATTGCGCTGATTTTGACTATTTTGATTCAATCCGAATGGCAACCCAGCTACGATACTACTGGAGCGCTACTCGAAGCATGCAGGACGAGTACGGACCCATTCTTGACGCGAATTGCGCCATATGAAGCGCAGATGACCGAGGTTGCGAGCAAACTCTCACAATGGCGCAAGGAGAGATTGGCACCTCCCCACGCTCTGCAGTCTGATTTCGACAGAGGAGCCGCGACAGTGATTCAGCTCCTGATGGGCGGCATCTCCGCACCTGCCGCATACGTCTTTATGCCGTCGCTGCAGATGCTGCTGCCAGAGTTGATTGGGATCGCCGAAATCACGGACAATCCAATGCTGAGTTCGCTGAGCACGACGATTACGCGCATGGTCTTGTCGGTGACTTTGCCCTCTGCACACATTCGACCGCTGTTCAATACACTGGTCGGGATAGCGCAAAGCTCGACATCGTGGAGGGTCCGGCATCGGGCGTCGAGTATGATCCCCGCAGTATTTTTGCGGTATTTGGAACGGTGGGAGGATGAAGAAGAAGTAAAGAAGATGCTTGAAGTGATGCTCAAGAGTCTAGAGGACGAGAATGTGGATGTGCGGTCAAATGCAAGCTTGAGCTTGGCGGTGGTGATCAGGAATGGAATGTCGGGCAAGATTGGAACGTTGCAGGCAAGTCTGAGCAATCACATATTTTATCTGACCTACTGACACAAGGATAGAAACGGTTCCTTCGCCAAATCCGCAAATACGCATTGCCAGCGCGGTCGTCTGAAACCTATGAAAGGACGCTGCGAATGCGACACGGCGCTATCTTGGGTCTCTTGGCACTGGCACGGACATATCCTTTTACTGTGCCCGAGTGGATGCCAGCGCTGATCGAGACCGTGGCCAAATATGCAACAGAGCCAGCGCCAATTGCCAACAGCATTCGAAGCTTTGGGCAGGAGTTTACACGGAATCACCAGGATAACTGGCATGCTGATAGCAAGCTTTTCAACGAGGACCAGACTCAGGCACTGTCGCTTATTGTGTCTGGAACGTCTTACTACGCCTGAATCCGGCGAGGGCGTGCTAATCTCGGATATTTGCCTTGGCAGTATATTTCAATAATAGCATCCGCCTGGTGGAGACGGGTCGTAAGGCGGCCGGAGTGCGGGCCAAGCGCATGCCAGATATACACCAGAGTTGTTTACTCTTTGTAAAATGTGAACAAAATGCTCGGGAGCAAGAATAGTGAGCTGTATCGTAACTTCGCCCTAAAGCCGCATAAACGGAGCAAACATGAGGTGATAAGCAAAATGAGGGCGATTCCTTAAAATAGGACGCCAAGACTGTGATGAATAGATAGACCTCCCCTAAGTCGGCCAAGACACTTGGTATAAATTACTCGGATTTCATAAATCCGCGCTTTGGTTTGCACCCGTTTCCCGTCTTTCTCATCCCTTCCCCTCGTTTTCTCTCCACTCGAGACTGCCCGGGCAATCCAAACAAAAATGTCAGAAACTGACGCTCTCCAACAAGCCCTTGGTGCATTCCAGTCTTTGCACGCCAACGCGAGTCCAGCACTCGGAGACGTGTTGAGTGCCTATCGACTCAAGGGTGATGGTGACCGCGAGATGCTCCTCGCCGTGCTCAATGCAAAGGCAGCAGAAGATCAGGTGCGTTTTCTTTTCCATTCAAAAATAAACTACAACTAATAGAGGAATCAATAGCGTGCAGCCGCCGTTGCCCAATTGCACCAGTCGATCCTCCAGGCTGCCTATACCAACGCCATGCTCCGGGTCGCCCAACAGCAACAGCCGCAACAATCTCTATCTCAACAGCAGCAGTCTCACTATCATCCCTACGCCTCGCCACGCTCAGAGCCCAGTCCGCGGATGCAACTGCACGAGCGACCGGCAAAGCGCAGACGAGATAGCTCGTCGACCAACACGACAACGAGTGCGAGCATAAGCTCGCCACCTCTTTCGAACAATGGTACTCTTGGGGGCACACGGTTGCCACCCATCATGAGCATCAGCTCCCTCACCTCGCCTGCTCATTCGAACAAATCGATGTACCGCATGGACGTCGAGGAATCACATCGTCCGCATAAACAACAACAGCAGCGACCAGAGAACCCCAGGACGTTCTCTTACCCTCATTCGCCGCCTTCGACTGGTTCCGACTCGGAAACTCGAAGGTCATTGGAGAGGTTGAGCGCAGAACGGAGCACATCATAGGCGTTTGCGATTTCTTTATTGCCGCGCTCATCTCCCCTTGTCCCCGCTGGACTATTTCCTGTCGTGTCTGTCGCTCTCGTCTCCCCTGTACTGTTAGTCCTGACGTGTAATCAATCTCGTCTCTCAGCCATTTCCAAGGGATGTCAGAGTGTGATGCCCTTCCCTCGTACACGCCCTCTTGTGGGTATCTGTTTTTGAGACTGGCAAAGGGCTTGGACTTCTACCACGACCATGAGTGCCCAATGGCCAGAACTCGGAAGCACAATAAATTTAATGCGGGTTCAACATGCGGATCTAGCACTCGCCCACGCACTTATGCGCGAGCGGTACGTCTGGTTATCGGTATTCGTCTTGAGATTGATATCAAACCATGCAGGGCACGAATGGAGCAAGATTTGTATGTAAATAATAGTAAAAAATTATCTCCGTCTATTGAACAGGGATCAAGTATTGGCGGGCTGCGAGCATTGGTCGAGCAGTACAAGCCTGCACCTGAAGAGGAAAACAGAGAGTACTCAAAGGTACTCATCGACGCATTCGAGCAAGGTGGGTGAATTAGTAGGTATCTGAAGACACGCGTCCCATATGTCTAGAAATCAAGGCTCACTTGGATATCAATCCGAAGGTGCCTGAGCAGCCTATGTTAGATGATAAGGTTAAGCAAGTACATCGACCAAGATTACAATTAACGTATGGTTCAGGAATTATCAGTAGGCTCGGAGCTCGCACAGGAGCTTCATGCTGCACACAAGAAGCATGAAGACAATTATACCAAGCTTTTAGCTTCGAAAGATGAGCTAAAGGCTTGGTCCAATGAAATCAAGACGGACCCAGCTCAGATCCGAATGCCATTGGTAGGTAAGTGTTCAAGTCAGAGGAGTACGCTTAGAAGGATGAGACATCTTGACAAGAGCTTGAATACCGCCTAAGCGTGCACCGTCAACGCGAATCTGCGAGAAACCTCCAAGCGTGGTATAACACCCAACTGCCTGTAAGCCATGTTTAATAGCTCTCTATCTCTATCTTACAACGTCAGCCACTGGTGGAATCCCATCATTCGATCTTGGAGAACACGAAAAGCAGTCATGATAAACGCAATAAACGCAAGGATGTTCGTAATTCCTGTTTGATACGACTAAAACTCATATATAATAGTGGTTTTGCAACAGTATGCAGCCGGGCATATTCGCATGTGCTCAGCCGGGCATCAGATTTACTTCCATTGGGTTACCGAGCGTCCATTGGAGGAAAGATGGATATAGAGTCGAACAGCCAAGCACTCAGACCGGTGGACTACTGTAACTGGTTCTTTGATGGGCGACCTTCGCCTCTACGGTTTGGCATAGGCACTCTAGAGTGCGATCTACGGACACTTGTCAGTCTCTGGGCGGTCTCGGGTCACTTGAATCCGTCGACTAAAATCTTAACAACAGCACTGGTCACCTTCAGTCACGTACATGCTGAATGCTGAGCGGGACGATGTCGCCGCTTGGTCACTGCCACCAGACCTCAATGGGGTATGCTGATTTCTCATTAGTTGATGATTAACCGGGATATATATTTTCAGTGCGAATTCGCTCAATACTGTCCTCTGCTTCCACTAAACTCACGAGAGTTCGAACGACTCAAGTCTACCAGCTTGGTGTCCTTTACAGCAACCGAGACAGATACTAACAGAGAACATAGAGAACATTTCTCGTCGTGAGTTGGCTGCGCTCTTATTGCCAGATGAACCTGTCTGGGAGCCGCTAGGATCTGCCAGACGCAAAGAATTGCTCAAGATGTCCCTTGGAAAAGTTAGGCCATTTTGGATCACATTCCGTTCGGTAAGTCAGTTTGATAGACTCTTCTGGATACTAGATGTCGCATCAGGATTCAGACTACATTGTGGAGGCTGCCCAGCGGAAATGGGACTTTGAAACCGATACACCCAAGTCCAGGGAGAAATAAAACCAGACCTATCGGGTTCCACCTCTCGGTCGAGCCAAACGGCTTTCAAAAGATTTCTCGTCTAAGACAAACGTCGTATACCCATAGTACCCCGTCTTCCCTAGCCCAGATGACCTTGTTCATAATTTACGAAGACTCTCTGAATTTAAATACGATAAAACTTTCCATATTTATACACAAGAACATCTGGTCTTTGCCTAGTAACTATTGCAGGAACCCAATCTCTCTCCAGTGCTTGACCCACTTCCCGATCAGCTCTGCGTTCAGAGCGGGTGCGCTAGCAAGCGATGGAGCTACAATACGTGTGTGATAAGTGGAGAATACTATCGGCTTTCTGTCAGGGTTACGATATCGATTCTCGAAGAATGGGAGCAGCTTGATGATCGGATTCCTCGCTGGATCACTGTCACTCGTTCGCAGTTTGCCTAACCATGTCTGTACGTCCACTACTCTGAATTCAAGCCCGGCGCGCTGAAGGCCGTCGAGTAGCGCATTCCAGTCGACACTTGTATCAGGATTGACGACGTGATAGACAGCGCCGTTTGAAGCAGGCCATCCTTCTGGGTCCGAGGTTCCGGTAGTAGGGTGCAGCGAGATCTCTGCAATTGCTCGTCCAGCGTAGTCAACGGGTAACCACGAGGGATGCTCATTCGTCAGAGGCAGGTATCCGACCGTGTTTGCGCCCTTGAACATCAGAGGCCATGCTTCAGTCTCATTCCAAACACCGCTGCGAAAGTATCAGACCAAGGTAAATGAGCTCGAATAGATGAAAAGGAACCTCCTGGCCGGGACACGTACTTGATCGAATCTCCCACCATCTGTCCTATTCTCAGCACACCAACTTTGAAACCGCATGCTCGACCGTGGTCCGCGGCGCGTTGGCAGAGCTTTTCCGTCGTCCACTTACTCTGTGCATACCCAGTTCCCCCTGCCGTCCTTGGCGAGGTCGAAAACTTCTCTGGACATTCGCCCTCGTCATGTGTGCCTTGCATAGCACTAATCGACGAGCTGAAAAAGAACGATGCAGGTGTCGCATGAGGAGATTCAAGAGCAAGGTTGATCAAGTTAAGAGCGCCGCCGATATGCTCATCATACGATTCGATTGTCAACACAAAATTGACAGGCCACGCATTCTGTCCCGAGCCTCATTAGCTACCGCTTTCATTCGCAAGCCAGCGGGAAAATGAAATGCAACGTACGTGGATGATTATTGTTGCTTGATCACGTATACTTTCATATTCTTGATTGGACAGTCCAAGGTTGGACACATTGACGTTGGCGGCGTACGACTCAACCTTACTCTCGTCGCTCAAGCACAGCTTACGCGACTTGAGTGAGTCACGCACACGAACAAGCGACTCTGCGTGCGAATTTGCACGCGAAAGGCAAATGACCTTGCGCACTGCTGGTGATGCGCATAATTGGGCGAGAATATGCGCGCCTAGGGAACCCGTTGCACCAGTAAGTACCTGGGATCCTTGTCAATAAAGATTCAGAGTCGCATCACGAAACTGGCATACCACAACATGGCGTTCGTCTGTGACAAGGGCACCAGAAGGACTATGGGAAGCAAAGCGCGCGCTATACTTGTCGAGAAGAGATAGCATGATGTCGCTAGAGCTGCGTATATGACTGCTATTTCCGGACCGAAGTTCATTGATAAAACCTGCCAACCTACTTCCCGTCAGAAATGCGAAGATCCTGGAAGGACTACGTACTTGCGAACAGAAGGATGCTCGTAGACGACTTGAGAATGTCAGCGTAAGGCCCTCATAGTTCTTAGGAAACCCACCGTTCTGACCGAGAGTCTGTCCATTGAGTTCCAACGATTGCTGAAGCGTGTTTCGGACTCGAGTGGCTTGAAGAGAGTCGACACCAAACGAGAACAGGTCGACATCTTTTGTTAGTCCTGTAGACTTGGGACCCATAACCTTGACGATTGCCGACAGAAGAAAATCCTCCAGTTCTGGCAGTGTCAGGGTGACTTTTGTGATTGTCGCTCCTTGTTCAAACCTCTGATAAATCGAGTCTTCCACGGCGGTTAGGAGGAATGCGACTGCAGATGACCTCCACTCACCGATGAGGTCTTTAAACTTTGCGTAGCAGGCTGGACGAAGGATGCTCATCTTGGTCGCCACTGGGATATCGGTACCAATCGGAAGGAACTCGATCATCTCGGAGAGTAGTCGAGAATGCGTTGGTGCCTCTGAATTGGCCTTTTCGACCACTGGCCATATCTTTTCCATTAGCTCGGCTCGGTTTAGACCCCGAGCAAGCTCAGATGGGAGGATAAGGCAGCCAATCTGAGGTCTCCCGGCACCAAAGACGATCGCTGTCACAATATTATTATCCAAGTCAATCGGTATTGGAATGTCCCACCTTCCGAGACGTAGGGACTGTTCCCTCGTATAGCCAGCTCAATAGGAACTATTCATGATCAGCAGTCGCAACGCGGCGAGATGTAACGCATACCCGGATTCGTTTTCTCAGCCAGCGTCTGTACGAGCGTGTCATCCAAGCGGCCAACATACTTGTATCGATCATGATGTTGCGGGTGACGCATGAAGAGATCCTTGGTGGCATACGAGCCATCGGGTCGGTTTGTCTCGATCTGGGCCAAGTTAGCTTTTTACAAGAGAAGGATCGAATAGTGGACCTTTGGAGGGTATCCATGCTTGACAATGACCTCATAGGTATTGCTACCATGGGATTCCATAACGAGATATTGGGCACTGCTTGCCAAGGGCCGAACCCAGTTCCAATCCTTGTCCGTTTCGAAGTCGCGTTGAGAGTTCATTAGGCTACCGGTCTATGGTTGCCTTAGTATAGACTGCCGAAGAACAAAGAATCCAACAAACCTCTGTAGTTCCGTAGATACTCAAAAGCTTGACACCAGCAGCAGTGAGGCGGTCGCCGAGGTCATCCTAGTAGTTGTGAGATGGCTAATTCGGAGCAGAAGTTTGCTTACAGGTAGTGCAGCACCTGCATATCCAATGACATCAAATTGTGCGAGCGCGTCAATCCCCTCTAGCGTTTCGCCCATCAACTATCACTTACTTAGCAGCAACCTCGGAATATAGAAGTACAAACCTTGATCACATATGGAACTGCAAAACACTGCTGTACCGGAGGCGAAGCTTTGATGACTTGGCAAATATTTGCACATGTGAGAGGAAGATGCCCCGGGAAAAGTGTCATCGGTTTGCCAGAATACATGCAACGGAAACTGGAGTATATTAGTGAGTCTCATAGGCGGGTAATGAGCAATTTACATTGCAAAGTGTCCGTAGCCGTGGTATACTGGCAGGGTGCTAAACCCACGGAGGTTTTGATTGAGTGAAACGTTAGCAATAAGCCCGAAATGTGTGATATACACAGGTTTTGGGAAGCCAGTCTGTTGGGTTATATCAGAGGGTGAACTAAGTCGGTGAGAATCGCCATACCGATCCGGAAGAATGCAAAATCACAGCTGGTCTATCGCATTCAATTTCTGGTGAGAGGCGCGCCGAATAAGGCTTGACAGAGGCTGCCTCGACACCGTCTGGTCCCCAGAGAGGAAATCGCGTATCCTCCAGAATATCGAGGTTATATCCTTTGTCCTTGAGTATTTGCTGCGCCTCGGTGGCGTGTGAGGCGAACTTGGTTCCGTAGATTAGATGCGCTGAGTTGGTGATTTGGCAAAGGTGTGCAACGGCAGCCACAGAGTTATTGACCGAAAGTAGTAGGGCAGTGAGACCGAGTTTGGCAAGTGCCATCTCGAGGAGAGACTCGTCATATGCGGAGCTAGTAAGAACAGCTATAATTCTAACAGGAGGTATTTCGTTGGCGTGGCATGGGGGGCAAAGACCCAGGGTCGAGTAGTGCCATGCCAAACGATCGACCGCCTTTTGCACTTGGGAGTACGTGAGTGATCGAAGCACAGATGCGTCACATCCAGGTACTCCGGTGTGAATCGAATGCTCGTTGGGCTGGTCGCGAGCCCGGTTGGCGAGAAGTTCAGTGAGTGAGCGAGCATAGAAAGTGGCAGATGGCATTGTCGCCTCTGATGACGAGACCAGTCAAATCCTGTGTTTCCTATGAGGCATCTACCCATGTATATATATGGTCGTTGAGCAGTCCGGTGTCTCGGGCCGACCATCTGGAACGCCAGCTGAGCTACTTGAGCGATGGATATTCGATTTTGCAGCTATTGCAATTGTGCGGGCCTACGGTCCGTTGGAGTGGGGACATTGGAGGTCGAAGCTGTCGACGCTCGTCCAATCATCATCCCAACCATGTCTTGATACACATGAGCACAATACGTCCATCAGAAGAAATAGAGGCCTTCTTCGGTCTACGTACCGGTATCCGAATGCAGGTCGAGCTTGAAACCCAATAGCTGTGGTTCAGCGTCTGCCAAAGAATTTACGCCTAAATGCATGAGCATTTCTTGAACATGCTACCGACGACTACGGACCAAAATAGCACACCTAGTTGCTTCCATTCGCCAGATAGGCGTCGCATAAAGGTTGAAGAAGGCGCTATACGGGTCGCCGAAGAGTTCGGCACGTATGCCAGAGGCTGAGTAGCGTGCCAAAGCTTCGCAATGATACCCCACGGCCCGTATGCGGGCCACTCTTTCTATCCCGCGACGATAACGGAGCGAATGCGGGGAACCCCGCAACACGCTAAACGTCCAAGGGCCCTCTATAGCTTGCGGCATACTATATAAACCCTCGAGAAAGTTAAGAGACCTCTCTAGACTTCTTGTAGGTCCACTCGTCCCGAATGTCCATCCGTTCCCAATCACCAACTGGCTCCGTCACCGAAAAGAAGGATGTGGTGAAGCATCTCGAGAGGACCACAGTCACAGAGTTTGTTGTTCCGGATGCCGACTATGATACCAATGCGTCTGCGGGGTTCTGGGGGAGATTCCTCAAAAAGTCTCCCTCTCCGCGCTTTCTCGAGGATCTTCAGCGCATGAACGAGACTGAGCTTGATGAGGTCAAGATCCAGAAGATTGAGCGAAAGCTTGATTGGCTCATCATCCCAGCACTTGCCATCTGTTATGCTGTGAGTCGACATCCCATTCATCGGTATGGAACGCTGAGGCCATCAAGTTTTACTACATTGACAAGACAACGCTTGCATATGCAGCTATTTTTGGGATAAAAACCGACTTGCATCTGAGGAAGACCGAATACAGTTGGCTGTCTTCCTTATTCTACTGTGAGTATACATGTAAGGAACAATGCGACGGGCTCACATGTTACAAGTCGGCTGGCTCTTCTGGGCTCTTCCCGGCAATCTTCTCATGCAAAAATTTCCACTAAACAAATACCTGGCAGTTAACGTGAGTGGCGGTGTTGATCCTTTGGCCGGCCTTCATCGTTGTCCAGATCTTCATATGGGGAGGTTTGCTCATGGCACAAGCTGCGAGCCGCAACTTTACAGAACTGGCAATCTTGCGTACTCTTTCCGGTGCTGCTGAAGCGGTAAGTTGTCTGCATCTTGCGACGGGATAGCACTGACCAGTTCCTAGATTGCCGATCCCGCCTTCATGTTAATCAGCTCGACTTGGTGGACGAGGGCGCAACAGCCTCGAGTAATTGGTCTCTGGTATTGCGCTAATGGTGGAGGCATTGGTCTCGGTGGTTTGTTAGGTTACGCCATTGGTAGCGTGCGTTCACTCTTTCGTGTATTTTGGCATCCCTTGATATCACTTTCAGATAAAAGGAGGCCTCGCATCATGGAAATACGAGTTCCTGATCATCGGAGCGCTTTGCTGCCTTTGGTCTATCGTGCTCTTCATCTTCATTCCCGATTCGCCATACACAACGCATTGGTTTACGCGCGAGGAGCGGCTCATCATTGTCAGCCGCAAACGCCACGATCAGCATGTCGCTGATGCTCGAAAGTGAGTGCCGCCGTTGTCTGCGTGGATGTAGCTAAAGATCATCCAGGTGGGACAAGGGTCAAATTCTCGAAGCATTCATGGATATCAAAATTTACCTCTTCTTCTTCTTTGGATTGACGGCGAATATCCCTAATGTGAGTCACTGAGGTGAATGTAGCTTGATCGGACTGACGGGTCCCAGGGTGGAACGAGCAACTTGTAAGTCTTCGCAAAGACAAATACGATGTCCGCTTACCAGTATACAGTGGGACTTTGATTGTCAAAGGGTTTGGGTTCGACACTCTCACTACGACCCTCATGCAAATCCCATATGGAGCAGTCATCGTCCTATTGTACGTCTCCTGCACCATCTGCTCTTCTTTCTAATGAAGCATTAGCATTCTGGTAACAATCTTCGTCAACAACCGCCTTCCATTGGGCAATCGTACCTGGTTGATGGTCGCCACCAACATCCCGACCGTCGCCGGATTTGCCATGGTGGCTTGGGGAAAGAATACAGCGACCCGTCTCGCTGGATTTTGTACGTGGCAGTTTCCATCCCGAGTTACTGGCTGATAGTGTACGACAGGGATGACTGGGGCCTCTAATGCCACCTTTGTTGTCGGTCTCTCCCTCGTATCAGGAAACGTTGGCGGAACGACCAAAAAAGCAATAGCGAGCGCCGCCGTGTTCTTGGGAGTCGCTGCTGGGCAAGTCGTATGTCGGCACATCCTGTCCTTGACTGACGTTGCTTGAAGCAATATCATCGGACCCTTTTTCTTCATGGATAAGGAAGCACCCGTTTACCTGACTGGCGTTATTGCATGCATGGTGTCTCGCGCTGCCGAGGTAAGCATCTATTTGAGTGAGAGACAAAAGATCTAACTTACGCAGATCGTGGTCATTATCCTTCTTCGCGTCGTCTTCGTCACATCCAACAACCGACGTGACAAGGCCCTTGCGAGCGGACAAATTGAATATGACCCCCGCCATATCCCTCTGGATGATGTATCCGACTGGAAGAATCCAGCATTCCGCTATGTTACGGTGAGTTGTTGTTCAAGTGCCAAGTTTATCGCTGAATTCGACTCCAGTAAACCAACAAATTTTGTCTTGATTGAGATAGGGTTTGAGAATGCTGAAAGGTGATCACATGGATCGAAAAAGGTTGTACGATAGTGGGTGTACATATAGCAGAATCTTGTTTCCAATGTACAGCGACGTGCAGACGTCACATAGCGCACTAAATGCATATTTTGTGGCGCCGCATCGTCAAATTTCCGCTTTACTATAGTTCTGCGGTTGGGTAGACTGACGTGGTTGGGGCCAAGCCTGACGGGACACAGCTTGGGGCACCAAAAGACGTTTGATTATCAGACGAGTACAAGAACAGAAGTGGGATCAAAAACGCTCGAAACGCTCCCATGCGTCCATTCCAAACCCGCCGCCACCAAAGCCAAAGCCACCCATCCTGCCTGGTCGTCGTCCACCCATTCGGCCGCCTCCACGCCTGTCCTCGTCTCTATGCGTCATCAAAGAGTACTTGTCGACAATCTGAAGTCTATGTCAACGGCGCTCGAGAGTGGATGGATTACTACGCACATCGTTCATGACGTTTGCCGTCTTGGTTAACGTCGAGAGATAGGCCGTCAGCTGCACGTCCGCATACTCTTGGTCAAACTCTTCTCGGAATGTCTTGTGTTCGCTCGCAGGAAGACTGGCAATCAAGGCCTGGATCGATCGCAAAGTTGGATAGTCCCATTTCACCTTGTCGTCCTGCTTGATCAAGCCTTCGACGTAGGAGATGATGACCTCGATCCTGGTGTGAAGCATCTGGACAGCTGCTCGTTGACTTTGAAGATGTGCCACCACTACATTTGGTTAGTGCTGAACAGAGGAAAGCGAATGGAGTACGAACAACTTCCTCCGCCTTCGCCACCCTTTGCGCTCCAATCAACTGCAATTCGCTCCGCCTCTCCCGTTTCCACCTTGTACTCGACTTTGATCAACATAGTCTTGGCCGAGCCATAGCCAATGTTGGGCTCGTAGACTGATATGGGCAATTGCTGTTGCTGTTGTTGGCCGGGCGCTACGGTTGATCCAGCGAGCCCCGGTTGAAGAAGCAGTATAAGAGGGTTTTGAGTATAAGGAGCAAACTGTTGGATCATGGCGACATGAACAGGAGACGGCTGAGGCGCAACGGTGTAGAAGCCAATCAGTTCAAGAGACGGAAAAACCTGTTTGTCTAAAGATTCCCTTGTCAAAGAATATTCAGTAAAGAACGAGGAGATGCACTTACATTGGTCCTTGCGCGATACAAGAAATGCTTGATCGAGCCTTGGCTCACTTCCATCGGTTGGAACAGTTGCATTGAGCTCAAAGGTGTTTACAATCTCGACCTCTCGACCATTTTGTGTTCCCAATAATGCGCCGACGACTTTGGGTTGTATTCGTTTAGGATTGATCAGATGCACCGGAGAAGAGACGCACTAAATGGCAGCGAGACATTATTTTGTAGTCTTATTCTTGTGAGATGCTCAGATACGTTTAGAATGGGAAGTGGATGTCTACAAAAGAGGCCGATATGATCAGCTACAGTTGCGCGTTTGTGGCAAGGCCGAGGATTCACGACGTACAGCGATACGGTGAGTCCAGACGTGACGCTGGACGGCATTACAACATTCTCAACGCTCATCTTGAGACTTGTGTGTACTCTCGCGTCGTTGTAGATGGCAGTGGGTCGCAAGACGCTGAGCCACCTGCCTTGAAGCCGCCGCTCACAGGGTGTCCTGTATACCCCAAGACTCATCTAGATTATATTATAGGATGTAGATTATAACCTTTGTGTCGAGCCTTGAGAAGTATCGCAAGACGACCATTCTCTGCAGAACTAGACAAGAATAACAATTTGCCTCTATCTAAATCTTTGGGAATGTAGTCAGGCTGTAATGGCCCTAACTCGGGAATGCGAGCTGTTTCCCTTGGCGGAGTTTCTCATTCGTGCGCTAAGTTCAAAGCTCTGCCCTCCAGAAAATCTGGTAGCGACTTTTCAGCCGCCGCGGCGTAAGCCATGGCGGGCGGTCGCGTAGCTGATGCTTCGACGTTTGTCAATTGGCCAGGGGAGCAATTCCGCAGCCAGGAGTGTCAACCGGATTAGTCTTAGGAGACCAGGAGATGCTTTCAGTCGCGCGGTGGGTCCGTGCAGCTCGCAAACTTTTTGCCAATGGGTCCTGTTGTTTTCCTTTAACGACTGGTCCTTCTATCTTTTTGTATCCAAAGGGCGTTGGCCCACCGGCCTGTCCTCCAGGAAACAGTCATAGACATACAACAGTCATAAGGATACACCACTCTACGGCAGCCCAATACTCTCGACACCTTGCTTCACCTTTCCAAACAGATTCTTCATCCCATCTCGGAGTCCATCCGCCTGGATCCCTACACCCTCGTTGGCAGATCTGTACAGTCCAGTTCCAGCGATCCCACCCACGCTGAGGTTCAATCCCCCCAATTGCACATTAAGTGATGGCCCAGATCCACCAGGCGTCGACGTCCCGGGGGCCTCTGTGGGTGGTTGCGTAAAGGATGACGGGAAATTGGTCAACGCGGACTGGATCATGGCGAGGTAGCTGCTCGAATTGTGAATCGAGGTGCCACCAAGCAAGATCCGCGTCCCAGGGTTCATCGCCGTTCCATTTCCCGCTAGCTCTTGATTCAGCAGCGCAACGACGCGTGCTTCTTCATAAGTCACACCGCCGACCATGAAGATGATCACGTCCTGGGGTCTAACTCATCGTCAGCTACACCTTCTCGCACGCAATGGACGTGATTACTTTTGCAGTGCCAAATTGGGACCTACGCCCTTCTGGCCCTCGACAAACGGATAGCTTGTCTCCTTTAGCCGGCCTTTGAGCAAATTCTCCAATGTCTCTGACAAATGTGGCCTATGTTGCATGTAGACATTCTCAACGCCCTGATGTACGTTAGCACAGATACTAAATATGAAGAGCTGTCTGACCTTTAACCCTTTGAGAGCACTTCGACTTTTGGCCAGGATATTTTCCAACGAGAACAAATCGTCTTGCCGTTGGTCTGCCCCCGACATGTTCAAGGCCGCATACACCAGCTACTACGTTTTAGATCATACCCTCGCGGGGGACAAATCTCGTACCTGTGCGTCCGATGGAGAGACTCCCTGCTCCTTTAACAGAGATACCAGGGTCGCAATGTTTGAAGCAGACTGCTTCTGGTATCGTAGCGCATAGAGCATGGCGAGTCGAAGCTTGTTGTACGGTTGAATTGCTGGGTTTAGTATCAACTCTTGAACAGACTATGACAGTGATTTAGAGCGAGACTCGTAAATGACAAAAGCTCACCTTGAAGTCTGCCCCACTGCCAGTCGCGAGTCCCTGTTCCACTTCGCCCACGGCCATGAGGTGATCACGCTCGACAATGCGACTTAGTTCTCCAACAAGTGCGACGTGCTTGCTAACATTCCCACCCAGCTTTTGGAATTCTGGGTACTCTTCGACAAACCGCTTCATGTCAGCAATCGAATTGATCGAAGACGTCGAGAGGGACCGTGATTGGTATGAAGTCACATATGATTTGAGATTGGTTCCGAGATCTCCAAATGTAGCGAGGTGGTTGTGTGAGAAGAACGGGTCCGTTTGCAGAGTCAAGGTGATATCCTTGAACATCTCAGCGGGAGAGTTGTAACAAAGAAGTCCCGACGAACCTTGAGCTCTGGTCTAATCTCTGGGACCTTGGATAGGTCCACCCGACCGTTGTTAATCCCCAGCAACTCGTGCACCATGGCTTGATACGTCCACTGCGAGAGCAGAGGTGTGACAGGATCGTTTCGTCGGTCCAGTATGAGCAGTAACGGCGGCACTTGTGTAAGTCGGAAATCAAACAGAGCTTGCTCGCTTTGAATCCTATGCACAATCTCTCCTCCAAGCTTTTTTGCCATGCCACTCATGCGCTCATAACGGATTATCGGCTTCTTCTTCAGACTAAGCAAGACCGCTAGTACTCCTTGGACGGAGCGTTCAAATGCGAGCGAGTTCCACGTATTTGGACTTGCACCATAAAGCGAGTCGGTAGGTGTGGATACGTGATTGAGGGAGAATAGACATGGTAGGAGAGGCGCATAGTCTGCAAAGTATTCCTATTTATAGTGAGCAGCCATCTCGAGGGGCGTTTTGTGACTTACCTGGACTTCCCGAACGACTTCGTACTCGTCTGCTTCTGCCAAGCGTTCAATAGCTGCTTTACTTAGAATAGTACTGAAATCTTGACATGTTCAGTCAGCCCTGGACATCATTCGGCATTCTGACGCACAAAGATAGTATTCTCCATAGCGCGGCTCACGCAACTCGTCGGCCAGCGCGTCCAATGTTTCCGGTGTCGGTCGTAGAAAGCATATGCACTTCATATGGGCCATCCTATCTCTCTTTTGATTGTCTATCCGGTCTATTAGGTAGACTTGATAGGATAGTAGAGTCGACTGCGTCGTGGTGAGCGAGACTACTGGCGTCTGATAGCACGCGGTGGCACTTAGCGAGCAGAAATTATGATATATAGTTCACAACGTACTGTATGTGAGTCTAGCAGCAAAACCTTGACTGCATTCGGTGTGGACACCATCTTTGTGACATACGTTTCAACCGCTTTGACCACATCCATGTCGTAAACTCGTTATATGTACGGTTTTCGAGTCGAATCTGTCGCTTGTTGGATTATTCTCGGTGTCGTCGCGTCGTGGACAGGTTCAGCCACTTGCTCCCTCGCGACTTGGACCGCTTTTTATTATGATCAAGGCGTTTGGTTCATGCACTGAAGAAAAGAACCCTGTGATCGAGTCTGCAGAGTTTATCCTCAAGGTCAGCATCGACTACCACGCAACATTTGGTCTTTTTGAACTCCCTTATAGGACAACCCTCACGTGCAATTATCGCTGGCCGGGATAGAGGATGTTGCTGATGAGGTAAGAATTTGCTTGTTTAAGATCAAAGTATCATCTAACGCGCAGCAATCTAGCTCCTCGGCTTGATCCAAGCTCAAAACTACACTCCCAATACGTGGCGAACGCAGCCAACTCATTTTCTTCCCCCGACCCCGTTTGACGCAGCCAACCCTCGTACGAAGCAATGCATCGACTGGATTTTCCTCGTCTCTGCGCTCAACTTTTCCTTCTGGTCCGAGCATCAGGGGCTTCCGACGCGCTATGGTGTCTCTTGGAAAAGCAGTTGGGATGCTCAAGATGGTGGCTTGGTTAAATGGGAGGGGTATTGGAGCTTGTTGGCTGCTCTCAATAAAGGCGAGTCATCGTCTCGCTGGAAGATCCGGACTTGACGTGACTGCCAGCCTTGGAAAAGGGTATTCCAATAACAGACCCGGTCTTCTACGCGTCAGAAGAGTCGTGTCCTGACGCTTTGATTGAGGAGATATTTGCACCCGTGCAGGAGAGCCAGGAAACCATTTCTTTGCTCCCTCAACGCATCGCCATCATGAGAGAGGTTGGAAAGGTTCTAGTCAAGGTACGCTTCTGTGCAATCAGTTGAGCTTGCTTGACGCCCTGCAGCGGGCACCAAATCAATCGTTTTTTGGTATCCTTGAGTCGATCAATGCAAACACAGCAAAGGGACACCGAACGATCGCGCTTCTTCAAGCAATACTAGAATACTTTCCATGCTTCAGAGATAGCACGACATATAAAGGCCACAAAGTATACTTCTGGAAGCGAGCCCAAATTCTGGTCGCCGAGCTTTGGTACGTCTCTATATATAACACCGAAGTTGAGCGACTCACCTTTCAAAGGGCTGCATTCTATCCTCTAGAGCCCTCTATCCAGCATCCAATCATCCCAGACGGTGTCGACTATTTGACCATGTTTGCGGATTACAGGGTACGTGTTGCGGTCCTAAATGATTGAAAATGTATAACAAGGATCAGGTTCCCCAAATACTACATCATCTTGGGACTCTGACCTATTCCGAGGAGTTGGAGATAATTCTTTCCAGAGGAGACCATCTAGAGTACGGCTCCGAGATAGAATGCAGCATTCGAGCGGGAAGCATTCTCGCTGTTGAACAGCTCAAGGCACGAATGGTCAACAAACTCAACAAAAGAGGCGCACGTGCGTCCGAATGGAAAGGCAAACATCACTCCGAGCTTTCTATTAACTGTGTGCTCATCGACTTTTTTCTCTGGGATCTGGCCAAGCTTGTCGAGGCCGGCGAGTTTTCTACTGGGCGAAAGACGGCTCCCCTAGCCTGTCATAGAACTCGTTCTATATTCTACTAGTCTTTTGCGATTTCTCCGGACACAGAAAGATAAGCTGTGAGACACATGTTCCAGACCAGGTCCAGAGCGCAGAGTGAGTCGGCCTATCTATTGCGATACAGAAATAGTTTCAGAGCAAATCTAATTATCCGAGGTTCGAGGATCAAGACCTGTAAACGCGCCGATAATGCCTGGACTGACAATACACCACCCAGATATATAAATCTTAGACCTCGCCGTTGTGGTCCGCTGTCAATCACTTGGCGCATAAACATCAACCACGGCTACCAAAATCTCTATTCCTTGGTCAACGACCGAACCACCTTTCGACATGGAGGAGCGAAAGGACCGCCGGCCAACGCTCATCGACGTTGTCGAGGCGAGGCCCGCGCAGACAAACGACATGTTGTCGGGTCTCCTACTAGAGGTGTGTTCATGGGCTGACCTGCTTTTTTTTATGGCTCTAACGACATTAGGATGCGATGATCCATAATGCCAGTCACAAAATGCACAACCCTGTCGATAAGATGGCATTTCTTGGCTTCCTTGCAGGAGTCTGGGTGGGTTTCGGAGGCATTGCTGCAACGAGCGTTGCCGGGGGCATTCCAAAGGCCATACGAGACGAATGGCCCGTCCTCCCAAGACTAGGAACCGCATTCTTCTTTCCTTTTGCTCTGGTAAATACGAGCATGTACTATGTGCACGAGGAAACTTACGATATGCTATAGCACTTTATCATCCTGTTTGGTGGAGAGTTGTTTACTGGAAACACCATGATCCTGTCTATAGGTCTTTGGAATCGTGTGGTGCGTCCTTTTCCGCAACACGACTGGCTATTTTTGATGGATATGCTGTAGATCCCAGTTCGACGAGCTCTTCTCAACCTTCTCATCGTCTATATTGCCAACTTCTTTGGATGCGTCCTCATGTCGTACATTTTCTCGTACCAGACGGATATCTTTGAGGCAGAACCATGGCGGTCATTTGTTCAAGAAATCGCCTACTCTAAAACACGCGCCCACCCATGGTGGGTGATTTTCCTCAAGGCAATTCCAGCCAATACGCTTGTGTGTATGGCTGTCATGTTGGGATTCGCTGCTCGCGATAGTGCAGGCAAGGTATGCGATATCACTTCTAGCAAGCTCCAAAGTGGCTAAGAACGCTCCAGATCGTTGCACTCTGGTTCCCTGTCGTCATGTTTGTTTTACCTTCGTTCGAACATGCTATCGCGAACAGTAAGCAGCCACTTCTCAGCCTCGCCCGGATCTTCTAACCGCCGTTGGGGCAGTGTACTTTGTCTCGAATGGTCTCTGGCATGGTGCTGACATCACGTTTGGCTGGATGATGTTCAATCAATCGGCAGCCGTCCTCGGAAATTTTGTCGGCGGTGCGATTGCCATCGGCACGGTGGAACACGCCATGAACCACTGGACGTCGCCACTTCCATGGGAAGAAGGACACGCAGTGGGTACGCTCGCTGCTGCAGATGTCGAGTCGACACGCAAGGCCAAGGAGAATCGACCCGAGGCCGAGAAACAGCAACTCAGGGAGCTGACACTGACGCGGACACGAAGCCGTGCGCCGAGTTCGCCTGTGCAGATGCGGAATGGACACGCTTTGCCTGCATAATAGACCTGCTGCCTCGGTCACACGTTTGCCGCTTTGAGGGGCCGCGTGTGGATAGATAGAGCCAGATACGATTTGTTCCTTTTTCTTCCGGGGAATCTCCCGAATGAACCCGTTCCGATGTTTCTAGTGATCTATAGAAGTTACTGTTTCTGCAAAGCAATTCGCTACCAGGTCCGAGGAGTCGAGACCAACAAGCGCTGGTCTGTGGCGAAATGTAGAAATACGCCGGCATCGTCTGTCTGAACCCGTCATCACCTTTAGAGACAACAACAAATAGACAGAAAAATGCAGATCGCCTTCTTCAGTACTCGCAAGGTGTGCAATACTCTGTCTATTAACAACGAGCCAACCTGACGAGAATCTCCTAGTACGATCGTGACTCGTTTGAAGCCGTGTACGGCGACTCCAAGGACATCGAGTTTCACTTCATCGAGCCCTCTCTCGACGTCAAGACTGCTGTCCTCGCCGAGGGGTGCGATGCCGTGTGCATCTTTGTCAACGATGACGCGAGTGGGCCCGTTCTCGAGATCCTGAAAGACAAAGGCATCAAGTATATCGCACTTCGATGTGCTGGAACAAATAACGTACGCCGTTCGTTGTGGATGGTTCAAGGTGATCTCTGATGGAGTCGGAATAGGTCGATATCAAGAAGGCAGAGGACCTCGGCCTTACGGTCGTCAGTGTACCATCTTATTCTCCGGAAGCCGTCGCAGAGGTGCGTATTCTCGTTTACCCCGGATAAATAACGATATTGATGAGGCATAGTTTGCCGTTGGCATGATCCTTACACTTTCACGCAAGTAGTGAGTATAAATAAAATTTGAATATCTAATTACTGACGTCTATTAGCCACAAGGCATACCACCGCGTAAGAGATGGCAATTTCTTGCTCGATGGGCTCTTGGGCCAAAATATCAACGGCAAGACGGTCGGATTGATTGGCACAGGAAGAATAGGTAAATATAATCCACCTTTCGGGACCTCCTTGCTCATTCGAGTATAGGTCTTTGTACAGGCAAAATCCTCTCCCTGGGCTTCGGTGCGACCGTGATCGCATACGACCCATACCCAGCACCAGCTGAAGTAGCACAAAAACACGGGATCACCTATGTCCAGCAACTCGACGAGCTACTGGAACGCTCGGACATGATCTCAATCCACTGCCCACTCCTCCCCAGTACACGACATGTAATCAACGAAGAGACTATCGGAAAGATGAAGAATGGCGTCATTCTCGTCAATACCTCGCGTGGTGGGCTGATTGATACCAGCGCGCTCATCAAGGGTCTCAAAGAGAACAAGTTTGCGGCGGTCGGAATGGATGTGTACGAGAAAGAGTCGGAGTACTTCTTCCGTGACTCGAGTGAAAAGGTCATCCAGGACGATCAACTTAGCCGCCTACTCAGCTTCCACAACGTCTTTGTGTCGGGCCATCAAGCATTTTTCACCATTGAGGTAAGCTTGTTCCTTTCTTGAGACTTAGCACTCACACTTATGGTAGGCTCTCCATGGTATTGCCGAGACGACGCTCTCGAATCTGCGCTCTTTGGCCAAGGGCGAGCAATGCAAGAATATTGTCAAGTCTTCCAAATAATCTGATGATAAAGAATGTATAGACTAGAAAGCGGCTCGATATAGAGATACATTGCTTGATTCTCAGCGTCCATGCGTGCTATATGTAAAAAAGGGAGAAAAAAGCGTTCGAGTCCGTGAGATAGTGTAAGAGATAATTATAAAGTAGTAAAAGCTATGTTATGGTGATAGACGGCGGAGGGGCTTTTCGAAGAAGCAGGCAGCCGACTCGACAGTGGCGACACCAGAACCCAACACGTCTTGGGCACTGTATCCCGACGCAAGACGGGGCTTGAATTCCCTGTATCCAAGCTGCGAGTATATTTGAATATTCTTCGGTGTCGCCATTGTGTTGAGGGTGATGAAGAGTGCGCCAATCTCTGCTGCACGTCTTTCCATCTCCATCATGGCCGACAAGCCGACTCCGAGATGACGATATGCCTGGTACACGAAGAGCGAGCTGACTTCAACACGTCCGGTGATGCTGAAGGCGGCAAGTGTGGGGTCGTCGGTATTGTGCAAGAGGAGGGAGATCATGCCAATGGGGACGGCGTTTGGCGTATACATCGGGTCGGAGAAATAAATGAGGTACATTCGACGCTGGTTTTGTGCGACCTCTTGACTCCATCGTGGGATTCGGTCCGCATACAATCCACAAGATGTTCGCATCTGCGTCAGGTGTGCCAGGTCTGGTCCGGAGAAGGGAGCAGGAACAGAGCGGTAGAAGAGCGCTGGTGGGCTCGGGACTACGTGGCGTTAGACATAAGGAGGAGAGATGGAGGTACATGCATAGACTCACGAGGGGCAAAAGGATCAAAGTTGACAACATTGGGAGACTGAGGCATGGCCGTTTTGGGTAGATATAAGTAAGAATAAAAACTTGTCGTCGTAGTCGTCGGAAGACGGAGGTGGCAAGCTGAGACAAAGTGAGACAAAGTGAGACAAAGGCGAGCGAGCTGAGAGGGTATGTGGCCGAGATGGAGAACCGAGGAGATGGAGAAGCTGGAGGGAGGAGTGGAGAGCAGCTTTAATAGTGACAAGGGCGGTAGGAGATTCGGGCAGCCGAAGTAAGAGAAACCGCGCCTCATCGGGACGGGGGAGCTACACGTGTGGTGATGAGCCTTTTGCGATGTACGGATTTTCGTAGCTGACAAGCGACATGCACGAGACTGGGCGATGAGCGGGTATTAGTGCACTCAAAGGCTTAGTGTAAACTGGTAAGCGGCCACAATACAGCCAGTTCGGTGAGCAGCGTGTTTGCTTTGTGTTTTAGCCCTTGAGCGTCCATATGCTCAGGGACCGTCCTTGAACCCATGCCCGAGCCGATGGCAAATTGTCGAGTCGACGGCGGAGGCTACCTCGGGACTTGTGCGGCCACGTCCAATTCGTTTGGAGGCCAATGAGATTATTCCATATTTTATCTCGACCTAGACAAATTACCGGCGACTTTCTCGATTTTTCTTGGGATTTTCTTGGGCGGCAAAGCCTGTACCGCCTCGTTCTGACGATTTTCGGATTCGACGAGGACAAGGCGGAGCGCTCGCCAGTCTTCATGTCCGATTCAGCGTCTTTTGGAGGATGCTTACAAACCGAGCGGAAGTTGATCGCCTTGTAGCGTGAGTAATACAATGGGCCGCCAGAGGCGAATAGAGGCGAATAAGGTGAATAGGCCGAGCGCCATATGCCTATTTCCAGAACATCAGTGCTCTTTCGTGTCTTCCAAAAGAATCTGTCAAAGTGTAAATACTGATGCGACCAGCATGTTCAATCCCTCCCCTGTCCCCCTGTCCGGCTCCCTCGACTTCGACCACGTCGCTTGGATCGTCGCTGCTCCTTAACTTTGGATGGTAGACACCTGTCACTCCATAGAATAAAGGGATCCCGATGATCATCCAGGAGGACGGATGCCCTCTCACGGATTGTACTGCTTCGGCATCTAGTTTTAGTGAAACATCTGACAGCTGACAGGAACGTCGAGCGTACCTAATACTCAATACATCAACCAACATATTGTTTCTAATGACTCTGCCAGTTAGCCCATGCCTTCGGGCACTAAGCGCGACCGCGCTACATCGTCCGACCCAATGTCGGCGGTGAGAAACGGCTCGGAATTACAAGTATCAGAACAAAAAAAGGTGATATAATTTCAACGAGTGACGTGCTACAGTCGGTGGGTGGGAAACAACGGTGAGCTCTGCTACCAATCAAACATACTTGTGCTTGTCGTCTCGCAGTCGACAAGAGAATAGAAAACGAGTCCGTGAAGAATGTCCATGCATGTAAATCGTCCATCATTAAATGTCCATCAATGTCCGTCCAGAGTGAGTCCATAGTCGCTCGTCACGTAAAATTGTCCAAAAGTCGTTGGGTCCAACCCAGTAGACCCACCTGTGCGTGTCGTCTACATCCTCCTACAGCCTCGACTAATCAAGCCTCTTCTCCAAGAATGCAGCGACCTCGTAGTCAGCTGGCAAGCCTGCGCCTTGGACCTCGGCGGCACTGTACATCCTACTTCGAGCCTTGTACTCTCGGTAGCCCATCGCGCCATATCGTCTCAGTAAACGGTCGACGGCAGGCGTGTTGAGTGTGACCGCGAGTGCACCCATCATCCGTGCTCGGCTCTCCATATTCGCCATTGCGGCTGCGCCTATACCCAAATGGCGATACGCAGAGTAGACAAACAGGCTGCAAATTTCGCAGCGACCCGTTTGGGAAAAGGATGCGAGGGACGGGTCGGTCGAATTCGAGAGCGAGAGACACACCATTCCTATCGGCGGTGCTGTGCCGTTGTTAATTGCATATCCATTCGATGTGTAGCCAGGTGATACACTGTGCATGTACGGGTGTTGCACGGGGTAGTCCAGTCCATGGTTCACTATCGCCCCTGAAGTTGGACTAGGTGCCGACCCATATGCCGCCGGTACAGACTGTCCAGACGAGTGGGAGGATGTGGAGCCCGGCGTGCTCACTGTATGCTGATGTCCATGATACGGTGATCCCGTACTTGCGACTGCCATGGGCGAATGACTGTACGTGTACCCGACATGATAGGCTGAATTTCCCGGCGAGCCCTGTGTGCCATTACCAGACATATGGGATGTGCTTTGAGCCGCGTAAGCTCCATGAAACGCTGATGGGATAGGGTCGCTCAAATAGATGAACCACATGAGGCGCTGACCGGTGGATACTTCGTTGATCCATGTCGATATGCGGCCAAAATTCCATCCAGAGGCAATGGTCATTGCTTGTAGTGCTTGAAAGTCTGCGGGCGAGATGGGTGCTGTCACGGGACGATAATAGACGTTTGGCGGTCGAGACACTACATGACCGCCGCATCGAGAAAGACATCGTAAGTGTTATGAGCATGCAGATGCTATGGCATCTGTGACAGACGACAACGGGAGCTCACCTTGAATCATTTCGTCCATGCCCTTGGTATTATTCCAACGTAGAGAGCGCGGTGAAGAATTTGGAGAAGGAGAGTATGCCGGATATCCCGAGTATTCGACGAGGTCTGATGTCTTAAATATCGGTGACTGGTAGACGTACTGCCGGCTGTGGGCCCGGTCATGATCGTTCCAAGTCATCGTCATAATGGATTCTGTGCAGCTACACGGCTCCAAGTGTCCAATTTTTCAAAACAAAGAGGCGCTAACGGTTTCAGAGTGGTGGCAAATAGGCGATGGATGGTTGATGCCACGAATACCTAAAAAGCGCAGCAGCTGGGAGGTGTTACAGTCCACAGACGAGGCAGGGAGGAGAGCGTGCAAGGCCTTGACGTTTTGACTCGGGCAGTTATCGCAGTCGGACGGCCTTGTTCAGGTAGGGCAAGGAAACTGCACCGCACGCGACTGCCAGGAAAGGAAATTGGGTATTCTAGAAGAGAAAGGAAACGAAGGATGAGAAGAGAAGAAAAGGGGGGGCTGGTCGGGCGGGTTTGGGTGTAGAAGGAGAAGGAACAAAGACGGGGGGACTTAAAGGCACTGGAGTTTGGCCCTCCCGCCTTCGGACATTTACGGCGCACCGTCTGATTTGCGGACATACCACAATTTTGTATTCACCTTCTTCGGTGCCGTCACTATAATCGACGGCAGAGCTGTAGTTTTTGGCGATGTAGGATTGTCACGCCATGACATCTGATCTCACCAAGGCTGTTTTGGAATGACAGGTGTGTATCATCATTCCAAGTCAGGTCTAGTTAGGCGGTGGACAATAGACAGGGGAGTGTCGTAGGGGCGATGCATGGGAGGATGAGTTTCGTGTGCGATTCGACCAAACGAACCTCGACCAGCAACATTGGATGTTCACGTGTAGATTGTCTGCAAATGGAAAGATGTTGTTTCTCGTAGATTCCGCCTTTGATGCGCCGTAGAATTTGTCGAGGAGGCGCTGAACACGAGCAATTCCGGTGGGACATTGGAAGATCCCGACGACACAAATCGCTTCGCTTGTTCGTGAAACATCTACTATTCGTTCTAGGACTTTCCAAAGGCGCCGACTCTGGCCGCTGGCAACTGGCAACTGAAAAACCGGTTACTGGTCATAGACGCCATTCGGGGCCACGAAAGGGGACAAGGCCATCTCAAAGAGTCGCTGGAAGCTGCAGATAATCCGTACCTGGGTTCTGTATCACGTAAAGGCCAGGATTCCTAAAGGGTTTCATCGCCCGGTGTTCACCGCCCCGCGAGGGCGCAAGCGGACACCATCATACCCGAATTTTGTAAGACATTATGCCATTCAGGTACGTCTGGTCCAGGCTTTAAACGTGTCTAATGGCGTTGGCTGTCTGTGGCCGTTGATTCCAGTTCAATACGTGTCTGTTTTGACCGTCATGAAGTGTGAATTCTGACACGTACAGTGTTTTCCGTGTTTCTTGGTCACAAAGGCGCCAGCGAGAAGGGAAAGAACATGGTGGTTTGGGTCTAGTCAACGTTGATCTCCGCTTCATACGTTTTTCCTCAGGGATATCGCTGAAACGATAGAAACACGGTTGGATTCCGTGTTTCGAGTGCTTCCCTGCCCATCCATCCTCGAAATTTGTGATCCAGAACTGCTTATCAAAGGCTCTGAGTGGGATTGTAGCGGCAATCTCCAGTGGTACAGGATCGGAACTAGGACGAATTGAGCCTTGGGACTTCCATCTTCCACTTGAGACTTTCGGCTTTGCAGCATGGACGAGCGGTGCAACTCACAGCCGACTTATGACTTGAGTTTCCTGGCGATTTCAAAATCAGTTCACGTGGTCTAATGAACTGCCTCTTGCCTCTTTGGCGACTCTACTGTTGAGGAACTTTGCTCGACAACCCCTCTGGTGCGTTCCTCAATAAGGCCCGCAATCGATGGTTCCCCCCGGCGCCATTGCGGTGTAGCCAAAGCGTACGTGCTGAGTAATCTCCCGCTCGGATAATTCTTACCTCTGCATGCAAACGTCGTCACTGACCAACTGACTCGGTCGATCGTTTGCCGCCCTCTCACGTACCCAAGTGGCTCGATATCATTTCCACGCCATTTACTGCGACGCAGCTGAGCATTGGACGTCGTCCTCTGCAGTCTCGCATTGGCCGTTGCAATGCTTCTCTGCGGATCAAGTGGGTCCCTGCAGCGCCCCCTCCGAGCCGCGTCACGACATTGTCAAGGAAAACACCATTCTTTAAATCTTTTCGTTCTTGAAGAATCACAGCTCTATTATGCGTCGACATCAGTACCTGCAGAGGGACCGCAGCGTCAACGCCCAATCATCCACTCGCCGATGTCCGACGGCGTCTCTCAATGGCCAGTGTCTGGTCCCTTGAACGAGAACACTCATTCTTCTATTTCCCCATTCTTTCCCGTCCCCCGCCATATACAGTTCGAGAAGCCGATGCTATATGCGACGGCCTAGCTCCAACACACCTACTTATTCAGCCGGGAGACGCACAAACACAGTCATCACTCGCAGTCTCCTCCCCCTTGGCTACAGTTCAACCGACACCGTCGCCTCTCCTTGACCAGCGGTTTTAAAACCCATCCGCTCACCATGCCATTGGTCGCCGCAAAACCCGCAACGCACGTCGTTCCTCACAAGATTAGTAATCAAACCATGGACATGGTTACACCTGGTACGCGTATATATCCCCTACGTGTCTTTATACGCGTCATCTTATCGTTTCACCAGTCACTGGCATGCCACCAACGCTCTATTATCGACCCATCAGTATGCCCCCTACAGTTGCAGACCTCAAAGCTCTACAGGACATGGTTCGTTGACTCATAGTTTATACGCGGCTCATCTCGCTGACCCTCGCGACTCACCGTGTAGCGCGTCGCATGTGGATGGTACCTGGATCGCATACCACGTTGGTTGGAGGAAGTGGCAACGAACCGACGTTTCCTGTGGTTCATACACTTTGGCACGTCAGCGTATACCCCTGGAGGGATGAATATTGTCCCCCAGTCGCCGCCAATAGGCATGATTTCGCTTTACCTTGAAAACCCAGACGACCCGACGCTCGCCTGCTTTTCTTTGACGTCCAGAGTCGAGATCACCAGTCTTTTCGTGCGTCCATTTCACTCGCTAACATTATAATTCTCATGTTTCGCCAGGTTTATGCATCTTACAGACATCTAGGGGTCGGTGCCGCGGCCATCCAAGAGATGGAGAGACGAGCAAAGTCGTTTGGGGCGACACACACGACATTTAATACCATGGCCACCGAGCGACACCTTCGTGTGTTCAAAGACCTTGGATATCACGAGTTTAAGCCACGGTCACCGCTCACCTATTCGGTCGCAGACGTAGTGGGCGTCGGCATGCCCGCCTCTAGCTGCGTTGCCGCGTTTCTAGAAAAGGCTCTCTGAGACTTTTGTGCCTTTGTGGATCCGTTGGACTTTGGCTTCTTGTTGATCGCGCATGGACAGGAACGGTGTTTCTCGCATTGAGAAGAAGAAAAGTAGCATTATCTATCAGCATGGACTTTCTTTTCATATCACAACTGTATGCCCCCTTCATGCACACATGCACTATGGTGGACAGTCTCCCGAGTGGGAGAACCCGCATACTATCTCGTGTCAATAATAGAATCTTTTCGGACTGTTTATTTAATCGTGATTTCCCCGCGTGTCCTCACCTTGACTGTCGTCGAAGTCTCAGCATTGGTGAAGCATTCCACGACCACCGTGAGCGTAAATGGAGGTGATATCATATTCTGGTATGCCGTGTGGAGCAAACGAATACGGCTGTGCTGCCGTCCACAGAGCCAGTGGCGGCATTCTATTATAGTAGGCTGGGGCCTCGCTAATGTAACCATGGCAGTGTATCGAAGGCGAAGGAGGTTGAAAACTTCATGGGTGAGAACGAGACTTTAAGGGTGCTGTTCCAAGCACACTGCATTTATGCAATCAGAATTGCGATGATGACGGGTGTGGAGGTGGACACAGACGATGATTAGAGTGACAAGCAAAAGTGGTAAATTTAATCTTGTCTCAATGCATTTGTAACGCTACGGAGAATGACTCCACGTCTTGCCCAAACAGCGTCCTCATTGAATACGCAACAATGCGGCCGACGATGAAACAAATGTATTCGGGCCTCCGGCTTGCATGGTTTCCCCGTTGAATGATGACTCGGTTATGAACTCTTTCGGTTATTCCAGCCCCTTACGTTGTCAATCGTAGCTTGGAGTCGCCTATGATCTTTTGATGTTCTAAGGTTGGTGTAATGAGACCAATCAGAGACATGAGGATGACGAGGCGGGAGTGCTGGGACTTGGCAGGATATACGGCGCGACAGACTACAAAGTACGGAAGACTGCAGAAGCGAATAGTTGCATATGCGTTTCGTGTAGTTTGAACGAGAACTGGACCAGTTTGAAGAGCATAGAGCCGAAGGGCCGCGAGACTGGTCTAGGCTTGCTCTCTTCAGGTCTTGAGACATGCGAAAAGCCATTGAATATAGTTTGAAGAGCGTGAACTGATTCCAAATATTCTTTCTCATCTGTTGCCGGGGCCAGGTCATGGAAGAGTCCAAGGTTCCCAAAAACCCAGCTGTTAGCGAGTGGCTTCACACGCGGCGGCCGGGGAGAATCAGGTACCGTGGAGCGGGCGGCTGATAAACTGAGCATCCAAGGAAAAAGACCTCGTCGCTGGTCTTGACACTTTTGGTCTCCAACCACCCCCCAAATTCCAACCCGCGAAACCTTTAAAAATTCGTATAAATCAGCATGGCTCGTACCAAGGTTTGTTTCCTCGATTATTCTACTCTTGCATGTCCATCTTCCTCCTTTCTCTCCCGTATCATCCGTGCGCCCTCTTGCAACAAGCCTTTTGTCGTCGTCACCCTCCCGCCTCGCCCGCGCCTTTGCCTTTCTCAGCGTTTTTGGGCGGTCACTGACAAAACTCTTCTCCCAAACTTTGCTCTCTACACTGTCTACTCGCTGATTCTGCGCATTTGCTCGCCATTTGCTCTTATTCATCGTCGCCGCCGCCCGTCGTCGGTCATTCCTTTTTGGGAATAATGCAACGCCTCCACCTGCCACCATCCAATCTTCCCGTAATCTTTTACCTTTATCGACGCCTTTCTCTACACGCTTCCCACGCCCTCAACGTTTCAATACATCATCTTTCAACATTACCCATGACGTTTCTGTCAACAGCAAACTGCCCGCAAGTCGACTGGTGGCAAGGCCCCTCGTAAGCAGCTCGCCACAAAGGCTGCCCGTAAGACGGCCGTCCCCGCCACGTCTGGTGTGAAGAAGCCTCACCGCTTCAGGCCCGGAACAGTCGCTCTTCGTGAAATCCGTCGCTACCAAAAGTCGACTGAGCTCCTCATCCGCAAGCTCCCCTTCCAGCGTCTCGTCCGTGAGATCGCTCAGGACTACAAGGTGTGTATACCTCTTGATGAACAACAGACTTCTTGTACTCACGCTGTGTTTCAAGACCGACCTCCGCTTCCAGTCGTCTGCCGTCCTCGCCTTGCAAGAGGCCGCCGAAGCATACCTTGTCAGTCTTTTCGAGGACACCAACCTTGCCGCTATCCATGCCAAGCGTGTCACCATTCAACCCAAGGATCTCCAACTCGCTCGTCGTCTCCGTGGCGAACGTGGTGCCAACTAAAGAATGGTATTGACTCGTTACATGTGGCATACCCCCCTAGGTCGTTCATGGAATCGATAATGTATGCTTGTACTGCACAACTTAGCTCTTATGCAATATGCCGTCCCTAGTTCCCCTTTTAGAGAGTCAACGTCGAGGCGATGCGCGCGCGCAGTCGACACCTTGTGTCTGTTGTGTACAGTGGCCTACTGCGGAGATTGGCAGTGTCCATTCGGGTCCTCCGTTTTGGTTGAGAGCTGTTGCCGTTGAGAAATGCCATAAAAAGGGCTGGATTCGACGTCAACAACTGTTTCTCCCAGGCGCTTTGCATCCGTCATGTCTGATATCTTTACATGCACATACGCTGTCGATAAGCAGCAGAAGAGGCAAAAGGGTATGCCTCTCGTCCACACATTAGTTTAATTGACCTGGCAACTCAGACGTGCTTCTGCTCGATGGAGACACCCCAAAGTATGGTATTATACGCGAGGATGGCAAAGGAAAGATTGCAAAAATCGTCAAATACGACGGCCAGGGAGGCAAAATAGTGCTCGCAGAGGTCCAATGGGTCCGCGACCGCGAAGACAAGATTCGGTTCCTTGTACCCGGATTGGTCGTCTCGACGAGTCTAGTCAGCGATGCAGACGACCGGGAGCCTTCAACCTCTGGTGCAGGAACGGGTAACAGTGGCGTCGGAGATGGGTGGATCAAGCTCGACAAGGCATGGAAGCACTATAACATTACCAAGGATAAGGAGGTCTTTCTTTCCTCGTTTATAGGCGCGGATTCACGGACGTATGTATGGCATTTGCGTGGGGCTATCAAGGTCCTGTCGCGCGATGACAAATCTGGTCCAGTGGTTGCCAAACACGTCGATCATAGTCATGGTGGTACGCTCGAAGTCCGCGATGAGGCTACAGAGGAACGTATTGGAGACATGCTCTTCATAACCTTCCTTGCGAGTGAAGGATTCCGGGGTAGAACGCGGTTCAGCTGGGCTAATGCCTTGTACGTCTTCTTTCTCCATCTCTTCAGTCCACTCATGGAATCACAGCTCTGCACCCGGCTTCTTTGGCTAGAAGAGGCGGACTGCAGCCACACCCCGTTCTTAGCCTCCCAATTTCCAACCAATCAGAGAGTCCATCCTCGCCTCCGGTCTGTATTCCGATGTTGTAGAATAGCGGAGTTTATGCAGATTCATCTAAATGTCTCGGCGACTCGGGCTTCTGATGAAGGCCATGTGAACCAGGGGGAAGATGGGAGAAAAAAAGGAAGAGGGCTAAGGTGCGCGTCTACGCCGCAATCTCGAGATTGCAGGTTGGACTCTTCCTCTGCTTCATTTGACCATGAAGAGCTCCTGGACGCTCCTCTTGGTCTGCTGGAGTCTGCGACTGGGGAACCTCGCACTCGCCTCGGGTGCCTCGACGCATGTTGTTATCGATGATGAGGATTCATATGTACCCATCACGCGAACATCAAAATCGGACGAGTATGACTACAACAAGAACAACTCTCCGCATCCGACTTCGCTTGCCATAGAACTCCTATATCCATACTTTGCCGATACAAATGGTGCTAAACCACTCGGACTTCCAAACCTGAATCCAGGTGTCGAAGCGGACGACATACGCCAACTCCCTCGTGGAAAGCTCCTCGATACACGCCAGTCCGGTTGCGCGAATCCAACTTATGTCGTTCAGTGTCCACAATTGGATAGGCCATGTTGTCCCGTGGGGTATACCGTCTGTGCGTCTTCCACTATCTGTCTGTCTTTATCTGGCTAACCCGGTACGGGATAGGCTGTGGGAATATCGGAAAATGCTGCCTGACAGGGAGCTATTGCAGTAAATAGCGTAGTCAAACTATTCTATTCGTTGGCTAACATATGTCTCCAGCCTCTACCGGCTGCTGCAGGAATGGAGAAGTTAGCTGTAGTACTGGTATGTCAATATTCTGAACCTGTGTGCATATTCATTGACGAGTATCAGGGTGTTGTGATGCAGGGGAGACGTGCTGTGGCGTGGGCTGTTGCGACGCCGGAACGACATGCTGTGGAGGCGTGAGATGTTGTCGCTCAGGCTACATTTGCCAAAATAATCTCTGTGTCAATCCAGCTCTAAGCAGTCTTTCCACTGCCTCGGTCCTCTCGCGCCAATCGGTCGCTTCTGTATCGAGTCTCTCTGCTGATGCTTCCTCGTACTCGGTACGATCTTTACTCGTTTCTCAAGCACAAATTGACTTTATTCCATCTAGTCGAGTCTATCGCGTGATTTGGCATCTCAAACACGTCCACCGGGAGCAGATACAACGACCGTTGCTACTGTCATCGTCAAGCCAAACGATAGTCGTATCAAATACCAGCCTTCAACAGCGTGGATAGGCACTTCCAGCTCTTCTCCGACTGGTTCTACAGGTCAATCGCCCATCGGCACTTGTACAAATGGCACAAAGGCGACTCGCGAGGTCGGTGCCAAGATGTCGTTTGTCTTTGAAGGTGCAAAGTTTCCAAGAGCCATTGCTAGTTCGTATTAACGATGATTAGGCACGTCAATTGCACTGCTTATCATCCCGTCATCGAGAGGAGGTGCATTTTCGGTGCAAATCGACAACGAGCAGCCAGTTACCATCTCTTCGTCGACAAGCGGTGCTGGTTCTGGAGGTGGAGATGGTGCAGTGACAATCACCAACAGTAACGGCGGTGTGATCGTGGGTGGTGGTATCGCGAGTATCCTCGGGCTCACGAGCTCGACTACTGCTGCTGCGGCCACCAGTTCCGGCTCATCCTCAAACGACCAATGTATCGAGTCCCAGGTGTATGCGCGTGACAACCTCTCAGAGGCACCACATCAAATCGTTGTAGTCAATGGCGTTGGAGGAGTCGGAACCGTTGCAGGTGTATTAGAATTATCTGGGATCAAGTGGGTAACTTCTTGTCCTTGGGTATGTCGCTCATGGTCTTTAGGTATACCGGCAAAGGGGCCTTTGGAACCGATCAGCCTGGGCAAGGCGAAAGTGGAGGAGGTGGAGGGAGCAACAATGCGGCAGTCATTGGTGGCTCAATTGGTGGGGTCTTGGGTGCTATCGCTCTCGTCGCCATTGGCGCGGTGGTCATGTACCGACGCAAGAGACGGAACTCGCAGCCTACCACACCCGCCACTATGACAACCGGAGTACTTGGTACACCAGGTAGAATCCATGGGGGTGGTGCACTGGGACTCGTAGGTTCGCCCTCGATGCAACAACACCAGCCTCTCCCATCTGGTCCAACGACCCCATATACCATCCCCTGGCGGTAGTCAGCCCACAGGTTCACAACAGCCATATGGATTCCCGTACAGTGGAGGCGGAGGAGTTGCTACCACGGCGGCAGGGTATTATGGTCACGGGCGGACGATGAGTAACACGAGCGGCAACAATGCCAGCACGAGTCCACCATCGAATGTTGCACCACTGCCTATGTGGGTCGAAAGGGCGGTTCGTCCAAACACCGACGCGACATCGAGCAGTGGCGAGGCTTCTCCTCCACCAGCCCCTACGACGGCGAGGAGTACTCCTGGAATTGCTGGTGTCGGTGCAGGACATCCGCAGAATACAGCGAATCCGTTCTATGGCTCGCATTATCCCGCCAATGCCTCGGGAGCGAATACCGGGTACATGTAGAAGGTGAATGCCCTTTAAGCAAAGAATCGGAACTGTCTGGATTAAATTGGAGTGATTGTTTGGGAGTAAAGCTCGTCTGTATTCGTGGTAGACATGGCTTGCTAAACCTCATTACAAGGGGTTTGGGAATGTCAGTATATAGTCAGCGTATTCTCTAAATTGAGATTGATAAGCAAGAATGCAGCCTGGTCCTCGCCACCTTCGGACGGCCGTTTAATTATGCTGGCCTAGACAGTTATACGTCCTGCCTAGACGTCTGAACATGGACTGCTGCAACATTATCTGGCACAAGGGCGCCGGACTTTCCGCCTATGCTACCAACGCGTAAAGTCATCTGTGGAACCGAAGCCATAGGACCGCGTGCTGCACGGATCAACTAATCCAGAACATGGCGACGCGGTGCGTTCGGCTGTCTCAGTCCCGCGCTCGACGGCCAGCCAGCTCAATCGGAATCAATACAAAGCCTGGACTTATTTTTTGTGTATTTTCAGACGCCTCTTGGACCCTACCCACCCCCTCAGTTGCTCGATAGCATCGTGGACAAGTCGGACCAACATAGAGGGATCAGGAGAATAGCGAGGCGACCAAGACACTGCTGTTTTGATGCGTCTATGGCTCCTCGTATTTGGGATCAGCAGTCTTGTTGCGCTATGTGCGTTTGCTGCTGATCCTCTCGTTCTCCAGACACCTGCGGAGATGTCTGCTTGCTTGCCAGTCACGTTTACTTGGACAGGTGGAACGCCTCCCTACTCCCTCTTCTATCACATTGGCTCTGGTGCAGTCGGAGATGAGACATACTTCGGCGCACCCATCTTGATCGGTCAAACAAAGGATACGCAGATGACCTTTGATGCTCCAGACAATCCAAGTACGTTACTAGCCTCGACAGTCTCCCCAGGAAACCGCTAATGCACCCCCTCTCAACGAGTAGACGAGGCCGTCAAATTTATCCTTGTCGATCAAGAAAACATGGAACAAGATGCTTGTTAGCTCATCCGCATTCAGATTTTCATGGCTCATTCTGATGCACCTCTAGGGTTTCTTATTCAACCCTCTGATAGATGCACTGGCCCGCATCCATATGTGTGTACACTTTCCTAATTTAAAGATTTCAAATTGAACATTTACAACCAATAGACTTCGACGACCGCTTCGGGTGGTCCATCTACGGTCATCCACATACCACCAACACCGATCCCAACAGCCCCATCAACACTAATATCTCCGACCCTGCCCTGGTTTCCTCCTCCATCCCAAACCACCGACGTCATGGTCACTAGCGACGGTCCCATCCCTTCCCAAGGACCGTTGCAGTCCGGCACATCTGAACAACCCGGAGCGCCTGGATCCGAACAGAGCTCTGTACAAGGTTCTATGACCGCAGCACCAGGGCACACTTCGCAGTCACCTGGTCAATCTCTTGGTGGTACGCCAAGCAGTATGAATGTCTTAGGGCACACATCTGACAGCAATTAGGTGTAAATACCAGTACTCGATCTCAAAGTGCCGCAGCACCATTTCGGTAAGTCGCGCAACTGCATGCATATCGAAGGCAGGGACTGACAATTTACCCGCGCGCGCAGCTCACAGAATGCTGGAAATGACGATACCAGCCGCACCCCAATATCGTCTCAAGCCCGCAATGCGATCATAGGCACGATCGTTGGGGGTTTGTTCTTGCTCAGTGGTCTCTTTTGTTGGCAATGGCGTCGAAGGCACATCGCAAGGAAAAGGCAGCGTACGATTGTACCGGTTCTTCCGCGGCCATCCTCTTGGAGAGATGATGAACAAGGCATCATGAGCGAACGACCTGGACAAGCCTTTGTCTCACTGACTGGTGTAGGGTCGTCCACGACTCACGACCCTCCTCAAACGCCGGGAACTGCGCGAAGGATTGCTCCAGAGATAAGCGAAGGAGACCTACAGGCTATGATGGCACTTCATGCGAGTTCACTCAACTCTGAGCCATCACGAAGTCGTGCTCAGAGTAGAGCCCCAGCCCCCGTGCTATCGTCTTCAAGTACTCATAATTCCTCATCCCATCGCCCGAATATCATCACAGACAGCCAAACTCGGCCCACTCCAAACCCTACTCGGTTATCTTCTTCAGTACCCACGACACCAGACTCGCCCTCGGCACCTGTACGATATCCAAACGAAGCTTTAAGATCTGCACCCCTTCCTTCGCTTAGCCCTAAAGCTAGGCGAGAGTTTGGCAGACATGCAGGCCTCCCTCATAGCCCGTCGTCGATACATGCTGCGTCGATGCAGGCGCTCGCGCCTAGTACTATCTACTCTCTTGGCGAAACAGCGTCGGTGCCCTCTGTGCGACAAGTTGGCCAGGCTCACACCACTTTAAACGATACATCTGCAGAAGATGAATCATCCCATTATCCAGACGATTCCTCGCACGATGGAGAGAGCCCACAGGCTCCGGATTTCCAATCCCCCTCGTACACGGCACATCAGGACACTGGCGATGCGTCTCTTCAAAGCCTAATCGCTCATGAACTCGGTAATCTATTTACTCAAAACCATCCGGCCATAGTATCCGTGGATGCTTCTGAACCTCCAGCATTCCATCCTGCGAGTTCAAAATCGCAGAACGCCATTGCTGAAGCCTCCTCACAACCACATCGTCGATTGCAAGTTGTCAATGCCATGGGGGCCAATAGTTCTCGTGCTGGTGTATCTGATAGTGAAGAGGATAATATTCCAGCGACACCCAGCTCGGCAGCACCGAGCTCCGGGCGCTTGGGCCACGCTGCAAGATTGCATCCAACTCTTGCACCAATTTCACCCGATCCTTCTCATTACGGTGGCACAAGACGGCTTGTAATGTCAAGGCAGGACATGGAATGTCTTGCTGATCTCGTCGCGGCCCGTATCCAACAAGGACAAGGCTCTCGCCTCTCATCAAACGGCAGCACTGGAACTCATGGTGCGCACACATTACAAAATGCTCCACATCATATGGACGAGGTCTCGGGTCCTCCGCCGCCGTCATACGGATAGACAGTTTAATTTGTTCTCTCAGCTTTGGGAACCATAGTGCATGGTCCCTGTTTATTAGTTAAATGTATCGTGCTTCGCCAAATTGCGACATCTACACTTGTTTCGCGCCTCCAACTGTGCGGCCAAAGAGTCGACCGGACAGTCAACGCATAGCAGTAATACACTGTACTCGTTCAGGTACTATTCAGACACGGAGAAACCTGCCACTAAGTGCGTGACTGGTTGACCCCCGCTTTTCCTCTCCCACGACTTATCGCCGACCAACACAGTCTGCCAAGGGAGAACATCGCAACTATTCCACGTCTTCTCGGTCTACCTACTCAAATGGATCGGGACATTTCTCCTGTAAGCAGGCCCTACCCCTTACTTGGACCTCTCCTCGCCTGTCAGCTGCAACCTGGTGTCCTTGGCACATTTACCAAGACATTTTGGTACTTCATATAACGGATAGTCTGAAACGGCCCGGAAGCTACTATTTCTATGCGACTTTGGCTGGTCATATTGGGGATCAGCAGCTTCTTCACCTTATGTGTGTTTGCTGCTGACCCCCTGGTGCTCAACACGCCAGCAGAAGTCTATGCGTGCACTGCTGTCACTTTCACTTGGTCAGGAGGCACTCCTCCATACTACTTGTCATACCGTGTCGGAGCCGGATCGATCGGAGACGAGACGAATATAGGCCCTCCTATTTTCATTACCGCGAGAGATACTATGTCGTTGGCATTCCTCGCTCCAAACTATCCCGGTATGCTCTAGGCTTCGAGTGCGCATATCATTTGACAGACCTTTTCAGGGAAAGCGGTCAAGTTTATCCTTACTGACCAGGACAATACAGAGGCGTATGCTTGTAGGTTTCATTTCCATCCTTGATAACTTTTCACCATCTCGGCAGGGGTCATCCTCACCCCCTCGACGTCCACGTGTGGCGGTTCATCCGTGTGTATCTTTCCTCAATGCCAGAACACCAGAAACTAACATCATCTGAAGAGCAGTTCTACACGTCAGACTAGCTCTACACGTAGCTCCTCGACCACTCGGAGCAGTTCCACTGTGACCAGTAGTAGTTCGTCTACGCGTTCTAGCTCAAGTTCCGCTTCGACACCGACGTCGACATCAAGCAGCACCGGCTCAGGACCCACCGACTCCCCTACATCTGGCTCGACATCTGGGACTGGTAGCAGCGGGTCCCAGTCGTCTACACAGTCCGGAGCCCAAAGCTCTGGAACGCAAGGTTCCCCGACATCAGGGCCCACCGATACCTCACAATCTCCAGGTCAATCTCACGGTGGTACGCCATAGAAGCCTGTGTGACATTTGTGATACCGACTGTCATTAGGAACCCCAACCAGCACCCGAGGACAGAGCACCGCGGCACCTCTTCGGTATGGCTCCATGTCCGGCAAACCTTCCTAGGAACTGAAAACTTGATCCCTCATAGTTCTCAAGACATTGGTGCCGACAACAACAGCAGCAGAGCGCCGATATCATCCCAGGCGCGCAATGCAATCATCGGTACAATCTTTGGCGGCTTCTTCCTTCTTTCCGGCATATTCTGCTGGCAATGGCGCAAAAGGAGAGCAGAAAGTCGAAGACAGCGCACCGTCGTCCCCGTCATGGAGAGACCATCTTCATGGAGGAAATGATGAAGAAGGCATTATGAGTGAACGCCCGGCGCAAACCCTGTTTTCACCTCGCAGCGGGGGAAACTCTTCAGTATATGGCACTGATCGAACGCCAGGTGGCGGACGTAAGATCGCCTCGGAGATAAGCGAGGAAGACCTGAGAGCCATGATGGCCCTTCATGCGGGTTCATTCGATTCCGCTCCATCCCCACCCCGAGGTCACAACAGAGCGGCGATTCCGATACTATCTGTTCCCGATAACCTGCCATCAACTTCCCACAGTCCGAATAACGTCTCATTGGTCCAAATGCAGGGTATGCAACCAATCACTGGGATAGCACCTTCCACACCGACGACTTTGGACTCACCAATGTCGTCTATAGGGCCTCAACATGATCCACCACGGTCTACTCAGCCTCTTCTCTCAACTAGTGCCAAATACAGACGTGAATTTGGTAGAAGCGCAGATATCAACTATGGCACATCCGCAATGCCACAAGGAGCCTCTAGCACTGTGTATTCGGGGATGAACACGGCATCAGAACCATCTGGAAGGCATACTAGCTGGATTGAGGATGAGGTGCGAATAGATGGATTCGATCGAGAAGCAGCGTCGTTTTACCCAGATGACACATCGTACGGTGGAGATATCACTCCTCCTCAATCTCCTTCATACAGCGCATCCGGACCCTTACCAAGTCTCTATTCACGGTCTCATTGATCGAGACGTAGCATATTTGGGCCAGCATGAGAAATCCACGAGTACTCCAAACCATCCTCCAAAATCGCCACTATCCTCACCTCTCACCCCAATCTCAAGGCCAATGTATTCAAGCCCCGCGGCCGCGCCTGGGATTGCTACCACTGGAGGTTCATCTCGTCCACCCGGTAGACTGCGAGTGACAAACGCCACCGATGTTGGAAGCTCTCACGGCGTCATCTCTGATAGTGAAGCGGAGAATTTCACTGGAAAACCGTACTCCCCTAGTTACAAGAGATCAAAATCAAAATTCTCAATCAGTCAACCTGCGAAACCGTTGGTATTCCCGCCAGACGATGAACACGATGATGTTGGCAATACGCCGGGGACGTCGAGACATGAGCCAGGGAGTCTGGTGGATCTTGTATCCGCGCGTGATGGTCGTGCTCATGCATCTCACCCTTCAGTGGAGGGACGCTCGAACAGGTCATCAGTTGATATACATGATGAAGATGACTTTCTAGGTGCCCCGCCCCCGTCTTATAGATAGATGTTTCTTGACTTGGTAAATGTATAATGTACGGACTAGTATCTATTAGCCACATGTATCATAGATTTTCCTTGGGGTGATAGCATTGATGGATAGATTTAGGAGTCTAGGAGAACGCAAGCAACACTACCCAGTTGTTGCCGAATGTCTTGATAATCGACGTCGTGTGCTGTAAAGAGTTTTAAAACCCGAATCAAGTCGATGACCTACTTACAATCCTCTACTTCTCCCCAGCGTTCTATCTGGCTGTTCACTTCTACGTGAGCGGCCTGCGCGGCTTGATCGACGTTTAGTCTTCCTTTAACAAGAGCCAAGGCAATAAGTGCGCTTTTGGTCGTATATACTGCACGTTCGAAAGCTAAAGAGGAGTTTGAATGCGTGCAAGAGAAGGCATGTGGAACGAACCCGCCATGCTCCATGCGTCGAATTGGTTGACAATGGACCGCAGTTGTTGCTTAGAGTCAGCCGACTGATTGCCGATCAAGAGAGAATCGAATAAGAGGACGTCAAGGCCAATCTCCTTCCTTGCCCATTCTAATATCGGGTTCCAATGTTGTTCCTGCAGTCGTGCCAACTGCTCTGGCTCCTCTTCGTGATAACTTGCCATTCCACGTCAGTTGATACGAGAATGTTAATAAGAGCTTTAAACTGACCATATTGTGTCTGTGTCAAAGTATTTGAGTAGATTTTCCGTGACAGCTAAACGTTCTTCAGCCGTCGACAAGCCGTCTATGGCTCGGGATGCAATAGAGGTCTACAGAATTTCAGTAGTTGCTAAAAGAGTCCGGTTATTTATACCAATGGCAGGGCATGGGCTTTTAGGATCGTGTCCTGCACATCCCATTCGTTTGCAATCAACGTCGCCAGGACTTTTTTGCTCGCGGGCACACGTAACTTGTTGCCTCCAGGAGTTTTAAGAGCCCTTCCATCTAACGTCACTTCTATATAGTCTACACAGCAGGGCTCAGTCAATTGGTGACTTGTCGCTCGCGAACTTACCATCCCCTTGTCTAACGTGGGCCGCGTTCCAGAATCGTTTCATTGAAGTTTGAGCACCTTTTTAGCTTGTTGAGCATAATAAGATAAAACAAATGCAAGCTCACGGTTTGTTTGTGTGACTGGAGGAATGTCCTGGGAAGCAGTCGCATAAAGTCGCGGTCTGAACGCGTTATGAAAGTTTATTCGAACTATATTCGTTGCTCTGAGACTTGCTCGGGGAAAAACGCGCATTTTGATCCTAGGTGGTGAAGAGTTGAATTCCAAGTTTGAGAGTTGACCACACCGACCACCAGGGGGAACGGCCTTTGCTGTTCAAGATGAGCAACAAAAATAAGCCCTCTGGACCAAAAAACACCATCTCACACTACTTCTCTGCAAGTCCAGCGAAGGTAGTTGAACCCCCAACCACCACGGAGACGTTGGGGAAACGCAAGAGAGAATCCCAAGTCGTCGACCTTACTCTCGAGTCTGACGATGACGAAGGACAACCGGCTACAAAGCGACAGAATGCTTCTAACCAATTCACTCGTCCGGCAGGAGCCATTCCATCTAGACCTAAAGATTCTGAATCTCCGTTGAAGAAGCGCTTCAGATACATTGCTCCAGATGAAGAGGATTCATCCCCTCCCCCGGTGCAAGATCTACAGACCAGGGCGAGGAACGAAGCGAGGAGAAAGCAGCTAAAGGAGACTCTAAAACAAATCCAACGGAGTAGTTCTGCTGGTGCAGAAGATGAGTTTGACGAGGATCAACAAACACAAACCACAGGCAGCGAGCAAGATGAAGAAAATGGTGGCCTTACAAGTCAACTACGGAAAAAATTTTCCTCTAACTTGGCCTTGAGCCGTCAAGAGTCGAAGAAATCCACCGGAAAGGGAAAGAGAAAAGGCGAGGAGATTGGGCCGTCTGGGCAACCCTACACTCCCTTGGAGCTTCAGGTAGCGATTCCTCTATCCAAATGGAAGATCTATTCACGCTTTTCATAGGTGAAACAGCTCAAAGAAGAGAATCCCGGTACTCTATTGCTATTCGAGGTTGGCTACAAGTATCGGTAGATACAAGTCATTTCACCTAGTCTTGGCGCTGATTCAGTATAGCTTCTTTGGAGAGGACGCTAGAATAGCCTCCAAAGCCCTTGGTATAGCCTGCTTCATGGACCGCAACTTTCTGACAGGTTCAATTCCGGTCTATCGAAAGATGATCCACACTAAGAAGTGCGTTTTACGATCAGGATTGCTACTAAACTTACTAATTTCGTAGATTACTGTCTTTGGGTCATCGGGTTGGGATCGTTGGTCAGACAGAGACGGCTGCATTGAAGAAAGCAGGCGATAACAGGAGGTACATATTGTTATACATTGACTATTTCTTTTAGTCTGATCTCGCTGTAGTGGTCCCTTTAGGCGGCAAGTCACCGAGCTGTACACAGCGACAACGTTGGTGGTACATTTGCGTCGTATCCAATGGCTCATCTATCTAGGTTTGTTGACGAGATGGAATCTTTGGATGAGAATGATCTGTTCAACACTGGGGCGGCCCTCTTGTGTCTGGCCGAGTCACTTATGGGTGGAATGGGCCCGGACGACAGAGTCGGGTTCGGACTAGTGTCTGTGATTCCCTCTACCGGTGAGGTCATCTACGACCAATTCTCAGATGTGGCGATGCGCACTGAGCTCGAGGTGAGCATCACGCATAGGGTTGATAGAAGAAGATTGCTGAGCAGCCTTAGACACGTCTCGCTCACATCAAGCCGTGTGAACTCCTACTTCCGGCGACTGGACTAAGTTCTCATACCGAGAAGATGCTCAAGCATTACGCGGGATCTGGGTATGTCTTCACTGAATCAAGTCTGCGCATGACGAACGATCATAGGTCCGCACGTATTGAAAGAATAGAGGATGCCCTACATTACACGGACGCATTCGAGTACCTTCGTGAATTTTATCAAGACGTCGAGGCCACACAAACCACGGAAGCCTTGTCCGCCACCTTTCAAGAGAGCAAGTTCCTCTATAATACTGAATTTTTAATGTCTGATCTAATTCATAGACCAACCGTTTAATGACGTCCTCGATCTTCCAAAGCCAGTGGTCGTCGCATTAGCTCACGCCGTCAGACATTTGCGTGCCTACGGTCTTTCAAACGCCTTTCGCAAAACTACATTCTTCTGTCCATTTATGACTCGCTCTCATATGCTACTTAATGCGAACACCTTAACGAATCTGTAGGCAACGCGTTGTGAATTATGCACAGCTAACTCTTGTAACCAGGGAAATATTCCAGAATCAGACAGACTATAGTCGTAAAGGATCTTTGATATGGCGCGTTGATCACACCAAAACAAAGTTTGGATCAAGGCTCCTCCGACAATGGATCAGTAAACCTCTGGTGAACAAGAGGTGTGCTGTCCACTCAATAGTGATATTATAGACTTATGGAGTTCATAGACTTCTCGAAGAACGGTTTCAGGCTGTTGAAGATATTCTCAATACCCAGTCAGCCGCGCTCGTGAAGCTTCGTACGGTGCTCAAAGGCCTACCTGATCTTACTAAGGGCCTGAGCCGAATTCAATATGGCAAGGTCAGTGGACTTCAGTTTCATTTTAGAAAATTGACATCATTAAGAGCACTCCGAAAGAAGTTGCCACGGTTTTGACAGCACTTCAACGTGTTGCAAATGAGTTCGACTTGATCGACAAACCTCAGGATGCTGGTCTCAAAAGTCCCCTGCTTAACGATATTCTATTCACTCTCCCGCGTCTGCGCGAGCCAGTCCAGCAGTTCTTGAACGACATCAACGTGACAAAGGCACACGAAGGTGAACTGACTGATCTGTGGAGAGATTCCGAGAAATATCCCGAAGTCGACGATGCGAAGATGGTGTGTATGGTTCGCAATTGTTCATTGGCTAACATTAAGAAAGTTAATCCTATCTATCGAACTTCATATGCAAGACCATCTTAAAGAAGGTAATCAAGAACGCCCATCCAGAATCCTCCTGATATACCGAAATAGTTCGCAAAATCCTCAAACGTCCAACTCTGAATTGGGTATCCGTATCCGGAGTTGATGTATGGGGCTTCTTCCTGCTTTAGCAATGACTTACAGCGACAAGTTCCTAGTAGAGGTTCCCAACTCTGAGAAATCCAAGGTGCCGGAGAATTGGAACAGGGTTCAAGGGTAAGGGACGACGTAATCCTTTCCTTTGCTCTGATTCTAGTGTCTAGGACGAAGAAGGTGACGAGATTTCATACTCCAGAAGCTCGTCAGCGGATTTCGGAGCGAGAACAATTGAAAGAAACTCTTCAAGCTGGTGAGTCCCGCTCGTATCATAAGCAATGATCATCATAGCGTGTAGTATCTGTCAAGGCATTTGAGAAGTTCCAAGCTGAAATCAACGCCGAGTATGGGTTGCTGCGCGATGCCGTGAACAAGCTCGCTGTTGCCGGTTAGTGAAACTGGCAATATTATTCGTCTACTAAAGCCTTTCCGTAAGATGCACTGGCAAGCCTTGCCTTAGTTGCTACCGAGGACGGCTATACCAAACCCCAGATAGTTGAAGACGATGAGCTAGAAATTGTCAAAGGTATGCGGGCCATATTTCGTGCCGAAAAGCCCTCTTAGATCATTCGTAGGGAGGCACCCACTTATTGAAGCGATATCTTCCGCCCCATTTGTGCCGAATGACATAGCGTTGGGCAGAAGAACAAACTTGGCCATGGTCATTACAGGTCTGTAAGATTATGTGCGTTGTTTTATCTAACTAATATGACCTCAGGTCCCAATATGGTATGACGAGACTTCCCTGATGAAGCATTTCTAAAATTTCGCATGATAGGGTGGAAAGTCCTCTTGCACACGGTATGCACGGATGATCTAGATGGAACCTGGCTAAGGTCTCTAGGTTGACGGCACTCCTAGTGATCATGGCACAAAGTGGCTGGTGCGAGCCTCCCTCAATCACTCTTGCGTGGCTGACAGGAAATCAGTTGGGTGCCTGCGGAACATGCCAGAATCCCACTGCATGATGCAGTGTTGACCCGCATGGGCGCGTCTGATGAGATTCAACGAGGCCGCTCTACCTTTATGGTCGAGATGAGTGAAACTGCAGAGATTATACAATCCGCAACAGAGAGAAGCTTGGTCATTTTGGACGAGTGTGCGTATTTTGAAATGGATTCTGACACCTTGACTGATCCTCTTCAGTGGGAAGAGGTACCGCGACATGGGATGGAGTAAGTAACTTCCACCTAGTGATTCGCATATATGACTCGACCTTATAGGTAGCGATCGCGACCGCAGTGCTCGATCACATGGTTTCTGTCATTCGATGCAAAACGCTCTTCATCACCCATTACCCTCAAATTGGCGTCGAGCTTTCTCAAAAGGTTTGTAAAGGCCGCATGCATCGAAATCGACTCAATATACATCAGTATCCGGGACTTGTTGCAAATGCGCACATGGGGTATTTGGAGGAAGAGCTCGCAGGTGAGTAGTCTTCAGGAAGCTGAACAACACTGAACTATCTCTCAGATGGCAGACGAGAGATTCATTTTCTGTACTCCATCTCTGTCTGCAGTGGTGCCAAACTGATCCTCTTCATAGGTACCGCCTACAAGATGGAGTCGCTGACAAGTCGTTTGGGGTGGAATGTGGAAGACTGGCAGGCCTCCCGGAAGTGGTTCTTGCGCAGGCCAGTCGTAAATCGGCAGAATGGGAAGAGCGAGAACGAAGTCTACAGTGCGTATTTCGTTTGCTGGAATTTTCTTCTCTAAATAATGGCCAGCCTCCGCTCGACTCTCAAAGATATCGCTAGAGTATCCACTTCGTCATCCATGCATCAAGCCATTTCCCTTCAGAAGCTGAAAGTAACTATCGGAAAGATGATAGCAAGACGATAGATTAAATCTGCGTATACCTCTTGTAAACTACTTTTGCTCCTTTTTCTTTTTCTTCCTCGGGCCTTGTTGAGCTTGTTCTCGCTCCTCTCTTTTCTTGCGCTTTCGCTCCTTGATAGTTGCGTTTCCGCGATGATCGACCTTTTCGACGCCCAGCTTGCGGGCCATTTGCTGCATGAGTGCCATCAACCCCCCTCCCTTGCTGAGCTTGGGAAAGCCTGAAAGCGCCGCAAAGAGCCGCTCAAATTGAACTGTATCCCAGATACGAGGGGTGGATGATGCGTCAACTTGTGACGTGATTCGAATGGCTTGTAGCGCATTCTTGACAACATTTTTCGCTTGAGCTACGCTCAACAGACGTTGGCCAGAAATGGCGGCAAAAAGAGATTTGTAGGTTGCTTCGCGAATCAATTGCATTGTCGGTAAAACATCTTCTACATCACCACCAACCTATATTGTGTCAGCCCTTTGCAGATTGAAGAGTGAGACATATAGCGAACCGTTTGCAAAACGAGTGGAAGGAAGGCATCCAGCCAATGAACTGCTTGCATTTGGCGGTAAAGATTGACAGACTGTTCGTCTGCCGATGCCTGGATGAGCGGCCGTCGTATGGCCCACGCTACAGCTGGGACTCTCTTAATTGTATCTGCAAAAAAAGTGTGGTAGATTTGCGAGCTTTTTCGATGCATAAAGTCGTCCAAACTCTCCGCATGGATTCTCGCAGCCACCTCTATGCGACCAGCATGGACCAGAATCTTGCACATATAGACGTTGGCAAACGTCAACGTCGCTGGGGAGATCTGTTGATGAGATGCCTTTCTCGCAATCTTGTGAACTTCTTCCAGGTCCTCCTCTATCTTCTCTATCTCTGCATCCTTCGGTAGAGTTTGGAGGACTCCAATTCGTCTTCGTATTATAGCATTGGCCTTTTCGATCAACTGCTGTTCGTCCGTGCTTGCTCCCATGACCACGCGTATAAGTGGAAGGATCATACGAGGAATTTGGGGACTTTCGGGGTATTTGCGGATGAGAATCTCGAGAAAATCGAGGACCCGGATCTTGAAGTGTGTCGCTTCACGTTGAAGACCTGCCGCTATCCGTCGTTTTGGTAAAATAGCCGGCGGGAGGCAACAACGAAACATACCTATCTTCGCCTTATTTCCAAGAGATTGCGAGCGAAATACGTCTGCCAACTTCTCGTCTAGTTGCATCATCTGATCGTCATCCAGTGCGGTGACTGAGGAGCCATCTGAGGAGTCCGATTCGGCGTCGTCAGCGAGTTCTCCAAGTGCTTGTGCAATTTTCTGTCGTAATTCGGGGTCCACGTCTTCCATGTCCGCATCCTCCGTGTCAGATTCCTCAGGAGAGGAATTCGACTCATCGTCGCTAGCACTGTCTTCTGAACCGTCGGCCACTTGCTCGTTGTCTTCCTCATCTTGCTCGGTTCCGTCTTCAGTGTCCATCTCCGCAGCTTCGTCTTGATCAGGGAGCACATTTCGTTGCTCCAATTGCTGAAAGAGTGAGAAGGTGTAAAAAGGTTTTGGAAACCACATACCATGAGAATAAGATCCAATGTAGAATCCTCGACCTCAGAACAGAGATCAGCGAAGACCAGCGGTGCCGCAGTTCGCATCAATGAGCCCGGTTTCTCCAAATACCCAATCAGTTCGTCTACGATGAGATCAATGGGTTTTTCCGAATCCCCTTCCATCTTTGAGTTGGTAGCTCCATTGGTTTTGGAACCCTTCTTTTTCGACTCCAAAAACGGCCTGGTCAGATTAGTGACATTTGCAACCGAGTCCTGCGGGACGTAATGAGCGATAGAATACGAAAAAGGGGCTACCCACTTCAAGAGCTTCGACAGGATCCCCTTCTGAGTCATCCGACACTGGTGCATATGTTTGTAGAAGAAGGCACGAAAGGAGCAGGGTAGCGCCATGAGCAAGGCTGGCTTTGGGCCCTTTTATCTGGAGAGAGTAAGATTTCGTTAAATCCATGAGAGCGTAGAGAACGAACCTGTTCTAGGGATTTCAGAAGCGACCAACACTCCGTCCTAGCCCGCACGGCGTTCTCTTCTATATCGAACACCGGGCGTAGATCCTTATCCTTGCCCAAATTTTTGAATGTCTTGACGGCAATCAAATTCCAAAGTTCGCCGCTCGCTGATCTTCCGTTGAACTTGGACGACTTGGCCTCCCCTGGCAGTACGTTACATCGGATTTCTGTGAATGTTCGACAACGTACGGTATTGGGCAACGCTCTGAGACGACAAATCAGCCAATGCTTGCCCCAGCTGGAGGCGACACGCATTCCTCGCAGAATCAGACAGTTCAGCTCCATCCTAAGTAGGGCTCGATAAGAAAACGAGCCATAAATGAAAGGGTAGTTGGTCTGACCTTATTCTTGTGTGCTTTCCGTGAATAGAAGAAGCCATTCTTTATCAGGAACTCCAAAATAGAGGTGACCCATGCATCGCTCTTGGGTACAATGGTACTCCGTATCAACATGCCATATTGATCAACCACCCATTGGCGGTCGGATTCCAAAAGCGCCTTATCATCCCTGTTTCACACGGAATCAGTAGCCCAACCTATTATCTCAAAAAAAAAGAGGATTACCTCTCGGAGCTCCCTTGAAATATAGCTTTCAAGAAGTCAACATATTCAAGGATCTGGGATTCTTGCATGTGGCCCAGAATTGTTTCGACCGTCTTCGTGTTGGTCAAGCGATCAAAGTCACGACTACCGTCTGGCCCTAATAGTTGAATCACTAGCGGGAAGCCAGTGGAAGGGGATTCCTTTACGACTCGTTGAACCGTCGACGCCTGGGATATATAAGATTTGGTATGCAGGTAGCGTAAGGATACTCGCCAATTTGAGAGCGGCCTTGTGGAGATTTCGGTCCTTCTTTGCTAATTGATTGATCCAAGTTCGAACGAAGTTCTTGGTGAAAAGATGTGGCGTAACAGACGTTGGAGCTTTCCTCAGCGCCACATCTACCACTTGGAACGCTGTATATTTTCGCTCAGAAGAGGAGGTTGCAGAAAACATATGCTCTAGTCGCTGTCAGCGCCGCAAAGCCCAAGACAGAGAGCTTACCATCAACCACAACGCGGAAGAGATCCTGAAACGGGCTGATGCCAGGATGTATTTTTGACTCATCCGAAAAGTAGTAGTCCAGTAAAATTGACCAAACAAAATGTGCATGTGGCTTCCAAACACCGGTCGAGGCCTGTTTATTCCCTTCTTCGTCCTCGATTTCCGTGTCCTGCACCGTGTCAGGTCTGCTGATACTCCGTGTCGCGAACGCACCTTGAGAATCAAGGCTAGATGTTGTAGACTGCTGGGAGCTAATACGTGCTTGCCTTTAAAGAGGACCTTAAGAGGTGATGTATCGTGTTTTCCCAGATGGGTTGGTATTGGAGCCATAATCCAATTTTTTCGGGGGTCCATTCTGTATTTTGTACGAATAGTTCGGTAAACGTCCAGTCTAGAGCCTGAGATTTGAACGAGACTGTTGAAGCCGAGAGGACTGATACTGCTTGGAGAATACTCCACCAGGAGCTTTCTCGAAGCCAAGTCTTTTTGCTACCCAGATGTACGAGTTCGTTGATGATCCTCTGATAGTCTTGTATTGTCGCTGCGGGTCCACTTGCGTGGACAGGCGCAGTTTCACGAGCAATCAGCCCAGATTCAATGACTGCAGTAAGTCCAAAAAGTCGGGCGAACAACATATCTCGCTCCTCCTGACCATTCATAGACCCAGTGGTTTGCGAAGAGGAAAGGATGAGTTCTACAATTTGATTGGCGGAAACTGTGTCCAACCGGTGCAAAAGCTGAGCCGAGCGTCAGTTCTTATCTTGTATAGTAATAAACAAACAGTACCTCGGTCAAGACTACGGCAAAGCCAAGCCGACTGCTTTCTCGGGGACTTGCTAGCCCTCTTATCAATCTTCGTAGCGCATACGCAACATCTTGTGCGTTTTGAGCATCTAAAGCGTCATTTGAAGCTTCTGCCTCTGTTAACGAGATGTCTGGAATGGTGTGGGTTTGCTGAAATTGCTGAAGAGCGTCGACCAGCTTTGTAGATGCATCTATTCTTTGCTCTTTTGTTGGGTCGGATAGATTCCAGTACAGTGGAAGTGTCGCAGCCATTTGCACTTGGTGTTTTGTGCGTCCGCCACCGCGCTTTAGAATCCCACCAAGGGTTTGCTCGGCTTGTTCACAACTATTTAGGAGTTTAAATGGTCCGATTAGCGGCTAGAGAGCGTCCCCAGTCGTCCCAAGTCGCACTGAAGACGAGGTGGTTGAGTCGAAAAAAGCATTTGGACCCTACCAAAGCCCGACTTTGGACGACGGCGCTCTGCAGGTCTTATACCACGTTTGACGTGTTGCTTCAAGGACTCTGTGGATAGTAGAGTCGAGCTCCTATCTACGCCCGCTCCTTGTACGTTGTCTTTTGATCATGGGGAACGAATACTTGGTTAAACCCCGTCTACGTAGACTGTTCATATGCTTTCATCGCGTCATATACGACATCTTCCTCCAAATCTACTTCTGGCTATCCACCAACAACTGAACACGGTACCACGACCGCGATTGGTCCAACCCATATCCTTCGTTAGCCAGCCTCGGAGAACATACACTAGTTCACTACTATCAAGAGTTGGAATATCTACCCGAGAGGAAAAGTTTCGTCATCACCTAGACCAAGCAATCGAGCACGCTCGTAATCCACAGACATGGAACTCATTCCCCGAAGTCTACAACCGACTCCTTTCCCAATACCGGCAACTCGGTGATGCGCGTAAACCGGCTCCTGGTCTGTCACAGTCATTGAGTCACCTCATGATGAACTTGACACAGACCAGGACGCCAAACCGAAGCGTCAACAAATATGTCAATTCCATCTTCCAAGATATCAAGTCTGGCAAATGGGGTATTCCCCTCTCACCGGAGCATTACCATCCTTTGGTTCGCTGCCGGGCACAAAACGAGGACTTTGAAGGAGCAGAGGCGTCCCTCATGGAATGCATAGACGCATTCCCATTCTCCTCTGTACCACCACGGCTTTTCATTGCCCTCCTTGGCGAGTACCGTCGGTACAATGACTTTGAGAGCGTATGGAGGGTATACCAAGCCTTGAAGGGAGACGGACGAACTTTGGATCAACGAGTATACGAACTCGTACAAGATGTTCTCGTAGAAAGCCCAAAGGCTTTTCTGCGCGACCACATCTTGGAGCTTCAAGCCGACTTCGATTCCGCCAAATTAGGGACCGTGAGCAAACTATCCCTTCTCCTTTCGACGTTTCTAGCTTTAGGAGAGCAAGGAGAAGCTGAAAATGCCGCACAAAAGCTTCTCAAAGCCCTTGAGGGCATCTCAGTAACACGGACCGCGGAATATCGCGGCTGGGATATCTTGATACGGTACTCCCTGTCACGGAAAGGTGTGGCTGCTACAAAGGAACTCATCTCTCTCGCCAAAAAACAAGGATACCGCCCAGGTAGCTCCCTTTTGCACCGGATTATCATCGACCACGAGTATACGACTTCCGAGCAACTTCTTGCCTGCGAGGAGGCTCTATCTATCGAAGCCGATGCCATTGCATGGTCGCTCCTCGTCCACAGGGCCCTGGCTCTGCACGGTGTTGATGCTGCAATCGCTATCTACGGTGAAAGCAAGCGCCGTGGAATTCCTCCTCTCGCATACATGCTCCATCCTATTATAAGGACACTTGTAGGGGGACATCTACGAAAAACCCTCGAGTGGAAGAATCTCGAACGTGCCCTCGTGCTTTATGAAGATCTTAGGAATGCCGCCAGAGAGTGCACCCGCCATACCGACCTAGGGTCTATGCAGCAGGCGGAAGATTCGCCTGCTTCGGCTCGCATATCTTCGCAAAAAACGCAGGCCGCCCGAAAAGTGTGGCCAGGTCCAGACTCGATGATATATGACACGCTATTGCGGGCTATTGCGCAGTTGGGACGTACAATTGATCCAAACACCTCATTACCTGTCCAATTGGCAAACAGATCGACCCCTTCCAATCCCCCGGACGACGGAGCTACCCCGAGTGATGATTCCTCGCCCTCCCAGATGAATCTCTGGGGTCTTGCCCTAAATCTTTTGGACGATATGCGCCAACTCAATGTCCCATCGACTCCTATGTCCACAACGGCAATCATCATCCTCTGTATGCGCATTGCACCCACCTTTGGCAGTGCTTTTCAAGTTTATCGCGCTTTGGTACATGGTGACCAACTTCGAGAGCGAGCAACACTCGCTGACGAGTTTGATGGCGGACTGTCATCGTGGTCGGGTGGTGACCGCTACTTTAACCAGTTCGAACTGAACGCGATGAGCTACGAGAATATCATCCGCGGCTTTTGTACCTTGAAGCCCAAACACGAAGGTGGTGTTCTCACATACCCACCGGCAGACCTCTACCTGCAATTGGTAAAGGACATGCAGTTGGCAGGCTACAGGATCACAGAAGACGTATATATGACGTTTCTCTATCGTTTAGGGCGACAGGCCCGTGCATTGCGTCTATGGGAAAAGGAGACCTTTCCCTACTCAGAGGACGAAGTGGAAGGGGGCGAGGATATCGAGGCTCTGGACCCCAAGAACATTGACTCTGACACTTTCTTGGACACCAGGCAGTCTATCCTGCACAGTATTCGCACGATGCATAACCACATTGTCCTCAACGCCGGTATCACACCCTCTATCGATCTCCTCAATGCCATGCTCGATGCATACAATAAAGTTGCTGCCGTTCACGACGCGTTCAAAGTGTGGGACACTATTTTTCTCTCACGTATCTATAACCAGCAGAGTGTCGCCATTATCATGGATACATGTGGATGGGCCAGAGTCGGGCACAAAGCATCGCAAATCTGGAACCAGCTCGTTCAGGTCGATTTCCCGTTCAACAAAAACGATTGGGATAGCCGGGTGGAATGTCTTTGTCGTGTCGGCAAGTTGGACGAGGCTCTAAAGGTCGTCTGTCTGGAGATGCCTCTCCAGAACAAGGTCAACCTGTCACAGATGCCTGAAGAGGATGCCCCTGATGTGTCTGTGGACGATCAGTCACCGCCTTCACGGATTGCGCGAAATGCACGCCGTGAAGCGCAGAGGAAGGAACGAGACGTCATGCCGGACGCCAAGACGTTAGCCGTACTCTTCAGCTTTGCGAGCAAGACGAACCAAGTTGATGAAGTCAGAAATCGCGTCAGGAGGTATTTGCCTCAGGTTTGGCAATCCATTCCGGTCAAGCTGAAAAAGGTTTGGACACACGAGCTGTCCTCCAACGGAGAGGAAGGTGTCGAAGTGTCTTGACTCACGTAGATGCAAATGTAGCAATAGGAGTACCAGGTATAATCAAAGATTGTCTATGTCTAATATCAAATGCAGGGTACAGTGTTGAAACTAGTGCTATATGCGTGGTTGGTTGAGCAGACGCAGTGACTCGAATTAGCGAGAAAGCGGAGGAATGCGACATGCCGTCTAGAGGAGTAGAACAGCGAGGCAATGTCTTTAGAATGAAAAGAATAACTCATGAGAAACTCCAGAGAAAGAAATTAGACCGCATGTTCGGCCAACTCTTCGACAGTTGGACATTCACACTGGAAATGAAGTCAGCAAGTTGTAGTACAGCAGGAGAACGTATATACTCACGTTCAAGTTGAGATCGCCATACGCTAGACGATCGTAAGAATATCTTCGAAATGAGCAACAGTAAGCACTCACCGTCGTCAATGCGACTAGTCGTTGGCCAGAATTTGCGCTGGTGCAACCAACTGAGAGGATATGCCGCCTTTTGACGAGAATAAGGCCTAGAACAGGTGAGGAGTCGCGTTTCATGTATTGAATGCTGCTTACTTGTCCCAGGTGTCTGCTGCCACAATGTGCATAGGATGGGGAGCGTTCTTGAGAACGTTGTTGTCCTTTGGCTGCTTTCCAGATACAATCTCATCGACTTCGGCGCGGATTTGAATCATCGCTTCGCAGAAACGATCTAGTTCTTCAAGTGTCTCCGACTCGGTGGGTTCGATGAGCATGGCGGTCGGGATAGGCCATGAGCATGTGGGCGGATGGAAGCCATAGTCTTGCAATCGCTTTGCAAAGTCCATGACTTTCAGGCCAGCCGCCTTATCAAACTCGGCCAGGTCAATCAAGAGCTCGTGAGCCACACGGCCTTGAGCGTTCTTGTACTTGAGCGTATAGTGACCTTTAAGCCGGTTGGCGATATAGTTGGCGTTGAGGAGAGCAACGGCAGTAGAGTGAGAGAGACCATCTCCTCCGAGCATCTTGATGTACGCCCATGAAATGAGCAAGATTGATGCGCTGCCGTATGGTGCAGCTGAAACGGCCTGGATAGCATCGGGTCCGCCAGTGGGCACCACAGGATGTGTTGGGAGGAAAGGGGCGAGGTGAGAGGCGACGCAGATTGGGCCCATACCAGGACCACCACCGCCGTGAGGACTAGCAAACGATTAGAATTTGCCTTTGAAGAACTACGAGCACGTACATTGCGAATGTCTTGTGAAGGTTGAGATGGCAAACATCGCCTCCACAGGTTGGGGGATTTGTCAGGCCGACTTGTGCGTTGAGGTTCGCGCCGTCGATATAGACTTGACCGCCATTGTCATGAACAATTCGGCATGCTTCTGTGACGCTCTCCTCGAAGACACCAAAGGTGGACGGGTACGTGATCTACCATACTAAGTATCGGTGTCATCAATAGGGGGTGTATCCTTACCATGCACGCAGCAAGGTTATCCTTGTGCTTCTCAGCTTTGGCTTTGAGATCGGTCAAGTCTAGGGATCCGTCTGATAGTGATTTGACGGCGACGACCTTGAAGCCAGCCATGACTGCCGACTTGGAAATGTCAGTGGTGTTTACGAGTAGAGAATCTGACATACTGCAGGGTTTGTTCCATGAGCACTGACAGGAATCAGACAAATGTCACGAGCACCGTCCCCACGAGCACGATGGTACGCTCGAATGACCGAAAGGCCCGCATATTCACCTGCTGCACCAGAATTGGGTTGTAAAGAGCAAGCAGAGAAGCCTGTGATGATACACAAATCCTCTTCTAGCTCCTGAATAGACGCATGAGATGATTTTCAGACCAAAAGAAGAATATTCTCACCTTGAGCATCGTCGTGTATCCTCCGACCTGATCCAGAGGTGCAAAGGGGTGTACGTTGCTAAACTTGCTCATGGTCACGGGGATCATGGAACTCGTGCTGTTCAGTTTCATCGTGCAGCTTCCAAGCGGGATCATAGCATGGACCAGCGAAAGATCCTTGTTCTGCAGGTGGTGAATATAGCGGAGCATCTCAGTTTCCGAATGATGTTTGTTGAAAACTGGATGATGCAAGACACCGGACGTCCTCTGTAGATCCGATGGGATCATATTCTGCTCGACCACCTCCAAAGCATCCGCAGTGATGGGTTTCACGTCTATGGCAGAAGCGAAGACGTTGATAATGTCTACAAGATCGGTTGGAGACACGCTCTCGTCTAGGGTGACGCCGACGGTCGTATCGTCGATTCGTCGAAAGTTGATACCTGCACGCGCAGCCGCTGCGTGCACGGTTTCCGCATTTTCAGTGACAATGGAGAGCGTGTCGAAGAAAGTCTTGTTCTCGACCTCGTACCCCATTTTCTGGACGGCTGCGGCCACCGTTTTAGTGAAGGAGTGTACTCGCTCGGCAATGTCCCGCAAGCCTGATGGTCCATGGTACACTGCGTACATTGCTGCCATGTTGGCTAGCAGTGCCTGGCTGGTGCAAATGTTGCTCGTCGCCTTTTCACGACGAATGTGTTGCTCTCGAGCTATCATGGGGGTGTCAATTCCCCTATCCTCGACTTTTGAATCATCACCTACTCTGAAGAGCAAGTCGGTACGCAGGGTTACCCTCTGCATCTCGACTACGACCAATCAAACGCCCAGGCATCTTGCGCTTGAGCTTTTCGCTGACAGCAAAGAACGCGGCATGTGGTCCTCCATAGCCCGATGGAACTCCAAAGCGTGCAGAGTTTCCGAAGACGATATCCGCACCCCACTCTCCAGGAGGCTTGAGGAGCATGAGGGCCAGGAGATCCGTAGCGACAGAAAGGATGGCACCCGATTGGTGGACCTTGTCCGCGAGCGCACCAAAGTCACGAATAGAGCCGTCGACGTCGGGGTATTGCACCAGCACACCACATGTCGACGAGAGGACGTCTGGAGACTCTACAAGCTCTGAAATGACGCCAATCTTGAGCTCGATACCAAAGCCTTCGGCGCGGGTATGGAGGACGGAGAGGGTCTGGGGTGAGACTCCAGAGTCGACTAGGAATGTCTTCCTCTTTTGGGAGGAGCTTGCAAAGGACATGACCATGGCTTCTGCAGCGGCAGTGGCCTCGTCGAGTAAAGAAGCGTTTGCAATGTGCATTCCGGTGAGGGAAGTGACCATGGTCTGATAGTTTACCAACGACTCGAGACGACCTATATATCGACTTGTTAGTCAAAGGAGTAGAAGTGGGTTTTGAGTACCTTGGGCAATCTCGGGCTGATAAGGGGTATACTGGGTGTACCAAGCCGGGTTTTCCATGACCTGGCGTACAAGATAAGAAATGAGCTCTACATAGTGTGAAAAGATAGTCTTACGTTACGGAGAATGACCGGAGGTACGACGGCGTTCCAATATCCCATGCCAATATACGACCGAAAAGATTTGTTATCTTGTGCGAGCTGACGGACGCGGACCATGAGCTCAGACTCGCTAAGAGGTTGTATAGACTGGTCGTTTACAGAACCATTTGCGATGCGGATCTTGGCGGGGACGGCGTCGCCAACAAATTCGTCCATGGACCGATAACCGAGTTTGGAGAGCATGTCTGCGACTTCGGTGTCGTCTGGACCAACATGTCGACGCTGGAAAGTGTCCAAAGGAGCGAAAAGAGACTTTTTAGCGTCTACCGGGGCGGCTGTTGCTGCGCGTCGGACAAGAAATAAGCCTGTAGAAACAGAGGGCTTGGAGAGCTTGCTGCGCGACGTGATCCTCAGTGCTCTCAACATATTGGTCGCAGTGTCTGGCTCCAAGTGACGACTGCAGCGGCCAGGCCACGGAACGGGGTTCCGATAACTTTGTAATTGACCACGATAATGGCACAGTCTACAGCGACGCTCTCTGCCGTCTCGTTTGAATAGTAATCTCGTATTTTACGTGTGCATCAAGTATTAACGCGTTTCGACGCGCTTTTTCTTGTCCAGCGCGTCTGTCAAGCAACCATCCCACTGTCCACTTGGAATCTACGTAAAGCCGTCGTCGTCCAATCTACTTGTCTGGGACGGCGTCTTTTTCGTTCACAAGGGTCAGCACTCGTAGAGCATTCTGTACGCTGTTAATGTGTGTCAGGATATTACAGCGGCGCTGTCCTCAAGTTTCGCCTCTCCTTTCCGTCAAACTATCCAGAACGCGCTCCTCAGATCCACTTTATCACAGACGTCTTCCATCCATTGGTCTCACAGCGCGATGGCAGCTTTACTTTGACACCCCGAATACCGACATGGAGGTATTGATCCACTGTCTCCCTTCCACCCGGTGGCTAACACTCTCAGACCCAAGCAGCACCACGTCTTTGATGTGCTATTCTGGCTCAAATCCGCGTTCAAAAAGCATGCACTAGATCAACTAAAGGAAAAGGACTGTTTGAACAAGGAGGCATTCCGGTACGTGTACTCTCGCCACAAACCAACTTTATTCTGACTTTGTATAGTCTGTAAGTACATATACAAAGCACTCAACAACCCCCTTCTCATACTGCCACTAGATATCGAGAATCGATTTCGTCGTTTGCTCAGCTCGCAAGTCAATCTGCATTACTATCTCAGTCTGACCACGCGTTGTACGACCAAGATTATCCCTCTATGACTGGAAAGCGTCATCATGCCTTTCAGTTTCGGGAGACAAAGCCAGACACCCTCAAAGCCTTGCGAGAACAACTAGGTTTACAGGAATGGGCAGTTCAAACAGCGACAGAGGATCCTCCGTCGACTAGCTGAAAGATATAGGTGGGCTGATGGTTTCCATTGCTTTTCACGACGCCTCGTACCAACTAGACATTGTTGGGAATGTAGAATATCAAGATAGGGCGATATGTAGTATTTTCATCTCTGGCGGGGGGTACAACACTACAAGCTCGAGACGAAAAAAAGGATGTCACTACCGTACGGGTCGCTTTCCATCAGCAAACATCTAGAACGATCTTGGGAGGTAGTTTTCAGTCTTTCCAGGACTTCAATGGTTTGCCGTATGATCATGAGACAAGCCGTCAAATGATCCTGGAGTTAAACTTTCGATGACCACCGACACCACCGAATTCGGGGACACTATCAACCGATCCGTAGTATGTCTATGATTCTGTTACCATATTGGATGGCTTCTCGAAGTGTATGGATGCCCGTCTTTGGCAATGACCGACGCCCCTATCCAGCCGCGCCCACGGAAAAGATGATGAATAAAGTGAGTAAGGAAGTAACGTGCCCAGGTCAGAAATTCTTGGAGATTGTTTGCCATCTATTGTTCACAGGCTTTTGTTTCCCATACTTGTCCACCAGGCAATTCAGTCGCCGAATGGCCGTGTGCCGATTATGGTGGCCTTGCAGCCAGGGCGCGAAGGGCGATTGATAACAGCGCATGCGTCCTCTTTAAATCTCAGTTCCGGGATTGCTTACGCTCCACGCAATCCTTCTTCCTCCTTGGTCCCCTCCCTTCCCGCAACCGCCCAGCCATGGCACCCGTAGGCATCTCAAACCTGTTCCCGTATCAGCAGATCGTCCTGGGCATCTCTCTGCTCTCGATCATCCTCGTTTCGCCCGCACACCTCAAGTCGGGCAATACGGGAATCACAATCCTCATCTTCTGGATCTTTGGCTGGACCTTCTTCCTCTTTATCAACTCGATTATCTGGAGAGGCAACGTTCGGGTTCTTCATGGCTACTGCGACGTCGCAGCGGCATTCTTTGCCATTACACCTCAAGGTCTCAGCTGCGCGTTCTTGTGCATCACGAGGCAGTTGTACAGACTCTCAAAGGCTCAGGCAGTCATTATCACAAAGGCACAGGTGAGACTTGGCGCGTTTGGAACGCATACACCCAGAGGCTGACGGTGGCAAAGAAACGCAGGGATCTGTTTATCGACCTTGCTATCGGACTTGGGTTTCCTATCCTGATACTCGGTGGTCGTACGTATACGCGTCTCATTCACGTTCATCCAAGCTGACATTTGGCTAGACGCGCTCATTCAAGGACATCGTTACGACGTTTGGGAAGACTTTGGTTGCTACGCCACGACCTACAACGTAGTGCTTGCGTACCCATTGTACATGATCTGGCCGCTCATCGCCTCGCTTGCTTCGGCCGTCTACGGATGTAAGCCCAACCCCCCAGTTCATATTCTGCTGCTAAACCTTTGCCTATAGCACTTGCACTTCAGCAATTCTTCAAACGCCGCGAGAGCTTCGAATCCCTCCTCAGCTCGACCAACTCTGGCATGCAGAAGAACCGCTATATTCGCTTGATGTGGCTTTGCTGCATCGATCTGCTCCTCGTGATCCCGTTCCACATCTACAACCTCATCGACAACCTCACCAACCAAAAGGTATTCCCGTACAAAGGTTGGGCAGATATTCAAGCCGACTGGTACCGCGTCGACCTCTACCGTCGCATCATCATCGATATGCTTCCTACGGCAAAGTCTTTGGTCATCACCTGCCTCGTCGCAAACTTCCTCATGGTCTCGACATTTGTCGCCCTGTTTGGCTTCACGCGCGAGACGAGCAAGATGTACCGCAACGTATACTACTGGTGCATGCGTCCATTCGGTGTCCAGCGTCCAGCACGTGTGATGCCAGGAGCCACTACAACGTACAAGAGGACATGGCTCGACAAGCTCTTCCGCCGTGAGGGTGTCCAACTTCGCTCGACGACGAACACGACCGGATCGATTCCAACGTTTGCGCAAAGCCGACCAGACAGGTCGATTCCTTCTGCGCGCCAATACAGTGCTACCGACACGCTCAACCTCGAGGAAGAGTACGACGAAAAGGCCGTCGCCTCGCCCTTGTCTGCGCGGAGTGTGATCGTCGTCGACGGCAAGCGTCTGACAATCCCAGGCCTCAATGCCATGGCGTCGTTTGACTCTGCTGAGATGCACAAAGCTACCTCTGCTCCTCACTCTCCCTCTTCGACACTCTCAGGGGAGACTGCACACCAAGGACACGCCTCGTCGCGTGTCTAATTTACTCACGATTCACGACTCTCTACGTCCTACTTCCTTACTCCACGATTCCTATGACCTAATGCCGCCCCCGCGACCGCTACGAACCGAATATCCCCTCCGAGCCAACTGATCTTGACGAGCGTGGGCGGGCATGTAGAGCATGGCACTCGGCATTTCTCACTCACGCTCGAGCGAAGGATCTGGCTATCCTTGTATCTTGCCATCTCTATTCGATTCCTAGAAACTTGTCTTTATCTCGCCTCCCTGTCTTGCCCAAACTAGGGGTCTTGTAGCTCACCACGCACCATCTTGAATTCATCGAATTCCATACTAATCGCAACCCTTGAAATTCCTCGCCTTGTGAGAAGAGTGTCACCCTCGAGTGGAGTTTTTTTCTTTACAGTCGTCCATCTCAGCAGCAACCGAAATCTAGGTCCAACTCGATATTGTTGGACTAGATGGCTGTAAATTGGGTTGGTAGAACAACTTTCGGAGCTGGGCATGTCGTCTTGATCTTTTTTTACCATTCATTGGCGACTAATCAGCATCTGATACACTCTTGTTCACATTCCATAATCTAATAAGAAGATTTTCGAGCAAGTACGAGTATCATTAGAGTCAAAGTTGTACGTGACAAGTCGTCAAAGTAACCATAAGTCCGAACAAAGATGTATACAGCATTGTCCGTAAAGCGTCAAGATATAGGGAGATCCAATGATTCCTTAGGAATATATAGATTCGTCGTCGGTTCCAATCCGAGCTTCGACTTGCCCGTCGCGGTGCTCGACGTTGGCTCTCGTCCATACAAGTTTACCTGCGTGGTAGACATGGACGTCGAGAGTCGATTTCCGGCAGACGGGAATGGAAATAGGGCATCTGGCCCCGGCGAAGAGGGGATCGTGGGTAAATCAGACATGCTCGCAGAGAATCGCTTTCTCGACGAGCCAGAACCATACACATCTGCAGCGTTGAGAGCCGCGCTCAAACGAGCTGCAGATGCAGGTGGAGGGTGCGATGTTGGGACGTGGGTATTGGTCGCAGACGAGGGAACTTGGATCGCCTCGTCTGGTGAGCGATAGATATCAAAGTCGTATACACTAGCATCTGCCATTGTCGGAGAATGGGCGTTTAGGTATGGGGCATTTTGAGGGTCGTATTCATGAAGGTGTTGAAGGGAGAGAGCAGATGCCGAGGCGGCGCCAACTCGTCGACCGAGGCCGATAAAGCTAGGAGAATGGGGGATCATGCGTGTTGGAGAAGAAGGTGAGCGTATATGGGACTTCTTCCGAGTGATAGATCCTACTCCCGCTGCACGATCACCTGCAGGGATCGTATCAAGCGACGGACGTCCAGAGATGGAAGGTCGAGGTGATGTTTGAGCATCTAGCTCACGTAACTCGTATTTTGGAGAGGTTTGGCCAGCCTTGTCCAATGACGTTCGAGAGCGGCCCACCGGCTCTTCCTCTAATGGGGCGTTGAAGGGGTCTCCAGTAAACTTGATAGGGGTTGGGCTTCGTTGGGACATGGGTGGTGAGTTTGGTCTGAGGAAAGAGGAGCGTGATTCAACCGATGGTCGCCGTTTATGCAGCCGGTTGGACGATCTTTTGGTGGAAGGGGGCGTCGGAGAGGTCGTTCCATCCCCAGATCTTGTTCTTCCGTGACCGAGACCGGATGTTCTTCCTGACATGGTCGAACCCAATGTCGAGTACTCTCTGGCGCCTTCTTCGGGAACGATCGTGTCGAGGAGACTGCTTCTAGACTCGCGTTTATCACGCGACGTCCGCGGAGGGAGAGGCTGTTCTGCGGAATGCTCTACGATGACATACTCGGAAGGCGTGGGAGACGGTGGCGGGATGTAACCAGAGGCAAAGGGGTCTAGGGGGGTGCTTTCTTTGACATCCTCCATGTGTTCGCTCTCCAAAGTGGCGCTATTACGGACGTTTGGGGTCGTGGTTCCAGACGCTGCATCTTTTTCATGGACCAACGGAATAGGGAGTACCGACTCCTGAGGCTCGTAATGGACTGCCTCATAAACTGGGCCATTATCCGCAGAGCGTTGTTGTACTTGCTCGCGTGAGGGACCTCGCGAATGTGATGGTCGCGTCGGAGGCGCTTGAACCCCCTCCTCGGAAGATGCATATTCTCGTTCGACTTTGCCAGTTCTTCGTCGCCTCCGTCTGCGCCAGATGAGACACAGGATAGCCAGGAAGACCAATATAACAAAACAGGATCCTCCTACTATGATTCCAATGAGCGCAGTCTTGTTTAAGGCTGGTGAGGTCGAATGAGTAGCTTGGGCGTTCGCCTGGACAGGTTCTGTGGTTGTTGATACAAGTTCTGAAGCTGTGTCGAGACTTTAGAGGAGAATATGTAAGCAAATCAATCATTTCCGAATCGTGCAACGACTCACCGAGTGTCAATGTTCGCTGCAGTGGACCCGGACGAGGTTGAGAGCACTCCTGAAGATGTCCGTATGCTAAGAATGAAAGTAAAAAGGGTTATCTGGTGTTCTTTACGCTCTGCTGGCTGGCGCCGACCTTGTAGAAGTCGCAGGCCTCGTCGTTGACGAAAAGGTTGAGACGTCCATCGAGACGACGGCCGACTTTTGAGCGTCGGAAGCTCCTGTTTAACTATTTATCGATTTGGGAGATGAACAGAGAGCAGCGGTTCAAAGACTCAGAGGCAGCGTCCAAGATTCGGGCTTTGCTGTGTTTACCACAGAATATCCTAAACGAGTGGCCGAACGGGGGTCCGCCATTGGGAAGCAGCAGGACACCAATAGACACTTCTAACGTTAGCTAACATTGTCAACTGTCAACCGGAGTCACGGAACTCGGCCTTGGAACGGCAGCAAACACTAAGTGTATATGCGTCGATTGCAACACACAAAAGTCTACAAATGTTGATAAAAACTATCGTCTGAGAGATTCTCCGTGCGTCTTGCCCTTGAAGCTCCACTTGTTCTGGATCCCGTATCAAATCCACGTTGCTACGCCCATAAGAAATGAACAACTCACTGCATTGTCATAGACAATGTAAAAGGTTAATGCGGGTACTGCGACACCCCAGAGCAACACCCGTCGAGTTGCATACGGCGTGAATCGAAATCCCTTATAGATGTCTTCTCGCTACGAAATAATTTCAGAAATTTATCATAGCGTATTAGAATGTTATATACCATCTGATACCATTTCTCAATGGCTGGGTCATGCTGAAAAGAAAGCGTAAGCTCGACGTCTTGCTTCCGATTGAACCAATCCTACTTTGACTGAATATTTGTCAGCATAACATCAGATAAATGCATCCAGAATGCTTACGGCTGTTGTGACCACCGCCCATGTTGGTCGAAGTCACTTCCAAGTTGTTTGCGCAACTTGACCTCCAACCATGTCGTACCGCGAGTGGGACCAGCACGATTACCGAGGCACGGTTAGACGTCGGGAAGACCAAGATGACTCCTGGGACAACAAGAAACGGCGTCGCTACGATGTCAGTTAGGAGACTTGCAAAGGCTGACCAGAGTGGCTGACCAGCGGAACAGGACAGCGACAACTATGATGAACGTGGATACAGAGACACTTCTAGACAAGATGATGGCTACAATCAGCACCAGAGCTCTCATAGCGGACGCTCGCGGGCAGACGACGACTGGAGAACCCGCCCAGATCCCATGGAAGAAGACACGTACGACTACCAGCCAAAGCAATACTCCAAAGGCAAAAAGATGATCGCGAGCGAGGCTAGCCAGCACGTTATCTTTCTTGGCCTTGACCCAGACTTTATGGAATCCGACGTAAGCACCCGAACCAGTAAATTACCACCAGCTAACACCGGCCCTGAAAGCTCGTACTCTACCTGCAGTCTCTCGACCTCAAACTTGAAGGCGTGACAATCATCCGCGACCGAGTTACAGGCATTTCCACCTTCTCAGTGGGCCGCTGCATCGCATTGACATAGTTTATTACAAGGCGCATCTAGAAGCTTTGGCTTTGCCCAATTTCCCAGCATTCAAGAGGCACAAAAATTTGTCGAGCCAAATTTCCCATTTGTAAACCTCCCTCCCCCGCAGTCGCATGGTGCTTCTGCCGCGATTGCGTACAATGATGGCACGGGCGCACACTTGGGTCGTCGAGTCAAGATTGACTACTCCCAGAGTGCTCAGGGCTCGGGTACCCGTCCTGGTGCCCGAAGCGGAAACGACGGCACAAGGGATATCGGTAATTCTGCTTGCTGCGTCGTTCTCCTTCGAGGCTTGGATCCAATGGCCACGCTCGAGCCGATCGCAGAGGCTCTCAAGGCATCCTCAGGAGCGATTGGCCAAGGAGCACAGGGAATGAAGCGAATTGTACTTGTGCGTGACCGGTATACTGCGATGGGAATCGGAGTCGCTTTTGTGGAATTTATTGATGTGGAAGTATGTCGAGAACCTGTGATTCTTCAAGATACTGACCTTTATAGTCTGCCAGCCAGCTTTTGGCTGCAACAATGTCTAGGGAGCTTCATCCAGAAGGATTTAGAGTCCTGGATCGTCCCGTTTCAACTTCTTTTGCCAATCCTGCGTCATTCCAACCTCTGGCTCCCCACAGCCTTCGCGATGAAGGGTGTGTCATGGGCTCTACGTCTCTCGGAGGTACAGAAGGCGTATTTGCGAAATACTGGGACGAATCAACCGTCGTACTTGAAATGGCCTTTGAGGTATCGGAAACGGCAGCGAAAAAGGAAGCGACGAACGCACCAGAAAAGAAGAAGAAGAAAAAGAACAAGGAAGAGGATGCGTGTGAGTACCTCTTGATTCTTGTACCGAGCTGATCGGCCTTAGTGGTTTCGGTTGATATCAATGAGTTTATGACTTCAGCAATCAAGCCAGAGGCAAAGCTTTCCAAGAGTCTGCCAACGAATCTCAAGCCATTGACGCTCAACTTGAATAAAGGAACACTTCCGCAAGCAAAGCCACTTGGCACGTCGAATGCCCATTCAAACCCTTTGCTAACTTGTCGGTAGCCGCTACTCCAAGTACAGCCTTTACTGCTGTCGATCCAGACGAACCAGAATCAATTCCAGACAACAAGCCTTTGGACAAGGGTTTGCACGACGCCTGTTACCTGTACCATATTCTCTGACGACTCTACCAAAAGCTATGACATTCCGCAAGGTTGCGCCCCTTATCGCCAGCAAGAAGGTTGCGACATCGATTACCAAGTGGAACGAGGTCTCGCACGAGTTGCGTTCGGGCCCAAATACTAGTCAACAACCTGCGATGGTGATCATTTCTCCCGAGAGAATCGAAGTGTGGCAATCATTATCTAAGCGATAATCCTTCTATTTAGGCTGCACCTACACCTACGACTACTGCATCGAGTCTACGCACAAGCAGTGGCCCTGTCAAGGTCGCACCAGTCGAAAAAGGACCAGTAGATGATGCGGATCTCGAGTTTTGCATCTTGGAGTCTATGACCTGCTATCTGTGTTCAAGGCAGCTCAAGTCGCAAGATCAACTCAAACGACATGTCAAGGAATCTGATCTACACAAGGCTCGCATGATTTTAGACTTTTTTGCGTTCATTCTCTGACATGCTGTATGCGAAATTGTGGTCATTCATGACAACAGAAGAACCTGGCAAACGAAACACTTCAGCAGACAGCACGCGAAAAGGTGGCGAAGGCGAAAGCCAAGGCGAGTGGTAGTACAGAAACAAAGCCAGTCTACAGAGACCGTGCGTCTGAACGACGCATTATCCATGGACAGCCAGATATCCCACTCCCGGAGCCCGTCACAAACTCTTCCAGCAGCAGCGGTAACCACGGATCAGGCCACAATAGCGGGAAAAAGAGTCGAGATATTCCACCACCTCGCATTCCGACTCCGCCTCCGATTGAACCTGCCAAGGACGAGAATAATATTGGGAACAAGTTGTTGAAGAAGATGGGATGGTCGCAGGGCACGGGGCTCGGATTGAGTGGTGAAGGTCGCGTTGATCCAATGTGAGTTTGCAAGGCTAGTTGGACGATGTTTGGCTGATATGGTCCTGTAGCCAAACAGCAATGTATGCCTCGGGTGCAGGTCTTGGTGCCAGCAAGGGCAAGGATATTACAAAAGTTGCTGGTATGGACTATGCTGGACTTGCAAAAGAATCGGTGAGTGGTTTCTGGGTCATGGAGACGGAAAGTAGAATTGCAGTTGTACAGATTGTGCTGACATCTTTTCCATTCAGGCAAGGGACCGCTACGAGCAATGAGAGGTTATGGAAAGTCTGGTACTATGTATGCGATGCAATCTTACTTGGTTGGAAATTCAGATAAATCAAAGAAAGCATCTTCAGAGGGGTTCCCTACGAAGCATGACAAAGAAGAAAAGGAGAAGAGGTTCTGACGGTTAATTACCGTGGTATCTATGAGTAAAGAGTGGCTGTCCTAGCAAATGCGGGACTAGAGAGATACGCATCATGGGTCCGGTCAGAGTGGGGATTAATAAAGAGGGGGAATTTTGAGAGGCGTTCTGAAGAAAGCGGATCCTGTTTGGGCTTATGCAGCGCCATTACGAGCCAAACGCAAGATTTCGGCGAGCTGGAGGATAGCATTGTTGGCATTATTGAGGTTCTCCGGTGGAGTGCTCGTAGTGGAGGATGGGACCTCTTGCACGGTATTGTCTGGGGTGGAAGAAGACGTGGGGCTGCTCGAGCTCGACGAGCTTGGTGTCGAGGACGAGGAAGGAGGTGGGGAAGACGACGTCGGGGGTGGTTGGGATGTTGTCGGATCGGGTGTCCAGACATAGGTGCTCGTAGGTTGTGGTGGTGGCTGGGGTGGACCTCCAGCACCGACGTACCAGCTGATAGGGATCACACCTTGGCCGAGGTCGCCAAAGACTTGGAATAGACCGGCGCTCAAGTCGAGAGATCCCCAAGCGCATGGTGGGCATTCTGGTTGTTTTGGGTCAGTATAGGTTGGCTGGCTGGCTGGCCGGGACAGCGGAGAATGGGGAACAAGTCCACGTACCATCCCAGACAGTTGCAACAGCTGAACGACCGTTTGCGGAGATGGTAATGGTGTCTCCACAGCGCACGGACTGCGACTCCATTTGAGGCGCATTGAGCGCGACGACCTAGGGAGGGAACTCGGTTATGATGCTGTAAGGATTCATCAATCGATAACTCACATAGTCACCCGGGCTTCTATAACCGCCACAATATCCTCTGGCAAAACCCATCAGTCATTCGCACAGCCTGAAACTCGGTGTGTTACGCACTGTCCGGTGGTGACTAGAGGTATCGTAAGAAAACGTAAAGTAGAAATGATAGGAATAAAACTCACCGTCGTACCAGGTAGCGACACCTGAAAAGTCTCGCTTTCCTAGATTTTGTGTTTCATCCCTGCGGGTGCTGTTCTGGTTGTTGCGAGCAGCGAGCTCGTGATGATGTCTCTTTGCAGGTCTATCGTGGACATCTTTCGCGAGGACCGAGAGAGCGGCGAGGAGGGGGATAGCAAGGATCGACTTCATGACAACGAGCGATTCGAAGGGTCTATATACGCAAGATGTGAGCACGGATGATTACTCGAAGTGTATAGAACACAGATTTCGATCATCCTTTGGCCTTGGCAAGTGCTAAAGTCCGACTTACGGGGCGCGCCTAGAATGTGAGAAGCGACGACCAAGGAAATGCCAAGTAAAGAGCTCGGAGTGAATGAGTGTGGCTAATTAGAGCTGCAGAAAGCGAGCAAACGACGTAGAGAGGGCGTCCAAGGAGCTCGGGGACGGAGATGGCGAGGTACAAGAGGATGTTTGACCGCTCGGGTAGCTGCTAACAATAGAAGGTGTGAGCCTATGTTAATGCCCCCGCAGCATTTTCAGACTAGATTCTACAAAGTATATGATATCTAAAGTATCTAGAAGACTCTAGAAGAGCGTTTATCCGCAGACAGAGGGAGCCCGGTGGTCAGCGGGGTCGGGCTCTCCGGGGTCCTGTGCCACCGAGAGCGCTTTATAAGGGTGGCCGGGATGATGCAAGTGTTTCTTCCCTTCTCTTTCCTCCCACCGTCTGCGTTTCTTATAACCAGCAGCTTACTCACTCTCCACAGCCAGTTCAGGCCCTTCATCGGCCTCTCCGAGTTCTTTTCTTTCTTACTTTTTACTTTCATCACTCGGAAGCCTTTGATGGATTTGTTCCAGCTTTTCTTCGATGCTGTCGTCCCCAGCAGTGTCTCAGAGGACGAGATTGAGCAGCCGTCGAGCCACGAGGTGCGTCATCGATTATATCCTAATTCTATATTCTCATTCTAACCATCAAATATATATGTAGGAAGCGCAAGCCGGTGGTCCTGCGGTACTCTACTGCGTCGTCGCCTAATCCTACGACTCGCTCTTACCGTTCAGTTTTTGCTCTTGGTCTCAGGCTCTTGCTCCTCAGAGTCTGGGTCCTTGATGCCCCTCCTTTTACGACACCAGAATGCAGTAATGGAACTCGTTGCTCATGTTATGTTCCCCACGACCGTTGCACGACTGGACAACAAATCCCAACTCCTCGTCAGGAAACTCATTCTCTTTTCGCCTTTTTGCTACCCCCCGTTCGTGACATTTCCCTCTCTCGCTGCGCAACCAAAGGATCCTTCTATGCGTCGAATGCCAAATCCACCAGAGATCGGTGGTGTGTATATGCTCTCTATGCAAGCGAGCCATACCCCTCGGGCCTAGTCATTTACAAAAGTACTGGACACGCGTCGTAATGGACTCAAAACGTCTCTCGATACCATTTCGTTCGTTGTACTCTACTTTTCGGGCCCTTGGCGATGCTCCTTTGCCCACACCACTAATTCGACCCTCCCTTTTGTCTCTGTTCTTCTTCTCCTCTCTCCCCCTCTTACTCTTTTCTTCTTCATCATGGGAAAAAGCTCAAAGAATTGGAACAGTGTAGTGTACAGTGATGTGTTGGTGAATGCTACGATCTTTGTAGGTCGTTAATACGCGCCCGACGTAAGAAATTTTATTCCTCTATAAAGTAAGAGCTCAAGCAGAGCCATTTTCGTATGCGGTTCATCGTCCGTCTCCAGCGAGTCGAGCTTGGTGTGCAGACAATGTCAATGCGCGAGACAACCAATTCGAAGTCTCCACTCTGCTTGCCAAAGTTGCTTCGGCACATGAGTCCAATCTCGTAAATGCGCTGGGGATCGAATGGCCGCCAATGTGGGTCACCCCGCTTCACCTCTCGACCACGGTACGTCGGGACAAAGGTATCCAATGGAAGAACTATTTCAGGAGCAGAAGAGAGTGTAAAGGAGGCTTCGTAGACGAGTTGCGACCTCGGTTTGGGCTGCGAGCGTGGTGGGGGAGGTTGCGTTTTGAGTGTGACGACAAAGTCTGAGGGAGTATTTGGTGACGAATGCGAGATGGGTACTATGGATAGTCTAATGCAGCTCTTGCCTGTGTCGACTTTTCCTGGTTCAAAGGGCTTGTCGAATTCAAACTTTTGCGAAGCAAAGCCTGCACCTCCGAGTACAGTGATATCTGGAAAAGGGTCAACGGTGTCCCTGGAACAGTTCTGAAGACTCTTACCCAAATGGCCGTGAAATGACGCGCCCGTTTGATGTCCATTAGGATCTTGCCACGATGTCAAGTATGAAATGGAAGCTCCTCCGCGTACAGAGTCGTCTACTCTCTTCCAATTGTCGAATTGCCACGGAGGGAACAACGTCACTGCGCTGGCCATGAATGCGATCCTAATTAGACGCCTTTGCCGACTAAAACGCGTGATTTGAACGTGTTCTATACGTATTCTGATTTTTCCTGGATTTCGCGGAGATGGGAGTCGGAGCTCAATCGTTGTTTGCGCACACTTGCCTTTGGCGTCGACGGACAATTCCAGCGGGCGTCACCCTTTCTCGCCTCGTGAGCCCTCACTCAGCACTCTAACACGCTTCATTCTCGTCTTTGAATCGTCCTGGTAAGTAGTTGGAATTCATCCTCGCCCAGTTTCCATCTACGCCCATTCCCCCATCCCCCTCGCGTCAGATCCTGAAATCATCTGGCTGATCACGTGTATTTCTTCGCTTTATCATACTATCTACTGCTCTACAATGCGCTCCTCGTCGCCAACAACATGCTCAACACGCCTTCCTCGACGCGTCTGGTGCTCCAAATGGGACCCTCAATCGACGTCAACGCATAATCACTCCCATTGGCGCCAACGGCTCTTGGTCATTGCAACATTGCTACATCACTGCAGCTCCACTCTTGCTCAACGGCTCAACATTTTCGGCTGTCTGGAGTGATCTTGTAGGAGAGTGAAAGAGCGCCCGTGCTCAGGTTTCCATCAGCCACCGCCCAGCAACACAACCGAGCGGGTAAGTCGAGACCGACCTCAATTGAGTTGTTTGGCAACTGGCCGGAATTTCCGATGTTGGACCTCGACTGACCGACTTGGACACACTCCAGGATAACCCTTGTTGCGTGTGTTGCATCGCTCCTCACAGCAAATAGCAACAGCTGCCACACCGGACACGAGACAAACCGACGCGCACCAACAGTCTTCCAACACCCCTTTTTATACATGTCCAACCTGTTCAACACACTTCCCCGCCATCCAAGCGTCCTCGGTCTTTTCCCTCCTCAGACATACGGCCAGCACGATGCAGACGATTCCTTCGACTTGCCCGACGCGTCGTTCGATGTACCACACGGTCACCCGGATGCCAAAGGCGACTTGAGCTTTGCGTCGACAGCCTCGCTCTCCTCTCCGCTATCTCCACCCGCTTTTCAACACATGGAGTCGTCACCATATGGAATGGACATTTGCTCGCCCTCGCCCGGCCATCCCAACTATGGGAAACGAATCGTCGTTCAACCCAGGGTCGAAGAAAGTGCATCAAAAGTGTTTGGGGACCCGAGCAAGGACTTTCTCCTTCCACCCCGCAACATGAACCCACCGGGGACCCTCTTGAAAAAGCTGAGGGACGTCTCCGACACGAATTTTAGCCCCATGAGCGTCGGTTCCCAGCGGAGTGGTCCAACGAATAAAAGCACCGGAAAAGTCTCGAGCATCAAGAGTACCAATAGTATTCGAGATGCCGACACTGCGGGCAAGCTCCGTGGTCGGTCGAGGGCGGCTTTGCCATCGGCTTGGATGCAGCAAACTTCGCGAGACTCGCGAAGTGGACTATTCTCACCTATGGGTGGAATGTCGCCTCCGAATGAGACCGAAGAGCCTGGAGACGTGTTGATGGAGGACGCCATGGACATTGACTCCCCCCTTGCTTCACGTGGACCTCCGAGGGCAGAGCTCAAACCCCGACCTCTTTCTTTGTTCATTCCGACGTCCACCGAACCACTTGGATCGGTGTTTGCACAGCAAGGTTCCCTCGAAGACAGTCCCTCTCCCGCCGTGTCTGCTCTTCCGAAAGACGGAGACGGTCTTGGTGCTCATTTTTACGACACTCCAGAACCTGAATCACGTTCTCTCAATCTCTTTGGTGCAAAGCCAATCAATCGCAGTCGCTCACCTTCACCGTTTGGCGCCCGAGATTCAAGTCCAGTCGCCAGCCCCTCAGCGGCCAAATATGAACGGTGTTTGAGTGCTGGAATTGTTCCGTCGTCGTCTTCAACTTCGCTGCTTAGTGCCTTTGCGACAAATTCACGCTCAGGCTCTAACAGTGGGCCGTTGAGTGCAAACCCCATCTCGCAACAGAGTCGTACCAAAACGACACTGGCCACTCGAATCCCATCTTTGAAGAACAGAGCCCTTCGTCGACCGGGTCTTTCTACCCTTGTTGGACAGGAAGAAGTCTACAGCGACAATGCGCCGCCCTCTCGAAGGATGGCAACTCTTCAGCCACGACGCGTTGTGAGCGCGTTTATCCCCCCAGAAAAATTCGACATGCGAAGTCAGCCGAGCCAAGCGGGTGTCGCCCGACCACGACCGGGTGGCGGGCTCGCGAAAAACAGGGTAGTGTCAATGTTGGTGCCCTCAACGGCGCCACTTGACGGTGAAGATGATCGTGACGGGATGTTCGACAGTCCTAGCGCCCGCGTCGGTGCTGGTCATCGACGGTTGCGGAGCAATGGTGGCAGTGGTGGTGCTCCAAAGAGCGCGTTCCCTGGAGGTAGCTTGAGAAGCCGAGGGCCTGCACAGCTGGTGAGGACGATTGGTGATCACGACCCTAGTCCGATCCGACCATTGTTGCCGTTTGGAGATGGCGAGCATTCGGGCAAGATTTTGCCTTGTCATAGCGTAAAGGATGACGGACTTATGCGGATTACGCCCACGACGATGCAGGCGCTCCTTTCGGGCGCATATGATGCACATATTGCGTCGTATCAGATTATCGACTGTCGGTTTGGGTTCGAGTACGAAGGAGGCCACATTCGAGGCGCCATCAATTTGAACAAGGAGGAGGATATCGAGCGGTTCCTCTTTGAAGAAGCAGCTAAACGAGGGAGGCTCCCCCCACCTTCGCAGAGTGGTACGCCCGGAGTTCGACAACCGATCCTCATCTTTCACTGCGAGTTTTCTGCTAAACGTGGCCCTACTTTGTACGTACCTATTTCTGGTCAGAGTTACCCGTTCTCACATTGGTTTGCAGTGCAAAGCACTTCCGTGCAAAGGATCGTTCCAAGAATGCACAACACTACCCGAAACTTCATTATCCAGAGCTGTATATTTTGGAGGGAGGCTATTGCTCCTACTATAGTGCTTATCCTGTGAGTAACGATGGTGTGTTGCATATGTCAAACTCAACACCTCCCAGGAAACATGCGAACCACGTGGATATGTACAGATGGATGCTCCACAATTTAGCCATGCACGAGCTGCAGACCTCGGACAGTTTAGAAAATGGAGTCGCGTTCGCAGTTATACCTATGGAGACAACCAACCACAACCACCACAGCCCAAGATTGGCTTGGGCATCACAACGTCTCAGCCGTCTCTGGTCGAGTCGAATTCATTCCAACGTGGCCCGTCAGGAGTCCCCGCCCGTCAGCACACGGGCTCTCAGAGGAAGGTTGACAGCTTTTATGAGCTGCAGACACTGGAAGAGCAGCACGATATGTCGGAGGAGACGCGACTTGATGGTCTCGACGGATCCCCTGCACCTACTCCCACCCAAGAGGAAGACTTTGGTTCTGACGCGGCTAGTCAGGGTAGTCTTCCCGAGGGAGATGACGCTCAAGAGGAGCAATACTATGATGCGCTCCAGGGTTCATATGAGGAGGAACCCGCAGAGAGTCAGGTGGTAGAAGAGTCTCAAGAGCAAATCACTAGTGAAGACGAGGACAACTTTGACGACATGGGTCATGTTGACTCTAGCCCCTGCGTCACGGCCGAAATGAAGCGCCAGAAGAGTCGTGGGCGCCAGTTGCTCGAACGCACGTTTAAGCCACTCTCTTTCGGCTTGTCTCTTCACCCTCATGGACATTCTCGTGTCTGAGGGCTGCTACGCGTATGGCCAGTCGAGCATTGCAGCCGCGCGGTGCTTTGATATACCCGGAAACTCCAACGAACAATTCACCTCGATGACCGACTCATAAATTGTATTCTCTACGATATCTAAGGCATTCAAGTGTCTTCGGATTCAGCATCTGCCCACACCTCTCAATCTATCCGCCCTGTGTGCTCTGCACATTAGGGCATTCATTCAACTCTTTCATGATCGCTACGAGGAATCAAGATCAGCTGATATGCAACTCAGTCCTGCACAATGATCGGTCCTTTTAAAATTTTGCCAACATTCTCATTCCACAATCTCGCTCGCCTCTCGTACATCGACAATCCCTCATGGTGCTTGGCGGTCAAACCGCCTATATTTCTGGTCGAAGGTGCCATGCCTTTCCTAGGGTCGACGTCCAAGAGGCGAACACGAAAGTGCTTGTTTACTTGACAACTATCTATCGTTGTGTTTTGAATCCCCTGACGGACTCAATATTGGCAGAGCTTTATCCATATCATCCACAATGTAATCCGTCACCTCCTGCCCGTTGTCTGCTCTTTGAGCAGGCCTCGTTGACCACATTGCACGTCCTCTGCCATCATTATCACAAAACATCGCCATTTTCATAGACATCTTTGACTGTTTCCGTACATCTGGCTGGAGCTACAACAATAAAACGTCTTGGCAAAGCAAACGAATGATTGTGCATAAGGCATTGCTCATGAAACTAAATACACAATAAGGTTACTTAGAACTAAGGAAGTACCGAGAGAGTATACGCTGTTGTGGGTAGAACTGCTGCGGCTCGTCCCACTGCTATTGTCATTGGGTGTAAGGCTACTCGAAGCTATACTAGCCGAGCCCCCGCGGTTGGTCGGATTGGATGCCGAATTGAAAGCTTGGCCATGAATGGACGCGGTGTTTGTTGCTCCTGACCCACTGTGTTCACTCGAATACTCGGAGTCCCGTACGATGGTTCCGGGCAAACCTTGTCCACCCAGTTGAGGGTTGCCATTTGGTGCATCACTGTTGCTGGCATTTATTTCACCGTTAGAACCGCCTACGGCACTCCCAGTCGGCATAACACCAGTTGGACGGGGCGGCGCTGCAAAAGAAGGATCTGGGCCAGGTTGAGCGCTTACACTCGGCCTCAATCCCAGAGGTACTGTTGGAAAGATTGTAGTTGGTTGGCCGTCAATCGTAGCCACCATTGCCGTCGTCCTCTGGGGTCCACTTCCGACAGTTGTATAACCATCAAACTTGACCGTGGATGAAACCTAATTGCCGTGTGAGTGCCAGTGTAAGAAAGACTTGCCTCGCACTTACGGTCGGTGGCTTTGGAGTGTGACCTCCGATAGAACCCAGACAACCCGTCCCTGGCTTTCGTTCAAGGTTTTGAACCCCTAAGTGTGAATTAGCTAATGATAACGAGAGGCTTGTGATTGTCACTCACAGGCCATTTCGCTAGTACCCGTGGCATCTTCAATTCGAATTCTTGTCAAACCACGTTGTTTCCTGCCTAGGCGCATGTCTTGGTCTGAAGATGAATTAGGATTATTTGATGATTATCTCGGCGAGAGAAACTCACCACCCAATTGTACTATAGCTACGGGGCCGTACGACCGCTGAGTAGAAACTATATATTCGTATGTATAGTCGCTAAAGGTTTGGCCGGGTTCCAGGAGCATATAATAAAGGGTATACGGTGACACACCACCCGCCCAACGTACGCAGATAGGGTTGCAGTATATCACTGGGCCATGCGCATAGAGAGAAAGTGTCGATGTAGAATTCGGCGGTGATAGTAAATTGGCAGATTCAGCAGGTGGGCAGGGCCAACTGTTATCACCATCTACCTCGTCGAAAGACGGGTCTTCCTCTTCAATGGTTCCCGTCGGTTGCGATTCCGTGTTCGAGTCGTCTATCCGTGCGTGGAGGGCGGGGAATGTGCGCTCAGGCAGCAGAATGGTCGCCAAAGCCTCATTTTGCTCCGATATACTTGTTGGAGTACCATCATGAGCATGGGCTGGATGTACACACGAGAAGAGCACCGCAAAGAAAAAGCATACAAGTGCTGCACAGTGCATCCTGCTCGGAGGTCGGAAAGTCGTGACAGAAAGTCTCGAATGAATCCATGGCATGTTTTTGTATGCAAAATGGCGTATAGATCTGGGCGTCATTGGGTCCAAAAGGGATTCCCTTCGGTGATTCCTTGCTCAGTCAGGGCATTAAAGTCCATCCATGTGCTCTCAACGCGCCTGTTGTCGGGTTGCAAGCGGTTGCGCACGGCTTCCCTTGATGCGACGGTCTGACACGCCTGGTCCCTGCTTTACCCCTGCCTGTAATGGACAATCATACCAAGGACAATTTTGCGTTCATTTTACCCTGAGAATTGGTCAGTGGTTGTCGTCCATGTTCGGAGGCTGCCAGTGAGGGGGAAACCAACTTGCGAGGTGACACCAAATATTCGAGAGCAAGACAGTATAAAGTTACCAATATCGCAAGATCCGGAAATCAATAGAAGTATCATTTGAATAGATTACTCAGAAGTTGCTCCGTGTAGTTTCGCTTGAAGCCTCAGACATTTCCAGTCGAGGATAACTAATTACTTCTGCATGTTCTCTTTCTCAGTGAACATCAATCTCGTAGTCATCATTTCAGAGGGTTTGGGCATATCAAACGAATGATTGTACTTGAGACATTGCCCATGAAAGTATGTACACGAGAAGGTCACACCTAGGGGGTTCAAGTACCAAGTGTGTGCATGTCAGAAAAAGTGGACCTGGGAATCCGACTTGCGGCGGCGTTTCTTGCGATGAAGGAATAAGGCAAACCCTGCGCAGGCTAGAACCGCCGAGACTAGTAAGGCAACAATGAGAGCAAACACCCGCTTGGAGAGCTTCATAACAATATAATCATTCTTTCCAGAGCCAGTTCTAGGAAATACCATTGAGCATATACAAGAGGTAGAGGGACGAAAACACTCACTGTTCAGTAGCATTTGCAACACCCACAACAATAGTGGAAGAGGATGACAAAGCATTAATGCTCATGACTTCGTCCCTATGAACTGTGCTTGAAGCTTGACCATCTATTGTGTTGCGGATAGAACTGTTGCGGCTCGTGGCACTGACGCCGCTGTTAGACACAAAGCTCCTCGAAGTTCCGTCTGTCGAGCTTCCCTGGCTGCTCGGATTTGAAGCCGAGTCGAAAGCTTGGCCACGAATAGGCCCGGTGTTTGTTGCTCCTGATCCACTTTGCACACTCGAATGTCCAGAACCCTGTACTATGGTCCCGGCGTGCCTTGTCCGCCTGATTGAGAGTTGCCATTTGATGCAGGGTTGTTGTTGACATTCACTTCCCCGTTTGAACCGTGCACGATGGACCCACTCTGCATGCCACCAGTTGGACGCGGCGGCGCTGCAAGAGAAGGATTCGGACCGGGCTGAGCGCTCAATCCTTGGATGACGGTTGGGAAAATTGTCGTTGGCTGACCATCAATCGTGGCCACCATTACCGTCGTAATCTGAACTCCACTTCCTACAGTAGTATAATCATCAAACTTAACTGTTGTTGGAATCTGACGGACGTGTGAGTACCAGCCTGGGGAGAATCGCGTTGTACATACGGTCGGTGGCTTTGGCGTGTAACCTCCAATTTCGAATGGGCAACGCGTTCCTGGCACTAGTTCACGATTTTGAACCCCTGTAAGCGGTTTAGCTGACGATAAAGAAGGGCAGGCGAAGGTCACCCACAGGCCATTGCGCTAGTTCCAGTGGCGTCTTCAATTCTAATTCTTGTTAACCCACGCGGTCGTTTGCCATCTCGCATTTCTTTGTCTAAAGCTGCGTCAGGACTGATGACCAGCCGAAGGGAGGAACTTACCGCCCAACTGCACTATAGATATGGGACCGTATGAATTCTGCGTTGAAACTATATGCTCATATGTATAGTCACTGAATGTTTGGCCTGGATCCAGGAGCATATAATAAAGGGTATACGGTGACACGCCACCTGCCCACCATACGTTGATAGGACTGCAGAATGACACTGGACCATCCGCATAGAGAGAAAGGGTTGATGTAGAATTCGGTGGCGATGGTAAATTGGCAGAGGGAGGAGGAGGATAGGTCCAAGTATAATTGCTGCCATCTACGGGAGAGAGTGTAGGATCTGGAGTCCCCCATCCATCCACAGGACCACCTGAAATGGTCGAGGTTGGAGCTTCAGTCAAAGTTGGAATGTCATTAGCCGACGACAATTCCTTTGTTAAGGACTGCTCGGGTATGGTGTTGGGAAGAGTGCAAGTCGAGAATGGCCCGAGTGGTGTTGTGGTGGTTTCCGTCGGTTGCGATTCCATGCTCGAACTGTCGTCCAACTGCGAGCTGAGGGTAAGGAATGGACACTCAGGTGTTAGAGCGGTCGTCGACGACTCGCTTTGCTCCGACATGCTCATCGAAGCATCGTTCTGAGCGTTGCCCAGACGTATACCCGAGAGGAGCATCGCGAGAAGATAATAAAGGAGCGTTGTACGGTGCATCCTGCTCGGGGGTCGTATTCGTTACAAGTCGTGACAAGGGTTTTCGAATTAATCCATGTCAGGTATTTATCACCGTGGTGGTCTATGGATCTAGATGGACCGGGCGTCGTTGGGTCCGAACGGGTCCCATACGGTAATCCCTTGGACAGTCAGAAGAGTCAGGGTCCAACCACCCTCTTGCATAGGATTATCTCAAAGCGCGCTTTTCGTCGGGTTGTAACCGGATATACGGCTTTTCTTCTTCAATAGTGAATGTTGGGCATTCTGGCACCCAGCCCTGGGTTGGACAGTCACACCAAGGTCAATTTGCGTCTATTTCAACTTTGAGAATTGACCAACGGTTGTCGTCCATACTCGACAGGCTGCCAGTAACGATGGAAGGATTCAACCTGCAGGGCAACACCAAACATTGCCATATGGTACAATGTATCTCCAACATTACGGACGAGTGTGCTAAAGGTGCATCCAAAGCAGATAGTTTCGATTTTGTCCCATAATGGCTATCATCCCTCTGATGATTTCCTTACATCTGGCGGGAGCTACGAAAACAACAACTTTTGGTATATCAAACAAATGGTCGTGCATGAGGCATTGCTCATGAAACTAAATACAAGATAAGATTACACGAAGGTCAAGTACCGAGGAATGCATATCAAAATAAGTGATCATGAGATTCCGATCTGCGGAATCTTTTCTTGCGATGGAGGAAAAAGGCGAACCCTGCACAGGCTAGAACCGCAGAGGCGAGTAGGGCAACGGTGAGCGCAAACACTCGCTTGGAGACCTTCACGACGATGTAATTTTCATTTCCAGAGCCATTTCTGGGAATCATTGTTTAGCGTATGCAAGAGGTAGGGGACGAAAACACTCACTGTTCAGTAACGTTTGCAACACCTGCAACAATATTAGAAGAGGAGGAAGAAGCACTACTGCTCGCTGGTTCGTCACTGCGAATGATGCTCGAAGCTTGGTCGTCGGTTGTGCTTGACTGGCTTGTATTGCGCAGAGAACGGCTGTGGCTCGTTCCACTGACGTTGCTATTATTGCGTGTAAGGCTATTCGAAGCTACGCTTAAGCTTCTGTGGCTACTAGAATGGAGGGCCGAGTTGGGAGCTTGACCATGAATGGACCCTGTACTTGTTGATCCTGATCCGCCAGTTGCAATCGAATGAACAGGACCTTGCACGTCGGTTTCGGGTGCGTCCGCCCCACCTGGTTGAGGATTTGATGTAGCGTTGCTGGATACTGGCGTGTTTCCATTGAAAGAATTGCTGCCACCTGGTGTGTTCCCACCTGGCGTACCGCCACCTTCACTGTTGACATTCACGTCACTACCCGCACCATGTACGACTGGCCCACTCTGCATGCCACCAGTTTGCCGAGGCGGCGCTCCCGACCCGGTGGAGACATTTGGGCCAGGCTGAGCAACGTCACTCGGTTTAGTTCCCTGGATGACATTTGGGAAGATTGTCGTTGGTTGGCCATCAATCGTGGCGATCATCACTGTTGTCAAGTGAGTTCCGCCCCCGACAGTGGTATAGTCGTCAAACTTGACGGTAGACGCGGTCTAATTCCTATGTAAGTATTTGCACCTAGTAGACGAGCCTCGTACTTACGCTTTGCGGTGGCTTCGGGGTGATTGCTCCGAAAACGGCTCCACAAGGGAGGTGTAACTCTGGTTCGAGATTTTGGACCCCTGAAATGGGTTGAGATGAGAATGGTCAAGGGTCAAGGTTTACTCACAAGTCATTTTGCTAGTACCGGTGGCATCTTCAATTCGAATTCTTGTCAAACCACGCCGTTTTTGGCCCATTTGCATATCTGAATCTGATGATCTGTTAGGACGGTTTCATCATCCACAGAGGGAAGACTTACCACCCAATTGCACTATATAGATAGGACCATATGACGCCTTTGTAGTAACGGTATACTCGACCGTATAGTCGTTGACAGTTTGATTCGGTTCCAATAGCATGTAATAAAGGCTGAAGGGTGAAACACCTCCAGCCCACCATACATTGATGGTCTTGCAGTATGTCACTGGTCCATCGGCGTAGATGGAAAGAGTTGATGCAGAACTTGGGGGCGTCGGTAGATTGGCAGATGGAGGAGGCGGAGTGGACCATGTATTGTTGTCGGGTACCCAGGAACTCCATTCATCGAGGGGCATAGGTGTGGGATCCGTAGTCGACTCGTTACCCGTCCCTTCGTCCAGAACAGTCAAGGGTAGGTCGCCATCAGTCGACCAAAGAAGGTCGTGCTCATCAATGGTTAGGGTAGGCAAGTAAGTAGGAACGAATTGGGGTGGTAAAGTGATTGTGGACGTTTCTGTGGTTTCCGTTGGCAGTGATTCTGTAAACGAGCTGAGGGCAGAAGATGGGTCTTCAGGCACTGAAATGGTCGTCGTGGATTCGCTTTGCCCCAATGTACTTATCGAAGCATCGTTCTGAGCAGTGCTCAGATGCACATACGAGAGGAGCATCGCAAGAAGAGAGTAAAGGAGGGTTCCGCGGTGCATCCTGCTCGAGGGGTTGTATTCGTTGCAAGTCGTGACAAGGAAACTCGAACCAATCCATGCCAGGTATTTATCTACGTAGTGGCGTATGGACCTGGCCGCTATAGATGGACCGGCCATCGTTGGGTCCGAGCGGATTCTGGGCGGCAAACCCTTGCTCGTGAGGGAGTCGAGTATGCGCCGCCATCATCTGAATAGGATTTTTGCTCTCCTCTCCTCGTCGGGTTGTAGACGGCTGCACGGCTTTTTGGCGTCGATGGTTGACGACGAGGCGTCGCGCCCGGTACTGGCACCTAGCCCGTGGTGCGCAATCAAAGTCACCTTATGCTCACTCCTGTCTTTAGACTTGGTCAACGGTTGTCGTTCCTAGATGGTTGACGTTTCTGCGCCCCGCTCCTCTCGGTACTGGCACCCAGCCTGCAATAGACAGTCAGAGGAGTCATATTGCGCTCATTATCACATCGTAGGATGGTCCCCATGCGCGTTCGACAGGCTGCCAGTAACGGGCGGGAGGAGCCAACCTGTATTTTCTATTTGTACAAAATGGATACAGTATAACGTTACACATATACATGCAAATATTACGGTGCAAAGGGATCAAAAGAGTGTACGTCCAAATCAGACTTGTGGATTCTCCTCTTGCGGTACCGATAGGTGGCGTACCCAGCACACGCTATAACGGCACAAACCAGCAGTGAAATGACGACAGCGAACACTCGCTTGGAGATCTTCACGACAATATAGCTGCTATTTCCAGTCGAGATGTTCCTGGAAGCGCTGTCAGAATACATCCCTTCAGGTCTGATTAGACTCACCTGTCACTAGCATTTGTAACTCCTTGATCAACGACTTGTAGGGAGGTATGTTGCGAGGGAAGACTACTGCTCGTAGTCTGCCTGCCACTGGAACCGGTCTGGGCACTTGAAGTACTGGCGCTTCCGGTGGAGATACTGTCACCCGCTGTCCCGCTATATTCGCTCTCGGTAGATTCCGTAGTGTTGATTGTACTTTCACCAGTGCTCGCTGGCTTGTTTCCGAGACTCGAAGTGCTGGACCCAATGCTGGCCAGTCCTTGGAGAGTACTCCCATTCAAAGTCGAATATGCACTGCTATGTCCACTGGGCACTGTTGGAATGGAGCTTCCATTTGAGCCACTACCACCGCCCAATGTTTCACTACTCGGTGTATTGGTGTTAGAATTGCCATTCAGGCCATGGACGACGCTTTCGCTTGCCACGTTACTAGTTGGCTGGGGAGGTGCTCCTGAATTGGCAATGATATTGGCTACGCTGGCCCCTGGTTGCATACCAGTCGTCGGTATCTCCTCCGATGTAAATGTTGGTATGATTGTCGACCGCGTGCCATCGATTGTAGCAATGAAAGCCGTCGTTGGTTCTGCTCCAGGCTCGGTGGTAGGAAAGGTGATTAAAGGAGGCTTGACAGTCGTGGCATCCTATTCATTGAATCAGCAGCGATCATGAGATACGAATTAATGCACTCACCATTACTGGCACCGGAGTACTCGGGGGTGAACTACCACCAATGGGGAACGTACAAGGGAAATATACCCGGGGGACTGTGTTGCTGAACCCTATGAACGCTTTAGATTCACGTATTGATAACCTAATTTACGACTGACATGTCATAGTATTTTCATTTGTGGAATCTTGAATCCGTATTCTAGTTAGACCACGCGTCTTTGGATCTGCAGAAAGTGAGAAACGGCTGAGCCATTGCATTGTAAACTGACCTCCTAATTGCTTTATACGAATAGGCCCATACGACCGCTCTGTGGATACGTAGTATTCTGTTGTATTCGCGTCGATATCTTCGATGCTTTGATTGACAGTCAAGGGCATGTAATAAATTACGAACGGCCCAACTCCACCCGCCCACCATACTTCGACAGGGTCACACGGGGCGACAGGACCGTTGGTAATGATGGAGAGCGTCGCGGTGGCGTTGGGCTGGGATGGAAAGTCGGCACCAGCTGGAGGCGGTTTGCTCCAGGTGCCATTAGACTGCCAGGGTTCGTGAGCCACTAGCGACGAAGTACTGAACGTTTCATTGGTCCCAGAAGATGCGATTTCAGGGTTGATGATTGGAATATCATCGTCGCTGGAGTGAATTTCATTGCTGCCACTCGGGTGCCAGTCAATGTAGGTAAAGTTGTCCGCCGATGTAGAAGTGGAGGTTGGTAGACTTGGTGAGGAGGTGATCGTTGACCAGTTGCTTGTGTCTGTGGACTCTAAAGGAGTGGTCGGCTGCCCTCTGAGCTAAATGAGGAAGTATCCGTAGATTGTAGTGTGCTCGTCGACACATCGGTTGACTCCAATGTGCGTATGGAAGTGATATTCTGAGCCCCGCTCAGACGTGTGAGAGAGAGGAAGAACAGGTAGAGCAAGGTGGCCGGATGCATTGTAGGGGCTTTCTGAGTCTCCACAACTGACTTGGAATCACATTTTCCCGTCTGTTTATCTACCCCGAATCGGATTTTGGGTCACGTAGGCGGACCGGCGAGAGAGCGACCGGCGGGTCCTCTACGGCTAGTCCATATCGCCTCGTAGGCTAAACAACCTAGTCGAAACTACACAGCTGCCCTCTTGAATACAACTCATTGTCATCATCTAGGTCTCGGATTGGGACCGGCTACACGGCTACACGGGCAGACAGTCGATTTCGTCCGGCGATAGTACCAAAGCCTAGTGAACAGTATTGAAAAGTAAGAATAGACATCGTAGTAGATGATAAGAATGTCGCTTTAACGGTTATCTGGCCAATGAAGCAGGGTCCAAGATCCATCCAATGACTCTCATATTCAATGTGACAGGAGATGACTGAACAAAATGCTGGTGGTTGTAGATAGACATAAGATACATGCCATAGAGGCGGTCATACTATGATACCTTTGTTAAATATAATGCACGATTTCATGGTCGTAGACGCCATCTGGAATAACCTCGAGCCCTTAGGTGAGAGGAGATGTCAGTAGACTAAGGCTTTTGGGTCGTCTTTTCGCCTTCTTCCATCGTAGATAAGCCAGGGGTCCAAGGAGAGCAAGAACGGTGAGCGTCGTTCCTAGTATTACTGCAAGTGCTTGCTTTGACAACCGGATAGGGTTCTGTCCGTCAGCGGAAGAGTTGCGCAGACTAAGCACCAAGGCCTCAGAGTATGAATAGATGTACAAAGAATGTACTCACGGCGCTGAATTACTAGGCTGCTGAGTCGCAGACTCGACGATAGTGGCAACCGTTACTCCGCTGACGACTGAGTATCGTGTTCCTCCTGAATGACTCCCTGAAGATCCAGAGGGAGGGAGGTGATCTGAGTTGCCATTACCAGGTGAATCGCCTTCATTTGTCTGTAATGGTAGCATGGAGTTGGAACCACTCCCTCGAGCAGACTGGGCATTCTGGCCCGTCGCACTCGGTGACACCTGTTGCGTCGATATACCAGAGCTGCCTCTCACATTAGGAGTAGGAGTAGGGCCAAGAGGATTATCGACTACTGAAGGATCGGGTAGAATTGAGTTCGGCGCCGGTGAAGGCCCATTCGATTTAGTTGTTGGTTTGTCCTGTAGGTATTGAGAAATTGTTCAATATCCCTCGATCACATACATCATTGGAGGAAGGTCCATGTGGTTCAAAAGCACACGCGAATGCACCGGGATCTCCAGTAATGGTTGTCCCTAGAACGCTCAGTGGGGGTACGGTGAGACGAAGTTGCGTACAGAGACTCGTAGTGGCGTTTGTAGCGTCCTGTAAGCGAAATCGTATGCTGTCACCGGGGTTGACTAAAGAGACAGGCATCTATGAGCATGTAACCGTCCTCGGGGCTCAGTACATACCAAAATTCATCGTGAAGTCGACCGTTTGATCTGTAGTTGTATAAAACTCTATCTCGTCCCCGCCGAGCGTATCTGTGCTAGGGTCGCCCAAAGCCGTGAAGATTGTGAATGGTTCTTGACCTCCAGCCCACGAAAGATGGATAGAATCGCAGAAATTTGCGGTTTGTGGGCCTCTGAGAATGAGTGACTGAACATCTTGCTGTGCGCCATCCTTCTGGCCGTTGACTGTCCATACGAGCGACCACACCAGCAGGTGTAGCGGTAGTGAAAGCATGGGGAGAGAAAGAGTCGCATAATTGAGCCCGAGACGAGATAGCCATGGCTACGTTGGTTCAGGGCCCGCGCTTCCAGGTTCATAAGTGTTTTGTTCCCATCTTTCACAATTTCACAAGTGTGAACATTAGTCCACATGCTTTGATATCAAATCTGCGATAATGTCGGAGATGAACACTTCAACGTTTCCAACGTGCAGAGTGTAGTATAAATCATAAGTTTATACGGGTTATACGGAATTAGAAAGCGGTGTTAGGTGGCAGTAAATGCGCGCTTGGTGGGGGCCAACTCTTGGTCCCGACCGCTTGTTTGCTTTGGAGCTCACCCCCCTTCTTTGTCCACAAAATCTCCACCAGCTTATCCAGCATCTTCACAAAAAACTTCGTATAAAATGCTGACTACAAGCCTTCTTACGATCCTTTCCGCCTTTGCCCTCGTCCGTGCCCAAAACACGACGAACAACCCTCAGCTCGAGGTTCAGTCCATCGACGCTCAGTTTGACAATTCGTATCTCGTCCCGGACCTCCTTGCAAGCTTTGACCCACTTGCATTCCTCACCGTGTCCTACGGCGGTCAACCCATCAGCGCTGGCACTCTTCTCCCTGTCAATGGTGCGTGTAAACGTTGTTTCAACGTCCTGAAACGATTGGTTCGTCTACGCGGCACACGGCTCGCCGTAGGCGCTGTGCCAAGCCAAACGGACGTATCGACGGACAATTTCCTGCGTCGTGGATTGTTAACAAATGGCTAACTTGTAGCAATTTCTAGACACTCAGGCAGTTCCTACTATCACCATTACGCCAGCAAACTCCTCCGTGTCGCTGGGTGACCTTTTCGTACGTCGAGCTTGCATCAAAATACTTTGCCAACTAATTATTGTCCAGACCCTTGCCATGGTCGATCCAGGAGCGATTGGCAAACTCTCCACGCCCGGACCTACACGCCATTGGCTCGTTAACGGTGTCACCATCGGCGCGAACGGCGTGCTTTCTGTCCCCCAGACGGCCATAACTGCCTATGGAGGTGAGTTTTTCGGTGATAGGAGAGTCTCGGGTTTACAATTTCCATAGCCCCATATCCCGATGAGGCCGATGCTCCTCACCGCTATGCCATCCTCTTGTGGCAGCAGCCTGCGTCTTTTGCGCCTCAAGGTGACCTTGCGAACCCTGGGCAGCCCATTACGCAATTCGACCTTAATAGCTATGTTTCGGTGAGTAGAATCGAGGGTGGTGTAGCGAATGTGGTAGACTTCGATGTTGGAAGTTGATCACAGTACCCACACTTGTACTCAAGCCTATCCCCATTCTCATACTGACTTTTTTCTTCTCAGTCGAGCGGCCTTGGCCCTGTTGTCGCCGGATGGTATGTGGCTTTCGTCCTCCATGATCTTCCTTGTTTCTAACGCGCTTCAAGGTACTTCACTTGTACACGTGGAGATGCTGTCGCGCCAACTATTACATCTGCTGTCGACATTCGCACTCTCCCCGCCTACGCAGCTGGTACCGCTTCTGGATCTTCCCACTCTGCTTCCGGAACCCATACAAGCACGGGATCGCCAAACGGTGCCCTCAGCTCGATCTCTTTCAAGCCTGTGACCGCACTTGCTGGCGTTGCTGCCGCCATTTTCAGCGTCGCCTTCTTCTAGGCCGTGCACACCGAGGAGGATGGACAGTTGTGTCGTTGACGATGTTTATCATGGACTATACTTTTTACATTGCACAATATGGCTTTTTAATCTATCTTTCGACTTTGTGAGATTCGGGACAGTCCTGCTTTCGTCAGGGTAACCTCATTTATACAAATTGCTAAACTATGAACGTCACTCCGATTTGACTTCGTTGTGCTTTTGCGCCTCTCGCTCAACGGTCGAGGTTGGATATTGAGGAGGAACACCCTCCGGTCGCCTATTCTTGATTTCTTCCAGTTTCTTGTTCTCAAAGTCCGCGACTTTGGGATAGTATATCCATCCTGCCAGTCCACACACCATCATGGCAATCCCTAGTGCCATGCTAATCTTTGGTTGTCGTCCCGAAGGAAACATGGACGCTTCTAACAGTAATATTCAACACATTTGATCGATCAACCGAGTATAAGGAGTCTCACTTTGCTCAGTAGTGTCGGGCTGGGCAGGTTTTGCTTCGTTTCGACGTGTGTTTTGCGTAGCGTAGCGTCGTACGTATCCTGTCGGGCTCAAACCAGCCAGTATAGAACCATTGGCGAGACTTTGCTGCACACGCAGTACACGAAGATGCATGTGGAGGAGAACAAGATACAACAAGTAGACTATTGATGGGTTTACAATCAAAGTACACGCGTACGAATAAATACCCACAAGAAGAATCAATCAGTAGTCATCGTCAGCAGCAGCAAAGCTACCGCCGCCTCGCTTCTTCGATCCTCCTCGACCTCTCCCCCTTCCTCGTCCGCCCGATACAGACCGTCCTCTCCCTCGGCCTCTGCCCCTACTGCTGCTACCCCGTGCTCCAGTGTTAGGACAGTTACTGGAAAAATGACCCGGTTGTCCGCATTTGAAGCATTCTCCAGACGATTTTGAGCCGCCAGTGTTCCACGATCCACCACCACCAAAGTTCTCGCGAGAGGAGCTGTCGTCATCAAGTCCAGCAGCTTTTCGTAACCGTTTATTTGGTATGCTGCTGGCTGAAGAATTCGGGCACGCTACATCTTTGTCAGGCAATGTCTTTACTCAAAGAGATTCACGAACCGCTTGCCCAATGTCCGGGTTGATTGCACTTGTAGCACGCGTTGCTATTACCTGCATCCCTCGAAGCGACGGCACCCGCATTCGAGATCGACGTCGCGTTCGGGCACGCTGCATAACTTCAAAAAGAGGAATATCAGGAGAGATTGACTACATACCACTTGCCCAATGTCCGACTTGATGGCACTTGTAGCATTCGTCTGTGGACCCGCCTTGCGTTCCGCTTGCTCTATTCGTTGGGGTATTTGAAGATCCTGCAGGTTGATCTCCCCACTCAAAAAACTTGCATCGAGATCCTTCAGGTTTGGCGCACGCCCAGAACGTCCGACCCTTGTTGTCCCCCTCTTTGACCACCGTCCTGTGTACGGCCTCTTCGTCGCACCCACACCGACGTGGAGGTTCGCTATTTTCTTCATCAAGCTATTGGTATATCAGCCACTAGTTTCGCGTATATTGAAATACCGACCGGTCGCTTTGCTGGAACGGCTTTAGATGAGCCAACTCGTGACGACTGACCATGTGCGACTGTCCCGGCATCAGCCCATTGGAAGAAGTCACATTCTTTCTCCGGTCCACCACCACACCGCCAGAATCTCCGTCCACGAGTTGTATCTCTTCCAGAGACTCTTTCAATGGCTGGCACGCCGCAGTCACACTTGACAGTCGAAGAACTGGTCTGATTAGTGGAAGATGCTATGCGCGCGGTGTTACGGTTCTGAGGAGCGGTAGCAGCTACTCCACGTCTGGGGCCTGCAGCTGGTGGCGGTCCGTTCCCCGAATCTGGAGCAGTGTCAGTTGGTGAGACTTTGGTATTGCAAAGAAAGATTACCATCATCCGAGTCGGAAGGTGGGGCGAGCGGGCTGGTCCTCCACCTCGTCCTCGACCATTCGCTCGACCTCGTCCGCGACCGTTTTGAGGGCCTTGTGGACCTTGAGGCTGGCCTGGTCCTTCTACATAATGACGCACAGACTGGAATCGTGTGCATCAGATCTGAACACGTCCAGCGCGATGCACATACATTGATGATGAGATTAAACTCTCGGCGAGCGAGGATGAAAACCTCTTTGTACTGCTCAATACTTTCTTGAAGCATATCATCTTTGGTCTTGATGCGGTCACAGACTTGCACCATGCTGCGTTCAGTCTGCAGGGGTTAGCAATTGAGAGTCAATGTAAGAAAAAGCGCACCTCGCGACGAAGTTGAGGTTTGCTCAAACTTTTCTCCAGACCGATCTGGTTATACCCGTGAACGAGACCCACACCAAGGGTCGACGGCACCAAATACTTGGTATTCCCCTCTAGACGCTCCATGACATACTCTCTCTCCACGATAGTGTTGATATGCTGGGCTATCGTGGCATCCGTACCTTGAGCTGTGTCAAGTTGGCCACACAGGAAGAATGGCATACGCACCAATGCCATTCTTATCCATCAAGCTGACCAGATCTGCCTCTGTGAGCAAGGAAGGTCTTGTCGTTTCACCCTCCCGGAGTTCGCAGATGGTGGGCATAAACTCTTCTCCTTCCTCAAAGGGAGGCAACTCGTGGCTCGACCACTTGTCGTAGGGAAAGACTTCGAGGTAGTTCCGCTCGAGAACCAGTAAGCCTTGATAGATGAGTGAGTGAGAAAAACATTGTGAGTCAGCACGACGTACCGCTGGCAGAAAACTCTTCACCGTTGACGGCAACTGTGATAGTGGTTTGGAATCCTTCTGCATCTTTCGAGCAACTGGCGAGGAATCGTCGCGTGACATACTCGTAGACCTTTTTCTCGTTTCCGGCAAGATTACCCGCATAGGCAGTGGGATGGATGGGCGGATGAGCCTTGTCATTCTTCTTTCCTTTTCGTGGCTTGCTAAACTCTCCCTGCCGTAATCGAGTGGCGAATGCACCCCATTCAGGACTTGAAGTTTGCTTCTGTATATACTGGCCAAAGTCAAACTGATCATCATATTGGTCCGTCTCGGTGCGAGGGTAGGAAAGAATGCCCCGTTGGTACAGCGCATCGGCCGTCTACTGAATCGTCAACGATAGTTTCACACGATTCATGAGGGCATACGTCGAGTATTTGTTTTGCCGACATCCGGAGTAATCTGGATCCAGACTTTTGCAGGTCGACCGTCGTCAGAGGATACGGCTTCCTAAACAATGTCAGCAAATACTAGCAATTAAATTTATTTATACCATTTCTTTGTATTCTTCTTGACGACCTTCTTCACTGTGGCCATAGGTCGCTCCAGGACCATTTCATAGAGCATGAGCGCGACGTCAAAGTCAAACAGATGACCCCTTTTCCATTTGAAGACGGTTTGGTCCTCTCTACCTCGTCCATTTTGTTCTCCTGGGCGGTTGAGCGCGAGGTAAATGTACCAAAACGTTTCTGGCACAAAGGCTTTGACCTGCTCGTAGCGAGAGACTACAAAGCCCAGCGTCGGGAATTGGCATGGACCGTATGAGACGAGCTTGCCCTCTAGCAGGTTTCCGAAGCGGTTTTGAAGTGCCATGCATTGCATACGAGTAAACGCCGCACCGAGGCGCAAGTCAAGCATTTGTCGGGCAATGACTGCATCTGCCTGTGCTAGATCTAGATTTGTAGGATTTTGTGCGGCTCGGTGAATCTGGCTAGAGGGTGCAAGGATGAGGGGCCTGAACATGGGTATAGTGAGATGCATACTCTGCTATGATGGCACTAAAGCGTGCTCTCTTAATCTTGATTCGCCTATTAACCTTTTGGCACACTTGAGCAATCTCGTAGCCAATATGTTCCCCTTCTCGATCACAGTCGGTCCAAATCATGAGCATGTCAGAGCCCCGCGCGCGTATCTCAATGTTCCTGACGAGCTCATTGACGCGCTGAGGATGTTTCACCTCGACTGGCGCGTCAAAAAGCGTGAATGGGTCGCACGAGTTCCATTTACGATGCGTTTCTGGGAAGTCGAGCTCTGTAATGTGGCCGGCGACATACGTAACGGTGAATGACGCGTTTGTTTGAGGGTAGTCAAAACAATAGTTGCTAGTACGACCCATTCTCTCCTAAGAGTGGGCGAAATTTGTAAGCTTTTGGGTAACAGAGCGTACAAGCGAGAGTACAAACGGTGTCAAAGTATCCTCCAGAGAGAATATCAGCGATAGAACGCGCTATAGAAGGCTTTTCAGCGACGCAGAGGACTCTCATCGCGGACAGACTGCACTGGTCGACTCCAACGCGCAGGCAAACAAGCGGCGAACAGGCCGCATTGGGAAACGGTGGCTTAGGCGCAAAAATATAATCTTTACTGGTATATATAGCAAAGGTATGGACGAAAGGAAGATACTGCACGGCCGGACATTATATAAATCAGAATAGATACACCTGTAGTGGGCAAAGGATTCAATAAGCTTTGGTAATATCCGGACTTAGCTATGGAAGCTCACCTCTGGCTCTACGCAGACTTGAGTCCTATCTTGGCTCTCTTCTTCTGCGCTTCTTTCATCATAACCATTCCCAAGAGACCTCCGATGCCAGTAAGACCGACGAGAAGAATAACAGCGGGGAGCTTGACGGCCCACTCCCGTGACGGAAATCTGTCGTGGAAGGTAGAGTCCGCTGGCAGTAGCGGCTGGACAATTGTGTGAGCTGAGTAGATAATATAGCAGCATACATACCAGTATCAGGGCCCAGATAGTGTAATAAGTGAATATAACGGCGGCGGTGAGCAGCATCGCTCCTCCCAGTGCTTTATCGCTAACACCCTGGATGAATTCGCGTAAATATGCTTGTTGTGAGAACAAAGGGGCAAGACTGAACCATGGCTGATATTGTAGACGTGTCCAAGTTGCAGTCTAATCCTTCGACCACCACCTTGTCTATTCGGATCGATGGAATCAAATGCATTCGCGTCGTTGGCGCGTCTCAAAATCATGGTTATTCCCGTGGGGCCAATTCCAAAGGCTGCATACGAAAAGTGGCACGCCGTCGTCTCCAGCTTTGACTCGCTGCCTCTAGTGGAGATTCCACCGGCGCGAAACGACGACAGAAGTATGGCTAGTATGCTCAGATATGCCATTAAACTATGTTGATATACGATCACAGCGCGTTTCATGCCAACAGCCGCGTCTACGGGCCATCTACATCTCGAATATGTCGCGCATCCGCCACCGATATGGCATCACGCTTTGGCACTCTTTAGGCCTGCTTTATTCCCCCTGGGGGTAATTGGCATAACCACATGCACAGTGTCAACCTCTCTACTCTCCCTTCAGACCGAATTCAAACGCAAGGTCCAGCATATGTACCCTTACAATTCTCCTTATCCATTGGCGCAGACATGCTTCGCATTCGAAGAGAGTAGCGAAGGGACCAATCTGGCTACGGACGACGTCGGGCTGGAGATCATCCCAAGTGTCTTGGGCAACAAAGTCACAGCACACGTCGGCATGCTACTGGCTAGCTTCTGCTCACAGATCTTGGCCGGGTTTTCTTCTCTGGTACGCTTCTTGCTACTATTCGTAAAGAAGCCTAACCTCAGGCAGACTCGATCATTAGATTCACCAAGAGGATGGGAGGTTTTGCACTCTGCGCTTTTCCCAACGTATCCTCTCGAGTCAGAGGATGACCAAGGTCAGAACTTGAGAATAAATGTCGAGTCTCCACGAAGCTCGAGCGAAATGAAGCGAACGTCCATGGCTCCGGCTGTCACCGCGTCTCCTCCACGACCATCGTCCACACTTTCACGATCTGCAAGTCTTAATACATCTACTAGGAACTCTGTCGCACTCAGTAAAAAGCGACAGTCGTTATTAAACTCTGGTGGCCCGCCAAACGCGCGGCTAAGCAAGACTGTCGGCGACCTATTTCTATTAGCGGGCAGATTGAATGACGCTATTACCTGGTGAGGATCACTCCACCTTTCCGTCGATCTCTTACCTGTCCTGATAGGTATAACGATGCCGCAACACATCTACGGTCCACACCGGATCCGGTATGGCATGCTGCCGTCTTAGAAGGCTTATCTACAGCGCATGTTCTAGAAGCATGGGCTGGAAGCTCAGGACTTGTAAGGCAAACCATCATTATCACCCAAGTTTTCTCAAACCCTTGCAGCAAACGTCCATGTCGGCCAATATGCTACGCGACCCATGGTCGGAGATTTCAGATAGAATGAACATGGCTACACACATGTACTTCAAAGCACCCCTTGCGGACAACAGTCACGACTTTCCGACCGTCACGCTCTTATATTGCTCTTGCGTTCTTCGATTCGCACATTTTATGTTTTGCATTTGGAGCTCTAATGGATGGGGACCAATGGCATTTATCACGATGCTGTCGTCGTCCCTCCCTCCGACCTTCGTGCCAGAACCTCCAACCACGGCACGGAGATGGAGGATGACAAGCATGACCACGATATCCAGGACCCAAATAGCAAGTATCGTCGCACAGGCACATGGACCATGGATAATGCATCTTCATCCCCATGACAAGATACGGGCGTTATCTTACATGGCGGGTCTCTATTCTTGCTTATCTTTTAAGCGGAAAGAAGTATATATCCTGCGAGAACTTGTATCGGTAGTCATGGACCTGGTTTACATGGGACGTGAAGAGAGACGGGAGCAGAATATCGCCAGGATGGGCGTCACGGACGGCAATCTGGCAGAAATCGCAGCTTCGACGCATATGACCATCCGAGAACATCAACTAAAGGATGGAAACGCCAGTATTTTACGACTACTGACTCACATCTGCGCCGTATATGGGATCAACCTGCGTGCGATACGGCTCGAAGAGGAAGGGCAAAAGGAAGACGAGACCGAAGATCGTGACGAGATGGACAGTATTGACTTTGCGCGGCAACCATCGTATGGATGGCCAGAGCTACAACTGGGAGTGGTTCGTGAAGCGATCGCTGTGGCAGAAGCATTACCTGGTGTGTGGGCACCATACGATCACTTTCACGACTAACTATCGAGACAGAGCTGCCATCACTCACACAGTTTTCGCTTTCCTCATTAAGGGCGCTTTACACCCATCTGACCGCCTCGGAACAACATTCTCTTTATATTGCAGCTAAGAACGCTGTTCAGGTGTCTCAGCGGAGGGGAGAGGATTTCCGAGTAGAATACTGGTCTGGCAGACCTGTCGTGAGCGTCGAAGTCGTGGCGTGAGTGTAAATCCTACCACGTAACCACAAACCTCATAGTTATTGACAGATTACCCTTTGGTCGCATTCCCGTTCAACACTCCAAGACGGAACTAGTCCCTAGGGACACAATCCTTAGCCCAACCTCGGGGCCGAAGGATCCTTTCATCTATAACCCACGTCTACGAGTGGCAGCTAGTTCGCAGGCGAGTAATCCCATAACATGAAAAGAGAAACCTGACCGTCAACAGACCCTCCTTGTTCAAAAGGAGCAATTGGAGTTCATCTTGACGTTGCAAAATCCATTCCTATTTGAGCTTGAGCTCACCAATGTCTCGCTGAGGTATGTCCGTTATTGATCTGACTGTACAACTCTCAGGTGCTTCTAGTACATCGGGTACCGTATTTGTTACCCAGCCAGTTTCTGTGACAATTCCTCCGAATAGCTTTTGCCCAGTGCGACTTTCTGGGGTGGCAGAGAAGCCAGGTCAACTGACTATTAGAGGATGCATTGCTCAGACCGTGGGTTGTGAGCCTCGGGAATTCCTGTTACCTCTCTCAAGCGAGGAAGAGGAAAGAAACATGGAGAAGCGACGTAGTATGAAGGAAGCTGAGCAAGACAGATTCAAGTTTACCGGACTAGATGCTCGGCCATTGGAGCGGGAGAAGAAGCGGCTCAGCCAAGCAGGCCCTCCCCCCGCAGTCGAGAAGAAAACAAAGTTTGTCGAATGCTACGTCGTACCGGAGCAACCACTTTTAAGGATCAGGAGAACGTCCCTAACTCACGGGGCTGTCATGATGTACGACGGAGAATCGTGAGTACCTGGCACATAGCTTCGTGTATTGTTCAACTCCCCTCTAGGACTACCATCCGTCTGACGGTGGAGAACGTCTCGCTATTACCTATCAACTTTTTGAAGCTCACTTTTGATGATTCAACGATTGCTCCTATGCAACAGATGCTAGGAGAAGGTGCTCTGTCGATTGCAGAGACGTATGAAGTAGAGTACGACTTGCGAAGGCGGCCCGTCTTCCAGTGGCGTGCAAAGGACGAACCAAAGGAAGTTCGACCCGGTCAAAAATCAGTCCTCACGGTATCCTGTCTGGGGAAGATAGGCTGGTATGTAGCCTGCTAAGGACGGTGGACTACACTCAACATATTGCAGCATTAGCGGCACTGTGCAGATAGCATATGCTCACATAGAGGAGAGTGACACTTCCGACTTCTTTTATACCCGACAAATTCTATACCCCGTCCTGGTTACTGTTAACCAAACATTGGAATGTTCGTCGATGGACATCTTCCCCTTCTCTCCCATCGCCGTCCTCTCCAGCGAGGATTACGAGTACGATTCTGAGGAGAAAAGCAGGCGAAACCTATTGGAAGTGGACAGCGATGGGGACTGGTGTCTCTTCACGGTCGACGTGAAGAATTCCTACACACTGCCTTTTGAGGTCCATTTCGACCGACGGCAAGAAGGGACCGAGCCTGTCTCGTGTTCTCGTCTGGTTCCACCTGGTTCAACATGCAGGTATGTGACATTCCAGCACTACAAGAACACCTGCTGACTGGCCACAGGATCACTCTCCCGCTGCGAAGGATATCGCTATCTCCCGAGGAGATCACTCGACCTATCCCCGCCTTGACGGATCGCCAGTTTGTCGTGTCCAAAGCTGAACCTAGCAGTGGTGACCAAATGGTCCAGCGAGAATTATTCTGGTATCGAGAGGCCTTGTTCAACTGTATCACGGCGCGTTGGAAAGAGGTGAGTTTATTCGTCTGCTAGTTTCACTCACTTACTGGTGTTAGCCCGGAGGAAGTCGACACGGGGAACTTTCTCTACGGCGTCAGAGGCTTACGGGTCCTATGAAGGATAACCTCAAGACCGACCCGATCCGTGTCAATGTGGACCTAATACAACATATGGAAAAGGACGGGCAGGAAGAGTTCTCTCCAATACCTGCCATCAACGGCAAGGTTTACGCACAACCGACCGAGTTTTATAACATTCGATGCCGGGCGTACAACGCGACAGGTCAGTCTTTCTGCGTCAAATGCCGTAATATTGACATTGCGTTAGACTCCCCTCATGTACTGGTGCTTTCACTCGCTGCTCATCCGCTGGACCTCTTTCACGTCGAGGGTAACCTCACCGACATTCCTATTGGACGGGTCGACAGCAAATGTGCCAAAGAGGTAGAAGTTCCCATTTGCTTCGTATCAGAGGGTCAATTCGAGTTTGTGGCCGAGGTTCGAGTGTTGGGAGCGCAGATTCGTTCCGGGGAAGGAGAACTCAAAGTTATTACCAGAGAACTGTAGACTATAGTCTTACTGGACGTTGTAGAACTCTCACAATCGTGGTGATTAACACACATAATTATGAACAGGAGATGGTGTACAAGACGCCTGCGACAGGCGATAGCAGCGCCTTAGGGGGGGAAAGCCATTTAGAACTCTTCAGTGTCCTGCTTGAAGACTTGGGAATACGCTAGGATGGTTCCGTAAACGAGGGAACCGCCGACGATGCTCATGTAACTGGCCGCTGGCTTGATGACTTCTGCGTGTTGGAGGATGAGAGGAAGCGCAAAGCCAGTAACAACGACGATGGAGGTAATAAAACGACCCAAATCAACGGCAGGGGTGCTTTCATACTCGTTTGAGAAGTCGTCCGAGCCGCAGTGTGCAAAGAGAGCGTTGGGCAGAGGAGCAAGCACAAAGATCAGAGCTGTAGGAGAAATATATTCAGGATGTGAGCCGACGTTATCATTTATGAACGTACCGACGAGCAGCGGCAGCCAATTACTCCAAAGCGCGCATGAGAGAATGATCGCAAGCAACCCGATGGCCAGGAAGAAGGATAAGAAGATGACGGCTATGATTTCTGTTAGTCATGTTGAGGAGTTAGTAGGCGTATGAGGCTGACTCTTCAGTCTTTCCACCATTGCGAGGTTGTGGTCTAGTACAAGAGCTGTTCAGCCCGCAGCACCGACGTGTTGGGTGGCAGAAGCTTAGAAATATACTCTTATGATACACAGATGGTTACAATAGTCAAAATACATGGTAAATTGCAATAGGCAGACGTAGACCGCGGGCACAAATCAGAAGCCTAGAGCAACGTTTAGTCGTTTTCACTATGGGCACTGATGTAGACGGACCATATTTGTTACCAGACTCTTTACGATTACGTTTGGCCTAAATGCCGTCAGCAGACCCGTCGATAGACAGCGACAAGGGCATACCATGGCAATCTTATCTTCAATTTCAGCGCGATGCGAATATGCATCTGTGAGTAGCGTTGACAATTGATGCCGTGTCTTTGCCCTGTGCGAGGTTCTCGCTTCCTGTACAAGTTCTTGCTCAACGGCATGTACATTGACAAGATGGACATCGACTCACCGTCATGGTCATATTTGGCGCAGATGGGCCAGCTCGGATGACGTTTGCAGTAATCGACTTGGTATTCTCAATTTCTGCTCGTGTCTTGCTCGCTTCGTCAAGTGCGCTGACTTGCTGTAGATCTTCCTCGTCTCCCCATTCCTTGCGCCTCTTATTCGATGGCTCTGGCTCAGGGGCGGGAAGCCAAGCCTTTGCCACTGACCAATAATACGTCGGATCGTGAGCTACCCACTCTCCATCGGGCTTTTGATAATAGCCTGGGTATGGGTCTGTAGGTGTCGGAGCGGGTGGTATAAATTCTTTGACGCTCGGTGCAGCCGACTTTAGCACAAGAGAGGGCATCTCATCGGATGACGTCGAAACTGATGGTGGTTTTACACTCGGAGTCGGTGCAGCTGTCGTCATATTGTTAACGTGGCTCACGTTTTTCGAGACGAGTGCGCACCTAGTGAGAAGAAATCAACAACCGGCACATCTTCTTTAGCAGGCTGCTTCTCCTTGGTCTTATTTATTCGTGAAGGAGGTATCAGAGACAAGGAAGATGCAATTGGGGTCTCCTCTACGTCCTTCGAATCGCCAAATTCTGACGGCATGGACATTGCAAAAGCTGGAGGAGGAGCATTGTTAACCTTCTTCACCGATGCAGGAGTTTTGTTCTTCGGAGCAGGCAACATTGCGAGCAACGAGGATCCTCCAGCCCCCTCTGGTCGCGGTCTCTTGCTTGGGCGCGTTTCTTCCGTGATTTGATCCTCTGCAGGACGTTTTGGAGCTTCTACAGCAATCTTTACTGGCCCATCACGTCTGCGCGGTTTCGGAAGGGCAGAGGACAATGATGATAGTCCACTTGAAGTCTCCTTGACAGCCGGTGGCTTTGTTATTGATGGAGTAGGCTTTGAAATTTTTTCCTCTCCACTGTCTTCGCTGTCGCTGCCGTAGCTCACAAGATTCATACAGGGAATGGAGCTGCTCAAGAATTGGTCACCACCGACGACCACAAACCAGTGTCCTTCCAAGATAATTTACATCGACTCTTTCTTTGGTGAAGCACCACTGGAGTCACAATTTCCACCGTCCGGACTACAGAGTAGCGCTCGATCGCGCCGTGCTCAAGCTTGCGCAGCTTGGACACGCCGTTCCGCTTGATGGTTCGCATTACATCTCCCGTAAGCCCTTCCTTTTTCATCCACTCCCCTTGCTCACCAGCCTCTTCGACCTTGATCATGTCGTGGCTCTCGTTGGCCGGGATATGCTCCACAGTATTCCATTCGGGTGGTTGCCAGTTCTTGAACAGCACGGTCGAATGCTCCTCTTTGCGCTTTCGTCCGGGGTGTCGCCCACCACCAGGCTCTCGTTTGACAGGGACGAGCTCATCACCGTCTCCTCCGAGCTCTGCGTCCGAGTCAGCCCCTGCTGCACTGCGAACTCGCCATCTGAGCTCCCTTGCGAGTAGTGATGGGTCCTTGATGCGGTCTGCCGGCACGTTTTCTTTGGCCTCTTTTTTGGCGACTTCACTTCCTCGTTCCATGATGCGGGCCTCTGAGACCAAAAATGTTGCAAGAGCGTCGATAGATTTGAGAATACGGATAGGGAATTCCTCCTTGGACTTTAGGTCCTTGCAGTATTTCTCCCCGACATACCAACAAAGCCTCCAGGCGTGTCAGCTCAAAGGAATCGGTTTGCAGCAAGCTCACCTTGTAAAGAGAGGGAATCTAAACTTCTTCGGCACCCGAGTTCTGATCTCAATGTCTCTGACACGGAGTTCTGGAGAGACGTCAAGCGGATAGCCTACATTTCTACAGGACATACGCGTTTTCATATTGAGTGAGTGAAGAAAGTTTCCACCGAAGACGAGGGTATCGACAGGTGTGTACTACAGATGTAAGCATATCGACCCGAAAGCCAAATGGCCACATACCACTGCATGAATCCAACCGGTCGGTATAATCATCGTGTTTCCGGCAACCAGTTCCACCCGCACGACCTCATCGACCAAATCTCCTAGCCATGTGTGGTTCTGAATGTCGGTTCCCGACCTTACGCTGATTAGCTCAATGGTAGGGAAAGACACAATGGACGTACCAATGCTCGTATGCCGCGAGATTAGCAGCGGTTGGTTTGATGAAATAGAACACTTTGGCGCCGTTGAGAATATGGTAATAAACAGAAGAACCGGCGAAATCGATGTGCCAATCCTAGCCACAAACTCAGACCCCTATCACCAAATTTCACAGAACGCGCATACCGTCCAACTCTGTGCAACACCCATGAGACAGTAGAGTTGCACTTTTGGATAATGTCCCAGCTGTTTCTTGTTATGTGGCCAAAACTTTTCCACCCAATCCAGTTCGCGAACAAAACGAGGAGGCAAGACCCGTTGGCCAAGAGTTGTCCCGGAAACCTCCAAAGATATGACGTTGCGAATCTTGTCTCGTTCGGTCGGTGGCGTATGGTAGTAGTCCGCCCACTTGCCCAGAGTCCACCCCTGGCAACTCGACTGAGTCAAGACGTCTAAAATTCTCAGCATAGTCACAAATTCACTTTACACACACACACCTATGACCTCGAGAGGGACGTCCGGCCCCAACTCATTTGCAATATCACGGACTGTAGTCTCCTTTGGGGGCATTTTCATTCCTAAACCTTCAGGTGTTTCGATAATAATCGGTTCCTTCATAGCATTCTCGTCTCGAAGCGTCCATTCGAGGCCGAGGTCAGACCCTTTCATTCTTTGAAAGTGGTCTGGACTATATTTCTTTGCATCGGCGATTGCAATCCATTTATTGAGCTCTGGTGTTCCATGGGGAGTGGACACTCCGTTATGATTCATGACCGGCGTCGTGGTCGGAGGAACAGTTGTGGTCGTGGCACCCGCCGTCGTCGCCGTCGAGTCACCTTCGAGCATGGGCATATCTGATACGGAGGTGTCGGCAATTGCCTTGATTCGCGTAGATTTCCGCGGCGGTGGCTTGAGCGTCATGATCCTCGACGGGTCAAGCTCGACGCATTGTTGACAAAACCTGTACGAGCAGTGTCAATAACTCTGAAAATCATGTTTGAACTTACGACAACTTACCATTTGTCGACCTGCTCGGGTGTAAGGGGGGTCTCACTGTTTCCATTCGCCTCGATGTCAATCCCCGCACAGACCCAGTGATACCAGGTCTTGCAGCTCGTGCATTCAATCCAAACGTCCTTGTTGAGGTCCTCCCCGTCGTCCGGTTTGCAGCCAGGACAGGTAGACTCCTCTTCTGCAACTGCCGGGACGTCTTTCATCGGCGTATCAACTACAGCGTCCTGCTGAGCGACAACCGGTGTCGTAGTAGCTTTCTTCTTCCTTGGAGACATTGTAAAGGTGCGTGTGAGGCAGCAACAGACGTTTTGGGAGGCGTCAACCTGGCACGTTTCGTGACAGCAATCTGAATCTACACAATCTCAAGAGAAAAGGGTGCATAATTTACGAAGGTTGCACTATGCTACACAAAATGCAGACGCGGACACCTACTCAGGGTTCATTCGACGCCCCTTCTCCAAACTTGATCCAGGTCTTGTCGAGGTCGACGTACTGTTTCATCAATACTCTGTTCCTCCATCTCGTAGCTCTCTTCAGGACTATGGGCAGTAGAGGGTCTTGCAATTTCAGAAGGAGGGATCAGGCCAATCGTCGAGGTATTTCGGCTGTGACTTCGTTCCACTCTTGGATGGGGGACGGATGGGTGGTGATGAGGGCGGGCGTTCTGGTTGGACGCGTCTCGTCCAGCTTCATCGGACGAGGGCACGCCCTGCTCCTCGTCAATCGGCATGCTCACCTGCCGCATGAGCTTCCTCTCCGAGGGAATACGAGGAGAATAGGGTCGGTGGCTCAAAGGACTGGACAGACGAGGGTAATACTGGCGGTAGGAGAAGAATGCAAAGATGATACCGACAGTAGAGCCGGTGAGAACGTCTAGTATGCATTAGCGTGTCGGATTTTTGCTTAAAGTACCCATACCTTGCCAATGATGGCGATAATCCATAGTCCTGGAAATGGCGATCAAGGCTGCACCAACCAACGGTGTCAGAGACACCCAAGATTTGCCAGTATAACCCTTTTCATCAAAGAGATGCAGCTTTCCGGCTAGGTAAAATGACAAGAATCCAAGTCCAGCAAAGGATACTGAATAAGCCGGCTTGAGCAAGCACAATAGTGTTCAGAAGTGGGCAACTCACAACTCGAGTGTGCACTTGGAAAGCTCCTGAACCCATCCCTCATGATGAAACGATCCGTCTGAGTACATATTTTTGATGTCACGAGCCCAAAGATTGGGGCGTTTGCAGACCCTTGTAGGGGCTTGCACCGCGCGATCAAGTCAGGTCTTGGTCTACCCACCATGACCTTGGTCACTTGCGATACCGCACCGGTGAGGGACAGCGAAAGAAGCACTGCAATGCGTCAGTCCATAAGGCTCATGGCCACTCGAAAACAAAAAGGCACAACGCACGGCCGAGCCAACCAGAGTGCAGATCCCACCATGAGCGAATGGTGACGATATTGACCAAGGGTATGAGGAGAAGAGGCGCTGCGCCTGCGTAGATCAGCAGCATGGAGTTCTGTAGTTTGGCATGAGGCACCGTAAAGAGGGTATGACAGCAACCGATGAATACGCACAGGAATGCGTTCATGGACTGTAAACGAGTGCTGGATGCTGGTATCCGTGAGATCAAACTCGCGCTCAAAGCCATCGATGTAATCGAGCGAGTAGAAGACACCACTGTGATGAGATTAATCCTTTGACGACCATAAGTATAGTAAATACTCACACTAAGACTATACAAAGCACCCTAGAGGAAATATGTAAGCATCCGCCCGCAAATTCCGGTCGCGTGGGCCAAGCATTAAGCCTCTTTGCAGGATGCAACGAGGTGCCAGCAGGAGAAAGAGATCGACTCACCAGTCGGGCGCATAGGAGAATAATAGACGTAATCGTCTGCGGCTTACTTTGGCCTGCGAGGTATTGGCTTTGTAGAGTCGGTCATGGACGTCTGGAAAATTGATATTGCCGATTCCGGTTGTGCTCGCCATGATAACTGCGATTGTAGGATAGTTTACTGGCTAATTGTTGGCAGCGCTCGGCCGTGCTTGCTCCGTGTCGACGGTCAAGGGTCGAGAATGGAGTGGATTGGATTGCTAGATGGATTGCAAGACCGTCTTTTCACGAAATTAGCAGCGTCTGTATCGATATTTGACCGTTTCTTTCGTAAAAAATGTACTCGCGGGCGTCGTCGAGGACAGAATTAGCGGTGCCAAAGGAAACGGCAATGAAGCGGGTTCGGCTCCACGAAATCAATCAGCCAGAAGCAACCAATTTCTGAAACATTTTTGGTGATGGAATCCGTACTGGATGGTACACATAACTCATTAGGTGCCCGCAATCTCACAACCACCCCGAAACCCCCTGGTTGCATGCAGGAGAATCGGGCCTCTGGATCCGCCAAAATTTAGAACACAAAGCGATCAGAGCGTGTAAAGGAGCGTGCTAAATGACAGTACTACATCCAGCTAACCCGCTAGGATGATCCAGCTACACGCCCCCCTGAGCTGTGCAGATAGAGGATCACTCTCGACGTCATTTCCTCGAGTTCCACAGCCTGTAGTGTATCAAAAAACTGGCTTTTGTACAGTCAATTAGTAAACCTCTTAACAGCCAAAGGTCAAGGAGCAGCAAGGGGGATCAAAGATTAGGGTGGTTGTGCCTGCAGACGTGCACTTTCAACGAGGACACGACGATCAAAGCCACTCGGATGGGTTTAATGGAGCCAACGGAGGTCGGGTTTTTTTGGCCCGAACATTCCAACCTCTGGGTTCGAGAGCAAAAGAGTTTGGTTCGGTCGACGACATCTCGTGACTTTTGGACCAACCTGTGCATTTGGTTGATAGGGACTTTCGGGCCCCGTCACAAAGAGGAATTTAAAGGAGCATAACACGCCTCTCCGGCAAGGAAACCTGGCCGCAGTGTCCGCATCTGCGGAACTAACCGTAAGTGGGCGTCGGACAGCTTCTGTGGAGAATGTGTTACAAGTTTTTCGATCTTTTGTTTCGATCGCCTGTGGTCGGGTAATATTGTACAATCATCTCGCCGACGCTGAACCAGAACGCGCATCCAAGGGTTTGGTTCACCGTGGTCCTATTAGCTATTGTAATAGTTTGTATCAAGACTCGCCAGGTGGAGGCGATGTGTCCCCTGTCTTGGATGTGGTTGGGCTGCCCTGCCGAGTCTTGAGCTCTTGAGACTTTCGCTCAATAGCCTCTAGTCTTTCTGCCATTTCCTTGAGCTCTCTCTCGAGGTCCTTGTTCTCCTGCGTGAGCTTGAGGACGTTTGAAGCCCGCTTCGACACGGCAGCCGCTATTTTCTTCCTGGGGAGGCGTCAGAGCTGGTCATTTGATGCAGACACGCGAGCCGGTGAATTCCATCACTTGAAATGTGATCGAATTCAACGGTCCAGCTCGCCGATATCCCAATGGTGGGTGGCGCAGGGAACGGGGATGTGCGACTTACTCCTCGACGACTTCACGTTCAGTTTGCGTAGCTAGAATAGCATCTATAGATCTTGAAAACGACGTGTCTCCCTCTTCAAAGCTCGGGGCGGGGAGCGAAAACGGAATCACAGTCGCGCTGTGCGGGGATGAAGGCGGTGGATTTGGAGGAAACCATGCATCGCTAGAAGACAATCGAATAATCCAGGTTAGCTATACACGCTCAACAGAAACCCGCTCGCCGCTCTCGACTTGCCTCGTAGATCGATCGCGACCACTGTGCGGCTCCGTGTCGAGTGCAAGTTGCTGATCAGCTGGCGGATTGATCTGGCTTTTGAGCGCGTCTTGCTCGTCGGACATGGCGTTGAGCGCTGTTGGTACCGGGTTTGTCTCACGCTATGGGACCAGGTCAAGTTCGACGTTTGGTCGCCACTTGACCCGACGGACATTTGTAACATTATGGAATCAGACTAGAAAAAATCGACATGGGGTTTTGTTAAAATTCGTTTGACATGAGTCTAAACGGGTGCGCATGTCCTCAGGGCCATGACAGCCTAAAGGGAAACGAGGCGCGTTGGCGAATTCAAACTAGTGCAAGAACGCGGAGGTCGATGATTGATCAGTCGTCGCTCGCATCAACATGAGGCCCTGCTCGTTGCGCGAAGCGTCAACGAGAGCCGCCTCGTCGTACCTTCAGCCTCTTTTTTCTCGGGCTCTCCGTACCGAGAACGGAAGGGACCCGGTGCATGCCTCCTGGTTTGTAGACGACTCTTGGAAACAACTGCAGCCAATCTCCAAAGTTGGTATCTGGCCTGTCACCCTTGTTTTGGAACACAGCGCAAGCTCCCCCCCACCCGCCGCATAGATTCCCATAAAAAAGCCGGCCCATTTGCGCCTCGACTTGATTAGTCTATTAAGTGGTTGGTCTGCTGTCCGCGAGGCTTCCTGCCAGTTGTCTCAACATTGGGGTGAAGATCCTTTTATTCTCTCTCCTCCAACTCACCTTTTCCCATCCCATCCGTTTCCCTCGCTCCTCCTAATTGTCATGGATATTCGCAAACTCTTGTCGTCCAATACCTCTTCACCCCTGGCCCCATATCAGGGCCAGACCAATCAACCACGCCCGTCTGTGTCGCCTGCAGTTGTCGCCGCTGCGCCACCGAAATCCGTACGAGTTCCCAGCGAACCCTCTCCAGAAATTGAGGAAGTAAGTCTCTGCGAATCCATCTCCCCGTAGTCATTGCCTCGTGCTTACGAGCCGTTTCCAGCCCGCGATCCCTGCCAGTGTAGATCCACACGTAGCAGGCTTTCTCCAGACAGCACTTGGAACACGGAAATGGAGGATTTTCGCCAGTAAGCTCTGTGAACGTCGCGATCCCGATGCTCCACCAGCAAGCCGGGCCAACGAGGCTGGCGGGACAAGCGGGCCAAAGGCGAAAGCGAAGAGAATGGCCTCTGTAAACCTCCCAGAGGTCGAGGATGGCGTCTTGCATGGCGGAACATCGCCCTGTGCGATCGCCTTCCTGGTCAAGGTGTGCACTGTCCGTTTGTCCTCGCTGAGCATATTTCTGATTTTGGAATGCCCCACAGGTTGAAGTTGTCAAAGAGGTCTTGCGAAATTACGTCCCAAACCCATATCATCCGACCAAGGTCGAGTCGCACCCCTATCCGCCCGCCCCAGGGGGATTTGTGCATGTGACACGGGCCAGTGTGCTTGCATTATGCCAATGGTCGAACACCCAGTTTGCCTATTGGTCCAGACGCTCCGAAGCAGTCTCTGTCCTTGCCTGTCATGATTCTGGCTTGCGAGATCTGTTTTATGTCCTCTTCGAGCGTTTGTACCAGCGACCGCCACCACCAAATGCATTTGCCGCATATTCCCCCGTCACGACATCGACATCTTGGTCTTCAACAGCGTCCTCGTGCGGATCGCCTCCCCCTTCCCATTCAAAGCAACCCTCCATCAGTCAAAGCCATCAGAGAGATATTGACGTGGTAGAGGTCGAGCGTAGACTAAGAGTTGCTCGCTCCTTTACTGGCAAGGGTCTCGACGGTGTCATCGCCGAAGTCAAAAAGCGCACAGGAGCCAGTCAATTCTTGAGGGGTCGACAGTCGAGTCTAGATCCCTTTGGCGCGTACTTGACAACTGGAGCAGCGGCGTATGACCCAAATTGGCCTGTAGTGATGCCTTCCTTTCATGGAAAGCAGTCTCACTCCAGAGCATCTTCCGACAATTATGACCATCTCACGACATCCATGCCTTCAGGACTTTTGACGAGTTCGCGGGCGAGCAGTGGGCTTGGCTCGCCCATGATGAGCCTGCCACGGCCATCGTACGACGCCAGTAACGAACGACTCTATGACCGACGATTAGCGTCAAGTATGCCCGGATATGACCATGACTTTAGATTCCCGACACGACTTGCCTCCAGCCCCGCCGGCAGCGATTCCCCGTACTCGAGGTCATCGACAGCGGGGAGCAAGCGTAAACGGGACGACAGCTCCTCTTCTGACGAGGACGAGCCCGTTGCGTCTGCCGACCTGAGACGACTTGCGAGGCCGAGGGCGGTCAGCGACTATGCGATTGCCCGCTCGGCGCTTGCAAAGCGCGCAAAACGAGATATCTAGACGTCAGATTCTGCCAGACGTGATATTTCCCTGATAACCGGCTTGTTTGTGTATGGATTTTCTCCTCTGCGCAGGAGCGAGCGTGCGGCAGTATGGACCAGGATCTGTAGATTATGTGCCGCGCAGTCCATATTTTCTGTAAATTTGTATGCTACTGGTTTTGTCTAGATCCATGTTCACCTTTGTTCCCGACAACCTCCTCTGTGAGTCTGGCAAAGAAAGCAAGCAACCTCAGCTCAACGTCGCCACTGGACTGGCTTCGGGTGGACCACGCTAGCGATGACATAGTTAAATAGTAGCGGGACGTCGGCGGCTCAAGGAATTTACGTTACATTTTTTGTCGATGAGATACAGCTAGAGGGAGAGAGGACAGGAGCGAAGAATAATCTAGGGACGAGGTCGAGGCGGTGGGCAAGATGGTAAACGAGCTGAACGATAACCGAGAAGTAAAGATATGTGTCGCAATTGCCTTCCGCGATTGATCCCGCGTACAGGGAGGAGGGGGGGTCCTGCATTCCCAAACCGGATTCCGACCGAAAAACGATAAGGTGGCCGAGACGCAAGAGGACCAGCCAACGCCGGTGGCAAACGCTTCGTCATGGATCCTGAGATGCAATCTGGTCAGTTGGGTTCCTCGATCTCGTAAAGGGACAAACGTACACCTCCTTCTTGTGCCTCGGGGGTCGTAGCGTTTGCACCTTTGGACGCACTCGCAGCTCTAGCTAGCTTTTTCAGCGCCTTGAGAGGGAGAGCCGGCGTCTCCACAAACCCCGCAGCCGTCTCTCCTCCTCCCGGATTCGACGCCTTGCGCCGCCCCTTGGCATTCGGAGGTTTAGCCGGCGTCTGTGCATCATCGTCTTCGGCTGAGACGGGTGGCAGTAGCCGTTCGAGAAGTGATGCTGCTTGTTCCTCTACCGTCATCGTCTTTCCCTCCATGGCTGCGCTGTTCGTCAACATGATGTCCATACGCTGCTCTGCCATGCTTTTGCGCTTCCATTTAGAAGGAGAGCTGGATGGTTGCGCATTCTCCATATGTGCGTCGCCCCGGTTTGCTAGGCGGTGCGCAGGTCCTTGGGGAGCAGAAGGAGTTTGTTTCGCTGCAGCAGAAGAGGAAGCTTCCCCTAGAGGATCGTACACTGCGACCTCGGAGGGGTCAATGTTCGTCGGCAGCCGCAGTTTGAGCTCTCGGAGACACGGAACGAGACATTCCTTTGAGATCCCAGCTTCTATGAGATATTCGGGGCTGACACCCCAGCCAAGAAGGTCAAGGATCAGAATTTTGGCTTCGTCCAGTTGTTCAATGGTCACTGTTTTTCATTAGTGGCGGACAACCTTTTGTGTGAGCAAAAGCGTCTATTTAGTAGAACAAACTCACTTGCGAGACCAGGGCGACAATGACCTGGGTCCATGGTCGGAGACAAAGCACGAGATCCACTTTGAACCACGTCCACATCCCCGATGAACTCCTTCAAGGGCGAATCTTTATTTTTCCAGCATAATTGGCTATTCTACGACATTTAGATGGATTGAGACGAAGACTCTTCTCAACTACTGCCCAGTCGGGCCACTTGCGACGTGAATCGGGGTTGCAACGACGTCTCGCGGCTTGCTTGGGCCCTCGACGCTTTGACCCTCAAGCGATCCTCTGCAATCCTCCTCAATGCCTCTTCTTTTGCTCCTTTGGCCTCGAGCCTCTCCCGTTCGGACATCATCCAGCGTGCTTGTTTCTCATCCATCAAGGAAGTCTTTGCTTCTCCGAGGACTTTGATCCCCGTTTCAAGCAATGTCTAGGCGAGAGACGATAAGTTTGTGGCCCCTCATCCTCAGTGTCAACGCACCAGCGCAATCAATGGTTGACTTGCGAGCCTAGGGATGATATACAACTCTTCCATTTCATCTATCGTCTTTTCAAAGCCGAGCTAGCCGGTAGGTTCAGAGCGCCACCCTTTCGCGTCCATTATCACGGCGAACCTTGAGGAAGAATTCCCTTGTCGGCTCACATCGAGTAATATCCAAGATCTTGCTTGCTCGAACTCTGCGTTTGGCGAGCCTTTCCAAGTGTGCGGCTTTGGCATTTACAGCAATTTCATATAGTTTCTGTAGATGTTGAGATTTAGAATCATTCACTGTAGATCTGGTACCCCTACCTCTATCAGTTTCAACGCCTGTCAAGGTTCAATACTCGGAGCAGGGAACGAAAGACACGACTACCTCTGGCATGCTCTTGTCACTTCTAATGGCACTAATGAGCCGACGGAACATGTACTCGTCTTTTGCTTCTTCAACACTGGTAACCTTGGGCCGCGAGTTGACCTTCTGACGACTTATCGCCGCCTGCAACGCCTTTAAACGCTGGTCTTCCATGATGCTAATCTCAGGGGCTTGCTTCATGGTACTCGAATTCAGGTTTCTTGCGGATAGACTCATGGGGTGGACTTGCTTGGGCAGAGTTGGGGACACAGGATCTAGGGGGAGCCTGGCTATCGTCTGATTGATCTATCCATGTACATTGATAGCTATTGAATTATATTGTGCACAAACCTACATTCAAATTTGCCATCTTGGTTCCAGAGCAATGGTTCCGAGTGGTTCTCCATCTTCCATCCTCGCCACGATCATGACTTCCCGCGGCGGTGGTTTGTACGGTGGCATCAATTTTACAACACCTCAGGATCAGCTTCAACAAATATCCTCGTCACCAGCTGCACCAGCCATCGCTCCAGTGCCGGCCCAAGCAGTCGTCGAAGCTGCCCCGGTGCCAGCAACTACCAAGGCAACGCCAGTGCAAGAAAACACAGAACAACCCACACCAGAGACTCCCGTGAAAACATCAGCTGGTATCTGCCTCCCATTTGGGATCTCGTTTTTGCGTGTTTGAACAGCTCGTACTCAACTCGCTTTTCCATGCGTGCTACTTTGTTGCTTTTTTCCTTACAACCAACCCTTTGCACATCTCGGTATCGACATGATGGATAGGATGGTCCGCCGCGCTCGCATTTGCGCCTGTTCGACGAACCGCCAAACCAAAGGCGCCAGCAAACAGAGGTCTCCCTCAGGCAGCAATGGTCGCTAGTTTGGCAGCCGCTGCGGCTTCAGTGAATCCAACCCCGATACCTACGGTCAACGTTGCACCGACAGAGCCAGCACCAGAACAAGAGTCGACAGGATGGGGGAAGCGAGTCAAGGCTCCGTCCATGGTTATTGATGACGATGTCAATGGGTTTCGAGCAACCAAACCAGGAGAAGGCAAGCGAAAGAAAAAGGTGCGTCGTTGAATTTTGTGAGAGACTCAAGCTCGCTAATGTGTCGCTCGGGCATAGAAAAACATCAACGCAAATCAGATTATATGGGATCCGATGGAACCCTATGATCCATTCCATCCGAATGACTACCACGAGTACAAGAAATGGAAGCAACGCGAGCAACAGGAACGTCGCATGCAAGAACGTCGAAGGGTGGAAGAACTCAAGCGTAGACGTACTTATAGTCATTCAGAGTATTCCAGTGAAGAACATAGCGACGACGGCAGACCAAGTCGCAAGACAGGTGGGTATTTCGTATTTGGCAATTTCGAAGGCTAAATTAGTATCAAAAGCTCGATATCACTCGCCCGAACGAGAGGACGATTACGATGCTCCCCGAGGTCTTGGTTCTGCCAACGCATTCCAGCATTCTGACAACGTGGTGAACGAAGAGGAGCCTATGAACATTTCACCAGCAAGACCAGTTCCTCTAGCAGACACAGGTGAAGAAGCGTACCTTCGTCGTCTACAAATGTCGCGACCACGGCCACCGAGCCCGCCCGCTGCGCAGCCGCCTGCGAAACCAACATTTGCCCCAGCAACGCAGAGCATACCTATTCCAGCAATGGCTTCACCTTTGCAACCACCTCCCGTTTCAGCCGTTTCTACGGCCTTTGCGTCAAATGACGAAATGGACGAGGAGATTACACCGGTCGCTCCTGCACCGGTTCAACCTGCACCGACTCAGTTGTCACAAGCCACAATTGAAGAGCGCAAAAAGACAGCTGCCGCAGTCGCGGCTCGACTGAAGGCTTTGAGCAAGTTGAACGCGGCGCCAGAGCCCCCAAACCCAGTGCCACCGCCATCTGAACCGTGAGTCAAAGTCTGATATTTGTATGGCCGACTCATCTCCTCTTAGGTCTGGACCACAGCCCAAGCGCGACCAGGCCGGCTTTGCTGCTCGGATGATGGAAAAATATGGCTACGTACAAGGTCAAGGTCTGGGTGCGAACGCGGACGGTATTGTGGAACCCATCATGCTGGAACGTGCGAATGCACCGAAAGCTACCAAGAAAGGGGAAGAGGGTCCAAAGAAGAGCGGAGCCGGTGGAATGGGAATCGGTGGCTCAAAGATGGGCCGTATCGTCAACGCGCAAGCAGAGGAAAAGATCAAGGCGGACCTCTTACGTTACGGCGAGTCCAGCCGCATCGTCGTTTTGACCAACATGGTCGGTCCTGAGGACGTCGATGACGATCTACAAGGAGAAATTGGTATGACTGGATATTCTCGGTCTATTCTATGCTTATGATTGAATAGGTGATGAATGTTCCAAACATGGAACGGTTGAGCGTGTCGTGGTTCACCTGCCGTATCCAACGCCTGATAATCCAGAGGACGCTGTCCGCATCTTTGTTCAGTTTGCGGGACCTGCTGCCGCATGGAAGGCGGTTCGAGAGCTGGACGGTCGCTTCTTTGGGGGGAGGACGGTCCGAGCAAAATACTTTGACGAAGGAAACTTTATCAAACGACTTTTCGATATCCCTTTGTAGATTTATCAAGCCGATTCTATGCTTTTTTGGGTTCTCGTCAATGACCATGCGATTTAGGCGTGAGTAAACTAGCGACAAAGTGAGTGTGTCAACAATGCTAGAGACCAAAGTCCGTAATCGAATCTATGCATTCAGCGCGACCAGACCGAGCAAGCCAGCGGCGGTGACGAGCTGCGAGGTGGTGACGGCGAGCATTGGTAGCGCTCCATTGCTCGGAAACTCGGATGGAATTGCTGTCGATGGATCTATGGCATTTGTGTCCGCCGCCGCCGTCACGTTTGAAGCCCGCGTAGACGTTCGAGTACTCGTGCCGTTTGTCGCGGTTGCGCTCGTCGAGTTTCCAGAGCCTGGTGTAAATGTAAACAGAATTGCTAGTCCTGTACTGGTCGATGTAGTTGACGTTCGGGGCTGTAATGGCCGAGCAGGGATTGATTAGCTGAATCGTTCATGTGAAAGACGGCTCTTGCTCACCGAAGTGGTGGTGGTTTGGGCACAAGCACCCGTAGCGTAGACTGTTGCGAGTAGAATGAGCGTAAATGGTCGCCAGCCGTACATTTTGACTCAGGCGTAGCAGGAGTTGACTTCCAAGTTTTGACGGTGGCGATGCCCCCGCGTCGTCGCAAGCCCGACATGAAAAATGCAAGTCTATTCATGCTTGACAGTGCCATTGGCATTACATTTCAGAATCTCTTGCCAAGTCTCGCTCACCCCTTCTTCCTCCGTTCCAATCTGTTGGCCGGTTTCTCTGAGCACATAGTATTCTCGATGGGTGGTTTGGACGGACGCTATAGATGGATGAAAGGTCGTCGGTATGTAGACGCCCTCAACGTGGTGATGCCTAGCAGAATCAGGCGTCTTCGAGAGGCAGGCAGCATTCACGTACTCTGAGAGATAGAGACTGAGCCCTTTACTGCGCTTGGAAAGCTCCATCTGTCTACCTGCATCCATAGCCGCCATTTCCAAATGATTCATTTGTCTGCCGCTAACACTGCAAATGTTGGGTAGACCACATCAGGAAACTCTACTCACCTGTTCGCCACAACAGACGCAAGAATATAGCGCTCTGCAACCTGTCTCTCTGCACTTGTATTGGAGCCACGCGTCCGTTGTAGCCACGCCTTGCTGATTCCCTGCACGTAGTCTTCCGAATTTGCACAACGAAGATGATTCCAGACATTACTCTGGCCCATTTTTTGAAGAAAGTCGGACCAGTCCGCTCGGAGATGTGACGAATCGGCGGTGTATGCTCCAGTGGGCTGTGCTCGTCCGAGTGGTTCTCCAGTGGCAGCAAGTACAAAAATGGTATCGACCGAGCCATCTTCTTTGATAATCTTGACTCTTGCTACTTGTTCGCCTTTTAGTAGTTCGAAAGAATGGATCGTCTCTTCAAGGAACTGCCGCCCTTGCTGCCCATACAGTGAAACGGTGGACCAGAACATTGAGATAAGGAATCTACCCTTGTAAGCGCACTATGGTGCCTATTATGGTACTTACCGAAGGCTGTTGACCAATTCATCTCCGCGCTCTATGCCATTCCAAAGTCGATTGGAAAAAGGGCGCGGGATATACTGGGCGAGAAAGGTCTGAGAGTATAGCTGTTTTAGGCCTGTTACCTCTTTGTTCCGATGCTGAACGTATGGCCACAAGTTGGAAAAACAATCATCGGCCCTTGCAAGGATGGCTTTTGTCCGTTCACCAGGAAAGGTCTCGACTAGGACGTATTGCGCAGATACATATACTTTGTAGATTAGTAGATGCATCTCTGGGTCTCGGCACTTACCTGCGTATCGAAACATTCTATTTACTTGACAGCAAGCGTACCTTGATTCATTATCCAAGCTCTTGAGTGCGAGTGCAAGAGGTTTCACGCGTCGACGCTGAGCAATGGTTGGTGGCATTCCTATCTTCGACAACGAAAAGGCGCCATCTGCTTCGATTGGGTCGTCAATTATGAACGCTCGTAGCATGCCTGCGGCGGAATCGTTTTCGCATACGGTTTCTCAGAGCTCGTCATTGATGTTCGATTGCGCACAGACTTGACAGGAACTAGTGGTGTAAAGTGCTTCTGTGGGACCTTTTGCAACGTCTTGGATTGGGTATCGGATACCCTGGATGAAGAAGAGAGAGGTAATTGTTGCTTGGTTTTTGCATTCTGAAGCTCCGTTTCCAATCGAGGTTTCTTGCTGGCGATTCGCTGAACCAGACTGTCTCCGGCACGTTTCTTTAGATATGCAGCTTCGATAGTTGGTTTATGGGGAGAAGTTCAACGGCTCGAGTGACTTTCAATACAAGATTCAATGGGTTATTGGGCAAAGAGGTTGGGGGTGGCATCGAAACGGTGTTGCGTGTTGGGATTGTGTTCGAAGCTAGCTTGCGCACGTCTAGTCGTTCAAAAGGGGGTGTAATATTTGCATTAACTGCTGTGCTGTTCATCTTTGATGGCCCAGCGATAGTTGCCTCGATCCCCTTCAGTGGCTTGTCCTTTTTCTTCCTCGGGGGTTCATTCGATTCCCCTTTATCCTTCTTTGGCTGTCCAGCTTCAGGGACTTTCTTTGCTTTTGGTTTCCTCACAACGCTCGGAGTAGGTTGTGGCTCGACGGACGGATGGATCAATGCAGTGCTCTGAGATGAATTTGTGGAACGATAGTGATCTTGTAGCTTTGATACAAGGGCTCCTTTCTTGAGCTTGGAATACCCAGTGAGCTTGTGCTCCCGACAAAGCGCCATGAGCTGCGCGACGGTCATGACCGTGAGATTCTTCTCCTCGGTCGACATATTCCCCTTCTCCATAGTTCTCCTGACGCCAAAGCCCAAACTAAGCCCCAGCGAGCCAAACTGCGGATATGGAGAGGAACAATGTTGTTAGGCAATGTTGACTCTTGACACGCTCAGCGCTTTGTGAAAAAATACCCAAATAAATATCGAAAAGTAATAGGAATATGGCTAGTAAAGCTCGACTCGAAGACGACGACGTGCACGACGCGCTCCTCCCCGAGTCGTCGTCCTCACCATGGACTGCGGCCAGCGAGCGGTTTGGCGCAATGCTCGGAGCTGTTGCACAGCGAAGAATCGGTCTAAATGGCGGGATAGACCCGTCAGAGGCGTATAACGGGGAGACGCAGGACGCTCTTGACCAGAAACTACGCTCCTTGGATTCAAAGGCACATCGAAATCGACTGAGAGGATGGTATTCGTACGCATTTGCAAGGTAAGGGCTGCCTCTACATCGAAAGAATACCCCTCAACTTTTCGTAGTGAAGTATTCGCCGTGTGCAGTTTGACATTATTTCTTCCAATATGCCTAGAGGTGTGTATTCAATCCAAGATCTCCCACAATGATTCATTGGATAATTTAGCAATTTGCTCGAGATAATGGCTACCTTCTCCCCGACAAGTTTGAGCGCTGCGTTCGCGGGCCCGACCCGGACTCTCTGGCAATTACAGAAGTACCCGGAGAGGAAGCCCGCTGTGTAGTCAAAATTGGATGGCTATGGATTGACAGCGCCTCCTTTTCGCTCTATGTGTACTCGTTCAGCGTGCTGCTCCAAGCGTTGGTCGTAATTTCGTTTGGTGGAGTCGCAGATCGACCTTCACACCGCAAGTTACTCCTCCTAGCCTTTGCATTCCTCGGCTCGACTTCGACAATCTGCTTCCTTTTCCTCCCTTCCTCATCACCAGTATGGCAACTCTGCGTGGTGTTGGCGATATTAGCCATTGTATCCTTTGGCGCATCCATCGTGGCAATGAACGCCTACCTTCCTTCTTTGGCTCGATCGGCACAGGACGTGCGCGACAAGGCCATTATCGTAGAACGTCTACGGGAAGCTGGGCCTATCCCAGAGGCAGACGGAAACCCTGCTCCAGACTCTGATGCGTACGGGAGCTTTGGATTCTCATCTGATTTACACCAACAATCTCGAGGCGAAGCTCAGGAAACAGGCGCAAATGATCCACATCTCGAGCACGCACTGCAGGCGTATAATACCGCTCTCTCTCATGCGACGTCCAAAATCTCATCGAGGGGTATCGCATTAGGTTACAGTGCGGGTATTTTACTGCTATTCGTCGCATTAATACCAGTGACCGTGATGGAGGGATCGACCTTCTCACTTAGGCTAGCTGTGTACGTCTTTCCCTTCCACTTTACTGGATCTAACATGGGTCAACAGGTCCCTCTCGGGGATGTGGTGGGCAGTGTTCAGTATCCCGACGGCCATGTGGTTGCCAGCCGGGCGAGCGGTAAACAGTGGTGGCCTGCGTTGGGAGAGACATGCTACATATGCAAGTGGGACGGTAGATTTGCGTGACGTTCGCGAAGGCAGCGACGATGACGATCTCATGGAACACGACCCGACCATTTTGTCACAAATTGGAGAGGCATGGATTAGACTAGGGCAGATGCTAAGCCCTCGGGAGATGCGTAAACTGCGCAATACGTTTTGGTACTTGGCCGCATGGTTCCTCTTGTCAGACGGTGAGTCCCTGAAGACTTCTTTCGAAGCAATTAACCAAGGGGGCGATCAGCATTCACCACAATCACTTCTACGGCGGTTCTCTTTGCGAAAACGACCCTACTCCTCCCACCAAAGGCGCTCATCGTGGTCGGGCTCTTGACACCGATGGCCGGGATTGTGGGTTCGCTGCTCTGGCCAAGACTCCAACGGATGCTTCGTTTTTCCAACCAGGGCATCCTTTTGACGCTCATCTTGCTTGCGTCATTCGTACCACTATACGGTTGCCTCGGGTTCCTGCCCATCTTCAAGGGTAAACCTATTGGAGGCCTCGTTACGGCACACGAACTTTATGTGCTGGCGGTCTATTTTGGATCGCTCTATGGCGCGTTCCAGGCGTATGCACGTGCAGTGTTTGCAGAGTTGATACCAGTTGGAGAAGAGGCTCGATGGTACGGGCTATTTTCGATCACAGACAAGGTGGGCACACACACACTCTCTCTACAGACAAAAAAGAAGCTTTATTGACAAGGTCCTAGTCTTCATCGTTCCTGGGCCCTCTCATCGTCGGATTGATCGCAGACGCGACAGGGAATATCCGCTATGCCTTCTTCTTCCTGCTGTTCATGATGCTCGCAGCCTGTCTACCGCTGCTGGTCGTCAATGTGCCCCAAGGACGAAAGGATGCAGAAGCATATTCACAAGCGGATTAATTTCATTTGGTTCTAGATGTCGTTCGGGCTCGGTCTCCATCTTCTGTCTCGGGCTCGGTCAGCACTTGGATGATTCGCCCAGAGTCGAAGAGGATGTGTTTCGTCTGTCTCCGACACACGTCGATTGTCGCTGTCCCCGATGCCGCGTGCTGCCGTTGGTGGGAGTGTAGCGTCTAAACAAGGGAAGAGGACGGCCGTTGAAGATGGGCGCTTTATTTAAACGAGGTTAATTTGCGGCTGAATTGATGAAGCTGGAGGGATTCTTGTTATATTTGCAACGTTGCTCCCCGATTGACGCCAATGTCGCGCTAAGCTAAGGATTCGAGCGCTCATTCCGCAGTCATTCACCGAGTTTAACGCTTAGGTCCGCGAGACACGGGCAGTTTAGCGACGGTGATTTTGTGTATTTTGGATGGGTAATTTGTAGAGAAAGAGGATAGATGAGTGAGTGCCGGCCATTGGCTGGTTGTTTTCCAAGCGCTGGCTCGCCATGTCGGCGATGGTTGACAAGAAGAGAGGGGGCTCGGCCACACCGTCACGCAACCCGACGGCGTATTTATACAGGGTCACTCGGAGCACCCACGCTGTCGCCTCTTTGCAACAATGCCCCTTCGGATTGTCGTCCCAGAGAGTCCAGCCGTGACCAAAGGTGGGTTATTCGGTTTTGATTAGATTTAACAAGCTCTGATTTTCATCAAAAGATGCAACGACGCTACACTATCGCCAGCTGCAGTATCCCCTCAGCGACGACGAGCTCTTGACACTCCGGCAGATGAGACTGGCAAGCGGCACGTACTATGACCGCATCCCAACGTGGCTCGAGGAGATGAGAACGGGTGCTAGACTCATGTGGTTTATCCATCTTGGACCACCAAATCCCGTCAAGCAAGAGTCTTCCCCAGTTTCGCCAGGAAATCTCTCGTTTATTCTCAACCCGCAACCGAGTCAATCCCCAACGCAGCTTTATTCCCAAGTCGCCCAACGTGAAAAGGCGTGGAATCTACCATTTTCTACACCTCCGATAGCCATGGTCTGCCTCCTGACCTCGAATCCATCCGACCCATCCTTGGCCTCTCCCCACACCCGTCGATTCGAACTCACCTCTTTGTGGATTTACCCTGCTTATCGGTCAAACGGCGTGGGTACGAGTATCATCAAGCAAATGGAGTATGAAGCCGCCCAGCGCGGTGCCGAATATGTTACCTTTAACACTAGCGCCGGCTACGGTGCGCCTCCAACGCCTTCATCTGCTCAAAACTCGCCAACCCATCCATCCAATTATCTCATCTCATCCAATACCCACAATCCTCAACCACTAAACGGCCAGTCTGCAAATACCAACAATGCCGCCTTGGCTACCTTGCGCACCTTTGAACGCATCGGTTACAACGAATACAAGCCCCGCGAGCACAGATACAGCATCAACGACGTCGTCAACGCAGGTCTCCCCATTGAATCTACTCTCGCCGCCTTTTTCGAAAAATACGTAGGAAGGCCTCGCACATATACCTCGACCAATTCCAACGGCAGCAATGGCAGCGGCACCAGCAGTGGCAGTCTCAAAGGACAGGTATCCGTCTGAGCATGTTTTTTTCTGTTTCCCCCATTTTGCAATGTATACTACTCCTTGGCTCCGCGACTGTATAGCTTGTTTGCTCCGTATACTACTCGCACCCAGCAGAGACCTCGCTCGGTCAAGTCCTTTTTGAGGAGCATTTATCCATCTCACTCTAGCCTTTCGAGGGTGTCTACCAAAGGCAACAATGCCAGGTACACTACCCGTCAGGCCGACTTTTTTCAAGTTTGTTTCTTCGCATCCTAGTTTGAAGCGGTCTATGTAGCATAGTGAGAATAACTGCATAAAAAGGGAATATAGGGATCGAATTAAAGGGCCAGGGGGGGGAGGGGATTATCGTTTACGGTATTGCGTGAGGTAACGCTGGCTCGTCCATCTCGTCGCCCTCTCCATCTTGTTCATTATCGAGCGAGGGCTGAACAGTCGGGTCAACATCAACTGCACCGGGCCATCGTGGCGCAGCTGGGTTTTCAATATGATAGACGGTATGCGCCGTGTTCCTCCGTTTCGTCGTCGGCCTTGGAGGTTATGAGTGCCTGAATCCCACAAGACTGAATAAAGATGGCTCACCCTCCCTCTACAAACGTTCTCCATACATATCCCACGAGTTCTTCCGCACCCGGTAGCTCTTGTAACAACGCCTTGATAACATTATCGTGCAGGCCAAACATTTCGTCTCCATTCATCACTGCTTGCTCTGGTTGGTTCCGCACTCGGAGTCCCTCTGTGTAAATGTTCCACCATGCAGATGTAGCAGAATGACCCCGTTCCTCTGGTGCGTCCTCGGGAGTGACGACAAAGACTGGATGCATAGGATCCCGTCCGGCCTCAATGCTACACGTATATCGAACGAGAATCTTGGGGTTCTTTGTCGAGAACCAACGCCTAGTCCTTTGTTCAATCACCTGCTTATAAAATCACTCCAGAACTTACCTCTCGCATTTATACCCGATCGGATACAAAGCCTTTGTAGTAGCAAGATCCTGCTTGGTTTGTATCTGGCCCAAGGATAGGAGCGTAAACATGCCAATCTGCATCGGAAGTAGTGGTACCCCGTTGGGTCCTCGAGGAATCGGTGGAATGTTAATCTTGTTCCTCGCTGCGGTCACGGTCGTGTTTCGTTTCTTGGGGGGCTTGCCTGATCCTTGTACACTCGACGCAGGCGAACGTGGTCGCTTCATGCCAACCTTTGGGCCTCCAACAGTGTCAACAGAGAGCTCATAGTCGACTGAAGCCTCGTCATCCTGCTGTGATCCCTTTGGAGGTTTGAGTCGAATGCGAGTGCCAGACTTTGCGACAAGTGGGATGGTCGTATCCTCCCCGTCACCCATTGGCATCGTCGTCGTCGGCGAGACGGCAATATCGCCACCATTGGCAGCAATAGGATGCTGAGTGACGACGGGTTTCTGTCGCTTGCTCGATCGTCGTGGCTCGTTTACCGCGTCTTCTGCGGCCAGCATGGCGAGTTTGTCCTTGTGGACGGCACTCAATCGCACCGGACGAGCGCGCTCATTGGTCAAGGGAGACGAAGAGGATGGGTGGAGGTGTCCCAGTGGCTCATAGTGAATGCCGAGAACGGTCTGCACAAAGCTTGCTGCTGCGGCTCGTGACGAGGCAGAAGAGGACAGTCCGCGAGGGAGTGCAGATGGGCGTTGAAGCAAGGCAGATGGCTGGTTTGATTCCAACTGGTGGATGCGCTGGATCAAGACGCTACAAAATTGCGGAGGTGTAAGTAACTGAGAGCCCGGCCAAGAGCATAGATCACCCACGTCCGTTCCAGTTCGAGCTTTTTCTGCATCTCTTGTGCATTTCGTACCAGAGTCTTGAGTGCGTCCAACTCTACGGCCTGCTGTTGCTGCACCGTCTGAATCTCCTAAAAAAGCAATGTGAGCCAATAATGACCAGTGGAAGCTGGTAGAGGACGAACCTGCTTGAATTGCTAGAGGATCACGAGGGCGTCAGCAAACGGCATACGCAACGTAGCAGCGGCCAAGCAGACGCAAAGAGTATGGCCCATGGGCAAGAGGAGAGGAGAGCTCACTTGTTCGTGGGTTTCGTGCATAATCCGCAGAGTGCTGATGCCCTCGACGAGCTCCGTAGTCGACGTCTGCACACGCTGCGTCCCAGCCGTCGTCGGCGTCGTTGTCGCCGTCGTTGACGCCCCGTTTGCAAGCAGTGCGCCGCTCGACATTGCTCCGAGCGTTGCAGTCGCCATCTTCTCGCCTACTCTACTATTTTTTATGCGCAACGAGCGTCGACGTCGTCCACGGCCGTTTTTGCGGTAAAGGTGGAGGCCAAAATGATGCAAAGGTGGTCTGGTCCCATCCATTACCGATGGATGAGTGCGCTCACACTGCATCATTCACGTCCGCTGATCATCTTAAAATTATAATATTAATGCACTAGTACTCTCTACACGCTCAGACACATGCTCCCTTCACTCGATCACGTTGTAAACCTCTGGAATCCTCGCGCGTGGCACATATCCGAGCTTGGATCTCCGCAGCAAAACCGTGTGGTGGATATTCGGAGGTGGGTGAGGCGCTACCCTTCGAGCTCGTCCAAGATTCGGCCTTTGGAACGCTTTAGCCCTCGCCGGCCACAAGTCGGAGACAACGTACCAAAAAGTTGAGCGCCATTTCCCCCGCTCTTGCCATACCCTCTTCATTGGGATCAACTCCAAGATGAGCCACCATTTGTTCAGCATCATCTCGTCGTGTAGTGGCTCCAACGCATCTTCCTCGTCCAGCTCTTCGCATGTCATCTTGTAATGGTCCTCAAACGTGTGTTCATTTGGTTCGTCCACCTCTCGCAGCACCGCTGGGAAAAACGTCGTGGTGAAGCGTCGCAGGATGCCGGGTCTTGGTGGCGTGGTCGACCGTGTAGATACACCAGGTGCGCTCCTACTGGACGTGGTAACACTCCATCGACGATTCATAGCAACCGTCTGGTTCAATGACCATAGAGGTTTGGGAGTCTGGATGAGCGGTGCCGTCTCCGAATCATCAAAAGTGCCTGGTTCGTCGACAAATCGAACAGCGGACATCGGAGGTGCCTCCCAGAAGTAATTATATTCGTATTCATCCGGCGCCTTGAACGATTCAAAGGCAGTGGTGATTCTGAACAGAGTGCGGGGAATACCCATTCCTCGAAGACGGGGAACATCACTGCCGGAGGAGATCAGTTGACAAAGAAGAAACATGATCTCACATACAACAAAATGCCGCATTGAGACCGAGCAATCTCACGAAGCATCCATCGTAGTGAAATGTTGGACAATGAATGGACACGATCATCCTTGCATTCACCTCCTCCGACATCTGTAGGAAGATTAGAAGAAGGACTTGCATCTTGGTGAATACCTACCCGCATGCGTCCCAGCAAACCAGACCTCCAAGACGTCCGTCTCGCCACGCCCATACGTTACGCTGTCCTGACGAGCGTGTTCATACCACGTATTTTTGCGACGAGTATGGTCATATGGCTGGGACTCTTCTGCCATTTGCTTCTGCCAAGTGTTCACATTAAACTTGCTACGGCACTCATCCAGGGAAATGGCATGTCGAAACGTCTTGATGATATGATTCGAGCTTGTAAAGGGGAGATGGCGAGGAATGATGGAACCCTGCGAAGAGTTTATTTCGACAAGGTCCTGAAGGATAGCCACTTACGACGGATGAGACGGTGTCCCTGCACCTAGTCAGACGCATTTCAATCTTGCACTAAAACGTACCAAGCACCCATGAATTCGATATCGACTGTCCTCGAAAAGGTCTGTTTGAATCCAGACGCTTGTTTGACCCCTTCCTCGTCTATCCAAAATATAAGTGACACTAAGGATTAATGTGTTTACTTGCCTGTTCTTTTGTACATTTCAAAGGCAAACGTGACCTGCTCTTGATTGTCCTTGGCTAGTAACCCGACCTGTTCACCGTGGGTGAGTATTGGTTCATGGTGGCATCGGTACTCGACCTTGTGAAGCATCCCAGCCAGACATCGTGCGGTATACGCTCCTCGAGAGAACCCAAACTTCTCCTGTCAACAACCAATACGCCACAGCATGCGGTACCATACCAAGCAAATCCGGTCTCCCGGTCTCCAGTTATTCATGAGGTAAATATACCCGTGTTGAACTACGAAGCCATCGTTACCAACACCAAGGGAAAGGAAGAGCATACCATGGGCTTCGAGATAGACAGCGACAGCCATGTCGACGGCCTTTGAGATGGCCGACATGACGCCTCTAGGAACCCATGTGAACAACATGGAAACCATTTAAACCCTCCGAAATCACTCACCCCCATACACCTGGACTGACATAGGTTCCCAGGCCGGGCTTTGTCGGAGCCGGGTCAACGAGGACGATGTGATTCGGGAGATTGGACTCACCTGATAGTACACCATTTGTTGGTTCCTATCATCTTTTCTCTGGAAACCGGTTCAGTCACCATTATCCCGTGAAGTTTGCGCACATGAGACGCGAGACGCGACGCACCAGAAGCGAGAACAACTTGACGATATTCGTATTCTAATCCCTTTTCTCATAAGAAGCAATATTCCACTTAGAAACACAAACGCACGTCTCCATCAAACTTGTCCGCTGATTGGCGGCGTCAACTTGGAGCAATGTGCAAAGGGGGATCGAAAGGGATTACCTGTACCGTCAAAGCAGAGCACGAGCGTCCGTCCTCGTCCATCTGCTCGTTCGCCAAATGCCATCAACAATGAATAAAATTCAAGAATAAAACGCAAGACGAATGACGAGAAAGCCAAGTTGGGTGGCCGACTGCCTCATTGCACCCTTCGGAGCCATTTGGAAAATCGGCACGGCTTCGGTGGCTTGCGACATGTCAATGTCAATATGAAATAACAGAGACTGAACAAAGACAAGGGTTTGTGCGCGGCAAATGCTCTCAAATATCCAGAAGAAGAAAGTGTCTACAGGTATGAACATACCGAGCAGAGTTATTCATGTACACGAAGACAAATGAGCGGCAACACGAGGTAAAGAGGTCTGCAAGACCCGAGAACGCGGCTCGAGTCAGGCAGAAAATGTAAATCGAAGAGGGGAAGGTCACTAGGACCAGCGGATAGTGAGAGGGTCGGAAGATCCGCGCGGGCTGCGCACGCTCTGCGCGGGGATCTATAGGGAACGAATGGGATGAATGGGTATGTGGATCATGAAGAGGACAGGAGTGGAGCCTCGTCGCCCATGTTGCTTGGGATTTTTTCTTGACAAGAGAGAACAAAAATACCAAAGTCCGGATGCAATAAATTTCCCCCCAATCCATAAAGGGGAAGTTAGACAGTCTATGAATGCACAATGAGAGAGTCGCTTGTCGGTTCGTTATACGGCAAATGCGCCCTTTTGGTCGAGCGACTCGCCCGAGGTGTTGTGGAGCGGATGAATGTTGCGCGGCGAGTGTGTGTATGCCTCGAGTCCGATATTGTCCGCCTCGACGTGCTGGCTACGCGTCACGTTGATGCCACCGAGCGATTCTGTCTGGTTCGGGCGTGCCCACTGGATCGTCGACGTCTTGCCAAAGTCGCGGTTGCTGCGACCCGTCACGCGCGTGTTGGCGTTGGACCATGGTTGGCTGGTGTTGCTCCTGTCGACGGGCGATGCAAACTCGCTCAGGCGGACAAAGCTCCGGCACGCGACCGACGACGAAATGCCAACAGCCGGAATAGAGAACATCTATGGTTTGTCCGAGATGAAAACAGGTTGCGTGTGAAGAGGAGACTGTCAGATCGGATCGGTTGCGGAGACGGAGAAACTACGTACGACGTTCATCACTGGGTTCAGATTGATGAGGAGCATGACAGCCGGGACCGTGTTGACGAGGAAGGCGACAAGGAAATAGAGGATACCATCGTTGAGCAGGAGCTTCCACAGCTGCGAGCGGCCGGGAGTGATGAGCAGCCCGACAAGAGTCAAGATGAGGACGATCAAGTCCGTGAACATGGCTACCGCAGCGTCAGTAAACATGGCGAGTATGATGGGACTTTTCCATACTCCAGAGGTAGACCAAGTTGAGGAACAGCCCGTCGACTTGTGCGACGACACAAGCATTGGTCGTTGGATCATAGAAAGCCTTGACGGTCGTGATTCCGTGGAGGAGGATACCCCATTGTCCGGCGCTGATGAGACCGAGAGGAATGATGATTGCCCATTTCTTGTTCCAGACCGCAACCGTCCTGAGCATGAGCTAGAACGGGCTAATAAGGGCCCAGCCAGAGGGGCTTTTGGCAGGAGACAAACGCACCAGTGTCGATGCGGCACCAATCGACGTGTTTCCACCATATTGATTCCACTGTTTCAAACATTAGATGCGGAGGGGTCCGGCGGACAAAAACTCACGGTGTAGAGGACCTGGCAATTGACAACGGGACCCGAGACATTGAGGGCGACGAGCCTAGATGCAAGAAAATAATAAGTCCTCCGTCACTCGAAACAATGACGGATTCGCGTACATCCCCAGGAAAGCACCTGTTTGAGAGGCCGATCAGCGGAGGGCGACTAGACTCAAACGGCCAGGAACGTACCGAACAGGATCCATTTGCAGTAGAAGTACCTAGTTGTCCAAACTATCAATCTCCGGTGCCGCAAATGAAACTCCGGGACTCACAGTATCTGACCGACCCGGAACTTTCTGCGGCCGCAGATAACGTCGAGCTCAAACTTGCTCGAGAGGAAGACCTATGGTCATGTTGTAAATACTTGGGGAATTTTCAGCGTGGCTGATTGGGCGAACCTCTAGGAAATACGCGCTGGAGTCGCAGTGGAATTAGCACGACGCAGACGAGCATTGGCCAACGAGTTTACACACCCAATCGCAAAATGTGACAAGTTGTTGAAGACAACGCCCTGTTATGATTAAAGAGAATTATTAGCCACTTTTCTGTTGACGCGCCGCAGATGCCTTACCGTCTTTGCGAGAACGGGGAGTGACATCCAGTCGATACCCATTGTGATTTTTTGTACGAGCTGACTGCACTGCAGATCCAAGTATTTGGCTTTTTAGGGTGACAGACGAGGGGGGAAGAACGAGGGAACGAGGGGGGAACCAGAGTTTCCAAATGGCAGGCGGGTCTGGGTTATTATATGGGAACGGGTGGGTAGCAGAGGGAGAGCGGCCCTTGATGGCAAAGAGTCTGTTTTACAACAAAGCAACAAATTGATCCAGTTTCATCTCATCGCTTTTTCTACGACGCGGAGCAAGCTCGTGGCTCTCAGGCGACAGAGCTTCCGACACCGTCCCGCCGCCCTATGAGGGGACCCTTCTCTTCCCACCATCATTGTCTCGTAGACAAGGCCATGGATCATTATCTCCAACAGTTCTGGACCCATCCTCCTTCGTTTCCCCTTGCGTGAGATTACTCGCGGTCCGTCACAGTGCCAGGCCCAGCGGCGTTATCTGCGGATGCAACAACCTCCCTGTCAGCCCCAACTATTGGTTTGATGCGTATACGGGTTCCTGAACGAGCCACCAATGATTCCCCACCGCTGCTAGCGCTTCCGCTCAAAACATGCCCAAGCTCCGCGTCCACAACGGGATGATACGATGCCGCTGGTGTCGATTCCACAGGGAACCCCACTGCCGGAGACCCTGGATTGGCGGAGCCCGTCGTCGTCGATGCTTGCAGAAGCTGTTGTTGTGGCTGCTGTTGCTGTTGCTTAGAAGTTCTAGATCGCTTCGGGAGCTTGATGATTTCGCGTTCTGCTTCGACTCTTGTGAAACCGGTATCGTGCGAGTCGCCGGGATGCATCGCGAGTTGCATGGCTCGTTGGTTTCGACTGTGAACAGCTTCCGGTCCACAATGTCGGGACGATCCTAGTGGATCATAGGCCAGGGATAACGGTTCTCTGAGGGCTGGAAGCAGTCTCGCTTTGAGTCGTCCATCACGATCACTTCCCTGTCTCGATGTTATGGACGGATCAGGTCGTTGTCTCAATGTGTTTTCTAGCTCTGAGATGCGGTCCAACAGTTGGCTAAAACGGCATCAGAACCCTGCTCTGGACACCCTAAACCGTTTACCCACTCTCTTTCGGCCGTGAGGTCTGTGCACGCAGCTCGGGTCTTCCATAACTCCTTTTTAACCTTTGAGAGTTCTGGGTTTGTCAAGACTTGCTGCATTTGCTGCAGCACGGCTCAGCCCTTTAGCCTGTTTTGTTGAGACGACCGGTTGGCTCACACGTTTGTACGCCTACAGGACATTCATCAGCATCGTAGAAGAGACAGAAACCACCCAGACATACTATTTCCATGTCCTCGTAGGCACGCTTGACGGCCTCGTACTCGTTCAAGAGCGCTGCGTGGTCTGCCATGGACGACACGATTCCCCAATTTAAAAACCCAACAATGAGCTGATTATTTCCTGCGTATTCTACGTGCTCCTCGCCCTTCTTGCAATAATGATGGTCACGGCTGTAGACAACTTTGACCATTACCATCTCAGCCCTCGTTATGCTCGTTGCCCGACGCACGGCTCGTCTTGCACGCTATTTAAGCACAGAATCAGTTTCTTCACGGTCTCCAGATTCATCTCCACCTCCCCCGCAATCCCGCACGCAAACAGCGCGACCCCAAGCCCGTTCGTCGCTGACACCGCGAAAGCCAGATCCCTCGACGTCGTCTTCACCATCCATACCAGGCTCAACGAGCAATAGCAGCATTCCTCTACGTCTTCCAAGGGATTTTGGCCGCAACCAGCTGCTTTCGGTACCCAGCTCGACCCGCGCGCTGCTCGAGGAGATTGTAGGCACATTCCACTCGCCCATACGATATGCATTCGCCTATGGATCAGGTGTATTCGAGCAAGAAGGCAGCAGCAAGTTAGAAAAGACAAGAAACCCATGCTCGACTTCATCTTTGCCGTCTCACACCCAGAGCACTGGCACTCGATCAATCTCGCGCAGAATCCATCTCACTACGCCCTCCATGCACGTCTATTGGGTAGCGACTTTGTGGGACGCGTGCAGAACTGGGGGCCAGCCGCCGTTTGGTTCAACCCCTTCGTGCCCGTATGCGGCGTGGTGCGTAGACGTTCGGCAAACCTTTCGACCGCCATGCTAAAAAAATTTATTTGCAGAACATTAAATACGGCGTAATATCAGTAGACAATCTATGCACAGACTTGCTGACCTGGAACTCGCTCTACGTCGCAGGCAGGATGCATAAGCCGCTCCGCATCATTAAGGACGATGCCCGAGTGCGACTGACGCAACAAGTCAACCTAACCTCGGCAATACGCACCGCGCTTCTGACGCTTCCGGAAACCTTTGAAGAGCGTCAGCTTTACGAACGCATTGCGGCCCTTTCGTATAATGGCGACCTACGAATGGCGCTCCCCTTTGAGAACCGATCCAAGATTTCAAATATTGTCAACGCGCAGACGCCCCAGTTTAGAGATCTCTACCACCGGTTGGTTGTCGGACTGCCGGGCGTCGAATGGCAAGAAGGCTCCACTACGATTAAACAAGACGGTTCTCCGCTCACGCGCGCGGCTCATGTGCGCAAGCTTCCTTCCGAGTTGAGGAATCGAATCGATATCCGGTTCGCTAATCGACCTGGAATTCCGTCGAAAGATTCGGACGAGTCGGGCTACTGGGCTCACGTTGCTGCCGATGCATCGTTGCCAGAAATAATCGAGGCTGGTATGATGAATTTTTCATTGCGATTTTCCCGGTTTTGTTCACTCTTTTTCATTTACAGAGGTCAACCAAACCGTGCGCTATTCCTCTACTATTCAGTCCTTAAAGGGGTTGGTCACCGCAGGAGTCGGAACAAGCATAAGATATACTGGTCGTAAGATTGCGAAATACTGGCAGGGCAACAAGCCACAATAATTATACTATCTATCGGTAGAGTAATCCACAAGACGCGAATAGAAGACTATCGTAGTATATATCATGATACTTAAAACGATGCATTCGCATCAGGCGCGGCCTGGAGTCCCGTAAGAAAGGCATCCCATGCCCCGTCTGAGGTAGACTGCGCTGTGCCGTCAAACCGCGCCATACCATCAAAACCGCAGGGGATATTGATGTATGAAAACGATGGTGCTGATCCAAGCGTGGTGGTATCGAACTGACCTTGACTTGCGACGCCACGGTGACTCGCGGGCACGGTATCAATTAGATAGTTTGGCGCGAGGAAACATGGATATAAGTACAGGAATTATTGACAAGGTTACGATTGGCTGCTGCGAACGAAACGCTACGACTTGGAGGCGCATCCAACTGGCTCATTTGTACCACCAAGTAGTGCTTCCAGCCCCTACAGTCAAAGAGCGCCCTCAAAGTCAATCCAATAAATTACTTGATCTTCGTATTGCTTTCTGGGATCCCCTGCACAGGTGGCCGTAGGCCCAAGACGCCTTCCCCATTCTGAGTTCCCTTTCTTGCAATTGAGGCTGAAATAGTGTCTTCTATATAATCCGAATCGAGATACTGAGACTGAGCAACATGTATCTCTCCCTTCGATGGCCTGCCTGAAAAGAGTCATTATGACAAACAAACTGCCATTACCTAACGAACCGCATTTCGTGACAACTAAAACTGTACGTTGGAAGTAGGTACGACTTGTAGTCCGGTTAGAAAAGCCTCCCATGCCTCGTCTGAGGTAGTCTGCGCTGTGCCATCAAACTGCGCCATACCATCAAACCCATAGGGCATATTGAAGTACGGCAACGATGGCGCCGATGCAAGAGTGGTAGGATCAATTTGGCCTTGGAACGGCGCAGCAGCCCCCCCTAGCCACTCGAACATGCCCGATTTTTCTGGCGAGAATTGTCCAAAGCTCGGCGTAGCCGAGTTGACCATATTTGAACTAGATGTCGTCGAAGGTGGACGGTGGAGAGACGGGAACATGTCGTTGGGGGTCAAGGGTCCATTCGGCTGGATATCACATGTGAGATCACCTCCCATCAACGGCGGGAACATGGTTTGCTCGGGAGGGAAGCCCAGCAGGTGAGATGACCCCGCCCTGGAGCTCGCATCTCCATCTTCAGAGTCTGATTCACCTTGGAATCGCTTCATATACTCTGTGAGTAAATGATGTGCGACGTTTGGTGGAGATCCGCCAGAACCGGTATCGGGGTGTTGGCAGACGTGTTATCTTGTGACTCTCGTTCCCTGCCTGGCTCCGTTCTTGATATGAATCCTGGACGACCTGCAAAGCGCATCACATCCACATCACCATCTGCACTTGAGCAATCCCTGGCATCGACGGGCCATTTGCCTTCATTGCGCATTGCCATCGCCAAGTGGGCTTGATCGTATAGTTTACTGATAATTGGCTAGGTAGATTGTCAGTTTTAGTCAAGTGTGGAAACCTCGACTTGCTTGTGCGTGTGCCAGTCGGTAGGAGGTGACGCGAGCGAAGAGGTCCTTCGTTCGGTCAATCTCCACGATACACGACTTGGCAAGGGAACATCCTGGGCTCTTGATAACCAAAGCACAGAGGCATATCTGAAAAAGGTGAGCACACGGTGTTTTACATCGTTTGTTACACACATAAGCAGATCTAGGGCGGGTCAATAGGGTCCAGATCAGAAATTTAGACTCACAAGCCATGAAGCCATATGAAGAATATCCTTGGCAGGAATTGTCCAATTAAGCTGTCCAACCGTTGGATGCCCTGCAACAGCAAGACTGCGCTGCGATGCACAGCAAGAACGCTCATTGCATATTTGCTGCGCAAAGGCTCGTTTGGGAAGCGACTCAACGCCTCGACGAAGTATCGCCGATGCATATACATCAACACTTTCAGGGCGTCAGCACCGTTACGACCTGTAACAAAAGAAGCAAAATACCGATTTCACGTAGACCGGTCGTAGCAAAGGAACGCATGAGGATGACCATAAACTTGCGATTGGTTTCCTCTGGAAGCTGCATCTGAAGATCGTCCACAGCCGGAACGCTATCTAGCGGCCAATCGCGTATTTCCTTGTCAATTCTAGGACAGAGTTTAGAGAATCCCTGTGCAGATAAATCTGCTTACTTGAGTATTCTGGCGTAGGATGGTGGCTTGACGGCGAATGCTTCATCCAAAATAGTCCCCAACCCGGTAGCGATCCAGCGAAACTTAATTCGATTGACTGTGAATAATGTCAATGATTGGGTCAGGACTGTAAGGTAGTAAACTCGTACATGATGGTCTCTTTCCATCATCCTCTGGATCATGCGGCATCTTTGCGTCAAAGTGTGCGACGTTAATTGCCCGCGGACGCCCCATTGCAAAAGCTTGAGCAGTCTCAAATGAGATGAGCTCCCACCAGGTCCTACGTCGCTTCTCGGCTTCTGCGGGATTCAAACGCCATTGAGGATTATCTCGATGAAGCCCCGCCTGGGAAATATAAGACTAGTCACCATAGTCTGCCACTACTCACCATTTGCGCGAGTCGAATAGCTATGCTCGTTGCTAACCCTATAAGGAGATGAAGATGGACAAGCAGTAGGATACCTAAACTTACAGCTCTTGTTCGGACCGCTAGGATCCCCTTGAACACCATAGAACACAGCCAATAATTGCTGGGAGAGTAAGAAAACGGAAAATTTTGAACAAGCTCACGTACAAGATACTGTATCGTTAACAGTGACCTTGACTGGAATATATCCTAGGGGCATGTAAGCAAGATTTGGTGGTGACTCTTTCACGCACCTCGCCCAAGCCCATGGAGATCTTTGACAGATGATAGAAGCGAGACGCGTCTGGATGATTGAGGGGCTGCTTTGGATCCATAATGACTGATATAGCCATAACTAGGAAGAGCAATCCGACTTGTTGATCATCAGGAGAGCCTCCGACAGTGTAGACTGGTCGGAACACCGTCTCGAGGAACTCGTCCCAGATGTTTGGAAGTGTACTTCCATCTGCATTAGTTTCGGAAAAGAAAATTTGTAAAGACGCACGACCAAGCCAGCCTTGAATGATAAGTGTAGCACGAATCGTAGGCGACGTTCTCGGCAGGCAGATGAGATCGAATCTCCTTCCTAATAATCTCCTCGGCCTCGATCTGAGTAACGGTCTTGAATGGGAAGGTTTTGCTTAAAATCATGAGATCGACCGGAAGGGGGCTAGGCGCCTCAATAGATGATGGCAAAGGGTCACCCCTCTGCGGAATGAATAAGTTGAGGGATTTATCAGCAGCTGTCATGCTTACGGGGATGAAGAACTCGGAACCGGCATGTGGGCCATACCTATTGAATTCGTGAGTCAGGCGTTGACGGAGAGATACGACCTCGTACCATACCGTCTGGCCATTGGCTTCCAGTGTCAAGGTTCCAAACGTGTCGATGAGGCTCTGACAAGTCAAGGTGTGTCAGAGGCTGGCCCTAATCCTGTACACGGCGGGCTTACCTCATCCTCCGGCTCAACCTTGACTGCAGAATCAACTGGAGCGAGCTTCTCGGAAACGAGCTTGAGTGATTGCTGGAGTAGGGGATGAGGTTCGGGCGTGACTTGGGATTGCAGCTCGCTGAGTGCGGTCTCAAGCTCTCGAACGCGCTTGCGTAAACTATCAATTTCTTCATGGAGCTCCTTGGTGTTGCTGAGAATAAACCTATCGTGTAGCATCAAACCGTTTGGTCAGTAAGACAAAGGGTGCGAAAGGAGCTTGCACACCGAGTACCCTTGCCAGCGACGAGTTGACCGTCTGGGCAAATCTGTGGACATCCTCTCCGAATACAAGCACCGCACGGCTGATTTTTATCGCATTTTAGCCTGGGGGCCCGTCCGTCAGAATCACGGCCACTACACATTCCTCTGCGACAGATTAGACGTAGTAATCGACGTACTTGAGCCGTTTACATTCTGCGCACGCGTGAGCGAGTGTGTGCGCGGCAGGCATTTACGATTATATTGTCAGATGTAGATTGAAGTTGGGTCCAAGTTACTGTGCTCTCGGATACGCTGCGTAAGGGGCTGGGCATCTGCCGGGAGATTATCTCAGCAACGCTTTTAATCGAGACTAAAACCCCCGAGTACGGCGCAATGACGAATTGCGGGCACGGTATGAATTAGATAGTTTGTCACAAGAAAACATGATAATAGGTACAAGAACTATAGAAAGGGTTACGATCGGGTGACCGGGCTGCTGCGACGAAGCTCCGCGACTGCGTCGGAGGTAGAGGCTGGAGCACCGGCGGCCACTACAAGTTGATAGCATTCTTTTCGACTGTAGATTTCTGACGACCATCTCTTGACACACGCCTACCGATCGGAACGGGTTAGCTATTCCGGATGCACACGTACGCGCCACGTACCAATAATAGTCAATCACAGACGCCTCTCCCAGTTTCCTTAGAAAGTTCTCGTCGTGTGTAATGATAATGAGCTGGAAATTAGCCTGCGTGCGTCGTTCTCGAATGATACTATGAGGAGGTAGTCAGTCGCCTATTCTGTTCCGTCACACGACGTACTCGACCAAGCTCTGCGCTAGCGCCTCAATGTTGTCAACATCGAGTGCATTCGTCGGCTCATCCAAAGCCAGGACACCGCAGTTTGCTCCAAAGCTATCCGAAAGAGCCAGACGGATAATGATCGAAGCGAGCATTTTCTGACCCGCTGAGCAGCGTCCTCTCATATCCATCTCCACTTGGTCCTTCACCATCACGACCTATCATGGTGAGAATTCATCTCCCAAAGGGACCCAGCACTCACTCGGTAGTTGTAATTTCGTCGCCCTGACCCGCCACCCTCTCCTTCAGAGATGATTTTGATGCCGTCGATATCTAGAAATGATCAGATCTGGGCTGTTGTGTCAGAAATCCCTTATACCGGTGCCTTGGTAGGTACGGTTCCACAGGTAGCGCATCGTGTCATTGACTTCAGCCATCTTCACTGAGTGGTATTTCATGATGGCACTTTTCATATTGTGAGTCGAAGGTATGAAAAGAGGACGGGTTTACCTGTCGAGCGCCTTCGCATACTTTTCGAGGTCGTTGTTAACCATGTCTGCCATCTTCTCTTCTAAGTATTTCCCATCCTCGTATTAGGACATTTACCTTGGTCTTGATCAGCTGTTCCGTGTATTTCCTACTGGCATCCTTGTACTCTCGCATATCCCGCTCCAGACCCGTCAATTGATTGCGCAGGGAAGTGAGCTCGCCAACAAGGCGTTGAGACTTTTCACGAGCGTCAGTCATGAAACTACGGCAAAAATGATGGGAATACCTGTCGATACGCATCGTCTTCTGCCGCTTTCGCGCGATTGTACTTTTCGTCAAATTGCTGACGCGCCCGGCTCGCCTCTTCAAGGTCCAATGCTGCGGTTCGGGCGTCTATCTGAGCAATTTCTCGCGCAAGCGCCCTGGCGCGGAGGTTGTCTTTTAATGTTGAAGCCGTTAATGAGGAAGAAGCCACTTCTTTGGTCAGCCTGCCGACTTCGGCGCGTAGAGCCTCGATGTCTTGAATACCCGTCCGAATGGCTTCCTCAAGATCGACAACGGCCTCTTGGCACCGCTTGAGATTGCGGGGACCCTGGTTCCTCAAGTATCTAGACAAATCTGAGGAGACTGCAATGGAATAGACTGGTCACTCACTCCTCAATTGTGCCAGCCGCCAGGTCAAGTCTGTCTAAATCTGACTTGATTGCTTGAATGGCTTCTTGTGCCTCGTTGACGCGAGCTTTGTGAAGGGAGTGATGCTTCTCTTGTTCCCGCACAAGCGCATCAACTGGCTCATTTGCACGAGCAAGTTGCGCATCCAAGTCCTGGGAACAATAAACGAGTGCTCTCCTATTCAATTCAGTATACTACCTTGATCTTCATCCTGGATTTCTTGATTTCTTCAGTATAAGTGGCAGTCAGCTCCTCAAGACGTTTTCCTTCTTGGATCTCCGTTCTAAGCTCCCTTTCTCGTATTTGAAGCTGATACAGCTCCGTCTGTAGAATCCTGATTGAGCTACTGTGACGTTCACGATCACTTTGCAGCATTTGTCTCTCCCTTTCGATGCCTTGCCTGCGAAGTGTCAGTTTGGAGTACCGAATGAGAAACGAGTCGTCACCTCTTTGACTGGATCGTGGATAATTCTGCTTGAATCTCATCCAAAGACTTCATGGTCGCTCCAGCTCGAAGCGTCTCCTCAAGGTTTTTCACTTGCTGTAAGGCTATGTCGCGTCGTTGCGTAGCGCCGACAATATTGTTGACTTGCTGCTTGAGCGACTGGAGTGTTTTAAGACTGAGCTTAGCCGTGTCAAGCTTCTCTGTGCAGGCTGTTGCCTCGAGGATGGCATCATTGAGGGTTTCCTGCAATTTTGTATGCTCTTGAATCAGCTTCGGGATTTCAGTCTTCTTCATCTTCTCCCAATTGACTTCAAGTGGCAAGGCGAGTTGCATACGCGAGAGTTCGGCTTGCCACTGTGTGAGCTCGTCTTCCAACTCGGCCCGTTTGGCGGATGAGTCCTTCTTCAGAAGATTTGAAACCTAAAGGAATATTAAACCAAAGCTAATCTTATCCTCTCCCTCACTGACGTGCTGTTCAAATGCTGCCATCTCGTCATCTGTTATGGGACGGTTGCAACTGGTACAAAGCTTGCGAGTTCGACCAGCCTTGAGAATTTCATTGTACCACCGAGATGAATCTATATGCTTGGCTATCTCACTGTAAGTTGGATAAGTGACAACGAAGCGAGGAGACGAGGGGCCTACTCTTGACACAGGTTGAGCTGTTCCTGGGCATCAATTAGCCCCGCATTCACTGATGGATGTTCACCCCGTATAGATGTAAGCTTCTTATCCAAAGCTACGAAAGTCAGAAGGGAACAGAATCAGTAGGAACACTGACTCTTAGCTTCATCCTCGAGCTGTTTCTGACGACTCTTCAGAGTTGAGATCGTGCTTTCGATCTGAGCAACTCTGCGACTGGATCCGTTTACTTCCACCTCTAAGTCCTTGATCTCGCGTTCCTTTTCCCTGTCCAATAGTTAGACATGAAATGATTGAAAAATGGAACTCACGAGATAGACCTATCAATATCTCTCTCTATACTTTCAACCTGAGGCTTTCGTCCCACAGCCTGGTGGAAGCGACCTGAAATGGATTCGAAGCTGGAGGGGTCGGGTTAACGAGCAACCAGTATAAGAGTTAACGCACATTGTTTGAATCTCCAGTTCATACTTCTGAGCCTCGTCTCTACGCAAGGATAGTGTAGTTCGGTTCTCCATCTGCAGGGTGCTTGATGCCAGTTCGTCATTGAGGCGGTCGTAATGACGGTTGAGATCATGAATGGCAGCCGACTTTTGCTCGAGTTGCGCGTCGTAATTACTAGCATCTAATTCCTCCTGGAGAGTCTGGATTCTCTTCATCTTCTGCTCAATCTCGCCTGTGACCCCTTTGAATTCGGAATTCTTGGTTTGAATAGAATCAATTTGTGCTTCGGCATCCTTGACGGCGTGCTGGCGTTCATTCTATGGGCGAAATGAGGGATAGATGGAGAAAGTTAGTATTTCATACCACTAGTTTCGCCATACTATCGCGTTCCGCTTGGATTTTAGCAATGTCGGCTTGGAGCTTTCGGATGTTTTCATTATATTCGTTGTCCTTGACACGACCCTCAGCCTGAAACAGGGTTAGCTGATCCTTGGAGGAAAAACAGGCCACGAATACCTGCATAGCCTCGAATTGAGACAGAGTGCGGCGATGGAGATCGTCCATACGGGTGCGAAAGTCTAACCACTGGCGCTGGTCCAATGAATCGCTGTCGAACCCCTTGATACCATATTTCCCGCTAAGCTCTCGAACAAAGTTATCTCTTCGCGTAAATTTCGATTGTAAGCCTGTTTTCGGCTTGGAGCTGTCCTAATCGTGTCTGCTCCTCCCCGAGCAGTCGACGAACGTCCTTGAGGCGTTCCTCTTCGTCACGCAGATCTCTGGCCTTGCGGTCGCATGTCATTTTTCGGACTTGAACCTCTTGATCAAAGTTGGCTCGACGCTCTTCAAGCTCTGCGTCCGTGCCTAATTGTGTGAGCAACCGCCAAGAATCGAATTATCTTGCCTACCATCCAGCTTTTCGAGATTTTCGTTGATCTCTTTCAGGGTTTTCTCCAAGTAGGCTCTCTTCTCCTGGGCGGCTTCGTATTCGCGATATATCTCCCGAAATTGGGTTGCCCTCTCGTAAAACTCCTTGTTTTGATGCGCGAGCGCACTAGCTTTGTCATGAACTTCGTTGTATTCCGAATCTTTGGCAGTGACAGTCGCGTTGAGATCAGCGATGCGGTTACGCAGTTTATCAGCGTGAGTCTTCTCGCGAGCAGCTGCCTGGAGTCGCTCGTTATCCAACTTTAGCTCCACGACTCGGTCTTTCCGGATAGCTCTGATTGCGTCCAAAGCTTTGGTATATCTTCAAACCGTCAGGTAAGAAATGAAGAGATCTGAAACCGCACTTGGAGGCCTCGAAGATTTCATCAAACTTCTTCTTCAAGATTGAAGGTTCCGATAATGGCCAATAAGAGTCTTCTTGGTGACAAAAAATGACATTATCGAGGACAGCCTTTGAGACGCCGAGGAGGTTTGGTATTTCTGCATCCATGTCGGCGCACCTAGTAGAGATTGTGTGGCGCTACCAGGCCTTAGTCGACGGCGAAACAGTGTGGCAAAACGAATCTACTTTGCCTTCAGGTTCCCCTTCCTTTGGTAGCGCAGTGAGAACAGCTTCTAAAGTCTTCATTGTCATGCCAGTAGTCTTCTTCTGTGTCACGGAGAGATTCCTTGTGACCATCATGGTATTCCCATTGGCGGCCTTGAAGCGAAGCCTTACTTGAGCCTTGACTTCTTTCTCAGCAGCCATCTTTGGATCATGAACAAATGCGCCTCCACGCGTATTGGGTGGCTGGTCTCCGGTTGTTGCGTACTTTAAGCATTCAATGATGGTCTGGCCCAAGGTCAGGAGATGAGCCAACGAGCAGATTTAAGTGATTACCGTCTTTCCACTACCGTTTTGACCAACTATGACCGTGACAGGTGTAAAAAACTGGATGACCTCCATGCGTTTGTCGTCAAACGACCGGATGCCGCGTATTGCAAGCTTATCCAACGATGCCCTATGAACAAAATAAGTATTAGATTTGAAAGCAAACACGCGAACGCGATGCACATCGGAAACAAACAGGGCGGTAAACGGTTCCAAACTTTGACCCAGCTTTTGGCCACCGCCGTTACAAGCTCCGACCTTTAATTGGAGGAACGGGCGCACAAGCTACACTGTATGCACTCTAATAGGACCCATATTCTCAGATTTGACATTTATCCAGGCGTACGACGCATCCACCACACACTCCTTCGTGAGATTTTTCGAACAATTCATGGCAGAGAGATCAAACGGAAGGGGCAGTGATAGCCCCGAATATACGTCGCAAAACAGCAGTCATGGTGTTGGAAAGGCACCTACTGCTCGTGCTGCCCGAAGAGGCCCAGCTCCTCAAGCTTGGTAAGCCTCCAATTCAGTTCCTTCGCTGGTATCCAGTGACTGATATGGTTTGTCAGCTCGGAATGTCGTAGGCACGTCTCAACTTCTTCCAATAATCGCTGAACTTGAATCGCTTTGCTCTTTTGCCTATGGAGCATACGTTGCTGACCGGCATGTTTGCAGACTAAAGCTGCGGTGCAACAAATTGACACCCTGTGCAACATGTAGCAAGAGTATGTATATCTTGGTTTGACTGATCGCAATCCTTACCTCATCTGACAGGGGGCTTGCCTGAACGGTGCTCGGGCGCTACCATTGGAGAATCACCTACCGATCCTACCACCCTTATGCTGTGCGTCTCACCTGCATCTCTGGAGAATTGCTTATATGATGTTCAGGGCTGCAGCCACCTCGACTATCCGGGAACTGCAAGATCGAAATAAGGCATTAGAAGAGCACATCGTGACTCTACAGCAGGCGGTACTTGATGTTCTTCATGGAGACAAGTCTGTGATGCAACCCGAGCATGTCCTGCATGCCGAACTTATCGAACTCAAAAAGAAAAACCAAGTCGCCGCCTGCATAGACAAGACCGACATGCTCACTCAGGTTGTGGACTCATTTGGCACACTCTCCGTCTCCGTAGATACGGACAAAACAACCTTTTTAGGGTCTACTGCCAGCAGCGAGTTCTTTATCAACCTCTCTCAACCTGAGCAGAACCAAGACTTTGCAGGTCACCGCCTGAAATGCTCCACCCAGAACCTGCCTGCAGAGCTACTTCTGCTCGGCCGTATCTTTAGTTTTAGCTCGAGTCCTGAACTCGCTTCCGCAAATATTCGATTGGCACTGCGGGCTGCCGCGCCACCAGCAAATATTGCTCGAGTATTCTGTGAAAACTTCTTCACGTACGGCTCTTGGCTGTATGTAAATTCTTCATATGTGGGTTTATTACTCATTATGGGCCCCCAGATCATCTCCGATTTGCCGCAAAGAGTTCTTCGAGGAGGTCTTTGAGCCACTCTACGCTGCCTCTTCTTGGTCAGACTTTACTTTTGACCGCATTGCGTTATTGTACGCGATGCTTTCAGTGGGAATGCTGCTCGATTTCAGATTGGAGAAAGCGACTGACCGCTGGAATTACGGCTATCGCTTTCACAAAATTGCAGGCGGTACATTGGGAATGGCAGAGTATCAGTCAGTCAAATTGTTTACATTAACTTCTTTCGCTCATCTTTGACAGGGAGAGCCCATCTGTGACGGGGTGCCAAGTGCTGGTAGACGGCTCTTATTTCTGAGCAGGAATCGTTATTTATATCCCCTCAAGGCACTCGTTTGCTTGTTCCATCTCTATGCCGATGACCCGGATGGCCCAGCAAGATGCTTTGCAACGACGGGTCTCTTACTTAGACTCGGCCAAAGCGTACGTTGACTATCAATTATTTCATTTCGAAGCATTTTGACATTACTTTAGCTTGGTTTACGTGCGTATTCGATTCAGGCCAGGATTGCAACTAAGGATTGTAGATCGCAAGAACCCCATATTTGAGTCAAACGTGAAAGAGCGCCGACGCAGATCCCGCATATGGTGGGAAATTGTATTTCTTGACCGCATGCAAAGCTTGTTTTATGGACGTCCAAGTGCCATTGACAACAAGTGGGTACTGCTTTACGTTGATTGCTTAAGGCTTACATCCTGAAGACAGTGCGATGCTCCTTTCCCGGAGCAGTGCTCTGACGAGCTTACTCGTAGGTCGTTTCTTCGTAGAGCCGTAGCTACTAACACAAAGCAGATCGTGTCGTCAAGCACCAGTTCATTGACTCGTGCATTGTGCCTGTCCTCACCCAAGTATTGGCCGTGGAACCACCCAACTATGCCACTGTTCTGAAACTGGACAAGCTGGTCCGAGACTTTCAAATGCCGGACCCAATACCTCCTATAACTGATGGGGAACAGTCGGCGATGTGTCTCGCTTTTCAGAACTACGCGTTGCACGGGTACAGGGAAATGAGTGCGAGACTTACATCCAATCTTGCAAGTACTAACTATCCTCTAGCTCTCCTGCATTTGCACCGTAGTGCCTTTATTGCGGCACTTCGTGAAAGCCCCCATGATCCCTTGAAACACCGCTTCTCTCCGTCCGTACTCGCTGTTCACAAGTACGCTACCCCTGAACCTCTCTGCCCTTGCTCACATATACAGATCGGCATGCGTCGTAATCCACAACACCTATGCTCTCCTGCAACAGTACTCCGTCATGGTCCCAAGGTCTTACATTTGGGCTCTCCATGCATTCTCTGCATCGGTACGCTCTAAAATCGAGATATATGATATTCTAACTGTGGCCAGGTGCTATTGGCGGCTTTAGTAACAAGGTGCCCTGGATCATCACTGTCCAATGTGGCAATGATCAAGTTGGGCTACGCTTGCAGTATTTTCGAACAGTGTAAAGACAATGTTCGCATGTCCACCGCGCTGGTACTGATTTCCTTGACTCTGCGGGGTATTGTTGACTTGGTTTATAGCCAATTGTGCTCAAGTTCCACAACGTCGCTCAAAAGGCGTTCGTCAGCTTCAAAGCTGGTGAAGATACACAACCAACTGATCAAGAGAAGGAGCAGTTGTCTATCCTGAGCGGAACGACCCAAGTTGTATTCTCTCAAGCAAGATCCCAGGGCAGTTCACCAGGAGATAGTGACTCTTTGGCTACACCTGACCTTGGTGAGGCGCTAGAAGAGCATTTCAGATCGGTCGAACGGGAGCAGCAACAGTTTGACCCGACCAATCCAGTAGCACCCGTATTCGAGCCAGCACCCTCACCAATTCCGATCGCACCGGAAATTTCTGGTGTAGAGGGTGAGGAAGAAGCGTTTTTGGAAGCTGCGATGCAATACTTCAAAGGGGCGGAAGGCGGGGGTGCAGAAGTTCTTGCGGGCTTCCAAGGTATCCCTGGTCAATTGCCCATGCCAATCGATGGCGTGAACTATAATTTAAACATGCTACAGGAGTCACAATCCAATGACCCTTTGGAGTTTCTCTCAAGGCAGGTCATTAATCCAACCACCCCTGGGCAGAGCTGGGATTATGCACCTTGATAAGATCCTTTTTTATGCACAATATACAAGAGTATGACTTGATATCTTACTCCTCTCGAGCGTTGGCCTCCTGAATTGCATCCGCGAGTGCATCGGCAAATTCTTGACCTGTCTTCCCTTGGCTAAGCGAGAAGGCATCTAGCGGAAGCATATTGTGCTGATTTAAAGGACCGTTCACATTGGCGAGCGGATGTGATCGACTATCAATGATTCGGAGGACTGGACTGAATCCACTCGCACTGCTGGATGAGTGTATCGATTGCAGTTCCTCATATGTGAACATAAGCGAGTCGGTTTTGGGAGCGTATGGGTTGAAATCGACGATGTGTGCTCTCTCCAAGTCTCGGGTGAGCAATACGTCGAAAATGTCTATAAGCATGATCAGCCAGGTTTCGTGATATTTGGACGAAGACCGTACAATCTGTGTGGCTTCCCCATTTTGGATCAATTTCCTCCTTCCACAATCGGTATATTGTATTTCGTATCGTATTCTGCGCATCATCTGCAGTAAGGAAATCGTAGTATACCAGATCGCGTTGGCTAATGGCTATCGTAGTCGGTCAAATGTGCGGGGATGGACCGCGGAGAAGTTACCTATTAGAATGCTTCCTCGAACAAAGCAACGCATCTCTCTGCTCCTGTGGAAGGTGTACCATTTCTTGAGTACAAGCTCGAGTTCGTATTCTGGGGCATCCAAGTGTTCGAATACAAATGCGGGGTTGAGGTCATGTTGGACAAAGTCGGAAGCTTTGAGTGAAAGGTACACTTCGGCAGGAGTTGTGCACCGCATGAATTCGGACGTGCTCAGAACCCACTGAGCGTCCTGGCAGATATTCAATATCGTGCTAGATTGCGATGAGGAAAAACCGACTTTGGGAGAGGACCAATTGAGCTTTGGAAAGACGGCATCGTATTTCGAAATTGCCTCACGTATCTGCGCGTCTAGGGTTGGAAACGCAAAGGAAACTTTGCCATCTTCAGTCTCTGAATCCTCATCGTCTTCGTTCTCTGAGCCATCGTTACTGATGGGCACCAATGAGCCTTTGAAGACGACGAATAGAGTATATTACTCGTCTGTAGACCCTCTTGGAGCGAACAACCCATCTGCAAGAAGATATTCGCGTAATTCTGGTGGCACAGGCTTGATAATCGTGGTTTTGATGGAGATATGGGAAAATAAGGGATACCAAGATGAAACTTGGCAGTCTAGGATATCTTGAGGGCTCAAACGTGGGAAGTGGGCAGGGGTAAGTGCCATTTGGCGTCTGACCACCGGCGCTGCGATTTTCTAATCCACTTCTTATCGCATCAAAACGCTCTCAATTCTCCTCACAGACGAGGAACTTTCAACGTAGACTTCCTTGCTCCCGGGCTGCTCTCGCGCGACAGCTACGCTGCTGCAATGTCTTTTTTCAACTCCCTAGGGTGAGTTATTCTATTTTAATCGACTATAGAAGTGACATCAAGGACATTTCCAGAAAATCTATGGGCCGCAAGGGCAGCACTGGGCCAACTTCGCCCACCACCCCCGTGCCACAGAGTAAAGGACAGGGATATCCACAGCCAAGGTCGAACAATAGTAATCAGCAGCAAGATGTCGCACTCTACAGCCAACCATCAACACCCAAGCTATTCCTCAGTAAGCCATTTGTCGAAGCTAGCCTCGTCAAGGGCAGTCTCAAGACTCTTGTACTTCTTCCAAAGTATCTTGATGTCATGGAATGGGTTGCGATGTCTAGTTGGTCTCTCATCCACTCGTCCATCAATCACTCTGACCCTCTCAAGTGTTTGACTTTTATAACAATGTCAATCTTTTCTATGGTGCAGTATCTGAGCATTGTACAGCCAAAGATTGCCCAACTATGACGGCTGGGGATCAGTGAGTAGCCCGACCGATTTATTCAACAAGGCTAACCCCCTGTAGACTTGTCTACACTTGGGTCGATAACAACAACAAGCATGTCAAACTCCCTGCGTCGACGTACATAGACTACGTCTTCACCTGGATACAAGCCCTCTTGGAGGACCAATCGATCTTCCCGACACGAGCGGGCGTACCGTTCCCCGCCAACTTCCCATCAACCTGCAAACATATGTACCGCCAAATGTTGCGCGTCTTTGCGCATCTGTATCAAGCTCATTTCGAAGATATCTCCATCTTCGAATTGAGCCCCATCTCAACAGTCTATTCGCTCACTATCTTGTATTCGGTCAGGAGTTTGACATTTTGGACCAGAAAGAGCTCCGAGGTCCTTCTTCGACGCCGACTGGAATCGGCTATCTTTACGACGCATGGAGGACAAGCGGCAAGCTCGACTAAGCCTAAATGATCACACTCATGTTTCTCTAATCGACGCTGGTGTCATATTTTATCTTGAGTTGTGTTCTTGTCCAAGCAATAGACAGTATTACATTATCGAGCCTATTCCGGTTATTCAATCATGACGTTCCGGGCACTTTGGTGCCTTCTACAACCTCTTCTTCACTCTCGCTGTCGCTCTCATCGTCACCACGGAGACCTGAGCCCATTGCGGGTGGGATAGGCGATGCCGGGGAGAGCGCGTCTGCAAAGCCGACTTTGTTGCGGCTAGCTTCCTCTTGAGCAATTTCGTTGCGAACTTGCATCACGTCCTTCTCCGCGCTACCCTTGCCGGCCTTTTCGATATTGGCTTCCGCGAGAGAGACATGCTTCGTACGCTGTGGTGGTAATTGGTTGTGACGCACAGGTCGCTTGAGCCGCCTTCGTGCAACCATGACTGGTACAGAGGATTTCTGATAACCTCATTAGCGTCTGATGATGATACCCGAAGCAAGGCAACTTGCCTGAATGAGATAATGGGATGTTGATCCGAGCAAGATACTGCCAAAGATTAGAGGGAGTCCCAATCAAACAAAGAGGACTGACCCCTTCAGTTTGCCTATACCACGAGAGCCAACAATGACCATCACGGGCTGGATAGCATCGATGAGGTCTTTTACCGTGAGCATCCTGTAACTATGAAGATTTGAGCTCACCAAGCAATGTATGACGACTGTTCTTTGAATGAATCGCTTGGCACTTGACGGTGACGTGCAGCTTTGTCCTTTGTAGGAGGGCAGTCGCTTGGCGGGACAGAAGGTAAGCAAGGGCTTGTCTCTGCAAAGAGTTAGCGCATCATCTAAGATAGGCGTTCAGCTGACCTCTTGCTGATTCCTGAGCTTGGCAAGACGATCAGTTTGCTGGGCCGCGCCGTCAACTATAAAATGTAAGTATTACGTGAATGTATCTGAAGGAACTTGCGCTTAGACTCGGTTTCGGATACGGTGACGATAGTCCTGCGGTTCTTAGCGTGTATCCGGACGGGGCTGTAGATAAGCTTACAGTTCGTTGCCATTTCTCAGAACTGTTCCGATGGCCCATTCAGCCGCGTATTTCGCCTATACTGATTGAGATACGATGGGATTGGAGAGAAGCCACCCACCTCTTCACTGAGATCGCTTGCGACCATAAACTTTCGGACGGGCTTTCCTACGCAATATGAAGAAGGATCTCCATGTACGATGGTGACTGTGCATCTATCCTTTTGGAAAATTGGTGAGTGCGTCTCCAGCGGGAGGACGTCCGTTCTGAGGGTGCGCTTGCGTCTTGGATTAGATGCCGAAGCAGCATTCTGAAACATTGGCTCCTCGGGACGAACAACGTTGACGCCCTCTCCCAATGGATCTGGCTCGTGATCTAGGACCTCGTCTGGGTTCTCAAAGGGCTCGATGACCGCATTCTTCTCCGTGTTATCTTCGGTCTCTTCGTCAAAGTCGTCTGGAAGATCCTCTTCCTCTTCCTCCGATCCACTGGATGAATCGCCGTCCGTAAAGGCATTGCGCGGTGCGCGCATCCCAGGGACTGATTCCGCATCTGAGTCATAATCGGATTGATTATGCCGGAGCGCCTCTACGGACGGGGATCGGTCCCGGGTTCTAGAGCGACGACGGAATGGAGACATTGATCTCATCGCGGAGCTGCTCCTCGAGGATGGGTCATTCTTGTCGGGTTTTCTGCCTCTTTTCTCCTCATTTGTAGAAGTACGTGTGAGGGAGAGGCCCGAGAGCGAGGGCATGATCGAACTGAGGGACATTTTGGTTGTAAACGAACCCGCAATGCTGTTGGAGCGGGATGGGCCACGGGTCGGTGTATTCCGAGGACTGTCGTCTTCGCGCAGACCACTTAGAATGATATTGTCTGCCTCGTGTTCGAGTTCTGCAAGCGAGCGAGTAAAGGTTGCGGGTGAGTTTGCAGGGGATGGACTTTGAGAGTTGGACGCCGTGTTGCTTTCCATGACAGATACGCCTTTGCGCCGGCCTTTACGCATTTTCTATGAATTTTCCAAGATTCCAAGATGATGTGGAAGGGTTTAAGGAGCGAGCGAGTTCGCGCGTGCTGAATATGGCCAGGAGCGATGAGCGCCTCGATTTCTCAAAGGTTCGTTGTATCTTCCCCGGTTGCGGCAAATCACGTGACATTGATTTATGTACTCGTATTTTCATCATGAATCACCGTAGATTAGCAGCTCGTATGCCCGCTTTAGGTCGCCGTTGGCCGCGACCAGCGTCGACTCTGCCAGGCTTTTTGGAATCTCCATCTCAGCCATCTAGAAATTTAAATCATGTCAAAATAGATCCAGCACTCTTCATCAACACCGTCGTACCAGCTTCTTCACGTCTTCCTTCTTGGGCACAACGCTTGGAGCCGCTGCTTTTGCTGGCTGATTCTCTTTCAGTTTGTCAAAGCCACCAGCTGCCCGAAATAGCTCCATCTTCGTCTTGGAATACGACCAGCCGTCCCCAAACTGTCCAACATTCAGTTTACAGTTGCATTACAACCGCTGCAAAACGAAAAGCCGAATTCAGGAATGGAACGCTTACAGTTACAATCACTTCTGCTTCTGGAAATCGTCCATTGACCACAGTTGCCATCGTGTTCAAGAGCAAGCCTCTCTCGTCCAAACAAACAGTCCATCTCATTGACATTTAAAGCGTACATAAGCGGTATTCGAGCACTAGACGGCCATATCTTGTAAATTTCAGTTTTTTTTCTATCCCCATCGCACTCTTTAGAGAACCGAGCCCATGAGCCCCATCTTGTTCAGTAGTCCCTTGAGAGCGCCTCCAAAGACACTGCCAAAGAGCTCGTATAAGAAAACGAGACTGGTTGCCCAATCCATTCAAACCTATTCGGGTGTCAGTGGTCTATGGCATGCTCAAACATTCATACGTACTTGTATGCCGATTTCCCGTTGATGACAGCTTCGAGCGTCAACGTGGGTCGTCGCCAATCCCTGCTATCAACTTCCAGGGACGCACTAGAGGACAGTCAGGGAGCTGATCTAAAAAGGTTGAGATACGTACAACTTGTAGTTGCCAGAGGGGATATACTGAATGGCCCTCTCCTCTGGAATGTGCTCGATAGCGGTCACTTCGACGCTAGTGCCTTCCGAGTCGTAGATAGTGTCGATATACGTCTTCTCCATGGACGCGGCACTCTGCTTATGGAGCGTCATCGAGTTGAGAGCAAACATCGAGATTGGCGAGACTAAGGAAACGTGAGTAGTGTTCGAACAAATGTGTGGAAGACCGACCAGAGATTTCTGGAATCTTGCCCCTATGCTCAATAAATGCGAACTCGTGCCTATCCCCGGAGAGAATCACGACATTGGGGACATAGAACAGAGTATCCAAAAGAGCATCACGCTCAATCTTGTACCCTGCCCACGAGTCCTGCTGTCCGTCATATCCGTGCCAGAGCGACGTAAAGGACGCTCGAAATGATAAACTTCCATGTCGCAGTCGAGTTGACTTTGCCGAGCCAAGTGTACAAGTCGTGCAATTGCCTCTCTCCGAGCATTGTCGGCAATTGGGTAGATTCGGGGTCGGTAGTCGGTGCGCTCCGATAACGGCGAGTGTCAAGCACAAAGAATGCATTATCACCATAGCGGAAGTCAAAGTAGTTGACATCGGATGCCGAATCTGGGTTGGCGTGGCCGTAATACGTGTTGAAAGCGCTGGAAGCATTGGCAAACGGAGGTTTGGTCTCCTCGTCTTCACCAGCAAAGTTGTTCTTGATTTCGTGATCATCGTACATGCCAACAATAGCTATTGGTCGTCAGCTAATGCGGAACAGATCAAGGTTTCACCTACGCAGGCGTTCGTAGACTCTTCGGTAGCTTGGGCTGGCAAATGTTCTTCGGTACAACTTGCGGAACGTCTCGATCTTGTCGCCAGCATAATGAGGAACGTCTGCATAGATGGCATCTCCGGCGAGGATCATGAAGCTGGGTGGAATCTCGCGAGGCTTTGCATCAGCAAGAATTTCCTTGACAATTGGGAGCTCCGAGATTGGCGTATTAGTTGCACTGGCGATAGCACTGGAAGCATCGGATAACATGGATTCGGCTTCTTCAACCGGGTTCGGGGGCACCGTTGTCGACGCGGCGGTCTGCACAGCCGGTTTGGGTTGGAGGGAATCAATCCAGTCCGCGATGATATCCATTCCCTTGATGCGCTCGGGATGCAACGGGTTGTATGGGAAGTTGGGTAGCTACACTTGCTCAGCAATAGGATTGAAAATGAATCACTTGAACCCACCATGCAGCTGCCGAGGAGGAACTTGAAGTGAGTTCCGGAAGAGCTCTTTGGGTCTGGGAACGTCTTGAAACCGATGGGCTTCTCGGGATAAGGCAGCAACGTCGAATTGAGGTACGCGAGACGGTAAATATAGTCTGCACTAGGCCAAAGGTTGCTAATTTTTCCTGTCGCGGTCCAGTCTTTCTCCTCTTCGATGTCCAGAATGGGGCCCTCTGCGTCACAGGGTGGGTCAGCCCTGCATCACCTCTCGCGGGTGTTCCCTCACCTTTCCAGATATCCGTATGCGCATTGAGAGGATGCACCCGCTGCCACACGATTCTGAGGTGACCAGTCTCGAGTCCAGGGTACCTCACCACGATACGTGCGCTACTGTGGTCGACCGCGCCAACACGCGTAAATATGGGGTCATATGTCTTGAGTGTTGGGGTATACGCAAAATCCGCGGCCAGGAGGATCAGAGCCGTGTTGATAACAAAGCCCGCGAGGTTCAACAGGCGCGACTTGCTTGGAAAACTGAGCAGGAGCGAGCCAAGCGTGTCAATCACGCTCTAAATGGAGTTAGCGAGGATAGATAGTTTGTAAAACGCGTACATTTCCCGAGGAAAGGGGCGCTTTGGGTCTGCCTGCATGTCCGTTCACGACAGTGACTTTGGACTCAACCTTGACGACTTCTTCGATGAGTTGATTTGTTGTTGCATCCTTGACGTCGATGATTTCAACTGTTTCTGGAACGACGACGACGGCGGGCTCTTGTTCAACACTGGATGTGAACGCAGAGACGAGGTAGCCTAAATAGAGACCGGGGATGATTACGCGTGCAAAACGATGCACGGGAATAACTCTTAGATAGAAGTATGTCGAAAGCCGTAGGAGGATTGAGAACAGCACCGTGGTCGACATGGTCTGGGACCAACCTTGGAGCGCGCTAGGATGAGCTCATTCTCTGCAAATGCTAAGCGACGGAAACTACAATTTCCAAGATATTCTTCAACAGCAAAAGAGCAACTCGAACAGGCATTGGTGACCTCTGTAGATGCATGCCTGAAGGAACTCCGAAAAATTATTCGAAAACTCTCCACTACGTTCGAAGCGCATGCGGTAGAAGTCGCGATTATACAAAGAATCGTCTACAAGAGCAGAAACCAGCACAAGAATAGTCTCTTTTGGCGAAACTTGACAGAAACTCGACGAATGGCAGCTCGGGTTGAAGAGGTTGCAATAGGCTCTCTTATAGACAGTTTTCGGTCCACTTTCTACAGCGAAGCCACTGGAAAATCAACATGGTTCGTTTTCTAGGCAACCACGGAATGTCACACCTTATGATGCACAGGAAGAATGCACCTTGGACGCAAATACCAGACAAAGGAATGCTTCAATATGTCCTCAATCGTGTCGAAGCACTCTCCTCCTTATATGTCAAAGTATGAGTTTGTTGTGCCCTCTGCTGTCCAAACATTGATCTATTCAGGCGATTGAGGCATACCAACGAGCCTACAGGCAAGCAATCTTATCTTCTCATCGAAGTCCACTTACGTTCCTCAGGGCATACGAACGCTTTGCCAATACAACGTCGTTTCTCCCTCTAACCCTCAGCCTTCTTGGAATCTGTGCCCGGCTCTCACTCTTGACTACGGACCTTCAGCATGCATCCGTACATATATGGGAAAATATTCACCAATTATTGACCACTTTCCAGGTTAGTCTCATCTTAGTGGACCGATGCAAGATCTCATGCATTACAGCCCCCACATTCGATATGCCGGTGCAAGCGTCCCGTACTGCATAGTTCCGTTGACCTTGGTCAACTGCCCGAGGCGACCACGGCTTCAAGTCAACCTCCTTTTGCCCCAGAGCTCGGAGAAGCCATCTCAAGAGAAATTTTCGACTTTCAGCAACCATCAATTATCCAAAAAGAGAAGATGGACATCGACGAATTGCCTGTGGACGAGGAAGAGACAATCACTTTTGAAGTCGAGGTCCCAATCATACAGACGATTCCAGCGACGGAAGTTCAGAGTATACAAAGCGAAGCTGTGACCACACAAATTGTGAAGCAGTCAAAGAAGCCCAAGAAACGCGTCGTTCGGGATGAGATAGATGACATATTTGGATAAACATGTACTTTTACGAATGAAAACGATTACTGGGCACTTTCTGTCTCTATGAAACGGTGCTGTGAAGCCATCGGAGTTTAGCCGTGTTGTTCGCTCGCTTGGACCCAACCACCGACATCTTCAACATCCAAGCTCGCAGCCCCCAAAGGGGACTAATAATGCTTCGCTCAGACCGTGGGCGACCAGTATCTCCACCCTGGAAAGTGCGAAGTGAGTGCTGAGATGGATAGCAGATGGTAGGGGCAATGACCAAGTTGGCTGACCATGTGTACACCCAGCGCGCGCTTGTCCTTTTTATCAGTCTGGGAAATGTTTATTCAAGGATTCGTGCAACTTTCTACATGTCGTGAAGAGTCCGCTCACACCTATAACCAACGAACTCGCAGCATTCCGCTCATTTAAAGTCCAGGAAGAACCAGATAATGCCGTGACAGATGATGGATACTCCGCTTCTCAAAAGGACAATACTCGACGATGGATTCAGAATATTCACAACGTCGGCACGACGGGGATGCATTCCAAGACCAACTCTGTCTCCACTATCGACATCATAACGTCTCCGACAGAGACGGGTACTGTTCGTGGTAGTACTGTGGCCATGGAGCTCCAGATTCCGGTTGACGAAGAGGAACCAGATCAGTCCATGACAGCTCTCGGACTTTCTAACATGATTCCCGCTCAACCTTCACCCTCCACCATTGTACATGTCTCCCAAGAGCAACCGGTAGCCGTTGCCGAGCCACCTAGGCCCGCAGGGAGTCCAGTACCTCCCAGTGAAGCTCCCTCTAGGCCATTGAGCATTGCTCACAGCATACCACGAAATGACTCTGGACAAGATATAGAAGTCCGGCTTGATGATGGTCATTTGTTCCATACCGTTCGCCTAGTGGGTGACCTTTGTGCTGGCCACGGCCTGTCTAACAGTGTTGCAGACTACTCCACATAATTCATCGCTTATAATCAATCGTTCACGTCGAAATACCGAGGTTACGGGGAATGCACCTCAGCTTCTCAAGCCCAATTCCGACGTGGATATTACCACTACTCATCTACAACCCTCTCCGAATCCCCAGACAATTGACCTTCCGGTAGAAGACGATACACCCGACGGACTGACACCGCCGATTGAGTACGACGAGGACGAACCGCCGTCCCGAGCACGACAACGATTTCAAAAGGCATATCTCCTTGTGACCAAAGAGCTCCGACAGCGGGTTGCTCACCTTCGAAAGTCTCCTACATCCCCCAATATCCCAAAGGCCTCGGATTCTGAAGTTGGAAATGAGCTACTCTCCGAGTTGGGGCCAAATGAGCCTTCTTCTTCGTCGCTTCTGCAGAATGCAGCACAGGATAGCATTTCCTCTCCAGTCTGGACTAAAAGGACGAACATTCATTCTCCTGTCCGAGACACTAGAAGGGATAGCTCTCCGTCCCCAGTTCGAAATAGGGGAGAAGATAACCTTTCTTCTCCAATCCGAAACATCGGGACGGGTACCCCTTATTCTTCAGATGGAAACGTCGGAACGGATTTCCCACTCATTCCAAGTCGAGATGCCAAAGCGGATAGCCTTTCCTCTCTACCCCGAAATATCAGAATGGACGCCCCTTTGGTTCGAACTCGAGATACCGAAAAGGGTAGCGCCTCTTCTCTCCTCCAGAATGCCAAAATGGATGGTCCTCCCTCTCCAGTTCCAAGCCTAGGAATGGATGTCCCGGCTGTTCCAGCTCAAAATGCCCAAGTGGGCAGCCGTTCCTTTCTACCCCGGAATCCCAAAACAAATAAACCTCCCTCTCCGGTTCTAAATATTAGAACGGATGGACTTTCCTCTTCGGTTCGAGACATCGGAACGGATTCCCCTTTTGTCCCGAACCGCAGTACCTTGACAAACAACCTTCCCTCTCGGGTTCGAAAGATCGGGACAGATATTCCTTCTGTTCGAACTCGAGATACGAAAATGGATAGCCATTCCTCCATACTCCAGAATTCCACAGAGAATAGCCCTTCCTCGCCGACTCGAAATATGATTACGGAAAGCCGTTCTGCACCACTTCAGAGTGACCAAACGGATAGCCCCTCCGTTCTGGATGATTATATGGCAGACGAAACCGTAGAAGTTGATTCGAACCATGAAACGGAAGACAGGCCGACCGACGATAGACCGTGGCTCAAGCCCTTTAGATTGGTAGCTACACCGCTCTCCTTTGACCTAGCTGATCACCATGTAGTCAACTATTGGAAGTGCCGGAATAGCCTCAGGCAAGTCACTATATCTGTGACGTATTATTGCTTACCATGAAATAGCATTCACCGCTCACAGTAGGCCAGCTTCAAGAAGCGAAAGGAGTTTGACACGACCATCAAGTCCGGAAAAGCGATTACCTGCTCTTGATATGTCAAGAAGAAGTTCTCGCATGGAACGAAAGGGGAGCTCTGCCTCACATAGTGCCATCAGCCAGACGGACTTTCCTTTGGCGAACTGGGCCCACTTCTCGCCTGCACCTACCGCATTTACACCCCCCCAAACAACTTCCAGCTCTCGAGTATGTTTGTCACACCTACTGTCGTAGATGTGGTCTAATGTCTCTTGCAGAAGGGGTCTGTGCATTACATACACTCACCCAGGCCTGCAAAATGGACATCCATTGAATCTCAGGGACAAACTTATCCGGTGTGTTACTCAAGCTGGTATGAACCCCCTCGGCTTAACTCTCTTAGCCGAGTGCACGAAGCGTATCACCAGTGCGCGCATCGAGAACAAACACTGCCTCGTCAGCATCGGAGCTGAGAAGACCTCTGTCAACCCGGTCACAGTCGGCATTTGCAACTTCTGCTCCTCCCGTACCGCCTCTACCAACGCAAAAGCCCGAACTATTCTTTGCAATCGCGTCATCACAGCCAGAGCAGGTTGCCCACCTGTTGGCGACAGGTCAGGCGTCTCCAAACGCAACAGTGGGACCGCATGATATGCATGCTCTTGCATTCGCGTTGGACAACATGGCGCATAGCAGCGCAGAGAAGCGACCTCAACAGGAAGAGATTGTATCGACGCTGCTATCATACGGAGCTGACCCTCGGGCCGCGGAAGCAACGGCAGCTGACACGTCCTCGGAGAACGGTGGCGAAGCTGTCAATCCGCTCATAAGGCTTGTAGTGATTGTTCCTTCTTTTTATAGGCTAACCTTTTGGAAGATACTTTTTGGACAAAGCACAGCGATCCCCAGTCGCAGCTGCGCGTCAAAGTGACGCCGACGACGTGGAGATTGCTCTCAAGCGCGCCAAGTTCACCGTGGTCGGTCAGGAGTTTGGTGTGGACGAGCTCTCCAGAGCCTATGCTGCACATGCTCGTCTTGCCAGATTCTTGGACGAAGACGAAGATGATAGGGAGATGCCATTCGTGGCTCTTCTATCGGGTCCTTCAGGTCATGGGAAAACGTTACTGGCTACCAGAGGTCTGTAGATTAGCTTGGCCCGTACTCTACTTATGCCTAAGGTACAGTGGGGAAACTTCTCGGTCTTCCATCCTATTCGATCAACATGACAGTGGTCAAGGGCCAGAAAGATGTGTGGTCTACGCCGTCTTACAATGGCCGAGAGGTCTGTAGTTGGTCTATGTCTGAAGTGTGAGGCTAAAGATCTGCAGGCGAGTGAATATCCAACACTACGCCACTTCCTACAGGCGCATGATGGCAAAAAGAAGATCGTGGTCATCGATGTGCGTTCATGGCTCAGCTCTATGCTCGGTCACTCACTCTTTCGACACAGGAAATCGAAAAGGTTGATGACATGTCCTTACTTCAGAGCTTTTTGGTACCCTGGGAGACTGGTCGCGTACAAGACGGTACTTCTGGAAGAACGATTGACATTTCGCGGTCGATCTGGATTGGCACAAGCAATGTTGGCAGTTCTGAGATTATTGGGGCAATGAAGGATGTGTCCGTGCTGGACGCTGGACGCTACAAGCAGCTTGTCAAAGACACTCGCGCCTGTCTTCGCGAGACGCTTGGGGTACGTGGACCAGATAGAAATTATAAGTGTTCACCAAACCCACAGGCTTCTTTGGTCGCTCGAGTATCATGCATAGTCGCATTTGTGCCCTTCTCACATGAGGAACAACTCGCCATCTCGTCCAAGAGTCTCAGTGCACTACAACGCAAAATAGCCCTCAGCCAACCTTCCCTCGCGTCAAAGACCATGAATAATGACAAAATGTGGAAGGGGGTTGTCGAACAGGCAGCATCCCACTACATAGAAGAAGAGGGCGCGCGGTCTATCAGGCAGAGCCTGATCCGACTTGCCGACACGATCCTCCAGAGTTTATAGACGCATTACGACTAATTTATCCACATACTATCTATAATGTACCTAGTCCATTACCTGCTTAGGGAGCAGGTGAAATTGTAACTTGTACCCAACCATGAGTGACGAGGAAGAAGAATTTGAAGCCGAGGCCGAAGACATTGTAGAATACGACCAAGCCGATGCTGAGGAAGAAGATGATGGTATGGAAGAGGAAGATGCCGAAGGAGAAGATGAGGAAGAGTCGGAGAATGATCAAGACGACTCGGATGGCGGGGAATCAGACGACGGGTCTGAGGGTGCGTAATTGGGATTTATTAAGGGTCTTCACTCAGATTAAATTGGCAGAAGAGTCGGGTGATGACGCTATGGATGAAGACGAAACGCAAGGCGTCAATCCTCCTCTGACCAAGTCACCGACGCAACTCAAGTCGGCCATGCCAAAGTGTAAGGCAACCCAATGTTCTTGCTATCATGACTGACTATGTCCAGCTCGCGATTCGTCGACTCAACCACAAGAACGTTCCATGTCGCCTGCATCCATTCGTCGCGAGAGTCTGCGAATACCACCGCCTCAATCGAGGTCTTATTCCATTGAACCCATCTGCGCTATACCTCATCCAAGTCCGACAAACGCACTTACTGCGTCGCTTTGCATGACACATTTATTGACGGGCTCAGATGACGGATTTATTCGAAGTTACGACGTCTATTCTTCTGTTAATGGTCGTACATTTCTTACGGCTCCTCAACGGTCGCATTGTGGATTGGGAGATACTGTGATGCGAGGGGGTATCCTCAGATGCTGGTGGCCAGGGACGACAGAGGATCGATACAATGCTGGAGAAACCTCTCCTGTATACAGCTTGGCGTGCCATTCTGACGCATTGTGGGCCTTGTCAGGCAGCGCGGTGAGTGGACAGAACAGCTCGCTGAAACCAAAGCTCATGATCGGAAGAGCGGGGAAATCTATCTCTATACCGTACGGCATGAGCCAGGAAAAGTTCATCATATATTCCCCTTCCACGAAGCTGCTGTGTCTGCGCTGGCCCTTTCCTCGGACGAAAGATTTGTATTCAGTGGAAGCCACGACGGTCAGGCGCTAGTAGGTCTTTGTGATCGCTTTTCATCTCCTCTGAAAATTCTTTAGCAACTAGATTTGGATCATGGGGCAATGACTCGTCGGTTTGGTCATCCAGGGGCCCAAATTACTGCACTCGGGTTGAGGCCTTATTATCCTTTTACTCTACCAGAGTCTAATATTGTCGTTGCGTCGCCAGTCCCGATGGAAGAGGAGAAGCCGGTCGTCTCAGAACCAGCGGGGGAAAGCGCACCAGTTGAAGATGTGTCTCGAGAAGAGCCCCAGGGTATGACGCCAACCGAGACAGACAACAAGTCGGAAGCGTTGGATCCCTTGTTTGACGATATGGAAGGCAATACGGCGTCGGTGCAACCGTCACCAAAGAGCAGCCAAGCAACCTCCGGTAACGCACTTGGACTTGCCATGCCGACGAGGTCAAGAACTGGGTCTACAGCTTGGGTTGCTCCTCAAGCCTCTCCTGCTATAAAGCATGGCGTAGGGCTTCTCGACCCTGTGAAATACAACGACTTTTCAAACGACTTATTGATGACTGCCACATTTGGTGGAAGTATCTTTTTGTGGGATCGACGGACACCACAAAATGTAGGCAGGATGGAAAATGACCGAGCTCCGCCATGGTGCATCTCGGTACGCGTTGTTTGTTTCACTTCATGATCACATTTCTCAAATCTCCTTCAAGGCTTGTTGGTCTGCGACAGGAAACGAAATCATTGCAGGGAGGCGTAACGCTACTGTCGATGTCTTTGACGTACGCCAATTTGGACACTCTGCGGGAAGGACGCCACGGGTATTGCGCACGCTCGTCAATCCAGCCGATTCCAAAACAGTGACATGCGTGACAGCGTTTCCAGACGGCAAGCATATGGTGTGGTGAGTCGGATTTATTTTTGCATCGATCGTTCTAATCGCTTTAGCGCATCCGAGGACAATATAAGACTGTGGAATGTATTGGATGCTCCCTCGGACGGCTGGAAGAAGAAGGGATTGCCGCCTTTCCGCGTCATACCAGGCCACCACGGAGGACTCGTGTCGCAGATATGTGAGTTGAGACTACCATGCCATTTTTGACGCTAAATTTTTGCTAGTGATTGATATACGATCCCAGTTTATGGTGACTGCGAGTAGTGCACGGCAATGGTTTGGCCAAAGTACGAAAACGGTGCTCATCCACGATATCCGACCCGTCTTGTAGATAGTTATTTTTGGTAATCATGTCTTTGAAACTGCATGGAGACGGTCGTCGGCGGTTTCGATAACTTTGGACCCGACTTCGAAAGCCACTTTGTGTAAAACTAGGCTAATATACCATGAGTAGGCCGGGAATCTTCAAGATGAAGCTGCATCTCATTATTTTGCGCAATAGGTCGCCTTCATGAAAACCCGTTTGCTTCGTCAACGCCGAGTGTCGTCGACAATCCGTTCGACGACCCGACGACTGCGACGTCGGCGTTTCATCAGCAAGAACCAGGATCAGCAGCAGCGAGACAGGCAGAACTCGACAGACGAGAGCGGGAACTCGCAGCCCGGTGAGCCTCCAAGACTCGTCTATGCGTTGTCCACAGTCGCTCATTGATAACTGGCCATATAACTGGCTATTAGTGAAGCACAACTAAATCAACGAGCAGATCACATACGAAAGCACGGTCGCAACAACTTTCCGCCCTGTATGTGCACAAAATAGCTTTCGGCTGCGCGCCTCGCTCATGCATTGCGCAGTCTTCCCGCTCATATTCCACTCTATCAAGGATGAAATCCCAGAAACGCATCAGGAGACAGTGACACGTATCTTCCAGCTCTGGCTGGTCCTCGAAGTCACGCTCATCGTCAATCTCGTGGCAATGATTTTTGTAAAGATTGCAGGTGGAGGAGACTCGGGAGATTTGGGTGGAGCCATCACGCATGTGTCTAGTACACCCTCGTCACGACCAAGCCGGCTCATCTGCTTTACAGCTATCTTCCTATCATCGGGGTACTATCCTTCTTACTATGGTACCGGTGCGTGAGAAGCTGATACTCTCACACAACATGCTCATATATCACGATAGGCCAGTCTATAATGCGTATATGAAAGTGAGTGTGCTTGTCCCTTGGTACTCGATTGCTGAACGCCTGCTAGGATCAATCCTTGTACTTTTGTTAGTGACGCGCTAGAAGACTCTCAGATGGGTGACTGAATGACTCGCAGATATCTACTTCTTCTTCTGTGGCTGGCATCTCCTATATTCCATCTACATGGTCATTGGTATACCTGGAACTGGGACTGCTGGCATCATTACCACGGTGATCTCCTTCCAAAAGGGCCGTATTGTCGCGGGCGTCCTCTGTGTCATTGCATGCACGGGTTGGACGATCCAGACTGCGGGCCATGCCTTTTACTACAAGAAGGTAAGGTCTTGAACCAAGTGCGTTTTGCGGTCTGACACGTGTTTACTAGACATGGGACTATCACACGCAAGCCGGTCACACACTAGACAAGGCAAAGGGGGAGCTGGCGGCGAATGGTGCAAAGAGCTACTTCTCTCGTGGTTAATGTTGTCTATGAAGCAACGAAATAACACGCTTGCTACTTGGAAAATAACGACTCTGTTTTCGCGCTCTACCATGTGCTGTGAAGGCGCGGCTGGCCGGCGCAAGCTGTTCTGCAGACTGCTTGGTCCCAACGATCGTAGTCCCCCCCCAAGAGAAAACTCACAAAAAAACCAGGAAAATTTGGAAATCTCCATTTTTGACCTCGTAGAAACCCAGAAAAGCCCATATCTTCACGACCTCTTTTTTTTTTCCAAGAAGATCCTTTGCCAGCTCGTCCACAATGTCTGCAGCAGAAGTCATGCCTCCCTCTGATGCCTCTGCGCTGGAAAAGGCTCCAGCTCAGCCATCTGCTCCCGCCGCAGCGGCACAGACGCCGTACAAGCCACCCCAGCCGTCATCGGCCTCGCTCTATGTCGGCGAGCTTGATCCATCCGTCACGGAAGCGATTCTGTTTGAGATCTTCAATATGATTGGTCCCGTCGCCAGGTATGCATTTCTCTCTCATCGCGCTCCATCCCTTGTGCTCACTCATCCTTTTAGCATCCGCGTCTGCCGCGACGCGGTGACACGTCGCTCCCTTGGATATGCTTATGTTAATTACCTCAACTCTTCTGATGGTAAATATTCGCGTTTGGCTCTCGTGCCCCATTGTTGACAAGTGTCCGCAGGCGAACGCGCGCTCGAGCAGCTCAACTATTCTCTAATCAAGGGCAAGCCATGGCATGTCTCGTCACTTCGAAATTAGTCAAGTTTGCTAATGAAGACCTTTTAATAGCCGCATCATGTGGTCCCAGCGCGATCCCGCTCTCCGCAAGACTGGTCAAGGTAACATCTTCATCAAGAATCTTGACGAAGGCATCGACAACAAGGTGTGAAGTTCATTTCTAATTCTTGGGTTCTGGCTGACGATGCCGGTGTATAGGCCCTCCATGACACTTTTGTTGCATTCGGCAACGTACTTTCTTGCAAAGTTGCAGTGGACGAGCAAGGCAACTCCAAGGGCTATGGGTTCGTTCACTACGAGACTGCAGAGGCCGCGGACGCTGCCATCAAAGCCGTCGATGGCATGCTTCTGAATGACAAGAAGGTCTATGTGGGGCGTCACATCCCTCGCAAGGTATGCTTCTACACAACAGTGTACTGGGTTGATTTTGATCGTTTTCACAGGAGCGTCAATCGAAGCTCGACGAGATCCGCGCTCAATTCACCAACATTTACGTCAAGAACCTTGACACCGAGATAGACGAAGACGAATTCAGGAAACTTTTCGAGCCATACGGCACCATTACATCTGCTGTGCTCAATCTGGACGCTGATGGCAAGAGCAAAGGCTTTGGATTTGTCAACTATGAGACGCACGAGATGGCACAAAAGGCTGTAGACGCGCTCAACGAAAAGGACATTAACGGCAAGAAGCTCTTTGTCGGGCGTGCCCAGAAGCGCAACGAGCGTGACGAGGAACTACGCCGCACCTTTGATGCCGCCAAGATGGAGCGCCTCGCAAAGCTTCAAGGTGTCAACCTTTACATCAAGAACATTGACGACGATATGGATGACGAGAAGCTACGCGCAGAATTCGAGCCGTACGGTACCATTACGAGCAGCAAGATTATGCGCGACGACAAGGGCGTCAGCAAAGGCTTTGGCTTTGTCTGCTTCTCCACCCCCGACGAGGCAACGAGGGCGATTGCCGAGATGAACAACAAGATGATCGGCAGCAAGCCTCTGTACGTCTCCCTTGCCCAGCGTCGCGACGTCCGCCGCCAGCAACTCGAAAGTCAGATCTCTCAGCGCAACCAGATTCGCATGCAACAGGCTGCTGCTGCTGGTCTGACCGGCTACATCAATGGACCCATGTACTATGGTGCTCCTGGCTTCCCGGCCCAAGGCGGACGAGGCTACGCTGGCTATCCTCCTGGTATGACCGGTCCTGGACGTGGTGGATATCGTGGACCGATGCCTGTGCCGCCGATTCCCGGATATGCTGGTCAAGCACCTCAGCCATATGGGATGAACCCCTATGCACCCCGCCCAGGTCCAGGGGGTCCTCGCGGTGGCGCTCCGACGAATGGAACGCCTCGTTCTGGTGCTGGACGTGGACTTCCGCAAGCCGCACCCGCCACCACGGCCGCTCCAAAGACGGCTACGAAACCGACGGAGCTCGATATTTCCCACATTACCAGTGCACCTGCCGAGGGCCAGAAGCAATTGATTGGCGAGATTATCTACATGCGTGTCTATGGGTACGTTTCGCATCGTTTTATTTATTTTTTTCAACTGTTGGCTGACGGATGCTATGTATAGGCCATATCCGGATCTCGCTGGCAAGATCACTGGCATGCTTCTTGAGATGGAAAACTCTGAGCTCATTCGTCTGTTGAAGGATACGCCATCTCTCGACATGAAGATCAACGAGGCCCTCGCTGTCCTGCACGAGTATGCGCCCAAAGAGCAGGCCCCGGTCTCCTAAGGAGCATGAAGTTGATCCTCAGGCACTATTCTCGTCGTCGTAGTCGGCGAGCCCCTTTTATCTTCTTTCTCCTTCCGCAGTTCGCTGCCGCAGCACTGCTGCCAGTGACCTTGTTCCGTTGGCTAGCCTTTCCATTCAGTACTTTTTGTTTCACTAGCCAATATACGATTTTTGTTTCTGATTCCTGTCGTTTCCCGGAATGCGTTGCTACCCCTAAGCCAATCCAATGGGGACGGCATGTCGGCTCTAACAAATGGCACCGGACGGACGGCGGGCCCCAATATAAACCCCTTGTTTGCCTCCCTCGTCGATGTAAGTTTCTGCCCGCTTCTGCCCTAAAAATCTGCAGAAAATCTAATACGACGCTCGCTAGCCTCACACTCGTTCTCTAATTCGTCGGGACCACGATCTCTCTGTCTCAGAGCCTCTTACGTTCCCGAGCAAACCACTACACTCGCTACAATCTACTCTCGCTTGAAAAATGATCTCGTCAACCTTTTTGATCGCTCCTCTTGTTCTTGCTGCAACCACCATCGCTCGGCCTGCCAACCCGTTCGTTGCGCGTGCCACCGCTGACGTCCGTCTGAGCGACTGGGCTTCGCATTCGCCCCCGTTGGAGGTGAGAAACAGGTTCCCCTTTAGTTTCCAGTTTGCTTATGGGGTTTCCGACAGTCGTACTGGACATTCAAGAACCGCTTCCGCTCGTTGGGTTGCGCGTCTCAGCAGGGCACAGACTTTTACACAAACTGCTGTTACCCTCTCGATGCAACCCAGTCGTTGGCTGACCGGCCGGCTGAGTGCACGCCGGCGAGTTCTTGGTGCTCCGCCTCCGTCCAAGCTCAAGCTGTGACGCCGAGCTCGAGCTCGCCTGCTCCCGCTTACACCGACTCAAACGTGAGTTTGCCGCTAGCACCCTCCTGTCGAACCGACACTGATGACGCTGGCGTTTCAGGCTGGAAGCAATAACAACAACAACGGGTACGTGGATTCCGTGGATGACGATGAGAACTTGCCGCTCTGCGAGGACCCCAACGACGATGGCGAATGGCACGATGATGATTACGATGCATATACCTTTTCTTCTTCCGAGCCCCCTGCGACGTCGTCGTCGTCCTCCAATTCTACCCCTGATGACCACGATGCTCATGCCTTTTCTTCCGAACCCGCTGCGACTTCGTCGTCCAGCTATACGCCAGATCCCGTTCCTACCCAGGATCCGCAGCCCGATTACAACAGTGGCAACACTGGTTCGCCTGACAATTCGAACAACAATGGCGGAAACACTGGCAACACTGGTGGCAACACTGGTGAGGTATACACCAACGCTTGGGCCACTTACTTCTGTAAGCCTCTTTCCTATTGCAGTCTGTTCCGGTTTATTCATATCATTTATAGGGCAAGGTGGAAATGCAGGAGCGTGCGGTATCTATCACGCCGACAGCGATTTGATCGCCGCGTTGGACACCCGCATGTTTGGCACCGACTATAGTCGCCCATCCTCTTGGTGCGGTAGAAGGGTTCGTGTGACCAACACACAGAACGGCAAGACTGTCGACGTCGTGATCCAGTATGCTCGCTTCCTTTATTTTCCCATCGGATACAGAGAATTGACAACTCCCCTAGGGACGCATGCCCCACTTGCGATACTTCCACCTCTCTGGATCTCAGCCACGGCGCATTCTTGGCCATTGCTCAGGAGTCTGAGGGCCACGTTCCCATCACCGTGAGTTTTCCCTGCAGCGATGCGAAGCACAATACTCATATTTCGTACAGTGGAGCCCCCTCTACTAAATTGGTCTCTGCCAATGCCTCTCTTTTTATCTCCTCCCTTCCCCCTCCCTCCTCTTCTTGATTCTGATCACTAGACGTCTGGTTTCAACCCTCCCTCTTTCCCCGCGACCGTCAGGTCATAATATTTTTGCACACACGGTGGATTGACTCCACCCCTTCATTGTGGCGTGTCGAGTCCATTGGAGCATTTCTGCGAACTCTCCCCGGTATGGGCTCGAGAAAACCTCACAAACGCATTTGAAACCGCTTGCGTCTAATCCCACTCCGTGTTGCCTTTCGTCTTGTAGACCCGAGTCGAGTGGTGCAATATACCGTAGACTTTTTCTTTCTTTCTTGTTCAATATCCACGTTCGCCTCCTGAGCCGCACCGCGCTGAGCGTCAATGGCCGAGGTTGTCTCCGTAACTTGAACTCTGCCATTTGCGCAATCAGGACCGGAGCATTGACAGCGCGGCCGAGTTGCCTGGAGATAAAGCAATGTCAACAAATCCTAGAACGTCGTATGCGCTTGATGGGCCCAGCTTCAACACCGCGACGAGCCGGTCGAGCATAGACCCGGCGGTACGACGACCGGATGTGAAGAAGAAGCTCGTTGTCGTACGTTTCTACATCCTTGGGAGCTTATGAAGGCTCTTTGAGGTCGCTAATACGATTCCTTGCAGGTAGGAGACGGTGGATGTGGAAAGACTTGTCTTTTGATTGGATACGCGGAGAATCGCTTCCCAGAGGTACGCTCGACTGTTTATATTGCTCAAAGGACACTTGTTAATTCTTCCGGCTCATTCAATCAGACGTATATACCAACCGTGTTCGAGACCTATTTGGCAAACGTGACATTTGAAGGGAAATTGGTCGAACTAGCACTATGGGATACAGCAGGACAGGAAGAATATGACCGACTACGGCCGTTGTCGTATCCGGAGAGTAGTGTCATTCTTATCGTCTTTGCAATCGACTATCCGACGAGTTTGGAGAATGTTACAGACAAGGTACGTCCCCAAATTCCTTATTTCATCCGATTCCTGGAGCACATACTAAGAGAACTGCTGGCAGTGGTATCCCGAGGTTGCGCATTTCTGCGAAGGGACTCCAATGATTCTAGTCGGAACAAAGATAGATTTACGAGGAGATGAGCATACACGACGGATGTTGAGTGCACAGGGCCTCAAGCCCGTCAGTCCGGAGCAAGGCGGTGCGGTAGCAAAGGAGATTGGGTCAAAGTACGCCGAATGTTCGGCCAAGACGGGACAGGGTCTCCAGGACGTGTTCACGCTTGCCTTGCGCGAGAGTATGCGCGGGCGGCGATGGAACAAGATACGCGAAAAGCCAAAGAAGTGTGTCGTGCTATGATGCTCGGGTGCTATCGGTTGCGGTTCACAATCTCCATCCATCTCTTTACTATTAGCTTATCTGTCCTGTGTGGTATCTAAACGAGAACCATTCTTAATCCTCTTTGATGGCAGGTTTTGGTTTGAATTGAGACGCTGCGCGCCAAATGGCACGAGCCATGTAGTATGTCGCGAGGAGGATTGCGATGACGGTCAGAGGCTCCACAAAGGCGAGGTGTTGTGGGTTCCCGGCCGGTATGCGGACCTTGAGCTTGGCCTTGGATGTGAAGGAGTCAAAGGTAATCTTGGACGTCTCAAAGTCGAATGGTGAATCATATGGAGTAAATAGAGCTTTAATATCTCGCTGCTCCCAGTACTCAGTGTCTTGGCATGTGTTAGAGAAAGGCAAGTTTGACAAAGGGTAGAACTCACGAGCCTGGCTGCAAACCTTCAATAAAGACGGATTTTGGAGTACAACAGTAGCATGTGTTGCATTCTTCTGTGGACGCACATAACGCGCATGGAAGGGCAGCTCGACGTGTTGTTCTGCCTTTAGGGGCCCTAACAGGACCAACGAGCCCTCGTTGACAGACGAAACAGGCAGCTCGAGGTTTGTTTCGCCCCATACGCGAAACGGAGCGCCCACGTTGTCGTGCAAACGTTGTTCAAGTTCGTATGGATCGACAAAGACATGCGGTGGGAGAGAATGAAGGACATAAAACGCGCATTTATCACTCTTTTGGGCGAATTGATGTGTTGGAATGTAGTTCTGAAACGTGAAATGGAAGCCTTGCTTTGGCTTGACGGTCGTGGTCGGCGCTGACATTTTGGCTCAGCTGACGAGCAATCGTGACCTGGACTTTCGCTTAGAGTGGCTGTCTACTACTCGAGTCTATCACGTGTAGCCGCTCCGTCTCATCTCCGTCTCCTCCACTGCGTCCCATTTCCTGCATATATCCCTCACAGTGTACATTTTAGTACATTAAATGTCCGAAAACACTCAGGAGGACCATTTAAAGCAAGCCAGTGCTCATCCTGCACCCGCAGACGGCACAACTCACCAGGAATCCGCGCTCGGTCTACAAACGGGTTCAAATCCAGTGATAACCACCCAAGATGTATCCACAGAATCAGCCTCTGGGCCAGTCGTTGATAGCGCAACCTCTGCAGAGCCAGAAACAAAACCGTCCAGTGGCAATCTTCGCCCAGGCTTTTTTGCAGCAGGTGGCTCTCTGTGAGTGATGAAACGTATTCTATCGGGCTTTCTCTGATCTGCGGGAATGTATAGGATGCGCAAATTTGACGAGGTCCAGAGTCGTCGTGCCTCTCGGCCCTCTTCTCCTCCCCCAGCTATTGTCGGCATTGGAAACAAGGGTATAGATAATTCTCATCGCTTTTCTGTCTCTGACCCTTATCAGTCGCTCCGCCCGATTATTCCGAGGAGAAGATTGTGCTCGCAATGGTGTGTCATTTCCTTGTCTTCCCATGAGATGTTAACGATGTGCAGGTGGGACTGCCAGCAAGAGGAAAGTCCTATCTGAGCAACAAGTTGACGAGATATCTCAAGGCGAGTCCCGTAATGATTGATTGTGCTTCTACTGACGTCGTACAGTGGCTCGAGTACGATGTCAAGGTTCGTAAGCTCTCCGAGAGGATCTGATATCTGACTAGAGCAGGTCTTTAATGTTGGTAATCTCCGACGGTCAAAGGCAAAATCGAGAGCTTCAAGGTGTGAACTGTTTGACATTTGGTAGACTTGTGCTGAGGACCACAGGACTGGCAAGAAAGAGGTTCATTCCGCCAATTTCTTCTCTAATGAAAACGACGAGGCGACAAAGGAGCGCGAGACGCTCGCAGAGGAGAGCCTCGAGATGCTCATTTCCTGGCTGTATCAGGGCGGCAATGTTGCCATACATGGTAAATCCTGTCTCATTTATCACTTCCCATGTTTACGCTTTCTCAGATGCAACAAATAGTACAAAGAGCCGTCGGTACGCGGCATTGTCTTTCACCATCCTGTACTGACCTCGTCATAGCGCCAAGATTGAAGCTCGAGTATCACGAGAACCAAATTTTTCGCTAATCTTCCTCGAGTCGTGGTGCGACGATCCAGAGATTATCGCGGCCAATGTCGATCTCAAGGTCAGCGCCGGGGATCCAGACTATATGAACATGTCCCGTGAAGAAGCGCGAAAGGACTTTTGGCGCGAATCAAGCAGTACGAGGCCGTCTACCAGACGATCACCGAGCCGCATCTATCTTATATGCGAATCGCCAATGTCGGCAGTCAAGTGACTGTTCATCGGATTCATGGATACCTCCAGAGTCGAATCGCGTTCTATCTCATGAACTTGCATCTCAAGCCGCGATCTATATTCATGTCGAGGGTATGTCTCTCTGTCCTCTTCGGAGCTGGGTTGATAATGGGCTACAGCACGGCGAGAGTATGTACAATGTCGAAGGCAAGATTGGTGGAGATGCACCGTTGTCTCCCCGAGGGATGCTCTATGCCAATGCGTTGCCTGGGCTAATCAAGGACAATCTCGGTGATGCAAACCTGACGGTGTGGACATCGACACTGCAGCGAACGATCCAGACGGCACAGTTTTTGCCGTTTACCAAGCTCACTTGGAAATCACTCGACGAATTGGACGCGGGTGTATGCGATGGGATGACTTATGAGGAGATTGAAGAGGCGTATCCTGAAGACTTTGCGAACCGTGATGACGACAAGTTTAACTACCGGTACCGAGGTGGGTATAGTGTCACTGAAGACTGCATTGCTAATCTTCTCTTGTAGGTGGCGAGTCTTATCGCGATGTCGTGCTAAGACTGGAGCCAGTCATTATGGAACTGGAGAGACAAGAGAATATTCTCATCGTTGGACACCAAGCCATTTTACGTTGCTTGTACGTTTTATTGCCTTCACACAGCGGTCATTAAGTGCGTCCCACAGGTATGCCTACTTCCACAACCTCCCCCAGGACGACTTGCCGTATATCAAGATTCCACTTCACACTGTCATCAAGTTGACTCCAAAGGCATATGGTTGCGACGAAGAGAGGTGAGCGCCGAGGTCTGGGTGTGGTTGACTAAAACTGATCTGGTTCACCTAGGTACAAAGTCGGGATCGATGCCGTCGATACACACCGTCCGAAACCGGGAGCTACCAAGAGCACGCTCGACGCTGCCCAGAACACGACTGCCCGCGTTTTCGAGGTCGCGCCGGACGTGCCTGTCGTTTGAGGGTGCTCAATAGTGTAGTCTAAAGGCTAATACGGGGAAAGTCAGGGCTGTAATTTGATGGGAGGAAGTCTGGAACACAAATATCTGCATTCTACTCGGCGGTATGAGAACGTAAGGGCTACAGGGGTACACGCGCTGAAACAGAGGGTCGTCGAGGAGGGAAAAGGGGGCGTATCGGAGAATGGCAACGAAGGGGGGTTTGAAGGACCAGAAGAGGAGAAGGATGGGTAAAGAGTTTGCAAGACATTTTGGTGTTACGAGACGATACAGCAGCCCTTGTTGGCGTCTGGTTGGTGGAAAGGATCCTCCTCTTTCGCGACGGTGCCCCAGAGACTTGGGAGCTACAATTTGTGAGTTTGAGTATGTATAAAATGAAGATGTACACACTAGCGGATCCTTTGTCGTCTTCATGTATCGGATGAGGCTGCTACTCGCTTCCGAGACACGCGCGCGAGGCCTGACGACGTCGTCGCGCAGACGAGCAATGTGTCTGTGATATACAAGCAGTGGTGAGCTATATTATGTCGTTTGTCAAGGCCTGCACGTACTGGTTGATGCGGTGAAGCTTGAGTTCTGCCATTTTCGCTGGAAACAGACGACGACGTCAATCGGAGATATAATAGAATGTAAATGGGCATACTTGGGCGAGACATGGTGATGCAGGAGCGGTTTCGCGGGCAGAGGACAGGAGCCAAGTGACTTTTGTTTGTGCAGCCATTATGGCAGCCGCCTATCTCGACGATCCTACGCCACAGGACGAGGCGCTCGATGTGCTTGCAAGACCCTACCAGGAATTTCTAGAGGACAACACGTACAACTACCAGGATGAAATCGTCCGCATGCTCAATCTCGAACAGACGCGTCTCATCGTCAACTTGGACGACCTCCGCGCGTACAAAAGAGATCTCGCAACGTCGTATGTCCCCATGAACCGTTCGGATTACTTGGGCGCGCTCACAATCGCCTAGGCTCTTAAAGGAACCCACAGACCACATTCCCGCATTCGAGACGGCCCTTGCACGCGCCGTAGAGACTTTCAGAGATCCATTAAAGCATATTATCGATGGAAAGGAGTTTAAACTCGGCTTTAGTGGCTCGTTGGGAGACCATCATGTCAGCCCGCGAACGTTGCGCGCAACTCATCTCGGAAAGATGATTTCTCTCGAGGGTATCGTAACAAGATGCTCCCTCGTCCGCCCCAAGATGCTCAAATCGGTCCACTACTGCGCCGCAAAGGAGAATTGGGTGCAAAGGACCTATCGAGACGCGACGAGCACGTCCAACCTCCCTCCGACGTCTTCCATCACACCCCAGACGGACGACGATGGGAATCCGCTCCAGACAGAATTTGGTCTCTGCCTGTTCCGTGATCATCAACGGATTTCCATTCAGGAAATGCCAGAACGCGCTCCTGCTGGTCAACTACCGCGTAGTACAGATGTCGTCCTTGACGATGATCTCGTTGACAAGTGCAAGCCCGGCGATCGTATCCAGCTTGTCGGCGTGTATCGTAGTCTTGGTGGTGGCGCAGGTGGCGGCTTCAAGTGCGACATTGTTTAAACCAATTCTATCGACTTACATCTATCTAGAACTCTGATACTTGCTTGCAACATCAACCTCCTCTCGTCCAAGGCTGGAGGCGGAATTGCCCAGACACCTCTGACGGATATCGACATTCGACAAATCAATCAGCTATCCAAGCGACCAAATATCTTTCGATTGCTCTCCGAGTCTCTGGCCCCATCCATCTACGGTCACCAGTACATCAAGCAGTCGGTTCTCTTGCTCCTGCTCGGTGGTGCCGAAAAGAACTTGGACAATGGGACCCATATTCGAGGCGACATCAATATGCTCATGGTCGGTGATCCTAGTACCGCCAAGTCGCAAATGCTCCGATTCGTGCTCAACACTGCGCCACTGGCAATCGCGACGACGGGTCGAGGGAGCTCGGGTGTCGGTCTAACGGCGGCCGTTACAACTGATAAAGAGACTGGAGAGCGCAGACTCGAAGCGGGTGCAATGGTCCTCGCGGATCGTGGCGTGGTGTGCATCGATGAGTTTGACAAAATGTCCGACATTGATCGTGTGGCCATTCACGAAGTCATGGAACAGCAGACAGTGACGATTGCAAAGGCTGGTATTCACACGACGCTCAATGCGCGATGCTCTGTCATCGCTGCGGCGAATCCCATCTATGGTCAATACGACGTTCACAAGGATCCTCACAAGAACATTGCGCTCCCTGATTCTCTCCTTTCGCGTTTGACTTGCTTTTTATTGTCACGGATGATATCGAAGAGTCGAGGGATCGCATGATTGCGGACCACGTCCTTCGCATGCATCGTTATCTCCCTCCTGGGGTGGAAGAAGGTTTGTTCTATCTAATCTGCGCTTTTTCATCTCTGAATGTGATATAGGGACACCTGCTCATGACATTCTGAGCCAACCTCTGACCGTCGACAACCCAGCGCACACCGCAAACGATCAAGTCCAAGAGACATCTCCCTTTGAAAAGTTTGATCCTCTCTTGCATGGTGGCATGGCCGATCAAGATGAGCGTTCGGTTTCTGGACGAACAAAGAGAGGGAAAGGGAAGAAGAAGGACAAAGAAGTCCTCACGCTGGCGTTTATCAAAAAGTATATTCAGTATGCGAAAGCAAGACCGGCTCCTGTCCTGACAAAGGGCGCTGCGGATTGGATCGTCAACGTCTACGGCAGTTTACGCAATGACAACCTCGAAGACAATCGCCGAAGGGTAAGTGTCACTTTGACCAGATGTATGTGTCTGCTCACAAACTAGCAGACGGCACCCATGACTGCACGTACGCTCGAAACATTGATTCGTCTTTCGACGGCACACGCAAAGGCCAGGTTATCTTCCAAGGTCGAGGAAAGAGACGCAATCGTCGCAGAAGGTATCCTCCGGTTTGCGCTCTTCAAAGAAGTCCAGAAAAAGTCTTCGAACAAGAAACGAAAGCTCAATACGGGCAAGGCAGCTGGGGAGTCGAGCGAGGAAGAGGAAGAAGATGCAGAAGCTGACAGTTCGAGTGAAGAGGAAGAGGATACACGACAGCGGACGCGGGCTGGTGTCAAAACGGGGGCGGCAAAGACGCCTGCGAGAAAAGGGCGACTGTCTCAGGCGGTCACATCTCCTCCTGCTGCGAGTGGAGCGTCGCGATCGGCTGCTGGTCAGACGCAGGATACGGAGATGATGGACCTCGACGAGTCGCAGGCTGGGAATACGGGTCCGACGATGATTGCACCCGAGCGGTACGTGTTTCCAATCTGCGCTTACCTAGGTATTGATGATTATCCCTACAGATACGAGCTCTTCAGATCCAGACTAGCAGAAGTCTGGAACACCAGGTTTGCTTCGGAAGAGGCTGTTCATATTCCGGACATGATAGAGGCCATTAATGGTTCTCTAGCACCACAACATGCATTTGGAGATGTCGAGGCGGGTCGCATTATGGAGCAGATGAGCAGCCTCGAAGAAATCATGGTCTCTGATGGTACCATCTACAGAATATGATCCAAACATAACCTTGTTACTTGAATATTAGCATGTTTGTACGCCTATGGCTTCTAATTTCGTTTCTTCGTGAGATTGCCACTCTTGGTTACTGCCTCGTTAGTTAAAATGTCAAGCGACGAGGAACCATCGACATCTTCGACTACAAAAACGTCGACACATGCAAATGGGAATTCTGGAGATAAAAGGGCGTTTTCGACGCTCGAGCTGAGCGGGCCAACTGCTAAGGGACTAGAGGCCATGGGCTTTACGACCATGACGGAGATTCAGGAGAAGACGATTCCGCATCTACTTGCTGGAAAAGATGTTCTCGGGGCTGCAAAGACGGGTTCAGGCAAGACACTGGCGTTTTTGATTCCGAGTGTAGAGCTCCTTTGCCGGCTGAAATTCAAGCCACGCAACGGTGCGTCTGTCTCGTAGTTGCGTATAAGGTGTTTGGATTGGGTTGTTGATGCTGTAATGGGTAGGGACGGGAATTATTGTCGTTTCGCCGACTCGCGAGCTTGCGCTGCAAATCTTTGGCGTTGCAAAGGAGCTGATGGAACATCATTCTCAGACTTTGGGGATCGTTATGGGAGGTGCAAATCGCAAAGCCGAGGTGGATAAGCTCGTCAAGGGTGTCAATCTCTTGATAGCCACCCCTGGTCGATTACTCGACCATCTGGAGAACACTCCAGGTTTTGTGTTTAAGAATCTGCGAGCATTAGTAATTGACGAAGCGGATCGCATATTGGAAGTCGGGTTTGAGGAGGAAATGAAAAAGATTATCAAGATATTGCCTAACGAGAACCGACAATCGATGCTGTTTTCTGCTACGCAGACGACCAAGGTTGCGGATCTGGCACGGATATCCCTTCGTCCTGGACCGACGTATATCAACGTCGACTCTGCCAAGGACACGAGCACGGTCACTACACTCTCTCAAGGCTACGTCGTTTGCCCGTCGGACAGGCGTTTCCTTCTCCTCTTCACCTTTCTCCGCAAAAACTTGAAGAAGAAAGTCGTGGTCTTCTTCAGCAGTTGCAACTCTGTCAAGTATCACTCAGAACTTCTTAACTATATCGACGTTCCTGTCATGGATCTACATGTGAGTTTTATCGGACCCAGTTGTCAATATCTAATACTCCTCAGGGAAAACAAAAACAACAGAAACGGACCAACACGTTCTTCGAGTTTTGCAATGCGAAACAAGGGATATTATTATGTACTGACGTTGCCGCACGAGGGTTGGATATCCCAGAGGTCGATTGGATAGTCCAGTTTGACCCGCCAGACGATCCTAGGGACTATATTCATCGTGTTGGTCGAACAGCACGCGCAGGCAAGACGGGAAAGAGTCTATTGTTCCTGCTGGAATCGGAGCTCGGCTTCTTGAGATATCTCAAGGAGGCCAAGGTGCCATTGAACGAGTACAACTTTCCGAGCGAAAAGATTGCCAACGTTCAGACTCAGGTATGCATAGACCTGCTCGTGCTCCAATCGTTGATATTTCGATCAGCTTGAGAAGTTGTTGCAGAAGAATTACTATCTACATCGTTCCGCAACAGATGGATACCGATCATACCTCCAAGCCTATGCGTCTTACTCTCTCAAAAGTATCTTTGACGTGAACAAGCTAGACTTGGTTAAAGTCGGCAAGTCGTTTGGGTTCACCGTACCCCCACGGGTCAATGTTACCGTTGGATCTGCTGGTGGTGAATCCAACGCTGCTCACTCGAAGAAGCGGCGCAGAGCAGATGTGGAAGCTGAAGATGTGGAGATGGAGGACGCGACTGCAGAGGCAGCCAGCCATGAGCACCGGTCGCGACCGAATAAGGAGAGGAGGATCGAGCAGATGGGGAATAAGCGAGTGCAGAAAGAGGTGTATAAAGTTACCAAGGATCGACAACGACAACAACAGCAAGCCCACGCGGCTGGTGACCGACGGCAGTGGAGTCGATGACACGGCCGCTCTTGATGTAAAAGTACTCTTATATCCTCGTCTACTGATCATACAAAACTTTACCTTGGGCATTGGAACTTTTGTTTGTGGCAAACCGCCTCTTGGCTTCCAACGACGTCGCCTGAGTTCGAGAAGCCACCAAAAATGTCACCAATTGCACCCAACAAAGTTAAGGATGCCATAAATTTGCTGCACGGAAAGATTGGCAAGCATTCACGCGAGGACCTCGCTCTGGTTTCTCAACATATTTGTCCATCCTCCATCTTTTGGCAGAAGTTTACGGCGGCAAATCTGGAGGAAACAAGTCGAGACATAGGCAGCACAAGCATCTACAGAGTTTAATCCTCCCGATTCAAGCAATCATGCACAACCCTCGTACCATGCCGAGTTTTCAGGAATCTTGTGGAGAACCTCGCCAATTCGTCTGTCTTTGATTATCTCGACGAGGCCGCAGTGTTTATTTCTGAGCATATGGACGCAGCATGCAGGTGGTCCATGCTGGCACGCAGTTGAAATTTAACACTAGGATGAAGAAACGAAGCTCATGTTTCTCAACGACTTGAAGAATGCACTCGAGTCGGCGAATGGGTCGACAAGACAGGCAATGGGCAAGCAGATGCCTAGAGCACGACTGCTGCACACTTTGGTGATCTCTAATTCACAGTGGATCCCTGTGATGCAGATTCAAAACATGGTGATGGATCCTGTTCGATGCAACCGTCGTGGATGTGAGAAGAGTGGAAATTCTCAATGCGCACGATGTGCATCCAGGTATTGCTCAGCGGATTGCCAGAAGCAGTGAGTCCCGTCGACAGATGTCAGAATATACTCATTCCTGGTCACAGGGATTGGGCCGAGCACAAGTTGGTATGCAAACTTCTACCGGGTCTGAAGAGCAAGGTTCAAAGCGCGTGAGGACATGTGTCTTACTATGGCATTTCTTGTACCTGTCAGCCTACTCCCCGATTCAGGTTTTGAGCCCCAGCCTCGACTCGAGATTTAAATCCGCGTGAGGCGCGCGCTCTCTGTTAGCCGCTATGCTATCTAGGCTGGGAGTCGGTTATGAATTCCGTATAGGCTCACTATCGGAAAAGCTGGTCGAATGCCAGCGTGGCGCCCACTAGTTCGGACATGCTCCTCAGGCGTAACACTGCTCATTGACCAAGGTAGGCTATAATTAGCATGTGCAATAGATGATGATGCGTATGTATGGACAGGGAGTGTGTGCCATCGTCTACGTGTTATGCCAGAGCAACGTCTTTAGACCATCCCATTTGTCCGAGTCTTTGTATAGATAGTTCATTGAGCTGAACATGCCTGGCTGGATCGTATAGCCCTTTTCCGCAAAGAGGTACATGACAGCGCCCCAAGCGAGAGCGGAAAAGACGGCGAAATGCTTGGACGAGGGTGGGATGGGACGAACAGCCGCACCGGATCCTGGCGCAGGAGGCGGGTACGCGCGAGGTATGAGTGTCGCAACGACTCGCGAGACGACATAGAGCACAATCTATTCACCAACATTAGTCTCCTTGCCGGGAATTGGAGGAAACATATTGCACCTGCTCGTTGACGGCCGTTCTGTCTCCAAATACAATAAATCCACCGACTAGACCGGCGAAAAAGGTGTCGAGCTTGCGCTGCTTGCCGTCGTTGAGCTTTCGTTGGAGTAGCATGGCTGACTTGTAGAGAGCGACAAAGGATGCAAGGTTGACGGCATGTGTACGCGTTGCACGAAGAATTGCGCGTACTCGAGAGGCCCAACTAGGATCGCCAGTGGCCCGTTTGTCAGTAAACTGCTTGGCCCAACGCGCGACGCGATGGATTGGACACTTACTCTCCTCTGCCGAATAAAATAGCCATCACGACTGCATGCGGGAATCGAATTTTGACTCCTATTGAGATTGCTCAGAAAACGCCCAAGCGGGCGAGGCCAGTAGCCGGTTACGCACCATAGACAAAGCCGTTTCGAGCGCCCTTGAGGATGGCGAGATAGTCCGCATATTTAGGATTATTTACCAAAGCGTTCAGAGCGTCCAGTCGTGATCCCATCCGGCCAGAAGAAATAAGGAGGAGACGAAGAGTACTTGGAGACAAATCCACACGTGAATGATAGGCGTGCACACCCGGGTTGAGTATCAAGTGCCGGAACGCGCAGATTGCTGATATATTGTCGTATATACAATATGGAAAATATCCTTTCTAAGGGTAATAAGGATATACGCGCAAGCCGGAGACGGGAAGCAGACATCGTGACTGTGGTCAACGATGCATCATCCCACAAGAGCAATCAAATATTGAGGCAATCAGTCTAGGTGTACATACAGCTTTACGGAATTGATGTAGTTCTGCCTGGGTTCATTTCGATGAATGCTCGAATCAAGTCGGGGTCGAGCTCCTCCTGCTCTCCTTGCCCAGTCTTTCGCTTCACAGTTACAAAGTCCATGAATACAATACCCACAGCTTTTGGCCGATTCGCAGCGCACCAATCTTTCATATGCTGGTTGACGCCGTGGACAGACCCTCGACCGAGTGCCATAACCTATTGAGGATAAGAATAAATATTTGAATGCAGAGAAAACGATACATACCCGTGGTGTGACGTCCTCTGTCTCGTCTAGCTTCCTGTCGCCTACTGCACTGCTGAAGGTGATCCATAAATCCTTTGGGTCGGTCTCGATTGCCTTTTGTGCTCTGAGAAGATGGGCTTTTGTCACGTCCCACTTCTTCTCAACTTGCTTTTCTGCGTCGTGGGCGAGGTGCTGAAGTAGATAAAAGTCCTCAATCTGTGCAAACGTCTTTCCTTCTGTGTCAAGAGGCATTTTGAAGTTGCCGTCGTTGACCTTCCAGTCGAGAGCGACGTCGAAACCAACAGGTCTACTGAATGGGAAGCGGCGCATTAGTACGAGTTTGCCGCGCGCTTCTTTGAGAGTGGTTGCCTTGGCGCGACGTGAGTATAGCTATCCCGAGTTGCTGGGAGATGTCACACCGTGGTCACGTTTTCTACCCAGAATGCCTTGGTCACGTCCAAGACTTCGCCCATCAGACGCTGAACCTCTTCACCAGCTGGGTCCCCATTGTCGACTTTCAACGAGACGACGATTGTCTCCGACGGATGCTTTTGTAACCAGGCATGCAGCCCATAGACTATATCAATCACTTCGGCCTTTTTGTCAAGGAGTGCAATGGCTAGGGTTCGTTGAGTGTACCGAGTGATGGTGTGAATAAGCAGCTTACAATGAAAGAAATGGAGTTTGCCGTCTAAGAGAGCGTAGCGAAGGTCCAGGGCACGAATACCGCTATCTAGTTGTGCAAAGAGCGGTTGTGTCTAATGTGGATGAGTAAAGACAATGGAACTGCCGAGTAAACCCACTTGGCAGTTCCAAAATTCGTGCAGGTCGCCAGTATAATTGTCTAGAGGCCCGTCAGAGGCCGAACGGGCGTGTTCTACGCCCACTTACAAGCCGCGGCGTCGTGTGTTCCTGGGATGGTCATCGCAGAGAGCAATGTCTCGTCACCAATCTCCTTCATCCAGTCGTTTCCTCGTTTTTGGCCGTCGAGGCATCCTGTACTTTGCATGAGAAGACCAATTCATTGATTGAAATTATAAGCATACCGAGGATGCCCTTTCCATTTGCGAGATAGTGACGGAGGCCATGCTGACGACGGACAAGGCCGTTCAGGATGGCCGAAACCGAGTTCATGAGGCCGACGACCAAGGTTACAAGCATCGAGTGATAGTCAGGATTCGCGAGTTTTGTATGCGTACTTTCGCCGCCTCCTCTTCAACGGAATCTACACGGCTGGCAGGCGCGAGACGGGTCCAAGTTAGGCTCTTGGTGTTGGGCTGATGCCGCCTTTTAATGCTCGAGATTGACAGTCTCTCGGAGGATGGGTGCACTTTGTCTTCCGAACGTGAAGACGCCGATAACACTGCCAACCTAGCAAGGCCGAACAATTGTGTCGAGTATGTCTCCTCTAGTCAGATGTCGTGCAGTCTCTGCTTCATTCTATCCTACAATGCATCTTGTATCAAACTACCTGCCCTGGCTTCCCCGCCTCCTCCACTTCACCGCATAAGCACATTCTCCCCTCATGGTAGACGTCGTCGTCGGACATCTAACAGCGTGTATCCCCGTCTACTCTCGCATGTTAAACGACCGTCGCCGGATCTAACGGTGGTCGAATGCCAATACTACGACGCCGTTTTCGCCAGCCATTTGATCACAACATCCAAGTTGTGCTGGCTCTTCATTGAACACTGGACGTAGCCCTGTAAGCGTCAATCATCTTGGAAAGCAATTCTATATCCTACCGAGTAACACTACCGAATCAAGTTAGAATAGCGAACTTTTGAACACTAGCAGGGAGGTTGACTCACTGATACAGGCCGGTTCGTGATGGTATCCAGATTTCTGGAGTATGGTTACATTTTGGTCCACGGTGCGCCAGTGGCTAGACTTACAGTGCCTCAATCAGTTCTTCTGCAGACGCGTGTCCTGGAAGATCGTTCTTATTACCCAGCTTTAGGGGGGGTCAGCGTCGAGCAACTTGTGGGCTCAAAAGTTGGCTCACTACCAGCAGAGGCGTCCCAACCAGACTCTTCTCCCCCAAGAGACTATGTAGTTCAAACTTTGCATCCTCAAAGTGTTGCTTCTATCGTGGCTTTAGTCCGCAGCAGGAGGCATACGTGGTCTGAGCCGAACCCACATCTGTCGAGTCGACAACGAAACTACAGCATTCCGTGAGTAGTCTACTCTCTTGTCACGTTTCAAAAATGCTCACACTATCGCGCTACTCCCTTTGCAATACCTCTCCCACAAATTTCGATACCGCGGTTGTCCTGCGCGACATGAGCAGGCTGGGGAGCGTAAAGAGTGCTAAGCATACCAGCAACATCCCATATCTTCAGCTTAATGTTATCTCTCCTCACTAACGCTGTTAATGCGCAAACCATTGGCTGTATATTGAGATGACGCACCCATACGATAGCTGAATGCCACAGTTGGAACGACTTCTTCCGACCATGCTCCACCAATATCGAGTACATTCACGAGCGAGGTCTTGCCAGACCCCTGCGTAGACGCGCGCTGGTGAGCGTTGGGGCGCGCGAAGAACTTTAAACTGACCTGGAGCCCTATTATTGCAATTTCTGCAGACTTTGAGAAGAATATAGACGAGAACCACGCGCGTATTGACGCGAACCAAGAGGCCATGCCGATGCGTCCGAGTCCAACGTTGGACATCGACGTCGACGTCGTGGCGAAACAAGACTGACAGCACTTCGCAAAGTCACATTCGAATAATATCTTAGAAGCAGTTGAGATACTCTAGATACCTTCAAATACACCGCCCGCCACCCGACTACTATCACCCCTATGATAAATTCCAGACTGCCAACATCCTCGGCCTGAATTCCCCAAAATCCTGGCATGTTCAATTCGCTTAATATCTGCAGCAAGAAGCCATTGCGGCTAGGAGCGGTTTAGAGCGGTCCTCAGTTTGAAGGGTCCACGCCGTCGATTCACTCAATCAAAGATATGAAATCTGTCAATATATATCCAAAATAGACAAAGAAGAGACCCCCGAAACCTCGAGCGCTGGCAGATGACTGCGTGGATCGCGGCGGCGAGCATTTCATGTTACCCGAGCCACCTTACTGGCCGCAATCTAGACTCAAGGTTGTACATTCAGCGGAGTCTGACCGCCACTCTTGTGCCCGACTTTAGCAATGGCCAAAAAACCGAAGAAACACTCCTCCAAGCTCACGTCGCCAAAATTCAACCTGGATGACATCGGCACATTCACGAGGAGACTCCGTGACCGTCTCGACGATCCGAACATCACCGAGTACGCAGGAATAGGTGAACAGGTCAAGGCTCTGGGCACGGTAATGTCCAAGTGCTCCCAAGCCGACGCTCTTCTCTATACTACAGATATGCTCAAGTGCTGTACTATCGAGACGCTTATCGATCTTCTCATGTCCGCGCACCCGAAGCAGGTATTCCACTGCTTACCGTTAGGCTGATTGATTTTCACCATAATTTTAGGGGGAAATCGACTACCATTGGGTAATATATGCCGTGGTTATGACTTTGGTCACCTTGAAAGGCATCTCGGATGTGAGGCAAAAGTTGTCAACGATATTGGCTGAGAAATGGCACCAAATCTCCGAAAAGGCGAGTGGGCTTTGGTTGAAATGAGCTCTAATTTACTGAAGCTACAGCTCTGGTCCGAGAGACATTGGGAAATCATTGACGGAGAATCGTTCTACTTTAGTTTTGGAATGCTTTGCCTCGAAATGGCGAACTCGGCCTTGTTCAATAAATCTTCCAGCTTTAACAAGTAAGTTTAATCTATATTTACTGATTCGTCTGACAAATGGCAGGAGTCTCGATGCATACACGATGAAGCTTTTGGCCTATTACTGGAAGCGCGCAGAGAATCCACATCCGATAGGCTGGCTGGAGAAGGCTATTCATATAGCCACTATTCAGGTTGTTCCAGCGACTACGGGGGAGGGCCCCAGATTCGCCAAAAAGCAACAGTTCTTGGAGACTCTATGGGAACAATTTGCGGATGAAAGCGACCCTCCATCGGAACTGCTTAAGCTTCTCGTGAAGCGGCTGCGGTCGGACCCGAACGATCGACATGCGCCAACCACCGGTGGATACATCCTTGTTTGCCTCGCTCCACTTGATTGCGAACCTGACATGGAGCACCAAGAACGATTTATGGAGAAGCTAGTTCACTCATCTCACTTCTGGGATCGCTATACGACGGCCATGATTCGTGAATTCCACGCTGACAAGAATATCGCAGGGGTTCAGCTAACTCCCATTGCCTATCTTCTTCGTGCCGTGAATGAGATACAATCACTCCAACAACCCCTTGTCCTCAACCTCGTGGAGTCCTCCTTTTTTGATTATCTGGACGAGATTGCCGGCCAAGATTTGAACCGAAATGGAGAGGGCTGGAGTGAGCTTTTCTCGGTTTTTTCGAGTGTTCTATGTCGCTGATACAGCACAGAATGTCTGCATGACATTTTGTTTTTCATTCTCTCTGCTCTTGAGCACGCGGACGCGAAATTGCTCGAGGGTGTCGCTGGCGAAATGCCACGAACTCGTCTACTCCATTTCTTTGCCGCTTCCGCAGACTATGATCCACGCCGCAGGGTTGATCGCACAGAACTTTGGCATCTGTGGCAGTTCCAATGCTGGGTACCGCTGCTCAAGATATACGCTTTGGTTATGACTCCGGATCAATGTTACCGACGTGGGTGCAAGAATGAAGGTATCCTTAGATGCACGCGTTGCAAGACGAAATACTGCTCGCGCGAGTGTCAGGTTGAGTAGGTGTCGGAGCACTGTTATGGAATGGGATCGCTGACCTTGGGTAGTGATTGGTCCGAGCACAAGTTGATTTGCGAGCACGTGCCAAAGATTCAAAAGATGGAGGAATCTCTCGAATTATATTCCTCGCTCGGACACTCACCACATCACGCCCTTTTGGCTCTCTTGTCTCCGCTTTTCAAGTTTGTACCCAAAGAGGCAGATTTCTTGTAGCTGCACGGGCGGCTGTCCGTAGAGATTCTCTAGCGAATCATTTGATCATGAATAAAACATAGAGAACGAGTATGAACATGCAATTCTGTGAGTTCGTGGTTGTGGGAGAAATTTGACCAAAGTGGAGGCTAGCTTGCTCCCGACCTTCATGCTACGAACATGCGTTGCCAGTCGAAACGCTTTAATACCTGCTCAGAGAGCATTCTCTACTACCTCTACGCGCTCTGCATCTAAAAAGAAGAAAAAGAAGCCCGCAACAGTCCTCAAACCGATCCCAATTCCCTCATTGTCTGACCCAAACCTTGCAAACTTCTCCGAAAAACTACGAAAGCGGCTTTTAGGTCTAAATAATGATGAGAAAGCCAACGTTGCATCGAAGGTTGCATCGTTGGAAGACACCTCCAAGGATGCCATGGATGATATCAACCGAATTGTAACAGGCTGGGGAGAAGATAGTAAGCTCTCTCTTGTTCATGAGCTATGTTGTATTTTTAACGCGCCATACGTATAGAGCTCGCCCCTAAACCGGACCCAACGACGAGTCAAAGTCCTGAAGGTCAAAGTCGCGATCCCCCAGCCCACAATTCAAAGGTCGATCTAGGAATGGTCCGGCAGTTTGAAATCGAGGCTTTCTACAGACATGGTCGCACAATGCCCCTTTTTGAGCGTCGATTGCAAGTCTGGTTGCCTCAACCATCCAAGGAAGAGCCAACATTGGTCATGATTGAGCCACCGCATGAACAACCGCCCATAGCACAACTGGCACACTCTCTAGATCGGGTGCTATTCAAGTGCGTGTCCGTACTCGTCATCCATTTGTTTCGCTGACACACCGATCAGCCCTGGACCCCACTGGCTACGGGAGCCTCGTTCCGGAGTGTACAATTTTGATTCCCATTTGGAGAAACTGCCGGACATCCATACGTTCGACTTTGATCGCCTCGAGCCATACACGCCGAGCTCGAAGGACGAGGTATTTCCGGACAGTCCTGATCATATCTAAACACTGACCACTGAAGACTTTAGCCGCTCTTGTAAAAAGAGAAGGCAAGCAATTTGGGGGTTCAACCTCTTCGCTTACCACCCTCTTGTCGCACATCTATCTCCTGCTCTGCCACGAGAGAGGAATCGACACGTCAAGTCTTAGTGTAGCTTTCTCAAAGAAGGTGAAGATGGACCTGAATAAGCCGATACCGCAGGCTCATGCTTCTCAGCCGACAGGGTTTAGTCAGAGTGCGAGATGGCCAGGAGGCGTGACTTTCCGTCATTACGACTGCATTTACTGCATCGATTCTCATGAGATAGACGAACAGGAAAAGAACTTATTGCTCAATATGGTATGCTTCCCGATATTTCAACGCCACGCTCATGAAATGACTTTAGGGGACTATGCTAGAAAAGTTTGTCACGCAAACACCTGAGCAGTTTTCTCAGTTGTTACGATCCACGCCGACAACTGAGGATGAGGGAGCTATGAAGAAACCGGAAACTTATCGTTATTCTACGGCAAGTCGGTGCTTAGCAGCGGCTGCCTTGCTAATCCCAAGCGTTAGTCGCGCAAGTTTGTCATGCGATCTCAATTAGATGCATACGATTCACGTCTGCCTGGGTCAGGAGTTTTCGATATCAAGACTCGAGCAGCGGTCGCTATCCGTTATGATCCTCTTAATGTCGAGGTACGTATCCACCTAGAAACTGGCTATATTCACATTATCATAGAATAACTCCAACTACATGATCAAAACGCTACATGGGGATCTCGAAAGCTTTGAGCGGGAGCAATACGACCTGTTCCGGGCCGCTTTTCTAAAATACCAGTAAGTCCCCCGACCTTTCCCGAAACGTGATAATAATAATATGTTCAGGTTCCAAGTGAGGATCGGAGGCATGGACGGTATCTTCGTTGCCTACCATAACACCTCTCGCTTTTTCGGATTCCAATATTTCAACCGGGAAGACATGGACTCACGACTGTTCGGTGGATCAACAGAGGGAGACCGCGTCTTTGACCGATGCGTACAGTGTCTGGAGGAGATTGCTAATGAGGTGACGATGTGCTATCCCGGACAGTCTGTCAGGTGTCTCTTTGAAAGTTCAGACGAAGATCAATCTTTGCGTATCTACGTCGAGCCGGAGGAATGGGACGAAACTCGGGGAGACCGACCAATAACGGAGCTACTCATCACTGCGACCAATTTTGTGGATGGGGAGCGAGTGGTCGGCCCTATGGACTTTTCTCGTGCTCAATGTACGCCAAAAACGGACGAAACAGCGCAGTTCACTGATCATCTACAGGGTCAACACTTCTAAACGTTACACGATCGTCTTCGACTGTCCCAAGTCTTGTGGAATCGATCAGAACAGAAAGAGATGCACTGGAGAAGAAGAAGAACGCGTTTTCATTTTGGCTTCCCGAAGACATGAGCGCAGTGGAGATGGCAGACAAATGGCAGAAGCTCAATTACCGCAAGGAACGGGAGAGCGACGACGACGAGACCACCCAGACAAACGGCGTCAAATCCAAAGAGTGGAAAGAGGAGCAAAAGAGGCTGATTGAAATGTTTTCATCTCGACGAGTACCGTCGCCGTTCGTCGCTACACTGCGCAAGCTGGCGTCGGAAGGTAAGACGTACCTGGAGGAGCTCGAGCAAGGTGGTGCAATGCAGGAGCATTCGAGTCTGGCAGAGGTAAATGGGTCAATCGACAAGGGTTATTTGGGACTTATTGCTTGTCAGGATATCTTGACCGTGCCAGTGCAGGAAGCTATCCAGGACGGTTATGAGCCGTCCCCTGAACCTGACGCCACGCCAGTGGATCAGAACGCGGTACGTTAACGTGCAACGTTTGCGAAATAACTGCATGCGCATAATGAATGTGTTCTGACAGCCCTTTAGGTTCCCGTTGTCGAGATCGAGAGGCATTCTTCGACAGTACGAGGGGTCGCTTCTGCTGATGGAATTAGTGTGCAAGACGCGCCAATAGGAGAAGCGGGCCTTGCGTTTGGCACGGTTGAGGACGCTATCCTGGTAGGGATTATTCCGCATATTGTGATCGCGCGTTGTCGCTCACCGCCGTCTTTGATCCAGAATTCAGCCGAAGTTGGAATGGTTGTCGGCGATGATGATCCAATTACGCCGCCCGAAGGCGCAGAACAGGGTATTTCTCCTACCCGCCCATGGGAATCGAGCGTACCGTCGTCCGAAGAATCGCAGCGTAATGTCCTAGATCCGACATCGACCAAGGGCGACTCCCACGGTCCTCCAGTGTCTCTAGAGCCCGGGATGATGCGCCTCAATGGTGATGGGCAGCTTGAATTCGAGGACCCCTCTTCCGACTCCGCCGCCGATGTAGACTTGCGTACTGAGGATCAGGCGTGGAGTAGTTCTCCGAGCAAACAAGGAGACGTTGACCCGAAGGGATCGGACACTCAAGCTTGGCCGAAGCACCTTCCTGGCGTCGAAGAAGACGAACACAGGCGCCAAACATAGAAGGGCGGTCGTGTGATGCGGGAAGACGCGCGACTGGACGCCGAGATGCAGTTGGGTGGCTGCTCTTCGACTATTGGGAACCTGGCTAATGGCAAAGGTGCGGAGAAACATGGGGCAATTGAAATGTGCGCGAGCTGTCATTGCTAAACCCACGTGGAAAACGTGGGTTCCACCTCGTTTGTCTTTCAAGGCTGTTTCCAACTAGACCCCGAGTAGTCAACAACTGACCTCCCCTCCGGCATCAGGCCCCAGTGTTGACGCTGGCCAATCCCTCTCCTGTCTACCACGTGTTCTTTAATTTTGACTAGCTTATCATCCCAACCAATTTGTAATTCCCACACCACTCTGTCTACTCGATCTTGCAAATTCACGCATAACGCTCATGTAGTTTGCACACGTTTATCGGAAAAAACACAACTTTCGTTTGATTGTCATATATATGGAGTTAACGTTACGTAAAGTGGCCCAAGAATTGAACGAGCAGGCCCATTTGGGGGGTATCTATCCGTCGACGAGGCAACGAAACCATCCTTGTAATGGGGGACCGCTCGCGAGACCATAGTAAAGCCAGAGACGAGAACAGTCCAGGCAGGCCCATCAAGAAGAGGGAGCTCGAGGTAGAGGGAGACGTGAACGACAGAATACATAGCTCCGACTGCAGGGTAAGAAAAAGACACGATGATTGATGGGTAATGATGATGATGGTGATGCGTGATGAGTCGAATGCGGATGGATGGATAATGCAAAGCCAGATGGTGCCATCTGGGAGAGAGGAGAGGGGAAAGGTCGAGTGTCGAAGTTCATAACCCGCAGTCGATGGTATGCAAGAGACGGTCCACTGCCTCGTCGTGACGACGGAGACGAGGCGGTGAGACCAACAGGAGGGGGAGAGCGGTGATGATTGTCGAGGACTCGTTCTTTTGTTTTCATGGCGAGTCGTCAGTCATTGCCCTGTCGAGTGCCAGAGGGCAAGAAAACGTGCAGTGGACGTGATCCGTGGGGCGTGTTGAAAACAGACGAGAATCGAGATATTGATATCGTTGTTGGAAACAGTGGGTAAAAGTCTCGAAGCGGTCGGAGGAGAGAGAAAAAAGTCGCAGATACAGTTTGATAGTCGGAAGCAGCAGCCATTGTTGATATAGAAGCGAGCGGAGCGAGCACGAAGAGCGAACGACGGTAACAACGAATGGATTTGATCGCGGTAGCAGTGTTTGGCGGATAGCCTAGTCGGTGGCAGCGTGTTGTATACGAGTGTGGTTTTTCAAGTCTGGTATCCAGTACGACTTTTTTGATATTTCCTTTTGATAATCTCGAGGCTCGGAGCACGCGCTCATGCGTTGCCCAGGAGCGGGACACCGTCGCCATTGCTTCCACCGTCTGCATCGTCGTCTAGGAGGTAATTCCTCTCAATCTCCGAGAGAATCGAGAGGAAGTCCCAGAGGTATGCGTGTGCTCGTGCGGCTGAGACAGGTGCAGTCTCTGCCTTGCGTACGGCGTCGAGGAGCGTCGAGGCCACAAAGCGAACTTTGTGTACCAGTGAGGGTCCATTGGTCGCGATAGACTGGATCGGAATCGAGTGCAAGACGGTGAGGAGGTCGCTCGCGACGGCCTCGCGGTCTTCTTGGGATGACAGCTCAATCTCCTCTCCCGTCGCGGCTTGCATCGAAATCATGAGCTCGTCGCGATACTGCTCAATCACGAATCGAACCAATTGCTAGAAAAAAGTCAGAATCAAAGCGAGTGTCTGAAACTTGTACATACCTGAGTCACGTACAGGTTGGCCTGCATGACCAAGAACGGGTTGGGGGCATTCGCTCGCGACGCCTTGGTACCGTCGAAAAAGTCTCTGACCTCTGCAAACGTCGCCTGACGGAAACCGGCACCATTGGGCCAGTCACCCGCGACGGGAGTGTGCACGGTGCCCGGGACGCCAGCCGCCGCGCCTTGGCCGGGAACAGCAACACCGTTTGCAGTGCTGAGCTGGCCGAGGCTCTTGAGTCGGAGAGGCGCAGGAGCGTGCGCAAGTGCGCCGAGGATGCGCGCATGAAGTGAGCGCACCTCTTCGAGACGGGCAGTGGCAAACGGTCCTTGCGGTGGGGAACGCTTGTCGACACGAATGCGAACGAGAATCTCGCCGAGGAGAGCAAAGATGCGGGTGATGTAATTGAGCCCCGAGACGATGGCCGTCTTGCCCTGGGGTTGAGGGTGAATGGTCGTTGCAGTAATGCTGTGACCGACGACACAGGATTACGAGAAAATGCGGGGAAGTGCCAAGGGACAGATGGTGGAGGGTAAACGAGGTCAGCATTTGATCGAGAGCAGAAAGCAAGGAGAGCAGAATATGCGAGGTGTCGAAAGCCAGGTCCGTCTGATCCTCGGGATCAAGTCGGATAAAGTCGACGAAGCCTCGGCGAAAACCGCGGGGAAACCGCATTATCGCGCAGGGCTATTCAGTCGGGTCGGGGGCAATAGTAATTGCTTGAGTGACCGAACACGCGCGCCACGGGTCCTTGCGAGGCTCTGGAGCACAGAAGGCGGAAAGCGGGTACGTACTATTCATCATCAACTTCCTTGGGGAAGTGCAATGTGCAGTCTTCATCACGAAGACAGATGGGGCGGCCCAGGAGGATGGACATCGATTTGTCGGCTGAATGTACGTTAGAAAGCCATGCGTAAGAGTGGTGCAAAAACTACTAACCTCCAAAGAGGAGCCAGAAGACACGTCGTCGGACCTCGGTCTCGATAGGATCCAGGCCTTCATACGAAGCTTCTTCGTGCATATGCAGGGTGACAGCAATGTGGGCAGCCTCACCAAACGAGGCATGCGACGTCGCGTCGTGACCCTCGCAAAAGTGATAGACAGTGTCGCTAGATCGAAATGTCAAACCAGGCTAGTGTCGAATGAAAAAAAAAAAGGGCTCACAAGTATCGAACGACTACATGAGTGCTCGTCGGAGGGTCGTAGGCGGCGACCGTGACATGCCTGCTTGCCTCATGGCAAAGCTGGGCTAGTCTTCGAACCTGCTTCCTTTCGACAATGGGGAGATAGCTCCTCGGGACCTGAACAAGCGTGCTGGCGATCGTGCTCATGACAAGAGCAAAGAAGAGTGGGTCTCGTTCTTCGCGTCTCGAGCTCAAGTCGGCCATGAACGAGGGCCGATGGACGCATGGGGTGAGCGGGTAGACAAAGTCAAAGAAGAGTTGAATGATCTGGAGGAGCATCTCGCGGGGAGCAATGTCCTCGAGCCGGTGTGGTCGATAATAGTAATTGAGAGGAGGAAGGTACGTCGGTGGAGGAGGCTGATATGGTTTGAATGGGTATTGAATCACACCAGGAGGGGACATCCAGCTCTGGTTGGGGCCGTTTGCACTTGCACTAAAAGAGCTTGTGAACGGGCTCTCGAGAGAGGGCGGCGCAATTGTTGAAGGAGGTGGGCCGGTGGTTGAAGTGGTGTCCGCGGTAGACGGGCGATCGAATGGATTGTGATGATTGTACAATGCACTCGTGGGCGCCGGAGTCGTGGACGCATTGCCGGTGTACGTGTCTGCTGCAATAGGATATCGAGAGGGTGGAATGGCAGCGGGCACATGCGGATCGGATAGATACGATGCGGGTACCGGAGTGACGGGGGTCGTCAGATTTGGGAGCGAGGGCGGGCTGCGACGCATTGCAGCGGCATGGGAGTGAGGATTGTGCGAGAGGAGTGGGACGTGTATCGACGAGTGCGGTGACAAAGGCGAGACACCATGATGGCCACCGAGGGCTGATGCAGGCGTGTTTGGAACACCTCCAGCAGACATGGGGGGCACAGATGCATCCATGAGACCGCCATTAGCAGCAGCAACAGCGGCATCACGCTGGGCTTGGGCAGCAGCCTCTTGGAGGCGACGCAGATAAAGATTTGGAGGACCACGCTTCTTGGGCTGATAGTCGTACGTGCAGGGGACTCCTAGGGAGATACAGTGCTTGCAGCGCGTCGTCTGATCATCTGGGTTATCGCGTGCACAGCGAACCTTGCGGGAGCGGCAGGCATCGCAGCCTAGAAGTAGGTCATTATAAGCGTGTGTCGTGCACTAAAGAAAGGGGGTGATGGAGGGACACGAACTCTGGCTTTGACGCTTGCGCTTTGGCTTGTCGTCCTTGTGGCCATCGAGCATGACCTTGTCGTCGTCGTCGGACGATGTACTCGTCTTGTTTCTTACAGGCGCCATGGAGTAGCTCGTAGCTCGTGTTGGCGGGGGAAGTGCGGGAGTGTGGAGGAGTCCAAGGAGTGCGGGGAGTTTGGTGGCCAAACCGTCGGCGGTCGGGCTCGTCTTTTATGGGATTTCTGTTACTGCTCGTTAGTAAATTCTGGATAGCGGGCCTTGCCGATTCGAGCTCACATGTCGACGGGCCAGCGCTGCTTCGACTTCTCCATTATCCCATGACCTCCTTAATTATATTATTTTATATTATTTATTTTGTAAAAATTTATATATATAATATTATTGTCTGCCCCTGACACTGCGAGACGCACGAAACTCTGCAACAAGGCACCCTCACTCGTCGTCCCTATGGCCTCCAATTTCCAACACTGCAGATACGCTACTGCTCCCGGAGAATCTGCAGCGACCTAGCACCGACCTAGTCCCTTCCAAACGGGCGCAATGGGTTTTTCCGCCTGGGAAACATGTTTATATAATAAATAATAAATAATCAAATATTAATTTCCACTAGCGTCCTACGACCCTGCCAGTCGATGAAAAGCTCATGGGCTGGCTGGCGGCGACCAGTGGCAAACCGCCGCTTGGACTGCGCCATGTCGACTAGGCTTCTCTCCCAAAACTCGTTAGAGGCCGTGGCTGCCTTTTTAGACTCTGATCAGTGCAACGGACGCGTCTTCGTTCTCGTATGCCCCTCGTCTTGTTTGCGTTTTATTGCCCATGATCTGTGACGCACCGCTAGGCTGGAGCAGGCGTGTCAAATCACCACAATTCGCATTCTCCCAACTGAGTCCCAACAGGTCTCTCGACATCAGCAGGAATCCCAGATTTCCGCTCGCCCGGAACAGGTAACAGTGGCTTCTTATCTCTCTCTCCTGTCAATCTCACCTGTTCCCAGGTCTCTATGTGCGTTTCCCCCACGGTCCCTACGTCGGATTTCTCTCATGTCCCTCCGAACCCTCAGGCAAACCTCGCGAAGCTCAATCTTCCTTATCCTGAAGCCGTTTTCGACATTCACTACTTTAGAGACAATCCACAACCCTGTAAGATTCCACTCGCGTGCCCGATGTAATCCTCTGACGCGTTACAGTCTACACCCTTGCCTCTTCGATAGCCCCAGGCAACTTCAAACCAACCCCGGGCCACGCATTTCTTGTCCTCCTCCACCAGAAGCGCAAACTACACACCGTGTTTACACAGAATATTGACACTCTCGAACGCCTCGCCGGTGTTCCGCCTTCGAAGATCGTCGAGGCGCATGGGAGTTTTGCCAATGCACATTGTATCGACTGTCAAGAAGAATACGATGAGGGTCGCTCGGCATTGGACGAACACGGCAAGATGCGCGCTCATATTGGCCAAGCAAAAGTTCCCACTTGCGAAGAATGCGGTGGCCTCGTCAAGCCGGACATCGTCTTCTTTGGAGAGAGCGTGAGTACTTTTACCAGACCCCTCCAAACCACCCCCTTTTACCGTCCGCTGGAGCCCGCACTACTGTGTCGACTTATCTGGCACTATTCATGCTGACAACCTATTTCTCGTACCTCGATTTTCAATACTCTTATAACTGGAATCGATATCGCTGATTCTCTACTCTATCCCTGCAACCCGATGGCTTATGGGACTATCCAACGCGCAATGGGATATCTCACTTCTAAACACATTTAAATTTCATGGAACTGTCAACTTTTGACCACGGGGCTTTGGCCATCTCTCTGTTTGGAGATAGCTCCCCGCCGAATTCATGATGGCCATCCCGGCGTTGCGGACAGAGGCCGCACTCGTGATCATTATGGGGACGTCGCTCAAGGTCCACCCCTTTGCAATGCTTCCCAACCTCGTGCCACGCACGGGGTGCGTTCGATTGCTGCTCAATTTGGAACCTGCTGGAAACATTGGCGCATTCGTTCCACGAGTTCCTGCCACTCCTAGCTCTGATCACGGGGCTTCTCGTGAAAAGGGAGCAAACGACAATGTTTCCACTCACGCGGGTCAACCATCGCGCGCAGAAGTCGGTGGGGGCCAGACACCTTTGGTGCAAAGTACCCAGGTACAGTCCTAATATATTCAAGTACCTCTTTCTTCTAATAATATTGCCATAGGAGAGCGGCGAGACATCTAATCCCGACCAAAAGCGTTCTCACCCTGGATCACCTGTCAATTTGGCAAAAGGTTCAGACGACAAGCAAGAGGAGGATGCTTTAGGTTCTAATTCAAACGTCGCAAACGAAGATGAAGATCACGAGGAACAACCCCCTCCTTCTGCTGGACAAAGCGAAGGCGAAGAGTCTGAAGACTATGAAGATGAAGAAGATTCAGATGATCACGTGGAGCTACCTGAAGGGGAAGAACCACCGTGGCTGGATGATGTGGTGGCACTTGGCGACTGCGACGCGTCTGTTCGGCGGCTCTGTGACTTGCTAGGCTGGCGAGAGGATTTAGAGCGGATCGTCGACGCGTTTCACCGCACAACCCCAGCTTCTGAAATACATCTGTCGGCCCAGGCGCATGTCGCGACCGCCACGACCAACTCTGCACTCTCGGCAGATTCCGAGGCCCATGGACGGGCTCCATCGAACACTACTAGTGGTGCTCCTGTCAGTATAGATGATAATACACCAGGCCAGGGCCCACGGTCTCTGACCAAAACTCCACCGGCGAGTACAAGGGTGGGAACTGCGATTCCATTCAGAGAAAATCTGGGATCTAATTCAAGTTATTCAGCAGGATATACACCAGCCAAGGACGGAGGTGCAATCGGAGCTCGACCCGTCTGGTCCAGAGGGAAGAGGGGCGAGTGCGAGTCTGAAAATCAAGGCCGTGGTGGATGAAAAAGGGAATACTCTCACGCACACGGAGAAACCGATTAGCGGTGTATCCGGTGTTAGTGGCGCGGGGGACGACGACGACGGGGAAACGAGGCGTATACGAGGGGCGGCGGCGGCAGGTGTCGGGCACTCTGAACGCAGTGGTGTGGGCAACGCCGAGGCGGATACGGATAAACTGGGTAGTATGAACGCCGAAGGTTGGGCGAGAGGGGTCGGCGAAATCCCTTTGGGGGTCGGATCTGTCGCGGGCGAGGATAGAGCGAGGATGCGGCTCGACTCCTTCAACGACGCTGCTGATGGTAGTGGTGGTGGAGATGAAGTTCGTGGCGACCAATTGGGAGATACGCCTACCAAGTATGCGTCGGGGGAGGTCGCTACTCCCTCAAGCGTTCAAGGGGCTATGACGACGATGGAAGGAAAGGATATGCGTGAACATCACCCGGTAGATTTGACGATGGAGAAGATTATCAAGGACATGAAAGATGTTCTCTAGATTCGCCGAAGGTGCGAGCACCACCGCGGTCATTGTCCATGCATGGCTACTACGTATGACGACTCTCAGTATAACTATAGCAATCTATACATATCCGTAACGATGCCTATAATATCTTAACCTTGCCGCCGCTGTCAAATTATCCACCTCGCCACACCCAGGGGTGCATACAGTCTTACGCAGAAACAAACAAGGTGGTGCCCAGCAAGAGAGCAGAGCTCGCTCGTTGGAGCCGTGTTGACGTCTGGCTCGGCACGTCTCATTTCCACCTTCCATCATATGGCAATCCAAATGTTGTCGCACCCCATCTTTGCTCATCTCTGCTCGTTCTGCATCGTGAGGCGGGACCGCTTGGGGCACATCAATGAGCGCTCATCAGCATGTTCGTTTACTGCACAGCGAGCGAAGCAAGCACGCTCTGTCCCGGCGACTCGGTACAAAGGACATATGCGCTCCTTGAGCGGCCGATCCGCGCGCCTCGGTGGACAGGTGAGTGCTGATGGGAGGGGAGTACGTTTGGTTAGGTCCGTTCGAGTCACGGGCTCGCCCTTCACACGTGTCTTGTGTGCGCACTCTTTCTGTTTCTAGTATCTTTGCGCCCGTCTTCTGTCTCCCCCCTCTCATCTTTTCTGGATGTACCAGCCCTTGATGTTCTTATTCTGTGTTCACCGCTGGATTCGGGCGCACCTGTTCACACTATGTGAACCCATACGCGAGTCCATGGGGTGGAACACACGACTCGGACACACCTGTTTTGGCGTACGTTTCCTCCACAATACCCCAGCCACCTTCGTTTCGCTGTCACATCGAGGGTGTGGGATGTGATCATCTGGCGTGTGACGCCGAACAGATCTTCCCCGACCGCCGTGGTTCTTATTCTGTGCTGTGCCTTGCAATAACTTTTGACGGTAATAAGATCCGCACACATATAACTCTCATCTTCTCTAGCTTCCTCGTATCCTTACCCTTCTGGCCTCGTGTAATGAACCCGAAACCAGTTTGTTGGAAGCGTGTTGAGGGATGGTCTTCTGGGTGACACATATTCTCTGCTCCAGACTTTTGTTTCTTTGTACCACATGAGGTCTAACTCTCCCACGTCTGATGCCTAGTTTATGTACCTTAGCTCCGGTGAGCTGCGAAGTGTGTCTACGCCGGGCCTAGTGTTCAAAGCACTAAGAAAGTATACAATATACGATATAAATTACAAATGTATACGTGAATTGTGTTCGTGTGGGTTCAGAACGCGGGCTCGACCCTCTAGAGTTCCCATAGTGGCTTAGCGCCCAAGCCACCCACCGAGTCGGAGACTGCAGGGATAAGCCACAGAATCACAGGGATATGCGCACAGACTTCGTAGACATTTATCCGGCGGTTTTTTCCGTCTGGTAAATTTCCGGAATCATTTGTCTGAGGCGGAAACAAAAAATTTTGGTTCTGCGAGATCCGGCTCAGCTCTGGAATGGTCAGGTTTGGGAGCAATGGCGTAAGAAATACGGAGTGGAGATGAGGAGGATTTTCGTCTCGATTATTATCCGCTGGTGCGTATATAAAGAAAGACATGTCGACGACGAGCAGCCCAGCTCTGGCCTGCGCATGTCGCGCTTTGGTCCTCTTCTCACCTCCCAGACGAGCTGACTTGCCTGCCGCACACAATCAAGGGGTGGAATGTGGGTAGGAGGGTTTGGGCGCCGTGACAGGACGGAAATGCCCGCTCGTGCTGCTTGTTGTCGTTTCTCAGGGCCCGATCCCTGGTTCAGGAGCGTTGCGGGTACCGTTGCTGCCACGCAGCTGGTCTGGTCATCTTGAAATCCAAAAAAATTCCGTCAAATCTCAGATTCGAGAAAAAAATATACTTTCGCAGGAGAACGAGCCAGGCTTTACGACAAGGATGTGGGATAAAGGAGACCATTCAGTTCAGGTTTCATGAAACTGAGTGAGTATGAGAGATGGGAGCCATATGAGACGCGTCGCGTGTTGGCATGAGCAGCTGATTCCCCCCCACCTCTTCTCTTCTCCTGTACATAGAACTGGATAAAGGTTGAATGCGTGCATCATGATGGATGAGCCAAGCTGGATTGGGTGGACCGAGAAATACGGGGCGGCTACGTGCGGCGCTCATGCTCCTAATCTCCATCGAGCTCAGGGGTATTCGGGAGAGCGCGCTCAGGTCAAGTGACAATTACAAGAAGAGGGTACGTGCACTCAAGGGAACATGTCACGCTCTATCTGTATCTTCAGATCATGAGTCTTATGAACTGATGAATGCCGGGGTGTTTCGCTTTGGATAGATGGGTTAGAGATAGCATCCGCTCGATTTGCAAAGTTGGGCGGATGCAGTCTCGTGCACGCATCAAGCGATTTAGCAGCTGAAATTGACTCGGAACCAGGCACGCTGTGCGTGTGCGAGTCCAGCCGCAGTATATGGACGGTGGACAGCGACTTTCGCGAGCGACAAGTGTTCTTTTTCCATGACAATTGGCGATATGTAGAGAGATTGGAGAGAAGAAACGATGGCAGACTCCCACCGGTCCGCCCATAGCCGTCCTCCCGCGAGATATAGCTTGCGATGAATTCCTGGGTGGCATAGCCGGGCCAAGGGAAATAATTGGTTATGCGAACCAAGCCCCTTTGAGCACTTGAAATTGCTACGACTATCCCACTCCAACGGTTGTTTTTTGGGATAAGGATGAGGAGCGTCGCCGTCGTGCAGCATAAATCGCACAGCCTGTCGATGTCTATTTTGCAAAATCGAGAGCTGATCGAGCACGAGAGACGGCGTTCATTTCATCGCTGAGATCGGTTTCAGCCTACACTCGTCTCGTCGCTCACCGCACCGCCTTGTCTGTCGTACTGGCGAGGCCCATACCATGACTAGTCGACTCATTATGGGGAGTGTTTCAGATTTTACGTGTACATTTACTACAGCACATGTTTGCAGTCTATGAGTGGCTGCTAATGAATAATATTCATCGGTCCCGCCTGTTGCCCGTCGGCGTTGGCATTGGCAGTCTCGCGCGGTTTCATAAGTAGTGTGAGTTGATTATAGCGGCTGTTGCTTTCGAGGAAGCTGTCAGGTCTCGAACGACTTGTCTCTGTGGGGCAAATAACCTCTTACCCGATAAGTGGTTATGGCGAATTCCCAGGGTCACGGTATGGGGGAAGGGGGCGTGCCTGGTAACAAGTTCGTCGACGCAGTGCAATCCAAATTACTGGCAATTATCTTTCGTTGTGGACGGCGTCTTCCGCCCACGTTGTCGCTGGCTACGATCCCCACCACGTGTACTCCTGAGCCCCTCCTGATCAGTCTTCTAGATGCCCGTAGGCACATCACCCGAGCAGAAGTGATGTACCTTGCACTTGTACATGCCGCATTTGCGTCATGAACACGCGCAATTGCACCCGCTACAGCTCGCTAGCTGGGCTCCTCTCCGTCGCCACTCCGACCTCTCCGCGTCTCCCAGGCGTCGCCCGCCGCGCTGCCCATTCCTCATACCAGAAACAGTGTTTCAGAGTTTATTCCTGAGCTAGTGACTAAAGTGCAGAATATCTCTCTCAAGGAAAAGAGTATTGCCCAGGTTATCCCACGGCGCTTCTCTTCCTCTAATAGTTGCTTCTGAACATCTCATATACGATATCCTTCCCATCACACACAAATATCTTGTGCTATGGATGTAAGGGACTCGAGTACTACGTCCGAGCGTCGCGTGCGCAACGCCGGTGGCGTACGATGGACAGCGACAAGCCGTTACTGCTGCCTACTCGCTCGGAGCTTTCTCAGACACTCTCCGAGAGGAAGAGGTAGCCCCTAGTCCCCTTGCGACTTGTAGCTGAATGCGATAGGCGACTTTGAGCCAACTAGGAGACCGGAGAGAGAGGTATCAGGTGCCCTATGCATATACATTATCTACGCAGCTGTTGAGAAGCGACGAGGAGGATGGAATGGGATACACTCGTGGACGTCCGCCGTTCATTATTCCCGTCAACTACACTCCAAGCCCTGCACGTCCCAGCTGACCGGACACCCCAAGACACCCTCTGGACAGCTCGGAGCCACAATGCAGGTACCTATTTACTTGTCCTCCATGATCCCCGGGACCGTATGTACTGTGGGGCCCATAGGTGGCTGCATGCAATCCCCCGGCCCGCCCGGATGTTGTCGGGTTGGGCGCGACGACTTGGACTTTGAGGATATCTCAAAGGTAATCAGAGTTTGAGATTTATCTTCGTACTCACGAAACAACCCAACCTGCTTATTCACTGCGTCTTCGAATTCGACTCCAGGACGCGACCCACGAAGTCACGAGTTGATAGCGACCCTTCCGCCCCTCCCACTTCCACCTTTGACGGTCCCCATCAGAGTCGAACGAGAACGAGAACCGTACATCGGGACCCTAGCTAGTCGTATTCCATCCAACCTGACGACCTCTCACGACTCCACCGGCAAAGGCCAACCAGGGCCACAGTTTTCACGTACGAACACACTATCCGCAAAAGGTTTCCGATCCACTCGCTGTGGTGCCGGGGAAACCAGCCAGGGAGTCTCTAGTATGCGAAAAAGTTAAGGTCGACTTGAAGAGGTACAATTTCAAAAAAGCTATATCATACGTGATTTACATACTCTACAACGATAAGGCTACGCCGAAGACTTCTGTCCCGCGTGCACATCGAATCGAATGCAATTACGAACAGCAGTCGGGTGCCGGCTGAGTTTTATTGCGTAAGAAGAAAGCGACCAAATGTCTTTACGACCCCAGGAATTACAAATCGATGTGACCCGTCGTCAAAGGGGTGTAACCTGTGAGTGTGAAATCGCGTGAAGTAGGTAGGTGGAGTGCACGAGTGAATGTATAGGAACCATCCCTCCTATCGGCTCGTGATAGGCGACGATCTCGGCGTTGGGTGCGGCGAACGCATAGCACCACCAGCGGATCCGCCTTTCCCCATTCCAGATCCAGCTCCAGACTTGGCTGCGGATGAACTGTCTTTCCTCGGTAGTAAGGGAGCCAATCGCCCAAACGTGACTTTGTCGAGCCTCATCAAGTCACTGTATACGGCATGCTCAATCTATGAGACCACAAAGTCGTCAATATAACACAGCACCCATCATGCATGCGACATGAGCTTGGCACTGACCGAATCTTTTCGCTTCGGAGGAGACCCCTGCACCTGCGGGTTTGCTTTCTTCCACTCGGTCTCCTCACGGTCCAGATCGTGTAGGACCACAAACTGGCGATACTCTGTATGCATAACGGGCACGAGCATCACCTGTCTCAGATCCTTGAACACCTGCTCCCCAATGCTCTTCACCAACTCCCGTGTTTGCAGTGTCACAGGTGGTCGTGATCGAGAAAACCCGCCCAACTTTGCCTCCTTTTCCTCCAACTCTTGTCGCATCTTCTTGGCGTCCAATAGCTTCGTCCTAAACTCTTCCAAAGCCGCTTCAGCAATGTCGAGAATGGAATCAATAGCTTCCGTTGATCTGGCCGATGCAACGCCGTCTATCGTCTCTAAGAAGCTTCGTTCAATCCATGCCGTCCAGTCATCCGTCTTCCAAGGATAGGGAGGGGCCGTCGTCATTGACAAATGTCCATCTCGAATTGCCTCTACTACGGCGATTAGCGGTTCGAGTGCTCTTCCAACCCAGTTTGAGTTGAGCTTTCTTGATGGGTAGGCCAGTAAACGCACCGTTCATCTTTTGCCGCCTCCACTTGCAGAAGCCCAACCACCAAAGGAGACACAAATGCCAGCCACAAATCAGAATCCTTGACGCATTCGATCGTCTTGAGAAATAGTACTGGTTCAGCCAAGATCATATCGGCTGTAAATGTCAACACTCCACCTAGAATGTTCAGCAATCGTCATTCGACCAGATCCAGCACGTACCACGCTTGAAAATCTCACGTACTTCCCATAGTGACGGATGTAGCGCATGATATGGTCCATACGCATAGAATCCGATTGACGCTCTCGTCTTCCTATCCGTCAGTCCAGGAAAGTAGCGCAACATATCCCACGCATTGTTATGGATGAAAACCATCAATGCGGTTCCGACATATGCTGGCTTGGGTTTCACATCCCACTGACGCATAAGCTCAATGAGCGCCACTGTCTCGTCCATATGCAGCACACCTCGTCGCCGATGCTGAGAGGGATCGACGGAATCCACGTGCTCGTCTTTGATATCTTCGGCGTTTTGTTTATAGTCGAATCGGAAACTCATGCTTTCCGCGGTGCAAAGAGTGTATGACAAGATACCTTGTGCTCGTCGCTCTTGAATTGTACGAGCCAACGTATCTGGGAAATTGAGAATCCGCATCCCCCGACTCGCACTTGGGGTTAGAGCAATGGATGGAGGGTAAGTCTTCTGAGTGTCTTGCGGTGCGGTGAGCCTCGAGGTCGAAGATATAAGCTGCAACTCGGACTTGCACTTGAGGACAGTCACCATCAGATGCAGATTGATACTGGGTGTCACCTTGAACCGTTCTGCACAAAAAGGTGGCCACGAAGGATAGATACACAATTTGATCTCTGAATAGTCTGTATCTGCAATCACTATCTACCTTATGTCAGGTAGATATTGAGAAAAAGTATTTGCGTACCACCCCCGTGTCTGACAAGTATTTGGCAAATGCGTCGAGCGCGGGTGCTTCGAGATGGGATTTGGGTCCCAGACGTGCATGTTGCCATGGTTGATAGGCAAGAAACAGGAGATCGAGCTGCGCGAAAAGATGCGTACTCTTGATAACGAAATTATTGCGGTGTATCCATTTGAGGCTGGGTGGATTTGGTTGAGAAGTTGCATCGAGTAATAGGACTTTGCAGAGCTCGTCGTTCCCCTTTTCAGTCTTTAGCATCAAGCTGACTGGTGACCACTCTGAAGTGTCCTCAAGCGACGGTTTCGTTCCAGCGAGCTGATGGTAAATGTCGTCCATAAAGTTCTGGGCGTCTGCAGTGGTATCGACTTCCATATCATGAGGCTTTTCGAGCTGCTCAGGTGATCCTATGAATAGCTCGTCCGTTTCCATCGACAGCTGGTCGTCGGGAGTTGCTTGTATTGGTGTCGATTTAGTAGTCTCCCGTAGCGTGAAGTTTTGATCTTTTGCCCATGGTATCCGTTCTCTGACAGCATCCCATGCGCCTGCACTCGAAGACAACGGAACATGTGTCTTGTTCGTCGACGCCGTCTTTTGCTCAATAGTGGCCGTTGGTCTTGAAACAGGAAAAGCAGAGGATGCTGCCCTTTTATCATTGCTAATCGTCGCTTTGGCTGCTGGGAGGATAGATGGGACTCCAACCCGTGCTCGGAGATTTGGCATAGGAGTATCCTCGTCTGAGCTACTTGAAGAGATGGGTGCTCGCCGTCCATCTACCTTTGGAACAACTGGATTACTTGGAGCCCTGTATGTCTATAAAACATGAGATACGGGCAGCTAGCACCAGTTTACGCACCCTCGTAGCCTTTCTAGCGAGTGGGACATCATCCTCGGAGTCCTCAGGATCCTTTACCACATAAGTAAATGCATGCAGATAGACGGGTGACTTGCCGTGAAAAGGGGTTCACCAGTCTCTGGGGTCCTTTCAGATGACTCTGAGGACTCCTGATAACGACTGATTTCGTCCGACGTCCTGGACCCACAGTGGAAGGTGCCCTGCGCGAATTGGAGGTTGACTGGGGTCGAGTTCTATACCCAGTATGCGCCGGTTCTTGATATTCGTTCAAAATACCGCTTCCTTCGCCAAAGAAACTAAGCCACCCATCGATTGCGGTATCAAGCGTGGCCTTTTTCGCACTTGACTTTGGTTTGCTGGTTTTGTCCCATCCTGAGAATGTCTTACTCTCAGAAGCTCGCCTCTTTTTTTCTTCTACTTGCTTCGCCTTGCGTTGAGAGATGGGGATAGGGCCCGCCTTTCCGCTGTCCTTCTGCTCAGCAAGCCATGCCTTGTACAGTTTGTAGTTCTCCTGGATCTGATACTCCGAGATTAACACCTGATCGAGGGTTAGGCAGATGGATCATCGAAGGGATTACGCACATCCGGAGGACCGAGGCTTGGATCGTTTAAACGTTTCTGTCGCTCTTCCAGCTCCTTCTGGTTGAGCTTTCTGCATTGTTTCCAGGTCGGACGTTTATCAGGATTGTCGTCATAATAGGTCTTCAGTTCCTTGTCTACATGAGGTTGTGAGAGGTGAATTAACGTCGTGATAAACACGGACCAATCCATTCTTTGGGTGCCTCGTACATTGAACCGTACGTCTTCCTATCAAAGTTCTTTGGGACGATTGCTTCGAATCTCCGCACTACATCTGGATCATCAAAGTTGGTAGGTGGAGACCAACTTCTCAAGGTAAGACACTTTCATAGGACTCTGTGATGCATCTTACTCATCGTCCTTATCCGTATATCCAACCCACTACAGAGGGGGTGTTATTATGTCGCTTATTGTGGAATAATTTCACTGACAGATGTCAAATACCACTACAAATTGTCACTTTCTGTCCTGTATATACGAGTTCCACGCACGGGCTCCAATTTCTTTGTTACGGGCGACCAGAATATGCGGATGGCCTTGAGCGCATCTGTCTTGCGTTATGGTAAGCACAGAGTACTCTAAATATTGCCCAACAACCTCGTACACGGGTTCTTCCGTGATATTAGCCATGAAGGTGGAGAGCCTGGTCGAGGTTGGGTCAAAGAGGAACGGAGCCACATCCACAACTGTATTAACTGATTCTTCAAGAATGAATCATGGTATAACCTATAGTGAATGCTACCTTTCTGAAGCCGCATCGCACAATCGGCTTCTGCGGATTTGGTCGCTATTCGACGCTCACCACCTATTGAAGAACTGGTAATATTCATGGAGTTGCATTAGATACAGGCAAAACGCTACATTTGTTCGCTTGTTGGTAAGTGTAGCACATGGCACGGTGTCACGAAGGTGCATATCGGATGGAACTGGGTGAATGAAGTCTACGGAACAGGGACGCGAGCGTCTTTCCCCCCTCTGTGCCCCATCTATGAGGTAATGAGCGATCGCGAATGAACTCAAAGAACAAACGTACTCTCCGGTGGCGACCTCTTGGCAGCACGACTCAAACTCGTCGCTACTTGACACAGCTTGCCAATTTTCGACAACATAATCCTGGCATAAGATAAGGTGACAGCTTAATCCCACTTAATAGAGCATACCTGGACCATCCCGTGCAACTCTGTCCAGAAGCAAGTGGCCAACAACAGAGGGAAGGAAGTAGGCGGGGAGAGTGTACTCATCATATGGTCCAATGCGAGCTGCTGTAGTCCGGGGATACCATATCTGTGCGCTATCTGATAAATACTCAGCGCAGACGCAGCGATTGGGGACGGCGTTGGATGAGGATGCGGGTCCATCACTCGGTTGGAGTGTGCACGAGTCTGCGAAGGAGACATAGAGTAGTACAGTCCATGTGGTGGAGACGAGCGGGCAGACGCCGAAGGCGAGCGCGGTGGGGGCACTACGGGAACGCCAGAAGTGACCAGTTTAGCGGGCTTCCTTTGCGCGGATGTGCTACCATGGCTGCTGGATGTGCGGAGATGAGAAGAGTTGCTGACTCTAGATGGCGTTCTAGCGGATGAGCTGGGAGAAAGAGCATTGATACCCTTGCTCGGTTGAGACACCCCACTGACGATGCTCGTTGCGCTTTCCGAGGTTACGCTCTTGGACGTCCCATCGTCCTCCCTATCGATCTGGTCCTCAAATTGGCGTGTCTTTGATGAAAGCGTCTTCCATTCCCATTCGTTGCCTTGAGAAAGCCAACGAGCACTCCATCCTGCTCCAATCCCATCGACGGCCGCTCTGGGATCGTCTCGTTCCCGGAAGAGAAGCCAATCACAGTAGAGGTACTTGAGAAGCCAGTAGACGGTGACGAAGTCGGCTTCCTCCACAACGATGGTGTGCATAGTCTTGCCACGCTCTCGCTCCAGCATGGCAGAGCCAGGGGCGTTTTCACGGAATGAAGAAGAGATCAGAGTTGCAAAATACTCTGAGCGACGGACGAGGATGTCGCTATGTGCATAGATGATTCGCTTGCGAGCGGTAAAGGATGGCGAACCAGAAGACGATGCAGACGAGTCCCTTCGGTGCTCAACGGATGTCGCCTGTGAACCTTCATCCGGAATAAAGCGCTCCAGACATACAAATTGTACATCCCCGGTGTTTGCATTGTCCAAGGATGCCTCCACTCCGTCCAGAAGATCCTTGGGTACGTAGTACGCAGATGGTTGTTGAGGATAGTATGGACCGAGAGGGGTATGAATCTGAATTGAGAGTGTAAATGCATCACTCGCAGCGATGTGGGGGTTCTCGAGTAGTTTTCCTAACGCGGGCAGGGAACATTCTACCAATGTGATTAGTGGTTGCCATGAATCAGATGACTTGTTTACCCCAGAACTCGCTTCCCTATTATCTCAAGGTCAGATGACAGTCTTCTCCGAGCAAACTGATGCGTACCCTGCGGAAAACAAAGTCCTCCCATGCTTCCCAAATAAACTGTGTTCTGGCTCCACGTTGGCCTGAAAAGTTGGTGTTGGCCTTGACTCCGACCATGATAGTGGTGGACAGTTCGCATTCTGGGTAATAGTCCAGTTGCAATGAAGTGAGACATATAGAGAGCGTCGCAGGGGGCGTGTCTGCTGAAGATGAAATATTGAGCAATTCTGAAGGACCAGAATCGCTTGGTGGTGGGTAGGTGCCTGTCGTTGATGTGTTGTCGTCTCCAGTGAGAGCACGATTCACTTCCAGTTTGAACTTGCCGTCACCAACGAGAGGCGTCTCTTGGAGAATCCTAGGAATCTCACTAGGTTGACCTGGTTGACTTTCGTCGCTTCGAAGTGGTGTGACTCCGTTTTGCTCCTCGACAAACCGCCTCAGCTCTGTAACATTGGGAATGGTCCATTCGAATGCCTACATCGTGTATAAGAGATACAGTTAGGTATGTAGAATATGTGAATACCGAGAATGTCCACTGGCGAATGCTGTAATCCTCGACGACGGAGTTGGTTGCATTGTTGGTTGTCGCGATGGTCCAGCAGTCCACGACTGAGCGGCAGCTGATGTTGCTGACGAGGTGTCCCAGTTATTGACCGACGTTGGGGCTGGACTCGACCGTGCAGAGGCTGTCTGGACCCAAGGCCATTGCGCACGTGCCAGCGGCGTTACGGAATGTGGAGAACTAGAAAATGAAGCACGAGTGGTGCGCTGAGAATTGCGGGGGCTGCCATACGCGTCGGACATGGTCAGCAGTAAACCGACACCAAACAAATCTCCGCGCCTCTCCAAGGTTGGCTCCGGCCACGTCCTTGAATCTCAACCTGACGCGTATTTTTTTGTCTCTGGTCACGTTCACTCCCTTACAAACTCCCAAATGTCTAGTCCGAGTGCAACCCCGTCTCCGACAAGCCCATCGGCGTCAAACGACGAGAATGGCAGCATCCTAAGCATCACCGCGCTTGTCGTGGCGCTTGTAGCACTGGTTGTATCAATGCTACAGCTCATTCTACAATACGTCCTCTCAGCAGAAGGGCGGTCGAAATGTAGCACGGCCGCAATAGGGGCCTGGGCAGATAAAAATACCCAATTCTGGCGTCCTTGGAAAGGTAAAATTTACATCAAGGTATCATTATATCTCGCTGTAGCTCCAAACGCTCACACCCTGCAGTACGCTCAATTGGACATTACCACGCAGCGATTTCTGGATGCGCTAGGCTCTCAAGGGCTGGAACGAGAGGCTCACTTGGCCGTATTGAAGAATTATCAAGTAACAGAGCAGACGCCAGGTTGGTCATTGATGCCATATGGCCTGGTCGGCGCTAACCATGGACCTTTGAATCGACGTAGTGTTTGAGACGAAGCACGGGAAGATGGTCGGAGGTCCTCCTCAATTAATTCTCGCTCGGAAAGGCACTGAGGAAATCGAGCCGACGCTTCCAAACACTCTTCGAGGAGCAGAGAGAGTCGCCGCGGATGCATTGGTGGCCGAGAAGAAGCGACTATATAGTCCTACACCTCCCACAAAAGCAACATGGTGTGCACTCCTATGCGACTTGGGTTTGGACCTCCAAAAGCTCTCGGGTACCGGAGAGTTTATCGAGGCGGATACAATTCCCTCCGTTTTGGACGCTCCGCCAATCCATATGCGAATGTCTGACCTCATCCACTTTGGGCTCCTCTTGGAAATGAAGATTGTGGAAGCCGACGAACTCAAACGGATTCTGAGTATGTGTCGTCTGTACCTTATGATACTTTGCTGACGCTGTTGTAGACATGACTGGTAGATACTGTTCACTGGTCTCGAAGCACCAGGATGGTGTTGGTATGCTTTGCCGGTATACAGGAAACTTGATCGGGACACAACCAGCCGTAAAACGGATAAGCACTCAGGAGGCCCGAATGCTCTGTGAAACTGCAGATGGCATGATTTATATTGGTTCGTCCCAAAGTGATTCATTACGTTTACTAACGGCAGACAGGCGATTGTATGATGCCCATCACAAGCTTTGGATTCAACTCGCTCGACGCCATATTCAAACATGTCATACGCGAATGCAAGCAAAATGCATGGCAAGAGGTTGATCTCAAGGACCTCCCGCGATCCACAGAACGCGACGGATTAGGATACGGAGGTAAATGGGCCAATTCGCCAACACCAATCACGGGCCTGCTTATGGCAATTGCGGGAAATGTCGGTGTAGGGAACTCCTTTCCTCATGAGACGATTAAAGCTTGGACCGATCCGATGAGACGCGAAGCTGTCGTCAACGCATTCCAGACGCTCCAGGGTCAACCGGGGTTTACAGTCGCACCTCGAGATATATTCCAACGAATTTGTGAATCAGGGACCGATCTCATGGTCATGGACGAATTTAGAACGGTCAATAACTACGGATGCCAGTTTGGCGGTATCAGGTATGAGAGGTATTTCGGTTGAGACTCTTTGCTAAATTGTGCAGAGGATGGCTTTCTACAAATATGGCCGCATTCACTCTCAAGATGTCCAGTCTTTGGATCTACGAGCCGCGGTATGACCATCAACGTTTCGAACCTGTTCCACTACTACACCAACTGTTCCCCGTTCTCCAAGCGGGAAGTCTTTGCAAGACCTGGGGGGAAAACTATAGTTTTAATCCAGAGGAAGGCAACGGCTGGAGACTTCCAGTTAGCTCCCTACTTTGGCTCCAGATTAGCTTGCTCGACACTTGGCTAGCCAGGCATGTCGACATGATCATTCAAGAGACTGCGATGCCAGAAGTCTCTGTACCAGCTGGTCTAGAATCCGCAAAGCTTTGTGCCAAATCTGCTAGCGAGGTGTTGACACAGTCCACGGCTTGGAACCCACCACGTCTCCGGTTTTGCCGAATGTACCTTGCAAGACTTGCAGGCGATGTTCACGGACGTGGTGTCAGCTTCATGTCGAATGCTCCAGCATATGTGGACCGTAAAGAGGGTTGGAAGAATATGCCTATTGGATCACCGGATGAATGGTTGATGGCAGACGCAGTGTTGACACTGCGTGCTGCTCTTCAGCACACTAGATTTATGCTTATGATGGACTCCTCTGCACTCCTCCGGCTTCAAAAGTTTGACCCTAGCCTGCTTCTTGCGTAGCGCTGTATTCAATACTGTTTACTGTGGTGATATAAAGAAATATACGTGTTGACAAATAGCAGATATGAGCGGTTCGCGGAGTGGATGAGCGCCTTCCAATTTGCGGGGCTATGGATACCAATCTCAGATGCAGATCCAATGAGTACACTGAAAAGTCTTTCAATAGCACGGGCGTCGTATTCATCAAATCATTGCCGCAATGCGTCTGGCGGTCGAGACTGGCAGACGCCGACCTCTTGGAATCACACACCTCCGCAAATGTCCACCCAAAGGCCAACTACATCAAAAAATACGACTCTCGATCCTCAAGGAGTGCCTTCTTCTGAACAAGGCTCGTCACGAAAGAGAAAGCAAGCGTATAATACAGCCAGCCTCGGTCTTGACGTGACAGCAAACCTAGCCGAGGCCTCTGATATACTTGCTCCTCTCAAAGCAGCTTGTAGAGTAACCAAGTCAATTCTTAATGTTATTCAAGTCCGTTGGCGAGACTGGCATTGCTTGGTCTAATACTGACGTACATAAACAGGCTATTGATGATAATCAAGAAGGATGGAGCGACCTAGTACGGCGCTTGGAAGAATACATGTCGGCTATTGAGCACCAAGTCGACTCGTTCGAAAACTATCCTGCAGAAGATAGAGTCGTCGACAAAGCCTTCAGTCAACCACTCATTCATTATGTGGAGTACGTAGAGTGCGGACACTAGTGCATCACACTAATTCGGATAGGTTTCTTGAGTCCTTTTATAGTACTGTTGCCGATTTTAGACATAAACGAACCCGGGGTGCACATGGCGTGCTTACTACGATCAGCAAAACAAAACTTGATGCCGAAGTGATTCGTCAATTCAATATCGATATTGAAGACCGACATAGACAGTTCATGGTATGTGGTCGTGAATCATTTCCCAATCTCACCGTGGAATCAGGAAGCATTGACTCTATTTACTGCACTCCGTATTCAAGTCATCGAATGGAATACCAAGGCTACCAAGTCCAAGGTTGACAGTGTCCTGACAGACGGTAAGTAAGGGCCAGTAGATAGAAAGCTTGCTAAAGTCCGCTAGTCGACGCAAATGCCATACTCCAGTTGCCCATGGCGGCATTTGTCGCATCTTCTGTTCATAGTACTTGTCTACAAGGGACCAGACAGGCTGTTCTTCAGACGATCTGGCGTTGGGCCGAGGACGACTCGTTGGAAAAGTCAATATTTTGGCTGTGTGACATAGCTGGCTCCGGCAAATCAACGGTCGCAATGTCCGCCGCAGAAGCGTGGCGTACAGAAGGAATGCTCGGAGGCCAGTTCTTCTTCTCCATGGCAAATAGCGAAGCGTCCAACACCGGGAAGTTTTGCTCGACCCTGGCGAGAGATCTCGTTCACCACCTCCCTGAACTTGCACCGCACGTCGCAGAAGCTGTCAAGCATAACCCTTCTGTCATGCGAAGTGCATTGGCGGAACAATTTCGTACGCTCATTACAGGCCCACTCCGTCATCGGCAACAGCGCGTGATTCTCATCATTGACGCCATCGACGAGTGTAAGTCCGGGTCGCAACGAAAAGAACTTCTCGACACACTTGTCATGGCCACTAGAGAAAGCGTGAACCTCAAGGTATTCATCACAAGTCGACCGGACCCCACTATCGAATCAGTTTTGCAGCCACTTTCGATCAAGGCAAAGCTGGAAGACCGCCTACATGATACCAATCATCAGGATAATATGAGTGACATTGCGGTCTATGTACATCGGTCGCTAGATGGAATTCTATTGCAGGACAAAAGGCAACGGTTGGTCGAAAAAGCCAACGGATTGTTCATCTGGGCAAGCACAGCATGCCGAATGCTTACAAGCAAGTCCAAGTTGAGCCCACCAGAGGATATATATATCCGCCTGATATCCATGGACCAACCTGGAGCTATAGACGATGTTTACAATCTCGTCTTCGAGCGTACAGACCCAGAATACTATGTTGTCATGTGTGAAATGCTCTCGCTGCTGCTTGCTGCTTTTGAGCCGCTCACGATTGATGACCTAGACGATCTTCTCAGACACTCTAAAGTGCGCGGAAGTGGCAAAGCGTTGGTGGAAACTTTGGGAAGCGTACTCACCAAAGATGCGACCACAAATCTTATTCAATTTCGCCACCCTACTCTAGTTGAGTACCTTCGACGCTGCTCTACTATCCCGGTCAGAGAGAACGGCAACAGAATCTACATCAATCTCGCCAATGCTCATGGGCAAGCCGCGTCGTGGTGTCTTAAATGTCTCAAGTCGCAGACAGAAGGTCTCAAGTTCAACATATGTCAACTTAGATCATCCTTTTACCCAAATAGGGAGATTCCGAACATTGACGCCAAAATATCAAAATTTATCCCCAAAAAGCTTCGATATGCCAGCTCCCATTGGTTGTTCCACACCTCAGAAACGGACGACCTCTGGCGATTCACACTCCAGAAAGAAGTTCAACACGCTATCCGAATTCCGGGCTTGTTGTACTGGATGGAGGTTCTGAGCTTTACAGGGGGAGTCTCGCGAGCGATAACCGGTCTTCGAACTGTCACACGCTGCAGAGTGAGTGGCCTATTCCCATGAATATTCAACGTTGACGCAAGATGCAGATCGAAGATGAAGTAAAGAGCAGCATGAGCGAGATCATACGGTTTATGATGGCGTTTTCGGTGCCGATTCAGGAAAGTGCACCACACATCTACATTTCCGCACTTCCATTCACTCCTAAAAGGTCAATTATGTATAATGAGGCCATAAGTGAGTATAATAATATCCTCACTGTGGCCCAAGGGCATCAGGAGAAGTATCCTGGTCTCCCTACTAGTCTTCAAGGCCACGAAAGCTCGGTCAACGCAGTTGCATTCTCTTCAGACGGTCTTCGAGTTGCCTCCGGCTCGTCTGATAAGACGATTCGACTTTGGGATGCAGATACTGGCCAGTCGTTGGGAGAACCACTCCGAGGTCACGGAAACTCGGTCAGAGCTATAGCTTTCTCCCCAGACGGCTCACGAATTGTCTCTGGTTCGTTAGACTGGACAGTTAGACTTTGGAATGCGGACACTGGGCAGACATTGGGAGAACCACTTCAAGGTCATGAAGGCTGGGTCATGGCCGTCGCATTCTCGCCAGACGGCTTATATATTGCCTCTGGCTCGGAAGACAATACGCTTCGACTCTGGGATGTGGACACTGGACAGCCAGTTGGAGAACCACTTCGAGGTCACAAAGATTCGATTAACACCGTTGCATTCTCACCAGACGGCTTTCGAATAGTCTCTGGCTCGTCCGACTGGACGGTTAGACTTTGGGATGTAAACACCGGTCGGGCATTTGGGAACCCATTCCGAGGTCACTGTGGCTGGGTCAACGCTGTCGCCTTCTCCCCAGATGGCGGAAAATTTGTTTCAGGCTCATCTGACTGGACGGTTCGACTTTGGGATGTAAAAACCGGTCAGACATTGGGAAAACCATTCCGGGGTCACAATGGCTGGGTCAACTCTGTCGCGTTCTCCCCAGATGGCTTACGAGTCGTCTCCGGCGCATATGACAGGACAATCCGGCTTTGGAATGCAACGACCGGGTACACTTTGGGAGAACCATTTCGAGAACATGAAGAATCCGTCATGGCGGTCGCATTCTCACCAGAAGGCCTACGAATTGTCTCCGGTTCAAGCGACAAGACGATCAGATTTTGGGATACAGGAACCGGTCGCTCTTTGGGAGAGACATGCCAAGGTCACCAGGACTGGGTCACCGCTGTTGGCTTCTCGCCTGATGGCTTACAGATCGTCTCTGGCTCGAGCGACAATACAATCCGACTTTGGGATGCAGAAACTGGTGAACAGTTGGGAGAGCCACTTCGAGGTCATAATTATTGGGTCAATGCCGTTGCATTCTCACCCGACGGCGCAGAGATTGTCTCTGGATCTTACGACAAGACGATTCGACTTTGGAGTGCGGGCACTGGTCAGCCTGTGGGCGAGCCATTTCGAGCTCACACAGACTCGGTCAGAGCCATCGCCTTCTCGCCAGATGGCTCACGAATCGTCTCTGGTTCATCCGACCGGACAATTCTACTTTGGGATGTAGAAACTGGTCAGACAATGGGAGAGCCACTTCGAGGCCACGAAAGCTCGATAAACGCAGTCGCATTCTCGCCAGATGGCTCGAGGATAGTCTCTGGGTCAAGCGACCACAAGATCCTCATCTGGGATTCCGAAACCGGTCGGTTGGTACGAGGGCCACTTGGAGGTCACGGGTACTCGGTGAACACTGTCTCATTCTCCCCAGATGGCTCAAGAATCGCCGGTGGCTTGTCTGACTGGACGATTCGGCTTTGGGATGCAGACACCGGTCAGCCATTGGGAGAGCCGTTCCGAGGTCACAAAGATTCAATTAACGCCATTGCGTTCTCACCAGACGGCTTCCGAATAGTCTCTGGCTCGTCCGACTGGACGGTTAGACTTTGGGACGCAGATACTGGTCAGCCATTGGGAGAGCCGCTTCAAGGTCATAGAAGTTTGATCAGAGCCATCGGATTCTCACCAGATGGACTACAGATCGTCTCTGGCTCTGACGACAACACAATTCGACTTTGGGATGTACACACTGGTCCGTGTAGTTCAACTTGTTCTCTATTTGCTGCGTGTCTGACAAATGAGGGAATAGATGCGTACACGAACAGCTCCAATCAGGGTGACAGAGATTCTGCCTGTTCAGGTGTCAAAGACGACGTTCCCGGTACTCCACTCAAAATCCTCGTACCGGGATTCGAACAATGTACACTTTTGCACGATGGTTGGGTGCAATCTTCCGGGAAACGTTTATTCTGGGTGCCACCTGACAATCGACATGGGCTACAATATCCTTATCTACTTCTGACTATGCCAACGGCGAGTCCATATCGTGCAACCAAACTTGACTTCACCTACTTTCAATGTGGCTCCTCCTGGACCAATGTTCGAAAGGGCACCAATACGAACCGATGATTCGTAGCTATCACTATATCTATTATCGTGTCTCCCCTCTCAGCGGTTCCCCTACACCTGGACCTTGGGTATGGTCGACGATCCTAGTCTCTGCACTATTTCACATCGCTATGTCGCGGGTTTTAGCCTTCCAATAGTGTCCATGTACTTCATATTTAATAAGAGAATGGTCCTTCAGCGTTTGCATGCATTTTCTTACTGGTTGTCCATAGTTCAGTGATCTTTACTAGTTACAATTAGAAAATCAAGTAGAGTCGACAAGTTAACGCCATGTCGAGTAATCAGTCCCTTGCAATATATAGCGTACATTATGACACTAGATAATGATTCTTCCTATTGCAATAACCTTCAAAGGAGTGACGCACCGAGGCCCACGTCCCTTGAACCCAACGCCGACTTGTTTGGGTCTCTGGATCAGGGTGCTTAGCCTCTGTATCGCTTTTATATACTCATTCATTGTCGAGGATAGTCTCGCAACCCGAATCATGAGCGGGCGCAATGCAAAGACTGGTCCTGGACATATTCCTCTCCCTCCGAGCGGATGGAACGAAGATTCTGCGTTGCTAACGGACACTCCATCATCTCATTCTCGAGACCCTAGTCCATTTCCTCAACCCGTCTTCTCGCCGCCTCAGTGGAACCAACAGGACAGCATCCCTAACATGTACACGGGCGATGAACCACCAGAGATTCCAGACAAGGTTCCGATACCAGTTGCACTACCTATGTCATCAGCAGCAGGCGTTACGCCGCTACCGCTGCTGCCCATGACTGTTCTATCCATCGTAAGCGCCGTTCTTGTTCAGATGTAACGTCTGGCTCAATCGATCTCCCTTCAGATGATGCTCGGAGAGTTTCTATCTGCCAATGTCTCTTCGCCATGGGTGCTCTTCATGGTTCAATCCTTTCATATCAGTGACGACGATGCCGAAGTAGGCTATTGGACCGGGGTCCTATGCAGCATGTTCTTTATCACCCAATTCGCTACTTCACTTCTTTGGGCTACTGTAGCAGAAAAACACGGCCGACGGACGGTACTCATCGTATCTCTACTTGGAATGGCCATTACTTGTACACTATTCGGCACGTCGAGGTCATACAGCGAAGCCATTGTCATTCGTCTCCTTCAGGGTGTGTTTGGAGGGGCAGTTGGCGTTGGAAGGGGTAGTGTTGCGAGCGTCACGGACCTGACGAATGAAGGACGTGCCTATGCTATCATGGGCTTCGCGTGGGGTCTAGGAGGTGTTGCAGGCGCAATAGTGGGGGGTCTTTGTGCGTATGATCTCTGTGATATGGTTGATCAAAACTAATCATTACCAGTCGAATCTCCCGCAAAGAACTGGCCGCAGTTCTTTGGTCATGTCCAACTATTCATCGATTACCCGTACCTACTCCCATGTGCGGTGGCATCGTCCGTCACCCTTTTGGGAGCGTTCCTTGCCCTCTTCTTGGGTTACGACGGAGGTCCCCGGGAAGGTGCGATCAAGCTTTCGCCCGACAAGGAAAACTTGCCTCTTCCTCTATCAACGGTTGAAGAAGAGGAGCCAATCACGCCACCTCCAGCCGCTCCCGCTGGAATCGTCGCCAATCTGAAGCACAAGGTCTCTCGACGGTTCAGCGATGCGCTGGCGAGACGAGTGTTTGATGGTCCATCTGCATCACCGAGATCTGGGGTAGCCCTTCTTTCGCCGCTAACCCCCGCCAATCAACCACAACCAAAACCAAGAACCATGTCGCGAACGTCAAAGGTCAATGGTCGGCATATGGGTATTCCGGAAGACGCGGTTCAAGAGTCGATTCTACCAACAGAAGACCTAGCTTTGTGTCTACCCTTCGTAGACGTAGGTTTACGAACACTGCCGAAGATCGACCTGGCACACCAGCCAGCTTTGCACAGAGATTGCTACTGGGTGAGGCAACTCATTCCTATAGCAACTTAACTGATATATCATAGCCAACGAGATGAATGCCACATCTCTCGCAGACCTCTGGGTGCAAGCCGCAATCAACGTGGACAATGAAGAGGTCTTTGAGACAGACTCAGAGTCTGCCATGTCCGACATTGAAGAAGGACCTTCAAGACTTCCAGTGGCATCCACTAGTCTTGATTCGGATGAGACGGCTAGAGGACGTCATCGTCCGTCGATGGCGAGCACTTCGTCGCGACCGTTTGGTGGATTACATCGACTTGGACTCACTGCTCTCACCCCAGCTCGTCGACCTTCGTCAGGATCAATGGTTCCAGCCATCTTTTCTCATACAGGCGTACGCACGCCACCCAACATTACGGCGGTCTCCACGCCCGGACATCATACGCCAGAGCCAATGCAATTGGAAACGACAACTTTATCACCGATTGCAGAGAGCAGGCCTATTTCGCAGTTGGTGGAAGAAAAGCTGCCCAGTACATGGTCTATGTTACCCATGTTGATCATTCTTCAATATGGATTGCTTGCGCTGCACACGACTACGCATGATCAAGTCTTTTATCTCTACCTAGTCTCGTAAGTGCGTTGCGTTTGGTCTGATTGATCTCACGATGATTAGAAACTATAAAACTGGAGGTCTCGAGCTGACGCCCGGGCACTTTGCGCAACTGAGTAAGTGACTAGGCAGGGGTAAGGCCTCGCTGACTCTTGTAGTTGCTATGATGTGTCTCGTCCAGATTGTTTACCAGTTCTACCTCTACCCGTAAGTGTCCCTTTTCAGTCTTCGTTCAAGGCTTGACGACTCGAAGAAACATTGGTCCACCGCGAGGTCGATTCTCTCATCTTGCAATGTTCCGAATTGGTTCCTTCCTGTTCATTCCAGCCTACCTCACTGTAGTGCTCTATCGCAACTTTGCGAGTCCAGGACCTGGCAACAACTTTTTGGTCATGAGCTGTGGGTAGAGCGCACCGGAAGAAGCTTAATACTGACATGACGATAGCACTTGCGGTGTCTACGGCCATTCGATACTGTGGGACGACATTTGCCTACACCTCTGTCTCCATCTTGTTAAACTATAGTGCGTCTATGCGGTTTCTTTGAAGTATACTAATGATCGTGTAGTGACGCCTCCACCCATTGTCGGACTCGCCAATGGTCTGGCTCAAAGTATCGTCTCGTTGGCTCGATTTTTTGGACCGATCATTGGAGGATACGTGGGTGGTTTTGATAAGGGCTGCAGTCGTTTACTAACTTTCCTGGTTAGTTGTGGTCATCAAGTGTACAAGATGGCCCTTCTGGCTATGGCTTTGGGTTTTTCATTTGCACCGCGGTGTGCATAGGAGCGATCGTGCAATCTTTCATGATTCGATAGGGTCGTTGTACACATATGCGACTTTTCTGAAATGTACAATAGTTTAGAGCCGACTAGCGTCCTCCTTTTCTCTAAGTTGCTTTCGAACATCCATGAGGGCAAGTCCGAGGAGATTGAGACCCCAGCTGCTCTTATCGTCCAAGGCTCTTTCTTTTCCTTTACCGATACCCCAGATCTTGTCCAGCGGGGATGCCTCGACGAGGACCTTGTCACCGGTGGCGAGGAGTTGCTGCCTGAGATCCTGGTTCTGGCCAAACTTGAGCATATTGCCGCGGATGACAATCTCTGAGCGGTGTGCGTTCCAGACTTCGTCTGTGAAATTGTGAATGGCGCGTCCAAGCTGCTTGACGGTCTTTGGGTCTGTGGCCTCGAGGATCTGTGGGTTTGGATCGGAGAAGAGGATGGCCTTTTGGTACATCATGTAGTGCTCTGCAGTCGGGTATGTGATGCCTTTTTCGTCTACAAAGGTGCTTGGGTACCACTGCGAGGCCCAGCCGTGTTCTTGCTCGGGCTTGTCACAAAGGAATGTGAGATGTGGATTGTCAAAAGGAGGGCAGAGTTGATTACCTTCCAGAAGAAGAGATAGTCTTCAGCGGCGTGGGGCATTCCGTTCTGTTGTTGTGGGAGAGACCAAGTTGTTGAGATGATTTGGAGTAGACGCGGAGCTGGTCAATGGCGAGTCATCCAGCACTGATGCTTAGGGGCTTAGAGTGATGCTCCGCAACTCGCTAATTACGAGTTGCACGCGGTTTCCTGTCTGCATAATCGGGCCAGAGTTGCCGGGTGGATTTGCCTCGCGGTAAACGTTCTCAACCCATCGCAAATCCACGGCGGGCCCTGTCGATCGCAGGCTGGATGGCCGTGTGTCCCGTGTTATCTAGATTCTGTTTCCCTCCCCCCGCCCCGCGCACGCACATAACCCGAATGTAGCTGTAAATCCATGTACAATCTACATTCTAATCAGAACCCCCTCGTGGTGCATGCGCGGATACAGCTGCGCAGTGGGAACACATGATAGTACTATATAATATTCATTGTAGCAACGAGGCCCCGTCTGTGATTGGGCCCTGTAGGCCTCGTGTAGTCTACAGGCCTTTGATCCCAACCACCGCTGCGTCTTACTCGCACGACCAAGCAACGCGTTCTTTACGATTCTACGACGCCTCTGAGCTCTCAAAGGCCACTCGTCGTGGCCATTCACGCCCACCAAACATGTCCTTTTTCAAACCAGCTCGCAATGCCGACTTTTTGAGGAGCAGGACCCTCTTCTTTGGTATGCAACATGCCCTTTATATTCTCTTCTAATGCTCATCTTCTCTTTTTCTCGTCCTCTAGTGGTCATTCTCGTTCTCCATTTCGTCTTTGGCATCGTCGCCGCTCTGGACGTGGCCGCGAAAGACACTCGGAGGACTCATTCACACCGTTGGTCTTGTCTATATCTACGCTAGATGTACTCTTATTCCCCTTCTAGTCGGTGTCAGTGTCTACAACCTGATCATCCAACTCGTCTGTTTTGCTGCCGTTGCCGCGGTCGCCCGTCTCGACACGCAACAACATGTCGGCGAACAGCACGCCTGGTTCTCCCATACGTTTTTTGAGATTGTCCTCTACGCCGCCCTTGCCGTTCTCCAGCTCGGTCAGTCGATTCTCTCTCTCCCCCACGGCGAGCCCGCCTTCTGTGGTTCGATGGCTGACACGCCTATAGCCGGCGCGCTCGCATATTCAGCCCTTAGCCCTACCTTTCAATGTGGCTCCAGTACGTCGCCTCGACCCGCCGCTGCCGCCTTTTTTTCTCACCTAGCTTCTTTTGTAGATATTGGCTCTGCCTGCGCCTCGGCCTACCGTGCTCTCCTCGTCGGCTCGTGGACAATCACAATCCTTTGTGAGTTATCGCCTCCGATTGGCGGGAAACCACTAACTTTTTGGGTAATAGATGTTTTGTTTGCACTCTGGTTTACGGCCTCTGTCGTCGTCGCCTCTAAGCGTGACCCAACCGTCTGGCGTCGTCGCTGCCGCTCCTACGACTGGGAAGGCAATGGTCATACGGCACTCATCTCGCCCCTGTCTCCTGTCGATGTTGTGATTGCGGAGAAACAGGTAACTTCAACCGTTACCTCTACGGCGGCTTCCCCAGTCAAGCCGAAGAAGACGACATGGGTTCTCCCGACATTGCGACAAGGCCCGCGTCCTCGTCTAGAGTCGACCCCTCATTTGCCCATCCAGAGCTTGCCACCCCCAACCCCGTACAGCGCGGTCCCGCCCACTGCGGGCTCGTCCATCCCGCCCGTGCCCGAACTGCCTCTGGAGCATCGCCAACAACATATGACGCTTCATCTCTCACCGATTCCCCAAGACGTTCCCGAGGATATCAGCCTCTCGGGCACACCGGCGGCCATGCGACCTGTGAGCCTTGTGCAGTCTATTGCCCAACGCCAACGGGCAATGATCATGTCCATTAAACCCCTTCGTCTTGGACATAGCCGTGCACGCACCTCTGTGGACAAGAGCATGATTGGACAACCAAGAGCACAGGAAGACTATCGCGATACGATGGACTCCAAGTATGCCGGCATGACTCTAACGGCCGCAGAGGCCACTTTCCCCAACTGGTGGAACGCCGAATCGACCTTTGCTCCTCCTCGATCAACGTTCCAATCCGGTACACCGTCGCGTTTTACGGGGGAATCTTCCAGTCCAGCCTTTCCCCGTTCAACGCTCCAATCCAACAATGTACATGCCCCCAGTCACTTGCGGTCACAATCGTATGATCAACCGCCAGCAACGGCCATGACGTGGACGCTCGAACCGCCTGGATTCTCCGTGGCACGTACCGTTTCGTCGCGGTATTCGACGGGCACGACGGTCCCACCCACACCACCGCCAAAGGACAAGTGGCGGTTACCTGCGCTCGAGCTGCAACCCGCTATCGACACGGGTGTGAGCTCTGCTCAGAGCAACTATAGCAATCAATCCCGCTCAAACAGTCAGCGCCATCAACGCGCGATGAGCCCTACTCCGCGCAGCGATATCATTGAACAACGGCGGAAAATGACGAGTCCAAAGGGATTCATCTAAATACCACGTTTATCATTACATCAATATCGGTTTTAATAAGGGTTTTATTTTGGCCTTGGATAGGACGACCAAAGCCGGTCGTTCCTCTTACTTATTACGACCTCGACGATCTTCTTCTTTTTCCCGCGAGCATCGACACCGCTCCTTACGACCTCTTCTGGAACATAGATGGTTTCCCGCTCTGCTTGGACGACCCCACGACCTCTTTGACGCATCGCACGCCGGTTCTCTCCTCTACTCTCCCGCCATTCGACGTTTTTGGATTCTGGATGGATCAAGTTTTGTTTTTTCAATTTGTTTTTTACCGCCTTCTCCGCCCCCCGCGTGCGCTCGGCCGTCCCGTACATAGAATTTCCTCTGCCGGGCGCAGCGGGGATGGGGCCCCATCCAGTGCACTCTTGTTTGTCCAAATCTTTTTCTCTCTCCTGCGGTACTGTATCAATAGCGCACCACCGTCACAACTGATTTTATTCGCTGGTTGTATAGTATCACTCCCAACCCAAACCCTCTACGGACTTTTCCTTCCCCCCTTTCCCCCCCTTCCGGCGCGCGCCCTCTCACTTGGTTTTTTAAAGACCCCTGTCCATTTCCCTCCTCACCATTTTCCTTGCCTCTTTTCGATAGGTTGTCAGGAAATCCAGACGTGAAATTGCAGAAATTGTAGAAGCCATTGCTTTGGTGTGTTTGTTATTGAGAAGTAAACCCTTTGTTTACTGATTCGGCCTGTTCTCCGTTTTGATCCACCGGCCACTTTGGCCACAATCTCGATTAGATTGGCCGGGCGATCAATCTTGGACCCGTTCGCTCGAGGGGTTTTGTCGTCTTGAGAGTACCGTGTTGAAGACAAGAAACTTGGGTAAATCATGTCTGTATCTGGGATTGGCGCGTCGCCAGAGTTGCTCGCTGCGTTCACCGACGCAGTCAATAATGATGGGATCCGTGTGCTCAAAGTGGCCATTGTCAACGGTGCGTTTTATCGATTCGTACACTTTAAAGTGGTACTTATCATTTCATCGTCGACTTTATGATTGGGACGGGAATTGGATTGTTTGGATTATTTGGGTGACAGAGGCGCTCGTGCCCGATCAGACGTGGCCCAAGACGGGCGATCTCAAGACTGATTTTGAGCATGTACAGGACTATGTAGAGGACAACGTCCCTGCGTATCTTCTCGTCCGTCTTGACAGTGCGGATTGGCTTTCTATCAGCTATGTCCCCGAGACGGCAAAGATTCGAGACAAGGTGCGTATTTCTGGTCTTGAAAGACTGTCAAAAGGAGGAATGCGGAATTGATTTGGGGAATAGATGTTGTATGCGAGCACGCAGGGTGCACTCAAAAAGGCACTTGGAGAGAACAGATTTAAAGATAGTCTCTTTGCAACTTCGAAAGTGAGTTTCAATCATAGCCATCCTCAACATCCAAGTCTAGTCACTCTGGGGATTGACGTCGGCTCTAGGCAGACTTGACACCAGAGGCATACGATGCTCATGTACAGCACATGCTCGCGCCCAAACCTCTCTCTGCGCGCGAAGCAGAAATGGCAGGCGTACGTGCCGCCGAACGCGCAGCGGGAGCCACGTCCTACGAGGGCATGCGCGCTAAAAAGTCGCACATGGGTGCGATCGGTCTCAAGTGGACGGAAGAAGCGGAGAGCGCAGTCAAGGCACTCGCAGATGCTGGTGCCGAATCTGCGCTCGTTCTCCTAGTGAGCACCATACTGTGGATTTGTGGATTGAAAGGGGCTGATTGTGATTAGAGTGTGGACATGGATCAAGAGTCACTTGTGTTGAAGGATTCCGCAAAGGGTGTCTCGGCGGATCAGGTCGGGCAACGGATCCCTGCGGATGAGCCTTGTGAGTGGCGTGTACCAGTGCATTGCGTTGGCACTGATGCCCTCAGCGTTTGCCCTGTACTCCTGGCCTCATCAGAACAACCAGCAAGACGTGACCTCGATCGGTACACGTTTTCATTCTCGCCAGCTCTTTGCATGAGCGCTAACATATGACAGTACTGATCTACTGCTGCCCGGCTTCCTCGCCCATCAAGCAAAAGATGGTCTACTCCGCCGAGGCAAACTCGTTGAGGCATATTGCCAAAGGCTGGGGACTGGACATTGCACGCAAGGCAGAAACGTCGGATCCGACGGAAATCAGCGAGGCCTATTTGATGCTCGAACTCGGACACGATGCTACCGGTCCTTCTACCCCAGCAGGTTCGGAGCGAGTGGCGTTTGCAAAGCCGCGAGGACCACCGCGCCGGCGATAGATGTCTGACACTTTCGTGATACACGTGTACATTTTGGAAAAGAGAAATTGTATCGTTCAGACTTGTACACCCGTTTGGTCAGAAGAGGACGAGTGAGGAGAATTATAACAATTGTTCCAGCTCCTTGATAATCGATTCGGCCAATTGTACACCTTCGTCTAGCGAGGCGTCGGCGATAATAGTTTCGGTGGGTTGTTCTTCATCTGCGTCGCTGGATGTGGACGAGGCCCGCCTCGGTGGGTTGGCCTTGCTGACCACCGTTGCAAGAAGGGAGCAGAATTCTCGGATAACGGAGATGAGGGTCGTAACCTTCTCCTTGCTACTGCCTTTGGGTGGGTCGAGACAATCCAACACTGTTGGTCGACTTTCTACGTCGTGAATATAGATCATCCCGAGTAAGACTCCAATGTGACCATGAATAAAGGTCGCTTGTGCTTCCGCGGGAGCCTGATCATTTTGTGAGCGGAAAAGGGAAAGAGACAGAGCCTAGGACATGACTCACAGTCAACCCGTCTGCGGGTTGCTTGAACAAAGATCCCAACGCTTGCAAACCAGATACCTGCTTCTTACACCGGCAGGTCTCGTAGCAATTTGCTCCCAGTGGACATGCGATGGAGAGCCCTACACAGTGTTAGATGGGCAACTGTGGGTACAAACTCACTCACGCATTGACCTCAGTAATCCCTTAGCCTCGTGATGCTGCCTCAGGATTTGAGTGAGAAGACCGAGCACTAGGCTCGCTCTCTGTAGCAAACCGCTCCTGTCATGGTCCTCGGCGTCTTTTGTTGCGTTTTGGCGCAGGTTGTTAAAGTAGGCGCGGTTCCAATAAATGAAGAGACGAAGCAGGGTATAAAAGACGTTCTCTTCTTCAGCAATTGCCTTGCAGAGTTCTTTACGGTCATGAGTAGCCGTGATTAGGTGTCGGAGTGTCGATTCGACCATCTCATTGAATACTATGAGCCCATAAGTATCCAATCAAGGTACGGTATGCAATCACATACGTGCAGGTTCGTTTGAGTTGTGAAGATACGGCGTCCATGAGTTGACAAAACGCCCGAGGGATGCGACAAGAGATTCGTAACCTTGATCCTCCTCGCTGAGACCAACATGCTCAAGTACTTTGAGGCAGTTTAGAATGTGGTGAATATGGTGCTTTTGCTGATCTGAGTCAGCGTCTTGCAGATCCTCAGCTGTGAGAATTGAAAGATCGATGGAGAGCGATCTGCACAAAGTAGCTCCTAACTCTTGATCAAGTTTTTGTCCGGCAGCAGCTACCTTGACTAGGGATTCCGATGCAAGCAGTCGATGAGAGGCAACCTCGCCTTCACTGAGAATTCGACCATCCTTGATAGCCCCTCGTAGTACAGTGAGCTTCAAAAATGTTAGCATAGTATGTCCAAGGCACTACAAACCACTGACACTTGTCTTATCCACGCGTGATAGTCCGAGTCTTCGCGCCCATAGGGGCTCTTCTTTGGTTTCTGGTGCAACCAACACATCCTCTTCTGGAGTCACCTCCAAAGAGGCATTTAGAAACGAGATAAAATCCTTGTTCTTCGCCAATTCGGTGGTTTGACGTTGATCTCTCGTCGCAATAGCGACAAATGCGATGAGAGACGCATCCAGTATCTAATCATAGGTTAGTGAGGGTTTATTGAGATCTATTTCACTTACTCGGTCGGTCCCTGTACCAGCACCGGCTGCTCGGAGGAGAGTCCATGCCTTGCCCACAAAGTCTGCAGCAGCGGCTCTGCGCAAAAACTCTGCGTCTCCCATCTTAGAGACCACTTGAATTGCGCTTGAGCGCTTTGCACTTGTATTACTCCCACTTGTCGTGTCTAATCCGTCGAACAGATATCCAAGCTCGTCCAAGAACCTCCTCGTTTCTCCTCGAGACCGCATCTCCCCAATACTGTTCAGATCATTCACCGGCATATTGAGTTCTGGATCCTGCTCAGAGTTATCCAAGCCCCAACGAGAGCGCAGCTCCGAGTACGACTCCCGATGAGTCTCACTAGGGTCCTGTTCATTTTGCGTATGGGACGCTCGTGCTGGCTGAGCGTCTACGTCCATCTGTGTCTCATCCCGGGAAACCTCAATCAAGAAGGAGCGAGATTTAGAATACGTGCGTCCGGGGCGCTGAGGTGACCTTGAGATTGGAGGTGGGGAGTGGTTTCGCTGCGGGCTCGGTGAGGGCGTTCGGTCTCTAGCCAGAGGATTGCGGTTAAACGACGAGCCACCTCGTATAGGAGAGTTTAGAGGATCCTGTGTTGGTGGGTTGAACATCGAGGTGGAGTGGAAGAGGTCCGAGCCTGTTGCTAAACTATCCGTTTGTAGAGTGGGTTCGGTTTTTGACCTCGAAGAGAGCATTCGCTTGAGCTTGGGAGGGCTCCCGGTAGCAGAGGTCATGTTTGGCTTGTGAGGGGATATAAAGAGATCCGAGAGATCTCTTGCAAGTCGTGGTGTTTGAGCTGGCTGACTGGGCGTTCCGACGGCAGAGGCTGACTTAGGGACTATGGTGGATAAGGTGGAGCAAGAGAACATGGGAGATATGCTTACCCGGAGTAAACTTTCCGCTTTCTGTCGCTTGTATTTTGCGAGCAGGAGACCTCTCTGGCGATCCTATTCGAGTTATGAACAGGAAGCACATTGAGGGTAATCTCTTATACTTTGTTTAGGCTTTCTAGGGGTCGGTTCCTCCTCTTCTGCCGTTTCTGTCGTTTCCGAATCGGCAGGAGAGGACTCTCGTCTCTTTCTCTTCTTCGGGGAAGGAGGCCGTTCATCCTTCTCGCTTCCTGCACGAGTCAAAGTGAGTACACGAAAGGGTAACATGTTCGGTTGACTGACCTTGACGGGAGCGCGTGGCTGGAGCCAGCTTTCCAGTCGGTGCCACCGGGTTTTGTGTAACTTTATCCGAATTGATCTTCAAGTTACGCTTGCTAGACGTACGCCGCGAGACACCCTTGACCTCAGGAAGGACCAACTCAACTTGGTCGTCACTCTGGTCATCGCTGACATCCACTCGTGTTCCCGAATTTGCACGATCGTTTACCCTTTTAGATACCTTGCCGTACTGATTGCGAGCCCGCCTCGAGTTCATGGCTGCTGTATTTGTCGAAAGTGGTGGAGGCGCAGTTCAACTTTTGGCTGCCACTCCTTCAACATAGAGAACTCAAATTCGAGAAAACGTTCTACAACGCATAATCAAAATCGTTGATTTACTGAAAAGATTGTATCTGGACATTTCTGCCGCAAAACATGACATCGACGTCGCGACTGATGGGTGTAGCAAGAGCTCTGCACGGAGCAAGAGGTGAAAAATGGCATTAAAAGGCAGAATGTATCGCTCAAGTCTAGTTAACAGCATTATCACGTCCTGTACGAATCAGAGCGAGGTAATTCCAGTCGCTCGGGCGAGTCGAGCCCATTGCTGATACCTTTGTTCGTCAGTATGCATGTTCGTTATATGGCAGAGGCATCTCCGCGCGACAAGTTTCAGGGAAAGCGTACAACGCTTGCCGTCGAGTTACCCGACCTGGAGGAGCCAGAGACGAGTGTTCAAATTGATCCGGCAAATGTTGTAAGTAGACGTATTTCTGTTCCTTTGACTCTACTCGATGCTGATAATTTGTCTTAGCCATATGTTCCCGACTTGTACGATTCAAAGGCTACATCCGCGCAAATAGCGGCACAAAAGGCCGATAAAGCATTACCGGGCGAGGTTCCCATGCCAAAGGTGGTCACTGCCGCTGGACAAGTCGAGGGTGTTGGCGTTTCTTCAAATGTCTTCCAAAAGAGCGAGGACATCAAGGCGTTTGTCGGAGAAGGAGCTCAAAATACAGCTTCAAAGGCCTCAGACGCTGGTAGCACTTTGAAAGGGTGGGCCCAAAGCCTAGGCAGCCTTCAACTACCCGGTGTCGGTTCGAACAGTTCCCAGAGCGGTGCTAGCGACCCGAAACGCTCGGAACTCGACGCAGCCGACGTACAGGGTCTCTACGTTCTGCTTGGAATCATCGGTGGTGGATGGCTCCTTGGAGGTCTGTTATCGAAGCGCGGGACCCCTCCAGCTAAGCATTCGTCGACGCACTAACATCCAGTATGTGTTATATTATTTGATTCACGCATAGGGGACTGTCCGTCTTCGTACATGAGGCAAAGGTGCGGCTAACCCTTGCCGTAGCGGACGCTTGAATGAGACCAGGCCACCGGAGTCTACGAGGATCTCGGAATGCCTCAATCTGACATTCATTTGTTGTCCTCCGCTTCCCATGGCTGAACACCTCCACCGCATGACGCGAGTGATAATACACGAGCGAGACGGACATTGAGGACACAAAATGGACAGAGAGACTGGATTGCAGCAATCAGTTGCCAGCATTGATGGTCTATGCGAGAACGACTCATTCAAAGGAGATTTGTCCCTTGAACAACCGGTGCAGTTGTCAGAGACGAGCCAGACATTTGATCGAGACTTCCCATGTTAAATAAAGCCGTCCCAAGGCCGTTTAGCTGCTCCCAAGTGCCCCCTTGGTTTAACCACAGAGTGACTATGACCCGCACAGACCACAACTTAGAGCTGACCTCTGCCCGCGATTGCAGCCATATTGCCGCAACAGCGCTCAATTTCGAGCAAAAATCTGGATCCAGGCCTCGACTTTGTCTCAGGTGTAGTGCTGAGTCGCTCAACTCTCAAAAATCCGTTACATCAATGGCCGTGGTGGACATCAAACTCCCACCAGTGCCGGGAGAGCTCAAGACTATATCTGTGTGGATCTCTCGAGCACAAGAACTCAAAGGGAAGGAGCCAGTAATAGCCTACTACTGTGCGTTGAGCCCTCAACTGCTGACATTCTTGGATAACTTATCGGACGTGGCCAGGCTTGTACCATGCAACCCAAACCGGAATTGGCGCCAAAACGAAAGAAAAGGAGGCGAAAAATTTCTTGATGGATTTGATGACTACTCTCGAAACGGTGAGGCGCCACTCTTGCCGTTTAAACCCACGCTGAGCTGGAGGCCCGTCCAGATGAAAGAACAGCTCAAAGACCACAACGAAATTAATAGCGATGAAGCTGCCGCCAAATATATCCAAGCGTTTGCCCTCAAGGTCTTTGCAAATGCGGATAATGAGGACCGCAAAGGTGGCAGTACTCGGTACGCGCTATTTGTCAATATCGTCCCACCGTAACGTGGCATAGGTCTACCGCAAAGAAATTTTTGGCGGCTAGCAATTTCTTTGAGCTCCTTACAATCTTTGACGCAAAATATTTGAATCCGGTATGACCACGTCGTCCCTCAATGATTATTTCTAACGTTTCAAAGGATTTGAATGTATCTGAGAAGATTAAATATTCAAAGTGGAAGGCTTCAGACATCGCCAAAGCATATCGAGAGGGCCGAGTCCCCCAAGCTGGCCCACCTGCGCTATATGATGCATCCGAAGACGAACTTGGGGAAAAGGTGACAGCATCTCACTCTGAACCGGACGAATTCAGCGCCATCTCGAGTTACAATGCGGCAGTCAAATCTATAACCGTCTCTTCCTCGACACCACCTATTGAGGCGAATGAGAAGGCTGCCGACGTTCCATCCCTTTCCAAGCCAGCCCTTCAATCTTCTTCCTCCTCCAATACTATAGACACCGTCACCCCTGCGCGCACTCCGATCGTGTCACCGACCCCAAAGTATATCAACACTTCGCCAGCGACGAGTCCCTATGTTATCGATGTCTCTAGTCCCACGTCGACCGCAGGCTCAAAAACTCCGCTGAAGACACCCGGTCTGTCGGATGGCCTTTGGTCTACGGCTGCGACGCCGGGCATCGAGTCTCCAAACATGTTTTCGCCATTCCCTGGTGGCTCGTTTGGCAAGGCAGCAGCGAGTCTAATGAATCCTGCCACTTTGGCCAAGTTTAATGCGTTGAAGAAGGCCGAGGCATCCCCTATCAGTCCAAAGTCCAAGTCTGGCCTCAGTGCGATGTTTGTTCCACCGGAAGTAGAGGATGCTGGGGAAGAAGCCAAAGCAAACAGTGGTAATGACACTGACGAGGATGATGGTCAGTGGTCAACCGGCGGGAATGACCCAATGAGCCGCCAGCCTACGATGATGCCCCCAGGGACCGGCTTGAATAACGCTCCTGGGCTCGTAGTCACCCCGAGTCTCGGAGCCGTTCAAGAAGAAGGCATGTAATACCTCGTTTGACTATCCGCTAGGCTAATAGGCAATTTAGGATCAGCAAAAGCCCAGTCTATCGATAATTAATCGAGCGTTCCCCCCACCCAATCTCACGACGCCTAGTGTTCTGGCGGTCCCACTTCCGCCATCCGCCAATAATACTGCTCCATCCTCGCCAGACAATCGACCCAACAGCTTGCTGTATGCCGCGTCTCAACCTCTCCCTCCCATCTTACCCCCATCCGTCCAAACACCATCATCCATCAAGTCTGAGACCCATGCTTTGCCAGGAGTGGACAACAAGTCGTACAAGTATACATCCCATGTAGTGGGTGATTCCACTAGCGATGGAGAAGCCAGTTACAACGCGCCTCGTCGCACGAACGCCACCCAGAAGGGCACGAATCTGGCGCCGGATGCGTCTCATTCTACGCACGGACGTTCCTCGTCAATCAACGAGCCACCTCTATCTGCCCCTCCAACAACCGCAAAGCCAAGTGGCTCGGCTCCCGATGATGATTGGGAGCGAACGAGTCTCAGTCGATTGGCTAGGCTTCCTCACGGAAACAGCGAGATGGACAGCCTCTCTGAGCGTCTCCGTGATCTTGGAGATTTGAACACTTCTACACCTTCACTGCATTCTACCAGTCCGGGACCCAGCGATTCCAATGATCCCGAGCATAAAACGCGACGAAATACGATACGAGCGAGTGCACCGAGTCGCCCTGTCAGTACCGACTTTGGTTTGAGTCTTCCGGGAGTACCATCTGCACCCCCGGTCGGCGAATGGAAGGGCAAAGGCAACGATGATGGAAGCGATTCCGGTGGTGGCGGCGACATGATGGCACGATTGCCATCAGCGCCTGCTGTTCCCCCAATTGTTCAAGATCAACTTCCTCATGTCACCGTGTTGCCAAAACCTTCCACACCTCGTGAAGAAATTCATGTTAATCCTTACTTCCCGGCTCAGGGAACCCCTTCTGCACCTTCCTCTCGATTCACCGTTGACTCCTCGTAATCCAGTCCACCCTAATGGCTCCCAGCCATATTCCGAACACCCGGCTATCAATGGATACAATACAACGTCTCCACCTTCTGTACCACCGAGTGCGACTTCTTCAACCTTCATTCATCGAGGGTACACTCCACCGAACAGCGTGACGTCTCCTCAGGCGTCGTCTGTAAATGGTATCCTTCCTCCTACTCAATACGGTGCTCCGATGATGCATCCAGCCGGTCAGTATGCACCCTCCGTACCCATTGGATATCATAACGGGATGATGAACGGCACTGGTCCGGCACGAGACGAATTTGGGATCGAACTGCCAAATAGACCACCGCCCACCGAACTGGACCCGGAGACGATTGGCAAAGCACAGAAGCACACCAAGTTTGCCCTCTCTGCTCTCAATTTCGAGGACTTGGAGACCGCTCGTGAAGAACTCAAGAAGGCGCTTCGACTGCTTAGCTGAACTGATGACCTCATGAAAGCAGATACGACCTTGCACGATCCTTCATGACCTATACCTGGGTTCACATCGACACCTCACTGTCCACTGGTGTCTATTTGCTCTGGCCGCATCATCTCGCATCACTGTAGCCCCTAGGGTTGTATTCTGCACCTTCATCTTTCTATGCCCTTGCTTCGTCCTCTACTCTATTCATATTCTCGGCGCGAGTTCGCCTTGTAACTTTTGCTAGCTTACTTATTCGTCACATCCTATGCATTTCTTATACCTGGAGCGCGTCTAGATTGTGTTTGAGTGATGTTGGCGTGTGCCCATGTTGTGTTTATTCCTTGACCTTCGACGACGTTGAGCCATCAAAAATGCCACCTCCGCCTCAGCATGCTGGCCAAGCACCTACTACGTGGCAGAAATGTGAGATTCTTGAGCCTTCTTTGCGGTATTGGAAAGGCTGATGTTCCGTCTTTTTCTGTAGTCAAGTTGGTTTCTTGTCTCGCCTGTATCGTTTGCCAGATTTGACACGGTTTCTCGTTTTCTACCATTCAGGATGGGTGCTTTGATGGGCTCGGGAGTTGGTTTGACTGTCGGATTCATCTTTGGGTCGTATTCGATCCTTAGGCAAGTCGATTTCTCCTTTGCATGTCAGTCAGAAGGCTCATATGACGCTCCAATCGTCCAAAATCTCTATAAACCGCCGAATTTTCACGTTGTGACTCCAGACAAGGTGCAGGGCCAAGAGGATTCGTTGCGACTCTGTCGCAGTACATGTTGAGCAGCGCTGCTACTCTTGGATTCTTCCTTGCTATTGGTAGCGTGAGTTTCACGTCCATTGATTGCGTATACAGTCTCTGAATTTTATTTACGCTAGGTTATTCGAAGCGACTCTCGACAGATTGAATGGCACAAGTCGATAATGGAACAAACTCAGCAGAGAAGACTTGCAGCTTCATTTGCGACGAATCCAGTCTATAGAGCGACTCGGGCAGAGGCTCTGCAGCGTATGAAGCGACGATGGGAGGCAGAGAAGTTGAAAGAATCCCAGTAAAGAATCTCCTGCAGGATATCCCAGTATTCTCAGCCCGTTTACTTTGCTTGGTTGTACATCGACTACGAATGAGATCCCTCTTCACAAATAGCACGGCGGTTCTGAGCTCATCTAATAAGTTATATCTACAATACATATTCGATAGTTACCGTGCAAGCCCTGTATGGATCCCTCATGAACCGGTCATTGCCGGTGCAACTTTCATGTCAACGCCAGCAGCGATTATTCCTCAGTTTCCCCCTGGCTCGCAAGCACAGATAAGTAAGTGCGCTGTGTACTTACAGTGACAGAATACTAATGAGTAATCAGTCCGAGCGAGCCAGAGGGATACCCTATTCATTTCGCAGATACGGGAGGACGCAGAAAACGTCCTGCGGAGTTGGTTTGGTAATAACACATCTAGATTGTTCTACATGGAGGTTGATTTGACCCTCAGGAACTCGATGGCTTCGTAAATGGACGACTGAAGTGGACCTGGCGAGTCAACTTCTATATCTAGGGATAACTCATGGGAGAGGACAGCAAAGTCTCGGTGAAGAATACGTAGGCGTATGGCAGAACTCGCTCCGGGGGACCATAGGATTCCCCTCTCGCACAGTATACAAATCGTTATTCCCTCCAGGCTAACACTAACAAGTCCCGCAGATTCGACTGCTCTCTATTGTATTGACAATATTTCCGGCGTACATTCTTTCCAAGGCCCGCCATCTGGACTCCCATCTCTCACCATTCGCGAAAGGCTTAGTGAATGCCGGCCCGCACATTCTGGCATCTGCGTATGCGCTCAACATCTCACTCTTTTACATCCGAGGAAAGTACCATACCCTGACACAACGTCTACTTGGCACGGGATACATCACCACTATCCCTCCGAATCCCAACGTTCGCCCGCCATCGTATGCTCTTCTCGGCGTCCTTGTTCTCGCCAAGTTAGTGCATCAAGTCTATAAATCTACCTCTAGTCTATTCAAAGAGGCCGAAGAACGGATCAAACTAAGCGAAAAGGCTCGCGGAAAGCTTCCAGAACGCAGCCCTCAGACACGGGCGTTGGAGCCTTCCATGGGTGGAGAGATTTATTTAGACTATACACCTGCCAAGGAAATTCTGGCGAAACAACAAGCAGAAGAGGATCTTGACACCGGTAAGTAACCTCGAGTTGTTTCGTTCTTGCTCAACGATTCCCTTGTAGATCGTGCACTCAACGACACCTGTACATATCTGGACGTACATTCTCTGTCCGAAGAGGCTCGTTCTTCGCGCAAGTGCACACTTTGCTTAGACGAGCGGACTTCTCCAGCGGCCACTGAGTGCGGCCACGTATTCTGCTGGACATGTATATTTAATTGGGGCAGAGAGAAACCCGAGTGTCCTCTCTGTAGGCAGGGGCTGGACGTCAAGACGTTGGTTTCCATATATAACTTATAGCTGCATTCTTTCAGTACATTTTCCTGCAAGGATATTCTACTTTTCCTCTTCGACCTTTTGGAGAGTCTGTTCTAGGTGGACACTATTTAAAAACTTTTCCATCTCAGCCGCTACGATTGCATGAACAGCAGACGTCGGATGGAGATGATCAACCCAAATATCACCTCCATCCTTCTTTACATGCTTCTCTGGAAATCCAAACGACTTTGGATTATTTAGAATGTCTTCGAAGACCTTGTGCGAGGAGAAGTAGAGAGCGCTTATCGGATCACCTGCAGCTGCGGCAAACTCGCGAATCTTGCGCGCGAGCACTTTGTTCCATTCGATGAAACGAGTTTCCTTCGCTCCTTTCGCTTTTGTAAGGGCACGGTCTACGGAGGACTTAGTGGCATGAGATGAGCAGAGGAATGACAGACACGCTGGAGATCGCTCTATAGGTGGAACATCGATGAACAGGAAATTCCTAGCGCCGTCTTCATAGAGGCCTTGCTGTACTGTAAAGAGCTTTTCGAGCATGCCTTCGAAGTCGGTAGAACGGCTACAAGGGGGTTAAGGCTGGGGATTGCAGAGCTATTCCACTCACGCCAGATCATTGATTCCAACCCAGGTGACTAGAATAGCTATTCAGTGTCTGCCCTTTGTGAATGGATTGACCTACCGAATAACGACTCGTCTGCACTCCAACTCGACGATGGCTGGGCGCTGCCTTTGAAGAACCTCAGTCTCTGTTGCTTGACTCCATCTATTGTGTGCCCGCTCTTTGCGTAGTTATAGACAAGGATCGGTGGTTGTCTTTTATGGACCAAGTGCCCAACCTATCAGACATCAGGGTGTGCCGTGCCTGGATCTGTCATAAGATCTACCCAATTGGGTCCCCATCAGTCATTGTTATTCCTGGAAAGGCAATCCCTAAGGGCTCCTCCACTGAAGGATGTAGAGAGATTCCCCAAGGGTCCGTTTCAGAGTAAGAGTCCCCACTGTAGCAAACTAAGCTGAAGCAAGAGGATCTCTGGTGTGTCTTTACAAGATGACGAGATATCGTATCTTCTCAACACCCGGCCACGATGGAGAGAGGATTGACCAGTTATCGCCTCGCCATTCTGTCGCGTTTTCAGACGTGGTATTCATAAATCCAAGGTTTATTGGAAGGTATTCTGGCGAGCAACCACAGGATGAACGGGTCCAAGTTCCGAGTTGCGCGTCAATCGAGTGGTCAACCCACTTGAATCTCCACCAAATCGCCTGTGCGTGTTGCAGGCGCCATGACGCAGACCGTGGCCCAAGAATCGTTCAGCTTTACAGAGATTCTGAGCTCAGAATCCATCTACTTGTGAGTCTAGCCCTTGATTAGCTGCATTTCTTGGCGCAACTTACACGTAACACTAGAATTCTCTTCGCCTGGCTCTTTGGTCAGAGTAAGCCTCTTTATACTTGTAGAGAAAATCTTTAAGAGTACTTTTAGGTATATGGCAATCGTTCTTTGGAGGTGTGTGTCCATCAACTTGACATGCGAGTCGAGATTCCGGTGGCGTTGTCTCATATCTCCCTCAGGAATCATCGCCCATAAATCTCTAACTCGTCAAAACTTTGCACTCTTGCAATCACGCACATTTCCCGTCTACTTTTCTACGGGAACTGCACTCTCGAGCGTGCTGCTCGGGATTTGGGTGCACGCCAATCAATACGTGTTTCGTAACGATGAGGGAAGACTTCTTCCCACCGCATTTCTTCAACTCAAGGACCCGAGGGTCGCTCAAGTCTGGATGCTTTTCGTTGTCGTGTTGATGTCGTTGGCCAATCGAGTTCAAATTGGTCCAAAAACAAACCAGTGTGTATAGATAGCTCCTATTACAGAGATACTGATGCTTTACAGAATTGTTACTGCACGTCAACGGCTTGAACGTGCCGAGGGCAAGCCGTACTACGACCCAGGTGTAAGGAACACAATACTATACTGTTTCCAAGCTCATCATTTGATAGGTATCGCCACAAATGCGTCAGCTGAACAGCCAGTTTGGCAAATGGCATGGTATTTCGTCGTTGACCAATTTGATTGCCATCCTAGCGTTGCTCTATCACGGCCTCTGGTACGCTAGATATGGACTGCAGCCTCAGGTCCTGTATCGAGACTTCTTCTAAAAGAATCTCAACGTTGGAAAGCGTACCTCTTGCGACGATTCATATAATCACTCCCCTGTCATATCATAAGCAATGATACACGATTGCAAATGATTATTGTGAATGAAAACTATAGCCCAATATTCGTATTCTTTCAAGACAGCGAAATGTGATAAAGAGATCCGTCTCATGCCCGTGTATCGATATAACTTGCACAAAGACGAGCCATTGGTAGCATGTCAACGTATGAGTCTCTCTCCATCTGATCAGCGAACAATTGTCCATAGCCAAGACGGGCTATCGTCCCAAGCCGGTTTATATTCCTGATTCCTCGAAGAGGCCTCCCGTGCGTATCCACGATACCTATAACACCCCGGGAAGGCTTGCACCGCGTATGGGTTTACCTTCAAGGTTCGATCATTCATCTTTAAACACTACACACAGTGGGAGATGCATAGGGGAGTACACGTTGCACATCCGTTGGATTGTCTCCCAGAGCGCAAGGTGTGCATTAAACGCGACCCCACGCCTCATATCAAACATAAAGAAAGAGAAGCGAGTAATATAGACTTATTACCTGCATTAACTAGGCCGGCGTCTCTCCCTCAAGCGCAACCGCTAGCTGTTGGCAGCACCTAGCTTGCAAAGTGCTCGGACAAACGGAGTAAATTATTTGACAATGATATGATCCACAGAGTCACATTAGACACTCGTAATTCTTGTGCTGCACTATCCCTTGGAAATTTTCTCATTTTATCCATGCCGATGCTTTCGAGGCGAGTCAAGCCCACCGATTCTCTAAGTCAACAAGTTATCGTCAAACATTGAAAGACGATAAAGGTCCACGAGAATGATCCCTCAAATCTCCAAGACAAAGTGCGATCTCTGGCCCATGACGTCTCTTATTTCACTGATTGCATTTACAGGCGTACTGTAGCGACTAAATTATATGTGCCACGCCGCTCGTTCAAGAGATGACCATAATTCCAGGGAAATAAGGGAAGTAAGGGGCAAATACGAGTGCTTGGGGTGCACCAAGCTAGCAGCAGCTCGATCCATCTGGGTCCCCTCCGGTGTTTTCTTCCGGGTCTGGGTTGGAGTCACAACCTGCCAACATGAGTCCTAGGAATGAACGCGAAGAGATGGGAACACTCACATCCGCTTGTGCATTGACATCCACATGGGTCGTCACAGCAAGGGTCCTCAAGCAATCCACAGGTAAAGCACTGAAGAAGTCGTTGTTAGGGAGCTTCTCTCTTTGTAACTGATGCGCCTCACAGCAAGCGAGCTACCAAACTAGGTCAGAAATTCGGGAGCGACAAGCATGCAACAGTAAATTGTTACAGACCATGTCAAGCCCCCACAACAAATGATGGATGTATCCGCCTTCCGTTGTCGTTCAATCTCCTGAGGCTGCCGGTCTGTGATTTAACCGACAAAGCACAAGCAAAGTGAGCCACATCACGCCAAGATCTACATGATCAAGAAGAATGTAGCATACATTCGGGTTGGCTGTATTGAGGTTGCCCATAACTTTGCTGGGAGTAACCTGGTTGGGGATGGTACTGAGCCAGAGCCATTAGTTCCGAGAAAAATTCCAGCGGACGCGCTCAACGTACACTCTGTTGGGGAGCCCTAGGAGGCGCTAATGATTCACGGGCATACAGTCGTCAGTAAAGTTGAGGTAGCCAGGACAAAGGATTTGCAAGCCTTACGATAATACCCTCCTTGTTGTTGAGGGCCATATCCGCTTTTTTGCTGATGCTGGATGCCTTTATTTTCCTTGTGGTGACTAGCTTTTGACGTCTTAACAGGCTTTTGAGGGCGCTGTGCACTGCTCTTTCCAACCCCCTTTTGGCCAACGGATTAGCAAGTGACCTGCGATATCGAGTAGAATAGACATGCCTTTCCACCCTTTCCGCGTCCAGACATGATCAAAAATAGCTGGTTGTTGGTTGCAGAGAGTACTGGTGTGAGGCGAGAGGAACTGACAACGCGGTCGATGGGGAGCAAAGATGTGCGACTTATCGGTGCTTATATATGCGCGAACTCATGTAACTGAGTCCGCTGTTCTCGGATTGTCGATACTCAGGTAAACTGTTCAAGAATTGCGAGGTACGAGGAATCTGGCAATTTGTATTCCCCATCAAACTCTGTACTGTTTGTATAGTATGCAATTATGAGAATTCCTTCCCCGATTCTGATCTATAATGAGTATGCACGAATGCCGATGGCGGACTGCTGCTGCTGGTTGGTGAACCTCCACCGGATTTGAATGTGTGGGAGCGCCCTGATGCTCTTTTCAATCATGTACCTGTCTGCTTCTACAGCTAATACTGAGTGCCAAGACCATTTTTTGTGCGGGTCAGGATGTTGGTGAGGAAGTCACCAATAGCAAAGCGCCAGGGTCTGGCCTTAGGTTGGTGGATGGCCATTGGCCCGTCTTTGCGGGCATACAGGAACGCCTGAATTTGAAATGTACAAAGAACGAGGACCTGAAAACGTCCTGACATCCGATCCTTCCCTGAAGTCCTAACTGTCCGGTGTCGTTAGGGCCCAGTTTCGACCGATTGACAAGTTGGACACAGCTGGGTCAACACTGCCTAGAATCTCATGAGGATGGTCGAGAATGGGGTCACTTTACGGAATGTGAGTTTGGATTTAGGTATTCCTACCTATTTCTCGAGATAAATCGGGCTGAAATACATATGAAAAGATCCCGATTTGGTATTTTTCATCTATCAATGCTTCTAGTGGCGTGGCAATCGTTACTTCCTTCCGAGTGAACCCGTCGGCGGTATCGATATCCGTGAAGAGCGGTCCCAGTGCTATCCCAGTCTCTGCTTTACTTTCCATCGCTTAGGACCTTCTGTGAGCTTTGATTTGAAGTCCCAACAGCAAAGCCAACATTCCGACTTACGGCGCAAAGGCCGAAGAAGACTAGCTAATCAGTCGAACCGGGTACTAAAGTTGATCTGAATTACTTTCAGAATTCGATGGGTATGCTCTGAAAGCATCTATAGAAATCCCGCTGGGATCCCACCTCCGGTCCGAGGCTTCTTGCAACCGCAATAGACGCCCGAGTTGAGTGTCTTGAGTTCAAAGTCCACCTATTCGTGAGTGTAGCATTGATTAGCCAAACAGTCACTTTTCCTTATTAACTGACCATTTAGTCAGAAATTATCGCCGGACTTCAACGCCTTAATCACATCGAGGGAAGTCATGCGACCCAGAGTAAGAAATAAAACTTTAAGCTCGTTACATTACAGTCATCAACACGAATGCGTCAACTGAGTCGCCAGGGCACACTCGTCATTGGTCAATTTGATCGCTATTCAGGGGATGCCAGACCTTAATCTCTTCCCTAACCTTCCTCTGTCATGTCATGAATAATAATACACGATTGCAATGATTAAATTACAAGTCGTAGGTGAAAGTTATACCTCGATGTTCGTATTCTCGTCGAGACAGCGAAATTTGATAAAGACATCCGTCCCATGCCCATGCATGGATATTAACTCGAGACTGCCTCCGAAATAACTAGCATAAAGACGAGCCATTGGCAGCCTGTAAATGTATGAGCCTCTCTCATCTGCCCCGTGAAAACTTACCCATAGCCAAGGCCGGCTATTGTCCCCAGCCCGGTTTGTAATCCCTTACCAACAATCTCCCCGAATAGTCCTCCGGCGTCACCGCCGTCCGTGTCCATGCTTCCTGTATCCGCGATGCCTGCAAGACCCCCAACAGCTTGCATCGCGTATGGGCCGCCTTCAAGATCCGAATCTTCTGTATTTGAAACACCACGAGCAGTGGTAAACGCATAGGAGAATATACGTTGCAGGTCCTTTGGGTCCACTCCTCCGCCTTGGTCTCGAACACGGATGGAGAGGTAAGACGGCGGCTTGCGGGTGCTGACAGCTGTTGAGGCCTCATTGTCGCTAAATGACGTTTCCACGGACGGTGGTACTGGCGGCAGTGTGGCATACGCAATAGTGATTTGGACTTGAGGGAGTGGGCCGGTGGAATGAATTCCATACTTTCGTTGGTGGTTTTCCACTGTCGCGCGGAAAGCATTCTTGAGAATTTCGGTAAGAACGTACTCCACATGGACGGGGACGTAGCTAATGAGGTCAGCAAACGTGACTTGGGGTGATAAAGTTGAACTCACGGGAATGTAACGTCCGTCATGCCATCGATTGTAACATCTGGGGCCATGCCAAATGTTCCGACGCATAATTCATGTACGAACGTCGTGCAAAGGTTGACCATTTCAAACGGCGAACATTCCGAGTCCACGACGCCACGAGAATGCGTAGGTTCCAGCGAAGGTACCGTTTGAGTACCAGGATGCAGTTTAAGTGCTCGTGTAAGAGCAATATGCTGCTCAGCGATAAAGCGTATTGCTATGCGACTCCGTATCGCTCCATCGAGAAACGAGGAAATGACCTCTGGTCGCATATACTTTGCACATTCCTGAAACCTGAAGTTCCGTCAGTCCCTAGCTACGTTCGACAATGAGAACACTAACCCGCGAGCGAGGACCGGAATGTCATTCGCATGGCTTCTCACTAAATTCTCTAATCTTCGTGTGAACTCGATGTTGGAAGCTGCGTCGACCACTGGTGGCGCAGTCGCGAGGTCTTGGAACGTCTGACGGTACGACTCTAGCGTCCTCGCAATGAATGGGTTCATCCCAACAATCTGCCATAAGTTATCAAATATGGGCAAAAGAGGTGCTGCTCACATAAGGTAATGCCTCCATCGAGCGCACTCTCTGAACGAGACGTCTTGGCAGCTCTTCAAGTACATACGAGGCGGAAAGAACAATAGACGATGGCGTTAGAGGTGATCCAAATGATAGAAGCGTTGATAGTGGTGTTGGCCGCGGTTTGAGACTCTTGTATGCTCCTGCGAGTTGAAGATATTCCTGAGATGTTGGTGGAGGGGTTTGTGTCTGCAGAAGTCGACGTCCTGTGAAATTAAGAGTAGTTCTAGACTTATATCGGAGCATGGCAAAAGGTATGGGTAGGTCCAAGTTGTAAAGTAAGATCGTCACGGGGTCACTAGATGACAAGACATATAATGGGCCATTCGAGCAACTTTACATCTAAAGCAAAGAAACTAGGGAGAACTTTTCAGGTTTAGCGTGTCAGGTTGGAGTTCCGGGGCCACGTCTATGAGAGCCCCTATTTGTTTCGTCTCTCCTTCGCGCTCTCATTATGAAGCGCTTGAATCTCCTCAGAAACCTTTTTCCCTCTGGTATGCGTCTGCCAAAACCCAAAGCCCTGCTTCGTCCATCCCTCAGGGATCCTTTCGTTGCCGATCCACTCCCTAAACCATTCGACGGGGACACCAGGTCCATCGCGTTGTAAGAGCTCCATGATCAGTATTAGCTCCCCGTGGGAGAAGGTTCTCAACAGCTTGTTGGGGTATCCGTGAGTGTTGTCGATTTGGGCCTGGTCCTCTCTGGCGAGCTTTGCTTTGATAAGATTATCCAAGGTGACATACTTGCCATCAGACAAGTCGATAATGGCTTTAACGAGCTCCATGTCGGGTTTGTTGGTCGCCAGTGGACCTCCGGTCTCTCGAACATCCCGGTGTACGAGGCTGGCGTCATGCTCGATAGCATTGTGCTTGCAGAGATCTCCTAGGTTCAACTTGAACCCTTTACCGCAAAGTGCAACACCTCCGGCAGCAAGGCCAAATGCAAAAGGTAAGGAGACGCCATACACCTCGCGGAGGGCGGATATAAGTTGAAAGACTGAGATATTCTTGCCGTCATGGGGCCTGGAGCACACGCATCAGTATCCTCCCAACAACATGACCGGTTTGACGAACAGATAACCATGATTCGCAAGCGCATTGAGTGCTGGACACGGAGAACGACTGTCGTCGGGTCCTGCAGCGACAAAGGGATACGAGGTAGAGGCCATGTCCAAGTTGCGTGCGGGGGGCGGTGACTGATAGTGACGTCTGATATACAAGACCCTGCCGGCAGCCAATGAGAGACGGGTCATTGGAGTCATCCCTTGAAAATATGTATAGACGATGGGGTCGGAAGCGAAGATGCGGACTCGATTCCACTCGAAACGCTGAGTTCAAGGAAACAACGAGGGCGTAAAGGGTCCACGTTCGGGAGTTATAATTGCACATAAGCAGTCTACAGCTAGTCTCCGACGAGTTTCTGCACCCGTTTCAGTATCGAATCCTTTGATGGATCTGGACGGAAGCGTCAATCGTCTGGAGGTGTGGAATCTAAGCAGAAACAGTACCATAAGGATGGTCCTTGGAAGGGATCTCCAGTACAGTCGGGAAAGTCTGTGTATACTTGTCCATCGTTGGCCGTATCTTCTCGGCAATCTGGAAATCGCTCAGGACAACATAATTGAAGACGAAGCATAACTTGCATGTTGGTTGATAAGCAGGATTGCGATGTCTTTGCGACTGGTCAGCTCGTTGAACGCAGCCTCAATCGTCGAGGGCTGGGTCTCTGGGTACAGTTTCAGTGCTGAGATGGGATGTCAGATCTACTTATACGTACTCGCATCCACGATGACAAAGTTCTTCTTCTGGTTTGAGCTGACTTGACCGACACCCGCGAGCAGAACGCCCGTGATCGAGTCCTGCAGCGCGCATTCAGAGCAACCTCCGATGTATTTGAATTTGCTTACTTCGTCACCGATGATGGCAAGCAGGTTTCGTCCTTCCTGATTCTGTGCCATCTCAAGCCGGTAAACAACGGGACCAACCTTGGAAACACCCACAATGGCCACTCGAGTCCCGCTAATCTTTGGAACGATGACCTTTGGTCATCCAGGAAAGAATGGTGTCCGCACGGATACTCTTCGTATGCATTATACAAGACTTCGACTCCAAACGCTGACGCCACTCAAGAGGAATGTCAGGAGATTCTAGACGTGTTCCACAAGCACGGCGGAAAGGAGGTCGACACAGCGAGGTAATGACGCATAAAGGTAAAAAATGATTGCTGATGGTGAGCAGGATGTACGCAGAAGGGACCACCGAGGAGGTGAGTGAACAATATGGGCACATGACACTATTAATGACACCTTCGAGGTCTTATCTCAACTGGACCTTCATGGTGCTACTGTTGATACAAAGTAAGTTGCGATCCGGCGCCGCGGCCACCTTACCCATTCTGCCAGAGTGTACCCGGTCGAAGCAGGAGATCACCATCCGGACAAGCTCAAAGCTACATTTGAGGTATCTCTTCAGAAGCTTGGAAAGATTAAGCCGCGAGTGCTTTACCTGCATGCTCCGGATAGAAGTGTGCCATTCGAGGATACAGTCGCAGCGATGTAAGCGTCTAATATGTCCCGGGTAGCCACTGAACCCCATGGTAGTGATGAATTGTATAAGCAGGGTAAATTGTGAATAGCTCTCCTCATCATGGTGCTTTTACTAATCCTGCGTAGCGAGATCTTTGGTCTCTCCAACTACGCAGCATGGGAGGTGGCAGAGATAGTGGGAATATGCAAAGTCAAAGGATACGTCCAGCCCAAGATCTATCAAGCAATGTACAATGCCGTCACTCGAGCAATTGAGGAGGAGCTTGTTCCATGCTTGAGTGAGTACTTGATTTCATCTCTCCCTTATAAGCTAATTAGTATTAGGAAAGTACAATATTAGACTCGTCGTCTATAATCCATTGGCTGGAGGCTACTTGGCGGGCAAGATCTCCACATCCAATATCCCTGGTAAGTCGCTGTTCGTTTCCGTGGTCATTTACTCATAGATGTGGTCAGAGGGACGCTTTGGCGGAGAATCCGCCATGGCTAAAATGTATCGTGCGCGCTACATTCATCAGGGATACGCCGACGCCCTCGAGGCTATCAGGGAAGCTGCGGTGAGAATCTGCCTAATATTTTACTGAATCTCAACTGGGTTAGGATAAACATCAACTCAGGCTCACCGAAGTTGCCTTGAGATGGGTTCAGCATCACAGCGTGCTTACACCTGCCGACGGTGTCATCTTGGGGGCGAGTAGTGCGCAACAACTCGAAGAGAACTGCATCGATAGGCACGTAGTTTCGTCAATAGATTCTCTCATTGATATTTCTCTAGCGCCAAGGGTCCGCTTCCACAAGACATAGTCGAAGCTTTGGATCTTGCATGGAGCAAAGTGGGCATGAACTGTCCCAAGTATTGGCGATGATTCTCATACACCTACAAACTCGTACAAACCGTGACAGTCGGCCAAAATATTAGCCTTTTTACCCTCTAAATCGCATCGTATGCCCATTTGGCAGCTTGCGTCAGTTTTTCTGGCGCATCTTTCGTATCAAGAACCTCCTTGAGTGCATCTTTAAAGGCAGTTCCGACCTCTTCTTTGATTTGTTTGTTCTGTCCCGTGTTCCGTAGGAGGGTCCATACAAGTGAGCATGCATTAGCCCGCAGCTCTGGTGCGCATTTTCCAGATGTATTTGATATGATGGCCTTGAGCGCTTCTGTACCTGTCATTGTCGTCGTCGTTGGTGCCTCTCCGGAGAGCGGGTTTGACTGGATAAATTCCACGGGTGATGCAAGTGCATTGGATATCACAGTAGCTGAGTCGATAATATGAGGAAGGCAATCCATAAGCAAGACGCATGCTTACCGCCAGACGAGTTCCCCGCAATAAGATTGAGTGCAAAGCAACTCTCGTTGAGGAGGATGGCGTGTTTCTGGCCCGTGACGAGCAAATCAACCAGCGCTCTTACTGCAGGTTCCTTTGAAAGGTCATTGGCGGCTTGTTGCCGTCGTTGGGCGATATCCTCTGTTCGCAATGGCGAGGATCCCACATCGATCCCTGGGGCATCTTTACGCCACAAAGACCTGACGCAGTACGCGACGACACGAGTTCCCTCGCTCTTGACAATGATCGAGTCTGAACGCTTGACGAGAGCCAAGATTTGGTCGACACCATTCGGCTCTGAGCTGTTCATCAGGCGCAGAGTATTGCTGACTGATATAGCTATAAGATTCTGCCCGAGATAAGAAGGCGTGACGTACCATCGCCATTGCACAGATGCTTCGCCACGCCAATGGCAGACACTTGAACAGTCTCGGCCATGTCGCAGCTTTGGTCCCATACCTTTGACAGCGCGAGTTTTTCTAGTATTCCAGACTCTCCTAGAGCCTTTCGATTATTCGCCGCTTGGGCGAGGTTTTTGAGGAGACCTGTAACGGCATGCTTCACTTTGATATCCGCGTCTGGCTCGAGAAGCTTGACGAGTGAACTTGCAAGATTATATGGTTCGCCAAGCAGGGCTTCACAGTACGCATCTATGCATTCCAAGTTAGGCACTTTCCCAGGTAGAACAACTCATTCACCTTTGCGAGCGATATTTCCCAATGTTAAGCAGCCCGCAATGACAAGATCATCCCTGTGGACCTTATTTCGCCCTTGTATATTGATCCACGAGACCATACGGTTCACGACCTTGTCAGGACTCTCCCACAGAGCATCCATAGCATCCCCTTCTCCGGCAATAGACACGAGTGCTTTGATTGAACCAGCTTTGCAGAGATCAAACGCCTTTTCGCGCTTCTTCAGCTCCTCCTCTCCATCCAGTGACCAGTAAACCGGGTAATCAGCGTGCTCGATAAAATCTAGTAAAGTCGACAGGAGCGTTTGCTTGTCAGCTGTGGGCGTCGATGACGGTTTGCCGAACGCAAGTCGAGCGGGTTCAGAGTCGAGTGAAAGCGCTTCTATAAGCGTTACACATTCCTCCAAGGTTTCGAGGTCCGCTGTGATCAGCGCGTTGCGCGATTCTGCGTGCTCGACAAGACGTGATTTGGCTTCGACTGGGCTGATAAATCCAGAAAGAGCCGAGACGAGGAATGGTAGGCTTTTGATAGATACTGGTGATGTTTCGACTACATGGCAGTCAGTAATGTTGGACCTCTATCACCAGACAGCGAACCTCCTTCGGCGATGGCAGAGACGAGTCTCCATGTCCAATCTGTAAGACCTATCCGTAGCTGATAGGAGGTGATGAGAATATCAAGCGATGTGCTATCTTCTTGAATGGTTACCCATTTGGCGGGTGGATACAGGGAAAGGGAAAGTTGGATTGCAGTATCGGGAGTTCCAAGAGCTATCAGCGCCTTTCTCGAAGGTTCTAGATACTGGTTAGTAAACCGATCACTTTCAGGAACAACCTACCGAAACCAAAGCAGGAGTTCAACAAGGCGCCGACCGCGGTCTTTGCTACCTTGAGGTCGTCGATGGTAGGCTCCGATACAGTGGTGTATTGATTCAGGATGGATTGTATTATATTCAGCAGCCCAACGTCTATGCATCGCTGTCGGTTCACATCTACACCACTGTTAGTGGCGCTCTATGGCACATTGTAAACTCACCGTGATCCATGCACAGATTCGCGCTGATCCGCAGAAGTTCAAAGGACGCCAGCTTTGCTTGATCACCGGGAACCTTTCCATCGTAGGCCTTGCTCAGAAGTGCCGCAAGATTCTTCGGGAGGCTACCTTGACCAAGCGTTGTGTGATGATCTGAAGAGGTTCAGATGGCGTGAAACACGATAATAGTCCTCGAATACCTGCCGAATCTTTTGATCGTAAAACATTGGCCAGTTCGCGCGCGCTCGCCTCGATAGCCGGCCATGGAATGTCCTCAAGTCTAAGATCCGGGTTACTCGCAGTGTCAATAGTCGCTAGGTCTTGTTTCAATTTTGCTTCAAGCGTGTCTGAGGGTTCCATGATTTCGTCGGCTAGCGAGTCTGGGACCAAGCTGCCACTCAAACTGGATCCCACCCTTGATACAGTTTCATACAATTTGTCGCAAAAAAGGGAGAAATGTCTCCAAACAAGGCAATATGACTCGTGAAGATTGATCAAAGCTCTCCGTCAACCGTCGTAAACGATTTACGCAGTGAGCCGCGGTTTGACGACACCCCCTTTCCGGATTCATGGTGTCACATGCACTCGTTTTCAGGATCTTGAAACAATGTCGGTTACATCAAGACCCTCGCGTGCGAGTACTAGCCGGTCGCGCGAGTTGCTAACCGCGGCCTGGGGTTTTGAACGATGCCCCCGGGAGATCAAGCCAGCACGAATCCTTTCAGTATCTCACGTTCATAGGCGCTCTCGTGAGTGCACTGCCTACCACTCGCTTCTCGTGCTTCTTCGTTGAGGCGCTTGAGAAGACGGGCTTGCTCCACATGCTCTGGCGGAGGCTACAAAAGCCGCGAAGCTCTATGCCATTTCCCATCCCTCCGGATCTCCTCACCTTGGTCTAATCCTCATCGAGCCGCCAACATGTCTGACATCGAGAAGAAAAAGGACCCCTCCACCGAGAGCGTCGTTGAAGATGCCGAGAAGATGGACAATGCTCCGCTCAATGAAGAAAATGAGATTGATACCCTTCACAGAGCGTTGAAAGCCCGTCAGGTGAGCCCTTACTCTCTAGTAGCTGCAAATCCTCTAAGACGTCGTTAGATCTCCATGATAGCGCTAGGAGGTCCGTATTTACCCGTTCATTGATACACTGATATTGAGGTTCTGATTGCAGGTGCTGTCGGGACTGGCCTTATCATCGTGCGTACTCGATCACGAGCTGGCCTTCTCGTACTCAATCACACAAACAGGGCTCTGGCACCGCCTTGAGACGTGGTGGTCCTTTGGGTGTGTGAAGGAATCAGGGAAGACGGTCCGTAACTCATACAGCTTTCCGCAGGTATCCTTATCGGCTACTCCTTTGTCGGTATGTGGCTCCACGACTCAACTGCTCGCGTGCTGATGGCCTGGCATAGGATTTGTATGGTATGCACTCATGGTTCGCAAAGAGGCGGCTGCTGATTCCAACCAGCTACTGTGTGATGATTTCCCTTGGGGAGGCAAGTAGATCCGACATCCTCGTAACATCTATTAACGTTCATAGATGGCTGCATACTTGCCCCACAAGCGCGGTTTCGCCGGATACACCGCCCGGTTTTGGCACCCAGCGTCAGTCTCTCCAGCCTACATGGCGGCATGATTCTGACAGTGTGCACAGCGTCGGGTTTGCACTGGGGTGGAACTACCTCATGAAATACCTCATCGTCACGCCAAAGTACGTAAGGTTGATTCACAAAGGCTGCTATACTTATGTAACATGGCAGCAATCTGAATGCCGCAGTCCTCGGTACGTTCGCTTGGTCGCATGGCCCATCCATCCCTGACTTTTTTTCAGTGGTTAATTATTGGACAAAGTCTGTTCCAAACCCGGCGTGGATGGTCATCTTCAGTAAGTGAACTTCAGGAATATACTTTGATGCTGATTAGCTTTCAGTCACATTCAGTGAGTCAATATGAACGTTAAGACAAATAGTCTTTCTGACGCGATTCCAAGTCTTCTTGATCAATCTACTGTGTGTCGCTCACTTCCTGCTGGTTCCCAATTGACACTCTATAGTGGCATTCGCGTATTCGGAGAGCTTGAGTTCTGGTTCAGCAGTATAAAGGTAAATATTCCGAGTTCTTGTAATGGAACGCCTTCCTAAAGTCCTCTTTCAGGTCATTGCCTTGATTGCTCTCATTCTCTTCGGTATCATCGTCGACCTCGGAGGAAACCCGCGCCACGACAGAATTGGCTTCCGTTACTGGAAAGCCCCCGAGTGTGTTCCTTCTTTTCCTATCGTCACAAGGTATTAATGAATGCCAAGTGGCCCTATGGGATCGTATCTCCTGGCAGAAATTGGTGGAAATGTTGCTCTTTCACGCTTCATCGGCTTCTGGTCTGTCATGGTTAACGGCTTGTTCGCTTATATGGGAACCGAACTCGTATGTAGGGCTTCTATTTGGCTAGGATCGGCACTAACGCGCTTTAGATTGGTGTCACCGTTGGTGAGGCTGAGAACCCTCGGAAAAACATCCCACGAGGTACGTGGAGAGACACTCTTGGTAACCTAACTGACCATTTGTAGCCATTCGCCGAAGTCGGTATAATCTTACTGCTGCATATCAAATCTCATCGCATTGTAGCGTTCTTCCGTATTCTCGTCTTCTACGTTGGAGGCGTCTTTGTCATTGGCTTGATCGTTCCCAGCACATCCAGGGACCTCTTCATTGCTACTAGGTCTTCCACCGGAGCCGCTGCATCTCCTTTCGTCGTTGGTGGGTACTGTGATGCATACTTGATGTAGAACTTACTTTGAGCAGCCGCTACAATGCTCGGTATCCGCGGCCTTAGGCATGTCATCAACGGGTGAGTAGACCACCTTACCCTCTATTCACAGCTCATTGTGTTTTCAGTGCCATCCTCATCTTCGTCCTCTCTGCCGCGAACAGCGATCTTTATATTGGGTCAGTGCAAAAGATGGGTCGGACGACAAGATACTGATATTCTTCAGATCGCGTACACTCTATGGCCTCGCTTTGGAAGGCAAAGCTCCCAAGATCTTCAAGCGTGTCAACAGGCTTGGTGTCCCATACCCAGCGCTTCTCCTTTGCACGGCGTTTTGCTTCCTGGTCTTCCTCAACGTTGCAAAGGGTGCCTCCAAGGTGAGTTATTGTAGGTGATAGAGGAAAGAATGCTAAAACACTTCAAGACTTTCGGCTACTTCTCTGCAATGGTGTCTATGTGCGGTGCCATAACCTGGAGTGAGCGACTTCGAGTTGTCTGGTTGAATCCTCTGACATAATGGATAGTGTGCATTGTTTATACGCACATTCGCTTCATGCAGGCCCTCAAAGTCCAGGTGTTTCCAGAGATTCGCTCCCCTACAAGGCTCCCTTCCAACCCTATGGCGCTTGGTTCGCGCTCGGCGCTACGGGCCTGATTGCCTTTTTCAAAGGCTTTGACGCATTTATCCCCAAGCTCGCCGTTGACGTGTTTATCACCGCATACGTTGGCATCCCGGCCTTCTTCCTCTTCCTCATCTTCTGGAAGCTGAGATTTAGGGAGAAGACGGTCCCCTTGGCCGAGATGGACCTGATTTCAGGCAAAAGGGAGATCGACGAACAAGAGCAACGATGGCTCGAGGCACAGGCTCTCTTGGGTCCTCGCACTCGCTGGCAAAAGATTTGGGACTCACTCTAGAATTGACAAGGCTCTCCCTCTTACAACGGGAAAAAGCTCGCGTTTCGTCACCGAGTTCTTCGCCGAACTGTCTGCCGGCTTCGAGCAGGTTCGAGCATCCTTGTTTGCTAATCTCCTGGTAATAGAGTGTGCATTTGCGTCAGGGCCTTTACGTATGATCTGAGATACATTACACGACTCCGAGATGACGAATTACACAATCCATGGGCTCGGATTGCTGCATGTAGCAAGTTTGCCGAAATGGGCCATTTCGTTCCACGGTGGCTGAATCAGCGCAAAACGAGGTATAAAGCCCCGAACGAGTTTCTGTCCTTTCCATGTCCAAGTCTACGTACTTTACATCGGTCCTCGCCGCCCTTTGTTGCTGCCTCACCGCGTTTTATCTCTACAACCCACCCAAGAACCCCGTGCCGAACGAAATGGCCTCGCTCAAGCAAATTAGCCGTTCTATCGTCAAAAAGGTGTATGCTGCCGAAACTTCAGAAGTTGGTACATCTTGTTCTGCCCGGATTGGTTCACTGACGGGCTTATAGGGTGTCGGCGCGACCGTGCGACGGTCGATTGGTAGCATGAGTTTGCGAAACCTGTCTCCTTTCCTCATGTTGGACCACTTTGATCTATCAAGGGTTAGTCTTGATTCGTTGATTCCATTCTCACGACTAATCTCCTTTGCAGGGTGGAGGATGTAAGTTCTTGATCTAGAATGCACATTTCAAGTCTTAACGATAATTACTAGTCCCAGATCACCCTCATCGTGGCCAGGCGACGGTTACCTATGTGCGTAATTGCGACAATTGCTCTCTATCGGCATCTCTGACCTTGCATTAGATGATTGAAGGCGCTTCTCAACACGAAGATAGTCGTGGACACAAGGGAATTATCAAGACTGGAGGTGTCCAATGGATGTGCGCTGGAAAGGGCATCATCCATTCGGAGATTCCTCTCCACGTCGAAGGAGCCAAGAACCCCAACGGACTTCAGCTATGGGTCGACCTACCAAAGCAGTACAAGATGGTGGATCCATCGTATCAAGAGCTTGATGCCGAGCAGTGAGTATCGTCAACGAACTCCCTTCCTGGATTACTAACGCTGTTACCAGGATCCCGAGTGCATATCCCGAGGGTGAAGACGGCAATGTCCGCATTAAGCTGATTAGTGGAAAGAGCTTTGGCGTCGAATCGCCTGTTCGTCCCCTCGGTAAGGCTAATTGGCATTTCCTTTCTTGAGCTGTCAACTGATGGCGCCGCAGGTGGATGCTGGTATATGCACATCTTTTTGAAAAAGACGGGAGCAAAAGTCTTCCAAGATCTTCGTACGTCTCCCATTCGTCGACTTGTGTGCCCCTTCTGACCTTACTCGCAGCTGCTGGATGGACGTCGTTCATCTACGTTCTCAAGGGCGCTGTCGCTGTCAACAAGGATGGCGGAGACTCAACTGCCCATCGCCAGCATCACACACTTGTTCTCTCTGCGGCGGCCAATGAGACTGGCGTTGCAATTGAAGCCGGAGAAGACGAGACGGAGGTTGTACTCATCTCAGGGGAACCACTCGACCAACCCGTTGTCCAATATGGTCCTTTCGGTTCGTAGCAGCCTTGTTCTCCGCCCTGCCTAAAACGGAACTAACCGGCATCCACAGTGATGACATCCCGTGAAGAGATTCAGCAAACCTTGCGAGATTGTGAGTGCTGTATCCCTTGATATTCATCTCCGGTGCTGACTTGGGGCCCCGCAGACCAAGGCGCAAAGAATGGCTTCGAGGCGGCGCACTCGTGGCAGAGCGACCTCGGCCAGAAGTTTTTGAAGGAATATGGAAGAGATTAAAGGGGCTTGTTGTTGTTTTCCGGATTTGTATCTCCGCTAGATGGCCATGGCCCATTTGTATAAACCCAAATAAGGAGTCCTTGAACGCAGCTTGGACCCGCCCTCGTCCGCAATCCTCCTCTACGCCGTTTTTTACTGTCTGCCTCTCTATCCTCTCAGTCATCTCTTAATCCGTCTTTAAATCTCCTCGACGTTCCACTCATTCTCCATACTCTACCATGGGCTGCGTACCTTCTTCCCCCGCCGATAACGAGGCAAAGGCTCGTAAGTAACACTGTCTACAACTCTCCAGAGCTCCCCGCAGTCCCTCCGTCTATGAAATTGCAGGCGCGGGCGACTTCTTGGCCATCTCCGTCTCGCACGCTCGACGCTGACCGACGCCCCTGCCGTTTGCTCCGACGCGCCTCGGCTGACTTGTAGGCAACGACGAGATTGAAAATCAACTCAAGCGCGACAGACTCCAGGCAAAGAATGAGATCAAGATGCTCCTGCTTGGTGCCGGAGAGTCCGGCAAGGTGCGTTTATTGTGGCCCTCGGGAACAATGCGAAACACAGCTCGCTTACACTTTTTTTTTATTATGACAGTCGACAGTCCTCAAGCAAATGAAACTCATTCATCACGGCGGATACAACGACCAGGAGCGCGACTCGTACAAGGAGATTATCTTCTCCAACACGACCCAGTCCATGCGCGCAATCCTCGATGCGCTCCCCACTCTCGAAATTGCTCTCTCTCCGCAAAACGAGGGTCGCCGCGCAGTCATTCTCGGTCTCCCCGTCCAACTCGAGACCGACACCCTCCCACCGGCTGTGGCCGACGCCATCCGCGGTCTTTGGCAAGACCACGGTGTCCAAGAGGCCGTTCGTCGTGCCCGCGAGTTCCAGCTCAACGATTCTGCAACCTAGTGCGTCCTGTTCGATCGTGAGATTTTTTTGCAATCGAGCTAAACGGTTAATTCCAGCTACTTCAACTCTATTGACCGGATGTCAGCCCCCGGCTACATCCCCACGGACCAGGACATTTTGCGTTCGCGTGTCAAGACGACGGGTATCACAGAGACCATGTTCCGGGTTGGCGAGCTCACCTATCGCTTGTTCGACGTCGGAGGACAGAGGTGCGTCTGCCGAGTGAGGCGACCAAATCGGAATGCTGATAACCCACAAAAGGAGCGAGCGAAAGAAGTGGATCCATTGCTTCGAGAATGTGACTGCACTCGTGTTCCTGGTTGCACTCTCCGAGTACGATCAGATGCTATATGAGGACGAATCGGTGAACCGAATGCAAGGTACGACCCATTCTCAGGGCCCATTCTCACAAGCGACTAACTGAACACTCCACAGAGGCTCTCACGCTCTTCGACTCGATTTGCAACTCTCGCTGGTTCGTCAAGACGTCGATCATCCTCTTCCTCAACAAGATCGATCTCTTCCAAGAAAAGTTGGCCTATTCGCCTCTTGGAAACTACTTCCCAGACTATTCCGGAAACTCGTATGACGAAGCTTGTGACTTCTTGTTGCACAAGTTTGTTTCCTTGAACCAGTCGGCTGCCTCTAAGCAAATCTATGCGCACTACACCTGTGCAACCGATACGCAGCAGATCAAATGTGAGTATCATTCCTGGTCAAACGATGCAATCTGACAATACATAGTCGTCTTGAGCGCCATTCAAGACATTTTGCTGCAATTGCACCTCAGGGAGTGCGGCTTGCTCTAAACTACTTTGCCTCTCAGCGCAACCTATGTATTTGGATGGCTCGGCTCTTCGCATGGGACGTCGCTTGTAGCGCGTCAACTTTGATAATCCTCTTTGCGGAAAAACACCTTGGGCTCCCCAACAGTCACGACTTCCTTCAATCGGCCTCAAGTACCATACCAGCACACCTATCAGTTCCTCTTTCTTTCTCTTTGTTACGGCTTGAAATCTCTACCGTGCCAATGCACAGATGTCCTTTCTCGTCCCTCCTTTTCTTCACTATTTTTGGCCCCGTCCTTTCTCCCCAACTGTATCAGGTACTCTGAAACCCCTTGCCCGTTTTTGCGTCCAGTGTCTCTTACCCGTCGGCACGAAGCGACGCTCTGGGAAGGATTTGTAGAGCAGGAATACTCGTCCTTGTTCATCTCTATATTGTTACGACGGATGTGGGATAGTTGATAATGTCATTTCCTTCCCTCTCTCTCTACTTTGTCATCTATCTTTATACCGTATGGTACATCGGAATGCGACCCAGCTCTACCACTCGTTGGCATCCTTTCGAACGTTTGTCCATGAATGACCGCATTGAAACCGGCTGAAATCAAGTTTGGTGGCGCGGAAAGGACTTGTTGTTGGTATAGTCAGAATGAGATCTGGATGTATTAGTCCATGCCGATTGTTTGGCGGTACCCAGAACAGACGTTTCCCGGAGGATTGCACCCAGCCATCCTGCAGAAGCGTACAGTCCTGAAATCCAGGAACAATGGGTCCTAACGCAGTACCCGGGGCACTTTCCATGGTATTTGAATGTCTAGAGTCTCTTATATCCCAGTTTGGAATGGTCGGGTTTGTATTTGACGGCACTTTCAGAGGTCAGTAAATGCACACATCGACGACAAGCTAAGTCGAACTCACAAACTCCTACATCGCGTAGTAGAATTGTGTTGTCAGAAGAACCAGAGACGATGCGCATACCCTCTGGAAAGAATCCGACGGCGTTTACCGAATCACTGTGCCCCCAGATTGGCTCCCACAACAGCTGACATGTAACTGCATCCCAAAGTCGAACCCCGTCATCTGAGCCGGAGATTATGCATGCGCCGTCTGGTGAAAACGCGACAGCCTTGACCCTGTAGGGTGACTTTTCCACTGCGTCATCAATGTCTGATGCCCAGAGTTGAGACATGTGGTATGAAGACCTAGAAGCGATTCATGAGTCATCTGGAAAGAATGCTACGGACTTGACCGACCTGCTGTGGCCTCGGAGTGGTTCCCCCAACGGTTCGCCGGTGTATGCGTCCCAAAGCCGAATCGTCGAATCGTCGGAGCCAGAGACAATCCTTGAGCCGTCTGGCGAGAATGCGACGGCATTGACCGTGTCTGTGTGACCCCAGAGTGGCTCTCCCAATGGCGCACCAGTGACTGCGTTCCAAAGTCGAATCGTACAGTCGTAGGAGCCAGAGACAATTCTTAAACCGTCTGGCGAGAACGCAACAGCGTTGACTCCATAGCCATGACATTGGGGTGACTCTTCTGATGGTTCACCAGTCACAGTGTCCCAAGGCCGAGTTGTGTTATCCCACGACCCAGCCACGGTTCGTGAGCTGTCTGCACGAGATACTACAACTTCAACCCACCTACTGTGACCTCGGAGTGGCTCTCCCAATAGCTCGCCTGTGTGTGCGTTCCAAAGTTGCATCAACCAGTCAGACGAGGCAGAGATAATTCGCGAGCCGTCTGGTGAGAACGCGACGGCCTTGACTGAGCCGCTGTGGCCTCGGAGCGGCTTTCCCAATGACTCACCACTCTCTGCGTTCCAGAGTCGAATTGTGTAGTCGTTAGACCCAGAGACAATTCGTGAGCCGTCTGGCGAAAACGCCACAGCGTTGACCGAGCCGCTGTGGCGATTGAGTGACTTTCCCAATTGCTGGCCAGTTTTCGAGTCCCAAATCCGAATCGTGGCGTCGGATGACCCAGAGACAATTCGCGAGCCGTCTGGCGAGAGGGCCACAGCGTTAACCGACTTGGTATGACCCCGGAGTTTTTTTCGAAATAACTGATGAAAATTTTCTTCCCAAAGTCGGATCGTTTTGTCAGATGAACAGGAGAGAATTCGTGAGCCGTTCGGCGAGAACGAGACGGCCGTGACCGCGCCGTTGTGACCTCGAAGTGGCTCTCCCAGTAACTCCCCAGTCTCAACATCCCAAAATCTAATGTTACAGTCGTAGGAGCCAGCAACGATTCGCGAGCCATCTGGAGAGAGTGCAACGGAGATAGCCCGGTCATTCTGACCTCGAAGGTGTGCTCCCAACCGCCCACCGGTGACTGTATCCCAGAGTCGGATCGTACAGTCGGATGATATAGAGACGATCCTTGAGCCATCTGGCGAGAATGCAACGGCCTTGACCGAGTATGTGTGAAGCCAGAGTGGCCATTCCAATTTCTCGCCATTTTCTGCGTTCCAGAGTCGAATCGTTCTGTCTCGTGACCCAGAGACGATTCTTGAACCATCTGGCGAGAATGTGATAGCAGTGATCGCATCTTCATGACCTCGGAGTGGTTGTCCCAAAGGGACACCAGTGTGTGCATCCCAAACTTGAATATCCCAGTCTTCCGAACCGGAGACGATTCGTGAGCCGTCTGGGGAAAACGCGACCGCATTGACCGAGCCGCTGTGGCCTCGGAGTGGCTCTCCCAACGCCTCACCGGTACCTGCGTCCCAGAATCGAATCGTATGATCCCAAGAGCCAGAGACAATTTGCGAGCCATTTGGTGAGAATATGGTGATTGCGACCGATTTTTTGTGACCTAAGAGTGGCTCTCCTAATGGCTCACCAGTCTCTGCTTCCCAAAGTCGAATGGTACAGTCGGACGACCCAGAGACGATTCGTGTGCCATCTGGTGAGAATGCTACCGTATTGATCAACTGGCTGTGCCCTTGGGTTGGCTCTCCCAATGGCTCACCGGTCTCTGGGCTCCAAAGTCCAATGGTCATGTCCTCTGAGCCGGAGACGAGTTTTGATCCGTCTGGCGAGAACGCAACGGAATAGACATTGTAGGTGTGGCCTTGGAGTGGCTCCCCTAATGGCTCACCACCATCAGTGTCCCAAAGGCGAATCAGGTTGTCTTTCGAGGCAGAGGCAATTTTTAAACCGTCTGGTGAGAATGCAACAGCGTATACCCAGTCGCTGTGACCTCGGAGTGGCCCTCCCAGTTGCTCACCGGTGTCTGCGTTCCAAAGTCGAATCGTCCGGTCGGATGATCCAGACGCAACTTGTGATCCGTCTGGGGAGAAGGCGACTGCATTGACGGCCCCGCTGTGGCCTCGGAGTGGCTCTCCCAATGCCTCACCGGTACCTGCGTCCCAGAATCGAATCGTATAGTCCCCCGAGCCGGAGACGATCCGTGAGCCATTTGGCGAGAATGCAACGGCGATGGCCCACCCGTCGTGACCTCGAAGTGGCTTACCCAATGGCTCGCCCGTCTCTGCGTCCCAAAGTCGAACCGTCTTGTCCTCTGAGCCAGAGACAATTTGTGAGCCTTCTGGCGAGAACGCAACGGAGTGAACCCAGTCATTGTGACCTCGGAGTGGCTCCCCTAATGGCTGACCAGTATATGCGTCCCAAAGTCGAATCGTATAGTCCGTCGAGCCAGAGACAATCCTTGAGCCGTCTGGCGAGAATGCAACGGCCTTGACCGGGCCTCTATGACCTTGAAGTGGTTGCCCCAATGGCTCGCCACTGTCTGAGTCCCAAAGGCGAATTGTGGTATCGTACGAGCCAGAGACGATTCGTGAGCCGTCTGGAGAGAAGGCCACAGAAAAAACGGCGGATTCGTGGCCTGTAAGATAATAGGGAACCCCCACATACATCTTCTCAAGCCCTTGAACAACGCCGAGAGTGTTAGTGTACTTCTCCAGGCTTTCATAACGCAACTTCGACGTTATAGGAGTGAAGGGAAGCGCGGAAATGTAGATATGCGGTGCACTATCTTGGATTGGCACTAAAAATGCCATCATAAACCGTCGAACGTCACTCATACGGTTTCTAATCTCCTCTTTAATCTTTTGTGGTGGGAACGTCAGAATGAGCCCTCCCAGTATAGGTCACTTACTCCTGTGTGGCGCGTAATAGCTCGAAGACCGACAATCGCTCGTAGCAGCGCGCCGGTGAAACTAAGGACCTCTATCCAGTATAATACATATGGACTTCGACTAATATGTTGAAGTTGTTTCTCGAGGGTGTATCGCCAGCTGTCGTCCGTTTCCGCCAAATGAAATGACCAATGGGAGCTTGCATATCGAAGCTTTGTTGAGATGAACCTTGAAACTTTAGTGTCGAGGTTTGGTATTTCCCGATTCAGGTAGAAAGAGGACTCGATTTGACATATGTTAAACTTGAGACCTTCTTCTCGCGACTTGAGGCACTTGAAACACCATGATGCGGCTTGACCATGCGCATTGACGAGGTTGAGATAGATTTTATTACAGTTCCTGGCGGGAGGGGCAATGGAACAGCGTTGAAGATATTCCACTATGGTAGGGTGACGAAAATGGATTATATTTGTTTTCGTATCTTTGGTGAGTACGCTGCCAAGATTCTCTACTAATGCTTTGGCGCTTCCACGTACTCTACTGTGCTTCAGGAGATCGTCCAGATCATCAACCGTCAGCGGTTCAAAGGCAGCGCGCAGTAGCGCCAGCATTGCACACATGACTGTACGATCTTCAGGGTCTGTACGCTCGAAGACGAGATCGTATACGTCGTCTATCGCCCCAGTTTGATCCATTGATATCAGGCGGTCATAGATGTCCTCTGGTGGGCTCAATCTGGTCTTGCTGGTGAGCATGTGGCACGCGGTGCTCGCCCAGATGAACAAACCATTGGCCTTTCGAACCAGTCGTTGTCGCTTGTCCCGCGATATAATCCCATCTAGTGTCTGATGTATATAGACCGCGATATCACTGATATTATCATGATGACTGACATCATGGAGGCGGTCCTCCAACTTTGCTTTGATCGAAAGGGGCTGTAAAACTGATTCAATGACTGGGTCCGGTCGGCTCGTGATGAATATCCTGAGGCTTGTGGTTTCTCGAGTGGCCATTGCAAGTGTGTTGAGAAGTTCTTTTCGTTCTAACCCAGACTTGCATTCGTCAATGGCGTCGATAACGAGAATAACTCGCCTTCCTAGACCCCGGAGTGGATCAGTGATGAGCTTCCGGAACTGCTCCTCAAAAGAGCTGTGCATGATTGCAGGGTTTTCCTCTACAGCCTTTGCGACATACGGCCTAATCTCCCGGAGGTGCTGCGCAAGATGTCTTGCAATGGTAGGACAGAACTTCCCGATATTCGAACCTTCGTTACTTGTCATGGAGAAGAAGAATAGACCACCCAATGTTCCGCCACTCTTCCACTCTTCCACCGCAGACCTTGCAACGGTAGATTTGCCGGAGCCAGCTATATCACACAGCCAGAATATCGGTTTCCCCGACGCCTCGTCATTGGCCCATTTTCGTATCGTCTCAAGGACTACCTCACGGGTTCCTTCAAGACATGTACGGTGGACAGAGAATGCCATAGATTCTGCAATTGGCAGCTGTAATAGGATAGACGCATCAACTTGGGATTTCTTTAGCAATTTTCGGGTACGCGGAGTTCAGCCTACCTGATGGATGATGCTTTCCTCGTGCGGAACCTATATGTATATGAGACCCAAGCATTAGAGATGGAAATGTCACGAACTGCGCAAGTTATCCTCTATACTCCAGTTGTCCTTTATCGAATCGGGGGCGGACTTGCACCAGTCATCGAGATAATAGAGAACCGTCTGATAGCTTTCGCTGGTTGGATCTGGAAATCTGACGAGATTTTGATGGTCACAAGAGAGGACAATTGTTGTGGCATTACGGTCGCCCGGGATGCTCGCCGAATGGGATGGAACATTCTAGGGTTTAATCAATACTGATTCCCTCCTTAGATAGTTGAACTGACGAGTCGTGGTCGCCTTTTATTCGAGGAGGTTGCGTAATCCTCGCAGAAGAATACGCTGCGTATCCTCTCACTCGCTTCGACGTACAAACTTTGTATGATCTCGAGTTCGGGAGAGTGTGTCTCGAGATCCTTTGTGATGACCTCGGTCGTTTTCATACGCCAGGATATCGAGCGCCTGAGTCTTGCAAGGAAATTGGCATCCACGCCAAAATGTGGTGTTCCAAAGAATAAGATGCCATGTGTGGACACGAGGATATCTCGGAGATCTCCCTCCGAATTAAGCCTCTGATTATGGCAGATGACGAGTGTCTAGGAGAATTGTCAGCGTTGGATCGGATTATCGTTCATCCAACGCACCTTTTTGAGAATGATACCTCCCAAATCGTGTGCGACGAAGATGATGGGGCGCTAGCACGATTAACAGGAAACCACTAAACAAGCAGCATTCACGTACTCGAGAGAACCCTTTCCGCATCCGTGAAAGACTTTGAGCCAGCTTCTGAGCGTGCCCATGTATATTCTGCGTTGATACGCATGTCTCATTCTGAGTGTCGGCGTCATACCCGTACGTGAGGACTCTAGCGTTGGGCAACGAGACTGGCAAAAAGCGGCGCAGCCAAAGAACGCCGCTGTCCGTCGTCCAGGTGCCCTCTCTATGACCGTCTAGGCCATGAATAGCAACGACGCTGAAGTATCGATGTGAGCGATAAGGAATCGTGGCGGCATTCGCGGTGAAAGTGGCTTACTCGATGATGGGATCATTTCCAGGGAACAACTCGAGAAATCCATAATCTTTGATCTCCGGTTTCGACATTGGAGAACTGCAAAGTATTAGGATTCTCTTTTGCGGGGCTGGTTGTCGACCAATAGTTAGTGGAATGTCCGAATCGGTGGGAGCACAGGTTTGTAGGGATCCTACAAGTCGATTGGGGACACGTATGTAGGAAGAGCGCTGCAAGCTCAGCCAACCCTGGTAGAGGTAGGGTTCAAGAGGCTGGCAAAGAGAGTTAGGCAATACGAGCCAATGCTGGGAGAACAGAATTCATTTGTTAATGTTAGGAGTACTGTCCTGTTGGTTACACAAGGGCAGCGAGAAGACGGATTGAGGAAATGGACTGGGATCTTGAGAATGCGAAGAAGAGTATCTGTTGGTAATGCAGAATCTAGAGACGCGAGAAATTGACGGTGGACGACGTCGGGTCCAAAGGAAGCACAGTGCAGTCATGCCAAGAGTTGAACGCATCTCCATCGACAGTCCGAGACGGCCTCCCAGGAAACACAGCCAGCACATTCCTCGAACGGGAAAACAAATATTTACAGTATTGCACGAGAAGTGACAAATATGCCTCGGAGAACACTAGATACCGCCCAATTAGCGTAAAGATTACAATTAGAGTCTCTTCAGTCTATTCTAGTTATCTTATGACGCGAGACTGGACATCTTAGTACTCGTGTTCACGGAAGATGCAACGTACATCCAAATTTCTGTGCAAGAGCAGCTCCGCAAGAATTTTGACGATAATGGGTAATTACGGGTTGGAGTCTCTTCGAACGTTTGTCCATGAGTCTCCACATTGAAAGCGGGTGAAATCGAGTCTGGTTGCGCGCAAAGGGACTGCTGTTGGCATAGTCAAAAGGAAATCCGGGTATTGTAATCCGTGTCGATTGTCTGGCGGTACCCAGAAGAGATAGTTTCCGGAGGATTGCACCCATCCATCGTGCAAAAGTGTACACTCCTCGAATCCAGGTACAAGGGACCCTAGAGCAGTATTTGTGACATTTTCCGTGGGATCTGAACGTCCGAAGTCTCTGACATCCCGCTCCAGAATATTCAAGTTTGCATCTAGTAGCACTTTGTAAGCTCGTATCACACAATCAACGACAAATACACCCACTAGAGCTTACATCCCACGTTCGGATCGTTTTGTCGTTCGAGCCAGATACGATTTTCGAGCCGTCTGGCGAAAATGCAACGGCGTTGATCCAGCTACTGTGACCTCGGAGCGGCTTTCCCAACGGCTGACCAGTCTCTGTGTCCCAAAGTCGAATCGTCCAGTCGGACGAGCCGGAGACGATTCGTGAGCCATCTGGCGAGAATGCAACAGCGTTGACCCATTGAGTATGACCACGGAGTGGCTCTCCCAATGGCTGACCATTCTTTGCATTCCACAGTCGAACCGTGTAGTCCACCGAGCCAGAAACTATTCGTGAGCCGTCTGGGGAGAACGCAACGGCCCTGACCCACTCGATATGACCTCGGAGTGGCTCTCCCAATTGCTCACAAGTCTGTGCGTTCCAAAGTCGAATTGTACTATCGTCCGAGCTCGAGGCAATTTGTGAACCGTCTGGCGAGAACGCAACCATGCTGACCCGCCTGCTGTGGCCTTGAAATGGCTTCCCCAGCGACTGACCAGTCTTTGCATCCCAAAGTCGAATTGTGCAGTCGTTAGAACCGGAGACGATTCGTGAACCGTCTGGCGAGAATGCAATGGTGTTGACCGAGTTACTGTGACCCCGGAATGGCGTTGCCAATGACTGACCAGTCGCTGCGTCCCACAGTCGAATTGTACAGTCCCTCGAGCCAGAGACGATTCGCGAGCCGTCCGGTGAGAAGGTAACGGAGTTGACCCAGCTATTGTGACCTCGGAGTCGATCTCCTAACGGCTGACCGGTCTCTGTGTCCCAAAATTGAATCGTGTCGTCGTCTGAGCCAGAGACGATTCGTAAGCCGTCTGGCGAGAAAGCGACACAACTGACAGGTTTGTCGTGAATTTGGAGTAACTCCCCCAATTCCTGACCCTTGTCTGCGTCCCAAAGTCGGACTGTATTGTCATCCGCCCCAGACACGATTCGTGAGCCATCTGGAGAGAATGCCACTGCAGTGATCCGATTGCTATGACCTCGAAGTGGTTCTACCAACTGCTGACCAGTTGCTTCATCCCAAATTCGAATCGTTTTGTCCCATGAGCTCGAAACGATTCGTGAGCCGTCTGGCGAGAACGCAGTGGCGGTGACCCTGTCGCTGTGACCTCGGAGTGGCTCTCCCAATGGCTGACCAGTCTTTGCATCCCAAAGCCGAATTGTATCATCCCAGGAACCAGAGACAATTCGCGAGCCGTCTGGCGAAAAGGAAACGGCGCTAACCCGGGAGCTATGACCTTGAAGTGGGTCGCCTAATGGCTGACCAGTCTCCGCATCCCAAATTCGAATGGTCATGTCGTATGAGCCAGAGACAATTCGTGAGGCGTCCGGGGAGAACGCAACGGCCCTGACCCACCCGATGTGACCTCGGAGTGGCTCCCCTAATGGCTGACCAGTTTCTGCGTCCCAAAGTCGAATGGTCTCGTCAAATGAGCCAGAGACAATTCTTGAGCCGTCCGGTGAAAATGCAACAGCATCTACTGAGCGAACGTGACCTCGGAATGGCTCTCCCAAGGGTTGTCCGGACTCTGCACCCCAGATTCGAATCGTGCAATCGGATGAGCCAGAGGCAATTCGTGAGCCGTCTGGCGAGCACGTGACGGCATTGACCCGGCTACTGTGACCTCGGAGTGGCTCGCCCAATGGCTGACCAGTCTCTGCGTCCCAAAGTCGAACAGTGTTGTCTTCTGAGCCAGAGATAACTCGCGAGCTGTCTGGCGAGAATGCAACACAGGTCACATTGGATTCGTGTCCTTTAAGGCTACTAGGGAGCCCAGGATACCTCTCCTCAAGCCCTCGAGTCACACTGAGCGTATTTACATACTCCGTTAACCCTTCATTTCGCAGCTTCGACTTTGTAGGAGTAAATGGAAGTGCCGAGATGTAGATGTGCGGTACACTGTCCTGAATCGGCACCGAAAACGCCATCATAAAACGTTGAATGTCGGTGATGCCGCTTTTAATCTGTTCCTCAAGCTGCGTGAGGTGTCAGCTCAGGATCCGTCGGTCGGGAGAATCTGCTCACCTTTGAACAGCGCGACACAGCTCGGAGACCGCCGATCGCTCGTGGTACTCCTCCGATCACACTCAGGACCTCCATCCAGTGTAATATATGTGGAACCTGAGTGATTTGTCGAAGCTCCTTCTCGAGTTTGCATTGCCATTTCTCGTCTGCTCTGACCAAATGAAGCAGCCAATGGGAGCTGGCGTATTGAAGCCTTTTCGAGATGAACCTCGTTATTTTGGCACTAAGGTTTGGGATCTCCCTGTTTAGGTAGAAGGAGGACTCGATTTGACATATGTTGAACTTGAGACCTGTCCGCGACATCAGATGTTTGAAACACCATGATGCGGTTTGGCCATGCGCATTGGCGAGGTTCAGATAGAGTTTTGTACGCCTTCCGAAGACTGGAACAATCGAACACCGTCGAAGGTATTCAACCAGCGTTGGGTGACGAAATTGGATAAGATTGGACCCAACATCCTTGGCAAGTACGCTTCCCAGATTCTTGACCAACGCCTCGGTCCTTCCGCGTACTTTAGAGTGTCTCAGAAGATCGTCTAGGTCATCGACCGTAAGTGGCTCGAATGCTGCGAGTAGCAGTGCGAGCATTTCACACATGACCGCGTGGTATTGCGAGTCCATGCGCTCGAAGACGAGATCGTATACGTCGTCTATGGCTCCAACTTGATCCATGGATATGAGACGGTCATAGATGTCCTCGGGTGGGCTCAGCATCGTCTCGCTGGTGAGCATCCGGCACGCAGTACTCGCCCATATGAACAGCCCATTGGCTTTTTGAACCAGCCTTTGCCTCTTATTGTGCGGTAGAACTCCCTCTAGTGACTGATGTACATAGAGCGCGATGTCACTGATAGTATCATGATGATTGACATCATGGAGGCGGTCTTCCAGCTTTGATTTGATCGAAAGAGGCTGCAAAACTGATTCGATGATTGAGTCCGGTCGACTCGTGATGAATACCTTGAGGTTCTTGCTTTCTTGAGTGGCCATCGCAAGCGTGTCCAGAAGTTCTTTTCGTTGTGATGGAGACTTGCATTCGTCGAGCGCGTCGATAAGGAGGATCACCGGCTCCTTTCGATGACGAAGTGGACCGATGATGAGTGTGCGAAACTGCTCCCCCAGTGAACTTCGCATCACAGAAGGGCCATGCTTGACGGCTTCTGCGACGTACGGTGCGAGTGAGGGAATATGATGGACGAGGTCTCTCGCCATAGTCGAGCAGAACTTTTCTGTGTTCGACGCTTCGCTGCTGGCCATAGAGAAGAAGAACTGGCCTCCGAGTGCTCCCTCTGTACGCCAGGTCTCTGCTACAGACATTGCTACTGTTGATTTGCCAGAGCCGGCTATGTCACACAGCCAGAATATCGGTTTCTCCCTTGAGTCGTCCTCGGCCCAGTACATGATCGTTTGAAGAACAGACTCTCGAGTTCCTTGCATACAGGTACCATGAACCGAAGATGCGACAAATGCAGCCATGGGCAGCTGGAGTATAGCATTTGCGTCGACTACCGGACGTTAGCAAGCTGTCCACATACAGACTCTTGCTTACCATCCGTCAGGATAGTTCCCACCTTGGACTTGGTAGCCTTGGTATTCCGTTCGATTGCTTGAATACGGAGTGCAGTAAACACGGTCAACGCCTCCTGATTCCGCAGTGAGAATAGAAAAGTGGTTGACGGACACATACCGTGAACTGCCTATGTCGATCCTCAATATCAAGATTGAGTTCATGGATCATCCCTGCATCGAGCCTTGTCTTGCTGATCGCAGTAAATGCACCACGACTACCGCGACTTTGCTCACCCCTATGGTTGACGGCAGTCGTATAAAGACTCTCGAGAAACCTACATGAATCAGTTAATGCATTAGGGCTGGCACTCTACCTACTCCACATAACGAATGAGCGGTTGACTAAAGGCTTTGTCGACGGCTCTATCTTCCGCAGGATAGTCTTCGAACAAGTCGATTTGGTCCTGAATAGCGGACATGTATTCTTCCAAACGCTGTACTAGGTCGCTCCATTCTTCTTGGTTGTCGTCGATAGCCTACGATATTACATGAGCCTGAGCCATGCCAGCCCTGCCCACGCACCTGTATAACATCGATAATTGACTTTGTTGCTCGACAGGCTGCCTTGAGAGGGGCAAGTATATCAGAGGCCTCGGCTACGTTTGCGACCAGGTCGGTGCTGAGACTGGCTATGTTATACGCTTGCTTTCTCTTTCGTGACGAGTTTTCTGGGGAAGCAGAAGCCCCGGGAGTCGCACTTGTAGACATTTTTGGCCTTTGAAATGACATTGTGGGGGTTGGATGGCTCCAAGAGGTCGGCGTCTGCCAGTTTCGACACACGATGCGACGGGTCCGTTCTGATTGATAACTATGTCACCTGGTAAGACTTCAGAGTTTACTCGTTAAACTCGGACCGACAATCGATACCAGTCTTACATATTATGTAATCCGGAACCGCGGAATATTGGATATAGTGGAGATGAAGTATAAATTCAGTCGCTGCAGTCGAGGACACGACGCGCCCCGTGCTGCGTGAGCGCCTAGCAATGACACGAGCAACCTTTGGACCCGACTCCAACATCGCTGAGCCGGTTTCCTATCAGTAACCGTAAATTAATCAGACAAATATGTCTACGAGGATTGCACGCTCGGTATCTACCGGGCTCGTGCTTGCGGGAGCAGCGTGCGGGGTTCTGGCATTCTCTGGAGCTCTTCAACTCATCAATCGACTAGTTTGACTGCTGGAGGAATATTTTGCTTCCCTTTATATGCCCCAACCTTGGTGGAACGACTCTCGCTATCCCAGGCGCAGGTTTCTACCATCGCATTGGCGTGAGTAATCATGAAATACTGTTCTGCTTCTCAATCTCATTCGTTGACAGGGGAATGTCGGCTCAATACCCACTCGCAGCCGTCATGGGCTCCCTCCTCGTTCGTCCTCGTCTTACGACGTTTCAATAACTGATGCGAGATTCTAGGATACCTATGGTACCTGGCTAACGTCGCTCATTGCTGGGATTCTCTTTTCATCTGGGTTTGGCAGCTTTGCCTACCAACTCTCCAAGGCAGGACGATTGCCGCCAGGCTCAGCAAATTCGCCGTTTAGGATACTGGTCGCCTGCTTCTTTCTTTGTGGCGTTGGAACGGCTGCTTCGTGTGTCCTCCCTGTCCACTCACCTATCATCTCACATTTCATAGACTCTTCACAATCATGTTCTCGGCGTCGCAAGCGTTCCCTGGACACACGGGTATGTAGTCTTATTATGTTTGCCCTCTATACTGACTACGTTTAGGAATCAGCACAGGGGCTTCGACTGCTTTCTTTGGTCTTTCTCCTCTCTTCCTATCCGACATTGCTTCTAGCTTCTTCTCGAACGAGGCTAAAGAACTGAACGTGACCAAGTTTATTATCGTGCTAAGCATCACGGCTGGGATCGCACACGTAGTCGCAGCAGCATTCCTGCGCATCTTCCCGCCCAAAGCAACTATCCCGCATACCGCCGATGAAGAAATCGACAATCCCGTTCCAGTCATTCATCCTACAGAACACACTCCACTACTGAGTGGACCAAACAAGCCCACAGACGAAGTTGTAGCACCAGAACAGACGATTAGACAGCTCCTCAAGGACGTCGACTTTTGGTTGCTCGCATTGACCATGCTCCTACTCCTAGGCTCAGTGAGTTACCTCATATCTATAGCATTGGTGTCTAACCAGAGTAGTGCGAGATGGTTCTCTCCAATATCGGTACAATCGTTCTTGGAGTTCCAATGCACCGCGGAGACGTGACGACCGGGGTCGATACACCCTCTGGTAGCGAAGGAGGCGTAGTACAAGTTCGTCTCCTCTCACTCTCCAACACTTGCGCGCGACTCCTCGTCGGACCCCTCGCAGACTATCTAGCCCCCGCTCCGCTCGCACATCCAACAGGAGAAGTATACTTTCCACGCAAACGCTACGTCAGTCGTCTTGCATTCCTCTCCACTGCGTGTGCATTGATGGCCATCGCGTACCTCTGGATGGCTGCGGGCGTTGTCTCGCAGACGGACATTTACCTCGTATCCATCGCTACGGGTGTAGCGTATGGTAGTGCCTTTACCGTGACGTGAGTCAAATCCTCTACCCTCAAGTCCACGTCCTAATCTTTTGGTAGACCAAGCATCGTCGCCTCGCTCTGGCTTGGACCGAATGCTGGGCGAAACTTTGGAATCGTAACTTATGCGCCCTTCATCGGTACTCCTCTTTTCGCATACTTGTATGCGTTCATCTCGCAGTCGTATCAACTCGAGGGCGAGACGGTGTGCACTGGAACACGATGCTGGCGTACTACCTTCTTTATCACCACAGCGACGACGACCGTCGCACTCTTGCTCAGTCTTACTCTCCTACGCAGACGACGAGAAAGTGTCTGAGCAATTAGCATACATCTAGTCTACATCCTAATCCTATCGCATGTGTATATATCGTCTGGCATTATAGATGGGTGCTATATAAATCTATGCGGTCGTGTATTGCAAGGTGAACTCTGGGTCGTGTGAGCGGGCAAAGCGAAGGGCCTCTACTGCAGCTTGAGAGAAGGATTGGCAATCGTGTAATCGCAACGTCTTCATGTGCTGTAGCAAGAGTGAATCCTCCACCAATGCTTGGATATATTGGTCATCTATCTGACTGCTGATAATCTCTAGTGTCGAAACCTCCGAATGGTTGCGAAGACAGGAGACAAAGCCGTCTATGCCGGGCAAATACCGACTCGTCCACTCGGCCTTGAGTGATTCAAGAGATCGGTACGACCAACGGTCCTGTCCCTGAAACACATCCTCGTCTGGCGAAAAGTTCTCCAAGCGCAAAGTCGAGAGGACCGGCTTGCGCGGCAGATGCTCAAGGAAGCGAGGAGAAAGTCGCGTAAAATTACGCGCTGTAAACGAAGAGAGCTTTGGAGCGTCGAGTTTGTGAAAGTAATAGTGGCATATCCGCGGGTCGAACGCGATGGACTCGAGATGGGGGAGTTGCACGTCGCAGACGGGTTCCCAAGAGTCGGTGAGCTTGATATTGTCAGTGCACACAGAGGTCGAGGTGGACGAGGTTGGGAAACGAATGGAGGGCCTTTGAGAGGAGCGCTTCATGCTTGTGGCCCAGGTCGACTTGGAGCGTCGTCACAGAGTCTAGTACGACCCCGCCGGTATTATACCACTGTATCCTCGCGAGAGAGAGACTTTGCAGATACGGTGCGTGCTGGAGCGCCCGCAGAGCTTCGATTGGGACCGTCTCATGCAGATTAAAATATCCAGCATGGTGGAATGCAACCTCTTGAAGAGAAGAGGTATCGAAAAACTGTAATATGGAGAGAAAGCCCAGATACGAAGCACCCGTTAAGCCAATCTCGAGCCGCTCGACACGGCCAACGAGAGCCTCGTTCAAGCACAACAAGTCTCGCATAAGCTCCATCGCAGGCTCAGAGCCCACATTTGAAAACGAAATCTGCAGCGGGCACACCCCAGCGCGCTGCAGAGACCAGAGGGCGAACCGCGGAAGATAGACCGGCCGAGCGACGCCCATCGCCTGGCTGCAACACGTCAGGTCAATATGGATATATCTCCATATTTCCGGAGTCGAAAACGCTGCGAGACGCCATTGTCTGCATACATGCGATAAGCACAGGCTGGCCAGAGGTGATGGAGACCGCTGGCAGAGTGCGGCTTGCTTCTGCCGCTTGAGTTCTTCTCCCTGGACGTGTGCGCTGAATATTTCTGCTAAGACGTCGACTGGGAGGTCCATGGCGAGCACCATGATGATGTGATGATGGTCGGGGTTGGGAATAGAAGGTGACGATAGGTCAGGGATTCCTTTTATCTCCTAGACAAGGTCTGGATTCATCGAATCTCCGAGCGGCCGCGAGAGAAAGAAGAATCCGTCTCAGGCGCGCAGACAAGGCAGTCTGAGGATGGCAGGGTTCAACGCTCGCGGCGCGAACGAGGCCCGGTCCAAGACGTGGCAAGAACAATTCAGCAAACATTCTCCGAACGCAGTATTCTCGCATCGTGCCGAGTGCGGATATAGATCCGAAAAATGCCGAAATAAGACGAGCCTTTTTGCCTTTCCCATATCAAGATAACAGGATTTGTATGAATTCCGCAACCTACATGAACTTTTGTCTATTATGCCGAGAGCTCTATGAGAACGTCGGGGCTTTGAAGCCATTGGGACCATACCACCGACCCTTGAGCATGTGCTCAAAGTAAGCCCAAGGGAACAGCAGCTGTAGTCTTTTGTTAAAAGATGATCAGGATTTGCGGAGCGACGTACAGTTTTGAAATAGTAAAATGCCCTGAGCAAGGAGGTTCAACATCAGGAAAATCGTGCTGATAAGACGACTCACTTTTGAGGTTTAGCCTGATCTACGATATGGGCGAACGATTCCTTTGGCTCTAGGCCATACTTGAATCTAGACTTTTGTCAATATGGATTCGATGGAACAGGGATTGAGACGTACTCGGCAAGGAGTAGTTCTCCCTTTCCAGTGAGAAGCTTCGACAAGTCAGAATCAGATGCACAAATAGGGTAGCACATACTGGGCAGCTTGTGTATCCATCATACTTGGCAACCAACGTATCCTTGCCATTCATGACGTCCACCAGGTTGTGCACAAGAACGGGTGCTTGTGCTGTGATCGCAGCAGCCGTCTTGGAGGTGGGAAGACTTGAGGCGTCGCCGAGAGAAAACACATTCGAGACTGTGCATTGTGAGAATCATACGGACATGTGCATTTGATTACCTACACTTCTTGTGTCTTAGCGTCGCTGGGTCGACGTCTACCCATCCGGCTGCATCTGCCAAAGGCGACGCTTTGATATAATCTGCCGGTCCTTGTGGAGGTGTGACATGGAGAATCGTATAATCCTCGACAACCTCTGTTCCGTCCGTCTTTTTAAACGTTGCCTTGCGGTTTGCGGCATCAATTGCAACCAGATTATGTCCAAACTGTGCGGGAATGTCCCTCTGTATCCTCAGGGCGTTGAGAACTTCAGAGTACTTTGGAACAGAGAACATGGTGGGCATTCCTGTCCAAAACTCGACCTTTGCCGTGTTTGCACGGTTAGTGCGTTGGTACAAGTCCCATGCTTGCCACATTATCTTCTGTGGAGCTGTTCAAAACGATGAGAGAGATTCTTTACGTGAGCTATTGGCTTGCCTCCTGCGCATTTGATTGGGGTAGAAGGTTGAGTAAAGATAGCTCGGCCTGAGCGCATTGCAGTAATGTCGCGGTGAGCCTTGTCGGCAGTAGCGTACGAGTAGATGGAGGAGACACCCGAGTGAGAGTCGATCAGGGCCTCTGGCAATCCCTTGATGGCTGACCAGTTGATTTGGATGCCTGAGGCGACGATGAGGTACTCGTACGTGATAGTATCCCCATTCGCGAGAACGACTTGGTTCTTGTCAGGTGCAAAGGATTGGACCGACTGGGCGACATGGGTCGTGTCTTCAGGGATGACCGACTTCATTGGGCGGCGGGTATCCTGCTTGTCCATGAGGCCAGACCCGACGAGTGTCCTGGTGAATGTGAGCCTGGACCGAAACAACAAAAGTGTAGCCACCGACCATCCTGGTTGATAGTAGTGATACTCTGCGGGGTCTATGATCACAATATCCTCCTTTGCCAGAACCTTTCCTTGCTTCTTGAGGCTCTTTTGGAGCTGTGTGATGGCTGATAACCCTCCGGCACCTAGAGTGGCCAGTGTTAGCCGTACGTCCGTTTGTCGAATCTACTGACCTGCACCAACAACGACGACTTTGGCATCTGACGAGGCGAATCTGCTGCTCGAAAATGAGCGAGAGAGGGCTCGTTTGGCAATGCTCGCCGTAAGCATGGTCAAGGCCAGGTCTAGGTTTGTCAATCTGCGATGGCGACATCCGCTCGACTCAGCCGAGACTAGATGTCCGACTCTATGTCCGATTACAAGTCTACACATGTTAAAAATGTAACCACTCGGTGTAACTGGCAACAGTCTGTACAGCTTGACAATTATTGTGGCAGTAAGCACCAGGCTTGTCGCCGACTACATTATCCCTTTGGCACCAGGCAACCCTCCACACCCGCTTTTCGCTCGTTTTTATAACTCATGAGTCGGGATATTCGTCCAAATCGACCAGGCGCAGGCGCCTTTCCCTCAAAAGCTCCCTCGAGATTTGAAGAATACGACGACGAATATCCTTCAAGAAACAGATACCATGCAGACGACTATCCTGCGCCCTCTGGACGCTCCTCGGACGCCCGGAGAGGCCCCGTAAACAACGGCCGGTACGATCAGACGACCTCTGGCTCGTCTGCTGGGTCGACACTGCTGGAGCGCATGAAGAATAAGAACCATGACTATTCCGGCCGAGGAGTTGCAGACGATGAATACGATTCCCCACGGGAGCAAAAGGCCACCTGGGCGCGAAATACGGGCGCATCCAGTCTACGCACGCAACGAGCGGACAGACAAGCTCCTCGGGATGAATGTACGCAGCTCTTTTAATCTCAAAGGGGCTTGGTTAAGCGAGCTAACGATATATACCCCTTGAACAGCACGCGTAGCAAATGACCCCGGATCCGCTGGAAACACGCTCTGGGGCAGAGTCGTCTCTGCTGCTGGATCTCTCACAATCAACGTCAGCAAAGCGTGGGATAGCAACGCCCACGACGGTCCCGGTACGTCCCTCGTGTCCGCAACCCAGACGTATACCTCAACATGTCGTAGAAACGCCTCCAGGTGGCGAAACACGACTCACAAAAGTGATGAAAGAGTATTATTTGCAACGTGCGAGAGCACCGGTCGACTTGCCTCACTGGCTCTTTGAAGAACACGAGCGTATGCCCACTCGGCCACCTCCGAGAGAGAAAATCGCGCAGAACGGGGGTCGTTCAGATAGAGGACGATACGACGAAGACTATGGAGATGAATACGCTCGCCCGCAGCAACCGCCACAACAAAGTCGGGGAGCGTTGAGGGATGTCTATGAAAAGGCAGCATCTAAACCGGCATCAACACGCTCTACACCAGCTTCTTCGGCTTATGATTCGACGGCGTCTACCGGAGAGTCAAAGGCGGCGTCGCGCTTGCGGGCCATGCGCGAAGCCAAGAGGGGCAATATTTCGGGTGCGTCTGCGTATACCCCGAGCAAGTATGATGTGGATTACGACGATGGAGGTGCTGCAGAACCTCCTCGACAGAGTGGGGGTAATCGCTCACGATGGTAGACTGTTATTTCGCTACGTTGTATCTTAATTGGAGTAATTTGGACATGCCTTGGTACAGAAGCAAAGGAAGAAAGATACAGGCCTTGATGGTTTGAGATATGTGCAGTTTGGTCTTTAGAGGCTTTCTCTAAACTTTGTCCCGCCTTGAAACGGTGGTGGCGATTTGGCTCGCTCGCCACGAGTCGAGACGGGGTGGTACTCGGGCCCATGATCAATCTGCGCCGATGATTGTCGTGGGTGTAGGTCGTCATGCGATTCTGCGTTGAACGGATCCTCATACGGTCTACCACCCCGCGCTTGCTGATGAGGGTCGAGCCGGATACCATCGTCGTCGTCTTCCGTGTACGAATGTGTTTGCACCCAACCTTTGTTCTTTTTCTTCCCAAACAGACCCTTGCCCTTGCCGAATCCAAATCCACCGCCTGACGCGCCACCAGGATAGTTTTTGTTGCGCTTGTAGCGTCTGTAGAGGAAAAATGCGGCCGTAGACGTGATGATGGCGAATAAACCGAGACCAATCACCAAGCCGAGAAAGCCTGGAACAACAGGGTCAGATTATCGTCAACGTCCAGAGTGTAACGTACCGCCAAAGGAGCCACCAACGGTTGGTTTTGGCTTTCCATGATTATATGCAGACGATGGACGCGTCGTTGGGTACTTTTGGACCTACTCAGCCTGTGCCGAATACTGCGCTAGGAATAGCAGACGCACCACAGACAGCGTCAGCGTTCCTCCATCGCCTCCTCCGCGTTTGACCAGCTCATTTCGCAGCGCTAGAGTGGGATCTCGCTCGTAGAGGCGCATCGCGGCTGACGACGTCGGGTTCAAAGTCTTGGTGGCCGAGACTCGACGGGCAGAGCTGTCGTTGTAGAGGGCGGAAGGGCGTCTACAGTATATATAGTACAGTTATTATCTGTATAATACTCATAAAGAGTGTTGTCAGCGTCGACCACAATCTTTGCACTCGTCCTCGACACACTTTTTGTCTTTCAACACCGAGTGATTGAACCTCGTATATTCAAATAGCTATTTCTTCTTCATGTCGACTCCTACTCGTTTATTCTGTGTCGCTCGGCGAGCAAAAACTTGGAATTCGCGCGTCACATCGCATTCGTCGGCTCGGAGCGCCCTGTTCGCCACAAATCAGCGTAGGAATATATCACAGTACAATGACCAGGGACCATATGATCCAGATGAGGACAAGACACCACGGCGAAGATACGTATTCGGTGGGGCGATAGTTATTGGTGTTCTAGCCGCAGTCGCGACATCTCTAGCTGGAAGAAAATCGAGGCTGGACCAAGTTCCAGCCGAATTCGAAAGTGCGCCTGCACCCCTTCTCGAGCAACGATCCAGCGGGGCCTCATATCTGACGTAGAGGATCCGGCAACTGACGTGCAATTTCCTACGACGCTACAGCTCCCGGGCACGCCACCACTGACATTGCTGGGGCTCGGCGTACGGACAGTGTCCATTCTCGGCCTCAAGGTGTATAGCGTTGGATTCTATGCAGATATTCAGCAACCCGGGTTTCAGGTCACTGTTCCTCTACCTCTTCACGTAAGATCTAACCCAGCCCAAACCAGCCTCGACTCGATGGCACACCGGAGGAGCAAATTGAGCACATTGTCCGCAACACCACTTGCGCGCTACGCATAGGTATGTGTGTATGCCTCTTTTTTCCCTCCTCCCTCCACATCTCACCTCTCCTGGATATGCATGGGTGCGTGTCCCAACACCCTAATGCTCCTCACTCCACCTTTGGTCCATTCTATCGATTTCAATTGGGAGAGTTATCTGCTATACTAAAGTCACATAACCTAGTTCCCGTTCGATCGACCTCACACACCCATTTGCGCGATGGATTTGTGCGTGCCGTCCAGTCTCGGATAACCCTAGCCCGGCAGCAAGGTCTCCTGACAACAGAACAAGAGGACGTACGTGATCATGTGCAAAAGGAAATTGCGCCCCCGGTGAACTAATCACGATTAATCTCAATGCCCAGGCTCTTCTCCAACCCGTTCAGACAATGAAGGGCCTGTTCCCAAACGTTTCGTTACCCAAGCACCAACCTCTGCATGTCGTGCTCACCTCGCCTAATCGGAATGGAACACGAACGCTTTACTTCCCCGAACTTGGGCGAGTTGACGACCCTTGGCTAGCGAATGAGTACGTTTAAGGAACAATGCTCCCCTCCACCCATCTTAGACATTTGCACTAGATTCTTCTTGGCGTACTTTGCCGGAAAAGGAATAAGTCCTGCCGTACGTTCATTGCCGTAAATACATTTGGCGCTGACAGCCTGGCAGATGAAGAAGTCGGTAGAGGACACTATCGAAAAGATTACAAGTCAAAGGTAGCCGGGGTCCTCCTCATCATTAACCTCTAGATCCAATTTGCTTTCTATTCGCATGTCAAATTTACATGTCAACGAGCGTGTGTGCTCTGTAATGAACGGATGAACAGGCCAACGGGTATCAAAAACCAAAAAAGTCCATGAATGTCCCAGTTGAAAACACGACAAAAATATCCTGTGTACCATGCCAGCAGGGGTTACGAATACCTTGGCGGCAGTTCACTGCCATTCGACGAGCGTGTTCTGCCCGTCGACGACCCTGCTCTCTGCGTGAGACGGGCCGCGACCAAGTCGGCCAGCGTTTCCAAATCGCGGGTCGAAAGAGGAGATGCTTCGCCACCGTTTGCAGGTTGTGCAGATAACGGAGAGTGATCTCCGTTTCTTATCGCCGCAATAGCGTCCGCCAGTCGTTCTCGCGGTGGCCACATTGCCTTGAGGGGGGTCGCCGTCTTTTCGTCTGGATTCTGACCTACTGAGAGTGTCACTGCTGACTGATCATCATCAAATGGCGATCTCATCGAACCAGTTCCCGAGTGCGTTTGGTCATAGATGGAAGACCGGTCTCGTATCATCGAGGGCGATGATTCTGTCATTTCTGTACCCGGACCCAATTGATCCAGCTCATCCGATGCAGACGGAGTTTCGCTTTCGGGCGCTGATGGAGTGGGAAGCGACTGGAGGGAAGCCGAGACGGGAGGTTGGGTTGCTTGACCTTTGGCGCGCTTCATTGTGGGCGCGCTAATGGGCGTGCGGCCTTCTTCCATGCCTTGAATATCCGTGTGTAGCGCATTGCCCGGTTGGGCAGCGGTCTGGCCGGTAAAGGTACTCCATCGAGATGTCTGACCGCTTCGGACGCTGCGTCGGTCCCCTGCAAGGTCACGTTGCTCATAGGGAACGACGAGAGCGCGTGGTGGCCGTGGGCGTCTTGATGCCAATATCCATCTCCATAGAAGGGGACACAGAATCGCTACTCCGACGATGCAACCCAAGACAATCCCGGCCACGGCACCAGGTGTCAGGGGCGACTTCCTGTGTGCATATTTAGACACGGTCATAACGGAAAGGATTGTAGGCATACCATCCTGTACTTGATGTCGACGAATCGGCCACGGATCCGTTTCCCTGTGAGATTCCGGTCAGTGAGAAAGAGCGACCAATGTCCGCTTGCCTACCACAAGACATGGACCATTCGCACCCGAAACAGGCAATGCTGTCACAAGTTTAGAGCACACTTCATGAAGGGTTTCGGTGATTCACACAGACCTTTGGAAAAGCTGGTGTTGTAGTAATCCGTGATATCTACAAGTAAATACTTGGGTGCAATGTTATTGAAGACTGTAATAGAATGTTGTGAAGTTGTCGAGTTCGAGACCCAGTTGGGGGGGGACAACCAACTTTGGTCCGAGTCGACGGCTGCGAGCTGAGCAAGGCTTTAGCGGAAAGAGGCAGTCTTGAGTATTGGCTACATACTCGGATGGTCCATGGGCCATTTCCACCTTCCCAAGAGACGGTAGCTGGTGCACAGTAGGTGATATCGGAGGTCTGCAAGGTCGCTATGACCGGCCTGTTGCCGGCGGATACGGTGTAGAGGTTTCCAGAGAGAGTGCTACTGTAAGTTGAAGGCGGTTCTGTAAGAATGGTAGGAAAGCTACTGCTAGAGCTGCTAGCGAATCTTGTGGATATAGTCCTAGTAACTGAGGCTGTAGACGTTGTATACGTAGTAGACGTAGTAGAAGATGAAGTCGTAGAAGTTATCGCAGACGAATCGGCAATATTGCCCGCACTCATCCCGCTGGAAAAGAGTGGTGGTGGTAGAGGCCAAGAAGTTTGAACGTAACCACGGCTGGCAAACCAATCTTGGTCGACGCGCATGAAGGCAAACATCTTATCCCCTGCAAATATCACTCGTCATGCTGTAGTGAGCTGCTCAAAACAGCGAGCAGCCATCGCGTCCTGTCGCCGAAGATTCACGACTCAGCCATACCGGCCCGGGACAGTGAAATCAACATCGTATGCACACGCAAAATTACTTGTTAGACACTCTAGAGTATGTCATTTCCTTCTTGCGACGCGCCGCGTCACGTTGGAAAAACTGTTCAACGTTTGTGCAACAGCGAGGCTTTCATTCGTCCGCGGCGGTGCGCAAAAACCCCTATGAAGTCTTGGGAGTTCAAAAGGACGCGTCGGCCAACGATATAAAAAAGGCGTACTTTCAGGTTTGTCCAGGTTTAGACACTGACTCGTCTGTTGCTGACTGGTATGAACCCATTAGCTTGCCAAAAAGTATCACCCCGACACGAACAAGGATCCAGCATCAAAGGAACGTTTTCTGGAGATTCAGACTGCTTACGAGGTCGGTACTTACTGTATGTCAAATGAGCCGTCTAACGCAACCCGATAGACCTTGAGCGATGAAAGTAAACGAAAGGCATACGATACTTATGGAGAAGCCTCTCAGCAACCAGGCTTTGGCGAGAACCCATTTGCGGGTGCCCAAAATCCGTTTACTGGTGGACCGTTTGACTTTGGAGGCGCACATGGTGGTGCTGGAAGGACTATGGGTGATATGCTGAACGACTTTTTTGGAATGTCCGGTCGGCGAGGGGACGACCTCGAAACGTCTGTGACCATTTCGTTTATGGAAGCGGCTCGGGGAACAGTCAAGACGGTCAACATTTCCGCGGTAGAAGATTGTGGAACTTGCTCTGGTTCCGGGTTGAAGCAGGGTACAAGGCGGTCGCAATGTCCTCGATGCAAGGGCACCGGTCAACAGGCATTTGTCCTCAACTCTGGCTTCCAGATGAGAAGCGCATGTCCAGCTTGTAACGGTTCTGGATCGACAATCCCGCGAGGATCAGAATGCAGGGACTGTGGAGGCGTTGGAAAAGTGAAACACAGGAAGCAGGTCGAAGTAAACGTTCCCGCAGGTATGTAAACCGGTTTCGGACGGATACACCCGGGTGGAGCCAACCTCCAACGAGATTAGCTCGATTTCTCGCAAGCTTATCTCTTGCACTAAGCAAGAAATGACGGGTGTCATATTGCTCCCCACATGCCCACGCCCATTCATCCCCACGTCTCAATATCCGTGTATTTCATATCGCTGACAGCCGTTATTGAACAGGGATTGAGGATGGCATGACGATCCGTGTCGCAGGCGAAGGAGACGCGGCAATGTCGCAAGGGGGGCGCCCTGGGGATCTTTTAGTCCGCATCAACGTTACATCTTCACCTCATTTCCGACGTCAAGGTGCTCATCTCTATCACGACGTATCGATTCCGCTTCAAACGGCGGTCTTGGGCGGCCAAGTGCGCGTCCCGACCCTCGATGGGGATATACATCTCCGCGTCGCACCCGGCACCCAGCCTGGAGATGATGTTGTGCTTAGGGGGCGCGGAATGCCTGCCGTAATGGAGCGAGGCAAGGGGGACCTGTTTGTTTCGTTCCGTGTTCAGATACCTCGGTCAGTCACCTGCTCCTTTTCGTCCCTTGATACCTTTCTTCCTTGTTTTGCCTGCGGCTTCCTGGTTCGAGGAGGACCTGCCTCGTTTCCTATCCGCCTCCAGCGAGTGGCTGGTCTAAAAAATAATAACCTGGATTCGCCACGCGGCACCGAAACACCAGGCTCATACCATCGGTGTGGCAGCTCGCCGCGACCGTTTGGCTTTTTTTCCTGAGAGCCCGTGATCAGCTCGCGAAGATAACTTTATTTCGGCCTCATTAGCTGGGACTTAACTTTCAGGCTACGCCGCTCCTTACGCCACCGTCCATCTCCCGTTTCTGTTCCTGTTTGTTTTTTTTTCTGGAAACTGACACAACTTTCGGGCCGGTTGCAGATCGCTTACTGCTCGTCAACGGGAGTTATTCCAACAGTATGCAGACGACGTAGAGGGAAAGTCAACGAAGTCGAGTGAACAGACGACCGGTTCAGGATCGTCCAAAACAACGAGCGCCTCTTCGAGCCCGTCACGCGGAGCGGACGGCGGCTCGACTCGGCAGGAGAGATCAGGCGCCACGCCGAAAGAAAACGATGATGGGAGCGGTAGCAGTAAGAAGGGCAACGGTGCGTTGTTTTGAAATTCCCTATGGCTCCGTCTCTCTCTTCCTTTCTGCCCATTTTCTCTTGCACGCGAGGAGGAATGGCGGGCGGAGGAGGGAGGGGTGCTCCTCTCGACGTCGATTCTGACGGCATCTTGCCCCTATATTGGCTGGTGTTATGTTCAGACGACGGAGGAGGAATCTTGTCAAATGCTTGGACGAGGCTGAAGGATATTCTTGGCTTGCAATGATCGAACTCATATTACGACGGTATCTACGCCTAATTTACGACAAATTATTAATGGACAACTCAATCCCCACTCTTCGGAATCACGTTCACCCCTCTTTGCTCATTTGGACTAAACGGGTCGTTGGATGGCGGGGGTCGTGGCGGGGTACGACCTAATTGACCTTGACGGACATTGGACACCTGTGGGTTGTCATCACACTCGCACATCTGTATGTGTGTGTGCGGGGGCGATACGAATCTGTGTGCGCGCTTGTTGGATGGGTCGGGTGACTTGGGAATGTGGACCCGGCTGGTTGGTGGTGGCTAACGCACCCGATCGCTGTCTGCGACATTTTTTTTGCTCAACGGGTCGACACATTCATTTCGTTTGAATGCATCGAATTGCTGGGCTGTGCAATATCCTTGGCCTGGCCTGCTGGCTCGACCGGTTCGACAATCATGCTGGTTGGATGATGTGTTTATGCGTTCCAATTTGGCGCACAAAACGGTCATCTGCCCTTGGGTCCTGATGGCGTACTCGGGGTTTGCACCTGGGCGTCGGACTGGCATGAAATTATGCCGTATAGATAACCCCCCAACCTGATCATCTACTCGGTCCGTTGATGATTGCTGCGATTTGTTATCACCGGTGGGACCGGACGACGACCTCTGCCGAACTCGGATCTTGGCTGCTCCTCTGCAGAGGCCAGCAAGAATGTAGCATAGGGAGTAATAGACGAATATCACTTCTAGACGCCCGTCCTCGTACGTGTTAGTCTCCGCGTGCTTGTCCTGGGCACACACCCGAAGCGGGCTCGTCTGGATCGCGTTGGAATGTTTGGAGTGCGTCATTCGCATCGTCAGCCACCAGCATACCATTCGAATTGTGGTCCTCGAGGGGGAGGCGACTGTCGAAACGCTTTCCAAACTTGGCTAGGCCCGCGCAGTTGGCGGGCCCTTGATACGTAAATGAAGAGGAAAACATTGAGAAGATAGAAAAGCATTACGCGTGCAGAAGAGACAGGGCGGATTTGGATATGGGAAGCGGAGAGGGGAAAACAGAAAATATAAATAATAAAATAATTATAATTATTGTTTTTCCTGTTTCGAGAAAAAAGGCTAAATGGTGGAGTGTGCCGTTAAAAGCCTCTAACGGCCGCTAGGACACTAAATAAGATAGCCTAGTCGCCAAAGGATCTGTCCCAAATTCCCCCCCCGTCCGCGTCTGTCTTCCAAGCGTCGTCCCATCCTTGGTCTCGTTCTCAACTCGTCCTTTCTCCAGTTGGCGTTGCTCGTCGTTCAAGACGCTGTCAAAGACGAGCCTGCGCGTCCAAGCCACCCGTCACCTGCTTCCTGTTCTCCCCCGCGTCCGCCAGGTCGCAACAACGCGCCGTTTGACGCCCAGAACGCTTCATTCTCGTGTCTCGAACTTGATCATGACGTCTCCTCAAGACCAACGATCCGAATTGCCATCGTCTTTGCCACCGACAGCCTCGCCAGTCTCAAACGCGTCGACGATGCTCCCGCAAGACGATTCCACACTTCACAGCACGACGACGACGCGTGCAAACTGTTCGTCTTTGTCGTCTACACCTCCCTGCTCGTTTCTAACACGCGTCTCTGTACGCTCCCTTTCAGCTCCCATCTCACTCAAGGCGCCTCAAGCGACAAAGACAAGGGGAAAGATGGTCGGTGCAAGCTCGGAGACGCTCGAGACACCACTCCCTTTCCGAACAACGCTCTGCATCGTGATCGCGTACGGCCCCGGTTCACTCCCCTTTGATTTACATTTCTGACACGTGTCCTTTCGTATTCTAGATTGATGGTCAATCAGTTTCTGGCTACCAGCGACGCGGTCCGTGTTCGTTCCCGCACAGCTCGCATGCCACTGACCGCTGTCCCCAGACGATTGTATCGACGAGTTTACCTACAATTGTCGCCGAGCTCCACGGGTCGCAGAATGAATACGCATGGGTTCCGGTTGCATATCTACTCACGCAGACGGCATTTCAGCCTCTATATGGCAAGCTTGCCGATATATTTGGGAGAAGGGTGAGCAGCATCCTGTGCATCTATACTCGTGACTGACCACCTGATTGATGATAATTCCAACGATGACGACGCTGTAGCCGGTCATCTATGCCAGCACGATCATCTTCCTCATTGGGTCTGCCCTGTGCGGCGCTGCGCAGGTGAGTTGCTCCCTGAGTTGTAGTAGATCTGGATCTCTGACTGTGACCCCCGGCCATCACCATTCATCTGTTCGCCTCGTTCCTATCGCCAGAGCATGCGCTTCCTTATTCTCTCCCGCGCGCTCTCCGGCATTGGAGGCGGTGGCATCGTCAATAGCGTCTGGGTACTAACCACAGACATTGTCCCACCAGGCACCCATGCCAAGTGGTCTCAAGCCCTCAGTGTTACCTGGAGTGCTTCTGCGGTTGCTGGTCCAATCCTCGGTGGCCTGTTCACAGGTGAGCTCCTTCTCTCCCGTTTCGGCATCCTCCTCCATTCTACATTCGCTTTATCTACACATTTGTCGCGCTCCCGTTGTGCGCTGGCCCCGACCTGCCACTCAAGTGAGCTGCGGGAGCGGTTGATGGGAACCATCTTCTCCTTCCCTTGACATTCTCTTGAATGCCGTCAATAACTGTCATATACTGACGCCCGTCTTTGCATCCGTCAACTTCCTCTCCGTTGCACGCGAACTCGGCTCGCTCAAACATCACTCCTTTTGACTCTTTTGGGGGACCTATTGCCTGCTGCATCACACCGACAACTGTATTTGCCCATGGCTCGCTCGACCAATACGTGCCCTGGGCTTGTCTTCCGACCTCACTACTCGGGTTTCTGCCCGACCGCACCTCCCTTGACCACCTTCCATTTCCGTCCAAATCACGGCGCCTGCCTTTGGCAACTATCATCGTCAAAACTAACCCGCCCCGGGTTTCCGTTGTTTCGGCCAACAATTATCGGTTCAATCAATGGCCCTCGCCTCCCCTTTATTTTGATGGATGATACGAATTGGATATTATGCCTATGCCCTGTATGATCTATCAGGCAAGGTCTCGTGGCGATGGGCTTGTGAGTGTCCATCGCACCTCGTACAGTCATCGACTGGGCTGACTCTCGAGCCCTCTGAACAGTCTTTATCAATATCCCAATCGGTCTTGCAGCTCTTACGGTTGCATGGTACTTTCTTCGACAAATTCAGCTCGTTCGCAGACTTCCAGATGGTTCAGAAGACACTCGGACAAGACGCGAAGTGTTCAAGCAGGCATATCGCACCTTTGACTACATTGGGCTGTGAGTTGCAAATCTCGAACCCTATCCGGATCTCATTGGCGTCGACTCTCAGGTTCCTTTTGATGGGCGGAACGTCCGTGCTCGTTATCGGCTTTTCCTTTGCGGGCTACAACAGTTGGACGTCTCCACGCACGCTTGGACTCCTCATATCCGGTGGAATTTCTCTCATCCTTGCAGGCGTCTACGAGTCGTACTTGAGTACGACCGAGTACGCGCATGAAGCATTGATCCCATCGGGCATTTTCAAGCAACTCACCGTCGTCAGCACGCTTGCAATCTCCATCTTGCACAATTTTGCATTCACAGCAGGCACATACTACATTCCGCTCTACTATCAGGCGTTGCATGGAACCAGCCCTCTCGTCGCCGGCATGCAAGTCCTCCCCTTCTCGCTTGGTGCCGCCCTCGTGACGATACCGACGGCTTGGCTAATCAGCTGGAGGAAAGGTCAGCACTGGATTGACCGAACGCTTAAACTGGCCATGGTCACGGGCTTGTTACTCAGCGTCATTGGGTATGGTGAGTCAATTCCGTCCTTGCCCCCGCTCCCGTGATTGTTTCGTGTATCTTCCGCTTCGGATGAGGCGGTCACCCCCACATCCCATTGTGTGTCGAATATTCTTTCCACCCGAAATCAGGCTATCGGCCCGCCTCGTCGGATTGGCAACTCACACTCGATGTGTATACGACGAGGTGTTGGGGTGATTTCGTCTAGCTTGTGCGGCAGATAGCCGTTCTGGCAACTCTGGCCTACCTCCCACCCAGCCACTATCCATATCCGTCCAATCGCCAATCCCTGCGTCTCAGTGTGCTCCCATGACACCTTTCACGGGTTCATGCGCCCCATTGACTCCATCTTGTCGTCATCGCTTGCCTCCTCTCTCGTCGTCTCCCATTCACCACTAGCCAACCCCACCACTACTTAATTCGTATCTATAAACCAGCCGGTGCGGATTGGGATCTCCATATCCAGTGCAGTTCGCTCCAACTTGTGGAGTTGAATGGACTTGCGGTCCATGGATTATATTGCGGGGTCTGCTCGTCCTCCTCGCTACCCTTTTCATTATCCTCTTTGCACATCCCTATACTTTTCACAGGAAAACAACTATCCCCCATCAGCATTCGCCAATTTGATCGAAGTGAAACAGCCAAGCGCTCGTCACCGTTTGCACGTTTACTGTCGAATCTCGGCCATCTTATCACGACCCGTCCAACGGATCTGGTCTCTCGTGATTGAGATTGGAGCGCGCGCAAATACGCTGCCACAAACGCCAGTACGCTGGCTATGCATCCCCTTGCCCCCCTCCATGGCCTAGGCGGGTGAGATAACTCATTACTGTCATTATATGATAACCTCTGCTCTGTTATCTCGACATGCTAGCGATACATCCACCCCCTGGCTGTCTTTCGGTGTTCCAAATCTCCGACGATCTCGCTCCGGGTGGATTTGGGTTGCCCCTCTCTCTGATTCTGACCACCGTTTCCTCTGGTTCATTGGCTTTTGTCCTTTTTGGTCCTTGCGCTCTACCCTTCTATTTGATTTCGTTCTTGAAATGTCGAGCTGACAATCATCTTTCATTTGTCCCTCGCGACATGTCACAGGTCTCATGATCACCCTCAACGAACGCTCTGGCATTGTGATACAGGAGGTCTACCCACTCATAGCCGGTGTCGGGATCGGCATCCTCTTCCATACGCCCTTCCAGGTTGTCACGAACTCACTCCCGAGACGAGACCTGGCACAGGCAACGGGAGCATTCTTCCTCGTTCGTTTCATTGGGACGACCACGGGACTGGTGAGTTGGCCTGTCTGGCTTGAAGAGGACGTATTTGCTGACCGTCTGACGATTTTAGTCCGTCGCTGGTGCGGTCTTTGACAGCAACTGGGTTGCGCGTAAACCAGAGGCGTACCTCTCACTGTCCGAGAACCCGCTTCACATCGACCTTCGCTCGCTCGTGCATATTCAACCCGTCGAGCTGCGCCAGCAAGTCTTGAGTGCAATCTCGGCATCTGTTTCCGTGCGTTACAGCTCGCTGTTCGGTCGCCGTTTGCTAATAGTCTTCCCGTCATCCAGTGCGTATGGATCGCATGCACACCCTGCCTTGGCGTAGCGCTGCTGGTGCGTAATCCTCCCGCTGAGCCCTAAGCGTTGCGGGCTCACCTGTCATCTCAGATATCCCTCTTCCTCCGTGTCAGACATCACGCATCCCACACCAAACCAGGCACTAGTGGCTCCACAAGCGACCCAGAGAAAGGCATCGAGGAAAAGGAGATCACTATCGCTAGCTGTTCTGCCTCCACGACCGGTAGCGATGAAAAGGCAACTCTTTCCATGAATGACACAAAAGCGATTCGTATCTCAACAGACGGCGGCTCGATTCGCGTCTCCGTCGACGCCAAATCGCTACGGATTTCCGTCGATGGCAAGCGAAAACGCATGTCCATGGATGAGGACAAGTGCCGACGTATATCTCACGATGACACTAAACGAGCCTCTCTTTCGCTGAGAGAAGAGGACGAAGAGGACACCAAGTCGACTGTGTCCGACGGCACCTCTACGACGCTCCAAGATGGTTCGTCTCAACCACCAGAAGCGCATATGCTGGTCCTCCCCATCAACGCCTCACACGCTAGCCTTGATTCGGCACCCTGTTCGACCAGCCAACGGATACCAGAAGCATAATCTCAAATCAGAATGTACACACCAACTCACTTGGTGCCTATCTGTGGCCCATCACCACATCAACCACCCTCCGACGTCTATCTACAACCATCATCACTATGGCCCCACTGATTATACCATATCATATCAATCACGTCTTGCAAATGACCGACTTCAAGGATTCGCCCTGGCTTTCCCACGTACACACGTACTCAACGCATTCACGATAATCGGATGCCTTTCCCCCTCTCGCACATTCTCGCGGACGATATAGGCAAACTCATCTAGCTCACGTATCCATTTCGACAACACCGATTCATGTCTTCTTTATCCTTTGCCCATCCCAAGACGGTGTGATTGATTCTTGTCCCCAAAACGTCTTGAGCATGCGCCGTCTGTATTCTCCCCGCCATGCATCACCCCCCAAACCATCCGCTCTCGCGTAACCTCTCGTAATCCATGTCTCCTCCGCTATACATATCGTATAATGGCCTTTGCGCAGTCGCCGCTACGACTCTCCATCACTGTCTCCTCAGGGACGCATTCTGCGGCTCTCAGTCTAGTTGACTAGAACAGTTTTCTCCCTCTGGGATTATGGTGCCGAGCTAGGTGGTTACGACGCCTGATTGCTTTTCGCTAGCCCGTCCTCGTATAATCCCCTGTCTCTCTTGGATCGCCGCGTCATGGTTGCACGGCAGATTCACCAATTCGCTACATCTGTTTCGTTGACTAATAGCAATCTCGTCTGACCTCTTGTGCATCGTCTTGGCTCATAGGCCACGTGAGGGTTAGAAGGAACCAGGGATTTTAATCAAATCCATTAGCATGGTTCGCGTGTATCAAGTTGTCTCGTGTAGGTTATCGGCCTGAATGAATACGCGGACCCACTTATCCTCGCGGTCGATACGGGTCGTTTTCCCGGGACGGCGCATTGTCCGCGCGGACAAACTTGCTAAATCGGTGTTGGTAGCGAGCTTTTTGAGCCGCTTTGTTTTAGTGCCTGTTTTTCGACACCTGATGACGGTCAGCTCGCCGTCTGACAGTCGATCACACATATCCGTGTGTTCATTCCAATGAGCACGAGACTACTCACGACGTTGTTTTTTCTTGCCTTGACCCGGTTTTCCCGGTGGACCAGGAACTCCCTTGAGCCTCGCGCTCGATGAAGGCCCATCCGCGGTCGGGACAGTGAATCTAGCGGCGCCACTGCCACCAGGGATCTGTCCTCCTCCACCAGAAGTAGTCGAACCCAACGGGCCGGTGACTAGTGAGCTCCTTGCGTCGGGGCCCAACGTCGTCGAACGCGTTCCAGCACCGATGCCTGCGCGTGCATCGTCCCCCAAACCCGTCGTCGGTGCGCCTGTTGTTGACAAAGGACCAATCCCGCCGGCACCTGCTGCCGCGGCAAAGCTTGAACCCGAACCAGACGCCCCAACGAGCTGCTGCTGTTGTTCAGCAGCTTGTATTGCGGCATGTCGCTTCTTTTCCATATCGAAGCGTAGAGACTGCAACGCAACCGCGAATGGATCCCATATCTGGTTCATCTCGTTTTCTTCTTCGGTCGTTCCAGCACCTTCGTTCCCATGTGCTCCAGCTCCATCTCGTTTAGTGCCCATCTGTGAAGGGTCGTGCCCTTTGATGGGTTGGCTGCCCCCACTTATGTCCATCGGAGTGCCTGGCACGAGGGAGCCCTGCCGTGCTGGCTGTTGGGCCTTGCTCGTCCCAGTCTTATTCGTGGGCTCGTCGATAATTGGCCAAACGTGGCCTATTCGAGGGGTATAGTCTGGCCGAGCGGCTCGTAAGATGTCGAGCGAGCCCTGAATCATATTGAGTGCATTCGTCTAAAATATTAGCCATTAGTGTGATTACATTATCATTGGCACACCAATTTCGTCGATAGTAACGTGTAAAGGTCAGGCCCAGAGTACAGGACATTGTTCAAGATAAAGTAGACGGCTGTTGGGCGAACTAGAAGCGCAGATTAGTACCAAGCGTATCCAAATTCACAAAGTGTTACCTTCTGTCGGAGATAGGCGATGGCGTTGTTGAATCACGAAAAGAGGAGGCTGGGCGTGAACGAGGGCGTATTCCATGCCCGTAAATTGCCTACACGTTCATTAGATACATCTCCACATCAAAAATAAAGACCAACTTGAGCTCGTTTTCCGTCTCGATTCTGCTCATTCGTGAATTTGGGTCCGCGTGTTGCGTTTGCATGCGCAATACATTATTGTTGCTGCTTCTGTCAAACAAAAATGATTCTTCAAAGTACTCCATCACGTTTTCTTCCGTCAGCGGTCCTCTGACCTATTGCTTGAAATGTGAGTAGCGCTCGCCGGGCCGTGTCTTGCTCGACGTGCCTGCAAGTATTCTTGGAACATCCATGTCTTCCAACTGTGATCATCCTTGGGGTAAAACTCGCTGTCGGTGGCCATAATGACGAGTACCTTGTGGAGGTCGGAGCCAAGTTGGACGCCACAATCTTTCGTAATCTTTAAAGCCAACCTAGAGCAGTGATGAGGAGTCGGGTCCCAGTTATATGGCCCTAGGTCGATGTCTAATCCAGGGTGTGACTTTGGTCGAGGCTATAGGCCATTTGGAGCACAGTCCGCAGGTAATCAGGCATACTTTGGTCACTCTTAGTTTCATTAACAACACTTTGTTTGATTTGGTCGACTCTTGGTCGCACCTCCTCTCTAAACGATGTCGATCCTGGTTCTGTCCGAATGTCCTGTGATATTACACTTCACAGTAATGTGCACTTCCTGTTGCCTTTGGTTGCACCCAAAGGATCCAATGATTGCGTTGGATCACATTGCACACATGTGTATCATCAAAAGGTAAAAGGTGAACAAACACCATGTGGATTGCCACCCTGACTGAATAGTAGTTAACTCGAGGTATTTGATAATTCGCTTTGATATGGTTTCAGTCGTGAGTATCCCCAAACTCGTTCAAAGAAACAGCGGTAGGAACCGCAAGTTTGAGCGACAAAAAAAGGTCACGGACAGATGAAATAACGACGCCTAGAATTGTATTTGTGGCTGTCGCTAGCCTGATTCTGGACCGACAACGTGGGCTCAAGATGACAGCCAGAGTTATGGCCAACTGTTAGCTCGATATCTTGAATGGAAATCCACTGACCTGGATCTGTTATGCGACGAAACCGCCCATATTCTAACGAGTGTTTGGGGAAACCGGATCTTCCAGCGACTGTGGCCCGCCGACGGAGAACTGAGATGGCGCCACAATCACGTACTGTACTGGCGCTCGTCCACTGTGCTGGTAGGATGCAAGCAAGATCAGCGCTGGAAACTCACACCTCTAGAGTCTGACAACTAGCCATTGAGTATACTCTGACAAAACCGATCCCGTGGGCCGAGCGTCAACAGCTCACGTGCACAGAGGTTGTCATTTCGGGCTGGCTTCAGTAACCGATTTGAGTGTCGCCGCTCTCAGGGGAGCGAACAGCAGGCGAGCTATCCAAAGTCCGCGGCTCAGCTTAATTACTAGCACAATAACTCCAATGGGATAAATTATTTAGGCGGGGTTTTTTTAATTTTATTCTATCAACACTTGCCACCAGCCTCCACCTTGATCCAAACCATAATGGCACTCCCGAGACTCGGCGCCCATCTGCGGCTGGTTTCCCAAACCTCACAAGCGACTAGACTGCTTCCGACTCTTCGAATGAGCGCCCGTGGTCTACGAATGCCCCCTCGGCGGTTCGCCGTCTCTTTGGCGGCTGAGCCATTGTCGTCTGAGACGCATGCGGTTCGAGTGAGAGCTCCGACCGTCAAGGACTTGCAAGACCTCGATCTCGACCCCGAAGCGCTCCCACAAACCGACGAAGCCGCGTTGGACATTACACCGCGCGCTGCAGAGGTAGGTAGAAGCCACTTTAAACCCCATATAAGCACCTTATTATCCCGTTTTACATTGGGATATCTTCTTTCAAATGTCGAATATCCTTCTATTGATGCACCCTGACAAATCGTTCGCTTCCGGCGACTTTGCAGCAACTTCGAAGCATTTCAATGCGAGAAAACGACAAGGACATCGCGCTCCGTGTGTCTGTAGAGTCCGGAGGATGCCATGGTTATCAATACAAGATGGAACTCACATCAAAACAAGAACCCGACGACTAGTGAGTTGATCATGGTCACCTCAATCTCATTTTCAATGACATTCTATATAGCGTCTTTCGACACCCCAGTCTCATGCCATCAAACGTGGTCATCGACGCCGTATCAATGGGGCTCCTCAAGGGCGCCACTTTGGATTTTGCGACCGAACTTATTGGTTCCAGTTTTCGAGTGGTCGATAACCCACAAGCGAAAGGTTCGGGATGTGGTTGCGGTGTCAGTTGGGAGGCCAAGGATTGATTGTCCGTCGCGTTACTAACTTATCAATCTGTATACATATCATTCACCCCTCGATATCTTACAGGTGCTGAGAACTGGGCGGTGTGACAGCGCAACGGAGGTTTATGGAAACACAAATACAGTGGGCTAATGAAACATATGAGGTGACCAAGATGATAGAGTCTAAGGTAATTGTCCGGAAGATGAAGAGGAGTTTCTGTAACGAAAAAAAGGTCCGAATAAGGGGGGAAGGCTGTTGGTGACCGAGATGAAAACAAAATGAAATATCCCGAATAAAGGAAACGGAAATCAAGAATGGCGCGGTTTCGTCTTTTTGGAGAGGCCGCTAAAGCCCTCTCGGACGACGACCCAGAGCACGGTCGAGCACACAATGTCCTTGATCTCCTCGGCGGTGAGAATATGCTTCCCAACAGGCTGCGTTTCCGGCGCGCCTGGCAGACCCTCTCGAGGGAGGATGACTGCGTCGAGCAAGTCGACATCGGGAAGAGGGTATTGCATCTTGAGCTGTGCAACGACTTTTGGATGATGGGGTGCAGGTGCGAGCGACGCTACTTTGAAACGGAGAGGTGTACCTCGAGACTTTGCTCGAGTTGCTGTGGGCGGTAGCGGTGCTGATGGAGAGGTCGAGCCAGACGTTTTGCCTGGTCGAATCACGACGGTGCAAACCCAGGGAACTTCAGAGTCCTCTGGATCAGAATCGTCTTCTAGATCGGACATTCCAGACATTCTCGTCATGGAAGCGCTCCCACTCGATCCTTTGCGTCGCCCAAAGAGTGGCGACGGCGGAATAGCCAAGTTGAAACTAGATCGGCCTCGCAGTTCCTCTGTGCTCGAGGACTGGACGGAAGGCACTGGGGGAACTTCGAGGTCCTCTGCCTGTAGGTTGGCCAACGAGGCCTGCCTCGATGGACCGCCGTCGCGTTTGTTGGTCGCTCTCGCCCATTCGATGCGAATATCTACCCCACATCTATCTTGGCTCGTAATATTGAGTGCTTGTGTGAGCCAATTCTCATCTCCCTCTTTGCACCATTTCTTGCACAACCAGGTATGCGAGATGGCTCGGCCCACGGGTGGCAACGTCCGAGAAAGGAGCGTCGGGACCGTGCCAAGCACGGGAGCAAGCGCAAATTGAGGATGATAGTCGGGCGAGGTTGGTGTCGGCGGGGGTTCGGGGGCAGTAGTCTGCTGTTGCTGCTGTTGCTTGCTGAACAGCTTGCCCAGGAACCGTCTCGTGGCCTGTGGTGATGGTATGGATTCGCTGGTATTATCCGTTAGGAGCGAGGGTACGTCAATGAAGCTGGAATTTCGAGTGGCAGAGGGCAGATCCTCGGCGGCTAATGACGACCCGCTACTCCAAGTTTCCACTGGAGCGAACACACCAACAGAGACGATTTCGATACCATGCTTATGAAACTTGGCAATCTTGTCATCCGTTCCAGCGTCACAGATTACATTTGCAAGGAGGCCATGCGAGTGGGTGTGCAAGTTGTAAAGAGGAACAATACGTCCATTTCGACTCGAAGATTTGCTACTAGATGACTCCGAGTCTGATGATGAGCTTGCCTTTCGGCGTTGGCCTTCCGCTCCAGGCGGGATGTATTGGATCTGGAGATTGAGCGGATGATGCTGTGAGACTGTTGGAGGAGGCTTTACAATCACAAATGACTATGAAAATCCATGGTGAGCAGGCTTAAACGTCGACTGTTTCGGGCGCTGACCTCGGTTGCACTTGGTCGAAACCGACGGCTCTGCTTCGTCTTGAGAGTGAGAGGCATTGTTGCTGCATCTACAGCTGTCATAATTGCATCCAAAGGCTGTACAAGGAGAGAAGGGAGGCGCCCGAGGGGCAGGAAGATGTAGTCGGGAGCAAGGTGTACTTTGGACACCGACTCTATATGTGGCCGTGGACTAAATGAGGACAACGACGACGACGACGACAAGTCTGCCGAAACAAGCGCAGTACACATGATTACAATGCCTTCTCCAGTCATCATTTATCATCAATCACTAGACGACGGCAATGAGAAGCGAACGACATTGTTCCCAAGTACACGTATACACGGAACAACAGCATTGCTTTCGCTGCGGAAATATAACTCGTACTGTGATCTCTGCGGGTTGTCGTCGTCCCAAGCCCTTGCTGTGTTCGGGGACGGAAGGGCGGGCGCGCCGTGATATACAACAAGTACCTACCGCAGGAGTTTACGAAAAAAGTCCGTTTCTTCTTCTAACAAAGTAATCTCTAGCGGAGCACCGCAGCCAACCTTGACATGGCCTTCCGCTTTGATTGAATGTCCGTTTCGCAGACAGGGGGGTCTGGCCCTAGTGCTGATTGGTATGGTCCGTCTACTCTTAGAGCTATGAATGCGGCGCACGACAGTATGCAAGGTGTCTAGCCAGTCGGTACGGAGGCATCAAAGCCACGGCCGAATGAAATGCCTTTGCATTGTCAAGGTGAATGAACACCGTACCAGGCTCCGAATGTCTCACTCTTCTTTCCACAGATTGCGAGCGCCTCGGAAGCGAAAAGCTTTACGACAGTTTTGGATGGGTGAACGACCCTCGGCGATTTCTCCTCTACGGGAAAAAAGATTCAGACATCTGCCAAAGGATCGACGTTCATCACACAATTCCCACCATGGGGACCCGCGGGTGCAATCCTCGGGTCAAGGTACCATACTCATTGAAAACCTCGGGGATGACTACAATACCTGGGAAAGAGTTAAATTTTTGGGCTTTCTGCTACCTACGCGACAGGTACACGGCTCGTTACCGAACTCGACGGAGGGAACTGTCAGTGGGGTGTAAGCGGGCGACGGCAACGTCTGGGTACCTGGAAAGGCTGCATGTATCGTTTCATTATCGCCAATCGTATTTCGAACCTCTCTGGATTTTCCAGGATTCAGTTTAAGAGTGAAATGCGCGCCTTCTAGTGAGACTGAATTGGGCTGCTTCTCCGACACCAAATGGCAAATGGCGGTCGACGCTTTGGCAAAGAAGAAGGCCAACTTGCAAATGGTTTGCAAAAGTCTGGATTCTGTATGCCCCGCTAGACGACGCCGTCCGAGTGAAGCCGCCTGCCACTTCTTGGACCCGCCCACTTCGTTTACTTGTACGTCCCGCGCCCCTCTTGTCCAAGCGCACAGCGGCGAGCCTCTCGATTCTTGCAGACTAAAGCAGAGTTTACAGGCCTCGATTCGCTTCGTCTATCGACTCTTACGACCGCGACAACGGCACGAACAAAGGGCCTTTTGACGCAGCGGACACACCCCCTAGAGGTTTCTACTGCCACTTTATCCACTTTATTCTCTTGTTTTCACCTTGTACCGCCATGGCTTATTCTCGCTTCACGCTCCCATCGCTTACGACGTCGATCCCCCCGACGAGCTCGAGTTCGTCTTCAAGCTCGCCGTTGACGCCTCTTTCGGAACTAAACTTACTCTCCAACACCCCCAGTGGGATTCTCACTCCGAACACGAGCCTCGATGTTCGCAAGTCGACGAGCGGCTACATCACCTACCCCGAACCATCGTTCCCGCCCCGTCAGCTCACGCCGCCTCCAAAGAGTCGCTTCGTCCCTCTGTTCGAAAGCATCTCTAAATCGACCGAGACCGAGTATGATTTCTCCCGGCGGGGCTCACTCGGCGACGATGAGGCCTCGCCCGCTCATGGTGCCCATAGCTTGCCTTTTTCCCCAGTCATCTCCAAGCAGACGCGAAAGAACCTCTCGTTGACGGTCGTCTCTTCTTCCGTTGAGCCCGCCCTCAAGTCGGCCCCCCTCACGTCGAGCTTTAGTGGATCTCTCTGGGGCTGCCACTCCGGCAAGTCTGCGTCGCTGAACGAGAGCCTCCATGAGGCGATCCGCACCCTTCAGCATCAGCTCAACGCGACCACGCAGCGTCTTCGTTCCGCAGATGCGGAGGTGGCTCGCCTGACGGGTGCCTACCAGCAATCTCTAGAGGACAAGGAGAAGCTCCTTTTCAATTACTCTAGAGCTCAGAAGCGTGTTGAAGAGTTAGAGGTCTTGCTCAAGGGCGAGCTCCCCCATTACCGTCATCCGACGTCCCTGGACATGCGAGGACCCATCAACTGGACACCATATCAATCCACAAGCCTCACGGCAAAGGAAAATAAAGGCTTGACGTGGCAGGAGGAACTCACGCGCAAGGTATCACCCGAACAGCGACGCAACGAAGGCCATTGCGAACCCAGCGAGGACACTACCGCAGAGACGGCAGCTACTGTCGAACCCGTAACCGAGGAAGCATACAAGACTGTCCTCACAAAGATTCCAGAGATGCCCTCCGAGGTCATTATCTCAACCTTGGCCCCCGCCTTTCTCGCATCTGGATTTAATTGGAACAACTGGCTCGAATCAAATGGCTTGGAGCTTCCACGGAGTGCAAGGCTCCTCTCGAACATGAACTGGGACGAACGTCTGAGCCTCGACTCAGCCAAACTTGGGGAGGTCGGCGTAACGAATGAAAACGACAAGTCCTACATCATGCGTATCCTCAAGGCGATTGCAGAGGGAGAGGTTTGTTCTCAGCCCTCTCGTGGTCGCGCCTAACCCTTTCATAGGAACCTCATCTCCATTCGTCTCTCCGAGGTGCTGGATTCACTCCGGATCACTATGTCGCCATCATGCGGGAACAACGAATTGACAAGCACGTGCCCAACCTTTCTGGGATTCCATGGCCATTGCGTCTCTTTGTCGACGAGGAGGACTTGATGACGCTCCAAGTTCAGAAGGCAGGCGCTCGAGGAACGATCATCACTGTCTTTGGAGGGTTGAGAAAGGGAGGGCCACGCCCCGATCCTCGTCCCAGGCGTGGAACGAAAAAGTCCAAGCGCACCAGATCTGACCACGTTCTTGCTACCTTGGAGATCAACACGGCGGGAGACAAGTCCTCTGGAAATAGGTTCATCGGAGACAAATCCCGCGCTCAGCCTATAAAGTTTGGCATGGGCCGTCCCACCGCGCATATGGCAGGATCCCTTGACAAGAACACTCCGACCCATCGAAGCGCTGCTAGCAATAGCAGCTCCTCTTCTTGGTTCGGACCGCGAATGTAATCGCACTCTTACGACCAAACTCACCTTTGCACCATCCTCTCACGACGTTTTCGGCTAATAGGTCTCAAACCTTGGCCTATCATACCCTATCATCCTTATAGTCATCTCGGCGTGTGTGCAGCTACACTCGACGCCGGCTTACCACTGTCTTTACCACTGTCGTTTCTTTTCAATCGTTTTCACCGTTCAAGGTCTCACCTCAAGACACACTCTTTTCTCGTCTCACGTTTTCATTTGGCAATCCAACTTTGTCGACCATGGGCCAGCACCAGTAATGCGCCACTCGTTATCATCACCCCCGCGGACGGATATACTCTATCAGGTTACCCGCTAATACGCTCGTTATATACTCTCAACCCTTACATTATAATCGGTTTTTAGAAGAGGTGGACGACTGCGTTTCCTTTGGAGACCGATTCTCCAAGGCAATCAACCGGTTTTGTATCCGAGAAACGCACTCATCATCACGGACTCGCATTCCTGGACCATTCCATAGGAGACCGCCCTCTGTAGTTTCATTCACGGCATCGACGCCGTTGTACTGTTGTATGTAACCGTCCGTTGCGACGATGGAATTCTAGATTGCAGACACCGTTCCACACACTAACGTTGGGCGTCGATTGTAAAGCAAAAACAAGTGGATAACGCGATGTCTATGTAGGAGGTACAGAGGCGCGCTAGTGAGCGCTTTTTGATGCGTGTGGAAGCGTCGTGTGAGCGAGCGTGATCTATAGATGCAAAGGAGAAAGGAAGTCATGAAGATGGAGCAAGGAAGGGTATTGTCTATTGCTCGAGCCGACCTTGGCGTCGGCTCTCCCGAAGTAGGCTCAAGACGTGCTCAAAGCCTTCTCGACCCTTTTGCGCATTCTTGTTAAACGTCTCCAATGACCAGAGCTCGAAACGTTCCTGGAGTGGTCTCCAACCCGCAATCCTGGCCTGAATCTCGGCCGTCTGCGTAAAGAGGGTCCGCTGGGTGGGCATAGTCGGACATGGCTTGTACGAGATGTGCTCGAGGACGGTGAGGTACTGGGAGAGGCTGAGATTGACAGAGGTAACGTGCGTTTCCCCCGTCCGTGGATCCAAATGCGAAACTTCGCGTACGTAGGCGTCTGTTGTGCCTCCTAATATCTGTATTTTGACACCCGTTCAATATTCGAGATTGTTGACGACGAAGAGAGGCGTAGAACCGTCAGCGTGTGCCGTTCGGACTACCACGGAGAACCAAGCTGACCTTTACTACCCATCGCGGGGCTTTTTGTGTGCAACCAATCACTCTCTCTGTGCGTACAATGCCTGTTGAAGGGTCGACGGTGCGGTCCAAAACGCTGCAAGACGGCTTGAGCATAATTCACGTGCTGGGGAACTCGCAGAGGACTCACTCGACAGAAACGACGTGCGCAGATTGAGGATTAGGATATTTTCTCCAGACTCCCATGTGCACCAACGTCCATGGGTGGCTACAAATCGTTTGTCGTTAGCCGTCGAGTAGTGGCAGGCAGCAGGCGACCTACTCGTAATAAAAAGACTGCGAAAAGAAAGACACCATTATGTTCAAGCACCAATAATAATCTCTATGTTTTTTTCGCGAGCCCGAGTGCCAAAAGGCAGAAAGTGGAAGAGGAGAAAGAAGCCGAAACCCCGCTCACCCAATCTGCGGCAAGGCAATGACTGATTACCGCGGCAAAGAAAACTGGGATAAACACAAAGTTGGAAAGAATACATATATAAAAAAACTGTGCACGGCTATAGCCACTCCTCGTTCCATCCCCCAGGCGTCGTCGGCAGCTCATCGCCAAAGTCATCTTCTGCATGACGAGCCCGTGCATCGTTAATCTTAATCGCGTTGGGTCGTCTGGTGGCCCGACCCTGTTCAGACGACCCCTGAGCCACCGCATGCGTTTCGACGTTGATCTGTTCACCAGTCTCGTCTGTCGCAGTCTCTGGTTCTCGTTTCGTTGTGGGCTCTTCAACCTCTTCGTCGTCGTCAGAATCATCTTGCACTTCCAATATTGCATTCTCCGCTTTGAGCAACACAAATTTGGCCAGCTTCTTCGTCCCAAAGTATACCCCATAAAGTGCACTGGGTTGATCGTTAGTTTAATTTCAGTGAATCACTTATAACACAAACCGTGCCACTCCGATCAGGACGAAAATGACCTATTGGAATCAGAGAGGGTTCAAGAGGAAAAGTATAAGGCTGCTTACAATTAAGATTGTTCCAATGTCTCGAATGTTTGCCGGTTCACGACGCCCACCGCGCGTCCACCGGGCCCTAACTATTTGTAGCGGGCCGAACAGCGACAGTGTAAAGAGGAGACTAAATATAGGTTAGATAATCATACAACCTCGAAAGTCAACTTACTTTAGAAACGAAATGATGCCAACAAGCGACAGACCCAGCATAAACTTTCTGAGCAGGCGGGCCCATATCGTGATCTGTGGGCCTTCTTCCGACGGAGAATAGGGTGTTCTCGGGTCTCTCCTCCTCACCCGCGGCGCTCGCGCACGCTTGTCCTTTTGAAAGAACGAGACTGGTACCCGACGCTTGAACATTCCCCATATACTCGGGTCCTCGACGTTCCGCAGCATATCTCTCTTATGCGCTTCGAGTACGCTCTGCGGCGTGCTGACGTCGGCGAATGCACGGACAGTATCTTGGATGAGCTCGGACGCGATATTGATCGGGCTGTACCATCCTATAACGTCTGGTTCAGGTTGAGGGACGACAATAGAAGGATCTGCAAGTTCTGGGAGGAAGAAGGACACGACGAATGAAGAGGCAAAGACGAGGGTGAAGAAGAGGACCAAAGTTGTCGTCACAAGGGCCCCTATTGGCCATAATTAGTATCCAGCAGCAGATACAAGAGATGAAACTTGCATGGAGATGTAGAAAGTCCCACAATTCGTGTTCGAGCGAGGTTGTATTGATGGCCGCACTGCGGACACGACCAGAACGAGTCGCCCTGGCCATGCTTTCTCCATGTATTAATGCAACTGACATGAACATATCTATGAGAACGCGGTCAGCTCTCTGTACCAACGACATGAAAGTACACGAATTACTTGATGCTGCCTTTGCATTTACATGGCCGAATCATTCTACCCAAAGTCGCCTCCTCTTCGGGGCCAGCAAGACATATCCGACATTGGCGACCTTCCCGAGGCCGGGGCTGTTGCGGCGAGGCTGACGGCTCCTCCATGCCGAGTGCGGTCGGAGGCCAAGATTATTCACCAATGGTCAACATCGACGAATGGCATAAAACGGCATAAATTGTATAAGTCTAATAACCAAAAATATGAGACATATGCATGGCTAATCACTCAGACGGTGAATTGTGAACACGGCAATAATGACCACAGCAAGAGCACCGAGACTCGCTGGGAGCACCAGGTCCCGCGGAATACCAAAGATGTCATCTCCAGCATCAAAGTGTACGCTCTTGGCCTTTGGCTCTGCAGCCGCAGCTTCGGCGCGTTCAGCATCATCTTTGAGTTTCCGCGCAGCCTCTTCCGCTGCCGCCGCTGCACTCGGGTCGTCGAGAGACCATCCCTTGCCACCCTGAAGCGTAAGAACTACCCTATCCGAGCCTCCTTTGCGAGCGACGGCGACAGAGTCAGAGACGTCTGTGTCACTCGTCATTACGACCACATCTCCATCGCTGTCCTTGTACATGATCTGAAAGTCGAGTGGATCGCGCGGTACTCCACCCTCAGGAGGTGCGTATTCGGTGAAGAATGGATCCGTGGCTAGCTTTCCAGCGACAATCTCGCGCAAGTGCTCGTAGTCATCCTTCCGAGATTGGAAGCGGTGTGTACGACCAGATGGCGTGCTAAACTTGAAGACGTAGGTTCCGTCATCCACTGGTGGAGGTGCAACGTTGTCCTTTGATACAGAGGACATGGCAGCATGGGCTCCAGGCATTTCTGATTCATCGTCGACCATTGATGCGCTGTCGTTGGGATGCACCTCTGACATGGACATGTTATAGCCTGGGGATGTCACCTCGCGAAGGATATGGGATCCAGAAACGACAGAGTCGTTGTCGTCGTGTCCAATGGATTCGAAGAAGCGTCCCCACATCGGTCCACCTTCTTGCTCTGGTTGACTAGCGTCTGCGAGGGCGTTCATCTTGAAAGTGTCAGGTCAAGCCAACCCCAACGGGAGAATTGAGCTCACCTGCTCGAGCGTCGCATACGTGAGCTTCAAGACGTCGATGATGGCTACAAGACGACCATCCGACTCGACAACAGGTAGATTGAGATAGTGACCATCTAGAGGCTAATGAGACATTGACTACTACTGAGATGAGAAGGACATACTGTACATCTTCTTGAGTGCGTCCTGGATAGTCATGCTGGGTGGTGCGACATCGGGATGAGGCGTCATGACACGAACAACGCTGCATCTGCCAGGGTCTAGCCCGGCCGCAATGACACGGAGGACGATATCCTTGCTAGTGAAAATGCCGGCAATCTTTGCCGGAGCACCAGTGGGCTGACCAGCGGTATTTGCACCACCTTCCATAACACAGACAGCAGTCGTTCGGTTCTCCTTCATGAGTCTGGCCGCATCGCGAACAGTTGTCCTCGGGCCCACGGTCGCCGGCTGCGTCCGCGAGTCCATGACCGTCGAAAGATCGGGTAAAGCAGTCTTATCACGAAGACTCTCCACAAATGCCATCATTGCTGCAGCCTGAGGGTTGGACGCGACCCCATCGAGTTCCGTCTGAACGCTCTCCAAGGCAGAGTAGAGCTTTTGAGATGCGGAGGACCCGCGCTCTATTTTATCCAGCGCCTCGTGAAAGACTTTGGTGATGTCGAGCAAACCTACGACATTACCGTCATCGTTGCAGACTGGCTGAGAGTTCGTCAGTAGTGCAAGATTCACAGAATGATAATGCTCACAAGATGTCGAAATCCTCGTTGGACCATGAGTTGCAAAGCTTCTGTGGCGCTCGTAGTGTCCCGGGTGACCTAGCATTTGGCGTCAGTAAACGCCGCAAGACTGAAGGGAGACCGTCTTACCATGGGATTCGGTGTCATAATCGTACTAACGAGCGTAGTACGGGGATCAAGTCCCATTGCTGTAACCTGTTCAAACACACGGTCGGTCGGCTGGCATTCAAAGGAGCTCGGGAGGCTTACGCGGAACGCCAAATCCTTCGCCGTGAAAATTCCACTAAGACCTTCTTCCTCGTCGACGACGAGAACGCAGTCGGTGCGCTTGGCGGCGCAAAGTTGGCTCGCGTCTGCGACGGTCATGTTGTCTGGTACGGTCAACGCCTGGCTCGGTTTGAGGGCTGCGACAGTTCCCTTTGCAGCAGATTTTCCCTTCTTGTTGTGCTTTGAGACGGTCGTCGAAATAGTTCGCTTTCGCGCCAACTCGGATTCTATCTTTTTGCGAATGGCCTAATGTACCCAAGCCCAGACAATTGCACGCGGAACGAGCAATTGGAGAGAGAAATCAGCTCAGCAAACGCATTCTAAGAGTTTTGTGCACCTCATCCCTCTTGCTCTGCTTCTTGCGCGTGTCCGTGTTCGAGCTCGACACTGTTGAAAGTGTCACAGAGCTTTGGTGCTTGGGAGTTGGAGAGAGAGCTCGGTCAGGAAATGCCATTGTATTCTGATTGTGCGTCGGAACTGGGATTCTGGACATTAACTATCGTAATCCGTCGTCAACGCCGGCACGGCGGGGTCCAAGATGCAAGCCAAGTGGGAGCCACAATTTATTTTGCCAGCCAACGCACGTTCTATTGCTATATAACGAAATGTACAACTCAAGTAGAGAGTTTTTGGATGTTTGATTCGCATTCACTTGCGAACAATTTTGCAAACTATCTGGGTGCCCACCCAGAAGCAGAAGACGAACATGAGCGTTGCCATTGCAAGCTACGAGGGGCCATCAGATGGTAATCATTTCGGAGAACTTGATACTCACCGGCTCGACGGCAAAGGCTCCATGCTTGTTTGCGACAATGCCTGCAGTCAAAGAGAATGTCGCTACAAAGGGATAAGGATTAACACTTCAGAGTGGGGACAGGTCTTACCTCCACCCATAGCACCTACTGATGAGCTAGGCAAGTCAGCCTTTAGAAGTCTACTTTGGAGAGCTCGTACCCAATAGCCAACGCGGTCAATTGTACATCCGGGGAGAATACTGGAAGGGCGGTTGACTCCTAGATAGGGATGAGAAATAAGTACACGCGAAGGGAAGCACTTACTCCAGGCTTCTGTCTGGAGGTCGCAATGTCCAGCACCAAAGGGAAAATGGGACCTGCTAGTAGTCCCAATAAAGACACAGTGACAGCGTCGACAATCACGCTATTCACCCTCCAGATGATGACGTGGAATACCATGCCCAAGGCTAGAATAGAGAGATTCAGTACAGAATAAGGATCCATCGATCCACGAACCTCTACAGAAACGTAAGAAGGGGCTTTAAGCAGCTTTGGACTTACAGCATGTAGTTGACATAGTGAATCTTGACTCTTTGGGAGAACCTGGGTCCCACTATACCCCAGATGACGCGCCCAAGGGCAAGCCCACCCCAGAAGCCTACGACAATGAGAATCAGTTCATTAATTCAGGGACCTCTGACTTACCACTTGCTACATAGCCCACTGAGTTGGGATCCGCGTGCTGTGAAGAGTTAATAGTGCCCCTTGAACAATGAATCAGACGCACGCGTTCTCTCAGAAGGAAAGAGACGATGAATCCCTGCGCAATCGTTTCGGCTCCCTGATATGTTCCCAGCACCGTCGCAATCACCCAGACATACGGGGTACATATGATAGCCCACATTCCTGCACGACATAAGCGACATCAGGCAAGGATAGAGGAGCTTGCCTCGCTTGGAATCGCCTCCTTGACCTGAACCCGTTTCGATATCGTCTTGCTTATGATTCTCTTGTGAGAGTGCTTTCGAAGCCACGGAAAGGCCTTTTTCGGTTGCAAACTCTTCTGGAGTCGTGCGGAACGCGAAAAGGATGAAGAAAACGTTGCATACAGCAAGTCCGAGCGAAACCCAGAAGAAGCCTCGCCAAGGAAACTTGTGGGCTCGCATAGTTTGACTGACGAGTGGTGATACAAATGCGCCTACACCTACTCGATGATTAAGCATGATCGGAGTACATAGACGTGGGAGTTACCGTAGGTTCCGTGCAAGAGAGCTATGCCGTTGCATCTGGGATTGGTGGTCCAGTATACATTGCTAAAGACTTGGTCAAATGAGAAACGAGCGTATAGACAAACAAACAATTGTGCTGGGAGAAAAATGAGTTTGATGATGCGAAGCGAACAAGGGACCCACCAATTAATATACTCTTTCCAATGCCACCGATGAAGAAGGCAATAAGCACGCCATAGTAGTGAGGGGAACATGCTGACACCATAAAGTAGATGCAGTGCAGGATGCCAAAGAAGAAGAGACTGAGGTATCGGCCTTGAGAGACGGAATAGCCAGTGGCGTCTCGAGTGAATACCGCCGGTACACCAGATCGCTCAGCAGACAACTTGAACTTTCCAAGAACGTGCGCTACGGGTTCAACAATAAATGTAGCGAGTGCATAGCTAATCTCAAAACATAAGCTATTAAACATTGAATTCTCGTAGACGCACCCAACGGATCCGGTCATGAACAGCATCGATGCCATGATAAAGTTCAAGTGGAAGGTAGCTTGAAAGTCTGGGAGGATTACACCGGTAGCTGGGAACCGGTCAGGAGTCGTTCCCTAATCAGCAAAGCACTGACCAGCATCACCCCATCCAATAGCAAAGAAGCAAAAAAATGCACTGGCTACTCTCCAGTAGTGACGGTGGACGACGACATCTCCCCGCGGGGTGAGGGGGCTGCCGGGACTGGCAACGAGAGTGGTCGTCCGCGAATAAGGAGGCGAGATGACACCTTTCGCGGAGCCATCGTCCGAAGGGGAATCCGCTTTGGATACGCTCATTTCGCAGAGGCAAAAGGGGGGGAAAGTCTGGCAATCCTCCGCGGGTTTATTGTCTTGTTATATGGAAATGGTCTCCCCAAGAGTATCCTCCCCATTCCCTGGACGGTGAGTTTCGACCGAGGAGAACATTTGAGATCCGTCTTTGACTCGATGTTGGTGGCAAAGGCATTGTACGGAAGAAGATACCGGTGGGACCGGTCAAGCCAAACAAATCGCCCAGCCAGTTCAGCGAAGCCTGAAGCAAGGCGTAGGAACTGAGACATGATCTCTCAACCCACCGGCCTAGTCCAAAAAAGTGCCAGGGGAAAGGAAGTTGTCGGGGTTCGGTCGACCGAGGGTTTTCACACTCGTACACGAGTCGAATTGGACACTTCGATGTAAATTTTTCCTCAGCTAGGCTGGTTTCTTGAATGTCCCTGGCTAAACGGCAAGCCTAATGAGTGTGCTCACCTCATGCTTCTGGATGGAAATTAGAACGCTATGGATGAGTCGCTTAGATTATGTCACTTGGACTCATGACTCGCTGGGTGGTCGGGTGGCGGTCGACCGCCACCCGCAATGGGGGTTTCTATATGCCAAATTTCGACTGTTTGAGTGTTTTGGGCAGGTCTGGTATCGCATTGTGGGCTACGTCACTGAGAGGGACTGTATCAGAATCTCCCACCCTGACCAAAACCGCCTTGTCTCTTGCTTGGCTTCGAGCAGGTCACTTGAGGGCTCATAAGGCGGCGAGTCCGTTGTGCTGCGGTTTCAGAGCTCAGATAGACTGAAGTCCGACTCTCGTGTTGTAGAATCTGTGTCTAATGTGCGAAACTCCGCTGAAATGTAGTCAGGTGCATAAGCTCGGGATTTTGCAATAATTGATGTCTTCTCTATGAAAGAGGCAAATCAACCAGTACAGAGAAGGGCAAAGACGCTTTTCTAGGTGTCAGTAGGAATAACGATCAGAGTATTGTACACCCACCTATAAGTCATCCTGAACATAGTAGTCATCTTCATCTTCGAGGTAGTCCACTCCACTAAAATCCGAGTCTTCCCAGGAATAATGTGGTTCATAATAATCGTCCCACCCGAACAGGTCGCCGTTGTCTAGGTCATTATCAGTGTAAAAGACCTCCTCATAGTGATTGGAGTTCAAGTGCATGTTTTTATCGCACATGTTGTATGTGTAGCACTTGTGAATCTATTAGCGGTGGCGTCTGCGCCCTCTGCGACTCACCGGATCGATACGATGCCTGGACATCGATGTTACAGATGATTCTCTTCTTACTTGTGTTCGTCCGGTTCTCAAAGAAATCAGGCCAAGGATTTTTGTCATTCTGTTCGCTGCGAGGTCTGTGAACTTTAAGGAACTCGAAGTTGGGACAGAGGGCTGGGTTGGTCACTAGTTCCCTACAAGTGGACTCCGTTTGCAGCTTTGATTGATGTAATTCGAGTGTCTCCAGTGAAGGAAACCTATCCCACTCTCCTATAAAAAAGCCGTGGATGACCAGGGTTTTCACGTTGGAAACGTCTTTGTGGATTAATACAGAGTTGAGGAAATCCTCTTGCATGTAATACTCCAACCTGGGAGTCACAAATGTTGGAACGTTGCATTGTCTCCAATCTACCACTGAAGAGCATATGAAGGAGAGGTGTGTGAGTTGAGGGAGTTTGATCATTCCGAGTGATTCTATAGCCGGAATTACGTCGAGCTTTTCGAATCGAACGCTGAGTTTGACCAAGCTTGATGCACAAGGACGGACGATGTCGCCCCAACCGTCTCCTAGTGCGTGTATACATAGTTGCTCTAAAGGTGGGAAACCCTTGGATTGCGATATGCGTCCCATAGTACTGAAACATGGCGAATGAAGGTGAAGCCGACGCAGTTTGGGGAACCGTGATTGATCCAAGAGACAACGACGTTCTGTCTCCGCAGGAGGGAGCAAGTTTGTCATCATCATCGTCCAAGGATCCGTTCGTCTGCCACGTAGGCGCTCCGTACTGCAAAACATTGCCGAACCAAGTCGAAGCTCCTCTAGATGAGGGAACTCATTGAGAAGAAACTTTGAGTGATCGAAGAAGGCAAGGAAACGGATTGGAATGGTGTTGGCGCAAACTGCCTCGATAGCGGCAGCTGGCGCCCAAGGCGGGAGACTGATGTTGACTTTCCCGGGAACGCCGCCACACCTTGAGAGCCAGAGTTTCATTATATCTGGTCCTGGGTTTGTTGGACCTGGCGCTGCAGGACTCAGCTCCAAGGAGCTCCATACGGTTGGCGTATTAAGGAGAATGCGTCGAAACAGACGACAAATGCCGCTCAAAAGCCAAGGAGCTTCGAAAGGAGAGAATTGATGACTGTATTCGAAGATCATGATGAGGACTTCGGTTGGAAGCCGGCAGATAGGTGGCGCCGTCCGTCTTTGGGAGTCCAGAACAGTCTCTGTAGTGTCCAGGATATTCAGATTGTCAGGAGGTAAGATTTTGGTCCCCTCTGACGCACCACCATGGGAAACCCTCGACATGGTTAGAAGTCAAGTTGTGCGGCCAATGGTCAGCCTAAGGAGCCTCTGAATATACCCGTCGATAATACATTCTTCATCTACAGGAGCACTATATTACCACTCTAGAATCAAAATCTCACTAGCGCAATTGCAGCAGCCGAGACTGGCAATGGGATCGTGGGCTGCTGTGGTCGCTCTAGACCTAGAACCAGATAGGCGACTGCTCGCGAGGCATGGAAAGCTGAATGTCCGGCTTTATCGGTGGAGGCACATACCACGGCTCCAAGAACAGGCTATCGAGGTAAGGAAAGGCTACAGAAATATAGCTTCTGAACTCGCGTTCTTTCTCCGCATCTGTACTCCCAATATCCAGTACCTTGAGAGTCGTAGAGGACGGCCAGTGTTCTTCAGGGGATCCTACGGATAAGTTTCCCAAAGTCAGGCCAAGTATCCGCAAATGGGGGAGTTTGGACGTAAACTTGGCTACATTGTCAATAGAGACCCAGCCTGAGCTGGGAATTCCAGCAGTGCCGTCAAGCGAGTAGACACGGCTATAGTCTTCTTCCATCCCATTGACTAGGGGGCTAAGGTAGCAATACTCTAGATTCGGCAACGACTCGGCGAACGAGTCTAGCAACGATTGCGTCACAACTTGGAGAAAGTTCATCCTAAGATTGATTTTTCGTAGGCGCCCCAACGTTGATAGCGACTTTAGGGTATCGGCGCCGCACGCTTTGCGTGAGGGAAGTCTCGAGGCGAAGGGCGCTTCGCTAATGATAGTGAGCGAAGTAAGAAGTGGACACTCCACGGAAATGCTCTCGATAGCTGTTCGGAATATCCCGGATGTGGGGTCGACGACGCCTGTTACGGACAGGTGTGGGCCGGTCATACTGGAGGGGAGGAGGAGCTCCAATGTGGTATAGCGAATATGCCGAGGGGTTAGATGAGATAGAAGCTCCGGAACGAGTTCGAGGGTGCTGTTTGTGAGCTTGAGGTTCAACATTCGCTCCTCCGACGAACGGTGAGCCAATGATGTCGACTGCGGGGTTTCGATCTCTGAGCTGATTTTCCACGTAATATGCGTCAACCAGATATCGAGTGCGTCGAGTTGAGGGCAGGCAGGTATACTGGCCAGGATTCCGGGGAGATGATTCGAGTGTGGATGGAGGACCAATTTTTTCAATTTTGGTAATGCTTTGATCAGGGGCTCACCATTCCTTTTCCATTGTAGCGTGGGCATGATCACGAGCGATTCGAGGTTTGTAAAGCGAGCGACGAGAGAGATAAGCTGTGCCACCATTGTCTCATTGATGTCTAGAATAGCGATATCTGTGATTTGGGCGGCGTTAATGCCCATTAACCAGCCATAGTTTCCGCTTCCTGCCTCGGAGATGTACGAATTGTGCACAGAAACATGCCGCAAGCTTGCGAACAGCGTCCGAGTAGGATGTCGTGCTTTTATTTGGCCAAGGAGCTCAACCCACTCCCGAAAGTTCTCGCCATATTCGTATGGCCGCAAGGATTGAATCATATCGGTGTAGAAAAAGAACCGCTCGTATCCCGCATCCGTCTACCATTGATCGTCAGTGTGATACTGTGGAGACTTGCACCGACGCTCACCTTTGCATTCACCCGGGTTGTTCGAGAGTGTATTTTGTTATCCGAAGCGACTCTGACGAGGCTCATGATCTTATTGTACCCATATATATTTCTCCATAGCACCTGAAGTGCTGGTGTTGCACATATTTTGTTGATTCGGGCGAAGGACGCGAACCAACTTTGGTTTACCAACGTATCCTGATAGCCTCGTATAGTAGCATGATCGCAGATCAAGTCAACAAGATCTACAATCTGGAAGATTGCACTTGCGGACGACATTGTGGCTGAGGGGAAATAGACGCTGGATATGGTAGGGTCGAACCAGGGAATAGTCATCTTCCTCACACCAAATTCGACTCAAATTTTAGGGTGCTAAACCTAAGCGTCGTATTGCTGGCGTGTCGGAAACCTTTCGCTGTATGTCGGAAATATAGCAAAAACCTTGTACGGGCGGCGAAGCTTGACCGGGCTTGAGTGTCCAAAGTCTCATCCTCGGACTTTGACGCCTTTGACAGTCCCAATTTCCTCCCATTAGCTAAAGGTACGTCCACACTCGACACCGCTACGTTGCTGACACTCGCTGAGTCGGAATTGATATTGAAATCAACTGGGCGGACGTTGTGCGCCCCATCAGCCAGCGCGCATTCAAAGCTCATAAACGTCAGTTTGTCGATTTGAATCAGGTTTTTGCTCACGGTTGATTAGAAATGTGCCCCAATGTTGGCAAGTCCTCAACAAAAGCATCTTACTTATATTAATGGACACAGCTACACTACGCCTGTTTCCGGGCATCACCGCAGCAACTGTCAAAGCGTTTCTTGCTCCTCCAGTACAAGGTGTTGTACTCGAGACATTCGGAGCCGGTAACGCTCCTCAGCGTGCCGACCTTATGGACGCAATGAAAGCGGCATGTGAACGGGGTGTGATTATTGTCGCTATTTCTCAATGTGCCAAAGGAAGCGTATCCGACGCTTACGAAACTGGACGGACTCTTCAAGCAGCTGGAGTCGCCTCGGGCGGAGATATGACCACCCTTCGATTGTCCAACAGGTGCTGGAGCACATAACAGTGCGCTCTTGCAAAACTCGCATATCTACTCTCGAAACCAGAAAGGTTGTCTACGTCACAAGTGCATGCGCTAATGTCGATTCCATTGCGCGGAGAATTGACCCTTCGAACAAGCCACGCCGTTCAGGCATCCAGCTCGTTCTCTGTCGCCAACAATTCAGCGAGGACGCCAGAGTCTTTCGGAAATCTTCTGAATCACATCACAAGATTATCTGCGCCTCAAAGTCTTGTGCCCTCCGTTCGTATTGCGCCTCCTCGAAACGCAGAAGAACGGCCCAAGCCAGCACATTCCTTGACGCTGCTAGGAGCTACCGTCGCACTCTCCAAATCTGCTCGCGAAGCGGCGAGTTCATGGTCCAACACCGCATCGGAAACGGCAACCGCCGAAGCGGCTCTATATCCATTCCTTGTTCACCTAGCCGTAGCAAAGGACGACGTGGAGACGCTCAAATTCTGCCTAGGCATATCCGAGACCAAAACCACCTCCCCCGTCATTGACCCTCAAACGCCAATGGAAGAGATGGGGGTGACGGAAAGCTTCCCTATCAGCAGCAGCAATAGGAGCCTTGTCAAAGGAGGAATCGCCAATTGCCTTGATATTGCGTCCGGCAGAACGCCATTGCATGTTGCTGCGCTTAATGGGAGCGTCAAGTGTGCGCAAGTATTACTGGAAGCTGGAGCATTGGTTCATATACGAGATTCTCTGGACCATACTGCACTTTACTATGTGCGTACGCTTGGGAGCGGTTAGGGGCTAACTAACTCTTAGTAGGCCGCTCGTCACAGCCACGGCTCTATAGTTGACTCGCTGCTACAAGCTGGAGCACATCTAGGCGGTGCAGATGTGGAAGGTGGGTATGTGCGACTGGCTATCAAGCATGCACAGTCTGTAGGCGATCAGACTGCGCTTCTCGTTTGGCGAAAAGTAGGCTCCTAGAAGGGAATTATGAATTTACGATATACAGAGATCTCTCTCACCTTTGTAGTTCTTTGTTCTGTTGTTTCTGTCACGTACAAGATCCATGCAACAACACGTAGAGACTGCAGAGTACAACGACTGAGATCTGAGATTATTGATAGTGGCTCTATCATCGGAAGAACTGGGGGGAAAGAGAGTGTCAACCTGCTTTCGCCTCGACCAGCCGATTGTCTTTCATAAATCCTACGATGGATATATTCCGTAAAATACGCAAAAAATCTAAGAAGACTCAGGTTACCACCTTGACCCCCACTACGTCTGGTGCATCTGCGAGTCTGATCCAAGCCAGCACGAGGATCGTCGCACCGCCTGTTGTTGAACAAGGTCCATCTGGTCAACAATCCGTAGTCACCACATCAGCATTATCGACGACACAATCTGCGACCGATCAACAATCTCCGCAGAGCCCGGATCATGAACAGATACGACGATCCAAAATGGACAGATGGCTTGCTCGTGTAGCTCTCATGCTCAGCTTGACAAAAAGCATTGCGGATGCTGCCGAGTTTGCACCATTGAAAGGAGCCTGCGAAGCTGTTGTGACAATTCTGGATTCCATTCAGGTAGATTTCAAAGCTTGATCACTATATGTACTCTAAGAATACTCTAGGCTATCAAAGATAACCAATATGCCTGGTCAGACCTCTTGCAGACCATTAGAGAACACACGAGGACGTTTCAAAGACAACTAGATCAGCTAGGTATCAAAAATGTACTCGAAGAGTGCGAGGAATCTATCAAGGATCCACTCACAAACTACTCCATGTGTGTCCATCGTCGTCTGTTGGACACAATCTCATCTCGAATAGTACCCTCAAAGAGTTGATAGCCGAGATATGCGTCGATTCTGGTCTCGATGAATCCGAGTTTGATAAGGGTCTGACTTGGAAAATACTGGTCCAACGTATCGGTACTACAAAGCTGGAAGCGGACACGATCAATGGATACAAGCAACGCCTGACGGACGCAAGGGACGAGTTGATGGTTCGTATTCCACTTGGAAGATGCGGCCCAAAGCTTATTCTGTTCCAGCATGCTCTGATTCTCTATGTTACCGTGTCTGTTAGAGCTACGGCGGAGAGGGACATATTGAAGGAACTCCAATCTAAACAACGACAACGTCCGCAGGAATGCCAGCCGGGTACACGTGCGGAAATATTGGCTGAATGCGAAGCCTGGTCCAAAAACCCAGACGCTCCGAACGTCCTCTGGATCAAAGCTGCACCAGGAGCGGGCAAATCGACCATTGCGTCCACCTTGGTGACTACACTCGGCATCAAAAAGACGCGTCTAGGATCGAGCTTCTTCTTCCGTCGACAAGAGACCGCAACTACAACTGCTAGCGCACTGTGGCAGGGGATTGCGTATGACCTTGCGCGACATCCTACCATTCGCAAATACCTCGCGGATAAGATGAGGAACGAGGAGATTGACTTGACGACACCGAATATCGACATTCTTTTTCAGCAGTTGGTTGAAAAGCCGTTGTCCAAAATCGGCAACCTTTCACAGGACCAATTACCTGTGGTCATCATTGATGCATTGGACGAATGTGGTGGACTGGTCGGCACGCGATCGACGGAATTTCGGCAACTTTTGCAAACCCTCACTGCCTGGTCTCGTCTTCCAACCAGTTGCAAGTTGATCGTGACCAGTCGTGAGGAGGACGATATAGCGAGGATGTTCGCTCTCAACCCTCCACATACCATCGACCTACTCGCTACACAGGAGACAGTCAGCCAGTCCAAGCGAGACATTCAGGCATTCCTGACTGAGGAGCTTAGGAAGGTTGCTAGCAAGTATACCATTCGATCCGTCGAATGGCCTCAAACAACGACTATCGAAGCCTTGGCAATCAAAGCTAATGGGCTATTCATCTGGGCCTCGACGGTGATAGAGTATCTCCGTGCTGGTAATCCGAGGGAACTTTTGGAGGAGATTATAAAGGAAGACCGTGTTACAGGCATGGATTCACTCTACACTACAGTCCTCCAAACCGCGTTTCCCAATCCGAGGCCAACTCTGATGGAGGACATAAGAACAATTCTGGGCGGATTGGCTGTCGCCAAAGAGACTTTAGACATGAAAACGTTAACGAATCTCCTCGCAATGGATCCTTGGACGGTCGAACACATCTGTGGCGCACTACGACCGGTGCTGGAATTCGACGGAGGACTTCGGTTCCGCCACCAGTCATTTGTCGACTTTTTTTTAAACCCAAATATGACATATTTGGTCCCTGGAATCACGACAGACACCTCCCACCGGATTCTTGCAGGCCAATGTCTACGGATCATGAAGGAGGGGCTACGATTCAATATCTGCGAGATCTCGTCATCCTATTTGCTCAATCAGGACATTTTGAGTGGACTTTCATCTATTGAGACCTACATTCCCCGCCATTTACAGTATGCGTCGCGGTATTGGGTGGATCATTTGAATCTTCCAAGTGAGGAAACGATCACCCTCGTTCGATATGTTCTCAAGATTCACTTCCTTTCGTGGCTTGAGGTCGCAAGTTTATTACGGATTGTGGACAGGGTACCGTCTATGCTTACGGCGTTGGCCGCATGGTTGAAGGTAAATCTAACACAGCCATAGACTGTTTGGTTGAAATTTCTTAGGAGAATGATATTGTCGAGTTGATATCGCTCGCAGAGGACATGCGCCAGTTCACGGTGCACTTCATTGAGGTGATCTCACAAAGCGTGGCGGGCATCTACCTGTCGGCTTTACCATTATCGCCTGCGGTTTCGAAGGTGCATCAACAATACAGATATCAATACCCCAACACATTGTTCGTCCACTCAGGTGGATATCAACGGTGGTCACCACTCCTTTTCATACTCCGCGGGCATACCGGGAGTGTGAATGCAGTTGCGTTCTCTCCAGATGGGCGGCGCGTTGTCTCTGGATCTTCTGACCGAACGGTGCGTCTGTGGGATGTAGAAACGGGCGCACAGATTGGATCCCCGCTTGAAGGACATATGATGTCTCGCCATCTCGCCAGACTTGAATCTCTGGATCTGATGACCGAACGGTTATGACCAATTGATCTGGATTTTGCATTCGGATCCGCTTCCAGATCGGTCATTCTCGCCAGACGGCCAGCGCATTGTCTCTGGATCTGATGACCGAACGGTGCGTCTGTGGGATGTAGAAACGGGCGCACAGATTGGATCCCCGCTTGAAGGACATACACATTATGTCCGCTCGGTTGCATTCTCGCCAGACGGCCAGCGCATTGTCTCTGGATCTTTTGACCGAACGGTGCGTCTGTGGGATGTAGAAACGGGCGCACAGATTGGATCCCCGCTTGAAGGACATACACATTATGTCCGCTCGGTTGCATTCTCGCCAGACGGCCAGCGCATTGTCTCTGGATCTGATGACCGAACGGTGCGTCTGTGGGATGTAGAAACGGGCGCACAGATTGGATCCCCGCTTGAAGGACATACACATTATGTCCGCTCGGTTGCATTCTCGCCAGACGGCCAGCGCATTGTCTCTGGATCTTTTGACCGAACGGTGCGTCTGTGGGATGTAGAAACGGGCGCACAGATTGGATCCCCGCTTGAAGGACATACACATTATGTCCGCTCGGTTGCATTCTCGCCAGACGGCCAGCGCATTGTCTCTGGATCTGATGACCGAACGGTGCGTCTGTGGGATGTAGAAACGGGCGCACAGATTGGATCCCCGCTTGAAGGACATACAGATTATGTCCGCTCGGTTGCATTCTCGCCAGACGGCCAGCGCATTGTCTCTGGATCTGAAGACCGAACGGTGCGTCTGTGGGATGTAGAAACGGGCGCACAGATTGGATCCCCGCTTGAAGGACATACAGATTATGTCCGCTCGGTTGCATTCTCGCCAGACGGCCAGCGCATTGTCTCTGGATCTTCTGACCGAACGGTGCGTCTGTGGGATGTAGAAACGGGCGCACAGATTGGATCCCCGCTTGAAGGACATACAGGCTGGGTTATGTCGGTTGCATTCTCGCCAGACGGCCAGCGCATTGTCTCTGGATCTTCTGACCGAACGGTGCGTCTGTGGGATGTAGAAACGGGCGCACAGATTGGATCCCCGCTTGAAGGACATACAGGCTTGGTTATGTCGGTTGCATTCTCGCCAGACGGCCAGCGCATTGTCTCTGGATCTTCTGACCGAACGGTGCGTCTGTGGGATGTAGAAACGGGCGCACAGATTGGATCCCCGCTTGAAGGACATACAGATTATTATGTCGGTTGCATTCTCGCCAGACGGCCAGCGCATTGTCTCTGGATCTGAAGACCGAACGGTGCGTCTGTGGGATGTAGAAACGGGCGCACAGATTGGATCCCCGCTTGAAGGACATACAGATTATGTCTGGTCGGTTGCATTCTCGCCAGACGGCCAGCGCATTGTCTCTGGATCTGATGACCGAACGGTGCGTCTGTGGGATGTAGAAACGGGCGCACAGATTGGATCCCCGCTTGAAGGACATACACATTATGTCCGCTCGGTTGCATTCTCGCCAGACGGCCAGCGCATTGTCTCTGGATCTTTTGACCGAACGGTGCGTCTGTGGGATGTAGAAACGGGCGCACAGATTGGATCCCCGCTTGAAGGACATACACATTATGTCCGCTCGGTTGCATTCTCGCCAGACGGCCAGCGCATTGTCTCTGGATCTGATGACCGAACGGTGCGTCTGTGGGATGTAGAAACGGGCGCACAGATTGGATCCCCGCTTGAAGGACATACAGATTATGTCCGCTCGGTTGCATTCTCGCCAGACGGCCAGCGCATTGTCTCTGGATCTGATGACCGAACGGTGCGTCTGTGGGATGTAGAAACGGGCGCACAGATTGGATCCCCGCTTGAAGGACATACAGGCTGGGTTATGTCGGTTGCATTCTCGCCAGACGGCCAGCGCATTGTCTCTGGATCTGATGACCGAACGGTGCGTCTGTGGGATGTAGAAACGGGCGCACAGATTGGATCCCCGCTTGAAGGACACACGACTCCGGTTTACTCAGCCGCATTCTCGCCAGATCGCCAGCACATTGCTTCCGGATCTGAAGACCGAACTATACGCATAACGAATACCAGCGCCACAGAAGATAGTGTGCGTCCTATCGATCTGTAAATTTGTGACATTCTGATTTGTCTAGGTACATTCACTTCTAAATCAGTACTGCCGGGTGGGCGACGATGGATGGTTATTTGGTCCATCTAGCCAGCGACTCTTTTGGGTACCGCCTCCGTTTCGTGCTGGGATCGAGCGGCCAGGAGTTGGCATCATGGGTCAAGTCCAGAGGCTGGGTGTCGATACAACTCAATTTGTGCACGGAGAAGAATGGACACGGGTGAAGGAAGGTGGAAAGATACCTGAAGATATCTGAAGGATGGGTAGTTGGGTTGTCTCTCGCCCCATCCTATTCTCGACTGGCCGGTAAAACCTGTTGTAATACTTCCCGGCGTAGTGCCTGATCTCTATTCTAAGCAAGTTCTCCTACGGATCTCCAGTACTGCCAGCGCATAATCCAGACTGCACTCCTCGTTTGGTGAAAAGTAAATTCTCGAAGTGAATCATGAATTGGCGGTATACAGATATATCTCACGCTTGTAGTTCTTTGCTCTGTCTCACACTAGATCCATGCCACAACGCTTGGCTCTCGACACGTCGAAGAGACTGCAGAGTAAAACAACTGAGATCCCGAAAACGATCGATAGTGTTTCTATCCTCAGAACAACCGGCCACCAAATCCTTGCATTATTAGGAGCGAGTGCCAAACTGTTTGGCCGCTCTATCTAGCTTCGACCACCCAACTTTTCGAGAATCCTACCATGGATATAATCCATAAACTACGCAAGAAAGTTAAGAAAACTCAAGATACGATCTTGGCGCCCACCACGCCCAGTCCATCTACGAGCCTAGTCAAAGCTAGTACGGAACCGTCTGCTGCTGAACAAGATGGACCTGTGATCACTACAACACAGCCGTTGAAGATACAATCTGTGGACGATGAACAATCTCCGGGCTCGAACCATCCAATGCGACGATCCAAAATGGACAGATGGCTCGCTCGTGTAGCTCTTATGCTCAGCTTGACAAAAGTGTTGCAGATGCTGCCGATTTTGCACCATTGAAGGGTGCCTGCGAAGCTGTTATCACAATTTTGGATTCCGTTCAGGTAGGTTTCAGATCCGATGCACTACATGCGTTCTAAGAACACTCTAGGCTATCAAAGACAATCAATACGCCTGGTCAGAGCTCCTGCAGACCATTAAAGAGCACACGAGGACGTTTCAACGACAACTAGATCAGCTAGGTATCAAAGATGTACTCGAAGAGTGCGAGGAATCTATCAAGGATCCACTTACAAACTACTCCATGTGTGTCCATCATCGTCCATTGGACACAGTCTCACCTCGAATAGTACCCTCAAAGAGTTGATGGCCGAGATATGCGTAGATTCTGGGCTCGATGAATCCGAGTTTGACAAAGGTCTCACTTGGAAACTACTGGTTCAGCGCATAGGCACTACAAAGCTGGAGGCGGACACGATCAACGGATACAGGCAACGCCTAACGGACGCAAGGAACGAGTTGATGGTTCGTATTCCGCGTGGAAGACATGCTCCAAAGCTTATTCTGTTCCAGCATGCTCTGATGCTCTATGTCACCGTGTCTGTTAGAGCTACGGCGGAGAGGGACATATTGAAGGAACTCCAATCCAAACAACGCCAACGTCCGCAGGAATGCCAGTCGGGTACACGTGCAGAAATATTGGCTGAATGCGAAGCCTGGTCCAAAAACCCAGACTCTCCGAACGTCCTCTGGATCAAAGCTGCACCAGGAGCGGGCAAGTCGACCATTGCCTCTACCTTGGTGACTACACTCGGCATCAAAAAGACGCGTCTAGGATCAAGCTTCTTCTTCCGTCGACAAGAGACCGCAACTACGACTGCTAGCGCACTGTGGCAGGGGATTGCGTACGACCTTGCGCGACATCCTACCATTCGCAAATACCTCGCGGATAAGATGAGGAACGAGGAGATTGACTTGACGACACCGAATATCGACATTCTTTTTCAGCAATTGATTGAAATGCCGTTGTCCAAAATCGGCAACCTCTCGCAGGAACAATCACCTCTGATCATCATTGATGCATTGGACGAGTGTGGTGGACTGGTCGGCGCGCGATCAACTGAATTTCGACAACTTCTGCAAACCCTCGCCGCCTGGTCTCGTCTTCCAACCAACTGTAAGTTGATCGTAACCAGTCGCGAGGAGGACGAAATAGCGAGGATGTTTGCTCTCAACCCTCCGCATACTATCGACCTGCTCGCTACACAGGAGACAGTCAGCCAGTCCAAACGAGACATTCAGGCACTCCTGACTGAGGAGCTTAGGAAGATTGCCACAAGGTTCACCATAGGATCCATTGAATGGCCTCAAACAACGACTATCGAAGCCTTGGCGATCAAGGCCAATGGGCTATTTATCTGGGCCTCGACGGTGATAGAGTATCTCCGTGCTGGTAATCCGAGGGAACTTTTAGAGGAGATCTTAAAGGAGGATCATGTTACAGGCATGAACGCACTCTACACTACGGTCCTCCAAACTGCGTTTCCAAATCCAAAGCCAACTCTCCTGGAGGATATAAGAACTATTCTGGGCGTACTTGCTGTCGCTAAAGAGACTCTAGACATGAAAACCTTAACGGATCTCCTCGTAATGGATCCTTGGACGGTCGAATACATATGCAGTGCGCTACGGCCGGTGCTGGAATTTGACGGGACCAGTCCTTTGTGGACTTTTTTTAAATCCAAATGGTCCCTGGAATCGACAGACACCTCCCACCGGATTCTTGCAGACCAATGTCTACGGATCATGAAGGAGAGGCTACGATTCAATATCTGCGAGATCTCATCATCCTATTTACTCAATCGGGATGTTTTGAATGGACTCTCATCTATCGAGACGTACATTCCCCGCCATTTACAGTATGCGTCGCGCTACTGGGCGGATCATCTACATTACACTCTCCCAAGTGAGAAAACGCTGCGCCTCATTCAATATGTTTTCAAGCTTCACTTCCTTTCGTGGCTTGAAGTCGCAAGCTTCCTAAGTTTTGTGGACGAGGTCCCCTCTATGCTTATTGCCTCGTGCGCGTGGCTGAAGGTAACTTTTAATGCGACCAAAGACTGGTTGATTGATTTCTTTTAGGTGAATGGTAGCCTCGATCTGGTATCACTTGCAGAGGACATGCGCCAGTTCACCGTACACTTTATCGAGGTGATCTCGCAAAGCGTCCCCGGTATCTACCTCTCGGCTTTACCGTTGTCTCCTCCACGATCCGAGGTGCGCCAGAGGTACCACCGTCAGTATCCAAGTACACTTCTCATTCATGCAGGTGGATATCAACGGTGGTCACCACTCCGTTTCATGCTTCGCGGCCATACTAGTGCTGTGGGTGCCGTCGCATTTTCGCCGGCTGGCCACCGAGTCGTCTCTGGATCTGATGATGAGACGCTGCGTCTGTGGGATGTAGACACAGGCGCACAGGTTGGATTGCCGCTCAGGGGACATGCGGGTATGGTCTGCTCAGTCGCATTCTCGCCAGATGGTCGCAGCATCGTCTCCGGATCCTATGACAGAACAATACGTCTATGGGATGTAGATACAGGTGCGCAAATTGGAATGCCACTCGAAGGACATGCAGATTGGGTTATATCGGTCGCATTCTCGCCAGACGGCCAACGCGTTGTTTCTGGATCTCGTGACAAGACAATACGTCTATGGAATGCAGAAACGGGTGCACAGATTGGAGGTCCACTCGAGGGCCACGTGGGCTCCGTCAACTCAGTCGCATTTGCGCCGGCTGGTCACCGAATCGCCTCCGGATCCGATGATAGAACGATGCGTCTGTGGGATGGGGAGACAGGCGCGCAAATTGGATTGGCATTTGGAGGGCACACAGGCTGGGTTATGGCGCTCGCATTCGAGCCAGAGGGCCACCATATCGTTTCTGGATCTAGTGATCAAACGGTGCGTTTGTGGAATGTAGAAATGGGTGCACAGATTGGATCCCCGCTCGAAGGCCACACAAGTAGCGTCACGTCGGTCGCATTCTCCCCAGACGGCCGCTTGGTCGTGTCTGGATGCGAAGAAGGAACGGTTCATCTGTGGGATATAAAGACGGGCGCGCAGATTGGATCGCCACTTGAAGGCCACACGAACTGTATCAACTCGGTCGCATTCTCGCCAGATGGTCGCCAGATTGTCTCTGGATCTGATGACGCAACAGCGCGGCTGTGGGATGTAGAGTCAGACACGCAGATTATGTCGCCGCTCCAAGGCCATACGAGTTGGGTTAACTCGGTTGCTCTCTCACGAGATAGCGACCGCATTGTTTCTGGATCTAGCGATCAAACAGTGCGTCTATGGGATGTGGAGACGGGGGCACAGATTGGGTCACCATTAAAAGGCCACATAGATCGGGTTACGTCGGTCACATTCTCGCCAGATAGCCGCCGTATTGCTTCTGGATCCTACGACAGAACGGTAAGGCTTTGGGATATAGAGACGGAGGCACAGATTGGACCCCCGCTGAGAGGCCATACCAGTTGGGTTATGTCTGTCGCATTCTCGCCCGACGGCAGCCAAATTGTCTCTGGATCCGATGATCAAACAGTGCGGCTGTGGAATTTAGAGACGGGGATACAGATTGGACCCCCGCTCCAAGGTCACAAGCGTTCCGTTAATTCGGTCGCTTTCTCGCCAGACGGCCATCGCGTTGTTTCTGGATCCTCTGATACCACGGTGCGCCTGTGGGATGTAGATACAGGCGCACAAATAGGGTCACCACTCGAAGGACATAAAAATTGGGTTCGGTTGGTCGCATTTTCGCCTGACGGTCAAACCGTTATTTCTGGATCTGATGACAGGACAATACGCCTGTGGGATGTCGAGACGGGGGCGCAAATTGGATCCCCGCTGGGAGGACATGCGCGTTTCGTTACCTCAGTCGCTTTCTCGCCAGATGGTCGGCGCCTTGTTTCCGGATCCTATGACCAGACAGTGCGTCTATGGGACGTAGAAACAGGGATTCAGATTGGATTACCGCTCGAAGGACATACGGCTTGGGTCCACTCGGTGGTATTTTCTCAGGATGGCCGACATATTATTTCTGGATCAGTCGACACGACGATACGTATATGGAACATCACAACAGAAGGATCTGTGCGTATTATCGATGCAACATTTGGTAATATACTAATTTGTCTAGACGCATCCAATCCCAAATCGTTACTGTCGGGTGGGCAATGATGGATGGTTGTTGGGTCCAAATGGTCAACGACTCTGTTGGATCCCGCCTCAGTTTCGTGACGGGCTTGAGCGACCAGGAGTTCGTATCATAGGCCGGGTCCAGAGGTTGAGTGTCGATACAACCCAATTTGTGCACGGAGAAGAGTGGACGCGAGTGAAGGACGGTGGGACGATTCCCGAAGATGTCATAGGAACAGATGATTAGATTATATGTCGCTACGAGTTCAAAGCAAGTAGGTTCAGCGACATATTTGCGGCCTCTTTGGATCTGTTGTCGACTGGCCGCTCCTTGTTGTAATACATCTACTTGTTTCCCGACATGGCACTATCTCTCTTGTACGTGGGCCCCTCGACGTATCCTTAGTCGCTGGTGGACAGCCTGGGAGTTCAACGCCAGCGCATCCCTTGGTCCCTTCCTCTCCACGAGCGGTAGGACCATGGCCACCGCAGACACTCCTTCTTCTGCTCCAAATGCACCCAATGCATTCCGTTTCCTTTCGGGTGCTTCGTCACTCGTCTTGCTCCAAGTTTTGACCCGAGTCGCGACCTTTGTCCTGAACCAGGCCCTTGTGCGCTTTTCGACACCTCAGGTGTTTGGGACCGCGTCAATCCAATTCGAACTTTTACTTTCTTCCATCCTCTTCATCTCCAGAGAGGGCGTGCGGTTAGCGCTCCTCCGTTCAACAGACAAGAAGGATGAAACGACGCCCGAGACGAATGAAATAACCTCTTCTCCTAAAATAGATTCTACACCTTCCAAGTTGCACAAACGTAAAGGTGGCAAGGCGGACACATCACCACAAGCGGATCAACTATCGACGCATAAAGCTTCTGCAGACGTCCTCAGCTCGAATATAGCAACCTTACCCGTTCTTTTTGGCCTCTGTTTGTCATTGGTCCTCCCAATGGCATACATCTGGACGGCGTCACCAGAATCAAGTGCTCAACCGCATTTTCGACTCTCCATCCTCATATATACAGCATCGGCAATGTTGCAATTGGCTGCAGAACCGATGTATATTCTCGCACAGCAGGAGCTGAACTTTACCGCTCGTGTTCGCAGCGAAGCAGCCGGCGTCGTCTCCCGTGCCGCTATTACTGTAGGTATTCTCGTCGTGGCAGAGCGACTTCATCCTGCTGGTGAAAAGACACCTGGTGGCGGAAATGAATGGGGTCTCTTGGCCTTTTCTCTCGGCCAACTCAGTTATGGGTTCTTTGTCTTTGTCATTTACTTGTGGACGTACATGAAGCGATCATCGGAATGGCGCTGGTGGCCCAAATCAATTACCATGATCGACAAGGGGCAGTGAGCGATCTCGTTTTTGCCTACTTTTATGTAAAGCTCACTGCCTTGTAGCGCTAAGAGGATGCTCTTTGATCCGGTGCTTCTTCGTTTGGCTTTTTCAATGACCCTGCAGTCCTTTATCAAACATCTTCTAACGGAGGGGGATAAATTTGCTGTTTCACGGATCAGCAAACTCGCAGATCAGGGAGGTTACGCGGTCGCCTCTAACTACGGTACGACAGCGTGATGCATCATGATTCAAACTTATAATGAAAAAGGTTCTCTGGTGGCTCGTCTCCTCTTTCAACCTGTGGAGGAGATTACAAGGGTCTTCTTCTCTAAGACGCTTGCCGTTTGCACCATCGAAGAAGACCAAGATAATACGAAGAAGGCGAAACCCGTCGCTGTTCAGTCGGAAAAAGCGAGCGACAAGGAACCAGAAATAAAAAACCCACTCACATCAGAGCAGCAGATGGCTCTACGACAGTCATCGGCAACACTTCACTCACTCCTTCGCGTTCAAATTCACGTGCTCCTTATTCTCGTGGTATTCCTTCCACCATATCTTCCAACTCTTCTTGCACACTTTCTTCCCAAGAAGTACCTTGCCACGTCCGCTCCATCAATTTTACAAGCCTATGCATACTACCTTCCAATGATGTCCATCAACGGCATCGTGGAAGCGTTTGCCTTCAGCGTCATGTCGGCCAACGACGTGAAGAGGCAAGCGCGCTGGCTGTTCGTTACCAGTATATCCTTCGGCTTATTCGTTTGGCTATTCTGCGAAAAGCTAGGACAAGGGGATGCCGGATTAGTCGCGGCAAATACCCTCAGTCTAGGCATGCGTGCTGGCTGGGCGCTTTGGTTCGCGGATCAGTGGTTCAATCGCATATGGAATCGCGGCGTCAAGCCATCCAAGACAGAAGGTGATAAGAATGCGAAGGGAGTGGTACCCACCGACTCTGCGATAGCCCAGGCCCCGAAGGGTATCTCGATTGGAGAGATACTTCCACCTTGGACTGTTCTTCTCGTGTTCATGATCTCGCGTGAGGTCATCCGACAATCCCAAGATCGCCACGACCTCCACTCCAATCTGTTCCTTCAAGACGCTAAAAACTGGGACTCTCTTAAGAAGCAGGTCATGCATGTTGCCGTCGGCGGAGTGTGTGGTCTAATCTGCCTGCTAGAGGCATTCAGGTCACAAAGATCACAAATCCTCAGGCTCTTTTCTGCCATGCGGCGTAAATAGTCGCCACCCCTATATAATATCTATATCTGGTTTGCACTCAATAACATCTTTCTTCACGGAACCATCTTCCTCCGTCATCTCCCATGATTCTGTAATCCTGGGCACATCTGCAAAACGCATAAATGTCGTGCACGCTTGGGAGACCTCAAGCTTACCGGCAAATGTAAAGCCTGTCGTGATGTATCGCCATCCGAGCTCATGCCGCACGCACAACGGCGCACGAGCTTGGTGGCGTCCTGCTATGACCATTTGGTTCCACAATGTGTAGCGAGCGGCTCGCCCAGAAAGCCAGTCTCGAACTTGGGGCGACAATGGTGGATCAGCGCTTCGAAAATCTGACAGAGCGTTGGCTTTCATAATAGGGTGTCTGTTTCTGGCCGTGTTCAATAACTCCTCTTTGCAGAATTGAAGCGACATGCAGCAGTGGTGGCATCCTGGACTAAAATCAATGTAAGCATAGACATGATTCACCAACCGCCATACATACACATCAGAGTCAAAATAGAGTCTCCCGATAGCTGGAAGCGAAAGCTCCTCGTTTGACATTCTGTGCGCGAAGCGTCCCCGAAGAACATCGGTGAGGAATCTTCGGTTGCGAAAGTTCATCGAAGATGGCATGGACACAAGTTTGATGGCGGAAATCGATGTATCTGGTAGAAAGTTTCGACGTTCGAGCATGATAAAGAGGAGGTCCCATTCCGGGTACTGGGCAAACTGCAGCTGCTCTAGTGCAGGGCAGTCCTTTGGATGAAGGATCATGTTCACGCAGAACTCACTGACTTGATTAAGGTCCTCCTCTCTGAACTGAATTATCTTTAGTGACGTGAATTTTGTCACGTCCCATCGAAGGCCCGTAAGTCCCCATTCAATGGAGAATAGACTTGGTAAAGCGTTCGGAGGGAAAGTATAGAGTGATGATTGGGGCTCCCAGTCGTTGGTTGGCGATCTCAATTCCAACGAGACCAATTTGGGGCACTCCATGCTCGAGACTAGGGGGCTGATGATGGATAGAGGAATACTAAGCTCGAGGTACTCGAGCACCCGCGCTTGGATCCTCTCCAATCCGCCGAGGTTTGTTGCCAGAGGTAGCTTCAGTGAGAGGTGCCGTAGATCCTCTAGAGTTGCAAGAAATGCCAACGGGATTATTTCTGCCTTATCCACGCTTATAGTCACTTTACGCAGGTTCGATCCAACGAGGAGGGTGAAGAGCTGGGCCAGATTGTCCGAGTGGTCTTCTTCCGATTGATAGAAAGTAAAAGTCTTCAATGTGGGAAAAGATCGTGTTCCGTCAAGGTCAAATATATCCTCCGGACCTTTTGTACGGGTCATAACTAGTCCCAAGTACTCCAAATTACCAAGTTGTTCGAGGAGTGGCATCAGAGTGGCAAGCAATTGCCATTGTAATCTCAGGTCAAGGTGATAAAGTTGAGGACTGATTTGTATAAGCACTGGGAGCGATATATATTCGCTTTGTCGGTACTCCAAAGTCATAAGTGACGATAGAGATAGTTTCTCGGCTTCAGTCGCGACTGTTTTCGTAGGTTTGTAGTACGATTCGTCCTCATCAGTCGACCAGTCTCCCGCTGGGTCATCTACAATGAGACTCGTCAGGCGAGGAAACCTAGAAAGCGTATAAGGGAGCTGCTTGATACTGGCGCATGTCTGGACCTTTTCGAGCTGAGCAAGGTGCTCATGCTCCAGCATACGAGGTGAGATATGATCTCCACTGATGCTCCGAATAACTGGAGTATGATCCAGAAATTGCAGAAACGCGTCAAACTCTACGTGATATCTGCTTTCCAACTCGAGCCTCTTTAGGTTTGGCAGCGGGCCAAGGGAAAGGAGCACCTGGCCCACGGTAGGATCGCCCACATCCGCCTCTTCGTCCAACTTCGTCGATGAAGGTGGCCATATGACTAGATTTTGAACGCGTTTGAGATGCGGACGTAGGATTTCCAGTAGATAGCTCCAATCACGGACCGGGTGATCAATCGACAGATTGAGGGGTTGGTTTCCCGAGAGATAGAGTCCCACTCTGAGTCTATCCTCGATATCCGACTCGTCTAGTCCTGGTCCTATACACACATCCCTCCAGAACGAAGGTTCTGAAACGACGGCCTCTCGCCAATAGGAGTTCAGTAATGAGAGCATAAGAAGGTCCTTTACAGACGTCCCGCTTCTACGAGAGATTACTTCCTGTACAAGCAGGACAAATAGTTCTGGTGGAAAGCATTGAAGAGGGTCCGAGAATGGCCCTTTCTGAGAACTGATTTGGTCCTCGACAATGAAATTGTATTCTTCTTTGAGTTTATTGAGAGATTTTGCGCTTGCGAACGACGCGTCATCCCCCTCACGCCTATGGATGCATTCGAGCAGATCTAACCGCCGCTGCTGGCTCTTCTGACCAGCAAGTGTCTCCTCTAATGAGAACTTTGGAACAAAGAGAGTCATCTATGACTCTAATATGCGTAGCGTGTTTGGACGGCCAATGTAGTCGGGTTTAAGGAGCGGTTTATGGTGGTGGTACGAAGGCACAAGGATAATCCTACTAATCAAGGAGAGATATCATCTTGACAGGTTTGCGAACTGCAGCACTCATTCCCTCCGTATACTTATAGGTGACCTTGAAGGGCCGAGTTGGGACCAAACCTTGCGATCCATCCGCCTGTATCTGCGTCGGAGCGATCAATCTTCCAAAGAAGTCCACGGGAGACTATTCTTCATTAGTCCCGCATAACGAGGTATGGGGTAAACGCACCTTGTCAGCAATGTCCATTTCCTGCTCCTCCCTCTTGCGCTTCCTACTCGCGACAAGAGGAGACGATGCTTCTTGTTCATGGCTCCCTTTCACGGGGCTCGAGCCGGTGTCATCTGTTACAACTGTTGCAGATCTTTCCCTCTTGAGCACGCCATGGAGACTCGGGGGTGACCACTTACTTGCCAAAAAAGTGTGATGCCTTGGATTTACTAGTCTCCTCGAGTGCCTCTGCTTGTCGCTCTATGACCTGAGCGTCGATTTCCGCTGCGATGAGATGTCGAGTGGCATATCTCGAGACGGCAATGTCTGCGGCCCGTTTCTCGTCATAAGTTACAAAGGCGTCGATAGGTCTAAAAAGAGCTCAATATTTGGCAACCTTGGCCGTCATCCTGCTTACGGATCCAGCCGATATACCAGGGTTCCATCCTCTTGCTTTTCTTGAATAAAATGTAGGTCTAGGGTAACCATGATTTCGACGACTCGTGACATAAGCAGCCGTTCTTCGGGCTTTATCACTTGTTTGTTCACCTATCCGTAGAGTTATCGACGGCCCTAGATTGAATGGACGACTAACTGGTTTGAGAGGCGGTGATATGATCCGATTGAGGAGTGGCGCAAATTCGAGTTGAAGAGTTCCATTGGCGACGAGGTGACGATAACGAGCTGCCGCTTTACTGGCTCCACCAATCCCAGGTTCCCCGAGAACGTTTCTTTGGAGAGTGCGATAAACTTCTTCGTAAGTCTTTTGCCTTTGATATGCCTATGTCAAATTGAGAGCCTGACCCGGGAACTGATTGTGGTCTTACTTCCCAGTCCGCCTTTGGGCGCTCCAATTTGGGCCCACCCTTTGTTGCAAACGTAGGATGAAATGCAATGAGTGAGTATCCGATATAAGGCGTAATAGAGTATTCCCTATCTTGCCACATCCCACTTGTGAAATGGTCGTATGTAGCTAGCCATCGAAGAGCCTTTTCGTAGGCTTTGAAATCTGCGTCGTGTATGCGATAGTTAAGGTAATGTTCGAAGCACGCTGAAAATTTGGTTAGAATTGCCACCAGGCCGAAGGGAAACGCTACCGAGTGCCACCTTGTCCACGGCTCCAGTTGATTCGATTGACCGGTTCAAACGATGAACATACTTTTGCTCCTCTTCCGACGTGAGTCCCATATCCTTCACGCGTGATCTCGAGAGAGGCGTAAAGATGTCGGTAAGAACGTCCATGAAGGACCCCTCTGATTCTTTCATGCCCATCGTCGCCCGACGAACGATGGGTTCTGTAATCTCGGAGTGTTTTGCTTTCAGCAACTATTTGCGAGGCTTGTCAATGAAGCTTTTTGAGCATGTAGAATCTCACTTGTAGCGTGTTCAAACAACCCCTCATGTCCCCTTGACTTGCGCCGACCAGCGCCGTCAAACTTCTCGAGTCTGCACGAAGATCTTCCATTTCACATATTTCTTTCAATCGCTTGACCAGGTGTACCGGCGCAGGTGGCTGGAAACGGACAATTCGCGAGACCGGGCGCAGTTTGGCTAACGAGGCGGCATAGAGGTCGTTGCAAATGCAGATGATTGGCCGAAGAAGAGGCCTACGCGTGTCTTTTTGGTTTCTCGAACGGGCTATCCACTCAGCATAATCTAATTCAAATGGGCAAAAGACGACTTACTTTTCTTCGGTTTGTCAATGGTCATCGAGAGTAACCTTTGTACGAATCCAATCGTCTGTACAGCTGATGAGTGTTGGAGCAAAGGGCCAAAGAAGTCCTCACATTGTCTCCACCTCCCGTGGCGCCATCAATTTCGTCGATGACAACGAGCACTGGTTTACTGCCTCCGACCTTGGTCCCTGCTTCTAGCACTGGTCGTATCCGCTCATCTATTGTGGCACCAGACCGAGCATCACTGCATGAATTAGGTGCAAATTGCCGTGCTTCGCGCAATCTTACCTAGCGTTGATCTCCATGACAGCATAGCCCGCTTGACGGGCTACTACGTGGGCCAAAGTCGTCTTTCCCAGTCCAGGTGGGCCGGAGAGAAGGAGGATCTGTTAAGGCGTTAGTCTGTGCTTCCAGTCAGACGAAGGGTAACGAGCTTTTTCTCGAGGTCGATGATATTCGTCTTGATAGGCAAATTGCTATAAGATGCTCAGTCGCCTCCATCGGAGAGATGGAACAGAGCCTCGTACCTCTTCTCCTTCTTTGGCCTGCTTCTTCCTCCTTCCAACCATCTTTTCCGGGAAAACGCAAGCATCCCACTCTTTAACCCACAACATCGTATCACGGTGAACCCTCTGTATGAAGTAAGAATGGATGCTTCTAGTGCTTGAATGCACGTAACCTCGTCGCCGAGCAGATCAGTAAAGTGCCTAGGCCGGTATTTGTCCGTCCATAGAGTTTCCTCAACCTCGAGTGACTTGATCTTTGACGTGGATGTGGTTGGCTCTCTTATAGCATGTCATTCAAAGGGGTTCAATATCATTCGAGCACTCACGATTCGAGGTCGAGTCGCTGAGCCGTCTCTTTCGCCAGTTGTTCCATAATCTTGTGAGTTCGAACGGTCACCAGTTTTGAAATGGCGTCTTTCGGTTCGGAAATGGAAACTGACTGGACGTGGTCAAAGGAATCAAGAGATCTGCACGGTCTATTCACCGTTCGAGTAGATTTCCTCTTCTTGCGTATGACTACGAGTTTTCCGTCAAAGTTTCGCGCCATTACGGGTGGTTGGTAGATGGGCTCTTCCGTTGGCTCATTTATTGCGTCCTCTTCAGGCATATTTCCGTCAGGAGCAACATAATCTTAGAACCAAGTCAGTTAAATGATACGTTGTCGCAGGGTATGGTGGATTTTACCTTCCGGTTCGTCTGTGTCCTCTACGATCCATCCGTCACTGGGAGCTGGCGTGGCTGCAGTAGTATTGGGACTTGTTGCATCTGTTAATGCATCTTGATTGTCTCGAAACTTGAGTGCTGGCTCGACCGGATCCCCGAAGAAATTGCTAGCATCCAGCGCCGGAGCGGAAGGAAGTTCAGACGCGTCTTTCACAGGACTCTCAAAAAATGAAGATGTCTCCAATGACATGGGTTCGAGTGTCTGGTTCAACGCGCGGCGTGGCGGAGGGAACGCGAGATGACCACTCGCGACCAATGGTTTACATGGATTAGATTGAATCAACTCGAATTTATAACCTTATTACAGCAAGTATGGAGCTCGTGGTGAATGAAGTAGAAAGATATACCAAACGACCCGAGGATAAGTCACGAGGGGGTGATACTAACTCCAAGAAGCAAGATATCAGCACAAGGTGTCTATAGAAGTGTAGATGCCCACATTCGACACGAGTATCCACTGTGACGGGTGGAAAGAGACGTCAGTGTTTCTGGAGGGTATTCTTAATCTTTGTATCGAATCCTCCAAGAACAATTTTACCGATTTTGACTCGCTAACCGACTTGAGAGCCGCCGTCCAAACCTCGTCGTCGTTGATTTCGCTCTGCTTGGCTCGGTGTTCTCTCCACTGATTATATTTCCATCGAACTAGACTTGACAGGCGCTCTTCCTCTGGAGGAGCATACCTGACGTCGTTTTGACGAAGCTGAAAGGCGAGAACTCCTGTGAATACGCCGAGAAGTGGGTCAAGAAAGCTATGCATTATTAGCTTGTAATCCTTGAAGTGTTATATATATGCCGTACCGGCCCAGCAGTGGCATCGTCTTGAGATGGCGGAGTTGAAGCACCGCGTCGTGTCTCGTCGAGACCCCAGCGAGCGCCCTTTGACTTTGTCTCCGCCACACCATCAGATTGTTTAAAAATGAGTATGCATACACCTTATATCACTCTACATCGATCGCTCATATCGTATACGACCACGTGCAGGCTTTGGGAGCCAAGGTCCTTACTATTCAGGCGGCGGCGGCGGGTTTCTCAGCAACAACTCGCCTGGTGGATATGCTAGTCAAGGATCTCCGCATGGAGCTGGTACTGAACGCGTGAGTCGTTGTTGGTCATCGTGTTGTAGAGCCAGGCTCGTCGAGGGCTCAGTGTTCAACGCGTACAGAAACAAACCCAATCCCTGAGACCGCTGAGCATTCGACAAGTACTCTTAGCTGAGCAAGGATCACATACCGAGACCGATTATACGCTCGACGGCGTCACGCTCTCCATGGTCTGTTAATTTCTATAGAGATCCTTGTGCAGGCTCAAAACTCCCCAATACAGATTTCTATCGTAGGTCAGATCATAAACCATACATCCCAGACCACCTCGGACGTCTACAAAATCAACGATGGCTCAGCAGAGATTGAGGCACGCCACTGGAACGACTCGAAGGGCACCGACTCGATGGATATGGAGTCGGATGAATCTCCGTAGGCTACATTATCTACTCTAGGTGCCGCTGACACACCGGATAGTCTTTTGAACAAGTTTGTCAAGATTACAGGTACCATACGGACATTTCAAGAAAGGAGACATATCAATGCGATCATCGTTCGAGCCTTGGATGATCCCATGGAAGCCTACTTTCATTACACCGAGGCGATTGCAATGGCCATGCTCGCCAAATTTGGTCCTCCTGTACGTTTTAGCCCATCGTCTTCTATCGACGCGTTCTTCTCATACCCTCGTATAGAATGGTTCTGGATCGAGTCTAGGAGCCCCGATGACGGGCGGGGCTTCAGCGTCGGATTACTCGCGGCAAGGCACTAGTCGACAGACGAACGAGGTCGATTCAATGTACGCCCACCTCGCAGTTCTCGACCGGGGCATCATTCGTTTCATCAAAGACAATCCGCCGACAAGTGAGGGGTACCATGTCCGTCAAATCATCAAAGCCGTCAAGCCACTGGTAAACGAAGAGACGAGCAAGACGGGAGAAGATCCCGCTGACGCCTTTGCGTATGTCCATTCCTTGGCAACTTTGTCCGCAATGCTGACTCTTGGCTGACAGGGCGGCAATTCAGCGACTCATCGAGGAAGGTCTTCTCTTTTCGACGCTCGATGAGCACCATTACAACCTATGTTGATCGCCCTCTTATCGCACGTCATGTAGTCGTAGGTCCTGAATGTATTCACTCATCGACGCTCAGTCAGCAGGCCTAGTAATGCGCAAGTTGCACGAATGTTTCATGAAGACACTGATGAGTAACAAAAGATACATGGACGCGCGACAGAGTCGACCAAAAACGTGGAGAACCAAGGGGGTGTTTTAGGACTGGCGTCGGATGCGGGGATGAAGTCGAAGGGGAGTTGAGGGAGTGTAGATGGAGGAAGATAGAGGTGAGAGAGAGAAACGAAAGGGGGGGCTGTACTATTTCTAACGGAATCCGTATAAGTCTAGCGCTGGTCCGATATCAAAAGGGGTAGAACCAAGAAGAACCAAGAAGAACCAAGTTGTGTAAAAGGTGAGGAGCGTGAAACACTCGAGACCGTCCAAAGTGGAGGGGCCGAGTGCACGTCCTAAATGGAACAAATCGTCAGAGCGGTGTGTAGACCGCCGCGGACACGAGGGTGCCATCGAGGAGGACGGCGGGGGTTTGTTTGAAACGCTAGCCACCTTCAAGGTGCGAGGGGCAGCGGATGAGTGCGAGTTCTAGGATCTGATGCGCTGCAGGAGTTCAAATGTCAGAATACAGGTCTCGAGAGAGGAGCGGACGGAAACGCACAGAGACAAATGCACGAAGGAGCTGGCCGGGGAACCTCAATCTACGCGACAACGCATTGATTCCCACCACCAGTGCCGCCATCCTGTTCAGTCGGGATTTCGACTTCGGGACTGGCAAAGAGGAGCTCGAGGGTGTTGGTGAAGGACTCCATTGGTCGGCTGGTGGGGATTTGCGCTGGCGTAGTACGCAGGAGAGAGAGGTGCGGCGGGAGGGCTGTAGAGAGTGCAGAGACTCGGTGAGGAAACGTTGGGTCGACGAGGGGTGGGTTTATATGCACTTTGTCAACGGGCGACAACGAGTTCCAAGTTGGGAAGAGCGCAGGCACCGGATGATCCGAGAATTCCAATGTTCCGCTCGCATGGAATAAAGTACGAGGGGCACGTAGCCTCTCACACAAAAGCGATCATAGTGTCACCCTTGTACTCGCGCCTTGCATTTCGTACCCCAGCCCGAGCGCCGCTCTGGGACTGCGCTGGCTCCAGATATACTTTCGAGTTTATAGAACGTGATTTTGCAGCCGTGATGATTTCAAAACTTTTTGGCAAAATTCTGGCGAGGTTGCAAAAAACAAAGAGACGAATGCGGAAATGACGGGGCGGCCGGGGTTAATACTCAGTCTATCAACGCGTCTGTCAGAGGTCGCGAGCCCTCAATTCCGAGCATACGGGCAATCATGATCTGTCAGCTGTTTGAAACTACCAAGCTAATTAATTGCGGGCCTTTGAGCAGGTTTTTGATCGAGCCATGGCGAGAACAAGGTTGGCCAAGTGACAGAGGCCAACGTGCGCGGAAGTCGACCGAAGCATAGGGTCATAGTTTGATAGAAGTGTTCCAATGATACAATCGCCTTTTCGTCGAGCAAATTTTTCAGAGGCCAAGCAATAGACGGAACGAGTGGCTGTGCCATCTCCGGTCGAATTGGGCAACTGTTGTGAGAGAGGTTCCCGTTGCTCGCCGGAGAAACTTTAGAGTCCATCGAGCCGTTATGACGGACTTTGCCTGCTGCCGACCTGCCATGAACGGTGTCGGACTTTGGAATAGTAGACTAGAAACAAGCCACCACTGGAAATAGTTGGACTATGCCTTGTAGATGATCAATGTCTTGTTCTTCGTCGTATTGATTGATCATGTGGATGCCACCTCGCGCTTGCAGATGCCTGCCAGCAACCCTATGTTAGGCGGACTGCAGTCCACCTCACATTAACCGCGAACCGAGTAGTGTTCTGCTTGTTCTCCTGTGGCGTGTTTGCCTCTGACCATTAGTCTGGACTAAGGGCTTGGCTAGTACGGGCGTTGTGGAGGGTAAATGATTTGGAAGGTCTTATCTTGGTCGCAAGATGCGTGCAGAACAGGGCGCAAAAGGTGTAAGCATCCGAGTCGCTTTGGTGTGAGGTGGACGATCCCGAAGCGCGTCGGTATAGCTCTTATATGGGTACATTCGGCAGCTGATTCGTGAGAGGAGATTTGCTGGCGACACGTCGGAATAGTGAATCCTCGATACAAGTCGCAGAGCAGGTGAGTGGCGGGAGGGTACAAGGGAATGCCCAAAAATGGCAATCCCGCTACTCGTCGGGGATGCGATCCAGAGCCATGCCCTCCAAATATTAGACCAAACTCATACCTATTGTGTAAAGGTATATCCTTTTACCTTGCGACACAATTTTTCTGAAATTTAACGATTGTCAGGGCGTAGCTATCATCGTCGGACCGAAAGAAGTACTCACACGGAACCAAACGCGGAACCCTCGGGACTGTCCATCCTCGGCCCTGGACCTGAGTCAACTCGCGCGCCGCCATATGGACGCTGGGTTGGACGTATATACCGCTCGAGTAAATCTCGCTCTCTCCGCGTTTCCTTCCCCTCCCCAACCGACTCGGAGATGGCTTCTTTTGCAGACGTCGCGAAATCTCTGCCCAAAAGATCAGAACAAGCATTCATCCTAGAATCCGATTGTGAGAGCACCCTACGCGCAGCGCCAGCCTCGAATAGGGATCCCCAGTGACTATCTGGCCTTTGACCGAGTCGCGTTGGTACATTGGTCAATCGTTGGGATCCTATTCGACGTGACAGATCTACCGATACCGACGACGACGACGACGCGGCACGTAGAATCGCTATCTGGGAGAATGGCTGTTTAAACTTGGACGAGACAATTCCAACATAGATCCATAGCCAAGGGAAATGTTCTTCCAATGGTGTCCGCACAGACAGATCTATTACCGTGTCGTCCACGTCCTTTTAGCAGGGGCGAAAGCAAAACTACGAAGGACACAACCAGAACTTTATGAGAACGCGCGGAGAGCTATTTCAAGACCCACTCGCTTCGCACGAGAGCCAATTAGGGGTTCTCTTTGGGTGCAATTGATCCTCCGTGTCGACTTGGAGTCTAACTGCGTTCGACAGCTCTTGTAGTCGAACGCGCTCTCAAGTCTAGACTTTCTTGGCGACCTTTGTTTTCTGTCGGTGCTGTAGTTTGCTCGAACCTTGCTGAATCCATCGACGTCTCCAACGTTTGTTCGCTGTGGGGTCTGCCCGGAGGAAGAAAGCGTTTTACGACTACAAGGACAGACGGAAAGGTTTATCTATGAACAGCTTTGATCGCATCAAAAATACCAGGTGGAACCAGCGAATCTGAGGTGCGGACGGTGAAACTATACGCACGTCAAATCACATCGAAATATCAAATGAAGCTGGCTTCGTTATTTTTGCTCCATTTCCACCGCCGAACTCCATCATGTCACCCTGAGCTCGGCCGTCCAACTTTGTCAATCGAGAACAAGGACCTTGTATCCCAGGGACAAGCCAGCTTGAATCTTCAAACTATGGCGCTGGAATTCGTGCGCCAGCCGGCGGGTTGACGACACTAGCGCGTTGGCCCGATTTGGAAGGATTGCAACTCGTACGCTCTTGTCGCGCAAGTAGCGGACAGTTAACCACAGGAAACTATACGATATTCATCACAATCATCCTCTGGCAACATTGACGGTCAACTGCTCGTCACCTTTACCCAGTCTGCTCCGGGATCACTATGTCATGGCTGTCTTCGAACGGCAGGTGTTCATACGCGAGCTAGGGTCGCGGTGCTAACGGATGTGTAATTTGATGGGGCACTGACATCCACCCAACCACGCGAGCTAGGCATCACGGATCACTGGCCTCAAGGCCAGAGGCTAGCTTCTCCCAAGAGCGAACCAAGGTCTCCGCAACATCCTAATCGGGAACTTCTTGTAGACCGTCGCAGCATATAACACCCGCTCCTCCAGAGTCGAAATCGTCACCAAACCGCACTCTCTTCTCCTCTCCTCTGTCGACTCTCCCGACTATCCTCACTGCGCCAGCGTACTCCACCCTTCAAATGGAATCTCTTAACAACATCCTTGCCGTCTTCTTCGAGACTCCCGAGGTCGAAATCCCTACGAACCAAGACGACGGTACCGGAGGTGGATCGCAGTGCGTGGTTGCCTAAAGGAGGAACCCTGCAGCGCTACATACAGCAAACTCGTGAGTTTACTGCTCTACCTGGGAGAAATTGTCCATTGACAACCAAATAGATCTCATCGTCTCGTCCTTGTTTTTGAGACAATCTTGACGTCCTCGCTTCTTCGATCAGGGACGGTTTGTTCAACCTATACACACGTGTGCGCTCATTTGGCCTTCTCTCATGGGCAGCCGCGAGAGACGTACTTGCACTCTCAACGGCAGCACACACCTTGAATCATCAACATTTTGTTCTTTGTTCCCATTTTGACTCGGATCTTGTCCCCTACGTATGCGTCTCCCTGCTCCTGGAATCGTCTACCCTTCTCCGTCCGCTCCGTCAATTTCCCCCCTCCCCTTCCTGACGTTGACGTCGTTCTTCATCTCCATCCCGCCGAATCTCCCTCCTTCCCTCCGACTACAGCCCCTTGGCTCTAGAATGTCGGTCTCCGCTCCCCTTGTTTGTTGAATCCTCTTTTGTTCATAAATCTTGCCAATGACGATCTTGTTTGATGGCGAATGTGCTACTTTGAGAAGCTTCAGCCGAGTGCCTGAAGAGGAGGGGTGTCGACGATTTGAGTGGCCGTTGAACCTGAGGTCGGTCCATGCATTACACGACAGCAATACCACGGCAGTAGTCTGAACGTACTGATATGGCCGAGTCTCTTGTACATTTACGCCTAAGGCGGCCCCTCGTCCACAAAACCTAGGAAGCTTGCGACTTCAAGCCACGAAAGGAAGTGAAGCTTGAAAACATATTGAATGAGGCGCAGCGTTTTCTCACTTGGGAGAGTGTAATGTAGATGATCCACCCAGTAGCGCGACGCATACTGTAAATGGCGGGGAATGTACGTCTCGATAGATGAGAGTCCATTCAAAACATCCCGATTGAGTAAATAGGATGATGAGATCTCGCAGATATTGAATCGTAGCCTCTCCTTCATGATCCGTAGACATTGGTCTGTAAGAATCCGGTGGGAATTGTCTGTCCGTGATTCAGGGACCAAATATGTCGCATTTGGATTTAAAAAAAGTCCACAAAGGACTGGTGGCGGAACCGAAGTCCCCCGTCAAATTCCAGCACCGGCCGTAGCGCACTGCATATGTATTCGACCGTCCAAGGATCCATTACGAGGAGATCCGTTAAGGTTTTCATGTCTAGAGTCTCTTTAGCGACAGCAAGTACGCCCAGAATAGTTCTCATATCCTCCAGGAGAGTTGGCTTTGGATTTGGAAACGCAGTTTGGAGGACCGTAGTGTAGAGTGCGTATTGATTGTCTTTGACAGCCTAGAGTGTTCTTAGAACGCAAGTAGTGCATAGGATCTGAAACCTACCTGAACGGAATCCAAAATTGTGATAACAGCTTCGCAGGCACCCTTCAATGGTGCAAAATCGGCAGCATCTGCAACACTTTTTGTCAAGCTGAGCATAAGGGCTACACGAGCGAGCCATCTGTCCATTTTGGATCGTCGCATTGGATGGTTCGAGCCCGGAGATTGTTCATCGTCCACAGATTGTATCTTCAACGGCTGTGTTGTATTGATCACGGTCCATCTTGTTCAGCAGCGGCAGTTTCGTACTAGCTTTGACTATTCAGGCTCGTAGATGGACTGGGCGTGGTGGGCGCCAAGATCGTATCTTGAGTTTTCTTAACTTTCTTGCGTAGTTTATGGATTATATCCATGGTAGGATTCTCGAAAAGTTGGGTGGTCGAAGCTAGATAGAGCGGCCAAACAGTTTGGCACTCGCTCCTAATAATGCAAGGATTTGGTGGCCGGTTGTTCTGAGGATAGAAACACTATCGATTATTTTCGGGACCTCAGTTGTTTTACTCTGCAGTCTCTTCGACGTGTCGAGAGCCAAGCGTTGTGGCATGGATCTAGTGTGAGACAGAGCAAAGAACTACAAGCGTGAGATATATCTGTATACCGCCAATTCATGATTCACTTCTAGAATCTACTTTTCCCCAAACGAGGAGTGCAGTCTGATCGCCTACAGACTGTGCATGCTTGATGGCCAGTCGAACATACCCACCTTCTGCGTCTGCGCCGCCTAGATGTGCCCAGGCTTGTAGCTTCCTCGATGAGATGGTTGATCTACGTGTAGTGATGTGTCCGGCTTGCCACCTTTGCGTTTGCAGAGTTTGAAGCGCATGCACTCTGCTTTTGGTGCAGGTGATAATTTGTTCGTGCCGGCTGTCATTCCATGCTTTTGGACAGAGAAACGCTAATCACACGCACTCTCTGGAGATGAAGAGAATGGAGGAAAGTCAACGTTAATTGTCTTGACGCAGTCCTAAATACCTGAGGAGTCGAGAAGAGAACAAGGGCTTGGTTCAGGACAAACGTCGCAACTCTCTGAAAGCTTAGAGAAAGGGGAGTGGCAATGCACCTGAAAGGAAACGGGATGAATTGGATGCATTTGGGCCAGAAGGAGTGTCTGCGGTGGCCATAGTCATACCGCTCGTGGAGCGGGCCGAGCCCAGGATCATGCGCTGGCAGTACTGGAGATCCGTAGGAGAACTTGTTTAGAATAGAGATCAGGCACTACGCCGGGAAGTATTACAACAGGTTTTACCGGCCAGTCGAGAACAGGATGGGGCGAGAGACAACCCAACTACCCATCCTTCAGATATCTTCAGGTATCTTTCCACCTTCCTTCACCCGTGTCCATTCTTCTCCGTGCACAAATTGAGTTGTATCGACACCCAGCCTCTGGACTTGACCTATGATGCCAACTCCTGGCCGCTCGATCCCAGCACGAAACGGAGGCGGTACCCAAAAGAGTCGCTGGCTAGATGGACCAAATAACCATCCATCGTCGCCCACACGGCAGTACTGATTTAGAAGTGAATGTACCTAGACAAATCAGAATGTCACAAATTTACAGATCGATAGGACGCACACTATCTTCTGTGGCGCTGGTATTCGTTATGCGTATAGTTCGGTCTTCAGATCCGGAAGCAATGTGCTGGCCATCTGGCGAGAATGTGGCTGAGTGAACCGGAGTCGTGTGTCCCTCGAGCGGCGACCCAACCTGTGCGCCGGTTTCTACATCCCACAGACGCACCGTTCGGTCAGAAGATCCAGAGACAATGCGCTGGCCGTCTCGCGAGAATGCAACCGACATAACCCAGCCTGTATGTCCTTCAAGCGGGGATCCAATCTGTGCGCCCGTTTCTACATCCCACAGACGCACCGTTCGGTCAGAAGATCCAGAGACAATGCGCTGGCCGTCTGGCGAGAATGCAACCGACCAGACATAATCTGTATGTCCTTCAAGCGGGGATCCAATCTGTGCGCCCGTTTCTACATCCCACAGACGCACCGTTTGGTCAGAAGATCCAGAGACAATGCGCTGGCCGTCTGGCGAGAATGCAACCGACCAGACACCTGTATGTCCTTCAAGCGGGGATCCGATCTGTGCGCCCGTTTCTACATCCCACAGACGCACCGTTCGGTCAGAAGATCCAGAGACAATGCGCTGGCCGTCTGGCGAGAATGCAACCGAGTGGACATAATGTATGTCCTTCAAGCGGGGATCCAATGTGCGCCCGTTTCTACATCCCACAGACGCACCGTTCGGTCAGAAGATCCAGAGACAATGCGCTGGCCGTCTGGCGAGAATGCAACCGACCAGACATAATCTGTATGTCCTTCAAGCGGGGATCCAATCTGTGCGCCCGTTTCTACATCCCACAGACGCACCGTTCGGTCATCAGATCCAGAGACAATGCGCTGGCCGTCTGGCGAGAATGCAACCGAGCGGACAGAATCTGTATGTCCTTCAAGCGGGGATCCAATCTGTGCGCCCGTTTCTACATCCCACAGACGCACCGTTCGGTCAGAAGATCCAGAGACAATGCGCTGGCCGTCTGGCGAGAATGCAACCGACATAACCGCAGCCTGTATGTCCTTCAAGCGGGGATCCAATCTGTGCGCCCGTTTCTACATCCCACAGACGCACCGTTCGGTCATCAGATCCAGAGACAATGCGCTGGCCGTCTGGCGAGAATGCAACCGACATACCCAGCCTGTATGTCCTTCAAGCGGGGATCCAATCTGTGCGCCCGTTTCTACATCCCACAGACGCACCGTTCGGTCAGAAGATCCAGAGACAATGCGCTGGCCGTCTGGCGAGAATGCAACCGAATTAACCGAGCCTGTATGTCCTTCAAGCGGGGATCCGATCTGTGCGCCCGTTTCTACATCCCACAGACGCACCGTTCGGTCATCAGATCCAGAGACAATGCGCTGGCCGTCTGGCGAGAATGCAACCGAGCGGACATAATGTGTATGTCCTTCAAGCGGGGATCCAATCTGTGCGCCCGTTTCTACATCCCACAGACGCACCGTTCGGTCATCAGATCCAGAGACAATGCGCTGGCCGTCTGGCGAGAATGCAACCGAGCGGACATAATGTGTATGTCCTTCAAGCGGGGATCCAATCTGTGCGCCCGTTTCTACATCCCACAGACGCACCGTTCGGTCATCAGATCCAGAGACAATGCGCTGGCCGTCTGGCGAGAATGCAACCGAGCGGACATAATCTGTATGTCCTTCAAGCGGGGATCCAATCTGTGCGCCCGTTTCTACATCCCACAGACGCACCGTTCGGTCATCAGATCCAGAGACAACGCGCCGCCCATCTGGAGAGAACGCAACTGCATTCACACTCCCGGTATGCCCGCGGAGTATGAAAAGGAGTGGTGACCACCGTTGATATCCACCTGAGTGGACGAATAATGTGTTGGGGTATTGATATCTGTATTGTTGATGCACCTTCGAAACCGCAGGCGATAATGGTAAAGCCGACAGGTAGATGCCCGCCACGCTTTGTGAGATCACCTCAATGAAGTGCACCGTGAACTGGCGCATGTCCTCTGCTGCGATATCAACTCGACGATATCATTCTCCTAAGAAATTTCAACCAAACAGTCTATGGCTGTGTTAGATTTACCTTCAACCATGCGGCCAACGCCGTAAGCATAGACGGTACCCTGTCCATCCAAATAAACTTGCGACCTCAAGCCACGAAAGGAAGTGAATCTTGAGAACATATCGAACGAGGGTGATCGTTTCCTCACTTGGAAGATTCAAATGATCCACCCAATACCGCGACGCATACTGTAAATGGCGGGGAATGTAGGTCTCAATAGATGACAGTCCACTCAAAATGTCCTGATTGAGCAAATAGGATGACGAGATCTCGCAGATATTGAATCGTAGCCTCTCCTTCATTATCCGTAGACATTGGCCTGCAAGAATCCGGTGGGAGGTGTCTGTCGTGATTCCAGGGACCAAATATGTCGTATTTGGGTTTAAAAAAAAGTCGACAAATGACTGGTGGCGGAACCGAAGTCCTCCGTCGAATTCCAGCACCGGTCGTAGTGCGCCACAGATGTGTTCGACCGTCCAAGGATCCATTGCGAGGAGATTCGTTAACGTTTTCATGTCTAAAGTCTCTTTGGCGACAGCCAGTCCGCCCAGAATTGTTCTTATGTCCTCCATCAGAGTTGGCCTCGGATTGGGAAACGCGGTTTGGAGGACTGTAGTGTAGAGTGAATCCATGCCTGTAACACGGTCTTCCTTTATAATCTCCTCCAAAAGTTCCTCAGATTACCAGCACGGAGATACTCTATCACCGTCGAGGCCCAGATGAATAGCCCATTAGCTTTGATTGCCAAGGCTTCGATAGTCGTTGTTTGAGGCCATTCGACGGATCGAATGGTATACTTGCTAGCAACCTTCCTAAGCTCCTCAGTCAGGAATGCCTGAATGTCTCGCTTGGACTGGCTGACTGTCTCCTGTGTAGCGAGTAGGTCGATGGTATATGGAGGGTTGAGAGCGAACATTCTCGCTATGTCGTCCTCCTCACGACTGGTGACGATCAACTTGCAACTGATTGGAAGACGAGACCAGGCAGTGAGGGTTTGCAAAAGTCGTCGAAATTCGATCGATCGTGTGCCGGCCAGCCCACCACATTCGTCCAATGCATCAATGATGACCACAGGTGATTGGTCCTGTGAGAGGTTGCCGATTTTGGACAACGGTACTTCAACCAATTGCTTGAAAAGAATGTCCACGTTTGGTGTCGTCAAGTCAATCTTCTCCTTCTTCATTTTATCTGCGAGGTATTTGCGAATGGTAGGATGTCGCGCGAGGTCATACGCAATGCCTTGCCATAATGTGCTAGTAGTCGTAGTCGCAGTCTCCTGCCGACTGAAGAAGAAGCTTGATCCTAGACGCGTCGTTTTGATACCGAGCCTAGTCACCAAGGTGGACGCAATAGTCGACTTGCCCGCTCCTGGTGCAGCTTTGATCCACAGGACGTTGGGAGCGTCTGGGTTTTTGGACCAGGCTTCGCATTCGGCCAATATTTCCGCACGTGTACCCAGCTGGCATTCCTGCGGACGTTGGCGTTGTTTAGACTGGAGTTCCTTCAATATGTCCCGCTCCGCCGTATCTCTAACAGAGACGGTAACATAGAGCATCAGAGCACGCTATTACAAGATCAGTATTAGATCGCTTCTTATAGGCGGAATACGAACCATCAACTCGTTCCTTGCGTCCGTCAGGCGTTGCTTGTATCCGTTGATCGTGTCCGCTTCCAGCTTTGTAGTGCCGATGCGCTGGACCAGTACTTTCCAAGTCAGACCTTTGTCAAACTTGGATTCATCGAGACCAGAATCAACGCATATCTCGGCAATCAACTCTTTGAGGGTACTGTTCGAGATGAGATTGTTTCCAACAGACGACGATGGACACACATGGAATAGTTTGTAAGTGGATCCTTGATAGATTCCTCGCACTCTTCGAGTACATCTTTGATACCTAGCTGATCTAGTTGTCGTTGAAACGTCCTCGTGTGTTCTCTAATGGTCTGCAAGAGGTCTGACCAGGCATATTGGTTATCTTTGATAGCCTAGAG